CCATACTTTCTCTGAGGCGAAACTTCAGCCAATGAGAGTCTAATTTCGCGCATTCCGCGAAATTTTTTGACTCGGAAATTTGATTTTTTTGCGTTTTTCGCGGATTCGCGGATGGACTCGAGAGGGAGGGTATAAAAAGGATAAATTGTATCGCGTACGCGACAACGAGGATAGCGCAGCAAGGAAGATGGATGACTACAAAACGACAGGATTGGGATCGAGGCCGGGTTGGAACTACAAGTCAATACTAACTTCTGATAATTATCAGGGGTAGTGAAGCATTTTTATATCTCGAGAGTGCATTGCGCGGACGTTTCGCTAACAGCGGAGTATGATTTCGCGGACGTTTCGCTAAAGTTCTTGTGTCAGCCGCGGATTGGCAGATTTCTGGGTTTCGCGAACCGCGCCGTTCAAGCCAGACCTTCTCTGAGCACATGAATCTTCAGCCGAAAAATAAAAAACTTCAAAATTTTTCGAAAAAATATTTTTATTGATTTACTTTTAGGTAATCGATCACGCTGATCAATATCTGAAACTTTATTTCTCCGAAAAAAAATTTGAAATGTAGCTATGATGACTTTTATGACCATTTTTAGGCCTTTTTTGAGTTTTTGAGAGCCCAGAACTTGGCTCAGAGGTCCATTGGGAGACTAACAATTTTAGGATGTTCTTATGACCTCAAAAGCTGTCCATGGACCAAATTTAATCATGATTTGAAATGTTGAGTAAAAAAGGTTCCCTTGTAAGTTTTAAACGAAATATTCCAGATGTTTCAATCAAAAATGAGATAAACCTAGTTAAATTCTTGGTAGAAGTGAGAAATCGTGAAACATTTCACTTGGAAAAATCATGAACCCGCATAAATTGTAAAATAACTCACAATTTTATCAAATACTCCATAATTTTGCCTTTTTAGACGTTTTCGTAGTCGGTGTGAGGCTCCTTTCCATCTGTAAAAATACTAATCAAAAAAGTAAGTCACAAAAAGGAGTTTTTTCCAAGAAAACAAAGCTTTTCACGCGTAAAAACCAAAAAAAAAGAAAAAAAATTGGCCTAAAATAGTTGGCAAACATCCAATTCTTGGAATCCTAGGCCATTGGCCGAGGTTCTTAGAAACTTTTAGGCCACCATTCAATTTATTTTTTTTGTTTTTTTTCGTTTTTTCTTGTGTTTTCCTCGTTTCATACAGAAATTGTGTATTTAAAGCTTCGAAAAACACGTAAAACATGTTTCCCGCCTATGATCGCGGAGGAAATTTCATAAGAACTTTGAAATTGACCTATTTCGCATGAATTTAGGCCAAAAACTAAAATTGTCTTTTTTTCGACTTTTTGACAGTAGAACGACGTTATTTCGCATTTTTATCAATTTCAGCCCTTTTAATGAGTTTTAGGCGGATTTAAATAGTTCTTCATTTTTGAAAATTTTCAGATGAAGAACGTGAATCGTATCAAAAGAAAGCGTATTTGGTCGAAATCCAAATCAACGGAGGAAACATCGCTCAAAGATCGACTGGACTGGTGAGCACCTAGAGAAACAATTTTCAGTTAGAAGTGCCGGTCAAAACATGGTGAGTGAATTTTTCGATAAAAATAGATGCTCTGAAACCGACTTGAATTTGAGTCAGTCGTTAAGATACAACTTTCGACTTGACTCCTGCCGATGGGTTTCATAGACCTCGATGATCGAACTTCTCGTGATGGATAGAGTTTTCAAATATAGTTATTGCGTTGGATGAGATGTTGAATTTTGAATGATGTGATTGATGTTATTGGTTGAAACTGACCAATTCCACCAAACACTAATTTTATTAGCGCAAATGTTTGCCATCCAGAGTTCACCTCAACCAACGACATAGAAATGTCTGATAACTCACATCCACCACGAGATGATCAACCATAGGAGTCGAGTCGATAAAAACCCACCGACTCAAGTTGACTTGACAACAAATAGTTCCAATAGCAAAATGTTTTGTCTAATTCGCTTTATTTTCAGAACTCATACCAACATGCTCCACCAACACTCGTCTTTTCGACATCAAATAAACTCAAGATAATCGGAAGCAACTACCTTGTCGGACGGATGAATCGCCTCCAGAAATATATGTTCGAACAAGCTCGATAATTCGACAAATTATTGTAAATGTTATCTAGTTAAACAAAAGACGAGCCTTCTCTGAACAGAAATAATGGGAGACAAATCGGCCTATATGGGAGCTGGAGGATATTCGTCAGGATATATGGGAGCGAATGCTTCGTCATCCGGTTATGCTCGTGAAGATTATGCTCAAGGAGGAAACAGTGGAGGACAAACATCTGGAGGAACTACAAATCCAGGAGCCCAAGTTTTCAAGGCTCGTACCGATCAATCTTGCTACATGGGATCACCATAAATACATTCAACAACAAGAGTCTAGCCTTTTCTTTGCCAAATAAAAGATTGTAAATGTTTTTGTTTTATTCGTTTTTTTTTTTAAATAAATTGTCAAACCAAAAAAAACTAGACTTTTTCGGAAAATTTTGATTTTCACATGATTCTAGCTGAAATCTGATATTCTCATAATTTCAGGCATCCCATCGTTTTCAGCATGTCTGAAAACATTTGTAGCAAAAAAACTAGAAATTTCCGAAAAATTTGATTTTCACGTGGTTCTAGCTGAAAATCTGAAATTCTCAAAATTTCAGCCATCCCATCGTTTTCAGCATGTCTGAAAACATTTGTAGCAAAAAAAACTAGAAATTTCCGAAAAATTTGATTTTCACGTGGTTCGAGATGAAAATCTGAAATTCTCAAAATTTCAGCCATCCCATCGTTTTCAGCATGACTGAAAACATTTGTAGCAAAAAAACTAGAAATTTCCGAAAAATTTGATTTTCACGTGGTTCTAGCTGAAAATCTGAAATTCTCAAAATTTCAGCCATCCCATCATATTCGCTTTGGTCGAAAACTTCCCCAGAAATTTTTCGAAATCCTTCAAAAATTGCCCGTTTTCAAAAAAGGGGCCGCACTCTTTCAGAATATCGCAAGAAATATTGTGGGCCCCTTTTTTTGATTGCCCCTTTCAGTCTTTTTATTTTGCCCCTCCGGCCCCTTTTTCGATTTTGCCCCTTCGGCCCCTTTGAAAAAAGGGTGCGCACCCTTTCAGCCGTACCCATTCAGTTTCTGCCGTACCAGCCACTATTCTTTTTTTTTCCATTTTTTCACTCACTCGCCAAAAAATTTTATATTTCATTTCATTTCGTTTTCTTCTATTTTTTCCTAACAAAAACACATGTCCAGCAGATGTTTTGGTTGATGAGAAGAAGCCTAAGAAAAAAAGTATTTCGCGCATTTTTTCCTTTTTTTTTAGTTTGATGTGAAACAAACTTTGTAATTGTTTTTTCTCGTCGTTTACAACAGAAAAAGAGAGAACAACAAATTAGGACGAATTTGTGCAACAATTTTTTGTCGTTTTATTTCCAATCGATTTTTCCCCATATACTCATTTCTGTGACACTTTCATCATCCTCCAAACTAAATCCTCTTTCCTTGTCTTATCCTATTTATTTTTCGAAAAAAAAGAGGAATTTTTGTGTTTTCCGAAACCCTTCATGCATTCTGAATAAGAGCTCTCCATCTATCCATCCATCCTTTTTTCCGCGCTTATATTCTTCTTTCAGGCACCTCTCTTTCTGCATTTTCCTTCGTTTTTAATTATTCCAAAGTGAGTGAAATTTTGTGCGCGAAAAAAAAGAAAGAAAATGTAAATGAACTGGATACACGCCCATTTTTATGGGCTTCTTTTTTCTTTTGGCGGTCTGTGTTTTTCCAAATGAGACTTTTAGGTGACAATTTCTTTTTTCAATTATTTCTCATAAATTTCAATGTCGAAAATATATTTATCTACAAGTCGAAAAAAATAACTTTTAAAAATACTGAATTTCGAATGAACTCGTGAAAATATACCAACTTGAAATATCTGAAAGTTTGGTTATCCCCGAAAAATTCCTTACTGTGTACTGTAGCCAATATTTTTGTACGGTTTATGTTTCCTGGTTTTTTTTCGAGAAAAAAAAAACTTTTATCCCTAAAGTTCTTCTTTCCTGGTCAATCATATTTTGAAAGCTTAACGTTTTATATTTCAATAATTTTTCATCGAAAACTTTTCAATATAATTATGCGATCCCAAACAAGTTTATGGTCAATTTAATGATGTGGTGAGCCGAATTATTGTTTCTCTAACCCCCTCTCTTCTCTCTCTTTTTCCTCTTTTTTACCTCTTTTTTGGTCGGTTTCCACTTTTTTTGAAAACCCCGAAAGTAATCTATTTGAGCCCTTGTTCTCAAAAAAATGTTTATATTTGCTCAATTTCTTACATTTTTGCCACAAAAATGGGTTGTTTTTAGAATTCCAAATTTCCGATAAATATATGTAATTTTATTTTGGTAATTTGAGATTTTTCGAGAATCGGGCAAGGGAAAGAGTAATTTGATCACAAAAATCTTTCTATCATTTGAAAAAAAAAATGATTTTCGAGATGAGCAAAAATGTTGAGAAATCAATATACTAATATTCGAGTATTTTCCAATTCTCATCTATTTCCTCAAGTCATTTCCGGTGCTTAATTGCTTTTATCTTTTTCTTTGTCATTTTTTTCGTCCTAAAATGGTCGATTTCTATCTTGTTTTTGTTCGAATTGCAACAAACAACAAAAATATAAAGAAGTATACGGTGTTTGTTTCGATTTCGGAAGAAACACTTGAAAATGCGCGATTTTCTTTTTTTTTTTCTTCCTTCTGTTGACTCATTCATTCCATTTCTCACTTTGATACTTTTTTGTTGTGTGCATGCAGTTTTCTTTTTTTTTTTCTTTAATAATTTGTCATCAACCCATCCATTCAAAATGGTTTTTTTGTAATATTCATGAGTCAACATATTATTGATTACTATTCTTCTCACTGATAAAAATGTTTATTTTTTTGTTGCTTCTCAAGTCATAATAATTGATTTTTTCCAGAGAAATGATAGATTCTGAGGCAAATGTGCCTTTGAAGCGAAAAAATTCTAGGGAAGGAATAACTCTGGATTACTGTAATCGACATTCTCGATTGCGTCGAAATGAAGGCGAAGATTCGACTACTTTTTTCTTCGATTATTCAACGTTTGTTTTTTTGAGGGAAAATTGGGTTGTAATTTTTTGAGATTTTTTCAGAGATATGCCAAATATCGAATCGATAAATTGGAGAGAACTTCGAAAATTGGTAAGTATTTTTATACCTTTTTTTAATTTAGGGTGGTTTTTTTTTAAACTGTAGCTCAAAGATTTCAACGTAGACATTCAAAAAGCTGGAAACATTTCTCAATATCATCGTCATTTTTTTTTATTTTGTTGAGTTTTGAACTTTTTTTTGGCACTTTTCCAAATCCTGACTCTGATCCCATACTATAAAAATCAATATCCTGTTTTTTTTCAGAAAACAGGCAATAAATGGGGTGTTATTCGACATCCATATGTTCTGAATTATTTGAATCAAAAATTGATTGATTGTTCACTTTTTTACTTGTTACATATCATTGGTAAGTCTATAGATTTTTAATGGAAAATAAATATTTTTTTCAGCATTCTTCTCATTCTTGTTGGTTTTGTCTTGGCATATTTTTGCGAGAACTCCTGCAAAAGATTGGTTGGTTACTCTGTTTGTTGCTGTTTTTGGATTGTTCTTGGTATGTTTTAATAGTATTTTTCGGAATCGCCTTAAAAAATTTCAAGACATCCCTCGTCAATTCTTATGAAAAAATCATATTTCATTTATTTTTTCAGATTCTCAAAGGAACTATAAAAGCTCGAATAAGTCATTCGATTTCATTTTGGTTTGTTATTGCTTTTTGTTTCAATATCATCACTTATCTGGCTACTTTGGCATATGTTTGGCTTCCAACAATTTTCAAATACGATGATTATCATCAAGAAGTCAAGGTATTTGAAATTTTCTTTTCCGCAAAAAACATGATCCAAAAATTTTCAGAACATCGTTATTTGGTTTCTTCCGATTATTGCAATTATCTCAGCTTGGGCGAATTTTTTGTATATTTTGAGAAAATCACCATTTGGTATTTATATTTTCATGATGACTAGAATTTTGAGAAGTTTTGGACATGTAAGTGAAGTTGAATTTTAGGCTCTGAACGGAAAAAGAGGGGTTTAGGAAAAAAGAGGAGTTATGAAAAAAAGAGGGGTTTTCAAAAACTTGGTTTTTTAAAAGCTTGAAACGATATCCAAAAGTTAGTTTCAGAAGTTGCTTTTGTTCAGAATTTCAAGCTTAATCTGATCCTTGCGCTTAAATTTCATGAAAAGTGAAAATATTCCCACATTTGAGCGCATAAAGTTTTGAAAACCTCTCTTTTCCGTCAAAACCCCTCTTTCTTTCGAAAACCCCTCTTTTTTTCTAAACCCCTCTTTTTTTCCTAAAACCCTCTTTTTCCGCTTAGAGCCGAATTTTACTTATTTAAAAACACTTTTGTAGATCGCAACAATTTGGATTCCAACATTAATTGCTTTTTCATTTGCATTTCATTTAATAATGCGAGATACTGGAATAAAACCTTGGTCAACATTGGATCAAGATACAGCTAATATGACAATGTTACATAAAATGCTTGTTATTCTTCAAGCAGTTACAAAAACAAGTACAATGATGATTGGAGAAGTTGATGCAAATGATATTCTTGATACAAATCAATGGATTCCAAGTATTTTAGTATTGACATTCGAAATTATTACTGTTATTTTATTGATGAATTTGATGGTTTCTTTGGCTGTTGGAGATGTTAATGATTTGAAACATACGGCACAGGATAAACTATTAAAAATTAAGGTACGTATTTTTAATTTGATTGTAAATCTTTGAATTTTAATCCAGAAAAGCCAAGTGGCAATTTTACTTAGCAACAAACATCTTTACAGTAATCCAAAAAATTTTGTCCGATTAAGTATATGTTCCTGGAGTACTGTATTTTTTTTTGGAAAAGAACATCCACATTTCATTTCTCAAAGAGCCTTCCGATTTTAGAATAAAACAAATATATTCCAAGTTTTTAAATTACTTTCCTAATTTTTTTTTCATATTTTCACAAACAGGGACTTTTAATTAGAAAACTTGATTCTAATGTATTCTGAATCATTCGAAATTTTCTAAATCCTGAATCATTTTAAGTTTGTCGTTTTTTCAGGTCAATTTCGTAGTCGAAGCTCTGCAATTGAGTGAACAATTTGGAAAAAGTTTGCATACTCAAAAAACAAAAAATGTTTTAGTCGTCATGGAAGATGCAACATATTTCAATGCAATCGATAAATTTCCAACAACTGAACCAGGAGTTATTTCGGATGAGGCATTTCGTGTTTCATTTGTTGAATCAGGAATGCGTCTTAGAATTCAAACAATTCAAGGTCGAACAAAGACAGCAGTTCTTAAAAATTGTTTTATCGAAGCTCGCGAATCTCCAGAATCTGGTATTCCTGTTTTAAGCTCAGATCCTGAAGCAAAAGAATATAATAATACAAATGGATTATGGGATCGATTTGCAAAATGGATTATAGGACTTGATTGGAAAGGATTTTTAGATCTTTAATTGATTTTTTTTATTTTTGGTTTTTTTAATTTAAAAAATTTATTGATCTCCGAAAAAAATAATAAAATTTTGAAAACGTGAACCGTGTTTTTTTTTTCGAAAAATTTTGACGAAATCCATTTATTTCTACATTTTTAGAAATCACAAAAAGAAAATAAAAGAAATACAAAAATGGTATCTTCGTCAAGTACTGATTTGAAAAAGGATGGATGTAAGTTTTGAGAAAAAATAAACAAATAATGAATTAATTCAGATGCATTCTGGAAAGTTGACGTTTTTTGGATCGAAGTGATATTCTTTATTTTCTCAGTTTTTCTATTTGCTGTTTGTATGTATGCTTGTCTTTTTGTTCGTTGGGTTTATAAAAGAAGATTGAATCAAAAAATAGAAGATATGATAAATAGATATTATAAAGATGAGGAAAATCGAAAACAGGCACAAATTGATATGAAAAAAGATGAACTTGGTGGAGATGAAAGAGGAAATTGTATTTGTCGAAATAATTTGCACATTTGTCAAATTCCTCGAGTTATCACTGATGTTCAAACAATTGAAAATGAGACAAAACAAAAAAGAGAAATGAAAGAAAAAGAACCAGTTAAGGAACCAGTTAGATTTGTAAGAATCAATGAACTTCCGGAAGAGCCTATTAAGAAAAAAGAAAAAGATGTTTCAAAGAAAAATGTTTCATTTCAAGAAAAAGTTAAATCATATCAAAGTGATCCAGATCTCATCAAAACAATGCCAGGTTTGAAAATAAAAAAATATTTTTTTTTAGAAGATACAGTAACCCTGATAATTTTCAGTTCTTATCCAACCAGTTCGGGAAGTTGGTTGCCAAACAATTGATGATTCACTTTATCCACCACCAGCTCCAATTGTTGCACCAATGTATGCAAATCCAACACCAAAACAATCAGCATCTCAACGAAATAATTCGAATGATTTGTTTGAAGATTATGGAAGTATGAATTATTATGAAAATAATGGAAAAGTTAATGGAATAATGAATGCATCAAAAATGAATTCACCATTACCAATGAGATCAAAAACAAAAATAAAGATGGATGATCCAAAAAACACCGGAACAACTTCATCAAATACTTCACAAACACCAACAACTCAAACAACTTCAAATATTTCAACAAATGATTCAAGCTCAACTACAAAACAACAATCAACAACAAATATTTCAAATGAAAATGAAAATTTGAAGAAAAATAAAAGCAATACAAAACCACCTGCAAATGAATCTGAATCAAGCGATTCCGATAATCAAAAACAATCTGGAAATGATAATAAAGAAGTCAATTCAGGTTAGTGGATTACTGTAGGATTCAATCTACAAGTCTATTTTTCAGATTATCTTCCTTCTGCTGGCGAAAAGAACTCAACTGCTATTAAAAATCAAAACGATAAAAATAAAAAGGAATCAGGTTTGTGGATTACTGTAGATAAAAAGAATTTTCTTTCCGAAAAATGCTAAAAGTTATAATTTCAGAATACTTTCCTTCGGCTGCTGAAAAAACTCCGGAAAATGCAAAAAACAACAGACCAGAAGATACAGATAGCCCAACTCGTCTTTTCCCATATTTCAATAAGAATAATCCGAAGAATACTCGATCAAAAACTTCAACACCAACTGATAGTAAAGCCACCGTTAATTCCGAATATTTTTAATTTCTTTTCTTTTTTAAATGTTTTTTATTTAACCTAATTTTTTTGTTGGTAATATTTACGTGGAAAGGCTATGTGTATTTGATTTTTGTATTTATTTCGGATTTATAAATAATTAAGAACCGGGTTTTCTTTTTTATATTCATTTCATTTTTCGTTTAATCGATCAATAAAATGACAAGTTCTCAAGATGCTATTTCATATTTGAATGATGTTACTTTGAAAACTATTGATGATATTGAAAAGGTGAGAAACAAATTATTTATATTGAAAGGTTAAACGGAAAAAATTAGAGGAAATTTGGTTTTCAAAAAAAAATTGAAATAAATGATCTTATAAGGTTTATTGTGAGTTTTCTAGTTTTTTTTTTTAAGTTACAGTAATCCTAATATTTTTTCAATTATAATCCTACACGCCTCACTTTCGGTCTAAAAACTTCAAATTGTTCCAGATATCAGTTATCCTATTCAATTCTTATGCAAATTTTTCAATAATATTTTTTAGCTTTTGTTGAATTTGCCACAAGATGGAAGTAAATGTGAAATTCAATATGTTCGAGCTGCAAAAAATCCAAATGTTCGTGGAACTGCTGATGTTGTCGAACCGGGAAATTTTTGTGTGAAAAATGTTCCCGAACCAATTTCAGTTTCACCTTCAACAAGAAGTTCAAATAAAGTATCCTCAAAACCACGTCGCCGTCGAGAAGTTGAATTTCATTCATTGAATTCGTTGAACAAGAAAAATGGAAAAAATTCTGAAATTGATGTTAGAATTGATTCAGATCCAAAGAAACCATATAAAATATTGACGGATAATATCAAAGTTAAACCAATTGTTTCGATGAATGGAGTTGTTTTGGATATTGATGTTGAAATAACATTGGAGAAAAATAAAAAGAAAATTGTGAAATTAGAAATTGAATGTCCAAATTATACACCAGCAAGAATTAAAATCGAAGGAAAATGGAAAAATATTGTATAAATTATGAATAAATAAATACTTGAACTCGGGAATTTAATTCTTTATTTATTTTAAAAATATAATTCATTATTTTTTTGAATAAATTAGTTAAGATTTACCGTCTTGATCTTGGTGGAGTTGTTGAAGAATCTGAAGAATCATGGCGTTTTCTTGAATTGTTTTTTTGTTTTGGAGATGGCGATCTAGACGAATTCGATGAATCAGATGAATTATGTCGTTTTCGATTTCTAACTGGAGAATCTGGTGAATCTCTTCTACTTTTTCTTCTTGGTGATGGTGTTCTTCTTCGATTTCTGATTGGTGATCTTGATCTCGATCTCGATATTCTTCTTCTTGGTGGAGTTCGTGATCTGAAAAAAATTATATAAATTTCAAAGCTTCATAAAAAATTGAAAAGTATTTACCTTCTTCTCTGTGGTGATCTCGATCTTCTTGCAGGTGATCTTCTTCTATTTCTACTAATTTCTTCATCTGAATCGACTTCCTTTTTTATTGTTTTTCTTTTTTCTTCTGGCGAACTGTCAACTTCTTTTTTCACTCGTTTTCTTTTTTCTTCCCATTCATCTTCACTATCACTTTTTTCATATTTTCTTTTTGATTTCTTACTTTTCTTTTTCTTATCCTTCTTTTTCTTTTTCTTGCTCATCGCATCTTCCAATGATTCTCCACTCATTAATTTTTTCATCAATTTTCTTTTATCCTTATCTGACATTGTATTGAAAAATTCAATCATTTGTTCTTCTTCGCTTTTTTCTTGTTTCATTCTACTCAATTGTTGATCTTGTTTCATTCCAGCCAATACATTACTTTTCAATACAATTCCATGTTCTTCTTTCATATCATTTGCTAATTGTTGATGATCAACCCATTCATCTTCTTCCTCTTCTTCCAAATCTTTTTTATTTGGATTTCTTGAACTCGATGATGAAGAAGTTCCTTCAGCTCTTTGTTTTCGTAAAACTTTTATCAAATCCGACGGATTATTTGCATCTGAAATAATTAAAAATATTATATTCATGAATCTTATTATAAAATCAAAACACTTACATCCTTCATCCTCGTAATTTCCTGATTTTCCAAATAGTGCACATTCTCGATCAGTATTTACATGTCCCCATTTGTGGCATTTACAACATCTCACATTTCGAACCTAAAAACTTTGATCTTACATTTTTCATAAAAATGATAGTTGCCACGTTTATATTAAAAGTTCACGTTGTATTTAATAAGTTATTTGAAGTATTTTTAATTTTCAGAAAAGCGAATGATTTTTCTTCAATTCCACATTTATTTCAAATTTACCTGGATACCAAATGGTTGATCTTGAATTTCTTCATTTCCTTTTGCCCAATCTTCTCTCGGCGCCTGATATTTTCTTTGCCAATCGAATTTTGGTTCTTCTTTTGGTTCTTCTCTTTTTGCCATTCCAGCTGGTGCATCATACATGAATGAAAGCCCCATTTTTGCTTTTTCATCTCCAAGAAGAGCTCTGTAAACATTTATGTTAGAAATTGAAGTATTATTTCAAAAAGAGAATTTAAGAATGAACAAAAACTAACTTGTTATTAAGAATTTCCTGTTCCTTTTCATACATAACTCGTAATTCTTCTTGTCTTTTATCTTCCAATGATTTCTTTTGTCTCGCTTCCCATACCATTTTTAAGTTATGAAACGCCGAAGGATGGAAGTCCTTCTTGGACATGAAATTTTGGAATCCTTTTCCCATTTTGATAAATTTTCTCTTGGCTTATAACACAAACTGTTTACCTGAAAGCATAGTTTAGTAAAAATTTTGCAAATTTGAAAAAGAAAGAAGATATTTGAATAGTTGAATCAACTATTAATAGAAAAATGACAAAGATCGAAAAATAAAACGATATTTTTGAAAGAGTAAAAAAGAGAAACAGAACAAAAACTCAACAATAACAAAATAACAAATGAAAAAGTATAATCTAACGAGTCTCAAAAACTTTGATGGTACAATCAGCTGAACCGGAAGCAATTAGATTATCATTCCATGCAACACATAAAACTCTATCTTCGTGGCCATGAATATCGAAAAGTGAACTTTTTGATGATCTGAAAACAAGTTTTTTGTTGAAAAAACAGTTAATTTTGAATATAAACTGACCTGATATCCCACGTTTTTGCAGTTTTATCAGTTGAAACACTAACAAATTGATTGGAATCATTTGGATTCCATCTAACACTTTCAACCCAGCCAGTTTGATGTCCAATAAATGAATTTTTGACAAGTGTTCCATCTGAAAATTTAAATTATTTTCGATATTTTATTTATTATCAATTTAAAATACCTCTCGATTTTGGATCATATAAACGAGGAACTGCATCAGTACAACTTGTAATCATATATCCGGTTGATAAATTCAAATCAAGACTTGTGAATGATTTGGGTCCTTTTGTTCGGGAAATTTCTCCAGCTTAAAAAATATGAGTTGTTTGATAATATATTTAAAAAATAAGTATTGTTACAAACCTAATTCAAGATCCCATTCGACAACTGAATGATCCCAAGATGAAGAAAAAGCATGTGATGTTTTCCAAGGGCACCATTGAATATCAGTTACTTTATCCCGATGTCCACCAATTGTTACCATTGGAACCTTTGTAATTGCTTCTTTTCTTCTCTTTTTCGTTTTAGTTTCTTCTTCTTGTTTTTCATAATTTGTAGTTTGATCATTTTCTTAAAACAAAATATTTGAGTTTTTTTTAGAAGTGAAATAAAAAACAAACCATCCAAATTCCAAACTTTGATGTTTTGATCAACCGAACCAGAAATGGCTCTTGACATATCTGAACTAACAGCAACACATTCAACAGCTCTTTCATGTCCACGAAGAATCAACTGAAATGTTAAACATTGATATATTTATGAGAAGCTGATTGTTTCTCATAATTTCTTACATTTTCGGTGAGAGCTCCTTTTTCAATTGAATATAATGTGAGAAGTTGACTTTCACTTCCTACCAATAATTGTGTTCCATTCAAGTCGTTTTTTGCTGAAATAATAATCGATAATAACGCTCTATTGAAATTATTTAAATACAAACCTGGTTTCTTCACGATCGCACTGCATTTCAAAATTTTATTAGCTGAATTAACAGCTAATTTTGTTTCATTTCCTTTTCTATCAACAATAACAATATCTCCGCCATATGTTGTTGAGAAAATACTGAAAAAAATGAGAAACTTTTCTGACGTAAAATGTAAACTTACAAATTGTTACTAATTTGAACAGATGAAACCCAATCAGGAGCTTGAATATCATGAAGAGGCTTTGGTGCTTCTACTCCAATAACACATTCCACTTTCAAAACAGTTTCTGTTTCAACTTCAAATTCTTCAATAAACTCAGCAAGACTTGTACGAAGAAATGTTTCACCAACTAAAAATTCGAAACGACGATCTTTCCATGTGTCTGAAAAATTTGATACATTTTGAAAATCTTGTAAAATTCTGCAAGAATTACCATTTGTTGTTTCAATAGTTTTGTTGAGCAATAAATTGAGATCGTCGCATTCGGCTGAAGTTGGAACATCGAATACAACTTCAGGAATATCGGCAAGTTCTTTCTCATTACTGAAAAATGTGAGTTGCACGTGTCTCTCGTTTGTTGAATCGCCTTCTTCCATTGTTACCTAGAAAAGTTTATTTGAAAAAAAGGGTTCAATAAAAGACAATAAATCGAAGAAACCGTAATAAGAAAGAAAAGAAATACTACAATAAATACTATCACTGGCTTAGAAATTTGCAATTTAATGTTTGAAAAGTGACCAGACTGCAGTTAGAGCGACACCAAGAAAAGCGAGGAAAAGCATATTTTCTCGATTTTTTCGTTTTTCATTTTGATCTTCAAGATAAAAAACACGAGCATTAAGTCGACCCATTTGTCTTCTTAGTGTTTTTAATTCTCTCAATGGATCTTCATCAACAACCATCGAATTATCAGTTCGTGCGGTTTCTGTTCTTCCTTGATTATCCTGTATTTCTGGATATGTTGTATCAGCAACAGTAAGAATATTTGGAACATCTTTCAATGCTTCATTATATTCAGTTGGAAATCTAGCTCCTCGTTGATAATCTTCAGTTATTCTTCCATATGAATCCCCTCCTGTTATAGTTATTCTATCAGGAACTTCCATTTGTTCAATCAAAGAAAGTCGAGCCGTAGCCCTTTTATTGTTTGAATTCGAATTGTTGTATCTGAGCTCATCGCCAGTTGCTGTTATATGTTCTGGTACATACATCCTAAATTATAATGGGTGTTTTGTAGGTAACTATGAAACATAATTTTGAGAAGGCCAGGAGAAAAAAATAAAGAATTATATTTTAAATGAAAAAGAAAACTTTGGACATCAATGAAGAGCAAAATATCCAACTGAAAAATATGAAAAAAACTTTCGAATGACGCAAAAAACCATTTCGAAATTCTAGAGCTATCGTGAAACAAAAAAATAAAAAGATTTGGCCGAACATTTCTTCGAGCGTGTTTGGAGTTTTAGGCCATGCCATGTGTCGTTCAAATTCGAATGTTTGTGCGCGCAGCTGTCCACATTTCGTTTCATTTTGAGATTTCTGAATAGTTGTTGTATTTTGTTCATTCTCCGTTAAGTACGGTTCGTTATGGTAACTTTCTGTAATAACATAAGAAAAATGATATCCAACATACTGAACGGCATGAAGAAAAACAGCAAATATTGAAACTCACAAGGGAACCTTTTTTACTCAACACTTCAAATCATGATGAAATTTTGTCCAGAGACAGCTTTTGGGGCCATAAGAACACCCTAAAAATCTTAGTTACCCAATGGACCTCTGAGCCAAGTTCTGAGCTCTCAAAAGTTCAAAAATTGCCAAAATTGGCTCATAAAACACGTCATAACTCAATTCTCGATCAATTTTATGAAAATCTGAGTAGCAGATGATGATCAGCGTGGTCGATTTACCTAAAAACCATCAATAAATCAAATTTTCAGAAAAAATTTTGATTTTGGAAAAAAGACTGAGCAGGGGCACATATGAATTTTCATGAATTTTCAGCCCAAAAATAAAAAACTTCAAAATTTTTCGAAAAAATATTTTTTGTTGATGTTCTTTTAGGTAATCGACTATTCTGATCAATATCTGAAACTTTATTTCTCCCAAAAAAAAATTTGAAATGGAGCTATGATGACTTTTGTGACCATTTTTAGGCTTTTTTTGAGTTTTTGAGAGCCCAGAACTTGGCTCAGAGGTCCATTGGGTAACTTAAATTTTTAGGGTGTTCTTATGACCCCAAAAGCTGTCTCTGGACAAAATTTCATCAAGGTTTGAAGTGTTGAGTAAAAAAGGTTCCCTTGTCAAAGTGAAGATGGCCTGTGGAAGGAATTTGATAGATAGCTTGTTCTATGGAATGTTTCTCGGTGTATGAATATTCAATTGACGAAACGTGATAAAATCTTGATCTGAGAAAAAGTGAAAATTAAGATGGTTATTCATGAAATTGTTCTCGGTTTAGAAATGTTAGGCCTCTGCGGAGTTATAGTGGCACTAACCATCGTTTTTTTGTAAATTAATGTCGAGTTAGTGTATCTATCTTTCTGTACCCGTAGACAAAAGAAATTTTGGCGAAAAATCGGCTACGAATCATATGTTCGTAGCCGATTACTCTCGGGCTATTTTAAGACTTAAAAAAACATGTCCCTTTAGGTCTCAGCTAGGGTCAAAACGTGTCCCTTTAGGTCTCAGCTAGGGTCAAAAGATGTCCCTTTAGGTCTCAGCTAGGGTCAAAACATGTCCCTTTAGGCCTCAGCTAGGGTGGCGAATACAATGCGAAAATTATTTGAACTGCCAAAAACAAGCACTGCAAATAAAGCTAACGATTTTGAATTATGCCTGATATCAATTTTTTACTCTTATTTCATAAAATTGTCTCAAAATCAGGTCACATTTCTTATTTTTCTGATTTACTCACATCCCTGGTAAAGGAACGGAGATTGTTATTTCCACCCGACAGCATACCATATTCAAAATCTGAAATTACAGCACAACTAGGTTATCACATTTGTTAGACCGTTTTTAGGCGAAAATGTTCTGAACGCTTGACAGTCTAGACACTAGAAACAATGGTGCGAATTTTTTTTTAGAATTTCTGAAAGTTTCCCACCAAAAACAACGCAAGTTGGCCTGAATTTGTTAATTTTGTCTTGAACTGTCCGTTTTAACTTTATTTTTTCTCTGATCAATTATAAAACACATTTTCCGGTAATTATGGAAAACTTCAACAAATGGGTCAGCACAACTCCTGGAAGAGAAAATGACGATGAAGCCAAGAAAGTTAGACAGTCACTTCTCGATAAACTGTCATCTGAAGAAGAAAAACGAGCGAAAGAGGTTCAGAAACAGCATGAAAAGAAATTGGAAGAGAACAATATTCTGATGGGTGTGAAAGCTGAGTCTGAAAGGTAATATAATATTTCATTTGGTTCGTTAATAATTCACGTGAATTTATAGAGCATCATCAGTTTCACAATCTCTTCAAGATGTCAAAATCGACTTTGAAAACAGCTTATCTAACTTGGAACAATTGAACGGTTAGTTTGAATACAGTGGAGGTAGTTCGTGAAAATCAATTAATCCATTTCAAAAATTCTCGGATGAGCGACTTTTTTTTTTAGGTTTCGTATCTGGAATTTGCGAAAATTCGAGCGATTTGACAGCGGAAGATAAAATAATTGAAGAATGTTGGAAATCGAATGATGAATTTGAGAAATGTTTGGAAAATGCCAACGAATATTTGAACTCAATCAGAGAAAAACATGATATTTCCAAAGTTTTCTCAAAAATAATCAGCGAAAAAGATCAACTAAAAAGCAGATTAGCTGTAACTGAAAGTAAGCATTCAAAATTCATTGGAGTTCGTAATGATTTGAAAATAAACAAAACGAAAAACATTATGAAATTGAAGAAAAATGAAGAATTGTTCGACAAAACTCAGTTTTTGAAAGACGGTCATTCTAAACTCGAAACAGAAAACGGTGATTTGAACGAAAAACTTGTTGATAAACGAGCTGCTCTTGTTGCATTGGAATTCACGGAAGCAAGAATAGGACATGATTCTGAATTTGAGGAAAAAAATAAAAAATTGGAAGAAAAAAAAGTAGGTTATTTTTTATTGATTTCGCACTTTGGCTAAGTTCGTGGTTCTCAAAATTCAAAATTGTACGCTGAACTTTTTAATTCCAAAATTTCAATTTTTTCAAAAGCCATTATCAATACAATATTTTGACGCTGAAATAAGCAATACAAATATTACAGAGCTCATCTGAAAGTATGAATGAAGATCTCAAAAGAAAGAACGAATCTGTCAACCAAGATTTAATTAATTCAAAACAGACATTGAAAAAAGCGATGGAGAATTTGAAAGGAACTGATTTGGTAATTGAAGAAAGTGGAAAGAAACTGATCGAGAAGAAATATCTTCAAATCAGAAATATACTCGAAAGAAAGAAAAAGGAAGCGAAGAATTCATCGGTTTCGAGTCTTCAAAAAAGTAGAGAAATCGAGAAAAACTCAATCAGTGATTGCAGAAAGCAAATATGTCAAGCGAGAACTCATGGAACGAAAGAATTCAAATCAATCAAAGAGCATGAAGCAGCAGTAAAAATAAAATTTACAGAAAATTAGAAGAATGAGTATTTTCAGATTTCAAAACGCATTAGAGCAATCGAACGTCTCAACAATCAAAAATCAGTTTTGGAAAACAAGAAATTGAGAATCGAGACCGATTTCAAAGGAATAATTTCATTTGGTAAGATCAAATCAATTGCTCTCAATAGAACTGATGCATCAGAAAAAGAAGATCGATCTGGAACAAGTGGTTTAGATGAATCTGGAATGTCTTCATTTGATGATAATCAATCAGTTCGAACTGATCTTTCATTGACACCTCAAAAGGTTTGTATTTACAATCAGAATATAATTAATCTTTCATTAATAATCATTTTTTGTTTCCAGCCGGTTGTCGCAACTCGCGCAGTTTCAACAGCTTCAATCGATCCATTTGATCCATTTATTCGTGCTGCTCCAATGTTAACAAGTACTCCAATTGCAAATTCGTAAGTTGTTTTTTTCGAAAAATATACGCGGTCAATATTTTAGAACACGTAGAAATCCGGTTGTTGATGTTATCCCAAAAAAACGAGGAGGAGGTCGTGGAAGAGGAACTCGAGGAGGTAAACGGGGAAAATAGATCTGTTTATTTGAAAATCATCAATTTATCTTGTATCATATTTTGTCATGTAGAATTTTTATGAATGTGTTTTTCTTTTTTTCGAAAACATAGTTGAATAGAAATCTAATGATATAAGGAAAAAACAAGCATTTTTTTCTGTTCCCAATTTTTATTCTACCATAGAACCAAGCAAAATTGAAGAACCTATCCGAATTAATCCTCGATTTATTTTTATGATACTCAAAAGTGTACACATCTTCTTCAAAAAAAACAACACTTTTTTAAAAACATATAAAAAGGAGGAAAAGCAGTGCTTTTGTCTTCGTTTTTTGTGGACCTCTTGGGACAAACTCGCATTGCCTCCCTTATTCATAACTTCTCCTTCTATTTTTCTCGCTTCTTTTATTCAAGCAAGCTCTACCAATACTTTTTTCGTGTCCTTCCGTTTTCTTCTATCACCAAAGTTGTTTAACGTCGGAAGAAAAAAAAGAAGAAAGAAAATCGGTGAACGAAGAAAAATGCACAAATTTGTTTGGTGAGGAGCAAAAAAGGCAGAAGACGACGCGAGCACCATTATTATTGTTGTTTTAGACTTTTTCGAACAAGATTCACTATTTGTATTCTTTTTATTGGGAAAAAAAACTACAAAACACCAAATAGCTCCAGTGATTTCATCCACCTCAAAAATAATCGTTCCATTTTCATATTTATCTCAATTTTCCAACTGGAAAAATGTTCAAATTTCTACAGTATACTATTCCCAATAGGAGAAATTTCTTATGCAAAATAATTCATTCTAGCCTTTTGCAAACAAAAAGGTGAAATAAAACAAAAGGATTTTAGAACTCTGTAATTTTCCGTTCCTTTTCTCTTCCAATTTTTCCTCTCATTTTTCTTTTCTTTTTCATCCAATAAAACCACCATCAATTTGGCGCCAAACCTTTTTTTCCAGTTTGTTTTGTTTCCGATTTTCTTTTTTTTTTCTTGAGTTCAAAACTTACTACTCTACTACCACTTTTTCTTTTTTTTTATTCTTCACCTCGTATTTAAAAATCCCATTGTTATTTTTCGAGGACGAGACTTTTGTTTGAGGAAAAGTCAAACTTTTTTGCACTTTTTTGGGTGTCTAGAATTTAGAATCCAGAAAAAATTATAAGATTTTTGGTTTTAGCTCAAACTTTTGGGTCATGGCTGCTCATTTTGAAATAAAATTATGTTTTATTTAAATGTGAACTTGCTAATTTCATATTTTTATCATGGAAATGATATGTACCAACTAAATTTCTATCTTTTTTTAGCACACCTTTTATTCATACCACGCCCAGCTTCGTGCAAATTTACTTTGAAAATTGGCGGTGTGAATTTTGAAAATTTTTGGCGAGGTGAAAACAACTAAAAATATCACTTTTTAACGGAAAAACAAGCAAAAATTTTCTGTTTTTCATGAAAATCTCAAATTGGCGAGGTGAATTTCCGTAAATTTTTATTGGCGCCGTGCATATGCCTCACCCTGGGCGTGGTATGCTTTTATTCAAATTTCCTATGTTTTTCTTTTGAGCTACAGTATTCCAAATGCACTTTGCAATTTTCGAATTCAAATAAAATCCAATTATTTTGTCCGGTCTCCAAGTTTCAACGAATCGAATAAAACCAACATTTTTCCAGACTTTTTGTTCCAGAATTCAAAAATGTGAAAAACCATGAAAAATACGTTGATAATTATTTTATTTTTATTTTTGGTGAGTTAAAAATTTTAAATATTCATTCTAAATAGCCAACTATTTTTCCAGCAATTCTTTGGTTTTGCAAAATCATTAACTTGGGCTGGATGGTCACAATGGAGTCCTTGTTCAAAAACGGTTAGTTTTTGAAAGAGATAAAAACGAACTATGATTTCCAATTCCCTGGAGAATTATTCCAGTTTTTTTTTTTTTGATTAATGTGATCTATAATTTATTTTTGAAATATTGCTTTGCACTTTTTTCTCAAAAAAAAACAAATAATAATTGATTATTTTTTAGTGTGGTGGTGGAATATCTCGACAACTTCGAAGATGTTTAACATCAAAATGTTCGGGAGAAGCTGTTAGATTTCGAGTTTGTGCACAAAAAGATTGTGAAACAAAATCGAGATTGGCAAGAGATACAATTTGTGGAGGAGAAGAGATTGTATCAAAACAACAGGTTAGTCTTATTTTATTAATTTGGGATTTTTCTTTATAATGAGGCTTTCATTCAATATTCCGTCTTATAAGAATTTTTCGAGAATAAACATCAAGTTTCCGTTTTTCTGAGGAAGTTTTACTTCTCGAATCGCAAAAAAACAGCCTTTAAAAAAATATTTTTAATCGCGTAGTTTCAATACGGATTATCATTGCTCCTTTTTTGTTTAGATACTGTACTGTTGAAATTGTTGTGCATTAAATTCAAAACTTGTTTTTTTCAAATCTGAGCCTTGCATTTTCCATAACATTTTATGAAATGAAAGGTTTAAAATGATTTTTTTTCATTCTCAAAAATAATGCGATGAATCATTGTAGTGCGAAGTAGTTTGTCGATCTCGAAATACTCGAGCAAACTTTTTGTGGCGAGTTGATGATGGAACAGCATGTCAAGCAGCAACAAGTCGAGCTGTTTGTAGTCGAGGAATTTGCCAAAATGTTGGATGTGATGGATTGGTTGGTTCATCATTTCGATTTGATGCTTGTGGTGTTTGTGGTGGAAGAGGGGATACTTGTGAAAATGGAAAATTTATATGGAAAGTATCTGGTAAGTCTTTTAACGGATTCTCTGTGAAAAATGTTTAAAATTTGAAGATGAATATACACCTTGTGCATCAAATTGTAATGAAATTATTGATTGGAATGGTGCAAATGGACAGATTCCTATATCAATTTCACAACCAATTGTTGTTTGTATAAATGCAGCAACACATCGAGTTGTTCCTGAACGTTTATGTGCTGATAAACCAAGACCAAAGACTGAAATTAGGCCATGTCCAATGCTTATTTGTCCTTCTAGGTAAGATTGTTTGAAAATGGAGAATGAAAATTGCTTGAATTCAATTTCCTTACTAACTTTGATACAATTTCAGATGCCGGTAAGAATTTTTTGGTGAGAATTTGTGTGCCCATTTTTGGGATGAAATTAACTTATTTTTAACACTGTGTGACTTTACTCACTCTCGAATCAGAGTTGTTTCGGAAATTCATGAAAGTTTTAAAACATATTCGATTTTTTTCCGGAACAACTTTGATTTGCAACACTTTTTGGTTTGCATGAAATCATTTATCAATGTGAAACTTCAAGAAAATATTTTGCAGATGGATGACAGCTGATTGGACAGAATGTGTTCCTTTTTGTGGACAAGGAACTCGAAGAAGGGAAGTTTACTGTGTTCAGAATTCACAAAATATAACAGTTCATGTTCCTGATTCATTTTGTGAGAATTATACGAGACCGGTTAGTTTTTATCCATATTTTTTATTTTATGCAGTAATTCACGAAATAAAAAAACGTTTTTTTATTTCGTGAATTACTGCATTATTTTCGAAAATCTATCAAAATAATATCATGTTTTCCTTGTTTTTCAGTCATCCGAAGAAAATTGTATATCAACATCTTGTGGAAAATGGGAAGCTGGTAAATGGTCGAGATGCAGTGCATCTTGTGGACAAGGAATTCGTAGAAGACATATTGCTTGTATTGGAGGAACTGATTGTGATGAAACTGGAAGACCGAGAAGAGAAACTACTTGTTATGCTGGAATTCCGTGTAGTTTTAGTGCGACTAATAGGTGAGTTGGATAAGGAGAAAATACAATGAGAGTTTTTTTTTGAAAAGGGGTACGGTAGATAGACGGTGATATGCCAAATTAGATCAATTTTCCACAATCGAAAAAAAGGTGATTTTTACAATAAGTTTATCAGAGCTGTGCCCAAGAAAGATGCAACTCGGAACATTTTTTTCAGTCTGATATTTCAAATTTTAACAAGTGAATGAGTAACTGTTTGAGACGTTTTCTGTTCAGAAATTCATACAATTCTGGAAAACGGCACAGGTCTAAATTTGATAGCTTCTGATATTCTTGATTGGGAAATTTAATTTATCGCAAACAATTGATTTATCCAAAAAAAATCGTATGAAACTTTAAGCAATAATTTAGATTTTTTCTACCAAAGTTCTTTTTTTATTCAGATGCCACTTATTTTTTCATTTTCTGAAAATTCTTTGAATTTTACTTTTAGTTACAGTCGCTTCCTCTCGAGATTTTTTGAGTTCCTCTTTTTAGTCTCACAAGTTTTTTTGGAAGTGACCAATTCGTTTTTTGAAACATTCAAATCCCTTGGCGAGTCAATCGACTATCAATAACTCTTTTCTCTTCCTTTTTCTAAACTTATTTTTCCTTTTTTTTGTGAGTCGCCGCGGAATGAAAAAGTCATGAGAAACAAAAAAAAGAAAGAAAGGGAAGAAATATGAATCTGTGCCCTTATATAATGAACACCGAGCACTTGAGTTGAATATGAATATTCACCCAAATATCCAAGAATCAATTAAAAACCCCAACATGAGGTCTTTCTATTTTCCCAAGTACATATGTTGTTTTTCCCTCTTCTATTTTCTTCTTGATTTTCATTTTTGGTGACAAATTGATGCGCACCCAAACCACTTCACCACACAATGAAAAAAAGAAGAAAAAGAAGGAAAGAGCAGCAAAACCACGCCTATTTTTATGCTCTCAAAAAGTAAGAAGAAGTATACTATAATTGGGAGACTCCGCCCATCTCATTCATCTGAAATAAACCAAAAATAGTTTTTTTGCGCCTCCAATCTCCGAAAAAATGAGGAGAAAATATATTATGAACTTCTTAATTTTATTGTTTTTAATTTCTAATGTTTATGGATTGTAAGTTTTTCCGGGAAATCTAGGAAGGGGTTATTTTTGGAGTTTTCGAAAAATATAATTTCTCGATTTCACTGGAAACTTCTGAATCGGACCATCAAAATCCTGTTTGTTCATTGAAATTCAGTACATCTTAGGTTTTGATAATAAATTGGGAAATCTGAACTCAGTTTATTTTATTTAAAAAATTCCCCTTTTCTAAAAATTTTTGTCCGAAAACTCTCGGATTATTTAAAAAATTTTTTAGCATTACCTTGAAAATTTTTGAAACAAATTCTGAAGCACAACTCTCTCTTTTTTCAATAGTCCGTTTTTGTTCTTATCGCATTCCTTTTATCAACCAAAGTAGCCAAAAAACAAATAAAAGTCGCAAGGTCCCAAAGGAATCTAGTAGCACAAAAAAGTTATATAATTTTTGTTATCTCTTCATAATATGCATAACAAACAAAGAAAATAAAACAGAATGCTAAATAATTTGAGAACACTTTTTTGTTTCGCATATTTTTCATAATGACCGGAACTACAAATAGCCGTCGATTTTCTTCTTTTTTTGAAAAATAAATGAAGAACCAATTTCTTAGAAGTTCGCGGAGCAAATTAACAAATCTAATCAAAGTTCATTCATTTACATAATTAGATATTGTCCGAATTTCGGAGATTTTATTCAATAAAATCGCAACCGCTTAATTTTTCATTTGAATGTAAAAGTAGAATCTCAGATTTTGAAAATTGTACATTTTCTTTTCAATCCATCCATCTATTTTTTAGTACACATAGATTAACCTCAATGTCAAGTCATTGTTTTCTTGAGTTTCTTGCAATAAAACTACGAAAAAAGAAGGAGCAAAAAGAAGAACAATCCATACATACACTCATTTGTCATTTTTTCGAAAAAGAAGCGCGGATTACGCGAAAAAAGAAAATATTTTCGCCTTTTTTGTTGGCAAAAAAAAAGATGAAGAACAAAAAGATGAAACAACACTTGAACTATATAAAAAAATATGAAAAGGTCCCAAAATAAGTATTTATTGTTTATAGCATTGATTGGAATGATCGACCATTTTTGGATGGAAATACACTTGGAACAAATGACAATAATGACTGGAAAACACCAAAGTTAGTTTTGATCCAAAAAATTGGGAACTTTTTTGGAATCAGCTGGAAATTGATAAAAAAATTTTAGTAGCAATGAGAAACTTGGCTGAAAATCATAATTTCAGAATAGTTTTGTAAACCAAGTTATTGACCTCCAAAGTTCAAAAAACCATCTGCTTCCAAACATTTTCAGATTTTTATCCAGAATTCACGAGTTTACCATTTTTTTTTAAATTTGAAACATCTCAAAAGCATTTCAAATTTTCAAAATTAACTTCTCGTTACAATACGGTAATTTTAATCAAGATTCCAGCTTGTTCCGAAATGCATTCAATTATTTTCAAAACATCACAGAATACTATTCTTTCAGATTAGAGCCAGGTGAATGGAGTAGTTGTTCAGCTACATGTGGAACTGGTGTAATGTCTCGTACACTTGAATGTGTCGCTGTCGATCCAATCACATCTCGAACCGAAAAATTGCCGATGTCTGAGTGTCAAGGTACCAATTTTCCTTTTAGGAATTTGCGGACGGGCCTCGCTAAAAAATGACTGAGAAAAGAAAAGAAATTGGTTTTATTTTTGGTAGCAGAAAAAAAGTAGTATTAGTTGAAGAAGGAATTGAGAGAAACAATAATAGGGCAAGCAAGCGTAAAATAATTCGGAATAATTGAAGACTTCTTGTGAGAAAAATCGCCGAAAAACGAACCAAAAGGAAAACGACATTTATTTTTGGAATTTTGATGGAATATTTTAGTTTGTTTGGAACTTTTTTGAAAATTATATTGAAGAAATGATTAAAAAATTCCAAAAAAATTCAAATTTTCGAACTTGAGAAGTTTTTCAGTTTAAAAAATATAGATAAAAGCTTCACAGAAAAGAAAATTTTAAATTAAAAAATATAATAATAATCATGGTTCCGAAAAAGGACTTATGTGAGAAACATTTAGGCTCCTGGTTTTTGCAGATCACAGAATTTTGACTGATGAAATTACTTATGTTTTTTTTTCCAAAATTGTACCCACAAAGAGTTAGCTGAGGTATAAAGGTCCCCATTTTCATTGAATTCTCAAAGTGTTAGTTTTCTTTTCGTTCTCAAAAAACTGTAAAACATTCAAGGTCGAAATAATGGAAATGATAAAACAAATGATGAATCAGGTAAAATAATCAGTGAACATCGTAATTTCATTGTGAAAATAAAGTAAACCTATTTCACAATCATCAAAATTCTTCATATATTTTTGATTTAATTTGCAGGACAAGAACAACCAAAAATATTCGAATCATGTGAAGTGAAAAGTTGTCCACTTCAAGAAGACGCAAAATTATTGGAAGATGAAACACCAAATCAATGGAGATATGGAGATTGGACACAATGCAGTGCATCTTGTCTCGGAGGAAAACAAAAAGCTGCTTTGAAATGTGTTCAAGTAGCAACTGGAAAATCAGTTCAATGGTCACAATGTGATGCAAGAAGAAGACCACCAGAGAAATCGCGAGCTTGTAATCAACATGCTTGTCCGCCATTTTGGCTTTTGTCAAAGTTTTCGGAATGTTCGGTTTCTTGTGGAGGAGGAATTTCAAAAAGAAGTGTACAATGTGCACAAACTGTTAGTAAATCAGAAGGAGCTGATTCTTATATTATATTAAGAGATGAAAGATGTCATTTGAAAAAACCAATCGAACAAGAACCATGCAATGTTTTGTCTTGTCCAGCAACTTGGGTTGTAAGTTTATTTTTCAATAAAAAAATACAGTAATCTGAGGTTTTTTAAACCTATTCTCAAATTAACTTCGAAAAAATAGAATAACTTATGAAAATTCCAAACGTGGGATATTTAAAAGGTTTTTTCTCAAAAAGATTTTTTCCGAATTTTGGAATCCTAATTTGGGATAAAAGGGTGATATCAAAAAATTGCAGACTGCACAATGGACAGAATGTTCAAAATCGTGTGATTCTGGAGAACGACGTCGTCAAGTTTGGTGTGAAGTTCGAGATTCTCGTGGAAAATCAAATCGAAGACCTGAAATTGAATGTGATATGAATCAAAAACCACAAACTGTTGAAACTTGTAGTTTTGGATCATGTTCGAGACCAGAATTATTATCAAATCGAGTTTTTGAGCAAAATGTTGAGCAGAAAAAATTGACACTTGGAATTGGTGGAGTTGCGACACTTTATCAAGGAACTAGTATTAAAATTAAATGTCCCGCTAAAAAGTTTGATAAGAAAAAGATTTATTGGAAAAAGAATGGCAAAAAAATACGAAATGATGGTTCGTTTTTTTTCTTATTTTTTTTGTGTGAGAAAAATTCTGAGAATTGATACAAAAATGATTTTCAGCTCATATCAAAGTTTCTGGAAATGGGAATTTGCGTTTATTCCACGCAAGAATGGAAGATGCTGGAATATATGAATGTTTTACTGATAAACTTCAAGGAAATGTCACTTTGAACTTCAAATATCGTGATTTCCCGGCTTCTTCTGTTGAAGAATCAATTTATCGACAAAATCCAGTTAATCAAAAACAACAACAGCAAAATGTTTCTTCAAATAAAACAATGATTGAATCATTATTATCAGCTCCAAATGATGAAATCGCAAGAGAAACTTTGAAGAAATTTGGAAATGAAATTGTAACTCGATGGGAAATTGGAAAATGGTCGGAATGTGTTCAAAAATATTGTAATCGGGGAGGATTTCAATCAAGAAATATTGGATGTAAAGTTGATTATCATGGAGAATCGAGAAGTGTTGATAATGCTATTTGTGAAGCACTTGCTGTTCAAAGACCAGCAATTACAAGACCGTGTCATAGAGAAGATTGTCCGAGATGGGAAGCTTCGAAATGGTCAGAGGTATGTCACATTTTTATGGTTGATGGTTGTTTTGATATTCAAAAATTAAAAAAAAACACTTCAAAAAAAGTATTCCAGATTTTTCAAATATCTGGCACAGATACAGTTTTCCAAAAAAAAAACTCATTAGAAAAATTAAGAACACTCTACTTTTTTAAACTAATCTCTTTTTTTGGAAAAATTTTCGAATTATCTGAAGTTTGAATCTGGAAAAAAAACTCATCCATTTTGTATCTGTATTTGGAATTTTTTTCAAAATTGTGTTTTTTCAGTGTTCATCACAGCGATGTGTTTCAAGTATGTTGGCTCAAAAACGTCGAAACATAACTTGCAAATACATCAATGGAACTTCTGTCGATAATCAATATTGTGATATAAATGATCGACCAGCAAGTGTTATGGATTGCTCTAATCGTAAGTTTTTGTCTTTGTTCTTGAAAGTTTACAGTATTTTTTCACAGAAAATTGCAAAGCTGAATGGAAAACTTCTCAATGGGGTTCATGCAGTTCAGAATGTGGAACTGGAGGTGTTCAACTTCGACTTCTTTCATGTGTTTGGATTTCATCTGGTCGACCAGCTGGAAGAAATTGTGAACAAATGAGAAGACCACATTCAGCAAGAGCATGTGTTTCTGATGAACCATTACCACCTTGTATGCCAACTCCAAGTGCTTTATTATACCAAAGAGGTTCGCTATGTTTTTATATGTGTAAAATAAGCTCGTTGGAAGAAACTTTTTAAAAACTACAGTAATCTCAATTCAGAAGATAAAAATGTTTGGCTTTTATATTTTCAGTAAAATTATACTGTACTTTTGGATTATTCTTCCAAGGGTTTTTTCGAGTTTCTTCACAATTTATTTGTTATAAAATTAATTATAGGGTTCCAGGTTGTACGATTTGAGTATGTCTATTTTTAGAAAAAAAATTTGCACGATTTTTACATAAATCTCAGTAATTCATAGCCCTCTCTATAGTTTTTCTCAAAAAATTTCAATATTTTTTTCAGACGATTCGTGCCAGGACCAATCACGATTCTGCGATATCATCAAACTTTTCCACTCGTAAGTTTACTTTTTTATTTTTTTAATATTTACATTCGATCACTTGACTGTCAATTGGCAATCTAAAATATATTTACTTTTTGAGTTAAATCAAAAATAGATCTCATTCAAAGATCAAACTTTTTCCAGGTGTGACTCTGTGGAAGTTCGTCAAAAATGTTGTTCTACGTGTACATATATTGAACGGAAAAAGAAGTTTTAAAACTTGAAATCAATACAAAAATGATCCCACTTCCTGCCATTTATTACTTTTTCCATTGATTCTTCCTCTCCACCATTTTTCACTTTTTCGAAATTATTATTATTATTTATTGATGTTTTTTTATTTATTTATACAATTAGTAAATAGAATGAAAATGTTTTATTCTTTTTTTGCATGCAATAAAGTTTCACCCGATAAAAAAGACAAATGATACATAATTTGTAAATTGAAAAAGTTGAAAAATAAAGCAATTTGCGATAAAAGCATTTAGCCCGTAAATATATTCACAGTAAATTGTCATGTTTTCGAATTCATTTTCGAATAAGTCGAGAATACCAACAACTGGAAAATGATGGAAGAATTTGAACAATTGCATTTGTGATACATAACCAAGATGCAACATTCATAACATGTAATAAATCATTGAGAAGCGGTTCGTAACATGTTTTTGTATAATATGAAGGTGTTTCTGAACCATCAAATGGATTCGAACGACAACGTTCGATTTCTGATGGAATACAGCTGGAAAATATTTGAATTATTCAGATTATAGATGAAAAGAGAAAAAAGCCCTCTCATATTATATTTGAAAATTAAAAGAAAAATTGAAATTAATTCTAAAGGGAGAAAATGCCTAATTTCAATCTGTGCGTTTAACCCAGGTTACTGTAGTTTTTCAAACTGACCATGATTCTGGAATAAGGTTTTTTGGCGCTTTCTGATGCATATACCATTTTGAATGTCTCCAAAATTGAGCATTTTCTGTTCCATTCACTCCACAACATTTGAACTAAAAAAAGTAAAATGAAAATATTTCAAAAAATATCTTCGACTTACATTTGATTGTAAATGATCCCATGCTTCAGTAATTCCATTCATATCGTGAGTTCCATATAATTCACTAAGAGATGTTGACATTTTCAAATTCAGTGGTGTATAATTGGCAAGTTGATCACGGAAATTCAAACCAATTAAACCGCCAATTATGAGCATTACAGCAATAATGAAAGAAGCGACAGCGCACTGAAATGAAATATGATTGAAATGTGTTTTTTCTGAAACAGAAAAAGAAGCCTACCGAAGTTACAACACATCGTTTTTCCCTGAAGATTGCATATGTGCAAATAGCATAATTAATGATTGAAAATAATGAAATAATAACGAGAATTCGACCAACATCAACATATAAAGATGGAGAAACAAGTTCAGCATATTGAGATCGACGAGCTAATAACCATATTCCATAGCAAATACAACTTATCGAAAATAACTGAAAGAGAACAAGATTTTGGAATCTTTTTAGGTTAAGCGGATTCTTGGAGAATTGAACATAATATCTATTAGCTTAAAACATCTAGATTTATTTGGAGAAAAAATCTTAGAATTAATGCATTGAAAATTATGACAAGAAATTCAAGATTTCTGATTTTTTATGAAGCGAGACCCTCTCTCTCTCTAATAATAATAATAATAATAATAATAATAAGTATCTTATGAAATACAATAACTTTTATGATTGTTATCATTGAACCAGTTTGATTGCTTCAACAATTGTGAATATCTAATTACGACATTTTTATCATTTTCTTTTCAATCAAAAAATATATTTACTAGAAATTTTGTAAACTACAGTAATCCAATAATTTCACTCACCACTGAAATAAGAGCAGAAATAAAGAATGAATATCGGATAATTCGACCTTTTGCTCCATAAGCACTGTTTCCTAATGCTCCCATTGTTTTTTTTTGGTTTTCTGAAATTAAAAAAATTAAAATAAAGAAAAAAAAAATCAAAGTATCACTTTCAATAATAACAAAAAAATGAGGGAAAAGTAAGCATCGAATCAAAAAAAAATAATAAGAAAAAGGCAGAATAAAAGTAGAATAGAAGATGAGAAAAAGAAGAGGAAAAACCGGTCTGTTCTCGCGCGCAAACAGCAACACATGTTAGATAGGAAGCAATAGAAGAAATAGCAGCAAAAAATGAAGAAGAAGAAAAAATGTGAATAAGAAAAAAGTAATAGTTGTTCATTCATTCTTTTTTTTTGAAAAAAAAAACTGTGGTAAAAATATGAAGAAAAAAGTCTAGGCCCCGCCCATTTCTCGCTTTTTTTCGGGAGCACGCAAAATTTGACCCGAAATGTTTACTTGATTGTGGGAAGAAACGAAGAAAAGAATTTCACTTATGTGAACTTTGTTGCGATGAATTTTTCTCGCGCGCATGAAATAAAAAAGTGTGGGTGGAACAAATTGTGATAGTTCTTTATGAGTGACGGAATGTCTAATAATGATGATATATAGATAGATATGAGAGAGTAAAAGACGGAGAGAGAATGAAATTATTGTCACATATTTTTGATCTACTTTTGTTAAATAGAGAATATTTTCAAAGTTGTAGGATTGATGAAAGTAAATATTTATTAGAAAATAGAATCGGAGGCTTTTGAAAATTCAATTGAAAACAGTCTTGCGTGAACTAGTTTGAGCTACGCTCATTTTTAATTTTTTATAAATTGACATTTTCTATTTATATTTCTGAAGTTCATGTTAAAAATCTGAAAGATTTTTTTCAAACAACTTCAAAAGTAGTTGGAATTTCTACCGTGACATAAATATGGTTCTGAGAACTACAGTATCTACTTGGTCCGTATTACATTTCATAAAAATACAAAATATACTCGTTTTAAGTCACACGACATCTGTGAAAATTTTTATATAAAAAACTACAGTAACCATTTTCCAAGTTCCAAAAGTTCTACTTTTTTCGCGAAAATATGAAAACTGTGTTCTAATCTTTTTAGTTTAACTTTTCCGAAAAAATGACCTGTTAACTTTTTCTTACGACCATTTTTTCAATCATTTGTTTGTTTTCAAATGTGCAGTCAGTTTTCGCAATGATCAGTTCTAGAAAACCTTTGAAAAGTAGCACGTAGAATTTTTATAGAAAAAAACACAAAACAAACGTGTATTGGTAAATAGCAAATATTTACAGTAACCTTGGTTTTTCTTCGAAAAATTATCAGAATCATATCAAAGATGACAGTGAATCAAAAAATTAAAACAACTAAATAGGCAAACTGTTTGTTAAATAGATTAAAAATTCAAACATTCAAAGACGAGAAGTTATGTTTTTTCGAAAAGGAATTTTAAAAAAATGTTCCAACTTTTTTTTTCAAAAACGAAACTAAAGATTGATCAACTAAAACATTCAACTATAAACATTTTAAACTTTTTCTAAAATCCACAAAAAAACTCCGCCTTTTTAACAAATATGATTAAGATCATCATAATCGCAAATATTGACAAGAGCCAACTTTCGCAAAAATCGAAAAAAAAAATAATTTTTACCGTTTCACACTCTGCTTTATTTATTTATAACAAATTTTTTATCAAAAAAAAACGTATAGAAAGGAACTAATAAAGCAGGACATTTTCAGGAAAGTTATCTACAAAATTATTCATCGAAAGAAAAACAAAACTTGTTATCAAAGAAAAATAGGTAAATAGAACTACTTTTATATATTTTCTAAAAAAAACCGGAAGTTATTTTCTCTAGTAATGTCAGTAATGTAAAAATAAACAAGAACCTAAGCAACTGGTACAAGGCGATTTGGTTGAATTTGTCCGTGCGTTACTTTTTGCTCATAAAAACGATGACCATTTACATTCCTTTTGAATTCAAATGATCGATCTCTGAAATGTGATTCATTAATTAATTGATAATTAATAATTCTCAAATGATATTATAACCCGATAAAAGTATTTTCGACACACCTTCTTGTCAAAACTTTTTCAGCTGGACAAATATCAACATGTTTTTCAATAAAATCCATTTTCTGAGTCGATTGTCCATAGAATTCTCCACTATTTCCGATTCCATTTAATTCATCCTTCATTTTTCTAACAGGTTGTTTTTCAACATTTTTTTGTTGGAATCCATCTTGATAAGTTGTATTTGCATCGAATTTTGAATTTGAATAAATTGTATCCTCGCGAGATGCTGGTTTCACATTTATTACACTGGAAAAATGATTTTTGAAGCCTACTTGAAAATTCTAGATGATTTTCGAACATTTCAGAAATCGTTTAAAATGTAAAACTTCAAAAATCTGTAATTTAAAAAAAATCGGATTTTAAAAAATTGAAAAAAATTTAAGTGCCACCAAAAGTTTTCACTGAAAGACACACAATCCACTAGAAATGAACAGAAAATGAGTTTGTTATTCTTTCTCAACACCTTTCAAGTAATCGGAATTCATAAAAATCAAGAAAAAATTTTGAGTCTGGCAAAAGTGAAAAAACAAAATAATTGTTTTTGAAATCGCTCAGCCGACGGGATTTTCGAAAGAGTTTGCACACAACGAAGCAATAGAGCGCACATGCTGTTTTTGTCATTTGAAAATAAATGCGGGAAATCTGTTTTTTCCAGTGGCTGATGTGTCTTGAAACCTAATGTGGTGGACCAAAAAAATTGTGGCTAGTTGTAAGTTGAAAACTGATGACCAATTTTTATCACCTTTTTATCAAATCAATTTGAATGCACCACTTTTATGAAAAAAATCCAAAATGTTTGAAGGAAAAAAATCTGACTATTTCAAATTTTATTTCACAAACTGAAAAGCTCATATGTTTTTTTAAACTTACCGAATGTGTGGTTTTTGTTGATAATCAGCCTGCATTGTAGTTTGATCATTAAACATTTCACCATTCAAAAGTTTTGATGATTTAGGTCTAGTTTTTGATTGTCTTTCTGCTTGTTTTTGTATAAAATCAGCATGATTTGTTGATTGAGCATTAAAAGGAGAACTTGGCAAAATCTGAGATTCATTCATATTTCGAGCAGGAATTTGGCGAGATAATTGATCTTTTTTGTCATAATCTGATCTATTTGTAGTTGTTGCTTGAAAAGGGCCTGTGAATATTGGAGAATCATTTGGACCTCGAAAAGCTTCATTTCTCATTGCCTGAAAAAAAAACATTTAGAATTATAAAAAAAGTTCCCATTAAAAATTATCCGTTATTTTAAATGAAAGTTAGGAAAATTACGTTGGGAACTTGAGATAAATTTTCGGGAACTGTGAAAAATAATATGAAATTTCAAAAAATTGTCCAAATTGATTTTTAATTACCTTTTTGGCTTCAAAATCAGCTCGATTTGTTGTTGTTGATTCAAATGGTCCACTAAATATTTGACTATCACTTGGCGCTTTAATAATACCATTTCGAGCTATCTGAAATTAGAATAAACGCTTCTTCAAATAAATTTCAAAATTTCATACAGTAGGAAATTCATTATAATCTTGTTTCATAGTTGTTATTCCATCAAATTCTCCACTTTGCAAAGCATTCACATTTGGTCTCAAAACATTTTGTCGAGTTGCAAGTTTTCCTTGATAATCTGATTTATTTGTTGTATTTCCACAGAATTCTCCGGACGAATCCATTGTTGAGTCAACAAATTTGAACGGTTGATTTCGAGATACTTTTTTGATTCCAAAATCTTGTCGCGAAATTGTTGTTGCATCGAATTCTCCGGAATTATTCAATGTATCGTGTAAAGAACGAAATGATTTTTCTCTGAAAAAATATCAATAATCTTTTTTAATTCCGAAGCCAAGAAAAATATTTGTTACCGCGGTGCTTGTTTGGCCGGAAATTGTTTTCCATATTCAGTTTGATTTTCTTCAATTCCATCTGCAATTCCAAAATCAGCATCCACATGATCACATTTGTGTCGCCTTTAATTGTATTAAATAATAGCGTCATTTTTTTCTGAATTTTTTCATAATAAACTCACCCACACTGGCAAATTTGACAAATACATTTTTCAATAGTTTTTTCTTCACTCATACTTCGATAAAACAAAAAAAGTGTATACTTCTGTGAGTTGGAAAAAGAGGAGACATTGGTGCTTGGAAACGGATCCACGCATTGTTGAGCAAAAACGGAAAAGTAATAATGGTGAAAAAAAAACTCTGAAAAAAAAAGGGTTTGAAATTGTTGGACTTCCGCTCATTTCGTTGTGTGCATTTGTGCGTGAGTTACGGTGTTTGCGGCGAACAGTTTTTGAATTTTTCGAATTTGCATTTTTTTTTGTTTTCTTTCTTTGTTCGAACAACGTTCCGGCAGCCTTTTCCTAAAATATCTTCGTAAATCAGTTGTGAAATTAGTTTAATACTATTCGAATGGAGCTGTTACTGGTGAACACTCGGTCGATTGAAAAAGACTTATCGAAATCAACATAAAAAACAATAGCCGATAGTTCTCAAATATCTAAGTCGTTTTATTTTTCCAGGGAATAGTTTTTCTTTTCTTTTTTAATGTTTTAGTGATGTCACAGAGATTTGGAACATCATTTCGAAAAAGTTCATACATTTTAAAGTTCTCGAACGTCAAAAAACATTTTCTTCATAAGAAATAAATGACAGATAGTTTTTCCACATCGAGACATATGTTCTATTTCTCCGTTAAACTTTCAAATGTTTATTTTTCAATCATCTATGATGAAACTGTTTTAAAACGAAAGAACAACAACGTTTTTAATTCTGAATCAAAAATTACATTGTCGCAAAGTGTTATTCTGATAATTTTCAAGTCGTGGCTCTTTCAGTTGATATATAAAGTGTTCTTATTGAGAGAGCTGAAAAACAAGAGAAAGTAAGCCAGTGGGCAGCTGGTAAACAACAACTTATTTTTTATCTCTATTTGTCTGTGTCTCTCTCAGCGCCTCCACTGCGTCTCTGACTGGCGCGGCCACAAACATTTGAATTTCCTCCGAATAACCAACAAACAACAATATTTGTTGCCATTTTTGTTTCGGTGATACGTGTTTTTTCTTCAAATTTAAATAAGTTTATCGTATTTCTTCTATCCTCAGGGTATTTTTTGTTTTTTTTTTGTCTTTCATCTTTTTTTTCCTAGCTAGTGTATACTCGTCATCTTGTTTACGTTCTTTGCACATTCAATATTGACTATTCTAGTTGTACTGCTTCAGTTTTATTATTCCATTCCTATTTTTTATTGCAATAATTCTTCTCTGAAATTAGAAAAACATAATTTGGAGGAAGGCGTTCGTCACCATAATATTGTTTTTAGAAAACAACATCCAAAAATCAGAATTTTCTATGAAAACAAATTTTCCGAGAAATAGGAATGTAATTTTTGTTTGTGTTTGACACGTTTTCTTTGATTCATGATTTGTTAAATTAAAAAAAACAACACAGACAATCGAATGTTTTCATGTTCGACTATGTTTATTTGTTTTTAAATAAAACATTTTGAACGAATTTTCAAAAATCGTGAAATAAACATAGGTCCGAGGAAACAGTTTTCATTTTCAAATGTTTCAAGGTCATGAAAAACATGTTATTTGATAAAAGTTTAAGATCTTTTGGTCTTGTAAAATAGAATAAACAAAAAAGAGGAGATAGTTTGCTTGTTCTCACGACATAAAATAATCGAATATACATTTTTGTTTTCTTCAACCATTCCATTTTTATATTTTTGATCGATAAACACAATTAATTTTTTCAAACCGCAAACATTTTTTATATTGTATCGCTTAGTCACTCTGTTTATTTTATTTGAAAATTCGACATTTCATGTTTTTATAGACATGGTTTTTGAATCGTTGGTGGCTGATCTTCTCAATAGATTTTTAGGAGATTTTGTTGACAATTTGGATTCGTCTCAATTGAACATCGGAATTTGGGGAGGTTAGATAAATTTCAAAAATTTAGCGAAATTTATAAGAATCCAAAAAGTTTAGGTGATGTAAAGTTGGACAATCTTCAAGTCAAAGAAACAGCTCTCGATGACTTCGATCTTCCAATCAAACTAAAATACGGTTATCTTTCTTCACTGGTACTCAAAATTCCATGGAAAAATTTATACAACGAACCTGTGATTGCAACAATCGATGGATTGAATCTTATTGTTGTTCCAAATAAGGGAGTCGTTTATAATGAAGAAAAAGCGATGAAGAATTTGCAAGAAATAAAACAGAAAACACTTGCTCGACTTGAAGAAGCGAGAAAGGAGCGAAGAAAGCCAAAAGATCCACAAGCTGATACTTTTGCTGAGAAAATGGTTACACAAATCATCAAAAACTTACAGGTAAAAAATACAAAGAAAATTGGTCGGGTTCCATTTTAGAAATAATATATACCCATAGTTACTCATGTAGTGAGTCGCAATACGGTTAGGTGCCACGTTTTTAGAAATGATACATTTGTAATTTCTATATTTTGAAAATTACTAGACCGACACGCAAAGAATGGTATTCGACCTATTTATTTTTTTCTAATTTCTCACGTTTTCATTTCTCTTTCAAATTGTTTCATTTCATTTTTAGGTGTCTGTTTCAAATATTCATGTTCGCTTCGAAGATAAATATACGAATCGTCATCGTCCATTTGCAATGGGAATTACTTTGGAAAAATTGTATTTCAAAACAACCGATGAACATTGGAAAGAAACAATTCATAAGGATGTTGTCAAAATTATCTACAAATTAGTTTCGCTTCAAAATCTCGCAGTTTATTGGAATTCTGGAACAGAATTCATTTCAGATTATACTGATAAAGAAAAGATTCGAAAGAAGTTACAAGAAACTATTCATAATGGAAAGAATCGTCCAATTGGATATAAATATAGTTAGTTTTTTTTGTTAATATTTTAATTTGAATTATCTAAAGAAAAATTCTATTTGCAGTTCTTGAACCAATTCAAATGGAAGCCAAATTAAAATTGAATCAGAAACCTGAAACTGATGGAAGTAATTGGACAATTCCAAAAATCGATCTTGGTGTTGATATGCAAGCTCTTGCTCTTGCAATTGGAAAATTCCAGTATCAAGATATTCTTTTATTCCTTGAAGCACAAGAAAGATTCAATGCTGCAAGTCAATATTTGAAATATCGCCCAAATTTGAATGAATATCACGGACATTACAAAACATGGTGGAAATTTGCATATAATTCGATTTTGGAGGAAAAAGTTAGAAGAAGACGACACAATTGGTCTTGGGAAAGAATGAGAAAACATCGTGCATTAGTCAAGAAATATCAAACAGCTTGGGTTAAACATCAAACTGAAGCAAGTCCAGGAGCTGAAGTTGATAAAATTATTAAAGAAGCGGAGAAAACTTTGGATATTTTCAATGTCAATGTTGCAAGACAACAAGCTGAATTAGATATTGATAGACAAGGTTTGACAAGACAAGAAGATAAACCACAAGGATGGGTTGCTTGGGGTAAAAGTTGGTTTGGTGGTGGTGGAAATGGGCAACCACAACATGAAGGTGGAAAGAAAAAAGATGGAAAAGATATTGGATCTCAATTCCAAGCAGCTATGACTCAAGAAGAAAAAGCCAAATTATTTGAGGCTATTGATTATCAGGTAATTAAATATAATTATTTATTTTAAATTCCTTGCATTTTTTTTTGAGAAAATCAGATAATCCAGGATATTCTATTTCGTGAAAAAAAAATCGTGTTATTGAAAAAGTATTGAATTTACAGGAAAATATTCCACCTACAAATTATCCAAAAGAATTTGTTGAAAATAAGTTTGAATTCAAATTGGGACAAGTTGCAATTGTTGTTGATGGCGCTGTTTCAATGCAACTTCTTCAAATCAAAGCAAATGTTGAACAAAGACCAAGTGCTTCAGCTATGCAGTATGTTTTTTTCTGAACTTTTCTTGTGTTTTAATAATTCAATTTTGTAGTGTCGAATCATCAATTCAACAACTTCGTATGGATGGTTGTGGAACAGAAGTAATTCGTGTTCGAGATCCTTCAATTCCATGGATGTCATTCCTTCTTGATACAAATCCATTGAAAGGAGATTATGATCAATTGGTTAAATTGGCAATTGCTCCAATTAATGTTAAGTATCAAGCACCAGCAATTAATAATGCAATTGATGTATTCAAACCACCAGAATCAGTTCGTCTCAATCAATTAACAGCTTTGGCAATGTCTAGATATGAGGAAGTTAAAACAAGATCTGTTACTGGATTGGCACATGCTGTTGAACATCGATCAAAACTTGTTTTAGATGTTCAAATTCAACCAGCTCGTGTATATATTTCTGAAGGAGGAACATATAATTCAGAAAAACCAACATTATTGGCTGATATGGGATTATTATCTGTTGTAACAATTGATACATCAACTGTAAATACAGAAGGAAAAGATAAATTGGGTGCTTTAATGGAAAAAGCATATGATAGATTCCATGTTAAATTGAGTAATGTTGTAATTGCATTTGCTGATAATGTTGAACAAGCTGAAAAATGTGTTTTCGAAAAAGAATCGCCACTGCATGTTTTGAAGCCAACTGGATTGGATATTCAAATTCATAAGAGTTCGATTGATGATTTGAGATTGGCAAAAATGCGTGTACTTGGAGATCTTCCTGATATTGTTATTGGAATTTCTGATACTCGTTTAATTGGATTAATGAAATTAGGTTTATCAATTCCAACTCCAAAACCAGATGAAAAAACAGAAGCTGAAAAAGAATTGGAAGTTGTTCCAATAGCAAAAGTAAAAGATCGTGCAAAAATGAGAACAATTATGGAAGCAGAAGAAATGGAAGAAGATGTTACGCAAAAAGAAGAAGAAAATAAAGATAAAAAGAAAACAAGTGAACAACAAGTTCAAATTGAACTCGATTTAAGATTGAATCAAATTGGAGTTATTGTTTATCGAAATGATAATACTTTCTGTGATGTTTCGATTTTGAAAATGGCTTGCAAATTACAAATGAGAACTTTTGATATGGTTGTAACTGCTGAGGTTTGTTTTTTTATCTACTATCTACTATCTACTATAATATACTAATTGGGAAAATTTTTTTGGCAATAGTATGTCCGGGTCCCGTTCTCAAAACTGTGCGCATAAAAATTGATGATCAAAAAAAGAAAAAGTTTCTAAATGTTGGCAGCTCGATGCGCATCCTATTCATTCTTTCTCAAAATGTATGTGGGTGCGCGGAGAATCAAAAGTTTGAAAACTCCAATGTATTTTTCGATTTTAAAATGTGTCGCTCGACTTTTCTCAATTTCCAGAAGACCATTTTTGATGGGACCTTCACCATTCTATCCCAAATTCTTTCCCATCGAGGCGCTAATATTCGATTTTTCAAAAAGTGCGCGAGTTTTCACGTGAAAAATCAAAACTTTTTTCATGTAAAAAAGAATGATCACGTTTTTATTCCAAAAAAATTAAAGGACACGTTTCTTATCTGATCTTTCTGTTTTCTGAAAAAAGCGAACAATTTCTGGGCATTTCTCAATGTTTCTCTTTACCCAACCGGAAAAAATCAAAAGTAAGTCAAACTACTGTAGATGGCGTTAGCCAGCGAAGCCCTTCTAGTTTAATATATTTCCGAATAATTAAATTAATTCCAGCTTGGTTCAATTCGTGTTTCAATGCCTGAATTCAATTCTCTTGATCCCCGAAGACAACATTTATATATTATTGACAATGATGAACAAGAAGGAGCTTTGATGGCATTGAAGTTTGTTCAAGCAAATCCTGAATCACCATTTTTCGCAACCGAATATGCATTAACTGAACAAGCTATCGATTTCAATTTCACAAAATTGAATGTTTCTTTGCACCAAGAAGGAGTTTTGGAATTGAAACAATTTGGAGAAGATTTGCAATCACAATTAAATGAATTGCAAAAAGATGTACCAAAAGAAGAAAAAGTTGAAGAAACTGCAAGGAAATTGAGCAAAAAATTAAGTGAAAGTGTTTTATCCGTTGCTTCATTGGCAAAATCGACTGAAAAACGAGTAAGAAAGAAGACAGTTTCGAAATTGGAAGCAGAAAAGGAAATCGATACATCAAGAAATATCAAACAACGAATTAAGGCAAAGTTTGGAAGTTTAGGATTGTTGATTGGAACACAAAAACAATTAGAAACAAGATTGGCTATTGAACATGTAAGAATATTTATTTATTCATTTATTTATCATTGAAAAATATTTGATATTTTTTTACAGATTAATGCAAATGTAAAAATGACTGAAAAAGCAATGGAAGTTGTTGCCACACTTCAAGCAATTTCTATGGAAGATTGCACTCCAAATGCTATTTACAGGTAAAATAATTAATCTTGGCATTCTGATTTAAAACCAAATCTTTATAGAAAACTTCTTTCTGTAACTGGAAATGAAGATATGCTTCGATTCGATTTTGTTCAACATCAAAGAACTGATGAACAAAGAAAATTGATGAAGACTTCTGATGTTGATATGGTTGTTAAAATGAAATTGGCTCAAATGAGATTCGTATTTCTTAATTTGTGGTTGGCTCGTTTAATGGCATGGATTGCTCCATTCCAAAATGAAGCTGTTCGAGCAGCACAAGTTGCACAAGCAGCAGCTGCTGAAAAAGCCGCCGAAGCTGCACAAAATGTTAAACAAATAATGGAACAATCACCGCCAAGAATTCAATTAGATGTTCTTCTCGAAGCTCCATTCATTGTTGTTCCAAGATTATCAACAAGTCGAGATGTTATTGTTTTGCATTTGGGTAAATTAGCTGTGAAAAATGATATTAAGGGAGATGCTAAACATCCAAAAGCTGTTCTTGATCGAATGGATATTAAAATGACTGATATCACTTTTGGAATGTAAGTTTTTTTGAAAGTGTTTCTGTGAATATTGTTTTGTTTTCAGCGGTGTTATGAATGAAGATGTTTCTGTTGTTGCTTCGACATGTTTGATTCTCAAACCATTATCATTTTCATTAGCTCTTCAAAGAAATTTAACATTTTCGATTGCGAAAGATATTCCTGAAATAGTTGTCGATGCTCATTTGAACTCAATTGAAGCTGAAATGTCAGATGCTGATTATAAAACAATAATGCAAACACTTTCTGGTAATTTGGCTGAAGGACAGGATTTGGCAGTTACACCGCCGCCTCCTCCACCATCTCAACCATCGGAATCAGCAACATCAACACAAACAAATAAAGATAAAGAAAAAGTTGGAAAAGATCGAGAAGCGAATGCTGGTCCACCTGTTATTGAAAAACCACATACAAGAATTGTTTTCCAATTTGTTCTTGATAAAATTGCTGCAGTTTTATATGAAGGAGAATCAGAAAATGGTGTTAGAAATGAGAATCATGCGTTTGCTGCACTTCGATTGAATAATGTTAAAATGTCTGGAAAAATAGCCGAAGATAATGCAATTGTATTTGCAATGTCATTAGATGCATTTACAATGGATGATGAAAGAAAAGGAAAAACTAAAATTTCGAAATTGATGGACAAAAAAGGATCAAAAGATGAACGATTTTTGGATATGAATTTCAATCAAGATGCTGAAGCTAATAAACAAATCCGACTCAAAATGACAGCTTTCTTCATTTGTTTATGTCCAGAATTTCTTGGATGTCTTACAAGATTCTTTGCAGTTCCACCATCTGAAGAACAATTGGAAAAAGAAGCAATTTCTGCTCCAGGTAAACTTTTGATTTTTTTAAATTATGTTTCAGTAATAATTTATTTACAGCTTCAAAATCGACAGCTACAAAATCGGATACTCCGGCTGGTCCTCCGGCTCCAGCTGGAACAATTGCAATTGATTGTGATATGCATGGAGTTGAAGTTATTCTTGTTGAAGATTCAATGCATCCAGAATCTACTCAAGCACTTATTTTATCTTTCAATGTTACTGCTGCTTCTCATCCAAATGAACAAACAAAAGATACAAAAATGAATTTGGCTATCGAAAATCTTGCAATTTTCAGTTCATTTTATGAATTGAAAAGAAGAAATGAAGTCACTTATGAAGTATTATCACCAGTTACAATTCAAGCAATCGTAAATATGAATACGGAAAAAAAGACAACTGATGCTATTTTGAAAATGGGTGCAATGGATGTTAAAATGTCACCATCAATTATTCGATTATTATCTGCTGTTTCAGCTGAATTTGCGAAGAGCAGTGCTGTTGAATCAGAATCAAAATCACTCAAAATTTTGAAATTGAAAAAATGGCCAAATTATTTCGATGCAAAACCAATTGATCATAGAAAATACTGGTTTTTCTCAGCTCCAGTTGCACAAGAAGCAATTGAAGAAGAAGAAGAAGGAAATCATGAGGAAAATAAAAGTATTTCGAAATTAAATGAATCAATGATTGGAAAAGAAACAGCAAAAGTTGATTTTGAACGATTTACATTCACTTTGGAAGCTGGAACTGGTGCTATTCCAGTTCCTCTTATTTTTATGGATATGTTAATCAATGCAGAAGCACATGATTGGTCATCTGCAATGAGAGTTTCTTCAGATGTTTCATTACAAATGTCATATTATAATGAAGCTGTTAGTGTTTGGGAACCAATTATTGAACCAGTTGAAAATGATAATGGCGAATTTGAAAGATGGAAATTATCAATGACAATGAAATCAAGAAATAAACAAGATTCGAATGATAATTCTCCATTAACTGAAGTAAAAATTGAAGCTGATAAAATGCTGAATGTAACTGTTACTAAATCTCTTCTCACTCTTCTCAATAAATTAACTGAAGTATTTGCATCAGCTGCCAAGAAAATCACACCAACTCAAACAAGACATTTACCTGGAATATCACCATTTGTTGTATTGAATGAATCTGGAATTGCTGTCAAAGTATTAGATACAGAATCAGTGAAAGTTAGTGAGAATGGAGAATCAGTTGATGCAACACATGGAGCATTTGTTGATGTTTATTTGAAAAATGATTCGATTAAAAATAATGAGGTATTTTGAAAAATGTCGATATTATTTTAATTGAAATTCATTTTAATTTTCAGAATCAACGACTTGCAATTGAACAAGAAGAAGTCACTGGTGAATTGAAATTCGAACTTGCTGGAACTGTTCGTGAAACAAAAATTGGAAGAGCTGAAAAACGAATAATTCATTTGCCAAAAGTTAGTGACGGAGGTCATAAATGGTTATTGGTTGCTGAAACAACAATTGAAAATAATCGTCGACTTGTTACTCTTAATTCTCATGTCAAAGTTACGAATCATTTGTCATATCCAGTTGAACTATTTTCGAAACGCGATACAACTCTTGATCTTTTTGGAACATGTGAACCAAATGAGACAATTCCATTAGCTGTTCCATTATTGTTTTCACCATCTGGTGATATTTTCTTGAAACCGGTCGAAGATCAGTAAGTTAACTGTAGACAACAATCTTTCAAAAAAAAACAACAAATTTTTAGATATGAGGTATCATCTGAATCACTTTGTTGGCATGGTTTTGAACACAATAAAAGACAAGCTGTTAGATGTGAAACAGATTCAAATGATGGAACATTCAAAGGAATTTATATTGATAGTGTTGTTCATGAAGAAAAAGTTCAAGACGGAGCTGATAATTTCACAAGTATTTATCATGTTCATTTATATCCACCACTCGAATTCCATAATATTCTACCAATGAATATTCAATTAATTACACCAGAAGAAAAGATTTTGGAAGCTGGAACTTCAACTTTAATGAATGTTGTTGCCGGAAGTCCGGTTAAATTATCAGTTGAACATCTTGGAGAAAAATTCATTCTTGATATGCCAATTCCAGATGAGAAAAAAGATTTGGAAGTTGTTGCATTGAATACTGAAACTGGTTCTGATGAATTGGTTTGTTTATTTTTCAATGAAAATATAATAAATGTTGTATGTTTCCAGCTTCTTGGACTTCATTGGACAAGTGAATATGGAACTCAAAAAGTATATCTTTATGCTCCATTCTGGCTTGTAAATAATACATCGAAAATTTTGAGACATGTGGTGAGTATTTCAAAAATGTTATTTTGTGCTTGTGGGAATCTATTTTCGGGTTGCTTGGGTTAAAAAGGAATACCAAGATGATTGTTTTTTGTTGAGTCTTTCTCAATTTTTCTTGATATCCCTTTTTAAAATTAATAACAACTTCTTTCATTTGTTTCCACCCTTCTGGTGTTTTCAATTTATATTGTTATGAAAATATTCCTTGAACAACTTTACTTTTTTCCCAAAATAGGAAAGCAGCGGAAATATGTTGACGAACACAGCGCGCGGTTGTGTTCCTTGTGGAAAGAAGTCTGTCGTCTCATCGGAAGAGGTGCGTAATTAATTCAAACTTCGGCTAATATTCTTTATCTTTTTTGATTATTTTCCATTCTTCTTTGCTACCAAAATTAGCATGACAAAATATGGTAATGTTTAAACAATTTAGTTATATTTATATTTAGAATGATGCCGCTGTTCTCCATCGAATCGATGATAATCCTATTATTTTACCATTCCCAGCAACTGATTTGGCAAAGAAGAAAAAGGTTTGTTCTCGATGTTTTTTTCAAATCTGAAATGAACTGTTTTTTAGGCTCGTGTCAAGGTTGAAGATGAATCTGATTGGTCAGAAGAATTCCCATTGGATACAGTTGGAAATGCTGCAAGAATCACCTGTAAAGGAGCCAAAAATGATTTTGATGTGAGTTGGAAGAAGTTTTTGGAAAAATTATGAAATTTATCCAGGGAGCCTAAAGAATTGAAACATTTTTGAATTTCTGTTTTCTTCGAAATAACTTTTTAATTGTCAACGTGAAGTTCACGTTAAAATACGATGGTTTAAATATTATTTTATTTAGTGAATTTATTTTCTGACTTTTTCAATCGAGCAATCCATATTTTTTGAGAAAAAATCCAACTTTTCGATATTTTTAAATTAAGTGTTTTTAATGATCTTAGAAATAGGAACTGGCTCGAAATCTAGGAAAATTACTGTTCTGATAATAATTTGTTTTTCCAGTTGACCGTTGATATCAAATTGTGTCAATCTGGATTAACAAAAATTGTAACATTCCAACCATTTTATTTGGTATCAAATCTCGGAAAATATCCAATGGAAATTCGTGAAGATGGTCAAACTGAATGGATTGATGTTCCAAGTGAAACTGTAAGTATTTCATTTTTGTTATCCTCATAAAATTTATTATTTCTTCAGTGTGTTGGAGTTTGGCCAGTTGAAAGAAAAAAGAGAAAGTTGATGTGTGTTCGTTATAAAGAAGAAAAAGATGAATCCTTGATTTTCCCGATCACTGAAAATTTCGAAACTCTTTGTCATATGGATGGAGATAATATTGGAGTTGAAGTATCGGTTTCAACTGGTGAATCATCTGTTGCAATTCATTTAACACCATTTACACCTGGAATGTGTCCTGTTCAAGTTATGAATAATTTACAGGTTTGTTTGAAACATTTTGAAGAACAAATTGAGAAGAATTATTTAGATTCCTGTTACATTTGGACAAAAAGGTCACAAGAAAACAACATTGAAACCAAATGAATTTGCTCATTTCACATGGTCAAGTGTAATTGAAGATAAATTATTCGAAGTTGATGTTGGAGATTGGCATCATACGGATAAATTGGATCAAAATCATTATGGAGATCTTCAAGCTGACAAAAATGTTCGAAGATTCAATTATTATTCGAATTTCTTGATTGGTCGACAAAGAGTTATTCTTTTCACACCAGATGTTGATATTGCTAAAAATGCATTTGGTTCATGGGAAACTGATAGTGTTGATATGCAAGCTGAAATCAGTTTACAAGGTTTTGGATTATCAGTTGTTGATAATATTGTTGGAAGAGAAACCATTTATATGGCAATTTCAAGTTCTGATATTTTATGGGAAGAAGAAGTCAAAAAAGGAAGATTTAAACCATTGGCTGTGAAATATATGCAAGCACTTGAAGAAAAATATCAAAGTTCGAATGGAACACCAGCAGATACATATGAGGTATTATATTTTGAAAAACGAAAACGGCTTTCATTAATACTTGACAAATTTAGGCACTCGATTCTTATGAAGTTAATATAAATCGAATGATTTTGAAAAAGAAAAAAGGAAAAGAAGTTAAACTTCGAAGAATTTTCGAGCAAGGATTATGGGCAAGTTACGGTAAAAGTGCACAAAGAACAAGACTTCATGCAAAGATAAATCATATTCAAATTGATAATCAGGTAAATTAGTAACGATTTTATTTGTGGAAATATATATTCACAATAATTTCCAGCTCGATGCATGTGTATTTTCTCGTGTTTTGTCAGTTGTTCCACCACCAAAAAGTGTTATTGTCGATAATAGTAAGTTTTTCAATTTGTAAATGTCAAAATAATCTATGAATTATTTCAGCACCAAAACCGTTCATTGAATTATCTTTGCTTCAAAGACAACCAGAATTCTCTTCGATTGTTGAAATTGAATATTCTCATGTTTTAATTCAAGAGTTCTCAGTTCAAGTTGATCAAGGATTGATTAATGCATTGTTATTGTTGATTTCTGGAGAAGTTGCTAGAAAACCATATGGTGTAAGTTTTTCTTCTGATTTTTTGAATTTTTTTTTTTTAAATAATAATTGATTCTCAGAAAGAAATGTTCGATGAAGATTTGAAAGTATGCCATGTTCCACTTTCTGAAACAGCTCGACAATACAAATCATCTCGACCAAAAAGTTTTTACAATGATTTGCATATTTCGCCAATTATGATGCATTTATCATTTTCGCAAGGTGGAACATCAGGAGATGCAGCTTCAAGTGGTGCTTCAATGCCAATTCAATCTGAAATGATCAATGTTTTATTGAGATCTGTTGGAGTTACATTAACTGAATTACAAGATGTTGTATTCAAATTGGCTTATTTCGAAAGAAAATGTGTATTTTATAGTCCGGATCAATTAAATGCTGAAATCATTTCACATTATGCAAAACAATTTATCAAACAATTATATGTTCTTGTTCTTGGTTTAGATATTATTGGAAATCCATTTGGACTTGTTCGAGATTTGTCTGCTGGAGTTGAAGATTTATTCTATCAACCATTCCAAGGAGCAATTCAAGGACCAGAAGAATTTGCAGCTGGTGTTGCACTTGGTGTTCAATCAATGTTTGGACATGCAGTTGGTGGAGCTGCTGGAGCTGTTGGAAGAATTACTGGAACTGTTGGAAAAGGTGTTGCTGCATTAACATTTGATGATGATTATATGAAGAAAAGACAAGAAGATTTGAATCGAAAACCACAAACATTTAGTGAAGGAATGGCAAGAGGATTCAAAGGGCTTGGAATGGGTGTTGTTGGTGGAATTACGGGTGTTGTAACAAAACCAATTGAAGGAGCAAGACAAGAAGGAGGAATTGGATTTGTAAAAGGAGTTGGAAAGGGTCTTATTGGTGTTGTAACAAGACCAGTCTCTGGTGTTGTTGATTTTGCATCTGGAACATTGAATTCAGTAAGAGCTGTTGCTGGAACAAATAGAGAAGCTGGACCATTAAGACCACCAAGAGTTTTAAGAGCTGATAAAATTGTCAAACCATATTCAAGTAATGATGCATATGGATTCAAAGTTTTCAAGGTAATCGAAAGCTGAATAAATTCCTTACTTAATTCAACTTTTAGGACACGGATCGAGGTGAAATTGCAGAAACTGATGAATTCGTTACTTTTGCTTCGATAAACGATAAAATAGTATTATTAGTAACTGATCGCCGATTGATTTTGAGTAAAAGAACTGATGTGATGGGTGTTTGGAGTACTGATTGGAGCACCGAATATTTGAAAATCAAAGAACCTGAATTTATCAATAACGGTGTCAAAATTCTACTAAAAGTATGTTTTTATCTTCTTTTTTGAATTCAAAACTTATATTTTTTTTAGGAGAAAAAGAAAGGTTTCCTTGGAATCGGATCAAGTGAGGGTAAAATTATAACGTTCCAAAATGCTGAGGTAATTTTTGAGTTTTTTATGCCAGAATAAAATTCAAAATCATTTTTTTCAGAAAGTTCATCAAAAATTGCTTGCCGCCTATAAAAAAGCTACTCTTGTCTAAACCTAACTAAATACATTGATTTTTCGAAAAGTTTAATAATATTAATATTTTTCGCATTTTTTCGGTCCCTTTTCGCCCTTTAATTCTTTCAATATATTTTTTCTATGTTCATATTATAATCCCCAAAATATTTTTACGGTTTGTTATGTAAACCTCGAATAAATGTTTTAAAAGGTCAGAAAACACTATTTTTTGGTTTTATTTTCGTAACTCTGGTATTTTGCTGCTGTGAAATATATTTAATTTTCTGTTATTCCGGAAAACCACACATTTAAATGCATTTTCCCTTTTTGGCTCATGAAAATTGCTGGCCGAGTTTTTCGACGAAATTCTAGGCCATACAAATTTATTGATAGATATTTTCGAAAATTCAGGTTTTGATGGAAAAAGAAAACGAATTTTCATTTCCTTGGGCTCGTATTGGACATTTCGAAGCTGATTTTATCACTGAAAATAATCAAAAAGTTAAATATTGGGTGGAATTGACAAGAGCATATATCAAGTTAGTTTTGAAATTATTTTTTTGTTATATCTGGAATTTTCAGAGATTTTGAATTGATTTCTGCAAGTCGGAGGCCAAAAGAAGAAATTGAAGAAGTTGAAGAAAAAATTGATGAAATGAGTTTGGAAAATCGTGAATGTTAGTTGTTTTTACATATCAAAATTTTGTAATTGTATGTTTGAATTTTCAGCAACAAGTCAAGAAGCATTTGAATGCACAAAATCTTTAAAATCTCCGAAAAAGTCTTATAAAAAAGGCAAGAAAAATGCTCGAATAACAACGGCAGATTATCGAAGTTTTAATGAATATTGGGAAGTTGCCGGAACATTTCTGATTTATTCGACTTGGTTTGCTGATTTCAAACATGAAATGGATGAAAATAATCAGAAAATAATGAAAAGACAAATTGAAGATGCTGATCCGATTTATCTAATCGATCAACACATTGATTTTTTAGTAAGTTAAAATTAAAAGATTTTGAGTTTTGAATAAAATATGAATTTTTGAGGAAAACGAAAGATATCGAAACGTGACCAAAGAGTTTGTTGAACAGAATCCAGATGTTACATTCGATAAACTCTTTGAAAAGCATAGTGCAGAAATTTTGAAATTATCAAGATCTGATTTCGAGAAATTTCGAACGGAAACAGTAACAAGAAGAGCGAAAACGCTGATAGGAAAGGTTTGTTTGATTTTACATCAAAGGAATTATCATTAAAATTATGTCACTTTCCAGATAGAACGGCTTGGTTTTGTACCTGGATATACAGAAAATTCATTTCCAACTTCTGTTAAGAATTCTGAATCTAAAGGAGAATGTGTATTTGATGATTTGGTTTATTCGATTGATGATAATTTTTCGAGACCACAACATAATTATGCAAAAGAAGAAGTTATAAAAAAAGAAAATGATGAAAAGAAAGATATTATTGAGAATATATCAATGGAAAATGGAGAAATAAACTTCAATTTTGATCCTGAAAAAGAAGCATATCTTATTGCTTCAAATGCTAAAGAATTATATGCCAATGACGATGAAATTATCAAATATTTTTATCAAAGATATCGACTTTTTTCGAAATTAGATCAAGGAATCATTATGGATAGAGGTATGTTTTGTTTGAGAATATGAATATTTCGTTTTTTTTCCAGAAGGTTGGTTTTCTGTTACACCTGAAAGAATTGCACAACATATTGCCGAAAGAGTTGTTATAAATGGTGTTAATATTGTTGTTGATGCATTCACTGGAGTTGGAGGAAATGCCATTCAATTTGCTCTGAAAGGCGCATATGGTAAGCTTTTTTCGGATAAGAATTGTTGAGGAATTTTATCAAAATGATTTTTATTTTTAAACAATAGTCCACGTGAAATATCATTTTTCATATGGAAAAACAATTTTGTTTTGTTTTAGTGATTGCAATTGATCTGGATCCAGTTCGTTTGAAGTGTGCTCGGCATAATGCTCGTGTTTATGGTGTCGAAGATTATATTTCATTTATTTGTGCTGATTTTTTCCATGTTGCTGCAACTTGGGCGAATGATAAATTGAATGCGCCAAAAATTGATGCCGTTTTTCTGAGTCCGCCTTGGGGAGGACCATCTTATTTGAATTCGGCAGAATTTGATTTGGCTGAAGGATGTTGTCCAGATGGAATTGAGATTTTCAATGCTTCAATCAAATTATCCAAAAATATCGCATATTTTCTGCCGAGAACTACTAAAATTAGTCAGGTAATCATTTTTATTACTAAAAATAACATTATGATTAAAAAAAATAATATTTAAGTTGGTCAATTTGTCACATCAAATAGATGGAAAATGTGAAATTGAACAATCTTCTTTAAATTCAAAAATCAAAACAATTACTGCTTATTATGGTGATTTGGCCGCATGAATCTCACATTTGTTTATTTTTTGTTTGTTATGGTTGTTATTCTAATACGTTGATAAACTTTTATGCTAAATGAGATGATCGAGTTTCGGTAACTCCAGTGCAACGAAATAAATCTATAAAATAACATTTAATTATAAAAACTAAAATTTGGCGATTTCAAACTTCGAAAACCATATCTGTATTCCGAAACCATTAGCAATAAAAATAAAGTATCAATAAATGGATAAGAACTAACTCCAGCGATCAAAAAACTTGTTTCAATGTCGATTTGAATATTCAAAAATGGAATTATAAAAAGAGGTAAAAATGGAAGATGTATTATAAGAGAAGGAGTTATTAACTGAAATTATTCTTTTTTTTTTTTTGAAAAAAAGTTTCAATTCACCTGAAACACAAGAACTTTGTATAATTGTTTTTGAAGTCTTCTTTGACTTGTGCTAAATAATTCAAGTTTTTCCTTCATTTTCAGTTTCATTCGAATTGTGCAAAAAACAATTATAAAATATTGTGATGCCAAAATTGATGATAAAATAATCATACAAAGTAAATGTGGAATTTTAACTTTTTTCTCGTTTGTCATTGAATCAATTTCCTGAAAAATTCGGGGTAAAAATTAAAATATGATAAATCAAACTAACATATGCGACAACAATATAAGATGATATTTCATCAATATTTGATCTATAAATAGCGAATATTTTATTTCTATAATATTCAATTGCATATTTATCGTTCATAAGAGTTAAACTAGCTACAGTAACCCATAATATCCAAATTGACAAACTATAAAAAATCCATAAATATAGTTTCTTTTTTTCAAACCATGAAATTTTTGAACTATTAATAAGAATAAAATATCGATAAATAAATTGAATTGCAACAAAACTCATTGTACAAGCATGCATTCCACTATAGCTTGATAATAACAATGTTTTTACTATTTTTGGTGCACCAAAAAATGTTTCCAAACTAAAAAATATGAAACTACAATTATAAGAATAAACAATTGGATGAATTAAAACATCGAGAAAAGTTAGAAATATTCCCATAATTGCAAATATAATTATCATATTTCGATAAATTTTTGAAACTGATTTCGCATATTTTGATGTCAAATAAATTAGTAAAATATTTATGAAAAATGTTGAACAAAAAAATATAATTGAAATTATTTTTTGAATGTAATGAAATTGCATTGAAACTGATTGTGAAAAATGTAGAAGGAAATGCAAAAGGAAACAGGTGAAAATTCGAAAATTGATGATTAATTGGAAGTTTGTGTTTTTTGATTTTCTGACACGTTGAAACATGATTATTTCAAAAATAACCGCGATATTTTATTTTTCGGAATTTCATAAGAAATGAAACGTGTTCTAATCTCAAAATTATTAAAGACGTGACATATTTTTTTCGGCTTATCTGATCAAAATATTCTAAATAAAAATGGAATCAAAACCGCAGTTCAGTATTTATTTTTTCAATATCAAAAACTAAAATATATTAGAAAATAAAATCATGGCGACGAATAATAATGCAGATGGACAATCAATGAAACGTTTGAAAACAAAGAAGCTTGATGTTGGTAAGTGAAATGACATCAGAAATACTGATTTCTGATAAATTTGAAAACAGATCAACAACAACAAGTATCTATAAAAGAATCATTGATGAAAAAACCAAGAGCGCCCGGCACATCTGGTAAGATAAAGATCATATATTTATGTGGTAACAAAATAATTTCTTTGACAGATCGACAACAATTATCATTCAAAGACAATGGTATGTCAAAACGAGCAAGAGTACCTGGACAATTATTAACAGGTAAAATATAAAGAGAAGACTAAAAACACTAGAAAGTATAATTTTTTGTAGAACAACCACAATTGTCAATAAGCGAAGGACCAAATGAAGGAATGTCACGACGAGGAAAAGTATCGAAAAAAGAAGGAGGTATTTTTGACAATTAATCATAACAATATTAATTTTTGTTTATTTCAGAACCTCTATCAGAATGTGGAAATGTAGGATCTCGTCGTGGAAAACCAGACAGAAGTCTCAATGAGCCAGTTTCAAAACGTGGTGGATTATTCAAAAACAAAAAGTCGAAATTCCAAGTTTCTTCAATGGAACAATCTTGTTTATCTTCGAAAGGTTCAAAAAATGATGTGTTATCTCCTTCGATTCGTGGAGGAAAGAAAACATCGAAATCAAGTTTGTAATTTGAAAACTAAAAATTTTTTTTTTCGAATTTTGAAATTTCAGAGAGAAAAAGATCAAATGACACGGATGAAAAAGGTGGAAAGAGAAGAAAAAAGAAAGGACCATTGGAAATTGGGGGAACAATTGAAGGAACTGGTGGAACAAGTTATCAAGTTCGACAATTAATTCGAAATCCAGGTTCAAATGGTGAATATTTGGTATCAGATGGGTCTACTGTAAGTGACACAAAATTGAAACACACCTGCAGGGAGTGTCCCAAAAATTTTGGGCAGTGTGGAAATTTATCACAAAAAAATTTGCAGCGTGAAATTTTGAAACTTTTCATCAAAATCCGCAGAAAAACTACATTTTTTTCGTGAAAAATGTACAGTGTGGCTTCTGAAAAATTTTGTACAGTGTACTTTTTGGACACGTCTCTTCAGGTGTGAATTGAAAGAATTTTTGAAACATTTTATGATTAAGGAAAAAATATTGCGTCTCAATTTGAAAGGAAAATTCAAATTGAAACATACAATGGATATTTTGAAAAAAGTTGGAGGAATGAATCAACCAAATGGAAAATGTTTCTTTATCGAATTCAAAGAATTAGGATCCTACTTGAAATATGATGTTTGTTTATTTTTCGAATGGTTTTGAAAGATTGTAACAATATTTAATTTCAGTACTTGGTTACATCTGTCTATAATATTCAATTATACGAAGTTCACACTGCTCTTTTCAAAGTTTTTAGTCGTGATTGTACTATGAACATAGCTTATCAGACTTTAGAATGTTTGAGAGCATTACACAATGCTGGATATATTCTTCGAAATGTTAAACCAACTAGTTTTTCCATTGGATTTGGTCAAAATGAGCGTTTAATTTGTTTGTCTGATTTTCGAATTTCTCGAAAACATATTGAGGATTATAAAGTGATAAATGCTCGACCAAGAGTTGAATATATTGGAACTGCCAGATATTCAAGTATAAATTCAATGAAATGTATCGATCAAGGAAGAAAAGATGATCTTGAATCCTGGTTGTATATGATTATTGATTTACTTGATTATACTTCTGCTTTGCCATGGAAAAATAAGCCAAAAATCGAGGTTTTGCCATTAAAAGAGAAATTCTTTTGTCATGGAGATCCAAGTGTTTATGTTTATGCTCCAGAAGGTTTTAAGAAAATTGTTGACTTGATTAATCAATGGAAATATGACACTCTTCCTGACTATGTGTAAGATAAGATATACTCATTTTTCTTTTTATCGAAAAAAATTAATTTTTTTTAGAAACATAATATCAATCCTCGATGAAATTTGCAGTCAAAATTCATTAGATCGAACAGTTTGTGATTGGATTGGAAAGTTTCCGAATTTCTCGACTACTCAAAAAGCAATTGATGATGCTGCCAATAAAACTAGTGATAATATTTGTAGTGGAGTTGATGATTTCGAATATGGACCGCCGAAAAAACAAACAAAAGTACCGAGAAAATTGATGAATCCAGGAGATACTATCAAAAATGGTCAATTCACTTGGAAAGTTGTCAATGTTTTGGGATCTGGTGGATTCGGTGATGTTTATCGTGTTTATAATGAAACCGATAAAAAGAAAAAGGTTGGTTTTCTAGAATTTTGAATAGGATTGAGAAATTATTCTTTCAGAACTACGCATTGAAAACAGAAAGTGAAGACGGAAGAAAGAACATGCTCCGTTTAAAAGTGGAAATGCAAGTTTTAATGGCAATTCAAGAAGATCGAAAAGCTAAAGGAGAAGACAAAGACAAACAGAAGACAAATAAACATTTTGTCGAGTTTGTTGATCGTGGAAAATCTGAAGAATTGAGATGTAAATTCATTGTAATGAGCATTGTTGGTCCATCTCTCGATGATTGCCGCAAAAAATTCAATGTTGATTTGTCACAAAAAGCAACACCATATATTATCGCAGTTCAAACATTGGAATCAGTTCGTGATCTACATAATCTTGGATTTCTTCATCGAGATATCAAACCAGCGAATTTTGCTGTAGGAATTGGACCAAACGAATATATGGTTTATATGTTAGATTTTGGAATCTCAAGATTATTCATTGATCAAAAAACAAAAGCATTGAGAGCACCTCGAAAAAAGGTCAAATTTTTGGGAACTCTTAGATTTGCATCTCGAGCTTGTATGAAATGGGAAGATCAGGGAAGAAAAGATGACCTCGAATGTTGGATGTATATGATATTTGATTTGCTTGATGAAGACAATGGAATTGCATGGAAATGTATGGTTGATAGAGATAAAATTGTCACACTCAAAACTGCATTTTTTCAAACTAGTTGTAAGTTTACTTTTTGAGAATCTGAGTTCCAAGTACATGTTTTATTTTCAGTGCCGACGGTTTATGAAATCATTCCACGCCAGATGAAAACACTCGTAAAATACATCGACACGTTAGAATTTCAATCAGTTCCTGATTATGTTTACATTGAGAATCAACTAACAAATGTTGCTGAAAGTATTGGGCATTCTATAAAAAATAGGAAAAAAGTTGAATGGCTTGGAAAATTGAAGAAAGACGAGTCAGAACAAACAAAAAGAATTGACGACGAAAGCGAATCGGAAAGTGAATCGAAAAAATCAAATGATTCTGAATAATTCATTTTGTTGTTCACATGAACTTGTTCCCACGAATTTTATTTTTGAACGTTTCACACATTTTACATGAGAAACAAAAATTCACGTGGTCACGGAGAAAATTCGGAATTCGAGCTTCAACTGAACACATTTATTTGTCGTTGTTTACTGTAATCGCGAATTTTGTGTGCATTGTCTGCACACACCAAAATATGACACACTCAATTTGACGGGCTGTTTTTTGTTTTTTTTTCTTCGACAATATTGTCTTGTCGAAAATAAACGCAGTTAGTTTATTTGTTAGTGTTACCAAAATGTTAAGTATAGAAATTTTTAACTTTTTCCAAGGTGATGCAATTTTCCCGTTGAAAAATGTATTTTGTGAATTGAAAAATCATTTTTTTTCTAGCTGATTATTAGAAATACAAAAATATTTATTAGAGAGAATGAATTGCGAATCAATCATCACCAGATCCTGATTGATCATCACTGCTACTACTATCTGATTCTCCAAATTTGTCTTTAGCTGGCAAATTCTTCAATTTACCCAGCCATTCAGCTTTTGCTACTCCAATTGGATGTCCAACATGATCTGCTATTTTCGAAATTTGATTCAATATATATTGATAATCAGGAATTGATTGATATTCCAATGAATCAATATATGTCACCAATGTTTTCATTTTTGTTGAAATATTTTCGTAGACAACTTCTACTGAAAAGAAAATTATTAGAGTTGTTTATATTGTAATAACTAACATTTCAATTTGAAAAACAATGTTTTGGCAGTGATAATTTTCTCTCGATCTCTCAATTTTCTCCATGGAATTCCGTCTTCATCATCGATTATATCAAATAGCATATAAAGCCAACATTCCAAATCATCCTTTCTTCCTTGATCTTCACATCTCATACAAGAACGAGATGCATAACGAACAGTTCCAAGGAATTTGACTTTATTTCTTGGTGCTCGAATTTGTTTGGTTGTTGGATCAACAAAACTTCGACAAATACCAAAATCCAACATGTAAATCAAACTCTCATTATCTCCGATTCCAACAGCAAAATTAGCTGGTTTGATATCTCGATGAAGAAAGTTTAGTTGATGTAAATCACGTATTCCTTCAAGTGTTTGTTGTGCAATATTATATGGTGTTGATTTATTTGATAAATCAACATGATATTTTTTGCGACAATCATCAAGAGATGGACCAACTATTGTCATTACAATGAATTTGAATTTTAGTTCTTCTGATTTTCCACGATCTATTAATTCCACAAAATGTTTACAAGGATTTACAACTTTTTGTTTTCGAAATTCTTGGATTGCCATTAACACCTGCATTTCAACTTTCAAGCGTAACATTATCTTTTTTCCATCTTCACTTTCTGTTTTCAATGCATAATGTTTCTTCCGTTTGTCTTGTTCATTATAAACCTTATAAACATCGCCAAATCCACCAGATCCAAGTAATGAAACAACTGTCCAAATATTCCTTCCATTTTTAATTGAATCATGTCCAGATAATATTTTTCGAGCTGCTTTGTTGGGTTTGTTTTTCTTTTTTTCATTTCCATATCTGAAATATAAAGTATTGTAATATATCTAAAATGAATTGAAATACATACTCGAAATCATCGAAACCCGAACACATATTATCTTCTGATTTATTATCAGCTAATTCAATTGCATTTTCAGCTTTCGTTGCATTCACTTTCAATAACCAATCACAGCATTTTGTGTCATATTTTTTCTCGTTCGCAAAATCTTCCAACATTGTTTTCAATGCTTTATAATCCGGCTCTGTTTCGTATTTCCACGAATGAATCAAATCCAATATTTTTTTGAATTCTTCGGGAACAACTTTATAGACTTGAGGAATTTTGTGATTTTTCAGATCTTCTTTGGCTTTTATAACTCTTGGTTTTGGTAGATATTTCCAAAATATTCCATTTTCCATATCAAAAAAGTCATAAACCATATAAAGCCATGATTCCAAATCATCTTTTCTTCCTTGATCATGATCGAGAAGTGCAGCAAGGCAAGAATATCTTACTGTACCTAAATAACGACATCTCGGACGAGCTTCCTGAAAAGAAAAATGATTTTATTTATTATCAAAAACATTGTACATTTACGAACTCTTGGTTTTTTAGTAGTATCATCAATGTGTTTTCGAGTTATTCTAAAATCTCCCATATAAACCAAATGTTCACTTGATCCATATCCAATACTAAAAGTAGCTGGTTTGATATTTCGATTGATATAACCTGCATTATGTAGAACTTTGATTGCTTCTAAAGTTTGAAGAGCAACATTAAGAGAACAATCTGGTGTGAAATTAACAGCTAGCGCTTTTTGAACTTCGACCAATTGTAGATGATGAGCATTCAGAATTATAAACTGAAAAAATCGTTTTTTCGTTTCATTTTTTTTAATTCGTATTTCTTACATTAGTTTTCTTTTTGATATAAACCCCATATTCAATACATTCTAATAAATAACTCCGAAGACCATCATCAGTTTCTACTGGAACTTCTTTTTTCAATATTTCACTCATATATTTGAGTTTTCGTTTTTTGATTGGTTCCAAACGCATTACACGATCTTTATCTTCTTTCATATCTTTCACAAAATATTCAGCATATGGTCCTGCATTTCTAATAAGTGACGTCACTTTATACGATCCTAGTCCATCAATAATTGCTCCAGCTTTGAATGGTCCATATTTCTTTGTTCCCGATGTTCCTTTCTTTCTATTTCTATCAGATCCATTCTCTCTTGGTTTTGGTGTTGGCGATTTTAACGATTTATCTTTTTCTTTTTCAGGCGTTTTTGGATCTGAACTTATTTACTTATAGTGTATAAAACAAATAAAGATAAGTAAAACTTACTCGATGATGACATTTATTTTAGTTTATCTTTATAAACGTCTATTTTTTGATCAACCACTTTTATTCGATTTATTCTTCAAAAATAGCCGACTGAGTCATAATTTGGCCTCTCATCGACATCACGCAAAAACACGTGTAATTTAAAAAAAATTTAATTTAATCGTCTTTTTTATCTCTCTTTGATCTGAAATGAATCCTTCTGATAGAAAAACTAATCTACAGTATGGCTTTTAACTATTTTACCTCTTGTAAATAATCTTTCAAATTTCCTGTAAACCCTCCGCATGTTTTTAAATTTTTCACTCTTTTTTTCAAAAATGAGTGTTTTCGAGAATGATAAAAAATATTGTTACACTTTAAAATTTATTATAAAATATCGATTTCAATTGGAATTTCAGGTGTTGTTGTTCTATCTAATTCTACAATTGTAGCTATTAATGCATCGATTCTCGTACAATTTTGATCCCAAACAAATTCGCCTACATTTTTCTTCTCCATTTCAATAAACATATTCAGTGAAGATTCTTTGAATTCGATTTTTCTGTATTTCGGTTTTGCTGAAAAAAAAAAGTTTCGCTGAAAAAAAGTTGTTTCTCTCACTCACAATCATTTTTCTTTGTTCTTCGACTTCTTTTCTCTTCTGGCTTTCCGAGTCCAATAAATCTTGGAGGTTCGTGTTTTTCTGAAGAAAAAGTCATATAACAAAAATAGAAATTTATAAAAATGGATTAGTTTTAAAACTAACCACATAAAATAGTGACAGATAATGTCAATACACTTGGTGGTCGATTTCGAATTATTCGAAATATCCCCATAAAAAATATCTGAAAAAAATTGATGAGATAGAAAAATAGATCGATGAACAGAGAAAAAGTGAGACAAAATCTTGAGATTTGACAATGTTTGCACAATTTCTTTGAGTTTCTAGAGGTTTTAAACTTGAGGAAAAAAAGAAAAACATTCAAAATAAATTTGAAACAGATGTGAGATAATTTTTTTTAAACTTTTGTTGTTTACAACAGGATTTTGAATTGGTTTGTGAAAAATGAAAGCAATTAACTGGTTAAAAACATCACTAAATGTGTAAATAATCCGTAGTTTTCAATTGAATTAATGAAATTGTTCACAATTTTCCCAAAAGTACCCCTTCGTGACTTCGCAGTGCAACAGTGGTTACTGTAAGTGCGAAAAACACTTTTTTGAACACCCGCCACACAAGTGTGTGCATTTGTGCGTCGTTGTGTTTGCAATCAATCAATGACGCGGCTTTCGTCATTCGAAAAAAAATTTGTGAAATTTTTGCTTTTTGTTTGAAACGTCTCGTTTATCGTCCAAGATTTTAATTGTTAGTTATTTAGTTAATCTAAAAATTATATTCAGATGGTCACAATGATAATTTTGAAATTTTCATTCGAAAATAACTTGAAATTTTTTCTGTAATTGGCTCAAAAACTTTGTTATCATTTTGTTTTTTGTTTATTCGTCACATTGATCTTACGTTTTTACGATCGTATGAAAATAATAACAAACAAAATCAAATGTTTCATTTACAGATTAGTCGAATTTGGAGATTAAATGTCGATTCATTACAAGTTTCGATCAACAATCGATTATAAAACCTTACAACTTGATGGATTGAATATTCGTGCGGAAGATTTGGTGAGAGAAATATGCACGAAAGAAGGAATTCGTATTGATATGTTCAATTTGCTTCTACAGGTTGGTGGTATAAAAGTGCTTTGATTCATTAAATTAAATCTTCAATTTTCAGAATGCATATACTGAAAAGAAGTACAGTGACGATGAATTAGTACCACGAAATTCTTCAATAATCGTTCAACGGGTTCCTAGAAGTGAAGCTACTAAAGTGCAGAAAGTACAGTGAGTCTAGAAAGTTCAAATTTTCTTTAAACATCTTGTGTTTTTCAGAAGTGGTGTTAACAGTGGAATGGTTAATCAAGAAGCAAGTGCATCACCTTCGGATTTAGCATCACAATTTGCATCGGTGTGTTATTTAATTTTACAAATAAATTTCTATATTTGATGTTTTCAGGTTGATTATGAAAATATGGATGAGAACGAGAGATTGAATCATGTCAAAGATGTATCTACACGAGCATATGACCCATCAAAGTATGTTTCAATTCAAACAATTTTACTTGTAATCCTAAAACGTTTTTTTAGTTTTCGAAAAAAGACTGGAGGAATTATGTGTGGACCACCACCCCCAACATACACATGCAATCGTTGTCATCAACCAGGACATTGGTACAAGAACTGTCCAATGGTAAAATATTTTTTTGAACCGCGGTTTGATCTATTTGTTATAACTTATAAACGGATAAATTGCCCAAAAGTAGAAGAGTTTTCCACCAAAAGTGGAAAATCGTCGAAATTTGAGCATTTTTGTCCGTTCACTTTTTTTGTTGAAATCGATGTTTCTTGTCGATGCTATAGAGATAAACCTACAATCAAACTTGATATTTGTTCTTAGTTGTTTTCATTGTTATTACTTCTAAAGGTTCAGTAGTAAGTTTGATAGATGGGGAATGGTGCGATTTCAGCAAAGCACGAAACGAACAACTGGAATACCTTCACAAGAATTAATGGAGACAACACCAGATGATCCAGCTGCGATGCTTCATCCAAGTGGAAAATATGTTATACATAAAATGCATTGGAAAGCTCGTCAAGAGCAAACGAGAAAGGTGATTTATTGAACATTTTACGAATTGAGACAATTTTAAAAAAATTTGATAATGTCTTATATTTTGATCAAATCCCCATTTAGAACGTGAGCCTGGCCATTTCTAGAATTATTATCTCATCATTCTTTGGAGAAAAAAATGTTCGACTTGAAATTATCAAAAAGTGAGACAAAAGAAATAATCAGATTTCGTTGTATATGTAATGTATGCAAATTTTTATATAGAGAAAAATTGCTGAAGCAGGCAACGTCTTAATTTCTCAGGTTAAAGGGTCCTATTCCAATTGTGATAAGCAACTTTCTGAAATAACCAAAATCCTTTTTTCCCTTTTTTAGAAAAATCTAAATCCGCAATGGTTTCATAACTCCAAATAATGTTATTTCTCGTACCAACGGAATCTTTTTTAACTCATGTGGGCAGTTTATATTATAAGAAAATTTCAAACGGGCCTATTTTAAATTCACTTTTTTTGTAATTTTCTACGAACAGCTAGATAGTATTCATAAAACTCTGATTCTGGAAGTTCAGTTTTTCCAATTCCAATAATGTTTTATTTTTAGACTGAAGATGGTTCTTCATCTCCTTCAATAAATCAAAAGCCGCCTTCTTCGCTGATTTGTCCATTATGCAACAATCTCATCAAGGTAATTTAAAAAATCCAGAAAAATATAATCTTATCCTAAACTTTTCAGGAAGCAGTTATAACTTCATGTTGTGGAAGCTCATTTTGTAATGAATGTATTAGTCAAAAATTGTTAGAATCCGAAACCGCAGAATGTCCTAGTTCCGATTGCGATAATGTTAATTTGAATATTGATGCAATTGTTCGTAATAAAAGTTTACGTGATGCAGCTGAACAATGGTTGTTGAAAAATGGTGGAGGAACACAAAATATTGAAACAATTGCAATTGCAAGTGGTTCTGGAACACCTCAACAACAGCAACAAGAACAAATCAGAATAAGAATTGGATTACAACCAAAACCAACAACATCAATTAATAATCAAATATCTCCAGCTGCTGTTAATTCAACAATTGCAACTGCAGCAACAACATCATCAGTACCAACAGTTCCAATTCCAATAACAACACAATCAGAATCAGTTCTTGCTCCACCAGGAATAACTATTACATCAGCAACAACTCAAGTATCGCAAACTATAAACATTCCATTAGATACAAGTCTACCTCCGCCTTCTCTTCGACCAGTTTCTGATCCAATTGGTGTTCCTGGATTACAACCTTCTTATAATACAATGCAACCAGCGATTCCTGGAATGGGAGTTATTCCACAACAATCACATATCATGGCATATCCGTAAGTTTATTATATTTATTTTTGACTTTTGAAAAAAAAATCAAATTTTTGTTTTTATTCAGAATGAACAATCAAATGTCAATGTATACGAGTACACATGCGCATGCCGGGTTCAATCCACCTTCTTCTTCATCTTCACGTCCTGGTATTGATTGGGATGCATTTTTGAGAAATAAAGATAGTTCACGATCTCGACATGATCACAGAGATCGAGAACGGGATCGGGATAGGGAAAGAGATCGAGCGAGAGAAAGAGAACGGGAAAAAGAACGAGCAAAAAGACGAGAAAGAGAACGAGAAAGGGAACGAGATCGAAGAAGACGAAAAGAATCAACAAGTGAGAGTGATGATTCTGAAGTTTCTGAAAATGATGAAAAAAGAAGAAAAGAATCGAGAAGAAGTAGTGAAAGAGAAAAAAGAAGTCGAAGACATGAAAAGAGTTCGAGAGTTAAAGATATGAAAGTGAGAAGTTCAAGAAAATCAAAAGAAAAGGATGAAACTAGAAAGAAGAGAAAAACTGAAATACAAGAAGAGGAAACACCGAAAAAAGAAAAGAAAGAAGATGATGATGAAGCTGAAATTGATGGAGCATTGGCTGAATATGAAAAATTGAAAGAAACTACATCTGAATTAAGTTTGGTTGATGAAAATAAAACAGTTGAATCATCCGCACAAGAAGATACTTCTCATGAAACTGATTATAATGAAGAAGAGGAAGAAGATGAAGAAAAAATTGATGATGAGGTTGGTTGAAATTATTTTATCAATATTTTTCTATAGATTGTATTTTTCAGGCTTCTGAGACTTCTGTTCGTAGAAATGAAAATGCGGAAACTGAGAATGACGATAAAGTCGAATTAACGACTGAAACAAGTGAAGCTGAAACAAGAGAGGATGATATTACTGAATTATCAGAACAAGTGAATACAAAGTAAGTTACAATATTTCCATTTAAAATCTGGGTGATGTTTGTTTTAAAAAAAACTGACAATTTTTAAAGAGAATCGCAATCATCAACGGCTAATTCGGATAGTGATGCAAAAGATATTGCTAATTTGGAAATGAAAGAGAGTTCGGTTGAGAAAGATCAAGACGAAACAAGTTCATCGAAAAAGAAAGAAAAGAAGCATAAAAAACATAAGAAAAGCAAGAAAAGTAGAAGAAAGCATGAAGATGATGAAAATGAAGAAGATGGAGAGGAAAAACATCGAAAGAAACATAAGAAACACAAAGAGAAGAAATCGAAAAGAGAAAAAGATTATGATGAAAATGAAGATGAAAAGGATAAAAAGAGAAGAAAAAGAGAAAGAAATGATAATGATATGGAAAATGATGAAGATGTAAGTTTTTATTTATTTTATTTGAAATTCAGAAGAAATTACGTTTTTTCCAGGCTCCTCGTGTAAAAGTTCGAAGAAGAAGTGAAGAAATCGAGAAGGAAGAAAGAAAAAGAAGAAGTAGTGAGGAAAAAGAGGAAAGAAAAAGGAAAAGTAGCGAAGAAAAGGAGGATCGAAAAAAGAAAAGTGATAGAAAAGAAAAAGGAAGAAAAGATGATGATGAGAGAAGAAAAAGAAGAGGAGAAAGAGAAAAAGAGGATGAAAAGGAAAAACGAAGTGATCGAAGAAAAGAAGAAGATGAAAAGGATAGAAAAAGAAGAAAGGAAAAAGAAAGAGAGAAGGAAAAGGAAAAAAATTTGAAAGAAGAAGTTGTTGAAAAAAAGAAGGAAGAGAAAACACCTGAAACGAGTAAGAAACCAGTTTCATTTATGCTTACTAGTGCAAAGAAAGCATTGAATGCTGAAAAGCAACTGGAAAAGAAGGAAATCGCTCCAATTCGTGAGGTAAGTATTTTTTTACATTTAATCAAATAGTTCTTCCTCAAAGTTTGAACATAATATTATGGAATTTCCCGAAAAGTTCTACAATTTTTTTTCGGTTTATCAAAACAAAAAATTAATATCAAGTTTCAAAACAAGAAACTTTTCACGAAAAATGTTTCTTCTTGTTGTATTTCTTTTTAACATTAAAAAATGTGATTTTCAGAAGTCTGATACGAAGAAAGATCGATTGGCGGATAGATTGACTCGAAAAGCAGATACAGATTTGGAGAGCAATATCAGTGAAAGTGGAGATGAGAGAAAGGTAGAGTTATTTATTTAAACTTTTCACTTAAAATTTTATTTTTGTTTAGAAATCACGAAAGGCTCGAAATGATTCAATTTCATCAAAAGACGGCGAAAACAAGGGGATTAATCTCAAAAACTCAAAAATTACGTTTAATCTGTGAATAATTGGACAAAAACCAATCTTGTTAGAATTTTTAGCGTGTTTTGCACATGGTTCTTTTTAATCATTTTTGTTATCCGGTATTTATTATTTTTTTATGATAATCCGTTCGTGTAATAAATATATTTTGGTTGAAAAATATTTTTTTTTTCAAAAAATGGATTGTTTCTGGTTTGTTAGCCGAGAATTTTTAATACCTAAATTTCTAGAATTAATTTTTCGGAACTTTTGATTTTAATTAAAATTTAAAGTCTGTTCACCGATTTGTTCGGTTCGAGAAAATGGATGTTTGTTTTAATGATTTGAGTGATGGATGTAAAGCGGCTGCAAAAAAAGCATCTGAAGGTTCATTTGTAATGAAAGATGCTGTTTTAATGGAATACAAACATCCAGATGGAAGTATTGGAAAAATAAGAGCACCAATTGAAGGTGTTGTTAGTTATAGAAGAAATGTTCAAAGAGGTGCTGTTCTTGAAAATGGACAAACAATTGCTGTTGTTCAAGATTGTCAACATGCAATTGTTATCAAAGATATGTGTGCAACTTGTGGAAAAGATTTGAGAGAGTTAGTTCAACTTTTTTTTCTGGCATTCGACATTCGAAAATTATACATCCCACAAGCTTCTAGAAAATAGTTATGACGTGGTAAATTATGTTTTCAGTCCTCAGAAATGACAAAAGATAGCCACAATTTTTCCATATTTTCTGCTGAAAATTGGAATAGAAAGTTTTGTTCAGAACAGTACTATTTCTGATTTTTGAAAATTTCAATAATTTCACTATGAAAAAAAGCTGTCAAGTAATATTTTCGAAAACATTTTCAGAATAATTACGGTATTTAACATTTCTGTCAGTTTCGCAACTTCGCCACGTCATGACTTTTTTCTAGGCAATTGTGGGACTTGAAAATATTTGAGAAAAAAGTTGAGATTATAAGTTGACGGCCTACAACAATGAAAAATATTCATGATTTCAGAAAAGGAGGTCGAGCTGGTCAGAGAAAAGAACAAACAACTGCAAATGTTTCAATGATTCATCATGTTCCAGAATTGATTGTTTCAGATTCGGTATATATTTATTTATTCATTTATTTATAATCACTCTTATTCCATTATAGCTTGCTAAAGAACTTGGATCTGCTGATGAAACTAATTTAATATCAACTCGGAAACTTGTTCTTCTCGTTGATCTTGATCAAACCATCATTCATACATCTAATTTACCATTCACAATTGATCCGGAAAAACACGAAAATGTTACAAAATATAACATTGGAAATGGTGCTTATACAACCAAATTGAGACCACATACAATGGAATTTTTAAATAAAATGGCAACAATTTATGAAATGCATATTGTAACTTATGGACAAAGACAATATGCTCATCGAATTGCACAAATTTTGGATCCAGATGCTAGATTATTTGGACAACGAATTTTGTCGAGAGATGAATTGTTTTCGGCGCAACATAAAACTAGAAATCTTAAGGTATTTCTTTTTTAAATTAATGTTTTTTAGATCATAAATTTTAGGCATTATTTCCATGTGGAGATAAACTTGTTGTTATAATTGATGATCGTGCAGATGTCTGGCAATATTCAGAAGCATTAATTCAAGTAAAACCATATCGTTTTTTCAAAGAAATTGGGGATATTAATGCACCAAAAGATTCAAAAGAACAATCAATTCCTCCAGCTCAAATTGAAGATGCGGCACACGAAGATTGTGTTTTAGAAGAACTTGAAAGAGTTTTAACAAATATTCATGATAAATATTATGAACTTCATGATTTAAGAACTGCTGACACTCCATTAATTGATGTTAAACAAGTTGTAAATGATCAACGGAAAAGAGTTCTCGATGGAAGTGTTATTGTTTTATCTGGAATTGTACCATTGAATGAAAAAATTGAGAAAACTGATGTCTATCGGATTTGTATTCAATTTGGTGCAAAAATTGTGGATTCTGTGACTGAAGAAGTTACACATGTTGTTGCTGCAAGATGGGGAACTACGTAAGTTATTTTAGATCCAATTTATTGTTTAACAAAATTCATAATTATTATTTTTCAGAAAAGTTCATCAAGCGATTAGACTTAATAAACATGTCGTAACTGTTCAATGGATTTATGCATGTGTTGAAAAATGGTTGAAAGCTGATGAAAAATTGTTTGAATTGACAAAAGAATCAACTCCGCCTTCAGGAAAACCATTAGGAAGTAAATATGTGAATGATTTGGCAAATATGAGCACTATTGGCAAAACAACTTTGGCTGATATGAATAATGAGGTTGGGGAGTTTTTTTTAAAGAAAAAGTTGTAATTTTTGATTTTTAGGTTGACGAGATTCTTGGAGATGATGATGACGATGAAGAAGAGGAAAATAGCAAAGATGGGCAAAGTAGTTCGATTAAAAAACCGACAGAAACTAATGAAACAAACAGAAAGAGAAAACATGCACCAGAAGAAGAATATCAAAGTGTAAGTATTTCGAAAATAAAAATTTCAAAATTTGATCAGAATCGGATAAGAAAGTGCTCGTCATATTTCAAAAGATCATATTTTCAAAGTAAAAATCTAGAAATTATTTTAATAAATTATATTTTGTCAGGACGAGGAAGATATTGGAGATGACAATGATGAGACACCAATGTCTTACGCAAAACTTCTCTCAAAATCGAAAAAAGCTGGAAGAATTGTTGGTGAAAATGGAGACGACGAAGATGAGATTTATGATGTTGATGATGCGGTAATTTTTTTCTTGAAAAATATATTTGAAATACTTTTGGAATCTAAATTATTTAGAAGTATAATTTTTGAGAAATTTTCTTAGAAAACAACCTTTTTGATTTTTTTGGAATGTTCTTATTTTAAATAGTTCATAGGAACGAATTCCGGAAATTTTCAGCTTTCCGGATTTGATCTTCCCGTCTCAGGTCTGAGATAAACTTTATATTTGCTCTTTTTAAAATATTCATTTTCAATGATTTTAAGCATGGACACGACGCAGCTGTTCTCAACAAACCAAATACAGAAAATGAAAATGAGGATGACGATTTAGAAGAAGACGACGATGACGAAGACGATGAAGAACAAGGAGATTCAGACGATGATGATGATTTCGAAGATATGGCTGCAATGATTGAAAGACAAGTTAGCCATGAAGGTGAATAATTTATCTAGATAATTGTTTTTTCCCCTAAATTTTAATCACAATAATGTTCTCAATCAGATACTCAATTGCCTTATAGTAATCACCTCTTTTATTTATTTATTTTTAATTATATACCGGTTATCGTATTTTCTAGGGTCCGAAAACATAAAATAGCTCTTTTTAATCCCGTTTTGCTTATTTATTGGATCACAGGGGTTTTTTCACTACCGAGTCAATGCAAAATTGTAATCGAGCAAATAGGCTCCGCCCATCTTTTTCCGCACAGATATGTGGGCGGAGCTTAGGTTTTCAGATTTTCAAAAAGAAAATTGAAAACCCTTTGGCTCAAAAGACACACAAATAAAAAGAAAAAAGTCGGGCTATATGTGTGTTTGCAGCGACCGACATCTCGCGAGGCCGGCCACACGCTATTGTTTTTTTTGTCGGCCACGTAGCGTGCTGTTTGCGGAGGTTTTTTGTCGTCAGATAAAATGTTTTGTACGTGATTAATTCTCGGTAGTGAAAAAACCCCTGTGATTGGATATTTATATTTTTGTTTTACCGTGTTTTTTTATTTAAAGAATATGTTTTCGAATTTGTTGAATTGTGAAAACGAAAGAAGGGTTTGAAAATCCCAAAATTATATTTTTTGAAACACGTGAAATTTTTCTGCGTGTTTTATTTTCATTATTCATTTTATGTGAAAATGGTATTCGATGAAAAGGTGAGTTTCTCCTTTCTTGGAATTATGAAAACCTATTTCAGTTTGAAAATAAATACCAGGGAATTGTGGTAAATCTCATAAACCGTAAATCTGCCCATCAAAAAATGACCCTTTATATTTTCTACTTATTTTTATATTGAAATACTGTTTTCTGGGTTTGTCTTTCGGGGTTAAAATATTTTGTATACCAAAATCAACTATCTATGTTTACACAAAATTGTTTGAAAAACGTGTTTATTTTCTTCTCAATCAATCGTTTACATTTTCAAATATAATATAATTTTCTCTTTTCCCATTTTCTCTCGCTTTCAATAGAGCGCATTTTGATGTTCGCAAAAAACTTAGCCTTTTTCTTGTGTGTCATTCTTTTTTTGGTTCGTTTTTATTGATTTTAGCCGCATTTTTCAGTTCGAGGAATATTTGCAAAGAAGAATGGATTTCAATCGAGATCTTGGAAATGAAACAATTGGACAAATTCAAGTCAATATTCAAAATTTGAACCAGCAAGGTTAGTTTCTCAGAGATTCGCTGACCAGCTGGTCACTAGGTGGGGTCGACTGCCCATCTGAAATTGACACGGACAACCACATCGCCCGCATTTTTTGCCAGACGACCTGGTCGCGAGGTGGTTCAGTTCATGCAGACCACCTCGCCCAGGTTGTCCAACTCGACCCGACCTCGCGTCCAGATCGTCTCGCTTAAGAGAAAAAAGTCGAAAAAACTTGTGAATCCGAGCATTCTAGAAGAAATTGGCTCATTTTCTGTTTTTTCGGAGTACTAGAAGCCTTAGGAAGTGAAAAAAACAGGAAAAAATGCACTATTTTGAGTACAAACCACCGTCTTGCTAGCTTTCCAGGATTTCAAACACACAGGTCACGTGGCCGGAAAACTCAAGGCGACCTGGTGGCCGAATCAAATTCAGCTCGTTTTGAACTTTCCGGCCACCTGGTCCTGATCTAGTGGCGAGCTGGCCAGCGAATCTCTGAGTTTATATTATACATTTTTAGAATTAGGAAATTCATACATTTTTTTGAAAGATTATCTTGAAAACATATTGTAATAGTCACAAAAAATTAAATGTTTCAGAAATATTCCATTTTGATTCAAAATTTTTAGCGAAAAGTTTATGTCAATTTTACAAAATGTTTAAAAATTGGAGATTTTAAAATTATTTCTATTTTTCTGTAAATTGACTAGACATACAAATGTTGACGAAAATAAATAATTTCACGCGAATTTTCAAACATTTAAATTTATTTTAGTTCAACAGTTGGATTCATTCATTTCGCGTCTTTCTGATAGCAGCGATGTTGGAGAAAAACAACGAAATTTGTTCAATGAAAAAGCTCAACAAGCTCAAGATTTGTCGAAAGAAACTAATAGTTTGATGAAAAAATTGGTTGAAATGTCAAATTCAAATGTGAGTTTCTAAATATTTATTGATTTTTTACATATATTCCAAAAAAAAAGCTTTTTTTCAGAGAAGTTTGAAGGTTCATCGGGAAAGATTGCAAAATGAATATATTGGAGTTTTGAATCGACTTCAAGCAACTCAAAGAAAAGCAGCGAAAACAGAGAAAGCAAGCATGAGACAAGTCCAAGAATCAGTTGAAAATCCAGACGATGATATATTTGGAGGTGGATCAAATCAACAAATACAACAACAAGTTCAAAGACAACAAAATATTAATTTGCAAGAAATCAAAGAACGAAAACAAAATTTAGAACAATTGGAACAAGATATTGGAGATGTCAATGCGGTGAGAATAATCATTTGAAATTTTAATTTTTTAAACAAATATGTAATTTAGATTTTTGCTGAACTTGCAAAAATAGTTCACGAACAAGGAGATATGGTTGATTCAATTGAAGCAAATGTTGAACATGCTCAAATTCATGTTGAACAAGGTGCACAAAATGTGCAACAAGCTGTTTATTATAATCAAAAAGCTCGTCAAAAGAAACTTCTTCTTTTCTGTTTTTTGGTTATTCTTATTTTTATCATTGGACTCACTATTTATCTCGCAAAATAATTAATGTTCCTTTTCCGATGTTTGTAAAAATTGTTTGATCTATTTAGAGCTTTTCAATCTATTCAACTTAAAAGTCTTTATTTTGACTTCCTGTGCACTTTTACTGGTAGAAACTATCTGAAACTAACCATGTTTTTATCATATTCTTGTAAATCAGTATATACATATTTTCATAAATATTATGATCTTTTTTGACCTGCGAACACGTGAATTATGATGATAGAAAAACATTAGTTAATATTATGCAAATCTGTTAAACCTGTGATGATCGACATAAAAGATTCAACGGTTTTCATTTTCCCTCTCTTTTTGGACAACAAAATATGGATGACTTTTTTATTGATTTTGTCATTATTGCTGCTATTATTGCTGCTCTTTTAATTGCAACAATGGTTTTATTGTTTTTGGTGAGAAGAAATGAAAATAATTGATTCCAGAAAAATATAAATTATTTCAGTACTCAAAAAACTTACGCCGTTTTATTTCGAAATGTTGGTGTTGTTGTAATTCGAATGATGATTTAGAGAAATCAGTAATTCCTCCAAAACGAACAACAATTCGAGTTGTTAGTTCTTGTCCTTCAAATGTTATTTCCACGATTCCAATATCTCCAACTTATAAAAACATCAAACCACCAATCAGAAAGTATGTTATTAACAAGCTCAAAATGACTTTTTCACGTGAAAGTTCAGGGAGAAAGTTCCAATTTTTGGGATCACGTGAAACATTGGACCATTTCGAAACTGAATTTCTTTTGGAGTTCCTCGTGTAAACTCTTCTTGAATTAATTGAAAGAGATCTTTTAATATTCACTTGTTTATTCCCATACCCTCCTTTGACTTAAAAAAAACCAATTTTTCTAGGACAACTTCGAATCCACCAGATTTTTTTGTTTCTACACCAACGCCTACAAATTTTCCAGTTGAGAGTCCTTCCCAAAAATTCGTGTTCATTTTTCCGAAACGACCAACTTATCAGGTAATTTCTAAATACAAACTAGATGTTAACACCTCTTTTTCGGGTTACTGTAGGTTTTTGTTTCTAATTCTATTAATAATAAAATCAAAATAATTTCAAATTCCAGATGGAATCAAATCAAATAACAATGCACAGTGCTTCAACAAAAAGTTCATATCTTCCTCAATTTATTGGACCTCAAACTTCTCGAAGATGTTCAACCTAATTAAATAGCTTTGATTTTGTAAAAAAAAACCATTTCATTTTTCTGTCGGGTATTTTTTATATTTTTTATTGTAATTGTAATTGTAAATTTAAATATTATAGAATAGAATATAATAAAGTTAATATCTTGAAGCAGAACTATTACCACGATATGATTGATCATCAATATCATCTGGAAGTTCATCTTCTCCGATCTCTTCATAATCTTTTTCCAATGCAGCCATGTCTTCACGAGCTTCCGAAAATTCTCCTTCTTCCATTCCTGAATATTAATTAATATAATCAAGGATTTCAAATTTCGAAACTAACCTTCTCCGACATACCAATGAACAAATGCACGTTTCGAATACATAAGATCAAATTTATGATCGAGTCTTGCCCATGCTTCAGCAATTGCTGTTGTATTACTAATCATACAAACACTTCGAGTTTGTTTTCCAAGATCTCCGCCTGGAACAACTGTTGGAGGCTGATAATTTATTCCAACTTTGAAACCTGTTGGACACCTGCAAAAATATTCCGAAAGATATTCCACTTTTTGAGACCAACTAGTTTATTCCCTCTAACCATTTTTCAAGTATTAACATACCATTCTACAAATTGAACAGTTCGTTTTGTTTTAACAGATGCAATTGCTGAATTGATATCTTTTGGTACAACATCACCTCGATATAATAAACAAACAGCCATATATTTACCACGACGTGGATCACATTTAACCATTTGATATCCGGGTTCAAAACATGCATGTGTCATATCAGCTACAGTATTCTGTTCATGTGATGCTCTTTCAGCAGAAACAAGTGGAGCATAAGTAACAAGTGGAAAATGAATACGTGGGTACGGTACCTTTAAATTTGTTACTAAATCTCATAACATATAAATATTTTAAATTACTTACTAAATTAGTTTGAAATTCAGTCAAATCAACATTTAAAGCACCTTCAAATCTCAATGAGGCAGTAATTGAAGATATAATTTGAGCAACAAGACGATTTAAATTAGTATAAGTTGGTCGAGCCAAATCAAGATTTCTTCGACAAATATCATAAATTGCCTCATTATCAACCATAAATGTGCAATCAGAATGTTCTAATGTTGTATGTGTCATTAAAATTGAATTATATGGTTCAACCATTGAAGTTGAAACTTGAGGTGCTGGATAAATTGCAAATTCAAGTTTTGGTTTCTTTCCATATTCTGTTGATAATCTTTCCATAAGAAGTGATAAAAAACCAGAACCAGTTCCACCTCCAAATGAATGAAATATCACAAAACCTTGTAATCCATTACAATTTTCAGTCAATCTTTTTACTCGATCCATCACAACCTGAAATAACTTATTCTTGTAGTTCAGAAAGAAATTCCTCAGAGTTAATTACATCAATCATTTCCCTTCCAATTGTATATCTTCCTCTCGCATAACAATTTGCAGCATCTTCTTTTCCAGATAATAATTGTTCGGGATGAAAAAGATTTCGATATGTTCCAGTTCGAACTTCATCGACAACTGTTGGTTCGAGATCAACAAAAAGACAGCGTGGCACAAATTTTCCTCCGGCAGTTTCGGCAAAAAATGTATTGAGAGTTTCGGTTTCTTCATCATAAGTATCATCTTCAACGTGATATCCATCTAAAAATGAAAGAATTAAAACTCTACAGTAATCCATTCATTTTTTGAAAATTCCACAATTTTTTCTAACTATTTCGTGCAAAAGTAATGGAAATGTACCAAAAAAAAGTTCAGCAAATGATTCTCAATTATACCTGGTTGAATTCCATGTTCTAAACAAAAAAGTTCCCAACACGCATTTCCAATTTGAACTCCAGCTTGTCCCACGTGAATTGATATAACTTCACGCTAAAGAATCTATTTTTTTTTAATTTTTCAAAAAAAAAACATACACTTCCACGATATTGCGGCATCTGAATATAAAGTATAAAGTGTAGAAAGAAAGAAAAACGTAAAAGAGCACCTTGGAGACGGTTGAATATTAAATGGTGGTCCACAAAATGTAACTATGGTAATGTGTTTGTACTAATATTTGACATCCAAGTTCAAATTTTTTATTACTAAATAGCAAAAAACTAACAATTTATTCACAGACAAAAAAAAAACAAAAAAAAAATTAAACAAGTTTAATTAGGGACCACAACAAAACAAAAAAAATACACGAAAATCAATTTTTGGTTATATAATTCCGCTTTTTTCAAGAAATGAAATTATAATTTATTGACGAATACGATTGTTATTTCTTCGAGTTGGAAATTCTACATGATTCCAGCGTTCAACTTCTGCACAGCTTGTCAATTGGCCAAAAATCAATCTATCCGTTGGTGATCGGATATTCAAAATCATAATCTGAAAATTTCGAATTTTTCAAACAAAAAAAAACTATCAATTTTTAAATTTACTATTTTTTCACCACCGAAAAGTATGGCTCAATGAAATAAATTTATTTTGCAAACTACTGTTTTGACTAGAAAAAACAAAAATAATTTCAAGACTTACTTGACCGGCTTGATTGATGAAAAACGATGATAAATATGGCATTGGAAAGTCTGTCGAAACACGATGCAAAAATTCCAAGTTTTCATCGAATAACTGAAAAAATGTATTTAATTATAAATTATATTATTGATAAAATTCACTTTAATACATTTTCCTTGCGCATCACCGATCAATAAATTGTAATCTATATCAAAAATTAATCCTGAAACAAAAGCAAAACTCGAATGGTCACAGATTTTGTTCAATTCCATGGATTCCTGAAAAAAAACATATGAGAAAAAAACATTATAAATTTGATTACTCACCGATTTGAGTACTCGTAATACTTGAAAAGTAATATTTGTGAAGTCCAAATCGTTAACTTCCAATAAATAAACAGAATTTACGCCAAGATCACTAATAGCCACTCGGTTGCCACGAGAAGTGATAAAAGACGGTTGAATAGCACCATAATCATTCAAAGAAAAACACGCCGAACCAACATTATTTTTGAAAATTCGCAAATTTTTACCAGTGTAATTTCGACTTTCTAGTGATAAAATATTTCCTCCAACTGATTTTGCTAATCCTCTCAAATGCCAATTCATTTCATAAATTCTCAAATTGAAAGAGCACAATATTTCGATATTATCCGATTGAATATTGTATATATAAATCGTGAAGTTGGTCTTTCCAGATAGAATCGCAATACTACGACCTTCCTGGAATAAATAATAAATGTGAATAATATCAATATTGAACAATTTAAAATAATACCTCATAAATACAAACTGCAGAAGGATTTGACAACAACCTATTTGAAATATGATAGATTCCTCGATTTTCGCCAACAATTTTGACACGATAAATTCCGGGACGATCCTTATCGCAAAAGAACCATTGATTCAACTTTTCATCGTAAATAACACTTAGCGGATATGATATATTTTCAGCTGCTATTTCTTCGAAGAATGGTAACGGTTTTTTGATGATTTTTAGAACTGCAATGAAGAGGTCATATATTTGTTAGAGCGACGATTTAAAAACTTACATGTATTTTGAGGAGTCAAAAAAGTAGATAAATCAACTGTTTCATCATTTTGGTCTGATTGATTTTCAGCAGCGATCGAAGAACTCTCATCATTCCGATTATTTGTATCAATAGCTTGTTCCAACGTGTTATCCCTATTCATCTCTTCTCTAGAATTCGCAATTTTCAACTGTTCCAAACTTTTCAAACAGTTTGAAATATTTCCGCTATCATCTTCTCGTTTCCCAAAACGCTGAGCTATCTGAAAATAATCAAAATATTAATGATTTTAACATTGGAAAACTCACAAAAGATTTAAAAATAATCTGTTCAGATGGAGTCACTTGTTCTTCTTTCATCATCTTTTCGAAGATTGGTCGAATTGTTCTCTCCATCGTCTGTGATTTTGACAATAAGCAATGAACAGAAAAAGGCGAAAATTTTTTATCCAAAAAGTGATTTTTTCAATAATAAAAAAAACAGAAATTACATTAAAACTACTGTAAGTTTGCTTCGAGACCCACTGTTTGTCGAACATGTACCTTTAAAGTGTCCCGTAAATGTACACATTGGAAATATATTCTGAATAGAATTTCTAGACATATTTCAAATTTCTATTAATTCGAATTACATTTTCTCAAAAAAAACTTCAACCATACCTAAAATTTAAGTAGGATATCTCGATTGAAATCAATAATTCCAGAAAATCGGACATGTTAGCAACAGTTTCATTTCTCCTAAATGACAATTCCCTCTCACGTTTTCGTAAAGATGTTGGATTGATTTAAAATAACGGAAAAAATAATATTTTATCGAAAAAATGAGTTTTTATGAGATAGTAGTTGAGGTAGTTGTATCATTTCTCATTGGAGTTGTTGGTGGCGGACAAACATCTGAATACGGCGATGTTTGAGTTCTTCCATATGGTGTTGATAAATTGCTTAATGATGACATTTTTGGAAAAACAGCTTTGTATGGTGTTGTAGAATTTCGAACTCCTAATGGAATTGTTGGTGGAGTTCCTTGCAAAATTGAAGGAGACATATAAGGAACATTCATTCGATTCGATCTATACATTTGAAGCTCTGAAAAAATATGTTATGAAAAATGGAATTTCAAATAATACAGTTCCCTTACTTTCAGTCATTTCCAAGTTTGCTGTTCTCAATTGATCCATTGTTTGTGTCATTTCAACTATTTTCATTTTTTCATCTTCTAATTCTTTTCGAATTCCAGATATTGTTTCTGATAATGTCAAAACCAATCCATCTTTTTCTTTCAAATCATTTTCCAATTCTTTTAATTTTCTCAAATCTACGCTCTGCTGATTATCTGATTTCTCCTTCAAAAAATGAATAATTGTTGGTTTCTATTTCTGAAAATAACTTACAGCTAGTAGTTTTTTAAACTTTTCGAGATTTCTTTCAAATTTTTGTCTCAAATCAATATTTTCACGGCGTATTATTTCTTTATCAGCCTGTAATTTGTCACTTCTCAATTGTTCTTCTTTTAACATTGTTCCAACAATTTCAATTTCTTCATTTAATTCTTCATTTTGTTTTTTGATATCATTTTGCTCTATTCGCATTTCTTCAATAAGTTCATCTTTTTCTTCCGCCAAAATTCGCATATTTTGTCTTTCTTCTTTAACAAGCTGTAAAGTATTCTATTAATTTTGAAAATCTTCGTAGAAATTTATCTTTCCCTATTCCTGATTCAAATAAAAAACAAACCTCTAACTCGTCTTCAAGTTCTTCCAATCTTTCCTCGTCTAATTTACATTTCTCGCTAGTTTTCAATAATTCCGTATTTTCCTTTTCTAATTTCTCATATTTTTCTCGATAATTGAGCAATTCTTCACGAATTCTATCAAATTCTCCTAATTTCGATGATTGTAACGAACAAATTTTCAACAAATGTGATGTTAACTGATCTCCTCGAACAGCTGACATTTTCAATGCAAAAATGCGTCCTTTCGAAATAGGAGTTTTTGAAAAAAGTTCAAATGAGCAAGTTGTTTTTTCGCAATCCAAAATAAGTGATATTTCAGTTGGTTTATTATCGACAATACTATGTAATTGTCCATCTGATTGTTGTTGTTCACTTATATTTTTACATAATAATTTCTGAATTATTGCACGTGGAAATGCTTCAAAATCAACTGTCAAATCGTGTTCTCTAGCAAGTTTTTGATATTTTTCATTGTTGAGTGTTTCGGCGAATAAAAATTCATAATCCTCTGCTCGACTTATTTCAAATTTCAATTCTTTTTCACCGCTCGTCTCATTTCGCTGCTCACATATTTTCAAATTCACTTTACTACGATATGCTCTGAAATTATCGCAATTTACGTTGTTTGAGTAACTCTATCTTTCGAACGAAACATTAAAAAAACTTACTTATAATCGGTTTGATTCCGACCAAGTGGTTGCAATAATGAGGCCACAAGTTGTTCATTGAATAAATAAGAACTTCTGCTCGTCAAATCTGACATCACGTTCGTTTTGTACGCTGTGCGAAAAATAAAACAAATTTAATGCGATGGCGCGCTGTTTTGTGGCCTAGAAACCGACACTTTTGAAATGAGGACTAGAAAACCAATTGGGGACTAGTTTTATCCAGCTTTTTCATTTTTTCGTTTTGCGCGCATTGCGCAAGCTTCTTGCAAGAAAAGCGTCATATTTACTTAAATATATTATTATTTAAGGTATCGTTGAAAGATGGATGATCCGGGTGCTGGTTGTTCTTTGAGTTCAAACCCATTGACTGAAGAACTTCCATGTGACTCGATCGAAGAACTGATTGCTTTCAATGAAGCGTATAAAGATGTAATTGAAACTGCTATTTTTGAAGTCAATGAAAAACTACGGGAGAATCGAGAAAGACAGGTATCAATTAATTTTCTGCTGTTTTACAACCAAATTGCATTTCTTCAGTCTCAAGTTTTCAACATTTTTCATATAAATACCACCAGAAGGGCTCCGCCGGCTAACGCCGGCTTCTCCTTCTGGATTGTCCCGGCTTCGCGCGTAGATTTCTTTAGGCATACTGTTTTTTTTTACCGGTTTGATTCTTGAAAACCGTGCCCATTGAAAAAAGGTGGAATGGTGATTTCTGGGACGTGCAAACTTGAACTGAATCCCCCGCCGTACGTATCAATAAAAATAACTTGCAGGTATAGCTCATTCTTAAATCTGTAGCAGAAAATGCTTTCCTTGAAATCGTCTAAAAATAAGACAAAGTTGTCATTTGTGAAAATTTAAAGGGGGGGGGGGGTAAGACGACAAAATTTTATTTGCTCAATGAATCGGGCTCCCTTTGAATAGTAAAAGCCCCAGGGGATTTTTTCTCGAAAGACCAAAAAATGTCCGAAAAAAATATTCCATGAACTTTTTTCAACGAATAGCTGTCCGTTGTCCGAAAGTTGTCCGAAAGTTGTCCGAAAAAAATCTCTTGGAGGTTTTACTACTTTTGGGGAGCCTTTAACTTTGCGACAAAAAAATTTTGTCGTCTTACCCCCCCTTCAAAAAATATTTCTATGAAGTTTTCAAAATCATTGGTTAGGAATCATTGTTTCAAGTTTTCAATGTTTACTCCAAAAGTGGCCTATTAAGTTCCTAGGTTTTTAGGGAAATGTAGATTCCAGATTTTCGAAATTCAGAAGTCGAGCTCGAAAAAATTCTTCGAAAACTGCTCTTTTTCTTGATGTCCTTTTTTCAGTTCCTCTCAATTTTTTTCTAATTTTTCTGTTTAGAGCTGACATTTCTAAACAAAAATACAGAATCTATAGAATCCCTACAGAAATCTTATAGAAAAAATTCGGATCTGAACAGAAGTTTTTAGGGGGAAAAAGATATGTTAGGAAAAAGGTGGGTTTAATTTTTTTTTGAAGCCTGAAATCCTAAGCAAAAGTTGCATTCATAAATATGTCAGGTTCAGATTTTGGATGAGGCTTGGATTTTAGAAAAAGTAAGAAAATGAACATCTAATTTATAGTTTTCAAAACATCTTTTTCCGTCACACCTTTAAGACCTAACACGATCTGAGGGGTGGGACTAAAAATCAATGGAACCAATGCAAAAATGAAAGATTTAGAGAAATGTTATTGAAAAATTTGAAGTCTAGCGATTTGGGGTAGTGAATTACATACTGTGAAACCCCTGTTTTTCTGTACAATCCTCTTTTCCAATTCAAATCCAAATTTTCTACCACTCAAAAACTAAACCACAATATTTAGAGAAAAATTTTCAATAATATATCCAGTGAGCTAAGAAAAGCAACAGCCAATAGTTGTCCGAAAGTTTTCTAACATGTTATTTCTCCGGTGGTTCTTTCTGAGTAAGCTTCTAAGTTCCATCCGAAATTTTCAGAGCCGTGGAAGATAAAACCAAAATACAGTAAACTTCGACATCCGAAGATTATTTTCATTGAAAAGAGGAAATGATTGGTTTTCTCGGCCATATCGGTTCTCTTCCAAAGCTCACAAATTTCGGATTCACAATAATTGTTTGGTCTTATCTATATTGGGATTCCCAAACATCAAAACTCACTATGAAACATTCATATCAACGTATTTGTTTTTCTTCCTGTAAAAGAAATTACTCAATATCTGCAAGTTCGAAAAAAATTAGGAATTTATCCACAGTAATCTAACTCACTTTTTTCCTATTTATTTTTCAAACCGATTAGGAATAGAGTAACAGCGAGAAATGATTAAAAATGTCCCGCTTTGAATGAAATATAAAGATCAGATAAGGACGTGACCTAGCCATTTTTTCCGATTAAAAACGTGTTCATTCTTTTTTACACGGAAAAAGTTTTGATTTTTCACGTGAAAACTTGCGCACTTTTAAAATATTTCGAATATCGTGCATCATCTACGAAGAATTTGAAACATGTTGGTCCAAGTCTCATTCGAAATGGCCTTCTAGAAATTGAGTTACGGTCGGCTACACATTTTTATTTTCAAAAATACATTGAATTTCAGGAGTTTTTTTCAGTTAAAAGTTTCCCCGCGCACTACAACAAAAAATTTTCAAATTTCATAATCTTCTGCATCATGCTGCAACTATTTGGAAACTTTTCTTCTTTTAACCAAAACTTTTCATGAAGTAGAAAAAAAGTTGGTCCATCTGACATACGCACCTTTTAAAAAGCAGTTTCCAATTAGTATATAGTAGATAATTGTAAAAATGATCATGGAATGATGAGCTTGCGTGAAAATGCGATTTGAGTGGGAAATAATTAAGAAATGATAAAATTTTGTTGTATAAATACGTGTATTAATTTTCACTTTCCAGTAACTCATTTTATGCTTTTTTAGAGGAATCTACGAGAAGAACAACGGCGATTGCGTAGTGCCGACATTTCGAAAAAGAAAATTCCTGTAAATCTGTATATGCCACCATACTTTAAAGATGAAAAAGGAATGGTATGTTGACCTTTTTTGAAATCTAAAAAAAATGTATCACAATATTTAAAACATTATATTTCTTTACAGTGTCCTCCATTGAATGCCGAAGCTAGAAATAAAATCGATAGCAAATGGTTTGATCCACTGATGAAAGAAGAAAAGAAATGGACATCGGCTGAAATAAAGATGCTTCGAACTGGAATAAAAGATGCTATAATTGCAAATTCTCTTCAATCATTAAATTCAAAAAGAGATATTTTGACAAACAAATTGAAAACAACAAATGCAATGACAACACAATGTGAAAGATATAAATGGACAATGGAATTAGAAGAAGTTATGAGAAAAATTGAATATGCTAAAAATCGAAAAGAAGAAGAAATTCTACTTCCAACTGAAGATTATACAAATATTCCATGGAATGAAATTGCGAATGTCACTGTAATTTTTCTAATTTTCATTTTTTGTGAAAATGTTTGAAATTTTCAGATGAAAGGAACACGAACAGAATGGGCAGTTCGATCAAAATGGTTGAATGAATTGAGTCCAAAATGGAATAAGAATCAATGGACACAAAATGAAATTGATAAATTAAGAGATTTGCGAGAAAGTCCCAAATTTGTTTCCTGGACAATGTTAGCACTTCAATTAGGAACAAATCGACCAGCATTTCAATGTTTGGAAAAATATAAATCTGAATGTTCCACAAATACAAGGTAAGCAGTTTTGAGTTTTAAAAAAATCTCATTTCGGTGATTATTTTCATTCATTTTGTTTCTGAACTTTTTCATCCGATAAATTCTGATTTTTCAGAGAATGGACAAATGAAGAAGACCAAAAACTTATTACTCTTACAAAATTGATGACTGTAAATGGAAATATTCAATGGGAAAAAGTTGCACAATTTATGCCGGGTCGAAGTAGAATTCAAGTTCGAGTTAGATTCACTCATAGTTTAGATGCTAATATAAAACATGGAAGATGGACAGATCAAGAGGATATGGTAAGTAATTTTGGTTTGTTAAATTAAATTTGTGAAAAATCATTAGTTTTTCTAGCTTTTAATCAGTGCTGTTAGTCGAATTGGAGCAAAAGATTGGGCAAAAGTTGCATCAGCTGTTCCTGGTCGAAATGATTCGCAATGTAGAGAAAGATGGGCAAATGTACTCAATAAACCTGTAAATGTTTGTGAACGATTCACTTTAGCTGAAGATGAACAATTATTGTATGCTGTAAAATTATTTGGAAAAGGAAATTGGGCTAAATGTTCAACACTTTTATCACAAAAAACACCGAGACAACTAAGAAAACGTTATATCCAATTAGTAGCTGCTAAACTTAAAGTAAGTTAATTAATTGTAGTTTCACTAATATCTTTATTTTAGATGGTTGCTGGTGTTTGTAATGCTGTTGAAGCAATGGAATCAGCACGTCGAAATGATGAAGAAGTTCAAAAAGAACAGAAGCCCGTAATTGCCAATAAAGTTTTATCAAAGGCATTCGAGAATTTGGCGGAAATGGACGAATTTGCTTATGAAACACCTGAGGAAATGTTGGAACGTGTTGGAGCACCAAGTGTATCTGCTAGATATCAAAAATTCCGAGAATCACCAAATTGGCCAATTATTGAAAAGAATTTGCAAGAAATTTGTCAAAAAAACACAAATGGACAAGATATTGAATTACGATCGAATGAAGTGCTCAAGAATTTGAATATAACTGATGTTGATGTTCGTTATATGGTTCAACAAAATCGAGTTTATCAAAAACAAAAAGCTGCAATAAATTGGAGATCTCGAATGGAATATGGTGGAGGAAGAGTTCGACCGATTGCTGGTTTCAAAAACTATAATAATATTGTTACACATTTTGGTGCTGATGTTCCCGAATCCGAAAAACAAATGAGTTTGATTGAAGCATTGTGTATGACTGTTCGAAAACATGATTTCACTGTGTGGGGCAAAAAGTTTTGGACCAGTTTTCAATACGGCGCCAATAAAAATGTTGCTGTTTACATCGATTCGGTAAGTTATTGATACTCGAAAATTTATATTGATTATTGTTTAAAATATTCAGATGTTGAATGAGAAATGTCTGGAAGTCGCAAATCATACAAAACAACAACTTGGCTCAATTCTTCCAATAAAAACAACTTTGGCTCCAAATACAACAACAATGCGATTATTGGAAACTATTAAAAGAGCGAAATATGGATTGAATTATGTTGCTGCCGAATATTTTTATCCGATTGAAATTGGAATTGAAGAACAGAAAGATTATGTTGAAAATAATGAACGGAAGAATGTAAATGAAGAAACTCGATTGAATATTGGATTGTCAGAGGAAATTAAAAGTTCAGCACAATATAATATTTTTGCGGTTAGTTCATTTTTTGGCGGAAAACTTCCAATTTTTTATTAAAATATTTATAATTTGGAGTAATTCAGGCTCGAATGCGTGCTCTTCTTTTGGAACCATATCGAATGAAAATAGCAATTGAATCAGTTGAAAAAGAAGAGGAAAGATATCAAAATGATGTTTTGGTTGAACAAAGATTGACTGATGAAGAATCTGTTATTGAAGGAAATTTGGAAGTTCCGGAAAAACCAATTTATCAATGTTGTGAGAAAACAAATGTATTCAAAGAACATGGATTTGCAATTGAAATTTCGGGTTTGGTGAGCAAAAATGATAAACATCTTATGGGAAAGAAAAGAATAGCTGATTCAATGAATGAGGTGATTTTGTTGATTTGTTTTTTCTTAAATATTAAACTTTTTTCAAGATTTATGATTCTGTTTTCAAACGATGCCGTGAAGAGACTTCTGAACAATTATATAATAAATTGAAAAATATCACTGTACAAAATGATGAAGATGAAGAAGAAATTGATGAATATGGAAATGGAGAGATAAATCAGCAAAGAGAAAGATTCGAAGAAATGATGGAAGTTAGAGAAGAAGAAGAAGAAAATGATGATGATGATGATCAGGGACAAGTATTGAATGTTGTTTATTCTTTAATGAATGCTGTTCACCAAAACAATCAATTTTATGAGGAATTATAGGTTTTTTCTAAATTTAAATAGTGATTTTTGTTGATCTCAATTTGTTTGTTTTTAATTTCCGGTAAATTTTTGAAATTTATCTTTGTTAGTTTTTTCATGAATTTATTTTGAGAGTTCAAAAAACTCACCTAATTATCTTTCGAACTTTTTTCTGTTTAGTTCAGAAAATATGGAATTTTAGATGATGGATGAAGAAAAACGAAGATTTGAAATGGAATTGGAATTTGTTCAAGCGTTGGCAAATCCGAATTACCTGAACTGTGAGTTTCATTTTAAATATGAAATGTATTTATAATATCCTATTTTTTAGTTCTGGCACAACGCGGATATTTCAAAGAGGAATATTTTGTAAATTATCTGAAATATTTGTTATATTGGAAACAACCAGAATATTCGAGGTCAGTTTGAAATTTCAATTTAGAAATTGAACGTTTTTTAATAGATGGTTTGTTAATTATAAGGTTATGACTTCAAAACTTGGAATTTTCATAATATCTTTATAGAAAAGAGCGCCAGAAGAATTATTTCAGTCTTGAAATGGTTGCTATCGAATAGTTTCCAAGTTTGATACCAATTTTTGTCCAGCATACCTTCTAAAAATCCCATAATTTTGAAAATCTTCCCAAAAAATTGACACCAACATCTTGGTTTCCCATTCATTTCATTATACTAGTATTAGCAATACACACACACACACATACATAAACATATCTAATAGCGTAACCAGCAGATTGTCTGTTGCATAACAAAACCACTATATATATAAAATGTGTGTTGTTTTCGTTTTCGGCGGTGCTCGCTCAAATTTCATGTCTAGATGATCGCCTTGTAATATTTCATTGAATAGTCGCTGACCTTTAGACCAATAATACCGAATGGGAGTACTCGATGGCCCGTAAAGGCTGCCACGATACGTTGAAGACGAACTCCTTCGATAAGTAATTGATGCTCTGCCATCATTCATACTTAACTAATTAGACTAAACTTTCCTAACTGAAAATTCCTCAAAACTGAGAGCACCGCCAATGAGAACTTGAAAAGGTTCAATTTTTTCGTTTTGGATTTTCTGATTCTTACAAAACAATTTCAGAAACGTTCACTTTCATAACAATTTGAAAACTAAACATTATTAATTTTAGATGCATCAAATTTCCACAATGTCTTCATATCCTCGAAGCACTTCAAAGTCCACAATTTCGGGAAGCAATGGCTTATGGTCCAAGTGCTAAATTTGTCGAAGATCAATTAGTTCTTCAATGGCAGTTTTATCTCAGAAAACGTCATCGATTATGTGAAGAACAAGAAGAATTAGAAGCTGCAAGTACTTCAGAACCATCAAAGCCAGATGTGAAATAAACGGAATTCATTTTATAAAAAAAAAAATAAATAATGATATTCACAAGAAAAAAAAGAGCCAGGGGGAATTGTTCTATTTTCTCGGCATAAATGTTGCGTCTTGATCGGGAACAAATGTTTGATAGCGAAATGCGCTTGTTTCAAGAATTGAAGTTTCGGAATTCATCGCATGGCTACTGCTACTTCGATAACTTTCCATTTGCCGACAAGAACGTGTTGAGAAAACCTACAAAACATTTATTTAGTAATTTGTAAAAAATAAAATAAAATTACCATAATATTAGTTGTTCTACACGATGCTTCAAATAATGCTCGATCTTCTGGTACAACTTTCGGAAAACCTTTTGCTGCTTGGAAGGGTTCTTCGTTTTCGAATAGAATCGAACAATAATCATGTCCATCTATCAACAATTTTTGATTAGTTTCGTTGGAAAGTCTAAAATTCGAGAATTTTTTCGATAAAATCAAAATGCAAACAAAAAACAAACATTTTCAATCGTTGTCTCAATAATTCTTCTCCCCATTTGATTTCAATAACATAATCAGCATTTCCAATTGTATTTCTTCGACTATTTGTTGAAACACTGGACATGACAGAACTTGAACGATTTGTTTCATTTGCCGAAACAAATGTTGAACCACTTGATAATTTTATATCAAATTGACATTCTCTTCTTCTCCGTAACATAATTGCATTAGATGGAGTAATTCGACATTTTACAGGTTTCAAATTTGAGTCATAAATATGAATCAATAAAAATCCATCTCTTTCTCCATCATTTTGGAGGCGGAAAGAAATATTTGAGAATTTCGATGTTCTTAAAATATAATCCTTGTTATGTGATGTATTTTCAATTTCTCCTTCAATAATTGGACGAATTGATGCTAATCCACCACATCCCCATAATGGAATTGAATAATGAATTTGCGGTGATAGAACATCAATTTTTAATAAAACTTGATATCTTCCAGCTTTATCTGGTTTGAAAATCACACGCAATTTAGATTTTTGTCCAGGTCCAATAAGTGCCAATGTGTTATCAACAATCTAGATGAAACATTATTTTCTATAGAAAAACAAAAAAGCGATTACCTCAAAAGCTCTTGTTCCACTATCTAATTTTGATCTAACATTCAACATTCGATCCGAAATATTTTCCATTTCCAATTCTAAACCTAATTGATCTCCAATTTCAACAGCTCCAAATGCCAATCTTCGATTATTTATTTTCAATAAATTCGGTTTTTCTGATCCAGTCGAACTTGTTGTTGAAACAATCGATACTCTTGAAGTTGGTCGATGACTTTGAACACTGACTACTGAACCCAATACTTTTTGATCAGTTTCAACAAATGATTTACGAATCGGAACAGAAGTATTGGTGGACTGAAATATGTTTTTTGAATATTTTAGTTGGATAACAATTTGTAAAAAAAAACAAACAGATAATGAGCAGGCAGTGACCATTCTTGTACAATCTCTATATTGATCTTCGAAATCGTGTGAACTTTGAGGCGGTGGTGGTTTCGAAATAGTTGCATCTCTTCGCAAATTTGGTTTAGGTCTTGATTTTGTAAATTCTCTTCCTATTCTAGCCTTTTCCAATGCATCGATCAATGCATTGCTATCTTTGCAATGTGCATTATTCATAAATTGTAAAAGTTGACTATTCTGAACTGTTGCATTCGAAAGAATTGAAGAACTTGAAGGCGAACATTTGGCTGAAAAAAATTATGAAATACGTTTTAACAAAATGAAGTTTAAAAATTACCAAAAGTTGGTGCTCGTGTAGGACTGGATGCATGAATTGAAGAAATTGAAGTTATTTCAAGTTGATGCGGTTTCAATCGTTGTCCAAATCGAACAGATTCAGCTGAAAATCACAGGCTATATTTGAAATGAACTTTTTTTCAAAAATAAAAACATTAAATGCTTCAATTGATATAAAAGCTTACGTCGTTTAGGAGTACTATTTTTTGGTTCAGCATTTGTAGATAATGGAGAATTTAGAAACATTGTATTATCAGGTGGAGAAGTTGTATTTGTGAAGACTTTGTTGGCTTTCAGAATATTTGCCGGGCTTACAACAATTTCTGGTGAAGGCTGATGTTCGAGATCGATTATTGATGGTTCCCATGAGTTTTCTTTCTCGAACTTGTTTTGATGAAATCGAGGATCATCTTCTCTAAACAACATATTTGCTCGATTTTCTTTCGAAAAATACATTTTCTCATATTCGTCCATTGTTGCTTCTAAAATAAACTGTTATTTCTTGAATCTAGAATATTCCGACTTACTTCCGTCTTTGAATTCGACTGAACAATCTTTTGAATTATCTTCGGGGACACTCAAATTCTTTTTCGAAGTCCTTCCCCACGAATCATTTTTTGTCGCTTTTGTGACATCATTTTCTTCGCTAATTGTAGGCATTTGATCCGTAACTTGTTTACTTGGACGATATCTTTTACTAATTATGAATTCTTCAGAAGTTGGAAGTTCCTCTTCATTTCTACTTCGCATTTCTTCTTCATCGACTGAAAAATGGCATTTATTAAAATGTAGTTCAGTTGTTGTCGATTTGTTTTACTTACAGTAAGAACCAGCATCGGAACCTAAATCAAGAGGTTCATCATCAATTGCTAAATCATCGAATCGATCTTCCACAAGATTAAGCTCATTTTCTTCTTCCATTACACTATAAATGAAAATATCATAATGTAGGTTTTTCGGGAAGAAAATGGTTCACGTAGCTACGTGAAAAAAAAAACGAAAACCCTAAATAGTATAACGTATTTTTAACGCCAAGAATTATACTTCTGAAAATTTTATCCATAATCATTCATTCCAAGCTTGGTGAAGCTTCTTCGAAAAATTAAATTTATTCTGCGCAGAGCTGCGCGGTTTGAAATTTGCAACATCGTTCGCAAAATGTGCAAACACGGAGACGCAATGTTGCACAGTTTGGACACCGTAGTCCAGCTGTTTATAATTTTTTTTCTCGTTTTTTTCTGTTTTTCAAACCGAAAATATTGTTTTCAACGTAGAAAGCTGTTCATTTTTAAATGGCCGATAAAGATGAACGAACTTCTTTGCCACGTTATCAAAATTCAGATGGTTTCAAGTTGTAAGTTTAGAAGAAATCCCCAAAATAAATGAATTTATTTATTTTCAGAGAAATTGATATAGTGTCGAAAATGATTTCGGATTTCGAAATTAGTTCAAATTCAGATGACAAGGATAAGATTGAAATTTTGCGGAAAATCGAACCACTTCTGAAGGCTCTTCCTGCTAGTTCTTCAAAAGCTCCAAAATTCATTTCGAATTTTTTATACGATCAAAACATACAAATTAGGAAATTAGCATACAAATGTGCGTTTTATTTACTTTCAAGCAATCAGAATGTGAGTTATTTTTTATATTTAATTTTTCATAATTTGTGCATGTCATTTTTTCAGAATAACAGATTAATAATAGACGCATATCGTTTATCATTGCTCAATTCAAATTATCAAGTTGCTCAATTTGCTTTAAGCAATTTACAAGAATTTGTATTGGCGTGCCCAGGTTTGACAAATTTTAGGGAAGCCGATATTTTAAATTTTCATTTCAGAAGAATCACAAAATCTGTTGAAGTTTTCTTCGATTGCTATGAAAAAGATTACCGAGTTCATTCACTTCAAACGAGTCACATATTTCAAAATCTCTAGCTTCGATCTCACAATAAAGTATTTTATTTTAATGTTCAATTTTTATTTAATATTCATATTAATAGTTTTGAAACTGTCTTGTAATATCTTTTTATTTCTGATTGATTAAAAGTCTATATAATTTTTGAAGGATGTCGGCTCGAGAAAGAAGAGTTCCCCGAATCCATACATCAGCAGAAGCTATCGCCTATTTCGAAAAATATAGAAGAGTCAGAACAACTGATATGAATATCAAACAATGTCAATCTATAACATTTAATGTGGATGGAACAAAATTAGTTTGTGGATCAAATGACAAAAAAGTAAGCGTGGCTGATGTTGATGGAGGAAGATTACGTTTTTCTTGGGTTGGATCAAGTCACAATGCACCGGTTGAACAGGTATTTTTTTTGAAATAGTCTACTTAGAAAAATGCTTCTTTAAAAATATAATAGTGTAAATTTATTTTTGATTGTTTAGGTTTCATGTAGTGATAAATCTCCGTATCTTTGTGCCTCGGCGAGTTCTGATCGAAGTGTTTGTGTTTGGGATATTCGACAAAGTAAACCATCCCATAGAATATCTAACAAAGTTGGCAATATTTTTGTTGATTGGTCGCCTTGTGATTCATATTTCATATTTGGAGATAGAGATAGTAGATTAAATGTTGTGGATGTCAGAAACTTCGAAGTTATCAGCGTTAGTTTTTTGAAATTTTTTTCAAAGAAAATATTTTTATTGTTTTTCAGACCTACGATATGAAACAAATGACTCATGAATTTTTATTCCATCCATTATCAAAACACGTGATTGTAGCAAGTTCGTATGGGAAAATTGAAGTATTGAAGTGAGTTTGAATTATTTATATTTTAAACAACCGTAAACTTCGGATAATTCGATAAAAACTCTGTAAAATTTTTAAATTTATATTACAACTCTAGTCTTTTTCAGGTTTGAAAATGGAAATCTCGAACCAGCTGCAACAATTCAAGCGCATTCACTTCAAGTCGATTGTCTTGCTTTGTCAGTTTCAAAAGACGGAAGACGTCTAGCAGTTGGTGCTTCAGATGCTTCTTGTTCAATTTGGAATTTAGACGAACTGATATGCGAAAGAGTTATTCCTCGACATGATTATAATATTCGAACTGTTTCATTTTCATGTAATGGATTATTATTAGCATCAGGAAGTGAAGATCCATCAATTGATATTGCATATGTTTCAGATGGTAAAAGGTTTGTGAATAAAAATGATATTGAAAAAAACAAAAACAAAGAAAACTTTAGATGTCACGAGATAAAAAATCAAGGAGAAACATATGCTCTAACTTGGCATCCAACTCAATTACTTCTTGCTTATTCGACTTGTGATTCAAGTAATAAACGAGATATAACAAGTATCAAAACATTTGGCCATACAACAGTTTGAATATGAACATTTTTATTTTTCAATTTTAAACAATTATTTCTTTTCCAGTATTTTTTCCAGCAGTCGATGTTTTCTTTGGTGGAGAACTTCCAACTTTGTAGTTCTTATCGACTTTTTTGAAATCACCTTCTAGTTGGATCTCTGGAAAAAGTTAAAAATTTCAAATTTATAAATCTATAGATACAAACCATCCCCTCTATCATCTATCGATTTTTTGAACATTTCTTCAAGTTGTTTTTGGGTCATTTGAGGAACTCCTTTTCCTGGTGGAGCTGAATCAGCTTTTCCAACTTGTTGTTTAGTCCTAAAAACTAGTTTATAGATTTTTTGAAAATATAATTAAAATCTCACATAATTTCTTCTCCTCCACTTCCTGGTCTTTCGGCATTTTGTTGTCCATAAGTTTGCTGTTGATTATAATCACTATAAATTCAAAGATATATTTTTTCTCAAACTTTTTGAAAATCTAACTTATTATTTCCCCATCCATTATTATTCATTTCTCCACCATTTCCCCAACTTCCACCACCAGTATTTCCACCATAATTATTGTTTCCTCCACCATAATTATTATTTCCTCCGGTTATTTGACGTGGGCTGAAAATGTTACTCATTGAAATGCGAAACTTCTTCGAGTTTCTTTTTGAAACAACATCAAAACAACGAACTTATCGGAAAAAACGGGATTTCCTCCAACATTACAACGATCATAACTGCAACAACATAAACTGACAGGAATCGCTTGGAATGTTGTGAAAATACACGTATCTTTTGCAAGCATACATCTCCATGTTGAACATCCAGCTTTCACAAAATTAACCATAACCATTGCAGATGTTGACATATTATAACAATATGAAGAACTTGGACATTCTTCAGTTGTTTCTCCAACACTTTGTAATGCAAGCACTTTCATTCCCTATTAAAATAACGAATGGAAAATGAAATTATTTTTAATGATAAAGCTTTTTTCAGTAAATTCCGAAAAGATTTATTACAATAACAGTTGAATTTTCATGAAATTCAGGGGTACGCTCAAAAGTTTTTTTTAAACTTCTATATTTAATTTTTCCATCCTTTGAAATTTCCAAAAAAAACAATTCAAAACTACAGTAATCTTTGGAACTCACATTATAACATGTCAATGAATATGCAAATCCAAATATAATTGAAAATATCAAAAGTTCTCGTAGCATTTTGAAAAAAAAAGAAAAGAAGAATAAAGTTTAGTTCCTTCCTTTTCTTTTTTCTTCTTCAAATGTTGATTAGTTATAACAACTGTTGTTTTCAGAAAAAAGATGCATGTTGTTGCCAAAATATCAATCAATGGATTACTCATAGTTCAAAAGTGGAAAAACAAATAACTAGATTTTTTCATTCATCTCAAAAATACAGTAACCAAATTTTTTTGTGCGCTTTTCTGTTTCTGAGCCTCTTCTTCGTCCATTTTTCTTGCGAAATAAAAATATAAGGGAAGAATGAGAGACGTAGACATCTGCTCAAAAAGAGTGCACATTTGCTCTATTGCCAATATATTTAGCTTGTTATTATTTTTCCTGAGCTTTTTTATTTATTGAAACTTTTTTCCAAATATGAGAAAATTGAAATGAGCAATCCAGCAATCGAACAACTTGGATTATCAAGTGAAAGAGCATTTGAAATATTATTTAATGAGGCGAAATCAATAATTGCCGAATGGTATAGTCTGAATGTTGTAAAGTTGGTTTTTGTTGTGATTGAGATTTATTGAACCAAATCTAAATCGAAAACAAATTGATTTACAGCAAATTGATTCCACAAACTCCAAACAAAATAAGAACATTTTCGAGATTTTTTTGCACTCGGACATTTATTTATATTGTTATTACTTTAATATTTTTAATTATTGGATCAGTTGATATGTAAGTGAAAAATCAAAATTATTATTTGAAAAAACAATGTAAACTTTCAGCAATAATCATATAGTTGTTCCATCTGTTGTCATTTATTTTCTTCTTTTGATCTTCACATTTGTTTTATATATTTGGCAAAATCGAGTTCGCGCAAATATTTTCCAACACAAATATCGAAAAGCTTACGAAGAAATTGAAAAACTTCAAAATCACAAAATATCTGACTATGTTTATCAAACAAATTTAGAACCTGTGACAGATGATGTTACAATTTGGCAAGCTTGTATTCGAGATGGAAAAATTGTTGAAGTTCCAAGAATATTATTAGTTCAAGGGGATATTATTGTTTTTCGTCCAGGTCAGATTTCACCATGTGAATGTGAAACATTTGATGGAAGATTTTTGAATAAGGGAGATAAAATCGATTGGATTATTAAAAAAGATGAAAATACTAATATTATTGAACCATTGGAACCAATTCATGTAAGATTTTTTTGTTTTTTCGAAATTATTTTCCAACGAATTTTTAGGCTCGGGTAGTTTCTTTTCCAATAAAATATCATTTGGAAACAACACTTTCTTCTGAAGATTCTTGTTTACAATTTGATTATCAACTTCAATTTATAATTCACAAAGTTTTCGAAAGATATATTATTCCAATTGTTTTTATATTTGCAATTATTGGTTCAATAATTCGATTATATTATCCCGAAAAATATTCATTTTATTCAACAAGATTTATATTTGCAATACCTTGTTTCACAATTCTTCCACTTTTCACAATTCAACTTCCAATTCTTCTTCATTTTGTGAAATTTTGGAATAATCGACTAATTGCGAAAGAACTTGGAATACAAAATTATTCAAATTTTGAATCAACAAAGGATTTGGTGTCTGTATTTTCAAGTATAACTGGTGCATCAATTATTGATAAAAAAGGAGTTCTTTCGGCTGAACATCCTTCAATTGAAAAACTTGTTTTTGCAACAAAAAATACATCAGATGATTGTTATTTTGAAGTCATCAATTTATCATCTGAACAAAATTCACAAAATCCATCAATTTGGAATCTATCAATGGATGATTTAAATTGGAAACGATTTACACCAAGTTTATTACCATTGGGACATAATATTCTACTCAATTCTTGCAAACAAAATCAATATTTTCATAAATTATTGGATCATTTATCGGTTGTTGCATTAAATGTTCCAAGAACAATTGCAACAGCAAATCGGAGATGTATGTGTCAACTTCCGATTTTAATGGGTTTCACCGATAAATCTATTGAAAATTTCAATAAGAAACCATCGAAAGTAATTGGAATTTATAAAAAACAACCAGGAGAAGCTCCACTTCCAGGGTATTTTAAATTACAAAAAAATCATATAGATTAATTAATTCATTTTTCAGTTTAACAAAACATCGAACACCTTTGGAAATGGCATTTTGTACAATTCACGAAGATTCCAATTCTTTATATTCTCATTTTTCTTGTCAAGGAACTGCAAATATTGTTGTCGATGCTTGTACTCATATTTGGAATGGTAAAAATGTAATACCAATGTCAAAAAGAATGATAAGTGCAACTAGAGATTTCTATCAAAGACATTCTATGACTGGGTAAGTTTTTTTCTATTATATTTTAATAGAAAAAAGTTGATATAAAGAAACAAACAACTCAACTTTATCACGAACTAAAACTTTGCAGAATAAGATTACTGTAGATCTTTTTTGTTTCAGACATTGTTTGGCAATTTCTTATCGACCAGTATTTTCAAAAATCGATCCATCAGTAAATGGAAAATTCATTGAAATCCCATTGAATCGAGAAATCAATAAAATCGAACCAATAATTCCAAAACATCACAGTACTGAATTTATAAATGAAATACCAATTCAAAAAACAATTCGTACATCAGATGAACTAATTGAAGAATGTTTTACTGGAAATATTTTATGCGGATTGGTTGTTTTGCATTATGAAGCTATTCAACAAGCAGTTACAATGATTGAAAAATTGGATTCACTTTGTGTTCGACCTGTTTATTTTTCGAAGGAAAATGAACTGAGAAGTCGTGTTTTTGCGGAAAAATTAGGAATTGAAGCTGGTTGGAATTGTCATATTAGTTTAGCAGATGAAGAAATACAATCAAAACAGTTGGAAATAAATTATGAACAATTTGCAAATCAAAAACCGAGTCAACCAAAATTCTGGAAAAGATTTGCATTGAGTGAAAGTCATTTGGAATCTCTTGATTGCGAATCTCTTCTTCGTGGATCTCCTTCAACTCGAAAAATGAGTGTTGTTTCTCCAAAAGTTGGACCAATTCCAAATATTGCTCGACTTCCAACTGGTATTCAAAATGTTCGACCACATCTTGATGAAGTTGATAATGTTCCACTTCTTGTTGGTTTATTTACTGATTCAACAACTCCAGCAGTTGAAGAAATGTTTGATATTTTACAAGAAAATGGCGAAATTATAATTGCAATTGGATCATCAAGAAATGTTAATAATACAAAATTATTCACAAAGTCGAATATTTCAATTTGTGTTGATGATTTAGAAGAAAAACCATGTCGAATAAATGAAAATGAGATTATAAAAAGTAATGTGAATGAAATATCAAGTCAATTATTATCACTGGCAACTGATTTTCGTTTGGATCATAAACAATTACTTAAAATTCCATGGCTTATAAATTGCAGTCGACATCGAATGCTTTCATTTCGACATTCTTTTATCTTCCTTTTATATTCTTCATTATTATTATCAATTACAATACTCATATCAATGTATTTATTATTACCAATAATCTTCACTCATGCTCAAATTATTATATCTACTTTAATTCATATTCCCATATTATTTATTGGAACAATATTCACAAAATTCGAGCCAAAATCAAATATTATTCGAATTGCTCCGAAAAACAGTGAACAAATGTCGAAAATTGAGAAAACCAAGTTGATAACGACATTTTTGATGCAATTTATACCAACAACAATATATTTGAATATTTTGTTCATGTTTTTAATTAATTATTCAAAGGACTTATGTACAGAATCCTGTGATAATGGAAATATCGAAGATGAGCCAACTAGTTATGATATTGGTCGACATATTATTGGTTTTCATTTTACAACATGTCTTTGTGTTTTATCATCTTCATTTGTATATGGATTACGAACTATTTGGAATTCTCCACCTTTTGAATGTTTATCGTGGATAATTGCTGTTTCAATATGTATGATTAGTCAGGTTTGTACTTATATTTTAAATTTTCAAATAATCTATGAAACTTTCGAACTTAATTTCAGATTGGTTACTCATTTGCTCGCTCAATTGACATATCAAAAGTTTTTCTTTGGCTTCCATCAACTGTGTTATTTCTTTGGATTATCGCAATTGTTATAATCAATGAATTGATTAAAATTCGAAGAATTCGTCAATTTACACAGGAACAAAGAAGAACTAAATTCGATTTTGATACAAAACTAGGAATGAATTCACCATATTAAAATAAAAATAGAAATAAAGATTGTTTGTTCTTTTTTTCGTTCAAAATATTCCCAAAGGACATTTTAAGAAGTATATGATTGGCTGTCGGAATAATTCCAAGAAATTGTCGAACTAAACCAACTTTTCATTTTTTACTCGATATTCCGCCTCCCTCTTTGCTGTCATTTTTTTAATGTTTGGAGTTTTTTGGCAAGTCCATTCATTTTTTTTGTTTCTCGAAAAGTTTATTCGTTTGTTTCAAAAACGAAAACTTTTCTTTCTTTCATTCTTATCTTCACACATTTTCTCGTGGGATTTGTTAGTTTCTCTAGAAATGGATGGCACACTTTCACACAACGATTATTGTGACACAATGCAGGATTCGGTTGTGAGCACCTCAAAAAATATGCGAAGACATTCACATCATACTAATATTCAACATCATCGTCCAAGTAGTGTAAATGCTTCGCAAGTTTTGATATCTTGCTTGAGGTTAGTTATGAATCAGGATTTCTAAATGAAAATTTCTGAAGATAAAAATTACCTACAGCAAATACGTTCAAAAATATATTATTTTGTATTGACTAATTTCCAAGTTAGCTTATTGTGAACCTTCATTGATTCTGAATACCAATATTATCAATTTTTCTTTATAAGATGTTTTGTTTACGGAATCTATACTTTTTCAATTTCTAATTTTTAACATCTTGCTTCTTAAATGTTTAAGAATTTTTAAGAAGTTTTCTACAACTTTTCATTTTGAACTAGAATCTCCCAATCAAAATCCAATTATTTCACTACGCAGAAAATTGTTTGGTGATTTCATAACAACTATTCACCCAATTCGAATGAAAATTCGAAATTTCAGAGCTATTTTGGCACGTTCTCTTTTCATTGTTCATTCGTTGGTTACAATTCGACAAACAGTGATGATGACTAACAGGTATTTAATTTCTTATTTTATTTCAAACACCAAGGATAACTCGATGTTTGACCTTTTTCTACTGGTTCAACTCATATTTCGTATTTTTTTTACAGAGAAAGTGTCTGGGGATTTGCTTTGCTCTCTCTTTTGATCGTTTTTGAAGGCGGGTATGCAATTATCATGAGAGCTGGAGATGAAAGAAAATGGTGTGTTTGTTTGGTTGGAAAAAAGTTAATAAATGTGTGTTTTGGTTAAGGTTCTGCTCGAGTGTCTTTTTGTATATTATTGCAACAGCGCCACCCATTTGGATTTTGGAAACAAAAATTTGTTCATATCGAAATGAAAATAGCATTGGTAATGAAATGGAATGAAAACAACGAATAACAAATAATTACAGATCCTTCTGGTGAACTTCGACTACAACTTTTAGAACAGCTTTTATTAGTGAATTTAATTGTCGGAAGATGGCTACTTCCAAAAGGTGATATATCTCGAGAACAATTATCACAAATATTATTAGCTTATTTAGTAGGTTACGGTAATCCATATTATATTCCTATTGAAACACTTGATTTTTCAGGCAATATCTTCAGATATTGTTGAATTTTTTGATGTTTTCAAAGAGAAAGCTGTATATTCGAATACATATTTGCAGACAATTGTATTATCAGCATGGACTGTAAGATATTGCGTATAATAAAGGCTAACTAACATTAATTTCGTTCAATTTTCAGCTGAGTCTTCTTCAATTTCCATTTGTTCTAACAGTTAGCAGAGCTAGAAAAATGCGTGTTGCAATAACAAATGATTATGAACAACTATTTGCACAACATCGACCTAGAAGTTGCTTGAAAGCCTTTTACGATGTTGATATTTGGGCTATTTTCTTGGCTAATGCTCTTCAAGATGTTCCATTCTTTTTAGTAAGTTAAAAAGAGAAATAAGTTTGTTGAAAAAAAAATACAAATTTAAGATTCGGCTATATTTGATGACAGTTCACAATCTGGTTACTTACACAATGATTTTCTTTTTCTTTAAAAACATGCTAATTATTTTGTTGCAGACTTACAGGTATTTTCCTAAATGTTTTTGGCTTATTAAAATCATTACCGTTTCAGATCAATAATTATCATAAATGATAGATATATTCATCCGAAACCACCAGATATGGATATTATTGAACATAATATGGATCTTATAAAATCTCCTGATGATCGACATTCTCATAATCAAGGAAAAAAGAATGGAAATCATAATAATAAAAAGAAACATGATTCAAAGTCAAAAAATAATCATAAACAGAATCGTCGAAGTAGTTCAAGTACTCCAGTGAAAAAACGAAGAGCTTCAAGAAATCAATCGATATCTGAAGAACGAGAACATCTATTTCCAAGAAGAGGAAGAAGATTAGACACATTGGAAGAAAACTAATCATTTACCTATTTACGTTGAAAATTATAATATAAAGTTGCATGTTACATGATTTGAAATTTACAAGATTAAAATGTTGACAGACCTTATTAATGTGAAAGTTTCGCTTTCAAGCTTTCCTCTTGTAATCGAGTTTTTTGATATTCTTGGCGAACTTTACTTGTTTTATTATTGATTGCATATTGCAAAATATTTCTCTCAGCGTACGATGCTCCATAACTTTTCATCAGCTTATTTTTTATTTCTGTTTCCACATTTCGATTTTCGTTGAGATTTTGTGAACGAGTTTTTCCTTTAAAAAAATATATGTTGTATGTTTTTAAGAAAATAAACGAAAACTTACTTTCGTCATTGAGTTTATGAAGAGTTTTGCGAATGTCTACCAATTGAGTATCCATCGCTTGTACAGACTGAAAATCTCAACATATTTGATATTAAACGTGTATTATAGCTTACCAAACAATCCAAAGATTCAATTAAACATTCAAGAGTATCTCTAAATTGTTTTTCAGTATCAATTGTTTTCTGATCATCTAAACGAAGCATGAATTCTTCATTTGTTGTTTCCAGTTCATCCTCCCATACAGTTTTTGTTTGAACAAGTCTCAAAAAGTAAAAAAAATTATTTTAAGTTAATGTTTTTCAACTAACTTTTCACTGACTGATTTCAATACTTTCAACTCTTTCTCCAAAGCGGCTTTTTCAGTTTTGAACAACTTTTGCTCATCAGAAGTTTTTTGTTTGAAAATATTTTCCTCATTGATATCATTTTTCTTTTCATTTTCTTTCGTGGTTGCGATAAACTCGTTTTCACCTTTCAAGACATCTTTTTGGTTGTCGACTGCTTCCATGAATTTTTGAAAGAAGTTCTCAGCGTTTTGCGCCATATTTCTGAAAAAAGGATTTTTATGCGAAAAATATTTAAAATGTTAAGGAAAAGGAACTGGATTAGTGAAAGTAGAATACTGTTGAACGCAACAATCATAACTAAAACCAAAAACTTCCGCATCTCCAAGAAACATCTTACTGGCAAATCCAGTATACTGCTAGTAGGATCATTTTTTGCACTTCTTACTTTAAGTAATCTACTGGATCTGCCTGTGTAGGCGATATCGCGCGCGCAACGTTCAAAATGACGGAAAATTATTTGTTTGCGCGTCAAATTAAATGCTTACGCAAATGTAAATGCCGTGTGCACACATATGAATACCGTACACTAACGCCAAATTTTTTTTTCCAAAAATGTTCGCTTGCAAGCTCAATTGAATTCGAATACATTCAAGTTCCGAGGCTGTTTTTGTATAAATGCGTAAACTTCCGCGCTCCAGATTTTTGAAAAGTTTCAGTTCCATTGAATTTTATCTCATTGCACACTGCTTATTAGTTAAAACTAAATCAATTGATTTCATGATATATCGATATAAAAGTTTGAAAATTGTATGTTTCCTTTTGAAGCTTGAACAAAGTGCTCTATGTATGGAAATCCTAATCGTTTGTAAAGTTATTTTTGTTAAGTAAGATGATGTCATACGATCATGGAAATGATGAAATAGTTGATAACATTTGTCAAATTTTAAACTTTTAAAGCTTCATTGCTTTCAAAAATATTCTTTGTCAGTTTTCCACGCAATACTTTTCTCTTTCTTTACTACTTATAATCTATTCACAATTTCAAAATTAAACCAGAAACAATTTTTCTATAATGCTCATTATTCGTTTTGTTGCATTGTCCTAATTATTATTCTTAAGATTCCTGTTCAATTTCAGTATTTATATGAATAGTGTAATGTTTTAACATGACATTATATCCTTGAATTTCACAAGAAAGATTGCGCATACTTCACAAACTAGGCGCGCACTGTGTTTTTTTCTAATAGAAAAATGCAATTCCGAGGAGACGCAGACAGAGAGAGAAAGAGGATGGTCTCGACACGATGTGTGTCTGCCACACACTATTTCTCTCCCTTTTTCGGCGAGAGATTTGTCTGCCCACGTTAAAGTCTGCGTCTCTCAGAACTGGCAAGAAAAAATACAGTGCGCGTGCCATGAAAACCGAACATTATAATGTTTGTGGCCTAGAAATTTCTTCTGTTCTTCTTCCACTTCATTTTTTCCATCACGGTGTAAAAATGAACCTCTGATTAGTTTTGTGAAATGTTTCACGCAATTATCATAAAAATACTTAGAAGATGTTATTTGGAAACGTATAATGAAATTAATCATGAATTTATATTTCAGACAGGAATGATCAAATTGCCACATCGGGTATTAGTAAGGTTCCATGGGCCAGACACGTATAGTTTTCTTCAAGGACTCATAACCAATGATATTAAGTGAGTATTTTTGTTTTAACAATATAGATGTTTGATGAAACAATTAAATTACAGTTTGCTCAAATCAGCTAACGGAGTTTCTGCTTTTTTGCTCAATACAAAAGGAAGGATTGTCGAGGATGTTTTACTTTGGAATCGAGGAACAGATGATATATTTTTAGAATGTTCAAAGAACAACAAAACAAACATTATTAAAGAAATAATGAAATATCGATTGAGAAAAAAAGTTGAAATCGAAGAATCATCGGATTCAGTTGGATTTTTAGAATCAAACAAAGAAAACTTTATTGATCCAAGATTTTCCAAGTTTGGTTCACGCGTTTTCGGTCAAAATCTGGAATGGGAGGATAATTCAGAAAAGTACAACAATTTAAGAAGAAAAATTGGATTGGCTGAAGGAGCGAATGAATTAGAAGGTTTATTACCATTTCAGGCAAATGGCGACTTTTTGAATATGGTTTCACTTGATAAAGGTTGTTATATTGGACAAGAATTAACAGCAAGAACAGCTCATACTGGTGTTATTCGTCGACGAATCATTCCATTTAAAAATGATGGATTAATTGAACTCGATTCTGATATTTTAGATGAAAAGAAAAATAAAGTTGGAAAGGTATGTTTTCTGAAATTAGAATTGATTTTATTATACATATATTTTTTTAAAGATAATTTCGAGTGATAAAACCAACAGTCTTGGCATTTTGCAACTTTCTGCTTTTGGAAAATCGCTAACGTCTTCAAATGGAATTGTTCTTGTGGCATCGAAACCAGAATGGATGCCAGATAAAATTATAAATAATAATGATAGTAATACTAAAAAGAATTTATCATAGATATTCTTACATATAGTTAATAATATAGTTTTCAGAAGTCTTTCGAACTAGTCATTAAATGTTTTTTTTTTAATTTTGTATATTCGTTTCGAAAATCTGTTTATTTCAACAGTTTCATACTTTTAATAGATAAATTATTTTCAGCATCAAATAAGTTTCAGATATGTCAAAAAGTCAGATAAAACGATTAGCTGAACAAGAAGAATTGGCTAGACAAGAGGAAAACGATGAAATTGAAACAGAAGAACCAGTTCGAAGAGGACCCGCCAATCGATTCGCATTTTTTGGTAAACCCTCTCTCAAATTCAAATTAGCTTTTCATAATACCTTTAATTCAGATGACGAAAATGATAATGATGACAATGATCAAGATGTAATTGAAGATTTACAAAGTGTTCCAGAAAGCTCGAGAAAAAAATAAGAAAAAGCGAAAAAATAAGAAGAATAAGGAAAAAGATGAAGATAATTTGACAGATGAACAACTTCTTGATAAAATGATGGAATTGGTAAATTATTTTTAATGAGATTTTTGCTAATTTGCGGTTTTGCAGAACAATAAAAAATCGTCTGGAAATTCAATCAAAAAAGGAATTCCTGAAAATCTTTTCGGCGAAGACAATGAAAATTTGCTTGAAGTTCCGGCAGTTGAAAATCTAATGAAAATTGATCCGAAAATGTTTGATCCATCTGCTGAATTGAAAAAGTTGTTGGGTAAAGCATTTTCTGGAACAGGAGCAACTAGTGGTGGAAATTCAAATTCACGCAATTCAAAATGGAAACCAACCGGAAGAATTGTGAAAATGAAAGCAAATTGGCCGCCAATTAAAAATATTGGGTTGACAATGGTTCAAGATGGAAATGATAATGATATTAAATGGTTCAAATTTGTTCATAATTCGAAATACGAAGGACTAGAGAGGTTTGCATCATTTCAGTTCAAATTTATAATTGATTTGCATTAAATTTTAGAATGTTCTGGCTTGGTGAAGATACAATGAATATTGGAATAGTTCAAGAAATTCTTCAAGATTCTTGGTATCATTTGAATTCACTTTTAATGCTTGCAAATATGTATAGAATGCAAGAAGATGTTACTCAATCAGCTGATACAATTGAAAGAGGAATATTTCATTGTGAACAAATGTTTGCTTCACAATTTCAACCATTTTCTTGGAAACATCGAATTAATTACTTGGATTATGAAAATCGTGCATTTTATTTGCTTCTTTATCGACATATGATGAATGCAAGTCATAAAAGATGTTTCGAAACTGCTCTTAACACTGCCAAATTCATTTTCAAAATGGATCCACAGAGTATGTCATTTTTGTCTTGTTTCAGAAGCTCATATGTTTGAGAGAGTTTGAAAACTAGCAACTTCTTAATTTTCTCGAACACTTCCAGCTAGTTTAGGCAATAAAAATGAACGTACATGATTCTTGAGTCAAGAATCTTGTCGTATAATCTTTCTAATGTGATTTTTATATTTCAGGAGATCCGTTGGCTATTCTTGCTTTGATTGATAGTCTTTCTATAAAAGCTCGTCAATATACATGGTTTCTTCAATTCTATGAATCTGCTCTTGAATGGAAAAATTTGATGTATCTTCCAAATATGAAATATTCTCTTGCATTGGCCAAATTCCATCTTGCAAAAACCGATTTACAAAAAGAAGGCGCCAGTGATGCGGTATGTTATTTATTATATTAATAGTTTTTTCAATGTTAGAAAAGAAACACAATTTTCAGTTAGCAACGGCAATTCGACATTTTCCATCAGTTGTCACTGAAATATTGGATGAGCTTCAAATTCATCCAGATTCTCTTATAATGAATCATGAATATTTCTCAAGTTTTGCCGCAAATCGAGAACCAGATGGTTTGAAACAATTGACTAAGATTTATGTTAAACAAACAGCTGAATTATGGAAAACTCCAGAAATTTTGGAATGGTTGGAAACTGTTACTCGAAAAGTTGCACAAGGTCCGAAAGATGAATTGAAATTATGGAAAGAAAGGTTTGTTGATACCGAGTTTCGATAATTAATTGAATATATAAGTAGATACAATGTTGCTTTACCAAGTCGGGGATAAGCGCTCCTACTTAATTTCAAGTTTTCATGCCCACTCACATAAAAATGAAAAAAAAAACTCACAGATTTTTCATTTTCCGCAATTTTTGAACTCAAATTTAGGAAGAATAGTCTGATTGTGAAACAAAAAGACATTAGAAATGAGATCACGTTATTTTTTTTTTTTTTTTGAAAATGCATTTACTAATTTCTAAATGTCACGTTCGCATATTGTTTAAATTTCACGGTAAAAAAGGAAGAGCGGGATCTATTTTCAGATTTTACCGAACATTTCTAACAATAAAGCCACATTCAGAACTTCAAACTGAAAATTTTTTATAAGCCAAACTTTTAGAAATTGTTAATTTAATCTATTTCAAATTTTGTTGTTTTATTTCAAGCCAAATTTTAGACAAGAGCGACAAAGTTCAAATATTTTTTAGACTTATAATTGTCAAAAAAGTTTTTCCTAATCAATTTTACAAATATAAGTTCACAAGTTCTGTTTTTCAGAAGATCAAAATTGTTTGTTGGAATTGCTCCAAATATTCATCGTCTTTCTTGTCTTCTCGAATATAGCGAATCAAATTCTCTAACTGATCCAGTTCCTCCACCAAAAGGACGTGCAAGATATCGAAGGGAAGATCATGTAACAAGAGGAAGTGACAATTCATTCCTCGGTGGACTTTTGCATTCTTTATATCCCGGTTATAATCCAGTGAGTTTTACACCTTAACTATCACTGTTTTTTACAAACTAAAACATATATTTAAGGAAGAAAATTTGGAAGAAGCTGTAAATCGAAATTTGCATGATATTCTCGGAAGAATACGTAATGTTCTTCAGCCAGATGTTCCAGAACAAGTTGTAATTGATCCAGAGGAATTAATTAGACAAATTCGAGAAGAAGAAGAACAAGGAAGAAATGGGGAACAACCAGGTGAACAATAGTTATTTATTCATTTTCCGGTTTTTAATTGTGATAGTAGTGAGTAATATATATGAATTTATTATAATAATTCAAAGGCACAACATTTTTGAATTTCGAAAAACCCGCTGCCGAAAACCATTTCAATTTTGTTCGTTTCATTTCGGTGGTCCCATAAGATGTGCACTAATTGATGGTTTGAGCATTTCGAATAAAATTACTAAAGTTATAACAGCAGATACATACATTGTTAGAACCAAAGTTAGTTCAGTCCTGAAAAAAGTGGAATAACTTTTATAGTTTATCAAATTAATATGTCTTACCTGGTTAAAGTGACGCCGACAACTTCTTCTTTTGCTTGAAATTTTGTTCTTTGCTCCTCTGAAAATCAATATATGTTTTTGTAAGAAAAAAAGTGAATGACAATTTTGTATCCCGTTTTTCACACCCATATCTAAATAACTAATATATTTTCTTACGTAATAATGGCGGTCCTAAATTGATATTTGAATTGTGATAAATAGTTCGAGTTATTGATGAATGCATCATTTTTACATTATCTATATAGAATACAAAATGTGTCTGAAAAATCAATGTAAGCAGTGATTAAGAAAGAAAAAAACAAGATTGATGACTAAATATAAAACGATATTATTCATCCGGAAAGAAAATGGGGCGAAAAAATGATTTCAGCCCGTTCGGATTAGAAAAATAATGGGGCGGAGTCGGATATTTGACTAATCACTATTTTTCTCGTGTCTTCAAATTGTACTTTTCTCATAAGAAAAAACAACTTGATAAATGGAGCCGTTTTTTTTGCTCAAACTCAAATTATCGATTCGAAAAATGTGGGAATCAAATTATTTGCGATAATTGAATTTGAAAATCAAATTCAAATGTCATTATTTTGTTATATAAATGGGATGGCTTTTGTATTTTATCTTTTCTCTAGGAATACAAAATATCAAAGGATTAGAATACATTATTTTTAGGTATGATTTACCAGGAAATATTTTGAAAAAAACCAGAGATTACAAAATATCGAGTATATTGAAAAGAAAAGATATATTTCGAACTTAAAAAGTTTTAGAAGAAAAAGAAAAAACTTTGTTTTTTATAAACTCGAAAAAAACCGAAAAGGTGTATATCGGAAATGACAAATTATTTCATGCAAAAATAAGCACATTTTGAAAGTATTTCAATACGCCTTTTTGTTTTTTCTCAATTCATATGTTTTTTATTTTCAAAATCCCTCCTTCTTTTCAAAAAAAAAACAAACTTACGTCCAACAACACGCCTAGAATTGAACATTATTCAGTTGATTTGATTTGGCTGGAAAAATTGAAAATTGTTCTTGTTATTTTCAGCGCACTGATAAATGATAGATTATAAAATATTAGGAGAGTTCGAGACAGATAAAGATATATTATTCATATTAATATTATTTTTAGAGATACAGATTTATATTTTTATTGAAAAAAAGAAGAAGGTAGAATATTATTATTTTTGTTGGAAATTTTACTTAAAAGTTGAGATTGAGAGAAAAATAGAAGACTTTTATAGCATAAAGAATTAAAAAATAAACGGACTTGATCCCATACCAACATGAAAAATGGGCACGATTAATTAGACTTCCTTCAAAAACAGGAATACAAACTTTTAAACTCAAAATATCTGAAAATAAGGAACTTCAGTGTTGAATTATAAAAAATTTTGTTTTTTGGAGAATAAAATCTTGGAAAATATCTTGGGAAAAATAAAATAGGACATATTTATCTTTTCATTATGTTAAAAATTTGGAATTCCGAAATAACATTTGGTTTTGAAAACAAAAAACTTCTACTATCAGAAAAGAGCGAAATTTAAGTATTTACAAAGAATCTTGAGAAAAAAAGAAAAAAATAAACATGAAAAACGTAACAAAATATTATTGAACAGCAAAAAAAAAACAAGAAAATATGAACATATAATTATTATTATATGATACGAAAAAAAAAAATAAATTCTAGCAGAAAAACCGAAAAATAGCTACAAATACAAGAGTATTTACAAAACTTTTCGCCCGTTTTTTGTTCTTCTCAGAAAGTGCAAATAAAACATTTAGTCGTCAAGTTGAGAAGAGAAATAATATTCTCAGGCCAAAGAACTTTTCATCTAAAAAAAATATATATGATATCTGATTGACTGAAAACATTATTTGAAAAAAAGTTGTGCTGCAAAAATTAATATCGATAAAATTGCATGAAAATGGAAACTGGAAACTGGTGACGTTTCTGAGAAAGTCAGAACGGAAATATTTGATTGTGAGACATTAAAACATTTGGAAAATAAAATTATTTTCAATTCAAATCTGAAAAAAAACGAAACATCTACAGTAATCTCCGCTTTGGTACAATTTTGAGTGATCTCAACAAAAAGTTCGGATTTTTTTATCAATTTTAATTCACACGCCTGGCTGAATTCATTCTCAAGTTTTCTAAAAATATTTTTCAAAATTTGATTTTGTGAAACGACTTTGGATTTTTCCAATAATGAAAAAAACAATTTATTGGTTAACAACAATTTTGGGTGCTCAATAATTAATTTACGAAAATTTTTTTCAAATAATCTGCCTGGAAAACATGGTATATACTTTTAAGAATTTTTATTTCGAAAAAAATTGTTGAAACATCAACACACAAAATAATTTAAAATAACTAAACCGAAATAAAAACGAAAAATTGACAAAATAATCAAAAAAGTAAATATTTATGTTTTACAATGTTTCATCAAAAATAATTTGGGGAAATTTAGAAAAAATACGAAAGGATTAAAAAAGTGCAATTTAAAAAAAAACTTGCAAAATTGAATATGACAAATTATGAAAGGTTGGGTTTTGAAAAAAAAATCAAAAATATGCATTTACAATGTTTCAAGGAACACAAAAACTATTAAAAACTGATTATTTTGAGAAAAAATACAGTAATCCTATTATTTGGAACACAAATGAAATCTGAAATTATAAGAAGGTGTCCAATAATATTATGACATAAAGTATTTTTCAAATTATAAAATCCGGATTTCCTTCAAAACAATTTTATCAAGATTCGTTTTTTTTCTAAATTTAATCATATATTTATTCAAAGTCTTCTTTTTTCCTTGGCTCATTTCTCTCTTTTTTATATAATATTTCTCTTTTTTCAATCTTCTGAATTATAAATAAATATCCTCCAAAAGTAGATGATATCCACTATTTCTTCCCACTTTTTATCCTATCGACTTTTTATTTAAATGTTGTTAGAAAATATATTTGTCTTACTGTACATAATGAACTGTTTTGTTCTGAAATCTAAAATAAAAAGTACGATGAAATTCACAAATAATAAAAATTATCTCATTCATGCAGCACCTCATTAAAATTTCTTTCAAAAAAAAAAACTCGAAACTTTTTGAATTCTTTCCAGATTGAAAATGGCTGACGATGAACAACATTTGGTTCGAAAATCTCCTCCAATCAATTCATTTGATTTTTTGGTTAAAAAATCGAAAAAAAGTAAACTCTCAAAGGAGATGAAAAAGCGCCATTTTCGAGTTATCGATCGACAGGCAAGTTTTTACTCATTTTTTTCACTCAACCGGATTATCATTATTCATTATTCATCATTTTTATAAAACTGATATGATATAAAACTGAATTTCAATTTTTATTGCTCTAACTCATTTCCGTTTTGAAAATAGTATAGGTTTTGAAGAGAGTTAGACAAAATGAAGCTATCTATTATCACCATGAAAACATAATAATAGGGTTTTGTTAACCGCAAAAAACTTATTGATTTCTCTCATTTTGTTATTTGACTCTTTCTGAAAATGCTTCAAACTCCTCCAGAAGAAATATCTTCTGAAAAAGGAAATTCGAATAAAAAGAAAATTACATTCACAGCAAAACATCATTGGAGAAGATTGTCAAATATTATTGAAGGGGTTTGTTTTTTTTTTTTGAATAATTGTTTTTTGAAATATTTCAAAAGAATTTTATAAATTTTCAGAAAGTCAGTAAACCACAACAATTAGACGAATCCGAGTGGAAATCGCCAAGAAGTGAAGATAGTTTTGAACTGTAAGTAGAAACAGAACTGTGTTTATAAAAATAATACTCGAAGTTTGATTTTCAGAAAACGTTCTTGACATTATTATTCTTAGATTCGGAAAACAATCACTAAATTAAAACCACAACAAAATAAAACCACATTCCGTCTGTTTTTGTAATTTGACTTTGAAAATTTGCAGAACTAAAAGTGGCGCAGGACCCTCAACATCAATGGCAGAAAATATGAACGATTCACCAAAACCAGATAGATCTGGTGGAGTTGTTATTCAGATTGATGAAGCAGATGATGATATTGAATTCGATACAAATATTGATGAGGATGATGATGAAAAATTAAACAGTTCATCTTTGGGAATTCCATCAACTCCACAAACAAGATCGAGTAGTTTAATTGAAGATGATGTTAGATCACAATTATCTTATATTATGAAAGAAAGATTACATAGTTTGGCAAAAGAAGTATGTTAATTTAAGAAGAGATAAACATATTATTCAGAGAAATGATTTCAGGTTCATCGAAGAACTTCAGCAGTTCGTGAAGATCTTATAAAAGAAACACCAGAAGATTCAGTATCTTTAGCATCAACAGTTCCAAAAACAGAACATCGGCCTAGTTTAATGTCATTAATTGGTCTACAAAAACGAGCTGATTCTCCAACTACAAATACAGCTTCAGTTAAAACAATATGTGGAATAAGAATAAAAGAAACATTTCATCCATATGGTCGATTATATATGACATGGTTATCAATTGTAACTTCTTGTTTTCTTTATAATGCATTTTGTGTTCCACTTCGAAGTAGTTATCCATATCAAACAGCTGATAATTGGATTTATTGGATATCTGCTGATTATTTTTGTGATGCTATTTATTTAATTGATATGATTATTATTAAACCAAGATTAAGATTTACAAGAGGAGGAATTCAAGTTAAAAATCAAAAAGAAACAAGGCGACATTATTTATTGACAAGAACTTTCAAATTGGATATTTTGAGTATAATACCAACTGATTTAGCCTATATATTTTTTGGAAAACTACCAATTTGGAGAATGAATCGAGTATTGAAAATCAACTCATTCTGGTTATTATTCGATATGTTGGATAACTCATTTTCAAATCCATATGCAATTCGAATTGCTCGAACTTTATCTTATATGATTTATATTATTCACTGTAATAGTTGTGTTTATTATAAATTATCAGCAATGCAAGCTTTTGGACAAATTGCATATCATGAAAATGGAAAATGGTATCTTAATAAATGGGTTTACAATAATCAAGGTATATAACCAAGATTTTCAATTAAAAATAACCAAATAAATTTGTAGGTAATGCTTATATTCGATGTTTCTATTTTACTGCAGCAGTTGCCACATCAACTGGTAATAATCCAGCACCAACAAATGTTATAGAGTAAGTGCTACAGTAATCCTATTCTTCAAATTGATCATTCAGATATATTTATATGACTTGTTCTTGGATGATGGGTGTTTTTGTATTCGCTTTGTTGCTTGGTCAAATTCGAGATATTGTTTCAAATGCGAATCGAAATCGAGAAGAATTTCAACGAAAAATGGATATGGCATTAGGGGAATGTCATAAACTTGGTTTAACAAAGGATTTAACAGATCGAGTTCGTGATTGGTTTATTTATACGTGGCAACAGCAAAAAACATTGGATGAAAAAAAGCTGATTGAAAAATTACCATTAAAACTTCAAACTGATTTGGCTTTGTCTGTTCATTATACAACATTGAGCAAAGTTCAATTGTTTCAGGTAATTTATTTTGGATAAAAAATAGATCTTCGGATCTGTGTTACGGGTTACTGTAGATGAGAGGCTTTCGACTAATTATTTCTAAACATCTCAAGTTTTTTACAGGATTGTGATCGTGCACTTCTTCGTGATTTAGTTCTTAAATTGCGGCCTGTAATATTTCTTCCGGGTGATATGATTTGTAAAAAAGGAGATGTTGGAAAAGAAATGTATATTGTAAATCAAGGAACACTTCAAGTTGTTGGTGGAGAAAACAATGAAATAATATTTGCTGAATTTGCACAAGGAGCTGTTTTTGGAGAAATTAGTCTTCTTGCAATTGGTGGAAATAATCGAAGAACTGCTTCGATTCGAGCAAAAGGATATGCAACATTATTCGTTTTAGCAAAAGAAGATTTGAATGATGTCATAAGATATTATCCACAAGCACAAGCATTAATGAAAAAACGAGCTGCGTAAGTCAACAAAAATAAATTTGGGATTATTTTTTAATGGAATTTTCAGATTACTTTTGAAAAATGACAAAAAGGCTGATAATGAAAAAGAAAAAGTTAAACAACAACAAGAACTTGAAGATAGATGTAAAATTATGCCACTTGGAACTCCAAAAATGCTCAAAATTGTGGCTGATATTCTACCAAAAGAAAATAAAGTCACACTTGAACTCAAAAAAGCAATTGAAGTATCAGGTATCTTTTAAAAATCGTTTTTTTTTTGAGAAAATGATATAATATTGTTATTTGTCAGAGAGTCGACGCCCTTCAATGTATTATCCTTGGAGTACTCTCCAAGTCGAAGATGACGAAGAAGAAGGAGGAGAAGAAGTGGATTTAGAAGGAGATTTGAGTGATGTTGATGAGGTTTTTGAAAATGATTTTGATATTGTTGGAGGAGGAGAAGAAAGTCAAATTGAAGATGATGAAGAAGAGGAACATTATGGAGAATTTCATGAAGATGACGAAAAAGAAGAACAGAAAAAAGAAAAATAATTGATAATTTGAAATTGGATTTTGAATTTGATTAATAAATTTAGAAATTTTCAACTTACAGAACTCTTTTCTCAAAATATGACTTGTAGAATCGAATTTTGAGTTTTCAGAAATTTTCTGACAACAAAAATTTTCAGGGACAGAAGCCTTGTTTTCAAAACGGTCGAAAATTAAAAACAATATTTGAAACCGAATTCAATAAAATAATTATTTTTGAAGTATTTATTTGTATAAATTATTAAGTTTGTGACATGATATCATTTGAGGTATAAAGATCAGAATATTTCTACAAAAGCCAAATTATTAGACGTATGGTGAGTTGTGTTCCTGAAAAAATCAATGTTTTGTAATTGTTTTTTTTTATAACGGAACTAACATGTTTCAAGCTTTCTGGTTCCATTAATGCTGATCTTGATTCAATTCTTTCATCCAATTGTTCCATCAAATCCTGAAATTAAATATTTTCCCAAAGTCTTTCCTTAACAATTTTGTTACCTGAATATCATTTATTTCATCGACGAGTTCATTTTTTCGTTTTTCATTATTTTCATTGTCATTTGAGAATGCATAAATTGGCAGTTCAACTTTTTCATTGCTATGTCCAATTGTTCGAATTCCAAACATTTTTGCTCGATTCGAATTCTTATTTTTGAATTTTGGGAATTTTGTCAATTTCATTTTTGGTCCTTCAATTTCTCCATAATGTAATTTTATCAATCGAGTTTTCTTGTTTTTCTTCGTTTTCTTCACAATTTTTTTGTTAGATGAACTTGTTTCAGTTGTAGTTGATGTCAAATCACGAAGTTCATTTCTGTATAAAACATTTCGATTGAAATCTATTTATGCGAAACTTACCCGAAATTCATTGCATTTCCTTGTTCAGCTGCTTTTGTCATATTAGCCAACATCCAATCCAAAGCATGTAATGTATCCAACGAGATTTCTTCCGGCAATTCTTTTGGTGGTACTGTAGTTGGTCGTGGTGAGACCTCTCCATCATGAAGTGATAATTTAGATGGTTTATTATGTTTCGGTTTTTGTTTCATCAAAACATCTTCAGCTTGGAAAAATGAAATTTCTTGTGGAATAATCGGAATTGGTGGAGAGAATGTTGTTGTTGTTGGAATTGGGAATGGTTCAATTGCTGGTGTTACTAATTCAACATTTTCTTCAACAAATATTGCTGGTGGTAAACGAGGTGTGACACGTGTTGGAATTATATATACTGTAGTTGTTGGCGTTGGTTTTTGTGTACTAGATTCTGTGGTTGGAATTGGGGTTGTCGATGCTACTGTTGTTGATTGTTTTGTTGTGGTTGAGGCTACTGTAGTTTTGACAGATGTGGTTGGCTTTTGAGTTGTGGTCGTTGTGGTTTGTATCTTAGTTGATGGCGGACGAATCAAATCATCAACATTTCCAAAAATATCATTTTTAAAATCTTTTCCAGAAAATCTTGGTCCATCCATATTGAAAATAGTTTCTGGATCAAATGGTTCTTCTGTTGTTGTAGTTGAAGTTGTGGTAACTTTTCTCAATAGTTTTCCTTCTCCTCGATTCTTTTGAGCTGGTTTTGTTGAAGAATCTCCATCTCTTGTCAAAAATGGTATAAATTGATCAGTTCCCAGAATTTCATCGGTGCTCTAAAAACTAAAATTCATGAAAATTATTCGAATTTTGGTTACCTTTTGATCTTGATCAAGTTTCACAGCATTTTGGACACTTTTAACAGCAAAAGCCTTTGGATGTGCTCCAAACATTTTCTCAGGAGTTGCTCCAGGAGCTCCATTATTATCATTTTGTGGACGATTCAAAAGTTCGTGAGAAACAAGATTTGGAGCTGGTGGAGATGATGAAATTCGAGATAAAAGACGTTGTTTTTCATGTTCTGGTAATCGACTCAATTTTTCATCAATTGATTCATCTGGATATAATTGTTTAAGAGCTTCAATTCTGCAAAAAATATAATGTTCATGAATATTTTGAATAATTTTCTAAACCTGTCTTCTTGCCATGGGTCAATAATATCATAATCATTTGATAATATATTTTGTTGTGGAACACCTCGAATTGGACTTGTTGACATATCACATGGTTCAGTTTCTTGATTTGGTCCTAAACAACGAAAACCTCGAACTGTATTACATGCTCGAACTCGTATTCGATTTGAATCTGAACAAAATGACCAAGCAGACCAAGCAGCCCAAACTGATGCGTACACTATAAAATATTAATTAAATGTTTTAGTTCATAAATTAAAACTCACTCATTTGTGCATTTTCTGGTAATAAACTTGGTCTTGGAGTGGCAAATCCATTAAATTGATTTAATCTTCCAGTTGGTGCCCATGAGGGTACTGTAGTTACTTCGAAATCATGAACTTGTCCGGCTAAATAAGATAGATAATTAGTTTTTTTTCACGAATTCTCTGAAGATTTCACTTTTTGTTGATCAAATAGATAACGCAATAAGGAAAATTGAGTAGATTTTGATGAATGATTGATGAATCTCGGTTTTGGCTTTTATGAAAAGCAATGTTTATTGCATTTTGAAATGGGATTTTTCAACAGGAATTTTGGAATTTTGTCTATGATTGTTTTTAAAAAAGGTCTTCGATCCTTTTAAAAATATGAAAAAGGCATTCTGGTGATCTTCCGGACACAATATTTTTAGGATTTGAATTAAACTATGGAAATTGAGCACCGATAAATGAAATTTTCAAAATTTCTAAATCAGACCAGAGATCATGCTTTTTGAGTAAATGCAGAATTAATCCAGAAATTAAATGAGTAAATTGATTACAGAACAATCCACAACAACGAAAAATTAAAAATAGTCCCACTTTAAATATTTTCTAAATTTTTGGTTCAAACCGATTGAATTTTGGATAATATTTTGAAAATGAAAAGTACAGTACTCCCAACAAAATATTCGTGTCAAACTTACAAGTTGTTTCGAAAAAAGCAAAAATAAGTAAAAATAAAATCATAAATGATGAAGAAGATGATAATTTATCAGGAATATAATGGAAAAAGGAGAAGAAGAAGTTCATTGTGTTTCGGCTGCTTCAGGTCAGTTATCTGAATAAATTGGGTCACTTCTTCTTTTCGCGCAATACCTTGAAAGAGAAAAGATGAAATGGAAAAAAGGGCGGGAAAAAATATTATCCCGAAAATATTTCATGTTACAAAAAAACCAAGAATATCTAAGATGAAATATTTCGTGTGACGGAAAGGATTTCTTTATCAGATTCAAAGTTTCTTGAGACCGTTTCGCAATATTCTGTTTATTTTCAACAAAAAATTATGTTTCCACTGATTTTTCTTTTCTCCAAAATCCATTGACTGGAAGACTATTTAAATTAGATTGATTCATGGCTAAAAATTTGAATTTTGATTTTTCTGACAAAAAGCTTACAATCAGAATAATTATTGTAATCATACCTCTAGAGAGAGCCCAAAATCAAATTTTGAACGTAAAATTCATCGATTCGTCTTTGAATATTTCGCATTTTTTGATTTTCTTGCGACAACCAAAATCAATTATAAAATCAAGAATCAAGATGTTCGAAATTCTGAAGTACTGTAATTATAATTGAGAAGAATACTTGAAAGGTATTTACATACCTTTTGTAATAATTCATAACAATGTTTTTCGACTGATCTTCTGATTTGATACAAAAAAAAACAAATTAATTCATTGAAATATACAAACACCGCTGAAATTATGCTTGGTTACTGTAGTTATATTGATTCAAAGTAGCTTCCTGGGTTCTTTTCAGATGTTCAATTTCTCTCAAACAATTCCATTTCTGAGATTCCAATTTTACCAAAGTTTCTTTCAATGATTGTTCTTCCTGCAAAATAATTATTGGAATATTTTATATATCATAAATTATGTGACTCACCTGTGCAAGAACTCCTAATTGAGTTTCAACAATTTGATTTCTAATTGCTTTTTCATTCTTTTTCTCGTCCATCTGGAAAAAGGGTTACTGTCTGAGAGAAAAAATTAATTATGGATATATTTATGAAAATGAGTGTTAAACATATTTCGATCTGCACAACTTTTCAATAAAGATAGTAAAAAGTTTAAGATGAAAAGTTTATATGAAAAAAAAACGAAGCATATAATTTCAGACTTTAAAAAATTGAATTAAGAAAGTTTGTATTTTTGAATTCCAGCTGGGCTCATGACGCAAATATGTCCGAGATCGCGGAACTTTTGATTGTAATCGAGACCGTAACCAACGATGAACTGAAAAAAATAAATGGAACTTAATAAATAGAAAGATCAATTTACTTTGTCAGGAATTTCGAAAGCGACAAAATCTTCGCGAACATCAACATCTCTTTTAACTCTTTTCGACAAAAGCAAAGCAGTCCAAGTTTGTTTAACACCGATTTCATCCAAAGTTGACAATAATTTTGCCAAAGTTCTTCCGGTATCCGAAATATCATCAACAACTAAAACATTTTTGCCTTTCAATTCGTCTAGATTTGATAATCCCATTATATGAATCTGAAAAAAAACAAGTGGTAAAAAACTGAAAAATAATCCAATTATAATAATTTACCTGACCAGTCGATGATTGATCTTCATAACTTTTAACTCGAATAAAATCAACAGTCATTGGTTCTGGACAAGATGATCTTGCATTTGTCATTTCATCAACCTAAATACAAATATTTTTGGTTTTCCAAAAAGATAAAAATAATTTTCTGAATTACCAAAGCAGTGAAGAATTTGTAAGATCCTTTCAAAACACAAAGAAGAGCCAATGGTTGATCTCCTATTTGTGCATGAATATCTTTCGCCAATCGTCTTACACGATCTTTTACCAAACCTTCCGGAATTACGACAGCCGATAAATCACCATTATAACATTGTGGAATATCGAAAGCGGCAACTGGGAGCTGAAAAATAATTTGATTTTATATGAAGAAAATAAAATAAATAATTGTTACCTCAAAATCGTCAGGAATAATTGCACGAGTATAAACCATCTGCAAAAAATAAATATAATATTACAAATAAAATAAAAGAAAAAATGATCATATCAGTTGAGCAAAAATAACAAGTGATAATCCAGAAAACTCTGATAAAAAATGTCAGAGAAAATGGAAAAAATGTCAAGGATAACAACCTAAAATCAATTGATAAACAGTAACCAATATAGGTAAGAAAAAAGAAAAAAAGAAGTAACAAGACAAATTTATGAACGAACAATTAACATGGGTGAATAGAAATAATAATAATAAACAATGATAACAAATGATAATATATTGGTAACAGTAACAAGTTTAAAGAAGTGATATTTGGAATAAACAAGAAAGAAAAAAAGAAAAATCTAAATCCAACCAGCATATTCTGCAATTACATCCTTATTATCTTTTCTATTTCGATTTGTTGCACTTTGTTTTCCTTTTACTTTTAATCGGATCTGAAAGGATTAAACATGTATTAAAAAGAAATAAATTTATATTCAAAAATTCAAAAGTAACTTTTTTAATCATTAAAAGGTCATTGTTATCTATATGAAATTGTTGCCTTTTCTTATCAATCACAACATTTTTTGCTCGGTTTTTTTTCAAATTAAAAAGTGAAATTGCAAAAAAACAATTTTACTCAAAAGAGCTGTCAATTAATATTGGCGATCATTATAACGTGATTATTTGCTACTTTGACCGGTTAAAACACACTCGAAATATCAAATCAGAAAAGATTTTAAAAATATGTAATTTCAATTTAATTTTTGCAGAGAGAAAAATGGAAACAGAATTGAAAAATGAAACGTCGAATGAAATGTTCAACCAATTAAATGATCATCAAGGCCGATTATATCCAAAACTAACTATGAATTTTTTCCGAAATTTATTGCAATTAAAATATCAAAAAAATGTTGCGATGATTATTTTTTAATTGTTGAATTGTCAAAAGTGCACTTTTAAATAAAAATCTACCGGATAGCAAAATTCAAATCGTAGATACTAGGAAAAATAGAAACGAAACAATGTGAATTTATTTTTCAACTCGTCACAGAAATATTTCAAATTCATTATAGAAATAGAATGGAAGCTTTTTGGAGCTGAATCTTTTTTTTTTGAATTACAATTGAAACTATCGTTTCATTGAAAATTTTGGGAAACTTTAAAAAATCTTGCAAAATTTTATAAAGCTGAAGAAATTGAGACAGCGTATTAAATAAATAAAATAGAAAATAAATAAACTAAACGCTATTTTTAATAGCTATAAAAACAACTTTTTCCAATTCATAAAGCTTCCTTTTAAATTCCCAAAAAATCCCACCTTTTCCTTATTTCTTTTCTTGTCCAACGCCAATTTTTTCTTAATTTCCTCTGATGTAAAAGTAGCACAACTTGTAGCAATACTAGCAGCTCCAACTGTAACTTTCTTCTTTTTCTTCACAATTTTTGGTGGTTGTTCTTCAACTGCATAATGTTCCTCTTCTTCTTCATCATCCTCTTCCGATTCATTTTGTTTTTGAATGACAGTTTCAGGATGAATTAGTTTTTCAGGTAATTCAGCCTCATTATATCCATCTTCTTTTTTCAAACTATTTATATCAATATCTTCTAATTGTGTTGTTGCATCAGCCAACCAATCATTGAATCGAGTACTTTGAGTCAAAACAATTTTCTGATGTTTTGCAACTTTCTTTTCCTCTTCTTTTTCTTCTACGTCTTCATCTTCTTCTTCAATTGGATCCATTGAATCATCAGAATCAGAATTATCATCTTCTTCCTCTCCCTTTTCACCTTCTTCTCCTTCATTTTCTTCTTCTTCATCCTCATTTCCAGATTCTCCTTGTTTTTCAACTTCATTGTGTGCCAAAAAGTCTCCTTCATCATATGCTTTGTTTAAATCAAGCGCCATTTTCTTTGTAAAACCAGAAGCAGCGAGAAGAACATCCATATTTCCTTTTCTTTCGATTTCATCAAATTTAGGCCAATCTTCACTTTCATAATTAAATCGACGTCTGAAAATCGATTTTTGAAATATTGTTTTCGAATATTTTAAAATTACTCACTTGAAAAATGTTTTAACACATTCAACATCTCGATCGAAATAAAATTGTGCATTTGGATGATCAATTGAGACCATTTGTGGAAAATCAATCATAACAACTCGTTCATCTTCCAATAAAATTAAATTGAATTCATTGAAATCACCATGAATCACACCATGTCTTGCTAATTTCATAATTAATGCCATCAATCTGAAATTTCAAATTAAATTTTTAAAATTCAAATGAAATGTTCGAACCTATCATAAAGTGCAGCCGAATCTTGAACTTCATTAACATGACAAAGTGTTTTTCCAATAACCAATTGCATAACAACAACATGTCGACAAACATCAACAGCATTTGGAACTGGAAATCCTCGATCTTGTAATGCTTTCAAAAATGCAAATTCTTTTGCAGCAGCCAATCTACTCAAATAAAGCCATGATGCACTTTTTCGCTTATTATGATAGTCTCGTTTTTCTTTGACTTTTCTGAATGAAGTTCGACCAAGTCGATGGAATTTAAGACAAAGATCATTGAGTTCTGGATCTCCTCCAACATAAACATCTGATTCTTTTCCAATTCCAATTTGATTTCCAACACTTCCAACAACTTCGCGAGAACAAAGAGCTCGAAGAGCAAGATAATCATATCCACGGATTGTCAAACGATAACCATCGACTGAAAATATATTTGAACTTTTTTAAAAAATTAAAAAATGAAAAAGAAACCTCCACGTTGTTTATATCTCACGTTTCAATTTTTTATGATCAAAAACATTTTTAGTTTTTTTTTAAACCTACATTTTTTACTTCTTTCAAATGCGCATAAACTGTGTTTGCATAAATCTGAAAGTGTTCTCGAAACAGCTCCTCGATGAATTCCAGCAATTGCAGAAATAAGAGGAAGTGGAACAACTTCGTGATTTTTCATACCCATTTCTACGGCAATCAAAACTCGAAAATGATCTCCTTCGAGATATCGCATCATTGTCACATTCATTCGACCCATCTTAATTTTATTTGTGTTAATCCAATAATATTTTTTAGAGATAATTAATTATTGAAAAAATACAAAACATCGTTTTTGAAAAAAAAACAGTTTCAACAAAAATAGTCATTTTATTTCACAATGAAGATATTGTGGAAACGACAGGAGAAGACATATTTTTGGTTTGAAATTAAATATTCTAGGTGACATATACACATTTCTAACGAAATGTAAATTGCCAGATTTTCTTAATTGAACATAATTACAAAGATTTTTTAAGAGGCAGAAATAAGACGAAAAAAAATGGATAATAAAAAAAACAACTATAAAAAATATAGTCGACAAATAAAATTTTAGGGAGCTTAAAATTTACCCAACAGAGAAAAACAAGATTTAAATCATCACAGTTAGAATAGGATAAATTGTCGATATCGAATGAAACACTTCAAATTCTCGATTTTTTCATTGGTGGTGATATATCGCTTACATTAACCATTCTTTCCATTACTTCATTTCCAAGTGATGGATTTGAACGTAAAAATGGTTTCCAAGCTGCCAAATTCATCACTTTTGCTCGATTATGAACGATCTGCAAAAATATTTTTGAAAATTAAAAAAAATTATATAGAAATACTAATTGGGAAAATTTTTTTGGCAAGAGTCTGTCCGCGGTCCGTTCTCAAAACTGTGCGCATAAAAATTGATGATCAAAAAAAGAAAAAGTTTCTAAATGGTGGCACAATGATGCGCGTTTCAAAAATTCTCCCTGAAAATGTCTGTGAGTGCGCGGAGAGTGAAAAGTTTGAAAACTCCAATGTATTTTTCGATTTTAAAATGTGTCGCTCGACTTTTCTCAATTTCCAGAAGACCATTTTTGATGGGACCTTCACCATTCGATCCAAAATTCTTTCCCGTCGATGCGCTAATATTCGATTTTTCAAAAAATGCGCGAGTTTTCACGTGAAAAATCAAAACTTTTTTCATGTAAAAAAGAATGATCACGTTTTTATTCCAAAAAAATTAAAGGACACGTTTCTTATCTGATCGTTCTATTCTCTGAAAAAGTCAACAATTTTTGGGCATTTCTCAATTTTTCTCTTTCCCTAACCGGAAAATTAATCAGAAAAAGTAAGTCAAACTACTGTAGATGGCGTTAGCCAGCGAAGCCCTTCTAGTTATATAGAAAAACAAACGTGAGTTCACGTTTAAAAATAAATCAGATAATAATTTTTTGTTGAATTTCTCAAAACAGATTAATGTTATTTTAACATTGTTGTAGACAAAAACTTACAAAATCAGTACAAGCATCCAATAATACCTCAGATTGAAAAGAATCGGCATGTGTAATACAATCTAACACATTGTTAACAACCAATCTAGAATAATGATTATTATTAATTGAATGCAACTAATAAACACATTACCTGTCTAATAAATATTGTTCACAAGTTTTTTTGAGTGCAAAAACTTGATATTTGTCAGCAATTTGCATTACATCAACAGCTTCCTGAAAATAAATAAATATTTTGAAGCTTCAGTTTATACTTCCGATTTAACTCACATCAACATCCAATTCAACTTTTATAACACCAGCATATAAAAATTGTAGCATAGCTTTTACAGCCATTGGTTGAAAATCAGTGATTCGAATCATTTGTTCTGTGCTTTCAATCATTGTTTCGTATTGTAACATAGTTCGAAAAACATCAGAATGTGCTTTGAGTTTATAACTATGAACTTTGAAAGTTTCCATATGCTGTGAATCAATTCCGGCTGTAATTTGCATATCTGATCCATCTCCAGATTCTAACATACGAAGTTCTGCAAATAAATTTCAAATTGACTTTTCAATGGTGTTTTAGAAATGAAAAATCTAACCTGATTCAACAAAAGTTGTTGGAATACTTGTTGTTGGCATTTTAACTGTTGGTAAAAGTGGAACTTTTTTACATGGAACTTTTGAAACATCAGGCATTAATTCGATTGTACATGAAATAACCAATGATCTGTCTGCTCGAATACTATTTTGTACTTTCTGAATTGGAATATTTCGAAGTCCCCAAGAATGTCCACCTTTTGGTGGTTTCGCATGAAACTCTCCAATATTCACATTACTGAATTTCGATTCCTCTTTGTCGTCTAGGAAATAAAAACGATATTCGGCTTTAAGTACAACTTCTTTAGTTGGAGAAGTTGCTGACATTTTCAGGAAAAGTGATACATTATTCGCATTTTCTTCACGTTTTCCACCCGGATAAAGACATAATTGCCAACAAGCATCGGGAATTGCTTCATCTCGGAAAACAGTGCTTCGAAGACAATTACCAGGTTGACTGAGTTTAAGCAAACTATCAAAATTACTAACAGTCCATCGTTGAGTAAGTACTACTGGTGCAACAGAAGTCATACATTCATTGTTTATTGAAGAAGATCGACGAGAACAAGATGGTCGAGATGATAATTCACTTGATATTCCAATTGAACTATTATCGTATCTTGCATCCACCATACTACGATGTGACATACTTCTGAAAAACAAATACATTATTGGAGGAAACGAAAATATTTGAAAAAAACTATTATTTCAAAAATATTTCGCAAAGAGTGTTTTGAAAGAGAAAGAAAAGTTGATTCAGAAAACCAGCAAAAAAAGAATAAAAGGTAGATCAACTTTAAAATAGAGATGATAAATATTTCAGGATTATAAAGATAAATAAATTCATTAGTCGCATAACAATTACGTACCTTTTAGGCATGATACAAATTAAAGAAATGAAAAATTATCCATTGAAAATGCATTATTCAGAAAAAATATGGTGGATCACGCGGAAAATGTTAAAAATTATTGAAGAAAGCCTAAAAGTGCTTATTTCCAAGATACATGACCTTTTCAAAGTACATAATATTTTGTAAAAAAGATAGATTATTCAAAAATAGGAGAGAAAAAGAAAACGGGGGTAGACGAGAGATGGGTTTATTGATTTTTTCCCCATTTCTCTGCGACACTCTCTGCATTCTTTACACACATATTTATTGCGTCGCAAGACCAACACATAACGATCTGTGCTATTACTATTTATTTATTATTAGACTAATTAATTATATCTTGGGAAAATTATGACTAAAACTTTTGCTGAATATTACCCGATCGAAATTAAAAGTCATAAAAAAGTGAATAACAGCTTATAAAACCAGGAAAGAAGTTGATTCATTTAAAAAAATTAAATTTGAATTTTGAAAACGATGGAAAGAGAATGGAAGAATTTACCGACGAAGCTCGGAAAAACTACTATAAAATAAAGTTAGAGCAATTTCTCAAATATACGTGGAAAAATAATACCGCGTTCAAAAAACCATATAAATAGCAAATATAAATTGAACAACAAAAAATTTATTATAAAGGCAAAAATATGGCTTATTATACAATCACAAAAATTCAGTTGATCGCAATACTGACTATCTGAGATCATCACATGGAACCATAACATGTCACTTGAGAGGAGATAGACAGGAAAAAAAGAAAGATCGCAGATTTAATGAGCAGAATATTGATTTGATAAAGATATACACATAATTGAAAAAAGTCTAGGAAATGGTATTAGATAATGATTAGGCCGATGAAATACTACTGGATGCTGTTAAAAGTTTGGATAGTTCGAGTAAAGTTGATGATGAGGCTTTTGACAAATCAAAAGACAGTGCAAGTGTTGTGGCATTCAATTTACCATGGGACAAGCTCAAAAGCATCTCACTTACTCTGGAAAATATAAAATTTATAGTTAGAGACAATTTGAACTTACTTATACATAACTCGAGTATCACTTATTGCCAATATTTTCTTTGTTATTTCTTCGGCATTTTCTCGAGTAACTTCTGTTGGAGAAGTGTGTGAACTTGTAGGAGAACTTAGTGCAGAATCCTTAATTTTTTGTGTTATCAAAAAGATATTAGCTAAAAAAAAATACCTTTTCTTTTCTTGGGAATGTTTTCGATGGAGCAACGTGTGTTTTTGAGTTCGACGGTCTTGCTTTTTCAGGAATCGGTGTTAATTCTTTCTTTATTTCTCGTTCTTTTTTGATTTCGCGAGGAGAACTTGATGTCTGAACAATCTTTGAATGAATGAGTGCAAAGAAAAATAAAACAATTATTGTCATTCCGAAAATAAAAGAACCCCCGTTCGAATTGGCGCTCACGTACAGTAGACTAAAAATGACGTGACACATGCACATCAAACTGGTTGGCAAATAGCCAACGTGTAAATTTCGCATTTTATTTTTCAAATAGACTCCAAAATTTTGCGAAGTCTACTGTAGTCTTGGTGTCCTAGGCCATTTCGGTTCTCTTTCAAGTTCTTATTTTTTCGGAATGACAATATACCTTTCTTTCTTTATTTTTGGATTTTGAAGAATCTTCATTGCGATCTCGTTCCTTTTTCGGTTTCTTTTCTGGTTGAATCGGTTCTTCGATTGCAATTGAACTTTTCCTTTTCGCTTTTTTCTTCAAGTTATATTTATTCATAAGATCAAGAAAAAATGGAGGTACTTCGGGTGTTAAGATCAACTTCTGAATCTCATCGTGATATCCTCTTTCATCTGTAACACATATTTTTGAATGATCAAAATAGTCTGAACATACTCAGTGATAAATGCATCTCATACTTGATTTTGTGAGATTTTTGATTTGGCAAATTCATGTATACACTGATAACTGTCGAAAACGAAGCATAACCTGTTTCGCTCACAGAAAATGGCGGCTCTCTCACACTTCGAATGGGATTCGGAAAACTATCATGAAGTTGGAATTTAACTTTCGAAATGAACTTATTGTCAGCAAAATCCTTGTAGTCAGTATTTGCTGGCCTTACAAACAATGTCCATCGATGTGTATGATGTTCTTTCGTTTTCTTTTCTAATTTTCGAGATTCATGACCAACAAGAACCTTGAAAATTTGAAGTTGTCGATAAATTTGAAAATTAACAAAAACTAACTTGTACGATCTTGTTAGGAGGAACCATATTGTGTTTATCTGCCATTTCTGTAATGAAACTTGAATAAAAATGATAAAATAGAAAAAAAAACACGAATAAAAGTAAACGTAAAAGTTTGAAAAGGAAACAAATAAAAATGGAAGAATTACGTGCTTTATGAACGCCTCTTCTCGTTTGCTAGTCCATAAAAAAGTCGGCCACCAATTGTTTATCGGGAATTTTCACTGCAAAGTTTCATGCTGGACTATTTTCTTGTTAACAAGTCTTTTTTAAAGCACCTAATTTCTATACCGTTTTTGATAACAAATTTACCGTTTCATTTGTAAGGCAATGATTTTCCAATAGTTATGAGATTATTTTGAAATATATAAGGTATATTTTATGAAGTAGCGATGACGATAATGTATTATTAGATATCAGAAATTCAATGAAACTTGAGAAACACAGAGAAAATTTTAAAACACACAAAATGTTTTTTTTTCAAGTTAAAGGTACACACACCGTAATTAAAGGATTGTAATGTTTTTCATTTGGTCTCGTCACGAAATATTATTGTTACTGTAGAACTATCGATTTTCGAAAATTTCTCGATGCGAAAAAAAAAAAATTCACAATTTTTTTCAGCGGAAGAAGGAGATAGAAACATATTAGGATTTGAATATGACAGAACAAGACCAATTGTTCCAGACGGATACTTTCTCGCCATCAGAATGTGAGTTGTTTTTTCACAGCTATTAGGTTTATAGATAAATAAATTTATAGATATCCGAGAAAGGCTAAAAGGTGTAAAAACTGGAGACGAGTCAAGAAAATTGCGAGCTTTACGAAGTGAAATGAACGCATTGAATACTGCATCACAGGAAACATTAAAGAATAATGTTTTCAGAAATTATCAGCAATTTATTGATGCGTCAAAAGAGATTTCACGTAAGATGCTTTATTTATCAATCATTTATTTTTCGAATAATGGGAAATTACAGATTTGGAACGAGAAATCTACGAAATGTCTCACAATCTTCAGGAACAAAAACGTGTTATTGAGAATTTAATAATGATGACAGGCGATGATAAATCATCAATTCATACTGTTTCAAGTCATTCAACAACAACTTCGAATACAAATCCAATTCAAATACTTATGCAAAAAATGGAAGGAATTGGTGGAATTTTGAATAATATGTCAAGTAATGAAAAAGTTATATTACATGGAGAAATGGATCAATTTGATATGGAAACAAAGAAAACGACTGGAAAATGTATGTTGATTTTATTATCTCACAAATTGATTATTGGAAATATTAACGCGGCTGGAAAATATGTGTGAGTTATTTCGAAATCGTGTATTTTTTTAACTGAAAAAAATGATTCAGAATGGATTCTACACTAACTTTGAATAGTGTTGCGCCAGTTAATGTGAAAGATCGAGAATCTGGTGCAGCGAATGCTGGAAAAGTATTGAAGCTTCTAATTTTCCCGGAATCGCGATGTTATTTATGCGAAAGTGCTAGAATTCGAAAACTATGGTTTGATGAATTAGAACAAGCAAAACGAGAAATATTACACGAAACAAGTTTAGTTCGACAAGCAACTATTAAAGGAAAAAGACAAACTGTAAAAGAACGAGCAATTGAAAGAGAACATGTTATTGCTGAAAAAAGTTTTCAAGAAGTTGAAGAAGAAGATGAAGAAGAGAAGAGTAAGTTTTTTGTGATCATAAGAACTGTTTCCTAAAAAAACATAAGTGTATGATTTTCAAAACTCAAAATTAACCTATTTTTTCTGCGAAGAAAACTTTGAAAATCACAATGAAAATTTAAAGTTCTTCATTTTTTCACTTTATTATTGTTTCTCGAGCTCAAACTATTTTGGAAAATAATTTATTTCAATATTTACTTGTGTTTTTCCAGATGATAATGACCTCATGTGGTTATCAGAATTACCAGCCGAATTAGATGATTGTATTGCACATCGAGATTTAGAACAAGCTGTTGAATTAATTCATGAATGGAAACAATGTTCTACAAAAGATGCAGTTATTGATGTCCAATTACAAATGAGAGAAAATCAAATAGTTCAATTATTATCAGAAGATGTTAGTAGACCAGGAGCTATACATGGAGGCCCAAGAGCAATGAAAAAAGCGAGAACTTTATTAACACAATTAGGTCGAGGAACTTATGCAACAGATGTATATTTAAGGTTTGTCTTCTTTTTTTTCACTATCTTTTTCATTCTCAATTTTTAATTTCAGAAGACGAAGTGCAATTCAAAGAACTGCAATGCGTGATGTAACTGTTTCTGAAGAACCAATTTCATATGTTAGACAATTATGTGCAATTTATTCAAATGCTGTAAATGATATATCAAATGAATATCGAAGTATGCCTCAATATTATTGTCAAGTTTTACAATGGTGTTCATATGAATTGAGTACACTTTTAACATTAATTCGTCGACATGTTATTGAAGTTGCACCTGCAATTGCTGTTTTAGCATATACTTGGAAATATGTTATGACAACTATGGATGAATTAACTGCTATTGGAGTACATTTAAATTTTGAGGTTGGTTTTTCTAAATTGAAAATAAGAGGTTTCAATATATTTTATAGGTAAATCGATTGCTTGGTATTCCATTGGAAAAATCGCTTCAGAGTAATTTTGAGAATATAATCGAAGCTGTGAAAATGAGAATATCTGAAGAAAAATGGAGACCATATGTATTAGATTCAGAATCTGCATTAAATCGATTGGTCGAAGAATTATCTGATGTTGGAATAAATGTTGAATGGGCAATTTCAGCAAATGATGAGACAAAAAGTTCATTGAATGTTTCACAAAATGTTGTTCATTTTGCAAAAATTGCTCACACTCTTTCAAAAGATTTAGCACCACTCAGATTGTGAGTTTGAATTCTACAGAAGCGTTAATCTAACAAAATTCAATTTATTTTAAGATCACCTGTTCAAGCAATGTCCGAAATTTATGCTGATGAACTATGGAAAACGTTTTTGGAACATTTATCAAATAATATTCGAGATGGTTCAGTTTTTGCATATTCCACGACTTTCATTTTAACACAGGTTAGCTATTTTGTTATTTTTTAAGCTTCAAATTATAGTATTCAATTTTAGGTTCTTCCGGTTTGTGATCGATTATTATATGGAGAAGAAGGTGAATTAACTCGATTAATCGAAGAATATCCAAAATTAGCACCGTATGCCGATGAATCAGATGATGAAAATGGAATAACAAAAGAGGATGAAGAGGTTGCTCATGTTTAAAATTTTGAATACTTATTTTTATTTCCTGTGATAATTTGTTTATTTTTGTCAAATACAATTCTATATTGCCCCCGCTTTTCATATGAATTCTTATTTTCTTTTTTTTTTAAATTTTCTGTGTCATGAAATGATTCATTTGTTTTTTGTTTTTATTCGCCGAAAATGTTTCCGGAAAATGGCTTTTTCTATTTTTATTGTCATTCCGAAAATAAAAGAACCCCCGTTCGAATTGGCGCTCACGTACAGTAGACTAAAAATGACGTGACACATGCACATCAAACTGGTTGGCAAATAGCCAACGTGTAAATTTCGCATTTTATTTTTCAAATAGACTCCAAAATTTTGCGAAGTCTACTGTAGTCTTGGTGTCCTAGGCCATTTCGGTTCTCTTTCAAGTTCTTATTTTTTCGGAATGACAATAGCAGCATGGAATCTTTTCACAGCTACCAGCTGGTGAGAAAAAATTCAATTCTAATAAAACTCAGATGTTAATAAACATTGAGTTGAAAGCCGAAAAGTGTATTATTACAACAAAACAAAATAATAACAATATAGTTTAGTTTGTTAGGTTAATTCGGAAAAAGATATTTGGAAGAACTTGAAGATTTTATTATTCAGAATTTGGAACTCAAAATCCAGTAAAGTTGAAAAATTGAGATTCATCATGAATTTTTTGAGAAATATACAATTAAAATGAAATACTTTATATCGAAAAACTACAGCAATTTCAAATTTTTTCCGGAAAATGAAAATTTTTAAAATTGAGAATCTGAAACTCAAAATTGAGGAAAAAACTTTCATCGAAAAATCTATACTATTTTTCAAAAAGGGTACGCGTTTTCCTATCGGCAACAGCTTGTAGATCAAAAAATTTTGCAAGCATAGAAATTAAAACTTTTCAGAAAATTTCTTATCTCGGAAAGTCATAAATTTTGAATTTCTAGTAACTTGATTATGAAAAATTATTTTTGAAAACTTGTTTGTATGAAAATCACGAAATTTTAAAACGTTTTGTAAGTTTCAGACTCATTATATTATTTTGATCTACCCATAAAAAGCGTGCGGGAACTTGCCATTTTGGTCTAACCCTCCAACTTTGAGCGAGCGTTGAATTTTTTCTGCAGCAGCGATTTTGCATTTGAAAAGGTCCTGTTTTTATATTTGTAAGAAACTACAGTAAACCTCTACGATTTTTGTTTCAAAAGCTTTGATTCAATCTTTTCCAGTTTCTTTGTCTGTTTTTTTTTTGATATTTTTTTAATATCAAATCACATATTGATAATAAGTGCTCATATTTTTTCAATTAAATAATTCCAAAATATTATCCCTTTTTATTCTCGATTTCTTTCTTTCTTCATATTTTTCCAACTTCATTCCATCATTTTTCTTTTTTCCTCCTTTACACTTCTTCGCCCACATTTTCTCTAATTCTCTTCGATTCTTTCACTATTTTCTTGATCTGAGTTGCACTACTAATATTATCTGGAAGAAAAAGAAGAAGAAAAAGAAAGATGGCAAAAATAACGATGGCGGTCGGTCGGAAAAAAAGAAGAAGAGTTGACTGAATGAAGAAGAAGAAAAAGAGAAACAAATGTGTACAATTTTGTTGTTTTTGAGATGTTGAAACATCAGATTTGACATCATCGAAACCATCGCAACTCATACGCAGCTTAATAGAAGTCTTTCAGTACTTTTCTACCTTCTCTAATTTTACTAGCTCTTTTCTTGATAATTGTAGAAACACATTTCCCTGAAAACCTCTGAAACTACAGAAATCATTTTCCACAGTTTTATTGAATATCGATTTTTCAATTTCAAAAAACATACACGTTCTGAAAATTCTCAAAAGAGTCTTCAAAAAGAAAGGAACCACAGTTTTACTTCTATTCGTAAACCTCTACAATAAAGATCGAAGTCAGAACTTCAATCAAAAGCCACGTGGTATCATCTCATATTATTTTTTATAGTCCAGGTAGTAGTGAATTTGAAGAAATGTCCCATAAAGTCTCAACCAATTTTTGAACACGCAAATCTTCAACTTCACAAAAAAACCAATTGTCTAGTTAAATCAGAAATCAAATCCATTCAATTTTTCAAATCCGAAACCAAGAAAAATGAGAACAAGATGTTATTTTCAACTTCGAAAATCCCTTGCATTTTTTGTTCTTCCAACCAACCCCCTCAAAATATTTGGAACAACTGTTTTTTGACGTTGTTTTTTGATTCGGTAAAAAAAAGAAAGAAAGAAGATCACATATTAAATAAGCCCCCACAAATATCGATTTGAACCTCAAAATCGACAAATTTGAAACTTTTTTAGAAAAAGTGGAAGATCTTTGAGAATGTTTTTTTTTTCATAAAAAAGAATTAATTAGCTGGAATTGATTTCAAAAGTTAGAAGAAACCTTGCAATTTTCTCGAAATGTATTAGCGGAATGGTATGTGATTATTTTTTCGAGTGAGCTTTTCTCAAAAAAGGAAACTTATCAAACATTAATGATTGATTTTCTGTTTTTAGACGAGTTTTCATTATTTTGAATAAATACCATGGAAATCAGGGTCTGGAATTTCGAGATTTTTTTTAAACGTCTGATTCTCATTTCAAGTTTCTCCCATTTTACTATCAGATATTGAAAGTTATTCACATTCTGGTTCCTTTGAATTCTTCTCAAAATATCTTCCTTTGAATTATTTTCATATTTTTCGAATTAGTTAAAGCTTGCCCTAATAAATCTAAAACAACTATCCATTATTTTTTTTCAGTTTTTTTATCTAATTCTCGTTAGCTCATTCATTTTTTGTTCCACAATTCTACCACTCTTTTTCATCTTTATCTTCTAACTTTTCTCATTGTTTTGTGCTCTATTTTTGTTGTTGTTGTAATATTCTATGGTGGGTGTCTCAACTATTTCTCACTCTCTTCTTCGTCTTCTATTTTCCTCTATTTTCTTCTTTTCTCCACCCCCATTCTACCGTATTTCTTCATCAGAAAAGAAGATGAAGAAAAAAGTGGGAGGAGCTAATTTTTGAGAAAAAAGAAAAACGAAAATGAAGCTAGGAGGACCATCATTCTGCTTCAAAACTTCATTTATTGTTTTCAAATATCAACTTTTATTCTGTTCTGATTTTCGAATTTTATCTTGATTTTCAGGTTTTTTTTGTGATTCAAACTACAAGCCAAACAACTAAAAATGGACGCCATTAAGAAGAAGATGCAGGCCATGAAGATCGAGAAGGTCTCTTATTTTATTCATTTTTTGAAAGAATTTTATACAAAAAAATACTTGATTTGGTATTTTATTCATATTGTTTTTTCAGGACAACGCTCTCGATCGGGCCGATGCCGCTGAAGAAAAAGTCCGCCAAATCACTGAAAAACTCGAAAGAGTCGAAGAAGAACTCAGAGACACACAAAAGAAAATGATGCAAACTGAAAATGATTTGGATAAGGCTCAAGTAAGATTTTAATGGGAACTTTATTTTACAACATTTAAGAGCATAATTTTATTTTGCAGGTGCAACCTTTTTTAGTAAATGTTGCACCTGATGAACAGCTGGTTCAGAATTTAACAATAAAATGAACCAATTATTTTTACACGTGAACTATATACGTGGCAATTTAGAAATATCAGCATTTCCAATTTTTATAGGAGAAATGTGAATCTTTTGATAAAATGGAATTCATCTCATTTGCTTTAATTGGGTTTTATTAATTTATATATCAATAAAAATCTAGTCATAAGGTATGAGAAATTAAACTATTCTTTTTATATGAATGTTTATTTGGATCATTTTAAAGGAGTAATGAACAACCTAATTTTGAACAAAAATCGAGTGTTCGATTCCTTACTGTTCCCTTTTCCGTCCTATAGAAACTTTTTCTCAGTTGAATTAGTCATTAATCTCAAAAGATGATGTTTTAAGAATTAATATAAGTAGAATGAAAATAGTTCTGAATTTCTATTTTTTCTAAATAAAAAGTTTCTGAAAAAGTAATATTCAATTTTCCCATTTTATCATTTTTTACGAAAAGAAAAAAGCTTTTATTGAAATATTTCAATATTAGATTTTTCTTCTTACACTTTTTTTTGACGCTTATTGAATTTTGGTAAAAATATTCCCGGGATTACTGTAGTTACTCAACTTTGTTTGTTTTATCAAATTAGACATATCCCTTTCGTGAAGGGTTTTTTGGATTGTGGTGTTTACACATTTGGAAACTTGATAAATTCGATTTGAAATATTTTTTGAAGAGAAATTCGAAAAAAATACTTTTACAACATCATTAGTGAGGAAATATTATAAAAACTTCAAAACTTCATTCCCAAATTTAAACGCTGCCTCGGGTACAAAGAAGTTGTTCATTTCTGAAAAAAAAATTAGATTCATAAAACTTCGAAAAAAAATCAATATTTGATTTCAGGAAGATCTTTCTGCTGCCACCACCAAACTTGAAGAGAAAGAAAAGACTGTCCAAGAAGTGAGTTTTATTTTTTGAATTATTATTTGCCGATTTTCTTTTTTGGTTTGTTCGGGTCGGGTTTTCAGGTCTTTTTCAGATACAATACGACGGTTCATTTATAGGTTTTTGATTTTCGAAAAAAAACCAATTTAATAAAAAACATATTTTCATTCTAAACAAAAAGTGTAATAAAAACAATGACTCATTTTGTTCCGCTTTTGATAAATTATTCCATTTTTTATTTGAGAAACTAGGGAAGAAATATAGTTTTCGAACTTCTTCTTTTTTTTTGGTTCACAAAGCATTTTTATCCCCGAAAATTTTGCGGCTTTCGAGCTAAAATCTCACTTGCGCGGGGCAAATAATAAATAGGGAAAAATTTTGAAGAAGTTCAATCGCACTCTCTGCGTATCTCGATTTTGTATTGTCTCATTTCTTGTTCACAGAAATCTCTCAAGACTTTTGTCGATTTCTCTCAATTTTACTCACTATTTCAACACGTGATGATTACAACAATTTTTCTTGAGAGAAGAAGAAAAGAAGTCGGAGAATGAGAAGAAGAAGCTGTTTGCTTTACAACACTCAGCTCCCCACGCATTGTGATGCCGAGTTTTGTGGCAGCAATGAAAAAAAATGAAAAAAAAGGAAGACAAAAATGTGAACAGGTTATGAGTTGAAAAGAAAAACAAATATTTGATTGGATGGTAACCTAAAGTTAATACATCAAATAATAAAATTCGAAATAGAAATTTGTTTAGTTTCTCCTAGAAAAATAGTATATCTTAAGATTTTTCCAAAGAAAACATTTGATTAAAAAACTTTCTCTCAAAAACTTCTGACCAGATAATAATTTATCAGTTTTTTCACAAATCCAATTTTCCTCTCTGTTTTTTCTTTCAATCCAAATACATACATCAATCATTAAATACACCCATGTATGTATCTAATTAGAAAAACGAAGAGAAGAGGGAAAAAAAGGGCCAAATGTGTTGTCTTCCTCCCATGGATTCCATCCTTTTTTCCTTCTTTATTCATCCAACCCAGAACTGGATCAACCAATTGAGAAAAAAGTCAGAAACAAGGTTATTATTCTATTATTATTATTATTATTATTATTATTATTATTGTGTATTTTTATTATGTATTTCTTCACCTCAAAACATGTATTGTTTTAAGTAGAACATGCGAATATCATTTTTCGGGAATTTTTTCCGCCAGGTATTTTATCGCGTTTAGCGATCTTTTTGAACCGGATTCTGATTTGCAACAAATATAGCTTCCGGCAGACAATTGTCTCTTTTTTTTGAAGAAATTCCATCTAATTTAATTATATTTTATTAGGTTCAATACTACTACACTTTTTGAAATTTCAATTCTGATCAATAATTTTCAAAAAATTTAAAAAATAAATATGAATATTCACATCACTAACAATAAAAACTATATATACAATCAAAACAATTTGTTTTGTATTCTGCGTCTCTTTCTTTCTCCATTCTTCAGCTTATATGTATTCTCTAGCTAATAAAAATTCAGAAGGACCCTTTTCTCCTTTTTACTCATTTGTCTTTTTTCATCCACTTTTTTATTCAACAAAAATGTAAGATTCAATTACATCTGTACTTTTTGTTTCTTTTTTTGGAAAATCGAGCCAGATGAGTCACTAGTAATTTTTTATACAAAAAAAGTCAAATTAGGAACCTGTTTCCATGCATTTTTTCAACCAACATAAATACTAATTTCTTATGTAACCAACCAATAATCCTTCTTGTATATTTCTCGGCGCGAGAAAAAAAGAAAGAAAAAGTAACAATTTGGATGAAATATTTACTCAATGCGCAGTCTGTCCGTTGAGTTTTTCAAGTATCTCCTTCTTATCATTTTTGTGGGTGGAGGCAAAAACGCAAGAACGAAAAAAAATGGAGAAAACGAAAAGAGGTGGCGCCTAAAATTCAGTTATACACACACAAACTGCCAAGAAGGCACATATTCCCTCTTTCTCTCAGTTTTCTCAATTTTATTCTTGGTTTTTTTGAACAGTTATAAGTTAGTTTTGTTATCAGCTACTTTACACTTTTTCGAAAATTAATTACTTTTGAGCAAAATTTTTATTTCATCATTTGTTCTGTTAAATTTTCTAAATGTCTGTAAAAATCTTAAAAATCTACAGTAATCCGAAATCCATTTTCTAAAATTTTTAGAACAATGTTTCTTTCCCTAGAAATAGTTATTGCTCAAATATTTACTATTTTCGAACGTCAAAAATATTTTCTTATCATCACATTTTCATTTTTTTTCTTTTCTATATTTACATTTGAGTCATTCACCCACTCTTTCTTTTTTTTTTCCTTTTTCTCTTTCCGATTTTTCAATCCATCCTAAATTTTGTTATTTTTCGTGTAGACCAACCATGTCGAAGGTTAACAAGGAAGGAGCTCAGCAAACCTCTTTGCTCGATGTTCTTAAAAAGAAAATGCGCCAAGCGCGCGAAGAAGCTGAAGCAGCTAAAGATGAGGCTGATGAGGTCAAAAGACAATTGGAAGAGGAACGCAAAAAGCGTGAAGATGTAGGCATTTTTTGAAGAAAAAAAGAAATATTTCTTATTTTCTAAAAACTATATTATTAATGTATTTAAAACACGTGAGAAATTAAAAAAAGATCAAGTGATGTGAACAGTATAAGCCCTCAATTCGTCAGTCGCGATGCGTATGAGCGACACGTTTTTAGAAATGAAAAATGTCGAGATCGTAAACTTGATCTACACTTTTATTTCTCACGTGTTTTAATTCAATAACTACTTAAAAATAAATTAAAATATAGGCTGAAGCTGAAGTAGCTGCCTTGAACCGTCGTATTGTATTGGTTGAAGAAGACTTGGAAAGAACTGAAGATCGTCTCAAAACAGCGACATCGAAACTCGAACAAGCCACAAAAGCAGCTGATGAGGCTGATCGGTATTATTTTTAAAAACTTATAAGGGTCCCCGGTTAATTACAGGCTGAAGCTGAAGTTGCTTCTTTGAACCGTCGTATGACTCTTTTGGAAGAAGAATTGGAACGTGCCGAAGAAAGACTCAAGATTGCCACTGAAAAATTGGAAGAAGCCACACACAATGTTGATGAATCCGAGCGGTAGGCATTGAAACAAAATATATATTTGGAATTTCGGAAAATACAAATGCCTACCGTTTCAATTTTGTGTTGTCTTCTTCCTTTTCATTTATTTGTCCTGTCCGTCCAAAAATGTCTGTTATTTTACCTGGGTCCATTGTATCTTTTTTCTCTTTTTGTATGTGTTTATATGTTTTAGTACTCGCAAATCAATGGAAACTCGTTCACAACAAGACGAAGAACGTGCCAATTTCCTCGAAACTCAAGTCGATGAAGCTAAAGTTATCGCTGAAGATGCTGACAGAAAATATGAAGAGGTCTTGTTTTTTTTCTGTTTTTTTATGTTGATAATATTTGTGTTGCATGTATCCTCCTATAATCAGGGAACCTTCCACTTTTAATATCAATTAATAATTCTCCCCAATTTATTCTAATCCAGATCTCGAAAAGCATTGTCAAATCAAATTGAAATGGATGATGATAGAAGTGCTGAATTGGAACGAAAATTGCGAGAATGTCAATCAATTTTGAATGAAACTGAAAATAAAGCTGATGAGGTACTGTAACTATATGTTCTAACATAGATATATATTTTATGTTACTACTTGTATATGTGTTATTGTCCATAGGCACAAAAATTCGAAAAAATTGAGATTCATGAAATTATCAATATTATTCTCAAATTCTCTTTAGTGTCCGAAAAGTCATGGAAAACCGCTCATTCGTCGATGAAGAGCGCGCTAACACCATTGAAGCTCAACTTAAGGAAGCTCAATTGTTGGCTGAAGAAGCTGATAGAAAATACGACGAGGTCATTTATTGAATTTGATTTTGATTTTCTTTGGAGTAGAATTAAAGAGTGGATTTAATTACTAACTATTTCAAAAATTAACAGTGTGCTTGTGAATAATAACAAAGTATCTATACTTTTTTTGTATAGATTGTGTGCAGTTAGAATATTTCAAAATTCAAAACAATTATATAATTACAGGTTGCCCGTAAATTGGCCATGGTTGAAGCTGATCTCGAAAGAGCTGAAGAACGTGCTGAAGCCGGAGAAAAGTGAGTTTCATTTATACTTTTCATTTTTCCTTCTTTTATACGCACAACTTCTATATCCCATATCCCAATCCCAATCAAAAAAATCCCCCACTAGGAAAAAAAAAACTAAAGATAATGCTAAACTAATTGGAATTAAGCAAAATTGTTGAACTCGAAGAAGAGTTGCGTGTTGTCGGTTACAATCTCAAATCCCTTGAATTGTCCGAAGAAAAAGCATTGGAAAAGGAAGATATTTTCGCCGATCAAATCCGTCAACTCGATTTCCGACTTAAAGAGGTCTGAATCAAGTTGTGATGAGATTCAAACTTCCCCCGAACCTTTGGAACACCTTCAGATATTTCTTTGGTTTCACTAATCCAATTCAAAATCGCTCTAACAAACTGCTTCTTTGTAAAAACAAAAACAAAACTCTTGAGTGTGTGTCGTGAATTTTTGAAACATTTCTGATCCACAAAAAATGTTCAATCATTTTTCAGAAAAGCAAATATAAATAAGCGTGAACTTCATGGAATAATTTCCAACTTGCGTGAACTTGAAATCTCACATGAACAACTAACACTTCGCGATTTGCAATTAACAAAAATGTTGGAAAAATCGGATGAATTTCGATTAGAGGTCCCTTTTATGTCCACCCCTCATACCTTTTCCTATTATTTTTTAAGTTTAATTCCCTTTTCACAAAATTGTGATTGTGATAGTGAATTTTGATATTTTGTTCAGCAAGATCGTCGAATTGGAAGAAGAATTGCGTGTCGTCGGAAACAACTTGAAATCATTGGAAGTCTCAGAAGAAAAGGCTCTTCAACGCGAAGATTCGTATGAAGAACAAATCCGCACTGTCTCATCAAGACTGAAGGAGGTCCGTGAATATTATTATTATTATTTTTGTGATTACTGTAGTAGAAGTGTTTTGTCTCTACGTTGTGTCCAAAAATTGTATCGATTCATGTATTCATTTTGATTTTTTCAGGCTGAAACCCGTGCTGAATTCGCCGAACGCTCGGTCCAAAAATTGCAAAAGGAAGTCGACAGACTCGAAGGTTCGTTATTTTTTCCAGTTTCAGATTTTGTCTTTGTTCAGTTCAGTCCAGTTTAGTCATAACTACAGTGTAGTTGAAAAAATTGTGTTTTGTTCTGTTAAAAGTGAATATTTTTGTGTACAGATGAATTGTTGCTCGAAAAAGAGCGCGTACGAAACTTGACCGAAGAAATCGAACAAACTGTCCAAGAAATCCAAGGATCATAAATAAGACGGTGAACACATTTTTCTAAATGTTATGTGTTGCATGAAACAAAAAAGCATGAAAAAATGAATGAAAAAAGTAGTATTTGTATGAGCATATAACCATACGTTTTTTTGAGTGAATTTTGAAATTAACAGCTTGTTTGCAGAAGATCGTGACAATGAAATTAGAAAAACTCGTCAACTTCAAGATGAGTTGGATAACATGGTGCACGAATTGAATTCCGTCTAATTTTGCAACTTCTTCTTATTGATTGATTATAATTTTATATGTATATTTCTCTTCTGGTTGCTGTGATATTAAATGTGAAAACAAAACAAAAAACAAATATGAAAATGGTTTTAGACGAATTGGTGCACGAAAAGGAACGTTACAAGACCATTTCCGAAGAGCTCGATTCGACCTTCCAAGAACTTTCCGGTTATTAAATCCATCTTTTCCCTTTTCATGTGCCCACATTTTTCTTCTACTTGTATTTTGTCACAAAAAAACCCCAACATTTTCTTTTCTTTTTTTTGATTAATAATAATTCTCCTATAGATTTAAGAGAAGTTTATTTCATTTTTTCCATACATACATTTGTGCAAATATGCTCTATTGCAATTCAAAAAAAGAGTCGCCCCCGCCCTTTTCCCCCAAGCCTTTTTCCCTTTTTTCTCAAACATCTTGGCAGAACTATCATTATCGGATATAATAAACATGTTTGAACAAAAATTGTTTTAGATTTCAAAATTACAGGAAAATTTGCTTATCAAGATTGTTCAACTGACAATTGTGAATACTGTAGTTTTTCTACACTTCATGAATAAAAACATTGGATACATTTCTGATCTACCATCAAAGCTGATTTTGATCTACTATGAAAGTTAAATTAGTGTGTAAATTAGTGTATCAAACTACAAATATATCAGGTTTTTCAAACTAGAACTTTTCTATCAAAAATGTTATTTTTGCCGTGGACTACTGCATGTAGTTTTGAAATTTTCGTTCTTTCGTAGTTTTTTTCTCGATTGACTGTGAAAATGTATTCTTTAATCTATAGGCTCTCATAAAAAATGGTTCCGCTGAATGTTATCATTGTATTTTTTATTGTTAAAGGAAAAATATATATTACACCTGAAGACAATGGTCAAAATCACTAGTATTTTCTTGTTTGTTATAGATATTATAGTAATTATTTGTAATGATTATACAGAAAACTATTATCGTTATTCTACTACTATTTATCTGGATTCCTAAATCTTTTCAAAGTATGTTTATTGATATGAAAAGTACTTATAATAATTGAAATATAATATCTGATTGTGAGATCTCTATAATTCGGAATTCTTAATTTTACTTCGGTAAATTTAGAGAACACATTTTATAAATAGAGAGATTTTTTCAGTAATTTCTTTAATCCGATGAGCAAAGTCTGCTGCGCTATTAGATTGTGTTGACTAGATTATTTTTTTTTTTTGAATTTTCAAAAACAATTATTTGGAATTAACTATGGGCCCACTTTTTATAAATCAGAACACCTATTAAGAAATAGAACCATTTCTTATCATTTATTTTCTATGAGTTGTTTGTTGAGCTTTAGAATAAACTAACAAGAAAACGAAAAACATTTCAATTTTCTCGACGTTTTCCCGCAACATTTTTTTTACTTATTTTCTAAACAACATCATTATGTGATCATCTATAAAATACAACAAACACTTTCACTTATTTTATTTTTGTGTCCATCCATGTTTTTTGTGAGCATTGTCTTATCATTCTCCAAAAAACAAATTATTTTAAATTAAAAAATTACGGTTGTTCAAGGAACAATTTGTTTGTCCCTAGGGTCTCGTCACGACAAACAGTTTTTGTTTGCCGCGTGAAAGTTTTTGGTTTTGAAAAATTGAGTGAATTTTTATTTGCTTTTTTTTCGGTGGAGTCGTTCAAGGTTTGATCGCGTGATCACGTGAATAGAATTATGCTCTTGATCATTTCTAGAAACATCGCTGTTAATTTGGTTTTTCTTCTTATCTTTTTTTCAAAATAGGAATCACTTGAATTTTCCCCGCATAAAAAAACAAATCGAATGAGAGCACAAAAAACATAGCCAAAGGCACAGCTGCCTTTCTCTCCTGCGTCTCACTGGCCTCAAACACACACAATCGATTCTCTTTCATTTTTTAGTTCTACACGTTTTGACAAATAAATAGAAATTCTTATCATAGCGTTTTCGGCTTTGTTCAATAAAAACATTTGTTGTTTTCTTCATGTTATAAGTTATTACATTTTATTTTATTTAGACATGTCTCTTACCCAAGACCCAGCCTTTATTGCATTGAAGAAACACGTAGAAGATAACGAAAAAGATAAACAATTACTTGATTGGTTCAAAGAAGATGCTGGCCGTTTCCAAAAGTTTACGTGAGTTTTAATTTCCTGAATGATTTTTAGTGCACTAAGCAGATTTCATCGAACTTTGTGGAAAATGATGCAATTTTTCGAATTTTTTGAAATAATGTTAAAATAATTAATTATTTCCAGACGAAACTTCGATACTCCAGACGGTCAGTTTTTGTTTGATTTCTCGAAAAATCGTATTACTTCAACTACATTGGATCTTCTTTTGAAACTTGTAAGTTAATTTTAAATAATCAAAAATCAAATCTCGATTTTTAGGCGAAATCACGCGGGGTCGAAGAATCAAGAGATGCAATGTTCAATGCCGAAAAGATCAATTTCACTGAAGATCGTGCTGTTTTGCACATCGCTTTGAGAAATCGATCAAATCGTCCAATTTTGGTTAATGGAAAAGATGTAAGTTAAATTTTCCTTAATATTTCGAAAAGCTTATTTGAAGATTTTATAGGTTATGCCAGATGTTAACAGAGTTTTGGCTCATATGAAAGAGTTTGTGAATGAAATTATTAGTGGAACATGGACAGGATATACTGGAAAGAAGATCACAGATGTTGTTAATATTGGAATCGGAGGTTCTGATTTGGGACCATTAATGACAACTGAAGCTTTGAGACATTATCAAGTTGGTCCAAATGTTCATTTTATTTCAAATGTTGATGGAACACATGTTGCTGAAGTTACAAGCAAATTGAATGCTGAAACAACTCTTTTCATCATTGCATCAAAAACTTTCACAACTCAAGAAACAATTAGTAATGCAGAAACTGCAAAAGAATGGTTCTTGTCGAAAAATGGCGGAGATCAATCAGCTGTTGCAAAACATTTTGTTGCTTTATCTACAAATGTTCCAAAAGCTGTTGAATTCGGAATCAATGAGAAAAACATGTTCGAATTCTGGGATTGGGTTGGTGGAAGATATTCATTGTGGTCAGCTATTGGATTATCAATTGCTGTTCATATTGGATATGATAATTTCGAAAAATTATTAGATGGAGCATTTGCTGTTGATGAGCATTTCCATAAAACTCCTTTGGAAAATAATGTATGTTTTCAATATTTTTCTGTTATTTATTTTTATATTGATTTTTTGTAGATCCCCGTTTTGTTGGCTATGATTGGAGTTCTTTACAATAATGTTTATGGAGCAGAAACTCATGCATTGTTGCCATATGATCAATATTTGCACAGATTTGCTGCCTATTTCCAACAAGGAGATATGGAGAGTAATGGAAAATTCGTGACAAGGTAAATTTGAAAGAGTTAAATGATCTAACGTAAAAAGAAAAGGAAACATATTTCCAAAAGTTTTGTTTTGTGTGTCATTTGCGCTCTGTTGAACACCATTATATCCCAAATCAATTATTTCAACATTGTGTGCAATAATTTTTTTAGAAAAATTATGCAATTTTCAGACATGGAACACGTGTTGATTATTCAACTGGTCCAATTGTTTGGGGAGAACCAGGAACAAATGGTCAACATGCATTCTATCAATTAATTCATCAAGGAACTCGTCTTATTCCAGCCGATTTTATTGCTCCAGTTAAAACATTGAATCCAATTAGAAATGGATTGCATCACCAGGTTTGTTGAAAAAACATTATTTTTGCTTCATAGCATTCAATATCAATTATTCTTTTCATTTTTTGTTTTTAGATTTTGCTCGCTAATTTCTTGGCACAAACTGAAGCTTTGATGAAAGGAAAAACTAGTCAAGAAGCTGAAAAAGAACTCAGAGCAGCTGGATTGGATGGAGATAAATTGAACAAGATTTTGCCACATAAGGTATGTTTCGGAATTAGGTTTTATAGATTCTAGAAAATTATCTATTGAATTTTTAAAGGTTTTCGAAGGAAACAAGCCAACAACTTCGATTGTTTTGCCAGTTGTTACTCCCTATACTCTTGGATCTTTAATTGCATTCTATGAACATAAAATCTTTGTTCAAGGAATTATTTGGGATATTTGCAGTTTCGATCAATGGGGGTAAGAAATATCGTTTGGTTTTGAATTCTAGTATCTATATTTCAAATAACTATTTTCAGAGTCGAACTCGGAAAACAATTGGCAAAAGTAATTCAACCTGAATTGGCTACACCAGAAGTTATTTCAACTCATGATGGATCTACAAATGGATTGATTGCGTTCATCAAAAAACACGCATAATCAGTTAATAATCAGCTTATTGATTTTTAGTAGAAAATTTTGATTATATAACATCTAGTCAGTCATTCACAAAAAAGAAATGTATTTTAGAATTTATTGCATAAATTATTGTAATTCGTACAGATTTCCAGAAAAATAATGACGGGTTGATTTTTTCCCTATGAATACTTTTTTTTAAAATCTAACTTGTTGAAATTCCAAAAGATTAATTTTTAAAATTTTTAGAACCCATAAAACAAAACCTAAATGTATAAGTAATTTACGAACTTTTAAATTCCAAGATAACTTTTCTCACAAAACCCCATAAAAGAAAAAAAAACAACTTACGGAAAATCGCCCATTCAAAATTCAGAGAGCAATTTTAAAAACGCTCGAGCCAAGAAATGGTTTAATTTTTATTTTGGATGTTTTAGACGTGAAATTCAATATTTAATTTACAATTAAAAGTGTGGCTTTTATATTTTGAGCGTTTTAAATTTCAGAAAATGGCTGGATATGCGCTGAAAAGATTAATGACTGAATATAAAGGTGAGAAATGTTTCCTTATCGATTTTGATTCTATAAAATATTCCTAATATTTCAGAATTAACAACTCGACCACCAGAGGGAATAATTGCTGCTCCGATCGACGAAGACAATTTTTTTGAATGGGAATGTTTGATAACTGGACCGGATGATACCTGTTTCGCAAATGGAGTTTTCCCGGCCAGAATAGTTTTCCCTCAAGATTATCCATTGAGTCCACCAAAAATGCGTTTTACTTGCAATATATTCCATCCAAATATTTATGCGGATGGTCGTGTATGTATTTCTATTCTTCATGCTCCCGGAGATGATCCAACTGGTTATGAATCATCGAATGAACGTTGGAGTCCAGTCCAATCAATCGAGAAAATCCTTTTAAGTGTGGTTAGTATGCTTGCAGAACCAAACGATGAATCTCCTGCAAATGTGAGCGCTGCAAAAATGTGGAGAGAAGACCGACAGCAATTCGAAAAGATCGCAGATTCTTTGGTTCGAAAAACACTTTGCCTACCAGCTTCTGAATTATAAAGCTGTTATTTATTCAAATATCAATTAATGTGATTTAAATAAACATTTTTGAAACAACACAATTTATTTCATCAACAATGGTTCAACAATAGCTTATTCCTCGCTGTCAACGTTGACGTTGGTGAGTCCGTGGAAGTTGGCGCATGGAACGTATGTGGCCAAAGTGTAAAGCTTGTGGGCTGAGTCCTCGTCTTCATTACGACGGCGGGAAAGGCGGACACGAACTCTGTATGGGACGTTCCTGAAAAAAGATTCATTACAAAATTTTCGTTGTTTATTAAAAAAAAACTCTTACTTGATTCCCTTGGACCAGATGAACTTGTTGAGTTTGGTGTCGACTCTGACATCCTCGGTTTTCATTTCAATTCTGGCGAACTTCTTGATCTCGTCAATGGCACGTGGAGCGCGTTTCTTGGCTCCGCTAAAAATAAGATATGAACTACAGAACAAATGAAGTGATATTACCTAAACTCGATCGTCAAACTTTATTTGAGAAAGAATTTCGAGGATGCCTTTAGATTTCCACATGAGTCTCGAATGAGAAACTTGTAGCGTTCAAGGAAGGAGCCACCCACCATGAACAAGGCAATGCTCCGTTAGTCCAGTCATTGCGATTCTGGCTGAACCTGCTCGTCTTGAACAGACGGAGCTGCAATGACTGGCGTGGGCCAACACACCGCTTCCAGGTGGAGCTCGTGTTAGCATAAAACGACGAAGTATTTTATTTAAAAAAAAACTTACATTCCCTTGATTCTTCTGTGAATGTGGATGGTGAATTCACGGGTGACAACCTCGTTGATGGTGCTGCGAGACTTCTTTTCAGTCTTTGGAGCCATTTTACCTGAAAATTTGATTGTTTAACACCTGGTGAGTTCGACTAAAAGATAAGACACGAAATTTCGGATTAAAAACGGAGAAAACTAAAGAAAGAGCAAGATTTATTCAGACCAGGGCGAGAAAAGAGAGGAAAATTTGGGACTTCGGAAGGAAAAAATAAAATAAAATAGCATCGTGGTGAGAGTTTAAAAAGTAATAAATGACTGCGCCTTTGAAAATTTAGCAACAGAGCGCACTTGATGCATCAAAATATATTTGTTTATTTTCTTTCTTTCGCTGGTTCCTAGACCAATGAGGAACTCATAAAGGTGATTCAATTTCAATTCAATTTCAAACAACAATTAAAATCGTATTTTAGATGATTATTAATACGACACCAAATCTAATTATATTGGAACAAAACGGAGAAAGAATATATTTTAGCAGAGATGATGGTTCTATAATAATTCCAGAAAATGATTTATCAATAATTGAAGCTGAAATAAATATTTGTGGAGATGTCGAATTTTTGATTGGTTTATTGTCGATCGAAAAATATACATACTTATTTTTTGTGACTGAAAGTTCTGTGGTCGCTCATTATCGAGGAACGCAAGAAAATGTAGGTTCGAATAAAAAACAAGAGTTCAAAATGAATGTATTACATGTAATTTATAAACATTTAGGAAAAAAATTAATAATTGTAGGTATCAGAGAATATTTTCGTAAAATCTAGTTCGATTTTCAGACAAAACATGAAATTCGTCGGATTGATAAAGTTGTTGCGATTGATACAAAAATGGATTGCTCACAAATCAAATCTCAAATAAATCCATCAACAACTAAACTCAAACAAAATACTGAGAAATTCATCAAGTTTTTCGCCGATAAAATTTCGAAAGACTCAAAACCAACAGTATTAGATGATGTTATTCGACTTTTCAATGATTCCAAGGATTTCTATTTTTGCCGTGAAAGAAATGTTACAATCTCTGCTCAGACGTTAGTCAGAATTTATCGTTTTTCGTAAATTAAAGCCATATTTCTCAGATTTTTCACAAAACGTTCAAATTTATCCGAAGAATCATTTTTCTGGAATAAATATATGTTACAACCACTTGTCGACGCTTTGAAAGATAAATATTCGCATTTCACATGCCCAATTATGCAGGGATTTGTTTCAACATCCGATTTAAGTATTACAGATCAGGTTAGACAAAAATCAATAAATTCTAACAAAATAAATTTGAATAGATTGAAGCTGTTTTGTCGATAACAATTATATCAAGAAGAAGTACTCACAGAGCTGGAGCAAGATATTTGAGACGAGGAATTGATGAAGATGCAAATGTTGCTAATTTTGTTGAAACCGAACTGATTCTTAATATTTTTGAGCACGAACTTTCATATATACAAGTAAGTTCGAATTGAAAAAAAATAGTTAGAATTTTAATTAAATATATAAATATAGATTCGTGGATCGATTCCTGTTTTTTGGTCTCAAAAAGGTTTCAAATATCGTCCACCTCTTATAATAAATAAATCAATTGAAGAAACTCATTCGATTTTTGAAAAACATTTTTCAAATCTTAAAAAACATTATGGAACTCCAATTGTTTCGGTTACTTTGGTTGATCAAAAAGGAAGAGAACATGGTTTGGCACAAAGATATTTGGAACATTTAATCAAATTAAATGATGAAAATGTTAATGTTTTCTCTTTTGATTTGCATCAACATTGTCGTGGACTTAATTTTCAGAAGGTAAGTATATTTTCGAGCTAAAAATATATATGTGAATATTTTTCAGCTTCAAGTTTTAATATCGGAAATGGAAGAAACGTTGAAAAAAATCGGATTTTGTTGGGTTGACAAAACTGGAGAAGTTGTACAAAGACAAAAAGGAGTAGTTCGAACAAATTGTATTGATTGTCTTGATCGAACAAATCTTGTACAAGGACAATTATCACTTTTTATTGTTTTACAACAAGCACAAAGATTAGGAATATTTGGACCATTATGTGAACCACCAGAACAATTAATTCAAGTACTTCAAACAATTTGGGCAGATAATGGAGATGTTATATCAACACAATATGCTGGAACTGCTGCATTAAAAGGAGATGTTACAAGAAGTGGTGAAAGAAAAATAACTGGAATAATGAAAGATGGATTAAATAGTGCTTCGAGATATTATTTAACACATATGAGAGATGCAAATAGACAAAAAGCAATTAATTTGGTTACAAAACAAACTGAAAATATTGTAAATTCTGAGAATGATTCCGATTCAGATGAAAAAGAAGAAGAAGAAAATATATGCCGATTATTGGCTGAAACTGTTCAATTTTTGGTTGCTCCTCAACAAACTGTTATTGGTGGATGGGGTTTGATTAATGTTTGTGTTAATAATGATGAAATTGATACAATAGTCATTTTGACTAGGTTTGTTTCTTTTCAAATATTTAAATATTAATTTTACCTTTTTTCAGATCAAAATTGTATATAGCAAGTTATGAAATTGACGGTGAAAAAATGAATGATGTTAGAATTATTTCATTGGATGATATTATTAATATACAAATTGGTATTTATGGATCAAGACAATGTTTGAAATTAGAAACACCTGAAGATATATTTGTATGGAAACCATCACAAGTTAGACTTTTCAATAATTCTGCAATTCGATTGAAATCTTTGGAAGAAGCAAATGAATATATTTTATCTGTAGCAGAGCAGGTATATTCATTATTTTTCTGTTCATTTTTATAAATCATATTTTACAGATAAATGTTGGTAGAAATATGTTATCTGGAACAGTTTGTTCTGTCAAAACTGATGGTAAATTATCGATTCCTCAAATGTCAGTTCATCGAAGAAGTTTGGCTGCAATGGGATCAATTCTAACAAAAATAAAGAAAAAGACAGTTTCTCCAATGCTTCCAGCTTCTTCCAATTCTTCACAAACCAAAGAAGATCAAAGCGATTCAGAGAGTACGACATCTGAAGTTTCTCAAGAACCTTTTTTCTCTTTAATACCGCTTATCGCCCAAAGTCAAACTAAGATTTCACTTCTTTAATGCATTTTCCTGTGATTTTTGCCCAAAAACAATGAAATAATAGTATTAATTATTTTTGTACCAAATTAAATTTGCAGAATAATTTTTAAGACACCACCTATATTTTTGCATTTCTTACTGAACAATACTTTGCAACGGAATACAGAAAACCTGCATATGGTTTTCATAATACGCTCTTATATAATGTGCTTTCTGTATTCCCGCTACGCTGGAAAAATTGCTTCGGTGCCATACTTTTAGAAATTTAAAAAAAACTCACGGTTAAAAAAAAAGCAATTGCAATGTTTTGAATTAGAAATGCCCGAGTGCAACATTTTATTTTTTTAGTAAAATTTTTTATACGCGTTCATTATTATTGAAGTCGAGCGGGCGTCATTTTGAATTTTTCCAAATGTATATAATATTGCATCCGGATCCCGGGAAAAACATCACTTTTTCCCACCCTAGTTCCAGCTAATCTGAAGTTAAAAACATTTAATTGTTTTACTCGCCTGTTTCCTTTTTCCAGAAACATAGCGATGAAATAAATCAGTTGTGTAACACTCAATCTATTTATTTTCAGCCTATCTTTCAAGAAGCCAAACCACTTTGGGAAAATATTAAAAAGTTGAAACGAAAGAATTTGGACAGTGAATTCGACCGCTATAAAAGATTGAATGGCGTTTTGGGGGGAATTTTCTAGAAGAAAATTTAAAAGAGAAAAGAAAAAAGGAGTTTCGCAACCAAGTGATATACAAACGAACATAAGAAGCTGAATAACAACCGATGTTTTACTTCCATTTTTTGTTTTCGTAATCGTAGTGAGTTGGAGCTCCGAGGAAGTTACCCTGAAAAAAAGGAAATTACTTTGATTCATTTCTCTTTGAAATGTTTACCTTCTCGAGAACCAAAGCACGTTCAACTTGAGCTTCTTTGTATTCGTTTTGGAAGGTTGGTGGCAATTCTGGGTAGACATAGACGTTCAAAAGAACTGCATAGTAGGTAGCGAGTCCAAGAATTGAAAGAACGACAGCGGAGATGACCTGAATTACAATAACTATAGAACATTAGGTTCAGAGAGAGGAGAGAGGTTTTACATCATATTACAAGTTTGTGAGGTTGAAATTATGCTTGTTTTAAACATTTTAATTTTTCTTTGCATGGGGACAATTCAGGCGTTAACCTTAGTCTTAAAAAATAGTGGAAATACGGAAATTTGACAAAACTAACACGTAATTTGTGCATAAAAATTGCATTTAAAAGTTGATTAAACTTATAAATAGAAATATCTCAGAAAATTTTGCAACATTTTTCGTAATAACTTTCAGGTGACTAATAATTCTAAAGTAATATAACTTTCCCAATGACATTATCGACTGGATACGTTTTTTCGATTTCAAAAAACTCACCTTCCAGTATCCGGTTGGTGCTTCGAACTCTGAAAGAGTTTGACGGAAACTGTAGCGGTAAAGTGCCTTTTTCTCTTCAGCTGAGAGATTCTTCCAATCTCCAGATTCTTTAGCACGAATTGGAGCAATAGTGCTATCTTCCTTGCGGAATCGGATAGCTGGGTACCAATAATCCAAACGATCTTGGTAAATCTGAAATTATTCTTTATCAGAACATCACTTTCATTTTATGAAATTTTCTAACTCACGTTATCTCCGCAAGATCCGTATCCAACCAATTCACGACCAGCTCCTTTTTCTGGTCCCCACCAGTATTCAACGTGATGTCCACCGGTGGCACGGGTGGTTGTGTGCAAAGCACGAACAGCCATTCTTGGTAGCATCAATTGGCGGGCCAACATACCTGAATAATTCAACATTAAAATGGTATTAAACGGAAAAATATTTAATGTTATTTGATTGAGAAAACAACAAAGAGTTTTTCGTTTCATAAATAGAGTTTTATTAGGATAAAACGTTTCCTTATGATAAAAATGAATAAATATCGCTTAAAGGTTTATTCAACTATTTCAAGAGACCGAATTTCCTTGCAAGAAGAGTGCTTTACGTGTTTTACGTGATGAACAAGAAACGTGCGGTGTCCACAGAAAAAAAGATAAACTGAGTTGCAACTATAAACTGTTGTGTTAGATACGCAGCCAAATGTCCTATAGAGCGAACTTGCTCGTTCGTATTATTATATTTTTGTTTCGAAAAAGAAATTCTTCAATTTTCAACAAAGTCCGTATTATTGGTGTGAAAAATGTTGGCTCGACCAACATTCACTCGAAAAAGAGAATTGATTGATGGAAATCAAAGACCAAATAAACGAAACAGACCAGATAAAGAGTATCTTATCAAAACTTATGAAAAAAAGTTCAAAAAGCGAAAAGTATTGGTTGTTGTGGACGAATTGTGCTTGAGAGCTGAGAATGATAGACAATTGTGAGTTGATAAAAACTTTTTCGTAAATTAAAACAATTTATAGGACGAACAATTTGCTCCGCGAACTTGACAATGAACATGTAAGAAATGTGAATAAGAAATATATAGTGGAATGTTGTACAAAATTATTGACTGCTTGTTCTGTTGCCAAACTCGATACAATTTCTTGCAAAATATTTCGAACACTTTTTTCCATCATGAAACAAGGAGATCGAATTCAATGGATATCATTTCTTGAAAGCCTCAAAAACTTCGAAGTTCTGTTCACGAAAATATGTTTAGATGCAAACATTCTTGAAGTATACACATTTGCACTCAGTCAAGAATATATTAAGGTAGAAGATATCCCAGAACAAGTTATGGTTTGCTCAAAACGGGGAATTTCTCAAACACATTCAACTGATAATAGAACGAAAAGTCTTTCTATTAATTTTCAAGTGTCTTATTTCATGGCTGGTAAGAATTCTTTTGAGGTTTATTTGAATTTCTTGAATAATTGCAGATACAAAAAGCGAAACAAAAATGAAAGAATGTGAAAAACTGTTATGTAAACTAGCAGTCGATCGAGATTTTCGAACGAGAAATGTTGCTTGTGAAGGATTTTTGAAGTTAACTGAACACGGGTATAAATTGAATAAATCGACATATCAAATAATAAAAGGACTTATGACGGATACTGATTCAAATATTAGAATAATGGCTTTAAGTTTATCGTTGTATTTTGCAAACAGAAAACCGAGGTAATTTTGTTAGGTTTTTTATCGATAATTTTTAAATATTTGTAGTGAAACAACTTCTGGAAAAGGAACAATATTAATTACCGATGATGCATTTTCAGCTGTATGTGATGCAATGAATGATATTGAGGTTTGTTTTTATAATGTTTTCATAATTAATAGTTTTAATTTATAGCTGAATGTTCGTGTAAAAGCGGCAAAAATCTTGGGTGGATTCGAAAATGTGTCAGAAGAACTTATTCATCAAACTTTAGACAAGAAAATGATGAGAACAAATAAAGCATCGGAAGTTGTTAAAATTCAAAAAATCGATGTTTGCGATGAGTAAAAAACAAATGAGTGGAGTTGATAAAAGATGGAAATTTCTGAAAAAGAATAAAAATACGGAACAACAGTAAGATTTTATTTTTGGATAGAAATAAAGGATAGATTTTTAGGGATAATTCACGAGGAGGTTGGTCACGAGGAAAAGAACTGAATGCTTCGTGTCCAGAAGCATCTTCGTCTTCAAAAAATCAAGATGAGGATGACGATTCAATCATTCCACATGGAGCTTGTGGAGCATTTGTATCTGCTTTAGAAGATGAATTTATGGGTTTGTTATTATTTTCTAAATAAATAAAATTATTGAAAAACCTTAATTAATTTTCAGATGTTCGTAGAGCTGCTGTTTGGTCTCTTGGAAAATTAGCCTCAAATCGGCCAAGTTTTGCGATATCTGCTTTGGAATATTTGGCGGACATGTTCAATGATGAAATTTCTGATGTTCGTTTAGATGCAATCAATGCACTAACTCCTTTAATTTCTCATGGACAATTAAATAGTGAACAACTTAATGTTATTCTTAAATGTTTAGATGTAAGTTTAGTTTTATATTCTAAAAAATCAATAGAAAATATATTTAGGATGGAATGGCTGATTCAAGACAAGCAATGAGAGAACTACTAAAACGTGCTCAATTTGTTGATGTTCAATGCATTGAATTATGTGTTAAAGCACTTTTAGCATGTCTAAAAAGATTCCCAAAAGATAAAGATCAAATATTTTCTTGTATGGGTTTTATTGGAAAAAATCATTCGATTCAAGTTCAATCAATGATGCGAGATTTGCTTGGAATCAATTTATTATTTCATACAAGAGAACATTCTATTGAAGATGTTGTTTGTAAGTTGAATGAAAATATTATTCAGAATTAGTAAATTTTTTCAGATCTTGCAAAACTTGTTATGGTTCTAAATGCAGCATCGCAACAAAATCCAATGGTTCATTTGATGCCTGAATTTGTTCAAAGACATTATCGATTTTTACGAAGTTCATCTCCTCATCTTGTTTCTGCTATCACAATTCTTGACGAACAATCGAATGGTAAATTAAGATTGGCTGAAAAATCTGAAAATACTGCAAAAGCTGAAGAAATTGTTCTCAAAACATATTCTCGATTATGTGAATCAGAAAATTGTCAAAATATAATGGATAGAAATATTAAAAGAGATGGCATTTTCAGGTTTGATTCAAGATTTTGGATTATGAAATTATTTATTTATTATTTCAGAGATGCAAGTGCAGTTAGTATTTATAATGAAAATGTTAGTGGAGCTGCTCGACTTATTTGTTGTTTGGGTGAAATTGCAACAAATTTAGATAATGTTGCAAATACAGTAATATATGGTGGAGAAATTGGAGATGTTCGTAGTTTGATCGCCCAACATTTGGAAAATATGCAATCGATTGAATATCAATTTTCTGGAATCACACCACAAATTCAAAGTTATTTGACACATTGTCGATTTTATCTTTCATTTATTGATCTTTTAACATGGATGTTTCAAACAATTGTGCAACAAAATGAAATTATTTCAATTATCAATGGATTTTGTGAAGATTCGAAAAGAAGAACAAAAAATATACAAATATCTGAAGAATTTCAAGAAATTATCGAACACGCTGAAAATATATTTGTGAAAAAATCAATTGGAGAAGAATCAAAGAAAATTATAACATCAGCAACGATTTGTGCATTTTTAGACAAAGCAATGCCAAAATTACCAAATAAATTTCCAAAATGCCGGAATTTGCATCTAAAATACGCGCAGGTTAGTAATATCTCTAGTTTTCTCTTGCCAAACACATTTCAACACGTTTTTCTTCTCTCTCCTGCCGTGTTGGTTTAGTGTAGGGGTAAAGTGTTTGCTTGTCAAACGAACGAGTTTTTGATTCGCGAGTTCGATTCCCCATTGAGTCGATGATGGTTGTTTCAAGACGGGACCGACTTGTGAATGATGCATAAATGAACTGCTGAGACTACTTTTTTTTTCAGATTACAACTCCTAACAAAGACACTGCAATTGAATCTGCTGTTCGATTTTTCTCAAATATGCCACATGGAATTGCTTTTGAAGCGAATTTGTTGAATTTGTGTGAAGGTGATTCGGAAAATATACGAATTCGAACCGTTTTCCCTGATGGAAAAGCGGATATGATGAAACCACGCGAAAAAGACATTAAACTTCAAGAAGATGGAAGTCACGTTGTTTCAACTCATGTCAAAGTAACTTCTTCTAATTCGTGGGCAGATTCTGCTGAAATTGACATTATCATTGGTCTTTTGTTACCAAATAATTCTCATTTTGTACCACTTTTTGCATCGCCTTCTTGTTTTACACAAGCTCATGTGCGTGTTAAAATTCATCCCGTTTCAAGATAAATGAAAAATAAATTATATTTAAGTTAGTATCAAATTGGTGTTGATTGGTGTTTATTTCTTATAAGAATTGCCATCTGTTTACAAGCTTCAAGAGTTGCTCGCGATGATGCGACTTCAATTGGTTGAACTCCGTCAAGTTGTGCATGACAAGTTTCATTCTATAAAAAACGACATTCAGAACAAATGATTGTTTTATTTTTTACCTGCGATAAAAATGTGATTGCCGATGTTCGTAGTTTAGCTTCTCGTTTATCATAAATATCCTGTATTAGTGATTTGACTTGATCAACTTCAAAAATATTATCCGAGGCTTCTTTAACCAACATATGTGATAATTCAAAAAACATATCGGGCAAATGCGATAAACCCAAATTGTCTGATTCGGATATTAAAATTTTTTTGAGTTCTTCGATTGCCAACCAACCAGGAGGCTGAACAAATAATTCATGTCAATTATTCCAACTTTAAAGGAAACTAACCACAATATGACAATGATGTTTCCTTTTTAACATAAGTGCCATCCAAACGGGTATTTTTGTTGGAATTCCAGCTTCAAATGGTCCCACATCTCCTGATATTAAATGTACAACTTTTTCACTTATTCGGGGAATTATCTGAAAATAATCAAAAATTCAAAGTCATCCAATACTTTTTCCAACCTCTATTTGTTGATTTGCCGCTAAAAATTCACATTTTTCTGCATTCATCTGAAATTTTAATAATTTAACCGAAGATCAATGATTTTTCAAAAGTATTTGAACAATGTTAATTTAACATGGGTAAATTACAAATGAAACTTCAAACGAACAAAAACAGAGTAACTTTATTAATTTTCAATCTAATCATCTAGTTCTATAAAAGATCAATAAACTAGACTAGATAAAGTTTGTGTTGAATAGGCAAGATAATTTGAATTCGTGATTTTATTCAGTTGCAATTTCTTCGTCTTCGACTGATACTTGAAGTATTCCAGTATGAATTGCAAATACAAGAGAAAGTGTTATTGCTCCGAGAGCAAATAAAATCGAATCTCTCATTGGTGGTTCTTCCGCATTGTTTTCAGCATGTTCATTATCCGAATTTTGTTTGGCTAATTCTTTTTCAGCTTTTGCTTTCGCTAATCTATTATTCCATAATTTTCGATTTGATTGTTGACGTTTAATTTCTTCTTCGCTCAAAGGTAAATAAATTGATGATACTGTTTCAACAAATCTCACAAGATTTGGACAAGCTGAAAGTTGAACTTGAAGTCGATCATTTGGAAGTGGAACACGAAGAAGCGGAGCAAGATAACCAAAAACGAGTGCATCCAAAGATGTTGGCTTATTTCCACAGAAAAATTTGTTATCTCCCAATTTGGTTGAGAGAGTGTTAAGAGCCTGGAAAAATAAAACACTAGAAAAAATTAAAAAAAAAAAAGAGATTTTGAAACTTACCATGAATGCATCCTTCAAAATAGTAGTGTCATTTTTTGATGCCAACAACCTCAATGCTTTCTTTCTTCGTTTCTCCAAATAATATAAATTGTATGGAAAATGCAAGTGCGATGCATACCAATATTGTGTGACTGTATTATAATTCAATTCATCAGCCCAAAATGTATGTGTTACAGCTGGATTCAAATTTTGATGAAGATAGCATGAAAAAGCATCAAGTTGAGCTCTTTCAAAAGTTGTCAAATCAGCATCGATAACCACATCTTGTCCACTTTTTTTCAAAACTTCAACAAACTTTTCGTAATCCGTGACCGGCTTGTTTTTCTGATCAAATATCGCGGGATATTCTCCAGTTGGTGAATTCCAAGGCCGTGTTGAATGAACAACTTGAACTGGACTTGCACACATTTTTGAACATGTCTGAACAAACAAACCAAGGTTTATTATTGAAATAGCGGAATTCTTACCAAAAACTGAAGTGATGCCACGTCAATTGTGGGAAGTCCAAAGTCTGACGGCCAAATATGCAGTTCCATGGAGTGAATGCAAAAAAACGCGCGAAAAAAAGAAAATAAATGTACCAACGATACTCCGAAATGACGCCGGATCCTAGGCCATATATGTTCAAAAAACTAGGCCAATGCCATTTTTTCAGCGGGAACTTTTAAATTTTGCAATTCAAAATATGTTTGGGAAGACGAAATATTTTACTATTCTCATTCCGAGTTGGGAAATTTTATTATATTGCGAAATTTTTCAGAAAAACTCAAAAATGATTAACACTGAACCAAATGAAGTTGCCGAAGGGAATCCTCAACCAGAACAAAACATGGAAAATGAAGAAAATCCGAACAATCAGGAAAATGTAGGACCAAATGAAGAAGAAAATATGATCGAAACAAATGATAATCAAGATGGACAAGTACAAATTCTTAAACAAACTCGTGGACTTGGAGAAGATCCAATTGAAATGGATTGCCCAATTTGTGATGTATGTTTAGTTCACATCAATTTTCAATAATATTTTTAAATATTTACAGCAACATATTATAACAAGCATTGATTCGGTTGCATCATTATTGCCTTATGTTTTAATTCCAATTTTCGTATTGCTTTCATTATTTTCATATGAGCTATCTATTTTATGCCCAATATATCTATTCTTTATAAGTTGTTCATATTATTGTGTTCATTATTGTCCAGTTTGTGGATATTATATTGGAAATGGGAAAGCGCCTTCAAAGAAATGTCGTTTTATTCACTTTATATCTCGCTGCTTCAGTAATTGTCGGTCTAGAATAAGAAATGCTTTTAATTTCTAAAATATTACGTGTTGCATTATTCTTTTAAATAATTTGCAAATATTCAATTTTTCCATTCATTTGTAAAATAAAACCATTTTATTATTTGAGCAAAAATTTGACATTCATTGAACAAAGTGCCTCATATTATATCTGCGTCTCTTTCGTTTTTTCACATCCTCGATTATTTCAACCCCCACAAGAAAAAGTGTATATGTGTTGGGAGAAGAAGGACCATGAGCAAGAAAAAAAAAGAAAAAGAATTGTGGGAGAAAAAAAACGAGAGAATCTTTCTCTCTTTTATTTTCCTGTTCTTCTTTCCCAATTTTTTTCGTTTTTGTTTTGTTTATTTACGATTGGCAAGTACGTTTTTTGCCATTCAAAGAGAATTGAAGAATCAAAAAGTACAGTAATCCCTATTGGAAAAAAACCAAATCCACAATTATTTTTGTCAGTAAAAAATTCAATTATTTATAATTCAATATGTCTCGAATGTTTTATAGCTTTCTCGAAAAAAAAGAAGAAAAAACAAGGAATCGAATAAATAAAATATTTTCAGTCAACATTTTGTTTATTTACTGCTAACTCTTGAATTCTTTTTTTTTCTGTGCGGTGAGAGGATAAGTAGTTTTTGTTGACTTTGCTCGGTTTTGAAATAAAAAATTGCGAAGGTTTTTGTCGAATTATATAATGTGTAATTAGGTGTATTTTATGAAAATGTTTCATTTTCCGGAAACCACTGAACAATTTCTGAATAGCAAATTATACCAATACCCTTTCAAATAAGTTTTTTTTGAAATTGTTCTTTATCCTAGCAAATCTCATATAATTTCGAAATTTCTTTTTCAAAAAAATCTGAAGCTGCCACAAATTTAGTAAACCCCAGAGAATTTTCCATGACTCATTTGCCTTTTTTTGGTTCTCCCAAAAAGAGTCCATCTTTTCTTTTCTTTTTCTCAAAAGTGCATGTCTTCTTTTTTTTTTCTTTCGTCATTTTTTCGCCTCAATCGAACAATTTTATTCAGCCAGTGTTTTGTTCCGAAAATGGCTCCTTTAAAAGTGTATGTGGCAAGTGCGACTGCAAATCCCGAAACAAAATATCGTGTTCAACGAACATTGATGATATTAGATGGACTCGGAATTCCATTCGATTCAATTGATATTACAAAACCCGAAAAAGCGGAAGATCGAAAATTTATGAGGGAAAATGCATATAAAGGAGAAGATGAAAATAATCGACCAAAACAAATTTTGCCACCACAATTTTTCTATAATGATGAATATTTGGGAGTAAGTTTTTTCAATGGAAAATCTTTTAATATAATTTTTATTCAAAATTGCAAACTACGCCATTTTCACTTGTTTTTCAAATATCGAGTCCCTGAATTTTTGTTTTCGAAAAATGTATCTATCAAAATCAATTCCCTTTTAATATTAAATGTTCAAAGCTGTCACAACAAATTTTTCTTTTCATTTTTGTTTTTCTAAAAACAAAACAAATTTGAAAGATAAAGAAATACAGTACCTTGATCTGATAAAACTGAAAAAAAGAGATTTTTTATAGGATTATGATGATTTTGATGCTTCAGTCGAAGATGATACAATCACTCAATTTTTACGTTTATTACCAGATGTTATTGTAAGTATTTCACATAATTTTTTAAAGATAACCTTTTTTGTCCAAAATTAACTTCATCTAACATATTTTTTTCAATTTCTAACATTAACATGTTTCAGGGAGAACGTATTCGTGTGAATGATGCTAATAAATGTGTGGCAGCTCTTTTCACAAAACAAAATAACGGTACTAACTCGAAATATTCGAATTTTAAAAACATAACCTTTTTGCAATGATTTTTTGCAGGCGTCAAATGCCGACAATAACAATGCTTCAACAACGGAAACCGGAGAAAATGAGACAAGCGAACAAAAATTAGCTGAAAAACCGAAAAATGAGCAAAAAGAAGAGGAAAATGATGAAGAAGGTGAAGAAGATGAAGAATGGGAAGATGAAGATGAAGAGGAAGAGGAGAAAGAAAAAGAAAAAATTGAAAATGATAAAAAATCGGAAAAAGAGGATGAAAATGAACCAACAGAAACTGCAGTGATAACATTGCCAAAAGTTCCTTCAAAAACCGAAGAAGTTGAAGACGAAGAATTAGAAGGTGAAGATGAAGAATGGGATGAAGAAGAAGAGGAGGAAGAAGAGGAAAAATAGACAGATTTATTTTAGGAGCCACTTTTTTTGCTTAACGGGTTCAGTTTTTCGCTAGTTTTTCTTTTTTGCCGTAATTTCTCCGGTTACCTAATAAACTATGAAACTTGATCAAAACATGTATTTCGTGTCATGGATATACAAAAAAAAAATGAAAAACAAAAGAAAAACATCGTAGGTGAAAAAATGTGAATATGCAATGGATGCGAATCTAGAAAATAATACTGGGCTAACAAAACATGTATAACAATGGAAACAGTAATCACTAAAAAAATTCAAAAATGTAAGACTTATTCAAAAAGTTGATATTTTATTCGGCTCCGAAATATTTGGTTGAGAAGTGATTAGGATAAAGTGAAGTGATATCGGATGAAACAACAGTAATGTGAGGAAATTTCCTAGTGATATTTTGAAGACCTGTAAACAATTTACATGACCTTTTAAAATAGCGAATTCGAGCGAAAATGGGGATCACGATCAAATTTGCTACGATTGAAATAATACACGTAAATGTACACTACTTCAAAATAGTTAACGCTATAAAATGTCGAAAATTATTTCAATCATTTCTAATTTTAAAAATATTGCATTCAAGCTTCTTTTAAAAACGTGAGTTCCATTCGGAGTGTTCATTTTTGGTATTTCTAGAAATTCCGCATCACTGTGATTCTTTCCAGCATAATCAGGCTCAATTTTTGTAGCTTGTTCAGAATTAAAACAAAATAAACTGACCGGATGGCGACAAAAACAATGAAACCAAATAAATATTCTCATCGGGAACACGAGCTTCTTTCAAAACTTCGATTGCTTTGCAAACTGTTGTTCCGCTTCCAATTGTTGGATATAATAATAAAACACGTCTTGTTACAATATCAGGTAACAATCTTGCATACAATACTTTTTGTTCTTCTCCTATGAGAATTTTGCCGATTCGAATACTTCGACAACATTGTCGAAGAGCAATTTCCATTGCTTCTCCACTTCGACAAAGCGAAACACCACAGTTTCCCCGATTGAATTGAATTCCTAAATTTGAAATACAGTTTGTTAGGTATATTCTTTGTTTCTTTTCTTACCATCATATCTGAATCCAGTTGGTGTTATTATATTATGTTCTGAATACGGTAAATGATTGAGTCCTTCTTCAATTACTAATCTCATCAAACGATCTGCATTGAATACAAAATCAGAGTTCGATGTTGTTCTAAAAAATAATCTTGAAACTTCAAACATTTCAACTAAAAAACTAACCGATCTCTTAAGATCGTCTGAAGTTCTAATATCTGAACTGTTTTTTCGAGAAGAACGAAATTTGTTCCCTTCTCTTGCAATTCTTTGATCAATTTATCGACTTGTTGTTCTTCTGTTAGTGGATTCGATGGAGAAGTACCATTACATGTTGGAGAAACTGCCATTGTGACTGTAAATCGATGTGAAATTCTTCTCCACTCAAATCAAGTATTCTGAAAGTTACGTCAACTTTGACAAAAACAAAAAACGAGAAGCATTTATGATACAAGAATTTATGTCAATGCGAAAACTGTGAAATAAATAAAACGACGGGAGACGCAGGGCATATTAAAATGGGCGGAGTTTGAATGGTTCTTAATATTCTTCCTCTTCTCCTTCAGCTCCCTCGTTGGAATCGGCACCGACCTCTTCGTAGTCTTTCTCGAGTGCGGCCAAATCTTCACGAGCTTCGGTGAACTCTCCTTCTTCCATACCTTCTCCGACGTACCTAGAAAACGATGATTCAGTAACAGAAAAGTTTTTTTTTGAAATTTACGGGAATAAAGAATTTTCGTTTTAGCAGTAATTACATACTCTCTTATTGAAAATGAAAATTGAACAAGTGGTTTTTGAAAAAGAACAATTCAATGAATTTTAAATGTACACACTAAACAAAAAACTCACCAGTGAACGAAGGCGCGCTTGGCATACATCAAATCGAATTTGTAATCGAGTCTTGACCAGGCTTCAGCAATAGCTGTTGTGTTGGAGAGCATGCAAACGGCTCTTGGGACCTTGGCGAGATCTCCTCCTGGGACAACGGTTGGTGGTTGGTAGTTGATTCCAACTTTGAATCCAGTTGGGCACCAATCGACGAATTGAATGGTTCTCTTTGTCTTGATGGCGGCAATAGCAGTGTTGACATCCTTTGGAACAACATCTCCTCTGTACAAAAGGCAAACAGCCATGTATTTTCCGTGACGTGGATCACATTTCACCATTTGATTGGCTGGTTCGAAACAACTGTTAGTGATGTCTCCAACAGAAAGAGCTTCGTGATAAGCTTTTTCGGCAGAGATGAGTGGAGTGTAAGCCGCCAATGGGAAATGAATACGTGGGTATGGAACAAGATTAGTTTGGAATTCGTTGAGATCGACGTTCAAAGCTCCATCGAAACGAAGGGAAGCAGTGATTGATGAAACGACCTGAAAGTTAAACCTTATTGCACAGAAATTTTTTTTATAAAACTTACTTGAGAGATGATTCTGTTCAAGTTTGTGTAACTTGGTCGCTCAACATCCAAATTTCTTCTGCAAATATCATAAATGGCTTCATTGTCAACCATGAAAGCACAGTCAGAGTGCTCCAGAGTTGTGTGTGTGGTGAGGATAGAGTTGTATGGCTCAACAACGGCGGTTGATACTTGTGGAGCTGGGTAGATTGAGAACTCAAGTTTGGATTTCTTTCCATAGTCGACGGAAAGACGTTCCATGAGCAATGAGGTGAATCCAGATCCGGTTCCTCCTCCAAATGAGTGGAAGACGAAGAATCCTTGGAGACCACTGCAGTTGTCGGCAAGTCTGCGAATTCTGTCGAGAACGGTGTCGATAAGTTCTTTTCCAACGGTGTAGTGTCCACGAGCGTAGTTGTTAGCAGCATCTTCCTTTCCTGTGATCATTTGTTCTGGATGGAACAATTTCTTGTAGGTTCCAGTGCGAATTTCATCTGAAAAAATACGTTTAGTATTAAACATAAATACTTATTTTGTGAAAAACTTACCAACAACAGTTGGTTCCAAATCGACGAAGATGGATCTTGGGACATATCTGCCGGATCCGGTGTCAGAGAAGAATGTGGTGAAAGATTCTCCTTCGTTGGTAGATTGTGTTGGCATGGTTCCGTCAGGTTGGATTCCATGTTCCAAGCAGTAAAGCTCCCAGCAAGCATTACCGATTTGGACTCCGGCTTGTCCGACGTGGATAGAGATAACCTCGCGCATACTGAAAAAATATTATTGCGAAATTCTGTTGGGGAAGATATGAACAACAATTTGATATCTTAATAAAACTATACGAAAGATCGATAAGATAAAAAAGTCACAAAAATAAGCAACAGTGTGTCTAGCCCAGGGAATGGTTGTGTGTATATGTGCGACAAAAAAGAATTGAAAGGACACAAAAAAAAGCGGGCAGCAAAAATGAGTGGACGCCGGCCGCGAGGAGAGTAAGTGAGAGATGGAGGAGAAGAATCGATTGCGCTGAGGTGATGGTGGTACAAAGCGCGCGCGAAGCTACCCGGCTATTGCGAAATATCTGATGCCAAGATGAAGACATAATATAATATGTAGAAAAAGGGATGAGAGAAATGAAGATTAACTCAAATAGCAGGTGTTCAATAATACTTCTTTACATAATTATGACTTAATAAAAAAGAAAACTGTATCATAAAGCTTACAGAAACCCAACGCTTTGTAAGCTTACTAACAAATTCTTCAGAAATACTTCTTGTAAAAGTTGCAATTTTAGCCCGGAAACACCAATAGGCATATATATATAGTGTTCTTTTTAAATGTATAATTACACGTGTAACAAATAAAAACCCATTTCCATAGTTATATTCAAAAACTGGGAGCTACACGCCATCAAATTTCTCAACGAAAAGGGAATAAATAGGCTCTATTCTGAAATCAAGTTTTCTGGAGGTAAACAGCTTTCCAACATGAAAATGCCAACTGCAAACTGATAAGAAACAACCTCGAACTGACTCAGCAAAAAGGAATGATGAAACAAAAAACCTCTGTGCGCGCCAAACATTCATCGAAATTTGAAACACACAACATGCGTATCAAACTGCAGGCGGGAATTCAAATTTGGTTTTTTTGGAAGATGTTTTGAGAATAATTATTTTTTCCACTTGAACAAAAAAAGTTGATATTTTGACACGTCATCGACAATTTATATATATATTTATTGAACCACACCGATAATTTACTGTTGAATATATTGAACGCTCTAGGATAAAAACGAGAACACTTTATGAAATCAAATTTTCATGAAAGAATAGATATATTAAAAGCTAACATGCAAACAACATCAACGCTAGCAGCTTTCAATTTTCCTGTCGACATTCCGATTCCTGGAAAATATTAGTTTTTTTTCAGATCGAGGAAATGGTTATATGAAATATAAGAGAATCACAACTTTTATCTGTTTTTTCTGCGTAGAATAATATTTTGAAAAAAACATGTCTGGGAAAATATTTGGTAAATACTATAACTTTCAAAATTTTAAATTTTCTCTGAACTTTTGTTCTTTGCATTTTATTGAATTCCCATCTCCAGAAAATTGTGTTTGTTAAAATGAAACCCAAAAAAAAAAACAGAAGAAAAACAGAATTCTTCTTCTGAAAATAAATAAGCAGTGTGAGAAAAAAGATTTATACTTTCAGAAAAAATAAAGCAATGAAGTCACCGTTCATGATTTTTTGATTGAAAGTTCCATATTTCACAGAGTGTATTTTACTACCTCAAAAAACAAATTTTTCAAAAAAATGTTCTGGTAGATCAAAAAATATTTGTCTCTAAATCTCTCACTTTTGCGTTGAAGTCGTCGATTTTGAATCGTGTCAGGTCTCAAAAAATGCGCGTATTTTTTTTCGCAAGATTGACGCTTTTATTTTCCAAATTCTTTAAACTCTTCCAACAATTTACTTGTACTTCCTCCTTAATTTTCCAAAAATCTAGAAGACATTTGGAAGTTACACTCTAATTTCATTATGTCTTGAAACCCTTCTCTTTTTTTTTTGTTTTTTTTCTCAAACTGAGTTTCGGGTTTCCCTCAAAATACTCGTTAACAAGAGCTGGAAACTGAAAAATAGAATTTTTCAAAATAAAATATCCCCCGCTTTGTTCGATTTTTTTTCAATTTCCTCTCATATTACACATATCCTTTTATTCAACCTGATTAAACTTATTCATACTTTTTCACTTCATATCATGAATTAGTTGCTCGTTTTTTTCTTTAAAATGCATGGTCTACTAATCACTGATCTTCCATTCTGATTGAATTATTTTATTATTATTGAAATTCGAAATGGAATGAAAGTTTGATTTCAGAAAAATTCAAAAACAGATTTGTTGTTATCTTAGAATAAAAAACTTTTATATAATTGGCATAGTTTTGTGCAAATGTTTTTGCTGAAAGGTCATCATTTTTGAAGAAAATCCCTTGTGACTTTACTCAATTTCAGCCCTAAAATGCAAAAATCAAAGAAATCACGTTCAAAATGTTTGTCTGGATTAATTAAAGACATTCTGAAATTCAATTAAATCCTTTCCTTTTTTCACGAGAAAAAGCCAATTTTCTTAGGTTTTTGACAATAAATTGGTTTAGTTAAGCAAACAACCAAAAAAGAAAAGAAAAGTCCTAATTAAAATTTTAAGGATGACCGTTTGTTTTCCGAGATTACTGTAGTCAATCTAAATATTCTTGTTGTTAGTAGATTTTTGATATTATATGGATATGAATAAGTTTCTGAATATCTCAAATTTCTCGCGAAAAATGCTCATTTTGCCTTGTTAAGATTCTCGATCATTAGTCTTATGGTTACCCTAAAAATGTATGAAAAATAAAGTTTTTCAGAAATTCTCAGTTTTTGTTACTCATTAGTGTTTTCGCATCGATAAGCTTCAAGCCTACGTGCATAAAGTTTTTTGAATCGGAAATTTGAGTTTTTTGGTTTTCGACTCATCGAGAATTTTTTTTTTGTTACAAGAAGAAATTGTCAAAAATAATAATTTTGTTTTTTCTCACACCTTTTTTGAACTTTTCGACAAAAATCCGTGAGCATAAGAATTGTTTTGTGTAAGGTTTTTGTTCGGTTTTTTTTCTAAAAATTGCATTTTCGTTTGTTATCGAATTTAGTTTGCTCGTCTGAAAAATGCATATGTTTCCGGATTAATGGAGGGATACGTCACAAAAACGAAAATATGAGAATCTTTTGAACAGCCACTGTATTGTTCAGCTGAAAGTTGTTGTTTGAAAATGTTTTCTGAAAATCAAAAAATCTTGCGAAAAATGTCAACTTTTCATCACAAATGGATATCAAGTTTTTAACTGGGATCTCTTAACAGGGCCACCATTCTTTTGTAAAAACGGGCCATCAAAAAGAAATCGGAACTGATTTTACAAGAAAAATTCTGAAAAATTAATCCACTTTGTATATTTACGATCGTATCCAAAAATGGATCCGATTTTTCTCAAAAAATAACATCTGAAACGAATTTTTTTGGGCGATTTCTTATAAAACTTTTCCGATTTAGAAACACTCCAAGTTGATCAATTGAACATTTTTTCAATATTTGTTACATGTAACTTCTGAAAAATCATCCAAATTTTTGAAATGTTTCATCCCAAAAATCATTCATAAATATCTACATAGTGAACCAACTCAGATTTGTGATTAAAAAATAAAATATGAAAAAATAAATGTATTAAAATTCTGATTTTGAAAATGTCATGCAGAACATAAAAACTTTTGCTGATTTCAATATCTCAACTGATTTATTTAGCAAATAACTTTTCCTGGAATTCTTCTCAAATTATTTCCTGAAAAAAACAAAAAAACAAATTCACTTAAATAAATGTCACTTTCCAAAAACTCGCTTCCCGAAGTTTCAAACTCAATTTTTCTCATGATTCTGTCTGATTCAAATTAAATTTAAAAGTAAAGAAGTGTTTTTTTATTCGCTCTCATCAAACACGGTGTTCCTTTTATTTGGCACAAAAAGTGTCATGTCCATGCATTAGCTAAAAAAAACACACGACGGAAATTTGAATTTTTTCTGCTACTAGCAAACTTTTTTTTTCTCATGTTTGTGATTTTCTATGTTCTCTATAGATATCTAGTTATTTTTTATTTTACTAGTAAGAATATAAAACAACTCGATAAATTCTCAAAAACTTAATTAGTATCATTTTTCTGACAAGAGAACATTTTTTGTAGACTTTCGAGAATCTGCTTTTCCTTTTGACAAATACTTTTCAATATTCTTCTGGAATATTTTCAAATCAAATTGTTCTTTGAAACATGATTGTTATATGTTTATCCCAGAAAAAGTATGAAAAAGTTCCGAAATAAAAGAAAATATTGAATTATTGCAGTCCTCCCACATATATTTAACCAGAATCCATCCTTTTGTCCTTTTTTGTCTGTCTCCAAAAAGCTGAAAGTTCAGAAATCTGTTGAGAAAAAAACAAAAATTATTTTCAGGAAATTTGGATTAATCGAAGAAAAAGTTTGTTTCTTTCTTGCCTGATTTTTCTTGTTCGCCTTTTTTCTTTCTTTCTTTATTTTTCTCTTGGCTCCGCCCCTTTTTTGTGCTCATTTTCATTTTCGTCTTTTTGCGTTATTTTGAATGATTCAAGATGTCACAAGAAAATGGTCCAATTGAAGATGATTTTTTTGCAAATATGACAGATGAAGAATATAATGATGCTGTTATTGAAATATTATGGCCAAATAATGTTGAACAAGGGTTAGTTACAAATATTATATTTGAAAAATGTGCTCATTATTTTTTAATTTCAAAGTTCGACAATTTTTAAACCACGTGTTTTGAAAATTATAGATATAAAATTTGCAAACATATTCCACGTAGTCCAACATTTTTTTTTAACCCTCCTGTGAAAAAGTTTCTTTTTTTATTTTAGGGTGTTCTATGAAACATTGTTTGATTGAAAATGAATCAGGAACTACAAGAAGGATCTCAAACAGTTCCTTGATTCGTTTCAAAAACTACACAGGGATCTGTTTACTGTAGCGAAGAGAATTTTCAGAATAGAAGTTTTTTTTAGTTCGGGATGTCTGGAAATTTCATTAATTCAATGTTTTCATTTTTTTATTTCGATATATTTTTCTGATTGATCTATTGATTTGTCAGAAAATCAAAACACATTTCTGAATATTATATTTTTCTCAAAAAACTGCTGAAATTATTAATTCTTTTCATTTCAAAAAATCGGAAATTCAATTCTCAAAATCTTCATCGAAAATTCAAAAAAACAAAAGTTCTTTAAAAATTCCAAAGGCTTCTCTTTTTCTTGGCAAAATTATTTCGTTCTCCGAAATGAGAAAACAATTCACAGATTGTTTTTGTTCTTTTTTTCCAAGGATTTTCCTGAAATTATAGCTTGCAAAAAAAGAAGAATTTGAAATAAAACATGGAAATTCGGAACTGAGATTGAATATAGTTTTGGGATGATTTATTGAGCGGCTTTGCTTTTCGTCATCCAAAATTAATTTTTATATGAACAAATGTTTCATAAATCAAAAATCTTATGAAAATTTTCAGATTTGTTTGTGTTTTGGCTCTCATGATGTTAATTGGAATTGTTGGAAATTTTCTGGTTGTTCTTGTTGTTTCAACAAATAAATCAATGGTAAGAAAATACTTCTAACTTCTTTTATTTTTCCATAATATCAATTGAAAAGTTCTAAAACGGATTTAAAATCAAGCTTTGACCAGATAAATATCTTGCTTGTTATTCTTTTTTGAGATTAGCTGAAAAGTCATTTCTCGATAATCCGTATAAACTATTTTTAGATGTTGCAATTAAGGGCACAAATACTTTTTTCAATATTCTTTTTTGTGTGTGACGAAACAAAAAGTTGTGGGATATCCAAAAATAGTACGTATGTCTTGTTTTTTCATTAACTTTTTTATTTGAACAATTTTGTTTTCGCAAGAAAAATGCACATCTAATCAAATGGCAGATGGGTCGAAAAAAATGAAAGAAAAAGAAAAAATAAAAGGAAAATGAATACTAAATTAGATAATGATAAAAAATAAATACTATAATTTCAGCGAAATCCTCTCAATCTGATATTGATGAACTTGGCTGTTGCTGATTTACTCATTCTTATGTTCTGTCTTCCTTTAACAGTTATAAATGACGTCACAAAAACCTTTTGGTTTTCAACATTCATTTGTAAATCTGTTCTTTTTATGCAGGTTTGTTTTTTTCAGATCAAAAGGACAATTATTCAAATTTTCTTTCCAAATTCGAGGAACTCAATTGAGTTCAATATTTATGCAAAAATAAAAAAAAACTAAATTTTATTTTTTCTTAGAACACTTCGGTTTATGTGAGTATTATGAGTTTAATTTTCATCACTTGCGAACGTTGGCGTGCTATAACTTATCCTCTCAAAAGTCCATTTGTCCGAACAAGAATTGTGATCGTTGGTGAGAAAAACAAAAATATAAACTTTAGAGTTAGAGTTTAGAATTTCTTAAAATTACAGTAATCTGGCTTCTCGCAATGATATGTTCTTCTCCCGAACCATTTACTCTTCAATTATCTCCAGCTGAATTTCAACGACCTAATTTTACAACAACTTGGGGAACATCTTGCAAAGAAACTTGGTCTCATGAATTTCAAACAGTTTATCAATCAGTTCTCGCAATTTTTGCATATTTATTGCCATTAATTGTTATTTCTCTACTTTGTTTGCATATGATGAGAACTTTGAAACATTCCTCAAATAATTTACAGTATGTTTTTGAAAAAAATGGTTTCCGAATTAAAAAAAATATATAATTTCCAGAGTTGCTTGTCGTCAACTAAATATTCGTAAAAAAGCAGTTCGAATGCTTTGCGCAGTTGTATTTCTTTTTGCTCTTTCCAATTTACCAGTTCATGCTTATAACATCGCGTTGTGAGTTCAATTTTTCGACATCTTTTCATTTTCTTCAATTTCAGATCATATGGTGCATTTGAAAGTGGTGAAAATGAAGAAATTCAAGTTGATTTTATAGCTGTCAGAAAACTATTACCACGTGTATTTCAATATTCAGCTTCTTGTTTAAACCCAATTTTATATAGTTTTTTGAGTGGTAAGTGCAAACTAATTAGAAAATTAGGAAATATATCCGATGTTTTTGAAGAGACCTTTTTAGGGCGATTCCGTGAAGAATTTGGTCGAGTTGTTTGTTGTATTCGATATGATAAAAGTTCTCGAGAATTTCGTAGAAAACAAGCTTCATTATATGCTTGTTCACAAAGAAATCGAGCAAATAGTTGTACAATTGGACAACATTCAGAAACTTCAATGATTTTGAAAAAAACTTGTAATCAGTGAAATTTTTTTGTTTATTTTTTTTTGTTCACGGGTTGAGTTTCAACTATTTAATTAATTAATTAATTAATTATTTAAATATTTATATACACATCTATTTTAACTTGTGATTTGATGTGATTTTAAACGGTTTTCTTTTATCTGTTTTTTATTTTATTATACTTTGTAAGTACTATTTTTCTGTAATAAAAAATAAATACAGTATTTGACACACTTACAGTAGGCTAGCTATGCTATGAAATGACCTTGTCATTTCTCTATTTCTATTTTTCTTCGTTTTTTTTCTTATGCAGTTTCATTGGAGGACATATAAACAAGCGAAAGACCTTGTACATGGAAAAAAGAAGACATTTTTGAGAAAAAAATAGAAAAAGAAGAAGAAGTACTTGGAAGGTTTGGATAACGCGCCAAAACCACACGTACATTCAAATGAAAATGAAAATAATTGAAATTGAAGGACAATGAGAAGACGAATGGAACGGCACTGATTTATTAGATTTGGGAAAAAAAACGATGGTAGCAGATTATTAATATAAAACGATGAATAGATATTATAACTAATGTAGGAAAGTTGGGTAAAAATCGAGATTTATTCTCAATTTAAATTTGTAGATCAGCAAAAAGTGTTTGGTGTTTTTATGAAATCGATTCCTGTTCAATTTTAGGCTCAATTTTTAGGTGAAACTTATAATTTTTCCAGGTTTTAATTTTGAAATTTACTTTCTAACACAAAACAAGTGTAAATGATACTGTAGTTTTCACGGATATATCATTGTTCTCGGATAATTTTTGCGAATTGGAAAAATTTCGAAGTGAATCAAAATTTCATGTTGAAATTTTAAAAACAAAAAATTTTGAAATTGAAATTAAAATGAAAAACTTTGAGAAAACAAATGGCTGTTTCCAAACTATTGTTAATGGATATTAAAATGGAAAATGAAAGTTTTTTTGATGAATTATGAGTCTCTTGCAGATTGTTTCTATACACTGAAAAAAAAAATGAAATTTATAAATCTTCAGTTACCAATTCGATTTGAAAAAATAGAATAAATGTTTTCCAACTCGCAACTTATTTCATTTTTCCAAAAGAAAAAAAATGAATTATAACTTTCTCTCATGATTTACTTTATTATCATCTTTTCATCTTTCTTTCCTTTTTTACCTGTGCGCACTCGCTCATTTTTTTGCCGCCAAATCGACCCAAATAATTGCCATCGGCCATGTACTTTCGCTTTGTCTGCGTCTCTTTATCTCGTATTTCCAATGACACTACTGACCAACTCCTCCCATCTCATGGTTAGTTAGTTAGTTTTTTTTTCAACTGATCAAACAGAATGCTGCCACTAAATATAGTAATCGGAACACCTCCACCATCTTCAACAAATACAACTTCATCATCTTATTCAACATTTTCATTGGTTTCACCATCAGCGACTTCTGCTTTTCGAACTGTTCAACCACGTTCGAGAACAGTTAGTGGAAATGGAGGACAAGGTGTTGAAACATATTATTTGACTGCTATTCAATCATTGATTCAACAAGAACAAAATCAAATCAAACAAGATGATTCAAGTTTTAATCAAGGAATTGTCAAAACAGAAGGTAAACCTCATTTTCTTTTTCTGAATATAATGTGTCTTAAGAACCTGTGAGCATCTGAAAAATATCCCAAAATCTGATCTTATCAAAGTTGAATTTTGAAACATGTGACATTTTCTATTCCAAAATTGAGAGGAAAACTAGCAGAGTACTGTAGTTTATGAATTTTTTGCGTTTTATTTCCAGCGAAATTTAAGTTAAGTAATGGTAAAAGAAATAATTGTATCTACAGTACCTGAAAAATCCACCAACTTTCAACGTTGAATTCTGAATTCTTGTTATCCCTATTATGATATTTTACAAAATTAACAAGGTACTGTAATTCTTGATGCTTTGTTGTTTTGCCCTGCGAATGCCAGGATAATTTATATCATTTTCCAATTGGTTTTGATGATTGTCGTTCAGACAAAACGGCGTCACTTCTTTCATAATTTTTATTTTTCAATTTCAACCTTCATCTGAATTTCTCATCATTTCATATATTTTTTTTTTGATGATGAATTTGGGTCGCGGCGACCTCCAAATATTCGTCATGTGCGCCTTTTTTTCGATTTTTCTTGTTTACCAGTTGTGACCCAATTTAAGGTCACAATCATCGACGAATTCGGAAAACGCTTGAAAAATTGAGGCTAGACAGTTATTTGAAATTGATATTATTCAAAATAGATATACTTCTGAACCTTTGAAGTTCTACTAAAACATATAATCTAATCTGACGTGAAATTTTTCAAGATTCTCAACAAATGAAATGTGTTATTTCTTCAACAAAACTCCAAATTTTCGAAATAAAAAAAAATCTGTACTTGACCTATTTTTATTTATTATTTCGTTCTCTCAGCCAATTTCAATGCCACATTTTCAATTTCAACCGACCAACAAAAAAAATCACATGCCATTGAAAATGGTTTTTTTCCGAAAAGTGAAAGTCATGAATTACGTAACCGACCGAATTCGGAAAAAATGAAGATATATCTTATCCAAAAACATGATTATATAAAGTTCTGTAGATCAAAGAAAAGTGATTACATTCTCATAACGATGATCAGAAGTTCTTGTGTTTTTGGATTTTCAATAATTTCAAGCATTCAGACATATATTTTTCGTATTGTTAGGAGAATTGATTTACAATACCAAACAAAAAGTAGTATCAATTTTTGGTGTTGAAAATTGAAATTATTTGTTGCCTTCCATCCGCTCGCTCAAAATCAGTTCAAGGTCATTTTTTTGGGCACACAGGTAGCCAATGTAGTAATACTTTCATTTTTTGTTGCGACAAGGAAGAAAAAAAATAAATTGTTGAACAGGGGTAAAATGTTGCCAATATCTAGATAAAATGAGCACTTTCAGTAAAAGACGAAAACTGTTCAACATCAGCTGGAACTATTTTGTGTCAAGTGTGCTCCGATCGTGCTTCTGGATTTCATTATGGAGTTTTTGCCTGTGAAGGTTGTAAGGTAAATACAGTAATATTTTTTATCAAAAATTTCAAATTGTATTTGCTTCAGGGATTTTTCCGTCGTTCAATTCAACAAAAAATAAGCTACCGTACTTGTTCGAGAACAGAGGATTGCTTGATTTTACGAAACAATAGAAATCGTTGTCAACATTGTCGACTCAAAAAATGTCTATCCGTTGGAATGTCTCGTGACGGTAAGTAACTAAGCATTCGCCTTTTTTGTGTTTCTTTTTTCCCATACATTTACCCCTTTTGTTCCATTACTCACTGTTTTTTGTGTTTGGCGCCAAATTCTCGCGCGCTTTGCACTTTTTTTGTGTTGGTGAGAAAATCAAACAAAGACAGTTAGCAAAAAGGGATAGGTGATTTTTGGAATGAAATAAATGGCGGGTAAAATGCAAAATGCAAATGGCAACGAAACAAGGAAAATAAATTCGAAATGTGATGTTTTTTAGCTGTTCGATTTGGTCGAGTTCCAAAACGTGAGAAAGCGAGAATGTTTGAAGAAATGCAAAAAACAAATGTACAATCACAACGTGATCAAATTGCATTACAGTATGAAAATGTGACAGATGCACTTCTTAAATTATCAAATGCTTTTCTGACATTACAAAATACGGTAAAGTATCCTAGTGATACACATTTTTTAATTAAAAAATGTTTTAGCTCGAAAAATGTTCAACAAATTCCGACAAATGTCCGATTTCATCAGCTTTTATTGTTGTTCCTTTAAAAGCTGCTGTTGATTTTGCAAACTCAATTCCAGCATTTCTGACAATTCCACAAAACAATCGAATCGGACTTTTGCAGGTGAGAGAGAATTCAAAAAACACTACAGCAATTTAAAAGTGTTAAATTTTGCAGAATAGTGTATTTGATGTAATGTTTCTTGCATCCTGTTCTTCTCCAACAACATCAATTTCATTTCTTCATCCTTCAATTTCTTCAAATTCTACACCAATAATTCATCAATCAATACTTTCAATAACTCAACGTCTTCATCATTTACCAGTTCTTTGTCAACCAATTATAACTGCAATTGCAATTACATCACAATCAGATCAACCAACTTGTCAATCAACATTATTAGCTGAAAGACTTTGGGTTGTACTTGCTCGAATTGGTGGAACTCTTGCACTTCAAATGGTTCCAAGTCTTTTGGCAGATATTCGAACTCTTCGTCAATGGCACAATGATCGTCTTCGATCAATTCAAATGCCATGTCCACCTCTTTTGATGTCTCCTCCTTTATCTACAGTTTCTTCAAGTAGTGCCGCATTTATTGAAAGACATCATTCAATTGCTGAAATATTAGAAAAACCAAGAAGAATTTCGACTTCAAATACTTTTAATGATCAACCACTCAACCTTTGTATCAAAGACGGTCAGTAAAATTATATCTACTTTCTGCGAAAAATAATTTTCTTTTTTTTTAGAAGATATCTGAAGTTGTGAATTTCAATATTTGTTTGCTATCCATCTGCCTCATATATGGTCTCTCATTTTTGAACATGATCCCGTGTTTTGTCTACGTGTTAATATTGTTTTGGTTACAATGTAAATAAAGTTCCATTTAGAATAATATCTCTAGATTTAGAGAAACATCAAGCTTGGAACATCCAGAAACGTTTTCACAAAATAATGAAAACTAAGTACAGTAATCCTGGGTAAACGTTTCGTTTCAAACATTGCAAGCTACTCGGGAAAAATACGGCGCCTTTTTAGCACCGAGGCGACAGAAATTGTCGAGGAGTTTTGGCCGCCCCGGTGCTAAAAAGGTGCCGAAATTACGGCACCTTTGTAGCGCCGAGGCGACATTTTCATGAAAAATCCATTATTTTACCATACAAATGACTCTTGTTCTCCTTTCATCGAAATTTTCCGCACTAAATTTTTAAAAATGTAGCAAGCGTGTCCGAGTGGATAAGAGGATGGGTTGTCATTGTTTTGACCCAAGTTCAATGCCCCTTTCCCGCACCTTTTTTTATTTTTTTCGTCTCACTGGCGCACCATTTTAGCGCCGGTGCGTCTCTTCGCGCGCCGGTTTTAGCGCCGGTGCGTTCTCTCTGCGCACCTTTTTAGCGCCGAGGCGAGAGCACTTCCCGCCTCGGCGCCCCAGAATGTCGCCTTAGCGCCCCAGGATGTCGCCTTGGTGCCGTATTTTTCCCGAGTATAAGATCGGCTGAATAATTCAAGAAAATAAAACTGACTTGTTGAAAATCATTTCCAGAAGGATTTTTTTTTTTGAAAAACAGACATTTTTGCTTCCCAAATTTTATGCAATATTACTAGTTTGTGAATGAAATAAAATCTTCAATTTTAAAACGGCGATAAAATACGATAAAACAAATATAATGTAATCAGATGGATAGAAACAAATTAGCATTTCGAGATAATTGATATAATACTGGACAAGAAAACAAATTGTTTGAATTAGTAATTCCTATGATGATGTGGATGTTGCAAGAAATGTTCGTAATCAGTGTTATTATTGTAACCATCCGGAAGCATATAAACAAGTCCAGGGAGTGGATAAACCGCTGATTGATTTGGTTGTGGTGGAATTGGCGGATAATTTTGAGGTGGGGGTGGTGGTGGTGGAGATGAATAATATTGTTGCATGTATTGCGGTGATTGATAATAGTTTTGTTGTGGAATTTGAACCGGTGACAAAAATTGTAATGGTTTTTGAACTGGCTCATCGATATCGACGCCATATGAAATAATTTGGTGTGATTCAAGCAAACTATTGGCAATTCTGTTGATTGAGATATTTATGAAAGAATTTGAGGTTCGAGTCAGATATTCAAATGGAAGATCGCTATCAACACCAGATGGAGACTTTTGTATTAGCTTACATACGAGACAAACAAATTTAGAGAACTTTGGCGAATTAGGTACAAACTGCAGTTTCAAAGGGGAAAATAACGACAATTTTGGAACAGACTCACAGCAAGAGAAAAATAAAAAATAGAACTCACTTCAATCTTTCGCTGACAGCATTTGTTGACAAGTTTTGTCCATCTCCAACTCCAGATTGTGATGTTTTGTTAACAATATTCATGAGATATTCGCGAGACGATGCAGATTTCGCAAATTCTTCTGGATTTCCTTCCGGACCTCGAGGTTTACACCAAGTTCGACGCTGAGGAATTCGATAAACTGCCGACTTTTCATCAATCGGATTCAATGTTGGATCGACAACTTTGCTACGGCTACTTGCCGAACCAGTTGAAGTTGGACGATAAGTTCCATTGATGAGCGAAATATCGACAAGTTGTTGACGTTTCAATTCATCTTTTCCATCAGCGGGCGGAGATAAAAGTTCTTGAATTATGGCAACAGCATTCGCCATTTTTTTCTGAACAACACCTGGATAATCGTAGCATTCAATTGCAACATGAAGTGGCTCATCAGTAAGTGAACCTTGAGATATTGTTGATAGTGATGACTTGTTACAAATTACACCACCGCGTAACATTTTCGTATGAGGATTGAACTGAAATTTTGTCAGATTATTGATACCAATTATTTTCTTTTCTCAAGAGTTAAGGAATCTGAGAATTTGCTTACCGCCATATTTGACGCTCTTCCTCTCACATAAATCTTGCAGCCGGTTTCTTTTTCCAGTTGTTTTACAGTCATTCCACGAGGCCCGAGAATTCGACCAACAAAATTATACTTTGGATATTTTTTTACAGGAACAAACAAAGTTTCGCACATTGATATTTTCAGGATTTTTTGCCTTTGTCCATCACGATATTGAGTGAAGCGCTTCGAGGAAGGTGCATCACCAGAACCAAAAATAGGAGAAGGAGCAGAAAATCCTCCGAATTCGGATTGTTGATTTTTCAACAATGTTGTTGTAATTGGTGGAGGAGATAAGATCGAGTTGTCAGAGTTCTAAGAATAAAAGAATACGATCCATAAAACTAATGTTAAATGTTATTCACAAATGAACTTACCACCGATTTTCTTTCATTGTAGAAAAGAGAAGCTTCGGTTTCACTTTTCTCTTCACTTTCAGGTGGTGTCAAATTGATTGCTCCAAGTTTTTCAGCAAGAACGCCAGTTGAAATCATTGCCACCGCTTCAAAATGGTATCTGAACCGTCCATCTCGCTAAATTGAAACGTCATCAAAATCCAACTCATTTGGGTCACGTACGTGGAATAAACGTGTACACACGTGGCAACCAAATTTTTTGTGTGTGGAAATACGGTATACACAAGATGCGTGGTGAGACCATATTGGTTGTTTTTGTTTCATGCGTCTTTTGTCTTACTGTAGCGTAGCTTGAGTTCTTGAAATTACATAAATTTGACTGAACGCGTTCGTTAACGGGAGTAAAAAAAGCATTAATTTTTTGCAGAGTTTCTATTTTCACATTGGACTTTCTTCTTTTCCTATTATTTTGTATAAATTATCCCTATTTTCTGAAAATTCACCTCGGAACTAAATTTAGAAAAAAAAATTAGCAATATTTTCACACCGAAAAAATTCATTATGGGAATGGGCATTACGTATAAAAGACATTTTCAATAAAAATAAATAGAATGATTTGGAAAAACAAAAAAACAAGCAAGGAAAACTCCCCAGAAACAATCCCTCAAATAGTTTTTATATTTATGGAGCACATCTTCCAACAAATCTTGGATACAAACAAACATCACGAATATGGTTTGTATTGGTCAACCAGCAAATAAATCTTTCTAAACCAAGACCGTATCCTCCATGTGGAACTGAACCGTATTTTCTTTGATCCATGTACCAGAAATAGTTTTTCGGATCAATTCCAGCTTTGGCAAAAGCTGAGAGCATTTGCTCTTCTTGCCAAATACGCATTGAACCACCAACAATTTCTCCGACACCTGAAAATAAATGTTTAATCTTTGGAAGTTCCAAAAACAAAAAATGACAAACCTGGCATTAAAAGATCGACTGATTCTGTCAATTCAACATCATCTTTACATCTTGACATATAGAATGATTTGATTCCAGCAGGGAAACGGTTGAGCAAAATTGGCTATAAAAAATACTTTTTGAACAAAATTTAAAAATATCCTCGAAATCGTTTTACTTAAAAAACATACCACACCAATTGTGTCAGTCATTTTTCGTTCAGCAGCTTCAGCAATATCTTCACCAAATACGAATTTCTCTCCATGTTCGTTTCTCACATCGTTTTGTTGCAACCATTCGATTGCTTCTTTATAAGCCATACGACGGAATGGTCTTTTTGGAGCTTGATATCCCTTAAAATGCATTGAGTTTTAAATTTTCAAAAATAAAATTTGTATTTAAATAAACTTACAGGGTTGACAAATTCAACCAAAGATTTAGTAACTGGATCAGCCAAAATACGATCAACAGTGTCACAAACAAGATTTTCAATACGATCCATCAATTGTTCGAAAGTAATGAAAGCACATTCAGCTTCAACGTGTTGGTATTCGGACAAATGACGGCGAGTTCGAGATTTTTCAGCTCTACAATAAATAATAATTCGTTTTCTCTAAATACAAATTTTGATAATAAATACCTGTATGATTGTGCAATACAATAAACATCTCCTAAAGCAGCGTTACAAGTTTCCAAATATAATTGCGATGATTGTGTCAAATATGCTGGTTCTCCATAATAATCCAAACTGAATAAAGTTGAACCACCTTCAACTTGTGTTTGTACCAAAGTTGGTGGAGCGACTTCAGTATATCCGGCTGCGAAAAAGTGTTCTCTCATTGCACGAGTTGCGGCAGCACGAATTCTCAAAATTCTCGATGCATTTTCACCTCGAATAACCAAATGTCGGTTATCAAGCATAATATCAACTCCAGCTTTTTCGTTCAAAACATTGTCAATTCCACCGGCTGGGGCTTTTGCAATGATCTCCCAATAATCAACTGTTAATTCGTGGCCATCTGGAGCTGATTTTCCATCCGGAAGCTCATTGATAACACCATAAACTTGAACAGAAGTTTCGGTTGAAAGAGTCACTGCATCATATGATTGACACTTAAATGAACAATTTTATATTCATTTACACATTTTCCATTTCAATGAAATGTCAAAATTAAAAAGTTTCGAGATTATTTAACTCACTAATGTGTCATTCAAAACGCATTGAATAAATCCATAACCATCTCTCAAAACTAAAAACATCAAAGATTTTCCTTGTCTTCTCAATCGATGAACCCAAGCTTTGATAGTAACTCTTTCATTTCTATGTTCTTTAGATTCGCCAATTTTGATAATTCTAGCAGTTGGAAGTGATAAATCTTGCTCAAATGTGATTTTTCTGGCTTCTTCAAGAGCTAATTGTTGAGATTCTTCAGCTGCTTTCGATCTTTCGTCAGCTTTTTCCAACTTCTTAACTTCAGCTTCATACTTTTTAAGAGCCTTTTTGATGGCTGCTTTTGCTGCTGGTTCCCAACTTTCAACACCTTCTTCTGATTGTTTCTTGATCAAAAATTCACCAGAGTTTTTGGAAATCAACATAGCCTGAAAATAGATTCAAAAATTAAAAAATAAACGAAGTTCCCTAAAAGTTACCTGAACAAGGGTAGCCAATGGTTGTTCAATGCTTCCAACGGCTTCATCCGAACCAGCATCAACATCAATATAAAGCTTACTCATTTTTATTACCTGAAAATATTCATTCAACCTTATAAACCTATTTCAAGTCCGAAAATTGGGAAAAAGTGATGGAAACCGTCAGATTGTGCAATAAAAAGTAATTGTCGTCAATTAAAATGTAATCACACACATGGTTTTTCAACTAAATTAAAACGAGGTTAGAAAGCTATTATTGAACTATATTTACTCAGAAACGATCTCTGAAAATTCTTTAAGACTCAGAGTAATTCAAAACCTAGACTGACTTCTTGTAGGAACCGAAAAACTTGAATTCGAAGAAAATGAAAATTACTGTAGGTAGAAACATTCTAAATGACGCAAAAGTGCACACAAAATTTTTATTTTTTTCCCGTGTGATGCGATGCATAAACAGTTTTTTATTCTTTGTAGTTAAAAAATAGTGAATTCTTGTTATTTTTGATTATTTTCAGTGATGAACCGGCTTCTGAATAATGCCATAACTCGTTCAACTGTAGCTATTCGTGCTTCTTCGAATTTAACAACAAAAGCACCAACCGCCCAATCGATCACTCAACAAAATGCTCAATTCGATAAAGTAACTCATACTGGACAAGCATGGGATCAAGCTGATTATCGACTTCAACGATTCGACACATCAGCTAAACAAGTTTGTTTTTTTGTGAATTAAAATTGAGAACCATAATTTTTAAAGGTAAATCCAAATGTTGCAATGCATTTGGTTGATCAACGTCCACCAGAGAATTGTGGTGATAAACGTGTGATTTATTGCGATGGAGGACATCCAGCATTAGGACATCCAAAAGTATATATCAATTTGGTAAGTTCTTACTCGAAATTATTTCAATTATAACACCTTTCCATGTTTTATTTCACAGGATAAACCAGGAGTTCACGCTTGCGGATATTGTGGCAACCGTTTCTACAATTCACATGTAACCCAAGGAGAAGATCTTAAGATTCAACACTTGAACTGCTAAGTCGATGTTTTAAATGTAATTTTAGATGTCTTTATTCTAAACAACAACACAAATAAATAGAGATAAAGAAAATCAATTATTTGATTGGAAGAGTGAAGAAGGGATGTTTCAAAGCCTCATTGCATGTGATGCGTTTTGATGGATCCAATACCAACATTCCATCCAATAAATGACGGAATGATTGAACCTGAAAAAATACGTTCAAATTGTTGTCAATTCCCAATCAGTCATTTCTTGAAAATTTACAGAATATGAGCACCGCGAATTTACTTTTTTATTTTCGCTATCATAAAATCACAACTTTTGAAATTTATAAAGTCACGAGGAACAGATAGCGGAATTTAAACTTTTTTCAAAAATTGAACATATTTATGAACAAACTCAAAAAATTGTTGAATACCTGTTCAACTTGTTCCCGATTCAATTTTTGTCCAGCGATTAATTCTGATTCCAAATCTCTCGTAGGTTTCAAATTGGCAAGTACGGTTATCTAGAATAATAATAAGTTTGAAAAATATTATCGGAAAATCCACAAACCTTATCTCGCTGTGTCACTTTGTCAACTTCATGAAACAACAAATTACAGTGCGCATCAAAATGCTGATCTTTGAATTGCGACTTTCTGACCAATTTATTCGGATATTTGCCTTTCAAATCAGTAAAAAGCTGAAAAATTCAGTAACATGGGCAACACTTTGTGAAAAATTACCTTCAACATATGATTGTTAGTTCTTCCAGGAAACATATATTTTCCAGTATAAACTTCAAAAAGTGTTGCAGCAACTGACCATAAATCAATAGCGTAATCATAACGAACACCGAGCACTGAAAAATAGATGTTGAATTTGAAAAACATGTATAACAGAAAGGGAAGGACACTATCTATTCTTTAGAACCATTGGGGACTAAACTTTGACTGCTCGTTTAAAATTCCAAAAAAAAACTCACTGATTTCAGGTGCACGATAAAATCTGGAAACTAAATAAGGACCCAATTCTTGTTCATTTACATATCCAGCTGAACCAAAATCGCATAGCTTCAGAGTCAATTTCGATTCATTCACCTGAAAAATTACCTATTTTGTTTTCTCCTTACTTCAATGAAAAACAAACATACCAAAATATTATCTGGTTTAATATCAGCATGAACCAATTCGCATTTTTTCATTAATCTCAATGCCAATAATAATTGTTGTGCATAACTTCTAACTGCTTTCAAATGTAAACCATCTTTTTGTCCATATTTTTTGATCAATTCTCTTAGATTCATACTCAAATTTTCCATCACTAAACATAAATGATTGTGATGTTTGAATGTTCGGAATAATCTCAAACAATGATATTTATCTTCACTATCAGCTTCATTCAATTTCCGTAAAGTATCCAATTCTCGTAGTCCAGTTTTATACCTAAAATGATAATTTTATTTCTATTTCGAAATATTGAAAAAAAACTTACATGCTTTCATTATTTCTGATAATTTTAACAGCTACAGTATTGTTTTTTAATTGATCTGTACAACGACAAACATTTCCGAAAACACCGGCACCCGTAAAACCAACAACACGATAACGGCCATCTATAACTTCTCCAATTCGGACACCTAAAATAAATTGTAATTTTTTTGTTCTGAATTTTTTTCTCGTGAGCTGGAAAACAAATGATAAACTTACGATAATATCCTTCAGTATCATCCCAATTATCTTTCAAAGTATCTAATTTTGATCCAGCATGTCCATCAATTGTTCCCATATCTTGTGGTAATTCTTCATTATCTGCAAACATATCGAATTTATCATCATCATCTTTTTTACTTGCTTTTCCTTCTTCTTGAGATGTTTCCGATTTTTGTCTGAAAAAAATCACGATTTTTCAAGAAAATCAAAAATAAAATACTTACTCAATATGTTCCATTTTTTGTTTCAAACCTTCAAAGAAATCAGTTGGAGTTCCTTCATCTTTTATTGTTGCAGGTGTTGACATTCCACTTGATGGTGAATCACTTCCTAATTTCACAACTTTTTTAGCTTCTCTTATCAATCGATCAGTTTCATCTTCTTCTGAATCCGAACTCGAATCTTCCGATTCTTTTCCTTTTTTCAATGATGGAAGTTGTGGAGAATCTTCGTGGCGGTTAATCTAAATCATAATAATTGTGAAAAATCTTAAGAAGTTCTGAATTTTTTCTTTTCAAAACATTCGGAAAATCTTTACCAAAATATAGAATTTTTGATGAGTTTGTAAGATCTCCTCAAGTTTTTCATTTCTATCTATTGATATTTGAAACAATTTCAAAAACAAAACTGAATCAGAATTTTTAGAAACAAAAATGTGCTTTTTTTCTTGAAATTAGAAACTGAAAATTTTTTCCATAAATAGTATTTTTCACTTACATCTTCATTTTTGTCTCCAGCTCCACTCATTTGTTTCAAAATCATTTGTCTTCTCTTTCTAGCATCTTCAATTTTTTTCTCTTCATTTTCCGAATCCGAATCAAGATTCCATTCAATCGGTTTTTCTTCCTCTTCGTTTTTTTCTTTTCTTCTATCACCTGATTTTCTTTTGTCTCTTGATGAATCTCTTTGAGTTCTTTCTTTCGAACGTGATCTTCTTCGACTTCCAAAATCTCTTCTAGTTTTGAAATTATAATTATATCTCGATTGTTCGGGACTTTTCCTTCTTTGTCTATCAATACTTCTCGATCTTCTTCGATTTTCAAAACTACGAGAACGTGATCTTCGTCTTTTGATTTCAGGACTTCGCGATCTTCGTCTGATTGCAGGACTTCTAGACCTCTTTCTAGTTTCAGGACTTCGCGATCTAGATTTTCTTCGAATTTCAGGACTTCGTGATCTTCTTCTTCTTGCAGGTTCAGGAGATACTGTAGATCTTTTTCGAATTGGCGAAGGTGAAGGTGATGCTTTTCTTTTTATTGGAGATTCTTTTTCTTCTTTATCTCGTTTATGCTTTTTATCCTTCTTCTGCTTCTTTTCTTTTTTGTGCTTTTTCTCTTTCTTTTTCTTCTTTTTATCTGAAAATAGTTGTTATAAATAACAAATTATTGCCGATTATCAATTTTGGAATTATTGGAAATGTTTCAAAATAATTAAAATGAAAAATGTTTTCAGGTCACGCAAAATTGAAGTTCACGTTGAAAATATATTTCAGGAAATGTTTTTACATTTTCATTTCAAAAAAAAAACCTTTCAATGTTTTGTCCGAATCATTTCGTGATTTTCCTTCATCAGAAGAATCTCCATCATCTGATCGCAGTTCTCCTTCTTCGCTTTTCTCTTCAACATCAGACATTTCTTCTGCAAAATTCAATCATTAAGTTTTCCAATAATATGTAATTTTCAATGACAATTTTCACCGATTTTTTCAGCCTAATTTTAAAATTAAAAATATTCAAAATCGATGAAAATTGCCAATGAAAATCACACATTTTTCTTCAAAAAGAAAGTTTTCAAATACCCGATGATAAATTCTGGCTGACATTTCTTGCGAACGTTGCGGGTGAAGATCGATTTCACTAAAGATTTTTTGAAACAAAAAAAATGAGAAAAATACGTTGAAAAAACAAAAATACGAAATTCGTTTCGGCGTTGTGTGCAAACACCATATTTATATTGCAGAAAATTATGGACATATTTATAGGGAAGGAATGTATTAACGGAAATATGAACATGCATCAAAAGTTGGAATTTTTTGAATCATAATAGTATATTTAGTTTGATACCGAGTTTCATGAAAAACTTTTGGTTCGTTAAATTTTCTTTTAAAAATATCTAATGAAACAAAAATCTAGTTATCTCACGTCCTCGGAACTATTGAAATAGAATGTACAATTGGTAGCAAAACCGTTTTTATAGTATGAAAAACATTTTTAGCAAGAAAATTTATGCGTGCAAAATGCCATAAAATTCACAAATTAGGATATAAATTTAGAGTGGTGATCCGTAGGCGGATGGGGCGCTGTTTCCTGGAGCGGTTCCATATGGAGCAGCAGTTGTGGCTGGAGCATCTGAAGCTGGAGCTGAAGTTGTGGTTGTTGGAGCAGCAGTCACAACAGTGGTTGGGAATGTAGCAGTTGCCCAGTATGCTTCAGCGGCCTTCTCATTCAAAACGTAGTTTGAAGCTGTTGTTGTTTGAACGGTTGTTGGAGCATCAGAAGCTGGAGCTCCGTATGGTGATGGGGCGGCATTTCCGGCAGCGGTACCGTATGCTGAAAATATATCGGTTGCTATAAACGTTTTAAACAATTTGGCTCCGAAACAGAGTTTCCTGACAAGTTCATGAATGTAAGTTTCTCTGAAATCGCAATTTACCTTGTGTATCTTGAGCAACTGTGGTGGTTGGAGCTTCAGTTGTGGTTGTGGTTGTTGGGGCTTCAGTTGTGGTAGTTGTTGTGGTTGGAACAGTAACTGGGGCACCATATGGTGATGGGGCGGCACTTCCGGTAGCGGTACCGTAAGCTGAAAAATGGGTTTATCTCTCTTCAAAAACAAAATAATGTTAAGAAGGGGCTCTCAACTTCAACAAAATTTTGGGATATTTTAATTCTACGAGGATCAAAAACCATCGATAGATTAGAACGTTTTCAACAATTTGGTTCGGAAAGTGGCTTAATTCAAAGGGTCGCGGGGGACGATTAATTCACGTATCTCTATTTCTCTGAAGTTAGAAGTTACCTTGTGTATCTTGAGCAACTGTGGTTGTTGGAGCTTCAGTTGTGGTTGTGGTTGTTGGAGCTTCGGTTGTGGTGGTCGTGGTAGTTGTTGGAGCCTCAGTGGTGGTGGTTGTAGTAGTTGTTGTAGTCGTGGTTGAGCTAGTTGTGGTTGGAGCTGGAGCATATGGTTGAGTTGGAGGTGGTGGAGCATATGGGTTTGATCCATGTGGATGACGTGGAATCGAATGAATCACACGTGGAACATTGGATGGAACTCCATATAATGGACCAGCAACTGCAGATCCAAGCAAAACTGTTGAGACGAGAAGAATGTTGAAAGTCGACATCACAAACTGAAAGACTTTTGTAAAACGAGAAGAATTGAAAAGGATTTCTTACCTCCTGAAGCTGACCAAGTAAATTAGTAGAGTGTTATGACATTTTCCGGTCAAACATCGCCTTTTATAGACAGTTTGAGAGCAGAAAAATACAAATCAAATATTATCGCGGGGAGGTCAAAAGTGTTGTCTCTAGTTTGATTTGAAAACTAGAAAAATAATTTTCGAACAAAATTTTATTGCATTAGGGCGCACTTAGTCTTACAAATTCAAGGTACATGTGTTTGAAAATTGGTCTCGAAACGATCATTTTGCGCGGTTTGTTCAAATTCAAGTTTTCCACACAAAACAATTTCCAGCTATTTTCCAGCCCTAAAATAGCCAATCATTGCACAATGATAAAGAATCTGTTTGATTTCATCTGTACGGGAAGAATAAGAAGAAGACGATTTGTAGAACCGGTAAGTGAAATACTGTAGATATTATAAAAAACACAACTTTAATTCTAAGACCAAAGAAGAATCAGAATCTGGCGATTATGTTGTACAATCTACGAATGATAAGCCATTAGAAGAAGCTATCAAAGAAGATCGATACACACCAATTGATTTCAATACAATTGAAGTGAAGCATGATTCCGATGTGGAAAACTCGCCCAATTCAAGCAATATCAGTGTTGTTTCATTGACTCCTTCTCCAATCCCAGAAACTTATCGTGAATATATCCCAAGACCAGCATCGATGTCATTTCGCAAAAAATCGGCAAACCAATTAGGCTCAAGGCGTGTTGCCAGTGTTAACAGAGTTGTTGATATGAAACAACCCAGGTAAAATTTTAGAATATTCATATACCAAAGAAGACAAAATACCTAAAACTGAAGATTATTTTTCCGTAAAAATTTGATGTGGTTCTTTTTTTTATCTTCGGTCTCAATTTTATTCATCTTTTCATTTCTGTTTTCTTTATTCATTGTTTCATTATTTTGAATACAGGTGTTTGAGTTAGAAGTTCAACATATGTTTCAAACTGATTTTACTGCTTTCTTCATAGTTTTTTCCCAGAACAGATGACATAAAATAGCTATTGCATGTGCAAAAAAGAATACACATAGTAATTTCCTATTCAAATTTCGTTTTTTTTTTCGAAATGAGAAATGAACTGCTTCAGCTGCTCGTCCCTAAGAAATGAACAATTTCTTTTTTAAAGCCAAAGGTTCGATTTCAAATGTCTAGTTTCCATTTTCTTCATTTCACACCAAGATTTCAATCTCATATGTTGCAAAAAGTAGACCATATGTTTGGGAAATTTATATGAATTTGTGTTTGGTATTTTATTTTCTAATTACCATTCATAAATTCTTCCTTCACACAAATACACACACATTTCTGACAGGATTACTCAAAATTTGCACGCAATGTCGCTGCGCTCCTTCTTTTCATGACTCATTCCTTTTCCTTCACATTTACGAGTTTCCCTTCTTTATTTTTCCCATTCTTTTTTCGTAGTTAACTCGTTCAAATAATTAGTATCTGCACCTATTTTTTACTCCAATAAATAAGTTTCCTGGTGATAAAAATCTTGAAACATAAAACCAACTGACAACTTTAGTTACTTCTATTATTATCTCTCCAACTGTTGTTTTTGTTTTCGAATCTTTTTATGCTGTTTTTTAAGGGTATTATCATAAATGTCTGTCGATTCGGAATGGTCTATCAAACCATCTTGTAATGATTCATTGTTTAGTATTAGTGATACAGAATGTTCGGAAATAGAAGCAGATATGAAAAGAAGAGAAAGAAGAAGGTATTCAAATAAATAAAATATATAAAAAAAAAGAAAAAAGAAATGAAAAAAATAAGAATTCTGTTAAAAAATAATTTTATAGTCATCGCCGTAGTTTCCACAATCCATCAGGATCACATAACAATCCATTTGCTTTTGCTGATTTCCAAACTACTTCAACTCCAAAAGTGAGGAAAATAAAAATATGTTTCAACGTATATTTCAACTTTTTAGGTGTTGGCTGTTCGACCACTTAGAAATCATTCTGAAGATTTTGGTGAATTCTTTTTTTAATGCTTTTTGAAACAAAATTGATATAATTTTTTAGAGTCCGACAAAATTTTGGTTTTGGAGAAACGTATCCGAGAATTGGAATTAAGTCGTATTGATGCAACATCGCCAAGATTTTCGAAAGGTCATCGAAGAGAAGCAATGGAAATTACGGATGAATTATTGCGAAAAGATATGAAGGTCAAGAAATTGGAAACCAAATTATTGAAAGCTTATCAAAAAATGGAAAAGTTGAATGATGACAATCAGGAAATGATGCATAATGTGACAGCCGAAAGAAACGAAGCGAAAATAGAACTTCAAAAGTGTTTGGAAAGAATGGAGCATTTGGAAAATGAATTGGATTATACAAGAGATTCTTTACAAAATGAGACAACTCGTCAATTGAATGAAACAATTTGGAAACAAGATCGAGAATTGAGAGAAAGTCGAAAAATTCAAAATAAATTGAAAGAAAAAGAAAATGAATGTGAAGAAATGAAAATATATATTGCCGAAATTGAATCGAAAAAAGACGAACTTATTAGAAAAATCGAGGAAATTCAAAAGAACCAAAAGGTATTCATATTTTTCAATTTTTATTTTTCATTCTAAATTGCTGCAAATAGTAGGTTATATGTACAAGGAAAACGGAAAATCAGATTCTGAAATTCAGTTATACGTTTTGAAAGTATTTCCAGATGAATCAAACAGTTGTTCTGCGTAGATCAAATTATGGTCAATCTTGTTCTTCAACTTCAACTCCTGTTTCTGAAGACAACGATATTTTGAAAATGCGAGGATCAACTCAACTTATTAGAAATGTTCACAAAGACGGAGATATAACACCATTTATGAGTAGATCTATCAGGTAAATAAATTCGTGTGACGTAATTCAAACTTGTTTAAATATTTTGGGATTTTGAAATATCGAATATTTCTGAAAATGACTTTAATTACATTATGAAATTTCGGATTTGTAGTCCGGAACAGGGTCAAAATTTTTTCTTTTTCAGAGATCAAACTCGACTTATTGCAACTTGTCGTGCAATGGTAATTTGCATGAAAAATGGATTGGAAAAAATGGAAAATGGTGAACATTTGAATTTCCGCACAATGTTTGGAGACGATATTATGTCAGAGTTGACAGATGAAAGTTTTGAGGAAGAAGCCGAAGATTCTACACCATTTTCAATGTTTGCAGCCGAAAATAAAGTATGTTTTTTAAAACTAATTTTCAGATTTTAATTCAATTTCTTATTCAGCTCTCAAAACAATGTCAAGATTTGACCGAACTTGACAATCAACTCAATTTGATGCGTCAAAAAATAATTGCATTCAATACAAACGAAATACGTAATTTTACTGAAGGCGATCGAGAGACATGTCGACTCCAATAATTTTTTAAAACATTCGTATTGTCTACTAACAGTCTGTGTAAATAGTATTTTTCTGTTGAATAACTTTTTTGTTTGAAAATGATTTCTATATGGTGATCAAATGAATTTTTGTTTTTTATTTATATTGGTTCATATAACTTTCGAATATGGCGGTCCCAAATTACCCGCTTACTGTGATATTTCAAAACAGATTTCCAGCATTCTAAATTGAAAAATTCAATTTTCGAACAACGAAAAGCAAAGTTGATTCATCGTAAATGAACAGAAACAGAGCGCATCGCCTCGAGACCCTTACTATCCAACTGTGTGTAAGTACTGTAACACCCGATTGAGCTGTGTTTTCTCTCATTTTTTTCATTTCGTTTAGCCATGATTTTTCTATCGAAACAATGACAGAATTCAACCGAATTAAAACTGTTTGAAGTGTACTTTTGATGAACTTTGATGTTTCGTTTCCAATCTTTTTTTTTGTAATTGAAATCTTGTTAGCTACAACATTTACTTTCGATTTTTGTGGCTTCTGGTCTATTTGTAGGTTCTATCTAATTCCTCTATAGAATTATACTTAGGATTTTCGGAAGTTATTGTCGGTTTCTACAGAAACTCATGCTTTGAATGTGTTTCATCGATTTTTGTTCTACCCACATATTTTGTTACCTCTCAGTAAGTTGTAATTTCTCGTCATGTGAAATGATTGAAATGTGTTATTTTTGAATGTCATTGATGATTTGACCGCTTTCGAAAAATACACATCGTGTTCGTGTTATTTAGCTTTGAAAATCTCCGAGATGTTTTTGTTTTTCTTCTTTTCTGTTCAAGTACTCAAAAACTTAGAAAATGGTGTTCTCTGAAGCAAATATTTTATTTTGCTCGTTCTTTTTCCAAACATGATATGATTTTTTCATTCAAATAATTCAAACTCACAGATGTGTCTTATGCGACACATATCCCACATCGCATTCAAATATTTGATGGTTTTTTAATCACGAAGATCCACTGAGCTTGAGTTAAAATTATTGTTGTTGAGAATATTGGAAAATGGAAATGACTTCGTAATTTTAAAAGACCTAGGTCCAAAAAAGGAATAGAAAATTATTTTTCGCTTGACATAGTTCACGTCAAATTACTTTTTCCAGTTTTACTGTGTCTGTTTGACAATGTATGTTGACAATGTAATAAATGTTTTTTTCACAAAAAGAACATCCATTTTACTAATTTTGGTTTCGGTGCATGAGGTTAGGTATTCAAAATAATCTAGTTGCAAAGATTAACTATTCTTAGGTAACATTGTTTTTAGTATAGTATTTTAAAGTGTATTTTTGTATTTATCAGTCAATTTTTAAATTTTGAAGTTTGTTTTGCCTAGTATGTTTGTCATCGGATTCAGTCAGCTGACAGAGACAAGTTGGGTCGAACCCTCGCTGTGTATGTGTCTGTCATGCCATTCTTTCTTTCGTCTTTCTTTTCCTTCCGTCCGTAGACACACATACCCAGACGTGTTGTCATTCTACTTCGTTTGTTCAATGGAGCGACGTTTGCGATGCGGCCGCGTGGCGGTCGCAAATTGTCATCATCGTTGCATTGTGTGTGTGTTTGAGAGAGAGGATAGGGTCGATAAATGCATAGAGAGAAAAGGCAGCGGACTGGTTGTATATGACTGGCAGGTTGTATTATTGCTCTTCGCATTTTCTTCGTTTTTTTTTTTTCAGTTTCTCACCAAATAGTTACTGTCGTATTCACATGTAAGTAACGTGTCGATGTTTTTAGTTCAGCGACCTCTATTGTAAACATTTTTCGACAAATAACAATTAATTCGAACTTTATTGATTGGCCCCCAAAATTTCTGTGATAATTAGAATATACAAAAAATGTATAAGAATAGCGTGATGAAGTAGTTTCCTTCGAACTTGATGAACTTTCGGTGTTTTTCTTTTCTATTATACGAAGCATGTGATATTTTATTGATTTTTGCCGTTGTAATTTTCGTCTCGTTCGTTGGAAATTTTTCAATCATTTGAGGAATTGTTCCCAAAATTTGTTCTTGTACTAAAACTCATGTGTTCAGCGATATTGATATTAGCGATACAAAAAATATAGTTCTTCCCATTAAAAAATCATTAGCAGTAGTCTTATTCTTTACCCGTGGCTGGTACTAATTCACACCTGGTTCTTGTTCTTGTGTGTGCTCACACCTGTTTTGGTTCGCTTTAGAGGTTTCAGCAATTCTCATCACACACCACAATCGATTGAACACTCGAATGAAGATTTCGAAATAATTCGAACGTTCGAGAGCGCTATTCTTTTTCTCTGGTCGCGTCTGTTTATACACGCACACACATCGATATTTGTTACGTTGATGATGATGCTTGTGTTCACTTTTTCCATTCCCTGTTTCTCTCTATTGATGAAATATATGAAGTTGTATAGTTTTATTTAACTAGCTTAAATTTTGTAGTTCACTTACTGTAATTCATTTTGTTGAAAACATTCATATTCATCCGATCTGTTCATCTCAAAATTATTGAAGGACTTGGTGTATAGAATCAATAAAAACAAATAAATGTGTTCTGCAATTTTTTTCAATTGATTTTGTGATCTTCATTTGCAAAACGACAAGAAATTGCACTCAGTTTGCATGATCTCAGAGTTCTCTCTCCCCTTATACACTAAAGTACATGCACTTTCGGCTACATTGAGAATGAATGTGTGTGCGAATGTTACTCACTCTTTTCCCCTGTTCTTTCAATTTCTGAATATAACGTCAACAAGTGCTAATGACCTTTTTTGTTTTTGTTTTGAACACGAATGTGCCTATAGACTTTCAATACAAACATACATAAAATGGGTCCCCAGAATCGGGGTGAGGGGCTTAACTTTTTTCAAAAATCTGAAAGGAAGGGTGCCTAACTTGGCCAATTTTCTGCTGATAATTTACCAAAATTCCCAGATTTGTCCAAAATTCGCTCAAAAATGTGAGGAAGGTGTTTAACTTTGGAAAATTTTCAAGGAGGGACCCTAACTTTGACAACTGACTCGGGGGACCTATTTTATGTATGAATACAAAAGGTTTATTTTTTAAAATAACACTTTCAATGTCGTTCCTGTCATTTTCAGCTCCGAGCAAAAAATGTTATGGAGGACAATTATTAAATAACTAAGCTAGAAATAGAAAATTATTAATATTTCCAATCAATAGTTTCTTCTACACTGCTCCACAAAAAGATAACCTCACCCCTCATTTTTCAAAAAAAGCGAAAATTTGAATTTTTTTAAAAAAGTTTGTTTTTGAAAAACATATCAAATTCGGATACTAATTCATCCCTGAAAACAAATTTCAGATTTGGTAAGCGCTGAAAAAAATTGAGAATTTTCAAAAAAAGCTGATTTGCCAATCCACATAATGATAACCTCACCCCATGTTTTTTGACGAATTCGGACTTTTTAGTCGGAGTTAGTCACCCAAAATGTGTTAATGTATGGTTGGTGAGTTTTTAATCTTAAAAAAAACCCAGTGCCACGTTTCCAACAAGTTGTGAGCATCAGATTTGGAGCATTGCGATGTAAAGAGCATTTTTCAAACATTTCATACAGATTTTGCTATTTTTTTCATTTTTTTTCAATGTTTGACGTTCAAGACGATCCAAATGATCTGTTTTAAGCTCATTATGTTGAAAAAATTGGAAAAAATTGAAAAAAAAAGAAGAAAACAATCGAGATGCGAATTTTGAATTTCGCGCCGATTGAATATTTGGACCTCCCACGACGTAAACTTTTGAAAATTACTGTTTTTTTTTTGTTTTTTGAATTGTTTTCTAATGATCAATACTTTTCTAACATCCCACATCAAATTTTCATCCAAAATGCCGCGAGGAAAGCCTCTTTCTGATTTTGAAAAAGGGCAAATTACAGCCAAAAAAGATCAACGACTTTCAAATCGACAAATCGCAAGCTCAGACGACCAGGACATTTTCCGGTGCCATAATTTCGCGGATCGTTAACATAATTATTGATAACTCGTGGACTACGGCCTAAATCTCTTGCGATTTGTCGATTTGAAAGTCGTTGATCTTTTTTGGCTGTAATTTGCCCTTTTTCAAAATCAGAAAGAGGCTTTCCTCGCGGCATTTTGGATGAAAATTTGATGTGGGATGTTAGAAAAGTATTGATCATTAGAAAACAATTCAAAAAACAAAAAAAAAAACAGTAATTTTCAAAAGTTTACGTCGTGGGAGGTCCAAATATTCAATCGGCGCGAAATTCAAAATTCGCATCTCGATTGTTTTCTTCTTTTTTTTTCAATTTTTTCCAATTTTTTCAACATAATGAGCTTAAAACAGATCATTTGGATCGTCTTGAACGTCAAACATTGAAAAAAAATGAAAAAAATAGCAAAATCTGTATGAAATGTTTGAAAAATGCTCTTTACATCGCAATGCTCCAAATCTGATGCTCACAACTTGTTGGAAACGTGGCACTGGGTTTTTTTTAAGATTAAAAACTCACCAACCATACATTAACACATTTTGGGTGACTAACTCCGACTAAAAAGTCCGAATTCGTCAAAAAACATGGGGTGAGGTTATCATTATGTGGATTGGCAAATCAGCTTTTTTTGAAAATTCTCAATTTTTTTTTCAGCGCTTACCAAATCTGAAATTTGTTTTCAGGGATGAATTAGTATCCGAATTTGATATGTTTTTCAAAAAAGAAACTTTTTTCAAAAAATTCAAATTTTCGCTTTTTTTGAAAAATGAGGGGTGAGGTTATCTTTTTGTGGAGCAGTGTATAATATATTTTGGATTTCTTAAGAAGTTGAAGTCTCAAAAGTTCAAAATAAATAGTTACGAACTCATGACCAACTTCACTGTGTAATACAGAGAAATTTCTGACGACATTTGAAATTCAAAGTACAATTATTTTCATTCGTTTTTCCCTACTCTTCGTCTCTGCCTTTTTTCTCGTAGCATGTGATTATTCATCAATTCTTTTTCGTCATTTCCCTTTTTCGCTGTCTATCGATTTCTATCCACCCCATCCCCCTCATTTTTTTTCGTCATTCGATGTTATGACCGCACCGCTGCTTCGATTTGCTTTGCGGTCTCCCTATCTTATCTCATCGACTTATCAATCGACGATCAGTCAGTACCCTTCCAAATAGTGCTTTGCTTCGCTTCTATCTTTTTTTTAGTATGAGCTGAGTCGTTCAGTTTACTGTGTAAACTTTACACATTTTTTCATACCATGATTTTGAAACTTCATTGTTGACTTATACGATCAATTCTAACATCGAATAATTTTGCATGAATTTTTGCACATACATAGTAATTTATTCGCCTGGCTATTAAATACCAGTTAACGCAACAAAATGATTATTATTCAGTCTATAACAAATCCAAAAAATCTCTGTCTACAATTAGTATCATCACTAAGAATTAAGTAATTCAAAAGTTCATATCAAGATTAATAGTTGCATCATCACAGGTTCCCATCTTTGTGAGCGGTAAAAATGCATTATGCATATAAAAATTCTAATGGCAACAGCAATAGACCCCGAAATTCATTCAACTTTCACTTCTATTGTGTGTCGCGCATTGAATATAAAATGGTGTGCGAAAATGTTTTTTTTTTGTTGGTGAATGTGAACCATCATGAAAAATTGATCCCTCTTTCTGTACTCTAAAAACCTTTGTTCAGTTGAAACATGTGACAACCCAATAAATCAATCTAATGTAAGGAACCTTTTTGTTCAATTTCAACTTGTAAACAGCTTGAAAAATCTCATGGTTTTACGAGAATTGCACAATATTTTTTCTTAGAATTTTTCAAAAAATGTACTTCCAAATCCCAGTATGAATCAGCAATTCGTCCGACCAAACCAATCTGACTACACTAAAAGTACAACATTCTCTCTTTCCTTTTCTATTTTTTTCTCTCTAAGTCTCTCTATGTCTCTATCTTATGACCCGCCGTCAGTCATATGAGATGGGAGAAGAGAAAAGAGTAGCATTTTTCTTTTTCGCTCTTGTCGAAAAAAACTTCGAAAAAATGGAAAAAAGACGTTTTCTTTTTATTTTTGACGTGTACACTTTGTTGTTGGCATTTTTAACTGGGGCAATAATAGGTCGAATATGACTATTTTCGACTCATTCTCTAGCAACAACTAGTTGACTAGTTATTCTCTACTGACTTAATTCAATAATGTTTAGAAGTGCGTAGGTTTACCGTATGAATGTTCTCTGTTCATATATTCTCGCGATAAAAATGTTTTTTAAACATTTAGATAACCGAGGAACACTGCCTTTTCGGGAAATTATTTTAGTGCGATATTCCTAATCGATTTGTATTGTAAAAAAGTAAAATTACACTGTTTTGGGACGCCGCGTTGTTTTAGTATTGTTTTTGGCAACAAAGTTTTATTGAGAAATCTTGAAAAATATATGGGGGTTGGCTTTTGTTTTTCTGGCTCTAAAATCAATTCGGTCTCTCTGCGTCTTTTTTTCCGAGAAGTGTCTATACATTTCTAATATTCTCGCATTCTTGGTTCTTTTTCCTTCAGCTTTCAAGCTCAATATATAAGATTTTCGCGGGCTTTTTTGTCACGGGATTTGACGGAAAAAAATGATTATGAAATTCATTGCGAACATTTTCGAGGCATATGTGCCTCGTTTTATTTCAAAGTAACATGATTCGTTCTTCTCTCAATCATGTGTCTTTCTTTGCCAACACTCATTCTCTCTCCCGTTTTTTTTTCATTGTTTACGATTTTTTTCTGTTACTGACGTGGACTTTAAGGTCATGTGATATTTTTTAACCTATCAATATAAAATGGAATTATCTGGTGTTTTTTCATTTAGGCATTAATCCCTACTCATTGGCAATTCCGATAAATTATTCAAGTAATTATTTTCTAGGATAATCCGCTTTCACTTCATTTTTCTAATCGTATACCTTTTAGTTTTGCCTTTGTTCTCAGAAAATAATTTTCATTAATATTATAATTTTTCAGGACGTCGCTCAGGTCACAATATGGAGAACGAACAACAACAAGCATCAACTGCACCAGTATGCCGTGCTGGATGTGGATTCTTTGGATCATCAGCCACTGAAGGTTACTGTTCGCAGTGTTTTAAAAATACTATCAAAAGACAACAAGATGCTGTCCGTCTCACTTCTCCTGGTAAGAAATATTTTATTTGAAATCGGAAATTTGTCGAGATGTTTTTCTATTTATATCAAAAACTACAATTTCTGGTTTTTTCATTGACATGTCATCAAAAAAGGCAATCACAAGACTGGCTGACTGCCTGATAAAGTTAACAATTTTCTGTACTTTTTAATTTTTGTTTTTATAGTTTGAGGTCTCCAGGTGAAATAGGTTGTTAGTATCTATTCTGAAATTCCCGCTATCGATTTTAATTTTTAGAAAAAAGAGTTAAAAATAATTGTTCCTTTGCCAATTAATACTATTTTCAGTAGTGTCATCACCGTCCTCAATGGCTGCCTCATCCTCTGTTCCACCACCAATGGATACATCTTCACCTGTTGTTGCTGAAACTTGTGCAAAAGCTGCTATTAGTACCTCTGAAGTCACAGCTAAACTCGAATCTGAAGAAGCTGCTATTTTGAATTGTGCTGATGCTACTGATGAAGCTTGGTAAGAAATTTTCAAAGTAATCAAAAAATTCAAACAATTGTTTTTTTCAGTGCTGCTCCAGCGATTGCTGCAGCTGAAATAGCAGCTGCACCAGCTGTTAAAAAAGCAAATAGATGTCATGCGTGTAAAAAACGGGTTGGATTGACGGGTGAGTATTTAATCGCTTGATCGTAAATTATTATTATTATTGATTCAAACATAGATAAATGATGCAATTTCAGGTTTCACTTGCCGATGCGGTGGATTGTATTGTGGTGATCATCGTTATGATCAAGCTCATAACTGCCAATTTGATTACAAAACGATGGAACGCGAAACGATTCGAAAAAATAATCCGGTTGTAGTTTCTGATAAAGTTCAGCGAATCTAAAAGATTCGGCTGATTCGAACAGCTATATTGTCTTATTTTTCCCCTTTTTCTGGTGCATCCTATTCTGAAACCACCCAACACACACACTTTTTTACAATCCTAATTCCATCCCTGGCCCTTTTTTTTCATCTTGGCTGAACTAGTCTTCTCCAGGCACATTTTCTTTTTCTGTCTTTTTTAATCTGTACACTCGGTTTCATGTTTTGACGTCAGTCAATTTTCATTCTTTAAAAACTGTCCCAAATCCTTGTATATTTGATATTTTTCCGTGTGGTTTCTCCATTTTTTATTCGCCGAAGGTATTTTTGTGGTCTTGGAAAAGGTTTTTATTGGTTCAAAATCTTTCCACTTACAAAACTTATAATTTTTAAAAAACAACAAAAACAATAGGATATCATTATTTTTCTAGTTTTTTCTGCCATTTGTGTCTTCTTTTATTCATTTTTCTATCACCCAAATCCATTTTAGGAATTTTTGCAATTCAATTATTTACCACAAAGAATACCTATCAGCGCCCGGAGAAAATGAAAATAGTGTAAATACGTTTTTCTAACTTTTTTGTCTTGGGAAACCTTTTCTAAAAAATATATGCAATGAGTTTATCCCTCCCATTTTCATATTTTTCAAATTTCCAAACATTTTTTTGTTTTTTTATTGAAAAAGAAATAAAGTGTGTGCTCTGAACGTGAACTATTTTTTTTTGGACAAGAAACGTGAAAAATTATGAAATCCCAATCATTTTGCAATTATTTCACTTTAAGAAGCTTAATTCGATTTTTATTAAAAGGTAATCTAATCTAAATATTTCCACAATATTCTGAATTAATTATAATTCAGAATGACATCAGCTACAAATTCGACAAACTCAACAATTGATGAAAATGAGAATTCATTCAAAAATTTAGAATATTTTCACGGTGTTATTCAAAGACAAGATTCAGAAGAATTACTCAGAAAAACAGGCGATTTTTTATTGAGAACTTCAGAAATTCAAGGAAAAGTATCGATTATTTTATCAGTTAAACACGATTCAAAAATTCATCATTTTGCTATCAATTCGGATAGAAACAGTTTTTGGATTTCTGGATCTCACAAAGAAAAATCAATTGATAAATTAATTCAATGGCATATGTGAGTTATTTTTAAATTCAAAAACAATAAAATAAAAATATAAATTAATCAGTTCATCGTCAACTCCGATTTCAAAATCAATAAATATTCGAATTAAAAGCGCAATTTCAAAAGCTGATTGGATAATTGATCATGAAAATGTTCAATTTATTCGAAAACTTGGAGAAGGTGCATTTGGTGAAGTATATTTAGCTGAATGTCAAGTTGGAGATGAAAAAATGGATGTTGCTGTAAAAACAATGCGAACTCAAATGACACGTGATTCACGTAGTGCATTTATGAAAGAAGCACGATTAATGAGAAAATATAAACATAATCATATTGTTCGTATAATTGGTATTGCAGTTCATGCATGTCCATTATTAATTGTTATGGAAATGTGTCCACATGGTTCACTTTTATCGCATTTGAGAAAAAATAAAGAGAAAATAACAATTATTGATCGATTGAGGTTTTGTATTGAAAGTGCTGATGGATTGGCATATTTGGAAAAATTGAAATGTTTGCATCGAGATATTGCAGCAAGAAATTGTCTTTTATCTTCAACTGATGTAAGATTTTCTCAAATTTTTGATAAACTAAATTGGAACTTTTTTGAAATCGGGTGAACAAATAATACAAATAGAATTGAATTTTGGAGCTAAGGTTTTGGAAGTTTCCAAAAAAAATTGTATTTTCAATTTGTTCCGATTGAAAAAATGTCGGAAATAAATTTTTACTCCCAAATTGTTACCGAGCTTCTCAAAAAATTATTCCAAATTTTTCAAATTATTAATAAAAAATTTGGAAAAGTTTCAAAATATTCGGAATTTTTTGGGAAATCTAAAAATTTGTTCTCACAATATTTTTTGGACAATTGAAGAGATGAATTCTAAAAATTTTCTAACAATTATAGCAGAAACTTGTTGCTAGTCGGTTTTATTAAAAATAACAAAATTAGACTGTAAAATTTTCGAACTTTAGAGCTTTGTATAATAGGCCTCATAATTTTTAATTCATACTTTCCAATTTTCAGCGTACTTTCGATTCATTTTTTCCTTTTTCCAAATTCCATATAATTTTTTCAGCAAATAAAAATATCAGATTTTGGATTGTCTGATGATAAATTCACTGAAATGCATGATGATACACTTGGAAAAGTTCCAGTAAAATGGTTGGCTCCTGAAGTTTTACAAGATAAATTATATTCTTTGAAATCTGATGTTTGGGCTTTTGGTAGGTTATCATGGCTTATTGTTTTTCCAGAAATTCAAAATATTGTTTATAGGTATTCTTATGTGGGAAATCTATGCAGATGGAGCTGATCCTTATCCTGGAATGTCAAATGTTCAAACTCGCGCCAAAATAGTTGTAAATGATTATCGTATGAGTTTTCCTGATATTTGTCCAAAACCAATTTCGGACGTGGCGTTGAAAATGTGTTGGCCAAAAAATCCGGCAGATCGAGCACAAATGGAAAATATTCTGAAGAAATTGAAGAGTCTCGAAGGAAACAATATTATGAGTGATATTTCGATTTCTTCTCGCCGTGCTGTAGTTTAAAAAAAATGAACATATTTCTGTCTCTTTTTTCGTCCGTTCATGTTTTTAGTGATCAGCAAATGTTTTTGATCGTAATTCGATGTCTTCAAACAATTTCAATAACCTGTTTCTTACTTATTTTCTGAGAAATTTGATTGTGTAAGGTTCTTTGTCGAAATAACTCATCAAGGCCTTTTAATTTTCATTTTAAAACTCTTTGTTTCAAAATTTAGTCGTTAATTTTTAATTTCTGGATGAAATAAGAAATGGAAAATGTTTTTTTGGAAATTAAAGTTTTCCACGTTGAAATTATCACAAGTTCACGTCCTGAAATTATTCATGATCTTCACTTTTTGAAAACCGAGACTACAGTAACCCACAACGTTTTTTTTTAATTTTGGAGTTTTCAGGGAACATTCTGAATAGATTAGAAAATCACAGAATATTTTTTGAAAATGAAATTCCATGTTTCATTTTGGAATTTTGAAAAAAAGTTCGCGCTCGACATTTTTTTCATGCAGAAAACACTTCGAGCCTACAGTAACCCATTGCTTTTTGTCAAATTCTGGAATTTTCAGTCGATTTCGTTCCACTGAAAACATTTGCATTTTTTCACTCTCTCTTTCAGTTTTCAAAAAAAAACAAACACTTGATTCAAAAAAAAAAATACCAGTACTACTAATATAATACTAATAATTGTGGCTGAGGGAGAAAAACAGAGAGAGAAGAAGAAGTTCCAGTGAATTGATATATATTATATATTTTATGATACAAATTAAAGAAAAGGAAGCAAAAAAAAAGATGGGGCGGAGAGACAAAAAAAGAAGAAAATATGGCGAGAAGAAGAGGCGGATCTTGTTGATCAGTAATATGTTCGTGTCACCGCCGTGTTTGGTGACAATTTCTTATCGACTATTATTTGTCGCTCTCATTTTGGTGTGAGTTTTTTTTTGATTTTCTGATGAAGTTTGTGTGGTTTTTTCAAGTTTTCGGAAATTTGAAAGGAAAAAAACTACAATTATGGAGAATTTTTGAACCGAGACTTCAAAGATATCGATGAAGGTTTAATTTCTGCAGCTAAACAACTTTGGAACTTCAGTCTTTGAATAATATAGATTTTTCGGAAATTATGAATAGTAGATAGACTATGATCTTCAGTTTCCTATTGTGAAAATTCTTATCAATTTTATGAGTGATTTACTTAAAAAAAAGGTTCCTTGTTAACATAAATATCTAGTTGATTTCCGAACATCTTTTACAGTAATCTAATCTTATTTTTTGAGAACAAAACAAATCGAATACCGTTTTTGTCTTTTGTTGCTTTGCTGTCCTTGATGCCCTTCTTACTTCTTTTTTTTTACACAAATAGCCGTTGAGTAAAAAAACCCGATTTTGTTTTACTTTTTTATCATCACATCACACATTAAATGAATATGATTATTATCTCATTTGGATAAGAAAAGGAAGAAAAAACAAAAGAATGAAGATGTGTTGAATGGCAACAATAACAAAGAGAAATTAAGATATTGGCAGATATTGATTTGATTGCAAAAAAATATCGGATAGGAATCTACTTATATTAAATCTTATTTGGTTACAGTAGTCCTATTGCAATTGCACTTGCAAAGTGCGTAAGATACAAAACAAATCTGGGTTATTTTTATTTTTCAAAAAAAATATTGAACACTGATTGCAAATATTTTCGATCAATCAATCAAAAGTAAATAACAACACTGATTATTATAATATTATTTATGTCAAATGAATAAATAATATTATCATGAGAAGAAAATGATAAATAATAAATTGGTTCTTTTTTTTGGATGAAAGGGATTCACATTTATTTATTTTCAGAATTCTACCAAATGAGATTTGCGGCGGTGCACGAACACCATTTTTTGATTTAACTGCTTATAGTGATTGGCCACAATTTGAAGATTATATTAAAGGTGAAACAATATTTTCACGAGTTTCAAAACATCTTTTTTTTAGGTGTGGCTCATGATAATCCGAGTTTCGTTCAGTTAAAACAAATAGGAAAAAGCCGAGAAGGTCGACCACTTTTGGGTTTGAAAATCGGAAAACCGTCAAAAGATGGAAAAAGAAAAATAGCGAGTTGGCTTGATGGAGGAAATCATGCACGGTTTGATTGAAATTAAAATTTAGAATAATATTTGATTCAGAGAATGGCCCGCTTTTCATGTTGCTGTTTACTTTATTGAAAAGGTTTTTAGAATTTTGAGAAGGTTTTTAGAATCAAAATATTTGTTTTTTTCAGTTGGTGAATGGATATTTGATAGATGATAAAATCACAAAATATGTCGATACTTTGGATATTTATGTTTTCCCTATTTTAAACCCTGATGGTTTTGTATATTCAAGAACTTCTACAAGAGCTATGGTACTAAAACAAACTATTAATTAAATACGTTTTCAAATTAAAATTAATTTTAGATTCGTCAATGGCGAAAAAATCGAGCACCCGAAAATTGTACAGGAACTGGAGTTTTCCAAACAGATGTTTGTTGTGTTGGTGTTGATTTGAATAGAAATTATGACATCGGGTATATTTCATTATTTTTGTAGATCAAAATGTTCGTTTATTTTTCAGATTTTCTCAATCTTCATACCCATTTAATAATCCATGTTCGGATGAATTTCAAGGTCCATATCCATTTTCTGAGCCAGAATCTCGCGCAGTTCGTGATTTTATTATGTCTTCTGAGATCTATGGTCGATTATATGCATTAGTTTCAATGCATACACATGGACAATTATGGATTCTTCCTTATAATTATCAAAAAAGAACCTATCCACAAGATTTCAAAGATTTGGTATTTATTTACTTACTTTTCGATTTTTGAAAGGAAAAAGAATTGATTTTTTAAAGGAAACATTGGCTAATCGAGCAGCTGAAAAAGTATATGCTTATAGAGAAACAAAATATCGAGTTGGAACCGCAGCTGATTTATTAGGAACAGCAACTGGAGGAGCAACTGATTGGATTAAAAAGAATACTCCAACAAAATATGTTTATGTTCTTGAATTACCACCAGATATGAAAAGTGAGGAGAATCTTTGAAATTCATAATTTTAATTTATTTTCAGCATGGTTTGCTTTTCAAGTAAAACCACATTGGTTGATTCCAATTGGAAAAGAAACTTGGATTGGAATTGAAGTTATATTAGATCAAGTTATTGAAGAGACAAAAGATTTTAAACCAACTGAATCAACTGCTGATTCGACTGCTGATATAAGATCTCCAAGATTTAGACAATTATGAGAGAACAGCCTCATTCAGGCCATTTTTTTATTTAAAACGGGTTTATTTTTGAGATGAAACTTTTTGAATTCTTACTTTTTCTCTTCTGGAATCATCGGTTCGGCTCCAATTTCAGGTATTCCAAATAAACGAACACGCAAAGGATCAACGAGTGCTTGAACTGAAGATGTTTGATTACAAGGACAATCTGGTTCGAAACCACGGAAATCATTTGTTTGAACATCAGATAACATTCCACAGATTATAGCTTTTTCTTCGTCCGAAATCTGAAAAAATGTTGAACAAATTATTTATTCATCAAGAAAAATTAGAAACTCACACTTGATGCTTCATCTTCAATTCCTTGAAGAACAGATAAAACGATGGATGATTCTGAAAATATTTAGAATTTATTTATTGAAACTAAAACTGTTTTTTTAATATTTAAAATTGTTTTAAATATTAAAAACATCAAACCTAATTCATTCAAAGCGGGAAGATTTTGGTCCATCATAACACACGAATTTATAAAACGGTATATTATATCCCATCGAATATCTTCTCTACTTTCTTCTGAAATTCTTGCCAATTTCAAGTCAGTCACTTTCACATCCTTTTCTATATCGGCTGATTTTTCAGCATCTTTGAAAATTTGTTGAATTTGATTACGAACTGGATTTTTATATTTGTTTAAAGAAATGTGTGTATTTCTATCAATTTCATCGATTGCATTAATCCATGCCTGAAAAACAATATGATGAATTTTGGAAGATTGGCCTAAAAAACTAAATACCTTCTCATCAATCTTCAAATTTTCAAGAATTTTGCGATATCCTTTTTCCTCCCATATTTTCTTGTGATAATCTCGACAATCATCGCGATTTTCAGCAATAAGTTCGCGAATTTCAATTACTTTCACAGTGATTTCATCGAAACTTCTTGCTTTAATACAACTTTGTGCAATATATGCCAACGATTTTGGCTCTGTTCCATATTTGGCAATCGCATCAAATAAAAGTTTCAATTCTTGGCTGCTCCAGTTTCCATCATTATAACTTCTTCCTTCAGTAAGACGCTAAAAATTCAGAAAAAAATAGAAAAAAACAAAAAATCTATACAAACCCGATCAATTGGACTCGGTTCTTCGCTTTCTTCTGGTTGGGCATTCGATGTTGATGGTTTCGACATTCCTTTGTTTTATTCGATTCAGAAATATTCTGATTTTTTCGATTTTAACAAAGATTTTTTCGAAAAACACAAATAAAAAATTATTTTCTGTTTACGATAAACAACAGGCAAGTGGTGGAAAGCGTCAACGCGTTGTTTCGTTTTCACAGTTCATTTCTTTTTTCTTTTCTTCTTTCCAGAAAAAAGTTGATTTATAAAGTTTAAGGTAATGAAACTGGCACTCCGAGCATTGAGGCCAGCGGCCAATCAAAATATCAAATCACCAAAATTGTGGCAAGATCCAGTTTTGGGATATTTTGAGACACATGGTTAGTTGTTTTCTTACAATTTTACAACGCCATTAATTAATATTTTCTAGGTAAAACCGAATTCTTGGCTGGCCATGAATATAATTTGACTGATGACGAGAAAAAAGCAGTTCTTTGGAGGTATGGATTCGATTTTCAAACTGAAAACAATACATTTCATAATTATTTTAGATATCGCGTCAAGGAAATTTTGAAAAAGGAATACCTCCGTCGTGAATATGATCCACATAGTTTCAAATATAAAGAGGGAGTTACAATGGATCCAGCAATGTTCCGTTGGTATTCAGCTGATATGACTCAAGCTGAATTCTTCCGTTTCACTCCAAGAACCGTCTTTTTGTATGTTGGAACCGTTTTTGCTCTTTTCTACATTTATACCCGTCTTATGTTTGTTCCAATGGTGAGTTTTTACACGTATTATTCTGAAAATACTTGAATAACTGGTATTAGAAATGAGATAGAATTGCGAAAAATGCCGGTTTTTAAATTAAACAACATTATGTGGGGCGTGAGATAAAAAAATATTTGAAACCAGCATGTGTAATTCGGAAAACAAAAACTTTCTAGGACAAATCCAACGAAGATTGTTTGGACGGTAAAATTTTGTGGTGGGATCGCCAACAAGGAAGAACTCTTCAAACTGGAGGTTCTGGACTTTTTGCTCCAACCATTGGTATCGACTTCTAATTCAAGATTATTTTTAGACCATTCTACTGTTCAAAGACTTAGTGAATATAAAAAACTTTATCCAATATGTTTATTTTTATTAATTAAACACGTAAATCAAATGAAAACAAAAATAAAGAGATTAACCTGAAAACCGCCTGATAGACCCCTTTCGAAAAAAAAGATTTGATGATTTTAAGGCTGTTTAAAAATATGGGGTCGAATTAATAACATCCAAATTCTTTTTGAGATTTTGTCGACGAATTACCAAAGCAGTTGAAACAACAGTTAAAGAAATAACTGTTATGAGGAAAAGTGGAAGCATTGGGAGTAAAAGACGTGGAACACAAAATGGCGAAGGCGCTAAAAGTCCACGATCTGATGGATCTAACACAAGAAGTTCAGCAGTTGCAACATCAATCTGCAAATTTCAAGTTTATCACTTTTTCAAAGCATTTTTTGAAAAAACCACAACCTCCAAATCATTTCTCGTTTCGATTCCATCTTCAATTTCTCTTTTATTTCTAGTCGAATTCGATGTAAGTGTTAATACTTCTTCATCATTTTCTTCAAGTTGTCTTACACCACATTTTGGAGGCTGAAAATATGGTTTTTATATTTGTTAAGGCATAATAGAAAAATTGACATACAGTAACTTCTTGACACATTCCCATTTGTTTTTGACACAATCGAATTTGACATGTAAAATATAATTGATTTGAATCAGCATATTTAAATACTTGACTTGATGCATGTGCTCTCATTAAAGAACCATCATATGATAATTCGCTTAATAAAAATGGATCAGTTGCACATCCATCAAAATCAACAACAGCGTGATCTTCTCCATCTCCATCAGTTACAAAACATTTTTTGACAAGCATTCCCATATCAGCCGGTGTACATTCCCAAACATGGAAAACAATATCACCAACATTTGCATATGTTAATGTTGGACCATTTGGACCATCACGACGAACTGAATATTCACATTTTGGCATTGCCATTGAATCAGATAATTCAGTTGTTGGAATCATACTGTAAATAGTTTTGTTAGATTTTTTATCTAAAAAATCTAGAAAAGAAAAACGACACTCCGGATCAGATGTGTAAGAAGTGCCAAATTCAATTTACCTAACATCAATATTTTGAGTAACAATCTCATCTGGTTCCATATAAAAACATTTAACATGAAAAGCTCGATCATTTTTTGTAATAAATCCAGCTGGATGAAATGACACAATTACAGTAACCATGAAATTAACACCACGTGGATTTGCTGATCTCAATCTTTGCATTCCACATTTTCCCAATGGAAGAGAATATGAATTTGTGCCATTATTTGCATATGATTGACGACATGATTTATCTTTTGCTCGTCCTTTTACAAATATATTTCCACGAAATGGTTTTGATGTGACAATATCAAGTGCAAGATCGTTTTCAGCGCAAATAACCTTTGGAACACCTAGAAATACAAAATTAATTCCATAATTATTGCTTTTTTTGGCGCCGACAACGAGCAATTATGAGATTTTTTGGTTTTGTGTACTTCTCTCGGAATAATCCCATATTGTTTTGCGGCGAAAATTGGGTGAAGGTCATAAAAAAAGGAAAATCCTGGATTTCAGAAAAATGTTTGAGAGCCTCTAACATTTTCAAATTTTAAAGGGAAAAGATTTCTAACAAGACGATTTTTGCTAAATCAAGTTTAGAAAATCTGTAATTTTATATATATATATATATATATATTTATTGAACCACACCGATATACATTGTGAAAGACAAAAGAATTTAAAAAGAAGAGATAGTAGAGAAATGATAATCGAGATGACTGCAATAAAACAAAAAGGCCCGTAGGTCCAAATTTTAATATTAAAAATTCTGAATATATCCTATACTTGAATTTTTGAAAAATTTGTGATAATCGAATAAAAATTAAGATTATTATTTTTTGGCATATTTTTTTTTCGAATTAAAAATTTGAATCAGACAAGCTTTCTTTCAAGTTCTGAGTCTTTCTAAAAAAATATATCACATTTGTCCAATTCAAATCTCTCAAAAACTCAGACCTGGACCGAAGAACTTGATGAAAATTCTGAATATTACTCAAATAAAACTAATTAACTCACCAATAATTGAATTATCAATATAATTGACCGGAGCTTGTGATTCGACAAAATAATAACTAGAAATAATAAGAAGACAACAAGTTAAAAATGTCGAAGAAGACATTTTCTACTTCGAGAAAAGTTTTAACAATAATAATGAAATATGGTTTCGTGAGAAGAGCTGGGCGGATTTTAATAATGGGCGGAGTTTGAATGCGTAACTAGTACCGACCAACAAGTACACAAGAAATGCAAAAAAGGGGCGGAGTTTGGAGAAAATGTGAATAATTAAAAAAAAGAAAATAAGAATGAATGAATTGAGGAATGAAATTGGAACCTTGTCAAAGAGCAGAGAAAGTTTGAAGGTAATTTCGATTCAATTAATTTCTATCCATGTAGGTATTCAATTCTGAGTTTTGGTTCTTCAAATGAAAATGTCAGAACAAGAAATGATTCTGAAAACTTACTGTTAGTTTCACGGAAAAAATATTATGAATTTTATTTGTTCCAAAAATAAAAGACTAGTCAAATTCCATTTGATATTTCATAATTTGTACATTTTGATAAAAATTCAAATAAGACGAGAAAGTGTGTCATCTGTCCCCGGAGGTTTTTAATGAAAACACAGACTATTCTGTAAACTTCTGAACAACATCATGTATCTCACAATCACATGTGTCACAGGCTTCCGAATACGCGGTTTTTTTTAAAATCTTTTTTTGACTAATGGCTCATTATTGTGCACGTTCGAAAGTCGTTCTGCTAAAACTGAGATAGGGATCTTTTTTGGCTTGAAAAACTGCATAGAATGGTATATCTTCACACTGAGAGGTACAGTAACCCAAGTAGAATTATGTTTTGATTCGTTTCAAAAACATGAACCTATAACTACAGTAACCCAAATATATTGTCAACCTTGGTGCCATTCAAGAAATCCATCGAGACGAACTTTTCGAAAAAAAGTAACAACCTATAAAAATACCTCATTCATTGTCTCATTATTCTTTTTGATGTTCTCAAGGTTCACATGTCATATTATTGAATCCAAGTAGGTTTTTGTCCTTGCCGGCTCACCAAAGAATATAGGCCAATTGAACTACGAATAATTAGAAAAAGGTTTTTTACTTTTTTTTCTTGTGGATCGACAGGTCATTAATATAAAATCGAGAGTGTAATTAGGGAAAGAGTCGATCAAAAGATGTTGTGTACTTGTTTGGATGAAAAAAAAGAAAGAAATGTATGTCAAAAACTAACAAAAAAAATGGATAATTGGTTTCAAAAATTGGGTTTTGAAACTATTTTCAAATTTAGGGCGACATCTTCGATTCCAGTAGTCGAATTCAAATGACGTAACTTGGTATTGTTCTGTTCAAATTTACTGACGCAAAAATGCATAAATGAAAAATAGTGGATTCTGTTCAGATTTAATGGGTTTCGGAGATGTTGCAGTATGAAGCAGACAAAAATAGTTTGAGTGTTCAAATTTTCTGGCGTTTTCAAAGATTCATCATCAATCAAAATATTTGAAAAATCAACATGTTCTCCTTTATTTGCTACAAACAAACTACAAATTTCCAACAAGAAACTGAACATTTTCAATTTTTTGTTCATCCGGAACAGTTTATTTGTTTTCCGGTGTGACCCGCAATAAATATTCGCATCATCTTAAAATTCTCCGCATATTTATAATTGAATGAAAATGAAATTAGTTAATATAACACAAATATATTTGTTCAACACACTTTCGAATACTTGGTATTTTTATGTCACGCTTTATTCCGCATATCGAAAAAAAAATGGAAAAGGGAATCTCACATCAGATTTTTCAGAATTATTTTCATTTGCCTATGAGTTGCTCTCCTTCCAAATTATGCTTTTCGATAATTTATTACGATTTATGATGCGCAATTCGAAGAAATCGTTAGAATAATGTCTGGAGGTCAAATCATAGGTTATTTTGAACAGAAAAAAAGAGTCTCGAAACACATTGTGTAAGTACTGTATTTATTATGAACGAAGAAAAACAGGTGGATAATCACATAAAATCGAAAAAAGGTTATATTTAATGAGTGTTTGGAGCTTTAGAAAGAAAACCAATGAAAGCAAACCTTTAGAATGAATAATATTATTCTTAGATAATGTCTTCAAAAAATCTGTTTAATAATTAACACGTGTAAAAAATAGTAAATGAGAAAAATGACTAAGTTTTTGAAAAAATTTTTTTGAATATACATTTTTAAAAATCCGAATTCCTGTTAAAAATTCAACCAAATCAGTTATTCAAAAAAATGTTTATTTCTATTTTAAAAATTTACTGAATCTGTAAATTACCAAATTCCAGATAAAAATACGTTTTCGACGAAATTAGGGCTGAAAATCGAAATATGAAGCCCAAATCATCAAATCAAACGTTCCGAACTTTGCCAACACGATTCCACGTAAAAGCGAAAACCAAAATACAGTAGACCTCTTCGCTTTATTTTATTTCAAATAAAAAAGAAGAAATTTTCGGTAATTATTAAATTTTTAGTTTCAGTTTTTTCGAAAAAAATAACTTCTAATGTTAAATTTTACGATCCGATTTTTATTTTTCTGTCTTTGCCTTGTGTTTCTCTATTTTCTCATATATGATGTTCTCGGCGAAAATCGTGAAATTTCCTGATTTCACGGAAAAAAAACCAAATTGAAAAAATAAACGAGAGAGTGTTTGTGTAAGAGAGACGCCAGACAACACGATGGTTTGTGAATTTTTTTCGCCAACCTCAAAACCATTTTTCGTTTTTTCACAAAAAATGCTAAAATCGGTCATACTCAACCAAACTTCACAATCTTTGCTGCAAACGATAGGAAATCCTCGGGAATAGAGATTACAAAAAGAAGAACGTCGAAAACTTTTCACAAAACACCAAAAAAATATGATTATTGGTTTTTCGCTTATATTTTGTAATCCGATGTTGAATTTTACAATTCTATTCTATTTTTCTGTCTTTGCCTTGTGTTTCTCTATTTTCCCATATATCATTTTCTCGGTGAAAATCGTGAAATTTCCTGATTTCACGGAAAAAAAACCGAATTGAAAAAATAAACGAGAGAGTGTTTGTGTAAGAGAGACGCCAGACAACACGATGGTTTGTGAATTTTTTTCGCCAACCTCAAAACCATTTTTCGTTTTTTCACAAAAAATGCTAAAATCGGTCATACTCAACCAAATTTCACAATCTTTGCTGCAAACGATAGGAAATCCTCGGGAATAGAGATTGCGAAAAGAAAAATTTCAAAAACTTTTCACCAAACACTAAAAAACTATGATTATAGGTTTTTCGCCTTGATTTCCACGCTTTTAATGATTTTTTCCTTTGAAATGGCGGAAAGCTGCAAACAAAAAAATAATCATTGGAAAAAATTAAACATTAGAAAATAGATTTGAAGAGAAAATGAAGATAATTTTGAAAACTTTCGAAAATTGAACTCAAAATCTGGACTGGAAGGGATGAAGATAACTTTCAAAACCCACAAAAATTATTCTCACCTGGTTACCCGAATTCTAAGAAAAATACTTTTCAATAGTTTCTTTGTTAAAAATCTCACAGTACTCCTTTCAAATAATACTTGTTCATTTTAGCAAACGAACGAACTAATTTGAAATTTTAAAAATTTTCTGGATGACCAAACTTTTTCGATAATTGTTCTAGTTTTTCTATTTTTCTGCGGAAAGTAAAGGAAAAAGCGTATTATTTACAAATTTCTTCACTTTTTTGTCGTGAGAAAATGAGATTTTTGAACACAATTCGAAAAAAAGGTATTTTGCCGGACAGCTGCCTTCTTTTACACACTGACCCCTCGTTTTCATTTTTATTGTCAAATTTTGAATATAAAAAGTTTTGGTCACAATAATAAACATTCGAAATCTATAGAAATGGTTTTTTGTTGTATTGTTTCCGTTTTTATCTGACTATTCATTTTTGTTTGTTTTTTATGAGTTAGTTTTATCGATTTTCAGAATAAAAAATGAGATGAAAAAAGAATAATTTGCGAAGATATTGGAAAAATTTATTGCACTACTGTAAATCTTGTAAATCTCTTAAATTATTGAAATTTTTATCTTTCTATGTACATATTTTCAAAATTCAAAAACTTTATGTAATTTTTAAAAAGATTTTGATAATGAATCTCATTTCATTTTCCACAAATTATGTACCGCAGATAATTTTGGTGATGAATTTTTAATATTCTATCACCTAGAATCTAATCGAAATCAATCAATCAAAGAACTCAAAAAGTTTCAAAAATATAATAATATATTGTATTTTATTTATGCTAGTATCTGCTATTTCTGCTGCTGCTATTCTAACTAGTTCATCCTCTCTTTTCAGTTTGTGTCTCTCATTTTCATTCAATATTTCCCTCCTTTTTTGACAGTAATTCTCTCCACGGACGACAATTATTCTTTTTTTCTCCCGCAAAACCTAGACTCTTTCAAAATAATCGAACCGACAAAATAAAATAAGTTTTTGAATTTTTCTCGCCAAATTCATTATTGATTTTTTCTCTAAATAATTTCAAAATTTAGTAAAAAAAATTCGAAATCCTCGTTTGTTGTAATTCGATACATTTAATATTTTTTCCACCTACATAAAAACATTTGTGTGTTTCGAAAACACTAAAAACTTTTAGTTTACCAGATGTTAAGATTTTTCTCACACTTTCGTTTTATTTGAGCATCATTTCTATTTGCACAGAATAGATCTCATCGATAAATATTTAAATATGCAAAATTTTTCATCGAATCAAAGTGTTTTTTCCTTTTTCAAGATGTCAAATGGGTTTCATTTCAAAACTGTAGACGTGGAATTTTGGAATAATCCTAAAACTTCTACAAATAATTCATCATCTTCATCATCACAAGCTGCCACGTGGCAAAGAGTAAGTGAATTCATATTTTGAAAATTATGTACACGAATATATTTAGGCATCGGCTTCATTTCAAGAAGTTGAACCCTGGAATCGACCGTATGTAGAAGAACCAGAAGAAGATCATGGAAAATATTCAGTTAGAAATGCAAGAGGAACTGAAATTCAAACAAATCACAATCAAAATCATATCGAAAAAACATTTTATACACTAGTTACACATAATCGAAGAAGGTTCGTTGAATTTTGAAAAATATTTATAAAATTATGAAATACAAAATATCTGGTTTCAATCATAAGATTTTTTTCAATGGTTTTTCTTTTGCAAAATATAGAGCACACTTATCTAAGCTGACAAGTTTCATCATAGTTTTTTTTGGAAAAAAAAAACAAATGAGGAAAATTGATGGGTCAACGGTGAGAAAAAACAGATGCAACACATTTTGTTGTAAAAAATCCTCGTTTTTCCCATTTTTTCCACCCAATCATCATAAAAAAGAACACTTCGAATTTTGAAGATTGTGAAATTTTTATGAAAACCCGCTGAGCTAGAATTTTTTGTAGTCAATTTCTTGGCCAAATTCTATTTTTTTAATCTAAGTTTTTTTTTCGAAAAGAGAACCCTCCATTTTTTCCCAAATTTTGTACTCTATGGAATTTCGGAAAATTATATTGGCAATCCTGATAAAAATTAATTGTTATCCCAACATCAATTGATCGTTCCGATTTCACGTGCAGTCATGTCCGAGTGGTTAAGGAGATTGACTCGAAATCAATTGGGCTTTGCCCGCGTAGGTTCGAATCCTGCTGACTGCGAATTATTTTTTTGGAAATCAGTTGAAACATTTTAGGAGCAGATTCAAAATTTACATTAGTTTTTAAAAAATTCGAATAATATAAATCTTGATTGATATTTACTCCGTTAGATTCCCTTTTCTAAAAAATTCAATGAAACCTCAATCCTCATTCAATAATTTTCTGGATTACTAAATGAGTTTGGTATGTTTGCATTGTGTCCTCTTTTATCTTCAAGTGTGATTGATATCCTTCCTCCACCTCTTTTCTTTTATCATTTTTTTGTCTGTTTCTGCGCGAGAGCAATTTTTCTGTGCACTCTTTTCAGTTGAATGATATAAATTGTAATGAAAATGGTTCAATAAAATGGGAGCCAAGTGTTGTGCACCAAATGGTGCAAAACTTCGAAAACGGTGAGAACTTCAAATTTCATAAATTATTTATAATTAAAAATTAGAAAAAAACGAATTGTTAATTATTTCAGACTCGAAGATCATGAAGTATATCTTCCATCTGCGAATTCAACATTACAACGTTCAACTCCAACTCCAGCACGAAATGAAACAATTCAAATGGCAGCAGCAACAACGACAGCACGAAAATCTACAGTAACTACAGTAATCCACAATAAACCAGTTATCACAAATCATACGATACGATCAACTGATACTTTTCCAGTTGTTAGAATTCCGAAACATCATATTGAAAAAGTTGAAACATCGGATGTTATGTAAGTTTTTGTTAAGGTTTTGGAATAATTTGTGAATTTTTTGTAGACATGGTTCAATTGGTTCACGCTTAAATGATATTTCGGGTCGAAGTGTTGTTCGAGATGTTAAAACTGGTCAAAAAATGTCGGCGATTCCACGTGGCGAAAGTCAACCACCACAAGGAAAAGTTACATATAAATACAAGTTGGTTGAATTTCACTAAAGTGACTTGATTTATGATAAAATTTTTCAGAGTTGATGCTTCTGAACGTCGAATCGATTATAAATATCATTCAGAAACTTTGTTGTATAATTTCGAACAAACAACGTAAGTTTTGGAAATCTCAGAAAAAAAGGAATGCTCCAAAAATTTTAGAACAATCTAAAAAAAATAAATAAATAATTAAATGAGTTCACGTTTTCCAAAAATGTTCCATTTATATTTTTCGAAAAATTAGCAATGCTCCATTATAAAATCTTTCCAAAAATAAACCGGTGAAGAGTCAGTTTAATTTTTTCTCATTACAGACTACTGTATGTTTTTCTAATTTTTTATTTTTAGGAAACGCGAACAACTCGAAACTTGGACAAGTTTGAATAGGAAACCAGTTGCGAAAAAAGCAAAAGTTGAAGAATTAACAGAAGATTGTGAGTTTTTTTTTGAGGATAGCAAAATATATTAGCATACGGTACCAAAAATCCAAAAAAAGTAGACCGACAAACCGCTGACACTTGAAAAACGTGTTAAAATTGTGTTTCGTTTTTGCTTGTTATTTGTGCATCACAGAGATGTGTGATAACGCAAGTTTTTTGGCTGCGCGATATATTCTGTCGTCTCTCATTTTTCAATTTTCCTTTTTATTTGCCTAATATTTGTAGTACATGGCTCTCTGGAGAGGAGAAACATTATTATTAGGAAGAAGGACACCACACCATTTTATCATTTTTTTTCTCGAGTTTTGATGTTTTTTTTGTCAAATCGACTTCATTATTTGCATTTGTGATTTCCTTGTATATTATTCGTGTACCGAAAAAAAACAAAACAAAACTAATCATCATTTAAACTATTTAACAAAATGTCTTCATTTTTCCTACATCTGTATGCACTTTTTTTCCACACGATACTAACACATTTATTGTACTTTTCCTTCGAAAATTGATTGGTTTCTACATTTTCGGAATAATATCGAAAATTGTTGCATTTCTTTTTATTTTGATTTTATGTTGTTCACACCCACATTTTTTCGATTTGACAACATTTTTTTCAAACAAACTGATAAAAATCTTCACTTTTTTTGATGATAATAAAATGAGGGTTTTTGTGTACAATATTTGCACATTTTACTGTTTCGGAAGGGTTTTCTGCATTCCAAAATTTTTAATATAACTTTTTTTTGAAATTCATCTCAAAGTTTGGAAATCGGGTGAATCGTAGAAAAAAGTTCCACCAAGATCCAACTGAATTGAATTGAGGACCTAAAATTATTATGTAGAGACCTATTTTTGGATGCCCAGGTCCTAATCAACAAGATTTCTAACCATGAATATGTGGGAAATCTATAATTAGTCTAACATTAGTACGGGACAACTCTACGAGTTTTTTTTAGCAAACAACTCAAAGTTCAATAATCTTTTGATTCCTATTTCTTCCATCCGAAAAAAAAACTAGAAATCTCGAAATGACCCATGTGTGCCACTCCTTTTTTAATAGCACTTGCTTGTTTTGTCAATTTCGCGTATATTTCTTTCTTACTAACTTTTATTTTTCCCCTATTTAATAGAATTCTAACATGGAAGACGAAGAAGCTGATGAAAGATGCAGTACGTGGAATTTTATCGAAAAACGAGAATCGAATAATTTTCGTCAATCGAATAATAACAGTTATTATCATAATCAACAACTTCATTCACCGATTGGAATTGGAAAAACACGTGGAAATGGTCTTGAAACAACTGCAACTTTTCGACAATTACAAGATAATGTGTATGTCATCTCTTAACTAATTAATTAAATATTATACGTCATGTTTTATTATCTTTTTTATTTTTCTATTTTTAAAACTTGAATTATAGACCATTGAGCCCGTCACTTACCACGTCAACTTATCAGTTTCACTACGTGACACGAAGATTGGCTGGTTCAAGTTATACAACGGTTGAATTAGATCACACTGAAAAACCATTACCGGAACCTGCGATTCAAAAAGAACAACGAAATACACAGGTTGGATTTTTTTTTACCATAAATGCAATATTTTATTAATTACAAGAAGAACTTTTTTCGAGATCGGCTGAGAAATTTCATGAAAGTTATTTTTTCTTACAACTGTAATCGGACCAAAATGGACATGTGAATAGTCATAAATATGTGAAATCTTTAAGAAAAATAAGAAAATTATCACGGATCTAAAATTAACTCTAAAATTAGAAGAATTCAAAATGTTTTGAATCTCACGAAAAAATCTTTGAAATAATCCCTATCAGTTGTAATCACCGAAAATATTTGGAAATATTCCAAACATTTTATAAAAAAAGTTCTATTTTCAAAAAAAACGCAATTAATTATCATCAATCCTTCAAGAAATCTGTTCGAACAGGATGTAATTAATCTCCATCTCAGACGATAAAAAACTCAATTTATCAGTATTAATTAGGTGATTATTTTTTAATTCGCCACAATAATTTTTCTTCATTCATACTTTTCGAATAAATTTCAAATGTTTTTCTTTCAAAATGTATTTTTTATAGATGGTCCAAAATGGATCGAGTTCATATCATCGATCATCTGATACATATATTCGATCTTATTCATCAACAACATCATCGTCAAATCAAAATAATCAAGTAATTTCGAAACGAATTTCACCAACACAAAGATTATCACAGTATTCGTTGCACAGTATTATTGGTCAGTTTTGAAAGTTTTCCAATTTACGGAACAAAAAGTGTTTTTGTGTCAGCGGTTATGTCAAGTGTACTTGTTTGGGATTAGAGTTCATGGTACCGTCATGCTTCGATATTTTACATGCAAATAGCAAAACTAGCAATTTTTGTGTATTTGAGCGTTAGCGTAAAAAAACGGGGAAAAAAGAAGGGAAAAAGAAATAATCCTATTGGCATACAATCAACAACACCTTTGGTTAGCAAAGTGCACCAACAGACAAAAAACTACCAAATATTTGTTGTCAGTTAGTCAGTTATTTCAACTTGAAACAATTTTTTTTTGATTCTTTGTTTCTTCATGAAGTTGAAACATTTTCTAAGTATATGATCATTATTGCGTAATTTTTATTTGTCTGTCATTGTTGAACTATTTTTTGTAGCAAAAAATTGAGAATTAAAATCCAATTTAATTTATTCATCTTCATCCATTTATAGAATGATTTCTAAAGCTTATCTTCAAGCACATTCCAATTTATATTTTTCTGCAATTTTGGAATTAAGTTTGATTTTAGTTATTTGCAAAACTATCAAACGAATTTTTGATACCTCACAAAAAAGTGAAAAATTCTTTGGAAAAGTGAGAGATTTAGATTTTTGATTCACTTTGAAAAGGTACAAAAAGTTAGTTATTTTGAGTAGTGAATTACACAATGTGATTTCGTAATTTTGAATCTAATTCAAAAAAGAATTACAAAGAAAAGATCTTCAAGTAATTAATCCATTTTTGTTAATGAGAGCAGATGATAATTATAGCTTATTTAGTTGAACAAAAACCATTTAACTTTTTGACAGCTTGACCACATTTATTTGTTTAATTTATATAGTTTGTTGTTATTCTAATAGTTGGCCTTTTTCTCCGTTTACTCCTATTATTAATATTATTATTATATTCATTAAATACTATTATTTTGTCCATTCAACAAAAAAGTTTTTGATTTATTCAATATTAAATATTCAAACAGAACAACAGTAGAAATAGATTTTCGAAAACATATTTGAATATTATAAACATTATTTTCGAAATATGTTTTTGGTCACTCGAATATCTAACTTTTGTCCATTCTTACTGTTTTTCGTGTTTTTTCCTCTCATCTATTTCTCTCATTTCTGTATTATGTATATTTTTTGTCTATCGCCTCCACCGATTTTCTCTATTCCCTTGTCTGCTCCTTCCGCATTTCTCAACGCCTCTCTGCGTCTCTTCTCCTTTTTCTTTTCATTTTTTGTGTGTTCAGTTTTTGGTGACACCGCGTTTGAATTTTTGAATTTTGTTGCTTTTTTTATGGGAGGATGCATTTGTTATGAGTTGGCTATTTTTCTTTTATTTACGAAATAGAGATTTTACTCATTTTAACACTAAAACCTTATTTCTTTGATGTTTCTATTATTAGTACGATAATGTTTTTCGTCAAAATGAAAGAATTTACGTTTTTTAAAAGTAATTTACGAAAACTAGAGAAACATTTTTTGAAAAAAAAAATCCTACCTCTTTTTTCTGCTGTTCTGAATCATCATTTCGCCTCCATTAATTTTTGTTTCGAAATACTAGTCGGATTTAGAAATAAAATGTTTTTTTTTCAAAAAAAAAATTGAAAAAGAAAACCGTATAAATTCAAAGGAACATTGTGTGTTCTTGTATGGTCTCAGCGTATTTTCTTACTGTAGCATTATTTCACGTGTGTCATTTCAAGTTTTTTCTTTTCTTTTTTCACGCTTCCTACTCAAATAAACTTTCTTATTTCAAGTGAGGAAAACCGAATTAGTTGCCGAATGGTTGAAAGATATCGTAATAATCAGTCTGCTTGTTCATCGGAAGCAGCTGATGCTTTTGAACGTGAAGTTCTTGACCACTACGAAATAAATAGAGAAAAACATAATGGTGAGTGTTTTTTTTTGTTGGTGCAAATAATCTTTTGTCAATCCGCTTTATGTAATATTATACTCGTTGTATCATATATATTTCATGAAAATGTAGTGAATAAGATCTTTATTGAAAATTTTAATAAAATCTGTCACCAGTCGAGAAATGACCGCCAAATGATGGATGAACAATTTTTATTCAAATTGATTTCATTCAAAAATGTAATTAGTAAAATCTAACGCGAACATACATACGAGCGTACATAAATTATGATAGGTATCAACCTTGAAAACTATTTTGTCACTTTTGTCTGAATACAACAAAAAAAACGAAGATTGAGCTTTTGAAAATTCTACATTCTTCCTGTTTTTCAACAAAAAAGTGTTGTATATCTGTTTTCTCAATCTTTCATTGCGGCGATCCTTTTTATATGAGGAAAAAAGTGTTTTACAATCGTTCGAGACAACATTGTATAAAGGTCAACGAAACTTTCAACAATAAACATGTTCTATTTCACTTTGTATTATTAATCACTTCACTCCTTTTTGACAACTGTTTTTGTTTTAAAAACTGACCAAGCAAGCAGCATATAAAAATCAATTTTCTTTCTCTTGCTCTCTTTGAATTGAACACTGCGAGCTTCTTTTGTGCTGCGTATCGATAGATAGTATAAATAAATATCAATTTGTATTCAATATATTATTTGTCAAGTGTGCACGGTATTTATGTAGCAAAAAAGGAGAAAAGCGGCTGATTTCTATGTGTTGTATTGTATTTATGAGAACAAAAGTGACAATAATGACTTCCGATTGAATAGGATTTAATAAAAAGGGTCCCTATAGATTTATTGTAGTTTTACTTTTAATGACGACTATTATTAGTATTGTTTGATTTTAACTGCATTTTTCCGAGAATAATCAATTTAGCTCACTCAAAACCATATCAATTTAATGTTTTTCAATATAATCGTGTCAAATACCATTTATAAAATTATATAGTAGTTGTTCTATTATTCTTGACATTAAATTAAGGTAGTCGGCGGTCACTAATCTGCCGATTTATCTCTTATTTTCAATCAGTTTTCTTCTATCTTCTCTCATCTCCAATAAGTTTTTATACTATATTAGGAGGGGGTGAATAGGCGTGTGGCCAGTACACATAATATACATGGAAAATGTGTTTGCACATGAAATTTGAGTCAAGTTCGGGCGTGGTTAGACAAAAACAGACAATTGACAACAAAAGCACAGTTTGTTTTTTGCGACAAATTATATTATACAGACTAGTTTCATGTGAAATAAAATGAAAGAAAAAGAAGAGAAAAAGCAAAAGGCAAGAAATAAGAACCTAAAAAACGGAATGAAAAATTGATGTTTGATTTTAATTTTTTTCAGATGAACGAGATAATATCCAGAAAAAGACGTTCACCAAATGGGTCAATAAACACTTAACGAAGGTAGGTTTTTGGGGTGGAAATTTAAATTTGAAATATAACAAATTGAAAATTATTCGCTTTTCTATTCATAGTTTTATGCAGAAATAATGTAGGCAAACGCAGGGTAATGAAATAATAGTAAATAACCTCTAATAGTTTTAAACTTCCTGTAAAGCTAAATAATTTCACTTAAAATTCTATTCTCGGTTATGGCTTTTTCAGTTTTAACTTTCGTTTTTATTTTCGAATAAAAGCTTTAAAAGCCATTTTTTTCATGTTGTATCTTGTTTGATCACAAATGTAAATGTTGACTTTTGTAGAAAAAAAATGCGTGGGTTAACTGAAAATGAGAAATCTCACAATTCTTCAATTTTAAAAACTGCCACATTTGTACGACTGAGAAGACTTTTCGAAATTGGAAAAAAGGTATAAACTGTGAGAATAGCCCCCCATTTGGCAAATTCATTTCGATTCCCCACATTTTCATTTCTTGTTTTCCAGTCAGATTGGAAGAATAAAAAGACATTTTAATATTTGAACGTGACATTTTAAATCAGCAATTGACACTCTAAAAGAAAAATTCTAAAATTATTTAAAATTCAACGCAAAACGTGTCCTGATTTTCAATGTCCTATTTATCTCTCACAGTCTCAGAATCAGTTTATTCTTCCTTTATGGGAAAACAATAAATGGCCGAAATTATTTGTGAGTTTAATGGGTTCTACCGTAGTTTGGGATTTCGTAGGAGAGCTAGTTTTTAGAAATCGTACAACAACAGGAAAACAAATCTTGTCTCATTAAAAATTCCACCGAATTGGTACCGATTGAAATTGATTTTCCAATACAATTATTTTTGTTTTCAGACGGGTCTCAAAGTCGATGATCTTTTTGTTGATCTTCGCGATGGTTATGCATTGATTGCACTTCTTGAAGCTCTCACCGGAGAGCGCATCGTAAGTTGCTTTTTTTGAAATGAATCCCACTCTGAATTATTTTGTTTTCAGCAAAAAGAGAACGGTTATACACGATTTCATAGAATACAAAATGTGCAGTATTGTCTGGATTTTTTGCGAAAGAAAAATGTGAGTTGGTATTAGGGAAGACTGTTGGAAAAATAAAAACAACAAGATGTTGAAAATATTAGAAATAATTAATTTTTAAAATTTAATCTGATATTGAGTATTCACGTGAACTTGATTCATTTTCAAAAAAAATTGAAATTGGATCTTCATTTCAAGTTTCCACGTTAGAGATTAAAAGTCGAATAGTAAGTTGTTTGCCCTGTAATTTCAGGTTCGGAATCTAGAATGCATAGAAAGATTTTTGAACATTTAATTATTTTCAGCTATGCAAAAAATTTCAAATTTCAATAAGACTCATCTTCCTTTGAATTTCTCATAACTTCAAAAACAGCAACATTTTTTTCAGATCAAATTGGTAAACATTCGACCGGAAGATATTGTAGAAGGAAATGGAAAATTGACACTTGGTCTCATTTGGACAATTATTCTCAACTTCCAGGTTTCAGTTATTAGGCAACGTTTGTTGGCTGATATCCAACAAGAACGGGCATCAAATACATCACGCGAAAATGCTCACAACTCACAGGTCCTTGCTTTTTATACTAACATTTTATATTATTTTCACATTTCATCGGTGTCAGGTAAGCCACACACATACAAAACGAATTTTGGTAAGTCCAGGTTATTATTTATTCATTTATGAATCACGCTGAATCCCTTTTCGCTTACTTTGAGTTTTTTCACAGTGTGTATATTTTTTTTCATTCCAAATAAGTTTTTCTTCAAATCCCTTTCTAACGTTCTCTTATATTGATACTCTCGTTCTTCTCTCAATTAGTAATTCGTTTTTCAAATTCTTCAAATTGATAATTCCCGACCACACCCAAAAAATTTCAAAACATTCTGAAATAATTGTGTGAAAATCTGAAATGAAGAAGATGAAGAGAGAAGTGAACTGGGTGTGTCTTTTTTCCGATTTTTAATCAGCAGAAGAAAAAAATTGAGGCGGCGGAAATTGATTACGACCACCCTTTTCAAGGTTTCTCGGTATTTTTTTGGTTTTGAAAAAAAAACATGGATTTCTATTGGACAACATTAACTTTTTGGACTTTGTGATACACTTAATATGGGTATAACAAAATATTATATTGTGGACTTTTAGGGAACCATTTTTGTGTTCAAAGATTATATAGTTGCGTATGAGTTTCTATCTTCATCATCAGTCAAGAATTCGTATTTATTTTGTGTTGTTTTCCATCCAACTTGTCATAGTTGCCCCACCCATTCATTCATTGTTCTCACGCCCTTTTTTTTGTTGAAAATGTGCCAAGAAGATTTATGATACACAAAATGATTCAATGGAAATGAGAAAAATCAAGTGGAATTAATTCGGATAAGATCAAAAAGTGGAGGAATGCAAGTATTTTATGAGAAAGAAATATATGGCACACAATGAATCATCATTCGAATATTGAAAATAAAAAAGAAAACAAAATCGAATAAAGCGGGAAGAAGAAAAAGAGTCTGTGTTTCATACACAATACATTTATGGGCAGAATCATCAAAAGCATATATAACATAACATATATATAGATGACAGTATGAATAGTCAATAGAAAGAGGACGACGTGGAAAATATTTGCTCGTTTGCGATTTCACGGATTATTTTTCACTATTTTGTGTATTTTTTATCACTCAGTTTCTAGTTTCGGAAATTCTTCGAACTTTAGATTGATTTTTTCGTAGTGAAGTTTTTGATCTAGAATTATTGAATTTTCGATAATTTTAATATTTCTAGTTTTGAAAAGTGTTCACTTTCACCGGATTAGTGTCATCATCGTTGATTTTTTGCTTTTTTAATTAGTCTCGACATGGAAACATTTGAATATTTATTTGTCAAACAGTTTAATAGTATTTCTACTAGAAACATTTAATTTTGAATTTTTTTTATCAACGGAAAAAAAAACAATTAAACCTCCTGAATTTAAAATGATAAAAATTGAACTCATTTTTTCTTGATGATGGTCACATTTATCATACCGAAAATAATGGACCTCGAAGCGTCAGTTGGTTTCTCTCACTATTTTTTTGCTACTATTATTTTTATTTCGTTTTTTTCTCTCTAATATGTAGTTTAACTCCCGAAAGAAGTAAATCTTCTGTGTAAATATTGAGTAAAACGAGAATATTTCTAATGTTTTTTTTGGTGAGAATATGGAGAGAAACAATAGATCCTATAATATTTTATGAATTTCGCAGCTTTATCAAAAAATGTGACTGTAACAAAGCTGTCAAAATTTCGAAGATCGAGAATTTTCAAAATCTGTAGAATGTTCAAAACAAATTTTGAACCTCAAGTTTTAGTTTGAATTTTGTTCTACTATTTTTCAAAGCGAAACTCAAAATATTCCCTTTTTCGTATTTTTAGGCAACTTCGGAATACATTTTGTAGTAACAGATTTCCAAACGAGGTATAGGAATGTTTTTCTCGAATTTTCCTTGAATATCAAACAAAAGTTCGAAAAAATAAATGTAAATTTGATGTTTCTTTAACCTGTTTGACAAACAATTGTGTTTATTCATGTTTCCATGTAAATACTTATTTGCTCACAAAATGTTCGGAAATAATTTGTTTTTCGCTCTATAAAATGAGTAACTGTTTTGATAAAATGACAGATGTATGGTGAAATGTTGGAATCACTAGTGGATTTTATAAATGAGACATGTTGCTTGATATTTGGAATTTATTGTGGTGAAACCCCTTCTTCTTCTTCTTCGAAAAGAAATTATGACATTGAACAACAAATAGGTGGAATAAGAGATGAGAGACAACAAGACAACGAGACAGTAGAAAAAGAATCAACCTTTTTCTATTCCTTCTTCTTCTCCACCTCTTCTTTGCCTTCTTCGGCCACGCCCATCTCGAACAGTTATTCCCACGCGTGCGATTTTTGTGATTCGTACGTTTGGCATGCGACAGCTTGTCTAGCAACAACATCACTCTTATTATTCGCAATCGCAACAACTTTAACAATGTATAAAGTGGTCCGTTCATTTTCGCGAAAATCCGAAAAAAAACATGAAAGCTCGGCAAATTCGCAACAACAACAACAACATCAGCAACAAGCTTTGAATTTCAATGGAAATGGTGCAGCTGCAAATGGTGGAAGTTCATATTATGAAGATTTTCGAAGTAATGGAAATATTGCTGGAAATGGAAATGGAGCATATGGAGCACAATATAATGGAGGAGGAAGCCAAATAATGGATAATAAACATTTGGCAAAAGCTTATTATACTGGAACTGCTGGAGGTGGTTTCTCTGAAAGTTCGTCTTATGAAACTCGTGAACATTTTGAGCGAAAAGTTCAACGAGTTAAAAAGACAAGAGGTGAAAGAGAACGATCGAGATCAGTTCGAAGAGATGAGGTTTGTTATTTGATATTGTGATTAGCTCTTTATATTATTATTATTTTTTGTTGGTAGTCTTAATTTTTGATTATCGATTCTTTTTGTCTCTTTCCATAATTGTCTACACTTTTCTTTTGCTAGTTTTAAGTATTCCGGAAAATCAATACCTTCTATTATATTTTCCTCCATTTTTTTCCTCTTTTTGAATGCTTCTGCCACGGTCTGTTTGTGAAGAAACACAAAAAGAAGCGAATAAATAGAAATCAAACAAAAATTCGTTGTTTCTTCTTCTTCGCTTTCTTTCTTTTTTTCTCCGAATACCAAAATCAACTGGAACTATTTCAATAAACACCAAAAATTAATCGATCAATCAATCTAGCACCAAACAATTTCACAAGGTTATCTTTTCTTTTTCCTCTCTCTATTTCAAATAATCTCTACATCATATTTTTATCCGCATGATGATTTCATTTACATAAAAGGATAGTCGACCCACAAAAACCGCGGAATAAAATAATCGCATATAAATATATAATTTTAATGGAACCATAAAAATAATTATGAAGGAAAAAAGATTTGCGTTTCACGAACTCGATTAGAACCTCTGGATTTTCAGAATAAAACTAGTTTGTTTGTGGTTTGACCTTGTCAGATTTTTTTTTCGGTTTTATTATGACATAAAATTAGGCGGATTGATTTATTGGTAATTCGAAAAAATTCCTCATGATCTATGAGAAAAATGCTTGTTTTTCCAAGAAATATAATTTTGTGAAGCTTGTTCGATTTCAGAATTCTCAAGTCGAAGTATAATTAGAATATGAATTAATTAGTGATAATTTAAATATTTCTTTCAACTTTGGTATCTCTCTGCATTTTTTGTTGTTTCCAACTGTGCGCGACTCTTCTTCGCCACCGCCCACAATCACCGATTGCCATCAACAACAATTCCTTTTTATTATTTTTCGACATACAACAAAAATAGAGAAAAAAGAAGAAGAAGACGAATAAGAAAAGAAACGGTATTGGGTGTGGCTCTCTTTCTTTTCATCTTCGATTCGAACAAAAATTTGTGTAAAATGAATTTGGTTTCTTGTTATTTGAAAAAAACATAGTAGCAGATCCGGTAGGAATATGCAAAAAAACATATGCAAGCAAGCAATAATAATAGCATGTTAACAATAAATGAACGAGATTTCGGCCTTGACGATGTGAACGACGAGAAATATGAAATAAATAAAAAAGTAAATCGTTCGAGTTTTTTCTTCTAAAACTACTGGTTTTATCGTATTTTCATAATAGTCTGCTGACTCATAAAAATTTGCAACATTCAAGTAGAAAATGGCAAATATTTACTTTTCCTTTAAATTCGTGTCAAGGTATTTTGTATTTTAGTGATATTGAATGTCATTTAATTGATCATTACAAATTCCGGATGAAATTGTTCACTTTCTCTCAAAACTTTCCACAATTAGTGTTACAAATGTCTACAAAAAGTACTAGTACTAGTAAAAGTATTGTTGTTATTTATTACATTTTCACCTCCTCTTCTTTTTTTCTTCCTTTCCACCAGTTTTGTGTAACCTTGTTTAGACGGGCCGCTGGTTATTGGAATGATGATTGATAATAAATAAGTAAGAGTAAAAACGAGAAGAGCGAAAAAAAAGGTGTTACCTTCTCATTATAATTAGAAATCTGATATACTTTATTGAGATGAAAAAGTGTCTTGTGATTACAATAATCAAGGTCGATGTGAATTTTGAATTTGGAGAAAAATGTGAATCTTTGCTGAAATCCAGTTCTTTTCCCCCCATTTCATCTTTTTGCACTAATAATGACACATTTTCCCTTTTTTCCATTTCACAGAAAACATGAATATACATAAAAAAAGGTTTACTTTTGTTGATTTGTTGAAAAAATCATGACTCATGATTACTGAAAATAAATATGTGTGTGGCTTTCTAACTGACAAAATATGAAATGAAATTGGAAGAACAAGGAATATTTTGAATTTTTTGCAGGTTTCCGAGGCATTACATGGAAGCGATGCGACATCGGCGCGCGACGCATTGCTTCAATGGGCCAGAAAGGTTAGTTTTTTTGAAATAACTTTTATTTAGAAATACAAATTGAGAAATGTGAAAGTATTTCTTATGGAATGTAATCAATTAATTAGTTACAAACGAGTATTTTGATTTTAATTTTGGTTTGAAAATTAAAAGAAATTTTCGATAAAAAAAAGGCATTTTCAGTGGGAAACAGAGTGATTAGCAAATTACTTGGATATATTTAAAAAAAACTTATACAATATGTTTTTCATAAATTTAGATGTTTTCAAAAAATTATTATTTTTCAGGTTACCGCTGGTTATCCACGTGTCAATGTTACCAACTTTTCAAGCTCTTGGCGTGATGGTTTGGCATTCAATGCTATTTTGCACAGATATCGACCAAATATTATTGACTGGAACAAGGTATGTTTTTGTTTTGTTCATTGGCATTCTTTCATCTGTCACTACCAATTTGGTTCTAAATATATTCATAAATCCAATTAATAATGATTTTTATCATCAATTTGATTTGGCTGCTTTCAATGGCTAAAAAACCATTGAAGAAACCAGAAATAATTTCATTTATTTTATCATTTCTGATTATTATTATTATTGTTGTACATTTCATTTATCGTAACACATCAGATGAAAAAAGAAGAAGAAATGATAAAATAAAATAAGATGAAAGAAAACAACAATTATTGTTTTTCGTCGTGCAGGGAAAATAATTATTTGAATAAATAAAAGTTGGAAAATGTGAGAAAAGAAAATACTTGAAATATATTTTCGAGTGACAAATATAGGTGTGCCTTTAAAGATTAGATTAGGAAAAACACGAATATTTTCAGATCAGCGACGAATCAGTTTCTAATCGTGAAAGATTGGATAATGCATTTGCTGCTGCTGAAAAAGAATTTGGAGTTTCTCGTCTTCTTGATGCAGAAGATGTTGATACAAATAATCCAGATGAAAAATCAATCATCACATATGTTTCTTCATTATACAATGCTTTGCCACATTTACCAGAATTGAATCGAGTAAGTTTTATTTTTTATGTTATTTGATTCATGTTCATTCAAATTGTCCTTGTCGTTCAATCAAACAAAATCTATGTTATAACTATTGTCGATGTTTTTTGTCCAGTCCAATTTATTCTAACAAACACTTTCAGCTTCAAAAAGTACAAGAAGAATATATTGAAGAAGCATATGAATGGAGAGAATGGGTTGAAAGAGCAATTAGTTTAGTTGATGACAGAATAATGAGTGGAACATCAACTGAATTAATTTATGAATTAGAACGATTCCGAGATGATGATTTACCACCAAGAGATGAACAAAAAAGAAAACTTATAATGGTTTATGAACATCTTGAAAAAGTTATGAAATCAACTGAATTTTATGCAATTCCACGTGAAGTTAGTGGACCTGAATTGCAAAGATGTTGGAATGAATTAATTAGTTCAGTTGAAAGACGATTTGATGTTTTGGAAAGTCATCGGGTTAATGAGGTTTGGATTTTTAATATATCTGTGTCGGCATGACTTTTTTTTGTTTATCACTAACAAACATGTTTTTCTGATTTCCAAGGCCTAATTAATGAATTTAAGGGAGCTGTAAGCGATTTGATCAGTCGACTCGATCGAGGAATTGGAATTACCAATGAAAAATTGGATTTGATTTTGAAACGCATTGAAGATGTCGAAGCTCGTGTTGATACATCTCCACCGGCTGCAGTTGAGCGAACTGTTACCGAAATAATTGAAGATTTGAATGCATTGGAAAATCCAATTGCTGGATTCTTTGAAGATGTTGAAGAATTGAAAACAAATGCTCATCCAGAAGCCAATGAGTATTATCGAAGGTATCTTTTTTCAAATCAGTTTTGGGAAAATATACAAAAAATGTTTATAGAGTTTATGGGCTTCACCAAAGAAGAACAGCTTATTTGGATCGATTGACAAATCAAATTCTTGTTCGTTTGGGTGTTCGAACTGATACTTTGCACAAGGAAAACTTGACTCGTCTCGAAAATGCAAGACAAACATCATTTGGTCGAGTTGAAGAATGTATTGAATGGGTTCGAATTCGAATGGAAAAATTGACAACTATGGAATTTTTGGAAGATTTGGAAACTCTTGAAAATATGTTTGAACAACACAAATTGGATAATCGAGATATTCAAGATTTCCGACAAAATGTTGATGAATGTATTGCGAGACAAGCTGAAGTATCAGCTGAAGATACTTTCGAATATTGTGAACTTTTGCGTGTTTTAGAATCTGAATATCAACAATTGAGAGATTTATCAGCTGGAAGAATGTTGGATTTGGTTAGTTTTTTATTTAATTATTTTTCATTTAATTGATTCGTGTTTTTTTTCAGGATTCTCTTATTGCATTTGTTCGTGCTGCTCAACTTGAGCTCATTTGGGTTTCGGATCGCGAAGAAATTGAAGTTACACGAAATTGGTCTGATATCAAACAACTTGATCTTCCAATGTTGACAAATTATTATAAACAATTATTGCATGAAATGGAATTGAGAGAAAAACAATATAATGATGTTCATAATCAAGGAGCTGCTCTTTTGAATCAAGGACATCCAGCAATTCATGTAATTGAAGCATATTTGAGAACAATGCAAAATCAATGGGATTGGTTATTGTCATTATCAAAATGTTTGGAAGAACATTTGAGAGATGCTTTGAATTTGAAATCATTTATGGAAGAAGCAAGTGATGCTGAAGCATGGATTGAAGAACAAGCAACAAGATTGGAAAATAATTATAATCGAACTGATTTTTCATTGGAAGAAGGTGAACGATTTTTGAGAGAATTAGATGAAATCAAAGATATTCTCAATAAATATCATGGAGTTTTAATGGCACTTACTGAAAGATGTGCAACAATTTCACCACTTTGGCAAAGAGGTGAAAGAATTCCACATCCAATCAATGTAACTGCACTTTGTGATTATGCTGATAAAAATATCACAATCAAAGCTGGAGATGATGTTGTTTTATTGGATAATTCGGATTTGATCAAATGGACTGTTCGAGATTTATCTGGAGTTGAAGGATTGGTTCCATCAGTTGTTTTCAGAATTCCACCACCAGATGGAAAATTGACTGCATTCTTGAATCGTTTATTGCAACAATTTGAAAAATTGAAGAAATTGTGGGAGAAAAAACATCGAATGGTTCGATTTAATATGGTTTTGAATACAATGAGAACTATTCAGTGAGTTTATTTCAATTTTATTTGTCAATTAATTTTATTTTTTTTCAGAGGATGGGATTTGGATACATTCAATTCAATTGATCCAGATCAAAGAGATGCAATTATGAAAGCATTGAATGATGATGCCAACAAATTGTTGAGTGAACTCGATCCAAATGATCCATTAGCACTTCGACTTCGAGAAGAATTGAGAAAAACCAATGAACATTTCTGGAATCTTCTTAATGCCAGCCAAAAACCACCAGAGCCAGATTGGGCTAGCCAATATGATCAAAAAATGGCCGAATTATTGAGAAAGCTCGAAGAAGCTTGGAGAAGATTGAATGATAATGTTGGAAAACCAGTATCAAGAACACCAGAAGATTTGGAAAGAGTTATTCATGAACATAAAAGATTTGAAGATGCTCTTCAAGCTCTTGATGGAGATGTTGCAAATGTCAAAGAATTGTTCCGTCAATTACCAAATCCAACACCAACACAACGAGTTAATCATGATCGATTGAATGGATTATGGGATGATTTGTGGGATTTGTCAAGAATGTATGTCGAGAGAATTAAGGTAATTCATTTTTTCACCTTTTTTTTTTGAAAATTAAAAATTGAAACAAATAATTTCAGGTTCTCGAATCTGTTTTGAATGGAATGGTTGAAGTTTCTGATATTGTGAAACAACATGAAATAACTTTGAACTCATTTGATGATTTGCCAGCTGCACTTGATAAATTGAGAGGACATCATTCTCAATTATTGGAAATTAATATGGTTTTGAAACAACAACAAACTGTTATTGATCAATTGAACAAAAATGTAGCACTTCTTCGACAACATGTTGCTAGAACAAGAATCAACGAGGGACAGTAAGTATTTTTATCCGAAGAGTCATTTATTCAAAAATAGAATTTTTAAACAAAAATATTTGTTTTCAGTCATCCTGATGTTGATGCAATTGAAGAAGAAGTTCAAAAATTGAATGTTCGATGGGAAAATGTGAATTCACAAATTGCTGATCGTCTTCTTGCCGCTGAAAGAGCTCTCCAAATTCAAATGGTTTATCGATCAGAATATGAAACTGAAATGTCGTGGTTGGACACTGTTGAAGAAACAATAAATCGTCTTCGAAAACCAGAAGAATTGAGACCAGAACAATATCAACAACAATTGGATTTGTTAGTTGCTGAATATTCACATCTTCAAGAACATACTCAAGCAATTGAAAATGTTAATAAAGAAGGTGGAAAATTCATCAGAGAAGCAAAGGTATATTTATTTTTGAATTTCAATTCTTGGTGAAATGTATTTATTGTTTTTTTTTAGACATTTGATGCTAAAATGGGACAATATTCTGATGCAATTGTTGGTGTTCACGGACCTGAAATTCGTCAATTGTTCCGAAAAACCAAACCACAACCTAAAAATGGTGCACAAATTGTTACTGAAGAATTGGAACTTCTCAATCGTCGTTTTGCTCAACTCAGCTCATTGATTCTCGAACGTCGCAACACACTTCAAGTCTTGATTCAAAATTGGAAACGTCAAAAGCAGGTTAGTTCAACACCGCGCTTAGGGGGTTATGGTAGTAGATATAATATTGTAGTTTTTATTATTCTAGTTTAGTTCTTCGAAAAATAATTAAAAGAAAAATCATGGCATAGTTTCGATCACACGTCGAAAAAAATATATCTTTGTTTTTGCTAACACCATCCCTTGGTTTTTGATTTAATATTATTTTTTTGGGAAAATGTTATTTTTGTTGCGGCTTTTTTTGCTTCCAGCTGCACCAAAAAATATAAAATGCAAATTTAAACAACCTAAAAAAAGTGTTCACCATCACACCACCACCACCTAATTTCAATAATACAAAAATGAACTAAAATGTGTTCCACCAAAAATAATTCAAAAGAAACGTAAGTTTATTACAGGTACTCGTTTAACAATTATTTTGTAACTAATTATTTTTTTCATTTTCAGGTTCATATAAATTATTTCAGATATAACGATTGCGCTTGGCTTTTATACTTTTATTTTTATTTCCGTGTTGTTTGTTGTGTGAGAATTGTTTGGTTTTTTATGTGACACGCTTTGAGTTCCTTGCTTTTCTATGTAAAATACACGCTTAATTATATCTGTGACAGTAACTTTTTTCGAAAGACGAAATTAAATAGTCCGCATTACATAACTTTTTCAATTAAATATCTGTGTGTTGTTTGGCTTTTTCCTATCGCTGTTTGACTGGCTAAAATTTTGCTCCGATCTTCATCTCTTTTTTCATTTTTCTACAAATTTATTTTTTGCCACATTCCAACTATCTGGTTTGTGAATTTAAAAATGAAATGAACAATTGATTTGGAAAGATGCAAAATTTTATCCCGTGTTTGCTGTGTTTTAATAATGTTTCTCTCTGAAAATTAAATTTGGTCACAATTTTTAAATCACTTTTTTTCTACGTGTGCGTGATTCTGTCATGATTTTTCTCGTAGTAAAAGTTTCTTATTTTGGATTTCTTTGGAATGATTTATTAGGCGAATGCGCTTCTAATTAGATGTTTTTTGAATGAGAATGATAAGTGTAGTTGTAGTTGAGGTTTTTCATTATTTAGTTTGATTTTTTATGAAAAAATCCGAGTGATTTAACCTAATGTGTGCGTGTGTTTTATGCCTCTCTCATTATTATGAATATGATTTTGTTTTAACCTCAACAGGAAGAAGAAGATCGTCGAAGAGCTGAAGAAGAAGAAAAACGACGAGCATTTGAAGCTGCTCGTCTTAAAGCACTTGAAGATGCTGATAGACTTCGAAGAGAACGAGAAGAAGCTGAAAGAGCTCGTAGAGCAGCTGAAGATGCTGAAAGAGCTCGTAGAGCTGCCGAAGAAGCTGAAAGAGCTCGAAGAGCAGCTGAAGAAGCTGAAAGACGTAGAAGAGAAGAGGAAGAAAGAAGAAGACGTGAAAGAGAAGAAGCTGAAAGAAGGAGATTAGAGGATGAAGAAAGAAGAAGAAGAGAAAGAGAGGATGAAGAAAGACGTAGACGAGAGGAAGAAGAAAAACGCAAAAAGGTAAATTATGCCTGGTTTGAAGTGATTTACTAACATTTTTCAGTTTGAAACTTTCAATAATTCTGAATTATTTGGGTTAACCTTTCTTTTTCTAACAAAATAAACAAAGAAATGGAGTTTTCTGTATTTCTGAAAATGCATGTTAGGATTAAGTGGTGTAGGGATTCTAAAACACAAAGAGCTGAAATAATTGTTTTTTTTCAGCCAATCAATCTCGAAATCAAAAATCCATTCATCACAATCGAACCTCAAGTTACTGATGATCTTGATGATTTTGAAGAAACTGGTGTAATTGGTGATCGAGCAAAAATAAGTGAAGTTGAAGATGAAATGCAAACATTTGCTGAAGAAACAATTGTGAATACTCAATTCTATGAAATGGAAGGAACATTGCACAAACAAACTGGTGAAATTGTTACTTTTGTTGAAGCAATTCGACAAGGATTGTTAGATTTACATTCTGGAAGTGGACAATTCTTCGATCTTCTCAATGGCTCCAAAATCTCATTGGAAAAAGCTGCTGAACTTGGTTATATTGATGGAGGATTCCAAGAAGTTCTCAATACTGAATATGGAATTAATCATCCAGAAACTGGAGAATCAATTACACTTCTCACAGCTATCCAAATTGGCCTTTATGATCCAGAAATTCGTCAAATTCGAGACATCAATACTCGTGAAATCTTATCAATGGTTGATTGTACTCATAAACGAATCTTCAGTTTTGACACAATGCACAAACTTATCAAAATGGGAATTTTGAAACTTCCACCAATGGGTTTGTCACAAGCTATTGAACAAGGTGTCATTAATACTGAAACTGGATATTTCACTGGAAAATATACAAAAGAAACAATGCCAATCAAAGATGCCATTTATCATGGATATGTTCAAATTGTGAATGCTCAACAAGCTCCACAAATTGCTATCACATTATCTGATGCTATTGAAAATGATTTCATAAATTCAAATAATGGAGAATTCAATGATCGCAACACCAAAGATCAATTCACACTTCGAGATGCTGTTTCGAAAAAGAACAACTTGTTGAATATGAATGTTCCAGAAGTTGTGAATACTGCTGAAAACAAGAGATTGTCTCTTGGAGAAGCCCTTGTTCGAAATGCTGTTAGTGCTAGAAATGGAAATTATACTGATCTTCAATCAAGAAGATCAATTTCATTGAGAGATGCACACAAAGATGAATTGATCTATAAACCATTGACACTTCAAGAAGCATCTGCTCGTGATATGGTTGATTCAAAAGGATTCTTTGTTGATCGTGGAACCAAGAGTCGTTTCTCTTTGCTCGAAGCTATTTCATCTGGTCTTTTGGATGCGGAAGTTCGTCATATTGTTGATCCTGTCGAGAAGGATGTTGTTTCAATTTCCGAAGCACTCGAACGCGGTTTGTTGTCAGCAAACGGCAAGATTATTCTCGAAAAACAGCAGAAAGAGTTCACAATTCCCGAAGCTGTCAGGGAAGGACTTTTGACAAAACGTGTCCGTCATTCGATCTTTGATATCAAAGGAATTCGTAATACTCAAAATGATCAACTTTTGAGTTATAATGAAGCTGTTGAAATTGGTGCAATTATTCCAAATGCTGAAAGAGTTGTTGATTTGGCAACACAAGAAAGCTATTTGATCAGCGATGAAAAAGCAAAACAATTGATCGATGAAACATTGCATGAATTATTGACAAAACCAGTTGGAATCAAAGATGAAAGAGGAGATTTCAATTTGAATTTGGTTCGAGCTGTTTCAAAAGGATTGATTGATCCATCAAAAGGTGTTTTCTTCAACAAAAATACCAAACAAGAATTATCAACCAGAGATGCATATAATCATGGTTTGATCAGTTTGAGAGGAGCTCTTCAAGTATTTGCACTTTTCGATGTTCCACCATCATTGATGACACCATCCAAAAAAGTTGACAAAAAGAAGAGAATCAGTCGACCAGGTCAACAAGGATTGGAATTGGCTGAAAATCAAGTGAAAGTCACTATTGCCGAAGCAATGAAACAAGGAATCATTGATTCAAGAACTCAACGTTTCCGTCAAGGTGATATTGATATGTCATTGGATGATGCTCTTAGTCAAGGACTTATTGATCCAGCAAGTGAATGGATTGTTCCAGCAAGACAAAAAGGAGCTGGTCCAACAATCGAAGAGAAAACAACTGAAACTGTTACTGAAACTGGACAACAAATGAAACCACAAGTTCATCCAAATTCTGATACAAACATTGAAGAATCAGTCACAACTGTGAAACGTGTTCGAACAACCGAAACAACTGCACTTGGTGGTCCAGGAGGAGTATCAGTTTATCGATCAATTACTGGTGGAAAAGGTGCCATTGAAGTTCCATCAAATGGTTATCACATTTATGAAGCCGAAAGAAAAGGTCTCATTGATTTGACCAGTGGACAAATTTCTGCTCCAAATGTTGATCGAACTCTCACTTTTGCTGAAGGAATTGAACTTGGTGTTATCGATGCTTCATCAATTACAGTCAGAGATTCGAAGACTGGAAGACAAGTTGGTGTGAAAGAAGCATTGGAGAAAAATTTGATTGATAAAAATGGAAGTTTCAATGGAAGAAATATCGAAAAATCAATCGAAGATAAGAATATTATCATCGAAGCTGAACCATTAGTTCCATATACAAATCAATCGAAAAATATCATTCAAATTCCAACTGGAAATGGACCAATCATCAGTTTCAGACAAGTTGGACAACCAGTTGTTGAAGAATCTGTTCAATCATGGGAATTCGATGCTGAAAGTGGAACCTTTGTTGACAACTTATCTGGAGAAAAAATGACTTTGGATCGAGCAATTGCTTCTGGAAAAATTGGAACTGAAGATATTTCTGTTCGCGATGCTTTGACTGGTCGTGAAATGAGTTTCGAAGAAGCTGAAAAATGGGGAGTTGTTGACACAAAAGGAAAATATTATCTTGATAAATCATCAAATCAACGATTATCCTACACTGAGGCTGCAAGAGATCACCGAATGTATCCAACTGGAGGTGTTCCTGATAATGCTGCTGGTGCTCTTCATACTTCTGTCAAAGTTCAAACAAGAACTCAAGTTGCCAAAAAAGAAGCATTGTCAAGTGGAGTTCCACTCACTGAAAATACTCTTGGAAAAGCTCTTGCTCTTGGATGGTATGATGCTTCATCTGGAACATTCACAAATCCAGATACTCAAAAAAGCATGACTTTGAAAGAATCCATCATCAAAGGACTCTTCAACCCATATGACACAACTGTTGTTGACAAAAAAGCAAACAAAGAATTATCACTTCTTGAAGCAATTCAAGAAGGAATTGTCGATGATACTGCTGGAACTGTTCGTAATACTCAAACTGGAGCCGTTCTCAATTTGTCAGATGCTGTAAATGCTGGAATTGTCAAAGGAAAGAATTTCGGAGATTCACTTGATTCAAGCTTGTTCTCTGGAAGACTTGATATTGGAACTGGAAACTATACTCAACCATCTGGAGGAAGTGTTCCACTCTATGAAGCTTTCAAGAAAAATCTTGTCGATCATACTTCAGTTGTTGTTCGAGATCCATCAAGTGGAAATGAATATTCATACCAAGAAGCTGTTAGTCGTCGTATCGTTGATCCAGATCGAGGTTTGATTCATAATAGAGATACTAATGAATCAACAAGCTTCCCACAAGCTTTGACAACTGGACTTTTGGCTTCATCAAGCTCCAATCAAAGACCAACAACAACAAGTCAACAACAACAAAGACTTGTTGAACAACGACTTCAATTGACACCATTTGCTCCAAATCAAGTTGCCACAAGATCTGCCGATGGTGGAAGACATGAATTTGTTGATTTGGGTGGTGGTAAACAAGTTAAAGTCAAAGTTGTGAAAGGTGAAGGAGGTGTTGAAAAAGGAGAATATGTTGATCCATCAACTGGAATGAAATTCACAATTCAAATGCACGGAGATCCATTTGTAACTGAAACAAAAACAAGTGTCAAATCAACATCACAAGTTCAATCGGTCGAATTGGAACCACATGCTGAATTTGTTGGAATCGACAGAATTCGCGACAAAAGAAACAACCGTGTAATGTCATTGGAAGATGCAAAAAGAATGGGATTGGCTAAAGTTGACAAAAAAGGAAAACAAATGACAAAGAGCTATCAAGTTTTCCGATCAAACATTCAAAATGCAGTTAATCGTGGAGTCAAAGATGCTCACGATGATAAACTCAGCTTGGAAGATGCTATTCGTGCTGGAATCGTCGATATTCGCAATTTGACCTACCGCCATCCAAAAACAAATGAGAATATCTCATTGACTCAAGCTGCAAATATGGGATTAATTGATTTGACTTTGTCTGAAATTCTTCCAAAAGGAATCACTCATCCAGGAACCAATGAAAATATCAGTATTCAACGAGCTATTGAATTGGGAATTGTTGATGCCAGAACTGGAGAAGTTAGAGATCCAAGAACTCGTGAAAGATTAACTTGGTTAGATATTTTGAAAACTGTCTATCAAGCAATCACAACTGATGGAATTTTCGATCCAACAAAAGGACATCATGTTCCAGTAACATCTGCTTTAAATGATGGTTTAATCAATGTATCATCTGGAAATTATCATAATCCAATCACCGGAGAAAATGTTCCATTGACTGATGCTGTTGAACGTGGATTGATTGATCGATCAACATATGAAACTATTACCAAACCATTTGTCAATGATTATCGAAGCAACAGAAAATTGAATCTTGTTGAAGCTGTTCGAGAAAGACTTGTTGATCCAAAAAATCGAACAATTCAACTATCGAGAGAAAGTATTGTTCCAATTGCTAAAGCTATTCAAGATGGCCGAATTCCACATGAAATTGGAGAAAAACTTCGACGAGTCGATAAATTGACATTTGCTGAAGCTCTTGGCAAAGGATTGATCGATTCAAAATCCAATATTTTCACCGATCCAGACACTGGAAGACAAATGACTATTGCCCAAGCAATTGAAGCTGGATTCATTGATACTGGAAGTGTTGAAGGAATCGAAGGAAATGATGAGAAAAATCTTTCAAATGTTTTGAATTCATCAGAATTCGATGAAAATTCTGGAAGAATTCGTGACAAATCCACCGGTCTTTATCTCACTTTCTCTGATGCTGTTAGCCGAGGAGTTATCGATGGAGATTCATTGATCCATTTGCAAGAAACTGGTGATATTGTTACACTTCGAGATGCTCTTCAACGAAAAAAGATTGATTCCGATGGAAAATTTGTTGACGCCAACAACAGCCGTCTTCGATTAAGTGATGCTATCAAATCTGGTCGAATCACTGTTATCTCAAGTCCTTCTGAAGCTGTTCAAGCAGTTACTGAAGGAGTCAAACGACGAGATGCTGAAGGTTACAAATTCAAAATCACCGAATACGAAGATGCTCAAAGACAAAGTGTTCCAAAATTCAGAGAGTCAGTAACATCTTCCAAATTCACACCTCAATATAATGAACCTGGACTCTCTGTAAGAATGAGACAATCAGTAACATCAATCGGAGATAGAGCTAGAAGTTTTATCGATGATCCATCTACTTTGGCTGATCTTCAACAAGACTTTTTGAGTGGACTCGAAGCCAACAAATTTGATACTGATTCAAGAGTTATCGAAAATCCATCAACTGGTCAAAGAATATCTGTTAGAGAAGCTGCTGAAACCGGATTATTGGATGTTATGACTGGAGAAATTGTTCATCCAGAAACTGGTAGAAGATATTCGATTCCAAGAGCTGTTCATATGAAATTAGTTAGCGGAGATGCCGCAAAACGATTAATGGAAGGATTAAATATGCCAATTGAAGAAGTTAACAATGTTACCGGACAAACAATTGGTGGAACAACTACAACAACTACAACAACAACAACTTCATCTCATCAAAATGATATTCCATCAAGTTCAATTGGTGGTTCTGGTGGTGTAACAACTCGTGAATTCACTAAAACTATCAATTGGCACGGTCAACCATCTGAATTGAGAAAATCAAAAACTGATGAAGTGCTTGCACAATATACAACAGTTACTTCAAATACATCTGAATCAACTCAAGATGCTCCAAAATGGGCAAGACAAGAATAGAATAGTCATTAGTTGCTGCATCAAATTCTTATATATTTTCTTTATTTTTACCTCTCCGAGTGCCAATTTTTCTGTGATTTTGGAAATTTGTTGAATATTTATTATAATTGTTGTGAGATCTGAATTTAGTTGAAATCGCTCGCTCAAACCATTTTCAGATGATTCAGATATTATCGCGCGCCAATTTATGAAAATAAGATAATAATCTGGATCACTCACAATGATATTAATTAACAATTCAATTAGTTTCCAAATATAAACTCTCTTACGAAGTTTTTCTTCTTTTCACTTTATTCAGTGCCTCTAGAAATATTCCATTCGCTCAAAAAATTCACTTTTCATCGTTTTTTATTATCCCAGTGCTATTTTTGTATTATACGCCCCAAAATTTTGAAGAAAAAACCCACACTGCCAATTTTTATATTCTTTCTATTCATAATTTCTTTTGTGCATATTTTTATTAATAATCTTGTTTCAGATGAATTTAAAAGTTTAAAAGGTGGTTGGTGAAGGTGATGGTGAAAACACGTTGGGAAAAAATAATTCAGGAAAATTTACAGCGTTTGTTAAAAATTATGCCATGATTTTTCGAGTGTTAAAAAATATGTTTTATATTAAATAATTTATTTAAGGAAAATGTTGCACAAGTAATATCATACCGCGAAACTGAAATTAGTGATATGATAAATGATTTGGGACGATTCAAACAAGAAATCTTCACTTCGCATTTGACATTTGATCCGAATCCACAATCTGTTGAAGTTGCCACGAAAAATGTACAGGTGAGGAAACAATGAATTTGGTAACGTTTGGGTTTGTAAAAATTATCATTAAAGTTCAGATAGAATATCTGAAATATAATTCGAAGAAACAGTTTTGTAGAATTTTTATTACTTACAAGGGAAGTAAAAAGGGTTCTGAAATTAACTTTTGACAAAATATGGTGAAATATAGTAATTCGACCATGCTGAAAAGTCAAAAGTTGCTATAACCTACTCTGAGCCATGTTTTAGAGCTCAGAAACTAATTCACTTCCCTTGTTAATAATTTCCACTGAACATAATATTTTGAAATTTCCGATTTTTTTTTACATCGGACGCTTAAAAGCATGTTCTAATAAATGTATTTCTAGGTTAATATTATTTCATATTCAAATTTTTTGAACCGAAATATAATTGTATTTCTATGAAAATTAAGACGTTATATTTTTACGTGACCCCAACTCATTTTCGATTTATGAATACTTTCCAGTTTTTATTATAGTTCTGTTTTCGTTTCTGTTTTGAAAAAATGTCTTGCAGAAACATTTTTGAAGTATTTAAATATATCAAACCTTTTTCAAGCTAAAGTTTAATTTTTTTGAGTGGTCCCCATGGTGAGATAGGAGTTTTTTTAATTCTAAGTATGTTCAAATATTTCTGGTAAATATATATTTTGAAAAGTATCCATATGTTTTTCTCATTTTCAAACTAAATTATTTGACAGAAACTCAAAGAATCACTCGATTCATGGAGAGATCGAATTAAAGAAAGACTCGATGCAATCGATGAATTATGTAGAGATGAAGCTGATACATTAACTCCTGAACAATTTGCTGCTTTGAGAGAAAAAAGACGACTTTTGGCCGATGAATATGAAACTGTTTTGAGAAATGTTGAAAATATTCATACAAGGTTTGTTTATAAAATAAATAATATTAACAAAAATGGTGGAAATTTTCTAGAAATTGTCTGCGATTAATGTTAAATCGATATGACAATACAAAATAAAAAATAAATGTTAGTTAACATTCTTCCAATTTTTTGGTTATATAGTTTTTCAATGATTTTAACGACCCCTTTCGATTATATGTAACACTTGTATTATGTTACAATTAAATATGTTAATTTTGTGTCCTCTTCTCATATTTTCGATATTTCGATTTGTGAGAAATAGTGCATAAAAAGAAGAGAAATAGAGATGATTATATTTACAGATAATCATATTTTTCCAAGAGAACACGGTATATTTTTGGTATTTTCTTGTAACTTTTTTTTTCATAAATAATTTGGTTTTATTTTCAGATTGAATATTTTGGCTGCATTGCTCATTGAATTTTCATCTTTAACATCTTCAATGCAATCATGGATGACTGATAGAACTCGATTTGGTGGAGATATTAGACATATGTCGGCTGATCCAGAAAAGTTTGAACAAGTAAGAAATCATAACTTTTTTTTTTAGAAAATTGTAATTTATTTTGAAATATTTTCAGGCAAGAATTGAGGCGAAATCTCTTTTGGAAGAAGTTCAGAGAGAAGAATCAAGATTGAAAAATATTGGACAATCAGTGGTTCGAATTGAAAAAGAAATCGAGGAAATGTATGAAGATATTCGAAATTCTCAATCTGGTTCAATTCCATCTGGTGTTGATATTGAAGAAGTTCATGAAACACAAAAAAGAGTTGAAGATGATTATATTTTGTTGTTAAAACAATGCCAAGATTTATTACAATTCCAAAATCGAGTTCATTCAATGAATGATCAACACGCGGAAGAATCAAGGAAAGCTGATATTTGGCTTGGAAAATTGTATGATGAATTGGATAATGTTGAGAAAGCAAAGGTAATAAATTGAAAATTAAGAAACATTATAAGTTAATTTTATTTAAAGATAAGTGATAATGAAAGATTGGAAAGAATGGAAGAATTGAATAGAATGGCAGCTGGAGGATCTTCGCAACTTGATGAAGCTGAAATTGCATCACAAAGATTATTGAATGAATTGGAAGGAACAACTGCAGCTGAAGATATTAGAAAAAGACATTCATTTATTGCAAATCAACGAAGAGATAAGTAAGTTCATTATATATTCTGAATAATGATCAATATTTATTTATGTATATTTTTCAGACATCGTGATGTTCTTGATCGACTTCAACAAAATATGAATGATGCAGCAGCAAGAAGAGCTGAAGCTGAAGGTGTTAAAAATGCAATTGAAAATATTGGAATATGGAGTGATCAAGTTGTGGAAAAAACAAAACAACCGATTGAATTGGCATTGAATGAAATAGCTTTGAATGAAGCAAAACGAGATGAACAAGTTCTGAATGGAGAAATTGAATCAAGACTTGCTATTTTGAATCAATTGGAAGAAAAAGCTAATGATGTTAATGATTCTGAATCTGTTAAAACTATTCAAAATATTCGACAAAAATTGCAAAGATCAAAATCAGATTTGAAAGGAGTTCGAGATAATATTTATGATGCATTGAATGGACTTCATTTGATAAACTCGAATTCCGAAAAAACAAATCGAGCAATTGATAATCTTTCAACAAAAATGCGAAATGGAAGAGAATCAATTGATGATATTGAAGAAGATTTGAGTGGAATAAAACAAAATATTCGAGAAATTGAAGAAGTCACAAGAAATGTTATCAATATTCCAAATGTCACTAAAACTGAACCTGTTTTGGAAAGAAATCGAGATTTGAGAAAAAGAGCAGATAGTTGTGCAAATGAAATTGAATCGAAAAAGAATCGAATGGAAGAACAACAAAATGTTGAAACACAATTTGAAGATGCCAAAAATCGAACAAATGAATGGATGAATAGATTCGAGGATGATATTAAACAATTAGAAAAAGTATCAATCGAAAAAGACAAATTGGATGAACAAAGAAAAGAAACATTGGCAATGGCTGATAGACATTTACATGCACAAAAACAAGTAGATGAATTAGAAAATATTGCACAGAAATTAGAAGATCCACAAAAAGTTATAAAAGCATCCAATATTATTGGCGATTTGAATAATCGAGTACAAAAACAAGCAGCTGATTTGAAATCAAGAGGAGATCGAATTAATAAAAATGATGTGAAATCAAGTGCTTTGAAAGAAGCTGAAGAAGATGTTAATAAATGGATTGAAAAAAGAATGGAAACATTGGCTGAATTACCTATTCCTGTTACAAAAGATGGTGTGAAATCACAATTATTGGAATTGGAAAGAATGGATAAAAGTGGAAGAGGAGAACAAAGAAGAATTGAAGAAGTTCGATTAACAGCAAGAGAATTAGCAAGAGATGCATCAATTGAAAAAGAAGCTGAAGATGTTATTAAAAGAGAAAAACAATTGGCTGAAAATTGGGAAAATCTTGCTGATCAATTTGATTCTGCAAGAGAAAGAGCTCGAAATACCGAGAAATTATTGGATGATTATCAACAAATTGACAAATGGTTGGGTGTAAAACAAAAAATGGTTGATATGATTGGAGCACCAAATACTGATGCAAATGTTGCACGAACACAAATTGGACAAATTAATCTGATGAAAGTTGAAACTGAAGGAGAAAAACAAGCATTGGATAATTTGAATACTTTGGCTAATGAATTAGTAAGCGGTTGTGATGATGGAAATGCACAAGAATTAATGAACAAGGTAAGTTTTTTGTAGAAAAAATATTTCAAGAATTTATTGTTAATTAATTTAGATGGATGTTTTGAATCGTCGTTGGCATTCTCTTGAAAGTGGAATCGAAGACAAATCGAATAAAATTGAAGAAGCTGCAAAATTGGGAGATGAACTTCGACAAATATACAAACAACTCAAGTATGTTCGATATCACAAAAATGAACAAATTTGTGTGTGGCTATAGTTGAGATTACTGTAGCCACAAATAATTTTTTTGCTGCCACATAGTTAATAATACAATACCCATAAAATTACTTTTTTTCAGAAATGAGATTGGAGAGCTTGAATCAAATGTTGAAAAAGCATCTACAATGTCTCCGAATGATGTTCGAGAACAATTATCGACACTTGATAATTTGAAATTGCGTTTTGGTGGAGTTGATAAGGCATTGGATAAACTCAAACAAATTATGGATTCTGCTGAAGATTTGGAAGTTGATGCAACAAATCGAGCTGAAATAAAAGAAAATCTTGAAGCAACTCAGAAAAAAGCAGATGAAATTGAACGAAAAATTGATAATGTCAAAAAGGCGGCATTGAATGCACAAAATCAAGGTGTTGAATTGGAACAAAAATTGGATGATCTTCTTGGAATTGTGAATATGGCTGAAAATGAACTTGGTGAAGTTGCTCCAATTTGTGCGGATAAAATAAAATTGGATGAAGAATTGAAAAGATCAGAAGAGATTTATAAAAAGTTGATCGATAATGATGGAGATGTTTCGTTATTGAAGTAAGTTTTTTTTTGAATTTGAATCAGATAATGGAGGGTTTATCATGAATATTTTAGAGCAAAACTTGGTGAAGAACTCAAAAAGACACCAGATCAAAATTTGAAGAAGAAACTTGATGAATTGAATGGAAAATGGGGAAAAGTTGTGAATGCAGCAAGAGACAGAAAAGATACTGTATCAAAAGTTGGAGAACTTGTAAAACAATTCAATGATGGAGTAGAAACACTTGAACAAAGATTGAAAGGAGATGAAGATGAATTAGAATCATTGATGAATGATAAAACAACAAGTCCATCTGAAGTTTGTGATGCTCTTAAATTAGTTGAAATGACAATGGCAAGAAGATTGGCTGATGTTGATGCAATTAATTCAGTTATGAATCGAATTGAACAAAATGCACCTGGAGCTGATGCAAATCGATTGAGAAGAAAAGCTGATAAATTAGCAGATGATTGTAATGGAATATCGAAGAAAGCAAGACAAGCTGCTGTTTCTGCACAAAGACAACAAGATTTCCGATTGAAATTCGATAGATTAGTGGCCGAAGTTCAACAATTTGTTGATTCACAAAAAGAAAAAATTGAGTCGGCAACTGAAAATGATCAAATGAATCAGGAAAGAGTTCAATCGAGTAAGTTTATTTTTAGTTTTTTGTTGGAAAATGCATCATTTTTCAGAACTTAACGAGGTTGAAGATTTTTGGTCATTGAAACATCGCGAATTGAAATCAGCAGGAGAGGAAATAAAGAAGAATGGAACAAATGAAGATTCGAATGATGCTGAAATCAAAATTGAAACACTTGAATCAGCAATTGCTTTTATTATCGATTTGTTGAAACAACAAAGTTTGAGAAATGAAGAGAAAAAAGATGCAGCTGATAGAATTCAATTGGAAACACAAAAAGCTGGACAGAAAATCAATTCTTTGATTGGAGATATTGGAGATTTAGATCCAATTGGAAGAAGTCGAGATGAATTGAAAAAACAAAAAGAAGAAATTAAAGAATTGGTTGATGATTTGGATTCGGCTGAAACAAAATTGATTGAACTTGGTGCGGAATGGGATGCTTCTCTTGATGCTGGAATTGTTACAAAACCAGTTTATGAAACAAATAAAGCAACGACTGATGAATTGAACAAGGTTAGTCATATTTCTGACATATTTCTTCGAAAATATTAGAGAATCCCGTTATAGTAAATAGTAAAACATTCATTTTACAACAAAGTTGAATTTTCGAGTATCTTGTTTAGTACACAATCTAGTGTTTGACGTAAATCATTTTTTTTTTTGAAAAGACATTAACAACATTGAATTATGAGTGGTTTTGCAAATAGAAAAAAGATATCGTATCAGTTTTTGTTAGTATCTTTTGAGTAGTTGACAAGTAATTGAATAGTTTTCTGGATTTTCTCGTATTATCTGAAGTTTACGAGTTTTTGTTAGGAATAGAATAATTCCAGAACAAATAAAAATGTCTACCTATTTAATAAATAGGTAGAAAAGAAGAAGTTCGAGAGTTCGTGGATTTTAAAAATATATCATTCATCTGTGACCAAAGAATGTCGAAATATGATATTCTTTTTTGTTTCTTCTTGCAAACACTTTGAAAATTCTCACTCATCATCACATATTTTGACAACAAAGTTTTATAAAAAGTATTGAAAGCAGTTGTTTAATCAATCAGCTGTTGGGCGGAGATTCGCGCATTTTTATTTTTCAATTCTCTTATAATAATCTTTTTATTTTGTGATGTGAACATGTTTGATGATTTCAAGTATTTTGATGGGGCACTAAATAGAACACCTGTTATTTTATTACCTATTTTTTATTATGAGGTTTGATAATTTTGGAATTGCTACAGTAATCTAGAATTAACAAATAAATGTATACTATTTTCAGCTTGCTGCTCGAGCTCGAAAACGACTTGGACAACGAGAAAAGAAACTTGAAGATACTGAAAATGAGATTGATAAGTTGCACAAAGATGCGCAAGAAATTGTAAATGAGCTTGAAATTGTTGGAAAGAATGAGATTTTGGCACCTGGAAGCTCACTTTTGGATCCAAAATCAGTTTCTGAAAAAGTCAAACTTTTGAAAGAATCAATGAAACCAATCGGAGAAAAAATGGAAAATTTCAATTCGGATTGTAAATTGATGATCAAAACAGCTGGACCTGAAGGAGACACATCGGAATTAGATGGACTTTTGAAAAAAGTTGGAAATTCTTGGTCGGAAGTAGTTGGAAAAGTTGGAGACAAAGAAATGAATGTGGATGCAGCTGTACAACAACAAGGAAAAGTTGAAGATGCATATAGAAGTTTGATGAATTGGTTAGAAGAAACTGAAGAAATGTTGGAAAATCAGAAAAAACCATCTGCTGATGCAAAAGTTGCGAAAGCTCAATTACATGCATATGAAGTTCTTATGAAACATGTTGAAGATAAACAAACAAGTATTGATGGATTCGCGAATATGATTGGAAAAATAAATGGAAATGAACAAGAAGAAATTGCATTGAAAAATAAGAATGATGAAGTCAAAAATCGATATTCTGATCTTTTGGAAAATGCACAAGAAAGACAAAGAAAATTATTGGATAGTGTTGATTTGGCTGAAAGATTACAAGAAGTTGTTGTTCCATTTGAAAATTGGTTGAATTCGGCTGAAAAACGATTAAATGGTTTATCGAAAATTCCAATTAGTGTTGAAAAAGCTGAAAATATGATAAAAGAACAAGCTGCTATTCAAGATGAATTGGAATTCAAATGCGATGATTTGAAATCCATTCTTGAGGTTAGTTTTCTTTAAAATTAAAAACAGGTGGTTTAAAATAAAAAATATTATTATTTTCAGATTGCACCACTTTTATCATGTTTAGTTAGTGTTGAAGATGCGAATAGTGTTTCTGGACAAGTTCAACAACTTGAACATCGTGCACGAATTCTTGATAATGGAGTTACTGCAATGCGACCACTTATTGAAGAATTCCTTCAACAAATTCAAGATTTCACATTAGATTCCGAAGATTTGGCACAATGGTTGGATGAGACTAAAATTCGTCTTGGTGAACTTGATGAACTTCCAATTGCACCAGATGATTTAGTTGAACAATCAAATATTCTTGGAGAAATTGGAGCATCGATTGCTGACAGATATGAAACTGTAACAAGTATTATTGAAGTTGGAACACAATTGGCAATTCAAGGAGATCCAGAAGAAGCTATTCTAGTTCAACGAAATATTGATAGCTTGAAATTCCGATATTCTGATTTGACATCTTCAGCTGATGAAAAGATTGCATTGTTGGCAAAAGCTATTCCACTTTCTGAAATGTAAGTTTATATTAATTAATTATTTAATTATCTAACAAAAATGTTTAACAGGTTCCATAATGGATTTGATGGTGTAATGGAATGGCTTGAAGTTATTGAACAAGATTTGCAACAAATTGATGAAGAAGATGCTGAAACACAAGCTGATCAAATATTTTATTTGGAAGAAGATATTTCAAAATGGAGACCAGAAGTTGATGAATTAACAGCAATTTCAACTCAACTTCAAGCACTTTGTTCACCAGAAAAAGCTGATGAATTACTTCAAAATACGGTTGAAATGAATAAAATGGTAAATAGTGTAGCAGATCGAGTATCAAGAAGAGCGGAAAGAATTGAAATGCAGAAAAAACAATCGAGAGCTGTTTTAGATGATTTATGTTATTTGGTTGATTGGTTTGTGAATGCAAGAGATCGAATTGATTCTGCTGGACAATTATCATTAGATCCTGAATATTTGAGAACTCAATTAAAACATCAAAAATTGATGAATGATGATGTTAATTCGAATAAAGGAGCTTTGAAAAATGTTTCGAATGAAGCGAAAAAAGTTGTGAGACAATTGGGAGCTGAAGGAACTGAAGCAAATGCTGAATTATTGGATAAATGTGAACAAGGAAAAGAATTGGTTGATGAAGTAACACAACTTTGTTTGGATCGAACTGAAACACTTGAAAAAGGATTAGTTTTGACTGAACAACTTGCTGATCAATTTGATGGTTTAAATGAATGGTTAGATCAAATGGATGAAGAATTACAAAATGCATCAAATGTAACAACTGCAACACCAGCAAATGAATTAAGACAAATGCATGATCATAATAGTGAATTGGCACAACAAATGATCGCTTATCGACCAATTATTGATGGATTGAAAGAAAATGTAAAATCACTTCAAGAAATATGTGGAGAAAGAGAAGCTGAATCACTTGGAGAAATAAGTAATGATGTAATTGGAAGATATGAAGAAATGAAAGAAATAATTCGTGGAAGAGGACAAGCAATTGATAATACAATGAATGCAACTATTGGATTTGGAGAAAGATTGGAAACATTGGTTGCTAATTTACAAGGAGCTGCTGATCGATTGAAAGAAAATGAAGGAATATCTGCTGATCCAAGTGTTTTGGAAAGTCGATTGGCTGAAAATATTGCAATTCGAGAAAGTCTTCGAGATAAACAAAATGCATATGATGCATTGAAACAAACTGCAAACGAATTATTGGCAAATATTCCAAATGGTGATGCATCTGGTGGAGAAGTTGAGAATAAATTGGAAAGATTGGATAAATTATGGAGAGAAATTGAAAAAGAAGCAGAAGATCAAGGTGGATTATTGGAAGATGTTCTTGGAAAATCCAAAAAATTCTGGAATGAATTGGATGCTTGTCAAAAAGCCGTGAGTTATTTTTTGACTGAAATTTAATTCCTAAGTAGAATATCCAAAATTTTTCCCAATCTTCTTTTCCGAATTTAATATTTCCTAGTCATTTTCTTTTTAAAAATTTCACTAGTTTTGAGAATGAAATTCAAAAAAAATTTAATTCAGAAATTTCCAAGATTTAAAAAAAAGGAGAAAAAAAAAAGAAATTTTTGAAAATTTAAAAAATACAAGAAAATGAAATTTTAATGAATTTTTTGGAATCTATTTTCGTTAAAAAATCCCAAAATCCAAAGTTAGACCTAATAAATAATTCTGGGTCGTTTAAAGCAAGTTGTTTTATTCATTCATGCTCTAATGATTTTTCATTGTTCTATACTTTTTTTCTTTTAAAAAACTCTTATTTTTCAAATTTTAGGTTGATGATCTTCGTACTCGTCTTGAACTTATTGAACCGGCCACCGGATCTCCTGAACAATTGGCTGATCAACAAGATTTGATGACACAAGTTGCACATGAAATGGAAAGAACAAAACCAAGAATTGATTCATTATCGCATTCTGGAAATGCTTTATCAAACTATGTTTCACCTGAAGAAAAGTCTGTAATTGAAGCACAAGTTGATAATGTTCAAGGAGGCTTCTCAACTATTACTGCTTTGTTTGCTGAAAAGAAACGGTATGTTTAATTTAATTCAATTGGAATTATTTTTTATTGTTTATTTTACAGTGATTTGATTGCTGCAATTGAAGAAGCAATGATGTTCCACGAAGATTTGAAAGCACTTCTCGGTTGGCTCGAAAAAGCTGAAAATTATGTTGCAAATATGACATCAGTTGAATCAGCAAAACAAATGAATGAAATAGCTGAATTACTCGATCAATTACACAAATTCAAAGATGAAGTTGATGAAAAAGGAATAAGTAAAGAACAACTTGTTTCAACTGCAAATCAACTTGTTATTGATTCTCCTCCACATTTGGCTGCAAATGTTAAACAACCAATAAATGAATTAAATGGAAGATGGACAAGATTATATGCTATTTTGGCTGAAAGAGAACATAAATTGGAAAGTTCGATGTTACAAATGGGTAAATTAACAGATGCAATTGATCAATTAACAGCTTGGATGGATAAAACACGTGGCACTTTGGTTGAAATATCACCACCAAAAAATGGTATCAATTTGAGAGATGTTGAAATTGCTCAATGTAAATTAGTTGTTATAAGTAATGATATTCATGCACATCAAAATAGTGTTGATGCTTTGAATCAATATAAAAATAAAAAAGGAATTGATCGAGAAACAATTGGAAGATTAAATGAAATGAATTTGAAATGGGAAGAACTTCAGAAATTGTTGGCTATTTTATCATCACAAATTGAGAAATCAAAGAGAGAAGCTGAAAATGTTGGAGGAGAAGTTGAGAAATGGCAAGCATGGTTGGATGAAATTGAAGCACAATTATTATCAACAAAACCAACAGGAGGATTACCTGAAACTGCTGAACAACAACTTGATGAATTCCGAATTTTGAAAGCTGATGTTGAACAAAATAGTGGAGATATTCAAAGACAATTAGATGCACTTTCTTCAAATGAAAAAGATGATTGGATGGATAAAACATATAATGGAATGAAAATAAAATGGGCGAAAATTGGAGAATTATTAGTGGATCGAGAAAAGAAATTAGAATTGGCATATGAACAAGCTGTACAATTGGAAAATTCATTGAATGATATGGAACAATGGATTGTTGGTAGGTTTTTGACATTTTCACTGAAAATTACGGAATTTTTTTTTTGGTTGATTAACCCCATAAAAAGAATACTGTGGCAATTAAAACAAATCTTTTCGGTGTATGAAAAAAATAATTATTTACAGATTCTGAAAGAAAATTGTCTGATCTTCCACCAATCAGCCGACTTCCTGAAACTGTTGATAAACAATTATCGGATCATGAAACATGGATGGATGAAGTTGCATTAAGAAAACAACAAATGGGACAACATCAAGCAACTGGTGTTCGAATGCAATATTATTGCGAGAAAAAAGATGCTATACCAATTAAAAATCGGCTTGTTTCATTGAAACATCGATGCGAAAAAATATCAACTCGAACTGCTGAAAGAGCAAAACAATTAATTGGTGCAAAAGATGAAGTTGGTGCTTGGCAAGATGGAATTCATGAATTGGATGGATTTATAATTGATATTTTGGAGAGAATTGGAGCAAATGAGCCAATGACAAGTAGTTTGGAGAAATTGAAAGTGAAATTGGAAGAAGTTAAAGAAGCACAAAAAGATGTTAGTGGAAAACAGGCATTGTTTGATTTGACAAGAAAACGAGGAAATGTATTGGCTGAACATGCAACAAGAAATGAATATAAAATAATTGCAAGTCAAAATGAGAAAATTGGAAAAAGATGGAATGAAATGATGAAAAAGTTGAGAGATCGATTGAGAGAAGTTGAACAAGGAGTTTTGGAAGGAGGTGCATTTGAAGAATCGATGAATGATTTAGAAGGATGGGTTGATGGAGAATTGAATAGATATTTGAAACAAGAAGAACAACCTGTTTATGGAGATATTGATAATGTTCGAATTTTGATGGATGATGAAAAACGAAGAGGACAAGAAAGAAAAAATAAGGAAAATGGTATTAAAATGATTGTGAAAAAAGCGGATGGTTTATTAGCAAATGGAGCTGAAGAAAGTGAAACAATAAAAGAAGCAAAAGATCGATTAGTTGATAAATGGGATAAAATTGAAGAATTGGCTAGAAAACGAGGAGATTCTATTAAAGATGCTGGAAAAGAAGCGGAAGATTTTGATGCAAAAACACATGCATTATTAGATTGGTTGGCTGTTGAAGAACAAAAATTGAAGGTATGTATTTTGTTTTTTCAATTTTTCAAAGCATTCTGTTTATTTTTTTTTCAGGCTCCTGTTACAAATGTCAAAAAAGCGATTGCTGACGTGGAAAATATTAAATCTGAAATGAAAGATGCTAAACCGAACTATGAATCTTGTATCCAAAAAGGTGCTGCAATTCTCGAAAAATGTCAACCAGCTGCCGAACAAACTCTCAAAAATTGGATTCGTGTTGTTGAAGCTCGATGGAAAGAAGTCAATGAAAAAGTTGATGAAAAAGAATTTGGACTTTTGGAAGATGAACAAAAAGAAAAAGAAAAGGACGAATTGATTGCGATGCTTGCTAAATTTGCTGCTTTGAAACGTGAACAATTGAATCGAATGATTGATCAACCATTGGCACAGGATCTTGATACCATTGACAAACAGCTCAAAGAAATGTCGGATTTAGATTTTGAATTACGTGAAAAACAAGGTGATATTGACAGTGCTTGTAAAACTGGAAAGAAAGGTGGACCGAAAAATGTGGCAGCTGATATGCTTTCGAATGAATGGAAAAAAATATGGTTGGATGCAATGGGATTGCAATCAACACTTGATGCACAAAAAGAATTACTTGAAGAAATGAAAAGATTGGAAGGTTGGAAATGGGAAGATTGGAAAGAAAGATATGTGGAATGGAATGATCATGCTAAAGTTGGTTTTTTTTTTTAATTTTTAGAATTAATATTCGAAATTCTCCTTTCACGTTTCCCTGTCTATACATGTTAATTTTATTACAGGCTCGTGTTTCTGATTTATTCCGTCGAATCGATCGACTTCATACTGGAAATGTTCCAAGACAAGTGTTTATTGATGGTATTATTGGATCAAGTGAGTTTATTTTTTCCTAATTTTTCAAAGAAATTTCATCTATGAATGAGTACTGTAGACGTAATTCCAAATTCGACAATCACATATTCTCGTAAGTCTGAATGTTGTTAGTGAAACCTGCAATGAGTTGATCGAAATATATATTAGTTACGGAATGTTTTGTTGTTTTTTATTGTTAATTATTTATATACATATTTTATATATTGTATAGTTCCATTAAGCACGCCTTCTTTCTATCTGCTCTCATTTTCTATTTCCTAATTTCAGTGATTCCAGCAATTAATCAGTTGGACATAAACATTAAAATATTGTTTTCAGAATTCCCAACATCTCGATTAGAAATGGAAAAAGTTGCTGATTTGTTCGATAAAGGAGATGGAATGATTAATTCAAAAGAATTTATAAATGCGTTGCGATTTGATTCAAGCAATGTGAGTTTTTTTTTAATTAGAAATAATACGAAAAATAATATTTTCAGAGAAATGCCAAACCACAAACCGACACTGAAAAAATCACCCATGAAATCGAAAGACAGAAAAAGACTTGTAGTTGTTGCCAACCATATCAAATTGAGAAAATATCTGATAATCATTATAGAGTGAGTAAAATATTTTTAGGGCGGTTTCTAGGTCCAAGCAAGTTTGGGTCTCGTTTATTCCTTGTCCTGTGCTAATTTCTAAGATTTCATAATTATTTTCAAAATCCCGTGATATCCTTTTAATTCAAATCTTACCTTTGTTTCTGGGATTACAGTAGCAAAATGAAGATAGTTCCTTTTTCTTTTATTTCAAAATAATCGGATTATTCTCGAGATTTTCACTAATACCGGATTTTGAATGAAATACCCTTTTAGAGAATATTCAGAAACAATATTTTTCAGTTTGGTGATACACATATCAAGAGAATGGTTCGAATTCTTCGATCAACAGTTATGGTTCGAGTTGGCGGTGGTTGGGAATCTTTGGATGAATTCCTTCATAAACATGATCCATGTCGTGCAAAAGGTCGACTTAATATAAATATGTTCCCTGAATCAAAACCAAATAATGCACTTGATTCAATGAGAGCATTCACCAAAAATCGACATGCAAAAGATATTCCTTCTGGTTCAACACCAGGTCCAATTATGAAAATTCGAGAAAAAACAGATCGAAGTGTACCAATGAGTGGAGGATTGGGTGGAACTGCTGGATATACACCAATTAATACAACTGGCTCAAGAATTCCAAGAGCACCAAGTGATTTGAGTGCGGGAAGATTGAGTGCTGCAAATTCGAGAGGTTCTTTAGCTGATCAATCAAGACCATCTTCAAGAGCTTCTTCAGATGATGGAAAACAATCAAGAATTCCATCATTGAGAATGAAAAAAGGACAGAGGTAATATTTTATATTCAAAAAAAAAAGTTAGGAATATTCTCAATATATATTTCATTTCAGATATAATCCACCATCAACACCAAAGTGAAAATAAGTGAGAAAAATATCAGTTGCGCGCCCCCAAGAATTCAATTCAATCAACATCTTTTTCTTGGGTTACTGTTATTATTTTTGCTATTTTTCTTTTCTTTTTTTGTATCTCAATGTTTTAACCGGTAATCGTTTTTTTTAATTTTATTTTTTCTTGATTTTCAAATAGTAAATAGTAGTAATTTATGTATTTTGTACCAAGTGCACTTTTTTTTTGTTTTCCCGGAGGTCAAATATTTTCACTTTTTTCTATGTATCGTATTTTATTAATTATGAATTGTTTTTTTTTTCCTCAAATAAGATATAACATAAATTTTAATTATTTTATAAAACGTTTTTGTGATTTTTGAGGAAGGAGGATCCGTTAAGACTTTGCCTTCGGATTAACCTGGATTTTCACTTTTTGAGGAGTCTGGTTTTGGCTTTTTCGGCTAACTGAGGTTTTGAAGCCGTCTTCTTTTCCTTTTCTTGTTTGATTTATTTATTTTTGAAAATTTCTAGATTGCAAAACTGGATAACTTTATCGAAATCTTTTTGTCGGAATTATTTCAAATATTTTTTGATGGCCTCATTTTTTGTTTAAAGATTAAAGTTTGTAACACAATTCTTTTTGTGTTGAAAACTGTATCCACTCGAAAATCAAATTGCGGTCAAAAACACTTTTTGACAGGAAGTCTTGAAAATTGAAAAAATATTCACTTTTTTTCCAATTCAAAACTTATTCGCTTTCTTTCTTGCGGTCAACTAGATTTTCATTTTAAATTCGAAAAGAAGGAAAAAGCGAGAAAAAAGTTTGAAACAATTATTTTATGTGTCTTCTTTTTCGAATTCATCGTGTACTTCTTTCTTCTTTTTTTCTATTGTATCCAGAATATGTTGACCGATTTATTATTATTGTTATTATTTATTATTATTCACACTTTTTTGGGTTCAATTTTCACTTTTCGACGTTTTTTTAATGTTGAGTACTGTAGTTTTGAGTTTTGATTCTTTTTATTTTCTATTGCACTCTCGGTTTTTATACAAATTTTACAATTTTTACAGTTGGGACCAGTTTTTATTTTTTACAACTTTTGGATTCACAATTATTTCATTTTGGCAGATGTGAAAATGAAATTTCTAATATTTCTCGTATTATTCCATTTTGTCACAGGTAATTTATCAAAAATCTTTTTTTTTTCAATCCAATCCTTCCAACCAATTAAATTTAGCTGTTGAAATTTCTCGAATATTGAAAGATAATCCAATAATTGCTCAAATGTCAATGTTTCAAGAGGATAATTCAACAATTCCAAGTCAACGATTTGTAAGTTTGAAAATATTTGAAAATAAAAATTTAAAAAAATTTTAGAGTATGAAAAGATCTCCAAATGATCCAGTGTCGGATAATTTTCCAGAAAGATATCATTTTACAAATGAAAGTATGTTTGATTCAGCAGATCCAGAAACAACTGAAATTGATTATCGAGTAAGTTTTGAATCTGAAAGAGAGGGAAAACAAGCTTCCATTCCAAAACTTACAATTAGGGTTCCTTTTTGAATAACCAAATCCCGGGAATTTTTTTCTAATAAATTTATACTAGAAAGGTTTCAGGATTTTCCCGAAGTTGAGCCTTTAAATTCTCCTCCAACTGGTCGTCTTCTTTCCGATGATCAACAAGATGATTCACTTTTACAAACTGCAATTCAATTCGAAACATCAACAACAACAAAAATTCCATTCGCAGCATCTGAAACTCTTTTTGATACAACAGTTTCACAAAATTATCCAGCTAAGACTTCGCCATATTTCAGTGCTTTTCCACCAACTTCAACACCTCCAACTTGGTCGGCAGAAAATACAAAAATGTTTTTTGGAAATTCGATTGAAAGTTCTGAAGAGAAAATTAGAAATGAAAATAAAGAAGAATTGGAGGAAGAACAAGAAATTGAAGATAATTCTGAAGAAGAAGAGGAAGAGGAAAATGAAGAAAATCAAGAATTAACTGATATTTCATCTTCTACAACAATGGGATTAAAAAGAACAACATTTAAAGGAACATCTTATATGGCAATGGGTACTGTAGAAGCAACAACACCACAAAAAATAACGAGAGATTTTAAAAGAGATCAAAATGAAGCTATTAATTATAATGGTTAGTTTGATGTTTCTAAAAAGTGAGAATACTAGAAAATAGTTATTCAAATTTTTGATCCCACATTTTTGAGATTTGACGAGTGGCACTATTTTTGAGCTGAATGTATTTTGCCAAATTTCTAGAAAAAATGGGATACATTTTTGAGACAACTTGAAAAATAAGCAGTAATCCAGAAATCAATGTTCCAATTTTTGAAAGATTTTTTAAAACAAAATTCCCCAAGAATTCTTCCCAAATTTTCGATATTTTTTCAAATTTTCTAACTTTTTAATTTGTGATAATTTTCTTGGGAAAATAGTTTTGTTCTGTTTAGATTACTGTAGCATTTCAAATTTCTGGAACAAAAAAACGGGAAAATTGTGGAGATTTCGAGAAATCATTTCTAGCGAGAACTCTGTAAAAAAACTTGGTTTACTGATTGTAAATAAAAATAATAATCTAAATTTCGCAACAGGTCGATATTCTGTTTCTGCTACAAAATATTATGTTGATAATCGAATTGATGGAGAACATTATCAAGATGGAATATCGAAGAATTTCGAATCAGTTGATCCTTTTGTTGTTGAAAAAGAAATGAGAACAATTGCTCGAATGCATGCATCAAAAACACATTCATCAGATCCTTTGACATTAGAAATGGATCCAAAAAAAGACGAATCGGAAGAAAAAGATACTATTTCGAAAGTTGAACAAATTCAAAAAAATGGAAAAGATGTTGAAATTCGAGAAAATACTTATAAAAATCAAAAAACAGTTGTTGAATTATGGAACAAATTATTATTTGGACATGATTATTTGAGATATCCTGGCGCTATTTTTGATGATAAATTTGATCAAAATCGAAGAAAATCGGGAGATGAAAAAGTGTTTGCGTCGAAAATTTTATTGTCAAATAGTCCAATGTTGAAAGGTTTGCTTTAGTTCTCTTGGGAAAAAAAATTATAATAATTTTGCGTTTTTCAGGAGTTGAAGGTCCTCTGAAAACAATGATTCCATCAAATTCGAAAAAGAAAATATCTGGAGTTCGAAATATTTCGCCTGGAGAAATTAGACCTGTTTGGAAAATTACGGTAATCAGTTTTACGTGAAGATTTTTAAAAAGAGATTTTGAGACACAGTTTACGAAAAAAAATTCCAGATTTTTAAAAATTTCAAAATGTATTTCAGGAAGATATCGAATCAGTTTGTTTCAATTCGAAAAAAGATACAGGAGTTGCATCAACAATTCAACCATTTTTATTGGAAGAAAATATTGAGAAATTTGATTGTTTAAAAATGTGCGCAGATGAAGATGAATGTAGTGTTGTAACTTATTCAGAACCTTTGAAAATTTGTGAATTATATGATGAACAAAAAGAAGATGAAATAAGAATATTAGGAAAAAGTTTGCATCGAACTTTGGGTGGAATTGGATCGAAAAAATGTATAAATGCTTTTGCTTCTGATGATTTTCGATTTGCTGCAACAAGTGCTTCGAAAGAAGATTATGAATTTGAAAATAAATTAAACATAGAAGACGAAGATAATAAGTGTGTTTATTCTCAATTTAACTACAGTATCCTCATTTTTATATACTTATTTGCAGTTCGTCTCAATATCTGCGTCTCGTCGAAAAAGACAATACAACACCACATGCAATTGTACCCCCTTCTTCTTCTTTTTCCACTGACCAATGTATGTTTTTCTGTGTATCTTCTCTAACATTTTCTTCTCGTTTGTCGTATGGGGGTATAGCTCAGTGGCAGAGCATTTGATTGCAGATCAAGAGGTCCCCGGTTCAAATCCGGGTGCCCCCTTGTTTTTGCATTTTTTTCAAGCTTCGAAATTTCAGCTTCGCCAAAATGTGCTCCTGAAGAATCTGTAATTTTTGTTCGAAGTGATAATCAAGAAGCGAGTCTTGAATCAAAAAAAGAAAAAAGTTTAGAGATAACCGAAGATGATTGTGTATTCGCTTGTTTGACAAATACAAGACCTGGTGGAGGAGAATTATTGGATTGTTTATCATTGGAATATGATAGAAGACGAAGTCTTTGTTATTTGATGCAAAATTCACCACAAGATGAAATAATGACACCAAAACCAATAAATCCAGTTGTTCTTTATGAGAAAACATGTGTAACAAGTTAGAGAATTTTTCTAAAATTGATGAAAATAAAATAATTAACAATTTTCAGAACAATCAGCTGCAAAATGTTCAGGCGGTCAACCAATTCGATTCCGTCAAAAAGTATTAATTGGTCATTTAATTGATGCACAACCTGTTGAAACAGCTGCTGAATGTATTGATTTATGTATTTCGAAATCATCAACTTGTTTCAGTGTTATGTTTTATTATGATGTTAGTATTTCAGATTATTTCAAAACCATTACAACTTTTATATTTTCAGGAAACAACTTTGAATTGTATTCTGAATGATTCAAATCATTTGAGTCATCCAAAAGCGTTTTTCGATGAAACAAATGCAATTGTTGACTTTTTCAGTATTCAAGAATGTTTAGGAATAAAAGAAGTTCGAAGGAAGTCAGTTATTTTTTGTTAATTTACAAATATAATTTCCGTTTTTTTCAGACTTTTCAACAAAAGACGAATAATTCAATGATTTTTTTATTAAACGGGTTTTTTTTTTCTCGCATTTTTTTTTGCAATAAACTTTATATATTTGCTTATATTATGTTTCATATCACCATGCCAACATCGAAAAAAGATCAGTATTAAAATGCATTCAAACATGTAGCTAAATATGAATATATCTATTTTCCAGAGAAAGTACAGTAATCCTCCACCTTCATTCAAAAAATGAAACCCTTCATTTTTTAGGCTTCTTTTTTTTTGGTTTAATTCTTTTTTATTTGAAAAAGTCATAACAATTAATTTCTCAAACTAATCAGAAAATTGTTTTTGTGCCAAGTTCTTATTTTCAGAATAGATTTTCCCACGTATATTATTTCCAAATATTTCTATAATTCTTGTTTGAAAAATCAATTGTCGTTTTTATTTTATTGAAAAAGTAGTATATCGTGTTGAAAAGCATCAAAATTGACAAATAAAAAAATGGCGAATAATGTTTTATCGCTCCGACAAATATATTTCAGGTCCCGAAATAAAAAAAACTTATGAAAATTCCCGTTTTTTATTTGAATAACAGAAATTATGCACGATTTTTGACGCGGAGATTTTGTGATTCTCATATAATTTTTAAGACAAAAGTTGTCTGGACCAAATTTTTCAGAATTTTTTCAGAATTATTTTTTTTTTGGAAATTTTGGATTGCGAACTTGTGCAAATGTAATTCTGAAATTCAATACATATGGGAAATAGGTATCTGGAACTTTCTCTAGAGCTTGAAATTTTAATTTTTTTGAAGCTTGGGGCCTGAATAAATGTTTTTGATAAGTTTTTCTAACTCTATTTTATGATTATAATAATTTCCAATGTGTTTTGTTTCAGATTTTTAAATAAATGCGATTTCGTTTGTCAAATATATTTATTATCTTCCCATTTATATTCACAATATTCATATTTGTTAAATTTAAAAACAGTTCAACAAATTTCGATGAAAAGGTTAGCCCACTTTATAATAAATTTCTTTAAAAAACCCGATGATTTCAGGAATCTCAAGTGATATCAATACCAAATGAATGTGTTTGTGAATCAAAGAAAACCGGAAAATTATACAATTTTTGTTATAATCTTCCAGAAAACAAACAGAAAAGAGGAAAACGATTTTCGTGTAAATTTCTCGATTTTTGGGAAAGATTTGAAGAATCAAAAAGTGTAGATATAAAAACAGATCAAATTCCAAACCCAGTTTTTGTGACTGCATTTTCGAGTGGATTTATTTCGAATGCTGTTCGAATGATTTCTTCAATCAGAAAATTGGGAATATCTATGAAAATTGTTATTTATGATTTAGGATTAACTCCAGATGATAACAATATTTTAAAGGTAAATTTTGAGTAGAAAATAATCGCTTTTTATAAAAAATTTTGGGATTATGAAAAAAAGAAATGGGTTTAAGAATGCATCATTTTTTGATTCAGCAAGCTTGCAATATCGAAATTCGAAAATTCGATTTTTCAATATTTCCGGAATCAATGAAAGAACTTCGAGAATATCGATGGAAACCAATTGTAATTGCTGAATGTTTAGCTGATTTTGGTTCAATTTGGTATTTGGATACATCAGTTGTTCTAGAAAAATCAAATATTTCTCATGTTTATGATCTAATAAATTGTCAAAAAGAAAATATTGAAAGGTGAGGTTACTGTAGTTTTATAGAAGAAAAAATATGAGAATTATTTTGCAGGCTTCCACTTCTTCCAAGTTTTCAAAGAGATATTCGAGAAAAAACAGAAAAACATGAAGATGGTTGGAATAAAGATATTTGGTTGAGAAATTTGAAAGAATGTCGGAAAAGTTCATATTTACTTCATGGTTATTCTGGACATGGAATACTTTCTGTAACAAATCCAGGTATTTTATTTGTTTATTTGGAATTAAGATATGGTAGAAAAATTAGACCCGGAGTTATTGAATCGGACATGAATATCCCATAAAAATCTGAATTTCTGATTCAAAACGAGAGAAAAACTTATTTTCGGAATACTATTCTCAGGTCACGCTGTAAAATAAAAATAGAATCTACTTCAGAAATGTTAAAAATAATAATTTTACAGAAGTTTATAATTGGATTCCATCAAATTTTGAAGAATTAAGAAAAGAAAAAGCGAAAATGTATGATGCTGGATTTGTTTATGCAGTAAATACAAAAACAATCATGTTGGATATTATGAAATGGTGAGATTCTGAAGAAAAAAAAACAAACTTCATTTTGAAAAATTCGAATATTTTTCAGGTATGTGTTATGTGCGTTGGAAAATTCATGTATGGGTCCGGAAAATTCCAGTCTCATTTGTAGTTTTGAAAATGATGATCGTTTCAAAAAATATGCTGAATGTCATAGGTTTGTTTTCGTTTAATGTAATTTTCAATGAATTTCTTTTTTCAGATATGATCAATCAATTATAAATCTTCTTTTGGCAAATGCCAATTTCTACGATCGTAGATATTATGTCAGCGAAATTGTTGATTTTTTTCATATCAAACGAAATGGAAATTTGAATGTAAACAATGAAGAAATGCAATGTATTTAATTAAAAATGGAAATATTTTACGGGTATTTATTCTAGGAACATTTATTAATTGGTATATGAAATAATAAAATTTTTAATAAGTTTCTCTGATATTTCTGAGCTATAAGAAGCCAAAGTTATTTAGAATGAAGGATTCCAGCATTTTCAGTTAAATAAAAACATTTTGAATAAAGAAAAACTCACCGCAATCAGACTCCATCGAAATATTGATTCTTCTTTTTGAAAACTAATATTAATAAAGTAATTTATAACAAAGGCACTTGAACAATATGAAAACACAAATAATATCCTATTGAAACTTAAACTTCTTGACTATGCTATTCCTGGGTGTTAATGGTAATGGAGATATTCTTCGAAGACTATTCATATACACATATCTGAAATAAATAAAAAAAATTTTGTATGTTATTTTGAAAATTAATAAACAAACCTGCTGAAAAAAATAAAAAGAAATCGAAACCAAACAAGTTGTGATCTGTGTGCAAACATTGCTCGCCAACATGCAGCAACATCTCGAAATCTTGCCATATAAAAAAATGGCGAACGACCAAATGAAAAAAGAGCATCGAAAATACCAATATATTTGCGAAAAAGAGGAATTGAATCAAGCACGAAGATTTGAACATCACTTGGAACAGCGCCAATTGAATATACGGTTTGAAGTGCATCGAAACATGAAATATGATTGTGATGACCAGATATACCATAATTATCAAATGAAATAACAACATCAGCTGATAAAACCTCGATATGTCGCAATATTATATAACTTAGATTTTTTCGATTCCATTTATCACCATCTTCAAATTCATCATAATCTAAACATGTCACATCAGATGATGAAATTCCCAGATATTTTGCAGCCAAAAACAATTCACGAGATCGAATTTTACCCTAAAAATAACAGTTTTGAAAATACTGATAATTAAATTAATTATTAAAAACCAACTTTTCCATAAAAATTTCCATTCGATATACAAAGAACAAAAATTCGATGACCTGCATTGACCAATGCTCGAATTGTTGGCGAAAAAAACATAGTTTCATCATCTGGATGAGCAATAATAAGAAGAATTCGATTTGATGAAGATAATGGTAAAGGACGACAACGAACAGCAAAAAATAACAAAACAACAAATATTAGAGCCAATATTAAAAATACTATCGATAACATTTTCTTCGTTTTGTGTTTATCTGAAAAAATAAAATTTTGCACTTTCGAAATTGATTATTTATCTAAACCAATAACTTGTTTCTGACATAAATAATCATTGTTAAAAATAACAAAAAATCAATAAATACTCACCTTATTATTGTTTAGTTTTGTCTTTTTCTTCTTCAATACCCGTTTTTGTTTCAATACTTTTGATAAATTCTTCGAAGGTTTGCGAATTTGCACTTTCAGGTAAACGTAAACTATCGCCAAATGCAGTTTTCATTGCCGCGCCAAATTGGCGAGGTGTATTTACTTGAAGAACTGCCGAAACACCGACAATTATTAAAGTGAATCCAGAAACTATAAAAATAACGGATATTATAATGGGGTGATTCAGGTCGAAAAAAAAACTAAAAAAAAAACGTTTTTTTACAAAAAAATTCGATTCAGCAAATGTCAAAAAACTATATTTTTTTTCTATTTCTCGACATTTTTTGACATTTTTTTTCATTGAAACATTTTCGCTGCGAGATATCTCTCATTTTTGTGTGGAAAAAAATATAGTTTTTTGACATTTGCTGAATCGAATTTTTTTGTAAAAAAATGTTTTTTTTTTAGTTTTTTTTTCGACCTGAATCACCCCATAAGAAAATATAGAAAGAAAACATTGAAACATACCAGTAAGAACAGTGGCAACAGCTAATGCTTTTCCAGCAAATGCAGCACCGGAGAATAACTAAAATAGGTTATTTCGGAAATAGGAACAATTTTTCCTAATCTCACCTGAGCCTTGGCAAGATCGGCAGCTTCTGGTTGTCTGGAATGTTTCCAAGCACTTCGAAGGCCAAGCAAAAATGTGACTAACGAGGTGCCTCCAATTACTGAAAATTGATACGTGGAAAAAATCGCTGAGGTCACGCGGAATTTTATTTCGAACAATTTTTTGCATTTGTACCGTATAAAATCTACTCTATTTAACAATTTAAACTTCGTAATTATTGAGTATTTTTTAAATATTAAAAAACTGACCAGATTTAACAAAACCAGCTGTATTACTCGTATCAATTCGATCGAGGGCAACAAGAGCGTTACCCGAAAATGAGGATGAACTCGTCTGTCGACTATTGATTTGATGCTGCACCTCGGACATACACTATTTTCTGTTCATTTTCTCAATTATTATTACTTTTAATTTGTCAAATATCAGTTGGTTTTGGTAACCAAATGTAAATATAATAACTTGAGAATTTTTTGAAAATGATTATTTTAGGAAACATTAAAACACGAAATAATGTTCAAACGGAACAAAAAATAAATTAATAAATAATAAAAGCAATTTTAAAATTTTAATCAGAACCGCTTTCAGAACTTGAACCGGAAGGAGTTGGTGTACGTTTTCGATGCTTCTTCTTCTTTTCCTGAAATAAATATTCAATAAATTTTCGTTATTACTAAAACAAAATGAAGAAATTTATATACCTTCTTATGTTTTTTCAATTTCTTCTCTTTTTTCGCTTTCTTCCGACGCCGTTCTTCTTCTTCTGAATCTTCACTGCTCGATTCATGTTTTCGTTTTTTAGTTGGTTTATCACTCTCACTGTCTTCTTCCGAATCATATCTGAAAATATTTCATTTTTTCGTTTTTTACACATTCTCTACATTACAAACCTTTTTCTTCTTGGTTCAACCTTTTCAGTGAATCGTCTTCTTGGTGGCGATTTATCTCTTCTTGGCGGGGATCGCGATCTTCTTCTTGGTGGTGAACGTCTTGGTGGACTTCTAGATCTTCTTCTCATGATCGGTGAACGACTTCGTCTCCGAATTGGCGGCGATGTTGATCTAGTAACTGATCTACGTCTTCTTGGTGATTTTGACGGCGATCTTCGTCGCCTTGGTGGTGACCTTGATGGCGAAATGTTTCGTCTTGGTGGTGAAGCGGGCGATTTTCTTCGCTTTGGCGATCCCGAAATAGAACGTCTTCGTTTTTCAGGAGATTTTGAGCGACTTCTAGATCTTCTTGGTTTTTCACGTCGCTTTTCATCTCTTTCTTTTTCTTCTTGTCGTCTTTTGTTTCTTTCTATTTCTCGTCGTTTAGATTCTTCTTCTCGTTCTTTTTCTCTTTCTTGTCGCCGTTTTTCTCTTTCTTCCATTGCTTCTTTATCAAGTTCTCTATCGCGCTAAAATGTTACAGCTTTACTTTTTTTATTATTATTATTTTCAAAAAAAAAACCCTCAAACCCGATATTTAAATTCAAACTAACTCTTGGTGGACTATTTCTTCTTGGACTACGACTTGCATTTCTTCGAGGAGGTGATTTTCTAGGTGATAATCCACGTGTTGGTATTCTATCATCTCGTACAATCTTTTCTTTGGTTGGACCTGTGTATCGACCATTTGACAAGTTTTTGTATCTGAAATAAAGACCCAGATTTTATGAGATCTTACCTTTTAACGAATACCACGGAGATGACCATGATTGAACAGTCTTTGTGGATGTTAGAGCTAAACTTTCTTTAATGAGATTTGGTAAAATTTTAAAAGCTGTTAGCCGTTTTACGATTAGGGATCTTAAATATAAATAGAAAAACTAACCTGTGTGTCCAATCACTTTCTTCTCGATCATTACCATCTTTTTTCACATCGTTTAGTTTCATTTCTTCCAATTTTTTATCAACAAGAGTTTTGGGAATACCATCTTCTGATTCATTCGCTTCAATAAACAAGTTCCACAATTCTCCAACAAAAACACGAGCACGGCGAGCATTCAAAAAGCCAGTCACATTTATCTGAAATATGAAGTAATAAAGATATTTTTTGTAGTTAAAACTAACTTGTAACAACTTCGGATTCATTTCTTTTGTTTCCAATTGTCCAAGAATATATTCAATAATAACATCATCTTCATATCCCAACATTTCATTTATTCTCAATGTTATCCATGGTTTAATGATATCCAAGTTCACTCTATTCATATCTATTTTTGTTTCAAGTTGAGTTTCAAATTTCATCGTTTTCAACAATTTCTTTTCTTTATCCGTGAATCGACCATCTTGTTCTGAACTGGCACCGCGAAAAAAACCCGCGTCCATTTCTGAAATTATAAATGATATGGGAGGTAGAAAAATGAAAATTAGCTAAAGTTTCGAAAAATAACAATATATAATCTTTTTACTTTGGTTGATAACGAGGGGCAAAAGCAAAAACTTAGGAAACAAAATAAAAAACGTGCGTCGCTAAATTTTGTGCGCCAGTTGCAGATGACAGCTGACGCATTATGTGATTTGTTGACGCATCTTCTGCACACGCTGATTATTTCGTCACTTTTGGCCGAGGAAACCAAACCGGGCAGCTAGACGGCCAGGCTCCGCCCACTTTTTTTCTAAATTTTTTTTCGTTTTTTTGTTCAGAATTTTTTTTGAAACACACAATTTTCTCAGCTCTCAGGCCGTTTCACCGAAAAAACGAACGATGGAAACGTAGAGAATTAAATTGTGATTCTTTCATTACTAAGAATGAGCTTTAAGTCAGCGAAACCATGTACTTATTAAGCCCTAAGTAAAACTTCTCATTCTACAAGGTTTTTGAAAATTTCAACTTTGCAAATTAGAGTATTTGGGTTGATTTTCCTATTTCCATCAATATTATCTACATTCGGCGTCGTTTAGGGGGTTAAATTGCGATGTTTAGAAAAAAACATAAAATGCCGTGTTGAAAAAATGAATGTGCGCTCTAGCGAACACGGGGCCGAACTTTTTCCATTGACGGCCAAATGTCACGAAATAATCAGCGTGTGCAGATTTTGTGCACATTGCGCAAATTTAGGCAAGTTCAAATCTCTATAGTGATCTAGAGCTCTCTCAGCTCTGTAAAATGCTTTAGTATAGTTGTAGATGAATTTGTGTATCTATATGCGAATGTTTCTTTCCTTTCAAACTATTTCCACATTTGGAAATCCCTTTTTGAACATGAATACGACAATTTTAAAATTTCCGCGAAACTTGGCCTATTTCTAATTGTTATGTGTTCGCTGCAAGTTCTCTTTGACTGTTTCGAACTGGCACGATGTTATGGACGACACTGAAATCGAAAGTCCAATTCATTAGATTGTGTCAGCTGAAAGGTTGTTAGAGAAACGTATTTTTAATTTCGATAGTACGTGAACGTGGCCACGTTTGTATCACATGTTATTTCTATTTTATTAAGAATTCGAAACCATTTCTCATTTTTATTTTTATAGAGGCAGCTATTATTTTTGTAACATTTATGAAAACATATATTTATGAGTTATCAAACATTGATGAAGAATTTTATTCTTCAATTTCTTTGATCACATGAAACCAATTATTTTCCTTTTCAATTTCGTTCAATTCGATTCCATTTATATCTTTTTCAATATTCAAGTATTCTGAGATCTCATCAGAAGTTTTTTTCTGAAAAAAATTTATGTACTATTGTATAACTTCATTGAAAACAAACCTGAAACTGATGAGCACAAATTTTTGAAAGTTCTTGAAGCATGTCTGGTATTTCCATAAAGTTGGTTGTCTAAAATTTTAATGTAACATATGTTTGTCTCAGCGATAGATTTTTACTTACCTCAATAATTGATAGAAACCGTGTGTTGCTCAAGTTGGCACATTCGTTGAATAAATCTAACTGATTCGTTTCATGTTCACTTTCGGGATTTAGTCTCTTCGCCATGTGACGAAGTATCTAAATAAACATATTATCTAGAGAATAATTATGAAACTTACAAATTTCAAGTCTTCAACAATAACGTTTTGTACCGGTATTTCTGGTACGGTCACAGAATTATTCTGAAAAATCAAAATAAAAATGGTTTCTACTATTTCTAACAAACCATAGCAAAATAGTTGCGAATAAGCCCAATTTTTGAAACAATTTCAGGATTTCGTACTTCTATAATATTTCCTTCCTTTGTTCGTAACTTGCAGATTATTGGTTGAATATCGTTCATTTCTTTCATATAATTGGGACTCGTTTCTGAAATTGTTTCTGTTGGTAGTTATTGAATTCGATTCCCAAAAATATACTCGGATCACTACTGAAACGAATTCTCATGGCCGGTTAAAAGAGGATTTTTAAAATGATCTACATTCTGTTTCTCTAGTTTATCTGACAGCTATCTGGTAAAAAAGAGAAATAAAGCAGTAATTCGAGATACTTCACGCTCAATCATAAATTTATTTACTAATTTATTTAAAACAGTACATTTTCCAGAGAAAAGTGCTGAAGAGACTTCGAAGAAATTAGAACAAAAATCATCGAAATAGGTTTGATTAGAAGGCGAGCGTTTGTCCGAGGGGTCTTTTTCTCTATGTAGTCGTAGATCAAATTATTGTCTTAACCCGCTCATTTTGAGATCAATTTTTTTTTGATAAACGTGCCCATTTTGAAAAATCCGACCAGACTGTTTCTTTCAACGATAAAAGCTAATTTTGAAAGCTTTGCCTTATTGTTAGCCATTTTTTTTAATCTCAGTTATTGCTAGATAATGATTTTGAACAGATTGCAAAGTAAACCATGAGTTAGTTATTTTTTTCGCATATGTGTATTTTTCGTTGTGTTTACTTGTTGTATCTATTATCTATTGTTATTTTTCAGTTAAGTTTTATGGACTCATCTATAGGTGGTAGATTTTTAATATGCAAACCCGGCACATATCTGTACGACAGCGATGTTTATCGAGGACAAAGGAGAAGACCTTGGTTTTCAATAAGAATTGGACAAACATCACCAGAAATGAAGGATGAACTATTTTTGTAAGTTTTTTCCCGTTGTTTTCTAGTCTCAATCTAAGTTTCGAGAGGATATGCATAGAATATGTTGCCTGAGTCAACTTTTTCGGTTAGGCTCTCTCTTTGAAAATTTGACAAACTTGAACCCAATTCCCCACTTTTTTGAACGATTTTCCCAAATTATTAGCAGAAAATTGGCCAACTCCTCCTATTTCCTTACGTTCTCATTAAAAAGCCCCCACCCGATTCTGATGACCCATTTAATGTATGCGGAAAAAAATCAAATTTTGTGTAAGACTTCTGAGACTAGAAACGAATTCTGAAAAAATTTTGATTTTCCGGTAAAAAAACAAAACATATTTTCAGATTGTTCATAGATAAAGTTCATTCTTATTTTATCAAAAAAGGTATCCTTTTGGATAACGATTACCTTGTTCGTCGTCCTGATTTCGAAGATAATATTAGCGATCTTGAAGATTGTCGTCTTCTTCTCAAAGATATTCTCGAAAAAAGAGATGAGAAATATCTAGTTGGTATTATGTCAGTTCCAATCGGATTAGTTGTTTGTGATTTTTCTGATGGTAAGAGATACAGTTTCTTTGGAAGTATAAATTCATGATTTCAGGATCAATAGCTGACAAAGTTATTTCATATTATGCAGAACATGCGAATATATGTCTTTTTAATGCTTCCGATATCATTACAGCTTTGATAAATTCCGACTTCAGTGAAATTTTGTTAGTTTATTTTTGTTGAAAAGCAATAATAATTCTAGACTCACAACTATTTTTCAGTAAATTTTGCGACGAATTTATTGATTCAATTGTGCAAGGAGAGAATATTCCACAGAGTATAGCAGAAAAAAAACCAGTCAAAAAATTGCAAGAGTTTGGAGCTACGCCAGTTGTGTTCAATACAAATTTTTCGCCAAGATCACATGAAAAGTAGGTTCTTCCGATTTATTTGTATATTCAAATGGTTTATTTTTCAGATCACGACGACCTTCTTCATCTCAAAATTGGAAAGTTCAACCTCATAAACCATCGAATTCCAAACAATATAAAATGAATTCGAATATTTCGCAACCACCTGGTCTCAATTTATCCACTAATCATTGTTCTGTTCAACAACCATCTCAAGATTTTCCTCCTGGTCTTTATCCACCTGGATTGTCTCCTTCTTCTTCATGTGGAAAAAGTTTGACACCACCAGGTTTGGAATTACCAAAACCACCCGGTATTCAAAGGTACTTTATCGGTTACTTCAGACATCCTTTTGTAAATTGTTTTTTTTACAGAAGAAATGATATTGAAGATTTTGATGAGAGCGAATCAGATGAAAGTGTCAATGTTCCAGGTCCACAAAGATCTATTTCGCCAACAAGAGAACTTTGTACAATTCGCGATATTTTGGAAAAAAGAAATCAAGTTTTAGACAGACCATTGATTGGAGAACCTAGGAAAACAAACAATTTGATGGTATTTCAAATAAAATATATACGAACTTGTAATGTTTTGTTTTGCAGGCTAATGATATTGCGAAACCAATATTATTCAATAGATTTGGGACTCCTTTCAGATCTGCTGAAGATAATGTCGATTTTCTTATTGTTATCAATTATGCTTGCAGTTCAACAAATCCAGATGCCAGAAAAAATATCGAAAGAATCATGTCAAGTTGTTTCACCCAAAGGTATTTGAATTGAAATATTTCAATTATCAAAGTTTTCTTGAAATCAATATTTTCTCATGACAGATATCCGGAAAATATCGTTGTACGATTTATTGAACCATGCGCATTCAATGGAGAACACCTGGATATTGATTCTGTTGAACTCATTTTTGAACTTGGATTTCTATTCAATTATTTGTGCAGATTGAGACCAACTATCAATGAAAATATGAGCGAATGTTGGAAAAGATATTGGGAATCATGCAAAAGATTCGAACCAATTGATTATTTCAATGCTAATGGAAAAATCGAAAGAGAAGATTTTGATGCACACGACAATTTATGTTATGCAATAAATAAATATATGAATAGTGAGTTGTTTTGAAAATAGTATTTCGAATAATCAAATAATTTCAGAAACGAAGCATGGAAGAAATGACGATGAAATGAAAAGAAGACGAGAGGAAGAACATTATGAAAAAAGACGAAGGGAAGAAGAAATTAGAAGACAAAATATTGAAAATGAAGAAAGAAGACGAGAAAGAGAAGAAGAACAAGAAAGATATCGAGAAACAGAAAATGCAAGATATGAGAATGAACAATATTATAGAAGAGGTTTGTCATTTATTGGAGGAGCCTCATACTATTTATAATTATACAATTCAGATCAAAATTGTCATGCAAGTTCATCATCTTCACAACATTATGCTGATCAAAATCAGGGTTATGACGAAGTCGATCAACGGAGTTTTCAACAAAAATCTGTAAACCAACAGCGTCAGTTTTCATTTAACAAGTTTAAATATTGAGATTTTTCTAAAGTTATTATTTTCTGTATAAAAATAGTTATTCGTTTAGAAATGGTTCCAATATCTGCATCAAATACATCGAGCAACACAAATAAGCAGGTTGAAAATCTGATTTTAAACCTTTAAAATAATACATTTTATTTTTAGTTTGTTGACAATTGTCGGAATATCAATGAAGAATCGGAAAATAATGGGTATAATATTTGGAAAAAATGCGAAAAAATCGAACCACCGTCCGATTTTCGAGATATGTCTGAATTGCCAACATTGAAAGACTATTTCCACCCAGGTAAATAATCAAATATTTATAATCTAAATTTTAAAATTGTGTTTTTTTGTAGAAGAACCCTATCTTCGCCGAATTTGTGACGATGGAAAATATAAAGATGTTCAACATTATCTTGATATTCAATATCGATTGATGAGAGAAGATTTGATTAGCCCTTTGAGAGATGGAATCGATATTTATAAACAGAATGGTTCGTTTAATTGTTTCAAAGGAAAAACCACCATAGGAATTTTAAATGTTTGTATTATTAGCTTAAATTTACGAATCAAGTTTTTTCAAAATCTTAGAGATTTGGGCGGGAAAAATTTTTGATTCAAAATTTCTAAAAAAAAAAATTTTTTTCTCAAAAGTTCTTTCCCGCCCAAATCAAAATTTTGATTCGGGCGTGAATTCAAAATTTCCAAAAAAAAATTTTTTTTAATTCTTTCGGGAAAAAAAGCAGCCTCGTTAGCTAGTCGGTAGAGATTGCGCGTAATAATCAGAGGGTTTTTGGATCAATTCTCGGTGGAATCCATTTTGCTTATTTTGTTATGTAATTCAATATTTTTGGATTTCAATTTGATTATCAAATAAATAGCGCATTGTCCACAATTGATATGGAATTGTTTGGAAATTTTAGAAATAAAATCGAGAAATAAGAATAATTAGCCAATGAATGATATCCGTCGAATTCTTCGTCCTTTTTCTACATCCGATATTCCTAAAGCACTAATTTTTCGAATTATCGAACCTTAAAAAATATGTCAAAATGAAACTCCCTCTCCCCTTTCTTCAATATTTTTCATTTGTTCACCATTTATTTTTTTGGAAATTTTTAACAAAAAACAAATTGGGGGGGGATCATTACATGCGGGATCTGTTGGGCGAAGATGCCATGTATGCTGAGAGCGGAAATTTAAAAAAAAAATATTTGCGGATTTTCGCAGACTTTCCCAATAATATTTAATTTTAGGAACCAGTAGAGATCATCGTATTCCAAATGTTTTGAATTCTGATCTTATTATTTATCGAGTTGATCGAATTGAAGGAAAACAAGCCTCGCCAAAAGATGGATTCGAAATGAGATATTGTCATATTTCAGTAAGTTTTCATTAGCACTGATTTCATTTTTCAAAAATACTTTTTCTAGTCTCAAACTGCTTTACAAATAATGAATGAAGGAAAAGGTTTTCGAGGCGGCAATATTGTGTTATTTTCTTCTGATGGTTTTGTTAATGAAATGCATTTGGCGATTTTGAATGATTTGAAAGATGGAAAATGTATTTCGATTATAATTGTTGAAGAAATGAAAGAAAGACCAATTGAATTAAACAAACCATATTTGATGGCTGAAGCGAATAGTTATTTACCTGCTTACAAATTCGTTTTGAAAAATCTTCAAAAGGTCAATAAATTCATACCGATTCCATTTCAAAGATATTTGTTGAAACCACAAAATGATATTTTTCGACCTGCATATCAAAGACAAGAGAAATCTGAAAATCAATTGAAATTCGAGAAAACTTTGGAAGACCAATTCAATGAAGTTCGATCAATTGCTGTTGCGAAAAGAATTAATAATGGAAAAAATGTTGAACAAAAGAAGAAGAGAAAAAGATCAAGATCAAGAAGAAGAAGAAGGAAAACCCGAAATTGGGATGAAGATTTCAGCGATGAAGATTTCAGGTGAGTTTTGAGTTTATGATGTTGTTACAAGTTTTTTTTAATTTAGAAAAGATTGTGAAGAGAGTGAAAGTTGTGATGGTTCGGATGAAGAATTGTATTGGCTTGAAAAACCAATAATAAAATCACCAATTGGATATTTAACATCTGAAGAAGGAAACAAAATTCAAATCGACGGAAAATGGTATCACATATCGAATTTGTTGTCCGAATTTTTCCCAAAATACATGGATGATAGTCAACGGGTTGCATTTTGTAGTTCATTTCAACGAGAATTATCAATAATTCAAGGACCACCTGGAACTGGAAAAACACATATTGGAGTTGAAATTGTGAAAACAGCATTGAAAAATAGACAACATTGGAGAATGACTGAACCAATTCTTATTGTTTGTTATACAAATAGTGCGATTGATCAATTTCTCGAAAGAATTTATATGATGATTATGTCTGACGAAGAATTATCGAAAGATGATGGAAAACCGAAGATTATTCGATTCGGTTCAAAATCCGAATCACAAATCATTTCAAAGTTTGTATAATATGATTATTAGAATATTTATATTAGTTTTTATTTTTTCAGAAGACGTCTTCTACGGGAAAATGTGGTGGCGGATTATAGAAATGGTTCTGCAACTGATCAAAGTCTTGTTGATGATGCGAATTCAGCATATAAAGATCGAAATCATCGAGAAGCTGAATTAGCAACATCGAGTTATGGATTATATGCGAGTCGAAAAGATCTTCTTTCTTTCACAATGTTGAATCGTGCTATGCTTCCATGTTTTCATCAAGAATTACGGAATTGGGCATCAACACATGTTGATACTAAAAATAATACTCTTTCAGTGAGTTTTTTTTTGTTTCAACTTCGAATAAAATGATAATAATATATTTATTTAGGTGGATGAAGCATTAGCTTGTTGGTTGTTGAATATTGAATTTGGACATTCGACAAATGTTCCGAAAATGAATTCAAAATATTCAAATTTGGTTGTTGAGCAAACTCGTCATCATGATGAAGATTATTCAGATTCAGATGATGAAGAATTGACAAATGAACAGATTTTGGATAAAATGTTCCGAAAAATCAATGTAAGGATTAATTTTCTTCAAATAAATTCCAAACGTTTTTTTTTCAGATAAATTGCACAGTTTCGGATTTGAATTCTCAACACAATGAATGTGAAAATGATGGATATCACAGTGAAACACCTTGGGATATTGCAGTTAATACAGCTCGTGATGTTGTACTTCTTCATTCTTCAATGAAAGTTGTTGGAAATAATAGGGTAATTTTCAAGCTAGTTTATTAATTAAGACCTTTTTAAAGTTCAATTCGAAATACTGAGCTCTTGATTCAATAAATTTCAGAGTATTCCGGTGGATTCTGAAATTGTTGATCGCATTAGAGAAGAAAAATCAATGATTTTGAAAACGGCGGCAATGAAACAAGAAGAAGTTGAAGATGTTAAATTCATGTTTAGTTTAACTCGACCTGCAAGATGGGCTCTTTATCAATATTGGTGCAATGATTTGGTTAGTTTTTAAATATGAAAATACATTAATTTTATATGAAAACAAGTTTTACTTCAGAGGAAGAAACTTTGTGAAATTATTCCACATTCTATTGAAAGCTATAAGGCGTCTTGTTTAAAAATCAAAAAATGCAATGAAAAACTTGATGCTTCAATTAGTAAAAGTGCAATGATTCTTGGATGTACAACTTCTGGATGTTCAAGACTTCGACCAATGTTGGAAAGAGTTAAACCAAAAATATTAGTTGTTGAAGAAGCAGCGGAAGTTTTCGAATCACACATGCTATCTGCAATGGTTCCAAGTATTGAACATACAATTATGATTGGAGATCATCAACAATTGAGACCAAATCCTTGTTTGTTTTATTTTCAGAAAAAAATATAATATTTTATTTACAGCTGTTCATGTTCTTGGAAGAGAATATGGTATGGATATTTCAATGTTTGAAAGATTGATTGAACGTGGATTGCCATATTCACAATTGAAAGAACAACATCGAATGAATACAAATATTGCTGACCTTATTGTTCGACCTGGTTTCTATCCAAAGTAAGTATTTATTTTAATCGTTATTCTTTATATACTTTCTTTTTTTTTAGTGTTTATGATTCGGAAAGTGTCAAAGAATATCCACCAGTTGATGGTTTTGAACATAATCTATATTTTTGGTCGCATTGTGAAAAAGAAGAAACTCACGATGGTGTTTCGTGGTATAATATTTATGAAGTCAACATGGTTATTTCATTGGTTCAACATTTGTTGAAACAGAATTACACCAGAAATGATGTATGTTTTATTTTTGTACACTAAAAATCTTCATTTTTATCTTACAGATCACAATTATCACAACATATTCAGCACAACGAAACGAGCTTTTGATGAGTCTTTCAAAGGTTTTTGGAGGATCTTTCGATGAGCCAATTATTCCTGTTGAAACGGTTGATAGTTTTCAAGGACAAGAAAATAAAATAGTGATTGTTAGTCTTGTTCGATCACATCGTGGAATTACGGAAAACACTGGAATTGGATTTTTGGCTGTTGAAAATCGTATTTGTGTTGCATTGACTCGAGCAAAACATGGAATGTATATTGTTGGAAATGGTGCATATATTGCAAATAGTTCGAAATTATGGTCAAAAATCACTGATAATTTGATACCAAAGAATATGATTGGATATCATATTGATATCAAATGCACAACTCATGGAAATATTCAGGTGACAACAATTTTATAGGATTTTTTGAATAAAATCATTTAATTTTAGAAAATTGAAAAACCAAGTGATTTCGATACATTTTCACCAGAAGGAGGATGTTCGGAAAAATGTGATATTCAAAAAATGTGTGGTCACAAATGTCAGAAAAAGTGTCATCCAAATGTTGAATCAATTCATTTACAACCTTGTTATTATGAATGCCAAAAATCGTGCAAAAACAATCATTCTTGCAAAAAGAAGTGTTATGAAGATTGTGGTAATTGTATGGAATATATTGAAAAGAAAATGGATTGTGGACATATTGTTATAACACCATGTTTTAGTTTTGAATCAGCTGTTTGTGATCAAAAATGTTTGAAAAAACTCGAAGGATGTGGACATAATTGTATGAATAAATGTGGAGAAAAATGTATGGAAGAAAAAGATTGTAAAGAGTTAATTGAAGAAGAATTGAAATGTGGACATCGGAAAATGATTGAATGTTATCATCACAAAACAAATGATAATTTTGAATGTGTTGAAAAATGCGATCGAAAAATGCTTGGTTGTAATCATCGATGTCCAGAATTATGCGGAAAAATGTGTCCATTACAATGCAATGAATTTGTTGATACAAAATTATCATGTGGTCATTATTTAGCAATTAAATGTCATAATATCAGCAAAAATGGAGAATTTGATGAAGATTTATTCGAATGTATAACACTTGTTAGAAAAAGATTGGAACCATGTAACCACGAAATGAATATTAGATGTAATGATAAACCAATTACAATTTATTGTAATTATGTTTGTCGAGAAAAATTGGAAAAATGTGGACATGAATGTGGAGATGTTTGTTCAACTTGTTTCACATGTCAGTTTTTCATTTTTAATTAAAACAATTAATTTGAAATATTTCAGCTGGTTCTCATAATTGTCAAAAACAATGTCCAAAAGTTCTTGATTGTGGTCATTCTTGCACGTCAAAATGTGGTTCAAAATGTGAAGCATGTCAATCTTTTTGCGAAAATGCATGTTCTCATATGAGTTGTGGAATTCAAAATAAAGGATATGGTCGAGAATGTCGAAAACTGTGTGTTTTATGCACGAACAATTGTCAGAATAAATGTATTCATCGAAGTTGCGATCAGAAATGTTTTGAAGAATGTCGTATTCCAATTTGTTCCGAAGTTTGTAAAATGGCATTGAAATGTGGACATGGATGTCTTGGAATGTGTGGTGAAATATGTCCAAATATTTGTGGAACTTGTAATCGAAAAGGATATTCTGATATTGTGGAATGTATTGAAAATAAAGAAAATGCAAAACTTTATCGACTCATTCAATTGAGAAATTGCGGTCATATTTTCCCAGTTCAGGTATGATTTATACACATATTTTCAAAGGCTATCAACATATTATTTAAAAATAGTATTTTCCCATTAAATAATCTCAAAATTTTCAACAATATATTAATTTTTGTGTTCAGTTCCTTGATGATTATGTTGAATCGAAAAAAGCGTCAATGTCACCTTTGATTTGCCCGCGAAATGGGTGTTCGAAACAATTTGGAGAAGTTTGGAGATATGCTGCATATTCGAAAAAAGTTGTTCTTGAACAAAACAAAACGAAACTTCGAAAAATGACGATAAATCGAGATCCAGATGATGAAATTAAAAGTATGAGAACTATGGTTGAAAGTATGATAACAAGCATGAGAAAATCAGAAAAACATTCACAAGGAACATCAAAAGCTGTGAAATCAATATGTTCGAGTTTTTATAATTGGTTGATTAACGATTATGTGAAATTGATTTATGGATGTAATCGAGATATTGTTAATACCGAATTCTATCGACAAACTTCAATGTTGGTTTTTTTTTAGAATATTATAATGTAAAATCTGAATTAATTCGATACTTTCAGCTATATCACTGGACTTGTTTATATTTTCAATTCAGTTCTTCTGGTTCGAATAAATAAAAAGAAAAAAGACTATCCACCAACAGTCGAACAATTATTATTGGATGTTTTTTCGGATTGTGATATGTTCCAGAGACAGGTAAATAATTTTGTTAGGTCAAGATATAAAATGTTATTGAATCCCAAATTGAACGATCAACATTTGTTTTAGATGAATGCAATCAATGAAGTTCTAGTTGAACTTCGAAAAGTTATTCAATTTGGATTTCTTGGTGCTGTTATTCCAAAACTTCGATTTTCACTTGCTCGTTCAAATTGTGTTCTTCAGTTAATGGTTTTGTGTCGGTATTTGAAAATGAATGAAACTGATATGAGTGTACAATTTGCTAATGCTCTCAAAGCAAATTGTATTGCATTATTCGAAAGATCAGAGAAAACTGATTTAGTTGGATGTTGTGGTTAGTTTTATTTATTATTTATGTTAGACTATTTAACGATGCATTATTTTTACAGAAATAATTGAAAAAATGATTATTAGTCAATATCCAACAATTGAGAGAATCGATGGGTTCAAGAAATGGGTTTCTTACGGGTTCCCTGATTTTTAAATTTTGTTTCTTTTGTTTTGTTATTATTTTATTTAATTTTTATTGTTCTTTTTATAACTGTTTTGTAAGTATGTACATTTTTCATATGAATATTCATTGATTGAAATTAGTAATCATTTTGAATTGATTGCCAACCGTATTTTGGTGATGCATTCTTTTCACATTTTCCTCCTTCAATGCAATGATAACCATTTGGACAACATGTATTTGAACAGCAAACAGCCTAAAACAATAATCGTAAGGATTCGAAAAAAATAAAAATGGTGATCTTACATTACTCAAAGGACAACACATGTGATTGAAACCACCATTTGAATTCGAAACTGCACAGCAAGTTGTTTTTGCTGGACAAGTTTTATCTAAACCACATTTGAGAGGAGATAAACTTTGTGGAAGATCATCTGACTGAAATTTTATTTATTTCAAAGAGATTATTGAAAAATAAAATATACCTCAGAACTGTCGGATTCTTCGCTATTCATGAAATTGACAGCTGGTTTACGGTGGATTGAAGTCGATTTGAACTTTTTGAGATGAGGAATACGGGCAAACTGAAAAAAGTTCAGTTTTTTTCTAAATTGTCACATGTAAGAAAAAACTACATTTTGTGAGCAGAATTGCCCGTGACACGTGAATCCATTTGGACAACAATGAAGCATATCTGGACAACAAACTGCATTTGGAACTGGGCAACAACCATATGTTCCTTGTTCGAGAAGACAACAAGTTGAACCTAAATTTCAATTTTTTTTTAAATATTTGAGTGACATTGAAAAATGATAATATTTTTTAATCAAAAAAAGAAAGAAAAACGAACCATCTGGGCATTTACTTGCATTGTCTGGACAGATTATTTCATTGAATTCATTTCTCAAAACATTTTTTGTAGCTGGTTTTTTCTTTTGCATTGGAGAATGGAATACCTTTAAAAATAATAACTTGAATTTCCACGGAGTAAAAAAAAACTAACATTTCCTTGAATACACCGTGATCCTTGTGTATCACATTGTGTTCCAGAAGGACAACAATGAGTATGATCATCACAACAAACTGCATTATTCATTGGACAACATCCCCAAAGATTATCTCCCAATTTGCAACATGTTTCATCATCGCTGCATGAAGTTTCAAAATCGCATTGACGACAGTTCTGAAAAATATATAAATTTATTTTTGATTAGAAATTACATCGAATAACATACCACAATTGTGAAAATAAAAAATAGAGTCAAAATAACAAGTCGCATGTTTAGAGAGAAAATAAAATATAGAAAATGGTTTGCTCCAAAACTGATAAGATATCAATGTGAGAAAAGAGAAAACGGTCAATGAAGGACATCTTTTTTGAACAAAACATATTATTTATTGGAACGAGAAAGGAAAAAAAAACAGAAATATTCACAGCTGCAAAAACTGAATGATCGCGCGAAACGCGCCAGCACTTGACGCGTTTTCGGTTTTTGCACGAGAAAAAAATTTTCTTTTTTTTGTTTTTTTCCATCAGAAAATTAATTTTTTCTTCTTTTTTATTTTTTTGTGAGTTTTTCAGGAAGTTTCACATATTCGGACAGACTATGGTTTGTAGAGAATTTAAAGAAGAATTTTATTATGTTTGGATCGAATGATGAAAATGGGGCTGACGGATGCTAAAGTTGTTTTTATGAAGTCCATTTTTTTCGACGAGAAATTTTTCTATTCTGGAATTGATTGAGTTTGAATTTTTGTGAGTTGGAATGAATATACAATTGGTTGGAGATGAATTTCCGATGATTTTGAGTGAGATGCAATGCCTTAGAGAACCATTTTTCGAGGTCGGCGATTCAATATTTTTCTTGTTGAAAAGTGAGTTATTCGTATCTAAATTTATCAAAAAATCATGATTTTATATCTAGATGAGCGTGATACGAGTTGACTGAAACATGAAGATGTCGGAGAGTGCCAAACAAAAATTATTTCGATGAACGAATCCAATTGACTGCCTACCTGACCAGAAATTCACGAAGGAGATCACGTGGAGATACTCACGAGGAGAGTTTTGGGATTCTATGGAACATTTTATTGAAGGTAATTCCTATTTTTGATTGATTTTTATAAAATAGTGAAATCAATTGAAGAATTAATAAAAATTCAATGTTTCCGCCATTTTGACGTTATTTCACCATGATAGAGGCATGGGGGAGTATCAAGACTTAGTCTATCTTTCTCAGCAGCAAAAACTATATCAAGATACATGTTCAAATAACATTTCTACCGTTCATTTTCGAAAAGTAAAATTATATTTTCATTTTCATCGCATTTTATTTTAATAAGAACTAATATTTCATATGTCCGTGATTCAAAACTGTTGAATTCAAACAAACAATGTTGTTTTCAGGTTTTGCGAACGTCAGCCAAGTGGAATCAACGGTTTCGATCACGGACGAAGTGGAGTTGATTATACTATTCAAATAATAGATTTTAAATAAATTGTTGTTGTTTTCAACTTGAGCTTTGTTAATTTTCTTCAAATTTCGATCAAAAAACGCCGCAAAATTAGGAGCTGTGGAATAGAACTTCAAATGTCGATGATTAATGTGGTTTTCTGATTGTTAGAAGAGATCCTGCTTCAAAAGCTTCAGAATCATCTCAGAGAAAATGAAATAATATTTTATCATGAAATTGTAAGCCGTACTTGTGATTTTTCAAATCACTGTTGAAATTTTTCCCGAAAAACATCGGTTCTTAGCAATTTTTAAGACAAAGGATGGTTATTCTCTCGTCTAACAGTACAAATTCATTGTCCGGTAAGAAGTTCTTCTTTCTTTTTTCAACTTAAACATCTTATTTCATATAAAAAGTTTGAAAGTTTTGCTTCATTATTTCAAAAATATCTTTTTTGTGAGGGTACTTCAAAATCTCACGTTTTTCACGCCTAATAAATTTTTTCACTCAACAAATTATATTTCTCTGTCTTCGTCTCATTCTCCTCTATCTTCTCATGTACGATTCATTCGTTGAAACTTCCGCTAACTTCAGATTTTTTCAAAAAACTCGAGAAAAAATTAAAAAAAAAATTTTCGGCGAGAGAGTGTGTGCGCCTATAGAGACGCCGACAAACACACACGCCCGTGGAGGGCGAGAGAGAAGAGTGCAGGAGACATTGCTGGCGCACAATCGGTTTTTGCAGCTGTGATATAGAAAAAATAAAAATTAAAAAAAAACAAAATTTAAATTTTCAGACCTCAAAATTTCACAAAGTGTGCACTATTGCGTGGTTGTGTATGCAACTACCGTATTTTCTTCAAAGGCGCACGAAACAAAACTCATGGTCTCGTTTGGACTCATTTTGGGACTGCGCAATAATTCATTTCCAACAAAAAAGTTGTTTTTGAATAAAGCGTTCTGAAATCGAATTCATATAATCTCGCGGTCAAGCGCGGTCAGACTGTTTGATGTTAGGCTTTTCAGCCAAATTTCGAGTTCTGGCTTCTTCGTGATCTGATTTTGGATCCTTCTAAAAATTGCTTCTAATACTTTGGTTTTCAATTAAATCTTGGAGTACTCTTAAATTTACATTTCACATAATTATTATTCATTCAGGTTTTCTAATCAACAAAATGATTACAAGAAACAAAGGACAACCAAAAACTTCTTCGGAAGAAACTGCAGTTTCAAACAACAAAAGCACAAGAAGTTTGCGTGTTCGAACAAATGCAACAAACTATTTTCCGACTGATGAAGATGCTGAAGAAGATGAAGTCGATTTGAAAAGAAAGAGAAATGATAAAGAGAATACTGAGGATGAACCAGAAGAAAAGAAGACCACATTGAAAGGATCGAACCCATTTGAGAGATTTGAAGCTTTATTGGACAGAACTAACAATTTGTCAACACCTGTAACAATGGAAGATTTAATGGCTTTGCATGGTAAGTTAATTCTGAAAAAAACATTTGAGAAATTATTCATTTTGAACGTTGTTTCAGAGAATAACTTAACGAAGCAGAACAAAAAGTCGATTGAGCAATATAAAATGTTATCTTCTGGTTATGATAAATCTGCCACATTTTATGACGAAACTCCTGAATTTATGAATGCTGTTATGAGAGATTATCAAGTTGCTGGTTTGAATTGGATGCTCGCTTTGCAAAAAGCTGGATTGAATGGTATTTTGGCAGATGAAATGGGTCTTGGAAAAACAATTCAAACAATTTCGTTGTTGGCACATAATAAAATTGTCGAAAAATCAGCAAGTCCTAACTTGGTTATTGTACCATTGACGACTTTATTGAATTGGAGAGATGAAATCGAGAGATTTTGCCCAAAACTTCGCGTTTTTGTACTTCATGGAACTATGGATGAACGTGAACAATTGATGAAAACACGTATGCGAAAACAAGATTTTGATGTATGTATCATTTCTTATGAAACTGCATTGAGATTGACTACCAAAGCTTTTCGCGTTCATTTTAATTATGTCGTTATTGATGAAGGACAACGGATCAAAAATGAAAATGTTCGAGTAAGTTGAAATATCAGAAAGTTTATTCAATATAAATACGTATTTCATTCAAGCTCGCAAAAGGTGTTCGTACATTCAAATCAAATCGTCGTCTTCTTCTTACTGGAACTCCTTTCAACAATAATGTTCATGAAGTTTGGGCTCTTCTTAATTATTTGGCTCCAGCCATTTTCACAGATGCTTTGCAATTCGAAGAATATTTCTCAAGTTATAATTTATCAGTCGATGTTGATATTGTCAATCGATTGCATAGAATTCTCAATCCATTTATTCTGAGAAGAGTCAAAGCAGATGTCGAAAAAAGTCTCTTACCAAAAAAGGAATATAAAATTTATGTTGGATTCACCGAACTTCAAAAAATTTGGTATCAAAAAGTGTTGAGTAAGGAAGGAATTGCTATTATGAAAAAAGATGGATCAACCAAAATGAAAAAGTAAGTAAATATATAATTTTTTGAAACATATGTTTTATTCAATTTCAGAGTTGAACATGTAATGATGGCACTACGAGAAGTTGCTAATCATCCATATATGTTCCCAGCAGCTGAACCTTCTGGTCCACCATTTATCACTGATGAAACCATTGTTACCGCTTCTGGAAAAATGATGGTTCTTGACAAAATGTTGGAAAAATTCAAGTCCGAAGGAAGTCGTGTTTTAATCTTTTCTCAATTCACAATGATGCTTGATATTTTGGAAGATTATGCCATTTATAGAGAGTAAGTGTTACTTTTTTTTTCTTTTCATTATATTTTTTTGGACTAATTCCAGGTATGATTATTGCCGATTTGATGGTCAAACAAACCACGATGAAAGACATGAAATGGTCTCAGAGTTCAATCAAGTAGGATCGGAAAAGTTTGTTTTCTTGATGTCGACAAGATCAGGTGGATTGGGTATCAATTTAGCATCGGCTGATATTGTTATCATTTATGATTCTGATTGGAATCCTCAAATGGATTTTCAAGCATGTGATAGAGCTCATAGAATTGGGCAGAAGAAACAGGTATTTTCATAATGTTTCTTCGAAATAGATAAACTTATGATTTTATAGGTTCGAGTTTTTCGTTTGATTTCTGAAAAGACTGTTGATGACTATATTATGGAAACAAATGAGCATAAAGTTCGACTTGGAAATGTAGTTATTCAAGATAGAGATGAGCAAATGAGAGTGAAAAAATCGAAAAAAGATATGGTTAAAATGATTATGGATGGATCACATAAAGTATTAGCAGGATCAATTGAAACAATTGGAGATATTGACATCGAAAAAATGTTGAAAGAAGCAGAAGAAAGAAGTGAAAAAGAAAATCCAGAAAGAATGAAGCTATTCCAAAGTAATGAACAATATTTGGTACATAATAAATCAGAACATCCACTTTATGAATATTCGGGTAAAAATCATTGGGGTTTGTGGCCGAAAAAACCAGATGTTGAGATCTTCGAAGACAAATTGAGAATGAATCGTAAATTCCAACCGATTGGAGAAAGAGCTGTTAGTTTTTTCTTTTCATTTGTTACAACCTGATTTGTTTTTTTTTTTTAGCTCACTCTTCTCGAATTTTGGAAAAATTTTGGATTGGAATTCCACGGAGGTCAAGTCTACAATTATAAATTTTATCCAAAAAGATATATTGAATTGTGCGAAAAGAAGTTGGCATTTTTGCGTTCGAACAATCAAATTTTGCTTCTGAAAACAACCGACAAGTTGAATTTGACTGTAAAAAGCAAAGTTGATTTGACAGTTGAGGAAATTCAAGAAATGGAAAAATTGAAAGAAGAAGCTGCTTGTAGATGGAGTTGGTTCAAGTTTTTGGCGTTTGTTGGTGTAAGTTATTCACTGTCGGAAACAATTCGATATTTTTCAAATTATTCGTTTTAGAATCTTCGAGGAATCGACAAAAATGATTATGCAAGTCTCGCGACAAAGTCAAACAGTAATGAAGCGGAAATCAAGAGATACATGGAAATTATGTGGGAAAGATTGGACGAATTGCCAAATTCTGATCAAATCAAAGAAAATGTCGAAGCTGTAAGTTTTTTTCATAAAGATCATTTGAAAATATGACTAACCTAGTTTTTTTCAAAATTTAACCTGATAAATATTTTCCCTGACGTTTCCATTTTGATAATTTCTATTTTTTTTTAGTATGAACGAACATCCGGAACCAACAAGGACATTGACCAAGTTTTGGCAAACGCATGTGCAATTTGTGATCAACCAGAAAAACAATTATTTTTCGATTACTCTTTGGAGAATTGGGATTTGGACGATTTTGGTTTTCTTCCTGCTGAAGACAGGTTCGTTTTTAATCAACGTTTCAAAAAAAGTGCGAATACTTCAAATGAAATAATCTTTACAGATATCTGATCGCAACTCTGCAACAAAAACCATTCCATGTTGATAATATTCAGGGATTCTTTTTGAACGAATTGGGAATGATTAGAAGTTCTTGGCCAATGAGATATTATCCCGTTCATGTTATCAAGAAAAGATTCGATTATCTCATTGAAATAATCAAAAAAGGAGGTGTTCGTAAATTGGTTGAAGAACCAATCAAACAAGAAGAAGTTTTACACGATAGTGTTAACAAAATTTAATTATTTTTTTATTGTTTTTCCAAATCTTGTAAAATGTTCTAATTCTATTTGCATAATAAAATGCCATTTTTAAAAAATAAATAAATGTTTTTTTTTTCAAAAATTTTGCTAAAATGTTTTCCTAAAAAGTTTTCAATTTCAATTACAATACTTAACGATGTTTGAGTTTTTCTTTTTCCAATGTTTAGAAAATTCATTTTGAAAAATGTGAAATATTCAAAAGTTTTCAAGTATGAAATTTTTAATTGGGCTGATTCTGAGACTATGACTTTTTCTTTGTCCGGTGGGTTTTGCATTCTTATAAAAAGTGTCTTTTAAATTTTTTAAATAGAGAACCACGCGGAAGAACTTTAATTTTTTGAATGATTACATTTTGAAAAAAAGTTATTTCAAGCTCAAATTTTCAAAATAATTTCCTGTCCGGAAATTTAACCTAATTTTTGTCTGAAAAATAATACTTTCTCTGTTATTTATTGATTTTATTCAGTAAAAATTCCAGCTTGAAATTGCAGATTTTTCTCACCGGAAATGTCGCCTAGTCTTTTCTGAAAATTTTATTTTTATATTTTCAAAAAAAAAAGAAAATGGAGGAAATACCTCAAGGGATTTAAACATTGTTTTTCTTCGCCTAAACTAATTACCCACACACTACAAACGTCACAATTTCCTCTTTTTTTGAAAAAAATCTTTATTTCTCAGCCGAGTTTATATTATTTTTTTCTCATAATTTTTTATTTCTGGTTGTGCCTGCAGACGAAAAGGTTCTTTTTCTCGTCTATATGTGTCTCTCTGCCCCCCGTTGATAGATATTTCCATTTTTTCCCTGTTGTTTTATACTTCGCTTCGCTTGTTTTTTAATCATTTGCATTTTTCTTGACATTTTTTCAGTTTCGAAAAATGGACGCGTCGAAATGGAAACTATTACCACAGGTTTGTTATTTTAATTGTTTATTTATTAAAAAAATATTATTCCAATTTGGCATAAAAATAGAAAAGTTCAAATTTGTTATCATAAAAATTATCGCTATCAGTTTTATTTTCAAAAAAACTATATTTTATAAAAGTAATTCAATAAGCCGATCAGAATTTTACATATTTTGAAAAATCGTGTTGAAAAGTGTTAGTCGATCAGTTAATCAAACAATTGACCCAACTTCTCACATTTCTATTATATTTTCAATGTGTGCACACTTTTCATCACCAACAAATTTGGTTTATTTATTATATTTGATTTTCAATTTTTTCCGAAGGGAAAGTTAGCTGGAAACTATAATAGTGTTCTGTTCTCACTCATAGTTCAACAAATCTATAATTATTTTCGCTTTTTTCATGATATTTCGTATAATTTTATTTCTTTTCTTGAAAATTGTGATATAATGATTATTCTCGAGCTTTTATATATAGAATTGAGGATTTTAGTTCTCAAATATTTTGGAAAACTTATAATTTTTCTGTGAAATTTTTAAAATCCCAAGCTATTTTCTCCATTATTATCCCATATTTAAGAAAAGTTCTCTAAACTGAATGAATCATAAAATTCTCTGCAAAATTTTCGGAAAACTGAATTTGAGATACCTGAAAATTTGCTTGGGAGAATAATTCAGAATTTTTTCATTCACAAAAACTTCATTTTCATTTTGAAACGTGTACCCAAATTTTGTAGAGCTATAATGAAAATCCAGAATTTAAATTGAAATATCTGAACCGTTATAATTTGTTCTGTTCATTTTTTTCAAATAATTCATTCATGCATTTTATATTCTCATTCGCAGAAACGTTTTTTGCGAAAATTTTGAAATCGAATTATTTTAGCTTTACTTTTCTTTTATCAAAATTCTAAATTTACCGTTTCTTTTCATTTTTTCTCAAAAGACAAGGTCAATCGATTTTTCCAACCAATTTTTTTTATTAACAAATTATTTCATTTCATTTCAGCTATACACTTTTGAATTCAATTATTCATTTGTTTTCAGAATAATATTGAAAAATTTCTCGGGTTTTTTCGATAATTAGTTTTTGAGGACAATTGTACAGAATTGAACAATATTGTTAGTACAGGTGTATGTGTCATTTCATTTTTTGTTTAGTATGAATCACATACACATTTTGCTACTTTTTTCTTCCGCCTTTTAATAATTTTATCTGCGCGAAGCGATCGAGATATAATAAAATAAATACAAACTTTTTTTTTTTTGATTTTTGTCTTCTTCGTTACATAGTTAGTTGTCAAAAGGATGCCTTCTTCTCAACCAAAAAAAACTATCTGCGTCTCTTCAGTTCCCACGGTCTTTTCTCATGCATGTTTCTGTGATTCGCCAACTTTTCTTTTTCACTTTCTCCTTCCTCATTTTTTAGTGGTTGTTTTCATAAAGGAGAATTTTCATTATTTTTTCGGAATTTTTAGTCGAAAAAATATTGAATAAAAGAAAATTCGAAAAAATGTGGATAAAAATAATTATTCGGTTTTTTTCAGAACGAAGTCGATGCACGTAGCGAAGATATAGAAGAAGACGACGAAGAAACTGATTTTCGTGAGTTTTTTACGGGTCGTTAAACTCATGAATAATGTTGGAATATCCCAAAATGAACCTGTCAGCCGAGAATTTCTGAAACCGAGAAATTCGTTCTAAAAAGTTTAATAAGACCTGATAAATATGAGAAAAATGGTCTCTAAAGAAATTTCGGAAATGTTTGAAAAAGTAGGAATTTGGCGTGGGAAAATTATTTGGAAATAAATTTTGTGCCTACACAAAAACTTACTCTATTGTCAAATTCAAAGGTCTATTTGGGCCTTGAAATTTGTTTCTAAAAAATATTTTCATACGAATTTTTTTCTTCACAAATTTCTAGTTTTTGCTTCTATGAGTTACCAATATTTTTCATATATTTAAATATTTATGTGTAAATATACATTTATTTTATTTTCTTTCCAACAAGCAAACAAAGTGTTTTGTTCTTCTTTTTTTCCTTCAAAATCTCATATACACTTGAGAAATAAATATATTACATTTGATTTATTATTCTTTTTCGGTTTTTTTCTAGAATGTGCCATGGTCGAAACTCAAACAACAATTCCACAAGAACAACCAATAAAACCGAAAAAAGTTCGAAAATGGACAGTTCATCCGGGAAGAAATAGATTTTGTTGTCAAGGAAAATTGGTTTGCTCGAAAAAACATGGAGCATTTCTACTAACGGTTTTTATTATGTCAACTACTATGACATTATTTTTTGTTTTTGAGTGAGTTTTTTTCATTAAAAAGTTGTGTGATCTCAAAAAAAAATTTGCAGTGCTCCATTCCTGTGGTCCAAAAATCCAAGTATTCCAATCATTGCTGCTTTATTATCTATTTTTGTGATAGCAAATTTTATTGTGACATCATTTACTGATCCTGGAATATTACCAAGAGCTGGGAATTTTGAAATTATTGAAATGGATAAGCAATTAGCAGCTACTCGTGAGTTAATTATAATTTTAAAAAATTAATTCAGAGAAAAAATGATATGTTTTTAAAGAACCTGAACAAGTTGCAAATCGACCGCGAACCAAAGAAATTGAAATAAATGGTGAAAAAATGCGTGTGAAATATTGTACAAGTTGTCGAATGTTTCGACCTCCGAGAGCTTCGCATTGTGCAGTTTGTGATAATTGTGTATTAATGTTTGATCATCATTGTGAGTTTTTTGAAATTTAATTTTTGACGGTACATAATTATCTATTTATTCAGGTCCATGGGTTGGTAATTGTATTGGACTTCGGAATTACGCATATTTTTATCGATTTGTTGTTTCTTTGTCGATTTTGATCGTTTATTTATTCACTTCTTCGATAGTTCATATATGTTTGAGTAAGTTATTTTTAAAAGAAAATTGCAAATTTTAACAAATATGATAAGGTTTTCTCAAATATTTTTTTAAAGTTCTGCAATTTTTGAACTTTGATACAAAAGCACTCACTAATTGTAAAAATTAGGTATTATTCATCAAGAATAGAACATTTTCACGTCACAAAATTAGCCAAAAATCTGTTTTTTTTTTCAATTCCCAAAAATATAAATAAATATCAATTTTTAGGTGCAAATGGTCGTCCATTCATGGAAGTAGTTCGTGATTATCCAATGTCAGTCGTAGTTGCAGTTGTGTGTTTTTTCTCAATTTGGTCACTTATTGGACTTACATTTTTCCATTCATATCTTCTTTTTACTAATCAGACAACAAATGAGGATGTAAGTTTTATTCGTTTTTTGTTTTTTTCAACAATATCATTTTATTTTAGTTAAAAGGCACATTCCGAAAGAAAAATCGAAACGCTGAAAATTTGGTGAAAAATCCGTTTTCACGTGGATATTTGAAGAATATGTGTCATCGAATGTTCAAATCAACATTTCCAAGTGTTTTGGATGCAGACGGGTTTGTTAATGATAATATTACGGTTATTGTTCCAAAAACATTCGAAAAACAAACTGGTCAAGATTCGAATATTCAGCAACTTGATCCAACTTTTGCATAATTTTAACATTTTTCATTTTTTACGGGTTTTCTTCATTTGCTCATTTACAATTGCTCACAGTTAACATTTATTCATATTTATGCCACAAATTTGAAAATAACAATAATCAATAAAAACATGAAAGATCTTTGAAAAATATATTTATTTCAAAATTCGTTCGTAGAACGACAAAAAAAAACATGTAAAATTTCAAATGCAAACCGGTAAAAGGATCAAATCTCAAACAAAAAAAAAGTATTTTGGCAAGACCCATGAAACGAAAAAAAAATCAAAAAAAGTGAATATCACATAATATGCTATTGTTTGATTTCACAGGAAAAATGCCTAAAAGACAATAAAATAGAAAAAATATATACATACACATATAATTCAATAGAGATGCGACTATTTCAATTAATTAGGTATACAAGTTATCTTTGGCACGTCGAGAATTTTCTGAGTTTTGTTGTTGCAAATCAGGAGATCCAATTGATGTATTTGGAATGTGAGCATAAGGATTTTCTGAAACTCAATCGTTGAATAGAAAATGAAAGATTTGATATTATACGGTGGATTTGGAACTACGAGTGAAACTATTAGAATTGAAATACAAAGGTGAATCAAACAATAGAACTCACCGCGACAACAACTTCTTCGCAAAAGACAAAAAAGGAAAAAAGTGAAATTAAGAAAGAAGAAGAAGAAGGAATAATACAGACAGGAAGACAACATGCAATAAGTTAGAAAATTTCTGAGTTGAATTGGATCTACGAGTTTGATATAAGAAACATCAAGACCCATTGACAATAACAATAACAACACGATAAACATGCAAACAAGTCTTATTATTTGCCTTGCGGAATGTTGTCGTCGTCGCTGAGTTCTTCGTGTTGATTTTGATTTAATAATGGAATATTCGCACCTTGATTTGAAGTCGATGGTCCGCCAACTTCGTCCAATGATGCATATTCATCTGAAAATATTGAATAAAAATATTATGAAACTAGAAATACTGTCTTTCAGATGCTCTGGGTTTTCAGAACCCAAAAAACTGTTTCTGAAACACTGATATGAAATTCGTTTCATAAAACTTGAAAATAAGGTGGAAACATCTTCTGAAGTTTTGAGCTTATTAAGAAAGTTCGATACTTTTGAACTATGCTTTATTTCTGATTTATCCCAAAATTTCTAGTAAAATGCTTACTGTGAGTTCGATCGAAATTAGTTCTTCCTCGAATTTTTTTGTCTTCCAATTCTTCTTCTTCAACTGTCAATATTCCTTCATTTGGTGGATCAATTATATCGAAAGCACTTTGTCTTTGTGCATATAATGGATTTTGGAATTGATTTCCTTCGTCATTTGAAGGAACATTTTTGAAGCTGAAAATTTGTTTTTGATACCTTTCTCATAAAATATAAGTTAAAAACTTACGTAACAGTTGGCATATCGGGATCTTTTTCTTTTTGATATTTGTTACGATAGAAAATAACAAGAAGTCCTAAAGCGATACAACTTGCGAGGGCCAAAAATATTATCAACCATAATGATCCACGATTTGATGTTGAACCATGAAGAGCTTCGAATTCTTGTTTCGCTTTTCCGCAACTCAATTGATCCACGTGACAACATCCAATTGCAGCATCACATTCATATCCATCGCCACATTCTTGTGGACATTCATTTTTACAGCGAAGACCAAAAGTTCCAGCAGGGCAAACTATAACATTTCGTTTTTTAAAATATTTATTTCAAAGTAAAATAACTTACGAGCATGACAAAATTCTCCAGTAAAACCAGCGTGACATTGACAAGCACCGCTTATACGATTACAAGATGAAGTTGCTGTTCCTTGACATTTACATTTCTTAATACAATCTGGTCCATAATATCCATCTTCACATGGTTTATCACATCGATCGCCTTGGAATCCAGCTGAACACGAACATTCTCCGGTTTGTCGGTTGCATTCTTTATATTCTGATGCACAATTACATATTTTTGCACATCCAGTTCCCCAGGTTCCACTTGCACAAGCTAAAAATTGAATTTTTATATGATTCAGCTAAATATTTTTTGAACTTACGTCGAGTACAAGTAGCTCCTTCTAAACCAGCCGGGCAAATACATTGTCCATCTGTTTTATCGCATTTCGCTCCATTTTCACATTTTGGACATTTTTTGGAGCATTCTAATCCCCAAAAACCATCGTCACATTGTTTTTCACAATTTTCTCCTTGATATCCAGCTTCACAAATACATTCGCCAGTTACTGGATGACACGAATGTCCATCAGAACATTTACAATTCTCTGAACATCCATCGCCATATTTTCCTTTCGGACAAGTTTCTGTACAAATAATTCCAGTTTTTCCAGGTGGACATTTACTACAAACTCCGTTTATAGTATCACATCCATCACAATCTTTTGCACATTTTTGATTGCATCCAACTCCAAAAACTCCTTTCTCACAACTTTTTGAGCATCCAACTGTTGATTCCAATCCTAATTCACATTCACATTTTCCAGTTATTTTATGACAATATATTCCATCTCCACAATCACATGTTTTTTCACAATTTTGTCCGAATTTTCCAGCTTCACAATTTGTTGCACATCTTGGTCCAAAACTTCCAGCATCACAAGTACATTTTCCAGTGATTTTATCACATTTTCCGTTGATACAATCACATTGTAACTTACATTCTGGTCCATATGTTCCAGCTGGACATTCAGTGTCACATTTCCAACCTTTCAAACCAGCTGGACATAAACATGTTCCAGTTGTTGAATCACATCCAGCACCATTTCGACAATTACAATTTTGACAATTTTCTCCAAATGTTCCAGCTGGACATTGAATTTCACAATTTGCTCCAGAATGACCAGATTTACATTTGCATGTTCCAGTTTTGTCATCACATCCAAGTCCGTTTTGACCACAATCACAAGAATGTTCACAATTTGGTCCATATTTATCCAAATCGCAAGTTTCTCCACATTTTTCTCCTTTGAATCCAGGTTTACATTCACATTTTCCCGTTTTCGAATTACATTCATATGTGTTATCCCAATTACAACTGCAATGTTTCTCGCAATTTGGACCATAGGAATCTTTGGAACAAGCTTGTTCACAATTATCTCCAAAATATCCTGGTTTACATCTACACATTCCAGTATTCGGTGCACACATTATTGTATTATTCATAACACAAGAACATGATTTGGCACAATCCAAACCGTACATATCATCCGGGCATACTGTAATTTATAACAATCATTAAAAAATCCTCACATATTTAGATAGCCGAAAATTCTTAAAACCTACGTCTTTGAGTGCAATTATCTCCTTTATATCCTCTTTCACATTCACATTTTCCAGTCACAGAATCACAAGATGCATTCGAATCAGCAAATTCGAGTCCAGGACAATTGCATTTATTCTTACATTTTTGACCGAATGTTCCTTTTGGACAGCCAATGTCACATTTCTTTCCAATCCATCCAATACATTCACATTCTCCAGTTATACTGTTACAATCTTGATTGTTCAAACAATCACATTTCTTTTCACAGCCTGATCCATGGAATCCTTTTGGACAAGTTTCTTCGCAAAGTGCTCCCTGAAAATTAAAATATCGAACTGAGAATGATAAATATTTTTTTGAAAAACGTGAACTACGCTGTACAGCCTCCACGTGGCAATTAGGAAATACTTTTTTTCGAATTTAAAAATGACTTGAGATGGGACAAAGTCACGAAAATAATCAATTTTAAATACATTAATTATTTCATTTTTGTGAATTCATAATTTCACAAAAAAACCTTTTGATAAAATTTTGAAGACTCTGGATCACTGTATCTTTTCTTCAAAAAAAACTGACCATAAATCCTTTAGCACAAATACATTTTCCATCAACACTATCACAAGTGGCGCCATTCTTACAATTACATTCAAAAACACAATCAGCTCCAAACTTTCCATCTTCGCATTTATTCAAACAATATTCTCCAGCCCATCCATCCGAACAAACACATTTTCCATGTTTGTCGCATTTTCCACCGTTTTGACATGGACAAGAATTCTGACAATTTGGGCCCCATTTATCGATTGGACATTCCGTTTCGCATTTTGTACCCATAAAACCAGAAATGCAAATACATTCGCCATTTTCAGGGTCACAATTCGCACCATTTTCACAATCGCATTTTTTCGAACATCCAAGTCCCCAAGTTCCAACAGAACAAGCTACAAAATGAAAAAATGAAATCAATTTTTTTGTTGAAAATAAACTCACAAGAAGCACATGTTTTTCCACCAAATCCAGAATCACATTCACATTTATTTGGTTCAACACATCTTCCTTTTTTGCAAACTGGGTTACAATCCGCTAAAAATACGCTCAAATAATCTCAGAAAAAAAAAATTTCAAAAACATACGTAGACAAATATTTTCTTTTGTTTGATAATATCCTTGACAACATTGCTTGACATATTTCTCTTTTTTCACCAAAACTCTATCATATGATGCTTTTGCTCCAGTTCTAAAAGAAAACATAAACATATTCGAAAAATAATTAACTTCTTATTATTAAAAAAAAACTAACTTTGTAACAGTGCATTTGAATCCTTTGCTAATATCCGGACACCATTCAGTTTCAGTTATAGTTACTGGATGAGTTGTTTTTTTGAGATCATATACATCAACGCTGAAAAATAAAACTTATTTTATATATTTGAATAAGTGCTTATACAGTAACCTAAACGGAAATGAAACGATTAAATAAGTAGGTCAAATAAGTATTATGATTAATAACGGGGTAAAAAACTCACATAGTTTTAACTGTGCATACATGTTCTCCAGTTGGTTCTGATGTTGTTTCTGGTTTTGTTGTTGGTAAACCCAATGTAAAAGAGACCACTAATAGGAATGGGATCACCAATTGGTGAAACATCTGAAATATTTAATATTTATATTTTGAGAATGGAGAAACAAAGCAATAATCCATGGAAGAGAAATCAGAGTAATCTTTGGCGAAAATGAGAAGATCAAATTTTTCTATTCAAAAAGTGTATTTTTTCGGATATAATATTGAAAGGTCAGCAAAAATAAAACTGGTTGAGTTAATCTTGTTCCATCGGATGACTGTTAGAAAATATTCCGCCCCGCGAAAAAATAGAATAAGAAAATGAGAGAGGCAGACAAGATTCGATTGCGCAATTTATTTGGAAGAAGACGAGCCGACCAGATATTATAAACAATTTTGTGTGACGGAATAAAGGTAATTGCAAAAATATTGAGGAAGAAAATGACGAAGAAATATCACAAGAGGAAAGGGGAAAAATGAGAAAACTGTGAAAATTGTGAGAAAGAGGAGGGGCGGAGCCAAATATATATCATTATAAAAAAAAGAAAACGATCGAAAAAATGTTATCGGAACAATCTTATTGATAAGATTTCTAGAAAAATAAAACGAGCTAACATTGCTCATATCAACAAAAATATAAAGCGAAAGAGAGAGGATAGAGAGTATTTTGAGAGAGAGACGAAGGGAGACGAGAAATCAAAACCTATCTCAAAAGTCGGGAGGTTTTTCTATGCTGCATTTTTGAGTGAGAAACACCGTAGCGGATTTTTCTCAAAAACTACAATTTTCGGAAGAAGATGGGATTTTTTTTTTAGAAAAAATACCAGGTTAACTATTTCCAGGTAATTCTCATTCTTCGTCTCATCATAAAAAATCAATTTGATTTTCAAAATGAAAATATACATATTTTGAAGTTCTAAATTATGCCCCCAGAAAATTGAATGAAAAATAAACAAACACAAAAACCACATGTTCACAGATTTGAAAACTAAATATTAATAATAATAACAAATACAATAAAATATATCGAAAATAATAATTGGGAACACCTAGAGAAAAAGAGACGCAGACATTTAGAACAGATAAAATCTGATCCGCAGCCACCAATCTGTATTTATAAGGAGGTGCTACAAATTAGCATATTTACAATATTTAGTTACGCAATTTATTTTCTCAGGATCGGAGAGAATAATTAATTAGTTGAGAACGGGGAAGAATAAAAAGAGCAGTTGAAAGATAAAAAGAAGTATACTTACTTTAAAGAATAATAATAAAAGACAGTAAATAATCTGTCACATCAAATGACAAATCAAACAACTTATCTATCATAAGAAGACTCAATGAATCATCATCAATTATTTTTTACCGCATTTAACCTAAGTTGACCAACCCAACCCGACCCGAATATAAATAATGAAAATAAATGCGCCGAAAAAAGGTGCAATCAACCAAAACTACAGTAATCTGCACTTTTAAATGGTGTGATATTTACTTCACCACGAGTTGTACTATTTGAGAAAAAAAGAGATATGTTTTTGTTTTTTTTTTTCGGTGGCGCGAACAATGTTAGAAGGTAGAAAATGTATAAACAATTTTACGGTTAGCAAGACAATGAAAGAACGAAATGGGGAAAATATTTTTTGAGAATCGGGATGAAAAAAAAAGAAAATTTTTCAAAGCGAAAAATATTTCACAACGAAATATTACGAGAAACAAGAGACTTTGTGCGATTTACTAAAAAGAACAGTGATTATTTTTGGAAAATAAATAACTACAGTAATCCAACTCAACTAAAATCTACTAATATTCAAAAAAAACACCTGGGGATTATAGCCAGATGTTTTTAAGGAAAAAATTTTTCAAAAAAAAAAAAACAAAGAATAAATTATAGCTTTCAGATAATATGAGCAATGCACTCAGTAATTAGACTTTTTAAAATAAGTCTTAAAATGACCAGCATATGAGAAAACAACAGGCAAATATTTTGAAAATAAACAAAACCTGTCCGAAATCGTGAGGAAAAGAAGACGAGTAAGAGAATTCAGTTGAAAAAAACAGGTCATACAAGAGACGCAGACAATAAAAAAGCATGACTCATACGAAGAGACGGAAAAGAAAATGACAGGAAAAATAAGAAGAAAAAGAAGAGGAGAACACTTTAACTTTTTTGTGTGTTTTTTTTTTGTTTGAAAGAAAAAAGGCACGGAATTGGATGGACATAGGAAAATGATGACTAATTGGATAATTTTTGAAAAACATTTGACGATGACACATAGCTGCGCACAATTGATCTTTTGATAGAAATATCAGAGATTAAAAAAACACATTCGCTCAAATATTTTTTGTCAAATGATCGATTGGTAAAACTTTTATTATGGAGCATATGCCATCAATGTTTTAAAATAACAATAAATCAATCAAGAACATGTGAAAAATATCGATAATGATGCGATGGTTTGCTTTCCGAAACATTTTTTGATTTTTTTTTTGAAAAAGGCTCTAAACATTTTGGGCCTATAGAACTACACACAGAGAATTAATTGTTGAAGCACGAAATCTGAAAATTTGGAGAATTTTTTCAAAGAGAAACAAGGAATTTTTGGATTACGAAATTCTGAACTTCTCAGAAATTGACACAAAACTTTTGAAAATCAAATAGATGATTTTACCGAGGCACTTTTAAAGCACGTTTTTTAAGTTTTGCCTGAACTACTTTTAGTTTTACGAATGAATCGCAATGTTTTTTGTTGGTTTTTGCAAAAACGCAAACTAACAACAATTGTGATGATCTACCAAGATTTCTGAAATTTTTCTCATTTTCTTTTCAATCCAAAAATAAAGTTGAAAAATAGCTACTGTGAAAACACATTAAGACATCACGATCACATACGTTGCCAAGAAACCTCCACAAATTAAACCATCACAAATTATAACTTGGAACTCCCAAAGAGTCTACAGTACATCCTGATTTGTGGTTTTTTGTTTGCACAGAGTCTTTGGTCAAGAACCGAGCATTGTTTGATTCAAATGTTACGTTTTTTGTACTAATTTTAAACGAAAAAATCGAATGTTCACTTTTTTCAGATGAAAATTGAAATCTACTACCTAAAATCAAACAATGAAAATATGAAAACAAAACTCACAATAGATTAACCTTGATCTTTTACTCATTCAAAATCACAAATGTGTTTTGTTGGATTAATTTTCCATATTTCAATTCAGTTCCCATATATTTTCCCTCTCATTTACTTCTTAGTTAATATTACCAATCTCTAATATTAAATGATTTCTGACATTTCACAAATCAGTAACAACATTGTTTTAAATATAAATATTAATACAAATCCCCGCCCTTTTTTGTGTTGTATGGCTTTTTCATCGAGAGTAGAGTGAATCACATCATTTCGACTAAATACAATTTTTATTTTTTTTGACAATGAAATATTTTCATATTATTGGTTATATTATTGCACTCACAATATCTATTCATTTTGTTTTTGTATATTTTGATACGAGTAATTGGGTGAGTTGGAATTGAAAACAAAATTCGATTCAGAATTTTTCAAATTTCAGAATTTCTAGATTTAGAAACCTGGAAATTAACTCCCAGACGTTGCATAAACTTTTTTTGTTGAAAATTTTGTTTTAAAAACTTTCACTAACCAAAAACTTTTGTTTCCATAAAATTCACATTTGAAAATTTATTTTTGCATATAAAATACTGGATTCACAATATCCCGATGACGGAATAATTTACGGGTTTTTTTTTCAAAAACTGGTGTTGATATTTGGAAATTTGTTTTATTTTGAATATATATTTTTTTGAAAAGACCTTTGTGCGGGGGAGCCAAAAATTATAATAATAATGGAACGATTTGTGTGAACAGCTTTCGAATTATTCAAAACAATATTTATCTTTTTGCAGGTTCCAGTAAAAGAATCGAAATATTTGACCGCAACATTATTCACAGTGAATCAAGCTGGATTAGGAAATTGTCTTTTTGAAGTTGTTGCTCTTCGTGGAATTGCTCAAACCACAAATCGAATAGCATTTGTAAATTCGAATGAAAAAGAATTGATTGGGAATTTTGAAAAACGGATTGGAAACAGTTTTCCGGAATTATACAAACAATTTGAAATTAAAAATGTTGATGTAAGTTTGTTCAAGAGAAACAGTTTGTTTGCTTTCAATTAAAAACTGACCAATTAGTTTGTTACAACAGTATTGAAAAAAAATTTGTTTTTTTCAGAAAGATGATATTCTGAGAGTTCCATTTCAAGGGGAATGTTGTATTCAAACACATCCACGTGGAATTAAAAACATATCACATCAATTTATGCATATTGAAGGAGCTTATTATCAGGTTATCATTTTTCAAAAACTTCGAAAAATTTTTTTTTCAGAGCTTCAAATATTTCGATCACATTAGAGAAGATGTTAGAGAATGGTTGAAACCAGCTGATAAATATTTTCTGATAGCAGATTCTTATTTACCGAAAAAAGAGCAAAAAGACAAATTTAAAATATGTACTCATATTCGAAGAGGTGATTTTGCCACTGATAAAATGCATGCTCCAACGAATTCAAATTTCACAATACGGGCTTTAAAGTTTTTGGTGTCTGAATGTGAGTTAGAACAAAACCATATTTTTTAATAATTATTTTTCAGATGATTTTGAACATCACAACAATATGATGTTAGTGTTTTTAGGAAATGATGAAAAATTTGAGAATGAACTTCGAACACAAATTCAAAATATTGATGTACATAAGTTTGATACAACAAACTGAAATGCATCCGAGATTTTTCAGACAATAACCCTTCCAAAATCAGATCCAGAAATCGATTTAGCATTTTCAAGAAAATATTGTGATGTAGTTCTAATAACAGCACCATCTTCAACATTTGGTTGGTGGTTGGGATATTTATCAAAAACTGGAAATGAAGTATATTATGAAGATATTTTGGAAACTGGTGATAAAGTTGCCTATCAAATGCATCAACAAGATTTTTATCCAAATAATTGGATAAAATTAAAAACTTATCGAAGAGATGGATCTGTTAATAAATTATAATTGTTTTTAGTTTGAAATTGTGATACTTACAAGGGAACATTTTCGGGTTATCAACTATTTTTTGAAATAAAACTTTTCAGTGTCTGAAGTTTTCTGGTATCTAGCAGAAGATTCAGGTTATTGTAGATGTTTCTTAATCCTCCAATCGAAACAATCTGATTTTCTACACTGAATATCTTTTGATTCAAAATTTCAAAGTTCAACTTCAAAATTAAATTCTTCCCCCAGTAATTTCGAGTCTGATTTTTCAAAGTTTTTTTTTTCAAAATTATCTTCATTTTCGCTTCAAATCTATTTTTTAATTCTTAATTTTTTCCAATTATGATTTTTTCTATTCAGTTTTCCGCCGTTCCAGAAAAAAATTACGAAAAGAAGGAAATCAAGGCAAAAACCTATAATCATAGTTTTTTGGTGTTTGGTGAAAAGTTTTTGAAATTTTTCTTTTTGGAATCTCTATTCCCAAGGATTTCCTATCTTTTGCTGCAAAGATTGTGAAGTTTGGTTGAGTATGACCGATTTTAGCATTTTTTGTGAAAAAACGAAAAATGGTTTTGAGGTTGGCGAAAAAATTCACAAACCGTCGTGTTGTCTGGCGTCTCTCTTACACAAACACTCTCTCGTTTATTTTTTCAATTTGGTTTTTTTTTCCGTGAAATCAGGAAATTTCACGATTTTCATCGAGAACATCATATATGAGAAAATAGAGAAACACAAGGCAAAGACAGAAAAATAGAATAGAATTGTAAAATTCAACATCGGATTGCAAAAATTAAGCGAAAAACCAATAATCATATTTTTTTGGTGTTTTGTGAAAAGTTTTCGACGTTCTTCTTTTTGCAATCTCTATTCCCAAGGATTTCCTATCTTTTGCTGCAAAGATTGTGAAATTTGGTTGAGTATGACCGATTTTAGCATTTTTTGTGAAAAAACGAAAAATGGTTTTGAGGTTGGCGAAAAAAATTCACAAACCGTCGTGTTGTCTGGCGTCTCTCTTACACAAACACTCTCTCGTTTATTTTTTCAATTTGGTTTTTTTTTCCGTGAAATCAGGAAATTTCACGATTTTCATCGAGAACATCATATATGAGAAAATAGAGAAACACAAGGCAAAGACAGAAAAATAGAATAGAATTGTAAAATTCAACATCGGATTGCAAAAATTAAGCGAAAAACCAATAATCATATTTTTTTGGTGTTTTGTGAAAAGTTTTCGACGTTCTTCTTTTTGCAATCTCTATTCCCAAGGATTTCCTATCTTTTGCAGCAAAGATTGTGAAATTTGGTTGAGTATGACCGATTTTAGCATTTTTTGTGAAAAAACGAAAAATGGTTTTGAGGTTGGCGAAAAAAATTCTCAAACAGTCGTGTTGTCTGGCGTCTCTCTTACACAAACACTCTCTCGTTTATTTTTTCAATTTGGTTTTTTTTTCCGTGAAATCAGGAAATTTCACGATTTTCATCGAGAACATCATATATGAGAAAATAGAGAAACACAAGGCAAAGACAGAAAAATAGAATAGAATTGTAAAATTCAACATCGGATTGCAAAACACGCCTTTTTGAAACAAGGAAAATTTGCAAATTTGGAGAGAAACTGAGAAAAAGACAAATCGAACTGCAAAATTTTTTCGCGCTGCAATACCAGTCAAAAATTTCTTCATTTTCAATTTTTTTTCACTTTTTAGGCTGGTTCTCTCGCCTTTTTCTGCTTGTCGCGCCTAAAAATAGATAAAAAATACGGAATTCGAGAAGAAAAACCATAAGAAAAAGTTTAAAAAAATGGAAAATGAATAAATTTTTGATTGGTATTGCAGCGCGAAAAAATTTTGCAGTTCGATTTGTCTTTTTCTCTGTTTCTCTTCAAATTTGCAATTTAAAAAGGCGTGAAAAATTAAGCGAAAAACCAATAATCATATTTTTTTGGTGTTTTGTGAAAAGTTTTCGACGTTCTTCTTTTTGCAATCTCTATTCCCAAGGATTTCCTATCTTTTGCAGCAAAGATTGTGAAATTTGGTTGAGTATGACCGATTTTAGCATTTTTTGTGAAAAAACGAAAAATGGTTTTGAGGTTGGCGAAAAAATTCTCAAACCGTCGTGTTGTCTGGCGTCTCTCTTACACAAACACTCTCTCGTTTATTTTTTCAATTTGGTTTTTTCCGTGAAATCAGGAAATTTCACGATTTTCATCGAGAACATCATATATGAGAAAATAGAGAAACACAAGGCAAAGACAGAAAAATAGAATAGAATTGTAAAATTCAACATCGGATTGCAAAAATTAAGCGAAAAACCAATAATCATATTTTTTTGGTGTTTTGTGAAAAGTTTTCGACGTTCTTCTTTTTGCAATCTCTATTCCCAAGGATTTCCTATCTTTTGCAGCAAAGATTGTGAAATTTGGTTGAGTATGACCGATTTTAGCATTTTTTGTGAAAAAACGAAAAATGGTTTTGAGGTTGGCGAAAAAAATTCTCAAACCGTCGTGTTGTCTGGCGTCTCTCTTACACAAACACTCTCTCGTTTATTTTTTCAATTCGGTTTTTTGTGAAATCAGGAAATTTCACGATTTTCACCGAGAAACTGATATATGGGAAAATAGAGAAACACAAGGCAAAGACAGAAAAATAGAATAGAATTGTAAAATTCAACATCGGATTGCAAAATATAAGAATTATTAAAATTTCACATGGAAATTGGAAGAACAAGGATTGTTTCTGACAATGAGGTTTTTTTTTGCCATTTATTTTCGAGGATTTCCAAATTTTTCCAGCGAAGATTTTGCAATTTGGTTGAGTTTGAAGGATTTTAGAATTTTTGTCAAAAGGCCAGAAATGTCTTTGCGGGTGGCCAACGCGGTGGGAAACATTTTTGAAAAAAATTGTTTTTTCGACCGGAGAGGTCTACTGTATTTTGGTTTTCGATTGCACGTTTAATCGTGTTGGCAAAATTCGGAACGTTGGATTTGATAATTTTTTGCCAAAGCGGGAAAACCACATTTTGTTAGAATATTCTAGACACACTTGGTAATGAAAAAAACCACGTTAAGATTTTTTCAGAAATGAAAAATGAATTAAAAATTTTATCGACGTGAACATTCTTTTTTCTTAGATTTTTTTGAGTTTCATTTCCAAATCTTTCTAATTGTAAGTTCAAGTTTATTTTCTCAATATTTCTCAGAAAATTTATTCCTGAACAACATTCGAAATGAAGCTGATCTCTGAAAGACGTATAAAGAAGACACCGGAAAAACAAACGTTGCCAAGAAACCTATTTTCATCAAAAAATACATTTCTCACATTTCATGAAAGCTATCAACAATTTGTTATACTTATGTATTTGCACACAAAAGACCTGCCCCCTTTTTATTCAATGTATTTGTCACACTCATAAAACAGTCGCAAAATTACAAAAATATTTGGATTTCTGTTGTTTTCCTTTAATTTATTTCTAAAATGAGATTTTTCACACTTATTTTTTATATCATATCTATGACTATTTGTATTCATTTTATCTTTGGATATTATTATGAACAATTTTCGGTGAGTTGTTATATTTTTTTGAGTTCAAAGATACAATTTGGAGTGGAATCAATTGTTATTTATTTCCACGTGGGGTTCTGTAAAAGCTGTATAAATATGAAAAATAAACATTGATGGATGGATATTTTTGTTTTAAATTGTGAATAGAAAAAATATTGTTATATTGGTCATTGTGAAAATAGGTCTTGATTTTGTGAAATAGAAAATGCAAGTATATGAGGCTAATAAAATGGTCGACATTGCTATATTTTCCGAAAGCGGTAGATTTCAATAGTTTCTTGATTTCTGAGTTTGGTCCAATTGCACTTGAATTAATAGAGAGTCTTGTTGTTATTATATTCGTGACTTGCGGAACTGATAAAATTGTTGTTATCATCATCAATTAGTACACAATTCCGATACAAACAATTGAATTATCAATAAAATAATGCATGGCCAACATCAAGAAAACGAAAAATTTTTAATATGGAAAATTTTTTTGGAAGAAAAACTGAAAAATATTGATAGAGAAAAATCACATGGAATTTGAACAAGAAAACCCCAAAAATTGTATTTTGATAGTTTTCTGAAATTCTCTACATTTTCATATCCTGCCTTTCCTATAATAGATTTTTTTCAGTATTTCACTCAACAAAAACAATATGTAACCATTAGTTTGTTCACAATCAAACAAGCTGGACTTGGAAATTGTTTTTTCGAATTGTTAGCTTTGCTCGGAGTTGCTGATTCCACAAATCGAATCGCTTTTGTGAATTCAAATGATTCCAAATTAACCGACAAGTTCAAATCACGATTCAAGGAAAACTTTCCAAATCTTTATGAGAAATTTGAATTGAGAAATATTGAGGTAAAATATATTTTTTTACAGATATTAATTTGTTAGTTTTTTTAGAAAGATGAATTGAGAATGGTAGGGTTTCATGGACACTGTTGTAAATACACAAATCCAAGAATTGTTCGCAAAATTCCAGATGAGAACTTGTATTTGAAAGGATCCTATTTTCAGGTAAATCTCACTCCAAGGTGTTTTTTTTATTTATTTTTGATATTTTTAGAGTTATCTTTACTTCGATCATTTACACGAAAAAGTTCGAGAATGGTTGACACCGGCTAAAAAATTTATGGATTTGGCTGATTCGTTCATAAAACCACACCAAGCAGATCGTTTCAAAATATGTGTTCATACTCGAAGAGGAGATTTTGCACCAGGAAAAATGCATTCCCCAACTAATTTAAATTTTACAATTCCAGCAATCAAGTTTTTGTTATCAGAATGTAAGATCTGAAAAAAAATTGTTAGAAAAATCTCAAATTCTTTCAGATGATTATGATCATCACAATAACATAATGCTTGTTTTAATTGGAAATGACGAAAAATTCGAAAAATCAATTGGAGATAAATTCAAAAATACAGAGGTGAGAAATGAATTAGATCAAATAGCACATAGAAAAAAATGAGAAAAATTTGCTTTTGACGCGAAATTACGACCAAAACCCTCTGACCGCACGCTGACCCTCGACTCCGCCCTCTTTTTCTCTCTCAAAACTGCAATTTTGCGGCGCACTTTTTATTTTCCTTTGAAAAATGTTCGAATTCTAGAACATTCTTCTGCGTCTCTCACCCCTTTTCCGCCTGCGTATTTGAATCTGCAAACACTGCACAGCAGCAAAAAATGTTTTATTTTTTCCTATGTGAAATAGTATTTTTCGAATTTCAGAAAGTTATACTACCAAAATCAGATCCGGAAAAAGATTTGGCATTCTCGATAAAATATTGTGATGTAGTTCTAATAACAGCGCCATCTTCAACATTTGGTTGGTGGTTGGGATATTTATCAAAAACTGGAAATTTGGTATATTATGAGGATATTCTAGAAACAGCTGATAAAGTTGCTCAACAAATGTATCAACAAGATTTTTATCCAAAACACTGGATTAAACTGGTCACTAATAATAAAACGGGAAGTGTTAATAAACTTTGAATTTTTCATTTGTCGTATTATTTTCTCTAGAGATTTAGCAAAAGCCATGTCAAATCTATACATTTCTATTTCTATTTCCATTTTTTTCTATTTTCATTTTTATTTTATAGCTCAAAAATTGAAAAGTCAAACTTTTTTCTGCCAGCCTTCTCGAATTTCCAATTTCAATTTATTTTTTTTTGACACAAAATTTCATTTTCACATTTTTTTGTTTCTTCATCTTCTTCTTCTTCCAGTTTGAATAGTGCTTCTTTGGACCCATTCATCTCGTCGCGCACTTTTCTCTGCGTCTCAAAATGGCTCACCATAACCAACAACCACCCAAAAAGAGAAAGAGAGACACCCCGAGAATATATACATTATGTTTAGAAGGAAAAAAAAAGAGGAAGATGTTTCCAACTTTGTCTTTTCCTAGTCGTCTCCATTTCATATATTTTTCGCCGCCACCGAGTTTTGCATATGTATATACTTATCTTTTCGCATTCAAAATTTTCTAAAATTTATTTCATTGTTAAAAGTTATTCGAAAAATGCTCTAAAATTCAGACAATTATAAAAATGATTAAGCTCCGCGAAAAGAAAACACAAATAAATTATGTGTGCAATAGAGCAGACTTGATGGTCAATGTGTTATGTTTTACCTTTTCTATGTGTTTCAGAGAAAAACCCTTGAAATGTCAATTAAGAATTTTTCAAGAGTTGGAACTTTCCAGTACCATCTTATTCCCATCGATTACACATAATTTCCTCAGAAGAAACACAAATCCTTCAAGAAAAAAATTATGAAAAAAATTTTATGCTAAAATTTGAGAAAACAATTTTTATGCAATTGAATTCACACTGTGAAGTTTACTACCTCAAAATCGCTAGACCTCAAATTTTTTAGTAATTTTTTTGGTAGATCAAAAATAATTTTTCTCTAAACCTCTCATTTTTGCGTTGATGTCTTCGATTAGAAACGTGTCAGGTCTCAAGAAATGCGCGCGCGTAAATTACATTCTGTGAATTACACTCAAACTTTTTTTTAAAAGAAATCTGTTTTTTTTTATAAATTCATAACATAAAACAGTTTCCTCGTATCAATTGTTATGTTAATAATATATGAAAAATCCTTTCAAAAATTTTGAAATAAAATCGACTAAGCTCTAATTTTGTTCTCAAACTCTCGATAAAAAAACTATTTTTTTCGGTAATCGAATTAATTTTTCGAAACAATTTCACCCATTTATTCTAGTCATGCCTACTATTTTTTCCACATAAGTATATCTATCAGTCACATACATTTTCAGCTCATTCTTCTAATTCCCCTGACCCATCTCTATATCTCTATTCTCTCCATTCTTCTCATTATCTCTAATTTCTCATTATTCAAAAAATTCTCTATATTTTCGGAGTGCTTTTTAGGCCATCATCAGCAAAAAAGAAGAAGAAGCAGTAGCACGACATCGTTTTGTTGTTTTCCTCGTCGTTTTTCCTCGTTTTTCTTTCTTTTCTGAAAAAACGCGACATGTTTTTTGTTTGTTGTGTGCAATTTGTCGTCGGTTCCGGTGTTCTGCGGAAGTTTCTTCTTTTTTATGTCTTTTTCTAAAGTTTTGATCTTTTTTTCTAGTTTCTTACTGTATATTTGTGAGATTTGATTTGATTTTATCAAAAAATCGACACTCTTTGATCTATCAAAGTATTTATTCAGAACAAATACTCAAGAATTTTCCGACCAAAAATTTACTCGTTTTTTTTCGTTTTTCTTTTTCCTGGTTTCCCATCGTTTCTATCAATAATTCATCAAAAAGTCATCTTCTTTTCCTTTTTTCATTTCTAAAAACGTTTTGAATTTTAAATAATCTACGCAGATTTGCTTGCTCACAAAAGCATTTTTTGTTGAAAAACTAAACACAAGTTCGCGCTTTTAAGTGCTCTTTGAAATCCATTTTTGAAAACAAATATTGACATAAATAAAGTATATCAGACACTTGAGGCATATGTAACAACATTTTTGCAAAACTCAAAAAAATGCACCTTTCGACCACTCAACACTGTGTTTTGTTGTTAACAAATCCTCCCATTTTCCAATTATTCTCAAAAATATTTTCAAACTTTTCCTAATTCTCCGCCAACTATTTTTTATTCTCTTTTTTGTTGCTATTGACAACTTGTGTCTGGAAAAAACTAAATAATGCATATTATTTCGATAAAATATTGATTTTTGCAAGTTTCATGGTTCTATTTCTCTCTTTGGAAAAAAAACCAGGCAAAAAAAACGATAAATTTTTTCGGGAAATTTTTGCTGTCAGATAAAAATCTTATAGATTCATTCACATTCATTGATTCCATTATTTACTTTCTTACTTTCCAAATATTTATTTATTAACTAAAAGTTTTTCGTCAATATTTCCACCCTCATTTTTCCACCTTCGTCTATGTCTCCATAGTGATAATAATCTTTCTAAATCTAGACTTTGCATTAATCCTTTCTTGTTTTTGTTGTTGTTGTTCCATACTTTCATCACATTATTATCAGATCGTATAGATGTTCCTTTTTTGACCTCGTTTCTCTTTTGACCCAATACTTTTGAAACATTTTCGACGAACTTGATAATAATTAATTGAAATTTTCCGTATTTCTGCTACTTCTCGATAAAAATAATTATTCTTTGAAACTAGTTATTGATTTTTTACTTCATTAAATCCATACTCATTCAATAAATATTTATTAATAATATTATTATTCTGTATTTATATTTTTATTTATATTATGTTGTATGTATAACATATAATAATAGTATACAATAGTTAAATTCGCGCAAAAACTTCCAACATTTTCCGCTAATTTTTTCAATTATTTATTTATTTGTTCTTTTTTTCGCTTTAACATCTGTTCTCGATTTTTTGTTGATGCTCTCAATCATTTTCATTTTTCTCTCGTTTTTTTTGTCATGAACGACCTTCCAGATGTTTTTTGTTCCTGGCTGGTTTGATCTTCAGGCGAAATTGCTAAATTATAAGCGTTCAATGACCATTTTATAACTAAATAGCTAGATTCATTCTACAGTAATCTAATTTTTGTTTTCAAAATCTAAATCCCAAGCGACTTTTTCAAAATTGTTTTCCTACTTTGTCCGAAACTTAACGTTATTAGAATATTATTTCAAAAATTTTAATAATGAAAAAATCATTTGCAAAAACCCCGGAATTCTACAGTTTTTTCTCTGATCTTTAAATATGTGGAAAAAATCGAACGCAATAAATTATCGTGCAATTGAGAACAGATGAACAAATGATATTTCCTCTATCTTTTTTCTTCCAATCCTAAAATTCTAAAAGTTCATAATTGTATTGTCTTCTTTCCTCCTCTTATCAACGTTTTTTTTTGTTTATTTATTTTCAATATTGTAAACTCAATAAAATATGTGAGCAGCCTCTGTTGCATTTTTTATTTTTGTTGGTCAACTTTTCTATTTTTGCAGAAACCGACATTATATAATAAAATAATAATATAAAAATGGCATCGGTGGCCGCCATTTCTTCGCCGCCAATGTCACCATTAGGAAATAATAGAGATAAAAGGTATGTTTGGTGGGAAAAAAAAAAGAGAAAATGAATTATGAGATTTTTTTAATTTGGGAAAAAAAGCAATAAAAAACTAACAATGAGTCAAAAACAATTGAGTTCCAAAAAAAATGTCATTGAAGTTTCCAAAAATGTTTCTACAAAAATTCGATGCTTTTGTTTTATAAAAGTTTTGTTTTCTTTTTTTCTCGCAAAAAAAACCAGATGTCCTCTCCTTTTTGCTTCACATTTTTATTTGTAAATCAATCAAAAAAAATGTCTTCTTCCAAGAAAAAATGTATTGTTCAAACAATGTGAAAATTTATAGAAGAACTAAATTTCGTTCGTCTTTCCATATTTACATTTTGCCTCGTCCTTCGTTTTTTTCCTCATGTCAAAGTAAAAAAAAACACAAATTTTGCGGTCGGTAGTAAACAACCTTTTTTTCTCTGTTTTCAAAATGTTTCTTTCATATTTCGCGCACTCTCAAGGTCACCTTTTTCTTTTTTCTTTTCTCCTTTTTTTGATCATATTTTTCCGAATAAAATTCTCATTAAGAAACAAGAAAAAGCTTAGGAAATGCGAAGTATTTTGAAACATCTTGGGTTGCGAAAAAATGGAAAAACGTGGGTGAAAATAAAGAATCTCAATATCGAATAAAATTGAAAAATGAAATATTTCAGAGTTTCATTTGGCGATGATCATACGTTTGTATATGAAAAAGAAGACGATGCAACTCCACTTGTTCCAAGACAACCATTTACAGAGTTAGTTTAACTACCAAATTTTTTCTCATAATAAACTTGAAAAATACTTATTTTCTTTCTTTCTCTTTCCAATAAATCCCCCATTGTTGCATCCATCAAAAGTTCTTTTTTTTTTTCATTTTTTTTTTCTTCAGTTATTTTTTGCTTCACACTCATTTTTATCCCGTCTGCGTCTCTTTTTTTGTTGAGCTCACAACCTCAACTCGTCAGATACATACATTCATTCTTTCTCTTTCACTCTCGAATTTTTTCTCTTTTTTTGCTGTGTTGATTTTTTATTCAGCAAATATATCTACAAAATCTATTATTTTTCTGGATTTTTGTTCTAGTAAATATGAGCAGGTTAGTTATTTTTCAAAAAAAAAAGTGTCAAAATTTATGGGATTTTTTTCTCGTGTAGTTGTAACTAAATTGTAATTTGTACCTTGTAGATCAAGCCCTTTAGAATTGTTCGTAGGTTTCTGATTGTTCAAAAAATATCATCAAAAATTTTATTACTCGTATTACTAAACCTTATAAGGTTTTTAGTATTTTTTCTTATTTAAAATTCACAAAAAATTTCCATATTCTAGATTTCCTGAGATTAATACCTTTTCTTGTTCATTTGAAATTTATTGGGGAAAAAAAATGATTTTTTTCTTGTTGCGCACACATTTTTTGTTTGTAACCAAAGCCATTGCTATAAAGTGTCAAATTTCATGACAATTTGTTAGTTCCCTTGAGGGTTTATGTGTTGCGCATCTCAAATATCTCAAAAGAAATAGAGTGAAAAAATAAGAGAGTTGATGAGAGAAAAAGTTTAAACTGTTCTGAATAGTGTAAAAAAGTGCACGAAAACTTGAGCCAGCTGACAAACGAACGAAAAAGTTATTGATTTTTTTGTTGCTCTGAGGTATTTGAACCTTTATGACGTTTTCAAAACATTGTTTAATAATCCCATAGTTATCTATCTATCGACCAAATATTTGATTATACTATTTTTTTTCTATTTATTTGTTCAGTTGTTCCTAAATTTTGTTGGAATTTTTCTCTCATGACATTATTTTTCAACACAACTTTGAATTTTCTCCGGTTTCATATTTTATTATTATTATTGTTATTTTTTCACTTCAATATCAAACCATTTTGTTTTCTTTTCTAATTCGTACTATTTCTCTTCAACCTATCACTTCAAAAGTTCCATTTTTCTTCTTCCCAAAATATTTTCTTTTTCGTCTGGAAAAATGTCTTATTTTTCAAATGAAAGAAGGTGGGTGGATTAGAAGAAATAGCGAGAGAGATTATTTTTGAAAAATTATGTGAATTTAGATACTGTGGGGTTAGAAATACACTTATTTTTGCATAGGAAAACTAGAATTTTTGTTCAAGTATCTCTCAAAAATTATTATTATTATTATTTTCTATTATTTATTTAGTTATTTTCATTTTTCTTGTTTTTTCATGAATTCCAAAAAACAGGAATTTGGAAAATAATGAGATTTGATTTTTAATTGTAACTTACAGTACTCGCATTTCTAATGATTCTTGAACTACCAATTTCTTCTAGGATTTTTTATTTAGACAAAACATTTTGAAAGATTTTGATTCATTTTTTTTTTGGAATCTACAGTACTACTGAAAAATTATGAAAATGTATTATCTCTGAAAAAAAGTGTCATAAATCGGATATGATTAAAGAAATGGATATATGTTTTTTTTCAGTTTCTCTGTCTATTTTTTTCCTAAAAGGGCGGCTCTTCTTCATTCTACTCTGTTTCTGTTTGCAACATCTAGATACTACCATATCTCTATTTCTCTTATATTCAAATACTCTATATTTCTCAGCTCATTCTAATTGCATTCCCTTCCTGCGTCTCTAACTGTCTAATTCTCTTCAATTCATTCACTCTCTCATGGCTTCTTCCTCCTTTTTTGTCCGTCTTCTTCCATTCCATTTTTGGTTTTGTCGACCGACCGGACCTCATTTTACTGGTTTTTTGTTCATTTATCAAAACTTTTATTTTTTCTCTGTTCTCACTAAAAATGAGAGTTTCGAATCAAAATTTTCATCATTTCATTTTTTTTTCAAAAAACCTAACCAGTTTTCCGCGTTTTTCTGTCAACCCGCAATTAAATTGTTGAATTCAAACACTTTTTCAATGACCGTCGAATAATAATAATTTTGAATGATTTCCGGTGCAGGTGTTCTTTTAAACCCTTTTCTCATTTTTCTTTTCTTTTTATTTAGTCTTGAACCCATATGCATAAAGAAATGAAATTAATTAAAAATTGGGGCCAAGAGTAGTAGTACACTTACTAATGCTCCAAAAAAGACAAACGCAAATTTTATGAGCCAAATTGAAAGAGAAAAAAGGATGCGGTTTTGGTGTTCCTCTTTCTCTATTCTTTTTTCGTCTTTTCGATTTTTCTAGGTTCAACTGCTAACGAATTTCTTTCTGGGTCTGAGAAGAAATAAAAAGTTTTCTTCAAAAACTGTGGATCACTAATTATTTTTTTGGAGAAAATGCTTGAACCTAGTTTTTTTCTGTTTCTGCAAAAAATGAAGCCTTTTTTCCGGAAAAATGATTACTGTAGGTTACCCGAATTTTTTAAAAACATTCTAATTAATTGTTTTTCTGTGGGGTGTAAAGTGTGTATATATGTTTTAATGGAGTACTGTAGATTGAAATATTGAGAACAAAATAATCTCTATTCATTACCTTATGGGGCTGTGATTGGTTCTTCTGAATTCTTATAAATGTATACTTGTAGATCAATCACTATTTTTTATAAAAATTTTTAAAAACAATATATTCAAATTTGTCACTTTTCCAAGCAATATATCTAATCTAATTTTTGCAGCCCTGACGCTCCTGTGAGCCGAGTTGTTGTCACATCGGACACTTTGATACCTGAAAATCCTTCACCAATTCCACCACCAGCTCAATTTGAAGAAGTTCGAAGGGTTGCGATTTCACCGCCTTTACCAACAAAGTGAGTTTTTAAAAATTCTTTTAATTTTTCTTTTGAAAAAAAATGGTAAAATCGATTTGTAGACCAATGGAACTTCATTTTCGGTTAGTTTAAAAATACGATAATTCGAGAAAAAAAGCTTTTGTATTATTTAAATAGAAAATTAGTGTGTCTTTGGTAATTGGTACAGTTCGAGTGACATTTTGTTTGATTTTATTTTATTTATTTAGTTCAAAAATCCAAAAATTAATTGAATTTAAGAAAAATGACGGATATCGAGAATCCATTTCGACCGGAAGAGAATTTATATCATGAAGTTGATCCAATTGTTGAGCAATATTTACAAAAACCATTTCCACCAAGTCGACCAGGATCTGCACAAAATACACCTACAAAACAGATTAATTATTTGCCACAAGCGTGAGTTTTTCCAAAGTTTAAAAAATTGGTTTTGAAGTTTCCTTCTAATTTTTCGATATGAAAAAATAATATTTTATTTTCTCAGAAGTACACCTCCTCCAAGTAACGAATCTCCATTATATCTTCAAAATGGTTTGAGCAAAGAGCAATTAGTTCAAAATGAGAAAAATAATCTTGCACAACATTCTGAACCTCTTCTAGCTGAACATAAACGGTTAGTTTTTTTTTAAACTATATTTCTAACTCTAATTTCTTAATTGTTTAGATCAGAAGAATATGTGGAAGAACTTCCACCAGCTGGAAAAAGTCGAATTAATACATGTAAAAAAGAAGAAGTGTGGATGTTGCTCTGTCCAATAAATATTATTTCTCTATTATTATTTTAAATGCTGAATACCCCCCGAAACCCCCAAAACTTTCGATCAAAACCATTTTTTGAACAACGATTTTCTTCGCCTTTTCTCTATTTTTCTTCATTTTACCGGTGTTTCTGAGCCGAACAATTTTTTTTCATTTCGTCGTCAATTTATTTTGTTGTTAGCTTGGTTACTGTAGTTTTTCTTTCTTTTTTCTCTTTCTCTACGAAAAAGAGCTTCGAGATCTTTTTTTGCATCACATATATATTATAAAAGTCTGCGTTTATTAATAAAATATATATGTAAAATATTGTAACTTGGACAAAATTATGAATAAGTTATTATTTTTCAAGAAACAGCTTTGAATAAAACCTGTGAATTGTGAGAAGAAGAAGAGGAAGAAATAGAAGGGCGTGAGTTGTGCCTGAAATAATTCAATTAATTTTCAAGAAATTATTATTTTGACTTACCAAAAGCAATAACTAATAAAACAGTTCGAAAACAAGTTTGAACAACATAACTATCAACCAAATATAAAGATGAAACTCCTAATAAAACACTTATCGAAGCTTGTGTAACTGGCCAACCAACAGTTCCTAAAGTATGACAAAATCTTGAAATAATTGCATTTTGCCCAGTTTTCGGTGCTCGTTTCTCTGTCATATAAGCATAGGATACATGAGCTGCAAAATCAACTGAAAATCCAACACTCATTGCTACAGTAATCATTGAAGTTGCATCAAGTGAAACATTCAAATATGACATACAACCAATAACACCAAATGCAATTGATGAAATATTTAGACCGATTATTATTGAACAAAGTGGTTGAGGAATAAATAAAAGAGCAACTGGTACCATTACAGCTAAATTTTGAAGTTTTGATTTTAAAAAAAAGTTGAGAATAATATTTACCAATTGAAATATAAACATCTTGCATTGTTTGAGGCCACATAATATTATATTCATCTCCGATATTCCAAATTGGCGAATATGTTGTAATTTCATACTTTGAATGTTTTGCACATAAATCTCTTAAAAGAATGGTTAAGTTTTAAGAATGAATTATTATATTTTACCTCATAGTTTGTGCACAATCTGCCATATCTTTGTCACTTTTCAAATTGTTTAATCTTGTTGACAATCTGAATTGATTATCCGACAAAACATCAAAGTTATATTTCTCATTTGACATTAGAAAAGTTTTTTTCGATCTTTCCAATTTGTTTGGATTATTTAAAACTTGGTCAACATTTTCAGAAAAACCAAGTTCTTGTAGATATTTTTGCATTCCAAATAACCAAAATTGTGTTGAATTTCGGCCTTCTGAACACCAAGTCGATTCGAATTCATTTAGAACTTCTATGAAATCATTTCTTTCTTCAATTCTTGAAAAATTCGGAGAAATCATCACAGAAATATCGAGAACCTGAACAATATTTTATATGAATCGGGAACTTAACTTTTCATCGGACAAATTCAAAAATCTAGAGTAACTTAAAGTGGTTATTGCAACCGTGGATCAGTTTTCATTTCTAACTCACTCGGGTATCTTCTGGAAATAAACTGCTTCGAAGTTCAAGAAATTTACGCGAGACAGATTTTTCTTGAACAATGTTTATCAGCTGAAAATAATAACATTTTGTAGATCACAAAGCGTTTTCTTACATCAAACCCAATTTTAAGATTCTGAACACCATTCCAAGATAATGAAAGATATCCAAAATATAAAAATAAACTGAAAAATGCAACTTTTGAATTTGCAATAAAAGGTGCATAATTGTCTTCGAAAAATTGTTGATACCACATTCTTGTTGATTCTTGATTTTCATCTTTTATATTATTATTGTTATTTGTCTCGAAATCAGATATTTTGTGTGTTCCAAGTTTCCAATGTTTTTCCGATTTTGAGCATGTTTCTACAAATATGTTCAAAATATTTTCATTTTATTTATACTCACCATATTGATTGATATCAATTGTTTCACATCCTAAAACTGAATGTTGATTTAATTCTTCTCGTTTTCCTTGAAGTGCTAAAACTGCCACAAACATTGTCATACAATAGAAAAATATTGAAACAATTGCAGCTGAAGAATAATAACAGAAATAAATAACAGCTGGAAGAGGAGCAAATGATCCAATTAAAAATGCAAGAGCATCAGTTAATGTTGTTATTGAAATTGAAACGGCTGCATGTCTCATTGAAGTTTCAATTCGTTTTTGATAAGATAATGATCGATCAGTTTCATGCCAAGCTGCTAACATCAAAAAAGTATCATCGATTCCAATTGCTGAATTATTATTGTTTGATAAATATTTTTGCAATAGAAAATTTATCCAACTCACTCAATGATAAAAAAGGCATTACTGTACACATATCCACGAATGTAACATCAAATAACATTAATAAACCAGTTGATGTTATAATAGCAAATAAAGTACAAATAACACCGCAAAATCCAAGAAGTGGTTTACTCAAAACCCAATCAATTACAGGAAAATATCCCGAAGTATCTTTCCGTTTTACAAATTTGATTGTAAATGTTGTCATAATAGCAAATATTATCAAAACTATGAATGTTATTGAGAATTTTGGAACCAATCTTCGATTTTCTTTTTTCAAGTTCTTCATCAAAAGTTGAAGAATGAAAAAAGTAGAAATTTAAATATTTCGATGGAATTTTTGAATCTCGAATTTTGTTTGCAAGACCTTGTTCAAAATCTTTGGAATAACTCGAAAAATTCTTCAATTGATAAAGAATCATCCAAGCAGATGACGAATTCACATATCCCATTTCATTCAATGATACATTTCCAAGTACTTTTGAAATATCAATTGGTTCTGTTGTATATGAAGTACGGTAGATTGGATAAGTTATATTGAAAACTGTTGAACTATGATTTTTCGAGAATATATCAGCAATAAGTTTGGCATGTGTATTTGAAAAGCATTCATTTTGAAAATATAAGCAAACATCTTTGTATGTGAATTCAGCTCCACTTTGAGATTGAAATTTTTCATTTGGAATCCAATTGAGAATATTTAGAAAATCTTGTGCATATTCAGTTCTCAAAACATTTCCACCATCTTTTGCATTTATTATCAAATAAATGCCTTTTCTTCTCATTATATCTTTTCCTGGATAAAAATGTGAATCATCCATTGCCCAATTTTCACCAAAAATAGCTTCTTCTTGTTTCCAAGTTGCATTCAAAGGAGCATAAAGAAAGTCAACACCGCGAACTATTTTGAAATTTAATACAATTCCCATTGAAAATACAATAGTAACAATGGTTGGAATTATTATAAAAGGCCATGGATTTCTGAAAAAATGATAAGTCAAAATGAAAATTCATAAAATAAATTGTTGACGTGAAAAATATCAAGCAAAATATTTTATATTCTCATTTCGAATTATTTTTTGAAAAATCAAAGTTTTAGATCTTGAATCAAGCGGGAAAAATTCACTTTTTTGTATTTTCTAGTCTTCACATTTTTTTGTAATGCGTTTTTCATTCATAAAAGCTCTAGACAAGTTATTTTTCAAAAACCCAACTTTAAAGTTTCAGAAAACCCTCCAATTTTCTGTGTGTGCAATGGAGCGCGCTTGAGCGTTCAAACGAATTGTGTGCGAAGTGAGTTTTTTATTTTTTCACTCCGAGAAATCGAAAAATTTGCAGTGTTCGTGCCATTTTTGATAGGATTTTCAAACCCGAAAAGGAAAATTAAAAGTGAGTTTTCTTACCTTGCAACAAATGCACAATATTTTTCCATCAAATTAGCCCAAGGGCCTTCGAGTGGAGCAGTTCGAAATATTTTGCCTCTCATAAAGAATAATAGAAATTTCGGAGTTTCACGACTTTTTTGATTGAATAATAAAAGATTGTTTTACCTTCTGACCACTTATTAAAAAATGACCGGTTTTGGCAAAAGTGAGATTCTATTTCTAAGTGGTTAGGTAGATGACTAATTATTCAAGTTTCCATTTTTTTCACTTGGCCAATAAAAAATACGGAAAACAATCAAAAGTGAGTAAATCTTCTAGAAAAACATTGTTTTTGAAGTTTTTTCTCAAAGTTTAATCGGAAAATCGTTGTATTTGTCAAAAAAGTTCAAGAATGACGTGATTTTTAATTTCGAAAACAAACTCACTGAAGCTTTGGTTGAAAAAATCTTTTCAAATAACTTATTTTTAAAAACACCTCCCTTTTTCATGTGTATATTTTAAAAACATCAAACGCGCTCCAATAAAAATTGTTCTTTTAACATTATAAAAAATCTATCTTTTATAGTTTTTGTTCCAACTCCAAGAATAAAAATGAAGTTACGAGAGATTTGTTCTGTTCGGCACACGGATAAATTGCAATCAAGTCGAGTTTGGATGTCATCGTGGAATCATTCTGGAAAATTGATAGCATCTTGTGGCGATGATAAAACTGTTGTTCTTTGGGCATACAATGAAGGTTAGTCTTTTTCAAAGAACAACATTGAAAATATTAATTCGATGATCAAAACTCATCTCGCAATGCAATTATAATTATTATTTCATAGGAAAATTGGAATTTGTGAAACGAGTGGATGGAGAACACGAAAAAGCGATTAGATGCGTCAATTTCTCACATTGTGGAAATTATTTGGCAAGTGCTGGATTTGATGCGGTTGTTGTTGTTTACGCTAATGGAGAGTAAGTTGATAGTTATGTTTTCGTAAAACTTAAAAATTAATTTTAAGACACGGTTTCGAACAATATTCAAGAATGGAAGGACATGAAAGCGAGGTTTGTCATAAATATTTAAAAAAAATGTATTTAAACAAAACCTGAAATTTTTAGGTAAAATGTTGTGCATATTCTCCAAGTGATGAATTCTTGGCAACTTGTAGTCGCGACAAAACAGTTTGGTTATGGCAAAGTATGTTTTGTATAGTTTCTATCAGGATAGATTATTAATTCCACTAAAATATTTTTTTAGTGGATGAGGAACTCGATTATAATGTTTCATCGATTATGCAAACTCATAGTCAAGATGTGAAAAGCGTTGTATGGCATCCACATGAACAGGTAACTTCATAAAAATATATCATGTTCATATGTTTTTCAATTTTAGTTGTTAGTATCTTGCGGATATGATTCAGCGATACGATTCTATAAATATGATGGAGAAGATTGGATTACTCAACAAAGAATAGAAAATGTTCATGAAGGAACTGTTTGGTCAGCTGCTTTTGATGGTGAAGGTAATCGATTGGTTACTGTAGGAGAAGATCATAAAATTAAGGTAAGAGTTAAAAAATTGCAGATAAATAAATTTCTTATAGTTGTTCATGCGTTCAAATATTGGAATAAAATCAGCCGAAAACGATACTTGGATGAAAATTTGTGAGTTAGAAGTTGAAAATACGCGTTGGCCATTATATTCTGTATCATGGAATGCTACAAATGATCTAATAGCAACTGGTGGAGGAGATTCTAAAATAAGGTAACTTCATTCTTTTTGAATTTCTCAATTTGTCTCAATTTTCCAGAATATTCAAAATTGCTGGGAACACCGCGGAAAATTCGATCATAGAACATTTGGGTGTTTATGGAAAGCATGAACTTGAAATTAACAGTGTATCATGGTGTCCAAATCCTGAAACACCAACATTGCTCACTTCTGCATCGGATGATGGATGTATCAAAGTTTGGAATATGGATATTTTATAATTTTGTTCATTAAATTTTTTGTTCGAATTTTCGCTCAGATGGTTGTTTGTTACAGTTTATTTTTATAAATATTTAGATAAATGATTAGAAAATAAAATTTATCAAGTACTGCTACTGCTATTTTTAATTTCTGATTCGTAACACGTTTTTTTCAATCCTCCAAATATTTTTTTGATCAGTTAAATTTTAGGAAAGAAAAAAGTGTGCGGCCGTTCTGCGTTCCAAGACTCCGCCCATTTTTTCAATTTCCTTGTTTTTTTCGCTTTTCGAACGACTTTTTTGTTTCTTTTTCTCGCTTTCCCGCGGAATAATCCAGTTTTTATTCATTGAAATTGAATAAGACTGTGTACATTTTGCGAACAAAAAACGATCATTGCGAAATTCTGCCTAATATCTTTCGTCATTTTTTGCAGTTTGGGCCCAAATCAAAATGAAATTCCTAACTTCATCGGAAGTTCGTTCAACTTTTATCAATTTCTTCCGTGAAAAGTATGAACATACTTATGTTCATTCATCATCTGTTATTCCACACGATGATCCAACTTTGCTTTTCGCAAATGCTGGAATGAATCAAGTAAGTTTAATTTGAAGAATTTTTTGAACTTGATTTTCTTTTTTTCTAGTTCAAACCACTTTTTCTCGGAATTGCTGATCCAAATAGTGATTTGGCTAAATTGAAGAGAGCTGTGAATACTCAAAAATGTATTAGAGCTGGAGGAAAACACAATGATTTGGACGATGTTGGAAAAGTGAGTTTGCTTTTCTATATTTCCTTCGTAATATAATTGTTTAGGACGTGTACCATCACACGTATTTCGAAATGTTGGGTAACTGGTCATTTGGAGATTATTTCAAAAAAGAAATCATCACTTGGGCTTGGGAATTATTAACAAAAGTCTACGGAATCCCAGCTGATCGATTGTATGTATCAGTTTTCGGAGGAGATGAAGCTAATGGTGTTCCAGCTGATTCAGAAGCTAGAGATATTTGGCGATCTGTTGGGTTAGTATTTTAATATAAATAGTTTAATTTTTAAATGTGTATTGTTTTCAGTGTCCCAGATGAAAGAATTCTCAATTTTGGAATGAAAGATAATTTTTGGGAAATGGGAGATGTTGGACCATGTGGACCATGCTCTGAAATTCATTATGATCGAATCGGTGGACGTGATGCTTCTCATCTTGTAAATGCTGACGATCCAATGGTTGTCGAAATCTGGAATTTGGTATTCATCCAATTCAACAGAGAAGAAGGAGGTGCATTGCGTTCTCTTCCAGCTAAACATATTGATTGTGGACTCGGTCTTGAAAGACTTATTGCTGTTATGCAAGACAAATCGAGTAATTATGATACCGACATTTTCACTCCAATTTTTGATGCAATTCATCAAGGAAGTGGAATTCGCGCCTATACTGGTAATGTTGGTTCAGATGATACTGACGGAGTTGATATGGCATATCGTGTTGTTGCTGATCATGTTAGAACATTAACAATTGCACTTTCCGATGGTGGAAGACCTGATAATTCTGGTCGTGGATATGTTCTTCGTCGTATTTTGAGAAGAGGAGTTCGATATGCTACTGAAAAATTGAATTCTCAACCAGGTTTCTTTGCTAGCTTGGTTCCAGTTGTTATTAGTATTTTGGTTAGTTTTATTTGTTTTTCTTAATTCAAATTGGAAGCAATAATTTTAATTTTAGGGAGCCACTTTCCCAGAACTCAACCGTGATCCTGAAACTGTTATGGATATTATTAATGACGAAGAGAAACAATTCTTGAAAACTCTTTCTCGCGGAAGAATCTTATTCCAACGTGCAATTGCAGCTCTTCCACAAGGAACCACAACATTCCCGGGAGATATTGCGTGGCGACTTTATGATACTTATGGTTTCCCAGCTGATTTGACTCAATTAATGGCTGAAGAAAAAGGATTGACCGTAGATAGTACCGCATTTGAAGATGCTCGCAAAAAAGCCATCGAAACATCATCTGCAGGAACTGGAAAATTCAGAGATACTCTTGATTTAGATGTTCATGCTTTGGCTGAATTGCAACAGAAAAATGTTCCAACTACCGATGATTCTCCAAAATATGCCTACAAATTCAGCGGAGATGGTGCAAATGCAGTTTACAGTAAGAAAATCATTTTTAAAAATTTCTAAATTTTTGTTTCTTTTCAGCTTTCGAACCATGTGTTGGAAAAATTTTGGCGATTCGCCGTGATGGTAAATTTGTAAATGAATTATCAGCTGGTGAAGAAGGCGCTATTCTTCTCGATAAGACCAATTTCTATGCTGAACAAGGAGGACAAATTTATGATGTTGGAGTTTTGAGTAAAGTAAATGAGGAAAGTTCCGAATTCAATGTGTCAAATTGTCAAGTTCGTGGTGGATATATTGTACTTGTTGGATCTGCTGAAGGTCATTTTACTGTTGGAGATGAAGTTAATCAACGATTTGATGAAGACAGAAAACAACTTATCATGAAAAATCACACCGGAACTCATGTTTTAAATTATGCATTGAGAAAAGTATTGAATGATTCGGATCAAAAAGGATCACTGGTAACATCAGATAAATTACGATTTGATTTTACCAATAAACAAGCAATGACTGTGAAACAAGTGAAAGAAGCTGAAGAACATGCTCAAGCATTAGTTAATACAAGAGGAAATGTTTATGCAAAGAATTCACCACTTGCTGATGCAAAGAAAATCAAAGGATTGAGAGCAATGTTTGATGAGGTAAGACTGAAAGTTTATTGAAAGAGGAAAATAATAATAATTTTGTAGACTTATCCTGATCCGGTTAGAGTTGTTGCTGTTGGAACACCAGTTGAAGAACTCTTGAAAAATCCAGATGCTGATGCTGGAGAAAATACAACTGTTGAATTCTGTGGTGGAACGTTAGTTTTTTTTTTCATTTGATTGAGAATTAATATCAATTTTTCGCATTCCAGTCACTTGCAAAATGTTTCACACATCGGAAAAATTGTGATTGCATCGGAAGAAGCAATTGCAAAAGGAATTCGAAGAATTGTTGCTTTAACTGGTCCAGAAGCTGAAAGAGCAATTGCTCGAGCTGATCGACTTGAAACAAGATTAACAGAAGAATCGAAATCTGTTCAAAACAAGGATATTGTTTCGAATAAAGAATTATTCAAAGGATTACAAAAGAAAATTCAAGAAATTGTTGACGAAGCAAATGGAGCACTTTTGCCATATTGGAGAAAAGATTCAATTCGAGAAATCGCCAAAGGATTGCAAAAAACATTGGATGGTTATTTGAAAGTTCAACAAGCTGCTGTTGCTGACAAAGTTCTTGCTGAAGCTAAAGAATTGGCTGCAGTTGCTGAACAACCAAATGTTTTAGTTCATGTATTTGCTGCAAATGCAAACAGTAAAGCAATTGATAATGCTTTGAAGTTGCTTAAAGATACTAAAGCTGTTATGGCATTTTCGGTTAACGAAGACACTGGAAAAGTTTTATGTTTGGCAAAAGTTGATAAGGTAAATAAATATATTTTTTATATAAATTTCTATAAAAATCATCATAATTTCAGAGTTTGGTATCTGGTGGATTAAAAGCCAATGAATGGGTCAATGAAGTTTGTACTGTTTTGGGAGGAAAAGGAGGTGGCAAAGATGCTAATGCTCAGGTAATTCATATTTCTAGTTTTCTCAAAATAGTTTTTGTTTCAGGCAACTGGAGATCGATTGGATCAACTTGATGCAGCCGTGGAATTGGCTCGTAAATTCGCTGAAGTCGCAATCAACTAATATTTCAAAATGTTTATTTATTTATTCATAGCTATTCGTATTCCCCCCACATAATGGTTTTTTTGTTCCCCAAATCAATTATTTATTGTTATCTGTTTTTCAAACCCGGTAAATTTTAAGCCTTTCTCAATTTTTTTTGTTGTTTGTGTTTTTTCTTGAACAACAACTGTTCTTTATGCCAGTTTCTCCCACTCATACTCAATTTATCATGTGACAATGATGATTTCTTGGTTTGAACTTTCTGGATAATTCGGGAAAAAATGATTGGACCGAACATCTGGAAACAATCAACTTCAATGTGTGTGTTTTTTTTTTTTTGAAAACGGAACGGAGATAATATAGCATATTGCGAAAAACTTGAGAAAAAAAACAAAAATGTTTGAAGAAATACAATGAATTCTGAAAATATTTGAATTTCTAAAGGCGGGTTACGGTAACTGAGAATTTGGACAAAAACTATTTCAAGTTTCGACTTCTCCATTCAGATCGGGAAACAAAATTTTCCCAAGACAATTTTTGAGCTAATACTGAAAAATGGTCAATTTTCCCCGAATTTCTTTCTCAAATTTCCAAAATTTAGAAAAGGAATATCAAAATTCGGGAAAAATTTCTTGGGAACCTCGAATGAAGCTTGGGAAATATAATTGATTCGAAAACTATGTTTGAAAAAGGGGCCCTGATAGAGTTTCAATGAAAATATAAAAGAGGTCGCCTAAAATAATCAGGAAAACTACAGTAGTCTGGTTTTTTCTCAATTTTCTATTTTGAAGAATCAACGATCTTCCAAGTCTTTCATTATTTCATTCCAGGTTTTCCAATTTTTATATTTTTCTCAAGTTCTGTGCTTCTGAAAATGAAATTTGCGATAATATTTCGAAAGACCAACTCAGGAAAATCATCATGGACCAAAAAATTGACCGGGATTTTGAAATAATACCACATGTTGTTTTTCTTTGTCTGAACACCCACGATGCTGATTCAATCGGTTTCTCGAACTTTCGAAATTTCGAAACCTTGTCTTCCTAATCTCTGATTCTCTCTCCCACCAAAAAATCAATGAATCATCGTGTGTCTGATTCTCTTATTATCCAATTATCTCTCATCGTTTCATCTGGCTCAAAAAGTGGGCGGAGTCAAAGGTTCCGTCGACAGATAAAAGGCACATTCAGACAACACAAATCTCAATAGATTTCTAATTTTCTCGTTTCATTTCATTCACTTTCAATTTCAAAATGGCCAACAGAACTACCGCTGGTGGAATCGGATTCGCCGTCAGACAAAAGGTTTGGTTTTGAATTTTCGGAAATTCATAATTTTTGTTATTTTCAGCAAGACTCAAAATTCATTGAAGAAGAAGGAGCTTTGTTGTTGGAATGGATTAAGAAATTATCGGGAGAAAATATCAACACTGCTGGAAATCGCGATAACTTCTACAATTTGCTCAAGGATGGATCATTATTGTGCAAGTAAGTGTTTCTTTATGTTTTTTTTTTGAAACTAAAACAAATTATTTTTATTTCAGACTTGCCAACGGAATTGAAGCTGGTTCAGTGAAAAAGATTCAAAAACCAATCTCAACTTTTGCTTGCATGGAAAATATCAACGCATTTGTCGAATTTGCAAAGAAACAAGGAGTTCCAAATGAGGAAACATTCCAATCAGTTGAATTGGTTGAAGGAAGAGATTTATTCTCAGTTTGTGTCACACTTTTGTCACTTGGTCGAAGACTTCAAAAGGCCGGAAAAACCAATCCATTCGCTTAAATTCCTTTATTTCATACATGTTCAAAATTCCCTTTTTTCTTCCTGCTCTCATATCCTTTTAATAATATTATGTAATTTTCAATTGAACTGATCAATAAAACTTTTTGCGCGCATTTCGATCGAATACAATTTTTATTTTCTAAAAAAAAACAATCAGAAAATTTGATTTCCAATATATCTTTTAAAAGCTTTTTGATATTTAAGTTCAGATAAGTCCTACGAAAAACCACATTTTTGGGCTACAGTACCCTGAAAATATTTGTGCAACAATTTTTGCTTTTTTTATTGAATCATAAAATTTTTGACAAAATGTCAGGAAGTTCTGTGATCAACAAAAACAACAACAAAAGCAGCAGAAAAAAACAATGAGAAGAGTGAGTTAAATATTTAGAGTTCAACCCACGCGCAGCTGTTCTCTCATCAGCTTCGAGGCTACTTCTTTCGTTTTCGAACAGCCAGAAAATGTTGTAAAATTGTTTGCGTCTCAATGAAATCAATGATATTTTTTTCGTCAAAAGGTGAAAACACATTGTTTTGAAGATAATAATGGAGTTTAACGAAGAGAGAATTCGATTTGTTTATGAGAATTTATTGTTAGATCATAATTTTGGAGGATTTTTTGGTAAATTTTTAACCACAATTTTTTTAAAAATAATTTCTCGGGAAAAAAAATGAAGTTTTGATAAAAATTTGGGAAACACACAAACTTAGGATAACTAAAATTCAGCTAGGTTTTACTCAAGGTCACTTTGACACTTTCCCAGAAAATTATCTAAAATTTTTGGATTTTTTCCGAAACTTCATTTTTTGAGACACAGCGTTCTTGCAAAAAACAATGATAGAAAATAAAATGTTAGAAGTAGATTACTGTAGCTCAATAACATTTCTTTCGTGAGACTTGTGGAAAAATATTCTGAAATAAAAAATTGCCAAAAATTTTTTCGCGTGAACCATGAAATTAATCCAAAAAATTCAGAGCTTTAAAAAAACATTTTTGATAATTATTTAGCTTGAAAATGTCGTTTTCCGTTGTTGAAGATGAATTCGGATATCGCACAGAATATGAAGAATTGACAATTTATAAAATGGTTATTGTATTCGGTGGTGCATTTTGGGCGATATTTGTTATTGGAATGGGAGCTTATAATTATTTATGTATCAAGAAACCACCACCAATGATTTCATTTGAAGAACAAATTGGAGGAGTTGAAGGAGATGCAGAAGCTAATACTTCAAAAAAATCAGTTAGATCTTCTATTTCTTCAAAAACTAAATAAATGTATTTCTTCTCAAATTTTATTTAAAAAAAAACAACTCAAAAAAACAAGAATTCAACTAGATAAAAATTTAACAACACTGTTGATAAATAGTTCTGGTTTCTCAGCATGAACCCAATGACCAGCTCCAGGAATTGAATCAAATATAACTTGTGGAAATAAACATTTTATATCTGGTTTGTGATCTTCTGTGACATATCCAGAAACTTCGCCGTGAAGAAATAGTGTTGGACCACGAAAACTTCCAATTGGAAGACTTGATCCAAGAATATCTTCAACATGATTGTCAATTGTATTCAAATTACATTTCCATTCCATAAAACCTTTTTGTTTTTGAGATGGTTGAAGATTTGTGAGAAGAAATTGACGCATTGAAAGATCAGGTACAATATTTTCCATATCAATCAGGATTTCTTTTCGAGACCTTTGCAAATTTACATCGCGCATTGCTTTTATCAAATGTCGAAACTCTAAAAAATGATATGAATTTAAATCAATCAAAAAATTCAAACCTAAATGTCTTCTCGAATATCCTTTTGGTGAAACATCTTCAACAATCAATTTATTAATCATATCACACCATTTCGAATCAATTGCCATTCTCATCACAATTTTTCCTCCCATTGAATGTCCCAATAAATTCACTTTTTGTTGTCCAGTTTCTTTTCGTATTTTATCTACAAACATAACTAAATCTTCTGCCATATCCGTATATGTCATTTCATTTGTATGTGGGGAATTTCCATGATTTCTAACATCTACAGCATAAACTGATGCTTCTAATTTTCTATGAAGTGCTTTGCCAACTGAATTCCAATTCTGTTTTTGACCAAATAAACCATGAACAATAACTAATGGTGGATTATGATCAGTTTTTGATGTAAAATTCAACGAATTCAATGCAACCTGCAAGAAAGCTGAAATTATCTATGATGAATGAACTATATAACTTACCGGTGTGAAAATATTTATTGATTTATGAAAACTTCGCCTAAAAACAGTAGTACTCAACATTTTACTATCCTAGAAAAAAATAACTGACAATGAAAATATTTTTTACGACACTCCGCTTGCCTGTTGTTTATCACACAACATTTTTCTGGGAAATTAAAATTATTTTATTTTTTGCAGTGCTTTGAATATCATTTTGAAATAAAAATTAGACTATTTATTGGAAGAATCAAACTTTTCTTTTTTGTTCCGAGTTATTCTTTCTTTTTTCAGATTCACTAGTACTTTGAGTTGTATCGAATTTTATTGAACTCATTGGTGTTGGACTCGAAGATTCTGAAGTTTCCGAGTCAGCTGTCTTTTCTGTGGCATTTTTTGATGTGACAGTAGATTCCAGATCTTGGGTCGCTTTGTCCGAATCGTCAGTTTCATCTTGACCAATAAGAGCAATATCTTGATTTCTAGATTCTGGTAGTATAAAGTAAACTACGGTAATTCCAACAGAAGTCAAAACCAAATTCATCCAGAAAAGACCAGGTTCATATGCATATTTGATTTCTTTCTGAAAAAAAAAGAATTTTTGAATATTTTTAAAATCATTGTGATATTAATTACCGTAAATGAAGCCATCAAAGAGCCAACTTTCATAAGAATATTACAAATAGCACCTACAGTACTCCTCATATCAGTTGGAACAAGTTCCGCAAGACAAAGATAACATGGTTCGAGACAAACTGATTGAAATGCAAAAGCACACATATATACAATTGTATAAATTATTGAACTTTTGTTGTCTGTATAAAGAAGTATAAGAATTATAATGTAAGTAATAATTGAAATTGCTTGAGCAGAAAGAAAAACAGTTCGTCTTCCAATCCATGAAAATCGTGGTTCGATAAGACCAATACTCTAAAAATATGAAAACGTTTAGATAATTTTTTTTAATTATAAAAACTTCCGAAACTCACAATCTTCGAAACAGTCAGAACAAGTCCAGCAAAGAATTGTCCGACATAAAAGTTTTTTGTCATGTCGGAACCATTCAAATCGGTGATATAAATTGCAGTTCCAACATACCACCACATAAAACATAAAATAAGGAAATTTCTTCGAAGTGCTGGACTTTTTAGCATTGTTTTGAATGTGATTGTTCGAAGTGGAATTCGAGGAGAATTCACTGGAGAATTCTTATCAGATTTCAATGTTTTTGTTTCATCAACAGTTTCATTTGAAAGTTTGGCAATCTTTTTTCTCGCAGCATCTGCTTTTTCATATTTTCTTTTTTGTTCAAGATAAACTGGAGATTCAGGTAAATACCAAATCATTGGAATAATCAAAGTTGAAATTGCTGCACAAATATATGATGTAATTCTCCAATTTCCAGCTAAATAAGCAACACCAACTTGCATCATTCTTGCATTTGCCCAATTTGGATAAGTTCTCAATCTGTAATTGTAATAATTAATGTTTTAACAAAAAATAATAAAATGAATAATAACAAACCTAAATCTTCTTTCTGGTGATATCATTTCTGAACCATATGTCCAACCAACAGTTAATGTTCCAGCAGCTGCAAATCCAACAAGAAATCGAAAAATGTAAAATATTATAACACTATCAAATAATGCACTTATAATTAATGATGGTATACCAATACAAACAGCAATTAAATAAACAGGACGTCGACCAATTTTATCAGAAAGATATCCAAGAATTGCATTACCCAAAACAGTTCCAACATAAGTAATTGTTGTTGCTGATATCCATCGAAGATTTCCACATTCTTGTTGATATTCAAATTGTGCTGAATAATAATCAACATTTTTTGATTCTTTTACACATTCCATCGATATTTCATTATTATTATTTCCAGTTGAACATAAATTTGGTTTTGAATTATCATATTTTGTTAAACATTTACTGCTCATTTTATAACAATAATCATTTTTATCACAATATGTTGATGGCATATATTCAAGAAATATAACAAATAATAATTGAACCGAAAAGAATAATGTTAATTGATAGAGAACCATCAAACCAATATCAAATCGCCACGATTTCATTTTTCGATTCGAAAATAAACTTTCGTCCGATTTGTGTTCGTTTATAAAAATTCAATGAAGCTTTTCTTGGAATTTCAATCCACGTTTTTTTTCAAATAAATATGTCACGTTTTTAATCGAGTGAAAAAAAACAATTATTCAAATATTTTTCTTTCCAGATTTGGAGTTTAAAAGAAAAAACTGATAGATGATAATATTCGAAATTCTACAGTAACCTACATCCAGATTTGGAATAATCCCAGTTTCAGACGGAAAAACTGTTCTAGGGTTCCCAGGAAATAGAACGCGACGCCGCCAAATGTAGACCTAATTTCTGGCGTCATATTACTGTGCCGACGAATTTTATTCAGGCAAAACAGGCTTGGAAAGCGCGCGGTAACTGACTTGTTAACTGACTTGAAATCATGAAAATCCTCAGAATACCTTCAATTCGTCTCGATTCATGTTTATTCACAAAGTCTTTCATCTACTTCTACGGTTTTCTTGGATTTTTCAGCAATTTTTAATTCATGGATCACATTGATGCGCCTGAAAAACAGTGATTTATAAAAATAATGTGTGATTTCTCAAAATACTCACTTTTTGGCTGAAAATCGATGAAATTTCGCATTCCTCCGTCGAAAACATGATCGAAACAGTTGGAAAAAGGATTGCCATGATCAATTTACTGAAAAATATATGAATTTATCGTTGAAAAGTGCAAAACAAGCAAAGACACCTGAAAAACAAAAAAATTTAAAAAATTAATTTTTGTGTGCATTCTGACGTGACGGTGTTTGCACACTTCGCTCTGAGTCCTCTGAGAAGAAAATTCAAACGGTTTTTTTTCCATTTTTTTTATTTTCGCGCAAACTTCACAATTTTTGCAAATTTTTTTATTTTGTTGCGTACAGTTGTTGATTGACATTGATTATGTCGAGTTCTGAAGTGTTTGTTTGGATTTTCTAGGGTGACATTTAGCTTTTGGTGTTTATTTAATTTTAGAATTCCAACTCCTTTTTTTCGCGTGAAAAATTGGATCACGTGTTCGATCTTTGCAGAAAAAAATTAGTTTTGTATTTTTTGATATTCGGAAATGCTGACGATTTGGTATAAGGTAGGATCTGAAAATTCAAGGAAAATGATCTACGTATCTGAGATGTTCTGAAAATCATTCAAATCTGAAAATAAGCTATTCTTGGAAAACAATTTGTTTAAGAAAAAGTAACTCTTTTTTTTTAGGAATTACTGTATCTTCGCAACAATAATCCAATATTTATCATTGTTTACATTTGTATTTTATCAATCATTTATAACATTCATACCGCAGTTACTGTAAGTCAATAAAAACATAAATTTGTAAATATTGGATTAATAATTCCAGCCGATTTCTAAAACGAATGAAGGAATTTATGAATTTGATTCGAATGGAGAAGATTTGATTCGATTTATTGGAGTTGGAATATTTATACCTGAAGATGTCATTGATTATGATGCATCAACTTCTATTTTAAAATTTCAAGAAATTATGAAAAATCTTCCAGGTTTGAAGTTTTATAGAAATTCGGTTCATGTTCATCGGGAATTGAATACCAATAACGTGGAAGTTGTTATTCATTTTTCAAAATTTGATAAAGATGGTGTTCATTATGATTTTGTCACTGAAACCGGAATTTTCAATATGTAAGTTTCTATCTTACATTTACTTGAAAAATATTCAAAAAAATGTTTCAGTGCAAATGAAATACAAAATCTATCTTGGCAAAAAATAATAGATGCAAATGAAGTTGCTAACAAAATATTCCTATTATTTTTTGGCGCAAAACAACATAGCTCTATTCGAATTATTTATCGCGAAAAATATGGAATCGATAAAATTAAAATAAGATATCAAAATGATATAACATTTAGTTGTATTTGTCTGATTCCATTCTTTTTCGTATTTATAAATTCATGGATTGATGAACACAAATCAAAAATGTATATTACTTTGGAATCTGATGGAATATCAAAACTCAAACTTATGGTTGCAAAATATATATTTTATTATGTATTTTCGATTTCTGTTTCGATGATTTTTTGGATTCCAAATTCAATTTTATCAATTACGACAATTGAGCAGATTACATTGATATTTTCATTAATAATGGCATATTTGGCAATCTCCACATTACTTGTTGTTATTTTTTTCGATTCAAAAATATATCCAAAATTATTTCTGGTACTTTATTCAATTATTGGTGAATGCAGTTCAAATAATAGTTTTGCTAATTATTTTTCGATCAGAGGATTAATTGGAACATTTCCAAACGCAGAAGTTGGATGTTAGTTTTTTTTTCAAACTTTTTGAAATTTAGATTATCTATGAAAATCCAAATAAGTTTCAGTTGGTATTCTGAATATAGCAATAATTTGTGGTATTTCTTGGATTCTCCTATTTTTATCACTTTATATTGAAATATTGACAACTTCAAAAGAATCACTTCCTTGGTATTTTCCAATTTCACGTGGATTTTGGAAAATAATCGAACGAGATTATCAAATGGATCAATATTATGATGAACAAAATGTTAAAATTCCAGCAACACCAAAAGATGTGAGAAATTATAAATTTTCAATCATTCTTGTTCATTTAATTTTTCAGGGTTCCAAAATGGAAATAATCAAAAAACAAGTGAAAACCCAATCTTCAGAACCATTCATATTTTTACATGGAATTTGTAAGAGAATTTCAAAAATATGGAAAGTGAATGAAGTAACAGCAATCATCAAATTTGATCAATTAACTGTTCTTTATGGATATCTTGGATGTGGTTCTGAAGAAATAATTCAAATGATCAAAGGATCAATCAATCCCGATTTTGGATCAATTGAATTCGAAAAAACACAAAGAGATCTGAAGATTGTTGAAACTTGTGAAGTTCCGAGTGTGAATTATTTGAATGTCAAAGAATATCTAAAATATATTGGGAGATTGAGAAAATCAGAAGTTGAGGAACAAGAAATTAACGAAATGTTAACCGAACTCAAATTGGAAAATTGTGAAGAATATGTGAGAGTTTTACTTTTTTGTGTATTGTAAATCTAGTTTTGATATATTTTCAGACTCTTGATATGCTTTCTACAACACAAAAAGAGAGACTTCGAATTGCTGCTGTTTTCATTGGAAATCCGGATATTGTTTTAATAAATAGACCAACAATTGATTCATTTCCCGAGAAAAAATGTAGAATATCAAAGTTCATTGAAAAAAGAAAATTCAATCGGTAAGTTTATGGCATAGGTTTTGGTTTATTTTCAATTTCAAATTATGTTGCACCAGAATTTCAAAAAAAAAAACATTTCTTGTGTGTTTCTACAGTAATCCCAAACAATCTGTTCATACTGTACACTAAACATTGTTCTCAATTTGTTAGAATCTTCCACGTAATTTTTTACAATTCCGATATGTCACATAATTCGAGGATGACAAAAAATACAGTAATATTTAACGTGTTATGTTTCAGTTCAATTATAATTGTCACATATGATGCAGAAGAAGCTGAAAGTATTGCTGATCATATTATATTTTTGAGCGAAGGATATGTTGTTTTGAATGGTCCTGTTGAAGTTTTTCGTCAACGAATCAATTCAACTTTTGAAATTCGCATTTGGCCTATGAAAATATTTGGAGATAAAGAAATACTTGATATTATTGATCTTATTGGTGGATTTGATAAGAAAATGGCAACGTCGATCAAATTTGTTGAAACTCCAAACGGAAAGTTGAGAATTTTCATTCCATTCGAATTTCGAAAATTGTGAGTTCAATTTTTCTTTCGTTATGGGTGGAGTGGCTGAAAATACTAGCATACATACTATTTTTTCGACTTTCAGAATTCCAACCATTTTCGGAAAAATTGGTCAAAAAGTTGATGAATTACAAATAAGTTTTATTGAAATGAGTCGTCCAACAATTCAAGATGTTTATGAGAATGCTTGCTATGATCCAAAACAATATACACCAATTCAAAATTATGATGCTCTTGCTGAATATTATACTCGGCGTATGTTTGGAAAATAATTTTATCAAGCAAAATCAACATTTTTTCAGAAAACAAGAAAAAACAATCTGGATTTTTCTTTTTATTAGTTATTCGACTTTTTCGAGATATTCCAACCCGATTTATTATTATTTTTTCATCATTGATGTTCATATTGGTTTTGACACTTTTCTTGATTCTCCACTTTTCTGGTAATACAAATTATTCAAAGAAAATTACGAAATATTTGTTACAGGTGTTTCTGATTTCGATCCAATTCCTATCAACATCGAGAAAACATTCGGGTCATTCAATTCAGCAAGTAAGGGATATTTGAAAACTTCAAATCAATTATATTTTCAGACATGGAAATCCATGAAAATTCAATTATTCTCCGTGCTTTTGTATCTACAACATCTAAATTATATATCCAAAATCAGGCGTTATTGGAAATGTTTAAAATGCAGAATATAACTATTCCACAAATAACTATTGATTACAATTTTCAAAGTACAGAAGATAATTCAATCAACAATTTTTATGGACAATTATCAGCTTATCAAACAATTAATTTATTTTCAAAATCTGGAATTTTACTTCATATAATTGGTTTATTTCAAATATTTCTTTATTCAATATCTACAGTAATACCATCAAGTTTATGGCGACTGAAACTGAGACCTACAGTAAGACTATTTTTTATATAATTTCAGAAATATAGCTTTGAAATTTTAGAAAATGTTATTTCCTTGGCCAAAATATGGATATTTTTTGAGATTAGCAGTTGTAAATATTATTCTATTTTTTATAATTGATTTGATTGCAATGATTATTTTAATTGCTTTCGAATTTATATCAATAACATCGGCTGTGTAAGCTCATTCAATTCGAAATTATCAGAAAATTCCAATCAATTTTTCCAGCTATTTTTCATTCATTTGGTTTATTTCATTTTTATCAATTCTTCCATTAATCTACACTCTAATTTTCTATATTCAAAGTAATCGAGCAATTTCAATTGTTTTTTCGATTTCAATTTTTGCAATTTCAATTCCTTGTTTGATTTGTATTTATGATGAAAACGCAAATATTGTTCCAAATGATGTAAGTTTAATTTATTGAAATTATTAATAAAACCTATTGAAATATTTCCAGACTTATCTCATACTTGTGTCAATTATTTGTTGGATTAGTCCTCCAAGCGCAGTACAAATTCTTGCAGTTTTGTTGAAAGAAGATTCAATTGATAGTGACAGTGAGTGAATTCCAGATGCTGAATAATCATACGTTTCCAAATTCAATTTCAGATTTAATATTAGTTTCGTTGGCTGCATGTTTGTATATTTGGATTCCAATAATATTCATTGTGTTATTATGTGTTGATTTCAGTTATATTCATCAATATTATATCAAAACAAAAATAAAAATATCAGCTCCTTTTCAAAAACAATCAATTGTTCGTCCATCTTGTCATATCAAAGATGGTTTTATTTTTGGAGCATATTTTGATGATGGAACAACAAAAAATAGCAATAATAATTCTAAAAAATCAAATGAAACAACAAAAATGGAATCAACTGCATTAACAAGTCGAATGGAAGGTGGAATTGATGTTGATATTCAAAATATTGCACAATCTCCTATTTCTTCTTCTGCTTATTCTTTGGATGCTGAAACATCATTTATAACAATTCGTGAAGAAGATATTATCAAAAATATATCTGGAACAACAGTTTGGTATGATCAACAATCAATTGAAATTAATAATAATTTCACATTAGTTATTGGTGATCAAAATTCATTAAAAACTCATATATTAGAAGCAATTGCTGAAGGAAATGATAAGGATTGTAATATTTCTTATATTCCATATCATGATTTTCTTCCATCAATTTTGACAGCTTGCGAGTTATTAGAAATTGTTGCTGCTGGAAGAGGAATTGAAATTGATCGAGGACAAATTGCATTTTTATTCGACACTTTTAATATGTTCAATGTTACAAATGTTCAAATCAAATATTTAACGTGAGTTGGAATTCAAAATCATCGCAAAACTTGTGATTTTCTCACAAAATCAATTCAAAAATTATAAATCTTGAAATATTTTGTTCGAAAAGTGTCTCATTCTTTTTATACAGTAATCCAACAATTTCACATATTTTCAGTGATGCCGAACGTCGTGTTTTAGCTTTGTTGGCAATGTTAATGCAAAAACCATCAATGATTATATTCGATCAAACAGATATGTTTATTCCAACTTCAAAAATGATAACTATTTGGTCAATATGCACAAGATTGAAGGAAAATGGTGTCGCAGTTATTTTTACAACAAATAATGTTCAAAATGCAGAACATACAGCAACTAATTATGCACATGTTTATAAATGTCAATTTGTATCAATGCAGGCATCACAAATTATTAAAAGCCGGTTTGTCATTTTTTATAATTTTATTTATTTTCAATGTTTCAATTAATATTTTATTTCAGATTATCGAGAATTCTTGTTGAAATTGATTTGGTTCGCGATGAGAATTGTTGTGTAGCATTGAAACAATTACAAGATTGTTTCAATGGTTCAAGATATGTTGAAACTCGTTGTGAAACTCGAAAATGTTTGATTGTTGAGAATGATGATTTTGATACAATTACTCAATTAATTCGAGAACTTGAAAAACATTGGAGACAATTTATGAGATATTCATTGAGATCAACTAATTTCGATGAATATGTTGCAAATTCGTTGACCAGAAATAAATAAATTATGATAATTTTATTGTCTTATGTTTATTGAATATTCAAAAATAAAATGTGTCCCAATAAATTATATTGTAAATCCGAAAAAATAAGAACCTTGCAAGAGAACCGGAATGGCCTAAAAAACTAAGGCTACAGTATACTTCCCGAAATTTTGGATTCTATTTGAAAAATAAAATGCGAAATTTACACGCTGGCTATTTGCCAACCAGTTTAATGTGCATGTGTCACGTCATTTGTGCTTCCGGAGTTTTAGTTATAGAGGGAATATAAGGGTTGCGGTTGAAAACACCTGAGGATAACCTTTTGAATTTTCGTGGGTACTGTAGGTGTGTTTGCAGTTGTTTCAAGGCGTATTTTTTTCCATTTTGAAGCATCAAATAATTTTATGGAATTTTGAGAAGCGATAGAGCGGAAAATATCCTAAAATTCAGTCTTTTTCGATGAAAAAAAAATAAATCAACATATTTATGAAGCGAAAGACTTTTGCGGAAAATTGAGATAGAACCGTATAAAGTACAGAAAAACCGGTGATATGAAAAAAAAGGGCGAAAGATAACTAAAAACCACCGGGGATAGGATTATACATTGAGATTTAACCAGTAACAGAAACAATTGAAGCCTATTAAGCAAAGGAATTGAAATTTTAAAATAATGACATTGAAAATATTATGATTGAACAAGTTGTGCGTGTTGATCTTCAGAATCTTTAATTCCATCTCCATCTTTTCCATTTGCTTTATAATACATTGATACTATTTTCCGCCAATCAATCACAGTTTCAATATTCCAATCAGCAGATCGACCAAGTTCAGCTGTTTGCCCACCTATTAATTATCATAATTATATAATTTTTTGAATATAAAATAAAACAAACCTCCACCTTCTTCTCTCATTGTTGGACTTGTTCTTCCTTGTTGTCCACCACCCATTGAAAATGCATCTATATTTTCTTCAAATCTAAGATCTTCTTGTGCTTTCCTTGTCATACATCGGACTGAAAAATAGATAAAATTAAAGTTTTTTCAAACAAAGAAAATCTTACATCGATTTCTCCAAGCAACTCTAATAACAATCAAAAATTTAGTGAGCATATTTATTGGTGAAGGAGTTGCACTTCTTTTATTCATTTGTCGAATAAGAATTGCTCTACCAAATTTCCATTCTTTATCTGATTGTGCTTGAATTCGTTGATATGTATCAGACATCATAGCAATTAGAAGATTGATTAGAACCTAGATATTTCGAATTTGTTTTAGAATTCAGAAGAAAAAATATTAAAGTCACACTTACAATTAATGTAACCATCATGTATATTCCAAAAAGTACTTTCAGAATTATTTTTGCAAAATCAGGAACAAGATGAAGAGGTGGCATACTATCTGGTTCGACTAAACCAAACAGAGAGAAAAACAACATTTCGAGAGTTTGTTCAGGCGAAGCCAAACGCATTAATTCAGCACTGTCTTCATCGACAGGTTGATAAGCCGGCTGAAATTATACTCTTGGAATGAAAATATTTCTAATAACTTACCTGAAAAATACTTGTAACATGAAGTGTGAAACCAGCAACGAATAAGAATAGAATAACCAAGAAACGAGCTAAATCATACATAAGATCACGAATAATAATTGCCCAAGGACCAAATAAATGATGGACTGTCAAAAAATCAAGATATTCGACAAACGCAAAAAGAAGAGCAAATGCGAATAATTGATTTTTAAGATATAACATTGTCCTCGCAAAATGTAGTTTTTCATCATTATCCAAATGTGTCAAAAAGACGGCTGGTAACAGAAAAGCCAAAACATGAACAGCAATTGCAGCAGCAGATAAAACAAGGATCAAAACTTTAACAATTCCAAGTCCAGATCCACCGCCAACAGTTGAAAGTTCGGAAACAAGATTGCCAGATAACCAAAGAAGAAGAAGCCATTCAACTGGATTTGGAGCAACTGATGTTACTTCATACATTTTGTGAGTTATATTCAAAACAACAACTGTTAGAAGAATTGTAAAATAAACATGGGATACAATATGACAAACGAATTTGATAATTGGTGCACGACCTGAAATATTCATTGAAGTTTTCATAGAATAATTAAAACATACCAATTCGACTATCCAACGGTAATGAAAAGTAGAACCAAGCTGGTGGACATATTAAAACAAATAAAGAAAATGCCACAAATTTTCCAAATGACCAATCAACTCTTGCAGTCCAAACTTCAGTTAAATATCGTTGTACCGAAGCATAAGATACAACTTCTTTTTGTTCATTTTCAATTAAAACATCAAGAAGTGGTCTTCCTCGATTATCTTTTGCTTTTAATAATAATGCAGCATTATATTCAGTTGCAGTTATTCCTAATAATTCAACAGCCATACTTTCACTAAATTCAGCAACATTCATCAAATCTTTTGCTCTTTCTTTTTCTTTTTCTGACATATCTCGATATAATGCTGATAATTTGACTGCAGTTTCAATTGGTGCCGGACTTTGTAATATGAATTCTTCAAGTGGTTCATTTTCATTCGTTTTTCCACAAACCATCAAATCAAATATAAATTTTCTATCATCCATTAATTGATGTGTATCATGTTTTTGTTTCAATAAAAATCTCAAACATTCAATATGATTATGTGCGGCAGCAAAACATAATGGAACTTTTCCTTCTTTTGTTTCAGCTAATGGATCAGCTGAACTATCAATAAATAATTTGACAACATTTAAATGTCCAGCACGAGTTGCAAAATGTAAACCAGTCCAACCATTTTGATCCATAACATTAATATTTGAACCTTGTGCAATTAATAAAGAAACCATTTCATAATGTCCATTTTGAGCTGCTAAATGAAGTGGAGTTCGACCTCTCCAATCTTTCGCATGTTGTTGTTGAGTTGATCGAGATAAAAGCATTCCAACAACAGCAATATGACCTTGTTGAGCAGCAAGATGAAGTGGAATTACATTCTTTAATTAATTATCTTGTGAAAACAATCTATAAAAAAAGTAAAAACTTACCATTGTGGTACTAGTTGCATCAACTTGAACTCCTTGATTTAATAGCATTCTTACTAAACTATCATGTCCACTTTGTGCAGCTAAATGTAATGGTGTAAATCCATATTCGGTTGAGAATTCTTTGTTCACATGATGATTATAAATTGGTGGTTCTGATCTTATTGTAGCCGGTACATGTTTCACCATTTCATTTACAAAATCTGAATTACCGTAGTATGCAGCAATATGCAACGCATTTAAACCAGTCTGAAATTTTTAATTTTTAAGATTCGAAAAAAATTAAACCAACTTTTCTTGAACATCTTCTCCAAAGATTCTGATCAAATGCTTCTAAAATTGATATAAATCCATTTTTTGCACCAAGATGTAAAGCTGTCATTCCGTGTGAATTTTCGTCTTCGGCGTTTGCTCCGTTTTCCAGAAGAATTTTAACAATATTTGCATGTCCACCAGCAGCTGCCATATGTAATGTTGTTGCTTCGAGTGTTTTTGTTTTTGCTTGAATAACCATTGCTTTATCAATCATCATAAGTTCTCGAACAACAGCAAGTGAACCCTAGAATTATATGATTACTGTAGAATTAAACTTTGATTAAAAACACATACCTTCATAGCCGCAATATGAGCACAAGTAAAACCATTATGATCAATTGCTGTCAAAACTCCTCGATTATTATTATGTTTCATTTTCAGAAAAAGTTTGACAACATCTGGAAAATCATTTTCAGCTGCCAAATGTAACGGTGTTTGTCCTTTATCATCTCTTGCATTTGGATTTGCTCCCAATGCCAAAAGAGTTTGACTGACACCAAGTTGTCCGAATTTTGCAGCAAAATGTAAAGCAGTCTGTAATATTTTTATTTTTCAAAAATACTGTATACAGTATTTGTGAATTACCTGATTATCTAATGTGATGGCTTCCAAACTTGCTCCATGATCTTGAACCAAAACATTAACAACTTTAACATGTCCATTTTGAGCTGCTAAATGAAGAGGAGCTTCTCCAGTTTTTGATTTGCTGTTAACAAATGCTTTATGTTGTAGAAGTAAATGAACAATTGATAAATGTCCATTAAAAGCGGCTAAATGCAGTGCAGTTCTTCCCATTTCATCGAAAACATCAATTCTTGCGTGGTGTTTCAATAAAATATTTGCAACTCCTAAATGTCCTCTCGCACAAGATTCGAGAAGTGGAGACCATCCATTTTTACTTTGTTTGTTTTGAACAATTTGAACTGCGCCAGCTCCAATTTTATTCACCATTGCTAAAAGAACACCTTGATTTCCAGATCTTGCTGCAATATGCATTGCTGTTTCATTTGCATTTATTGATGGTGTTTCAACAAGGCCACCGTAATCAATAAGAAGATTCACAAGTTTTGCATCTTCTCCAGGAAAATGTAGTTGTTTTGATTCGATTTCAGCCGCATAATGAAGAGCAGTAAAACCATCCTAAAAATATTTTGGAATAAAAAATAAATTGTTCCACTTACATTAGTTCGATGATTAACATGTTCTTTCAACTGTTCTGGAGTAAGAATTTCAGAAAGATGTTTCAGAATCATTGAAGCTGCTTCAAAATTACATGATTTAGCAGCCACTTGAATTGGTGTTTCTCCGATTTGTGAACTGATTTGAGCATCAGCATTTTCATCGAGCAGAAGTCTAGAATTTTAGAATTATTTTTTATTTTTCAGGGGATACGATCCGAGCTCATAAAGCTACAGTAATACAATAACTAACCTCATAATTTCTTTATTTCCATTTCGAGCAGCAATATGAAGACAAGTTTCTCCATCTTGTTGTGCAACATCTGGTTGTCCACCTGATTTCAATAACATCATAGCACAATCTCTACTTTCTGGACCATTCAATGAGGCAGCAATATGTAAAGCAGTTTGTCCAAGTTCACCTCCTTTTACATGAATATCTGCGCCACTTCCAAGTAATGTTTCAACAACTGATGCTTTTCCAGATTGTACAGCAACGTGAAGTGCTGTGTAATTATCACGAGTTCGAACATCTACATTTGTTCCACGTGCAATCAACATTTTGACAACATCATTAAAACCAGCAGCCGCGGCTGAATGAAGACCAAGTGCACCTTTTTTATTTGGCATAAATAATGGTACACCTCTTTTTAAAAATGCCAATGCTGTACTTGTATGACCAGAACAAGCTGAAACAAATACTTTTGAAATTTGCGAAATTATTTTATTTTCTTACCAGCAATATGTAATAATGTTGATCCATCTCTTGTTCGAGCTCTTATTGATCCACCAAATTTATCAATCAATGCTTCGACCATTTGAGTATCTCCTCTTTCAGCTGCAACGTGAACTGCAGTTTTATCATCTTTATCGTGAATATTTGCATCCGCGTGTAGTTTGAACATTATTTTCAACATATTTTGATCACCAACTTCGGCAACTTCATGAAGAGCTGTTCTTCCAACTTTATTTTGAACATTTGAATTATCACAACCAGCGGCAATTGCAATTCGAACAGCTTCTAATGATCCTGATCTTGCAGCTAAATGTAGAAGTGTATCTCCGTTTCCATCCGGTTTTGTTGTTTGTTCATTATTCGGTGAAGACAGTAATAATTCGACAATTGTCACATTTCCAAACTGAAAAATTAAGAAGTATGATTTTTATCAACAAATAACTAGTCTACAGTACACTTAACAGAATAATATTTTAGATTCTAACGATTCAAATAAGATACCTTAAATGCTAAATGAATAGGCAAACTTCCTTCTCCATCTTCAATCATTCTTTGATCTCCATCATCTAATATTCGTTTAACAATTGGAAATGCTCTTTTCGATTTTCTTTCACATGCAACATGAATTGGAAGTTGTTTTTTAGGACCAGCTGCTCTTTTCAAAAGATCAGAATGTTTTCGAAGAATTAATTCAAGAGTTTCAATATTTGCATACATCGATGCAATATGACATGCATTTCTTCCATCTTTTGTTGTATAATCAACTCGTGCACCCTTTTTGATCATTTTTTCAACCAATTCAATTTTTGATGCTTTGACAGCTAGAAGAAATGCAGTATAACCATGAACATCTGCCATACTAAAATCACTTCTTTTCAATTTTTCTGTTTCGATTTCAACTTGATTCCATTCATCTCTTTTTGCAAAATACAAAATCTATAATTAATAAATAAATGTTTCCAACAAAAATAAAAAATAAAAGGGCAAACCTTAGTTTGTGGATCAGCCAATGCTAAATCATCCGATGTCATTTCTTCATTTGTTCCAATTGGTCCAATCTCAATATGTGTTGTTCCTCCTTTTCCAATATTATTTGTTATTCCTCGAACATCAGGCGGTGTTGTAATACTATCACGAGATCTTTGTTTTGGTACAATTATAACTGTTGAATTTTTTCCTATTGTAATTTGAGAAGACGATGAAATATTATGTGGTGGGTGTGGAGTTGGTGCAGGTGTTATAGATTCGGCACGTTCTTCAGCTCTTAGAAGATCCTGAAAAAAAACAAATTTTTAGTTAAAAATATTTTATTTGGACCTACCATCCTAGAATTCAAAAAAAAATGTTTTAGTTAGAATTTAATCCCAGTTTTTTTCGAATTAAAATTCCCTTTTCTGTTTTTTTGCACTTTTTCTCGTTTACCCTCCTCAATAAAAATAAAACCAACATTCGGCCCATAATTTGCATTTCATTCATTCAACGTTTCAATTAAATTTCCAGTTTTATTTTTATGTCTTCCAAAGTATGGGTTACGGTAGTTTTTGAACTTTAGTCTAAATTATTAAAAAGATGTCGGTTCAAACTTACAGTAAGACCAAGTTGTTTGAGTTCAAGAGGATCTTGATGTTTCAAAAGTTGTTCAATCATTCCAACTCGATCCGGATCATCTTTGTCATCCACAGAACGAGAACGCTGAAATAAAAATAAAGTTGAAATTTAAAAAAATTAAAAATAATATTACTTTAGGAGCTGAAGAAGTTTTCCGTCGATAAATATGACTATAACTGACATGTTTGATTTCTTCGAGTGCAGTTCCAAGAATTCCTTGTCGATTAGAAGACTCTTCGCTGAAAAAAATGATCTCTCAAATTAAAGTTGTATCTTTTCCCAAATTTGTGGAATTAACCACCACGACCTCATTTTTTCCTTCGAAATACCTCAACCTATTTAATTGATATGTTATTTCTGGTCCGCAATTATTGTCTCATGCACTTTTTGTATAAACCGGAAAAAGCATATGAGGCCAATTTTGACTTTAGTGAGCAAAAATGACATTTTGATGTGGGAGACAAGAAATTTTGATGACTGAGATTTGAAAAGTATCTTGTAGTTTTTGATATGTTCAAAAATCAAATTGCAGATTCAAACAAAATGTTATAGAAAATTTCACATGTTTCCTATGCTCGAAAACATAAACTACAGAATATTAATATGCATAGTACAGTAATCCAATTTGAAAATTAATTTCTTTCGAGATTTTGTTTTGGAAAAATAATGATTTTTGCTTTTCAGAAATTAAAAAATGAAAAATTAATCGAACCTGGAATGTTCTAATTCTTTAACAATTTGATTCATTTGTCTCAATCCTTTTGCTAATAATCCATTATTTCCATTTCCACCACTTCCACTTCTTAATCTTCTAATTTCACCACCACTTCCATTTGACCCTCGTTTTTTAATAAATATTTGTTCTTTTTCTTCGATTGTCGTTGTTGGTGTTGAACCTTCTCTTGATGGCCCCGGTTGTGAGCAGATCATCTGAAGCATACCACGTTATATTCATGTTTTATGTCTTTTCCACAACCACAATTTTTTGAGTTTCCGGAAATCTTTTTCTTTTCTTTTTTTGCGTTTTTTTTCAGTTGTTGGAATGTATATAGTAGCAATATATAGACCAAAAAAGGATAATTATTTGAGTTGGGGGCGAACGAGAAATAAAAACGAAGAAAAAGAAAAAGAATTTAAACTAGATTAATTCTATTTGATGTTCTCTAATATATTTAAATAAATACCTGTTGTTTTGAACTTCCATCCGAATATCTTTTCAGTAGAATTGGTTCCAAATCAACATCTTCTTCTATTTTTTTGTTTTCCAAATGTTTCCTAATATCTTTTTCTTTTGATCTTTTGAGTGCTCTTCCAAGGATTCCGCCACGTGGCGAATCATCCATGGTTGTTGAAAAATAATACCGAAAAAAGTAACTGAATTGATACTAGCAAATTTGTCTAAAATTCTGGAAAAAAGTTAGATCGATTATTTAACGACAAAGTATGAAAATAAAGAAATTAGAAAAAATACCACATTTTTCCTCAAACACAAGCCCAAATAGGCTCACGGTCGTCAGTTGAGCCAAATATTGAGAAATTTTGTGAATTGATGAAAACAAAAAATTTCGGTGCCTCATGCTGGAATCGAACCAGCGACCTTCTGTTTACTAGACAGACGCTCTGCCACTGAGCCAATGAGGCGGATGGCGAGGGATTGCAAAATGTAATATATAAAATGGTTTTAACTTTTAATACGAAAATTAGAATGTATACACTGACTACAGTAATCTTTGTAGATTTATCGAAACTTCAAGTTTAAATGAGATCAAACGTGAAAAATGGGTTGAAAGGTTATTTTAGTTGTTTCAATGAATGAATAAAAGAACAAATAGAGTGCATAAATAGGTAAAAGTAAAAGAAAAAAGAAAAAATTGAAGAAAGAAATAAGCTCCGCCTCCTTAAAATAGGCGTGTTTGATTTCGAAATAATTCTAGATACATTCATAACAAAAATGAAATTCCATAAAATCGAAATTTCTATTTGAAATATGTTGAATTGAATAATTTTTCAGAATTATTGAATAAATAAAATTTTGCCACCAAAAAAAAAGAAAAATAGTAGTATAAGTTTTTGAGGTGCACAGCCGGCGCTTTTCGTCTCAAAATGACCATTTCCGGTCATTCTCTGCGTTTCTTCAACTTTTAATAATATTTCGGTCGACTAGAAAAAAGGTATGGCGAATTTTTCTTCAAAAAAAAATTTATAAAAAAATCACAAAAATATGTTTTTTAACAAGAAAATTTGGGGAAAGAAAAAATAAAAAAGAAGAAAACAAAACAATAATAAATAAATTAAAATGTAAATAATATTAAACCGTAATAAAGATAGAGACTGCAAAAAAAATAAATTTAGAAAAAAGATCAAAACGAGTCTAATTTATTATCATCTTCATGATTTGCTCGACGTATTTCATCAAGTCTTTCATCTTCATCTGAATCCGACAATGCCAAATCATTTATAACCTGAAACCAAATAAACTTTGTACTTTTACAAAAAAAAACGTTTTCAATTAATCTGAATTGCAACAAAATGAGATTTTATGGTGTCGCACGTCATAAAATTTTGTTAGGGTGACATAAAACTTGAACAAAGTCCAAACAGATACAATAACCTTTTTTGTCAGAAAATGGGCTTTCCAAAAAAAAACATGACTAAGAAACCCAGGTGTTCAAAAAAAACATGCTCACCTGTCCAGCCATATTCATACCGTCTTCCCACATCATCGAATCTAAAAAATCTATGTTTTTTGTAAAAGAAAAAATGCAAATTTACCTTCATCATCTTCATTCATTGGTTGCATTTCAGTATCATTACTTTCATCAAGATCTTAAAAATGTGGAATTTAAAATTAAAATAAAAAATAAAAACGAAAAAAACCTTCAGTTGGTTCAACATCAGTTTCTTCTTGTGATTCATCAACATATACTTTACTACTTTCTCCAACATCCGAATTATCCATATTAATCGATATTTCTTCTTTCAATTCATCCATAACACTACTATCATCATAATCTTCAGAAATTGCCAAACCTTGATTTATATTCATTTCGAGTTCATTTAATTGTTCCGCTTTTTCATTTATTAATTGCTGTGCAAGTTCATAAATTTCGAAAGCTTTTGCTGTATATGCATTACGTTCAACTGGTCCATTAAATGATTCTGAAAATGTGTATATCAAGAAAATGGTCCCAGAACTTTTAGGAACCCCAAATTATTTCGCAACTTGACAAAATGTTTGATCAACTGTTGTTCCAATTTTCTAATTATTCTGTTTTTATTCCAATTAATGACGTTTCAAGATTTCCGGTTTGAAACAACAAATTATCACCTCTTCACAAGATAATGATGTTCTAGAAAATTTTAATGTTCTGAAGTCCTTGTTATTCTAAAGGACCCTTATAGATAAGTCATTTTATCGTATTATTAGATCCAAATATTTTTTGACCTACTTGTGAATAAATAAATAAATAAAAACTCGGAAGTTTACAATAGTTTTTTTATTCCAAAAAGGTGCAAATCATTCAAGTGTGAAATTTCAAAGCTCACAGATTATAATTGCTACGTAACCAGAAAAAAAGAGAGATACCTGAATTTCGATAAATTTGTTCCATATCATCTCTGAATTGTTTAACAGTTGTATACATTCGTTGTTTTGCATTATTCTCAATTGTTCCCAAATCCATTGGTCTCAAAACTTTCATATAATAAAGCGGCATTTTCTTTTGATCAACTTTTGTATGAAAAACAACAGATTTCGGAATATTTTTGCATTTTTGAACAATTTCACAAAGTAAATGCGAGAATCCAACACGATCATTATCATCAAGAAGTGGATTTATTTGTTTTTCCAATGCAATGAATTTATCTTCTCTTTCAACCATTCGTTTACCAGCCAATTCCAACATCTAAATAATTCAAATTTGAATTTGTCAGAATAAATTTGAACAAACCTGTTGTGCAGTTACTGTAATAATATGATTATCACCATTATATAATCTTGAATTATCCAACATTTGTTTAACATCACCCAAAAAATCCATTCGTAATTCATAAGATTGATCACTAATTTTATTCTTGATTTTTTGCAAATCCATTGGGTTTTTAATAATCAAATAATAATCAGGTACTTTTTTAGCATTCACAGGCATCAAATGATGATCTGCACCAGGTATTGTTTTAAGTTCATTTACAATTTCAGTTAAAAGTGTACTCATTGTTACTTTTGGATCAGCACGAAGTCTATGAACACTTTTAACTGGTCCATGTAAATAATCTTCTTCTGGCATAACTGATGTTCGACGTTTCGAACTACTAACTGAAGATGTTCTTGCTGCTCCTCGAATATGTGCTGGAGTTGTCATTGAGATTGAAGATTCAGATATATCTTCATCATCTTTATCAAATCTTGAAATTGAAGAAATAGAAGCAGCTTCATCAGTATTCAATGAATCCAATCTTGAAACCGATGATTTTGGTTTTCTCGAAATCGGAGTATTTGGAGTCGATTGTTGAGGCATCAAACTTAACATCAATGCTTTTTTATTGATTGTCAATTTAGTGCCTTCCAATGTCATAACTTCTCCCATATCAATTATTGGTGTATGAATTTGTTCACCATCTTCTTCTTTTATTGGTGGCAATGGATCTTTTCCATATAATGGACAATTTTTATTAGTTTTCATGTGTCCAAAAGCTTGACAAGCACTGCATCGCATTTTTTGCAAATTTGGTTTGATAACAATTGGTTTTTTCTCAACTGCTGGTTGTTTTTCTTTCACTGGTTTTGTCATTTGTCTTTCGTCATTCTTTTTAATTCTTCTCAATTGATCTTGTAATCTTCGTTTCTTTTTTCGTTTTTCTTCTTTATATTGTTCATCCATTTGTGCATAAACTTGTATAAAAGTATCATCTCTTGTCATTCGAATTCGAGTATATGCTTCAATCAATTGTGGTCGTGTAACAACTTCAACACGAGTCTACAAAATACATAAATAACACATTAAAATTCAAAAAAATGCAATATTTTCATACCGTTTCAGTTCCATCTTCATGCCGAGTTGTTCGATAAATCTTCAATTTTTGATTTGCAGTAACTCCACTCAATTTCGATGCCGACATTGCCACATCCTCTCCAAACTTCGAAGCATCTACAAATATTCTCATGAAATTCTAATTTCAACAAAAATAAAACTAACTTTGTTTTTCTTCAGCAGTCGCTTCTTTTTTATTAGCAGATATATTCTTTTTAATTGTATCTCCATGTGTCATCATTCTTTTCAAATCTTCTCTTTCTTTTTCTTCACTTTCATATTCCATTTGTGCTTTTTCAGACATTGATATATGTTTCTTTCCTTTATTTGATTTCAACATATTTTCCAATCTTCTTGCTAATTCTTCATTATCCGAATCAACATCTGAACTGTCATCATCGGTTGATAATGCTTCTGGATTCGCAAGAGTTCTGAAATTGTGTTTTATCTATCAGCTTTTTTGAACGTTCAACTTTAAAAATTGAATTAATTTTGATCTCAAGGCGACCTATTATGAATATTGAAAATTAAACTTTTGACAATATACTGAAATTAGTTTTGTTGGAAAAATTTCTTCAAACCGTTATTTTCTTTCAAAACTCGAAGAATAAAAACTAACTGATTTTGTAGATCAAAAATTCGTTGACAATGTTTTCGATACTTTTCTTGCATATCTGCCGATGAGAATCGTGTATTTCCACGTGCAAATCGTGCCATTCCAGAAACCGCTGAAATCAATAAATAATTAATGATAAATCATTGATTATTTATAAACTATTTACTTTCTCCTTCTTTTGTTGCTTTTGCTGCTTGAGTTGAAAGTGTGCGAATAACATCAATGATTTCCCATCGGGTCAATGCGTTGATCTACAAAAAAACAAACAAGCCATTCAATAATCTAATTAATTATACCAACCTCTTCTTCTTTAACACCATAACCGCGGCAAATTTCTTTGGCTTCTTTCAATGGTAATTTTCTCAAATCCGCATTTGTTCCAGTTACCAACTTTTTCGGCATTGCCGGAATATCTTCTTTGTGTGGTTTTTGAGATACTCGAACATATGAAAAACCTTGTCCACACCCAGTTGGATCTGCAATTCCAGTTTGATCCAATAAACATTTGTTATCTTTTGATGCAAGAAATGCGCGAGTTGTATTCCAAGGAGCACATTTTATCTGCAAAAATATGTATTAATTTTAAAAACTCTCGTAAAAACGCAATAATTTACCTCATCTTCAATCGTCACTTCATCTTCTGATGCATCATCATTTTCGGGTGTGAAAAAATATTTTTCACCATATCCAGCATCTTTCAATCGTTGTTCTGCAGCCATCATACTATATTGAACACAACACATTTCGGGTGTTATCATTGAAAGAACTTCTTCTTTTGTTGGTAATCGAAATTCAGGTTTGAGAAGCCAAAAAGCATCTTGTCCGGATCGAGTAAATGTTGAACATTGTTTTAGACGTTTTCGAATATTACTTTCAACATATTGCGGAAATGCATTCTGCAAAAGAATATTTGAAAATTCTGACTGGTACTTTTTTTGTTGAAAAATCCTATTTATTAAATACCAACAAGTTGGCGAAAATATTTTTAAAGTATAATTTATTTTGAAGATATGTCAGATAATCGATGCCACGAAATCTTTCTGGATTTCCTAATTTCATATCCCTCCAAAACCTATAACAAAAACCCCTGGGCTCTTTCAAAAAAAAAATCCCCCTTTTGTATCAAAAATAAAACATTCAAACCTTGATATCTTCCATTCGAAGCCTTCTTGGTTGATGTTCACTGGCCCAAAAAAGTCGATAAATATAGGCGAACAAAAAATCTCGAATAAATGCAGTTGCTCTTTTCGAATTTGGCGATGGAACTTCAACAGCTGGACATTGTTGACCAGCAACAAATAAAGGAGGACATTTTCGAATGAACCAACTGCAATAAATACAGTAATCGAAACAATTTTCAAAATAGAAAAACGAACAAACCTATTTCGATTTCGAATCAACAAAAAATCAGTGTTTTTGGAACGATGTCGATAAATTGGAGCTTGATACATATTATTTTCGACACTTTGTAATGATTGTCCAGGTTTAAGTTGTCCAAGAAATGTTGGTGGTAATTGGCCAAATGCCATTTCTCCCAATTCAAATGTTGGTTCAACAACTTCATTACCAGGTTTTCGTTTATAATAATTCTTCAATTTTCCAGACATTCCAGGTTGAGATAAAACAACAGGATGTTCTTCACTATATTCGATTAGAATTAAATCCCCATCGAGCCCAGTTAAATCATTAACATCTCGCATGAAAAATATATCGCCACCGCCTTCTGTCGCTTTCATTTTTTCTCGAATTTCACCCATTTTCTGTTGATGTCTCGTTGTTGTTTGAACAATTTGAAAACGATTTGGTGCAAATAATTTCATAACTCGTCGTGTTAAACACGGCCGATGCCAATGTCGAAGTTCATGATTTGTCATATAAGTTGGGAAAAATGCTCGATGAATATTTTGAGCTGGTGTAGAATGTTGAATAAGTAATGAATTACTTGATGATGTTTTTGAATTTCCTTTCGGAATATAATAATCATCATTGCTCAGATTAAATGGATCATTATCAGTGAATTGTGCCATCGAACTTTCCATTTGTTCATCTTCTTCTTGTTTTTGTCTTTGTTGAACTTGTCCTAAAATCATTTTCGACTTTTTCGTATACTGATTCTCTTTTCTTTCCGATGATGTTATTTTTTCATCTTCCGCTTTTCGATCTTCCGGTAAACCATAAATCAAAGGATCATCAGCAAAATCAACCATCAACATTATAGGTTCTGAAAATGATTGAAAAGGATGAATTCAAAAATTTAAAAAAAATGTGATACCTGGATTTTCTGGCATCGAATCTGCATCCCAAATAATTTGATCTTCCCAATTATACAAATCTAAATCTGATGGAGCTGATGGAAAAATTGACATAGAAGGAGTTGGAAGAATTTTATCTGGAAAAACAATATTTTTGGAGATAAGTTTAATTCAAGTGGGTGTAAGATGAGAAAGAGAAAAATGAACTTATATCAAAAAGCGCCCTAATTTTTTAATTAAATAGTTTGTATTCTCTCGCCACCTTAAACTAAATAAAAAAAACATACTTTCAAGAAGTGGAGATGAATATCCTTGCATTCCATCTCTTGTATCAAAAACTCTTTCAAGTGATCCATTTTGAACAGAAAGTACAAATTGTTCATAAGATCTTGTTAAATTCGTCGGAATCCAACCATAAGAAAATACTCGATCTTCAGCTAAATCATTCAATATTTCCATTCTCTTTTTCTCTCCATTTATAATCACATCTTTTTCCCATTCAATAACTTGATGTGGCATTATAATATCTTCATTTGTTCCACATCCTTTATCAAATGTTTCAACTCGATTTGAAATTCCTGATGATTTTGTTGAAGTTGATGCTTCATCAATCGAATTTCCAACATCTTTTGTTTTTCGAATCGGTTTTCTTATTGGTTCATCTTTTTTCACTCGAAATCCATAATTGACACTTGTTGATGTTGATGGAACATTCATCATATCATACCAAACTTTTGCTGGTCCAACTCTCCAAGGTGCAACTATTTCATTATTTTCTTCTTTTTTCGTATCTTCAATTTCTGATGATCGAATCATTAATGGTTCTTGATCAATTTTCAACATTTCATCATCAGCTTTATCAACAATATTCAGTTTACATCTTTTTGGAGCACTTGGTCCAATTTTCTGTTTATCTTTCGGTAATTTTCTATGAAATGTCTTACTTGGCCACCATATTTCAGCTTTTGATGAAGGTTTGATATTTGATGCAAATAATCGAGAAAATCGAAGAGTTTTATTTGGTTGAAAATCTGAGAAAAATATTCGTGGATCGAGATTGTCAAGAGAAGGATGAAGTATTCCAGCAAGTGGTGCATCATCTCGCAAAGATGGACGAATAAATGCTACTGGTTTTTCTTCTTCTTTTATTTCAATTTCTTCATTTGTTTTGATCTGTTCATCATCTTTCTCGTCTTCTCGAAATTCATAGGCTGGAAATTGTTTTTTTTTATTTAAATCAAAATTTTTAATTAATTTTTCAAAATAAGTACCTTTATTCGTAGCACATGGATGATTCAGAAAATATTCGGAAAGATTTGAATTTGGATCTTCATTTGAATTTTGAGATGTGTCCATCTGCAAAAATACAGAAAATAATGATTTCTAAACTCGAAAATCAAGAACCTTTTCATCGAATTGATCCATTTTCATATATCCTCATAATAATCCACGACTTATTTCTTTCCTGAAATTGTATTCTATTTTTTTACAAAATGATGTTTTTGTAAATAATAACTCACGTGAAAATAGAACACGTTTCAAAATTAATAAAACATGATATTTATTACAATTTTTATTTCGAGAAAAAATGAGCAAAGTAAATACACATAATCCTGGGGTTAGTCTTTTTTAAAATTATTATGTGAGTACAGATTATTTTTTGTTGTTGTTTCAATTTAAATTATTTTTTTCAAAAAGATACATGCGATGAACCCGGATATGATGAGAAGAGTTTTTGGGAAAGTGAGAAGGATTGATTAGCTAGAAATGATGGCGAGAAGGAAATGTGTTGGAAGACATTGCTTGAGCTAATTGATTGACTTCGGGACTAGACATCATTCCAGAAACATCAGTTGACATATCTTGAAGATAATCAAAATCCGCTAATGCTGTTCGTTCCATTTTACCGAATCTGTAAGTTCATTTTATCTTTAGTTAGAGAATGTTTTGGAATCTCCAATTTCAACAGAAATTGGAAAAAAATTACCAAAATAATAATTGCATTTTTCAAAAAAAAAAAAATTAAAAACATACCGTTTATAATGTTTTGCTTGAATAGTTTGTCTTGGTGGATTGAATTTAACTAATCCTCCTTTTTTCTTGAGTTGTTTCTCGATCAAATTAGCTCGTTCTTCATCCGAATCAGAAGTTGACATATCTTCTTCGCATCGGGAATTTTTCTGAAATAATTAGATTTTCACTTTTTCCTAAACTATTTTCAAATACCTTAAGCCAACTGGATTTTCTAACATATTGTGGTTTTTCTGGTTCTTCTTCCAATTCAAAACATTTTTCATCGATTTTTGCGAGATCAGTGTCCGAATGTGATCGAGTTATTTGTGCTCCTCTATTAATAAGTTGTTTCATTTCTTCGAATGGTGATAATTCTCTTCTTGCCATTTCAATCGGCGAACTATTTTCTTCCATTGAAGTTCTAAAAATTCGAACTTCATCTTGTGTATCCATATCATCTTTCATCGAATTTGGCATACTATTAATAATTGTCATTCCAGGAAACATTCCAAAATTCTGCGAAGATTCTGGGAAACACAATGCTTCTCCAGCTCCTTCCGAACTTCTTTCCATTGTATTATTTGAATATGGACAAAGTAATGAACTTGTATTCACACTTTCATCATTCTCATTTTCATCACAACCCGCTTCAAACATTGCTATTTTATTGTTTGCATCGTGTAACATTTTCAATAGATCACTTTTTTGTTTTCGTTCGATTTCAATTTGTTGTTTTAAATGTGAATATTGTCGATGCATACGATCATGATTTTTTCTAAAACAAAACAATGTTTGAATTATGAAATTTTTCAAACAAAAACTCACTTCAATCTATAATTTTCTTCTTGTAAAATTGCAATTTGTTGTGTCATTGTAGATCGTTCGTCATTCATTCTTCTGTGCATTTTCTTCAGTTTATTTTCGAGATGAGCATTTCTTGCTTCCATTGTTCTGATTCTTGCCTCATAAATTTCATCTTCATCAGATTCATAACTTGTCATATCATATTGTTGTCTTGCAATCATATTGCGATAAGCAATCTCATTTCTGAAAAAAATTAAGTAATTGTGAAATTATGACTAATAGGAGTAAGAATTCTTAACTTAGGACAGGCTTACTTTAGGATCCCGAAGAAATTATTCCAAAAAACTTACATCGCAGAATCATCTCGAACTTTTTGCTGCTTTTTTTGTTGTTGCATAACATTCTTTCTATCCATTAACATTGATGTTTCCATTGGTGCACCTGGACAACTTCTTGGTCCTCTTGTAGTTTTTGGAGCAGTTATAACAGCATATGGGCTTTTGAGACGATGATCCACATTTTTTCCAATTAGAGAAGAAGTTGGTGGCGGATCTCCGACATAAATATTACCGGATAAATTTGACTTGGTCGATTTTAATGAGTTTGTGTTGAATGAGACAGACTGAAAATGTTTTTTTTGTTGTTGACTAACAATTAAAGGTGAATTCAAAATTTTTTTCAATAAAGAAAAAAAATAAACTCACGGGTTGATTTTCTTTATTTCCGCTCTGCTTTTTGTTCGTTTTGAACATTTTCATAATCGACCCCATCTTCTTCTTTTAATCTGTAAAATAATAGGAATAATATAAGAAAGCACACACCACACACAAATATTCAAACTGACGCTATTATGGTATGGTGTTTACACATAATACATCATAAGCGACGATAAATAATAAAATGGGAAAAAGGGAACCCATTAATGACAACACATAAAGAAGGAATGGGAAATGAATGAATTTTTATAAAAGCAGAGCAATCAATAAAAAATCTGATTATTATATTGAGACAATTGAAAAGAAGTGAAAACACAATAAATAAATAAAAATATGATACAGATGAAAACCTTTAAAATCCCGTAAGAATAATCACATAATTGACTAACCCATACCAAAATTACAGTTCTGTTTCTATATCTTTTTCATTCTTAATTGCCTTCTCTTCTACCTCTTTTTCTTCATTTTCTTCCGTATCATCGTCTTCTTCTTCTTCTTCTTGTTCATCTTCCGGATCTAACTCTATTTCTTCTTTATCTTTTGGTGCCATTTTATCTGCTGCGGTCTTTTTTTCGAGTCGAATCATTCCAAAATCATCAGAATATTGGAGAGGTTCACAGAATCTAAAAAATTGATGTTTTCTCATAGTCGAAATATCTCGGAGTTAATTTACCTTTCACTATCAATTGTCAAAATATAATGGCAAGTTCGTGGTTCGCTGAGTGTTAATGAAATAGCAAGTGCACTATGTTCTGCTGGTTGACATCGAAGACGAACTTCAACACTCCGATGAGCTCCGGTTTCATCACAAAGATCACCTTTTGAATATAAATGCGAGATTTGTGACACATGGTTTCCATTCTTTTTCGGTTTTCTCATTAATGGAACTTCTTCCACCCACAATTTATGAATAGTTTCATCAAAAACTCCCAAAACAATATCCAATCTATTTCCATTTGCTTCTTCATGAAATTGTACAACTTGTTTTCCATAACAAAATTCATATTTCCACCATCCTTGTCCTCCTACAATACATTCTTCTCCAGTTAAAATACTATTTACAGTATGATCAACGACTAATGGATTATTTGCCAATGTATCCTTGTTTTCATATCTTTTTTCACCAGCTAATTTCAATTCTGGTGTTTTCACTTGTTTTGCTCGTTCCAATGTCTCAATTGTCACTTTTTCAACATCGACAATTGAATCAATATGTTCATTATTGATATAATTATCTGGATTGATTGTATATTCTCTTTTAAAAGTAGTATCATGATATTCATTCAAATTTTGAAGAGCTTTTGGCGGAGCTGTTTCTTCAGAATTTGCTTCTGTATTCCAACAAACAATTTCATGATCTTTGTTTTCATTCAATGTATATGAAGGATGTTTGCACAAAATATGTGTCATTATAATAATCTGAAAAAAAGAATTGTTTTGTGATTCAATTTTTATGAAATAGAAAAATCACCTCATAATGACAAGATGCGACTTCAGTAACTGATAGAATTTTATGTTGCATATTTGGAACACAAATATAAATAACATCAGTTGTTCTTGGTTTTCCTGTCAAATCACAACTTGTTCCTCTATTATAATGAGCTGTGTAGATTGGATAATTTTCATTTTCAATCATTCTTTTCTTTGGATGTAAAATATCAGACTTCTGAAATGATAAATTTTGAAAACAAGAAGATATATTTTTAATTCATCGAAAAAAACTTACAGATTTTGGATATTCGACATGATAATTTCCCAAATAATATTCAGTTCTTGCCAAGTTATTCAAAGAATTTTTATCGTCGTGAAATTGTGTAATATATCTTCCATGACAAACCATATAAGACCAATAAGTATCAACGAGATATGAACAAGCATCGCTTTTATAAAGTTGTTTTTCAAGAATTTCTTGAGGAGATTCACCAGTATATTCTTCACTTTTCTCTTCCTGAAGAAATAAAAAAACTAATGAACATATGTTTTCGATTTCTTACCTCATGTTCAATATGCGGAATCTGACAAAGGAATTTCTCGCCGTTTTTAGAAACCAATGGAACTACATCATCTTCATCAGTTAATTCTTCTGGTTTTCTATCGGCTAATTTGATTTTACTTTGATCGTTTGTAAACTTCACTGTGAAATGAATTGAATCGTCGATTAATTGACATTGTGCGTTGTAACTTAGACTAATAAATAAAACTAATATCGATAGATCCAATTTGCCCATCTGAAAATGTATGAACTTTGTGTTGAAACAGTTTAAAATTCAAAATAAACCAATTTTATGTCGCCAAACAGGCCAAAAAAATAAGGCAAGGTGTTCATTGCGCTAGAGCGAATTTGCTTCATCAAACATTTTTATTTTCCAATTCACGGCCGGACTGTTTCTTTATTTCACTTTTTCGAAGTTTCAAATTAGAATTAAAGTAAGTTTTTGCCAATAAAATGAAATATACAATTTGAAATTTTCAGAATGATTACATGGACTTCAATAAAACGTGGATTTCCAATATATTCGTGGCCAATTCTAGCAGCAACAGCCATATTTGTTGATTGGAATCATACGAGAGAATGGAAAGCAGCTGGAAAGGTTTCGATGTTACAAAAAGAAATTCTAGGGAATGCCAAGTAATCACTTCATTTTTAGCGACAATAATAAAAATTTCGAGAAAACGATTTAACTTTAATTTTTAATGGGTATTTGTTGTAGTTTTCATCGTTTTCATTTGGCTAGTTTTCAAATTCTGATCGTTGAAATAATTCTGATTTTGTCTAGCCATTGGTCCGATTATATTTATTTTGGTGATTTCAATGATTTCGCGAATATTGAGCAAACTATTGTCATAAGATATTTTCATCAAATGAAAAGCTGTTCGAATAATATCCTTTGAGAGAGTTGGTTTGCGATAAGTGAAATAGCTGATATGGAATAAACTAACAGTAAAATCGACATAACTCAACAGTGCGGAAATGATAAATGTTGCGAGAGTTTTAAGATGATTTTTTGGTTGATGAACTTCTTCAGTGAACGTACGGCCAGTTGCAGTTTGGAAACTTGAACCTGAATTTGAAAATGCTCCAAATTTCTATCCACTTTGAATAAAAACCAACCAGTTTTTCTTGATCTACTAACAGATAACGATCTTGTGTTTCTTCTCAAAGCTGGAGACAATCCATGTCTCATTTGAACATTATCGCTTACAATAGACGCCATTTTCAAACAATCGTAAAATAAACTATGTTTTGCCGGATCAATATTTTCAAGGGACACGTCACGTTTCAAATAAATACATTTATTCGTTTTCAGGTCACCAAAATTGAGAAAAAAATACCACGATTCTATGAACAATTAGATTTGTGAAAAAAAAAACATTTTTTCGACATAAATATTTTAAAATGATAAAACTATGGTAGAGCTGCAGTCATTTCTGGAACAGCGTTGAATAAATCAGCCTTCAAACCGAAATCGGCAACTTGGAAGATTGGTGCATCAGGATCCTTATTGATTGCGACAATTACTTTTGAATCTTTCATTCCAGCCAAATGTTGAATAGCGCCTGAGATTCCAACAGCAATGTATAATTCAGGGGCAACAATCTTTCCAGTTTGTCCAACTTGCATGTCATTTGGAACATATCCAGCATCAACAGCTGCACGAGATGCACCAACTCCAGCTCCGAGTTTGTCAGCAAGAGCATAGATAATCTAAATATAAATACATATTGTGTATGTCTATAAAAATATATTTAAAAAATTACCTTGAAATTATCTCCACTCTTCAATCCTCTTCCACCAGATACAACAATCTTGGCTGTAGCTAAATCTGGTCTTTCAGATTTGCTCAATTCTTGTCCAAGGAATTCAGAATTTCCTGCTGCGATTTCAGCATTTGGCGCATTTTCAACAGCACCTGATCCACTTCCAACTGCAGCTGGTTCAAAAGATGTTCCACGGAATGTAAGAAGTTTGACAGCGGAACTAGATTTAACTTTTGTTACAGCATTTCCAGCATATTGAGTGCGAGTGTAAGTATCAGCAGCATGGACCTAAACATTGAATTTTATAATCAAACTATCCTCTTAATGCTTAATTACCTCAGTGATGTCACTAATTGGTGAAACATTCAATTTAGCTGCAACTCTTGGAATAATTCCTCTTCCAAAAGCTGATGAACCAGCAGTAATTGCGGTGAAATTGAATTGTTTTTGTGCGGCCAAAACAACTGGTGCAACACGTTCTGGCAAATTATTCTTTAATTTATCATCTTGAGCTACGATAACTCTTTTGACTCCGGCAACTTTTGATACTTGTTCTGCCACTTTTGTTGCATTTGCACCAGTTACAAGAACCGAAAGTTCATTACCAAGCTGAAAAGAATTGAGAAATAAATAAATGATAGTTCATAGATCGCAGTTCATAATTTGATCATTGATGAATTTTGTAGTGAAAAACTCTTCGAAATATGCGAAAACTTACTTTTCCAGCAGCTGTGATGGCATTCAAAGTAATTGGGGCGAGTGTAGCATCATCATGTTCAGCAACAACAAGAGTCGAGTTCAATCTGGTTGCCTGAAAAATCTCGATTTAAAATTGTTTTTACCTATTCAAAAATAAAAATCCTTACTCCATTCAATCGAACAGCTTTTGTTAACAATGATTTTGCAGATAACATTATCTGAAATCAGATTGATTGATCTTAAAACTAAAGTAATGCTGGTAAATAGTAAAAAAAACAAGAAAAAACAATAAGATTGGGGGAGAAGAAGAGAAAAATGAACGAGTATGAAAAAACGAGATGATAAGATAGATAGAGAATGGGAGATGAAAAAGAAAAAGAGGTCAAAGTATCTTGTTTGTTTATATTCGTAAGTTGAAAAATCAAAACGAACCTTGGATTCAAATCGGATTCAAAGACCCTGAAAAATCGAAATGATCAGATTTTGAATAGAGATCACGTTTTTATTCGCCTTAAAATCGAAACAAAAAACGAGCATTTCTTGAATCTTTTTTCTCTCCTAATTCAGAAACGAACCACTCATACTTATACTACTAATTGTTTCCATAAAATTCAAAACTTAAAAGTGAGAAAATATGATTGTTCTCCAAAGAAATACTACGAGGCCACGGCGCGCGTTCGAAATCGCGAAACGAAAAAAAAACAGAAAATTCTGGCCGAGTCGGTTTTTCAGCCATCGAAAAACGCGGTTTTTTGCGCAAAAATTGCAAAGCTCTCAGAGATTCGCTGGCCAGCTGGTCACTAGGTGGGACCGACTGCCCATCTGAAATTGACACGGACAACCACATCGCCCGTATTTTTTGCCGGACGACCTGGTCGCGAGGTGGTTCAGTTCATGCAGACCACCTCGCCCAGGTTGTCCAGCTCGAGCCGACCTCGCCTCCAGATCGTCTCGCTTAAGAGAAAAAAGTCCAAAAAACTTGTGAATCCGAGCATTCTAGAAGAAATTGGCTCATTTTCTGTTTTTTCGGAGTACAAGAAACCTTAGGAAGTGAAAAAAACAGTAAAAAATGCACTATTTTAAGTACAAACCACCGTCTTGCTAGCTTTTCAGGATTTGAAACACACAGGCCACGTCGCCGGAAAACTCAAGGCGACCTGGTGGCCGAATCAAATTCAGCTCGTTTTGAACTTTCCGGCCACCTGGTCCTGATCTAGTGGCGAGCTGGCCAGCGAATCTCTGACACTGTATTTTTTTTTGCAATTCGAGGGAGACGCAGACTTTAACGTGGGCAGACAAATCTCTCGTCGAAAAAGGGAGAGAAATAGTGTGTGGCAGACACACAGCGTGGCGAGACCAGCGACTGTCTGCGTCTCCTCGAAATTGCATTTTTCTATTAGAAAAAAACACAGTGCTGAGCTTTAAAGCTTTGCAAAGTTGCTTTCAGAATAACAACTTTTTATAAAAACTTTCACTTCCTTTCCTTTTTATATTTTTTCACGTTATTAATTTCAGTGATATTCAAATGTCGTATGGGCCACAGCTTCCTGCTTCATTCCAAAAGCCTGTATTACAAGAGGAGGAAGAAGAAGAAGATGACACTCCAACAGTTTATGGTCCACAAATTCCAACCGCACGAAATCCAACAGATGAAGTGAGAAATATTTTTCTAAATTTCATAAATGAAAGTCAAAATTTACAGGCGAAAATTCCTGAAGCGAATTCAAAGTCTCCAGCAGTTATTGATGAAGAAGAAGACGAAGATGATTCGACAAGTATGTATGGTCCAAGTATTCCAACAAATTTTCTTCCAAAAACTGCCGAAGGACCGGAATTGCCACCAAGTTTTTCAGATGATGAAGATTTTGTGAGTTTCAATCTATCTAACATTGTGACTTCTAAAATTATAGGGACCCAAACCGATTTCAAAAGGTGATGAAGAAAGGGAAGAAGTGTTGAGAATGTATCGATTGGCAGAACAAAAAGAAGCAGAAGAAAATGCGAAGGTATTTTTCAAAATTAAATATTTTAATCAAAAAATCATTTATACAGAACAACGAGTCGAAACGAGAAGAATGGATGACACAAATGCCAAAATCACTTGGAAATTTTGGTTTGGGAGCAAGAACCTTCAAAACTGGGACAGCAGTCGACAGAGATGATTCATGGGAAGATGCTCCAGGAGCAAAAAAGAAACGAAAGACTGAAGAACCAAAAGTTGCTGCTGGAATTGCAGAAGCGGATGCAAGAAAAGCAGCAATTGTAGCAGAAAAAGCAGCGGGACCAAGTTTATTAGAAATACATAAGAAAAAACGAAATGATGATGCAGAGAGTCGGGTAATTTAAAATTAAATTTAGTTAAGATTTATGTTTATTTTTTCAGGGATTGTCCGAAGGTGAACGTCGACCATTTGATCGTGAAAAAGATATGGAAGTTCGGGGTTTGAAACCTGGAGCGAGTAAAGAAACTGTAGATCGAATGAAAGAATTTGCGTCGCGTTTTGCCCCAAGTAAAAATCAACGATTTTTATAACATAAAACTTTTTATATTCGAAAAGTTTAGAACTGTTATTCATCATGTGTTATCTACAGGTTTTGGTGGAATTATTTCATCTGATATATCCGAAGGATCATATATTTCATTTTGTTTCCTACGATTCGCAACACGATCAACTTCGCTCTGAAAAATCGAATAATTTAAAGGTTAGTGGAATTATAGTTTTACCTTTGCGTGATTAATATCCTTCTCAATTTTCTCGAAGTCTTCTTTTCTACTTTTATGTGTTGCACAATAAAAGCAAAGTAGAAAAATAAGAACCAAAAACTCGATAACCGAAATAATACTCATTCCCAAAAATAAACCAACTTGTCCACCGACATCCGAAATAAAATTAACAAACTAAACAAATATAAAATTTGAGTATTATGATTTTTTCACCTACAGTATACGCAGCAGATTCTGTCAAAACTTGATAATTCATTCTTTCATAATATATTTCAATCAATAATGTATTTTGTTGATACCTGAAAATTGGGAAGAAGGATTTTTCGGATTTATAGTGGTTTACCATTCCAAACAAGTTTCAGACAAAGTTAACCAGGGTTGAGATGTTGCCGTGCTTCCAGGTGTACATTCAGTTGGCTGAATATTGTATTTCGAAAAAATTGAAACTTTTAAAACTTACAGTATATGTATTAGATGGCCATTGTGCAGTTGATACGGTAATACTGTATGAATCTTGTCTAAAAGAAAATAATTATAAAAAAATAACTCCAATAAAAAATCTTACTCGCAAGGTTGTGGACAATTACATTCTGTCAAAACATCGAAAACTGTTGAATCGGCGCTTATAATTGTGTCAACACATTGCACTGAAATTTTTGCAAAGCATTTTTCAAATATCAAAAAAAAACTGAACTTACAACTTGTAATTGTTCCATCATCACATGAAACATATTGACTTGTATTACTTGCATGAGAATATGCTGGATAATAACATCCACAAGTACTTACTATTTTATCTTGCATACAAGAACGGAAACATGATTCTGTCTAAAAACAATCTTGTTCAAAGAATTATTATTCTCACGTTTTTGGTCTCACCGAATAATTTCCAGTAAAATGTGTTGTTTTCAATGTTTTTTGAGTTGTACAAGTTCCATAAGGACTACTTAATCTTGTTGTTGAAACATAGCTAACACCAAGTGAAGAAGCTGTTGAAGGAGGTGCAAAATATCCGAGCATATCTGGATATGGTGTCTCATCATCATTATGAATATCAATTATAACTCCAGATGCTTCAGTCCATGGTAAATATGTATTTTGATCTGTTCGAATAACCATACGAAGACCATAAAGTGGACCAGCTCGAGATGAACTTTGTTCTCCAGCATAATTGAATTGAATACAATTACCGTATGTTGGATTATAATAATCAACAAAGTCACTGAAATATTGAAATATTTTGTGAAAAACTTGATGAAATTTTTTAAAAGATTTCTCTTAAATACTTACGTTTGATTACATGTTTTTGCATTATAAGTACAACTAACAACTAAATCATCATAAGAATATGCAATATCTTCGCCATTATCATAGTATAAATTTTTCAATTTTTCCGAATACATCAAAGTCCATTTTGCAGCTGTTTGTTGTCGATCTTCATTTAGTGTTGAAGGTAAACCAAATGGTGAATTCGTTGAATATGAATTATAAGCAGTTACCTTGAAAACGCAAAAATGGATAATAAAATCAGTTTCACAGTTTCGAATGTTTCAACCACGTTGAAAAATTTATTATTTGGAACTTTTTTCTTGAGTTTTAAACTTCTCTTCTCATCTTTATATCTATAGATAGATATCTATAGATAGATATCTCAAAAGTCACCTTTTATTTTTTTTTAAATTGATTTGCTCATTCCCCTTCCCGTTTACTGTAGGTAGATTTTACTGTGACGTTTCCAAAAAAATGTTGATTCAAAATTTTCAGTCTTCTTTTTCTCCCAAGTATCAAATCCAATTCTCAAGTATTCTTGATTTCTTTAACTTTTACGAAACGAAACCAAGAAAAATACTTGAATTTTCTCATGAATAATTGCATTTTGTCTCCAATTATCAAGTTTCGTTTTTCTTACCAAATCGCTCAAATCTTTATCTGCAGTCGTTGATTCTGTCAGTTTCCACGCATTTAAATGACATATTGTTACCGTGGGAAAAACTCGTTCAGCAAATTCCAACTGAAATAGTATAATAAATATTTCCTTTTTTATTTTGAAAAAAAAGTGGAGTGAAAAAATATTGATAAAAAATGCGAGATGCACTACTATTTAAATGGGTGGATTGCACGAATGTTTTCTCAAAAACCTACTGTAGTTTCAGTATTTACACTAAATGATAAATAATTATCCAAAAGTGAAATGAATTGCCAAATAAATAATCCAACATTGACCAAAACAACCAAAACCCAAAATGCTCTAAAAATAAAAACTTTTGAAAATTGTTATTTTTCCAAATATTTTTACCTGAGCCATTTAGCATTGGCCATTCCAATATGAGGAATTCCATGAGTTGATGTCCAACACGAAAAATCGGTAAACACATATTTCATTCCAGTCCAAAATACTCCCATCCTACGTTTTTTCCAAGTTTTTTTTACCTTAAAATTTCACATTTATACATTTTTTCGAGTTATCCCTTCTCAAATATTAACAAGTTTTTATGTTGCCATTTTATGTGTTCTCATATATATGACACTAACGAAAAAAAAGAAGAAGAAAAGTTTCATTTTACATCAAAAAGGGCAATCTTTCTTGTATTTGAGCTGAAATGTTTTATAATTGTATTTTCCATGGAAATGCACATTTTTTGTCGATTAGGAAAAATTGTAATTTGTGTTTTTATGAATTATTTTCTACATATGTGGGTGTATAAATGTACTTTACGATTTTATGGGATTTTTTGCAAAATTATTATTTTTCCGAAAAAAGTTTGTTGCTTTCTAGAACTTTTTACTTAAAAAATTTGGAAGTTTTGGTTTTTGTTCATTTTTCAATTTTAAAACTTTTCATAACAAAGAATATTTTGAAGAAAAAATTATTGCAATAATTTGATTTTATAAAAACTAAATTTAGTTATGAGTTCTGCTCGTTTACAGAAATATGGTCTCCTATTCAAAAACACTAATAAATGTTATCAAAAATATCTCTGAATCTGATTTATTTCATCATCTCAAATTCATTTCTCCTTCTTCTCGATTTCTCTACTTCTAACATCACATATATTTTTCTCCGTCTTCTTCTTCTCCACAAACCCCGCCCATTTTATATTCACAATTCTGATCATTCTATTTTGCCCTTCTAGAAAAGGAAGGTGTGCCCCAATTCAAGACTGAAAATGAGAACTGAACTATCATTTGTCGTCTTATTTTGCTGTGCTGTTTTTACATCGTGTGCGATGAGCTTACAACAAGCTGGTAAGTTTGAGAAAATTAATTGAAAAAAAAATTTTAGAGGCGGTCTCTACTGGGCTTGTTTCAAAGTTTTCGAATATTGATAAAATATGTACTGGCTACAGTAACCCAGAAATCTAGAAAATTTATGATTCAACTGAATCACAGCTTGAGATCTTGTTTTTCTTATAAATTCATAAATTTGTACTAAAACTTTTGCAGAAAAAAATAAGGTATATTTTGAATGAGATTATACGAAAATTTCTATAACGATAGTTTTTTGAGCGAAAATCTCTTGGGGCTGTGACTTATCAGATAAACTCAAATTCTGTCTCCTTTTTCCAACACTTCGGATTAGCTCTCTAGAGATAAAAGCTATAACCCGGAAATCTTAGCGGTGTGAACTTTAACTCAAAATCAAGACTTCTTGATTATTACCACAAGGATACTTTTCATCTCAAGAAATTTTGGGCAACTGAACTGAAATCTGAGTAATCAAAAATGATACCAAAGTTTCCTATTCTCACAATTATTGTTTTTTTTTTCAAAAACGTCATAATTCTGAAAAACTTAATTATTTTCATATTTATTTTTGTCTCGATCGTAAATAATAAAATAAAAAACAGTAGTCTATAGAGGAAATGATGAGGAAATCAGTGAAGATATAAACCTTTCACAAAAAGTAATAAATTTTATGCGCTAGCTAGCGATAAAACGAAAATGAATAGATTAAAAATATCGAGTGCCGTTTTTTCTCGAACAAAAAAAACGGAAGAATGTTTCAAACAACATAGTTACCATTGAAAATTCTTTTGTTATTTTTTTTAAGGATTGTTTGGTTACAAAAATCAATTATTCATTTGTTCTTGAGATCCAATCAATATTTTCAGATGGAAGAATGAAAATGTGCCCACCAGGTGGTTCAACTTTCACAATTGCTTGGGGAATGGCTTGTTCAATGAGACGTAGGAAAAGAGAAATATTCCAACTCGGTTAGTTATTCTTCATCATAATTCTATTATTTTTATTTTTATACCAATTACAATTGTTATTATTCATTTTTCCAATAATAACAACAGGGATTCGAAAATAAAATTGTGCGAAAAAAAAAACAAAAGTTGTTGTTTTAGAGTCTAATTTTAGCTCGCTTGCTAGTTGTATTCCACCAAAAAAAACTACTTGAATTTATTCCTATAATAAGAACCAAATTAATGAGAAATTCTGATAGTTGATGAATAATTCCTACGTAACAAAATGACATTTTTGTTATTAAAAAATATAAATTTCCGGAATAAATGTCAGGTTTTTTGTGTTTTTCAGAAAAACGTGCATTGGTTGCTCCATCAGTTCGACAACTTCAAACAATTTGTTGTCAAGTTGGATGTAATATCGAAGATCTTATTGCTTATTGTTCGCCGATCTGAGAGATCGATAATTCTCTCACTGTATTTTATTTTGATTATTCTGAATAAAATAATTTTGTTTAACATTTTAACTTGAAAATTGTGTGATGTCAGTTGGTTATTGCTTGAAGTGCAAGAAAATACACAGATAAGAATGAATGGATCAGGATTCTCTGAAAATCTATCGAATTCGCCAATTTCAGCACTGGAAACTCCGAACATGGAATCATTCCTGATGATTAAAACACCGACGCTCAATTCTCTGAATCTATCGAAGTTTCAGTTCTACTTTGAAATTTCATTAAAGTTCAAGTGCCAAAGAGAACATCAACATATATTCTCCCAATATTTTTTCTCATAAATTAAATGATAAAACCAATAAAAATTTCATTCCATCGTCCCGCTCTCTCTCATTTTTTCGTCCACAAAATTTTATCCATAGAACACTTGTTCAATTTTTCTTAATCATTTATCATCCATTCCATGAGGTCTTAGCTCTTTTTTCTGGATTTTCAACATTTTTATTATTCAAAAATTGATATACATCGGTATATTTTCATCAGTTTGAAGTTAAGATTCATTTGAAAAGTAGATTTTTTTGTCATCAAAAAAAATAAGAATTAAAATGAGATTTTTTATTGTCAAAAAATGTGAGAATTCACACTTCTCTTCCAATTTTTGATCAAAACAGCTGTTGTTAAAAAAATCCTCATTTCATTTGAAATAAATTGAGAAATTCATCTGTTTATTTTTTGAAAATCAATCGATCCGTTTCAAGTTATGAATACCTGTCAATTCGAATCATTTTTGTTGAGTTTTTGACATTTCCAAAAAATATATTTATTTTCTTCCTTTCATCAAAAATAGGATTTGTTTCAGTTGACTGAAGATTTTTGTTGTATTTATTTCGTTTTTCAAAAAGTTGCCATTTTCTTTTTGGATATCAATATTTATTTTGACTTTTACTTTGTTTCAACTCAATTGTTTTTTAATTCTGAAATTTGCCCAATTTGCCCAAGTAAGGTTACTGTACTTGAATTGTAGAGGAAAAATACAACTTTTTAAATTCTTGTGAAAGAGCCGAGCGTAAGTCTTGGGCTCGAAAAAATAGTCAAAAAATGTGTCATTTCATCCAAATGTCTTTTTTCAACAAAAATACTAACATTTTGAAATACGAAAATTATTTTTAGGACAAACTATCAAAGGTTTCTTCTTTTTAAAAAAATTAGCTTCAAAAAAAAGTTCACCACAATTTTTCAAACCTGTCTGTCTAGGCTTCTATATCTAAACCATGTTGAAGAAATCTCCAAACATTAGAAAAGCAACTAAAAACTACAGTAATGAAATCCATTTTATCAAAAAGTGTGTGCATCAAATCACAATTTTCAAATATTTCACACTTATTCCTTATCAGTTAATTCAATTTTTGGATGATAAAACATTGAAAGTTGGTCTATCGGGCGATTTTTGAAATAACTCAAAGTTGTGTGAAATAAAAAATGAATCAAAAAATGTAACCGGAAACAAACAATTTCTCTACTTTTTTTGTTCGATAGAAAAAAAAAACAGAAATAAAACCCAACTAAAACTTTTATTTTTGTATTGCCAAACTAATAAAAAAATTATATTCATCGGCAATAATCAATAAAAATATTTATACATTTGAAAAATTATTTTGAAAATATCAGCTGATTTATTTTCAAAAACTGACCGATTTGTACAAAAAAATACGACGAAGAAGAAAGAAAACACGCCTTTTTTTATTTCACTGATAACTGTATGAAATTAAACATATTAAATACACTGATTGTGAATAATTTAACTAAATTAAAACTATAATGGATCGAATGAAAGATTTTTTTTTGAATGGGGTAAGTCTTAACTTATGTTTTGAATCATGTATTTTATTGAAATGTATAGCTACTGTACAGTATATATAGAAGTCTAGATAATCAGGCCACAATAACTTCCTTGTTTAAAAATCTAGTTTGGTCACACATAGATAAGGTTGACTTTTTCTAATTCATGTTTCAAAAGTATCCTGTTTTTGAATTTTTCAAATATGGAAGCGTGAGTGTAACCTAAATAAATTGGCCTCTTGGAAAAAAGTGAGTCCATTTCTTATTTTCCAACTAGGTCCACAGTAAGAAAAGCTCTGAAATTACAGTTAATATTGTTCAATGAATCCCAAACATGAAGTAAAACAAGTTCAAGCTGAAATATCTGAAAGTCTCCCAATAATTCAAAACTAGTTGTGTGAAAAAATCTATGTTTTTATTTATGATTTTTTGCACACGTTTTGTGGAACACTCATAGATTTCAGAATCTAATCTACAGTATCCTAATTTCCTTCTTGTTTTGAACAAAATCCCAAAAAATTCCAGCCAACTTTCTGGCATCGTCGTCCAAAAGACAAAATTGCATGGACAGAATCGCAAAAAAATGTGAGTGAAATCACGAAATATTTATATTTGATATTTTAAAAGGGTTTCATGTTGCATGTTTTTTTCATGTTTCAATATTTTTCCAAAAAAAAAAATACATATCAGATCTCAACTGTCAACCAATCGAGTCTTCATCCTAAGAACACAATAAGTCCCGCCCCATCTTTTTCTTCAACAACTAACAAAAACTCAACTGTCGAAACTCGAAAAGCACAAAGCGCACAATTTTCGGATATTTATTTTATTATGGGAGGTGCAACTAATGGCGATATATCAAATGGAAACACATCAGTTGTGGTTAGTTTGATTGATAAATGAAATTATTTGGATTTTGATTTCTAAGTTCAAATAAATAAATAAAACCAAGTTTCAGTTTGAAAAAGAAGAAATAAATAAAGAAGAACCTCGCGTATTTGCTAAAAGATGGTTTATTCTTCTTATGTTTATATTATTATCTGGATCTAATGGAGCACAATGGATACAGTATTCAATTATTGCAAATGTTATTACATATTATTATAATGTAGAGTAAGTTTTGAATTTTTTTGAATTTCTGAATTATTCTATATTTTTCAGTTATTTGTTAGTTGATTGGACAAGTATGATCTATATGCTAACATATATTATGTTTTTCATTCCAGCCGCGTAAGTTCTATTTTTAGCTTTTGGGGTAAATATTTGAAAACATCGAAAAGAAATTTAAAAAAATATTTTTTTGATGAGCTGACTTTTGTACTACTTCTCACTACCTCAACATACTTTGATTATTTGTTGACGTCCGACAACAAAAAAACAAGAGAAAAAGCACTTACTTATTGGTTATCTGAGGGTTGTTTGAAGTGAGTTAGAGTATGTACAAAAGATAAATAAAAAGAAGAAGGTTACAAAGATTTTTTTGCAAAAGAAAAAAGAAATAATGTATAAAGTGAGATTTATTTCAGATGGATTTTGGATAAATATGGACTTCGATTATCTGTTGTTTTGGGAGCATTTGGAAATTGTCTTGGAGCATGGATTAAATTGTTATCAACTCATCCAAATAGTTTTTGGATAACATTTTTGGGACAGACAATTGTTGGAGCATCACAAATGTTTACACTTGGAATTCCACCAAAATTGGCGGCTGTTTGGTTTGGACCACATGAAGTATCTAGAGCTTGTGCAGCTGGAGTTTTTGGAAATCAACTTGGAATTGCAATTGGATTCGTTCTTCCACCAATGATTGTTCAAAATGGAACAATTGATGAAATCACATATGATTTGAACACTTTGTTTTTGGGATCTGCTGTTTTAAACACAATTATTTTGGCATTAGTTCTCTGCTGTGAGTGATTTACAGAACCGATAATTATTCCTGATCCATCAATATTTTTTTGCAGTCTTCACAGCTCGTCCATCAATTCCACCAAGTTTTGCCCAACTCACAGCTTTGGAGGAAAAAACATTTGATAATAATTTCCTCGGAACTCTCAAAAAACTTATGACTTCTCGAGATTTTTTATTACTCTTTATAACATACGGTAAGTGAGCAAAACACATTTTGATAGCTTTTTTCTGAGTGAGTGAGAAAAAAGTTTATATCATTTGTAACAAAAAAATGAGTTTATTGACACATGTTGTTAAATAAAACGAGACGAATTTGTTATGATCGATGAGAAAATCACAAAAACGAAATAAGAATTTCAAATAGATCGTCGGAAAAACAATTGTCAACACGGAAACATTTTGACGTTATCGGTTAGAGTTTTAAAAAATAGTGCACTACAGTAACCGAGAAAAATTCAAAACCAACAAAGTAATCCAATTAAAACTATATAGAGTTTTTCAAATAGATATTAAATTTTTATTACCAACTCATAAATTCAGAGTTTTAAATTTTCTATCCAAATTTTTTTCAGGTATTAACACTGGAGTTTTTTATGCAATTTCAACACTTTTATCTCAGATGGTTCTCAGTGTTTATCCAAATGTGAGATTCATTTTAAAAAAACTTTATAAGATTTTACTATTTTTAGGAGTCTGTCGCAGTTGGTCAAATTGGTCTTTTAATAGTTGTCGCTGGAATGTTTGGTTCAGTTGTTGGTGGTTTTCTTCTTGATAAATTCAAAAAATTCAAACTCACAACAATTCTGATTTATCTATTCTCATTTATTGGAATGTTATCATTTACTCTCACAATCGATCTCAATTCACTTTTGATTGTTTTCATTAATTCTGCCTTACTTGGTTTTTTTATGACTGGATATCTTCCAATTGGTTTTGAATTGGCTGCTGAAATCACTTATCCATTAGCTGAAGGAACAACTTCTGGTTTATTGAATGCAAGTGCACAGATTTTTGGAATTGCATTTACTTGGATTATGGGAAAAGTTATGCAATCATATGGCACTTTTACGAGTAATATTATTATGTCAACTACTTTAATTATTGGAACTTTTTTGACTTGTAAGCTTACTTTTTCAAAAAATTAATTTCAATGTTTTTTTCCAGGCTTAATTCACGAAGACCTCAAACGCCAAAAAGCGCATTCAGTTCAATCACAAATTCCAACCTCTGAGACTCAATTAACCAATTGCACATCATAGTTTTATTTTGAAATTTGATTTGTTAGTTTATTTTTCTAAAAATATCTGTAATAAATGAAAAATTTGTCATGTGGTTTGTGGGCTGAAAAAATGAGAAGAGAAGTCGATGACTCATCGAAAGTGTTTCTGGTTATTTATTTTGTGTGATATATTTCATTCCATTCCACTTATTTTTGGAAAGAATTGAGTTTTGCAGTATATTTTTTCTTTGGTTTTTTGCGAACCACATTTGTGACCTATTTTAGCACAAAAATCACATGGTTTATCATTGTCTGAGAAATTTTCAACTTCCTCCAGTCACGCCCTTTTTGATAGAAATCTTTTTGTGTCACAAAAAAGCAAACAGAAGAGAACAGTTTTTTAGTTGCGCAGTCAGAAATGATTTATCGATTAGTTTTGATCTATTTTGCAGTAATTGTAACACTTTCTGCTTTGGAATGTTATACTGGATATACTTATTTGAAATCACAAAGTGTCGGTGAGTTCAAAATCTTCAATCAACTTTAAAGGTGGGGGTAGGAAAACGGTTGAAAACCCTTTTTTGATAGTACAACTGCGAAGAGAAAGTTCACAAAAATTTTCTGAACCTCATATTAGTGGGCTCCACGAATATGGTGATCCAAAGTACTGGAACTTGTTTCCTAGGAAGCCCAGCTGATCCTTTCGGTGAAAAATCTTTTCAAGCTTAATCCAATTTTAGAGCACTCTTTTGAATATTGGAAATTATTCATTCACTCTCTCTCTCCAACATAAGATGTGTTTCAGGCACAAGCAAGGAAACATGTTCTTCCCCAAATGATTACTGTTATAATATGACAGCAGATTTGACATCCTTGAATAATGTCAAAAAAGGTGGATGCTCTTCAACAAGATGTTTCGTTAGTTTTTTTCTTCAAATTTAATGAATTAAACAATAAAATGGAACATTTTCAGTTGGCTCGAAACAAGTGTATAACTCAATCAGTTGGTGGAACTGAAATTAAATTTTGTTGTTGTAACACTGGAAATTTGTGCAATTCAAAAATGACAGTACGTTCTTTCCAAGTTTTCAAATTTTGCTCAATAAAAGTTTTGTTTTTCAGAATATGACATTTATTGAAAAAACGAAACAAAAAGTCAAGGATATTTTTGGAATGTTCGGTCGATAATTAATTCTTAACCTTAATTAAAAATAAATCTTTCATGTATCTTTTTTTTAGAATTTAAAGTTCATGTTACGAATTTCCATTTCTGAAACTCCCAATCATCTTTTCGGGTGTCCAAGTTATCGGAATTCAACTTTCTGTTAATTTGAATTTCAAAATACCAATATTTCAGACTTTCTCAATGATTCTGAGATTTTCAGATTCTTTCGGTTCCGTTTTATCTTTATGAACAACCAAATTTCCAGACTTACTGAATAATTTGTTATTAGAAAATAAACTTTTTCTCAAACTCAACTCAACTTCTTCAAACCTTTCAAACCCTGGAAACTTTTTCAGGAGCTAACTTTTCTAGATTACGAATTTTATAAAATGGCAACTGGCATCCGAAATTTTTTGTTTTTTATTATTTTTTTAATCATTAGAAATTTTAATTTTATTTAAATAAAACTTTAGAAAAAAGATAAAGGAAAATCGAGAGAAACGAGGCGACGAAAATGCACACATTTGTCTTCATCGTATGCCTGCTGTGGGAAAAACACACAAACAACACTGGCAAATAGCCAAGTGTTTGAACAGCCGCGCTACCGTATACAACCTGCACATCTAACCTTTCTTGTTGGACGGAAAATTGCGAATTTCTTTACTCTTTTCAAGCCGCTATCCTCTGTGCGGTGAATTTTGTCGTTGTTCTGAAGAGTACTCAACAAAAAACCAAAAATGGTAAGTAATATTTCGAATTTATAGGCAGGGTAGAGATTTAGTTCATGGCAAAATTTAGTTATGTTCCCAAAAATTGGGATTTTTGTGAAAAGAATTAATTAATTTTAGGCCAGTAATTGAACATTTTTCAAACACTGAGATTTAACTTAATTATTGTTATTTTACAATAAGTCATTGAAAATTCGAATTGTATATCACTTCTAAGTATGTCGAAATCCCCTGATGATGCAATTATGTAAGAGAAAATTAAGGTTCATTCTACTTTTTGAATTTTTTTCACAATTCATATTCAGGTCAACTTCACCATCGATGAAATCCGTGCGCTCATGGATCGCAAGCGCAACATCCGTAACATGTCGGTTATCGCTCACGTCGATCACGGAAAATCAACCCTCACCGATTCGTTGGTATCCAAAGCTGGTATCATCGCTGGAGCCAAAGCCGGAGAAACTCGTTTCACTGACACCAGAAAAGATGAACAAGAACGTTGTATCACCATCAAATCTACGTAAGTTTTGTATTTAGTCTAGAGCAGTGGGAAAAATCGTAAATTTTCAGTGCTATCTCTATGTTCTTCGAGCTTGATAAAAAAGATTTGGATTTCGTCAAGGGAGACGCTCAAGTCGAAGTTGTTGAAGTCGATGGAAAGAAAGACAAGTTCAACGGTTTCTTGATCAACTTGATCGATTCACCCGGACACGTTGATTTCTCATCAGAAGTAACTGCCGCTCTCCGTGTTACTGACGGAGCTCTCGTCGTCGTCGATTGTGTTTCAGGTTCTTATTATTCCACCTGAAATTAGTTTTATTTTTTTATTTTTAGGAGTCTGTGTCCAAACCGAAACCGTTCTTCGTCAAGCTATTGCTGAACGTATCAAGCCAATTCTTTTCATGAACAAAATGGACCGTGCTCTTCTCGAACTCCAACTTGGAGCTGAAGAACTCTTCCAAACTTTCCAAGTAAGAAATTCAAATTGGATAAATTAAATATAATCATTTGTTTTCCAGCGTATTGTTGAAAACATCAACGTTATCATCGCCACATACGGAGATGATGATGGTCCGATGGGAGCTATCATGGTCGATCCATCAATCGGAAACGTCGGATTCGGTTCCGGACTCCACGGATGGGCTTTCACCCTCAAACAATTCTCTGAAATGTACGCCGACAAATTCGGAGTTCAAGTTGACAAACTCATGAAGAACCTTTGGGGAGATCGTTTCTTCGACTTGAAAACCAAGAAATGGAGCAGCACTCAAACTGATGATGCCAAGAGAGGATTCTGCCAATTCGTTTTGGACCCAATCTTCATGGTCTTTGACGCCATCATGAACATCAAGAAAGACAAGACCGCTGCTCTCGTCGAGAAACTCGGAATCAAGCTCGCCGCTGACGAGAAGGATTTGGAAGGAAAACCACTCATGAAAGCTTTCATGCGCAAATGGCTCCCAGCCGGAGACACTATGCTTCAAATGATCACTTTCCACTTGCCATCACCAGTAACAGCTCAAAGATACAGAATGGAAATGCTCTACGAAGGACCACACGACGATGAAGCCGCTGTTGCTATCAAGAACTGTGATCCAAATGGACCACTCATGATGTACGTTTCCAAGATGGTTCCAACATCAGACAAAGGACGTTTCTACGCTTTCGGTCGTGTTTTCTCCGGAAAGGTCGCCACTGGAATGAAGGCTCGTATCCAAGGACCAAACTACATCCCAGGAAAGAAAGAAGACTTGTACGAGAAGACCATCCAACGTACCATCCTCATGATGGGACGTTACATCGAACCAATTGATGATATTCCATCCGGAAACATCGCTGGTCTTGTCGGAGTCGATCAATACCTCGTCAAGGGAGGAACCATCACCACCTTCAAGGATGCCCACAACATGCGTGTCATGAAATTCTCCGTCTCACCAGTCGTCCGTGTCGCCGTTGAAGCCAAGAACCCAGCTGATTTGCCAAAATTGGTATGTTAAAATAAAAAGAACATTTCAATGGAACATTTTTAAATTTCAGGTTGAAGGACTTAAACGTTTGGCCAAATCCGATCCTATGGTCCAATGTATCTTCGAAGAATCTGGAGAACACATCATCGCAGGAGCCGGAGAATTGCATTTGGAAATCTGCTTGAAAGATTTGGAAGAAGACCACGCTTGTATTCCACTCAAGAAATCTGATCCAGTTGTCTCATACAGAGAAACCGTCAGCAACGAATCAAACCAAATCTGTTTGTCAAAATCGCCAAACAAGCACAATCGTCTCCACTGTACCGCTCTTCCAATGCCAGATGGTCTCGCCGATGATATCGAAGGAGGAACCGTCAACGCTCGTGATGAATTCAAGGCTCGTGCCAAGATTCTCGCCGAAAAATACAACTACGATGTCACTGAAGCCAGAAAGATCTGGTGCTTCGGACCAGACGGAACTGGACCAAATCTTTTGTTCGATGTCACCAAGGGAGTTCAATACCTCAATGAAATCAAGGATTCCGTTGTTGCTGGATTCCAATGGGCTACCCGTGAAGGAGTTTTGGCCGACGAAAACATGCGAGGAGTTCGCTTCAACATCCACGATGTCACCCTCCACGCTGATGCTATCCACAGAGGAGGTGGTCAAATCATCCCAACTGCTCGTCGTGTCTTCTACGCTTCTGCTCTCACTGCTGAGCCACGTCTTCTCGAACCAGTTTACTTGGTCGAAATTCAATGCCCAGAAGCCGCCGTCGGAGGTATCTACGGAGTCTTGAACAGAAGAAGAGGACACGTCTTCGAAGAATCCCAAGTCACCGGAACACCAATGTTCGTCGTCAAGGCTTACTTGCCTGTCAACGAATCCTTCGGTAAGTTACAAAAAATGTTGAATCAAATTTTAAAAGTATTTAAATTACAGGATTCACCGCCGATCTCCGCTCCAACACCGGAGGACAAGCTTTCCCACAATGCGTGTTCGACCATTGGCAAATCCTTCCAGGAGACCCGCTCGAGGCTGGAACCAAGCCAAACCAAATTGTTTTGGATACCAGAAAGAGAAAGGGACTCAAAGAAGGTGTTCCAGCTTTGGACAACTATCTCGACAAGATGTAAATTCGTTTTTGTCAACAATTGTTTATTGTTAAATTTTTCTATTATAATAAACACGGTTGTTTTGTTACTTCTTTTATCTATTCGAACGTTTTCTTTTGCTAATCCCCAAAAATTGAAAAATAAAAATATACTTCCTAGTAATTTTGTATTAATGCGAACTTGTTGAATCGAACCATTATTTCGAAGTTCGTTGTAACTGAAAAACCACATGTCCTTGATGCATCATTCAAATCGACACTCTTATCTCTCCGATAAGACGGCATTGTTTGTTTCAATAAAAAATGAAACGAACGACAAGCGTTTTGAAAAGGGACCGAAATTAAAGTTTTAATACAGAAAATTTAGCAGTTTGAGAACTTGAGTGAGAATTATTCTTTGGAACATTTGGATTCAATATTGAATTATTTCGAGGTTTTCAAAAATAAAACATTTTGGAATAAAAATTTTAAAATAGACTCGAAAATAAAATAATATTGATCTTGATCTATTCAAAACCACGAAATTTTCGAATTTCATTTATTTTAATGAAAAAATCCGCAATTTTCTGATTTCAAAATTAGTCACCTCGTTTTCTTCCAGGTTTGTTCTCTGGCTGATTTGAACTTTTTGATTCTGTATTTTTGTCCTGAATAATTTCTGACTTACCCCAACAATCAGACACCAGATATTTCATTTCAGTTTATTCGTTCTTTTTTAATTTTGAGAAATATTGAAATGAATTTTGAATTATTCAAATCACGTGAAAATTATGGCGTGATTTCGATTGAATTGAATATTTTTAATAAATTTACGTTTAAATATTTCCAAACATTTTTAATTTCGAAAGTTAGACTTCATTCTTATCTCATCCCGTAGTTTTGTCTGATTTTTCCCATTTTCTTTTTATTTATGTCACGTGTTATTCACGTGTTCCGTTTTTCGAAAAATCTTTCCATTTTTTTGTGACCGCTGTCGGAAAAGAAACATTTTGCATCATCGAATGCTATTTATTGACACAATTTCTTTCATTTTTTGATTTTGATGAACCGAAATACATAGATTGTAAAAGATATATAGAATTAGACTTATAGAATATATCTAGGCTATTTCTAATTTTATTTGAATGCACATTTTTCTGTCAATCCAAGATGCGAAAAAAACGAAAGTGAAAGTTTCCTGCTTTGCAAAAGTGTGCATTTTTTTTCGCTCTTCTTTTTTTCTCTCAATATTCTTTCTCTAACCTTCAAAAATTGAAATGACAATCTTTGACTTTGCATTCGATTATTTCCCTTTTTTAACAGACCATTTGTGTTCTGTCGAAAAATCAATATCAAAGTTGTTTGATATTTACTTTATATACATAAAATAAAATAGTTCCTATTTTTTTGAGTATCGATTATTGAATCGATGTGTTTTTTTAGGGCTGCACGATGGGGCGTGGGGGCGGCCCCCTCGCCCCGCCACGCTTTTGCCCCCTCGCCCCTTCGCCCCCTCGCCCCGTCGCCCCCTCGCCCCGTTGCCCCCTCGCCCCGTCGCCCCTTCGCCCCGTCGCCCCCTCGCCCCCGCTGTAACTGTTTGCGCGCTTCTATCTTCTTTTATTTCTTCACCACACACAGTTACAAGTGGGGGCGAGGGGGCGACGGGGCGAAGGGGCGACGGGGCGAGGGGGCAACGGGGCGAGGGGGCAAAGGGGCGAGGGGGCGAAGGGGCGAGGGGGCGAATGATTTTTTGCACGGTGTTTCATCGCGGGGTGCCCCGCGTGCAGCCCTATGTTTTTTCTTGTTGATTGACTTTCGTGCTCAACAAAAAACACGTTGCTCTCACCTCGATTCATTCATTCTTCTTCCTCTAAAATATGAACACACATACACACAAACAGACACTCTCGCTCTCTTTTCTTTTTTTGTGATGGGCGCCTCCAAATTTCTTTTTCTTTTCGCCCCTGGACCCTTGGACCAAATCTTTTCTCATTCTTTTTTCCAGAAAAACGAGAGTTTGTTTGGGTTTTCTTGAACTTCAAACAGAATTGTCATCTTTCTTATTTCAAATGAAATCAGGATTTGAAATCGGTGCTCGTATTCAAAAAAGTTTTCCGGGCCCAATGAATTTTACGTGTGAAAGAGCAGTTCACTGCAAAGAGAAATCATAAAAATTTCAAATGACAATAAAAAATGACTTGTTCATCATTACACTATATTTTTCAAAACTTTGTTCCAAAACAATGATCCCAACTAGTTTTTTATTTATATGTTTTCTATTTCTGTTTTAAAAAACTGTGAAAAATAATCGAACTCATTTTTTTTCTGTCGATGGTCAAGGCCAATTCTCGAATAATTGGCTGGCACGAATGTGTCGATTTTTTGTGTCGTTCTAAATTTAAATTTGAAAACTGAAAAGTTTGTGTGTTTAACCAATATTAAAAATGGGACTTGTCAAAAGTAAGTATTATTTTGTTTTGTTTCTTCTTTTTTCCTATCGCTATCTTTTTTCTTTTCTTCTCTTTTCTTTGTCTTTCCGAAAACTCCCAAAATATTCTTTTTTTCAGAGTTCTCTTCAACTCTGCAAACTCTGCGTACAAAAATGTCAACAACCGTTCAAGATGTCAATGTAAGTTTTTTTTGCTGAAAAATAGCTAGTTTTTCATCACAAAGAGAAAAAACAACAGATGTCGAAACACGTGTGTGTTTTTTTTTTGAAAAAAAGAAGAAGTTAGAACTCTGGGGATTTATATTTTTAATAGGATGAAGCTTGATAGAAAATATTTTATGGCTTATCGTCTCTTAGTTATGCGATGCCCAGTGAGTTTAGAAAAACCGAAAAATGGAAATAAATAAATTCATTTTATCGAAAAATGAGAATTTCACGTGATAGTTCACGTTTTCATATATTTGAAAATTTTTGAAATCCATGGTTCATTTTCAATTTTGAGAATGTTGCAAAATCTCAATAGAATTCGCACTTAAAAATGTTTGTTTTATAATTTTTCGGCCAACGCATTGGTTTCTTTGATCATCATTTGAGCACGTGAAAGTCCTAACAATTGACCTTGTTCACTCTTCCCCGGCTTTTCTCGTAAATATTGACATTGTTTACCATTTGATGATTTGCGTTTGCGTCAGTCAAAAGTTAGAAGAAAAAGAAGAAGCAAAATGGGACCGAATCATGAAATGTCGAGTTATTCAAGTAGAATGAACCGTGAGAAAAAAGGACAAAGTTCTTGTGATTTCAGCTTTTTTTTCTTATATATTCATTCTTATCTCATCTCAAATTTATCTATCTATCAATCTATTTAAAATATGAAACATGGAAATGTAATTGTTCCAATAAATCAATCTATCATTGAATTGACTGTTCAATCAGCTCGACATTCGAAAAATCTTTGTGATAATTGTTGGATTCATCGAGAAGATAATATTCGACCAAGATCACAAAGTTTTCATGGAAAACAAAGTCTTGAAATTGAAGAGATTGTGGAGAAAAAAGATGAAGAAGAAAAACGAGAACCCGAAAATTGTTGGGATGAAAAATCAATTCACGGAATGGAATCTGAAAACTTTGAAGAAATTGTTGAAAAAAGACTTTGTGATCGAGAAAGTTCAATCTGGCAAGTTCGAAACGTTATAACACCAAGAGAAAAACCGAAAAAAAATTTGGATCAAAAGTTTTTCCATTCTCCGATTTGTGTTGATGGTGTTGTTCGAGTTATTCGACGAGCTTCTTCTGCAAATGATGTTTTTAATCGAAAACCTGCTTGGTTTTTGGATTCTGAATCAAATACTACAATTGATAAAGATGAAAATGAGAATGAAATTGAAAGAAAAGAAGTTGTAGAAATTGAAGAGAATCATAATTCGAGTTCAATTTTTTGCGGATCAATTCGAAGATTTTTTGGGTGGTGTTTTGATGCCGAGGTATTAAGATAACACTTAATTAGACATTAAAACTCGAATTCAAATATTGAGGGGAAGATCATAAAAGTTTATAAAAAATGTTTTCAAAATACAAAACCTACCTTCAATTTCCCAATTACTTTATTTTTCAGGAGATCAATGAAGCCGGAGATTCAGTCGGAGATGTCAAAACCACTTCGACACCAAATCGTGGAAGATTGGCCAGAAGAATGACAATCGAAGAGGAACATGCTGGAGATTATTTCAAGTTAGTTTGTTTTTCGGATTTGCTATTTTTTCGGGGCAAAAATGTGTTGTTGTAAACAGTTTTTGAATAGAGAACACGTTAAGGTATTTCTCAAAACCCCTTTGTTTTCCAAATTGTAAAAAAAACAAGTGAAGTATTTGAACTATTGTGAGAAGTTTGCTGTTTTGCACTATAAATATTTTTATATTTGCGCCACAACATCTGTTCTTTCTTTTTCTTTTTTTTTGAGTTAACCAAAGTTTGCAACAAATATTTCAGAAACAAATATCTGTTCATAAATTCAAATCTAACCTTTAAAATCTATTTCGCAAGCCTTTTTTGTCTGCAAAATTGCATCACTTTATTCACATTTGCGCACCGCCCTTTATGTGCTTTTTCTTTTTTCTTCTTCATTTTTGCATCATTTCGAATGTTTTCGAAAATCGTTCGCGATTTGGATTTTATTTTGCAGAAAAGTACATCGGCTTTTAAATTGTTTTTCTGTTCCGATGATATAGAAAAACATTTTTTGTAACAGTTTTGATCTTCTGATTAATAGGGCTACAGTACTTGAATGTTCTTTTTTTAAAAAATAAATTCACCAATTCTGATGTTGAAATTCTGAACTATCGATTCTTTAGAATTAATTTTGAGTAAGATGTGCAGGCGCCTTTTTGGATAATCTTATATTTCAGGTATCCTAAATACATCAGCTTGCACGGTATTTTCCGTAGATTTTGTAGATTATTTTGCGCTTTGAAATTTACTATAAGCCTAACAGAACTGAGCGATTTTGTATTAGTCTTTGGGCTTCCACCTTTATATAGTACATCTGACAAATATTTTGCGAAGTTTCGAAATCGACATGATTTCAAAATTTCAATGTATTGTTAGTAAAGTTATTTTGTATCATTTGATTAATATCATTCCCCCATTCCCTCAAAATATTGTGGCTGTTCATTTTTCTCGTCTTGTTGACGTTGTCCTTTGAAAATCATAGCGCAGGCTTGCGTCTTCTCATTTTTCGTTGTCTCGTTTCTCTAATTCTCTATATCTATATCTAGTCGGGGAATGCCCCCTCATTCAGTCAGTTCTCAGTGTTTTTTCCCCTGCTCACTTTTTTCTCGCTTCTTGTTTTTCCATTTTTTGCTGTTTCTTCCCCTCTCAAATTCGTTACTTACTTACAAGTCTTCTTCTTTTCCTTTCTTGATAAATATGTGTGAATTTATAAATTGTTTATTGACAGCTGATTATGGGTTACTGTAGCTTTTGAGAAAACGTGAATTTCTTCATTTTCGAATTTGTTCAATCTCGGATTTAGAATTTTGAGGCTTTACTAAATTAGATTAAATGCTGTCATGGTAACACTTGCGCTTTTCTGTGTATCATTTTCTCTCAATTCTTTCATTTTTTCATTTTGTAGCTTCTTATTGAAAAAGCTCTAAACTCGTCACAACGGGAGCTTTTACAACAAAACCTTGTGAGCAAAACGGAGCTGTAGAAGTAGTTGAAGAAGAAGAAATACCAATAGAGGAACCGAAAGTTATTGTACCAGAAGAATCTAATAGAAGTGCTCCGATTTGCGAAAAACCAAAACCAAAAACTTCAGAAGTTGTTGAAGTTGAAAAACCTCGAAAGAATTCGACTCCACAAAGTTCTTTCGAAGAAGTTCCAAGTAAAAAATCATCGATATCTTCATCGATAAATCAGAAACCAAATAGTACTTCATCTTTTCGTGAATTGTTTTCATACGGAATTACACCAAATAATTCTGAAATTGTAAGAGAGTGGGAAACCGAAGAAGTTGAAGAAGAAGACGAAGAAAACGATTTGGTAACCGCAAATATGTCAAATAATATGGATGACAAGTTTAGAAAAGAGTTGGACTCTGTTTCTTACGATAAGTATGTTCATTGTTCTTCTTGCAAAGCTTATTGCGAAAAGTTAACAAAAACTGAAAATCCGTGACCTTAACGTGTTCTCTATCTCTATTCAAAAAAGAAAGAAATCAATCATTTTTGATCCATCATTCATTTAAAAATGCCGTCAATTTTTGCAAAAATATTTCCAATGAGACCAACTAGATGTTTTGGTTCAGCAAAAAAACATGCAAAAATAGATCAGGCACCGTTAGTTCCAATCAAATCTTCATTAAAATCAACTGAAGAAGAGGAACAAACTGTGTCTGATTCAAATCGGCCAAAACAATATGAATGTTCGGTTTCTGGTTTTAAACAGAAACCTTATAAAACAAGGTAATAGGAATTATCAAACTAGATATGGAGTTATTTCCAATTTAGAATTATAGTTAATTCATTTTTTTCCAGACAAGAACAAAAATTGGCAGTTGTTCCTGCAACAACTCACATGGAACATTTATGCAAACTCGATATCCGTGAACCACCACATCTTGTTCGTCAAACTGGTATTATTTGCACAATTGGACCAGCATGTGCAAGTGTTGATATGCTCCAAAAAATGATTTTGAACGGAATGAATATTGCTCGTCTCAATTTCTCTCATGGTTCGCATGAATATCATGCTGGAACAATTGCAAATGTTCGCGAAGCTGCTGAATCATTCTCTGAACCACGTCCAATTGGTATTGCTTTGGACACAAAAGGACCCGAAATTCGTACTGGATTATTGGCTGGAGGAGCGAGTGCTGAAGTTGAACTTGTTAAAGGAGCATCGATTCGTTTGACAACTGAACAAAGTTTTGCCGAATCTGGAACTGCTGTCAATTTGTTTGTTGACTACAAAAATATTAGCAAGGTAAATTATAATCTAAAAACAAACAATAATCAAAAACTGATTCTTGTAGGTTCTTGCTGTTGGTTCACGTGTTTTCATTGACGATGGACTCATTTCTTTGATTGTCGAAGAAGTTCAACCAGAAGCCATTGTTTGCAGTGTTGAAAATGGTGGAATGTTGGGAAGCAGAAAGGGAGTTAATTTGCCAGGAACAATTGTTGATTTGCCAGCCGTTTCTGAAAAAGATATCAAAGATTTGCAATTTGGTGTTGAGCAAAATGTTGATATCATTTTCGCTTCTTTCATCAGAAATGCTGAAGGAATTCGAACAATTAGAAAAGTTTTGGGAGAAAAAGGAAAGAAGATCAAGATTATTGCCAAAATTGAAAATCAAGAAGGTGTTGATAATGTAGGTTTTCAATTTATCAAACTTCTATTTATTCAAACAATTACTTCAGGCTGATGAAATTATTGCTGAATCTGATGGTGTTATGGTTGCTCGTGGTGATTTGGGTATCGAAATTCCAGCCGAAAAGGTCTTCTTGGCTCAAAAGATGTTGATCTCAAAATGTAATCGTGCTGGTAAACCAGTCATCTGTGCTACTCAAATGTTGGAATCAATGGTGAAGAAACCAAGACCAACACGTGCCGAAGGATCAGATGTTGCTAATGCTGTAAGTTTTGAACAAAAACAAAAACAAAAATATCGGAACCCTCTCCACGTCCAACTAAACAGAGAATAGAACATTTGGAGAAAAGCTCGAGAATAGTTTCGGGACAACTTAGCGCACATGATTTAGTTTCAATCAACTGCAACTCTGTGCCCCCATCTGGGGTTGAACTTGTGACCTTTTTATTAGAAAACACACATTTAACCAACTCGGACATCTAGACAGCCAGTTGCTAGGGTCAAATAATTGAAGATAGAAAAAAGAAAAATGTGTGTGTGTGTGTGTTGTTTGAAAAAATTACTGTAGATAAAATTGAAATGATTTATTAATTTATAGGTTCTCGATGGAGCTGATTGTGTTATGTTATCTGGAGAAACTGCAAAAGGAGAATATCCATTGGAAGCACTTAAAATTATGCATTATATTTGCAAAGAAGCTGAAGCAGCTGTTTATCATCGTCGATTCTTTGATGAAATTTTGATAAATACACCAAAACCAACTGATATGTCACATACAATTGCAATTGCTGCAACATCAGCTGCAATTACTTGTCATGCTTCTGCAATTCTTTTGATTACAACAACTGGAAGATCAGCAATTCAATGTTCTCGTTATAAGCCACCAGTTCCAATTTTGACTGTTTCCCGTGATGTTGCCGTTTGTCGTCAACTTCATTTGTACAGAGGTGTTTTCCCAGTTTTATACAAAACTGAAAGAGAAATTGATTGGCCAACTGATGTTGACAACAGAATTAATTATGCAATTAATATTGGAAAAGATCGTGGATTTATTCACAGAGGTGATTTCTTGGTTGTTGTTACTGGATGGAGACAAGGAGCTGGAGCAACTAACACTCTTCGTATTATTACTGCTGAATAATTATTTTTCTCATTTCACATTTTTTTTTCTATTTTTTTCGCACCGTTTTCTTCTTTTTTTCGTATGTAGTTGTGATTACGGTGATTACGCCCCCGGTTTTTTACCCTACCTTAAATTAAGGTTTCTCTTTATTTGCATGATTTTCGTAGATTTTTAGAATAAATGATTGTAATATTTAATTGTTTTTTTTTTCTTTTTGGAGTCAGGAGGAGTTTCAGAAGATTGGAAATTCATTTTCATTTTCAGTTCTTTCAAGAAAAAAACTTCAAATATTAAATTTCACAATCCGATTCTCATGATTTTCTAGGTGAAAATCGTGAAATTTCCTGATTTCACAAAAAAACCGAATTGAAAAAATAAACGAGAGAGTGTTGTGTGTAGAAGAGACGGGGGAGAGAATGAGAGAAAATGAGAGATGGAAACTCGTAAGAGAGACGCCAGACAACACGACGGTTTGTGAATTTTGTGCAACCTCAAAAACATTTTTCGTTTTTTCACAAAAAATGCTAAAATCCTTCATACTTCACCAAACTTCACAATCTTTGCAGCAAAAAATAGGAAATCCTTGGGAATAGAGATAACAAAAAGAAAAACGTCGAAAACTTTTCACAAAACACTAGGGCTGCACGATGGGGCGTGGGGGCGGCCCCCTCGCCCCGCCACGCTTTTGCCCCCTCGCCCCTTCGCCCCCTCGCCCCGTCGCCCCCTCGCCCCGTTGCCCCCTCGCCCCGTCGCCCCTTCGCCCCGTCGCCCCCTCGCCCCCGCTGTAACTGTTTGCGCGCTTCTATCTTCTTTTATTTCTTCACCACACACAGTTACAAGTGGGGGCGAGGGGGCGACGGGGCGAAGGGGCGACGGGGCGAGGGGGCAACGGGGCGAGGGGGCAAAGGGGCGAGGGGGCGAAGGGGCGAGGGGGCGAATGATTTTTTGCACGGTGTTTCATCGCGGGGTGCCCCGCGTGCAGCCCTACAAAACACCAAAAAACAATGATTATTGGTTTTTCGCCTTGATTTCCCTCTTTTCGTAATTTTTTTCTGAAACTGCAGAAAGCTGAATATAATCATCATCATTGGAAAAAATAAGAATTAAAAAATAGATTTGAAGAGACAATGAAGATAAATTTGAAAACTTTGGAAAATCTGACTCGAAATTACTAGAGGAAGGTTTTATTTTTCAAATTGAACTTTGAAATTTTGAATGTTCAAAAACTAAACTGGACGGAATGAAGATAATTCACAAAAAAAACCTGAAAATTGTTCATCTGAAAAATCTATTTCAAACTTTCACGTGATCTATTTTATTTTAAATTTGAAGACATTCAAAATATTTTTAAAATGCATTAAAAAACAAGATTCTATACGAAAAGCCAGTTTTTCAAAATTCTAACTTTTGGAGTACTGTAATTTTTTGATTTTTTTCCCTTGAGAACTTTCAAAAATTCCAACATTGCATAATTTTTCGAGGAATGTTTTTATATGTTTCCCGAAAATTATTTTTAGATGTGTACAGTTCCAGTCAATTTTTTGTTGATATAAAATTATGACGCATATTTGAAGCAAAATTCTTGCATAAAAACATGTGTCACCTCATTGATCAAACAAATATCAGCGCAATTTTATTAGTTTCGCCTACAATTTAAATATTTCCTTTTGTGCCTGACTTTTCGTCTTTCGATCTTTTTTCTGTTTATAATATTCTATTCTTTGCTTTTTTCGTAACCAGGAAACGAAAAAAGTCGCGACATTTGAGAAGCATAGTTATGAGACTACATACACCGCCAAGTTTTTCTGCTAGACGGTTTTTTTCGAATAATCTGTGATGAACTGTTTTTGGACAACTGAAAAATTAATCTATTGTTTCTGAAACGTAACTATTCAAAAACGTCACTGAAACCTCAAATTTGTTTTATTTTTAAGCTTTTCTATATTTTCATTTATATAGTTTATTTGGTTTCATTCTTATTCAGAGTGTTTAATTTCTTGTGTGAAATATTGAGTAGTTATCTTATATTTTCTCATGATATAGTTCTCGAACATTTTTGAAACCTATTATTTCAAATCATTCTTCGCACGAATTAAATCTCCTTGGAAATGAAATATACACAAATATATTAGATCTAAACTATCTAGCTTCTGACTGATTCAACCTGATTATACACGTTTTTGGGTGCTTTTCTGGTTCATTCACACGGTTTCCATTGGTTACTCAAGTCTGTTTATAAGTCAAACTTTGCTCTCATTTTTTCCATTTCCGCGAGCAGCAGGTTTTTTGTCGTATCAGATGTTTTGTAGCTGAAAATAATATAGATTCTAGAAAATTCCCATATATACTATTAGCACTCTCATTTTTTTTAATTGCAATTTTTATTGACTTGATTATTATTTTCTTGATTCAATTTTTCCAGAAAAAAATGGCATCTACTGATGGAGATAAGATTGTGATGATAATCTTGATTCTACTTCTTCCGGTACAGTTTTTATACAGAATTGAATTGCTTAAATGTTCAAATCTCAAATATTTTTTTAGCCACTTGCGATTTGGTATAAATCAAAGTCATGCAATGGTGCAGTTTGTCTCAATGTGTGCCTTCTTCTTCTTTTCGTTTTTCCAGCAATGATTCATGCTGTCTACTATTGTTTCATCAAAGAAAAATCATGAAATATTTCAATTGATTAATCCGAATTTATATATAAATATTTGGTTTTTGTTGGTTTTATATTGTACTAATATCAAATTTCAAACTTCTTCGATGAATAATTAATTTCAGTTTGATACAATCAAAAAGTAGTAAAATGAAATCTGAGATTTTTATATACTTTTTTGAATAGCTAAATGCGTGAGAATAAATTTTTGCTTGGCAAAGGATTTTGTCAATTTCCGAACACCTGCCATTGAAAATTGTTTTAGTCGGATTAGTAAATTGGAAGGTATAAAAATATGAGAAAGGGAGCAATGAAAGTTGTGAAAATTATCGTCTGAAAATAAATTTCCAGCAATTTTTTTGTCACTCGATTAAGTTTTGAAGAAACTTGGTAAAAATGATAATTCGGCAAATTAAAAACATTTGTAAAAAAAGTGCTACTTTTTTAAAATGTTTCTTGCAACTACAGTAATTTTATCAGCAGTCAAGAATTTAGTTTGGTTTCCGCAAGGATACTGTAGCTATTTTCTTGTTCATTAATAAAATGGGAATTTTCACTATTGTCTTCGACTGAGGTCGATTTTTTAAAACTATTATTTTTAATTATCTTGTTTCTTACAAATTTAACAATATTCCAATTAATGTGTAATCTAACACTTTGTGCAAACTATACGAATACTAAATCATAATTTTGTGTCAGTTCAACCAGTGTCCATTTCATTTCTCCTTTCTTTTTTTCCTCACGAACTCCGCCCAATTTTGTGTCCATTCCATTTTTACACATTTTGGTCCCTTTGTTACTATGGTGAAAGCATTTGAGCGTGTACTTCCGAGTCCATTTTTTCCTTTCTTCTTTCTTACCTCGGAATTTACCTTTTCAACTTTTTTTTGTTTTTATAAATCCTAGCAGCTTACATTACAAGTTTATTTTAATAAAACTATAATTATAATATTTGGTCGAGAATAAGGAAACCCTCTAATTTGTCTCATCCACCTGTCCTTTTATTTTTATTTTTCACCTGGATTCATTGATAAATTTCAAAATCTTTCAATTCATATTTCAGAAATGTATATCCGCCGACTTTTCGGTGGATTATTTTTCCTATTTTTACTTTGTTCCTGCATTGCATTATTCGTTCTTCAAAGTTTGTATTTCATATTGCGAAATGCATCTCAATCTGAGAAAACTGAAACAAAAACGTGAGTATTTTGCAGAATTACAGTAAGAAAATAAGTTAACTACATATTTTCAGAATCCATGATGATCAGTTGTATATTCCTGCTTTAATCATCTGCAATCGTATGCCATTTTCTCAAGATGGTTTGAATTCAGTGAATCCAGCATTGAGGGAAGATGCACCACTTCGATATTTATTAGAATGGACAAATCCATCGATGAGAGAAGCTGCTGATTATTTTATTCAACCAGATACTTTTATGACACAAGGACAGAATATTGTAACACAGTATTTACCACAATCAACAAGAAATCAAAGTATTCTTTCAATGCAATATCAATGTCAATCTGTTATTAATAGTTGTAGTTATCAAGTTTGTTTTTTTTGTTTCATTCTGAAAATAGAACAAAATGGAATGTTTTAAGGGTATTCAAATGTCATCTTTCGATTGCTGTCGAAGTCTTTGGTCATATTTTCCTTCGAATGATGGATTATGTTGGATTTGGAGAGATTCTAGTATGTGGCAGAATTCTACAGGTGTAAATAAACAATTCACAATGACATTCCAGGTTTATTTTTCTCTTCATTTTTATTTCCTGTAAAAAATTATCATTGAGACAAGTTATTGTGAATTTTCAGATGACTCGAAATTCGTGGTATTCTTCATATGTTCCAACTCATCCTGGAATTGATGTTTATCTTCGAGAAGATATCAGTGATGTAACAAGTTTAGGATCACAATTAGAAAACCCAATTAGATTAACTGATAAACGTGGAGTTCGATTGCAAATGAAAAGAACCGTGAGGAGTTTTTTGTTTAGAAAATTATTGAAATTAAACATGCATTTCAGCAAACCGCTGATATTCGTCGATCTGAATGTGGACAATCATTGGGAGATGCAAGAAGAAGTGATGAACACGCATATAAACATAATAAAACTAATTATTTGATGTGTAATATTTTAGTGAGTTTTTCGTTACAGTAAACCATTTTACAAATGATAAAAAACATTTTTCAGGCTGCCACAAAGTACTGTAATTGTCACCCTTTGATTGGTGAAATGTTACATTATGACCCAGTTAATTATCGGTATATTTTAATTTTTCAAAAATATTTCAAATTGAACTTCTTCCAGTGATTTCAACTTACGAATCAGTCAAAGTAGTGTATGTAGTGTGAATCAATATGATAATTGTGCCCGAAGATATATCGATTTTGCATTGATGAAAAATTGGAATGAAGATATTCCAAAAGATTTGGAAGGTTATGAAGATATCAAGAAATGTAGAAGGTATTTATACATTTTTAAGTTCTACGTGTAAGAATTTCATTTTTAATTTTTTTTAGCAAAAATCATCGTTCTTGTTTGATAACATCGTATCCAGGAATAATCGAAGGATATGATTTACCAGAAGAATATCGAGCAACTCAAGATTATGTCTCAAGATTAACATTAGAATATTCAACAATGAGAACTACACAAATTTTGATTTCAAAAGATCCAAATATTTATGAATTATTGAGTGTTATTGGATGGAATATTGCATTATGGTTTTCAGTTGGACACATTTTATGGTCAATGTTTTGGTATTCAACTGGTTTATGTTGTGGTTCTGGAAATAAAACAAGAGTTCATCCTATTGAAACTCGAAAAAGAAGTGTTTCTTCGCCAACTCCAATTGCTGTTGTAAATGAAGAACCACCGCCAGTTGAATCATAATTTTATTTCTGAACTTTTTATATAATTTGTTTATTTATATATTTTTATCAGGTGCTAAACCCAATCATATGAGCTTTTTTTCTTTCACATTTACCCGGTTAATATTGCTCGATTCTATTTTATTCAATTGTCTTTCAATAAATTAATTCTGGAAATCAGAAAACTAATTTTACAACAAAAATCTGGACTGCTCGAATTGCGAGAAAAACTGTATACAGTAATCATTTAGTTTTGGAAAAAAAAATTGTGAAATTTTTTAAATCGGGAAATGGTAGATCTAATTAATTGGGAGTGTCCTTGGTTATTCTACAGTAATCCTCGAGTCTTAGAAAAAGAATAGAAACTTTAATGTTTCACACAAAAAAAATCAAGAATATCCCATAACTTCAAAATATTTCAGTTATATTTCTCTTGAAAAACAACATTAAAGTAAACAATTATTTTATTTTTAGTTGAGTGATTTCCTCTCTAAATATTTTTCCGGTCCCTTATTTTTCTCTTCAAGTTGAGAATAATCTTTTTTCCAGTTTTTTCTTCACTTCCGGTAACCTCCAGAAAAATCTCACGATCAAAAAATGTGAGAAAATGCGATCGAATGACACAAAACCCATTCATTTTCTTGCTCCCAACAACACATGTCTTGATTTTTTGGAAAATCTATTAATATTTTTTGGAATCATGAAGTTTGAACTTTAATATTTCAATGAAAGCTTACATAAACACAAAGAAAACCGGTGGTTGTCTATAAATAAATGAACAGTTTGTCTTTGAAAAACTGGAAACAATTGATCAAATGTTGCAACAGAAAACATATGTCATTCATTTATTTTATTTTTCCAAGAAACATTTTTTGTGTGTTCAAAAATCAAAAGAAATTAATTAAAATATTTTATTAGGAAAAATATATAATATTTGTTTAATAACATGAATGTACAAGATTGATTCTTCAAAAAAAAAGAAACCCGTAATTCAAACTATTCAAAACACATAATAATTGTAAAAATACAAGAATAAAGCAAAAACCCGCAAAAATTGGGAAATATGAATGAAATGATTAATTAACAAACAGCTTCAGCCAATTCAACAAGTGGTTCCAAAACTGGTCGGAATTTATTTTTGATACTTGATGTTCTTTTTTCTCTTGGTTCATCATTTGTATTTGTTTCTTGATTTGTTGGTTCTCTTGGTGGAATTGCAATATTCAAATAAACATCAGGCAATAAATTATCTGGTTGTGCTTCATCTCGAACTAATCGAACTGATCCAGAATTCTCTTTTATATTTTGCTCGTATGCAATTAATTGTCTCCAAAATCCAAGATTTGGTCGAACCATTGGTCTTTTTGATTTCATAAGATGGTAAGCATCGCGGAGACTTCGACATCTAAAGAAAATATGATTTATCATCTGATAAGCGACCAAACTCTAATTCTTATCAATAACAAAAAAAAATGACACTTGAACTATTGATATGTTCTGTTTTTTTGGTTACTTTAATTATGTCATAATATAATATCTTACCTGTATTTTAATAGAAATGCCAAACAAATTGAAGCAGATCTTGAAACACCAGCAACACAATGAACTAGAACTTTTCCACCATCAGCAATCAATGCTTGAATTTGATCAGATTGTAGTTCCAAATGTGGATAAATATAAGTTTGCGGTGTATCTTCCAACCATAATTTTGTTCTTTGAATATCTCCTAAACTTCTCAAATTCGGAACTTCTGTGGTTGCATTTATAATATGAGTTATTTTATGTTTCTTCATCACTTCTGATGTCAAACTCGAAACTCCGCAAATAAAAAGACCCGGAACAATTTCTGATATTTCAGCATATTCTGGATTGACACGAAATGAAAGAGTCATTGTTTTCTGTTCTGGAAAAAAACGAAGAAATTGAATAAAAAAATGTATACAAAAAAAGAAGACGGAATGAAATACAATGAAATGAAATAAAAAAGAACACGTGAGGACAGACAGACAAAAATATGTAAACAAAACAAAAATGTATGTTGTTTTATTTTGTGATCACATGGAGTTAGTTGGAATTTGGACTTTTGACCAAAGATTTTTCGAAAAAAAAAACAAGAAATATTGGAATACATGAACACTAAGCAAGTATTTGTACCGACCAATTTAAATAGTCCACTTCTTAATTTGATAAGAACAAAAATCAAGACAGCATTACACTTTTAGTCAGTCACGTGTGGACTGCTCTAATCTCTTTTCAATGAAATTGCCTTTCAATTGTACATTGACCTCAAATTGCTCCTCGTTATCAATTCAAAAATAAAAAAAAATGAAAACTGTTTGCGTGTGTTTGAAAAGTAAAAACAAAACATGTGGAAATCATATGTGGGACAAAAATTAGTAGTAAAGATAAAAGAGAAGTATTGATGGTTTGGTCTCAGAACGGGAATTTTTCTCTTTTCTTTTTGAAAAAAAGGTAAAATTCTTGTTTGTTTTTCACAAAATGTGTACTAAATAAATTTAAACCTTTTTTCTGTGTGACAATCAAAAAGTTTAATAGATCAAAATTTTTCTTTTTTACGTGACAACCTTAGAAAATCAGAACTAGAAATCATCAGTTTATCTTATCAGAAGAGGCTATTAGGAACAATAAAAAAGGTTGAAAAAAACATATTTATATAATCAATTGGGCGGAGCGAAACACGTGACTAGTTATATTTCTACGTGCATTCAACCTCAAAAATGTATACACTATTATTTTTGAAAAAAAGGAGGAGGAATCAAAAGAAGAAGAACTGTTTTGAAATAGGAAAGTTTGTCGTATTATATATAAAGTAAAAATGAAAGGCGGGGTCGACAAAAAAAAAGAAGAAAAAAGAGCCGAGGAGTCAGTTGTTCGAAATCGACTGATCAGTGATATTTGTATGAGTGTGGGATATAATATAGGCTGTGACTGAGCACAAGTTCAAGATTTCTTTATCTCATGATAGAGAAGATATACTTTATGTTTTGTTGATTTCCGGTATACTTTCAACTCCTAATTAATTGTTCATTGAAATCATGAGTTTGTCCGTGAGAACTACAACGAAAAAAAAGCAAAACAAATGGCCTGATCTTGTTTTTTTTTTCAAAGACACCGGATGTTCTTCAATCTACAGTAATCATTCTAATCAACCATAATGCAATCATTCATGTGATTCTAGATTGGAATATATTGCAAAAGATCAAAAAAATGTTTATTTCATTTATTAGGGAGAAAATGGAAAGGCGCGTGACCAATGAGAGTAAAAAACAAAAACAACTTTTAATTATTCTAAAAGTTTAGTCATTCGAAAACGAAAATTAATTTGAACCACGTGGGGATTTAATTTGAAATTTAGAATAAATGTTTGAGAGAGAAAGGGTAAGATATTTTCAGGTTTATCTCAAAGTTCAGGACACCCCCGGGGAACCCATTTTTTGAAAAGCTCAGAACTTCTTCGAAATCGACGGAATTATTCATTGTCATACGAGAACAGAAAGCTTTGAAAATAATTGCAAATAACAAGTTTTCGAGAAAAATCGCGATAGTTTATAAAATTCCAAAATATTCAGAAATGCTCCATTTCTTTTCATCTTCCTAATCTCTTGAGAACTTTTAAAAATCAATGTTCGAACACAGAATTCGAAAATAAAAATAATCGTGCTTTGTGTTGGTAAGAAAAACGCAAGAGTTCTTTGAGTGACACAAAAAAGAAACGGTGAAATATGAGTAAATAGAGAGAAATAATAAGAAGATGAACAATGACTGTGTTCATGTGAACAAAATGAAAAAGTGGAGTGACAGAATTTCGAAAACACTAATTGATCAAAAGATCATGCTTTTGAGCTTATGAAACATTCATAGGAATTGGAAAAAGAAGAAGACATCCACTAACTTATTTAGCTAATTCTAAAAATTTATTATTCCGAGAAATTGGATTTTTTGTCTTTCGAAATTTTCGCAACAATTACTTGTCGAAGAATTTGTGGGGGATGACTTAAGTTATGTTTAATTATGAGTCATTTATTTGAACTTCGGAAAAATTAAATGGTTATCATTTTTTATGAGGTACACTACATAAAAAATATCAAGTTCATCTCATCAGTAAAATTGATAAAAAACTTACTTGCAACAAATTCGAATTAATTTTTTGAACAAAACAATTAATCTTATTGTGGTTGGTCAGTGAAAAAATGAACAAGCCATCAAAAAACCGCAGAATAAGGAGAGAAAGAGGAGAAAAAAGGAGGAAAACGACAAAAAAGCCTGCGCACGCAAATGGAACAAAATGTACATAAAGAGTAAGAGACGCAGACTCGTGTTATTCACGTGAAAATCTTCGAAGAAAAAAAAACACAGAGAAAACAGAACTTTGTTTTTGTTGTGTTTTTTTGGCTGTCAAAAAAAAGAAGAAATGAAAACATCCGATCGTAGATCAGAACAAAATATACGTAGATTTGAATAAAAATGATAAATCAGATTATTTTTTGATAAAAGAAGAATGAGAATAGCCTGATGACGTCAATGAATTTTTTATTCTGAAAATTATTCAGAAATCATCAAGTTATGTCATGTTCTGGAGATGTTTGAAATTCAACTCTAAAAATAAAATGTTCGGGATCTTATGAAATACTGTGAAAGTGATTTATCAAAAAATCTTGGATGATCTACAAAAATTCAGAAAATGTAACAAAACAAGAATTAGGGGGGTGTTTTCATTGAAAGTTAAATTAAAACAGGATTTTTGTTTTCTATTCGAGGAATATAATCTTTTGTGAATAATGATCAAAGGTATCTGGATTTTAACTGGAAATATTTGTGGTATTATTTACAATAACAATAACTATTTTTCAAAAAATCCAAATGATCTACACAAATTTAGAAAAATTAGAAAAACAAGATTTAAGATAGAACAAAAGGCAAATATTTATAAAAACAAGAATTTATTCTTTTTTATGACAATAAAAAACTTCTCGAATTCTTCTGAAAATTGATCAAACTCGAATCGAATATCTTATATAGTTGTTATTTTTTTCAAAAAAAATACTCCCCCGTATTTTTTGTGTTGTTTCAATATATCAAAGTCTATTTTTTCAAATGTAATATTACGATGTTCAAGGTCCGAAATCCAATGTCTATGCTTTTGCAAATCCACATGAAAACCACATGATTTCGTTTATGTTCATGTGAAAAAGAGAACGGAGATAGAAAAAGCGGATTATTTATTGTGTGTAGAAGAAAAAACGAGCACTGGAAATGAGCAGAAAAAAAAGGAAAAGAAGCACGTCAATGACCGGAAAAATGCAACCACATAATATTTCTCATGAAATCAATTGATGTTGCAAAAAAGAGTTGATGTTTGAGGGTTTGCACAGAAAACTTGAACATAAAAAGTTACACTGAGATTTGAAATGCCTTTCGTGTTCAGGCCAGGTCGTATCAAGTTAGAGGCTTTGTGAGTGCTTTTTGATAACCAGAAAATGTTTTTCTAACTTTGGGAAATAATACCAACAAAGAAAATTATTACATAAGCCAAAAGTGTTCAACAATTCCGTTTCTAATAAAAACAGTTTGACAAATTGAAATTATGGAAACTTTGTATTTTGGACTGAAATCATGAAATTTGGCTTGAAAATTATGGATTTGTAAAACTGGAAGCTCTTCTAGATTTACAAGTTTTTGAATGAAAAAAAAGTTGATCAAAAAATTGTATCTTTTGAAGACATTATTCAAAAGATGCTCAACAAATGAATTCCAATCAATTTTAGACTGAAATCATGAAAAAGTGCACCAGTTAGGCAAATTCTACCATTCAATAAAATCGCCCAGTGTATTTACAATTCGTATAGAAATATTTTTTCCGAATTTTTTTAACAACGGCGGATATTTTTTCCGAAAATATGCGTTACCGGATATAGGGACAAAACAGCGATTTTTTGAATAGAAGACAGATCTCTAGAGCTCTTATCCACTACACCACGCGTAGATAAGAAATGAGGCATTTTCGATAAATATATATTCATCAGAATTTCACGTGACCCAGATAATCAGGAATAGAAAAAATCTTTCTACCTATGAAATATTTTATAGTTTGTTTCTCAATAAAATCTGGAAGCTGATCGTATACCATCAAGTGCAATTCAAAGCTTCATCTAATCATTTGAACATAGTTATTTATAAACAACTTTCCTCTAACATCAAAAGTAATTATGAATTAAAAACTTTACCCAATATTTTTTAATGAAGCTCAAATCTCACCTGTTAGTTTTGTTTCCCTCCCCCCAAACCTCAAAATAAACTAACTTGACTGGTCCGTTCCGTGAAAAGTTGTTGATCTCTTCGAATGTCCTGTCCAAACGAAACATCTTCTTGTTCGGAAGCCTGAAACTTCTACATTCTTTTTCTCAAAATTTCGCCTATCGATGGGATGCTTAAACTTACATCAAAAAATGACAATTGTGGATTTGATGGGACCGCTGCATTCTGTGACTGTTGTCTCTAAAAAAAAAAATAAGAATATTAAAAAAATGTACTAAACCACCCCATTAATAACTTTTTCTGCGCTGAAAAAAACCACTCAAAAACCAGAAAAAAAAAACAAAAAATAAAAATGTCGTGCAAAAAAAAATAAAAGAAAAACAACGATACTCCGCGTGCACGTTGTTTAGTTTATTTTATTTTGTTTTTTTTTGAACTGAATCATTTTCGTTGTTAATGGGGTGATTTGGCACATTTTTTAATTTTCTTATTTTTTTAGAGACAACAGTCACAGAATGCAGAGGTCCGATCAAATCCACAATTAAATTGTCATTTTCTGATGTAAGTTTAAGAATAGGCGAAAATTTTGAGAAAAAGAATGTCGAAGTTTCAGGCTTCCGAACATGAAGATTTTTTGTTTGGACAGGACATTCAAAGAGATCAACAACTTTTCACGGAACGGGCCAGTCAAGTTAGTTTATTTTGAGGTTGGGAGGGGGGGGGGAAACAAAACTAACAGGTGAGATTTGAGCTTCATTGAAAAATATTGGGTAAAGTTTTTAATTCATAATTACTATTGATGTTAAAGGAAAATTGTTTATAAATAACTATGTTTAAATGATTAGATGAAGCTCTGAATTACACTTGAAGCTATAGGATCAGCTTCCAGATTTTATTGAAAAACAAACTATGAAATATTTCATAGATAAATTAATTTTTTCATAGTTTTATGCACGTGATTTCCAGTTTGTTTTGAATTTATTGTTTTTTCTTTTATAATCTATGTCTCATTAAACTTCACAATTTGTATTCCCAGGCGTAACTTTTTTTTAAAGAAATCTTTTTTATCACGTCAGCTCAGCTGCGAAAAATAGGGTTTTCTTCAAAATTTAGAATTTTTGAGGATTTTCTGACTGTTTCGCCTAGGGGCACCCCCTAGTCAATAATTATCTCAGCAATTGACTCCGTAAACTTACTGTACAAATTGAAGAAGTGCGAATACAGCGAATGAACCACCGGTGTCACAAAAAGCCGGAAAAAATATTTCTATACGAATTGTACGCTGGGCGATTTTATTGAATGGTAGAAAAACATCAAATTCGTAGCTACGCAGCACAATCAGAGATGAAAACGTAGCGTATCTACGCTGTAGCTACACAATTCGCGGACAAAAATGAAGTGAAGTGACCGCTCTATATTATTTTTGAATCCGTAGCTACGCCGTTGCTGTTCTGTAGCTACTTTGTAGATAAACGGATGTTACTTATGTGCAATTCTCTCTTCCCCGTTTTCGTACAAAGTATCAACGAAATTTATACAGTCAGTCTACAAAGTCAATTGCTGAGATATTATTAAAAAATTGAAATGATGTTTCTCAAAAATTCGGATCTGATAAACGCGGGTAATTTTCATTTTCTAGCTTTTCCTTATCTTTCTCTATCTTCTCATAATTGGTGTTTCCCCATAATTGGTGAAAAACGTGAAATTTCCTGATTTCATGAAAAAAAAAACAGAATTGAAAAAAAATAAACGAGAGAGTGTTGCGTCTAGAAGAGACGAGGAGAGAGAATGAGAGAAAATGAGAGATAGAAACGAATAAGAGAGAACGCCAGACAACACGACGGTTTGTGAATTTTGTGCAACCCCAAAACCATTTTTAGTTTTTTCACAAAAAATGCTAAAATCCTTCATACTTCACCAAATTTCACAATCTTTGCAGCAAAAAGTTGCAAATCCTCGAGAATAGAGATAGCAAAAATAAAAACTTCAAAAACTTTTCACCAAACACTAAAAAAACTATGATTATAGGTTTTTCGCCTTGATTTCCCTCTTTTCGTAACTTTTTTTCTGAAACGGCGGAAAGCTGAATACAAAAAATCTGTAGAAATTCGGGGTACTTGGGCAAAAACGCAACATTTTCGTATTGCTTGAAATGTTACTGGATTTATTTTGCTACGACGTTGCGGGTACTGTGACATAATCAATTCAGTAAATACAGTTGTTTTTTTTCCTGATGTCCAATTCCTGCTGAAAATGTGGTGACACTGGTTTTGATGCAGACATCGTAGATCTATAGAAAACTATTCTGTAGTTTTCATTTCACGAATTCGAGGAAACATCGTAGACTCGTAGAAACATAAAATCAACAAAACAAAATAAGAAAAAGAATAATTTATTCCAAGAAGAATATAATCATAATCTAAATATTCAGTGTTGTTTTTTCATTTCTAAAATCAAATGGGAAGTGAAAAAAAGAGAGGAGATCTAAACAAAAATAAATATAATTACAGAGAAGATTCCCCCTACTTATGAAAAATGAAAATGAATAAATATTTTGGCGAAAAATACAAAAAAAGTGACATTTATTTACCAAATGGAAGGAATCCTTTGAATGTTTCAAATGCTCCAGTCGCCATTGTTTTTGCTTTTTCAACTTGTTCAGTGAGTCCAAGTTGTCCAATAATACTATCATCTTCCGCATTCATTTCAGCTGCAATTTCTTCCGGTGTTTTACGTGGTCCTCCAATTCGACCTTCTGTGAAATCCATTGCACATCCCTCTTCCTTCTTTTTAATACTGCAAAATTAAATTCATTAACTTTTTAATGAGATTTTGTTGCAAAACTAACTTGTATTTTTCTCTAACTCCTTGTCTCATTTTTTCTCTTTCCGCTTCCATTTTCCGATGTTTTTCTTTTCTTCTTTCTTCTTGTTCCAATCTTGCAGCTACAACTTCTGGATCCTCTCCAGTTTCAGTTTTCTCGCCATCTCCATCATTTTTTCCAAATCCACCGGTAACCTCATTCAATTGGTTACCAACCATTTGTTTCATTAGAAAACCGGCCATTTTTCAAGCTGAAATAATATTTGTTTAGTTTCAAAAGTTATGGATCAGATACAAAAAAGTATTAAAAAAGGAAAGGACAATTTAAATTCGAAAGGAACAAGAAAAATAACAAAAAGGCGTCATGCTGTGAGAATTTTTCATTATTTTTTCACACACCATAAAAAATAGAATATGAAAATTGATTTTTTTTGGGGGGGGGGGGGGTGGGAAGAAAGAGAAAAAGAGCCAAAGATGAAATAAAAATCTATGCACGACGAGATAAATTTGTTTTGAATTCCGGAAAAAAACTAGAAGGAAAAAGGAAACATCCATAATTAATTGCATCCTCGATATAAAATATAAATATATTAGGAATAAATAAAAAATCAAAAATTCATAGCCAACCGGCCACTTCTTCTTCTTCTTCTGTCTTCTTTCTTCTCTTTTATTTCAGCCATTTTGAAGAACTTGTCACATGCACAAAAAAAATGGGGCGGTCCTATTTTCTTCAAAAAAAAAAAGGCAGAAGGCCGCCGCGCGCTCCACACAAAATCGATCAGCGGCTCCTCGCTCGCCCCCCGTTTTTGCTCATGGAGCACAGGAAAAAGAGAAAAAACATGTAGCAGCAGCACCTCTTTTTTTGGCCGATTTTGAATGAGTTATTCGTGCATGGATTTTCTCCTCTTCTTTTTTCTTGTCTTTTTTTGCCAGCGTTTTTCCCAAGAGCAAAGGCGAAAAAAAGAAATAAGAAGGAAAAGAAAAACGAGCAAAAAACTGAAAATACTTTCTTTTTATTAGAGTTGTTAGTAAATGGAGAAAATGAAGTAATGCACTCTAATTTCAGCTAGGATTACTCACATTAGGAATACTTAACGAGTTGAGTCGCACATTACAAATAATGAGCAAAAAATACGTGGGTTGAAGGATTACTGTAGTTAAATACTTTGTTAGTTCATATTATTTTCTCACAATTACTTGTATATATTTTTCCCAACAATTATTTTTTGTATCAAAAAAAATATTCTACTCGACTTTTTCCGGGAAAATGTCAAAGTAATCTGATACTTTCTGAAAAACTAAAAAATGTCAAAAAAAAAGAATTTATTCTCGAGAATTATTATCATAAAAATAAAAATAAAAATTGAGCTAATAAGCGATTGCAAAGGTTGAGGCTTTGTATTCGATAAAAATTGAGAATGAAGATGTTAGAACAACAGTTATCGAGTCTGAAAAAAGGAACATGATTGAGGAAGTGTTTCTGGGATTTTCTGATTTCTGAAAATTCATTTGCCCTCAGATCCTATTCAAAATTGTCAACTCACATAACAAATTGATCGAGTGAATCAATAAAGAAACTCGAACTTTTCTTGACATTTCCAAATCATCCGAAATATCTGAAAATTAAGAATGTTTCAATAAACTGTGATCTAAAAAATCAAAAATTACCATTATATCCATTCCATAAAAACTTTTCAGCTAAACATAAACTTATACTTGAAAGAACTGAAAAGAATGTTGAAGCCATTGAAGTAGAAATAGAACATCGAATAAATAAAAGAACAAAATGAGGGATTATAAAAAACAAGGAAGTGACGAGACAATATTCTGAAAATGTCAGAAAAACCAATAATTTCGAATCAGAATCACCAGAAAATTGAACGAAATTTATAAATTCGATGTCAGTTGCCCAAAGAATGAATGCAATTTCAGATATGATTGTCAAAAATAGGAAACATCCAAGAATATTCGAACATTTTCTATAATCCAAATAAAAGATTTTCGGTTTTTCATATGAAATTCGAAGTCGATTTGATGAAAGAGCAGGACAATCGGTTTTTTCACAAGCTGATACTTGAGTCGAATCCATTGTTCCACAAAAGGTTGATTCAGTTTTTTGCTCATCTTCGTTTTCAGATGTTCTTTCAATTGGACTTCGATTATTATTGATTATATCAGATCCAGCAAATGATCGAGAATCAGCTATATAATATTTACTTGATGGATCCCATCCTTTATAAATTTGAGTTACTGTATATGAAGATGTTGTAAGTTCTGAAAACATAATATATTGGATAATAAAAGGATTTTTTGTTCTTTTTGGAGCAATCAATTTTGATGTCTTGAAAATGAGGTCGCAACCAAAAACTCCAGAATGATTTGACGTGACTACAGTAATCTTCATTGTATATGTGTTTAGATTACTGTAGCCAAGTAATTTACCTCCACTACAATATGAAGCATCATCGAAAAAAGAAGTCGAAATTGAAGAGTCTTCGGACATTTTGTAATTGATAATTATTCAGAAATAACAGTGCTCATTTTTTTTGGCTCACGTAAAATTTTAAAAAATAAATCAATTTGGTTTATTTATTTATTTATTTTCAAACAAAAAATGTTGTGTTTTCATTCGATTTATTTTTTATCTCATTCGTTTTTTGTTGTTTTTCCACGTGGATTCCGACTTTGTTCGTTTTTATCTTGATCCTCCAATCTTTTTTGTTAGTTGGCCAGCCAAAAAACTACGACCTTGACATTTTTTCTCTGGTTCCGTTGTCGGGAAGAAAAACGAGAGAAACGGGAGGTCTTTTTTCGTCATTCTCAATTGATTTTGTCCACTCTTTTTTGGAAAAAAGAAACAAATATGAGTATTGTTATCAGTGGAGGTCTTTCTGATTTTTCAAATGTTTTGGCTAAACAATTATTGGAGAATGGAGAAAATGTTGTGATTTTTCACAATTTCAATGCTTCTTACAATAAGGTTTGTGTTGTTTTTATATTTTTCGATTTTCCAAATGGTCACACTTTATTATTTTTTGCAGGTTTTGTCATCAATCAAAGGCAATTCTAAATTAACAATTCTCAACATTGATAATATCAATTTGGAGGAAATTCTCAAACAATTCTCGATTCATAATGTGACACGTGTCATTGATTGTTCTTTGGTCAATACAAATTTTGTTGAACTAGATCATTTGAAATCAGCTTCGAGACTGTTGTTGGTATGTTTTTATTCTGAATTTTTATAGAATTTCTCTTCAATCATATTTCCAGGGAATCACAAATCTTCTTGATGCAATCCGAACTTATGGAAAAATTGAAAACTTTACCCTTGTTAGTGGTCAAGGTGTTTATGGAAATTCAAAACTTCAAGATGAAACACAACCTTTGACACCAATTACATTCAATGGAGCATCTCAAATGTCTGTTGAAGCAATGGTTCATAGTTATGCTGTTAGTTATCGAATTAACACGGTTATTGGAAGAATTCCAAATATTCTTATCCCATCAAATATTTCCAAAACAACTGACGGGTTTTCAAATAATCTGAATCTTTCGAATGCTGTGAATGGTGTTCGACTTTTGTCGAAAATTTCTAGCTTCACTTTCGAAAATCCAGCTGAAGTTTTCAATATTTCAAATAATATTGAAACAGATGGAAATGGAGAAAGTAGAGAAGCGATCTTCACAAATAAAAAGATCTCGGAAAAACTTGGATTTTCTGTGCAATCAAATGATGATTCAGAATTATCCAACTTTGAAAACATTCTTCCAACATTCTTGGTTTATGGACAAACAGTCGAAAAATTGGAATTTGTCAAACTTTTGAAAAATCAAGGAATTCCTTATTTCGAAAGTTCAGTCGATTTGGAAACAACCGGAGATGCAAATGTTAAAGAAGAAATTTCGAGAATTCTGCCATCTCATTTGGTATATTTTTCATCGAATCAAAGTTAGTTTTTCTCATCAAAAATGTTTAGCTGGATTACTGTATTTATTTCAGATTCATTCGAAGGAAACTGTTTCACACTTCGTTCAAATGTATCATTGAATTTATATCTTCCGTGGCTTTTGGCAAGTATTTCTGATAGAACAGCAATTCATTTCACATATTTTGGAACAAATCCAATTTTCGGAGAATCATCTGAATCCCCAGAAACGTCTGCTTTGGCTGTTAAAACTCACACTGACAAAATGTTGAGTTATTTCGAAAATATTCTTCAACTTCGCGTTGGATCAAATGTCGCTGATTCGGAAAATGTTGGACAACAAAATGTCGATTTGAAACAATCAGGAACAAATTTGGAAGAAAATCTTCCAAATGGTTTGGAACTAATCTTGAACAAATCATTCGGAATTCATAATTTAGTCAATCTTTCATCGAAAAATGCGGGCCAAAATATTGAGAAACGAGGATAAAAAAGTTCACAGATGTTGTTATCCTTCTAAATTTTTTATTCAATAAATACATAAATGTTCTATTCAGTCAGTTTTTTCCTGCAATTTTGACCAATAAACTTTCGATATTATCAATACATCTATTTGATGGCGGATGATAAAGAGCAACAAAAAGTGCCACTTTCAAAACATAATAACATGGAATTAATTCGAGAATTCTATCAAATAAAACTGAACATCCAAATATAATATGATGAATAAAATGAATATTTGGAGTTGGTTTTTCTGATGGATAAACATAAGTTTGAAGAAATGGAATAAGTATGATTGCAAAGTTGGCGAGTAAATGAGCCTGAAAGAAAAAATGAGAAGAAAATCTAAATATTATGGCAAATTGACTTACTTCTTTTACAAAAATTAGCAAAATTAGGAATACCATAACACCAACTTTAGCAGTTATTTCCACATTTTGGCCAATTGTATTTGCAAAATTTTCAAGGATTCTAGCAGAAAAATATTTCTTATCATTTATGACATCATCGAACCATCTTCTAACTTCAACTTCTGTTGTTCTTGTTTCTTTATTGCTTGTCATTTTTTCTAGTAAAATTTGACTGTTTCAATTTTATAATAATTTCTAAATGGCTATTCATTTTTCATATGTCATTCTCATTTTTTTATTTGTATTTGGTTCACGTTTAAAAGCATAATATATTTATTCAGACATTTTTGTTTTCTTGCTATTCATTTCTTCATGAAAAGCTTCACTGACTTCTGAAAATGTTGATTCTTGTTGCATATGTTCTATCCAATTTTTCGTGATTCCAACACGTCTTCCGAGAAAATCTTCAACATGATCCCACATATCTCGTTCACAAAAAATACCCTGAAGAAATAAAAATAATCTTGGAAATTCAGAAAAATATTGATACCTGATGATTTGCATGTTGTAATAAATAAATTTCACTATTTGGAATTGTTGCTTGTAATTTTACACCATGATTATGTCCAACAATAAAATCTTTTTCGCCGTGACAAATTAATGTTGGAGATTGGATCTTTTTCGATTTTTCCAGACTTGGAAACATATCAAACCATGGTTTTATAATAGTTGGTTTTCTTGTTGCAATCCGAAGAAATGAAGTAAATGGAGCAATTAGAATAAGTGCAGCAACTTTGAATTGTTCAGCTAAATGAACCATTGCAGCTGTTCCTAAACTAAAACCAATCAATATTATTTTATCAGCTTTATATCCCAATGTATTCATCGCATATTTCATTACAGTATCAATTGCTGCATAAACATTTTTCTCATTCGTTTTTCCTTCGCTGATTCCGTAACCAGGATAATCAAAAATAAGAAGATCACATTGAAGAAAATCAGCGATATCAGCGAAATTCGGATCCATCATAAGGCAACATCCAAGATCTGATGAATTTGGTTGGGAAAATATGATTAGGTTTGGTGATCGGATTTTTGTTCGATTTTTATCTCGATGTAACCATCTAATTGATTGTTCACAATATAATTCCATCGCACAGATTAGTTTTTGTTTTTCATTAAATGGAAGCGTAAAGACTTTACATCTTAGAAGATGATAAAAAACATCAACTGCTCTTACTTTTGGTTTAATCATTTGAGGTAAACAAATCGATAAATGATCCATTCCAATTGTTTCCGAAGCCTTAAAACATGCCTTCTTTTTTCCATTCTGTAAAAAATTGGATAAATTTATAGTCACTCTAGATATAAATTACCGATTCACCAATCAAATAATAATATTTTCCTTGTTGAGGATGACAAAAAACAATTTTTCTGAACATTTTCGGAGGCCACGGAGGTAAAAATATGTATATGAACGACATAAGAACAAATAAAATCTTTGACATTACTTTTGCAAATGTTAATTTTTTATTTGGTAAATCGCTCCATAATTTGGAATCATGTGCTGGACAAGCAACACGGCGAGCAACATTCAGACAAACTGCTGAAATAAATAAAATTCGAACAAAAAATCGAAAGGGACTACTGTACCTGATTGTAGATTTGATACAATTTCTGCATAATCTTCTGGATTAACAGATGAGATCTAAAAACAAATAAATTCATCGTTGAGATTGAAAAAAATTTCAACTTACAGTATTATCATTGAGTTTGAAAGTTTGAGATGCGATATGCATTTCAGATCCACAAACAGCTCCAGCTGTCGCTCTAGTTTTACGTTCATTTTTGAAATTTTTCTTATTCATTTTATTAATCACGATATCCACTCAGTATAATTAAATTAAGAAATGGCAGTTTTTCAAATTTATCCAGCCTGTCAAAAAAATCACGTCGAAAAAATGTAAAAGCAAAAAAAAATGGCAAATAATGAATGGGACCCCAAAGGGAACCCCAAATGACTGAATGGGACCCCATGCTGAATGGGACCCCGGTGTTTAAAAATCGTCGTGATGAATGGGACCCCAAAATAATAAAATGGGACCACAGCTTTTTTTTGAATTGTCTGAATGGGACCCCGCAAAAAAAGGGACCCCGTTGAATTTTTGTATTAGTACGAATGGGACCCCACTGAAATTTTATACTGAAAGGGATACAAAATTTGAAGCCTAAGCCTAGGCTAAAAATCCTAACTAAGCCTAAGCGTAAAACCCTAACTAAGCATAAGCCTAAAGGCCTAACTAACCCTAAGCCTAAAATCCTAACTAAGCCTAAACCTGAAATCCTAACAAAGACCTAAAACCCTGACTAAGCCTAAGCCTAAAGGCCTAACTAAGTCTAAGCCTGAAATCCTAACTAAGCCTAAGCCTATGCCTCACCCCAGTGCTGAGGATACGTCTAAGTTTATACCCTACCTGTGGTCCCATTCTGAAGAAATTTCAATGGGGTCCCATTCATACTCATACAAAAATTCAACGGGGTCCCTTTTTTTGCGGGGTCCCATTCAGACAATTCAAAAAAATGCTGTGGTCCCATTTTATTATTTTGGGGTCCCATTCATCACGACGATTTTTAAATACCGGGGTCCCATTCAGCATGGGGTCCCATTCAGTCATTTGGGGTCCCATTTGGGGTCCCATTCATTATTTACCAAAAAAAAATATTTCAAAAAAAATACACCTTTTTGAGGTTCGACGTGAACTTCAAAATGTGTTCATTTTTAAAAAGAATCTGGGCCTTGTTCACTCGTTAGAGTCGTATCAAAAATGCATTTCACATAGAAATCACATAGAAAATTGCAAAAATAAAAATTCAAACACCGCGGGATGAGAGAACGTGTCGATCGAAGAGACGCAGGCGGAGTGTCGTTGTTTGCCTCTTTTTTATCCCACTGTTTATTTATTTTTTCGTTGTTCTCGTGGAATTCGCTATTGATTGGTCGAATGTTGAACAACGATATAAATCAGAAATGGAAAGGATGAATTTAGATATTAATGCATTGTCAAGGAGTTTCAAAAAGACGTCTGTTTTGATTTCTTGTAAGTTTTATTCATTTTATGGCATTTTATAAAATTTTAAACTTTATTTTCGTTAGGTTCTGGAGCTGATTCGAACTTTTCGGTATATCAACATGCTTTGACATCTTATTTTTCGAGAACTCCAATTGTCTGGAAGCGGAATAACAAAGTTTTCCCACATCTTTTGACATTTCCATTGAAGTTTGTTCCTTACGAAGATAAGTTATGTTTTGGACCACATATAACACCTCTCGAAATTTGTAACATTGCGTATTTACATGTTTATCATATTAATGTATTGGTAAGCCATTTCTATTCATAGTTCTATTCAACTGGATAAATGAGATATTCAGAATGCGGACGATTATAGATCAAATGTTCGACATAATGTATCTGATTGGTTTGCAAAAGTAAACACAAAACCTGATGTTCAATGGATGATTTTGATAAACACATCTCGTGCAAAGGATAAAAAGACAAGGACATTGCTTTTAGAGAAAATAAAAAGCGATTTCAGTAAATTTCATTCGAAACTCTTCGAACTGCCAGATACATCAGATCATCAAGCATTTACTTCATTTGTTCAAGGTATTCAACAATGCATTTTTGCTCATTTGAATCTCGTTGTTGAAATATGGGATAAATCATTGAGAACAATGTATGAAAAAAGAAAACAACACAATTTTGATGTATTTTCATATTTCACATCAATGGTAAGTTTTTCGAAAGTAGTTTCATCAGATAATTGATCAATATTCAATTTCAGACTCAATATGGTCGAAATTATTGGAGTTTTGGTGCAATTGAATATGCTATAAATATATTTGATGATGTTGAAGGGCTTTTAACTGAAGTTGTAAATCGAGCACAAGAACCAGAATCACCTCGATGGTTATCTCAACTTTTGAATGTTCCGATAGAAAATCAACCGAATCTTGTGAAAATGTTTGAAATTGAAGCATTAGATCGAAAAGAAGCACATTATTTGGGAATGAGAAATTATCTTCTTTGTCAACAAATTATAATGGCAATACATTTATATCAACATAAAATGAAATCAAATGATGCAGCACCTTCTTTGAGATCTGATTGTGCTATTGAAATATTGAGAAGAACACTTTTATGTATTGAATCTGTTAAAGAATTCAATACACAAATGAATGTAGGTTTCTTTTCAAATTTCATTCAAAAAAAGTTATTTTTGAAGAATCAGCGAGATTTTCATAAAACTAATTGTTGGATTTTGTGGACAGTTTCTGAATCACTCGATGTTTGCAATTTTTTTTGTGATATTTCTCATCTTGATGTCGCACCCGCATTTTTATCTAAACTTCATTTAGCAAAATTCGATGCGGTGAGAATACTTTATATGTTTGAAAAATATATATGAAAATTATTTTAGATGTTTAATCTTGCAAAAACGAATTCACTGGAAAGAGATTCATTAGTTTCTTGGCTTAAACAAATTATCAATAACAATTCACTTATATCTTCACTTCAATCATCAGAAACAATGTGTCAAGAACTCGAAAAGATGTATGAATTATGTATTCATAATCTTTCTCATCGAAATCGAAGTTCTCTTCATATCACTTATAAATATTTCGAATATCTCAAATCAATCAAACATAAATGCCCAATTCCGAAATTATCGATAAACATGAATATTTTGAAAACATTTCCGAAACAAGAATCGATTGCAAATATGTTGAAAAGTGTTTATGAAGAAAATTATAATGAAGATATGTATGTTTTTCCAAATATAATTCAAAATTTTAATTATATTTTTTCAGGCTTCCGATTTTATTTTATATAACTCAATGCTCTGAAAATGATATAACTTCAATTAATCTTTTTTTGGATATTTGTGAGAAACTTGAACACTCGATCAATTGGAAAATAATCGATGATTCTGAATTATTTCATATAACTGTTGATACTTTCGAAGCAATTCAAACAAAAAATTCAGAATTTGTGCTGAAAATCAAAATAAATTCAAAAATCGGATTTGATCTTCATAATTCCAAAATTCGTCTTCATTTTTCATCTTCATCAAATTCAAATATAGTTCAACCAAACAATTTATCAACACTTTCTTTGCAATTTGATAATAAGGATAATACATGTCGACTTGTATCAGAAACAAAAACAAATGGACATAAAAATGAAGAAAATGCAGAAAAAGTACACAATTTTGTATCAGAATCCGATGTATTTATTTTAAAATCTGGACAAAATGAAGTGGTATGTTGATCTTTTTGTTTTATATGAAACTGGTCTTGTTCATTTCAGATAACTTCAACTTTTCTCGAACAAGTTGGTTGTTTTGTTTTGGAAAAAATAGAGATTCTGTCTTTGAAAAATTTCAATTTGAAATATGAGACAATTCATGCATTTTCAAGACGTCCTCCAATTTTATATTGTATGTCAACTCCACATATTATTAATTTAGCAAATGAAAATAATCAACGTGAGTTCACGTTTTTTTTTTTGAAATTAAATTTTACAACCATATTTTTCAGAATATTTGGCTGGAGTTATTCAAAAATTCGAAATTGAAATCGAAGCAAAATGTGATGTCCCAAATGAATCGATTTTGAAATGTATTCCACCAAATCCTATGTTCATGTTTTTGGTATTTCCTTTCATCTTCAGTTTCAGCTAATTTTCAGCTTTTTTCAGCATCAAAACAAAAATGTGTGGTTGAACGAAATCGAAATTCCAATAAAATCTTTGAAATGTCATGAGAGAACAAAAGTGGAAGTATATTTTTGGTTGAAAATTGATTCAACAATTTGCGAATCTGCAGCAATTCAGAAAAGAACGGTCTGTTTTTTATTTCTAATTGTAAGAAAAAATAGATAATTGAAGTTTCATTTTACTTAATAAGACACTTGAAATTTGTGACCCGTGAAATGAAAAATATATACAATTAGGAGAGTTCGACTTGTGCCATAACACAGGCAATTTCTTCGTGTTTTGAATTTGCATTGTAGTCGAACATGCGAATTTCCAATTGATATGGTTTCTATAAAATAATTGAAATTAGTTTGGAAAAACAACAGAATTAAAAATAGACTTACGTAGGCGGCAAGTGCATTGATAATTGATGAGAATTGACTAAGATCCAATGGAAGAATCAAATATAATGGACCAGAAGTGAGGGGACAATTATGAGCAAAGTCACATCCATCAATACCATTTCTATAAAATACGGTTTTGTTTTTTTTTTCAATGAGAAAAAAGAACTTACAATAATCCAAAAGTTGGAATTGATGTCCATTGACAATCTCCAGACCATCCAGCTTTATATTGATAAATTTTGACATTAACTTTGTTGTCATCAATTTGTGGACCATGATTATAAGTTGTCAAATTGAGAATGAATTCTTGACGTGGATCAATTGGATATAATGGTTTTCCATTCATATCATATGTTTCGATATCAGAAATACTGAATTGTTCATTGTCCGAGCACATATATGAATGAATTGCTTTGTCAGTTCCATTTGGGAATGGACAATCAACTGAATGATCAATTGGCAATGCAAAGATCAGAGGAGAAAATAAAAATAGCACACAAATAAGAGCTGAATTCATCTTGAATGAATGATTTGAATTGATTTGAGAGAGGGTTTATATAATAGAAGGATTGTATAATAAGTCACACCATTTCCGTGTTATCAGCAGTTAACTTTATGCGTTGCATAGGTTATCATTGTTAATTAGGCATTAAAATTATTCGTGTTATCTATATGGTATAATATAATTTTTCGGAATGCTTCAATGATAATAAATTTGAGAAAAAATATATGGTTGTTTGGAATGGAGAAAGAAAGAAAAAATCAAAGTTTGGTTTTTTTGCAGATAATTGTGGAATGGATGGATCGAAGATATTGTTTGCCAATGAATTTTGTGCCAATTATGGTTATTACTTCAAAAACTTCAATGTTAACGACGGAGTAAGTTTGGATAAAAATAAAGTCTGAAATCTAAAATTCTACAGTATTCTGCTGGAAGTTGAAGTGAATCGAGCTGCTGGAAATAATGTAATTACAAATATAAAAGATGCTATTCTTATAGCTTCAGATGTTTCTGGAATTGAAAAAACAGCCGATTTGAGGACAAAAGTTCCAATTAAATGCGATCCTTTGAGTGTGGTCAACTTTGTTTGGAAATTGCCGATCAAAGGATCATCAGTGAAACATTCTTTGAAATTGGAATATGATGCGACTGGACAATTTGATAATTTCAATCTGCCACTTTATTCATTCGAAGATGATGTTGAATTAAGTGTGCCTGATGTTCGATTCGAAATTTGTACACAAGTATTATCACAACAACCCGGTGCTCAATTATGTCGAGCTTCTTCTCCTTGTCATTTTGTTATTTCAATTAGATGTCTTGTTGATGAACCAAGTACATTATTTGTTGTATTAGAAGCCGATGAAAGAATTTGGACATTAACTGAGAGAACCAAAAGTTTGTTGTATCTTAAAACCTTCTTAATTAATTATCCAATTAATACAAATATATTTTCAGTGTGTAGTGTAAAAGACAGTGGACTTGGTCAATTAGCATTAAGTATTATTCCAGTTGTTGCTGGATATTTGCCATTTCCAAATGTTTCAATATATGAATGTCAACAACAGGTAAATTTTTAACAAATTAATAATTTTATTTTTTTGATTTATTTATAAAATCACAAAAAATAGATCATCATCCAAATCGAATTGGAATTCTTTGAGAAGCAGCCAAAATCAAGCAAATTGTTAGAAAAATATAGTATTTCATGATTCGAATATTTTGGTATCAAAATAATCGAATTTATATTATTTTTCCCGTTATGAATCATGAAAATAATATACAGTAGCCCCCCACATATTGCGTCACTAAAAAAATATAATTTTTATTGTCATCAATTTTTTATTATGCGAATTGATAAAATAGCATAGTTATAAACAAGAAAAGGGGAAAGTACGTTGTTCAAGAACAATTCTAGATAGTGAGGGAAGAAAATTAGAATGATCAGTGATGTTGTTATCGAATAATTTATAAATATATCTGAAATTATCTATATCCGATTTTTTTGCTGAAAAAAACAGAATATTTTCTCATAAATCGGACGTGGTCGGTTTTCTCGGTGTTGATTCAAAATCTTTTTTTTACAGGGATTATCTGATGTGCATGTTCCTGGAACTGAACTTCTTTGTTTCAATCGAACTGCTGGAAAACAAATTCGAGTACTTTCTGCACATAATTCAGAATCACATTTTGGAAAAGATGATTCGAGTCGAGGATCAAATCGAATTACAAAGAAAATTGTCAAGTTATTTGACTAATAACCTTTTTGTATATATAGAATACTAGAATTTATTTATATATTTGCATTTTTTCAATTTTCTCGGGTAAAATTGCATAGTAAAAAAAATATTTAACTTATCGATATTTTGAAAAAAAAATTGAGTTTATTAGTTATCATAACTATTTTTAATATTTCATGTTTTCGCGATTGTAATAATTCCAGATTTTTCAGAATGTAAAATATGAATCGAAAAATAATATTATCATGTTGTATATTTACCGTCTTGCTTTTATTGATTTATATGGCAGCTACATCGAATTCCACCGATGATAAATTCTCAAAATCTCAAGATTTTTCAAAAAGTGAAATTAAAAATATGCGAAGATTTAGAGATGTGAGTTCAATTTTAATTCATTTTTCGGAATGATTTTTATTTACCGAGAACAAGTTGCAGGTGTTTGTACATTTGGACTTGAAAGGAGCTCCACCGAAAATTGATTATTTGGAAAAAATATTAGGAGAACTTGAAAGGTATGCGGTTGATGGAATATTGATTGAATACGAAGATATGTTCCCATTTTGGGGAGAAATTGAGGAAATTAAACGAGAAGATTCATATTCAAAAAAAGCTATTCAACGAATTAATGAAATTGCATTCGAACGAAATTTAGAAGTTATTCCACTTTTACAAACATTTGGACATTTGGAATTTGTATTGAAACATTCGAAATATCAAAATCTTAGTGAAAATCCATTCGAATTGAATACAATTTGTATAACTGAACCAAAATCATTCGAAATATTGAATGAAATGTTGAGACAAATTCGATTATTACATCCAAATTCAACACGAATTCATATTGGATCAGATGAAGCTTATCATATTGCGGAAGATGAAAGATGTTTGAATCGAATGAAAAATGAACAATTGATGAAATCTGATATAAAATTGAAACATATTTCAAAAACCGCTTTAATGGCAAAATCTTTAGGATTTTCTGAAATATTTGCTTGGAATGATATGTTTGATAAAGAATCTGAAGAATCAATTAAAAAAGTGAATTTGCATAAATTGATAACTCCAGTTGTTTGGGGATATTCGACTGATGTTACAACTCCTGGATATTTTCCTGATGGTTTATTTGATCGAATATATAATGTAAGTTTAATTTTTAAAATATCTAAGGAAACTATTGTTGTTTTCTAGGTTTTTGAAAAATATTATATTGCTAGCGCTTTTAAAGGAGCAAATGGAATAAATCAACAGTTTTTGAATATTTCACGATATATCGAAAATCATCAAAGTTATGTGAAACTTTTGGAAAATCATCGAAAATCTGCGACAAAAATGAATGGAATATTTGTAACTGGTTGGTCAAGATTTGCACATTCGAGTCCTTTTTGTGAAATTTTACCGGTTTCAATTCCATCATTAATTGCAAATTTATTATATATCAATTTTGAACCTCAAAACAAACGAGAAATTTGGAGATTATTAAAAGAAAAGTTGAAATGTCATATACCACATATGGTAAAAGGAATTCAATCTGAAAGAGTTTTGGAAAATTGTGATTTTGAAGGAATCGAAGTATTCAGAACGGTTAGTTATTTATTCAAATTAATTATTAGTTTTCGATTAAAAAATGAAATTATTCAATACATCCATCAATTCCCCATTTACTGATTTGTTTTTCGAAATATGTCTTATGATCAGCATAACTTGTTCGAATCGATGAACATTCATCTCCTTCGCATATTTTATATTCTGCTCCATTTTGCATTCCATTTTTATAATAAACTTCATAATTAGTGTGAAAGTACTCGATTTTGGGAAGTTTAGTTACAATATCATATCGATGTGTAATACGAAAAGAATACGGTACCAATTCATTGTGTATTTTAACATAATCTTCATCTCCAACTCGAGGTTGTCCAAAATTGATATGTTTTATTCGATTTTTTTCGATTATTTTCTTTCCACTTATAAAAGAAGAAGCTAATGCACTTATTGCTCCACCAAGAGAATGACCAGTTATCTGTTATAAAAATAGGCTTTATTTCTAAGAAAATTATAAACAAACCCAAATATCAAAATCTGGATACATTTTGATCATATCTTCCACATCATTTTCCATTCCACTTTCCCAGATTTTTTTGAATGCACATGCGAAATATCTCGAAACTTTTCCTCCAATTTTCCAATCTGTTTTTATCATTCCAACTATTTCCGCGAAAAATTGTTTGAGTGATTCAGTTCCTCTGAATTATTTAGTAAAAAATAAGGAATTTCGTCTAAAAAAAATACAACCTGAAACTAAGAACAATTGCTTTTTTATCATGTAAAATAGCACTAAATCCAAAGCAACTATCGTTCAGTAGAAGAGCACATTTTTCAACTCTGTATTGTCGTTTCAGCTTCAAAATTGAATGATTAACAATCGTTTCATAAGTTATAAGTGAACCATACCGTAGCATTTTTGAATTGGTTTTGAAGACAAATATTTGGATTTTCTGAATAAGCAGCCGCAGCTAAATGAAATATATTATTTCGTGCAAAACTATCAGAATATTCGAGTTCGACAACATAATTGCTTTTTGCATTTACTCTTTTTGTTGTGAAGAAATAATAGAGAAAAACAATAAGGTACTGTAGTCTCATTATTTGGTTGACTGAAACGTTCAATATAATAATTATGGTTTATATACCTTTTCAGATTGATTCATTATTTTTGTCATAGACATTATTTATGTGTCTAAAAAGTTTTGATAATAGAATGCAAAAAATTGAAGATAGAATTGAATTCTTGGTTTCAAATAATAACGATTCATTGAGAATTTAAGAGGAAATATTCAATTACATCCCATTTTACCCCAATCGGCAACTTGTTTATCAAAATATTCCAAATGATCGAAAATATTTACTCTTGGACGAGAACATTCCCAAGATGATAAAAATCCACATATTTCATATTCCGTCATATCTGAATTATAATGAACTTCAAAATTCGTATGATAATATTCTGATTTTGGTAATCTTGTAATTGGATCACGATTATGGACTATTCGAAAATTATATGGAACCATTTCATCGTGCATTGTTGCATATATTGAATCTCCAGTACGAGGTTCTCCAAATGTTATCACTTTTACTTGTTTTGATGCAACTATTTTTGAACCAACAATATATGAAGCAGAAAGAGAAGCAAGAGAACCACCCAGAGAATGTCCTGTTATCTAGAAAAATTTACAAGAAAGAATGAAAATAATTCTGATTCTTTACCCAAACTTCATATTTTGGATATTTTTTGGTCAATTCTTTCACATCATTTTCCATTCCATTTTCCCAAATACTTGCAAATGCATTGTTAAAATATAAAGAAACTTTGCCACCCATTGGCCATGGAGATTGATCAACAAAAAGAGCGGAGACAGTTTCTGCCAAAAGTTGTAGAGATGATTGAGTCCCTCTGAAATTGTTTCATAAAGTAATTAAAAGGTACTGTAAATGTTACCTGAAACTAATCACAATTGCTTTTTTGTTATGTAAAACTGCTGTGAATCCTGAACAATTATCTGTTATTATTGATGCACAATTTGGAATGATATATTGATTTTTGAGCTAAAAAATTACAATTTGAAATTATTCAATTATTCAACTAACAGTTGCATTTTTGAATTTATTTTTTAAACATTCATTTGGTTTATCTGAATATGCAGCAGATGCTAATGGATACATATCATTTCGAGCAAAATTTTCAGAAAATTCAGGTTTTCCGATTACAGTATGAAGAAATATAAAAATACAGAAAAATGTTATCATTTTTTTCATGATTGAACAAGAATTCGGAAATTATATGCAATTTTTTAAGTGAATAATTCGAAAACAAAATATTAATCATAGTTCTAGTTTGATGTATTCAATGAATCACATTTTTTTCAGATAACAATTGATTGGAAAACAATAATTGAGAAATCTCAAATCGAAGAAGTTGATAAAAATGCACTGGAAAACGAAGCGAAACTTGTTCTTGAAAACCTCAAAAAACACCTCAAACCAATATTGTATCAAAAAGATATTAACGAGTTATATTCACAATTAATGGGTGAATTTTTATCAAAATTGAATACGGGACAAAATAATAAAGCATAATTGAAAAAAATACATTTAAAAAATTGAATAAAATACGGTTTTTTATAAATATTATTTTGTGATGATCATTTGGGGTACTGTAACCCTATAATATTTTCCAATTTCTAATTACGAAATTATTGTGAAAAATTTCAGATTTTTGTTAGCTAATATGAAAAAACGAGAGAAAGAAGATGAAGAAGGACTTTTAAATCGGAGAAATATACACGAATCATCATCTTCAGTTTTTATTGATGGTAAGTGTCAGGAAAAATTTTTTGACTGAATAATGCAAGAAATATAAAAATTATACCCGAATATGTATTCCAGATCGGCCAGATTCTCCAAGTTTAGAAAATGTCGATTTTTCTCCCTGGCCACATGTTTTCAATCTTGCAAATTGTATAATTGGTGTATCAATGTTAGCAATGCCCTATGTTTTTCAACAATGTGGAATACTTTTAGCCGCGGTTATGATTGCTATTTGTGCTGTTCTTACGAAGTTGACTTGTCATTTTTTGGCACACACAGCATTTCAGACAAAGTGAGATTTTTATTCTATGAATTACTGGGGAAAAAATTGGATTTTGGAAAAAAATGATGCGAAAATAATTCATTGATTTTTCAGAACAATGAATTATGAGAGTCTGGCAATGTCAACTTTGGGTCAAAATGGTCGAAGATTTGTTGAACTTTGTCTTTTAGTATTTTTAGTTTCATCAATTGTTGCATTTATTGTTGTTATTGGAGATATTGGACCGCATATTGTGGCTGAATATTTAGAATTGGAAGCTCCAACACAGCGATTACGGATATTAGTTATGGTTAGTTGTTTTTCAGAAAAAAAATTTCGACAACAAAAAAAGAGATAAATTTCAGGTTCTTGTTATAACATTTATTGTTTTGCCACTTTCTGTTATTGATGATCTCAAAAAATTCTCTGTGATTTCCTCGTTGGCCTGTCTTTTTTATGCGATTTTTGTACTTCGAATGGTAAGTTTGACGTAAAATCCAAATTTGAAACTGGTGTGGATAAAATTAGAAAAATTGGTTTTTAGCATCAAATTTCCAAAATCTGAAATATTATGATTTTTTGAAAAAGTAATTTCTGAAGAGCAAAAACTTGGATGTTTAAAAATATTCGAATGTTTCATAAAAATGAACTGTTCCAAAATTAATTTCTAACTAACCTGTAAAAAAATTTCAGATAATGGAAAGTTTACCAACAATATATGATGGAGAATGGAGTATTCATGTTGTTTGGTGGAGACCTCAAGGATTTTTAACATGTCTTCCGATTGTTTGTATGGCAATGTGTTGTCAAACACAATTGTTTCCTGTTATTTCTTGTATTCGAAATGTGAATGTTGATAAATGTGATCTTGTTATTTCACAGGCAATCAATATTTGTGCTGGAATGTAAGTCAAGTTTTCTTTTATTTCTCATTAATCCTATTATTGTTTTAGGTATGCAGCAGTTGGTGTTTTTGGCTATGTCGCTTTTTATTCTCATGAACTTCATGGTGATGTTCTAGTGCAATTTGCTCCAACTTTGGTTACTCAATCGCTCAAACTTGCTTTTCTTCTATCAATTGCAGTTTCAATTCCACTTATGTTATTTCCTGCTCGAACCGCATTATTTTGTCTTTTATTGCGGGAAAAAGATAGTGTTGCTCCAACAGTTGATCTCGAAAAATTCACATTTCATATTCTTACGATTTTATTATTAATATTCAATACAGTTTTGGCTATTTTAACACCAAATGGTTGGTTTTTTTTTAATTTTAATTAATTCGAATGGAATTTTCATTAAGAATTATTACAGTTGAATTTATTCTCGGTTTAACCGGTGCATTTATTGGAAGTCTTGTTTCGACAATAATTCCTTCAATGATGTATTTGTCATATAATCGTGATAACAATACTGAAGTGTCGAATCGAGCAAGAAAAGTGAAAGATATGTCAATGGCGGCTAAGGTAACATTTTTTGGAAAAATTATTTTGGTCTATTTTTTATTTTTTGAAAACTGGATTACTTCTATGTAGAATGTAGACTTCTATGTAGTTTCTATGTAGAAACAAGTTATGTATGTGAAATTTGGAAATATTTTGAAATTTCGAATTTATACAAAAAAAATTAAATATCTTGAAAAAATTTACTATAAATACTCACAAATACTTTTAAAAAATATAACGATTTTTTGTTGCAAATTCGGATATTTTTATTTCTAGATTTGCTTGATAATTGGCTTATTCATTTTGATTGCTTCAACATGTGCTATTTTACAAGCTGAAAACAAAACATCAGTTGTTGAAAAACCAAAAGCAAAAGAAGATATTGGAGTCGAAGAAAAACCAATGCTAAAATCATTGGAAAGTTTGGAAGAAAGAGTTCTTGATGCAAATTTGAATATTTCACAAAAACTTGATGATATAAGTGAAATGGCTGCAAAAGGAAATGAAAGTGAAGCTGTTCGAATGTTGGTTGAAATGAAAGAACAACAATTACAACAACAAATGTTGATTCAAAAACAGGAGAAAATTGTTGCACAATTGAATAAAGCTGAAAAGGCTAAAGCACCACCATCTGAAGAAACTGTTACGGTGGGCAATAATATTTTGAATTCTACAAGTGTATGAATTTTCGGGTTTTTCTGTTTTTTTTTTAAATTTTAATGAATAAATAATTTATTTTCATAAATAACTTATTTATTGAAAGCACATAAATTTATTAAAAAGTAACCGAGCATTGTCTTATTTCGCATTCTTATCCGCTAAAAAATTTGGGACAAAGACACGAATTATCCTCTAACAATTTGCCATGATTTTTGCACTTTTTACCGAATCCAAAATAAGTTGCTGTATTGTGAACAGTTTTGAGAAGCATGTCATGAAAACCTGTAAAAAGTATAATGTTGAATTTAAATTTCAAAAATTTGAGAAACTAAAAATACCTGGCTTGTCAGCATTTCCTTCTGCAAATGTTCGGTTACCCAAATCCACGAATGTGATAATCTCAAATATCCAATAAACTAACAACATTCAGGCCTAAAAGAACTTATTTAAATTACAACAATAAAATTCTTTAAATTATAGATATGAGTACGGTATTTTCAACCAGTTGAAAAGTAATCGAAAATGAAAACGAGTACCAAATTGAAAATTTATTTCAAGAAAAAAATGTAGATAGACATATAAAAGAAAAAACAATAAAAGAAAAAAAATGTTATTTGCCAAAAACATCAAAAGTGCATTTTGATGGATTCCGCCTTTAAATATAAAGGTTTAAGAGTTTCTTCGATTTCGACCTGTAATAAACATATTATTAGTGTATTGTAAGATATGAAAATTTTCTTACATTCATGTCTACCATTGAAGTTCAGCTTTGATAATTCTTATTTTTTTCCATCAGCTCAAAGACTTCCAATTCCCTTTTGTGTAGTCTTTCGGTCAACTTAAACTTCTCATTCTCATTAGAAGCGATCTGGACATTTCGATCTTCCAAATCTTTCTTCATTCTAGCCATGTTACTTTTCGTAGCCGTTGCAATCTTCTTATCAGTTTCTTCGCGAATCTTCGCATTTTGAGCAATTTTGGTTGCTTTGGCCAATTCACTTTCAAGACCGGCGATTTTCGTTGATAATCTTGAGAAGCTTTGTTCACTCAGAACAGAGTTCTGTTCCTGAAAACAAAATAAGTATACAAAATGAATTAATGCGTTTAGAAAAAATATAACATTTTTGTTGTTTTTTCATGTTTGCAGACTGGAAAATGATCCGCCCTCTTTTTCATATTTCAAAAAATCATTGATTTCTTCTTTTGAAATTTGGGGTTTTCTAAAACTCACTTCGCGCACATTGAAGCTTTCCTCCATTAGATATCTGAAAAAGGCAATTATTGAAAACACAAGAATCAAGAATTCACGCGGATAATCAAAAATTTAACGTGAGCACAGGGGTTTTTTCACTACCGAGTCAATGCAAAATTGTAATCGAGCAAATAGGCTCCGCCCATCTTTTTCCGCACAGACATGTGGGCGGAGCTTAGGTTTTCAGATTTTCAAAAAGAAAATTGAAAACCCTTTGGCTCAAAAGACACACAAATAAAAAGAAAAAAGTCGGGCTATATGTGTGTTTGCAGCGACCGACATCTCGCGAGGCCGGCCACACGCTATTGTTTTTTTTGTCGGCCACGTAGCGTGCTGTTTGCGGAGGTTTTTTGTCGTCAGATAAAATGTTTTGTACGTGATTAATTCTCGGTAGTGAAAAAACCCCTGTGCGTGAGCAAATGCGGATGACTTAACTTCAAAATGAAAAAAAAAACCAAGAAATACCGTCATGTCATTTTTAGTCTACTGTACGTCAGCACTTATTTAAACGGGGGTTCTTTTATTTTCGGATTGACAATATATTGTTGGTGTTATGTGTTTTTTCTCCAAAATCCAACCCCCGAAATTTGGGAGCAAAATTTTACCTTAGAAACACCTTTTCAGGGGGTAATTTTGAGAACTATTCCTTGTGAAAGAAAATAACTCAGGATTTTGAGTTTTGAGTCTTATGTTATATTTGAGTTCCGAGCCAACAGTTAGCTACGCCAAAACACTGAAATCTCCTAACGAAGTGTGTCTTTCCACACCTCAAAAAATCCTCCAAACGGATAGACTGATGCTCTTAAATAAACAACTTCTTCCAGATTATATCAGGGAAGGTGTGATGATCAAACGCTGTGATGATCAAACGACCCCTGTGATGATCAAACGAGAAGTCCGCCATTTCACAATGCCCACTTATGTTTGATAACTTTGATATTTTCTTTGTTTTTTTTTCAATAAATTTTAAATAAAAACTGAATTCGCATTGGGTAAAACAACAAAAGAGAAAAAAAAATGAAAAACCAAGTGGTAACTAGCGCTCGATAGTTACCAACTGGTATCTCAGTTAGTTACCAGCTGGAATCTTGTCAACAAACAGATAGTTACCATCTAGGAAAAACCAGCTGGTAAATTGAGAGTTACCAACCATTTGCCTGTGATAGAAAAAGCACAAAAAGAAAGAAACAGAACAAAAACAGAAAAAACGAGAAGAGAAAGCACACCCGTTCAAACAATGAAAAAATTAGAAATTTCTTTTATTCACACTGCGCCACAATTTGCAAAGGAATTAGCTAACCAAATGGCAAAACTAAATATACCATTAGAATCAGCGCATCGAGATCTGTGTGAGACTACGCATTTCGAAATTTTTAGGGTCCTGCGAAGAAAGTTAGCAATCGCGACAAGACCCAACGCATAAAATTTATCATGTTCCTTTAATACAGTAGTGCGAAATATAACGGCGAACAGAGAGAATTAGACAAAAGTGTTTGCACAGTTTTTTGTTTCGTTTTACAGTAGAAAACACTCATTGCGTGGCTTGAACGGGTGTGTCTTTAGGTTTGGGATTTGGGATTTGGGATTGCGTTGCTTGAACGGGTGTGAAAGTGCGCTCCAACACACATCTTTTCGAATGTCCGTATTTTTCAACTGAAACAGAGCGCATCGCCCCTAGACCCTAACTATCCAACTGTGTGTAAGTACTGTAACACCTGATTGAGGTGTGTTTTCTCTCATATTTTTCATTTCGAAATGATCGATTCTCATGATTTACCTATCGAAACAATGTGGCAGAATTCAAATGAATTTGAACTGCTTGAAGTGTATTTTTGGTAAAGTTCAATGTTTCATTCCCATTCATTTGTTGTTATTGAAAAATTGTTAGTTACAATATTTATTTTCGATTTTTCAGGATTCTGATCTCTTTGTAATTTTTTATCAAAAGCCTCTATACTTAACGTTTGGAAGTTGTTGTTAACGCTTCCTTCAAGCACCACCATCTGAAGAAACTGTTACGATGGGCAATAACATTTTGAATTCTACAAGTGTATGAATTTTCGGGTTTTTCTGTTTTTTTTTAATTTTAATGAATAAATAATTCATTTTCATAAATAACTTATTTATTGAAAGCACATAAATTTATTAAAAAGTAAGTAAGTACCTGAGAATAGGCTCTTTGGAATGGTTAGTATTGGCAAAGTATCGAAATGAGGAAGTGATATGCCAAATATTATTTAAGAAGTATTGGGAAACCCGATTGATCGTCTAAAGCTTTGATAAAATAACAGTTCTGCTGATAGAAACTATAATTTGTTTGATGCATCAGTTGGAGTATATTTTGGTGGTTGAACATTTGGAAGAGAACTTATTTGATCATAAGAAGGAGGAGGTCCAATTGGTTGTTGATTTTGTTGTTGTTGTTGAGCTTGAGCTTGAGAAGCATTGATTTCAACACCACCAATCATTCCAGGATTGAAAATTGGAATTGTATCGAGACGAACAACTCCTTGTGGATATGCAGTTGCTGTTCTTCGAATACGATTATTTGTTAATAATCCATCTTCATTTGGTATTCCTGACTCCGCCTGAGAAAAAAATGATAGCTTGTTTTTCAAATAAATATTCAAAAGCTTACATTTCTTGTTCTTCTCGCTGTTGCCGCTGCTCTTCTTCTTTCATCTTCAAAAGAACATCTTCTGGATCTATTTCTTTTACAGCAATTCATATGGCAAATACAGAAAACACTAAATATCAATAAAATGAAACCACCGACAGACATTGGAAGTGAAGGAGTGTTGAAAACCTGTTATTTTGAATATAATTGGATATGATATGATATTAATTATCTCTTACCTCGCAAAATCGACCTTTATACATATATAAATGTGTACAATCGCATGCCCATGATTTTGTTTTATCGCCTTTCAAAATTCCACCATTTTCACATTTGGGATTTTCACAATGATTTCCTCCGATGTGAAGAGGACACCTAAATTTACAAAGACATTATAATTTTGCAAGTGTTGTTCTGAGTCGAGTCTATTCGAAATTGGAATAAAATTGAAAATTTAACCAGAATCAATATTACGAAATTTTCGAATTTGAAAAAATTGTCCAATAACACCTGATTTCAATGAAATTACTCACTTGCAAACAAAAACACCGTGATCTTTAACAATTGTTCCATTATTGATACATTGTCTTATTTCACATTCTTCTCCGCTAAAAAATTTTGGACAAAGACACGAATTATCCTCTAACAATTTGCCATGATTTTTGCACTTTTTACCGAATCCAAAATAAGTTGCTGTATTGTGAACAGTTTTGAGAAGCATGTCATGCAAACCTGTAAAAAGTATAATGTTGAATTTAAATTTCAAAAATTTGAGAAACTAAAAATACCTGGCTTGTCAGCATTTCCTTCTGCAAATGTTCGGTTACCCAAATTAGCATCCACGAATGTGATAATCCCAAATATCCAATAAACTAACAACATTCAGGCCTAGAAAACTTATTTAAATTCCAACAATGAAATTATTTAAATTATAGATATAAGTACGGTAATTTCAACCAGTTGAAAAATAATCGGAAATGAAAACGAGTTGCAAATTGAAAAATTATTTCAAGAAAAAAAATGTACACGAATTAATTAAAAATTACTTATAACATGGAGGGTCCCGTGACGAAATCAAGTTCTAAAAAAAACTGAAATACACATATTTTCCCGTATTTTGAAAAATTGAAAAAAATAGCTGGTATAGAAACGAAATGATTAGAAATATGATTAGATATTGAGAAACTAAGGAAGAAGTTTTGAATGCGATTCAGATTGTCGACGAAGTCGAGGAGAATCTTCAGCTTTCAAAAATTGTTGAGAAATTTTCAATTTTTGAGGTGAGTCAGTTGTAACAAGTGGACTGAGTAAAGAAGTTTGTTCATCGACTCGATTTTGTTCGCGAGTTGAAGAAAGAAATAGGCGAACTCCTGAAATAACATTATGTTAGAAAAAAGAGAAATATCGGCCGATTTCGAAATTAAACTAAAATTATGAAAAAATAGCTTCACTTTTATAGGCTTGCACTTAATTTATGCAAATAAATAACAAAAAATTGCTCATTGTTATTTTGTTTCAAATGCACTTCTATTATTATTTTGTCGAAACCTCATGCAATAACAATGAGGTTTTGTCAAAAAAAAAAAGAATATGATTGAAAAAAAGAAAATAAAAAGATTTGAGAAATGAATCATTGCAGCCGTTATCTTTTTGTTTTTTATTCCCATAAAAAATCAATAAAAACAAACCATCACTTCCTCCAAATTTATTTCGTCTTCTTTTCGAAGATGGATGATTTGGCATGATTTTCTGACCAAATTGATAAAATGATGCGATAACTCCACTTGGCGTATTACTATCCGGTTCTTCATCAAGAAATGTGTATTCAGAGGAAATGCTATAAAAATAGTTCATTGCTCATCTCGTAAAGTGCAACTGATAACGAGTATGTGACAAAAAGTAAACGTACATTTTCCAAAATTGGTCCAAAAGTGATCGAACTTCCATAACATGTTCTACATCAAATTTCTGAATTAATAATCATATAATGAACAATTTTAGGCATTTAAAATAAGTAAAACAAAATACCTCAGGTCTAAATCGAGCAGCTTCTTGGAGAAAAGAAATTCGATTCACAACATTCAATGGTAAAGATGGAACCTTTTCTCTGATTCTGAAAAAAAACGAGACTTCAAAACTTTCTAAAAAAATGGATTACCTTTTCAGATAAGAATAAGTTGATTCCTCTGGAAAACGATGAACAGCGCCTTCAATACGTTTCAATTGTCCATCTGGAAAATTCAAGAAAAAATAAATTAAGGCGATTAAAAACACACCAATTTCCAAAGTAACAGCATCAACTGCAATCATTCGATGAACATATGGTTTATCGCTATCTGTAATAGTAAATCTACGTGAAACATAGAAAGTGTAGACACGTGAACATGCATAAAACAAATGTGTTAAACAGAAAATAGGACAAATAGTTATTATTTCAAAAACTGGGTGCAACTCTACGATACAAAACAGAAAATGAATGTGACTGACGCGATTGAAGAGCGACACAATCTGTGAGGCGAGCTTGATTTTCTGAACGAAGTCGCATCACCATATTTAATTGATTTTCACGGCGATTAATTGCCCTACTACTTGATATTCGAGAAGATAACGCGATCTGAAATTCTATAATGAGAATATTCCAATTTTTACCCGAAAAATTGCTTTCATGTTTAGAAAACTTACTTGAGGTCTATTTCTAGCAACATTTTTTCTATGTCGAACAATTTGTCGTCTAACAAAAATCGCGGAACAAATTATAAACTGAAAATATAATTATTTTTGCATAAATCATAATTTTTAAAAATAAATAAACTCACCAAAAGTAATAAACCGCACCCATAAAATAATGTTATTTTATCTAATTCAAAAGATCTCGTCATGGCATTCTATGAAAATTAGAAATTCATTATATTTCTCTCACAATTAAATCGAAAATAAATAAAAAATCGATAGGTCACTCGGCCACGCCCACAATCATTCACATCGCAATGCCTGGCATGCTTGTTTTGTCAAACTGCCGCACGTTTTATTTATTGTTTATATATTTCCACACTTCTTTCTCAAACAGGCACACATGAGTTTTAACGATGTATATCACGGTGAGTTGATAATTTTTCATTTAAAAATGTTAAATATTCGTTTACAGATTATATTCAAGATATAACAATGAGTGTTGGAAGAAGGTTTATGCCGACAAAAGAAATATCAGTGGAAGATGTGATTTTACCGAGACAATTAGTTTTTGCTGAATTAGACTATAATTTTGAAGCTGAAAATCGAGCAAGAGAAGCTTTTGAAAACCATAACGAGAAACCACCTCCAGCGATTCCAAAACGAACAATGTCAAAGCCTTCAACACCTCTTCCAGAAAATGCCGAAACAAAAACAAGTTTGACTCAGGTGAATAATGAATATTTTGATTTTATTCATCTTTTGCTATTTCAGGAAGTTCTTGTTCCACAACCGCATCCAAGAAAAAGTGTATCTCCTTCTCAACAACAAACAAATCAAAACTCTTCTTCATCTCAAAATCCAACAACAAGTTCACATTCTTTTGTTGATTTTGAAGCACACTCTACAGTTTTTGATGATCTTGAATTATCAGCTCTTGATGAAAAGAAAGCACTTCAGGAGATATTAATGCCAACCAACAATAATGTTGTCAAATCTGAAACACCTCCTGTGCCTCCTAGAAAAATTTCTCAAAATGTTGTGTCAGGTTTGTTTATTGGATATTTTCTTTGTTTGTGGAACGATGATTCAAAACTATTCATTAGGTCGTTCTCGATGGTCTTCTTATCTAATTCTGTTGAAATATTTGGTGTTTGAGCATGTGATAATACTTTTATCACAAAACGATTGAAACAAAAAAAATAATGTTTAAACATTTCAGATTCGAACAAACAAGCAAATGGAACCAAACAAAAAGACGAAGATTTGAAAAATCGTTTACATGGAAAAGGTTATCGATCTGATATTATTGAATTATGCATACAAAAATTGCCACGAAATCGCTTTGTACATGTAAGCAAATATATTTTTGAGCATAACTTGGATGCCTTATATTTTCAGATTGAGTATTACATGAAAGCATGTAGAACAATCGAAAAAACTGGAAAATCATCTATAGAAGCTTCTTTGGACTTTTTGATCGATAGCCAAGTAACTGATAAACAGGTGAGTAAGAGGAATTAAAATCACATAAGGGTTTTTGAATTGGAATTCAATTTCTAAATTTTTATTTCTAGAAATTCGAAATCTTTCTGAAAAGTTTATTCTCGAGCAACTCTGCTATGACTCTTACGAAAAGTTAGAAGAAAACGTGAACTGTACATTAATGTATAGAACTTTAAACTGGAAAAATTCTATTCTTCATTCGGAAATTAATTTCTCAATTATTTGTTGAATTTTATAGATTTCTCTCACGTCCATAATTTTTTTTTTTAGTTTTCGAAAATGCATGGAAAAAACTCTTAAGTACGAATAATCTCCTCCCAGAACAAAATTTCAACTATTTAATTTTTTCAGCTCATCCTCAAATATTCGGAAACAAGTGCTCATTTACTAAAAATGGGTTTCACGGAAGAATGTTCATACCGTGTGACAATTGAAGAACAAGCCGATATGAAAAGAGCTGTGGATAAAGCATTATTGTCATGAATTTATCATCGCTTTGCCTTTTTTTCTAGGAATTTTTGAAAATTTTTGCAAGGATTGCCAAAAACATTCCTTCACGTAAATATACGAGCCCCACCCGATTGTGATATATTTTTTTCAGTTGTATTTTTTAAATAGCGCTTATTTTTCTTTGTAGAAATAAATTGTTTCTTTTTGTTCAATATAATTCGATTCTTTTCTCTCTTTTTTTCTTTTTCTTTTCTCCAGAATACAAATTGAATTGGCACCTTCAAGTACCGTATAATTGTGGTGTGCGATGGTGAATCGATGCATCATGCAGCTGTCTCTCAATCTCTTCCTCTCTCCACTTATTGTGTAGTCCTTTTTTTTTGACACACTAAACAACGCCTTGTCCACTATACATTCTCTTTGTTGGTTCTTTTTGGGTTTTTTACTGGTTAGCTGAATAGATTTCCATTTTTCCGTATTTCAGATTTAATTCATGTCAAAATGAGTAATTTGCTGATTATTTATGCCACTTTTATAACAATTGTTCATGGACTAATTAAACCAGGTAATTGTTTTTTTTTTCAAATATCGTTTTTTTAGCCAAAATAGTCAGAAACTACATTTCTGAAAATTAGAAATAAATTTACGAAAAAAAAAAAATTCCAACGTGAAACTTTGTATTTGCGGCCCATAAGATTAGTATTTCATTTTTGGAAAAAAATATTCAAAAAATCGGAAAAAAATTCTGGTTTTTTTCATTCTTTTGTTCTTTCGAGGAGTTTTTGTTCTGTTTTCAGAAACAAAAAATCTTTTTATAATTATTTTGAAAATATGACATTGAGGTTCAACTTTTTCTAACCTTCAAAAGGGTTTTTTTTTCGAAAAGAACTATGCATATTTTATTTATTTGTACAGTATCATTCGATCGCCGAAATGAGATTATCAAATGACAAAACAACAGTATGTTGTTAATATTAACAATCTTTTAGATAATTCGTTCCGCGATGCTTCGATTGGCGAATTTCGAGAATTATTGGTTGATTCGAAAGCTGGATCATTGTTTGTTGGATCAGAAGGAGCTATTTTTCGATTATGGGCATATAATGTAAATGACACTGGAGATAATGTGGTGAGTTAATCTAACTTTGAACGATTGAGAAGCCTAAATCTTACATTTCAGTTTGCAAAAAAGAAACTCGATTTGAGTGACTCAGAAGAATCTGAATGTAAATCAACAGCGAGTGATGAAAGACTATGCCGACCATCAACAAGATTTATGTCGTTCACAAATAATCAAGAATCTCTTTATATTTGCTCTTCTGTCGGAATGAGACCAGAAATTCGAGTTTTGGATGCATTATCTTTGCAAGATCAACAAGAACCAAGAACTGAAATTGGAATTTGTGTTGTTGATTCGACTTTTAATACAACTGCTGTCGTTGTTGGTTAGTTTTAAAACTGAAGAAAATATTTCAAATTTTTCAACTAAAAATATTTCAGAAAAAGGAAATCCTGAAGATGTTGTATCTGTTTATTCTGGTATTCGAACTGGAATGGGCGGTCAAAATCATTTGATTTATCGACCACCACTAACTAAATCTGGAAAACAATTACATTCAAGTATTCGAACAATATATCCAGATAATAAATGGTTCAATGGTAAGTAAACTAACATTTTTATGTGTTTATTTATTTCGAAAATTTTTTAGAACCTCAATTTGTTGGTTCATTCGATGTTGGACAATATGTTATGTTTTTCTTCCGCGAAATTGCTCATGATAATGCATTTGGAGAGAGAATTGTTCATAGTAGAGTTGCTCGAGTTTGTAAAAAAGATCTCGGAGGACGAAATGTTTTACGACAAGTTTGGACCAGTTTTGTCAAGGCTAGATTAAACTGTTCCGTATCAGCTAACTTCCCCTTTTATTTTGATCATATTCGTAAGTTAGAAAAATTGGAAAGAAATAGATTATCTTTATCTTTCAGAATCTGTTGAACGAGTCGATAAAAATGGAGAAACTTATTTTTACGGAACATTTAGCACATCAGAAACGGCTTTTACTTCTTCAGCAGTTTGCATGTTCCAATTATCTAGTATAAATCATGTAAGTTTTCTAGAATACAAAAGTAATACCAATCAAAACGTTATTTAATTTTAGCTTATGGATACTGGTTTGTTACTTGAAGAAACAGCAAATGGTTTGAGTACTGTAACATCAGATGATACACCATCTCACCGTCCTGGAACATGTACTTCGAACTCACATTCGATATCGGATAGTGATTTACACTTTGCCAAAACCCATCTTCTGTTAGCTGATGCTATTTCGGGTGGACAACCCATTCTTCCACTTCGTGATGTTGTTTATACACATCTCGCTGTTGATGTCTTACAAAATCAAAATATTCTATTTATTTTTGATTCATTGTGAGTTTTCAATTTTTTAAATAGAAATCCTGTCGAATTCTTATTTTCAGGCACAAAAAGATGTGGAAAGTTTCACACTGGAAAGAGGGAAATGAATGGAAATCAAACTTGATTGAACAACAAAACTTATACATCGATTCTAATATAAACGACGTGGCATTACTTCCTAATGAATTTTTCTTCGTTTCTTCGAAGTCAAAAATATCACAATTTTCGGTGTCTCGATGTGATTATTTCCCATCATGTGCTTTATGTTCACTTGATCCATACTGTAGTTGGAATGCTGTCAATTCAGTTTGTAAACAAAAACAGAAATCGCATGAAAAAAGTGTCGGGTAAGTTCTTGAGTTTTTGTTAATTGAAAACTTTTTCGAACTTTTTTTTTTGAAGATGGATTTCATCTTCATGGGCTGGTCATATTTCACCTGAATGTAGTGCGGTCGAAAAAATGACAATTCGCGATGTTTACCTTGGAGATGGTATCAAAATTGATGGAACAATGGATGGAATATGGCAAAAAGATGGAGAAACAATAGAAACTCACAAGAAAATGCATGTCACTAATTCTGGACAACTTATCATTTTGAATATTGAACCAAGTGATTCAGGAACATATGAATGTCTACGAAACAATGCAATTGTTGTGAGAACACGAGTTGTCGTGCACGGTTAGTAATGAAAATCAAAAATATTTAAAATAAAAAATGAATACATTTTAGAAAACTGTGCTCGTCCAACATCAGTTGCCGAATATAGATCATGTCAAAGAGAATGGTGTAAAAAATCGGATGCTTATAGAACTGCTCTCAACATTTGGGGAGAATCTAACAAGAAAAATGTACAATGTATGGCAAACGGTTCATCAATCAACTAATTGTCAAAGGGAAACAGTATTTTTAATCGATCTCATTTCACTTATAATTTCACGTGCATTTTAACTTTAACTTATTTCTGTATAAAACATTTCTGATACTATTTCTAGATAAGTGTTCGAACATTCACAGGTTCACAGGTCCGAACGTTCTTCACAGGTCCGCAAACAAAAAGACGCCTTCTAGAACTTCTAGCAGAATTCTGTTTTTTTTTTTGAAACGGGAAAAATTTCTGATAATTATGACTACGGTAAGCAAGTGTGCACACACCGTGTGTTTTTCTCTGCGTACACGACATCCAACTCCACGCGCATTTTCAAAATTGATTTTCAAGTTTCTTTTTTTCTTTTCTCTCACGTTTTCACAAAAGTTTCACATTGTTCTGTTTGGTTACTTGACATATGTTCGGGAAGCGTTTATTTTCTCACCATTCCGATAAGTTTTGATCTCGTACATTTTGAAAAATTCGACAATAAAATGTAATTTGGGAAACATTAAAAATTCGAAAATTTACGAATTAGGCTACGAATTTTAAACTTATATTTGTATTTAGTATCTATCATGGTTTTGTTTTTATATCGAAAACTGCAAAAAAATGCTGTGTCTTTAGTTTACACTCGTTGTCACACCTTTTTATTGCGCAAGACCAGCGTCCCACTGCTGCTGTATTCCAAATCCATTCAAGTATTCAACATGAAATATTTGGAGAATTCTGGTATGGAAGCGCTTTCTTCATCAATAAGTATTGGTGCAATCGATTGTATAATGGATTTTAAGTGAGTTTGGTACATTTTTCAAAAACACTTCAGTTTCTAATTTTAGAGTAGAGACATACTCTTGTAAAATGATATCAAGCGACAAGAAACAATGGAAAACTCATGATAAAAACGTTCCGTGGGGCGAAAGACAGCCTCTTTCACCGCCGGATGACTTTGCCAGTTTGAGTGCTTCGCCAGTCGCCAATACAATTGGACACGCGGCACGTTTGAGACATTTATCATCTTGCTCTGGCTCTGACAACGATTTCGAAGAAATCAATTATGTTGATTCAGTTTCGAGAAAAACGTTGTACGATTTAATAAGAGTTCTCAATTCTTCATTCCCTGATTACGATTTCACTGATGTCAAAAGCGAATCATTTTCTTTGGTGAACTTTGATGTAAGTTAGATATTTGACATTTTAAAGCTTATGACATTCAAACTCACACTAATAATCTTCAGGATGTTAATGATTTCGTCGATGCAAAATTGTCATCCTGCATTCATAATTACAAAGTTCGCAGAGAAGAACTGTGGTCTGTTGTCGAAGAAGCGATTGTGCCGGCTGATTGCCGGATATACAGTTTCAAATCTCAATACAATGATGATCCATTCTCAGAAGATGGTTGTATGTGGAGTTTGGCATTCATTTTCTACAACAAAAATCTGAAAAGATTCATGATTTTAACGTGTCGTTGTCTTTCGAAACAAACCGAACTCGATTCTTTTGATCATTTCAGCGACGAAGAAAACGAAGTCGAAAATCAATAAATATGTGTAGAATTGGCTCTTTTTATGTGTAGAATCGGTCTCACTTAATGTTTTAATCAATGTCTAGATTTTGTATCTCTTGCCGGCAAGCATATTTTTGTAAATAGTCTTTTGACTCACGACCATTTAGCCTCCCCTCTTCTTCTTTTTTCTCTTGTACAAATATTATTGTCTGCATTTTTGAAATAGCTGCTAAGTAGTCTTCAGGTGTTTCCGGATAGTAATAAATTCAAAATGTTTTAATTTTTGTTTCTATTTTCATATTAATCAACGAGAGTTCACGCCTCCTTCAATATATTTCAATGTTTTTATTGAAAAAAAATTCAATTAGATTTTCAGTGAAATTATGACGACATCAATGATTGAAGATAGAAAAGAAATTGAAAGAAGAAAGTTTGAATATTTAGATCATCCAGCTGATATTCAAATACATTCATGGGGAGATAATTTGGAAGAAGTGAGTTAACTCCTTTCAAAATTGAAAAAATGGTAAGATTTTCAGGCTTTTGAAACATGTCTCACTGCGATGTTTGGTTATATGACAGATCTTGCAACAGTTGAAGAAGAATATGAATATTATTGGAATGTTAAAGGAGATGATCTGAATAATTTATTATTTATGCTCCTTGATGATGCTCTAAACACATTCCATGCCGAACCAATGTTTGTCGCAAAACGAGTTCAAGTTGTTAATTTCGATAGAGACAATTTAACGGTTAGTGTCTTCAAAACATTTAGTATTTAGAAAATATTTTTAATTACAGCTTGAGGTTAAAGGAATCGGAGAATCCTTTAATCTAACCAAACATCCAACTGAAGCTGATATAAAATCTCCGACTTATTCAAACATGCAAATCAATGAAATTGATGGCCGTTGTGATATTTTTTGTATCGTCGACATTTGATTTTCATCATTTTTTTCTTTTTCTTATTCTTATTCTTCTTACTTTGCTCGCTTTTCTTGCTCAGACGGTTATCATAAATTCACTTCGGTTTTTCAGAACAAACAATGGGAATCGATGTCAAGAAGAAGGTGCTTAAACGCAAATTGAAACAAATGAAAGAAGGACATCAGAAGAAAACGAAGAAAATTGTAGAAGAAGAAGTTTTGAAAGAGGAAGACAGTGATATCGAAGAAGATGAGGTAATTATTTTTAACCACATTCATATTCAAAAAATTGAATGTTTTAGGTCGAAACAAGTGAAGCTCCAAAAATTAATGAAGATTCGACAAAAGTTTCTGATTTCTTAACACAAACAACATTTGCTTCGCTTTCTGGAAAAATAAGCACTTCTCTTTTGAATTCTGTCGAGAAAATGGGATTCAAAACAATGACTGAAATTCAAGCAAAAAGTATTGATCCACTTTTGGAAGGAAAAGATGTTCTAGCATCAGCTAAAACAGGATCAGGTAAAACTTTGGCATTTTTGTTGCCAGCTATCGAATTGTTGCACAAACTTGGATGGAAACAACACAATGGAACTGGTGTTATTATTGTATCACCAACTAGAGAATTATCAATGCAAACTTATGGAGTTTTATCGGAATTATTGGATGGGTCAAATCTTTCATATGGTTTAGTAATGGGAGGATCAAATAGAAGTGCTGAAAAAGATAAATTAGCCAAGGTAATTTTTTGTAATTCATGAAGTTTGAGGAATTAATTTTAATTTTTCAGGGTGTTTCGATTCTTGTTGCAACTCCAGGTCGTCTTTTGGATCATCTTCAAAACACTGACAATTTCCTTGTTCGAAATTTGAAATGTCTTGTTATCGATGAAGCTGATCGTATTCTTGATATTGGATTCGAAATCGAAATGCAACAAATTTTGAGACATCTTCCAAAACAAAGACAATCTATGCTTTTCTCTGCAACACATTCACCAAAAGTTGATGAATTGGTTAAACTTGCATTGCATTCAAATCCTGTTAAAGTATCGGTTAATGAAAAAGCTGAAGAAGCAACTGTGGAAGGATTGCAACAAGGATATGTTGTAACACCATCTGAGAAAAGATTATTGTTATTGTTTACATTTTTGAAGAAAAATAAAACAAAAAAGGTGATCATTTTGTATTTACTAATTGTTTTTAATTAATTAAGTGTTTTCAGGTTATGGTGTTCTTTTCATCTTGTAATTCAGTCAAATTCCATCACGAATTATTGAATTATATTGATATTCCATGTATGTCAATTCATGGAAAACAAAAACAACAAAAAAGAACAACAACATTTTTCCAATTTTGTCAAGCTGAAAGTGGAATTCTTCTTTGTACTGATGTTGCTGCAAGAGGTTTAGATATTCCAGCTGTTGATTGGATTGTTCAATTTGATCCAACTGATGAACCAAGAGAATATATTCATCGAGTTGGTCGAACTGCAAGAGGAGCTGATGGAAGGTTCATTTTTAAACTGAATTTTTGAAGAAAAAAAATGTATTTTTTTTTCAGAGGAAAAGCATTATTGATTCTTCGACCTGAGGAACTCGGATTCTTGAGATATCTCAAAGCAGCTAAAGTAACACTGAACGAATTCGAATTCTCGTGGGCCAAGGTAATTCTTTCTGTATGCATTTTTTCAAATTAACTTCTGAATTTTTTAGGTTGCCAACATTCAATCGCAACTCGAAAATTTGATTGCTAAAAATTATTATTTGAACAAATCAGCAAAAGAAGCATACAAATGTTATTTGAGAGCTTATGATTCACACTCTTTGAAAGTAAGTTTTTATTTTTTTCCCAAGATTTGCTGTTTTTTGTTTTCAATTTTAATTGTTTGATCTCGTTAGAATTTCTCGGGTCTCAAGGGTCTCTTCTAGTCAAATTCCGATAAATTATCGTATCCGCATGACAAAGTGCAATACTCTCAAAGAATTCTTGTTTGAAACATCATAATTTTCTGCAAAAAAAGGTCGAGTGTCAATTTCCGGAAATTGACTATAATCTGGCTACAAGTTTTCTAAGTGTTATGTTATTGTTGTTGTTTTTTAGGACCAATTGAGACAAATTTACCTGTTTTTCAATTTCTAAAAAATATGAAATTCGATTAAAAATTAAAACTAGAAAAGTTCAATTATTTTCAGGATATTTTCGATGTGACAAACATGGATCTAACAGCTGTTGCAAAATCATTCGGTTTCACTGTTCCACCATTTGTTGATCTCCCAATTAGTAACAAACCAAAAGTTGAAGTTCGCTCAAAATTGTCTGGTGCCGGATATCGAAAGAAGAAACAAGCGTTCACTTTTAAAACTAAAAAATAACTTCTTTTTTTTTCAAACTTTGTTTTTGTTGAGTTTTGGTTGATTTTATTCTGTTGTTGTTTCATTTTTTTGTTTCAAATTATTTCAATAAAAAGGATTTTTCGTCTCGGCTTCATTTGCATATTACACATACATTCATTTATCTTTTTTAGTGTAACTCCCGTATTTCTACCGTCACACCACAATATCTCCAATATATATGTTATGTATATATTTTTATCTTTCGCCATCTTTTTTTTAATGAATTCCAGTTCCAATGTTCTTATAAACTCCGCCCCATTTTTCTTTTGGGCGGGAAACATTTTTTGGTAATGAAATAAAATATACCTTGGAGACATTACGTTTTCAAGAAAAAATTTCAAAAAAAAAATGAAAAGTTTAATTTATTTTTCATTTTGTTTTTCATTTATTAATTCAATTCCTATTCCAAATGGTTTAATCGGTTAGTTTAAATTCATTTTTTTCAAAAATAATTTATGTTGGAAAATTTTGAGAAAAAACATCTGAAAATTTCTGATTGAGAAAATATCAAAGTAGTAACTTTTCAATTTTTCTCTGAAATAATCTTTTATACAATTTTTCTACCAATAAAATTTCAAAAAAAAATTCAGATAAATAAAATAATTTCACTTACAGAAACAAAATTTCCAGGGTTACTGTAACTCAGAAGAATTCGGAACTTTTGGTTACTGTAATTAGTTTCAGAGACAAAATATTTTGAATTCGAAAAATTTATGTCGAAAATCACAAATTTTCGGAATTTTTAAAAACCTCGATAAGATTCAAAGTATCAGAAAATCATAAAGTAAAAGATTTGTTTAAATTTATTTTTGTAAATCTGTGATCCACATTTATATTTTTCATTTTTATTTTGAGCTCTAATTAAAAATTTTTTGTGGATCAAGTTTTGATATTGAAAAAAAAAACCAGATTGAGAAAAGTTTACTCTAGTTTCAAGTGATTTTTTCCCTTCTCGAGAAAAAAAGAATTCTCTTAAAATTTTCAAGCTCACAAATTTAATTTTCTTTTCCTCTCTTGAAAACAGTCAAATCAATATTCCCCTGCTAAAACCAAAAAAACGAAAGTATAACAAAAGGAGTAGATATTATGTAATTTATAGATCAATGGCAGATTAATCGAAAAAAAAAAGAGAATCATACAAATAAAAACATAATAATAATAAGAAGAAAAAAGAACAAGTTTACTAATATATCTCTTTTATTTTGAAAAAAAATGAAATCTTTTGAAGGGATATTTTTAGGTTGAAAAATTCGAAAAAAAATTGATTTTTCAGGAAATGTCGAAGTTGAATGTAGCGATACAACAATTGAAGCTGTATTTCTGACAGAAGCACCATTTTTGGGTCGAGTTTTTGTATTGGGACATTCAACTGATCCAGAATGTGTTTCACATGAAACTGGAAGAAGAACAACATCGATTACTGTACCAAGAGATAAATGTGGAGTTGAAACTGTTAAACATGTTAGTTTCATTTTTATTTTGTTCGAAAAAATGATTTTTCAATTTTTGCAGGCAAATGGTGTTGGATATACATCATCTGTTAATATTGTTATATCATTCCATGACAAATTTTTAACAAAAGTTGATCGAGCTTATAATATAACTTGTCTTTTTGCACCAACTGGAGATGTTGTATCATATGCATTAACTGTTGAACCATCGGTTAGTCAAAAACTGTTTTTTTTTTGGAAAAATACTTCGTTTCAGATTTTGAAAGACATTCAAGTTTTGGCTGATCAACCAACTTGTGAATACGAAGTTTTTGATGTTCGAACTCGTCGACCTGCCGATGTTGTTCATGTAAATGCACCTTTAGAACATGTTTGGACTTGTGATGGAGCAAATTTAGATTTATTCTGTATGCGAGTACACGATTGTATTATAAATGAGGGAAAATCTCGAAGAAAATCAAAAATTATTGATTCAAATGGGTGAGTTTTTTTTTATGTGGAAAATTCGGAATTCAAAAAAATTTAGATGAATTCCGAATCAATTTTTAGAAAAAGACATTTGTAGACAATTTCCACCAGCCATCTGTATTACTGTGGAAAACTGACAAATTTAATTTTTTTCAAACACATTTTATTTTCAGATGTTCTTTGGATACTTCAAGACTTCCTAATTTGGTATATGATAATTCAAAACTTTCTGCTCGAGTTATGTCGAAAGCTTTTCGATTTGGAAATGATGTTGCAGTTGAATTTGAATGTAATGTTCAATTAGATCTACGAAATGGAACATCTTGTCCTCGTCCGCGATGCTAAAGATTCATTATCTAAAAATTTGTTATTTATTTTTATTGTTGTACATAAAATTTTCGAATGTTATAATTTTCAAACATAATAAAATGAAGTTGTATTCCAATAAATAAAATAATGGGTAATTTTTGGAATCTGGTTTTATTTTCAAATTTTAATCCTTTCTGTCCAAAAATACTATTTTCCCATACAGATTTTTGTTTTATTTGTATGTCTTTTTCTCGACGAGTTTTTGTGCAATGAGAAAACAAAACAAATAAGTATTTACCTTTGTCTCTCGAAATAAAGTATATTTTTTGGGGCTATTTTATTTATTTGTTATGGCCCAAAGTCGACAGAAATATACTTATTATTAACTTTGCTTTCTATTTTCGTGTTTTTTTTTGGAATAAAAAACTTTCTTATGTTGAATTATTTTGACAGATGTCAGAGCACAAAGGCGAACAAGAAATGTATTATCCGCAAGAGTTCAAAATTGGCAGGAAAATGGTGCCAATACACACTTGTTATTCAGCAACTCTTCCTGGTATGACTAAAGTTATATCAATTGTAAGTTGCTACAGTAATCCTTTCCAATATACTTATTGGATTAAGAAAACATATAGGAATTTTCTTAGAAATTTTTTGATTCTATAAGAACTTGATTTCAAACGTGTTCCCGCGTAATTAAGTTCTATGTTTTCAAAAAAGTTCATTTCTGAAAATAAATATTCCACTTTTCAGGCTGTATTATTTTGCACAATCGTTTTGATTTATGCTTGTCATCCAATTGGAGATGAACGTGGTCCAGCTATATTTTCCTGTTTTGTTGGAATTATTGGATCATTCGCGATTTTACTTTGCTACACATTTTTATTTCAGCACAAACTACCTCGTCTACTTTACTGTGCGTAAGATTAAACTTTTCAGCTATCGAATTTTAAAATTGGGTTTATTCTTACGCACAGTTTTCAGATACTACAGTAAGTTAACAACTACATCCAATTTTTGAACATTTAAAGATTTTAAATTTTTTAGGAGTCGGTTTTCTATGGTATTATGGCTTGCCTTTTATTCGTTTCGGCATTGCTTTTAATTGTTTTCAATGCTAGATATTGGTCACATAATAATCCAGATTGGGCAGTTATGCCTGCATTAGCAGCTGTTAGTTTTCCAAAATTACAATTTTTAATCAAATTATTTTCATAATTTCAGGCATCTTTATTGGTTGGAGCAATTTTATACGTCTTTGAACTTTATGTTCTCTTCAGCAATTACCGAAAAGATTCATGGGAACCCGAAGAAAATTTCATCATAACACCAAAACGATCTGTTTTACCAAATTAGTACTCTCAAAAATAGAACATCTGTCGAGTTTTAATAAATACTTGTATATTGATTCGCGTTGAATGAAAAGTGCAAAAAAAGAGATATGTGTGCACCACAGTGAAGCAAAGAGAGTCAGACGAAAAAGTAAAGGGACATGTATTTGTTTGTTTGCGATATCTTGTGCCGATTAGCTGCGTCTCACCCCCGCCACTATTGGATTTTGTTTTTTGGACGCTGTTCCCGCGTTCCGTTTGAATTTTCAACATTTTAATCATCTTCAAATCCTTTTTCCGAATGTTTTTTTCAATGTTTATTTTCTTCAGATATCGCGGAAAGCGAACTGAAACCTCTTTTATGATTTTTTCATGTTCTGATAGGTTTTTTGGGCCCGTATAATTAAGATTTTGCAGCCTTCGCCATGAGTGAAGTTGAAGTGAAAATCGAAGAAACTCAAAATGGAGAAAACGGACAAACCGAGACGCCAGCTGAGGAAACAACTGAAGCACCAGCGGAAGAACCAGCGGCACAAGAAGAACCACACGTAAGTTTTCAATTTTAAGTTTTTATATAATCTTTTGCATTTCAGAAATACGCTGACAATGCTGAATATCAAAAATTGATTGGTTTGAAAATGAAACAACCAGTTGCTGAATTGGTTGTTGAAATTTACGAATCTGGGCTTCTTACACCTGAAGATTTGGATGAACGAGCAGTTGAAATTATAAACACCATCACAGCCGAGCAAGCGAAATTTATTTTCAACGAAATTCAATCTTCTCAACTTTTCGGTGTTTTAACAAAGTCTTTATACGTTACTTCTCTTATCCGATCATTCAAAGACCGGATTAGACAACAAGGTGCAGCCAATGTTCTCAAGGGTAAACTTATCAATGGACCTGAACCAAGTGTTGTTCAAGCCATTTTGGATCGCACTAATTATCCATTCGAAGTTACTATCGGACAAAGAAAGTATGGTGGTCCATGTGCTGATTGGGATGGACCAGCTACTGGACCAGCTGGACAAGGACATGAAGTATATGTTGGTCATATTCCAAATGATATTTATGAAGATACCCTTATTCCATTATTCGAACAATGTGGTAAACTTTGGGATCTTCGCTTAATGATGGATCCTGTATCCGGAACTACACGTGGATATGCCTTCGTTACTTATTGTTCTAAAGAAGATGCTGCTAACGCTGCAAAAACGGTAGGTTTAGTTCGGGGGTAGTGTTAACAGATTGTGTCACGATGCATTTTGAAACACCCTTTTGAATTATGGCTAAAATTTTAAATTTTCGCGAAATTTAGTATGACGGCCACGAAATTACTCCTGGAAAACCATTGAAAGTGAACGTCTCTATCGCAAACACTCGCCTATTTCTTGGTAATATTCCGAAGACCAAAACTAAAGAGGAAATTTTCGAAGAACTCAAAACTCACACAGGTACATAATTTTGGAAACTTTCGATATATTATATATATTTTTTCAATTCGAGATTTGTTCATTTGAAGCGAATTTTGTTGCGAAGCATGTGATGTGTCCTCGTTTCTATTTTTCGTATCTAAAATTTGAAAAATTACAGATGGAGCTACGGATGTTATCGTATATTCCGTAACGGACAATGACAAGATTAAAAATCGTGGATTCTGCTTCGTCGATTTCATTGATCACAAAACAGCATCCGATGTGAAAAGAAAAATCACTCAACACAAGGTATGATATATATTTCTGATCCATTTAATCATGTTGTTTTTTTTCAGATCAAACCATTCAATGTTGATGTTTTTGTTGATTGGGCTGAACAACAAGAAGAACCTGATGATGAAACAATGTCAAAAGTTAAAGTTTTGTATGTTCGAAATGTAAAGGAATCGATCACTGAAGAAAAACTGACAGAGTTATTCAAAGAGTTCGGAGAATTAGAACGAGTGAAGAAAGTCAAAGATTATGCTTTTATTCATTTCAATGAACGTGAAAACTGTATGAAAGCTTTGGAAGAATGGAATGGAAAAGAACTCGAAGGAATCACCGTTGAAGCATCTTTAGCTAAACCACCACAAGAGAAGAAAAAGAAGCCATCATATAACCAACGTGGAAATAGAGGTGGACCTAATCAAGGTGGATTCAATAATCAACAAGGATGGGGACAACAACGTGGAGGTCGCGGAGGTAATAACAATGGAGGTGGACACTTCGGCGGCCATCAAGGATATTATCCAAATGGATACGAAATGGCTGCTATGGCTTGGGGAGGAGGTTACGGTGATATGTATGGAGGATACGGAGCTGGCTACGGATATGGCGACTTCGGTGGAAACGGTGGATATGGTGGATATGGAGGGTTCGGCGGGGGTGCTCCAGGAGGATTCCGAGGCGGACGTGGTGGTCCAGTACCAAGAGGTCGAGGCGGAGCACGTGGAAGTGGAACACCGTAAGTTCGTCCTCTAGAAATTTGATACTAACATGATTAATTAAAATAAAACTAACTTTGATATTTTAGAAATCGACGTGGACGTGGAAAGCGACCAGGAGATGGACGTGGTGGGCCAGCATCAAAAAGAGATAGTGGAAGACCAGATTATTCAGCTGACGTAAATATGAGCAGTTTTTAAATGGCTTTCTTTCATTCTCAAAATTTTGAAAGAATCCAAACAAAAACTTTTTCAACCTTCCAACGACCTCATAATTTCTGATGCTCTGTCACTGTTTTATTCTCTCTTATACGAAAAGTATAACTGTTTTCTTGTTGATGCGTATCTCTTATTCGCAAGTCTTTGTGGCGAATATAATTTTCTATTGAGACGCGAATCTTCTTTTACTTCTTAATTTATCTCTTTCGAAAAAATATTTTTAATTTCCACCTTCAAAAACCCGTTTAAAAATGTTCCCAATGGGTAACTGAACTATTTTTTTGTTACTTTTGTAAATTTTTCAAATAATAAATTTCAATTTTGAAACCACCATTTTGTTTGTTGATTCAAAAAAGCTGAAAGTTGGTTGAAATTTCCAATAAAACATTTGAAAAAAAATAGATTCTGAAGTGGAATTCATAATTTTGAACTCAAGATTAGGTATTTGTGACGCTGATAAATATAATATCTACAGATCGATCAACCAGCTGGATAAATGAGAAGAAATGCGAGAATAGAAGATATCAAACGGTGCTTATTCAATGATTGAATGTATTGTTTTAGTGATATATTTTTTCAGACAAAGCACAATTACAATTGAATCGTGGAATACTGAAACCAATACTTCAACAACAAGGTTTGACTTCTTTCTTTCTATTCTATATTTCTCTCTTCAATTCTGTTGACAGAAAATTAATTTCATTTCGACACTGCTGAACAAAAAAGAAAAAAGCGAAAAAAACTTAATTTATAGTCAACATCATTTCGTTTTATGTTCGTGGAGATTTCAAAAATAAGCCTGTCTCATTTCTCAAACGAAAATTTTTCCCCCAAAAACAGGTGTATTCTATGTTCGAAATTTTCTCGAAAAGCAGGTGATCTATTTTTTTTTATAAATATACTTTTACTTTTACTTCTGGGGAAGGTTTTCCAATATAAAATTCATTAAATATTATTTTATTTGAAATAATAAAAAACTAAACGTGAATTGACGTGGAATTTCAAAAATCATTGGAAGACGTGTCATCCACGTTTCTACCGCCCATTTTTTGCACTGCCTGAAACATGTTTTGATCTTTTCGCTCTGTAGTTTTGATTGATCAAAAAAGAAGAGAAGAAGAAGATTGTCATCGTCTTCTTCTTTATATTTTTCCTTTTTTATGATACAACATTGATAATAACCAAGAAGTGAAGAAAGAAGTATATGTTATTTCTATTATTCATCAAAGATTTATAAGGATGATATTCAGTGTTACGCCTTCAACAACTTCCACAATATTGACTTCAAATGCAGTTATTCCGATCGCACATCGTTTGGTGACAGTAAAAGGTCCTTATATTGGTTTCAAAAAATGTTGTGAATGTCGAAAATATTTGATTTATTATACCATGAAAAAAGAGGATATTTATGTTTGCCAAGTTTGTGGGTAAGTTAAATTTAAAAAAAAGAAAATGTATTTGAATACCGTATTCCTAGTTTGTAGTTTGTCTGAATCTGAAAATTTTACTATGTTTTTTGCAGTGACGAATAATATTTCTCATTTCAATTTTCACATTCGCAATAATTAATTGAAAAAAAAACCTATTGCCACGTCTTAGTTCACGTGTAATAAAAAATTGTTTGCAGTGTTCGTGTTCATGGCGGTTGTGTTGATCGAATTACTAATAATTGTGTTATGACCTCTCAATATGTTGGAGGTTTAGTTCAAAATGCTATCATTAGAAAGAATAAGGTATTTTATATTTCGAATTTCCAAAATCAAATAATATTTTTATTTTTCCAGACAAAATGGGATCCAACATGTCATACAGCACCTTGTTCGTCTCCATCTTCTCCTTTGTCGCCAGCTTCATTATGTTAGTTTATTTTATAACATGTAGACAAAAATACAATTGAATTGTTTTGCAGTAAATGTAAATAGTAGTCCGAAATATAAATTCGATGAAGAAGATGACGAGGAAAGACAAATGACATGGGAAGATGTGACTATTAAACAAAAAGATGTTATTATTAAAGGAAGAATTGGTGAAGGTAGATTTGGTGTTGTTCATTTCGGTGTTTATCATGGCGATGCGGCTATTAAATTTGTGAATATGAATTATGTTGAAGAAGAAAGTCGAAATGAAACATTCAAATCAGAAGTTGTTGCCGCATATAAGGTTTTTTTTCTTTTTTGATTCATAATCTGAATGTTTTTTGTGTTCAGAATTCCCGACATGATCACATTGCTCTATTCCTTGGTTATTTCTCAAATCCAATAACTAATACATTTGCAATTGTAACAAATTATTATCACGGAGATACTTTATTTAATCGATTACACGAATCAAATGAAGAAATTGAGATGAATTGGATTTTCAATATTTCTCTACAAATTTGTCAAGCAATGTCATATTTGCACACAAAAAACATTCTTCACAAAGATTTGCGAACCAAAAAATATAATGCTCGATAAATTCAACAAAGTTTTTGTGGCAGATTTTGGATTGTTGAGAATGGAAAGATTGGTTGTACCAAAAAGAAATTATTCCTTGATTATTCCAAGTCATTGGATTGATTATATTCCACCTGAAATTGCACGACAACTTTTTATCAAAAATGATAATTTCTGTAATGATTTGGAATTTTCGTGTGATTCTGATGTCTATTCTTTCGGGTTAGTTTTTGATTAATCTAGTTTTTGAAATGAAAAGAAATTAATTTACAGAACTGTATTCTACGAACTATTAACACGTAAAATGCCAACTCAAAATGAACCATGGGAGAAGAAATTATATGATAAATTGTGTGGAACAAAAGCAGCATTAAATCGAAAAGATAGTTCATCTTCTGCATCTTTTCTATGTTCTTCTCATTTGTCACTTCGTGTTGATGTTCGAGTTTCGCAGGTAACATACATTTATTTGACCTTGAACAAAGTGCAAAAAACTATTTAGTAACAGACTTCAAGAACTTTCTAGATTTGGTTTTTCAAAATTAAAGTGTAAAACTAAAATCAAAGAGAGTTCTCGAATAAGTTTAGACTGAAAAGGTGTTTTTATCCGAAAGTCGATGAATGAAGTTCCAAATTTCTACAAATCGCATGGTCCAAAAATTTTGAAACTATGTTTCTCGAGTTACATACATCTTTGTGTAAACTCTCTTTTCAGTTATATAATTTCCCCCTATTCCTCATTTAATAAACGCTGATATTTTCAGCTTCTGATGAGTTGTTGGAATTATGAAGCATCAAATCGGCCGTCATTCCAAAATATTGTTAAATCGATCACTTCATTGATGAAAAGAAGAGACAGCAGTAATCGAAATTCGATTCGATGTTTCGAATCAGCATTTTAACCAACCCATTTATAACCATAAAAACTAGTCCGAAAATACCGGTCTATTTACATTTCAAAACTTTTTATCTGCAATGTATATTTTTTCAAATTTACTAAATTAATTCTTAATTGTAATATATCAAATTTTCCACTACCAGGTCCCAATTAGGTTCCTTTTTATATTTATTTATCTGCTTTTCCCCTGAATATGGGTCCGTTTTACGAGTTTTACTTCTTTTTACAGTGAATAAAATAAATGAATATTCCACAATGTTTTTTGGTTGGGCGACGCAACAAATTTGTGATGAAAACTGAGAAAACAAACCTTTTTTGTGATTTTTTCAAAGCTTTTTCTTATGTGGTTCTTCGAAAATGTTCAAAAAATGAAGAACTGCAGAAAAAACATCACAAGTTCGAAAAATTTAAGTATAAAGTGAGTTTGAAAAAAAGGAATTGTTAATATTAAATAATATTTAGATATGTACTGATTCGGAATTCATAAAACATGTCGAAGAATGTTGTGAAAAAGCAAAATGGCATGTTATTTATGGAATGTTAGCTATATTTGAAGTTTGTATGATAAAATCGAATGAAGAACAAATTGTATCATTTCGAATTGCTATTAGTTATAATGAAAGGTTTGTTCGAGAAATACATGTAAATTGAATTTGTTTTTTTTCAGTGAAGAGCAAGATGAGAGATTAAAAATGTGCAGAGTTTTGGAATCGATCGAAAATTTCGAATTACCACAAGAAACTAAAATTCGATTGAATACTTCAAGTAAGATTTGAAAAAAATTTGTGATCTACCGCAAAAATTTGAGGTCTAGTGACACTGTAAGATTTAAATTGTCGACTGTGAGATAAACATTAAAATTCCTCAGCTTTTTCAATAATTGAAAAAAATGAAATTGAACCAAGTTCAGTTTTCCTGTATTGTTAAATTCAGCAAACGGGTGCAACTTAGGAATGCAAATTTCAATATTTCGCTACAGTAATCAAATGTTTTTATCCCTGGAATTTGTGTACTGTATTTAGTTTGGCATTTTCTTCCATAAACACAACTATTTCAGAATTTCGACCTCGTATTCGTTTACTCACAAAACATTCAACCGAATCATCAGAATTCGATTATTCAGATCTTATTTCCAATATTTCTATACCACTAACTGATTCTTTCTTTACTAGTAAAACAAAACTTTCCTTTTTTGTATGTAATTAGCCAATTCACTCACATTATTTTACTAACTCAAATTGTTTTTTTCTGTAAATATTATTGCATTTTTTCGATGTAAATAAAAATAAACACATTTTTGGATCTTGAAATTTTTATATTTCTTTTTTGATCTTCTATTGATCCATTTAAAAAAAAAAACAAAAAGTTTTGGGGCGATTTCAGATAAAAAAGCAAACCCGAGAAGATGGAATATGGGGAGAGCAAAAAACTAAAATCTCAGTGATTTTTGGGAAAATGTTACAAAATAATGAAAATAACAACAAGATAATAATTAAAACATGGATTGATGATAAGAAAAAAACAGAGATCCCTTGACTACTTTCACAAATTGTACCAAAAACAGGCACCTACCGGACCATAAGGCAAAAAATGTGATTGATTCGAAATAATAAGTCTAGTGGACTAGAAGTATATTTTGATTGTCACATTTTACAAAGATAGAATTGGAGAAAAATGGGGATACAATAGATCACAAAAATAATACGCCGTGCAAAAAAGAAGCGAATAGGTTTCGAAATCCACACAAAATGGAGATCGGACCCGTCGACTTCTTCAAAATACAAACATACTTAAAGGCATGATAGTCACTGGAAAACATAAGACAAATTAAAGAAAATGGGTGACCAAAGTTTGCAAAAAAAAATAGGGTAGAGACTATTCGACTATCAGTATTAGTAGTATATATGCACATATATTATATATGACAAGAAGTATGAGGAAAATTTAAAAAAAAACAGAGAGAAACAGAGGAAAACTTGATAAATGTAACCCTTTCTGAAAATAACAATGGGACAATAAAATAAGTTCCAGAACATCAAAAACCGTTTCGACAAACAAAAATACCTTTCATAGTAAAATGGACCCGAAACTCGGTTTCAGGACATTTTAAATGAAAGCTTTTTGTTTCAGAATACGTTTTTGACGTTTCAAATCTTCGCAAATCATCCCATAAATATTTTCAGAAGTTAAAAGGGCTATCAGAATCAAGAATTACAGAAAAGGGTCCGCTTACATTTTCAGATAAACATTTAAAAAATAGAAAAGTGTCCCCGGATAAAAAATAATTTTAAAGGGAAAACACACAGAAAAAATGAGAAGAAAAGTTGGCAGGCTGAAAATGAGGAAAACCATATGTACAGGAAAATCATCACGGGGTGCAGCACAACTTGCTGAAAATGTAATTGGACTGGAAAAAAAGAGCGATGGGGAGAAGAGATGATTACAATAGAACAAGAAAAAAACCCGATATCTCGACACGAAATAGGATTGATTTTAGGCTGGGGAAAAGGGGGGGGGGACAAAAAAAAGAGAGGTAAATTAGAGAATTTTTGTACAGATTCTTTAAAGTTTCTCCTTTTTAATATAAAAAAATTGTGGGAAAACGGGACGAGTATTAATTAAGGAATGTGTTTGAAAAAGAGATATAAGAGAGTAAATGTTGAGGAGGATAAAATAAGAAGTAAGTAGAACAAAAAAAGTAGGAGACAGCTAAAACATCTATGAAGATGCGACTGCAGCAATCAATTGAAGCGGACAAACACGAACTCCCATTATGTTCTCATTAAAAGGTGATGTTGTACCGGATGAATTTGGAGAATTTTGAGAAGAAGATGATGGCGATTTTGATGTCATCTATAAACAATTTTTTGTTTAATCATTCAAAATTTTTTAAAGAAATATATTTAATTCATTTTTTTAGAAAACGAAAGGTTCGAGTTATGTGAGAACTACTTTACAGATTTCATTCGGAAAGTTACAAAAATATTTTGCCCTAAAATTTCCACTAAGTTTTTAACAATTGTTGCGAGATTCTAAACAAGTTCACTCATAAATTTTAAAAAAAAAAGTGCTCACCTTATTAATCCATTGTGATGGTGGAAGTGGAATGGATCTGGCGGATGGTGAATTACAAAATTGCGAACTGGCAAAACATGATTGTTGTGGTGGGCTCACCGAATGAGCCTTTCGATAGTTTTGCTGCTGGCGACTTCGCCCAGTCTTCCCCTGTTGTTGTTGTTGTTGTTGTTGTTGTTGGTTTCGTGTTGATGGAGATGTTGATCCACTGGCAACAGAACGACAGTAATTTTGACTTTGCATCTTTCTAAATATAAATAATTATGAATAATTATTCAGAATGCAAATATACTAACCGTTTAAATAATGATAATTAAAATAATAATATTTGGTGTGTAGAGTCGAGTGATCTTACAGAAAACACCGGGAAATAAAAAAACAACCCGAAGGTCAAAAAAAGACCGATCTGAAATAAATCAAATTAATATATTGTAAATGTGCGTATTGTGAGCGTGTTAAGTCCCGCCCATTTCCCAACAATGGGAAACTTCCCAAAAGCACAAAAATAACGATATTCATTTTTGAAAAAATAAGAAATATAGGAAAGGCGTCACAAGACTGGATAGGTTATTGTCGCTTCGCAGCCGCGACGCATCAATCAATGGAAAAAATAGAGAGAAAAAAGAAGAGGGAACTAGAGAAATGAGATGAAATGCGAGATTGAAGAGAGGAAAAGAAATGAGACAAACAACTGCTGTTTCTGCTTTCTTTTTTGCTTCTGCACTGTGCCCTGAGCGCAACAATGGCCGAGTTTCCGATTAGTTCGGCCAGAACAAAAAATCTCGGCCATTCTTTTTTTTTCTGGGGAAAAAAACTTCTGAAACCAAATCTGGATTTTCTCATCGAATTATTTCCAAAAAGCTGAAGTTTTATACATCATTTGAAAGAGGAAGACCTATATTACATTGTTGTTAAAACACAATTTCAAATAATGTTCATTTGAACTCATGGTTTTCTGCCAAAACTTGCCCATGTATGAAACTTTGAGAGCGATAATTTCATGAAGTAGCTATCATTGTTAAGACTTTGATATTGGAATCTAACCAGCTTAACCTTCTCTACAAGATCTGTTACGAAAATGTTGGAAAAATTCATTTTTGGATGAAAAAAATTGAAAAATAGAAATTCACTTTTTTCAAACCCGTGTTTGAAAGCCGTTTCCAGAACTTTTTCGGGTGAATTTCATATCTCTGCGTTCTACTACTCTTCCTCTTTCTGATCATCATCTTACTTCTTCGAAATTCCGAGTTTCAAGCTTTTAAATTGCGGTTTTTATTCAAAAGTCAGTTTTCAGCGAGAGTGTGTGGGGTTGTGAAGAGACGCGAGAGAAAAAGAGACACACGAGAGAGTATGAGAAAAAGGTAGAGGCAAAACATTTTCTCTGCTGTCGCGTTCCGGGCACAGTGCTTCTGTTGAATGTTTTTAGAATGGACAACGGCAGGAAAAAAAGATGAAGGAAAAGAAAGAGAATAAATGACGTGTGCTTAATATTTCGAAATTCTCATATTTTTCGTAAACATGCGGATAAAAATTGAACCAAAAATACCAGTTACTAAATATGCCCATTAACAGAAAGATAAACTAAAAATTCAAAAACAACTCGAAGGTCGAAAAAAGACCGATATGAAATGAATAAAAATATAATTTATGAAATGTGCATATTGTGGGCGTGTTAAGCCACGCCCACATTCTAAGAATGGGAAACTTCCCAAAGGCACAAAATCATAATAATGGTTTTTGGGGGAAAAAGAAAACAAAAAGAAGTACCGAAATAAATTTTTAAAAACATTTTATTTGATCTCCAGGATTGAACTAATCATACTGTAGTTACGAACAATATTTCGTACATCCAAGAAAAAAAAAAATCAGCTTAAAAATAACGAAACTAAAAAATGACGTGAAGAACGCCCTTTCACACGATCAAACAAAAATAATGAATTTATAACATCAGATCTCTGAACAAAAGTCTATACTTATTCGGTGATTTTTGAATGCCCAAAACTTCCTTTCAAACTTTAAATTTAGTTTTCAATATTCAGGATGGATTGCGCTATGATTACTGTTGTTTGGGAAAATATTGAAGATATTCATATTATTTTTGTACTTACAAAATAAAATACAAAAAATTCGAGAGAGCATTTTTGAGAATAAAAATATAACTAATCTGAAAATGATGTCGAAATATAGGCGTTCATAGGAAAAAACGAATTAATTTTATATTATCAGAAAAACAAATAATGTTAAATTTCGAAAACAATTTTTTTGGACATGACAAAAAATTTCTCAATGAATTTGGTAATTATGTATGACCTGTCGGAATGGTTGTTCGGATTTTTTTCTCTGTTAAAATCTAAGTTATTAGTATTTAAAATACAACAAAAAAACTTGAAACGAAACTAATTTTTCAGCCAAAAATAGAACTAATCTAATGTAAAATTGAAGTGAAGCAGCTATCCAAGGAAAAATAAAACTAATTAACTTTCTATTTTCGTGTCAGATCTTTGAACAAAAAATAAATAACGAAGTCAATTTTCATAAATCAAAAACAATTCCAGCAAAATCCTGCAGATTTCTTAATGGGTTTGACCTTTAGTTTTGAAAAGTTTGGAAAAATGTTCAGTATCATATTAAACCAATTGATTTTTATCAAATCAGTAAAATGAAAAAAATTGTATACATTTTTCGGTATTTGGAAATGAAAATATCGATTTCAAAACAAGAAATTAGTTTAATTTTTGATTAAAAAAATGATTCGAATTGAATGGTTTTGGAAAAATAATGTTTCGAGATCAATAATAAACAAATTGTTTTGTTTTCAAAAAAATGGTGTCTTTCACATAAACACCATATGGTGTTATAAATAACAAAGAATGGCACGTGATAAATCTTCACACATTCAAAGTTTTGATATAATGTGTTGATTTTGGGAATGTGTTAAAAAAGGACCCGACGACAAGTTGTTTTGAATTATATAAATGACAAGTGATAATTACAACAGTACTTACGTGAGATCAGATATTTTTGATTTTTGAAAAGTTCAATTTTTGCCACGAACATCCCTGAGTTCACGTATTTTTTCGAAACAATTTCCTATTTTTTTAGTTCATTTTTAATATCCCATGAGCGTTTTCACCAAGAAATGATTCAGAAGCAATGCATAAAGCTTTGAATCTGTGAATTTCGTCGATTATAAATTGAAGAAATACATGATTGGCGAATGCAACAGCTTATGTTGAACCAATATTGATTTTACCATTATAAAACTTTATTTTAGATGAGAAACAATATAAAAAGAATTGGGAAACGGGGGGAAAGAGGGGGGGGGAGTGAGGACTAAAACATAGGTAAGAAATATGAAAGATGGGAAGAATTGGGGGTTACAATTAGAAAAAACAGCTTATTAATCTATTAAGAATTAATAAGTAATTATTATTTTACAGAAAGTTGTGGAGGAACCTTATTGTCAAGGTGAGGTGTGAAAAACATGTCAATAGAGCAATCTTTTTTGATGGAAAATATATAGAAAAGCTCTATTTACATGTATAGATTGTTGGCTGGAGCCCAAACTGGATGAGACGATAACATTCCAAGATCGAATGACATTATCGGTTTATCCGATTGGTATTGATTCGAAAAAGCATTGTCGATCATCGCCTGCAAATATATTGAAATTATTTCATCATAATGATAAGGTCCAAAGTACTCACCGCAAAAACGTAGTCGTTTTCTTGTTGTTCCATAATCATCAAAGAATCAGTTGAATATCCAGATGAAGATGGTGATTCTGTTCGACGCAAGCGTTTCCCAGTGTTGATGATCGATGGAATCGACATGTTGATGTCACGCAAACCGACTGGTTTACGATAGACGAGATTGACAACGTTGTTTTTATCCAACTTCGCCTTTTCCTTCTTTTTCAACTCCAAAGTGGTGACTGGGACTTCGACCTTCTAGAAACAGTTCGATTATTATTGAAAAGAATAATAGTAATGAAACTCTGGGAAAATCAAAAGTTTACCTTTGGTTTGTGCTCCAATCGCTGAACGAAAACATTTTGTTGCTTTGATTTCAAAGGCAATATTTCTTTTCGAACAGCATTCCCATTGTTGCCACTAGCCAAAACACTGCCAACAACTCCGACACTTCCATTGGATGAAGAAAGACACGAAGACGAAGTCGACATATTTCCAGATCGATCCAAATAGAAAGATTTCGGGGTGCCAGCCGATGGTTTTGATTGTTGGAACATTCTCCCGTTTTTCTTTTTCGTTATTTCGCCTGAAAATCAACGCGGGTGTTGCAAAAAACAAAGAAAAATAGATCAAAAACTTACTTGAAATTATGAAACATGTCTGAAATGCGAAAATTTTCCTTTTATATCGTTTCGAGAGCGTGGGAAAATGGCATTTTCCCACGGTCAGCGTGGGAATGTGTGCACATTTGCGTCACCGTGTAGATGTATACCGTACTACCGCGCGCGAGTTTTAAATTCTTGTTTTTTCTTGGGTTTTTTATTTATTTTTAATTGTCTGGGTTTTGTGCTTCCAATAATTTTTAACGAATTCATTGAAAGTATTGACATACTTGACAATTTTCGAATAATTATAGATTGTTTCGTCTTCATGGATTCTCCAAAAATTATTTCCAAGAAACACATGGGTGAGTATTTTTTCCAAGTTTCCACAGTTGGTTCTAAACTGTCATTTTTTGCGAATATATCGACCTTTCAAATATCTTCTTCAACTTTTTCCTAATATCTCTCTAATAATATTTTGTGTAGATGTGTCTACGACTTTTTCACTCCACTCATTGTAACACTCTTTTCTTTTCGTCAGGAGCAGCTGACAGCATCCCAGATTCTCCACATTTTCTCTATTGCTCGTAATAAATGACCGGGTTTTTTTTTGATTTTTGCTTTTAGGTGACCCAGAACTTTTCAACTTGTTTCAGATGCCATCGATTGTTTGAACGACAAAAAATAAAATAAAGAATCATGTTATTTTCTGGCGCCTCAACTGCGAAACCGAAAAAAGACGAGAAAAAAGACAAGAAAAATGAGAGAGGTTTGTATTTTGTTAATGAAACTTTAGTGAATTAAATTTGTTTTTAGATGAAAAATACGAACTTCAAGAACAAGTTTTTATAAGATGGGCTAATTCAATTCTTGGAACTGATCGATTAACAGATTTCAAAAGTTTGCAAGATGCATCAAATGCAATTTTTGTGCTTCAAGTGATAAATGGACAACAAATGGCTGTTTTAGGAAATCCATCGGAAGATTGGCCAAATATTTTACAATTTGTTGGTGATTCGAAAACAAATCCAGCTGAAGTTGTAGAAGGACAACAAAAAGTAAGATAAAGAAATCAGGGTTGTTGAAGTGGGGTTCCGTTTTCAAATTAGTAGCGTAGGTAGTTTCGAAAAGCCAAAAACTGGAAATTAATTTGGATTTCTCACAGAAAAAATAATGTTGAATAAACTAGGTCACGTTCACGTATTTTCTTGATTCATGAACGTTTCTATTTAGTGTAATTTCAAAAAGTGAAATTATGAAAAATTAGAACGTGACCGCGGAAATTAAAACGTGATTCTCTCTAGATTTTGCATCTACTTTTATTTTATTTCACTTTTTCAGGCAGTTCTTTCTGCTTGGTGGCAATTGGTTCAATATTATTGGAAAAATAATGCGCCGACTCAATTGAAAGATGAAAAACTTTCGGAAGCCATTAAAAAATGGTGTATTGAAGTGACAAAAGCTTATGAAGAAGTTGATGTCTATGATTTCACTTCAAGTTTTCGTGATGGTCATGCTTTCAATTATTTGATTCATAGTTATGAGTTAGTTTTATTGAAATTTTTGAACTTCCTAAATAATTATGATTGTTTTTCAGTAAACGATTAATTGATTTGACAAAAACATGTGAAATGAGTGCAATCGATCGAATTGAAAATGCTTTTAATATTGCTGAAAAAGATCTGAAAGTTGTTCGACTTCTACTACCAAAAGGTCAGTTTTGCGCGACCCAAGAATCGCCAAAAGATATTATCATTTTATCATCCAATTTTCTTTTTTCTTCTTTTTTTCTCATCTTCTTTTCCTATTTAATTTTTTTTGTTGGTTTATTGACTTTTTGTGTTACTATATTATATTTTATATCCTTTTTCTGTTCTTACATTTTCTCTCTAAATCTATTTTTATTTCCCCTGGGTAAATATTCGATATGTTTTTATCGGACATTCTAGAAAAATGGAATTTGATAGAAAAAATAGTGCACAAAATGCCAACCTAAACTAGCAGAAGCCTAGGCCAAACATTGAAAAAAGGACATAAATTTGAGCTACAGTAACCCGTTTGAAACACCTGCACAAGATGTCTGTGCAGCGTAGAATTTATTGGCGAAAAAAAGTTTTAAACATATTTTTGCACACTCGTTGTCCAGCTGTGACCTAAATCTATTTTTTTGGTAAAACTACAAGATTTTCGAAATACCTTATTTTCAGATCGCAAGATTTTTCAAAAATTCCGTGTTTTTTTTCGAAATAAACTAGGATAAAATGAAGTACATTGTGACGTAAATTATTTTGATAATATATTATCACCGGATTTCCGTCTTTTGCAAACTTATCATATAGTTTTTAGCTGATTGATCCAAATCTTGATCTATTGAATGATAGAAATATATCAGTTTACTGTAGTTTTTTTTTCGGAATTTTTATTGTCAGCTTAAACTTCATTTTTTTCAAAAAGTTTTAAATATTGCACATTGATATATTTTCCATTTCTATTTCGTACCATTTTGTTCCTTCTTTTCTCAATTTTTTTGGTCACCAAATAGTTTAACAATACAATATTATAAAAAAAAACAATAAAAATAATAAAATACGATTTGCAGGTGTTAGTCATATTAATTTTATGAGCGTATCTGACATTTCAATGTTTTGTTTTTATTGCGCATTCCTCCGTTTTTCTCTTTTTCCTTACATATTTAATTGATTTCTTTTGCGAGTTTGATTGATTTTTTGAAGGTCGTTTATGAATTTATCTGGAATTCTTTTTGTTTTTTTTTCTTATTATTTTATCCTTGTTCCACTTGTCAATTGTTCGTCCTTCAAAAATAGTAATAGTAATAATAATAATCATAAAATAGTTAGTCTAATTATTCCATCTTTTTCTCTTTTTTATTCTTTTTCCCCAATCTTCATCTTCGTTTTTTTTGCAGATCTCCACAGTGATCAACTCGACTCACATTCTGTATTATGCTATTTGATGAATTTATATCTATCAATGATTTCTCATAGTAAAATCGAAGACGAGCTCGAAATTCAACAAAGAAATGCGATCACAGCATTAGAAAATGCAGCAAGATTACAACAACAGCCATCAACTTCTTCTTCTGCATCAAATTCTGCAATGCAAATGTCTTCAACTCCTCCAATTCATTCACAACAGCAACAAGCACATTTAGAAAGAGGAAAAAGTTTCGAACAGTCTATGGAGGTAGAGTTTTTTTATTTCTAGAAAATCATGCCGGGAACTTTTTCAAAAAAAAAAACTAGGGAAAAAAAGTAAAATTCTGAGACGTGACACATTTCTTGTCCGCGTCATTAATTAAAGATTGTTTATTTCTCATTCATTTCTGTAATAATTTTGGAGGGTAAGTTTCGAATTTCTCTATAGGTGGGAAAATAACGAGGATTTTTTCCGAAAGAAATTTCGCTGAAAATCGAAATTTGTCTTACTGTAGATGTGTGTAATTGTGCGTCGTGGTGTATGTGTATTCTACCCGCGCTTTTCAAACTGTTCAAAATTATTTATTTTTCACGAGTTTCTCGAGTTGGATTCTGTACAGACATGCTCAAATAACCTAAATTAAGAAACAAGAAATATTTTAATGTTTCAGGGAGAAGTTCGTTCACGCAAATCGTCATCTTCATCCCAAAAATCAAGTAAAACAAAACGAGTTCGACGAGAAGAACAACTCATTGAGTTCAAATCATGTATAGAACAAGTTCTTGCTTGGCTTTTGGAAGCAGAAGACGAATTGGCAACATTGACATCAATGGAAAGAACTAATCTTGTTTCGGTTCGAAGTCAATTTGCTGATTTCGAGATTTTTATGTCTAGTTTAACCGATAGTCAGGATACGGTTGGACGAGTTTTAATGAGGTAAGCATTTTTGGTAAAAATTGAGGTTTCAGAAATCTAGCCTTGATATTTTTCAGAGGTCAAATGTTGAGTAATAAATCTGAAAATGAAGAAGAAAAAGAGGGAATTGGATCAAAATTAAATTTAGTGAATACACGATGGGAAGCATTACGAGAACAAGCAATGCACGAACAATCAGTTCTTCAATCACAAATCAATTATCTTCAACAATCGGAACTTGATAAAATAAGTGAATGGTTAAATTCAACTGAACTTGAAATAGAATCATTTGGTCCATTGGCATCAGATCCTGAACAAGCTTGTCGACAAATCGAATTACATACCAAATTCCAGCAGAAATTGAATGATTTCCAAGAGACAATTGATAAATTAGAAAGTTTTGTTGCAGTTGTTGATGAGGAAAATGATGTAACAGTGGCGAATTTAGAAGATGCATTAGCATCAGTTTCATCAAAATGGCAAAATATTTGTGAATGGGCTGAAAAAAGAGCACAAAAATTGGATGGTTTGGCTGATTTGATTCAAAGAACTAATGATGTTTTTGAACAATTGTCGAAATGGTTGGAAATTCAAGAAAATGTGAGTCATTTTTCAACCGAATTTTCAAAGAAATTTTTTTACTTTGATTTGATTTACAGGAACTTATAAGTTTGAAATCAGCACATCATTTAGAAAATGATGAACAAGTTGCACAACAAGTATTCAAATTACAAAAAGCAGAAGCTGATCTCGAATCTGAACATGCCAGTTTTGTCAAGTTATCTCAACTTTCATGTGAACTTGTTGCACGGTTAGTTTAAAATAAAACCATTTTATATTTCTGATTAAAAATCATGGAAATATTTCGGACAGTCTTTTGGCTTACAATTAGAAAAAAAACACCGTACTTCCGGTAAATAATTTTTCACAACTAATTTTACAGTTTTGATGATTCAAATGGTTCGGCCGCAAATGATGTTCGATTAAGTCTTGATTCAATTACACAAAGATGGGATAATCTTGTTGCAAGAATCGAAGAACATGGAAAAACACTTGTAAAATCGGGAAAAGCTGATGTGAAACATCTCGAATCTTCACCATTGAAAGAATCATCTGATGGAATCACAACTGATACTGAAAATGAAGAAGCGAAGAATCAAATAGTAGACAAATTTTTGATGCATATCAGTAAATTGAATCATGAACTTGTTCCACTTCAAGAATGGTCTGAAAACTTTTCAGTTTCTCGGAAACCAGATCAAGTTCGAAAAATGATGAATACTTGTCAAGAGAAATTAATCGAAATAAAAGAACAAGAAGCAAGAGTAAATCGATTACAACTTGAACTTGAACATTTACATTCAGCTAAACTGAATTCGAAACAATTGAAAAGAGCAAATGATGCATTTGAAAGTTTTGCAAAAGGATGGGCAAGAATTGTGACAAAAATAAGTGAAGCAATGAATGTATTAACTGGACATGCACATGATGGAGAAGAAGCTGCTGTTGCTGCTAAAATTGAACAATGGATTGAAGCTGTTGATAAAGTTATTACTGAACTTGGATTATTACCATTATCTGAAAGAATATCAAGAATTGAGAAACTCGAACAACAATTAAAAGTTCAAGATAAAAATGTGAATTATATTGAGAAAGATGTTGTCAAAAAAGCAATTCTTAAAAAAGGATTGGAAATTGCAAGCAAAAGATTGGAACTTTTGAAAAATGATGATGAAATTCAAAAGACAGAAGTACAGCAAGAAGAACAAAAACCAACATGTTCAACAACAGTTATAACAGAAGATGAATTGAATAAAGAATTAGATGGAAAATGGAGTACTGTTGGAGATTTGGAATCAATTCAAAAAGATTTGAAACGAGCTGAAGATGCAGTGAATACTGCTAGAAATAATAATATGAGCAATGAAATTGTTGAAAAAGCTGAAACAAGAAAAGCAGAAATGGAAGAAAAACAACGAGTAACATTGGCTGCACAACAAAGATTTGATAGTGCTCTAATAACATTGAATGAAATTGAAAAATCTGTTGATAGATTGAATAGTTCGGAATTAGAAATTGCTGATTTGGTAACAAGTTTGGAAAGAGAATCTGAAAAATTGGCATCGAAATTATCACAAAGAAAAGAAGCTGAAAGAACTGCTGAAAAAATGTTGACAACTGATGATGAATTGAGTCAAAAGGTATTTTTTGAAACCATTTTATTTATATTTTTATTGTGAAAAAAAACATTTTGTTTTGCAGACAGTCAATTCAACTCGTGATTCAATTGAACAACTTGGAAAAAGATGGTCGAATCTCGAAAAAACAATTGAAGATCGACTTGTCAAAGCAAAACGTGATCAAGACGCATTTATTCAGAGTAAGAAAAAAACATATTTATTATATTAGAATAGTGTAGATATTTTGGAGATTTTGAACAAATTGTTGAAGGACGGATGTCAATATTTGTGTTAGGCGATTGACAAAAAAAGTGACTGACTTTGTGCCGCGGCAATGTGTTTTTGTTATTTTTTCTTACGTTTTTTTTTCGCGATTATTCATTACTCTAGTCATCAACTATTTGATTTTTGAAAATGAAAACTTGAAAAAAAAAACACATAGAAATTTTGACAGCGGTTTCAAATTTTCATTTTTATTACGTAGGGAAAAAATCGCACCCAGTTTTTTCCAACCCAGGATGATAAAGATCGTTACATAAACCACTACATAAACCCGCTTCCCCACTCACAAACAGCTCCTTCTTTCTACACTCTCACATCACAAACACATAATTACAGAAGCCGCATTTGAGTATCATCCACATTATTGTGTGTTCTTTGAATAAACCCTTTTCTTTGAGATTGTGTTTGAAACATGGGAAAACAGGGATTCGGCTGGACAAAAACCTGACCCGATCCGCAACAAAGTAGTACTGAATTTTTTGATTCACCAAAATTCCTATATGACCTACGAATTCAGGCCCGGATCAAAAATATTTTAGAACAAGATTTACCGAAAAATTTCGGCTCGTTCTGATTTAGTCTCCCAAATTTTTTCCAGAAAGTTTTAAATTTCTGGAATTCACTTTTATTTTTGTCCGACCACCCAAATAATTTTGCTATTTCAGAACGTTTGCGTGAAGGAGAAGAAGCATTGGACGAAATAAAATCAGCGATTGAGAAAAAACGAGAATCTTTTGACGCTGAATTAGCTGCTGAACATCTTGATGTAAATATTTTAATTTTCATTGATTCACAAAAACTTTCCATTCAATAATTTCAGCATCTTGAAATATCACTTGACAATATCACATCACTTTTCGGACAAATTGGATCATTGCCAATGGATGCTGGTTCGCGTCAAAAACTCGAACGATTAGAATCTGAAAAAGATGAAATATCTGGAAAAGCAAATGAAGCATTAGCAGCACTTTCAAGAACTGTTTCAGAATGCGAAGATTTTGAGAAACAAATAATGTCATTTCAAAATTGGAGTGTTAAAATTGGTTTCATATTACAAGCTCGAAAATCATCCGATATAACAGCATTTGATATTCCACATGAATATCATGTAAGTTTTTGGTTTGAAAAATATTTTCTATTCATAATTTTAGTTGGGAAAAAATGATATATTTTGTCGGTTTTAGGAAGAGTTTGAAGAAGATACAGATTTGATTCCAGTAAGTTATGCATGGTGTGAAAAAGTGCAGGGTTACTGTACTCAAAATAAAAGGCTTGCGGTTTTGAAGTGTGATTTAAAATTGAAAAATTTTAATTTAAAATGGATTTTTCAGAGATTAACAAAGGAGTTTGATGATTGGATTTTGAAATTAAGTGAAATGGAAAGATTGACAAGTGAAAGAGAAGATGCACAAAGACAGAAAGAACAAATGAATCATGCTAATGTAAGTTTTTATGTCATAAAAACAGGTGCCAAAACAAAAAATGTTCTGTGGATCTTCTGTCATTGTGAGGTTCTTTTCTGAATCAGACAATAACATTTTCGCACTTCTTTCTTAAACGATTTCGCAACTTAACTTTTGTTTTTTTTAGGAAACAATGATTGATTTGAAACATAAGTTCAATGAATTCAAACGACCAAAAGGATTTGAAGAAAAATTGGAAAAAGTTTTGAATACAATATCAAGTGTTGAAATGGGTTTGGATGATACAACTGGAATCGAAGGATCTGAATGTGGTGCTGCTTTGATGGAAGTTCGATCATTGATTCGAAGTTTGGATGGAGTTCAAGAAAATGTTCAAGATTTGATTATAAATCGAGAACAATTGATAAAAGATAAAATATTGGATGAAGAAACAAGTAAGGAAACATTGAGCAAAATTGAATTGGCAAAATCGAAATCGAAAGAATTATATGAAAGAGGATCGACTTGTGTTGAAAGATTAGAAGATTGTGTTGAAATTTATGAAAGATTGATAAAAGAAACGAATATTATAGAAAAGTTTTTGGATGATGTTGAAATGAGATTAGATAAATATGCATCAGCTGAAGAACCAGAAGATGAACAAATTGTTAATGAATTAATATCAGAATGGAATAGAAATGAAGCTGAAATGAATAATGCGGCACATTTAGAAAGACAACTCAAGTTAGTTTTTTATTTTCTTTTTCTGAAAAAGTTTTGTGTGAACACATGTGCAAATAAACAAAAACGATATAATTTATTATATTTTTTAGTGAACGTGCAATCAAAATCAATGAAGATGTTCTTTCATTAAAACGTATTCGAGCAGATGCATTGAAAAATCGACTAAATTCTTGGTGTCGAACAATTCAAGAAATGGGAGAAGATGAAGAAAGTGCTCTACTTGAAATTGATGAATTACATCAAACACTTCAAAAAGGTTTGAATGAAGTTGCTGATAAAGAACCTGAACAAATTGCTGAAAAACTTCGATTTTTGCGAGCTGATCGAGATCGATTATCATCAAGAACAAGAAAATTGACAGCTAAAAATCCAGGATTGGCAGCAACATCTTCTGATGTTTTATCAAATTTGAATCAAAAATGGAGTGAACTTGAGAAGAAATCAGCAAATAGACCAATTGATATTCCACCAGTTTTGAAAGAAACTGAATTAACTGAAAATGCACCATTTGATAAAAAAGTTGGTGAATTGGTTGAACATTTTCAAAATATTGGATCATATTTGGATTTCGAGTCGAGTCCAATTTCAACTGTTTTGGCATATAAAAAACGAGTTGATGATTTGGATGAATATTTAGATGAATATAGACCGCCTTTAGATGATGTTATTGAAGAAGGAAGAGAAATTGCAAAAAATGGAAATCTTGAATTACATACACATGCTGCTATTGAAAAATTGGATGTTTTAGCAAATCAAATTGAAGAAGTTGAAAATGATTTGGATTTTCATCGAGATAAAGTTGCACCATTGGTTGAACAACATGATCAATTATCAAAGGTTCGTTTTTTTAATAGGAGTACTGTAGTTTTTGTTTAAAGTTTTGTAGAACTGCAAAAGTTATTACCAGTTTTTAAAAATCGTGTTTCGTTAAATTTCTTTTTAAAAATTGTCCCTCATTTTGGAAATTTTTTTTAGTTTCGGATTTTCTCAGAAAAACTGAATTCGCACAAGAAAATTTATCCGAATTCGTATTCTATCGATGTTTTTATCCCAAATTGATTTCTCATATTTTTTGTCTTTGAGAATATTTTGAAATCTTAAATTTTTTCAGGATATTGAATCATTGATGCTTATTTTGGAAGTGTTTTCTGAAAGAAATCTCGAAGATTATGATATAATTCAATCAACTCGAAAAGAATTAGCTGAAAGAGATCCACATATTGCATCATTAACATCTCGTGCAACAGCAATTCATTGTTGTTTACCAGGAAAAGGACCACAATTACATGATAAAACACTTGATAAATTACGAGATCGAATTGAAAAATTGGAAGAGAGATTGAATAAAACGGTTGAGAAAAAAGAGGAAACGAAAATTGCGGAAAAACCAAATTCATCGCCTGATCGAACAAGTAAAAGTAGTATTCAATTAGCAATGGAAGCATATGGAACAGCAACCGAAGATGATAGTGTTATTAGTGAAAATGTGAATGCAAATGAAATTGAAGTTAGTAAAATTATAACACCGGAAGAATCAATGAAAAAATCAGAAGTCGAAGTTTCGGAATCACTTACATTATCTGGAAAAGAAGAATCATTAAAAGTTGAAAGATTAGTTCGAGAAGTTCCTGTTGATGTTTATGAAGAAACTGCAAATATTTCAAGTGGAGATGAATTATTAACTGAAGTTCGAACTGATCAAGAAGAACAACAAGTTGTAACATTATTTGAATTACTTGATGAAATTGAAGATTCACTTACTATTTTCGAAGAATTTCCATTTGATTATATTGAAACAGCTGATAATGAAATTAAAGGAACATTGGAAAAATTGGAAAAATGTGAAGATATTTTGAAGAAAAATGAGATGACTATAAATATAATGCAAAGTGAAAGCGCTAGAGAAAGAATTCAGGTTGGTTTTTAAATTTGGAAAAAAAATCGATAAACGAAAATAATGTTAATTATCTACAGATGCTCCGACAGATGACACAGAGAAGAATTGAAAAAATGCCGAAAATATGTGAAGAGTGGGAAGAGTTGCAGAAGGTTTGTCGAACACATTTTGTTTTTCCTTTTGATACATATATTTTGAAAATAATACGAATTCATTTATTATTTTTGCAGACCTTTTCAACTGCTGATCAACTTGTTGATGATTCTGAAAAATACGAAACTGATCAACTGTGTATTATGGATCGATCAAATGCAGCTAATATTCTTGGTGAATTGCGCCAAAAAGTGTCAAGTGCTGAAACTCCTGTTATTGATTTAGTCAAAAAGTTATCACAAGTTGTTCCGAGAATGCAAGATGATTCACCAAAATCTCAAGATATTCGAAAAAGAGTTTATGATATTGAAGATCGATTCAGAAAAGTGTCACAAAAAGAAACTGATGCTGTCAATAAAGCATTGTCAAATTCATTAACTGAACCAGAATTGAGAAAACAATTAGAAGAAGTAATTGAATGGAGTGAATTGGCATCAAAAGAAGCATCACAAAATGTGAATTCATTGGATCAAGATGGATTACAAACACTTCTTGATCGATTAGAATTATTTTCCAAACAATTACAAGAAAAGAAAACTGATATGGTGCAATTTGAAATGGCGAAAAATTTGATTGTTCCGAAACTTCAAGGTGAAAAACATCATGAAATTCGTCGATTATTCTCTGATGCTGCAAAAAGAATTGCAAAAATTCGAGATGAATTGAAAGAAGCAAAACAATGGGTTGAAACATCAAAAGAATCGAGTGAAATATTCTGGAATGATTTGAATACTCTCGAAATTGCATCTCGAGATATAAATCGACGAACAAATTCAATTCGATCAGCTGTTATTTATACACCTTCACGTGAAAATATTGAATCATGTATGAAAGATATCGAACAACTTCGAATTAATGTAAATGATATCAAAAAAAGAGTACAAACATCAAATCTTCCGCCGGCAATCAAATTGGCTGGAAAAAACGCGAAACGGGTTGTTCAAGTTTTAACCGAAGCGGCTGCAACAATTGCAAATAGTCACGATCTACCAAATTATTTACAAGATGAAACAAGTGAAGATACAACTGAATCAAGGAGTACTGTAGTTGAAATGACACCTGTTGGAACTCCTGTTATGGCTAAAGATATTAAAAGAACTTCGTTGTCTGGAAAATCTGGATCAGAAGAGGAAGAAGAAAATGAGGATATTGATGAAGATGATGAAGATGGAGATACTGTGAATGGAGATGATGAACAATCGGAAGAAGATCGGGTAATTCATTGATTTTATAAGGGAATTGAGTACTAGCCACAAATTTTCAAAATAATAGGAAGGAATTTTTCTCGGAATCCCTGGCACTTTATTTCAAACATTTATAGGGCCAGAATTTATCCGTGAGCCAAAATTAGCCAGCCTGGTTTAAAAAATTCAGTTCAGTGGAATACTTTTAATTGTCTGAATTTTCAGAAATTGATGGAACTCTGTAGCCAATATTTTTGATTTTCCTATTTTGAGAACTTGCTACATGATTTTTCTACAAATTTTTTTTATTCACAAAAAATACAATTAACTAAAAAATGTTTCTTTTTTTTGCAGAAAGTATATTCTCGTGAATCATCTTCAAATATTCCACGTCAAACAACAATACATACAACCACAACACCAACAAATGGAACAGATTCGATTGCAATTCAATTAACACATACTCGTCATTGGTTACATGATGTTGAAAGAGATGCTTCGTTGACTGTTGATCTTTCAGTTTGGGAACCAGCAAGAGATTTATGGCAAACAATTCAAGGAATTATTGATGAAATTCGACTTCGAAGTGTTCAAGTAACTGGAGCACATGATAGTAGTCCAAATAGACAAGTTAGACAACAAGCTGCACAATTATTAACTGAAATGCATCGAACTGTTGATTCTTGTGAAAGAAGATGCCAAATATTAAATAAAATGTCAGATTTGATTCGACAAAATCAAACAGCTCGAAATGAAATGGAACAATGGTTGAATGATGCAAATGAAACAATTGGAGAAAAAAGAGTGGAAGAATGTACGGAAGAAATTGTGAGACAAGAATTGGCACTTCTTGAAAGAGTTGTTTTACAATTTGATGAAAGAAAACAAAAAATGCAAGAAATCAATTCGCAAGCAAATCATATTGTTGATACTTATACAAAAGATGAAGCACATAATTTGAGCCATCTTTTGAGTCGAATTAATATGTCTTGGACAAAATTCAATGATAAGTTAGTTCATTTTTTATTTATTTTCTAATTAATTTTTATTTTAAAATGTTATTTTTAGTATTCGAATTCGTCGAGCTGTTCTTGAAGCATCTTTGAGATCTCGTCGTGATTTCCATTCAGCGCTTGAAGAATTTGAAATTTGGCTAAGTCATCAAGAAGATAATTGCTCAAAATTGGCCAAAGATTCTTTGAATACACAAGCAATTAAAGATACAACAAAACGAAAACAATGGACACAAAGTTATAAAACATTGAATGCTGAATTATGTGCACATGAAGGAGTTATGAAAAGTGTTGAAAGTATGGGAAAAATGTTGGTTGAAGGATTAGAAGGAAGTGTAGAAAAAGCAAATCTACAAAAAAGAATAATTGAAACAGTTCAAAGATGGTCACATGTTCGAAAAACAACAAATGAAATTGGTGAAAGATTGGAAAAAGCTGAACAAGAATGGGAAAAATTAAGCGATGGATTGGCTGATTTATTATGTTGGATCGAAACAAAAAGGAAAAAAATGAATGAAGAACAACCTGTCGGAGGAAGTTTGACAACAGTTATGCAACAATCTTCTTTTATTAAAAATCTTCAACGAGAAATTGAACAAAAAACAACATTATACAAGAATACTGTAGCTGAATCACATTCTTTTCTTATGCAACATGATTTAAGACCAAAATTGCATTCGCCACAAGTTTTGGATGAATATGAAGATGAGGGTTTGTGTTTTTCTTGAATCCGAATATAATTAATCATTAAAAATATAAATATGCAATACCACATGTTTTTGTTCGCTCTCTGATGTTATTATTTTTATGTAGTTTTTTTGAAAAATCTAGCTATGGGTAATAATTTTCATTAAAGGTTCCCCATTTCTAATAATGTTTAGATACTCTAATTACAAAAGTCAAAAATTTAAATTATAATAGTTTTTTGTTGCAGAACTTGCTGATCTTGAGCAACGTCGTCGAGGATTAGAAATCAATGCAAATTGTGAAAAACTCAAGAAAAATTGGTCTGAACTAGGAATCGAAGTTGAAAGCTGGGATAAATTGGTGCAACATGCAATGTTGAGATTGCAAGAATTGGAAAGAAATTTGGCTGAATGTCAATTGCATTTGACATCTTCTGAAAATGAAATTGAATCAATGAAAGCTGTTGAAAAAATACATTTGGAAGATTTGAAAGTGAGTTTTTCTCAATCTCTGTTTGATTGAAACTCTCATTGTGTCAACCATTTTCTAATAATTTGAAATTTGTAGATTGCTCGAGAAGAAACTGATCAAATATCTCGTCGAATCGATGAAGTTCGCCTATTTGTTGATGATGTGAATGATGCAGCTGCTCGACTTTTAGCCGAAGATTTGAAATTAGATGAACATGCTCGCGGACAAATTGAACATGTCAATAAAAGATATTCAACATTGAAACGAGCAATTCGTGTAAGACAAGCAGCAGTTCGAAATGCGGCTTCTGATTTTGGACCAACATCCGAACATTTTTTGAATCAAAGTGTTGCATTACCTTGGCAAAGAGCTATTAGTAAATCGAATTTATTGCCATATTATATTGAGTGAGTTGTTTTAATTGGAATTTTTATTTTTCGAAATTTTTTTGTATCAGAATTTCGGGATTTTTTATTACAAAGAACATTGGAGCACAATTTTTAGCGAAATAGTTTTCCGATTTCCAAATATCTAAAAATTTCATAATCCATATTTTTGTTTAGACAAACTTCTGAAAAAACACAATGGGAACATCCAGTTTGGGTGGAAATAATGAAAGAATTATCTCAATTCAATCGTGTCAAATTTCTTGCCTATCGAACTGCAATGAAATTACGAGCTCTTCAAAAACGTCTTTGTCTTGATCTCGTTGATTTGCCACTTCTCGAAAAAGCATTTGTTCGATTAAAAGGTTTATCTTTGGAAGAATGTCCAGGACTCGAAGGAATGGTTTGTGCACTTCTTCCAATGTTCGAAGCATTAAATGCAAAATATCCACAACAAGTTCAAAGTGTCAGTTTAGCTGTTGATATTTGTATCAATTTCTTGTTGAATTTATTCGATCAATCAAGAGATGGAATTATGCGAGTTTTATCATTTAAAATTGCACTCATTGTTTTCTCAAATATATCACTCGAAGAAAAGTATAAATGTAAGTGTTTTGAATCTAGAGAACTAAACATTTTTCAATTATTTGTTTTATAGATTTATTCAAATTAGTTTCACAAGATGGACAAGCTACACAAAAACAAGTTGCTTTATTACTTTATGATTTAATACACGTAAGATAATTACTGTATATATTTTTGGGTTCATTTATTGTTTTTGTTCAGATTCCAAGACTTGTTGGTGAATCAGCAGCATTTGGTGGTTCAAATGTTGAGCCATCAGTTCGTTCTTGTTTTGAAACAGTTCGACTTGCTCCAACAATTTCCGAATCTTCATTTATTGATTGGGTCAAAAAAGAGCCGCAATCAATTGTTTGGCTTGCAGTTATGCATCGACTTGTTGCATCAGAAAATACAAAACACGCATCAAAATGCAATGTTTGTAAAATGTTCCCAATTGTTGGACTTCGTTATCGATGTTTGTCGTGTTTCAATTTGGATTTATGCCAAAACTGTTTCTTCAGTCAAAGAACAGCCAAAAAACATAAACTGAAACATCCAATGCAAGAATATTCGGGAAAAACAAGTTCGAGTGATGATGCGAGAGATTTTGCGAAAATGTTGAAAAATAAATTGAGATCAAGTCGAAGACAATTGGCATATCTTCCAATTGATGTGAGTGTCTAATTTTTGAAAAAAAATCGGGTTACTGTAATTTTTCTATGAATATAGATTTATTTTAAATGGAAAATTTTCGAATGCTGTTAGGCAAATCCTGGGGACATAATGGGTTTTGATTCATAAAACAAATTGGTTTTTCGTTTTCAATAAAGTCTTTCAATTGAATTTTCGATTTTTCCAGGTTGCTGACGAAGGAATTCCTCTAACTTGTCCACCAGCAAAAGTAACAAATAATGCAACCGAATCATTAAATGCAGATACAGCACAAATGGCTTCACATCTTTTGAAACTTGCCCAACAACACGGTGGAAATGCAGCTGGATCAAGTGATCATCATATTGAACCAGTTCAATCTCCTCTTCAAATTATCAATCAGGTATGAATTTATTTCATTTTTTTATTTTTGTAATCTATCTTTCTCTATCTCTCTTTTTCTAATTCTTTTTTTTTGTTCACACGCGATTTTCTTTTCTCTTTTTTTTCTCGCGCATTCCTCTCAGATACTGTCTGTTTTTTTCTGTTAACCATTGAAATGTGTAGTATTTTTCGATTGATATCTTCAAAAAATGTCAAAGATCATCATACTGATGAATATATTCGATGTCATTTGTGTGAATGTCAATGTCATTTGGTTAGTTAGTTGGTTATTCAAAATCAGATAAATAAATAAATCAGAATTTCTAAAGTTCTAAATTTTAAATGTTGAAAAATATATTTTATTTTCAGGTTGAACAAATGCAACGTGATGAAATGGATCAATTATTACATCGATTACAAGTTGAAAATCAACAACTTCGAAAAGAACTCGAATTGAAAAGATCAGCAACGAGCACATTAGAAATTGATAGGTATTTCATTTTTGAAAAAAAAACAAATTTTCAAAATATAAACAAATTCAGAGCTTCAAAACGAGTGAACGATCGAAGAAGTGAAACTCGAGGAGGAACTCTTCCACTTCGAAACGGAAGAAGTGTCGTGTCATTGAAAAGCACGCAAAGTCAAAATGATGTGAGTTTAAATTTTTTAACGAAATTTTTCGTGTCAGGAATTTTTCCACATGAAAATTAAATCCACGGATTAAAAAGAATTCATGTTTGAAATTTTTGGAATATAAAAAAAAATTGACATAATTTTTCCAGGTTATGGATGAAGCAAAAGCTCTTCGATTACACAAACAACGACTCGAACATAGATCAAGAATATTAGAACAACAAAATGAACAATTGGAAATGCAACTACAAAGATTGAAAAAAGTCATCGATTCGGTAAGTAATTTTTCCCTCTCAATTTTTCACTGATTTCAACAATTTTTTTAAAGCAAAAACAAGTTGGAACAAGTTCAAATGATAATAATCAATGGAGATTAGAAAGAGGTAGATCTGGAAGTATTGGAATAGGAATTATGGAAACAAATAATAGTCCAATTGATGATGATGATAGAGATACTGAAAGAATCGGAAGTTCGAGTGTTGGACAAATGCAACATTTAATGAATGCTTGTGATGATTTAGGAAAAGCAATGGAAACACTTGTTGTTTCGGTTGTTTATGATTCTGACGAAAACGAGGATTAATCAATCAAATCAATATATCTCATTAATTTAATTATATTTATTGCCCACAAAAAACACTGCATGTTTCTAGTCCTAATTATTGTTTTGTTGATATTATATATATTTATAAAAATCGAAACGAACATCTTCCCTATAAAAAAACGCTCAAAAAAAATGAATCTTCGCTGTCCGCAATGAACACCATGACGCAAACTTGCACACATTTTTTTTGGGCAGCTTGCCAATTTTTCTCAACAGATCGTAGATTAAAGGGAGGACGAATTGTTCGTTTGGGTCTCATCGCGATGTGACGCGCTGCTCAAATGTTTTTCATTTTCTCTTTTTTTTCGTTTTTTCTCTTTTTTCGCCGAGGTTGCGATCTGGCACGCTATTTTAAAAAAGAAGAAGAGCGTCCGAATCGAGAGAGATGACACAGACGCGAAAACTCCCTTTAAGTACAGTAGTTGTATGGTATTTTTGTTTGTTCGTTTCGAGAAACGCGTGAAAAAGACACACGCGAAGCAATAGATACGGTAGTATTACCAAAATATTTTTGTTCGTGTCGAGAAACGAGCGTCTTTTTCTCTGCGCCATTCTCTCGATTTGGACGGCCAAAAATAGCGTGCTGGAGGCTGCCGTTCAACTCAGCTTCAGAACAGCATGAGCAAGAATTGGAAGAGCTCGAAGCAATTTATACAGAAGGGGAATTCTGAATCGAGAACATCCAGAAATCAGCCTACAAATAACACTGAAATCAAATCAAGTAAGTTTTTGCTTCAATTTATTTGTTAAATTGAAATCATGTAAACTTTTTGCAGTTTGGTGAACCTGGAAATGATGATTTTACAGTTGAATTAAGTATAAAATTCACTGAGAATTATCCGGAAGGGATTCCTGAAACAACAATTGATGGAATTGATGAGAAATTTGAGGTTACTCGGATTTTCGAAATTTCGAGGCAATTGAGAAAATGAAAGCGGTTGCTGAAGAGAATTTGTGTATGGCTATGGTATTTGCGATAGATAGCAATGCAAGAAGAAATTGAGGAATTATTAAATGTGAAAAGGCGGAGGTTGCTCGAAATCGAGCAAAAAGTAGGGAAATGTTGTGACGCCGAAGAGTTTACGCGCTTGGAAGGAGAAATTCGATGCGGAGCGGAAGGCGGCAAATGAGAGTGCGGAGAAGGAGCGATTGGCTGCGTTGGATGGCAGGTTGACGGGCGGGAAGACAATTGTTCTTGAAGGGTGCCACTTTGAATTTGTCGGATATGACGTTGATTGGAGCACAGGATGAGGTCGAAATTGATGAGTCACTTTTTGGTAAAGAGGTGAGTAACTTTTCTGGGAGAGTGGAGGGGAGGGGTGGCACAAGGGTAAAAGAGAACCTTTCCAAGGTAAAACCGCCATATTTCGAATTTGCAAATTCACGAATCGCATCCTTACAAATTATTCATAAAATTTCGCGCTGACGCGGATAACTTGCATGTTTTCATATTAACATTCCAAATTATTTAGATGCCAACTCAATCGCCTCCATTTTCGACTGGACCATGCAATATATTGGTAATTTTAACTTTATGTTGTTTTTTTTGTCAATAAATATTATAAAAATAAGATGAATTCCTTCATAATGTGGTTCCTCAGCAATCCGGATCCCCGAAATTTCTCTTTCCGCATTCCCAAGAAAAAATGAATATAATTTTTCAACGGAGTGATTCTACAGAATCTGGTTGGAAAATTGGAAAGCTGACAAAAATATTTATGTGCACGATTGCATTACGGTCTTTGCAGCTTTTGCGCTTTTTTTGATTTTTAAATTGAAGAATATTTCTCGAGCTAATTTGAGTTCCCGGGCGAGTAAGCTTTCTAAAAAGACCTTTCGGTCCAGTCTTTGTCTAAAAAACATTTCTAATGAGGTCTCAAGGCTTGGGCTTTGTCTTAAAACGACATGACCCAATCGTTCTAAACAATAAAAAATTGATCTGTTCACTAAATGAGCAGATGATTTTGGCCAGGTGGTGATTGAACAAGTTTAGGCATAGCGCCCTGGGTCCACTAGTTACATAAAAAATATTTTTAAAACAAAGCGGTTTACAAGTACACGGAAACAAAGAAAAAAATAAAGAAGGGAAGAGATTCGCGGATGAATAATTGATTGGAGATAATTGGGAGGTGGTAGAGGAAAAAATTAAAGAAAAAACCATAATTTAGGAAAGGATGAAGAAACAAACAATTTTAATATCCGCCACGGAAGAATTGACTAGATGTTGGTTGACGGGAAGAACGAGACTCATAACTTCCATTCCAATCATTTCCTCCTGAATAATCAAAAAAATTAATCAGAATCATAAATAAAAATTAATTTACCACGAGAAGATGAAGGAGCAGTTGATTGAGTGTTCCATGGTCCACTCGAATTTCCAAGATCAAGTTCTCCGTTTGCATTCAAACCTCCCCAAGTTGGAAGAGCACTGCTTGATTGATAACCTGAAATATTGAATTTTTTTCATGTTGGACAACAATAAGACAAGCATACAAATAATTAGAATATTTTTCTCAATTGTGAGGATTTGGAGAAAGAAAGCAAAATCATTCATAGAACACACTCCAAAAATGTTAGAAAACTTTCGACATTTTTCGAAAACTTTCCATGAAATCTTGAAAACTTTTTTTTTTGAATCATGCTCTAACACAAACCTGCAGAAACTCCAATATGTCGTTCCAAATTGGCTAAATCGTCATCCAAATAACCATCTGAAAACATGCATCATGCGTTTTCACACCAAATTATCACAAAATAAAATAAACTTACTTGATCCACTATTCGGATAAGTTCCTCTTGAACTGCCACCAGAAAAAGTATCTTGTGTTCCAAAAGCATTCAATTGTGCATTTGATGTTCCTCTGTAGTTTGATATTCCACTATAATCTTTTGTTGCACTTCCATATCCTCCTGCTCTTGAAGATCCTGATTGAATACCATAAACATTTCCATTATTTGATCGTGGCATTGGAATATGAACTATAACAAAATGATTTGTTAAAAACTTTAATTGCATCATAAACATTTCCACTTACCAGGAATTTCACGTCTTCTTGTATCTCGCTCATCGGTATGAACCTTTCTTGGTGGTGACATCATATCTTCTTCGAAGCGGCGTCTTGAGGAATTATCGCGGCGAGAATCTCCTCTGAAATATAGTTTTCTCTAACTCAAATAAATTATTTACGACAGAATCAAATTGACAAAAATGTTGTTAATAACATGATTTCTACAAATTCTTCCAACAAATCCTGTTGACTAATTTTTGTTGTTTTTTTTTCAAAAATTTAGATTGGAGCTTGTTATTTTTTAAAAAGAGCTCCTAGATACCTGTGATTACGATCATCTCTATGAGATGAAGAATTCGAAGAAACATTTCTTCGTTCAGTTTCTCTAGAATATCTTGATGATGTATCTCCTCGTTCAGAATGTCCTCTTGATGAAGAATAACTACTTGTAACTTCTCTTGCTCTTTCTAATGCCATTTTCTGTTTTTGAAGTTCAAATTCCAATCTTTCTCGTTCCAATTTTTCTTTTTCAAATCGAATTCGATCTCGTTCTCTTTGTAATTCTAATTCTCTTTCTCTATGTCGATGTTCCTCTTCTTTTCTTCTCAAAATCTCAGCCAATTCTCGTTCTTTTTGTCGATCTCTTTCTCTTTCTCGATCTCTTTCTCGTTCTCTCGATCTTGTTGGATCTTCTCGACGTCTTGTCTCATTTTCAATTGTACGAGATTGATGTGATTGCGATGGAATTGTTACTACTGGTTTCTTTCGGCGAAGTGATGATGTTGATATATTTTTTTGAATACCACGTTCAACTGATCGATGAATTGAATCACTAACTGGCGAAACACGAGTTCGAATAATCAAGGATTCTGTCATTGGTCCATGAGTTGTAATAAATTGTCGAGGAACACGTGAAGATGCAGATGAAACTGCTGCTGTGATACGACGTTGTGATGTTTCTAAATAATTTAATTTTCCGCTTCGAACTTGTTTATAGTTTTTCTTACTGATTTCTCGTGGTTCAGATCCAGATTTTGTTCTTACTGGCGATTTTTTGACACGTTCCGGTGATCTTTTATAAACAATCGGTTTTCTTTCTCTTCTCGCCTTTTTCTCTTTCTAAATACAGAAAAATTAAATATTAATAACAAAATTTAAAGAACAAACCTTCTCGTTCCTTCCTTTCTTTACTGGTTTCTCGTTTTGGTTCTGGCGCATCAATAACAATTCTCTTTCTCTCTACAGGTGGCTTTATTTCATTCACTGGTTTATGATACGTTTTTCGTTGTGTACTATCAAGTAGAGTCGACTCCGATGCCTGAAAAAATCAACAATTAAAACAAAATTATTAAAATTAGAAAAAAAAACATACTCTTTCAAGAACCAACTGTTTCCCATTCACAAAAGTTCCATTCAATTCTTCCAAACATGCATCACACATTGATTGTTCAGTGAATGTGACATATCCAAAACATGTTGTAACATCTCCTTTTCTTGATCGCGAATTAAAAATCTTGGCTCGTTGAACTTTTCCATAGACCATACAAAGTTGCTAAATAATTAGAAATTATTTTTTGCAAAAACTATATCCGAAAAATTTTAAAATTCATTTTTGATTGAATGAATATATGTAATATGAAAATGTCAGATTTGATACCTTTAAATTGGCCGCACTAGTTTCAGTTGTCAATCCACGTATCCATATTGATCTGAATTTAACATCATCTTCCACAATCAATGTATCATGTTCATTTTCTGTGAGAGTTGGTTCAGTTGGTTCACTTGGTGTATCCATAACTTGTTCATTTATAGTTTGTTCTTGTTGATTTTGTTGTGTTGGTTGAGGTGTCGCTGATTTTCTGGATTCATTTAATGGATCATCTAACATATCATCATCAATTTGTGATCTTTTGACACGAATCTCATTATTCTGTCTGATTTGCTCTTCTTGATTATCTCCTTCTATTCCTTCCTGATATTCTTCTCCTCCTTCTTCTTCTTCTTCATCTTCATATTCCTCTTCTTCATCCATATTATCATTTTCTTCTAATTCTTCATCTTCAACTACTTCAAGATCTTCCTCTTCTTCTTCATTTTCACAATTATTATCGTGATTTCCATCTGTTTCTTCTTCATCTTTATCCATCAAATTATCACCAACTTGTTCATTGATTTCCAACGAAATTTCAGATTGCTCATTATTATCATTGTTTCCTTCAGATATTCCACTGATTTCTAGAATCACTTTTTCTGCTTCTGCTCCTTCATCTCTTTCTGTAAAACCACTTTTGGAAATGAGAAATATATAGTTTCAAATATGATGGAAATATAATAATCTAGTTGAAATCGATCACAAAACATGAAAAAGACAATTAGATGTCCATGAATTTGAGTCGTTTTTTGGCAATTCACAATATTCGGAAGTGATGAGATCAAAATCCTTTATATCCTTTCGAAATTGTCATACACATGGTTGGTTAGTCAATATAAACAATGCAAAATCAAACGGAAAACTATTTCTAGAACAAATCTACAGTAATCAAGCCTTATTATTATTTTTTCTAAAAAGGGCAACGACAAACTAGTCAATTCGCAATTATTCGCATAAAAGCCCCAAAATCAAATTATCTCCGTAATTTTTAAATTCAATATATACCTACGACTAATCTAAACAACATTTCGGTTCTTTCTCAATTTTTAGATATCAAAATTTGTATTCAGATAGATGCAATATTTGTATTTTAATAACTATACGATAAGTACCTTCTTCTTCTTCTTCGTCATGTTTTTCATCCGAAATATTCGCATCATTTTGTATTTCAGTATCAACCAATTCAAAATTATTTGTGTTTTCCTCATATGATATGATATTATTTTGATCATATTCTCCTTGTTCTTCCTCTTGTTCCACCAATTCTTGTTTGATTTGGATTTCTTGTTTGTGTTGATTTCCAAAAGGTTTTTCTTCCAATCCAACATTTTCCTCCGTTTTCCATTCCTTTTTAATCTTCTTCTCATTGTCCTCTCTTTTTTCATCCATATTTTGCTCGCATTTCGTTTCAACTAAACCTTGCTCATTAAAATAATAACTCAAATTAAGTATAATTGACGAATACTAATAAAGTAAGGGAAAAAAGGAAATAAAATCTAAAAAATAATTGGCGAACATGACGAAAAAAAACACAAACCCATATAATTACTCTCTGCCATTTTTGCAAGTGCCTCAATTTTTCTCGGTGGTACGGCCACAACTTTTTTCACTGGAGATGATTTTGCTGCAACATTGAAAAATCGATATGTGGCTGGATCAACACCTTCGGATTGGAGAGCCTGAAAAAGAAAATAAATAATTTATTGCTCAAATGAATATTCTAACAAAACAATTGTTTTTTTTGTTGATCCAACCCAATTCATATTTTTCTCGAAAAAATGTAAACCGAACAATGGAATCCGTCTTTTTTCCCCAGAAATATAAATCACTTTAGATTCTACATTGTATTACTAAAAAGTGCATATAACCTTTCTTTTCTTTCTTTTTTTCCCAATATAATTCTATTTCACTAAATTTTTGAGAATTTTCCTTTTTTGGTAAACATTGTTTTCTTCGCTTTTTTCTTCCAAACAAAAACAAAACTGAAAAATGGCTAGTCGTCTTTTAGAGCTCAAATAAAAAAGTGGGAGGAGCTAAGAGTATCGAGAGACGCACAGACTTCTTTCTTCTGCTTCTTCCTTTTGCTTACTTGTGTTGTTTTTTCTGCGCCAGAAGATAAGGAAAACTTTGCCTTTCTCTTCTGCAATTTTTTTGGGAGTGAGAGGAAAGAGCAAACTCCGCCTCTCGATCACCACTTTGCCATTCTCGTTCATTTTAGCCATTCAACAACAAAATGAACGATAATTTAATGCAACTTGTGTGTGCACATGGTATAACTATTACCACGACTAAGAAAACTTTGGAAAGAGCTCCGAATTCATTACTTGTAAAATCGCCAGAAACTATATCTCAATGTGATGCCAAGATTCTAAGAATATTAATTGATGCACTTCGAAGACAAGATATGAGTATAATTGTGTCAGATTCTTTTGACCAATGGTCGAAACTAGCAGCCGAGGTGAGCGCTTTTTTATTTGAAAAATTATCTCACAACTCAAAAATATTGCAGGCAAAACGACTTGGTCTAATATCTTTTGTTGAAGCAGCTTGTCCTTCCACAATTAGTATATCTTGTCATGCAGCATTATCAACAGGTCGAATTAATCCAGAAGTCACTTTCAGAAAAGTAAGATTCCTCAAATAGTACTAACAAACAAACTCATAAAATATGTGTTCTAATAACATTATCTTCGTTCACATCTGAGCATGGCTCGCTTAAAAAAGCCATTATAGTAGACGAAAAAAAACGAGCAGAATGATGAATGGTTTAATAAAAAAACGAATAAGACGACTATTTCAGGTTCTTCGAATTGTTGTATCAGGAAAAGTAATTATGTGTAGAGCTGTTTTCGGAGATTCATTGAATGAATGTAGAGATGGAGGTGGAACTGATTTTGAAATGGATAGATATACTTCAAGGTTAGTTTGAATATAAAAAATGTGATTATTATAATATGATAATTATTCAGATTCTTTTTGAAACATAGCAATCTCGAGAAAGCTTTTGATCAATTGGCTTCATCTGGTTATCGACTAGCTCATTCAAATACATTTGCACCATCTCAAATGCCAAAACATGCAAGTAAAGATGATTCACAGTTCTTACATCATTCTCAATTTGTTTTTCATCGTCAACCGAAGGTGAGTAGTTGTCGAAAAAAAGGAGAAAATTGTATTCTCAAGTCATTTTCGACGTTATGAATATTTCATGTGTTTCGAACAAAATAAATTTTAACAGAAAAAGGGAGGGTAAATGCGAGTTTGGATAGAGAAAAACAACTGCCTCTTTCTTTTTTTTTCTGTCTATATCTCGGGAAAAATTAATAATTTTGGACCCTCGCAAAAAAAGAAAGCAATCAGAAAAAGGAAGCGGTTTATTTAAATAGCTTCTGAAGGAGACTAAAAATATGAGTTATTTTCTTTCTATTCACTACGTTTTTAGCCGAATATTTGAGCGACAACCGATTGAAGTGTTTAGAGTTAAGCCATATGCTTGTTTTTGACAAAAAATTTATTCAAAAAGATGATCCTGAATGAAAATGTAAATATAAGTCGGTTTATATTTATATTTTCATATCCGTTTCAAATTTCCTTTCAAAGTTGAAAATTGTATTTCATTGATTATTTATTCTCACGAAATAAAATAATGTTTATGCCTATTCCAGCCCACTATTCGTAATTAATTTTTCTCGCCGTTTTCTTCAAGGGCCAAAAAACTGCTCTATATTTCTTTTTCTTACATCAAAAAGATTGGCGGAAAATTTATTGGAAATCCAAGAGAATTATTTTTAAATAAAAATATTGATTTTTTGTTTGATGTTTTTTCTCTTATTGTGCTACAAAAAGCTCAAAAGCATATGTAAATTGGCTTCGTGTTCTTGTTTCCAAGAAAACGTTTTCCTTCCGAAAATAAACTGAACAATAGGCCATTGACGAACCAAAAGAAAATTAATAGTACATTAGAGTTTTCGGTTGCTCAAAGAAAACAATTTCTAAATTCAATGTGTTTAATGAGAATAGGAAAACAGTTTATATTTTTTGAAAGATAAGAACTAAATAATTTTGTTTTCAGCTTTCACCGGACAACACTTCGTCGTGATTTAATCCAACAACTTGATAAATTAATGCTTTAGTTATGGATTTCAGATATTGCTTTAGTTTTGTCAAATTTGAATATGAATGTAGAAATACAAGAATAACAAACATAAAGATTTGGAAATGAACTTGAAAAAATATACTTTTTCAGATGAATTAGCTTACCTTATTCAATCGAACTGTCAAAACAACTTTCACTCCATTACTTTCTAATCCACGTTTTTCGAGCTCCGCCTGAAAATAAATAGTTGCGTTTCAATTATTAATTTGCATTATATTACCTTAAGTTCGGCAACGCGTAAATCAGATAAGAGCCGTCCGTTATCTGTATCGTCGCTAGTTTCAACCTCCCCCATTTGTATGTTTCTCTTTGAAAACCTGAAATGATTATCGCATATACAAACACGTGTCATTTTGAGCGGTTCACGTAGGAAAAATTTAAAAAAATTTGATTATGAAAATGAGTTTTTATCCGAAATATAGGGAATGTTTTTGATTTTTTTCAGTCTACAAATCCTCAAAAACTGAATTGTTTTCAGAAAAATGATTTTAGATTATCATCGATTTTCACTTTAAACATTTTCTAAATTGCACAAAATCGATTTGATGATATTTATAAGACGGTCTTCGCCCAACTTCAAACTTAAAGTTAAAACTACAATTTCGCAAGATAAAAGAACATGTGTTTTTTTCGAAAACGCTTTGATAATTTAGTTTTGATTTGAAAAGATAAAAAATAAGGCAGGAACTACTTATCGAAATGAAAGCAAGATTCGAAAACGCACAAAATATGAAAAATGCTCAAAGAATGGTGCAAACACACAAAATGGGCAAAGATGAGGAAGACTGACGCGTTTTATGTTTTGTTGCGGCAAAATGAAAAATATTTATTTCGCTCCAACGAGAAGTTTCGTTATAGTTTTGATTTGTGGGAAAACTTGAATGAACATGACAAAATTATTAGTAATAATGTTCAGAAAATTCTATAGGCAGCTCAAAAATATCAAATTGAAGCCAATAGAAATATTCAAATGAACTTAATTGGCTCCAGTTTAATTTTTTGTTCATTTCAATTTCGAGGCATAACAGTAAAAAAAGTATTTCTCAGAATCAGAATATATTGACCGTTTTAAAAATAAAAGAGCAAGCAAGCAAGAGATTCATGAATATTTCTGTTAAAAACGAATGCAAATAAATAGAAAAAAGTAATTTAATGTTTGTCAAAACGTTGAACCATGAATTTAACATCTTCTTTATAACCGAATCTTGAATAAAATGGCATAAGATTATCTTTGCACTCGAGTGATAGTTTGTAGACATTTAGCTGAAAATTTGATAAATAAAGAAAATATAAGCTGATAAAATTCACAGATTCAAACAATGGTATCTCAAAAATCCCTATGCGTACATTTTTTGCCATTTCAACAAGAACATTATTGAGAATTGCTCCTAGTTTCATTCCTCTCCATTGTTTGTCGACAACAACATCTTCAACTCTTCCACGAGATCCGGTGTTATGAATGAATTTCTGTTCGATAACTAAAGTTGCAGCAGCAATGACTTGATGAAGTCTGAAAAAAATGAAATTGACAAGAGAATTGCAATTATTTCGAAATAGATAAAAATTTGGAACAAATGTTATTTTCTAATTTCATATCGTAAAAAGCGTAACTCACTCTTCATCTTCAATGACAACAACATAATAACTTTGGGAAGATTTCATTGATTGGAATCGATCAATAAATTGTTGATTGTCAACGTTTCCAACAGTTGTGAGTTGTTCGAGAACTTGTAAAAATCCATTTTCATAATCATTTGAATAGAGAGGACGAACAACTAAACCATCGGGAATATCTTTGATTTCTGGTATCCACTCTGGATCAAACAGACTTTCTTCATTTCTCAAAACCAAAAAACGTTCTTCCTCAACACCCATTGTCGCAGATTAAAAGCAACGAAGGTTAATGAATATATTTTGTGGTAATGTTCAAAGTACATTCAAAAAAGTAAATGTAGATAGGAAAACTTTGCGCGTAGATCAAAAACTAAAAATTTATAAATCTGCAAATAAAATTTTAAATCAAAAAGGATAGGGCGGGGTGGGATAGTGGGATGAAAATGTGAAAATAAAAAAGGGACTTGAGATTAGAACGAATCAACAAAATTCTAAATGATACAAGGTTAGATTTAAAAGTCACAGTCAAAAATTCCTGTGTCGAGGTTATAAAATGAAAAATTATAGCACCTAATGAAATGGAAATGTAAGAGCAAAGAGCTAGTTCATAATTACACATTGGAATTAATAAATTAGGGCATAATTGTTTGAATCTAAAGTTTACTCTAGAAAGAATTTTGTGTTAACGATCCCATTATTTTAAAGATAAGGACAATGGTAACAAGATATATGGCACATGAGATTGGGGGTAGAAATCCGGGGAATTTGGGGGAGGAGGGGTACATATGTATGGCAATAAAAAATTGTATAGAAGTTATTAGAACAAAAAAAAAACAGAAAGTGAGTATTCTGCAATTTGATTGGGTTAGAATGAAGAGTGCGAACTCGAGGTGGCGCTGGTTGGAGTTACAGTTGTTGCAGCACTTGTGGTATGAACACTGTTTGTAGAGTTTGACGAAGTCGAAAAGAGCGATGGGAATGAATTCACAAAGGCTGTGGTTGTTGGGTATTTCGGGAAGTTGAATTCTGTTTGAATTTGAAGAGAACCGAAAGCGTCAAATACACTTGGGCTGAAAATAATGCTTATGAAAACGCTCATGGGAGAATTAGAAAGGTTACCTCAGAAGTGGATAATCAAACAAAGATGTTGAAACAGCAGTATTTGGGTTCTGAAAATTGAAAATTATTAAATAAATAAAGAGCCAAACTAACCACAAGTGACGCTGTGTTGGTGTTCGGGTTTGGTGACATCATCACAGAAGCTGGAGTGCGAAGTGGAGATGGTGACAACAATGGAACAGCTGTCATAATTCTCGCTGGATTTGGAGATTTCATTGGTCGATATGTTCCATTTATGATGGCCAATTCCATTAATTGTTTTCGCTTCAACTCATCTGTTCCTTCCGGCTAAAAATTCATTTCTAGAGTCTTTCATTTCATTTAAAACTTACAGCCGGAACCAACAACTTGTTGACTTGTTCGATGGCAGCTTCTAATTTCAAATGCACGCGATTCTCAGTGTCCTCGCATTGCACCAAAACATGCAACTCGTCATCGAGATGTTCCCAGTTGGTTTTTCCACGGTGAGTGTTTTCCTTGAATGACTTTAAAATACATTAGATAAACTTAATAATTTTAAAACCTTTGACTTGTCTCTCATCGATCCTTTTCCACGAACCATGATCTTGCAACCAGTGTCCTGTTCCAATTGTTTTGCCGTCATTCCACGTGGTCCCAAAATTCTTCCAACGAAGTTGTACTGAAATCATATGAATTATTTTCACTTTGCGATTATATCAAGCTTACATCTGGGTAGTCATTCTTAGGTACGTAGATTTTCTCGGTTATTGAAACTAGATCACCGGCTGGTTCTGGAAGATCGATTCGAGGAAAATCTGTTTGGAACAGCAAAAGGCGAACTCTTGCTATTTCTAAAATAAAACTTATTATAAAATTTCGATAAGAAAAACAAAATACCTTCATCCAATAACCGTTCCACATTGTTGAACATGTGAGGGAAGAGCATCAAGTGTTTCTTTTCTTTCACGAGTTCAGCCAAATATTCAACGCTAGCCTCAACTTCAATCGGTTCCCCAGGTGTAGTAGTTGCTGTCGAAAATACGCTCTGTTTATCGAATGCATTTTTGCCATAACTCAATGGTGTCGATGGAATCGGCGGTGAAAACAATTGTCTCGACTTGGAATTGAACAGAGGTGGCGAAAACAACGAATTAGGGGTTTGATTGAAACTGATTGGTGGTGGTGAGAAAGGAGTTTTTTGACTAGTTGGAATTGTTAGATTAGCTGGTGGTGGGGCGCGAATTGAACTCTGAATTAGTGTTTTGATTATCTCGAAATCCAATAAATCAAACTACAAACCCAATGATCTCTGCGAGTGTTCCAACGTTCAGAATTGTTGTTAGCAAAACTCTTCCGCGGAGATTCGCTGTCCAACGATGTCGGAGTCAACATTGTTGAACGTGCTGTTGATTCAATTGTACCGTCACCAATTAGCTGTGTGGAACTATCGAAAGTTGGTGTTTGGCACGACTGCATCTCTTCAACTCTACCTATAAATAGTCTGTCACAAATGAAACCATGAATAACACGCAACACTCAGACAAGTTGTACGATTAATCGCCGAGTAAAGTGAACTTACGATTAATCGCCTGAACTAAATTAACACAGGCGATTAATCGGTCAGCCAGCAGCTAATTCAAGTTACTAGGCGATTAATCGTCCAACTTCTCTGAGCACTTTAAAATTTTTTCGAAAATGCGAAAGCAAGGGCAGAAAAAAGAAAAGAAAATTTTAGGCCTACAGGAACGCGTCAATTCGAAAATACAGTAATCACACAAGTCTCTGCGAGACCACACCGAAAAACAATAAGACCCTTTAATTGAAACACAGTTTATTTTTTTAACGACGGAATGGTTTTCTTTGATGTTTTCTCTTTGGTTCTTCTGGTTCTTCGGGTAATGGTTGACCAGATGCAATTGCTTTCGATTTGTCCAGAAGGAATCGTTTCTTCTTTTCAGTTTTCAGGATATTTGTGATTCTGGCGCTGAAAAAAGATTTTCGTGGTTTGAAAAAATATAAATTTAAAACAAACCTGATTCCCAAATCAACTTCTGGAATTCCAGCTAACATATGTTCAGATAACAATTCTGTTTCTTTTTTGCTTTGATTTCCTTTCACTCTTCCCGCAGCTCTTTGTAATAATGCAGCATCTCGATCTTCGGCTGTCAATGATGTGAATTTTTCTTGTTCTTTCGATGTCGAACTTGTTTCTTCTTGTCGATTCAAACCATCATCAATGAATTTTCTCAATTCTTCATGTTCATCTCGTAACATTGTTTCTTTCTCAAACTGCTCTCTAGAAACGAAACATTAATTATAAAATTCTAAATTACTTTTTTTCTTACCTCAAACCTTGTTCAATACTGGCTGCTTCCATAGCTGCTTTCTTTTTTGATGTCATAACCATTCCACCTCCTGTCATTTGTATTCCATCTTCCAATGCAGCTGCCTTAAAATACAGGATTAATGCCGGGTTATATAAAAATAAAATGATCTTACTTTTGAGATTCCAACAGCACATTCTAATTCAGTCAATCCATTTTTTCTTTCTCTTGATTTTTGTAAATCTCTAATATCCGAAACTCTCGAAGAGTCATCTTCTTCTTCAATTTCTGTTTCCACTTTTTTCCTTGGTTGAATATTTTTCTTCGGCTTTCTGAACAAATCTGCCATTTTCTGAACAAAATTTTATGGTTTTTAAAAACAATGTATGACCAGATTGAAAAATGTATACCGTCTCATATCAGTTTCAAGAAGTTGAAAAAATTAAAACTAAATGATATGCAATGTTTATTATTAATACTGTCCGTTCGCCAGCGAAGGAAACGCGGCCAAACGCGCCCCATTGATAAACAACGCATTTTTGTGCGGCCATTCAAACAATAATTTTTATTCTTTTACTGTTTTTCATGCGAAAAAAGGCATTTCCACTAATTGAAAAATGAGGAAATTGGTTATTGTGGAAACTACTGAGTTGAAAAGGTTTTACCTGACCATTTTCACTTAAAATTGGTGCATTTGGACAGAAATGAGCATAGAAAAAGTGAAATTTTCTTATTTCGGTTGGAAACGATATATAACTAGTTGGAAAACAAAAACTAAACAGTTTATCAACAAAATTAATCAAGAAAATAGATTAAATTAGTGACAAATCACAATTTTTGACCAAAAAACCCGACTTCCTCATCATTTCTATCAAAACTCCGAGCGAACCGATGTCTTTTTCGCATAAATCTTGTTGAGAAGTTGTTTTCTTTGTCACTAATGTGCACTTGCATCATTTGAATAGCACATTGATTGATTTGAGGCATTTTTGAGCAAATTATCCATAACATATCGCCATTCATTTCAAAATTGCGATGAAAACCGCAAAAATCACCAATTTTCAATCAACAACCTGAAAATTGCATCATTGTCATAGAAAATACATAACTAAACAACTAACCTTCGATTTGAATTGAACTGCGACTACAAAACACTCCAAAAATCGATTTTATAACACTTTTTCGATCGAAACATCGAATTCCATCGAAAAAAATCCATAAATCGCTACCAAAAACCATTTTGTTCGGGCAAACTTGGAAGATAAGTATAATTCGAGTTTTGACAACTTCTGAAAGCAGAAAAACTACAAAATTGCTTCTTTTTTTGGGGAAAAAAGAGGAAAAAACAAGAAAAAACGGAAAAAAAATGAAAAAAATTGGGTCGGCAAAAAAAGCAAACTACGGTATGTAGTTGGAGCGCGTTTCCTTCGCTGAAAAACGAACAGTATTATGTAACACATTTCACAATTTAAAGTACTTATCACAATTTTAAAAGCTGACCCAAAATATTAAGAGCAATTATAAGATATGTATGATTTTTGAGCTAATGTAACAAAAAAAATACTGTGACTAAATTTCAGTGGATATCATTTCAAGGCGAGCACGAAGAGATGCACAAGAACTTCTTAATTTCGAAATTTCTTCGACGAGCGATGATCGAGCAGCTTCTTCAAGGACACATCTGAAAACATGTTTTTTTTTCAAATTTTAAATAATGTCTCACTTTTCTTTCCACATTTCTTCTTCTTTTTGATCTTTTTCTGATAATTTTTCAGATTCCGAAAAATTCTTTTCAATTTTCCAGCACATTTCGGAAATATTTCGTTTTTCGTCTCGAATATCTTCTTTCAACATTCCTTGTGTTGCCATCAATTGTTTTTCTTCATATATTTCAATACATCTCGAGTTAACACAACTTCCACTTTGACCCTCATTCAATGTTTTCACTCTTCTTTTCAATGTTGTTATATTATTTTGAACTTGCCATAATTGACTATCCAAATCATTTGTTTCAAATCCACGATCATGATTTTCAATGATCTACAAAAAATTGTTTGTTGTTGTTCCAAATTATTTTTCATGGTTATTTTGGTGTAAAATATATAAATAAATATTTTTTTGCAATTGACCTTGAGAGATGAATAAAAAAAAGTAAACTAACTTTTGAATGCAAAACATCAATCAGACAATGTTGTTTATCGAGTTCTTCTTTGACAAGATCAACTTTCAGATTGTTTCGATCAATATCCAAACCAATCCAAGCCTCAACTTCAGCACTCGATTTTGGAGGAACATATCTGGAAAAAAATTAATTAATTGTTTGATAGAATATTCAAATTTAAATCTTTAAAATATCCTGAATTTATATATCAGATGACACTCAAGCTGTAAGTAGAATACCATTAAAAAATATGGAGAGAAAAAACTTCAGAAATTTGAAGAAAAAAATGAGGTAGGATAATTTTTCAAAAAAACATTTCCAGTTGTTCTTCAGAATGTTTCGTTAAAAAGTGAACATTAATTTCAGAAAACCTAAACGCGTATTTGATATCAAATCTCAAAAATTACTCATAGTCAATTTCATTCAAATCTTATTCATGATCTCATTAACACAAACCATTCAAGGTCATACTTCTAAATCGTTCTTTCCAAAAAAAAAACACAACTTCTTCTTTATTTTCATTCAACCTTTTTCCAAAGCTCCGCCCATTTTTCGGACGATCTATTCAAAATCTTCCTTTTCTTTTCTTCTTTTTTTCCTTGATGCGCGTTGTGTATTTATGACAAAATCTTGAAACGTTGATCGTATATCTAATGTGTTTTATTATTATTGTTGTTGTTGTTTTTATTGTCCATTTTGGTCTTTTATTTATTTATTTTTCGAAATAATCCATGTTCACTAAAATAGAAATCACTACAATAATTATTGAATAAGTGGTATTTCAAAAAATATTTTCTAAATAAAAAAATAAGTAAAAACTGTCATTTCCATATTTCGATTATTTTGAAAAATCAAATAATATTTTTTTCTCGATAAAATGTTATCAAATCCCCTTTTCAATCCTTTTCCTCTTCTTTCTTAGTTCTTCTATTCTTTTTTTTCTTCATATCATCTTGTTAAATTCCAATTTCACTTTTATCCCGTCCTTTTTCGCATCTCATTCGAAATATTTTTCACATTCAGAATCAGGGCGATGACCATGTCGTCTTTTTTGCTTCTGATACTATTTCTAGCCAATTTATCGATTTCAAGTTTTGCACAAAAAATCGAGAATTGTCCAGATTTAGATGTTTTGGAAAATCAAGCAGAAATGACAGAAGAGGAATTGAACAAACTTATTTTGTGCTTTTGTAAGGTTTGTGTTTTTTTCCGTTTTGAAACGAGTTTTGGAAATATTCTGAAACTACATGGTGAAATTCTTTCGCCATTATTTTTATTAGAAAGGTGTGTTTAGAACGCATTATCATAAAATATTATAAAAATAGGATTGTAGAAGGTTTCGGTCACTTTTCCCACGATTTATGTCACATTTACGCGATGACAAATCGTGTTGTATTATTACGACATTCGAAATAAAAAATGAACTTCTCACTATATTATAGATAAATCTAGAAAGATGTAACAATTAACCAATCTGGAAAAATGACTGTTTCAAGTGGAAAAAAAACGAAGACTTTGCAATATGATTAGGGTTTTTCACAGAAATCAACACTTTTATTTTCAGCAAACATCAAAAGAAAAAGTGACAATTTCATGTCTTTATGGATCTAATATTGATCATTTAATGAAAGCAACTGATGCAGTTAAAAATGCCAGTCTTATCACATCTCAGGTAAAAAACTATTTGGATCAATATACACTTCAAAATGTTAATTACAGATAAGTATTCAACATATGGAATTTGGTGAAACTGGACTTCCGGAGTTTTCCAAATTAGCACCATCTCTTGAATCACTCGAAATCCGAGAATGTACAAGTCAAGACGAAATCGCGATTGGCGAAAAAAAGTTTCGCAGGTCTTGAGCAAACGTTGAGAAATTTGACAATTCATTCTTGCAATGTTCTGGTAACTAATTTAAATTTCAAGAATTAATATTCAAATTTGATTTTCCAGGAAATTCCAAAATCGATAAACAGTCTCGAAAACTTGGAAACTCTTACATTTTCATCAAATAAATTGGAATCACTTAAAGTTGAACAATTCAAAAATAAGAAACAGGTAATTGAGATAAACATCATTTCCAAAAAAAAGTAAGAAGAACCACACCCAGTTTTTGTACTTTTTTCGGAAAAATGTTAATATTCTACTTACAAACGCGTTTCTTTTGAATCTTTTTTGCTTCTTCTCGACTAATCCCATTCCTAGTTATTTTCTAACAACGAAAAAATGTGCGTATATTGTGGGCAACCTTTTACACCAGCTAGCCGACAAAAAAAAAGAGAAATACTACTTGAAAATAGGAGTGGCGTCATAAGGGAGGCAAAAAAAACAGAGAGAATCAAGTTTTGTTTGGTTCAGCAATTAAGTATGACGACTAATACATGAAACTTGTTCGGGAAAAAAAAGAAGATGCGCATATTATTTACAAATAACAGGGAATTATTTTTGAGAACAAAATGAGTCATATTTTCAGCTTGGATATCTTGATGTCTCTGGCAATTTTATAACTAAAATCGAAAATGATGCATTTGCTCCTTTAACTTCTCTGGAAACACTTGTTATTGGCGAACATAATTTCATCAATGATTCAGTTGTAACAGAAATTGGAAAATTAAAAGCTCTCAAAACTTTGGATCTTTCTCGAGCTGATGGAGTATTTGAACCACCAATGAAATTATTTGAAGATATTCCACAAATTGAAACTCTCAAATTATCTGGTTGTTCGATTGCAGCTCTTGAACCAGGACAATTTGCTGTTTTGAAAAAATTGAAAGAACTTGATCTTCGAGTTAATCTTATTGAGAATATAACTGCTTATTCGTTTGATGGTTTGGAAAATTTGAAAAGACTTTCGATTGCTGGAAACTTTATTTCGTAAGTTTTTTTTTGAAAAGTGGTAGACCAAAATATGAGAAAAAATAATTTCAGAAAACTGGAGCCAGATGTATTTTTCGGTCTTTCAAGTCTCGAAGAATTAGATATTGGATGGAATGAAATAAAAGATATCGATCCAGAAGTATTCAAACCACTTATTGAAAAACTAACAACATTGAGTCTTCGAAATAATCCACTAACTGTTTTGCCTTCAACCGGTCTTACAAATATCGAAAAATTATCATTATCTGAATGTCGTTTCACAGATATCAATAGCATCAATTTGAGCAATTATTCAAAATTGAATGAATTGGATATTTCAAAATGTAATATCACAAAAATTGAGGAAGACTCATTTTCCGCTCAAAAATCAACACTCAAAAAATTGCAACTTCAAAAAAACAAACTGAAATCTCTGCCAAATGTGAGTTTTGGATTCAGGAAAAAGATACAAATATTTTTTTCAGTTAGTTAAAAATCTGCCATCTATCGAATTATTGGATGTAAGTTCGAATCCATTCATTTGCGACGCAGAAATTGCTCATTGTGAGTCGACCATTTTTTTAAAAATCAAATTCAATATTTTTTCCTAGTTGTCTTTGGCGTCGAAGATAGAGTTAAACAAGAGGAAGAAAATCCAACAAATTTCAAAATTCTGAATGCAAACGAAACACTTTGTGATCGACCATATACTTTGAGAAATGAACAAGTTCTTCAAGTCGAAACCGAAAAACTTCAACCTTATGATGAAAAATCTGATACAACAACGCAACCTCCAACAACAACAACTCAATTAATCGAAACAACATCCACCGAATTCAAAATTGTTAGTTTTTTTTTATTCAATTATATAGAAGGGAGCTTCAATTCAATATCTTTCAGCCCGATATTTTCGTTGGCAGCAAAACAAATGATACACTTTTCAAAGAAGAACCAAGAAGAGATGTTTATGATTTATCAAAAGCTGACGATGCAAAAGGAGTTTTTAATCAAAAAGGTGACTCATCTTATCAAATCAAGAAAAAGGATTGATTGATTTTTATAGGAACTTATGCTGTTGAAATTACAATTGGGGCAATTGCAATTGTATCAATTATTGTGGTTGTTGCAATCATTTTATTCATGAAAGTAAGCTAAATTTTTGAGGATGAAAATTCTAATCTCAATTTTGTGATTTTCAGAACAAAAATGGAAAAATATCGGCCGATTCTTCTTCAACTAAAAAGTCTCCGGAAAAACTGGAAGATGGAATGGTGGAAATCGAGTTAGACTCAAATCCATCGAATCGACGTTAAATAATAATTTACTCATTTTATCTGTAGCCATTTGCCGACTAATATAATTTATCATTTTTCCGGCTCATTCAAAAATGAAACGGGTATTTTCCGATATAATTCTATGTATTGTGTTTTGTTTTTTGAAAAATAATGAATAAAACTCACTTTTTGATTTTGACAGTATTATCGATGAGAAAATTTGAATCTGGAGGACAAGATGGATCATCGAAAATTGGGCGAATAGCATGAATTGTGAAACAAACAAGTTTTCGAGACATTTCCAGAATTGTTTGAAGAAGAAGACCAAGAGCAGCAAGACCCATTTTATTTTCTTTTTCCTAAACAAAAACTAAATAGTTTCTAGAATTTTTCAAAAATGCTCACCATTCTCATAACATTTTGAGCATGAAGAAAAACATAAACAAAAAGAGTTCTTTTCTCAGGTTCCATACAATTCAAAGATTGTCGCATTGTTTGAACAGCTCCACATTGACAATATAATTGTGGTGTTAAATGATTTGCTGTTGAAAGTCCACAATCACAAGATTCGGCAATTAATTCGAATTCTGGTGGAACTATTGGTTCAGGAATTTGTCGAAGAAATCTTTTAATAATTCCAGTTGCATCATGAACATCAGCAAATATCATTGGTTCAATACAATTCACTCGACGTTCCAATTCATCTAATCGATTTTTTGGTGGGGAAAGTCGATAAATTCCTTCGACTGCCAAACCTATATTATTTCTTTTTTATAGGATAATAATTTTTTAAATAAACCTCACCATGCTCTTCAATAAAGTCCAATGCGATTCTAAAAAATGAAGGAATTTGTATACCATCGAGTGATGGATCCATTGAAAATGCTTCCGATAATCGTATTCCCATTAATTTTTGCGGTTTTGATAATACAATTTTCTCACAAACTTCATCTTCTTCTGCATTTTCCGAATTCATTCGACTCCACTTTCCTAACATTTTTCGAGTCGATTTTCGAGTTCTGAATTATATTGTTGTATTTTATAATATTCTCCGGCAAATAAATAAAATTAAACTTACAATTTTAATTTTTTCTTTTTCTGATGGTCCTTCGAAGTATCATGATGCATTTCTAATTGATTTGGAAAAATTTGGATGACTAAATCAAATAAAATTAGATATAAAAATAGGGTTAAACCTAGGCAGCTGAGTTTGAGAAAAACTACATTACATGGAAAAATTTTATGAAAATGGTAATATTTTTTTACATAACTGAAATTTGGTTTTAATATTTTTGCAATAGGGCGAGGGCCTTTGACAAATTATCTCGAATTGCCTTGACATCTTCATAATCAATTGCACTTAGCGCATATTTGGTATATTTTCGAAGTTCAGAATATTCAGCAGAAGTTGGTCCAGCAGATGAAGAAGAAGAAGTTGGTTTAGAAATCGAATCATCATAAAATGGTTCAACAACTGGTGGTTGATGAGGAATTTGATTACGAATTGGTGGTTGAGGAACTTCAAATTTTTTTATTTTGAATAATTAGGAATTTGAAATTTTGAAGAAAATACTCACCTTGTGGAGGAATTCCAGCAAATCCAATTGATGGATAACTTGGTGGTTGATTACTTGAACTTGATTCTCCACTTGGAGGATTTCCACCTCGGAATTGTTCACCAAATTCGGCCAACTCTGAAATATTATAAATTCCGTAAAAACAATTATTTATCAAAAAATCTCACCATCATCCACGGTTTTTTCTTGCGCACTGCTTGGAACATATGGAGTTCCATCACGCAAACATGCAAAAATCTGGGTACTCTTCCATTTTGCATATTTCTTCGATGACAAAAATGGTTCTTCAACTTCGCCGAACAACGAAAGAATATCCATAATATGTCCAGCTGTATAAAATGCATGAACAACTGATTTATCGATCTGAAAACATGGGAGTTAGAGAAACTCGTACAGAAGTGGATTATAAATACCTTGCCCTCTTTTTCTTTGTTATCGGCAAAATTGAATAATTTCAATGCGAAATCTTCGATGTGTGCTTGTCCAATTGTCTATAAAAATATATGAATAGGACAATTTTTTCAGTTAATCCTAATCAACTTGAGACTCATTTTTAGTTAGTTAAAAATAATGAAGCTCAACTGCGGACTTGATTTTTCAGAAAGCAAAACAATTCAACCAGTAGATAGTAAATTCTTACCTCATTTTTGATGGCTTCATTATCATGTAATTGTTTTTTGATTGCTTCCAATGTGGTCAATAATCCAGTTAAATACTGCAATGCTTCTGGAGAAGATTTATCGAGTTGCATTGCAGATTGAACAGCATAGAAAAGACCTGAACCGAGAAAAGACTGTGAAAAATAAGATTTCGAGATAGATTGACGATTTTAACAAAGAAATTTTTATAGAAAATTATTTTTTGTAAGCCAAAGAATGTTTTTTGAAGATATCACCAAAATTCAATTTCTTGGCTCAAAAAATGTAGGTATTTTTTTAATTATGAAGAATAGATTCGTCTTCAATGAAACAACTATACTTATTGATTATGTAAAAATCCTAAATTTCGCAATTTTTATTGCTACAGAAAAAATAAATTTCAACCAAAAAATTAAAACATGAACTTACACCAATAATAGATGACCGGATCCCGACTTGCATTTTCATTTGCGATTTTAATATAATGAGCGATTGGCTTGAATGCTGGGGGAACTTTTGTCGACATTTTTGGCTGAAATTATTAATTTATCTGTATGTGATTGCTCTAAAAATTAGAAAATATAGAAAAATCAAAGAATGAGAAGTTGTTTTGAAATAAAAGAAATGATAGTACTTTTTCATGAATCATCGTGTGTTCTTTTCTTTTTTCATTTCTCTGTTTGTCTGCTCTCTCAATATATTTTGACAGTGAACAAATAAATATGGATAAAAACCAACGAAACGCCGATAACAAATATAATGTATTTCAAGAAAAATTAGTTCATTATAAGAATAATAAAATCACCTAAACAAGAGACAACCCAATTATCACAGTAACCAAATCTAAAAATTTGTGAGGCAGCAAAAAAAAAGAATTTACATTTTTACAGAAAATGATGAAAACTATGCGTACTATTAGTAGTTTGTATAAATAGAATATTTCGAAAGCAGTAGAAATGTGAAAATTGATTGTTTTTAATGAATTTCCGGGGTATATGTTAGAACAATAAAAAAGAGCCAAGCATGCATTATAATAAAATATAAAATGAAAAAAAGTCGAGAAGTTGGATGATTTCTCAACATTGAAAGAATTTTAAATGCATTTGAATCGATTGCTTGAATTGCTTGACGAGTTTGATCGTGTTTAATTGAAGAAATAAATGAATTATTTGAAGAAGGAAATTGAAGTTGTGTATTATTATGAACCGGTGAAGAATCCATATTTACAGATGTATCGCTTGTTGAAGCTTTCTGAAATATACACCACCGTTTTGTGTTTGCACATATAAAATGTTATAAAATACAAACCTGTAAACGATTCAATCGAACATTTAACATATGATTATTCCTTTGAACTTCTTCTAATTGTTGTTGTTTTTGTAATAATAATTCAGCCAATTGTGTATTTCCTTCATCAATCGATGTTTTTGCTTGTTCATCTCTTAATTTCACACGAGATTGTTCCATAATTTTTCGAATTTCCATATCTTTTTCTTGAAGTTTTGTTTGATAAATATCATTTTGCCTTTTCATTTCTTGTTTTATAAAATCATTTTCAACTCTTGCACAATCAACTTTTTCATTTAACAATGAATTAGTTGTTTCCCAAGTTTGACGTTCTTCAAGATTTGTTCTCGTTTGTTCGGCTAACTGTGATTGTAAATCTCTGATTTGAACTTCCAATTCTTCCATATCAGATCTCAATGTATAAATTTGAAGTTGTGTAGATTCCAAATCTGATTTTGCCAAATCTCTTTCAACTCGAATTTCTTCAACTTCAGCTTGAAAAAGATGAGAAGATCTTTCTCCACCAGATCCAATGCCTTGCTAAAACAAAAATAGAATACAAAATAAAAAAATAAATATAACCAACCTCCGATTTCAATGATTCAACCAATTTTTCTTTCGCTGTTAGAATTTTTTGTGCCTTATTCTTATATTCATCAAACTCTTTCTTATTTTCATTCAAATTAAACTTTGCCAATCTCAATTGTTCAACCATTGCTCGAATTTCTTCTTCTAATCCAATTATTTTTCTTTTCATCATATTACATTCCTCAACTGCTAAATCTTTTTGATCTTGAATCTTTTTTGCGAGCTAGTTTCAATTCTTGTAAACTATCCGATTCGACTTGTGATGAAACAATTGGAGTTTTTTCTAGTCGCCTTTCCAGCATTTCTTTTTCCGCTTTCATTTCATAATAATCTTGTCCGCGTTTTTCTAACTTTTTCTCCAATTCCTGAAATATGAATCATTAAATAGAAATGATTTTCGAAACATGAACTCACTGTTAATTTAGCCTTCATCATAGTAATCTGTGATTCTTTCACCCACAATTGAGATTTCAATGGATTTGGCTCATGTCCTACTTCAGCTTAAAAACACTAATAATATAAAAATAAAGAGATAACAACTTACATGTAGTTTTGCTTGTTGACGAGTTTTCTTCCTCTTTTGAACCTAACACCATTGTCCAACTTTCTGATGCAGTTGAAGTATTCATACATGGTTGAGTTACAGAAGTACTTCTAGAACAAAACAATTTGTATTGAATAAAAAGCTCACGTCCACTCACTCTTTTGCTGTCGCTGTTTTTCTATTTCCACCAGTATACTCACTGTATGCACGAGAAGGAATTGATGCAGAAGGTTTTCCAAAATCTTCCGTCACAAGATTTTCCTGAACAAAATGCGAAATTTCATATTCAAAAGGGTGGATACAATGTTTTACTTACAGGAATACTGATAACAGTAGAAGAATTGCTCAACTTTCTGGTGCGATTCGACTTTGCTTGTTGTATCGCATCTCCGGTTTTTTCGTCAAGTTTATTCAATAAATTCTCGGCCGCTCCAGCAATATCGCTTACTTTTGACAACCATGACATTTATCCCAGAGTTTGAACAAAAAAGTTACTTGGAAAATCGATACAATCAAGAAAAAACGAGTGTTGAAATCCACGTGCTTCCGAAAAAAACGAAAAAATAGAGGGACTAGTTTTTTGTGAAAAAGTTAGGCCAAATTCTCATGGCCGTCCAACGCCGCAACGTGTGTTTGTTTCGCGTGCGATTTCCGCAATTATTTACAAGTTTTAGAAAATGTATGATATCTCACGTTTGGAACAATAATTTGAAGAAGGTCTCTGGGAAGAAAACACATTATTCAAGATTATCCCAGAGAAAAAAACAAACTTTTTTTTTTTGTGATGTATTTTTTATTCAGAGTTTTTCGTTCTCTCAGAAACAGATTGTGAGATAACTACAATAATCTGAAATTTAAGCTGCCTTTTCCCAGTCCGATTTTTATGTAAATTGAAAAATGAGTCAAAGAAATAATATTAATAACTTTAAATCTCCTCGATTTTCAGTTCAACTCAACCAGCTCCTCTTCTACAATCTCACATTTTTTGATAATAAATAAATGTTCTTTATGGTTATATTGACCAAAAAATGAAACGATTTCTAAAAAAAGTTTATTTATGACTTTATTGCACATAAGAGAATAAGTATATATTTATTTATTTACATGGTCCATTATTTTCTATAAAATTGTTCAAAATCAAAAATCTTAACGAACAGTAATATGATTAGTATAATTAATACATTGATTTTGATGTTTTTTTGTCGAAGATCTTCATTTTTCTCGCGTTTCAGCTTTTCAATGAAATTTTTCATAGATTCAATAAGGTGGTCTCGGCCATTCAATTGTATCTTTAATATTTGGACCTTGAGTTCTAATTTCATTTTTTCATCCGAAATTTGGGCCATTTTTTGTTCCATTTTTTCCAATAATTTTAGAGCTGACTGAAAAAAACTAATTTTTATAATTAATTACTTTGAATATTGAAAATGAATTACCTCGGATGTCATATCATAGTCATCAGCTCCGATCGCATTTTCCTCAACTAAAATTGGCATATTGGCTGGAGGCTTGTTTCTGAAAAACTTGATATATGATGTAAAAAAAAGCAAAAATTTTGTTCGTTCACCGTCGCGAAATATTCGAAAGTTGCGCGCGATACTTTTTTGCAATTCGAGGGAGACGCAGAGAAAAAAGAAACCGTAATTTTTTAAGTCTCTCAGGTTATTCGTGGCGAGACCAACCCCAGAACCGTATACTCTTCCCTAGAGCGCACATTCATTTTTTCAACACGGTGTTCAAATTTTTTTTCTTAACTAGTATAGTATATACTCTTCGTGAAGTGTAGTTGGAGAGAAATCTCAGGGTTCCCAACTGTTATACTTTTGATGTGATGTACAGGGTGGTCCAAAATTACCCGCACAAATATAATGTTAAATATTTTCCACAGAGTAAACATAGATATGATTTCTGGTCTCAAAAATTATTCCCAGATATTGTGTTCATCATTTTAACATAGAATATTGTGATATAAGTCGGTCTTAGGGTGACTGGAATATCGGGAATGAACTTCAGAACTTCGCATCAGACACGCTGCTTTTTCTGAGTTAATCGAGCTTTCTATACCCATAGGGAGTTTCAAATTATATGTTACCGGTTCAGATTTTCAAGATAACCCCTAGGCATGCTTGATCCTTGACGGAAATGATTCACAAAAATTTTAGAACAAGAATAAGGAGCAGTAGAGTGAACTCCTCAAAACGGATTTTTCAACTCAAAAACTCAATTTTTATCATTTATCATGTTAACCATCGTAGTGTAAGATGAATCCATGGTATTTTCGATGTCAATTGTCACTAGTAGGCTTGGTTTGGCTATACGGATCTCACATTTCCCACACCTAACAATATTTTCGATTTTGACCTCGTTTTATAAAATTTCTATCAAAAAACGGTCAATTTTCATAACAAGACCAGAAATGATCTCAATAATTTTTACAGACGGTCTAATCTCGCTGAATTTGTTTTTTAATACCCAAAAAACATCAAAAAATTCTGCTATGATTCTAAAGTTCAGAAATTGTTTCAAATTTATCACGCGAAGTATGAAAATCACTCGAAAAAAATAGAGCGTGTAAAAAATCTTTTTTTTTCGTTTTATGCTGTTCCGGATAACCCCTCTAACTCGGCTCAAAAATGAAAATTCTTTATGAGACTTTGGCAACTAGTTAGAAATCAGTAAAACTGACTAATTGATAGCACGGATCCAGGTTTGGTGCATTTTATATTGAATATGGAATGCTGGAACTGGAATTGCGTTTGTGCGGGTAATTTTGGACCACCCTGTATTCTCAAAGTCAGAGTTAGAGGGGGGGGGGGTTCCCGTTTTGAAGAAAAAATCCCCTGAAGTTACAACAAGCGTGTTAGATGTTCTAAAAAATGCAGCGCTCAAACCCTCAAAAAAAGAAATAAATAAATAAAAATTCACGAATCCTTCTACCGTACCCCTCATCAAAGGCGCACACAATTTTTCTCCCGTGTCTCACAACGCGCGTTGATTTTTCAAAAAAACGAAGCGGTGTTTGCACAAAAAGAAACATTTAAGACGCCAAATTTTCAGTGATTTCGTTTATTATAAGGGGAGGATAGCACCTATTCACTGGAAAACGCCTAAACCGTGAAATTTTTCATGAAACTATATCAATAAATAGCCCGATTACACTTTTCTATGCTTGTAAAATTTTCGAAAATCTTTCCATTCACAGGGAAATGCAAACTGACCGAATACTTGCCAAAAATTGAAAAACGGTCCGAAACTTGTACGTCTTGGACAAGTGTTGAAAACGGCCGGAAACCACTCAAAAACCGGCCAGTTTCTGACCGGTTTTCCAAAATTGACCGGTAACCGACCGTGTTTTTTCACCGGTTTCCGGCCGTTTTTGTTAAATTTGAGCAGAAACCGGCCGGTTTTTGAGTGGTTCCCGGCCGTTTTCAACACTGGTCCAAAACGTACAAGTTTCGGACCGTTTTTCAATTTTTGGGAAGTATTCGGTCAGTTTGCATTTGCCTGTGATTAGTCGGTCTCACTAAAATGCCTAAGGGTACATGGTTTCGCTGATTCACGTGTCAAGCTTGAGATTTTTTTGCAACCAATTGTGATGTTGCTTTCAGAGTAAAAAATTTCATTTCCAGTTTTAATATTTTTTCACATAATTTAATTTCATTGTCAGTGTTATAGTAAAAAATAAAATGCAAAAATTCTATAGTCGTGTGGGCCTTCATTCAAAAGGCCTGTAATACAAGAGGAGAAAGATCATTCCAACAGTTTATGGTCCACAAATTCCAACCGCACGAAATCCAACAGATGTAGTGAGAATCTTTCTAAATTTTCAGACTCGCATTTTTTTTTGTTTCACTGGCATCTCTGATGGTGTTCAATTTTTATTAGGATGCTTTAGTTTATTTTGATCAACCGTGATATTCAACAATACAAAAATAAAGATTTTTTTTCAAAAGTTTATAAACAAAATATGGCATCATGAAACAATAAAAAATGATGTAAAACAATAAAACTTATAAATACTGTGAATAGAGAAAAAACTGAATTTGATTTGATCGTTTGAAAAGTAGTTGCAAATAAAAACGAAGAGATCAGAATGCTTTCAATAAATTTGTAAATTTAGGTTGGGAAATTGGACGAGGAAGAAAAATAAGGCAGGTAGAAAAAAAGAAACAAAGTGATCGCCTTTAAAAATGAAAAAAGAGAAACCTGTATAAACACCGAAATTATGCAACAATGTATTTAATCAACAAAAAGTAGAGAGTTTCAAGCAACAGCAACAGTTGTATTATCTTCGTTCACAACACTAACTTGGCTAACTTCTGGATCTGTTGGCGTTGGTTCTTCTTCTTTTAATTGTGCAATCACTGGCTCAGATGGACGAGGTGAATTTGTTGCCGAAGCTGTTAATGGGGTTCTTGTTCGAGATGCAACTCCACTATTTGATTGATTTCTTGATGGTGTTGAAACCGCAATTGATTGTGCCATATGTTGTGCTTGTAATTGTTGCATTGCAGCAGCAGCGGCTGCATTTGGAGGCATCATTCCTGGTAAACCAGCCATTCCAGGTGGCATTCCAGGTATTGTCATTCCCGGAATTCCCATCATTGGTACGCCATTGAACATTTGTGCTTGCATTATTGCTGAAAATATATGAAGATGATTTTTGAAAAAGACTAAACGGAATAAAGAATAACAAACCATGCATTTGAGCGGCTTGCATTTGTAATTGATGTGCCATCATAGCTTGCATTCCATTCATAGCCCCATTTGGCATTCCTCCGTTTGGTCCACCTCCTTTTCCAACTCGAGGAGATCCTCCGCCCATCGCATTTAATAATGGATTCCTGAAATATATGCGTTTGTTTTATTTTTTGAAATGAGAATTTATAATATTTTTGGGTTCATTCCAATTCTATATAATCTATTATAGAAAATTTCCAAATTTAATCCCACGTAAGTTTCCAAATGATTAAAAACACCTTTAGACTTTTACTGATTTTGGGGTTGTCTTGTATTTGAAACTAATTGTATTATTTATACCACGCTTCCTTTAAAAATTTCAAATGATGAGCACATAAAAATAGTTTGTAATGAGAAAGCTCAAAACCCTTTTGATGGGGACCATTTTTTTCCGAAAATTGTTTCTGTGATAGAAAAGAAGAGCCCCGAGATCAACAAGAATAAGTGCTCAAAGCGCAACTTCAAAACAGAATCACTTGTCTGGGAAATGTTACTAGTTGGTAAGGACCTTATTTCTGATTCACCCAAACAATCAAAAATAACCAACCTCATCATCATATGTGGTTGCATTGCTGCTGCCATTGCAGCCATTGGTTGAACCATTGGAATACCTCCAGCTGCAGCAGCAGCGGCTGCGGCTGCCGCAGCTGCAGCCGCTGCAGGAGATGAACCACCTTTTGTCAAACTCTCAAGTTCGTTCATCATTTGTGATTGAATATTTGAATCGCTAATTGTTGCTACATATGTCCTGGCTATCGATTCGAGTTTCTTTGCCATTTCTTGATATTTAACCAATTCCATTTGAGTCTGAAATATATTCAATTTAATTATATTCTTTTAAATTGCTAATTATAAAATAAACATACACTCTGATCATTTGATTGTTGAATTTGCAGCTGAATTTGTCCAAGATCTTGTTTCGTTTTCTCAATATCTATTTTATTTTGTTGCAATTGTTGTGACATATTTTGCATATCTTTTTTCATTGCTTCTAAATGTTCCAGGAATGACATACTACTCGCAGATCCACTTCGCTTCCTACTAGAAAATTCATTAGAATTCATCTTTGAAATTTAGAGGTTTCGAAATAAAAACTATATATGAATTTGAAAAAAAAAACTAACTTGTCCCTGGAACTGGAACTCGGATGCGAGTATGTCGGAGTAACGAAACGCCTCTGGTCCGCCGTGATTGTTATCGTTTTGTGATCGAACAAACGTCGATCAAAATTTCAACTTTTCACAATATATAATTTCGAAAATTGTTCAAAAAATACAGAATATCACAATTTATCCAACTTCGCTATTTGTCTTTTCTGAAAATTATAAATAATTATTTTAAAAAACTGAAATTAACGATAAAAAGATCACGAATATTATAAACATATATACAAAAATACAAAAAGTCAATAAAACACGCCTCTTCTCCCATTAAACTATCGCGTTCCGCCAAAGTGGTGTGAATATGTTCGTGGCTGTGTTTACACACAAACACACAGTATTTGACGACACTTTTTTTGTGGATTTCTTTTTATTTAGGTGCAATGCAATGAATTAATTATACAACTAAATAATTAATTATTGGTTAGGAAATCGAATGAAAATTATACGTTTCAACAATAATAAAATGATTCGTTTAGTGAAGAAATCGAGATATTTATTAAATGAACAATTTTTCTTGGAACTAACAAAAACTGTATCATTAGATTGTCTGGTCAACAAATAAAAGGAAAGATAGAAAATAAGTAGAAATAAAGTAAAATGACGATAAAAAGTTTTTGAAAAAAAGTGTGAGAAGTAACACATTATTATGAAAATAAAAAAAGGTGTTGTAAATTACACCATATTCGGATATTTTCCACTTTTCTGTGAAAATCGACACTTTGATGTGAAAAAATGCAATTTAATCATAAATAATATGGAACCGCAAAAATAAAGAAACATGAAAAAGATAAGAAAATGTTTATGATTGTGAATATCAAACAAATGCACTTAACAAAAAAACTGATAACATTAAAACCTTTATAAACTAGCTTTAAGCTGTTATTTTTAATGTGAAAATGAAAGAATAATGTGGTGATGTCGAGAAAGAAAAAAACAACAACGGAGAAAAAGAAGCAAAATGAATAGAATTTTAAACTCGAAAATAGCTGGAGAAAAAAGAGATGGAGGACAACAAAAAGACGAAAGAAAATCACATATTTTTGACATTTTTATGGTTTTAGACTCGATTGAAAGCAAAAAATATGTGTTGAGGAATAAAAAAACGAACTGTTCCGAAAAAAATACAAAAAATGAGAAGAATGATGGAAAAACGAATAATGAGGCGGAAACGCGTGAGAAAGTGCGTAAATGATGCAGAAAATATTGGGCGACAAAGATGTTTTCATTCTCAACCAAAAAAACTTATCCAACTTTGAAAAAACAACAATTGAAAACTTAAAAGAGAAATAATTGGTAATTTATAAATTTAAAAATGTTTTTCATTATATCAAGCTTTTTCAAAATGGGAACTCATTTTCCAAAACACTCCCAGAAGAAATTTCAGAAATTCATATCTTTGCAAAAATTTCAATACCTTGTAGATCTAAAAATAGTTAAATAGTTTGATATTTTCACTATGAAAATTTAAAGTAAAAAAATCTAATGACTACTGTAATTACAGTAAACCTGTACCAATTTTGTATACCCATTAGTTTGTTTACCCAACGTTCCAAGAACAATTGTGATTAGACATTTTCAAACAGAAAAAAAAGACGAAGATGAGTAATCGTTATTTTTTGGTGTGTAAAAAATGTCATGGACAGGGTGAAAACGAGCCAAAAAAGAACAGAAAAAAAGAGAAGAAAAAAGAACAAAAGAGTAAATGGCTGTGTTCACGCATGGTTACAACTTATGAATATTTAGTAAATACTACTACAAAGAAAAAGTGAAGATGACAATTGACAAGAAATTGTTATTATTATTATTATTATTATTATGAGGTGTGAAAATAAAGATGAATTAACTAAAGATGAAAGGTGCTATTTAAAAATGTCTGATACAATTTTCAAAAACCAAATATTAATAAGAGGGTTAAATTGTTCTTATCTAGAAAATATTTTAATCGGATTTCGGTTTTGAAAAGCTGCTCAAATAAATCGAAAGACATATTGAATGTGTTCTTTTTTCTATATGCGCAAAATTCTATCAAGGACAACCGAACGACAAAAGGTGACAAATATCTTTTTTGTTGTTGAGTGTCTTATATTTATTGTGATGATCGCAATTGTAAGAGCATTGAATATTAGTTTTGATGAAAAGAAAAATGACCTTTTTACGGTACATTTCACAATTATTGTTCGATTATCATTTTAAAAAAACTTCACCGCTTATGAATTTCTTAAATGAAAAAAAAGAAGGAACTCAAATTGGTATGCATAAAAATATATATGAAATAAAATATAAGCACACATAAGTCATGCATCAAATGCAGTTCTATAATAAAACTGCCTTTTCTCATTTCATTTCAAACAAAAAACACATCCATCGAGAAATTGAGTGTTTTTGGAAGAATAGAATAAAGAAGAAGAAGAAGGGGAGTCAATTCCCAGGCGAGGTACCACCGCACCCGATGACAAACGATTCAAATTGTCGTAAACGGCTGTGGGGCTGCTACTGAGGCATTCAGGCAGTCAGTCTCTCAGCCAGGCCATGTTAGTGTCCGTCATCAATTCTTCTACTCTTTCCTTCTCTCTCACCCCTTTCAAAATGAACAAAAACGAAGAAGAAAGAGAACCGCGAACGAAGAGAAACACACACTCTTGTCTAGCTTATCAAAGTGTTCACATCGTAAAAAAATTCTGGGCGATCCGACTGGCGGCCGGCTTCAATAAAATGTGAAATAATTGGGTTTTACCTAATAATATTGTTGAATTGTGTGTGTTACGACCGTCCATCAAAAGGTTTATGTCTTTGAAATTGTTGGCTTTTTAATGTGATCCAATATTTCGTATATTTTTTGTCGAGCCAAATAAAAAAACCTTCGGTCTAATAAAAAAGACACAGCTTAATAATTATAAGTTATTACATTAAATATGTGAGAATAACTAACATTATTTTCACACATTCGTGAAACTCACTATAGTGATAAAATTGTTTACGATCGTCTATAATATCATACTAATAATAATAATAACAATAATATCTTATTTCTATTGGGAATAAAAAATCAGCGAAAAAATATTGAAAATAAGTGTGATATTTGATTGATGCAACAATAACGAAAAACATGATGGAAACAAAAAAAATAAGAGAGAAGGGAAAATGATGAATTGATGGGTTCGAAATGTATCTAACAATAGAACAATATTAATCAATTAACTGAATCCAGGGTCAATTTGGAACTGCCACATTTTTTTGCAACTATTCAGAAATGTAAAAAAAATTGGATCATTTTTTTTTGAAAAAAAAAGAATCGTTTCAGAAAATTATTTTCTTTATATTAATTTGTTCTTCGGTTTCGATACCAAGTGGAAAAAAGAATTACGACAACTATTGCAAATTTGTAATTTTTGATTTAATCAAGATAACAGTACTAAATGAAACCAGTAAAATTTCTTTGAGATCTTTTACGTTATAAATAAACAAAATTTCTCGATATAAAAAACACAAGAAATGCGGCTGAACGAAGAAACGAAAAAATAATCCATTCTTCTTCTTCTTCCTTTTCTCCTCCTTCAAACACCACATCCATTATTCATTCGACAAAATTCGCATCAAATTACAAACCAACACCAAAAGAAGGACGCGAGGAAGAGAAGCAAAAATGTAATTATTATGAAGACGGCTTTTGGTGGGGGTATCTAGTACCCTTTTGAAGGCCTAGGCGCGAAAAAAACGGAGAGAAAAACGACAGGACAGAAAGAAAACCAATTTGGAAATGAGTTAGTTGAAGATGGGGGGAAGAAAGAAAAAACGGAGAAAAAAGAAGAAGAAGAAGAAGAAGAAGACATAGATGTAATCTGTCATCTAATTCAATAATTCAATTACACATCCGAAGAACCTTTCTAGCGGAAATCGAGTATTTTTTGAATGGTTCAGAATTTGGGAAAAAAAGAACAAATAATATTTACTATGTTTGTTATAGAGAGCGCAAGATGGAGAAGAAGAAGAATAACAATATATGTAAATAGCGGGAAGAGAAGACACTTGCTTTGGTTTGTTTGCTTTTCGGTTGACACGCTATATGGTTACCAATGCTAATATGATGAGCAATTTTGTTCTATGCATAAATACAAATTAGCCATTTAAAATGTAAATTGGAAAATAGAATTTTGAATTTAACCATTCTCAAAACACATCACAAAATAATTAAAAATTCGGAAAGATTATTGCAGAATTCGAAAATAATTCCAAAAAAAGTCAATCTGTTTAGTACAACAATAAATACATTAGTATTTCATTTTGAAACTGATACTTTTTCACAAAATGCTCTAGCTCTCCCCTTTCCTCTTTGTAATTCGATATGTTGTTGGCATATCAATATCTCACAATGACACTTGACCGCGCGCGCGAGCAGTAAGAGAAAAAGATAATAACATATTGTAGTAAGTAGACAATCTGAGCCTGCTCGAAAGGCGGAAACATATTTATGATGGATGGATGGGAAGACGAAAGGGTCAAAGGGAAAGATGTATAAGTGGATAATAATAATAAGAAAAAGAATTATAATTATAGAACAAAAAATAATAGAGCGAAAGAAAAATAGGAAAAGAGACACAGACAATATTATCTGTTATTTTTTTTATGGAAGTATACTTAAATCGCTAATTTTGAACATACGGAAAAAATTATTACAGTAAACCTTTATTAACTTTCGGTGAAAATAAATGAATTTTTGGTTTTCTTTTGGTTACACATTTTTTTTCATAGTTCGAGAAAATTTTGAACTCACAAAAAGGTAATATCAATTTTTTCTCAAAAATCCAATGAAGAGAATAATTTTCGAAAACTAAACAGTGATGAATTCCAAATTCGGTCATGTTTGGCATTCAAAACACATTCACGTGGCAAAAAACAATCGCAAAGAAGGATAGATCTAATCTGGCGATCCTAATTAAGTGCAAAGATTATTATCCTATTTTTTTCTAGATCTACCTGATGGTACTAGGAGAAGGGAGTAAATAATTGTTACGCAAGGAGAAAAAGAGTGAGAGAAGAACTAAGTACTCATCTTCTCATCATCTTCTCCTCTTTTACAATTAATCTAATATTTACACAATAAATAAATATGTAAACGGATGGTTATATTGACACTATATTTCTTATATAGAGAAAAATCAGATCATTGAGGATAAAAATAATCCAAGTTTTCGACACAGTTTTTCGAGAAAAGAAATTACTGTACAATATGAAATGAAGAACAAACATTGTTCAAGATCATAGTGAGTTCGAAACCTCGGGTTAAAGTTTTTTTTATGGAAAGTATTTTTCAAATATTTCACAAGTTTGATTTGTGAAGGCGAACAACTGGCAGATTCGTAATTAACTACGGAAAAATGTTGAAAAAAGAGCAGTCAAACAACAAGCCATAAATTGTACAAATAAGACACAAAAAAACAAGCAGATGGTGTCGAAGAATAAGTAGTGGATAAAAAGGAAAAGAAGGAGGTGTCTAGTTAACCACCACCCGCTGTGCGTAAAACAGATACCACTACTACAACAACCCCCACTAAAGCCATACGAAAAATAAAAAAACACAGAAAAAAGGGTAGAAGGTCGAGTTACCAGAGAGAAAGAGAGGACATGTGTCAAGTTTGCCAACCACAATGTTTAGTAGTCGAGTGTGTGTGTGTGTGTGTTTGTGTGCGAGTTGAGCGAGTTAGTGAGTGCTCTCTTTGCCGCCTCTACCATCTGTGTGGATCGAACAAAAATGACACTTTCCCCCATTTTTATAAGACAATGAGAAGATCTTCTTAAGTGCTATGTTATTTTTTAATTACATCCTCCTATACTCACAAGATGTAATACTTTTCGCATAAAACCGCACAATAAAAAACTGCGAATTCTAAACTTCGAGACTTCGAAAAAAATCTTTCAGAACAGTAAATTGAGAAGCTGAAGTTACAGGTTGAAATTTTAAAGTTTATTTTTGAAATATTTTTCAGGTGAAGTTTCTAAATTCTCAATTTATTTTTCAATTCAAAATTATTCCAGAAGTTCCACTAATTAGTTTTCTGAAAAAATTAACATCACCAAATTGCGCGAAAGAACCAATATAATTTTTTGACGAACAAATAAATTCTAAAATGAAATTGAGAAGAAAAACCAAATAAATATTCTAACGGCATGGGAATATCCAATGACTGAAAAACAACAGAAATTAATTTAACGAACGAACACGACAAAGATAGATAGAGAAAATGAACGATGTACTTGTTTCTCCTTAAAGATTAATTAGAATAATGTCATTTTGGCGACGAGCTGAATCATTTATTATAAAATAGCGAATAACTTGTTTGAGGGAATATACTACTAATTTTCAAGGGAAACCTCTATTTTTCTCGAAAATTAACTAGTAAGTCTTGGATCACATTATTTTGGAAATGTTTCATAGACTTGCGAAAACCAAATTAGATATTCAAAAAAAAAAACACGAAAAGGAAAAAGGCATCACATAAATCAAATTAACACGACACTCGTCTATCCTTCCACATGGAAAATGACCTCACAAAATGACATTCAAATTATTCAGGGGCTTTCAGATATTCTCTTTGAAAATGACGACGACTTTTAATTGGAAACGATGGGAATCAACGAATAATTATTTCAGCTTACTGAATTAACTAACTTTAATTTTTGAACTGTTGAAACATTCTTACAACTGGAAGGGATAACAAAACTTCATGAAATTTCTGAAAAAATATAGAAAACAATTTCAAGTCTTTTTCACGATGAAATAAGCAGCAGACTAATAATAAAATCAGAAATTGTGTTCTACAAAAATCTTTCGTACAAACTACAAATATATCGTTTTTGAAAAAAACGAAAATCATTTCTTGAACTTCTTCATTTTTTGTTGAACGTGACACTTTGAAATTTTTTGTCATTACGATTGTTTCAAATTATTGAAATTCGGAAAAATTTTCAATTTAAAACATCGTTATTTCGATAATATACAATTTCCTCTGTATTCCCCGATTGTTCGCTGACAATTAGCTTTCTGTGATTTTCAATCATCTTCCAATTATTTTTATTTCAAACTATAATTTATTTTTTCTACCAACCTCTTATTAAATCGAATCTCTTTTGCTCTGAGTAACCATGACAACATTTTATTCCATTTTGTTTTTCGAAAATTCCCTAGAGGCATTTTATTTATTTTTATTTATTTTGAAATGCGCGAATCCTATAAAAGTCGTGATCAAATCGCAGAAACAGTTCTCAAATCTTCAGATTTCGGTACAATTCGAGTAAGTCAACATTTTCCTAGAAATACAAAAAAAGTTTCATTTAGGAAATAGTTCGATATTCTGTGAACTCATCATTGAATGAACACAGAACGAAACATGAAACTGAACCTAGAGTTTACGAACACAAAGGTAATTATTTTACTTTATGAATCAATAAAATAAAAAATTTCATCTATTTTAGAACGTGTTATTCATAGTTTGGTTCAAAGTTGGCTGAATAAAAATGGATATCCCTTGGCTGCAATTGCAATGAAATGTGAAATGAACGGAAATTTAATCGAAAACCCCGAAAGATATATTGTTTCTGGAGAACTATTTGAGAATAATTTAAGATTACAATCAGAGAAAAATCTGCCACCAGTTAATTCAGAAAAAGAAATATGGGAACAACGAGAACTTCCATTAATCGAAAAAGAAGAAAAGGATGTTATTAACATAAGAAGATCACAAGAAACCTTGGAAAAATCGATGAAACAAAGAATTGAAAAAGAAGTCGAGAGAGTTAGTTTCAAATAATTTTCTAGAAATTTGTGTTTCTTTTTTCTTATAGAAAAATCGTATAAAAGAAAAATCTGATGATGAATCCGAAAAATCTTCGAGCGATGAAACAACATCGGCAACATCTGACAAGTTAGTTTTTTGAATCGATCAAATTGTTACCTTTTTCTTTAGTGACACATCTTCAAGTTCCGGAACAGATGAACCAAAAAATTGGGGTCCTTCAAAAATAGAATTGGTTACTGATAAAATGATGGTGGATTCGGAGAAAAAAGAACAATTCGATGAACGGAAAACAGTGGAAGTGAAAAGAGAAGAGATCGAAGAAGGAGATTTGGAAGAACTTAAATTCCCAGAAGATGATTCAGTAGACGAATTGGATGATTTTGATACTGGACTTCTTTCTTCTGGTGGTTCTGATATATCATTTTAATGATATTCATTCTTAATTCAAACAAAGAACTAAACTTTGATTATTGAAACTGGTTTCTTTCAATAAAGAAATCTTTCCATCTAGAAAAAGTATTCTATTGTTTTTTCATTCATTCGAATGATTTTAAAATACTATTCAATTTGTTCGATAATTATAACTTGTATCGCTTTATTCGTTACATTTCTAGTAATTTGTGATCTTTTTGATGAAATTTTCGAGTTCAAACAAGCGTGTAATTTGAATGTTGTCAAGTTTCAGGTAAGCTTAGGAATATTTCAAGAACGAAAATATATATTTTAGACATTTTCTGATAGTGCAAGCGAAACAATGTGGTCTTTAAAACAAAAACGACAAATATTCGGTGGTGCAGTTTGTTTTTAATGAAGCATAAATATGTGTCTAGAAAATCAGATCCTAAGTCGAAAATAAATTTTATAGACTGAATTTTTGCTAATAAAATTTCTCAAGTCTAAAGAAGAAGGAAAAAATAAACTCACACTTATTTTTTTCTGGTTTCAAATATGAGTAATCGCAATTCAAACTTCAATAATTCAGAAATAATACATCAGCTATTTCTAGACGTTTTCATGATTTTATATATTCTAAAAATGAGGGGTGAATTGAAAAATCACGCGACTTCACGTTAAAAAAACATGATTCAAATTTTTTTCAAAAAAAAATTAAATATCAATTCTGGACTGAAAAACCGCAATAAAAACAAATGGAAATAGAGAATTTATTCATTCACATAACTTCTGACAAAATTTAACAAAGATAATTGTCACTGGGATAGAAATATATATATGAAAATTTTAATTTTTTTTCGCATTTTTCAACATGTTTTTACGTGCAAGCAAAAAATCAACATGGTTAAAATAAAAATGATATAAATAGAGAAATATATATAATATATAATATAAATAGATATAAAGTAGTCTCAAAATGGTTCGGAGAGAAAAATGAAAAAAAGCCGAATCGATGTTGTTAGAAGGGAAATGTGTAACATTAAAAAGTAAAACATGGAAATTTTTGAAATTTGGTCTCTTCAATAACTTTTTAAAAACTACACATTCCTTGAGACAAAAATAATCTGCACTATGTGAAATATATAAAGAAAGGCATTAAAAATATAAAAATCTGAAATGGGGGAGCACAAGAAATGAAATGATAACAAAAAAATTGGCGAGTTTTTAAGTTTTGGATGGGTGTAAGAAGCTATTTTAACTCGTATAATATTTGAACTTCACAATAAACTACATTAAAGTCCCAAACCAATATAAAAATGTATGTTAAAATTAAAATCTATGCAATAATCGTTTTCTCATTCTCACAGCTTGATTTTGGTGAAGCTGATGGTGGAGAATCAGTAGTTGATGATCCAGCAGCTGACATATCACTCCAAATTGATTGCAAAATTCCGAAACCAGCATTTGATCCACCGTTTAATGAGATTAGTCTGAAAAACAAACACTCAATACTACAAATATTTTCTCACAATAAAATTATTTTCCCAGACAATAAACATTCAAAAAAATAGAAAAAGAAATAATCGTACCCGTTAGTTGGTGAGTCATTGCGTTGATGCATTTGTTGCTTCATTGGTTGTTGCTTATATTGTTGTTGATAATTGTTATGATGATGTTGCTGATAAAAATTCTTATTCTCCTCTTTTCCATTCAATGATGACCAAACTGATGAATATCCAAACGAATCAAAGTTTCTTGACGACAAGATATCTTTAAAAATAAAGATATTTGATTGAAATGTTTTACAAAATATCAATCAACCAACCGTTTTCTCCAGTTGACCATGGTCCATAACCCATCAATCGACTCAAATTCATCTCGTTTTGGTTTGATTTTGCATTGATCGACATTGTGCTTCCAGTCATATTTCGCATTCGATTCAAAGCATTTGATGGCTATTAATAAAAACAATTTTAATCATGTTAAATTATCTAATTGTGTAATAAAAGTGAAGCCTTTGGAAGAGAATGAAAAGTAACTCTTAGAACAAATTCGGAGATAAAAAAGATTCAACGAATTTTGATCTTGGCATTAACAACAAAGTAATTTCCGAATTCCCGTCCAAAACACTAATTAAAACAAATAACAATATATAGAAAAATCTTACATTCAATGAGGCATTTCCTCCAAGTGAATGTCTATGTGGTTGGAATCCACTGAAAGCATCTTGATTCAAACATCCGCGCATTGATGGGAAACTACGCAACAACGAATCGAATCCAATGCTATTCTCCATTTGACGTGTAAATTCGTTCGACGAAAAATCTTGCGAAAGTCCAAATGAATTTGAAGCTGGAGTTGCTCCACGTGAGACCCCATTTGCATTCGGAAGCGATGATTCGTGGTTGAGTGGAATACCATTCGAGAATTGCGAGAGACCACTTGATGGATCAGTGATTGGCATATTTCCAGTTCGGTGATAAATGTGATGCTCGATTTCTTTACGAGCAGCTTCCACGTTTTGTGGGAGTCCAGTCACCTGAAAATATCATTTTTGGAAAGAAATTGGTTAATTTCGAAGTGGACCCCAATAGATGTATTGTTACCCTTCATCATTTCTGTATTTTTCACCTCTCAATTTTGTTAGATAAAATCAAACGCATGGCATTAATTACCACCTAAAATCGATTTATTTTCCTTCTAAACATGATAATTACTACTACCAGAAAATTGAGGAAAAATCAGGTTGATGAACAACGTGTTGTCACTATGAGAGAGAGAAGAGAACCCCCAAATTATTCAACTGTAATGTGATGATCGAAATGAACAATTTCGAATTCTTCGACAAAAAGTTCCAGTTTGTATTGAAATAAGCCGATCAATGCCACAAATCTTTCTTTTGTCTTATTTATACAAATGTTCGTCATTCTCAGTTGTAAACCAATTTGACATATTGCATTGTCGGCCATCAAATCGAGTCATAAAGTGAGTTGAGCCGAAAAACCACAAAGTGGTCAACACAAAAACTTCTTTCACAAATTACTAATTCTATTAGAAACAAAGACCCCCGATAAAAGTTCAATACTTTTTTTCTATCGTGACATCCACAATAAATTGTTGTTCTTTTATCTATTTTTTCTTCAACATTGGCGGCATCGCGTGACATCTTTCTTCCTTTTCCTTTTTTGCCTCTTAAACGGTAATCGTGTCAACCCAAATTATCCACACACACATACATAGTACATAAATGCATATTCAACGAGATGCAACAACAAAAAAGTCCCAAGAGAATTATTACATCCAATGAGAGATCACCAAATTAAAAAGATGGCAATCTTTGTTGTTACATACAAATACATATGGAAATGGATGGGCTCATTCGAAAATCTTCTACCACCACTATTGTCAAAGTTGAAAAATGTGGCAGCCGTAAAAAATGAAAAACAGTGCAGAGCTGAATGAATGACAAAGTCATTATTTCGTCAGTCGCGTGCGGCTGTGCGTCGCGGTCGAAAAACAATCAATTATTTATTTTTTCCTTTGTTTTTTGGCCGCGACGCTCAGCCGCACGCGACTGACGAAATAATGACTTTGTCATTCATTCAGCTCTGCACTGTTTTTCATGTTTTACGGCTGCCACATTTTTCAAATTCGACAATAAAAGTCAAAAAATAAATCGCCTTTTTCTAAATTCGAAAAAAATACATTATCTTGTATACCCATTATGCGATTCTGAATAAGATAACATTTTCCTCGAAAAATGTGTGGACTAAATACTCTCTAATTTAAAATTCTAATCAAAATTGACAATTCGAAATTTACTCCAAGCAAGTTAATAAATATGTTTTTAATTCGCGAAATCCGAGCAAATATTGGTTTCTCGTTTATTCATTATATTGTTGTTTTTCAAACAAAACACCACAATCACGCCAACCCAAACAACAACAAAACTATCAAATTTCGTTGTTCGTCATTATAATTCATATCAGTCATAAATTCTGCTTCTCATTCTTTTTTGTTTTTGTTCAAAGAAAATATGTTGCACGAGTGGTGGTATTAGTAAACCAATAAAATATTTTCGGTTGTTTTTCAACCAACATCTGTTCTTGCGCACTCTCTTTGTTCATTTTACACGGGAAGGGAAAGATATAAACAAAAACAAGCCCCGGTTTGTTTCTTTGTGTCTACGTTCGAAAAATATTCTAATGGCATGAAACAGGATACTGTAAAGAGAGAAAAACAAAACAAAAAACATCAAAACATACCTCGAAAATTGGTTCACGTTCTCTACTTGGTGTTATAATATAAGTGTGAGTATCTTGTTGAATTCGTTTGATTGTAGCACCTTTTGGACCAACAACCAATCCAACAACACGAAGTGGAACTCGAACATAAGTTGTAACATGTCCTGGAGCTGGAGCACCTCCTGAAAAAGCAATAAAGTTGAAAGTCTAACTAGATAATTACAAAATACCTTGCGAATGACGTCTTGATGCTCTAATTTGTGTGAAATGTTCAGCAGCACACTCTATTTCCCGTTTTGCCTCATTTACATCTTCTGGTCTTCCGGTAACAACGAATACAGGTTCTTCTCCACGAATTGGTGTTTTTATATAGGTGTTAGTTTTAGCACGTAGAGCTTTGATTTTGCATCCTATAAAATGAAGAGACATTAGTATTTAAATGTAAATTACTCTCTTTGTCTCAATTTTTCTACAAACGCGCTTTGTTCTAAAAACACAGTGTATATCTGAATAAATTTCGATTCTTTTTTTGTTTGAAGAGGAATTTTAAATTCACAATGAGAATATCTAAATTTCAAAATCTTAGGGCAAATTTACCTTGTCTTCCAACAATTTCGGCAACATGTTCAGAACTTGGAACTTCAACCGATTGTGTCACATTTCGAACACCGGCTCTCGAATTCATAAACAATGCTGCTTCTTCAGAATCGCTAATCGGCGAACAAGACAATCCTTCGTGACCTTCTTCATAAAACCACGAACCCGGCATATTTGGGAACGGAATGTTTTGGATTGGTTGTGAGAAGGTTGCTGGTGGCGGTGTAACTGAAGTTGAGGAAGGCGATGATGAAAATAGTGAAGATGTTGTTGTAATTGATTGTTGACCAGTTGGTGGAACAGCAATCATTGTAGAATGAGGTGAAGTTGTTAATAGTGGTGACGAAAGAATGAGTGTATCGTCTTTCATTCTGAAAAAAATGAACTATTTATAAAAAAATTGAATTTAAAACATCAAGAATTATTATCATTAAGGTACGTAACAGCTAATTATTAAAAAAAAACACCTAGCACTACTTTCTTTCTAATATAACATTAAAAAGAGGAGAAAAAATCAGGAGCTGTCAGAGAGGAACCGTAAAAAAAGAAGAAACGCGCACATTTGGCGATGAATGTGGGCGGAGCCTTTGGCGACTGGGAGATGGAGAGAAACAGAAGATGAGGGGAAAACCACAATTTATTATACAACATGTTTACTCAATACAATTTGGCGCCAAATTCAAATACAAAAAGAAGAAGAAGAAGAAACATTCGATAATGATTTATTGAGAATGAAGTGAAAAGAGCCTAATTAGTTTAACAATTTGTCTTCGTTAAAATCGAAGAAATATTTGAACACAAAACCAAAGACTGAATTGAGAAACAAATTATGTGTAAATAAGCATAATGAGCCGAAATCAGACAACTTACAATTAGGAAGCTAATTATATCAAATAAATGTGATCACAAAATTTAAAAATTCGTATTTAGGAATAACGAGTGAAAAGCTACGTTTGGTAAGGTATCCTTTCATTGCTTTGTGCCAAATGGGGACCAATCAGACACACTCAAACATGATGAACTAATCTACAGTTCAGAGTTATATTTCGAATAATTGCAAGAATTTGCAGAATTTCGCAATGTTTTTATTTCAACATCAAAATGAGAATTCTAAGAAACTCTTGGTTTGAAAAGCGTCGTCGTACCCGAAGGTTTTTCTGACATGTGAAACAGTAATGTAACTTTTCTGGAGCTCCAAAGTTGGAATGGAGTTTTGGTTGTCCATTCTCATCATTTTCCCGAGTGAAAAATCAATTTATAACTTGAATAAGGTTGTTCACCACATTCGATAGCCTATCAGATTTTTATTTCATCAAAAAATGAAACAGAAGCTGAAAACTGTAATTTTTGAAAAATCACAAAAATTCATACAAAAACACAAGACGCAAGTTTTTTTTCACACAGGATTTTTCAAGTTTTTAGATAGGTTTTCAAATGCGCTGAACAACCTCGGTCAAGTTATACAGGTTGATTTATCACGCAGGACATGGTGAAAATGGGCTATAACGAAAACTCAATTTCAACTTTGGAACTCCAGAAAAGTGCTCACATACATTTGTGTCAATTTTTGACTTCGGGATCGTGATCAGCATGGCCGATTTAGTATATTTCGATATGTTCCATCAAACGCTCAGAACCTAACCTCATGCACTTCCCTTGTACTTAAAGGACACGTGTGAAACATTTTTTTCAAATACGTGGTTTTTCTCATAACGATTTTTGTGATTTGGGTTGGTTGTTTGAAAATTCACCTATTCAATGGAATGTTTTCAATTCGTAAATGTTAAGGTCAGCTTTTGTTTCTTTTCAAACTCCCACCACCGTAACCCAAGTATTTTTCTTTTCTTTTGAAATGTGTGAAAAGAAAGCGCGCAATCGATGGCCGAAAACAACTCAAAAAGAGTAGAAAAAATGAAAAATAAAAAGAGGGATTGTTGCCATTTTAGCGCAGTAGGTGAATAGTGGAAATGTCTACCTCTTATCTCATCACACCATCATACAAGACGTCGCACATTTCGAAAATGAAAAAGAGAAATGTTTTGAGAACGGCGCGTGTCACCTTAATTATGTGGTATCAACTCTAAAAACTATTTTTGTTTAAAAATCAACAACTTTTTTCCCAGCGGAAAAATGAGATCGTCAAAGAACCATTACACCGAGAAACAAAAACATACACATTTTATATAATTAAAAATTGTCCGACAGTGTGCAAAGCCTTAAATTTTTCTCATTTATTTTTGATGCGACCAGCTATACTTTCTTTGGAAAAAAAAGAAAATATGTTTAGAAGACCGAAATATGCCTAATTTTTGCGGGTCGCGGATATAAATGTCGAAAATGGATTAAATGAATGAGGGTCAAAAAAGAAGAGCGAAACGAGGCAAAGAAAAACTGACACAAACAAAGGGGTAATAAAACAAAAATCGAGGTGGAATGGTGAAGAAAACGAGGTGTACTTCTTGTTCATCTTTCTTTTTTTCCTTCCCGTCACTCACACCCCAAACCGACCGATGACATCTTTGGCGCGATAACTCGACATGAGACACACGACCAGAATGTCGGCAACTGCGACTATGACAAATTGCTTGTGGGTCTTGTGAGTAGGAAAAGCAAAAATGTACTTTCCGATCGGAGTTTTTTTTTCAAACACATACTTTTTCGACCGATCTGATTATATGGAAAAAAAACGGGGGGGGGAAGAGGAAAATTGATACTTTTGAGTAGTCAATGGTTCTGAATTCCTTAACACATCTCGGCTAACTGAACCGCATACAAATTGCTGATTCGGGTATAAATTAGCCAAAATCTGGATAATGCGAGTTCCTGCGTGGAGAGAACTGACAATACGACCATCATCGAAACACAAAGCACTCATGTTCCATTTTGGTTCACCGGCATACTACGTGAGTTTTGATGGATGTACTTTCAAAGTACTTCGAATAAAAGAAGCATCAATTTCATTTCTTGTAAAAATGCCTCCCTAGCAAAAAGTGCAAGACTATAATAATAAATATAATTCGAGACAAGATTTGAGAAACACAAAAAATGCCGATAAGATGATGGTTGGATAAAAAAAGAGGGAAAAGAGACACTTCAATCACTTTTCCTTTTTTGGCAGCAACAAAAAAAGAACAAAAATAGAGAAAACAAGGCAAACTTGAACGTAACAACAAAATGTTTCAAAAGGAATAGTTTTTAAACTTTGGAACGTCTGAAAGCTTGCCCTAAAAAACAAAAACTCAGGCAGTAGAAAACTCCGGAGGGGAACCAGAAAACGCAAAAACTCTGGAGATAGGCCAAAATGGGTACAGAAAATCGAGAGAGCGCCTGTTTTTTCTAGTTTGTCACGTCTTTCTAGTTTGATTTTGGCGATTCTCTGGAGCAAATCGCTGTCGATCGAACGCGCTCCATCGAATGATGACAATGACGAGTCATTTTTTCATTTCATTTATTTTTTCCGTTTTTCTAGTTTTTGCTATTTCCTTTCAAAATCACTCAATTTTCAGAGTTTCATAGTCTGATTTGATAATTTTCAGACAGTTAAAATCGGCCAGAAGCATTGCGCGCCCTACGACATCGTCATAGATAAAAGTCAACCTGGACTTGGGATGAAATTAGCGATTTTTGCTCCTGGTGAGTGAAGTTTCTTCAAAAAAGGTAAATACTGGTTTTATTTGTAGATTCAACTGGATCCCGTTGCGCCAGGAGAATGGAGAAAACAAAGGCTCGCTCGATTTTTATTCCTGGATGATAGATTTGTAACATTCCGAAAACCGTGAATCACAAGATGTCTTCTATTTATAAGGTAAGTCATCAGAGAGAAAATTTATGTTACGTATATTTCTTAAGTGTTTGAGCTTTCAAATTTTCCAAATTCCGAACTTATAATCTATCTCATCCCAGCTCTCGAAAAAACCGTTCAAAATTAGAAATTACACTAAATCATTCACTGGGTGAACATATCCTTTCAAATCTATTATCATTTTCAATTTTTCAGCATGAAACGTGTTCATGATGTCTCTACACAATGCTGAATTTGTCAAAAAATTGCTCGAAATCGCAACAAACAGAAGATTCCGTCAGAATAATTGCGAAATCAACACCAAATCTTCATCAAAATGCATGCCTAATCTTGTGATGCTCACATTCTACTCGTTTGGACAATGGATCAATCAGAAAATAATTAATTTCTCTATTTTGATGTAAATTAATATTGATTTTTGAGAGTGAAAGACTAGAATGTATTCGAAAAAAGCAGGCGACAAAAACGAAAAAACTCTAGAGAATCGACAAAAAAGTTCCGGAGAATCGCCAAAGCGTACCGAGAAAAGGTCTGGAACCGGGTTTGGAGCCTTTTTAGCGACATTCTCGTTCCATTTTGGCGAAACTCCGGAGTTTTCTACTGCCTGAGAAGTGTCCTAAAATTCTCGCGTTTCGTTTTTTTCGTGAAAAGAAAAATGTTTTTCGCGCGCGCGCTTTTTGCGGTTTAAAAAAACAGTGCAATTTGTGTGTCCGCAATTGTTGCATACCGTATACTTTTTTTATTTCGTGAGGGAAATTAAATTTTTTACTAAAAGTAAAGATGCAAAATAAAGCCGAAGTTGCGAAAAATGGCAAAACAAAACATCAATATATAATAACATGTTAAGCATCTTGCCAGTTGCATGAAGAATTGCAAAGAAAAAAAAACGAAAAAGCTCAATCGGGTGAAATGAATGAGCAAAAAATAATTAGATGTCGGTCACTTTCTTCTACCAGACAAAAAGCTAACTTTTGACTTACTCTTCAATTTCTAAATTAAAATCACTGGATGAAATTATTATTAGAAAATAATGATTGATGCATAAGTTTCATATTCTCTGAAAATAAATGAAAATGGAAAAAGGAATAAAAAAGGCAGAAGGAAATAAAACAAAAAATAAAACGAAAATAATTTAATGATGAACATATCCTTTTTGGAATCAAAACCCATCTGCTCCATTGTTTGACAGCTGGACTGAATAACCTTGATCAGGTAAAAAGACAAAAAAAACTAGTATGAAAGAAAAATCTACGCTGACTCTATTCGAAAGGGTAAAGAAGAATAAGAAGAAGCGAATTGATAGAGACTGGAATATATTCTGAAAACTCAACTCACATTATTCATTTTTCTGAGAATTTGGGAGAGATTGAAAACTAGAAATGATATTTTTATATAATTTTTTTGGGAAAATAAAACATGTGATAATTTAATTTTCGCGTGAAAATTTTTGATTCAACAAAAATCTACAATTTTTTAAAATATAAATGAGATAAAAAGTTTTTCTAATGGGGCTATTCAAGTATTTTCTCAACACGCTGAGAAAACAGGAGAAATGCGGAGAAAATGTATTTTCTTCACTTTTTTCGTATTTTCTCAGCCTACCTGAATAGGTTTTCTTCGCTTTTCTCAGCGTTGAGAAAATAACTTGAATAGTCCCATAAACATCTGTCACTATGATTTTTTAAATAAAAAATAAATAGGGTCATTGATTTGTAATGGAAAGGAGAATATCATATAACTTACGGTATTTTTCGAATTAAAACTATAGTTCGAAAAATCGAATAGTTTCGAAATTTTTTGTGTTAAAAATCAGTTTAGAAACATAATTTTGAATAAAAAATGGAGCAGAATTTTCTCTTGCATATTCAAAAAGTAGAAAAAACAACAATGGATTTTCCGAAAACCGTATAAAAATCTAAACAAAAGTCGAGTTTAAAAATTCGAAAAAAAAAACCGCGCGAAAATGGCGCGCATTTTTTCCTCAAGGACAACATATTTCATTTGCCATTCAAAACTTTTCTTCAAATATAAATAAAAATGCGCTAAAGTTTCAAAGGATCGTTCAAAAGATTCCAAATTTTTAAAAAAATGTTTCCAAAAAAATAGAAAGCACAAATATTGACCTAACATCCTTTCTATTTTTTTTTTGGAATAATATTTGTTCATTGAAACTGATAGTACTCAAAAGCTACTCGAATTATAGATATCTCATTTTTTTTCTGCCCAATGAATTTTGAAATGATGGAGAAACCCACGAAATTGACATTTTACGACGTAGTAAATTTTGAAGTCTTCAAAATTTTAAAGTTTTTTGAGAAAAAAATTTAGTAACTAAAATGATCCAGTTTTCAGAATAATTATGACAAAAAAAATGTTCGAGGGAAAATTGAAATAGAAGGTCATATTTAGTTACTTATACTAATAATAACAACTAAAATATATAGAATAGGAAAATAATTCTGCTTATAAAAGAATTGTTTTTTTTTATCAATCCAAAATCATTAAAGATTCAGACAAACATATTCGACTACTGTAGAAAGAAATATGAATTTGGAAAAATCTACTTGAGATTTAAAAAAAATGGTTCAAAAATGTGGACGAAATTCACAATGTTATCTTGGTTAGCTCAAAATAAGTTTTAAAAAATAATTCAGGAAATTCATCTTGCTACAAATTGACCTGGAAATTTTTCTGAAACAAAAAAACCAAATTTTGGATTTAAAGCTGGGAAAAATTATTTGAAATCTACTTGGAAAGTACATTAGTTTGAGGTCTATTAATCTTGGCTACAAAAATAATCAATCGTAAGTTTACAAATCCAAAAAAAAATATGGGCAAAGTATTTTCAGTTAGTCAGTCAGTCTCATATTTCTTATTTGATGTTTCTTGTTTTCTTATGGCAGCGCGGAAATGCCCGACAGTTTTAGCAAACAAAACAACAAAAACGGAAATTGATAGACTGAATGCGCGAGTGAAAAAGAAATGGAATTGTGGAGGAAAAGCGCGCAAGCAAGTGAAAAAAAGCCAAGCGAGCGAGCATATTTCGCGCCTCCTTCCGCATATTATCAGTTGCTTAAATAAACAAATCAACACGTTTTAAGAATCAATGAATATAATCAAATTAATAATTTCGTGCAAAAAAAAAACGAATACGGAACTTGGCAAATATCAATTAGATCAATTTTTTCTGACATTCAATGTTTTTACAAATTATAAGGTTGGATTTGGAATTTCCGTTTGTTTTTTTGTAAACCTCAGAAAATTTCCAATAAATGTGGATTACTGTATTTTATCTCAATTTGAACACTTCTTATTTTACACATTCAATTGAATGAAAATTGAAGACAAGTAAATTTTTCAAATTAGAAACTGAGGAATTTTTATTTTGAATATTTTCATAATTCAATTTCAAGAAAAACCTGATTTTCTAAATAAATTCCCTAATTACTGAAATTGTTTTGATAACTACAATAATTCAATAATATTTTTTTCGAAAAGTCAAATTTAGTCAGAACTAAAGATTTTTGAAACCATAATTCTGAATTTTTTACGTTTCAAAAATTTTTTTATTGTTTTCTTGAGCATTTTCAGATGATATTTTTAAACAAAATCAATTTTTGTCAACAAATAAACAAATCATTAATTAAATTAAATAAACAATAAAAATCAAGAGATCAAAACAAATCTTTCAACGGCGATCATTTCTTCGATATTCGCGGCTTCGGCTTCGATTTCTTCGAGAACTAGAAGAATGCTGTCGATTTGGACTTCTGCTTCTGAAAAATTCAAATTTCTCCAAAGAAAAACATTTGTAAAAAAACAAACCTTTTTCTTTCTCGATTTCTATCATAATCTCTTTCATCTTTTCTTTTTGATCTTTTTGGTGATGGCGATCTTCTTCTTCTATATTTTGGTGATGGACTTCTTCTTTTCTTTCTATCATTTTCTTCATTTTTGTATTGTTTTTGTGTCGATTGTTGTTTTTTCTCTTCTCCTTTTGATTCTAAAAATCAAAAATTATATATAGTTTGGATAAAAATAATATCACCGAGAATTTATTCGGAATTTTTTTTCAAAAAAGACAAAAAATAACTTCATACTCACTTGGTTTGTATTTGAAATTCTGTGACACAGATTGTGAAAAATCAACATGAATTCTTCTGTCATCAATCAATACGTTATCCATTTTGAAATACGCATTTTCACAACTTTTGGCCTGAAAACAATAATCTCATACTTGTTTTAATTTTTTTGAATGAATTCTTTTCTTACATTATCAAATTCAATAAATGAATATTGCAATGAATCACCAGTTCGTCGATCTCGAATGATTTCACAATTATTGATTTTTCCGAATCGAGAGAAAATAATTTCCAAATCTTCATCAGTTGTAACTGGATTCAATTTGCAAACAAATAATACATTTTCAGGGGGAACTTCATCAGCATCTTTCAAATCTCCAACCATTTCCAAAATTTGTGCTTGTTCTGCCATTTCTCGATTTCTAATTTCTTCTGCAATTTCTTCAGCAGTCTTTCCTTCATCTTCATCGTCTTTTTCATCAAGAGCAATTTGATCAGTCTGAAAAATGAATTTTTCAAATGTTTACGGTTCTTATCAATCTCGGAAAAATCGAGCAACACTTATTTCTAATAGCATGACTTTTGCTCATTTTTTTCCTGCAATTTTTATAATCCAAACTCACTTTGATCAACATTTCATAAGTTGGCGATGGCGATCTACTTGGATATTTAATTCTATCATCTTCATCAAATGGATCATCTAATACAATTGTATGCGAAATTCGAATATCCCGAAACGGTTTATGATCCGAATTCGTAAGTTGTTCATTCAATTTTTCAAGTGTTTCAATTCCTTCAGTAACTTGTCCAAATATTGTGTGTTGTTCGTCCAAATAATCCAAACTAAAAAAAAATGAATATAACGATATTAATAACATTAAAATGAAAAAATAATACTTTTCTCCCAACGTGACAAAAAATTGGCTTCCAAGCATATTATCTCCATTATTCACAAATGAAACAACTCCTAATCGAGTATGTCGCATTTTCGGCAAATCTTCTCTCTCAAAATATCTCCCTTGTTCACCATATAAATCGCTGGAAAAAGTATTCACTAGATTATTTTTCATAATGAAAACGAACCTATAAATTGATTCTCCACCAGTTCCTGTACCCGTTGGATCACCAGTTTGTGCCACATAATTCTGTTCGATACTATGAAATTGGCATAAATTGTAATATTTCTTTTTGCATAACTTGATAAAATTGAGTGAACCTTAAATTCAATTATTTTATCAATTGTTTTTTGTTTTTGAAAAAATTCTTACATCTCGGTCTTTCTTTGATAAATAAATCAATAACTAAGTCTCCAAGAGTAGTTTCGACCAAAACTGACATCTGAAAACCAATTTTTTTCGAAAAAAAATATTTTTTTGAAAATATATTGAAGTATCTAATTTTTAGGTTTTGAAAACCAATTTTTAAAATTAATTTCAAAAAAAAATCCCAAAAAACTTTATATAAAAACCCGAAAAATCTCCCAGGAACATGCAATAAAATATTGTACATTTAAAACAATTCACATTTATACACATTATGTTGTTGAAGTTGCTTCTTCGGTCGCAGCTTTTTTGAAAAATCGTCCAGTATACAAACCAGCAACTAATCCACCAACTCCAGCTGCAATTCCAGCAATTGCAGATCCAGCAGTTAATCCAACAGGTCCACCAATTGCTAATCCACCAATAACACCAGCCACCAATGGCGTTTTTGCAGCTTTTGATGCAACTGCTTTTTTCAGTTGTTCATTTCCTCGTTTTACATCTTCATTAGCTCTTTCAACTTGTTCCTAGAAAAATAAACAATTGGGTTTCAGTATGGACTAACTAACTAATTAAGTATGTGGATTTTTTGCATCAAAATATATTTAAAAATTAACTACAGTGATACAATTTTATTTTTTGACACGTCATAACGATATCCAAAATGATTCCTACAAAATCGGACTACGATATGATTATCCGAAAGTAAAATTTGGTCAGAAACAACGTTTTCCGAAAAATTTTGATGTTTTAAAATGTTTCAATTTATTTTTTTACTAAACATCAAAATTTATTTGAGAACTCTTGAAAAATTCAGATATCAAATCATTACCTCAATAGAATCAACAACTTCGTGTTGTTCATGTACAATTCTTGATAATTCACTAAATATTTGTTCCAAATCTTGCATTTCTTGTTCAATTTTTCTCGTTGCTTCCGCTTTTTCTTTCGCATCCTGTGCAAATTGTCTCATTTCACTCTCTTTTTTCGCACTTTCCTGAATATATCTTTTCGATTCAGTTTCATATGGATTCTCATCTTCATCTTCTTGTTCTTCAAATGGATTACGACCAATTTTCAATTCAGGTAAATTTCTGTTCATATTTACACATGTTTGAATTTGTTTTCGAATTGGTTCAATTCTTTGTTCAAATAAATCATGAAATTGTGGATCAACATCATCTCTCATTTTCATTGCTTGTTCCAATCCTTGAAGCAACTGATTTTCATATTGTGAAATCTAAATATTTTTCAATTTAGGACAAAAAAACAATTAGAAAATTTAAAATTACCGTATTCCTAACATGCAAATTATCTCGATTTCCTCCTTCCAAAACACATTTTTGTAACTTTTTCAACTCAGCCAATTTGCTTGCAGTCATTCTTTCATATCTGTCCAAAACTAGTGAAATTCGATTCATCTGCAAAAAAATGATATGAGGTGAATTTAGAAAAATCAAAAATAAAATATGGATTTGAAAACCATAAATTTTCCGCAACAAAAAAAGAAGAATGCATTTTAATAATTTAATTTTCAAAAATTCAGCAGCAACAACAACAACAATAAATTAACGTCCAAGTTTGGCAACAAATTGTTGAATTTCGCGATGGAAAGACCTGAAACAAAAATAATTGAAGAGTGGGCGAGAAAATTCCCAATCCATGGGAATTTCCAAAAATGTTCGAAAAAAAAAACAAACCTTCCAGCTGATTTTTGAGCCTCTGATATATTTTCCAAAGTTGATATAAATTGCCGAAGTGATGTAATTCCACCCATATTCAATAATTGATCATCGAGTTGTTCAAAAAGAGCTCGAATTTTTCTTTCACATGAAACATCATTTTTTGATCCCGTTCGAAGAGCCACAATACATGTTCCATTCACTATTTTTTCAATAATAAATTCGAAACGAATTGCAGATGACAAAATAGGCGACAATTTATTGATGGATTTGATGAGCTGAAATTCAAATTCAAATAAAAATAAAAATACATTCCAATATGAAACTTTGCTCTTTTCATGTGTCTTTCGATTTATTGCAAGCCATTTTTGAAACAATTTCGAGGTATCAAACTTCAAAATGTTTAATTGACAGTTGCTCTAAGCACTGATAAAATAAGTGAGATGGACACATTGTCAATTTGGAGAAATAGATAAGACTAGTATAAAAGAATATTCTGGAACACAATTAGACATCACAATTTCAACGATGAAGTTTGTCTTCGTGTTGGCACTTGTGGGAGCCACTTTGGCTGCCCGTCATCACAATCAACAACAACAATCGATTGATGTGCAAGAAAGGTTTGTCTAACATTTATTGTAGCTTCTTATTTACAGTAATTCTTTGTTTCTAGCTCTTTCCGTGCTGATCGTGAATACCGTTATGAATTCAATGGTCAATTGTCAGCCGGTCTTCCAGTTCCATCAACTCCACAAGGTCTTACTCGTCTTCAATCTCTTGTTACTCTTCAATTCACCAAGAACAACAAAGTCCGTGCTCAATTATCAAATGTCAAATTGGCAACATCTCAAGAGAAACAAAACACTCGCGAAATGCAACCAATGAAGAGATTCGAACAAGTTGAACTTGAAGAAACTCAAGTTTTGTCTCTTCCATTTGCTTTCACTTACAAACACGGAATTGTCAGCGAATTGACATTTGCTCAAAATGATCAAGTCTGGTCTGAAAACATCAAGAGATCTGTCATCAATATGTTGCAAGTCAACAATTTGAGAAAGGAATCCAAAAGAAACAGTGAAGAACAAGAAGAACAAGACAACAGATCAGTCTTTGTTTCAATGGAAAAAACTTTGGAAGGAGAATGTGAAGTTGTTTATTCGGTCGAAGAAACTGAACAACACAATGGAAACCAAAAATGGAGTAAGTCATTTTATAAAAAAACAAGAATATACTATAAGAGTTCTGATTTTCAGCCAAATCAATCAACTTCGACAAATGCACACAAAGACCAACTCTTCATCACACTCAAGTTGAAGTTTGCCAAGATTGTGAAACACTTTCCCAAGACAAGAAGAGCTTCTCAATCTTCCAATTCAACATGACAAATGAATATCTCGTTGATTCAGTCGAACTCCGCTCTCAACAATTGTTTGCTCCAATGGATTCTCGTCATCAACTTCTCGGTGCCTTCACCATCAACACCCTTAAATTGGTTTATGCTGGAGAACAACAAGAAAAAATGGAAAAAATCACTGAAGACAAGAAGACTTCTGATTTGATCTATGATCAAGAATTGGAAATTGCTGAACAAAGATGGGCTCAAACTGGAGAAGAGAAATATTTGAGACAAATGCAAAACGCCTACAAGAACCGCGTTGAAATGATCGAAAAGATGTTCTCCCTTCTTACAACTCAAATTCAAGAACATGTTGGATCTGAATCAGCTCACACTGTTGCCAGAATTGTTGATGTTATCAGAACATGCAATGAAGACGATTTGGAAAGAATCTCAAAGATTGTTGATCAACAAAACAAGAGAGAAATCCTTGATATCTACACCAACATTTTGACATTGGCTGCTACTCGTGTTACAATTCAAGAATTCATCAAGAGAGCCGATGAAATGAGCCCAGTTAAAGTTTCAGTTGCCTTCAAGACTTTGGTTGATCTTCGTTATCCATCAACCGAAATCGCTCAAGATCTTGTCAAATTCTGTGAATCCACCAGAAATCCAATGATCCAACAATCATGCTGGTTGACCTACGGAGCTGTTGTCAACGGAGCCTGCGGAAGAAACTCCAGAGTTCTTGCCCAAAAACCAGTAAGTTAAACAAACCATATTGAAAACAATATACATATATTTGACTTCCAGACTTGCACAAGAAACACCAAGCAAGAAATTGTATCAAAATTGGTTCAAAGATTCGAAGCCAGCCAAAACAAGAACCAACAAATTCTTGCCTTGAAAACTTTGGCCAACGCTGGACTCGATCTCTCAATCTACCCACTTCAAAAGATCATGAACAACAACCAAAATGATATTCTTATCCGTGTTCAAGCTGTTGAAGCTCTTCGTCGTCTTCGTCAAGAAATGCCACGCAAAGTTCAACAAGTTCTTCTCCCAGTCTACAAAAACAATCAATATCCACAACAATTGCGTGTTTCTGCTCTTCATCAACTTCTCCAAACTCAACCAGAATGGCCAGTTCTTTCTCAAATTGCTCAACAATTGAGACAAGAAACTCAACAACAAGTCCGCAGTTTCACAATTTCAATGCTCCGTGCTATTGCTGACAATCAATCACCATGTGAACAAACATTCGCTGCTCGTGTCAGATCTTTGGTTCAAACTGTTCGTTTCGAAAAAGACGAGATGCTCCAAAGCAAATATGTTAAATGGTCAAAATATTCGCTCAAACATCAAACTGGATACGAAATGAATGCTGCTGCTCTTTTCACATCTGATTCTCCATATCCAACTGATATGATGGCTTCAATTGAAGGAGTTTTCGCCGGAGAATGGAACAAATATTTCGCTCAAGCTGGATTCAACCAAAAGAACATCCAAAAAGTTTTGAGACAAATTCAAAAGAATGGACTTGAACAAGTTATTGTTCGCGGAAAACGTGCTTCAGATGAAGGATTCCACCCAAGTGAAATCTGGAAGAATCTCATGGAAAAACTCTCATTCACCCCAAGACAACAAAACAGTGAAGATCCACATGCTTTGGTCTACTTGAAATACCGTGATATGGACTTTGCTTTCCTTCCAGTCGATGTTCAACTTCTAGCCAATGGACAAATCAATGTTGACACACTCGAAAAGATGGTCAAGGATATTAAATTCACTCAAACTGCCGCTGCTTTCCTTTACGAAACAACTCGCCGTGTTCCAACTCCACTTGGTCTTCCAGTTGAACTCAACGCCAAAGTTCCAACTATTGCTAATGTCAATGGACAAATCAAGGTTGAACTTACACCAAAGAACAGCAAATCATTCGAAGGACTTCGTGCTCATATCAAGGCTCATCCACGTGTTGCTGCAACTCATATTGCTTCCCTCACAATTGTTTCTCCAATGACTGTTACCGGAACCAAATTCATCCACGAGATGGTTTTGAACACACCAATTGACGCCAAGATTGAAATGAGCTGGGAAAAAGAATTCAACATGGAAATCACCCACAACAACACTCCAGCCCCACAACTTTTGTCCCTCCAATCTCGTCCAGTTACATTCACCAAGACCATCGACCAAAATGCTCGTCAATACCCAGAACCAACCGAAAGAACATGGATGCTTGAAAACAACCAAGTTTTCACAAATGAAATGAACCAACAAGTTGGAGACTTCAAAATTGAAGGAACATGGAACATGCCAACAATGCACAGAGTTCCAAGCTGGATTTTGGATAACTCATTGATTGTCTCATATGAACCATCAGAGAAAACCAGCCAACTTCTTAAATGCAAATCTGATATGTGCGAATCTAAATTCGATGATGTCACCGCTGAACTTCGTATTAACAAGGAAAGACGTTCATTCGAATTGGACACTCAATTCAGAAAACAACAATTCCGTTACGAATCTTCCAACTCAATGAACTTGGAAATTGCTCCAGTTTGTTCAATCAAATCAAGCAAAGTTACCACATTCGACCGTGTTGTTTATTCCAACAAACTCACAAAATGCTTCTCAGTTGTTGCTAAAGATTGTAGCGAAACTCCAAGATACACTGTTTTGATGAACAATGCCAAACAAATGATGATTTTGTACAAACAAAACGAAATCGAATTCAACGGACAACAATCTGAACAACAACCAATTGTTAAGGTCAACGGAAAACAACAAAAACAAATGGAACAAGGAGAAACTGTTGAAAACAAACACTTCCAATTGAGATTGATTGATGACTCAACTGTTGAATTCAAATCATCTGACTTGACTGTTAGATTCGACAGATACGAAGCCACCATTCAAATTTCTGCTGATTATCACAATCAACAATGTGGACTTTGCGGACACTACGATAACGAACAAAACACCGAATTCGTTGATGCCAGCAACAAACAAGTTGAAATTAACGTAAGATCCAGATATCCTATTGTAGTAAAATAACTCATATTTTTTTCAGGACTTTGCCAAGAGTTACGTTTACAACAACGGAAAATGCGAATACAACGACGAACATTTCTCAAAGAACTCAAAACACTTCAAGATCGAAAGAGATGAATACGAACAAGACGATGAACAATATGAACAAGAAGAACCAAGACAACAACAAGAACAAGAACAAGATGAAGAAGAACAAAACGAAACTCCAGTTCAAAGAACTATGGTTATCGAAAGATCCCAAAAGATTTGCTTCTCTCAAGAAGAAGTTGCTCAATGCAAAAACGAGAAGAACATGAGTGAATCAAAGAGACAAATGGTCAACTTCTTGTGTCTTCCATCATCAAACTCATGGGCCAAACAACAAATGCGTCAAATTCGCAGAAACTTGGCTCAACCATGGCAACAACAAGACAAACTTGAACAACAAGAATCAGTTGTTGAACGTGAATACCGCGTCCAAGTTGCTCAACAATGCTAAACTTCAACTTGAAAAGCATTATTTCAATTTTCTCATATTCATTGTAGATAGTTATTTTTCAGGATAATGAATATTTTTTAAAGTAAAACCATGTTTTGTTTTCTTCTGTTAGAATTGTCAGAATTTCGGAAACATTTTCCGAAATCTACAAGAAAACGTATATAAATAGAACTAACCTTGATGGATGTCCAATATTGTCTATCATGAAAAGCTTTGCAACCGGTCGATGAATTTTCCAAAGCAATCGATGAAAACATTGGAATAAATAAATCTTCTTCGATCGAATTTAATATTTTATCTCGAATTGTTTCCAAAAACTCATTGAAGATTTTTGATTTTTCCGTCAGATTTGGCAATTTTCCAAATATCGAACAAAATTCAGCTAATTTCGAGGTCTGTTTCAAAGACATTGGATCCCATTCATCTCTGATTGTATCTATAAAAATTAATATTCTTAAAAATGAACTAAAAAACTTAATTTACCTATCAGAAAGGGTAGAACAACTTTTTCAATGATAGCTGGAGCAAGATTCACTAGAATTTCATGTTCTTGATCAATATCAATATTTTCAGATCCAGCAATAATAACATCTTTGAACCATTGCATCGAATCAATCAAACAATCAGTCTGAAAATATAAACATTGAAGGTGGAGCCATAGATAACAATCAAATTGACTTACATTCAACAAATCACTCGTAATCAATTGTAATCTAACATAAGGCGAACATAATTTCGGTAGACATAAATAAACATAAGCATCTTGAAAACTTTTAGTATCAACAGCTAACCAATCCATCATTCTGGAAAAAAATTCATTTTTATTTATGAAGCTTTGAAAAATCACACAAACCTTCCTAATACTTTTCGCAAATCAGAAAATTCTTCAAGTGCGTCAGCAAAAACAACAGATGATTGTGCTTCAACTTCTTCTGTAAGTAAAACATTTTGCTTGTGTTTGGAATATGAAAAAAAAACGAATACCATAGATTCTTTTATCAGCCATGATTTGTGTTGTCATTTCTTCATCGTCTGAACTTAGTCCATCTTCATGGGAAATTCCAGCAAGAGTTGATTCTCGATTTCGTCGACGGCGACCTCTTAAAATATTCGAAAAATTAACTCAAAAATTTTTCAATTTCATACTTACCTTCTCGCTTCTCTTTCAGCTGATCGAATAGCAGCATCTCCTTGTTTAATACTATTCAAACTTTTTCCAGCCGCACTTGTGGAACATTCCGAATATTGATCTCTAACATCTTGTCTTCTTCTTTTTACCAAACGATTCAATTTCATTTTTGAACATTGTCGTTTTTTATCACAAATTTCATTAATTTCTTCGACTTTTTCATTTAGACATTCTAACAAACTTCGGCTATAAATTCGCAATTCTTGATACATTTGAAATTTTGTGCTCATTTCCGGTAATTCCATTTCTATCGAATTGCTCATTTGAATATTTTCTTCTAAATGTTGTTCAATTTTCCGTAATTCTTCTCTTCTAAAATTCAAAGCTTCTTCTCGTTCAGACATTCTGAATTTATTTCATTATTTTAGATGCTCAATAATATAAAATAATACCTTAATTTTAACTTGGATAGAATATCTTCCAATTTTACAACCCCTCCAGTATTTGTTGGTCCATTATTAAAATTTGTTTTTGGAGCATCAATTTCAATATCCATATCCATGTCCATATCAACTTCATCAGTTATATCATCCGGTATTCGTAATCCTAACATTTTAGCTGTATTGTTTCTTTCGTTTCGAAGTTGGCCAATCTGAAAAAATTACTGACATTGAATAAAATAAAATGAAAACAAGATTTATCGAGTAATAACTAGAACTTTGTGAAAAGTATCAAACTTACAGCTCTTCCACTGACTGCCTTTTGTATTTGTTGTTTTTCCCATTCTTCCATTTCATGGTCTTCTTCATTTTTCCAATTATCAATGTCTCCGTCGCCATGTTCTTGGTTCAAAAATTCGTTTTGTTCTTCTCTTCTCCGATCTTCTTCACTTTTCAAAAGTTCTCTTGCTGAATAGAATTTGCTTTGTTCATATTCTTCATCAGAATCATCATTTTCATCTTCTCTAACAAGTCGATCTCTTGGACCACTAGATCTTATTTTTTGATCATCGTCTAATGGTAAATAACCTTCTCTTCTCGCTCTTTCCCTTCGTTTTTTCGCTTCATAAACAGCTCGAGAATCGGGAATTGATGAACTGAGAGTTGACGAGAATTTGTTTCGAGTATCTCTTTCGCTTATAAGTTCTTCATCAATATCCAAATCTTCATCAAATCCACTTCCAACATGTTTTGCTGAAACATCTCGATATTTTTCAAGATATTTCTTTCGATCTGATGATTTTTCATGTTTCTTCTCTTTCTCTTTTTTCACGATTTTTTCCAATTTTTCCTTTCTGATTTGTTCTTCTTTTTGTCTTTCAATTTTCGTTTTTTCAGCTTCTTCCTCCAATCTTCGCATTCTTTTCAAATCTTCAACTTGTTTTACATTTTTCTTTACTTCAAAGGAGGAATCCGCGCCTTCATCTTGATCAAAACTGAATTTTGATTGAGGTTCAGATCTTTTCACAATGATTGGTGCTTCCTGAAAAAAAACTATTTTTTTAGCCATCTTGAATTATATCCAAATCACAGTTTAAAATTTCATTATCAAGACAGCCGTGATTTTTAACTAACCTCTTTTTGTTCATCATCTTTTCCTTCTTCCCAATTAATTTCAGTTCTTTGTCGAATCGCTGCTTTGCTTTTCGGCTTCCGAAACATTTTTTCGAAAATAAAAACTCAGCAAATCGCTGCGTACATGAACGGTAAGGATTTGTGTAGCTTGTGTGCTGTCTAACTCATTTTACACGCATTCCACACACAAGCTACGCACGCGTCTACACACCAGCTACACAAAATAGTTTTTTTTCGATTTTTTTTTTCGTTTCGCGTTTTTTTCGGATTTTGCGGGCTGAATGATGATTTTTGAACACGTTTTGAATAAAAACAACAATTTATTATCGGAATAAGTAAAACATGAAAAAAAACAAAGAATTTCAAACAAAATTATAAATTAGAAGTGGAAAATTTCGTAGATGTTGCGGATTGTCTCGTTTCCCTCGCCATAAAGCTGCTTTTCATGTTGTTTGTGTCGAGTTTTCCATTGAGTGCTGGCGAGACTGAGCATCGGAGAGCATATTCTGTAAAACTTAGATGAATTTTCATGTTTTTCAGAGTAGAAAGAACTTTATATTTATCTTCAAAAATATCTAAACTTGATCAAATTTCCCAAGACATATTTTGTTAACCCGTTTCTTTTTCGGTTATTGACTCACCTTTTGATTAACGTGGATGAATACTGATTGATGTTGACCTGGATTTTGTGGAGCGTAGTCGTTGTCGTTGTTGAACTTGTTGAAGTTTTCTGAAAACTGTTTTTGTAGGAAATATGTCGTTTTTTTAAAGAAAATTCCCTCACCATTTAGCAGCCATTTTGCAACGATCACGCTCCCGGAAACCTGAAATTAAAGATAGTTAAAACAATTCTGAATGAAAGAAAAATTTCCAGACTTGAGAAATAGGGGAATTCATAGATGTTCAAAAGAAATTTCAACATAATTTTCATGAAACACGAAGAAAAATGTTGAAAATTATGTTTATGTTCATTGCTGGCCCGATTTTCACAAGAATTTAGGCCTGGAAAAACAAAAATGAGAAAAGTAGCCGCGACGCCAACCGCGTTGCTTCTCTGATTTGTGTAGCTGGTGTGTAGCTGCGGTGTAGCTATTTTTCGCCGATAAAACCGTTCATGTACGCGACGATTTGCTGAGAAATTAATAAAACCTGGCGTCACATAAAATGTACATTCTGCAAACACCATCACGGTAAACATATCACAAACGACGCGCAATTATTTTTATTTTTCGCATTTTTTTCGACGAAAGCGCGAACGATAAGCTTCTAAAAAAGCTTCTTTGTTTTACGAAGGTTTTCTAATATTGTATATGTTATAATTGCAGAAACATGGGTGACTTTGTGCCTGGCTTTGAACAAAGAGACAGCGATAATCGCAGTTTTGGACATTCTCGTTTACCAACTCTTGGAGCAATTCCTGTAAAAAATGATAAAGGCCAAATTGTAATGCAAAAGGTGAAAGTAAATCGATATGTCGCAGGTAAAGTACCGGATTTTGCACGCGGTTATAACTCGGAGGGATCGGAGTCAGAGGAAGAAGAAGAGGAAAGAGAACAAGTTGATAATCGATCAAGAAATCGTGAAAGAGAAAGAGGACGAGAAAGTGATCGAGATAGAAGAAGTGGACCAAGTTCATCAAGACATGTTGAAGAACCTGAAATACTTGGAAAACAAGAAGAATCGGAAGAAGATGAGGATAAAATAGAAGAAAGAAGACAAAGAGCTCGAATGAGGAGAATTGAACTGACTGAAAATAATAAAGATGAAGAAGATGAATATGAAGAAAGTGATGAAGAAGATTATGAAAGAAAACGGCAAATGATTAGAGAAAGAGCAATGAAAAGAGAACATGATATGGAAATTAAACGAGAAATGAAAGAAGAACTCGAAGAAGAGGAATCAGCAGATGATGAAAGTGAAGAAGAATCAAGTGAAGATGAATCAGATGAAGATGATGATCCAGTACCACGATTAAAACCGGTTAGATATTTTCAACCTTCAAATAACCCATATACAATTATTTTTCAGATTTTCACCAGAAAGAAGGACAGAATCACTTTATTAGAATCTGAAAAAGAAAAAGAACGAGAAATTCAATTGAAATTTGAAGAAGAACGAAGAGCTGAAGAGAGAAAACGAGAAAGTGTCAAGGTTTATCCTTGAAAATTTTTGGTTTGAATAAGTTTTGATTTTTTCAGCTTGTTGAACGTGTTCTCCGAGAGGAAGAAGAAGCTGAAAAACGAAAAACTGAAGATACTCTCGATTTAACATCTATTTTAACTGATGATGAAAGTGAAGACATGGCTTATGAGTCATGGAAATTGAGAGAAATGAAAAGATTAAAACGTAATCGGTATGTTGTTTATACCTTAATTGGAATCTTCACATAATTAGAATTAGAAATTACATCCAGATATCCATAAAATCTACAAAATATTTCTTAGTATCCGGAGATTGAAAATTATATTTTTCGTTGACTTACCAATTTCCTATTTGCATTTTAAAGACACATCAGCCACTAGAAATGAACAGAAAATGAGTTTGTTCTTCTTTCATAACACCTTTCAAGTAATCGAAATTCATAAAAATCAAGAAAAAATTTTGAGTCTGGCAAAAGTGAAAAAAACAAAATAATTGTTTTTGAAATCGCTCAGCCGACGGGATTTTCGAAAGAGTTTGCACACAACGAAGCAATAGAGCGCACATGCTGTTTTTGTCATTTGAAAATAAATGCGGGAAATCTGTTTTTTCCAGTGGCTGATGTGTCTTTAATATCTATTCAGAAATGATTTTTTTTTATTATTAAATTTTCACGCAAAGATATCCTGAGTTCACGTCATAATTTATTAATCACTAAAACCAACTAAAATTTTCAGTGATGAAAGAGAACAATACGCCAAAGAAAAAGCTGAATTAGAGAAAATCCATGCGATGACCGAAGAAGAACGTGTCAAATACTTGAAAGCTAATCCGAAAATCATCACAAATAAGGTTTGAAATTATTTATTTTTTTATATTCAAAAAAAATGTAATTATTTTTTCAGCAAGACAAAGGAAAGTATAAATTTCTTCAAAAATATTTCCATCGAGGAGCTTTCTTCCTTGATGAAGAAGATGATGTTTTGACAAGAAACTTTGCTGAAGCAACCAGTGAAGATGTTTTTGATAAAACAGTTTTGCCGAAAGTTATGCAAGTATGTTCAAGATTTTTTATTTCATTTTTTTTAATATTTAAAAACAATTTTCAGGTCAAAAACTTTGGTAAAGCATCTCGAACAAAATATACACATTTGACAAATGAAGATACAACTGAACATCAAGGTGTTTGGGCATCTCAAAATCAGCTCAATCAGCAGTTCTTTAACAAGAGAGCAGGTTTGTGACGTCACTTTTTCTCGAAATTAAAATGTGGGTTTTTTTTCAGCCGGAGCTCGACCAGTTTTCGAACGACCTGCTGCCAAGAAAAAGAAACAGTAGTTTTGTTATTGCAATTCTTATTTTATTTTCTTTGAATAAATTTTTTTCTTCCAATTTTTCGTCCTCTAAATGTGTGTACAAAAAAGACAAAACCATGATGTTCGATTCAAAAACCAAAAGAAAAAATAAGCGCTCTCGTTTTCCCCTTTTTCTCAAGGCTATTTTCATGCATACATTTTTTGTGGCGGTTTTTTATTCATTTCATTTCATTCACGAAACTTGAACACACTCGCAAATTTTCTTGTTCGCTCCTTGACCCGTTCACTTTTCTCATGTGCGCCTTTAATTGACTACTGTACTTTGTTTCTTTTTTGTTTTTTTCCCGCCCGCGCTTGTTTTTTTCTGTTTTGGGGAATTTTGCTGATAAAAACGAGGCGATGAGTCATTCTTTTTTCACATCGACGTTTTATTTATTTTTGGTTTTGTTTGATGAAAAAAGGGTCTTTATATTTGCCGTTTGTTTCTTTTATTTCCAAAATTAAAACATTTGTTAATTTAGAATTGAGAATGTCGGCTACTTTCGGTTCTTCTGATCGCGCTGAAAAGTCTGGTGTTGCTTTGGAGGCTCAACAAAAAGTTCATGATAAATATGACACTGAATTGGCTGCGGATATTTTGAAATGGGTTCAGGTTTGTTAACTTTAAACTTTACTTTAACTTTAAAACTTTAAAAACTTTAAAAATCAATAGAATTTTGTTTTGATAAAATCAGGTTTTATGATGAAATTTTTTTAGTCCGTTACCGGACAAGCAATCAATACTTCTGGAGATGCCAATAACTTCATTGAACTTTTCCGCGACGGATCTCTTCTCTGCACGTGAGTTTTTTTTAAATTTTTGTTATGATCAATTTACAATACTGAAAATGTTCAGTCTCGCCAATTCGCTCAAGTCTGGCTCTGTCAAAAAAATCAATACATCGGCAATGGCTTTCAAGAAAATGGAAAATATTTCATTCTTCCTTCAATTTGCTGAACAATTTGTTCATAAGACAGAACTTTTCCAGGTTTGTGTTCTAGTAAATAATTAAATATAATTGGAAAATTAACTATTATTTCAGACTGTTGATTTGTATGAAGGACAAGATCCAAATGCAGTTTTGATTTGCTTGGCTTCTTTGGCTCGAAAATCAGCCAAGAATTTCGGACATGAAGGACTTGGACCAAAAGAAGCAGAAGCTGAAAAGAGAGAATGGTCGGAAGAACAATTGAAAGCTGGACAAAATGTGATTGGACTTCAAATGGGAAGCAACAAAGGCGCGAATGCTTCTGGTATGAATTTTGGAAACACTCGCCATATGTAATCGGATGAAATATAATAATTATTGGGTTTTATGTTTGCTTGCACAAAGATTTTTGACTAGATAAACATTTATTATGAAAGAAGAAGAAAGAAAAAAGTAGACGAGTTGAATGTCAAGTGACATCTTTTGAAAAACATGATTAGATGTGTCGAGTAAGATAAGCACGAAGAGCGAAACGACGGCCACATTTTTCACATCCAAATTTTTTATCACCTAAACTTTTTATATTATCATGGTATTTTTTCTAATTATAACTAACCAGTATGTGTTAAAATGTGAGCTCGAAGATTACTTCGATCGGCAAAATTTTTTCCACAATGTGCACAAGAAAATGGTCGAATTCCAGAATGTGATCGAAGATGTCCTTGAAGTAACCAAAGACGTGAAAATCTTTTTCCACAAATTTCACATTCATGAGCTGCATTATGTGTTAGAATGTGCATACTGTAAAATAAGTTGTATTTTATTAATTGCCAGCCGATTTTAATAACAATTATTTATTTGCCTAATATCATAAGAAAAGAAGACACACCTGTCTTCTAATATATTTGAAATATTGCGCAATTGTCACCTGTATGTTCAAATAGCTCATAAATTATATAATAAGAAGAAGAACATGGGCTCATCACCAACGACTTAAAAGGTCAAATAAGGATTAGTTTCAGATTGAGGGGAACAATTTTTAATTTGAAACATTTTTTCTGAGAATCCAATTTCGTGTAACTATTTTGACTCTGAATACTGTGTTCAAAATCTAAAGCGTATTATTTTCGAAATTTGTTTTGAGAAAAAAATCACCGAATTTAAACTATTGAAATTACTGTAGCTCATGATAATCTACAGTAACCCATTTCTTACCTCAAAGCTGGCATACTAACATAAACTCGATCACAATGTGGACATTGTTTTGCGTGTGGACTATCAAGTGATCGATGTGTCTGCAAAATATTCCGCATTTATTTTTAATTCATATTTTGTTGTTGTTTTTCAAACCTGTTTATGTCGACTCAAATTACTCGAAGTTGCATATGATTTTCCACAAATATCACAAACACATCGATTTGTCGAATGTTTTTTATTCAAACTTCTTCGATCCATATTTTGTAGAGATTCTAAAGTATAAGAAGATGATGAAATTGAAGAAGATGGAGATGTTGAAGAAGCTGGTAATTGAATCTGAAAATTTGTTGGTATTTAGAAAATTGTTGCATAGAAGCAGGATGTTTACCTTTGGTTCTTCTTTTAACAAATTATCAATTGAAAATTGACTGTTAACTGTTTTTTGAGATTCATTCAAAACTTTGATAGCATTCCATAATTCATTTTGAAAATCTGGTAAAGAAAATTTATAATTGATATTTGAAATCTTTGAAAATAAACTTACCAAAATTTGGTAAAACTTGCATTTGTAGCAACTGTAGCTGTGTAGAAATATCCATTATTTGTTTCCGGTGGAAATAACTCATCCACAATTTAACCTTTCATATGACACCCAACAAAATGGGCGTGGCTGGTAATTTTGATTGGTTGGGTGGTTGGTGGATAAAAAATAGAAGGAGGTGGGCGTGTCTTCACAGATTTTGGTGAACAGATTGGTGCACATGATGAATTGATCTGAACTATTATGTAATAAGTTTTGGGGTGAGAAAAGAAAGAAACATATGATTGGGAGATATCGAGGAAAACTATTTTGTTTCGAAATTTTTGAGATTACTGTAGAAGCTTACCATGAAAACATCTCAATAATTGTAAGTATTGTTGAATGAGAAATGAATGTCAAGAGCATGTTTTGTATTGTAACATTCATTGAGATTTGTAACACGTGTTCTTTTTATACTTGAGCTGAATTGGTCTCAAGTATAAATACTCAAAATTACGCAACTGTTTTTTGTGGATGAAAATAGTTGGGCGATTTAGAATTTTTCCGATATTTTTACGAATAGAAAAAATATTCTAAATTTTTAATGATACTTTCAAAAAGGAAATAAAATGTTTTCATTGAATTTTTTCATTTTTTCAAGTCATTTGTGTCATAAAATTAGTATTTGATGAAACTATAAATATAAAATGTGTTTCTTTTTATCATGTTGCTCCAGTTTTTCTGATTGAAAAAAACAAAAAAAAACTAAGTTTGCGGTTTCCAATAATCCGATTACCCAATTCTCAAAAATCTAAGCCAGCCGGACAAAATTGGTTATGATGTAACAGGTCATGAACCGTTAACTAACTATTTAACTAGATGCTATGTCACCTGCCACATCTGCCTATTTTTTTATATAGTTCGTTTCCGGGTTACGGTAGCTAATACAAAAAAAGGGGAGTGGCTTTTTATAAAATTAATTTATAGTGCATTTCTTACACCTTTTCGTTTTCGGAATTCATATAATATTTAAATTGAAAATTGTTAATACTTTCACAAATGAGAAAATAAATATATTTATTATAATTAATATTTTTCTGTTACCAAAAAAGAAAATATCTAAAAGCGGTGTTTTTGAAAGCTTAGAGGGGTTATGTAATTTGCATAATAAATACATAATATTTGAAATATCCAACAGAGAAGAATGCAAAGATTTTCAATAGATATCATCTGTTTGTTCATTTTTGACATATAACCATATGCCGACTGACTGAACCGCTTATTCTTTTTCTCAAACCACCTTTTGATGCATTTATCTAATTGGCGATGGATTAATTTGTTCAAGAAAAGAAAAATAATAAAGGATTAAATATAATGAATGATACATTCATTGAGTATTTGAGTTATACTTTTGACGATTTATGAGTAATAGATCTTCATAAAATATAAATATTATGAGATGTTACACGGAAAATAAGGAATGGGTTTTCCAAAAGTTTGGTCAATTTTTTTCCCAAGCTATTTTTCCCAAATTTTTTTCCCAAGTTGATTTTTCATTTTCCCAAGTTTTATTTTTCCCAAATTTTTTTCACAAGTAAGTTTTTGTTTTTCCCAAGTTTTTTTCCCAATTTTTCTTTTTTTCCCAAATTGTCGTTTTTTACCCAATTCTTCAAGTTTTTTTTCCGGTATTCCCTATTTTTCAAAGCCAATTGAGTACTGATCCCACATATCAGCTTCTCCCGGTCATAACCTGAAGTTATGCAATTCCTAAATGCGAAAATGCTAAAATTAGTCGAAAAAAAAATTTTGTTTTTGGAATGAACATTGTGATTTTTCACAAGTTTGTCGGAACGAAAACAGCAGATTCAGACTGATATTTTGAGAGGCCGACTGTAAAAAATAAACCAACATTCAGTTTTCTGGGCGTTTAACTAAGCCTAAGCCTAATTCTGAAGTTGAGAAGCCAAAAGTAAGATTTTTTAATTTTTCTATTATTCTTTCTAGGCTTAGGCTTAGTGAACCCTCCTGGAAACATACAGACTCGCCGAAAATTGAAAAAAACACACCACACTTTACACAAGAAAAACTCTCATTTTTCTAGTAGCTATTTTTGACGGACCCTTCTATTTTATAAAATTTCGAGATCCTCATATAGAGAATCAAAATCCCTGATGTTCTTAAAAAACGAACCAATTTCATGCGATCCGAAAATTTGGGAAAAAAACTAAAAATTGGGAAAAAAACTTGGGAAAATGAAAAAATAACTTGGGAAAAAAAATTTGGGAAAAATAAAACTTGGGAAAATGAAAAATCAACTTGGGAAAAAAATTTGGGAAAAATAGCTTGGGAAAAAAATTGACCAAAAGTTTTTGTGACGTATTGTTATTCCGATAATTTTTCATAAATTTTGGAGCCCTAAATTGTATGATTACAAAGATTTGATTTTTAATTTAGTATTAGTGTCTTCATCAAATGATTTCATATGTTCAACGATCAAATTGACAGACTTCTTCTTCTTTTATTTTTGTTCTCGTCATTTGTACTTTTGAACTCTCCCGAGAAAGAAAAGATATTTTGATTTTACGAATAATTTTGATGATCACAGGCATAAATTTCTGACTTTTTTCCTGTCGGCTCCGCTCCCTGCCACGATTACACGTTTCACGTTTTTAAAATAATTTTCCGTTTTCATCTTTTTTTCTTCACTAAATTTCGAAATGCAAAAAATCACAAATAATTATTCATTGAAAAAAACGTGCCGCGCCTTGCCAAATAAATCCCGCCTCCCGATTCACGCGAGAATTTGTTTTTTCTGCGACAGGCATTTCTGAATTTAAAAATTTATGCTTGTGACAAAGACCGGTTAAATTTATAAGGTATATTTAAAGCTAGGTTATGTTTGGTAAATAAGAAGGTATGCGGAGAATACGGCATTGATTGCCCAATGATCGGATGGGAAACACAAACATGAACGAATTCTTTGTCGACCTTCGAGATTGAATTTTACCTTGTTCAAAGGAGCATGCCAATAAAGACGATCGAATCTGAAAGAAATTCAATTATATTTCAGATTTTCTTCGAATTAATGTAAGAATGAATAAATCAACCTGCACTTGGCTCCATATTTCGCTTGCTTGTTATCATTTTTCGAAGTATCCCATGTCCATTGAGTTGTTTTTTCCATTCCGGCTGCAATCCACGCATCTTTAACACCATTTGGAATGGAACTAATTACATCATCTCGAATATTCAAATCTCCGCAAAAAAATAAACAACAACCAGGGTTTTTCGAGATTATTTCTCGAACTTTATCCATACAAAAAGCAAATTGAGCACGTCTGAAATATTTTTTAAAATGTCTTTTTGAAAAAAAAACCTGAAATACCTTTGGGTTGCATGCTCTTTCATCAATTCTAAATGCGTATTCAACAAGAAAACTTTGAGTCCTCCAATAGAACCTTCCAAAACTTGAAGAGTTCGATACATTCCTGAATTTTGATAATGAATAACATCGTGTTTTTCAACGTCGAACATTTTTGAAACAAGAATTGCGGTGTAATATTGACAACCTGAATTGAACCGAGAATTATTTATTGAAGGTTTTCGACAGGAGTTTTTGAATCGGATCAGGACCAGTTCCAATTCAAAAAACTGCTATTTTCAACCAGTTTACGTACCTTTGTTAGAATAGTAGATTTTGTATAATGATTGAAGTTTATCAATTGGCTCAATATCTCGATCAACAACTTCTTGTAAAAACAAAACATCAGGGTTGACCCTTCAAAAATACTGATAAATCGATTGTAGTCAAAAAGGTTCTTACATTTTTACGATTTTCCCGACTGCTCTCATTCTTGTTAACAAACTTCGACCATCCAAACCATCAACATTCCAGCTCATTACACTAATCTCAAAACCTTTCAAATCTTCCGCAGTCATTGGTGCTGAAACTGCAGAAGAAGAACTTGGTGCTCCCATAACTGCTTGAGTTCGAATATCTTTGAATTCTTCACTTCCGTAGAAATCATCCAAAGCTCTTTTCAAATTCTAGTTTACGTCTTGGAGAATTGTTTGAGCAATGGTTTCGTCTGTATCAGTGATTTCAGCAAATTGTTTCAATACTTCGGATATATCTGGAATTTGTGGCTCTTTGTTTCTCAAAAAATTCGATTCGAATACATACCATCAGTCGTTTTACTCGACGAAATATCGCGTATGATTTCAATATCATTATTGTCTTCTTCATTATCAGACAATGTCACAATCTTTGATTTCTTATTCGGAACTTCGCTATCATCCAAACCACGCCCAGGAGTTAACAAATGCATGAAGCCAATAATTTTTTTCAAAATTTTAATGAAATCCACGACGCCAAAAAAAAATTCAATTAAATTTTTGGGCTGTTTTTTTAGTATACTTGAAAAAGTACGTTTTTTTCACCCCTCCAAAACCTCTCAGAAACCACCCCGCCAGTTTTTAATTTTTATCTGCATGGAGCTGGACGTGGTATGGCTGAAGAGATGGATGAGAGATAGAGATAGAGAGAAAACGAGAGTGTGTGAAGTGTGGAGTGCTGGCGCATTTACACGTTCGGGACACTGTGGCGCGCCTATGAATTATTATCCCGGGAACCCTAATGGCCGAACTTTTGCATGGCCGAACTTCTTTCGCCGGGAAAACAAGAAAGTGCGCCCCAACGTACTTTGCGCCAATTTTGGGGATTTTGTTATTTGAAAAGACCAGATCTCATTCAACAATACCTCGAGGCACTTTTTTTCTGTTACTTCAACGTATTTGCCACGTGGAAGCGTCTTTTTTATGTTTTCAGAGTTTTAAAGTGTTGTCCTCTTTTTTTCTGGGGATTTTATTGAATGTTATGATGTTTTTTTTTTCTCTTTTTTTCTGTTATGATGTTTTTTTTGTTCTCTTTTTTTGCACACATAACAGAAGTACTTTTTATTTATTACTTTCCAGTTTCGGCAATGTTTCGTTTGAACAGTGACATGACAATCCAAGTGTCAAGAAATGAATCGAATTCTTCCGAAAGTTATGCAATATCCGATGATACGATAAAATTATTGAAAAACGAAAACTATGTCGAACCCAAGGTGTATGGAAAAGGAATAACGAATGGATTACCGAAGGGAGTTATGACTGGTTTTTTTGTCGAATCCCAAAACGGATTAAAGGATGTTGCCGTCTGGGTTTTCGCAGGTAAATTAATTGAACAATCATTTGCCACCGCCAAATTCATTTCAAAATTTGAAAGAATAATCGAAATTTGGTGATAATTTCTTGGAAAAAATCAACTTTGAGATAAAAACTTGGGAAAAATCTTCCTGTGCTGAAAAATAACCACATATTTTAACGAATTTTTGATATAGAAAACGAGAAAAATAGATTATCCTCTATTTTCAGACTCATATAGTATTCAAGTGGACTCCGAAGATTGTGAAGAAGATCCAAATAAACGTTTTTTTGTTTATAAAACCAGTGGAGAAGTAGTCGACGTTATTGTATCTTTCAAAGGCAAAATTATAACTCTTAACCGAATCCATATTTCTAAACAAAACGTGAAAGCGACAAATAATCGATATGCTGATAAAAACAAAGATTTATTACCAAGATCGAGTAGAGATCCAGGAACGACCACCACGAGATCATCGATTTCTTCTAGATCAACAATTGAAAATGCTAGGAGTTCGTCGCCCAGAAATGAATATTCCGTTGATAATCAAACAATAATAATTTCGCCTAGACAAAAGTTGAATTCTGCACCAACATTGTCGAATTCTGAAGATACAGATACAACAATCCAACACGCTGATTCTTCAACATATTTATCGGAAGAATCTTACTATGTCAGTAGATCAAATGAAGTTTTTTCATCACCAACAGTGTCAAGAATTACTCGCGGTACCTTGGATAAGCGTAGGTTTCAAATATTTCATAAAAGCACATCTGGAGAGTGAGTGTACTATAAGTGTTTTTGGCATTGTGCCAAAATGTAAAATATTCATGAATTTCGAAAACATACTTAGTTTTCAACAATTTTCATTCACTTTTATCAAGTTAGAAAAAAAGTCATCGAATTTAACGCCGAAAATTTCAAAACCAAAAAGTTGTTTCGAGTACAGTACAAATCTCGAAAAAATGATATAACCCAACAAATATTTTTTTTTCAATAGAACCAAGAAAACGAAAAATCATATCCTTGAAATTTCAACAAATAGAACATTTTACAGATTCGCTCCGTTCTCAAAATCGACCAACATCATTCCAACCAGTTGCATCTTCAACAATGGTTGTTGAAACGGGTGCCTCTTTTAATTTGTGAGTTTTTTTTGAGCAGTACTGATGTTATCCAACTCTTTGATAATTTCAGGAGAAGATTTCCAACAACTTCGATGGAAACACAGCATGTAAGTTTTATTTTCTCGTGAATAACACATTAAAATTTAATTCATTTTAAAGATAAAAGCTGCGCTGGCCGAACATTTGGCGAAATATGGTTTCCCAACAGATTTGCTCGTTGATGGTACAACACGTATCGGAAATGAGTCTGTTCCATACGTGGTTATTTCGAAAATGGCAACGTAAGTTTTTAATATCAACGTTAAAAAAAACAAAACTCATATTTTCAGTTACTCTATTGAGGGATGTCGTCGTAGCGATCGAATTTTTCGTTTAAATATGGTCAAATTGGTAGCATCATACTATGGAATCAATCCTCGTTCTTTATCTGATCGTTTAACGAAACATATGAAACAAAGAGGCGTGACTGATGCAAATACTTGGCAAGAATGTTCTAGTTTGTTATAATTTTCTAATTCTTTTTCTTATTTTATTGGTTCCATGTATATAAGTCCCAGAAATTCTCCAACAAATTCTTATTTTTTACAAATACAATCCCCTTTTCCATTTTTTTCAAATATAACCCTTTTCTTCATTTCTCAACTTTTTCTAAAATCCCACAATTCATGTATATAATTACAATCACCACAATTCTGTATAATGATATGCTATTTTTGATTATATTTTGATGACTAATGGCTATAAATGACTATTTTGAGATTTTTATTTTTTTGGTTTTTTATCACAATACGTTTATTATTCAAAGAGATTACTGTGAAAATTGGGTTTTTTCAATTCGGAAATTGCTTTAAATTTCGTACGGAAATTGTTGAATCCAATTCATCGAATGTTTTTCTGGCCACTGAATCATCATCGCTATCAATTTCTTTTTTGATTTCTCGATTTCTTCGGGGAGGTGAATTATCACGATCTGACAGAAAATATGGATTATTGTGAGGAAATAATATTTGACAAAATTTAAGTTCAACATTTTTATTTACAAAAATACACTGTCAGAATTCCACGATCTTCAAAATTTCCGGAAACTTTGTAGAACTTCAATAAAAACTGAGCTCATCAGGAAGTTTTATAGAAAAAACCTCTACCACGTGGCCAAAATTTGAAAAAATAAATATCTATTTAGGCTGTAATTTTCAGCCTTATATTTCCTATTCCCACATTTTCAAGTTATTCGCAAAAGTTCTATTTTTTCCAAAAAAAAATAGTATTTATTGTTTAATTTTGTAGGACGATGAAGAATTTGTGAACTCGATTCAAAAATTTGTGAGAACCAAGGAATGCTCAACAAAATCGAGTTCAAAATCAAAATCACAACCTCTTCCAAATTCTGACAACGAAAAGGAGATTTTCGAAAAATTGCGAACTAAATATGGAAAACAAAATGCTAAACCTAAACCAATTTTCATCGACCCGCCAAAAATGTTATCAGAAAAACAATCGAAAATGAGTCGCGGTTTGAAAATTGAATAGATTTTTTGGACTTTTCGGGTTTGTTTTGAGATTCAGAACCTGAAAATTTCTAGAAATCGAGAAATATAATTTTTGCAGAAGTTGGATATCTGATGAAACTCGAAAAATGATTAAAGAAGAATTTCGGCCAAAAGGAGGTGACATTGAACAGATTTGATGCAATTTTTAGGAGGAGCAGAGCAAAAACTTGAAAATGTTTGTTTCTTTCAATTTCTATTTTATCTATCGATATTTCTTTTCTATCGATTTTGGAGCCCTAAATTGTATGATTACAAAGATTTGATTTTTAATTTTGTATTATTTGTCTTCATCAAATGATTTCATATGTTCAACGATCAAATTGACAGACTTCTTCTTCTTCTTCTTTTATTTTTGTTCTCGTCGTTTGTACTTTTGAACTCTCCCGAGAAAGAAAAAGATGTTTTGATTTTACGAATAATTTTAATGATGTTTTTTGAGCAATTTCTAGAAAATAATAAAAATAAAATGATTACAATAACAAGAGATATAATCCGATATTAAAGAACAGAAAATATACATATTGATTTTTTGTTTTTCGGATATTATTCAGAAGGAAATTGTTTATCATTTTGAAACATTGATATGACAAAATTAAACCATTTCTGAATTTTTGAAAACGTTCTGAAAACTTCTCAGAGATTCGCTGGCCAGCTCGCCACCAGGTGGGGAGGCTGGCTGACCTGGGAACCACATGGAAACCATGTCGCCCGGTTTTTTTCGCTGGCAAGGTGGCCAGGCTCTGGCTAGGTCACGGCCACATGGCTACCATGTGGTGGCCACTTCGCCGCGTCAAAATGCATTTTCATGAAAATGTCTGAAAAACTTGTGAATTGAGGCATTTTCGAGAAATTTGGCTCATTTTCTGTTTTTTCGCAGCACTTGAAACTTTAGGAAGTGAAAAAAACAGTAGAAAATGCAGAGTAATATCCCTGGTAAAACTCCGTATTCAAATAGCCGCGGTGCACACAAAACGCGCCAACGTCAAAGCACTGACGTGTTTGTGTTGCGCATTTCTGGTTTTGCTTTGTTTTTCAAGTTTTCAAACCGAGTTGAGCTTTTCCTTGTTTTTCTAGGGTTTTATTAGGTTTTGTGTCTCGGGACGGTCCTAAACCGTCCCCCTTCTTGTCATAATATGATTTGTAGTCAATAAATGATTGCATATCAACCTTTTCGTGTATTTATCGTTTGTGTAAAGTGGTTATGATCCACTTCAATCTTTGTTGCTGGAAAGGAGTTCAAGGGAACCAAACCTTGAACTGCCTACTTGGGGGCCGAACTAAAACCGATCGAGGAACCAGATGGACTTGGCGAATCGAGAGGAAATATGGATTGTTGGATTTTCGTCGCAACTCAAAGTAATCTTTGAGCGAATGAAGATTTTTTTGATTCTATTGATCGATATGCTGCTTATTCGTTTATTTTGTTCGTGCTGGGGGGTTCGACGCGACATTTGTCGGAATCCGGCAAACGTAACTGTCTGAATCAGATAGTTTATGTCGTCGTTGACCTAAAATCGTCAATTTATTCGTATTTTTGCAGTCCGACAACTCCATATCAACAAAACTGGCAATATTGAGACATCCGATTGAAATATTATGGATTGGAATGACAATGGATGGGGTTTTGCGAGATGAAAATCGAAAAAATCGAGAATTCGATATCAGGATTTTGTGGAAAATGGAGAATCGGAAGAAATGTAGTCTGGAAGTGGAGCAGAAGGTCGATTGGTGGAATCGAGATGATTTGGATGCCAGAGGAAGCTCCAAAACCTGTTCGCATGGAGGATATGTTGTCTGAAGATTGTTGGAATTTCAGGAAAAAGAGTCAGAATTTGGAAGAGGAGGAAGCTACTCGAAGGGTCGAGGGATAGGTGCGAAGAAAAAGGGTAGGAAATCCTGCACCGAAGTCCGAAAATAGCAACTCCATGGATAATGGAAGCGATCGAACGTCATTTAATGGTTATTTGGCGCCAAGGTGGACACCCAGGTGAACGTGTTTCGATGCGCTGAAGTTTGGTTATACTTCCGAAGGATGAAATTTGGCTGAATGGTGCAAGATATTGGTGTGGTGTATGGCCAAAGCATCGGAACCAAGCACACAATTATTGGAAAAGTGGCGCTGGAGACGCTGGAAATTTGAAGAAAATGAATGTTGAAGATGAAAGAAATCATGGTGAAGATTCAATTAGATGCGCGTCGTGGAGTCTGGATGTTCGGAGGTCGAAAGTAGATAGGGATCGAAATCGATGAGAAATAGGATTCCGATGGCATTGATTGATGATTTATGAATTGTTGAACAGAAAGTTGATGTGGATTGAATAGTTGATGGAAAGATTGGTATGATGGGATGAGTTCAAAATCGATATCAAACGGTGTTGATGATCGACAACAATTGGATAAATAAATGAGGTGTAATTTGTTTAATTTTTGCTAACTCATGCCCTAAGCTCTACCAACTCTACGGTTTTATAGTAAAGCCGGGACGGCTTTTTTGAAGGAGGGGGAAGTAATATCCCTGGTAAAACTCCGTATTCAAATAGCCGCGGTGCACACAAAACGCGCCAACGTCAAAGCACTGACGTGTTTGTGTTGCGCATTTCTGGTTTTGCTTTGTTTTTCAAGTTTTCAAACCGAGTTGAGCTTTTCCTTGTTTTTCTAGGGTTTTATTAGGTTTTGTGTCTCGGGACGGTCCTAAACCGTCCCCCTTCTTGTCATAATATGATTTGTAGTCAATAAATGATTGCATATCAACCTTTTCGTGTATTTATCGTTTGTGTAAAGTGGTTATGATCCACTTCAATCTTTGTTGCTGGAAAGGAGTTCAAGGGAACCAAACCTTGAACTGCCTACTGCAGTGTTTTGAGTACAAACCACTGTCTTGCCAGCTTTCCAGAATTTCAAACACACAGGCCACGTGGCCGGAAAACTCAAGGCGACCTGGCGGCCATGCGGTTTCCAGGTGGCCGCAGCGATCTGGTGGCGAGCTGGCCAGCGAATCTCTGAGTTCACTTAACATAATTTTTGAAAAAAGGTCATTTACTACGTCGACAATCTGCAATTTGTGGAAATTAAAAAATAGATTTGGCTTCCGTGATATTAGAAGAGTTATATTATTTTTCTAATAGGTTTTTGGTTTGATTTTCATTTTCTCACTGACATTTTATATATCTCAGAGATTCGCTGGCCAGCTCGCCACCAGGTGGGGAGGCTGGCTGACCTGGGAACCGCATGGAAACCATGTCGCCCGGTTTTTTTTTGCTGGCAAGGTGGCCAAGCCTTGGCTAGGTCAAGCCCACATGGCTACCATGTGGTGGCCACTTCGCCACGTCAAAATGAATTTTCATGAAAATGTCTGAAAAACTTGTGAATTGAGGCATTTTCGAAGAAATTGGCTCATTTTCTGTTTTTTCGCAGCACTAGAAACCTTAGGAAGTGAAAAAACTAGAGAAAATGCAGTGTTTTGAGTGCAAACCACCGTCTTGCCAGCTTTCCAAGATTTCAAACACACAGGCCACGTCGCCGGAAAACTCAAGGCGACCTGGCGGCCATGCGGTTTCCAGGTGGCCGCAGCGATCTGGTGGCGAGCTGGCCAGCGAATCTCTGAGATATAATTACTATTTGTTTGAAATCCAAACCTCAATTTTTCAGAAACTGCTTTTTTCAAACCTTTTTAAGATTAAAAAAAATTAGATCTGGAAAATATTTGTTTCATTGGCAAATACCAAAAACTGGGTGAATACAGTAAACTTTTCAATATAAATACAAGTTGGGCGTCATTTTTGGTCTACTGTACGTGGGCACCAATTCAAACAAGCGGTCTTTTTTTCGAATTGACAGTACATTTTTTGTAAAAATCTTGTTCCCTGTGTTTGAAAAACTCGAGCGGTTTTAAAAGCGCACGGAATCACTGGTGAAACACATACAATTACACTGCAAACATTTTCCAACTACAGTAGTCCAATGTGGTTGGAATTTTTTATGAGTTTGGGAAAATAATTGAAATTTTAGAACTTTTGGGAAAACCGTTCCAAGTGTTTAGCTGTTTTCAAAATCTTCTCACATTTTCCAAAAGGAAAATAACTGATTTTTCCAATCGACTAAACTTCCAGGAAATATATTTATTTCATTTTTCCTTCATTTTTTCTTCGACCATTACTCAAAAAGTATATGAATGAAAGAATGAATAAATGTATATAGAAAATAGTCGTTTGGCATACTTCCAGGTTGTTATGACAACAAAAATATTGAAGGGCGGAGCACATTTGCTTCTCTCTTTTTCTGTTTCGAGATTTTTTTATCTGTTATTATTTTTTTTGAAGACTAATTATTTTTTGGGTTTATTTTAGAGTATTCAGAGTATGAAATGTTACGATCTGGTATTACAAATTATCAATGTTTTTCATATATTCTCACAATTTTCATGCTTCCAATCACATTTTCGGCAGTTTGGCCAATTTTTACACCGTATTTATCAGTCGGTGAGTTATTTTAAAAAACATTTCCTTAAAATTTTCAAAAATAAAATTACTGTATTTTAACTGAAACTTATATTTGTTTACATATGTTACATTTTCCTCAAAAAGTTTTGATTCTGTTCAAAAATTATTGTTTTGGGTTTATTATTTCTCAATGTTCATTCGATTTTCGCGCAGTTAACCATATAAATGACTACATTTTCAGAGAACTTTGTGACGTAGAATTTATTTGGTCATAAAAAATCACCTGGATTTTATTCCGTATTTTTTCCTTTTGACTCGAAAAGGTCGTTTACAACTCAATTTCTTTTTCTGAGAATAAAATCTTTGAGAGGAAGAAAAAAAGGGAAAATGAGTATTATCAAGAGATTTTCAGAGGGAAAAATAAGTAGGCGGAATAATCAAAAGAAAACAATAATAGTAATAATAATAATTAACAAAAGTACACTCATCTTCGATTGAAAAATTCAAGTTACAGTATATTACAAAATTTGTCATGTTTTTTTTGATAAATTTTATTTCATTTCATTTTATTAAAATAATTAGTCATGGTTGAATAGAAAACACAAAAAAAATCGCCAATTCTCGAAATTCATAATTATATAGTTGACTAATTACAGCTTTTGGCTAATGATCAACATGATATGATTACTAGGGTGAAAATGTTGTAGAACTATATTTTATCAAACTACAGTAACCTGATATATTGATTTTTTCAGCTTTCGTTGTCATTTTTATCTATATTTATATTCTTGTTATTATTTTAACAATTAAAGATTCTTGTGTTCCTGAATTAACAAGAAAAACAAAAGAAGAAAGTGAGTTATTTCAACATTTTATCATGAATATATTTCAATTTTTTCAGATTTTGTTCGTAAGAAATTCAAATCTGAACCGGGTCGACATGTCATAGAAAACTCTAAGTGTAATATTTGCGAAATAACTGTGTAAGTTATAATTTTTTGTTAAGAAACATTTTTATTGGAAAAATTTATGAGGAATGAACTTCAGAACTTTTAAGATAATTCCAAATTGTGAGACCTATTTCAGCCCTTAATAAAATTACAGAATTTTCCTGAAGCCTAAAAAATCTTTTATTTCAGACAAAAAGAAACAAAGCACTGTAAAAGATGTAATTATTGTGTAGCTAAATTTGATCATCATTGTGTTTGGTTAAATAATTGTATAGGTGAAGCTAATTATCGGTAAGTTCAAATATTTTCGATTATAAAATAAATTAACTAAATTCTTGCAGATTATTCATGTTACTTATCATTTCTATGTCATTTATAGCATTTTGTACATTTATAATATCTTCATACATTTTAATTGCTTGGTTTTCGCGCTCAAAAAATGGTTTAGTTTCTATAAATTACGGTAGACTTCCTAAGCTCTCAAAAATGTTCAGTTTTTCAATAAATTTTTTTAGACAATGAATGGACCTGGATGCGAATTTTATGGGTTGTTTCTGCGGCTGTTTGTGTTTTTGTCTACTTTTTTACATTTGTTACAACAACCCATTTATTATATTTTCATATTCGACTTTGTGAGTTGTATGAACTCTAACGATAATTATTTTTCAATTTATTTTCAGATAAACTTGGAATGACAACTTATAAATTCATAGTTTCAAAACGTCGTGCAAAAGTTGGACATATTGGACAAATATCAACAGTTTCTCAAACGAACACAAGAACATATAGTCAGGCATAAAATATATTATATTATATTTGAAAAAAGAGTCATTTCAGAGAATAACAGATGACGGGTTTCTTTTCTTTATAATGGGTTGTTTTTTTGTGAACGTGTTTTCAATTTACAAATCAGTTTTAATAAATCCTTTTTCCAACAAATTGAAATTCAAAGAAACGTGATTTCTTTCAAAAGTCAAAACAAAATAATTAATTGTTTCTTTTCGTCTGAAACATTATCTCGAGAAAGAAATAAAAAACTTGAACCTTAACCGGATTTATCTTGTCATTCATCGTACTGACATAAACCAGTTTTGTGCGAAATAAGGCGGTATTTCGAATCTGCCAACTAGCCACAACAAGTTTTTAGTTGTTGAGGTTTGACCCAAATATATTTATTATTTGAAACAACTTTTAATAAAAACATTTCTAAGAAAATGATGCTGATATTTTTGTTTGTATTTTCATCTGTTATCAGTTATGCTGAAACACAAAAAGGTAATTAATCAAAAAGTACGTTGGATTACTGTAGTTTCAATCTCTCATTTGCGACGACTTTTGTCCAGAAAGTAAGCAATAGAACAAAAATGTCAAATTTATATATTTTTCATTTCGCCTCAAATGATTTTGAAAATTACTCATGTTCAAACCCTGGAAAATAAATATTTCAGTTGAAACTCGTCAATATGTTTGTCAACGTGTTTCTCCAAAATCTTCAAAAACCGAATGTCGACTAAGATTTGGAGAAGATGAAGAATTTGCGAGTATTAATGATAATGGATGTTTTATGGTGAGTATAAGCCTCCCTTATTTAAAAAAATCCATATCTATTCCAGAACTTTGATTCAATTCGAAATGAACCAGTCGAATTGTGCCCTCTTCAATGTAAAAATCATAACAAGGCTGTTTTAATCAAGGTTGATTTTCTTTAACAAATCTTTTGAATTCAACTAATATTTTTATAGACTGATTCGCAATGTGATTCTGGAGTTGAAAGACGTCAAAGTGATTGGTTTATGTATAGATCTCCTAACTGTCAAAATGATATCGAATCGAGTTTTACTTTTGAATGCACTAATGTTGCGTAAGTTTTAGAGAGTGAAAAATAAAAAGCCCAGCTTTTATTTTTTTTTTCGAAAATTTTGGTCATCTTGAGGAGAAAAACTCTGTTTTAACCTATAAATACCCGAAAAAGTTATCAAGTTTTCAGTGTTGAATTGATCGAAAATCATATCGAGCCAGAGATTTCCGAAGAAATTGAAGTTCAGCAGGAACAAGGAGTAGAAGAAGCAGAAGATAATGATGATTTACCAGACAAAGTTGATACAGTTCTTGGTTTTATGTTCCCAGAATATCGAAGAATTCATAAACAACAATAATAATAGAATCATAATAATTAAATTATTAATAATTTTAATAAATTGTCAGGTGATTCCTGAAACTTGTTTAGTCCAAGAAAAACAATCTCAAATATTTCAAATTTTTTTTCGAAAAATTATCCGGAGAAGAAAAGATCAGTATAAGGAAAAGAAATAGAAGATCTTCGAGTATCTGCTCCAAATCCATAAGTACTATAAAACGTAGACGGAAAAGCAGTGAATTTTCTTTTACGAATCTGAAAATGAATATAATTCTTGCTAAAATATCAAAAAATATAAAGTATATCATTACTTACAGTTCTCATTGGCCTCTTTTTCCATCCAATTTGTTCTGTTTGTTGTTTTTGTTGATACATTCGATTCTTCAGCGAAGAATAACTATCTTGTAATAATAATTTAACAGGATCACTGAAATCACATTTTTTGCAAAATTCGAATATTCAATTAATTAGTTAATTAATTAACTACCTTATAAAACCAACTCGTTCAAATTTTGCTTCTCCAATATTGAAAATAAAACAAAATAATAAAGCAGAACCTATCGCAAACGTTCGCATATACATTTTACGCTGAAAACAAACAAACATTTTCAAAATATACAAAAATAGAAATGAAAAAAGAATGATGTGAAGAACTTTGGGATACTGTAGATTTCCAAGAATATATTTTCGAAATTTATTTTCCCTGGAGAAAAATATTTTTCAGACAAAATGGGTAAACATAAAATATAAGTGAACCTGACAGAAAGAATAATCTCGAAAAGAGCAGGAAAAATTAAAAATTTATGCGTTTTTTCCGTGTAGTAAAACTGGGCGGCTCTCAAAATAGATAGAAAAAAATGAAAATGACGTATGTCAAGTAAAAAAAAACGAATTGATGACTAAAAATAATATATTTTTCTCAAGTATGGATAAGAATAATTAGCTATACTAACTCTAATTTATTTATGAAGATGTATGCACACTGTGTATTTTAGTACTCTATAATTTTCTCGCATTCCTTTAAAATAGCCAAAAAATATTGTGATCTATGAAATAAAAATGTTGAAAAAAAAATTTGACTAACACAACTAGGTTTCAAAAATTTGTTGTAAAAAATAAAATAATAATTTCAGATTAAAAAGGTTTGTGCAAAAGCGTGCAAAGAATGTGCCGGATTTTGTGGCCATTTTGTTATTTTCTCTCAACTCTCCAAATATTACACAATATCTCAAGTTCATCTTGAGAACTGTATCGGATTTCGATAAAACCGATCGGAAACAACAGAAAAGACACTCGAATATTTATTATTTTATTTATTTGTCAGAAAGAAGAGTTGGAGAAAGAAAAAGAAAAGAGTGTATTATAATGCAGAAAAAAATGATAAATGGAATGAAAAGAAATGAAAACTAGATTATGACGTGAAATTAAAAATTCAGTGTGTTTTTAGTGCAAATGTGCAAAATAATTATTTGAAACGGCTTAAGCCGTATTAGGTTCACTCAAATGACAAAATTCTTTCGTCAGAGTTTTGCAAAATAACACAGTAATTGAGAGAAATCATAGAAACTGACTGTCAATAAAATAATAAAATTATTTTCTAGCAAAAATTTTATTAGTGAAAAAAAAACAAAATGAATATTGTAACAATCAAGATATAAAATGAAACAAATTGATCGGAATTAACTCCAATTTCGTTGACACTAATTGTTGATCTACATCAGCGTCAGACTTTGGCGAGAAAATTCTCAAAAAATACTCAGCATTCAATTTTTTCCGAAACAAAAAAAAATCACCTAATCTTTTCTTGATTTTTCGTCTCCCTTATTATTTTTCTTCATTTCATTATACCGTAGTTTCTATATTTTATCCCTTCCAAATTCAATCAAAAATTCCACGAATATATTCAAATTTACATTCAACACGCAATACCTTTTTCCCAGTATATTTATCTTGTTTATTTCGTAAGTCTCTTAGTATTAAAAATGGTGAGTTATATATTTTTACATGAAATTGATTTTTTTTATTCTAAATTTTAGTTTGGTTGGATTCATGAAAGTTTTCGACAATTGGTGACAAGAAAATATGGAAAAGATATTTGGGAGAAAATTGTGTTGGTTTATTTTTTTTTCAGAATTTTCAGATAAATTCGAGGGAATATTTACAGATCTTTGGCAAAATTTGAACTTGGAACAGAAAGTGAAATTGCTCATTATTACAATGATGAAGAAACATTACGATTAGTCAATTCAATGGCTAATGTAATTGGAATACCAATTGAAGAAATATGGGAAGCTTATGGTGGTTTTTTGATTCAATTTACTATGGAAACTGGATGGGATGAATTACTTCGAGCAATGGCTGCTGATTTAGAGGTTCAATGAAATCCTAGTTCGAAAAATTCAATAAAAAATATTCAGGGATTTTTGGATTCTCTTGACTCATTGCATTATTTTATTGATCACGTTGTATACAAAACAAAATTACGTGGTCCATCTTTTCGATGTGATGTTCAACAAGATGGAACTCTTTTACTACATTATTATTCAAAAAGAAGTGGATTATATCCAATTGTAAAAGGTAACCAAGGCTATACAAAGTTTGTATCACAAACCAAATCAAATAAATAATTTTAGGTGTTGTTCGAGAAGTTGCTCGTCGAATTTATGACACTGAAGTTGTTATGAAAGTTCAAGAAAGAAAACAAGAACATTTGGATGCATATGTTACAGAACATGTTGTTTTTGTAATAAGTCAAGTTGAACATCAAAACAGTGTTCAAAAATCAATATCATCAAAAACAGATTCATTGGTTGATTTATCTGGAGGAGTTTATGATATTTCTCCAGCTGATTTTGCACAAGCATTTCCATATCATATATGTTTTGATCCAGATCTTTTTCTCGAACATTTTGGAAATTTTATTAAAAAGATATTTCCAAATGCAACAAGACAAGAAACTAGAATAACAGAAATGCTTGAACTTGTTCATCCAGAAGTTCCATTTTCTTATGAATCGATTAAATATTTCAAAAATAGTCTTTTCATTTTTCGATTAAAAGGAACTGGAAGTGATTCATCTGGAGAAGATCGATCTGTTTTATTGAAAGGATCAATGGTTTTTATTGATGAGGGAAAATATATTCTTTATATGTGTTCTGTGAATGTAACAACAGTTCGAGAATTAATTGATCGAGGAATTCATATATCAGATATGCAAAGACATGATGGAACACGAGATGTTATTATGTTAAATCAAAGTAGAATGAGTCAAGTTGAATTGAAGTTTGTGACAACTTTGTATTTCTTTGAAAAATACTATTTTTCAGTCGAACATTGGAAGAAACCACGAAAAAATTGAAAAAAATGGCTCAAGAATTGGAAATTGAAAAACAAAAAACAGATGAACTTCTTTGTGAATTAATGCCAGCTTCAGTTGCAGACAGTTTAAGAAGTGGAAAAACATCTGATGCCAGTAAATTCATATTATAAACTATATATGTTGATTACTAATAATATAATTTATTTACAGAAGAATTTGCCGATTGCACACTTCTTTTCACAGATATTGTAACATTTACTAATATCTGTGCTTTATGTACACCGTACGATGTTGTTACTCTTCTCAATGATTTATATCTTCGATTTGATCGTTTGGTAGGATTGGTTAGTTTTTTTTTCAAATTCTGAAGAATCATAGAGTACTGTAGTCAGGATAAATTCAGAATTTTCCAGCATGATGCTTACAAAGTTGAAACAATAGGAGATGCTTATATGATTGTTGGAGGAGTTCCAGAACATTGTGATAATCATGCTGAAAGAGTTCTTAATATTTCAATCGGAATGTTAATGGAATCAAAACTTGTTCTATCTCCAATTACTCATAAACCTATAAAAATACGTCTAGGAGTTCATAGTGGACCCGTTGTAGCTGGAGTTGTTGGAATAAAAATGCCGAGATACTGTTTATTTGGAGACACTGTGAATGTGGCAAATAAAATGGAATCTTGTGGAGTTATGTGTAAAATACATATAAGTGAATCGGCAAAAACAAATGGATTGAAATCAAATCAAAGTTATGTATTCATTGATCGAGGAAATACAGAAATTCGTGGAAAAGGATTTATGTATACATACTTTTTGGAAAGAAATGATCGAATTAGTGTTTGGGAATTATGTGCAAGACCGAGATGTTAGTTTTTATTGCTGAAATTAATTTTCGAAAATTCAAAATTTTCAGCTGGTGAACAAACAATTGATGGTTATATGGAATTACACGATCAATCAATTTATCAAGAAGATGCTGAACAAACAGAAGGAAATGGACCAGTAAATGGATCAAGTGTAGATCCAACAAGTCATCATATCCGATCTCCAACTTGTACAATTGTTTGAAAATCGAAGAGTTTATAAATCTATGAAAAAAACAATATTTAATAACATAATGCATAAATAAAATAGAAAATAAATAAAAATACCGTTTCAAACGGGAACATAAAAAAAGAATGAGTAAGCAGAGAATGCCATATCTACATAACAAACCTATAAAAAGGTATAATTAAAAATGCCTCGAGAACGGCTGAAAAGTTATGATTTTGATGAAAGGGAAAATGAGTAAATTAGTAAGTTAATATTTAGTTTTTATTATATTTTTGAGCTTTATTTGTTTGTGTTGGGATCAACAATTGGTATCACTTTTTTGACACGTGATTGCACAGGAGCTCGATTTACCTGAAAAATTATTAATTTTTTAAAATGATTTTTTGATTTGTTTGGAAATAATATTGTTACCTGTTGTTGAACTGGATCAAAATAAACAACATCAGTTGGTTGTCTTATCCTTTGTTGTTGTTGTTGTTGCTGTGGAATAACTGCTCCACCATGTGTAGTTCCACGTGTCATTTGTGGAGGTGGAACATTTGTTGGAACAACAATTGTTTGTTGAATTGGTGGTTGAGAATATACTTTTGGTTGATGATTATGATGATTATAACCTCCTCTATCATTTCCATTTGTATAACCTCCTCTTTGTGGGAATGAAGCATTTCTTGGAACAGGCGAATTATTGTTGTTATTATTATATCCACCACGATAAGCTCCTCTCGCTGGAACTGGAGGTGGAAAATCTCTTTGATATCCGTCACTTTGTTCGGATGTATCAGTTCGACTCACAAATCCACCACGAGATGTTGTATTTCTTCCTCGATGAATTGGTGCAGGTGCACCACGAATTGAACTTCCTCTCACAAATCCACCACCTCTAATTACACCTCGTCGATGATTTTCAAATCGATCATCATTAATTTGTCTAGATGAATTACTGGTGTTATAATCTCGAGGAGTTCGAGTTGATCCACGTGTTCGATAATTACTTTCATAATACGAATTAATAGAACCACGTGAAGTAAATCCACCTCGAGAAACACCTCCACGGAAACGACGAACTGGAATTGATGCATTTTGTTGATGTGTTTGTTGTTGTTGAGGTTTTGATGTATCATTATCTCTAACATCATTTCGATATGAAGATGAAGATGGAGGATTATGACGACGAGGAGCGACTTGTGTAACTCTATAAAAACAACGTTCTGGTGAATAAAAAACATTCTTTTATTTTTTCAATTATTTTTGCGCGCCAAAAAAAGTTCAATGAAATTTTCAAAAACAAACACGAACCTTCCTCTCAATCTTGTTGTTCCACCAAATCCTCGCCTAATTCCTGTTCCACTTCTTGGTCCTTGATTTCTTCTTTGTCCTTTCTTAATTTCTCCTCCATCGTCTTCTTCTTCATCTTCTTCGCTGCTTCTACTTACAGGTTTTTCTAAAAAAAAAAACTCATTTTATTTCTATAATTTTCTTTTTTGAAAACTTACTTTGTGGTTTACTGGCATTATTTTGTATATTTCTTCTTTGTGCTGGTTTTTCTTCAACTTCTGTGTTCGATTCATCAACAGTATCTTCTCTTTCTCGTTTTTTCATTGGTCTTCTTCTATTTGTCGGTGCATTTCTACTGTTTGTTGGTCTTGTATTAATTTTTCTATCTTTTCTATTTTGTCGAACTTGTTTGACATCTGAATCATCTTCAGTTGATTCCGGTGCTGTTGTCTGTAATGGTTTAATCTAATATGACACATGTCAAGATAAAGATTTTATCTATTTTTGATTGGGGATAAGTTCTAATTTTTGATCTATTAATTTTCGAAAGTTATGAAGAAATATGAAATAGAAAACAAGATGCAACTTACTTCTTTTTCAACAGAAGCATCTCCATCTTTTTGATCACTTCTTATATCACATCCATATTTTTTAACAATCTGTTTTTTGGACTTAGGTCTTTGGAATTTTTCATCAAATCTATCATGTTTCCACAATCCATCTGCTCTGCTTTTCTTTTTATCATTCGCATCATCTCTGAAAATATTAAATTTCTGGAAAAGTTCAAAATTTGAAAAAAATAACATACGAATCTAAATTTCCATCAACTTCTTCTCCTCGTCTATCGTCATCATGCATATAGAATTTTCCAACTTTTGGAATATAAGCTGGGTTTTCAACCTGTTGATCATCATCAAGTTCTGCTGAATTTTCAACTGTTTCGGAATCTTCTGAAAACGAACACATTTTTTTTTGATTTTAAACAATCGGATTTTTCTTACCATTCTTTTGCGCAGGTTCATTCCCTTCTTTCTTCTCATCTGAAACCGTTGCTTTGGCTGGCTCCGCATTTTCTTCCACCACTTTTTTTTCTTCAGCAGGTCTCTCCTGAAATAAATATTTTTGATGATTATTGAAAGCAGATGCTAAGTCTTTTTCGTAAATCGATTACTAATATATCAAAAGTTATTCCAAAATATATATATAGATCATTTTTCACACTCACAACTCTTTGGAAAAAATATCTATTTTTTGAAGATATTATAGAGTTTATTGAAAAAGAAAACTTACTTCAACATTTTCATTGCTCTCCGCCTCAACTTTTTTCTCTTCCACCTTGGCAACTTCGGCGTCTTCCGCCATCTGTAAAATTATAAAAATGCATTAACAAAACCAAAAAAAAACTTGATAAAAAAACAAAAATTGTTCGAATCAATTTTGGAACACTCCAATAAAAAAGAGCGAGAACTCGAGAGACGGGGACAGACAAATGGTCTTGTCGCGAAAATCGATGAGAGATAGAGACGCAGACATTGTTAGTACTAACCAACACAAAAAAAGAGAAGGAAGAGTGATTTATGAAATAGAACAATTCGAAGGAGGTTGTGTATTTGGAGATGATACTTTTAGAGCTGTAATACGATGATAATGTGATAATTCAGCTTGAAGACGTTCCACTTCTGCACTCTTTTTCATATATCCTCCTTCCAAAACTGCCAGTTTAGTTCTATATTCTGATACCATGTGCTTCCTCAAAATATTCAGACTTTTCAATGTGGCAAAACATTCAAAAAAAATACAATTCGGAGATATTGAAACATTTGAACAATTATTTAGAAAAACACAACTCGGCTAACATGTTCTGGGCCATAGTAAAACTTTGAAAATCAATACATTTCATTTTTTAGAGATGAAAGTCTTGAAAATTTTAATTTCACACTGAATTGGTACAATTTTTACATTTGGGAATCATGACCTCGGTCGAGGTATGTTTAGAAAAACAATGCATTTTCCAAAAAAAAAAAACATTGGCGAGACAACAATTTTCAAGTATTCAGATTGCTGGATGAGATATTCTCACCGCTAAAATACAAACTATCAGAAACCCAATTTCTCCCAAAATAAACTAACTTCTGTTCGACTTGTTTTTGTAGAACACTTTTCAATTGCTTCGATTGTTCGATATTATTATTCAATGTTTCAATATCAGTTGTTGTCATTTTATGAAGTGCTTTCAATTCATCTTCTCCTTTTGATGCACAAACATCGATAAGTTGTTTGAAATCTTGTTGATTGGCACTTTTCGAAGATTCTAATGTTTTTTCGATGTTCATAACAGTCGTACCAATGTCGAAATTGATATGTTGCATGTTTTCAATGTTTTCCCACGTAGAAGCCTGGAAAATAGTTTTCTTTTAATTTTGAAAATATTTTTAAAACATTTGATTCACCTCTGTAATGTCCATTATTGCTGGTGTTGCCTGAAGAATAAGTTCATCTCTTGGACGGAATCGATTTTTGTGCAAAGTTATTGTTATTTCAACAATTTCGTCATCTCGGAGAGTTCCGGAATTTGGAGTAACTATGTAATGAGTTGGCGAGTTCGTCTATAAACCTATGTTTTTGTTTGAAAAAAGTTCAAATAATATACCTGGAATCTCCAATGAATTGGACCAACTCCACTCAAGCGATTTAATTTGATTTTTTGATCAGCATCAACTGGTTGCTCGATATCAAATACCAAAAAAGTCTGAAAAATACAGGTTTCTTATGAACTATTTCTCGTTGTTGGTTAAACCTGGTCTAATGTGACGAGTTGCTTCTGCACAATGTTCTGATTCATTATTCAAATTCGTAAGAAATGACTGGTTTATCGAAAACCCGATTTCATCCATGTTCGCGTGATCACGTGTTCCAAATGTTTTTTGCGAAAAAAATATTTCCGAACACCCTCCCTTTTTGCATTAAAGGCGCATTGATTTATTTGTGTGTGTCTTGCAACGAGGAGGCAGTTTTTCGAATTTTTCTCGCTTTTTTGTTTGGAAGGCTAAGCTTGGCTTGTTGGTTTCGTTGTAATTCCTTGTTTTAGATCGCATTTATTGTTTTTTCAGGTATCCTCAACTAGCTAAACATAAACAAAAATGACGATCAGTAAAAACAACAAAATGATGGCCCATCTCAACTTCAGAATGAAGCTTATTCTGCAGGACGGCCGAACATTTGTTGGATTTTTCAAAGCTTTCGACAAGCACATGAATATTTTGCTGGCAGAATGTGAAGAACACCGACAAATCAGACCAAAGGCAGGAAAAAAGGTTAGATAAATGGTTAAAGTATGGAAAATCAAATAAATATTAATTTTCAGACCGATGGAGAGGAAAAGAGAATTCTTGGTCTTGTTTTGATCCGTGGAGAACATATTGTTTCAATGACTGTTGATGGTCCACCACCAAGAGATGATGACTCAATCAGAGTACCAAAAGCTGGAGGTGTTGGTGGAGTTGGAACTGCAAAACCAGCAGGTCGTGGAATGCCAGCAATGCCTGGTATGATGCCACAAGGTGCCCCCGGAGGTTTGGCTGGAGCTGTCAGAGGAGTTGGTGGACCAGGAATGGGACAAATGGCACCAGGATTCGGTGGACCACGTCCATATTAATGTAAAATTTCTCTTGTTACACTTTCCCATTGATCTGAATTTTTTATTGTTTTTTCTTACTTTCTTCCTATTTTTTTCACCTATAAATTATTGTTTAAACGCTTCACTGATATATTGATAAGAGTCGTAGAAACTCTTCAAATATTTCGGATTTCATAAAATCTAAAATTTGAATGATAAATTCAAATTAATTTTAAGGGAAAGAATGCCACCAAAGAAGGTCGTCGAAGAGAAACCAGCTCTCATTGGCCGTTTGGGAACCAACTTGAAAGTCGGAATTCTGGGTCTTCCGAATGTTGGTAAAAGTACATTCTTCAATGTTCTCACGAAATCCGAGGCACAAGCTGAAAACTTCCCATTCTGTACCATCGACCCAAATGAGAGCAGAGTAAGGATTGTGGTTACCTTTTTCATTACAAAATAGAGATATTTAGGTAGCTGTTGCTGATACTCGTTTTGATTGGCTTGTTAATCATTACAAACCAGCTAGCAAAGTTCCAGCATTTTTGAATGTAACTGATATTGCTGGTCTTGTTAAAGGTGCTTCTGAAGGACAAGGACTTGGAAACGCATTTTTGTCTCATGTTTCCGCTTGTGATGCATTATTCCATTTGTGCCGAGCATTCGATGATGATGATGTGACACACGTTGAAGGAGATGTTGATCCAGTTCGTGATTTGGAAATCATCAGTAATGAATTGTTTGCCAAAGATCTTCAATTTATTGAATCTCCATTGGACAAAGTCGAAAAATTGGTAACAAGAGCCAATGACAAGACAAAGAAACTTGAATACGATACTTTGGTTCGTGTCAAAAAATGTCTTGATGAGCGAAAAGCTGTTCGTCTTGAAACATGGAATGAGAAAGAAATTGAGATTCTCAACAAATATCTTTTCCTTACCGCTAAACCAATTGTTTATCTTGTAAACTTATCGGAAAAAGATTATATTCGCAAGAAGAATAAATGGTTGCCAAAAATCAAAGCATGGATTGATCAAAATGATGCTGGAGCAGTTTTGATTCCATTGTCCGGAGCTTTTGAGTTGAAATTGCTCGATATGCCAGAAGATGAGAGACAAAAATATTTGAAAGAAAATGAAGTCACCTCAAACTTAGACAAGATTGTTAGCACTGGTTACAAGGCACTTCAATTGGAGTATTTCTTCACTGCTGGAGAAGATGAAGTCAAAGCGTGGACCATTCAGGTTGGTTTATAAATTTAATTATTTCAATATTGGAATATATTTTCAAGGTCGGAACACCTGCTCCAAAAGCTGCTGGTAGAATCCACACTGACTTTGAAAAGGGTTTCATTATGGCTGAAGTCATGAAAGTAGCCGATTTGATCGAACTTGGAGATGAAGCAAAATGCAAAGCTTCTGGAAAATATCGCCAACAAGGAAAAACTTATATTGTCCAAGATGGTGATGTAATCTTCTTCAAATTCAACGCTGGCGCTGGTCTTCAAGCTAAAAAGAAGTAAACGACATTCTTTGCCAAGTTTTGTTTGTTGTATCGCATATTTTGTTATAAAAAAGTTCTATTTAAAAAGATTTATCAACAGATTTTTTTCATTTTGAATTGGTAATCTTACCATACGAACATGTCTATGATTTATTCAGTTGATTTCTCATTTTCCCAATTTTTGCAGGTATTAGATGTCAATTCCTCCATTAAAAACATTCGGGAATTGGGCAGAACAGAAAAGTTCATCAGGGAAAATCTACTATTATAATAAACACACGGAGGTTAGTTGCATTCACTTCTTTATTGAGAATATGAAGTTAATTATTTAAAGGTTTCACAATGGGAAAAACCACAAGATTGGAAAGACTACGATGCAAAAGGGGAGCAGGATCGGATTGTTCCCGAAAAACAAACATTTCAGGTATTTTTTGGAACGGGCACAATTTTCTTAAAGTCTGAATAGGATTAGAGTTCTCTGGTATTTTTTCAAATTGGACTATTTAAAAAAATATATTTCGAAATCGTCTAATTCGATCCCCCAACCCAAGAAAAATATGATTGAAAAATTGTTGTGTAACTTTCCAAGTCCGAATAAATTTTATTCGGAAAATGCTCAAGGGACTCAATTTCAACTCAGAATCTGTCTCCTTTTCCATTATTCCAATATTTGCAGTCAACACCTGTTCCGCCTCCAATGATGCATCCGCCTCCATCAATGAACCCCTATATTCATATGCAACCTCATTATATGGGAATGCCTCCACCTCCTCCAGCCGCTGCTCATTTTCCACCTCCAGGCTACCCTTCTCAATATTATGCCCCACCATCAAATTCTGGTCAAATGTATCCGCCGCCACCTCCTAAAGCATATCCTCCACCTCCAATTATGTCTCGCCCAACTGGTATTCCTCCACCTCCACCATCAGTTTCAACATCGCAGAAACATATGGGCTCTCATGATTTATATAATTGCCCCCCAGCAACTGGTTCTGTTGTTCCACCTCCGCCCCCACCATCAGATAAAACAATGCGTAATTCATATATGCAAAATAGAAAGTAAGTTTATTTTTGGCTGTACCGAAACATTGGATCTGGAGTTTTTCTGTACTTCTTTGTCATGCAAAAATTGTGTTTCTAAAAAATCCTGTGAGGTTATCAATGAACATTGCTTGAAACGAGCAATTATAAGTATATAAATTTCAGAGAATATGATCACATAGTTTCACCTTCAACATCAAATGCAAAATCAAATGGATCAATAAGTATACCTTCAACACCTGGAGATGGAGGTGGATCAATATATAAAAGAGAATTGGCCAACTTGAAAAATGGTCAACAACAACAACAGCATAATAATAATAGCAGTCATAAACGTGTTTTGAGTCCTCCTGTAAATAGTGAAACACCGAGAAAAAAGGCAAATAATGGAAATGGTATTAACAATTATCAAGATGAACAAAATCAAAAACAGAATGATTGTAGTGGTTAGTTTATTTATATACAATTTTGAAATAATATCCTCCAAATTTATTGATTTTAGAACCATCAACATCAAATTCTGATAAAAACGATGATACTTTGCATAAGTATAAATATTATGATCCTGTTATTGCAAATGAAAAATCGAAAATGCTTGGATTAATGGATGAAGACGAAAGGATGGCATTGGTTCGTTTTTTGAAAACTTCTGAGATTCTGTTTAAGAATTAAAATCAAATGTGATGTGTTTCTCATTTTATAATAGTTCAGCGAATAGAAATTCTCAATTTCTAGGGAGATTTTATCTTTATTAGAAAGTTTCTCATTTAATTTCATGGAAAAGAAGATCGGAATACTTTTCCCCCAGAACATGATCGGTTGAAAGTAAGAATTTTTTAAAGAAATGTATAAAATATTATTTCATGAAACGTGAACTTCATGTATTTTTAAAAATTCGCTGTTTTGATTTTTGTAGAGAAGAATTCTGAAAACCTACATTAATGAACAAGGTTTTCAGAATTCTCCAAAAATCTCGAATTGACCTACAAAAATTGACCTACAAAAAAATGACCTACAAAAAATTCTGTCGAAATTTCAATTTTTGAGCACTTTGAGCACAAATTTGAGTGTGCAACACATCGCTGAATAAATTCCGAATTCTCAAACCTTGAACTATAAAAATATAATTTTATAGCCCGGAAATAGAAAATGCAACGATATTTCCCACATGGACTACATTTTTCCAAAAAGTGATTATTAGAGAGATTCCAGAAGCTTCAATATTCCTCAAAAAGTGTTGAAACATCCGATATCTAAACAATAATTTTTCAGCAGAAAATAACTCGTGAGAGTCTAGCTTTGGAAGCAACAATAACAGCTGAACATGTTGCAAGTGTTGGTGCTCGTTGTATGGTTGCAGCAGAAGATCACGCAAAACGAATATTTGAATCACAATGGGAAGTTAATCGTGTAAGTTATAACAAATCAATTCAACTCCTTTAAAAATGTATTATTGTTTTTAGAAGTCTCTTCAACGACTGAGTGAAAGTATTCAAGACAGTGTTCCGGATTTCAGCAATGCAATGCAAATGACAACAACAGGAAAAGAAATGCTACTTCAAACCACATGATCTTCGTCTTCTTCTTAATTTTATATTTTCATTATTTATTATATATTTTATAAATTCAAATTAAAAACAAATTAATGTTGCAGAAATACCAGCAAAATGAATGAAAAATAGCGGCTTGGACAATCAATAGAGGTGGAGAACATTTGAGGAAATATTATTATTATTAGGTTATCCGAACCTGATTCACATTTATTGTTGAAATTCGATTTGTTGTGTGTGTTCTTTCGTGTTTTGTTAAATGATCGCTTCTCATGAATTTTTTGCCGCAATGACTACATTGGAAACGTTTTTCGCCTGTATGTGTTCGACGATGCCGTTGAAGTTCATCTGATCTGCAAAGATTTCAAATTAAACTTGATTTTTTTCTACACAAAATCAACTAACCTTGTAAATCGTTTACTACAATGTTGCCAATCACAAGCAAATGGTTTATTACCAGCATGTCCACGTAAATGAGCTCTGAAAAATTTCTATAAAAATATGAAAACAAAAATGTTAAAACTACTCACCTAAGATGTGACGTTTTACCATAAGTTTTATTACAAATATGACACACGTGCATACGAGTTTTTCCGTCACCACTGAAAAAAAAAACGAACTAATTTTGAGTTTTCAAAAAGTTAATTAAACTTACGTTCGATTATTCCCTGAACAATTTGGACACGTACAAGCACATCTTTTCGGAGTTTCATGAATTGAATTATTAATATCATAATCATTGCTCATATTAAGAAGGGTTTGATCGCCTACTCGATCATGATTACCAACTAATATTGTTCCCTGTTGAGTTTGAGGTTGCTGAAAAATGCACATTTTATTAACTTTATAGAAGTGCTATTTGAAAGTTTGGAAAATGCGAAATTGGTTAGAATCTTATTAAAATGATTCTTCAAAAGGGAAACACGTGTATTGATAGAAAAGGATTCGCAAATTCAAAATGGTTGATTTATATTATTCACAGAACGGGTCGGTGATTAAAAAATGGATATCCAATCAATTTAAAAATACTTTCGAAATTTTCCGCGAATTCGGTTCAAATTTCAAGAATTACGATTTTTGCAAATATTTGAGAAATTATCATATACCCTGTTTGGTTAATTTTCCGAGTCAATTTCTTTAAATTATGTCAACACCACAAATTTAATCTTGAAAATCTCTTTTCAAAAATAATAATTACCTGTGGTTGAGTAGTTGGTGCACCTTCATTTGTAATAATCCATTTTTGTGGATCATTTGGATCTTGTTGAAAATGCAGATTTCCAAGTGTAATTCTCTGTTGTCCACCAGCTTGTCCACTTCCAGTTGGAATTGGTGGAGCCATACTTGTACTAGCATTTGATTGAATTGTGACCGGAACTTGTTGAGGAGCTGATTGAATTTGACCTGGACCATCTCGATGACCAGAATCAATTGTTTCAAGCTGAAAAAATAATTCGAATTATTTCGAAAAAACGCTTACTTGAATGAAAAATGTAAATATCAGTTTTTGACTTACCATATGATGTGATCCACTTGGTTGCATTTGATTTAGTAAAGTCATTGATTTTTTATCTGATGGAATTTGTACAGGAATGAAAGTGACCTGTAATAAAAATATAATTAATGAGGATTTGAACATAAATGTATAAACTTACAGGTGGGCCATGAGCTTGTGTATTTGTTGGTTGAAGTAGATAAACTTGTTGTGCTTGTTGCTGTTGTTGTTGACCTTGTTGAGCAGGAATAACTATTACTTTTGAAAGTCCTCCACCAGCTGCAATTATTCAAATGTTTTAAATTGTATTTAAAAAAATCTATCTTACAAGTACTTGTTTGGTAAACTTTGAAATATAAGCTCATTTTCAATAAGAATCAAATTTGAAAACCAACAATGATATTTAATTGTTGTGAAATTTAAAGTTTTGAAAAAAACGACACGCCCATTTTTCTCAAAATTTTGTTGAATCATTTTTGTAGAAAAAAAACAAACCTTGTGATACGACGGGAGAATGGCCAATATGTTTTGACATTCTGAAAAAAACGAAAAAAAATCAATATATTAGCAAAGTTTTTGAAATCCTAAAAAAAGCAAAAAAAAAAGTGGGTGGAGAAAAGGGCGGGCGTTTTGGGTGGAGTGAACATGGAAAGGGGTGGGGAGACGAAGAGAGAAAAAGATGAAAATGAAGGGGTGGGGCACACTCTGTGTCTTTTATCGTCGAACCGCCCGCCTCCATCTCACACTCTCTATTTTTCTCATACTATTTCGTCGCAACTTTTCTGTCTGCGAATTTGTGTGCGTTTGAAGGACACGCCCCAATTAGAAAAATAGTGCGAGGAGTGGAGAGAGAGTGAAGAGAGAGTGTATTGAAATGTGAGACGCAAATTTTACAGTTCTCCTTTTCAATCCATCTATCAATAGTGAGTAGATAAGCGCAAAGAGACGCAGACAAACAACTTTTGTCACATTGAAAAAAGTGGAAGAAACAATGAACGATTTATATTTATAGCAGTACGGTTTCCTAAAGGGAAATTGAACGTCAACCTGTTTTCCAGATGTTTTCCCACACTTGAAACCTTAATCGAAATACAACTTTGGATAAAAACAACGATTTTCGATTTACTCGAAACTTTCGAAAAAAAAAGTAAAAATGAATGTGCGCTCCATCAATAATCCGTGTTTACACACATGAGAACATACAGTAATTCTTTGGGTGTTTTCAAAATTTTTATTTTTTTTCGACAAAAAAGTTTTTTTATTTTTCAAAGCTTCTAGCGATTTTCTTTCTAAAATCTGTGAGGTCTCGCATCTTTTTTGGAAATGTTTACTTTTGTCCAAAAATCGGAACAATGTTTGTTTTGTCGACTAACCGGCAAACCACACCCACCCCATTATTTCTCACGAAGCGGGAAAACTAGGATTGATTCTTGAAAATTTATCAGTTGAAAATTCAAGCATGGAATGATTTTTGTCATTTAGGAAATTTCGAAAGTCTGGGAGTAAGGAATTTTGAAAAAGTTTGAGAAAAATCAACACATAATTCTGCGAGAAGAATTCAATTTTTTTGAAAGTCGAATTTGCAAGACAAACTTCTACATTTTCTTTTTAAACCCCAGATTTACAAAATAATGAATAACTTTTCTTACCAATCTTTGTAAAACCGACATGAAATTGAAAAATTCCATACTACAAAAATACTTTTATATATTGAGACAATTTTGGCCCCAAATTCAACTTTTCATTTTTCGAAAATAATATTCTAGATAACATTCGTTATTTTGAGTTTCAAATCCAGTTTTCAACTTATTTAAATCCAATTTCTGGGTTTCCTGCCGAATTTTATATAAAAAAAATGGAAAATATTTCAAGAAATAGCAAAATTGGTTCCTTCTGTAAATTTGAACTTTAATTTTCCGTTGCAAAATGATTTTTTTCTCATTTTTATTCGTGGGTCGTGGGTTCTCCGGTAATCATATGAGCAGAATGGATATATACAATCACACCTGGCGAGAGAGTGCCCCAAAATTTTTGTGCAGCTTCAAATTTTGAATTTTTAGAAAATTATCATCAAAATCCGCTGAAAATCAACAAAAACTTGTGTTCTTCATTCCTTTTAGTTGAGATACTGTAAGTATTATCTCTAGGGTTGAAGTAAGAATGACTACCGTAGTTCATGCAGCCTGCATTCACACAAACAACCGCGACGCAGCGAACGGCGCTCGTTTGCTGCCTTTTGAATTTTTTTTATTGAAAAAATATTTGGTTTGTTGGTGTAGGCTAAGAAATCAAAATGAAAACTGAAATAAAATTTATATTCTTGCTACTAAGTTAGAAATTTCATTTCTCTAATTTTTTTTCGATTTTTAAAAGTTCGAAATAATATTTGTTTGTTTTTCAGATTGGTCTTTGAGAGTTATGACAACACTGAATGATTCGAATAGTGAGTTTTTCCTTTTTTTAATGTGATAAAATTTTTATTTAATAACAGTTGGTACCAGCAATATTGATGAGATAACAAATGTTGAAACTTCAAATGATTCGCCAGCTCCATCAGTTTTATTAAGTCGAAAAGGATTATTCGGCAATTCTGCTGCATGTTTATCGGTTAGTATTTACACAACAATTAAATATGAAATATATTTCCTACAGGATAATTATCCGAATACTTCGAATGATTGTGAAATGGAAGTTGAAGAAACTGTAAATCAAGAAAATGGTGATTCAAATGGAAATAACATATCAATTCAAGAAGAAAATGAGCAGTCTATTGCTATAGAAAATAAAAACGAAAATCTGGAATCAACATCAGTTATTCCAGATGATGAAAAAACTATTGAAGATTCCATTTTGGACCCAACACCGATATTCAAAGAAGCCGAAGATTCTGAGAAAGTGTCGTCAGAAGAAAAAACTGAACCAGTTCCAACAGTCATTGGAAATGAAGTCGAGCCTACTTCAGAATCTCCTTTGATTGAAATCGATGAACCTCTTCCAAAAGACGATGAAAATATCGGAGAAAAATCAGATGAAACTGAAAATGATGAAGAAATTGAAATTGATAGTGTTGAAGAAGTTTGTGTTAAAAAAGTTATTTCGATGGATACAGAAGAAACAGTGACAGGTGAAGAGGAATCGGAGGAAACACCAAGAAAAAGAGCAAAAAGAAATGCACCAAAAGATTCGAACGATGATGATGATTTTGAGGAAAAAACGAAGGAACTTGAGGTTGAGGAAAATAGTTTAGAAGGTGAAAAAGAGGTTGAAGTAGAAGAAAAAGAAGAAATTGAAATTGAACAAAACGATGTAGAAGAAGAAATTGAAGAAGAAGAGAAACCCAAGCGTACTCCTCGTGGAAGAAGATCCGTAAAATCTCAACCATCATCTTCAAGAAGTAGCCGAAAAAAGTCAGAAGACAGTAATGTAAGTTTCCGGTGGTAGTTTGTCAACATTAAAATTACATTTTATAGGCTGAAAACGCGGAACAAGACGTTGAAAATCCGGAAACTGAATCAGAAAGTAAAGTTGAAACCGATGAAGCACCAGAAGAAACACCAAAAAGTTCAACAAGATCATCTCGTCGTTCAAATGCTGTTAAATCAGAAACAGATACACCAGTTCCAACTAGAAGTAGTCGAAGATCAACAGCTGCTGCAAATGTTTCAACTCCTGAAGTTAAAACAACTGGAAGAAAAAGTCAAGTTAAAAAAGAAGAGGAAACAGAAAGTACTCCAAATCAAACAAGAAATCAGACACCAGTTGAAGTAAGTTTTTTTTAAATTTAATTCGAAAATATTTATGATTGAAAAATAATGTTATTATAGACTCCTTCATCAACTCGAGGTCGACGTGGAAGAAAACCTGCTGAAGAAAAAGTATCTACTCCAAAATCAGCTATTCGAACACCATCATCGAAATCGCGATCAGCAAAAAATGTATCGATAATTGAAGCAGAAGACAAAAATGATGAATCAATAGAAGTTGAAGAAAAAGAAGAACAAGAACAGAAATCGGCGAAAAAGACACCAGGCAGAACACCTTCTTATAAAAAACAACCAATTAAAGATTCGGATGAATTTGATCCTTATGATTTAGACACTGAAATGGAAAGACATCCAGAACCATTGAAAAATATTCATGTGAGATTTTTTGTTTTTAATTATATCAACAAAAATCATTTATTTTTCTTTAGATGGAAGTTCAAAATTTTGGAACTGTCAAATATGCGAAAATTGGAAAATCAGTTTCGAATTATGAATCAACTGAAAGAGCAGCCGAATCAAGAATATCAAATTTATCCAGTTAGTTTTATTGAATTTTGTTAAGAATAATAATCAAGTTATTTTTTGAAGATACGCCACCTCAACGAAAAGAAAGAAAATCGTTGGCTGAAATGACTCCTGGAAAAGAAAAAATTCAACATCGTATTAGTATGGGATCGGCTAAAAAACGAACAAAATCAACTAAAAAGGCATTTGAGGATATTGGAGATGAAGATGAAATGGATTTTGAAACTGATTCACCAAAAGTCGAAAAATCAACAAAAGGAAGAAAGAGAAAGTAAGTTTTCAACAAAAAAAAACAGTAAACGTTTACATCAACTTTTTTAAAGAGCCGATGAAGAATCACCAAGTTCAGTTGCTGTCAAAAAAGTGGCTATTGAATTACCAAATTTATCAGCTGAAGAGCAATGGCAAGTTGATCATCCAGAAGATGAACATGAACCACATGCACCTGGTGCCAGAGTTTATGCACTTTTCGGAAAAGTTTATTATCCAGCTGTTATTGCTTCTGAGTAAGTTATTTTTAGATAAATTAGTTGTAATTTTTTTAAATTTCAGACGAGATGGTTTGGGAAGATTCAAAGTTCAATACACATCTGATAAAATAGTAAAAGATGTTCCATCTGCGGGAATTATTCCATTGAGAGCTGTTGTTGCTGGAAAACAGGTAATTGTTAGATAACTTTCGAATGAAAAATGAAAAAGAATAATATATTTTCAGTGTTTCTATAATGAAGATGTATTAAATGTGATTGCTTGTCCAAATGCAGCATCAGCAAAAGAATGGACAGAAGGAATATTTTATTTAGAAGCATTAGATGAAAATGGTGATCCAACTGGTGATACAATTCGAGCTGATTGGTGTGAAATATCACTTGATATGTCTGATTGGAAAGAATATATCAATAAAAAATCAAGTGAAGCAACATCAATTGTTGCTGATAATATAACAACACCATCACAAATATATCGAGCTGCAAGAAAACATGTTCAAACACCAGCTGTTAAACCAAAAGAAACTGCCAAAAAATCAACCAAAAATAGTTCGTTGCCAATTGAAGAACAGAATAATGAATTTAATTTGAAGAAACTTATTATGAATGATGTCGGTGTTGGAAAAAGTATGTTATAAGTTATTTGAAAATAACAAAAATATAATTGTTTTTGTCTAGATATCTTCCAAGGAAAGTTATTCATTTTAACTTCGTCAACTCGTCAAAATTTGAAATCTGTGGCTCAATGTATGAGAAAAACTGAACTGAAAGAATTTGTTATTGAAAACGGAGGAACAGTTACGGAACACTTCCATGATGTCGATGAAAATCCGAGTCTTGAAGCATTCTTAGTTTCTGACAGATATTATAGAACTCACAAATATTTGGCTGCTTTGGCACGTGGAGTTCCTTGTATTTCACAAGAATGGATCAAACAATGTGCAAATGTTGGAGAAATTGTTGATATTGAGCCATTTATTCTTTCTGCTGGATTATCTGCTCTCGATGAAAAAGAATATCCACCGTAAGTTTTTATTTTATCAGTTATATAGAATAAGAATAAAAAAGAGCTCCTCATTGAAAACATTTATTGTTTATCAAAAAATGATTTGTAATCTAGTTTTTCAAGTTACTCACGTTACAGTACTTCGACTCAATCTTATTAATTTTTTTTCGATTGATTAAGACATCAATGATGTATTTGAACCCCCCCCCCATAAACGCATGGCCCGCTTGGTGTTACGCTGTTCGTAACCCCATCAAGGCCAGTAGATCATCACTCAAGCAATGAAGATCAAGCCCCCCCCCCTACTTTCATACTAAAATGTAATAATCCTACCAGTGTAATTTAGACCCCCCCCCGCCCCACCAACCAGTAAAATCAGAACATCATATGATTCTACCCCCTAATTGTCCAACCATACCTTGTTAACCGCTTAATTCAGCTTTCCTCAACAACTCCTACCAATTCTCACTGGGTTTTTTTTGAATAGAATAGACATTAGATAAATAAAATAGATCAGAAAACTACCGTTTTCTTTCTCAACTAGAAAAATAAATGAGCTACATAAACAAGAAATCTCGTGGCATTATCGAACACGTCATTTAGTACACGTTTAGCGCAGTTTTAGTTTAATTTTAAAAATATTCGGGAATTTTTTGAGAATGTTGTGAATGAGGGGACAAATCACACTGGTATTTCTATGCATGTATTTCTGATTGTGGGAGGTTGAAATCCATTTTCTTCAATGTTTTCAATTGATAGATATATTTCAGAATAAAAGATCATTCTTCTACATTATCTGGTCTCAAATTCTATGTTCATACAACTCAAAGAGTTCGAGAAAAAACTCAACTTGGACCAGGAAGCACATTCTTACAAATTTGGCATCCACTCATTGAATTATTGGGTGGCGAATATATCGATTGTGAACCGGAAGATTTTGAAAAACATGGTTTTGATGCTGTAATTACAGATGGAAATGTTGATGAAACTGTTGAAGAAGTCGCATCAAATAAGAATATTCGAATTTTGACATCTGAATTCATTATCGAGGTTTGTAAATACTGAAATTTTAATTAAGAAATTATTTCGAAAATTGATTTTTTTCACGTATTTTTTGTTATTGGAAAAGATACTTGAAATTTAAACGACAATTTTTCAGGCAATTATCACTGGAAAAGCTCCTGATTTGGATGAACCGAAATTCACACTCGATCATTTGCGAAAAACAAAACAAGAAGAAAAAACTACAAAGAAAACCAAAGGGCGTTCACATTAACAGTTTTTGTGTTGTAAATATTTTCAAGTATTTTACGATCTCTAAATATTTATTTATTTAATCTCTATCCTATTTATATACATACATATACTTATTAATTCTCCAAAATACGGTATTTTCCCGGAGTTGTAGCATTTTTCAAATCCCTAACCGAGTTATTTTATTTATTTTTTTTTCATTTCAAAAACGTTTCCTAACAAAATAGCTTACAATAAATTGTTTAATGAAATATTTGATTTTTTTTTTGGTTACTTTGTTACTTATCTATGAAAATTATTTAATTTTTACGGTTTATTGCTTTTTGACAGTTATTCATATTGTGAAATTTTGAAATTATGACTGTGCAATGTCTGTCTCTCTGCATCTCTGTGACTTTGTGTTGTTTTATTTTCGTATTTCCCAATCAATTTTTTAGTGATTTTGGAAGATTTCAAAAAGAAATTGAACACTCTCTTCGCGTGAATCACGCTTGGCGTGGATAACGTGGCACTTTAGAGCCGCCCATGTTTTATAATGTGTGTTGTTTTGTGTTTGTATCAGCGTTCTCATACATATTCAAATATTGAACTTATTTTCCTGAACAAGTTTTTTTTGAATTCAGAAGTACAAACTAGTTTCTCGCATCTTCTGAACGTATCGAAAATTCTTCATTTTTTTATTCACTGCTTTGTTTTTGGAACGCAATTCACGAGATTTATAGTCATAATCTTGATACTTTTTTACTTCTTACAGTTATTAGGGAATAACTTTAAAATTTTTCGAAAATTCAGTCTTTACACGAAAAAGAACGTGAAAGCTGAAATCGCTTCGAGCATTCCACCGTTAAAAAATGCGTGTGCCTTTGATGTCTTTCAATGTTTTTTGCACAAAAAGTAAACAATTTTTCTATTTTGTGCCTGAGTTGTGTTATGTCTTTTGTACCGGTATAACTTTATTCATTCATTTTTCAAGTTTTCAGATATCAGTGTTAAAATGCAGAACACATTTAGTGGTGGTTCATCACGTGGAAGAGGGAATGGACCATATCAAGGAAATCGAGGTGGAATAGGAGGCGGAGGAATGAGAGGAGGTCGAGGAAGAGGTGGCCCAAGATATTTTAATGGGTATGTTTAAGTATAGCTATAGAATTTATGAATAATCAATTTTTATTTTTTTAGTCCACAGCGTTCTTCCTCGCCAGTTAATAGAGAATATGATTTATTTGAGGATAAAGACACACCATCTCCACCACCTTCATATAGTGACAGAAACAGGTTTGTTATTTGAGAAAGTTTTTTTCAAATTCGTTCCAAATTGATTTCTAAATATTTATGAAATTATTTCAAAAAACGAAGTTTTAGACGTGATGGAAATCGTAATCAAGTCAATTCATATCGAGGACGAAACGATGATAGAAATGGTTATTCGATCCGTGGAAATAATACAAATAATCATCAAAGATCATTTTCGCCAACTGGAAGTTATTCGCGTCCACAACAATCAATGGTTTGTCGACAACCTTCTCCACAAGGAAGACGTTCGCCGCCGCCATCGAGATATCCACCACAAAGATCCGAAAATTTGGTAAATAATAGAAGAGGAAGAAGTCCAAGTCCACCAAGAGTTAATAATTATTCTAATGAACGAGCACCACAACAACAACAACAACAACAAAGTTCTTCAAGAAATCAGAATGATCAAGTTGCTGAGAGATTAATGAGAAGAATAGGTTAGTTTTTATCTTGGGTTTTATTATTCATTTATCGTTTCATTGTCTTACTTCAGAAGAAAATGAGCAAGATGTTCGAGCACTTGAAGAACAATTGAGTCGCGCAAGAAGAAGACTTGAGGAAAGCTATCACGAATTACAACAACATAGGAGATCTACGGTATATCATTAATTCATTTCCCTTTGTCGAATTCTTCTTGCACTCACACAATTTTTTTGCACTTCTAGTTCTGAATCGGTATTTGCTCCCATTTTCACTCCCTTCTCACAAATGACAAATATTTTTTCTGAAAAGTTTTCGATGTTTCTTTGTTGTTATTATTATAACATGAACTGTTTTTCTTCTACTTTCATTTCCTTCTGTTTTTGTGAGCGGGGAAGAAGTGTGGTCAACTGTACCTTTTTATTTCAGAAATTATGTTTTGTTAATCAATTTCTGATGTTTTCAGGAACAACCAGTTATGAGTTGTCAAACAATCGAAATTAACTCAATTCAGGTAGGAAAACTAATCAAAAATATATTTTAAACTTTTTTTTAGTGTATTGAGGAAAAAAGTGAAGAAGAAAAAGAAGAAGAAGATGTAACGCCATCACAGCCTCAATTCATTTATTGATTATTCGAATATTCCTTCCACATCAACAGATCCAAATTACATCCACAACGAAGGTAAGAACGTCAATTTATTTCATCAAATTTTTACGTGACCTCTTTTTGATGACGTTGTCTTACATTTAGTTAGATGTCTTGAATTTCATTCCATACCTAATCTACATCTAGCAATTTTTAATTTTTCTTAAAAAGAACCCCACCTGCGTTCTCGAAAACTCGTCATGGAAACATCAAACATTTTGAAATGTTGGTTATTTTTTTTTTGGAAAAATGTGTTCCCCTCAAAATTTCTAGCTTCCGGCATCCAACAATATGGCGAAAAAACAGTATATTTTTGGCCAAATTTTTGGAATGTACTGAGTTCCATTCAATTTTATGAACTTTCGAGCAGGAATTTTAGTTATAAGCTTTTAATTCAAATTAAAACCAATATCACTCTCTCTATTCATTGAAATAGGAAACTTTGAAGGATCATTTTGTTCCGTTACATTTTTTCGTATCTCTTATCTAATTAACCAATTCTCAAACCATAGTTTTTTGATTATTTCGCAATTTTTCTCATTGCTCATGTTATTTTATCGAACGTGTCTCTCAAACTGATAGAACATTGAAACAAGGGAGAAATAGAGAGAAAAAGTAGGCGGGGTTTTGCTTTTTCTCTCTCGGCTCTCTTATTTATAGAGCGCCTTTTTTGTTTGTATTTTCATTCTTAACAATATTGAGGTTTAATATTTTTAGATCTAAATAGAGAAGACCAAGAAGAAGAAGAAGACATGCAAAATCTTACTAATCAACTAAAAAAGACAACATTTGCTCCAATTCAATCAACATATTCATCGGATAAGTTGACAGAAGTTGCTGAGAAGTTGAAACCAGCAGTGATTACCGCCAAGAATCGTGTTTCAATATTAACTAATTATTGGGATATAAATGTTCAATCGAAGACTGTTTATCGATATGATGTTGATGTTAATGTTGTTTTTAATACCAACGACACAGAAAAAACAGTTTCGCTTACAGAAGGTTCGAAAACTGCGTAAGTTTTTCTTTCCATTGGAGTTTTTTTTTCGGATATCATAACACTTGTTATATTGTAGATCATCTCGCGTTGAACATCATCAACTTTGCTTGGCTGCACTTCGAGCTGGTCTTGAAGCATACTCAGCTTTTCGTCAACAAGCTGCAACTGTTTATGATTGTGTCACACAATTATATACAAGTGAAGAATTGGAAATGGAAGGATCTGGATCAATTACAATTGAAGTATCACCACAACAATTACATTCAATGGTTCAACATCGTTTCTCTGAAATGTCTAATATAAGAATTACCATTTCTCCAAATCAATCACTTCCATCATTTGATCCATCTGATTATTCGAAAGAAAATCAACGAGATTTGAGCGAAAACAATAAAATTGTTTCGAATTTCTTGAATATGTTAACGAATGAAAGTGCACAACGAAATGGATTGACTGTTTTTGGAAGTGGAAGATTATTTGATATGGAAAAACAAGGAGAAAAAATTGGAAGTGGACAAGAAAAACGAATGGGAATCGATAAAGGAATCAAGTAAGCGAAATATTTCATTCGTTCACTTATTTATTTTTGTTTTTGTTTTAGGTTCATCGAAGGAGGCGTTTCTCCGCCAAAAAATAATAACAACAAAAAATCATCAAATGATAAAAATACGCTTCCTGCTTTGCTATTGGATGGTTAGTTTTTCCAAAGAAACATTGTTTTGAACGAATTTGGTTTTCAGCGAAATGTGGTATTTTCTTTTCTCGTCAATCATTATTGACAACACTTACCGAAAAGTTTGGAAATTTGAACTTGGATTGGAGAGAAATCGATGCGCAAGCGAAATCTCCATCACATCGAATTAGAAATGCAAAATGGGTTGAAATTCAACAATATTCAAAAGGACTCCGATTTGAGAGAACTTATTCGACAAAAAGAACTTTTACAATTTCGGGAATCAGTGAACAACCAATTAAAGATATTACATTTTCTGGAGTTGATGGACAAAAAGTTCGAGTTTTAGATTATTTGAAAGATATCATTGGAAACGAAGTTGGTGGATATAATGGAAATTTGCCAGCAGTTGAGGTTCGAAAATATGATCCAGTTAATCATAAAACATCGAATATGTATTTTGCAATGGAAAGTATAGTGATTACGGAAAATCAACGAGTTCCAATTTCCAAACAAACTGAACCAGTATGTTTTTATTTTTATTATGTTTCTAATGTTTCAATTTCATTTAATTCTTTCAGCCACGCCCGATTAAACCACAAGATAGATGGGGAAGAATAAATCAATTAATTGGTGAATTGAATTTGGAACAAGGTGGAAAAAGAAATGAAATTATGAGAATGTTTGGTGTCTCATTGTCTGAAACACCAAAAAAAGTGATTGGAGTCAAAAGAGATGCACCAAAAGTTATTTTTGCGAATGAAAAACATGTTGATATCGGACCACAACGAGTAAGAAAATTTAATAATTTGAAACAAATTAATTAATTAATGGTTTTTTTTTCAGCATGATTGGAAATCGTTTGATTGTCGCGCCATTTTACCAGCTAAGACAAAAGCAGTTATTGTTTCATATCCAAAAAGAGATGAAAGAATTGCAATACAAGCAAAAGATGCTTTGGTTCGAAAATGTCAACAAAATGGTTTGCAAATTGATAAATGGCATATGATTGATATTGAAAGATTCGTTGGAACTCCTCACAAAAAAATCATTGATCTTTTTGATTATGTCGCCAGAGAACAATCATTTGGACCAAATCCCCTTATTTTATTCTTAGATTGGGAAAAATCAAAATCACACGGTAAGTCAAACATTTCAATACAAATGATTTTTAAAAAAAAATTTCAGATTCGTTGAAATTGGCTGAACGTCGCTCAAAAGTTGTTTCACAACAAATTACAATGGAAAAAGCTCGAATGTTGATGTTAGTTTTATTTATTTATTTTTAAAACATAATTTAATCTGAAATTCAGAAAACAATCAATGACTTGTGCAAATGTTGTGAAGAAAATGAATATTAAATTGGGAGGATTGAATTATCGAGTTGATCCAGAATCCTTTGCGTATGTTTTCTATTTTTCTAATAAAAATCAATATAATCATAATTTTTATAGACAAAGCAAATGGCTTGGAAAAGAGCCAATTCTTATAATCTCATATGATGTTGCTCATCCAGGAAGAGTCAATAAAAATGAAGCTGTTGTTGTTCCAAGTGTTGTTGGTTTTGCATTCAATGGTGGTTTTCATCCAGAAGCATTTGTTGGTGATTATCATTTTCAATATCCAAAAATGGAACAAGTCGATTCAAATATTTTGACGGCACGAATCAAATGGATGCTTCAATCATTCATTGAATATAGAAAATGTTGGCCAACAAAAATTTTGGTAATTCGAGATGGTGTTTCTGAAGGACAATATGAAATGGTTTTACGAGATGAATTGGAAGCATTGAAAGAAGGATGTAGAGAATTTGGAAATCTCAATAAAAAACCAGATTGGTGTCCACCATTTGGACTTGTTATTGCAACAAAAAGACATTCAACAAGATTGTTCAAAGAAAAAAATGGAGGGGTTGAAAATTGTCAACCGGGTACTGTAGTTGATCGAGATATTGTCAGACCAGTTATTGGAGATGCTTTTATTGTTTCAGCACATGCTATACAGGTAAATTTAAGATATTCTCAGTTCTTAAAATATACAATTGATTAAATTTCAGGGAACTGCTCGTCCAGTTTGTTATTCAATCTTGAAAAATGAAATTGGTTTGAAAGATATGGACGAATTTGAAAGTATTATGCTTGGTCTTACTTTCCATCATCAAATTACGGATTCTCCAATTTCATTGCCTGAACCAGTTTATCAAGCTGATGAATGGGCAAAAAGAGGAAATAATATGTGGAAAGCATTTGAGTAAGTCATCATTCCCGATATTGAAAAACAATCGATTATTTCTTCAGCATAAATTACGATATACCAAAAGTGAAAGGAGAAGTTGGAAAACCAAATCATGCAGATTTCGAAAAAATGACTGAAAACTTGGCAATTTGGAGAACTTCGTTGAGTGGAAAGCGTGTGAACGCATAACAAAATTAAAACGGTTTTTTATGATGCTTTATTGTTTATATATTGTTTCCTGTACGTTGATCTCTTGAATGGGTTTTCAACTAAATGTATCTTTACAAAGTTATTAATAAAATAAAAACGTTTATCTTTCACATATGACAAAAATAACAACTAAAAAAAACAAAAATTATCGCCATGAATTGAAACTACCTTTGGCATTCGAAGAAGATCCACCAAATAATGAAGAAGCTGGCTTATTTTGATTTGTTGTAGTTCCACCACCAAAAATCGATGAAGAACCTGATGCAGCAGCAAATTGTGAGAATCCACCAGCTGCAGTTCCAGTATTATTTGTATTTCCTCCAAATATTGAAGCGTCTTTACTCAAAAATCCACCACCTGGTGCAGCTCCGCCTCCAAAAGCTGGTTTCGAACCAAAAGCGGGTGATCCACCAAATTTAGCAGCACTTCCGAACATCTGGAAAATTGGGGGAGAATTTTAATAGAAAAACAACGAGTTTGGGGAAAACTAACGGATGATGGATTTGTTGGATTAACAGGTTGTTGTGCATGTTGGGCAGCAGCACTTGCAAATGAAAATGAATTATTTGAAGGTTTATTCTGTTGTTGTTGTTGTCCACTATTATTTGAAAATAGCCAAGAATTACCAGTTGATGATGTATTTGTTGCAGGTTTTGAAGAGAAAATATTTGTATTCGTCGAATTTTGATTTTGATTATTTGATCCTAATCCACTCATAAATCCACCCGATGTTCCAATATTTGTATCATCTTCCATTCCAATATCAGTTGTTGCAGCAACCGCAGCCGCAGCTGCAAATCCAGTTGGTTTCGCTGTTTGTTGTTCATTTCCGCCAAATCCACCAAATCCAGTTGTTGTTGGAGCTGGTTTATTGAATGAAAATCCAACTGATGCTGGTTGACTATTTTGTTGTGATTGTTGAGCTGCAAAAAACCAGATTTTGTTTGGGAATCTGAAGTTATTTTTAGAGCTATGTTTTCTCAGATTTAAAATACGTTATTAAAATTATATAGTTCAATACTGAATTTATACCTCATAAAAAATGATTTGAAATTCAATTTTTCTGAAATTTCATAATTTCAAAATGTGAGTCTGGATATTTTTTAAAATGAAAATGAATTTCTAATTTCCAGCTGAATCTAAAAAGTTTAAAATCATAATAAATAATAATCAGCATACCATTTTGTTGTTGACCAAAACCTCCAAAAGCATTGGTTTTTGCAGCTCCTCCAAATATACTCGATGAATTTGTCGAAGAAGTTGGAGTTGATCCACCAAATAATGATTTCGGTGTAGTTGTATTTGTAGATGCACTTCCAAATGCTTAAAAGAATCATTTAAATTAACACATTATTTGAAATATCGAGAAAAAACTTACAAAATGCAGGCTTCAGTGATTCTTTCTTTGTTTCTGGAGTTTTTGTGGCTTGTCCAAAAACTGAAAATAAATTTATTTTTAGAAATACTGAAACTACAACCAATATATTTTTTTCACTCACCAAAACCAGATTCTTTTTTCGGTTCTTCAGTTGTTGCAACTGGTTCAGTTTTCAAAACATTTTCAGTTTGCGGCTTTGTTTCGATTACAGTTGATGTTTTAATTTCAGCTGCTGGCGATGGTTGACTTGGTTTAACTTCCAAAATTGTATCTGTTTTATTTTCCGTTGCTGGTAATACAGTAGGTGTTTGTGTTGGTGTGGTTTCCACTACTGGTTTTGTAGCTGGCAACGCTGGAGTTGTGGGTTGAGAGTTTGATGGTGGTGAAGTCTTGATTTCTGGAACAATTTCAGCGGCGACAGATGGAACTGGAGTAATACTTGTTATTGGAGGTTTATCTGGGGTTATCACAGATTTCGTTGATAATAAATTGTTTGTTGGCACAATATTCGGTGTTGATAAAAGTGGTTTGACTGCTGGAGATGTTGAATTATCGTTGGTTGATTTCGTTTGTCCCAAAAATGAAGTTGAAGGTAGTGGTTTTACATCCACTTTCGCACTTCCCATGAAACTGTAAAAACTGTTTTAATTTTTATTTAAATTAATGACGATTTTTTCTATTATTTCCGATATTTTCTTATTTTATAAAATGAATTCTCGATTGACATTTTTCAATTTTTTTCGAAAACAAAAATTACGAATTTTGCAGATTTTATCAAGAACTTTAATAATTCGAAATACTTACCTTCCTGAAAATTGTGAATTTGGTATAACTTGAGGAGTTGTCGGTTTCGATGTTCCAACAGATTTTCTCTCATTTTTCGGTGGTGTTTTTGGTTCTTCCGATTTAACATTTACAACAACTGGAGGAGCATCTGCTTGAGTTGTAGCATCTGCAGTTTTTGAACATATTGAAATATTTGTTGTATCCGAACTATGAATTGGTTGTCTTCTTGGTGTCATTGATAATTTGAGAATTGCATTTGTTAAATTAGCAGTTGAAATATCACAACTCGTTTTGTTGGTTGCTTTTGATTGTTTTGAATAATCGGAAAATGTTATCAATTTGACTTTTTTCGTTTCGACAGGTTTCTGCAAAAATACTCACAATTATTTTTTTGTTACAGAAAATGATTATAAAAACTTACTCTTTGCTTCAAATGTTGGATAAGATTTAGTCTTGAAGATATAATATTCTCTTTTGTTAGTGTTTTCGCTTCCATTTTTGCAGGTTTTTCGATATTTCGAACAATTCCATTTGCAATATTATTCTCCTCAATTTTCTCCTTTTTAATTTCTTCTTCGTTTTCTTTTTTTCCTTCTTGCTAATAATATTTCATTTTTCTGTATTCTTTCTTTTGTATCAATTATAATTTTTGAAACATTTCTCATAACTTTCAATGTTGTTTCAATTTCAGTTTGACTTTCCAATCTTTGATTCAAAAATCCACTTGTCAATGGTGAAATAAATATCGTTTTTCTTTTTGCTTCTTTTTCAACCAATTCAAATCGTATTTTCTTCAATAATTCACAACATTGAACATATTTCTCATTCAAAAGATCAGCCGATGTTTCAAATTTGTTGAATTTCATCAATTTCTCTGCTTCAGCAAGATCTCGAAGTGTTTCAAGCGCATTTTCTGGATTTTCAGCTTCCGATATCAAATTCATTTGTTCTTCAACAACAAAATCGAGTTCTTTGACAGCATGTGTCGATTTATCAGTTATTTCTTCAATTGATTTCATCAAACATGTTAATTCATTCAATACATTTTTCGCATCATTATTCGAACTTTTGATAATATCACTAGTTTCACAAATTGTTTTATTTGTATTTTGTGATGCTATTTGTAATTTTCCAACTTCTCCACTTGTTGTTTTTATCAATTCATCGATCTAAAATTAATTTTTCAAAATAAAAACAGAAATATATTTAAAAGTCAACAAACCTTTGAAACATAATCAATCAATTTCTGCTTGGATTCGTCGTCATTTTTTGGTTTTACAGGTGTTTTTGGAACTATTGGAGTTGTTGGTGCAATTGGTTTAGAAACTGGGACAGTTGGAGTAGGAACAACAGGTGGAATAACAACTTCTTTCACTTTCTCCTTTGATACTTCAATTACTTTAACTGGATTATTCACAATATTTTGAGGTTTTGAAATATTTGACAGTTCCTTTAAACCAGAAATCGATAAATGATTTGGCAATGATAATTGGCATGATTTCGAAGATGTTGATATAATATGAAATGCACTTAAAACTCCTTCATTATTCAAAATCATAACAACAGGAGAAGCGGGATATTTCTTTGCACTTCCATCAAAACCAATCATAATTTCTGAATTATTCGATCTATCGATTGTTATTCCAATTGGAAAAGTATCCGATGAACTTGTTGGTAAATATATTTCTTTTCCTTCCGGAACACCCCATGTCTGCCAATCTTCTTGTTTTTTTCCAACTGGAATAATTTGACTCGTTTTTGTATTTGCAGATAAAATAACATTCCATTCAATCAATAATTGAGTACTTGTCAAAATACTTGCCGGAATCGGTGATTTTTCATTTGAATATGAAAGTTCATTTAAAAGAATCCATTCAGTTGGTTTATCCTTTTTACATTTCATAAGATATGAATCATGATCATTTCCATTTAAATCTTTTGAATATGAAACAATCCATTCTGTTGTGGCCAACCAACAAAGTCCAGTAACATAATGATATTTTTTATTATTTTCTGGTGTTAGAATTGATCTAACAACATCAAGTTCTGGTTTTAATTGAGTGACTTTTCCACAAGAATCTCCAATTGTTAATTGTTTTCCTTTTGGACTCCATGAAATTACTGTAGCTATTGCACCCATTTTAATCGCACCAATCACACTTTGTTTTGAACCATCCTAATAAAAATACTTTCTAATGAATAAACCATTTTTGAAAAATAAAGAACACACCTTCAAATCAATTTTTGCAACTAAAACTGAATTATCTGTTGAAGAAACAGCAAAAGTATCGGGAAACGCTGGATTCCATTCAAATGCACTGCCTTGATTGTTTGGATCAGTTCCAACTCGAATTTTTGAAAAAGGGGACAAGTTATCAGTTTGACAAATTGTTTGAATTTGATAGATATCTACGAATACATTATTGTTTGTTGTATGTAAAATAGCAAGTAGATTTCCATCTGAATTCACACCAATTTCGTTTATTCTCTGAAGATTTATGTTTGATTATAAATCAAAAACTCATTTTAAGAAATACCTGGATAGATGGAAAATTCAATGTTTTCACATTTAAATTCGTCACTTCCACATTCATATTCTCTTTTGTCAATTTGTTATCGAATATCGATTTGGTAGGAAAGCATAATATCTGAAAAATAACATATTTATTTTAATTTCATTGTATTTATTAAGTACCAACCTGATTTTCTTGAACTACAGCAAAAGTAACTCCGAGTGAGGAAGAAGACGTTAATCTATTTCGAATTGATTTTTGGGTGTTTTCAGAAATGATTCCTTTTTGCGAGAGACGAAATTTTCGACACGTTTCAAAAAAGAAATCTGTGACATCCAACGTGTCGGTCATTTTCCCAGTTGGCACTGAAAATTATTATTTTGTTTATTTTTGAATTAGAAATCAGTTGGTCCAAAAATGATTGTAAGTGGTAAAAACAGATGAAGAAACACAAAATATGTTAATTTTTAGGTTGCAAGAGAAGTACCGTTAAATGAATTGGTAAGAAGACTTGCTGCTTGGGAGAAAAGTTTGGCGCAAATACGGAAAGATTTAAAAATGCGCAAAGAAATATGGGATGCGGCTATGGAAGATGTAGAAGAACTCGAAAAAATGGCATTAGATGCAAAAGAGGAGCGCCGTAAAAAGAAGCAAGAAAGAAGAGATGAAAAAATACGAAAGAAGTTGCAAAAACAACAAGAAGCAATTGCAAAAAGAAATCTCGCATCGAAAAATGCTGAAAAAACTGCTGAAAAGAAAGAAGGCGAGAAAAAAGATGCTGAAAAGAAAGATGGTGACAATAAAGAAGGCGAGAAGAAAGACGGAGAAAAAAATAGTGAGACTAAATTTGTTGAAAAGGAAACTCAGAAAGATCCGAAGCCTGAAAAATCTGACAAATCTTCTACTGATGATAAATAACCTATTTTGAGTGAATAAACATTTTAACAATATATTTTTCATTCGAAACGTTTTTTGCAAAAATAAAAAATTTCAAATCTACAATTTGTGCGCAAACAAAACCACAAACGCGTCAATGAACAAAAAAAAACGTTTGCTTTCAGTTTTTCATTTCAAGTTTCAAACACTTTTAAATAAAACACTGTGTTTTTTCCTAATGGGGCTATTCAGCGAAAAAAAATATGTTTTCTCAACGGGAGAAAAGCGAAGAAAACCTATTCAAGTCGGTTGAGAAAACATAAAAATCAAACACTTGAAACACACAAATTGCGACGAGACCCAACGAAAAACATCGTGTTCCTTTAACCTACTGTAGAAAATCGCAACGGGACCAATTTACAGTAATGCAAAAGGTCAAAGGAACATGTTGTTTTTCGTTGGGTCTCGTCGCAATTCGTGTGTTTCAAGTGTTTGATTTTTATGTTTTCTCAACCGACTTGAATAGGTTTTCTTCGCTTTTCTCCCGTTGAGAAAACATTTTTTTTTTCGCTGAATAGCCCCATAATAGAAAAATGCAATCTCGAGGAGACGCAGACACTCGCTGGTCTCGACACGCAGTGTGTCTGCCACACACTATTTCTCCCCTTTTTCGGCGAGAGATTTGTCTGCACACGTTAAAGTCTGCGTCTCCCTCGAATTGCAAAAAAAAATACAGTGAAAATCGTGGAAACTCCCGAAAGAGAAATCTTGAATTTTTCAAATAAATCAGTTTCACAATTGTACATAATGATAACCTCAATTTCTAAAAATTGCTGAAATTCTAACTTTTTCGAAGCAAAACTTTGAAAAACAATTAAAAATTCCGCTTGTACAACAATTGTTTGTGGTGACGACGGTGATTTTTGTGATGATAGCGTGGCGATTTTATTTTGGTGCAGTTTTGGTTTTGGGTGGTGATATTGACATTGTCTTTGTGGATAATGACGTGTGGAAGTTTGCGAGGTTTTTCCTGAAAAATATTGGGTTACTGTAGTTCGAAAACAAATACTTCAGACTGCAACACATCTCCTAAAAATTGACAGTATTCTGAACGTCCAAAAGCACAGTAATAATTACATTAGTTTGGTGATTTGAATTTTTGGTTTGAAGAAGACACTGAAATACTGTAGTTTATTTTAGGAGGAACTTTAGTTTTCAGGGACTTTATCGATGGTTTTTTGTGTACAAGTCGTCCGATATATTATGACATGTCGTTTTTACTGTGGCCCTCCAGTTTATTTTTAGTTTTCTGATTTTGAAGTTTTCCAATTCATTTTTACAAGGAATAGATCCCGATGTGACCCCCTGAAAAAGTTCGGTTGTATGTTTGAATGGTAACTTACGGGGAGTTATGAAAAACTCAAAGGGGATTTTTTAAGTGAAAATTTCTTTCGTGAGAATCCGGAAGTTGAAATTCTGAACAATTTTCAAAAAGTCAAAAATCATTCTATTATGGGGCTATTCAGCGAAAAAAAATATGTTTTCTCAACGGGAGAAAAGCGAAGAAAACCTATTCAAGTCGGTTGAGAAAACATAAAAATCAAACACTTGAAACACACAAATTGCGACGAGACCCAACGAAAAACATCGTGTTCCTTTAACCTACTGTAGAAAATCGCAACGGGACCAATTTACAGTAATGCAAAAGGTCAAAGGAACATGTTGTTTTTCGTTGGGTCTCGTCGCAATTCGTGTGTTTCAAGTGTTTGATTTTTATGTTTTCTCAACCGACTTGAATAGGTTTTCTTCGCTTTTCTCCCGTTGAGAAAACATTTTTTTTTTCGCTGAATAGCCCCATTATTGATTTTGTTATCATTTTGAGATCCATTCCAATCTCATTCTAACCACAAACTGAAATTCCAGAAATTTTGGGTGTAATTGGTTGAAAAAAAAACAAAAATCGAAAAATATATTTTTCGCATGATCCAAAAATTTTTTTTTTGGTGTGAACAAAAAAAATCATCAAATTTGGTTGTTTCTGAGAATTCGAATCTTACAGGCATAAATTCTTGACTTTTCAAATTCAGAAATGCCTGTCGCAGAAAAAACAAATTCTCGTGAATCGGGAGGAGGGATTTATTTGGCAAACCCATTTTTTTCAAGGAATAATTATTTCTAATTTTTTTCATTTCGAAATTTAGTGAAGAAAAAAAGATGAGAAAGAAAAAAAATTACCGTGAAACGTGTAATCGTGGCAGGGGCTGGAATCGTGGCAGCGAACCAGCAGGAAAAAATGTCAGAAATTTATGCCGGTGAGTCTCATTTTGCTATCTTCCAGTTGAAGCTTCTAGACGCAAATGGAAGAAAGATTTTACTGGAAGAAATATGGATTGTTATGGAAATTATCAAAACGAACCATTGAAAAAGATAAGGAAATTGGAAAATGTAAGTTATTGGAACTGGATTTCTGTGGAAATCAATCCTTTTCAGGCCAAACCAATCGTTCTCAATGTTGAAAATGAGGCGCCAATTAGTCCAATGAGAAAAAATGATGATGATTTTGAATATGTCGGAGAAGAAAAAGATGTTGATGAATGGAAAAGAAAAAAAGATTGTGAATGTGTTGTGAATCGTATGATAGATGAAGTAATCAGAAATGAAGAGATGAGAAGAGAAAGATATAAATGAATGGTCATGATGGAGAACTCTCAGCTTGCAACGCCAAAATCAAGCAAGAAGATTATCGCTGAACAAAGAATGTTGAAGATAAAAGAACGACTTGATTTGATTAGAAATTCGAATTATGAACTCCAAATTTGTTCGGTAAGGAAGAATAATTGGAAGAAAAAATTTCAATTATTTTTTTTCAGATCAACACAGATGAATTGAAATTATTGGATGAACCGAATGAAAAAAGAGTTGAATATTTTTCGAAACGTATCAAAACAGAGAATTTCTCCAATGTTGCCGACCCAATCATTGTTAAAAAAGACGGGTTTGTTGAACTTTGTATTTTCATTCACGAATCACAATATTTTTCAGTGATCAATATTTAGTTATAAGTGGAAAAATCGAGCGAAAGCTTATTGCAATTGCGGCTCGAAAACAGTGAGTATTTTCAATGTCAAAATTTTTCGAAAGTCCCATTTTCAGATAAAAGTCGGGATTGCACTTGCTGGATCCGAGGAAATATTGAAAATGAGAAAGGACCTGTTTGATAAGAGAAACAATGGCTCATTCGATAAGAACTCGGTAAGATAAAATCAGAAACAAATTTTTTTAGAGAACTTTTTTTCAGATAATGTGATGTTGGATAAGTTGGAAGTTTCATCCAACGAGGCTTTGAAATGGACGTTGCCAAACATTCAATCAATTTTTGGTGAAAACACGGTATGGTCAAAAAAATTAACAAACAAATAAATCTCAAAGCTTTTTTTCGAAAAAAAAGGCCGAGCTTGAAAATTTCACACAACCGTCTTGGTCTAGTCTCATTCTCAATGAATAATAATTTTGGGATCTAAAACACTTTCTTTGTTATAAAATCGCCTGAAAAATCACCTAGGACTAACTTTCTTTCAGACACTAAAACCTCACCACATCAATATAAGTTTGGAGCAAGAATTGAAAGATGGCAATATGCGAATTTTTGGGAAAAAATTCCGAAGAAACCCCTCCCAAGTTCTGCAACTTCTTCAAAATACACCAGCGCCGTTCAATTTAGAACAAATAAAAATAGTGAGTTATAAAATATTTTTTATCGGAAAAATTGAAAAAAAAAGAAAAAAAATTCACGATGATTCCGAGCACCTATTGATAATTCTTAATGAAAAAGTGAGTTTTTTTCAAAATTCAAAATAGTTTACAATTTTAGAGAATTGTAATTTTATTTGTGATTGAAAATTCTTTAATTTTTTCAGAACGACACAATTATGGAAAATTCAAGAAAACAAGATGCAGTTCTTCTTTTGATTGGAAGTCCACCAGAGAAATACACGACAAACTTGAAAATTTTGATTCCGGATGAATTGTGTCAAAATAAAAGCATGTCGATGCGTAAGTTTTGAAAATTAGTTTTGAATCATGATAAATTTATAGGACAATCGAATTCGTTGGAGGTATTCATAATTATGCACCAAAACCACAATATATCAACCGAACAAAGATTTATGGAAATGAATCAAGACTTCACATTGAAAGATATCAATCTATTCAGTGATCTAATTGATTTTGTTTCAAAATTCCGAAAATGTGTTGTATCGAGTAAAGTTCGGGAAGGTTAGTTGCAATCATAAAAGTTTAATTTTGTATACTTATTTTTTGCAGAAATATTAATGAAATTAGTGGAAAAGTGCAATGAATTATCGACAACAAATCCAATGTTTGCTGAATATTTGATTGAAAATCATAGCTAAGAGAAAACGATTAGTGATTCATAAAAGTGTTTTTCTTATAGTTTTTCATCAAAATAAAGTTTGTATAGTGTTTTTTGTTGAACCTGAAAGTTGGGATAAGTATGATATTCATGTAGCTGATAGTTTCGCGATTTTTTTTATGAGGCTGAAAAAAAATCACCGAATGACTGAATTTCATCCATAAAATGAAAAAATCACTCAAAACACTGAAGAAACAGTCGAAAACAGCCAAAAAATGATTTTGGGATCATTTTTTCCCAAAACACACAGAACAAACAATTAAATTCAAACACCCTCGCGTTGTGCGCCAGAGCGCGTTTGCATCTTTAGTCAATCTACCGTCATTTTAAAACTACTAGTATTCTCCAAGAGAAAAGCGACATTGGAGAGATTCTCAGGGTTCCCATATGTTATACTTTAAACGTGTTTATTTCTAAAATCGGGGGGAGGGGGGGGGGTTCCCAATTTTTTAAAATCCCCGGAAAATTCTTCGCGAAAGCACACACCGCGTATTTCGCGTCAAGGTTGCGCGTAGGATTTGTTGTTTGCGGGCTGTCGGTGTTGACACACACTCTTATTTTTTTCGTTCTTTCTTTATGGGATGATTCAGGTTGAAAAAAAATAATAAAAAAACATTTTTTGACAAAAAAAATTCGATTCAGCAAATGTCAAAAAACTATATTTTTTTCCTATTTTTTGACATTTTTTTCCACACAAAAATGAAAAATATCTCGCAGCGAAAATATTGCAATGTAAAAAAATGTCAAAAAATAGGAAAAAAATATAGTTTTTTGACATTTGCTGAATCGAAATTTTTTGTCAAAAAATGTTTTTTTATTATTTTTTTTTCAACCTGACTCACCCCATTAGGTTTGGGATGCGGCGTTTGCTAAAAAGATGAATGTGTGCTCCACCGCACACGGCCTAATTTTTTTCCAACTGCCGGCCAAATGTTTCGAAAAAATCGCCGTGGTCATAAAACCTGCAGCATTCAAGTTTTTTTCTTTTTCTTCGAAAAAAAACGCTCGGTCCAGATGGGCATTCATGAGTTTGAAATAACAATATTGATTTCAGCATTGCAACAATGGTTGTTGGTCCAACTCCAGAAAAGGCGACAAAGGGTGTTCCTGATCGATGGTTACATTGTCCAAAAACTGGAAACGTGAGTATTAACTGAATTTAGAAGTAATTTCTCATATGCATGAATTTGTAGTTGATAATGGACCAATTTTTCCCATTCAAAACTCCTCTTTGTGCATTATATGACAACCAAATTCCCGATAAAAAACTTCGTTTTCACGTCAAAGACGTTTTTTCGAATATAAATCTTGGTGGACGACGAATTGGATTATGGATTGATTTAACCAAAACAGATCGATATTATTTTCGCGAGGAAGTTACGGAAACAAATTGCATTTACAAAAAAATTCCATTAGTTGGTCACAATGCATCTCCATCTGAAGAAGAAACGAATGATTTTATTAGTGTTGTGTCGAATTTCCGCCGAACTAATCCAAATGATATTATTGGAGTTCATTGTACCCATGGATTCAATCGAACTGGATTTTTGATTGCTGCTTATCTTTTTTCAATTGAAGGTTGGGGAATTGATGCTGCCATTTCTGAATTTGCTCAAAATAGAAATAATGGAATCTATAAACAAGATTATATAAATGATTTATTTGATCGATATGGTGAAGAAGATGATGATAGAATTGAAGCACCTCCAAGACCAACTTGGGATGATCCTGTTGGAAGTATTATTGAATCAACACCATCAACATCAAATATCAATGGAGCAAATCAAAATGGTGTTTCATCTTCAAAAAATTCGTCTTCTTCAAATGGCAAACAATTTATGGATGGTTTAGTGAAAGGAGTTACAATTGTTGAAGATATGAGTATCAAATCAATGCTTCGAGCAAAAATTAAAGCTTTCTGCAAGTATGAACGAGATGGATTTCCTGGTCTTCAACCCGTTTCTTTGAGTCGAAAAAATATGTCAATGTTAGAAAATGAACCATATATGGTTTCTTGGAAAGCTGATGGAATGAGGTAAATTGTTTCACTTTTTCTAGATTTTTATATTTTTGCAAATTCTAGATATATGGTTTTGATTTTTGGAAAAGACGAAGTTTATGCTTTTGATCGAGATAATGAAGTTTTCCAAATTCAAGGTTTGGATTTTCCTGCGAAAAATGGTGGATATCTTAAAAACACTCTAGTCGATTCTGAAATGATCATCGATAAAGTGAATATGAACGGAAAAATACGAGATGTTCCACGGCTTCTTATTTATGACATCATTCGATATCAGGTATATTTTAACCGTTTTGTTTGAACAATCGTAAATTCAAAATGTTTATGTTTCAGGATATTAATATGATGAAAGAAAAATTCACAACTCGATCGGATTGTATTCGAAAGGAAATTATCGAAGTCAGAAATCAAGCAATACTTGTGAGTTTATAACATATCCAGCTTGAATTTCTAAACTTGAAGTTCAATCAGATTTTCAAACCTAAACAAAAAATTCCAGAAAAATCAAATAAACAAAGAGCGCCAACCAATGTCTGTAAGAATCAAAGATTTTTGGCAAATGGAAGGAGTTTCGAAATTGTTTGAGCCGAAATTTGTTGAAAATGTTGGTCATGAAATTGATGGACTCATTTTTCAACCCGTTAATCGAGTAAGGAATAGTTTTTGTATTTTTTTTTCAATTAATCAATTTTGATTGTTATTCTTTCAGCCATATACTCCGGGAAGATGCGATTCTGTTTTGAAATGGAAACCACCATCACACAATTCAGTTGATTTTTTATTGAGAATTGAAAAGTAAGTGAAGTTTTTCTGTGATAATAAAAAAACCACAAATTATTCATTTTGCAGAATAACAAAAAAAGGAATGTTGCCAGAATTCAAAGGTTTATTATATGTTTTACACCAGAAAGATCCATTTGGAATGATGATTGCAACAAGAACATTACAAAAATATGATAATAAAATTATCGAATGCACACTTGAACTTGATCAAACTGGAAGGGTTTGTGCAAACATTAAGTTTATTTATTTTTCCAAATTAATATTTTTTCAGCCAAAAGAATGGAAATTTATGAGAGAACGTACGGATAAATCAGCACCAAATGCTTTAAAAACTGCCCAAAATGTGTTTGAAACCATGACAAATCCTGTGACAAAAGAATATTTATGCGGGTAAATAATTTTTTATATTAATTAAAATGTGATCATTTTAGAGGATTCTTTAATTTTAATAATACCTTTTTCAGATTTATCTCGCATATTTGCAATCGGCCACCAGCTCAAAAACGTCCACGACACGAATAATGTCCAATTTTTTATAACCCTCTATACCTGTCCTATTACAAAAATACGGTTCTCTTTTTTTTCTGCACATGTTTTATGTACATTTACGCTATTTTCAGGATATATAATATCTCCACCCTTTTTTGTTGAAAACTTTTATAATAAAAATTCTTTATACACTCCCCTTTTTTATTTTTGTTGTTGCCTAGTTGCATTTTGTCGTTCAAGTGTAATGCCGGCTCCCGATAAATTTGAGGTTGGTTTTTTTTTGAAACGGAGTTGCACAAAAGTTTTATTTGGAAACTTTAAAAATACAATAAAAAATTAGCTTCCCATGCCGGGAATCGAACCCGGGCCGCGTGGGTGAAAACCACGAATCCTAACCACTAGACCACATGGGAGGACGATAAACTCATGCCTCAATTGCAAACATATCTCTCACTCTTTGTATTTGTTCAGAAAGACCTTGAAAAATATGAGGAAAGTGTACGAAAACATGTGGAAAAGGTTAATTTACAACTCGATGAACAACTATCAACAATTCGACGGAAAATATCTGAGAAAAAAGAATCTGCGAAAAAATTAGAAGAAGAAACTAGAATATTAGAAATGAATGAAGAAAAAATGAAAAAAAGAAATTGATAGAAAAACTATGGATATTATTGAATTCGAAAAAAAGATTGAAGAAAATTCGAAGAAAATCAATGAACATGAAGAAAAAATAGAATTGATGAAGAAATTATTGCCAGAAGAAAACAAGAAAAAATGAGGAATTATTGAATAAATTAAATTTGGTTCAAAAAAATATTGGAATATTTCAAGATGAATTATCAAATTATAAAATGAATCGAACTGAACAATCATTGAAAAATAAATTGGAAAGAATTAAAAATAAATTAGAAGATGTGAAGAAAACTAAAATTGTTCAGGTAATTTTTTTTAATTTTCCTAATTTTTTCTGGAATGAAATTTTGAATTTTCAGGACAAGAAAATTGATTGTCTTCGAGATGATATTAAAGAAAGCGAAAAAAGTTATGATAAACTCGAATCTGAAATTCGTAGAGAAATTGTGTAAGTTACAGGATCTCGTATTTATATACAATTCTATTCAGAAGACAATTGGAAAGCGAATCGAAGAAAAATGAATTGGAAAGACGTGTGAAAATATTCGAATATGAAAATTGGGGAATTCAAGATGAATTTCAGAAATTATTAAAATCATTGAACGAAGAAGAGTGAGTTTCAAAAAACAAACAAATATAATTCGATTCTTATTTTTTAGAAATTGTCATCAAACAAAAGAACAACAAAAAATTGCAGAATTAGAACTATTGATTTTGAAAAGTCGAAATTATATCAGAGAGATGAATGAAAAAATGATAAATGGATCAATCACCAGTATATCTTCAGAACTTCCTTTCAATCAAGAAAAGATCAGTTCTGTGTTTCCGCAAAAATCGGAACCTCGAAATTGGAAAAAATTAAATGATCAAAAAAGAGAAATTTTACAATTGAAAAGAGAATTTGAAGCTCTTGAAGCAACGAAAAAACGACAGATTGAACAAAAACAAAAATCTTGAAAAAATTCTTGAAGAAAAGACAAAAGAAGCTGATAAATGTGCATTTGAATTGAGAAATGCTGAAAATATTCGACTGTCAGAATTGAATCAAAGTAAGTTGATAGAATGAAAATGTATGAGAAAAATTGGGATTTTCAGAAGATCGAAAAATGAAACCATCAATTCTAATTGAAACTAAATCCGAAAAGAAAAAGAAAGCAGAAATGGATAGAAAAAATAATTTGAGAGAAAAAATTGAGCGATTGGAAAAATCGAATGGAGAACAGAAAATGGAAAATGATAGATTAAGGTACAGTAATCTCATATTTTTCAATTAATTAATTAATTATGTTTTTGTTAGTGAGCGCACCGAACTTCTGAATCGTCGTCTTGAAAAAATTGGAAATCAGAGATTTGGAAAAAATGGGAAATAATCGATTGGAAAAAGAAACAAAAGTTCGAAAATTGAAAAAACAATATCATGAAAATATTATGAAGTTGAATGCGTTGCAAAGAGTAAGAATATCATTTTCTCAGAAAAACTTATTTATTTTGATACTTTTGCAGAAACTTCAACAAAGAGTTTATCAAAGAGAAGCTGCAATAACACAAGCAAATAGTGTTGTTCATTTATCAACAAATATTCGATCTGATAGATTACGTGAAATTGATGTTCTCAAAAACGAAATTGAAGAAAAACAAGGAATTCTGAAAAGTTTCAAAAATTGATCACCACATTTTTTTCTTCCAATTTATTTCATTTTCTTTCCAAACATCCAATGATAAATTGTTTATTATTTATTCAAACCCAAGCTGTTCGTTTTCTCTTGTCACATGAGAATTATTGTTCTTGCTCCTCCTCTTTTTCTCCCAAGTGCTCACGAGAAGAAGAAAAAGAGAGAAGTGCACACATATCCACATATCCGATACAAATCTTGCCGCAATTTTCATTTATTGATTTTATTTTATTTTCTAAAAAAATTTCAAATAATCGTTTGGTTTTTAAGTTTTAGGAAATGTCAATGACTGATAACGATTCTCCAAATGATTCGACACAAAAATCAAGATCCGATTCAGAAGTTAGTAAATAAGTTTTGAAATATATTTAAAGAATCAATTTTCAGATCCGCAACAAAGTTTCGAAATCAGCCTCTTCTTCGCATAGGAGAATTTTAATAGATGATATTTCTAGTTGTGAAGGTTCAGCTGGTGATCGAATATGGGCTATTTGTTCAGGCATTAATGATCAAACTATTGAGATAAAATTCATGGGACCTAATATAAATGAGGAAAATGCAGTTGATTTGATGAAAAGAAACGATGTTTTGATGTTTACAATTCCACATTTGAAAATCGAAATTGAAACAAATTTAGAACTGAAGTTCATAATTTCAAATGAGAATTTCACAACAATTCCATTCAAATATGTACCGATCTCCAATAATATTATTTCCTTATCTGATAATTTGGTTGAATTTGCTACAACTGGTGATGCTATTCATCTTTTGAATCCATTTGTTGGATGTATAAAGAAAAGTGATTCCGAAGGAGATACGTAAGTACTTTGACACAGTCAGTTTTTAAACAAAACAATAAGTATTTTAGAGTTCTTCATATCGCATCGAAATCGAGTCAAAGCTTTGCTCTAAAACTTTTATTATCAGTTATCCCACCAACTCAAAGACAAGGTACATAGTTATATATATATTTTTTCAAGAACAAAACTAAGTTTTCAGAAATTATTAACCTACAAAATAAGCATGGATTGACTGCACTTCATTGTGCAATTCGAGCCGGAGATCCAGATGCTGTTCATTATCTACTCAATCATGGTGCACTTATAAACATCAAAGATTCTCATGGAAATACTGTATGTCTATATTTATTTTTCTGAATCAACCTAAAACATAAATTTGCAGTGTCTTCATTATCTCGGTGATGCATATAATGAATCGATATTCAAAGAGATTTTAGAACCACCTCGTGGTCAAACTTGTGATTTGAATCAATTGAATAATGAAGGATTTTCTCCATTACACATTGCAGTTCGAAGATTGAAACTATCATTGATCGATATGTTATTAGAAGCTGGAGTTCTTATTGATTTATTGGATCGAGAAAAACAAAGAAATGCATTGATGCATGCGATTGAGATGAATGACTTTGAAACAATCCAGTATTTGATAGAAGTTTGTAGAAAAATTAAAATTAAAGTTCTCATGTTATTTTTTTTTAGAAAGGATCAAATACAAATTTTGAAGATACAAACAATGATACTTGTCTTTCATTGGCTGTCAAAAATATAAACTATCCAGTCATCGGATTACTTTTGGATAATGGAGCTGATCCACACAAGAAAAACGGAAAAGGAATATGTCTAGCTGATTCAGAAGACGAAGTTATTCAAAAAATAATGAACGGTGAACGACCAGAATTTCCGAAAAAAGACTGTTTTACGGTTCCAACTGATCTCGCAACATCACGATCTCCTCTTTTCGGACGATCTCATCCAGATAATGCACCCAATGAAGAGTTTGAGAGAAATCGAATTGTAAAAAGGACAAGAGAAGAAATATTGAATGGTTTGTTGAGATAAAAACTTGAAACAACAATAAATATTGATTTAGACGCTCAATCATTATTGGACGAACCAGATGTTCCTATGCTAGCTTCCCGTGCAATTTATTCACAAGAAGAAAATGAGGAAGATGAGAATGTTGGACCATCAACATCTTCGGGACATTCAGGGTCTCGAAGAACGAGAGATTGGGAAACGAATAAACAAATAAGTGGTAAATAATCAATGAATTGACTAGAACAATGAGCGCTAAACTTATTTCAGACAGTGTAAGCAATTTGGATTATCTAACAAGAATACGTGTAGCTAAAATATTTGACGATCAAGCAAAATGGCAAAGATTAGCAGAGAAATTACAATGTGATCATATGGTTGAATTGATTTCGATATGTTCGGCTGGAGATGAATCAAGTCCAACAATGATTTTATTGGACCAATTTGAACAACTTACTGATTCATCAATCACAAAACTTCGCTCAGCAATGGATGATTTAGAGGAAACAGAAGGAGTTAAATTGATTGATCAACGTTTCGTATATTAATTCAAAGAATAAAATATATTTAAATATGTTTTCTTTCTTTTTACTTACACAAGAAATCTGTGCGACACAACAATTACAGATTTTCAGAAAAATAAAAAGTTCTTACGGGATTCAGTGAAAAATTCGTTTCATTTTCTTATTTTTCAAACATTTACCATGTAAACTATTTCAAAATGTCTTTTATCATGGGTTTGTGCTGAAATATTGTTCCGAATCTTTTTAAGTCTCTTTCTATCGCGGAAAAGGCTAAAAAACAGAATTTATTTTCTGCAGATCTGCGAAAAAATGAAAAAGTCCCCGAAAACTATGCCTCTGCTGCAAGCTCCGCACACTTTTCTCAATTGGTCTCGCCACGCAGCGAATGCCTACCGTAGTTTACCTCCCCCTCTTCGTAAAATACTTTTATTTCCCAAATTTTTTTCTTTTTTCTCCGTTTTTTGAGGATTTTCCAACACATTTAAAGCCTAATTTGAAAGTTAAAAATCGCGAATATGTTTTTCTTTGTTGTTTGAAGTTTTAATGTTATCAATTTCGAATTTGTCGCACTATTTTGGCCATTTTTATACTTTTTTCGTATGAATTAATGTTTTCGTTGTTCAAAAATTAACTTTTGTTTCAGAACATGGTCTACAACCGTGTCGTTCAAATTGGGCGCGTCGTCTTCATCGCCAACGGAAATGACCAAGGCAAACTCGCCACAATCGTTAACGTTATTGATGGAAACAGAGTAAGTGTTTTTCACGATGTCGTGAGTAAACTGAAACAGGAATGAAATAAATGTGCTCTGTCACGTTTTTTGATTTTTTGTGAATTATAAGGGAGGGATTACACAGTAAAATATTTAGTTATTATTTTTGATCGGGAAATTTGCCGAAACAACTAATTTTAATTAATCTCATTATTTTAGGTCCTCATTGACGGACCAGCATCAGGAGTTGTTCGTGGAGTCAGAAACATCAAGGATCTTCAACTCACCAAATTCGTGACCAAGATCCACGTTGGACAACGCACCAAGGGAGTCAAGGCCGCTTTCGAATCCGCTAAAGTTGCCGAAGGATTCAGTAACACTCAATGGGCCAAGAAAATCGCTCAAAGAGCTTTGGTTAGTTTTGTTTCGAAATTCAAAAAATAAAAAGGGGAATTCCATATGAGTTATGGAGTCTTTTATTTTTCTTCCGACTAATCGCTGGCCAATCAATAGTTGGTCAGAAGCCCGTATCTGGAAAAGACAACGCAAAAAAGGAGACGCAGACCGGCGACTAACTCACGACTAATCGCCGAAATCAGTTAGCTCTGCGTTTCTCATTTCTGCATTATCTTTTCCGAGATTTCGGACCAACTACTGATTGGCCAGCGATTAGTCGGCTCGTTTGCCTGAGATGTTTTTTTTCTGAAAAATGATTCAATTTCAATGTTTTGTCTCAAGTGCCTCATTTCAAAAATTGAATTTAAATTTCTTTTTGAAGTATAAAAACTCAATTTTGTAAAACTCGTAATTCTCCCTCATGAGTTTCAGTTTTTACATGTTCGAGGAAATTTATTAAAATATTCAGAGGATGTTCACATAAAAACAATTATATTTTTCCTAAATGCATATATGTTGTTTTCAGAGAGCGAAACTCACCGACTTCGAAAGATACAAGCTTCAAAGAGCCAAGCAATTGAGAAACAGAATCGTCCGAATTGAATTAGCCAAATTGAAAAAGGCTCAAAAGTAAATTGTTATTCTTGTTTTCAATGAAAAGTTGTTTAAATTCGCATGTGTAAATACGCTAAAATTATAAAATTTATTAAACAAAAATCTAGCCTAAAAAATTAATGTAATAGCACAGCGTAAGAAAGTGAAGTAAAACGAGGTAATTGTGATACGGTTTGTCTCCAATGTTTGATGAGTCTCCCTTTGAGCAGCATTTGGTGACGGATTGTTTGAAGTCTCCTGTTTCCGTTTGAGTTGTGCACTAAAAATTTGGCTATGCGTTTTTCGCAAGTTTCGAATATCAAAAACTTACAGTTAAACCATCTTTGCATTCATGAATACTATGAGCACATCTTCCTTCAATAATTGCTTCGTTATCCCCAATTTTTCTCTCTATTTTGACGCATTCTTCAACATTTCTCGTGCATCTTGTCAACTGAAAATATTTTCATGAAAACAATTGTTTAAAATCAAAATTGATAAATAATTAAATTGAACTCACTCTCGTCAAATTTGTGTGGAATTCCATTGAAATCGGCATTCGATAATTAAAACATTTGAAACTCGTTGAAAACCCAAATAAAAAGACGAGCAAAACGAATAGGAAACGCATTTGGAAGAAGAAGAAGAAGACACTGAAACAAAAAAGGGCAAACTTTGAAAATGACCAAAAAAGAACAGAAACTGGATTAAAATGTCAAAAATCAGAGAGAAAGTTCAGAGCAGAAAAATGTTCAGTCATCTGAATGATTTATTTTTAATAACAATAAAATAAAAACGAATGTTTATCAAAGGGCTCTTCAGAATAAAAGATAAGATAATATCAAGATTGATTGATTCGGATATGTATACGATTTTTAGGAAAATATGCGAGTCCAACTGACTATCAACAAAACAAAGAAAAATAACTAAAGTTTCATGTTTTTTTTTTCGAAAAAAAAACGTTCAAACATATGTACATCTGCCAATTTTGCGTCAAAAAAGGACATTTTTTTTGCTTTTTTCGACTCAACAAATTTCTCAAAAAAAGAAGAAATTGTTCACAATTATGTTTTCCGTCGAATAAAAAATGGAGGTAGGAAAAACATAGCAATTTATTGTGTTTCGTTGCGAGACCATAGTTAGATACGCGAGGCGCGAAATCGAAAAAAACCAATTAAATAAAAAGTAATAATTCATTCACAACCGTGTAAATTTCAAAGAAAAGAGAAAAGAATCACAGAAAATGCATGAAAATCTACAAGAGATAAACGTTCAATTTTATAAATATTCATATAACCGTATTCTGGTTCTAGTGAAAAATGAAATGAAAATATGAAAATCGGAAAAAATATAAAAACTCTGAACAACAAACAATTTCTCGTTGAATTCTTAAGAATCAGAATCAAAAATTGTTTCCAGTGAAAATTTGATTTTTTAAATACAAAAAGAAGAAAGTGAAAATAAAAGGGGCGATTTTTGATATGGGGATACTTAGTACCCATAGTAATAATTCAAATTAGTCTATATAAAATTAGGGAAAAAAGTGTTGAGGAAAGGAAAACGGGGAAACAGAACAGATATACCTAATTGAAATGTAATGAAAATGAAATAATTAACAAATGACACAACAACACGTAGATTTTTGACGCCGTGCATCTCCAATTCGAGAATCTGACATATCTGAAAAAAGTTTATATTTTTGATAAATTCAAATAAGAAGTGACAAACCATTATTATTTCCAGTCTTTTTCTGTCTTCTTCGTGTACTTCCTGATCTTTTTAGTGTTGTATCTAAATCATCATCTGCATTTGTTTCTAATTTTCGAAGCCATTCATCCGGTGACATTGGTTTGGCTTGCTTATTTTGTGAACTCTGCAACGAATAAGTTTTGAAAATAAAATTTGTATGTTAGAGGTTTACAAACCTTCAAAACTCTTTTATTCGGTGATTCTCTTTGTTGTTGTTGTGATAAAGAAGTTGCTGTTTGATTATTTGAATGAACATCTGATGAAACATCTTCTTTCGACCAAGATCTGCAATTTTGATTGTTACTTTTTCAAGAAATAAAATTGAAAAAAAATTTTTTTTGATGAATCATTTTTCAAAGTTTTTAGAATCCAAGTTTTGAAAAATTATGGGGTTATTCAGATCGAAAGAAAATAATAATAAACATTTTTTGACAAAAATTTCGATTCAGCAAATGTCAAAAATAGGAAAAAAAAATAGTTTTTTGAGATTTGCTGAATCGAATTTTTTTGTCAAAAAAAGTTTTTTTTTCAATTATTTCTTTTTAATTTGAATCACCCCATTAGAAATGATTTTTCAAAATAAATTCCGAGAAAAAGTTCCGTTTTCCCTATGAAAATAAAATAAGTACCTCAATATATCAGCTCCTTCTTTTTGTGCTTCAATTCTAGCTGGTGTCATTCCACTTCGATCTCTCAATGATTGTCTTCGAATTGCACCACGTGCCGAAAATGGATTATCACCAGAAGTTGCTCCTTGTTGTGGTGATTCGAACTTCTTTCTTCTGTAAATTTCGCATTTTTGATATTAAAAATAATCACAAATCAACTCACTTTTTACTTTGTCTTCTACTATCTCTTACTCCAAATGCTAATCTTCTTCTTCTCGCTTCATTTGTCACAATTGTTGAAATGACTTGTCGAGTTGTTGGATCTTCGCATAATTCTGAAAATATTCTTTTTTTCTCATTTTCCTATATCTTTTTTCTCTTACCCATAGGTGTTTCTCCATTTTTTGTTTTCGCGTGAATATCTCCGCCATATTGACATATTAATTCAATTAAATCTGGTTGAGCCCAACAAGCAGCCGCATGAACTGGTTGCCACCAATCATTGTCTCGAATTAATGGTGAAACACTACAAGCTAGTAAAAATGCAGCAACATCATAATAACCATTTGCAGAAGCCACGTGTAACTGGAAACAAAAAAACATTTTTTTGGAATTTCTAAAATGCTTCATGAAAGAAATTTCAAATAGATTCATCAATATTTTTGAAAAAATCGAAACAGTAAATTAACTTTTTTATAACTAATTATTTTGAAGTCTGCTAAAGCCATCAGAAATTGTTCTTTATTTAAAAAAAACCCTGAAATTCTGGGCGTTGAGAGATTTCCCAAAAAAATGTTCCGATGAGGAACGAGATTTGGAATTTTCAAAATTTTAAAGTTTTCAGATGTTTCCGAAATTTTCAGTTCAAAAAACAGATAAAGTCTATGCTAAAGAAAAAACTGACATAAGTAGATCCATCGGGTGTTCGAGCATCCAATTCTCTTCCTTGTTGATGCAATAATTTCATATCATCCAACATTGCTTTTTCAGGTGCTCCTCTTTGTTCATCAATATATTGTTGTGTTATTCCACGTGCAGCCATTTCACTTTCAATTACATCCAATGTTTCTTCGTGATCACAAATATCATATGGCATGTTACCTTCAGCATTTACAGCCAAAAGATTGGCACCACTGCAAAATACAAAAAAATTATTTTTTCGTTCCTATTTTTGTTATGACGTGAACTATGATTTGGATTTTTGATAATCATTTCAATTAATTTTGAGCTCGTTTTGTTGAGCACAAAATACTCTCATTTTTTGAAGAAAAAACTCACGCTGAAATTAAAATTCGTACAATATTAATATGAGCACAACAAGCTGCTGCATGTAAAGGTGTCCATTGTTCAGTATCTTGTGCATTCACATTTGCTCCTCTTTCCAATAATAATAACATTATCTGAAATATAAAAAATAAGAAACAGAAAGATTTTTCAAAAAAAAATATCGAGTTCTGAAAATACTTGATTTGAATGGCTAAAAGTCGACAAAATCTCACTGTTTCAGAAAATGTTGATGAATCGAAAATTTTCCAAAATGAAAATTTAGGGTTCGAAAAAATTCAACTTATTGGAATATTTTTGAATTCATAAAAAAGTCAAACCTGTTGATTATCATCAATTGCACATTGATGCAAAGGTGTCAATCCATCATCATTATGTAAATTCGGATTGGCTCCTTCATTCAGCAATCGTTCCACTGCAAAAAATAAAACATTAAACTTAAAAATTGAATAAATATTCAAAAATACCTTCAGGATAATCCGCTCTACACGTGGCTTCTAATAATTCAACTTCAGCTGAAAAATGAAGTCGTTGTCGACGTGGCCGAGGAGCTGGAAGTGCACGTTCTCTTTCATCATTTCGGCGCAAATTGAAGCCTACGGCGCTCTCTGCAAAAATTATTGTGTGTTTGAAATTAATTGATGGAATTCATCTAGGTACAGAGGGAATAAACAAAGTAATCTTGATTGAATGAAAAAGCATCTATGCTATGAGATAGTATAAATGCAAATTTGAAACTAATGTTATTTTAATTCCACCCTTTTTCCATCAAAAATTGTGAATAAAAATAAAACGAAACTAACTTTGCCAATGCAATCCGCGCTTGCGGTGTCATTTTTTCAATTTCGGGCAACTCGGCGATCAATTCCGAGTGATCCATTTTGACACGTGTTTTGTTGTTTCTTATAATCTAACCAATTTCTGTTGTCTGCACAAAATTATATTTTCATCTATTCAAGCCTGAAAAAAGAAAACGATGGATGGATGATAAGAAAAGAAAATCGATAAAAAAAAGAAAGAAAGAGGCAAAGTTTATATTTGCAAATATCGAATATTTGAAAAAAAAAAGTAGATCAAAACCAAATAAACACAAAAATCAATAGCTCTTTCCGCTTTTTGACGTAAAATATTGGACAAACAACAAATCACTAACACAATAAGTACAAGACATGAAAAGCCACTTGGATAAAAATTATGTTCTGCGAAAGAAATTCCGGAAAAACTTCAATGATTTCGACAACAAAAAATAACCTATGAAGCCTAAAAGTATTTTGAGAAATAAAAAAAAACATGTGTCAAATGAGTCACATTTTTTGTGGGTAAAAATAACACGAGTTTTTTTTGCTTTTAAGAAATCTCATTTCATTTTAGAACCCGGAAATCCTTTTTATCCTAAAAACACAAAGCCAATAAATTACCATAAAACATTTGTTTTCCATTTTTTCCATTTGAAAGACAAAAAAAATGAGAAAAAACGACGGGTGTAAAATCAATAGATAACAAAACTGGCTAATCAAGAAGATGATGATTGCATGCAAAAAAGAATTGAATCAATAAAATCATTAGAAATTAATACAGTTTTTGGAGAAAAAAAAAGAAGAAAAGATAATAATCTGCGAATAATATAGGTTAGATACTTGTATAGATTTTTTGAAACCTATCTTTTCCGGGGAAAACAATTAATTTTGGGAGAGGGAAAAAAGAAAAGGGTTATTATGTATTTGAAGAAAAAAGGTAAGAAAGAAAGAAAAAAGTGCACAATTGAGCAATTATTTTCAGGTATACCGAATCTATATTTTCCAAAGATTTTTAAAAATTAAACCGAAAAATATAATCTCGAAAATGGTCTATTTTATCGAAAATTCAAACATTAAAATTCGACTCAAGTCAAATTCCACGTGCAGGGGAATAAAAAATGTCTGAATTATTTGAAAATTTGTAAATCTCTATTTAACAACTCATAAAATTAATGAATATTCCGAAAAAGTGGTGCAAACTCAAAGTTTGGTTTTTGACAGAAAAAGCTTACTTATAAATTCGTAGATGTTTCATTATTCTGACGAACTTTGAATCTTTTTAATGAAAAATAATAATATGAATTCTAGTAGTAGTAGGTGACAAACCTAAATCAAATATTAACTAAAGTAACGGAAAAAAATAAGAGTGTGCAAAATACGGGGGTTAAATGAAGAAAAGAGAAAAAAAGAAAAAGAAGAAGAAGAAGAAGCTAGTGTCGCCAATACAAACAAACAATGAAAGAGGCTATGAGCAGAAGGAAGAAGAACGAAGTAGAAGAAGGAGATGAAGCATATTTGCCATTCTTCGAAATTAAAATTGTCCGTCCGAGAAACAAGAATCATATTTGATGCGATTAATTCGATTGAAACGGAACAAATCATCATCCTCTTCTTTTTCTCTTTTTAGTTTTTTTTTTCGGCGAAACCATTAAATAATCTACGGAGGGAAGGTCCAAGAATTTTTTGAAATTTCAGAATTTTGAATCGAGAGAAGATTTTGGTCGGATATCCAAGTTCCAATTGGAGGGGTAAGACAAACATTTTTCCTATGTCTAGAAAATAAAACGAATAAACAAAAATTGTAACCTCGATTTCTATGAAGTACATTTTTCAGGATTACTGTAGTTTTTGGGGCCAAAATATTTGAAAATTATGGTAGATCAACAATCTACGGTTATCTTAATTAATGTGTGAATGATAGAAAAAAATTCGATGCGCAGCTATTTTCAAAAAATCTAGAAAAAATTATCACAATTTTTTGAAACCTATTTTTCCCGGATTTTTCGTTTCAAGATTTTCCACTTTTCTAAAATCTATATTTATTTTTAATTTCATCTGACATCATTTTGCAATGTTTCATCAAACCTTTTCAAATCGAACAACTGTTAATTGAACAAGATGTTCATTCAAAAATTCAAACTTCAAAAATCACAAAGATCTTTTTGTAAAGACGAAAGAATATATTTAAAAACTGACATGTGATTAGAAATAAAGAATCCGCAGAAAACAACAAAAAAACTCGTTCCAAAATGTTTAGTGTAATTTTCGCCAATTTCAGCATAAAAAGGTCAAAAAATGCTAATTTTCGGTGGAAAAAAATAATTATTCATTTTCTGGGTCAGATTGAATATAAATAAATTAGTGAATGAATAATTACTCAATTTCTCGTTGCTTTTTTTTTCGATAAAAAAGGGTGTATTTAAATATACAATAATCAAGAAAGAAAAGGAAAAGAAGTGATACGGAATCAATATTATTCATACTTTTGTGAAAGGGCGAAAAAAAGGAAATGATTAATATTATTAAAAAATAATATAAGAATGCAGAAAAATTGTATACATGTTTTTTTCAAATATAAATAAATATGTATACTATTTTATTTTGAGAAAATGTGGGGCAGATTTCGGGGTTCTGTTCTCGAAATTCAAATTTTTTACCTATCTAAATCACCCGATTAAAAGAAATTCTTTAGGATATAATTTTCCAAAAAACTGAATGTTTAAAAAATAAATGAGGCAAAAAGAATTTTGAAACTCTGCAACCTAGTAACGAAATCCCGCAAAAAATGGGTCACACACACATACACAAAAAACTAAACGAAACTAAAAAGTGCTTCTATTTTCCGCAAAGAAATTCATTTGCTTTTTCTGAAAATAATTGAAGAAAAAGAGAAAGAACGTCTTTTTCTCCTTCTTCTACTACTTTTTTTGCGACAGCCTTAGCCAGGATGAAATGAAATGAGACGAGATGATTGGCTGTGAATGAATGGAATGAAAGAGAATTAGAGAAAAACAACACAAGAAAGAGTTTCGATTCGATGTCTATATGTTCATATGTAAAAAGCACAGAAAAAAGAAGAGATAGATAGATAGAGTCTTGAACCCTTCAGGGTATCTCTGAAAATTATTTTTCTGTATCTGAAAAATATTCCAGAGGGGGTTAGGAACTGATAGAAGGAGAGTATCATTTTTAACAATTTTTCATAATTTTTCAACTTGATATATTTCTCTGAAATTTTGTTGGGCCTACAGTAGTCTAAGATCTACAGTAGTTTTGAAAAAAATCCAGAAATTTGAAACGTTGATAGTAGGAAGTTCTAAAATCAAGATTTTCACTTTTTTCTCGAAATGTCACTGTAAGTTCAAAAATTCACAGATGTGTGGATAAAAGATCTACAGTGTTCGGGATTATACGTTTTTTCTCAAACTTTTAGTAATCTGGGATTTTTTCTCTCAAAATTTCGGAATAAAAAGTATTGTTTTGGTTTGGAAATTTTAGAGCTTTTGAGCCAACAATTCCAAAAAAGTCTAAATCTATTTGAACTTTTCTAAAATTTTTTTCAGTTTTTTTCTCAAAAAAAAAAACTTTACTAATTCTTCGAGTATTAAAAATGTATCCATTATCCAATATATTATACTTTCTGATCAAAAACCGCTCGAAAAAAACAGAATTCAATTTTTTTTCATATTTGCAGAGAAAATTCGAAAATTATTGAAGCATCGCTTGACGTCGAAGAATAATTAATTAATTTTTTCGTAAAATTTCATTCGACTTCCGGAAAGTTGGTTATTTTTAGAGGGAAAAAAAGAAGAAAAAGAAAAAAAGAAGGGTACTTTTAAAGAAATAGACAACTTTTAAGCTACGGTTCAAAACAGACCAAAATTACTTTTTTCATACTATTTTTAACACATCTGCAAAGAGAGAACTCTCAAAACTCACTCTAACCCTTTTTTGAAGCAAAAGAAAAAAATTAAAAAACCCTCGTTTGAAAATAAAAAAATTGCCGCGATTGTGTGAGCGCAGTGTCACGCGGAGTCTCGTTGTTTTACTTTTATTTTTTTTGGTTTGTGGAAAGCAAGAAACCTAAAGAAACCGAATAAAAAATTGGAAAAATTTAGCAAATTTATTGAAAGAAACATTTTACATAGCATTTGAGTGAACATTTGAGCAAAGAAATTTTTGGATAGGCTTTGAATCTTCAAAAATTGGCGAATTTCTGAAAATCGCAGAATTCCGGGATGTTTTTGGCGAATCATCACTTTGTTTAGCCTCCAAATCCATTAACACAGCACATTGAAGTTGTTCTCTGAAATTAACAACAATTAAATCAGTTTCAGATTCATTTTTCAATAAAACTTTGAATTTTGATGGACTCACAGCCAAAATCGTTACAAAACTAACAATTAAAGATGTTATTTGTTCGATTCTGCCTAGAGTCACTATCATCTAGCATAAAACTTTGACAAAAAACTCACCAAACGTCATAAAACGACTTGAATTGAGAATTCCATCGAAAATCCTTCGAAACTTGTAAATCGCCAATTTTTCCTGAAAATGAACATGAAAACCATGAAATGTTCATGAAAACTCACCTAAATATCGACAATCATGATTCCTGATGTGCTGCGATAGTCAAAAACCGATTTTCATCACAAAAATCCGTTTTTTGCAAAAAACGAAAAAAAGAAAAGTAAAAAAAGTCTGCAAACACCGCACACCGCCGCCCAAAAATGCACTAGATTATCTAGAACTCGGCGGGCGTTCAAATTCGAATTATTTTTTTCAACCTTGCGCCATTTCTATCAACGCACATATTTTGAATGATTTCTGGTTGGAAAGTATGTAGAAAAGTAAGCAAAATCAAGATATTGGGCCAGCCTGAACCTCAGTTTTAAAAGTTGTCTATTTCTTTAAAGGTCCATAAAACCAACCGAAAAAGAGAGAAAAACAATAAAATATGAATTTTTTTGTTGGTCAAGTGGAACGGGCAGACATTGAGTGAATACTTCAATAGTGAATGAATGAATCCGAAAAATGTTACTATTATTTATTGTTGTTATATATTTTTGGGTGAATAATTCAATTTATCCGATTACATTTTCGAGTATTTTGTTGTTGCTGTGAAAAATAAAAAGAAGAAAAATGGTTGTTGAAAATTACTGTAAAAAAAGCAACAACATAGTAAAAAATTAATAACTCTCAAAACCTGGTCTGATTCAAATTTTTTCAGAAAAATCCTAAACTGTTCTGAAGCTCGTTCGAAAAAAAAAAATATTATGAAATATATCGAAAAATTGCTTGGAAAAATACTGATTTCAAAAATTTACTCAGTTCAGAATTTTTCTCAAAAAATACAACAATCGCTCTGAACCCAATCCGATTAAAAAATCCACGAAAATAAGAAAAAGTGTGTGAAACAGAAAGTTCCACATTCTTCTCTCTCATTTTTCTGATCAGTTAGAAAAGACACGAAAGTCACTAAACTACAATCTCCAACTTTTTCGTACACTACCAAAAAGAAATGAAAGAAAAAGAGACGCAGACAACGATTGCGCGCAAAACCACCGTTCGCAAAATACAACAACAACAAAAATATATAATAATAATAATAAGGGCGACGTTTGTGTCTGTGAAGAAAAAGGCGAACATCTCCTCATTTTCTACACTCTCTAATACAAGGTCTCGAACAGGTGAGAGAGTACGGTAAATAATAGAAACACAGGTATTTAGACATAATTATCGATTGATGACTAGTTATTTAGATAGAAAAGAGGAGGGAAAAGAATGGTGAATAATAGAAAAAAGAAGAAGAAAAAGAATGACTAAAGTAGGAAAAAATGAGGGAAAACGAAACATATGGGAAAGAAAAAAACAAATAATTGGAATAAAATATAAAATCGAAGATTTATCAACCTCCTTTTATATAAATATACTTTTTGATTCAAAATACCTTTATATTTGATTTTTAAGAGAAAAAAATGGGCTTTGGCATAAAAAATACAAGTGAAAAGCAGGACAAGAAATAATTTATTGTAATTTAGCTTGAAGTCGACGAATAGCTGCAACTCTTTCAACAACTGGTGGATGTGTATGAGTACACCAAGAATAAAGAGAATCATTGATTGGCATTGACAAATTATCCTAGAAAAATGAGACATTTTTGTTTGATTTGATATTCGGAACAAAATATTTGGAAGTATTAGATTTTTTCATGAACTTTTTAAATTAAAAATTTTGAATTTCGAGCGTTCGTTAGAAATTCTGCTGCAAAAATAAAAATTCTAGACTAATCTGGAGATTAAAAATTTCAAGAAAAAATATATTCATAATTCTTATTGTTAGTATATTTCAGAAATCTGTATCGAAAGCATCATTTTCCGATACCTTATTACTAGAATTTTCCCATTATTTTGAATGTTTTTCAAACAAACTCACAACTCCGAGTTTTGTAAGAGCACCAATCAAGTTATCACCATATCCAAGTTTATTCGCAAATTCATCAGCTCCAAATTCAGCCGATCTTGAATGTACAACCATTCCCAAACTGGCAATCTAAAATTAATTCGATTATTTTTCGAAAATGTCATTAATTAATTTACCTGATTATAAAGTGCCAAAACAAATTGGAAAACAAGCATCATTCCAATAACAGTTGGTGTATCATGGAATCCAAATGCCTAGAAAAAAGGGACCATATAAAAATAGATGTAACTATTTATTTACCTGATAAAGAAGTTCCCATTTGTAGAAATATGCGAAAACGGCAAAAGAGAAGAACAAATTTGCTTCAGCTGAAATAATCAAATTTTCACTTTTTCTTTTTTGAAGAAAAACTCACTAATAATCAAATTAATAGCAGTATGCCATAATGCCCAATGTCCAAGTTCATGTCCTAAAACAGCAACAACTTCATCCGAATTCATTCCTCGTTTTTTATCCTTTTCATCTTCTTCAACAGTTTCTCCAGATTCTTTATAAAGTGCCAATACTTTTTCTTTTTCTTCTCCACTCAATAAAGTATCATAAAGAACAATTCGTTTATTCTTCCAGAAACCATACATGTAAGCATTTGAATGAGCCGATCTTTTTGATCCTTAAAACTATATGATAATTTTCGTATTTTAATTTCTATTAAATTTAATTTTTTATTGGGAAATCTTATCATCGCTTTTTATTCAAGGAAAATTTCACAAAAATCTTACCATTTACCACATATAACTTTGTCAATGGATAATTCAAAGAAGCAGCCAATTTTTCGATTTTAGTCTTCAATTCTCCATCCGGAAGTGCAAAATATTTATCGAAAAGTGGAGCGATAAAAGCAGGATATATTGTCATAAGTAATAAAACAACAATTGAAAGGAACACCCAAATATAAACAAAGAAATATGGACCGCCATTTTCAACAATCCATTCAATTCCATAAACAATCGGCATTGTTAAAACAAATCCAACAAGCATTTTCTTGATTTTATCCACAAAATAAAAACCAACTTTTTGTTTGTTGAAACCATGTGTTTCTTCAATTACAAATGTCGAATATCTGAACAACATTTCATTTTGGAAATGAATGATCGAATAAAAAATGAACTCACAGATCCCATGGTAAATCAATGAAAGTTTCAATTATCGAATTTGTCACCAAAAACACAGAAGAATGGAATGGAAAACCAGCAGTTGCATACCATAATAAAGGATAATATCCATAAACAAGTTGAACCTGAAAATTTCAAAAACGTTTAACATTTGAAGAAACGAAATTCGTACCGTAGACAAAATTTGGTTAAAAATTCCATGAGCAAATCCAAAAGTATGATTATCCATTTTGTAGTCTCTCGCTTTTTTGTATTCTTCTTCACTAATCAATTCTTCGACTTCTTTTGGTCGTTTCACATTCTCCAAATGAACTCTAAAATATTCCATTTTAATAATGATTTATCTGAAAATAAAAACTCACTTATATTGTCTCCAAGTAATATATTGATCCCATAAGAATAATATCCAATTTGTGGCTAACAATGTTTTGAATAAACAACCCGCCTCCATCTGAATCAATATAAAAATTAAATTAATCTGAAATTCTAAATAAAATACCATACATCGTCAAAGTACGAGATAATTTTCAACAACAAAAAATAAGAGTTCAACATTTATTTATACTACTTACAATTTTAATATTTACAGCTGCGTAAAAAAGAAAAGATTACGCAAATCACCAAGTGCCCGAATATATATTATAAACATTTTTAAAACTGAAACTTATTGATTTTTTGATTATTCGGATAACAAAAGTTCTTGAATTTCAGCTTCCCATGCATCGTCATCTTTTCCGCCAGTTTTCTCAACAACATCTTCATAATCATTCAGATCCGCGAGAATTTCTTTTTCCCATTCTTCATCTGAAAACATAATTGATTTTTGGGAATTCTGAAAAACAATAAGAGTTTATTCAAAACCTACCTGCACTTGTGATTGTATTTTCAGTTCCTCCGGTTGGTTGTTCTGTTGTGATTGGATTTTGATCTACATCTGTCTCTTTTTCATCATCTTTCTTATTTTCTTCCTGTGTATCTTCAGCATTCGTATTTTTAGCGGCTGAAATTTCTTTAAACTTATTTGAAGTAAAACACTTTTTATTTTTATATGTAAAAATGAACAAAAAAATTCAATTGAAAAAATAAACAATCAATATTTCGTCATTTCTAGTTCTTGTTGTATTGTTATCGGTTGTTTTTTGAAGAGTAGTCTTCAACTAAATTCCAAAAAAAATATAGTTTCAAAGTTTGCCTTTTTTAGTATTGGAAAGACTTTCAACCTTATTTTCCCCTAAATCAAAACTTTTCGCTAACAAAAAACCAACCTTCAACATTTTCCTTCGGTTGTTCAACAATAGCGTTTTCCTCAATTTTCTCTTTTTCTTCTTTTTCATTTCCAGAAACTGAAGGTTCAGGAGTTTGTCGATCTTTTTGTGCCAAAATACTTTGTCTTATCAAACCAACGCGATAAAAATAGTTTTGCCAAAACTTGTTTTCTTTGATTCTGAAAAACGAAACACTCAGAAACTTTTGAGATTTTCAAGAATAAAAACAACTAACTGTTTTGGTACAAGTTGGAATCGAACTTTCGCCAAATTTGGATCTTCTTTTATCAAAATAGCAGCCATTGCTTGTTGTTGATCATAAGTATATTCACTATTTGCTGGAGAATCTCGTAGAAAATTACGTGTATCCATTGATAAATTCATTATCTGTTTTTTAGCTGAAACTTCATCGGGTAATCCATTCCAAGGCAATTCATACTCATTATCTTTCTCCTTTTCATCTTTCAATTGTTTTTCGAATTCATTTTGCTCTTTGTTCAAATCACCAATCAATGTCTAGAATTAGATTTTTTTTTGCATTCAAGTTTTGAAAATCTTACATTTTCAATAACAGCTTGCTTGACTTCTTTCAATTTTTCAGTTCCATAATTAGCATATTCGAATAATTTTGTAGATGCAACATTTCCACCAATCTTCAACCCTCCAATAATCGAAGCCATCGAAGTTTTTGATTTTTCCGCTGATTCATCAGTTTTTTCCTCTGCTTCAATGTTATTTGTTTTCGGATCTGCGTCAACATTTTCAGTGGCTTCTTTGAAACTTTGTTGTATTTGACTTTTCGCGTCATTCACTTTTTTCAAAAGCCAAGACATCTGTAAAACCAAAGGATAATTTTTTTTCAAATAACTCGAAAAATTTAAAAGTATAAAAACTGTATGATCAACAGCTTATCATGGAAAAATAAAAAGAAAACACAACGCAAATAAATAAGTTTTATCACAATAACTCATCAACTAAAAACTGACCAAAAACCGTAAGTAATTTCAAAATACAAGCATTAGAAAACTGAATAATGGCAATTTAAAATGGCCAAAAGAATTTTTAAAAAAGGAACCCGTAATAATTGACTTATGCATAAATATATCGAAAACAAAAAATCAAACTCCAAGAGCATCTCGACCATATTCACAAAGTGTTTGAAGTGCAACAACACGTGGATCAAGAGAAGTTTGAAGATTGACAACTTGTGGAGGATAACGGAATAATATTTGAGACCATAATGGTAATTGATCTGCCAATTTTGAAAAAAATAAAATATTTCTGAGGGAGGGAAGAAGAAGAATGAAAACTAACCTCGGAATGAATAGTTTTGACTAATAAATTCTCTCAACATAAGACAAACTAATTCCAGAACACTTCGATTCCCTTTCGGAAGAAAACTTTCAGCAGTTTTCCATAATCTGAAATTAATTTTTTTGTATATTTAAATTGTTCGATTGATAAAATAACTTACGCTCTAGCATCTCTTGCATGCGATATAAATTCATAATGAATCATTCCTTCCATTCCAGACGGGATAATTGGATCTAAAAAATTGTATGTTTATTTTATGATAACTTTTCAATTTTTAAAAAATACCTTCAAGTGTGTCTAACAATCTAATAAGTGCACTATATAACATGAAAGATGAAGCGAAATTGGCTGGAAAAATCGAATTAATGAAGTTTTTTTTGGGTTATCAATAAAACTAACATAAATCACTGGGTTCACCAGTTTCCAACGCGATTCTGATTTTTGTGAAAATCGCATTATCTGAGTGATCGGACATATTCAATTGACCTGGTCCGCGATGACGAAGAGCATTTACTAATCGATAAATCTGAAAGTCGTATTTTAGAGGAATATTGGAAAGTATACGTTTAAAAAATTATTCTACTCACCTCTTTCGGAACATCTTTTGGACAATCATCTATCGAACTATCAAAACTATCATCGCCCTTAAAAATAAACAATAATGTTTTATTAATAAAAATAAAGAAAACTCACAAAATCTATCAAATTTTCCGTTTTTTGTGGTTTGTTTCGAAGCAATTCATCGAGTGAGTTTCCAAATACTCTGAAAATATTCATTTCTACTCGTTGTTAATTATCAATAAAATGACTCACTTTTTATTGTATTTCGCAACTACTGGTATAAAATAATCTCTTCCGTTTTGCAAATGAAGTACAAGAATATCCTGGAGATAAAAAATATTGAAAATATGTAAAACTTAAAAATAAAATATCAAACCTGTAAAACCGGATTGTTTCCATTGAAATCTCTAACTGTTTTTGTATTTATCGAAACAGTAATTGAAATCTGAAAAAACCTTGTTCTCAGCTGAAAACTAATGAAATGAATAAACTAACCTGCATTGAATTTCCTTCGGGTATATCATAATGGGTTGGTGTAACCTAAAAGAACAAAAAGATCAGATTAAGAAAAAAACTGAAAAAGATGTTATCTTCAAACAATAGATATACCTGTAACCAATTTGCGCATATTGTTTGGCCGGCGGGTGTAATTCGAAATTGAAAACGAACCTTCAAACAACAATATATTATTACAAATATAATAATTTTCAAAAAACTCACAGTAGATTTTCCAGTATTTTGTACTGTAATAAACTTGGTACGCGGATCCAAATAATTGACATCTCCAAAATCAATTTCAGTAACACTTAATTGAATTTGTGGTAATTCATCATTTGCTCTTCTATCAGCTTCTCGAATTGCTTCTTCATATAATTTATTCGCTTTTTTCTCATCAATCGATTTTATATTCAATTTGAAAAGTGCGCGAACTGGTTTATGATCAGATATTGAAATTGTTTCAACACTTTCCATTGGTTTTCTATAAATCAATATTCATTTTCGAGATGTTTCGAAAATAACAAAACTTACACCAAATCTAAATTAATTGCTGGATACTTTTTAAATGTTAATATTCTATCAGTCCATGCTGGAACTCTTCCCTTTTCACTTGTATCCCAATTACTTGTTCCAACATCATATTTATAAGTTGGTCGAAATTTGAAAACTTCTGGTTCATTGAATCCTTTGAAAATATCACTAATTTGCATTTGTTCTTTTAATTGACATAATTTCAATAATGAATCAAATTGTCCGCCAGTTGCAACTCTTCGAACATCATCTCCAGTTAAACCAGCAGAATCAGAATTGAGGCGATAATTCAAATCACCAAACCAAAAAACAACATCATGATCATAAATTGAGACTTTTGGACCTTTGAATGTTATTTGATTATAAATATCACGAAAATCTTGATTTCTTCTTTCTAATTCACTTGTTCCAGCAGCAAAATGTGAATTAACAAAACAAACAAATGTATCATTGATTTTCATAGAAATTGCAGTTCCTCCCTTGAAAAAATAAAATGAAATTTGATAAAAATTCAAAACCAACCTTATTTCCAAGTTTGTTCATCAAAACAGATATTCCAGTTGCAACATAATCCGTATAAACTTGGGAAACTTGGAATTTTGTAGCTTTCAATGAACGTAAAACAATAACAAATATTCCGACAAGTCTCATCGAAGTAATCTGCAAATTATATTGTCCGTTTGGAAATGAGATTCACCCCGCGAAAAAATAAATTTGAATTTGCTGCAGGAGACGCAGACAGTGAGAGAGTGCGCTGGCAAACAGCCAACGGGGGTTTTGTATGGGAAAGCGACCGCAACGCACACGCATCGCGGGGGTAGGGGGAAATTAGAGATTTTCTCAAATTCAAATTTATTTTTTCGCGGGGTGAATCTCATTTCCAAACGGACAATAATATTAGAGGAAAATTTAGATGGAGAATCAAACATTTTATGTTTTCTTCTGAAAAATGAAAAATTATCCACGTTTAAAAATGAGATTGGAAAGGTCACGTTCACGTATTTTATATTATTTTTATTTCGAAAATTTTAAGTAGGAGATTCATTTCAAAATTTGAGTTTGGCACCGCTAAATGCCTTTTTTCTTTTTCTCATAATTATCGTATTTTCATTGTTCTATTATTCCAATTAATTATGAATTAATAAGTCAAAGAAAATATTTGAACTCACAACATGATATTGACTTCTTCCACCAGGCAAACTCGATTTAATTGTATCAATCCATTCATCCATTTTCTTTGTATTATCAATAATATAAGTTCCAACAGAAAGATCCATTTCTTGTAATCCAATTGCATAAAAATCACAAATATCATTAGGTTCTGAACTAAACCAAGTTGGAATAATCGATGGCGGACTTTTTCCATTTACATTAAATGTGCTCACACATATTTTAACATCATCAAATGTGCAATATTTATTCTGCCATTCTCTCATAACTTCATCAACTTTCAAATCTCGTCCTTCAACATAACATCCTCCTCTTTGGGAATAAAATGTCATTGCTGAAAAAAAACACATTTTTAATAATATCATTATTTGATATATCCCCCCTATTTTTTTTTTGTTAAATTTTCGATCAGAATAAATTTCCCCCTATTTTTTTGGACAATCATATCTATATTTTCCCACAATCAAAATATGTATAGTGCAATCTAAAGCATGAATAAAAATACAAAAAAATTCTAATGTATTTCTATTCATATATGCTGCTATATTATTATTTGTTTACATTTTTCGTAACCTGATCGATATTTCTCTTTTTTTCTAAATTGAAATTATAACTCACCTAAACTTTGTTTCTATTTTCTAAAAGCACCGCCAGTCTGAAAATTTCCACGATTTTTCCTAAAAAGGAATTGTGGAAAACGGGAAAAACAAACAAATAAAGTTGTGTACTCAGGGCAAAATTGTGCAAACACCAATCATCTACAGTAGGGTTAGTAATTATAAATAAGATTTCATTTTATCAATAATAATCGAGTCAAAAATTCCGAGTTTCATTAGATAAGTAAAACTAAGAAAGTAACTGGAAAAATAACACGTGAAATAGCAAATGATGCAAATGCGCTCTATTGAGAAAATCATTTTTGTGTGGAATTCAACGGTTTTTGTTTCCTGGGTTACATTTGATGGAATTATTTGGATTCATATTTTAATGGAGTAGGAATAAAAATGAATGAACTAAAAATCTAAAGAGAATAGAACTATGAAGAAAACTGACACTGAATCAATAATTTTCATCGTATTTTGAAATTCGACTCTAATAAAACCCTGTATTTACAATTAGTCTCGAAAATAAAATAATGAAATTCTGACGAAATTAAATAATTATCAATTTTTCTAAAGAGAAAATAGTTCGGTGATATTTCAAACTCTTTACGTATTTTTCGAGACCAAGAATTTTCTGGGTTTTTAGAAAATTGGGAAGAATTCAGATCTGTGTTGGAATTGATATTTCGATGTCAAATATTATGTGTCTATCTATGTGGAAAAATATTGGGAAAATTTCCACTTGAGGAAACATTTTTCCAAAGTCGGAGCCGATATTATTGCCCAAAATCTAAATTTTTCTGATGAATTTTGTAGATTTTTGCCTCGTTCCAAAAGTTTTCCCAGTTCTCATATAAATCTGGAACATCCTAATTGTAAGTGCTCATTTCTGGTTTATAATAACTTCTAATCTCCCAATATATATTTTCATTTCTTGAAAATCTATACACAATTCTCATATTTCTTTTCATTATCATCAAGTACTCTTATCTTCTTTTTTTCTATCATTTTATCCATCCATATAATCATTCTCAATTTTTCCCGCGCACTCCTCGCAGAGAAAAAGAAGAAGAAGAAGCACATCCAAAAAAAACGACACATCTTCCCCCTTTCTTTTTACTCTCTTCAAATTGAATAAAAACACGCGAGACGCAGGAGATGCTCTTCGATGAAATAGTGTATTGAGCAAATAGAGTGAACAGACAGCGCGATTATCGGAAATCATTGGGCCTTTTGCTGCTGTTGTTACTCCTCTCCATCTTTTCCTCATCGCCGTCGGCAAATTGTGCGTTTTTCGTCTGACACTCTCTTCAATATATTGTATATATACACATAAGCCGTTTTCTTCGCTTTGCATTATTCTGGCTCTTCTCCAGGGCAACAAAAATACAATTTTATATTTTTTTGTGTCTTCTTAATACAACAAATTAGTCAAGCTGGAGAATTGTATTTTGGACGCCTATAATATGCCACAACTCAGCAAGGTAATACAATAAATGAGGGATTTATTATTATTATTCGAATCAACAAATTACAGATCGAGGAACTTGCAAAACAAGTGATGGAAGGGGCACAATTAAAGACTCATAAATATTTTCGAATTGCAGTACCGCATGCATTAACGGGTCAACAAATAATTGCACTTGTTTTAGAAAAAGTTTGTGAAACTACTTGAATATTATTCGAGAAAATCCAAATTTTCAGGGAGCTCCAGAAGATGATGTTGAAGCTGGTCATTTAGCATCACTTCTTTTACATCATGGTTATCTTTTTCCAGTTATTGAACACGTTTGTTTTGTCAGGTAATAAATAATCCAAGTTTTATTCATAAATGGATAAATTATTGCAGAGATGATGGAACACTTTATCGTCTTCAACGACCATATTTTTGGCCATCTCAAGCTGAAATTGTTCCAGATGTTGAATATGCAATTTATTTGAATAAACGACTATTAAGAAATGAGCAAAAACATGGATTAGAAGAAGACGAAGTTGAGTCATTTAATCGATTAGCTGATGTTTTGGCACATATGTGGACATTCATTGTTCAACAATCAGAATTGCAATTAAAACAACAAAAGGAGAAGAAGAAAGTGGAAAAAGTTGTTTTTGATTCGGAAGAAAGAGCATTTTGGAAAAGTCGAAAACCAACAAGAGGGGCTGCTAATTATCTTGAAGATGCTTATAACAAAGTATGTTTGTTGATTGAAAACAAAATGAATTTCAAAAAAGAGAAATTTTCAGACAGAGAAAAAAATTCGACGTCAAAATGCACAAGGATATCGATGTTTGATGGATCGATTGAGATTTGCAATCAAAACAAAACCATGGTTAAAAGCATTAAAAGCTTCGGATACAATGGTTACATGGGTTGATCAAAGAGCTGATTATGATCCATTTTTGACAGCACCACAACCATCTAATCCTTGGTTAACCGATGATACATCATTCTGGTCACTTAATACTGATACGTTAGTTTCAACTTATTTCCTTTTCAAAAATTGTAATATTCATATTTTTCAGTGTCGAAGTTCCGACAGAAAGAAGAGTTAAAAGATGGGGATTATCAGTTCAAGAATTAGTCAAAGATCCAATTGGTCGACAAGTTTTAGAAACATTCCTCGAATCAGAATTTTCATCAGAAAATATACGATTCTGGATAGCAATTCAAGATTTGAAATATGCACCAAATGAATTAATTTATCAAAAAGGTGAACGAATACGTGAAGAATTCTTAGCTCAAGGTGCACCAGCTCAAGTAAATGTTGATTCACGAACATTGGATCAAACAATTGATTGTATAGGAAAAGCAAAAGATGCTTCACAAATGCGTTTTGCATTTTGTCATTCAGAAGAACATGTATTCACATTAATGGCAAAAGATTCGTATCCTCGTTTTGTTCGATCACAAATATATAAAGGTGTTTTATCTGCTGCGCAACAACAAGGATCAAGAAGACTTGGATGGAGAAACTTTGTTTTTAATATGGGAGCAACTAAAAAACCAACATCAACTAAACCAACTAAAGTAATTAACTAATTTCCTATATTTCTAAAAAAATATACATCTAATTTCAGCCACAAGATTCAATAGGAGCTGGTCAACCATTACCTAAACAACTTTCATCTGATTCTTTACCTGTTCGTCAGGCTCATTCGGTTAAGTGAGTGTGCTTTCAACCGTTTTTTGTGCTTTAATATTAATCTACTAATTTCAGACCTGAACCTGAATAACACACATCACCAATCTCTCACAAAACGTGTATTTCAAAATGTATATCTCCTCTTATAATTGCATAAACAACACACATATTTCAAAAATCAACATAATAATCACAAAATTCTAGTCAAATCAACAAAATCAAAAACATAATCTTCTAACATTAGTCACATTTTCTAACATAACATGCGTGTATAATTATTATTTCGAGTTTATTGTTCTTTTTTTCCTGTTTATTTTCTGCTAAAAATGTATCAGTAAGGTACCGCTAGAGTATTTCAGTGTTTTATTGCACTTTATTTTTATTTTGAATTATTTTATGGCATCAATGGTGTTTTTATGTATCTTATATAGCGCTTTTTTGTAGGTGTTGATACAATAAATATTTATTTATTTATTTTATTATTGGAGAAAATATGGGTTTGGGTTATTAGAGGAAATACAAACCAATACAAAAAATAATAGATGTATTTTTATTTCCAACTGTGAAAACAATCAAAACTTCTATGACCTTATATAATAACAATCAACATATTGCTCAAATTTCAACAGCTCCTTCCTTCTCTAATAATTATAATTCGTTTTTCTTTTATTATCTATCGTATTGTGACAGCTTTTGTCTTTATATTCCCACCCATTTTCAAGTACCTTATAAACCATATGTTACTTACTGCCTATTAGTTTTTCATTCATTTCATCGAACTTTTGTTTCTAATAAACAATGTCAGATTTTATTCGGATTATTCGAATAAAAAATGCAAATGGTGACGAGAAATTACTCGAAATTCCAGCTAAACTTGATTTGGAAAGGCCAAAAAGACCGAGAACTGTATTTACAGATCAACAATTGCAAGTAAGTTTTTATCTTGATTCTTATTCTTGGAAGAAATGATTTTTAGGCGCAGGCTTTCAGACTGCGCCTATTTGGGCTTGGGATAGTTTTTCGAAATTTTTGTTCGGGTTTCATTCAACTTGGTCTCATCTAATTCACGCTTTCCAAATGTATAACTCGAGAAAAAAATAAAATTTAGGTGCTTGAAAAAACTTTCAACGAATCTGGTTATTTGAATGGTTCATCTCGTTTGGAATTAGCAAACAAATTAGGTTTGAGTGATAATCAAATCAAAGTTTGGTTTCAAAATCGAAGAACAAAAGAAAAACGAAAAGATGCAACTACAACCACAAAGTAACTGATGAAAAATGATAGATTTTATTCTGAAATAGTATTTTTGCAGTGATTCGAATCCGAATATGCATCATTTATTCAATGCTTATCTTATGAATTATTGGAACAATTCAACAAATGGAATCAATCAACATAATCAATGATAACAAATATTTAATTTTAAAACAAATATATATTGATTGATTGAAACATATTATTTTTTAAATTTTTTTCTAACTCTATAAATTCAATAAAAATGTATCGTAACTTTCGTAATGAATGTGTGAGTTTAATTTTTAAAAAAACTTCTTTACTTATCCTTTTCTCACGGAAAATTCAGGTTTTACGAGTTCTTCTATTAGCTGCTTGTATACTAATTTTAATAATGGTAAGATTTATTTTCAGTTATATTTTCAGTTTTCCAATTATTTCAGATTTTCAAAAAATCATGTAATCAATCTTCTAAAGAAAAAACAATACTAGAAACTGTTTTCGAGAGTAGAAATATATTAATGTGAGAACTTTCATCGAATTCTTCTCGGAAGTCAACTAAATAATTAAGGGACACATTTTGTACTGGAAAAAGCTGTTTTTATGTTTACGATAGATTATGTCAATTTGAAAATAGGTAATATTAAATGATCCTCTTTTCAATCCTCAAATGAACATTTTGAAGTTCATTTTTCGTGGTTCGTCTAACAACACCAGAAAAATCACTCAAAAAAGGCTTCACTGGAATTGCTATTCTAAAAACACCAATTCCGTTGAATGAAAATAATAAAAATACTCGAAATTGGGAAATAAATAGAGATTTGATATCAAATGGAACAGTTGTTGGATTTCAGTTAGGTATTTTATTATTATAATCATTTTTCTTAATCCATGAACTAATAAAACAGAAAAATCGATATCGTCAGGATTATTTCCATTACCAAATGACAATAAAAAGATTATGATAATTGGAGTAGCAACTGGTATTCTTCAAACATTTTTAGCTCAGCAATTTCCAAAAGTGAGTGACAGCTTTTATCGATTAATGATAGAATGTATTTCTAGATGGTTATCGAAGGAATTGATATAGATCCAAATAGCATAGAATTATCGAAAAAATGGTATGGATTTGAAGAAAATGAGAGGAATCAAATAATTATTGATAATGCACAGAACTATTTAGAAGGAATATCTTCGAAAAATGAGAAAAAATACAAAGCAATTCTCAGCACTTGCAGATGTAGCTAATTCATAGCTCAACCGATCGCAGCCCTTGACACTTGCGTTTTATTTACGAACAGTGTGCGGTTTAGCTACAAACACACACCGAAGTCTGTTTTAGCTACGAAACACACACGCATGTTTTAGCTACGAAAACTGTTTTCCTGTTTATTGCGAAATACTGCTCATGCGGGTTTCTTTCTGTATTTGGCGTAGTTAGAAAACTTGCAAATATAAAACATTTATTCGTATTGAAACATACAATAACATAAGAAACTGAAATTATAGTCAGTTATTCACCAGAAACACTTATTTTTCTCGCAGTTGTTTGATAGCTTCTGGATCCTGGACCGGCCGAATATGGGATAGAAAAGCAGCATTTACAATTTCCCAATAGAGCGGTAGGCTTGCAAAACGTGACGATGTGGTGTTTGTGCATATTTGCGACTCCATCTGGCGGTTTAAAAGACACTTTTTGTAAAAATGTAAACTTTGTAACAGAGTCTCGGACAAAAAAGTCATGATCTCAGAATCGGCCCAATTTTTTTCTTAGTAAGCCCCATGGGTGGGGAACTTTTTCCACCAGGTTAGAGATCATAATATCGTTTCGGCAATTTGGTGGGACCGGGTGAAGGGGAACATTGTTTTTCGAAAATTTATCGTAAGTAGGGTTAAAATTCATATTTTTCGATGATTAAAAAAGCATTTTGCTCGTCTTTTGACGCTCTTTTCGATGGAAAAGAGTATGCATTTCGAATATTTTTTCTAAAAAAATTTTTTTTTTCGCCCTATATAAACATTGCTCAGGAGTCATTTCCGCTCTTTCTAACCGGTTCCAAAATGTTCCTCGTGCCTTTTTACGTAGATTTGACTACTTTCAAAAAAATTTTTCGGGGTCCCTCATCTTCAAAAAATCACGTTTTTACGGTCAATTCATGTTTTTTGCGCGCGCACACACACAAATTAGCATAAAATAATCGGATTTTTATTGTCCGAGAGGTCCTGGTTCGATTCCTCACCAATGCGAATTTTTTAAATTTTTTTTGTCTTCTGTCTGAAAGTGTCAAAAAAGTATAAATTTGAGTTTCTAATGTCAATTAAAAATTTTTTACATGATTTTGACACTCCTGGATTGCCTATTTTCACTTAGAACTTCAGATTATCACGAACTTTAGAATAACATATTTGTTTTTGGAATCCGTCAATAGAACGGTGAATATTATGGATTTTTAAATGTTTAGCTGATATTTTAAGAAGGTTACCAAACTTAAATCGAAAGTTGAATCGGGTTAACACAAAAAATTCAATGTTCATTGTGTCCAAGTGTGAAATTGAGACTTATACTAACAAGGAATAGATCCCAATGTGACCCCCTGAAAAATTTCGGTTGTATGTTCAAATAGTGTCTTATGGGGAGTTATGAAAAATCCAAAGGGGATTTTGTAAGTAAAAATTTCTTTCATGAGAATCCGGCTGTTGAAATTATGAATATTTTTCAAAAAGTCAAAAAACCTTCTATTTTTGAAAATTCGTAACTCAGCTCAAACTCAACGAAAAACTCGATCAAAACCGTATTTTAAAGCTTGAATTGCGTTCTTTTCGGTTTTTTTTTAAAGTACAGTTATCAAACTTTGAATTTGATACATAAAAAAAGAAAAATTTTTAAATTGATTTTTTTGAAAAATCCACGGTGAAATTTTTTAAAAATTGACGCCATTTTTCGATAAAAAAATGATTTTAATGTTTATCTTATTTTTTCATGTATCAAATTGAAAGTTTGATAACTGTTCCAAAATAACTGAAAAGAGGGCAATTCAAGCTTCCAAATACGGTTTTGATCGAGTTTTTTCGTTGAGTTTGAGCTGAATTACGAATTTTCAAAAATAGAAAGTTTTTTGTCTTTATGAAATTACTCATAATTTCGACCTAGGAATTCTCATGAAAGTAATTTTTACTTACAAAATTCCTTTCGGTTTTTTCATAACTCCCCATAAGACACTATTTGAACATAAAACCGAAATTTTTCAGGGGGTCACATTGGGATCTATTTCTTGTAAGTCAAATAAAAATATACATATATCTTTGTTTACTAAATACACCCTTAAACACACCTCGGCCAAGCTGGCCACAGTACAATTTTTGGAAAAATCTGAATTTCAGTTTTTAGAGGTCAAAAATAAAAAAATCACAATTTTTAGAAAACAAAAACTGAACAATTCACAATTTTTGTACTGTAAAAAGTTAGCGTATAATTTTTTATATTGGAAACCACGATTTTGGCCGAGGTATGCCCTTAAATCTCTTTAAATTTTTTAAAAATACACTTATTTATACTTTTTTGACACTTTCAGACAGAAGACAAAAAAAATTTAAAAAAAAATTCGCATTGGTGAGGAATCGAACCAGGACCTCTCGGACAATAAAAATCCGATTATTTTATGCTAATTTGTGTGTGTGCGCGCGCAAAAAACATGAATTGACCGTAAAAACGTGATTTTTTGAAGATGAGGGACCCCGAAAAATTTTTTTGAAAGTAGTCAAATCTACGTAAAAAGGCACGAGGAACATTTTGGAACCGGTTAGAAAGAGCGGAAATGACTCCTGAGCAAACAGTCCCGTAGGTATACAACGAAATCTGATCACTAAAAATTTTGTCACGTTTTTATTTCAAATTTTCACGTGAATTTTTTTTCATTTCTCAAATTTAGAGAATTTTTTTTGAGGCAATGGTCCAAATTAATTTATTCCGTGAGATAACGGGGAGCAAAAACTTTCAGCACCAAATTGACTGCAAAACTTGTTTTTTTTACTGGAATTCATCCATTTACAGAAGATTTAGTAACTGTTTGAGACGTTTTCAGCTCCAGAAATCTAAAAATTTTCAAAAAAAATTTCAGAAAGCTTTCGAAAATTCTGATTATTTGTGAGACTTTGGGAACATTTTCACAAAATTGGATTATGAAGATTTCACCAAGAAAAATCACTTTCCTGATTTTCCGGGCACAATTTCCGGATAATCGGAAAATTTTCCGTGAAAAACTGGAGAATTTCCGTCACAGGTCTACCCAAAAAAGAAAAATTACTATTGCTAAAAATCACTATAGTAGGTACCAATAATATAGTGAAAATCAAAATCAAACAAAGCAAAAAAAATTCATTTTCAAGAAAAAACACTTCAAAATATCTTCGTTAATCCCGAAATTTCGTTGAAAATCTTCATTATTGAAACGTCAGCTTCACAAAATCATTCGATCGGTTTTTCGATGATAATAGTCGTAAATCGGCCGACTCCAATTTTTCTGAAGCCAGCTATAAAAAATTCAAAATTAGAACTGGCCAGAGGAATTTATTATTTACCGTAGATTCAATTGAGGCGAAACATTCGATCAGCGCGTATTGGTTGAAGCAAAATCTGAAAACATTTTTTCAATTTTTGATGTTCTGCTCACTCACCATTTTCCGGACGCAAAAAATTATCAATGACTGGACAAAATCCAGAAAAACAAGCAAAAGGCCGCCACGTATTTTCTGACAAAAGAGACGTGGCAAGATTTTTATCTCGTTGAAAAACAAAACAAAACAAAAATAAAAAACTGAAAAAAAAATTTTTAACGTGACACAAAAAATTGATCAGATTTCGTTGTACATATACTGTTATATCCTGAGCAATGTTTATATAGGGCGAAAAAAAAATTTTTTTAGAAAAAATATTCGAAATGCATACTCTTTTCCATCGAAAAGAGCGTCAAAAGACGAGCAAAATGCTTTTTTTAATCATCGAAAAATATGAATTTTAACCCTACTTACGATAAATTTTCGAAAAACAATGTTCCCCTTCACCCGGTCCCACCAAATTGCCGAAACGATATTATGATCTCTAACCTGGTGGAAAAAGTTCCCCACCCATGGGGCTTACTAAGAAAAAAAATTGGGCCGATTCTGAGATCATGACTTTTTCTTTGTCCGGTGGGTTTTGCAGTCTTACAAGGAGTGTCTTTTAACTTCCCAAAAACCTATTAGGAGCCAAATTGGTCGAAATCCATGACATCCGGCTTTTTTCTTGTTATTGACATCTGTAAATTGAGAAACATTGTGGAATATTGAAAATTATGTTGGAATTACCTCATTTATTGAAGATTTCACCATCACTTTCCACTTTTTCGAGAAACGCAACAAACTGACTGTTTTTCTGCAAAAATTCAACGTAAAACGTAACTATTAAATGAACTTACTCGTTCCCCATCGATAAAACACTGACGCGTAGACGATATAATATGTAATCAGCACTTTTCTAGGCTTTAAGTCACGAAAATCGTCGAAAAACAAAACAAAACGAAGAAAACATGTTTGCGCGCCAAAAAACCGTAGCTGAAACGTATGTGTGTTTTAGCTGAGAAATCGGTCAGAAACACTGAGCTAAATTTTTGCTTCGATTTAGCTGGAGATTCAAGTTGGTTCTACGATTCAGCTACGAAAACCCTCAAAATATGATTTAGCTACATCTGCAAATGCTGAGTTATGATTGATGTTTGCTATAATAATTTAGAATTTGAAGATGAATGGATTTGTCCAGTTGAAGAATTTCGACAAATATCAACAATTGAAAATATAAATAAAACATTAGAATATAATGGTATGAATATTTGTTACTAACTGATTAATACTTGAACATTTTGAAGGAATTCTTACAATGAATATAATCCACAAATCAAAAGATATCAATTTGCATCAAGAATTATTGGAATTATACAAGACTGTTTTCAAACACTGTGAACTCGCATCTGACAATAACTATAGAATGAAAAATCAGGTATGGAATATTACACTCTTTGATAAAAATACTTATGAGAATGATTTCCAGATATTGACATGTTTCAATTCAAAACAAGGTTTTCATTCAGCTTCAAATTACAATAAAATTTTATCAAAATATTCCGACTATGTGGTAAGCTGGTGGAATGAAAAAGTATCCGAATTAATTAAAACTTTTACAGAGCTGGATATAATGAATTTCACAATTTGTATAGTCCGAAGAAAAAAAGAAAGATAGCCAGGGAAACTTTATCTTCGTAAATTTTTTGAAATGTATATCCATTTATATTTTTATAATATTATTTTCAAATCCAAAACTCACAGAAACAAATATCACACTCACGATTCTTCTCCCACTCACGAATACATTATCTTCTTCTCAATGTTTATATTTTTTCTGAAATTTCAAATGCGATATACACTTTTATCGTAACCTAACTCACATCCGGAATTCAAAAATAGTAAAGAAAAACATTTCGGCTAGCGTTATTAATCGAGAAATGACTGAATAGCCGACGATTGAAATTGTGAAAATCGTGGAAACGTGAATTTGATGGATGGATTTATTTAAATCAAAACGTGATTGTTCTTTTTTCAGCTCAAAAAAACTTATTCCTCAAAACAGTTTTAACGTGCAAATTCCTACTTTCTAAGTCCATTAAATTTTTTTGAACTCGTGGTTTTTGATTGAACACATAAAAGTCAGAAAATATCTTGCTGGAATGATGATTAACAGGTGTCAGCTGTGTTTCTCTGGATGTAATAGAAGAAGACTTGACTGTGTTAGTTTAGTTCATTTTTAATAATGAAAATGGTGACCAGTTGGCTTATAGCCGTTTATTTCTATTTTTCTTGTTCTTTGATCGCAGATGCGGGTAAGTATTACCAAAAACTGTTATTTTTCCATCAACATTCTTATTTATGTTATCAATGTTGATTGTATTTATATTATGATAAGCAAACAGTTACATTTTGTTTTCATTTCAAAAAAAATCAGATTTTTTCTGTATCATCAAAGAATCAAGCCCCCAAAACGTCTACCCACCTTTCAAAACTTGTTTCAATCCTTCATACAACGTTGTACTCCTCGGCACTCAATTACACTTCTTGATATTCCTTGTTTCACTCTCGTTTAGATTCTTTTCGTCCAATTCGTTCGAGAAACACCAGAGAAAAACAGAGAATAAATAATGAACGCATCGAAATTTTGAATTTTCGTTGGTCGCTAAAAAATGGGCAGGCGGAATCTCGTTGTTTTATTTTTATTTATTTTTTCGGAAAACAGCCTTGTTGGAACATTAATCGGAAAATAAAAGTCATGTGACTTTTTTATATTAAAAAACATTTTTTATCGCAAAAAATTATTTCAGATATGGCAACTCTCACATTACACGGTGTCACAGATCAGTTAAACAGTGATAATGAACAGGTGAATTTTTTGGGAATAGATTCTTGGAAGACTATTATTTTTAATCAAAAGAAATTTACATTTTGTTGGAAATCAAAGTTTGAAAATGTTTTGTTTCAGTATGCCAGTGCTCTTCAAACTTGTGGTAAAGTATTTGCCGAAGTAGAAACTTTATTCAATGATAAAGATTATGAATCGAGAAAAGGTTGGTTTAGAGATGAATATAATAATGAAGGAGATGTTGTATATGCAAAAGATACACCAAATGGAAGAATGGTTACAATTTCTGTGAGTTTCTTCTAACACAAAATTCATTGTATTCAATCAAGAATTTCAGACAGAACTTCCAATGAATGTCGACGATGTGATGAAAGAAACATGGAATGGAATGCCAACACTTCCAGAATGGAATCAAAATATTAATTTCGCAAAGGTGATCGCAAATCCAACACCAAATTTTGACGTTGTTACAGTAAGTTTATGTCAGTAAACAAACTGTTAAAATTGTTATCTATTTATAGTATGGTAACAATGATGTACTAGTTGTGAGTGGTCGAGAATTTGTATCAGCAAGAATATGGAGAAAAATTGGAGATCATTATATATTGGCATCAAGAAGTGTAGATATCGCTGGATTCAAATCGGAACATAAAAATAAAGTTAGGTAAGAAAAATAATCATACATTTTACAGATAAATAAAAAATAATAATTTGCAAGAATTATTTTCGTCTCGAATATTTTTCGCGAATTCGACGCTCTTTTTCCGCACGAGTTTCATTGAATTTCGAATTTTCATCATTCTCCGATGATTCAGCATGTTCTATGAAGTAACTGAAAATCCTTGAATAAAAATAAGAATTTAAGAATTGAACTAACTCATTATTCGGATTTTTTAGAGCTGGATGATTTTCAGAAGGATAATAACTAATACTGTTTCCTGGTTGATATGTTGAATGTAATACTTCTGGTTCATACCATCGATCAGAATTATTTCCACAATTTCTTGGATTTGAAGTTTGCCAATTTCTCGAATCAATCGAATTTCCATCAAATCGAATACTTCTTTCGACTGTATATGTTTCTCTCATTAATGCTGCTGAATCGATTGGTTTTGCTTGATAAGGAGATCGACTTCTAAAATCTTCTTCGTATTTTTTGGTTTCGTATTCAGCCTAAAAATATTTTTATACAGTTTTCCGAGTGAATATTTCATAAAGTCACTTACATCAGCTAGAACATCATCAATTTGTTGTCGAAATATCGGATCATTTCTTGTTCGTTTTTCCAAGATTTCAATAGCTTCTGAATTTAGAACTCCATCTTTCTTAAAAACATATCTGGCTGATGTCATTTTTGTTGTTTTTTTCGGTTCAGCTTCAATTGATTTTGGTTTTGCTGAATATTCTTGAAATAAATTAACCATCATATTTTTTATTTCGCTGATATTTGCTTCTTGTTTCTTTTCAGTTATTTCCAATAATTCTTTTTTCATTTCTTCAATTTCTTTTTGCATTTCTGATTTCCAATCAGTTTCTGGATTCGCAGTATTCGACATTTTCTTTGTATTTTCAGATGACTTTCTAGCAGCTCTTGATGTTCCCTAAACTTTTATTATGAAAATCTTATAAAACAATGAAATAAACTGACCTCAATAGTTTGTGAAACGTTGACTGTTTTTCCAAAAGCAACCGTTTTCTTTTTCAAAGCTGGATGATTTGGAGGAGGATCTTTATTGGTTGAAGTGTTTGTTGACAAACACGATTTCTTTCCTTGAACTGTTTCTTTTGGTTGCGAAGCTATCGATACTTTTTTCACAATTTGATTATTTCTTTCTTCCTCTGGTTTCTTCAAATTCGGCAAATAAACACTACAGGGCAATTCCTCGTAATTCATTAATGCATTCTGAAAATATATCCAGCTAGAATTCTACTCAGAGAAACAGGCTGGAGAACCGGCGGAGAAAACGACATGTCGGCGAACTCTCGGACAACCGGTGGACAAAAGTTTCGGCGAAATAGTGTAGGTGAGACACTCCGCCGGTTGTCCGAGAGTTCGCCGATATGTCGTTTTCTCCGCCGGTTCTCCAGCCTGTTTCTCTGAGCTAGTTTGTTCGGCCGAAAAAAAAAACAAATGAAAAAAATCACCAGCGCGCGATGTCGGTGTTTGCACACAAATGAATTTCGTGTTACAGTAATCTCATTCAAAAAATAATTTCGCGTTTGCAAACGAGTTTTGGAAAATGAAATACTTAATAAAAATAAAAATTGAAATTGAAAAAATGTTGTTTGCAGAGCTCATCTTCACTTGGCCGGTGCCCGTTTTCGACCACATCCAACAAAACCAGAAACAACTCTAACTGATGTAATAATGTTGGCTGATTTGAAAGGAATGCTTCCGAAGTTTTTGGTGAATCAAGTAATTGGAAAGGTTATGATAATGGATACTGTTACAAATAGGAAACATTTCAATGATCTTAATAATGCCAAAAAATTACGGAATTGAGTGCCTTTTGTAAGTAAATACGTGTCATATCATTAGGAAAAATTACACGTATTTATTGAAACGAGCAGTAAATAAAAACATTTGAATTTCAATTAATCGATAAATCAATGAATCAATCAACAAATATCCATGATTCATCTTCTTCTTCTTTTCGAATTGCAACTTCAGGGCGTTGAGTTGTTAACATTTTATGAACAGCAACCAAATCATGAAGAGGTTTAGCTCCAAGTTTTGAAATATCGCCTTGTCTTTGAATAATATAATTAGTGAATTCGCAAAGATTTGCATGTGGCGTCGAATATTTCAACTTTTTTGTATCAATTCCAACATATGAACATAAATAAATTATCGAATCACAAATAGTTAACCAATCTTGTCCAATTACTTCTTTTGGCCAACGATCTCGCACACAAATATCACGATGATTAATCTAGAAAAATATTAAAATTGAAATAATATAATATCTATTGAAAAACATACTTGAACAGGTGGTCGAAAATTGAAAATCAAATTGAATAAATGCACTAATTGTACAGTATATGTTATGGCAGCAAAAGGTGAATGAAGATCTCCTGGAAGGCAAACTGTTCCATTTGGAAGAAATGTTGTTAATCGCATTCGATGTTTGTCATTAATTAATGATGAACGAACCTGCAAAATTATTCCATAAAAACTTTCAAGTGAACAAATAAACATTGAATCTTACATAAAAAGCTCTTCCTTGAATTGAAGTTGATTCACTAACAACAGCCCAAGTATTCGAATTATTTGTTACCAAATTGCCTTCAACTTCAACATCATATTCTCGAACTGGAAAAAGGCAACAAGCCAACGCACAATATTTTCTTCTTTGGATTTGGAGAGCTTTTTCAGCTTGTGAAAGATATATCAATCGATGATTTTTTGATTCTTTCAATCTTTCAATTCCTCGATTTTGACTGGCAAAACTTTCCTAGAAAAATTAATAATTATTTCTAAATCAGAGTGGGAAAGAGATAAGTTACCTTAAAATCTTTGTGTGTGAATATATTCTTCTTTTTATCATCCTCTTTTTCCAATTCCACTTGTTTCATTGCAATTCTCATTTCAGCATTTTCAATTTTCTTTCTCAATCGAATTATTTTATCCAAATGTTTAGCTATTTCATTTTTGAGATTTGTCTGAAAAAAATTCGATTATTTTTATTTCTTCAGAAAATCAATCTCACCGGAACTTCTTCATATTCCATAATTTCTTTGAGCAATTTGTTCTTTTCATCATTTTTCAGTTTCACGTTTTCTTTTCTTGAATACAGTTTCACTGGAAAAAATCTAGATTGATTGTTGATATTTTTCGTGTCGACGAATAATTCGAAATGAATTTTAAATCTTCATTTTTAAAATATAAAATTGAAACGTGAAAATTTTGTCTGTGATTTGCTCATTTCCAAAAAAATGTTCTGAATCATTTTTCAATAGTTACGCTCCCAAAAAACTCACATTTTTCCATTGTACATTTTTTACAGAAACAGTTTGTTTTATTGTGGCAGTTTGTACAGATCATTCTTTTGTAGCTGAAAAAAATAAAATCAAAATTTAATTATGGGGCTATTCATGTATTTTCTCAGCATGTTGAGAAAACAGGAGAAATGCGGAGGAAATACATTTTCTCCGCTTTTTTCGTATTTTCTCAGCCTACCTGAATAGGTTTTCTCCGCTTTTCTCCCGTTTTCTCAGCGTTGAAAAATAACATGAATAGCCCCATTAGATAAATTATTATAAATTTGAAAAAAAATAATTGAAACTAACTTTATAGTTTTGGATATTTTTCTATTTTGAATCGAATCGATTTTGGTGACTACACCTGGCGGAGCAAATGCTTGATCAGTTGGGGAACCAATTCCATCAGATTGATGAATACCTCGATTTACTGAAAATTAATAAAACTGTTATATTTAATATAATGAGGCGATTCAGGTAGAAAAGCATGTTAAAAAACATCATTACGATAAAATGTTCAGTGTTATTTTCCGACATTTCACGAATCAATTTTTTTAAAAACAAATCTATGTTTTACACTAAAAATATTTGGTAAAACTTTAACTTTAACCAAATATTTTTACCCAAAACACTTCATAAACTTGACAAAAATATAAATGGCAGAAAGATTTCGCAATTGTTTTTTATATTTAATTTTTGAAACAGATGTGATGTATTTATATTTGCAAACAAAAAAGTTAGAGACGCACCTTTTATGGGTACTGTAGGTTGTGTGGAATGGCGGCGAATTCTATGAAAAACTATTGGCTCATTTGTTTTTGTTGGCGATTTATCCATTAATTGAAAATCATTTGATTGAATTTCTGGAAATTAAACATGCATAACAAAATAGTTTTCGAAAAAAATATGGAACTAAATATTTTTAAAAAAATGGTACATAAGCAAACAAGCAAGCAAAAACAAGTTCTTCCCAATTTAAAACAGCTGATCAGTTTGAGAAGGTCACGAGAAATGCGCCAGTATTGAGAACAGTTGACCCAAAAAATACTAAAATATAATATAATTAGTCAGAAGTAATGACTGATGTTAGTAAATGTAAACGAAAGCAAGTAAATTTGAAATTTTATTCACAACCTTACAGTTTTACAAAAATACTACAATAAAATTTAATTACATGATTTTTTGAGCAATTTTGGTAAGTATAAAAATAAATGGTTAAATAGTTTATGGAATTTCAAGTTTTTTTGACGACAAAAATTCTTCGAGCATAACTTCTTCTTGTTGAGATTTTGCTTGATCTTCAGGTCGACTGCGAAGAGCCGCTGAAAAATAATCATCGTATTCGATTTGGAAAAAAAGTTATAGAACAATCATAACGTTTTTAAAAGTATTATTATTTTTTGACGAACATTTTTTGAGCTCTATAACTTGAAAAGTACATACTTGCACTAAATTTTTTTAAAAATCTCGCTTCCCAGAAGACTATTTGAGCTTTTCAGCTAATTCCAACACCCCCCCTTTTTTTGAGTAAAATAAACTAACTTGTTAACATATTTGGTGAATCACATTCAATTTGAACAATTGTCGCAGCTGATCTTGCTTGTTGTCTAATCAAATCAACTTCTTCTTCAGTTCGAATAACTTGACAAAGTGCTTCTAAATATGTCATTGCTTGTTCAGTTTGATTACAAAATCGATGCAATTTTGTGATTTGGCTCGTAATTTCTCTTATCTTTTTATCGAATTCATTCGAATCTCGGATGAAATTATCGATTTCCATAACTGCATCCGCTTTTTCTTTGCACATCTGAACGTTTAACCTTTTTAAATTCAGACATTTTAGACTATTATTAATTTTTCTCACCTGTTGACATCTTCCCATTCTTGTGCTACATAAATTCGCCAATCTTCCACCTTCAGCTGAATTTTCCTCAATTTCGGCAATCATTCCTTGAAAATTGGTCAACAAATCATTTCCAGCTGCTGTATTCAACACTTCATTTATCGAATCACTTGAAACTCTGAAACTTGGAATTAATTATGTATTTGAATTTTACAAAAAGAAACTTGCATTTGCTGAGTTCCCCAAAGAAATGACATTTTAGTCGATAGAAAAGAATGAAATGAAACTTTTTGCAACAAAAAAGGGGAAAAGAGAGGAGAATTAGAGAAAAAGTGGAAGAATATGACGACAATTGGGTAAGCTTGGATTATTCAAATTTAAAAGAGAAATATTGGAAAAACACTTACTTTTGCTGTGCAACAATATTTCCAGTAACATTATTTCGTAATTTTTCAACTCCGCTGCTCAATTCAATTTGAACACTTGATAAAGTTTCACGTAATGAGCTCAACATTTCCATTCTGTTAAATTCCTGATATTATTATTTGAAAAAAAGAATGAACTTGAGATATAAAAAAAGCGAAGAGAACGCTTGAATCAATGAAAACAAAAAATAATCATAGTGAACACGATTTTATAAACACCCGTAAAAATAAATAACCATAAAATAAATCAAAAATAATCGCTATCCGAATCATCACTATTTGTTTTACTTTCGGCCGAATCCTGAAGAAGAGGAAGTTCGAGAATAGTTGAAGCATATGGACGAGAATGCATTGAAGATATCATTCGCTTCGAAAGATTTATTAAATCTTCATCAGTTCTTTCAGATCTCTTCAAAATGTATAAATATTTTTCAATACAAATAAAAAGATAACTTACAATAATTCTTGGTTCTTGTTCTTCTAAAATTTTTGCAACAATAAATGGATGTTCTCCATCAATATTCCATGGATAAATTCCACTAAACATCTCAATCACAATAACCCCAAAACTCCAAATATCACTTCTTCTTCCAGCTAATTCTTTTCCATTTGTCACTTCAGGCGCTGTGTATTTTGGAGTTCTTCCTTGTTGTCCAGATTTTGTTCGAAGTGTGTCGAATTTACTTGATCCGAAATCAGCAATTTTTATCAATCTTTCTTCGTGGGTGTTTTTCAGAAGAAGATTTGCAGGTTTCAAATCTTGATGAATTATATTTTTGTTGTGTAGAAAATCCAAACCCTCCGCAATCTAAAACTTTGCTTTTTTGGATAATTGAAATGCATTTTCAAAAGTTGTTTACCTGCTTTATATAACATTTCACAAGTTCATTATGAAGCGGTGCATTCTTTTCGATATAATCTTTCAATGAACCAGAATACATATATTCCATTAAAATATGAATTTCATTCGAATTTACAGGTTCAATTATATACATATATTCAACAATACGTTTATGATGAAGAAGTTCTGAAATGTTTGTTATTTATCAGTTTTGTAAAAAATTAATTCAAAAATACTCACTCAAATATTGTACATCTGCTTCTTGTGGTAGTTTTCGACCATTCTTCTGAATAATTTTAGCAGCATAGGTTCCACCTTTATTTCCTTCAGCAATATACACTTTTCCTAGAGTTCCTTCTCCTAATTTCTTTCCAATTTTATACTTTTTGGGCGCACTCATGAGTTTTTCAGAATATCTGCTCGTATTGCTTGGTACTCGATAGGATTTCCCGCATATTGTTCCATCATTACTCACTAGATCGATCTGAAAATTATATTTTTAGTTTATCTTTTTAAAAAGTTTCAAAATTTAAAAAGTTTCAAAATTTTTGAAATTTCAAAAAAAAAAAATAATGCAAAAACACAGTAATCTTATCAAGGTACACAATGATAATTGTGTGTTTCGTTGCGAGACATGTTAGATCTGCAGGGTTGCGCGCGTTTCATAATTTGTTCATTTGCAAATTTGAAATTTTCATTTTTCTAATTTTTCTCTCACTTTTCAAGGCAAGTTTCTCTGCTTAAGCGGCTACATGTTCTGTATTTGATTGACTTTTTCCTCAATAGAATCAATTTCAAAACTGGCATTTTCTATTTCACGCTATGAAAATAATTTTTCGGCGAAGAATTAATCAATTATTTAAGAAGCATTTTATTCACGTGAGTTGCATTTGTGGTGATCATTTTTAACATTTCTAAAATTTTTGCATAATGGAAAATCGCCCGCCTACAAATCTTACTTTCGTTAGTCCAATTAATAGTGAGTTTGTATCCATTTCATCGTGCACTTTAATAACTTTTCTTGTTTTAACCGCAACATTTTCATCCATTTCAACTTCATCGACTTTCTGAATCATTAATCGCAATACAAGCTTCCTTCCGTTGTGCTAAAAACTTGTCTGTGTGAACGACGGTAAAAAACGAGGGAAATTAACTTACTTTAATTGCCTCATCCAACGTTTTTTGTCCATCGACAACTTTCTGATATTCTCCGAAATCGTATAATATTGTATTTACATCGCCAATTTTTTCCCGTAATGTTTCGTAATTTTTAAAATTTCTAGTTAATACTTCAACTATTTTCACATTTTCTGAACACATTGTTTCTCGACTTCGATCGAATCATCACATTAAAAATAAAACTAGTTTATGAATCTATTTTTGGTCGTTTTCTGCGCAAAATGTTAAAAGAAGGCGAAGAATTTGAAGCTTAGAAAAACTCGTGAGCTGCGCTCAACGATTAACTCGCTTCGACTCACACAACCAGGTGCACTTTTTTAGAAGAGCACACATTTTATACAATGCGCCAGTCTTTATTATATTGACACGTTTGAAGGAAAATAGGAAACATTCAAAATTTTATATAAAAATGAAAATCAGAAATGTTTACACTTTGGATTGACAATTTTTCGTTTGCTATCACAAAAACAGACATTATATTTTCAAGAGGAAAGTGACCTTTAAAAGTTATTTATAAAATTACAACTAATTTTGGAAATTCCTCGAATTTTTTCATCGGTCTGAAGTTGTAAATTTGCAGTTTGATCAATCAACCGTTTTGTTCCTATCCTCAAAGAAAATACATAAATTTGTGAATAATTTGAAGAACGCAAATTAGTGCCAACCTTGAAAAGTTCATATAATATGTACTTATGACTGTTTCGGAGAAGTTGAGTGTCTGAGGTGTTTGGAAAAACAGTTAGACAGGAAGTTTGAAAAGGATTTAGATGAACTATCTAACATTTGCTTACCGAGTTCAATTTTTATTGAATAAGTATTTATTTGATATTTATTAGCAAGTCTTTTTGACCTTATGAGTCATAGTTGCTTTTTTCTTCTTTTCAAATCAATTTTCGAACATTACACAATCCTAAACTATAATCGAATGTTTGAATAATTATCATAAGTTTGTGTGTGTGTTTTTTCCTTCGTTCAATCGGTGGTTTTTCTTCGTTTTATTTAACACATTCCAACATAAATGCATAAGTGTCATCGTCTTTTGCTTAAAGTACCTCCTCGTTATGTTATGATCATTCTCGTTATCCTGATCTAATTTCGTAAAGAAAAAAGACAGGATTCATTTGTTTTGACTTTGTGTGTGTGTGTGAGGAAATATGACCTTGATATTACTTTGTGATAGGAGGTTCGTTTTGCACTTTGGGCGGAACTGCAACGTGGTTGAACGAATATAGACGAATACGACAGCTGTTGGAATGTGTTTTCTTATGTATGTATGCTTTCGTGTTTGGTTGTGAACACACAATTTTTTAAAAGTTTATGAGCACTATTTTGCTGAGATTCAGAAACATCTAACTTTTCAGACCTGTTTTCCATCGGGTTTTCTCAGAATGAGAATCTTTTTCATTCCGAGACTATTAAAATACAAATTGTTTACTTTTTGGAAAAAAAAAACTTCTTGCAAAACTGTTTATTAGCAAAATAATTTTTTTTTGCAAAAAAAGTAGAATAATTTTGAATCGAGTTTCAATTTGATATTTTCGAAAAAACACTTTAACTCGCAATATAAAATTAATCTGTGTGAAAAGTGTTTTGACTGGCAGCCATTCAATCAAAAATATATACAAATAGCAGCACCTCTTTCAATCATTTCTCTTCTTTTTCTTCTTCTTCTATTTTTTCCTCATTGGTGTCATTTAGTGATGGCGTTGTATTGTCTGTTCTGTTCTGTTCATTGCTGCATCCACCCACAGATGTTGCGCGTTCGTTTTGTTCTTTTTTCCCTCCTCTTCAGTTTTATTTCTTCTTCTTTTTTGCACGAAGAAAAGGTCCTTTTGGTATTCCGCAATGCCGCACCTTTTTTATTAGACTTATTATTTTATTGTTTTGATTCAATCGACCCTTGTTCTTTTTATTGAAAAAATTTTGTATCGTCTTGTTTTTGTTGTTGTAATAGGCCGGTGCTCTTTTTTATTTTCGTTGCCAGCCAGCCTTTTTGCACATTTTATTGTGGTTTTTCGACGAAATGATTTACAATGTGAGACTTTGAGAAATTTATTGGTTCTTTTTTCGAAAACATTCGAATGTTTCTATCTTCATTCTAATTAGGATTAGAAATAATTTTGGATTACGCATCATCGGATTAATAAATATGCGTCTGTTAAAGCTAACTTCAGAAGTTCAGAAAAAATTAACTTTTTTGAAAATTTTTAATGCCCTGGCAAAGTTGAAATAATCATGTTCTTAAATGACAGATTATTTGTCTGAATGTATTACTTGTGACTTTTGACATTTAAAAGTCAATTGTAGTTTAGTCAACAATGATCTCTGATTCATGAACTTTCTTCGTTTCCAGATCATTAAAATTTAAAAAAAGCGAATGTTCACCATATTTTTTAGCATTTTTTCAAAAAAATAAAATTCGTTATTTTCAAGAATTCAAACATCGCTTGATGTTGATTCTTTAAAATTTACATGAATCATTTTTTTTTCTCCCTGAATTCATTCGGAATAATTTTTCATTGATGGTTTACACGAATTTGAACGTTTTGGTCGAAAAAGTTCAATATGTTTGATCGAAATTTTAGTCAATGTGTGTGGGACACAAAAGCAGCAACAGTCAAAAAAAAAGAAAAGAAACGTATTGTAAATAGGAGAACAAACAGTTTGAATTGACCCTTGAGCGATTTAGTTGCCGTTAATTTTTCACGATTATGTATGTATGTATTCGCTTTTTGTGGAAAAAAAGAATGCGTTGAAAAGAGGCGTTTTTATCCTCTTCCAAATGACTTTTAATCGGAATCTTGTTGTCCATATTCGTTTTCATTACATTTTATATCGTGTATTATTTTAATCACTTTTAAATAGTCTTGTGATGAGAAACACCGAATTTTATCTGATCAAACGATAGTTCAGTCTTCGATTCGAAAGTTCCAGCTTTTTATTCTTTTTGTTTAAATTCAAGTCATAAATTAGTTCCGCCTGTTTTAAAGAAAAGTGAAATATCTGACCGATTTCTCATACTTTCCTCTCTGATACAAATTTGTTCCAGTTTCATGTTACCCACGAATAAGCTTAATTCTCAATTGTTCACTTTTTGTAACTAAAAATAGATAATCGTGCAAAACTTGACAATATTTGCTCAATCCTGAAACTTTTCTTTTTTTTTATGTTTCGTTGTTCAAAATGTTCAATCATCAACTGTAATTTTAGTATTTTTTCGTTGTTCAACTTGTCAATTGGGCTTATCGTCAAATATACGATTTTGAAGAATTCTGTTCATAATAGAAATGTTTTCCAATGACATACGTAAATATTTGTATAAATGTTCGTTTAACACATACAAGAATCATGCTTGTTTATTAATAATATTATTATTTTTGTTGTTGTTTTCGTTTCGTTTGAAAAATGAAATGAGATGACCAAAAAAACTATCTTATTGTATTTGAACAGCTCTCACAAATAAGCATGTCCTACATTAATTTGTTTTTTTAATATATATTTTTTATGTGTGGGAAAATATGCTTATTTTACTGTACTGTGTCTGTAAGAATGGATGAGAAAAGGAACTTGTCTGAAACTATTTTACAACATGACAACTTTCTCAATTTTTCATCGCTTTTGTCAGTTACAATGTTTTATTACCTTGTTCTACAATTTGTTAAGAAAACATATTTCGAGGTCATTTGAAAAAAAAAACAACAAAGAAGCTAACACTGATGTGAGGGTCATCTTTAGATCATTGAACTATTTCCGATTTTTTTGCACATATAATCAAAGGTTAATTTAGAATCGTTTATAGTGAAATTTTTTGGGTTCCCAAAGCATTTGAAAATTTTGAAACACTATTTGGTACACAATTTTTCTTCAAACTGTCCACTTCATTCTAAATTTCTGGAGATCGGGTATTTTTTCGAAAACTCACGAGTTCTAATTTATTCTCATTCTCTTGATATATAAATTGTGACTTATAGCAACTTCAAGAATATCTATAATAATATTCATTTTTTTTCATTATAATTTTAGCGCAAGCCAAGACCTTCTAAGATTGCTATCTCATTTACATGACCTCAAAGTAGTATTATTATCTCGGCACATTGTGTCTATCCGGTTTTTTTCTCACCTACAAAAATATTTGTCGGTTTTTGTTAAATAAAAAATACAAAGATTAGGTTTCATTTAGCATTTAGCAATGTTTTATTTGAACCGTTTATAATGAACGAGTTTTGGCAAGCTTATCTTTTTATTTCACGATTCGTCGATCGCCTCGAACAAGACCCTATAGTTATTATGATTATCATCATCTTCGTCATTATTTTATATATATATATATATATTATGCTTTATATTGTTTTTTAGTTGTGGTAACTCTCACTTTGTTCGTGCAGAAATAGTTTATTTTAAATTGACGTGAATTTGTTTATTGGAATTCGAGGGGGGACATGTCTCCTGTTTTTTTTCTTTTTTATCGAATTCGGGGAACTGAGAAATGATTCGAGAATTTGTCGAAATCACAATTTCATTTTCTGAAAAAGGTCTTCGATTTTTTTTGTAGAACAATTTTGTGCTTTTTTTTGTTATTAAAATAGACATCTGTTCAAATTCCATTAACCTTCCGTCTTTTTTCATTCTTTCCAATCCAATCATTTTTTGGTACTATCTTGTTACATCGATATAATTAGATGGTTATTTCTTTAAGTATTTCATTTTGCTTATTCGTTTTGACCTTCCCACCATTTCGCCATTTTCGGTTCGCTTCTTTTTTCACCTTTTTGTTCTGTTTTTTTCTTCGCCATTGTGAGCAAATAACAGTAAAAATCAAAGGTTGAATACCATCTAATAATATTTGTTCCAAGTTGTAAACCTCCAATTTTTTACACTTTTATTATTTCATGTGATTGTTATTGAGAAGAGGCATGTGATAATTTCACACCGAGACTTGACAAAAATAACATTTGACCTTGATTGAATTGAATTCCACAAAAACTTAAAATCAGCTGAAATTTTATATCAACTAACTTTTTTGTTTTAGAAAAAAGTGGTCTACGGGGAAGTTCTAGCTGATTATTACACTTTTTCACTTGCCCTTTTTGTTTTGTTTCAGATCCAATCTTAGACATTGATATGATTACTTTCACTGTGGTTCCATTCCAAATGATGAAAAATTCCAGTTGGGTTAGTCATTGAGGTTAATATTTTCTTCTTTTTCACTAACTACTCATAAAACCGTAACGGACACATGTTATAAATGAGTGGAGAAAACAAGTACTTTTTTGTTGAAAAAATAAAACACTATTATTCATTTATTTCGAAAGAACTTTCAGTTGGAATATTTTTGAGACGAGATTATTTTCAACAATAATTTTCACTGACAATGTTAATTCTCTAACAATGGAATTTTTTGGAAAATTATTCACCTTTAAGTTTTAGGCCCATATTTTCCTATTGTTAAATATTCCTTAATTATTTTTTAAGTGATTCCAAAATTATTCCTTATAAATTTATTTTTAAATAAATTTTGATATATATTTTTTCACTGTGAAGTTGAAAATATTTCTCGCGCGTTTCATTGTTTTTTATCATCAATTAAATAATTGATAACATTTTCATTTCAAATATCTTACATATTGCAACTTCTTATTTCATGTTGATTTTGCACCCGTTTGACACAATTATTTTGTAATTTTCTCGCTCTCATCTATCGTCTCTTTTTCTTTTTTTCATTTCTTTCATGTTTTTTATCTGCATTCTATCATCTTGTCGGTTTTTTTGTCTGTCTCGGGGATAACATTGATTTTTTTGCAATTTTTAAAACTCCATGAGTTTCGAAAAATAATTTTTGTTGATTAATTTTAAAAAAATGAAACTTTTTCTAATTTTTTTTGGAATTTCAATTTTTGGAGATACGTACTGTTCCTTTTTTCGTAATCATCGCTTGTCACACTTAATCAAATTAACTTTTTTTCTTCTTCATTTCGGCGGGTGAAAGCTTTAATCCATGAAAAAATTGTGGCGATAAGAGAAATTGTGTAACCGTGACTTATAAAAAGTTTTTTTTCAATTTTCTTGGTCGTTTCTAAAACGCATATCAAACAATATTTTATTTGATTTTTCACAACCAGTTTCAATATTTTTGAACCAAGCCAACCGAAATTTCGGTTGACACCACTTGTCCATCTAAAAATCGAAATGAGTGACCAAAAATGGAAAACAATTAGGCGGAGGAAAAAGGGGCAAACCAGTTCGCGAACTTTCAAGTACTCTACCATTTTTTTTTGACAAAAAATTTGCTATTAATAAAATATATGGCAAATTAGAGAAGTGAAAAATTTTGTCTATATAAAAGACTTGTAACATTGCAATGACCTACTGATCTCACTCACCACTCGGTTTCCTTTTCTTTTTTTTCACAATTTATTTTTATCGGATAAAAAAGTTTTTTCAAATAGGCCATTCCAAAACTTTTAAATTTTTTTAGGACCTTTATTACAATAAAAAGGTTTGATCTAATAGAATCTAGAAACCTTGCTCTTTGCTCTGCTGTAACGTTTTATTTAAATTTTTCTGATCTTAAACTCTCTTTTCTTTTAAAGCTCCCATTTAAAATGTTGGCGCCATTTTTCTCGATCATCTTTTTTTTTCGATTTCTCACATTCAATAGACAATCATAAATCTTGCAAGAATTTATAATAAATTGATGTTTCAGTTTGCTCACATATCAATCAATCACTTCATTTTTTGTTGTCTTGAATATCTCTTTTCTGTCATCATCTGGAATGAATCAGCATTGAAAAAAATCTAGCCAGTGCTGCCATCTTCACTTTTTTATGAAGTCGATTGAAGTCAACATTTTGTTATTGTTGTTGTTATCTTTTAAAAATAGCTCATTTTTGAAACGACGGAAATAATATTCATACTAAACTATTAGATATTTTTATTGATGGATATGAGATTGGTAAGTTTGAAGAAATCCTTTGTTTTCTCTCGACATACTTTAAAAAATATATAATTACTAAAATTAATTTTTTGCAGAGGGGTGGTTGGAGGATGCTATTCTCTCGATCTTTTACTACTATACTTATCGGAATTTTATTTGGATTTACAGCTACGTAAGTTGACAATTAACGTGAGTTACATTTTTTGAAATCTGAAATATTTCAGTTACTACTCAACTACACTTAAATCGCTAACAGAACCAATTCGATGTGATCCTTCTTTTTATCAATCATCAAAATCATCTTCAGAATTTGATATAATTTCACGGATAGCAGATCAAGATGTTTTTACACGTTCACAAAGTTTACCGGGTCATCGAAGGGGTCTTATTTTAGTTGCAATTATGACTGCTGCCAAGTATGTTGATACTCGAGCTTATAATGTTTGGAAAACTTGGGCTCAACATATTCCGGGAAAAGTATTGATATTTGTTGCTGAAGGAACACAAACAATTCATGAAGATATGCCAGTTATTAGATTGAAAGGTGTTGATGACACGTATCCACCACAGAAAAAGAGTTTTGCTATGGTTAAATGGTTGGCTGAAAATATGGTTCGTATCTTCTTTTTTCGAAAAATTTTAAAGTAATATTTATTATTTATTAGGCTGATGAATATGATTGGTTTCTTCGAGCAGATGATGATCTTTATATTCGTGGTGAAGAATTGGCTGCATTTTTGCGATCAGTTGATTCATCTCGAGCTCATGTAATTGGACAAGCTGGTCTTGGAAATAGTGCAGAATATGGACTTCTTGCACTTGGATCAACTGATAATTATTGTATGGGTGGACCTGGAATTGTTATGAGTCGAGCTACACTTTTGTAAGTGATTTTTTTGTTTAAAATTTGTTTCGAAAACAAATGATTGAACATTTCAGAAAAGTATCACCACATTTGGAATCTTGCCTTCAACATATGTTGACTTCTCATGAAGATGTCGAACTTGGTCGTTGTATTCGAAAACATGTTGGTGTTGCTTGCACTTGGAATTATGAAATGCAAAAATTATTCCATAATAATCAATCTGCAATTAAAGAATCGTATGCGAAAAACATGAAAGAATTGAAAGATGCAATTACTCTTCATCCAATAAAAGATCCAGCTGTTATGAGAAAAGTGCATCTTCGAAATCGCGAATTCAAACTTCGAGAATCTCGTGCTCGTCGAGCTGCACTTCATGATGAATTATCTTTTGCCAAAAAAGCAACATTGATTCGAATGACACCAAATCGAACAAATGATTTAACACCTTGGGAATATATCAATAACAATAAGATTCTTTTCTGTTCAGATCGTGTTAATTGTCCACGTCATACTGTTGATTTGAGTATTCGAACTGAAATGTCTGATATTATTACACAGGTAAGTTATAAAATTAGCATAAAGATTATCAAATTTATTATTTTTGCAGCTTTTCGATGAATTCAATTTAAATGCTCGTCAACGCGGCCGTGTTTTACAATTTCAAAGTCTTCAATATGGTTATATGAGAGTAGAACCTACAAAAGGAGTTGATTATGTTTTGGATATGATTCTTTGGTTCAAAAAATTCCGTCCGCCACATCGAACAACTTTATCTGTTAGAAGACATGCTTATGTTCAACAAACATTTGGAAAATTACGAACTTTGCCGGAAATCACTTTTAGGTAATTTTTGGATATATGAGAGAAGTTTGGACAGAAACAAAAAAATTATAATTTTAAATTTTTTTGAAATTCCTTGGAAATCTAGAAAAATTCTTCACGGAAATTTGCGAATCTTCTGTTTCAAATGTACAAAATTAAAAAAATTCCAGATCAAATATTCGTGCGAATTCGTCACTTATTGAAGATCCAACAATTCATATGATAATGCCACTTCGCGGAAGAGCAGCTATATTTTCTCGTTTTGCCGAACATTTGAAAAGTATTTGTGCGAGAAGTGGAGATGATTTGCATATTTCACTCACAATTGTTCTTTATTCAAGTGAAGATGAAGCACAAAATCGGTAAGATATTTTACCTTAAAACTATGGGAATACTTCATTCAGCGACTGAAATTACATAACCTGAAACTTGTTACCTTGTGATCAATATTCTAGAAATCCACAAATATTTTTTTTCCAGCGAAACAATCGATATGTTACGTGAAAGTATGATTCCGGTTACATTAATTGAAATGGGTGATATTGCTTTTTCTCGTGGAATTGCACTTATGAAAGGAGCTGCCACTCTTCCACATAATTCACTTTTATTTTTTACTGATGTTGATATGTTATTCACTTGTGATGCTTTGAGACGAATCAAATTAAACACCATATTAAATGCCCAGGTATTTTTTATTTTCTTAAAGTTTCTCATGTTTATTCTTAATTTTTTCAGATATATTTCCCAATTGTATTTTCGGAATTTTCACACGAAAGTTGGTCTGAAAATGATAAACTTTTGGCTGATGCTTTCCACTATGGAAGAAGACGTGGTTATTTCCGAAACTTTGGTTATGGCCTTGCTGCAATGTATAAATCAGATTTGATGTCAATCGGAGGATTTGACACAAAAATCGAAGGATGGGGAAAAGAAGATGTGGATCTTTTTGAGAAGGTAAACTTTTTTGGGTTTTCGAAATTTCAGGGTCGAAAAATAGTTTTTGAAACAATTTGCAACTTTTCTAACTGCAAATTGACAAAAATTGAATTTTTAATAATAAATTTGTTCTGTTTTCGGATCATTATATTTTTGAGCCCTTTTGAAAGCAGCAATTTTCCTCGAAATGTCTTTTCAAAAATTTATCTTTTTACTGATGAATTTTATAATTTATCAGAGTCCCTGATTTTCTGTATAAATCCTTTTTCCAAAATAAATTGTATTTAGGCGATAAAATCTGGAAATCTTCGAGTTATCCGAACACCCGAACCAGGTTTGGTGCACATTTATCATCCAATACATTGCGATGAAAATATGCCTGCGGCACAAAAAGACATGTGTCATGGTTCAAAAGCAGCAAGTTTGGCTTCGATTGATACGTTGGTAGATCAAATTGCTCAATACACATAGGTTCTTTATTTTTCTCACCAAATATTTATTATTATTATCATTATTACTATTTCTTTCATGACATCTCTGGAATTTATCGGGTTCGCTATAATTTTCCATCTGTGAAAATAATTTAGTCCGGTTATTGTTTTTATCATTGCCTTTTTGCCATTTTCCCCAATATTTTCTTGCCTTTCTAATTTTTAATATATTTTTTCGAAACATATCCGACGAGTTCAGTATTAGGCTGATCAATCGAAATAATAGAGATTTCTCTTTTTTTCACTTATTTATATTGCATGCTTTACCTTTTTTCTTTGTCAAATACATTTACAAACTAAATTATATGCTTTAATGCCATTTTCGGTGCTTCAATAAATTTGTGACAAATTTTTATGTTCGATAGTCACAATGGATAATAATGATCAATTATTTACAGACATGCCTGTAGATTATTCACACGTAATAAATGATAAACCGCAATAAAAAGAGATCAATGAGCATTTCGGATTCTGAGATTACCAACAGATGAAGATCGACGACGCAAATGAGCACGACGTTTTTCAGCATCAATCAATGCCATTTCGCGAACATCTGGACGAAGATTCCAACGATGACGACAAAGTGGACAAGCAGGAATTGCAGCTGATGAATAAGCTGATGAATGCCAAGTATTGACACATCTGAAAAAATTTATTGATTTATGAAAGTTCACAAAGAAAAATAGTAGACAAGAAATTTTTTTTAGATGTTCTCTCTCATTTCAAAATTAGAGAAAAAGTTCATTCTACGATCTCCTCTGATTGAAAATATTTAAAACTTACGCTCTACACCCGATCAATTGTTTACATTTGTTACATCCAGTTGGAAGAGCTGGTTCTTCAAAACATAAAGTGCATTCGCCATATTGACCATCTCTGAAGTAATTATTTCGTTTCACAAATAAAAATAAATTGATTTACCTTGGAACATTAACAGCTGGTGTATTCAAAGTATTTTGAAGTGTTCTTATTCCAGCTCTTTGAAAAGGACGACCAAAAAATGGAGGCGCATTCAATGTATTCTAAAAATATATTATTTTATTCCTAAAATATATTACTTTATTTGATCTTACTCTTTGCGCAACTCTAAGTCTTTCATGAATATTCGCCATTTGTTCAGCGAAATTTTCAATCTCACGGGGTACTCCTTCCTCTTCATCCGAACTACTTGTTGCTACAGCATTTCCTTCTCTAACTTCATTGTCATCGTCATTATCAGAAGACAACGAACTGTCTGAATCCTCACTTTCTTCCTCATCGTTGTCTTCATCACTCGAAGCTCCAATAGTTCTAAAAAAATAATACAAATAAATCTGAAATTATCAATGAATAGCTTACACTATGTCACCAGTTCTTCGTTGGGTGTCTAAATCTAAACGAATTCTTCTTCTTTGAGCATCTGGTTCTCCTTGAGCACGAGCTCCTACAGCATTATTTGGTCTTCTTCTTGTTGCTGTTGGTCGAGGTATGATATGATTAAGTATATCAATTTCTTCATTTATTTCCTCAATATTTCTAAAATTCGCAGGAATCTGTGGTTGAGCCGGGACTTCGTTTAAGATTCTAGCTGAAAACAAACAAACAAATATTTTATCAAAAAAGTATAAAAACTAACCAATCTCAGCTGGAGATAATGCCGGTTCAGCTCTTTCTTCAGCTTCTCTTTGTTGCAATGTTCTGGCCATTTCAGCATCTTTGCGTTCTTGTTCGATGCGAAGAAAAGCTGCTCTGAAATTCAAACAAAATTGAGATCTCAAAAAAACCTTCTATAATAATTACCGTTGTAAAATGAGTTCTTCGGGTGAGAGATCCATGTGTGCGAAATATCTAAAAATGAGTTGAATCATTTTTTAATGAGGACAAGAAATAAATAAATAGACACTGGTTTGCAAACCATTTCAAAATCCATTTTCAAAAAAAATTAAAACCGTATTTCATTAAATAATTAAAACATGAAACGTTGAAGTGAGCCAGGCTCATTTGACCAGATAAAAGGCTTGAAAAGGAATAGATACATAACACCCGAAAAAATGCAAATATTGGATAACAATTCGATGTAAATTGAAATCTTGGAAGAATTTGAAGAAGAAGAAGAAAGTCGCCAAACAGTAAAAGGAATAATATAATAACGCATTTCGAATAAATGAGCAGGAACTAAAACTAAAAATGAAGCAAACAAAAATAAAATATGGAAAATTGGATGAATTTTAGAAGTTGAATAACTCATAAAATATATTGAAAACAGATAAATTGGAGATAAAGAAAGTCGAATTGGTGGTTTTGAGAGAAATCTTTGCCAGATATAAAATGTAAAATGTCGATTATCAGCAATAAGATAAGGATGATCAAATGAAAAATAATGAATACCCAAACCGATTAGTGAAATAAGAATAAACGATTTGAGATTGAGAAGCTTTTTGGAAATATTGAAAAGATTATTGAGAACATTCGGCCACGAATGAAAAGCACAAAAAGCGAACATATAAAAGAATTGAGCCAAATGAAATTTAGGTTGATGAGCTTTGGCATCTCCCAAAACAATTTGATAATTATTCCAATATATAAATGTTGCAAATGAAAGTGCGAGAAATTCGAACGGCCAAAGATCTAACAACGATTGGAATATTGACCAGAACTTATGTTTCTTGTTGAAATGCGTGAATAAATATCCAATTCCATAAATTGCTGCCCAAATAATATTTGTTTGTCGACACAAACAGGCTAATGTGAAGAAAAATGCAGATGGTATTGGAGATCTGAAAATATCAATCTCAACGTTTTCAGATACCCTTTTCAAACCTTACCTTATCGAAAATCCCCAAATGACAGTGATCAAAGACAATAAATCGGTATAAAAGAGAACGGAAGATTGTAATAGAATTGGCAAACATCCAACAACACTTGCAGTCAGCCAAACATCATCCTGAAAATGATATTTTGGGATTTATCAGAAGAATGAGATGAATACAAACCCGTGAGAACATTCGACGGAATCGACAAAATGCTGGAATTGCGAAAAACATTAGAATCGAATTAACATAACGTTCATATCCACAAAATGGAATTGATAAAATATAAAGTGCTGGTGGAGTTGTTATCATTGGATTCCATTCATATTTTCCAGCACAATATGATCTTGTTTGTCCTAAATCGAAAAACATTAGTTTTTTGCATACAAAAAATGAATATAACTCACCAATATGAAAAATTTCATCCATATATGGATCTGGAACATAATGATAAACAATTGTTGTTAGAAGAACATGAATACTTGAAAATAGAGCACCAAGGATGAAATCAGCTGAAAACAATATTTAATTATTCAAGAATAACAATGAATTTCAAACTTACATTTCCGAGTTTGAGGTGAAAACGGCAATTTTATTCGATCTTCCAACATTTTTTGCCAACAAACAAATAAAAAACACCTCGATTTGAAATATTCAAACAAAGACTGTGCATGCACCGAAAAGGACGCAAAAGTGCACAGAAAAGGGCGGAGGTTATTCGAAAAATTGAATTTTGTGTGTCCTCGGGGACGAGACACAACTGGATGAGTGAGTGAGTGACAAGAGATTTTTATCGAGAAAAATTTGATTTCTCCTTTTTTCGGTGTCATTTTTACACTCTTGCGTGGAAGTTTTTTCAACTGTTGTTTTTTCATTTTTTTGAAACAAGATTTTTTAACTGAAAACTTCATATGAATTATTGAATAAATTCGAGTATGAAAATAAAATGAAAAACTTAATCTATTTTGTAACTTGATGAAGAGCGTGAGCGAGATATCCGACATTTGATAAATTGATTCCAGCAACTGAAATGCGTCCATCTTTTGTGAGATAAATTGAATGTTCGTTGATAAGTTTGTCAACTTGTTGAGGTGTGATACCAGTATAGCAGAACATTCCAATTTGATTTGTAATATGTTCCCAGTTTTTGACAGATCCTTCTTTTATCAACAGATTTTTCAATTCCGATCTCATAGCGATAATTCGATCAGCCATTAATTTGACATCAGAAAGCCATTGATTGTATAATTGAGAATCAGAAAGGATTCTCGAAGCAATTCTAGCACCATGAACTGGCGGATTCGAATAAATTGGACGAATTATGATTTTTATTTGTGATGCAACTCTCGCAGCTTCTTCTGGATCTGATGTAACAACTGAGAATGCACCAACTCTTTCACCATATAATCCCATATTTTTGGCGAATGATTGTGAAACCACAATATTATGTCCTTGTTCAACAAAATATCGAACAGCAAATGCATCATTTTCCACATTTCCTGAAGCAAATCCTTGATAAGCCATGTCGAAAAAGACGAAAAGATTTCGAGATTTGACAATTTCCGATATTTTCTTCCACTGCTCTTGTGATGGATCAACACCAGTTGGATTATGAGCACAAGCATGGAAAAGAATTGTTGAACCTTCTGGAATATTTGAAATATCCTCAAGTGCTCCATTTTCATCGAATCCACATGTTGATTTATCATAATATCTATAGTTCTTCACTTCCATTCCAGTACATTTGAAAATTGGAACATGATTTCCCCAAGTTGGAGTTGGTTGATAAATTGTTTTTGATTTAGCATATTTCGCCAAAAATTCCGATCCAATTCTCAATGCTCCAGTTCCACTAATACTTTGGGTAGTGAAAACTCGTTGAGATTTAATAACTTCACTATTTTCTCCAAAAGCCAAAGTAGCAGCAAGTTTTGTGAATTCTGGCAATCCAGTGATTCCTGCATATTCTTTATCAAGATTTTCAGCCATTATTCGTTTCTCAGCTTCTCTAACAGATGGTAAAACAAATGGTTTTCCTTGATCATCTCGATATGCACCAACTCCAAGATTGATTTTCTTCGGATTTTTATCAGCTCTGTATGCTTCAGTAACTCCGAGAATCGCATCAGGTGGACCCATTTCAATGTGTGACCACCATGATTGACAACGAATTGTACTTGACAAAATCTTGTTTGGTAGACTCATTTGTGAAGAGAGAAGGATTGTTTACCTGAAATAAATGATATAAGTTTCATAATTTTTGAGAAAAAATCAAAGTAAAAACTCAAAATTAGTCGATAATTTCCTAAATTTTCCAATTATCTCACCTCTTACTAATTCTATGAAAACGAAAACCTAGAAATGCTTCTTATCGAAACAATTTAAATTCCACGTTTGTTTTTTACTTTTTCTAAATTCACGTTTCCGTCTTATCGTCTCTCAAAATTTTTCCAACTGTTTGGAAACCCTGACATTTTTCGTTATTTTTAAATTCGATTTTTCTTTGTACATACACTGTTACGTTAATTATTTCATATTTCCTCTCTATGAATAAATTAATAATAGTCCATTCTTTTATTTTCCTCCTCATTTTCAAATTAGAAAGAGAATAGTGAAAATGAGGGCTCAAGAGACAAACTGCGAGGAGAAGAAGAGCACTCAATCATTCGTCCACACTGGGTTCGAAACAACACACAACATTGGGAGAAGAGACAAAAACCGATCCATCTAACACCTCCTCCAAATACCACCCCATTGGTTTTCATGTCTTTTCTTATACTTATTGATTTATAATGTGCTTTCGTTAAAACTTAAAGTTATATATATTTTTTAAAAAAACACGAAATGTTTTTTCTACGACTCAACTGTTATTTTTTCCAATGTCTGTTGTTCTTATTTATGACCTCGTTAAATGACCGCTTGTATTATTTATTACTCTAGATTTCTTGAAAGATTTGTTTAAAGTTTGGAAACAACTAGGGTGTTTGTAACGGTTACTGTCATTGTCACAAAAGACCACAGCGTCTGTTCGTTTTTATAGTCATGTCATAAAAGTGAAGTACTAGGCTTATTTGTAATTTATGGGCTATTTTGCAGGAATACTAAAATGTTTCGGAAAATACTAAAACTTTAGGAATCGAAATAAGAGTTTTCTACCACTTTTGTCGAACAACAAATATGCCACGATAAAAATTGTTGACACCTGGATTAAGATTGTGAAACACGCTTTTTTCCAATGCACAGCTGCATTTCTATAATTCCTCCATTGAACCGTGTCTAATGGTTCCTTGTTGATGTTATAATAACAATCGACCTTACAACACTTTTAGTATTGTTAATAAGTATTAAAAACGTGCAATGAAAAGTTTTGTTATCGGTCGATTTGATCATACAATCTGTCCTTCTTTCTATTTCTCTCCTCTCTTCAGCTCATTTATTTTTGACGCTTTTCGCCTCGTTTTTTTGTCTCAAATAAATTTATGTTATGGCTACAAATCAATTTTAATGGATTTTTAATTGGAAAAAAAACTTTTTGTTTATTTTCGCAATGTCTTCTAGTCTAAATGTAAAAATGACAATTAATTAAAAAATTACACAACTGGCGATTAATCTACTCTTTTACACCAAAACATATATGTTGCATGTTGAAAGACGATCATTCGCGATTCTTCGCGCAGTCATATAGCAGGTGTTGAGCAATCATAGTGACCCAATGTGTTTTAGAGAGTGTATTAATTGGAGAGACATCAGTTAATGAAAGAAAAAGATGTGACCATATTATGTGCTAAGCACATCGTTTCGTCTGATTTATTACTACGCTTTTGTATTTATTCGTTTTTTTACTAAAGCCACGTCGTGCCACCACACAAATTCGAGGAGACGCAGACATTCATTTTAGGTTAGAAAGTCGCTGCGAGACCTCAACACATCAAACGGCGATGCCGCTGAGTTATATAAACGCAGCGACAGACGAAAAACCGGCGCGGCCAAGCGCTATGTTTTGTGTGTGTCTGCTTGTCTGCTGTCTCTGCGAACAGTGCAATATATCGCCCTAGGGGGAAGGAAAGGCGAGAGATGTCTCTGCCTGTGTTAAAAGTCTGCGTCTCCCAGAAATTTGATTTTTGTATCGGCTGGCATAGCGTGAAAGTAACCTAATTTTCTCCTAAAAATTTCATTTTTCTAACCCTAACTGTTCTACCGACTAATTTAAAACAAAGGAAACGTAGAAAAATATTTCAATTTACAATTCGAAAAAATGGTGAACAAAGAATTCTTTCTAGAAATGAAAACCAACGTCAAAACAAAAAAAAACATTCTGAAATTTCGAATTGCCAAATTTGGCCGCACAAATAAAAGTGTGCGGCAATTTTGCATGTTTCAAATTTTTGCTCATTTCTCCCCGCCAAACATGTCTATTTTCAAAAGTTTATTTTTTTTCTTTTCAAAAAAAGCATTTTAAAAACTTCATATTTTGCAGAACTAATATCGATTAACCCAGTATTATGCAATGAATATGATTCAGCTATTTTTATCTATAATCCTAGTATCTTTAGGAGATGCCCAACAGGTTAGTAAATTATTCGCGGATGTAATTATAAAATAATTTGTATTGTTATAGAGTAGATTATCTTCGACATCAATTTCTTCAATGGGATTACAATCGAATAAGAAATGCGAGCCAATTACTATTCCAATGTGCAAAACACTAGATTATAATATGACAGTTTTTCCAAATTTATTGGGACATACATCACAAACGGAAGCCAATCCAGCAATTTCACAATTTAATCCACTAATAAAAGTAAGAACTTTGAGAATTGAATCCTCATTTCATTTTATTTTTAAAGGTAAAATGTTCGGAAGATATTCGACTATTTTTATGTACAGTTTATGCCCCAGTTTGTACAGTTCTTGAAAAACCAATTCAACCATGTCGAGATCTTTGTCTATCAGCAAAAAATGGCTGCGAATCTTTGATGAAAAAATTCGGTTTTCAATGGCCCGATCAATTAGATTGTAATAAATTTCCAGTCACTGATCTATGTGTTGGAAAAAATTCATCTGATTCTTCAAGCGGAATGAATAATCGAAAAACGAATTCAAATGATATCTCAATTGGACCATTAAGTGGATCAACAAGAATATTACCAGTTGGATTATGTCCACAACAAATGCATACAACTACAGGTTCACATTTTTATTTACCAACTCTGAGTGGAAAATTACCAGAATGTAGTTTGAAATGTGAAGCGGATAATTTGGTTAGTTACATTTTTCGGCATCATATTTAAATATAGAAATATCAATTTTAGGTGCCAATGTTATTCAACAGCCGTGTTCGAAGAATTCTTCGAATTTGGACAGCAGCTTGGTCTGTTGCTTGTTGTGTCTGTTCACTTTTCACATTACTCACATTTCTTGTTGATCTCACTCGTTTCGCTTATCCAGTTCGACCAATTTTATATTTGGCATTTTGTTATTTGGCTATTTCAACAGTTTATATGATTGGAGTTGTTGGCGAAGATCGTTTTGCTTGTGGTTCTTATGGTGGAACACCAGTTGAATTAGTAACACAAGGAGGTGAAAATGTTGCATGCAGTGCATTGGCGGTCACACATTATTATTTCTTTATGGCTAGTTGTTCATGGTAAGTTGAATATTTACATTAAATATTAATGGTGTGAAGCGGTTTCTCTATAGATCATTGGAAAACCTCATTTTACTAAATTAGGAACGAATCTAAAATTAAAACAGAAAATAGTTATCGGGAAATCCGTTTTCCTTTTTAATATTTCATTCAAAAATGAAAAAAAAAGTTCACTTTTAATATTTTTTGTGAGTGAAAGGGTATTTTTCTTGAACGAATGTATCAAACGTTTTGTGATCACAATATTTTCTATTATAAATTCGTAAAAATATTGGAAAATAAACAAAATGGTTGAGAAAATCACATTTTCCAAATGTAAAAATGATTCGTTGCAAATCGATGACAGAGAAATCATCGAAAAATCAATACCCTCCTTCTAATTTGTTTGAATAAAAATTAATTTTTTAAACTGAAAACGTATCCTATTTTTAGGCATCTTTTTTTTCAAAAACCTTCCTTGTTTCTCCCATGAAAAGCTAACAGCAATATTTTTCAGGTGGTTAATCCTTTGCCTCGCTTGGTTTTTAGCTGCAAATTTGAAATGGGGTGCTGAATCAATTGCTGCACTTTCAACATATTTCCATGCTTTTTGTTGGGGAATTCCAGCTATTCTTTCGGTTGCTGTTCTCGTTACAAATTCAATTGATGGCGATGTTTTCACTGGAATTTGCTCGGTTGGAAATTTGAATCCTCAAGCTCTTATTTATTTTTTCTTCACTCCATTGGTTGTTTCACTTGCACTTGGAACTGTTTTATTGATTTGTGGAATTTGGTCGATGATTCGAATTCGAAGTTATATTAAATTACAACACGCTGATGTTGAAAGAAATATTAGTAAATTGGAAAAACTAATGCTTCGGTATGAAATATTTGAGTTTTGAAAAATAATAATTTTTGATTTTTCAGAATTGGTGCATTTGCAATAATGTATTTATTACCAACAGCAATGAATGCATCAATTATTTGGTATCAAGCAACAAATTTACCTGGTTGGATTGAAGGATGGATTCATCATCGATGTATTCGACCTTCGGATCGAGATAGTTTTGGATTTTTATATCCAATTGAAGAATGTTCACCGGATCCTGGTATTAATGCACCAGAATTGGTTGTGTTTTTTATGAAGTAAGTTTTTTCTAAACATTTTGGTCCGAAAATGGTTTCTAAGAAAAAATGGGTTCGCAAATAACAAAATAATTTACAGATATGTTTCACAACTTGTAGTTGGAATAACTTGCGCAATTTGGGTTGTAAGTTCAAAAACATTATCAAGTTATCACAAAGCATATTTGGCATTATCAATGAGACCACCAACTAATAATGATCAAGTTAATCTTCGATAATACTCACTTAATTCCTTTTAAAAATACTCATTTCATTTTGAAACGTTGCTCAAAAACTTTTTCTTCCCTCAAAAATGATTCGGCTAACAACTAAACCCATTTTTCCCTCTTTTTTCAAACAAGCCTCCAGAGAAACATTCATCTTTTCAATTTTTTCTGCGAAAAAAGGAGAACTTTTTGATGTTTCGTTTCAAAACTCAGTCTAACCCATTTCCTCGATCTCTCAATTTCATTGTTTTTTCGTGTATTATTCGCTTTTTTGCCCGGCTCCAAACATGGTTCTTTTTTTTGCTTATACAGGGTTTTTACTGAATATTTTGCATATTATTTTTTTATTTATATATTTTGCAAAGAAAAAAATGGTCAATAATAAAAATCATGAAAATCTTTGAGAATACTTTTTGAAAGACAACAAGCAAAACAAACTCCGATCAGTTGAACAGCGGCTAAAATTGCACAAATTCCACCAACTAATTGGCCATTTGTTATTGTCCATGCTGGAAAAAAGAGAGGGTTATCAAAATTATAATATTTTGATTTCAATTATACCTTGAACATTTTCAATACATCCTTTTGAATAAACTGGAACATTTGAGCTAATACAACCTTCGTAATAATTTGTGCAACATGATTCGGGAATATTTCCATACGGAATCCAATCTGTCGAATTCACAATTCCACAACATTGGAAAAACTGAAAAATTATTAGAATTTCAGATTTTTTTTCAGAAAAAAACCAACTTTTTGTGTAGAATCCCATGCCCTTTTGACTCCATAATTTTCCGAATTATAATATTTCAGCCCATTTTCCAGTGATCCTGATAATTCTGTGTGGAATGTGTCATTTAACGCATATCCAATTATAACTGCTGCAATTTCGCAGGTCTGAAATAAATTCCCCAAATGTTTTTGTTTTCTTGAAACCAAAAAACCAACATAAATTTTGAATACAAACTTACAATGAGTAATGCTAATAAAACTGCGAATGAAACTGTTAAACAATAATTTTCTCGAATTGCTCCACAACATCCTAAAAATCCTAACATTGTGCACAATGCACCAATTATTAAAAATAATATCGGCGTTGAAAGTCTGCAAAAGTAAAGTTAAGAAATTTATTATTATTATTAAATTTGAATTACTTTTCATCGCCAAATAGATTGAGTGCATTACTGTATTTTAGTTTTAAAATTGATCCAAAAATTATTAGACCCAAACCGCCAACCTGGAAAAAACATCATCAAGAAAAATACAAATTCAGATTTTAACCAACCCATAGCACCAAATTTGCCAGAAATAATAGATATTTGACAATTGTGACACCTCCTTCTACCATATTTTTAGTGACAACAAAAAGAATATGGTGGCTAGAAAAAATGAGGGCAAAAAAGAGCGAGAAATCAATGCGATGTGCGCAATTGAGAAAGCAAAAAAAGAAGAAGCCAACTTGTCTTCTTTTCAAAATACAACCCAAGGGATCTTCTTCTCCTTCTTAGCTTTTTGTTGAATTTTTCAAGACTCCGCCCAATTGTGTCAAGTTGTTGTTATGTGTTTTTTTTATATAGAAACTTTTTGAACAAAACAAAGCAAAACAAATTCAGGAAAAAACAAACAGGAACAGATGTGAGGAAAAAGGAAACAGAAGATGAATAGACTACAATTATGATGATAATTATTGAATTGGACGAGCTTTCATTTGTCCAAGACGACCTTTGGCAAGCTGAAAAAAACATATATATATTGCATTTGAAAACTGACACTTCTCGATTTACAAATTAATTTTCACAATCAAAATCGAGTGACAACCTAGCCTAAAATATTTAAGAAGCCTCGACTTATTTTATAAATAAGTGAATACCTAATGCTATTCCCAAGTGATCTACTTATCTTTTTCTTGTACTTTTTCCTAAAATTCTCAATCATTTTATGTGCTCAAACAAGATGATTCATGATGTCTAAGAATGAATTGGCATGTTTACGTTTGGATGAAAATGAGATAGAGCATTCATGCATTTTATTCAATTCAGATTTTTTTTCACAATTCATCTGAAAAACGCGTACATAACTGAAAAATTTCCAAATTTTTTTCTAATGAAATTACAGAAAAATCTGAGAGAAATGGAATTTCCAGTTTTTTTTCGGAATTTATTTTATTTTCAAAAAAACATCGGAATTTCGAAGAGCTCCGAATTAAAATTTGTTCAATAAAAAAGAGCGTATTCAGGAGATTTTTCGGGAAATTCGTTCGGCAAAAGAACCGTTAATGAATCAGAACACTAATGCAGAATAAAGTGACAATTCTATTACTCCGAAAATTAAATTCTGACAGTCCCTGACTACAACTTCACAGAAATAATATACATATTTGCTAATAAAATTTTTTGATCAACAAACAAAACTCACTTTTCTACTTTCATCAGCAAATGCCACTTTATTCGCTTTCTTCTCTTGTCTTCTTGCTCTTCGCGCATCTTTTACAGCAGCTTTTCGTAATCGCCTTTGTTCAGTAGTTTCTCCTTTTGGTCGGAATGTAGATACACTTGTACAACAACTCATTCCATCTTCTTCCATTTCTGAACCACTCTCATCTTCCTCGTCTTCTTCAGCAATATCCATCTCTTCAACAGCTTTGTCGAAACGTTTCAATGCTTTTCGTGAAATCCCACGTGGTTCTTTGATAAGAGTTGGATGATTATAAATATTAGTATATTGTGTGGCAAATGATTCACAATCCCATTTCATTCTTTTTCTTGTACTTTCATCAACTTCAACCATTTCCATCTCATCTTTCTCTTTGATTACACCTTCTTCAATCAATCTCATTCGCTCTTTTACGTATTGTTTGGCCAACTGAAAAATAAGAACATAAATATTTTTTCATTCTAAAAAGGATAAATAAACCAACATCTTCATCATATTCGGTATTATTGACTTCAACTTTTTCTTGTGCTAATCTGTGCAATCTTCCACTATTTGGTTCAAGACAACCTCCAACATCATAATCATCGCCATCTAATTCACCAATTTGTTCTGTGTTATATTCTCGATCCATCAAATGTTCGAAAGCATCATCGATAACTCTTTGATCACCACGATCCGGATGCTAAAACAATTTAAAAATAAAAATTTGCAAAAAAATAAAACTTGTCTTACAATAGTTTGAATATGTTCCTCTTCTCCAAATAATTCGTCGTCATCATAATCATCATATAAATCGTCTTCATCTTCATCTTCGTCTTCATCCTCATTCATTCTTCCTCTTCCTTCTCGATAATTTGTGATTCTTTCATCAATAACTCCTCCAGCCAAAGCAATGAAATCATCTTCCAAATCAGCACTTTCAGAATTTCCAACACCTTCCAAAGCATCAGCAACATCTGAATCGAAAACTTCAGCTTTCTTTGGTTGACCAAATGTCATTGGCATTGGTGGAAATGGAGATTTGATTGTTGTTTTTTCAATTACTTCATTTACATTTTGTAATTTCATGGGTTCATTGACAGCTCTCATATGTTGAAGATAATCATAATCATCATCATAAAATACTCCAAATTTTTGTTGTTCAGCTAAATGTTCCTCCGAAGGTTGGAATCTGAAAAACGAGTATACTCAGAAATTTTTTTGTACGCGTTCAGCACACGTTTCGTACCAGTTCAATCCCTTTTTAGTGCGAGATCGCGAGCACAGTCAATTCCAGCACTCAACTGGAGATGAACCGGAACAAAAAAAGAACTGAACTAGTAAAGAGCGCTTTTTGGGGAACTGAACCGGTACGCGCTTGCTTGCGTCGCTCGCTTGAATGTTCTGAACCCGTACACTTTTTTCTATTGAAAAAGGCGTTGTGCGAGCAAAATTTGTACTGAACACGTACACTTTTATGAAACAAAAAATTTATTGATTAACTAATGTCAATTATTTTACAATCTGCAGATTGTTGTTGGGTTGACATGATGGAGCGGCTGTGTAGATTTTTGCCAAGTCGGATTGAGAAGTCTTGATAGATCGGCATTTGTTGACTGGGGATTGATGTTGTTTTGCTGATCCATGAAGATATTGTTGTAGTTGACTGACTGAAAGAAAATTTTGTTCAAAAATTCAGATTTAAAATGAGATTTATCAACCATAACTATCATACTCCATAAATTATAAGGATTTTTGTAAAGTGTCTCGGAAGTACAGATGATTTTTTGGTTGGCTCAAATGTTAGTAAAAAACTTCTGTTTTGATCTGCAGTTGAAATATGAAATGTGAAATTTACAAAATTCGGATAAAAAACGATTCCTAGGATTTCCTGGGGTTTGTCAAAGAATCATCCCTACTGTTTACTGTTTCTCTAAAATCTAATTCTCACAATCCGAAACTTACTCACACTTGGAAAAGTTCTTGAAATTAGCTTTTTTTGAAAAATGAACATGTTCGAATGTTGGATTATTTATTTACTAGGAAGAAAAATTTTCCCAACTTTTGTACAGAAAAGCACAAAAAATATTTCAAATGATAATTTTTTAAAGTGCTTACCTTTTCTAATTATCCTCATTTCCAGCCGCGCTTCGAAATTGTCTGTTTTTTGATAGTTGTAGTTGAGGCAATAATCATGATTGCTCTGAAAGTTTGTTAAATTACAATTAAACGTTGAAATAACCCAAAAAACGCAAGAAGAGTATTTCGAAAAACAAAAATTGTGAATAAAAAGACGGATTTATATTAAAATAAGACAAATTTAACATGAAACGACAATAATTATTTTTCTTGAATTAATTTTTAAAAATCAATTTGAAACGACGTTCAATTCCCCAAAAAAACGATGAAAAACAAAAAAAGGCCCAAAATTTTCGAAAACAAAAAATGAGAAATTCTCCTGGAGTTTGGCTGAACCTTTAATTCGTGTCGAGACCACCGTGCTCTTCAAAAAGTACTGAACCAGCACAGCACAAAAGTGTGTCGCGTGCAATAACGGACTGTACCGGTACGAAATTATTTCATGTGTGTACGGGTTCAGAACATCTATCCAAACATGAAATTTTCAAGCCAAGCAGCTAAAAAGACTGAACGTGAACTCGCATAAGTTTGAACGCGTACTCGATAGGAACTGAACGCGTACAAATGCACAAAACGTGCTGATCGGGTACAAAAAAATTCCTGAGTAATTTTATTAGTAAAAATCAAATAAGTTCCAAACCTTTCAGTTCGATCTCTGCCATCTGGAACAAGTCTGAATCGTTGACTTGCACTTTTATCAATGAATGCCTTCTTTTTTCCCATTTTCAAAATTAGCCAGTCTGAAATTCGTATGAAAAGTTTGGTTTATAATTAAAATGAATCAGATATAAAAAATTGGTTTCAAACCAATATGAAACATATTTGAAAATCCACTATTCTGTTTATTAAAACAACAAAGAAAGAACCCAATAAAATAAAAGCAATAAATAAAAGAAAAACAGGCCGGGTTACGTCAACTCAACAGTAAAAGGGGATATTTAGTGAAAGAAACAAGTATTGGCGCCTGCAACTGAAAGAATTCGAAAATTCAAAAAGAAGCAGGCGCCAGAAACGGATATATGTGAAGAAAACAACAATGGCACAAAGAACAAATTTAGAAGGCTCTTTGTTTTTGATTTCTACGAGGTTGATTAGCACCGCCCGATCCTCCCCAAACTCCTCCGCTGTTACTTCCTCGTTTTCCATCTGATGGTCCAGTTCGACGATCTCCCTGTAATTCAATATTTAAATAATTTTCGCTTTTGAATAAAAAACGGATACTTGTTCGTGGCAATTGGCCCATTTTTCGAAAATATAAAACTCAAATTATTTTCGAACTTGAATGAATCCGTTCTAAATAGAACATTTATCATTTAGAAAAAATCTCAATAATTATTTCCAAAAAAAAACAAAACTTACAGTTCCTTTTTGTTTGTCTCCTTGCCGCTCGTTCCTTCCTGGAAACCAAGCTCCTGGTCCAGAAAACCCTCCTCTTCCAGTTCTTGGCTCCAAAATTTGCTTCATTGTTTTCAGCCAAATTTTGCAATTTGTCCGACAAATTCAACGCCAACATTTGAAGTCTTGATGGTTCGATTCTGTGCATAATCAAACAATCAGTTGGTTCATCAAGAGTTGCTGACAATTCTTCTTGAATAATCATTTTGCTAATGATGCTGTGAACATCCTTCTTTGACAATTCGAAAAGGTTGGACAATTTGGTGAGAGAAACAGTTGCATAAACAGTGGAATAAGTAAGAAGATATGTTCGAAGTGATTCTTCTTGAATTCTACGAACAACCATTACTTTAACTGGTTCTGGATTATAGAAAAGATTCCAAACTTTTTGATTCATTTTCTCGTTGACAATATAATCTCTACATTTCTTCCAGTCTCCATTCAACATTGCTTTTGAAGCGGCAACAACATGTTCTCTTGTATTTTCTGGTGGACCAGTCAATGAGGCTTTTTCGCTTTGTTTCAATTGATAATGGAATGATCTACTCAACATTCTTCTTCTCATTTCAAATTCACAACTTGCCATGTGTGGAATTTCAAGTAACATTGAACAAATCAAATAAACACATTCCATTAATTCAACATTGATGTGCATATGATAAGGAACTTGGCGAGATCTTTCCATTTTCTCTTGTTCGAAAGTTTTTTCGTGTTGGCGCATTCCAATTGCTTGGGCCAAGAGTTCCTTTGCACGTTGAGTGTTTTGAATTTCAGAAAGTCCTTGATGGGCTTCGCGAATGAATCCATGACGGAAAGCACAAAGACCAAGTTGGCAGATGGTACGATTGTAGAGAATCTAAAAATAAATATGGAGATTTTTCAAGATTTGGATCTATTGCGTTGCCAATCAGCCTTATCTACTTATATATTATTTCCCGAGGTGTCTTTCCGCATTTAAAGGTCACGCCGCCGTAGGCGGCTATAAATTCTTGTTATTTTTATTATTCTAAAAAATATTAAATTGTTGAAACAGTGAATTTTCTTTGATAAATAAAATAAATAAAAATAATTGATTTACCTGGGTATCAATATCTGAATGATCAACAATTGCTTGCATATGACTCATTAACAACAAATCTCTAGCTCTATGCCATTCATCATGAACTGCCAACCAATAAACATGACATAACATGGCACGTTGTCTCAATTGTTTTTCTTCGTCCAATGAATAAATCTTGTTGCATAAATAAGTCATCATTTCTCCAACATCTCCTTCAAAGTCACATTGATCTTTATATTTATAATAGATATGTTCGATTCTCATCATGTAGATCTTGCAAACTTCGTATTTATCGAAAACACCAAGATGATGACGAAGTTCAACATATTTCTCGGCTCTTTCAATCAAATTGCACATATCTTTCTCACCACGGAGTCTGAAACATCAGATTTTGAGATATACTTCAAACACAAAAATCTTACTTTTCAATGTAATCATTCGAATGACAATCAGCGTTTTGCAAAATCTTCGCCAATTCCGAATCCAATCGTTGAACAGCAATCAAAATTGAACCTTGAATTCTATAATCTTCCTTATCGTCTTTCAAGTTTTCGTCTTCATCCGAAAAAGTAACAGAGAGTTTTACATTTTCGTTTTCAATCAAAACAGTCAAAAGATTGTTGACAGTTGCCAATGTTGTAGCAAAACTTTCATAATCCATATGATCACTGATTTTGACGTTGATTTCAAAAAGTGCAGAAATAATGGCGAAAGCTAATTTTAACATGAAGTCCCACTCCAAGCTGCTTCTCTTCACAAACTTCCAAAAGTTTTCGAAGATTAGCAACGTGTTGATCGCGATCAGTATTACGTTTACCACGAACAGACATGACTTCGTTCAATTTCTTGATCATAACCTGAAAATATTTAAATAAAAATTCATAACAAACTTCCAAAATAACTTACGTCATGTGTAACTTCTTCTTTTGGATCAAAGAGAACAACGTTCTTTTCACGAGAAACTGGAGTCCAATCATCGTCATCATCTTCGACAGCTTCTTTAACTTTGATAACACGTTGCTTTCGTTTGTCTTTTTTGTCTCCCTTGTCATCTCCACGGAATTCTTTCCTGAAAACGTTTGTATTTGAAGAAAAAAATCACTCGTGACAAAGAACTTACTTCAAGAAATAACGTCTGAGTTGTTCCATTTTCGAAACACCATCTTCATCAGTGTCGGAACCAGAAGTATCTGGTTCAGAAGACCAACTTGATGTACTACGAACATCGTCATCGCGATCATCATCGGTCTCTGCTTGAGCAACCGCTTTTTCAGGTGATTTCTCCAATACTCCATCATCCTCGCTTTCAATATCATCTTCTTCCTCTTCTGGAGTTTCGTAACCTTCCTCATCAGGATTTGCAAGATAATCAGTGACTGGTGTTCCAAGTTCTTTGATATATTTCTTGACTTTTTGACGAAGAGCAGGTAAAGCTTTTGCGTTATTTTTTGACAATCCAGACTTGGCTTCCTTATCATCCCACAATTTGTTGGCATAATTTTCAATTTCAACAATTGATCGAATGAAGAAACGTGGAACACCAATGTTTTGACGTTGGAAAACAGCCTTTGATTTTTCAAAGGCTTTTGTCAAAGTATCGAATCCGGTCAACAATTTGTTCAAATCCTTATTACTTTTGGCATCACGATTTTGTTTGATAATTCCCTTCAATTCATCGAATTTCTTGTCTTTTTGAGCGCGAACAACACGTTTCTCATCATCTTCTCCACCAGCAGCGAAGTCGAGATCATCGCTGAAAATTTCCTATTTTCTGCAATTTCAGAAAAAATATCAAAACTTACGTTCCGTAGTTGTTCTTTTTTGTCACTTTTGGCTCGTCCTCGATTTCCGAATCAGTTGAATCGGTGTCCGAATCAGATCCTCCTCTAGCTTTGAAAAATCTCGACATTCTAAAAAAAATAGGTTAAAATGTTCAAAACTCCATTTTAGGACAAATTTACAAGCAAAGAAAACATTCAATATGTCAAAATTTAGCCAATATTCAAAGGTACGAAAACACTGAAAAAGTATAGATCCCCAGAAGTCACAAACAACGCTGAAAATACGTTTTCCATCCAGACTTCCAAACTGAAAATAAAAATTTTCTGTGCACAAACATCGTTGCAAGACCCATTATCCATAGAGCGCATTTCATCTTTTGCGCCTTGGTTTGAACACTGACGCACTTAATGCAGTTTGTGTGCGAAACGATATTTTTCGAATGGAATCGCGGGATGGGATCCCAAACCTAAAGAAAGAACGAAAAAATAAGAGTGTACACGTGTGTCAAATTAATGAGTTTCAGAGACAATTTTAGAAATTTTCTGAAAGGTTTCAATTTCTAGACTCGCCGATAGGAAAAACCCAAAAAAAAAAAAAACAAAGGGCGGTTGGTTAGAAATTCGGGGAGCCCCAAGAGAAAAAACTCATCTGCCATTTTGTTGCTCGCCGAAAATATGAAATAACTTAAAAATTATCGTTGAAATGGCATTTGCCACGACAAATTTCACGTTCACGCAAAAATATATTATTTTTCCTCTCTGCTTTTTTGTGTTTTTTTGCTGACAGAAAAAAAAGATTTTTTTTATAATAATAATTTTTCTAGAAAACAAAAAAAAAAACACATTTTCCAAACTTTGTTACTACGCTGAACTATAGTAATCCCATTTAAAAAAGTAATCAAAATTGAAACTTTTTTAAAGGTTCTTCAGAATTTCAATACTTTTTTCGGAAAACACGTATAAAGCTTCAAAGATTTGAAAATGTTTCATTTCAGAAAAATAAAATGTGAGTATAAAATGAATCAGACATTTAAAAATTATTTCAAAAATAAATAAATAAATAATCTTTTAAATTAGAGCAAAAAAAGTTATTCGACAAAAAAAAGAACTACATGAAAATACATCTACTAGGAAAAACATTAATTGTGACCGGTTCAATTGTGGAGTTCAAATGCATTTATATCTCATTTATATACACATCTTCTTCAAAGTTAGTAAAATTCTGAATTGGCAAAAACATCAGCCAATGGTTCAGAAGACATAACTGGAATTCGACTGAGAATCGCATTTGCTGCTTTTGCTGAAAATATTTCATTATTTTATTCAATATTGAAATTAAAAGAAAAAAACAAACCAATATTAGCATTTCGATTATTTGTTAATCCTTCCATCATTGCTCGATCAAAATTCCAAATCGTAAAAATATCTTCGCAAAATGATGATAATTTCTCACAAAATTCCAAAATTAATCGAATAAACGATTCGTTTTGAGAATCTCGTAATAAATCCAAAGGACAAGACATTGAAAATCTGCATTGTGAAGCAACTTGCACTTCCGAACTACAGTAATCCATAAAAGCAACAATTAATGCAATCGATCTTTCTATTAATTTCTCTCGTTGTTCTTTTTCATTTTTATCAACTTGTTGAATATATAATTGAGAAGCCCATGAATATGTATTCAAAACATGTCCAACAATATTATCTTTTCTATTTTCATCCATTATTCCCAATATTCCATTTTTCGCAACAAATGGCATTTTTATAACCATTCCAATAAATCGAAGAATATAACTTCGCACTTCAATAAAATTGGCAATTTCTCGATTATTAACATCGCAGGACAAATATGTCATATATCTTTGAAGTGACGGCTGGAAATAATATTTATAGATTGATTTGTTTTCTGATTATTTCTTTTTTGAAAAATGAACTTACTCCATCGATTAATTTATTAATTGTTTGAATAATTTGATTTTGTTTAGCTTGATCTTCAACTATCATTTGTGCACTTTGAAACCAAAATGGTAATAAATTAATAAGAGTTCGTAAACAATTTGACATAACTTCGCAAACTAATTGACGTTTTCTTTCATCGTTTAAATCTTGCAATCTTGGAAATTTACACAAAATCGAATCTAATAATTGAATCGCATTGTTTTGAATTGCATCTTTCTGCAAAAATGGATATTGTGATATTCTGTAATTATTTGAGAGAAAAATATCTTACCTTGAATCTTGGTTTATTCGCAACAATATTTCCTAAAAATCCAGTTCCTAATTTGAAAATTTCTTCGTCTTGATAAAAATTCATCACGTTCAAAATCTGAAATATTCATGAAATAATTGAGGTTTAGTTGAAAAACGAAAAACTTACAAATGGCAATGGAACATCGACTTCTTGAAAAGCTGGAGAATCCGAAACATGAAGAAATAAATTGAGAGCATCTTTTGCTATTCTCACATCGTTTATTCTTTGTAATAATGTGCAAACAATCTGAAAAATGAATCATTTAATTTTGCATTGTTTAAAAAATCATTCAAAAATGAAACTCACATTAATACCTTGCAGTTTGACAAAATCATTAATTGCTTTTGCATCGTGTAAAAGTGTTCGTAATAAATGGCAAGTGTGAGAAATTATGGCACTAAAGTAAATAAATAATTAAGAGTCACTATGTAATTCAAAAATAGCTTACGGTGCTCTTGGCGGTGAATTGATAGATCGTGGAAATACACATTCTAAAATAACTCGAATCAAACTAACAGGTGGAAGTGGTTCATCTTTTGGTCGGTGAAATCGGATAAGATATTCCTGCAAAAAAAAATTATTTTGAAATTCAAGTTGATTTTCCCACTTTGAAAAAAGAAGAGCCAACTCACTTTAATATTTGTGTCTCGACTGATAATATTTCTCAAAATCATCAAAACACTGACATTTGCAATTGGTGCTTCATGCAAATGTTTTATCAACATATGAACCATTTTTGGGAATTTCAGCGATTTTAGAAACGGAACTTTGATATTATCAGCGTTTTTTAATTGAAGAACTGAACTAATAAATTCGACGACAATATAAGAACATCGATCAAGTCGAGGATCCCTGAAAATATTATTGATTTTTAACTGAAAAAAAGAATAAAAATGACTTACTGTGTCATTGGTATAAATGGACACAATAAATCCTTCAAACTTCGTTCTCCTTCAGTTGATGAAAAAATCGAAACAACAATTGGAATTGATTGTTTATATTGAACCAATTTATGAAAAACTTCTAATAATCGACAAGCCAAAGCAATCTATAATTTTAATTTGTTTTCTCCCTATTTATTACCTCCCAAACACTTACATATTCCTGTGGTGGTGGCGTATCTGGTGGTGTCCACAAAATTAATCCATCTGTTACACATGCAACAATTTGTTGAATATAACGAGGTGCGACTGTTTCATCAAGATGTAAAAGTCCCTTATTTTTGATCCACATTAACAGTTTTATTGACAATTCACACCTTTTTATTGGATCTCGAATTGTAAACCAGTTCTGAAAAAAGAAATCAAGTTTGCATTCTCGTTCTGAAGAATATGATCCGAAAAAATGTGTTCAGTTCAAAACAACTTCAAAATTTTACTCAATTTTTTGAAATCTCAAAACTTACATGTAAAACATAATCAGTTTCCCTCATTAATTGTGCAAAAGCCATATCCGGATTAATATTTTCTTGTGTCGAACCATTCGATGAAAAACATCTTTGTGATTCATTATCTCCTTGTCCATGTCCAGTAATTGCTGTATTCACACTCAACATTGACATTCGATCATCGGCTGGATATTGTGATATAACAGACGGTGCAATTGATGGAACTGGAGATGCTGAATATGCCCAATTACCACCATTCATATAATGTTGATTCATCCAATGTGCTGTTTGATTATCGTTTGATGGTCCACAAGATCGAGATGGTGAACGAGGATATTGTGCACGGCTAAAGAAATCAATGTTTGTAAAGAAACGAAAATAGAAATTATTTGAATCGTTTGTCTACTTTTTCTTTTCCAAAGACTTTTTCCCAACCCAGCACAATGACTCATCGTGTACTTTTTATTGCTTCTTCACACCAAAATAGAAGATACTTTTTTTTCGAAAGTATTGTTTAGCTTTTGAGGAACATTTGAGGTTAGGAAATAATTCTGGGACAGGGTCAAAGTTCAAGGTGAAATATTGTAATAATTAACTTATCGAAAAACATTGTTGGTGTGCAAACATCCAAAAATAAAGTGGGAGGGGGAAACTGAAAATAGGACCTCAGAAAATATTTTAGAATAAAAACTAACAAACGAGATTTTCTAGAAAACGATTTGAAAAGACCCCAGATTTTGGCCGAAATCTAAACTTTGTTCTGAATGAAAGCTAATTTTTTGCATGAAAAAACCCGATTACTCCCAAATTTAAAAGAAAACTAGAAAAGGTTTACCTATCTTGTTGTTGAACTTGTTGATATTGTGCATTTTGTGGATGATGGCCATATTGTTGCCATTGTTGCTGTTGTTGTTGCTGTGGATGAGATGTTGTTGGATTTTGATCCATCTGATGATACATTTGATGATTTGGTGGAATTGAAGGTGGTGGCGGAGGATGGGATTGTGGATGATGTGGTTGATAGGCGGGTATACCGCATGCTCCCGAAACACTCATCAGACCTAATTTTTCTGGAAAAAAATACATTTTGTGAAACAAAAAACGATGGAGTTGAAAATGGGCGGAGTTTCGAAAAAAACAAATTAGAACTTGAAATTATCTTTGAACACTGAAATCTAGTTATAATATTGTTTCGAAAAACATCTTCTTGAAAAATTTGAAACTTGACTACTTTTGTATAATAATTAGAAACATGAAAATCTTGTCACTTTTCCTTTTTTCTTGCCGAAAATCGTCGACATCAAAGGATGCCGAAATAACCTTGTTTCAATCAGCAAACAATAACACATATGTGAGTATCCTTTTCACTTTTTCAACATTTGCTAAATATTCAAAATCGTTTCGAAAACGATTTGCAACTTCAAATCAACAAAAAATGAAAAATAAAAAACAAAAGAGAAGCAAAAAGAAGAAACGTATATATATTTGAATTTCTAGCGTTACCCACCCGGGCCTTTCTCTGTACTCTCTTCTATTTTGTATACTATCTATGAGATGTGTCTGTGTTGTCTGTGTGTGAGCGCGCGTACACCAAACATACACCAACGAGGACATCATAGTGAAAGTTGAACGAGAGAGTGGAGATATTAGAGAAGTATGTGTGGGAGCAGCAGATGTATTATTATACTACTTACTGTTTCCGTTTTGGATAATGTTATGCAACATAAATATATACATTTATGAGCATTATTTTAGCACCCTATCAGACACATGTCATTCAAAATAACATAAACATTTAGAAACAAATCTTGCCATAAGTAGGTGATCATATTATTATAAATAGAAGAACACATACAACTGTACAAAAATATATGTTCTCAATTTTTTAGACTCGACATGTTATCATATCAAAGGAACACGTTTCTCGAACATTACAATGTGCTTTTTTCGTCAAATTTATATTTTTAAAATGAAGATTGGGAAAACTTAGCCCTCAAAAACATTTTCAGCTTTTCATTCCATAAATTGAACGGAATTCAACATTTCAAAAAATTAGAAATGAACATATTTAAATAAAAGAAATGAAACAATTGGTTCACGCTGTTTCGTGGAATTAAAATACCGCAAATTTCCAAAAAATATTTTGTTTCGATAATTGCAGTTACAGTAAAAGTGAATAACCTCGGTCAATTATATAAGGACTTAGAGAGCAATACAGCAAGTAGTAACAGATGGACATACGGTGACCCCTATTTTGAACGATATTCACCTATTGTTGCTAGATACCACCAACCGTTTTATTACATGCTTGTTAAATAAACAAGAGCATTCAATTTTTCAAAAACCAAATAAAAAAATAATTTGAAATTATACAAATTGTGGGAATAAGAAGCATTGCGATTTCGCGGAAACCCGATTGAAATATGACTAGTGTTCAAGAGATTTATTGGGTTTTTTGATTTGGAAAAAACATGCAATACGTCCTATAATTTTGAGAAAACAAAGAAAAAAGAGAAATGGTTTTTTATTCGAAGCGAAGAAAAATTTCCGAAAAAAATGAAAAATAAAAATCAAGGCGCACTGTTTAAACAAAACGTGGTTCTCGACACGATCAACGTTTTCTACCGTAATTCACACAAACATTTGAATAAAATCATTTTCAACTTTTTTTTGTTTTTTTGTTCGCTTTGTCTTGAAAACTATACGAATTTGTATCAGTCAAGATTGTAGATTTAATAATTACAGATGGATTTTGATGGATGGGAGAATATAAATCCCAGATCGAGTTGCAGTTCTTTCGATCATTTTAATTTCAAAAGACATCAAGATTTGAACGAATATAAATTGCCAGAAGATGATATTTTCACACCAACTCAAAGCCTATCAACAATCGACTTGGAAGAAGTTTTTAAATCACTGGATTTCGGAGAACCAAAACAGAAGTTTTCTTTGGTTCCCAAGCCAAAGTTATCAGTTTCGGGTCGAGCAATCAGTCTATCTACTAACCATTTCCAAATTCTATGTGATAATCAAGAAGTCTATCAATACTCATTCTGTTTCCTACCAGATATACAATCTAAAAAGTTGGCTCGTAAAATTTTTCGGATTCTTGAAAACAATATCCCAGATCTCAAAAGCGCATATCCTGTATTTGATGGATGGAACACGATTTATACTACAAAGTTACTCGATCTTATTCAAATTAATCAATCAAGAATCCCGATGGTAAATTGTATTTTAGTCAATTCTTAAGGTTTGAGTTTGTTTTTTTTTTCAGGATGGGATGATGTCTCACGAACACAAATCCGAGTTTTATATTAACATGTATTACGTTGGTAGCTTCAGTTTAGATACAAATGTGTAAGAAGATTCATTGAAATACAACAAATCATAATTATTTTTTCAGAAATTCTCCGGATACTTATCGTTTTCTCCATGCAATGGATACAATTCTCCGACAAAGTTCTTGTGATAAATTCAACGTGGTTCTTCAATCCTTTTTCTCAACAACTCCATCCACAGTGAATAGAAAATGTCATGGATTAGGATGGGGAACAGTAAATTTGGGAATTGGTCGAGAAGTTTGCTATGGTTTTTATCAAAATGTTATTGAAACGTTTGATGTTTTGTCATTGAATATCGATGTGGCCACAACAACATTTTATCGTCCAATTTTTATGCTAGAATTTCTTGCCGAAGTATTGGATGTTCCATATGAAACTATTATTGATGGCCGTGCATTGAGTGAAGCAAATAAAAAGAAGTTTTCAAAAGAAGTTGCTGGGATCAAAGTAGAAACACGTCATTGTAACGCTCCAAGAAGATATAAAGTAGTCAAATGTACATGGAAACCAGCTGGAAATATTCTGTAAGTATCCTTATTGTTGAAATGGGTTTCATTCAAATAAATATTTGCAGATTGAATTTAAACAATGGAAATGGAGATGGTCATGAAATTCCAATAGTGGATTATTACAAAAATCGTCATGGTATTATTTTGAAACATCTTCATTTGCCTTGTTTGGAAGTTGGTAGAACAAAAGAATGTCTGATTCCTCTTGAATTGTGTTATATTGTTAGTGGACAAAGATGTATCAAAAAGTTGAATGAGCAACAAATAGCCAATTTGATCAAAGCAACGAGTAGAAATGCACAAGAAAGGAAAGATGCGGTGCTGAAAATCAGGGACAAAGTTGAAATCGCCGAGGATATATATTCAGTGGTAAGAATACAATCGAAGTAATGAATGTAAATAACTGATGGTGGTTTTTTTTCAGAAATATGGAATTGAAGTTGACAGAAAAATGATGAAATTGGAAGGAAAAGTTCTGCCACCGCCGAAATTGATGTATTCAACTCCGAATTCAAGGAAACAAGACTTTGTAACTGTTCCAAACAATGGAACATGGGATATGAGAGGAAAGAATTTTTATAAAGGAGTTGAAATTACGGTTGGTTTTATTATAATTCTAGATACACTAGCTACTCTGATTAGTTTTCTCACCTTTCATAAATTTTCCAATCAAATGTTTGATATAAATATGTATTCAAATGATTTTCAGTGTTGGGCAGTTGTTTGCTTTGCTCCTCCAAATTTCGTAACTCAACATCATTTACGAACTTTCGTTGCGAATTTGACAAAAGTGGCGAAAGAAATTGGGATGCCTTTGACCCAATTACCATCATTTTCGAAATATGCCAACCCGGAGCAAATATCTAAAATTCTCGATTTTTTGAATGGCAACAAAAATCTTCAATTAGTTGTTTGTGTTGTTCCTGGCAAATCAAGTATTTATGGAGATTTGAAAAGAAAAGGAGATTTGATTGGATTAACAACTCAATGTATCAGATCACACAATGTTCTCAAACCAAGTGCTCATACTCTTTCCAATCTTTGCATGAAAATCAATTCGAAACTTGGAGGTGTGAATTTAGTTGTAACAAGTCCGACTCATTTGGTGATGAAAGAACCAGGTGAGAGAAGAAAAATGGAATCAGTGATTAATCTACTAACATGTTTTTTTTTTCAGTTCTTTTCATTGGTTGTCAATTAACTCGTAATATTGTTGCTTCTGATTGTTCATCTCCTTGTCCAGCTCCAATCGATAGTTCAATATGTTGTTTAGTTGGTTCAATGGATGGTCATCCAACTAGATTTACACCAACTTTTCGAATTCAACCTAGACAATTGTCTGTTATCTCGGAAATTCGAGAAATGACCAAAGAATTGATTTTGAGCTTTTATAATGCAACATCTTACAAACCACATCGAATTATTGTTTATAGAAGTGGAATTACGGAAGGAAATTTGAATGAGGTAACTAGAAATTCAGAGGATTTTTTAAAATTAGTTTTCATTATTTCAGATTTTACAATTCGAAGTTCGCGGAATTCGTGAAGCATGTCTTCAAATTGATCCATGTTTTCAACCGGGAATTACTATGATTGGATTAGATATTACTCACCACACAAGATTTTTTGCCACAAATGATATAGTGAGTCATTTTCAATTGGTCGGTGTAGAAAATGAAAAATATTTTTGATGTAGAAGTGAACTCAATTTTTTCACTTGGTTTTTCTCATCAAAAATATATATTTCAGGATCGCATGGGAAATAGTTTGAATGTGCCAGCTGGTACATTGGTCGAAACAGGAATAACTGTGAATAGTCATTTTGAATTTTATCTTGTTTCGCACGCTGGAATTCAAGGAACTTCTCGTCCAACAAAATATACTGTGATGTGGGATGACAACGAATTAACTGGAGAACAAGTTCATGAATTGACTTATCAGGTAATTTTAGTTTTTTTTCAATGAGAAATTGTTTTGGAAATATTATAATTAATTAATTTTCAGTTGTGTCATACTCAATCTCGCTGCACACGAAGTGTTTCAATTCCATCGCCAGTTTATTATGCTCGTCTTGTCGCCCAACGTGCCAAAATATTGATGACAGATGAGTCTTTTGATTTTGAGAATTATCGAGAAATATCTCGTATCTGTAACGGTATGCCGTTCACTTGAATCATGTTTTTTTCCTGTTTATTTGTTTATTTTGTTTTTTTTTGTTATCGGGTATTTTGTCATACGGCTTTTTTTATTTTTTGCTGAAACGGGATTTTTTCTGTAGTTTTTTTTTTGAAAAATTGGTTTTTGTTTTGTTTATTTGCTTGCCAAGCATTTCTTCATTTATTTTTAATAAAATATAGTATACAAAAAATGAATGAGACAAGAAAATACATTAAATAACCCCTTCGGGTCAGTCACCAACGAATTAATAAGCTCACAACTAGAGATTTTTGGAGGGAAACGGGAAAAATCGAATCATTGGCAATATGAGAATGGAAGTTGAACAAAAAAATCGAAAATTATTAAAAAGAAGAGGAAGAAGGAGGAGGAATCAATCATGTTTCTGATTTTGATGCATTTTCATCCAATGCAAATAATACTCCTTGATAGACAATACCATTAATCTCCATTGAAACAGTCATTGAATTATCTGAAAAATTCAGGATGTTTTAAAATAATCTTTTATTATCTAATTACCCACCTTTTTGTTTTGTTGTGATTTTCATAGCTCCATTTGTTGATTTCGAAGCAGAGTTAGTCGAATTTTGATTATTTTCATTTTCAAGTTTGACACGTTTTGCTGGAATTTCTGAATCGATACTCGATGTCGATTCACGACCCGATAATTGATTAACTAGATTATTTGATGAGCTCACACCAAGACCAAGACTTTGTCGTGCAACTTGTTCAGCAGCTCTAGAAAATAAATAGTTTAATTAAATTTCGAAATTACAAATCAAAAACCTTTGAGCCCGTTCAAATTGTCTTTGATGTGCTTCAATTAACGCCATTTGATCAGCTCCATAATTAGTTGAAAATAATCCGGAAGCTTGTAAACTATTCAAAGTATTTTCATCATCCAATAAATCATGTCTCAAAACTCCCAATTGTTTGTTCAATAAATTATTCGCAACATTTGAATGTGGTAATGGAAATGGAAGTGGAAATGTTGGAGCAGTTCTTCTTCCAGGTGCTTCTCGTCGATTTCCATCAATTGCTTGTTGTAAATCAGCTGGATTTGATAATCTCTCTTTTTCACATTCATAATCATATAAATATTTTTGATATTGTGTTCTCAATGTAAATGCAGCTGATGTTATACTTGATGGTAAATTCAATCCTTTTGTGATTTCTCGCCATAATTTTTTATTGATTATTTCAACTAAACCGCCGTGTTGAACAACTAATCGATATAATTCATATAAATCCAATACTTGTTTTGCCATTATTGGAATTCTTGTCACCGGTTTTCCTGAAAACACATTGTGGGTGATTTTGAAACGGAAAAGTTGAAAATCTTACCAATTCGATGCATGAAATTAAGCCAATCATCCAACCATTCTTTTCGTTTAACATCATCCGAAAGTTCGTATAACTGTAATAAAATCGAATAAAATCAATAAATTATATTTATTATTGTTTATCCCATATTTTTTCTTTCTAAATTCGAAAAACAAAAAGAATATATAATTTTACAACTGTTGCTCATTTTATTTCACATAAAATAATATATGATTTACGATTGCCTTATTATTATTTCTTCTTCCTCTTTTTTTCAACCTACAGTATCCCTCCTCTTCGTTTTTCCCATACAATAATCATAATATATCTCATCTCATTTTTAAAAACTAATTGAGTGGTTCCTTCTCGAGAATATTCAATTATGTGAAAAAAGAAATGTTTTGACTAATTATTTCGAATTGGATAGTTTTTTTAGTTGAGAAATAGAAGAAGAAAAAGAAAAAGTTAATAAGTTTGGTGCAAACCGGAAATGGTTTTGAAGTTGAGTAAAATGCCAAAATAATATTCATTTTTGTTTTGAGAAAATAATAATATAAGTTGCATTACTGTAGTTTTATGAGTCTCCAAATGTGGATGAGAATGGAATTTGAAGTTGAAGTTGATGTGAGAAGAAAATTGAATTTGCAATTATGCAGCAACAAAACTTCGAGAAAAAATTAAACCATTTTTTTCTAAATCAAAGTCTTTAACTATTGATTCAAAAGTTGTGAGATTTTCACAAAGCCATTTACTCATTTTCGAAACATCTAACCTTTTAGAATTTCTCAAATCTTCTTCCGATTCAGCATTTCAGATCCAAGATCACAATCAAAATTTCGTTTCCCTATTTTTTCAATCTATTTCTTTTTGCGTTGTTTCGTGTTTATTTAGAGTGTGTCGCAAAATTGATTGGAGAGTGATTAGTTGAGAAGTGGTAGGGACGTATGTATGTTTCTTTGACATTATTAATCTAGCCAACAGGAGGAGCAGCCAACCAATCGGCTTGGTAAACACACCACTCAATTCTCGCGCAGATCGAAAAAAAGAAGAAGAAAAATGATAATATTAAGAAGAAGATACACATTGTTATATTTCGACTAGTTTTTAATAATAATGTTAACAGATTATTATCAAAAATATTTGATTATTATTATTATTGGAACATATGTAAATAAATATAGAAAGTACTTGAGATTTTATATTACAATCTACGAATCTTCGATTTACAAGACCCTCCCTTCCTTCTTTTACTTCAATGGTTATTTATTTCTATTCGTACATAACCAAGGTGTTATACCCATAAATAATTAGAAAACGAAGAAAAAGAAGAAGATATAACAATAGGTGTGAAAATTAAAAATTCGAAAAAGAATACTGTAGTATCTATGGAAATATTTCGAACAAACCTGCTTGAATTGTTCTTCATAAGACCAACCAGGACCCGATGGATTACTTCCCAAATCATTTGTATCATCTGATTTGTTCTCTTTTTGGCGGAAACTTGAGAAACTTAGAGTCAAATCTTCGGGTTCGCCGTTGTTTCCGTTTTCTTCGTCATAATCATCGACGCCCGGAGAAATCGCAGAAAGGCCCGAGGCGAGACCAAGAAGTTGTTGCTGGAAAAACGAAAACGTTAATAAATACAGTAAAAATGTCCAATTCACTCGACATCAATATTAGAATCCTAATTTTTAGTTTTGAAAATTCCATCAATTTTCAAAATTATCTCAAAAGTAATTTCATTTTCAGTGTTTACCTGAAGACTAAATGGTCCATGTTGCAATGCTGCTTGAAATATTGGAGGTAAATTTAAAGCAGGAGCACGAAGATTTGAAAGTCCAAGAGTTGATGTTAATCGTTGAATAGCTTTTTGTTGCATTTCAATATCAAATACATTTATATTTGGAACTTCTGGTGATTCTCTTGTCGAACATTTTGTTTTCTCTTCCTCATCTTCATCTTCATGATTTGTTTCATCTTCTTCCTCTTCTTCTCGATCTTCACAAATTGTTTCATCAACTGATTCTTTTTGTGACGACATACTAACAAATAATTGTGGATCTTGTGAATCAATTCGAACCGACATTTGATATAAAAATATATTATAGAATATTGGATAACTGTAAAAATAAATTGTTTTTTGTTGTTTTTTCGAATATTAATAATTTTCGAAAATGAGGACCACCGAAGCAAAAAAAGTTCAGTTGATTTTTATTTAGTTGAGAAAAGAATGTTCTAATGATGAACACATGTTATTTATTAAGATATTTATGAACACCAGCGAATTTTTCATATATAAAATAGAGTCAATTAGTGCTTTGACGGGGGGAGAAATCATCATTTTAGTTTTATATTGAACCACTAAAACAACTGTTCTTCAGTTAGATGAGAAGATGTGTCTGTGGCCAGCAAAAAAAATTATTGACAGCGAAAAAAAGATGATTATAAGATTTTGATTTATTTTGAGGAAACGAAAAAATACTTGGGGTCGTGGTTGAAGAAATTGAGACTCTAGAAGAAGAAGAAAAAAGATCGTTGAACTTTCAATAAATGAAAGATCGATTGAAAAGGTCGATTTGAAAAAGAATGTGCATTAGTTTAGAGAAAATTTTAATAACAGTTTTGAAATAAATACAATTCAAAAAACTGTGTCAGAATCTTTTTTCTGGAATCATATTTTTTGAAATAGTCACATTGAAAAATATTTTCAATTTCTTCTATAATTAAGATGTGAAAAAGAGCCTCACTGTCAGATGAAAAACGTAATAAATCTCAAAATTATGAATTTAAAATTTGAAATTGAAATTCGATATGATAGAAAAGATATAAAATGTCACTAATCAAATCATATAACTCAAAAATGAATGAATAGAAAAAAAGAAGAGAACAAACTTGTGACATACGTAGATTCATCTATTAACAAAAAGCAAATAAAACGACCAAAAGTACCGTAATCTACACGTTAATTAAAAATCAATAAATTATTGAGAAATAATTAGAATTTTAGAACATTTTGGAAGTTTGGGAACTTTTTGATATTTTTTTAATGAAAATAGAACAGGTAATTTGAGAAGAACTTTAGATTTTTCATACGTAGGTTTCAATTAGAAAAATTGGAGTTTTAATGCAAATGGTAATAAGTTTCATTTTTCAGAATATCTGGAAATGTTTAATTGAGGCTAAAGAGTCTAGAACTCCCATTTCTTGACCAGAAGTACAAACTTAAATAAGATAATCTAAAATTTCAAAATGTTCAACCTCAAAATTAGTTCAATTTTTAATAAGTGACTTGTTAAAAGAATAAACCAGTTGATGAGCGAGAAAAAAAGAAAAAAAGGAAGGCTTTCTTCTATTGGAAGTTTGCTTATATTAAGCCACGCCCATTTTAATATAAGAGTGTGCGCGAGTCAGAGAGACATAGACATACACATAAAATGGATTACGATAGAAAATTATTTGGAGGCGGAGACACCATTTTTATTGTTGGAAAGAAAAAAGAAAAATGTTGATTGAGAAAAAAAAAAACAAGAAGCTTAGTAGAGGTACAGTAGGAAGAAATATTATGTATCAAAAAATTGTTTCTTCATATCTCATATCTGACGAGAAGAAAAAGAGATACGCAAAAAATGATAATCGTCAAAAAAGTGTCATATTTCAGAAGAAGGCGAAAAAATGTATGAGTTTGAGTTGTCGTCTCTTTTTGTTGAACGAACACCATTTGATTACACACTTTTTATTTTTTTTTTCAAACAAGAAAAGAGAAAGAGCGACCTGAATCACATCAATCAATCCAATCATTTTTGAAAAATAGATTAGAGTTCTTTATAGTTAGTGAATCATTTAAAATTGGGGGGATTTCGGGTAGATTTTTTCAGATATCGGTTTTTTTAATGCAGAAGTTTTGATCTACACTGAAATATTTCGAAATTATTTCAAACTTGCTCTTCGAGAAATTTTTTGCATATATTTTTGTGACAGGAATAAAATTCAAGAGCTGTTAAGAGAATAAAATTGATCCACTCGAATTGCTTTTGGGTAAAAATTAAACACTGTGGCCTAAATTGAGCATTCAACTTTCAGAAAATAATTTTTCTCCAATCTTCTAATTTTTTTCCACTGCCAAATCCTTTTTTCAAACTTTCGAAAAAATAGTTGAGAGTTTGGATTTTCAGAAAAAGTTTAATGAGCCGCCTCAAAAACAATTGTCGTCGTCAGATTTGTGTATCAAATAATAAAAAAGAGTCTCACTCTCAAACAAAAAATGTTTTGATTGATCATTTAGTTGTTCCCAAAGGTCTCTCTCATGTCTTTGTTTCAGTCGCCTCACACACTTACTTATTTAGTCAGTCAAAAATTTCTACAGTAATCCAATGAAGTGGCTGAAGAGCAAGAGCATGGCTCATAAATTAATCAAATTGAAACAAAAATATTGTGACAAAAGACAATAGGTGGATATAATTAGTGGTTGGTGACTTTTTGAAGAGGAAACGAAGGGAAAAGAGTCAGCTGCAAATTCAATTGTATTTCTATTGTATTCATTATTATTATTATTATTTTAAAGGTACATGCAAAACATAAATATGATGAGCAATTAGAGTCGACAAAAAAGGGCAAAAATATTGGAGGAGGAAAAATGAATTAAATATTTATGAGTTTTCACAAGAAATACGGTAGTCTGGGAAAGTTATAATCTTTTAAAGAAGCATTATAAAAAATTCGAAAGTGGATTACTCAAAAGAACTTTTTTGGAACTGAAGAATTTGACATTTTGGAAAAGGGGAGAGTCTGAAAAAAATTACATTTTTCCAAGTTTCATGTGGAATATTCTAATGCAATTGAACATGTTTTGATAATCGTGAAATTAATTTTAAGAAACATTTTTGTAACAAAACTTCAGAATCATGATTTTTTGCCTATTCTTCCTTCACTTCCAAAACATTTTCTTGTTGGTTTTAGTTTCAACTATTTATGTTTACCGCAAAAATTCGATCCATCAAACAACAACAAAAAAAGGAAAACCGAAATGAATTTGTTCCAGTCAAAAAAGGGACAAACATCTACAGTATGACAATTTAATTTGTTTCGCGGTGTCTCTTCTTTATGTAATTGGTGGTTAATTATTTTGAAGACATGAACGCTTTTTGCGCCAAAAAATAATGAAATAAATAACTTTAGTTTTTTTTCTTGTTAAATGGAGTACGGAAAAAAAAGTTGAATGAAATTTAATTTCAAATATTTGAAAAAAAAAAGAAAAAAGAGTGGAGAGAAAAGTTATTGTGAATGAATGAATTGAATTACTCATTACAGCAGTAAACCTGGTAATTGTCGAAATGACCGTAATAAAATGTTAGTTAAAATAAGATAATTATGATAAAAGAAGAAAAAGAATGAAATAATAAAAACTATAATGATTTCTTTTATGATCTATCTCAAAAATTCTTCTAACTAAGTAAGTAATGAATGCCGCCCGCTGGTATTGAATTGTTTTTTTTTAATTTTTGAACGCAAGGTGAGTTTTAAATCGGATCCGCTTTCGAAAATCTTTGAATCAGGTCATGCATTCGGAATATTTCAAAAATTCCAGGCTAGTCCTATTTCCTTTTTATGGTCCGGAGTCCGGACATGAGTTCACTCTGGTTTTATTCAAAAATCGTCTCCGATTCAAAAGCTTCTTAGGAAGATACTGTAGATAATAATAATAATAATAATAGTTGTATTTACATCGTTTTTCAACAATCTTTTTTGTATTTTCTCTTCATTTTCTTCTTCTTCTCCACACTTTTGATGATTATGATGATGATGAAAACAAATAAAACAATTGAGTAGTAAGAAAGACGATATATCTATGTGCTCCTCATCGATTTCTCCCCCTCTCCTACATATTTTTTGACCTTTATTCTTGCTTTTTAAGGGAACTATTTTTACGAATCAATGGAATTCATAAAAAAATAAAATCGCATTTCATTGCAACTTGTCAATTTGACATGTTGCATTGTCAGTAATTAAAAATCGTCGACAAGTTTGATTTTTATCTTGATTTTCAACACAATCGTAGAAATAAATGAATTGAATTGGGAAATGAAGAAATGAAGAAAAGTATTTGAAAATAACATTTTGGGAAATTTTTTTTGAATTGGAATGTAGATATCTAAGCCTGATTTTTTGAAAAATATCTGATGATGTTAGAGTTTTGGAATTGGAGTGGTGTGGAAAAACAGGTCAGATATGATTTTTTTCAATATTAGATAAAATGGATTTCAGGAACCCTGGAAATTAAGAGGAGCCCAATTTTTCCTCTTAAAAACCCGAAAAGTTTTCAAAAAAATTAGAATGGTCATTTTATTTTTTTGGTCCTAACCACATGTGTCTTAAATTGTAAAAATTAAATCTTTATGATGTTGAAAGTCTACTGTAATTATTTATATTAAACAACAAAAATAATAAATTACTCTGTCTCTAATCCTTTGGCGGACCACTTTCTTTTTTCCAGAAAATTATAAACAATTGTAAATATTTTGATGTGGCGGTGTCACTCTAATTTCTAATATATACAACAAATGAACGAAAAAAAACAACAAAACGAGGGGAACAAAATATAAAATTGAAAACAAAAAAAAAGTTTTTGGGCGAAAAAGAAGTTAGGCCCCTCGCAATATTTGCGACTCTATAGATGTAATTTATCATATGAGGCTCAAATCTGGTTGTGTCTTCTTTTTGTCTTTTTTCCTTCCTTTTTTGGTTATAACTCAACAAAAAAAGGAAAAAGTATAGAAAAATGAAACAAATAAAAAAGGAACATCAAACCGAATCAAGAAAAAAATAAATAGATATTTAAATTTGTTCTCAAGTGTTCTCGAAATGAAATGAAATGGACATTGTTTCAGTATTATCAATAAAATAGAAAATATACTGGAAAAATATATCTAACAATGTTTTTCAGCTACAGTAATCTTTGATAATCAAAAAATAATATATCGGGCGACAAAAAAATGGGAACAGTTGGATATATGAAATGTGATATTTTTGCAAACTTATCATCATCATCATCATCATCTTTTCTTATTTATCAATCAATTGTTGGCTCATCATATCAAAGGTTGTGTGAAAGAAAAACGACTAAAAATTTTCTAGAAGGGATCACGAACAGGAAAGATTTTGGTTGGGAAAAGTTAGAAGTTTTTGAATTACAGCCTTTAGAAAATTTGCGCATTTTTTCAAATTAAAATATCTCGGCTCTATGCTTCGAATTTTACTAATTCCCAAAATTTGTTAATAAAAATAATTTTGATTTCTGTCCCGTAGTAAAACATTACGATAAAAAATGTCAAAAGTGTATTGTTCTTGATGGTTTTACAGGCATTTCAGGAGATAATAATCAGAAACTTGAGAAAAATTATTTGAAAATTCACATGAATTTTTATTAGGTACATGAAAAATTTGAATATTATTACAGTAATCCTTTTATTTCTCAAAACTCAAAACTACATTTCTATCTAATTTTTAACCGGATTTTCTTATTTTCCAATTTTTCAAACGTTCCAAAAATGTTAATCCATGATTTTTTCTCACACACAAAAAAACTGGGATTTGGTATGAAGAGAAAATATGAAAAATTGGTTGGACGGGACCATTGGGACGACGTGTATACATGCTATTTGATGAATGCTTTTTTGTGTTAAACATTCGCGTATTTTATATCATATTGGGAATTCCGAAAAAAAGTGAGATATATTTTATGCTAAAAACGTTGGTTAATTCGTTAATAAATAAAATAAATCATTCTAAATTTAAAAATATACGTGAACAAAACACATCAACCTCATTTCTCAAAAACAATTCAATAAAAAATGTGAGTTTCACTAAATAAAAACAAAAATTCAAAAAACGTCTTCAAAAAACAGGAACCATTTTAATTTTTAGCAAAAGTACACTAAAATAGAATATACTTAAAAATTCATCTCCATTGAAAATGAATAATTAGAAATCTCTATTCATTTCTATGAAAAATGAAAAACGACTCTAAATTTGAGACATACATTGTTTTAAATATTCAATTATATCCATTTACTTTCATATTTCTGCAAGCTATTCGCTTTTAGAATAGGGATCCAAATTTCAATTGAAACCAAAAAAAACACATTTTCAAACTCCCTCCGTTCTTAGAGTGTGTGGCCTAGGAGCCGAACGAATTCCTAGTCCCTTGCAAATTTTGAATTTTTGTGTTTTTATTTCGAAACCGCGGTTTACCTAGAATCATTTTGTCTCAATGCAAGCAAAGCAATATTATCGATCTTTTTATGAGTCATTTATGCAATATGATGCTACTAATTTCTGGAATTCAGTATTCATTGTGAGTTTTGTTGAGTCTAAAAGTAGAAATATATCTGTTTTAGGCAATAAGACAAGATTCCGAACAATATATTGTCGATAATAATCTTTCATTCAAAGTTGCCAGAGATGAGCTGAATGCAAATAAGAATCGCTATTTGGATGTAGCGCCTTGTATGTTTCAAAATTGAAAACAAGTTATGAAATTTAATTTTCAGTTGATCAATGCCGAGTGAGACTAACACCAACTGAAAAGAACACAACAGGATATGTAAATGCATCTCCAGTTGTAATAGCTGAAGCTAAGCGAAACTATATTCTTTGCCAAGGTCCAATTGAAACAACATGTGGTGATTTCTGGCAAATGATTTGGGAGAACAATGTTCCACTTATAGTTATGTTGAATAGATTGATCGAGAATAATAGCTGGAAATGTCATGATTATTATCCAATGAAAGGAAAAGATTATGAAACATTCGAAAATTGGCATGTAAAACTTATTGAAGAAATCGACAAAGGAGCTTTTGTTCATCGCAAAATCGAACTTACTAATTTATCCACTCAAACAACTAGAATAATTCAACATGTTCAATATATCGAATGGCCAGACTTTGGAGTTCCTCCATCAACTGAATGTTTTCTCGAAATGATGAATTATTGCATTGGTAATTACTTCAAAGTTTTATTCGAAAAGTTGTAGTCAATTTTCAGATTTAAATAATATGCCACATAGTACTGAAGAGCCACCAGTTGTTGTTCATTGTTCAGCTGGAATTGGGCGATCTGGAAGTTTTGTATTTATTGATTCAATTCTTAGAATGTGTGAACTTGAACATAAAATGGAAGGTCGAATTGAAGAACATGTTCTTCGAATGAGAAGATCGAGATATGGACTTATCCAAACTCCTGCTCAACTTCGTTTTGCTTGGTTAGCAATTATCGATGCACTTGGAAATAAGTTTGGTTTATCTCCAACAAACCTCGAAGAAATAAAAACTGCAGAAGAAGAAGAACAATCAGCTGAATCATCTACTTGTCAGAAAAAGTGAGTTTTCAAATTTGTGCATTGTCTCTTTTTTTGCTTCTCAACCTATCCATTCACTGTTTTGAGAACAGAAGCCAACGACAAGAATTCAAAAAAGAAGAGCAAATCATTGAGCAAAAAATTATCGCAAACAATCAAAAAAGTCTCAGTCAAAAAGACGAAAATAGAGAAAAAAGGTATCTAAATGTATTCTTTTTCGCTTCAAATCAACATGTTTTCAGAATAATTTTGTCTAACAATTATGTTGTTTGCATGCATTTTTGTTGTTCTAACATATCATTTTTACCAAAGCACTTTTCAGTTACTTTCCCAAGATATAAAGTTTTAGTAACTATATGTTTTTAACTTCTCATAATTTTATAAATAACCAAATATTCAGACGCGAACTGATTGAAAAAATGGTGGAAAAAAGTCGTTTGGCTGAAAAATCTCAACAAAACGGAGGTAATTTGTGGAAAATTTCGATATCTGTTGGAACAATTGCAATTGTCGCTGGCGGTTTAGCCTATTTTTTCTCATATCCACGCAATTCTTTGTAAAATATTCTCATTTTTTTGACCATATCTGATTTGTTTTAATTTATTGAAAAATTATATATTATTTGTGCCTTATCGGACAACATTCTTGTTAGATATCAATTCATTCCAATTTCACAATAATTTTTAGAATAAAACGAAATATTCAATTGTTGTATTTTATCCGAAAATAACTGTTTCCATACAGTTGAATATATTTTATTTTTTGATTATTTTTGTATGATGAGTTTATAATCAAAAAATCAGAAAATGTTTGGAACATCAACATTCGGTGCAAATAAGACAAATTTGTTTGGATCGACTTCAAACAATTCGTCAACAAATAACTCGAATAATTCAACTGCCGATGACTTTTTTGTGAGTTCACATTTTAAACAAAACAATAAAGTTGTTCTATAATACAAATTGTTTCAGATCGAAGGAGCTCCAGATGACACAATTCAAGTTATCAAATTCAGTCCTCAACCACAAGATAAACCAATGATTGCATGTGGAAGTTGGGATGGTGTAAGTTACTAAAAAATTTGGCGAGCTTGCTAAAAATGGTCGCAAGCTGGCTAAAAGTCGATTTTTGTAGCAAAACTTGCTGCTTTTTTCCCGAGTTATTCAGTTTATATATAAATATCATCAAAAAAATTATTTAAATGAAGAAAATCAGGGTTTTTAGACTATCCGAGTTTGGATGTACAACGATGCTGGAAATTTCGAAGGAAAAGCTCAGCAAAATGTGAATGCACCAGTACTTGACATTTCCTGGACTGATGTAAGATTTTTATTTAATTTATCATCCCGGTTTTCCTCAAATATTGCATTTTTCAGGATGGTTCGAAGATTTTCATTGCTGCCGCAGACAAAGATGTCAGACTTTGGGATTTGGCATCAAATCAAGTAATACTTGAATCTCTGTTCATTTTTAATAATCCTATTTTTTTTAGATTGCTGTTGTTGGAACACATGATGGACCAGTAAAAACATGTCATTGGATAAATGGAAACAATTATCAATGTCTTATGACTGGATCTTATGATAAAACTTTGAGATTTTGGGATATGAGAAATTTGCCACAACAAAACTCATTGGCTAATATTCAGGTATGTGGAAAATCTTTTAAGTTTGCTGCTTTCTTTCTGAACCATGGGACGGCTAGGGAAAATAGGTTCAGAACTTCTGAAAAATTTCAAAAATCCAGGAGAATAGATCGCGTTTCAAATAATCAGATCCAAATCGAAAATCGGGAAAAACACTTCTTTGGATATTTTATTTCAAATCACGAAATGCATTTCTAAATTTTGACGGCCTGAAAATTCACGTTTCATATTTTTAAAACAACGTTTTCCCTGAAAATGTTTTAAAAATAAGGTTATTTTTTTAATTCACAATCAGGATGGTTTCGCGGTAAAATACTTTGAATGAAATTTATCAGTTTTTGTCTATACGCTGAAGCTCTTGCCTATTCTCTGAAAATCATAAATAAAAATTCGTCGTAATTTCAGTTACCTGAACGTGTTTATGCAGCTGATGTTGTTTATCCGATGGCTGTTGTTGCGTTGGCAAATAAAAGGATCAAAGTGAGAATAAATTTTTCAATTTTTCATTTCATTTCCCAATTTTTTTTCAATAGGTTTACAATTTGGAAAATGGTCCAACTGAAGTGAAAGATATCGAAAGTCAACTGAAGTTCCAAATTAGATGCATTTCAATTTTCAAAGATAAAAATAATCAAAATCCATGTGGATTTGCACTTGGATCGATTGAAGGAAGAGTTGCTGTGCAATATGTTGAAACTGCGAATCCAAAAGACAATTTCACATTCAAATGTCATCGATCGGCTGAGTTGATTCACAACTTCCAAGAGATTTACGGTGTATGTTTCAAGTTGTATTTGTTTCCGCTGATTTTGAAAAAAAATCGAATTATTTTCAGGTCAATGACATTTCATTCCATCCTCAACACGGTACTCTTGTAACTCTTGGATCTGATGGCCGATATTCAATGTGGGACAAAGATGCGAGAACAAAACTAAGAACATCTGAACCGCATCCGATGCCTTTAACTGCTTGTGATATTCATAGTAGCGGACAATTTTTGGTTTATGCTCTAGGATATGATTGGAGCAGAGTTAGTTATTTTTGGAAAAAATGGTTTGGGATTGAATTCAGTCAGCTGAATGCGAAATCTTTTCATTGTGATCAGAAGAGCAAAAACTACTTATGAGAATGAACTTATATCGCATCAAAAATCTGAAGTGAAAGCTCAAAAAGTTCTCTTGCTAATTGAAGTTGAAAGGATGTATTTTTAGAACCCCTCTATGAACATTTCTGATCGAGATTTCCAATGATCGTATTATATTTTTAGGGTCATGAAAATAATACACAACCTGGATCGAAAATTGTTATGCACAAATGTATCGAGGACATGAAACCACGTTCGTCGAAAAAATAATAGATTTGATTTTAACCCTTTTTTTAAATATATGTTTCACATTCCGTTGAATCTCATTTTTGTGGGGTCCCGGCCCGTCGTTTTTTTTTCTTCACATTTTTTTCTTTTTTCTGTCGAATAAACGTTTTCTCCTCAAAGTGTCTTCTAAATTGAGTTGAAGCGCGTATATGAGCACTTGTCATATCTTCTCCCCTTCTCGTTTTTTTTTCATCTTGTACCAATCAAATCATGACAGGAAAAAAGAAGAGACGAAGAAAAAGTGCACGATTAAATTAGGAGACGAATAAAACACAAAAGACGAGGTAAGTTCTCAGATTTTTGATCTTCGGGTTGGACAAAAATAAAAAGAGGAAGTACGCCAAGTTTATAAAGCAACAATAAGATTTTTGGACTTTTCGAAACATGAATCAAAAGTTTGGACTTTAAAATACAGCAAATTTTCAAATATTTGGGCAGTGAGATTCAGGTTTTCTAATTGAAAAAAACCCTTACTCTAGAGAATTTAAACTTCCGAAAAATGCTAACATTTCAACTCAAACTTTTTTTTGTTTTTTCTGATCAGCGAGTTGAAGCGGAATCAAAAGTTCAAAAGAAAAATAGTTTTTTTCTATGAATTTCTGACAAGTTCCTGAAAACAATTATTACGATTTTCGCAAAAAAACCCAATTTTCTAAAAAATGTATATGCCACGTCATCTCACGCTTTTCCCCATTCTTTTTTTCATTTATTTATTTTTTTTTCAAAATTCATTTTCCTGTTTTTTATGTGTTTTATTGCAACATTCATGTTCTTCTCAATTTATTTCCTTCTTTTTTTTCCGAAGCATCGAAATTGGATCCATCTTTCAAATATATTTTAGTATAGAATAGACATTAAAGACATGGTCATCATCTCCTCGTTTTTTCGTTATCCTTCCTAAAAGTGTCATTTTTCAATCCAAAACAAGATGACACGATTTGTGGAAAATGAGAGAATAAAACACGATGATGTTTGAATGCGAAATTTGTAAGCCCTTTTCGGATTTTGTGCGTAATTTTTAAGAAGACGATGAAAATTTTATGACGCGTGGATTTATGGAAAATTTTATGCTTTTATGAAATGAGTTTGAATATTGAATACCGTAAGTTTTTTTGAATTAAAACACACATAATGCAATGTTTCTTCTTCGATTATAATGAATTTAATATTTGTGAAAAAAAAACATGAATAGATATCTTCTTTCTAAAAACAAAATATTTTCTCGGAAAACATTTCTCGGACCCTTTTGTGAGTTATTTGTCTCTCCATCAACGAAAAAAAGAAGAAAAACGATGATAAATGATGGTGCATGAATTTTATAGTAGTATCAAACTGATTTTTTATTCATACACGAGCCATAAACACATTTTGAGTAGAAAAAGGAAGTGCTTTGGAAAGAAAATTGGTATATGGATGAATGAGTCTTCTAGGTAGGTAGACAACGATTATTTTATTTTTATTACTAGGCTGTTTGCCCAAAAAAGTGCAATAAAACTGAACTCTGTGAGCAAAAGCAAAAAACAATTGAAATATAGACAAAAGAGTCCCCAAGTCTTTTTATTTTTCAATCCATTCATGCAGGTGCATGAGCCATCTTTCTCTTTTTAAAAATGCATACTCTATTTTCGATTCTGTCATTGTGAAAATGATGACGATGACAATGTTGAACAATAGAAACCAACCACAAACACTAAAATTGAATATACTTTTTAAACCTCCATTTTTGTCGAAAAACATGGAATGAATATATATTTATATTTATATGAAAAAAGTCATCACTAGTATCTATGTGTTATTCGATACTGAATAAATAAATTGGCAATTGAATAGAATGGCCGTGGGACTCTTCGTTCATACAATACTTTCGTTGTTTGCAACTATCACCATGTTTTTAATTGAAATTCAATTTTTCGATTGATAATTGAATAAATTGAGTTTTCTATATTTTTATCGGGAATTCAAATCAATTTACACAACTCAAGATAAAATATATAAATATATAAAAAATAATTTACCACATACAATTTATTTAGGAAAAAAAGAGGGTGTTATTTGTTGTTGTCGGAAAAAGAAATGGGTATTGATTAACCGAACTTGCAAAGAAAAACTTGAGAAAAAATCAGCTTGTTTTTAAAGGTACATATGTGTGTATTTTCTTCTTCATTTTGGGACCTCACACTAAATGCGCGACTAGACGAGATTTGACGAAGAAGAAAGAGCAAATTAGGAAGGATGGAAGGAAAAAAATGGAAGGAAGGAAGAATAATAAGTAAGTAAGTAGACAAAAATGGAAACAAATACTTCTTGTTGGAAAAAAATGGCAAAAATATAATCGGAATGTTTGTGGATTTTTTTGGGTGATTTTTAGAATGATCACAGGAGTGAGAAGAAAATTATTTTTTGACCTCGTTTGTGAGGATTTGGAAGAGTTCTTTGTCAGCCAAACAGCCGTCAACAAATTCTTTCAATGTCAATTCTTTGTCGTTGTTTACGTCCATTTTTTCGAAAATCATCTTAGCACGTTTTCGTGGTGAATCATCGGCTGATTTTGTTACTTCAGGACCGAGCATTTCATAGATTGCCTGAAAAACATAAAATCATACTTGATGTTTTATCTTTTATTTTTAGTACAATGCTTCTTTTTTTATTTAAAAAAGTCGTGACAAAGTTAAGAACTGAAAAGTATAATTGAAATTTTCTCACACCAACAATTCTGAAACAAAGCTAAAAATAGTAGTGATAAAACTATTTTCGGGTGTATTTCTCACAAATAAATTATTAATTTGTAGTTTTATTCGTCATTGCGTGCTATTAATAATTTTTGACCTTTTCCGTTTTAAAACACTTCACATCTGGCGAAACCTTCACATCTGGAGCTTTTTTACGAGTCTTCTAAACTACGAAAAAATGAAGAGAGAAAAAACGAACCTCGATAATTTTAATCATTTCTTTCTCATCTATCGTTCCATTTCCATCAATATCATACATTCTAAATGCCCATTCCAATTTTTGTTCAGGTGTTCCAGAACTCGTCACATTGATAGCCAATAAGAATTCTTTGAAATCAATAAAACCGGAATTATCCGTGTCGAAAGTACGGAATACGTGTTCACAAAATCCTTCAGCAGACCCAGACGGGAAGAAATCCTTGTACACTTTGATGAATTGTTCTTTAGTCAAATGACCTTTTGGACAATCTTGCTACAAATTTAGATTATTTAATATGATAACAACTACAATTAATTATTGAGTTTTTGAATAAAAACAACTTACAACAAATCCTTTATACCATTCTTTGATTTGTTCCTCCGTGAAATTGGTATTTTTCTTCAAAAATTCCAAATCCTCCTTGGATAGTTTTGGCTTGGAACCTTTGATTCCCATCGTCTAATTGATATATAATTGAAACAATATGAAAATAAACAAAATTGGTTTCGCCTCTGTAAAATCGAATATTATAAATTGAGGAAAGACAAAAAACGGCGAACAATATAATAAAAAGAAAAGACGTTGATAAAATAATCGAATAAAATTATGGACGGAATGAAAAACGAAATTGTTTGATACAGAGACAACACAATGATACAGAGACAACACAAAAAAAAGGAAAGACGATTATGTTTGATGCAATGCGAAATATTGTGTATTAAATTTGTGAATAGATTATCGATAAAATGTTTTGTGGGGGCGAAAAGGAGATTTTGAGCAAAAAATAAGGAAAAAAAACTGGTTATTTCATTATACTAATATTTTTCAAATTTATTTACAGGAAACGCGAAAATGGCAGTCAACAAAAGAAGAATGTTGTTTAAAAGACAGCCAATTTTCGAGAGAATTCTACAAGTTTCGTTCCAATACATTTGACAATTGTAAGTGGAACAACATTTCTTACAAGAAATAAAAACATTCGATAGAAATGAATGTTCCAAAAGAATGAAACGCTCTTTTTTAAAAGAAAAAGATGGAACAATTCAGATCTTTTTTGATCTCTTATGAAAATCCCTGAGCTGTCAATCAGATACAATTGAACATTTCAAATATGAAATATGGAGCAAGAAAAAAAAGGAAGATATGAATATTAATAATAATAACAAGAAATAATCCTGTGTAGATCAAATCGAGATTAAATCTACATATATTTCTTACAAACAACAAGCTATATAAGAAATAATCGACGAAATTTTGAACATTTTGGAACCAATTTGAAATTCATTTCAACTTTATTTTGTATCTATAACCGAATTTTCAAAAAGTAATCCAATAAAAATTTGATGAGTATTGCTCATTTTAACAAAATAACATGATTATTGAGAAAACCCGTGATTTGTGAACAGAACGCTGTCTTCTACCTGCATTTTCAAGGATTGGGCATGTTAGCAGCCGAAAAAAGAAGAGGACGAAAAATAGAAGAAGAAGTATGTATGTGAGCATGTACTAAACGCATTTCTTGTCTCTCTTCGTCTCACACTCTCTTCACACTCTTTCACAACAACAAAATCGATGAGGCTTGGTGAAAAGAGTGTCCAGAGGCAGTCAGATGAGAAGAGAGAATAAGCGAAAAGAAGAAGAAGGAGGGGCTAGACCTCCTCATATACGCCCCAAGGCAATAAATCGATGACGTGTAGAAGAAGGAAAGAGTTGCATAAATAATTGTGGATGAGAAGCACGAGTGGTTAAAATAACATGACATGAAAATCTTTTTTGTTCTCTTTTTCGAAAAAAAAAACATTTACAATGTTGTGGACTTTAAAACTCGTATATATCCTATTTCAATTTTCAAAACGAAAAACTTCAATTTTTAAGAGCCTATTTCGATTTTGTTATTTGCAAAATAACCACTTTCCATATTTTTCTCGAGAAAGTGAAACATCTACGGACTTTTTTCTATTCGATCGAACAAACAAAAGTGGAAGAGAACACTAAAGAGAAACATTATGAACCTCAAAAAATCGGAGATTGAAATTCGATCCAACGAAAACATTTCAACAAAAAGAAACGTTGAAAAAACAACACATTCAGTAGGAAAAAGAACGGCAGCTGATATATCAAAGGATATATTTCGTTTGAGGCCATTTTTTGCCTAACCCTTTCTCGATTTCCATTTGACACGTAATGATAAAAAAGTAGATAAGAGGAAACGGAAAACTTTCGACCTGAGAAATGTGTTTTAAGGCGAAATACAAATATTTTAAACAAACTTATTTGCGGAAAGGAATTCAGTAGGAAAACTTAAGTAATCAAATAGAAACATGACAAAATTAGTGGTTTATTCACGAAACATTTTTTCGCTTTCTCCGAGAAAAAGGAGAAAAACGTGGGAAAATATTGAAAATGCCAGTTGAAGTGTGAGAGAATTCTTTTACTTTTTTGTTGTTTCAAACAAAAATTGTTTCATTTCATTATGAAACAGAAAATCCGACAGTTTCATTTAACTGTGGATTCACTATGCCTAATTCTATAATATTAAAATAAAATTTTAAATCCAATATTTTTCAGTGTTCTTTAGATGAATTAACAAAATTAATTTCTGGAAAAGTTTATTCACTAGATCGAATCATTGACAAATTTTTCTTCGGAAGTATTAGTGATATTAATTTATAGAGAAATGCTGAAAAACTGATCATTCCAAAATTCTTGATTATAGAAACTGCATTTGTAGTTTTTTATTTAATTGAAAATTGGAATATCAATTTTCGAATAAAAAACGAAGGAAAAAAGGGGGATTAATGACTGATGATGAATGAAATGAGTGAAGAAGAGGCTGAAGAGAAAAAATGGAAAGAAGAAGAAAAAAGAAGACTAGTAGTCTTCTCGTCGTGCTGCTCAAAATGCAAACAAACAATATTCACTTTCACTCACTCACTCACTCTCGCCTTGAATTCAATTGAGAAGGAAGAAGAGAATACGTATTGCAGTCAGTCAGAACATCGAGTGTGAGCAAAGGAAAGAAATAAGCAGAGCTCGGAAAAATCAACGTCGTCGGATTATTTTCTTCATATTATTATTATTATGCGTACATTATCATATATTCTAATGAATAAAAGTTGTGATTCAATAGGGAAAAGAGACATCTAACATCTCATTTCTTTGATTTTCGATTTCAACATCTTGACTCTGGTATATTCCTACCATTTCGAAATTGACATCAACTCATTATCCTCTTCTTAAAATTTATGAAATTTATAGTAGGGTTGAAAAGCAGTGTATCTGCGTACACGAATACAGATTACAGCGGTTGTCTAGAGTTCCTAAATCAAAACGTGGTGTTCTGATATCTCAAAAACTTTCCCATGGTAACTTGATGTTGAAAGCTCATTCGAAAGTGCTTGTTTGATTAGAAATATTTCTGAGAAAACAGCTGAAAAGGTTGACTAAGATGATGTTATTCAACAAAAGAAAAAAATTAGAAAAAGAAAAACTAGGAGAGGATCAAAACGATTAGAATAATATTAATAAGAAAGAGAAGGGCTTGTGACGTACGGACAAAAAGAAATCATGACGCAAGTTTATTTCGGGCTTGCGAACGAATGAGAAAGAAAGCAATAAAAAAGCCACGAGACATGTACATACAATGATAAGAAAATAATTGAATTTTTTCATCTTTAAGATGGGACGAGAGCAAAAATACGTGGCTTTTGCTCAAAACATGTTCCGCTATTTTCAAGACAATCAAAAAATTGTGGTTGGAAGAAAAATAAAGGACAATGAACTGAATTTAGGCAACACAAAAACACGTCATTGATTTGTCTTCCATTTTCGATAAATAGCATTAGCGTGCGCTTTTTTATTTTTCTAGTGAAAAGGCGCCACCAGAACCACCCAAAAAGTATGTATTTTTGATGTAAATATAGAAAAAGGGACGATGGACGACCAGTCAGAGGGTGGTGTAAGAAATTTGAGATAGATGTTGTGTTTTTTTTTCAAGAAAGACAAAAAAGAGGCGGAGGAGGGATCAAAAACATGAAATGTTTTTTCGAAGCGTTTAAGGATGCAAATTTGATTTTCACACAAAATAGGATTGAAAGGTTGAAAGGACTATAAAATGATGATTTTTGAAGTGTGCATTTTGAGAAGTAAATACTTGAAAGAAAGCATGTGAGTTTTGAGTATAAAAAGTGCGAGTGATCTAATTATGTCTCAAAATCTCAGTTTTGTGTATCAGTTTCGCAACAAATATATTTCTTATTTAGAATCTTTCCGATCTATAACAAAATCTGCAATTGGTTGTCATGAACTATTTTGATTAGTTATTAACATTTTCCAATTGAACTTCTGATCTTTATGTAAAAATAAATATTCTATTTTGGTTTTTTTTATGCCACGGAAATAATCAGAAATGTACTATAACGAAACACGAAACTCTAAAATTGAGTTACTCTCATAAAACAAAACGAACAATTTAGACAAAAAAGTAAGACGAAACTGGCAAAATGTTTCTGGCAATTTGGTCGGATGTTTTTGGCGGTAAGAAGAAATGGAATGGAAAATTGGAAGAGTAGAAAAAAAAAAGAAAAAGAGAAGAAAGAGTGAGTGAATGGGCGCTGCTGAGCCGGATAGCCGTTTCTGGAGAGACAGAGATGGATGGGGGATATTATTTTTATTATTATTGTTATTACGACTACTATTTTTCATTCTGAACACAATACCATGAATACATTTTAGATGAAACTGCATTTGATGATTAATTGGGTGAAATCGTTTCAAAAACCGATTAATATAAAAATTTCTAGCAATATTCGCCTCTTTTTGTTTCCCTGAAAATGACAATTGACATTCTAGAAAAAAATTAATCCAAGTATTTATTTCCTTTAGTAACAACTCATGATTTTTAATCTTCTATTTAATACTCAACCACTTTCACGCGTCTATGAACACCACAAACCCTATAATAGTAGCTTTCTAGAATCACATCATTTTTCTAACGTTTTATGGGCCAACAAAACATATAGAAAAAATCCATGTGCTAAAACATCATGCTCAAAACTGTATATACGAATATATGAACATGAACAATTCTGATAAGAAGAAAAAATAATATTGGGTGCAAATATTTGAAATTATTGTGTTGCAAGAAACATGCAAATTTGATCTAACTGTAGCCTATTAGAAATAGTATTAGCTTTATTATTTTTGAAAGATCATTTTTTTTCAGAATGGAGGATGAACAATCATCATCATCTTCAATCACAGCTTCTACAAATCAATCAGGTAATTAAAAACATAAACTGATAAAATTGTCTTCTCCCGCTAACAAACTTCCTGTTGCGAAACATTTTGGGTTTCATTTTTCTTTCTTTTTTTCACGTTTGTAACTCAAAAAAGTTTAGTTTTCGCCTCTACTAATGTACCCAGAAAGCATTTACGAAATTGACAATTTCGTTTATCTTTTTTTTGTGTCCGAAGAAGTTTCTTTTTTCCGAAAATTGGAAAACGAGAAAATGCGGAGGAGGAAAAAAAGGAGTGAAGTTTTATCCGGACAAAAATCGCAGAATAGTTCCCTTGAGAATCACAAACCACCAAATATATATCTAGACAGCAGCAAAAAGTTAAGTTTCTAAGGGATCTCAAACAAATATTGAAATTTTTTGAAAGCTACCAGAATGATTTTTAGATCCTTCGTCTTTTTCAAATCTATAAATTTGATAATAAAATCACTTTGCAGTTGAATTGTTGGTTTCTTTTTCATTCAACTGAAACGAACAAGTATCCATGAATTAATTAGTGTTCTTTATTATGCATAGACTCGTTTTTTTAATGCAAAATTCAAATCGGCGCCAACTTTTAGTCTCTATATATTCTTCTTCACAGAAAAAAAAAAGAAGAAAGAAAGAAGAAGATTGAATTTGAGGGGAAAAGTTGTGGGTCCTCTCGACGAACAAAAGAATGAATAAATGTGTGAGAAAAAACGCTAAAGGATGCTCTTTTTTCCTCACTTTTTGACTACTACTACTACTTTTCGATAAATATTTTTGTTGGTTTACTTTTAGGGAGTCAGACATCAGAAAAATAAAGAAACAAACGAACAAAAACAAGTACTGTAGAAATATTTGATGGCCAATTCAACTCAACGAAAAAACATCTTGAATCAATTAGCCCACGCTTAAATTGTTGTTTCAGCAAAAGAAATAAAAGTTTCAGAGCTAAACAAAAAAAAGTTTTTTTTTTCATTTTAGAAGACACGTAGGAATAATAACAAAGAAAAATGGGGGAGAATCCCTTGAGAGTTGAGATTAGACCTTGGGTAAGAAAATGAATGAATGAGTCACAAGAGAGATAAAAAGAAGGAAATTTGAAATTGTAGTTGTATAGAAAAAGGAAGGAAATATTGTGGAATAAAATACCGAAAAACAATAATAATCATATCATGGAAAATTACAAAAAAAGAGGATTGACCAATTGCTAGATGTGATTTTCTATAGAACTGTATTAGAAAAAGAGAATTTTAATATCTGACCAAAAAAAATTCCAACTAACCTCGAGCCACACTTTTAATGTCATTTTCCATATCCGAAAAATTTCGAAATAAAACATTTCCACGTTAAATTTTCAAATTAATTTGAGGTCACAAAACACGTGTTTTTCATTTTTTTTTTCAAAATCAACCATTTTTGGCATTTTCAATTTTATATACGCAAAAGAAATCAAAGATTCCAAAAAAATCGAGTTAGTTTTCTCTTTGTCAATGATGTTATAATTTTCAGAACGCTAAACCATAATCAAATTTTCAAATAAATTGAATAATTTCTGATCTTTATAGGTATCTCAACTTCTGGTTCTTTAATTGTAAATCGACGCCGACAAGAAGGAAATCCAGTATTGAAATATGTTCGAAATGTCCGTTATGAATGGGGCGATATTGCACCAGACTTTGAATGCGGTTCAACTTTTGCCGTGATTTATTTGAGTTTTAAGGTTTGCGATTTGGCGGGTACAATTGAAATATTTGCAGAAAAGATGAAGGTGTGAAATATTTATTCTTCACTTTTTTTTGACGTCACAGCTGTTCTCGGACTAAAAACCTCGAAATGATATAAATAAAGCTGTCAATAATAATTCGTCAAAAAATAGTGAGAAAAAAAGAAGAGGATGAATTTTGAAGAACTTGGGGGAACTTTTTTATGTTCTTTTATGATCTCTTTTTTCGGTTTCGAAAATTTCATGAAATTAAATTAGAAATTGTATACATTGATGAATGAAGGATTACCATATACTTTGAAAATTAGAAAATGAAAGAAACACCTAATCCTTCGACGGATATGTCTAGTTTGCTAATTTATGAACAAAAAAGGGATATGAAAAATTATTTAATTTTTTTTACAGTATCATAAAATGCATCCAAACTATGTATATAGTCGTTTAAGTGCTCGAGCAGAAAATAATTACAAGAACAAAGTTTTATTGGCATTTTGTAATGTTGAAGAACCTCGACACGTTCTTCGAGAATTGAATATGATGTGTTATAGACAATCATGGACTCTTGTTGTTTGTTATTCGGTAATTTATAGATTTATCCAATGATTTTATTTCAATTATAATAATTTCAGGTTGAAGAAGCTGCTGAATATATCGAAAATTTCAAACTTTCGCAATCAAAAGATGTTACATTTAAGTAAGTATGTTTTCTGAACAACACAAAACAAGATGAAAGAAGGGAAAAAAAGAGTCGGAAATTATACGCGCGCTCACTCTTTTTACCAAACACTATTTTGTTGGTTAGACTCGATCAAGCGAGCTATTGTTCCGACACAAAAGTTTTTTTTCCCGCATTTTCTTTGTTGGTCAGATGTTTTGAGGGATTCATATTTTTCTCTTCTTCAGAAAACCCAATCAGTCTGCCACGGATGACGCGAGACAAAAAGCATTGGAAGCGGCGATTGGAATATTGACATCGGCTAGAAATATTTCGAAAACTGATGCTCAAAGACTTCTTTTCAATTTCGGAACATTGGAAAATATTTGCAAAGCTGATGAATCTCAACTTGCTCTAAGTCCTGGATTAGGACCTATCAAAGCCAAAAATCTTCATGCATTTTTAAGATGTCCACTTTCTAGCTGAATAAACATTTATGAACCTTTTATAAAATATACTGTAATCTGGTTTTACTTCCAAACTTATCTTCTGAAATTCTTTCGAACTTTCAAACTTGGTGAAATTCGTTAAAAATTTTGACGAAATTTCATTTTTACAAAAAATGACCAGATTTGAAGAATTCAACTTAATACGTTATATTAACTTTAATCCTGTGATATAATTTTTGTGAAAACAAAAACTCTAAAAACTCACCAACACGCTATGCCAGCCGATACAAAAATCAAATTTCTGGGAGACGCAGACTTTTAACACAGGCAGAGACATCTCTCGCCTTTCCTTCCCCCTAGGGCGATATATTGCACTGTTCGCAGAGACAGCAGACAAGCAGACACACACAAAACATAGCGCTTGGCCGCGCCGGTTTTTCGTCTGTCGCTGCGTTTATATACCTCAGCGGCATCGCCCTTTGATGTGTTGAGGTCTCGCAGCGACTTTCTAACCTAAAATGAATGTCTGCGTCTCCTCGAATTTGTGTGGTGGCACGACGTGCCAACTTTGGTCAGAAAACGAAAAAAAATGGCCGAACTTTTATAGGGTCGCAGTTTTCTAGTCCAGCTGTTCGGGTTTCTAGTCCACCTATTTTTTTTTAATTTTCCGAAATTTCCCGAAGTTTTCCTGTTGCGAAATTGTGTTTGTTGAAAAATAGTTCGAGTCCTCGAGAGTATTTTAAATAACTTATATTAACATACTGTTTTATCCTACAAGCTTGTAAATCAAAAAAATCAAGTTTCTGCATATTTCTATTTTGTTTCTCTTCTCTTATCTAATCAATGATAAAATAGTTTTCAAACAAACTTATTACGAAAATTTAGGTGAAAAAAGACATATGTCTGATGTGCCAAGTGATGCAAATGCTGGATGTCCAGGAACCGGAAGTGATGGAGCTGGTAAAGCATCAGGTTGTGCAGGCTGTCCAAATCAAAGTTCATGTGCAAGTGGAGCCGGACCAAAACCAGATGCTGATATTGAATTTATTCAAGATAGATTCCGAAAGATTAAACATAAAATTTTGATTCTCAGTGGAAAAGGTGGTGTTGGAAAAAGTACATTGACTTCGAATTTGGCGAGAGCACTTGCTGCAGATCCAACAAAACAGGTTTGTTATTCATGAATTTTTACATGAAACTTTGTTTTTTCGAAAGGTTGCGATTCTCGATGTCGATATTTGCGGACCATCACAACCACGAATGATGGGAGTCGAAAATGAAGAAGTTCATAGCAGTGCCGATGGATGGACTCCAGTTGGAATTCAACCAAATTTAACATTGATGAGTATTGCATTTTTGCTTGGAAATAAAGACGATGCTGTTATTTGGAGAGGTGCTAGAAAGAATGGAATGATCAAACAATTTTTGAAAGATGTTGATTGGGGAGATGTAAGATTTGTTCTTTTTTTTTCAAGTTTTTCAGAAGATCTCTAGATTTTGAAATATTTATAGGTTGATTATCTTTTAATTGATACACCACCTGGAACTTCTGATGAACATATTTCACTTGTTCAATTTTTGCTCCAAGCTGGACCATTGGATGGAGCTTTGATTATTAGCACACCTCAAGAAGTATCATTATTAGATGTTCGAAAAGAAGTTAGTTTCTGTATGAAAACGAAGGTTCCAATTTTGGGAGTTGTTGAAAATATGGCAAGATTTGTATGTCCGAATTGTGCACACACAACTATGTTATTCCCGAATTCAACAGGTTTGTTTCATTTTTTTTCTTCACTCATTTTCTAATTTCATTTTATTCCAATTATAGGTGGAGCTGAAAAAATGTGCGCCGATTCGAATCTTGAACTTCTTGCTCAACTTCCACTTGATCCAGCATTGGCAAAAGCACTTGATAATGGCGAAGATTTCTTTGAAACTCATCCAGATTCTACTTTAGCTACTTCTTTCAAAAAACTTGCGGAACAAGTTCAAGCAAAATTGAAATAAGGTTGAATAAGCACATTTTTCATAGTTGTTTTTTTTGTGATATGTTTTATTTTGTTATGAAATCAAGTTATTCTACTTTATAATTTCACTTGTTTAGAAAAACTTGAATCTAAATATAGGTGAATATGCATCGAGTTGTTATATCTGGAATGGGTGCAATTACACCATTTGGTGTATCAGTTGCGAATTTGAGAAATGGATTAATGGAAGGAAGAAGTGCTTTGAGATATGATGAAGTTTTGAAGTTCGTTGTCGGAGAAGTTCAAGGTGAAAAAGTTGAAAATCGATGGACAGCTGGACAACAAAGAGAAATGAGCAAATCAAGTATTTATGCATTAGTAGCTGCTGAAGAGGTTTGTTTCTTTATTTTTTTCAGACGAAATTGCATTCCAAGATCTATTTCAGACTCTTTCTTCAGCAAATGCTCTTGAAATCGATCATAATGAAACAATTGTAAATATAGGAACATGTATGTCAGATTTACTTCATATTGGAGAAACAGCACAAAAAGTATCAGCAAATCAATCAAGGAAAGTTTCACCATATTTTGTTCCACGGATTCTGAATAATCTACCTGCTGGATATGTTGCTATGAAGTTAGTTTTTTGGGAGATGCGAGTGGAAAAATGGTCAAGACATTCAAAAAAATCAAAACATTGTTTTTAACAAAAGCATCAATAATACTCTCAATTTTAGATTTATTTTTAAATTCTTGCGTCATAAATGTTAAAGTTCCCTTTTTCAAAAATCCAATCGAATTTCTATTTTTTGAAAATTTTGATTCTCATTTTATTATTTTAAATTTCCAGATATAAAATGCACGGCGGTGTCGAATCAACATCAACAGCTTGTGCAACTGGTCTTCATTGTATTGGAAATGCATTTCGTGCAATTCGACACGGTTATGCAAAAAGAGCAATTGCCGGTGCTGTCGAATGTGCACTAAATCCAATATCATTGGCTGGATTTGATAGAATGAGAGCATTAGCGAGAGGAAATGATATAACTATTAGCAGACCTTTTGATAAAACAAGAAATGGTTTTGTTTTGAGTGAAGGGGTTAGTTTTTAAGATTATCTTTCGGAATTTATTTCCAAATTGTTTCCAGGCTGGACTTTTGTTTTTGGAACGATTGAGTGATGCTCAATCACGCGGTGCACCTATTTTCGCAGAAATATTAGGATATGGAACATCTTCAGATAGTTATCATATTTCAACACCAGATCCATCTGCAATTGGAGCAATTATGTCAATGGAAAGAGCATTGAAAGATGGAAATGTTGATAAAAATGATATTGGGTGAGTAATTTTGGGAAATTCAATAGACATTTTATAAGACATGAGTTTAGTTATATAAATGCACACGCAACTTCTACTCCTGCTGGAGATAGTGTTGAAGCATTGGCAATTCGAAAAACAATTGGAAATATTGCTGTTAGTAGTGTAAAAGGGCATATTGGCCATTTATTAGGTGCCGCTGGCTCTGTTGAAACAATTTCTACAATTTGTGCAATGTTAGACGGTTATAAACCAGCAAATTTGAATTTGAATGAATCAGATGAAGATGATGGATTAAGATTGCTTCGATCGAATGAGAAATGGGATTCATCGAAAAGTCGAATCTCAATTTGTAATTCGTTCGGATTTGGAGCAACAAATGCTAGTCTCATTGTATCTATGTACAATTCACAAAAATAAACATAATACACAATTTTTCAAAAAAAACTTTTTGTACTCGAAAAAATAACATGAGCACCAGAATAATTATTATGAATACAAAAATGATCACAGAAAATGACTACAAATTGAAAACTTATAATATTAAAACGGTGTACTGTACTCGGCAATATGTTCGAAAAATTTTCGACGTTCCGAAACAGGAATTGGAATAGAAGAAGAAGAGGCGACTAGCGAATCTATATTTGTGGGCATTTCGACAGGATTACTGTGGAAACGAACATCTGAAATTAATGGATTTGATTTAATTTAATTAAAAGTGGGGAAGGACTAACAAACTATTGCCTCAAAAGTTAGGTCTTAAGAATATTTGTTGCTAGGCCTTTCGAGAATAAAATCCGTGTGATTTTGTTATTCAAAAATACTTTCGAGATTACTTCGATAAAAGTGAACAAAAAAAAACAAACCATGTCTACGATTGCGTTTCTTCTGTTTTTCTCGACGACCTGTTCGTTGAGTACCGACTAACACTTCGTGGTCTGAAAAATTAAAGAAAATGAATTAAATTATTGATGATAGCATAAAGCCCTGTTAGGATAGCTTAAACATCACACATGCGGGAAGAATATAGCAAACCAAAACTAAGCACGAATTTCTAAATGGAATTAATCCATGCTATTCTAATCAGAACTTACCGTGGCATTGATACACTACTACATGAACCTGAATTATTTCATCTTGGTTGTTTTTTTCATTTTTCAAAACAATTTTCTTGCTTTTGCTCAGTTACGTTTGAAGAAAAATTTATGATATATACGAAAGTAATTATTTTTAGTATTGGAAAATGAAAATACAAACTAACCTCGTAATTTTTCAATATTGTTGACTTTCCTTGTCAATTCATCAATCTCTTTTGTTTTTCGATCGATTTCTACCCGCAATTTTTCATTTTCGATGCTCAGTTCTCTGTAAAAAAGCATAGAAAGCGTCAGAAGTGGATAAAATTAAGCGTTATTGAGATTTTGATCAAATCACAAAACTTACACAGTCGCTTCTTTTTCACTTTGGAAATTAGATAATTGTTCATCAAGTTGTGCATTTTCTACACATTTTGCTGAATACATTGCACATAAATTAACAAGTTCTTCTCTCATTTCATCAAATACTTCACTTTGTCTTCCTAAATTGTTACCAACTTCATCAGTTTTCACAGCGGCTGCTACATTTTTCAATTCTTCGTCATGTGCTCGTCGAACTGCTTCTAATGCAAGTCGAGTTGCATGTTTTTCTTCCATCAGTTTGTCTTCGTGTTCTTTCTTTATACTTTCGATTTCAATATCAAAACTTTTTCTTTGTTCTTGAAGCATTTGTGAAAATGACGATTTGACTGAACTAATTGATTCATCACTTCGAGTTGTTGCCATAACAAGTTGTTCTTGGAGTTTTTTCCTCCGATTCTCTTCCCGTTCAGCTCTTTCTTTTAAAACAGCCATTCTTTGATCACATTGTGAACGAATCGATTCGATTTCTGTTTCATGATTTCTTTTGATATCTTCAATCTGTTTTTCTAAATCATTATCATATTCATTGATTATTTGATCTTTTTCGATTTCTTCAGTCATTGTCCAAGAATCGGATAAAAATGGAATATTTACAGCTGCCGATACTTTTTCGAACAAAATTGTTGTTTTTCGTAGAACATCTTCAGTTTGTTCCAAACTAAGATCCACACTTATTTTATCAACAATATGATCGAGATTATCGAAAAGTTCAGTCGATCCAACGAAAAGATTTGAACGTAATAATGAAGAAAGAGCAGAAAGTTGTGAACGAAGTGTTGTTAAAATAACACGTTGAAGAGTTACACTGAAATTGATAACAATTATTTTCAATGAAAAACTTCGATAAAACAGCTTCTAAGATTACAATAAAAATATCAACCAACCTTTGAGTGTTATTATTTAGTTGCCTTCGAAGATTTTCAACTTCTTTTCGATATCTTTGCATTTCATCTTCAGAAGTTTTCAGTGTTTTTCGAAGTTCTTTGATTTCTTGATTTATTTCATCGCGTTTCCTATTTCCAGCTTCGTTCAATTGTGCACGAAGATTTTCAACCTATAAAATATTAGCTCATGAAATGTTCGTTCATTTTTCTTCTATTCCAAAAACTAACCTGTTTTTCCAATGATCTCAATCGGGTTTCATCAGAATTAATTCGATGTTGTTCGCGTTGCTGAAAAGGTTCCGAAATTTGTTTTAGATTCTGAATACATCGTTGAAACGCTTCTTCAGGATTCTCGTACATATTTTTCCACATAAATGAATGTGGAAAATTCTGACGAGAAAAGAGAAACACGTGTGATCACATCTGTTCTCGATAAAATTTTCGATTGAAATTGCGTTTTTTGTTAGTTTTTTTAATAGAAAAAAAACTTGCCTGTGAAATATCTTTTTCATTTGTATGATGTGATGTGGCTGAGGAATTTGAAACGTGTCTATGTCGAATTTCTCGTCGTTCCTTAATTCGAGCAACAGGTGATCTTCTAACAGACGGTGATAATGATTCTCCACGTGTTTGTTGATGTGTTCCTCCACTATGCCGCCTTTCATCTCCAATTTTTCGACTTCTCCTTCTTCGTGCAGTATTCATTCTTGATGAATCATCTTCAATTTCTAATTCAGTTGAACTGTGTTCATCCATCATTGAATTTGAATGATGTGATTCAGGAGCAACATAAGCAATGTGTTTCTTTTTCTGAAATACATTTTTTAAATAAATGTTTAAAATATAGAATAACTCACAACAGGAAGTCCTAATAAATCTGAACTATCTGCCAAACTATTGGCATCATTTGAAAATGTTTCTGTATATGTTGGTGATGGATGATGTCGATTTTGTTGAAGTGCTGATACCCAAGAATCTCGAATTCCTGGAGTCATTGCAGATAAAACATATCTTGTTCGACGACATTTTATTTCGATTCCATAATTTCGCGCACTCGCACTTGGATATACATTTTCGCATTGTGATAGATCAATAGTCAAAAGTGGTTCTGTCGAATCTTCAGCCCAAACATCTTTATACATTTTCAATTGAAGACCAGCTAGAACAACCCAATGTTTACACCAATCACTATCTGATTTTCCTCGAAGCATTAACCATCCTTTCCGAAGTGTATGAACATTTGATAAATCAATATGTAACTTTTGTGGTTGTGGTTCTGTCGAAACAGCAGCAGGAACAACAACAGCATCAGTTGAAGGAGATGTTATTATAATATCATCTTTTGATATTTTCTGTGTTTGTTGTTTTTTGACACTTCTAACTGATTTTCCCTCAATCATTCGATCATTTTCTGCTCTTTCAACACTTGAACATCGAGAAGAAGTACAAGAATCTATTTTTCCAAGTGTTTCTTCACTCAATGGTAATTCATCGATTCCTCTTCTTGGTGGACGAATTGACATATTCTCATTTTGTGTTTGGAACTTGCTCAAAACATTTTGCCACCATCGAATTTCTTCAGTTGTATCTGCTTTTATATAAAGAATTGATGGTTGATCATCAGCTGTTTTGTTGAAAGCAAGAAGAATTGAATGAGCATTGCCAGTTATTGCGTGAGCTTCACAAACTCGATGACAAAGTGACATATCAATACTGACTTGTGGAAGAGTATCAACCTAGAATATTGAAATATATTCTGAGGTTGATGAATTACGAAACTCGAAAATAATATACTCGAATCGAGTAGTTACTGAAGATAAAACTACATTCTCTTGACGTGGAAATGGTTTTGGAAACTTTCTCAAAAACTTAGCTACTGGGAAAATTTCATTGTCAATTTTTAAATTAAAAAAGGGCTTATGGATAATTAATTTCCTGCTAATTATTTTGTTGTTCATTGAACAAATATATTCAAACCATATGTCAATAGTTTCCCATGTATTTAAAATTACTCACACTATTGTCAATTGCATATGTTAAATCACCAGAATCAAATAATGTGAACCATCTTCTTTGCCATCTTTTCGCCGAATGACTTTGAAGTGAAAAATCAAGATTTGGAGGTGCAACATATAAAAATCCACATGCTGTCACTTTTCGATTCATCTGTAACAAAAATTGTTTATTTTTGTTGCTGAAAAAATTGGTATAGTAAAAATACTATCGGTTTTTTGGATGTGCGAAAAAAACTGGTTTTTTCGGGACATGCAAAAAATAAACAAGAGAAAGAGATGAATTATTACTTATTATTATTGTTTGTTGTGGTTATAATTATATTTCGGGCAAATAAGAACTGACTATACTACTTTGGGGATGAACTTTTTGTTCGAAATAAAAATGAATTGAAAATCAATATACATATACACATTTTTAAAAAGAAAAATATTATTGATGAATAAATAAATAAATAATAACAACAGCAAAAACGGAATTTGATCATGTTGGCTGCGAGCAAAAATGAAAATACAAAAGGAATGACAAACAAAGGCAGAAGCAGAAACAGAACCTTTTCAATTTTACAACCACACGTCTTTTTCGAAACAGATAAATAAATACGGTTTTGATTGAATTATATATCTTCCGGAACACTTTTATTTTTGAGAAAAATTACAAGTATTCATCTCAAAAAAATACTTGAAAAAATAAAAAAAAAGTTGTTTTTGAATCAGTGAATGCATAATTTGAACGAACGTATTGTCCGAAAAAAGAAAATTGAGGTCATGTTAAAAATGTATCCATAAAATGACGATAAAATCGAAAACATTTAGTCTTCTTCAATTTATAGAGAAAATCAGAGAAACAAAGTTGAAAAGTGTGAAAAACACTAACTTGAACTAAAATTTGAGCTAATAAACATTGAAAAAACACATTTTGAAGACATTTTTGTTTATGAAATTTCGGTTTTTTTGGACATATGGAGAAGTTTCGAAATGTTCAATAGGATCAAAAAAGTTTGTGGATAGTTGAAGACAGAAAACACGTAAACGTGAAGAATAATACAAGACAAATCAATGTTTATTTATTCCGAGAAGACACATATGAGAGAAAAATGTAAATATAAAATCTTCTCATTCTTCTTCTTTTCTTCCACAACCAAATAAAGATGAGACTGAGAAAGTGTGGGAAAAAGAGAGAGTTTAGAGAAAAAGACAATGTCTTCACATGCTTATTCGAATCAGAACTGGAATATTATTATTTTATTGTCACATCAGATGATTCTGCCCCGAAAAAATACGCATTTTGTTGTCGATTATACTTTTTTAGGTGTGGATAGGGAAAAAAGTTTTTGTTTTGACCCAAAAAATAACCGGAAATAAAGAGAAAGTCAAATAGAGAGTGTAGAGAGAAAAATTAAATTATTATTATTATTATGGATTAATAGTTTCGATACTTTTTTTGAGAATTTTGAAAAGTTCACTCACCAAAAAGTAATGGGGCTATTCAGCGAAAAAAAAAATGTTTTCTCAACGGGAGAAAAGCGAAGAAAACCTATTCAAGTCGGTTGAGAAAACATAAAAATCAAACACTTGAAACACACGAATTGCGACGAGACCCAACGAAAAACAACATGTTCCTTTGACCTTTTGCATTACTGTAAATTGGTCCCGTTGCGATTTTCTACAGTAGGTTAAAGGAACACGATGTTTTTCGTTGGGTCTCGTCGCAATTTGTGTGTTTCAAGTGTTTGATTTTTATGTTTTCTCAACCGACTTGAATAGGTTTTCTTCGCTTTTCTCCCGTTGAGAAAACATATTTTTTTTCGCTGAATAGCCCCATAAGAAATTTCGTTTTATATTCATTTGTCAAACAATTATACAATCTGGCACATTCTCTAATTGAATACCGAGAAATGAAAATTTTCAAAATGAAAAATCAAGTACACGTTTTCCGGAAAAAATATATCAAAATTTTCAGCAAAAAAATCAAGATTTTTTTCTAGTTCATGTTCAAGTTCTCAAAATTCTGAACCTCGAGTAAAAAAATAAAAAACTCGCTTACCTTTGCATTTTCGATAGATTCTGAAGAATGATTCTGTTTTGATTTATAACAATTTTTACATTTTCCATTGTTGAATATATTTGCCTCAAATCTTTTGCAATCATTCATTTTCAAATCTGCAAAAAAGCAAAAATAAAATTTCTAGTAAGTAAGTAAATAGAAAAAAGACAAATTGATAAGAAGAAGAAGAAGGTCTCGAAACAACTTTTTTTCCAATTTCTAAAACAATCAGAAACAATAATTTTTGATTGAGTGAGAAATATTTAATTAATTAATTTAAGTGATAAAAAAGCCGGAACCTTTTTAATGAAAATCAGAATCAAAATAAATAAGAAAAAAAAATAATAATATAAACAGCAAAAAAAAACAAACCAAAAACAATGGTGGTCAAAAAAGACGAGAAACAATTAGAAAATATGGGGTCGAACGGAGTGATAACAAAAGAAAATAGAATGGAATATCAAGAGAATTAGACATATATAACATGTGTTCTTTTTTTTTATTCGAAGAGGAAAAAAAGGACAAGACAGGTAGAAGTTGTAAATCATGAGAGCAGCAAAAAATTCAATGAATTTTCAATTTCGAAATTTTTTGTCTTGATTGATGTTTTTGTTTGAAAGAAGAGAGAAAAAACATTTCTGTGATTCATATTAATTCGAATTTTTCCTAACTTTCGAAGCAAAAAAAATAAAATAAAAATTTTGCTTTTTTCATAATAAAATCCAAACAAATGTTTTTTGAGGGTGAAATGAATATCTACATAATTATGGGTTACTGTATTGAAATGGGGTCGAAAAAAGATAAAATCAATCGACAACTGAATAGTTTTTTTCGAGAAATGTTTTTATTGGAATCATATAATTGTATTATTATATTATGAAAACTAAAAAGAATAATATCATATCATCTCATAATCACAATTCTATTTTGATAATCAAAATTCGAACGGGAAAGAAAGAATTGGATAAACAATTTTTGGCAAAAATCTACGCGGCCTTGAATTTTTATGCAAAAAGTATCATCAAATAATATAATAATATTGTATTGTTTTGAATATTTATTCAAAACCACCAACAATCATAAAAACAATAATGAGACAGCAAAATACTCATGGAAAATACATATGAAACAGTAGAAAAAATATTGGCAAAAACCATACATAAAAACCTATTTTATTGTTTATATTCAAAAACTAGTTGCGAAAAATTGTTGGGGGAAAAATATAAAGGGTGTCAAAACATATATACGCATGAATGGTAACCTACAAAGGTCACTATAATATCTGATAGAATAGACAAAGATTAGTATCACATCGATGATTGTTCAGAACGAAAGCTTTGAAACATAAATACCTAGGATGATATAGAGAAAAAACATGATTTTGAAAAGAAAGTAACTTTTCTTCAGAAAAAAAACTTCGAAATTCAAGAAAAATTCGGGTTCAAAAATAAACGAATTATTTGAAGATACAATACTTTTTCCTAATCAAAATGATTTATTCAAAATGAATGCTAGGTCTGATTTGAAAATCGGACAATAGGATTTTTCAAACAAAGTTTCCTCCTCCGGAAAATTAGTATTTTCTTTCTTTCTTTCTTTCTTTCTAATAATACAACTTTAATCCTATTATCATTTATGAGCAAAAAAATGAAAACATAAATAAACAGAAAATTTTTTGACGAAACATCCGGATTTATGTTTTTTTTTTCTGTACTAATTGAACATAGAAGCGTGTAAATAAAAGAAAAAGAAGACTGTCATATCGCAACACAGAAAAAAAAGACTGTAGAACAAATATACGATTAATTAAACATTTTCATGTGTTTTGTGTAGATATTCACGTCAATTTTAAAATCAACGAAAACTATTTGCTCACATCAATTTAGAACTTTCTTATTGACTGAAATTTTCTTTGAACTACTTTTTTATTAGAAAAGTGTGATCAAAAAATCAAACAAAAACTTTTGGAATTTTTAATGCGACCAGAAAAATCGGTACAGGTTTTCGTAATTTCAGAAAATGGGACCATTTTGAAAGAAAGCAAAATTGAGTCCAATTAAACGAACCTAAACTGGTTCAGTACTATTCCTAATTTTAAAATAACAATATTGACGTCAATTTCAAAATCTAGAAACTTGTTTGCTCAATTTTGAAATTTTTTATTTACTAAAAATTCTTAAAACCTCAACGACTAATTTTTAGTTTAAAAAACTTTGCTATTATTGAATTAAAAACACGTGAGAAATAAAAAACTAGGTCAAGTGACGTGGATTTAAAAACAGAATAGGTAGCCATGTCGTCAGTCGCGATGCGGTTCTGCGTTGCGTGTTGACCTCGATATTTTCCATTGGATTTGTCAAATTTTCATTTCTAAAAACGTGTCGCCCACACGCATCGCAACTGACGACATGGCTACCTACTCAGGTAGCAGCTTGCCCATGGACTGCCCTTAGGAAAGCGGTTGCCCCATAATTGCACCTTGGGCAAGCCCTAAGGGCAAATTTTTTGATGGGAAAAATAAATTTATAGCTATTTTTCATAACGTGACCTAGTTTTGATACGTGTCCTGTTTCGAAATCGGAATTTCTTCTCATTTTTGATATTCTGTTAACCAAGAAAATAGCGAATAAATCAAACTATTTCGATGAAGCTCAAATATTTATTAGAGAAGCAGTAACTTTATGCAAAACACTGTGAACAAGTTATTAATTCAAATATAGTGGAGCGAATTCTGGGATTATCACTGTGATTGTTGAATGGATTTTTGTGAATTAGATGTGTTCCAAATCATGTATAAATTTATCCGATTCTCAAAAAAGCTATTTTGGATCAACTCCTTCAAACCAATTATAAAATTTCAGTCAAATCACCTAGAAAATTCACGAATGCTCGAAAAATCAAGCTGAAGTGCATCTATCTCTCCTATGTTATTTCTTTCAATAAAACTTTTACTTCTAAAACACTTATAATTATGTTTTCTTGTATTTAAATTTGAATTAGTTGAAGGCTGCCCCTCCAAACTGCCCGATTTTGGGCCTAGGATCCATTTTTCCAAGCTGGAAACATGAAAAATTAGTGAAAATGCTTTTTTTACGTGGCTTTAATTAATTCGAATACTAAACGTGATGTCCTTGTTTAATTGAAATGCCCAAAGATAGCCCCTTGAGTGCTCCAATGCTGCCCTTAGAAACTGCTCTAAGGGCAGAGTAAGGGGCAGTCCATGGGCAAGCTGCTACCTGAGTATACTGTTTTTAAATCCACGTCACTTGACCTAGTTTTTTCTTTCTCACGTGTTTTTAATTCAATAATAAAAAATTTAACACGAGAGATTCGAAAAAAATTTTATTCACTCGGAAAATTTTACAAATAAATTACATTTTTTAGAAATCTCAGAAAAAAGTCAAAGATTCCAAAACTGGGCCCGGTTACGCCTCATTAAAAATTGCTCAAAATTTTTAGCTTTGGAAAAATTCGGACATTTTGACCAACGAACATAAAAAGAAGAAAAAGAAAACGAATAGAAAAATCGAAACGGAAATCCGTGAGAAAATGAGAAAAATACGAGCTTCTTGAATTTCTAAATATTTTTCTTTTTCTTTTCATATTTCACTGCAAAAACTGGAAACTGGAAAAAAACTACGTTTCACAATGAAATTTCACAAGTAACTGAATAAACACAGGATATAACAAATACTCAAAAAATCTCGTAAATATCAAGGACTTTGGGAATTTTTTGAAAACGTTTCTATTTTTTTTGAAACAGTGAAATTTTGGATTTTGAACAATAGGTTTACTAAAGTTTCGGAATAAAAGAATAGAAAAAATAATAATAATAGAAAAATGTGCATATTCTTTCGTTTCTGTGTATAAAAAGGGGTCAGCTTTTTGTTTTCTTTTCTTCTCTCACTTTTTAATTATATCTCACCATCACTCGAAGCTGCCGAGAACCTAAATACAACAAATATAAATAATATATTTATTCTGATTGTTTATATATTATTCCTATTATTTGAAGATGCGCGAAAACAAAAACGAACGCGCTCAAAAAAAAAATATTTATGTATTTTGAGTCCAATTTGTTCCAAATGAAAAGCAATTTTTTTGGAATTTCGATAAATTGGTTGATTTTATTGAAACATAACATTTCTGAATCTATGATCTCATTAACTTTTTTAATACAAGTTCGTCATTAATCAAATCCCGATTTTTTCAATTTTTTTCGATAAATAAATATGTTGTATCTGTTCAATTTAACATTTTCGTTAGCCGCCCCCGTCAAAAAACCATCAGCTGTTTTTGATCTCACAAAGCTCTTTCTCTTTCATTTCTGATTCCAAAAAGAAGAAAAGATGAGCGCTTTTGACAGGGTTGGTTTATTGTTTTTTTTTTTGTTTTTTTGAAAACATAAATCAAAATAATTGAAATCAAATTTTGTGATTTAAGGTCAAAGCGCAAGTCGCAAGTGATTCAAAATGGCAATCAAAACCATATCGAGGTTTTGTTGGAGGAACTCCCAGTTCAACTTATATTGATGTTGTTTCAACTGCGTAAGTTATTTTTTTTAATTGAAAACTTGTAGAATGAAATTTTTCCGGCAAAGTTTTTCAAAAATCAATATTTTTTTAAAGATTCGAAGATGCAACAAATACAATGAATTTTGCCAAACATTCGAAATACGATGAAATGTATTCACCTTATTTAGGAACTTTTCGACAACGCGATAATTATACATCGATTGCACCAAGTTTGTGTATAACTCCAACGTTGGTGTTTCTTTTTTTTTTGAATTTTCATAATTTATATTTTTCAGAAATCGTTCGATTCATTATGATTTATCTCCACATAAATCATACAGTCCAAGACAAGCTGAATGGTTATTGGAAAAGGATAAGAAATACAGGTGAATTAGACAAGGAATGACAGAATAAAAAATGTGAAAATTTGCAGAGTTCGATCTTCTCGAAATCATTTGAATATTTCGAATCCAGTCGAACCAAATCTTCCACCATTGACACGTCGAACATATGTTGTGCCGACTGACACACTCAGGTTTGTTTTTATTTATTTTTATTTTTGGTTTTTTGCGAACTCGTGGGAAGATGAGTTGAGTTGTTTTTCTCTGCACATGTCAAAAAATCAATTGGTCAATGAAGATTGTTTATTCAATTTCCCAAACAATTTCAAACTCGAATTGGATTCCTGCAACAGAAATTTTCGAAACAAAAAAATGATCTAGAACTTTTTGAAGAAATTTTCATCACCAAAATACAAACAGAAAACCGATTATGATTTAGACACCAAAATCAAATGCTTTATTGGAATGGTCGTGCACTTGGTCTTGATTACGTTGCACCGTTTTTACGCAGAGAATCGAATCAAAAAGAGGAAGATCGAAGATATCAACGTATTTTCTGGAGTCCCGAATTCATTGATCTTCTTCCATCTTGTCGTCATTCAGCTCACCTAATGCTTTCAGCTTATTAAATAATTTCAACCACGAACCAAGTTTTCTTTTCCCAAGATTTATTTTTTATTTTTCGATACGTGGGATTTTTTTTTTGGATAAAAATTGACCCAACAACACATGAAACTATATTCCTGTAACAACAGGAATTTGTATTCATGATTTAATAAAAAAACATAAATGATTTGTTCCAATAAATTCGAGAAAATGCATTTTTCACACAGAAAAAATTTTTTTGACGTGTCCCAATAATTTGCAGAAAAAAAATTCACTATAAAAACGAGGATTTCAGAAGGTTCCCTCATTTTTTTCATCAACACATAGTTCGAAAAATACTTTCAAATGGTCGATAAAAATATCCTAAGAGAAAGATGGTATCATGGTTTATTGCCAAGAGAAGATATTCGTGTAAGTTTGAAATTATATTGAAAGAAGATTGGATTACTGTAGATTTTCAGTTAATGCTCACGAAACCGGGTGAATATCTTGTTCGATCAACTGAACCAGTTGCAGGACAAAAAAGGCAATATGTTTTATCAGCGGTGGCTGATAATGATCAACAGGTAGAAGAAAATTTAAAAAATATTATCAGCATAACATTTATTTAAATTTAGCCAACACATTTTGTACTTCACGAAGCAAATGGTAAAGTTTTTGTGGAAACAAAAGGATTTGAATCAATTTCAAAACTCATTGAACATTATTTGAATGATAAAGAAGTTATTATGGCAAAAGGTGGAACTGCAAAAGTTATTTTAAGAACTCCAGTTATTCGACAAAAATGGGAACTTTCACATGATGATGTTACTATGAAGAAGAAATTAGGAGAAGGTGCTTTTGGTGAAGTTTGGCGTGGAGTTTTGATTAGATTGGATAATTCAAGTGTTGTTGATGTGGCTGTTAAAACTGTAAGATAAATATGATTTTTGAAAAAAGTTGTAGAAATCTTTGGAACTTTTTCTTTTTTTTTCATGTTATGATTTTGACCAAATTGTGGTCAGAATCCGATTCAAACATCTTCAATTTCTCGATACCAATTAAAACAATCCTAAATTAATTTTAGGCAAAACTTGAATCGATGAACAAAGAACAAATCAAAGAAATAATGCACGAAGCCCGTTTAATGCGTAATTTGGATCATCCAAATGTTGTCAAATTTTATGGAGTTGCTGCTGGACAAGAACCACTTTATGTTATAATGGAATTAGCTGATGGCGGAGCACTTGATTCAGCACTTCAAAAAAACAAATTTCCAATGGCCAAAAAAATGGAATTGATTTATCAAGCTTCTTGTGGTGTTGCTTATATTCATGAAATGAATTTATTGCATCGAGATATTGCAGCTAGAAATTGTTTATATGGCGGAGGACAAGTTAAAATTTCTGATTTTGGTTTATCGCGAGAAGGAAAAGAATATAAAATGGATTTGTCAAAAAAAGTTCCAATTAGATGGTTGCCACCAGAAACAATTAAAACAGGAATTTATACACAAAAAGTGGATGTTTTTGCATTTGGTATAATGGCTTGGGAAATAACTGAAAATGGAAAAGAACCCTATCCTGGTTTAAGAGTTGCGGAAGTTGTTGGAAAAGTTATGACTGGTTATCGAATGCCGTTTGCACCAGAAGTTGAAAAATCATTTGCTAATTTTATAAATGATAAATGTTGGCCTGAAAATCCAGATAATCGCCTTTTTATGAAAGATATTCAAAATCATCTCAAATCCAATTACATGAAAAATTCGGTAAGTCTCAATTAGGATTATCATATAAAATATAAATAATAAATAAATTTCAGTTCCTGAAAAAAGCTAAAAATTCTTCATTGGTTCGAAGTTTCCATCGTCAAAAGAAAGATGGAAGTGTCATGCAAAAGAAAGAAAGTAGTGTCATGCAAAAATCATCCGCATCAAAAGTTGAATAAACATTTTGAATTGCATTATTGTATTTTTCTTCTCAAAAAAATATTGGGTCTTGAAAAGGTTCGTAGAGATGATTGAAGACTCATCGGAAACAGGGCTGTATGATGGCGAGCGATCGGCAATTGCAGGCATGACTGAAAATTTTTAAAAAATTCAAGATTCCGAAAAAAATGGATCAAAAAATAAAATTCTCAAAAATGGCTAGAGAAAATAAAAACACACACCAGCATGGTGGATAATTTTGTAGATTTACGAGAGATTAAAGACGAAAATATTATTTGTTTGTTTGTGTCTCGTGACGAACGGACGTGTCAAACACGTCATCTTTTTTAATTTCGAGAAATTCAAGAAATTTTTTTTTCAGTTTTTTTGTTTCTCAAGGGTCTCTAGAACAATAATTATTCTAACTATTCTCAATTACTGTAGTTTTTTTATTTGTTTGTTCCACTTATGTTGCGACTTTAATCGATAGTAAATCGGAATTATCTTGACGAAGGTAAGATAATCTCAGTTTTTGGTCACTTTCGAGATGAAAATAAAAATATATACATATTGGTAGAGCTAATTGTTTATTAAATATCATGGTTTTTTTTAGCTTTAGAATGCATTTTTGACCGACTAAAATAGTTGAGTTTGAACCGAGTTACGAATTTTTTAGGTGAAAAAAAATTTTTTGGTCCAAAAAATTTTGACCCTCCCGAACTTTTGTTAGAAATTTTTATATACAAAATCCCTTTGGGCTTTTTCATAACCCACTAGGACCTACAACTTCCGCCTAGTAACACCTTTTTTCCAGGGGTAATTTTGGGAACCATTACAAGTCAGATAAAGCGCGCGTTGTGAAAAAAAACGCCTCCCATCAGAAACAGGCAGCACAATATTGGGATCAATGACGTTCGTTCAAGGGCTCTCTTGTTTTCAAACACCGCTGCATACCGTATCCGCGGTTACAGAAAAAATCTTTTTTTTAGCTGTGAAAATATATTTTTGGAAAAAAAACCCCTTTAAAAAAAACCCTTTCAGTTTTCACTATTTTTTCACGTGACCTTTGATTACATTTGCACGTGTTCCTAAAAAGAATCATTATTCAGTCTTTCAAATGTCTAATCTCACAACCAAACGTGAAGTTGCGAATTTGGAAGGAATAAAAACATACTTCTTCTTCAAACCTTCTTCGATATATAATAACAAATGAAGAAGTCATCATCAACAACAAAAAGGTAGTTTATAAGAATAACATCTCCCAATTTATAATTATTTTTTTACAGATCAACTCGTTTGCCGCATTTAATTCTTGGCATAACAAAAAAGAAGCCATCAGCCAATGAAATTATTGAAGTGATTGTCAGCCAAAGGAAGTAAGTGTGGACAACTTGAGAACGGCTCTGGATGTTCTGTTCCTCCTTGGAAAACAATACGTAAGGAAAATTATACATTTTAAAAGATACTGAAAATACGTTTTCAGGAACCTCAAATAAAATCAATCGGAAATGATATAGTCACAAAAGGAGGAGAACATGATTTATTCAAAGTTTATTGTTCTGCAGAAAACTGGGAAGAGTTTGAAGAAAGTTTATCCGGATTTGTGAGAAAAATGTTAATTCAAAAGGAGGATGTCAAGTGTTTGTCGTATATTCGTAGAATTGGATGTGCAAAAAATGATAAAGCCAAATTGAATGTAATCTGTGAACTTTGTTTTGAATCATTTGTGTTGATAAAATTGTTTGATTTGGAAGAAGATCAACAAACTGAAGAATTCGAATTGATTCGTTTCAATGTTTGGGATTCATTGAAAAACAGTCGACCAAAATTGATTGATTTTGTGTAAGTTGAGAATAATTTTCAAATTAATTTGTTGATCATGATTTATGTATTTCAGAAAATCAATTTCGTCTAACAATATAATTCATCTATTGATTCATGAATTTCCAAATTCTTTGAAGAATATAAATGAACAGATATTGGAAAAAATCGACCCGTTGTTGAATCAAAATGATGTTATATCAATGGAAATGCGATGTCAATATTTGAGCGACATTTGGTTTGTTTTACTCAAAATTACATTGACAAAAGAACTCGATGTTGCCAACAATTATATTGAACAACTTCCGGAAAATATGAGATCAAACATGTTCAACGATTTGGATTTGATTGTTTTTGAAGTAAGATAATTTTCGAAAAATTTTTAGTTTATATATAATTATTTCAGACAACATTCAATCTTCTTAAATCATTCGTCATTATATTTTCATCTGATGCTCTGAGTAAGATTTTATTCTAAAACAATCATTTTTTTTTACTTTTTTAGAAGCAGAATATTCTGAAGTGGCCAGCGGTTTGAATGCAAATTTTAATTGTCATTGGAAACGGCAAGCCATTCTTCGTATTCTGTCAAATTTTCGAAGTTCCATCACTCAATCGAATATCTGTGTGCTGATTCCATTGGTATGTTTTTCACTAATCATTTTTTTTTCTGAAATTGGATTGTTTTTTCTTAGGTAAATGACACAAATGTGTGTTCAAAAATCAAAGATGTTTTCAAATTCCTTATGTGGGTCATTGGAAGTTGGAAAATGAAGATAGTCCCAATTTGCTAAGTTTGCCGGTGGAATCAAAGTTGAAACTGATGTTGCATTACAGAAACATGGAAAAGAAGGCAAAACCATCGATCGAACATATCCATCGTGTTTTAGAAGGTTCAAACAGCTCCACAGATTCAACATCGGATATAACAATTCGGCAACAACCAGCACCAATTCTCGATCATTCATGTTCACCAAAAGTTAGTTTTGTTATTGAAAATTGAAAATGTGGGCGAATAAGCATAAAAATCAACCAAAAAGTTGTGTCTCAACTACAGTACCCCGTAAAATAAATTATATTAATTGTGAATCGAGACTATCATTGCCTATAAATGAGACATCATCTACAGCTATTGGCGAGACAAGTGGCGAGCAAACAATTACCGATTCGATTTTTCGAACTGTCAACAGATGATCAATTAAAACTGAAGAAGTAAGTCGCAATACCAATTCTGTGGAAAAATTGAGACCATTTTTTATGCCTTATATATTACATGGATTTTTTTTAAATTTTGCTCTGAAAATAAGCTAGCGGAAAAATTTCGCCGTGTGATTACAGGATCGGAATGTGGTGAGCACGCCCAGCTTAGTGCAATATTTCTATTTTTATTTGAAAAATATTATGAGGAGACATTTAGGCGAACCCATTTGAATTTCACTACTCTAAAAACCCAAATTTTCTGAACACACTTCCGATAAAGTTTAATGTTATGATGGTTTCAGTGGACGCGTCACGAAAACACTCAAGATGTGGATCTAAGAATGGAACTGGCATCAGAAACTCGGAAAGCCGTTCGTGGCGTCGCTGGAAATACGGTTGATAAGTTGGCATCACCAACAGATTTCGTGAGTTTTTTTCTGGAGAAATTACGAAACAAAGAGTGTAATTTACTATCGTAAACATTTACCCCAATTTTTCGAGACTTGGCAAAATCTTGTGGGTCTAAAATCGACGAAATTCAGTGAAAAAGTGATAAATATTTCAAATCTATTTCGAAAAGTTTCAAAAAACTTTAGTGGTTCAGGGTTAACTGGTGAAGGAACTAATGATAATATTCAGATTATCCGAAAAAATTCGTAAATTGGGTGGCGCTCAAACGGAAGCATTGAGTATTGGTATTTCAAACCCTGATTATATTTACAAAATATGCCCGGTATATGTGACCACCGAACTCTCAACGTAAGTTTTCATAAATATATATGTTTATTCATTTGTTCATCATTTTCAGGCTCTACAAAAACAATTGTTTATGTTTCAAGGAATTGACAAAAGCAGTGAAGGAGCACTATGGAATGCAAGACAGAAGTTTGATAAATCGAATCATGAGGAGAAAAAGTGAATAGCAATACAACTTTTATTTTTTCAAAACTTTAGATGAATGAATTTTTATTAAAAACAATTTCCACAGAAAAATCAAGTACCTTGCCATGATTATTTTTTTTCAAATTCAACTTCATTTTGATTATCACACGACGCTTTTCACAATAACAGTAATCACAAAACAACTGAAACTCAAATTCAGATCATTTCTTAGTAATTCAGAATCGAAACTTTCTAATTTGAAATTATTTTGGATGTTCATTTACGAATGTTCTGAAATTGTGCTATTGTGTCTTAGAAGTGTTGCTGAAAGTTAAAATTTGATCATCGGATAAATTTGAGTATGAAATATTCCTTGTGATGAAAATAAACTCAAAATGCATTTTTAAAATTAAAAAATCAAAGTTACACCCCACTAGGTAAATTCGAAAATACACGGTTTTCCAAAAAACCTGTTTTCCGCAAAATCCTGTTCGGAAGCTCGTACCGCATATTTTCGGAAGAAATATCCGCCGTTGTGACAAAAATCCGGAAAAATATTTCTATACGAATTGTAGTAAATGTCGTCGACTGAAGAAGATTGTTTTTGCAAGGAAAAACCAACAGCGATGATGAAAATTCAAGGTGATGAATTTCAAGAAAGAAGCAAGAAATAATAAAGCGCAAATATTTATTGAATAAAATAATATCTAGATCACGTGAATTTTTTTTTCGCGTGACCTCTATGTTTCGGGCGATTAAATCTCCATTTCCGCAAATATCAAATTTTTAAAATGACGTCGACTGAAGAAGATTGTTTTTTCAATATTGTAAGTTCCACAATAACAGGAAAAATATAAAAAAAACTTGATTTCAGAACTGCGAATTTGAAACAAAAACGAACAAATATAATGTCGAAAAACTAGTTGGAAAAGGTGGATTTGGAGAAGTTTATAAAATTAGGAATCAGAATACTGGACAATCATTTGCTATGAAATTAGAAAATAAAGGAGAAAGGAAGAGAACTGAAGCTCAGAATGGAATTGCGGATATTAATTTTGATGCACTCATCAACGAAAAACAATCAAATTTTGAAATTTGTGGAAAGAGGACACTTGGAAGGAGATCGATTCTTCATTATAATGGAACTAGCTGGAAAATCAATTTCCGAATTGAAAAACCGCTGCAACGAAAAGCGGTTCGAAGTATCAGTTGGTTTATCAATTGCAAAACAATGCTTAAGAGCGTGTCAAGCACTCCACATGGCTGGTTTCATTCATCGCGATGTTAAACCATCCAATTTTGTTTCTGGACTTGGCCAAAACAAAACAACAATATTCATAATTGATTTCGGAATCGCTCGTAACATAATAAATGATGAACATCAATTGAAACCTCCTCGTGGTTCTGTTCGATTCAAGGGAACAGTCAAATTTGCATCAATATGTTGTCAGATTTTCGACCCCCTGCTCTGGTGAATTGATACAAATAATGCGATATATCGACAACCTGTGTTATGAAGACAGTGTTAATTATGAATCAATTTATGAAACACTTCGCAAAGCTTGTGAAATTGTTGGAGGAAATATAGATGAATCATATCATTGGGAATGAGAGTTGAAGTTGAAGTTGTTTTTGTTTAATAAAGTTTTTATTCAAAAAATTTTCTGAAACAAAAATGCTATGTGATTTGAATAAAATGAAATTCGAAATATTCGAAATAATGAAAATTCGATCACAGTTTGTGTTTTGGGGTATAGCATTTGGAATTGGAAATACATAATGAATAGAAAAAATACCCGAGAAGGAACGTCTTTTGATGTTCTCCTTGAAATAATTATTTTAAAATTAGACTAGATGGAATTAACTACATATTGATAGGTAAGAAAAAACCCAACGGGATTAAGAAAGTGAAAATTTATTTCAGGAGTTACGGTAACACACTGATACAAAAAAAACCTATGATTTCAAAAAATCGTAGTTCGGCTCAAAGTTAACGAAAATGCTCGGACAAAAAAGCATTTTCCAACATCAATGAAAAAAATCGTCTTCAAAAAGAATGGTATCAATTATTTGTCTCTGAAATTGGCCGTTGATAGATGTATTATTGAAAGTGTTTTCCCAGTTGTATCTTCCTTCTTTTTTCAGCTGTGCGAAAAAAGGAAAATGAGTTCATAGATCAAATAGCCTAAAGTGCCTCACTGCTAAACAGTCTTGAACATCCAGTTGTGAAGAATCACAAAAAAACCGAGTGATATGCTCACACTATTTATCTCCATATTTACACATCTTTCTCTCTCAATCCTCTATTTTTCTTCAATTCATTTTGTCCTTCGTTTTTGACACTTCAAACATCTGTCCGACTGCTGGCTGCCTGTGCGCGCGCATTTATTGTTGTTATTTTTTGTCTGTCTATCTATCGGCTAAAGCCTTACGGCAAAAAATGAAAAAGTTATCTGAAATGTTTCCTAATAACTTGATAACGACACCTCCAGTTAATTTTATTCTGGAAGATAAAAACTTTTTGCACTGGGCTAAACAGGTAATCTCAAAAAGTTATATATCATTTTTTTAAATAAATTATTTTGTTTAGGAAGAATCCCGAGAAACGGATTCGATAAACCTGTACTTAGCGATTACTGATTTCGAAAAACGACTAGAATCTAACAAAGTTCCTGAATTAGCACTTGTTAAACTTGCCAGACATATTCATCGAAAATTTGTGAGGTATTTTGTGAGGCATATGTCTTTTAGAAGTTATGATTTGTTTTATTTACATTTAGCCTGAACACCGGATCATGTAGTTTTCTCGAAACTCCACTTCGCACTCAACAATCGACAAGGATACATGAGGTTGGTTGGTTATTTGCCAATACTTGTCATCCACGTTCATAGAACATTTTTGTGTTTAGCTACTCGAAGGAAAACTTCCCTACAAATCATTATTCGATCCATTGAAACCATCAATCACTAAAATGATAAGTTCCAAATATTCTGAATTCACGTTGAGAAGGAAACCTGACATTCCGAAGGTAGAAAGTGTGAGTTGAGGAAAGTTTAGTCGGGGAGATCAATAAACTATTTCAGTGGCAATCAGCTTCATCTAGCAATTCAGAAAAACAAGGAGCGTATATTTGGTGAGTTGGAACTTTTTTATGTTAGGTTTTTTATTAACGAGAATATCTGGGATTTCATTAGTTGAGCTGATATGAACAAAACTGAGAAAAATAATATTAAAAAAAGTCGGAAAATTCCCTGGAGAAAGATGATAAGAATAAATTGGATAAATCTCTTCGATTCCTCAAATCAAAAATTTTCAGGTTCAACGAAGATGCAATTGATCAATCATCTCGACATGAATTAGGAACTACAATTGCTCATGAAAATGAAGATGATCGATTTGCATTTTTCAATGAAGTTTGTAATCGACTCAATGATCTACAGTAAGAATTATATTCCATTCATTGAATTTTCATCAATCCTTTTTCAGAGATATTCATACATCTAATATTAGCAGTCCAAAAGATTCAAGAAGTTCACAATCATCAAAAATGAGCCCTTATGGTATTGATGGTTTCGCACCTCCTCCTCCAATTTCTCTTCAACCTCCAAATAATCTTCCGAAAAGATTTGAAAGTTTATATCGGAAAAAACGACAACAAAAATCTGAAACAAGTAGTGGATTTGGAAGTGCAGCAACTGATTCATATAGCGAAAAGTTTCGATCTTTAGATAGAACAAATCGAAATAATATTATAAATAATGGATTTTTAACACTTCAACCCAAGAAATCACGTGCACCTAGACAAATACCGTTTTTACAAATTGAATTGAGATATGAGAATGATGTTCCAATGGTTGCAAGAATCCAAAATCAGGCCGTAACATTTAGATATTTCAGACATTTATTTGGTGTCGATTACAACGATAACTGCAGGTTTGAACCCTTTTTTCCTTTTTTTTGCATTAAAAAATTGTTTATTTTCAGATTTTTCTTTAAAAGTATATGCGAAGACAATTCAGCATCATATCAATGGACTTTAATTTTGAATGATGATGATATTCTACCATTATTTCAAGATAGAATTACAGCTATTTGCAGATTATGTCCATCAAGTGATTTAATTTAGATTATATTTATTTTATTTTCTAGTCAGTTTTTTCTACCGGTTTTTTAATTGAAATGAAGCTCAACTACATAAATATGTTTTTCGAGAATGTTTTTCAATATTTCAGATGGCTTTTTAGGAATTGACCATTTTTTTGAGGCCCCATTCAGGAAAGTGAAAAAAAGGACTTACCCTTTTTACAGAGATTATACTATACTATAATTTCACGTGTGAAACACGTGAAAAACTAATATTAGTGAGAGTAAAATTAATTCATTGTGGCGCGCCGGCGTACTGTAGTCTTGTTTTCTGTGTGCATTCGTGTGTGTGTATGCACCACACGCATTTGATTTTACGATAAATGTGTTTCGAGTTTTCTTTTTTTTTGTTTTTGCCGTGCTCCATTTGTATCGAGATTCTGGATTGTGAGCATTCTAAAATTATTCAAATTTATGACTTCAAAGAAGCTTCATCTTCAAATATGAAGATGAAGCTGTTTTCGAGTATACTGTTTCAAATATATTTTTACAGGCGAATGTCTCAAAAATTTCTAAAACATGAAGTTGATCACTTGGAGCACATTCCAATCGGATATATCAAAGATCGACATTATGCAATTGTCACAAGAGATGGTTCGAAATTCTTCAGCAATTATACATGTTATCATAAATCATGTGATATTGTTATTCAAGCAATGAGCGAAAAAGACAGAGAAGTACTTCTTTTGGTACAAAAAGCATATTCAGTGAATGGTCCACGAGAATTGAGTAAATTTTTCTATTTAAATGAGAAAGAGTTTGATGCATTTTGTCAAGAATCACTGAAATATATTGGTGAGTTTTATTTCTCCTGAACTTTCGAGAAAAATAAGGCTTTTTTCAGAAAATGCTGATAGCGATGAATGGAGAGAAGCATGCAAGGAAATGCAATTAACACAAGATGAAAATCATCAAGTTGCATGGAATATGACTCGAGATCATAACAGTTTAAGAGAAACTTTTCCCAGAGATCGTGTTAGTGATGAAGATATCGAAAAAATCAAAAAGAATTTCAAAAGTCGAACAATGAAAGACAAAAATGGAATGAATGTAACAAGTCTCAAGAAATATCTGGCTCTTTCTTCACTTTTTGAAGCAAATTATAAAAGAGCAAAGTTATATTTGGATAATCTCGAAATGTTTCAAGAAGGAAAACGTGGAAGACAATTTATAATGAGAATGATAAATGATAAAAGAATCAACGATTTTGATGAATGGTTTTTGTGTCGTGGAGAAATTTATGAATTTGTTGATATAATCATGCAACAAATTGAAGCCAACGAAAAACAATCTGGTACTATTTTTTTAGAAAAACTTCAATAAGTAATTAATATGTCCAACTTTTCAGACCTTCTTTTTGATTGGATTTCCGAATATGAAGACAACGACAAAATGTTTGTACCTGTTAAGGAATTTGAAAAATATCTCAACATTCTTAAAATTGACAAGAATCGCGTTATTTTCGTACCCGATGTTGATTTTATGAAAGATTGGATCGATATTCCGCTTCAAATAAATCCGCTTGGCTCAACTGTTTACATGACAGAAGGAATTAAAGGTTTATCCGAAGATTCAGGTATACTTTCTTAAAATTAGAATTTGATTTTTGTATTTTTAAAGTGAATATTTTTATTCCAGGCGCAACTGAAAATGTTCGAAAGTTTTGCATGTGATATCGATTGGGTATTTTGTTTCAAAAACAATCCAAAAGAAACAGAAAAAGTTCGTCAATATGTTATTCAAGCAATGAAATGGGTTGATCCAAATTATACGGATGCAAATCATTTTGATAAGGAAAAGCACAAACAATTCAAATCACAGTTTTTTGCTATTAATATAACGGTTTGTGCTCATTTTTACATTTTATTTATTGATCTAACTTATTTTTGTATAGCAAAAGAGAAAAACGCCATTCGCATGTTTTATGAACAAGAAGTTTGACGGTTTTACATCGACAGATGACTTCAGAAAAATTGTTAAAGATAATATTCTGGCGAAAAATGATAAATTTGATTTACTCGGCTTCATTCCTTCAGATGATAAAATTGAGATTTGGAAAGCGCGTTTCATTTTGATCGTAGTTTGGTTGTCCAATGTTCTTCATGATGAAAAAGAGGTTTGATTTTTTTTCAATTCAAACACAAATTTTTACTTTTTAGCTTTTTCTGAATGTCATCAAAGCATTGACAATAAATTGTGGATTTTTGAATTTTGAAAAGGAAGCAGATATCAAAAAATGGGTTGATGGTGGATTGAAAATGTCGGAAGAATATGTTAATTTTGATAAACTTCGAGATTTTGAAAAGATGAAAGAGAAGACTAAAAAGAAAGAAGGTGAAATTTCTGAAAATGTATTATTATAATTTTTTAATTTTTAGAAATTCTCAAGAATGCTTTGAAAGTTCCAAAATCATCGGCTCCGAAATTACTTCAACAAGCTTTGAAGAAAGATGAAACACCAAAAGATTGTCAATTTCCGAATTTCAAACGGGGATTTTTGAATAATACTTCAACAGAAGATGAGCCAAAAATCGAACCAGTTAAAGTAACAACAAAAGTTGTCAGGAAAACTGCTTCAGATGTTGTTGATAAACTTATCACATATATTATGTAGGTTTTTTCAGCAAACCAGAAAAAAAGTATGAACTCATCAACTTCTTTTCAGTAATCAATCTGGTTTCGAAGAATATACACCTTTGGAAGATTTAGATGAAGGAATTCGAAAACATATGGTTGATTATTTGGATGAAATTGAAGCTGATATTTATTGGAGGGTAATTTTGAATTCATCATTTTCTAACATTTAAATTTTTATTTTTAGATGATGAATAACGAAACTTTTTCGAAATTATTGATGCATAAATTGGAGAAATATTTTGACTTGAAAATTGAGAAAGGACAAAAACTTGTGAGAAAAAAGCGAGATGCGCCTGTCAAAAAACCAGAAAATGCTCCGAAAATTGTTGAAACCAAAGAAACTATTGATGCTATAGAAGAAAATAAGAAATTGAAATTGTGAGTTTTTTTTCAATTTTTAAAATTCGTGGCTATTTCCAGAAAGATAGATGAAATGACAACAAAGTTGGAGGAATCTCAAAGAAGAGAGCAGGTTTTGGAAGGAATTCAAATCAAGTTGAGAGCTGAACTTGAAGAGTGAGTTTAGCTGGATTTTTTGTAGAAATTTTGGATTTTAAAATTTCAGGGTTGGTATAAATATTAATGAGCGAGAAGAAGCTGCAAAGGAATTGGAGAAAAATTCAAAATTGTAAGTTTGATTTTCTTGATCCACAATCTCCACATATTTTATTTTATCTACATAGGTTGCTGAATAAAATAAAGCAAGATTATCGAGAGGAAATTCGAAAATATAAAGAAGAAGCTCAAACTCGTGAAAATCGTATTCAACAATTACAAGACGAGCAAAAAGAAAATCGAGAATTTTTGAGAAAAGAACGGGAAAAATTATATGCTGAAGCTGAAAAAAACTCGAGATTGTGAGTAAAGTTTTTAATAATTTTTATTTTTAAAAATTTAATTTTTCAGGGCAAACGAAAGTGTGAGAAAAATGAAAACTGAATTGGAGAATGCGAAATTTCATGAGAATAATCATTTGAGCAAAATATCGGAATTATTGAAAGAAAATAGTCAATTGAAAACGCACATTGAAATTTTGGAAGAAAAATTGGATTCGGATAAAAAGTAAGTAATTGTAGTATTCTTATTTATGAAAATCTTGTTTTTTTACAGTTCCGAAGAAATCAGTCAAGATATTCAAAAGTTAGATGTTTCAAGTTCTGATTGTTAAACTGTTTTTTGTTTGTTATTTGGTGAAAATCTGTCACGATTAAAATTTAACTGAATTTTTTTAAAAATATAAGCTGTACGATTGTTTAATAAAACGTTGATAATGTTAACATTGAAAAACTAGCAACTGCCAATATACTTACTTATTTCACATCTGGATTACAAATAACTTTTCATAAAATGTGTTCATGTTCAGTATACAAAAGATAAATATACACAAAAATAATTCACAAATACCAGTAATTTCAAATGTTCAGTAGAAACACAAAAATGTGCTTTTGGTGATGGCTTAATAGGCTTCTTCTTCAAAATATGCATCTACAAAACTGTCAAACTCCTCTCTTGTCATCATTTTTGCAATTTCCGATTCCGATGGTAGAATTTCGAGATGTTCTGGGCGATCTTCGTATAGCGAGATGACTTCGGCGTCCTGGAAATTTAAATTTTCATTTTTCGGGAGTTTTCCTAGGCAATTGAAAATCAGAAACATATGTGACATTTTCGAAGCAGAGAGTTCTTATTTTCACTATTCATATCCACGTGGAAAACCTTACCGCGTAATCGTCTCTAAAATCTTCCAGACAATCAAATCGGCTTGCAATTTCAATCGGTGGATATTCGTCCCACTTTTCAATTCCCAACTCAATCAACCCGGCGTCAATTGAAATGTTATTGAAATCTTCCAATGGTTCAACATCTCCTTCCCCTTTCTCCAATTCCTCAGTTTCATTCGTCAAAATCACATCTTCTCCCAGCTCCAATTCATTTTCAAGCTCAAAAAGTGGCGAATGTGGACTTGAAGGAAGTCGAGAAACTCCTTCAATCGGCGAACTGCACGATCTTTCAATAATATTTGTTTCCGCTGGCTTTTTCTCGAGTTTTGGCACTTCTTCGACATCTTCAAAAACTTCGAAAGCCGGGGTTGCTTTGCTGATTTTTCTTGTGGCTGAGGAAGGAACAGAGCGGGTTATTGGCTGAAATTTACAGAAAAAAGTTGATTAGAAAGCTGTATTGATTGTAAAACTAACCGTTTTTGCTTCATTAATCATCAAACCCAATCCTCTTCTTGGTGTTTTTGCTAACATTTCTTTTGCATTTCCGCCTTGTTGTTGTTGCTGTTGCAATCCATGTCTCATAGATTCATCAATTCTCAATCCGTCCATTTTCTATCAAGATTAGTTGTCAAAATGAAATGATTCCACGCACGCAACACGCGAAAAGAAAAAAACAATGACAAATATTTTTTGAAACGAAAATAACGCGGGTGTGTGCGTTGGAGCGAAGTTGCCATCTTGCTGACGAGAGAGTGTGTGAGGTGAAGAGGTAGAGAGAAAAAAAAAAACAATTTTCATGAATTTTTTAATTGAAAAACTTTATAAACCCATACAATATAATATTATGCAACTAAACGAGTTCTTTCATGTGATAATGAGACAAGACTTGATTCTTTACTTGAATTATTTCCACCTCCAACCAATCGATCTAACACATTATCAGCTTCTTTTTCCAAAAAATCATTCCACATTCGACCAACAACTTCTGTACATACAATATCTCCCGTATGATTATTAATCATTTTGAGAAGCTGAAAGATATTACTAAATTTTTTTTGTTTATCAGGGCCTCCAGACATTTCTCAATTTTTCTAAATTTATTTTTCACCGACTTGAAAAAGTTCAAAAATTATTAAAAATTGCTTACCACAATAATATCAGGTGTGAATTTGTGCAAACAAAATTCTGGCAATAGAATAGCAATTTGTTCTTTCCGAAAAGTTTTTGTTAACTTTTTATCGCATTCTTCCTGATTATCCAAAAATTGTTGCAAAAATTCGACGAGTTTTTCTTTTTGTATACATGTTATAAACAAAGAATACGGTATCCACTAATGTGACAAAGAAAACCAATAGAAACCTGGAATAAGACGTGGTTTCAGAAAAATCAGAATTTTTGACTTACCATAAATACAAAAATAAGAAGATTTTTTCGTTGAACATATTGAGTGTTAAAACACATTGAATTGAATGTCTTTGAAGGTTTCCAAGAACTCGAACCTGCAAAAAGGGTTTTTTTAGATCTGGATTCAATTCATTTTTCTATTATCAAATAAGAGCTTTAAAAAAGGGCCCCTTCTGCAAAATTAAAAAAAGATCAGAAGGATTTTGCACTGGAAGGCTTTGGAACATTTTTTCTCCAATTTTGTGGAAATTCGCTTCTCTAAATTATTCTAGTTAAACGAGCTATTCAAATTTAAGTTTAACTGCACATCGATCAAAATTCTGAACTTTTTCAAATTCCAACTTAGCCCTCTGTTTTCTGAAAACTATTTTCTGATTTGTTTTTTTTTCCCTTTTCTAACCTCAAATTTTTAATTTAAGGGAAAAAAGACTCGTCAAAAGTCTGATCGATCTTTGCACCAATTTTTCAATTTTTTCTCCATCAAATTTTTTCTTGTTCTTATTAAATACACACAGTTTTAATTCGACGAGCAAATATGTTACGTATTGTGACTGACCTGAAAATCGCACATGGCAATTCGAGGAAAATTTCCCGAATCTTCCCAATCTGTTCCATGCAAAATATCATTCAGAATTCTCATTCCCCAATATGGATCATTTTGTCCAAGAAATTTGTTGGTTGAATAAAATTGAAGAAATGAATTTGTCATGTAGATTATTTTTGTGGTAATGTAGGCACTGGAATTGTATAAATAACATTTTTTTGAATGAAAAAAATGAACCAACTTTAAAATAAATTTTCCATGTTGCATTCCGAAAATCTTCTGAATTTTGGCCAATTTCGAAGTCTCTTCTTCACATTTTCTTTTTCTCAAATTATTCGAAATATGTCGACAAATAACATCAATTTGTTTTGTTCGATCTCCTTCTTCAGCTCCTTCAGCTTTTTGTGCAGTTTCAACCAATTTTATAATATTAATTCCAGAACTTCCAGATAACATTGACCAAAAAATGACAGGTAAATAGAAGAATGCAGCCTCAATTGCCATGATAAATGGTGCCCATTGATAATAAATTAATTGTTGAGAAATTCTTGAAAAATCAAATCATCAACTCTGGAATTCTAGAGGGAGAACAAACCTTTCTTCAATCGAATTCGGAACTTTATCATTGGGTTTAACCCAATACGTATTATATACAAAACAATAATCTTCTGCATATTGTTCCCAAGCTTTGGTGAACTGAAATTTATCTTTAAAAATGGGAGGAAAATGTTAGTTGAAACACAACATTTTCTAGAAAATAATATGATTTTTGTATGTTTCGAAATATTTCCGCCGATCCATTTCAAAAAATTACTACAGAAGTTCCTGAAAAATCATAAAGAAGAAGTTCCAGTACCAATTTCAGAAGACATAATTTAGAACCCAGCTCTTTGAATTCCTACAGTAGCTTCGGATATCGCCAGTCTGAATTATAACAAAACCGAAATTGATTAATTTAATTTCAAGGGAAAAAGGAGTTAATATTTTTTTAGTTGTGAGCAGAAAAATGTTAATATTTTTGTGTAGAAGTGACGCCCACTCACTGTTCTCAGACACGTTTTTCCATAAATAAACGATTCTTCTGAATCGCAAAAAGTATGCGACCAAAGCGGCGAATTCCAACCGCTCGCCTATAATTTTTCCATCCCTTTTGTTTTTGTTAATAATGTGTTAGATAAGCGGATATGAATGGACTTCAAAGACAGTTGAACTACATTTTCTTGACTCGACATATTTTTTTAGCAATATTTGACCTCACGATACTGAAGTCAAAAATTGTGAGCTGAACTTATGACGTGTCAAACTCTGATAATTTTGCAAAACTACTCAGAGAAATGGGCTGGAGAACCGGCGGAGAAAACGACCTGTCGGCGAACTTTCGGACAACCGGTGGACAAAAGTTTCGGCGAAATAGTGTAGGTCAGACACTCCGTGAGTTATCTCATGTCAGGTCCAACTGTCTTTAAAGAAATGTTACCTGTGCTGGAACCCAACATTGAAGTGGTGAACCAACATATTGTCGAGCTGTGATTGTCAACGACATTCCCATTATAATTAATGTGGAATAATAATAATTGAGACGGTCAGTTCCCAGATCATCCAATCTGGGTTTGACCATCGAAAACATACTACCAAGCATATTCATTTTGCCTGAACTAAATGGAGTGCCCGCAGCACTAGAATGACGCCTTGTTGGGATTACTGTAAAATGTTGAGAGAAATCTGAAAATTATCACTTTTTTTTTCAATATTTTGATCTGAAATTTTGATGAAATTAAAATTTAAAATTTGGATAGAACGACAAAAAATCGAGTCGATCGACGAAGAAGCACAAAAACACACAAATGAATGATGGAAATGATACTTTTGTGAGTGAGTGTATTTGTGTTAACATGATAGGTAAATATTGTAGTGTGTAGATGGAAAAAATGAAGAAAATGACACAAAAAATTCGAGAAGAGATAGATTGAAGCTAACGAGTGGGAGTTCGCGCCGATTTCAAGTGGTCGAAAATATGTGACTATTTTGATAATTTTTTTTGACTGTAGAAAAGTTTGAGGGATTTTTTATTATGCTTTATTATCATAAATTACAAGAAAAGCGGAAATTCTCTAAATGGGGATGTTTGGAACCGGTGAAAAATTCGATTAGAAATTGAATTCCAAAGTTCAAAACAGTCTGGACAATTGCCAAATTTACTACTGGATTTTAATCACTGATACTGAGATCAAAAGTAATAAAAAACTCGAAAGAAGTTATTTTTACTCAAAAATTTAAATTTCATTTTGCAAAAAGTTTAAAATGAAAAAAAGTTTCCAACCGGTTCAAAAACGACCCCCTTGTTTTAAAATTACATAAAAAATGTTAAATTTTTGAAATCTGTTTTAAGAGTGAGATCTATGCAAAATACTTACAATAATTATTTCAAACTCAGTCCTTTGAGAGAACATGTCCATTAAATCCAATCATATCGGCATGAATTGGGAAAAAGTTGATGAGAATCTGGAAAAACATATGTTGTATTTTCTCGAAGATAAATTATGCATTTACCTGTTGCGGTGTTAAATTGAGTTTCACTTGAAAAAGTTTGCAAATTTCGATGATATGGAACTCATTTGCATCTTTGGTCAAACCAGTGTTTGATGTTATCTGAAAACTAATTTTTTTCAAAACGAATAATTTATTGTTATTGTCGAATTTGAAAAATGTGGCAGCCTTAAAAAATGAAAAACAGTGCAGAGCTGAATGAATGACAAAGTCATTACTTCGTCAGTCGCGTGCGGCTGTGCGTCGCGGCCGAAAAACAAAGGAAAAAATAAATAATTGATTGTTTTTCGACCGCGACGCACAGCCGCACGCGACTGACGAAATAATGACTTTGTCATTCATTCAGCTCTGCACTGTTTTTCATTTTTTAAGGCTGCCACATTTTTCAAATTCGACAATACTGAATTCACCTCAACAATCGCAAATTGTTGTTTATTATCAGTTCCACGACAGATTCTCGATTTATCATCCAATACTACAAACATATGTTCTGCTGGTTTTCCCATTGATTTGGCTAATGTTTGAGCAAGCAAAACCTGGAGACAATGTTTTGTTGGATTATAACTTGTTTAAAAAAAAAGATACTTACCTCGAAATCTGCTGGAACTTTGGCACTTGTAAAAACTTTAATAACTGGCATTTCTGAAAAATTTCTAGTGTTAAGTTTTTCTAATTTTGAAAGGAACCAGAAAGGTGGTAAAAAATCCAGTGGATCTTGATTAGAATATTAAAAAAATTGAAGTTTCGAAAATTCATCACAAGTAAAATTACAAAAATTAAAACCCGATTAAAGATCGAAGAGCAGCTCGAGCATCTCCATTTGTTTCGATCAATTTTGAACGAACTGTTGCCTGGAAACAAAAAAAAACATGAAAAAAGAATGAAAGAGAATCCTAGACTCAAATTCAATTTTTCCGGTAATGAATTGAATTTATTTTGTATTCTCTCTAGATCTTTTCTCAAATAGACTTACTTCCGGTAATTCCAATTCATTCATAATCATCAATAAATCTTCTCTTTTGATATTAATTTTTGGACGAGTTGGAACTGCAGAACTTATCATTTTATCCAAAGCTGCTGCTGACATTTTTGTATCTTCTCTTTCTTCTTGAGTATCAGAAACCTTTAAAAAATCTATTAATAAAACAATAATATGCAATTTACTTGAGAATATTCAAAAATTAGTACCTCAGGAATATAATGTTCATCAAAATCGCTTTCTTCACTACTTTCGCTCATTTCAAGTAAATATAAATTTGAAATTGATTTCTTTTTCTTCCAAAATAAAAAAAAATATTATATAAGAAAAGACACACTTTTCACTCACTCCGTTATTTGTTAACATTCCCGCCATTTTCAATTTTTTCAAAAATATTTTGTTTCATTTTCAAATTTGCTCACCTTTGACAATTCATCACTTCCCCAATTATGTTTGTCGACTTGTTTTTCTTCTTCTGAAGTTGTCATTTTCTGAAAAAAGTGAAATATTTGTGGATTTTCGGATTCAAAAACATTTCTGGAAAAAAAAGAAAAATAAACAACGATACTCCGCTAAATACGCAAAATTGTGCCACTAAAGAAAAGGCAGTTGAATTCAATGAAGGAAACTTTAAAAATTCGGGGGCAAAAATTAAAAACGTTTATATCAAAATTAGAAAAATTAAAAAGAAAAATAATACTATTTACAGAAGTGAATTATAAATATACATCGAGCAAACTTGGAGGCTGCGCTAAATTGTTCCACGGTCTCATTGGTGGTGAAGCAGGTTTCTCGATTGATAGAAAAACAACAGAATTAAGATTGTTCTGCGTAGAAGAATCATTGGAACATTTTGTTGTGCTTTTCGACGAATTTTCTGAAAAATTAAAGCATAAAAATTATACAAGACTATTGGCAAATCTCACCAGGATTTTCACAAAACAACACTTCTAATTGTTGCTTATTTTTGGTTCGAATAAACATATGAGATCCACTTTCGGAATAATCATCAATTTTAATATCAATATCTTTGCAAGATGATCGGACCACGAATGTTGAAGTTTTGTTTTTCTCATCAAATTTACTTATTTCCGATTTGCTCACGTACCTGCAAAAAAAACCATAATTTTGAATACGTTGTTCCATAAAATTAAAAACTCACATATAAGGAATATCAACTGGATTTTCTTTGACCAGTTTGCAGAGTGATTTACAATCATGCACAAATGCATCAATGTTTTTTTCTTGTTCTTCCAGAACTTCAACATCTTGTTCGAGTTGCTTTTGTTTTATATGATCTGGTACTTCATCTCTCCAGCGAATCGCATTTTTCCCTATTTTTTCCACAAATGATATTCCTTCAAGAACATTTGATATATCATAGAGTCTTCGTTTTGGAACCTCGAGAAAATCAGCGGCATCGTTCAAATTCAAAATCTTTAAAAATAAGGTTCATATTAAAATAAAGATACGATGAGTTTAATTGAAACAAACCTTGTCTCGAGTGATTTGTTTCAGCATCATAAACTTTCGAGTCGTCTCTAAAAGCGAATTTTCATATCGACTGGATGTTGTTAAGCCTAATGGATTATTTGGTTTTTCAGTTTTTGATGAACTCTTCGATTTTTCTTGTGAACTTTTAACTTCACTTTTCTGTTTGGATTCAGAAGTAGGAGAAATATCATGAAGATTTATTTCAGCTGTAATGAAACATATAAAAATATAAATAGTTATGAAAAACTTGAACTCACCACCATCAGATGGTAAATTTTTGAATAAAATTGGCATTGACATTTCTCTGATATAGTGTTAGATGTTTGTGAAAGTTGATTTTGACAAAATATTTCTCTTCAAATTTGAATTAGCAAATTTCGAAATTGAAAAACAAAAGTAAAACACAGTCCACCTATTGCTACAGTACATTTTCTCAAGGTTGGCAATGCGCCAACCGCTGGTCTTGAAACGAAGGGCCATGTTTCTTTTGAAATACGGAATTTTCCCTTTGAAAATGTTTTTTTTTCACATCCGTGAATTCTTGATCGTCGTCCGTCGGTACGATCAAACAATTTTGCAAACATTGAAAAGAAGTCGGTCGGAAATCTATAGAAAATCAATTTTAGCGTGACAAATTTTTACGTAAGACTGAATTTTGTATTTTTCTCTGTACTCAGCACTTGACTCTGTAGACTGACTGTACAAATTTCGTTGATACTTTGTACGAAAACGGGGAAGAGAGAATTGCACATAAGTAACATCCGTTTATCTACAAAGTAGCTACAGAACAGCAACGGCGTAGCTACGGATTCAAAAATAATATTTATAGAGCGGTCACTTCACTTAATTTCTGTCCGCGAATTGTGTAGCTACAGCGGAGATACGCTGTACGTACGTTTTCATCTCTGATTGTGTGACCAGAGGTGTCGTTTGGGCACCCACTGGGCACCCAAATACCCACAGATCGATGGGCATACCCGGGTGGGCATTTTCATTGAAAAACGACAGGACGGGTGAGGTATACCCGGGCATGCCCAGATGCCCAAAATGGGCATTTGTTTTTGATTTTTCCTTCTATTTTTTTCGAAAAAAAATTTGTTTTGGCAGTTTTTTGTTCATATAACATGGTCAGTGAAGAGAAAAAGCTACCTAATCTGTAGATATTTCAAAAAAACACTTGTTTTCTCCAAATTTGTCTATGTTTTGTGTTTTTAAAAACTCAAAAGACGTTCCATAACTTTTGTTGGAGCAGCTATTATCATAAAAAATGAATTTACCATAAACTCTTGTCTTTTCATACACTTTGGTTCTTTTCACACTTTTTTATACGATAAAATGCATTTTCAGATGTTTTAGAAGTCAAGAAAAAGCAATAAATTTGCGTTTTATTGATAATTTTTGTTGCATATCAGTTTTTCAATCGAAATCAACTATTTTTTAGTCAAATTCGTCTAATTAAATGGATAATAGCTGAAAAAAACAGGTCAATTGTTTTTCCTCTATTGTTTATCGTCTAATGTTTTTCCTCTATCTTAGTGTTTATCGTTTTTAGTGTTTATCCTCTATAATGTTTTTCGTTTTTTAAAGGTGTTTTCAAAAATTTTCTGGCAAGATTTTCGGCCAAGCAGAATTTGATGAGAGGTCTGAAATTTCAGGAATTTCAGATCAGAATCACGTGATTTTCACGTGAAAATCAAAATTTTCAAAAAATTTCTAGTTTTTTGCTACAAATGTTTTCAGACATGCTGAAAACGATGGGATAACTGAAATTTTGAGAATTTCAGCTTTTCAACCAGAATCACGTGATTTTCACGTGAAAATTAAAATTTTCAAAAAATTTCTAGTTTTTTGCTACAAATGTTTTCAGACATGCTGAAAACGATGGGATAACTGAAATTTTGAGAATTTCAGCTTTTCAACCAGAATCACGTGATTTTCACGTGAAAATTGAAATTTTCAAAAAATTTCTAGTTTTTTGCTACAAATGTTTTCAGACATGCTGAAAACGATGGGATGACTGAAATTTCAAGATAATCAAACTATAGACGTGTTCAAAAGACGACAAAAATCAAACTGAACTTTTTCAAAATAAAATTCATATAAAATTTAAATTAAAATCATTTAAAATCCAGCGTTTGGCGGAGGCGATTCCTGCGGTCGGACGATTAAACCTGAAAAAATCGAATAAATCATAATTCTAGTTTTTCAATTTTTTTCTGGAAAATTGTGGGAACTAGAACTACGTTCTAACCCAAGTTTGATAACTTTTTGGAAGAAAACTATATCAGTATTGTTATAAGGCTCTAGGGAAATGTTTAATTTCATTATAATCCTATAGGAGTAAGCCACTGTTGGAAAATTGGAAGCTAATTTTAAGAGAGAACTTGGTTCTAGGATTTACAGGGAAAATGTCCGTATTTCTTGAGATCTGATTAAATCTTATTGATGAAAGAAATTTCAGGCCCAAAATCAGGGCTTTTTATTAGATTTTAGATTTCAAGCTTGAAATCTAAGATTTTCCTCAAACTCCATGCCTGAAATCTGGGCTATTTCTTAGATTTTTTGATTGCAGGCCTGAAATCTGAGCTTTTTCTCAAATTTCAAACCTGAAACCTACGCTATAGGTTTTTAATTTAAAACTTTATGATTTTTGGCTGAAATTCTAGCTTTTACTCAACCCAAAAGCTCGTACTTTCGCATTTCGAGCTTTTGGGTTCAGGAAAAGCTAAAACTTTCAGTTTTTCAAAATTTTATTTGATTTTTCCCCAAAACCATCCCAAAATACTTACATTTCAATCAAAATCCCTTGTCGAATCCATCAATTGTTGAGCTGACTGCCGAAATCTGGAAAAATACATTTTTCTCTCTAAATTTTGAATGAAAATTAAAAAAAATAAACTTACATTTCGATATTCGTCCTATGTTGTTGTTGCATTTGGTGCTGATCTGCAAAAAATAAATAGATAAAAGTGAATAGGTTCCAATAGTGAATTCTCTCTAAAACTCTTCAATAGGGCTGGAATTGAGTCACAAATAAGTGTGAAAATCGACAAAATTCAACGTAAAAACGGAAGATTCCAGATTTTTCAATTGAAAATTAGATCAAACTAGTTATACTCTAGGTGAGAGTGAGAAATCGTGAAACATTTCACTTGGAAAAATCATGAAAACCCCATAATTTGTAAAATAACTCACATTTTTATCGAATTCTCCATAATTTCGTCGATTTCGTCGTCTTCGCAGTCGGTGTGCGACTCCTTCTCATCTGTAAAAAATACTCATCAAAAAATCAAGTCACAAAAATAAGTTTTCAACAGAAAAAAGCTTTTCAAGCGTAAAAACTGGAAAAAAAAAAGAAAAAATTGGCCTAAAATAATTGGCAAACATCCAATTGTTGGTATCCTAGGCCATTGGCCGATGTTCCTTGAAATTTTTAGGCCATCATTCAATTTATTTTTTTCTTTTTTTTTCGTTTTTTCTTGTGTTTTCCTCGTTTCATATAGAAATTGTATATTTAATGCTGCGAAAAACACATAAAACGTGTTTCCCGTATAAAATCACAGATGAAATTTCATGAAAACTTTGAAATTGACCTATTTCGCATGAATTTAGGCCAAAAAACTGAAATGTTCATTTTTTGATTTTTTTTTAAATTTTTTGATAATAGAACGACGTTACTTTGTAGTTTCACTCAATTTCAGCCCTATTAAAGAGTTTTAGGAGAGAATTCACTATTGGAACCTATTCACTTTTATCTTTATTTATTTAATCATCTATTTATTTTTTGCAGATATCTGATCTAGATCTAGATCAACCAAATGCAACAACAACATAGGACGAATATCGAAATGTAAGTTTATTTTTTTTTAAATTTTCATTCAAAATTTAGAGAGAAAAATGTATTTTTCCAGATTTCGGCAGTCAGCTCAACAATTGAAGGATTCGACAAGGGATTTTGATTGAAATGTAAGTATTTTGGGATGGTTTTGGGGAAAAATCAAATAAAATTTTGAAAAACTGAAAGTTTTAGCTTTTCCTGAACCCAAAAGCTCGAAATGCGAAAGTACGAGCTTTTGGGTTGAGTAAAAGCTAGAATTTCAGCCAAAAATCATAAAGTTTTAAATTAAAAACCTATAGCGTAGGTTTCAGGTTTGAAATTTGAGAAAAAGCTCAGATTTCAGGCCTGCAATCAAAAATCTAAGAAATAGCCCAGATTTCAGGCATGGAGTTTGAGGAAAATCTTAGATTTCAAGCTTGAAATCTAAAATCTAATAAAAAGCCCTGATTTTGGGCCTGAAATTTCTTTTATCAATAAGATTTAATCAGATCTCAAGAAATACGGACATTTTCCCTGTAAATCCTAGAACCAAGTTCTCTCTTAAAATTAGCTTCCAATTTTCCAACAGTGGCTTACTCCTATAGGATTATAATGAAATTAAACATTTCCCTAGAGCCTTATAACAATACTGATATAGTTTTCTTCCAAAAAGTTATCAAACTTGGGTTAGGAACGTAGTTCTAGTTCCCACAATTTTCCAGAAAAAAATTGAAAAACTAGAATTATGATTTATTCGATTTTTTCAGGTTTAATCGTCCGACCGCAGGAATCGCCTCCGCCAAACGCTGGATTTTAAATGATTGTAATTTAAATTTTATATGAATTTTATTTTGAAAAAGTTCAGTTTGATTTTTGTCGTCTTTTGAACACGTCTATAGTTTGATTATCTTGAAATTTCAGTCATCCCATCGTTTTCAGCATGTCTGAAAACATTTGTAGCAAAAAACTAGAAATTTTTTGAAAATTTTAATTTTCACGTGAAAATCACGTGATTCTGGTTGAAAAGCTGAAATTCTCAAAATTTCAGTTATCCCATCGTTTTCAGCATGTCTGAAAACATTTGTAGCAAAAAACTAGAAATTTTTTGAAAATTTCAATTTTCACGTGAAAATCACGTGATTCTGGTTGAAAAGCTGAAATTCTCAAAATTTCAGTTATCCCATCGTTTTCAGCATGTCTGAAAACATTTGTAGCAAAAAACTAGAAATTTTTTGAAAATTTCAATTTTCACGTGAAAATCACGTGATTCTGGTTGAAAAGCTGAAATTCTCAAAATTTCAGTTATCCCATCGTTTTCAGCATGTCTGAAAACATTTGTAGCAAAAAACTAGAAATTTTTTGAAAATTTCAATTTTCACGTGAAAATCACGTGATTCTGGTTGAAAAGCTGAAATTCTCAAAATTTCAGTTATCCCATCGTTTTCAGCATGTCTGAAAACATTTGTAGCAAAAAACTAGAAATTTTTTGAAAATTTTGATTTTCACGTGAAAATCACGTGATTCTGATCTGAAATTCCTGAAATTTCAGACCTCTCATCAAATTCTGCTTGGCCGAAAATCTTGCCAGAAAATTTTTGAAAACACCTTTAAAAAACGAAAAACATTATAGAGGATAAACACTAAAAACGATAAACACTAAGATAGAGGAAAAACATTAGACGATAAACAATAGAGGAAAAACAATTGACCAAGAAAGTTTAACATCCAAAGTCGACTCTAATTGAAGTTGTGAAAAATCAAAAAAGTTATCCCAGAAAAAAAATTAATGGGTTGTCATCATTGAAATCACTAATGGAACGTTTTTGCTTAATTTATTCCTTGCTTTTTGAGCGAATTTTGACTAACCAGTTTTTCACCGGTTTTGCACCCGTTGGCTCGAAGTTGAGTTTCGACACCAATTTTCATATCCATTCTAACGATACAGATATGTCGAAAATTGGAAGCGAAAACCTTTATATGTACTATTTGAGGAAATAGAACCATCATTCAGCCAAAACCAAGTCACGGGAGCTGACCTGTTCTTCGCCCGTTTGCGGCCAGTTGAGTTAGGAACTACCACCTTGGTCAAAAGTCTGAAAAACTGGAAAACCCGTTGCGAAGTAGGTTTCAAATGCTTCTTGAGATGTTAAAACATCATTTCGAGCTAGGACAGGTTCTAACTCCAAACCTGTTTTCTACCGGTTATTCACCGGTTCGGCTGAAACCACGATTCTCCGATATATCGACTGAAAATAGTCAAAATGTGTGCGAACTTATTCTAAACACTTTCAGATAGTCCCTATATTCCAAAATGTTTTCATAAATCCTAAAATTTGAAACCGATTTAATACCAGTTTTGGACCAGTCGCTGTTGAACCGGTGCAAAACTGGTATGAAACTGGTCAACGGTCCGTAACCGGTCGGTTACCGGCAATGTGCGATCTGCCTGTGGAGTCGAACGCGCTACCATTGCGCCAAGCAGTCATGTTTGCACAGTGTTTTTTCATAGTGGTCTAATAGTACCACTATAGTGGTACAATTAGACCACTACACCGTTTTTTACCAGTGGTCTTATGGGTACACTAGCTGGGGTACTACTGTTCGATGTTTAGTACCCTAGTTGGGGTGTCTTAGTGGTCTTGTAGTAGTGGAGTTGGGGTCTCGGAAATTAACAAGCAACTTGAATAAGACAATTTATTATCAAAAAAAAAAAATAAAAAAATTGGTTGAATTATTGAGATCCAGACTCATAAATAAGTGGAGTTGATGCATCAAGCACGGCTATCACTCTCCTATCGATTCATTGATTAGTGTTTTGATGGTGAATTGAGGACAATGTAGAATCGCTCGATTGTTCCCATAATAACTGTAAATGAATAAAATTGGGCTCTGTCCAGTTTTGGAAAGAACTTTTTTTGTGAGTATCTCCTATTGATAAAACAACTAGTTCATAAAACAACTCGAAATGACACTTCGCACATAAAAGGCTTATAGACCGATTTAACGACAGGCTGAGAGTTTGGTTAGACTACATTTTTGCATGTTTATAAGAACAAGTGAATCTACACTGCCTTCCCACAGCTACGTGTGTCTGGAAAAACGAAAAATTTCTGCGCGCTCTTGCAAACACACACTGGCATTATTTTCCAACTTTTTTTTCCTGCCGGCCACGTATTCTGCCACGACTACACGTTTCACGTAAATTAAATTGTTTTTCGATCTCATCTTTTTTTTCTTCACTAAATTTCCAAGAAATAACAAAAATAATAAAATTTCCTGAATTAAAAAAACGTGCCGCACCTTGCCAAATCAGTCCCGCAACTAGGCGACCACGACTAACAGTTTTGGATGTCTATTGAACGAAAATAACTCACTGTAATTTCTTGTTGTCCAGCAACGATTGAATCAATATTGATTGGCGCAATCATTGAAGACTTGGGTTCCTGGGTTGGTGTTTCCTCCCGATGTTTGTCCACCGCCGCTTGCTCCTTGAGCATATCCGGAAGATGAGGCGTTGCTTTCCATGTATCCAGGCGAATATCCCCCAGTAGACATACAAGTCGATTTTTCACGTCACTCATTGCTTTTTATTGTTTTTTTTTTGAAGTTCCGCTTCACAAGATACTTCAATCAAAAACAATTTGACCCTGAAAATCGAATTTCCTTGTTTTTCCTATTTTCATTATTTTCCTCACTTTTTTATCGTAAAAATCCATGTATTTCGTGGTGGACGATTGCCAGGGGACTTGGTTCGCATGATAAACCTGAAAAAAACATGTAAAATCATGTAAAACATGGAAGAAACAAGAGAAAAGCGACAAAGTAGGAAAAACGAAAAATAAAAATACGTGCGCGTCAAATAAAATGTGTTTGTGTGTGCGTGTGTGTGTTTGCACACATTTCAAACGGGCTACAGTAACCAATGATTTTTTTCTCGTTTTCAAGCTCGATTCAGCAGTATATTAAAAAGTAAAGTATAATTAAGTAACCCTACAGGGCGAGATTGTGTCATGAAGTTGCAAGTGGTTTTTGTAAATATCATAAATAATGGAGTATTTTGTCAAAAATTCTGAAAATCAACAGATTTTTGACCGGGACTGATTGTTAATAGCCAATAAATGCTCTCCGAACTATGTTGTATATTCATTTTCGTTAGAAATATGAATTTTCACGATTTTGAAGATGCAATTTTTTCGTAGAGTCAGGACCACTACTCAACTACTAAACGACCCCAACACGACCCCAACACGACCCCTACCCTTGAAAAATAAAAGCTCATAACTTTTCCAAACTGGAATTTTTCATGATGAAATTTTTCAGACAAGAACTTCAGAACCTTCTGATTGTTGTACCATTTAGTTTTTGTAAATTGAAAACCACTAATGCACCACTTTTGAACCCCTGCCAATTAGTGGTGCGATTGGGGTGCAATAGTGGTAAAAATCACCCCAAATGGGGTACTAAATAACGGTAGGGGTACAACAGTACCACTACTGAAAAAACACTGTGTTTGAAATGGCTGCGGCTTGGCCATGATAACATCGCTCTCTTTCTTTTTCTCGGTAAGAGAGAGTGGGAGAATTTGAGAGACGCAGAGACAATTTATAAACATTTTTGTTTTTTTTATTGCAAACACAAAAAAAATAAAATATGAAATATTATGAAACGTGACCCGGTTTTTTTCTGTGTCCAGTTGGCAAATTTGGAGAAAAAAAATCAGTTTCAATATTTTGCGCTGTACGAAAATGACAGATGATGTAAGTTTTATTTGTGTCTGATTTTCTAATTTCTCTTCCACACTAGTATACTCCGCCCGAAAAGTAAAGTTTGTAAGATTCTCAGGGTTCCCGGGATAATAATTCATAGGAAAAACCTCTAGGTTCTCTTGAAAACCCCAGGGGTTCCCTTTACACTTTTCCCGGGGAAGTACTGTAGGGTTTGCTCGTACTGTTTGTTGTTTGCAGAATTTTTTCAGCGTGTTTGCGGATTTTTTCAAGTCGTATTTTTTTCTCTCAAGGAAGGGATGTTATTTTGGCACCAAAAATCATGAAATATATGACCTAGAAAACCAAGACCACTTTTCTCTTCCACATGTTGTTTTTTCAGTCACAAATAATCGAAAAATTGGACACATTGGCTGGCGATTATGAAATCGAGAGTATTGAAAACGTGTTGAAACATGTCGAAAATTTGAATTTGGAAGAATTGGCGCCAAATTTGAAAGTGGCTGTTTTGCGTCGAAAAGCTGAATGGCTCTATGCTTTGAGTAATCATGAAGAAGATAAGAAAAAACGATATGAATTGTTGGAAAATGGTGGGTTTTGGATTTCTAGGCCAAGTTTTCACCCAATTTTCAGCATACAATTCTGCATTATCTGCTCATTCAATCGACGAATCTGATTTTGATGCTATCAAAGTTTTATGCTCAACATCCGGTAGATTGGCTGAAGAATCGGGAATTCAGAAGAAAATTCATTTTGGTTTTCTTTTCAAAGGATATTTGGATAAGGCGATCGCGTTAAATGATAATGATTTTGAGACGCTTCATATGAGAGGAAGATTTTCGTATACGGTAAGACTAGAGTGTAGTTTGTTATATCATCTTGAATCTTCTTCTTTCAGGTTTCAAGTTTGTCAATGGTCGAACGAATTGCTGCCAAAGTTATTGGCAAAATTCCCGAAACCAGTTATCAAGAAGCACTTCAAGATCTACTGAAAGCTGATAAAATCACACCAGACGTGGCTGAAAATCAACTTTTTGTTGGCAAAACATATTTGGCTTTGGGCGATTTGCCAAACGCGAAAATTTGGTTGAAAATGGCGGCTGAAAATGAAAGTGAGGGATGTGTTGAAGAAGAACTAGTTGAGGAGGCTAAAGAGATTCTCAAGGATAAGAAATTCGCTAAAATTTAAATTATAGATAAATTATTGATATTTTAGCTAAAAAATTCATCCTTTAAAGGAGCATAATCATTCACAGGTCAACAAAAACTTAAAATTCGGGGGGCTAAATGGGTAAAACGTATAATATAATATGAGCAATAATAATGATACTCTTTCCCTAGAAATAAGATGCATGAATTCGTCTATAAAATGAGCTAAACTTGAAGAAAAAACAAAACATTAGAAATCATATGAAAATTATCCATTTTTGTGGGCAGAGAAAGTTTCTTGGGAATAATTTAATTTCGAAAAACCGGAGAGTTGTCGGAATCCTCGTTGGCATTTCGGAAAATGTCGGGTTTTTGATTTTGATAGCGAGTTGGTGGTGGTGGGGAAACTGTGGTGGATGATTTGGTAGACGAAGAGGAAGACGGCTGGAAATTGGGGTTTTAGAATAATACGTTTTTGAATTCTCAAAACTACAAATTATCAACCGAAGATAATATTGAATTCAATATGAACAAAATATTCATCAACTCTCACCCAGCTTGTTGTCCTGTTTGATTTTTGAATCACAAAAACAAAATAAATTATATATGTTTCTGAATTTTTTTTTAAAACTTGACCTCTAATTTTTGTGTGGGGGCAAGTAGCTCATTAAATTTTAGATTTAAAAAATTTAAACTAGAACTTTAATAGGCTCTAAATTCTGCCACGTGGATTTTTAAGCGTCAATTTTCATATTCATAACTTGACTTAGATTAGGTCATTTTTCATATTTTTTTTTACATATCTTTAGCTAATTCCCCAATTTTTCCCTCCAAATCCTCACTTCAAAATACTCAATATTCTCATCAACTTCCTTCATATCTTTCTCATTTCCCAATAAATCATCCAATAATTCACAACCTTCTCCTTCTTGTTGAATATTCAAATATTCTTTTCTCAATCGATTGCACATTTTGAAACCATCAATGGTGGCCAACAATTCCTGGATTTTTCGCTGATTCGTTTTGAGAGTGTCAAAGAAAACAGCTCGACTGTCTGGATGTTTTTCAGCACGGTATTTTAGGCCAATTGTGTGGATTCTGCAGAAAAATTGGGGATTTTTGAAGAAATATCATAATTTTTTAAACTCTGGAGTGGGGATTCAATGAACTTTAAGTTTGAAATTAAGTTTTTCTGGGGTTTTTCGCAAAAAAAAAAAACGAAATTTTATGGGCCTATGCAGAGAAATATTTTTTAATAAAAAATTTTTTTCCTATGCAGAAAAAACGTCGAAAAAAAATAAAAAGTTTATTATTTTGAGTAGAGACAACGTGAAATTGAGCGCAGACAAAATAATTAATTTTTCGAACAAAAAATACAAGAAACTATTTGTATGTCTGCACTCTCTCGATTTCGTATTGTCTCTACTCGAAAATAATAAACTGTTTATTTTGTTTTTTCGACGTTTTTCTGCATTGAAAAAAAAAAATTTTTATTACAAAATATTATTCTTCATAGGCTCATTAGATTGGATTTACGAAAAAAAAAACAAAACCTCTAGATATGCCCAAACCTTATTCCTAGATCAAAAAATGCTCGAATTTTCAAAGTCAGGGGTGAATATCCCGAAAACCCTTTGTTTCTCTTACTTTTGCATCAATCTCTCCAAATCGGGAATCTTCTTCAAAACACTTCCAGCTGTGGCCACAAAATTAGTCGCTTCCGGTTGGCACAAAAATCGCACAGCCTCCTGTCTTTCCCGCAATTTTTTGGGATCACAAATCGGTAAGAGCAACCAATTTCTCAATAATCTTCTTCCAAAATTCGTCGAGCATTTATTGATCACGTAAAACAGCGAAGATTGTTGAGAATCGCGGAAATTCGGAACAATATTCAGATTTTCAACAGCAGTTCCATCCAAGATCAAATGTTTATCTTTCCAGGTGAATTCCTCGGGTTTTTGAACTTCTTTTTGATTTTCTCCAGCATAAACTTCGTATTTTTCAAAATTTCTCATCGAAAGCATATCAACATCGATAAAACTGTCGCGAAGATACCAAAAAATGGCGCCAAAAGCTGAGAAAACTGGGGCGAATATTGAAGATGGTTTTGGAAGAACACTTGTGGAATCAAGCATTGATTGTAATATTTCGGGCCATGTTGCGGTTTCGGAACCATAATAATCTTCGCCAGAAATCTGAGAGAAATTGGAGGGATATTTTGAAAGGAAACTTGGATAAATTCCAATTTCTTCGTTGAAATTGTTGAATTTCATAGGACTTTTGATTTTTTTTTGAATTTATGATTTTTTATTCAATTTTCTATTTCCACGTGGATTTTTCGGTAAAAAATCATTTGAAAATCTTAATGTAATTCAGAATTTTCCAAAGTCTCATAATTCGCGATAAAAAAATATTGGCGGGAATTTAAAAAGTTCAAATTTTGAAACATCTTCAGTTTTTCAGTTCAAGAAATATTTTCTGAAAATTCGGCATTGAAATTGTTTTTTAATTTCTGAATTTCAGATTCTTTCTAGGAAATCTGCTATTCAAATCTCCAAATTCGCACCAAAGATGTATGGATTCAAAAAACTTCTTTGAAATACTTTTTCATGTTTGGGAATTTCATAAATTCGAAATTTTCTGAATTTCAGCCTCTCCCCAAAAACTCACAATTTTCACCAAATCCTCAGCGGCCAAAAATTGTTTTTTAGACAACAAATATTCAATTGGAACCGCGCACAAAATGCCAGTCAAAATCGATTTTGTGCTTGTTGAAATCGCATTTTTCTCAACCAAAACTTGAACAACAACCAGATTGGCTAAAAGTGTTCGCAAATTCGATCGATAATCGTCGTCTTCAAATTGGCCAATTTTAATTTTGGCAGTTGTTGTGTCAATCAAACAAACACCATACAATGATTTGCCAGATTCGGGATTCTGGAAGAAGATAATTGCATATGCATATTTTAAATTAAAACAACATCAACGAAAAATATGATGACAACTTTCTGAAACCGTGAGATTTTTCAGAAAAAATATGCAACAATTTCCAAACAGTTTTTTCATGAGATAAATCTATGAATTAAATTCCAGTTTAATCAAATTCAGAAATGTCAACATTTCTGATCCCTGATTGAAAAAATGTTCCAATTTCCAGCTCAAGAGTTACCTGAACTTCCTTGATTGCCAGTAAATATTTCGCAGTTGGATCCAGTGCTTCAGTCGAACTTCCCAAGTCAACTCCATCCAAAATTCCATAGGTTCGAGTCGCATTACATGTGACACGACAAACTTCTCTGAAAATTTTGAAAAATGTTAAATTTCGGGGCATTTAGAATTTTGATTTGAAAGTTGGTTGCCATGTGGATTTTCAAGAATAACTAACAAGGCAACTATTTCAGCTTTCACTCTAGATTTTCAAATAAAATATAAGTTTTCTAGTCGTTTTCGACACGCTGTTCACGATTGCGCCGTCTAAAATTGCAAAACTCAACTCCTAACATGAGTTTTGACGTGTCAAAGTTCAAAAATTTATTTTAATACATCAGGACTTCGGAAGGTCAGAATTCCCGATTTTTTGAATTTTTACACGTCATAATTCATGTTAGGAGTTGAGTTTTGCAATTTTAGACGGCGCAATCGTGAACAGCGTGTCCATAATTACTAGAAAACATATTTTATTAAAAATCTAGAGTGAAAGCTGAAACAGTTCCTTTGTGCCCCCCAAAAAATTTTTCAGCGGAAAACTCGACTGCGAGCTGAAGAGGTTCCCTTGTCAGCGCTTCTCCCATCACCCTTTCCCCCTTATTTCACCCACCTCTTAACAACTTTATCCTTCTTCGCACCCGCCAATCCACAATTTCTCTCCTCCAATTGTTGCGGTGTTTCAGTCTGCTCAACCCTCGCCACTTTATATCCATGACTCATCAATTGATCAGCAAACTTGGATGCGGCATGTTCCGGAAATCCGGCATGCGCATAACTTCCGCGCATAAATGCAATATTCAAAGTTCGCACAACTTCAACCGCATCCATATGATAAGTCTCATAAAATTTGCCAACTTTGAACAAAATAATCGTGTCGAAATGTTGTGATTTGATAAGCCACCATTGTCGATGTCCAGGTGTTTGTTTTTCCAAAAATCCAGACGGGACCCACAAAGTTTTCGGGTCATAATCCGAATCATTTATCCCTCTTTTTTCCACATCTTTAATTTTTTCCGGCTTGATAAATTCAAAACTTTCATGATCAAAACGTTCAACTTCTTCATCATCATCATCTTTTTTTGACTGATTTTCATCCAATTTTTTGGCAAAAGAATCCGCTCGTTTTTTGCTGCTTAGAATCTCGTCCATTTTCTGTGAAACTGAGCCCATTTCAATTTGTGGCAAAGAATCCAAAGTGGGTTTTGGGCGATTTGAAAGAGCTGCAATGGCGGCGGCGCGTTTCTGGAAATGGAAATAATTTAGTTATGACGTGTCAGATTAATTTTTTTGGGGGGAAGAAACTTGGCAGCGAAGATTGCAAGTCTTTGTGACTTGAGGATTCAGCTGAAAATTTGAATTTTAATGCAAAACTCCTATTGTGCAGTAGAGCGCATTTCCTATTTTTCAACATTTTTCAGTTATTAAGCTGAGAAAAGAGTAAAATTTAGAAAAAAATCTGAATTTCAGTTTTTAGAAGTCAAAAACTGATAAATTCACAACTGAAAAAAATAGCGTACAATTTTTTATTTTAGAAACCACGATTTTTATTTTTTCTCAATTTTAGGTGGGAAAAATCAGAGTTTGAAAATCGACACTAGAACACTTGAAATTTTTTAATTTTGAAAGTTTCGAAAAAAGTCAAAAAAAATTTTCGAAATGTTTTTTAGAGAAAGTGTCTAGCGTTCTAGTGTCGATTTTCGAACTCTACGCGTAAAGTTACGTATAGAAACATGTTGAAATCTATAGGTCTCCGGGTCCCCAGATGTTCTAGAAATCTCAAAAATTCCTCAAAAATAGGTCCCAATTCCCAGGAAATCTGGAAACAAAATTTTTACATGCAAAATCCCTTTGGGATTTTTCATACCTCCCCAAATACTAAAAGTTCCGCCCATCAAATCCTTTTTTCCAGGGGGAATTTTGGGAACTATTCCTCGTTAAGTTCAAAGATCATGATTTTCCACCTGAGTTGCTCATTTTCCACCCAGTTCCTCACCCTCTTAATAACAGGCGTATTGACTGGCGAAACTTCACTGATATCAGATTCTTCTCCACTTCCACTTCCATCTTCTTCTGATCCCATTTCAACATCCGAATCATCTTCACTATCATCTCCAGTATCTGTCGAACTCTCATCAAAACTCTCATCTTCTCCTCCTTTTCCGCCTTTCTGATGTTTCTCGTCCAATTCGAAATCTTCATCATCACTTTCCGAATCATCATCAGAACTTGAAGAAGAAAGCACAACTTTTTGACGTTTCGGTGTTCTTTGCGTCGATTTTTTGATTGGGCTTGCACTTTTTTCGTCTCCTTCGCTTTCCGATTCAACTTTTGAGCGTTTTGGTGTTTTTTTGGCGGGCTTTTGGATTGGACTCGGGCTTTTTTCTTCTGCATCCGGATCGCTTTCTGATTGTATTGTTTGAGAGTTGGATCGTTTGAGGATTTGTTTCGAGTCTGCAAAATCGGGGGTTAGGATGCTCCGCAATTTTTCAGCAAAAAAACCGGAATTTCCTTTTTAGCGCATCTCTAAAAATGACCAAATTTTAATTGAAAAAATTTTAAAGTCAAAAAAGGGTTTCAAATTTGTATCTGTAAAGGGTTTCAAATTTGTATCTGGTTTCAAATTTGTATCTCTTGTCCCAAGCCTGATAAAATCAATAATAAAGCTCCATCAACTCGTATGAACTATTTCAAAGCCGATTTTGAGAATATCAACCGACTAATTATGCAGTACAATTGGGATCACCAGTTTTCCTTCTTCTTAACTCTAGACACCAAGTTACAACACTTTACTCGTATCGTCAACGAAACACTTAGATGTGCATGTACAGTAATCCGAACGTTTGATTGCGAGGGAATTTTGAAAATTTTGGGGGTCTGGGATTTTTGGAAATAGCAATTCAAATTGTGATTTGAGCAGGGAAAATGAATAACTAGACTGAAATCCAGTTCTTTAGCAGATTTCTGAGAAAAATCTGGAATGTCAGATTTTTTTGTGTCAGCTCTTCAAGATTTTTATAATTTTTTCATTTACATAAAGGTTTTCAGCACAACTTATTGAAATTGAGAAGTTTCGAATCTTTCTAGAAAAAAACCATCAGATCCCATTTTTTGTATATTTCCAACCAAAAATCAGAAAATTTCAGTCGAGATTAAACATTTTTAGGCAAAGCATCAAGGGCTTCCGCAAAGGCTACATTTTAAATTTCAAATTCTACGCCGAAGTTTTCGAAAACTTCGGAAAACTTCAAATTTCCTCTCAAAATCCCTCCTGAAATTCCAGATTTCCATTCAGAATATCTAGAATTCCAAATTTCCTCTAAAATATCCTCACTCACCTTCGCATCATCATCCTTCCCCATTTCGCTTGGCGAAAAACAAAAAAACTGTCAAAAAATGGGCGGCGTCGACCACACACGAAGAAAACACACTGGGTGGTCTTCGTGGCGAGATATTCTGGCGAAAAAAGCGTGCGCCTTGAGAATAATCATTCATTTGTTTCGATTTTTAGTGAGAAAAACGGGGATTTTCACGGGGTAAAGAAGGTTATACAATCAAAAATCAGAAAATGTGCAAATATCGGGGAAAAATAATAGATCTAGCTCAAAAATGAGCATATTTCACGGGCATACGTCGCATACCCCTGTTTCAAATCCGCCAGTGCATACCCCTATTTTTGAAAATTTTCGACGAAAGGGATAACCCCCCCCCCCTTTTCATTTTTTTTAAATTTCCAGCTATAGAAATCTGAAAATTTCAATTGTATTGAGTTTAAGCTCAGAATTTACAGCAATGAGGCAAATAGTGAATTTTGAACTTGAGTTAGGGGTAGCATGCCTTTATTAGACCCTTATCAATTATTCTCAACGATAAAATCTGAAGAATTAAGCCTGGTATCAAGATGGGACCACTATGTCATTTTTCACCTCGGTTATCAAAGAACACAGGGGTAAAAAGTCAGTAGGGGTATCTAATGAATACCAATGAATATTAGACTTGAGTTAGGGGTAGCATGCCTTTATTAGACCCTTATCAACTATGCTCCACAATAAAATCCAAGGAATTAAGCCTGGTATCAAGATGGGACCACTATGTCATTTTTCACCTCTGTTATCAAAGAACACAGGGGTAAAAAGTCAGTAGGGGTATCTAATGAATACCAATGAATATTAGACTTGAGTTAGGGGTAGCATGCCTTTATTAGACCCTTATCAACTATGCTCCACAATAAAATCCAAGGAATTAAGCCTGGTATCAAGATGGGACCACTATGTCATTTTTCACCTCTGTTATCAAAGAACACAGGGGTAAAAAGTCAGTAGGGGTATCTAATGAATACCAATGAATATTAGACTTGAGTTAGGGGTAGCATGCCTTTATTAGACCCTTATCAACTATGCTCCACAATAAAATCCAAGGAATTAAGCCTGGTATCAAGATGGGACCACTATGTCATTTTTCACCTCTGTTATCAAAGAACACAGGGGTAAAAAGTCAGTAGGGGTATCTAATGAATACCAATGAATATTAGACTTGAGTTAGGGGTAGCATGCCTTTATTAGACCCTTATCAACTATGCTCCACAATAAAATCTGAAGAATTAAGCCTGGTATCAAGATGGGACCACTATGTCATTTTTCACCTCGGTTATCAAAGAACACAGGGGTAAGTAGGTTCTTATCAACTATTTCCAAGAAGGGAAGCTGTATTAATTTCAAAAACCCTAAATCAAATCACCAACTCTGAGAAAAAAAATGTGATCGTAATTGTAGATTACATTACTATTCTGTAGATCGCTGACTTTTAATGATATTGAAATATAGATCGCGGATTCGATAAAGTAAAAAACCTTACAGATTTGAAATCGAGAATTTTTAATTTTGAGAAATATGAAATTTTGTTCATCCAAGAGATTAGTTTTAAAAAGATCATATCAAATCTAGCTAGTTAGAGACACTAAATAAATCAAATTGTTCAACCACATTGATCCATATTAATTTTGAATAACTCTACATTGTCGCTTAATCATAATTTTTGCAAATATTACAGTTACTAACTGTCAGTTGATATGTGAAAAAATGGCGTAGTGGTCCGATCTTGATACCAGGCTTAATTCCTTGGATTTTATTGTGGAGCATAGTTGATAAGGGTCTAATAAAGGCATGCTACCCCTAACTCAAGTCTAATATTCATTGGTATTCATTAGATACCCCTACTGACTTTTTACCCCTGTGTTCTTTGATAACAGAGGTGAAAAATGACATAGTGGTCCCATCTTGATACCAGGCTTAATTCCTTGGATTTTATTGTGGAGCATAGTTGATAAGGGTCTAATAAAGGCATGCTACCCCTAACTCAAGTCTAATATTCATTGGTATTCATTAGATACCCCTACTGACTTTTTACCCCTGTGTTCTTTGATAACAGAGGTGAAAAATGACATAGTGGTCCCATCTTGATACCAGGCTTAATTCCTTGGATTTTATTGTGGAGCATAGTTGATAAGGGTCTAATAAAGGCATGCTACCCCTAACTCAAGTCTAATATTCATTGGTATTCATTAGATACCCCTACTGACTTTTTACCCCTGTGTTCTTTGATAACCGAGGTGAAAAATGACATAGTGGTCCCATCTTGATACCAGGCTTAATTCCTCAGATTTTATCGTTGAGAATAGTTGATAAGGGTCTATTGAAGACCTGCTACCGCTAATTTAATTAGATATTTATGTGGAAACTTTTGAGGCTTAAATTGGTATCCCTATGGCAGAATATGTAGAGAAAATTATCATCAAAACTGAGAAAATTTCATAAAATTTTCTATCTCAAGTGACAACCCCCTCCAAAATTTGGTGTCAGGGATAACCCCTCCACGGGTCGATTACCCCTGGCATGCGACGTATGTTCACGGGGTAAAAAGAGGTTATTCACAATAAAAAATCAAAGAGCTTCAACAAGTTGGCGCAACTCATTCACAGTGAAATTATCAATTTTTGTGGGCAGGGAAACATTCTTGGGAATAATTTAATTTCGAAAAACCGGAGAGTTGTCGGAATCCTCGTTGGCATTTCGGAAAATGTCGGGTTTTTGATTTCGATAGCGAAGTGGTGGTGGTGGGGAAACTGTGGTGGATGATTTGGTAGACGAAGAGGAAGACGGCTGGAAATTGGGGTTTTTAGAATAATACGTTTTTGAGTTCTAAAAACTAAAAATGTCTGATTTCCAAATTGCCACGTCATTTAGTTCACGTGGAAATTGTATCAAAAATTTACAAAACTCCTAAAATTGCAGGGGAAAATCTAGGATTCTCTATTTTCAGAGCAAAATCCTTTGTTTTTCAAAAAATGAAACAGCCAAAAATCTATTATTTCTGAACTTTCGGTCTAGAAGACTAGAAGTTCTAGATTTAAAAAAAATTTGTAATTTTACACCCAAAAATCATTCTAACCCTATCCTCGATCAACGGTTGTTTCTGATCCGAATTTTCTTTCTGCTTCTTCTTCTCCTTCTTTCCATCCTTTCCTGCATAATATCTCGCATCCATTGGTGGAGCTGTCGGTTGTGTCGAATCACCACATCCCTGATTTTCCTCCTCTTTCTTCTTTTCCTCTTCACTTTTCACATCAACAACATCTTCCTCATCCTCATGTCTTTGTTGCACAATAATTCTCCGCCATAATTCCTTGCTCAACATTCTAACCGACATCAAATGCATCATATCGCCAACCAATTGCAACAATAAATAACCATCACATCCAAGATAATCGACAAAATATTCGAGCATATCGTTATTCTCAGGTTGGGCGAAATCGCCGCCAGTTGTGGTGTCCATAAAATATTCCTGGCATGGCAACAGACTTCTTGTGGTGTATCTTTGATATCTCGGGGATAATAAAAGAGCCGAGAATCGGATGGCAGAGCAAAAACTGACGATGATTGCAAATACGAACCACCAATAAAGGAACAAAAATACATTTTCGTTGATGAAATTTTGAGCCAAGAGACAATTGAGACTGTAGGAATGAGTGTTGGCAAGTTCCTGGAATAAGGGATTAACTATTTTCAGCTCGAAAACTTCTGAAATCTTACCGCTTTATCCACCGAGCAATGCACAATACGCGGAAAAAGTCCGCCTTTCAGATCCACCAATTCGGAATGCAGCAAATTGTAAGTGAGCTGGAAAAACCTCTAGATTTTGACAACATTATATCGATACTTACATGAACTCCCCACATAATTCCGCCATTCGCAAACATTTTGGCCAGCAAATAAAATTGGAAAACGAATGACCAGAAGCCGATCCATTTTTGGGCAACGTAGATGAACATTGTTGAGCGGAGGCCAAAGAGATCGCTGGAAAATTTGAGCATTTATATTCAAAATGCGATTTTTCGCCCTAATACCCACGTTTTCTTCAATATCAACAATCTCTGAACAGTCCTCGCCATTCGTTTCCAATCATCTTCTTTGATCCATTTGATGGTGACACCTTTCGCCTCTCCCGGCATTTTTTCAATGAAACCGCGCAATACTGCGTCGAAATCAGCGCCATGGAAACATCGAAGTCCGAAGTTGCGCCAAACCATGGCTGGCAGCAAGCAGAGCACAATTTGAACAATCATTGAATATGGAATCCATTGATAATATGAGATGACGTCGTTTTCTTTGAAAAGCACTTCGTTCAAACTTCCACGTGTGGTATTGCGGCTGAAAAAAAAAAGATTTTTTGAGTGAAAACGAATCTCATTAAAAACAAATTTGCACTCACGTAGCAGCTTGCACAGCATCCAACTTGAACTTATCCTGATAATAGCAAAAACTATCGAAATAATTGACCCAAGTGTCTGGCGCCTCTTTTGGCGATCGACAAACAATCATTGCGCCAAACATCATTTTCGAGCATAGTAGAATGGTGAAAAATATCAAAATCCATATGGTGAACGAGTGAACGATCCGTTCAGTGAAATTGTCGCGTCCATGCAAATACAAGAAACGCCTAAAAAGGCCTTCTCCGTGGAACGACATCTGCAAAATATATATTTAAGGCTGATTTTCTAATATCGTATAATTTTTTCCCTGATTATGAATAATTATCTGAAAAATTTTTCGGATTGGCCTAAAAATTCCATGTTTTCTCTAATTTCCCATCGATTTTTTAGATTTTAGAACAATTAAAATTTCAGCTAAAAATAAGAGTTGAACAAGAAGAAAACGTGCAAAATATATATATATATCATCATTCCGAAAAAATAAGAACCTTGGAAGAGAACCGAAATGGCCTAAAAAACCAAGACTACAGTAGACTTCGCGAAATTTTGGAGTCCATTTGAAAAATAAAATGCGAAATTTACACGCTGGCTATTTGCCAACCAGTTTGATGTGCATGTGTCACGTCATGCTTAGTCTACTGTACGTGAGCGCTAATTCAAACAGAGGGTTTCTTTTTTTTCGGAATGACAATAACAAATTGGGTGCAAACGTTTTGTAAAAAAATAAAAATGAAAAATATTTTTGAAGGACTCGAATTCGCGGCAAACACTTAGATGTGCATGTACAGTAATCCGAACGTTTGATTGCGAGGGAATTTTGAAAATTTTGGGGGTCTGGGATTTTTTGGAAATAGCAATTCAAATTGTGATTTGAGCAGGGAAAATGAATAACTAGACTGAAATCCAGTTCTTTAGCAGATTTCTGAGAAAAATCTGGAATGTCAGATTTTTTTGTGTCAGCTCTTCAAGATTTTTATAATTTTTTCATTTACATAAAGGTTTTCAGCACAACTTATTGAAATTGAGAAGTTTCGAATCTTTCTAGAAAAAAACCATCAGATCCCATTTTTTGTATATTTCCAACCAAAAATCAGAAAATTTCAGTCGAGATTAAACATTTTTAGGCAAAGCATCAAGGGCTTCCGCAAAGGCTACATTTTAAATTTCAAATTCTACGCCGAAGTTTTCGAAAACTTCGGAAAACTTCAAATTTCCTCTCAAAATCCCTCCTGAAATTCCAGATTTCCATTCAGAATATCTAGAATTCCAAATTTCCTCTAAAATATCCTCACTCACCTTCGCATCATCATCCTTCCCCATTTCGCTTGGCGAAAAACAAAAAAACTGTCAAAAAATGGGCGGCGTCGACCACACACGAAGAAAACACACTGGGTGGTCTTCGTGGCGAGATATTCTGGCAAAAATAGTGTGCGCCTTGTACTTACAAAATTTTGAAAAAAGTTAAACCACTAAAAATTAATCAAAAACTAGTAATTTCTGTTGAGAAAATAAAAAAAATTGAATTTTCAAAATTTCTTCAGGACCAAAAATTATGCATTTTGATATTGTCGAAATTGAAAAATGTGGCAGCCGTAAAAAATAAAAACCAGTGCAGAGCTGAATGAATGACAATCTCGTTATTTCGTCAGTCGCGCGCGGCTGTGCGTCCCATCGATATTTTAGATTTTAGAACAATTAAAATTTCAGCTAAAAATAAGAGTTGAACAAGAAGAAAACGTGCAAAATATATATATATCATCATTCCGAAAAAATAAGAACCTTGGAAGAGAACCGAAATGGCCTAAAAAACCAAGACTACAGTAGACTTCGCGAAATTTTGGAGTCCATTTGAAAAATAAAATGCGAAATTTACACGCTGGCTATTTGCCAACCAGTTTGATGTGCATGTGTCACGTCATTTTTAGTCTACTGTACGTGAGCGCTAATTCAAACAGAGGGTTTCTTTTTTTTTCGGAATGACAATAACAAATTGGGTGCAAAAGTTTTGTAAAAAATTAAAAATGAAAAATATTTTTGAAGGACTCGAATTCGCGGCAAACACTTAGATGTGCATGTACAGTAATCAGAACGTTTGATTGCGAGGGAATTTTGAAAATTTTGGGGTCTGGGATGGAAATTTTGGAAAAAGCTGGAAATAGCAATCCAAATTGTGGTTTGCGCAGGGAAAATGAATACCTACTAAAATTTAGGAACAAGGTCAAATCAAATCCCGTTGTCTAGCAGATTTCTGATAGTGAGAAAAATGTGGAATTTCAGATTTTTTGACAGTTCTTCAAGATTTTCATAATATTTTTCATTTACATAAAGGTTCAGTACAACTTATTGAAATTGAGAAGTTTCAAAATTTTCTAGAGAAAAACCATCAGATCCCATTTTTTGTATATTTCCAACCAAAAATCAGAAAATTTCAGTCGAGAGATTAAACATTTTTAGGCAAAGCATCAAGGGCTTCCAGATGCTTGTTTTAAATTTCAAATTCTACAGCGAAAAGTTTATAAAAACTTCGGAGAACTTAATATTTCGGTTCGAAATCCCTGTTCTGAAATTCCAGATTTCCAGTCAGAACCAATTCAGCCAGCTAGCTTAAGAAAGTCCAGTCAAAGAAGAACCACAAAAAACAAATCGTGTTGAGAAGAGAGAAGTTCCAACTACTTCGACTCATCAACCTTCATCTTATGATGTTGATTCAGAATTTTTGACAAGCAGTGATGGAACTGATGGATTTTTTTTGGATGACAGTGAGGCAACAAAGCAGCGAAAGACTGAAGTTTGTTGAAATTTTTGCGATTTTATTATATTTTTTTCAGGAATATGAAAGAAAGAAGGATGAAAAGGAAAGAAAGAAGATTTTACAGAAAAAGAAGCGAGAAGAGAATAAACAAGTAGCTCCACCAGTTCGAGGTAATTTGAAACAAACAAACTGCTGTTGCAAGTTGAAAATCAGAAATAAGTTGCAACTTGCAACTTATTTCTGATTTTCATTTTTTTTTCAGTTTTCCAGTCTGCGTTTGATAATGATAATGATGAAACAATCGAAAACAATTCTTCGAATAACACCAAAAAATCATATGCATCAACATCTGCTTTGCCTGTAACTTCAGTTAATGCTGATGTATGTTATTATTTATATCCTGAATTTAAATCTCGAAAACAATTGTTTTTTCAGTCGAATCTTCTTGGAAAAGCTGCACGACCTCAGGTTCCACACGAACCATCTGAAGTTCAATTACTCAGGAATCGCGAAGAAGAAGGCGAAAATTCGAGAAGAAGAATGAATCTAAGAGAAGAATAACATGATGATGATGAAAAGACGAGGGAATATGAAAACAGACAGAAGAAACAAAAAGAAGCAAGATTTAGGATAATTTCAGATTTCATTAAAAATAGAATTACCTGTTAGTATTGTCGAAATTGAAAAATGTGGCCGCCGTAAAAAATGAAAACCAGTGCAACACTGAATGAATGAATACATCTGGACTTCGTCAGTCGCGTGCGGCTGTGCGGCGCGGTCGAAAAAGAAAGGAAAATGAATTATTGATTGTTTTCCGACCGCGCCGCGCAGCCGCACGCGACTGACGAAGTTCAGTTGTTTTCATTCATTCGGTGCTGCACTGGTTTTCATTTTTTACAGCGGCCACATTTTTCAATTTCGACAATACATGAGAATATTTGTTGATATTGTTGAGTTTCAAACCTTCATATAATTCATCAAGTTCTTTGTCAGTCAAAAAATGTCTCAAAAAGGATACCAAATTTGGTCCCAAAATTTGGTATACAGTAACTCGAATTTTCTGCAAAGATTTTGTGTCATTTTACAATTAAAGCAAATTTTCGCGGCAAGTTAAGACCTACAGTAACCCAAAATTTTGGCACAGTGCTTCAAAATGATACCAAAGTGCTTCAAAATGATACCAAATAGTGACCCAGTTTTTTTCTGGAAATTTAGTGTCATTTTGGAGCAAATTTTCCCACCATTTTTGGATATACAGTAACCCTAGTTTTGGGCATGAAAATTCGATCACAGTATCCAAAATGTTCCGCCAAGTTTCTGATCTACAGTAACTCTAATTTTTGACACAAAAAATGCCTCAAAAAGGATACCTAATTTGGTATACAGTAACCTGAATTTTCTGCGAAAATTTGGTGTCATTTTCTGCGAAAATTTGGTGTCATTTTACGAACAAAGCGAATTTTCGCCCCAATTTTTGATCTACAGTAACCCTAATTTTTTCCTACACAAAACCTCCCAAATTCTCCCATTTTCAGATCGACGAAGAACAAGTTGCCAAAATGTTAGCCGAACTCGGCATCAAATCCACATCCGATCATGCTTTTCAGGAGTATCAGTTAGTTTTTTTTTCGAATTCACTTTTCTCATCAAATTTTGAAATTTTTTTCAGAATCCTCGCCGAAAATTGAGACAAAATTCAGCATTAAATATAAAATTGCTTGTATGTGATTGTTATTAGTTTCCGGGTTTTAAAGATAATAAAAATTTAGATTTATTTTGATTCTGTTTTTTTTTAATTGAATATCTTGAAAGGCTTGGCACAATGTTTGTATCTTGAAACTCAAATTTGAAATTCAAAAAAAAACTGAAAAAAATTCCAGATGGCCCTAGTTTTAGTCATGGGTATTCCGGCTTCTGGAAAATCCACATTTTGTCAAAAAATGAGGGATTTTGAGCCGGAACTAGTTGCAACAACTTCATTTGATGAATTTAGACAAGGTGTGAATGGAGATGGGTGGGTTTTGAACTGGATTTAAGCATTGCTCAGGTTAATTGAAAATCTTGCTGATAATTTGAATCTTGACACGATTTCTTGGGTTACTATATCTTCATTGGATTACTGTAGCTAAATCTGAAATTCAAAAAAAAAAATTAGGTATTGCTCAGGTTAATGAAACATTTGAGTCTTTCAACGATTTTCTGGATTACTGTAGCTTTCTTGGGTTACTGTCTGAGTTTCTGTCGGTTGGGTTACTGTCTGGATTACTGTAGCTTAATCTGAAATTCAAAAAAATTTAAGCATCGCTCAGATTAAATGGAAAATTTGAGTCTTGACACGATTTCTTGGGTTACTGTAGCCTCTCTAGATTACTGTAGTTAGATAAAATTAAAAAAGAATTTGGCATTGCTCAGATTAAATGGAACAATTTTTGAGTCTTGACACAACATCTTGGGTTACTGTAGCTTTTTTGGATTACTGTAGCTAAATCTCTCTTTAAGCATTGCTCAGGTTAATTTCCAACAAACTTTCTTCTAAATTTATACTTTTAAAATGTTCCAAAGAAACTTTTTAAGGTTGAAATTAAAATTTAATTTATTAAGGCCCACGCTAAGCTTTTTTCCCCAAAAAAACCCCCCAAAATCATTCCAGGTCTGCCCGTGTCACTCGAAAATTCTTCAAAAACCACTGCACCTCAATCATCCCATCTTCAAATGAACCAATCCAATTCATCGAAGATATTTTCTATCTCCAAAGTATGCGAAGACCATTCCAAAAATTGGCTAGAAATCAGAATTTCAGTTTTCATGTGATATTTTTGAAATTCGATGTAGAAGAGGCGATGAGGAGAAATTCAAAAAGATCTGGAGATTTAAGACATCCAGATGAGACAATTCTGAAGATTGATGAAAATCTGGAATTCTCCGATGATTTCACTGTTGTGAGCTCCGAAGAATCCAGAAGTTTAACATTGCATCAACTCTTCCATCAGAAACTTTGAATAGATCTTCCAACTGGAATTCCAAAACTTCTAGTCAAATCTGATCCTATTCCTCCTGAAAATTCCTCCCTTGATTCGCTAGATGTTATACCTCGAAGAATGGTATCCGAAATTATTCAAGAAAATCCAACAATCAATGGGAAACTGCTGAACGAAGCCAGAAAGCGAATATTCAAGAAGTTCAGAAATAATTCAAATTGTTTGGGTGATATCAAACTAGAAAATTTTAAACGAGTACAATAAATATTAAATCTTATTAATTACAGAAAATGTTGACGAACGCTAATAGTCATTTTGAAATATGCTAAAGCACCTGTTTGAGTTCAAAAAGTAAACAGCGAGAAGTTTCAAATTTCTCAATTTTTGGAGCTCGTTTTCTGAGCTCCACCAGAAAATCAGCAGCTGATGTGTGTGTTTTCCCAAAACACTACAACAACATTTTGGGAACGGTGCACATGCACAATATTGTGTGATAATTTCTGAGCGTCCCACTCTCGTTTGGTGCATTGCACCACAAACCAACCATTCCATTTCTGTGTGCAAAACTATTATTTATTGCAACCGTTTCTTGATGTTGGTCATTTTCTTGATGCTCCGCAAATATCTAAACTTTATTACAAAGCCATTTGCTAGACAAATTGAAGAAGAAAAAGAAGAGCCTCCGATTAAAAAATTGCCATTCGAAGTTCTTGGAGCTATTTTTGAAAAGGTAAGCTTTTAAATGATTTATGACATTTCCAATTGAAATGTTTTTCAGCTTGAATACGAAGATGTTCAAAATTTGAGAAACTCATCAAAGTTTCTATTCGACGCCCATAAATTAGAACGTCGGATGATTGCTGGTCCAAAATGTAATGCCGAAGTGTATTATAACAAAAACCACGAACTTCGATTAGAAATAACAATAATGGTAAAAGTTCCATGGATAAGAATACTTCCATTCAAAAGAACAATTAAATTGACAAGAACTATTCCATTTGATCAATGGAATTATTACTTCAAAAATGCAAAATGTAAAATATTAAGAATGATTGTTGAAAAAGATGAAATTCCATTGAAAATTTTGAAGAAAATTCTTTGCTGTAAATCGATCGATATTTTTACCTATTCCGGAAAATCAATCAATCAGATGTCTATTGATCTTCTTACTGCATATAATCCTCATAGTTTCGAAATTGTTGTTAATCGTTGGAAACTATTGCAAATGATTAAGGTCAACCAAACAATGGTTTTTATTAAATGGCATGAAAATAGTGATGCAGTCAAATTAACTTATAATAATATTATTAGTTTACATCCGGAAATTTATAAAAAAAACAAGGATTTTTTTATGGTGAGTTTTACAGCTGAAAAAGAAGAAAATACTGGGCGAAAAAGTAGCAATTTTTGCTACAAAAATCAACTTCTATCCAAACGTAAAAATGACTGATTTAGACAGATTTTTTTGTCAAAGTTATAGTTGGAAACCTCGGAAGATTAGATCTTTCATAATCTCAAATCTAATGGTTGAAATATGTTAGTACTGTTGGAAATAGTTCGTTTATAATTACAAACTTCAAGAAAAGTATTAAAAACGATATTTCATTCAAAAAAATCTGAAATATCTGAAGAAAAATGAGAGTGTTCATACAAGTTTCGGATCCTTGTCAGAATTTCATATTACACTATTTTTCTATTTTTTTTCAGAAACTCAAGCCTAACATTGAATGTCATAATCACTACTTGTTTGTTTTTACTAACAATAACAATAAGACAAGAGATGAAAAAAAAGTTCGATTGCTCAAGCATTTTTTGGAGAACAATTTATCAAATGTTTATGGATGTGATGTGAAATGCAAAATTGTCAACGACGGCACAGACGTTTATATGGTTTTTGAGGGCTTGTAAACTTCGAATATTTGAATCAAAGTTATATTGTAAATCCTGATTTCAAAGTTATAACTGTTTATTTTGCATTTCATTTTAATATTCATTTTGAATTGATTAAACTTTTTTTTAAAAGAAGGTACGGGTTTTTGGATTACTGTTGCTTCACAGGATTACTGTAGTTAAATCTGAAGTTATAAAAAATAAGGCATTGCTCAGGTTAATTTGAGATTTTCAGTTGAATTTCAGATAAAAAATTGAGGTTCCCAAAACTCAAAAAAAAATGTTAAAAATTGTTTTCCTAAATTTTTTTGATTTCTTGGATGTAATAATTAGAAATTCTGTGGTTAGTGTGGCGTTGATTTACTCATTTTAAATCCAAATAAAACATATTGTTTTATTATCTTAATCACATATAGATTTCTCAATTTTTGGAGCCCGTTTTCTGAGCTCCACCAGAATCTTCAGTATCTGATGTGTGTGTTTTCCCAAAACACTACAACAACATCTTGGAAACAATGCACATGCATATTAATGGGTGATATTTTCTGAGCGTCCCACTCTCGCTCGGTGTATTGCATCATAAGCCAATTTCTGTGTTTTTGCGATGTTGGTCATTTTCTTGATGCTCCGCAAATATCTAAACTTTTTTTGCGAAGCCATTTTCTAGAGAAATTGAAGAAGAAAAAGAAGAGCCTCCGATTAAAAAATTGCCATTCGAAGTTCTTGGAGCAATTTTTGAAAAGGTAAACTTTTAAATGATTTATGACATTTCCAATTGAAGAGAGGTTTTTTATAAGAAAGGAAATTTTAATGAAGAGGCTCGGACAAAAAAAATAGTGGCAATACTAGAATCGGCTCAAATTTTTTTTCTTAAACTAGGGATGCATGGTGAACATTTTCCACCATATAATTTTTCATAAAAACGTTGCACCAATTTGGTGGAGGGGGATGAATGCGAAAAAGGGGATGTTTTCAAAAAATCATTACTCACAAGGGAACTGTTTCAACGTTCACTCTAGATTTTTAATGAAACATATGTTTTCTAGTAGTTTTCGACCCGCTGATCACGATCCCGCCATCTAAAATTGCAGAACTCAACTCCTAACATGAGTTATGACGTGTCAAAGTTCGAAAATTTCACAAAATCGTGACTTTGGAAGGTCAAAAATCGCTTCCAAAATGGTTTTCATGAAAATCTGATGGCATAGGGTTGTTCAGGAGGCTCGATTACGTATGTAAACTTTTTATTTTCAATTTGTGATCAACTTTGAAAATTTTTTTTTGTTTGGTGAAAAAAGTTAATTCAGGTTGCAGATTTCAAACTTTTCTGAAAAATCTTCCAGATTTTCGAATGAACCTTCTGATCTTATGTAATCGAGCTTCCTGAACAACGCTATGCTATTAGATTTGCATGAAAATCATTTTGGAAGCGATTTCTGACCTCCTAAAGTGGCAATTTTTCGAAATTTTCAAACTTTGACACGTCATAACTCATGTTGGGAGTTGAGTTCTGCAATTTTAGATGACGGGATCGTGATCAGCGGGTCGAAAACTACTAGAAAACATATGTTTCATTAAAAATCTAGAGTGAAAGTTGAAACAGTTCCCTTGTCAGCTCAAAATGCATAATTTTTCATGATCAAAATCGGATTTTGTAGCTCTTGCAGAAATGTTCCAACGACCGGGCCGGCCCCGGCCCGGCCGGCCCGAATGGAAAAAACGGGCTTTGGGGCTCGGCCCGGCTTTTCGCTCGATGGCCCCTGAAAAGCCGGCCAGGGCCGGGCCGGGCCCGGCTGGCCCTTTCTATTTTTTTGTCAACAACACACTTTTTTTCCTCAAGTTTGCAAGTCGACTACTCGATTAGAATCAGGCAAAAATACCGAGACTATGTTTTTCAAGCATGTGAATTAGAATTACAGTTCGAAAAAATCGTGTCAGAGTTGTGAAAAAAAATTTCGACAAAAATTAAATTCACAGTCGTTGTAGAATAAAATCTCTAACAATTTGCTTTATTTTCCTGTTTTCTATTGTTTGAATTAAGAATTTATGAATGAAAAATAAACAAAAAAACTGTCATGAGCACAGAGAAGATTTGAAATCGGGCCGACTGGGGGCGAGCCGGGCCCGGCCGGGGCTCGGCCCTGGCTTGCTCAACAAATTCATTGAAAGCCGGGTCGAAGCCCTGGCTTTGAGATGGGGCCTGGGGCTCGGCCCGGCCGGCCCTAGGAACATGCCTGACAGAATTCCATGAATTTAATTAATTTCGAAATTTTAATTATAGGGATTTTCAAGCCAGATAAAAAATTTTCCATCGAATTTTATTCGTCATTAATTTTTAAATTTTTTTCAAAGAAAATCGGAAGTTTTCAAAAAAAATTAATTTTTAAATTTCTTCCATTTGGAATTTCAGATTTTGGATCTTGCTGGAATTTTACAACGTTAAAAACTTATATTCAAAATTTCAGATTTTTTTAGTTCTGGGACCCAAGTTCAAAGACAATTTGTATGTTTCAATAATCCCAGGTTCTATTTCAACCTAGTTCTTTCTATCGAAACATGTTGTTGTTTTTTCAGCCGGATTATTTTTTTCAATCTGTCGAAAAGATTTTTGAACTTTTTCAACCGAAAATGCTTTTTTCTTTCAAAGACATTCATTTTCCCCTATAATTTTCAGTCAAATAATAGTATTTACATCGGCAAAAATAAAACTAATCCGCTTCCTTGTCTTCTCGTCTAAACAAAAATGTTTATTTTATTTTCAATTAGGCATTTTCGAAAACTTCAAAATTTTACGAAAAAATGAACAGCTGTTAATTTGACCTGGTCTTCTCAATTCATTTTTTTTTAATGATTAGAGCTTTTTTTCTAATTTTCAAAACATGTATTTTCCAAACAAAAAAAGTTTCAACCGTGTTCGTGAAAGATCACTTATCTATCTGTTTTTATTTGCAAAACTCTCCAAAATGCGTGAAATCTATATAGAACCGTTTGTTTTTGAAACACAACAGATAAATAAATAAGTATACAATTTTTGTTATCTCCTATTTTTTTTCTGAAAAATTTATTTTAGTATGAAGACTACTGTAGTTATTCACAGAGTGTAATTTACTACCTCAAACCGCTAGACCTCAAATTTTTCAATAGTTTTTCTTGTAGATCAAAAATATTTTTCTCTGAATCTCTCACTTTTGCGTTGAATTTCGTCGATTTTAGTCCCACCTCTAAGATTGTGTCAGGTCTCAAAAAATGCGGGAAAATTTTTGGGTAGTAAAATACTCAGCGTTGGCCGCTGTAGCCTGACTGTACAAATTGAGAAAGTGTTAATACAGCGAATGAACGCTGTAGCTACACTTTATTTTTGTTAGAACCGTAGGTACAAAGTATCTACAGCGTAGCTACGAAAAATATCCAATTCGTAGCTACGCAGATGCTAAATCGTAAGTCCGCACACCTTAAATGCTGGAGAGAGCTGCCAAACGTTGCACAGCGAGAGAAGAAATTATAGGTACAGCGTATGTCCGCTGTAGCTACAGAATCTACAGACGGGAATAAAATGGCCATTCTCTATTATTTTGAATCTGTAGCTACGCCGTTGCTATTATGTAGCTACTTTGTAGCTAAACGGATGATTCGGATGTGCAATGTTCATCCTCCCGTTTTTGTTCAATGTACTAACGTAATTTGTACAGTCAGGCTACAGCGGCCAACGCTGAGTACACTCAGCGATGAGCGCTGTAGCCTGACTGTACAAAAAACGGAAGATGACATTTGTACCCCACAGGTTGAAATTAGCTACAGCATAGCAACGGCGTAGCTACGGATTCAAAATTTTATTTTCTGTAGCTACAGTGGAGAAACGATGTACGTACGTTTTTCGAGGGGAAAAGTGTAGGTACAGCGCTTAATCGCTGTATTAACACTTTCTCAATTTGTACAGTCAGGCTACAGCGCCCAACGCTGAGCACCCTGTGTCATTTGTTATTTGCATACAAATGAAATGTTTACAGTTTGGATTAAATATTGTCTTCTGTTTCTTTTTGAAGAAGGATTGTTTCCTAATTCGATTGCCGACGGTTTTTGCTAAAATTAGTCAAAAAATGAGAGGAAATTTCATTTCAAACAAGATTTTTGTGTATTTATCTTCGAAATTTATCTTCTCTTTTGGATATTGTTGTAATAGTTGATATTTTCGAAAATTAAGTTGAATTTCCAATTTTTTTCTTTTTTTTTTGAGGGTGGGGGGGTACGATCTTAATTGAATTTCATTTATAAATGTGATAGGGTTCCCTCAATCACATTGAAGTCGAATTTTCCGCGAAAGTCAACTACTCAAAAATTCATTTCCCTAGATGTTCATAAATTTCTACCTAGTTTTCTGAGTGCATTTTTTAATTTCTCTCGTTTTTCTAGAAATGTACAACGATAAATCAGGAGGTGGAAATGCAGAAAGAACAACTTTTGAAACAAGAAATCGAAAAAAGCGGATAGCTTATGGAGCAGCAATTATTCTTTTGGGTATTGTATGCCTATTTTTTAGTGAGTCCCCAACAAATTTTCACATAAATATTTTTTCTTGCAGTTGGATTAATTGTTTGGGGAAGTTTTCATCTTTATCGTCATTATGTTACTGATGTTCATGATAAACGAGAAAGTGATGAATATTTGAGAAAACTTGTTCGACAAGTTAAGAGACGTTTTTTGCAAAAAGGTGAATTTTTATGAAGGGGGTCGGACAACAAAAAAGGGGGTAATTTTAGAATCGGCTCAAATTTTTTTTATTGATACATGGATGGATGGTGAACATTTTCCACCATATAATTTTTCATAAAATCGATGCACCAATTTGGTGGGGGGTGGTGAATGCGAAATAGGGTATTTTTTCAAAAAATCATAACTATGCTCAAACTTCATTATTTTTGATGATCAAAAAAGGATTTTGTAGCTCTTGAGACGCTCTTTACTCCTGAATTTACTAGATTTGCTGAAATCCCAAAAATAAATTATTAAAGTCGATGGAAAAACTTTGACGCTCATTTACCCCCCTTAAACGCCATTTCCGCAATTTCTCACTGCTTCCATTGCGTTCCTCTCGCAATTTTACATCGGAGTAGTCGAAAAAAACGGAAAAAAAAGGGGCCCTCAAAAAAGTTAGATTCCAACTTCTAATTTCAACTTTGACGCGCGCAACACACATGTGTGTATTTTGTGTGCGCATGCTCACACATATGTGTGTTGTGTGTTAGGCGCTTGAAATATACAAGGGTACTGTAGTGTGTGCAGTTTTTTTTGTTTTTTTATTATAGTTTTAGCATCTGGGAAGGTTCTAGAACCCCCAAAGAATTTTTACATGCAAAAATGTTGTTCCCGGTTTTCCTGTGGCTGGACCTTTTTTTGTGATTTTTTTGGGTCTGAACTTTGAAAAATCGTTACTTCATTCACAGTGTACGGAAAAATCGAACATAAAAGCTTTAAAAGTTTACATGTCGCTCTATACACCATTTTTTTGACCTACAAAAAAATCTCAACAATAGTGTTTTCTGCAGGCTGCACTTTCGAGTAAAGTTAAAATTGTAAGGTCACTGGATCGATTACTCTGAAACGTTTCAGCGCTTGGAAAAAGATGTGTACAATCTCTCTATTAGCGCTAGAAGAGCCGCTCAGGCCAGCAGCGGTGCCTGGAGAATCACTCAACCATAGATAGAATTATTCTAACAAGGATTCACCACTATCGCTAGGTACTGCTCTTAGTAAGCAGTTCTGACAAGACGTCACGCCTGGAGAGCAAGTTTGACAAGGAACCGCTCCTAGAAAACCATTCTGGCAAAAAGTTACGCTTACATTGTTAGAAAATTGATAGACTCTTTGTCAACCTTGCTCTCTCACATGTCAAAGTACAATCGGTGAGAGTGGAAGAGACTAAAACTCCGGCGTGATTTACAGCGAGAAAAATTTGCGGGACAGGACTTGTAGAAAAAGCATTCAGCTGGATTTCTGATAATAAATTCTTGAACTTTGACTGGGCCAAGCGAGTAAAAGGTATCCCAACTTTTGTAGAAACAAAATGTGTTCACCAAGCGGGATTTCAAAAATAATTGATTTTCAGAATCACAATTTTCAATGTTCCTCCTCGAAAAAAGGTGGGACTATGCGGACATTGTAATACCCCCATAAGCTTGGAAAACCCAAAGGGATTTTGTTAGTGAAAATGTTTGACAGGAGTTTCGTGAGAAACATTTTTTTAAAATTTTTTGATTTTGAACTCTAAAAAAAATTCAGAAAGTTTGAAAAGATCAAAAAGTGGAAAATCAAGAAGGAGGCGAATTCATGTGTTCTGGTTGCTTCTGAAGCACTCAAAACGCAAAATTGGGACTGAACACAACTTTTCTGAAAAATTGACCGGGGAAAGTAAAGGCTTTACAGCTTTGTAGGCCAATCTCTAGAAAAATGCATATTCATGTGTACCCGTTGCTGACGAAGTGGTTAACACGAATGTTCATTGAGAAATAAATGGTTCGATCTCGATTTTTTCACGATTTTTCAAAATTCAGACCCAAAAAAATCACAAAAAAAGGTCCAGCCACAGGAAAACCGGGAACAACATTTTTGCATGTAAAAATTCTTTGGGGGTTCTAGAACCTTCCCAGATGCTAAAACTATAATAAAAAAACAAAAAAAACTGCACACACTACAGTACCCTTGTATATTTCAAGCGCCTAACACACAACACACATATGTGTGAGCATGCGCACACAAAATACACACATGTGTGTTGCGCGCGTCAAAGTTGAAATTAGAAGTTGGAATCTAACTTTTTTGAGGGCCCCTTTTTTTTTCTGTTTTTTTCGACTAATCCGATGTAAAATTGCGAGAGGAACGCAATGGAAGCAGTGAGAAATTGCGGAAATGGCGTTTAAGGGGGGTAAATGAGCGTCAAAGTTTTTCCATCGACTTTAATAATTTATTTTTGGGATTTCAGCAAATCTAGTAAATTCAGGAGTAAAGAGCGTCTCAAGAGCTACAAAATCCTTTTTTGATCATCAAAAATAATGAAGTTTGAGCATAGTTATGATTTTTTGAAAAAATACCCTATTTCGCATTCACCACCCCCCACCAAATTGGTGCATCGATTTTATGAAAAATTATATGGTGGAAAATGTTCACCATCCATCCATGTATCAATAAAAAAAATTTGAGCCGATTCTAAAATTACCCCCTTTTTTGTTGTCCGACCCTATTTGTCTTTTTGCAAAAAACGTCTCTTAAGGCGGTCGTGATGGTTGTCGTCCATATTCATTCGATCTATCTTGTGGTGTTCCATGCTCTCCAGCTACTTTCAAAGAAGCTGAAGATAAAAGAACTTGTATGCGAAGATGTCAGAATATCTATTATCAAAATAGATATGAGGAGGATAAACATTTCGGTATCAATTTTATTCCGCATTTTCATTCAACTATTTTCATTTCCAGCCTCATTTGCATATTCAATGTATCCTCGTTCAATGACAGTTTCAGCAGATGGAAAAGAACGAGTAAAAGTTCCAACTGTGGTCGGACATTTTAATGAGAAAACTGGGACAACATTGAACACAACTGAATATAGAAATATTATAAAGAAGGAGATTTTATTGTACGGTCCAACAACAATGGCTTTTCCAGTGCCTGAAGAATTTCTACATTATTCAAGCGGTTCGTTTATTTTACGAGAAAAAAGAAAATCAATAATTCGAAAAATATTTCAATTTATTTTTTTAGGTGTTTTCCGACCACATCCACTTGATGGATTTGATGATCGAATTGTTTATTGGCATGTAGTTAGACTAATTGGTTGGGGAGAATCAGATGATGGAAAACATTATTGGTTAGCTGTTAATAGTTTTGGTGCACATTGGGGAGATAATGGTGAGCTTGTTTTTTTCTTCAAAATTCATATCTCAAATAATTTTTCTCCAGGATTATTCAAAATCAACACAGACGACATGGAAAAATACGGTCTGGAATATGAAACAGCAGTTGTTTAGAGATTGTAAATATCAGTGCCTTTCAATTTTTTTTTTAGATTTTCCTGATTTTAGTAATGTCCTTGAAATTGCCATAATTTATATGACTATTATTATAATTATTAACAGAGAAAAAGAATAACAAATGAAAAATCCTAAAACTACTATACAAGCAAAAATATACCTTATTTTTTCATACTTGGACTATTTTGTAGATGCAAGAACCTTGTTTTCAAGTTTTGAATTCGTCGATTTTGTTCAATTTGTCTTTTTCGCAATGCTCTCCAATATGCCCAACCATCTTTTTCAGCATCTAAATCTTCGAAAGCACGTGGTGGTTTTAGATCCAATTTGAAAAGCCATTCGGGATATTCAGAATTAGCAAGAATTTTTGGACCAGGTTCATCGCCTATAAAAATATTGAATTTGATTTGAATTGCATTCAAAATCCCTAAAATTTGAGAACTTCTAACAAAAAATAACATTTTTTTGTTGGAAAATCGGTGATCTCAAATTTTTGGAGACTCAAAAAATAATTCAGGAACACGAATTGGGGTGATTATATTCAATTTAAAAATATTCCTATAAAAATGTTAAATTCCAAATTTACCCTGAATATACGCATTGATGCAAACATGAGTTGCCAATTTCTCCGCATCTTCTTCAACAAATGATTTATCAACCTGAAAATTCAATTGATTTCTCAAAAGTTTCTCTTTTTTTCTCTAAAAATTACCTTCACAGCTGCAGCTGCTCCAGCTTTTGGTGGAGAATATTGACGTCGAAACACCTTGTGAGCAATAACTCGAAGCATTCTTCAGCAAATTAATTATTTGTAATGTAAAACTAGGTTTTGAAACAAAATGGAAATATTCGAAACAGTTTTGCTAACTGTTGAGTAACAATATAGATACAAACCCCAAGAATTGTATAAATTTTATATTTGACAAAGTGAAAAAATTTTTTAAATCATGATATGATTATTCCAAAATGCTTAGTTTTGAGGGTTTTAATCGTTTAGCCGTAGAAGTTTCCGGTGTAGTTTGTTGCAATTGTCGTTTTTGATTTCGATTTTCCGCAGATTCGTGTTTTTGTACATACATTTGCTTGGGAGCAGCGCTTGTTGCTGAAAAAATGATATATATAACAACTGTCTTTTTGAAAAAGAAAAAAACTAACTTTGAATCAATACTTCTTGCATTGTCGTTGCTAATGTTGTCTTTTTTAGAAGTGACGGCTTCTGAAAGTTAATTTTTAAAGAAAATCATTTTGAAAAAAAACAAAATAAAATACCTCAATTCTTCTCACAGGTTTACTAATTTCCGTTCCTTCAACCACTTCAATATTAATTTTCGTTGATTTCACAAGTTTTGCAGCTCTCGCAAATGGATCATTCATTCCAACAGGTTCATCCAACACCATTATTTCTTCTGCTTTTTCAATTCGGAATTTGAGCAACTGTGCTCTTTCAGCTTTCTTCGTCTCATCCTCTTCTCCTTCTTCTTCTTCGTCTTGTTCCACATTTTCCCCATCAAGAATATTCATTTCTAGAAAATAACACTCGGGTTTTATTGATTTATTTATTGAAGATAATTCAAACCTCCTTCAATTTTAGCTTCAGTTTCTTCTCTCAATCTAAACCTGAATTGCCGATTTGTTTCAATTCCGCCCAAATCACCATCCGCCAATAGTCTATCTTGCAATTTCAACAAAGCTCTGAAAACATCAACTTTTCAGTTAACAAGGGAACCTCTTCAGCTCGCGGACGAGTTTTGAGCTGAAAATTTTTTTGGGGGTACTTTGAGATGTTCTAATGGCCATATAAAAAATTCAGCTGCTGAACTCCACTCTGAGCACAAGAAAGTGAGCTCCGAAGTTTGAACATTTTCAAGGGCGCACGCACCAGTTTTATTCTCTTTGAAATTTTTACTGTAGAAAAAACAACTAGCAAAGCGCAGCAGGTAAGCGGATAGCCGCTTGAGGCGACGCTGTGGGGTTCGACCCCTGCTCGCATCTACATTTTTTAATTTTTTTTTATTTTTCAAGAAAATGACTTTGGAGTACTGTAACTTGTTTAAAAATGGATTTTTTGAAAATCTGATAATACAGGGTTGTTCTTGAGGGTCAATTATATGGAAAAATGAGTTCAAATAATTTTTTGAGAAAATGCATTTTTCTTCGAAAATCGTGGTCATCTGGATGGATGAAAATTTTCGAAATTTTTTTTTTCGAAATGAGTCCAGTTTTTATGATATTGATCCTCCTGAACAATCGTGCTAAATCCGTTTTTCATAGAAACGGTTTTTACAAAAGTTATCGCTTGCGAAGTTATTTTCTCCAGTTGTTTTTTCTACAGTAAAAATTTCAAAGAGAATAAAACTGGTGCGTGCGCCCTTGAAAATGTTCAAACTTCGGAGCTCACTTTCTTGTGCTCAGAGTGGAGTTCAGCAGCTGAATTTTTTATATGGCCATTAGAACATCTCAAAGTATCCCCAAAAATTTTTTCAGCTCAAAACTCGACCGCGGGCTGAAGAGGTTCCCTTGTAAGAGATTTCTTCAACTAAATATTTTACCTCTGTTCTTTATCATTTTCCTGTTTCATCATAAGTCGATGATTCTGTTTTCGAATTGTATCATTATCTGGTAAATCATCAGCATCACCTTCTTCAGCTTCATAATAATCATTTTCCGGATCTTCGTCTTCATTATCACTTCCGACATCATCTCCAGACAAAGAAGCTTCATCGTCGAAAAAGTTTTTCTTTTTCGATTTTGTTTTATATTCCTGATATTCGATCCGTTTGAACACAGCAACTTCATCATCTTCGTCATCGAAATTTGGCGCTTCTTCGTCTTCCTCATCTTTTTCTTCTTGTTCCTCCTCTTCTTCAGGTTCTTCTAACTCTTCTTCAACATTTTCTTCCTCATCTTCTTCGTTTTCTGAATCCGATGATTCATCGCTGACTACAATTCTTGAAGTCGTTGTTATCGCAATTTCAGTTTGCTCCACAATAACCTCATTTGAATTCACTTCCGAAGGATCCTCAATATTATTTTCAGTTTCCTTTTCCTTATCTTCATCGTTTTTCTCATCATCAGAATCGATCATATTCCGTTTTTGCTTTTTCTGTGATTTCGGAACAATAACCTCTTCTTCCTCTTCTTCTTCGTCGTCATTATGTTTTGGAGAAAGAGATTCAACTTGAGGGGTTCTGAAAGTAAAATTTTTCATAGCTATTTTTTTTTATTTTTTCACGTCTGTTAAATCCGGGTGATTATTTTTGTCATTTCTAAAAAATGTTCATCACGAAAATTGTTTTCGTCGTTCTACTTATTCTGATACCACTTCAAAAATTACTCACGGTTTTTCTTCTTCAACACATTTCATACTAGAAGTTGGTACTTGTGTTGCGAATTGAGTTGCTCCAAACTTTCCGGAACATAAACTCAAAATATCTCCGAAGTCATCTTCAAGAGTTGAGGGTTTTTCGATTTGCGCTTCCATTTCTTCAACATTTGGTAATTTCAAAACTCCATTCTTCTCGATGTGTCTGAAAATTTTGATGCGCTATGAAGGAATTATTTTAAATTTACAACTAGCAGTGCTTACCCATCAAGAGTTGAAATAGTAGATCCAGGTCCATGTTGATGTCCAACATTTTTGAAAACATCATAAGTGAAGGAATCATTGAGTAGATTAACACTAACTTCATCATCAGCTGGATAGCGAATTTGATTTCCTTGTTGATGTGATTCATCATCAGCTTCACCATCTTCTCCAGATCCTTTTGTTGGATCATAATCACTATCATCTTCACTGTCATAATCTCCAGGCTTCACTACTTTCTTCTTTCTTTTCAGAGTCTTTTCTTCATATTCATCTTCTTCATCGCTGTCCGGTTTTAAATGTTGATTATCCAATTCATACATTTGTCTTCGTTGTTCTAATCCTTTCATTCGTTTCACAGCTAAACCAGCAGCAAGTTTCTTTTTCAGCATCGCCGATGTTGACACTGAACGCATTTATATATTTCAAATTTCAAATAAAAATTGTAACTCACAACTTCTTGGTGCATGCGCTGGTAAAGTATGAGGCTTCTGAAACTCGTCTGTTTGCCTTTTCTCAACCTTTTTCGCTTTTTCATCAACATTGAAGGTTTTTTTGAACCATTTTTGAGTCGGATCATCATCTTCATTCGTTAAATCAATTGTCTTATCGGCTGATGTTTTGTGTAATTTTGAAAGAGTTTGTGGAGATGAATCTTGTGCTCGAGCCATTGCCAATGCAATTCTTCTATTAATTCGTCGTTCTTTGACTTCAGACGATGCATTCTCATTTTCTTTTTCTATCAATTGCTCCTGAAAAATTTAAACAATTATTTTCAGACAATTTTTATTCTCAAAACTAATAACTTACCTTTGAATCAGAGCTATTAGCTTCTGCCAAAACGGACGAGTCTGACAAATTATTCTCAACTACTTCCATTTGTTAATTTGAGTTTAGAACAGAGCTAACAAATGAATTGGGTTTGGAATTAAAAATTGTTCAAACAAGAAAACAAATATTTAAATATTTGTTTTCTTAAGAAATGTTGTTCCTGTTCTGTTCGGCAGCGGCATTCCTGTTCTGTTCGGCAGCGGCATTGAAAATTTCGGGTTACGGTACGCAGACGGTGCATACACACTGACATGAAATTGCACACATTTTTTTCATTTTTATTATTTTTTTCATTTTTTTTTCGTTTACTTTGCTAGGAGATAAATTAGTGTTTTTCTGCAGAGAGATAAGCTTTTTGATCATATTTTGCTTATTTTTTGCTCGGAGAGTAATGGTTAGGTCTGTATTTGAGCAAATTTACTCCGATTTTATTGAAATTAGTGTTGAAACTTATATTTTTCAATTTGTTTCTCTTCTCTATGAAGTTGTATGAAACGTTCATGCTTATTCAAAATAGGGAAAAGAAGGAAATAACTTTGTGATTCTCTATTAATGTATATTTTCTGCGCATTGTCTAAATTCGTTTTTTTTTTTCAGATAATTCATGATTATAATTGGACAACCTTTCAATATCAACCAACAATATTTTTGTGGCTTGATTCGGCATGGCGCAAGAAGACAAAAAATGTGAAACCGACGGAATTAATGAATGGTTCGTTCAACGAAACTCGTGCGATCAAAGTTTGACGAATCGACAAAATTTCATAGAACTACAGATGATTTGGCGGAAAATTTGTTGGTGTTATAAATAACTTCTGAATGTCAGGATATCGATTTATTCTCCGTTTTCGGTAAGTATTTTTATATTAGAAATTTTCTTCAAAATTAAAAAAAATATGGTGGCATTTTCTGAAAAAAAACTATCGCAGAAAAAAGCCAAGAATAAAAATTTAAATTCCAAAATTTTCCCTGCAGTTGTTCGAAAAACTATCGTATTCACGTTTAAGTTTAATCGCCAGACCAAAGAAGTCTGAAGAAAAATCACACTGATGAAAAATAACTCGAAAGACAAACCAACTCTTATTTCTATCACTATTAACTTTCCAAATCTAAATAAGATGTAAGAAAATATTATTTTGTGTTTTCAAAGAAAATGTCACACAATTAACTAGCTGGTACTAGGCTCTGAAAAATGAAATTATCACTAACAATGAAATATTCCTGAGAGATACTAAATTGTACCTTTTCCAGATACATAACTTCCCATCATGCTTCAAACATGCTTTCTACATCATCTTCCATTTGTCAAACGAAGGATTTCAAGTATTTTTGTAATTATTTTTCATAAATTAATTTTTTTTGATGTTCTACAATCGAAAATGATAAAACATCGTATGTTTTCAAAAACTATTCCGTTTGTAGCTTCTAGCTTCTATACAATCCCACTTGTGAGTTCGGAATTCGGGCTTAACTTTATCTCGAATTATTGCTGAAAAAATCGAAATGCTAAGAAATTCCAGATTTTAATCAAAACCTTATGTTTTTACCGAATATCTAAATACAACATTATCAAAAAACATTTCTAATGTTTCAGGGTCATTCTAAAAAATTGTCAATTGAAATCCGTTTTCAGGTTAATTCAAGTGGGAAATAGAATGCATTTTTTTTGAAAACAGCTTTTTAGTTGCTATTTACATAGAAAATGAGTGAAAAGTTAAGCTCAACCGTTTGCTATCGAAGCTCAACAAATTAAACATTGAATACTAAATTTCTATGGTCAAAAAGCTGAAAATTCAAGCCCGGATTATTAACACAGCATTCAGTTTTTGATCAAACTTTGTAAAATATGATTCAGGTAACAGAAAAATCATGAATTCAACCATTTTATCATGCACTCAATGTCAGTTCATGTTTTTTCACATCATCTGGTTTATAAATATATTTTAAATGCTTCTCTCGTCGGAATTCCCTCTCGAAAATGAGCTGATTATCAAAAAAAAATGTTTGAAAAAAAAAACTATTTTTGAATTTCCGCAAACGCACGAAGAAACATGCTCTCTTTCGAGAAAACGGGTCTCGACACGATTTCGAAAAATCGCCGCAGGACCTTCGGAAAATACTTATTCTAAGAGATTCGGATGCGTAGATTATCGCTACGTTTTTAGATTTTCAAGTTATGGTCTGTAACATTTTCGGGCCGCGCCGCCAGTTTCATTTCGAAAAAGTGATGACGTCACTGGCCGTGGCCGAAGTTTCTTCTCTTCCGAACAGTCGTGATTTTTACGAGCGCGGGAGAAAAACACCTCTTCGCTGCGGGACACAACACACATCGAGAACGATGTTCCTTTAATCCTTTCACGTTTTTTACACGTGGTGGCTGAAATTCTAAGTAATTCTCAAGGAAATTGTCACATCCTTTTTCTGTAGAAAGAAACGAACAAAACGAATACAAAAACTTATATTCATTCAAATCAACAGAGATCAACAACAAACTATCTAAACTAATCTATAACAAAAATTAAACTTTAATTTAATACCAATAAGTGGGAGCTGGTTGTTTTTCGTCTTTAATTCCCATATCATTCATTATTTCTTGCTCAAAACTCGCGACTTTTGGATGATAAGTTCTTTCCAAAACTGCATCAGCTGGAGTGTCTTTTCCTTCAACTTCTGAAAATTTTACAATAAATATTCAAGACGAAAATAAAAAGTTATTTACCAATATAGTTTTCTGGTTGTAAATATTCATAAGTAACTTTGGCTTGCGATGGAATTGGAATTTCATAACCTGATTTAGTTGAAACACGAATATATTCATCAGCAGTTGCATTCAATTGCCATCTGAAAATAATTTATTCTCTATGTTTTTTTTTCAAAAAAAAATAAACTAAAAACATACTTTGCAGTGCAAGGTGAATCATCATTCGGATCAACAAGCATAACATGATTCTTCAAAACTGATAATGGTTGTTCTTTCCATCGAAGAGTTTTATCAACTCCAAGTCTTTCACTATTTTCCATATCTTCACCAAGGCGAGTATGAAGACCATCAACAATAACCTGAAAACTTCCGGAATTTATTTAAAGTCTTTTTTACCTGAAAATACCTCGCTAGTTTCTCTGGAAACCGACATAATCAACCCTTGTCTTCCTTTGTCTTTTCCAACCATTACTTGAACAAGATCTCCAGGGAAAAATGTCCATTCAACATCTTTCATTCGTTTTGAAGTTGGTCGACGAAGTTCGAAATATTTGTTGGAAATTCTAAATTAATTGTTTTTATTTAGAGACGTGAATTTTTACAAAAATTTCAAACACATTTTATGGGATGAATATTTTTTTCATTATTCAAAACTTAACTCTTCCCAAAATTTATTTCGAAATACTTACTGTGATCCAAAATACGCATCCTGTCTCTTGATATATTTAGTCAATTGTTGATCTTCCCATGGTCGTTTTTCAGAATGTACATAATCTTCTGGATGAATATAATATTGTTTGATATCCGGTGCTCCAAATCTATCTGAATACACTTTTCTAGGAATTGTTCGTTTTTCCCGTTCAACATAAGAATTTGGCATATGTCGAGCATAATCAAGATCGACAAATGGTTTTCTAGGAATTCGAACAGCTCGAGAAACCCACATCTGGAATTTTCAACTTTTTTTAAATTTCGAGTTGAAATTTTATTTGAAAAAAAATATGCAAGAGTTGTAGAAAAACTCAGAAAAATTGTAGATACTCGCCAAAAAACTAAAATATAAATCGTTCATTATATATATTTACATTCAATTGTATTAAATGAAGATCCCGTTGTTTGAATTACTATTGTTGTTATTATGAAATTATTTGGCACAAGTATTGATCGAAAAAAATAAATATATAAATTAGAAAGGGTTATTCATTGATTATGTTTTTATCCAAGTCCAACATCCATGCACATCATCACCAAAAATCCAATAATACATCCGATTGAGGCAAGTTTTCCATTACCATTTCTTTGTGCTTCTGGGATAATATCATCAACAACAACATAAATCATTGCACCAGCAGCGAAAGCGAGAGCATACGGCAAAACTGGTTCCATGAAAATAACAGCGGCCGCACCAAGTAATGCAGCAATTGGTTCAACCATTCCAGATAATTGTCCATACCAAAATGCTTTTAATTTTGAATGTCCAAATGCGGCTAAAGGAAGAGATTACAAAAAGAACTACTATTATTTTACGGGAAATTGGACAAGAACATAAAGAGGTTTGTAGAAAATAATTAGATATTTTTGAAAATAATTAAGACATTGTTTAGGAGGTTGAAAAGATGTTGAATGGTGGTCCAAAATATTTAGATTTGAAATATGGATTGAATGATAGCTGGTATGTAACATATGATACAGAAGAGCACACTCAAGCAGCTTATGTGCATTTACAAAATATTGAAATAATGTTCAATAATCGACCAATTTGTGCGCGAATAAAAGCAGGAGGTCCACCAGCAAATATTGATCAACAAATGCAACAACCAACAATTCCTGAACCATCTGATTTTCCACCAATGATGGATCTTGGACAAATACTTGCTGCATATGGATTTGTACCCGTTGCAACTTATCGACCAGGGAGTACTGTAGTTCATGTTGAAGAAGAAACTGAGAGAACTCCTACTGTTTCAAGGCAACCGTTTAGATTTTCGAATGGAGCTGCGAGAAATAATGGAACGAAAAAACAAAATGGGCATAATCATCATAATAATAAACAAAATCAGAGATATTATGATGAAGGAGGATCGACATCTTCAGCATCTTCGGGAGTAGTATACGGGGCACGTTTTTGTCTTTTTTTCTCTAACCGTCTGCCTATCCCTATGTCTCTCTCACCGTCTCATACTCTCTCACTCTGATAACTGATCACAGATCATCTACACAGTCTGAATCTCTCTTTTCACCTTAGTCTCTAATACCAGCTGGGTGGAGCAGCTGTTGTCGCCAAGGTGTACCTTTTCCAACAAGAACCTCTAATTTTCATATACTCTCACACTATGATGCCAGGTGTTTGGAGCAATTGTTATCTCCAAGGTGTAATCACCGAGAACCTCTCACCCCCACACACTATCTCACCTATCTAAGGTGTTACCAGGCGGGTGGAGCACCTGTTGTCTCCATGGTGTAATCTCCGAGAACCTCTCATTTTCATATACTCTTTTACCATGATGCCAGTTGGGTGAAGCAGCTGTTGTCTCCATGGTGTAATCACCACGAACGAAAAAACAAGAAATGAACCAAAATCTGTTTTTCTGTATGACCCCTTTACAGATAATTCCCCGCCCCTTTTGAGAAGTTGGTGTACAACTCAATCGATATGTGTAATAATTGTAAAGGTTTAGAAAACAGGTGTCATTGCATATTTTATTGTGCGAAAAGCATAACTTTTTTTTTTGTTTTACTATGAATACTTTTCAATATCGCGATAATGGTGATATTGTATATTTTGTCAACGGAGTTGAGAATGTTTGTCGAGTTGGAACACAAGAGTATACTGTTGTAAAACATATGCTGGTAAGCTTTTCAGCTGAAAAATTAAAAAAAAAACTATATCTTTCAGGACTCTAATAGGTATGGTGCACTGCCTCCCCAAATCTACGTGTGTGTGGAAAAACGAAAAATGTCTGGCACGCTCTCACAAACACACACTCTCTCGCACACAACTTTTTACTTTTATTTCGCGAAAACAGTGCATATTAGGAGCTGATTTTTATGTGTTTTTCATCAGAACCACAATAAGTGTTATACATAGTTCGAGAGAGAATTTCTTCGGCTACAAGCACATATGAAATGTTATATATGAAAACGAGGTAAAAAAATAAAAATTTCATGCAAACATGACATGGTTTTTTTTTGAATTGTGTGAAAAACGCATGTGTTTTTTGATGACCTGGCTTATTTTTTGAATATCGAATATATGTATAATCGAGTCGTAGTTTTGTTCAGAATCTCAAGGGCTTTCAGATGATGTAAATCAATATTTATGAAATTGTGAAATCATGGAGGAGTAGGGATTTTTCGTTTGTCAATTTTTAAAACGAAATTTTCATTTTCATTTGAAAGGAACTCGAATGAAGTTTACATACGTTTTGTAGAGAATTTCTCGGGCTTCAAATTCATATATATTTCTATACACAAAAATGAAAATTGAAAGCACCGCTTTCGGTTGAAAACTTGTTGGGTTTGCACCAAACAAACAAATCGCGTTTAGTAGCGTTGCGAAAAACAGCGGTGAGTTTTCAACCGAAAGCGGTGCTTCAATTTTCATTTTTGTGTATAGAAAATATATATGATTTTGAAGCCCGAGAAATTCTCTACAAAACGTATGTAAACTTCATTCGAGTTCCTTTCAAATGAAAATGAAAATTTCGTTTTAAAAATTGACAAACGAAAAATCCCTACTCCTCCATGATTTCACAATTTCATAAATATTGATTTACATCATCTGAAAAGCCCTTGAATTCTGAACAAAACTACGACTCGATTATACATATATTCGATATTCAAAAAATAAGCCAGTCATCAAAAAACACATGCGTTTTCACACAATTCAAAAAACCATGTCATGTTTGCATGAAATTTTATTTTTTTACCTCGTTTTCATATATAACATTTCATATGTGCTTGTAGCCGAAGAAATTCTCTCTCGGCTATGTATAACACTTATTGTGGTTCTGATGAAAAACACATAAAAAATCAGCTCGTAATATGCACTGTTTTCGCGAAATAAAAGTAAAAAGTTGTGTGCGAGAGAGTGTGTGTTTGTGAGCGTGTAGACATTTTCGTTTTCCACACACACGTAAGGTTTGGGAGGCAGTGTGGTGGCTCAAAACGAAAGCAAGATGATTCAATAGATACAACAGCGAACAAAAAGAAGGATAAGTTTGTGACAGGTGTATTGAACAAGCAAAAAAAAAACGTAACAAAAAAATTACAGCCGAAGAACTTGAAGAATTAAAAATATATATGCAAGAAGTTGACTTGGCTATGGTACGTAAGAATCCGGGTCGCATGAAAATGCCAAAAATAAAAATAAAATTCAAAAATCTTGCCACCAAAGGTATCACGCCTATGGAAACTATGGGAAAATGTTTGGATATAATCATTCGAAAAGGCATAGCAATGGCTGATGGTGATTTAGAGAATACAAAAATTGTAGTAGCGTGAGTTTGAATATACATAATGTAGTTTCATTTTTAATATTTACAGACTTTCACACCCGGGTTTTCGCGAAAAAACAATCTGGCTCTGTAATCGTAGTTATCAGCTTATTAATGGTTTTACTTTGATGAACAAAATGGCCGCAGTTATACAAAGCAACGAAGAAGTAATGATGGATGAACATTTTGATTTTGAATTACATGTGATGGAGAGTGAAAACAACAAAGTTGGTGGTTGCCGTTCAAAATGTACAACAGTGAACAACTCAGTTCGTTTTTAACATTTACTGTAACTTTTGGTAATTTGCTAACGATTTATTACAATTCTTATGTTTTTCTTATGATTTTCAGAACTATTATAATGTCTTTTCTGATAAAGTTTAAAGTTTTAATGATTTTTATTTTTGTCAGACTTATGTTGATCAACGATGTGGTGCAAAAGCCTTTGTTCTCGGTGAAGGAAAGTGTTTGTTGAAAGCTGTTGGTATAGCAATGGCTAATCACTACTATCAAATTGGTGGTGAGGATCACATTAAGTATTGGAATTCGATTAGGCGCTACGTATGAAATTACTTATAATTTTATCTGATCAACAGAAAATTTTCAGAAATCAGTTCAAGAAGATGCCGCTTTCATTATCGAATCTGCAACAGGGTTAGAGAAAAAAACTGAACATTCTTTACAAGACTTACGGAAGATTGCACATTTTTTCGATGATTGGAATTTTGTAGTCTTCGAGCGACAATCTTTCAGCAATACTGCATCCAAAATAGAAGAACTCAACCCAGGGAAAACCAAATATGTGACATTGATCTATTTCGATGGTCATTATGACTTTGTTAAGAAATCAAAAGCAATCATAAATGCAAGGTAACGTTTTCAAAAACTTGAACATATACTGATAATAAATTACAGTTACTGTAAGCGATGTGGATGTTTACACAATGATAGGAAACATTACCGCAAGTGCAAGGCGTTATGTCGAAGTTGTGGACACAACGCATGTTTCAACGAACCTGAAACCGAACCAAGAGTGAAATGTAAAGACTGTCTTAGACTTTTCAAAAATCGAAAATGTTTCAAAGACCACATAAAAATCAAGAAAACCACAAACATGTGCAGCAGATTCAAATGGTAAGTAACCATTTATTACAGTTTCATGTATTTTTATTAAGTTGTCCTGAATGTAACAAAGTGGTTGATGTTGTTGAATCTGTGCGATATCCACACATTTGTGAAAATTCGAGATACTGCCGAAAATGTCGCAACTATGTTGGCAGAGAACACAATTGTTGCTACAATCCACCATCTGCTAAACAACGCGAAAATGTTTTGAAGAAACAGAAGACATTCCTGAAAGTTGTTTATGATGTGGAAACAGTTACAGTTGAAGAAAAAGACGGTAAACGAGAAAAAACATGTGAATGAACGTTTGTGCTTTCAGGTTTTTTCTCACCACTACCCACACACATAGTAAATACAGTTTGTTGGGAAACTTGGTGTCAAGACTGTGTCGATGACGAGAAATGTCAATCATGTACAGGAAAAGGCTGTATAAACTATTATGATGTATCTGGCGAAGAAACAGTTATTGGAAAATTCACCAAGATGTTGTTATACGACGAGAAGTTTGATAAAGCAATTTTGTTAGCACACAATGGTGGTTGGTAAGTAACAATAACAAAAAGATAAAACAACATTACAGTTTTTTCAGTTATGATCACTACTTTGTTCTACATGAAATGCTTGTTAAACACGGTAGATTCCCACATTTAACGCGCAAAGGAAGAAAAATAATTGTTGCATATCTTGATGGAGAAAAGCCGAAATTTGGAGGATTACGTAGTAATCAACTCACATTCAAAGATACTCTCAACTTTCTACCAATGGGGTTGGCTAAATTACCAAAAGCATTTGACATCAAGGAAATGGTTAAAGGCTTCTATCCACATTATCTCAACACCCCCAAATTCTATGGGAAAATTCTAGATGAATTACCACCTTTGAAATATTATAATACTGATAGCATGCAAAATCCTGAAACGCTCATACAGTATCACAATGAAAATCGTTCAAAAAAGTTTGACGCCGATCTAGAACGGTTGAAATATTGTCAATCAGATGTTCAAATAACAATGGCTGCGATAAAAAAGTTTTCCAAGGTAAGTGTTTTTGTTGTGATGATTCATAGTTTTCTTCATTCAGATATGCATCGAACAACTTGGTGGTTGGGATCCTGTGATTTGTGCAGCCAAAATACCTAGTTTCGTAATGCATTTGATGAAATTCGAGAACATTCGAGTTGGTGAGATTGGCTATATTCCAGAAAACGGATTTCCACAACGTACACAATCGAAAATGGCTATCAAATATCTATTTTGGTTATCAAAGGAGCTCAAAATAAACATTCAACACTTGAGAAATGGCGGAGAAAAGAAAATTGTAATTGATGGAAAAATATTTTATGTTGATGGTTATGTTGCCGAGACAAATGAGATTTATGAAGTTTATGGATGTTGTGTTCATGGTTGCCCCAAATGTAACCCAAAAGATGCTTTCAATCCATTAGACAACATGAAGACCAATGGTCAAATTTTGGAAGATACGTTGGAACGCCAACGAAAACTCGAGATGGCTGGATATCGTGTTATTGTTGTTTGGGAGCATGACATCAAGAAACATCTAGCAGCAAATGCTTTATTGAGAGAGTTTTTTGTTAAGGTATTTGGTTTAGGTTCACTTTTTCAAAAATCTAAACCTAATTATGTTTACAGTGTCGCCACACAATTTGTCTTCAACCTCGAGATGCAATGTATGGTGGGCGCACACAACCATTCCGATATATTTTAAGTGTTAATCCACACGAAAACATTCGTTATCTAGATTTTTGTTCTTTGTACCCCTTTGTGAATATCACACAAGCATATCCAAAAGGTCAACCTGACGTTATCACGAGCAATTTTGATTATGAATCGTTCAAATATCGAGGTACGTTTCAGTTAATCAATTTCATTTTGAAAAACAAAAATTCAGGACTGATCTGCTGTGATGTGAACCCACCCAAAAATCTTAAATTACCAATTCTGCCTTATCGATCAGGAGGAAAATTGTTGTTTCCACTCTGTAGATCATGTGCAGAGAGCATGGATTGGCGTAGTGAGTGCACTCACAAAACAGTACAAGAAAGATTTCTAACCGGAACATGGTACTCGGAAGAGTTAAAGTTGGCATTGGAGAATGGCTATACAATTCTTCGTTATCATGAAGTTTGGCATTGGGATGACTCAAAATGGCAAACTGGTGGATTTTTTGCAAGATATCTGCAACCATTGCTCAAGATGAAGCACGAGGCTTCCGGTTGGCCGTTGGGTGTTAAAACTGAAGAACAAAAACGTCAATATATTGAAGAGATTGAGAGATCTGACAACGTATTATTAGAGTGTGAAAAAATCAAGAAGAACCCGGCGTTGCGCTCAATTGCAAAGTTGTTTCTGAATAGCGCCTGGGGTAACATTAGCAAAACACGTTTTTGAGAAAAAAACATTTAAATTTTTCAGGTAAGTATTGTGAGAATCCAGCGCAAGAAGAAACAAAGATTTTCCACACGTCGGACCATATTGCACAATCAAACTTTGCCAATCAACCCGATTTTGATTTGACTAGTTTGGACGACATCGGAGATGACATCACTATACTTTCGCGTCTGAAGCATGTTGATTTTATCGATACCAAAAATTTTGCTAACGTTGTTTTTGGTAAGTTCTTCATTACTTTAACTGTTATACAACACTCTAACAGGTGCAATCACAACAGCGATGGGGCGGATAACGCTTTACAAGGCTATCAAAATGGTTGGGTACAACCGAATTGCTTATTGTGGTTAGTTTCCATTGAATATTTTTGAGTAAACTGCGACAAAAGAAAATTTGAAAATCTTATAGATACTGATTCTTTGGTGTTCATTGAGAAAGATGGAGAAAACCTGTGCGGCGACCTGGTTGGAACAGGTCTCGGTAAACTAGAATCGGAAGTGCCTGAGGGGGTGAAAATTTCAAAGTTCGTGGCAATTGCCCCAAAATGTTATTGCTACGAGTTAACTGATATGAATGGTGTGCATGTCAAATTTGTGATTAAAGCAAAAGGTGTCACACTCGATCAAGCGAACTCAAACATTGTAACATTTGCCGAGATGGAACGAATGGTAAACACCCATATATGTAGGAATAAACTACATGCATCTTACAGGCTCACGAAATGATTACCGAACAACAAACGACACCAATTCAAGCGAAAGTTCGCGGTATGAAGAAAAAGTTTATAGTTTCTATCACAAACTATGAGACGATGAAAGTTGTTCAACCAATTGTTGACAAAATGAGGTTATGTGAAGATGGGATGACTCTACCTCATGGTTACACTGAAAATAATATAATTGATGATTATTTGTTTTATGATAATAAATAAAGTTTGTGTGGAGTGAAAAAACTGAGAACAGTAAAAACAACAAACAACTACATATACGAATGATCTAGTCGTAAACTAGAGCACCAAACATGTTTTTTTTTTCACCTGGTTTCTAATAGTCATCCTGTGTTTTGTTCTTTTTCTCAGATGCGACAGCTGACAATTCCAAAGTACCTCTTTTGTGTGCATACCACATTCAGAACCTAGAATTGCAGGTCGAAATTTTTTCCACAAACCAAAATTCAGAGCAAAATTTTTCTAAACTGACCATTTCCCCTCATTTTTAGACGAAATCAGAGCAAAATTTTTCTTTATCAGATTCCTGAACGAGGTATGTGTGTGTGTGTGTGATATTTGAAGAGTAAATATTAAGTATGTTATCATGTATACATAACAAATAAATTTTTACCATGTACACATTGATACATTTGGATGTGAAACTTCACATTTTTGACTCTTTTAAACATTTAGAGATAATTATTACTTATTTGTGTAGAATTCTCTAGCAAAATTTTCAAACTGCCTTTAACCATCAATGGGATTTAAACAACGAAGTCTATATCACAACTTGACAGGTTGAACAAAAATGTGTAGAAGTTGTTTTTTTTTTCTTTCATAAATCAGATCTCATTTTATGAGTTTTTTTTTTCATCAATCAGATTTTAATGACCGTGGGTAACCCGATAGAGCACATGAAATTGTCCTTGTCTTAACAACCAGAGATACCATGAGACCCAGTTGATGCCACTTTCACCAAGCCTGATCCACGAAAACTAGAATTATTGTTTAAACACTGTTCTAAAGTTTGCAAAAAATATGCGTACACATTGTTGTAAAATGTTTGAATAGTCTCTCAACATACCACGCCCAGCTTCGTGCAAATTAACTTTGAAAATTGAGGAAAATTTTTTGACGAGGTGAAAACAACCTTTTTGACTGAAAATACGACTTTTTTACGAAAAAACAAGCAAAAATTTGCTGTTTTTCAAGAAAATCTGAAATTGGCGAGGTGAATTTCCGTATTTTTTATTGGTGCCGTGCAAATGCCTCACTTTTGGTGTGGTATGTCTTTCAATTGTTATTAAATTGTGAAATTTATTATCATCTGGTTGAAAAAATTTAGATGAAAGTTCAAATTAATAGGGAAGTTTCGAAAATATCAATACACCTCTTGGAATATTTTCGAAGATTATTCCATTTGTTATAAATGAGTAATATTTTCATTAGTTGAAAGTTTTCGAAGAAATATTCAAAGGGGAAAGCTGAGCACTAATAAGTTATGTCAGTTCGAAAGAGTATGCTCTAATTAGTATAATTCTCAATGGATTTTTTCGGTGAAGTTTTTCAATACAGTGAAACAACGTGTAAATGACTTTGAAGTCGAGATGTCCATTATTTTGGAGTGTTTTTCTATCAATTCCGATTCATGCAAATTTTGTCAGTGGCTTTTTTTCAACCACGAGACGAACTTTTGAATTCAAATTAACTCAAATATATAGATTTTCAGACTATACTTTAAAATTTCGCAAGAAAAATTTCAAAATGTATACATTCTCGGGAATATATATATTTTTTTTTAAACTTATGAAAACTGAAATTTCGATAGAAAATTTCAAAAATTTATGCATTTCTTGAAGTTCTAACAAAAAAAGTTTACACTTGTTATGAAAATGTTAAATTTATTACCATTTGGTTGGAAAATTTTTAATGAAAATTTAAATTTTGATAGAAAATACCAAAGTTATACATCTCATGAAACATTTTAAAAATATCACATTTGCTATGAAAATGTAAATTTTATGTTCATTTGGTCGGAAAATTTTGAAACAAAGTTCAATTTTGATATAAAATTTCGAAAATAGCTATACATTTTGAAAATTATGCTTACTGTTGGAAATTTCCCTAGAATTTTTCATTTTCTTGAATTTTTTTTCTGTAAAAGAGCTCATCAAGGTGCACCGAAACATTTTGAAGTTAACCTTTTCCCCGGTCTTTTTGTTTCATTTGCAAGAATTTTCTTATGTGTTCACGAAAACTTACTGTTCATACACATGAAAAAAAAAACGAAGTGACCACATCGTATATTTTTCTACCCCCACGACAACACCCCGTTATTGAGACCTGACACGATGTTAGGTGGTGGTCAAGAATTGATTAAATTCAACACAAAGTCAATGAAAATATTTTATTATCCACCACACAAATTTGAAACTTTGAAGAGCTTGTGGTGGTTAAGTACACACTAAGCGTGTGGGGTTTTTTTCTGGAGTAGCCATTGATAATGATCAACACTTATGTTTTCTCTAGATGATGAAAGAATCAAACAAGTTTTTATAATTATTTTAACAATTTTAGATATGATCAATTTTTTATTTTGATATAATTTAAATTAAGTAGTTTTATTTGAAATGAAAGAAATGTAAGTGAACTGCAAATGAAATGTAAGTGAAATGTAATTGAAATGTGAACAAAATGTAAGTGAAATGTAATTGAAATGTAAATGAAATGCAAAAACTTAATAATTCAAGAATGAACCAGATAATTCGAACGATCCATAGTTCTAGATCATTGATTCTTCCACATATATCACATTATTTTATTTTTGGCAGCAGTGGGCATTTGAATTTTCAAAATCTTCTCCATCTTTCATCTTCTTAAGCGCATGTCTCCAAATTACAGTGCGTTACATAAGTATACACACACCCATAAAATTATTTTTTTGGCTATCCACGTAACTTTTTGAGTAGAAACAAGTTGTGTGATGACAAGTATATGTGAAAATACATATGTGTACACTTTTGATATAAAAAAACAGGTCAATTGTTTTTCCTCTATTGTTTATCGTCTAATGTTTTTCCTCTATCTTAGTGTTTATCGTTTTTAGTGTTTATCCTCTATAATGTTTTTCGTTTTTTAAAGGTGTTTTCAAAAATTTTCTGGCAAGATTTTCGGCCAAGCAGAATTTGATGAGAGGTCTGAAATTTCAGGAATTTCAGATCAGAATCACGTGATTTTCACGTGAAAATCAAAATTTTCAAAAAATTTCTAGTTTTTTGCTACAAATGTTTTCAGACATGCTGAAAACGATGGGATAACTGAAATTTTGAGAATTTCAGCTTTTCAACCAGAATCACGTGATTTTCACGTGAAAATTAAAATTTTCAAAAAATTTCTAGTTTTTTGCTACAAATGTTTTCAGACATGCTGAAAACGATGGGATAACTGAAATTTTGAGAATTTCAGCTTTTCAACCAGAATCACGTGATTTTCACGTGAAAATTGAAATTTTCAAAAAATTTCTAGTTTTTTGCTACAAATGTTTTCAGACATGCTGAAAACGATGGGATGACTGAAATTTCAAGATAATCAAACTATAGACGTGTTCAAAAGACGACAAAAATCAAACTGAACTTTTTCAAAATAAAATTCATATAAAATTTAAATTAAAATCATTTAAAATCCAGCGTTTGGCGGAGGCGATTCCTGCGGTCGGACGATTAAACCTGAAAAAATCGAATAAATCATAATTCTAGTTTTTCAATTTTTTTCTGGAAAATTGTGGGAACTAGAACTACGTTCCTAACCCAAGTTTGATAACTTTTTGGAAGAAAACTATATCAGTATTGTTATAAGGCTCTAGGGAAATGTTTAATTTCATTATAATCCTATAGGAGTAAGCCACTGTTGGAAAATTGGAAGCTAATTTTAAGAGAGAACTTGGTTCTAGGATTTACAGGGAAAATGTCCGTATTTCTTGAGATCTGATTAAATCTTATTGATGAAAGAAATTTCAGGCCCAAAATCAGGGCTTTTTATTAGATTTTAGATTTCAAGCTTGAAATCTAAGATTTTCCTCAAACTCCATGCCTGAAATCTGGGCTATTTCTTAGATTTTTGATTGCAGGCCTGAAATCTGAGCTTTTTCTCAAATTTCAAACCTGAAACCTACGCTATAGGTTTTTAATTTAAAACTTTATGATTTTTGGCTGAAATTCTAGCTTTTACTCAACCCAAAAGCTCGTACTTTCGCATTTCGAGCTTTTGGGTTCAGGAAAAGCTAAAACTTTCAGTTTTTCAAAATTTTATTTGATTTTTCCCCAAAACCATCCCAAAATACTTACATTTCAATCAAAATCCCTTGTCGAATCCATCAATTGTTGAGCTGACTGCCGAAATCTGGAAAAATACATTTTTCTCTCTAAATTTTGAATGAAAATTAAAAAAAAAATAAACTTACATTTCGATATTCGTCCTATGTTGTTGTTGCATTTGGTGCTGATCTGCAAAAAATAAATAGATAAAAGTGAATAGGTTCCAATAGTGAATTCTCTCTAAAACTCTTCAATAGGGCTGGAATTGAGTCACAAATAAGTGTGAAAATCGACAAAATTCAACGTAAAAACGGAAGATTCCAGATTTTTCAATTGAAAATTAGATCAAACTAGTTATACTCTAGGTGAGAGTGAGAAATCGTGAAACATTTCACTTGGAAAAATCATGAAAACCCCATAATTTGTAAAATAACTCACATTTTTATCGAATTCTCCATAATTTCGTCGATTTCGTCGTCTTCGCAGTCGGTGTGCGACTCCTTCTCATCTGTAAAAAATACTCATCAAAAAATCAAGTCACAAAAATAAGTTTTCAACAGAAAAAAAGCTTTTCAAGCGTAAAAACTGGAAAAAAAAAAGAAAAAATTGGCCTAAAATAATTGGCAAACATCCAATTGTTGGTATCCTAGGCCATTGGCCGATGTTCCTTGAAATTTTTAGGCCATCATTCAATTTATTTTTTTCTTTTTTTTTCGTTTTTTCTTGTGTTTTCCTCGTTTCATATAGAAATTGTATATTTAATGCTGCGAAAAACACATAAAACGTGTTTCCCGTATAAAATCACAGATGAAATTTCATGAAAACTTTGAAATTGACCTATTTCGCATGAATTTAGGCCAAAAAACTGAAATGTTCATTTTTTGATTTTTTTTTTAAATTTTTTGATAATAGAACGACGTTACTTTGTAGTTTCACTCAATTTCAGCCCTATTAAAGAGTTTTAGGAGAGAATTCACTATTGGAACCTATTCACTTTTATCTTTATTTATTTAATCATCTATTTATTTTTTGCAGATATCTGATCTAGATCTAGATCAACCAAATGCAACAACAACATAGGACGAATATCGAAATGTAAGTTTATTTTTTTAAATTTTCATTCAAAATTTAGAGAGAAAAATGTATTTTTCCAGATTTCGGCAGTCAGCTCAACAATTGAAGGATTCGACAAGGGATTTTGATTGAAATGTAAGTATTTTGGGATGGTTTTGGGGAAAAATCAAATAAAATTTTGAAAAACTGAAAGTTTTAGCTTTTCCTGAACCCAAAAGCTCGAAATGCGAAAGTACGAGCTTTTGGGTTGAGTAAAAGCTAGAATTTCAGCCAAAAATCATAAAGTTTTAAATTAAAAACCTATAGCGTAGGTTTCAGGTTTGAAATTTGAGAAAAAGCTCAGATTTCAGGCCTGCAATCAAAAATCTAAGAAATAGCCCAGATTTCAGGCATGGAGTTTGAGGAAAATCTTAGATTTCAAGCTTGAAATCTAAAATCTAATAAAAAGCCCTGATTTTGGGCCTGAAATTTCTTTTATCAATAAGATTTAATCAGATCTCAAGAAATACGGACATTTTCCCTGTAAATCCTAGAACCAAGTTCTCTCTTAAAATTAGCTTCCAATTTTCCAACAGTGGCTTACTCCTATAGGATTATAATGAAATTAAACATTTCCCTAGAGCCTTATAACAATACTGATATAGTTTTCTTCCAAAAAGTTATCAAACTTGGGTTAGGAACGTAGTTCTAGTTCCCACAATTTTCCAGAAAAAATTGAAAAACTAGAATTATGATTTATTCGATTTTTTCAGGTTTAATCGTCCGACCGCAGGAATCGCCTCCGCCAAACGCTGGATTTTAAATGATTGTAATTTAAATTTTATATGAATTTTATTTTGAAAAAGTTCAGTTTGATTTTTGTCGTCTTTTGAACACGTCTATAGTTTGATTATCTTGAAATTTCAGTCATCCCATCGTTTTCAGCATGTCTGAAAACATTTGTAGCAAAAAACTAGAAATTTTTTGAAAATTTTAATTTTCACGTGAAAATCACGTGATTCTGGTTGAAAAGCTGAAATTCTCAAAATTTCAGTTATCCCATCGTTTTCAGCATGTCTGAAAACATTTGTAGCAAAAAACTAGAAATTTTTTGAAAATTTCAATTTTCACGTGAAAATCACGTGATTCTGGTTGAAAAGCTGAAATTCTCAAAATTTCAGTTATCCCATCGTTTTCAGCATGTCTGAAAACATTTGTAGCAAAAAACTAGAAATTTTTTGAAAATTTCAATTTTCACGTGAAAATCACGTGATTCTGGTTGAAAAGCTGAAATTCTCAAAATTTCAGTTATCCCATCGTTTTCAGCATGTCTGAAAACATTTGTAGCAAAAAACTAGAAATTTTTTGAAAATTTCAATTTTCACGTGAAAATCACGTGATTCTGGTTGAAAAGCTGAAATTCTCAAAATTTCAGTTATCCCATCGTTTTCAGCATGTCTGAAAACATTTGTAGCAAAAAACTAGAAATTTTTTGAAAATTTTGATTTTCACGTGAAAATCACGTGATTCTGATCTGAAATTCCTGAAATTTCAGACCTCTCATCAAATTCTGCTTGGCCGAAAATCTTGCCAGAAAATTTTTGAAAACACCTTTAAAAAACGAAAAACATTATAGAGGATAAACACTAAAAACGATAAACACTAAGATAGAGGAAAAACATTAGACGATAAACAATAGAGGAAAAACAATTGACCAAAAAACAACAAAACCAAAAAATTGCATCATACTCAAAGGGTGCCCAGTGGGTGCCCACACCCAACCCGGGTATTTGACACCGAGGGTGATGGGTCTCAATGCCCAGGTATTTTGCTGTTTACCCGGGTAATGCCCGGGTATACCCAGATGTACGCGACAGCCCTGGTGTGACGCTTGGCAGCTCTCGTCAGAATTTCAGGTGTGCGTAATAACGATTTATCATCTGCGTAGCTACGAATTTGATTTTTTTCGTAGCTACGCTGAAGATAAAATGAACCTACGATTTTCGGGAAAAAAGTGTAGGTACAGCGTTCATTCGCTGTATTCACACTTCTTCAATTTGTACAGTCAGTCTACGGAGTCCATTGCTGAGTATAGTTCTCTGTATTCATCTTGTAAAATGTCGTGATGTGTTTTTTCACCGAACGATTATTTTACAGGCCGATGAATAGTTCAAATAAGAAACAAAGCCAGGGTAAAGTTCAATTTCAACGATGGAACAGTCGATTTTCAGTTGGTGGTGCGAATCGAACGAATATTCATCAACAAATAAGGCGGCTGTCAAGAGAGAATGATGTATCACGTAAGTTTAGCTTATTTGCATTTCTTTAATCATATTTAAAACTTTCAGCTAATAGATTACCCCATTATCATCAGCCAACTTCGTCGAATCGTTTACCATATGATCGGTATCATTATAGAGCATCGGAAAGGCAGAATTCTCGTGGCGATGAAGAGGTAAGAATTGAAATTTTCAGAAATATAAACTTCAAAATGTTTTTTTAGCAGGAATACAATTTGAGTAATTTTCGAGATAGTAAAGGACGGCCATTGCAAAGAGTAGGATTATTCAGAAATGCGAAACATTCAGATGTTATATTGCCAAATGTTGATGAGAGAGTCATGAGAAACGTATATTTTACATAAATTGATTTGGAGTTAAAAAATATCATTTTGCAGGCTGAAGCAAAAATCCGTCGTTTGACAAGGCGAGAAAGTGGAGAAGAAGAAGATTGTCGATATGATGACGATGATAGAAATCGTATGTTTATGATAACTCATCAATAATTAATATTGTAATATTTTCAGCCGTTCGTGAAAGAGTTCGTCAAGTAGTTTATGAAATGAATGGAAACCCAGCTGAAAATTTTCACCAAGTTCCTCGTCGAAGAGCCGAAGTTGTTGCCAGACAACTGGTTTATTCACCACAACCTCCTAGAAGATATTCGAACCCACGACGAAATGTGTTATACGATAGTGGATATGAACCTAGATCGCCTGATAATCGACGAGATAATTATTATGAAAATGATAATGAAGATTATAATAGACCTTCAACTTCTCGTCCACATCAAAATGATTATTATCAACATCGTGCACAGGATATTCGACAAGAACATCGTTTAGCATCAACATCTCCTCCTCCACCTCAAACTTTATCTCGATCTCAAAAGAAATCACGAAAACGGCAACAAAATAGTCCCAATACGTCAATTGAAAATCGTAATCATTCTTATTTATCAAATCATGCACAACAATCTCCAGAATTACAAGAATTGTCAGATGAAGATGAAAAACAAAAAGAAAGTGAGAATAATGATATTCAGGATAAAGGTAACGAAATAGAAGAAGAAGACAATGACCCAGGTTTGTCCAATTTTAAATTTTAAAAAAATTATAGAATTATTTTCAGATCGTCCTCATTCACGTCTCAGCGATGCTTCAACTTCCAGTAAAAAATTGAACACGTCTTATTCGCCGGAAGAAGATGAATTGACTCAGTGGAAAAAAGCATCTGAGTTTTTCAATACTTTGTAAGTTTTTAAATATCTGCCTGTTTTAAATTTGCTCAAATTTTTATTTGCAGAGATGGAGAAGCTTCAGCGATTATCGATCGAATTGGGAATTCAATGCCACATTTGCCACTAAATGATGAATCTGAAAAATGTTACTCGAAAATCGCATTTTCATTGATTTTTAAAAGTCTTCAGAATCAGGTAGATTTGTGTTTTTTCCTGGAATGTATTTATGACATTTAATAATTTCAGAAAAATGACAATCCACCGAAAAAATCAACTGGAGATGTTTTCACAAATTTGGTGAATATGAGCACTTCGTGGGTTCTTCCTAGTCATCAATATAGTACAATTCTAGCTGGTGGTGGTGAAAATTTTGAAGATAAGAAAAACGAGACAAATGACGAAGAACAACCTGTTAATACAGTTGTATTCGGTGATATTTCGAAGTTTCAAAATCCACAAAATCTTCTGTTAGATGATTCAAAGTTTCCAACAAGTTCAAGATTTCTGGAGCCTACAATTAGAATTGCATCGAAAAATACGCGCAAAAGAAAAACGCCACTTTTTCAATCTTCGCCGGTTTCAAATGATGTTGTGAGATCAAGTGAAATAAGTACAATGCCAAGCGAAATTCGGAATTCTCAAGTTATTGAGAAAATAACAGAAAAGGAAGATGAAATCGAATCAGAAGAGGAGGAAGAAAGAGAATATGATATGGATCGTTATATTGATAAAGGAGCATCACAGTTGACATATATTGGAACTCCAGGTTTGTTTAATTTTTTCATCTGATTGTGAGAATGTTCAGGGAATTGATTTTTTTTTCTTAGAAGTACAATCAACTTCGAAAACAACATTCCGGTTTATAAATTCTGATGAGATTGTTCGTGGAACTCCGGAAGAGTATGTTTTTTTTTAAATATTTATGTTTGAACTTTCTAATTTATTTTTCAGAAAACACAATCGAAGTGTTCAAATGATTGATGATGATCAACGGAATGATTCATTCAGAAATGACTGTAAGTGAATTGTCTTCTTAATTTTTGAATTTCGGAAAATTCAGTTGAAATACAACCTTCGGCAACATCGAATCAACCTTTCAATTTTACATTTTCAAATCAAAAGTCAATAAATTCAACAGAAATGAATGTGGATACCAAAACACAACAATTGTTTGAAAATGCATTTGAAGAATATCAAAACGAGAAAAAGAAAGAAGAAAATCGTAAATATCAATTCTAATTCATGTTTTTTCGTTGTTATAGAATGTATTTATCTCCCAAGATTTTTACTGTGAATATTTTTGTGTTTTAAATATATTGTATTTGTTTTCATTGAACTTTTTTCTTAATTTTTATTTTGATTCAGTTTTCAAGTTGTTTCTAGTTTTCAGACGCCTTTATTGGCATATTTTGCACTATATTTTGCATTTTATCAAAGGGACAACAATTTATTGTTGCATCGTTCCGAGACCCAACATTACAGTACTGTGTGTTGTCGAAATTTTTGGGAGTTTCGTTTTTCATTTCGTTGTTTTTGAAGGAAGACATGGCGCCTGCTGTTATGACGACTAGATATTCACGAATCGTTGCCAATGATAGTGTAACTGCTCAAAACGACATTATCACTGATAAGGTTAGATTGAAGCTATAAACATTTAAACAAAAATATTCCTGCTTTTCAGAAATGGTGTCAATCTTTCCCTCAATCACTTGCCGATGAAACGAGTTCTTCGAAATTCATGACTCGTGCAATGTTCGTTGCGTTTTCTTGCGTATTTCGTTATCGCAAAATTCTAGGAGACGAATGTTTCAAGTCGAATTATATCACAAAATCGATGAAAATTCGATCTCTGAATTTTGAAAACCCACAATCTTTGGCAATATCTCAACATTTACGAGCTGCTGGTGAAGCAGTCAAAGATGGAGTGCTTGAAGAATTGGCTATGGTTATAACTAAAAATAAAGGAGACGTCGAAGCACTTGAAGTTTTCTCGTGGAAAATGCATTATGATGAACACAACAATCCATCAGCCAATCTTGTGTGAGTATATTTGAAAAAATATGTATTTTCAAAATCAATGATTTCAGAATGAATGGCTCAGACAATTCGCCGATATATCAACTCAGTACAATCAATTATTCTGGTTCAAAATCTGTACGTGATCAATTGGTTATGTTGGTTCGTAGTTTGCAAGTCATATGTCAAAGAATTCTTGCTCCGCTGCCAGAAAACTACTCTGTGAACTTCAGATTATCTTATATGGATCGTAAGTTATCTGGCAAAAACAATTCGCATGATGCAACATTTTTCATATAGAAGTGACAAAAATGAAAAGCCCAGATGTTATTCTAACTAAAAAATTTCTCGTTATTTTTCAGACACCCGTCCTGATTACAAAGTTCAAGGATTCAATGAGACAAAAACTTTCTACGAACTTCCTGAGGATTGTCAATCTGCTACTCTCGGTCAACTTCGTCCAGGACATCATGGTTGTGATCTTTCATGTTCAAGTGTTTTCATGAATGATTCATACGAAGCCGAAATGACATTAAAGAAATATACTGATAAATTGGCCGACACTTTGGGATATGATGTTCCCAACACACTTTATCAATCATTTTCATCTGATGCGAATGCTTCAAATGTTACACAAGAAAAAACACCTGAACCAGTAGCTCAAGCAAAAAAATCAAAAGTTGCCACTCCAGATGAAGAATTGATTGTGAGTAAATTTGTTCACAATTGAATATCGTTTTCTATTTAATACTTTTTCAGGAAAAAGTTGAATCAGTTCAACTTGAAAATTCTCCAATCAAAAAAGCAGTCAACACACGTGGAAGACGTAAGCGCGGACAAGAAGAAGCAGCAGCAGCAACTCAACAAGTAGAAGAACAACCACCAAAAATTGACAAGAATAAATATGGCCGTGTTCGTTCAGTCTCCGTTGTTACTCCAGAAAAAAGATCGAGAAGAAGATAAGTTTTTTTTTAAGAATCCCCAAAATCGTGTATCATATCAAACTCATGTAAAATATTCAAATTTCTATCATGTTTTGTATATTCTTTATCTGTTTTTTAGATGAATTTTGTTTTAGTTTTTCATCTTTCCTCCAACCTAATTAGATTTTAAATTTATTCAAATGTATCAGGGTACATAAAATGTGACTAGGTAGAGTAATTTTAATCAAGCTTTTCAATAAATTATTATGCCCAAATACGTATAGTACAATCCCAACTAGCAGAGCAAACCGCTGTGCCATCAGGTGATGTTCGTAGACAAGAAATACGATTTTCGTGTCCATATAATACACTGTGTCTAACACATTTCAAAGAATCCCAAACTCCAACACGATAATCACCATATCCAGCAAACAGAATACGGCCTGAAATGTTCAATTTTTTGTTGAAGATATAAGCTATTCAACAAATACTCACCACTCAAACTGAAATCAACACCATTAACTGGGAAAAGGATTGATTCCTTTTCATATACACAAACTTGACGATCTGCTCGAAGATCGAAAAGGCGACACTGAAAAAATAATCATAAACCGAGAAAACTTCAAATAAAAAATACCGTTGCATCATCTGATCCAGTTGCAAAAGCATCACCATTTGGATGAAAACGAACTGTATTGATATCTGCTTCATGTCCTTCGAAAGATTGCACGCATTGTCCTGATCTTATATCCCAAACCAAAGAATGCTGAAGAAAAATTGATATCTCAATTTTTTTTAGTTGAAAATGAATTTACCTTATCTGCCCCAGCAGAAATAAAGGTATTTCCAGTATCACATTTCGGAACATCAATTGCAAAAACATCGCCAGTATGTCCGTGGAAATTTTGAATAAGTTGACCACTTTCAACATCCCAAATAGCACAAGTTGAATCACCAGAACCAGTTAAAATGAGATTATCAGATCGAAGGAAAGTGCAACAAGACATGTAAGATGTGTGAGTTGCGACTTGGCGTTTCTTTTGAATTATGTCATCTTCGAAAGATAGTGGAACTACACTACATTTATTGTCAAGACCACTGAAAATATTTTATTGAATTTATTTCGGTTTGGAACCAATTGACAACTCAAAAAATACTTACCCACATGCAATCATTTGACTGCTTGGAGAAAACGCGCAAGCCATTACCCAAGTTGTTGGCATTGTTAATGCATGTTCTTTATTTGTTGTAAAACCATCCCATACAATAACTTTACCATCCTATAATTTAAAAAATTCAATTTATATTTTTAAAAATATTTCATGAAAATAATCTAACCTGTGACGATGATACAATATGTCTTTTATCCAATGACCAATCCATACACAATACTTTTCCAACATGTCCCTTCAAAATACGCCTCTGTTTGATTCCCAAACTTCCCATAACTTCAAGCCTTTCGGCTGCTTGTTGAATCGGAATATCATTCAATTTCTGTCGTTCTTGATCCAATTTCTTTCTCAAATCTTCGGCTTCATGCGCCAATTGTTCAAGGTATTCTGAACCTTTTTCAGTTGAACTTTGAGCAGCGTTTTCAGGCATTTTAGTAATCGATGATTCGCCAACAGAAGTGCTCATTCAAAGTTTGAGATCAATTTTTAATAGAAGTGAGATTCGAAGAATGAGCCGATTAGAAGATTATCAAAAGTGCATTGTATTTTGACAAACCAAAATCGGTAGGGTACTGTAAAAATTGTTTGATATTTATGAGAAAACTTTTCTTCTAATATATGCTCTAAAAAAAGTAGATGAAGCTAAAATTAAATATTCACAAGGTTGGAATAATATCAAACTGTGTGAATACATATTTCTATACAAAAAAGGAAAAAAACCTGTACGAAAAATAAAGAATCATGAATATTTTCCCGCATTCAACAAGAAAAATCGAAAAAGGCACTCTTTCTTTCTTTTCTTCTCGCAGACAGAAAACAACAAATTGAGAGAAAGAGAAAATAAGAGAAGCAGACAGTTTTCTGTCGTCTGCGTCTCTTTTGAGCCAAAGCAGGCCGCGTTGAAAAAAAGAAGAAGCAATGCGATGCGGTTAAGCTCAAAAAAATAAAGAGAGTGAGAGAAGATTTTGTTTGAATATACTTGAATTGATGAAATTAAGAGAGAAGGGTCAAAAAATAGTCAAAAATACACGTTTATTTTAGAAAATTGGTAAAAGCATTGGAAAAATACAAAGGCAAGTGAGCAAAATATGGCATATGAAACCAAAATTTTGTGAGTGAGTATTGTCATTAGAAAAAAAACAAAGTGAATTTTTGGGATATTTTTTGAGAAGAAAGGTTGATGGTAATTATGATAGGTAGATAGTATTATGTGACCGAAGTTCCAGATTTTTTGATCAATTGATTAAACACAGCAGACACATCGAATGACGTTGACAATGATTGACAAAATTGTGAAAATTGCCAGAACGAGGAGAAGGACAGTTACCCAATCCTGAAATTAAATTGAATTATTTTAATTTTGAAATTGATTTTTAAAAAAATTATTGAATACCTGAAGTCTGAAACAGCAATCAGATGCAAGACTTCCACAACATTTGAAATACCAAACAGCATTCTCTTCTGGGCAAGTTGATCCAACAATTGGAGCTGGGCAAGCGAGAGCACTTCGTCTGAAAAAAAATATGTTGTGTGGTGATTTTACTACAGTTTCGAAATTCCTATTTGTGAAATTCAGACAATGACGGCCTTTTCGAAATTGAATGACATTGAAATCATCATTTGTTGAAGAAAAAATATTTTCAACTGATTCTGAAGGGGAGTCTGTTATGAAATAGTTTAACATCATTCCAAGACATTCAGAATCTGAATTTAAATTTTTTCTGGAAGAATTTTTATTTTTTGACTTTGATAGAGCTTTACAAAAAGTTCAGAATATCCTAATTTTGTTAAGCAGAGAAAATTTAACAATTAATGCATTCGAAAATATTTTTTGAACCTATAATTTCATAGACTGGAAAATGTCTTATCAAAAATTTTGTGCCTTGATTTCCGGTGTTCGAACTAATATTTACAGTCAACCCCCCTCGGAGGGCCCTCCTAACTAACTTGATAGTCAATGGTTCAATCGATTTGATATAATCCAACAAATCATCTCCATCAGCCGCCACAGTTGGTGCACAAATCAATAATCCAATTGTGAACAAAAACAATGGAAGTGTGATTGATGACATTTTACTTGTCTGAAATGAAAAAAATCAGTTTTTCTCAAGTGATACAAAAATAAACAAACAAACAGAAGAAAAGAAAACGAACAGTTTTGAGAATGAAAGCAAAAAATGAAGAAGAAAATGTTTTGATAAACATAGGGAGAATCTTCTAGAAGCATTTTGAGAAATCAATCAATACAGTATTTAAAAACTGAAATTCGTAAGAGAAAGAAGGAAAAAAGCAAAGTGAAAGTACTTATGGGCGAGTGGACGAAAAATGAAATGAAACATGTGTTCTTCTCATCGAGAGTGTTTTTTCTTCCTTCAAATCATAGTAATTAGCAAAACAAAGAAATACTCTTCCCATTTGGTGTGATAAAATATGATAGCCAGATGGTGAATGATAAATAGGTCATTCAATAAAAACAGAAGATCAGTTATCATTAGATAGTGAAAAAAAAGAATAGAACGAAGAAATGAAACAATTTGGGTGGGGTCAGGATGAAAAAAAGATAGATGAGACTTAGAGAAGACATTAACAAAACTTGATTTATTTTTATTTTTTTGGACGAAATTTTGGGAAAAATGGAGGAAGTTGGGAGAAAACTGTTTCGAAATATTTTTGCGAATGGGAAAAAATTGAGCGCCGGAAAATGGTTTGGAAAAAAAGATCAGAACAATTTTTGATCGAATTAGATTTTGAAACTCAAAAAAATAAAAAATATATTAGAAAAGCACAGTTTCATTTTAGGTACAATTTTCCATTAAAAAAATTTTTAGACTAATAATTGCTTACTGTAAGATTTCAAATAATTTTTTAGTAATTCCACAAACAAACATTCTCTTCTTTTCAAAAACAATTCAACGTTAAAAATTCAATCAAAAGTGCGAAAATCTTGAAAAAAATGTTCATTTTTCGTGTGCATCCAAGCAGAAAAATCTAGCTTCATTCTCTTTGAGTTCAAACAATATTACGAAATTTTTTACAGAGTAAATAAAAAAGAAGACAACAATTAGTAGGAGGGTCACAGCAATCAAGATAATAGAAATGTTACGCTTGGAAATGAAAACTTCCTAATTTTTTCCAAGAGTGAAAACAAAACAAAAAAAACTTTGTTGTTTTTTACTACAACAGATCGATTGTGGACGGAAAAAAGTAGAAAAAAGGAAAAAAGAATAGAATAAAGAGACAAGGTGAGCGACCTTGGAAAAATTGGTTGGCAGGAAAGAAAAAGGCAAATCATATATATGGGAAACATTTAGTGTTTGATAATATTTAAACCCATATTTGTAAATAGAATAATAACTCAATAGTTCGTGAGTCAATATAAGTGCTAAACTTTACAAGTATTTTACAATAAATAAGTGTATTTGTCTTATTTGAATATAAAATTGGTTATGACAAATGGAGAGACCGAAAAACTAATTTTCTTTCAGAAAAATAAGAAAAACGAGTGATTCATCAGTTTACACTAACAAAAAAACGGAGAGAAAACGAAAACATATTTGGGCATGAATGACGACATGAATATTTTATGAACAGTACTATTCGATGTTTTTCTCTTTTTTTTATCTATCAACTCTTCCTTTTTTGAAAAATCATCATAAAACAATACTATTCTAAAAATAAGTAAATAAATAAATAAAAAACATTGGGTTGGTTGGAATACTTTCATTCGTTCGTTCACTTCACGAAATAAAAACCTGTCACCGTATTAGAACAGAAAAACTGGTCGGTCGGCTACTTGGAATCGATTTAGGACACGAAATTGTAGGGGGCGAAAGTTTTTGCGGATGAAATGAATGCGGAATGAAGAAAAAGGAAAAGAATAATCATAAATTGACAGAAGGAAAGGACAACAGATGTTTTGAATCGAAAACAAAAAGGGTCAATAATAAAAAATATTGCTCTCCGGTGAATTGAAACAAAGAATAGTGATGAATTATATATTAAGAGTACTTCTATTGCAAAAAATTAGATTTACGCGAAAAACAGAAAAATACGTGGTGACACCGTAAATCAAATCATGTATTGACTACAGCGTCATTTACAAATTTTCTGAACGAATCGTTAAGCTTGTGAGTTTTTCAAACACAGAAAAATTAGGAGGGCCACACGTGTGGTGTACACCACAAAAGAAATAAAAAATGGACAAACCACTGTGTTTTTTTCTAATAGAAAAATGCAATTCCGAGGAGACGCAGACAGAGAGAGAAAGAGGCTGGTCTCGACACGATGTGTGTCTGCCACACACTATTTCTCTCCCTTTTTCGGCGAGAGATTTGTCTGCCCACGTTAAAGTCTGCGTCTCTCAGAACTGGCAAGAAAAAATACAGTGAAACATTTTCAAATGAACGCCAACGAAAATGCCTGTTGTTTAGCGACTCGAAATTGCGTAATTTGCGGAGTGTCGTTGTTATTTTTCTTTTATTTTCATTTCGCGAAATTTTTTACCCCGAAAATCAACGAAAATCCAACTTTTTCAGAAAATGACAACTCCAGAAGAGGAAAAACAAGTCGACAAACATAATTGGGGAAGTGATGAATTGTCAAAGGTGAGCAAATTTGAAAATGAAACAAAATATTTTTGAAAAAATTGAAAATGGCGGGAATGTTAACAAAAAACGGAGTGAGTGTAAAGTGTGTCTTTTCTTATTTAATATTTTTTTATTTTGGAAGAAAAAGAAATCAATTTCAAATTTATATTTACTTGAAATGAGCGAAAGTAGTGAAGAAAGCGATTTTGATGAACATTATATTCCTGAGGTACTAATTTTTGAATTCTGTCAAGTAAATTGCATATTATTGTTTTATTAATAGATTTTTTAAAGGTTTCTGATACTCAAGAAGAAAGAGAAGATACAAAAATGTCAGCAGCAGCTTTGGATAAAATGATAAGTTCTGCAGTTCCAACTCGTCCAAAAATTAATATCAAAAGAGAAGATTTATTGATGATTATGAATGAATTGGAATTACCGGAAGTAAGTCTTTTTGAGAAAAGATTTAGAGAGAATACAAAATAAATTCAATTAATTACCGAAAAAATTGAATTTGATCCATCTAAATAGGATTCTCTTCCATTCTTTTTTTCATGTTTTTTTGTTTCCAGGCAACAGTTCGTTCAAAATTGATCGAAACAAATGGAGATGCTCGAGCTGCTCTTCGATCTCTAATCGGGTTCTGATTTTTATCATCGTTATTTTTGACCTGTTATGAATTATTTATAAAATTTTAAAATTTATGCAATCGATAGAAAGAAAAATGTATAATCACAGAATTATAGTTTTTGGAATTCAGTAAAACTTATCTACAGCGATGAAAACTCAAATGAAAAACGATAAAAAGTACCATAAAAATAGACTTATGAGAGATGCGATTAGAAGAATTTCGGTGAATGGAGTCGGTTTGGCAAATGGAACACGATGAAGTTGAACACTTTGATCAGCACTCAATGATAATACTGTAGTTTGATAACCAGATGCAGCACCAGGACCAACTGGGGATAACGATGTATCATCTGATATATTTCCAGCTACAGTATTCACAAATTCAAGACCAGTCACAAAAATTCCATGGGTTTCCTAGAAGAACATAAGATAAATTCGAAAACAACCTATTTAATGAGAAAAACAAACCGGAGAATATAACAATCGTTTGAATTCATGAGTATCAAAAACAGCAACACCTCCCGACATTGTTCCAATCGCAACAAAATTTCCACAATCGGAAACTGCTAGCGAAGAAACCGCTTCACCTTTTGCCACAATTTTGACAACAAACGGTCTCGCTGCTTTTCTTTCCATGTTAAATGCCCATAATGCAACATAACTAGCCATATCTTTGGATGATCGAGAAATCGAATTATAAGCGGCAACAAATACATTATTGTTGCTAGCTGCTCCAAGATTTGTGCATCGAATTGAGCGCATTTTGAAGCCTTTTGACAGTTCACTTGGAAATGGTAAATCGAGTAGTTTTTCGCCTGTTTTTGTACACCAAATACTCGATGTTCCATCACTTCCAATTGATCTGAAAATTAATATTTCAAAAGAAAAGACTGTGTTTTTGAATCTTAAACATATCTAATTTTTAATCAGAAATTTCTCAAGAAATGAAACCTCATTTCGTTCATCCTAGATAAAAACCCACATAATAGTTTGTGAATCAAATCCGAAATCCAAATCATCAACATCGTTTTTATGCGCTTTTATTGTTATTAGAGGAACCGCCTCATTTTCAGATTCACTTCTCAAAATTACTCTTGCATCCCAAATTCGAATATTTCCATCAGCACCTCCAGTTGCAAATATTCGTCCACGAGAATTTCTATCAAATCTCACACATTTCTGAAATATCAAAATTGTTTCTCAACCTTATTTCTGATTCTGAATAAAAATAATAACCTGATACGAATTATTAGGATGTTCATCGGTTCTTATTCTTTTCATAGAAGACATATCATACGCCAGTCGTCTTTCGAGTTCTTCGTCGGTCAATTTGTATCCTCGCGTTATGTATAAATCACAAAACTGATCATGACCCGCTGCTATAACATATTTCCCGTTTTGCTCTTCACCAACACATGCAATATCCATATTCATTGTGGCAAATGTATCCGTGTTGAACTGAAAAAAATGAACTTTTTTTGTAAGGTTTGATAAATGAGAAAGATTCAACATTCATACAATGAAACACTACTAAATTTGGTTTTTAGAATCAAAATTGATAGGAAAACTGTTTTATAAGTCAGAATTGTTTATTTTTCGAGCTTTCTTTTGCCACACAGGCTTGCTCTATTTCAATTTACCTCAAAATTCAAAAAGCTTACCTTATCTACACATTCTGCACGCAAACCAATTTCTGGATTGGCAAGATTTGTTGTAAGAAGATGTGTCTGCAAAATATCTTTCATCTCAACCTCAATGTATTATTCAACTCACCTCAATCTCATTTTTCACACCAGTTTTTGCCGCTCCTCCACCGCCAGCCAACAAAATATGCCTTGATCCAATTTTCTTCAAACAATACGCCGGAATTCCACTGTTTCCAATAATTGGCGGATTCTTTTTTCTTCGTTTTTCAATAAAATCAGCGAAACCCATTAGCGAAGCACCACAAAGTAACGAAAAAGCAAGAAATCCAAAATAAAATGTACACGTTGCCTGGTTTTGTTTGGGTTTCTAGGCCACCAATTTTTAGGTCATCAAAGTAATTTGAAGGATAACAACGAAGCCCGTTTAGAAACGGTTTGAGTTTGAAATTTTGGGAAAAAACTGAAGAATATAAAACTGTATTGATTACGATTAAAAATAAAATTTACACAAGCAAAAAACAAAAAAAAGAATACGGGATGCATAAAAATTAGAATAAATCATTGAAATTGTTCTCCAATTCATCTTTCATTGCAGATTTCATGTCTCTGAAAACTGCTGGACAGTTGGCATCTTTTGTCTGAAAAATGAACACATTTTAAGCTACTTGTCTTGATTTACTCACCACACAGTTGATTGTTTGATATAAATAAACTGCATTACTGTCTTTGTTTTGGACCATTTCTTGGAATTTCAAAAATAGGAAATCAAATGGGTCTTCGGCATTGATCGGAGTGCGCGCGTCTTCGATGAGAATTGTTGAGGGAACACGATTCTCACATTCGGCTGGAAACTCTAATTCTGATAGATTGAAAACTTCATCAGAACTAGCAAGGCGAAGAATTTGATCACATGAAATTTTGTAATGGGGGAACTTTTCGATTGCAGACTGTTCAATTGGATTACCATTGTATCTCTGAAAATAATGACAGTAAAACCAGAAACAATTTTATAAAATAAAAACTCACCAAAATCAATGATGACATGAATTCGAGTTCTCCAAGTTCATTTCGACAAACAAAATCAGCATATGGAATTGACTGAAAACAAAATACGTATTTGTGGATATCATATAAATAATAAAACTTACATTGTCTTTTGCTCGATAATAAACACCGACACAATTTCGATTCTTCGACAATTGGACGTTTATTTTCAATTGCAAATCCTACAAATCAATAAGAATGAACATAATAAGTTAATAATTTTGGACTTACCGTGATAGTTCCATCGACTTCCGGAAGAGCAGCCCATTGAATTGTAGGCGCATAGTTTTTGACGTTGAATTCTTCAGGAAGTTCGAACAAATCTTTGCATTTAACATCCGATTTGTGTATGGTGGGAAGATCAATGAAGAAGACACGCAAAGTTTTGCCATTCGAATCATCGCCCTCTTCCGAAACAATAACACGGAAATACTGCATTTCGCCGTTTTCTTCATCAAAGAACTCGTACAAATACGGTTTTCCAATAACAAGTGAACTTCGTTTGACTGGAACTCGATTACCTTCCATAGCTTCTCTGAAATATTTCATCATTTTCAGGTAAGGATTATCGGAATGAATAAATAAATACCTGATCTTTCCATTGATTTCTTCCGAAACGGTTTCATCTGAATCTTTATCAATGAAGAGAAGTCCTCTTGGTGGAACAAATACAGCGAGTTGAAAATTTCGAACAGATGTATCTTCTGTAATTCTCGTGTTTCCATCAACCAACCAACGAATATCAGCTTCAATCAGAGTTCTACTCGAGAAATCCTCACAATCGATATCTTCAATATTCTCAATCGGTTTTCTGAGTTGAACAATCGTGTTGGCTAAAAATCAAAAATTATTTAAATGTCGAGAATAACAAAGCATATTGAAACTTACACAGATTTTCATTAATTACAATGAAAAGTTTTGAATTGTCGACAATTGCACGTTCTTCGCTAACAAGTGTGTTGTAATTGATTGAACCTTTATTCATGATGAATTGAACCAATGTTCCAACTGTATGTTTTGATTGTGTTGGAGCAATCGATTCTTCAATTACTTTTTGACGACCAGCTGGAAAAATTGTTCATTTTGAAGAAATTACAAATAAAAAAAACCTCTACGAGGAACTCGAGAATCCGCATGAATCGCAACTCTTCTTGTTCCTTCTGCCTCTGTGAACTCATCTCCTTGTCCAAAACCCAAATCATTCTGAAAAATTTAATCAACTTTCAAAGAATTCCATAAAAATGTTTTCTAACCGGAGTTGAAACAGCTGAACTTGGACGTGGCAATTGCTCAATTTGTGCATTTTGATCTCCCAATAAACTGGTATTGTTCGGTCGATTTTTTGACGCTGAAAATGAATTTTTTTTTAATTGAACCGAACCATTTGAAACAACCTCTTCTGAAACCTGGCCCGGTTTCTTCAATCTCACAGTAATCTGGCTCCAAGAGTGTCATCTAAAATTTATAAAATGAATTTTCAAAAAAAAAAAGCTAAATCTGATTTCTTACATTCTTCTTTGGATCTTCTGACAGATACCTGAAAATATACATACATTTTGTGTTCATTCGAAGTTAAAATTCCAAAAAACGAAATTTCGGAATTAAAACTTCGAAATGATAACAAAAATGAACGAAAGAGGAAACAAAGCAAAATAAACTGACATGGTCGATTGATCAACACGAGCTCCTGGAATTTTTGAAAAATTTTGATCAACTGGAAAAAATAAACCTGTATTATCTGCGAAATCTCCTTCTTCTTCTTCCTCGCTGAATGGACAGGTGTCAATGAAATAATTCTTGAAAAAAAACATTTGAAAAATTATGTCGAAAAAATACTTACATCATTAATTTTTGTAAGTTTGATATATTTTCCATGTTGAGGCACATTCAACGAATTGTATAATTCTCTAAATATAGAATATTGATCAATTGAAACTGATTGAAAGTTGAAAAAAACTTACTCTTCAGGTAGAATTTTACCCCACATTGGCAAGCTAGTTTTATCGCTCAAATAGGTTTGAAAAACCAATAAACTGATCAAATCTTGACCATTTGAAATTTGTCGAGAAAGCTCTTGAAGTTCGGAACGACGTTCATCGATATATTTCGCGTAGTCTTTGACTCTTTCAACGGACATCGACTTACTTTTGAAACGAGTTCTCTCACCGTCACTAAAATTAGAAAACAAATTACAGATTTCGAAAAAAAAATCAAGTTTACCGAGCGATATATGCCTGTTGTTTTCTCATTGCTTCTTCGGCTGATGTTATTTTTTCGCCTCTCTTATTTCTAAAAACTGAACCATGACTCGTTTTTCCATTATAGCTTCCTTGTTTGAAAAATGATTTCAATTGATGATCTGATTTTTGATTTTCAACAAGTCTACTAATATCTCTATTCGAATCAGTTGTTACAGCAGAATATCTCCAAGGTTCGGTAGATGATTTATGACAAACAACTGTATCGGTACATGCTTGAAGTAATTCATCAAGTGTTGTGAATCCATCTTTTTTATAGTCATAAACATAACCTTCTTCTTCGCTGAAAAAAACACACATCTTGAGATATATCATAACATTTAAAACATACCACATCTTTGTCATAAGTTCTTTTTTCGTGATTGGTGTTTGAAGACTTGACAAATGAGAACTCAGAATAATTTTGGCTTTTCGTAGCGGGTCATTCTTCTGTTTTTCAGTAATCTCAGTCATCTTCGGAGCAACCTGGACAGTTTGGAAGATTTCATCTTCAGAAGTATCGAATATCAGTGACATCTCGAAAATCTGTAAAAACACACATTTTGAGGTATTTCGTATTTTTCACGACATTTTAATTCACGGTTGACTTGCTCGTAAATATTCAAAAATGAACAAATGTGAAGTTTAAGTCTCGTTCGATTTCCTTTTTACGTTTGTTTTCCTTCAATAATGAAAGGTTATAACAATCAACAATTTTGTCGACCGGAAACTCGTTGAATAGATTTTTTGCCGTTTCGCACTCTTCCCTTTTTCTTATTATTACTATTGGTTTCTAAAATGGCAATATTATTACTATTAGCAATACTACTTCGTTTTCAAGAAACTTTTCAGGATGATTCGATAGAAGATACGGTATGTTACAGATTTCGAAAATGGGCGAAAAAACGCCTTTTTTTTTGAAAGTTATGCTCTCAATCGGAAGCTTTGTGAATTTTTTTTTTGAGAAATCTAATGTAAGAAAAAATAAATTCAGGTAGAGCTGCTGCAATGCAATTTTTGCGTTCATTCTCGAAAGAAAAAAGATGTCACCGATGGTGTAAAGCAAGAACCGGATTGTATGAATCATTTGAAATTTCTATCAAGACCTGATTTGAGAAGAACTTGTACTCAATCAGAAAAGTTCTGTGTTTCAGTTGTCACGAATTTGAATGGATTTTTCATAGAAGTAGAACGAGATTGTGCAGAAGATTGCGAAGAAGGTGAGACATTTTCTAGATTAAGAACAAAACGAACGTTAAAAATTAGAGAACGTCCTCCAAAGAGCGAAGAAAAACATGAAAATTGGAGTTGAACGCGTTGAATGAAAAAAAATTGGGACAGCCCGCACACAGTAGTCATAAAAGAGAATCCACACAAGACCATCGTCCATAATTAGCCAATGCGCCTTTAAATACCGTAGTAAAATAATACATTTCTGTTTGAATTTTCTTTTTTTTAATTTTCTGTTCTTTTTTCAGGGTGCGATCAACATGGTTATGGATTATTTCATACAGAATGTACACGATGTTGCAAAGAACCACTATGTAATGAATTCGATGGTCGACAATACTATGAACCTCTTTCGGCATCTCAACTCAAATTTTATTATGTTTTTTATTGCAATTTTTTATTATTATTCTTATTTTCCTGAACTAATTCATTTCATCTCTCCTCTCATTCAGTTCATTCAATCTAATATTCCTTGTCTTATTTACATACATCTGTTCCAAAAAAAAAACAAAACAAAAACATCTATATCTACGTGTCAAAGAAAATGTATGAATTTTTAATTTTTCCTTTCGCTCTTCTTTTTTTTTCGTCACCAACTTTTTCTATGTTTGTCTCTCTTTAACTATTAGTTCGTTTTCAAAAAAAATTCACCTGTTTTCTTTTTTTTTTTTCTCAATTTCATTGAATTTTTTCTGTTCGAAAGTTTTCTGAGCTAAAAATAACATTTTTCCGGATTTTTGCGTGTGTGATTCTCATTTTGTTGTCTTTTCGCAACATGGCCAAAAAAAAGCGTGAGCAATTGAATTTGTATTCAATTTTGCTGTATATCTTTGTTTTTTTGTTGTTTTTTTTCTCATTGATGCTTTTTTTGCGGATGAATGAAATTGAGAATTTATTTATGAAAAATTAAATTTTTGGGTTGTCTCACTGAAACTGACATTTTCAAAAAAAAAACTTTTTCAATGTTTATTTTTTATCCTTTTACTTTTTGGTCAAAGGTTAGAAAAAACTTGCAAATTTTCGAGAGAATTTTCTTTTTTTCGAAATGTAGAAAACAGTTTTAAATATTTTTTCAAACTTATCAGAATCTCAGCTACAGTATCCACTAAAAATCTAAAGGAGCATTGCTTTTCTGATCAGATTATATAACTAAAATCAAACTTTTGAAATTTTCCTGAAGCTACAGTAACTTCCAAAAATTCAAAGGATACATTTTTAAAATTCCCCCATTTTGAGGTGAAATAAAACAGTTTGGAACAATAATTTTTCAAAAAATCTCATCAAGATTGATTTTTTTGAACACAGGCCAAATATTTTTTATTTTCATCGCTTCATTTCAAATTTTTTCAATATCCAAAAATCAACATAGTTTTTTTTCAATCAAAAACATGTTTCAACATTCTATCCTAATAAATAAATATCCCTGCATTATTTTTTGTTTCCACATGTTATTTCAAATTCCGTGTATCTAAATAAGTATACATGCTCTTTTTTGTGCTGTTTTCTTTTTTTCCTTCTTCCTTTTCTTTTTCAACTAATTGGCCCCTTCTCACTTTTCTGTTTCTTGTTTTTCTCTTCTTTTTCAGACTTATAAATATTTTTAATTATAAGTCTGAACTTTTAGTACCTTTCTTTTATGATTACCTTCTTCGTTTTCTCACACTTTTATCGTACTTTTCCCATTTTCACATAATTATTATTATATTTTTTAAGTTACAAAATAAAATAAAAAATATTTGTTGTTTTTGGTTCTCCTCAACATTTTTTAATTTTCCCTAGCCTCTTTTGAATTTTAACTACTACTTTTCTCTTTTTTTGCTCCTTTATTTTTCCCCTTATTTTTCCAGCCGCATATTTCTATTTGCTTGCTGAAATTTGACACTTTCCATAATAGATCGATCCTTTTTCTTACAAATTTTCATTTCCGAGATTCCCGCTTTTTTGCTCTTTTGTTCTTTGATGAGCAACTGAGAGTTCAGACGAACTGATGTGCAAATTAATTAATTAATTAATTCAATTTTGTTTCAGACTCTAGATAATTTACAGATGTTCATATAAAATGAATCGAAGTAAAAGTGTTGGAAGAAGAGATGCTCGACCAAGAGATCGAAGACAGAACAAGGTTACTGTAGTTGTATTGGGAGCCGAGAGAGTGAGTTTATTTTCATAAACTTGTCTGGAACTCGAGAAAAAATGTTCCATATTTTTTGGGGTTCTCTTTCGTTAGAATTTTTTTTCGATTTTGAAAAAAAAACTTGGAAAATTTGAAATTGATCTCTTGTTTTCAGGTCGGAAAATCTGCAATGGTCTCACAATTTTTATGGAACAAATTTATTAGTGATTATCGTCCGACAGTTGAAGAATTCAATTGGATTGAATATGAAATTGAAGAGGGACGTGTTCTAATGGTTCAAGTTAGTTTTTTTTGTTGGAAAATTGTGGGAAAAATATGTATAGTCCAATAATTGATCAATTTTCAACCAAAAGCTGTTTTTTTTTTTAAATAAATTGATTTGAGAGAAATTGAATTTGGGCGAAAAATTAATGTCTGGGATAAGCTTACGCGATAATATTTTGGTCATAGATTTGAAGTTCAGTGCTTGCAAAAATGATGAATTCACGATTTTCTGTGAGAAATCGCATATCATTGTTTTTTTGTAAAAAAAACCCGTTATTTCCAAAAATATCCAAAAATATGTTTTTTTCAGATAATTGATTCATCGGGTTCTCGTGATTTTCTTGGAATGCGTAATTTGTATATTGGAACAGCTGATGCATTTCTTGTCGTTTATTCAGTAAATGATCCACTTTCTCTTGACGAAGCAATGAATACAGTAAATGAAATAACAACTCGACGTGGAAAAGCAACTCCAGTTGTTTTGGTGGCAAATAAAATGGATTTGGAGCAATTGTGCCACGTGGAAAAAGCATGGAAATTTGATTCGGTTTTGGAATGTTGTGCGATGCAACAAAATGAGGTTAAATTATGTTTTCACGAAGTTTTGTCAAGAATTCAACCAACTTTGAATATCCAGGGATTTGGTTTGCGTAAAAGACGGTGAGGTTTTCTCCAAATAAAAAATTTTGAAAATAATCAAAATTTTCAGTCAATCAATGCCTTCCAGTCGAGCTTATAGTGGTGTAAAATCAGAAGATATTGAAAAAATCAAAAATTCCGCAAAAAACAAGGAAAATTGTACAATATCTTAAACTTTATCACATTTTTGGCATGCTAATAAATAATATAAATAAAAATATTTACAACTTGTGAAAAATAAAAAAGAAAGAACACTCGTAATTTGAATAAGTGAATTAGATAAGAATTACAGAAGAAAAAGAGATCCTAATTTATTCTTTGACATAGTTTCCAGGAAACAGACCAATTTTCGCTCCAATTTTACCTTGCCACCAACCAGATGCATCTGAAAATATTTGAAATTAAAGTTAGAAGCATGGTTTATTTGTGAGATTACAAATTGAAATGATCACTTTTAATTTAAAAATTCAGTTTTTGATAACTTGAGTTTTTAGGAAAATGGTAAAATTTACAGTTTTTTCTACAAAATTTCGCAATAAAAATTTTCTCATTGAAATTTGGCTTTGTTCAGAATTTTGAAAGTAATAGGATAAATTGAAATGTTCAATCTGTCATAGGAGAAAATGTTTGACCAAACCAACCTTTATTCATCAATTCAATTTCATCTCCAGCATCAAATGTTAATTCATCAGTATCCTGTGCTTCATATGGATACATTGCAATAACAACCGGATGCAATTTTGGTTTTGCCGGTGGCGGTGGTTTTGGACCACGTGCTGGTGGCGCTGAATTATTGTTAACATTTGCCAAATTCATTTGATTCAACTGATTAATAACATTTGGCATCACCGGAATTCTTTGTTGTTCTTGATGATTATTCTGATTCTGATTATAATTATTGTTTGAAGACGAATAATTATTTGTTGTTGTTGCTGAATGTGGTGGAACCGGTCTTGGTGGTTGAATATTCTGATGTTGATTATGGTGTTGTTGAGTTTTATTCGTTTTTCTAGTCGATGTTCGTAATTGATCTCTTCTTGGTGTATATCCACCTTGTGGTCTTTCAGTCGATGGTCTTGTTGTGTTTGGTAATCCTTTTCCAATTGTAACATTGAGCGTTTTACTAGCCGATTTAAGTGTTTTTTGAGCAATTGATGATCCATCACAGTCGAATTGAACAGTTCGCGTTCCACCGCCAAATCGTGTCTTTTTCAATGTGATTGTATGAGTTGTTCGGAAATCTAGATTCAGGTGTCCACCATTCGTTTTTTCTTTGTATGCTTTTCTGAAATAAGCTTTTTTTCTAATGAAAATTCAGAAATTCGAAAAAAAATTTAATTCAAAACTCACGTCAAAGCGGTACAAAATTCAGTTTTGAATGGGAATTCAATAAGTGATGTATAATCTTCGTTAATATAAACAACAACAAAATCATCTTGATATGGAGATAATCCAATTGCTTTGATATTTTGAAGATCGATTTGTCGTTTGATGATTTCTACAATTTTTCCTTTATCCGTTCCTTTTTTGACTTTTTCTCTTCCAATAAATGTCAAATGATTTGCTGTTAACAAAACATCCAATTTCGAAACCTGTAATCAACATCAGTAGTTATTTTTTTTTAAGTATCAATTATCCTCCACTCACTTTAAATGTTCGATCATATTTACTCGCCGACGCAGCGAATAAAACTCGTTGTCTTTTTCCAACCAATGATTGTAATGCAGGATGATGTTCCAATCCAATATAATCTCCAACAAAATTCCGATTCAACGAGAATCTTCTTCTCTCTTTTTTTCCAAACATCAAATCAGCAGCTTGTTCTTTTTGTTTTATATGTTGTTTGCGAGCAGAAAATTGTCTCCAAGCTTTTTGAATTACACGAGCAAATGAATCGTATTTCCGTTCACGAGTTTCTTCGAGTAAAAATAACTGAAACAATTTGGATTATAACTTTGGTGTTACGATTTTTCATAACTCAATTATCTCAAGTGAAAATTGAAACAGGTCTCTTGTTAATTAAAATCTTACTACCATATTCCCCCTGAAGATAAAACGTGGAAACTCACAGATTCTGGATTTTTGATAAAAATCTTTGATCTACCCATTTGATATTGTGTTTTATCAATATGCACAGTATCACAAATAATTTCACATGCTCTTTGTGGATCTCCATTATAATTCGGCCATGTTTTCTCAGATATAATTGCATATCGATTTGCAAATTTATCAAAAGCCCTTCTGAATGCATAACCAGCTCGTCGTACTCGAATATTTTCTTTGAGCCCAAGATATTCAACTTGATGTTTAACTCGACTTTCATCCCAATCATTTGGTCTTTTTGTTTCATTTGGTTTAATACATCGAACATAATGTGGTGTACATTTCATAAGTGATTCAACTAAAGTTGTTGCTTGTGATCGAATTTTTGTGGAAAATGTTGTTGGCCGTTTTCCAGCCGAAGAAGCGACATTTTCAGGGAAAAGTGCACGAATAAATGGACTGAAAATGAAAGATTAAAAAATAAACAAGTTTTTCGAATATCTTACTTTTCACTTTGTTGCATCAATAAAATCAAATCCGGATACAAAACATCTCGATTTCTATCACAAAATCCATCAACATTATAAGTAACATCTCCAGCATAATGTCGAATAAGAAATGAATCGGAACCAGGTGCATAATGTGGATGAGAATTGAAAGATTTTGATAAAGTTGTTAGTAATTGTCTATCAACACCTTCTCTTTGACCATGATTTTGGGCACAAGTATCATCCAATAAACTCATGATTCCTGAATATTTGAAATATTTAAACTTTTGAAACTAAAGAAAATGTTGATAAAAATTTGAATCGAGATGATTTTTGAATTGTTCAACCAGAATAAAAATCCAAATTCTTTATGTTTCAAAAAATCTTATTTTCTTGGAACAAATTTGATTTTTTAGTTTTGTATTCAGACAATCTAGAAGTAGAACAAAAAACTTCGGAATATTTTGAATTAAAAAAATTATGAAAGTTTTTTTGAAGTTGAAAACAAAACTTTCGTTTTGAAAGTTTGAACTTTTCTGCTGGTCTTTAAGATTTTTGATTATAAAATTCTGTCGAGAAACAAACAAATTTTCTGACGCCCTCCCGAAACCCCCCAAAAAAATTCCAACAAACCTGGTGGTCTTTTCGTCTCAATCAAATCGCACACAATTTTATTATCAAAATACTCAATTTCAGTCCATTTGATACCTTCTCTCACATATTCTTCTTGTTCCGCTTTCAAAGTCAATTCGATGAAAATTTGTTGGAGTTTTTCATTGACAAAATTGATGCAAAATTGTTCGAAGCCGTTGTTTTTGAAAATTTCGAATCCATAAATATCGAGAATTCCAATTGAAAAATTATCAGATGAAGACGATTGTTGAACATTCATTGCTTCGTTCACTTTTTTTGACTGAAAACATTTTTCAATTAGGAAGATTCTATCAAAATTTGGCTTTGAACTTTCGAAAAAAATATCGAACAAATTTTTTAAAAACATTTTTCAGTGTGGAAACATTTCTGAATTCGAAGATACTGTAGCTTCTAATTTTTAGATCTTCCCAGATTTTATCTCAATCTCTGCAAGAAAAAACATCAAAACTAACCTAAATAATCGAACATTCTAGCATAAATTGCTTTAACCCAAGCATCTCTTGTATAATTTGCTTGTTCAACATTCAATTTCATTTCAATTTCTTCTTTTTGTGTTCCCCATTTCGATTCCATTTTTCTTCCCGTCAATTTTGCTTCAATCGAATTTGCTGGCAAACCGAGTAAAAATGATGGAAATTCGAGATAATCTTTTCCAGCAACACTTGCAAAATTATTCTCTTCAGTAAATGTGATATTTCCAATATGCAAAACAGATGAAACTAATCGAAGTACTTCAAGTTGTTCTTGATCTGATATTCCAACAACTTTCATCGCATTCAATGTATTTTCAAATTCTTTTCCATCATCTGTATCTTCTGCTTTGAAAACTCCGCTCATATTCAAATAATTATAATATTTCAATTCTCCAATTCCCAAATTACTTCTCAAATTTTTATCAACGCCCGCGCAAAGTTGATAAAATATATGAAAATTTCGATCGCCTTCATTTTGAAATACAACTCGCGATTTTTCCAAAAGAAAATTGGATAGTTTTCCACCAATCGGTTCTCCTCCTCGACTGAAAACGATTTCAACATATTTTCCGAATCTCGAACTATTCCAATTTCGAACTGTTGCACTATTTCCAAATGCTTCTAATAATGGATTTGATTGAAGAATTACATCTTTAATATGCTGCAAAAATAGAAAATGCAAAATGGAAAAAAAAAAAGAAAAATGAGGGTTTTTGAGAAAGGTGTCACGTTTTTAAAAAAATTTTTATTTTAAAAATAAAAAAAAACGCGACCACAAAAATAGTTTTGAACAAATATCCGCTGTTCTGCTTTAAACGAGCTCAATTATTTTTAGAAACCCTTATATTTTGAAGCCGAAAAAGTTTTTAAAAAATTACCTGAACTTTCTGTCCTCCTCCCGAAATTCGCGAAATATAATTCATGATAAATTTGGCGTTGACAGTTTTTCCGGCGCCCGATTCACCAGATATAATAACACATTGTGATTCGCTGTCAATTAACATATTTCTATACATATTATCAGCTAGTGCATAAATATGTGGAGCATTTTCATATTGTGCAGCTCCTTGATATAACAACATTTCATTTTCAGTGAAATATGGCATTTGTTTGAATGGATTTACAGAAATAAGAACAGGGCCAATGTATGTCTGAAAGTTTAGAGGGTTAATGTTTGACAAAGGAAAAAACAGCCAAAAAGTATTCAGGTGATAAACTTCAATTTCAGAAAATCACTTCACGTCATTTTTTCTTCCAAAAATAAAAAAAAACTCACAAAAATACTGTTGGCCTGCAATCGTTTCTTCAAATTTTCAACAATACTTTGTTCTGATAATTTTGTTAGCAAAACCATATCATCGACTCCAGCATGTTGGACATTCACTTTTGATTGCCAGTGAAACGCCTAAAAAATTTATTCTATTTTTTTGTTTGGAAAAATACCGTAAACTCACCATTGTGGAAAACAATCAGCAACAACCGAATAAAAACAACAACAACCAAAATACAATAATGACTGAAAAAAGGTGTTCCTGTTGTTTTTTTCGATGAACGACAAAATTGTAAATGAAATGAGTGACCTTTGAAAGATTGAAATTGAGGGAATCGAAAAATAGTGTTGGAATTTGAGAGGGATTAGACAAATAGCAAATAGAGAAAAAAAAAGAAAAAGATGATGATGACTTGGACAGTTCAAATAGTAGGGTGAAGCGGTGTATAAGTAGAAGAAGAAGAAGAAGATTAGAGTAGAAAAACGGAATAACATTGAAAAAAGGAAAAAGAGATGAATTGGTATAAATAGGGTGCGGTTGGTTTAAATAGAAAGTTTTGAATTTTCAAACTTGTAGCAAACGAAACTGACAAAAAATGAGCGCACATTTTTTTTCTAAAAAATTTCTATTTATAAAAAAATTCGTTTTGAAAGGAAAAAAAATTCGCCAAGTAATTTCAAATTCGGAATGTGGTATGACTGCGTGGAATTTGAAGATAAAGATTTGAGAGTTGTCAAATCGGGTCCAACTTTGATAATTTCTAAATCGGAATATTTTCAAGATATCGAAAAACTTAAGCCTGATTAAAAAACTAGGCAAAAATGTGTACAAATCTTTAGTGTGAAACAATTTTCTGTGGTTTTTTGAAATAGTTTTCGTTCTCAAAATCTAAACAAAAATCTTTGGGATAAATTTTAACCGAAAATTCTCAAAAATTGAAATGAAAATGAATCACGGTGTTTCGAAATAAAACTTTCACATAAAATATTATCACAGCTGTTCTTTTCTCATTTTTTTTTAGAATTTTCATTTTTTTTTTTGAAAATGTCTTGCTCTTGTTCTAAAAGAACAATTAGAAACACATCATCATAATGAAGAAAAGAAAACGGTGAGAAATCAAAAAAGACGCTGATAATTTTTTTGTTGGTAAAATGTGGAAAAAAGCGGGAGAAATATAGAATGAAAAGAACAGTGTTGAGGAATGACGAAATAGAAAACGAGACAAATAAGAGAGACGGAGACAACACACAAAAAATGAGTCATTCAAAAAAGAGAACAAAACAACATTTTGAAATTTTTGTTTTGGCGGGAAAACATATTTTTGAAGTCTGTTGGTATTTATGGAATTTCGGAGAATACCTACAATATTTTGGGGGTGGTCAAAAAATAATGAATAATTTATAGTACCATTTATTTATTCTTAAAAATATTGCGAAGAAAAAAAAAAGCGAAAAAATGAAAAATAATCGGAAAATTGGTCGCACTAATCCAAAAATGAAACATTTTTCGTTTTTTTTCCGGTGACGGTTTGACAAAGCGCGGAAAAAAAAAGGAAAATCGTAGTTTAAGTATTTGCACAAGGTAGGAGAATTGGAGATGGAAGAGAAGCAGACAAATAAAATTGTTGTTTTTTTGGAAATTTGTTGAAATTCGAGAAGATCGTGTTAAAAAATTGGTAAAACTTGGGATTTTAGATGTGGGAAAAAGGATTATTTTTTAATTGAAACTTGCTGAAAAATTAACGAGCAATGAATAAGATGAAAGTTTTCTGAAAAAAAATATAGGGAAGTTCTTGAGCAAAAAATTTGGCTCATAAATTTTTTAAAGAAAAATTGAGTATTGGATGAATATGGTTTTTTTTTCAGAATTTCTCAAGTAAAAATTTTTCGATTTTCTCAAGAAGTTTTCCGTTCCAATCTTCTGTAGCCAAAAAATAATCCAATTTTGGAACTATTTAATTGGGTTTCCAATGAATATTGAGTTTGCCAAAATACTGAACTTATTCGTTACTCTTCGCATAATCGACCCGACGAGGGGTTGTCACTCGAGAAAAAATTTTAAGGAAATTTTCTCAGCTTTATGAGTCATTGAAAATACCTTCTATATTATGAAACTAGATTGTGAAAAAAATTCGATGTTTATAAACTATATAAAAATTTTGAAACGTATTTTCTTTGTTTTTGAAACATTTGAATTTTCGAGTCAAAAATTGACTGAAAATTGCTTTTGAGCTGCTGAAAAACTGAATTAAATGACGTGGCAATTCAAAAATTGAAGGTTCCTAGGGAAAAAACCATGAAATTGTGTGCTGTTTGCATTAAAAAAGCTAAATTTTCTGGTTTTCTTGGCGAAAATTTTTTTCAGTTTCTGGACCCGATGGTTGTCGGTACTAGTCCGAACACAGAAAAAATTCGATATGTAGGCGAAACGGTGTTAGACTTATCAAAATTCCCGCGGATCTTAGAAACTTGTTCATGTGCATAATTTTTAAAATTTAAAAAATTCACATTTCCTCCTTTCCGTTTTCCCTCACAGCTTTTGGTCACGTTATTGTCTCAACAGAGAATTTGTGTTAAAAACTTGTTTTTTCGAGGTTAGAGGACATCATTGTCTGTCTCAAAAAAGGTTATCATTTATTTTATAGTATTTATTTTTCATTATGTAATAAAGTTTTTTTCATGGTATGTGTTAATAGTCTCTGATCTAATCTCATTGTAATAGGTTTCTGGATTTTTTGCGGCTTATCATGTTTGACAGGAATTTAGATGATATTTTTTTCGATGAGCGAAGACCACCCAAGACGGATAAAAGTTGTTTATGTGAAAGTTCTGAATTTTGCGATCACGAATAAATTAAAGCTAAATTCTTCCTAATAAAAGTTTTTAAGCGAATTCTAATGCAATCATGTTTTCGAACACATAAAAAAACAGTATTTTTTCAAATGATCAATGTAACACTACAAACCGATTCTCGTAGTTTTATCAATTCGGCCAAGTTACACTATTTCTATCATTCTTTTTTCCGTCAACACATCTTCATTTTGTTGATTTCAACTAAAAATATTGTTTCTTTTCAGATGATTGAAAAATCAATAATATTTTTTGTTCTATTTCAACTTTTACAATGTGCACCTTCTCCACAAATGTGTCGATCTTTCGCAAAATTCGCAGAAAGATGGAATCCACTTCCGGAAACATTATTGACATGGTCACGCAGTAATTGCGATAAAATTCAACCTCGACCAAGAGATATGTCATGCGAAGATGTTGTTCAATTTGTATCCGATTGCAATTTCAGTGGAGGTGGACCGGGCGGAAAATTATCGGAGGCCACAAATCGCCAAGTTGCTGACAATTTTTATTCGAGAACTTATGAGAATAATGCGAGAGTTCTTCCAAAATATATTTATTATAATGAGAATACGGCAAGAGATTATGGTCAATTTGGAAACTGGTATTATCCGAATTATTATCCACCAACATATTTGGGATATTTTGATGGAAGACCAGCAAGTATGGCACAATTAGAAAATGATTATAAATTCGCGAAAGGAGGACATTATCCATACAATAGGTGAGAACAAACTTTGATGGTTTGAAAATTATTTTCCTGATAATTTCAGAGCTGATAATATTATCAATATCGGACTTCAACAAACATATCTTCCAACTTGTCTTCATGATTTGTTTTATTGTGTTCGCGCATCAACTGGACAAAGACCACAACAATATTTGGTGATTACCAATTTTTTTCTTTTTTTTCTAATTACAAATTCATTTTCAGAACTATCAAGAATATCGTCGTGATCGTGATTATGCTGCTTCTCAATTAAAAGCTGAAGATGATGAAGCACCTTTGAAGCCACGTAGAAAACATAGAAAGAAGCAAGAGGATTAAAAATAACTATTTATAATCTATTGGGTGTAAATAATACTGAACAACTAAAACTAAACAACTTCAAAATCAGTTTCATCTGAATTCAATTTGAAATTCACATTTTTGTAATTTACAACATTTTTTCGTCGTTCTGTTATAATATAAATGTAAAGTTTTCTAATTGTTTCTAAATATTTCCATTTTTCGAAATTTCCAAGTTCCGCTAATTCATCTAACATTTCCCATTGTTCTTCAACCAAACAATGATATTGGGCGGCAGATGCGATTTTTGACAGACGATTTTTCTCAAAATCAAGAAGTTCGGATTGCGAAGGTAAAGAAGCATGTCCAGTTATAACTGCTGATGCATATTTTGCTTGAACTTCGAACAATTGAAAAGTTATAGTTGCCAAAGGAAGACCTAAAATAAATCAATATTCATACTGTATACTACTGATTTATTCTTACCAATGAAAAACAAACTATCCGGATAATTGACATGTGATAAATGATTCCACAACGGCGAAACTACCATTCCATTATGTTTCACTTCAATTAAATCTTCTGATAAAAATGGAAATTTGAAAATATAACCAGTGCAAATTATAATCACATCAGTTTCGATTTTCTCTTCTTTTTCTTCAACCAAAACGCTGTTTTTCTGTATTTCTTTCACATGAAATGGAATTTGACGGATTTTTACAGATTCGTCTATTGTATAAGTTGCTTTTTTACTTATAAGAGTTGTTGATTCCGCGAATTTTTCAACTTGCATTGCAATATCGATTCCAGATGGACCAGCTCCAATAATAACCACCCGTTTCCCTTTATATTTTTCAGCTCTGCGATAATCGTGACTATGCAAAATTTCGCCTTGAAAAACAGAAGGTTCATAGGGGTTTAGAGGTTCGAAAAAGTGTCCATTGCACACTAAAACAGCATCATATAATCCATCTTCTTCGATCGAATTATGAATATAAGTTACTTTCCATGATTCGTCAACTCTTTCAACGTTCACAACTTTCGTTTCAAAGCGAATTGGAATTTTCAAACTTTCAGCAAATTTTTCCAAATATTCAAGAACATCTTCATGTGACATAAAACTTGGAAGATTATCATCAAATGGAGTATTTTCGAACAACATTGCTTCCTTTGGAAGATTTGTTCTAAATTGATTTTCTTTTTCAATTAAATCAAGGTGATTCAACTAACTTCATAATTTTATACATCGATGTATGACATCCAATTTCATCCGAATATACCCAAGTTCCTCCAATTTTCGAAGTTTGTTCAAATATATCGACTTCAAGACCATACTGCAAAGCGACTCGAGCACTTACAAGTCCAGCGGCTCCACCGCCAATAATACACACTTTTTTGGGCATAATTTGTGAAACAAAATGAAAATGATGAAAATTGATAAGGGTTAGATTGTAAACTGTCATTTTCGTGTAATCAATTTTGTTTCCTTTTTCTTTTTGCCTTTTACGATTCATATTTTAATTTGAATCCATAATTTTTTGTTAATCTTTTTGTCTGTTTCTAACATATTCTAACTCAATATGTTAAATAAACTAGTATCATAGTAACCAAACTCCGCCCATTTTCTTTTTTATTGTTGTTATGCATTCTATCTGGCTTCTCTGTTTTTCTTTTTTCGATTAAATGCCTCAATTTTTCGAATGTTCATTTTGTCAACGTTTATATTCTCAACATTCGTTGATAATTCATCAGAAAAATTGTTTGGAGCAAAAGAAATCGGAGGAAAATGTTGTGAAGAAACCAAAACGATCAAAATCTTCGAAAAGAAAACGTGAAGATGTAATATTACCCGAAAGGCCAAGAACTCGATCCTTGTCAAGATCTTCGATAGATACAGGTAAGCCTTTTGAACCTTATGAAAAAAAAGTGAACACCACTTATTATTTTTTTACATAGATAAACAAAAACGTATGTTTTTTGTTGTTACACTTCCGGTCTATTTTGCAGGTCAATTTAGAATTTGTTATGTTTGTGGCACACAATTTGATGTTGATTCGATTGAACAACACACTATTAAATGCTTTCAGGGTATGCATTTACAGTTTGATATATGTAAAAGTATTTTGAAAACAAGCATATTTTCAGAATGGTCTGATATGGCAATTCCACTTTCCGAAAGATTTTTCATAAATGAGCCAAAACAATTGAATATTCCTTCAATTGATGGAACAATAAATACATTTTATGAGAATCAAAGATCAGTGAAAAGTTCTCGGAATTGTCAAATTGTTCGATGTCGAAAATGTAATGCAAGAATTGCTATTCATTTGGCTCAATCACATCAATGCACACAGTATGAACCAACTATTGAATTTTATTTTTGATTCGAATTTTGAAATGAATTTGATCTCTTAATTTTTGTACATTCAGTTTGTATTTTGCTCGTCAGAAATTAATAAAACGTCATATATAAATAGTGAGAAGAAAGAGTTATGAAAATTGAAAAATAGTGGATAGATAGATTCAGAAAAAAAGAAATGAAAACCTATACAAAAAAAATAATATTTTGTACTTTTTGTTTTTCCGCGCTTTCATATATTGATTTTTTGTCACATAAAAATTAGAAACCCAAAAGAAATTCGAGGTTTTCACAAAAATAAAGCCCCCAAAAAACTTACCTCTGGTTCCAACTTTTTCCAATCTTGAAAAATGATCCAATAAAAATGGTGCAAAAAATATCAAAGCAATTTTGGCATTTTTAGGAAATTATGAACTTCTGAAAAGTTTTCAACACTATTTTTTCAAAAAAAAAAACGGATAAAGATATACTTTTGGAATTTTCAACCATAAACTCTCAAAAATTGATAATAAATAAAATTAAAATATTTTTATTATAATTACACGAAAAAAACAAGTATTGACATGGCAAAACTATTTGATAAAAACAATAAAATCTACAAGACAAAAGGTTGAAAAAATTATGAAAGACTGACAAAACATCTGTAAATTCGAAGTTTTGTTGAATCGTTGAGGTTTTCAAATCTCGGAGAATTTACAAACTTTTTGAGAGAAGCCGATGATTTGAAGGATTCCAGACATGATTTCTAAATAAATTTTAAAAATGGAAGGCAACCAAAAAAATTTTGCGCTTTTTGAGGATCCCCAGTTCTTTATTTAAAAAAATACCACAACTTACCATCAATTTTTCACTGTCATATGTTTCAGCCAATGCGATTTTTGTTCCAATATGAGTTCCAGCATAATTCATCAAGAAAATCTCACATTTCGACATCAAACTGGGCACTTTCAAATGAAATGCGTAACCCATCAATCGATTATAATTTCCTTCTGAATAAATACAATACCACATTATTTTTTTTCAAAAAAAATAACACAAACCTGAAATAGCTAATTCAACTGGACACATTGTTGCCAAAAATTGTGAAAAATAATATGAATCCAAGCCAAGAGTATCCAAATCAATAACAATTCCACATCCATTGTGTTCTTCTTTGTAAAATTTATTGTAGAAAAATTCGGAATTGTTGCATAGAATCTATGAAAAATATTCTATCTCAAAGAAAAACATCCAAATTTTTGAAAACTAACCTCTCTACTAAAATGAAACACGGATCCTCCTTTAATATTGATTTCTGTATTCATATTTTCCGAAGTTTTTGATGAAAAATTATAAAACCGATAATCCATATTCAATTTGATCATAAGAAGTGTAGTTTTGACAAAATCGGGAGAAGAAGGATCCCAATGAACAAAGTTTTCGATATTCAATTTTGTATTTGAACTTGATAAACATAAAGATGGTTCGACTTTTTTGACATGTTGTGTTTTGTCGATTGGATTTGTTAATCGAAAAGTAGCATTGAATTTACATAACCAATTATCATTTGTAACATTCGAAGGAAGTGAAGAAATCGATAGTTCCAATTTCAAAAACTTATCTTTGATTGCAACTCCAAGTTTCCTGAAAAAATTTCAAAGTAAATAGCGAATTCATTGTTCGTATTGCCCCACTTCCTTAATCTAAAACCAAAAACAGATACCATGCGATTCCATCAGTCAACATCGGAACATTATATCGAATACTTCCATCCCATTCTTTTATATCAATCATCCAATCCAAACTTTCATCATTTCGAAAAATCGGATTTGGCACAAAATCCGCCTGGAAGATAAATTATGAAAAGTTTATAAATACAAAAAATCTTCTATTTTAAAACAAACTTTGACTCGTTGATCATCTATTTTTTTCACATTTTTCGGATTTTTAGCATATTCTTTGCATTTAAGAGTCAATGCTGGCATATCGAAATTTTCAGCCAATTCGGATAAAATACAATTATTGTTTTCTGAAAGATAAATATGCTTATTATAAATAAATAAAAGATTTCATATTTACCATCAATCTGAATTGGTATTGGACACATTGTTGCCAGCAACAAACACATTTTTTTGCAATCAATATCTTCGAGTGGAATAATTTGTTTAGTCGGTTTCTCATGATTCAAAAGTTTATACAACTTTTTTGAATGACTGCTTAGAACCTGAAATATAACTGTAAAGGTATTGAAAATACCGTAATCCTAAAAACGTTTTATCTCACATTGAACTTCGTTCTTCCGGTTTGTAACAAACAAAATTGTTTCTTTTCTATGTTGAACTTTTTAATATAAAATAATGTGGCCTCGATTTAATATCGAGAGGCACCGTTTTCGATCTAACTAAACTATAAAAGCCACCAGAAAGATTGATTTAGGTCGGGGAATTTATGTCCGAAGAACCAAGGAGGTTCTGAACCTGGTTGGAACTACCAACTAGGGTCCCATTCCTAAATATTCTACCAATCATTTATTGGTACCAGCAGTGGTTCTTGCCACAAAAGGCAAGATGGATTGAGGATTGAAGTGAGTTTAGGAAGGGCCCCGTAGTATTTTCCCCCAGCACCCCGTCCCGCGCGTCACCCGGAGAGAGTTCAAGAGAGAAAGAGTGAGAAAGTCCCCAGTGATGTACGTACGGCTCGCGACCTAGGAAAGACCGGCCGGTGAAGTAAGATATCGCGCAGTGCAGTTCAGAATAGTTTGTTCGGCCAAACAAACTATCACCTAGAATTTTCATATATGCGTAAGAGGTCCGAGCGCCAAACAATCAAATATTCAAAAGTTCTCTGTGTTGTTGTCAAAATGTTTGCAAAAGTAGTTAGGTTTTTTTTCTTATTCTGATCATTTGTCATTTTTGTTGACTATCAAAATATCTGAAGTAAAGCTCCCAAATATTGTTTGGAGGGTTTCAAAATTTAGTTTCTATTTTTTTCAAGCAAAGTTTTCAATCCTACATTTCGATCCACCAAATGTTTTTCTAATAATCTGGGTTATTTTCTAAAAATCATGTTCATGCACGCTTCCTATTTTTTCTATGTTGCGCATCTATAATTTCGTTATTTCTTGAATCTTTTGAAATTTTTCTTCTGCTACTTATTTTCTATCAATTATCTATCTTTCCTCTGCTGCTCAGAAATTTGGACTGAAGATTCGACAAAAAAATTTGAAATTTTGTCTAAATTCACGGAAATGTTTTTTTCCCAATCGATCAAGATAGGATGTTTGCTCTGCTAGATCAGAGACTGACGACTTGATTGTTTTTCCAACCTCAAATGTATCACAGTAAACTATCTCAACATTTATTGAATTTTCTTCGTCTTGTTTCGACACTTATTTTCTATATCAGTTTTCAAAGCAATCCGATATAATTTTTTCAATTAAAAAGTCAAGCCTGTTCAAAATCCATTTTGTATGCCAATATGAGCTCTTTCCTCTTTCCGTTTTGACAATTCATCTGAATTTTAAACCATTCTGACGGAAACCTAAGCCAATGACAATCACTAGTCTCAAAGGTTAAAGAAGAGTTTCATAAGAATTTTCATCAGAAGTCCTATTATAATTTTTTTTTTGAAGTCTTTTGAAATTTCTTGAATTCCTTCGTTATAAAATAATGGAAATTTAAATTGTTTAGAGTGCCGTAACGATGGGTCATTCTGATTTTGAATTCAAAAATTCAGTCACAAGGCACCACCTTTACCGAGGGATGCGCAAGCATCACTTCGGGTGGTAACGTCTTTACTCATTATAATGATAACCATCGGAAAACAATATGGGAATCAAGAATAGTATATATTAGTATTTTTTATCGGACCGAGGACGGTCCTAATTAAAAGGGGTAAGGTGTAAAGGTATTGAAAATACCGTAATCCTAAAAACGTTTTATCTCACATTGAACTTCGTTCTTCCGGTTTGTAACAAACAAAATTGTTTCTTTTCTATGTTGAACTTTTTAATATAAAATAATGTGGCCTCGATTTAATATCGAGAGGCACCGTTTTCGATCTAACTAAACTATAAAAGCCACCAGAAAGATTGATTTAGGTCGGGGAATTTATGTCCGAAGAACCAAGGAGGTTCTGAACCTGGTTGGAACTACCAACTAGGGTCCCATTCCTAAATATTCTACCAATCATTTATTTAACTATAATTTTCGATACTTGGAATAAAACTGATAGAACAAACCTCTCTGTTGAAATGAAATGCAGTGTGATCAGGAATACTCAAAACAATATTGGTGTAATTTTGAAAAGAAGTATTGAAATCATAAAAAACCACATCAAATTTCATTTCGATTTCCATGAAATAAATATCCAAAACTGGCAATTGTTCCAATGTAACACATTTGTTGTTTAACGCTGTGGTTATTGTTTTATGTGGGCAATTTCCAAATAACATATTCGATGAAGAAATATCAAATGTGTGTTTGATATTTCTGTCTTTACAATCAACGATGCTATATTTTCCATTCACTTGACACATCCATGCTTTTTCGTTTTCGACATTTGGTAAATATTGGAGATAAAAATGATAACCGGACATGTTCGGGCCTAAGTTACCATGCGCATTTTGATATTTCTGAATACCCATTTTCCTGCAAACATTCTAGATGTCTCAATTCAAAAACACGTAAAAGGGAAGTTTGCGGACTCACCAAATAAACATTTTCTGTAACTTTGGCACAATCAAGATATAGAAAATCCTAGTATTTTACAGCAACTGTTTATATTCGGTGAGACCGCGGTATTCCCTTCAAAAAAAAAACAAAACTGACCATTTCAGATGTTCGAATGTCAAGATATCGCTGTATTTCAAGCCAAAAGAACAGTCCGAGACTTTCCATTTTAATTCGACATTTGGAATTATAACAGGATTCGAATAAAAGTTTATCTGAAAAAAACTTTTTTTGAAAACAATTTTGTTGATTATTCAGATACCTCTTGATCATCTTTTCGACTACGTTTTGAAGGCGGCGCCATTGGAAATTCTAAATCGACACCTGTATTTGATTGGGATTGAAAATAAGGTATCACTATATGAATGAAACACGAGAGAAACAGATCAGAACTATAAGAAAAATGAATTTTATTCAAGAAAAAAAACACAAAAAATTCCAAATTATTCACACGTGGTAACAGAAAAAACTATAAGGTCATACAAATATTAAAATTAGAGAATGCATTAAAAATATCAGATTTTTTCCATCAAAGAGTTGAAAATACAAATTTTCGTTTTATTTTCGAGTTTTTCGAAAGTTTCTGAATTTTTCAGAACTTTTAAATCTTCCGAAGATTGGAAGGTTTCCAGACACTTTCTCTTAAAATTTTTTAATTGTAATTCAAAATATTGGTTTTCAAAGAAAAACCTTACCATTAGAGTTTCGTTATTTGAAGCTTGTGCGTATAAAATAGTGAATGGAATATTGATTTCGTAATATTTCATCAAAAACTCGTCGCATTTTGTATGCAACGATGGAACTTCGAATAGGATTGCAAGTTCAGAAAGGCATTGTACGTTTTCAGCTGAAATTTTGGAAGATATACTTACTATTAGGGTAAAAAATGAAATACTCTAAAACTTACCAGTAATTGGCAATGAAATTGAACACATCGTTGCCAAAAATTGAGAAAATATAAAGGGTTCAATGTTTTCAATCTCAAAACTGGATTTATCGATATTATCTCGGTAGAATTTGTAATAAAAGAACATTGAATTCATGCATAAAACCTGAAAGATTGAATTAAAAATATTGAGAGAACTGAAAATATAAAAAATAACTAACCTCCTTATTAAAATGAAACACACAGTCTTTCACAATTAAAGTGATATTTGAAGTATTGGAAATTCTCGAAGTGAAATCATAAAATGTGTAACGAAATCCAATTTCAATTGTCATCGATGTATTTGATCCTTCATATTCATTAAAATCCCACATTGTGAAGTTTGCAGATGAATATGTGAGCATTTCAAAATTAAAACATTTTGAAGAATTAATTTCATGAATTTGATATTTTACAGTTTCATTCGATAATAATTTGATTTGTCCATCAGTTTTTAACAACCATTCTTTTCCATCAACCATATCAGAAACAGACACAAGTATCATATCAATCTTGATTTTATCATTTTCTCGAGTCATTCCAACTTTCCTGTAAGCATTTCCTTTTAATTAATTAATCTAGTAATCAGAACATACCATCCAATATCATCCGTATAAATAATATCACTATATCGAACATTTCCATCCCATTCGTTCATATTTTCAATATCCCATCTCAAAATATTTCCATTTTTCACAATTGGATTCGGTTGAAATGGAATTACATTCGATTTTTTGCGAATACTTGCGACTTCGACACGTTTTAATTGTTTTCGAGAAAATTCATCACATTTGTGTTTGAGCGAAGGAACATCGAAATTATTTGCTATCTTTTTCAAAAATGAATGATTCTCCTCTGAAAAAACCATTTTCTGAAATATACACTGATAAATTTTGACAAAAACCTCGAATTTCGAGTGGAACTGGGCACATTGTTGCCAGAAAATGTCCAAGTTTGAAATGTTCTCCAACTCGCAAATTTAATAATGGCGTCTCGAGATTATTTACAGTCAGCAAATCAAAGAAAAACTTTGAGTGAGAACAAAGAACCTGAAAATGAAACTTTTAAAATTATGTCATATCTGAAAAAAACCTTACTTCTTTATTGAAATGATAAATTGTGTTGTCTTCAGTGGCGATTTGAATATTTGTGAAATTAGGAATTTTTCGATTGAAATCATAGAAAGAGAAATCGAAATGTGCTTCAATTTCAATACTGTTGTCTTTCAAATATCCTTCATTTTTCAAATCTGACCAATCGCCAAACAAGTTCGTAATGTTTTTTCGAAAAGTTTGATGGAAACATGTGCGAGGTGAAAAATTGAATGATAAATGATCAGAAGTGCCATCTTGCTTCAATAACTTATAACATCCGTCAATTTTTGATAACCATGCATTTCCAAAAATACAAGATTGAATCAGCTCCAAATGCACTTCGAAAGCGGATATGTTCACATTGTAAACGCCAGTGTTTTCATCAGAAACTTGTTTGATACGTCGAATGCCGATTTTCCTGAATATAACAATGATTATTTATGAAATTTAAACACAAAGTTTAGAAAAAACAAACCATTTGAAATTGTCTCTTTCCAAACAATCACTGTATTTCAATTTTCCATTCCAACCATTCAAATTTTCGAATTTATGTTTTAAAACTAATTCTTTTATTATAACAGGATTGGAATAGAATGCATTCTGTAAAAATGAATGAATAGGAAACTTCTTAGTCTAATCAGTTTTCAATTACCTCGGAATCCTCAAATTTGCTTCGTTTTGGTGATGATGACATACTGCTGGCACTATCGTTTTACTCTGTAATCAATTAGCTTACTAATATTGGGATAAAAATACACGAAACTGCGATAAAGCAAGTTGACATCAAAACAAAATTCAAAAATGAGAACTCGTGATGCCATGAAATACTACAATTTCAAAAATGGTACACGTCATCACTACGAGTTCACGTTGAAAAAATAACATTATTGAAATTTTGTTTCTTTCAACTAACGTGGGAAAACGTGGCATCTTCGCGAAAAAAGAAAATAATAATTTTATTGGAGTGAAAAGGGTAGGATGGATGGGATAGTGAGCAGGATTTGTAAAAATTATAATTTATTGATCAGAAAAACAAATGTTTTTTTTTTGACCAACCCGCGAAAGCGAAGAAAATTATTAACAGTTTATCATCAAGAAACATTTTCGGAAAAATAAGTCATTCGGATTTTTGTAAGCTCAAAGGTAAGTGGTCTCTTTCTGTAGAGACGTTTGGAATTTAGGAAGCTAGTGAGGTAAGTTTGTCGTAGATCGACGTCGCCACTTGGGAAAATGAAATTACAAGAAACAGCGATTCAACTTACAATTATCTTGAACAACTCATAATCGGAACTTGGAACAACTAACTTGGAATGCTTTAACTGCAGTATTTGGAGGAAGAAATCGGAAGTCAAATGAAACAATTAGCAAGAAATATTGGGAATGCGGCGTTCGCGTTTGTAGAAGAAAAAAGAAGTTCCTGAGATTCGGAACATGTTAATTGTCCTGAGACACGCGTCAGCGATCGGCCAAGATCTGCGTACTCCGGGAAGGAGGTAGAGTTTGTGAATGTCTCCTGAGGCATAAGACAGTGATCGAGCAAGATCGGATTAGTCTGTGAGAGATGATTTTCTGAAGTTGAGAATGTTCCGTTGAGACATGATACAGTAGTCGTCAAGATCGGCATCTGTGAGGATGAGGTAGAGTTTGGAAATGTCCCCTGAGGCATGATGTTGTGATCGGGCAAGATCGGGACAGCGGAGAAGATATAGTGGAGATTTTGCGAATGATAATGGAATTGGACAAGATGGACGTAGTTTGAAGGAGATATTTAGTCGCGTACTTTTGAAGGTTCACTGTAGCTTCATACTGAGATCGAGCAAGACTGTAGTAGTGTGGAGGAGACAGAGTGTTGTTTTTACCAAGGTCAACCGCGAGTGCAGTAACCTTGGCAGATAGACGGTATTTGGAGCAGGCAGAGGGTTATTCGATTGATAGTCTTCCGAGATATGATGCACTTGTTCTTACGTTAAATATGAGTGTGATTTGATAGGTCTGATCTTAAATCAGGGCGGGAATGGAAATTCGGAAGCTCAGAGTTGGCGAAGCGTGGTTTTTAATCTAGGGTTAGGTTTTATTGTGTAGACAAAGGCTGCTGCATGACGGTTGCTGCGCGAAAAGGATTACAGTGAGAAGAATCAGTAAATTAGTTTAGAAAAGAGGAGCAATCTAATTGTTGACGCAAAACCAAAAAATCTATGATCTGAATGATGAAATTTCGCTTCGTATATGGGATATCTGCATAAAAATATGCAACGAGTCTGCATGGTCCAGAAATCTAGACATTTCGCCAGAGTTCATGAATATAGGGAAATCAGTAAATAGGCAGAAGAATTCGGCATTTCTGCGTTCTGAGAGGTAATTTCCGCCAGGAAAGTTTTCAGAAGGTGGAAACTCTGCATCGAAGATGAAATAAAAGAATAGCATAGAGTTGCAAACAAGAGTTCAGTCGCGGATCCTAAGGACAAATAAGTTCAGCAGAAAACATACATCCCAAATAAGATGATCAGTAAAGTCATTATAAAGAATCGTGAAACTATATTGACCTGAACTGTGAGTGGAAGGCATGAAAAAATTTGGAGATCTAGGGGACTTATTGCGTAAGACTTTGACGGGAAAATATCAAAATTAATGATGCGAAACGCGAGAAACGCGGGGCTATCGAAGGAAAATAGGCCAGCGGGAGAATAAATATACACAGAGAGAAAAAATCGACAAAAATCACGTCATCCAATCAGCGATTTTGGGCGGGGTTTCGAGAAATGGGTCACGCGAAAATTGACGCGTTTGCTGTTTTTCCTGACGCTTTTTTTATTTTTCGAAAATTTTTTTGGTTTTTCAGTTTTTTACAGTTTTTCAGCGAGGGAAGAAAAATTTCCACAATATTTTTTATACAGATTGTTAGGAAACCCCTAAGGATCATTTACATATGTAGATTGTTATATAATTTGAAAAACTCACAAAGTTATAAGAAAAAAACATGATTCCTAGTTCAAGTTTTGCTTTTTTTCAATCTTCTCATCTCCGATATTCATTTTCCGATTCATTTTCTTATGAAATTGTATTATATAAGTGATATTTCAGCAAATCGGAACGAATTTTCCCCAATTTTTGAAGAAATCAGATGTGGATGTGATAAACAGTTGAAAACGACAAAATGAACGGATTTTTGTGCCGAATTTGAGAAAATGTCGAAATTTTAAAGTTTTCTTTTGAATACTTCGATAAAATCGGGTTTTTGATACTTCTAATCCGAAATTTGACCCAAAATTCGACCCTATTTTTGATGTTTGAAATATTTCGAATAAAAATTTATTGAAAATGAAGCCAAGTTTTACATATAACTTATCAAAATGAAAAAAAACAGCACCATATCAACTAAACATTGCAGAACCATCAAGTTTTGACATATTATCGGGGAAAATTCATATTTTATCCGCTTCTGTTCAACATTCGGTTTCCGGGTTCTTTATTGCAAAAACTGCCTCGATATCGACTCTAAATCATCACATTAGCTTCTACAATACTTTTGAATACTTCCTGATTGATTAAGACAAGAATTGGTATCCGAAATACTGAAATAACAACAATTATTGATAACTTTTGAACAAAAATCGTTAAAACTTCGGAACATTGCGAAAAAAATAATTATAAAGCGATAGGAAGTATTATCTATACGAGTTCTAAAAACTGTATAAAAAATTTTAGCAAAAAATCATGATTTTCAAGGAAAAACAACAAAAAATAGGCCTGGCGACCAAAAAAATAAAATAAAATAAATTTTGAAAATGAAAAAATGAAATGGGCGTGGCTTATTCACGTAGGCCAATCAAAAACGTAGACAGCAATTTAATGAAAGGCTGTCGATTTTTTCTCTCTGTGTATGTCTTCCTCTATATTAATATAGAGGAAAAGAATATCTGAATTTTGAAATCCAGAATATCGAACAATGGAAGCTGGGATTATCAAAGTATTGTACATGTTGGAGCAGCTTTGGTTTGATTATTCGATTGCAATCAAGATATGAACTACGACGATAAATAGGAAATGTTTACGTTCGAATAGAAAAGAGCACACATAGTCGAATTTGTGCAAACGGGGTCCAGGAACAGAGCCAGGGAAAAAAGAATGCTTGCATCGCTTTCATATTCAAATAAGGACATGGGTCGAGATACAATTTACTGTTTTCATTTGAATCAAGATGGGCAAAACGCAAACTCGGGGAAAAGGCGCCGGGTTGCAAGTTACGGGAGAAGGGGAATTCGGCAGTTTAGACTAAGGGTATCTTGGGAAGGCGGCAAAACAGTTTCAGAAACCAAAAACCAGAAATCATAATACTTGAAGAAAAATCGGAACAAAACAGATTGAAATGGGAACCAGGCCCGAGAAACAAAGATTAAGAGAAGAAGTTAGTAAGTCGGCTTCGTTAGAAACAGAAACAGAGAGTAAAAATGATCTACCAAAATTCCAACTGTGAAGTCGCACAGAGAAAGTTTGAGATGAAATTGTACAAATTTGATAGCGGAAAAAAGGCAGTTTGGAAGATTGCATACGAATGTCGAAAGGCAGAACATGGACCCGACTTCAAGTGAAAGTGAAAGGTCTAGAAAACCAGAAAAAGAGTCAAAACTCAACAAAACCGCTGAAAATCAAAAATGCTTTGGAATCTTGAAAAGTTGTGTATATTTAAGTCGAAAACCCACAACAATATCGAAGAGAACTGTTCCAAACCATGCATTACAGATTAACATGTGAGAACGTCACGATTTCAAGTCATAGTTTTCGAGAAACATACAGAAAAAGTCGATAAATCGCGAAGAATCATATCCATCTGAACACATCTCTGCCAAACTGGTGGTTTCCAAAATAAAAAACTGAAGCTAACTTTTGACGGTCCGAGAATCGTGAAATTTTCAGTATTTGAATTTGACCTCTAAAAATTCTGAATTCGTTTGTTTGAACGTCCAAAATCGGAAAACCAGAAGTTTTCAAAACTTACGCTGGCCAGCCACGGATTGACTGAGATGTGCATCTGAATTGGAAAATTCTAAAAATGAATTCCCAAAAAAGGTTCGGAGCAATAGATGCGTATAAATGGGCCATTTCGGGGTAGATGTGTCAACAAGGAAAATACAAAAACTGAAGTAGTTGCTCAAACCAGGATCACAAATACCCAGAACGAACCAGAACACCCGTAACCAAAAAGGTCAGCGCTAAATATCAGACAGGGTAGAATTTAGCGCTGGGTTCTGCACAAAGTCAGAACCTTTCAACTTTCGGAGTTCTACAATAAATCCATCCTATCCAGAACGTAAATAAAATTGCCTTTTTCCCGAAGAAAAACGAAGGGAAAAATAATAATTTTATTGGAGTGAAAAGGGTAGGATGGATGGGATAGTGAGCAGGATTTGTAAAAATTATAATTTATTGATCAGAAAAACAAATGTTTTTTTTTTTGACCAACCCGCGAAAGCGAAGAAAATTATTAACAGTTTATCGTCAAGAAACATTTTCGGAAAAATAAGTCATTCGGATTTTTGTAAGCTCAATGCCCACCCACCCACCCAACTGCATGTGACTTCCAAAAATAGTATCCTCAAAACAACAAAACAAAGCACCAAACTTACATAGAATATAACGGGAATTTAGAAGCTTTAAATAGGGTAAAAACGACACGAATGGGAAACGATAAGCACCGAGCGATTCAAGATATGCTAACGCCGGAAATCGACACCGTAGAATAGGCTAAGTTTCTTCAAACACATTCCCAAAGTCCCTAATTTTCAGTAAAACTCATCAATCAGCAGCTCCAGTTTTTCTGCCTTGACCGGCCGCGCTCTCCAAGTCGCTCAAGTCCAACAAGTGCTCCTACACCAAGCCTCTACCAGTACAATGGAATCGTCCTTACGCCCTAGCCGACTACAGTCAACAACTACAGTCAACAACTACAGTCAACAACACCTACAGGCAGTAAACGAACGGAAATAACGCTTAATTCTAGTATTTAAGTACGAATACTAACCTATTATGTTAGAAGTAGGGTTACCTCACTGGCTAATGATTGTGTCTTCACTTGCTTTGAGTTCTACAATAAATCCATCCTATCCAGAACGTAAATAAAATTGCCTTTTTCCCGAAGAAAAACGAAGGGAAAAATACACAGTGTCCACAAAACGACGTTTCTGCGTCTCTTTTCGAAAAATCTCTCGTTTCGGTAGAGCGCGTTTGCTCGTTTGTCTTTTTTCAATGGAAAAATCGAATTTTTTGCCGATTCTTCAACTTTTTCTTGTTTTTACTCATTGTTATTGTTGTTTTTGCTTAATTTCATGAACGATTTATTATTCTATGAATGTCAGAGAACATTTTCATGTATAGATTGTTTCATGAAGTGACGCCATAATGGCGTTCAAAAATTTTAAAGATTTTTGTTCGTTTTTCAGGTTTTTTTGGGTGTCGTCAAAAAGTGAAGAATACTCATTTTTCGAACTTTTTGGTATACGAGGACCACATTTGGGATGAAATGGGATAGATTTGGACCAATTGTTACGACGACAGATTTATTTTCATATGAATCAATAGATGTTACCAGTGGTGCTGTTGAACTGTTTTCTGATGCTTGTTTGGATATAGAATGATTCGAATATGATGGGAGAGAATAAAATTAAGCTTTTCGTACGTTTTTTGCTTCAGAAATTTTATAATAACGGTATTTATTACGGTATTATTGCAGGTTCACGCTGGTCATCGCTACTATTGGACGTTTGCTGGTTCAAAAAATATGGAACTTCTCGTCAAATTTGATTTTTGACAAAATCGTAATCGCATTGGATGTATCTGATTGTGATTTCGAATCAACCACACATTTTTTCAATGAGGAACATTGCGATAAACTCGCATTGGTGTATCTGGCTTTCAAACACCAACTTCAGGAAATGTGTTATTCAGAGTACTAGAGGACAATGAAAAACATCGAGAACACACATGAAAATCCACTTGACAATGTATATGTTGGTACTATGAAGAAAATAGCGGTCGTTGGAGATGGTTGTATATGTTTGATGGCTCAAAAGATGATCAATTGAGAGGAACTCCTATTTCAACAGTAACATCCGACTCTTCTCATTGCTAAATTGAAATTTCGGAGCTTGGTAGAGATTTGACGATATTTTTTCTGAAGTTGACAGGAAAAGTTGAGTTTGAATCGAAGAATGACGTTCTTTATTGGCCAAAATTATCGATTTGTGATATTCGGAGCTCTATAACTCAGCTAAGAAGTTCATTCGGATCCTGACAATCGTTTTGTTGTATATTTTCATATGGTCTTTCTGCTGATGTTAATTTTCAGCCGGTTTTTCAAAAATGTTTTTGTAAGACACGACTTTTTATTATTTATTAATGAAGATTTATTTAGATAGTTAGTTTTTTGTTACATAAAACTTTATCATTTGAATTTTTCAATTTTTCACACTTGAATTCAGGTATTTCTTATTTTTTAATAAAAAAAAACGCTCAAATAAAAGTGTTTTGCTAATTGCAAGAATTTTTAGGTTCGAAACTTCTCATTCCTAGCATCAAATAAACTGGTATACTTTGATTCACGTAATTCCTGGCCTCTACAAGTAAATTTACCAAAAATTTGGTTAAATTTCAGCTAAAATACTTTTTCAAAAAACATAAGTTTTTCTTTCCATTTTATAGCCTTAAAAATTTCAAAAATGAATCGAAATGTTATTTCTCTGCCTTCCTTTCATCCTCCTCTACTCGCTCATATACCATTTACCCGTGAATTTCTCGAATGTTTTGAAAATTTTCGAAAAAATTCAAAAAAATTGAAAAAAAAATGAGGGAGTGTTGTTTGCTGTAGAGACGCAGACAACGAGAGAGCGCACACACCTCGCGTCGTCCTGTGGATATTGTGAAATAAAGAAACACTTTTAAAATAGTGAGATACTGTACGAAGGCGCATGCAGATGTAAAGAAATATCTCGAAGCGAACACAGTAAGCGGTGTTGCGCGCACACATTTTCAAAAACAAACCATTGTTTCTTGTTTTTTTCTTTTTTCCAACAGCGTATTTTCTGTTCGACGAAAAGATCGAGAAACTATGGAAATACCGGCAAAACGTAGTCGAATAGAGGTGAGGGTCACGAATTCAAGTATTTCAAGTATAGTTATTCACATTTCAGGCTATCTCCACATTCCCAACAAACCCGATTTTGACGTCCGGAATTATTCGTTGGAAATTTGAGAATTTAGCAGAATGGGATGGCAGTATGATTTATAGTGATGTATTGGAAATCGATCAGTTCAAGTGGTAGTTTTTAAATCTTAATTAATTATTCCAACTACTCATAATATTTTTGAAGGAAAATAGGTGTGCAGAAAAAAGAAGTATTTCGAAAAGAAGTCTGGAGAGAAGAAAATGTTGTGTGTCTTTCAGTTCATTTGTTTTTCATTCCGGATGATAAAAATAATAAATCTTGGCTTTTGAAAATCAACGGCACTCGAAGATTGTTGAAACAAAATGATACTTCAAGACAATATTCGATCGATTTCGCCCCAAAATCATGTTTTACTCATGATTTCCTGGAAAGTTATATTTGTCCATTTAAAGATTGGGAATTCATGCGACACGAAGGATTTTTGATAAATCATTCAATCATCATCGAAAATGAAATGGATATTGCATATTATGACTTCAGCGAAAAAAATTCGGATTTGTCAAATATCAAGTTATATTCGAGCGATAGAACCAAGTTCTATTTTAATAAAGAAGTAAGTTTTCGGTAGAGTTTTCAAATAAAAACAACTTACTTACAGATTTTGTGCCATTATTCGAAATATTTCTATAATATGTTTTACGTGGAAAATTGTGAAAAAAAGAAAAAAGTATTACATGATATTGAGAGGACACAATTGACACATTTTTTGGCGACATGCTGTCCGATTCCTTTGGAAATACGAGGTTTTATCTACAAGCGGAGTTCTAAAAATTGAAATAATTCATATTTTTCAGAAGAAAGTTACAAGTTTCTGATGGAAATGGCGGAAAAGTTTGATGTTCCTTCACTTCATTTGAAATGCGAACAATATTTGATTGAACATGAGAAAATGGATATAATTGATAAATTGGTATATGTTGAAAAATATGGATATGAAAAATTATTGGTGAGTTCGCGTATTTCATAAATTATTTGAAAAAAAATGATTTTGAATTCAGAAAATATGCGCGAACTCATTCCGAAGTGCAGAAGAAGTGAAAAATTTGGGGACTGTTCCAAAATTCAAAGAAATATCCCAAATTAGTCAGCTCAAGATTTTAAAATCTGTATTGAAATTTTTTCATTTAGACTATTAATACTTCAACTTCACAATTTTTTGTAATTTTTGTTTAAAAAATGAAATTTTTTTAATATTTATATTTTTTAATTGTGTGTGTATATCAAACGGTACTGTCTACCGATTATATTATTTTTTATCGTCAGAGCTTTTTTCAGTTTTCAAAAAAAATATGGTAATTCAGGTCAGAAGGTGGGAAAACCATTCTTGAGTTTTCAATATGAATCCGATAATCAAAAACGAAATGCAACTCAAATGGATTTTTGGGGAAGATTTGAATAAGTGGAATGGAAGTCTAAAATTCAGTGAACCATATATTATTGATAAATTAGGATGGAAAATTGGAATCGAAAAAAAAGAAGATATATTGAATGTTTATTTATTATTATCGAGTTCAGAATTGGAAGGTCGTGGATGGATTTGTAATGTTTCGTTCAACACAAAATTATACATTGAAGACAATGAAATTAATGAGTTTTTTGTTCCTGGAGGCACTTGTTTGACATATGATTTTGGGGGATTCGAAACTCCACATCGAAATAATTTGTTTGGCTATTTTGATTTATCAGATTCCAAGGATGATAGTAGATTTGTTGCGATTGAGATAATTATGGATACTAAGATGTTTGATTTCAATATGAAAACATCGAAAATGCCAAGTGTCACATTGAAAGTCGATGATGTTGTGTTTTATTTAAATAAAGAGGTAAATCATTTCATTAGCTTTTCTCGGAGAGAAGAAATGAAAAAAATGTTAATTTACAAAGTTTGTAGATGTTGTGTTGTGTCTCCGATTATTTCTATAAGAAGTTTTACGTGGAAAAATCAGGAGATTCAGAGATTATCATCGAAGATGTGGACTTGAAAGAATTCACCACTTTTTTGGCAGCAATCCATCCTGTTTCATTGGATATTCATGGTTAGTTTTTTGAAAAATTATGAAAATAATTCGCAGTTTCTTCGATTTTCAGAAGATAATTATCACTTCCTCGTCAAACTTGCCCAACGTTTTGATGTTTCTTGTTTACATCACGCTATCGAGAAGTATCTCATAAACGATGAGTATAATTTAGATCTTATAGACGTGATCAAGATAGCTGAGTGTTATAGATATTCGAAATTAATGGTATGTCAAAGAATTTTCAAGACAGTGTTTAAATTTAAAAATATCTGGATTTCGAATTTTTCCAATTTTCAGTCTCAAACTGACTATTTTCCAGAGAGACTGCATCGATTCATTCGATTCCGTTGACGAAGTTAAACGATTTACGAAATCTGGAAATTTTCATCAATTGAAAGATGAGACTAAATTAGCGATTTTGAAATGTTTCTTGAAGTTTCCAATAAAAAGAATCTGATAATTCGAGTGATTCTGAGGACTCAGTTGAATATGATGAATCCGATGAATCCGATGAATCCGATTGATCCGGAATGAGCCATAATTTTTGTTAATGTTGTTGTGCCCTCTTTTATATATTTCCTCACAAATTTACAGTATTGAACTTGTTATATGAATTGTTCTCGAGTGTTTTTCAGTAATTACTCGCTTAAAATACATTGGTTGAATTCCAAGATTACTTATTTTATTTTTTAATTATTTCAAAAAAAAGTTGAAATTTTGAATTTCAGCGATGGGACGACCACCGAAACAAAAATGTTTGGTCAACATTAAAAATGAGCAAGTGAGTCATCTCAATTTTATTCTATATATTCTGAAATTTTTTTTTCTTAGGAGACCTCTTCTAATTATCTGAACAAAAATGGAAATTGTAAGATTATATGGCATATCGATTCATTTGATGTTTCGAAGTTTGAAAAGCTTGAAAGTCACAGTATCGAGGCGAATGGTCTCATATGGTTTGTTTTGAAACTTCAAATATAATATTTCAATTAATCATCTTTTTTTAAAGGAAATTGATGTTGCACAGACCAGAAGATGAAAATGGCTTTCAAGTATATTATAAATTCGAAATGGAGAAGAAAACAAAAGCATGGTTCGCCGAAACTGAAGTCAAAAAGGTTGCAGCAATTTTCAGAAACGATCTGACAGTTGCAAATCCAGTCGACGAAAATTATTGTATCCATGATTCAGACTCTGGGTTTTTAACAGCGGATGATGATGGTATGTTCATTGTTTATCCGGATGACATTTCGAAATCAGATGAACCTGAATCAATCACTATTGAATTGAATCTATCTGTCAATTCTTTCGATTTCTCCAAACAAATTCCTGGTTATACTGACCTAGGAATTTCTGTTAATGGCACTATTTTTTATGTGAACAGATGGGTGAGTGAAAATGAAATATTTTATCATTTTTCCCCAAATTTTTTTTTTCAGATTCTTTGCTCTGGTTCGCAATATTTCTTCGATTTGTTTGTCAATCAAAAATCAATGCAATGTATTCTGCAATTCGATGATTTTTCAGAAATTGAGATGTTTGAATTTCTCGCTTCTCTATCTTTCACACCAATCAAATTATCTGGTTAGTTTATTTGGGAAAACAATCACGATTTGTTTCTTATTTGAAACCTTTTTCAGTTCATAACATTGAAGTCTGCATGAAAATGGCAAACTTTTTTGATGTTTCATCGATTCGTTCAAGATGCGAGAAGTTTATATTGAATTGTTCAGAATCGGCAGAAGACCCCTTTCAAAAAATGTCTTTGTGTCGAAAAGTTCAACTATCTGAAAAATATGATTATAAAGAAGTATTGGTGAGCAATTTTTTGAAAATTAAAAAAAAATGATGAATTTATTTATTATTTAGGAAGAATGTTTGGAGCAGCTCACCTCTTCAAAACAAATCAAACGATTTGTTGGGAATACGATTTTCGAAGAGCTGGAAAAAGACACAAGATTGATTGTTTTAAAAAAGTTGTTGAAATATGTTTAACCTGTTGTTTTCTTTTTTCTAATATCGATAACATCGATAATAAATAAATTCAATTTTTAACACTGAATCTGATTGTGAAAGTTATTTGGTCTCATTTTTCCAAAATTATTTTTTTTTCAATTTAAATTTCAGAAAGTATTTTCAATTCTTATTTCAGCCATGGTTTCGCCGCCTTCCAAAAAATTTTGTTTGATAAATCCGAAAAGTGAGAATATTCCATTTTTCCAAAACCCAATTTCGAAAGAAGATGTTGTTTTGAGCTGGAGATTTGATAATTTCAAAAATTTGCTCAAAGAACAAGCCGAAAGTGGTGTTATTAATATCGAAGGTTTTCAATGGTTTGTGGGAAAAAATCAGAAGTTTCAAAAACAAAATATTGTTTTTCAGGAAAATCAAACTGAAAAGATCCGATGAAAATGGCGTTTCATTATTGACAGTGACTACCGAATTTCTTGGAAATGACACTAAAAAAGAGAATAAAACATGGATGTGTAACAGACTTCATAAATCGATTCGATTGAAAAATGATCGAGATTATACTGCGTGTTTCAATGGAAATGACACTAATTTTGTGTCAACTGAAAGAAATAATTTTTCGGGAAATGAATCGTTGCAAATCAATGATTTGATTCAAAGGTTCAATTGCGACAATACAGTTACAATTGAAATTCTCATCGACTTCAGATATTACGATTTTTCGGAAAATATTCTTGGATATACTGATGTTACGATCGAGGCTGGCGGAATCCAATTTTTTGTCAATAAAGGAGTAAGTTTGGGGAAAAGTGAAAATTTTAGTTTTTTTAAATCAAAATTCATTTAAAAAAATCCTTAAAGACACAAGAGCACCTAGAAATGAGCAGAAAATGAGTTTGTTATTCTTTCATAACACCTTTCAAGTAATCGAAATTCATGAAAATCAAGAGAAAAGTTTGAGTCTAGCAAAAGTGAAAAAATAAAATAATCTCAGAGAAAGCCGGCGACTAATCGGCGACCAACAAGTTCGTCGCAAGTTCGTCGGCGAAAATAGTGTGTGTTTCCCGGAGACGCAGACGAAAAAGTTTCAGGCGACTAATCGGCGACTAATCGGCGACTAACTTATGATTGGTCGCCGATTAGTCGCCTGAAACTTTTTCGTCTGCGTCTCCGGGAAACACACACTATTTTCGCCGACGAACTTACGATTGGCAGACGATTAGTCGCCTGATCTCGATTCGTCGTAAGTTCGTCGCCGATTAGTCGCCGGCTTTCTCTGAGATTGTTTTTGAAATCGCTCAGCCGACGGAAATTTCGAAAGTGTTTGCACACAGTGTGTCGCTAGAGCGCACATGCTGGTTTTGTCATTTGAAAATAAATGCGGGAAACCTGTTTTTTCCAGTGTTTCTTGTGTCTTTAATTGCCACCAGAAAATTGCCTTACCTTTTTCAGTATATCTGCACCGTATCAACCTATTTTTTCGATCTTTTTGTAAATCAACAACATCCTGATTCAACTTTAAAACACATCAATCTTGATCCGGATTCGATGGCATGTTTATTATCTTCATTATATACTCCTCTGTTGTTCATTCCAGGTAACTATCCTAGGTTTTTCTGAAAAAAACACAAACAGTTTTTTTTCAGTTGGAAGATTAGAACAATTTATGAGTTTGGCTGATCAATTCGGTGTTCAAAGTTTAAAAATTCAATGTCAAAATACGCTGTTTTATTCTTCAAAATTGACATTGTTTACAAAAATCAAATTGGCGGAAACTTTTGGATATTCTCAATTAATGGTAATCACACTTTTTGAAAAATATTGTGAACAAAAAATGTTTCCAGACGACTCTTCTGAGTTTGTTCAAAAGCACCAAAGAAATCAAAAGTTTCACAGAACATGAAAAATTCGAAGAGCTCCAATTACCAACCCGTTATCTTATTATGAAAACACTTCTCAAGTTTGCTTAAGTCAACTTTTGTAAATTTATGTTTTTGTTTAGTAATTTTTCTGTTGTAATAAACCTGCTTTTTGAAAAATTTGGTTTATCAAGAAAATTTTTCTCAGATATTACGATGTCTAGCCTTTTGAGAAAATATACAAAACATGGAAAGTGGATTAATTTTTTCACAAAAACATTTAGAATGTTGAGAATACTGATACCTCTTCTATTTTCTGTTGAATTTGGTCAAAGTCAAAAATCTGATGTTATTGTTTCGAATGATGGAAGTACTTCATTTCCTCAAGAAATGATTGAATTTGCTAGACAAATCAGCACTTTGTTGGTTTGATTTTTTTTTTGAAAGAAGGTTTTTGTTCTTACTTCAGATTCTATAAACAATCATTTCGAAATCACCCGGAAGCTCGTAATTCAAGCAACGAATTGATGAGTCATTTTAGAAAGAGGTTTTTTGGAACAATTTGTGACAAAAATGTCGATCGCGGTTAGAAAGCTTTATTTTCACAGAGAAACTTTTTTTATTTCAGATGAATTTATTGAATATTTGAACAGGCAAAGAGAATATCATGATATTGATAATGAAATCGATAATCAGGTGAATATAATTTTCAAGATAATATCCCAATTCTAAATATGTATTTTTCTAATTGTAAATTCCAGAAAGTATCTTTCCGAATTATTTCAACCAGACCCAGTCTTATTTTCAATATTCATTTTAATGTGACACATTTAATGGATGTTATTAATGATTTGATGTTGAAAGTGGATGCTGATTTGAATTCAGAAGGTTTGTGGCAAATTCGAGAAGTTCGAATTGGTGGTAGTTGTTTTGATTCGGAACATTTTGATCGAAATTTTTTATATTCGCATAGAGCGACAAAAGTGAAAACTAATAGAACTGTTGATGAAATTATTAAATATTACGAAGAAAGGTGAGAATTGGTTTTGAAAAATTCTGAAAATGTGGAAAATTGAATTACAATAAGAATAATTCAGCATAACTCAAATTATAAATGATCAGTATATAATTTCGGGTTTGGAAGGGATCGTTGAAAATGATCCGATGTTTACTGAATCATATAAATTGGACGATTTTTGGACTTTTATGAAAATATTCAATGAAAGATATACAATTTCAAATGATACGGTAAACAAAAAATATCTACAGTAATTCAATTCCTTATTTTTAGTCCTGTTCATTTGGAAAAGCTCAAACAGTTGTGACATTGAAAGAAGAAGATCATGTTATTATCAGAATTCGAAAAGTTGTCAAATATCTTTTGACTGGAACAAATGATCTTTGGGAATTTCAATTGGAAGTTGTTAAGGTATTTAGAATTAAGATATTTGTTGAAGAAAAAAAAACTTAAGTTTAGGACAAAACTGCGATCCGTGATTGGCAATTGATTCGAATGTATCTTCGACCAATGTATTCACTTCCAAATCGACCAATTTATGAATTAACAAACTCAACAAAAAAAGAGTCAGTTCAAAGATGTGACAAAGATTTTATTTGTTGTATTAATTTTTCAGATTCCAAAGAATTCTAACATCCGTTCAAACCAAAACTTTAAAACCAGAACTTCTCAAAAATGTGGCATTATTCCGAACTTGTTCGAATTTATATACTTCCGGTAGAGTTTCAGCTATGTCTTCAGTTTTACACATAATTTCAGATTTCGAAAAACTAGAACTCAATATTTTTGGCGACCAAAAAATGAGTAAAACTAAAAAACCAGAGGTTCTCATTAAAGTTCTGGGATCGGATAAAAAATATGAGCCGAACATCAAATTCAAATTGAGTGTGAAAGTTTATTCGGAGAAAAATGAGGAAAACAAGACTGATTTCTTGTTTTTCACAGAATATGTGAGCTTTTATGAAGCCTCATTTTCAGAAAATTGTTGAAAATTTTTAGAACTACAAATTGGATTCGTATAACATAAGAAGCATTGTACAAGCATGTGATCAATTCGGAGATCCTACAGTAACCAATTAAAAAATAATTGGGGGGTTTTTAAATTGTTAATGAATAAAACATATTTGGGAAGTGTGAAATTTAAATTTTCCTACTGCAGTAGACAATTGCAACAATATTATTTTGATCAATGGACGTTTTCAGAATGGCATTTTAGAGTGTTGGTATTTAAAAAATGCAAGAAAATAATTTGATTTGAAAAAAACTTTTTGTAATACAATTTTTCAATAAAAAAACTTTGTTTATATTCAAAAGTTCTGACAAATTTATTGATTTTATATTTGACAAGAATCTTCAAAACCATTCATTCCAATATTTTTGAAGTATTCTTTTTCTTCCATAAACTTTTCGAATTCTGTTGCTCGACACATTCCATGAATGGAATCCTCACAAAACTTGGCATCCCATGATCTATTTTCTCCATTGTATAAAATTCTGATATATAAATCTTGTTTCGAATTCAAATCTTGATAAATTTCGAAAACAATCCGTGAAGTATAATGTGGTGGATCATCAAAAGATATTCCAAGAACTCGAAGAATTGGGCTTAGTAAAATATCGTGACCCGAAAATATTTGAATAAAACTTTTTTCATTTCCGTCTCTTGTTTCCTGAATAATTTGTCTAACATAACTCAAAACTGGCCAAGCTTCCAAATAAAATAATTTTTTTGTCAATCCATCAGATTCGAATAGTTTTTGACTTCGAATATTCGTTATATTCAACATTTCATTTAATATTTCATAACTCATTCCATCTGGAAGTTGTTTTCCTCTACAAATATATCTTCCCAACATATTATCAATTAGTTTTAATGGATCTTTGAAGCCTCTCAATTTGTTGATCAGATCCAGATCCTTATTGGTTTTTATATAATTTTCAAAATATTTATCCCTTTGTTCTTTGAAAATTTCTCTCCATCTCACATTTTTTCCACAATCACAAAATGAATCTGTACATTGAAATGAATAATTCGAAGCAGTAATATGAATGTATGTTTTTGGCAAAAATTCAGAAAGAAAAGCTAAAACTGATTGAAATGTTCGAGAGAATTTTGAAGTTGTAACTTGAATTTCTGGATTTTGTAGATGTTTTGAATATCGATCATTGAATAATCTTCCAAGTTTCAAATGTTGTATTGCTCCATTTACTGTTAACATTCCACTTTCACATTTTCTTTCATCAGGAACTCGTGAAAAATTTGAAAGTGAAGCATCGATTTGGAAATAATTCTGGAATTTTTTAGAAAATGCTAGCTTCTTATATCTTCTAAATCTGCCTTTATCAGCCTTTGACTTCACATCACAATCTTCTAAGTTATCCGGAATTTTCATCGGTGATCTTTCTCCATGTCGAAATGCTACAGTAATCCCACGCAATTTTAGATCATTTTTATAACTTCTACATTTCATCCACCGTATTCCTTCAGCTCCAGTCAACTCCAAATTCGAAATTTGACACATTTCTCGAATATCAATAGAATTAGCTTGATAAATATTCGATAGAAAAATAAAAATAAACATTGTTTTGATAAATGTTTTTTGCATGAAAAATTATTTGATTATTGAAGTTTTATGATTCGTTTGAACAAAATATTTTATGGTTGAGAATGTAATTTCAGACAATTATTAAAATTTTTCATGCTCAAAGAGATCAAACATCCAAAGTTTTGATGGAATCTTTCAGGAAAGCCTAAAAAACTGGAAAAAAATTAATTCAAACGCCCGCGAACAAAGGCGACTCGTACGCAAGCGGAGTCTCGTTGTTTTCTTTTTTTTCGCAAAATTTTATATTTTTTGTGAAGAGGTATTCATATTTTTGTGCCGGGGTGTCGCTTTGAAAAAACTTTCACTGTGCGATATTGTAAAATATTTGTATTTGCAAGCTTCACGCAAAAAAAAATCATGAACTTTCAAAAGTTTTTTCTAACTTTTAGAAAAGATATTCTATTCTAATCTAGAATTCACATTTAGGGACAATTTCTTTTTTCTCAAAATTCACTTTTTTTTGTAAAAAATTTGAGAATAGATATAAATATTTATATTTTTCATGAAAGTTTCATCTTCTTCAAACATTATCGTAAAATAATACTTTCTCTCTTTCTTTTCCCCCTCCAAGTTTTCATTTCTATTCTTTTTAGTATGTTTCAAATTGCCATTATATATACATTTCAAAAAAATCAATGAATTGTTTTGTAAATATTCAAATTTAAAATTTCATAATGTTTTTACTCTCCATGCGCAATGATTATTTCAACATATCTCTAGAAATGAGTCATCCTTATTTATGTGACGTCACTCCGCCCGCCTTTTGTTTAGCAGTCTGATATTTTTTTTTTGCTTGATGATAAAAATCGTTTTCATTTCATTTCAATTTTTCTGACACTTTGTTTTTTTTTGCAGAAAAAAAGATGGCAAACCTTCAGAATATTTTCATGTCCGTTGATAAAGACAGGTATGATTCGGAATTGAAACAAGGAATACATCAATCAATAATTATATTTTTTAGATCCGGACAAATTAGTGCAGATGAATTGCAAAGAGCATTATCGAATGGAACATGGAATCCTTTCAATCCAGAAACATGTCGACTTATGATTGGAATGTTTGATTCAAATGGAGATGGAGCTATCAATTTTCAAGAATTCCAGGTTTGTTGTTTCGTAGAGTTTTGAATTAGACCAAAAAAGGCAATTTTAGGCACTCTGGAAATACATTAATGATTGGACCAATTGTTTCCGTGGATTTGATAGCGACGGTTCTGGAAATATTGACAAACAAGAATTAACCAATGCTCTAACACAATTTGGTAAGTTCTTCTTCTTCCCTCAAAATATCTAACTTACATTCTTCTTTTTCCCAATCCAGGATATCGTCTTTCTCCACAATTCTACAATATTTTAATGCATAAATTCGATAGATCACATTCAAATCGTATCAATTTCGACGATTTCATTCAATTGTGTGTTGTTTTGCAAACATTGACCGCTGCTTTCAGGTTTGTGGAAAGAACTACCTTGGCAACACTTTATAAATAATTTATTTTTCTCTTTTTCAGAGATGTGGATACAGATCGAGATGGAATCATCACAGTTGGATACGAACAATTTTTGACAATGGTGTTTTCATTGAAAATGTGATTTTTGACCTAGTGTAGGAAACGTTTACTAAACTCATTTTTGAAACTAACTTTTGTCCCCGTCTCCCCTCACTCGCTGTTTTCAGAAATATTAATTTTCAGTTTTTCAGGTAGCTCGTAGTGTTTTCAATCGATTAGGATAATCAACCGGTGTCACATGCCTTTGTATAAAAACAATTCACATCTGTTCTCCAATATTTTTCACTTGCTTTTGTATCTTTTTTCTTTTGTATTGAAATTTATTTCAATGAATAATTTTGCTAATAAAAAGTGGGTCCGTATTTTTATTCATGAGATTCATGTGTTAAGAATAAATGAGAGTGAAATGAAGTAATAATTTAAATCTTGGCATAATATTCAGCTGTATGTGTTTCATACAGATTTCCCATTTCAGCCTGATGCTCGATAGCTTGTTTGACTTGTTCGCGAGTGTGACCAGGACATTGAGATGTAATCCAATCAACACTAACACCTCCTTCTTCCTCCGAATCATGAATTGTTTTGAAAACTTCCATTATTTTGTTTTCCAAACTTGAGTTTTCGGCTGGTTTCACATCTTGGTAGATTCGATCTTTGGTTTGTTGAGGTTGCTGAAAATGTTATCGATATTCAACTTTCTCATCCAATATGTATTTCTTTAGAAACTAACCGAATTCGAGTTTTCAGTTGAAGTATTCGAGTTATTTCTTCTGGTTGGTGGTGCCAACATTCCTTTCATACTTTGAACATTTCCAGATTTCAATTTGTTCATCACATTTTTCTCGAAAAACAATTTTGCCGCTTTGGCTTCGAGAGTGAAAATGCGATAGTCTTTATCATCCGGGATTTCGGAAATGTTGAAAAGCATGATAACTAAAAATAATAAATTATTTTCAAAGTACCCAATAAGAGAACTTACTGTTGTTTCCATCAAATCCTTTGAGTTTTCCGATAGCTCGAACACGAGAACCTTCGACAATTTCAGCTTGGGAACGTGATGACTGAAAATAGTTGATAAAAATTGTATCAAAAAGTAAATGTCTTACATCGCTTGCATATTTTACAGCTACGAAATCGTTCTCGTCATTGTCTGGATCTCCTAAAGTATATGTCATTGTTCCATCTTGATCAGATATCGATTTGACGAGTCCAACTGTCATAACAGTTGCAAATCGGAAAGTTCCGAGAACGAATTTATCATCTGATGTATCGAGAAGAGCATTCAAATCAGTAATTGTAGTTGGAACTGGAAGTCTTTCAGCAATAGCAGTTGCTCGACTATCTTGTTTGGCACCGGTGGCAAAACTATTTTCGCCTTGCCACTTTTGTTCTCCTTGGAACGATTGATCCCATTCGGCCATGTTAGTTCTGTGAGAGCTGAAAAATTAATTTCAGTCATCATTATCAAATGGAAAACGGTCGAAAAAGAAGAATTTTGCAATCGAAAGTGTGGTTTCGAAAACAAAAAATAAAATTGGGCGCGCTCTTTGTCTGCAATGTTCGTCAGGTGTGGTGTTTGCACAGTGAATGAACTTTGTGGGCAAATTGCCAAATTATTTTATTTTTCCGAGTTTTCAAGTGTTTTTCAAGAGTTCTCATCACAAATTCTATTACAGGTAATGATCGGTCGCTTGGGATTGAGTAGAGCGGCTGTACGTGGCTTTGCTTCCGCTGAACCTGCGAAATTCACAGTACAACCAGCGATTGAAAGAGCACCAACTGATTTGTTGAAAGCGCTTTCTGAAACAGTTGGAACCGATCCAACAGCTCCACATTTTGCTTTCATCGATGATCCGGCAACAATTCCATCTACTGCATCAGCAAAGAGAACATATTTCATGGCAAAGGAATTGGGAAAACGAGCAGCTCGCGAATTAGCAGCCGAATGGCCAACTCTTTTTGCATTCGATCGAGATCAACCAAGACTTCCAGTTTTTCGACCTGAAAATCTTCCGGATCCTCTTCAAATCGAACCAACAGAGAAAAATTTGCTGAGAATGATTGAAAGTCGAGAAGTTGAAGATTGCTGTTTGCTCTACGAACGAATGCGATCAGAAAATATCGACGTCAGTCAAAAAACACAATTAGAATTGTTCAAATTAGTTGCATACTATAATTCTTCAAATATTCCGTTTGCTGAATGGGTTGAATGGGTTGGAATGAGAAATTTTGGACAAAATGATAAAGCTGAATGGAAAGCGGTAAGATCATTTTTTAATGTTGAAAAAAATATTTGTTTATAGGCTGGAGTGGCTGATTTGCTTTTTGAAACTATTCCAAGAAACGATGAAACAGTATCAATTATGATTGCTGCTCTTTCGAAATTCGGCGAAAATTCAAAAGCCAAAGCACTTTTCAAAGAACATACTGAAGCTGGTGGAAAAGTTCATATTGAAGCATATAATGGTTTGATCGCAAATTCTGATTTCAAAAGTGCATTGGATATTCTAAAAGATTTGAAAACAATTAAACCAAATGTATCAACGTTTTCGGCTTTGCTTGAATCTGCTTCCAGAATTGGAAAATTTGAGGATAGAATTAATGCATTCACAAGAATTATTGGCGAAATGCAAGCCTTGAAAATTGAACCAACATTGACAACTTATTATTATATTCTTAAAAATATCATTGATTCGAAAACCCAAAAATTATTGAATGAGGCGAAAAATGATGAATCCGAAAAGAAATATCATAATCAAATTGTAAGTTTTTTTTAACTGGTGTGATATTTGCGTGTTATATCATAAGCATTGTTTCAGGTTGTCTCGATTTCATGGTTATCTGAAATTCTCGATAAAATCGAAAATAAACAATTAGAAGTTTCTTCAAATAATTGCAATGTATTCTTTGCGGAAGCAATGGGTGTTGCATATCGAGGTGCAAATTTGGAAATCAGTCAAAGATTATTGAAAATCTATGAAAGTTCGAATAATAATGTAAAGATGCCTGCTTTCACAACAGAATCATTGTTCTATAATCGATATCTTCAACTTTTCATTGAACAAAGTACATCAATTGAACAAATATATCAGAAATACAAGTAAGAATCACGCGATACTTATATATATATATAATTTTCAAAATTTCAAATTTTCAGAGACTTCGTTCCACGTCTTGTTGGAGTTAGTAATTCATTGAGTGGTTCAGTGTACAGAAAATTATCGAAAGAAGCACATTGGCCACTTTTACGAAGAGTTATTCAAGATGGAATATCTGCTGGACAAATGACAACTGCAATGGGAGAAGAAATGAGAAAACAATTAATTGAAGTTCAATATCATGTTAGTTCAGATTTTCTGTTCAAAAATATCCCAATTTCAATATTTCAGACACTTTCTGTCAATGAACGAGATGAATTCAATCAACTTGTCCAAAAATTAGTTTCAACTTGGATTGAATTCAGTAAATTCACAGAAGAATATGCGAAACGATTGCAAAGAAAGTTATCACCGAGTCAGATTTCGGAATGTGCTTTATTATTGACAAGAATTGGAGAATATCAAAAAGCTTTTGAGTTATTAGAATTGTTATTAGATGAAGAAGCAAGTCATGGTGAAGAATCAACTGTTTTGGCACATGGATATGCAAGACCACATGTTATGTCTGCATTGTTTGAGGATTCGTTGAGACGAAAAGATTCATATGCGTGAGTTTTTTGAAACATAAAAAAATTGAGCTCTCGAAAACAGAATTTACCCAGAATGTAACTCACGTTTTTTAAAATTTATTGAAATGCCAGTATGCAAAGTTGAAACTGAAAAATTCATAAAGGTCACGCTACAAAAAAAAGTTAAAAATTCTTGCCTCGTTTCACACAATTTTATTCTTCATAACATATTTTGTAATTTCTTGAAAAAACGTTGGATGAAATTTTGAGTTTTCAATTTATTTTCAAATCCTGCTAAACTCCTCAATTGAGCTTTAGATGTTCATTATTTTCTCAGCCAATTTGAAAAAAAACTTTATTCTTGTGTTTTTTCTGAAACATCACCTCTTCGACCTTCTAGACAATTTTTTCTTTTAAAATGTCACGAACGTTTTTGTGATCTCACATCAAAATTAAAAAGTGTAAAAATGACCCTTTACCAATACAAAAAATGTAAAAAAAAATACAAAATCGAATTAATATCCGGTCTATTTGTTTTTTTTTCAGTGCCGCTCTTTGCCTTCAAATTATGTCACTTCATAGTAATCGAAATAAATTGGAACCATTGGCTAATCGAATTTTCGAGAAATGTTCTTTGACCGAATCACAACAAAAAATCATTCAAAGTTTCATTCGACTTCGTCCACAATAATCATTTTATTTTGTTAGTTTTCATAGGATTCATTAGAAATATTTATTGTTATTTTTGTTGTTTTTTCTTTTTATTCGTTCTTCCAACCAACAAATAATATTTTCCTTGTTTACACTTTTCAAGACCGCCTATTACAACAAACTGATGATAACCAGAGAAAAATGGAACGTCTTGATTTTTGTTGTTTATTTTTTGATTTTTTGTTTTTTCCTCCTTGAGCAAAGAGATACTACGTGAAAGTTTGAAAGTTATAGGTTTAGAAATTGGTCAATATTTACTTTTGAAAATTGTGCAAAATTCTCAAACTCATTTTCGTATAGAAAAAGTTAATGCGGATTATCAAGCAGCTATTCATAAAAATCCCATTTTTTATTCCAAGATGTGTTTTTTCGTATATAAGAAAAAAAATGAAAATGGAGAATCGATATTTTGACTGCCAGAAAACGACATTTTATTTTCTTATTTTTCTCGCCCTTTCGTACTATTTTCTGACAAATTTTCATGTTTACTGGTTTTTTGTTTTTCTTTTTAAAAAACTTGAAGGGCCTCTGTGATTCTTACTTTTTTGAAATTAGCTCAATTCAGATTGTTTCTGTTTTCGGCAATTTCAGAATTCCAAATCTCTTCAACTTTTCAAAATCTAGGAAAATCAAAATTTCTAAAAAATAAATCCAAATAATATTCTTTCCGAAATATAGAAAAACCCAAAAAAAAACCTACAGTAATCCTAGGTGTTTTGGTAATTTTCATAAACTTCACAAAAAAATATTTATTCAAATTTCGCCACGTCATAACCATCTCTTCGTCTCTATATTGATTTCTAGTATTTTTTCAAATTAAAAATGAAATCCCCATTTCCCCCTCTCAAACGTGTTCCATTTTCTTATCTCCTTACGTGTCCCAATTTCAAAAACCTTTAAAAACCGTCCATCTCTCCATTACCTCTCTACTGCTAGTCCAATTTTTTGGAGACTGTTCTACTTATTGTGACATAACACTTGTTCTAGTCTCAAACAATGGCTTCACAATTCCTTCGTACCAGTAATTCTCGCATTGTTGCTGGTGTTTTTGCGACACTTGGAGGAGCTTCTGCTATTTATACGTTGACACCTGAGGTTGGTTGGGTTCTTCTAGGGAAACTGGGCTCAAATTGGCTTGGCATTAGGTTCTAGATATTTTAGATTCCAAATTCTCAATAATCAATACTTCCAGGCTCAAGCAAAATCTCAAAAATCAGCTGGATCTGTCGATGCTGCAACAATCAAAAAGATCGAAGATGCTTATGCAAAGTTGAATGGACCAGAAGGTGCCAAGTGCAAATCACTTCTCAAAAAACATTTGACCAAAGATGTTGTTGAGAAATTGAAGACAAAAAAGACGAAACTTGGAGCAACACTTTATGATTGTATTCGTTCGGGAGTTTATAATCTTGATGCTGGAGTTGGTGTTTATGCACCAGATGCTGAAGCATACACTTTGTTTGCACCATTATTCGACAAAATTATCGAAGATTATCATGGTTTTTCGCCAAAGCAAAAGCAACCAGCTGTTGATTTGGGAGAGGGAAAAACACAAGAATTCCCACCATTGGATCCAAAAGGAAAATATATCAAATCAACTCGTATTCGTTGTGGAAGATCTTTGAAAGGATATCCATTTAATCCATGTTTGACACAAGATAATTATTTGGAAATGGAGGGAAAAGTCAAGAAAGCTTTTGCTGAATATGATAAAGAATTGAAAGGAAAATATTATCCATTGGATGGAATGAGCAAAGAAACTCAAAATCAATTGATTGCCGATCATTTCTTATTCAAAGAAGGTGATAGACATTTGCAATATGCGAATGCTTGCAATTTCTGGCCAAAAGGACGTGGTATTTTCCATAACAATGACAAGACTTTCCTTATTTGGGTGAATGAAGAGGATCATATGAGAATTATTTCGATGCAAGAAGGTTCGGATGTTGGACAAGTTTTGAGTCGATTGATTAAAGGAGTTCGTGGAATTGAGAAACAAGTTCCATTTTCACGTGACGAACGTCTTGGATGGCTCACATTCTGTCCAACTAATTTGGGATCAACTGTTCGCGCTTCAGTTCATATCAAACTTCCAAAATTGTCGGCTCGTAAAGATTTCAATGCGATTTGCGAGAAATTGAATCTTCAAGTTCGTGGAATTCACGGAGAACATTCGGAATCGGCTGGAGGAGTTTATGATATTTCCAACAAGGTAATTATGATGGGGAACTTTTTTGGAATTTAGAAATTGGGCTTTGGAAATTACTGTTCTGCAAAAGTCTAAGAATTTAGACTTCAGACTAACTCATTTTAGAGACGCCTTTGAAAAATTGTTTAGCTTGAGATTTTTAAGATTTGATAAATGTTCAAGCTCAAGATTCCAAAAAATTTCCCTGTTTTTATTTCTGGGACCCAATTTCAATTTTCTATTTTTTCAGGCTCGTCTTGGATTGTCTGAATATCAAGCAGTCAAACAAATGTACGATGGAGTGAAGAAATTGATTGAAATGGAAGAGAAGGAGAAGTAAATAACATTCCGTGTATTTTTAATAAATATGTAGGACGATGTTCGTTTTTGTTGTCTGTAAAACCACTTTAAAAACTGCTTTTAGCAATTGGTTGGATATGTTTGTAAGAAAGTAAGTAAGTCAAGAAAATATATTTGGAGTACCTTTTGCTCCTCTTCACTTTTCTTTCTTTCTTATATTTGTTTTTGTCGCCGAGTGACGGTTTTTACTATTATTTTATTTTTCCGTAGTTTTTTTTTGATATTGAAAAAACTATGAGCCCGGCACCTACTATTGAATTGATTTCTTTGCCTGGAAAAGGTCGTGGAGAAACTATCAGATTACTGTAAGTTTTCCAGTGCTCGAAATGAGCTCCAAGAAGAAATGCGCAAGATTACTGTAGGTGTCTTTTTGAAATTTGAAACTTTTTTTGAAGTTCCAAAATCCATTTGTTTCTGGAAATTAAAAAAGTTCTACGTTTTTCTCGAAAAAAAAATTTTTGCACATTTGAAAAATTCTGAAATTTTTCAAAGAATTTTTTCCACTGAAAGTTCAGACCGTTTGTCAAAAGTCACTTTATAATTGCTTAAAATTATTCAGGCTAACTTTTGCAAGTCGTCAATTTATCGATACTCGTTTAACAATTGCACAATGGAAAGGCAAAAAAGTTTTGGAAGGATTCAGCGAATCAACAAAATTACCAGTCATGAAAATCAATGGAACTCGAGTCATTATTGGAGTTATTGATATTTGTAGACATATTGCTTTGCAATACGGTAATTCCTTTTTATTGAAGCAAGCTTATTTTTCCAAAATTCTAGGTCTTTATGGGAGTTCGAGTGGAGATCAAGAAAAAATCGATGAAGTGATTCGAGATTTGGAAGGTCTAAACGTGGCAATGAATCCGATTCTTCGAGCAACTCTCACAAAAAATTATGATGCGAGGAAAGAAAGTTGGAATACTTTCAAACAGGATTCATTAATTCCGATGCTGAATAAATACGAGGAAATTTTGGGGCAAAGAAAGTTTTTGGTGGATGATAAGGTAGGATTTTATTGAAAAGGGACTCTCTGGACTTTCACACATGTTGAACCTAGATTCAGATCAAGCTCGAAATTATTTTAAATTGGATTAAAACTTCAAAAAAAAATCAACTCTAACAGACAATTTTCATGTATTTTTTAAAAATCCTGACAAGATTTTGAGGGTTGGACGAAATCAAACTGAAAAACGAGATAATTAGAATTTAAGAAAATCTATCCAGAAAAAAGTTTTAAATTATGAGTTCCCGACCTTCCCAATAATTTCTTACAGTATACTTGGGCCGATATTGCACTAATCGAATTTATCACTCGATGTCAACAATGTTATGATAGTTTCTTTTTGGCACATTTCGAACATCTTCGACAATTTTGCCAAGTTTTCGAGATGCTTCCAACAATTCGTCCCTACATTCAATCAAGAACTGATACTTTTTTCTAAATTCTTTTTTTTCTGATATAAAATATAATATGAAAAATGTTGGGGCAGGCAATCAATTAGCAGAATGTCGGCCAATTGTTTGATGTCAATTGATGATGTTCCAATTTTTCTAGATTTCACACCTGTCTCAACTAAAGATAACATCTTTGATGTCTCATTCATTTTTTCGTGTTTTTTGAATTATCGCAGTTTTCATTTTCAAACAAAAATCTATTTTTTTTTCCTCACAAAATTAATTTTTTTATCTAGGATGATAATGCAAAGCATGATGATATTTTTCTAAATATGAAATGATTCTCCAAGTTGCCTCTTTCAAACCATTTTCTTCGATAACCATTTCGAACTGAAAATTGGGGATTTTTGGAATTTTTTGATATGGAAAAAAATAGAAAAGGTCTCACTCCAGCCATTTCTTCATCACCTACTCGATCGTTGTTCATTGTGTTCAACATATTTGCTACTTCGATGTCTGCAGCCATTCGAGTTGTTCCAGTATTTCGAAGAAGATGACACAGTATCTAGAATCTAAGTGTTTGTGATTTGAAAATCGTGAACATAAGTTTCAAACGAGCGAACACATTTGAAAAATTAGTTCGGTGTGTTTTTCATGAAAGGTCAAATTTATGAATTGTATTCCGTAACTTACAAACCTTTTGATCAGAAACTCTTATCAAAAAGAAAATAGGTGCCAATGGCAAATGTTGAACATCATCTGGAGTATGAATATTTGGTGAATCAACCAATAACAATTTCAATTTTGATGTCATTCTCATAATCAATTCAACTTCAACATTTTCATCCTGACATTTTTCATATTCAGATTCTCTTAATCCTCTCAACCATCTTCCTCCAGTTCTTTGTTGTCCACTTCCAATATCCGATTTCACATATTTCATTTTATCTCCAAAATATTTCAATATTTCTTCACGTAATGCTAAATGTAATAATTGAGTTAGGCGAGAATGTTGCATTGTTGGACCGAGAAGAACAATTGGTCGACTTATTGGAACTACTCGATATGGACATTTTGGTTCCCAAATACTTTTTTCTTGCACATGTTGCTCATTTATTGGAGGTGGTTGATCTTCTGTTGTTATCATATAATTTGCTAATCTTTTTGCTGTTGGAACAAATCCAAATTCTGAATGTGATCTCACAATTCTTCCAATCCACCAATCCGAATTGAATTTCTGATGAATATGAATAAAATCATTGGTCTTGAAAGATATTGTAAAATCTTTCATTGGCGATTTTTCATCAACAGTTCCATCATAATCTCGTTGAGCTTGAACTGCAAATGCCACGTGTTTCCGCTGAAAATTTGCTGGAATTAATTGCACAAAAACCCCTACTTCCGTTTTTCCTTCCTAATACAAGTATTTGAAAGTTGTTAGTAGTTCTTTTTGTCGGTTGGTTTCTAATGACACATTTGCTCTCACTCTTTCGATGAATCATTCTTTTTTCCTTTGTGAATGATACTTTTTGAATGTGGAAGAAAACAAGTAAAAAAAAGAAGAAATGTGATTTTTGTTTCATCTAAAATTTGTTTCACCTTTGCATGTTCCAAAGCTCGTTGCGCTGAAAAATATTCGACTCTTTTTCGATGTTGGTCATCTTCATCACAATTGTGCATCAATCGAATACCCGGCTGAAAATTCTTTATTTTTTTGAGGAGAAATTTGGAACATTCAGAATAGTAGTTAAAAAATGCTCATCTGAATTCTGGATCGAAATTTGAAGCCCTTTCTAGAAATTCTCTGAAAAATGACCCAACACCATTTTTTTTGAAAGTACATTTTTCTCCGGTTTCCCTAGTTTTCCTAGTCTAGTCCAATTTTTTTCAAATAAATTTCGACTCTTTCAAAAAAATAATAAATCTCACCTCCCTTTTCGAATGTTTATATGCATGTAAATACGACTGTAAATTCTCTCTAGCCACACTATGCATTCTTCTTCTTCTTCTGATCCTTCTTCAGTCTAAAATATGAATCCGTTGGGATGCAAAAAATAAATAGCAAAGAAGACAAAAAAGTGCCGGCCCCGGATGAAATTTGTTACTTTTTTGTGTGGTTTTTATTGAATTTTGTGCATTGTTTTGGGTTCATTAGGTTCGCTAAAAATGTTTGAAACCCGAAAAAATAACAAAAATTTTCAAAAGGGATTTGTGCAGGTGTCAAGGGTTTTTTGTCAAGTACCAATTTATTTTTACCATTATTATTATTATTGTGGTTATATAAATTTATTTGAAGGGAGGAGAAAAAGGGAGCCGACATTAATTTATTTGGTTATTGAGGTGAATAATTAGATGTTTGAAACATTTTTTTTTTTGAAAAATGAGTGTGTGGGTTATTATTAGATGGGTGGATGGAGAAAGGTTACGGTAAATCAAAAATGATTTAATTTTTAAGAAAAAAAATTTCATTTCAATTTGGAAAGTCTAAATCCTTTTAAAATCAAAAAAGGAAAAATCTGAAAAGTTTCAGAATCAGATATATATATACGAAAATATAGGGACCACGAGATAGAATTCTTCGACAGCTCCGAGCTTCCTGCATTTTGAGTTGAAATTTTTGAAAATTCAAAATTTCCTGAGATTTTTGAGCCGTAAGTTTCTGCGCCAAATTTTCTACAGTAATTATAATTGTGTTTGACGAGATGAATATGGTCGTTTAGCAATTTACAAATATTCTCGAAAAAAATATCAAAATGTTTTGAAACCTATTTTTCCCGTATTGGTTTCTGGATTATGCTTTACATTTTTCATTTCATTTTTTGAATTGTCCAATTTGAAACAAATTTTTGTTTTTCCAAAAAATGTACCTCTGATCCCCCCTTCAAACCTAAAATAATTTTCTTTTGAAACATTTTTTATCCTATTCAAAAAAATTCCACGTTTTCTTCCAAATTCGAAAAAAACCGTTCATAATACTCTTCAAATATCCTTGAAACCGTCAAATTAAATATGACTTTTTCATATATATTTTTGTTCAAAAACACCGACTGTTCCTCATCATTTTCTCTTTTTAATATCAAATGACATATAAAAAAGAAAAAAGGTAGAAAGAATACCCAAAAAAGAGAAGAAGATGCTAATTGCGCCGACCATCTGTGCTACTCATTCACTCATACAACAATTCATTCCGTCTTCTTCCTTTTTTGTATACACACAGCTGCATTACATATTTGAATTTTTGCCTGTTTCGGGGGTTGGGTCCATATCTTATTCTGTTCATCTTTCAATTGTCACACCCAAGAAAGAAATTGAAAAAGAGGAGAGATTAACATCTTTCTTGATGACAAAACTAACATTTTGACTTGATCAATTGCTAAAACGCAATTTGAATTGACACTTTGTTTTTTCGATTAGAAAAATAGATTGTTTGAGGTTTTTTCTTTCAAAACTTTTGAATTTGAATTTACCAAGTTTGAATTTTTGAATAGGCATTGAGGTATCTACCCAAGATCCAATTCAAAATCCCTCCAACTTTCGGCGACCCTCAAAAATGCCCCATGTTATTCCCATTCTCCCCTCATAAACTGATTACGTCATTCTCGTACCGATACTTTTTTATATATAAATTTTTACGGTCATCCCTCCTCCCTCCTATGATATCTGCCGATTGCCTATCAAATTTCTGACCTTTTTTTTTTTTTGGTGGAGGGTGCCATATTCAAGCGGTGATCCATCTCCGGATCACATTACATTCATTCTCGATTCTTGTGTTGCTTTTTGTTTTGTTTATAATATCTCGGGTCATAGATATGCTTTGCTTACTTGCGCTAATTATTTTTGAGCTACTGGCTGGCTGGCCGGGCGAAAAATTTGAATTCAGCCCCATGTTTGGCTTAACCACACCTGTCGTTTTTTCTCCTATTCAAATTATCTAACAAGCGTGCGGTCGAGATGAAAAAAGAAAAAGAAACACCGGGTGGTCTCATTTTACTCCCCGAAAAAAATAAACCTTTCATAATTTGTTCTGTGGGAACCGCTGAATTTCTCAAGATTTTGTAGTATTCTTTTTTGCAACACCGTATAACATTTAAAAAAAAAAGCAAAATCGAGATATGGATTGAAAAAAAGTCCATTGAAAAACTAAAAAAAAAAAAATTCAAACCACGCGCGCTGTCGTCAACGCGGAGTCTCGTTGTGTTATTTTTATTTTTTGCAAATTTTTTTCCATTTTTTTGGAAAAACTATTTTCTGGGTATGAAAAAGCTCAGGTTTTCAATTTTTGAAAAATCCAACAAATTGTTTTCACTGTCCCACAGCAAAAAATTACAGTTTCTTTTCAAAAAGTGGGCTGAAATAGGAATTTCTGCAGAATACAGTAACTGATAGCTTTTGTGTCCCCAATTTTTGCGAACAAAACAAAATGCGAAACAAATAAATTGCTACCGTATTCATTTTGTTCCATTATTATTATTATTTTGTTCATTATTTATCATCATCTTATGCTTTGCCTATTATGCACACCCTTTTATGTAAATGTTTATTATGTACAAACATATAAATGTACATCCCCAATTCTTCTGTTTCCTTCTTTGCTTCTTCGCTCTTTAACAAGATATCAATGTTGTTCGAACAAAGCAAAGAAGGCCCTTGATTACTGTAGATATATATCAATGATTTTCAAGTGCTTGTACTACACACTTTTAAGTGTATTGAGGCGGACCCGCGTCTCGTCTCTTATTCTTCACTTTTTGTCGGTAGGCGACTCGAATCGGCGCGCGCTCAGCCAACAAAATATCTGAACGGATACGGTAGGTCGGGTTTTAGGGATTAGTGAAAGGTTTTTTGATTTTTTGAAAAGGGGGTGCTTTTATCTCTGATAGATTGGGAATGAATTAGAGGTTAAGGAATCTTAGAGCTTAGATTCCAGAATCTGAAAACTTGAAAAATTTAATTGGAGTCCGATTGTCAGCTTCCACTCAGAAGACTTGTGATCACGCGATTCTGAAATTCTATAATTTCAGTTTTTAGGTTTCTAGAATCTTCAAGAACTCTTGAAGTTTAAAAAAAATTCTTTTCTGAAAATTCTGAGAACTTTTAGAATCTGAGGACCGAGATTTTCTCGGTGGTTTTTCTGTGAAAAAATTCCGAAGTTCTCCAAAGCTTAGTTCCAAATTTTCCCATTATTTTTCTGAAAACGGAAGTATTTCCCCATTATTCTTCGTGTTCCTTTGATACCGTACTCTTTTTGTTCTCCTCTCATTTTGGCTTCCTTCAACAAATAATTGCCATGTTTTCTTTGTTGAAAAATGAGCTGAAATCACGCAAATCTCGCTTTCCTTCTATAGATGTATTTGTGTGTGAAAATGAAAATATTTTTAATCACCAAATAATTGATGTGAGGACGAAATTGAGAAAACGCGAAGAGTGGCGGCACAGATGAAAAGACAATTATTTGTAATATAATATGTAGGAGAGAGAAATAAAAATACAGAAATATAATAATATTAGGAGTGTGTCGTAAAAATGCTGGTTGGGCAACAATATCGCGGGATTCTCTTTTTTTTGGAGATTTTATCGTGCACTGGGAGATTCTGAAAAAGGTGTGGCAAGTTTTCTTGTTGATATCGTAAGAATTTACGTGGAAGCATTTGTGACAACAATTGAAAATCAAAAAATTATTTTCGGACTCAATTTTAAGAATGTCCGAATAAAATCAGAGGGTAACATTTCTAGTAGGATCAGCTTCAATTTTTGGAACAAAATTTTGAATAAGATCTGAAGCTTCTGGTCCAATTCGAAAAATCCCAAATATTCGCTCCTACAAAAACCCCGCCTTTTTCTTCTTCTTGTAAATATATAATTTTTCAAGCCGCTATCTTTTTCTTCTTCTACATATTTTCTCTTCTTCTTCTTTTTTTCACATTCAGTTTTTCGTTTTTAGAATGATTTACTGCGCACATTGCGGCGGCGGCCAGAATCTGTCTCTCTTCGACTTTTTTCTCCACCAAAAACAACATCGCAAGAAGAAGAAGAAGAAGATGTGTTCGCAACCTTCTTCTTCTTTTCTATTTCTTATCAAAAAATAACAGTGATATAATTCCTTTTTTGGTTTGTTTTTGGGTTTCTTTTGTTTGTTGAAAAAGGGCCCTTTATGGTTGTTAAGAAAAAAAAGATAAAAATTATTTGGTTTGCATTTTTGAGTTTGTAAAATTCCAAGAGCACTGTAAAAGTGATCAGGGAACAAGTTCTGAATTTATTACTGGACTGGATTTTGAACATTTTGAAAAAAATAAGTTTCACTTTCTGAAAAAAATTCTTAGAATAGTTTAGCTGAATTTCTGTTGAGTAAAAATTCCAGACAAATTGTTTAAAAGCTCAAATTTTCAGCCTAAATGGGCCTATTGTGAATCCAAAATTTTTGATACCTTGAAATTACGAGAATTTTCCCCCTAGAAATCCTGAGCATTTTTTCGAAGTAGGGTTGCTCTAATTTGCATACGGGTGTTCAGAAAGATTCTTAAAAAATTCAAAAAATTGACTTCTACAGTAGTGTGTCTGACCCTAATCCAAAATCAAATAAATTACACAATAATGATAGATAAAATGATTGCGCACCAAGTGGTTCTTCAAATGTCTTTCTCTCTTTTTCTTGCTCTTCTTTAGTTGTTTTCACTCACTCACTCCCCACCTCATCTATTATATTTATGACAGCACAGACACTGGACAGATGACAACTATCTTTTTCTTATAATATTCAAATCTGACAAGAGAATGGGCCTTTTTTTCGGAAATTCGAACCGAATTTGAAGAAAAACATCCAATGAAAATCGGTAAACCGTGAACATGTTATTATTGCTCATGTCGTGCCAAAAACGACAGATTTTAATGAGAAAGACAGATGACACCAATACATGTACATATTTCACCATTGTGCGTGTATGTTTTGGTGGTTCCTTTTTGCCTATATAATTTCAAATTTTCCTCCTTTTTCATCTTAGCACATGTTCCTTCCTTCCTCCTATCTATTTCTTTTTTCTTTCCATCTTCGATGATCAATCGATGCTTCTTTCAATTTCGCCAGTTCGCGCCCTCTCATAAATTATTTTGTGGTGGGTTGAGCGGATAGCATGGTGTGGCTAAATTGAATGAATAAATTGAAAACAATTTCGAAAATCTAAAATCTGTTTGGATTGTTATCTTCTCAAGTTTTTGGAGATTTTGTTGGTGATTTATTACAAAGGTCTTCAAGGAGTACGGTAGTCTTTTGATAAGGCTTTGTGTTGAAAACGGTTTCAAATACTTTTTTTTTTAGAAACGAGGGAAATTTTTGATTAGCTTGAAACAATGATTTCACAGATCCGGCTCTGAACTGGAAAAGTGGGGCTTTGATTTTTCTGAAGCTTGAAGTCCCAGGCTTACGAAACTAGCTGAAATTCAGAATTTCAAGCTTATTGTTAGGTTTTCTAAAAATGAAAAATATTCAACATCATCAGTTTTTTGAACTACTCTTTTCGCTTTTAAAAATGGTTGATTTTCATCACGAGCTAAAAAATGAACTAATTGATTCTAAAAAAGTTCCCTTATATCCAAAGCGACGCTATTTTTTATCCATAGCCCCTTTTCCTTTCCAATCCTATCTAAAACATCATAAAGTTGGATTATACAAAGAAACACCTGTCAAAAAATGTGTTTTACATAGTTTTTGGTGTCAATCTCGTTTGACACCAATAACATTTTCACACCTTTTTTGTTCTGGGAATCATCCATTCTTCGATCATCTAAAAAAGGGAAGATTCTAAAGGTGACACTAAAATAAAAAAGAAGGGCGGAGTCGACACCAATAGGCGAAAGAAAAAAAAGAAGGGTAGTATGATTAATCAGAAGAAAAAGAAGAAGAAGAATGGGGGACCTTTTGGGTGTGTTTAGTTGTCTCTGTGACCAGGTTCCCCCTTCGTTTTCTCTGCGTCTCTAACCACTCTCTATTTTCATGCCATTTTTTGTGATGCCTGCTAGATAGCTGCTTGGGTTGTGTCTTCTTTTCTCTATTCGTCTTGTCTTCTATTTTTTCTGTTCTGTTTTTTTGAATATTTTATTTTTATTTTCATTTACCTTGTTCTTCATAAATTTAATAATAGGCTTTTTGTTTCATATAGGTAGTAATTAGAATTGTTTTGAAATTTAATTATAACTATTATTAGCGAATGTGACGTTTTCGGCTTCACCCTTTGGTGTAAAATAAATAATAAGAGAAATTATTTTTGGCGCCAAAGAATGTCAGGTGGCGTTTTTATGAGAAGAAGCAACATTTTGTCTGTCAGATATGTTTAATAACACACACAACATTTAAATAACATTTTTGAATTGAAAAAACTTTTTTATTTCATTTATTTTGTTTATAAAAAATAAACAAAAATATTTTGAAAACATTATTTGGAAACAGTTCGCTGCGAGACTCAAACGAGTGAATGTGTGCTCCTTTAAAATACCCTACTGTCATTATTTATTTTATTTTTTTTTGCAAAATCTCAATTCCACCCATATTTCGCAGAATTTCGAGAGATTTTCAAGACTAACGTTTCAGAAAAATCTAAAACTCATCATTTTCGTAAAACATTCTCATTTTGTACCTACATCTTCCTCTACAACCTCATTTTTCATCCAGTTTTTTTTTCTTCGTTCATTTTCTCTATTTTTTTCTTGTTCTCATCATTGATTCATTTTTTTCCCTCATTCGAACGTACGTTATCAGCTCTTCAAAACGTTCAGTTTTTTTTCCATAAATTTATATATGGTTTTCATTTTCGCCCCATTGCACTTCTTCTCCGTTTTCTTATTTTTTATGACGCCTTCCCCCACCCGCCAATGACACCCAAAAACCTGTTACTTTTTTTGGGGTGGCTGTTCTGGCGTCTTTTTTTTCGGGTGGTGAAAGTTGTTGTTGGTTTTTCTAGGTCGCCTTGTTGTTTTGTTTCTATCTTATTTTTGAACTATTTATTTATTACTCATGCCCGTTTTTCATCTGATTTTTGATTAAATGATTGAAATTAAGTTCAATTTTTGCAGGCCTTTAAACACAAAAAAATAAATGCAATAATGATGGCCGACGATGAAAATGGTGATGAGGTGAAGGTGTTTAGACGTGGAGAAGATGTGGATGATGATACAATGATCGGAGAAACATCCGAACAACAATTAGCTGATGATAAAAAAGAAGCAGTTTTAGAAGCAGAGTTAGAAGTTGGTAAGTTGTTTTTTGGGGATTTGGAGAAAAATTGGGAGAATTTGAGGCTTTCTGAATCGGTATCAGAGTAGCCTAATTTTTGTGCACATCGGGCTTTTTTTTGAATTTTCGAAAACAATTCTGACTCGAGTCTCATCTTTCGAAATTTGTCAAAAAATTAAAAAATTTCGTTCAACAAAAATTGAATTTTTCAAAAGAGAAGCATAATGTAACCTGACACCTCGGCTGAGGTCGCGGTTTTCAAAATTGAATTTTTACTCTAAACGTTTAAGACCGTTAGAACCATGCCTAGATAGTCTATTTCTCAAGAAGCCAGGCCTGAAAAGCTTTTTTTAACTTTGAATGTTATCCATCCTGATTCTGGTAGCTTTTTCCTCGGAATTTATTCAAAAATTCTACAGTAACCCTCATCTCTTCCATTCCCATTAGCTTTTTTCTCTTTGCCATCTCCAAAAATAAAATAAACAAATTACCACAAAAAATGTATTTATTTACATTAAACCTAATTAATTGCCAATCTTAAACTTTTCTTTCGCACCTTCTTCTTCCCAATCAAAAAAAAAAAATAACGAGCCACATGTCAAAAAATATTACAATTTTTGCCGTATCCAATAAAAATAAATAAATAGAAAAAAGTTTTTGTGGAGTTCAAGAGCGGAAAATTGCGCAATTCTCATTTACTAACCAGACATGTACGAAAAGAGATAATTATAAAAATTGCGCAACTTTTTTTCTACTTGTATACTACTACTGTTTGTTAATCCGAGGATTAAAAAAAGAGGAGACATATGGAATTGAATCAAGATTTTCGTTTTTCAGGTTCAAAATCAGGAACAAGCGCTTTCATCAAACCCGAACCTTCTCCATCTTTTGCCAGTTTAGCAGGTTTAATGCCAGGAGGTCCATTCAGTCCAGGATATGCTTTTCCAATGTTTATGCCGCTTATTATGGTGAGTTCTTTATTTTCGAAAAATTCAAAAAAATACAACAATTTCCTTTTGTCTTCAAAATGGTAATAGTCGGGTCCGGAAGCAATTAGCACCCACCCATTCATTGGCTCTCTTTTGTCTTTCTTTCGACGACACACCCTTGACACTTTTGTTTTTTTGAAAAAAACATGACAAAAAAGGGAATTGTATCGGTAACATTATTTGGGGGAGAAAGAGACAGTAATTACGATTCGATCGAGACATAATTTGAGTAGGAGAAAACGGAGCAAGACCTACATTTTTTGGGGGCGAGAGAGAAAATGAACAATAATTGGATGATGATGATTTTTTGGAGAATTTGGAGAGAGGGGGTTTCAAATTATCGTAGAAACTTGGAATGGTTTTGAGGGGAGAATTTCGAACCCTGATTTTCAGCCAAATTAAATATTAGAGTATAATTTTCAGCTTCTATTCTTGAACACAAAATTCAAGCTCTCTAATCGTCATAGAGTCTATTCTTTGACGTAACCTTTTTCCTCGTCAAGTTTTAAAATTCAAATTTCATTTCTCAAAACTCGTGAAAATCTTTCTGATCACTGATCATCAAAATCATAACACAAATAGGGCGAAAGAATGATTTCAAGTTCGAAAAGGTATGAGTTGCTCAGCTCAATTGCGAATCAGCACCAAAACAAATAGCATTCTTCGCAGATGCTCTTGCACAATCCGTGTCTAGATAATATACATAGATTCGTGTAAATAAACAGAGATTACTGTAGGGGCGTAATGTTTAAGCAAATATAATGGGAGATAACCAATGGGAGATTGTGAAGAAGAAAATAGATATTATGTAATTGGGAATTTTTGAATTCAGCTCGGGCATACCTCATTCAGAAATCTGTAAAAATCTGTTTTATCCTCAACAGCCTCTTATTTTCAGCCTCAATATGGATTACGAGCCGGACTTTCACCGAATTTTGTTCTCCCAATGCAAGCTGGTCTTTCACCTTCATTTAATATGTTTCCAACATCTCCATTTTATGGTGCTGCAATGGCTGCAGTTGCTAAACAACATATGGAAAATGCAGTTCCATTAGCAGCAAGTATGAGAGGAACACCATTGAATCCGTTGAATCAAATGAGAATGCCACCGTATCTAAATCCAGGAAATGGACATTTACATCAAAAAGAAAGAGGACATGGCGGAGGTGGAAAAATCAAAAAAGATGATCATATCAAAAAACCATTGAATGCATTTATGTGGTTTATGAAAGAGAATCGGAAAAAATTGCTGGATGAAATTGGAAATAATGAGAAACAATCGGCTGAATTGAACAAAGAATTGGGCAAAAGATGGCATGATTTACCCAAAGAAGAACAGCAAAAATATTTTGAATTGGCGAAAAAAGATCGAGAAGATCATAAACAAAAATATCCACAATGGTCGGCTCGTGAAAATTATGCAGTTAATAAGAAGAATAAGAAAAAGAGGAGGGATAAGAGTATTAGTAAGTTGTTTTTTGTTAGAAAATGAAAATATATTTGTATTTTTGTAGTTTCAGTTTCGGAGAATGGTGATCAGAAGAAATGTCGAGCCAGATTTGGTGTGAATAATCAAGAAATGTGGTGTAAATTCTGTAAGAGAAAGAAGAAGTGCGAATATTCGAGTGATAGAAATACAGATACAATGATGATGGATTTACAAGATAGAGGTAAGGAATTTTTGAAAATTTTTGTGGGATTCAAGAAATGGACTGGGCATTTTTGTGGATTTTTAGGTTTAGAGAATCAAATAAAGATGTTTCCGAATATTTTTAAAACCCGAAAATTCGGATTTTTTGAAATGTTTAAGACTTTGAAAATCCACGTTGCTAAGTTTTTTGAAAATTATTTGGTTGAAAAATCAACATACCAAAGTTTCTAGATCTTTTTTAATTCAAAAAAATTGAAAAATTTGTTTGACTTGAAAAATCCTCAAAATGAAATGCTTTCCGAATTTTACATCTCACGAAGTTCACCTGATCTTGAAATGTTCCCCATTTCTATTAATTTTGAAATCCAACATTTTTCATTTTAACATACTTTCAGGATCACTTGGCCCATCTCCATTAGCCTCTTCCATAGGTCGATCACCAATGGGTGCAAATGCTTCTGATTCAGAATCTGATGTCGAAGATGAAGATGTCGATCCAACAATTTCACAACAAGCAAGAGAAGTGATTATGCAAGAATCACTATGTACTTTATAAGAAAATCTCGAAGAAAACAATCAATAATCAGTTCAAATCCGGGTGTTTTTTCACTTCTCTCAATTTTTTCTAATTTTTCATTTATTATATCAAAATTAATTTATCTTTTTCACCTCTTCCTATACCTTTTTTTTGCTCACCAATTTCGCTGAATTTGAAACAGGTGCTCCCAATTCTTTCTCTCTTTTTTTTTTTGATTTTTTTCTGATTTCACACTATCTTTTTTGGTTTTTTTAGGGTATCTTGTGAGTTTAGGTAATAAAATGAATGACCAAAGAAATTGTGTTTCTTTTTTTGTATATATAGTTTGCGGTTCTTTTTTGGACCACAATCTCTTTTTTTGCTCTTTTTTGATGTATCTTTTCTCTTATTTATATTATGATGAAAATTTTTATTTTTTTTAAATTCAGAAGATGATTTGGTAGACAATTATTATGCCAAAATTTTTTGGCATTAAAGTTTTTCAAAATAAATTTTAGACGCCCAAAAATCTACAATAATCTGGATTAGATTCAAACATTTTTTTATTTCGAAAATCAGCCAGAAAAAATTGAAATTATTATGCAGAAGTAATTGCTTGAGGTGGTGAAAGATCAGTTCGAACTTCATTTTTCCGATCACGGATGAAACAAAACCAAACAGCCATTCCATAAGCAGGAAATACGAATAAAATATAGAGAAGAATACAAAGACACACCCAACCACTGCATCCACGAGATTTGAACAAAACAGCGAGTGGCTAGAAACAATATATTGGAATTGGGAATAGGATTAGAAAATATCTTGAGGTGGTACTGTAGTTTTTTTAAAGGATCAGATGTATCATTGCAATGAGATTTTATAAATTTGGCTTGGAAAAATTTTGCAAAAAATCCGGTTCTTTTTTTAATGGGGATTATCATAACTATCAAAAATGCAAAAAAAATCTGATTTCGAACTTCATATAATTCTCATCTTGATTCGAAATTCAAGTCGTTACAATTAAAACTAGAAATGTTTCAGAGAAAAACTTTAGAAGATCCTTCCTAGAAACTTTTCATATCATTACAAAGATTTCTATGGAGTTTAACTTTCAGAATTTTTCGCTCGCTATCTAAATTCTTCTGCTGCAAATTTCAAAATATTTACACTGAAAATCTTCTTTTTTGTTTTAAAGTTCAAGTTTTATCAATGAGGCCATTTTTTCAGAAAAAAATATTTTCAATTTTTGTACAAAGTCACATGGCTCTATGGAATTTATAAAAAATCATCAGGGATTTTTTCTCGAAGTAAAAAAAGTTTAAAGATTTTTTTTTGAAAGTTTTAGGGATCAAAATTCAAAAGGCACTTGGGAGATAATATTTTCAGATATCTAAAAAATTTCAAATCCTCACCGGTAATGCGATCAATAAAATAGCCATAACAATTCGATCATTTTCAGTTTCAACATATCCAGTTTTAGTGTCTACAGTAACTACAGTCATAATTATTTTATGTTTTACAGCAAAAAAATTGGAAAGTAGAACAAATGGCAAAAATGATTTATAAATACTTTTTATTTACTTTTTTCTCTTTCTAATCTAATGTTTGTCGAGTTCATTTTTTTCTCCAACTCTTTCTCCAATGTTTCCGCCTATCCGATATTCTCAAAATAAATATGACGTTTTTACCAAAGTCACAAAATTTTGGTTGCCTGCTCTTTGAAAAATGATAAACATATGAGTAAGTAATTAAATTGTGGTTTATGATTTTTTTGGCGAAAAAAGGAAAAAGAAAATCAAGAAAACTTTGATTTTTGTGTAAACTTCAAGAAAACAAGAGGGTAAACAGAAAAAAATTATTCACTATTTATTTATCAAACAAAGTTTTACCTGTGTTAAGAAACTGGTTGGATCAGAGATTTTGGAAAAGAGAGAATTTTTAGATTCTCTAAGGGTGCGCAAATAACATCTTAGCCTAACTCGGACATCCTGAAAATCGGCCTCAGATCTTCCAATTCCAAAAGTCTGAAAAAACACGTGACCCATTATTTTCGAGAATAAAAATTTTACGTGTTTTTTAAATCCAACCAAAAATTCGAACCATTTTTGATTAAAAATTAGTTCAATTCTCATCGAAATTTTTTGCTAATATAAATATTGTCTCTAAATATAAAAATGTTGTTTGAATTCATCACTCTGGTTTTTGCCACCGCATTTTGTTGTTGGTATTGGATTTATCAGGGAAAAGTGAGTTCTGCCATTGCTCATTTTATGTTTCAAAAAATAACATTTTATAGCAAAATCAAAATCAATCAATTCGAACACAAACATCAACAAGATCTGCACAAACCACAAGATCATCAAATTTCACAGATACAGATAATGTTCAAACAGCAAGATCGATGCGCGATTTTTCAATTTGTTCAACTTCTTCGCTGGCTCCATTGGAATCAAAACATGATAGATTGATAAGTCCAATTAATGTCAATACTCCATGTTCTGAAACCGATTCGAGATCAACGAAAAATACGGTACTCCAGAAAAATTCTGATCAAAGAATTCTCATTTTCTTCCAGCTCGCAAAATCTCCATCCGATTCACAACAAAATACATTGAATGGAAAATCGGAACAATGGCCAGTTTCTACAGTAATCAAGGTTTGCGAATGTATTTATTATTCACTGGTTTTTTACATTGGAAATTTTTCAGGATTCAAAAGAGAACAACAAACAAAAAGAACAAGCTTATAGCACTTCTCAATGGCCAGGAGCAACAAGAAAATTTTGAAATATTCTAATGAACATTTTTCTAGTACTCTCGGGACTGCGGTCGCTGTCTGGTCGCACTTATGCGACCATGTCGCAACTTATGCGACCAATTTTTTCCGTCGCACAAATGTTTTTTTTTCGCGACATTTGTCGCACTCTCATCTCAGATTTGCGACACTCGGTCGCATTTTGAAAACAGCGTTGCGGCAGCAGCCGCAACTTTTCAAACTGAGTTGCGACGGGCTGGTCGCATATATGCGACAACAGTCGCATATTCAGCGACCCCAGTCCCGAGCTGTTTTTTTTCCAAGATTACCGGTATAATTTCGAACTACAGTAACCTGATTTAAAAAATTATTTATTTTTCTTACACAATTCCAAAATAGTATCCGAATCCAAAGATCTGAGCGGCGATTTCGATGTTTCTTCTGTTGAATTGACTCTCGAAATTGATGGACTCGGAGTTCGCGAATATGATTTTGGATCTTTTTCGAGTAATTCTTTACTTTCACCAAGTGTTGGAGTATTTGACTTTCTGCTTTGACATGAAGCCAGATTTTGCATTTTGTCGGATTTCGATAAATTTGATTCGGTTTCATTTACAACGTCGATTATTTCTTGCGATCGAATCTGAAAAACTTAAAATTAGAAATTTTGAGAAATACACACGAGAATGAATACGAAATTTCCAAAAGTAAACATTTCATTTTATTCTAGAGCATCAGAGCTTCTATGTCAACTAGCCGGGCCTAGAAAAATAGATTGTCAATCAGCGTCTAGAGATCATATTTTCTAAATTACATCTAAAAATCCACACTGGGCAAAACGCCGCTCCTTGAAAACTTATCTAAATCCTAGTAGTCAAGCAGCCCCGCCTAAAAAGATTTTTTAGAGAATCAAAGCAAACTTACTTTGAAATACATGCATTCTTCAGACATAACCGTAATTTCTTTGATTGTTTCTTTTTCAAACATTTCCTCATTTCCCGACAATTTCAACATTTGAAAAATATGTTTCAACGAGTTTTTTCCAGCAATAAAACAAGGAACACTTCCATCTTTTTGATCAACACTAACTTCTTGATGAATTTCATCAACTCCTCGATCAATTTCCAATGTTCCTTTCCAAATAACCAAGAAAATATCAGGTTTGATTGAAATTACCTCATTTTTTGCCGCTTTTCGAATTTGTGTTGATCGAAGAAGTTGTTTTGCTTGAAGAACATCGATTCCAAATTTTTGAAAAACCGGACATTCGGAAAGAACACATTGGATTATCAATAATTGTTGACAAAAACTCAATGGATATTTTGGATCACTTCCAGCTTCGCGACACCAATTTATAACTAATGAATTTGTATAATTATTGAATTTTGGTTCTCGACTAATTGTTTTTGTTTCATCTTCCAAATCACCAAATATTTGTTCAAGAATATCTTCAATTGTTATAATTCCAATCACTTGATAAGTTGATTGTGTGAATTTGATAACAGTTGCAATGTGAAATCCACCAGTTCTCATTTGTTGCATCAATTCTTGAACTTTCATTTCAGAAATCACATATTTCATCTAAAAACATTTTAAAGTTGAATTATTTATTTTATTAATCAATTTACTCACCTGCGCTCTAGTTCTATCTGTTTTTGCAATAATTTTCGAAACTGCCGGTGCACTTTTCAAATCAAAATTGATAAGTTCTTTGACATTGAGAACAGCGAAAATATTATCCGAATTTTTGTCATCTCGAATTGGAACACGAGTGAAACCTTTCTCAACCAATGTCAGAAGAGTCTATAATTTTTGGATTGATTTTCTGAATCTTTTTTTCAAATTTCTTACAGTTTTTGTCAGCTTTTGCGATGCTGGAATCAAGAAAACTTTTTCAATTGGTGTCATCACATCTTTAACTGTTTTTGATGAGAATTGAGTGGCTCTTTCGAGAATTTCTGCAAAAAATTCGAATAAAAATAATACTTGATTTTCAAAAAACCCCTACTTCTCTCCTTCGAATTCGAATTCTTCGCCATATTTCTAATAATATTCAATTTTTCTTCTTCCGTCATAACTTCTCTAACATCTCTTCCCAAAAACATATCAATTATTTTGGAAGCTGGCCAAGCAACGGGAGAGCAAACGATGAATATGATTACTGTAATTGGCCAAAGTCCAGAAGGCGAGTACAAATCCGAATTTACTATTACAAACAGCTTGTGGAAGAAATTCGGCGAAGATGAAAAGAATGAGAGTTGGAACTATTATTGAGAGAATTTGAGCGTGTTCGTGCTGAAAAAATAGAATTTCATTTTCAAAGAAAAGAAGTAGAAACCCACACTTTCCAACATTCTTTCAACACTGGCTGTAAACAAAACACTATGAAAAGTGGAGCATAATGAAAATGTACAAACAAGCCAATTTGATCTACTTCGAAATTTCAGAATTCGACGAGCTCTAGTTTTAACCGGTTCTTCGTAATCCAACATTCTTTGAAGATCTGTGATTGAAAATCGCATAAATCCAATTGTCATTCCAGAACTGAATGCAGACATCAAAACACAATAAACACATATCATTGAAGACGACCAAAAACTTTGAGTTGTTGATAATTCATGACGAATTTCGAGATTCTGAAAAATAAGTTCAATATTTTATCGACCTTTCCACAATCCTTCGAGATTTTTGATAAAATTTTAGTAGTTTTCGACCAGAGGATCAAGATGTAAAAAATAGTAGAACTCAACTTCTAATATGAATTATGACGTGGCAAAGTTTGAAGAGTTCCCTTGTTTCCCCAAAATATTACCTCATGATAGGTTGAATTTGAATTAGTATTACATAAATGATATACAGGATTTTCAACTGTAAATGGCAATCCTTTTTCGATTTTTAAATATGCAAATCGTCCAAATGTTTTCACCATTTCATTCTTTATAACAACTGTACTTTGTTCGCCCAAATCTTTTCGATCATAATCTTCGCATCTCGATGTTGTAGTGAAAAAATAACCATTTCCGGGTAGATTTGTTCCAAAAACTTCGATGTTGAATTCAGTATTTCTGAGAACTTCGAAAACTCGATAATTTGAATTTCGAAGACCAGAAAGACGAATACGATTCGCTGCTAATGACGTAATTATAGTTATGATTAGAATTTGTAGAATTCCCATTTTCGCTGGGATAGAAAATGAGGGAAATATTTATTGATTAGAACACGTTGACATTTAAAATATAGGTCACGTTTTGAAAAAAATCATTTATTTATTGATATTATTTTGAGAAAAGGTTGGAGAATTTATTATTACAGTGGAATTAATTTAGATTTATTCGAAGTCGACTAAGAAATCATCAGGGACAAATTCACAGTCGTCTGCCTCGATTTCATCATAAATTAAACCATTTTCAGTAATTTTTCGAACATGAATAGCTCTATCATTTTCGGATAACAAATTTCGAAGCTGTTCCAAATTTCTACGAATTCGAGCAACACCGCTTTCCACTTCTCCAAAATCTTCCATTCGATGGTCTCGATGTTCCATTTCGAGCTAAATATTTATTATTTTTTCATATTTTCATTAAAACAACTGTAAATACTTACTTCATAAATTTCCAATCTTCTGTTCTCATCTTTTAAAGATGCAGTTAAAATATAATCAGTATTCGATAAAAAGCATTGCATATACTCTTTCAATGAATGTTTTCGAATTTCTCGAGGTTTTCTTGTCATTTTCAATTCCACAATTTTATCGTCATTTGGATTTCTCGAATCTGTTTCAGCAGAAGATAACACACTCAAATCAGTCCCAACAAAATGAAGTTGATTAACAATTTTTGTTCGAATTCCAGTCCAAATTACTCTCATATTATTTGTTGCTTGCATATAATATGGATCTTCTGTCATCGATTTTTCGAATTTCATCGAAATATGCGAATTTTTGTCATATTTATAAAATTGACTTGTGACACAAAGAAAAATGACATCCTTTCTGCGTACAGCTCGAAAATCCACAGAGCAATTCTTTGAAAGTTTGACAAGGAGCCCTCGACCACACACAAATTCACATCCAATTCGCTGGAAAATTTCACAATCACAAAATTTGTTGAACAAAATATTTATGAAAGCCAACCTCTCTCAAATTTCGTTCATTTGTTTCCATTTTTTGGATGAAACTCAGAATAGTTTCCAATTTCTCTCCAGCTCCATTGTCGATGTATTTCTCGCGATTTCTGAAACTCAAATCCAACACTTCTTCGCGTTCCAGATGTTTGATTGAATTTAATTGTGGAACCAAATGATTCTTGAGATATGGTGCTTCAATACCCATATCGATTGAAAATCTAAAATTCGAAAACCGAACTCATTATTGAAAATATCTGAAAAAAATACTTACGAGCATGTATTGTTGTTTTCCAAAGTTCCGATCGATCGAAAACAGCCAACATAATTGAAATTGATGAGATTTTGCTGCATCTGCGTACTGAAATAATATTTTAAAACTAAATAAAACTTTCAAAAACAAGAAGGCAGACAAACGCCAGGACCAAAAAGTTTTGAAAGAAAAATACCGAAGTGTCGTTAAATAAAATGTTTTTGTGCAGTGTTTGCAGAACAATGCACGGATAGTGTTCACCTACAGTACCCCACAATTTTAATACAAGAACAATCTCATGCATTTGAAATGTTTCGCAACAGAAAATTCAGAAAAACTAATGCACAACATATCAGCCCAGTGAAAATCGATGAGAGTGAGGGAGACGAAAACAGTTTCTTCGCTGATTGATAAGACTTTTGTAATTGCAAGAAATTAATTCATTCAGAACTTCTTACGGTTCAGAACAAAAAGTAATAAAAAAATAATTAAACTTTGGAAAGAGAATTCTCTAGAATTAGAACTTCTAGAACAGCAAAAATACAATCTATTGCTCATGGTATTTAATTGCGCAAACAAAAAACGCGCCAGTGTTGAGTGTAAAATATTTTGCTTTTTATTGCAAATTTAATTGACAAATTATTTTAAAAATAATATAAATAATACAAATAACAACCAAATATATAAACAATAAGTTTAAAAAGTTAACAAAAAGTATTTAATGTTTCAACAATAGTTTTTTCATGTGATTCAAGAACAAATTTCACATCCATATCATGAATGAGTTCAGCTTTCAGTCTACCCGCAGAACTTTTGAACCAAAATTGAAATTCTTTGACTTTTCCAATAAAATGATAATAGTCGCCGGTATTTTCACTTGAACATTCTGGAAATACTCCTTTCAAAAAACTGACAATTTCTCGAATATTATCCGGTGTAATATTCAATCTTGCATCAAAAGCCAAATCTTCTTTTTCGTATGAAGAAAACCATTTCTAAATTTGAAAAATTAATATTTTTGTTTCAAACTGGAAAAAACTAACCAAAAACATTTCCTTCAATCCTGCGACTGTGATATGTGATGGAAGTTTATAATCCTCGTGACAGAAAAATGACTTGAGTTCCATTTTTGCATAGAAATCATCAAAAATATCGAATTGTCCTTCGATTGTTAATTTTTTAGCGGTTAAAAGTTGTGGAAGATCAGCAACGTTTGTCGAGTTTTGAAATCCTGAACTTATTCTGACTTGTTGAATTGGCGATTCGAATCTTTGGATCCACCATGATAATAATTCTGGGTCTTTTTTCAAAGATGACAAATTTATATCCAATTTTTTGGTTTTGCATAAACGAACAGGAAAATCACATCGACTTGTCTGTAAAAATTACAATTATTTCTATAAATGAAAGTTAAAAAAAAAAAGAATGCTCCGTAACTTCGGAAAACATCGGAAAAACAGGAAACAACCCGGGGGACTAGGATGTAAAAAGGATGTAAATCTAGTCCTCGTGTGTTTTTTTTTATTTTGAGTTTTTTTTTTGAGTTTAGTTTAAATTTTTTTTGGAAAGAAAATTCAACTTACCGCATACATACTAACAGAATCAAAATGAACTTCGCTACACGAAATCAAATCCATAAACCATTTAGCCGAAACTTTCATATAATCCCCATCTTCATCATAAACATCATCAAGTTTAGTTTGATTGAAATATCTTTCAATAACAGTTCCTTTTTTATGTTCTTCTCCTTCGACTGGAAATTTACTCGGACACAAAAAACGAACATGAATTTTGATATAATTGCAAAGTGTCAAAACTATGCTCGTATGTTTAATTGAATTGATTTCTCCAGTCGAATAAACAACCAATGGAAGAACAACTGGAATTGAATCTAAAACATCCAGATCATCGTGCAAATCTTCGTCAATTCGAGCTCTGAAAAACAAACAAAACTTGTGATTGAAAACAAATAAATCGCCACCAACCTTTTTTGAGCCAGGAAAAACTCTTCAATCTGGCCACGGAATTCTCTCGGAACATCGAGAAGCCACAAGTCTCTTAGATCCGATTTCGTTGCTTCCATCATGATTTCCGATAAACTGAAGTTAACTTATTTTTGCGCAAAAATTTTTTTTTGGAAAAAACTTTGACAAAAAATTCAATTAGTCGCGGGTAGATCAAAAACATTTCTCACGCATTATTTTTGAAAAATGAAGTGAAGTTGAATTCAGAGATTCGCTGGCCAGCTGGTCACTAGGTGGGACCGACTGTCCATCTGAAATTGACACGGACAACCACATCGCCCGTATTTTTTGCCAGGCGACCTGGTCGCGAGGTGGTTCAGTTCATGCAGACCACCTCGCCCAGGTTGTCCAGCTCGACCCGACCTCGCGTCCAGATCGTCTCGCTTAAGATAAAAAAGTCCAAAAAACTTGTGAATCAGAGCATTCTAGAAGAAATTGGCTCATTTTCTGTTTTTTCGGAGTACTAGGAACCTTAGGAAGTGAAAAAAACAGTAAAAAATGCACTATTTTGAGTACAAACCACCGTCTTGCTAGCTTTCCAGGATTTCAAACACACAGGCCACGTCGTCGGAAAACTCAAGGCGACCTGGTGGCCGAATCAAATTCAGCTCGTTTTGAACTTTCCGGCCACCTGGTCCTGATCTAGTGGCGAGCTGGCCAGCGAATCTCTGAGAACATTTTTTTTTTCATTTTTGAAACTTGAAAAAAAACTGCTTTCAACGAAAAACGTCATCAAAAATTAGTTAAAGTAGCATGCTTAAAAATAACAGGCTAAAAAAAATTCCAAATTTTTTTGCTCATGATATTCTTCAAAGTATACACGCCTACAGTAATTCAATTCTTTGTTATTTTTTCCTGAAAAGATAAATAACCAAAAACTGATTGAAAAGTATTTATTGCAAAATATTGCACTAAAAGGCGAATTATTGACGAAGACGTCTTCGAACAACAGCACTTCCAGAATAACTATTTGAAGACGCTGGTGCAGATGCAGCAGCTGGATAATCAGATCCCCCAGATGCTCCTCCAGCAGCATATCCTTCACCACCTCCACCTCCAGCCGCAGCCGATCTTGGTGGACATGGACAATATGCAGCATCAGCTCCTGGTGCACCATCAGCTCCCGGAGTTCCTGGTGTTCCTGGTCCTCCAGGTCCCCCATCTTTTCCAGCTGGTCCAGGAGGTCCTGGTGGACCTGGTGGACTTGCAGCAGCTTCTCCTGGTGCTCCCGGCGCTCCTGCAGGTCCTGGCGGTCCAGCTGGTCCTGGGGCTCCTGGCGAATTTGTGCTTTTAGTTCCATCAGATCCTGGTGCTCCATCTGTTCCTGGTGATCCTGGTTTTCCATCAGGTCCTGGTGGTCCAGCAGGCCCGGCTGGTCCAGGAGCTCCTGGTTCAGCAGCATTTCCGTCAGGTCCTGGTCCTCCGGCAGGTCCGGCAGGTCCGGGATTTCCATCAGGTCCTGGTGGCCCAGGTGGCCCAGCTGGACATTGAATGCAGTTTCCAGCAGATCCAGCATACGAATCAGCTTGTCCAGAAGATCCGGCTTCTCCTGGTGTTCCAGCATCTCCAGCATCTCCCGGTGTTCCAGGTTGTCCTGGTGGTCCCGGTGGCCCAGCTGGACAACCAGTTGATTGAGCAGCACAATTACATTGTCCAGAACCAGAATCAGCTGAACTTCCCGAATCATATCCAGCATCTCTTTTCGCAATATATCTTCCAAAAGTAACCGAGCTTGATTCCGAAACTCTTCCAATCATCATTTTTTCCCAAGCATCATTTGCACGCGATTTGAATTCAACCATTTCCGAGATGAAATCTTGTTCAAATTGTTGAATATCCGAAGTTATCGAATATAATGTTGTTAATGCCGAAATAACAATCAACGAACATCCAAAAATGGCAGCAGTCACGAAATAATAAGAGCCGGGTTTCGACATCTGAAAAATATAAGAGGTATTTAAAATGAAATTGCTACCAAACATTTAATACTTACAATTGAAATTCTCACAGTTTTTATACTTTTTGAAATCAAGATTAAACTGGTTTTATATTCGAATATATTTATTCATGATTATTTATCACATCCAAAAATCTACATATTTAAGCTAACTAGCTAAGCTATATGAAAAATAAAATCACAAATAAAATAGCATTACAAAAATAATAAGAAATAGAAGTAGAAAGCGATGATACAGTTAATTTAACCCGACTAATTTGAGATTTCTCTTGAGTGATAAATTGGTAATGTGCATAAAAACCAGTCGCATCAAATATCTCATTTGTCTCGAAAATCATTCGAAAATAATTGGATTCGGATAAAATGGGACCTTTTGGTGGGACTTTTCCACAAAACCGCCGATTTGTTCTGTCATGTGTTTGATAATTGGAAAATAATATATAATCACTTTGAGTTGTTGTATCGCATTGATTGAAACCTTCAACATCAAAATATTCGAAATGAATGTGAACAACTTGATCGTTTCGACCGTGAAAAATATATTCACATCGCATTCTTCTGAAAAATTTTGATTTAAAAAATTGAAGAAAAAATCCTATATTCTACCTTGGATAAAGTCCTGGATAATTTGGCGAATACAATTTTCCATTTGCATGTTCACTCGAATTAAATGAAAATTTACAGCCATCTTTTTCGACTTTAGCTTGCATTCCTCCCATATTCCAACCAGTGTGGAATTTATAATTTAATCGGAATCCGATGTCATCTCCAATGCTGTCACGGATTGATTTGGAACTCTGGAATCAACATATTTTTAGAGGTAAGTTTTCACTTAAAAACGTGTGAATGTTAGCTTTGAATTAAATAACGAAAAATATACGTTTCGAAATTATTTCTTTATAATTTTCAGAAAAATCAAAACGTTTATCCAAATTTCTATCACCAGCCCTAAAATATTTAACTGCATCTGACAAACCTTTGTGTTATATTCAAGTTGCAACAAATTCGAATTACTCATCAAATTCGGTGGCTTCTTATCTCCACACCATTGATCAATTCGAGAAAGTCTTGATTCAACTCGAACATCTGCAGACACATTATCGATATCCGTGCATTTTTCCGAAACATTTTTATTATCCGGAACATAGAGTTTGAAATGTGTAAATTGTATACTTATTTTCTCATTTGGATAACCTGAAATACAGAAGATCATAAATGATTAAATCAATTCTTGTTCCAAAACTTGCCCTGAAATACAACTCGACATTTTGTTGGCAGCGAAGAACTCGCAAATTTGCCGATTCTCTCCGATGATACTTTTCCTTCCTTAACATTTTCCGAATTGATGTTCAATTGACATTCCGATGAAGTTCCTGCAAACATTTCCGTTAAATTTCCTACTGTAGATGGCGGGGAAAAATAAATAAATACTCTTGTGTTGAAATTTGATTTTGTCTTTTTTTTATGTGTGGGAAAGAAAATAGAATTTTAATGATGATGTAAATTTGGTTGTTTTTTTTCGGAGAAAAAGCAAAACAAGTATTTTTAGATGGAGAAGGTTGGGAGTTAGGAGAACTCAATTGTAAATTTTGACAAAATGGAAATTACTTTTTTCAAAATTAAAAAAGTTGGATGTTATTTTTGGAGTAGGGAATCTAGACTTAGGACTTGGGCTTAGCGATTCTTGGCTTAGAGTCTAGATTTAGGAAATTTACAATAAGACCCCGAATAGATCCAGAAAACAAATAAAAATGAAAAAACTCACCACTTATCAAAAATATTATGAAAAACAATTTACAGTAATCTAATAATAATAATGTTTCAAAAGCATAGCAGCGCATAAGCGTAACCGCATAGACACAAAGTGTATAAAATGAAAAAAAAAAACGAAAAAGCTCTCCTTTTTTGCTCCACCTCTTTTCTTTTCCTTTCTTTTTTCTTCTCATCTTTTTTGGAGCAGTTCAACACAACTTACCCGAAGATTGGCTCCAAACCGCATTCGAGTACTGCAATTCGATTACGAAGCCAACGGCCTGCAAAAATATGTTGAAAAGAAGAAGAAGAAGAAGAAGAAAATAAAGATGGACAGACAAAAAACAAGAGGTCGACAAGTTTTTATGGGAACGAGGGACAAAAGTGGAGAAAATTAGTGAATGAAAAGTGCTTTAGGTTTGGGGGAGAAAAATTTTTAACTCGGGAAGCTTTAGATTTTTTTCTCATTTTTTTATGATAAATTTTAACTAGAACATTTTCAAAGAGGTTCAGGGAATTGAGTTTCTAAAAATTCTGGCTGGGGACTCCCTTCGTATGCTAGATCTGATGGATTAAGTGGACCAACAGAATTTGATGATAATTCTGCTGAATCAGGAAAACCTGCCGAAACATCTGTCCAGTTCACGTTTCTAAAATATTGATCACTGTTTTTTTCAAAAACCAAATTTCCCTCTCGTCAAAACTTGTTTTTCCCACATTTTTTACTCATAAATTCGAAACTAACCCTATTTTCAATGTTATTTCCAGTCGAAAAATAAATGAATAAAGAAGTTGTTGAAGTGACATAAATTGACTTTTTCGAACCGCTCGCCATTTCGATTATACGTTTTTCATAGTTCTTTAAAAAAAACATAATTATTGCGAACACTTTTTCAAAACAAAAACAAACTCCTTCAATTGATTCGAAAATCTGCAAAACCGAATCTCTTCCAATATCCATAAATAAACTATTAACAATTATTTGATAACCTTTTCGATGTGGTAAATGATATGTGCAATTAACATTTGATGGATAAAAATAGGGATATTGGGGAGAATATATTATTGCCTGAAACAAAAAAAAGTTTTGATTTCAAAAATTCTAAAAATTATTTTTTTTTCGTTGGCCTGATCACAAAATTTAAAAAATTACCTTATTTTTCTCAATTCTGAAACTACAATCAGCCAATTCAGTAGCTTCCGACGTGTAATTTTTCTTCGGAATTATCTCAAAAGATCCAGAGAATCCACGAGAACTATCCCTTGAATGACGAATTTGAACTAACATGTGCTCATCTCTGAAAAACTTATTCATTTTCCGAATTTTTTTCGATCTTCTCACTTTGAATAGAACTGTTTGCCACGCGGAATTTCTTTTCCACAAAATTCGAAATCGGCGCGTTCTCCAACATCGATCAATCCATCAGATGTGTGATCGTAGATTTTCAGCGAAGATGAACATCTGGAAATATTATCTTTCTGGTCAAAAAGAAAGGGAGAAAAAACTCACACTCCAATTCTTGGTGGAAGTTGGAAAACATCGAATGTCAGGCGGATTATGTGATCTTTTGGAGCCTGAAATTTGTAATAGATTTTTTGGGGAAAATATTTCAAATCGTTTTTTTTTCTGAAAAACATGGAATAATTATTCAAAAACTTTTTGTTTCGTGTCACTTTTCTGAAGTCCCAGGAGGTTTAATTTTTTTTGAATGATGATTTTTTCGGAGTGAAAAATGGGACTTTTTTCAAAAAATCCTTTCACAAATAATGTCGAAAAAACAAGTTTCAGATAATTATGTTGATATTTATCAGTTTTATTAACTTTGATGTCTCAAACCCACAAAAATCCTACCTGAAAATGATAAAACAAACATCGAACATTCTGTAATTGTGCTGGATATTCTGGTGAATGAAATTGTCCGCTTGTCGCATTAAAAAGAATACATTTACATTCATGATCATTCGCTCTGACTTCGAAGAAAAACCAAATAACAAAAACTAGAAAATTTCGAAACCACATTTGATATTTTACTCATCTGATGTTGCTTCTTTTACTTCTTTCATGGATCTAAAAATAATAGATGACCAAAAGAAATTACAGGGGGGATTATTTAAATGTAATGAAAATGAGAAGGGCAACAAAGGAAAATAAGAAGAAGGTGGTAATTCGATAAGAGACACAGGAAATTGAGAAATTAAAGATGGGATTATGATGGGAGGAAATATAGGCAAAGAAGAATGAGAACGAAAGTTTTGAAAAATAAAAAACAAAAACTCTTGGGACTAAAGATTTTTAAAACTGATTTTTTAGAGGAATACATGATGAGAAAAATGATGGGGATTAAATCGAGAAAAAAGCAATGTGTCAAGGGGAAAAGTGCAAGTTTTAGGAATCTTTTGGAAAATGATTTTTTTGTGAACTTTGAAAAAATCAGAAGTTCAGAATGCTGCAGTTTTTTGAGCAAAAAGACTAACTGGGTAAACATGAGAAATTAAAGTTCCTGGCAATTATCTCCACCTTTGATTTTTTTTTGAAATATTCTGAACTAGAAAAAATCTGACAACTCTTGGGAAAATTCTCAAAATGGTCTATATATTGATGGCTTGATTCAAACAAAAATCAAATCTGGTCCATTTTCCTCATCGAAAAAAAATTTATCCAAACTCTACAGTAACCCAGATCTCATTCTCGAACACCCAAAAAAGAAGTCGGACAATAAATAACAAATAATAAAAAGAAGACCAAAATAATTCAATATTGAGGAAGAAGAAGAAGCAAAGCAAATGAATGGAAAAAAAGAAGAAGAAAAAAGTGTGAACATGTCCATCCAGAAAAGTAGAGGAAAAGATGACAAAGAAGAGAAAAGCTTGTGAACCACCAAAAACAAAAAAAAATTGGAAGCGTGTTTTAATGGGTGTCTTGAGAAATGAAATGAGAATCAGAATGAGCAATGAGAACAGGAAAATAGATATGGCTGAAAGGTGTTACGATAGTTTCATTCATTATGAAATAATTGAGTCAACGCCTTTTTAAAACTAGGAAAAATTGCAAATCTGAAGAAAAACAGAGAACACCAGAAAAAAAAACTGCAACATTTTTTCGCGCTGCGATACCAGTCAAAAATATATTCATGCCTTTTTCTGTTTGTCGCGCGTAAAAATAGATCAAAAATACGGAATTCAAAAAGAAACACCTAAAAATAACAGTCCTTCAAGAAATTATTTTGAACACATAGTTCACTACTGTAAAAAATTCCAAAGACTAATTTTTACAACAAAAAAGTTCAACTACTAATTTTTGTTAAAACTAATAGGAACAACTAAAACTTGCATATTAGAAATATTAATGAGCAATTTATTAGTTTTTTCGACAAAGTGAACGACGTTGTTTATTTTTATGAGCAGGAAAGACAACAAAAAAATGAAGAAAAGTAGATGTTTTCCATTTCTCTCTGAAAAAAAACTCAAAAACTTGAAGTTCGTCAAAAAAAATGTGATACTTCCTTTTGACTTCCTCCGACGGCGTCAAAAATTAGTTTAGAAGCGAGAAGAAGGCTCTTCTTTTGCGGCTTCGAAAAAACTACGAAAAATTGAATCATCGAAAATGATGACTTTTCCATATATGTGATGTATGTCAACATCTATTTTTGAACAAAAAAAGGAGGGCAAAAAATATGAAGAAAAAGGAGGAGAAGTTGAAAAACAAGTGCGTGAGAAAAACATAAAAAGTGCGAAGTAATAATAGAAATAAAAAATGTTGTGTTTTAAGTAGAAAGATGCTTTTGGATGGCAATTTGAGCAAAAACAAATACTTGACAAATTCTTCATTTTTCGATTGTATTTTTGACGGAAATTGAGAAGCTGATGACAATGAGAATATTCCCTTTTCCTTTTAGGGTTTTCCGGATTGACACAAAAATACTTCAATTTCAAATTAAAATGAAAATGAATAGATTACTGTAGACCACGCTATGAATTCGATAAAATATTGAAAAATTACAGAAAATTGAAAAGAGTAAAGTTTCTACAGTACCCACAAAGAAATTCCTAATTTTGATCTATAACAACTGTTGAACCTACAGTACCACAAAAATGTATTATTGTGATTTTCAGAAAAGTGTTGATTTTATTCCAAAGTTTTTACGGTAGTTTTTTGAACTACTGTACAAAACCGTTATACAAGGAAATATGAATTTTGGTTTTTAGTAGCTAAAGTTTTAACTACAGTACCCTTGAAAATATTTCAGCTTTCACCTACAGTATCCCAATTATTTTCTGGCCTAAAGTACGAAAAACGAATGTTTTTCAAAATAAAATTGTTCAAATTCGCGTTGAAAAGTTACCTGTGCCAAATAATTTCATTACAATTTTCATTTCCAAATTCTATTTGATTCTATCACAATCGGGATGATTTGGAACTGTCAATTTATGCGGAACTTCTTGCCAATTTTGTGGTTTTCTATGATAAATACAACGAGAAAATGGCATTATTGGATTTTTGATGGGTTTGACCTGAAATTTTTTGTTTTTTATTTCAGAAATCTCAAAACTAAACACTTACCTCATTTCCTTTCACTCTAAATGAATTCAATTGAAAACTTTTAGCTTTATTTGCTATCAAAATATCATCAATTGATTCCATGATAACATTTTCTGTTATTTTGACCATCGAGTTATCGGAAATCACAACAACGTGTCTGCAAAAAATTAACAAAAATTAAAAATTGATCTGTGGAATTAATTGTCTTACTTTTGCTCAATTTTTGATATTTTTCCAGTGAAGAAATCAACAAATCTCGAATTATATGCTTCCAATGATTCAGATTGAGCAATTGTTCCAAATGGAATATATTCTCGATTTATTGGATAACCAAGGCCAAAATAAGTTTTTGGACTTATCAAGAAATCTTGAAAATTTTTGGGGAAAAATTGGCGGAATGGCAGAAGTGCTGGCTCGATGCAAATCTACAAAAATATTAATTTTTATTCAGATGTGTTTTTCTAACAATATAAATTGTTTACCGAAGTGTAAGAAGTATCTAATCCTTTGATTATATTGAATGCGGTTTGAATTGACTTCATTTCTGGCGAACAAAATATTTCGTATGGTTTTATTCCAGCGTCTGATAAGCCTCTTCCATATGTTTGTGCAACAATACAACCTCTTTCAGTTAATGGTGGATCATAACGGTAATGAAGAGATTTTCGAGGAATAAGAACTGCAGGCATATTAACATCATAAGGTTCATATTCTTCTGTACTTTTTCTGTAGCATAATCTGATCCACTGTGGGAATATATTGTTCATTGTTTCGGCATGTGATACTTAAAAAAATTTAACTAGGTGGTCTCAAAAAATATTTTGAAACTTTTTTCAAAAAAAAAAACAAAAAATCAAGCCACCTAGGGGACTCGAACCCCTGACCTTAAGATTAAAAGTCTCACGCTCTACCAACTGAGCTAAGGAGGCCACATTTTTCATGTTGTGAAATGTCATAGAGAAGGGAGAGGCGCCAAACAACTCTGCGTCTCTTACATCACATACTTATCGGACAGCAGAGTGTGTCGATGCTGAGAGAACAGCAGAAAAATGTAGTGCATAAAAAGTTAGCGAAATAACAGCCGCCATAGCTCAGTCGGTTAGAGCGTGGGTCTAATAAGCCCAAGGTCGCAGGTTCGACCCCTGCTGGCGGCAAATATTTTTTAGAAATTTTAGGCACAGGTGGTGGGCTGGCAACCCGTCTCAGACCTGTGCCGCACCAGTGTTCCGAAAACCGGAACCGACCGGTCTCGCACCAGTATGACACCCGTCAGAGTTCCTGATCAGGGGTCAACAAGGGGAACTTGAAAATGAAAAAAAAGCTATATGTAGAGGACCAATGTCCCCAGAAACCAAAAATATAGACTTTGTAGTCATGTCCAATACGGACTAGAACAGCTTTTCATAGAACCTCTAATTCGAAAAAGCAAGCAACACTCGCTTCTCTTAAACAAACTGACTCGCAGACAGTTGGCTGTTTGTGCGTCTTGCTATGTTTTGTGTGGGAGATGGTCGAGCAGTATGCGACCCGTGACGCGCCAGTTTTAGGCGACCCGTGACAGGTCTGCACCCGTCTGACACCAGTAACAGACCTGTGAACGGCCAATTTCACTGACTGGTGCGCTACAGGTCTGAGACGGATTGCCAGCCCACCACCTGTGGGGGCATTCTTCAAAAGTACCACTATAGGGGTACTATAGGGGTACTACAATAGTATTTCTCGTAAAGAGTTGAAATTCTCTATTTTTGGGTTTCCTTGCTTACCAGCTACTACAGTCAATTCTCCATTGGGATGACAAGCTTTCGCTAGCTGGCTCAAAAGTCGATCATCTTCTTTGCTTCCATTTTTATTCAAGCTCTTTTTGCGTTCATTATCTGTTAAATCAGTAAAGTATATTGTAGTTGAATTGAAGACTCACTTATTTTCCTGTCAGCATCCATTTTTCTAATTTACCAAAATAAAGAGATTTCAATCATTTTGTTTCGATTCAAAATAAGTTCACGTTTTTTGAAAACCCCTCAAAAATTTATTTATTTATTTATTTTTCGTTGGTTTTGGAGCAGCAACAATTATTTTATTGCCGAAAAAAGAGCAGGTAAATACTTCTCTTTCACCAATTATTCGATATATTTTACTGCCAAAATTGGTCCGTTTTGACAATTATTTATTATTTTTGGTTGAAAGGAAGAAGAATGAAAATAACGAACCAAAATAATCGCTTTAAAAAACGTAAGGAAAACGATTGTTTCTAAAAAAAGTTTTTTGAAAAAGGATTACGGTAGCTGGGCGGGGAAATGAAATGTACGCTGTTTCAATCTATTCTGACTTTGATAATACAGTAACCCAACTTAGTGAATTATCAAAGATTTATTCCCAAAATCCAAAGTTCTTTGAAGAATCTCAAAAGTATGTCACTCTCTTTGAGGTGCCACATTTTTTTCAAAAAAAAAAAACGTAGCTTCTGCTAACATAATATTTTTCCCCCCATCTAAATTAATTAAAAAACGAGGCGAAAAAAGCCTCGACGCGAGCTCCGACTCGTTATCCACAAAAATTAGTCTCATCAAACCAATCCTGAAAATACATATGTATAACTATTTGCTTTTAATTAAAAAATACACACATATATTTCGCTATCCTAGGCTTGGCTTGGCTATCCTTTCCTTCCTTCATTTACTCATTTTCATTCATTTTTTTCTCCCGCTCATTTGTCCGAACAAATATGCCGTGTTTTTTGTCGTGGTAGGCAAGCAGCCCTTAATTTTTGCTGCGAAAATTAATTCGAAATTCAAAATTCAATTAAATCAACACACACACGACAAGTGGGTCCGTAAATTCATTCAAAAACAAATTATTTTTTTGTGTGTGCTTCTTTTTCTTTGCTCCAGGTGAGCAACAAGTTTCTTTTTGTAGAAGAAAACTAGGTTTTAGATAAACAAAGAATAAATGGATGAAAATTGGATGAATGAAATAATTAAGGTTTTTGTTTCCAATTTGTTTTTGAAGAGAGTAATGAGTTTTTTGTGTGTTTTTAGGCCGTGTATTCTTTTCCTACGGCAAGTCGGCTCACAATTGAGTTTGACTTTGATTACCCATTTCCGTCCGGATTGGATATAATTACTTTCGTCTTTTCTTTATTTATTTTTTCTCCTTCTCATTCGTCTTATTGGGTTTAGTTAGTGAATTTTTTTTCTGGTTGTTGAGTGAGCGATTTGACAAAGATCTCCAGTTACAGTAACTTTTTTGTGAAATTTTTTCCCAAAATATGTTTAGTTAATCAGTTGAAAATGAGTTTTTAATTATTTAGTTTTTATTTTTAGCTTCAGTTTTCTGTTTTTACGCTATAGCGAAATTAATTTTCGAAAACTCACAGAAAACATTAACACAGTTTGAAAAGCGCGGGGATTTTCACTGGTGGAACACATACACCGCGACGCAGAATTACACACAACAAACATTTACAGTAGTCTGATACGAAACATGTTGAGTTGGTTTTTGGTCAAAATACTGTTGGAATGTTACCTACATTTTGAATGAATTCTAGCCTTAAAATTATAAAATTGCGTACAAAAAAAAAAACAGACAAACAGGAACGCTTTAAAAAATCCAGGAAAAATACGTTTCTAGGATTTAGCTGAATTTCAGTAGTAGGACACATGCTTACAATTTATTGTTAATGATAGCAATAATAGTTTTTGAATGTTGACTTTCAACAAAATGAAAATTTCAAATTTTGAGAAATCCATGGCGTGATGTCCCAGGGTAAAATCTAGGACATCACGCTTGAAACTGAATAAAATTATTAAAGCTTGCGTGGGACAGTCCATCATTTCTGAATTCAATAGATTTTCGAAAATGAAATGAAAAGTGAGTTCAAAAAATTAGGTCTATCTTACTGTAAGTTTTAGAAAATATGTGAAAATTTGAACGTTGAGATTGGATAAAGCAGATATTTGGAAATCAAACGCTGATTTAAAGTTTGTGAGTTTTGGGTTCTGAAAACTGGAGGGATATTTTTTCGTGTCTAAGAATTGGTGATTTTCGGACTGATATTGATCTACAGTAGGATTTGAATGATGAAGATTTCTAAATTTATTGTAGATGGTGAAAGTTTGGATAACAAAATTTGATTTTGTTTTATTCACTTTTTCGTGAGGTATAGCTTTTAGTATGAGAGAATCAGACAGTGGATCACAAAATACCACCCGTTAGCGTGGATAATTTTTTGGCGCGATTCAGTTACCCTGTAAAATCACAACATTCGGATCTGTGCTGATTCCTTGTAAAAGTTATTAGATGGCTATCCTCTTTTTCTAATAAGAAATTTTCAGCTTCGATATTTTCTACAACTTTTTTGTGTTGAGAAATCCAACTTCTTCAGCCTACCTTTTCTAATTTTTCAATATAGAATTGTTTCAAATCTGTTCACCTGTTCATTTCAATTTTCAGAATGAAATAGAACAATTAAATGCTCTCCTCAAGGTCATCTCATTTTCGTTCTCACCCACAAAAAATATTTCACCCCTCCATCTAATTATCTTTTCATTCATTCATTCATTTTTTCAAAATCTTTTGGTTTTTCTCACCTGTCAGCTTCTTCTTCTTCTTCTTCCTTTTTTATTTCTATCCTATCCTATCCTAAATATCCAGTGAGTGTTCATTCATTTTTTTGAGATGTCTTGTCTTTTTTTTCGCGCACGATTCTTAATTAATGAAATACTCTTAACGAGAAGGATGGACAAGTCTTTTTCGGACCTCTTCTTCAGGAGTAAAAGAAGAGCAAGAAGAGCTGTGAGCTCATTAGCTCATTTCATTTTTGCCATTTTCTTATATAACACATTACAAAGAGCACATACGCTAATTTTATTAATTTCTTACTCGATGTATTTTATTTATACACTTCAGAAAAACACCATATTTTTTGTTTTGAACTGAATCGCAGGTGTTCGCAATTAATAAAAACATTGTTCGATTTCAAAAACTAACCCCTTAATCACCTTCAAATGTCTCTTTTTATGGGTTTATACACCTGGTTAATTAGAAAATATTGTAAATAAAAACAATGTTTTTCTATGTACTGGAAATTTTGAGTACTTCTGGAAAGAAGAATCTACAGTAACCCAATGGATTATATTTTAAATTCTGATTTCATAGACTTCAGGATTTTTGATAACATTCAAAGTCCAAATCCCTAAAAATCCATTTCTGTGAACTTATCAAATGGATCCTCTTGAAAAATTTTGTGAAATCAGAATTTAACAAGATTGCTTCTGAAATGATATATACCATTCAGAATGTCCGATAATTGGCCAGAAAAATAACCTTGCCACGTCACAGCTATAGTTGAAAATTATTTTTGATCTACCGTTAAAAAGTCTGATATAAAACTCAAATCACAATGTCAATCATTGAAAAAAAGTTTATTTTCAAAAAAATTCTTTCTAGATCCTTATGCTCAATTTTTTTTGAAAAAATACTCCAACTCCTCTACAGTAACCTAGCCACTTTATTCATTTCTACCCAAATCTTTTTTGTTTCACAAAAAACCCGAAAAGACACACACACATCTCTTTGAAATTAATTTGTGGAGTCTTCTTCTTCTTCTTCCCGAAATGGGTTTGCAATTAGCAATCGATGCAAATTAATTAAACAAACACACATACACACACAAATATAGACAAAGAACCGAACAACGAGAAAAATTGCAGAAAAAAAGCTGAAGAAGATAAAACAGCTACATTTACTTTTCCAGAATTTATATATTTCTCTGAAATCATGCATTTTTGTTTCAGGTAGATCTAGAGTGTGGCGGGCGGTAGAACAACGAAAAAGAAAACATAAAATAAGTGACAGATGGTTCGATTAGGTTGGATTATTAAAAGAGATTTAGCTTATGATACCTTTTTTTGGGTTTTTGCTTTGCTTTTTACCTTTTTTTTGCGGTAAATTTTTGAGACAAGCAGGTTTTCTTTAGCTCTGCAGAGGTTTTTGGTAGAAATTCTTCGTAGATTATTTAGTTGTTGAAATTCTGTTGTTTGATCTTGATTTTTGAGTATTTTTATTCAAAAGTCCCTGACTTTGAAATCAAGTATTAGCTGCATCATATTTTCGAGCTACTTACGAAATTTTGGCACTAAAACTTACAGAACAATTTCTAAGCCAACAAAGTCAATCTTTCGAAATAGCTGAGGATTTCGTTTAGAAGTTTCTGAAACTAATTTCCAAAAAATTAAATTCTAGTTGAACCACCTCAATTATTATAGATCTTCCTTCCCTTGAAGATAGAACAGAGCAACTCTAGAACTATTTTTCAGAAAGATCCTAAAATCCTTGGACCCCTTTTAGATTTGTGCATTCATCAATCTTCTCAGATTATACCATTCAATTTTTATTTACGAATTAAACTAGCAGAAAAAAAAAACGTTCTGCATTTATTCATTCATTCTTCTTCTTCTTTTTTTTCTCTCCAATTTTAGCCATATAATTAATCCGAGAGAAAGAGAGCGGGTGGGCAATAAAAATGCACTAATTCAAATAAATGCACACACAGCACCTCAAGATGATTAAAAAATCTCCCCGCGATTTTTCCAGTAGAACTGCTGTGTGTGCTTGGGAAAAACACGAGTTGAAAAGGTATAACAACATTAACGGAAATTAATTTATATTATATTATTTGAGTTTGGAAGGAGATTGCGGGGAAACGAGAGAAAAGTTAGTCATTTGTACTTTTTTTGATACATTTTTTAATTCGAAAAATCATCATTGAATTAGTTAATTTTTTGATTATTTTGATTAATTTTTCGGAAGACATCATTGTTTTTTGAAAATTTTCGTTTCATTTTTTTCTGAATCAAGCTCTTTTAAATCTCACTTCATGAATTTTTTTCAAATCCTCAAATATTAAGCTTTTAAGATCATTTCATCAAGCTTTGAGCTGAAATTCCGAGTTCAAATCCAAAGCTGATCAAAGTGCCACGTCAGTTCACTCCCGCTTTTTCAGAAAAATTGTACTCCAGTTTTTCTCTAAACAAATGTCCGAATTTTTTGTGCCAGAATTATCCATTTGAGCCTACTTAAATTCGAGAAATTTCTGATTTTTTAAACTTCAAAAACTAATTGCAAATTCAAAATGCCACGTAGAATAGCTGGATGGTTTAGGTTTGAAATTATTCCAAAAAATAAAATTTCTATTTTTTCAAATATAAATTCCAAAAATCCAAAATTATTCTTTAAATGTTGTTCATTCATTTTTCTGCCTATTTTTTACAAGTATATTTCTAAGATCTTCGATAATAATAATAATACACGAGACAACTTAATCCAATACTTACTACAAACTCAATAATTAGTACATTTTTTGCTGATTTTCTCACTTTTCTCCTTTTTAAGCAAATATTCACACGAATTTGTACGCGCCTCGTCTTGCCTCGAAATTTCTCCCCTTCTTCGTCTTTTTTCTTTCAAACATTGTAATTAAAAGTCTAATTATACCCGAACGTCTAATTCAACACGAAAAAACTCAAACCGGGCAGCAAAAAGAGCCGAGTCAAGCCGATCGGCTCGTTTCTTATTCTATCTGTCTGTAATATAACAATTCAATTCAATTATTTCATATCTATACATAAATAAAACAGAAAAATAATTTTTCTTTATTTTTGTCACTTGGCGTCGCTTTGTTATTAGTTATTCCAATACTACCTAATTTGATTTTTAATTCGATTTCTAAATTTATTAATTTTCTCCAGCTTTTTCTCAACAGCTTTTGTCCCCCCAACTTTTTCCTGTTTTCCTTTTTTTTGGGAGGGAAATTTTGAAAAAAAATTTTTTAGGAAAGAACTCATCAAGGAAAACAAGAAATTAGTAGTATTATCATCTCGATCTACTTAGATATTTAATTCGGATAATTTTTCTAATCTCTATTTTTTCTAGTCATTCAAATTTTCATTTTGTCTTCTTCTTTCTCTGGAAAAAAACATAACGTCGGCAAAAAGATGTATATTAAAATAATTAATAAATTTAATGGAAATTTTAATCCGCTTCTTCTTCTTCTTCTCCATTTTTTTGTCGTTGTTTTCTTATATTTGTGCGGGATATATTGAAATATTATTTTACTCTTAAATTAATATATTATGTCAACACAATTATTTTTTATTTTCAGCCGGTTTTTCTGCTATTCATTAAATTAAAGTAAAGCTATAGTTTTGAGAGATTTCGAAATGGTTTTTATTTCCAAATTAAAGCTTTTTGTGAAGATCTCAACTCTTATCAAAGAGATTTTGCTGTAATAGTAATGCTTGCTTTTTTGATTGATAAAATATCAAAAGCTTTTTGGAAACAATCATTATTTTCAATTTTCAATTTGATCTCTTAAAAATATAGAGATAATCGAAATCATATCCCTATTTTTGCCAAGTAGACGACCCCTCCGTTTTCCTAGTTCTCAAGTAGCCACGCCTAGAGAGCCTAATTGCCTAGGATCCACATCTAGAGATCCACGCTGGCAAGGATCAGCGCCTAGAGCATATTAGTCAAGAAGATCAACCTAGAAACCAATTTTGAACTCTAAAAATTATAATTTTGGGGCTTCCTCGAAGAATTCAGCAACGAGTCGAATGTTTTTCTTAATCCTTAATTTTCAACAACAAAAAATATTGGAACAATATTTAGTCTACAATAAAAGTCAGAAAAAATTCCGAGAAAACACTGAACCTTAGTTTTTTAAGGTTTCATATTTTCAAGACGGACCATTTTATTTTCAGCAGTTACAGCGCAGTATTTCGAAGGTCTTCCGGGTTACTGTAGTTCAAAAAACTTTTTTTTCGGAATCTTATATTTTTTCTCTCCACAATTCTTAAAATATTTGATTGACGTGTCTCAAATCTATAGTTGAATTAGCTGACTCTTACTTTTTTGCCCCCAAATAATAATTCAATTTTATTCTTACTTATATAAAGATTTCGCGCCGTGCTAATTCTTCTTCTTCTTCTTCATTTTTTCTTGTGTCTGTGTGATTTTGCTCCCCTATTCAAAATAAGAAAAGAAAAAAAAGGAGTTTTGAATGAATAAGAAATTTGAAATTAGATTTGGGGAGTTTTCGAAATGAAATGAAACGAAATGACAAGTCAAGTCTCTTATACAACAACTCGTTAGCACATCATCATCTTCTTCTCCTTCTTCTTCTTTCCTGATTTATTTTTGCTCATTTTGTTGAGAAGAGCCCTGCTGAGTATGTTAAACCTAATCTAATTCATCGCTTCGACAACTTCTTGACTTTCTCATCAGAAAATGGCCAAAAAAATAATAATGAAAAATATGGAGAAAAAACGATGGAGCAGAAAGAAAAGAGCACTGCATGAAACTTCAAAAATCTAGAACAATTGCCAAGGATCAGCGCCTAGAGATCTTAAAGATCTTAGTTCTCAAGTAACCGCGCCTAGACAGTATAGTTCTTAATTAGGCCTGAAGAACGTAATTGTCTAGGACTCAAATCTAGAGATCCACTCTGGCAAGGAGCCGCGCCTTATGAGCTTCTACACGAAGTAGCCCATCCTACAGAGTTAATTTGTCAAGAAGCTGCACCTAGATTGCCGAGTAGTGCCGCAGTTTTCCCGAAGATCTCAAAAAATCTAACATTTATCAGATTTAAAAATTAAAGATAATCCTGATTTAAGTCCCTTTCACCTTTCTCTCTCTCTCTCCCACTTCCATTCTCGATCTTCTTCATTCATTCATTTACACCAATGTTTTTTTTCTTGTCTCTCATTGGTTTTTTTTTCAATTGGCCCCCAATTCGCCTCATTACACCCGATTTGCCCTTCCCTCACACCGTTTTTTCTTCTCATTTTCTCGCCCCTTTTTTGGGGTGACACCAAGAACGATGAAGTTGTTTAATGGATTACGCACAATTTGATTTAGCTGCTGACACTAGACAAATTATTATGAGATATTTAGATGATTATTGTTATTAATACACATTAGGAATATTGTACTAGATTTTTAGATGGTTTACTGTAGATTTGAAAATAACATACTAGATCTGAGACATTTTATCAAAGTTCTGGAATTCCAGATTAAAATTAAAAATTTTCATGAGGATCCTTTCAATTAGGTAGAAGCTTAGCTCTACTGAAAATTTCAAAATTAATTTTTTTTGAAATGAATGGGGTCACGTTCACGTAATTTTGGAACTTTTGATCGAAAGTTAGCGAAATTCATTGTTTGCTTAAGCTCAAAAATCAAAGTTTCATATAGTTTCAAAAGATGTTGATCCAGAAAACGAAGTCTTGAAATATTCCGATCTCAAACTGACTACTTCACAATTCTGTTTTCTATTTCTAGATTCTTCTATTTTTTGTCGTCACCTGTAGCAATAATTCCGAATTACTCTCCCATTTTCCAATTCATTCATCCATTTAGTGTGGTTCATACTTTTTTTATTTTCTCACTCTCTTTTCCTCTTCAAGTAAGTAGTCGTTATATAATTTTTCGCATGACCGAAGTCGGTGGGCCCGCTAAAAAGTGAAATAAATTGTCGAGTTAATAAATTACGAGACACCTCATGTACACACACACAAATTTGTCTCTCGTTCACCTTGTTGAAGCAATGAAAATGACATGAATTATTACTTGCACAAAAATATTATTTGAGTTAGTTAGGTATTTAACAAAAATGAGTGAATGAATTATGCGAGCTAGATACTGTAGTGTTTTTCTACATATATTCAAAGTAATCTTCGATCCGCTAACAAAGAGTCGCGCCTTGAGAACTTCTAAACTAAGCAACCGAGCCTAGAAATCCTAGTTGTCAAGTAGCCACAGTTTGAAAATTTTATTGTCAAGGATTAGAGACTAGAGAGCCTACATAGGTCTCAAGTACCCGCTCCTACAGAGTCTAACTGTCAAAGACAAGCGTATATTCATCCACTCTCGTAAGGAGCACTGTCTTGAACGCTTCCATGCCAAGTAGCTAAGCCTAGATGCCTAATTGTTGAGAATCGGAATCCAATTATGAATTCTGAAAATTACAATTTGGCCGAGGTGTGTTTATAATAATTTTTTGTAAGTTATTTGGAAAATGCAGCCAGCAGGCACAGGGGAAAACGAAAAGATGATAATAAGTTTTGCCGCAAAAACGACGACACAAATTATGCAGGTCCCAACACATTTTCATTTGATTCAATTTTTGGCAAAGTTATAAAAATAAATTCAATAATGTTTTTGTTGAATTGAAATGAGGTTTTAAATTGGCGGACACGAAAAAATAACACTTTTTTTCGAAGATGATGAGCACATGAAGCTTAAGCCCTAACTCCATATATAACTCGAAAGTCTTTTGGCAAATTAGTTGAGTTATAATCAACTCGTTCATGAATCCATCCAAAACTAATCGAATTACCCGAATTGCTCCCCCTTTTCTACCTCATTTTTATTTATTTTCTTATTTCATTCATTCATTCATTCATCAGTTCGTTAGTGGGTCCCTTTTTTCCTTAATTTTCTCTCGCACATTTTTCCCGTCGGCGCGATGCCCGCACACAAAATTTATAATATCTACATACATAAATATGCCTAATTGTCGTTTGTGTGTATATGTGTTTAATTGCGACTAATTTGAGCCAGCCCCGACTAAAATTCGCCTTTCTTCAGCGGCTCTTTTTTTCTGTAGTTATGTTGTGTTAACTTGAAAATCGTTAGGTGGAATGTAAAATATAAGTGATGGAATTTTGAAGTACTGTATGTTCCTAAACATTCTGACAACACCACGATGTTCCTAACTTCGAAAGAAACTTCAAAAAGCTAATTTTGAATTGAACCTGATTGGGAGGATTTGGATAAACCAGAGATCCGCGCCTTGAGAGCTTCTACTCCTAGAAGCTGAACCTATATATCCTAGTTGTCAAGTAACCGCGCCTAGAGAACCTAATTTTCTAAGACCAGCACCGAGAGATCCATTCTCCGAAGGAGACGCTCCTTGCAAGCTTCTATGCCAAGTAGCCGAACCTAGATATCCTAGTTGTCAAGTAGCCGCGTCTCGATAGTTCAATTGTCAAGAATCAGGCCCTCGTAGGGAATACGGACTAAAATTTCAAAATATCAAATTTTTGAGGCTCTTAAGGTCCATTTCAATTTTCGATTCGAATTTTATTTATTTATTTACATATTTCCCAGCAAAGATTTTTCAATCGACTAATTAAAACTGCCAAAAAACAAACTCTGAAAAACATTCAAACTCGTAAAAGTGAGTGTCTCTTTTCCTTCTTCTTCATCTCGTTTTTTTTTGGCAATTAGCTAATTCGTGGCGCGATTTGATTACATTAAAGCAACAACTTCTACATCTTCCTCTCTTTTCATTACTTTTTTTTCAATTTATTTTTTCTCGCTGCAAAAACTTTTCTTCGAACAAAAACCGAAACTACAGTAGTCCTATTATAATAATCAGAAGAATACACAAAATTTAAACCAAGTTACCTCTTTCTCCGCCCGCTTGCCTTAAAGCAATAATCGAGTTTTTCGCTTCTGCCTCACGGACCTACAAGCCACGCCCACTTTTATACATATTTTTCGCGCCTTCACTCAAATTCTTCTAATCACTTTTTGGTGAAAAACTTTATTTGTTCCATTTTTTCTTGAAAATATTCTTAGATATTCTTTCGTTGATTATTTTTTTGATTTGATCAAATTAAATCATTAGAATTAGGAATAAGAAATTCATATATAATTTGTTTTATTCGAGATTAATTTATCTGTGGGTGGTGTACTGTATCAGATTTTCCCACAGAGTTTCTAAAAACCTTGTGCTATATCGATAAAATTAAGTTGCTCCTGGTATGTTTTTCTAAAAAAAATTGAATTACTGTGTATTTCTCTAGGAAATCAAGTTTGCTCTATCGCACACATAATTTATTTGTCTGTACTTCTCGAGTAACATTTATCAACTTATTTAGGTATTCTCTTTCCATGAAAAAAAACACACCTACTTCAAGAAACCCTACAGTAACCCTTTTCAAAAAAGGGGAGGGAAAGCTAATTTCATTCAGCTCAATTTACTCAACCAGTTCTCGAAATATATTGAAATAATTATATAGTTTGTTTTTTTCATTTCATTTTATTTCGGTGAGTTCAGTAGAGACCCCACTAAAAATATATTTTCTTCACCACTTGCCGCTTCCGCCTCCTTTTCTCTTCTTCTTCTTTACTCGTTATAATAACCCTATTCCACCTCAATTTTTCCGGTCTTTTTCGATTTTGTGAGCAGGTGTGAATGAGCCGCCTCTCACTTCTTCCAAAAAGCACATTAAGAAAAAAAGAAGTACAACAAGTGCTCCCATATGTTTTGACACAATTTCAAATGTTGTTATTATTTGCTATTATGTGTGAAACTTTGTTGTCCCTCCCTTTTTCTTTTTAACACATTACCGTAGCTTTTGCAGATGTCTTTTTATTATTATTAGAATCTGGCTCCACAGGTATTTCATTCTATTCTATTCTATCTGCTTGAAAATGTGTTCATTTTCCAAAGTTCCAAAGTGAATAATGTTTCTTGTTCGTTTCTTTCCTCGTTTTTTTCTTTCTTTCGTTAATTAATTGTTAGCACATGTGGTCTTTCGGATAATTTGCTTTGAAAAAACAAAAATAAGTTTGTCTTCAGAGTGCCTTATGGATGTGGCACTTCTGACAATGGATGATAATTCACCACAGCCGACAAGTTCTTCAACTTCTACAGTTCGACCGCATTCAACATCTCCAATGTTGCCGGATTCGAATGAGATTTTGAGAATGTTGACAGATCCGAATTCACAGATTTATGGTTAGTTTATTTGAATACGGGGAATTCCAGAACTTTTGAGTATATTTTTAGATACATATTTTCTTACTTACAATTAATGTAGGTTCTATTATTATTTCTGGGTGCTAGAACTTTTGACTTACCCCCCTCCCCCCACCTCCCTTTAAATTTGAAAACACTGACCTTAATGCAGCGTTACTGAACACAACGAATCTGACACGCAAAAATTTGCTATTGTTTTTCCATCTTCCTTCAAAATCGCAAACTCCAGATGACCACTAAAAATCAAGATTATTTTCAAACGCAAAATTTTCAATCAAAAATAAGTTTACCCTTACCTTTTTGAAACTCGAAGTTCTCTTCAAATTTTGAATGCAAATGCCAATTTGCTAGCTCACTGAATTCATAAATCCCTCCGATATAAATATATTGTTGGCCAACTTCCAAAAAAAAAAATATGAAAATGTTTTCTTACTGTTGGCGCACAAATCTGCATTTTGTGCAAACACCACACAATGTGCACTTTATGTGACGACATTTAAAATTTTTTCCGCGCGCGGAACTCATAAAAACCATCACGAAAATGCCTTTTTCAGCCGGTCTCGATACATCTCCAAAAGCTCAACTTGAAAGAATATTGGCTGCTGGTGGATTCGATGAATCTTCAATTTCCTCTTCCAATGGTTTTCCATTCGATCCATCACAATTAGGATTTCCCGATATTTCGTCGTTTGCAACACTTCGAAACTCCTCAAAAACATTGAAATGTCCGAAATGCAATTGGCATTACAAATATCAGGAGACTTTGGAAATTCATATGAAAGAAAAACATAATGATGCTGATGTGAAATGTATATTTTGTGCTGATAATCGACAACATCCAAAACTTGCGCGAGGTGAAACATATTCCTGTGGTTATAAACCATATCGATGTGATTTATGTCGATATAGCACAACTACAAAAGGCAATTTAAGTATTCATATGCAAAGTGACAAACATCTTCACGCTGTTCAAGAACTTCCTGCAAATATCGCGAATTTTGCAGCATGTGCTGCTCCAATGTCAAGAACAAGTCCAATTGATGATTCATCTGCATTTGATTCACCATTAATTTGTTTGATTTGTGGAGTTTTTGCAACCGAATCATTGGCTGAAATGATTGAACATGTTGAAAAAGATCGAAGTCGTCCAACTCAAGGAGATGTTTCAATTGTGAATGGATGTTTTAGATGTCATTTATGCCCATATAACACAACTTTGAAAGCCAATTTCCAATTGCATACAAGAACCGACAAACATTTGCAAAAAGTTCAAACGGTGAGTTTAATCAATAATCAAAATCCCCAAAAATATTTTCGAAAAAATAATGGGCTCCTCCTTTTCCTTTCCCACCAAATTGCATAAATAACATTTCGAACAACATTAGAATATTTATATAACATATAAAAATATTTCTCTCTTTAATATATTGTTATCATATAAATTGTGAGTAATGTTGTTCTTATATTTGTTCTTCCTTTTCCTCTGATTTTTACGAGTATGGGAATCATTTCATTTCTTTCTTTTTTTGTATTTAAAAAGAAAGAAGAATTCTTATTTGTCCTCATCTTTATTTTATTTCATTTCATTTTTCAATCCAATCATCATCGAAACAATAACAAGAGAAACTGTCAATTTGAATAAATGAAAATGAGAAAAAGGGGAAAAAATAAGACAGTTAGTTGCGCACAGTTGGATATTTTTCGAATTAAAATGAGGAGGAAAATGATGAGAATTGAGATGACCGTGAATCAATTTATTTAGCAAATTTTTATTTATTAGTTATTATAATACAATAATGCTTTGGAATTAAAGTCTTTCGAAAAAAACTCTAGAAGAAAAATTATAAGAGGAAGAAGTAAAAAAGGTTTAAAAACTGAATTTCAAAAATTGTTTTCTTTACGTGAAACGTGTATTCGTGGCTAATCTCATTTTTTTTCATTTTAAGTCAGTTCATCTTTTTCAAGTAGGGAATAAATTATTGAGATGGTTTTTGAGTCGGACCAAAATTGTGTTAGGTACGTTTATTGAATCGGATTGCATTTTATGTTTCATAGGAATTTTCGATCCCGCTCACGATGCCGCTGTCTGAAATTGCAAGACTTAACTCCTAATATAAACTATGACGCGGCAAAGTTGGAAAATTTCGAATTTTTTTAGTCATAACTCATGTTAGGTTTTGAGTTCTGCAATTTTAAAGCGAGCAGAAAAGATAAGAGAATAGTTTTATAATTTCAACAATTAGTCCGAGTTTTTGGGTTTAATTCAGAAATCATCTTTGAATCATTTTTGATCCACGAAATTCATAACGTTTCTCCGAAAATGCTTCTCTTCCACAACGTTTTTCTCTCAAATTCACCTCATTCTACCAAAAAAGTTACCATTTCAAGAAAAATGAGGCGAAAATAATAAATGTTACGAGGAGAGACATTGCAATTAGATGGGCGGAGCCATGTCTTCTCATTGGTTTTATGCTTCTTCTTTTCCTCTTGCCCGCCTTTTCTTCTTCCGATTATACACATATTTTTCGGTTTTTTTTCTTGGAAGAATTTAAGTTTTCATTTATTACTATTATTATAATAATAAATAATAAGAATAATTTTTAGTTGATTATCTAATTTTTTTTTGAAAAAAAAATATTATTTCGGATCGCTCATTAGACGCATTTCATACAGCTGTTTTGCCGATGAATTCACCTTGAATTATTTTTAATTTGGCAAGCGAAAGAGAGAATCTATACGTATTTTTTTTCGGTATTTTGTTGATTCTTCCACCTATTTTTTTGCTGCAACATTCTCTAAACAGTTTTTGAAACAATAAAAATAAAAATGTTTGCATTCTTGATTAACTCCAATTATTCGATTCGTTTTCTTCGTGTAATTGACTTTCTCATGTCCCATGGAAAAAAGAAAAATAATAATAAAATAATAATTTCTCTACTGCTGAATATACATATATTTATGTCTGACTGACGAATTAACCCAATTAGCTATCGTACATAATTAGCATAGATTTTCGTTTTTCCATCTTTTCATTCTTCTATTTTCTACCAGTTTTTTTGAAAAAAATGATGATGGGAAACATTTTTTGTTGAAAATTTTAATAGTTTTCACATGGAGAAAATTTAGATGTTTTGCTTGGGACCTAATTTTGAGGATTTCTGAATCGAATCAGGTCTGATTTTTCGAGATAATATCTTAATAAAAAAAGTTTAGGCTTGTAAAAAATACCAGAATTAGATTTAGCCTTATGCTTAGTCGAAGTTTCAGGTTCAGATCTAAAATTCTCACCTTGGTCCAATTTGTTATTTTAATCTGAAAACCCTTATCCTTTTCCCTTCACATAATTTTCCTACCAAAACTCGAATCCAAATCCGTTAATTAGTATATTTTCTGCAAAATTAATTCCTTCTAATTCTAATCTAATAATAATCAGGGCTCTTTTCTCTCAATTTCGCGCACAAAATTGAAATGAATGAATAAATAAATCCACTTGACAATCACTTGACTCTTTTCATCCCCCTCCTCTCCCACTACCCTCCAACAGAACCCCCCTTCCCCTTCCAATCCAAAATATATTATAATCCAATTTTGTATGTGAGGAGTTGTTTTGTTTTGTGTTTGCAGGCAAATCATTTGCGAGAAGGAGCACGACCTCATACGGCAATTTATCGACTTTCAAACACCAAGACAAGTGTTCAAGTGTTGTGTCGACAGTGTCAGGAAATTATTTCCAGGTAGATTTTTTTGGGGAAGCTTGGGTTTGCAAATAGGTTTGAAGTTTTTTCATAAAAAGTTCAGGCTGAACACTCAGAATTTGGAGAAAATATGAAAATTGATTCGAATAGCTACAAAGCTCTGTATTCACATCCTAAAAATTCCAACTTTTTCCCCAATTCAAATTCTCACATTCCAAATGAAAAAATTTGAAATCAAATAAAAGTTGAATTGAAAATAGGTGTGTAGTTGTGCGGTCGTTTAATTCATTCACACAATTGGATTATTACTTGCCCTCTTTCGTCTCTCAAAAATAGTAGTAATAATAATAATAATATGAAAATCTGGTACTGTCATGCGTAACTAATATTGTTCCATGTCATGATTTTGTTTGAAAATGAAATGAAAGAATTTTGGAATTTAGGAGTTTTTTTTGAATCTCTTATTTGATCTAATTTTTTCGAAAAAAGTTTTAAAAATTAATTTTTCAGCACTGATTTACTGCGTGAACATTGTCACGTTTCATCAAATCAACTTCAACAACAAAAAATTGTGCGAAAATTCTGGCGATGCAAAATTTGTAGTGTTGAATTGGATAGTGAATTGCTTGCATCAGGTAAGTGTGTTGTGTATTTCTCTTTTTGTTTCGTTTTTCCACTTGTCAAATCTCACTAATTACGGTCAACAACTTTGTCCTTTTTCATTTTGACTAATTGCTGTATTTTTACGATTTTTTAAAAACGAATTTTTATAACGAGAAAAGCTTTACTCGCTACTGTCGAAATAAGAAAAAAAACTACGATGTTCCGCGTTTACGCCTTTGAAAATTATGGGTTTTGATCTCAGAATCACTACTTTTTATCAAATTTTGAGAAATGCGGAGCTTTGTAGTTTTTTCTTTTAAATCAATCTCTAAGCGTATCATTCCAAACATCTAAGGCTTTCATCGAGTCTAGCCATGCACTATTATCGAAAAAAAAGTTTCTCTCCCTTAATTTAACAAACCAAAAAATTCATTCCATTATTTTAAACTAAAAATTGAATAGCATAATCCGTTTTGTCTGTATTTATGAATAAATATATATTCATTACAGAAAAAAGAGAGAAGAGCCTTGTTTCCGACCTTGACAGAGGTTTATATTATTATTATTGTATTCTATTATTATAATTCATTTCAATCCTCTTTTTCTGATCATCATTTTCTATTTTTTTTCAGGACACATGACTTGCCACGAGCCGACAACGTGGCCTGAAAATATTGGTTAGTTTATTTTTATTTTTTTTTCTCACTTAATTTTGGGAGACTGATTTTGTCGGGAAAAAAGAAAATGAGGAGAAAGAGAGGAAATATATCCGCAATTAGGCATCTATTCTTTTCATTTTTGCCACTAATCACTTGAATGAGAGAATGAACAACGGAAATATTTATATTTCATTTCATTCTTGGACCAATTGAGAATTGAGAGAGGAATTAGGATTCGGGAAACGAAAAACAAGAGAAAATGAGGGAAAATGAGATTTATTGAGAAATACTTTCAGTTGGTTTGTGTATTCATTTTGGCTGAGATCTTGGTTCCCAAAGTTTGAAACTGTACTCGAAATTTTAAATTCTAAATTTCAAAGATTATTAGAGATTCATAGTTTTCAAGTAGCCTTGAGATTTCTTTTCAAACAAAGATTTTTTGCTCTGAAAGTTTTAAACTGAATCCTTGCTGGGAATATAGCGATTTTCAGGTTAGAAAATTTTGAAATCCCATTTCCTGAAATACGAAATTTTAACAAAAGCAATTTTTTAGAAATACTTGAAAATTACCGCGGGAAAATATGATAGAATTTCGTACAGTCACTTCAAATTAAATTTTCCCACGCTAATTTTTGTACTATTTCTTTCCAACTTTTTTCTCAGTTTTTCTTTTTTTTTATTTCCTATAAGTTCTCTCTTTTCAAGACTTTCTTTCCTGACAATAAGTTTCAACATCTTGTTTCACCTAGTTTTAATTTCTCTCGTTTTTTTTCCTCACAATTGTAGCATCGCTCGAAAAAACAATTGAGTTGTTCTTTTTCCTCTTCTTTTTTTGCTTCTTCCGCTCAACTCAAAAATATCTGTATTGTTTAATTGTAAATTGACACCTGGTGGATTTCGTTTACACAAAAACAGAGAGCACACAGACAAGAAATTGATGGTATTCTTCATTTCATTTCGCGTTTCATTTTTTTCCGGCGTGGTTTGTGATGAGCTTTTTTTAATTTTCAAATTTCCCCCATTTCACGTGCAAACACGGTTACGCACTTGTGTACAGTAGGATTTGAACTTTGAATATTTCATATTTTGATCTGTTCAATATGAACCTATTTACGCTTGATAAAGTGTGTGCGGCAGTTGCATTTAGGCCACGCCCACTTTTGCAAAAAATTTTTAAAGTCGGCTTTCAAGATTCTCGTTGTTTTTCCAACCAATAAAAAAATCAATAATAGCAACGAAAAAAAATAATATAAATTTTTGTATCATCACCGCCATCATCATCATCATCAAATAATAATAATAGAATAATATAAATTGTTTGACATACAACAATAACATGCAATTGAAACTTTGCCGCCGTGTGTGTGTGTGAGAATATTATAATTGTTTGAAATTTTGATGGGCGAGATGAAAAACAAGAGAGAAAAGAGGAAACAGGTCAAAATTAGCATTTTATTTTACTACCAACCGTTTTCAAAACAAAACAAAACAAATCAAAATAGATTCCATGTTTATTTTCTTCTTCGTTTTTTTTCCGCGGCATAATTTTTCCCTTTAGTTAGAGGAACTTGACTTTTTCACATTAAGCAATTGGCTTGTATACACCCTTTACACCAAACAACTCTTCTTCTTCTCATTGTTCTTCCTCTCTCTTTTCTCTATTTTCGAGCCATGTTTGATATCTGCTCCGGTGGGAATTTGAAGCCGAAAAATCGGGCAAGATATCTAAATTTGTGCATCTTCTATTCGTTTTTATTTCCAAACTTGCTTATTTTAGTTGGTTCCCATTCTTTTTGTTTTATTATAATCGTAGAAATTGAAGTTGCCAGTTTTTTGTTTTTCGAAATGAAAAAATTGATAGAAATTGAAAGTTACAAGAATTTTAAAAAACTTTTGGATCCTCGGGTTTTTTTTCAAAGCTGATTTTTTCTTAGCCCGAATGGGCCCGAATCCCGCCACCTGAAATTTTAAATCATCGGGGATTTTTGGACAAACGAACGTAAAGTCTAGAGGTGTGTCAGAAACTCATTTTCAAATATGAAGCTTCTGACAAGGAATGGTTTTCAATGTTCCCCCAAGGAAAAAATCGAGAGTATGTGGAATGTTGAGGGTTCCCGTGGGTAAGAAAAACCCTAACGGGAATAAGGAGAAAAATGCCTTATTCTCGAGAAAAAATGTATTTTAGGTCGATTTTTACACCATTTTTTGATTTTTAGAGCATCTGTAACTCGATTTTGAATCTATTTCATGAACTTTTGAGTCGTGGAAGTTGTTCAGAATGGTCGATTACGTGTTTGTGAAACTTTTTATCAAAAAATTAGACATTTTTTGAAATTTGGTTTTTTTCTTCGGGGTTTTTCTGATCAAATGGTCACCAAAAAACACAAAAAATAATTTTTTCCATTTTCAAATGAACGGAACTTGAAAAATTTATGACGGTCAACAGACGTAATTTGGTCCGTAGAATCCAAAAATCATAGTCTCGATTCACACAAACTTCTCCTTCACAACGAAAACGTTGATTTTCTATGAATTTTTCAAACTGGATTTTTGATTTAGTGGGCCTTTGGGACCAAAATTATTTTATTCCTAATTTTAGTCGAAGTAATACTACAGTACGCCGTTTGCGCTACAAATGGATTTTTAGACTGACATTTTTCATCAATTTTGAAAAAAGTTTCGATTTTTCTAAAAAATTTCATCGCAAAAATCAATAACACCAAAATTTTCTAAAACAAGGCATTTTTCTCCTTATTCCCGTTAGGGTTTTTCTTACCCATGGGAACCCTCAACATTCCACATACTCTCGATTTTTTCCTTGGGGGAACATTGAAAACCTTTCCTTGTGAGTTTCACTTTTGTCTCTAATGAAATTCCTGTTTAACACTCTTGAAATCTTTCAGAATTAGTTCAAAATTATAATTAATTTCAAAAACCTTCGAATTTAGCTTTTAAAAATCATGATCTTATTTTTCTCTGAAAATGTGTTGTTTTTCTCCTCGTGAGGTCTTCTTCTTTTCTTTTTTTTTTCTTTTTTTGGTATATCATCAGCTAACAAATCAGAGCTATACATCATTAGGGATGGAATGGAATTGGGAAGAGAAAGGGTCCCTTCCCCGCTTTCGTTTTTCTTCTTCGTGTCGTTTTTAAACGAATCAAGTTGGTCTTTTTGCGCTAGTTAGTTAGTTAGTTGGAAAATTCGCAATTATCTATCTATCTATCCCAAGATTTCTCGCCTTTTTGTTCGTTCTCGATTTTTTTTGTGCAAAATTCGCATTTTTTTTAAAAAGTTTCTCACAATGATTAGAGCTCGGCAGAAAATATTTATCAACAAAGAATCGAATTTCTTGTCTTCCCGGTTACTGTTTTGTATATTTTTGTTCCCACACTTATTATTATAATTTTCAATAATTTGTCGCCGCTCGAAAAAAAAGAAAGAAAAAAGGCGCCGATTTCTTTTCTTTTCATCAATATAAGTTTTTGAATATATTACATATTCCCATAATTACCATCTTCTTCTTCTTCTTCTCGATCAATAGAAAACGAAGAAGACCCATAAAACATCTATCAATCTATCTATCATCGTCTATTTACAAGTCTACAGTAATCTAAAAATAAGCAAACATAGTTTTGATCAAGCTTAACACATTTCTTCTTCTTCTTCGCTTCTTCTCAAATAGGGAGGGCGGGCGGGCACAAAAAGAATGCAAAAATGCGGGAATAACACCACAAATTAGTCACTATATATTATTTGCAGACTTCAAAATGGTCGAAGATGCGGCGTATGCTTGTGCGGGTTGCGGATTTACAACAAGTTAGTTTTTCCATCTTCGTTCTCCTCGATTCTTTTTCTTTTTTCATCAATTACATTCATTTCGTCAATGATGACTGTAAAATTGCAATTAAAAATTCCGCATGCACTTTTTACCTTTTAGGGCTTGGGGAAAAGAGAAAAGCGCATAATTAATGTATTATAAAATTATTTATGCAAAAGCTAGATTTTTCTTTGGTAATTTGTTTGAGAAACAAAAACTGTCATGGGAATCTTAAGAGGAGGGGAATGAGAGGGGTCAAATAGTTGGAATCTGGGGGCTTTGGAATTTTGTGCACGGTTTGTATGTCTTCCGTGACCTTTATGGTTATAATTGAACCAGATTAGACAGTTTTCCAAGTTTTGATTTAAAAAATCTAAATCTCAAATTTGAGTTATTGGACCTGTAGCCAAGATGTGCTTCAAAACGAGCCATTCGGAAATTTATTCCAAAGATGATCCGATTTAGATATTTTTGAAATTTCCCAAGTTTCTTCTTTGGATTCTGATTCTTTCTCGAAGTTCCAATATTCTGATTTGAACTCAGCCTAGCACAACCCTTATCATCTTCTCCGTCTTATTTTTCATTCAATTTTCCCTCATTCTCCTCCCAACTCGATTTTAGGTGTGTCCTTCTTTTCTCGATTTTCCCAACAACTATCAAACGAAATTTGTTGTGTTGATCAATATAAATTTTCAAATAAAAAATATAAATAATAAAATGTGCGGGTGACTAATCGTGGTTTTGCAAATGAGGCAGGCGTAGGATTAAAACAAGTACAAATCATTTTTGACTTTCGAAAAAAAATGAAGAAGAGAACTGTATCACCTTGTTGTTTTGAATTAAAATTCGAAACAATTGATCTTCTCATTCGGTTGGCTAGCTATCCTCTTCTTCGTACAATTTATTCCTCATTAAGACCCATTACGAATTCCCTCATTCTTTTTTTTCTGTTTTTTTTTTGACAGTCTTCTCTCTTACCCTTTCCTATTTTCCCCCTGTCTTTTTACAATATAAGCTCCGCCCATTTTTTCCATTCATTTTCCTCTTCATCGGGGTCTCTGTTTTTTCTGCTGCCCTCGCCTCACCTTTCGCCTCCGATTTTAATTGGCAGGGCTCTAACGATGCGAATCAAACATTTTCATTTTCTGAAAAACCCCAACCGGTTTTCATTTATTTATTATATAATAACAATTTGCCTGTGTGGTTTTTTTCTATTCCGAAAAATATGTAGAAGTTATTGATTTTCGAAATGTTGCTAAAAAACCAACCTCTATTTGATTTGGGGAAAAATAATTATATATTCGATGATGCGACGGTTGACGCCTCGTTCTTTCAATCGCATTCTAAATCATTATTGCTGCTGTTTGGTATAGAGAATAATAATGAAAATAATAATGATTTTGGTTGTATTTGATCAAAAACGAGCAACCAGCATTAATAATTCATTTTCATTTTTAAATTTCATTATAATTCGAACAACAAATCGATTTGAACAAAATAAAATCACTCACCTCATAACTTCACCTCATTTTATTGTATTAGATATGTGCGCTCTTTTCATTTTTACCGACGCGCTTTTTTTCGTTGATGCACTTTACGTTTTTTTTTGACAGAATTAAAATGGAATAGAAGGTTGGAAGGGTTGAAAATAGTTTAGAGATTTTTTTAGAAGATATATATTTCTGAAATTTTTCTGTGATCTAAAAATTTCTAGAATTCAACTCTGAATTTAGATAGAACTAAAACCCAAATTCCTAGATCCCTAACATAAAGCAAGTTAGCGTAAGTCTAAGCCGAGAAAACACTCTGAGCCTAAACCTTTCGAAAATTTGCGTTGAGTTTGAATTCAAGCTTGAGCCTAGAACAATTTCCAAAGTTTAACCCTAAAATTAAAATGTAAGCCTGTAAACTCATTTGCTTTTTTCTTGATTTTTTCACAAATCTTTGATTTGAGAAAAAAATTCAGTTTTTCAATATTTTCGGAATCCTTTTCCCTTTCTCCCATTGTATCCACAAAGCTCTTTTAGATTACTGTAGCTTTTCGTTGTACAATCTTATCATTCATTCTCCTTTTTTCTTTCTTAAACAAATTCCTCAGCTTTCTTATCACCGGTCAAATCTGCAGCAGACTCAAATTAATTTTTTCTCACATTTTTATTTTTTCCCATCTTATCATATCAACCTGGGGCTACAGTAATCCAACAACTATCAATAAATCAATAGGAAAATAAACAGAGAAAGAGAATCCGAAATCTTTTCTCCTTCTTCTTCATCTTCTTTTTTTCTCACCTCATTTGAGTTTATTATTAGATTTGACGAGACGATGATTATTATTATTATTGAATTGAAATGCACATCCTTTGATATTTACCGCTTTTCATTCACTCGACCACTTTTGTGTTCAACTAAATTACTAACAAAATGAAATACCTTTTTTTGAGTGAACACACTAATTTCGCGCCTCTTTTTTTCTATTCTCTATTTTGTTGGCACCATTTTCTTTCTTTGTTGATTTGATCATGTTCGATTTTTTGGCGGTAAAAACTCTTTCATCTTTCATCGCGTTTTCCTTTTATTTTTTCATTATCATTAGAATAAAAATAATAGTGTAATTATTATTATTATTATTTTGGTCGATAAGAGGCGTGAAACATTTTTCCATGTTCTGTTCTGTTCTAAAAAAAAAGAAAAATAATTTTATGTTCCGGAATTTATTGATTTCGTTTCGTTCCTTGCAAATTGGTTTCATCACTTCAAAAATTCAAATGAGATTTATTATTGTTTCATTCATTTGCCAATTAAGTGTCTATTGAAAAAAAAATAATTAGAGTTTTGTTTAGTTCTTTTTTCGTCTTTGCAATCAATCGCTTTTTGATATAAGAAAAATATTTTTCATTTATATATCTTTTATCAATTTACAGCTTTACAGCATTTTTTTCAATTTTCATTTCATTTCATTTCTTTCTCTTTACAGAAAACATAGCCGATCTGGAAGATCACGCAAAAAGTCACGAAGAAGGCGAGTCGTCGACTTCTTCATCGACTTCTTTCGCTGCTTCGGCTCAACAACAAAATAATAAGGCGAAGAAAACGTGTCCTTTATGTATTGAATTGACTGACGATTTGGAGAAACATTTGATCGACGAACATCGAATTGCAGAAAGTGCCATTGAGAAATTGTTGTTGGTTGAGCAGAAGTGAGTTTGAGCAAGGGGAGGTGGGAAAGGTTGCACAAGATTTCCCATTTTGAATAATTTTGGCTGGGGCAACGAAGTTCAACAGAAATGTGAGAGATTTAGAGAAAACATATTTTTGATCTACCAGATAGAGAAACGTTTTCAACCGTTTTTATAATTTTAAATGATTAAAAAAAATTTTCTTATGAAAAAGCTGAACAATTTCCTAGAAATTTTAACCCAATATAACCTATTTTTTGATTTTTGAATAGATAATACTTTCAAAAATTCTAGTGTTCCCACCAAAAATAGGATTTTGCTTAACATTTTTAAGACCTATTTGTTCAATTATTTCAGAGGCTTCGACTTAGTCACTTGAAAATATTTTATCAAAATTTGGAAGAAAAAGTTTCTTTATCAACAGAGCCTAAATATGAGTGGGCTGGACTTTTTTCAGAACCGTTTCGAAATTTCTGAATCTTTCAATTCCCAAAAACAATTTTTTCAAATCTACGACCTTTCTTTTCCCCTTGTTAGCCTAAAGTTCCTGTTCCGAGATTTAGTTTTGTCCTATTAATAACACGAACTAACTAATTTGTCCAATGAATGCAAAAACTAGTACAAACCACCAAAAAATGTTTTATAAGTACAACAAATTTCATTATTGTTATTAATAATACCGCCAACATACACAACCACACACACATTTATACACAACAATTATTATTTTCATTATTATTCATTCATAATAGAATTGAATAAATAAATAAATAATCAATTACAGTATAACAACCACTGACTTTTTTCCCGGTCTCCCGTCACCTTTTTCTTTGTTTCTCTAGATTCTCTCTCACCTGTGCTCTTTTTTTTCTTTTGATAATCAAAGTTAAAGCCAGCCGCCCCTTCCAAATCAAAACATTAAATAATTGGTTTTTTGATGAAAAGTGTTTTTTGCCGCCCGCCCTATCCAAAAAAGTCGCACGCAATTATTATTTTTTTTTCATTTTTTCAGGCCAGAATTTTCACATCGATGTACAAAGTGTAAGATGGCGTTTCGAACCGAAGCACAACTAAAAGCGCATTCAATCCAACACGTTTTTTCGAGTTATCATAAGTGTCCGACTTGCTCTGAAAGTTTTGAGGATCATAATTTGTTGTTGGTAAGTTTGAAGAAAATCGATAATTGAAAAAACTATTTGGGGAAAATTCTAGAGCTTTTTTGGTTGTAGAAATTTTTGAAAAAAGAAGATTTTAGGAATCTTGAACTTGATTGTGATTTTTTTAAATTTCAAGCGAAACGTTTTGTTAGAAAAATTAGATTTTTGAATTTGAAAAAAAATCTGAGAGTTTTTTTAACAGAAATTCAAAAATCTCAAATTAACCCAGAGCCAATTTTTGACAGCTCGAAAATTCGAAAAATCAATATCATTCCAAATTCCAAATGGAATCAATGTTCCTATCCAAAGAATACTTACTAATTTACAAAATTTTGAAACAAAAATTAAAATGACACATTTTAAAACGGAAATTGTAAAGGTTAATTGATAACTCGGAATTAATTAATTTTTAAATCTTCTAATTGCAGACTCATATGATGGATCATAACAAAGAAGAATGTGAAATGTGCTCGGAAACTTTTGGATCAAAAGAGCAATTTATATCACATCTGAACTCAACAAAACATTTGCAACAAGCCAAAAAACATTTGGAAAATTCATTGGTTGATTTAAGTTCGCAGGTTTGTACTATACCAATTACCTACAGTAACCTCTTGGTTTTGTTTGCTAATAATTATCAGTGCGCGGAATTATTTCTTTTTCTCATTTATTGTCGACCCTAATTTCATTTTTCTTTTTCTTTTCATTTCATTTCATTTCTAGTACCATTTTTGGTTGGCTGGTATTTAGAAGGGGGAGAGAGAGAAAAAAACTGTTTGTCTTGTTGTGTCAACAAATAAGACGACGAAAAACTCGTGTGAAATGAGATGATGAGAAGGGATGATGATGACGGTGCAAATACCATTGATCCTTACTTCGGAACGAGAAGAAGAAGAACGAAGGGCGAATTAATAGATTTTATTATTTATTTGACAATTGTCTGCCTGCGCTTAGACAAATATATGAGAACATGCGATAAATTATAAGACCCCCCAACAAGGGACTTTTTGAAACTTGAAACAATCAAATCACTTTTGTTTTTCAGATTTCCAATGATGATGAACGGTTTCGATGCAATGTTTGTAATCAATCATATCCACAAGCTAATAATTTAGAAATTCATATGAGGTTGGTTTGAGGGTCCGAGAAAATTTCGAAAAATAATCAACTTTTGAAAGCTTTGATATAAAAATTTAAAAGGAGGTGTAATCCAGACCTGGAACCAAAATTTTCAGTTCCCTGAGATTACTGTAATTTCAAATTCTGAATTTCGGAAGTTCTTTCCTCCAAAAATTCTCCTATCTTCCTTCTATTCCTAATCGATATTATTTCTAGAAGTGTATCACATCAAACTCGAATGTCTCGATTATCTGATCTCATATCAACCGGTGAAATAGATAGTGATAAAGCAATTGTTGAACAACCCGGTATGCCATCACCAACAATTGCCCAATACATTGAACAAACCACAAAACAACAAACTGTAAATGATGTTATGTCTCTCTTAATGAAATCTGAAACCGATGAAAATAATGCCGATGAACCGATTTCGGGTATCCATGTTCTAACGCAAATCAAAGTGTATGGCGAGCCAAAAATCACGAATCTTGTTGCGGGTCTTGAAGAGAAAATTGATTTGATTGCTGGATTTGATGAGACGAAAGCTGCCGAAATATCGATTATTGATTGTTCGACATGTGGACAACAAATCTCCGGAATCCTGGTGAGTATTTTATTTTTATTCAAAAAAAAATTGTAGCGAATCTTTCACTGAATGAGTAATTTTTTTCTTCGAAAATATCTTCAATGAAACCCTTTCTTCTAAATAGTTTTTGAACACCAAAAACTATACGGTTTCGAAAACACATTGTTTTACGATTTCTTGTATAATAATTTATTTGGAAATTGTTATTGGTCGTGTTTTTTTCTTTCTTTCGTTATATTCGGCAAGCATAAATATAAGCTGTAAAACATTATATTGGCCCTCGGCGGCTTTTCGCCTTTTCAAAACGAATTTTTGTAATATTTAATATAGCACCGCGCCATTTTATCTCCATATTAATTTTTCTTACACTGTAATGGCGGTTTTCTCTTTTTTTCAGGCTCTTAACTTGCATTACGAAGAGGCACATTCATCATCGATTCCGACTGAAGTGCTCAAAAAGTTTGGCGAGAAATTGTTGACGGGGATTGAAGAAGAGCAAGATTTGGAGAAAAACGGAAGTGGAACACCGCAAAGTGTTGAATCAAACGACGACGAAACGACGACTGAAAAACGAAACAAAATTGATTCGAATATGTCGGCTGCTTCACAATTTGCAATGTTTTCACAAATGATGAATTATCTTCCATTTATGCAACCTGGAATTCCACCCGAAATGATTTCACAGTTGATGAATCCAAATGCTGCCGCTGCTGCTGTTGCTGCCGCCGCTGCCAATTCAAATTCAAATAATTCGCCGGCAAAACGTGCACGAACACGAATCACTGATGAACAATTAAAAGTGTTAAGGTAAGTGTGAAGATTACTGTAGGGGCCCCAATGAATTGTCAACAAAACAATTGGTGTAATGTAAATAATGAGAAATAATGTGTTGAAGATGAGAGAAAATAGATGAAAAAGGAGTGTGTGTGTGTGTGAATTAGAAGAAGATGGAAAAAGGGCCGAATTTTTTTTGTGACAAACAGAAACAAAAGCAGCTACAGTATTCGATGATTGCTGATTGGCTGATGTTCAATAAATGAATTTGGAGGGGGGTTTAGGAACAGTACAATTCTCAGAAAACTGGAATCAGCTAAAATTTTCAAGAAAAAATAATCTTATTCAAAATCGTAGCTCAATTTAGAATCTAGATATTTGAAAACAGGCTAAAAATAGGTTTTAAGTATTTTCTCATTCATTTTTCTCCACAACTTTTAAAACTTCAAATCCAATTCCAACCAGCCTTCTGATCACCTGATTAATCCAAACTCACATCAGACAGGAAATTAGTATACATCACTTTGTAATTAGTCAAGTACACCCACAGAAAGGAAATTATTTCTATTTTCTGCTACTTTTTAGATAGATACTCATTTTCATTTTCATTTCATTTCACATATTATAAGCTCATTTTCGAAATTAGGTAGTTGTATAAAAACAGCGATAAAATCTTGTTAATTGTATTCATCTGGCGCCATAATTAACCTTGAAACAATAGCATTTTTGTGCTAATTCGATTCCTTTTTCAGGCAATACTTCAATATTAATAATTCTCCAACTGAATCGCAAATCAAAGAAATGTCAATGAAATCAGGACTTCCGGAAAAGGTTATCAAACATTGGTTTAGAAACACATTGTTCAAGGTGAGGAATTAGTTTTTATTTTTATTTGTTTATTTGTATTGGTAATTAGTCAGGCAAAGGAAGGGAGGGGTACTTATAATAATACATATATGAATATTATATTTATGTATTAATGTCAAACAAAAATCATATTTATTTATTTATGTATTAAAGAGTGAGAATTATAAATATTATTATTATGAATCAATCAATTGAATGAATGATTTCCGTTGAGTCATTTGGGAAAAAGAGAAAAGTTTTTATTCATAATTGATATTTAGGATGGTTTTTTGGTTGTTTTGTAAAGGAGGGGCAAAATAAATATTCAAATTGAATTTCAAATAATTTGGTTTTCTAGACCGTGACCGAATTTTTCACAAGAAACAGAAAAAAATATTTTTGAATTTCTATCAGAAAATTTCTTGGACTTTTTTTTTCAGAAGTTCTTTAAAATTCAACAAAATTATATTTCAGGAACGACAACGAGATAAAGATTCACCGTATAATTTCAATATTCCTCCACAAATGGGAATCGATCTTGATATGTATGAAAAAACTGGAGAAGCAAAAGTTGTATCATTGAGTATGAGCAGCGGAGAGAAATCGGAAATCAATTCGGCTCGCGCAACTCCAACCTCAATTCTAAATCCATCAACATCAGCAACAACTCCTGAAGAAAAGAAGCCGACACCAGTTCCAACACCAGCTTTAGATCCAACAAAACTCAATATTCATACAATGCTCAGTCAATTGCAACAAACCAATTCTTTTCCATTTTTGGATGCGAGTTTTATGGCGGCGGCTGCGGCTGGACCAATGGCACAAATTGCTGCACAACAACAACAGCAGCAACAGCAAAATCAACAAGCTTGTAATACTTCGTCAAGTGGAAGAAGAGCAAATCGGACTAGATTCACTGATTTTCAATTGAGAACTCTTCAACAATTTTTTGATAAGCAGGTGAGAATTTACAATTTTTTATCTGAAATTCCGATGATAGTTTGGGGAATCTAATTTTTACATTTGTTATTACAGGCTTATCCGAAAGATGATGATCTTGAAGCACTCAGCAAAAAGCTTCAATTGAGCCCTCGTGTTATTGTTGTTTGGTTCCAAAATGCTCGCCAGAAAGCCAGAAAAATATATGAAAATCAACCAAATCATGAAAATTCGGATCGATTTGTTCGCACACCTGGAAGTAATTTTCAATGTAAAAGATGTAATCAAGTTTTCCAACGATATTATGAATTAATTCAACATCAACAAAAGAAATGCTATAAAGATGATGGAGCTGCATTAATGAATGATAATAAAAGTATGGAAGAATCATTGAGTGATGAGGAAAAAGCACAACTTCTTGCACAACAACAAAATCCGCTGGCCAATTTTGATATTCAAAAAATGCAACCGAATGATTTGTTGAAATTACTTGGAGCAAATCAAAAATCGAGCAATGATGTTTTGTTGAAAATGTGTGAATCGATGGGTGGAACATCAACTCCGTCAACATCTTTTCATAAAATTTGTCCGATGTGCGCACAAACATTCCGTGAAAAATCAGCAATTATTGAGCATTTACAACAAAAACATTCATTGATTGCACCGATTGATGTTGATTTATTACCAGATGCTGATATAATTGCTGATTCTTCAATGGCTCTTGATTTATCTGGATCTTCTGTTGATTTTCGTGAATCGATTTCGACTTCTCCAACAAGATCTGATGATGATATTGTGACTGAACAATTGGATGATTCACAGTTTGCAACATTTGGAATTCAGATTCCAAATTCATCTGGATGTCGATCACCAACAAATAATAAGAGATATAGAACACATTTGACACCTTTACAAGTTCAACTTATGAAAAATATCTTTGGAGATTATAAAACACCATCGATGGCTGAATGTGAAATGCTTGGAAAAGAAATTGGATTGCACAAAAGAGTTGTACAAGTTTGGTTTCAAAATGCGCGAGCAAAAGAGAGAAAATCAAAAGGAAATGGAGAAGAAGAAATCAAATCATTGGAAACAAAATGTCAACTTTGTGATAAACAATTTGCAACAAGATTAAGCCTCCAAGATCATTTATTCTCATCTGAACATATTGGACTTTTAAGAACTAATTTGAAAAAGGAAGGTGTTTCTGATGTTGCAACTGATAATGGACAACCAGTTGAAAAGAAATCGAAAACATCAGCGGCAATGGATATGTCAAGTTTCCCATTTAATTTAATGCTCGGTGCTGGATTTCCGATGGTTGATGTCAATCTTTTTGGAACACCAATTCCAATGTTGCAAATTCCGGAAGATGTTAAAACTCAAATTGCAACTGATATTTCGGATTCAAAAGATGCTACAGTATTTTCACAAGATGGGCAAACAATTGAAACTCTCACACAACTTCTTCCTGAAGATGAAAAATGCAATGTGGAAGCTGTTCCGAAAGATGTTGGATGGGCTTGCACATCGTGCACAAATGTATTTCAAGAGGAGAAGAAATTGAAAGAACATCAGAAGACAATGTGCACAACATGTGATAAGGTTTGTCTCAAGTTCGTGTTTTCAAATCCTAATTCAAATTTCTCATTTTTCAGATGCTCACATTAACCCAAATCCATTATTCATGCAAATTGTGTTCTTCATTGTTTTGCCTTCAAAATGATTATATAATGCATTTACATAGTTTGCCTCATATTCAATTCAAGCCATGATTTTTATTCTTTTTTTCTAGAAATGTTTAAATAGTCAATTTTTCCCCCATTAAATCCGCATGACTTTGTATTTGTTTGCTTTACGATAATTTTTCTATGACATCGAAACTGGTTTCACACAAATTTCAATAATAATAATAATAATTTTCTTTAAAATAATAAAATGCAATACTTTTTTTTTAAAATTTTTTGTTTCAAACTACTGCAGGCTGATCTCCCGTTCTTTCTTTTTTTATTTTTTACAGTTTTTGTTTCAGCCTACCCCATAACACATTTTCCCCTCTCTCTGAAAAGCATGAAAATTTAGTCATTATTCCCAATTTTAGACACTTTGTCCGGTTTTTTCTTTATAGATTTGTATTATTTTTCTCTAGTTGAATGAAATTTTCTGTGTGTGCATTATGTAGTTTTCAATATTTGAAAATTGATTTTGTATTATTTTTTAATAAAAATTTTATATCAATTGAAGTTTGTTTTGAAGAGGATTTGTCGAAATCAATCGGAGTTTTATTTTTGAAAATTTATTTTTCTATTAATCGTAGAATGGAAAATTTTGAAATCTCATCAGTGAAAAAGGTTCCCTTGATGTTCACATTTTTTAAAAACCAGAAGAGTATACGTTCCCAGGATTTAGCTGAATTTCAGAAAATTTTTTTTCAGTTTTTTAAATGTAAAATATTAGAGTTCCAGGAAGAATCCCATCCAGGAAGAATCCGAAAAAAAATTATTTTCAATTTTTTATTATTAAAAAAAGAAAGAATAGCGAAAAACTATAATAAATTCGAGGATAGGAAAGAAGCAAAAACCTGAAAGTTGAAGAAAATAAATGATTCAAAAAAGATCACACAAAATTAATATATACAGACAAAAATTTCTTGAAAAAAAGTTTTTTTTTTAGAAATTATCAAGTCGTCTTTTATTGTGAATTTCCCTTCGAAGTCGATTTCTTGACACCAAAAATGTGACTGTACAACAACAAATCAAAACAATCAATAAAGCTGTTGATAATAAAGCAGTTGATGTTTTGGAAATACAAACTTCCGATGAATTTTGGAATGAAAGTGGTTGAGGCGATGAATTTGAATCTGGAAGAATGAATATATGGTGAGTAAATTTTAGAAGTGAGATAAGTTCCAAAACTAGATCCTCACAGGATCATTAGAGGGCATTATTTAATTTAGGGTGAGAACCTTCTATGTTTCACCCAGGAATTGTTATAAAAAATAATTGGATCTCGAATTTCTTGTCTTGTAAAAACACACATAAAAAGTTGTATTTATTTTTTATGTTTTTTGTTGCAGCTGTGCTCTTTCAAGTGCTCACTCGCTCTCATTTATTTTTTTTTTCTGATCCGAATTTTTTCTTGTCTGTCTGCAGATTATATTTTGAATACTAGAGAATATTAGATTTCATTCTCGCCTTTCGATGAGCCAAGACAAACAAAAACAAACAATTAGCCAGTCGAGTATTCACAAAAATAGGATGCTTTATTTTGTTTTTTTTTCAACTAGAATTTGCTTTTTTCCAGAATGGTAGATCGTTTGAACCTCTCAAAAAATTTTCTAAGATTCTAGTTAAAATCTGGAGAATTCTTGAAAAACCCAATTTTTTCGAAAAGTTTCAAATTTGGAATTTTTCCTCTCACAAATGATGAAAAGTGGGCTCTGAAATTTTCAGAAATTGGTAGTTTTGTCCTCAAAAAAGCGGCTACCTGGATTTTATTTTTTCTAAGTTTTTGGATCATCCAGATCAATTTTTAATCCTAAATATATTATTCCAATCATATTTCCAAGCTAGTTCTCAGGCTTCTCAAGTTCTTTTTATCTTTTTCCACGAATTTGGTTCCCTATTTTTCAATAATCAATAATTTGCGAAATTTTTTAAAAAATAATTTCGAAGTTTTTTCTACAGTACTTTTCTACTCTAATATTAATATTCTCACCTTTTCTTTCCTTATCTTCAACTGGCAAAACAATAACATCAACACTAACATCAGTTTCCATTTCTCCAACAGTTCTTCGAACTTTTGTAGTTGTTGGTGAAGTATTTGAAGATGTTGTTGATATTGGTTTGAATGTGACCAATTCAGCAGTTGATGGTGTTGGTGTTCCAATTGTTGTTCGAAGTGTCACAACTTCCATTATAATATCCTCTTCAGTCTCATTTAATGGGCTATCACGACGGTATGGGCTGAAAATGTTCAAGTTTTTGTTAAATTTCTAATTTTGGATTAGTCACTCACTTTGGCTCTTCTTGAAGTTCTTTCGGACCTTTGAATGGGGAAAGTGGTAAACTATCGGGTGAGAAAACAGTTGGACTTGGAGGTCCTAGAAGAATTGGTTGGAATTCTGGAGCTTTTTTGAAGAAGTGATCATCTTCTTTTGCTTGATCTTCTTTTTCATGAGAACCATCGACCTTATTTTCATTTTGATGTTCATCATCTTTTCCGTGTTCACTTCTAGGTGGTCCAAAATATCGATTTCCTCCGCCGCCACATTGTGGAGGTGTTATCCCTTCGCATCCTCCATCGTGTTTATAACAAAGTTGAACTGTGCACGTAAAATATAATTGAACTTTGTCAGCATATTTGAAAACATTAGCATTTGTAAACGCAGATATCGCATTATTTTCATATTCAATTTGTGGAAGTAAATATGGATCAGTTGAACATCCTCGATCATCAACTAATTCGAATTTATTTCCATGTCCATCATCAGCAAAACAAGAATGAATTAGAATTCCATAAACATGACTGGCGTCTTGATCACATCTCCATAAATGTGTTACTTTTTGACCGACTTGTGCAAATCGTAGAACATGTCCTTCAGTTGCGTCTTTTAAATGATATGCACAAACCGGAAGAGAATATTCTTGATCTATGTTTTGAGGAGCAATCGTTCTGGAAATTTGATATACGTTCTTTCTTCAAACAAGAATGTGTCTAGGAATATTCATACTCAAATTCTTGTTTTTCTTTTCACGTCACTTTTTTTTCTAAAAATTGATGAGCAGACTAGATTTTTTCCTGCTCTGAATAAGGTTCTCAAATGTTTCAAATTTTTGAAATTCGACTCTATGTCATATTTTTACTAATGTAAGAAAATAATAAAATCTGAGTTTCTTTTGAAAAAAATCTGGCATAAATTACGTTTCACAAATATTGTGAAATAGAATCGAGATTTAAAAAAATGTTAAATAGGGATATTCTTTTCGGTCTCAAAATTAATCACTCTGGATTTTTGTGAAACTTGGCCATTTTTCCAGAATTTTGTAATCAATAAAATTTCACAACTTCTAGAACTTCCAAAAACGTTACGATGAAAATTTTCGAATTTTTCCAACGTGAGACTCCAACATTAATCAAAAACTAACCCAACATCAATATTCGCATTCAATCCTTTAATAGATTCCAAGAAAAAACATCGAATACTAAATGCTCGATCCATTCCAGTCACAAAAAATGGATGAAATGAAACAATCATTGTAAATGAGAATGCAATTCCACGTGGATGTAGAGTTCTTTGTCTTCTCATATTACATGCTCCAATTGGAATACTAAATTGATTATTTTCTGAATTCACATCTGATTGTTGAACACAATGTTGTTTATCAGATTCTCCATCAACATAAATTCGACCTTTAAATGATCTTTCGGTATTCACATTCACTCGAATTGTATCAATTCCACAAAACACTTCAGGTTTATCAATTACACCGTTACTTATTTCATGAGCAAAAGCTAGTGAGGTTAATAAAAATATCTGAAACAATTTATAGTTTGGAATATGTATTAGTTGATATTTTGAACTCTTACCACGAATAAAAATATCATAGCTTTGGAAAAATAAAAAAGTATTATAATAATAAAAAAATAATGAGGATGAATGAATGAATGAATAAGTAAAACTATACAGAAAATCGAAGAAGAATTACGGAAAAATGATGGTTAAATACTAGTAGTCATTTAGATTTCTCCGCCTCCAAACAAAAACATCAAATTTTTTGTCGTGCTATCTTTCTTGTGAATATTCGTATATAATATGTATTATAATTGAATGATTGCGTAGTGCAAAATAATGAGAAACCGATCAAACCAGTTTCGAGTAACTGATTTACGTAAACATGCAAAATTCTTCCTGGGAAGTTTTGGGAATTTATGTATTGGCAGTTTCTCACTCAAACTGTATGTATTAGTTTTCCGGAATTTCAAGATTGGCCTTTGCGTTTTCGAAAATTGATTCAGAAAACTTAGAGTGCCTTCAAAGAAGGATAAATCTGAAATTTTCAAGCAGCAAAATATTGATGAGAAACTTTTCAAATAATTTCATGATCCAAAATTTGAAAAACCAATCGAAAAAAAATAGGCTTCAAAGCTCAAAAAAAAAACTTTGGTACGAGATTGCAAGAGTTCAGAAATTCTATAAAATTTCGAGAGTAGCTTGAATTACAGGACTATTTTTAGACGTTGAGAATTGGGATACTGTAAGTGTAGTCCTAGGAATTCTCTACCAGATTTTTTCAAAAAATTCTAGACAGCGAAAAAATGACATGCGGAAACTGAGCATTGAGATCAAAAAAAATATTATAAAACCAAAGAAAAGTCAGACTCTCAAAATCTTTTTTTTTTGTCTACTGAAAAAACCTCAAAATAAGATTGACCCGTTGTTGTGTTGTGTTATTTTCTTGTCAGACAGCAGCAAAAAGTTGTTTCTTGTGTTGTGAAGAACAAAAACAAAACAAATCTATATTACTTTTTCTATTTTTTCTGCTTTTCCCATGTTTTTTCTGATTTTTCCAGGCTTGAAAAACACGAACTTCTGGAAAATTTGTTTTTTTTCATAGTTTGCTCAAATTTTTTTCATTTCATTTTATTTTCATTATATCTACGCAGGCAAGCAGACTTGAAAAACGAACGAGAAAAACAACACAATTTTGCACGGGACTCTCATATTTGGTTATCCCATACCAAGATTTTTTACGAATTCAATTTTCTTGTGGTATTTTTTGTTTTCTTTTTTCGGACTTATGGTTTTGTGATGTTTGCTTTTTCGAATTGTGATCTACGAAAAATTTAGATCTAAAAATCTAGAACCCATTTTTCCCCTCGTAACTAATTTGGAAATGTTCGTGAAAATTTCGAATTTTTATTGCCCCCAGTAATTTCGAGTCCGATTTTCATAAGTTTTTCAAATTATCCTTGTTTTCTCTTCAAATCATTTTTTTTAATTCTTAATTTTTTCCAATAATGTTTTTGTATTCAGCTTTCCGCCGTATCCCAAAAAAAAACTTTAGAAAAACCTTATAATCATAGTTTTTTTGGTGTTTGGTGAAAAGTTTTTGAATTTTTTATTTTTGCTATCTCTATTCTCGAGGATTTGCCATCTTTTGCAGCAAATATTTTGAAATTTGGTTAAGTTTGAAGGATTTTAGCATTTTTGGTGAAAAAACGAAAAATGTTTTTGGGGTCGCACAAAATTCACAAACCGTGTGTTGTCTGCCGTCTCTCTTGTGCGTTTCTATCTCTCAATTTCTCTCCTTCTCTCTCCTCGTCTCTCCTAGTCGCAACACTCTCTCGTTTATTTTTTTTTCAATTCGTTTTTTTTCTCCTGAAATCAGGAAATTTCACGATATTCTTAATCTCATTCAATTCATAAGTTCTAAAAATAGTTTGTGAGCCTTCTTCGTAGTTTAGATTTATGTCAAACCTTGTGAAATCCTACATGTAGTTCAATTCTACAAATCAGTTGAAATGTCTAGTTTGAACTTCCGGAAAACTGATTTCCTCATCCTTTCTCATCAGAGTTTTCTTCAAAAATCTTTATTTTCACCTGTCTAATAAGACAACAAAAACAATAAATCTAATCATGAAAAAGAAATGCTGTAAATTTCCGAGATATTTCCATCTAATTAATTATTGTTATTGTTTTATTATTCATAAGTTTTAGATACAGCAACAAAATAAAACAGGCAGATAATAATATTATTCTGCCTGCTGCAAAATAATTTTTTGTTTCCAATTTGAGTTGAATTGAAAAATTCTTCCCTATTTTTTGTTGCAAACCAAAACACGTCACATAAATAGAAAGTAATTGAATCCAAAGTTTCCTGTGGAAGAGTAGGAGGAGAAAGAGAAACACTAATTATTTTACTAATTTTTGTGCTATTTCTAGGATATTTATAGTTTGGTCCCATGATGTTTTATAGCAGTTAGAAGGGCGCTTTTTGCATACAGTACGGTTTTAACGTGTTGATTTTTCAAAGTCAGATGCTACGTGGGTTGCCTCTTTCAACTGCCTGACTGATTTGTGACGATTCATCAATTTGTGACGATTCATCGTTTTCTGATTTAGCCCACGTTTTTTGTATTCTCTTGAGATATTTTCAGCAGACATCATTTATTCATTTTTGTATTTCAAAGTTCATTCATGTCGGTAAATAATTTATTTTTTCTCATATATACATCCATTTTACATCCATTTTTTTCTTTTTTTCTTGTGAATTCAAACTAATTCCTCCTGAAAATGTGTTTGACAGGAAACTCGCAATTTTTTCGTTCCACCAAACATTTCCAATTTTTTTTTTATGGATATATTTTTTAATCCGCAAAAAAAATTCTGCTCCGGTATTTTGTGTTCAATTCGATCGTGTCGTAGGTAAATAAATAAATAGATCAAAAGTCGTAGGAGTTGTGGGAATTCTGTGTTTTTCGGGAGTGGGTGAAAGTTAGGGAAAGTGTTTTCACAGGGTTGTTGTTTTTTTTATTTTTCAAAAAAAAATCTGCTCGAAGCTGATCAAATGTAAATTAGGCCAATCAGATTTTGCGACGTGGATATTACTGTAATTCAAGATTTCCACTATGACTAATTTTTTGTCGATTCTAAATTTGTAATCGTTTTCCGGCTACAAATAACAGCCTCAAACAAAACAAAACAAAACAATGTATTTATTTTTTTATTTATTTATAAATCGACCGAAATAATAATAAAAACCCATTTTTTCTCCTCTCTTCCGAATGTTTTCTTAAAGGATCAGGCAATTTCTTCTTCGTCTTTCAGAAACCTCACTTCTTATTTTTTTTTCCTTGCTTTTTGGTGTTAATATTTGTGTAAATACATATATGTTCTATGTTCTATTTGTGTCATTTGGGATTACTCTTTAATAAAAAAATGATTTCTGTCTGAAGGTTTTTTTGAAGCCCAATCTCGCTTTTTTTCTCGAAAAAAATAGAGGTCACAAATTCGAAATAGTGAGTGTCATATTTCATTATATTCCGGAAGGAAATTCATAAGAGATCAAACCAAAAATTTCTTTCAAAAGTTTTTTCCTTGAAAATTCCATATAAAATGAATAGATGCCTAATTTTGGATGGATAAAGAAGACTCGTGAAAAAATGGGCGGGATTTTTGGGAAAAATAGAGGGAGGGGGATCGTGTTCTGTCTGTAATAGCTAAATTTTTGTGACATATTAAGGAACCAGCCGATATAAATTTAGATTTTTCTTTATTCGACCGGTAACAGCAGAAATTACCGGTCGAATAGAAAATCTGAGATTTTTTTTTGGAAACTCGGATTTCAAAAATCGAATTCTGGTTTATTTTTTAAAAGGATCTCTGAAACTTTGAATTTATGAGTTCAGAATGAAAAATTCTGATTTTCCACTCAAACTTTCTACCGAATTTGTTCCAAAATTACCTGCCACGAGATTCTGAGCTGAATTGTGTTATTTCAAAACACAAATAGGCAACATCCAAAATGCTCCTTCGTTTTTTCTCGTTTTTCTCGTTTACCCTTATATGATTCTTGTCGTTATTGTCGTCGAACAAACAAACAAATCAAAGCACTTGATTTGTGTCGTCTTCCGGAATCTTGTTATCACCTATCCATCTCCTCCATGTATGTTCATCATTTCTCCGTTTTTTCCTTCATGTTTTTATTTTTCTTAATATTTGTCGATGCTCATTTCGAAATTGAGATCTTCTTCTTTTTCTTCTTTTTTTCGTCATCATTATTATTATTATCTCATCGTTTTTTTGTTTTGGTCTGTTTTTTGCTGTGCAGAAAAATTTGAAATTGAAATGAGGAGCCCCAAGATCTTGCTCTCATTAATCTTTGGTTCAGAGTTTTGGAATTTCGAAGTTCATTTTATCGAAATAAAACACTGAAAATTTTCCTCCAAAACTTTATGAATATAAAAATTACTTGGTTACGCGCAAAAAAGTTACTAGAAATTCTTAGAATCATTACGGAAATAAGAATAGAAAACGAAAAAACCGAGAAAATGTGTTCGTTGGTGGCTCATCAAAAATAAACAAATAATTAACTTTCATTATTTTTTTGCCTTCCATTTTTCTCTTTTTTGTTTTATTTTTTGATTTTTCTCTGACCTAAAAAAATTCTGACTAGAATCTCGCTATTTCGAATTTTGATTTTATTTATCTCATGTTTTTTTCCTGAAGATGAAAATTTCTAGACGCATGTTTTTATGAATAATTCAAATGAGGTTTTCATATTTTTTCCTGGAAAAAACCAGTTCCTCATATTTTTGACCGTTCATTTTTTATACAACATTGACCAACCTCATGACCAAACTATTCTAGATTACACTAATTTGCATAATATTTCTGACCAGCCCTTTTGTGTTCACATATAAATATATTTAATTTGAATTCAAAATATACTGTAGAATTACATCAGATGTCCTTTTTGTAATTTCAGCGCACATTTGTTTTCAGAATAATTTATAGAATTCATTTCAGCAAAATTGAAAAACAATATTTTTTATTTGGAAAGCTTTTTGAACCTAATAGTCTTTTTTGAAATGACGTAGGTTTGAAATTTTTGATTTTAAAATCAGTAAGACATGTTTTTCATGTTGTCAATTTGAACCTTTTTTAGAAATTTTTTTTCCGCTTGAAGGTGAATTGATGAAAAATGTTCTTGATCTATTTGTTTTGAAAGTCTGTGATTAACTTAGTTTTCATTTTGAAGTCAGAGAAAAGTTCAAGATCAGAAATTTTGAGTTAGGTTCAAAATTGTGCCACGTGGCATTTTCGCACAAAAACTTCGATCTAAAAATATAAATTTAAATTTTCCACGTGGTTTTCGTCTTCAAAAACATATTGCAATTCGAGTTTTCGCGCGAAAAAAATTCACGAAAAAATTTAGAGAATATTTTAGAATTAATTTTAAATTTCAGTAAGAAATTCCCGTTTATCCTTGTACGTTTTTTTGGTTCAAAAAGCTTTCAAATTATTAGAGACATTTTGAGTTTAAACTCCATCTTTCAGAATTTTTTTCCCGCAAACCGAACATTTGTTTTGCAAAATCATTCCGTTTCTATTTATTCTTGTTCAATCTTCAACCTGTCAAAAAGTTTTTGTTGGAAAGAAAATGCGGGATCGTGGGAATTAATCCCATGGATATTTGTCTAGCTGCAATGCACAGCTTTACACTTTCACCTCCGATTTTTTCTTTGCACTGAATTATATATATAATTTATGTGAAAATAGCAAAGCACAAGGATGACCCTATCGGAAAAGATTGATTTGTGAGTTACTCGCTATTTCAATTTTCTTTTTCTTCGTTTTTGAAATTGAGAGTGCTTTCTTTCTGTGCACGAGGGAACGAATTTAATTCTTTTCTTTTTTTCCCCTCAAAGACCCGCCCATTTTTTTTTGAGAGAGAAAAAAAGCTTGACAGAAAATTTTACGTCAGATTTTTCGGTACATATAACTTCGGACCCTCTTCGAAAAGATCGAATTTCAAAATTTTTCTCATAACATCTTCCATTTTTTTGTTGAATCAATTATAATATTGGCTGCCTTGGAATAGAATAGAATAGAAAGAATACTATTCCTTTTTCTCGTTTATTTATTTTTTCAAAGGAGAAAAACTATTTTTTTTCGAAAATGAATTTAGTAAATTACTTGTTTGTTGATTCAGGAAACTTGATATCCAACTTCGATATATCCAACAAGAAAATGCGATGTTGATGTCTCATTTTCTGAGAAGAACACCTCTCAAATCAAAAATGAATCCTTAGAGACCAACTGATCCTTATATTTTTGCTGTACAATATACCCTGATCATCTAATTTTTCGTTTTTCTCGTGTTCAAGTGTCTTTTTTGTTTGTTTTTGGGTGTATACACAGATATGATACCACACACAAAAACTGATGAGCAATTGATAAATTTGTAGATTTTGTGTTGAGACATTGAAGATATAGTAAGCTTTCTTAGGTCAGTCAACAAAGCTATGAGTTGACTTTTTGATTATTTATGGTCACCGGAATTGAGTCGAAATTTATGGTGTCTTGTAGTTTTTCAAAGATCTTCTGGTCCTTTTGAAAAAAAAAACAAGAAAAAATTCTTGGAATATCCAAATTTTTTGTCAGGAAGAATAATTACTGTAGGTTTGAAATTTGAGAATAGAGAGAAAGAACGTCAAAAAATGTTGGAATGAGTTTTAAGTTTCCTGACATATTTGTTTTATTGATTTTTGATCTTTTGATCTCAAAAGGAAATATTTTTCGGAATTACTCAAAATTTTGATGAACATTTTAAAATTTAAATTTAAATCCTAACTTTTCAATTTCTTAAGAACTTTTAGATTAGAGTCAGAAGCTTAGTCGGCCGCTGCTTGCCAAGTAAATGCTGTTAAGTATCCAACCCTTCTAGCTGTCAAGGTATCTGCTTACCAGATATAAAATTCTGTCCAATCCTTGATTCCAACAATTTCATCAAAAGCTTTTTCTGACATCTTAGAACACTTCCTCGAACTCTGACGTCTCAAAGTTTCTTATCTTAATCCGTAGAAATTATTGATTACTACTCTTTCATTCGTTTTCTTTTCAAATCATTTATGATCTAGAAACCTTTGGGGATCAGAAGTTCTTGTTTTTAGTACACCGTTATTATTTTACTTCAAATCTAATCGGTTTATTTTGATCATTATCAAAATGCACAATTCCTCCTCCCAAAAATAAAGATAGATAACACTTAATTTTTCCAGTTTACTCTTTATTTTTTGAAAAAAAATGATGATTGATTTGAATATGTTTACTTTTGAATAAGATACTATACAAAAATAACCTTTGAAGAAGTAGATAAAAAACTTATCAGTGATTGACCTTTTCATTTTTACTTAAATATACTTTATTACTTTTTCATCTATTTTTTATTACAAACTTTCTCTGGATAACTATAAAAATTATTGTTTTGTTTTCATCTATTTCATTTTATTTTATTTTATTTTTTGCTCTGCATTTGTTCAATCTGTTTTTCCTTGTTGTAATGGAATAGAATTCATTCAATTTTTCAGATGACATTTTCCAACATTTCAATATCACCAATTGATCCGGGAGAATTCGAAAATGCAATTGAAGAAGCTTCTACAAATACAGTTGGATCAATGGAAATATTTCTAATTCTATTATTCTCAATTCTCTCAATTATTGGAGTTGTTGGAAATGTTTTGGTGATTACTGTTGTTTTGAAAGTTCGAGGAATGGTATGTTTGAAGAACCTTTTTGTGTTGTGTTGAAAATTCTGTTTATTTTCATTGTTTGTTTGTCCAGCAGCACGTCATTTCATTTTAACATCGCATAATAATTGGAAAATCAAACAATGAATTAATCTTCTCACGTGGGAGGAAAATAAAATTTGGATCTTAATTTTCGTAGATCAACAATTTTAGAGAACGATCAAAAAGTTATCCACGAGAGATTTAAGGGTTTCTAGGAAAATGTGGATGATCCTATAAATAAAAATATTTATCAGGGTGGTTTTTTTCATGATTTTTAGACTGATTTCTTGAAACAGGGACTAGATTTCTCGCTGATGATTTTTAAAGAAACATTCAAAGTAAACCTCTGAAAAGTAGACCAGGAACATTTTTTTCTAACCATTAAAAAAAACTACTATTAAAATCCAAAAGCTCAATCTGTCTCCAAATAAAAAATATTGTTTTTCAATTTTGGTGAAATGAATTCTATAAATTATTCTGAAAACAAATGTGCGCTGAAATTACAAAAAGGACATCTGATGTAATTCTACAATATCTTTTGAATTCAAATCGAATATATTTGAATGTGAACATAGAAGGGCTGGTCAGAAATATTATTCAAATTAGTGTAATCTAGAATAGTTTGGTCATGAAGTTTGATGTATAGAAACTGGATGGTCAAAATATGAGAATTACTTGTTATTTGGAGCTTTAAATTCCAAAAAAATCAATATCCAACTGACATTAATAATTGAAATAATAATATTTTGCAGAAAACTCCAACCAATTGTTATTTGGTCTCACTTGCCGCCTCAGATACTTTATTTTTCTTCGCTTCAATGCCACACGAAATGATGTATTTAATAGGAAATGGTGATCATTATATATTTGGAAGTATTGGTTGTGCACTTCTCACATATCTTCCATATCTTGCAATGAATACATCAAGTCTTTCAATAACTGCATTTACTGTCGAACGATTTATTGGAATCTGTTATCCATATCGAGCACGAACAATGTGCACTGTTAAACGAGCGAAATTGATTATTTGTATGTTGTGGATTGTTTCGATTATTTATCATTCACAATGGTTATTTTTGGCGGCTGTTGTTGAAGATAAATATGGAACTGCTTGTAGTTTTAGATTGGAGAGAAATGATTTGAGTTATAAGGTCAGTTCAATGAATTTTTTAAAACGTCTTGGACCTCCTAGAAAAAATATGACGTGGAAAAATTTATCAAAACCTCAATGAGGTGATTCAAGTCGAAAAAAATTAATATAAAACAGAAAATTTCGATTCAGCAAATGTTGGAAAACTATAGTTTTTACTATTTTTGACACTTTATTTTACTATTTTAGAACTTCTAACTGTTTTTCAAAAATAATTGAGAAAAGATAAACAAAATTTGAAACGTATTTTTGTTGGATTAAATTTCCCCTTAAGGGGATTAATTATCTTATCAATTTCAATTTTTTATAATTACGTCAATTTTTCAACAAAAAAAAATAATAATGGTCTTGATCTTTTTCCAGACCAAAAAAAATATCAAGAGTTTATTTAAACTTTTTTGTATTTGACTTTTGTCTTACACCAAACAAAATGAAAAATGATTTTAGATCGTGTTTCTTGCCGATTTCTTCTTTCTTTATGTTGTTCCAATGCTTCTCGATATCATAATTTATGTAAAAATTGGAATAACATTAAGTCAATGCAGTGATAAAATTAAGAAATCTGTAAAACCATTATCAATGAAAACTGAAGCAACGCATGCAAATGTGACAATGATACCAGCAACAAATACAACAACAACTGTAACAACAAAATTATCAGTTAGCGGATATACTGGAAGAGATTCACATATATCTGGAAAACGAAATTCATCAAAAGGTCGTAATCAAGTTGTTAAAATGCTTGCATTGGTTGTGGCTGTTTTTGCAATTTGTTGGTTGCCTTATCGAGGAATGGTTATGTATAATTCATTTGTTTCTGCTGAAAAACATTGGAGTCCTGATTGGTATATTAATTTGGCGAAAACTTTGATTTTTATAAATTGTGCTATCAATCCGATTTTATATAATTTGATGTCTGCAAGATTTCGAGCTGCTTTTAGATCTTTGTTATCGAAAAGGAAACGATCAACATATCAGACAAGTGAGTATTTTTTGGATTTTTCTGAAAAAAAGAAGTCACTTTATTTTACTTTATTTTCCACGATTGTTTTAATAATTCCCAAAAAAATTATTCCATTTCTTTAAATGATTTTTGAGTAAATTTTAATAGGATTTTCAAGTTGTTTTTTTTCACATTCACCATTACAGATTATCAACAAGCACTTGTTACAAAAAGAAGCTTGAATAGAATTCAAGATTTTTTGTAACTTTTTCTGAAGGTATCGCTTGATCTATCTAGAAAAATCTTTGTTTGCACTGCACGAAATCAAATTTCTCGGACTTCTTTCAAAATTTTCCATATTTTCCAGCTGCTCCAATTTCTGCTCGTCATCGTCTAACAACTCTCGACGCTTTATCTTCTCAACAAGAACCAAAATCTCCACTGATATCAGCCGGCGCTTCAACTCCCTAATTTCATCATTTGTAAATATCTACTTATTTTCATGTTAGGAGTTAATTATCTCTGTCTGTTCTGTTTTAATTAATTAATTAACCGAATATGGGTGTTTTCTGAATCACACCAAAAAAACAAAAATTGTGTGACGGGTCTGACAATTTCGCGTATCAAAATAAATATTTTTTTTTGAATTATGTGTTTTTTATTGAGTTGAGCAAGTTTTGACAGAAAAATTAAGGAGCAATAATAAAACAATACGAGGGAAATTAAAGTGAGTTAATTATTATTACAGAAGTTAGTAGATGAGTTCTTCGCGAGTTTGTGTTTCTTGTCGTCGTCGAGGATCAAGGAAATGTGGATCATTTCCACCGGAAAGTGTTGGAGAATTTGGAGAAGCGAGACGAGCTCGAGGAACTGCAAAAAAAATGAATTTTATTTTCAAATTTTTTTCTACTGAAATTTAGAAAATTAACCGAGATTACTGTAACTAGCTTTGGCCGAAAATTTCCTGATTTTCAAATCACTTTTTTTATTTTTCAAGTTAGAAGTTTGGGAGTTTGGGGTACTGTACTGAGATTTGAGAAGAAAAAATTCAGTGTTCAAAAATTGTGATTAATTTTTTTGACTCTGTGAAAAAAAAACTGAAAAATAAGAGCTTGATCCTCTCTCAATTTTCTTCAATCTTGAGCACGAAATCATTATTTTTATTATAATTTGATTCATATTCCAAATAACTCACTTGTTCCGTATGCAGTATCAATTGGTGTATAAATCGGATGTGAAATTCTTTGTTCATCAATCGGAAGTTGTCCCAATGATCCAGTTTCAGCAACATCTCTTGGTATTCTTTTGCCTCCAGATCCATTCAAAGTATCAATTCGATAACGATATGTCGAATTTGGTGTGTGTGGTACAGTAGTTCCTGGTGGTGGTGGATAAGGCAATGGACTGCCCGAATATGGCGTCGAATAAATCGCATCATGTAAACGAGGATTCAAAGTCGATGGTGGAGTAATAACATATAATGGCTCGATTGATTTATAGGTTGCCGGTTTCGTGACCTCGTACTTTTCTTTTTTGTTCTTTTTACAACAGCAAAAACATTTTGCGCAGAGCATTGAAAGAAGAATTGAAAGAAGACAAAGGACAAGAAGAACAGCAACAATTAGACCAATAACTGGCAACCAACCAGCATACCAATTATCAATTGGTGCTTCCGATACTTGTTTATAGTTTGATAGCAAATATTGAACTGCTAATGTATCACTTTCCGAACCTTGTGCTGCTAATTTATGTAGTTTTTGCATATCATCATCTCCAAGTAAAACAAATGAATCACCTCCACGGAAAGTGGCTAACTGAAAGAAAAAAACAATGCTCAACCTTGAAAATTATACAAACCTGTTGTGTATCCTTGAGATAAACCATAACTAAACCATGATCACATGTTGTGTTACCGAGTTCAGCATTATTGTATTCCGCTTCCATGTCACGCTTCAAATCATCTGTCTGTAAGGAAGGTCAGTTGAATTTGTTTCGGAAGTAAACCAGAACTCTGAGAATTCAGAAAAATATATCATTTTTCCATTTTTTTTTTCTGTTCCCTTCTCCCTCAAAATTATAAAATACTTATTTTGCCCAAAGTTCTCCCTCTTGAGAACCTTGAAATTAAGTAATTACTGAAATTGAATTCCTCCATTCGGTCAGTTTCAATGGCAAATGAAGAAATTCGAATTTGTCTTACTCTTTTCGTTTCGACCCAACCAAAACAAAGAGAAAAAACAGCAAAAAAACATATTAGGTTCAGATGGCGACCTTGGGCAATTTTGACCTAATTTATCACTTACGTTTTTCGAAGAAGTCACATGAAGCAATCCGATGAATGAATCGGTTCCGTCAGATCTCAAACAACCATCAGCACATTCACATCTGGAAAAAACAACAAGGAGTTTTCGGGACCCTCAAGATTTTCCAAAAAAAAAATTAGAATAACTTTGATGGACTTCTGACCACCCCAACAAAAAAAAAATTTGGGATAAACATTGTGATGACTACGGACCATTTTCTGATATCCTAAATAGTTTTTTTTTCAAATTTTATATCCCTGTCTCTCAAAATAATTCATGAACTATTAGAACAGCGAAGAACAAACAGATATTTATATATTTGTGTCATTAAAATGTATGTAATAGAGAGGAGACCTAGTTAAATTTCGCTTGCTTGTATTACATTCGATTCAGCTTCTTCAAGGTCTTTTCTCGAAGCAGACAACAACTATGTTTATTTAAGTGCGACACTATTAAAAAATTTATTAGTTTCATGTAATTTTTTGTTTCTTCTTCGCAAAATCTCGACCCAAAAAAATGAGGTCGGCAGAAAAAAAAAGATGCGCCTAGATATTTTTGGCGCCATTTTATTTAGAGATTCTAATCTGAGTGACAAAGAAGTTGAGGAAAATGACTGAACGATTTTTGTTTCGGATAGGAAGTGCAACGTTGCTTTTGGGAGAAAACTTTGATCTACAAAACACTGTAGATCATAGAGTTCCAAAATTCTGAAGAAAAAAACTCCCAGAATTTTTGACGAAATTGGAACTTGAAGTTAATTTTTTGAGCTTACAGTTCCATTAAAATCTTGCAATTTTTGTCGACCCTTATGCTGATATAAAATGTTCAAAATTATTTTGAGAATTTCCAAATTAAAAATCTATAGGTCTGGAAATTGTGCTAACAAAAAATGGCTCCCTCAGATTCCCCATTCCCATTTCCCATCCTCAAATCAAATGCTTACCCAATTCGATCTTTAAGTCCTGCCAAAATATCAGTCAACTTTTTTCGTGTCGTGGCAGCTAATCGACCGTGAACATCACAAACAAAATTCTGTCGACCGTAACCGTCTTCCTTTTGGCATTGTTCGGCTTCATCGAGGAATACTGTACATTTCACCTGGAAAAAATTGAAAGTGTGACTCTTTTTTCTGGTTGACATGACATGATAGGAGAAGTTTTTTTCTGTTTCTCAATTTTCAGTCAAGTTTTTGTTCAAAAAGTCAAGAAGTCAATTTCAGCTAATCAATTACCACAAACAATGACCATTCAATTACCCAATTCCCAAAAACTTTCGATTTTTTTTCTATTTTTCATATTACAAAATATGTTTCCAAAAAACTGGTAAATAATTTGAACGAACATTGAAAATGTGAATACATATGGTTTGGTTTATGTGAGTGAGATATTTAGTTTTACATACTTTTACATAGTTGTAAATAAATAGTCTTGTTTTGTTTTCGTTTTGTTCCGACAGATATGGTTGGATGAATTTCAAAGAAGGTTGTAACAATGAAAAAAATGTGTGTGTGTAAGAAAAAATTGTGTTATCAACAATCAACAAGTGATAAAAACAAAACTTGCGCGCAGATATTTATGATTGAGAGAAGGAAAAATGAAACTAGAAAAATTTGGTTTTTTATTGTTCAGTAGGGAAAGCGGATGTTTTTTTATTTCATTGAAAGTTTTTGGTAGAAAATGAGAATGGGTGGAACTTCAGAAAATGAAATTTCAAATTAAAATGTAGCTTGGGTTTTGGAGAAAAATTGTTCCAAAAGCGAGATAAATGTTGAAATATCAAAAAGATTTTCAGTTCAAGTTGTGCAGTTTTTTAATAAAAATATTTCAAACTTCAGATTCCTTAAAAAGTTTCAACAAAAGTCTTCTAAAAAAATCTGCGCAAGAAAAATCATTTAAAAATTTTTCTCGATTTCCCGAATTTTCATCCGAAATTATTTTTTCCTACTTCAAAATGCCTCTCGCCTCACATAATCAATCATATGAATATCCCAAAAAATTATTATAATTATTCTCGTTTTTCGATCCACCGACTGACATAATTCATGTTTTTTGTGTTGTTATAACCTACAATCAATCAACAGCAAAAAATTTGAGAACCGGTTTGAAGTTTTTTAATTTTTCAAAAATTGAATTAAAATCTCATGAAAACACTAGAAAAGGTGCACTTTTCTGAAATAACAAACCTGTTGTATTAACAGAAGTGAAAATAAAAACAAAAATATCTTTGAATCCATTTATGATGTGTGAGAGGAAAAAAGTATTTAGTAATAATAACAAAATAAAATAAAAGTAATATGAATAAACTGTTAAATGGAATGAATATGTGTAAAGTAAAGTAAAACGAAGGGAAAATACTGTTTTTGTTCTTCTTTTTTTCGCAAAGCAAGAAAATACCCCTCACCATCGAAAACTCCGCCCATTTTTTGAATCAAGGTTGTTTGAAAGAAAAATGGGATGGAAAACGGAAAAAACGAAGAAGAAGAAGGTGTTGCAATTGTGAGTCATTTGGGTGGACATTTGGGTAATTTGAAGTGAAAAAGATAAATTGGATAGATCCTACCTAATTAGGAAACACACCCAAGGTTTTATGGAGATGAATTTAATTTAATTTTCATTAGCAGATTTTATTGGGATTTTCAGAAAATGATTTTCTAGTTTTTTGGATCAGGGGAAATTGGAACTTTTTTAAATGAACTAGAATTTGTAGAAAGAGCCTTTTGTTCCACAAAAATTTAATGTTCTGTATTTTTGGATCTAAAAATCAGCAGTTCAATGAGATTTCCCTCATGATTACTGTAGTTTTTGTTTTACCAAAGTTGATTAAATTTATGTTTAACCACGGGTTTTTTGTTGTTTTTGACCTCTCCAACTTTTATTTAATATTTTTCCAACAAAACTTATTTTCATTTCTTTCGAGGTATTCTTTTCTTTTTTCATGACTCATCAGCAATAAAATTTGAAATTAACTTTCAAATTTTTCAAATAGTTCTCCAAACCAAAAATAATTTCCAAAAACTTGGAATTAGGCCAAAATGGAGATTTAACACTTGAATGAACTTGGATCAGATAATATTTCAACTCAATTTTGAATTACGGTGGGATCTTTTTCATTCCGGAAAAAAACAGGGACAAAGAAGTGGAACAAGTGTAAAAACAATAAGTATGAATTTTCGATTGATATAATATTAGTATTGAATTGAATTACGCAAGACTGGAACAAAAGTTATTGGAATATTAAAATGTGATTTAAAAGAAAGCAAAATTGGAAATTTAATGAGAAAGTTCAAATTTGAGAAATAAATAAAAAGAAATGACTTTTAAATTTAAATTAAAATAACACAAAAAAGTTCGTTTTCAGTAAAATTGATTTCCCACTGACTTCAACAAAGAAATTTCTGCAATAAAAAAATTCTTCACACATTTGGAAACAAGACGAGAACCGTTTCCAGATTTACAAATTTTTACCAAAAAAAATGCTCAAGTTTTCGTATTGTTAAAATATCTAGAATTCTATTTGATGTCTTCCCTTTTTCATTTTCTGATTTTTATACATTCTCTGTTCATTTTCAAGTTTTTCAAAAAAAAAGAATGATCGTCATCGTAAGATAAAAAGGGATGAGTCTAACAGTTCAAATCCTCTTTTGAGTTCAATCGTACAAGCTTATGCGATTTTTTTCAGGAGAAAAACATGTTTGGCACGATTTTGCACTGATCTACCAAGAAATTTTTAGAGATGCTAAACGACCAATATCACTCAATGAGTTTCATGAGTTTTGAAATATCAAAAAATAATGAGAAACAGTATTTCAAAACATTAGACTTCTATGCACAGACAAATCAGAAACACATTTTTGAGAGATCAAATCGCTTGAACTTGATTACAAAAAAAGATTTGAAATTTTGTATAAATACCAAAGTGTTTTCTGAAAATGCCACCATATTTTTTATTTTATTCCACTCATGTTGAATCCACACGGTATGTTCGAATTTTGTGACAATCAAAAAACATTTTTCTTTCCAGTAAATCAAAAACTATTAATTTTGGTTGCTACAACAATTGTAGTCACAATTTATTTATTTGTTTTGAATTCAAAAGCCGTCGAATACCCAACTTATCGAGGAATTAAATTGGAACCTGAACCCCTCCCTGAAGAAATATTTTTAAATGGAACAACAAATTCTGAAATTGTTTATGAAGCGCAAGATCCAGAAATTCCAGTTGTTGATGAAACTGAATTTGATGATTTGAGAGCTGCTTATCGGAGAATTGAACATTTTGTTAGAGTTAATGTAAGTTGATTAGTACAAATTTCAAATCGAAAAGAAATGAACATGTTTTCAGAGAATTCCATTTGTGAAAGATGAAAAATATGATGAAATATTGGGAATGAAACAATGTGATTTGACAAAAGATGAATCAAATCCAAAAAATGATGTCGGAAAAATATTGAATGGTTTTCACAAATGTATTGATCCAATTGTTGGATATTACAAGAAGAATCCAGAACAAATGTTGAATCAATGGGTTGATAGAACAAAACACTGTGATGATATTCCGGAATATGAAAATTTAAAAATACATCCATTACAAAATGGCGACGAAATTAAAAGACATATTTATCCTAACTGCGTAAGAAAAAAAATTCTTGAAATGTTTCTCAACTTGAAATACATTTTAGCGCGAGAAAACGGTTCATGTGACACTTGGAATTGGACACGATGTGATTGCTGAGAAAAAATTGAATATGTCGCAACCAGATACTGTATTTTATGGAGCTGATCCAGTTATTGAACCAAATGCAAAAATATTCTCAGAACTTGGAAAGTTTTTCCCATTTGCTGTTGCGAGAGAAGCCGGAGTTTCGAGTTTTAGAGTTTTGGCAACTCATTTGAGAAAAGGTTGGTTTTGAATTTTGAAGTTTTGACTTTCAAATTAATTTTTCTAGCTAAATATATGTTCCTTGATGTGACTGCAGTTGACATCATTTATTTTTTCAAAAATATTTTGAAAGTCACAAAAATCGATTCACTTTTTGTGGATATTGAAGGAGCTGAACAAACATTTTTGGATTATTTCCATGTTGGAGGAGAATTTGATAAAAACGGAATCACAATTTGTCAATTTAATATGGAAATTCATTCAATTGTTTGGCCACATGGATATCAAACAACTTCAAAATTCTTGGAACAACTTTTAAAAGATAATCGATATATATTTGTGAAGCCAACTCCGCAAAGAAGAGGAGTATTCAAACAATATTTTATTAATGTAAAAGATCCAGAATGTGTTAGAAAATTTTTGCAATAAAATGATATAGAATTAATTCTAGGTTATCTAATATGCAATTTTCTGACGAAGTGCAATTGAATAACTTGTAGTAATCAATGCAGGAGGCTTTTTCCAAAATAAAACAAATCTTCGATATGCTGGAAATGTGATAATCATAACAATTACATTTGCAGTTGAATGAGTCGAAAATATTGCGAGAAGAAAATGAGATAAAACTAGAAAAAATATTTTGTTTTGTTTTGTTATTTTACTCGAGCTCTTTGTACCTTGTAATTTCTCATATTCAACCATAATTGCAGCTGATAAAATAACTGGAGGTGTTAGGCACAAAGAAGAAGTCAAAAATTGAGCGAATAAACTTTTAAGTGCTGATCGATGTTTATCATAACTTGATGCAGATATTCGAAGTAGATTATATTTCAATAATTTAAACATTTGAGAAGTTGTTAAAACTATAACATTTACACAAATAAAACCATGCAAAACAATTAAAGTCATCGAAAATGTGATTAATGGAGTTAATTTATAGATCGCAAAATTATGCAATTTCAAAAAATGTGGATAATAATCGGGTTGTGTTGAAATAATATAAGCGAGTTGTTCAGCAGTTGTCATTCCGGATAAATAAAAAGTAATTGCAATTACAATTGATACAACTATTAGAATGATAATTATTGCAATTAAAAATGGTTTACTAATTTGTTGAGTTTTTGAAATTTTTGCGATTGCTTGATGTTTTCGAATAAAACAAAGAGTTAGAGAGCTGGTTTGTAATGCATTGAAAAGATCAGCAATTGACTGAAAAAACATAGGTTTTGACGGAAAAAGCCGTTTTGTCACTATTTTTTCTAATTGTTTTTTTAAATTGTTTTTTTCAAGAAATTCAAAAGAGTTCTGGAAAAATCTTTAGAATTCAGAAATTCGGATTTGTTTGAATCAAAAGTGAAATGCCACCTTGTCTCCGAAGTTACAGAAAAAGTTCATTGAGAGGCTCAAGGCCAAAACTACCCCTCCCCTAAAATAATACCACAAGTGCTTCGGGAGAAATATCAAAATAAACCGCTAGAATTCCATTACAGTAACCAGCTATCATTGGAAAAAGACCAATTGGTTGCATAAGGAAAGTGACATGAACATCAGCACAAGTACAGCAGATCTAAATAGAAAAATTGAGCTACAGTACTGAAAATACAAATATTTAGCTCACCTGAAAGGCTAACAAATAATACTTGAAATTATCCATTTTGACACCTTTGAATAGAATTAAATATAATGCAAAAGTGTTCAATAAAATACTTATTGATCCAATAATTCGATAATATAACAATAATAAAAATGGAGGCTCGAAAGATATTACTACCATTTTTGATTTTGATTTTCAGTCAGGTGCAAAAATGTGACTGACTCTTGAAACTAAAAATAATTATAGCCTTCCTCAAATGTTTGATAAAATGAATTTGTCTGGAAAGAAAAATAAGGAACAAAATATGTGACAAAAAAAATTGATTCTGGTTTTTTTTGGTCACGGAATGTTATTGTGTTGAGTTGAGAAATAAATTCCGAGAAGTTTTATTTTTTGAGAAAAAAAGAAGAAGAAAATGGAACTATCAATTAGACCAAAATCGAACATTTATCTGAAAATAATTCATAAATATAGGTTTACAGGAGAAAAATGAATAATGAATTTAGTGGGGGTTTGAGTGTGACTTGAGCTTTTTTTTGAAAATGCATTTTTCAAATATATTTCTCCAATTTCCTGGAATTCTGAAGATTTTCGCGTAATTAAACTCTCAGATAAAATTTTCATTCAGTAATTCCAAGCTCCTAATATTAATAATTATCTATTTTCGTGTGATACAGTAGTTTTCATTCCGCTGATTGAAGATGGAATCGTTCTATTATTCCTGAAATTTTTTTGTTGGAAAAAATTCATCCCCGAAAAAGGTAACCCCTCAAATACCTTATTTTATTGCGTAGAACAAATTTTCGGAAAGTTGGAAAAGTCCAAATCATAACAATAACATTTATCGAAGAATGAGAGGCGAAAATTGCATTTAGAATATGTGCCAAAACTAAATTATCATGATTATTTATAAAATCAAATTTTCTATTTATAAAAGTTCATATTTCTTACGTTGTGCTCTTTCATATTGCAAAACAACTGCAATTGATAAAATAATTGGAGGAATTATGCACAAAAATGAGACAATAAATTGCCAAAATAAACTTCGAATTGCTGCTTTATGTTTTTCGAAACTTGTGACTGTTAGCTTTACTCGAATCATTTTCAGTCTTTTTGACATGTGATAAGTTGAATAAATGACTAGAATAATTGAAAACAGACTATTTAATGAAATGAACATTGAAGCAGTTTGCATATCCTTGCTCATTTTATAAATTGAAAAATTTGGAAGTTCATTGAATTTTTTCAAAAGATTCGGAAAGCTTTGGGAAATATATTCAAGTTGTTCTTCTTTTGAAATTCCTGCGGAATAAAATAAAAATAACACGGAAAATGAGAGAGCAAGCATTGATAAAATAATAAGATTATAAAACCAATTTGGAATAACATATTTCATATCAACTTTTGCAATTGTTTGATGTTTTCGAATGAAACAAAGAGCTAATGCATTATTTTGAAGAGCAGTCATGAAATTTGTGATAGTTTGGAGAATATGAGGAGAGAAATTGAAATATATTGCGAGAATTCCATTTGCATATCCACCTGTTATTGGAAAAAGACCGATTGGTTGCATTAGAAAATTCATTTGAATATCGACAGCCAAAGAACAAAACTGTAATAGCTAAAGTTTTTTGGGGATCTTTTGAAAACTTTGAAATTGAAGAATATGGCCCAGTGAATTACAGTATTCTGTTTGAAAAATGATACAGTACTCCAAAAGTTTTATCAGTTTTTATTCTAAAAAAAACTCCACAAAAACTAAAATTCGTCAAACCTGAAAAAATATCAAATAAAATCGATATTTATCCATCTGTGAACCTTTCCAAATAATCAAATACAATCCAAATGAGTTCAAAAAAATCGATAGAATTCCAACAAATAAATACCATTTCACAAGCCATTTTGGAAGTTCGAAACTTATCATCTGCAAAAAAAATAGAAAAATCTAGTTTGGCAATCAAAAAACACAACTCACATTCAAGTTTATACCATTTGTCTGATTGTCAGCCATATTAAGGATAATTCGATTTCTGGAATTGGTTATTATTATTTTTTTTTTGTTTTCAACACGTTGAGTTGATCATAACGTCAGAATTTTGAAAAAATTCTCCAAGTGAAAAAAAGTTTACAGATTATGTAATTATGGAAAACGTTAGAAAAACTAAATAAATTTATTTTCGTGATTTACGAAATAAAAAATACGCCATGTTTTCTTGGTCTAATTATGCTTTTCGTTGTCAGAAGAATTTCTTTCTGATGAATTTTATTTATCTAGTTTTTTTTCGCGCAGACTTAAAGTAGAAATGAGATGTTTTGAAAACAAGAAAGCCTGAACTTTTTGATAAAATATTTTCGTTTTGAACTAACATAAGCATAACGTTTTTAACCTACGCAAAAACGAAAAACAAAGAAAAATAATTAGGAAAAAAGGTACCTCGTTATTTTTTTTTTGAATTTTCAGATTTTTAGTCGCCAATCCAAATAATTTTCGGTGTAAATGTCTCGAAATCAGTTTTTTTTTGGCGCGCGTAACAGGTAATTCGATTTCAGAACATCAATTTCTCTCTAGTCAAAATATAAGAAAAAGACCTCAAATTTTTCATTAATTTTTGGGTAGATCAAAAATAATTTTTCTCTAAATCTCTCGTTTTTGCGTTGAATCCACCCCTAAGATCGTGTCAGATCTCAAAAAATGCGCGAAATTTTTCGGGTAGTAAATTACACTCTGTGTGCGGTTGGTCGTAATTTCGCGTATAAAGCAAATTTTTCTCATTTTTTTTCTATGTGCGTTCATATTGCAGGGCTTGTGGGATAAGAAGAAACGAGGAAAATATCGAATTTGAGAGTCTCGTGGATTCACCAATAAACGACCATACGTCAATTATCGAAATATCGGGTATTATCACTTTGGAGAATCCTACACACAGATCGGATCCGGAGATTTTAATATTCAATGAGTTTGATATTAGTCAACAACGGAGAAACGGAGAAAATATTCTGAAGTTGAATTCATCAGCAAGTGACTTGACAAAACGGGGATTTTTTATCAATGGGAGAATCAACAAGTATGAAGTTTTATGCAAAGAAGATCAGTTTCAAAGAAATTCTCGGTCCAACACCACAAGCTCAACTTGTTCCAGCAGTAGGAAGTACTGTATTCATTGATCCATCAGTAAGTTTTTAAAATATTTATTTATTTTCAAATTCAACTTTCTTTTTGAGGTTCTTGCTTCGATGTCTGATGCCTGGCAAAATGAATTGGATATAAACCCGAATTTTGTTCGAAATATTGCGGGATTTGATAGTTTTGAAGTTATGCGATGTCTGAAAATAGCGATGAATTACTCGAACAACGACGGTTAGTGTTATAAAAGTACTGATTTTATGATTATTATGTTTCGATTTTTTTCAGCCGCAAACAATCATGATTTGGTTAGATTGGCAGATTTCGCGAGATTGATTGGGTCAAGTTGCTTAATATCAAAAATATCCAGTGCATTATTGCAAAGTAACATATTTTTGGCTAAAAAATTCGTGATTTCTCATTCACTTGGCCAGGGATTCGAAAGTATAATTGTAAGTTATGGTCATAACGTTTCTGCAACATCATTTTTTTTTATAACAGGACACATTGCTGTTACAAACTAGCCCAAGTGACACGGACAAACTGTTGGCCGACTTGGAGTTCCGCTGTCTTCCAAATTTGTTCCTAGATCGCGTCTACAAAATTCGTTGATCCCTTTCGCAAAAATCTCTTTCTCTTTTATTTGTTTTTTTTTCAAATAATTAGTTTCTCTTTCATTCGTTGGTTTGATAATTATATATATGTTCTTTTTCATAGTTCTATTTTTCCCAAATTCTAGTTTTTAAGTTGAGTTGATATTTATGCAACAATTTTATCCGTGTAGTTTGATATTTATGAATTTGAATAAATTGTTAGGACATATTCGATCATGTCATTCCTCACTGGTCCTAGGAGTTTGACCAAAAGGGCACCAACATTTTTACCCCATTGTTTGGTCAATGTTTCAATTTTTCCCACCAATTTTTGATCAACTTTCCCTACTTTTTAAAAATCAAAAACATTTTTTTTCAGAAAAAATTTATTGAAAAAGTGTAACAAATATTTAGTGTCAAAATATTCACAAAATAATAAAATACAAAAATAATTTTAGACTAGTACAAAAAATATTCTCAATTATGGATCAATATCACCTTCATAATGACAAAAAAGTTGAAAATGTTTGCTTTTTCGACATTTCATTATTGTGACCAGTGTTGCACTTCGAGATCTGGAAGAGAATGAAAATTTAAAGATAATTTTTTGAAAAATAATTACTTACACATATAATTTTTCGTGTTCTTCAAGCATAAGTTTGATGAATTTTTCACCATTTTCAACATCCCAATTTCTTCCAATATATTTGAACTCAGAGAATAAGAACGGAAACCCAGTGGACAAACTCCTCCGCTGGAGTCCCGAAATAGCGAATTTCGGAATCCCGTCGGAGAGATCTCTCCGATGGACTTCCAGATTTGTTTTTTTGCCAGAACGACAAAAACAGACTCCAAAACTTGGAAAACCAGTGGAGAACATTGTCCGCTGGAGTTCCGGGATGAGATTTCGGCTTTCTTTTGGAATTCCAGCGGAGAATTCTCTCCGGCGGAGTTACCAATTTTGTCCAGAAAGACTACGGCGGAGAGAAGAAGTGAACTTTTGACTTTTGAGTTGAAACTTCAATTTTCATGTGTTTTTCCATAAGGTTTTCGGTTAGACGTTGAGGAATGAACTTTTTAATTAGACGACCAAATTGTGAACGGAAAAATGAATATTTGAAAAGTTTTAGTTTGTGAATTTCATGAATTTCATCCCAACTTCAAAGACTGGAAAACAGTTGCCTCATTATGATTTTACCAACTAACCTTACTCGTTTCTAACAAAAAAAAGTTTTACAGTAATTTCTATTACTATTATCTCTTTTCTTAAAGTATTCATGAATTAGAAAATTTAAATCAGCCTGAGAAAATTATTCGTTTCTTTTCAAGTAAAAATTATAAACACATGTTTCGAAAATTGAAATTTCAGCACTATTTTACGAACATTTTTAAATCAAAAAACTTAAGATTAAAATGTTCAATGTTGACTCTCTGGAGTTAAAAACATCATTTTTGTATGTTTTCAAAAAATATTTGGAAAACTAGATAAATCTCATATGAAACAACTTTCAAATAATTAATTTTAATCCTTAAATAGCTAATTTGTGGGTCAAAAGTATGAACATATATACAAATTCTGGTGATACAAAATATATAAAGACCAATCGCCGCCGCTGTTTCTACGCGCGTGGATGGTGTATTTGGGTGAATGACTGCCTATTGATCCACCCTCAATAGCCTGGTTCGACCCCCCACTAGTGGCAGATCAAAACAGACTACTTAGAAATCAAACCGACTTATCATAAATCAGTTTCAGATGCTTCAAATATGTTCCAGATGACAAAAACAGCTTCAGATAGTAGCCCCATCAACCTCATATTTTCCTTTTTAATTTTGAAAATTTTGCCTCCCGGAGCTCCGGCGGAGAGTTTTCGGACTTCCGGCGGAGAGTTTTCGGACTTCCAGCGGTGGTAGAATGGAATTCCGGTTTCTCTCCGCCGGAACTCCGAAAACTCTCCACTGGTCTTCCGTTCTTATTCTCTGAGAATTCATAATCTTCGTTTTCCATGTATCTCTGTGAGAAAATCATATTATTTTGAAGGGGGCAGTGAAAATATGATGACATTGAAGATAATTTTTATAAGAAGTTTCGAAAAAAAGTTTAGAATATCGGAGTAGAATTAATTTTTTGAAAATGAAATGCTTTTTGAGCTCAAACTTGTTCACCGAGTTGATAAATTCAAGCCGGTTGTCCCCCAAAATAAAGCCCCATTAAAAAAAAACTTACTCTAAACTGCAATATGAGTGCTTGCATAAGTTCCTCGGTTGGATATCTCAAATCAGAATGCACAAAAGTGTTTGATTCAATCAATGGATATGTCTTGGGTAGAAAATCACAAATTCCCTCAATATGTAACTCATTTGCACTATGAACTAATTCCGACTCATCAATTCCACTTGAAAAAACAAAAGATGAAGAGATTTGCAATTTTTTGATTGGCGCTTTAAACATCGAAATCCACGTATCCATCAAATCTTCGACTAATGAATATCTGCTTTGTATCAAACACAAAGTTTCAGCTTTACATTGTCTTGGAAACGTCGGCGCTTGCCAAATAACATCTAAATATACATATTGATATTCTAAACCACTTCGAGTTAATAATCGAGTTGCCCATTTTGAAGCACATTCATGAATATTACAACCATCATCCACAATCACACCAATAGAACATCCATCCATTTCTCGTTTTGTTACTATTTTTGTTCTTTCTCGATTTATCATAAAATATAATGAATATATTTTTCCCTCTGTTTCCATTGTAACTCGACACGCATTCTGTGTGAAAAAAAAATAATTGATTGCCATGAATAAAAGAAAAGTTGAGCCAACTTACTGGAAATTCAACCATCACTGGTAAACTTGCTGATGCGTCTGGTATCATTTTGAATTTATTGATTATTGTTGGATATGAATCGACTACATCTCTCATTTCTTTATTCACAAAACGCATTCGTTGTCTATAATTAAATCGACTTGTTTTATTTCAAATATGAAAATAAATTAAATTTACCTGTCTACTAGTGGCAAATATTTGAAGAGTGAAGCTCGGAATTGTGTAGGACCATCCAAAATCAGATTTTGTTTATTTGATCCAGGAATATTTGGATTTTCGGAAGTTCCAGGATCCGACATTCTTCGTGTGGAAGTCATTTTCAATTTTTTGTAGACAAAATTGAATTTTTCGGATAGAAATTTTTTTCTCAAAAAAAACTCGATAAAAAATATTTCTCGAGCTGGAGCTCTTGGTCAAACACACAAAATTGAAAATTCTGAGGTTTCCCCGTGTTCGATAGAGCGCAATTGAGCGATTTGAGGAAATATTTGATTTTTTCTCATCCGAGCTCAAAATGAAAATGAATAAACACCGAAGCGGGTCTCAATTTCTGCTCGCGTTTCAATATCAAAGTATCTAAATCACTAAAAACAATAATTCACAATAAATTACATTTCAAAATAATAAATCAATAAATATACCATTTTATTTTTCATACATATTGCAGAAAAAACATTTGTTGTATAATAAATTAGCCGAACAAAATGTATATACGTATCTTTCCTCGAAAATTAATTCGGTTTGGGACACAATTCTAAAAAAAACCATTTTAATCACATGAAAAGTTACTGTGGGAAATGAATGTCGCGGGGGAATGAAATTACAAAAAAAAGGAGAAGAAGAATGGGGAGACAGGGAATAAATTATAATAACGATATTACTATTCAAAAACGAGCAGCATACTTTGGAACCATATAAATCTGAAAAAAAATTAATTTTAATTATGCTGAAAATTTGCTGAAAAAAACGAACCATTAAAGTCTATTGATGATATGGCGATTGTCGATATCCACTTGCTGGTCCTCTCGCAAATGGATTTCCTCCTGGTGGTCCTCCGGGAACTCCACCAAAAGCTCCAGTTGGTGGAGGTCCGAATGATTGGGCGCCAGTTGGTGGAGGTGCAAATCCACCTTGTGCTTGTGGAGCAAATGATCCTGGAACACCTTGTGGCGGTGGGGCAAATTGTTGTTGTGGAGGTGGAGCAAATCCAGTTGGTGGGGCTCCGAATTGTGGTGGAGGTGGAGCAAATTGTTGAGGTTGACCGCCTTGTGGAGGTTGGAACGGTGGCGGGGCAAATTGGCCAGGTTGTTGTTGGGTTGGTGGAGCGAAACCTTGTGGTGGGCCTCCTTGTGGTGGTCCCCCTTGCGGAGCAAATCCTTGTGGTGGACCTCCTTGCGGTGGTCCCCCTTGCGGAGCAAATCCTTGTGGTGGCCCTCCTTGCGGTGGTCCGCTAAGTGGAGGTCCTCCAAATGGTGGTTGCTGTTGTTGAGGTGGTGAGAATTGTTGCTCTTGATGTTGCGGCGGTGGAGCTCCAAATTGTTGTTGGTGGAAGTGTTGTTGATCTGGAGCTGGAGTTGAAGCGATTGATGAATGCGACGGTGGAGCATATTGATGTTGTTGGGGCTCAATTGGTGGCAATTGTGGCGGTGGGCCGGAATTCGATTGTGGGAAGGATGGAATTGATGGTGGAAGTGGAGCGAATTGTTGATGTTGATTATCTTGTGGTGATACTTGCTCAAAGTGTGACGGTGGAGCCGAGAAACTCGAGTTCAATGATTCAACAGATGGTTGAATATGTGATGGCGCATACGAGTTTTCCAATGGAATTTCTTCCTCAATTGGTGGAGCATGCAAACCATCGTTGAGAACCTGCTCTTGAACAGATGGTTGAATTGTTGCTGGAATCTCTGGCTTCTCTGATGGAATTGGCGAGGGTGGCGATTGAATATACTGAAATTGGGAATTTTTATATTGAAGTTCAACTAAAGAGAAAAAACCTACATTCAATTTTTCTTTGATACTATGTTGATCGAGCTCTTTATGTTGAGTCTTTTCAACAAGTGCCAATCGTTCCAATTCGTCGAGTGAAGAGATTGAGTGAAGAAGTTCAGATACGCTACTCTGAAAATAGAAAAAAATAAGTTGATTCACAAGTATTTAGAATATATTACATTACCTGAATGTGGTTAATTTGCTCTTGAATATTTTGAAGAGCATTACGGCTAACTGTATTCGGAGCGACCGAGATTGTGAGAATATTCGAGTTCAGTGTGTTTAATGCATATAATAAATCATTGTCATCAACGATTGTGATATAATCTCCTTCTGAAAAACGTGTTTTGTTAGGAAAAAATTATAATTATATTGAATGTAATTACTTACCATGATCTTTGTATTTCACAATAAATTTGTCGGCGTTGATATCGAAAATTCTTTGAATTGCCATCAACAAATCGAAGAGTGTCAAATCATTATTATGATGAACTGTCCATTTTCGGATATCCTCTCCGAAACGGCACTTGATTGTCAAACTAGTGATATTTCCGTTTTCTTGTACCATCTGAATTTGAAATGTTAAACGAGCTTAGAAACAATTTTTCACGTTAATTAGACGCTTTCAAAGCCTTAAACGTTATAAAAACAAAACAAATTATCAATTTCTGTTAAAAATAAGCTTTGAGGAATCCCAGAAACGACTGAAAAAAAGGATAAAACCTGAAAAAGAAATGACAAATCAAGAAATTCCACGTTAGACAAAAGTGTGCGGCACGATTGCAAACTCCGCCCCTTTCGCCACACATTTCTCGCGGCGGTTTGAATTTTGGATTTCACAGTTTTGTTTTTCCCCGGAAAAACATTTTGAAAATGTCGTTTTCGGATGATAGCGAAGTTCCGAATAAGAAATCAAAGATTGTGACATTGTCTGATAATGAAGAGGACAATAATGATATTGAAATCATACGCGATACTTCGTCGAGTGAGAAGAATGATGGTATGTATTCGAATCGAATTTTTTGAGAAAAAAAAAGCCACAAATTCCAGATGTATCCGAAGTATTGAAACAATTCGCTGAAATCACTGATACAGACGAAACCATTGCTCAAACAATTCTCCAAGACGTAAACTGGGATTTGAAAAGAGCTTTGGATGTTTTCTACGGAAGTGAAGAATTCAAAGATATTCGAACTCAAGCAGTTATGGGAGCACCAAGTTCTTCTTCAGCAGTTTCAGCACCAATGACTGCGGAAGATTTGAAAGGTTTTGAAATCAGTGTAATGAGCTGGAATGTTGATGGATTGGATGGTCGAAGTTTGTTAACAAGAATGAGAGCAGTCGGGAAAATTGTGAAAATGTAAGAACTTTTTTGACTACAATTGATTTATCAGTATTTTTGAAGGGTCAACCCTGATGTTTTGTTTTTACAAGAAGTTGTTGATCGAGATATTGAGCCAATCGATAAACTTCAATCATTATACAAAATCTACTATTCTAACAAAGGTACGTAAACTGGTTGAAAATGGCAGTTTTTGAATCGGAACTGGTCCTGATCCGATTCAAAAACTTCTGTCGAAAACCTTCAATAAATAATTATCTTTTCAATTCAGGTTGTCAATATTACACCGCAATCCTTGTTTCAAAAATGTTCGACGTTGAAAAACACGATGTTATTCATTACCAAAATTCGGGAATGTATCGAACTCTTCAAGTTTTGGAAGGTTCTATTGGAGGACTCAAAGTTTTCTTGTTGAATACGCATTTAGAATCGATGAAAGAGCATGCAACCCAAAGGTATTTCAGGATTTTTTTTTCAAAAAAAAAGATTTAAAAAAATATTTCAGACGTGCTCAATTTGCTTTTTGTATGGATAAAGTTCGAGAAATAATCTCGAAAAACCCTGGTTGTTGTTTATTTTTTGGTGGAGATTTGAATATTCGAGATGATGAAATTAGTTCCATTCCAAATGGTGTTAAAGATGCGTGGATTGCAGCCGGAATGGAAAAAACAACTCAATGGACATGGGATACTTCGAAAAATGATAACAAACAAGCGAAATATGGAGCCAAGTGCAGGTTGATTTATTCATTCTAAATTCGAGGAAAATCTGAAATATAACTGGATTTCTTTCAGATTCGATCGTCTTTACTGGCATGCTCCTTTGAACAAGGTAAAATTCAATCTCGAAGGTCGACAAAGAATTCGTTCATGTTTGTGTTTCCCATCCGATCATTGGGCAATCAATGCCGTATTCTCCGCATAACTTCTTATTTACCAAACATAACCTAGCTTTAAATCTACCTCATAAATTTAACCGGTCTTTGTATTATAGTAGATTGATTTCCAGATAAAACATGCTTATTTTATTGTTGTCGTAGATATTCAAACAAAACAGACACCGAGAGAAATTTGAATAAATTAAAATTTGAAGAAGAAAAAATGAAAAAGGCAAAATACGTATGTTATAATTTAGTGGCTGATATCCATTGATTCGATAATATCGTACTTGAAAGTCTTGTTTTTCAAAACTTTTGTTGCTCCTGTTTTGAATTTATAAACCAAATCATTTGGCTCTGGGCGTTTACAGAACTCTGGGACGATTGGGCCCTGAAATATGTTTTTTTTTTGAAAGGGAAAACTTTGAAAAAATTAAATCTTACCTTGAATACAGTTTCTTTTGGCTCAATGATAACAAGATTCAAACTGTTACCAGAAGCATTATCTCCGTGCATACCGGCTTCCAAGGCACGTTGAACCAATTTTTCAGCTTCTTCCTTGGTCATGTCAACTTTGAAGTCACGTTCAAGAATAGTAATAGCAGCATAACTTCCAGATCCTTGTGCAGTGAATGGGAAAGCCATTGTGGTTCCATTTGCTGAACACATATAAAGATGTGGTCCAGTTGGATCAACTCCTCCGATCAACAAATATGCTCCGATGTATCCTTGATAATTGAAAAGATGTTGTTTTGCTTGACGAAGAGCAGTGATAACACGAGCCTTTCTACCAGTGTTCAATTCGAGAAGTCGAAGATTTCCCGACAACATTTTGGTTACTTGATCGAGATCAGCAGCTGTTCCAGCACCGCAAGCATAAATTGATTCAGTCAATTTGTGAACTTTTTCACAGTGTTTGTCAGCAATAATATTTCCGGCTGTCGCACGAGAATCAGCACCCATAACAAGTCCGCCCTAAAAATATATATCCAATGGAAGTTTTTGATTTCTTTTCAGCTGAAACAACTCCAAATAAAATGTTCAGAAAAATTACCTTGTAAGACACGGCAACAATGGTTGTACCAGTCGAAGTCAATTTTGGGGCTTTTGCTCCCATTTTGCACATTGCTTGATTTCTGATACAATTCGAGAAATCGAAAGCACCTCCCCGATCCATATCCATATGCGCAGCAACATTCTTAACTTCTGTTGACACCATTTTGCTGAAAATTATGAGTTTTGTTGCGAAACGATGACAAAAATTTGAAAAACTAGCGAACAACGACACTCCGAATGACACAGAATATCACTGTGCGTTGGAGCGCGCTTTCTACATTTGCAAAATATTTTCTTTTCTTTTTTCGGTCTCACCTAAAAAATCGTTTTGTGTCTCGTTTTCGAGGTATTTTAACAGTTAAGATGTGCAGAAACAATCGAAAACTATCCCGTGGTAGTTGGAAATGTTTGAAATCTTCAAAATCCTTGAAATCAGACTTATCAAGTATTGCGAAATTTTAAACAATTTTTCCTAATATTGTATTAAATCAATTTTCAATGACATTTCACCCCGTTCTTCTATCTTTTTTCAAGTTGTATTTTTCATAGTTTAATTATTTTTACAGATCCGTTAAATCACAATGGCGTTACGTGTGGACTACGAAGGAAGTAATGATGTTGGTGTATTCTGTACACTCACAAACAGTTATTGCCTTGTCGGAGTTGGTGGAACACAAAACTTCTACAGTATTCTTGAAGCCGAGCTTTCCGATATCATTCCAGTTGTTCATACTTCAATCGCTTCAACAAGAATTGTTGGACGTGTTACAGTCGGAAATCGTCGCGGTCTTTTGGTTCCAAATTCAACCACTGATCAAGAACTTCAACATTTGAGAAATTCGTTACCAGATGAAGTGAAAATTAGACGAGTTGATGAAAGATTATCTGCTTTGGGAAATGTTATCGCTTGTAATGATCATGTTGCCATAGTTCACGCCGAAATTAGTCAAGAAACCGAGCAGGTACAAAAAAATATTATAAGATTCCAACCATTGTATTCAACGTATTTTTTTACAGGCTCTCGTTGAAGTTCTCGGAGTCGAAGTTTTCCGTGTCAGTTTGGCACAAAACGCTCTTGTCGGTTCATACTGTGCTCTTTCTTCACAAGGATGTTTGGTCGCTGCTCGAACACCACCAGAGACACAAAGAGAATTGGCTGCATTGTTGCAAATCCCAGTTGTCGCTGGAACTGTTAATCGGGGAAGTGAATTGATTGGAGCTGGAATGGTTGTTAATGATTGGGTTGCATTCTGTGGTCTCGATTCAACTTCAACCGAATTATCAGTAGTTGAATCAATTTTCAAATTAGGAGAACAAGGAGCACCAACCAGTATCAGCAATCAATTGAGAGATACTCTTATCGAAAGTATGCTCTAACCATTTTTTGTTTCCAATTTTCATTCAATTGTTATCCGATTCATTTGTTCTTGTTGTTTTTTTTTACTTTCCAATTTCTTTTGTTGTCAAAATAAAAATACAAATAAATATCAGTTCAAATAAAAACAATGAAGTGTAAAAAAGCTTCTTCAAAATATTTCTCAAATTTCATTTACAGATCATTCCGATTTTTTCCAGGATTCCGACTACAAAGATCTAGGTAAGAATTTTCCTTATTTGTAGTCTATTGCATGATCAATATTTTTACCGCCCCTTTTCTTTAAAAAAAGATTATATAAAATCGATAGACGCAGAGATAACAAATCAGTGTATGACTATAGCTACATTGTAGTACAAGAAAAAGGGCAGAGCAATATTACCCATTTATATTTTAACTTTATTTCTTTCTTTCTACTTGTTTTTCTGGATATAAAATATTCACTAATTGATTATGCCGAATAATAACACTATAACTATTGATCATTTAACAAATGTTCTTGGAACTTATGGCGGAAGGGATAAAGCATTGCGATCAATGGCATTCTATTTACAATTGAGAAGTACAGCGAGTCAAAATCAATCCAAAGAATTATTGGCGTTGGCAAAACAAATGAGTTCGGCTCGATTGGTTCTTCGACAATTTAATCATCCAAGTATGTTCAAAGCTTGTCGAAATGTGATTGCTGCATTAAAAAGTGGAAGAATTGGAGATCCTGTTGAATTTTTCACTGGTTCTGCTGTCACAATTATTTATACATTTTATGGAATACTTGAGATGATCGCCTGGCTTTCTGATGCTAAGATTTTGAGTTTTGATGCTGCGAGATTATATCGATATTGTCTTTATTTATGGTTATTGGCTTTGATAAATGGGATTATTCGACAAATTCGTATTATATCAAATAAAGGAATTGAAAAATCCAAAGAAGATTTGTTGACTTTGGTTGGTCTCAGTTCGGATTTCATCAGCGGTTTCAATTCCTTGCCTTTCAAAATTCTTTGGGCCGGAAAGTTATCATTGCGACAATCCGCCACATTTTCCCTTATCGCTTCAATCATCGGATTTTATAAATTGTGGTGAATCGAATCTCTTTCAAAACATTTTCCACTTTGAAAATGATATTTTCCTCTCACCCACGTATTTTATCACATTTAGATCACATGATTTTTTTTGAAAACTTCAGCATCATCTGAATTTACTTATAAATACAATTCCATTCCGATTCATTTAGGTTCCATTTTGTGACATTCCGGGTATTTTTATCAATTTTTGCGTTTTTTTTCGAATAAATCATTTTTTTATGTGCTATCGCTGATAAGTTTTAAAATATTGATCAATTTTTAGAGTGAACAAAGAGCATTTCAATATGCGGAAATTGGAATTAAACTGCCACGTTGAAATGTGACGTTAAAAATTATTTTAAATTTAGTTCACATTACAGTAATTTTCAGATCTATCAAAGAATTTTCAATTTAAAAAAAATCCAAAAAGTTTTCCTTGAGAAAAAGATCAAGATTCCATTTTTTCCATTAAAAAACCCAAACAACGTGGAATTTCATCAAAGACGCAGAGAAAACAGAAAAAAAGGGGGAAGAATGATGTGTTGTGTCGGCGTGGCAAATGCATTGTATATAAATAAAATGAAACAAAAAAAACTTGATCGGGATTTTTATTCCATTTCTTTTGTCTCTGTCTGTTATCCCACGGTTTTTTGTTCATTGAAAGAATTTTTCCAGAAAACTAGATCAAAATGCATATTTTGGTGACCGGAGCTGCTGGTTTCATTGGAAGTCATACAGTTTTGGAACTTATTGAAGCTGGATATACTGTACTTTGTATTGATAATTTTTCGAATGCGATTGCTGGTGGGTTTTTTGTTGAAAAGTTCAGAATTAGATGTTTTCGTCACGATTGATTATGTCACTCACTTTAAAAGTTTATTCAAATAAACAAACACACATGACAGTAAATTTGATAATAAAGAACAATAATATCTCGAAGTGACTTTTGAGGGACATTTTTGAGACGTACACAATTTTCATCAAACAAAAATTCAGAGCAAATTTGAATTTTAAATGAAAAGTCTGAATGAAGTAATTTCGAAAACTGAGAATTCAGAATTTTTAATTCACAGATATTAGTTTCATCGTATTTCAAATTTTTGGATTAAGTAACCTTTCCATATCTCGGTCAGTCTCTGTTATAAGAAAGTTTTGCCCTGAAATTATTTTTAAAAAATGTAAAATCAGCGTTTTTTTAAATGGCTTGTGGAAAATATTTTTCCTTTAATTTCAGGAGTTATGAGCTTATCAATTTTTAAATTCAAAATAAAATAAGTGTTATAAAAATCCCTATAGTTTTTTTCTAACAATAAATCCTATTAATTTTCCAGATCAAAATGGAAATGCTGTTTCACTGAATCGTGTTAGTGAATTGGTCGGAAAACCAATTCCATTCAGAAATATCGATGTTTGCGATGAAGCTGCTTTGGAAACTGTTTTCGTCGATAACAAATTCGATGGTGTTATTCATTTGGCAGCATTGAAAGCAGTTGGTGAATCAGTTGCGAAACCACAAGAATATTATTCGAATAATCTTGTCGCTAGTTTGAATCTTATCAAGGTTCGTTTTTTTTTCGGAAAAAATATAGAGAAAATTTTGAATCTCAATGGAATTTTCCAGATGTGCTTGAAATATAAAGTGAAAAACTTTGTATTCTCATCGAGTGCTACAGTTTACGGACCACCGAGTGAATTACCAATCACTGAAAATAGCCAAACTGGACAAGGTATTACAAATCCATATGGACAAACAAAATATATGATGGAACAGATTTTGATCGATGTTGGAAAAGCCAATCCAGTAGGTTTATCATAAATAAAAAATTTATATAAATATCATTTTTCAGGACTGGAATGTGATTCTTCTTCGTTATTTCAATCCAGTTGGAGCTCATAAATCTGGTCGAATTGGAGAAGATCCAAAAGGAGTTCCAAACAATCTTATGCCATATGTCAGCCAAGTTGCAGTTGGAAAATTGAAAGTTGTCACAATTTATGGTGATAAATTTGATACAATTGATGGAACTGGAGTTCGTGATTATATTCATGTTGTTGATTTGGCAAAAGGACATGTAAAAGCGTTGGATCGAGTAAAAGCTGCTGGAAATGTTGGAACGGAAATTTATAATTTGGGAACTGGAATTGGTTATTCGGTTCGACAAATGGTTGATGCGCTCGAGAAAGTTAGCGGAAAACAAATTCCAACACAAATGGGAGTTCCAAGACCAGGAGATGTTGCATCGGTTTATTGTGATCCATCATTGGCTCACGAAAAATTGGGATGGAAAGCTGAATTTGGATTGGAAGATATGTGCAGAGATTTATGGAATTGGCAAACACAAAATCCACAAGGATTCTCTTCCTAATTTTTAAATCATTTAAACATTTTGATATAATCAAAATCAAGCAAGTTTTTTTTATTGAATTTAATAATTTATTTATCAGAATCAGAATTTTATTTATTCACTCATAATTAAATAAAAATTACCATTACAGCTACTAAAAATGCGAAAAGTTGTCGATAAAAATAATTTCGGATGATATCCCTCTCCCTGTGAATTGACTTTTTGCTTGATTTTGTGGCAGAATCGGTGGAATCAAGATTTTTGGGGTTTTCATACAATTTGTAGTTCTGAAAAATAAGAGGGTCTACTTTTAAAGAGACGTTTTGAAGCAGTAATTAATTTTATTTTCAAAAAAAAATATTTTCTTTAAAAAAATTGGGAAAAAATCTTGGAAAATAAAAGTTAGGCACCAATTTTTTTGAGAAAAATATCTTTTGAATATCTTAAAATTCAAATGATCACAATTTTCAAAAAATATGTAATAGAAAATTTCTGGGAAACTATCTTTTTTTTCAAGAGTTGGTTGCAGAAGAATCGTTCGTAGAAAAATTTCCAAAATTTAGCAAATTTTTGAAACAGTTATTTTTTTGATGAACATTTTTTTCGAAGTTTTATTTCCAAAAAAGTGTATTGAAATTTGGGGGAAATCTGTTTCAAAAATTTCAAGAAAAAACTTACCGGATGTCTTGCACATTTTTTACCTTTCATAAAATTCACACAAACCGAATTTGCCTGACAATCCCAATTTCTATCACATTTCACATCAAACATTTCAATCGCTTTTCCAATTTTATTCCTTCTTCCAAGAATCGCCACTTTTTCAGTTTCATAATCACAAAATGTAAATGGAATATTGTTGTCTAATGGTTTCATAAAATCGCAACTTTTTGATTTCAGAATTTCCATTGATTCTGGCATTTTTTGAAAGGAAGTTGAAATTGGAATGAGAATTTGGATAAGAAGTAAGAATTTCATATTTAGTTTTAAGTTCGCAAAAAATATGAAAATGAAAATTAAGAAAGTTCTCACGCAAACACGTGAAAATTAATAAAAACTTTATTTTCTTAACAAAAATATTTTTTAAATTCACAAATTTTGAAAAGAAAAAAAATTATTTGCCAATCAACGCCAGAAATTCATGAGCATCTGAAAATACGGCAAATACCGAATGGGTTCGCGAAATGCCTCCGGAGGCATTTCCGAATGCCTCCGCAAAATGCCTTCGCGCTACCAAATCAAAAAGCCTCCGCGAATTCCAAATGACTCCGCGCTCGATATTTAAAAAATGTCGAAATGCCTCCGGGGCTTCAAAATGACTCCGCGCTATCAAATCAAAATGCCTCCGCGAATTCTAAATGACTCCGCGGTAAAACTTTCAAGAATGTCAAAATGACTTCGCGAACAAGGTGTACTTTTTAACACATTTTTGGCCAAAAAGTTGATTTTCAATGAGAATTATCATTTTCAAGGCGTTCACTAAGCCTAAGCCTAGAAACTTAGACGATAGTTTGGTTATACAAGTTCGGATATTAGGCTTAGGCTTAGTTAAACGCCCAGAAAGGTGCAGGAAACATTGAAAACCACATTTAAATACGTTAACTAAGCCTAGGCCTAAAGTTGGAACTTGAACAATCAAAATATTGAAAAAAATTTCTCCTTTTTTAAGACTTTAAAAAAATCTGGAAAATAACAATTGAAATTTGTAGCTCAAAACTTGTTGAAAGGCCTTGTTTCGCGGACCCATTTTGACAGTTTCAAAATATTCACCGCGAAGTCATTTAGAATTTGCGGAGGCATTTTGATTCGGTGGCGCGAAGTCATTTTGAAACCCCGGAGGCATTTCGACATTTTTGGAATATGAACCGCGGAGTCATTTTGAATTCGCGGAGGCTTTTCGATTTGATACCGCGAAGGCATTTTGCGGAGGCATTCGAAAATGCCTTCGGAGGCATTTTGCGAACCCATTCGGTATTTGCCGAAAATACAAAAATATTAACCGAACATCTACCGTACCCCTGGGTTACTGTAACTCCTCATCCTTATGATTTTAATCAGACCCCCAAATTGTTTTTTCTTTTTGAAATTTTTTAAGGGAGATCAAAAATATTTCATCTCTAAAAATGCGGCAAAGTTGTAGGATCAAGATTTTTCGGCATTTCCCTCATTTTTTCTTGTTTTTCTTTCATGCTCCCAATTTTCCCTGTTCCAGATGGCTCCATCTCGTAAAAACAAGCGAAGTCTTGAAGAAATGGTACGAAAATTGTCAGAAGAAAAGAAAATACAATTGGAAACTGAAATGAATCGTACTATGCCACTTCCAATCAATAATAATAACAATAATCTGATGTTTCCCTTGGCACGATTAATGCATCCACCATTTCTACCACCAAATATGTACTTGGCCAACAATTTTTTGCGCTCGCCATTTGCCTACTTTTTACAAAATCTGTGAGTTTTTTGAGATTTTTTGGTGAATCGTAGATCTAGACTTGTTGAATCTTATTTTGATCCATTTTTTTTCAGCGAGTTGTCCCAATTTCTGACATCGGACTTCAGACAGACTGAATTAAGCAGCAGTGGAAGTCAGACACCAGAAGATGCTGAAGTCAAGATTGATGATGGCCGAGCTTCATCTTCTTCAAACGGAATTGGTGATATCTCATCTGGAGCAAATGAAAATGATGGCGATAAAAAATTCGTGTGTCCTCACATTGCTTGCTATAAACGATTTTCCCAAAAAGCTCTTCTCAAAAAGCATCAATTTATTCATACTGGTCTTCGACCACATCAATGCTTGTATTGTAAGAAGAGGTTGGTTCTCAAGTTAATATTTTTCCAAAGTTTTTGAGTCGAATGGATTTTTATCAAAGTGTTTTTAGATTCAACCGAAAGGATAATTTGATTCGACACAGTAAAACACATCGAAAAGTCGATAATTCCTCTTCGAATTATGAATCAACAGGAAATGCACAAGGAATAGATAACTCTCGATTTCATTTGGAGGTAAGTTAGGACTCAACACAGATATCAATTCGAATTCAGAATTATTTCCAGCTCGTTCGATTGGCCAATTCAACATCCTTCATGAAAACAAAGATCGAGGAGACTTGATTATTAAAAACTTCTAAATTATTTTCGTTATACCTCATCCCAGTTTTCCAGGTTTGTAATTTTTTCCAAAAATTTTGTGACCACCGGTAATTATTCACACATTCCCAAAAATTCAGTTTTATTAACTCACATCCGGTATTTTTTATAAATATAAAAGAGTATCTAATAAAAATGTTTCGATATTTTTTTTCTAAAAAAAAATAAAAGGAAAACAAATCTTTCTCTGAAATTTTAATTCTGACTAGTATCTTCAGAAATACGATTTGAATAGTTTCCGAAACTCTCAAGAACTGAAAATTCTGAGAATCTAGAATGTTGAAATTCTGTCTGAAAAATTGCTGTAATTCTTCGATTCAAGGATTTTCCAAGGATTACTGTAGAAGTTTCGATCTTTTTCCCCCCAGAAAACAAACTTACAAAAATCAGTTTCATTGATGATTCGAAATAATTCATTTGCAATTGAATCAATAATATCGGTTCGATTTTGAGATGAAGAAGCTTGTGAGCAAATTATGAAAAATAAGAAGAACATCAGAAGTTTCAACATTTTTTTATGATTTTGAATTGAACGGAGTTGAATGTCAAAATGTTGAAAATGATTCATGGATTATGCAAATTCAAAATCGGAAAAATTGTTTGTTCAAATTGATCAACAACAAATATATTTATCAGATGAAAATAATCAAAAGAACAAGTATACATCCCATGATTTTCGTATAAAAAGTTTCGCGAGCTCTTTTGATATGTCTGATTATTTTTTTATCATTTGAAGTATCGTTGGTCCCGGATTTTGCGGTTTCTTTTTTAGAATCTGAAGTTTATTAAAATTGATAGGCTTTAAAAATTGATTTAAGATTACCCTTGAGCGAAGCAGCTTCATCAACAAGTTTGAATTTCTGAAAAAAAATCATTGCGAGTGGAGCGAAGCTTTTCGAGAATGATCCACGTTATCTATGAAGTTCCACTTACCGGATGTTTCATACAAACTCTTCCTTTCACCAAATTCACACATATTCCATTTGCATGACAATCCCAATTTCTTCGACACGAAATATCGTAGATTTTCATCGGTTGACCATACACATTTTTTCTTCCAACATATCCAATTTTATCCGTTTGATAATCACAAAATGCCCATAGCTCTGTGCTATTCAATTCTTCTGTAAATTCACATTGAATTTCAGAATCTGCAGGTTTTTCGGGTAGTCGATTTTCAATTGTAAATTGCCAGAGAAATATTGATATTAAAATTATTGTTATCATGTTCATTTTTAATTTTTCTAGAAAATAGAAAATAGGAAATGAGGGGAGAGGAGAATTTGTGAAGAATTGAAATACCAAAAGGTCACGTTCAAAATTCAAAAAAAAGCGTGGCACAATTTTTTAAAAAAGTACTGTAGTTTACAAAAAAAACAACAAAAAAATTTATTCGGTTTCAGATATTCACAACTTTGGCTTTTTTAGTAGTTGGTTGTCGATTCAAATATTTGATTTCGGTTGTATATTTTCGAATCTCTTTTTTGAATCGCTTCTCCATATTTTCTTCCGGTGAAAATGTCATAACATCAATTACAGTTGATAGTTTTCTGAAAAATACAGATCAGACGCAGAAATGGAATCAATTCTGATACTCATTTTTAAAGATCAAAGTCGAGCCCAAAAAATTGAATAAACAAAAAACTAGATTTGATTTTTTTCTGGAAGCAGAATGTTTCTTCTTTCCAGATTCTTCGGACACGATTCAAAAACTCACGATGTAATTTCTCCAACAGTAGGCAAATCTTCTCTTCTCGAAACACTTCTCTCTTCCAAATCTTGTTCATCCGCAAATTTGATCATTTCCATTGTTTGTGGCATAAATGCAATTGTATCTCTTCTTTCGTTCAGCTTTTCATTCAACGTATTCTCGTGCATATACTGTAATTTTTTTTGAATATTTATCGTTTTTTGAGATTAGTTTTTTTGGGAAGAAATCAATAGTTTAAGTACCTCCAAAATATCAAGTGTTGTGATTTTCTCCTTATCTGGATATCTTTTCCGAATTTCTTCAATAATTTTGAGCAACTCTTTGACTTGCACATCCATTTGTTGTTTTTTCGAGCGATTTCGGGAGAAATTGATTTTTCGACCAAAATAGTGAATCTTCATGAAGAGTTCTTTCAATTCTAATGCGGCTAATTCGGCACTCATTGATAATACAGCCACGCCTGGAAAATACGATTTTCAGTAGAAAACTTTATTTGGAACATGGAATAGCTTTTTCAGAAATTTTCACAAAAATTTGATTTATATCTTTCAGATTTAGATTGCTGTTTCAAGCCGAAGTCTGGAAATGTTTTTCTAAAATATTTCAAAATTTCTCAGAACCTCCTGAACTCCAAATCGTAATTCAAAAATATTGTTTTTGGAAGCACTACAGTATTTTAATTTTCAGTAAGCTGTGCACTTTTGTATCTTGGAGTATTTATCTCTTGGGATGTTCTATTCAAACTACAAAACGAAAAAAATTAAATCAGTTTTCCCTCTCAAAATATAAAGTTCTCACTCACCACAAGTAACAAATACAAAAATATACAAAATCGTCAAAATATGGTTCAATTCATCCGGCATCTCACTCATTGTTAAATTCGCCACCAAATTGAAAGTCAAAAAGAATGCTTCAATAAATGTCGCTCTTGCTCCAGCTGCAATATACAAAACACCTCCAAGCATACAGAAAATTAGAAGAATTGATGCATTTATAACCAAAGGAAGTCGTTTTTCATCGGATTCATCTGAACTTGTTGTTTGTTCTTCTTCAATTCGATTGATTTCTTTTGGTGTTTCGGAAATTGGAGTGTTTTCTTGGACAAGTCTTTTGAATGCTGAGAGACGATCATTTTCACTGTTTCGACGACTGCAAAAATAAAATTAGTTTCATTGTTCTTTTATTTGGAAATTTCAGATTACTGTAATTTTTTCTTTGCTAATTTATTTCGAAATTTCAGATTACTGTAATTTGAAATTTTTGAAGACTTAGTTTTCAGAATATTTTTTAAATGGAAATTAATTTTTGAAAAATTGAATTGAAACCCTCAATTTTCTCACCAAAAACCCAGATTTTCAAAACGGTTTCTTTGTTATAATTAGGATTTTTCTCTTGGGATTTTTTCACAATGCCGAAAATTTTCAATCAAAACAAACCAAAATACCTCTTAAAAGCTCGTTTTTTGAAATTCCTAAATTTATGCAATAAATCCAGATACTTCGAATACATATCCAAAACAATATGCGATAAAAATCGACCAAAATCAACAGCTGCCAAAACCATCAAAGGAATTCCGATTAATCCATAAATTATAGCAAAACATTGACCCAAAGTTGTGACTGGAACTGCGTATGCATAACCTGTAGTTGTCTGAAAAAAGAACGAATTCAAGGCAAACTTTAGCATAAGTTAAGATCTGAATTCAGGACTTTCAGAGGCTAATCTTACCAAAATACTGAGAGCATACAAAATTGAACTCCTCTTGTTCCATCTTGGCGGAAGTGCATCATATCCAATGTTTGAAGATGTTGATTTGAAATCTCTACCTTCATGAATTGTTGATATTTTGGATAAGTCTTTGAAAAGTGTTTCCTTATATGTGGCAAATGTGTCATTGTCTTTGATTATCGCCCGAATCTCATCTTCAATCGCTTTATATTTCTGGAAAAAAACGTGATCTATTTTTTTTTTTGAAAAAAAAATGCCAAAAAATATAAGAAATCAGTCATTTTTGATTTGTGCTAATTTATAAACTATATCAGTTTTTTGTTGATATTATCATGTTATTCGAAATTTTCGCACTTATTTTTGCAATCTCTATTGGTTATTGGTATTTGTATTCAGCTGTGAGTGGGTTTTATGGAAATTTGGTTCTTTACAGTATGCCTAAATTTATTGAAAAAAATTCTGGCTTAGAAGGAAAGTCTTTTGATGTTCCCCCCTGAAATAAAATGAGACTAGGTGGAATCAACTACATATTGATAGGTAAGAAAAAGCCCAACGGGATTAAGGAAATAAAAATCTATTTCAGGAGTTACGGTAACTCCTCAAATTTTGAGATAAAAAGCCTATGATTTCAAAAAATCGTAGTTTGGCTCAAAGTTAACGAAAATGATCGGTCAAAAATGCATTTTGATGCTAAAGTGCTCAATTTTTAGCTAAATGGCGCTCGTAATCTCAAAATTTTTCAAAATGAAAATTTTTCAAAAAATGACCCCTTTCTCAAAATGTTGAAATTTCACCTCTAAAACGCTACGAGGGAAGAACGACGTCCGACGCACCGTGTTCTACGTCAAAAATTACGTATATTGACATATTTAAATATAATACCTACCGACCTTTTAACCTGGGAAAAAAATGATTTCAAAAATTTTCACACAAAAAATCATGTTTTCTCAGAATAAAATCATTTTTTTGAAACAGTAATCATTATTTCTTTGTTATTTTTTTCTCAAAACATTATTTCTGATTGTTTTTCACCTTTTTGTATGATTTCTGAAAATTTAAAAAATTTCAGATTTTATATCATCGATTTTGGAACCACTTCGAAAATTAAAAATCAATTATAGCTCGATGATAGAAGTTAAGGACTTTTTTGGAAGTTCTAACGCATTACATCTTTTTTTGCAACTGGGAAAAACACTTTTAATAATATATCTGAACTTCCAATTCCCAGATGAAAATAATCGTCTTGAGAAAAAATGGCAAGAATTATTTAATGAAACAACTTTTATCGATAATTTTTTCGAAGGTCTCTAAAATTGTCCGTTGACAGATATATTGTTAAAAGTGTTTTTCCCAGTAAGATGTAATGCGTTAGAACTTCCAAAAAAGTCCTTAACTTCTATCATCGAGCTATAATTGATTTTTAATTTTCGAAGTGGTTCCAAAATCGATGATATAAAATCTGAATTTTTTTAATTTTTCAGAAATCATACGAAAAGGTGAAAACAATCAGAAATAATGTTTTGAGAAAAAAATAACAAAGAAATAATGATTACTGTTTCAAAAAAATGATTTTATTCTGAGAAAACATGATTTTTTGTGTGAAAATTTTTGAAATCATTTTTTTCCCAGGTTAAAAGGTCGGTAGGTATTATATTTAAATATGTCAATATACGTAATTTTTGACGTAGAACACGGTGCGTCGGACGTCGTTCTTCCCTCGTAGCGTTTTAGAGGTGAAATTTCAACATTTTGAGAAAGGGGTCATTTTTTGAAAAATTTTCATTTTGAAAAATTTTTTGAGATTACGAGCGCCATTTAGCTAAAAAATTGAGCACTTTAGCATCAAAATGCATTTTTGACCGATCATTTTCGTTAACTTTGAGCCAAACTACGATTTTTTGAAATCATAGGCTTCTTTATCTCAAAATTTGAGAAGTTACCGTAACTCCTGAAATAGATTTTTATTTCCTTAATCCCGTTGGGCTTTTTCTTACCTATCAATATGTAGTTGATTCCACCTAGTCTCATTTTATTTCAGGGGGAACATCAAAAGACTTTCCTTCTTATTTATTTCGAACATTTTTTTTGAAATAAATTATTTTTCAGAATAATGCAAATGGGAATTCGAGTACATCAACAACTCGAACTGAAACAATAAAAACTGCGAGAAGTTCAAATTTCACTGATACAACAAATGTGAATACAGCTAGATCTAATCCACAAATCTCAATATGTTCAACATCTTCTCTTGCACCTCTCACTTCGAAACACGATAATGTTCAGTTTCCGGAAAATGAGAATGATTTGAAATCAACGAAAACTGTGAGTTATACGGTAGACAAAGTTTTGAAAATATAATTTTAGCTTCCATCAATAACACAAAACGTGAATGAAAAATCTGAGCAATGGCCAGTTTCGACTGTAGAAAAAAGTGGAGAAAAAGCTGGAGGCAAAGAGAAAAAGAGCACATATGTTTAAGAAATAAAACAAATTACAGTACCTTTCTTATCACTTCAAGTTTTGCCTCTTGTAAAATTTTATCAGCATCATATTCTTGTAAATAGAAAGCGTAGGCTCCAATTAACAAGTACAAAAATAGAAATACAGCGAGTCCAACGTGAGGAAGAGCCATTTTCAGCATCTGAAAAATGTTCAGTTTCAGAATGTTTAATATCAAAACTTCCTTACCTTTTTCAACTTATTTTGTCCGGCAACATCGGAATTTCGAGAAGAGTTCGGTTCAGACATTTTTTTGAACAATAAAGTGAACTAACTTGAAGAAGATGGCTATATTCTTTTCTTTTTTTAGTTATATGAGCCGCATATGTAATTATAATTAAATTGAATATACTAAATGAAAAGAAAGAAAAGAATTTGTGTTTCTTTTCATTTTATAGAAAAACATTGGGAGAATCAATCACAATTGAATCGGAGTTAATTGTGTTAAATATCGTTGTATCTTCCATGTTTGTAGAATTTTTATTGCGAAAACATTGAGATATGAAAAATGAACAAGTATTTTCTTGCGATGTGAAAAAATAAGGCAATTTTGCCAAAATCACAAATGAATGGTCGGAATTTGGTTCAATTCGGCGCGAAGTTTTACATCGAATTCGGACCAAAACTCTGGATTCTCGTTTTCAATATCCGTTGAGATGAAAACCTTTAAAAATTAAATGTTTGAAACAATATATATGTATTCTTCTGATTTACCTGTGTAAATTTAGTTCCTTTTGTCAGTCTCAAAGAAATTGACTTCAATAACTCTCGTTGAGTGTTTCCACGATCTGATAACATAGTAAACATTGGATAGAAAGCGATTCCGATTGATTCAATACGACTAAAATGTTTTGAATTGAAATCTCAATATATTTCATTTGAAAACTAACTCAGTTCCAAACCAAATCCACGCGCTCGGTCCATTGAAAATTATATAACAATCATAATTTTGATTACAAACATTGACACTGAAACCAACCCGTTCAATATTCGCTGCCATGTCTGAAAAATGCACAATATTTGGCTGAGTCAATCTTTCAAGAATCGGAAATAAAAAAACAAATAAATTCGACCTAAAACGGACAAAATCATTCAACTTTAGAGCGGAAAATTGAAAATTTGAAAAATAAAAAAATGAAATAGTCCGTGTGAAATACACAAAAAACGTCGTTGCGAAATATTTTGTGTTTGTTTATCGCCCCTTTGAACAAAGTACTGTTCGCATCCGTGTTTAAAAAAAATTTTTTAAAGTTTTTTCTGTGTTTTCCCTGTTCTCGTTGAGTTTTCTAATCAAGGGTCCTTCTCTATGTAACCAGAAGAATCCTTGTTATATTGAATAGAGTTTAGGTTTGATTATTAATTCAAATTTCCCACAAAATGTTGTAGTTTTTGTTTCCTCTGCGCGGCTCAGAAATTTTATAAATTTACGAACCAAATGAGATATTTATTTCTCGTGTCCTTGCAAAGTATTGATTTTCTTTTTTGGCGTTTTCTTTTCATAAATTTTTATAATGCGTTTTTTTCAGCTAATAAATGCTCAAAATAGTTTTTCTTGCTTTGCTCGTCGCAGCGGAAAAAGAACGATTGGATGATGGCGCAATATCACCAAAGAATTCCGGGAAAATTCCGAGAATCACAGAGAATTCTGGAAACGAAAATGTGAAAGAGTTTTTCGACGGGTTGGACACAAATAAGGATGGGTTTTTAGGTAAAGTTTTCTTTCATTTTTATCCTTCAATTTTAATAGTTATAGATTTCGATGAAATTCTTGAATGGATTGTGCAATCTTATGCAACTGTTGATAAACGAGAAGCACATGAAAGAATGAGTGAAATGGATGTAAATGGAGATGGATTTGTTTCATGGGAAGAATATTCTTCAGATTCATTTTCCGATGAAGAATTGGCTAACAACAAAGACGATCAAATACTTCTAGAACAAGATCGAAAATATTTCAAAGCTGCCGATGTAAATCAAGACGGTAAATTGGATATCAAAGAACTCGCTGCTTTCAACAATCCAGAGAATTATCCACATATGCACGACGTTATTCTCGAAGCAACTTTAGTCGAAAAAGATTCAAATGGTGATGGAGCAATCGATTTGAATGAGTATTTAGGCGAAATTGCTGTGCAGAAATATAACGAATGGCATGAAATTGAGAAAGAACGATTTATGGCAGAATACGATAAAAATGGTGATGGAAAATTGACTGGAGATGAAATAAGACATTGGTTGTTGCCTGATTCGACTATTATTGGAAGCGCAGAAGCGAAACATATTCTAACTGCCGCTGATGATAATAAGGTTAGTTTTGCTATTTTTAGGAAGTACAAAAATATGTCATGATGTTAAATAACAAAGCCAATTTTAGTAGATCATACAACAAGTTTAACTATTTCAGGATTCGAAGCTTTCCTACGAAGAAGTTCTTCAAAACAAAGATGTTTTCGCAAAATCCGATGCTTCTCACGACAATGATTTATCACATTTATATCCTCATGAAGAATTGTGATCTTTTTAGGTGTTTGTACATATTTTGATATCATAATAAATTATAATTTAGTGAAGAATTAATTTATTGTGAATCAAAGAAAAAAAGGTTTAGTAAAGCCATCAATTATATATAGATTAGTGTGATTATGCGATTCGATTTCATTTACAAAACAGAGCATTTGCTTTTCTCGGCCCATGGGTTAACTTTTTTGTCGATTGGGTTTACCAATGGATCTTCTTGGCTTTCGGTGAAACGGCGAAGTCTAAAAAAAAACAAAAATGATTTTCTTTTCTTTAAATTTCATAACCCCTAATTATTGAAAACATATTTCGAAACATGCACTTACTCGGCGGCCGAATTGCTAATTGGAGTTCTTTCAATATTCAATTGACTACGAAGTGATTCGACAGTTCTTTGCATATCAGATTTATCCATTTTTGAATATTATACCTACAAAATAAAGAGAAATGAAATTGTATCCAAGGAGAGAAAATAAAATAAAAAAGAAGCGAGACAGAAAGGAAAAATCTATACATGTGCATATAAGGGTACAAAAAATGAGGGGACCAGAAAGGAAAACGAGGCGAGCAAGTGAAGAAGAAGACCCCGGAACGAAAATCAATAAAGGGCGCTTATTTCGAGGAAATAGTTTGAAATGCGAGGAGAGGCGAGAGAAAAAGAGGAAATAAAATTGAAAGAGAGTTTAGAGATAGAAAGAAGAAGAGCTCATTTTTAAGTGGAAGAAATTGTGGCTAATTAAATTGAAATCTTTGAGAGGAGAAAAAAACTAGAATTAATTTTTCTTTAAATGTGATAATTAATGTGAAACTAATGAAGCGAAAAAAATAATAGAAAGGAAATGGCCAAAAACTAATTAATTTTTTTGATTGTGAAAATATTATTATGAAAAACTTTAAATGCGCAAAATTTAAATTTCAGCATGATTATTTCAAATTTTCCCGCAAAACGGCGCATTTCCATCTGATCTGAAACTACGGTATCCAAAAGTGTTTGCACAGACGCTGTTGCAAATTCAAAATTTGTTTTTTTTGTTCCTTTTCACTCGCGAGCGCAGCTCGAAAGTTCTAAATAAAATTGATTTTTTTCAGAATGTCTCAAGATTCTCGGAACTTGCAAGTTAGTGTTAGAGGATTACCTTTCGAATGTAGCGACGAGGAACTGAAAGCATTCTTTGATAGTCAGTTTTTTTCTTTTTTGTTTAACTAACAATAAATAATTCAGACAATGGAATAGAAAGTGTGGAAATCGAAAGAAGAAATGGAAAAGCGTCGGGAGATGGAGTTATCACTTTCATCGATGAAGATTTTGTGAAAGATGCTCTGAAAAAGAACAAACAAATGCTGAAACATCGATATATTGAAGTGTTTTTGGATGATAATCGAGATAGATTTGAGAGAAGAAGAGGGAGATATAATGATGATCGGGAACCAAGAAGAGATGATCGAAGAAGAGATGATTGGGGTGGTGATAGAAATCGAGAAAGACATCAACCATTTGATAGATATCCTCAACCTGTTCAACAATCACAACAATATTCAAATGGTCCTAGAGATCCTTTTGGTGGTGGATATTCAAATGGTCCAACTGAATATGATGGAAAAGTTGTCCGGCTTCGAGGAGTTCCATTTAGTGTTTCGGTTTCAGATGTTCTTGATTTCTTCTCTCCTCTCGATGTTGTTAGGGTAAATACTTCAGTTTTCTTCCCCTGGTTCACTCAATTATTTGTGAAAATGATTTCAGGATGGAGTTTTGTTGCCGGATCAACGAACTGTTGTCACTTCTGGCGATGCTTTTGTGGTTTTCGCCGATATTGAGAGTTGTGAACGAGCAAAAGATCGACATATGCAACACATGGGACATCGATATATCGAAGTTTTTGAAGCAACATACAGTGAACTTGTCAAATTCTGCTCAAAACATAATCTTCGTGTTCCACCAATGACGAATCTTCAACAAACAATTAGTTTACAACAGCCATCTCATAATGATCAATATTCAATTCAACCACAATATTCTGCACCACCTTATAATGGTCCATCTGATCCTTATCCATCTTCATATTCTTCTTCTTCAAGAGGTCCTCCACTTCCTTATAATGGGCCAGCAATTGATTCATATGATAATCGATATCCGCCAGCGCAACCACCAAAACCAGTTGATGAATATAGATATGAGGCGAAAGCTCCAGTTGGATTTTATGATGCTTATGTTCCACCAGCGGTTTATGATTCTTATCCATCATCGGATTCAAGAAATGATCCGAGATATTCGAGACCTGATCCTAGAATTGATCCCAGATCTGATCCAAGATCGGATATGAGAGGACCCCCAAGAAATGATCCAAGAATGGATTCGAGGTTAGTGAATTATCATAGGAATAGGTATGGTACTGAGTTGGAGAATCGTAAAGGGTTTCAGAAGGAAATTGTTGTGGTAGGTAATCATTTGGAGAAGGTTGGCATATAAAAAATAAGTCCCGAAAACTGCATTTGGCCAAATGGAGATATTTCAGTAAAGAAAAAAGGTTCACACAGAAAAATCAATTTTCTCACTGAAAACTGGCTTTTGGAACGTTTTTATTGCCTTGCAATTCCAAAAGTCTTGAAATGGTATGGTACTGTGAAAACGAGCTGTGATGTGGCAATTTGTAAAATGATTTTATTTGAAATGGTTTTTGGATCTTTGAAACGTGAACTTATTAATAATTTTGGAAAGTGACGTTGTTATTTTCATTTCACAAAAAAAATGATTTTTAGTCACGTGAGAAAATGATTTATTTATTTATTTATTTATTTATTTACGATGAGAGGAAAAGTACATCGTGAGAAAAAAGTGATAAAATGAATAGCAATATCACGGGTGCGGTGATCACAATTTAACCAGTAGGGTTTGATTTTTAAGAATTATTTACATTATGATGGCGGTGAGAAAGAAGAAAAAAAGGAAAAAATAATAATAGGGGGGGGTGGGAATAGGAAAAAAAAAGAAAGTTAGAAAGAAAAACAAAAAGAGAAACCGTATAAAAAGAAAGGGAATGACACATTGGTTTGACTGTTTTGGAGTGGTACTAGATCTTGGAATTTGCACAAAAATTTTTATAATGAATTAATGGCTTTAATTTGAGTATTGATTGTGAGACACAAAGGTTTTTCCTCTTGTTTTTAGAAGGATTAAAATTAAAATTAAAATTAAAATTTAGAATTTAATTTTATCAAGATTCGGATCAGTGGTTAGAAGCTCTAGTAATAGTATCCAGAAACTCATCTGAATATTGTCTGATGCCTTTAATAAACTCCGGGATTACTCTCATGGAAAAAAGTTTTTTCGGATTTTCTTTTTGGGGACTTTGAATAAAAGATTTAGGCGAGATCTAGATGAGGTTTTCTGAATTTGAAAGAGGGGTTTATAATTTACTTTAGATTTACCCGAAAGAATGTCTTCAAGCATACGGAGATCAAATCTTCTCCTCCTGTCACTCAACTTCTCCAACTCAAACACATCCAACCTCTCCTCATAAGTAAGATAGCCTGGATCTCGGTAATTGATGAATTTACCGGTCACTCTACCATATAATTTTCTCGTGAAGTTACGCTGCACTTTCTCTATCATATCCGAGGTGGATTTATCAGGAGGGGAAGTGACAACGCAACCATATTCGAGAATTGAGCGAATATGTGTTTTATATAGGGATAAGTATAATTTTGGATTTTTGGTAGTGAATGACTTAAAAAGAAGATATAAAAGGGAATTAGATTTTTTTGTGAATGTAGTCCAGTGGTCACTAAAATCCAAATTCTCAGAGATATAAAAACCGAGATCTCTCAAATGATATTTGAAAATGTCAGAATCATCAACTACGTCAAAGGTTTGAAAAGGTTTTCGTGAATAAAAAGGGCTTGTGGATTTCAAGTTGAAGATGAAGTAATTGAATCTGAATTTTTCTACATGGAAATATGAGATTTTTGGGTCGAAAACTCTACAATTTAACCATACATGATTTATTAGAATTTGGGCTGGTGCTCTCAAAAAGTTATTTTGCATGACGTGATAGTTTCGGTATTATTTTATAGTTTCAAAATGGTTTTTAGATATTCGGATTATGGTCCACCGGCTTACGAACCACGAGAAGTTTATGATTCAAATTGGCGAACTGGAAGTATTGGTAGTGGTGGAGGAGGCGGTCCTCCACCTTCTAATGGTTTTTCTCAACATTCTTGGGATCCACGTGATCGATCAGTTGGTGATCGACGAGATTTGTATTCTTCTTATCCGGGGGAACGGTATGATCAAAGAGAAGGTAAGATTATTTGATTGGAAAAAGTTGGTTGTGTGTGAAAAATAGGGAGGAGGGAGGAAAGAAATGTTGGAAAAATAAGAATAAGAATTTGAGATTTGTTAAGGTCAATTGCAAATTGTGGAAGATAGACACAGAATAATGTGAAAAATGAGGTTAAAAATAGCTCGGTGAAATCGAGGACTACAATTTTAGTTTTAATTTGAAATGGGTTCATCTTTTTCACTCAATCTACAGAAATTTTCGGGTTATAGGCATAGTTTGGAGAACTTATCTGGAATTTTAGGTGGACATGGTGAACATTTAATAAAGAAATTTAACAGGAAAATGAGAGAAAAGTTATTGTCATCTATGGAAAAGGGTTCGAGAAGATCACTGCACAAAGATATTCAGATGATCCACAATCTGATAGATATATTTTTCGAACAGTTTAGATGTGCTACAAAATATTAATTTTGAATTCCATGGGAAAGAACTGGGTGTATTTTACATCCCAAAAATTTCCCCAGATTATTTGAGACATGACACAATCGTGGGATGATTCTATAATCGACGAAATTTAACGGGAAAAAGAGACATTTGGAGAAAGTTATTTTGATCTACTCTGAGAAATTTCAAAAAGTTTGAGGCTTTGAGATTTGTTGAAGTCAATTGCAAACTGTGGACGATAGACACTGAAAAATGTGAAAAATAAGATTAAGAATAACTTCGGTGAAATCAAGGACTAAAATTTTTAGTTTTAATTTGAAATTGGTTCATCTTTTTCACTCAATCTACAGAAATTTTCTGATTTTTCACATGGAAATAGTTTCAATCGTAGCCATCAACCCAATCCCACTAAATTCCGAAATAAAATATTTTTGTAGCCGTTGGTGGTCCAATGCGAAGACCAGATTATCGGCGAGATGATCGATATCCACCAAGACATGATCCTTATTCGTAAGTTTAATTTTTTTCATTTTCAAAAAAAATTATCTTCAATTTTTGTTTTCAGAAGACATCATGATCCTTATCATCAACAACAAGAAAGAGGTCATTTTGTGTTGAAAATGAGAGGAATCCCTTTCAGATCAACTGAAAATGATGTGGTTGATGTAAGTAAATGTTCAACTCTAATATGAGCAATCATTCATTGTTTTAGTGGTTCTCACCGGCTCGCCCAAATCGTGTCGAATTATTGCGTGATGGAATCGGAAGACCGAATGGAGATGTGAGTTTTTTAACTAATTTTGAAATGAAAAACCTGAAATTAATTGTAGGCTCGAGTTATATTCCACGATCGTAAAGATTATGATCAAGCGCTTCTCAAAGACAAACAATATATGGGTTAGTTTTTTGTTGTGATTTTTCAAAAAAAAAAAGAATAATTTTTGCAGGAGAGCGATACATCGAAATGATACCAGATAATGGAAGATATTAATTAATTTAATTTTAATTGCGATTTTTAAACAATAAATTTAATTATTCATTTTCTCACTTCTAAACCCCTGTTCTTTTTTCACGCAGTTGTGCATGATCCTGCAAACTATCTAATTTTCTTTGGTTTTTTTGAGTTCTTCTAACTTCTCATTTAACAGATGACGTCACAAGTTGTATTCACACAACTTGGATCATCACAGATCAAACCAGGCGGAAAAACGGATAAGTTTATTGATGTGCTCATTAAAATGAATGAGAAGGTTAATTTTTTAAAAGATTTTTTATAGTGATCATTTTCTGAAAAAATTTTGATCAGAATAATATACAACAAATTTTTGAAGCCAAAATTTGGCAAGTTTTCGAATTTTGAATTTCCGAAACATGTTTAGTGATAATTTGGAAAATAAAGTGTACTTTCACGTTGAAATTTGAAAATAATTTTTGCCACAAAATGCTTTTTATTCCGATTTTGAAACGTGACCTTAACAAATCCAACAAAAATGGATTCAAAAATGTTTTATTTCCGCCTAAAAATCAATTCGATTTCAGACGAAGTCATTGGATTCATTATCGGAAACTGCCAAAAAATCATTGATTTTCAATTTGAGTGTTCTGAAAGATGAAACGAAATGGGTAAGTTGGAACCGATTTAGGGATGATCGGTTTTTCAAAAGGTTCGGGATTGGAAGTCACTTTTCCAAGATAGGAATTCCCAAGTTCAAATACATCCCTGAAGTTCCGATGCTTAATCACCATTGAATCTGTACATTTTCAGAAAAAAATGTCCGATTTATTTTTGGAACAAGTTGATTGTGATAGAGCGAGCAGATTATCTGCTTTTGCACATGCTTGGTTCAATATGATTTATGCATTACCAGAACACGAAGATGTTGAAATTTTGGCTGTCAATATGCTCATTTTTCTCATTGATGTTATGATGAAAAAAGATGTGGCTATTCCAAAGTTTTTTCTAATGTATAATGATTTCGAGAGTCAGGTTTGTCCAAATTTTAAATGAAAACATTGTGTTGAAATAGTGCTTTCAGCTGAGTAAATTGAGAGTGGAGAACGTGAAAGCAATTGTTTCGCATATCACTGAAATTATTAAAAGAATCGGAGAAAATGAGGAAAATGAAGGTACGGAAAATTTGAAAATTGCAAGATTCAATCAAAGATGGAAAGATTTTGTTGCGTTGGTTATAAGAAGAGTTGCAGATTTCGAATTGGTGAGTTTTTTCCAGAAGAAAAAGTATTTTTGATAACAAAAATATCTCGGGGTCAAAGTTGCTGGCATTTGAAAGCTTTCTAACTCTTCAACACATTTCTAGATCTTTCAAAATCAAAAATTTTCCATAGTACCAAACATTTTGCAGTTTGAGTTCAATGATCAAGAAATTGATGGAAAAGAAGCGGCTCGTGAGATTCTTTTTATGTGGATAAGACTTACTCAAAATCAAGATGCATTTGAACTACTTGTTGATATTTCCAGGTATTTTTCTTTCTTTTTTTGTTGAAAATTCTTAACTTTAAAAAATAATTCAGTTCCAATTCGTTTCTTGTTCCAATCAATGAAAGGTTTTGTGATGAAGTGATTGCTGAAGAAATCTCAATTGATTTGGAGAAAGATGAAACAATTGAAGAAGAAAAGAAAAGAAGAATTGAAATGACGTGGAAAGCTATTATTTTGACAAAAGTAATCGATAAAGATAGACATACAAATTTATGGAATGCAATTATAACAGCTTGGAAAATACCGGATGATATTACAGAAATTGAAGAAAATACACAGGTTTTTGTGAAGTGTTTGTATATTGGAAAGAAAGTTTTGAGCACTTCTGTTGATGTTGCCAAAAAGTTTTTGGGTTTAATAAGAACCGAGAAATATCGATTACTTGAATCACAAATTGCATTTGCTTTGGCAATTATTCAATGTGGATTTGATAGAAATGATGTGAGTATTTATAGCATTTAAATAAAAATCGTTTATGTTTCAGAGTTTGGCTGATATGAAGAAAACCCTTCAAAAATTGTTCAGAGCTGGAGAACTTGCAGAAGAATGTGTTTGGATGTCTGAAAATGTGTGTGGAAAATTACTTTGGAAAGTTGATTCGCAGTTGAAAGGATTAGTGAAATTAATGGAGAAAAATGAGGAATTGAGAGCGATTTTAACAGAGCCACTTTTTGTTTTGATGATTTCATTATTGGAAACTCCGGCTTATCAAAAACAAGTTGTAATTGTTGATGGAAAAGTTGCGGATGGATGTTCGCTGTGGATTTTGGCGAAACATATTTTGAGTGAAATTTGTGTGTCACAAGCAAGTATGTCGAATATGTTGTCACATTTATTTCAAACTATTGGATCTGCTTCGAGTAATAATTCAGCTTTGATTTTGATTGGTAGGGGATTATGGATTCGAGAAAGCATTTATGATAGTTTTTGTAGATGTTCTTCGAGTTGTTGTCAAAAAATGGTCTGTGGAAATTTTGAACAATTCAAAACTCATCGATGGTTTATTTGATTATGTTTGTCGAATGAGAAGGTATTCAAAAATATAAAATCCCAAAATCATATTCTTCATTTATTTCAGAGATATTGCTGTTTCACTCATTCGATGCCTTCTTCCAATAATAAATAGTCGAAGACAATTACGTGAATCACTCTTCAAAAGTTTGAAAAAGGATTTATTGAACGATTCGACAGTTTGTTCTGCAGTTCCAATTCTTTTGATGCTTTTAAGAAGTGTTAGCAAGAAAAAAGGCGGAGGAGGTGGACAATTTGATCATTCAATGTCACAATCTTTTGGAAGTTTTAGCACACAGGTTAGTTGGTCATCTGAAGAATTTGAAAATTCAAGAAACTTTTTTAGTCACTGAATGCGATGGGATGTAAGAAGAATATTGATGCAAATGTTGGATTGGAATTGATTGGAATTGTTAGGAAATGTTTACAACAACCTGTAACTACCAAGTTTGTTTTTTTTTTGAGAAAAAAATGGGAGGAAAAATCTTGTAATTCTGAAATTTCTACCATACCTCTCTCAATTTCAGAATTGAATTGTATAATGGAATTTGTGAACTGGCAACTCAATCATCTACAATGGTTTCACAATTTCTCGATATGCTTCTTTCACATGCCTCAAATTTACCAGAATGGAATATGACTGAAATGATTACAGCAAATAAAAGTGTTGTTCAATTAAATGAACCACTTCCACATTTTATTCAGACAATCGAATGTTTGATGGGAGAATTGTCATTTGCTGATCCGGATTTTCAACAAGAAGGAACTGAGGAAATTCTGAATAAATCGAAAGAATTTATTGATTCATGGATTCTTTTGGCAACTAGAAAAGATATCGATGATTTGGGATTGGATCGAAATAGTGATTGGAATACGAATAATATTTCGGGAAAAACACATTTCTTATTTGCTCAAATGATGTTAAGTGTTTATGATGTTTTGATTGAACATTTATGGAGAAGAATTGATGGAAATGATGAAAAATCAGATTGTGATCGATTGGTTGCATTGATGAATCGAAGAAAGGAATTGGATAATGTAAGTGTCAAAAAAAACTACAAAAAAATTCAGAAGCTTCGAAAATTATATTTGGGTTTAAAATTGTTTTAATTTTAGTTCTGAAAAAAGACACGTGGAAATCTGAAAAGTTTTGGATTTTTGGAAAATTCGCAGAAAATCAACCCTGAACCATTTCAGATTTATAGAGAACGATTGTTGAATCGGAAGGAAACGAAAACTTCGGATGGTGAAAAACAGGTATTTCCTTTCTTATTATTCTTTCAAATTTCCACATTTTTATCCAGACTCCTCTTGATACTTCGCAAACTGATATTCTTACAAGCGCAAAAACTCTGGCATCAGTTATGACTAAATTATTGACTGCAAATTCGAATGCTGATGCTGGAAATAATACGACAATAAATGTTCGACCGGAAATTTTGGCAAATGTTCAAATGGAATTATTGTATTGGACAGTTCAAAGAGCGAAAGGATTATCGAATACAATTGTGAAAGAATATCGACCATTGCATTCGATTGTTTCGGGAACTAATAGTTTGATATCACTTTCGAAGTTGGTTTTTTTGCTGAAAGGGGATTCGGGGTGTTAATGATTTTTCCCAAGAAATTTCAAATTACCGTTAAAGTTCGGGAGAGCTATTTCAAAGTCTTGAGAAAATATTTCGTATTTAATAAAATGAGTGAAATTTCCTAAAACATTCAGAACTAGAAAGTACAATTCAAAAAATTATTCTAAGCTCAGATTGAATCTCATCCCTTCTTTCAGAAGTCTTCTCGAATTCTATGTTGGAAATGAGATTCCAGATTGGATGAATGAAATCGAAACCGGAAGTGTTGTCAAAACTTTGGCCATTGAAAGTTATGCAAATATAATACAATTTTTGACGATCAAATATAAAAGCACACCGGCAAAAATTGCGATGACATGTGAGTTTCTGAAGGGGAAAAGTAGGGCGAATTTTGAATCGCATTTTAAATATTGTATTTATCCCTACATATTTTCTCGAATTTTTTCCAATATTCTAAATTTCTCCCCAGTAAAGTAATGTTTTAATAATGTATCAACTGTTTTTAATTATTTTAATTACCACCTATTCCCCCCTCTAACCAGAAAAAACATATTCAATCATTTTTTTCACTCATACTTCTCATAAATATACGATGTTTTGTCTAGGGTTCGAAGAAATTGAAGGAGAAGATGAAGAGGCGCGAAAAAAACGACAAGAACCAAATATATTAATACTTCGACACGCTCATTCACTATCTTGCGGCCTTTTTCGACATGTTTTACGAAATGAAAATGACGATATTTCGGCGGAGAAAAAAGCGAATCCGATGCACGAAGCACAAGGAAAAGCAATTCTGAAAGCAACAACAAATGTATTAATGATGACGAAAAATGTGAAAGTTTGGACGAATTTGTTCAAAAGAGCGGTTAAGATTTTGGAAAAACATAATTTTGGTTAGTTTTGGGTCCCTCGGGTTTTTGCAGCAAGTTCGGAGAAGTGTCAGGTACTTTTTTCTTGTTTTTTTCTTTTTATTCATTGTTTTCTATGTTTTTTGTATATTGTTGGTTGTTAGCCACATGATATCTCTGTTAATTTTTTTACCAATCAAGAAAATTCCAAATTTTTTAGATGAGTGATCAACCGAGTTGCTCTTATTATCAGGTATTTTAGTAACTATTTTAAAAATAAAACAAATTTTCGCATTTTTTAGGTTTCTAAACGTCAAAAATATGATAAGGAAACGATGCAAGTAGAGGAGTATGTTATGACACATTTGATAGATGATAAGTGTGCAGATCTCTACCGGAATCGTCGTTTTAATAAGCCAAAATATTTTTATTCTCACAGTCAAAAAGAAGAAATGTCTGAAAGTGAAAAACGAAGAAATGCTATGGAAAAATTGACTTGTAAATGGTTTGCAAAATATGGAATACCGTATGAAGCTGCGAATGATGAATTATTCAAGAAAATGTTGCATAATTTGGATGAGTTCTATAAACCACCAACATCGTCATCGATTGAAACGAGAGTTCGAACAGTGGCTGTTACGATTAAAGTAATTTCTGATTGTCTTAACATTTTACAAAAGGTTTTTTGCAGACAAATAGACGAGATTTGGAAAACACGACTCAGCCAATTTTTGTTACTGTAAATCCAATTGAATACGAGAATTTTGTTTATTTGGCATTTTCTTTGCATTATATTCTTGATAATGGAATTCGGAAAACCTCTCACACCTGACGAGACGTGTCCAAAATGGACACTGTACATTTTTTTCAAAAGTCACACTGCATTTTTTTCGAAAAAAAACTTTGTTTCCTTTTCATCAACATTTAACTTGGGGAAATAAATGCACATTTAGTTCAGTGGTAGGCCATTTTGCTAGTGTTCAGAAGGCCCAGGTTCGAATCTTCATTCGAGCTAACTTTTTTTATTTTTTCCCAACTTCAAAATCAACTTCAGATTGCGAATTTTTCGAAGTTTCTCGGTGAAAATCAACTCAGCAGACTTTGTTTTAGTGTGGTAACATAATGTGCAGTGTGGAATTTACGTGACTGCTTAGCAAACCATAGTGTCACTGAAATTTCAAAAAAATTGACTTTCTATGAAAAAACTTCAAATTCCACACTGCACATGGGTAAATTCAAAAACTACGCTTAAAAATACACCAACTTTCTGAATATACCAACCCTTGATATGTGCTCGAAAAAAAATGCCGTCCGATTCTTTGTAATGTCCATATTTACCATCAAAATGGACACTTCAAAATAACAGCGAAATAGGGCATTTCCACACTGCACTCATGGTGTTCCACACTGCCTATGACCTTAGAAATCTATTGGAAAAAAATCAACCATATCCGTTAAGCCTAAGCTTAGTTATCCTAACTTCAAATTTTGAGCAACGTTGCAACGCATTCGTTTGAAAACAGTTTCCTTTCCACCAACATTTTCCCCTCGGGAGAAAAAAGAGATGTGGCCGAGAGGATAGCATTTTAGACTGGCGAGCATGAGACCAGGGTTCGAATCCTCCTGCCCGCGGACTTTTTTTTTTTCGAAAAACTTGAAAATTTCACGCTGCACATTTTTTTTTGAAAAAAATTTTCACACTGCACAAAAAATTTGGGACACTCTCTCGTCAGGTGTGAAACCTCTGTTCATCTCAAACGCCAAATTCAGAAATTTCGAATTATTTCCACAAATTTGGTTTCATTGATCAAAGTTATACCTGCTATTGCACACATTTGTCGAATTTCACGGAAGCAATCATTGTGTTACCAGAATTTGAATTTGCGTTGAATGAGATCAAAGAGTTTTATTCGAAAATTAGGGAGGATTCTGGATTTTGTAAAGATTTGAGCGAGTAAGTGTTTTTTTTTTCGAAGTTAAAAAAGAATTTTAAAAAGTTTTTCAGCTATTTTGAGTTTAAACATGTGATTTTGGAAATTCCGAAAACTGATTATGCAAATTGGAAAGAATTATTAGATTTTTTGAAAAGATGTTCGGTAAATGTAAGTACTTATTTGAAGAAAATTAAATTTGCATGATAAGTTCATTTTTTCAGCATAAATTGGTACTCGAATTTGTTCGTTCTGGTTTTTCACCTGTCACATATATTGGTCAAATAATGTTCAATTTATTGACTCGTTTACAAAACTTTCTCAATTTTATTCAAGAAAGTATTAATAAATTGGCTGAACCAACTTCATTTGTTTCGGAAATTATTCCGGAAATTCTGAAAATCAAACAATTGATTTATGTGTGAGTTTCAGTTTTTTGTAAATATTCCTAATGTTGTTTTTTCAGACAATTTCCGGAAGTTAATATCAGAAAATATATATGTATTGAATTTGAGAAACATTTGAGATCGGATACTTCAAAAAATGAGCAGTATGAGATCGCAACATTTTTGGATCCTCGATTTGCTTTTGATGAGAAAATATTTTCGAAAAAACGATGGTTGGAAATCTCAAGAAATTTAAAAGAAACAATTTGTAAGTTTGAATATTTTTGAATTGAATTCATCTCTTTTATTTACAGTAAATTGTGAGACAATCCAACAAAATATGACATTTCCTTTGAAAAAAATGAATCTTGATGTTGAATTATTGCATTATATATCAACAATAACTCAAAAAAGATGCGAAATTGATCCGTTTGAATGGTGGAAAGGTAATTCAAATTTTTTATCAATTCTCTACGCATCTTCGAATTTGTTATCAACTCCACCCCCTTTTTCAATTGATGCTGAAAAATATTTTGGAAAAAATGGAAAATTGATGAAAAATAATGAGACAATGACATTGGATAGATTTAATTATTCACTTTGTGTTGTTTCGGATTTGGAAGAATTCAGAGGAAGAGGATTTGTGGAACAGAAAAATATTCGACTCGAAAAAGTTTATTTTCATGAATATGATCCAGAAATCGAACCGAGAAATCAAGCAGCAAAAATCGAAAAGAAACCTGTGCATATATCTTTTTTAGAGCCGAAAATGTGAGGAAATATAATTTTGGGAATTAATTTGTGGAGTTTTTATAGAATCGATAATTTCATGGAGAAATCAGTGATCAAAACCGAAGTCACAGAAAAGAATCATCGAAATTTGATGTGTGATGAAGTTATCAAAATCGAACCAATTGAACCCACTGAAATGGTGATTGTTGTTAAAGATGAAAAAGACGAAACTTCGAAAAAAGTTGCGATCAAATTACCGTGAGTTGTTCATGTTTTTGAGACACATAATGAGGAAACTATTTCAAATCTGATGCCATCCCCAAAATTCTCAACTTTTTTTTTCAAAAAAATAATAAAAATCATATTTTAGACGTCAACAAACCGCAATGGAACGAGTTCTTGGTCGTAAAATTACCATTAAAGATAGTTAGAAGAAGTCATCAAAATTAATAGAAACTATTTATCATGTTTTACGGTTACCTCTTTTGTATTTTTATTTGTTTTCCAATGAAGTTTTATTTTATTTTTCTTTGCGCTAGAAAACACTGTAAACACTTTCTCCGAACTTGACTTCATAATTCTTCTCCAAATTTCTAATAAATGTTTTTTTTTGCAGGAAATAATCAGATGTTGAGAGATTGGTGTAAATTTGTGACAACTTGTGCTCTTCGATGTGGTGATTCGGATAAAGAAGTCATAAAAGTGATGAATTCGATTTTCGAGAATATTCTCGAATTTTTGAGCGAAGAAGCTGAAGAAATTGAATATAAATTCATCGATTCGACAACAAGAAATGTGGCAATTGAATTCTTCTTCAATTTTGTTGAAAAATCGTTGACTCAAATTCGAGAAGCTTTTGGATTTGTCAAAGATTTTTGTGTGAAACCACCGAATTGTGAGTTGGAAAAACTTTGGATTTTCATGAAAATTTGTGTTTTTTACAGTCGATCAGATTCTCGAATCATTGATGTATAAATGTGTTGAGATTACTGAAATGGTTTCGCGAGTTCTTCAATTATTTGTGCAATTTAAACTTATGGTGGGTTTTTTTTACTGAGAAAGTTCGGCCCAGAATTAATGGGACAATCTTGGATTTTTTGAGAACAAATTTCGGGCCCGAAAAATCGGAAAAAAATAATTTTCGCATTTAAATTTTGTTCGAAATTGCAAAAATACAAGAATTCAGTATATTTTTTCTGAATTTCAAGGTTTAAGAAAAATTTGTCCAATTCAAAATTGGTTCTCAGTAATGTTCTCAGTAATAATTCAATGATCATCAGACTAAACTTTGAAAAAAACTCATATTTCATTTTTTTACAGCAAGAACGTATCACTGAAATTATGACAAGCTATTTTTCCACTATCGAATTGTCTGTTTTATTGGTGAGTGTTTTTTGGGCTTAATTTCATCAGGAAACATTTTTACGAAAATTCTCATTTTTCAGCTCCAAGGTCAAACTCGTATTTGGGGTCGAGAGATGAAAAATTGGAAAAGTGTGGATATTTTGGCGAATTTGATCAAATCCAAACTAACTCCTCTTTTATCATTAGTGGATGATCATATTGGTTTCACAAAAGGAAAAGAGGAAATGAAAAAGAAGTTGTCACAAAAATCAAGATATCAAAAATCTCGTCGAGACGAGAAATTATATGTTCGATTCACTCAACAACGCGAATCTGTTCAACATATGATTCTAGTGTTGTGCAAAATGCTCAAAGATGATCGTTTCGATTTGCAAATCAAAAACAATTCATTGGGTTATCGCGAATATCGAATTAATATGGATGTTATTCGAAGCAAAGTCGGCGCACCGCCAATTAATAATGATGACACAACAACTACAACAAGGTAAAAATTTCGAGGTCACCTTTTTTTTGCTGACAGTGGGATATCAAATGTTTTTTCCTCTTCTTTTTTACCTGACCTACCTTAATTACCAGTCGAAAGAAAAAGATTCGAACAAAATTTTTCGATTCAGAAAAATCCAAGTTTTTTTTTTAAAGTTTTCTTCTTATTTTTCCACCGGAAATAATATTTTTCCTAAATTTTCAGTCGAAAACGACGACATCAAAGTGATAACGAAGAAAGTGATAATGATGATGAAGAATTGGAAGAACAAGAGACTGAAATGAATGAAAATGAAGAAGGAGAGGAAGAAGAAGAAGCTAGAAATGATAGTGGAGCTGCGAATGCGAATATGATGTTGAATGAAGTGAGTTTTGAGAATCTTCAAAATTTTCCTCTAGAATTTTCGAAAATCCAAAACATAAGTTTTCAAAAAAAAGGAAATTTTATACTGTGACAAAATTAAGGTAATCTGAATTTTCGAAAATTGCAAGATTCAAATTCTAAAAGCCCTCTCAAAATTTGAAGGTATATTCACCGAATCTTGAAAAAATTATATTTCACCAAAGTCCTTCAAGAACTTATATCCAATTTTCGTAAATCTCAACTTCCCCTCCCCCCAAAATCTTGTTAGTTTTGGTGTTTGGAGAAGAGGGTGTTGTTGTTGTTAGATAATTAGTATTCGTAGAAATGTGTAATTCCCAAAAGCTTTTTTGCTCGCTCGTCTTTCTTCTTTTTAGCCATCTTCTTTTTCCTATTATACATAATTTGTTCATCTCCTCCTCGTCTTCTTCTTTTTCTATTTTTCCATGTTTTTTCATCTTGAGCTTCAAGATGTCAAAAAGACAAAAGAGTCAGGGAAATGAAGAAGAAGAAGAAGAAGAAGGAAGACAAATAATATGAAGAAGCAGATGGCGAGAATAGATAACTACTTATATTGTGTCGATGTGTATGTGTGTGTGTGTGCACTTAATATTTATATACACCACATCAACATATTATACCACCACCACCTCCCGCCAATATAATATATAAGTATATACATACACTATTCCTCTCCTCCTTCTTTCGCCTTCTTATTGTTATTACTATTGAAACGAGATGGCTTGTGTCTTTTGACGAATGCCTGCCTTTTTTATTGACTTTTTCTTTGTTTTATGAGAGAAAATTGGAGCAATTCTTGTGGAGCACTGAATTTTGAGCCGAAATTCCTGAAATTTGGAACATTGTGTTTTTGAGCAAAGTTCTGGCATATTCTGAAACTCAGGTCTGATTTAGAATCAGCCCTCTCCATTTTTTGATTAAAATTAGTTTAGCCTAACTCTGTTCGAATTCGAAGCTCTCAAAAGACAAATCAAGAGATTTGAAAATCTTCGATTTTTAGGAACACATTTTAGTTTTTGGTGAATTTTCAAACAAAAATTCCTAATTTGTGCAGAATTCTATTTTTTATACGTTTCAAAAAATTTATGAAAATCAAAAATAAAATAAAATAATTATACTTCAGAAGTTGTTATACTTAAATTATAGGGTTACAGAAAAGTTTAATTTTAAAAATAGGTTGATTTTAATTTCCCAAAAATTACAAATGTACTGCTGAAAGTAAAAAAAATCACCAACCTAGCTAAAAATTGAGTTCTCACGCATTTTTTTTCTGAAGGAAAAACGGCAACGCCAGTTTAAAGGGACATGAACCGTTTGTAATGGAAAAACTCAGATTGGCTGAACCATATGAAAAGTTATATACACCATTAGAATCTAAGTAAAAAACTGCATCGAAATAAGGTTCGAGTGGTGGATTTAGTGTAACTTTTTTCTCGCGGTATTCGTGACGGGACCCTATTGCTTTTTCGAAAAAATTTCCTTTAAGAGAGAGCGTGCGAAAAAGAGAGACGCTATTGCGCAGAGACATTTTGTGTGCAAACACGCTGACGCACAAATGCACCACACACGTAGGGCACAAAATGCACCACACACCTACGGTTCGCACCGTAGTTTTTTCAGCAATTTCCTCGCTTGAAAATACGTGTTCTACGTTATTTCTCAAGAAAACTTTGAAATAGTCCCTCCCTACTGTGAAAATGTTCGAAAAAATATGACAAAAATTCAATCTTCAAAAAATTTACCCAATTTTTCTCCAGGTTAAAGAAGAAGATATAACTGATGAAGTTATGGAACGCTCAACAAGTCCCGTATTTTAATTTTTAAATTTTAAATCACCACCTCCTATTTTATTCAAATCCCATTTGTTTTCTTTCTCCCAGAAACACATATTCGAGTTAAAATGATCTTGTAAATATATACGGCTATAAACCTATTTTATATCTTTTTTCTCTCATTTCTTTCTTCCCGTTTCATTGGTTAACAAAACCTTGAAATACTTACTTTTTTCTTTTTTTGTTGTCATTTTGAAAAGTGCGCTCTATTGCACACAGCGTTCTTTTTTTTCGCCCACTTTTTTTTGTTTGGTGTTATTTATTTTGGTGTACGTACATTATTTCTTGAGTTTTTGTTTCTTTTATACTTTTTTTTAATCATTAATTAATGTTAAACGCAAGCTTCCGCGCAGCTTTAGAGTTACTCCAACTTTTTTGGTTAATTTGGACAGTTAGGGTAACTTAGCCGCGCTGCGTCAAAGTTACCCTAATTCTCTGGATTACCCAAAGAAGTTATGGTAATTTTTTCGCTGGTAGCTTGTGATCAAGAATCACTCGATTAATTAATTTACTAATTAAATCTGTTTTAAGAATGAAGCCGCCATTTATCGAACACATTGACCGATTAAAAGAGGAATATAATGTTATGAGCCATCAATTGAATCAACAAAGGGTTAGTTTTAATTAATTATCATCAATTTTTAATGAGAAACCTTTAAAATACTTTTTTTGCAGAGTGAAATGGAGAAATTAACGAACGACAAAGAACAAATGCATCGAACATATTTGGCGTATTGCGAAATGTCGAATTCGTTGCAAGGCGAAATGCGAAAACAAGAGGAATTGTGTAAACGATGGACTGCGTTGATTCAAGCATTCACGCCGTATTTGACACAAGAAAATCAGACGGCTGCATTGTCTTCGTTGGAAAGAGCTAAATTGGTGAGAATTTTGGGGGAGAAGCTGTGAGCAGGACAGAACAGCTCTGTTAAATTTTTGAATTTTATGGAATTCATTCTAAATCTTAAATTGAACCTGAAAAATTTACATTTATGAAATGAAAGCAAGACTATGGCGGGTCAAAGTTTGATAATCCCTAAAAGTTTCTTATTTCAGATCTCACCACAAGAAATAGCACAAGCTATGAGTAATGGTTCAAACGGTTCATCATCCGCAATGCCGCCTGGAATACCATCAACATCAATGATGGGAATGTTTCCCGGTTTAGCTGCAGCGGCTGCAATGGGACAAGGTGGTCCAACTGCAGCTGCTTATATGATGGCTCTTTCACATCAACAACAACAAGCACACGCTGCAGCCGCTGCACATCAACAACAGCAAATGGCATCAGCGACAAATAATGGGAATGGTGAAAATGGATCGGCTAGTTCATCAAACGGACAAAATGATGCGAAGAGGATAAAAATTGAAGAGGAAAATGAGGGAGAATTGGAAATTGATGTGCTACAAGATGATAATACGACAAGCAACACGGCGGCTGCATCGAATTCGGCTGGCGCCAAAAATGGTCGAGAAAGTACGAATAGTGTTACCTCGTCGGGCACTTCAACTCCTAGTTTATCATCATCGAAAAGAGCAGCAGCCGCACCAAATCCATTGGAACAAATGAACTTTTTGTCAGCTTTTCGTGAGTTTTTTTGGGTTGGTGTTAGATGGGAGAACATTATACTGATCTGAAATTGTTTACCTTTTCATAATTACCTGATAACAATTTTTGGAAGTTTTGAAATAGTATCTTTTGAAACCGTAAATTTAGGTCATTTTAATCTATTAGAAAACGGAGATCTAGATTTTGATTACTGTAGGTTGTAGGTACGGTATGTCCCTTTAATCCTAGATCAAAAAAGTTCACCTCATCTGGGACCGTTATATTTTTTTTTCTCACAAAACAATATTTAATTTCAGCTCCTGGTGCTATGAATATGTCTGGTTTTGGTGCAGCAGCTGGTCGAAATGCAATGGCTCTATTGAATGATCCACACGCGCAGGCACGAATCGCAGCCGCTTTCGGTGGAAATGCGGCAGCCGGTGGAAAACCATCGTATTCATTCCGAATCGGTGAAAGTGGACAAGTTCAACCGACTGTTTTCCCAGCTGATTCGCAAGTTGGACAGGGAATTCCAAAGTGAGTTTTTTCTTCTTTATTATGTTGTAAAAGTCAATTTCATTCAAAATTAGAAGTTTTTGAAAAAATTCTGTGATATATGTATTTTTTACAATGAAATTCATGTTATTTTTCCAATTTTCTTTCGGAAAAATCTCGATTTGGAACCGTAAAAACTGTTGTACTTACAAAAATTCGTCTATTCTAACTAATGTAATCTAATTTTGTTGCAGAGGAATGAATCGAAAAATGGAACTTCCACACGGCGAAGTTGTCTGTGCAGTCACAATTGCTCGAGATAATTCGCGAGTTTACACTGGTGGAAAAGGATGTGTTAAAATCTGGGATATTCGAGAATCCGATTTGGCTGCTCAACCAAGTGGTGGAACTCCAATAACGCGAGCACCAGTTTCAACTCTCGAATGCCTAAAAGACAATTATATTCGATCATGTAAACTATTCGAAGATGGTTGCACACTTTTGGTCGGCGGAGAAGCCAGCAAAATATCACTTTGGGATTTGACAACCGAATCGATCAAATTGGAACTCGATTCAGGATCTCAAGCGTGTTATGCGTTGGCTTTGTCGCCAGATGAGAGATTATTATTTGCTTGTTGTGCCGATGGAAATATATTGATTTATGATATTACGTCGCAAGAAAAAGTTGGAAGTTTGCCAGGACATCAAGATGGAGCATCTTGTATTGATTTATCGAAAAATGGAACACGATTATGGAGTGGTGGATTAGATAATTCTGTTAGATCGTGGGATTTGAGAGAACGAACACAAATTTCGGTAATTTCTTTTTGGAAACTTTGAATTTTTTGAGAACCGCGGACAATTTTATCTGAAATCACAAAGTTTTTTTTGTTAAAAATTTCGATTTCTTCGTTATTCTCATCAAAGTTTGACTCAGAACTCGGTCCAGTTCTTAGTTTAGAGAAAAAACATGATCTTGATCCAAAAGATCCTTATCATGTTTTATTTATATGCCTAACCTTCTCTGGTTTTTCAGAAACACGACTTCACATCTCAAATCTTCAGTCTTGGCTGTTGTCCAACAGATGAATGGGTTGCTGTTGGAATGGAAAATAACAATGTTGAAGTTCTATCAACAAGTCGAAAAGAGAAATTCCAATTACATCAACACGAATCATGTGTACTTTCTCTCAAGTTTGCACATTCTGGAAAATATTTCATCTCAACTGGAAAAGACAATGCTTTGAATGCGTGGCGAACTCCATACGGCGCATCACTTTTCCAATTAAAAGAGTCAAGTTCAGTTCTTTCTTGCGATATTTCATTCGATGATACTCTTATTGTAACTGGTTCCGGTGAAAAGAAGGCCACACTTTATCAAGTTGAATATCATTCATAAATAATCTTCCGCCTGCTTCTTTTTGTTTTGTTTTTCAAAAATCTTGCTTATCGTCCCAATTTGAGCTCTTTTTCCGAAAATATAAATCACTAACCAAATTAATTGCATTTATATTTTATATTATAGCTTTTTCATGTAATCTATCGACAAAAATTGAATAAATAATTGATTTAAAAATCGCTAACACGTCCTTTTCTCTCCCAATCTCCATATCTTGTTGGTTCTGGTCCAGCGGGTCCTCCAACTTCTCCAGTTTTTTGATTTATTCCACCTGGATGCTTTTTCAGATGTGGATCTTCGTAACTTTCTTCCTAAAGATCTTTGAAATTTTGAAAATTGGAACTTCCACGTTACCTTCTCCTCCAATTTTCCTTTTGGCGTTTTTTCAAGCGCAATTTTCTCCTTATTCGTAAGCTTTGTTGGTTTGTCGGAAAACCTTCGAATCAAAAAAACTCGAGACAATTTCAACATTCTACAAAATCCTACATAATTGTTGATTTTTCATATTAGAACAAATAATAAATCTGAAATTTTACAGAATCTCAATTTAAAAAATTTTTTAAACATTCAATTTTATTTACCTACAAAACATGACTATAAAATGAAAATGAAAATAATTTAGAAAATATATAAATGCAAAAACCCATTCTCAATTAATTAAACAAAAATTTGTAGACAACATAAACGATGATTCCGAGAGTTGTTGGAATTAAAAAGTTTGTCCAAGTCGGTGAAGTCATAATTTCGATAAACTGTTGAACAAATCCACTTCCATTTTCTGGTTTTGAAGAAGTTTTTGTTTGGGTTTCTTTTGGTGTTTCATTTTCAGATAATCGGCCAATCAAATATTCTTTTGCCATTTCAGTCGCATCTTTTGAATGCCCAACATCTAGGAAACCAACTGTTGCGTCCTGCAAATTTCGATTTTTGAAGGATTTTGTTCAATTTGAAAAACTTTAAATTATACGTTTCAAAATTTTAATAAGAAACCCGAAATGTTATAATATTTGATGAAAATACGTTTTTTTTTCAATTTCGCAAAAAATCATAAATTCAAAAATTTTGCAAGCAAAACTCCACTTGAAAATTTACAAACCTGTCCAGCCAATTGTGTGATAACTTCTTCTCCTCCCGGATGTTCATTCAAAAACTTGGTGACGTCATAAACTTTTCCCGAAATCACAATCCAACACGATTTTTTGTCCTCGAAATTGTGCTTCGACACTTCTTCCAATGAGATTATTCGCAAATCTTCCATTTTTTCTGGAAATAAGTTTAATAAATTTAATTTTGAGCACGAAAAAATATAATCGGATTTCTATTGAAAAAAAAAACCGTTTTCACTTGGGAAAATTAGAGTTTCAAAAAAAAAAACAACAAAACAAAATGATTTATTTTCTATTCTCCTGATTAATTCTATGATCAGCGCCAATCGCATCCGTAACATTATCAAATCCGTCGTTTTTGAGCAATTCAGCGAGTTCTCGTTTCACTTTTCCAATTACTGGAAAGCCTTGATAAACTAGAGAAGAATATAATTGGACAAGTGATGCACCGGCTCTGCAAAAATATAGAACTTAATACTTTGGCGCGAAAATTTTTCAATTTTCAAATTTCCAAAAAAAACATTTTCAATGAGAAAAATTAATTTGTGTCTAATTTATGGGTTTCCGAAGGATTTTCTTGAAATTTTCAAAAGTTAAAAATATTATTTTATATGAAATTGTTTAGAATTTCAGGTGGTAATATCGATTTTTGACGATAGTTTGCAAATTTTGCCAAATTTCATCAAAAAAAGCTGAAAAGTGGAATTTTCAGCCAAGTTTTCAGGAAAATTGCTGAAAAACGTGTTTCAATTCTCAAAAAACAAACCTTATTTTTTCATAAGCATCTTTTCCATTTGCAACTCCACCACATCCAATTATTGGAATTTGACCATTTGTAAGGCTAAATTTTACAATTCATTTTTTTTTGAAAAATTTCCCCAAAAATATCTTCTCACCTATACATTTTCCGTACACATTCTGTGCTAATTTCTTTCACTGGCGCCCCACTTAATCCTCCAGTTTCAGCCTTATTTTCACTTTGTAACGAATCGGGTCGAGAAATTGTTGTGTTTGAGACAATTATTCCGTCAATTCCATATTTTTTATTTGTGACCACCTGCAAAATAATTTGTTTTTTTTTCATGTTTTAACAACAGAGGAACAATTTCTAACTAACCTGAGCAATATCCTTCAATTCATTCTCAATCAAATCCGGTGCAATTTTCAAAAACAACTGTGGTCGTTTTTCATTCAATCGATGCAAATCTAACGAACTTTTAACATAACTCAACAATTTTTCCAAATCCGATTTCTTTTGCATACTTCGAAGACCTGGAGTATTTGGACTTGAAACATTTAAGACAAGATAATCACAATATGATGCAAAATAATTCACGCCAATTTCATAATCTAATCTGGAACAAGTTTGAATTTTGGAAAAAATACCATAAATTATTTTCAAAAAGAAAATTATCCCACATTTCAATTTAAAAAATTACATTTGGGAGAATCTTCAATAAAAACTCACTTTGCATCCTCAGTTAATTTATTTTTGCCCAAATTCACTCCAAAATATGCCCAATCTTGAGAATTCCAATAATCTCGCGCATTTCTCACTCTTTGTTGCACTTTTCCAACGCCGTCGCTGTTGAAACCATAGCGATTTATAACTCCCTGGATTGAAAAACAAATATGAGATGATTCCTTGGAAACAGTGTATAAAAAATCAAGAATTTACCTCATCTTCAAGTAGCCGAAAAACTCGGGGTTTTGAATTTCCAGGTTGTGGAATTGGTGTAACACTTCCAATCTCAATAAGCCCAAACCCTGAATCTTTTGCCAATGGAACAATCGCTTCTCCATCTTTATCAAATCCAGCAGCTAAACCAATTGGATTTTTGAAAGTTCTTCCGAAAAGTTCGAATTTCAATTCAGGATATTCTTGTTTATTCCATCCCCATTTTGGTAATCCACCCCAAGAAGCAGCACGAACCGCCCATTTATGAGAATCTTCGCCATCAATGAATTTATGAACAATTGGCATCACTGCTTTTTTGTAAAAGTTTTCAGAGCCATACATTAATTCTAAAGCGGTGTATCCAGCTAAACCGGCTGTTAGAACTATTACTGAAGATCGAGCAATTTGTCCGGGTGGAAGTTTTGAATATATTACTTTGCCGTTATTCATTTTTCGATAGGTCTTCCAAAAACTTCTTTAGCTAAAGATAAGAAATTTTAATACAAGAACAAAGTTGCAATTATTTTACCTGGTCTTTGGTGAAATCTAAAATTTGTGACTCGCCGTCTTCAAAATGTAAAATTAATATGAAAATTGGTTGGAGCAGACGATTAGAAGTGTCGCACGATGTTGTTGCCTGTAAAAGAACACACAATAAATAAGAACACACTATCAATGTGAAAATTAACAATAGAGCAGAATAGATATTTTACTCTTTTCCAATTTTTTTTCGCTGCAGCAAAAATCACAGACAAACGTTTTGGAAAAGATAAGATAACTCCGAGTGATAACAGTGAACTTTGACCCCTATGATCTTCGAAGCTGACTTACTCTTATGCTATAATCGTAGGACTTCAGCTTTTTCGTTATCCCAGACATAAAAACGGCCAAATATTGGCTGGAAAGTTCGAAAACTTGGAAAAATATGAAAATATTTTTTGAACAGTAATTAAAGGCACATTTGAATATTGCGAAATATCTTGTTGCGATTGAGCCTTGTGTGTACTTCTCTTGAACAATTTTTATTTTTTTTGTTTTCGGCTGAAAACTTGCTGAAAAAAGTGGTTTTTAGGTGGAATATGGACGAGTTAAAGAAGTTTGATCGTTATTGCTATGAGATGCAACAAGTTACCAAACAGGAAGAAGCTTTGCACTCGCCGAAAATGGCTATGATTCGAAAAAAGTGAGTAAATTAGAAAAATATATGTTTTCCAACAAAAACGTGAAAAAATCGTTTAGGCTTCGTAAAATGTTGATTTCAATAATCGAGAATTCTGAAGATGATATTAGTGTACGTATTGAAAACTTCTGGAAAGTCTCATACTATTTGCCAATCAATCGATTCTTGAAAAATGTTGACAAATCAGAAGAATCTTCAACAACATTGATAACAATGTTTTGTGGAGAATTGCAAGAATTGCAAATATTGGTAACAAATGAGAAATATTCGGCACTCTTCAATTTGTATTTGGGCGATCTTCATCGATATATGGAAGAGTTTGAAGATGCGGAATTGTATTATGCAAAAAGTATTGAAATTGACAGTAGAAATGGGAGAGCTTTCAATATGTTAGCAATGGTGAAAAAACAAGAATTATACAATGAAAAGCTTCGACTCTTTTTGCTTGCTCTTCTCGCTGAACAACCATATAAACAAGCATCGAAAAATCTCGAAGATCTCATTTCAAAAATCGAATTGGTAGAAAACAAGGAGAATATCGAGAAAAATCTAGCCGATTTCATTTTCTGGGTTCTTTTCGATGTTTCGTCAAACAAAGCAGATCATAATAAAAGTGGAACTGGTCTTTTGAAAACAATCGAGGATATTGATGATCCCGAAATTCTTCAGATTTTCATTCTAACTTTTCGTGTCTCAAAAGGATCTTATAATTTTATTCATGTTTTGAATATAATGATCGATCTTTTCCTCGGATTTCAGGTCTGTTTTCTTTTTTTGAGAGAGAAAGGGAATGGGAATTTTAAAATTTTCAATTGAAATAAAGATTTCAGAACCCTTCTATCGAAATTCTCTGCATTATATGCGAATTCATCCACGCGGCAAGCGAAATTCTCGGAGATTTTGAAAATTCGAAAAAAGTTTTTGACACTTTACCAATCTTCACGGAAAATGTAAGATTTTGATGCCTATCACCATTCAATTCGAATTTTTGCAGAAATGGGAAAAGTTATGCGAATTGACTTGCAAAGTTTTGAACTCGAAAGAAATCGATATGGATTCAGAAGAATGTCAAAATCTTGAAGAATTGAATCTCATTCATAGTTTAAGAAAAACAACAAAAACAGTGGATATTTTGAAGTTTTGGGCGCAAAGAATTTGCGAAACAACATCGCCACATTTCGAATATAAAAATGGAAAATTCGAGAAAATTTCGCAAAGTAATCATAGAAAATTGGATTTGCCCAAGGAACTCGAAACGGTATTTATTTTAATTTTAAGGAATTCTGGGGGAAAATAAGAAATTTTTATTTTCAGATGAAAATTTGTGGTTTCCATGAAAATGAAAAACCAATCTATCTTTTGTTCGACCTCGATTCGATATCTCAAAATTTGTTTTTTTCGCTGAAAATCTGGCAATTCAGCGAGTTTATATGTGCAATTTCATCGAAAACTTTTGCCGAGTTGGATAGATTGAAGGTAAAATTGAGGAAAAGGGAATTTATCACGAAAACTGCGTGAAAAATAGGAGGTTGAGAAAGTCATGAAAATATTTTTTAAATGCAATTTTTGAAATCTTAAATTTTCTGTAACTCGTATTTTCATCCAATCCATAGATTTTCATAGATCAGCTCACAAGGAAAGGTTTTCAATGTTCCCCCAAGGAAAAAATCGAGAGTATGTGGAATGTTGAGGGTTCCCATGGGTAAGAAAAACCCTAACGGGAATAAGGAGAAAAATGCCTTGTTTTAGAAAATTTTGGTGTTATTGATTTTTGCGATGAAATTTTTTAGAAAAATCGAAACTTTTTTCAAAATTGATGAAAAATGTCAGTCTAAAAATCCATTTGTAGCGCAAACGGCGTACTTTAGTGTTACTTCGACTAAAATTAGGAATAAAATAATTTTGGTCCCAAAAGTCCACTAAATCAAAAATCCAGTTTGAAAAATTCATAGAAAATCAACGTTTTCGTTGTGAAGGAGAAGTTTGTGTGAATCGAGACTATGATTTTCGGATTATACGGACCAAATTACGTCTGTTGACCGTCATAAATTTTTCAAGTTCCGTTCATTTGAAAATGGAAAAAATTATTTTTTGTGTTTTTTGGTGACCATTTGATCAGAAAAACCCCGACTAAAAAAATCAAATTTCAAAAAATGTCTAATTTTTTGATAAAAAGTTTCACAAACACGTAATCGACCATTCTGAACAACTTCCACGACTCAAAAGTTCATGAAATAGATTCAAAATCGAGTTACAGATGCTCTAAAAATCAAAAAATGGTGTAAAAATCGACCTAAAATTCATTTTTTCTCGAGAATAAGGCATTTTTCTCCTTATTCCCGCTAGGGGTTTTCTTACCCACGGGAACCCTCAACATTCCACATACTCTCGATTTTTTCCTTGGGGGAACATTGAAAACCATTCCTTGTCAGTTCCGAATTTTACAAAATTTCTCAAAATCTCACTTTTTTTCCAGGACGAAATTCCAATAGTTCGTAGAGCTCTTCGCGAATTAGCAAAACGTCAAAAAATCGGAAAAATTCAAATAATCACATCAAAAACCGACAGAGAATGTTGTGAGAAATTGATCGAATCGGCGACGAAAAATGACAGAAAATTGGAACACGAAGAATTGGTTGGAATTATTGTGGAAGATGTGGAAAAATATGAGAAGAAGTTCGGAAAACCATTGAAAGGTTCTAGTTTATTCGGAAATTTGCGAAAAAAAAAACTAAAAATTTTCAGGCGTGTCAATCCACCAAATCTCAACATTCTACACCAAATGCACCATCGATCGATGATTTTCTTCAAATAAATTCCTGACCGGATATTTCTTGAAATATCGTGGAAAGTTTGGGGAACAATAAATACGTTTATGAGTTAAAGAAAGAGAGAAGAAAAACTATGGCCCATTTGTGAAGGAAAAAAAAAGAAATATTATGTACAAAAACGGGGGGAAAAGTGGAAAATGACCCGATTCGGTAAAAAAACATTCCCAATAAAAGAATATTGAACAAAATGAAATAAAGCTTCTAGAAAAATGTAAGGGGGATAAAGAGGAAAGGAAACATATCACATTAAGAAAAAAACGGGAAGGAAGGGGGAACAACGGTTTAGAAAATTGGTCAGTTCATACATATATTAGAGTTTGGTGGCAAAAGAAAAGTGAAAATGAAATGCAACTAAACAAAACAATAATAAATGCTATTCGAAATTCTTTAGTCAACATCAGTTTCAACGTTCGATTCATTTGTGATTCCTCCAGCGTCATCCGGGCTTCCACTGTTTGAGAATGGAAGTTCGGCGTTGGTATTTTTCCGATATGCAAATACTTGACCCAGGATTAAACAATCAATTGTGATCTGGAAAATGAACAAAAATTGAGGGGGTTTTTTCAATGAAGTTTGCGAAAAATTTAAATTTTGAGTACATTCGAAAAATAAGATTTTGAATTTTTTTAAACTTTTAGGCTCAGCAAGACTCTAAACTTGACTAAAATGTAAATTTTCCCGAATTTTGGGAAAATAAAAGTTACCTGTATAATAGCACAAAGCCAAAACTGTTTGGGACTCGATTTTGCCACAAAATACGCAGTTTTTGCCAAATCTCCAGCCAACCACGCCAAAACCATAGGTATGCTGTAAAAACATTTAACGTAATTCAAAACTATGTAAATATATAAATTCATTTTTATTTAAAAAAAAACACATCCAACTTTTTCCTTTTCTTTCCGAATCCCAATCAACTTTTTTTGTCTTTTTTGCAAGAAAACAAAAATAAAAAGCGATCAGAAAAGAGAAAAACAAAAAGTTTTGTTTTTTCTTGAAGACCAATTTCGAATTAGAAATTCGAATTACCATTAAGTTTTTTATTGAGCATGTTCTACGAACATTTCAGCCATTTTTCTTTTTTGATGAGAATTTTTTAGTTCTAGATTTCTAACGAGAAACTTTCTGAAGCGTGGCCAATTTTGAACAGCTTCAAATAGAGGTTACTAAAAAGTCTGGAAGCATTCAGGGGATCTGGCTTAGAGTCTAGTCTATGCTTCATTTTATTTTAGGCCAAAAACGGACATTTTCCTCAAACTATGTCATGTTGGATGTCTAAATTAATCAGATTTCATGACAAATCCGATTTTGGGTTTCAAAACATTCAGAATTTCCTAAAAATCCCCAAAACTTTTCCACGTCCTAACTCATATTAAAATTTTAATTCTACATTTTTTCCTCAGCCCAAAATCTACAAATCTCTAAAAATTCCCTTACCTCATTCCAGTCGTTGATTTTCTTTGGAAATTTCGAACTAATTGTGGTAAACCAAGAGTTGCTTCAGTTAATAATGCAACCAATCCAATTCCCTCCACATAATACGAGTTCTGAAAAATAGATTCATTTTTTTCAAAAAAAAAAATAAAATGCAATGAAACTCACGTTAATCATAAAATAGGTGACAACCGACCAAAATACTGTGAAAATTCCAAGAGCCGTCAAAAACGATCCCAAATCATGCCAAGCCCAGAATGCTTTGAAATCGCCCTCTGAAAATTGATATGTTTTGGAAATATTTTCATAGAAACAACAGAAAAAAGTTCCTTGAAATGCTCGTCGAAATTCTCCATTTTTAATCAAATACCAAACATTGCGAAGATGGACAGGTTCTAAACAAAAAAGGAGGAAAAATGAGAGGAAATGAGATGATGATTTTGTGAGTTTTAGTCGAGGACAAAGTTAACAGAACTAGAACTTTGCTCAAAAATTGTAACGGTCGTGGTTTTCAACAGTAAAAATTGTACTCTGATATTTCAATTCTGAACTTTGAAGACCATCAGAGCTGATAAACAAGTAGCCGAGTCTGGAAATTCTAGCTTTCAAGTAGCTGAGCCTAGAGGTCCTGATTCTCTTGGCACAGCGCCTAAAGATCCACAAAGGAGCCGCATCATAAGAACATAGTTTTCTAGTAACCTCTCGTGGAATTTCTAGTGGTCAAACAGCCACGCCTAGAGAATTCAATTGCGAAGGATCAGCGCCTAGAGATCCTAGTTCCCAAGTAGTCGCGTCTAAAGAGTTCTATTGTCAAGAAGATCGGCTAGAAATGTCTAATTTCTCAATTTTGAGCACGAGTTATGACATGGCGAACTTGTGAGTTTCACACAAAAATAGATAACTTCTGTGGTGTTTATTAAAACCTATTCACACAGATTTTTGAACTTTTTCTCCCTATAGGCCTTTTGTCACAAGTTATGCGTTTTCATGTGAACTTCACAACTTAGCTCAACTCTGACGTGGCAATTTCAGAACTTTTGTATTTCGAAAAATTGTGCAATATTTTCCATTTCCAAAAAAAAATCATTCGTTTCTAAGCAATCCAGTCTCTAATTCTATTCTTTAAGAAAAAAAAACTTCAGTTGTTCACTGTTAGGAAATGAATTAGATCTGGGAGGGAAATAACAAAACTTTCTCAGAAATAAAAAAAAGAAATAATTAAAAATGTCTGAATTTCTCTAGATCTTCGTTCTTATTCGGGAAAAAAGGTTGAACCTGATCGTTTTTGAATTTTTTATTTGTGACGCGACCTACAAGTCAATTAACATTCCATTGTCAATTGCATTATTCGTCCATTCTTCTCATCTTTTATTCAAAGGATAATCAAATTGTTTTTTTTCGTTCCCCCGTTTTTTCATATCTAAAAATATAGAAATATGTTTTGAGCAGAGTAGCGTCAAGTTTCTTCTTTAACTTCTACTTTTTCCCCCATTCTTCTACTTTTTCGTTTTCTCCGCCTTTGAAGAAAAGAAATCTCGTGTGCGTGTGAAAAAATCCCATTTCTTTCGGGGGTTTCTTCTTCGCTGGCTCCTCGCGAGCTCAGCTCCTCTTTCAAGTGTGCTTAGTTTTTTCCGCGCTTAGGTTAAAGGGAGCGCGCGCAAGACTCGTAAAAGTAATTCACAAGTTTTTTCTCTTCAAATTGGATTGAACTTCTTCTTTTTTAGGAGCCTCTCTGCTTTTTCGTTTCTTCTTCTTCTGCTTTTCGAGATGAGTTGTGTTGTGTTGTTGTGCTTTTTGAGGAGAAGAAAATGATTTGCATAATCAAATATTTTATTGTAATTTTTCGTGGGTCCAAGATTTCTGATCACAGCTTTCTAGTCTGACTAATTCAGCGGAATTTCGGAAGTTCGACATAGAAAAAAAACAGAGGGACTAGTTTTCAATCCTAGTCCGTCTGTAACTGTTTGCACTCGAGATTTTGCATAAAAGATGTTTTCTGATCAAGATCCAGTTGTCAAAAACTGCAAATCTCACGTGGCAAAAAATCTGCAGCCAAAACCTTCTAAAGTCACGATTTTTCGAAACTTTCCAACTTTGCTACGTCATAAATCATTTGAAAATGTGAGATTTCAAGTTTTTGACGACGTAATCGTGATCTTCAGTTCAGAACCTACTAGAAAACGTATATATCATGAAATAATCGAGTTCGAGTTCCCTTGTTAGCCTCGGAGAATGTTCGACCCTATAAAAGTCAAAATTGTGTCTCACAATAGTTGCCGTGCCAAAAAAATCAGCGAAAATATTTACGTTCATTCAAAAATTCTCAAGAAAACCTCAAAAATCTCGCTCTCGTGGTGAAAAAGGACTTTATCTCGTGACATGTAGTTTTTTCACACTTGTTTGTTTTTTCGTTTTTCTTCAAAATGTAGAAACCAGGTTCAAGAAAATTTGTGATGTCTTGATAAATATAATTAATGATTTCTATCCAATAGAGTTATTCATATAATAAATTATTTTGCTCATTGGTTGAAATAATTCCTCTTTCATTCTCCGTATTTTTATGTGTTCTTCGATCAAATTTCAGTGTGTTCATTAAAAAATCTGAGATATCCACACAGATAGTGGAAAAAAGGTCAAGTTTTTGCATAGATTCTTGAGTTGACAAATGGGCGGAGTTTTGAGGCCATGCTGCATTTTTTCGAGTCGTGGAAAAATGCCAGAAATTTTCGGCTTTATGACGTTGTTGCTATCTATTTAATGGTCACGGTTTTGATTTCGTATTTTTTTTTTTGAAAAATAAGAAAACAATATATTTTTTGCTGTCAAAAATAATATTTTTTCTTCATGATGACGGATATTTGTCATTACACTTTCTTTTTGAAAGGTTTTCTGAAAATATTTGCAGTCTGCAAAAAATGACATGACTTGTAAAGTAAAGTTAGTGCGATCTCTGGATTTGAAAAAATTCTGAGATGAGGGCCAACTTTTTTGAAATCATTTTCGAGAACTTTTTTATTTTCTTTGAATTATTTTGTGATTTCAAAAAGTTCACGGTCCAAATTCAGCAATTTTCCAAATTGAGAGATCACAAACACCAAATCAAGCAGATAGCTAAGTGGTAGTGGTAGCTGCTGTCAATCTCAGGGTCATGGGTTCTATTCCCAGTTCTCTCTACGAGAGGTGTCTAGATGTTCTCATCAAAATCTTAGTTTCCTCGATTTCCAAAAATGATCTCTCTCTGATCTTTTCTCTTTCTGCATTGTTCTTCTTTTTCCTCTCCAATTCTTTTTTCATTCGGTCATCTCGTGTCAATAATCAAATTGCACAACTTTTCAATTTTTTCAAAAAAAATTCCCATTTTTCTCCTTCGTCGTTTTGTAAATCCAATAACAAAACACACGTTTATCAAATCTTCTCCCTTTTTTCTTCTGCTTTTTTGTGTCCTCCTTCTTCATTCTTCTCTCTTCATTTTTTGCACAATTAGGAGTCGGCAAAGTGTGAAGAAAATGAAAAAAGAAGAAAAAAGTGTCACACGCGAAAACCATAGAACGCCATCACTTATTTATAAACCTCACACTTTGCCTTCCGAAACTAAGGAAAAAAGAGGAGAAGAAGGAAGGAAAGAAGCTCCTCCTTTTACTCTTTTTAATAATATTATTATCAAGTTCGAAATACTTTTTTTTTATAAAAAAAAGGTTTCTCGCAACTTCTTCCCACGTTTTTATACTTTCTGAGAAATCACATGATTCCATTATTCTTATCCATTTTTGCAGCTATTTCACATTCAAATCGAATGTCAATTCCATCAACGAGTTTTTATGGAGCAAACGATGATTTCTCTTTTCAAATGACACCAACAACAACTGATTTTTTGAGTGATGATAGCAATTCGACAAATTCATGCAGAGATCAGGTAATTCTTTTGATCTATTATTGTAATTTGCAAAGCCGTTAGGCGATCTAATTGGTCAAATTATATGGCTATTTTCTATGCAAGGGAACTCGACTAAAAGATAAAACACAACACAAATTCCAAAAAATGGACCATCTGCGTTCTTACGTCAATCCATTTATTTATTTCCGTGTTTTTTAGGACTTGAGAGAGAATAGGAAGTGCGACCAAAAAGTTAGGGAACCTTCAGTAAAGAAAAGTTTCCATAAACAAATAAAAAGTTAATGGATCCAATTAAATTCTAAACTTCTAAAGAACAATTCCCTCGGGGGTTGGCTATTTCAGAAGTTCTCCTAACTTCGAAGATTCAAATTATAAAGAAGGGGTTACGATAAAAACTTTGTACTATAATCGTATCCACCTGATCCACGAAGCGAATAAGCGTTTTATACTCCTAAGCTGATCAGAGACGATTTATAGATCAAAACTATATATTTTTCAGCTCCGCCGATACAATTTAACAAATGAGCCACTTCCAACTCCAGTTCTAGTTCTGATGTCAGTTCCAGCTGTTATTATAATTATGTTAACAGTGTTTGGCAATCTTCTCGTTCTATTTTTCAAGGCACGTGTCGGTCGAACAAATACAACACTTTTGGTATGGAATTTGGGATTGACTGATTTTTTAGTAGGAATGATTGTATTACCAATGGGTGCTGTACATTTAATTTATCGAAAATGGATTTTCGGACGATTTTTGTGTCGTTTATGGGTAGCTGCAGATGTCACATTCTGTACATGTTCTGTTGTAAGTTCTTCTAACTGTCCATTTTTCTATATTGATATTAATTTTAGGTAACAATATGTGTAATATCCGTTGATCGATATTTGGCTGTAACTCGTCCACTTCGATACAAAACACTTGTTACAAAAACAAAAGTGATAATTGTGATGACAACAATTTGGATATTCTCCTCCTCAATTCTTTTGACAACAGTTCGTTGGGAGCAAAAAGATTGTCAAGATGATTCGGAATGTTTTGCCGGAAGTGAGATTCGTTATCTTGCACACAGTGTTGTTTTCGCCTTCTTTTTACCCGCCTCAGTGACTTTGACATTGTATTGGAGAATTTATAAATTGGCTCGAGATCGACAGAAAGCTTTAGATCGTGGATTTGTAATGATTCTTGGACAAAATATGAATTTTCTCACAAACACTTTGAGTCAGCAGGTTGGTTAGAAAATTGTGGGAATTTTCTATGAAATTCTTTTAGACAACACTTCGTGTACATTTTGGAAAAACCAATGGAATGGTTGAACATCAACGTCGAGTTTTACGAACTCATGAAAGAATTGCGAAAACTTTGGGAGTTGTTTCATGCTCATTTTTATTTTGTTGGCTACCATTCTTTGGTTTATATTTAACAAGTAAGTTGAGTTGATTCCTATGATCAAAATCTCATGAAATATAAATGATGAGTGCAAACTGCTTCCTCAAAACATTTATTTTTTGACGTAGTTCTAAATACGAAAATAGAATCATCATCTTCCAAAAATAAACCTTTTCCAGATTATAAATGTGAAGATTGTATTCATCCAATGGCAATCGATGTTGCTAGCTGGTTAGGATATTGTAATTCAATGTTGAATCCAATTATCTACTCATTTACTGTCAAAGAATTCAAACGTTCCGCGTTTCGTTTAGTCATTCCAATTTGGCAATTTATGAATCGATGTTTACCATTTATTCCGGCTCCACCGGATAATATTTTGCAAAGGATAGCAAGACATATGAATCGGGCAAAGGAAAAGGTTTGATTTTCATCGTTTTCAAATTGGCTTCATTTGTTTCTTTGGAAAATATGAGAATCTTATTGTTGAATAGTTTCTAGTTTGAACCGGGGCTAAATTCTTCAAAATGTCACCACATGTCTACGAGCGTGCTAATTCAGAGTTTGAGGTTCAAAAGTTCCTAATACATCAGGGGAGTTCCCTTAACTTTTGGGTCTCTTTGAATAATAGTCTTTAAGGCTCAGGTGGGCATTTTTTTACCCACTGCTCCAATTTTTTTCATAAATATTTACTAGAAAAATATGTAATCCTCTTCTAAAAAGTATTCACAATTTTGGGGAACTAGTTCTAGTGAATCTTCTTCCTCTCATGTTTTTTTTCCAATTTTTCTAGCCACGACCGCGTTCGTTTGAAATGTCGGCCAATAAAAATGGAATGCTAACAACCAAAATTCGTGTCGATAAACGTCGTCAAACAGAACCAAATGTAGCAGCGACATCATTAATTGTAAATAAGGTGAGATAAAAAAAAATAATACGCAAAAAGATCCTTATCCTCATTCTCTTCTTTTTTTTTTCAGCCATCCGCCGAAAAAACCTGATTGCCATTCTTCATTCCAATTTGCGTATTTTTTCTCTTTTCAAAATCGGGCCATTTCTCCAAATTTTTGTGTGTGTGAATAAAATGATAAATTAACAATTCTTCAACTTTGTGAAAAAGGTTTTCTTGCAAGGAAACGGGACATGTGATTTGCGCTTTTATGAATTATATATCGAAAGTGTGCGAAAAATTGAGGAGCAACGGAGCAAACGATTGTGTCATCATTGAAGGAAGAAGAAAATTGAGAAGAAGAAGAAAAATATAAAAAAAGAAGAAGATGGAATAATTTTGATCAAATGAATACAATTTCGAGAGGGGGTCCTTATTTGAAATTTACTAATGGGAATTTGACTAACTTTTGGTTATTGCTTACTTTCTTTGTCCCTAACTTTTAACGTAAATTGACCTAAAGTTAGTCAGAAAATGACCAAGCTTCAGTTGGCCGAGCTAAAACAATTCCGGAGTCAAAAAAATGTCGTTTGTCAGCCAAAAGCTATAAATTTTCAAGTTCGAACTTCCTATTCTATCACCAGAACTTCAAAAACGTTTCCAAATTACCCATGTTTTCCCATACATTTTCAACGTTCTTAGAAAATGACGAGGAACAATTTCCCACAGACAAAATTGTCTTTTCCCACGACTTCTTATACTAAAAACTACACAAAAATGTGAACTTTTCTGAGCATTTCATAGTTTCCAAACACACACAAAAGCATGCAATTTTCCCACAAAAACAATAACAAAAACTCACTGAAAAGCGATTTCCTGAGTGGTTTTGCGGTGTGCTTCCGATTCATTCGCACCGAAATTTCAAGCCTATAAAATTGTTGTTTTCTATTTTTTCTCAAATAAAAAGAAAAGCTTACATGAATACCATACAAATGAGCATAAGAATACTTTGAGCCAAAAGAGTTTCGTCGAAACGTTTTCCAAACCAAAAAAGGATACGAAGAATGTTGGCGACGCAAAGAGCAAGACAAACGAATAACGAGAAACCAGATGCATTTCGACGATGTAAGATCTCGGCGTATTGGAAGACGTATGGAATTGAACCACCAACTGCAAAAAAATGAGGGGTTGGATTTGGAATTTGCAAAAAATCGGGAGTTTTTTATAATTGAAACTATAAAATTCATTGAAAAATTTGTTCTTGGGATTTTTAATCAACTTTTCGAGAATTAATCGGAAAAATTCAAATTTTCAAATAGACTAGATTGTACTCCAGAAACATAATTGTAAATCCTTGATTTTATGACTGTCTGAATGATTGCTCATTTTAAGTTAGCATGATAAACAATCGGAAATTTGGAGTAGCTCCGAAAAAATGCAAATTTAGATTTCTGGTCCAAACTTTGAAAATGCAATGATTATTTTCTTTTCCAGGTTCAAAATTGTGAATTTCAAGAGTTTTTCAAAAATCTTTCAATTTCTGAACGAATAATTTCTTAATGTTTTTAGCTGAATTTAAATTTTCGACCCCTTCCGTAAAAAATTCCCCCCACAAAAAAAACTACGCCATAAAAATCGCATAAAATTTCAATTATTTTTATGAATCCGTTTGCGTCACAAATTTATACATAATTTCTAATCACCAAAATATTTTAATTTGATTTTGAAACTTTAGTGATCACAGCTCAAAAACTCACCAATAATGAAAAATGAGATGAAAAAGCCGAATGCTGTATACAACCATCGTCCAATATCAGCCCATGGAATCAAGCCGAGACCTTGTCGTTCGACGACAAGCATTGTTGAAGTCTGCAAAAGGAGATTTTCGAGATGAAAATTTGAATTCAAAATAATTTGAACTTGTTAAAACACAACAATCATTTTCCTTTTCAAATGAGTCATTTGGATAAGCGTGAGAGAAATTTCGAAACTTTTTTATACAAAAAAAATATAAATAAATACGTTTCTTCCTAGTTATTTTTTCACAGACGAAAATTGAGAAAAAGAATTTATTAATGAAAAGAATGGGTTGCTATGGGATTAGTAGTGCGTCGAAAAATGAACACAATACCCTTTTAGATTTTTAGAAGTAGATATGAAAGTTTTTGAAAAATATATTTTTTATTTATATATTTATTTTTTTTGGTTGACATGAATGAGAAAAGCAAATATCTAAAATCGATTTTTCCACGAAAAAAATTTCAAAAAAAAAAACGAATTTATTTGATTTCTGGAAGAAAACTTACAATCAACAAGCACCACAATTTCGACATTTCAAAATTTCTCTATTTTTTGTCTGTGTGCGAAATAAAATCGATAAATGTTTGTTGTTGTCAAAAATTGGGAAAAAATTGATGATTCAACTAAAAATGTTGCATTTTCTCTGGGGAAAACTACTGATTGTCATCATAAAAAAATGATTTTGATTTTTTTGGTTTGGAGAAATTAGATAAGGAATAGGAATATTTGAGAGAAGCGTAAGTGACGGTTTTTATGGGTTTTTCGGTTGACGAGAAAAAAATCAAACCAAATTCGAAGAATTATTTGATCGAATTAGAAAAAATTTCCAAAAGAATCAGAGTTCAAGGATTTTCTTCCAAAGATAACAAATAAACCTATTATGAGTCATTTTTCAAGAAAACTTACTCTTGAAATTTTCAATGAGGCTAAAAATACCATTTTCGAGGATTTTTTTCTTAATTTTCCCTAAATACCTCGGAGAAAAGCCGCAAATTGAGCTGAAAATTTTTGAGTTTCAGCTCAATTTTCAGCATCTCCTCTAGATATTTAGCAATAATGTATGAACATGATCATTTTCAACTTAAAACCCCTTCTAGAATGTATTTACATGCCTTATTAGAAATTTTGAGAGAAATTTTCTTTTTTAGTTTACATTATGAGTCATTTCTAAACTGGAAATCAATTTTCAGAAGATTTTTTGAGAAAACAGTTTTCTCTCTCTTTTCTCCTGGAAAAATCAATGAATTCCTTGCCATTTTTCAGCTGCTTTATCTCACTTTCATTGCGCAAAAAGCTTAGATTTCGGAAAAGATAATAGTTTTTCATTAGCTCAGCTTACGAAACAAGAAAAAAGTGAAATCGATTTTGAAAAAGAGAAATGATAAACGGATAAATAAACAATTGATATTTCTCAGATTTTCCTTTGAGATTTCGAATTTCAAACTAAATAAAATAGAAGTAAATTTCAGGTAATTATTGATTTTTTTTATAAATAGAGAAAAACACATGCAACACAACAACTACACACTTTTCAATGAATTTTTGAAAAACTAAATTATTACAATCAAGCAAAGCATTAGAAAAGAAAACAAAGAAAACTGTTTTCAAACTCACAGCATTTTTTGTAAAAGAAGAAATAGTAGAAGTTGTAGAGTTTTCCATTTTTATCTATATTTGCATTATTTTTCACAGTTTTATATGAATACGAAATAAGAAATGGCGCGAAATCGAATAAAATCGATAAATAATTAGATTATCACGCAACGAATATTATTATAATAAAACAAAAATTTCGCAATGTTATTGTTTTCATCAAAAAAAGTGTTGAGGGAAATTTGATTTATCAACTAACCAACCAAACGTAACACAAAAATGTAATAAACTAACCATTTGATGGAGGGAAATTGAAAATTCCTTGTTTTATCAGGGTTTGACTTTTTCTTCCGCAACAAACAGAACAGTATTGATGGAATAAAAGAAGATGATGTGAAGGAAAAGAAATACGCGAAAAACTGGTGTCTCCGCCCACTTTTAGAACATGACACAAGACATGCGCCAGATCTCTCAACACTGGCGCTTTATTTGTTGGCGCGTTTTAAGTGCGTTGAATTTTTATTTTTTTTGTTCGCTTTTTTGCTCTTGTTTTTTGCTCTAGGACTTTTATTGTTTTTGTTTAGCGATGCAAAGAATTCATAGGGATTTTAGGCGGCAGTTTGAATGCATTTCTAAATGTAGAGAGAGTCACGTATGCAAATTAATCAATTATTTTTCAAATTTCGTTCAAAAATCGATAATTTTGGGATTTTCTTTTTTCTCAGAGAACTTGTGCTACGAATCCGATATAAAAGTGAGCTGTGCGATCAATCGTCTGAAGTAAGTGAGGTTAATTTAGTTCTGCCGCTTAATCGTTAAGATCACTTTGCTACATGATTTATCGCACAATCCACACTGCACAACATTTTTCGGATAGGAGTAGTCGAGGTGTGATAAAAGCACTTTCAAAAAAGTCATTATTTTGTTTTAAAATCATTAAATGAACATGTTTCTCTTTGTAAAGAGTTTCATCATAATTTTAGAGACGAACTAAATTCCCAAAATCCCAATTTTATCCCCTAAAAAAAGTTTATAATCTATTTAAAGAATCAGGAAACTGCGTCATATTCGAATTACTAAAATCCAATTTATCAACGAAATTTCATTGAAAGAAAACTGATGTGCCTTTCTTTTTCATATATTTTTTGTGCAAACAGAAAAAAACTAACAAAATACAATTATAGAAAATCAGGCACACAAAAAAAAGAGAAAGATGTTCTTCCGCTAGAAAAAGCAAAAAATGGGGGGAGATAACTGGTGTATTGATTTGAGCCCAAAGTAGGCGCAAAAATATGGGGGTCGCTCGGTCACCTTATTCAAATATTTACACATACACACAAATATAACCCTCTGAGTTGAGTCATTTCGACAAAATGGGAGACTTTAGACATAGTAAGTAACGAGAAAAAAAAGAACGAGGAAATTAATTTAGTTTACTTACTCGTGATGTTTTTGTTACTTTGAAGTGTATTTCAACTTTAGTTGTGAAAAAAGGAGAGAATATGAGGTTCAACTTAAATAAATTGGGTTTCCAAACGGAAGACAATAAAGCAGCAAAACGTACACATAACTGAGAAGCTGAAAAATGCGAAAAAATATTGCAAGCGGACAAAAAAGAGTCGAGCAGGCAACATTTTTTCGAACGCTTCTATGTGTTTTTTCAAATAAGCATTCAAGTTTTTAGCTGTCACTTTTTTTGCAAAAATAAGTGTCTAGGGATATGTTTTTAGTCTATAGTCTATAGATAAAAACATTGAAAAAGAATCGATTGAAAATACACTCAAAAGTAATTAGGAAGTCTATTGTTGACCCTCGAAAGTTTTTTTAGTGCTTGGGAAAAAGTACATATACATGTGCATTTTATAGCGGAAAACTAAAAAAAACATAGCTGCACTTTTTTTGATGATGAAGAGAGGAAGAATATTAATTCCTCGAGACCCATTAATCCATACCAAAAAATAATTAGAATAAAATTATTTTAAGAAAGAGGAAGCATCTAAATTATAGTTGGGCATATTTTTTGTGCAAGTGAGTTGAAAGTTTACGCTCGTATTCATAGGGTAGACAGGTCGAACGACTAAAAGTCGCTAAATCACTAAGGAGTTCCATAAAGTTGGATAAATTATACCATTCAAACTGTCTTAGGCTTGTCTATCCTATGAATATGATCAGAGTGTAAGGTTCTAAATCACTTGCACAAAAAATGAAAATGTCATGTAGTCGATGTCCAAATTTAGACACTATTTCCTTTTTTGCTGACAAGCTAAAAGAAATTTGAAAACAAAGAAGCTATCCATCTTCTGAAAGTGCACCCTTTCTGTTTTTTCCAAATACGGAGGAAAAATTGTTTTCGTTTAGTTTCAAGAAAAAAAAAAACAAATTGTAGTGTCTTTAGAAAAAATTCCAAGTGAAAAAAGAAAAAATTGCTGAATTCGAACAATAGTTTTTGTTTTTGTTCCAAAAAAATGCGACAAAAAATTAATAAATATAAAAATTGTACGATTCTTGTTTCGTAATTCATAATTGGGGAGCGAAAATAAGGGATATATTTATTCTATTTCTATTTTGGAAGAAGAAAAAGAAATCGAATTGAAAATTGGAATGAAAAATGAAATTTCACTTTTCTCTCTGCGTCTCCTATTTACTTTATTATTGAAAGTACGCTCTATCGAACTGTCCCCCACAATTTTTTGTTCGCTTTTTTTTATTCGTTTCGTTATATTTTTTCGATTCAATCCTAATAATCATTATTTTATAGGGTAACAAAATGGTGAAAGCAAGAAAAGAAGGAAAAGTCAGCAGAAAGCTGAAACAGAAACCAGATTATGGACCGGTTAAAAATCGACACACTTTCCGTGGTTCGAACCACAGTATGAATCCAGGTTAGTGAAGTTTTGATTTCTCAAAATGACGTGGGATTTTTGATGAGGCAAAAATTATAATGAATTATTTTTGCAGATCGTCCAAAAGATGCCAAAGATGGAAGTCAACGTTCAAGAGCGACTATCAATCGTTTGAGAATGTATAAAAGTTTCAAACCAATCAGAGATGCAAAGGGAAAAATCTTGAAAGCAGCTCCATTCCAAGACAAATTGGCGCATGGAACACAAGCCAGAATTGAGCCAAATAGAAAATGGTTCGGAAACACTCGAATCATTGGACAAGAACAATTGCAAAAGTTTCAAGAAAATCTCGGAAAAGTGATGAAAGATCCATTCCAAGTTGTCATGAAACAAACAAAACTACCAATTAGTTTGCTGCAAGAAAAAGCAAAAACTCAACGAGTTCATGTCACTGAAACGGAAAGTTTTGAATATACATTTGGAAAGAAATCATTGAGAAAGAAGGCGAAATTGAATGATTCGAGTTTGGAAGAAATGACAGCAAGTGCAAGTGAAAGAGAATCCAAATATAATCCCGAATTGGATTTGAGTTTGCATAAAGATATTGATGAAAGACCAGAAAATCAAAATCCATTGTTCAGAGCAGGACAAAGTAATCGAGTTTGGGGAGAATTATACAAAGTTATTGATTCGTCAGATGTTGTTGTTCAAGTTGTTGATGCTCGTGATCCAATGGTAAGATTTCATATTACTGAATTTATTTTTACTCAAATATTGTTTCAGGGAACTCGTTGTCGTCACATCGAAGAATTTTTGAGAAAAGAAAAACCACACAAACATCTTGTCACTGTTATCAATAAAGTTGATTTGGTTCCAACTTGGGTTACTCGAAAATGGATTGCTGAAATTTCAAAAGAAATGCCAACAGTTGCATTCCATGCTTCAATCAATAATTCATTTGGAAAAGGAGCTGTTATCAATCTTCTACGACAATTCGCTAAACTTCATCCAGATCGTCCACAAATTAGTGTTGGTTTTATCGGTTATCCAAATGTTGGAAAATCATCATTGGTTAACACTTTGAGAAAGAAAAAGGTGTGCAAAACTGCTCCAATTGCTGGAGAAACAAAAGTATGGCAATATGTTATGTTGATGAGAAGAATTTATTTGATTGATTCACCTGGAGTTGTTTATCCACAAGGAGATTCCGAAACACAAATCATTTTGAAAGGAGTTGTTCGAGTTGAGAATGTTAAAGATCCCGAAAATCATGTGCAAGGTGTATTGGATCGAGTTAAAATGGAACATTTGAGACGACAATATGCTATTCCGGAATATGAAAATGTTGATGATTTTTTGACAAAGATCGCTGTCAAACAAGGAAGATTATTGAAAGGAGGAGATCCGGATTTGATGGCTATTGCAAAATGTGTTTTGAACGATTTCCAACGAGGAAAATTGCCATATTTTGTTGTTCCACCAGGTTGTGAGGAAAGAGCAAAGAAGGATTATAATGGAGCACCGATTAATGAAGTTTGTGCGGATGAGGATGAACAAGTTCCACCAGAAGCGCAATTGGAAATGGATGATTTAGCAAGGGTTAGTGGAAATTATAGGTTTTGAAAAAATTGGATTTTTATTTCTATTCTCATTTTCAGGATGAATTGGCAAACAAAGATGACGACGAAATTGTTGATGATGAAGAGGAAGAAATGACTGAAATTGGATCAACTTGTTCTGGACTTACTGATTTATCAGGAATTAGTGATTTGGCTGAAGATTTGCCAGAAGGAGAAGATGAAGAAGGACCATCATCATCATCATCAGCTCCAGAAAAGAAAAAAGAATTTGCGAGTGTTCGAACACGTGGAAAACGAGGTGGAAAGAAGGTGAACAAGGCAAAGATTGCTGGAAAAACAATCTCGGAACATGCATCGGGAAAAAAGCAGGGTGTTGTTGAATTTGCGAAGAAAAGTGGCGAGAAACAGAATATGTGGAGAAAGAAACTCGAGAAACGTAGAAAAGTCAAACATCAAAAATAAACTGAATTAATTCCATTCTCAAATATTTTTGTTTCGGTTTCTGAAAAGCTTTTTTGTTGAATTTTAATTGTTTTCATTCATCTTATTATTTTTTTTTGTTAATTTTTTCTTTCTAAATTTGTTGAAACTTCTTATTATTCTTTATTTTATTTAAGAAAAAATGTGGTTTCGAAGCCATTCTTATATCTTCGATTAATATTTTTCTCTCCGGCTTCTAGAAAATTGTCGATTTTTTCTAGACAAACATGGATGATGCGACAACGGCGTGTGAAGATCTTAAATTTTTCGAAAAACGATTGACAGAGGTCATCAATTATATGGGACCGACTTGTACAAGGTGGAGAAGTGAGTTTGGATAAGATGTTTTTATCAAGCATAAAATAACTGGAAATTTTTTGATTTTATTTTCAAATTTACGAAAATCACAGAAACATGAGCTCCAAAGTTCGAAAAATCTATAGATCCGGTCCCAAAACAAGTCTATAACTAGTCTCAAAGAAGATTTCGTGAAAAAACTGAATAGTGGAAATTGATCACCGAGTTTGATTTAGTAGAAAATCTTGAAGAAATGAGAAATTCATGATTTTTCCAATATGAAAAAGGATACTGTAATGTTGTGTTAAAAATACTTTTTTTTTTTGAAAAAAGCCTTGAGATCTCTTTCTAGAAACCTCAGATTTCTTACATTTTAGCCTTATGCTCAAGAAATAATTTCAAATCTCTCGAAGTTCCAAAAATTTCCAGTTCCACCTGTCCTATTCTCATTTTTTTCTCTAACTCAATTTTATCTAATATTCATCCTTATTCCTCATTTTTCATCGCTCTCAATTTTACAGTTTCAGTCGCAATTGTGGTGGTCGCAGTGGTGATTGGTGTAACGGGAACAAAATGGATGACAAATACCGAAGTCGAAACGGTAAATCAAACTTTCATTTTTTTCGAAATAAAATAATGATTTCATAATTTGCAGATGACATTAAGCCATTTCCTTTTGACCGCCCATCTTGATTTCACTGTATGTATAGTTGTTGCTGTTTTGTTGTTTGGCGTTTTTGGTGTGCATCGGAGAGTTGTCGCCCCAACGATGTAGGTTTTTATTGATTTCGAAAATATTTTTGACAAAGTTTGACTCTTTGAATAACATTATGTTATCAGAAAAAAAAAATCTTTTCCACGTCATAATAATTTTCAAAAGAATTTCCAGTGATTTCTGATAATATCATATTTATCACCCTTTCTACACACAAAATCTTTTTTTCCAGAATTGCTCGAAGATGTCGAGATGCATTATCACCGTTTAGTTTGAGTTGTGACCACGTGAGTTTTATTTTTCCTCCCTTAAATTTCCGATAACTGATTTTCGTTCAATTTTCAGAACGGAAAACTGATAGTAAAACCGGCGATTAGGAATTCAGCTCCCTAAACGATATACAAAATTTTGCAAATTATTAAACATTACGTGTACTATATAATTATTACCAATTTTCCAAAATAAAATAATCAATCAATCGCTTTATTGATAATTTGATGCTCGTACAATTTTATGCAATTTTGTTGCATTTTCCTCTTCGTCCATTTCAATCATTATTGATTTTTGTCTTTCTGTTTTGTCATTACTCACTTGTAAAGAAGATTATAAAAAAGAACAGTTGACAAAGTTTATCAAAAATAAAGGAATTACTGATTAGGTCAGCATTGGAACTTCGGTGGAACGGCTTGTTTTTGGATGTTTTTGAGAAATGATTCGTAGCTATCGGTGACATAAAAATGGGAAGAATTGCAATATAGATTTCTTCCTTTACAATCCTCGCCAATCGCAACGTCATCGCCAATCACTGTGAACGTGTTCACTGGATACGTTGCCTGAAATTAAACATTTTCTCTCACCACCTCCCTATGATAAAAAATATTACGTACCCGAACGCGTGCAAGAATGCTGGTCGCTGACTCGTTGTCGCCTCGTGGTACATATGGATAATTAAGTGGATGAGAATTCGGCACATTCTTCTGAAATTACAAGCAAATAAACAAGATTCCTCTATTCTTTATTACCTTTTGATTAAGACGATACAAGAGATTGCCCGACTTGCATAACTTTCCTTCTACACGCCACTCGCATTGGAGATGAACGCATTTGGAAGAATCGTAGAGAACAACGAGAATGGCTGAAGTAGTTGGAAGAGCCGCAATCAAAAACAGTAGTTGAATCACACGTTCCATCGCTCCATACTGACCCCCAGTGTCCACATCTAGATAGGCGGGGCAAATTACTGTCCTTCTCACCAATTGACCTCACCCTTTCACCAATTGACCTCACCCTTTCACCAATTGACCTCACCCTTTCACCAATTGACCTTACTATGAGATTGTGTTGATAAGAAGAGACATGTCGAGAGTTGGATAATACATTTGATAAGATTGTATTTTGAAAAAAATTATTTTTTTTTTTTGAATTTGAGCAATGTTTATTCCACAAAATGATATGAAAAATTCCAAAAAAAAAATCGAAAATCCGGAAAGTATCAAATTTTTTGTTTATGGTGCTCAAATGAGCCCGAAAAGTTCAATTATTGGTCCAAAAATAAAATAATCAATATTTTTATTGATAATTTGATGCTCGAACAACTTTATGCAATTTCGTTGCATTTTCCTCGTCGTCCATTTCAATCATTATTGATTTATGTCCTTCTTCTAATATTATTGGTCTTCTGTCGGATTGAGGAGGAGTGTTTGTTGTTTTGAGAGCGCTTGTCTGAAAATTAATAAGAGCTGAAATTTCTAGAATTTTTTGTGAGCTCCAAAAAATTCAGAGACGTCTTCAAGGTCCAGAAACAGTTTTTGTTTCCTCTAAATGCCTAGAAAGTCATTCTCACCACAGGTTTATCCTGTATTTTCTGTTCCATTTTCTTCATAATATCCCGAACATCTTGTGTAACAATAATTGATTGATTATATTCTTCATTCATTTCATCCATCGCCATTTTCTTCGCATTTTCAGTCAAAGGTCTTTCAATCAATAAACTAGCTCCGCCTTTTTCTTTCAATGCTTTTACTATTATATTTTTACACGTCAAATTATCCTCAACTTTTATTCCTTCAATATCGATTATTCGATCGGATACCAATAATAATCCACCAACTATTGAATCTGTAAAAATGGATTGAAGTTGGAAAAAAGAGATGAGATAACCTACTATCCTCAACTTTTTGCACAAAAATAGTTTTGGAAACATTTTTGATAGCTAATCCAAATTTTGTTCCGGGTTTATTTGGAATATTTACAATTATATAATCGAAACCAGCTTTTCGATCTTTTTCCTTGATGTTTTTATCGCGATTTGGAGGATATGAGGGATCCGGAGCCTGAAAATTGATATTTGAGTTTTCGTTATTTTCTGGCCAAAAACCTACATTTTCTTCATTATTTTTCACTTGTTGAACTTGTGATTCATCTTTTTTCTCTCCTTTTTCTCCTGGATCTGACATTTTCTCAGCTTTTTCCTCGAGTTCTAATGATCTTCTCGGCTGCGGATTCTCCTCATTTCTCCGAACTTCGGTTTTTCCAGGTTTTGGTGATAATTGTCTTTTGATACTTGATTTTTTGGTTGTTCGAATTGGCGAAACTGCTTGATGTTCTTTCTTTTTTATTTTCGCATTTTTTGGATTCTGGAATAGAGGTTAAAGTTCAGTTTTTCCCGAGTAAAAACTGAATTAATTGACTCACAATTTCTTCCAGCGAATTTTTTCTCATCATTTTCTTCATTTTTTTGATGTTTTCTTCCACTTATCGGCTTCATTGGCTTCACCAAAACAGTTTCTTTCGATATTTTCAAATCTACCTTTTTTGAAGTTCTTTTTGGAGTTGTTGAAGGAGATGGTGTTTTCGATTTTGTTAGACTCATTTTATAAACTATTTATTAGGAAGGTATCATTTAGAAATGATTAATTTTTCATTTTTTTTGGATCGAGTTTGGAACGTGAAAATTTTTATTTTGAAAATATCCGTGAAAAAATTTTTTTTGAGAAAATTTTTTATTCAAAATCCCTAACTGTAAAAGTGCTCCGATCAGATTTCGAAATCTTAGCGACTTTCACAAAAATAGTTGAAGGTGCTGGTGGTTTTTTCGAATAACAACATCTAAAAATAGTATAAAATAGTTCTCTTCGAGTGCTCGAAATTCCAATAATCGATGAAAATGGTGTTAAAAATGGGCCGAGAAATGTTGTTGCATACCAAGTTGTGGAAAATGATTTGGGAAGTGGAATCCCGAAATAAAATTCGAAAGATCCTAATAATAATGGGAGAGATACTAAAACTGGAACTATTGATTGGAATAATAAACTTTTGGTTAATTGAACACGTTTTGTTTGGTTTTCTGAAAAATTCAATTTTTGAGAGATCTAGGAGATTCAGGGAATTTTCAAATTTTGATTTCATCAACAAAAATTATCAAAAATTTTAAATCAAAATTTGGAAATGATTTTAAAAAAACTTACGTTGACTATTTTCCCTCTCAAAATTTTTCACAAAATTCAAAATCACAAAGTTCATAAAAATTGCGAAGAAATTGAAAAATAACGTGCTAAAGATCTGAAAATCCCAGATTTGTTTTCAGATTTTCAAAAAATAAATCTCTTACCCTAACAAGTTCCATAGTGTTACTAAATCTCAAAACAAAACAAACATCATTTTTCTGATTTTCTCCCAATGGAAAATTGAGAAACGCATAAATTGTAAAAATTAAAATAACCAAAGTTTGAACAAAAATCACGAAATGAACTGTTGGGCTGCTTTTTAGAACAACTGTTCGATAACGATAAATTGAAACTGCCTAAAAATCATAGAATTCAGGTAAATCTAGAATTTCGATAAAAAAACTCACAAAAGGTAAAACTTGATAAGCTGAAGTTGTTGAACTACAAAAATTTTTGAAAAATGAGCAAGTGAATACTGTGTACATTGGCTCGTTTCCGAGTTGGAGATTTATAACCATCCAAAATTGGAATAAAATTAAAGGGATATTTACTAAAAGACTTCCAGTTGTCACAAATACAATTGTTGACTGAAAAAAGAAGGCTCGTCTCAAAAAGTGAACTATGAAAGAACTTTTAAAAAATGACTACAGTAAACTAAATCACTGATGCCTTCTTCAAAATAATTTCAAATCCAAACCTTCAAAGAATTCCAAATATTTCTCTTGAATTTAACAAATAAAAATAGGAGAAAATTCAAGAACCAAGATGTAAAATTCAAGCCGAATTCTACAGTAATCCGATCGCGATAAGACATTGGAGTATAAGTTAGATTTGTGAGAAAATATGAAGAAACTGCTGGAATAGAATCACTTGACATCTGAAACCTAGAATTTATTTTATTTTATGTGGAAAAAATATGAGTAGAGAGGGAAAGATTTATTGTTTCTATGGAAAAACGGGAGAAGCAAATCTTGATCAGGGTAATTGAATTTTCTAATCGAGAAAAAATGATTTCCTTGAACTACAAAGATAAGTTGGAACCAGAACTGGAACTTTGGAACTTAATTTATATATTTTTTCTGCAAAAAAAATGACTGGCGGTGAGTTGTTTCAATGATTTTTTTTTCATGACTAAGTTTTTCAGAAGTCTGAAATTTAAAGCTCAAAACTTCTAGAACTAAAAAAATTCATCAGCTTCAAAAAGCAATCAAATTGCGCGCAACAAAAGACAACATCAAGAAACAAATCATATTTGCAAACTAGAATGTAGTCCGAGAACCCAGAAATTAAAAAACAAAACACAAAAACGCGAACAAAAATTTTTAAAGCCGGCCACTCTGACACACATTTTTGTGTATGAATTGTGTGCCAGGATTGCAAACTAGCCACGCCCACTTTTTCTGCGCGGAATATAATTTTTCAAAAATTAAACTTACGAATTATTTGAATTTTGAAACATACCCACACTCTTTTTGCAACCCTGGCATATTTTTTTCAAAATGTGTAAAACCCTTAAGAATCACCGTACTTTTCGAGCTACCGTTGTGGGACAAATAAAACCGTGAACCAAAAATGTTTAAATTTAGAAAATGTTTGCAACCTGGGCACTTTTTCTTGTGTATAAATTATGTGCCAGGATTGCAAAGAAGCCCCACCCACTTTCTGCGCGGAGATACATTTTTCAAAAAAAAACTAGGATTTTTCTAAGTAAGCATTGAAAAGTGTCAAAAAAACTGCCAAATTCTAGACAACAAAAAAAATCACATAACCTGACTTTATTATTTGTTTTTTCATCGACTCATATTTTTTATCAAATTATCCACGTGTTTACTCATTCATTTTTCGGGAACCAAAAATTGCTGTTTTTTGCTGTTGCAACTTCTGACTAACAGGAATTCAGTAAATTTTTTATTGTTGAATTTCCAAATTTTTAGATTTTTTCATAGAAAAAATGAAGAAAAATAAATATTTAGGGGATCACAAAATTTGGGTGAAATTGGGGTGAAATAAGAAGAAGAGATCAAAATTAGTCATGGGTTCCTATCACAATAATATTTCTTCAAAATAAATATGTATATAATTTGTTTTCTTTTGTTTTTTTTTTACATATCCGGAATCGCAATTCGCATTTTGTACAGAAAATTGACGATTGATTCGTAGAGTTGGGTTGATCTGCGACTCTCCAAACCATCCGACAGGCATTTGACTGAAAAAATGTTAGAGTTTAGAAAAGTGGTAGAGTAGATAAAAAATAAAACAAGTTTTTTCGAACCGCGATGCTCACACGCAACGCGTCTCAATTCATTTCAATATAAAACTTACACTGTCTCTCCAATTCATATTGTTCATTTGGTGTACAATGCGATCGAGTTGCCACGATTTTTTTGACTGCTTTTTTCGGAACTTGATTTTTGACCACTCGAGAATACAATTCGGAAACTTCGGCTGTTAATTGACGATAAACATTTCGACATTGTGCACGGTTTGCGGCCATCATTATTACACGCACTGGAAAAAAAATGTTTTTGGGGGATTTGGAAAAAGAAAGTAACCGGCAGGCTTCTGCTGTGGATTACAATTCATATTACACGTTCTACTTGAAATCTACGTGCCCGCTTAGCGGAAGATTGAGTATACTAGTAATACACTCACCACACATTTCAAATTCCTCCACCAAAGTCTGATCAAACGGTTTTGTTGCAGGAAGTGGCATTAATTGAGAAGGCATTGGTAGATCATCAAAAACACCTTGTCGTAAATTTGGTGCACTTTGTTGGTGTTGAAGAAGGCGAGTATGATGAGGAAGGTGATGATGATGCATCAAAAGAGGGTTGGGCTGAAAAAATTTTACTTGGAAATTAATTAAAAGCTGTATTTAAATCTTACTGAATGCAAAGGTGAATTCATTTGGAATGGTGACATTTGATAAGCAGCCGATTGTGGAGAATTTCTTTGTCCCTGATTATTTTGTGAATATTTTGTCAATGGTGGCGACGCCTTTTGTTCAGGTGGCGAATGAATTTCGCCAAATCCATTTGTGACATTCGAAGGAGATGGTCCGAATGGATTATTTGGATTAAAAGAGCCATTTGTTGTGTCGGCTCCGAGAATTGTGTCGATTTCATCGGATGACATTTCGAGAGCCAATTCGGATTTTCGTTTTTTCAATTTTTTCGCACCATTTTCTTCGGTTTTTGGTGGTTGAGAATGAGGATGGAAGGCTTCGGCTTCGATGCAGATTTCGTTGAAAAGCGATGAGATTCGGGAACGTTCTTCGAGCGAACTGCAAACAAATATTTGGGAGATGATTTTTTTTGAATAAAGAAAAAGTTGAAAATATTGTTCTGAAATCAAAAATAAAAGGACCGATAAAGTACTGATTATCTCAAAAAAACCGTATAATTAGCCACGTCATAACTTTTCTCTAGATTTTTTCTGAATACGAGATAAACTAACTTCAATGAAGCTGCGATATGGTAACAAATTATGACGTGGCTTTTGGCATACTGTACAGCTTTTTTTGCTTCGAAAAAATTTAGATTAGCTACTTCAAATCAAAAGTTTCTAAAACACGTGGTTTTTGGAGTACTGTGCAGCTTTTTTATATTTCAAAAAAAAATTTAACTACAGTAATCCCATGTCCAAAAATCCCAAAACATTTTGGAGCCTCGGACTCTGCAGTACTCTGAGATCTCCCCAAAACTCACCAATTTTGCTCAAAACTCAATTGCCTCGGCATAACAATTTGTTGATTTTGAGTTGGTGTCATTGGTGCAGGCGCCATTGACATTGGTGGCGTCTCCTCATCAACTGGCTCACTTTTTGGCTCCAATTGATTCTGATCTGGCGGATCTTCTCGACAATGTTCCATTGTCAACATTTTCCTTCTAGATTTCTCGAAAACCTATTGAAGTATAAAAATATTATATTAATAAGAAGGAATAGGAATAAAAGTGTATAGTTGAGAGAAAAAGTTGGTACAAAAATGTAGTCAAAAAATAATAAGAAAAGCCAAAAAAAATTGGCTCTGAAAAAAAGAAGATAATCCTTAATGGGCTCCGCCCATTCGTGGCAACAAGAAGGCGAAAAAATCACCAGGGAAACGAAGAAAAACTGTTAAATACATACATAGAAGATATACACTAACTCTGTCTTTTTTAAGAAAAAGAAAGAGGAAATTAATTATTTATTAAAAATAAATATATAAATAGAGACCTTGGAGAAGAAATCAATTTGAGCTAGAGAAAAAACTTGAAAAAAATATTTGAAAAGTGATAATTTGATGATGTCACGTGTGTGTTAATTTATTGATAAGAAACAAACAAGAAACAAAGTTTCGGGGAGGGAAAAAACAAAAAATAGATTCAAGCGGTAAGACTCGCAATAGGGCGCATTTGTAGAATTTCAAATTCGGTGGATCTATCTTAGCTAAAAATTCAAATTTTCTCGAGAAACGCGTGATTTGCCATAGAGCGCAATTTCAGAAAAAAAAGTTTTGATTTTTGTCAAGCACGCTCTATGGCAAATCACGCGATTTTGTGAAAAATTCAAATTTAGCTGGGATCCCGGCTAGTTTTTGAAACTTTTTTTTGAAAAAAAAAGCGAAATCCTAATAAAATTCAAATTTCGTGGAAGATTTTTCAGAAGGAAACTTTTCAAAACAAAAATTAACATCAAAGTTAGGCCCGCCCAGGAAACTCCTAAATTATTCGAAATAAAAATTTCGCAAAACACAAACACACAAATGTATTTTATAAAGATAAGACAAGTGTCGACAGATGTTCTCAATCGATTTTTTCCTCTAAAAATTTCTTTTTTTTTCTAATGTAAGGAAAAAAGAAAAATGAGATCAAAAAATCTTGGTTGAATTTAGCCAAAACGAAGAAGATTATGACGAAAAATAAAAATACACATGTGTTTTCGATTATCTTCTTCTGTTTTTCCAGTTGACGTAAATCTTCTAATCCGAATTGGTCATCACAAAAAATAAATATTATCTACTTATGTTAACGCGAAGTCGCAAAAGGACGTGAAAAACTGAAATCGTCGCGAGACCTCCATTCGAAAAACGTGTGCGCCTTTAATTTTTTATTTTCAGCTTCTAATTTTTTTTTTGAGAAAGCGTTTCAGAAACAAGTAAAACAATCAGATGGTCTTTTCAGTTTTGCCTCAAAATTTTTAAAAGTAGAGAGTTAGCCTAAGTTAAAATGAAATAAAAAATGGAAAAAAAAAATGAAAAATTAGAGTTAGAATGGAAAATAACAGGTTTTGCTGAAACATCAAATTATTTTTTTTTGAGAGGAAATGGAAATGTCGAAAATGCTGGAAATGTCATAAAAACCCTGTGATTGGAAGAGATCTCAGAATATTTTTTGCATCTCAAAAAATTTCCATGGCGTAATTCCCCTAGGTAAATCCATCTATAAATAATCATAAGTAAGTACAACCCCGATTTAGATTCGAAAAACAACGTAAATAGTCTTATCCCACGTTAGTTTTCACCTGCGTGCGTCAAAAAATCTGACGTCACACATCGAAATAGTGAACGCATTTAGCAAGCAGGAAAAATGTGCAGGGATGGCCGAGCGGTCTAAGGCGCCAGACTCAAGCTATTCGCTTGCCTCAGGTTCGAGGTCACATGGGTGTTCTGGTACTCGTATGGGTGCGTGGGTTCGAATCCCACTTCCTGCAGAAAACTTTTTGGACTTTTTTTCTAATAAAATTTGAAAAAACGCTGCTCTCACTCAATTAGATGAGTATTTAACTTCCAATAAAAAGTGTCAGGAGCAAACAAAACATAACAAAAAGACGAAAAAAAGAGTAAGTGAGAAAGAAGAAGAAAAAAGAGCAGCAATAGTTTATGGCAGAAAAAAAACATGGGAGGAAAAAAGAAGACAGCGAGCAGGCAGAAACCAACCAGAAGGAGTGGAAAGCATGTCATGAGAAGAAGAAAAAAGAAAAGAGAGAAGAAAAAAGCAGGTGAACCTTGTTTTTTCGAGATATGCCGGTAAAAAATAACGATTCATGTAAAAAAAAAACTTTTCAAAAAACGGAAGGAGATCAATTAAAACAGTTATTCTCTTGCAGATGGACTTGCTCCAGGAGTCAGTAATTCGGGAGTTCCGGGAAATTGATCAAGATTCATTTGATCGGGAATTGTTGGGAATGATGGATCAGGAAATGGTGGGGTCTGCAAAAAAAGAAAAATTTTGAAGAATTGTATTGGATATTTAAATAGACACTTACATAAAATGCATTATTTCTTTGAGCACTTGTTGGTACGGAAAGTGAACTTGGTTGAACTGAAGAAGCAGCTGACTGCAAAAATTGTATTTTAGTATTTTGTGGGTACAAAATGTGTTTTCAGTATTGATTCTCTATTTTGACTTCTCATACCCTTTAATTAGGAATTTTCTTAGAATTGTATAAAATGTGCAATTAGTGTATTTGCTAAATCGCGTGACACTTTGAAAAATATTTTTTTTTTGAACTTCCACATTTTTTTAAAATAAAAAGTTTGGAAAACAATGTTCCTTGTTCAGAAAATTAATTTCCTGAATCCAATTTTTGCGGATAAAAATAGGTCTGTGTGTTTTTATCTGACATTCTCCATGACGTACATAAAACTGAATTTCAATATTTCAAAAAAAAACAAAAAAATGGAGCTGAAAGAAATTTTCACAGAAAATTTAAAAAATTTTAGGCGTGACCGAACAATTTAGGTGGCCGAGAAATGTCGGCAAAAAAATCAACAAACACGCCCCAATGATAATAATTTTCAAACAATTAGAGCGTATTTGTTTGGTTGGCCGAATATATTTTATATTTTTACTGAAAATGAAAGTTCAATTCATTTTCATTCATCAAAACTTGTAATGTGCCCCTAACCTCAAACAATTTAACCGAACTTCTTACCTTTTCCTCAACATCTTCACTAATTGGAATATGTTCCAAAGCCAATCTTTGTTGTGTTTCTCCAGTCATCGAACTCGATGGTTCTCCATATTTTGTATAATCAACATCAAGATCATTCATTGGTTGCTGAAAATATTCCCACATTTTCTTCATTTTTCTTTTCACTGAAAACTTTTCAAACTCACATCAAAATCAGCCCAATCGGTCAATAAATCTCGACAATTATCAATTGTAAAATCAACGCCATTCAAATAATCCTGAAATTGAAAATTGATATTTAAGATCAAAACATAAAATTTCATTTGTGTGCTTTTAAATAGATCTTTGTTTTTCATTGTTTTCAAAACTAGAATTTAAATTTGGTGAGAAATATTCTTGGAAATTGGATTAAAATGGCTTCAAGTTCTGACCATTTGAACAAAAAAAATGGTTTCCAAAATGATTTGATCAAGAAGATTTGAAGGAAAAATAAAACGAACCTGCAACTCTTGGGAGATTTGTCGTTCCAAAGATGGCGACATAACTAAAGTTGGGCTAAATGTGTCTTGGCGATCCTGAAAATGAAGAATATTGATTAAGGTTACTGAAAAGGATTTTGAGCTTTTCTTCGAGTTTTTGTCATGAAATATATTTTCACAGCTTCAATCTGAACATGAGTTATGACGTGGCAAATTTTAAAAAATTCATTTCGAAAAAAATAAGGTTTTAGAATGTCAGTAAAGGCGCGCTCACTTGACAGGGCTGCTCTCAAGGCGCGAATCCTAGACAATTAGGTGCATAAGGCGCAATTTTGACAAGAAAATCAATTTTTTCGAAAACTCACATAATTATTGGTCGAATTCAAATCATCTTGTTCTCCTCCTCCTCCAGCTCCTCCAGTTTTTTTCGGAGTCAATTGAACCAATTGATTATTTTGCATTTGCTCATTTGGCGGATATTGATATGTCAATTGATTTTGTGGTTGATGGAAAGTTGGAGCTGTTGGATAACCGGTTTGTTGTCTCGATGATGATCTTTTGGGTTGTTTTCGATTGTTCAAATCATTTGGCGATGGAGTTCTTCCAACATTTTCAGCAGTCAATGCTCCACTTCCCATATAAACATTTTGCGAATTCGCCAAATTTCTATTTGGCGCGGCACGATTGAAAGAGGAATTTGATGAATTACTGAAGTTGGAGACTATTGGAACATCGAAATCTTCTGGTTCATCAGCAAAATCATCGAAATTCGAACCATAAGGGCGGGAAGAAGATGGTGGAGAATGTCCAAGTTCATCGGTAACCTGGAAAGTTGGTTTTGAGACGAGGATCGAGAGTAGGATTGGAGAACTCCGTCAAAAATTGAAGAAATTCAGATGAATTTGATAAAACAAATATCTGAATTTTCATGGCGAAAGCTAGATTTTGCGATAAAAATTTGGTGGAAATTTTCAATGAAACCCTCTCCAAATTCCACAAACCTCTGCAATAACAGGTCCTTGATCATTCGAAAATCGTCTAACATAATCTCCATCTTGCAATTCTCTTTGAAGCGATTCCAACATTTCCGACAATTGTGTCGAATTCAAACCAGCCGTATTTTGTGCACCTCCTCCACTATTCGAATCTTGACGTGGTCTCTTTGAGTTCGACGGACCACCATGATCGTCTATAGCCAAAACACCTCTGAAATTTTAAATTGTTTTATAATCTTCTTCTCCTATAATTCTCACCGTTTCAAATTTCTGTTTGGCAAACTTGGTTGAACCATTGAAACCAAAAATTGGAACAATTTCTTAACAACTTGTTGTTGTCTCGAATGTTGATGTCGCATTGTTGACATTTGATCCCACAATTGTCGATTTTCCTTATTCAAAGTGTTCATTTTGTTTTCCATGGTTCGTTGTTTATCTCGCAATGATCGAACTTCTTGCATAACCATTTCGATATTGTTTTGTGTTTGAACAGTTATTTGTTTATCATCGGCTCGAGTTGATTGTTTTCGTTTGATATTTACCATATATTCAGGGTGTGATTGGACAAAAAATGGATGACTGAATTCCAAATGATCCTGATCTGATTCAGTTCGAGTTAATCCTCCTTGATTCAACGGGGTCATTTTACGAAAACCGTCTGAAAGAAGAAAATGAGTAAAATAGGTCTCGAGATAAATTGTGGATGAAACTTGGAAATAATAATTCGACTATGCTGATTACGATCCCGAGGGCAAAAATTGCCAGAAACCCTGGACGAAAAACTCAATTTTGACTTTGGATTTTCATAAAAGTAGTTCACTGAGATTGTGACAATTTCTAACTCCTAGATTAATATCAGCATGACCAAACTAATATTCCCATCAAAAACCAGAAAAACTCACACATATTCAATTGCCGAATCAAACTGTTCAAATTGTTGTGCTTGAAATAATGCGGTAAAACATTTCTACAAAACGAATACGGATCTGCGATATGAAAACTTGCTCCACTCTGAAAAAAAAGGTTTTTTTCTGAAATATCATTTTTCCTTTGAAAAAAGAAACAAACCTCATCCCAATGAACTATCGATTGAATTGTTTGATCCTGCACAATATTCCACAATTTGATCAAGAAAAGTGGAAGCTTTTCCTCGTCAAGTCGTGGTTGAGAATTGTTGGATGTGTTCTGAAACAGTATGTTTCTATTCTACAATACAAAAACACAAAATCTTACGGCGTTATCAAAAGATTGAGCATTTGGAACTTCTTCAATCGAAACTCCTTGTTGATATTGATTTTGTTGTTGTTGTCGATTAGCAGTTGATCTTGTCATCCCATTACTATTTTGTTGTGCAATTCTTTGTTGTTGTGGTGGTTGTTGAATATAAGTAGCCGGAGCTCTCATTCGAACTGGACCTTGCTGTTGTACTTGTTGATAGACTTCTTGTTTTGGCACACGCCCTGGAGCCGCCAATAGTTTTTGTGGATTTTGCTGCTGGTGGTTCATTTTACGTTGAGTTGAGAATACGCGGATTCTGGAAATGTATTTGTTTGAATGGGAATGGTACGCGGAAAATGTAAAGGAAAGCATTTCGAAATAACGAGATGTTGCAAACACGCTCCATTGAGAACTGTTTTTTTTTGTTGAAAAAAGATAAGACTTTTGATCAAAAGGCAAAAGCATCGGACCAGTAAAAAGAAATTGGTCAACGTCTGGTTTGTTGAGAAAAGTTCTGAATCGGACAAATTTTGAAAGGTGATCGGTTAAAAAACTCCCACAAACTTCAACTATGAAGTTCACCGCCGAACATTCTGAGCTAGAAGACCACCCAGTTTTTTCGTTTCACTTGGCCTAGAATCTCATACCTTGGTCTGACCAAAACTCGTCTTTTGACACCATTCGCACCATTTACAGTATAAATTTTGGAATAATCGCTCATCTCAAAAAAAGCGATGATGTTTCGAATGGAAGGAAACAATTTGCAAAGAAAGTGCAAAATTGTTCGTCGTTGTTTCTCGTTTTCTATCTATCCTATATCTATTGTGTCTCTTGTTTTTAAATAGTCTATGCATTTAATAGTAGAGAGGGAGTAGGAGGAGGAGGAGCTGCTAGAGGACAAAACCGAACAAAAAATTGGAAGAAGAAGAAGATGATCGGACTGCTGTTATTATATTCAGCAGATGCATTTGAATATAAAATGTGGTCATCATTACACAATGATTTTTGATGGGTTAATTTTGAAATTAAAATTTGGGAATGAAATAAAATGCGAAAAAGCCGAGGGCATTTGGTCAGACTGAGCAGAACTTATAGTTGGATATCGACTAGATACCATTTTCATAGTTTTTGAGCAAGCGAGTTTGAAATATTTGAATTCAATCTTATTCGTAGGATAGAAATAGTTTTGAAGATTTTACATTACCCATAAGTGGTTAGTCGATTTTTTGTCGAGTCGAACAAAAAATCGTAAAATCACTTATGGGTAAAGTAAAGTCATAAAAATTATATCAATCGAATTGTCTTAAGCCTGGCTATCAAAAATAATTGAATATTTTATTTAGTCGATGTCTATCTAAATTACATGTAGCAGAACGAAAATATTTTTCAAGATATTTCAACTCATAACGAATCCAATTTTAGGATGAGACTCGAATATTTACTAGCACTTTGTTATTTGTCTAATGGATTGAAATTTTGAACAGGATGAAAACAACTTCCCATCAAACCACATTATAAGAAAGAAAAAAAGAACGCCGCCTCTATTCATCAGTTTTTGATAAATAATAGAACTGATTTTTAGATACAAATAATCATCAGAATGATAAACACTCTTTGATGATAAAATAAGTTATTATAATCAAAAACTACATTTCCGGCAGCGCAAAAAATAAAAAGATTTCTGTGTGTTGCGAAAAAAAAATGAAGACTTTTTTTGTGCGACGAACAATGTGCGGTAGAGCGAATTTTCGACATTACATGTGATTTCATAAGACGCTGTTTGTTTCTACTCGTGCACTAATAGAAAAAAATGTTTTGGGATATGGTGATTATTCTGGAGGTCCTAAAAACTTGCGAAAAAATACGAAAATCTGGAAAAAAGTTGAAACTGATTGTGGAAGTATCTCTAAGTCGTTCAAATACTAAAACTATACGTAATTCAATCCTGGATAATCATTAAACACGTCATATTGGCTTCATCTCACCGAAAATAGATTTTCACTTGTTTTCTCGCAGATTGTTTCGTCACATGGGACAAAAACTGTTTCAAAAACAATGAAAAATGGAGGTTAATACCAGATTTGCTAAATACAAAACAATTCAAAACTCACTTTTTGGCTATTTACTTTCTATCCTGTTTTTTCCAAGAAATGTTTTTTTTCGAAAAAAAAAGAAATAAAAAAATGTTGTGCGTACACGGTCACGCAAAAATGCACATTTATTTTTCATTTTTTGTGTTCTACAGTATCCACCAGCGCAAGTCTATAAACCGCAGACAAGCAATACTATGACAAATCCGGTTTGGTTCAAAAAGAGCTCTGAATGAATAGTCTGCTTGTGTGTTGTTTTTCTATTGAAATGGCTGCCGAGTGCTCTTTTTTTGCGCGCGCCACCGATTGCAACTCAAATAACAACATCTTCTGTTGGGCTGTTCTGAAGACTCTTCACAGTTATCCAATAGATTTTAATTGTAATATTATTATTAATCTATAGCAATTATTATAAGTATTATATATGTTTTTGTTTACTTTAGCTTTTGACACTTTCACGACTTTTTATTATTTATGGTTGGCTGGTTTGTTATAAAATTGTATTATTGATTGACGGTTTTTTCTTTGAAATACCATAAGTTTTTGTGTGAATTAAGGTTTTTAGAGAAAAAATATTAGGAAAAATATGTCGTATGATTTTTGAAGTAAATTTTCAGATGTTCGAAATCTCGAAAATTTTATATAAACTTTTTCAAAATAAATAAACAATTCAAAAGTTTATTTTTCGAAATCATTCCTCCTCATTTTTGCAAAGTGTGTAATTAAGCACCCTAAATTACTAGACCTCAAATTTTTCAAAAAACTTTCTAGTAGATCAAAAATATTTTTGTTCTCTAAACCTCTCGTCGAAAATGAATCATTATTTGGCCCCAAAGTACACCACATTTAATTTCCAAAAGTTATTTTTGATTCCCTTTAGTAGCATCTCCTTCGACCAAAGATTTAATTATGTTTCATTTTCATTTTCGCCCGCCCGCCCGAAAATAGGATTATTCAATAATTGAAACAAATTTTCATTTTCACTTTTCTCATGCACCTAATCATATTTATCAAAATTCATTTTCAATTATTGGAAAACCTGAATTTTCTTGGATGGATCAAAACAATTTTGACCCTGTTCATATTCAATAATAATATTATATTATGAACAACACAAAACGAGAATTGAATATTCTCTTCATATTTTTCTTCTAATAAATAAATATCTTTTTCACTTTCATTGCGTAATTTCTTCATCTGCGTTCGCTCCTATTTTTAAATAACAATTTCTGAATTTCTATATTTTCTCGAAACATTTTGAATTCTGATACACTTGACATTTTTCACTTTTTTCCCCAATACAAAAAAATGAATAATTAGGTCTATCCTTTTCATATTTTTAATCCAATTAATGAAGTTATAACTTCTCAAGGTTGCCAACACTAAAATCTTGTTGGATTATTTTTCAGGTGTTATTTAGAAAAATATTTTTTGCGATTTATTCCAACCTGATTTTTGTTGGAGAATTGCATTTTGAATTTTTCTTTTTTTTTTTGAAATTCCTAACTTCAGGGTTTTGGCAAACTTGTGAGTATTTCAGGCTTTTTGAGTACTGTAGATTTTTGAGAATTTTTCCAGTCTTCATTTTATGTTTGTAATTCCCAATCACTTTCCATTCCGAAAAAAATCTACAGTACACTTGGGTTACTATAGATCTGAAAATATATTTCGAAAAGAATAGAACTCGATTTGGATCCACAAAATCTGAAAGTTCCAAATTTCTCCTAACCAAATTTTTTGGTCTCGAATCATTTTTCAATTTCAAGTTTCCGGAATCAATTTCGACCAATCACTTTCTTTTTCATTTCTGTTTCAATTCCACTTTTCCCTCAAAAAAAAAACAAATCGAAGCGTGTTTTTTTTTTCATGCCAGATAAGGCATTGAGAAAAGGCCGGCCATCAAAATCTCGAATTTATGTTAGAATCAGGTCAATTTTTCTCATCCTCAAAACTAACTGATTTGACCTTGGCGTCATTCTTTTCTAAATAGTTTCGATTTCAATCATCTTCATTTGCATATATTCTTCAATGTATCTTTCTTTCTTTCTTTTCTTCCGATTATTATTATTACTAATAGTTGTCACAAAAACATTCTTTTTTTCTGTTTCCTTCATTTCCTTTTTCTACTTATAAGAGGCATAAAACCTTAATTGTTGTATATGTTATACATTAATCCGGTCTTACACAGTTGGAGGTATTCATTTTCTTAAACCTTTTTTTTTATTTGAAATGTATTTTGTTTTGCAGTGGCCATGAAAAATGTTTCATTGAGGTTTTGATTTATTTTGAAAAAATTGCAAAATTGTGCCACGTCAAAGATATTCCGTAATTTTCAAATTGAAAAAAATTTTCCGAAATTTTTGAAAAATCAGCATAATTTTCATATTGTTCCAATTCAGTGGAAATAAAAATGTATTTTTGTTTTGAAAAAATAAAGAGCGTTTTGTAATTTTCAAATTTTGTTTTCAATATACAGTAACCCAAGAGTACAGAAATCATCGACTAATACGATTGTATGTATCATTAAAATTTTTCGTTAAGAAAATTATTTTACGAAAATTTTGAAACGTAATTTTTCTGGGTCTCATGATCATAGAAAATTCTGATGATAAAAGTTCCCTACAGTAATCCTAAAGTACTGTGGACTTTTTTCCAAATAAAAAAAATCTAGAATCTAGAATACCTTCACCTTCAATTTTGAATCTAATCTGATCTTCTCAATTTTTCAAGTTTCCTGTTTCCCATTTCCCACCTCCCCAATACCTTTTTTCCAGACAAACCCATATGTTAATCTCAAAATGATAAGTAGCAATTCATCATCAACAAGTCTAAACGTTGATTCTTCATCCGATCGCGATTCATCATTTTTAACAAATGGAAAAAAGCCACTAAAAGAGGGAAGTGTTCAATTGACATCTTTATCCACACTTTTGTCACATCATCGTTATTTGTTCCTCTATCATGAAACACTAGTGATTTCGAAACAGAAGTTAGTTTTTGCACTTTTTTTTGGGAATCTTTTAATAAATATGAGCAATGTTTTGTTTCAGAGGAGCTTGTTCATACAAATTGAAAGAAAAATTACGATTGGAAAAAGTGTGGATAGCTTCGAGTAATACTGCTGATTCATTTCTTATTGGATGGCCTTTTACGAATTATTTGGTGCATTTCAGGTAAGTGGGGAAGTCTAGGAAGTTGGTTTTCAGAGATCAATCTGAGTCGGTAACTTCAGAAAATCTGAAATGAAATTTTTTTGGAATTTAATTTCTGACACTTACAATTAGTTTTCAGGCTTTTATTATTTTCCTGAAAATTTATAAATCGAAATTGAGTTTTAAAAATCTCCAAAAATATGCCACTGATTTCAGAACTTCTTATATCTGAACTTAATTTTTTGGCTCGAATTCAAAACTTTTTTTTCAAGAAACTCAATCGAAAAAGACGAATGGTTCGAATTGCTCTCATGCTGTGTCCAACAAAATCTTCGTCCATTATCCACAACAATTTCAATGGATATAAATGTTCGAGGCCGAAAACAAACAATTCGACGACGCGTTGAGAATGGCAAAAAATCGGGAGAAATTGTTGTGGACACGGCTGGCGATTTGGGACTTCCACATACCTCATATCAACTCACTTTTTCTGTTGGTAAGGATTTTTTCTGTTTTGAAATCCAGGCATAATTTTTTTATATTTATCTTAGGTGACAATACTACACGATCACTGCAAGGTCCTGAAAATGTATACGTGGCAATTATGTCGGAAATTGAGAGACAGGGAATTCGAATTTCTGAATCGCAGAAAAATTCATTGGATACTTGTCCGATTGCGAATTGTAGATTGATCCTTTCGACTATCAAATCAAACTCGGCACCTTCGCCGAGACAAATTGTGAATAGTATAAAGTGAGTTAGAATAAGTTGGAGATTCATGGTCTTTTAACTTGTGCAAACTACAGTAATCTACAAAAAAATCAAACTTATAAAAACTTCATAATATCCCAAATTTGTTTTTTAATTGTCCTATTTGTAAATGTGTTTAATAATTTTGTTTTTTTTTGAGAATTCCAAATTTTTCAGACGAAAAGTGATGGCTCGAAACGACTGCCGATCAATTTTTGGAAAAGAATTGAATGGTCCAACTCCACCTCAACCAATAATGACAATTGTTGATCATTTGAGAATGGATGGATTTGATGCTGAAGGAATATTCCGAAAATCTCCAAAACAAAGCACTTTCAAAGAATTGAAATGTGAATTGGACAAAGGAATTGTTCCAGATTTTCATAAATATAATACACATGTTTTGGCGTCAATTTTGAAAGAATATTTAAGAGGAATTCCTGGAAAAATATTATTGGCTGGAAATTATGAATTATGGATGAGAGAAGTTGCCGATGAACAGGATGTTGAGAAAAAGTTGAACTCTTGTCGCGGACTACTTTCACATCTTCCAACTTCTCACTCGATTCTTCTTGCAAATGTTCTCAAATTATTGAATAAGATTTCAAATTCTCCAACTTCTAAAATGACAGCTTCTTCCTTGAGTGTTTGCCTTGCTCCAAGTTTTCTCGAAAGTCCAGATCCAATGGAAGGCGGCAAGAAGATTCCACCATTGGTCGAGTTTTTGATTTCGAATGCAGCACAAGTTGTTCCAGGTTTTTCTACCGATAATGTATTCTCAATTATGAACAAGGTCAGTATGAGTTAATTAATTAAAAAAATTTTATATTTAACTAATTTTGCAGCTTGATCAAAACGCGAATATGTTGTGTAGCCCTGTTCCAAGTTCATCACATTCTGATGATGGATCATCGCAAAGAACTCCAATTATTGAAGAACTCAATGGTTTGTGCATTTATTTTCTCTAGAAATTGAATAGAGTTTCAAATTTTTTAGAAAATGAAGAAGATGCGACTTCACAATCCAGTTTGGCAGAATCTGATCTTCCGGAAGAACCAAGAATTCCATCGGCACATTTGGAAACAATTTCAGAAATCAGTGAACCACCAGTAACTACTAATGATGAACGGTAAATTATTGAAGTTGAAACGTATCTCAATTCCAAATTTCAGATTAAGTTTCTCCTCCTCGGAATCAGAAGATGAAGACGATACATATCCAACATATTCAAGAACATCATTTGTTTCCGAAACTCTTCGATCATCCACCGATGATGTTTTGACAAAAACCGACACTCCAAGATCACCGTGTTTGAAGCGAATTCATTTCCAACGAACTGAATTGCATCATCGAACAAAAGATCGGCCGATTCGGAAAACATCGCTAGAAGAAGTTGTGCATGCAAGAAATATCACACCAACAAGAAAAGAGTCGAAAGAAGAAGCGACACAAACATCGGATAATGATGATCATCGATTTCCAGCATTTAAAAGTTCAGCAGCTGAAGTGAGTATTTTTTATTTTTTAGAGAATGGATTTGCAGTGTTTCTTTAACTTTTCTTCTTCTTTTCCAGACTTACAACAAGATTCCTTGTGACCCAATTCCTTCTCGTAAACCATTAATCGATTCTTCCACTTCCTCTTCTTTTGTCAGTGATTATCGTCCACTTCGAACATCAATCGATGAAACCAATCCACCTAATAAACCAACAGTTCAAGTCGCCCCATTTTCACAAGAACCTTCTCTCAAAACAATCAATGATCGATTAAATGCACTTCGACAAAATTCGCTGGATCCAGAAATTTTGAGAAAACCACCAAAATCATTGACGAATTCGCCGATTCTTCCAGCAAAGGATGGATTCAGGAAAACTGATTTGCATCGAAGTTCGTCTCAAAGAGGACAACAACCAACTAATAAAGAGATATACAGGTGAATAACTACTGTAGAACTTGGGAGGGATAACATCGGAAAATTCTTGGGAATATATTTTTTTTTAACCATAAACTTTTGGATACGTTGAAAAAAGTTGATGGAATATTTTTTTCTGGGCTGTTTAGAACTTTCGAGAAAAAATCCTTAATCAAAGGGGTCCCGATCTTTTGAGCAAACAAAGTTTCTTTGTCTCTCCCCTCCTATAAAATCCGAATTCTATAGATATAAGTTTTTGCAGCAGCCGCCCATCTTCAGTCAAAGTTCAACGTCGTTGTATTGGAGTTGAAGCGTGTGTTGGAATGGATCCACTCGAAATCAATTGGAGTGTCAGCCAATTGAAAACATTATTCCAAGATAAAAAAGCTCCAGCAATCGACACAATGTATACCCATACACATTGATTTTAGAAACATTCCAAAATTGAACATTTCAGTATTACATATTTATTTGATTGATTTTGATATATTTACATTCCATGGTGCTATTTTTGTAGTAAATAATAAATCTTATTCGATGAAACAAAAAAGTTTTCGATATTGAAAAAACTTGGCCCTGAAAAATGTTCGAAATTTTCTAATACTAATTACGTACAAAACAATACCGAAGAGCTGATAAATAAAAATTTATTTAAGAAATTATATCATTGAACAATTCCCCATTTTAACCGAATCAACTAGAAAACTATTATGGGGTGAGTCAATCGAATTAATCGACGTGTTTTTTGCGATTAATTGACAAAAAAAGTGAGTCTTTTAAGGCGATTAATTTCACGTTTTTGTCAATTCATTGCTTTCATTTCTTGGTAAAAAATGCGATTAATTGCATAAAAAATAGAATTTATTTGACCTATATTTTAAAACGTGACCTATATGAGTTGGAATTATCAACAAAAAAAATTGTCTTCTCTCAATTTTCTTTCATTTCGAAATGAATCCAAAAAATGAGCAGTGAATTTGGGACACGTTTCAAAAAAGAGGTCAAATAAATTCTATTTCATATTGAAATTCCTCATTTTTGAATGCAATTAATTGCAAAAAAAGATGGAATTAATCGACAAAAACGTGAAAAAATTGCACAAAAATGACTCACTTTTTGTGTCAATTAATTGACAAAAAATAAAATTGACTCACCCCATTAGATTTTCTATCATGTTTCAACAAATAATGGTGAATCATAGAATCCGATGATTCAATATCAAATTCAATAATTACGTATTGGCGAGCATTTTTCATTTTCCAATCTTTCGATATTTTAATATTTCCATTTTTGATTTTCTCGAAATATTCATCCGAATTATATGAGTTTCCAGAACAATCTGTCATGTTGAAATTCTTAGTGACCGAAGATTTGAAGACTTCTCGATTTTGAGTGATAAGTGTTTCCCAATAATTGGCAAATGTTATTTTTATAAATTCATACTTCAATCTTTCGATATCAATAAACATTGTGAGATATTGATTTTCTATGCAATTTGAATGAACTTCTGATGTGAGTTGATATTGTTTTTGATCTTCATTAAATTTCACGATATATTCATTGATAGATGCTCCACTCAAGTTAGCCACTATTTTATAAATCAAATTATGTTTCTCTTCAACGTCAATAATTTCAAATTCCCGAACAACAAACTTGATGGATATATTTGTTAGATGATAAATGAGTCCCAAACCAAAAACATCTTTTCCATCGCATCCTTTTGTTACAAAATTTTCATCAAGAATCTTGTTATATTCCTCAGCTTTGTTGATTTGTAAAGCTCTAGTGAAATTGGATAAAATTTCATTAGAAACTAAAAATTTATCCGAAAAAACGGGAAGAATAAGAAAAAAGTAGATCAACATAAATAGTTTGAAAATGAAATGAAAAATAATGCATTTCAAATGAACATGTAAGTAAGTATGTGTTTTATGTTTGGGAAACATCTAGAAAAAGTCTGATAATAATAAAAAATGCTAAAAATTGTTCCGACAGTTGGAAAAAATGATTTAGCATTTCTCCGAGCCGATATAGAAAAATTCTTTGACTGAAAATTGACTCGCATTTTTTAAGGGAAATTCGAATTTCTGTCTGATAAAAATAAGAATCGACATTTTAAAGCATTCATTCATTAACTCAAAACCGTCGAACAAGAAAAAAATAATACAAACTATCAAAATATCACAAAGAAAAATGAAGAAGAAGAAAAAGTTTCCAAAAAAATCTCAGTCAATCAGAAAAAATCTGTCAATATGACGGCGAAAAAATGAAAAGAGATCACAATTTTGTTATTTAAAGAGACTTGGTCCCTAGAAAAAAATACTTCAGTAATTAGTTCAATTTAGTTGCCCACATCAAATCATCTTCACGTGGTTGCATTCCAGTCATTTTTGTCACAACCCATTCCATTTTTCGCCAAAATCCTGCAATTTTTCATTTTGTGTGAAAAAAATAATTGAGAAAAAAAACGAACCAATGTATTCAAGTGGTAAATTCAGCCATCCAGTTGTAATACAATAATAGCAAGCATGTGGTGAAATATGATGAATTTTATGGTGATGACGTGGCAAAATGATGTGAGCTTTTTGCAAGAAAATGACGAACTTCGAAAGACCGAAATAAGTGTGTGACCATTTATGAATTTGATTTGTTAATGCAACATAGATGCCGAGAAGAAGAATATACCAATGAAAAGAGGCCCATTGAGTAAGTTTGTCATTTGTATAAGTGACTTGTTGATACATAATTACTATTAAAGGAACAATACATAACATGAAATTGTCACCATTTGCCTGGAAAAAAACTTTGTGGTTTGAAAAGGAGTGTTTTGAAATTTTTAGGGGTCTAAAAATTTAGAGAGCAGTTCTGTCTGAAATACTTTAAAAATTAAAATGAAACACATAGACAATCAAGTGTGCTCTATTGTACACATAACTTTAAACAAATCTGAGATTTCTTAAGGATATTCAAAATAAATAAATTATTTGTGCGATAGAGCAAACTTCATTGTTTTATGTTTAAACTTTTTGTTTTTCAGAGGAATTCACGAAATTTTAAAATGAAGTGATCTACTAGGTTTCTTGTAAGTCAAAATTGCATTCTCTGTTCCATTAAATATTTTATTCTTCTGATTCTTGTTCTTATCAATCACCCCATGCAAATTTTTATTCCCAAAATTCAATTACCTCAATGAAATCGTGTCGAGTGATTGCTGTTGGATCAACATGATGTTCCCGGAACGAGCGAATGAATGCCTGCAAATTTTCTTTCTATTTCAACGAAACTAAACTCTAGTTCAAACTGACCCTCCCAAACCATGTTTCAACACTTCCAAACGTATCAGCTCCCCAATGAACGAGTCCTGATAAGAAATCGGCTGTCATGATACCCAAAACGGCATAAAACAAGACTGACACTAGAAAATTGGAGAATAATCAATGAATCACAAAAGATTTTTGAAAATGACTTACTCCATATTGAAGATTCCCAGCTTCTCAATAAATTTACAAATACGCCTATGAATAGGATAATTGCTGACACTAACGAGACGATTTCTTGAAGACGTTTTTCTGAAAAAGAAAAAATTAATAACACGGTATTTATTAAAGGCGCACGTGGGAAACACATGTGGGTCACGCTTGGAAGAAACCCGCGTTCGTGTTTTTTTGAATTTTTACTTTTCTTTTTTTTTTGAAAAAAATTCAATTTACCTTTCGAGTACATTGAAGCCAATTTCTTTGCTCCAGCATGTTGCGGTCCCCATCGAGGAGCTTGGAAACCTAAATCACATTCAACAACATTTCCATTCGGATCATCTTCGAGCATTGAAGGAAGTTTTGCAATATCAACTTCCTCATCGAGTGTAGGAGCAGGATCAGGTGATTTGAATCTAAAAAAAATGTTCTTGAATATAGGGAGGGAAAATTTTAAAAGAAAAAATACAAACCTTTTCTCTTCATTTAATAAACATTCGGATTCATCCGGCATTTTTGGTGAAGAAGAACCTTCCAGTGAAGACATTCTATAAAATGAATGAAATTATTTACCTCGAAAATGTTAATTTTATTTTATTTTATCATTTATTCACGAACAAAAAAAGTGATAAGAAGCAAAAGAATCGATGATGAAAAAGTGGGGAAAACGTGAATAATCTGAAATTTTTGTAATTTATCATGATTTACATTTGATAAAGCAATAAATAATTAAAAGTTCAAGGTTTCAGACATCGAACGATTTTTAGCATAGTTAATTTATCACTGCAATCTAGATAATTTGTCTGATAACACATTTTTCTGTAATTTTTTGCTGTTAAAAATGAGAGAGAGAGAAAGAGAAGAATTATCTAGAATTCGAAAGAAAAAGTAGATCAAAAATACAATCTGATGTCAGAAGTATACTTATTTGGGGTTTTAAATAAATATTTGTTCTCAAGAACACAACGAAACTGCTCAAAGTACATAAGACGGAAAAGAAAATGAGGAGAAAATGAAAATCGAAAAGAAGAAAATCGGAAGATAAGGGGGAAAAAAGAGAAGAGAATCAAGTGATTTGAGAAATTGATGATCTATTTGTTTGACCATTCGAGCTCGGCTTGTTTCAATCAAAAATACGCTTTTTTTTCTTATCTGTTTTTTTTCCTGAGATCATTTTATTTTTAGTTCAGATGAGTGAGAAAAGTGAAAAATAATGATCGGTCAAAGAAAATCGAAGACATTTTTTTTTCGTCAAACGGTTCCGGACGAAAGATAGAAAATGAAGATCTGATCTATGTGTTTATTAGTTTTGTTTCTTTTTCACATGAAACAATACTTGACACTTTGAACAAATTGATATCTCATAAAATAGATGATAGAGTGTAGTTTTTTTTCGGGCGGTTTAGATCTATTTTTCATTGCGAAGCTCGACCACCCATATTTTTCAAAGATCATTTCATTGTTTTCAAGAAGATTGTGTTATCTTTCAAGATAATTTTATCTGAAAAATGTTAGAATGGTTTTTTGATTTATTAAAGGGTGGGTTGCTTTGTGAAATAGCAAGTTCGCAATTTTCGAGAAGCAAACTTGATTGTGCATGAAAATCTTCTCTAACAAAAAAACACTCAAAAAATTGGGCTAAAATAAATAGAAATTTAAAAAAATACGTGAACAAAATGACGTGGATTTCCCCAAATCATTTTCATTAAAAACGAATAACCGGATTAAAATTATATTCATTTCTTTTTCCAAAAAATTATTGGAAACGTGTATTTCCTGGAAACTTTTCAAATTCTAGCCTACAAAAGTACATAAATTTTAGATAGAAAAAATAGCATTGAACCTTGAAATAAATATAAAATATAAGTAAATAAATGAATTGTCATAGGTAAATAACAAAAATGTGTTCTTCTTTCTTTTTTGATTCTTTTTTTTATTATCAGCTTGACTAGAAAGTGTAGCAAGAAAAAAGAAAATAGTTTTGTTCCGGCGAGAAAAAAACAGTGGGAATCTGGTTCCAATTATTTTTTTTAGAGCTGTCTAATTTAGTCGACAAACATCTGAAAAGTTTCTTTAGCAGCACACCGAAAAAACCGACTGAAAAGGGTTTCCCATTCATTTTTCAAATTACTTTCGTCGTTTTTTTAAACAAAACTAATTTAATTTTCTTCCCCGAAAAAAACCAGAAAAAATATCGAGATGAGACGGATTTGTGTCTTCTTTTCGACATCTGTTTTTTTCAGGAGAAAATTGAAAAAATTACACTTTTTTCGAAAAAAAACAGAAGGAGGAAAACTTGTTTGTGAAATGAAATGAAAAAAGAAAAATGAGCGAGGTTTCGAGTTTCAGCCAAGCAAAAAATCTGAAAATAAAGTTTTTCTTGAAAAAAAAGATACGGTAGAGATCAGCATCAAGTTTTTGATTTATTTTTGGTTGAAAAAGGACTTTGTTCTGAAAATCAGCTGTTCTGCAAAAAATGGAATGTTTTTTGATGAAAGAAAGAGAAATAATTGACACTTTGAACAAATTGATATCTCTCATAAATTAGATGAAAATTGAGAAGGTAGAGTCTAGTCTAGAAACAACTGTAGACCACCCATATTTTTCAAGATTGTGTTATCTTTTAAGATAATTTTATCTGAAAAATTTCATTTGATTTGATAATTTTCGTGAAAAATGTAAAGATGGGAAGCTGAAAAAATTCAGATTTTTTGAGTTAACCTAGATTAATTCAAAATTTAGAAATACCCTTAAATTCTGAGAAATGCCATTTTCTACTGTAGATTTCAACACCAAGTACTTTTCTCTGAAAATCAGCTGCTAAAATAAAAAATAATGTTTTTTTTTCGCAAATAATATGTATTTTTGAATAAAAAAATAAAATTATACAAATTCCAATCCGATTATTTTTATGAATCTGTTTTGTTGAATATTAAAAACTTGGATTTTTATGTGGTCAAAAATGAAAAACACCAAAAAAAAAAACAAATATGGAAAATAGCAATCAAAAACCTAGAGTTAAACCTGAAACGAGCCAAGAAGTAAACGAGAAGTGAAGAGTTTCCTAGGTGACCGCACTCTTTTCTTTTTTTTTATACTTACTACTTACTTACCTATTTTTATTATTACCTTTATGAGGAAATCTATGGGGGAAACGGGAAGCACGGGATTCAGAATCTTTCAAAATAAAAATTACAGCTGGGGAATTTGGAACTAGAAAATTATGAGCTCGAAAATGTGCTTTAAAAAATTTTCACCTTACAGTTGCTTCTGGAAGTATTGATTTAAAGATTGAAAATTCAAAAAAAAATTACAGCTGGGAATCATTATGACGCGGAAAACCTCCCACGTCTAGGGTTACTGTAGTTATCCTAACAAGACCCCAAATTTTTAATAGCCCTTGGAGAAAACCGAAAATTTTCCAAATTTCTAAATTTTTATTTTTTAAACTGAAAAATCTGAGACCAAAGAGACCAAAAATCTAGAACTTGAAAATTATAGACTCGAAAATGTGTAATTAATTTTTGCAGAAATTCTCACCTAATTTCAGGTTTGTTATTTTTACGCCCTCTAAAATTCGAAAAGAATGTTTCAGAATTCTGGTTGACTGGAAATTTTCCAAAAAATAAATCTCTGGATTTTATGATTAATTCTAAGATTCATAAAGTCCTTCTCTGAAATTTTATGAATCTCAAATTCTACAGTAATCTTCAAACGAATTTCAAACGTCAGAGCACAAAACCAACAAAATTTGAGACTAAAACACCAAAAATGAGCTTATTGGTTGACAATTGTCACCACGGAAACCTCATTCATTCACACAGATTTCCCTTTTCCCAATCCACCCTTTTGAGACAAAAAAAGTGCAAAAAAAAGGGGCGACGAGAGAAAATGAAGAAGAAGAAGAAGAAGAAGGAAAAATGAGTGACAAACACATGTAATTTGTGGAATGAGCTTGAGAGCGAAAAAAAAGAAAAAGAAGGCAAAAAAATGGAGAAAAAAAGAAATGAAACACGCATTTTGATCAGCTTCATTTAGAATATCTTTGCGCGGCTTCGGTTTCTTAATTAGGTAAGTAAAACAAAAAAAGTGTGTTTCGTGGGTGGAGTACGGTAGGTTTAAATATAGCTTAACTTATGACGAAAATTATAAATGATGAAAAATTTACCAATTGTTTTGTGAGAAATTAATTATGAAAAAATAAGGCGCGAGAAGTTCAAGTACGGTATTATCTTCTGTGTCACTAACATCGTTTCGAGACCATCTCGTTGGACAGAGAAGAAAATTCAAAGACTGATTTTCTTCAAAGGGTCTCGAACCGACTAGAAAAATACCGTACTTGGGAAAAACTGAATTTCTGACTTCTTTTCATTTGCCTTTATAACACAAAACTATGGAGAGATTTTGAGAATTTTCTGAAAAAAATCCAATTTTTCTTTGCTTTTTCCAAAAAAAAGGGCAGAAAGATGAAGAAAAAGAAATGAAACACTCATTTTGATCAGCTTCATTTAGGCCTTTTTCTTTAATTAGCTAAAAACGTTGGACTACGGTAGCTATAGCCTTCAAAGAAAATTTGCCGACATGTTTTATTTTTGAAAAAGAAGAAAATATCTTCTTTTCATCGAAAGTGTTCAGGGCATTTTCCATTCGGGAAAATGTGGCCTCCTTAGCTCAGTTGGTAGAGCGTGAGACTTTTAATCTTAAGGTCAGGGGTTCGAGTCCCCTAGGTGGCTTGATTTTTTTGTTTTTTCTGGAAAATTTTTGAAATCGCAAAATTTTATGAAAGAAATGGAAAGACTCTGAAAACTGAAAACAATTTTCGAACAATCAAACCGGTTGGAACCGGCCGTCATAAAATATAAAACGTTTTCGAAAATAAAAAGTTTTATTCATTCAGGCAGGCAATAAAGAAAAAGGCAATTATTTAAACTCCGTATTTGGTGATAAGTTTCTCAACAAGAGCAACATAAGCGGTTTTGGCGGCATCTTGAGAAGTTCCTTTTTTCTCATCCCAAGCAGCCCATTTGGCTTTTCCTTTCAAGTCGAGGAAACCTGGTTTGGCGGTGTTGTTGTCTCCAACAGTTCCCTGAATAAAATAACTTTGATTTTTTCATGATTTATGATTTGTGAGAAAAAAAACATTAGACGGATTATTTCATTCTGCTTTTGATAAATGAATGTCAAATTAATGGAAAAAAGATAAGGAACTAAAAAGCTATGTAAAAAAAGAAAGAAATTTGAGAGCTCAAAATTTGAGCGTGGGAAAGAAAACTGGAAGACAAGAAAATCACTTTGTACTTTTTCTGATTTAGGGGGTTTGAATTTTTAGATAGGCAATGTGCACATGTAAACAAGGATTGCATCATCCGAAAAGAAACCGGAATAATTATTTTCATGTCAAAAATTATTATGATTTTTTAAAACAAAATAGGCCCACAAATGGTGTCCAAAATTGACTTGTGTTGTAGATTTTTTTGTTTCAAAAATTCGTGGAAATTTGATTTTCTTTTCAAATTTGTTATCAAAATTCTCCGAAAATCAATGAAAACTACACATTTTCGTGGAAAAAATGTACAGTGTGACTTGTGAAAGATTCTGTACAGTGTTTTTCTACTAACTATGACAAATCCTAACCTGTTTGAAGAGGGCATACAATTCCAAGAGTTCCTCATTCGATGGTGAAGTTTTGAGTGTCTTGACTTTGGCGGCAGCGTCATCGAACTGAAAATAGTTTTGAATGAGACTCTTGTTTTTCAACCTCAACAAATTGACTTACAGTAAGACCCATCTTGATTTTCTGGTTGAAAGGTAGAGGCTTCTGAAAAAAAACTCAATAAAAAGTTAAATCTCAACAACAAAAAAGAACAGATTAATCTTTGAAGAAAATCTAAGTTGACCTAGTTTTTCATAAATGAATATACTCTCAAAAGTGAGTTGGAAAACCTGAAAATAGTGAAAATCTGATGAATTTGATCGAAATATGTAGTCATGTCTTATCAATATTCTTCTCTTATCATTTGTCTAACTTTCCTAACACCCCATCTAAATATTTTTTTATTTACTATTATTATTGTTGAGGCCTATTACAGATAGATAACAATAAAATCGTACCATTTTGTTTGACTGAAAAATATCATTGATTTGATTTGTTCTAACTAAAAAATAATATACAAAAATGCAGACCTGTCGTTTTTGGGCGGCCGGGCCGGGCCAGCCCTTCAAAATTCAAAAAATGCGGGCTTTTTCGGCCCTCCGGCCCTTCTTTTTTTATGACAGGCTGTTTCAGCCCTTTTTTCGGCCCTTCATAATTTTTTGATGACAATTCGGGATTTTTACAAATGGATGATTCTGCTCAAATTTTCTGCATTCGGGCGACTTTCGTGAATCAGAATAACTTATATTGGTGTTAGTGCACCAACATTTCTTCGAAGTACTGTTTTGGTGCAGGATCGTAATGATGAAACACATGAACTTCAATAAATTTTACTTTTATTATCAATCCACCATTAGAAACACGAAATTCGCCTATTTTCTTCCGCCAAAATGCAAAAATTCGAAAGAAACACCATTGAAAAATAGTGCATTTACACAATCAAATTTTTTGGAAAGGCCGGGCTGAGCCAGCCCATTTTCCCTATTTGGGCTGGCTAGCCCGGCCCTTCACATGGCTGGCCCGAGGGCCGCAAATAGCCGCAAAACGACAGGTCTGCAAAAATGAGTCATCTGGAAAATAAAAATAAAAAACTTTTTGACAAGAGAATGTGTGATTGAAAGAGTTATATAGTTGTGAAACTGTTAGGTATTTTTGGTATTTAAAATGTTTTTCAGAGATTAACACAGATACAGATTTGTAAACAGACTGAAAACCAGTTGAGCCAGTCTATATACAAAAAAGTAATTTTGCAACGACACAACTTTTTCAGAAGTCCATTTTCGATGACTTTTTCAAAGGATTTTAAGAAACCGTGACTATTTCTTTTGAAATTAAAAAAAGTGAGATAAAAATCAAGGGAGTTAAACCTTGTTCAAGTCCAAAAATCAATAAATAAAAACTTTTCACAAAATGAAATTTCAAAAATTCATATATTTATGATATATTTTTCAAAATCCTGAGTTAGAAAATGTTCAACACGTATAATAAATATGAGCAGTAAAAATTAACAATTTTGAAGAGTTCTTTCATTCGCAGTTAGGCGATGTCGAATCTGGAAAAAAAACTTGATTTTTATACGATTTTTGTGGTCTGATGCAATAAAAATAATGAAATATAATTTGATTTTGAAATAATGGACGTTGGGAAAATGATGCGTCGTGATTTTATTTTATGAGAAAAACGTTGAAAAATATACCTTGAAGGGAATTTTCATCAATCGGATTTGTTTCAGCACTCGATTTTCGACTTCTTTTTGGTGAACTTGAAGGAATTTGTGCGAATTGAACAGATTGTTTGCGCTTCAAAGCTTTATCTGGTTTTGACTTCAAAATTGAATTTGGAACAAGTTCATCTACTGATTTTATATCTTTTTGAAAAATTCGTCGAATTGTTTCATCTGTTTTGTTCCAAATATCTTTTATCGCTTCAATCTTCTCATTTTCATTTATCCCAATAAACTTCTCATCGTTTTTTAATTCCTCAAAAAATCTATGAAATCCATAATCAATTTCCGGTTCTGTTTCAGTTTTAATTTCCGCTTCAGCTTCAGCTTCACATTTCTTCATTTCAATTTTCTCGATGATTTGAGCCAATGAATTTTCTGCTAGATTTTCCATAACTTCTAACTTTGACATCTGAACTTCATTCAAATATTTTTGATGAGATTTTTTGAAACCTGCTATTCCTTTTATACAAGTTTCAACCTCGTTTTTCCAAAAATCCAAAGTTTTCAAAACTATTGCAATATTTGTTGAGACTTCTTTGAAATTCTCCAATTTTTCGTCCTCTGAGAGGTTAGAATCTCGTAAATCTGTCGAATTAATATAAGCATCGATTATATTTTTAGATGGTTGTTTTGGGAATTGTGGAAGGAGGCTAGGAATATCAGCAAGATTTGACATTTCTTTGATGGAATTCACAATAAACCCTGAAACAAGTCTATGTTTTTGTTAGAAAAATGAAATAGAAAGAATACCTATTGGTAAATGCTCTAAAATGTCAACTTGCAGTCTTGCCAATTTTTCGAGTTTATCTAAATTTTCCGTGAGAGCTTTGCTGTTGTTTGCACGTGATTTTAAATCACCAAGTGATAACTCCAACATATTATACTTCACATTCTTCTCGTTCTGTAACAAAACCATCTCATTGGAGTACTCCTCTTTTCATTTCACATATATAACTAACCTCAAAATACTTGACAATTTGCCAAGGAATCAGCGACATGATCTATGTATTTCTGAATGAGAAAGCATTTTAGAAAACAGAGAAATATCAGAAATGAGGAATTGGTAAGAAAAATAAAAGCGCCACACATGGTTTGTCCACGTATAATGAGAAAACGTGGAAAATTTCGGAGTCGACAGAAAAATAATATTTTGTTTTCAAAAATGCCTGCGACAAAACAGCAAAACTGTGTGCGAGGGGCGGAGCCTATTTTCTAGCTTGTCGATTGTCGCATCTATTTAGAAAAGTCTAGAGTTTGTCACGTTTTTGTTGTTGGTTTCATAAAAAATTGCCGAAACTAAAGAAATTGATTGATTTTCGAAACCAAAAAAAACTGAAGACGCATGCAACGTGTTATTTTTCGGGCCCCGCAACGAACCGTAGTTTTCAATAAATTCATTAAAGGTGCGCCCATGAGCACATGAAATATCCCGTCACGATTAATTCTTTTCTTGTTTTTTCTTTCTTCGATCGATCGATAATTTGTTTTTGTTCCCGGTTCCCAAAAACGCTTGATTTTCCAGAAGATGTTCAACTTGCAAAGACGTATCAATGGAAACGACGAAGATCGTAAATATTTAGAAACTCGCGTCGCAATTCGAGAAAAACTTTTGGCGCAAGAATTGAAAGATTTAGAATCGAATCTTCGAAATCAAAGACAATGTAAACTTACGCTTCCTTCAACTTCTCAACTTCATGAAATGGAATTGATTGTAACTCCGCAAGAAGGAATTTATAAAGGTGGTGTTTTCAAATTCAAAATCTCTGTTCCACCAGAGTATAACAATGTTGTAAGTTCTTTTTTTCAATTGAAATGTTGCGAAATCATTAAAGCAACAATTTTGCAGCCACCAAATGTAAAATGTATGACAAAAGTTTGGCATCCAAATATCAATGAAGATGGAAGTATTTGTTTGTCGATATTACGACAAAATTCATTGGATGCTTTTGGTTGGAGACCAACCAGAAATTTAACCGAAGTTGTGCATGGATTAACTTCGCTTTTTACTGATTTGATCGATTTCGATGATGCTTTGAATATTCAGGTGAGATTTGGGTTATTTTCTATTGATACTTAGTTGTCATGGTGACTGGTTTGAACTTTCAATCGAGATTTTATATTAATTATATGTTCTCGGATATATTCTCCCTCTTTTTGTCAAAAAATACTAAAAAAAAAATATGAAAGTACAGTTCTCAAATTGAATCTTCATAAAAATCTGGATTTTTCATGTATAAAAGTTGCGAAAAATGAACTGATTCAAAATCCAAATTATTAATTTGCAGGCCGCCCAAATGTGGAATCAAAACCGCGATCAATTCAAGAGTCGTGCTCGAGATTACATTAATCGCTACTGCTAAAATTCCCCTCAGCTTCCCAGGATTTTCTGATAAATAAAAAAGTAAAACATTTTTTCATTGTCAATTTCAAAACAGATGAATAAATAAAATTAAAAAAATCAGAACTTGAATGGATAAAATGAAATAAAATAGAATCAGATCAGATCAATTTGGAAAGAAAGAGTAATAATTTAGATTGGCTTGATTTTGAAGTGAAGTCCGATCAACGAGAAAACAAGACATTTCAAATCTTGAACAAGATAATAGAATGAACGAAGTCCATTTGGATCTTTGCTGTTGTTCACATCAGCCAATGCTCCAATTTTTCCAGTTGTGAATGAGATGTGCTCATTATTATAAAGAATCTCGAGTTCTTGTCTTCCAACTTTATCTGGTTCTGGCCAACTCGAATCGTCTTCTTGCATGATTTCCGAATCTTCGATGATTCTTTTGAGTTCGGTTAAAACCGATTCGGAAACTGTCGCTTCTTTTCTGATCATTGTGTCATTTTTGTAGTTTGAGTTGTTTGCATATCTCAATGCTCCATTTGGACGGAATTCGAATTCCAAGAACTCGTGACCGAATTTTCCCTGAAAATTGGGGATGTTTGAAAACTTCAATTACGTATCATGAGTTGGGTTACTTCTCAATTTCTACACCGAAAATTCAAATTTCATTTTTTTTTTGTCAAAATGTAGTCCCAGGTTCAGTTTTTCAACTGAACTCACCCTATTTTTCAAGTGTTTCCTAAATCAAAATTTTCCTCAAAAAACAACTCACTTTGTGTCCCACATAATATCTGACATAGAAATCGTTGCTTGGTTTAACTTCGTCTCCGCTCATTTTTCTGAAAAAAAAAACTAAAATATTCAAAAATTATATCAAAAACCAAAGATATTCAAACAAGGTTTTTCATAACCTTCCAACACAAAAAAATCCAGAAATTGAAAATAGTATATTTTTTTCAAAATAAATAAATTACAAGAACATTACGTAGTAGTAGGTTACAAAAAAAAGCGACGCTCAAAATAAAGAAAAAATGGGGAAAGGGGGAAGGGTGTGTTTGCACAAAATACAACAGATCATACGAGCAAAAACGAGATATTTAGTGGAGATCTTTTTGTTTTAGGTTTTGATTGAATTGGATTGAGTTGGATTAAAAAGAGAATGTGGTCGCAGTGGGGAGAGATAAAAATAAATTATTCATCGACTTTCGATTTTTTCGATTCTTCATCTTCAGTTCGAAGTGGACTATGAGCTGATCTTTTATGACTCTGAAAATTGAAAAAGCGTGATTTTTTATTGGAATTATTTAAAGAATCTAGGAAGCTCTTTTCAGGAAAAAATCAAAATAAATGGAAAAAATTGGATAAATATATTTAAAAAATAATACGAAATTTTATTCAAGAATTCGAAAAATGAGCCATTTTCCACTTCCCCCAGCCCTTAAATTTCCCATTTTCTATTACCTGAACATCCTTGGTTTTCTCAGTTTCATCATAAAATTCAGCTTCATTCTCAATTTTCGTATCCGTGTCCAATGTACTTTCTCGAACATCTGGATTCAATTGATCTTCAATCACACTTCTCTCATATGTTCGAACAATTCCATCTTCATCTCCCAATGGTTGAAATTGAACAGAAGGACAAGTTCCGATTTCACGAAGATTTTCGAATAAAACAACCTGGAAATTAGAATTTGAAAATTGACAAATATTCGTAAAATATGTACAAACCATAGTCGCATCGATATATTCTTTCGAATTCTGATTAATTATATTTGATGGTTGAATATGAAGTTTATAATCAGGTGTAAAATATTCGAAATAATCATTGAATGGAATATCATTGGTGATTGGAGTATCGAGTGCAATCGAAGTTTCATAAGCCCAACAACGAGAAACATTTCGAATTGTATAACCACCGCCGCCAACCAAAAGAAGAGGAATATTCAGCTTTTTCATGTATTCCACACATTTTCCATGACCTGAAAAGAAGAAGAGTTGGAGGAGAAACATGAATAGGGATGTGGATTTCGAAAAAAAATTCAAATAAGTTTTTCACAAATATTAAAAATTGCGATTTTGAATAAATTTGTATCAGTCGATAATAAATTATATAAAAATTTTGAAACGTATTTTTTGTTTTTGAAATGTGAAGAAGAAAATAGAAAATTTTCAGTTTTTGGTGAGCTTAAACTTTGTCAAAAATGTAGATTTTCAAGTTCTTATAGATCTACAGTAATCATGGGCTCTTTTTGTGTCAAAAATGCTCAACAGAAAACGTTTTGGAAAAAATCTCGGAACATTTCCAAATTTGAAAAATTTTTTAAACCCTCTTATTATTTAAATTTTCGGACAAAAGACCCCCGCCCCTTCCTTTTCCATTTTCAGCTATGAAAACTTGAAAATCCATATTATTGATAAATTTTAAGGAAAAAGTGCTCCATTTCTGCCGAAAATAGAGAAATTTGAAAAATTGGCGCAAAAATTCGAATTTTTCAGAAGCAAAAAAAATATACGTTTCAGAATTTTGATATAATTTATTATCAAATATTTTCATTAATAGCGCAAATCTCGCGGTATTTCAAAGCCAACATTTCAGATTGAAATAGGAAAATGATACAAATTGTGATGAAAATTCAGAATACATCGATTTTTGGAAAAGAGTTCATAAAACCTTGATTCTCAAGCATGCGACGTATGACCCAATATTTCAAATTCCCCCTTCTTCCCCGCAAAAACCACACCTCTCAACGTCAAATTGAAACAACCAAGTCGATCACCAGTCAACGAATCAGCTCCACATTGTAAAACAATCGCTTCAGGCGCATAATGCATCATAACTCGATCCATAACCGGAATAAATATCTGCTCATACGTCATATCATCGATTCCGTCGCGAAGCGGAAAATTCAGCGCATATTTTTTGCCTTTTCCAAATCCATCATCTTTCAAATCACCAGTTCCCGGAAAATATTCACCGTATTTATGAAATGAAACAGTCATAACTCTATCGGTTGTATAAAACGCTTCTTCAACTCCATCACCATGATGTATATCAATGTCTACATATAAAACCCGCTGAAAAATAGACACATTTAGATTTTTACATATTTTATAGGGAAAAACCAACCTTATGATGTTTGAGCAACTCCAAAATCGCCAGAACAATATCATTACTATAGCAGAATCCACTCGCTTCACTTTTCTTTGCATGATGTAATCCTCCCATCCAATTAATCGCAATATCTGTGTCTTTTCGATTTATGCGAGCTGCGGCGGCCAGAGAACCACCACAAGACAGTTGACAGAATTCATAAACACCGTCAAAAACTGGGCAATCCTGGAAACATTAGAAAAAATAAAACTTTTTGCTCTGGGGAAGATTTTTGAAAAAAATTTGGAGAATAGATTCCAACTAAAAATCATACGAACCTCTCCAACATTGAATTTAGCCATTTGTTCTGCAAAAGATGTGATATTGTCAGATCGAATATTTTTCAGAAACATCATATAATCATCCGAATGATATTTGGTCATTTCCTCAAATGTTGCTGGTTTTGGTCGCTGAAAAATGTAGGGTTTAATTAGTGTTAATTTTTTCAATGTTTGGTTACTTTTCAAGTTTCGTTAGCTGAAAATACATGATGTTATTTGAAATATGATGAAACCACATTTCTAGTTCTTTGGAACAAACGAAAGATCTATTATCGAAAAAATATTTTTGCGAATGAAATGGTCGTGAATTTTTGAAACAGTAAATTTTTTATAATGTGGCAACATTCTTGAATTACCATTAAACTTCTGGACAGCCGTAGCTCATTATTTTTAGAGAAATGAATTCTGGACTGACTATGAAACGATGAATTTGTAAAGAAATTATACAAGGTCAGAACTTTTTTTTTTAGAAAAAAATCTTCCCGACTCATATTTTTTCCCCGTTTTAGATAAATCCTCCCGAAAAACTCACAAAAACTTCCATTTTTCGATAAAGCCCATAATTAAGGATAAGATTATGTGCCATACGTATCCGGTGTGGTTTCATTGGATGTCCTTGTCCATAATAATAATTTCCAACATCGCCTGAAAAATTCTATTAAAATTTGAAATATTTCAAGAACTAACCATCATAATAATATGAAACTCTTCGTTTTGAATGCGATGCTACTGACATTCTTCTGAAACACATTTTCTTTAGAAGTAATCAATCAAAATGAATTCAAAGATAAAGTTTCTCGAAATTCAACGAGTTTTGAATTTTCAAAAAAACAACGATTCCATATTATAAATTAAAAAATTTAAGGAGGCATAAATAAAAAAATAAATTAAGAAAATTGCAACAACAAATGCAAAAAAAGCAAATTTAGACCAGAGATGAATTATATACACAAACCGGAAAAAAGGGGGCAAATCTTGGGATAAATGCAATACTTTTTATGCGTTTCGCTTCACCATTTTCTTTGTAAATGTTTCGAGAACCGGGCGAATTGGAGAAATAAACTCGGGAATATCATCAATACTTTTCATTATTTCGCCAGCGAAATGTTGTTCGAATTTTTTGAATTCGGAAGCAACTCCAAGTTTTTCATAGATTTGTTTGACTTCAGCAATTTGTTCGGGGTTCGCTTTTCCGAATATTGTCTGGAAAATTTGATATGGGAATTATACAGTGCATATTTTTGGCTCGAAAAATTTTTCGCAGTGTAGAATTTTAATGTTTTTCAAAGTTTTCTATCAAAAAATTGATGAAAATGAATTGAATACATTTTTATCCACCTTTTAAAAAAACCAACCTTAAATCGTTCAAACATTTCTCGATCATCAGCTTTTTCCATTTTCTGCAACGCTCTCACAGCCAACCACGTACATTTTCCATCCTGAATATCAGTTCCAATTTTTCCAGTCACACTCGGATCTCCGTAAACATCCAAAAAATCATCTTGCGCTTGAAATAAGAAACCAATTTGATAAGCAACCCGTTTAACATTGGCATGATATGCTAAAACATCGGACATAAGAAGAGCCATTTGAAGTGGATGATATATCGAATAATGCGCTGTTTTATTTTCAACCAACAATTCATATCGATCCCATGTAAATGATTCGACAGCAAAAGCTGATGATGTATCCAACATTTGTCCGACTAATGTTTTTTGTTTTGATTTTCGATATGCGTCACATAATCGATCGATATTAACATGTCCCGGTAAAGAATGACGAAGTATATCTTCGACACATGAATCCATTATAAATGCATCATTTATTGCACTCATTCCAACACCTTCTCTTTTATACCAACATTGTTTTCCTCGACGAGTTTCAGATGAATCCATTATATCATCAGCGATCAGATAGAAACTTTGAATCTGAAATTAAATTGGGATGAGTGAAAATGACACGGAGAAGATTTTGAACAGGTCAAGAATCTTATTCAAACTTTTTCAAAATTTCAAAAATTAAGTGAAAATTTCAGCTTTATCACGGAAAAAGCAGAAAATTTCATGATTTTTTCCCTATAAAACTTCAATTTTCAAATTATTGGATAAACTTATTCTAGTTCTTCAGCTCACTTCTCTCATATTCATCAATTTTGAAACAAATTTAGATACATATTTCTCATTTTTCAAAAACAAAAAAAAAATACGTTTCATAATTCTGATATAATTTCTTATCAAATATTTTTTCAATTTGCAACCGAATTTTTTGTTGATGACACAAGAGCACCTAGAAAATACAAGTAAAATTGATCTTGTTCATGGTAAACTCTTCACCTTGGAAACAGATTCTAAAACGCGTAGTAAAATCAGATATCATTACAAAGTCCCAGAAACAAATATTCGCAAAAACTTCTCCACCAACCGCACTTGCTCTACACAAAAAAAGTCTTCAAGTTTTCAAATTGGAAAGTGCTCAAAATGAAGTTGAATTTTGATTTGTCACACTTGAAATCCACCATTTCCATGATTTTCGACTCAAAAAAGCCTGTTACCACTACATAAATTAAACAGATTTTTTTGAAGCAGAAAATGGTGAATTATAAACCTGATTGTGAGAGAATTTCTTTAATATTTTAACCAAGAAAAAATGACATCAGATTCGTATAGCTGAATCAAAATATTTTGAATTATATAGTCAAATAAGTCGCGAACCTTCAAATTTTCAAGAGATTTTCTGGTATTTCAAAAAAAATTCTCTAAATCTCTCACTTTTGCGTTGGATCTCGTCAGTTTTAGTCCCATCCCTAAATCATGTCAGGTTTCAAAAAAAAAAAGCGCAAAAATGTTCCGGGTAGTAAAACTACATGCTGTGCAAACTCACAATCTCTAGAGTAGTCGCTGCTTGTGCAACCGCCTTCAATTCCTCAGTTTCATCTTTCAAATGTGGTTGAAGTGCTCGTGTCGCATCAATACAAAGTGAGGCTCTCGAATATTTTCCACCCAAAACCGTATTATCGAAAAGCTGAAAACAATTTTGTATTTTTCGAGGTTTCAAGCCTAGATCCTCACATTTCTCATCCTATATTGCACTAAATCATATTCCGGTCCATCATAGGGCAATTTCGAGCATACAACACTCACAAATTTCTTCTTCACATCTCCAAGTGCAGCTTCCACTAATTTCCGACTCAGTGACATATTTATTAATACTATTTTTATTTAAAAATCTAAAAATTATTAATTTTGAATGTTTACAAGAAATAAAATAGATATTTCGAAAAAGTATATTACTTATTCGGCAGAAAAAAGTTATAACCGGTCAAAAATTTATTATATTTCGTTATTTACAAATTTAAAAAAATAAGAAAGAAATCAAAAAGTTATCATCAAAAATAGGTCAATAAATACATAAAGCATAAAGCACCTTACATGGCTATTTTCTTGTTCAATCATCCCATTCATCATCATCAGCTCCTTCTTCACTACTCGAATCATCATTTCCCATAACTTGATCCATTCTTCGTTTCAAAATTGCAGCAACATCGTTGGTTTCAAGCGCTGCTTTTTCAGCTGCAGATTCTTCTGCTAATCGAACCTTTTTCAATTTTATTCCACTTTGAATTTGAGCCAATAAATCGCCGCGAGCATCGGCTGGTTTTGGCTCGGCTGGTTGAGAAGATGAAGCAGTCGATTCATCAATTGGATTTGCCTGGAAATATTATCCATATTATCCATAGAGAAAAAAAATAAAGAGCCAGAAAATGGCTGAATTTTTGAATATTATTTCCACATGTGGTGGGAGAAACTTGAAAAATTGGTGCATTTTTTTTACAAAAAAATTAAGCTAAAATTTGGCCGTTTTTTCATCATTTCACTGTTTTGGCCAAATTTTGATCGAAATTTGGTGTTAAAATTGGTCATAAATTGACCAAAAAGCTCCGAATGACCAAATTTCGGTCAATTTTTGACCAAAAAAACAAATTGGTTCCTTTTTGGCCAAAAATTGGTCAAGCTCTCACCACAAGTGTCAGTGACTTTGAATTTTTCAATAAGCTTATTTATTACATACTACTTGAAAACAGTAAAATAATGACAATTCTCTGTAATTTTGAGTTTTTTTCATTTTCAGACAAATCATCATAGTCTTCTGCATTTGGACAGGTTGTTCCAAGCCTGAAGCTTTAAAAAATAATTTCACAAAAATGTTAATTATGCCCCCTCTTTCAGAAACTATAACATAAAACAACGGAAAGTTGGCCCAATTCTACCCGAAAAAGCGTTACCCTTGCAGACGCAAAACTAGCCGCAGCAGCTGGTTTATGAAGATTTGCAGGAATTGGTGGAGGAGGCGGAGGTGGCGGGGGAATCTGAATAGAATTGAGACAAGGGTAAGTAATAACAAAGGAGGAAACACATAAATAGAAAAGGATTAGAATTCGACTCACATTAGCTGGTTCAGCACTTGGTTCAACCAATTGAATTGCAGTTGGTTGTTGTTCGGCTGGTAATTGATGAACAATTGAGGAATGCATAAGAAGTGGAGGAGGTGGAGGTGGAAGTTCATCATCGTCGTCATCGATTGACAAAAGCGACATATCAGGAGGAGGAAGATGATCCATTGAAGGAATTGGCTAAACAAAGGGATAACATTAATACAATAACAATTAAAAGCTTGTGTTTTTATACAAATACATACTTTTTCTGGAGCATCTCTTCGATTTGCTGGACTTTCTCTATTTCCCATTGATAAATTTGCCATTCCTTGTGTTATTTGTCTCGAATTCAGATTTCTGTCCTGATGATGTAAAGACATTCCAATTGGAGCAACCATTTGAGATTGTGGTTGATGATTGTGTTGATTATTTCGGAAATTGAGTTGTAAACCAAGAGCCTGTGGAGCTTGATATTCTTCGGGGAATGAGAAAACTTCATTTTGTTGTTGTTGCTGGACTCGAGATGAACTTGGATATCTTAAAAAGACACTCGTTTTGAAGAAAAGTTTTTTTGAAACAAAAAAAATTACCGTTGCCTTTCTGGTGGATAACCGCCAAGACTAGTTCCAGAAATATTTCCGGCTTGTAATTGCTTTCGTCTTTTCTTTGGACTTTTACTTCCATCTCCTGGAGATTTGACTCGTTTTGGTCTATCAGCTGGGACATCTTTCAATGTTTCTTTCTTCCATAAATCGAAGAAGAATGATGGATTTGTGTAAAGACTCAATGCTGGTATTTCACTTTCTCGATATGGATTCAAAGCATCAAGATTTGGTGGTTGATCACAATTTTCGTATCTTTCTGCGAGAGCTGTTGGAAATGTTGAACGATCAAGAATATGTTGATCAACAAGCATTGAACTTTTGAATGATTTTCGAATACTTGCTTCATTTAATGTTGCTTGATCATTACTTGGATCTAATTGTGTTACTTTTGAATGCAATCTATCGATTCTTTGTTGCAAGCTGTTCGTTTTATGATGAATAATCATTGCATCATGATAAATTTCGCCGAAAATATTCTCCGCATGCTTACTGAGTGAACTTAGCTGTCGAATTAAATTAGCGATTGAACCATTCGCTGTACATTGCAGTTCATCTCTTTGAATTGATGGCGGGATCACATTTCTACTTATATTTACTGGCGAAACTGCCCGTTTAGTCAGAGGCATGCCTGAAAAATCAATAATATTGATTACCGAAAAAGCAAAAACTCATGATTTTCATGATAAAGCAAGTAAATAAACAAGCAACAAACAAGAAAAATAAAAATTTGAACGCGAAAATAAAAAGACGTTTTAAAGGGAGAATGACTCAAACGTAAATCGACAACTACAGTGTGCGGCGTTTTCGTGTCGAGACACAAGGCCGCGTCATCACGCGTTTTTAGGCCAGCGTCCTCTCTTATCAATCGTCACTTGTCGTCTTTTTGTCGCTTGAATTCACCCCAATTCCTAAAATGGCTGCTGCTCGTACTGGTTTCTCCGTCTACGGTAAGTTTCGAATAACAAAGTAAAATGCGTGGAGTGTGTGACAATTGACTATAACAAATTTGCCTTCCTTTTCTGATTGATCGTGGTTTCACGAAATGACGTCAGAGCTAAGTTTAAGTATTAGTTTCTCATCGGCCTTCGTTCTCTATGGTTCATTCGTGTTCCTTGAAGACTTTCCGATATTTCAGGTAGTTATCCCCATCCTACATATAGCCCCCTGGTAGACTAACTTTGGGATTCGGTGACGTCACATCGGTTGCTGCTTGGAAGAAGGATCGATCGAAATGGAACTCTGAAAAAGTAATGGTGATCATTATTTTTAAGATCTCCGTAGTCTAGGTCTAGGTTAGGGGTTTTAGAATGTAAGAGAGCATTATCAGTGGCGTATAACTGATTGGTATTTTTTTTATTTTTGCATCATTCTTTGAACAGTACATAATCGTTTTGATTTAGTTGGAAACATTCCATACCAAGCCACCGAAAACGATATTGGAAACTACTTCTCCCAAGTCGGAAACGTCTCCAACGTCAGGTTAGTTTCAAGAAAAACTTCCCTTTATCATATAAGCAATGTCCTGTTTACAGAATCGTTTTCGACCGTGAAACCGGAAGACCAAAGGGATTCGGATTCTGCGAGTTCTCTGATGAACAAGGAGCCCAAAAAGCTGTTGAACAACTCAATGGAACACCATTCAACGGAAGAAACCTCCGTGTTAACTTCGCCAACAACTAAGTGCTTCCATGTTCATTTTGTTTTTATTGATCTCTAGATCATTCCTAATATATCTTGCATGTTCGATGAAATCTGATATCAACAATAAAATATGATCAATACATCTGTGTTTCTTGTTTTTTATAGATCTTTTGTGGTCTTGTTCCAATATTTCATCCATCAGTCGAAATCTTCTTGAACAAAGAATTCAGTTGTTTCCACTTCGTGTCATGTCGAAACGGTCGGCCACTTCCAAACCGATTGCTTCAATTTTTCAAAAGAAAGTCAAAACCACAGTTCAAGAAGACGATGGAAGCCAGAAGAACTGGAACATTGTTTGTTGGAATGTGGCTGGACTACGAGCATGTATAAAGGTTCGAATCAATTCAGTTTCTAAAATACAACTCTATTCTAGAAAAACGACTTCTCCGAAATTCTATCTGAAAACCCTGATATAATCTTTCTTGGTGAGACAAAATGTACAGTATGGCCCGAAGAATTCAGTAACAAATTCGAAGGATACACAAAAACATTGGTCGTTTCCCAAGAAAAAAGTGGAGGTTATGCTGGAGTTGGATTATTGAGCAAAGTTGCACCAATAAAAGTTACGAAAGGAATCGGAAATGAAAATTTTGACACAGCTGGAAGACTTGTAATTGCTGAATTTGCCCATTTTTATTTTGTTGGTGCTTATGTTCCAAATTCTGGCACAAAATTAGTGAATCTTGGAAAACGAGAAGAATGGGAAAAGCTTTTCATCGAAAAAATAAAAGAATTAGATGCAAAAAAACCAGTAATTTATGGAGGTGATTTGAATGTTGCACACAATGAAATCGATCTCCGAAATCCGGATACAAATCGCAACAAAACTCCAGGATTCACAGATCAAGAACGGGGATGGTTTGGTGACTTACTTTCAGCTGGTTTCAAAGATTCATTCCGTGAACTTCATCCAGAAGACAAAACATATTCATTTTGGACTTATATGGCAAATGCGAGAAGTCGAGATGTTGGATGGAGACTTGATTATTATGTTGTTAGTGAGAGAATTATGGAGAAGGTGAGGTTTGAATTATTTTGCCGTGCAGCAAAATTGAAAAAATGACCCAACTCACGTTTTTTTGAATGGCGGCTGATTGCAATGTTTAATTTTTCAAAAAATGAAATTCTTCTAAATTTTTGGAAACAAAAATATTTTGCGTGAACTAGAAAGCATTTCAAAAATGTATTTTTCTTGCTCAGCAACTGACTCCGTAGACTGACTGTACAAATTGAAGAAGTGTGAATACAGCGGATGAACGCTGTATTCACACGTTTTTTCCCGAAAATCGTAGGTTCATTTTATCTACAGCGTAGCTTCGGAAAAAATCAAATTCGTAGCTACGCAGATGCCAAATAGTTGATACGCACATCTTAAATTCTAACGAGAGCTGCCTCGCGTCTCACAATCAGAGATGAAAACGTACGTACAGCGTATCTCCGCTGTAGCTACACAATTCGCAGACAGAAATGAAATGAAGTGACCGCTCTATAAATATTATTTTTGAATCCGTAGCTACGCCGTTGCTGTTCTGTAGCTACTTTGTAGATAAACGGATGTTACTTATGTGCAATTCTCTCTTCCCCGTTTTCGTAAAAGTATCAACGACATTTGTACAGTCAGTCTACAGAGTCAAGTGCTGAGTGATTTTCCTGGTATTTTCTCGAAAAAGTGTAGTTTTCATTAATTTTCAGAGAATTTCGAAAATTAAAATCAACATATTTTTGGTCACCACTTTTTTCAGGGGTGAATCTGAGAAAATTAAAAGTCGTCTTGTTTGACAAATATATTTCAAAGTTTCTTGTCTTTCAGGTGAAATCCAGCGAAATTCGCACAAAAGTAATGGGAAGTGATCATGCTCCAATTGTTCTCAACATCGAATTCTAAACATATCTATCTCACCGGTTTTATATATCTCTGAACTCATCAGATCTCAACATATTTACATTTTTCATTTTCATTTCATATTTACAAACAATAAACAATTTGTTTAATTTCTTAGTCGAGATAATTGTTGTTCTAAATCATCGAAAGTTGAGACGGAAGTATTTGAAGTTGGAACCGAAGGAACATGAGCAAGCTGGAATTTGATATTGTATTTTATTTAGAACTGCAGAATTCAGTGCATACCTTATTATTCATTTCGATACCAATTTCATCTAATACTTGATTTACAATAGCATCTTGTTCTTCAGCATCTCCTGGTTGATCTAACATTGAATCCAAAGCATCATTCATCATTTCTTCAGTCATTCCCATTTTCTCATTTGCCATTTGGAATTCTCTCATATTTCGTGCAACTTTTTCCAATGGATTTAATTTGTCCATTGCTTTCATTGTTTTCACAGTTGTTCCCATTGCTGATGACATTTTTGCCATGCTATTCATATGACTATTTTGCGCTTGAATTCCACTGATTTTCGCACTCATTCCGATACTTTTTGATTTATGGTTTCGAAGTTGAACAAGTTGTTTGGCTAAGTGCCGAGCTGCATCATTTTGTCCTTTCGCTGCCAGTTTTTTGATTTCTTGTTCCTAGAAAATAAGAATTTTCTGGATTTTTGATAAATTTAGAAATTTTCACAATTACATGAATCTAGAAAAATTGGAACAACTTTGAATTTAAAAAATTTGAAGCGAATTTGGAAACTTTCATTGTTTTTTATTTTCGGAGTCAAAGACTTATTCATTTTTAAGAAAAAAATCTGAACCCCAAAATCCAAACTCACGAGTTCCTTTTCTCTTCTTTCCATTTGTCTCCTGTCAGATTCCAAATCTCGATTTGTTTTTTTCAGCTCCCGATTATTTTTGCGCATTTCCTCTGGAATTAAAAAACTTTTTTTTTTCAAATTTCACAGAAATATGTTTTTCAGAATACTGTGTCAGCTAAAATAGAGCCTGAATTTCAATATTACAACAATTTCATTTTTTCGCTCAAATTTTCTTCTAAAATGTGGATCTTACTTTTCTGAGCCAACATCTTAATTTTTTTGAAATTCAAAAAAAAACCAACCTTTCGGATCCGGTTTATTGAAAAAATTCATCGCTTATTTTTTCTGAAAAAAAGTGAGTCACAATTTTCTTCTCTAACAAAAAAAGAACACAAATAAAAATAAGATAACATTTCGTCAACTTTCTTTCTCTGCCAAAAATTGCGAAATTTTTGATGAAAAAAATTTTGTTCATTCTCAACAAATAACAAAAGAAAATATTATCTAAACCTAAAAAAATGAAACTACACAGAAATATTACAAAAATTGGTTGGTTTTTATGTGATCGGTTTTCCTCTTCCAGCTTTTTTGAAAGTGGTCGCATCTCGTTTTCGAAGATCAGACAATGATGGAGGAATTGATTTATTATCTGAAAATGGAAAAAATTAGGATTGAAATATCGAGTGGGTAATTTTTTAGGGTAATTTTCTGAAGGCAAAGATACGTATCAAAGCATTTGACATTCAGCTGAATTTCGAGCTGAACTTCCAGTTTTTCCAACAAAAAAAATGGAACCTAAAGATTTTCTGCCACGTGGAATTTTCAAGTTTAATAATTGAGATCTATCCAAATTTTTGGAAACAAAAATCTACAGAAAGAAAAACATCATATTTCGCCACGTGGTAATTTTTCGGCAGAAAATTTTACAAAACATCAGCCAAATGCTTACCTTTATAACTTTTCAAAACTTGCGAAATAGCACTTGTTTGTCCCGGAACAACTGGAGCTGGAACAACTTTCGGAATACCCAAAGCTTTTCGAACAACTGGAATTTTGAAAAGCCCAGCATAAACCAAAGAAACCATATTCGAAGCACACCAATAAACACAAAGACCCGTTGCAAATTGAGAAGAAGCAATGAAAATGACAACAGGAAGACCATATTGCATACCAGCTCGCATTATTGGAGGCATTTGATCTGATGTTGTTCCCATTTCAATTCCGACCTGAAATTAAAAATAAATTTTCATGTAACCAACATTTTCAAACATCACTGCCACGTGGATTTTTCAGTTCTACATTCAATTAAAATTAATTTTTCATATGTTTTTTTTCAGACTTTACACCTAACAATAACACTTCAAAAAATTGAAAGCTACCCGTTTTTCAGCTAAACTTTTTGCCACGTAGAGGCTTGAAAAATTATTGAAATTTGAAACTTTAAATCTGAAATTATAGAACTTCTCAAAATTCTCAAAAAAAATCAGCTTCAAACAGGTTCAACATTTAATTATTCGGGTTTTCAAAAAATGTGTTATATCAATTTTTCCGAGATTTTTAGGCCCAGAATCTTGAGCTACAGTAATCCTAAGCGTGTTTAGGTTCAAAAAGTCCAAAATTCCACACCAAAAAAAGATCCTGGACTTGGAAGGACTCAGAAACATGGATATTTCGAGCATCGGCTCAAAATAGAAATTTTTAGATCTGAGACTTAAAAAATCAAAAATTTTTGGGAGGTTGGCTTATCTACGTTGTGAAAACGTGGATTTTCTAGCCGATGGCTCGAAAAATCCTAAATTTTGAATCTAATCTTGTTCAGGCTCAATAAATAGCAAATTAAAACTTTGCTAAAAATTCCAACTCTCCCAAAACACCGTGAAACTTCACAAACCTTCGTAACCAATGCCATCGTAGCGGCTGAAATAAATGGAAGTGCATAATAAGGATCACAAGCAGTCAAATCGGTGAACCAAAGTGTTCCACCAGTTGCAAGACCCGGATAATTCACCTGTAAAAAATTGTTTTGAAAATACTTATAACCTATTGAGAAGAATTTCAGAACTTACAGCAATCATTTTCTTAACCGCAAAGAATTGTGTTGCAAAAACACCACCATTTGCCAACATAACTCCAAATTGTCGTCCTAATCGAATATCTTTTGAGCGTAAGAAATCGCGTTGTTCCAACAGAATTTGTTGTTCTGAGAAAAACAATTGTTATTTTTTCAGCGTTTTTTGAAAAATACAGATTGAAACTTCTACAGCAAGCAAAAACTAAGATTTTTGTATAATTCTCTACAAACAAAAACTAATAAAAAATTTTCCAAAAAAATACGTTTCAAAATTTTTCTAAAATTCACTTCGATTCTAATCAAATTGATTCTCTTTCAATTGAAAGAAGTGTTTAAACACTATTTCGCTTTTTTTCACGCTTTATTTCGAAACTTTTCTGCTTCTTCAGACGAACTTTGAAGTGAATCTCGAGACTTTGCAAATATCTGAATACAAAGTTTCTCTACAAGATGGAATAGTTTTTTATCGAGATTCTACCATGAATTTATAGAGCTGTGCTCAAAGAACGTAATCAACTAGGATTCGCGTCCAGATATCCAAATGAGCCTGGAGACCCAGTAATCTCCTAGACTCACGTAATAATTGATTATTCTCTTTTCTCGCTTCATCAATTCGATCTCTAAATTCATTCATTTCTTTTCTATACATCGATTGTCGAGCAACAAGTTTTTGTGACATAATTGGAACTCCAATCAGCAAAAGACGAAGAGCAACGGTAGCTTTAAAAAAACTGTTGTAATTTTCAGGTTCAAATTATAGCTTATTACTTACCAACAACAATAGTTGTCCACCATGGAATATCTACAACATTGTGAATTCCTTCCAAAGCATATCGAAAATATGAACTTGGTTTATACCATGACCATAATCCGAGTTCTTCTAAAACTGAACCGCCATTCTGGAAAAAATTGGTTTTTTGCCACGTGGGTTTTTTAGTCTTGGAAAAATTATTGAACTCCTAAATTTTTAATTTGAAATTATTGAAAATCTCAAGTTTTCAGCTTTTCCAGATGATTTTAGCCCAAAATTTCGAGCTACAGTAATCCTAAGCCTATTCAGGTTTAAAAATCGCAAATTCTTGGGCCTAGGCTTTTCTGGGTTAAAAAAACAGCAAATCCCTGATAGATGTTTTTAAAAAATTTGTCGAACCCAAGCTTGTCTAGACTGGAGAAAAGCTTGTCCGGGCCCAAAAACGTGGATTTTATTAGACAAGGGCTCAAAAATTGGAAAATTCCCGATCTACGATTGTCCAGACTTCAAAAATCACACATTTTGAGCTTTTTTCAATTTAATTTTTTTTAATTTTTGGGGGAATTTGGACTAATTATTTTCTAACACTTTTTTGGATGCTCTTTCAACTCGAAAAGTTACTTCACAATTCTACAATCCCATCTTTTTGCCAAAAAAACTAACCGCCACAATTTCTTCCAGCGATAATGCTGGTGGCGGTGGTGTTGGAAGTGGTGGCAAATTGGAAGCGCCAACACTTTCCGAAATTTTGAAAATATCTGCTGATGAAATGAATCGGTGTTGAATTTGAATTCCGGAAATATTCGAAGTCCGTCCAGCTATTGCTAAACGAACAGCTCCCCGAGAACCAGTTCGCAGAGGAACTGATAACATTTTCTGCAAAATTGGAAATTTTTAGTGTTCAATTCATTCAAAATAAAAAAGCGGTTTGTTACCAAAGTTTTTTCAAAGAAACAATTTGGATTTTCAAGATATGTTTATTATATTTTTCAGCAAAACACGGTATATACAAAAAGAGATCTTTTCAATAATACAATGGATTGTAAGTGACCCAATGTCCTTCGGTTTTCTTTTTCGCGTCCTCACAAGATGTGAATAACTTCTTATAAGTGTCTGATTTTGTTGGATCCGATTGAATATCGATTTTTCGTTTTTCTGCTTTCTTCAAACCTTCAGGTACGATCTTCTTATCTTTGTTCTTCTTTTTCTCGATTTGAACATCTGTGGATGTTGAAGGCTCAGCAGAACTAGAAGCTGAAACTGAGGCTGCCTCGGCTTTTTTCGCTGATTTCGCAGCTTTCTTTTCTGCTCTTTCAGCTTCAAGTTTCAATTTATATAATTCTAATTGTGAATCATCTGGATTTAAAATCACGATTTTTGTTGCATCATAAGGTCCTCCGCAAACATGGCAATTTACAGATTTGACTTCTTGTTGAGCTTTTTCTGAATATACACAACCACAAAGCCAATTAACAAGGAATGAATGCATTCCATTCATTGGTGAATTTGTGATTGGACAAAGAAATTCGGTTTGATTTACATCATCGTATTCATCCCCTTTCACATTATCCTTCTTGAAATCCTTATTTTCAGCCAATTTTAATTCAACAAAATCCTTGGTTCCTTTGATATGCGAAGCTGAAAGTGATTTGGCGATTGTTTTATTGAGAATCGCATTGATCACATCTTCCTTGTTGTATAATTTTCCCAATCGACAAGCTATTACAGGCTTTTTCAATGGCAATTGTGTCAATTGACAATTTCTCCATTTTGTCGCATTTTTGACGTGTTTGTCGATTTTCTCCTTTTTCGTTCGCTTTTTCACCAATTCACATCTAAAAATTATAAAAATAAGGATGGGAAAAATAGTCTTAAACTCTTACCTTTTTGGAATAGTTCCTCCATCAGCTCCCATGGCGTTAGATTGAAAAACGAGCTTTCGAAACAAAAAATAAAAAATATGCGTTAGCCACGCCCACTTCTCGATTGCGGCATGGCAGTTTGCACTCTCATCGCACACATTATTATTTTTTCTTTATAATTTATTATTTTCAATTTCATTTTTGAAAGTTGAAAGTTTCTGAAAATAAAAATGTAGATATTTGAACAATAAAAAAACCCCTTGAAAAAATCAAGAAACACGCTGAAAAAATCTGAAAACAACAAAAACTACACGTAAACCCTACAGTACCTCCCAGGAAAAGTGTAACGGGAACCCTGGCATTTCCCATACAAACTGTAATCCACAGAGTGTAATTTACTACCCGAAAAATTTCGCGCTGTTTTTGAGACCTGACACGATCTTAGGGGTGGGACTAAAATCGACGAAATTCAGCGCAAAACCGAGAGATTTAGAGAAAAAATATTTTTGATCTACCCAAAAATTAATGAAAAATTTGAGGTCTAGCGATTTGAGGTAGTAAATTACACCATGTGTAATCTCGGGATATTTTGCAAAAAATTTAAAAGGGATTTATTTGGCAAGGTGCGGCACGTTTTTTTTCAATGAATAATTATTTCTGATTTTTTAATTTCGAAATTTAGTGAAGAAAAAATATGAAAACGAAAAAATTATTTTAAAAACGTGAAACGTGTAATCGTGGCAGGGGCGGAGCCGACAGGAAAAAAAGTCAGCAATTAATGCCTGTGGATGATGTCAGTTTCTATTATATTCTGGACTATAAATAGTCGCACAAATTTAAAGAAATAATGGTGAGTTTGAGTACTGTAGAAATCCAAAGGCTTTGTATTTCTCCTCAAAAATCTAGGGATTAAATAATCATTCTTTTGGGGAGTGATAAGAAACACGAAAAATAACAAAACATCATACAGTTCTCCTACGATTCACCATGATTTATGATTATAACATTTAGTGAAGTTAGAAATCCGCATATATTCATAAAACCTAAATATCTGGGGTTGTACTGTGCCAAATATACAGGTTCTGCACCGGAAAATTATAATCCACGTTTCATTCGGCCAATAAATTCAAAAAATGCTATATAACTAGGTCACGTAAAAATAATAATTTTGAAAATTAAAAAAAATATGCATTTTAAAGAATTGTTATTTTTAAAATTTTAAGTGGTCGAAGATAAACTCAAAATTTAATTTCGAATGTTTCATTTCTATATTTTTACAGATTCATGTGTAAACTGGCAATACACGAAAAAAACAAACAGGATATAATGAAGATTTTGGAAGATTATGATGAATCGTTCTACGATGTTACCGAAACTCATCACACAATTCTATTCGTGAGTTAAAAAATAATTGTTAGAATATTTCAACATATTATTGATTTTACATAGTTATGTCTCGGAAATTTTACTGTCAAATCATACAAATCAATCTGTATATTTTTAACCGGGAGGAAATTAATCACAGTAAACCACAAAAACAGCTAAATACTTTTCGGAATTTGATAATTATCGATGAAGTTTTGTAAAGAATATTTTTTGGATTATGTTCAAAATTTCAAAAGTATTCCGAAGTTTTATTTTGATTTAGAATCAATTAGACGAAGTTCGACAACATTTTTAAAATATCACTACGATCATTAAACATCTGTTATCTAGAATCAACGTCAAATTGTCAAAACCGAGAAGACATTCGAAGAATTTTTCGTTCAATTCTATCATATAATTTCGCTGATTAGGCATATCAAACCATGATAATTTCATACTCAATCTAAAATATATGATCAATTCGTATTGAACAAAATAAAGACACTAATCTTGTTAAATTTTCAGAAATATTGCCATACATTCGAGCGATTTATGCTCTATAACAATGTATTTGAACGATGTCCACCAACAAATCTATTGAGAATCGAAAATATTCCCGAAACCACCACTCACCAAACAATTTGCCAAAACATGCAAAAATTCGGCGTTGTTGTTATAGTGGAATTTTTGAACGGCAGCAATTGGGCAATCATCGAAATGGGCGATTCGGAACAAACCAACAAAGCATATGAATTTTTCCAAGAGGAAATTTCTTTCTTTTTTGGGTGAGTGAATTATATTTGTTTTCAATTAAAAAAAGAGTACTTTAGTCATTATCCCTTGCCGACCTCTGCCATTTTATATTCACACCCAGGATTCCGAACAAGAAGATCGGCTGCAATTGTTGCGTAGGTTTTTATACTTATTTTTTGAAAACACTTTCTTTGAAAAAATGATATATCATTATAGGCCAATTTTAATCAAAAATGGATCAATTGAATATAAATTTGAACAGAGGAAGTGAAAGATCGAAAAGGAAATGCTCGAGCAACTTGAGACTAACTCTAAAAAATTCAAAGATGCTCTCTCCTTTCAACTGAAAGAACTCGATGCGCAATTATCAGAAGCAGTTGAAACAACCATGCAAATTGAGCGTAAGTCGACTGTTTTTGTCAATATATTCGTCTATATTGTTTTTTATAGTAGCATCAAATGCTCTGTCGAAAGTTCTGGCAAAAAACGAGAATGCCAGGAAATTGTGGGATGGTAAGTTTAATTTGTCAAAATTATTAATAAACGCATTTTTCATTTTTAAGACTTGGCAACTTGTATTAAAACGGGACTTGAACCGACTGAAGTTTCGTTTAGACCACCAGTGAGACAAACTCGTTTTTAATTAAAGATTAATAAATTTTTTTTCTGAAAACTGGAACGTTCAAGGAGCACACAACATCTTACTCTTATACAACCGAGTAAAGCAAAGCCTCCATTAAAAAAGTGCTCTCCTCACTCTTTGTCGTTCTATTTCCATCTCTTCTGAGTCACTTATTCTAATCCGGTTCTTTTTACAAAAATCTATTTCGGCACTTTGCCAAAGTGCATACGTCGCATACCCTCGTTTCAAATCCACCAGTGCACACCCCTATTTTTGAAAATTTCTGGCAAAAGGGATAACCACCCCCCCCCCCTTTTTCCTTTTTCATTTTCAGCTATATAAACTTGACAATCTACATTTTGTATAAACTTTTATCTCGAAATTGCTTCATTTCGGAAAATGTTCTCATCTTCTCCGCTTTTGTGTCAAATTTTGATTCAATAATTCTAATTTTTCAAAAACAAAAAAATACGTTTCAAAATTTTGATATAATTTATTATCAATTTTTTTCAATGCTCCCACGATTTCATGCCGTTCATGACAATAAATCAAAACCAAAATTCTCAAAATTTGGATGAACATTTTGAAATTATCGATTTTTGAATCAAAATTCGTGGAAATTTTAATCACTCCCAATAAGTGATAAAGTACAAAGCTTAGAAAATTTTTTCAAAATGTTTTCTCAAGTGACATCCCCTTCCAAAAACTGGGGAGATTACCCCAGGCATGCGACGTATGTCACTTTGGTAAGTTTTTTGTTTGCTCCCATTTTTCCATAAATTCATGGAAGGTTCTACACGATTTAAAAATAAAATTCATTAATTAAATTATTTAATGTATTGTATATTCATTCTATGATTTTAAATATTTTTTTTCAATTCTAACCCCAAAAAACTCACTTTCTCTCGCCATTATCCAAATTCATATTTAACCTGAAACATATTTTTCAAACAGATATTTCTTTCCGCAATCATCCAGCGGATAAATTATCCCATAAATTTAACACCAAATCAAATAAAAATTTATATATTCTAAATAACACCCAATAAAGAAGACTATTGAACAAGAAAACACCGGTATTCAAAAAATCCGAAGAAAAAGGCAAGTTCTAAGTGAAATTTGCACGACATAACGGACAAGATGATTGATTACTGGATTCGAACCATTTGTAGAGACAATTTGAGTGGAATTTGTTTTTGCATTGTTTGCATTTCACCTGGAAGAATGAAGCAAATAATTGATTTTTGTGGATTTTTCGCGCCAAAACTTCAACAAACCTTTGGTAATTGATGTGAATTTGAATGAATAGTCATCATACAAATACAACAAGCTTCAGCTCCTTGAACACCTTTATCAACATTGTTTCGCCATAATTCAATACCTTCAACAATAGCGCCATTCTGGAAAAAAAACCGTGGAATTTGGGAGATTTCTAATGAGTTTTTCGAAAAATTGAAAATTCTCGTCACAGTTTGTAAATTTAATGGGCCTATGCAGAATAATATTTTGTAATAAAAAAACATTAAAAAACATTTTTTCCTATGCAGAAAAACGTCGGAAAAACAAAATATACAGTTTATTATTTTGAGTAGAGACAACTCAGAAAACCAGGGCGTAGCTACATTGGCGAACGTGCGTAGCTACACGGTTGTCAATCTCTCTTTCCAGAATTTTAACAAAGTAGCTACGCATGACTGTCTGCTCCACACTATTTCCATTTTTGTGGACTATGTGGAACTTCAGAAATCCAACTCTGTAGTTACATAGAACGGTGTAGCTACACAAAAAATTTGACTTTTTTCGAAATTTTCGTAACTACATTGTTGGTTTTCTGGAGTTCCGCATAGTTCACAAACGTGGAAATAGTGTGGGGTAGACAGTCTCGTAGCTACAAAAGTCTATTCACGTAGCTACATCGTTGTCAGGCTCTCTTTCCAGAATTTGAACAATGTAGCTACGCCCTGGTTTGCTGAGAACGTGAAGTTGAGAGAGTGCAGAAAAAAAACCCATTTTATGTCTGCGCTCTCTCAATTTCACGTTGTCTTCATTTTGTTTTTTCGACGTTTTTCTGCATAGGAAAAAAAATGTTTTTTTTATGTTTTTTTATTACAAAATATTATTCTGCATAGGCCCATAATGGAAATATTTCACAAAAAATATACCTGATGGAAAAGATACGCATTTAATTGAACAAGCCATTTTCGTGCTCGATCCGATTGAACAATTGCTTTATCGAGATGAAGAGTTGGAACAGATAGTGGAAAATCGGGTGGAAGTCCAATTGTTAACTTCATTTTCGTTTCTTCGACTAGATATTCAGCAACAATTTCACCGGTTACCGGAATAACTCGAATCTGAAATGAAAAAAAAACATATGGGAAATTTTCATAATTATTTGAAAAATGTGATAACTAACATTATTTCAAATTCTTTTTCTAAGTTTAGCTTTTCCCGAGTAAATTTCACAACTTCACCAATTAAATTTGACTGATAAATGGCTGTGTCAAACATCCAAGCCTATAAATTCAAGTAGCTGAGTCTAGAGAACATGATTGGTAAGGGCCCACAGCTAGAGAACCACTCTGGCAAGGAGCAGCGTCTTGAGAGCTTCAATTTCAAGTACGCGCGCCTAGAGAGTCAAATTGTCAAGGATCAAAACTAGGAAGCCATATTTTAGCTCTAAAAATTTAAATTTAGAACGTTTTCGAATCCAAAAAATCCTCCCAAAACATTTTTCTCAAAAAAAATGACCAACCTTCATATCAACATCTCCTCCATTCGCATATTTCGACAATTTTACTCTTTCAAGCTCTTTTTCAACCAATAAACGACTTGCATTATTAGTTATTGTTCTGAAATTTTCAGAATTAAAACTTTACGAAGGTCAAAACCCACTTTTTGACAGTTTCCGTAGCACTTTGTGGCAGTGATTTGAACCATAATCTCACCGCAGCCGGTATAAAAGAAATTGTTCGGAAAAGAAGACGACAAGCATATTTGTCGAAAAATCGAATAGACGGGATTGAGCTATCTTGGAGATAGTAGGATTCTTCTTTCGATCTTGCTGGAAATAAAATAATTTTAGATAGAAATAGAGTTTCGGGAAAACTTACGAATAGCTGCAGGTTGTTTAATAATCAAAGTGCTTAAACATGGTCGAATAAATGTTTGCAAAGCATCACAATATAGAACTCGTAGTTCGTTTTTCAACAAATCAGACTGTAAAAATGATATTTTAAAGTTTTTCAAAAATAGTTGAATGTTCAATATTTCCCGTGGATTTTTGGCGCTGAAAAAATCCACGTGGAAATTTTCAAGTTTTTCAAAAAATTAAATTTTACGATACCCTGTTTTTCAGAATATTTTCAGCCAAAATTGTCTCACCTCAAAAGGCACTAAACAAATATCAAAAAGCATAACAACACTCCATTTTCCAGTTTCCAATGATTCCAAAAGTTTTCGATTGATAATTTCAGGAATTTTCAGTGTTTTTTCAGCATTCAAAACTTCTTCCTCGTTTTTCTCATCTGTCAAAATATTCTCCTTTTTGAACATCAAAGGCATAGTTCTGTAAATAATAAATATAATTATAATTTTAGAGAAAAAACCCACAATTTGGCCATTTTCAATCCAATCAATTGAATATATTGATTTTCACTTTCCAAAAGCGAAAAAGAATGAGAAATGATTGATTGCTCAGTTTGAGAATAATTAAAAGCATCCAATTCTGGCGAAAATTCTCGAATACTTTCAATTTCGTCAAAATCATTCGGATAATTCGAAATCTCATTCAATGCAATGAATAAACTTCGAACAAATGGATTTGGCTCATTTCCAGATTTGATAATTCCAAACCAATTGAAAATAAGGCGAGTTATTGTTGGAAGATAGAATTCTTTCCATTCATCAATTATTGGTGTTATATGATTGGTTTCATTGGCGAATTTATTGATTTTTGCGAAGATTCGGAGATAATAAAAAGCGAGGGATTCGAGGATAATTGGAAGTTGGTTGCATTTCAAGAGTTCATCGTTGACATTCTGAATAATCTTATATTTATGAGGAATAATTTTGCGGGTAAACATTTTTTTCAAAATTTCTTGGGATAAAAGTTAACCTGAATTATTTTCCAAAAATACTTTTGACCCTTTTAAAATTTTACTAAAAAATTATTTTTAAAAAAAACAAGTTCCGGGAAATTTGAGAATTATATGAGAAATGATCAAAAATTAACCAGAAAAAATACTTTTCAATAAAAACCTCCAAGTCGTTTTTCTAAAATTCCACCAAATATTATTTTGGGAAAATTTTTGAAGTTTCAAAATCGTCTTTTCCAGAATTTCGGCATTTTTTTTCTGAAAGCAACATACACAAAAACTCACATCCAAAACAGTCACCAATCCACACAACAAATAATCCACCAATTCTCTTTTCTCATCCGCAATCAATAAAACTTTATCCGCCATTGCCAAAAATGCTCTCGCCACCAATAATCCAGTCAATCTCTCCTTTAAACAATTTCGTTCTCCAAAAAACGCCAATTCCTCCATTTCTTCTTTCATTTTCTCCAAAAACTCATCGGATTCCAATCCAAAACTATAGCTCAATTCAAGAATTTCCTGATCTTCAATTAAATGCTCCAATTTTCCACCTTTTTGTGATAAATAAACATCGGCAAGAATTGTTGATTTTGGAGGTAGAAATGGTTGAAAATCAATAACGGATTTGGATAAAATATCAGATATTTCTCGAATATAATATTTAGGAATTTCCGAAAATTCGAAGCGATTTTCAAGAATTTTGACGAGATTCAGAATTATTGACGCATAAACTTTTGAAGCATTTGTTGCGTCTGAAATAAAGTACGAGTTGAGATTTTCATGAAAATTGATACTAACATGAGCAATGCTCAACATTTTCTTGAAGTTAGAGTTTAGGCTTGAAATTTTCCGATTTTCATAAATTTTGAATCTAACATGAGCAATGATTAAAATTTATCAGAAAATCACAATTTTTGGGTTACAAAAGTAACATTTTCACAAAATTTGAGACAAAGGTGAGCAATGCTCGAAATTACCTTAAAATTGAGAGTTTGGGTTAATGTTCAGATTTTCATGAATTTTGGAGTCTTCTAACATGAGCAATACTCAAAAATTATCATCAAAAATCGATTTTAAACTTACATTCACTCGAAATATTGACAAACGCCAATCTTGTTTTGTTATTCAAAAATTCGCAAATCTTTTCCTCTTTCATAACATCAAAATGTCCATTGATTTCATAAGGAATCGAAATTGTACAACTTGTTGAAGCAGTGCAAAAACGCTCAACTTCAAGCTAAAAATAATCATTTTTTCAAACTTTCCAAGCTTCTAGAAACTTACAAATTTCACATCATCCAATAATTTTTCAACATCTTTTTCTTGAATCAAAAATCGTCTAATCATTCCTTCAGAATTTTTCGAATTTCTCAAAATCATATCAAAAATCATCGCTGTGTTCTCATTTCCATCTTTTTCCATCAAATCCTCAAAAAACCCAGGAATTTCAAAATTTTCGGGTAAATTATTAGCCAATAATTTCAATGATTCAGTGCCCGGATAATCTCGAACTCGAAAAACTTTGTTGAAAATCTTATAAATCAATTCGGAATCTCCTTTCAAACTCTCGCAATTCTTCAACAAATCCAATAAATATTCCAAATTCTCCACATTTTTCAATTTTTGTTCAATTTCAATATTTTTGATTTTCAAAAAATCAATCATTTTTGCAACCGCATCTCCATTTCCTTCTTCTCTCCAACTTGATATCATTTCCTCGAAAAGCTCTTTATTTTTCGGTGAAAATCCGAAAATATTCCAAATTTCATCGGTTTTCGAACACGAATTCGCTAATATGAGCAATATTTCACGCCAAACAAAGTTATTCGTGGGTTCGAAGGATTTTTCTGGTGATTTTTTGACGATTCGAACAATTAATTTCGCAATTGTTTTTGCATTATTTTCCGACCATTTTGAAGTTGGTTCACCAAGTTTTGAAGAACTGGGAAGTCTCTGAAAAACAGGATCAACATGTAATTAATAAATGAAGTTATCATTTTTAAATTTTTGCTAAACCCTGTTTTCAACGAAATAAAAATTCCCGAAACCTCAAAACTTACGGCTAAAACATGTTCAAAATACGAATCTTCCGAATGTTCCAATATATCCAACAATTCAACCCAATTATTCTCTTTTTCTTTATCCAAAATCAATAAAGTTGAATGAATTGGCACAAGTTCGGAAAACTTTGCAGAAGCGAGCAAAATTTCAGCAAATTTGCTCGAGTTTTCACGATTTTCCAGGATGACCGCTTCAATAAGTTGACATAAACGTAAACTTTCCGATTTTTTCAAAATGTTCTTTTCGAAAATCCAATTAATTAAGCTAGCGATTCGGTGATTTTCGAAGGTTTTCAATGATTCTTTGCACATTTTCACGATCTATAAGAAACAAGAAATTGTTTAGAAAATAATTCTCGATTCTTACCGCAGAAACTGTCATTTCAACAACATTTTCATCGATTTTTTCATTCGACAAAATCCATTGAACAACTTCAACAAAAGAACAAATCCACTGTGAAGTGCAATTCGGCGAAATTGTCGAATCAAATGGTAAATTATCGAAATAACTCTCAATAATCGCCTCGAATGAATTTGATTTTTGCAAATCCTCAAATACTGTGGCAACAAATGGAAGAATGTGAGTTGCCATTTTTGACCAATGCGACTTCTTTTTTCGAATCACATTTAAAATTCGGGGAATAATTGTTTTTTGGAACGAAGTTTTTGATAAATATCTGCAAAAACGAGGAATTGTTGATGGGAATATACATAGTTTTAAAACTAACTCTTCACTTGCGACAAGAACAATGAACGCATTCCAAACTGAATCACAAATTGTGTCATTTGTTGAGTCAAGACAATCCAAAATCCATTGAGAAATTGGGCCATTCATCATTATTTCAATATTGTTTGGAAGTTTTAAGCAAACTGAGAGCAAAGAAGTTTTGAGCTAAACGATACATTTTAGAATATCAAGCTTTTAATATTAGTTACAACTTTTAATATCAGTTATGACGTGGCAAAGTCTAATAATTTTGAAAAATTGGGGTTTTCGGAGGTCAGAACTTGATTTCAAAATGGTTTTCATGAAAATCTAGCGTTGTTGAGGCTCGATAACATAAATAAACTTCATGTTTCAGAAAAAAACCTTCTGTACTCATGTAATCGCGCCTAATGTGCTATCAGATTTTCAAGAAAACCAGCCAGTTTTGACCTCCCAAAACTGCAATTTTTTTTTAAATTTTCCACTTTTGCCCACCATAACTCATATTAGGAGTTGACGAGATATTGATCTACGAGTTAAAAATCTTTTATTCAACTTACATTGTATTTTTCTCCCTTCAAAACTTTTCGCAAATAATTCGAATCAGAAAACAATTTCGAAACACTTTCAACCCAATCAACATTTTTCGATTCGTCACTCAATTTCAAAATTGTTCCCAATCCTTGAACTTCTAATCGATATTTCCGTTGTTCAACACTTTCTTCCTCATCATATTTTGCAGCTTGACACAATTCAGCATTTTCGCCAGTTATTAGAGAAACAGCCAAACGAATTGTGACTCCACCAAACATTTCCAATAATTGTGCACGTTTTGCGGTTCCCTCGAAATTTTCTTTGAAAACATTTTCAGCGGCATTTCCAACACTGTTACTCGCATCACATGTGGCAAAAATAACCAAAGGGATAATAGTTTTCAACCCTTTTCCAGCTGATTTTTTGAGTTTGTTGATGAAAAATGAAATAGTTTTCATAGTCAAAAGGCGAACAGTAGCACTTCCATCAGTTGAAAGATGTTCAACAATTCCAATAAAAGTATCATAACAAATTTCGATAGATTCAGGATTTCCTTCCATAAATTGGATCAATTCTCGAAGTCCCTTTTCTCTTGTACAAGCATCTTTTTTCATCAATTTTCTCAGAATAATCCTAGCTTCATCATCAACATGATTGAAAGTTGCTGCTTCATTTCCAGCCATTTCAAAAACATTCATCTCAGGAGTGAGACCAATGAAAGAGCCATCGGATAAAAGATTGTGAGCAAGAGAACTGCTTGCATTCTTTGCATTTCCTTTTCTTCTCTGTGGTTTACTCATTTTTGAGAAATCTGAAATGAGCATTTTGCGAAAAGAAAAGAAATTCCACATTAATAACTGAATATACGTGGCCGAAAATTTTCCAAAAGTTAGGAAACATTTCGAAATCGAAAAAATGACCGAAAAACAAGGAACGCCAAGGCCAGGTAATTAATATTTCTAGCCTCAACAAAATGTATTCATAGCTGAATTCGTGAAATCATGTAAAACTCTGGAAACCCAACAAAAACCGGAAAAAACAAAAAAAAAAAGAAAATATTTTCCGAGTTTGGTTTTCTAGGCCACAAAAATGCATTGGGGACTAGAAAACCAACAAAAGTGGAGGGAGTTTAAATTACGAATTTTATGCGATTTTTCTGTTTTTTCTGTTAACTAATGTTTGCGTATTCAAAGTAACTTATTATATACATTTATTTCATTCAGAAAGTTTTAAAAAAATCAATATTTCAGGAAACCCGCGGAAATTGGTAATTCCTGAGAAGAAAATGTGTGGAGATTTGGGGAAAACCGTACAATCATAAATAAATAAATAGAAAAATTAATATGGAATTTGAAGGGTTGGCTAGATTTCGATGGTACTTTCATTTTTGATATTTTCAGTCACTCGGTTGTTTGCAGTTGAAGAAGTTGTTGAGAAAAGTAGAAGTTGAAGTTTGGCAGTTTCTTGTTGAAGGACAGCAATCTAGAAAATTTCTGATTTCATTTCATTTTTTAGCTCAAGGCAAAAACAAACCTGTCCTCTTAATTGAATATTTTCCTGTTCCAAAACCGCAGCTTTCGAAGCAATTGCCTCTTCTTTTTGTCGTCGAGCATCTCTCGATCTTTTTGCCGCATCGTTGTTTTTTCGACGTCTCTCGAAATATGCACCATCCTAGAAAAAACTATCAATTTTCATTGATTACTACAAAAAATTGGCGAGGTTTTTTACAATGCGCGTATCTATCTATCTATATATTATAAAAAAAAGTTTTGGGGTGTCATTCGATCTCGCCACCAATGTTGTTAATATGAGAAGACAACTGTTGAGGGTGAATTGATTGGTGGAGGGAAAAATGAGGAGAAAAGGAGATCGTGTTGTGGCAAAGGTGTGATTTTTGAAACCTTATTTTGAGATTGGAGAGGATAAGTTAGAAAAGTGGCTCAGAAAAAAAGCGTGCACATAAATGATATTGAACTACTGTAGTTGAAAATTTTTTGTGTGTAATTGTTCGTCGCGGTGTATGTGTGTGGTTCCCCGCGACTTTCAAAATTTTTTAATTTTTTCTGCTACATTAAATCACTGCCAGAGGGCTCCAATTTATAACACATGAGTTATAACGTGGAAAAATTCACAGAGTTGTTCTGAAACCTTTTCCAAAAAAACTTTATCTGATTTTTTTTCAGGAATGAATTTTACAATTTTTTTTTTCTGGAATCTTGTTCGCAACTCATAACTCTGCCACGTCATAGCTCGTTTTCATAGTGGTTTCAAGCAGTTTCGGGATCAGGATCAGAACATCGAAATCTACCGTGAAAGCTAAATTTTGAAAATGAAAAATATGTTGCCACGTCAAAGTTCACGTAATCCTACTGTACCCTAAATCCCTGGAAGCAATTTGAAATTTTGAAGAATTATCTCAGCTCAGATGAGCTCACATGTTTATGAAATCTTTCACTATTTTTCACAAAAAATTCAAATTCTTATGTAAATATTCATCGGTACATCAATCAATAGGCGTGTGTCATATTGCGCAATCCCCCTCCCCTTTTCATCCCTCTTTCCTCTATAGTTATTTTTTGAATGTGCTCTGTCTGCTCTCTGCTCCAACTGTATATTAAATGAGACAGGCAGGCAACAGTTGGCTGGCGCTTGCTTGATGACCTTTTTTTGAATTGAATGAAAGAAAATTATGAATGGTAATTAACGGCTGCCTCTATAGAGATACCACCCATTGTGATTGACTTTTTTTGATTTATTCATGAACTCACCTTTTTCTCGTCTGGAATTGGACACGCCAATTTACGATGTGGTGATTGTTGAGGACTTGAGAACTGCAATGAAAATGGGGTTTTTTGGTGGAGAAAGAATTTGATGGGAAACTGGAGAGCTTACGGTCTACACTGAGAAGAATTTTATAGGTTCGTATTTTTCAAGCCACTCCAAATTTCCGATTTTTTATATAGCTCAATTTTTTGGATTAACATGAGCAATCGTAATGTTCAGATTCAGAGACTTGGTCTAGGATTAGAACAAATCTAGAATTTTTTGGGAAACTTTTTTAAAACTCAAAAAACATGTCTAGATCTCATCCCAAAAATCAACTCACATTAGTGCTGCTAACAGTGCTCGAATGGCTCGAAACTGGACTACTTGGCTCAGTTGTCGAATCATTGAATTTCGCTTTTTTAGTTGGTGTATATGCAGATGTTGGAATTGTCGCATTCTCATATGGTGGTAATATTCCCAATGGTAATTTGGTTGCCAAAGCGGCTGATAGAAATGCAGCTGAAGTTGCTGCATCATTAAATGGAAATTGAATTGTTGGTTGTTGGTTTTGTTGTTGAGTGGATGGTGTGGCGGCGCGCATTAATGCTGTCAATGCGCGCTGAAGATCCATCTGCAAAAAATATGTTTGGAATAATAGGGGAAAGATTTTAAAGGAGCAAAAAAATCCGTAATCAAAACAACAGTAATCAAAATTTTAATTTTTTTAATCTTGGGACCACAAAGTAGGGAAAAAATCTGCATACATTAGGTACTGCGTCTAAACCTTACAGTACCACTTGGGAAAAACGGAGTTAAAAAAAATAAAAAAAATAGGCCAAAACTTTGGAAGAACGGAAAATCTCTGAAAGAAAGGAAAAAAATAAAAAAAAATTGTTTTTTTGAAATTTCAAATTTTCCCGCCAGTCCCAAACAATTTTCCCATAGTAAATCTATAAATTGCCAAACAGACAAACATATTTGTATGTTATCTTGTTGTTATTAACAGTAAATGCAAAGTAAAATACATAATGTTATCAGTTGTTTTCTGAGCTGTCAACAAAACTTGAAACTTTTTTTGATTGGATGAATATGCGTATTCAAAAAAGTGTAGAAAAACTAGATGAGAGCAAAGTTATTAGCATAATCAGTCTTGCTTTCATAAAAAAAGAAAATAAAAATAAAATAAAAAGGTGTATATGCAAGTGGCAGCCAACTGCTCTTTAAACAATACCTTCTCGGCACACCAAAAAGAAAAAAAGAGCAGAAAAATGCGGTGGGGGGCGTGGCTTGCGATGAGGTCAACATCGGTCATCGGAGTGCAACAGTGCGCAATGTTTAAAGTATTTGGAAAGGAAGAGGAGGGAGAGAGTTAGGCAGACATAGATGATATTTTTGAATAATTTTAGGTTGGAGGGATTAGGAGTTGAGTAATAATAAAGGTTCGGAACTGTTTTTTGGGGGGAAGTGGGGATATATATAGAGATAGAAAGGGTTCTTATAATTATCGGCTTAGCCAGGTTTTTCTTTCGGAATGGAAGTGTTGAGTGGATATTAGGTAATTTGAATAAATTTGAAAAGCGAATATGTTTTTAAAAATTGAAGAAATTGACTCGCGAGTTAACTTCTTCGAGCTCGAACTTTTTTTAATCAAACTGAAAGATTTTTATTCAATTTTTAAGATTTCATTTTTTTTATCCCATAAAATTAAAGTTCTGAATGAAAACTTAATTTTTTCTTTTTGAAAAGATGAAATTACAGATATTTTACAAAATTTTCTAGCAAGGTCTTTTTTTGTTGAAATTTTACAGTAGGAAAATCGCAAAGGCAGAAATATCAACAAAAAACCTGAAAATCAAAATTTGCATTTTTCCAAAGCCCACGAAATTCCCCAAACATTTTCCAAGCTTCCCGCCAAAAAAGAATTCAAAAATTTTTGTTCCCATCAATTTTCCCACAACTCATTGCCAATCATATTTTTTTATTATTTATTTCTCCATTTTTTTGTCCTAAAAACTCATTCTCATCTTCTATAAGTAAGTATTCAATAAGAAAAAGAAGAAGAAAACAAATACACAAATAAATGTAATGACAGGTCATATTTGTACGTGTGCCTTTAATAACTTGATGCATCATGCCTTCTTTTATGAGCACCTTCACTGTGTCAATAAGAAGAACCCTTAATTTATATTCGAAAAAAAATAAATTCCCCTAATTTTTTGGAGCATATAATTAATTAGACATTTTTGGTGACAGGTGGTTTTTGGAGCGGCTTTTGAAAAGCGCGCGAAAATGAGCAACATGTGCTCGAAAAAGGAAAAGAGCCGACAGAAAAAAAGAATTTATTAGGAATTATATTAAATACAATTGATATACCAGTAATCAAATAAAATCAAGAAAAATTATTAATTTTGGATTAATCATCGCATTCTGCTTTGTAGATTTTCACTTCCATTGGCTGCAAAATAAAAATTGGGGTTTTTATGGGAGAAAATTAACATGAGCAATGATAAATGATTTTTTTGAAAAGTAAAGATTACTGTAGACGCTCAAATTGATAATTTTGATATGGGTTACTGTAGTTTGACAAAAGACAATAAAATGTTTAACATGAGAAATCATAAAAAATTATGATAAGCTTTACCGTTTTTTCTCTCTTCTCATAAATTTTTCAAAAAAAACTGATTACCGTAGTTCACAATTTAGAAAAAATCTCTCTTAGGGTTTCTGTAGATAATTAATTTGATATGAGCAACGCTTAAAGCTACAGTAACCCATTCATTTTTCAAATAGATTTTCTGAAAAAACCTACATCTTCAACAATAGTTCCATTCAATGGAGTTGTATCATTAAAATTCGAAGTTGGATAATCAGAATTTTGGAAATCTTGTCCTTCTTCAGGCACTGATTCTTGCTCTGCAAATTTTTATTAGGAAAAGAAAACTCATAGATAATCAGGAAAAACTTCTTACTTGGCTCACATGCTTTTCTGGCTGGAGCCTCTTCCGATTCTTGAGAATCTCCAATTTGTTTGTCGATTTTTGTCAAATATTCCCCATTTGAATCAAGGAATGTGTTTTGTGGAGGGAACAACAACTCGATGTCTGGAATTTGAAACAAAAGTTTTAATATTTTTTGAAAAATTGATTCAGTTTTCACAAAAAAATATATTTTTTCAAAAAATGAAAAATTGGTTTTCTGAAAAATAAAAGAATAATCACGTGAAACGCGTCTTGGCCAGTTTATGTGGCTTATAAGATTTTTCAAATTTCGTCATTTTTGGATTTCATAACAGTCCTAACAAGTCGTCAGAGAAGACAAGAATAAAAGTGAGTTTAACTACTGTAGATATTATGACTACTGTAAAAGGATATATAGTTTTATAGGCATTATTTTTCTGTAAGTCTAAAGAACCTAATTGTCTAGGAACCGCACCGAGAGATTCACTTTGACAAGGGCCCGCGCCTTGAGAGCTTCTGTGCCAAGAAGTCAATCCCAGAAACGTTCGCTGTCAAGTAGTCGCGTCCAGCGCCTAGAGGGCCTGTTTATAAAATTATAAAAATTAATTCGAAATATTTTTCCCACCCACTCACCTTTTATTTCAATCGGCAAGCTTTTCACAAAAACAACGAGCAAAAAAATAGCAAGAACCGCTCTCATTTTCTTCTCGAAAAATCTGAAAAATGAATGTTTTCTCGGCGTTTTTTCTCGAAATGTGGTGTCCCAAGAGAAAAAATACAACAAAAACATCAGGAGAGACGAGAAAAATGAGTCATGAATGAATGAAAAAAGATGGCGAAAGAGAAATAAACTGGATTTCTGACCTACAAAAAAAAACAGCTAGATATCAAGAATGAAGAAAAAGAAACATGGGAAATTGAATTTTGTCGAGAAGAATTCAAAATAAACAAGAAAATTGAATTTCTCTTCAAAAACCTGTGATCATATAATACTTTTATAGTCACCTCGAAGGTCGAGTATTTTTCAAGTGTTTTCCAATTATACAGTAAACTTTGACGAGGAATAGAAAATACGCTCCATTGATAAAACTTTGGTGAAACTAACCAAATATTAGCATAAATCTACTAGAACACTAATAATATTTATTTTCCTCGAAAATATGCTTTTTTGCTAATAAATTTGTAAAATTATTTGAAAAAAAAGAAAGTACTAAAGTAGACCCGCAAAATGTTTAGTTCGCTGCGAGACCACAAAAAACACATAGACTCCCTTTAATTCGGTGGTACGGTATGAACGCCACGAAATTTCTTTTTGTTTTTTGTTTCTCACGCAAAATATTTTTTTAAAACTGAACTTTTGAAGTCTGCCATTGTTGCTTCTTGATTGAAACAACGAGATTTTAGTAATTTTGATTAGGTCTTATGAAACTGACACTAAAAAACTATCCAAAAACAAAAGAAAATCGCGAAATTTCCAACAAAATACATGCATTTTCAAAGATTTTTTGAAAGATCTCACATATGTTTTTGTTTCGTTTCCTCCTCTCAATTGTCCTTCTCTTTTCTATCTCTCAAAAATATCTGTTTTCATCTAGCAAAATTTGCTCTATGGAAAACGTTGACCGCCAGACCCTGCTGGCTGCCGCTTTTTTCTGTTCGTTTGAAAATTGCGGATTTCACAATACCAAAATGTGTTTGTTTTTGCGCCCTTATGAGTTGTCATTCTTTTTTGTTTCTCTTCTCTCGTTAATCTATACTTACTCTAAAATAGAAGAATTTTCAGGGTAATATGGATAGCGGAAATGAGAGTGGTACTGGTGGACCACCTCCGACTGTCAAATTAGCCACTGAAACTGATGTAAAAGATTATATCGTTCTCAATGTATCTGCTCAATTAGGCTTGACTGCTCCGGAAATCGCCGCACTTGATATGCAATTTTCAAGCGGATCTGGAGCGCAAAGTTTGACTGAATTTATCGCCGAAAATGATAAACATGTGTTGGTTGTTGATAAGATTATTGCCAAAGGTAAATAGTGTTCAAAACAAAATATGATTGGTATATTATTTAGAACAAGAAAGTGAAGAAGAAACTACTAATGAGAATACACGTTCCGCTGGTCCGGCAACTTTTCAAATTCACAATGGATTGTTCTCATCGGATCGTTCGATTGCTTCACTTTTCATGAAACATTCAGCTGTTATTGAAGCCGAGAAACCAATTGCTTTTCAAGTCAGAACTTTTATGTATGTTTTTTTTTTCTTTTTTCATTGGATCATGTTCCAACTTTTTTTGCAGGCTTTCTGGTGGAAGTGCTTCTGAAGAACTTCATCTTCTTATGAATCGATTTGTTAATCCATATTTCAAATCATTCATAAATCAATCTGGAAGAGGAGAAAGAGATGGAGACAAACTTGCTCCAACAGTTCAAAAGAATTTCACCGAAGCTGAAGCTGCTCTTCTCCATCTTCAACAAAATATTGATATTCCTGATATTAATTTGGAAATTCATCCAAAGATTCTTGCAGTTATTGAAAAAGCCCAGAAAGAAAATCGAAGAGCTAAAATTGAGGATCTTGGAGATATTGTTGAGGATACAACATTTTTGAATGAACTTCAAAATGGGTGTAATAAATGGTTGAAGGAAATCAAGAAAGTGACAAATTTGGAGAGAGATGCTGCATCGGGTACTTCTTTACAAGAAATTACATTCTGGTTGAATTTGGAAAGAGGACTTTTGAAGATTTTGCAAAAAAGAGAATCTGAAGAGGTTTCTTTGACATTGGATGCGTTGAAATGCGGAAAACGGTTCCATGCAACAGTTGGATTTGATAGTGACACTGGATTGAAGCCAAAATTAGCAATGGTCACTGATTATAATACAATGATGAAGGATTTCCCATTGAATGAACTTGTTTCGGCAACTGATGTTCCTAAATTACAACAAGCGGTTCTTGGAATATTTGTGCATTTGAAGAAATTGCGATCGACTAAATATCCATTACAAAGAGCTTTGAGATTGGTTGAAGCGATTTCGAGAGATTTGAATTCGCAATTATTGAAAGTTCTTTCATCATATCGATTAATGCATATTCCAATCAACGAATTCAATGATATTATGCAACAATGTCAAGCATTATTCAGTAAATGGGATGATGAATTTGATAAATTTATTGCACTTCTTCGTGATATTAACAAGAAAAAACGAGATGATCCGTCAAAATTATCATGGAAAGTAACAGCAGTTCATAAAAGATTGGAACAAAGATTGATGCAAGTTATGCAATTCAGAAAACAACATGAACAATTCCGAACTGTTATTGAAAGAGTTTTGAGACCAATTGGAAAATCATCACAAAAATCGAAGGAAAAGATTATTATTATGGAAGGTGAAAAATCGCCAGATGAGCAAGTTGATATTGCTTATGAATATTTGAAAAATGTTGACTTTTTGGATGTTGATAGCAATGCTTGGGAAACATCTTTCAAACGGTGAGGAAAAATGAGTTTTTTGTTAGTAAAAGTTATAAACGTCAATTTTTCCAGATATGAAGAGCAAATTGGTGTTGTTGAATCAGCAATTACAACTCGTTTGAAGTCCCAATTGGAATCATCGAATAATTCAAATGAAATGTTTTCGATTTTCCGTTGTTATAATGCTCTTTTCATACGTCCACGTATTCGCGGTGCCATTTATGAATATCAAACTCGTTTGATCACTCGAGTCAAAGATGATATCAATGCTCTTCAAGAAGGATTCACAAAATCGCGAGGAGAAGAAAGAGTTCGAAGAATGCAACACTGTGCGATTCCACCATTTTCTGCCAAAATTATCTGGATCAAAAACTTTGAAAGACAAATCAATTTGTATATGAAAAGAGTTGAAGATGTTTTGGGAAAACAATGGGAAAATCATGTTGATGGAAGACAATTGAAAGCCGATGGAGATAATTTCAAAGTTAAATTGAATACTCAACCAATGTTTGATGAATGGATCGAAACTGTTCAGGCACAAAATTGGGATGTTCCGACGAAAATTTTGACAGTTGAAAGAACTCAGATTGAAGGAAAAGTTCGACTTATTATGAAAGTCAATTTCCATCCCGATTGTTTTATTCTTTTCAAAGAGGTTTGTAGAATTCTCTTGAATTTATCCGGAAAATTCAAATTTTTCAGGTAAATCAATTGAAATCGATGGGTTTCCGAGTTCCATTGAAGATTGTTAATTGGGCTCATCATGCAAATCAACTTCATCCAGCTGCAACTGCTTTGATCGAAGCGATTCGAACTTTCCATGCTGTAAATGCTGCTTTGGCTTCTGTGAAAGGAGTTGATTCACTTTTGGCTAGTTATCGAAAAGATATTCAACAACAATTGTTGGAAGGAGCTGCGTTGACTTGGGATTCTTATAAATTGGAACAATATCATATTAAACTTGCGCAAACTGTTAACACTTATCAGGTAAATGCTAAAAATTAAGAATTAATTTTCATACGTGACGTGAACTCTACTTAATTTTTAAAAATAAAATTTCATTTCTCAATAAAAAAAAAACAAATCAAATTCTGCCAAATGTTCATTTTATTTATTTTTACAGGAACGCGAAGAGGAATTGTTAAATATTGTTCGTAGAATCAATTCGGACGTCGAAGCATTGAAAAATTGCAATTATGACGGAGAAACATTCAAGAATTTATTGGCTTCAGTTCAAAAAGGAGTTGATCAATTATCATTAGGAAATTATTCGAATTTGGCACAATGGGTCACAAAATTGGACAAAGAAATTGAAACAATTTTGGCGCGAAGAGTTGAAGATGCAATTCGAGTTTGGACTTTGGTATTCTCACAATCGGAACAAGTTGAAGAATTGAGAGAAAATAATATTGCTTTACCAAATGTGAAATCAGTTGTAATTGATTTGTGCATGACTGCTCAAACACTTTATATTAGTCCAAGTACACAAGAAACAAGAGAGAAATTATTGGAAGAATTCACTGAATGGCATAGTATTTGTTCGGCTCAACAAAGAATTAGTGGAACACGTTTCCAAATGATGATCAATGATGACGCCGAACCAGAAACTTATGAGAATATTTTGAATGTTTTACCAGAAGGTTCAAAAGTTCTTGATGCGGCAAATGAATGTGTCAATAAAATAATGGCGGATATTGAAGAATATTTGAGTGAATGGCTTAGTTATCAATCATTGTGGGTTCTTCAAGCTGAACAAATGTTTGAAAGTTTGGGAACTGATTTATCGAAATGGATGAAAACATTGACTGAAATTCGAAGAGGAAGATTGGTTTTTGATACACAAGACACGAGAAAAGCGATATTCCCAGTATTTATTGAGTATGGAAAAGCTCAACAAAAGATTTTGTTCAAATATGATTATTGGCATAGAGAAATGTTGGTCAAATTTGGATCTGTTGTTGGTGAGCACACTTTTTAGAACACCTGGAGTTATGACGTGGAAAATCAGGTGTTTTGTCGAAAACCTGGTCTTTAGAGTGCTGAATTTTTTTCAGAGAAACTATTTCAGAATTCTGAGTTTACAACGTCTTCAGAATTTTTGTTTTCACCAAACTCTCAGAAAATATTTCTACGAGACCTCAAAGTTTCCTTCTTAATCTTATTTTTTCCAGCCGATGAAATGCAAAAGTTCTACAACAGTGTTTCGAAATGGCGAAATGTTCTCGAAACTCAATCGGTCGATGGCGGTTCAACTGCTGATACAATCAGTCTCATCTCATTTGTTCAATCATTGAAAAAACAAACATCTTTGGGACAAGAAGCTGTTGATTTGTATAAATCATCGCAAAGATTGTTGAATCAACAAAGATATCAATTCCCAACTCAATGGTTGGCATCGGAAAATGTTGAAGGAGAATGGCTTGCGTTTGCGGAAATTTTGAGTTTGAGAGATGCTTCAATTCAAACACAGGTTTGCAGTTTTCGTTATAAATTCCATAAAAATGGAAATCTTAATTCATTATTCAAACCTTCAGATGATGAATCTTCAAACCAAATTTGCACAAGAAGATGAACTTGTTGAAAAACGAACCGTTGAAACATTGACCGAATGGAATAAAAATAAGCCAGTCGAAGGAGCTCAAAGACCACAAGATGCTTTGAATGTTATCACTGCATTTGAAGCAAAACTCAATAAATTGACAGAAGAAAGAAATAAAATGAGAAAAGCGCGAGTTGCTTTAGATTTATCAGACAGTGCACATGCACCATCAGAAAGAGATAAATTATCAGTTGCAGCTGAAGAATTATCTGATATGAAAGATGTTTGGAAAGCATTGCAACCAATTTATTCGGGAATTGATGAAGCCAAGGAGAAAACATGGTTCTCTGTGCAACCGCGAAAAATTCGACAATCTTTGGATGAATTGATGAATCAATTGAAACAGTTGCCAGTCAAATGTAGAACTTATAAAAGTTATGAACACGTCAAACAAATGTTGCACACTTATGGAAAAATGAATATGTTGGTGGCTGAATTGAAATCGGAAGCATTGAAAGAACGACATTGGCAACAAATGACGAAAGAAATGAGAGTTAATTGGAATATGAGTGATTTGACATTGGGACAAGTTTGGGATGCTGATATTTTGAGGTTGGTTCTTTTTTTTTAAATTTCCCTCGATTTAGAAGCCAGGAAATATTAGCAATATATGATTTTCCTCACAGAATTCCAAAAATTACCCTTTTTCTTCCAGACATGAAAACACAATCAAAAAAATCTTATTGGTTGCTCAAGGAGAAATGGCACTCGACGAATTCCTTCGAGAAATGCGCGAATATTGGCAAAATTATGAAGTTGAACTGATCAATTATCAAAATAAGACGAGATTGATCAAAGGATGGGATGATTTGTTCAATAAATTGAAAGAACATCAAAATTCATTGTCAGCTATGAAATTGTCGCCATATTATAAGCAATTTGAAGAGGTTTGTTGGATATAAAGAGAAAAGGCTCTTTTTATGGCTAAAAATCATAAATCTAAACTTTTGTTTGTAGAATGCTCAATCTTGGGATGAAAAATTGAACAAAATCAATGCAATGTTTGATGTTTGGATTGATGTTCAAAGAAGATGGGTTTATCTCGAAGGATTGTTCTCTGGATCTGCTGAAATTGCAACACTCTTACCTTTCGAAAGCTCGCGATTCTCAACAATCACAACAGATGTTTTGGCTCTTATGAAAAAAGTGGCAGCTTCTCCCCGAATTTTGGATGTTGTAAACATGCAAGGAGCACAAAGATTACTTGAAAGATTGGCTGATATGTTGGCAAAGATTCAAAAAGCATTGGGAGAATATTTGGAGCGAGAAAGATCGAGTTTTCCACGTTTCTATTTTGTTGGAGATGAAGATTTGTTGGAAATTATGGGAAATAGTAAAGATATAACAAGAATTCAGAAGCATTTGAAGAAGATGTTTGCTGGAATCACTGCGATTGATGTGAATGAGGAAGATATGACAATAATTGCATTCCATAGTCGAGAAGGTGAAAAAGTTGAATTGGTTAAACCAGTTGTGACAAAAGAAACACGAATCAATGATTGGTTGCAAGCTTTGGAATCTGAAATGAAACACACTTTGGCTAGAAATTTGGCTGGATCACTTCAACATTTCTCGAAAATGGATATTAATTCAATGTCGCAAGATGCTTATAATGAATGGTTGGATAAATATCCGACACAAGTTATTACACTAACTGCTGAAATTTGGTGGTGTGATGAGATGGAAAAAACGTTGGCTGATGGAAAAAGTGCGGATATTGTTGAGAAATTGGTGGTGAAGACTTTGGAATTGTTGGCGGATAGTGTTTTGAAAGAACAACCAGCGATTAGAAGAAAGAAAATGGAAGCTTTGGTGGGTTTTTGTTGAAATATGGATATTTGGAAAATGTGGATTTTTATCGAAGAAATCTGCTGAAAATTTGGAAAATTGAGGATATTCAATCGAAAATCGAATTTTTCGTGATAAATGTTGAAGTTTCATTTTTTTGCGAAGAAAATTGACGGCGTAAACGCGGATTGATATTTTTTTTATCCAATTTTCCCATTTAAAATTTCACCATAACCCGAATTTTCCAACGATACTCCGTGTTGACGCCGTCGATTTTTTCTCTCAAAATTGATGTTCGAATTTTTTTTCGAAAAAATCGATTTTTTCCTTCAAAAATCTGAATGCTCTAGATATTAATTTCAAAAAATTTCGAAATTTACATGTTTTATTTTCAGATCACTGAACTTGTTCATAAACGTGATGCTTGTCGTAAATTGGCTGCGAAGAAAATCAAAGCTGCAAATGATTTTGGATGGTTGCAATGTATGAGATTCTACTTTGATCCTAAACAGGTATTCATTTATTTTTTTGTCTCCCAATTTTCCTCATTGCTCATATTATTCTTTTAGGTTGATCCAGTTCGTTGTTGTGTTGTCAAAATGGCAAATGCTCAATTCTTCTATGGTTTTGAATATTTGGGAATACAAGAGAGATTAGTTCGAACACCTCTTACTGATAGATGTTATTTGACAATGACACAAGCATTGCATTCACGTCTCGGTGGTTCGCCATTCGGTCCAGCTGGAACTGGAAAAACTGAATCTGTAAAAGCACTCGGACATCAACTCGGAAGATTTGTTCTCGTTTTCAATTGCGATGAAACATTTGATTTCCAAGCGATGGGAAGAATTTTGGTTGGATTGTGTCAAGTTGGAGCATGGGGTTGTTTTGATGAATTCAACAGATTGGAAGAACGCATGTTGTCTGCTGTTTCACAACAAATTCAAACAATTCAAGAAGCTGTTCGGGCTGGAGGTGATATGAGTATTGATTTGGTTGGAAAACGATTGAATGTCAATGCGAATATTGGTATCTTCATCACAATGAATCCTGGATATTCGGGAAGATCTAATCTTCCTGACAATCTCAAACAATTGTTCCGAAGTTTGGCAATGACTCAACCCGATAGACAATTGATTGCTCAGGTTATGCTATTCTCGCAAGGATTCAGAACCGCTGAAACGTTGGCCAACAAAATTGTACCATTGTTTATTTTGTGCAAAGAGCAACTTTCTGATCAATGTCATTATGATTTTGGACTTCGTGCATTGAAATATGTTCTAGTATCAGCTGGAAATATCAAACGAGATAAATTGGATAAAATTGGATCGGCTGCATTGGAAGATATTGCCGAACAACAAATGTTGATTCAATCAGTTTGTGAAACACTTGTTCCGAAATTGGTCAATGAAGATATTGCATTATTATTCTCATTATTAAGTGATGTTTTCCCTGGAATTCATTATACACCAAATCAAATGACTGAACTTCGACAACAATTATCAACAGTTTGTGATGAGCATTTATTGCAATATTCGGATATTCAAGGTGAAATGGGATCGATGTGGTTGGATAAAGTATTGCAATTGTATCAAATCACTAATTTGAATCATGGTTTAATGTTGGTTGGATCAAGTGGAAGTGGAAAAACAATGGCGTGGAAAGTGTTGTTGAAAGCATTGGAAAAATGGGAAAATGTTGAGGGTGTTGCTCATGTTATTGATGCAAAAGCGATGAGCAAAGATTCGCTTTATGGTGTGATGGATCCGAATACAAGAGAATGGACTGATGGATTATTCACATCCATTATTAGAAAGTTGGTTCTTTTTTTGGAATTTTTGCGGGAAAAAATTGGAACTGGCTGAAAAAAATTAAGAAATCAACATTTTGGCTCTGAAATGTATTATGACAAATTTTTTTCAAAAATTTAAAATTTCAAGTTTCAACACACATTTCAAGTTTCAACACACGTCAGTCGCAAAATTACCTGGTCTAAAACCTTTGTTTTTTTCCAGAATCATTGATAATGTTCGAGGTGAAGCTGATCGTCGTCAATGGATTATTTTCGATGGAGATGTTGATCCGGAATGGGTTGAAAATTTGAATTCAGTGCTCGATGACAATAAATTATTAACACTACCAAATGGAGAACGTCTTTCAATTCCACCAAATGTTCGAATTATCTTCGAAGTCGCCGATTTGCAATACGCAACACTTGCAACAGTTTCGCGATGTGGAATGGTTTGGTTTAGTGAAGAAGTTGTCACATCTGAAATGCTACTTGAAAGATATTTATCAATGTTGAGAAAAGTTCCATTGGATTCAGATAATGTTGTTAGTTTTTCATCATCAAATGCTCCCGTTAATATGTTGGCTGATGATGCGAAACCAACTCGAGCGATTGAGATTCAACGAACTGCTGCTCTATCACTTCAATCACATTTCTCACCCGATGGAATTGTTCCGGGATCGCTGAAATATGCTGTTACTGAATTGGAACATATTATGCCACCAACATCTCAAAGATTACTCTCCTCGTTCTTTTCGATGATGTCATATTCGATTCGAAAAATGATTTCGCATGATGAAGGATTGATTGATTTTTCGGTTGAATTGGATCAGATTCAAAACTTTGTGCTGAAATCAATGTTGACGAATTTGGTTTGGGCTTTTAGTGGAGATGGAAAATGGAAAGCCAGAGAGCAAATTAGTGATTTTATTCGACAAACTACAACTATTACATTGCCACCAAATCAACAGGTCAGATAAGTTTGAAGAATTTTGTGCCAAAAAAATTATTTCTAAAAATTAGGTTGTGAAAATCTTGATTCAAAAATTCCACTAAAATTCAAATTCCTCGAATCAGGAATTAATCTGAAATTTGAAAGAATGTAAAAACAATCGTTTAATAATCCAAATTATTTTCCAAAAAATTGAGGAAACTTTGAAACAGTGACTTTTTTTATTCTAAAAAAAATTTCGAAAAAATAAGATGTTTCTTACAAGGGAAGTGCATAAGGGTAGGTGTTGAACTTTTTGTGCAATTTGGTACACATATAGATTCGAACCTGCTGATCTTGAATCTGTTTTCAAAAATTGCCACAAGTGCACCCAAATGGTGTTTTGCGCCATCAAAAAATCACAATTTTTTCTTCGTTTCATATATCAAACATTTGCAGCGAGGAAGAACAGGAGCGCGTAGCCGAGTGGCAAACACGCACGTCTCTTAAATTTTAGGTCATGGGTTCGATCCCGCACCAAGGCAAACTTTTTTTTTCAATTTTTTTTTCAAATCCATTTATGATAACTTGTCAAAATACGTTATAATATTTATGATAACTGGTCGCAAATGTTTTGATTTGGAAAAAAATTAGTGAATGTTGCGTTCAAAAGGCAGATGACTTTTATTTTGAAACAAAAAAACCAATAAGAATGGAATGAAAATGGAACTGAAAAATGTTCTGAATTTTTTTAATTGTTATGTTTCCATGATTTTGTTTTTTGTTTTCATAAATGGATTTGCAAAAAAAAAGTTTGCCTCGAAGCGGGGTCGATCCCATAACCTAAAATTTCAAAGACGTGAGTGTTTACCACTCGGCTACGCGCTCCTGTTTTTCCTGCCTGCAAATGTTTGATATATGAAACGAGGAAAAAATGGTGAATTTTCGATGGCGCCAAACTGCTTTTGGGTGCACTTGTGGCAATTTTTGAAAACGAATTCGAGATCAGCGGGTTCGAATCTATATGTGTACTAAATTGCAAAAAAAGTTCAACACCTAACCTTATGCACTTCCCTTGTTAAAAATCTGTTTCCTAGTCATAATTTCCACCTTCAGTTGCAATTGCATTTTTTCCAAAAATCAGTAAACATTTTGAAACAGTACATTTTTTGAATCAGAAAAGAATTGAAATTTTCTTGAAAATTTATTTCCAAGGCATGTTCACACTCATAAAAATGCGAATTTTCAGAAATTCCTAATTTGAAATATTTATCAAAAATTGTTTTTGAAGGAATTTTTAAGTTTTGCTTTTCTTATTTCATTGTGCTCACGCTTGTTCTGCTTCAAAAATACATCGTTTCCCAAAATTCCTCATTTTCAGGCTTGCCTCATTGATTATGAAGTTCAATTGAATGGAGATTGGCAACCATGGTTGGCTAAAGTTCCAACGATGGAAATTGAAGGTAATTTCTTCCCCCCCCCCTTTTCACACCTCATTCTCAATATTTTTCCAGCTCATCGTGTTGCTGCAGCTGATCTTGTTGTTCCAACAATCGATACAGTTCGACACGAAATGTTACTTGCTGCTTGGTTGGCTGAACATAAACCACTTGTACTTTGTGGTCCACCGGGTTCTGGTAAAACAATGACATTATTAGCCGCACTCCGCTCACAACAAGATATGGATGTTGTAAATGTGAATTTCTCATCTTCAACAACACCCGAATTACTTTTGCGAACTTTCGATCATTATTGTGAATATCGTCGAACTCCGAATGGTGTTGTTTTGGCGCCAGTTCAAATGTCACAATGGCTTGTCATATTCTGTGATGAAATCAATTTACCATCACCGGATAAATATGGAACACAAAGAGTTATCAGTTTCCTTCGACAACTTGTTGAATTGAATGGATTTTATCGAACATCTGATCATAGTTGGGTATCACTTGAACGTATTCAATTTGTTGGAGCATGTAATCCACCAACAGATCCAGGAAGACATCCAATGACATCTCGATTCCTTCGACATGTTCCAATTGTTTATGTCGATTATCCGGGACAAACATCATTGATGCAAATCTATGGAACATTCAATCGAGCAATGTTGAAAATGACACCAGCTGTTCGTGGATTGGCTGAACAATTGACAAGTGCAATGGTTGATGTGTATCTAGCAAGTCAAGAACATTTCACACAAGACGATCAGCCGCATTATGTTTATTCGCCAAGAGAATTGACGAGATGGGTTAGAGGAATTTCGGAAGCGATTACACCATTGGAATCATTGTCGGCTGAACAACTTGTTCGATTATGGGCACATGAAGCGATTCGATTGTTCCAAGATCGATTGGTTTCCGAAGAAGAACGAGTTTGGACCGATAATTTGGTTGATGAAACTGCTGAAAAGTTTGTTTTTTTATTTAATTTGGAAAAATATCATTTGGGATTTCAAGAACCAGTTGAAACATTCAATTTTAGAAAATTTTGAACCTTTTTTAACTACGAAAAACTCGGTTCATGTCTCTTTTCATATTCCCAAAGACTTCTAACATTCCTCTCCAAATTCTTCTTTACCCAATATTTTTTTCAGATACTTTGGAAACACATGTCGTATTCAAGAAGCTCTTCAAAGACCACTTTTGTATTCTTGTTGGATGTCTCGTAATTATGTTCCAGTTACACGCGAAGAACTTCAAGATTATGTATCAGCTCGTCTCAAAGGATTCTACGAAGAAGAACTCGATGTGAAATTGGTACTTTTCGATCAAATGCTCGATCATGTTCTTCGAATCGATCGAATTTATCGACAATCACAAGGACATTTATTATTAATCGGAACCGCTGGAGCTGGAAAGACTACACTTTCGAGATTTGTTGCCTGGTTAAATGGACTTAGTGTGTTCCAATTGAAGGTGCATTCGAAATATACGGCTGCTGATTTTGATGAAGATATGAGAACTGTTTTGAGAAGAGCTGGTTGTAGAAATGAGAAACTGTGTTTTATTATGGATGAATCAAATATGTTGGATACTGGATTCTTGGAAAGATTGAATACTTTATTAGCAAATGGTGAAGTTCCGGGATTATTTGAAGGAGATGAACATACAACACTTATGACACAAATAAAGGAAGGAGCACAAAGACAGGGATTGATTTTGGATAGTCATGATGAATTGTACAAATGGTTCACACAACAAGTTATGCGAAATTTGCATGTTGTATTCACGATGAATCCATCTGGAAGTGGTTTGAGAGAACGAGCTTCCACTTCGCCAGCTTTGTTTAATCGATGTGTTTTGAATTGGTTTGGAGATTGGAGTGATAATGCATTGTATCAGGTAACACATACGTTTTTTTTAATTTTGCCACGTAGATTTTTAGAGCTGAAATTGTTGAAGTTTCAAATTCAAATTCTTGTTTTTTTTGAACCTCAAAATTATCGTTATCCTCAGAATTTCATAAAATCCCCAAATCATTCTTCCAAAATCCTTCTCTCTCAAAATATCAAATTTATAGGTTGGTTCGGAACTTACGAAAACAATGGATATTGATCGAACTGATTATGAAGGATCTGTTCGTTTAACACCATCTTGTGAACTTGTTCCAAAAGAGCCAAATTATCGTGATGCAGTTGTTAATACACTTTGTTTGGTCCATAAAACTGTCAAGAAATTCAACGAAATTGAACTCAAAAAAGGACATCGTGTTATGGCTGTAACACCTCGACATTTCTTGGATTTCATCAAACAATTCATGTCTTTGTTCCATGAAAAACGATCGGATTTGGAAGAAGAAAAGATTCATTTGAATATTGGATTGAATAAGATTTCGGAAACTGAAGAACAAGTCAAAGAATTGCAAAAAAGTTTGCATTTGAAGAGTCAAGAATTGGAGGAGAAAAAGAATGCAGCAAATTTGAAATTGAAAGAAATGTTGGGAGATCAACAAAAAGCGGAAGAAGAAAAGAGGTTATCAGAACAATTACAAAAAGAATTGGCTGTACAATTGGAACAAATGGCAACCAAAAAAACTGTTGTTGAAAGTGATTTAGCACAAGTTGAACCAGCTGTTGCGGAAGCACAAACTGCTGTACAAGGAATCAAGAAGAGTCAATTGGTCGAAGTGAAAACAATGGCAAGTCCACCGGTTACTGTAAAATTAACATTGGAAGCAATTTGTATTTTATTGGGTGAAAATGTTGGAACTGAATGGAAAGCAATTCGACAAGTTATGATGAAAGAAGATTTTATGACAAGAATTTTGCAATTTGATACGGATAGTATATCGAATGATATTTTGAAACAAATGGAAAAGTATATACAAAATCCAGATTGGGAATTCGATAAAGTGAACAGAGCTTCTGTTGCGTGTGGACCTATGGTGAAATGGGCAAGAGCACAATTATTATATTCAACAATGTTGCATAAAGTTGAACCATTGAGAAATGAATTGAACAGATTGGAAAAGGAAGCAGCAAAGAAAACGGAAGAAGGAAAAGTTGTTGATGTGAGAATAATTGAATTAGAAGAAAGTATTGGAAAATATAAAGAAGAATATGCACAATTGATTGGACAAGCTGAAAATATCAAACAAGATTTATTGAGTGTTCAAGAGAAGGTGAATAGATCGACTGAATTGTTGTCATCATTGAGATCGGAAAGAGATCGATGGTCGTCGGGAAGTGATGGATTCTCACAACAAATGGATTCACTTGTTGGAGATGCACTTATGTCAAGTGCATTTTTGGCATATGCTGGATATTATGATCAAATGGTTTGTTTTTTTGAGAATTTTGAAAATTAGTTTGCGAAATTGGTATTTGATGAGAGTATTTTTCGTTTTTGGTCAAAAATTGGTCAAAAATAGAGTTTTATTCATTTTTTAAAAATTTGATTTGAAACCTCAAAAAAACATTATATTTTTTCGAAAAATTCTAATAATGTGCAATAAGTTCTTTTTTTCATCATTTCCATCTTTTATTTTCAATTTTTTGCAGCTTCGTGATGAAATCTTCCATAAATGGTTCAGTCATGTTTGTGATGCCGGTGTTCATTTCCGCCATGATTTGGCTCGCATCGAATATTTGTCAACAGTCGATGATCGTCTCCAATGGCAACTCAATTCTCTTCCAGTTGATGATTTGTGCACTGAAAATGCAATTATGCTCCATCGTTTCAATCGATATCCATTAATTATTGATCCATCTGGACAGGCAATTGAATATATTATGAAACAGTTTGCTGGAAAGAATATTCAGAAAACATCGTTTTTGGATGATTCATTCAGGTTGGTTTGTTTTATTGATTAAAGTTTAACAATAAGACATTTTATCACAAAAATTAGCCTGTGTCGGAAAGTTGAAACCCGAAAAACGGAAAAATTCTGAAAAATTGAAAAAAATGTCCAAAAATATTTTTTTTTAGTTTAGGCAATATTGAAGACATTATTATAAAAATAATTTTCCGCATTTTTCGAGCACATTTTTCGGAATACCGGAAAATTTCCGACACAGGCTGTATTAGCCCCTTTTTACTACTTGAATTTCAAAATTCACATGGTTAATTTTTTGCAGAAAGAATCTTGAATCTGCTCTCCGATTCGGTAATTCATTATTGGTTCAAGATGTTGAAGCATATGATCCAATTTTGAATCCAGTTCTCAATCGAGAAGTCAAACGAGCTGGTGGCCGAGTTTTGATAACTCTTGGCGATCAAGATATCGATCTTTCACCTTCATTCCAATTGTTCATGATTACACGTGATTCAACTGTCGAATTCTCTCCGGATATTTGTTCGAGAGTTACATTTGTCAATTTCACCGTTACATCATCTTCTCTCGCAAGTCAATGTTTGAATCAAGTATTGAGAAGTGAAAGACCAGATGTGGATAAGAAACGAAATGATTTGTTGAAATTACAAGGGGAATTTGCTGTTAGATTGAGACATTTGGAAAAAGCATTATTGGCTGCATTGAATGAAAGTAAAGGAACTATTTTGGATGATAATTCGGTTATTGAAACATTGGAAAAATTGAAAAATGAAGCGGCTGAAGTTGCACAAAAATCAGCGGAAACTGATAAAGTTATGGCAGAAGTTGATGCTGTTTCAGCACAATATCAAAGACTTGCAACAGCTTGTTCACACATTTATCACGCACTTCAACAACTCAACGAAATTCATTTCCTCTATCATTATTCGCTTGATTTCTTGGTCGAAATCTTCACACATGTTCTGAAAACACCCGAATTGGCGAATAGCTCAGATTATGCGGCAAGATTGCGAATCATCACGACGAGTTTGTTCCAAACTGTATTCAGACGGGTTTCGCGTGGAATGTTGCACACGGATAAAGTATTATTGGCTCTTTTGTTGATGAGAATTCATATTCGATCGAATCCAGCACATCCAGCTTATGAACAACATTTTGATGTTTTGTTGGGAAGATCGGATTTGGTGCAAAAGAAGGGTAAGGAAATATGGGGGACGTGGGAAATCTGTAATTTTCAACATGAAAACGGAAAAATTCAGATTTTTTCTTCATTTTGAACTCGGATTTCATGTGAGCAATCAGAAATCCTAATTTCAGCTCAGATTTTGAATTAAATCCTGATCTTGTACATCTCAATCAATTACATTCATCATCTGAGCTACTTCCCAAATTTTTGAAAATTAAATTTCAGCTCAGATTTTTATTCCAGAATTCAAAATCTCAATCAATTACATTTTTGCCCAATCCATAAACTCAAAATTCTAGAAAAATTATCGTAAAAATCAATTTTTCCACGTCATGACCTTTTTTTCCAAAAATTTTGAATTCACACCTTTATCTGAGGGATGAACTTACAGTAAACCAACTTCCAAAAAACCCAAGTGAAAAATCTGAAGCTTTCCTGACATGTTTTTTATTATACATATTATTGTTTTTTCCAGATGAACTTGATGCTGCAATTCCTGCCGGACTCGATTTCCTTCCAATGGAAAAGAAAAGACAATTGGCGAAAATTCGAAAAGTTGATGGATTCGAAAATGTTTTCGCCAAAATTCAATCGAATCAATCGGCTGTTTCTGAATGGTTATCCCACGACAATCCAGAATCTAATGTTCCAGTTATTTGGGAAGATTCGGAAAATAAATTGAGTAAGAGGAATAATTCTGAAAAAATCAAATAAAAAACTAATTGTTTTTGCAGCTCCATTATGTGTTGCAATGAATTCATTGATTTCAATCCACGCACTTCGACCAGATCGACTTATGGCATCTGCACATCGTGTTGTTTCGACAGCTTTTGATGAGAATTTCATGCAACAAGACAAAGTTGTTGATATTGTCACAATTGTTGATCACGAAGTTTCACCATCTGAACCGGTTTTGTTATGTTCAGCGACTGGATATGATGCATCAGGAAGAATTGAGGATTTGGCAGTTGAAACAAATCGACAAATCACATCAATTGCAATCGGTTCGGCTGAAGGTTTTAGTCAAGCGGATTCGGCATTGAATGCGGCAACAAAATCGGGAAGATGGGTGTTGTTGAAGAATGTGCATTTGGCACCAAGTTGGTTGGCACAATTAGAGAAACGATTGCATTCGATGAAACCGCATGCACAATTTAGATTGTTTTTGACTGCTGAAATTCATCCAAAGGTTCGTTTTTTTCGAGGGTTGGGGGAGGGGGAAAAGCTGAATTTTTGATGAGGAAAAAATTAAGAGATGAAAATACTCTGAATTTATTAAAATTCTAAATTCTAAACAAAACCTGTTTATTTTTGCAGCTTCCATCATCAATTCTTCGAGCTTCTCGAGTTGTTGTTTTCGAGCCAGCAACAGGTCTCAAAGCCAATCTTCTTCGTTCACTTTCCTCAATTCCACCACAGCGATTAACCAAATCACCGACTGAAAGAAGTCGTTTATATCTATTGATTTGTTGGTTGCACGCTTTGGTTCAAGAACGACTTCGCTACACACCACTCGGTTGGTCGACTGCTTATGAATTCTCCGATGCTGATCTTCGAGTTGCTTGTGATACGCTGGATTCGGCTGTTGATGCGGTTGCACAAGGAAGACCGAACGTTGAACCGGAAAGATTGCCGTGGACAACATTGAGAACACTTTTGAGTCAATGTATTTATGGTGGAAAGATTGATAATCAATTTGATCAGGTAAATTTTTCATCTCTAAAGAATATTCCCAATTACAATTTTTGCAGGTTCTTCTCGATTGTGTTCTCGAAAACTTGTTCACCGCAAAAAGTTTCGAACAAAATCATGTTTTGATTCCAAAATACGATGGAGATTCATCACTTTTCACTCCAAATATGTCGAAAAAAGATCAAATGGTTGGATGGGTTGAAGAATTGAAAAATGAACAATTGCCAGCTTGGTTGGGATTACCAAACAATGCTGAAATTGTATTATTAACAAAACGAGGAGAATCAATGCTTCGAAATATGTTGAAAGTAACTGATGAAGAATTGGCATTTGATGATGATGGAAAAGAAGAAACGAAAAAACCACAATGGATGACACAATTGGGAGAATTGGCAAAACAATGGTTGCAATTGTTGCCGAAAGAAATTGTGAAAATGAAGAGAACTGTTGAGAATATCAAAGATCCATTATTCCGATTCTTTGAAAGAGAAGTGAATTTGGGATCGCAATTATTGAAAGATATTCGACATGATTTGAATGAAATATTGGCGGTTTGCAAAGCTGAAAAGAAACAAAATAATGAGACGAGAGCATTGGCTGCGCATATTCAGAAAGGAGAAGTTCCGAATGGTTGGAAAAGATATACAATTCCACGAGATGTGACTGTTATGGATTGGATGAGTGATTTGAATGAACGATTCAAACAATTGATTCGAATTGGAACATCGGATAGTTTGAGAAGAGAAACTATTTGGTTGGGTGGAACATTTTCACCGGAAGCTTATATTACGGCAACTAGACAACAAGTTGCACAAGCGAATACTTGGTCATTGGAACAACTCAGTTTGCATATTCATATTGGAAAAACTGATGCAACAGATGTATTCAGAATTTCTGGTTAGTTTTTTTTTGTTGATTGAGAAAATGGGTGAACAAACTTCGTATCATTTTTTATAGAATTTTAAGTGCTTTTTACAAAATCAAGTATTTTTATTTTGGTTCTTCGCGCTCCATGAGCCTAAATTCATCATTTTCTCTTGTTCCAGCTCTCCAGAAATTTTACGTTTCAAAAATTCCAGAAACATCTTTTTGATCACAAAAATACCACTTTTTCGGAAAGTATGTATATAAAATTTGTTCAATCCAATATCTCTATTTTCCAGGAATTGATATTCGTGGAGCCAAATCGACAAAAGGAAACGAATTGGAATTGTGTGAACAAGTTCGAAGTGAATGCGATGTTATTGAATTTAGCTGGAGACAGGTTTGTTTTTTTTTTTTTTAGTTTTTTTTTGTTTTTGAGAATGAAATTTGAAAAAAAAATTTCAACTTTTTTTGATATCTAGCAATTTTCCAAAAAATTTTGTTTTTCCTAGGAAACTGCTGATGGAACACGTCTTCCACTATATTTGTATGGTGATCGTCGTCAACTTATCTCACCACTCGCTTTCAAATTATCCTCTTCTACTGTTTTTTATCAAAGAGGTGTTGCATTGGTCGCCAATTCTTCGCTTTAAATTATTGATATTATTCACTTTTTATTGATTTATTTATGTTTTTCGCTTTTTTATTAAATGAATCTTAACCATTGTTGAAGCTTGGGAAAATTATAAACTTGACGAAAAATCAAGAGGCCGAGAACACACACGAAACCTCTGACGTCAACTTCGTTTTTATTTTCACAACAAAATTCGAAATAATGCAAAAACAACAAACTGTTTAGGATTTTTCAAGATGAAGACTATTTCCATGGCATTCGATTTTGAATTGATTGGTTTTGTTGGAGACTTGGAAGGAACAATCTGATTCGTCGCTGAAAATCCAAAATAATTGGATTTTTCAAGAAAAAACTCACATTTCTGCTTCATTTCCGCTCTCAAATTCTCCAAAAAGTGCTTCAAAATCTTGATGTAATATTTCATAATCTGGATAATCATCTCTTCTAAAATTAAAAGGATATCCATAATATTCTTCATTTTCGTCTTCTTCATCTGAAACCATCTCAACTTCTTCTGGGATCATCTCCAAATCAATATTTTCAAAGATATTCTCAACTTTATCCTCTTGAAATTTGTTCAAATAATTGAACAAAACATCATAAACACTTCCTGTTACTTTATCGCAAGACACATTTTTTGCCTTAATTTTTTCGAAATCCAACATTTCGCCAACCAATAAAAAACCATGAATCGAAATATCTTCTCTGATTTGAAATATTGTATCTTGACTCAAAAATCCACTTTTTATCAAATCGAAACTATCTCCATTGTGTGAAATGTTGAGATTTTCCAAGTTTTTGCAGTTTTTGATATTTGTTGAGGAGAATGGAAAATCCTCTGAAGAGATTTCAATGTTTTTCAAAAAATCCGCCGATTTTTCAATGATTATTTGAAAATATTTCGAGATCATTTCACTTTGAGATGTTCCTGCTTCGGATTTCGAAAAAACTTCATTTGTCTCATCTCGCTCCAATTTTACCACCGAATCCGAGAAAACCAATCGAACTTTCTTTTTTATTTTTCAATCCGATGTGTAACGTGGATTTGGCGCTGAAATATTCCAGCGAATCCATCTCGCTTCCCTGGATATTTGCCAAAAAATCGTCGATTTCCTTAAAAAAAAACATCTTTTCAAAGTTTCTAGGATTGTATATCAAAAATGTTTTAAAAAATTACCTTCTCCGGATCCGTAGTCTTCTGCTTTTTTGATGCATCATCAGATTTTTCAGATGTGACTCTTTTCATCACGCAAAACTTGAGCAAAACTTTTTTGCTTTCCAAAAAAAACAAAAAAAAACATGTTTTTTCGAAAAATCAAACGCAATCGTGGCGAGACCTATGGAATTTGCCTGCACCTTTAAATACAGTATCATCATTTTGGAATCTTTTTTGGAACTATCGTAGCTTGAAAAAATAATAAATCTGTTCAAACGTTATATTTTATTCAATTTTTAAAGAAAGCACAAAAAAATATGTTGAGAAGAAAATAAGAAAGAAAGCTTGAGCTGCACACAAACACAATTTTTCAAAAAAGAAGGTACAGTACATCCTTCCCTATCTTAAAACTACTTGATTTCACCAAAAAATTCATTCAAAATCTATATTTTTCATATCTATATTCTCTCTTTTCTTCTCCCGCAATCACTTCTTATCCTTTTTCCTTTGCGATCGTTTCGTTTTATCCGATTTCTCAACTTCCAAACTCTTCACCTTCTCCAAAGTGTCATCCTCTCCCGAATTCTCCTGATAAAATCCTTCCTTGATTTTCTTCTTTTTATCCTCCTCATTTTCCGCAACTTTACGCTTTTTCGCACTTTCTGTCGGCATTACAAATTTGGGGAATGGTTTCATCGATTGTTGAACCTTTTTCTCTTCCGCATCTTTTTTGCCATCAGCTGGATTTGCAGCTGAATCCGCCGGTTTGTCTTCTGCTTTCTTGTCATCAGCGCCTTTCTTCTCATCTTTTCCAGCTTCGCCAGTTGTTCCACCGGCTGAAGGTGGAGCTGCAGTTGATGCTGGAATTGCTCCAGACGCAGCTGGATCTTGAGTTGGAGGTCTCATCGCTGATTTCACCATTAATTCATTGCTCGTCGTTTTTTTCTTTTTGCCACATTGCCAAAGAATCTTACTTGATGCGATTAACACAATTACGTTCTGCAACGAAAACATCTCGTGTAGAGAGCCCGGAAGCTGAGCCCCTCCTTGCTTACCTGAATTAAAACCACACAAAATTCGGCTTGCATTTTTTATTTGAATCAATTGCTTTTATTTTTTGACTGCTTTTTGGCAAGCTTGATAAAATAGAGAATACCTGGATTTTTCTCGGACTCGTGCTTTTTCTAGATTTTTTTTGTGTGGAGGCCGACACGTTTTTTGATTTTTTGAAAAAAAAAACAAATTTGAAAAAAGAAGCAAAAACCGCCGTCAATGCGGAGTTTCGTTTTTTTTCCTTTTTCAAGACTCTCTCTCTCGAAAATTCCTTCCGCCTGTCATTTGTTAGTTTTTAAGGTTCCAGTAGTATATTCATTTCAAGTTCAAGATCTAGTAAAAAAATATTGAATTTCACATCGGCGAAAGCAAAATGCGATTTGATCGATTCATCATAACAGGTGTTCTGACAATCGATAATTCTTCACAACTCAATGGTCCGAGACGAACCAAAGAACGAAGAACTGCATTGGTTTGCCAATCAAATGGAATCGATAAATCGATTGATTCTTGTTTCGCAATATTGATGATCATATTCGAGATTTTGGCATAAGCCGGAAGTTCGAAGCATCTAGAAAGACATATTATTTTACCACAATTAAATTTCAAATCTCTCTGAACTCACGGTGTTTTCAAAATCAACTCATAAATATCAGCCCAACCATCCGGCAATCCATCAAACAATTTCTGCTTTCCTCCCTCTTTCCGACAATACATTTTCCATTCGCGAGTCTTTGCCAAATTCAATTGAACCTTCGAGTTATGCCAAGGAAGACCTTTCAACAAATGTATAACCATATACAACCATCCTTCAACATCATCAGCTGGAGTTTGATCGGAAAATGCGAGAGAACTTAAAGGTGCATAAGGAAATGTGCCAACTGATGGACCCCAAGATCTAAGAAGATGTGGTCTTCCATCGGTTTCTTGGAATCTTCGAGTTAGGCCGAAATCAAGCATATAAACAGTTGAACTATCTTGGCCTAATCCGACGGCGAAGTTTTGCGCTTTGACATCACGATTCAACCAACCAGAATTATGCAATGTTTGGAGTCTTTCAAGTGTTTGAATCGCGATTTTATAAATCGTTGAAAGTGTGAACCGATTATTTGGCATGAATTCAAGAAGCATAGACAAATCCGGTCCAACTAGTTGCATAATCACATATTTGAAAGTGGATGTTCTTCCCGAATCCCAAAGGGCTGGAAATCCTCTTTGACCACCAAGTTTCGATAAAACCGCGTGATCCAACTTCAGAACTGGTCTTAAACATCCATCTTGCGATTCAACTTTCATTGCATAAGCAACACCGTTTTCTTCAACAAGGAAGACGCTTGAAAATGGTCCTGTCGCGATTGCATCACAGAGTTTGTATTCGTGGCTGCCGAGCTTGAATTTGCGGCCTTTCTGAAACAAATTATGATTAGGCAACTGTCAGGCTATGCTTTTCATAGATAAAAAAGCTGTCATCAAGCTTTTGGGAACAGATTTTCCTGTCTGAACACCCGAAACAACTCAGAGAAAGCCGGCGACTAATCGGCGACGAACTTACGACGAATCGAGATCAGGCGACTAATCGTCTGCCAATCGTAAGTTCGTCGGCGAAAATAGTGTGTTTCCCGGAGACGCAGACGAAAAAGTTTCAGGCGACTAATCGGCGACCAATCATAAGTTAGTCGCCGATTAGTCGCCGATTAGTCGCCTGAAACTTTTTCGTCTGCGTCTCCGGGAAACACACACTATTTTCGCCGACGAACTTGCGACGAACTTGTTGGTCGCCGATTAGTCGCCGGCTTTCTCTGAGAACAGAAAAAATAAAAAATTTTCGTCGCTTTCAAATTTTTGTGTGCAGTTTGGCGTCGCGGTGTTTGCACACTAGAAATTTTTCATTTTTTCTCATCGTTTTTACGCCTCTAGCTTCTCTCAGGATGCGTTTCTCGCGAAAATTCATTGTTCCCTTGATTCACAACACCAAGACGAATCGAATGGTACATTTGAGACCAATTTTTGAAGGCTTCTAGTCTCACTTACCAATGGAAGAAGCAAATCATTGGTGTTTGGTTGTGTACACATCGTGTATTCTTTTTTCGATAAATGAGTTGAAATGAAAAAGTTAGAAGAGTATAATCGGACGAGTGAGTTATGTAGCAATGAGGTGAATGATGGATTGTGGAGGGGGCTGTGGGACACGTAAATTGGGACACGTGATTTTTGGGATTTTCAGAAATTGTTTTATTTCGATTAATGTAGGAAAAATCACGAAAGCTGAATGAAAACAATTATTTCGCAGTGAATTTGTCAAAAGTCACTCAGATGTCTCTTGTTCCTCTTGTCCACAGATTGTTTGCAATTCGATGACCTCGTTTCTTGAAATTATTTATGAATAAATGAAAATAGATAGATTTTGACTTACTCCAAGTTCTCGATTCGACTATTTAAAGTGTTCAAATAATCGATCACAGTTTTTGCCAATAGATAAAATGTGGTAATTCCGACTATTATTCCAGCTGTCAAACAAGCTATTATTATATGGTAATAATCAGCAAAGTCTTTGATTTCAGGCATTTTCAATTTTCAGAAATGACTAAAAAGAAAACAGATTTGGTGTTTTCTTTTTCGAGTTCACGTTGAAAAATTTGAATCTTGAACCTTTCAAAACCTTTATTTATGCGATTTTTCCACCTCTGCGCGAATTTTGGTAAATTCAACTTACAAGTTGCTTTCTTTTAAATTTTTATATATTCACAACAAGTACAAATACATCAAAGTTAGAGAGTTAGACCAAATTCAAACTTCCGACGTGGCAGAAAACGATCTCGTTCTTGCCTTCTCTTTTTTCTTGCTTTTCTTTTTGCTCTTCTCCTTCTCCCTCTTCTTGAATTCTTCAAAATCCGTGGCAGACATTGAAGTTCGGATTTTCATTGGATTTTCCTCTTCTTCATCATCATCATCATCTCCAATTTCATACAAAATTCCTCGATTCGGAAAAATCATCGCAACCATGTTTCGCTTATCGCGAAAAAATCGCCAGCAAGCAACGGTGATACAAACCAACCAGATTTGAAGGACCAAAATGATGGCGACTGATCCGACAGACAACCATGCAGCGTAATCTGCGGAGTATTGTTGTTTTTGTGTTGGAAAGGAATTTCGGTTTGTCTGCGTCTCTCTCTTTCTCTACCCCTCTCACCCTCTAATTTTAAAAGTCCAATGACTTACTAATATATCCGGACCCGTCTTTCGATTTCACCGGAAACCCATATGATCGTAAAACCGTTGCACCGCTTTTTATATCGCCGAACAGAACAATGTAGATGAAAGATACGAAAAAGACCAGGATTATTGCAATCGCGACGCCCTGCAAAATATTTTTGAAAAAAAATATTGAGTTACAATTTTGTGAGCTCTGGGTATACTGTAGATTCAAAATACCTCTTTGCTATTAAAAAAAAATATTTTTAGGTCACTCTTAATTTTTCGAATTTTTTGCAGTTTGGATTCTACAGTGCCCCAAACAATCCCGTGGTACGGTAAAAAATGCCACGTGGGAACAATTTTGAAATTTCCAAAGTTGAAGTGTTTCTAGTAGTACTTACCTGCAACAACAAATAGGGCACCAACAATTCGGCTCTCTCTTTATACATTGCCCACACTACACTTCCCGCCAAAAAAACACCAATAACAAATCGAATGGCGGGATCATTGACATCCACATTTGGTAGAACACCAATCGATAAAACAGTGACAACAAGTTTCCATAACTCGAATAAAACAGTTATGCAAAGCATTCCACCAATGATTTTCATTCCAGTTATTGAATGTGCATGTCCGCAACAACATAAATATCTTTGATGATTTGGATCGAACACATTTTCGAGATCACTTTCGAATTCGTAATCACTTACTATATATGTGTTGCCGCCTGAATGAAGAAATTGGAAATTTTGAAAAAAAAAATGTGAGGTCAAGTTTGGGGTAAATTCTATATTTCTCGTCAATATTGAAGTTTTAAGGCTAGAAACACAAGATTTGACGAAAAAATGCAGAATTTCCTCAAAAATCCCTCGACTCACCTTCACTCTGCGAAAAATGTCGCGAAACTTTCGACCAAGTCGTCCTCGTCGCACTTTTCTTTCGTCCAATCATTGTCATAATCATATTGCTGCTCATCGTGTCATTTCTTGAACGAAGAAAAAAAAATGAGAAAAAATCAACATCATAGTTTTTTTTCTCAATTCAACAAGCTATTCAAAATTAGTTCAATCAGAAAAAAGGAGAAAAAGCGCGGGGAGAAAAAAAACTGGAAAGAAGAAGAAGAAGAAGACAACTTATTTTTTATTCGAGAAAAAAAAGAAAACATGCTCAAAATTATATCAATATTTACAGATAAAAAGTTGGGGCTGAAATTATTTCAGGTAGAAAGAAAAATGTTTCACAAAATCTCAAAATATCTCGCAAATCCAATTTTTTCAGTTACAGTACCTTTTGCAGTTCTACAGTTTGTGCCTTATGTACAGTAATCCTTGTAGTTCGAAAAGTTCTTACGGTAGCTGCAAGCTACTGTAGCTCCTTTAAACTGCAAAATGTACTGTAATAGAAGAATAAATTTTTCCAAATTATTTGGAGAGAAAAACTTTTTTTCTACCTGAATTTTTCTACCCACGAATTTAAAAATGTTTAAAAAACGGTCTCACAGCGTCACCGCATTGACCTTCATATTTTCCGCCTTCTTTCCGCGATGCCCATATTTTTTGCCGCACGCTCCGCATGTATCCACGTGATTACAACGCAAACAGCACAACAACAATCCGAAAGTGCACGGAAAGCAGAAAATTGTGAGACAAAAGATTTGTCGCTGGAAAAATGATATCAAATTTTTTTGCCCGCTGAAAAAAAAACTGGGAGGTGTCAAAAATGAGCTCTTTCAATTACTTAATTAGAGAAATTTGAGCAGGAAAATCATTTCTTTTTTTTTTTTTGGTTTTTTGGCTGAAAAATGACTAACCCGCCGCTTTTTGTCATCTTTTCGCGTTATAATTCCACATCGACATTTTGGGCAAAGCAGAGTTGAGGCGCCGCCGCCTCCGATTGAACCGGGAAGAGTTCCTGTGAGTCCACCTGGCAACGTTCCGGTTGGCGAGGAATTTACGACCACATTAATGTCTGGAAGAGAATTGGGGTTGTTGAAATTTCAAACGCGCTCTAATGCAATTTTGGTCAAATTTCTAGAAATTTTTAAATATAAATATATTCAACGTCAAAACTACAAGTACGCTCCACTGCAGTTCAAGTTAGATTTACAGAATTTAAATTTTTCATCAAAAATGCAAATTAGATTTTCTACCTTTATTAAAAAAGTAGAAAATTCTAGAAATCGATTTTCTAGGATTAAAAACATTTTTTTTTTGAATAAAATCTCGTCGAGAACAACGTTTTTTGGTACTTCCAGTTTCAGCTATCAAAAAAAAACTATTCATCAAAAACCCTCCCAAAAAACTCACTCTGAGTGGCTGCTTGCGGTTGGGTAACAGGTTGCGACTGCATTTGCTCAGCAGGAGCTTGCGTCGGTGCTGTAACAACTTGCGGTACAACCTGCTGAATCGTAGGTTGCGCAATCATCTGCGGAACAGGTTGCACCATTTGTGGAACAGGTTGCATCATCATTCCTTGTGGCATAAACATCATTTGTTGCGGCTGCGGTGGCTGCGGCGGCGGATATGCAAATTGTTGCGGATAAAATTGTTGAAACGGATGAACTTGATATCCATGTGGTGCGAAATGCGATGGAAACTGTGGTTTTCGTGGCGGTGATATATATTTAACCGTGTCGGGACCCAAAAAATGCACTTCTCCATCGAAAGTTGGTGTTAGTGGTGGTGGTGGTATAACTAGAAAATTGTTTGATAAAAATAACACAATTATTTTAGGCGTCACAGCTGATAAGACTCACTTTGATTATTCCACTCGTTTGATTGTTGATTGTTAGTAGTTTGCATTTTTTGTGTTGTGAAGAAAAAAAAATAAAATAAAATTCACATTTTTTCAAATATTTTTTTCGCGCCACCCCGCGGTGTTTGCACAAAAATGTGGGAGTTTAAAAATAGTTTTTTTTTCTTTTTCTTTTTTTTTCTTTTTTCTAGTTTTGCCTGACAATGAGAGATGGGATAAACAACAAGTGTTCTGGCTCGAAGAAAAAACAACAAAAAATTGAGAGAAGAAAAATAAGAGCCAGTCCGATTTTCATTGATTTTCCAGTTTTCACGAGTTATTTATTATTTATTTCAATTTTAATATTAATATTGAAAAAAATTTCTGATTTATTTCAGATATGTTTTCAAGAAACTCGATTCGTTTCGCATCGGCGATTCGAACTCATCAAATTCCGGGAACCCGATTGCCTTTGGCGAAATATGGTGGCAGACATACAGTTTGCGCGTTGCCCGGTGATGGAATCGGTCCAGAAATGATTCATCACATCAAGAACATCTTCAGATTTTGCCATGTAAGTTTTTCCACTGAAAATTTTGAAAAAAGAGAATCATTAAATATATTTCAACATTTCAGGCTCCAGTAAACTTCGAAGAAGTTCAAGTCTCGTCTTCTTTAGGAGACGGCGATATGGAAGCCGCAATTCTGGCAATTCAACGAAACGGTGTCGCAATCAAAGGAAACATCGAGACAAAACACGACGATCCACAATTCAAATCGCGCAACGTCGAATTGCGTTCACGTCTCGATCTCTACGCCAACATTTTGCACTGCGTCACAATTCCCACTGTTCCATCCAGACACTCCGGCATCGATATTGTTCTAATTCGCGAGAACACCGAAGGAGAATATTCGGGATTGGAACATGAAACTGTGCCAGGAATTGTGGAGAGTATTAAGATTGTGACACGCGAGAAAATTGAACGAATTTCGAGAATGGCGTTTGAATATGCGAAGGCAAATGGTAGAAAGAAGGTGACGGCTGTGCATAAGGCAAATATTCAAAAATTGGGTGATGGTCTCTTTTTGAAGGTGAGAAATTTTTCTAAATTACCCTAACTTATCTAGATCCTCCTGAAGATCTAGTATTTTTTGAGGTGATCAAAGAAATGGCTGATGCTGAATACAAAGACATCAAATTCGAATCAATGATTGTTGATAATGCCTCAATGCAATTAGTTTCCCGCCCACAACAATTCGATGTAATGGTTATGCCAAATCTCTACGGAAATATCATCTCAAATATCGCGTGTGGTTTAGTTGGTGGACCTGGTTTAGTATCCGGAATGAATATTGGCGCAAAATATGCAGTGTTTGAGACAGGAACACGTAACACCGGAACATCGTTGGCTGGAAAAGATTTGGCGAATCCGACGGCTTTTATTCGAGCAAGTGTTGATATGTTGAGATATTTGGGATGTCATTATCATGCGAATTTGATTTCGGATGCGTTGTGGAAGGCGTTGGTTGAACAGAGAATTCATACACAAGATATTGGGGGAAGTCATACGGTAAGAGATCCGGGAGAGCTGGATTTTGAAAAAATTTTGAAAAAAAATCTGAAATTCCTTGATTACTATTTTTTTCAGAATGAAAATAATTAACATTATGAATTTTTCAAATTTTCGATTAAAAACTGCATTTTCTAGAAGTACTGTAGAAGCCAAATTGTATGATTACTGTAGACACTAAGATCTGCAGCTACAGTAACCCTAATAGTAACCCTAATTATTCTGAAAATCCATATCTCCTAAGGGTTACTATAGTTTCGAAATTCCTAAATTTTCCGCCAAAAAATCCCAATATTTACAGGCGAGTGACGTCATCAATGCCACCCTCATCAACATTGAAAAACACATGGAAGAAAACCCACATCTCTAAAAAAACATTTTTTCTGAAATCTCACAAAAATCTGTAACTTTTTTCTTCAACTAACATTTAAATTTTTGTATATATTTTTTCAATTTTCTACTACAAAAAAATGATAATAAAGTATATAGGTTCCCTTTCTGAGAAAAATCACAGACTACAAAAAATACATATTTATTTATTTATTTAAAGTGAAAATATTCATGATAGGCTACAAGGTCGGCCGAACAAAATATGAGGGAAAACTGGAATTTTGAACTTTGGTGGTCTGGAAATCGAAAAACAAGGTTATAGTGGCCTAGAAAATCTCTAGATGGCCTAGGAATCCAAATACAACACTCTGGTGGCCTAGAAATTCAAAAATGTGATCTTGGTGACCCCTGAAATTCAAAAAGGCTCTTCCATTTTCAATTTTTCCTTCCTAAATTCTCTCGCTTTCATTATCAATCCATATTTCATTTTGTCATAACTAAATCTCATCTCATCTCAGATCCAAAACCCTACCAGTTCCAACCAATTCATCAAAAAAGTACATTTTCATAATGATGAATTATTCGTCTTCTACCAATTTTTCGATTAAAAAATCCAGTTCGTTCCAATACTTTTTGCATCTAACATGAGTCATGGTATTGTTAATTGTAATTGTAATTCCAATTCTTGTGAATACTTTTTGAGTGCGTCACAATTTACTATCAGCCAGCCTAACACAGAAAAAGTGGGGACAAAGGGAGGGTCTATTCAAAAATAAACATGTATTTATTTGTATGTATGTATGAAAATCGAAATCGTAAAGCAGTTTTCGGGTTTCATTCCGATTACATAAGGCTTTTTCGGTGTCCTTGATCAGGTTGCGCAATGCCTTTTTTCTCTATTTCTAAGTGAAATGATCGACTGAATCGGATATGGCAAATATCTTTGAGGAAAAGAATAAATAAATGAAGTGAGGAAAAGAAAAAGCGAAATCATTTTGACACTAATAAAAACGACCAAAAAAGTAAAAAAGTGTGCTAGTTAAAAGTGTACAGGAAAGTCTAGAAATGATGACAGAGATCTAAACTACAAAACTTATGATTTAGGAGTGTATTAAAGACATCTGATCGTTTGGAAATGATTTTTGAATCAACTCAATTCTTGAAAATTCAAATAGTTTGAAAAACGCGGAAAACCTCAGGCGGTACATACACCACGACGCACAATTACAGACAACACATTTCCGTCAACTACAGTATGCCATTATTTAGTCAAACCTGCTAACTCGGGCTAAAATTAAAATTCTGAATTTTTAGAAAATCGGTTGTACTTAACTAGGGTGTGAATTTCGCGAGAAGTACACACAAATAAATAATGTTAACGATAGAGCAGACTTGATTGTCTATGTGTTTCAAAGGGAACTTTTCTATCAATTTAGCACAATCTGCAAAGTCAAGGATGTCTGGCCTTCCTCCTAACATCAGAAACCAAATGCACTTGACCAAATAAACAGCCAAATCAAATCCAAATGCAATTCAAAAGCCAAGTTGCATAATAACAATAATATCTATAGATATTTATTCAACATTATGATGAGAGATGTCCATTTCAATTCTTCCCTTCTTTTTTCCTCTTACAACATTCATAGACATGGTTGAAAATATAGGCAAACGGCAGAAAATAGAGAGAGAGTAAGAGATAGTTAGAGAAAAAAGAAAGAAAAAATATAAACCGGTTACTGTTGTCATCAGCTTCAGCTTCTTCTTCTTCTTCTTCTTCTACAGCTTCTTCTCTTTTTTTTCTATCGCCCCCATGTTTCTTCTGTTTATTATTCGCTTTGGCATTTTTTGTATCATCTTCTTTTTCACATTCAGCCAGGTTCATTCAATCTGATCTGATTTTTTCTTCAAAATGGCGCGAAATTGAAATTGATGAAGATTTCCAGTTTCTCTAGTTTTGCAAAATAAAAAATTGTTGCCTTTTTTCGGTTCTTTGGATTGTGATCTATCCGTTTGCTTTTGAAATTGGCTGCGTACGTGGCTGAGTATCTATTGTCAGCTATTTAGAAGGTACAATTTTCTGTAGATCAGATTGTGTAGTAGTAGATTCTGATCTATCAAGGTACGCAGCCAAATCCGTCTTTAATCTTAGCCTTACGCAGCTAAATTTTTATAGGATTTGATATTCAGCCAAGAAAGCAGCCTACCTTTTGAAGAAAAAATATTTTTTGATAGAAAATTATACGATTTTTATGATTGCATAGACCCAAATTGAAATTTTTAGAAACATTCTTGATCTACCTCTCAGGACACATACATTAGATACTCAGCCGACTGAAATACGTAGCCACACCATCTACCTTTAACACGCGGTGCATCCTAACATTTCAAAAAGCAATAGGTTTACATTAGATACTCAGCGAACTAGGTACGCAGCCAAATTCTAGATCTACTTTCTTCCCCACCTTTATTTGTTCCACATTAAACACTTATTCAAATCATCTATGATCACGGAAACCCATCAAATTTTCCCACGCTTTCTGATTTCACACATCATTTTCATTTTCAAGTTTTTTTTTCTTTGCGGTGTCTTCTTCTTGCTTTCAATTTCTGTCAAAGTCATTTACTCACTATTTTTATTCATTTTCCCCCTTCCAAACATCTACATACACATATAATAATTACAGTTCTCTCTTTCTTTTGTTACCTGTTTCGTTTTTCTGCATCTGTTCAGCTTTTTCCATTTGATCTATTCATGTTCCAAAAGAAGTTGTATTGAATTGAATTGAATAAAATTTGAATTTCAATTGGATCTGAATCTGAAATTCTATTTTTTAATGAAAAAAATCTCTGATACAAAAAAAAAGATATATGTTACACAACAATTCCTCTTTTTTCTTTGCTTATCAAAAAAAATAAGCCTGTTTTATTTCGTGATTGCGCAACACCACACTTTTCACTTTTTTCGATTTTATGATCACCCCCAGGATCTTTTTTTCTTTTTTTCCAACTATAGATACCTAGGAAACTGGAACATCTATAAATCTCTTTCTCTGTTTCCTTGATAATAAATCTTGAAATTTTCAGTTTTCTTATCATCTTCATCATTTTTCTTCTGATATATTATTTAGCACCCCGCCCATTTTCAGTTTTCTTGACTGTTTATTTGTTGGCTGTGTCTTGTTCTTACCGATTTTTGCATTTATTAGAAGCGATAAGATTTTTGAGGTTTTGTTGAAAATAATCAATTTCTAGAAATGATACTTTTTTCGAAATAGGAATCCCAGTTGCCACGTATCTAGTTCACGTGAATTTTATCATTGGAAATTTTAAAAACAAATTTTTAGTTTCCACGTGGATTTCTTAAATTTTGAACTTTCTAATATTCTTCCCACGTGGAATTTGAGCTCTGAAAACAGCCTTTTCACAAAATGGGTTTTTAGCTTCTAGAATGAATTTTTGCCACGTGGATATTGTAAATTTCGTTGAAAAACATTCTACCTGAAACTTGGTTTTTTATTAAATTTGAGTTTCAAAATGTTCCATATAGGATTCCCTAACAAGTTGATTTCAAAAAACGTTTTCATGAAAATTTTGATCGATTAAATTTGAATTCTAAAATTTTGTGGACACGTGGATTCTGAACCTGAATTTCAGATTTCATTGGGATATTTTTCTGTTCCAAAAAATTTGAATTTTAAATTTTTGCCACGTGGCATTTCTAACCACAACTTCAAATTTTGTCACTTCCTCGTCCCGGCCAAAAATCCTCGATTTCTTTTCCTGTTACGCAACAAGATTCCGCCACTTTCATTTTTTGATCATCACACAATTTTTTCTGTATTTATTTTTTCTCCACACAACCAACCAGCAAACAGGTTCTAATTTTTCAACAAAGAGAACCAATGTCTTCAAAAATATTTTTTTTTGAATTGTACAAAAAATTGTTTTTTTTTTAAATTTCAGCAGATCATTTTCATTTGTTCAAACTTTGGCAGCAGCAGAAACACGACAAAAATGCTGCAAATTATAGCGGTGAGGCTTTTAATTGAAATTGAATTTTCTCATCAATCTTATTGACAGTAAAGGCCACAAAAAGATGGCAGAAAAAAACAGGTTGAAATCTATGTGTATTTACAACAAAAAACAAACATTGTTACAATTTGACCGAAAAAAAAGTTGTTTTTCACTTTCCACGGATAAAATAAGGAACTTAAAAGGGGTCCGTAATTTGAAATTTTCTAGGTATGCCTTCTGGCAGGCACCGTGATATGTGGTCAAATCGGTGGCGGTGGTTCATATGCTCCAGGAGCTCTAGCCTCTAGTGCTGGCCCAGACTTCAATCCAATTTTGCTTCAAGGTCAACGAGGATATCCGGGTATTCGAGCTCGTGTCAATTCTCGAGCCTTCCAATATGCCAGCACTTTGGTTGGCGGACTTTTGAATTCCGAAATCAAAAAAGCGCGAATTCCACCAATTACACAGTGTATTCCGATGGTTCAGGGATGTGTGAATATTTATAATTTGTATGTTTCGAGATATCGTTGTCCACAACGTGTTGTTTTGTATCCAGCTGCTCCAAATCGAATTGTTCTTCAAGTTCAGAATGTTGATATTGGGTAAGTTCTGATTTTCAGGAGAGATTGGAATTCGGGAATTTTCTTTGAGATTTCAAAACTTAAGGTTTATAAAATATTGAAAAAAAATCCCGTACAATTTCAAGATTTCATTTCGTAATGCTCAGCTGTGAAAAATCCACGTGGTAATTTTTTTTTTGGTGTCCCCAAAATTATGCTACGTGGAATCTTCACAGTAATTTTCATGCTGAAAACGCCGTGTCCTTCCTGAATCTGAAAATCCACGTGAATTTTCAGCTTTAAAAATTCATTCAGATAAAAATTATGACACGTGCGATCTTACTGTAAACTTTTACGTTCAATTCCTACTGTAGTTTCTGAAGATGAAACTAACCTCAAAGAATCAAAATTCAAATCCTACTGTAGGTGATTTTCGTAGATCTAATTTTGATCTTAAAATTATTCATAAAATCAGAGCGACAAATCCACACAGTACTCCAAAATATTCCGATCCTAATCCTATTCATTTCCAGTGTCACCGGAAACCTCGGTGGTCAAATCGTCGTTCTCCTTCCAATCCAACTCTCTGGAATTGTCCAACTCAACATTCATCAAGCAACAATCACAGTTCAACTAGCTGTCGAAAGAGGACCATCTGGTCCATCAATTCGACTTCTCTCATGTGATATGCAAATCGGATATGCTGATGCTTATATTGAAAATGGTGGATTAGTCGGAGATGTTATCAACAGCCAATTCAGATCACAAATCTCGAACCAGGTGAAACAAATGATCCCAGGACAAGTTTGTGGACAACTTCCATCAATTATTAATGAGAAATTGAACTCGAAACTTGGTGCACTTCCACAAACTATCGCGTTGAGTCAAATGCTTTCAATGTTCGGAGGAGCACTTGGTCTCTCGGGTGGAGCTCCACCTTCAAATTGTCCAGCATCTTGTCCAAGACCAGCTGCTCCAATTCCATCAGCAGCTCCAGTTTCAGCGCCAGTTTCTCCAGTCATCTCAGCTGGACCCGCTCAAGCGCCACAAATTCCATCTGGAGCATATTCGGATATCGGTCGTCATCGTGCGGCAGCCGTTCGCACTCTTCAACAACTTCAAGCTCTTCGCTATCCTCGCTCAGTTATTGCCAACGATGGAAATGCCACTCACATCATCCGACATCGTCCAAGAGTTTATGCTGCAAATATTCGTGCTCGCGGAGCTGTTCAACATCAACAATATACCAATATTCCAGTGGCACAACCCAGATATCAAGCACCACCTGGAATTGTTGGCGGTGGTCCGGTTGCAGTTATTCCAGCTGGAGTGGATTGTTCGAAATGTGGAGCTGCTGGTGGTGGAGATGATCCAGCATCATTCCTCAGACAAGTTGCTGCTCATTTGGATTTGGTGAGTTGGACACAGGCTGTGCCTCTTATGAAATTGGGATTGGGTGATAGATAACATTTTGAATTTTGGAATGGCACTTTTACTTCAGCCTAATCCACCATTCAAAAAATTATCGATACATATTTTCAGACAAAACTCAATGATCTCTACCTTTCCCTTCAATACATCAATGGTTACGCCACCGCCAATGATTACACAATTGATTTAACCGGAGAATTCAGTCCATATGGTCAAGGTGGAACACCATTTGGTGCATTCCCAACACAATTCCCATATTATGGCGGTCAAATGGCCGAATTTATTGTCACTGATTACACCGTCAATTCTCTATTCTATCATCTTCATCGCAAACAATTTTTGTCATTCCGACTTGGTCCAGATACACCAAAGATTGGTGAATTATTGAAAACGACGTGCTCAGATGAAGATGAAGATTTGGAAGCGACTGAAGTTGAATTAGATGAAGAGGAAGCGAGAAGAAAGAGAAGATTGGCAGCAAAAGAAAAGGCGAGATTAAGAAGAGGATTAGAGCATCCGGGAGTTGCTTCAGAAGCTCAAACTCAAACAACTCATCATGAAGTTGAGAAAATTCGCACAAAGAGAAAGAAGGATCGTAAGAGAAGACAAGATGATACAGCTGGATTGGCTGATTTGGGAATTTGTTTTGGTGATATTTTGCCAGCTGTTAGAGAGAAATATCCAAATCAGAAGATTGCTGTGCAAATTCGAACTGTTAGAGCGCCATCAGTTATTTTGAGTCAGGCTAAAGGAGGTGAGCATTTGGGATTTTATTAAAATCTAATTATTTCCATTTTTCAGGTACCGTAATCCTGGATCTGATCGCCGATGCTGACATCTACATTGATCAAACCAACACAAAAGTCGGAACAATCACAATTGCAGCCACTGTTGTTTTAACAGTCCGTGTTGCTGGAAATCGTCTGACTGGAACTGCAGAAATCACTCAATTACATTTGACAGATCGAACTGGTTCATTAGGTCTTCCACAAGATGCATTGGATAATTTAGGAAATCTTGGAAAAGAATTACTACAAAAAGTGGCTAATGATGGTCTTCAAAAGGGTATTGCATTCAGTATCCCACAAAATCTCCCACTTCCAATTGGAATTATCAACCCACAAGTTCAAATCATTGAACACGGTTTGCTTATTTCAACAGATTTCACAGTTTCGCCAAGTTTATTGGGTGGTGGTGGAGGAGTTTGTTAAACACATTTTTTGTTATTTTTCTTCCTCACCCACAAGACCGCTGCTTTAAGTTAGCCTATATCATTTTTTTCTCGAACATCCGAAAATTAGAGACCTCTTAATTCGGGGCTTGTTAGCTATATGTATATAAGTTACCCCGAGTAATTTATTTTTTCTTGAAATTATTATTTTTTTTGCTCAACCTCAGTCTTTTTCCCCCTCCTGATTTGCTCATGTTATTTGTATTTTGACAAGATTTTTGTGTGTGAATAAATTATGAAACTTTGTTTTGGCAAATCAAAACAACTGTATTTTCAAATAATTAAAATAATTATTTAGTTAGTTAATTAATTAAACTCAACAGCGGGGAAACTCCATTTCATTTTCATCAGTAATATTAATATACTCACATCTTCCAAACTTCAAATATCGATTTTTCATTTGAAAATAGAACATATCATCTCTGATTCCCAGCCCATCTTTGATTCTCAGCTGAAAATAGTCGACTCCCAATTTATGTTCCGAATGTTTTTCTCTCAGCCATTCTTTCAATTCTTCACCTCTTTCAATGGTTCCTTGATTGAAAATTAGAACTTGTCCTTTGATGTTAGGACTCATCCAGTTTGGATCGATGAAACGCTACAAAATCTCGATTCATATTCATAGAAAATGAGATTTTTGTGAAATTTTTGGAAGCTTCAAGAGCAAGCATTGCTCATGTTAAACTTCTGTTTTTTCAATATCTATCCCAAACTCACATCACACATCCTTTTAATTTCATCATCCGTCAAAACAAAATCATCGCTCGGAATATGACTGAATTTCACCGTATTCGTATTTCTAATCCATTCCCAATCGATATCGCTTTTCCCGATAATTTCAACAGTATGCACACTTTTCAGCTGCAAAATCATAATTGTTTTCAGCGAAAAAAATTCAGATAGAAAACTCACAAATTCGCTCATCTTCAGCTGGATTTGCAGACTTTCCGATGTGATTTGTACAGATCTGACCATACCTCTTTCAAAATTCGCAAGCCAGCCAATTATTAAAAGCCGATCGCGTTCTTCGTTGTCCACCGTGATTTCGATTCGCTTCACCGTGATTTGCCATTTCAAATTTTGCAATAGTACACAACGTGGCGGCTGAAAAATGCCACGTCATAAATAGCTCGATTTTAACCTTTTCTTCCTGGTCTAAACGATCAAATTCAAGACGTTTATGGGGCTATTCATGTATTTTCTCAGCATGTTGAGAAAACAGGAGAAATGCGGAGGAAATACATTTTCTCCGCTTTTTTCGTATTTTCTCAGCCTACCTGAATAGGTTTTCTCCGCTTTTCTCCCGTTTTCTCAGCGTTGAAAAATAACATGAATAGCCCCATTAAGAAAATTCCACCCAGGACCTCAAAAAAATCCACGTCATAGCTCACTCTTTCTCCCTTCAAACTCACCAACATCACTTCCAAAGTCTTTATTTCAAATGTGTGTTCACTCAAAATACTACACAACCATCTGGCACAATTAAAATGATAATCAAAATCCTCAATAATCACCGGCTCCCTCAACGTCCGTTTGTCCTTATTCACACTTTCCGATTTTTCGGCTGTTCTGATAACGTTCGATTTTTGCTGGTATTGCAAATTTTGCTGGATTTTTGCCGTAAACCGCCAACGACGTTTGTTTTCTCTTTCTTTGGGCAGAAAGACGATCAAATAGTAGTTGCCCTGCAAACAAAAACTCGTTACTCATATTATAAAAATAGATAACATCATAAAAAGACATTGCTCATACTAAGAATTGAACCCCTACTCTAGAAATCATAAAAAATCCAAATTTACAGCCCAAAATGGTCATTTCTAGGTCCCTGAAAACCATTGATCATATTAAACACACCCTTTTAGTCTGATAATAAAACATCAACGACGAAACACACAAATCTTTTCCTTATTTTGAAAGAGTGCAAAACATGCAATTTTTATCAACAGGGCGCACTTCCATTTTTACTTTTATTTTTTTGTTTTTGTTTTTTTTTGTAATTACAAAACCCCTCCTGAAAAATCCCAATCAATATTTCAACTAACCTCCGACGACTTTGCGTGTTGCACAATCACTCGTTCAAGTCGATACGATTTCCTTATTTGTTCTTTGAACTTGTCGTGTATATCACCGCCAAAATCGGCGACTCTTCTAGGCATATTAATACGGTTTTTTGGCGATTTTTTGAAAGGTGAAACATTTTTTTTCGAAAAAAAATTGGAAAAAAGTTCAAGAAAAGTGGAATTTTCTCGCGGGTAGATCATTTATTTTTTGATCTAGAAATTCGAATTTTCGAAAAAAAATTTCCAACGCCAGACACATTTGGCACCCTACCTGAAAACCATCTACAACATTTGAGCCAAACGAAAAAATTTTATGGAATGTTTAAAAAACGGAATGTTCAGTTACAAAACAGTAAAAATTGAATTTTCAAATAATCGAGAACTTATGGGACATTTTTGAAGAATGTATTTTGTGCCAACATATGAATGACACGTGTATCTTTTTTCGGATTTCTTCGACCATCGATGCATAAATACATTGACCAAAGAAGGACCATTAGAATTGAGATAATAACATAGGCAAAACTGGAAATAACACAGAATTACAAAAAAAAATTTCAGACTATTGAAGTTTCTTTGATTTTCAGGCTGGTTCGAAATAAATTAATTTTTTTTTTCAAAATAATAATCATTAGTAGCTCTAGTCAAAATCTTAAAATTAGTTCCAATTCAATTTGTGCCGGACATTTCGACATCTCACAAGTTCTACAGTAGCTTTTTGTGGGCGTGGCTTACCTGACAAACGACACAACTTGTTCACGCGTAAACGTGGCAAACCAAATTTGATTTTTATCAGCCATTCATTCTCGACCTGCAAAAATCAACCAATTCATTTTGTAATCGTCAAAAAGTATTAGAAAAAAATATAACTTTTTCGAGGATAAAAAATATAATAAAACTAACTAAAAGTATAAATTCTCTCTCTCTCTCAGTTTTCCGCTTCAAATAATTCTGAAAGCCTTTTTTCTCGGCTCAATGAATTAATTTCTCTCTTTTTTTCCCATTTTTTTCCTATTACACCACAAATCAACTCGAGTCACTCACTAATTTATGTAAGAATATCTGAATTTTTAGATGAGAAAAATGGAAAAAAATTGAGGGAATCGCGAAAAATTAGACATGTATTGTGAGAAGAAAAACGAGAGGACGAGACAGGAAAAGATTAGAGGATTTTTTTTGGATTTATTTTTGCCTGGATTAATTTTTTGCTGTTATTGGAGGATTTCAGGAAATAATTAGATCGAATTTGTGGAATTGGAAAAAGCTGTGAGAGAATCGGCAAAGGAGAGGCGACTTGAGAACTTCTCTTATGAGGGTATGCGCCTTATGAGCTTTTATGACAAGGAGCAACGCCTTCAAGGCCTACTTGACAAGGAGCGGAGGCTTCAGGATCTTTTTTTTAAAGAATCAGCGGCTTTAAATTTTATCTGGCAAGGATATGCGCTCTGTGAGCTTTTCTGACAAGCAGCCGTATCTTGTCCAACTCTCTGACAAGTGGCCACACCTTCAGGAGATCTATCCCAAGGATCAGCGACTTGAGAAAACTGGAAAAAATTGAGGGAAGCGAGAAAAATTAGACATGTATTGTTTGTGAGAAGAAAAAGGAGACGAGACGAGACAGGAAAAGATTAGAGGATTTTTTTTGGATTTATTTTTGCCCGGATTAATTTTTTGCTGTTATTGGAGGATTTCAGGAAATAATTAGATGGGGATTCGAAATTGTGGAATTGGAAAAGGCTGTGCGAGGGTCTCTCAAAGGAGCAGTGACTTGAGAGCTCCTCAAAGAAGGGTATGCGCCGTATGAGCTTTCATGCCAAGGAGCTACTCCTTGGGAGACGTCTTGACAAGGAGCAACGCCTTCAAGGCATACTTGACAAGGAGCGGAGGCTTCAGGATCTTTTTTTTAAAGAATCAGCGGCTTCTGCTTACATGATAAGGAGCCCCGCCTCCAAAATCCTAATGTGCTACGCCTTTGCAGCCATACTGACAGTTCGGCTCTCTAAAAATAAATTTTAAACTGTAATTTTTGTACAACTCACACCAGAACTGATCTCAAATTCAAATTTCATCAATTCAAAGATATTTGAAACGTAAATTTTTCGCCAAAATTTTAAGGCTCAAAATCATTCTTATTTTTTGATAAGAAAAAAAACAAGCTAAATTTTGAGCTCAAAAAATTCCGAGAAATACAGACATCATGTGATTCGGATTAGAGATTTTTGAGGGATTTATTGAGATTTTATTGACGCAAAACGGAAATTCAAAAAAATCGATCCGCGGGAAAAATTCTACACTCGCATGAGCAAGTTTCAAACAAAAGAGCTCTGGTTTTTGAAAATTAGCCGAGTTTTCGAACTTTGAAGTTTTAGAATTAGGTTCAAGTGAACTTTTTCTTATAAAAATTAGAGCAGTTTTTCAAACAAGACATTTCAAATTTCAGGGACCGAAAAATTACAAGCAACTTGAACAAAGTGAGTGAAAATATTAACTTTCGCATGAGCAATCTTCAAAAAACCTTTTTTCCTGAAAAAAAGTGACGTGTGAAAAATAAAAGGGGGAAATCTGATACTCATTGGAAGGTGGCAAATAAACAAAAACAAGCTAAAAATATTTTTGAAAGGAATTTTTGAGTGTGTGGGTGAGAAAATGAAAATCTGACACAATAAAAATGAAATAAAATCTGGCTATAAAAAGGGATTAGCTCGGGAAGAGAGAACATAGAGGGTTTTCAGAAAAATACTGAATGGGACCACTTTTTCCAGGAGAGTTCTGGGGTTGATAAAAATCTACAGTAGTCATATTTCGCGGCCAAAAACAGATATTTCTTAAAAGTTTATTTCCTTTGAAACTTATTATTTCTGAACAGGGCCAGAAGTATATGCAGAAATCCAGAAAATCCAGGCGAAAATCAAAAATAATTCGGAAAAAATGGCTAGTTTGATTGTGTGGCGGAACAGTTGTTGATGTGATGCATTGCTGATCGAAATTCCTATATAAAAAAATGTAATCTTTCTTTCTCACTTCACTTTTTGAACTGATTAATGGATTTACACAAAAACATTCTTTTGAATCATTTCTATGGAACAAAAAAATGAAAGAAAAATGTTCCGGGAGAAAAATTGGTTGTTGTGATTTCTTTTGATGAATTTTTTGTGAGGGTGGAAGAAACTGAAGAATTTCGGGGAAATCCAGAAATCTCAAAAAAATACGCAATAAATTATTCAATTTTTACTGTTCAAAATTTCCACGTGGCTTTTTGGCACCAAAATCTTTGAATTTTCAAATTTCCACGTCAATTTTGACGATTTCGAGACTCTCAATTTTATATTTTCTCTATTCAATCAACCATTTCTCCAGAAAATTTTTCTCTAATTTTCAATTCAAATTTTCAAAAAAAAAATCACCTCAATCTTCAAATCCTCCTCACTCATTACTCGCCTCGTATAAACTCGTGGTTTTATCTGAAAATTTTTCTAATTCTCTTTTGTTTTTGATAATCGAGAAAAATGGAACTTACAGTATTTTGAATACAATTTTTGATATGTTCACCTCCAAAATAATCGCGCATAACATTTGCAATTTGATAAAGTTGCAGTGAAGTTGGCCGAAGATCAGAACTGAAAAACACAGAAGATTTTTTCATGGTAAAAAAAAATCTAGAGAGTATAGAAAACCTAGAGACGCAGAGAAGCTAGGCATCTAGAGAACACAGAAAACGCAGAGGTAAATGAGTTAGACTCATGACCCAACAATAACTAGACAGTTATAGGAAACTAGAGACGCAGAATCCTACGCTCTATATATCTAGGTCCTCTGCGTCTCTAGTTTTCCTAACTCATTTTTTTGTCCATACCTGATATATTTCTTAAAAGGTATCCGATATGGTTCAATCTTCTCCGAAATCGCAGCAGTTTGTCCACTTGTAAAAGGCGTCGATTCATTTGAAAGACAATATGCAAAACCTTTGATATTTTTCGGCAGAATATCGGGAAGAAATCGAGTTGCACGCGGTGTTATATAGATCAATTGATCTTTTTGGAGGATTTGAGAAATTCGGCGAGACGTTAGATTTGGGGCAAATGGATGAGGTTGGAAATTTGAAGAAGAAGAAGAAGAAGAAGCATTTTTTGGGGGACCATATCGGAAGAGTAGAATTCTAAAAAAAATTGTGGGAATGATTAGGGAATAGAAATATTTTTGAAGATTTTTGGAATCGGCTTGATTGAAAATAGATTAAACGTCCGAATTTTCAAAAAATTGTTTTCTTTGAAATTTTTAAATTCTAACTTAAAAAAAAACTTTCAATAATTAATCAAAACTTTGAAGAAAATACGGTGATTATTCCGAAAAAGAGATAACTTTTAGGACCCATTTTTGTTTTTGATAGATCAGAATTCGGCTTGATCATTAATTGGATTTTTTGACTACCTAGTTTTTAACAATCTTTACTTCTGAAAGTTTCAGGCTTATCAGTTTTTTATTAGAAAGTTTCAATTTTATTTTTTCAACCCCTTCAGCCCCCTAAAAAACCAACTTTTTCGCAATTTCCGCCATCTGCTGATCAGGTTTATAATTTGCAAAATGAATTCTGATTGGTCGATTCGAAAACCAATTCACCTCATGAACCGTTTGCATTTGTCGAATATATTTGGCTTGCGTCGAAACCGAATATTCACGCAAAAATCGACAATCGACTATGAATTCGGGAATTTCGTCATTTTGTCGAAGAATATTCGAACCATATGAGTCATCGATTTTTTCTGAACGAAAAATTGAGTTAAAAAAGAAAAATGTGTATCTAGAATCTGACTTCGAAAATCGGCTCCATAAATATCCAAAAGTGAATGGAAATTTCGAGCATACACCATTTCACCATTCTCAAGTCGTTGTTGATTTTGAGATGAAATCTGTGAAAACTTTATTTTTCGGCTGAATGAATTTTGGGTAAATCAAAATCCACTATTATTTTCTCATGAAAAAATTTTAGCTGTTTCATTAGGAAATTTGAAAAATGCAAAAAATTTCCACAAGTTACTTGAAATTTTGTATTTTTTCATTATCAAAATAATTTTTTTGGGCTTCAAAAAATCCCTACCGGAATACTGTCAATATCCTCATTTTCTTCTCCTTCTTTTCTACCTCGATTCTCATTTTTGACCAATTCCAACAAATATTTATATCTTTCTTCCCAATTCAACATATTCATCAAAATCATCCACATTTTATCATCAAATTTCAGAACATTCTGATTTTTGGAAAAAATATCCTGATAAATTTCAATTTCCGAACAAATCTGAACAAATCGCTCTTTTTGCGAAGGTCTTCGAACATTTCGATGCATAAATTGTTTACTTGGAAATATCATCGATTTATTGGAATTTGAAGAAAATCTGATAAATGTTCGCAACATTTTCATTCTGATTTCCTGTAATTTTTCTCAAAACAAATTCATTTTTTCGAAAATAAATACGAACAGAATTAAAAAATCCCAATTTTCTTCAGCTTTCCAGTTACAAATTAATAACAAAGATTTATTTACATTTTGTAAAAGTGTGTGAAAATTCGCAAAAAAAAACAATAGAAACTCGTAAAATGTTGTATTACCTCACTTGAGCAGTGATTCGACCCTGGAAAAATGGAATTGTTGGGGAGGAAAATAGAAAAGGAAAGCTTTTGAGGGGAACATTATGAAGATTCAAAAAATTGCATTTTTTTCATTAGCTAGATATTCAAACATTTTCTAAAGTTAAATAATTCTTCGAAACAGTAAATTAATTTTTTCATAAAATTGTCCTATTGGGAATTTTTTATAATTTTCCCCCAATTCCAAAACCCGCCAAAAACAAACCTCAAAAATTGGCAGAATCTGATTATCATCGTTGATTAATTCTAATTGATATGGCGCTGTTCCGTCCTCGCATTCGGTTTTGAAAAATAATTGAGAGTGATTGAGCAAAAAATATTGACGAAATTCGCAAAGTGTCATTGGACCATTATTGGGAACATGAGCAACAACTGGAACACCATCGAATCCTGAAAATAAGCGATTTTTGGAAGAAAAAATGAGCTTTTAGGGGATGAGTCCAGAAATTTCATCACAACTCCAGTGAAACTTCAGATTGTCGAATTAAAAAATAAAACTTTAGGGATCGGTTGGGATTAACAGGTTTGGGATTTTTTTAAAATTGTATCCCTGAAATGTCAGATGTTATATTTTCTCGTTTGAAAATTATGTATTCTAAATTAATTTCTTCGTGAATCCACTGGAATTTTCGGTTTTTTTCGGAAACAAAATCAAATTTTCCCACCCAACTCACCAACATAAGAAATAGTGATCAAATTCGACATATTTTGTTGTTGTTTTGTTTTGTGTTTTCTCGGAGTTGTTCCATAATTACTGCTATGATGTGAAGAAGAGAAATGTGGAGGTAATCGATGATTTCGCGATCGTCGATCTCTTGAAGAATCTGAAGATGCTGAAAATGCAGATGGTGCCATCGAACCAATTCCAGATGAATCATACATTTGACTACCATTGTCTCTGAAAAATTGAGATTTTTATAATTTTCAAGCTCGGATTACAGTTTCTAATTAAACATTAAATTTAGCAGCAATGCATTTTTCCAAATTTCAAAAATATTGCCACGTGGATCGCTTCATTACCGATCTAGATATGTCTAGTGTTTTGCGCCAGAAATCCACGTATCAAAAACTTTCAGAAAAATCCGAATTTGTTCAAAAAATGAGACTAACTGAAAATTCGTAAGTTTCCAATTTGATGAAAAAAAATCCCAAAATCGAGTTATATAAATTTTGAAACAGCGAAAAAATGAGGAAAATTAAACGAATTTTTAAAATAAAAATTTGGTAAGTTTGTGATTTTTCAATGAAAATTATCTAATTTTAAAGATTTTGGAATGATTTTTGGTCGAAATTCAGTGAAAATCCGAGATTTTTGGACCGTAGCCGAATCAATTTTTAAAAATTATATTAAGTCATCTACAATTCAAAGTTTCCCCTAACTCTACTTCTCTCTTCAAAATCTCTCACCGACTACTCCTAGACATCGTCGTAAAATGTTGATTGAACATATTTTGTGGCGGCGGTGCAAATGTGTCCAACGAAATCTTATTCACATTATGAAACATTGAAATATCGTGATGATTATGAGATATTGTTCCTCCTCGATATGGATAAGATATCATTGATTGTGTCATTCGATCGATCGGATGATGTTGGATTACACGTGGATGATTTGATGTTGATTGAACTTCTCGAGATGGCGAGAATGTATCTGAAAATGAAATAATTAAGTATTCCGTGAAACCAATCGATAAAAAGAATACCATTAATTTGAGGTGATCGATTCGCAGATGCTCTTTGTGATTCATCTTTCATCCTCTGTTTGATATAAACATCAATATCCTCTTCTTCGTCTATTTTTCCCATATCTTCATCCGCATTTGTACCATAAACCATATCCAAAGTCTGTAGAAAAATTGATTTTTTTTAATTTAAGAAATGAAACGCTTTTTCCACATTTCTGAATAAATTTCACCAACCGTATATTTGCATTGTTCAATATCATTTATCCTTTGCTCAGTTTCATCATTCAATTTAATTTTATCCAATATTCGCATCATTTTATTGGTGACTGCCTGGACAAATTGTTTTCTTCCGAATTCGGATGAATGATCGAATTGTTGGCCATCGATTTGATTCGATTTTTCAACTCGCTGAGAAAAAAATGGTTTAGGAGATTTAGGAAATCTGAAACTTCGGCCTTTTCTGTTTTCAGGCTTGAATTCAGTGAAAAATAAAAATTTTCCATTTTTTCCCCTCAAAATTAATTTTGAGAAATTGAACGATGAAGCAGAGCAATTTTCAGAATTTTACATATTTTTCTCCAAAAAAAAAACCCACCGGTATGGTAAAAGTGACTGGATTATCCCTAGCTTGTCTCATTTTCGTTCCGCGATGCGTTGAAGATGGCGTGTCATTTGAAAATGATGAAGACACTGCAGAATCATTGTGACTTGTTGTAGCATTACAGACATAAGGTTGACGAGTTGGTGGAGGATACATTTTCTCAAGTTTTCTGCAAAAAAAATGACATAACATAATGATTAACCTAATAGGATAGTGGGCGTGGCCTAACAATTTTTGTAGAGAATACTCAACAGGTTAGAAAGAGATACGAGAATCGTTTCTATTTTATAGCAAATATTTGAATTTCGAAAAATATAAATTCAAAAAAAAACGAACATTTCAGTCTGTCGAACTTTTCTCGATTTCAACAATGCTTCTGCCGTCAATTGTTGTGTTGTTTTCGTTGTTTTTCTCCAATCATTCCTCTTTTTCCTCTCAATTGTATTCGCATTTTGCTCGTTGATTTGAAATTTATTGAAAGCCTCGATGAATTCATCCGAACTCACAAATTCTTGATGTTGACGACGGAGGAAATCATCGACAAAAACAGAGCAATGCGAGAATATTCGAGGATCGAGATCGGTTGAATTCATTGCTCGAATCTTTTCGCCAATCTGGGAATTTCAATTAATTTTCAAAATATTCTTTGAAATAGAGAAAAACTTACAGATAGTCTAATTTTTGCCGGAATCGCTTCACAACTTCCAGTTCTTGATGAGATAAATGTTGAATAAATTTCCTTTGCAAGCTCATTTTTCTGTAATCAAAAATTCAAAACTGAAATTGGAACAGTGTGACGTGAAAAATCAAAGTTCACGTTTTAAAACACGTCAAAAATATTTACCTTGGGATTTCGTTCCAAAACCATTCTTTCATACGCTAGAATCGCAAAATGCAAATCAAGATATTGCGGTGACGAATATTCCTCGAGCCATTCTTTAAAAGCATCCAAAATAAATCGATCCGACAGAACAGAATCGAGACTACGAGCCCATGAGGCCGCCTCCATTGAAAAGCCTCAATGCGGAGAAGAAAAACTACTGAAAACCGGTGATTTTAGGATGATTTTGAGTGGAAAAAAAGAATGAGTGAGAGTGAGTAAACAAAAAAAACGAGAGGTGGGGGACTAGGTTGAAATAATTCTAGGCCACGGAGGAGAGAGCAAAATTTTGTAAACTGAAATTTTGAACTGAAAATTGGGGAATTTAAAAGAGAAATTGTTGTGTGTGTGAAAAAATAGATCAAAGAAAGCCTATAAAAACTTGCGAAAAATGTCGGCAGAATTTCAAAGGAAAAACGAATAAAGAGAAAAGATGGGTAAACTTTTCGAGAATCAAAAATCAACTGAAAATTTCAGGGGAGTGGAATTTTTGGTGAAACCATTTTGAAAATGTGACAAGTTTCTGGAAAAAACTCAGGAACCCAGAAACAATCATGTTCTAAACCGAAAGTTTATCACTTGAATATACTAATTTGGCCTTTCAGAAGTCACAAAAATTCTCTGAGCTCAAAAAAATAGCAAAAAATTAAAAACAGGGGGAAAAGCATTTTTGAGTTTTTTCTCGGCCTGGCAGAGCATTTTTTGGGATTTGAAAGTCCAAAATAGTATATCCATTTTATAAACTTCTGGATTTCCGGAATTAAAAAAAAAAGAAATTTAGAGAATTTAGATATTGGAATTTTTGGGAGAAAAAATGCGACAAGTACTCATTTTCTTCAAAAAGACGTCGGCAAAATCTCAAAAGAAATGAGAACACGAGCGAGCGAGCAAAAAGTTAAAAACGAAAACGAGAAACAACGAAATATCACGGGAATATATGAGAGTTGGCCATTATATTTTTCAAAACTAAAAAGAAAAAAAAGGATGGGACGAAAAACGAAACGAAGAAAAAAAAAGAAAGATGTGTGTGTGCTACTGGCTTGTTCCTTTTCTTTTCTATTCTTTTTCATTTCATTTTTCCTTCTTCTTCTTCTTCTTCATTTTGGTTGCAGGGGAGTCTTCTTCTTCTTCATTCGGACGAGGCGCCATCCTTTCATCTTACCGCCACACCGTCCTATTATATCTATTCGAAAATGTCTGTGTCTCTTCTATTCTCTCCAATCTCTCGTCTACTCATTTATTTTCGCTCGTTTTATCTGTGTGTATTATACTGCTAGAGAATAGCAAAACGAGACGCAGAAAGTTTCAGAATTTTCGTTTTTTTGTGTTGCGTCGTCTTCCAAAAATGATTCTTTGAAGTTTGCCGCCAATGGAAAAAGTTGTTTTACTGAAGATTCCCATGACATTTTTCATGGAAGAGTATCTATATAATTAATTAGATAATCCTTTTCCACCTGATTCCCAGACACATGCTGTGCAAATGAGAAAGTTGGAAAAAGGGATAAATATTTGTGCATATCAACAACTTTTAAAATGTAATAATGAATTAACTCATTTCTTCTTCGACAATCGTAAAAATTATTTGATTCAGATGTTTTTCGCGAAAAAAATTGTGGGATTCATTCATAGAACAGATAAAACATTATTAAAACAAGGGGAAAAACCAACAAAGAAAACCGAACCTTAACAAAGTTTCAGAAGTGTTCCCAAAAGGCGCAACTTTGTCGAATCATTCAAATCCTTGTATTCGTAGGATTGCGAGAAGACTTTGATTTCGCGTGCACTTCGAAAAGAGTTCAAACAATGATTCATCAAATATTCGTATCCTTGATTTTCAGCCAAAATGACTTTTTCGATCAATTTGAAGCGATTGCTTGTAATCATATATTGCTCAAATTTCAAATGAATCGAACGAACCCCAAACTTTTCAGCGATAGCGAATAGAATCGACTGATTTTCGTCTGAAAATTTGGGATATTTACGTGGTGTCATTGTCATGAAAGAATTACCTGTCAAATCAATTGTTATTGGATACAATGAAGCCAAAAACACACAAAACTCATCTGGTGTGACATCGTCGATTTTGAACCGTGTTTCTTTAGTATCATTTGCGATCAAAAGATCATAAAAATACGAAGAGCTGCTGCACAAAAATCCTTTGCTAACATAAAACTCAGCATCTCCAACTTCAATACAAATATCCGTAAAATTCGGAATTTGTTTGGAAAAATGATAAATTTTGAAGTTGAATTCAGCCTCAATGATCAGCGAATTATCCTGAACATAGTCATATTCAATGACCTCATTCCACCCTTTAAAACTTGGAATTCCACGACATCTTTCAGTTTCCGTCAAAATTACGGGAGTTTTGAACTTCGATTTGTTTTCATAGCCGCCTCCATCTTGTTTCAATAAACGAAATTCGCCGTCCAATTCGCACAACCATTTTTTGTCGTCGTTTTCATACTTCAAAAAGACCGATAAATAATGTCGTTCAACTTTGACTCCAAGTTTCCATTCGTATCGATCAATAAAATAACTATCACTAAATCGTGGCTCTTCTCCTAAAGTCATGATATCTTCGAATTTCCATCTAAACGAGTTTCCAAACTTCATCACTGGATTCATGCTCAGTTCATTTTCAAGTTTCGGACGCTTCGAAGGAGTCTCCATTTCTACAAAATCCGTTTTATTCAATTTTAGGAGAAAACTGCCAAAAAACAGAAAAAAAACGAAATGAAATTTCAAAAATTCAGGCGTTCTAAATACAGTACACATCGCGGCGAGACCACACACACAAACCACAACATGTTTCTTTCAGTAAACTTTTATTTTTCGAATAAAAAATGATGCATAATTAGAAAAAACCGAAAAAGAGAAAAAGAACCGACAAAACACTTGAACAAAAATATGTGGTTGCCTAATTTATACCGTACGCTCGACAACAGTTAATTGGTTGCTCACAATGTCATCGGTGAATGGATTAAAAGCGGATACGACAAGAGCCAGATAATCCTTAGCAGACTGCAAATATATAAGTGATGGATTACTGTATGACAATCATGGGAAATGTCTTGGAAAAAACAAGGAAAAACATCAGGATTTTTTGTCAGAAAAAAGGGGGACTCACCTCTGTTTCGAGCATTTTCATGACATCCGAATGACGCGAGGTTAAATTCAAAAAAGTTCCATCAATTGCAATAATTCGATCACCGATTCGAAGTTCATCATCATCAGCCATTGAACCTTTCAATTTGGCAGTAATAAGGACTGGGCGGAACGTATCACATCCACCCTGAAAAAAAGTATGTTTGAAATTAAAGAAAAAATAGTTTTGATCCCGAAATAATTTTGCATGTTTCAGGAGGGTTTCTCTTGGAACAGAAGAAAAATTTCGATTCCTTGAGAAAAACGTTTTTACTGATTTTTGCAAAAAAATTTTATTTTTAAAACGCAGTTTTCTCATCCCATATCTAATATTCATCTTCAGCATTAAAAAAAGGCTGCTGCAAAAAAAACATCGAAAACAATAGATTCAGAAGCAGCAAAAATTGAATTACTATTCTTTCATTTTGAGTCGAAAATGAGATAATGCTGGAAATCTATCTAGAATTTTAAATATTTCTTTTTTTTTGTTTTGTTTTTTGTGTCATCAGGAAAGTTATTACTTACGCTATAAATTTCGTCATTTCGACTTTTTTCAGCAAATTATTCAGCAATTAATGAATAACAAAACTAATGAAGCAATCAAATAATAATAATAAATTTGCAGTTCCAAAATGTTTGATTTTTTTCATTTTCTCATTTTTTAGTTCTTGTTTTTCTTGTAATATGAGCATTTTTTATATGTTTTCGTTTTTTCTTTCTTTCTTGAAAAATATGAAATTCTGAATTCTGAAAAGAATCCTATGATTAATTTTTACGAGATTTTTCAAATTTCCCATTATTGTTATTTTTTACTATAAAAAATTCAGTCTGGATAAAAATCGACTAATTTCAAAAAAAATTGACTAATTTCAACAAGGGAATTCAATAAATTCGTCATTTGAGGCAATTTTTGCAAAGAAAAAGCTGGGATTTAAATCACTTGACCAGACTTAATACAAAACTCTCAAATCTCATCTTTTGTATTTCTACCTCATACATTTTCCTGTTTTTCAATAACAAGTACCTCTATCCAATCTTCTTTCTTTTCTATTCAATAATTAATAATCAACAAAGTTCTGAAAATAACACATGTTTTTCCTTTTTTCGACTCATTTTCAGGCTTTTCTAAAAATACAATAACTTATTTTTTTCTTGGAAATGATTATTTAAAAAATGACGAATTCTAGAATCCTAGCTCAACTAATTTGAACTTTAGCTAATTTTTTTCTGATTCACATTTTATTGCAAAGATTTTGAAATGTCATTTTCAATTTTTAGCTCAAAATAGTTTTCTCAAGAAAATTCATTTTACAGTGCAGTAATAGTTCGAGTCTTCGAGCCCAAAAATTCCTAGGAAAATGTTCTGATCAATTTTCTGTCTGAAAACATAGACAGAAAGTTCCTTGTACTTTTTTTTCGTGGACCATTGACGAAAACAAAATTTGAACTTCAAATCCCGAAAGAAATTTTTTAAATACCAAGAATCCAAAGTTCAGGTTCTCGTTACTTCATTTCACAAATTCACAGAATTATTTTCATATTAACCCTCTTGAATAACATAATTATTGTATGTACAAAAAAATGTATTCGCAATTGAAAACTCAAGGATTTCTGTATGCTCCTTGAATTTTTGCAGGATTACTGTACAACCTTTCAAAAATCCAAGTTTACTGTATACCCCTTCAAACTTTATTGAACTATTGTAGATCATTCAAACATTCAGGATTACTGTATGTTCTTTTTTTCTGTACCAAGAAATTCCCAAATAATTTTTTTTTTCTAAATTTGTTTACCTTCTCCTCTCCTTGTTCATGTTTTGCTCTTTGCTCTTTTTCTCTCATTATTAAATTCAGTAATCCTTATGTTTTCCCTTAAAATCCCTTGTTTCAGTCAGCGACAAAACATGGAAGAAATATTCCGAACAATCCACGCCACAGGCTCTTCTTTGGGTTGTATTCTAAACGCTCTTCTAATTTACGTGGTTTTGACAAAAAGTCCCAAGCAAATTCGAAGTTATGGTTTGATTATTGTCAATTTCGCAATCACCGATCTTTTCATCTGCATTCTTAATTTTCTCGTAATGCAGCGTCTAATTTCATGTGGCCTTTCAATTGTTTATATTTCAATGGGACCATGTTCAATATTTTCTACTGAAACATGTTTCATTTTATATGTTTTGAAACTACATTTTTATACACATTCAATTTGGCTTCTATTCATCTCATTTGCTTATCGCTACTATGTTCTTCTCCGTTGTGAAATTGCAAAATCAAAAATCCAACTTCTAATAATATTCTTCTATCTTCCATCAATTTTCCAAAATATAAATATATTTCTACCCCATGGAAATGAAGAACTTGCAAAACAAACTCTTCACAAATATCATCCCGAATATGATTTATCAGATAAAGCAGTCACAATAAACCCATCAATTTTTGATTTCACAGTAATGTATGTGATTATTCATGTGGTTGGTTTGAGTATTCCAATGGCTATTTCAATTATCATTATGCGAAAAAGAATTATTAACAAGTTGACAAATGTGGCCAGTGGAAATAAGAATTCGACTTCTTCAAAATCTTATCATCTTCAAATACAACTTCTTCGGGTATGTTGAAATTTTTGAAAGCTTTGTGAGCTGAGATTTCACATTGAACGCTGAATTTAAATTCATACGCTAATATATATATATATTTTTCTAGGCTCTAACATTCCAAGCTTGTATTCCAATATTCTACGTTTTCGGTGGCTCATGTTATATAGTTCAACAATTCAATCTAATCAATAATATATTTCCTCAATTCATTATGTATTGTCTTTTTCTCCTAGTTCCAATTCTAAATCCAGTTTCTTCTTTTGTTTTCATTGCTCCTTATCGTCGATTTCTTATTTCTTTAATCACAAAAACACGTGGCAAAATTACAAATGTTTATAGTTTAACCTATCCAAGTTCATCACATGGATTGTAGTAATTCTGATTTTTGATAACTTGGTTTTGTAAATATGTATAAAAATATTGATTTAGGATAATTAATTATTCAGAATTTAAAAAAGAAACAAGTCCACTGGAAGCTTGTTCCTAACTATTCCAGGTTTGTTCCCCTTCATAACCCACCGTAATTTCCAAACCCAATCCTTGATGTGCGTGTGATCGCATCAAAACAACAACTCTCGGCATCAAATCATTATCAGTATCATCTCCATTAATTCGATTAATCAACCACAAAGTATTTTGCCGAAGTACATTATTTTCCGCCTCAATTTCATCCCAAACTCTTGATTTTGTAGCATGATCAACATTCGGCGAATTTTGAACAAGGTTCAGCATTTGTCGAACAGCGGCAACTTCTCGCGCGAAAAATCTTGAGCCAATTCTTTGCAAAACTGTGCATTTCGATAGCTCATCTATATATTTTTCCATTCGCTTATTTCTTTCAATTTCAAGTTGATAATTCGCCAAAATTCGATGATAATTATCGATTTTTTGCAAATTTTCATGGACTTCGTGGCGCTACAAAAAACAAGAATATTTTTCAATTCTTTAAAAATTTGGTATTTTTTATCTACCGAAAACACCACAGAAAACTCACAATTTTATCAAAAATCGGACTCGCAAATTTTTGATCAGATTTGGCTAGAAGTGCAATATGAAGTTGTTCAACAACATCATCATAACCATCAGCTTTCGCTTGTAATTCTTGATATTTTTCGAAATTTTGTTCAGCTTCTTTTTTGAATCGCATTTTTTCAGCTTCACATTTCTCGACATTTGCACACATCTGGAAACAATTTAGATGTGGTATCTGAATGGGCCGGCAACAAAGATTATGAACATTTAAATAAATGTTCAAATGTTGATGAATGGAACTCAAAATGCATTTACTTCACAAAAAATTGAAGTTAAACATAAATCCATCCAAAAACCTAAGAATCCAATCCAAAAACCTAAGAAAGAACGAAGAAAATAAGAGTGTGTGCCAACACCGACTTCCCGCAAACACCAAATCCTACGCGCAATCTTGTAAAAATAAAATAACGACACTCCGCTCAAACAGTGTGTGAAAATTAAACAACAGGCAAGTCGAGTGTAGTTGTTTTACTTTTATTTTTCCACTTTTTTTCTGAAATTTATGTTCAACTTCAATTTTTTGTGAAGTAAGTGCATTTTGAGTTTCATTCATCAACATTTGAACATTTTTAAAAGTGCTCATCATTTCCGTTGCCGGGCGGCCATTTGACTAGAAAAAAGTCCAAATTTTCTAAAAAAAGGAGCAATCGTATTTTCGGAGTTACTCCAAATTTCCGATTTTCATCTCGCTCAATTTTATGAGTTAAAATGAGCAATTATATTCCCAGCTACAGTAACCCAATCAGGAATCTTCAAAAAACCCACAGTACTCCAATACATACCTCAGTAAACAAAATACTCATTGACTTAATATTAGTCATCATATCAACTTTCTCCTCAGCCATAATTGCATCATTCATTGCTCGATTAAAAGCCGACGTCAAACGATGAACCGATTCCATGTTTCTAGAGATCGAAAATCCAGAAATGACCAGTTCCTTGTTGGATTTCTCGTTGGCATTATCGATTTTTGGTTACACGTCACGTTTTTTTTTTCGAAAATAATATTTTCTCTTTGTTGTGTTGAGAGGAGAGAGAGCTAATTTAATGTGTATCAAATTCAATTGTCCATTTTTTTTGTGCCAATTTTTCCTCCACTTTTTTTTCCCATAAGTCATTTTCCGCAACTCCATCACCTGTTAACCCGCCTTCGGTTTTGGGTTAGGGTTAATCCACTTCTTCACATAATATATCTAATACACCCTAAAAATGGCAATGAATGAGTGAGAAAACGGCTTAAGGGTATTAACAGTGTTTTGGTGTGTGTTGGGAAAAAAACGGGAAAAATATGGGGCGTGGCTTGAAAATAGAGTGAGTGAGTGGTTTTCTTACTTACTTCTTCTTATCCTCAAAAAGGTGTCTTTCGAGTGGAGTGGTTTCAAAGAGCTCTCTTGGCTTTATTAAGTGGACGTCTTCTGTTGCTTCTACAACTTCAAAAATGTGTACAAAATGTCGCAAAGTTTCGGCGGTGGGTGGAGTTTTTCTCAAAATTTATCAAAAAAAAAATAAAAAAGTTATTCCGTTGCGGGGAATCGAACCCCGGCCTTATGGGTGAGAGCCATAAATCCTAACCACTAGACCACAACGGATGATGGGAACGGAGGGCGGCAAATGTCAATTTATTGTTGATGCGCCTATCTCTCATTTTCTCTTTTTTTTTTTGAAAAGTGGTGGGAGGAATCGCATTGTTCTTTCTTTCTTGAGTTTTGTGCTCACTTACTTGATTAAAATTAGCCTTTTTTCTTGATTATTCAGTGACGCACATTTTGTTTCCAGAGAAAAAGGATGTATAAACATATTCAAAAAACCGCTATTAATAATCAGGTGAATTTAGATAAATCGTGGTGAAAACAGTTTTTTTTTAATTTTGAAATGGAATGATTTTGAATTTAAAAAAAGTGACGTGGTTTCAATTTTCCCGTGTCCCTCTATTTAAATTTAAATTTTGCATTTTCAATTTTTCATATTCGCCCAGTGAAAAAGAAGTCTCAGGGTTCTCAATTTTTTCCTATCTATTTTTTGGCTCTGTGGTATACGGTCATGACTTGTGCAATTGTTCGTCGCGGTATGCGAACAATTTTACGTAAACGGTGTAAGCATCACCACGAAGAATTTCACACTTGTCGTCATTTGAAGTGCAGCCCGAATTCAAAATCAATTATGTCCCTTTAACCCTTACCGTACCACCAAATATCATTCATCCATTCATGTTTTTTTTCATACATAGATAGCTTGTTGGGACGGGTCACATCTATGCGTTTCTCCATTCTTCCATTTTTTTCCCTTTTGGTTTTGCTTGGTTATCTTCTTGACTTGACATTTTCCCCTCGGGACCATTTCATTCATATATCTTCTTGTCGCTCCCTCCGAAAAATTCGCTTCTTCCAATTTTTTCTGCTCATTCTTATTTTTTCTGAAAAGTTGCTGGCCGAATTGATTGAAATACTAATGGTTTTGGATAGTTTCGGGAACTTTGTGAGTTTTTTTTTGATTGTGAGAGACTGGGAATTTTGGAAAAAAAAAATTGAAAAATGTACACTTGGGATAAATTCATCTTCATCTTCTATGATTTTATCTGAATGTTTGAGGGAAACACTAAATTGTGCAATGGAGCGCATTTGGTGTTTCATTCAATATTTCGAAAAAATGATAGAAACGTTTGTTCATTAGAGCGCACTTGCTTTCTTTTGGTTAACTGTTTTGAGACATCACATAAATTAGCTAAATAAAAAAGAAATTCAAACCCCAAAAAAATTGAACCTCAAAACTGACCATTTCCTAAATTTCTCATTTTCCCGCCAAAAAGGCGTTCATTTTGAAGAAGATCACTTCAGTTTTGTATATATTTACTTATCCAAAAACCCACACATTTCTCGCACAATTAAGCTTTTTTTGATGTGTTTTTTCTTATTCTCCAGCCTAGTCTTCTTCTTTTTTTTCAACCGTTTGTCCCTTTTTCAACCAAGTTTTCCAAAAATTGTAAGCAAAAATTCTGAGAATTCAGAAAATTCAAAAATTATTATTTTTCGGGTGTCAACTCAAAATTAGGCCACGCCTCTTTTGCCCAATCGCCAAGTACCTCCAAAAGTGTTTTTTCCCTTCCTTTTCGAAGAAAAAAAAGAAAAAGTTCCAAACCAAATAAATTTACATATATTTTTTGTCGCAGTTTTTCAAGGGCCATCCCAGACAAAATGGATTTTTATTATTTTTTTGCGAAAAGCGGTTTTGTTTTTGATGGAAAATATACATGTTCTGACGGAAGAAGTACTTTTAAAAAAATATTTCCTCCTAACTTTTTTGTCCAGCTTACCCTTTCTTATCCCACGATTTCCAAAGAAAGTCCAGAAAGCAATCGCGCTCTATTGAACCAGAAGTGCTTGCTATTATTTTTCAAAAACTATTTTTTCGCAACTTCTTTTATATAGTTTAGCCTTACTTCCTTCTCTCCCCAATTTTTCTCATCTCATCTGTGATATCCAAAATAAAGCATGAAATATGATCTTTATTTTGATTGTTTCTGTCCTTTTTTTCATGCCCTTGGGCCTAATTGTGTGCCATCTTTTTCTTTTCTTCTGCATTTTTTGCCTCTTCTCAATTCTTTTATCCTATATTTCCGATTTTATTTTTTGAGCTGTGATTGATGACATTTCTAACCAGTGTGTTCCTTCCTTTATTTCAAAAAAATAAAATTGGATTTTGATTAATTTGCTCCAAATTTCTGCTTGCTTGTTTTCTTTTTGGGTTCGAGAAACGAGAAAAAGGGGGTTAGATACTTATTTATTATGTATTGATGTGAGGTTGAACAAATATGTAATATAAACTTAAGTTGACTTTTTATTTTCTTTTTAAGAACTTTTGAATTTTTATATTGTTTTCTTTTAGCATGAGTATTTTTTTTGAGCGAAAAACCTTGAAATTTGAAGACAATTTTGAAATAGTAATTTTTTCGAAGATTTTTCAGATTAAAATTCTGATTGTGAAAAAAATTTTAACAAAAAAATTAAAATTTTAAAAGTTGTGAATTTTTATTCTTTCTGAAAACACTTGAACAGTACCGAAAACAGTCAGAATAAAATAACATTTTCATCAAAAAAATTTACTAAATTTTTGAAACAGTAAAAAATTTAACTTTCAAATTTTTACAGCTAAAACCCCCTCAAAAAATCTTGGATAAATTCTTGAAAAGTACAATTTCAAAAATATTTGTTGGTCGAAATATTTCACAAGTCTCTTCCTTTTTTCACAAGCCAACGAGGAAAAAAAAAGAAATTTTGACAATATGATTTAGCCTAAACTTTTCCGTTTTTCCTCCTTCTTTTTCTCCTTTTCTTCGTTTTTCGAGACGAAAAAAAAGGAGAAATGAAAAGAAATTGTAGTAAATCGAAGGATTCTTCGTGCCAAAAATGGCCAACTTATTCATATTCAACTTTTCTAGAATTATTCATCTCTAATGTGAGTTCCAAAACTTTCTTTGATGTTTTTAAAAATCCCTTAGAAATGTTCCCAGAATTCTCGAATTTCTTTGAGCTTTTATTTTATTTTGTTTTCTAAAAACATTTTGATTCTAAATCAAATTCTGGAGAAAAAATTCAAAAATGCTTCTAGTTCGAGTAAGTTTTTTGTCTAAAAAAGAAAAAGTGAAAAATTCTGAAGATTTGGATTTTTTTAAAGAAAAATCGGGTTCAAAATTTTTGTTCGAAAAAATTACTGTTTCACAAATTAAGTAATTTTTTTGGGAATTACTCTTTTTTTCAAACACTTTAATTTTTTTTTGAAAATTCAGAATTCGAGTTCAAAAAAATTACTGTTTCAAAAATTCTCTAAAAGTTCAAAATTATTCTTGTAAAACTATTCCATGAATTCTGATTAACCCAGAAAAATCTCAATTTTTATTTTGATTTCAAAATGTTTCCGCGCAACTCCATTGCACAAAAAATCGAGTTATTTTTCTCTTTTCAAAATAAAAAAGTTTACATTATTTCTAATCCCCAAATACTTTCTTACATTATAAAAAATAAACACCATAAAATGTCTTGTTTTCCTTTTCCTTATTTTTATTTTTTGCCCAAAAAAACCCTTCCCACAAAAAAATAATTAGTATTCCGGAACAAAAAAAACAGAGCGGAGCTAACGAAGTTACCCGAATTTGGGTGCCATCTCGAAATTTGCATTTTACCCACAAACACAAAAAAATCGCATTAGTTAATGGTTTTTTTGGAGGAGGAATCAAACCGCGCATTGTTCCTGTTTTTTGCCTCTTTTCTGTGGTTTTCAAGGACACTTTTTGCGGATTTGAAATTATTTGAAACAGAAGCGAAAATTTCCGGTCATGGTTATTATATTGTTTTTTTTTCTAGTTATCAAAACCTTTTTTCTTGAAACTTTATTTTTCGTGATTTTTCGTAGACAATTTTTGTCGGGAACTCGCGGTTTACAATTGCGCAGAGCGCTGGGGCTTCAGACTCAATTTTTCCTGAGAAATTCAGTCAAAGTTTCATACCTAAAAGACGTTTTCATGAAATTTGACATTTTCAGAAACGGAAAAATATTTCATTCTATTAAAATGTAGTCTTTGATCAAAGCATAAACCAAAATATATTCAAAATTCCCAAATGTCTAAATTTTTATTTTCCAAAAACATTAGAGAACAATAAATTTTGTCTTTGTTGTCATAAAAATTCTTCTCAACATTTTTCGAATTCAAAAAAATGGTCCACAATTTTTCAAGCTATATATGTTTTTTTGTAAATCCTCGAAATAATCAAATTATTCTCTCTTTCTTCTTTTTCTGGGGATAACTCAATTAAACCAATCTCAAATGCATTCTCTACATATTTTACGAGTTACAATAGTTTTGAAAATATTTGAATTTGGCAAGATGAACTTTTGTGAGAAATTGCCTGCAAAGAAGCCACGCCCATTTTTCTGCGCCATTACATTTCTTATCTTTTTCCCCCTAAAAGCTAACAAAAAAGGTCAACTAATAAAATGGTGAGAGCTTTAGCTTCAGCTCGAAAAAGAAATGAATTGAAATGAGTTGGCAAAAACCATTAGACGATTTTTTGATGGGCCAAAAAAGAGCTGACTCCCTTTCCCAAACAAAAAACACCAACCAAAAAAATAGGAAGAAGCTCGTTTTTATTTGAGAAAAAATCCGAAATTCGATTAGGAGAAGACAGACTCCAGTCAGCTTCACACTTCTTCTATTCTATTCTATTCTATTTTCTCGCTCGCGCCCTCTATTTTTTCCGGTATAAAAATGAGTGGAGGAGGTGCTGATAAAATCAATAATAATAATAATAATAGTATTGAAGATGAGAAGAAAAATCATACTACTTTACTTCGAGTTGATCCAGAATCTGATTATTTTGATTGTTCGGCGGTGGGTTTTGGGCTTGGACTTGGCGGTATTGCGGATTCTTACCTTAGTCGCGTAATTTTTAAATCTTAATTTTTTCAAACCAATGAAAGCATCTGCACCAGCTCTGATTATGGAAATTCCTTGGGTTGTTTTGAAAAAAATTATACCTTGCATGATTTTTGAAATTAAAAAATTTCAAATTTTTTCTTTCTCATTCAATCTCCTTATTCATTTTTTATTATTTTTGCAGATGGAAGGTGGATCGGGATGGACAGATTCACTCGAAAAAGATTTCGACAAAGCATTCGTGTCACTCGATTTACTTTTAGGCGAAATCGATTCGGATCAAGTTGAGATAACTTATGAGGGAAGACAGAAAATGACGAGTTTGAGTGCGTGTTTTGCACAAATGATGCATAAATCACAGTGGATGATGCATACGATTACTAAACAGGAAAAGGTTCGGAACATTTTTTGAGGGAATTTTATTCTGAGGTGGGACTAAAATCGACGAATTTTCAAATAAAAAACCAGGGTTTGAATTTCACATCTGAAAATTTCGTTTCAATTTTCCATTCAGCTCTAATTATTTCTATGAAATCATTGAATTCCAGGAAATTCTGTCACTGCGAAACGAAATGATTGAAGCTCAATCAGGTCGACAAAGTATGGAAAAGGAAGTGGAACAATTAATGCTTCAAGTTCATACATTACAATGTCAACTTCATTCAAAAACAGCTCCACATGAATCAGATATGATTAAGAAGAAATTGGAAACTCAATTAACACAATTTCGAACGGATTTGATGCAGGGTTTAAGTACAGTTTGTGAATTGGAATTATCAAGGAAAGAGAGTGATAGGTTAGTTAGAATAAGTTGGAAGATTGAAGGAATTACGTCCAAAAAAGTTCTCTGAGATAATATATTGAAACAAGATTTTTGTTCAGACAGAAGAAAACAATCCAAGCATTGGAAACTGAAGTATTCGGTGCTCGGCTGGCTGCAAAATATTTGGATAAAGAACTCGCTGGACGAATTCAACAAATTCAATTATTAGGACGAAATATGCGAGGAGTTGAACATGATCGATTATGGAATCAACTTGAAGCTGAAATTCATTTACATCGACATAAAACAGTGATAAGAGCGTGTAGAGGAAGAGGAAGTACGAAAGGATTATCAGCTCCATTGAGGCATGATTTCAAAATGTTGAGAAAAAGGAATGGAGTTGGAAAGAGTCGGAAGGTGACGCTGATTAAACATCCACATGAAGGATTGGGTATTTCGATTACGGTGAGTGCGGAATGAGGAGAGAAGGTTATGATAAAGACAAACTAAATTTGGTTTCCAGGGTGGTTCTGAACATGCTCTTCCAATAGTGATATCCGAAATTCAACCAGGTCAACCAGCTGATCGATGTGGACAAGTTTTTGTTGGTGATGCGATTTTATCCGTAAATGGATATGATCTAAGAACTGTGAAACATCAAGAAGCTGTGGATATTTTAAGTGGACAACAAGGAGATTTAGACTTGGAATTGGTATTTGTTTGTCCGGATGAAGATAGTGATGATGATGGAACTGTTATGATTGAACATAGTGATGGATCGATGTAAGTTGGATGGTTTTATGGATCTGGGTAACTTCTTTGACTAATCTACGGTAACTTAACTTAGCCGGGCAGAGTTTGATTTGAGAAATTATTATTATGAAAACAGACCTAGGCCCATTATAAACTGACCTTTCTTAATTTTCCCTGCCTCCAAAAATAATCCGAATAATTTTCAGCTACAATTTATATCATACCGAAGAACCATCCTCAAGCCGATCTTCAACAGCATCTCAAAATACATCCGAAGAAACTCGATGTTCCTGATTGTTATTAATCCGAATTCCTATTTTTCTCACAATTAAATACGGTTCAAATTTTCCTGCTTTACTAGAACTACGGTGCTATTTAATTTAAAAATTTTAATTATTCAAAAATGTAAAAATTTCCATAAATAAATAATTTACTGTTTCTCTCTTTCAAAATTAGAATACTTATTTACATTTTTGAAAATAAAATCACAAGTGAAAAACGATCGAAAACCAGAGGGAGGGGGGAAAAAGCACAACCAGAGATAAATTATTAGTTTTTTTGTGACTAGATTAGATTAGAAATTTGAAAATTGAATAGAATTATTTTTCGAGTCAAAAATGACTTGTCGAATTGGCGAAATCACTTCGACTTTTCGATGTTGTTCATTTTCGGCGAATATTTGACTAGTTTTGATGATTCCATTATTTGCTACTTTCATTAGATCTTCAGTTATTTGGACAACTTGTTTATTTGCGAGTTGAATATTTAGACGACTGCAAGATAATTTATTTAATTTTTTGAATTTTTAATTATGAAATTTTTTAAAAAGTTGACTTTGAAAAATCATTTTTTCGTGCAAAATTTGGAATTTCCATGAGCGAACTTTTTTTTTTATTCCGTACTTATGAGACGATCGAACTGGATCAAAAAACCCTTACAAAACTTCATGAAAACTTTGAAACAGTGAAATTTTTTCCCCTGAAAATTAATTTTGAAAAATATTATTATTTTCGCCCCAAATTAAAAACGTGACAATTTTACAACTAAACTTTAATCTCAAATTCATAGATACGTTCATTAAAAAAAATAGTGAAATTTTTTAATCGCACGTATCAGACAATTTGGTTTTTTGTTGATTTTTTCTCTTTTTTTTTTTGGTTTTTTGACCGACAATAGTTTCTTGTTGAGATTTTTCAAAGATCCCTGACAAAATCCCCCCAAAAAACAACTAACTTTTTCGTGTCCATCAATTCGTGTGTTCGAATCCTTTCACATATAATCTTATTGAGTTCCGAATTGAACAAGGGAACTCCAAAAACACATTCCAACAATAAATAATCATCAAACTTCGATCCTTCGGGCAATTTCATCATAATTTCATTCGCATCATTTGCCTCATCTTCATTTCTTGCTCTTCCACTAATCTCTTTGCATTTCCCTTCAGAATTCTCTTTTTCCCAAGAAATCTTCTTGTTATTGAGAAGAACAATATATCCAGCTAAACTTTGTAATCCAATTAATTTCAACAATTTTTGAATTGCTGGATGATTTGAAAATGAATCTTCTTCTCCTTCATCTTCGAATGGAAATGGGATATAAACTAACTCCGGTTCAACATTGGAATCAGGATAAGATTGAACGAAAACCGGAGAGCTTAATAGCAAATCATTGAGTGCAAAAAGAGCATTTTGTGCACAAACAACTTGTGAATCATGTTTTGGACTTGTGACAAGAAATCGATTCGAGTTACTATTTTGTAAAATAGTTGGAATTGAGCTAAGTCTCGTTCCATGTGGCAAATAAATACTCGAAGGTCCATTTGAACAAGCTGAATAAATAGCTAATCTAAACCAAGGCGAACAAGTTTCAGCATTTGGTGGTCCGATAAATGGAATCGAAGAAATCGGAACAGCACATGCTTCAAGTGATAATGGAGCCATTGCAACTAATATCCCATAACTTTTCGCTAATACTCTTTGTCGACTATTTTGATCAAGTGTTAAAAGACTTTCTCCTCTTACAAGATCAGCTTCTCTTCCTTGTCGAAGACTTTTTATTGAATCGAGAAGTGATGTTGCATGCATTGAATATCGCTGTGCATCTCCTTCCGCAAATTGATTGACACTTTCGAGATTTTCAAGAAAATCACGCATTTGTTCATCGGCCAATTTTCCGACTTCGAATAATGTCACAGCGTGGCCCTAGAAAATGTTGGTTGAAGAAATTATTCGAAATGATCTTGGGGAAAAGTTTAATTCAAGAATTTTTATAAAATGTTTTTTATATGATTTTTAGGGAAAATTTCAAGGATCAGTGCATAGAAAGCATATTAGATGCGCCTAGAAAATCTAATTTTCAATTCACTAATCTGTTTTTCCCACAAAAATTCACTTCAAAAAATCCCACACTTTTCAAAATCTCTTATCCTGGAGATATATATTTTTAACCCAAATAAACACATTTTCAAAAGGAATGTTACCTTCAAAGACGCTGACAAATTTCCCATCATCAAAAAAGCGGTCAGCGTTGAATCAAAAATGAACGCAACTCGATTAACAGTTCCAACATCTGACGTGTTTTGGGAACTCTGAAAAATTATTTGAAATGAACAGTTCAGTTCACGTCTCAAAAAACTCACATCAGTTGAATTATTGAGCGATGGATTCGGAGAAGATGTTGAATTCCGATCCGAAACTGGAGAAAGAACTTCTTCAACATCATCATCGTCATTGATCATAAGAGTTCGAGTAAGTTCGTTCATATCTTCTGTTGTACTTGCACTCATTGACATACTCATGTTTCTATAAAAAATAAAAGTTTTTTGCAAAATATATTATTTTAAAAAAACCAACGGATTTGGTGAAACTGGAGAAGTTGGAGATGAAATAGTTGGCATCCATGATGTATGAATCGACAGATTTTCCACTCCAGTCACTCGTTTCTTAGCAAATCCTAATCGACAGAAAAGGCTTATCGCATTTTTGACGAGTTGTAGATCAATGTGTAGAATTTGTGACATCTGGAAAGTTTTCAAAACTATTTTATATAACCAATTTAAGTACTAACCTCTAAAACAGTTGTTTGATCATCAATCGCAACGAAAATTTTATATAAAAGAGTTTCAAAATAATCGCCCAAAACTCGATTCATCACAAAACCATCTAGCGGAGCAACATAAACATAATCATTTTCATTAACCGGGACATCGAAATAAATCAATCCTCGATTGAACAATGAAATAACTGTTGAATATTTGAGAAGTCCAGAAGAATAAGGACCACTATCCAAAAGATTATCGATTGTTTGTTTTTCTTCTTCTGGAAGTTGTCGAATATCAGATTCTAGAACTGATCCAACACATGTTAACCACCACGGTTCAATTGTTAGCTAAATAGAAATATGGGTTATTTATAATGACACTCACTCAAAGCTCAACTAACCTTTGCTGGAACTTGTGGCAACAATTCTTTCGCAGTTTTATTTCTCCTCAAAAACTTTCGATTTGATCTTGTTTGATTCATCAGATCTATATATTGATTTCTCCCAATTCCTAATAATCGCATAGCATCTGCTGCTGTGAAATTGGGCAAAGAATCGTAGGATTTTTCAGTGTTTAGCATTTCGGAGAGAATATTTACGTAATAACTAAATGGTGATATCCTGAGTTCGGTGACTATTATATCCGATAAATGATAGGGGAAAAGCATTAAATGTGATTCGGAAAATCGCATTAATTGCTCATAATATAGTTCTTCGCTTTTCTTTATATGTCGAACTGAAAACCTCTCATTTCTATAAGATTCGGACATAAATTTAGAAAAATAACTCACCTAAATTCCCTTTATATCGCAATTGATTCCTAATCGAATAATCGAAAACGCGTTTTTCATACTCCTTTGAAGAGTTTCCGAGGATAATTCGCACATCTTCAGGTAGTTTTTGCCATGAAATATTTTCCCGTATACATGTTTCGATTTCCATATTTATTTTATTCTGAAAAAATCGATTATTCTCCCGCAAACAAAGAAAAAAACGTTGCAAGCTGCCAAAAAAATAAAAAATATTATTGAGAGTACGGTCGACAAACAGAGTGTGCAAACACGCTGACATGAAAATGCACAACTACATTTTGAAATTTTCATTTTTTCAGTTTTTTTCGAGGTTTCAAACATCTGTAACTGGAATATTTCTAAATTTTCAGCGTGTTTCTCATTCTTAAGTGATTTAGCAGAAGCTAAATTGTAGAGAAATATAAAGATTTTACTGAGAATTCGATTTTTCAAGCAAAAAATTCAGTTTTTTGTCGGTTATGTAAATTTGAATTTTTTTTTGTTCAAATCCTCTTCCTTTTATTCAGTTCGTGGATTTAGTTTCGGTTTCTATGAACTAGAATTTTCAGATGTCAAAGGAAAAGGGTAAAAACGAATACGGTGCATTTTGGGCGAGATTTAAGGATAAATCGAAAGATACTCCAAAGGGAAAAGTACCGGTAGCAACTCTCAGGTATTATTTATTTTTTGTTTTCTATTATTCTTGATTTGAATAATGTTTTCAGGCGGGAAAGCTCATCAAGCTTTGATGTAGATAGTATAAAAACCGAAAGCAGTGCAGCACCTCAAAAAAGGCCAAAACGAAAGCGAGCTGTCATCAAAAACGACGAATTCGATCAACTTCCAATGTGCGGTGTAACAGTTCGTCTTCCAGTTGGATTGAAACCATATCCATCACAAAAATTGATAATGGTTCGAATATTGACAGCAATCAAAAACAATATGAATGTGTTGGCTGAAAGTCCAACAGGAAGTGGAAAAACAATGGCATTGTTGGCTTCAACTTGTGCATGGTTGAGAATGTATCAAGATGACAGAAAATTGGCGAGATCAAAGTGTGAAATACACGGAGATGAAGCACAAATTGTCAAGACTGGTGAGAGGATAAAATATGAACAGAAAAAAATAACAATATGCAAATAGTCTTCGAAATTTTTTACCTTTTTTACCCCGATTTTCTCTTTTAGCTTTTGCAATGTGTTTACTTGGCATTGGTCAATAATAAATTAGTCTAGTCAGAAATTAAAAGAAAGGAATCGCTGAGAAATGACGGGCGCCACCAATTATTTTTCTAAGAAAAAATAGGTCACGCGAAAAATTAATTCGATCACGTAATAAATTTTGAGTTTTCAATCATTTCTCAAAATTTTGTCACGGAGAAAGTGTGACATCGGAAATGAGTAATTTTTTTTGAAAAAAAAGCTAAGACGTGGTAGAACTGTAGTCCAGTAAATATATGGGATGTTCGATTGTTCACAGTATGTTTTTTCTTTTGATTGTATGTTACACCCGTGCTTTAAAAACATAGTTTGAGGTCCCAAACCCAGAAAATCTCCAACAACCCAACTTCTAATTCCTTATTTCAGAACCTCTTGCTGTTCACAAAAATGAGCCCGAAGCAACTTCAGATCCACAAATAAAACAGGAAAACACTGGTAAATTTAATTTTTCAAACATTTCATTTCATAAAGAACATTTGAATTTTCAGTTGAAAATCAATGGATAGAAGATTTCATACCGCACGGCGGACAGGAAAATGTGAAAAAAGAGGAGCCAATTGAAGGAACAAAAACAGAAGAACCAGTTTGTACATGTCTTCCAAGAGTTCGAATTTATTATGGAACTCGAACACATAAACAAATTGCACAAGTTGTCAAAGAATTTGGAAGATTACCGTATGCTGGAATCATCAAGTTGGTTGATTTTATCCAAATAAATCGATATGGAATTTATTTATTTTCAGACATACGATTCTGGCCAGTAGAGAACAATCTTGTATTAATCCAGCTGCTAGAAGATCGCCTGATATTTCACAATTCTGTAAAGAAGTCAATGGAACAGATGGGGTTCGTTTTAAAGGAACATGTGCCTGGGGCCACGCTATAATCCATATTTCCAGATTGGTTGCAGTTTCAAAACTGCTATGAGAAATCGATATGAAAAAGCATCAGCACTTCGATCACATTTGGAATATAATGTAAACCTTTTTCTTCTTTTTTGGTCCTCATTTTTCATTGTTTCCAGGGAACTGTTGTGTTCGATACAGAAGAAATTGTTGAAACACTCGCTCAATCATCCCCTCAACTTTGCCCGTATTTTTGCACAACTCGTGTTCTCACACAAGATGCTGATTTGATTTTCTGCCCATTTTCATATCTTGTTGATCCAATTATTCGGAATTCTTCAGATGTTCATGTAAAAAATGCGATTGTTGTTTTAGATGAAGCTCATAATATTGAGGATACATGTAGAGATGCTGCAAGTTTTGTATTTTCGGAAAAGGAATTGGATGATGCACTTTTATCGTTTAGAATTAAGAGTGGGTGGTTTTTCATTGGGGCGAACATTATCCGTTTTTTTCCAGAAAACGCAATTGATCAGGAAATCGAATCGGGTTTGAGTCACAATGGAGCTGATACTTTTGAAGAACGGGTAAACGATAAAATGGCGACATTAAAAGGTATTCCATCATTTTCCCCTTTTCTCTCTCAACATCTTATTTCCTCCAGAAATGCGCTCGAATTTGATGCTTTTGGAACATTTGATGTTGGAAATTTTGAGATGGGTTAGAAAATTGGCGACTGGTGCAAAAGAAAAAGGAAGAGATGGCACAAAAAGCTCCACATTGTTTGTTTCTCAAAAATAATCTGAATTTTTTTTTTGAAATATTTAATTTTTGCAGAACATCTTCGAGTTTGTTTGGATCGCTTACGGATGTTGAATCGGGTATTGATCTGTATACACCACAAAATACACCAAGATATACGGCGATTTCGGTGAGTTTGGGTAACTTGAAATGGTCCAAAAATACCAGAAACAAAGTCTGAAAATGTTATGACGTGGCAAAGAATTTTTTATTAAAACAAAAATCATATTTTTTGAGTTCGATTGATTGAGGTACTTGCGATAAATTTTCACTTGAATATTGAGTGAAGTTCCTGAAAATTGCGAATTATTCAAAAAGTAAAAATTTTCAGAGGAAAACTTACTTCTATTCATTTATTTGAGAGTGGTTTGAGGTTTTCACTCGAAATTTCCCCGGAATTTTTTTTTTTTATTTATTTTTTCAACTTTTGAACAATTCTAATTTCTGCGAAATATTCATTTCGGAATTGATATTTGAAACAACTTACATGGTATTACTGTAGTTGAGTGGGCCGTTGTGTGATAGCGATAATCAGTGGGCGTGTGTTGTAATCGTAAAGTCCGTGGGTTTAAGATAGGTTCGAGCTATCTACACAAAAAATTTTCCAAGTTTTGATACAAAGAATCTTTTAGATATTACTGTAGTTTAGATACGGTTCCAATTAAAGTTTTTATTGTGCCAGAAAGGCAAACTCACGGTCTCGTTCTTCCAATCTGTTTGATTTTTCACCAAAAACACTTTTTTTTTGAATAGTTCGTTGAGTTTCTGAAAATTACTAATTATCCAAAATGAAATATTTTCAAATGAAAACTCACTTTTTGCATTTTTTTAATGTGAAAATAGGAGTGTTAAAATGATTGAGAGATAGTACTGTAGTTTAGATACAGTTACTTTCAAATTGATTTTAAAAATAATCAATTCGTTATTTTTGGGCTCAGAAAAACAGAGTGAGGCGGAGCCATACATCAGTATCCCCGGATTTTCGTCCGGAGGGGGTCTGGCTAATTTTGGAAAGACGGCGTGGGGACCGGCTAACTTTTTGAAAAAATAACAATTTACAGCCCAAAAACCAATTTGTTTTTCTCTTTTTTTTTTGAGGGGGTCTGGCTAATTTTTGAATTTTCACATTACGGGGGTGGCTAATTTTCATCAGTATCCCCGGATTTTCGTCCGGAGGGGGTCTGGCTAACTTTGGAAAAAAAGGTGGGGACTGGCTAACTTTTTGAAAAAATAACAATTTACACCCCAAAAACCAAGTTTTTTCTCTTTTTTTTGAGGGGGGTCTGGCTAATTTTTGTATTTTCACATTCCGGGGGTGGCTAATTTTGAGGCCCTGACCGGGAGAAACTGATGTATGGGCGGAGCAGCATTTTTTTATAAAGAGAATCTTTTGTGAGAAGGGAGACGCAGAGAAGAGAGAGAAGAAGCAGGCACATTTTCGAGTTCTCATGCTGTTTCAGAACAAAAAAGGAATTGAAAAATTTAAAAGTGAATTTTTAGAGTTCGAAAAAATTCATAATACTCAACATATTCTACCGAATTCGAAAATTGTTGAATTTTCAGACAAAAAACATTCCAACAAGTGTTTCAGATAATTTTCAGCTCAAAATCATTTGTTTTTTGCAGGGAGCTTTCAATGCTCTTGCAGCTCGAAACGAAGCTGAAATGCAATATTTCGATGCTTACAAACCGAGTGCAACTGCGATTGTTTGTATCGAAAAATGGTTGTATTTTCAATCGTATTTCGGACAACCTGATTATCAAAAGACATATCGATGCAATTTGACAATTGAACCGATTCAACAAAAAACATCGTATTTTAAAGGAGGAAGGAATGCGGTTGATTTGAATAACACTGTGAGTTTTATGGGGAAAAACATGCGCGAGAATATGTGTGTTCAAATTCGTGTCATTTTGAATATAAATATAGACGTGGCAATTTTCAGACGCGGAGGAAGTTTGCATTTAACAAATTAACTTTCAGATGGAATATCGTCAAAAAGGAGCTGGACCACGAAATATGAAATACGCAGATGATGATTTCAGCAATGATTCATACGATGTTCATAATTCAACATGGCTCAATACATCTGGAGCGGCTCCATCTTCAGATTCTGATACAAAATGGATTGACACCGATAAACCGCCATCCGGACATCAACCAATTGCACCCGGTTGTAAAACAACAGTTAGTTTATGGTGTATGAGTCCAGCTCTATCATTTGTTGACGCATTTTCACAATCGAGAAGTGTTATTTTGGCATCGGGAACACTTTGTCCAATGGATACATTGAAAACTGAATTAGGAATGGAATTCAAACAACAAATGGAAGGATCGCAAGTCATCTCGAAAGATCGTATTTTTGCTGCTGTTTTGCCGGTTGGACCTGGAGGGAATCGAATTCAATGTACATATCGACATACATCCGATGAGAATTCACCATTTTATTCCGAATTGGGAGCTATTATTCAGTGAGTGTTTTTTTTTGTTGCTTCTATCAGGGGGTGATAAATCTGTCACCATTATTATCTAACCGTTCCTTGAGAGATTCTATGAAAAAAAAATAATATTTGCAGATTTGTGTGCAGTAATATTTCTGCTGGAATTCTATGTTTTTTGCCAAGTTATCGAGTTCTTGATCAATTAAAAAATCATCTGGAAAAAAGTTCAAGAATGAAATCGATTGAATCGAAAAAAGTAGTTTTGTGCGAACCACGTAGATCTTCTGAACTTGCTCAAGTTATGCTAGAATACGATAAAGCAATTGCTCAACCAAAATATTTTGGACCAACAATTAATGGAGCTCTAATGTTTGCCGTATTTCGTGGAAAAGTCTCCGAAGGTATCGATTTTGCTGATGATCGAGCACGAGTTGTTATCTCGGTCGGAATTCCATTTCCAAGTTCAACCGATGAATTGGTGACTGCAAAACGGATATATAATGATGAGAATAGTAAAACATTGGGCATTTTGAATGGTGAAGAATGGTATGTGACACAGGCATATCGAGCATTGAATCAGGCATTGGGAAGATGTTTGAGACATAAAAATGATTGGGGAGCTATGTTGATGATTGATGAACGATTGGAAAGACAATCGAAAAATATTACGACTGGTGAGATTATTTTGGTTTTTGGGTGGGGAAAAAATAAGGTAGATTAATTTCGATTATTTTCCAAATTTAATTCGAAAAATCCAAAAGTTGATGGAATTTGGGATTGAAAGTTTTTTGAAAAGTTGAAAAAATTTATTATTGTTTTTTTCAAAATAAAAAAAGGATAATTTCAAAGTTTAAAAAAAAGCCGGCAATTGTTTGTTCTTTCCTAATCCAGATTTTTTTGCATGCTAGTTTCCCCCTCAAAAAATTATCTTTTTTCACCGAAAAATAGATAAATATAATCATTTTTTTTGCTATGTTTGCAGACTAAAATGTCTGAATGTCTACGTCTCTTCGGGCATATTTAATTTCCCTTTCCACTCTGTGTTCTAGGATTTTCAGCCATTTTTTGAGAGGAAAAATGTTTGAAGAGTTTTTTTCTTTTTTTCGATTTCCATGTGTTGAACGAAACTTTTTTCAATTTTGTAAATTTTTTTCGAATAATTACACAAATTGTCCTCCTCAATGGCATTTTTTAACATGTTTGTTGTTTTTTCACAATTTGGTTTCTAGGCGCCGCTTCTGCTCGAGTCTCAAAATGGATTCGCGAACAACTCAAATCCTATCCGAATTTTCAAAATTTCAACGATGAATTTCGCGAGTTTTATATTAGAATGCGAAATGAAGACGTTGAATGTAGTGCTGCTTCTTCTTCTTCTGCTGCTACTGCTGATGTGAAAAAAGAAATCAAAACTGAAGATGGTTGATTGAGAGAGAAACAATAGTTTCGATCATTATTAATTTTTTTAACCGTATTGCATTGTGAAATAGATTTTCATTTTTATATTTTTGTTTTTTGTTTGTTTGTTTGTACCTGATATCGGTTATTCACCGAGTATTATATTTGTGTATGTTTTATTGAAGGTAGTTACAGATGGGTTAGGGAAATTTATGTTTTTTTAAAAATCTCTGAAAAATCAGACCATTTTTTTGCCAAGAAAAAACTTTTTATTACAAAATTTTTCACCTTGAAAATCAGATCGATTCAAAATTTGCCCTAATTTTCCTTCCAGCGTTTTTTCTCCCGATTTACCACCTTTTTTTCTCGAAATCTAGATTGAGTTTTATTTATATTGATTTCAAAATTTTCCATAATTTATTTTATCCAAACCTCACCCAAAAACCTGGAATATTGGGTGAATAATTGTCCACCTAGGTTTATTTACAAATTTTGCCCACCGGAGGCTCACTTTAAAGAAGCTAAATTTAAAAATCGCAAATTCGGAGTAACTCCGAAATCACGATTTATTATTTTTATCCATAAAATTGAGCTAGATTAGAAGTTCCTAGAATTTTTTGCCCACCTCGGGTTTCAGGAAAAATTGCCCACCTGGAATTCCAGGCATTCGGTGAGGTTTGATTTTTTTTATTACAGAATGGAACATATCAACTACTCGCTAGAAGCTGTACATATATACAAAACAATGGCTTGTGCTGCAATAACACTGAAAGGAATCAAAATTGTTGTTGATATTTCAAATATGAATCTATTACTGGTTTCTGCGCACTTTGACTCGGTTGGTTTTGATTTTCGCCCTGAAAATATGATCTGTTTATTTTTTATTTTTAGCTGGAATATTCTATTGGAATTTTCAAACCATATGAAATTAGAGATGTTGAAAATCGAAAATATGTGACGATTCATGGAAATGATTGTAATAAGCAGAAAATGTGAGTTTTCATTAAATTTTTTCCCAAAAATTAGAATTTTGAATTTTTATTTCCAGATCAATGATGATTTTCGAGTTTCAAGAAAATGATCCACAAATTCATCAATTTGAAAAATCTTTGGATGTGATTTTCGAGAAGAGCAGAGCATTTTCAGCCGGCATGAAACGGAAGTTTTCGCCTCAGAAAGAAATTATTTATGAGGTCAGTTTTCATATGAAATCAAATAACCCATATTCTATTTTTCAGCCGTCTTCATTAACTGATCAATTCAATAACAATTATAACCGATTTTGCAAAAGAATGCGGATTGAAGAAAGTGATAGCATTGTTGTCGGAAGTTTTGATGAAAATTCAAAGCTGGAAACTTGACAAGAAAATGGAATAACTGAAAAAAGCTAAATAAGGGTATTATTATTATTTATAGCACTGTGAAATAGATCTCTTTTTATATTAATTATAACTTGTTTCTTTGTTTTTTAACACTGGTTTTTTGCCCAACATTTTAATATTTTGATTTTTCGACTTCGTTCGAAATCATAACTCTTTAGAATATGGGTGATACTTTTCACGTACTGGTTCTACATAAGCTGACAAAATCCAGTACGATTACGATCAAAAATGTTGTTTTGAAAGTTGACGTGGCAAACTTGAAGTTTACAATTACTTCGAAACAATTGGAAACGGTTGGTTGATTTTTAAACTGTGAAAAGAAAAAACAAAAAGTGTTTCAGGAAGTCTTTCCGATCTCATTGTTCAAACAATACAAGGTTAAATCTGGAGGACCATATGTCACTCTACATGTTTTGGATAGAAACGAGAAGAATATGTAAGTTTTTTTGAAAAATCAATATTTTCAATTCTTAAATTTTCAGTTCTTTGTTGAAATTCGAATTTCGAGAAGGTGATCCAAATATGGAATCATTAGCACAATGTTTGAATATTATGATTATGAGAAACAAAGAAATCAATGGTTCGAATACCCGAAAAATATTAGTACGATTACCTGAATATCGAACACCGGCAGCCTTTCAACTACAACCAAAAAGAGCATGCTCGTTGATAAAGAAACCAATACATAATGTAAGATTTTGAAGCTATGTTTTTATTTATCAGAATGTTTAATTTAGACTTCTCCATCACATGTGGTTTGTTATGAATCTGAAGAGCATCAACTAGAAATGATTACAAAACAAAATTGTTCACTTGATTCACACACTTTTACACTGGAATTGGTACGTTTGCTTACGAAAAAATCGTGTTTGCAATTGATGAAGAACGCTGAATTGGTCGTAGATATTGTGAATCAGAAATTATCGATTTATTATAATAAAAGAGCTGGAGAGGTTTGGAAGAGCTGGAGAGGTTATTTATTTAGAAATACGTTTTTTTTCAGATTGTATACCCAATTACGATTTTCAAACAATTTCGAGTTAAAGCCGATGGAACGTTTGTTCATTTATTCGGCGTGGAGAATAATGAATGTGAGCTGTAAGTTATATCGAATATGAATTGAAAATTGGTTCGGAATTCTCTTTTCAGTGAACAAGTAGTGTTCGAATTTCAAGTTGATGATCCACAAATTATTCAATTAACAAATTTGCTGAACAAATTGTTCCAAAAAGTGCGAGCAAGAGAAAATGATAATGTTGATGAAGAAGGAACTTCGGCACCAAAAAGAAAAATGTACAATAATAATGAGAATGATGAGATTGTAACTTTAGATATCTGAAATATTTCAGATTCGGACAATAATTTAACAAAAGATTTATAATGCTCTTTGTGTTTGTATATAAGTATTTGAAAATATACGAGTTTTATCATTATTTTTTTTCTATTTTTCATTCCTGGTTTTTTTGGACCAATTTGATACTTTTTGATAGATTTCAGAATATTTTAGGGAAAATAATTTATTCAGGATGGGTGATACTTTCCACATACTGGTTCTACATAAACAAATAAAAGCCTTGGTAGCATTCAAAAATGTTGAATTGACAGTTGATATGTCGAATCTGAAGTTTACCATAACATCGAAGACTACTGGAACGGTGTGTCGACTTTTTTTTTTGAAAACATTATAACTTTTGAAAAATTGTTACAGGAAGAATATCCAATTACATTGTTCAAACAATACAAGATTAAATCTGGAGGAAAATATATTACACTACATGCATTGGAAGGAAACGAAAAGAATTTGTAAGTTTTTAGAAAAATCAATGTTTCAATTAGAAAGTTCATCATTTTTCAGTTCTTTGCTGAAATTTGAATTTCGAGAAGGTGATCCAAATATGGAAGTATTAGCACAATGTTTGAATATGATGGTTGAAAAGAATAAAGCAATCAATGGTTCGAATGGTCGAAGTAATTCACAAAAAAGTCGACCACGATTACCTGAACATCGAACACCGGCACCAGTTAAAGTGGAACCAAACAGAGCGTGCTCATTGATAAGGAAAAATACAGCTAATGTAGGTATTTCACATTGGAAATCAAAAAAAATGAACATTACAGTCTGTTTCATCTGAAAATGCTGGACAATCAAGAACATCACAACAAAGATCACAAAGTTCACAAGATGAAGCGAAAAAGATTGCAAATTCGGCTCAAATGCGTGATTTGCACCCTATGGATACGATTAAAGACCAATCTGCTCCATTGTATAAGAATTCAACACCGTTGAGACCAGCGAATCAGAATATCAGAACTTCATTGAATGCGAATCCGAATTATTTGAGATTTATTAATGAGTAAGTTTGGTTTTAAAAGGAAAATCAAAGAATTGCTCATTTTAGATCAAAATTCTCCAATTTTGACTCAAAAAGATTCAGATTTTTAGAAAAATAAAGATCAGAATAATAATAATAATTCTGGAACATTTGAAAAACAATACACTCATATCAATTTTTGATAAAAAAGAGTTTTTTTTTCTCCCCCAAAAACCAAGTGATTCTCATAATTTCATTCACTTTTGAGTGAATTGAGAATCTCTCTCACTCCCCAAATTTCAAATGTGATTTTTCAGAGAACAACCCGATATTCCTGATACAAAACCATCGACACCAAAAGTTAGTGCGGCTCCAAAAACTCCGTCAACACACAAATACATTGAATATGAGCCGGAATCACCATCCCCACTTGCCAAAAGTCCACAGTGAGTTTTATCGTTGATTGTCAATCCCTGCAAATATGTATTCATTGATTCTAGGAAAGCTGCCGCATTACCAATTGTTTCTCGAACAAGATTAAATGAAAGTTTGATGATGAATAAGTTCAAGAATCGAAAATTGTCGAATATCGGAAATTCGTGCTATATGAATGCGACATTTCAAGCATTGTCTGCTGTTGATTATTTCACTTTTCGAATGCGACAAACATATTCGTATATATTTCAATTTCGCGCTTTAAATACTGAAGAATTTAGCGAAGTATCTAAGAAAAGAGTGAATTTGTTGTAAGTTTGGTAGACAGATGTACATGTTTTCTAGTAGATTTTGACCACAGGGCTTCGGAAACTTAAAAAAAACTTATTAATTTTTCAGTCAGTTTCGAAAATGTTAGAATTTAGCTCTGAAAACGGGATTATATTACTCAAAATGTACTAGAAATCATATAATTTATCTCATTTTCTAAAGTTTAGCATATTGTTTTTTTTTAGAAAAGTATCGGCTGAAATGTTATATACACTAACCGCTGGATGTCCTTCTTCTTTTGGTTCTTTGAAAATTTTCGATAGAATTGAAGTAATTGAGAGATCATGTTTGCGAGAAATCCGAGAAGTAATTGGATTCCTCAATCCAGATTTTGATAATGCTCTTCAACAAGATGCTCACGAATTTTTCATTATTTTTATCGCAGAACTCGAAAGAACTGTGAAAACATGTGCGAAACGATTTTATCGAAAAGATAATGGTAATGAACAGGTTACGGATGAGGTTTTGAAAGATAATTCGGAATTTCGAAAAATGTGTCCAGCTGATTCGTTTGCAATTCATTTTGAAATGCGATTAATTTGTTCAAATTGTGGAGATGAACGGATTAGGGAACAAAGTTATCAATTTGATTTGAATGTTACGTTGAGGTTTGTGAATTTTTTGATTTATGGAATATGGGATTTTTGAAGGAGGTTTAGTGTTTTGCATAGAACTTTCTCCTTGGCCGAAAAGTTCAGCGGTTCAGCGGGTGCTTGAGAGATCAAGGCTATAATAAAAATTACATGTTTAAAGTTTTTATGAGAGAAAATCATTTCAAAATGATGACGTCACAAGCCCCTGAAGCCTAGAAAATCCACTTTGTTTTCCAGACCAAACAAAAATTTGCAAGAACTCATAGAAGAATCATATCCATGCACTCAAAATCCAGATGTAAAATGTGAAAAATGTAAAGGTCTCGGAGCTATAATGAGCACAAGAGTTAGCCAATTTCCAGAGTATGTTTTCATCTTGTTTCATTTTTTTTTGTCTCTACATATTTCGAATTGCAGAACATTGGCTGTGAATTTGAAGAGATACACTGCACACAAGAATGCGATGAAGAAAATCGATTTGATCGTTCCGGTCCCGTTGATTATTTATTCAAGCAAATTGGCCAATTTTCAGGATGATATTATGGAATTTTCGGAAGAGTGGGTTTTTTGGAAGAGGGAGGTGAAACAATTAGAGTTAGGAAAAGTAATTGTTAGGTCGAAAAATATTATCCAATACCGGAAAGATTTTCAAAATTGTCCCGAAAATTGATTTTTGAAGAAATGGGTACTTTTATCAATTTTGGGACAATAACCTGGATAATCGGACCAATTTTTCGATCTCATGGGTGTATTTTTGGTCCCGAAAAGTTTTAGATTCATTTTAGGATTTGAAATTATCTTTAAAATAAAATTATATGAATTTCAAATAATTTTCGCGAATCAGACATCTGAAAGAAAAATTCAAAAATAATTCGATTACGAGACCATTTCCGTAAAATCAGGTTTTTTGCTTCAAAAAGCCTAGAATTTGTGTAACTAGGTAATTTTAATGTCATTCTCCTCAAAGCCCACTGAAAATTTGCAGCGAATTTAAATTGGAGGAAGTAAATCAGCTGGAGATAGCCAAACCATCTTCTCGTCCATCTTCTCCACCAACTATTTCACCAATTGTTTCCCCAACTTCTCCACCACCAGCCGAAATCAATAATATTTCAATGGATGAAACACAAAAGAACAGTGCGCCATCAACTCCAGTCTCAACAAAACGACGATCGTCAGCTTCACATCGAGCATTATTTTGTTCAGAACATCCGGAAGATCCGAAAGATGCGAATATTTTCGATGATGATGATTTGAATGGAAATAGTGATAACAACAACAATAAGGGAAAATTGTTGGGAGGAGGTGAAGTGAAAACTGAAGTATCAACAGATGATTTGGAAATAGTAGAGGAGAAGGTTTTTTCGTCAATCACATTTTTGCCATTATCGGATTTGGAAGAAGTGAAAGAGAAATTGGATTTGGTCGAGATTTTTGATATTAATGATGATACGTTGAGGTTTGTTTTTTGGTAGAAAATGGGTGATGTGGCAACTTGTCAAGAATCTTGTTGCAATCTGAAAATATTCTAAGTTTCATGAAACGTGTTCCTTTTTGCAAAATTTTCCAACCCTGGGCTCTCAGAAAGTTTAATTTTTTAAATATCTTTCGATTTTCAGACGACACTTGGACCAATTCCCAAAAGAGAAAATCGACTTGAAACTCTCTGAAATTCCATCAAATTGCAAAACTGTCGATTCGGATGGAAATTGTTTTTATCGAGCTATTTCTTGGCTATTGACATCGACTGAAAAGTATCATTCGCAACTTCGAAAAAAGGTTGGATTCAGAATTTTTATTCAAAAAAATTAACAGTGAATAATTGGGATGGGATTAGAATTAGACGTGGAGACGTTTGTAGAATCGACGAGCTTCGACGCCGTTGAAAGACATGCGCTGAAAAAATTGTGGATTGATTTGGAAATTAATGACTCAAAGGTGGAGGCAGAAAACCCCCGGAAAAAATAATGTAAAACTAACCACGACGAGAAATTCTCCCTCGAAATAATATTCATAAGTTTCCTCTTTCGCATCTCCATTTTCCAATGGTTTGTGATGTTCAAACAAATGTCCATTTTTCAATGTAAAAGTGATTTGATGTTTTGTACTATCCAAACCTTCGCCCTCAAATCCCGCTCCCAATTTGATATTCTTATAATTCACATCCTTTTTCGATGTCAAATTCGAATAGTCAAATCTCGAACGATCCGAAGTTTTGTGGAAAACCTTTTTGAATGTGGCAAATGTCACAATCTTTCGAGTAAACCAACTGTAGCCTTGAGCTGTTAGATATTCGTCAAAATTTTCCGAATGATCCAAATCGAAAGTTCCATAAAATTCGTCGGGAAGATAATTTGATGTTGTTGGAAGAGCAGCAATTGAAGTGAGACAGATAAGAGAGAAGAGAATAAACTTGTTCATTTTTAGAGAATATGATTTGTGTGTGGTGAAATGGTGTATTTATAGGGTGCGAATAGGCTCCGCCCATTTTCGGGACTTCCCAAAAATCCGCGTCTAGCGTTAGTGCTTTGTTTGTTTATGTTTGTAATATTTGGGAAGTTAGGATTTGATTTTTAAGAAAATTCAGAATTTGGAGTAGATTTCAGTAACATTAAAGCGATGAATCGTTTCGTGGAAAAATCTTGAAAAAATATTATTCTTCTGAAACGTATTTGAAACATTGAAAAATAATGGTTTTCGCCTATTGATGAGATTCTATGATTTGAAATATCAGCAAAAATATATAAAATTTGAAATTAAAAATTTCCATATTTATTGTTCAGAATGTCGATTTCATGACGGAAAATGCGGAAGTTCTCGCAACTGTTACCAATAGGCCAATGAAGGAAATTATTTCGGAAACTGCAAGAGATACGGAATGGTCAAGTGATGTTGAGATTATATCAATGTGCTCATTGTTGCGTTGTGATGTAAGTTATATTGATTTTGAAAATCTCTCCATACAAAGTTTTTTCGGGTTTTATCCAGAATTTTGCTTTGCAATTCCCGAAATTCCACACAAACTCCATTTTTACAGATTTACACGTATCTCAAAAAATCATGGGTTAGATATCAACCAAAAATCGATTGTGGAAAACGAAAAGGATCATTATATTTGAGTAATAAAAAAGAAGTTCATTATGAGCCAGTTATTTCAATTCAAAGAGCAACAAGAGGAACGAAAAGAAAAAGTCCAGAATATGATGGAAACAATGATAAAGATGATAATGATGAAATGCCAAGTCGACAAATGTATAGTAGAAATTGTAAAACTGGAAAAACATATACAGAAAATAAGGAGGAAGATATTGGAAAAAAAGAGGAGACAAAGAAGACGAAGAAGCAGAATAGGGATTTGAGTGAAGAAGTTGATTTGGTTCGTGCTGATGTATATCCAGTATATATTTTATCTTCAGTTGTTTGTCATCAAGGATTGTCATTGAATAGTGGTTGGTTGAATTTTGGGGGGGGGAAATTGAATTTTTCGGATTTTAGGAGACTTTTTATTGTCAGAAAAAATTGAAAAAAAAATACTTTTTCAATAAAAATTGATGTTCAGAATATTGGAATTGTGCCCGAATGTTCTTTTGAAAAAATTAAATTCCCATTTTCTCTATTTCTAGGTCATTATGTTGCATATACCCGAAATGCTTCAACAAATGAATGGCTTTATTGTTCCGATGAATGTGTTTATTCTGTAAGTTTTCAGAATCCTAGTTTTCTTTTGATTTTTCAATCAAAAATCAATCAATATTTACAGGTGCCTGAAGAAAAAGCATTGAATGAATGTGCTGAAAAAGGATATGTTTTTTATTATTCCAAATATTCGTCATAATTGTTTCCCTCTCCGTTTTAAATTATCTCTTTTCTTTTTTGTTATTTTTTCACCCCCCCCCCCCTCCCTTTAAAAAATACCTCATTATATCTTGTTAATATTTTTACGGTTCTTAATTTAAATGTGTTTTTTTTCTCCGCCCCGATCTCATTCATTTTTCTGTTAGATAAATTTTTTGAAGAATATTTGAAATTTGAAATTTTTTGTTTTGTGATCGGCGGAATTCCCGTGTTTTGAGTGATTTTTCAGAGAAAGTTTTTGCTTTTTGTCAAATTTTTAATGTAGGAAAATTCAGAAAATGGATGAATCGGAATTGTCGGTTTTTGCTGTGTCGATGACAATTGATATGGGAGTTGTGTGAGTTTTTTTTGGGGAAAATATTACATTTTGAAAATTCATTCAAAGAGTCAGAATTTGACCTAAAATCGAGCATTTTTGAGCTAACACGAGAAATACTTTTATTTAAAAAAAACTGGACAACATCGGGGTTTTCTAGAAAATTTAGTATAACATGAGCAATGCAACGAAAATACAGTTTTTTATCCTGAATTCTGATATTTTTCAATTTAGGAAAATAACTCCTGAAATTAATTTTGACAATTTTTGCAGATTCCCACCACCAATCGAAATGGATTCTAGAGATGAAATTGAAATCGAAGCAGAAGAACACAATAATAATTTAATAAAATCGAATTCAACAAAATATTCAATTTCAGCTGATTTTATCAGACGCATTTTATTGAACCAATCACAATATAACACTGATTTTCAATTGGTAAATTAAGTTGAAATCTAATTTCCCCAAAAAACTTTTTCAGATCAAATATTCGATGAAAAACAGTGAAACACTTTTTGGAACTTGCCAACGACCAGATGAAATATTGGTTTCTTTGAATAATTTGGCTCAAAACTACAAATCGATCGATGAATTTGTTCCACCAGAAATCGGAATTTCAGAAATGGAAAAATGCTTGAAAATAACAATGAAAAAATATGAAACAAGAAGAGTTTATTGGTTTTTGGATGTTCAGAGTTTCCTAAAATGTGTTAGTTTTTTCTTCGAAAATCTTGATTTTCAATACAAAATTCTAATTTTGCAGAAAGTCTTCTCATTCCAATCGATTTCAACAGATTTTCTCGAAGTTTTTGTTTTTGGAGACTTGCCAGTTTTTCACAAAAATGATCGATTTGTTCGAAATGTTTTGAGCGAATTTCAGAAAAATGAGGAGAAAATGAAGATTCATTTGATGTGAGTTAAAATATTATTTTTCAAAATTTGTTAAATTTTGCAGAATGTGCAATCGAGATATTCTGGAAATTCGAGAAAATTTGAAGTTTGATCAGATTGAAAAAGTTAAAATGACTGGAAATTTGCACATTGGACAAATTAATTGCGCGATAAAAGTTGATGGTCAAACTACAAGTTCAAACTACAAATATGATTCAATTGAAATCAATTTGATTGGATTTATCGAAAAATTGGAGAATTGGATTTTTGAAGAGGAAAAAGATATTGTTGTTTCATCGAAATCTGAGGTTTTTGTACAATTGAAAGAGTATTTGAAGGAAGGAAATTGTGGTGCATTTTGTCAATGTTTTTATGGAAAACAACAAATGGAATATTGTCTTTTGATTGTTGTTGGAGTTAATGAAGAGATACGATTTATACGGTTGAATGAGAAAAATGAGGAAAAATGGAGAGAGTTTTTAAACATGGAAACTGTTGGAAGTGTAAGTTTTTTTGCGAATTTTTGTATCGGAAATACATTAGACATGGTATCATTTTCTAAAGTTTTTTTCACTGAAAAACATATCCCGCTTTTTTACTGAGATCACAATAATGAGCCGAAAGCTAAACGATTTGTCTTATTGAAAATCTACGAAAATTAATTTTTCCCCTCATTTTCAGATCAATGAAACATGCGAAATATCCGAAAAACCCAAGCAACTACAAATCTATCAACCGATTGCTCCTTTGCATAAAAAATCGACCAAAAAATTCGCAAAAGCTGCGATTCAGGAAGGAGGAGAAGTAGGAATATTGACTTTTATCTAGGTTTAAAATTTTTGGAATTTTCAGAAACTTGAAGAATTTGTGGGAGAATATGAGATTCTTGGATTTAAAAACGAAATGCAAAATTATATTGAGGAAATTCGGTCGACAGATGTAAATGTGGCCAGCGAAGATTAAATTTATTGAAATGAAATGTTTTTGTTAATTTTTGTTGCTTTGTAATTTTAATGAAAAAATTGTTGGAATTTGATTTGAAAAAAAAATTAAAAATTTAGAAATGGAACATTGAATTAATTTTCAGCGCACTGACGCGTCATGACGTGAAAAAATCTATCAGAAACTCCATTTTGCATTTCAAATCGTGGAAAATCCAATATTTTGGAAATCAAAAACAATGAACAAATAATGGCCTAGGTTTACAAACGCACATGTGCGCTCCATCGCAAACAATTCGAATTCAAATCGCCCGCCAAATGCGGGAAAACGAGTGTTTCATTTTCTTCTTTTCTTTTCTCTTCGCTTTTTCGCTCATAAAGAAATCATCGAGTTTCAGTAAAGACTAACAAACTAAAATGGCTGGAAACGATGAAGCTTTGCAACCAGAAATGGTCGAAGACGAAGAACTCGACGCAATTGATGAAATGTTCAATAATGAAGTAGATGATCCAGAAGACGAAGATGGTGAAAATCTGTTTGGAGATGACATGGAACGAGATTATCGCGAACAACCAGAACTCGATGTTTATTCGGAAAGTGGAATGGATGATGGAAGTGAAGTTGGAGATTTAGATGTGAATGCAAGAAGAGCGGCTGAAAGAGAAATGGCTCAACGCGATCAAATGTTGGATGATGATGCATTGATGTATGAAGATGGAGATAGTGAAGAACAATCTGGAAGAAGAGGGAGAAGAGCAACGAAAAGAGGTGGAAGAAATGAAGCTGGAGCAGGAGATGGAGATGATGTACCAATGGATGATGAAGAAATTCCAATTGATATTTTGGAAAATATTCGTGGAAGAAGTATTCGTGACCACGTTTCTGATGAAGCTGTTGGTAGAGAAATCGAAAGACGGTTCAAGAATTTCTTGAGAAGTTATCATGAACCATCATCGAAACATGCTAAATATATTCAAGCAATCAAGGCGATGGCTGCAGACAACAAAGAATCATTGGAAGTCAGCTTTATTGATTTGAGTGATGAGAATGGAGAACAAAACATCTCTTATTTTTTGCCAGAAGCCCCAGTACAGGTAACTCATTGTTTTTTGAATTCAAAGTTTTAGAACAGATTCCTTCCCAAAACGCGTATGAGAAGAAGAAAAATAGTATAATCTCATTCGAATTAGGAAGGATATATAAACGATTTGTGATAAGCCATTCTATAGATTTCATATATAATGTCTGATAACTCTTCAACATTTCCAGATGCTTCAAATCATGGATCGCGCAGCCACAGATGTAGTAATGAGTATGTATCCATTCTATTCACGCGTTTGTTCCGAAATCAAAGTTCGAATCTCGCATTTGCCAGTCGAAGAAGATATTCGAATGCTTCGCCAGGTTCATTTGAACATGTTGATTCGAACAAGTGGAGTTGTCACTATTGCAAGTGGAATTTTGCCACAATTGGCAATTGTTAAATATGATTGTGTTGCTTGCGGATATCTTTTGGGACCTTTTGTGCAACACGATGAACAAGAAGTTAAACCAACTATTTGTCCGTCTTGTCAAGGAAAAGGACCATTTGAATTGAATGTTGAGAATGTAAGTAACTATTTATTCATCTGGATATATTTTTCTAAACAAAATCAATATTGCAGACTGTTTATCACAATTATCAAAGAATAACAATGCAAGAATCACCAAATAAAGTTGCTGCTGGTCGTCTTCCACGTTCAAAAGATGTCATTCTTCTTGGTGATTTATGCGATTCGTGTAAACCTGGAGATGAAATTGAAGTCACTGGAGTTTATACGAATAATTTCGATGGGTCTTTGAATTATAAACAAGGATTTCCGGTTTTCAATACAATTATTCATGCAAATCATATCACAAACAAGGATAAAATGGCATCGGATCAATTGACTGATGAAGATATTAAGGTAATTTGGAAAATCCGGCGAAATCAAAAATTTCGAAAAAAAACCCTCCTCACGAATTTAACATTTTCATTTTGCAGGCAATTCGCGAACTTTCTCAAGATCCAAATATTGCATCGCGTGTTTTTGCATCAATTGCTCCTTCAATTTATGGACATGATGATGTAAAAAGAGCAATTGCACTTGCTCTTTTCCGCGGAGAACCGAAAAATGTTGATGGAAAACATCGTTTGAGAGGAGATATCAATGTATTATTGTGTGGTGATCCAGGAACTGCAAAATCCCAATTCCTTCGTTATGCTGCTCATATTGCTCCGCGAGCTGTTTTGACAACTGGACAAGGAGCATCAGCTGTTGGTTTGACTGCATATGTTCAAAGACATCCAGTAACTCGAGAATGGACTTTGGAAGCGGGAGCAATGGTTTTGGCTGATAAAGGAGTTTGTATGATTGATGAATTCGATAAAATGTCAGATCAAGATCGAACATCAATTCACGAAGCAATGGAACAACAAAGTATTTCAATTTCAAAAGCTGGAATTGTCACATCACTTCATGCAAGATGTACAGTTATTGCTGCATCAAATCCAATTGGTGGAAGATATAATCCAACACGAACATTTGCTGAAAATGTCGATTTAACCGAACCAATTCTTTCGCGTTTCGATGTTCTTTGTGTTATTCGTGATTCGGTTGATTCGGTTGAAGATGAGCGACTCGCTAAATTTGTTGTTGGAAATCACATCAAACATCATCCGGATAACAAGGAAAATGAAGAAGAAGATGAGGAAAATGGGGGCGGAGAAAAGGAAATTGAAAAAGTTGATGAGCGATTGGGAATTCGGTTGATTCCACAGGATTTGTTGAGAAAATATATCATTTACTCGCGCGAAAAATGTCATCCAACATTGTCGAATTCGTTGGTGACAAAATTATCCGATATTTATGCGATGATGAGAAAAGAAAGTATGGCAACTGCTTCTGTTGTGATTACTGTCAGATCTGTTGAATCAATGATTCGTCTTGCTGAAGCACATGCTAAACTTCATTTGAGATCGTAAGTTTGAATTTTTCCAGGGGTTTTTATTCCAAAACGCCATGTTTTTTTCAAATCTCGTTTTTTGCAGATATGTGAATGATGATGATTGTTCAGCCGCAATTCGAATTATTCTCGAATCATTTGTCAACACTCAAAAAGCATCAGTTATGCGACAAATGCGAAAAACATTCTCGCGCCATTTGACTGAAAATCGATCAGCCAACGAGCTCCTTCTGTTCGTCTTGAAACAATTGGTCAAAGAGCAAATTCATTATAAAACTGCTCGAAGTGGAGCAAATGATCTTATTCAATCTGTCTCCATCACGGAATCTGATTTTATTGAGAAGGTTGGTTTTTTTTTTCATATTTTATTTTATCTGAAATATGAATATTATTCCAGGCTCAACAATTGCGAATTGAAAACGTCAAACCGTTTTACACCACCGATATTTTCACTGCCAACAATTTCAGCTATGATCCATCGAAGAAGATGATTGTTCAAGAAATTTTCTAATTTCTCATTTTAAAATTGCTTTATTTTATTTTTTTATGTTTTTTTTTCAATTCTCAAAAATGATACTCATATAAACTCGGTTATGATTTTTGTAGATATTTGACAAACTCACACTACATCCGAATTTTCTAACAATTTTACTGACAATGAAAATCTATTTTTCAGAGCGAATTGAGATTTTCAACATATATCAACTTGTTTTCAATAACATCGCATTTTGGGAATATTTTGAAACGTAATTTATTGGAAAATTTGAAATTTGTATTTTTGTTAGAAGTGCTTTATAATTTTGTCTGTTTGCAACAATTTTCCGTGTCTTACAAGAAATATTTGGATGTACTCAGATTAAACAAACCAACAAAACAAAATAATTGAACAAAGCTCAAAAAGTTTCACTAAATCAAATCACAAAAAATGACGGAGGGCAAAATCAAATAGAAAACGGAAGAAAATTGAAGAAACGCAGAAAATAATACAAATAATGAATCAACTCATTTTTGTGCTCATTTTGTGACTTTTGAACACGGTATTTCGGAAGCTTATAAACATGTCGAAGTTTTCAAAATTGTGCTAACTTTAAAAATTTAAAAATGCTCGAAAATTCAGCTGAAATTGAAAGTGTGAAGATTTTTGGAATTTGGAGATTTTTTTGGAGGTAAGTTGAAATAATTATATTATTTTTTTGAAACTATGTAGATACCACCAGACAGCTAGATAGTTAGAGATGCAGGGATGCCAGGCAATTCGATATAACTTTAGAGTTCGCGACGCAGAGAAACTGGCCGCTGAAGCGGAAGCTTTCGAAAAGCTAATGTTTTCTGAATTTTTGCAGATTTTCACCGTTCAATTGTTCGCCGGGTCTCACAAAAATTCCTTGCCTAATTTTTTCTATCGTAATTCTGCTTGCTATGATTTTTCGAATTTATTGGATGTTTTTTCAAACTGGAACTCATGTCAGTTCAATTTTTAAATTTAAAATTCCAATGGTAAATTATTTTTTCTAGATTCTATCACCTGACTGGGCTGAAGGTAATCTTTACGCATTTTTGACTTTTGAATCGGTTTTTGTGATTGTTGCGATTTATCAATTGACTTCGAGAAATGTTGTTCGGAAAGTTGAGAAAGCGATTGGAGTTTTGAAAACTATGAGGGTAAGATTACACGACATCAAAATCTAATCAAGAATTTAAAGATGGTTTTAAGTATGAAAAGTTATCCATTTCAAAATTCCCTGCTTTCTAAACCCTTCTTTTCCTGTTCGAACATGATCAGTTTTCTTCTCATTTTCTTACAAACAAATTTTCAGATAAAAGAAAATCACAATAGAGTTGATAGCTATGCATTTGTCCATATTCGACTTTTAATTGTTCTAACTTTCATCGGAGTTTCGATTTTGGGATCAGCAATTTATTTGGTGGCAAATAAACTTGTCATTCTGGGAACGTGAGTACTTCAAAGTTTTTATAAATGTTTTCAAAACTCTAGAATTTCTGGATCAAAAAAATCTACATTTTCTGAAAAAAGTATACCAAAATGAAGCTCTCAAAATTCTCTATCAAACTCTCAGCAAAAAAGTTTTTCAAATTTATTGTTAGATAATTAGAAACGTTTCACTGTAGTTTAAACTATAGAGACTTCCAAGAACTTAAGCTTTGTTTTTTAAATATTATCTTTATTTAGGAGCAAAATTTTAACCAACAAAAAATCGTGCCTAATAATCTAAATAATTTCAGATTACTGTAGTTCATTGTGTACAGAATATTAAGAGCTGTAAATTGATATATTCTCTCTGATACTTTTTCAAAAATTTACTTTGTCAAAAACCTAACCTTGAAAATTTTCAGCACTCGTCATTCCTCTTGGTATCCTTATTATGACGTCATAATATCATTTTTCTGTTTCTACGTGCATTTTCTATACATTCCAATTCATGTTCTAATTCATTCCGCAATTCAAAAAGAAATCTATATTTTCAACATCGAACTCAAAGAATCCATCACATCTTCTTCTGATTCTCAAAATTTCACTCAAAAATTCGAGGAAATCATTGAGAAGTTCAAAAATCGTCAATTATTTCTCCAAAACTTTGCGAATTCAACAATGTCTCGTTTTTCAATTCTATTGAATTTTGGAGGATTTCTGATATATCTTGCAGTTTTGAATGCATCTTATAATGCTACAGTATCAAATCCAAATCGACCAACTCTATATATGATTTGCAATTATTTTCTATGGATCTCAACAATTATCATAACTATAATTCTTCTTTATCCACAAACAATTATCATTGAATCAGTGCAAAAAACTGCGAAACTTCTATTATCTTCAAGAATTATTCAAGAGAATCCAAATGTTTATGAAAATTCACAAATTATGATTCAAAGAAGCGAGCAAAATTGTCATTATAACAATGTTGCACATGCTTTTAGAATAACTCAGAAAAATATTAAAAGAACATTTATGTTAATTGCACTAACTGTTATTGTTATGAAAGTAACACACAAATTTGTTGAATTAGGAGATGATATTGGATTGTTGTTAGAAAAAGTTCATAATAAAATGAATATTAAATCGATGTAAAGAAATAAAGTTTTATTTAAAGGCTTTACTACACTTTGATCTTAGCTAATAAGCCGAAGAAGAAATTTCAAGTTTTTTGTTCGAAAAATGACTCGTGGCAAAATCAGGAATGGTTCCTAATTTCGCCATGGATGAAGTCATCGATAAATTTTTCGAAAAAAACTTAATTTGAATTGGTCTCGCAGCGGAGGCTAACTTTCTTCCCAGGACCCCTAAAAATTCCAAATAAAGTCATTCGCACAGATCTCGATACGCTGATTTTCGCTATGTTTTTTGTTTTTGATGAAGTGGGGGTAATTAAACCGCTAGGCGTTGCACCGTTTTTGTCGGCTGCGCGATGAAAATTGCACAATTTTCTTCTTTTTCAAACGTGTGTGGCAACAAAATGCGTATTTCTGACAAATCTAGATGGTACTGTAGAATTAGAGTAACCCATGGGATACTGTAGCTTAATGCAAAACTACAGTAATCTGTGTTTTCAAAAAAAAAGCGAAATGAAATGAAATGCACAGATTACTGTAGTTTTGCATAGATACAGTACTATTCGACAAAGGTGAACAACAACAACAACTACAGTAATCTTATTGTAGAGATCTACAGTACCCTGATTACTGTGCTTTCCTAGGAAAACAACTATAAGTCATTGGCTTTTATGCAATGACTTATAGAAAAAAAAACGACAAACTACAGTAATCTTCTACTTTTTGGCTTTTAAGCAAAAAGTAGGAAATAAATAAATAAAAATTAAATACAGTATTGAAATTGCATCCAAATTTGATGGATTTCCAGAAAAATTGGCAGAAAATCGGTCTGAAAATTCAAAGTTTTTGATTGAAAAATTCAAAAATTGGGCATAGCTTCCGCATCTCCGCTGAAATTCCAAAAAATAATTAATAAAATGGAGGATTTTCTAATTAAAAAATAAAAAATCAAGAAAATTCTAAATTTTATTAGTTTTTTATTGGACATTTCAGAATTTCGAGCTACTATTTTTAATCAAATTTAAATTTTTCATATAAAAAACTCACCAAAAATGTCCAAATGATATTCCAGAATTCACAACGCATTTTTTTGAGACTTGGCACAATTTTCTAGAAAAAAATCGATGAAATTCAATGCTTGACAGATTTAGAGAGAAAAATCGTTTGATCGACCGAAAAAAATGTGAAAAATTGGGGGTCTAATGATTTGAGATAATAAAATGCTTCCGCATTTCCGCTGAAATTCCAATTTGAAACTGAACCACTTTTCAAGATTTTTATGCAACAAAAAATCGAGAAAAATAGAAGTTTTATCAGTTTCAAACTGCAATTCCAGAATTTCAATTTATTTTTTTCTTACTCACCAAAACAAATTGTCGATCCTTTGAGAAGTGAATCAATCAAATATTGGTCTGAAAATTTGGATATTTTTTTTTCTGAAAAAATAGAGCAAAATCTCACCTCTTTTTTGGGTGGTAAATAAGAAAATGACGACAAAAAAATATAATTTGTGATGAGTTGATTCCAAATTCTGGCCAGATTTTTTGTATGGCAAATTGACAGGAAAACCAGTCGAAATTCAAAATTTGGACAAGTTTGCAAGCATTGATCGCTCTGAAAATTCAATTTTTTGATTAAAAATTCAAAAATTGGGCATAGCTTCCGCATCTCCGCTGAAATTCCAAAAAATAACTAATAACATTTAGAATTTTCAAGATCCTCTTGAAAATTTTTTTTTTGAAGGGCCGATTTTTTTTTGAAAAAAACTCGGACCGATTTTTTTTTTGAAAAAACTCGGGCCGATTTTTTTTCTTTAAAAAAAAATGGCCGATTTTTTTTTTGAAAAATCTCGGGCCGATTAATTAAATGAAAAAACTCGGGCCGATTTTTTTTTGAAAAATCTCGGGCCGATTTATTAAATGAAAAAACTCGGACCGATTTTTTTTTTTTTTGAAAAATCTCGGGCCGATTTTTTTCATCCAATTGGATATTTCAGAATTTCAAGCTATTTTCAATCAGATTTAAATTTTTCATATAAAAAACTCACCAAAAATCTTGTGATAACTTTCCGAATTTTATGCCAGCGACAAGATTTCACGAGCCAAATACTTATTATAATTGAGTCGGAGTTGAATTTGTTGGATGTCGGTTGGAGCGAGATTGCTGACTGACAATCTGGAACAAAAAATTGAGTTTTTATTGGAACAATCCCAAGTTTCTCTCTAAAAATTCAAAAATTGGGCATAGCTTCCGCATCTCCGCTGAAATTCCAATTTGAAACTGATAAAATCAACCATTTTTCAAGATTTTTCTGCATAAAAAATTGAGAAAAACTGAAGTTTTATCAGTTCCAAACAGGATATTTCAGAATTTCAATTAACTTTTTTGGGGCCAAAACTATGAATATCATTTTCTAATTTTGTATCAAATTTTTACCTAATTATAATTCGAATAATCATATATTCCCTTCTCATTCAGCTTCATCAAAACACATCCAGAGAATTTCCAGGCACGAAGAACTGCGATCGAGTTTGACTTTTGAAATTTGAATTTTCAAATTTTCCAGAGTTTCGTCGATGGAAATCACATCCGAAAAGTGTTGTTCCATGTTTTTGCCTAGGAAGAATTAGAGTTAGGGTAAATTTTGACATATGGCATGAATTTTTGGCACAAAAATGGAGCATTTTGTTACTAACGTAAATATAATGTGGAAGTGGTTAGGGCACAAAAAACTTCAATTTTTCATATCTGGGCTTTAAATGCTCCAAATTTTGCTCCAAATCCATTTTTGGGTGGAAATTTTGGGATTGTCATGAAATTTGAGCATTTTGAGTTTACTCAGAGAATAAGAACGGAAATCCAGTGGACAAAAATTTTTCGTTACTTTTCGAGTAAAAATTATAAACACATGTTTCGAAAATTGAAATTTGAGCACTATTCTACGAACATTTTTAAATCAAAAACCTTAAGATTAAAATGTTCAATGTTGACGCTCTGGAGTTAAAAACATCATTTTTGTAATGTTTTCAAGAAATATTTGGAAAATTAGACAAACCTCATATGAAACAGCTTTCAAATAATTAATTGTAATCCTTAAATAGCTAATTTATAGGTCAAAAGGACGAACATATACGAATTCGGGTGATACTAATTATATAAACACCAATCGCCGCTGGTGTTTCTATGCGCGTGGATGGTGTATTTGGGTGAATGGCTGCCTATTGATCCACCCTCAATAGCCAAGTTCGACTCCCGCTAGTGGCAGATCAAAACAGACTACTTCGAAATCAAACCGACTTATCATAAATCAGTTTCAGATGCTTTATATAGGTTCCAGATGACAAAAACAGCTTCAGATAGAAGCCCCATCAACCTCATATTTTCCTTTTTAATTTTGAAAATTTTACCTCCCGGAGCTCCGGCGGAGAGTTCGGACTTCCAGCGGTGGTAGAATGGAATTCCGGTTTCTCTCCGCCGGAACTCCGAAAACTCTCCACTGGTCTTCCGTTCTTATTCTCTGAGTAGAATAACCAATTTTTATTCTGAATTTTATCAGCTTCGAAAATTTCAGAATTCACAACGTGTACTCACCATTTTAACTGCCACGTGGATATTCGAAGTTGTCAGAAGTCAAAGCGATCTGAAAAATATTTATTTTATTTGAAAAACCCTTTTTTGTTGAAAATTTGCAAGCAAAATTCAAAGTTATTCATTGAAAAATCAAAAATTGGGCATAGCTTCCGCATCTCCGCTGAAATTCCAATTTGGACCTGATAAAATCAACCATTTTTCGAGATTTTCACAAAGAAAATCAAGAAAAATAGAAGTTTTATCAGCTTCAAACTGAAATTCCAGAATTTTGATTGATTTTTTGCACTCACCAAAACATGTTTTGTTAATAACTTCTCCAGAATGTTGAGAATCGACCAAAAAATACACCATAAATCATTATAATTCTGAAAATTTGAATATTTTTTTTCTGAAAAAATAGAGCAAAATCTCACCTCTTTTTTGGGTGTTAAAATATAAGAAAAATAAAATGGGAATTGATAACAATTATAATTTTTTCTCGATTATTTTTTACAATTTGATGAATTCCAAGTGATTCCATTGTTCATAAATGAATTATTGACAGACAGTCCATCGATTGGACAATTTTGATTGGTCTGAAAATTCAATTGAAAGTTTTTAGAGTTGCAAAAAATTTCAAGTTTTTGATGAAAAATTCAAAAATTGGGCATAGCTTTCGCATCTCCGCTGAAATTCCAAAAAATAAATGATCAAATTGAGAGTTTTCAAGATTTTCTAATCAAAGAATGAAAAATCAAGAAAATTCTAAATTTTTTTTTAGTTTTTTATTGGATATTTCAGAAATTCTCATTTATTTTATGATATGAAAAAACTTACCGGATTATAATTTGTGCAGAACTGTGCCATGGAAGAAGTTCGATGAAGCGATGTTGAGAAATCTAAATTTTATGAGTTTCAAATTGAAAGTTCAGAATTTCAAGTAATTTTTTGGTAACTCACCAAAACTGTTTGTCGATTCGTTGAGAAATGCACCAATTATACTCTCTGAAGTTTGTCCGAAAAATCCAAATTATGGCCAGATTTTTATAGAAAGTTGACACGGAAGCCGGAAAATCAATATCACCATTTGAAGAATTTGGCTCTGAAAATTCAAAGTTTTTTTTTAATTCAAAAATTGGGCATAGCTTCCGCATCTCCGCTGAAATTCCAATTTGTAACTGATAAAATCCAGTTTTTCAAGATTTTAAAAAATAGAGAAAAACTGAAGTTTTATCAGTTTCAAACTAAAATTCCAGAATTTTAATTAATTTTTTCACTCGCCAAAACATTTTTCGTCCCATAACTTTTACATAATTTGGAGAATCGATCAAAAATACACCATGAATTATTATAATTCTGGAAATTTTATTTTCATTGACTTTTTCAGAATTTTTTGAATCAAATTTTAATTTTTCATATGAAACACTCACCAGAAATAACTTTCCGAATTTTATGCCAGCGACAACATTTCACGAGCCAAATACTTATTATAATTGAGTCGGAGTTGAATTTGTTGGATGTCGGTTGGAGCGAGATTGCTGACTGCTAATCTGGAACAAAAATTGAGTTTTTATTGGAACAATCCCAAGTTTTTTATTTTTAAAAAAAATCATAAATCGGGCATAGCTTTCGCGTCTTCGCTGAAATTCCAATTTCAAACTGATAAAATCAACGACTTTTCAAGATTTTTCTGCAACAAAAAATCAATAAAAATCCAAGTTTTATCAGTTTCAAACTGTAATTCCAGAATTTCAATTTATCTTTTCTCACTCACCAAAAAGTTGAAGCGAATATTTCCTTGAATCTTTCCAGAATCTCCGAATTTCCAACCAGAGATGAAATCCAGGTTCCACGTATTTTTTGCTGAAATTCAATCAAGTTTTCATCAAGCTTAGTACTATTTTTAAAGTTCTCCACAAATTTCAAACCAAATGTTCCTTTTCAAAACACCGTGCCAACCCAAAAATCATTCATAGAAATGTGCAAAACCCGTGATAACTGTTACTTTCCTACAGCTTTCGGTTATCCAAAAGGATTCTTTGACAAATCCCTACTCAAAATCATCGAAATGAAATTCGAATAGTTGCGGGTTTCAAGCAACTGGTAAACGTACTTGCTCAGAAAGTAACCCACATTTTCCACTTCAGAAATTCGAGAGCGGTTCCGGGTTTTTTTGAAATTCAAAATTGTAATTTTTTTTGAAAAGTGTGGGATAACCCCTTAAAAATCCCCCTTAAACTTATCTTCTTCAAACTCCACAAAATTTGAGCAACTTCATCATCATTAATTGTTGTTTCGAAAACCTGAAAAATATAAAATTTATGAGAATAGAAAATAAAAAAAAACATATGTTTTTTCTCACATCAAAAAATCAATACACATTCAAATGGTCAAAAATTTTCGGGGTAGGTCAAAATTAGTTTTTTCACTCAAAAATGATGAAAAATTGAATTGCATAGAGCAAAATCAGTACAAATTTCTGAAAACTGGATTTCAAGATCAAAGTTTCATTAGAAATCATATGAGAAGCTTTGAAATCGTTGATTTGTCATCATTTTTGAAAAAACACTAATTTTGGTTAGCCTGGGAAAAAGAAAACTCACAAATAGATAATTTCTGCCATTTTCGGGTTATAGCATAAGAGGAAAATAAACTGATTGTGAGAGATAAATTGGGAATTTAAAATTAGGTCACGTTTTTGTTCGCAAAAAATTCAAGTTTTTGAATGAAAATTCAAAAATTGGGCATAGCTTCCGCATCTCCGCTGAAAATCCCAAAAAAAAACTAAAAAAAAAAGTTTTCAAGATTTTCTAATCAGAAAAAGAAAAATCAAGAAAACTCTAAATTTTATTAGTTTTTCATTGGATATTTCAGAATTTTAGCTAACTCAATTTTCACTCACCCAAAAAGCTTCCGATTTTTGGCTGATAATTGAAGATGAAATCGAAGAAGTTGGGATAATGATGAAATCTGAAAAAAAAGAAGCGACTTAAATTTGATAGTTTTTAAGAGTGTTGTTCTTCAAAATTTGAATTGAACTAAATTTTTGACAACAAAAGATTACTGTGGGTTTTTGTTGAATTATTAAAGCCAAAAAACATTGAGCACTAGAAAAATCCAGGAAAAATAGGTTTCAAAGCATATGATAAAGTTTTTTAAAAGAATTTTTGAAGATCAATAATATTTTCCAACAGAAAAGTAATAAATTAAGAGTATTCAAAGTTTGGATTAATTTTTCTTCTGATATTTTTTTCGGAAAGTTGGAACCTAAATGGAATTTTGAAAGAAAGAAACTAAGCTTTTGATTAAAAATTCAAAAATTGGGCATAGCTTCCGCATCTCCGCTGAAATTCCAATTTCAAACTTAAAAAATCAACAATTTTTCATGATTTTTCTGAGTAAAAAAATCAAGAGAAACTACATTTTATCAGTTTCAAACAGGATATTTCAGAAATTCAATTTAACTTTTTGGGGCCAAATCTTCTTACCTGATTATCGAAGAATCACAAATCACATTTCCAACCAACGAGTAGAATAATCCAAATTTGTTGGACCATCAAATCCAATCCATTTCATCAGTAGACTTCGATGTTTCTTCGAATATTCCAAAATTTTTGGCACAAGTTACTCCAATTTGAACACATATCTAGTGCAAAAAGTGGGTGCTCTTGGTGTTCCAAAATCTGTCGAAACTTAAAACATAAAGGGTGCAAAGTGAACATAAAACATGAAAATACCTTTTGAAAATCCGAGAAAATTGAAGAAAAAACTCTGAAATCATATTTAAAAAAAAAGATATTTTAAAAGTTTTTCAAACTTTTGAATCAAAAAACACAACATTCAAGTTTTCTATTATAACTTTAATAATAGAAAAAGAACCAAAAATAAAGCGAACGAAAAATACAAGAAAAGGGGGAAGGGGGCTGAAATTCCAGATAGAAAACTCGAAAAAAACACTAAAAAACCCCCAGTTTCGCCTGATTTCCACTTCAAATAATATCGCAAAAATCACCCGGAATTTTGAAAAGTTTATGGGATTTCACCAGTTTTTGGGAATTCGAAAAGTTTCGTCATTCCCTGGGGAAAAATCGATGAAATTCATCCCAAATTTCAGAGAATCTCCCCGGGGAAAATTAAAGAGACCAAGTTATGAGAAATCAGATAAGTTTTGAGATAATTTATAGAAAAATTTGAGGAGGGCTTGATGGATTTATTTTGGAATTCTTTATCTTTCAGATTTGTGAGATCATCTGAAAAAGAGAAACCTAAGTGTTTGGGTAGCTATCAAAAATCTGAATAGCAAACTATTTTTCCGAATAAAAAAATCACAAATCAAACCTGCTCCAAGGGTGCAAAAGTGCAAAAAGACAAGGAGACGCGGGACAAAAAAAAGGACAGGACAAGGACAAAAACTGGACATGGACAAGGACAGGAGCAAATTCTCTCAATGATTTTTTTCTGGAAAAAAAAGGTTCCCTAAATCCTTCTTCTACCCAAACACAAACTTACCTGCCTTAGAACTTACCCTAACTCACAAATCTTACTCCCTAAAGTCATCCCAAAACAAATCCACCTCCTCCTCTCTTAAATTCCCTACAAATTCTCCCATGGCCCATTCAATTTCCCACTCCCAAATCCCCCTAAAATCCCCCAGAAAAACACCCAAAAATCCGGGAAAAACCCATCAATTTTGCCCAGCTTTTGACTAGACTCTTAGAATTCCCAACGTAAAAAGTGAAAAAGCCCATTTTTTAACCTCTCAAAATCCCGGGTAATTTTCGCGACAAAATTCAAAGTGGAAATCATTTGAAAGTCTGGGGATTGCAAAAGAAAAACGAATTTTGAATTCGATTTTCTACCCAAATTTTCAGCCAAAAAATGAGGGGGAAACATGAAAAAAATTAACATACAGCAAAAAAATTAACCTACAGAATCCCTTTTTGTTTTGAAGACGAAATATATTGTTGTAGAAGTAGATCTTCTGAAAAAATATGATTTTGAGATGAAAATGGATATTTTTGTCAACTTACGTTTAGAAAGACGATGTAGATTGGTTGATAATGAAAAAAAGTAGAATTGACAGCATTTGACAGGAAATCTGAAAAAATAGATATTTTTGGAGAAACGCAGAAAAATTTCAACTCAAAACTTACATTCACATGAAATTATTTATCAGAAGAGTTCTCGAATCACTTCAGAGGCACATAGATGATTTTGTGATCTTCTCAAATCAAATATCGATGGGTGAAGAAGTTTGGAACTTCAAAATTCCATTGCCGCCCTGAAGTTATTTGCAACACTTCATTTGAAGAATTCCTGAAATATTTGTTTGATTTTTCAACTCAAAGGAATTCAGGGAAAAAATAACTTACCTTAAGTTTCCCGGTTTTCGTGCAAAATTGAAGAGTTAAACTCTTGGACAGATTTTCAAGCCAAACTACATCTGAAAAAATGCAAAAATTAATTCATCATCCAAAAATCATTAAGGAAAACTCACGTTATTTTGCAATTTCCTTGATAGGACATCGGATTACTAGATTTGGTTCATCTTCCGTCCGCACTGTTGAAAATTTAAAAATCATTGCAAAACTTTGGGAGTATTCGGTGAGCATACAATGTTTGAATTCCAGCTCTCATCAAAAATCGAGAATTTTTGGGTGAAGAAGTTTGGAACTTCAAAATTCATTTGTCATAACTCGTGACTCGATTTGGAATCGGGCCAATTTTTGGACTTTTTGAAGGTGTCCTGAATTTAGTCTTCAAGTTATTGCAAATGGATGTTTTAGAACTTCCAAAGTTCATCGTAATTAATTTGAAGAATTCCTAAAATATTTGTTTGATTTTTCAACTCAAAGAAATTAAGGAAAAAAGAACTTACCTTGAAATTCCCGATTTTCCAGCAAAACTTGAGAGTTGAACTCTCGGATAGCTTTTGAAGCTGAGTTACATCTGAAAATGGGAAAAATTAATTCATCATCCAAAAATCTTCAAAAAAAAACTCACGATATTTTGTAATTTCCTTGATAGGACATCGGATTACTAGATTTGGTTCATCTTCCGTCCGCACTGTTGAAAATAGCAAAATCATTGCAAAAATTCGGGAGTGAATTTTCAGCAAATCCACGTTGTTCCAATTTCAGCATTTGGTCAAAAGCCAATCGATTTTCGGAATCTGCAAGAAAAATTTTTTGAATTTTTTTTGTAGATCAAAATTTTCATCAAAAATTCGCTTTGAGAATTTTGTTTTTGTAGGTCAAAATGTAGAGTTACTGTAGTTCAAATGTGTTATTTTTCATCTTGAAAAACTGACTTACCTTAAGTTTCCCGGTTTTCCAGCAGAATTGTAGAGTTAAACTCTTGGAGACAGCTTTTGAAGCTGAATTACATCTGAAAAATTGCAAAAATTAATTCATCAACCAAAAATCTTCAAAAAAAAACTCACGATATTTTGCAATTTCCTTGATAGGACATCGGATTACTGTATTTCATTCATCTTTTGTCCGCACATTTGAAAATCGCAAAATCATTGAAAAGTTCGAGAGTTGAATTCCAGCTCTCATCAAAAATCGAGAATTTTTGGGTGAAGAAGTTTGGAACTTCAAAATTCATTTGTCATAACTCGTGACTCGATTTGGAATCGGGCAAATTTTTGGACTTTTTGAAGGTGTCCTGAAGTTGGTCTTCAAGTTGTTGCAAATGGATGTTTTAGAACTTTCCGAAGTTCACACTTCATAGCGATTCATTTGAAGGATTCCTGAAATATTTGTTTGATTTTTCAACTCAAAAAAATTAATGAAAAAAAGAACTTACCTTAAGTTTTCTGGTTTGTGAGCAAAATTGGAGAGTTGAACTCTCGGACAGCTTTACAAGCTTAGTCACATCTGAAAAATTGCAAAAATAAATTAATTCTCTAAAAATCTTTAAAGAAAAACTCAAAAAATGAAAAATGAATTCATTTTCCAAAAATCTAGAAAAAAACTCACAATTTTTCGCAATTTCCTCACTCGGAACTCGAATAACTTGATTTCCACCATCCTTTTTCCTCAATTTTTGAAGCTGCGAAATGATTAAAATTGAAAACACCAAAATTGAACTACTGAAGATTTTCCTGAAAAGTTGATTTGATTTTTTCAGAAAAAAAATTAAAAATTAACTCACACTCAATTTGTCTGATTCGACACCGGATGTCCAACTACAAAAATATTCATCTTCTATCCTTGATTGGAATAAGCACGGTGTTTTTCAATTTTGGTGACTTTGACAAAGTTACAGCGGTTTTGAATCAATAATTCGACGAACTGCAATAAGTTTTGCCAATTTTCAGCCATGAACTGTTCGATAGTATAAAGGATTCATTCATACCGAAAACAGCAGCTTCTGAAAAGTTCAGAGTGATTATTTCTAATGTCCGCAAAAAAATAAAACTGCAAATAAAGCTATTTTCAAAGTGTCATTCCTCGCTGATGAATTCAGCAGAATAGGAAATGGAACATTTTATCGTAAACAAACTCACGTTTGACGTGGCTTCAAATTTTATAAAAACTTGTTTTCGATAAATCACTGTTGCCATTGTTCAAATTTCGAAATTCTTGGGGATTTCCATATTTCGCAGTCAATGTGAACTAAATCCAGGATAAATGATCAAATTTATGCCATCTGTAGATCAAGAAAATTTGGCATCTTCATAATTTGGATAAGTTCCAGGTACCAAATTTATTTCCAGTGATTTTTTCAGAGTCGAATTTTCCTCACTTCCAAACCAATTTGAAAACCAATTCAATAATTGTATCAATAATCTGCCAAACATTGAACCATCTCGGAGATATTTGCGATATAACGTCCCGATATATCCATTCAACATTTTCCACGGACGGTGAATGTTCAAATTTTGACCATCTTTTCGGGGTATTGAGTCCCTTTTCAATTTTCTCCAGGCACTTTGGGCCGTCCATGATATAACCCGTGATCCGATTGATATCGATATAAACTCGAAGATTTTTACAATCGGGGTGTCAAGTCCCGATTGCGAAGCCACATGCCAGAATGAGCATTTTGGGGTATAAATTCCCGCATTATCTGCAAAAAATCATGAATTGCTAAAAACTGGCTGAAAAAATGGCAAAACTTACAATTTATCAGATAAGACAAGTCGAGTCTCGACTTAAAGCTTCAAATAGAAGATTTATGTGAATCATACTTGAAATTAAAATCAATGATTGATGAGGATCCGGATACCTATCAAGCATATTGATCCAATCAAAATCGATTCGGAAAAGACATTGACTCCTTGCTGATTTATCGACATGTGCCAGAGTCAGAACACATTCGCGATCTTCAGAGATCGAACAGCCAATTTGAAACTATTCGCAGGTGGCTAAATTGCGCGTCGTTTTCCCGGAGAACGCCCGTCCAATCTCCAGATTCATCCAAAATCATCTTGAAAATGATATCGAATCCGCCAAAATTCGATGAATATTCGATGCAAGAAAAATAGCTTCACATTGTTGATCATCAAATCCAAGTCAATTCAAGGAAAAATGATGTCAATTTAACGATCCACAAATTGTTGTCGAAATCCTTTTGTCAAAATTTGAAAATATAAAATCCACGCCAAAATCAAATACATCAAATGACATCCAGATATTTGATAAAGAAGTGTTTTAGCACAAAGGCATGGGAGCCGCTCATTTTATTTTACACAGGTCGGCTACCGATACCCTGCGCGTCGTTGCGGAGTTACGCCCGGGTTAAATATAACCATTTTCGAGATCCATCCCCAATCATAAAAATTCGACTCGATGATCCATTGAATTTCTTTAGAATTTCGAGCTGGATCCAGAAATTGCTTGGATAAACAGCATAATTAAATGTTGGTGCAAACCGGCATGAAAATCGCAGTATTTTCGGAACTTGCTGATTGTTGTTGAAGACAATTGATCGAAATGCGTAAAGATTCTGAAAAATATAACTATTTATATTTTTTTGTCTGAAAATCAACTGAAACTTTTTAAATTTCTCAACACTTGGCTATATTTTAAATAAAAAATCTGGGTTTTTATTTTTTCTAATTCTAAATAATTCTCTTTTTTGTTGGCTGTTTTACAAGAAACAGAGGAAAAAACAGAAAACTCCACGTGGGATTGTAGATTTTGAAAAATTGGAATATTTGTTGATGTTTTTTCAATGATTGATGAAATTTCCAATTTATTAAAACTAAAAAATAATTTAAAGAGTATAAATTAATTTGATCTGGAAAAATGTATATTTAATTTCAATATTTTTGTCGAAAACTTTTTTCTAAAGACTAATTAAGCCCTTTAAAAAACAGAATTGAAAAAAATAACTTTAAAAATTTCAACATTGTGATTTTTTGAAGAAACGCATTTGAACAAAAAAAACTCACTGAAACAATCCGAGAAATATTCTTCAAAGATTGTCCACTTTCAGTCATATCAATTCATCGGCAAATCGTTTCATGCCAAAATGGTTGCTCATAAAATTCTGCGAAATTCCAGCCCGAAGAATCAACAAAAATCAATATCTCCCGATTCGAATTCGAAAACTGTTGATGTTGATGGAAGCTGTTGGTTGATAACTTTTCACAGAGCCGCTTCCAGAACTCTGCGCGTCGTTCTCGGAGGTACGCCCGAATTAAACTCCAAATTCATACATATATCAAAATCGTGAGATCTGTAAGTAAAAGCCATATTTAGAGACGTTTTTTGCAAAAAGGCAAATAAAACAAAAAAGGGTGTAATTTTAGAATCGGCTCAAATTTTTTTTATTGATACATGGATAGATGGTGAACTTTTTCCACCATTTTTTTTCCATAAAATCGATGCACCAATTTGGTGGGGGGTGATGAATGCGAAAAAAAGCATTTTTTCAAAAAATCAGAACTCAGCTCAAACTTCATATTTTTTTATGATCAAAAAAGGATTTTGTAGCTCTTGAGAAGCTTTTTACTCGTAAATTTACTAGAATTGCCAAAATCCCACAAATATTTTGTGTGAGCATGGCACATATATGTGTGTTGTGTGTTAGGCGCTTGAAATATACAAGGTTACTGTAGTGTGTGTGTGGTTTTTTGTATTATATCTAATTGTAGATTTAGCATCTGAGAAGGTAAGAAAAACCCCGGAGGATTTTTACATGCAAAAATGTTTTTCCTAGGGGTAGACCTTTTTTGAGAATTTTTTTGGTACTGAATTTTGAAAAATTGTAACTTTACTTATAGTGGACCAGACCTGGGAATTTTTACGTTTTCGTTTTTATCGTTTTACGGTTTTTATGGGATTTCACCGTAAAACCCATTTTACGGTTTTACCGCTCAAAAAATCGTAAAATAATTCGTTTAAAAAAATCACTAAATATAGTGAATTTTGACAGAATCAAATAGCTCAAGCTTGAGCCGATTTTAAAATTACACCCTTTTTTGTTGTCCGACCTCCTTCATTTAAATTCACCTTTTTGCAAAAAACGTCTCTTAATATCAATTTTTTTTCTTCGAAAATTTTTCCCTCCCTTATTTTCTCCCTTATTTTCTCAAAAGTTTTTTGAAAAGTAAAAACTCAGCAAATCGCTGCGTACATGAACGGTAAGGATTTGTGTAGCTTGTGTGCTGTCTAACTCATTTTACACGCATTCCACACACAAGCTACGCACGCGTCTACACACCAGCTACACAAAATAGTTTTTTTTCGATTTTTTTTTCGTTTCGCGTTTTTTTCGGATTTTGCGGGATGAAAGATGATTTTTGAAGACGTTTTGAATGAAAACAACAATTTATTATCAGAATAAGTAAAACATGAAAAAAAAACAAAGTATTTCAAACAAAATTATAAATTAGGAGTTGAAAATTTCGTAGATGTTGCGGATTGTCTTGTTTCCCTCGCCATGAAGCTGTTTTTCATGTTTTTTGTGTCGAGATTTCGATCGAGTGCTGGCGAGACTGAGCATCGGAGAGCATATTCTGTAAAATTGAGATGAATTTTCATGCTTTTCAGAGTAGAAACAACTTTATATTTATCTTCAAAAATAGCTAAACTTGACCAAATTTCCCAAGACATATTTTGTTATCCCGTTTCTTTTTCGGTTATTGACTCACCTTTAGATTAGCGTGGATGAATACTGATTGATTTTGACCTGATTTTCGTGGAGCGTAGTCCTTGTCGTTGTTGAACTTGTTGAAGTTTTCTGAAAACTGTTTTTGTAGGAAATATGTCGTTTTTTTAAAGAAAATTCCCTCACCATTTAGCAGCCATTTTGCAACGATCACGCTCCCGGAAACCTGAAATTAAAGATAGTTAAAACAATTCTGAATGAAAGAAAAATTTCCAGACTTGAGAAATAGGGGAATTCATAGATGTTCAAAAGAAATTTCAACATAATTTTCATGAAACACGAAGAAAAATGTTGAAAATTATGTTTATGTTCATTGCTGGCCCGATTTTCACAAGAATTTAGGCCTGAAAAAACAAAAACAAAAATGAGAAAAGTAGCCGCGACGCCAACCGCGTTGCTTCTCTGATTTGTGTAGCTGGTGTGTAGCTGCGGTGTAGCTATTTTTCGCCGATAAAACCGTTCATGTACGCAGCGATTTGCTGAGAAATTCAAATATTTAAATGTGTGCATTTTCGCGTGAGCGTGTTAACACCTCACGGCAAAAGTTTACTTTTCATTTTCAACAAAAAACTCACCTCAAAAAGAAATCGCAAACGGTTTTGAATATACCAAATTTGATGGGTGGAATTGGTGGAAAAAGTGGAGAAGTTGTCGGCAATTTGATAATATACATGTGTTGGCCGATTGATGAAATGAATAAATGAGCAAAATAAAAGGTGAGCATGGGTGATCAATCCAAATGCAGGGGGCGAAATAAATAAAAGAATAAGTGGCAAATAATGAATCCATAAATAAATAAAAATGTCGAATAATAAAATTTTTTTGTGATTTTTGTGGTTTTTTGAGTTTTTTTGTGTTTTTTCAGCTTTTTTTGAATATAATAATAATAATGATAAATATATTGTCGAATAAATGGCACAATTTATGATAAATATTGAAACTATTTGACAAGATGCGATAAAAAAAACCTGTAATAATGTTTTTTCAGATCGAAGTCAGCACAAAATCAACTCACCATTCTAATTGGCCTTGAGGCCAATATCTGCACATAAAAAGACGGTGGACTTGAACAAATTGTCCAATTTGCTGGCACTTGGAGCTATATCGTATGAGCAGACAGTACGACTCAATTTTGTATGGCGAGTCATCAAGTCCAGTGCGGCAAATCCATAATTACGTTCCATCAGTGCTTTTTTGATGTTATCAAGAACCATTCGAATGTCATCAACACTTTCATATTTGAATCGAGCCTCGTCCGCGGTGCATTTTGGCAATGGAACCTGACGACTATCATCTGCGATTCTCTTGAGAAGTCGACGAGGCGGTTTGGCTGGCGGAATCGCAGCGGCTTGAGTTGCTTTGGCGGCAGCAGCTCTAGCGCGCCTTATTCTTGTTGCCGGTGGATTCGAGGGCAATGCAGCAATTGGCGCTACTTGTTTACAACGCCTGGCAACAGCTCGTGCACGTGGATTTTGTGGCAGAGTTGACGGTGGAGAAGGAAAAACAATTGGTTTGATGGCTGGTCGATTTTTCGATGCGACAACATTTTGTGTACTTTGTCGTGGCGCTGGTGGTGAAGCAGTTCGACGATTTCTAGGAGATCTAGATCTGGAAATATTACGACGAGATGGTTTTGCTGGGACGTATCCTATTCTGGCATCGTTTTGAATTCGTTGTCTTTCCAATTGCTCCTCGCATGCGTGTTCGATTGCGTTTGTCATCAATGGAATATAAATTGACTTTGGAACACGAATACCTTGGAAAAGTTCCGTATCTTCTTCCAATTCCTGTTTTGCCTGCGCAACCATTTCTTCTCTTTGCGAATCCAAATCAACATCGCCGTAAATGAGTTTGCACGATTTATCACTTTGAATTCTGAATGAATCTGATTTCATTTGACCGCTGATGACATAATGGCCGTTTTCCTCAAGCGAAACGTCGCCGATATCGACGAAATCGGGCTGGATTTCCAGTGTCAATTGTTTTCTTCCATCTACAATCTTGGTTCGGATGTTGATGACGAAACCGCTTTCAACAATTTCCGCCGCTTCAATGTGATGGATTTTTTCGGGTGTTTCGAGCGGAGAAGAGTGGACACTTGGCGATGTGCCATCTTCTTTTGCTTGATTTCGATTGACAAGTCCTGTTGGCGTTTGATGGTTATGATTCGGCTTCTGTAATATTTTCAAGGTTAGTTTTTTTAAAATACATTTTTCACTTTAAATTTTGCCTTAATGTAATTCCAAATAAATCATGTTGGAATATTAGAAATTCAAAATTTTATAATTACAATTAGGGAATTTTGATATTTTTCTGGTTAAACCTTAATTATTTTCAATAGTTGGTAAAAGTCTGGTTGAAAACTTTATTTTAAAAAAGTTCACAAACTTCTGACAGGAAAGAGGTAGAAATTTTTCAGATTTCAGTAATTTTAAAAAATTCTTGACTCAAAATATTAATTTCCAAATTTTTTGAAAATTTCTATGAAAATTTGGACATCGCCAATCTCGGAAATGTTTCTGTTTCAAAATTCAACAAAAAACTTTGAAAAAAACTGACTTCAGTGAATGCTTCCGGATTCATGTCCAGCGAAGATTCTTCGAAAACCTTGCGTTTTTTAATTGGTCCATGATCTGCGATTTTGTCCATCTTGACCGGCGATAGCAGCGGAATGTGTGGTGATAGGCGTGGATGGCTCGTCTAAAATGAAATGTTATTTTTTGAAAAACAGGATTCAAAAAAATCTGTTTTTCTAAATATTTCCCCATTTATTCCTTACAAACATGGATTACGATATTCACCACCCGAATTTTTTAACAGAAAATGGATAAACTTTCTATTTTAAAAAATACAGCCCATGTGAATTTTGAAGCTTTTCGATTTGAAAAGAAACACGGGTTCGAATAACACAAAGTCTGAGATTTTAAGCAGAAAATTGTGTATTTTTAATTTTTGCCTCAAAAAATTGAAATAATTTCAATTTATCAATTTTCCTAGATATTTTTATTTCTAAAACTAAAATCCAAATTACTTCATTTTTTTCCTATTTTGCAAAAATCCGATAATTCAAGTAGAAAAATTTTTTTTTATAAAAAATGTTAAGAAATTAATTATAAGGTTTTTTCTTTGAAGAAAAAAAAAACAGAATAACACCAGGAAAAATAACTGACCTTGTTGGATTGAAGTGGGCGACGACGGGTTCTTGGCGGTGAACTCGGCTCAGCCATGGCAGCACTTGTTTTTTGCTTGGCGATTTCCAAGACTTTTGCATTTTTGCCGTTTTCGGCGTCAGTTTGTTGAGTCATCTGAAAAAAGACGATATCATCATTACTTTGAATGCATTATTTTTCAATACTTACATGTTTCATAATTATGAAAGTATAACCAAGTTGAGAAGTTTCTGAAAAATGGTAGGTGTTACTTATTCAAATTGCAAAATTATTTTTAGAAAAAAATTAATGGAAACAATTTAATGTAATTTTCCCAGAAAAAAATGAGGACTTTTGAAAAATCGAAAGATTTTTAGATTCTATTAAAATTATTGTAAGAAAAGAAGATTAGAACTATTAATTTTTTTCGGGAAGCATAAAAATTTATCCAGATTTCATAAATTATACATTGACGGTTACTTTTTAAAAAGCTGAAGTTCAGTTTAAAAACAATCTGAGAAATGCTAGAAAAATACGGTAGATAAAAATTGATTTTCGAAAAAAAATCTAAAATATTCAAAGTTCGGAAATTCAATTTTTTGTACTTTTCCGAGTTTGTCGGTCCTACCGTACACTCTCATCTGTTTAGAAAACAGTCTCTAAAACGTTTTTGGTTTTTAAATCTTTTAGTGATTTTTTCTTGGGCGATAAAATTGTCTCTTATGATGATTGATACGATTTTTGGTGCTATAAGTTAGAAGAGTTCGCCGACACGTCGTTTTCTCCGCACCGTTTCTCTGAGTTTGTGCAACTTCACATTTTCTGAATTTTTGATATTTTCTCGTTACATAAAATGCGACTGGTCTATTTTCCTAGAGAGTAAAATAGTCTATAAACTTCATAACAATGTTGAAAATAGTTTTTTGAATTTATTTAAATTTTTTGGAATTTCGAGAAAAACTTGCGAACCTCTACTATTCCATTTTTTCTGATTCTGACCTTCTCCTTCAAAAATTAGTAGCTCAAAACTCAATGAAAACTTTCCGAAGTGATGACAAATTAACATTTTAAAAATCTTTGAATCTTCTTTATATTTAAATTACCTACAACGTGGTTTACTCTAACCCTTGCGACCCATGTTAGTAAACTCACATGCTTTGCTACATTTTAAAAAATAATGTAGAAAATAAATGGGGCAAACCAAACGTTTTAAAAATCAGAAATGAGCAAAATATTTCACGTCAAATTATTTGAATTTGAATCTAGGGCACAAAAGTCGAGCTGACAGACAAAATATAAATTTTCAGATAAATAACTCAAAAGTTTTGAGGATATTTTTTTTATTTCTTTCAAAATTATTCAGATTCAGCTTTTCAGAAAAATAAAATATAACGAATACAGAAATTCAGAAAAAAAACATTTTAAAAAGAGAGTTCCAAAGTGATTTAGTCAACTCAAAAAAAAACAGTGTAATCAATAAAAATTATTCCAAAAACAGTCTCCACACACACACATCGCGCACCAAAAATTGGTTCGCACCTAGGTGTTAAAACTGCACTCTCCCCTTTTTGTACACTCTCTCACCATGCCCGTTTGTGTTTTGTATGTGTGTAGTCTGGTGAGAGTGTTTTGTTGATGCAAAAACGGGTGGTTTGGAATGTTTCAAGAAAATTTGAAAACTACGAACAATATTTTGTTGAAAAATTCAAATTGTCACGTAGTTTTAACGTTTTTTGGTACAGTAATATTTTTCTTGTTGTTTTAAGATTTTACGCTGGAAAATCTGTAAGTTTTTTCGAAAACTAGTAGTTGCAGATTCAGAAAATTCAAATCATTTCGAATTTCTAATTAAAAAAGTTCCAAATTTCGAACCTAATTTATCAGAATTCTTTTACGTGGATTTTTAGGCCCAAAATATTCGTTTCGAAAAAATTTCCACGTCCTAGCTCGTTTAAAATATTTATGATCTTAATTTGTTTTAAAGCATGACATTAAAAAAATCAGAAATAGCTGAAAATCCAAAATCCAAACTTTTTTAGGTTGAAAATTGGAATGTTTTCAGAAGGGATTTTGTTATATGAGAAATGGGTTTCAGGGACCCAGGAATGATGATCTTTGGGCTGGAAATCTGAATTTTCCCCGATTTCTAGACTAGGAGCTCAATGAGCGATGTTTTGTATGGGGAAATCTATTTTTATAATATGAGTAACGAGTTTTTGTTTGCAGGGCAACTACTATTTGATCGTCTTTCTGCCCAAAATCAAAGAAAATAAACGTCGTTGGCGGTTCACGGCAAAAATCCAGCAAAATTTGCAATACCAGCAAAAATCGACAGTTATCAGAACAGCCGAAAAATCGGAAAGTGTGAATAAGGACAAACGGACGTTGAGGGAGCCGGTGATTATTGAGGATTTTGATTATCATTTTAATTGTGCCAGATGGTTGTGTAGTATTTTGAGTGAACACACATTTGAAATCAAGACTTTGGAAGTGATGTTGGTGAGTTTGAAGGGAGAAAGAGTGAGCTATGACGTGGATTTTTTTTTGAGGTCCTAGGTGGAATTTTCTTAAACGTCTTGAATTTGATCGTTTAGACCAGGAAGAAGAGGTTAAAATCGAGATATTTATGACGTGGCATTTTTCAGCCGCCACGTTGTGCGCAAACCACGGTGAAGCGAATCGAAATCACGGTGGACAACGAAGAAAACTATCGGCTTTTAATAATTGGCTGACTTGTGAATTTCGAAAATGGCACGGTCAGTTCTGTGAAAATCACATCGGAATGTCTGCAAATACAATTGAAGATGAGCGAATTTGTGAGTTTTCTATTTGAATTTTTTTCGCTGGAAACAATTATGATTTTGCAGCTGAAAAGTGTGCATACTGTTGAAATTATCGGGAAAAGCGATATCGATTGGGAATGGATTAGAAATACGAATACGGTGAAATTCAGTCATATTCCGAGCGATGATTTTGTTTTGACGGATGATGATATTAAAAGGATGTGTGATGTGAGTTTGGGATAGATATTGAAAACATCAGAAGTTTAACATGAGCAATGCTTGCTCTTGAAGCTTCCAAAAATTTCACAAAAGTCTCATTTTCTATGAATATGAATCGAGTAAAATTATTTTTGATTTGCCAAAACAAAGTTTCATAATTTATTAACACACAAAAATCTTGTCAAAATACAAATAACATGAGCAAATCAGGAGGGGGAAAAAGACTGAGGTTGAGCAAAAAATAATAATTTCATGAAAAAATAAATTACTCGGGGTAACTTATATACATATAGCTAACAAGCCCCGAATCAAGAGGTCTCTAATTTTCGGATGTTCGAGAAAAAAAATGATAATACCATTTTTTGACGTCATCGATCAATTTTTCGAAAAAAAACTTATTGAATATTTTTAGTATAGAATGTACTCGAAAGATTATCATAATTTTCCCTAAAAATCCGTAATTAACACAACTTTATTCAAAAACAATGATCAAAGCAAACCATTAAAATTGAAATAATCAAAACTTTAGTGGTCCCACAATTATTCTCGGTTACAGTAATCTCTGTAGTCGTTGTCGCAACATTTTCTTCCTCTCTATCATTTACATTTACCGGAATTCTTGTGACTGAAGGAACACTTTCAAAAGAATATTGTATATCAGGAAAATTGGGAATATCTCCAAAATAATCAATATTCAATTTGTTCCCAATCTTTGTTGTCAAATCATTTCTATCACAATCAACTCGATTTCCTTCAATAATTGGTGCTTTTCCACGTGTCGAATACCAAAATGAGCACATTGATTCCTCAATTATCAAATTTGTATTATTTCGGAAAATTGCTTTTTGATCACTTTGGATTTGACCAAAATCTTGAAAAAATGAGACTTTTAATAAATCGGAATTGTTTGTTATCTCAATTGCGTTCTGATTTTGATGGATCGTATAAATATTGTGTAAATTTGGTATGAAATTGAGATTTCTTATTTTTGTATTTCGAATCGCAATACTTCCAAAAATATTGTAAACCATGTGAAGTTTATATGATTGCTCATAGTTGAAATTGTCATCGATTGTTAGATTTCCTATTAGATTCACACAGCCATCCGGAAAATTCTGGAACAAGAGATTTCAATCCGAACTAGTTCAGGTGTTTATCACAAATTCCAAAAAAAATACCTCAAAACTTCCATCCTTTGGAATTTCACAAATACCATTTTCCTCACCATCCGCTCCAAATTTGATTTGAAATCCATCCAATTCTGAATCCGGACATTCTTCGCTAAATAATCCAACCAATTCCGAAGCCGTAATTTGAAGTTTCGGATTTCCAGAAATTATCAAATTCACACCTCTTCGAGTTATATTAAATCCCAATTCCTTTAACTCTGTATTATTTTTGATTTCAATAATTGGCAAAAAAGTTGTTGTAATTGGAACATCGATTAGTTTTAGATTTTTGAAAAATTTAAAATCTTGAAAATTTGTCGAAACAATCGATAATGCTCCAGTTATTCTTGTGATATTTCTCAAATGTTCTTCCAAATAATTATATTCATAAGTTGAATCAATTGTAACATTTCCAAAAATCCAATCACATTTTGGATTTGCTTTCAATTTTTTATCAATGAAAGCGGAGAGCTTTTGATTATTTTTGATCTCACAACCACAATCATAAAGATTATCTGATATTTGTCGCCAAGTTCCATATATTTTGATTATATTTGCACATTCATTACGGAGATCGAGAGCTTGATTGTTTTCAATTATGATTTTTTCGACGCAAAATGGACAGGCGAGAAAATCAATTCCAATTTCGGTGAGGTTTGGATTATTTGTAATTGTTAAACCCGCTGAAAACATGGATCTGAATTTTGTTTTGAAAATTAGTAGAAATCACAACCTTCTTTTCTTGGTATATATTTTGAAAGCTCAAAATGAAGCTCTTGAAATTCTTCACAAAATGAACTACAGTTAGCTTTTTTCAAAATTATTTTGTAAGGGTCTCTAACCACGTCAAAAATCGGTTTCAAAAGACCTACCATGAGTATCAGGATCACCATTCAAAGACTGTGGTCTCAAAAATGACAAACTCTTCAAATTCGTCGAATTCACCACAATTTCACCAAAGAAAAATCGAATTTTCTCAAAAAACGCCTTCAATTCTCGTTCAGTAATTCGAATATTTCCCGAAATATAAACACTCTGAAAATTTGTATAAATTGGATCCAAATCTGGCAAAGCTACAGTTGATTGATTTATATAAACATTTTCATAATATGTGTAGATATTGATTTGATCTTCATCTTCCGGAATATAAATCTTGATTTTTGCATAAATATTTGAGAAAAATATTAGTATAAAAATAAACTTGAAATTTTCAGACATTTTTCGAAAAAAAATTGATTTTTTGGTTTAGAATTAGAAAAAGAAAAGGCTGTGATTATCTGACATTTTTCTGACCTTACCAAGATTTTCTGATTTTCATTTTTTTATAATTATATGGTTTAAGGTAAATATCGAAGTAAATATATGTAATTCAAATTGTTAAAAAATCGTCTGGAAATTTTAGTGGAAAGGAAATAGGGTTTAGGTTCCTTACATTAAGGTTACTTTAAAGTCTTTAAAGACCCTAGGGACCATGATACTTTTTTTGAAAAAAATATTGGTATTGTATATCAGACAATAGCGATTTTCTCAATTTTTCATTTTTTTTACAAATAACAAAAACAGTTATGATTTAGCCCAAATTCTGAAAATGCATGCAAATGCCACGATTTTTCCACCAAATGCCAAAATATTTGGATTCGCCATGTTTTGAATTATCCATTGAGCACACTACAAAAATTTTGAAATTTTAAATTTTTTTTCATTTTTAAAAATAAAATTAATTACCGATGCGAGAAGATATTTCGAGTTATCGAAAACCAAAAAACTTCCAAAATTTAGAGAAAGTTGCAACCATATTTCACTGTACAAATTGCAAATCATAAAAAGGAATGATAGACTCATCAAAACCTGCAAATTTTAAATTTTCAAAAAAATAATTTTAGATAAACTTACATAATCAATACTTTCCCAACTTGCTGTAACTTCAACTGTACTCATAAAATATGAAAAAATAGCGGGAATAAAAAGAAGAACACTGACAATTCGACAATATTCCAAAGTGAAAGCGGTTAAGTGACCTGCAAATTTGAATTTTTGGGAAAAAAAAGATTTACCAGATTTTTCAAGATTCCCAGGAGACTTGTGTGATAAAAAATTTAGTATTTATTATGATTTTAAAAAAGCACTACAGTATTTTCCAATTCCATACCTTTTCCCATTTTGTCAAAAGATTTTCTCAATGAAATCAATGAAGCAGCTCTCGAAAATGGCAAAAGAAACGCGCAAAACATCGAAACTCTCGTATATTCCAATTGCCCTGGTTCAAACCATGAAATCGAAACAGTCAATCCCAACGGCAATACCAAATATGGTTCTGGTCTCATTGGTTTACTTCTCAATGTCCATGCAAATACACTAATCGTTGTCAAAAAATCAAAAATTCGAACCAAAAACAATTCACCGGTTCGATTATGTGAATTTGCATAAGCGGAAAGGCACGTTTCGAGTAATTTGAAAGCAGCCGAATATATCAAATCATTTCGAGAAACTTGAACTGTTGGAATAAAATTCGAATATTTTAGAAGGGATAAAAATAGGAAAGTGAAAAAATAATGGAGAAATTGGGTGACGAATAATTTGATATCTAAAACGAAGAAAAGAACATTGTGAGCAGCGGAAAGCATGAAGGCAGATGAGATTTGAAGTAGAAAATAATATATCACATCTTGCTGCAAAAAAAACCAATTTTTTATGTGAAAAATCTGAAAATTACCTTGGGCACAGTCTTCGCAGCCATCTTCGAAATCCAAACAAAAATAAATGGAACAACCGAAAAAAGATGTGTATCTTATCCATTCTTCATCTATCCTCCATTTTGCATTAAAATCGGTAAAAATGTAAGAAGGAAAGAAAATTGATAGAAAAAAAATTAAATTTTGGAATGATTTTTTTGTCTTAAAATTTGACACCAGATTTTGATTTCGGGAGGCGAAAATTTAGTTTTAGACTCCGAATCTAAAAATTTTGGGCAAAAAATTTGAAAAACCTGCAACATTTCCCCCAAGAATCTAAACAAAATGATCCCAAAATTTCCTCCAAAAAATCGCTAAAAATTCCACGCACTTTTGGATTTTCCGCGTGACCCAAAAACCTTCCGCGGCCTCTTCTGAGCGTCTATAAAACCCCTCCGCTCAGCCAGTCTCTCCATTTTTCATCAACCAAATCACTCAAATATTATACGGTTATCATAACAATAACTATAATAATAATAACAATAAAACTATTGCGAAGTTTTTCGAGACAAAAATGAGTGCAAGAAATGAGAATTTATTGAATGAACGAATCGCAAAATGGCTTATCAAACAGACGTTTTATCATGGTTATTTGCCGCGCGATGATTTGCCGTTTATTTTGAAGAAGCGGGGCGATTTCATTGTTCGGACCACTGAGGTGAGTTAGCCAAAATCCTGAGAAAAAAAACAAAAAATTCTGCATCAGCCCGATGCGGGGCTCGAACCCGCGACAGCCAGATTAAGAGTCTGGTGCTCTACCGACTGAGCTAACCGGGCGCACAGCGCCTCCTGTTTGGAGTTTTCTTCAAAACCGGTTTTGTTTCAGCGTCCAACTGGTAAATCTCGCCGCCGTGAACTTGTTCTAAGTATCGCTTGGCCCGATGGAAACGGCGAGAAAATGATCGCAGTGAAAGATGTGAGAAATATTGTCATCGAGAGATCAGCAGCCGGTTGCTACATCGACAATCTATTCAAATTCGCAGGTCTCGACCTCCTCTTTGAATATTACAAAACCAATCCCATCAAACTCCACAAAACCAATGTTTTAATGCGAATAACTCGTCCAATTGGTCTTCGCTCTTGGGAATATCGTCACTCTCAAGTTTTGATGGTCAAAAAGGTTGGACAAGGCGCGTATGGCGAGGTTTTCAAAGGAAAATTGAGAAAAGCCAAGGGGAAGATGCTGGAAGTTGCGGTGAAAACAATGAAGGGGGATACTGAAGCATCAGATGCGCGAATGAAAGAAGTTATGGCTGAAGCTAGACTCATGAGAGCTCTAAACCATCCGAATATTGTGAGAATTCGTGGCATCGCTGTACTCGAACAACCACTTTATATAATCATTGATTTTATAAATGGTGGAGGTTTGGATTCATATCTCAAAAAACATGCATCATCTCTCACACTTGAAACCAAAAACAAAATGGCGATTTCGGCAGCTTGGGGCTTGGAATTTATGCATTCACAAAATATATTGCATCGTGATATTGCGGCAAGAAATTGTTTGTATGATACGAACACTTTTGTCAAGTTATCCGATTTTGGGCTTTCGAGAAAAGGCGAAACGTATACGATGAAAGAGGCGAGGAAAATGCCGACGAAATGGATGTCGCCGGAATCGTTGACGACTTTTGTTTTCACGCGAGCTTCGGATGTTTATAGTTATAGCGTGAGTTGAGAGACGGGGAAAAGTTTTGAAAATAAGTTTTCAAGATTGTCTAGAAATAAAAAAATTTTCTTTTCAGGTCCTCCTCTATGAAATCTACACTTGCAAAGAACCCTTCCTTGGTGTCAACGGTGGCGAAGCGAAAAAACGAATTCTGGCCGGACAATTTCCAAGTTTCGAAAAAGAATCGCCGTCCGAAATGTGGAATATGGTGAAAAAGAAGATTCACAATATCGATCCAAAAAAGCGAGCAACAATGAAAGAAATTGTAAAAGTATTGGAAGAATGGCTTCAACTTGAATTAGTATTAGAAGCTGAAGAGCAAGAAAAAGAGGAAAATGATGAGCCACCAGCTGGAGGAATTGATTCGAAAAGACGAAAAAGTAAATCGGATAATGGAAGAAGAACTCCGAAAAGTAAATCGGATACAAATCAAAATAAGAAGGCTGGAAATAGTGGAGATTCGAATAATGGAAGATCAAGTTTGACTACGGTTACGAAAGATACTGAAAATACAAAGGATTCTGGTGGAGGTGTGGAATTGAAATTGGATGAGGATGAAAAGAAGGATGTGACAGATGAGATGATGAAAAAAGAGGATAATACAACTGATAAAGATGTATCGATTGAGAATAGAAAAACTGATGAAAAGAAAAAGAAAAGTGTTGAAAGTGATGAAAAAGTTAGTGAAGAGAAAATGAGTGGAAGTTATGAGAAGGTTAAAGAATTGCCCCTTTGAATTCAATAAATCTATTTGGATTTTTATTTTTTGTATTCTATGTGTAATCGGAAAATTTTGATCTACAAAACATTTGGAAACTACAGTAGACTTTTTCACAAGTATATATTTTAATTTAAATTTGAAAAATTTGTTTTTGAAAATTGCAAATTTCGAAATTTTTGAAACCTTTTCTATTGAATAGTTAACTATTAAAATAATGTTTCAAAAAAAAGAATTTATAATCGTATATGCAAAAAACGAAATCACATAACCCGAAACTTTTCTAATTATTATTTGTCAATCCAGATGGCGATGTTTCAGCAGCAAAAGATGAGCTATCAGTTTTAGCTTTATTTGATCCCCAAGCATAAGCATATCCAGGTGCAGCAGCAGAAACATATCCAGAATAATATGATGGATAATATGAAGAAGCATATGAAGCATATGTTGGATAGGCTAGACTTGGATAAACAATTTGAGCATCAGATGAGCCGAAATAGAAGGCTGAGAAGATAATAACAAGAAGAGTTGCGATTTTAGCGAACATTTTTTGATGTCTGGTAACATTTTGAAAACTGTCGAGTATATATAGTGATTATTATTTGCACGAACTCTTTTTTTTCTATTTTGGTCTGTATTTATTTAGCGGTGTACTAGTTTTTAGTGCGCTATAAAACGCTGGAAAATATCAAAATGTTACCAGACATCAAAAAATGTTCGCTAAAATCGCAACTCTTCTTGTTATTATCTTCTCAGCCTTCTATTTTGGCTCATCTGATGCTCAAATTGTTTATCCAAGTCTAGCCTATCCAACATATGCTTCATATGCTTCTTCATATTATCCATCATATTATTCTGGATATGTTTCTGCTGCTGCACCTGGATATGCTTATGCTTGGGGATCGAATAAAGCTAAAACTGATAGCTCATCTTTTGCTGCTGAAACATCGCCATCTGGATTGACAAATAATAATTAGAAAAGTTTCGGGTTATGTGATTTTGTTTTTTGCATATACGATCATAAATTCTTTTTTTTAAAACATTATTTTAATAGTTTATTGGAAAAAGTATCAAAAATTTAGAAATTTGCAATTTTCAAAAACAAATTTTGAAACCTATTTTTTCGAGGTTAAAAAATCGGTTCAAAATTTTCCGAGTCTGAAAATCAGTTAATTGTAGATCACATCAAATTTTTGGAACTACAGTAGTCCAAATCCACGTGACAAAAACTGTGAAATGTTTTCTTAAAATAGTTTCCCATGAAATTAAATATTTCTCAATTTTCCCAGTGCATTTTGCAAATCGAATTAAAAATTTCCAATGCTTTTTTCTATAAAATGTCTGTAGCTCTGAAAAAAAACCAGATTTTTTTCGGAAAATGAAATTTCAAATTGCTCTCGTTTTCTTCTTAATGGCATTGGTGAGTTTCAGAAATTTTCAGATTAAAACTTGAAAACCTGAAAACTTTTCAGATTTCGTCGAGTCTCGCTAGAAGTATGGGGGGACATCGAGCTATTCAAATCCCAACCGACGAACAAAATAACAAAAATCCTAAATAATTTTTCAGGGGAAAAATTAATAAAAGTTTTTAATGCACAAATTTAACAGTATCGCAAGTTCACGTGGCAATCAATTCTGGAAAAGATAGAGCATGATTACTGTATGTGTGTTTCCAAAGTTATAAATAGTAGATCAAACTTTTTGAAAATTTCCTACAGTAATCCAAATCCACAATGTTTTTTTGAAAAAAAAAATAGATGAGGAATACTGTAGTTTAGCTAAGGCTCACGGTAATTTTGTAGATCAAAATAATGATATTTCAAACCTACAGTAACCCGAAGCCAGGTGGCAATTTTGGGCACAAAAAGAAGTTTCTTTCAAAACAAATTCCAATAAAGTTTCGCTGGAAACAAAAATCAATAAAAATTATGTTTCAAATATATATACAAAATTTTTATTTTCTTTTCATTATTAATTGGATTTTTTCCAAGAATTATTAGTTTTTTTACAAAATATATACAAAATTTCAAAAAAAAAGGTTTCAGCTGCATCTGACAGATCTAAGACAAATCGAGGAAATGTATGGAGTTGGAGATTTTCTGGATTTCTCAATTTGTTCGCGAATTTGATTATTCAAGCATTCCAGCGACAAATCGATCTGAAAATATTAATTTTTTGCTCAAAATTCCAGCTTCAAAAAGTTTAAACTAACCGAAGTGTGTGGTAAATTGCATTTAAAATGGTGCAAGTTTGGCGTACTGAAGTGGAATTCATCGACATGTCGTAAAATCACAGTTTTCATCTCTTCTTCGCTCATTTTTTGCAAAGAATTGCCTAATTCAATTGTGAGTACTTCTAAAAATCTTCTGTTCGAATGTGGAATTGCGATTTGGAATGCTCTTTGGAGCGCTAAATTTGCATCGGAATTGGATTCGATTTCCAAGGTAACATCAGCACATGGTCGTCCTGAAATTATTTTTTGAATTATTTTTTCAAAAAAAAAATGCAAAAAGCTTGCTCCCGGTGAGGCTCGAACTCACGACCTTCAGATTATGAGACTGACGCGCTGCCTACTGCGCTACGGAAGCAGACATGCCGACACTTGCCAATGGCAAATAAAAAGGCGAGAGAAAAAAGAGAGAAAAAGACACTCACTCTCTAATAACGCATGGAACATGTTGTAGGCAAGTGAATGATTTTGCATTTTTTCAGATTCTTTCGGTTGGCAATATTCCAAATGAAGTTGGTTTTGATGAACGGGAAGGCGTGCCGAGACCCATTGCCCGTCCGATGTTGAGACTTCAAGTTTTTCGAGAGTTGAACGATGTTGAGACACCAACACTATGCAGTTCTGGAAAAATGGATTTTCAAGGGTGGTTTTGTGAAGGTTGGCTATTTTTTTTTCAAAATAGGTTTTTTAATTTTGAAAAGTACATATGTTACTCAGATTTTCTTTAGAGAAAATAATTTCAAAGTGTTTTATTTTTCTCTAAAACTTCGAAACCTCGCGCTAGCCTGCGTAACGAAATTTTCAAATCAATTTTTTTATTTTTAAATAAAATTTTCCAAAACAAAAAACTCACATTATACAATCTCGACGCTTTTTTCTCGTCATTCTTCTCGCCATCTCTAATATTCACTTTCAAATTGCGCAAACGAAGTTGCGATTTGCGCAAAACGTGGAAAATTTGCGAAGTTGACACATCTTTTGCCAAATCCAATTCGATTTCTTTGATTTTTCGACATTTCAAAATGGCTTCTTGCCAATCTTCGGATTTTTCTAATGAAATACTCGATTTTTCCAAAGAGTTTCGTCGTTGAAATTCGACTTTTGATGCTGGAAATGGGAATTTTGTTTTGTTAGGCTTAGGTTAGGCTTAAAAACATACCATCTTTGAAATTCGAAATTTTAACTTTCGAAAAGTCCGAAAACGCCATTCTGTCACAAATCTTCTCAAAATCCCCACCAACTTTGGATAAATTCAACAAATCCGCAATTTCCAAATTTTGACAAACCATCGGGAAAACATCGATTGGCATGGTGCCAAGAGCCGAGTTTTGAAGCATCTGCAAATCATTTTTTGTTTAAATTTATTCTTTCGGAAAAATTTTTTTGATAAAATTTCAAGGTAAATCAAAATCAAAAGGCATTTTTTATCAGGCCTGAAAAAATGAGAAAAAAAAGTTTCAAACCCAAAAAAAATCACGTTTTTTTTCAATGACAAAGTTTTTTGAGAGGGGCGTTATCAGAAAGTGCAGGTTTGATTTTTGAGACAAAAAAATATATAGGCACTACAAAATACTGAAAAAAAAATGGAAGAATGTGCCGGGGAGGTATTGTAAGAAATTGTAGGATGCGCCTTTAAAACAGTAGTACTGTATTTGAAACCGTTACCCAGAAAGTTTGAGATTTCAAGATTCATAGAATAAAATTCTACAGTATTCTGAAAAAAAAATCAGATGGAATCTGCAGTAACCCTGGAATATTTGGAGTTGAAAATTCGAAAAAATAAAGTCTACAGTACTTCTAAAGAGCCCCTAAAAGTTCCAGAAACTACCTACAGTACAGTACTTTCACTCCAAATAAAAACCAAGCAAAAAATACCTCACATCTGAGATATGATCTACAAAAAAATGATCTCATTATAAATAAATTATAATTATACCACCCAAAAAGCTCCTCCCCTTTTTCCACCCGAAGCTCCGCCCCCTTTTCTCTACGTCACCACAAACAACACATTGCCAGAAAAAGATGCAAATTTCTTTGACAAAATACGAGTCTGTCCTCGATGGCCTTTTTTTCGCCTGTCTTTTTTATCTTTCCTATTTATAAAGTGAGAGTAGGCAGAAAAAAGGAAAGGAGAAAAGACAATGCCTTTTGGTAGATCAAAGTTCAAACTAAAAAATTGAATACTATACGAGGTACTGTAACTCCGACCCACCTTCAAAAAATTCTGGGAGCTTTGATTTTCAAAAAAAAATTAATTTTGGATACTGTAGTTTTTGAATTTGTTCTTGAAAAAGATTTTCTAGGCTTACTGTATTTTTATTTGCCACGTGGGAAAATATATCACTGTAACATTTTAAAAAACCCGAGTTTTCTCTACTAAAAATTTTCTAGTCAGTCACATGTTTCTGACCAACTTTACTATTTCAAAAACAGTATAATTTATATTTTTGAAACCGATAAGATTAGAAATTTTGAAGTCAGAAAAAGTAAATAAATATTTTTGTAGAACACCAGGCTTATCTACAAATGTTTTTCCTGGAAAACAAAAACAATATATTTTCGAAGTAAATAAATTTGACCGTAGTTGACCCTTTATAACTTGGCTAGGTAAGTAAACATTAAAAGTTATGCAAGAATTGTTTTGAAGACTTAGGGTAACTTGATGGAAATCTAAATGCTCTCAGAGAAAAATAATTGGACAATTGAACAATTATAAAATTAATTATCCTTGTGTTTTCAAAACTGTTACGCAACTTTTCTAAAAAAATCCACTAGCAGATGTTTTTCGGTTTTTTATTGCGTGCGGTATATCAAAACAGAAGAGCAGACCACCTTGTCTTCCTTTTTCCTTCCTTCTCACCATTTTTTCGTGGACAGAAATGTTGTTGTGTTTTGTCAGTGACAAAAATGACAATAGAAGGGAAAAGGGGGGAAAAGTTCCAGGTATCTTGCACCTGCAATGTACTAGAATGTAGTTTGTGGGTTTTGGGATGATAAAATTGCCTGGGTTACTATCAAAACTGTATTCTCGGGTTCTCAATTTTTGGTAGATCAAAAAATATTCAGAAAAATACTTACTGTATTTCTGCAAAAATTTGGCACGTGGATTTTTAGCATCAAAATTTTCTTTGATACTGTAGTTTCCAAAAATTATGTAGATCAAAAAAATCTTGAATTACAGTAGATTCAAAAAATTTTAAGATCAAAGTTATTTCACACATGACTACAGTAGCCCACAAACACACATGGATTTTTGTCTTGAAAATTATAAAGGTTACTGTAGTTCTCAATTTTTATTATCAAAAAGTGTACTTCAATTACAGTAACCCGTCCAAAAAATTGTTTCCTGAATTTTCCTGAACATCAAATTTTCTGCTACAGTAACCCATTAAATCCACGTTGATTTTAAACCCAGAAAATTGTTTTTCTAAAACTCCTCGAAGTAAAAAAAAAGTTTATTAGATAGAACATATAAATTGAATTGAATTAAAACAAATAAAGAAAATTATGAGGTAACCTTATTGATATACTCTTTGAACTCCTCAAAAGTAATCTTGGAATCTCCATCCTTGTCAGCCTCTTTGATAACTTGAATCAAAAATTTGAGATTTGTCTTGAAGAGTGGATCCTTCTTGTCGTCTTTTTCAGCTCCCAAAAGCATTACAATAATGTCGTCTTTTGAGATAAAGCCAGACAAATCTTTGTCGTGCATTGAAAACATTTCACGAAGTTCATGTTCTGAATTTGAACATTTTATTTTAAAAGAAAAATCGGGAGCGATAATAAATATGAAAAAAGAGCGAGTGGCAGACATGACTGCTTGGCGCAATGGTAGCGCGTTCGACTCCAGATCGAAAGGTTGGGCGTTCGATCCGCTCAGTGGTCAAATTTTTTTTTGTTTTTGAAAAACTATTGTTTTATTTTTTAAAAGCTGTGACTTACCCCAAGTCGCCATCCTGAATCACAGAAATGAAAGAGAAGCACAAAGTGGAGGAGTTTTCCTACGAAGAAGAAGAAGGAGGAGCAAATAAATAGAATGGAGTGGATTTGTTTGTACTTTGAAAACAAAAAAGCCTCTTCGTCTTTTTTCTGTGCTCAATCTATTTAGCTGATCTTTTGAGATCATTTTAATCAGAGCTTGGGAGGGGTACTGTATTTGGGTGCAATTTGGGTGTTGGCAAATACAAATGATGTGTGATGTGGTGCTGATAATAGAAAATTTGAAGGCGACGGGAATTTTGTGATTTTGTCTGGGACAAAACATGTGTGTTTGCAGAAGTCATAAAATTGGGGGAAAATAGAAATTTCAAAAAAAAAACATATTTGAAATAATATACTGTAGCAAATTTTCAAGGCGCACAAAACGTATTTTGGGGTCTCGGAGCGATTGGAAAGTAACACTACCATATATTTTTCGAAACTATTTCAAGGAACATAAAAGAACAATAGTCACCGTAGTAATTTTATAGGAAAGTCCAGATGCATCCTCCTACAGTACTCAAATCTCAAAAACTTTAAAGGTACAGAATTATATCTAAAATCAGCTACCGTAGTAATTTTTAAAGGAGCACAAAGTCGTCTTAAAGGCACATACAAATTACATAGAGTCTCAAAGCGCTACATGTTTTTTTTCAGAACTTCGTTATTTTTTGTTGATAATTTCAGTTTTCCTCCAACTCTCTACTACAGTAATCTTTTCTCAAAGGCACAGCAACAACAAAATCCTCCCAAATGTTTTGTTTTTTGTTCTCCTCCCTCACAAAAACCATAACATCGTAACAATTATCTCTTTGTTGCCACTTGACGGAAAATTTTTTTTCTCCTCGAAAATCGCTTTTCCCAAAAATATCTTCACGATTTTCTTTTTCTATTTGTGTTTGTTTCAAAAATGTGACTTTTTGAGACTTTTTTGTTATCACGAGGGATTTTTTGAAAATGAGAAAAAATGTGAAAATTGAAACTTTTTGAAAATAAATATGAAATTGAAATAAATCTGAATTTTTTGAATTGAAAAAAAAAATCAAAAACGATTCTTTCCAATTTTCAACAAAAAAACTAATTCAACTACACAAAACTCAACAAAAAAACAAATTAATTAGCTAATTAAATATTTGCATTGATTTCTGATCACTTCACTTCACTCCATTCGATTTTCTTTGAAAAAACAAACAATTTTCCACTGTTTTATGAAACAGTGAAATCTTTCAATGACCATTTTTCGGCCTCAACATTATTTTCCTGTTCTTTTTCATCGAGAAATTCGATCATTTCGGGCATTGGTTTTTGGGACAAATTTTCGATGGTTATTTTTGGACGAGTGTAATCGTAGTGAAACAAGCCGGGAATTCTGGAAAAAAATAGGCGATTTGGAGAAAATTTAAATTTTCAAATTTAAATATTTTTTTTTTTTTGAAAAATTTATCGATGACTTCATCCATGGTAAAATTAGGAAGCCTTCCTAATTTTGCCACGAGTCATTTTTTGATAAAAAAAAAACTTGTGAGATCAGAGCTCAGGAAGCAAGTTTAAAATTTTAAAAAGCCCAACCTCTTGCATTGCTCATAATAACCCTCTGATAAATCGGCAAACTGTTCAATTCCCAAAGAAATCGATGTCATAGTTGGATCAATTCTACAGGATTTCAATAGTTCGTGCGATAATTCCATTTCCAGTTCTTTTGGATACAAGGTTTTCAATCCTGGAAAATGGGATGAGAATTAGAATTTTCTTTATAATTTTTTTATTCGAAAATTAAATTTGTATGTACCTTTAATCATAAATTTTTGTCGATAATGAAAAACTTGTCGACACATTTTCTCAATAATTTCAAAAGGCGCTTTAATCAGCGGTGTTTTTCGGGGAACAAATCGAACAACTCCAACATCAACATCTGGCGATGGGACAAAACAAGAACCGGGGATTTTGAAGACGATTTCGGGTTCGGAAATGTATTGTGACATTATTGAGATGCGCGAACGGGTTGAGCAGGCGATTGGCGAACAGATACGTTTGGCGACCTGCAAAAAAACGGGGAAAAATTATTCGAAAATTAAAAATTCCAAATTTTTGTCTAGAAATCTAATACACAGAATTTTCGTGATCAAACCAACCTCCAATTGAAAAGTCAAAGTTAGCGGAACTCTTCCATATTTCCAAATTTCTCTTCGATATGACATTGCTTTTAAATATTTGATAACTAATGGAGAAGCAATGTTAAATGGCAAATTTCCAATTATATGCATATTTGGTAAATTGGCATTTTTCCAAGGAATCGAAGGTGGACGGTGTTCTTCGTTCTGAAAAAATGAGGGAATTTGAAATTTAGAGCGCTGAAATTTTGTGAAATTTTGAGAATTTTTTCTTAAAAAATTCATTAAAGATTTAAATCAAAACTCAAAACATTGGCGCCAAAATCTATTGAATTTTGGACGTAAAACATTTTTTTTTTGAAAATTTTAGAATTTCAAAAATTTCGCTCCAAAATCTACAGTAATCTTATTGGATTTTTGGCGCGAAAAGTCAGTGTTTAAATTTGGGAATTTCTTTCGTATAAAATTGAAACATTTAGGACAAAATTTATCGTAACCTTACTGAATTTTTGGGGCGAAAAATGTAACAAATAAAAAATTTCCCAAATCCTCACAACCCCAATTACCCACCTGCCAAAACTCTCCGACATCACATTTCAACGCATTCTCATGATGAATATTCAACCTTCCTTCTCCCGCCGCTTCTGCCACATATTCCAACGGCGGAATAAACCTCCGATCAATCTCCACAACATCCAATCGTCCACATCCACTCTCCAATATTCCACGTGTAATTCCACCGGGTCCCGGACCGATTTCCACAACCCAATCATTTTCACGAACTTTTGCATGTCGCACAATTTTTCGCGTTATATTCATATCCATCAAATAGTTTTGTGACAGGATTTTTTTGGCTTGCAATTTGTACATGTGAATGAAGTCGCGGAGAGCGGGAAGAGGTGGGAGACGGGAAATGGCGGGAGAGGTGGACATATTGTGGGAAGTGGGGAAGCTGGAAATAAATCACTTGGGAGGTTTGGGGGGAGACTTTTAGGCAATTCTTTAAATAAAAATTTGAAACAGTGATTTTTTTCCAGGAGTAAAATATAAAAAACTTGACAAGCCTTTAATCGAATTCGGATATTCCAGAAATTATTATAATATTTTATTGAAACAGTGAATTTTTCCACCCATTATTTTCGATGGAGTTGCAGAAAATTGTGAAATAAATGATTTGTGAGTGATTTTGGGAAAGTAATCAGAATTATCTTATCAAAAAAAAAATTTTTGAAAATCATAACAATATTTTTTGAAACAGTGAATTTTTGAAAATAATTTTCGAAACTAGTTCGACTGGCTTATTGATTAATTCAAAGTTTCTAGAACATTTGATAAAATTTATTGGAACAGTAAATTTTTTAATTGAATTTTCTGACTAACTCGAAATGTCAAGCCAAAATTTAATTTTTCTTGAAAATTTTTTTTGAACATTCAGAATTTCATGAATTCTTCTCAAAATCTTGAAAATCCAAGTTTTCGTATGAAAAATATCGAAATTCTTGGAATTTTTGATAATAAATCATTGAAACAGTAGATTTTTTAGTTGTAAAAAATCGTGTGAAAAATTAATGTTTTTTTTTTCAAATTCATAATATTTTTTTTGAGACTAGGCCTCTTTGACCTATAAATCCTCGAAATTAAATAAAAAGCACCGCCAAAAACGGAAAATGTTCCCCCAAAAAAATTCGAAAAACACACACAATTTATTTGTTCTTGCAAAAAATGAGGGGAATTATTAGGAAAAATCTGGAATATTTCAGGAAGAGTAAAGCTACAAGAAAAATCTTTGGGAAAGAAACAATCATCAAAAAAAAAAACGAAATGAAATGAAATGAATTATTAAATTATGTACGAAGATTTTCAACAAAAATTGGGGAAAAAAGGGGGTCAACCACAACCACAAAAACACGAATATGGGGCGAAGAAAAATCGGGGGAATTTTTCAAATTTTTGGGCGAAAACTTTTAGATTTTCGCCGTTTTTTCGAGATCATCGCGAATTGTGTCGATAAATTCGTTGTAGGCTCGCTCCAAATCGTCGTTGATTATCACTTTGTCGAAGAGATGCGGATTTTTTTCGACTGGAAAATTCAAAAATAAAATTTTGTTGAAACAGTTGATTTTTTTACTTTGTTGGTAAAAAATCGATGCAATTCAAGAAAAATTCTATTTTATATAGTTTCTAATCCATGTAAGCCCATTTGTTTTTTTTTCTTATTTTTATAGTACAATTTTCAGCTTCAGAAATCAATTTCTACAATTTTCTCACAATTTTCATACAGTTATTTTCATACAACTTGAATAAAAAAATGACCAACCTTCAATAAGATCTTCTTCAGCGTGTTTCAGACGTTTTTGAAGTGTTTCTTCGGTTTCAGTTCCTCTGGCACGAAGGCGTTCTTCCTGAAAAACATACGTTTCAAAAATTTCATTTCTCAAAATTGAGTGATGAAAATATGATCATTAGCGATTGGAGGCATTTTTCACCAAAAAAAAACACTAACCAATAATTTAATTGAAGGTGCGCGAATCAAAATATATCTGGCATCCAAATGACTTTGTTTAATATTCCGAACACCTTGCAATTCAATATCCAAAACGCAAATTTTTCCGGTTTTTTCGACTTCTTCGACCGCTTTTTTGCTGGTTCCATAGGTGTTTCCACCAAAAGTGGCATATTCGATGAATTCGCCGCGTCGAATCATTTCCTCCATATCGATTTTGTCGGTGAAATAATAATGGGTTCCGTGGGTTTCGCCTTCGCGTGGTTGACGTGTTGTGTCTGCAAATAATTGGGGGGTTTTGGGAACCAAATTATAGATTTCTAATTTTCAAGTACAAACTTTAGAAGGAGTCTATGAAAATAGACATTGAAAATTTTGAAATTTTGAAGAAAAAGTGTAATTTCTAGAGATTCCTCAAGCTTTTTTCCAAGTTTCTCATGAGAAATTCGAATTTTTCATTGAAAAATCATGTTCTTGAACTATGTATTGAATAATAATACTCAAAAAAAAAAAACAATAAAAATGATGATAAATTCATTTTTTTGGTCATTTTTCAATGATAACAACCCATATTTACTCACGTGACACACTAAATGCAAAACTCTCCGGATACTCTTTCATGGCTCGCGACAAAATCGTCGATTTTCCACCGCCGGATGGTCCGGAAAGAACAATCGGTCGACACGGCATTCTTCGAACTGGAAAAACAGAAACATTGGATTTTTCGCGAGGAAATTAACCCGGAATCTCGTCGGGATTTTTCATATTTTTCTCGTAGATTTATAGCCGCTGATCACGATCGCGTTGGTGAAAAATGCTTATAGCAAGTTTAGATAAGAGTTATGACGTGGCAAAGTGTGTGACTTTATGGGCCTTTACAGATTAATGAAATTCAATAAAAATATGATTTATTCAAGAACATTAATTCGTATAGGCTCATTAAGTCGCAAACTTTGTCACGTTATAGCTCGAATTCAAAGTTGAGATATTCAGTTTTCGACAACACGATCGTGATCAGCGAGTAAAAATCTACTAGAAAGATAATAATAAAAAGCTCAATTTCATTTGAGAGCCCAGAATCATCAAATAATCTTTTTTTTCAAGCCTAACAAACCCTTGGAAACGGCAAAATATAGCAAATCAGTTAGTCGCATAGCTAGCTAGAAAAAGAGGGAAATATATATATACTTTTAATAACTAGTCACGGATTTTGTGTTGTTTTGGTTTAGTTCAATGGAGCGCGTTTACACGAACAACTTTTATTTTTTAGGAAACGAACGAATTTGTTATCTTTTTTGTGAGGAAAAAAAAGAACAAGGATTCTTATCTCAAAACATTTTGCGAGGTTATTTTGAAAAAAGTGCATAAATTCTCGATTTTGTGATTTTTCAAACTTGGCCTAAAATAATTCGTGTTCTTAAGAAAGTCCAGCTGGAACTTTATAAAGTAGAAATTGAGGGGAAAGGAAAAAGGGAAAAACTAACTTCTCATTGCAATATCTCCAATTTTCCTCGAAAATATGATTTTTCTTTCTTTGAAGAAAACAAAGTTCTTCGAAAATTCGAAAAAAAGAAAATACGTGCGCGTCAGGTAAAATGCATTGTGTGCGAACACCAATGCACACAAGTTTGAAAATTAATTTTTTTTTCTCTTTTTTTCAAAGTTGCGCAAGTTTCCCTAACTAGATAAATTCAGGCCAAAATTAAGTAAAACAAGATGTAAAAAATTGGAGGAAGATTGAGAAAATGATGCACAACGTCTTCTTGCGGCTGTCTACTCGTCAGCACTCTCTTAATTCCCCATACTCTTTCACTCTCCCTCCCTTCACAAAAAACGCGTGGTTGACCTTTTTGCAAAGAATGAATCGGTCAAATAAGGTCAGTTTTTGCGCTATCAATTAATTTACCTCCATTAAACATTCTATAAAAATATTGGATCATTTTTCTTCGAAATTTCACATTGAAAATGAAAAAATGAAATTTTTCACGTTTAAATTTAAAATTCTAAAAAAAACCTTTTTTCCTCGCGTGATGTAATAGAAATAAAGTGTACATTTTCAGGATTTTTGAGAAGAATATTCGAAATAAAAAATCTCGAAAGTTACATCAAATCCCTCAATTATCCGCCTATTCATTGTGTAGAGGATTAAAAAATTTCGATGTTTTTCTTTTTTTTTATCTTCACATGAAAAAAAACTCACAATACTTATTAATGGTCATTTTTGGCGCCAAAAAATTCAAGTTAAAAATTAGAAGAAGAGAATGAGTAGAAATGTGACAATTTCGATTGTGTTATCAGTTTTTGGGAGAGGAAAAATGCGGGGAGGTTGATTAGGGGGACAATGTTGAAAAATATCATGGGAAAAGGGGTACATTGAAGCGCATTTGGATTTTAGCTTCGAGAAAACACAGTTTTTTGCACTCTAAAATTCAGTTGTAGGGTCTCGAAGCGAGAAAGCAATTTTTGGCGGGTAAAATGTGAGGTACAGTAGGTCTTTATCGCTACGAGACCCAAATTCCTGAATTTTGAGCTGAAAAATCCGAGTTTTGGGGATTACTGTATTTGAAATGTAACGCCAGAGACCTCAACATTACAGTAATATTTTTAAATCAAAAATGTTCGCTGCAAGATCATATCAAAACATTTTTTCTTCTAAAAAACGAAAAAAATCGCAATTTCGCTCAAAATGAAAAATTAATCATCGAAATCCTCTTTATATATAATCCAAAATATTATGGCACCAAAATTATTTAAAAAGCTCCGCCCACTTCCTTCCTACAGTAGTCCCCCGTGTTATCTCCTTATCTTCTCAAAAATCGCGTGAGCCGAATAAATTACTAATATTTTTTGGAGGAAAGCAGCTTATCTCCCAGCTCTCGAGAAATATTTTTTATTTGAAAAATATAAAAATGAATAAAGAGGAAAAAAGGAAAACATTTGATACACGAAACAAAAAAATCAATTTTTTCTAACAAAAAAAAACAAATAAAAATTCAATCACAATGGTTTAATATTCAATTCTTTTTGTATGCTTTCGAGACTTTTGTCAAAATGATTTTCCCAATCGAAAGCCAAAAAGAATCGAGCATTTTGAGCCTGTTCGATGACCCAAGGAAGATTGATTTCCAGTAACTCACGGCGATTTCTGAAAAAAAAAAAGTTGGGGATTTTTTCCGGGTAAAAAATTATGAGTTCACAACTTAAGAAAGCCTAAATTTTTAGTTCTAACAAAACACTTTTTGAAAAATTCCAAGTCATAGCTCGATTTCTAAACGAGTGACCAAATTTCCTGTTTTCTCTCCCCTTCCTAAATTTTCGATGAGATTAATCCCATCACAAACTTTGTCAACAATCTGGCGGCTCCAAATATTCCTCCACTAATACACATCGGAAGTCCAAATTGAATAGCTTCGAAATATTTCACAGTGACTTCGCCCAACATATTCGTTTTTTGTTCAAGTGCAATATGTGTGAAATCGTGCGTTTCTCGATATCTGGAAATTTTGAAACATTCAAAAATTCAAGATCCTCAAACCTCTGCATAACATATAAATGTTCCAAATTATCGATATATTTTACAGCTGGTCGAGCATCTGGCGACGTTTTCAACGTGTCCAGAAACCTAGGTATATATTTTAGGTCATTCAAAAATCATTGCCCAACTCACTGCGCATATTTTTTGCCCAACGTATTTTCCGGCAAACTCGATAAATATTCGCGATTTATAGTCTCATTCGAGATTCGTGGCTTATTTTGGAGCAATTTTCGACCAGTCACATCGGATTCCATGCGTTTCCGAAGATTTTCGAGGATTGGAGAGATTGCGGTGGTTTCGCCCATTGCGGCAACCATGTCGCCTGGAAAAATCAGAAATTTTTGAGAAGCTGCTAGCAATTTTCAAAAATTTATCAACCTCTTTTTTGAGCAATCATTTGCCTTAACAAAAATTTCTCGATCTATGGATAAAATTATGCATTTTCTATTCACAGTCCATTTTCAACATCTTTTTGTTGTAATTCTCATTCTTAACATCTTTCGAGTATATTCGATACGAAAAAAAAATTAAATAAGTTTTTTTTTGAAAAATTTATCGATGACTTGATCCATGGCAAAATTAGGAAGCCTTCCTAATTTTGCCACGAGTCAATTTTTGATAAAAAAACTTGAAATTTTTGATGAATTTGATTGTGATTCTTATTCTTAACATCTTTCGAGTATATTCGATACGAAAAAAAAATTAAATAAGTTTTTTTTTGAAAAATTTATCGATGACTTGATCCATGGCAAAATTAGGAAGCCTTCCTAATTTTGCCACGAGTCATTTTTTGATCAAAAAACTTGAAATTTTTGATGAATTTGATTGTTATTCTATTTCACTCCAAAAATTATTGAATCATATAACAAATTTTTGGAAACGTATATTTTCCGGTAAAATACATGCCATGTTTTTTTTTTCGAAAAGAGGTTCTATTTTGATATTGACAAGAAAATTCACAATTCCATAGATTTTTTTCCAAACTAAACAAATCTTGAATCATAAAAAATTCCCTTGACTTTTTTTTAATTTGATTTTTTTCTGATTTTCCTTCAACATTTTCTAAATTCCCCCAAAACTACTCACCTCTTCTCGGATCTGTGATCGCCGCAGCCGCACTTCCAATTCCCATCAAAACTTTCGAAATCGGAGTTAGCGGAACATGTGTATTATACAACTTCGTAGACATCTAAAAATCCTCGGAATCTCCAAAAATTCTTTTTAAAAAATAGTATAGATTTACACGAAAATACGCATTTTTCGAAAAATAAATACATTTATTTTTTCTTTATAAAATACTTTATGCATGCTTTAGAAAATCGGGATTTTTTGAATTCGGGTTCTACAGTATTTTAAGCTAGGTTTAGAGTAAAAAAAGGGTTAGGGTGAAAAATAGAGAAAACGAGAGAGATTCATGAATTTATTGGGCGGCTGAAAGTGCGTCGACTCCTGGCAAAACTTTTCCTTCCAAAAGTTCCAAACTGGCTCCACCGCCAGTTGAAACGTGCGAAACTTTGGATTCGGTGTTGTATTTTTTGGCTGCGGTTGCAGTGTCTCCTCCTCCTGGAAAAATAAAAAATAGGGGATTTTTGGGAGGGTTCTACAGTAAATTTCCCGGAATTCTGGGAAAAAAACTAGATTTTTGATAGGGGAAAGTTCTGAATTTCTAAAAGTATTTACGGCTAATTTTCAGAAAAAAAATTCCCGCATATCTACTGCCTCAAAACTTGTTGAAAATCTTGATTTTCGTTCATTACAGAAAAAATGTTTTAAAAAACTGCATTAAGATATTCCCAAAAATATATTGTTTCAAAAAAACTGTAAACAATTTTTGAAATCTTGAACTTTTAATGAACGTTCCTCTGGAAAACTCAGATACATCCAAAGTTTTTTTGATATAGGTGAAATATGAAATTCAGAAAAATTCATCGGTTTCAAAAAATTGTTTAAACTTTTGAAATCTTGTTTTCTGTTTATTCAAAAAAATATTATTTAAAAAATTTGCTTTAAAAAATTCGCCAAAAATTTACTGTTTCAAAAAATATAGAATAATTTTTGAAATTAGATTTTTTAATGAACAGATTTTACATGTTCAAAAAAACTGACCAATAATAGTGATAGCTCCAGTTGCAGTAACCTTCACAACTTCATCCATCAACGATTTCGTTCCAACCGCAAATTTATCCCACTCAAAAACACCAGCTGGTCCATTCCAAACAATAGTCTTAGCTCTTTGAATAGCAGCAGCGAAAATCTTGTTCGATTCCGGTCCAACATCCAAACCCATAAAACCATCTGGAACACCTTCTTGTGCTGAAACAATCTTCGAACTCGCATCTTCGGCAAATTTATCAGCAATAACAAAATCGACTGGAAGATGGATTTGAACATTTTTAGCCTTGGCCGCTTCAAGAAGCTCATTTACAATTTTCGCGCCTTCTTCATCATACAAACTATTTCCAATTTTAACACCTTGTGCAACTTTGAGGAAAGTATAAGCCATTCCTCCTCCAATTATCATCTCATCAACTTTATCCAACAAATTTTTGATGAGTTGGATTTTATCAGCAACTTTGGCTCCTCCAAGAATCGCCAAAAATGGGCGAGTTGGATTATCCAAAACTTTCGAGAAATACGATAATTCTTGTTTCAAAAGGAAACCACTGGCACGTTGAGAATGTTGAACTCCGACCATTGAACTGTGAGCACGATGAGCTGTACCGAAAGCATCGTTGACATAAACATCGCCGAGTTTGGTGAGAGATTCGCGGAATTTTTTGACGGCTTCTGCATCGGCTTTGAATTTCGCGCCATTTGCGTCAACTCCTTTTCCTTCCTCTTCGACGTGATATCTCAAGTTTTCGAGGAGGATTACAGTTCCTGGAGCTGGATCGGCACAAGCTGCTTCGACTTCGGCACCGACGGAATCGTTGAGGAACACGATTTCTCTGGAAAAAAAAATTAGATCTCAAAAATTCCCCGAAATTAAATCTCCAAAATTCCCTTACCTGTTCAAAAGTTTCTTCAACTCCTCAGCCACCGGTTTCAAAGTATATTTCTCTTGTGGTCGACCATCTGGTCTTCCCAAATGAGACATCAAAACCACAGATTTGGCGCCATTTTTCAACGCATATTCGATGGTCGGAAGAGCCGCTGTGATACGTTGATTATTGGTGATCTTTCCCTCCTTTAAAGGAACATTGAAGTCGACGCGAATAAGAACACGTTTTCCCGAAAGAGAGAGTTGATCGATTGCCAATTTGTTGAGAGAGCTCATTTTTCGGATTTACCACTGGAAATTTGATTTATTTTAAACAAAATGGGGAAAAAACTATGCGATTTTTAAAGCAAATTATGAACAAACAAAATTGATAAGACTTTGTTTTTGATATTGATTGTAAAACGAGAAATCAAAAACATTTTTTTCGTTCGAACAAAACAAAACAGGAACGTGCAGAATGGCAAATCTCTCTTCTCTTTTCTGCTGTGCTGAACCCTTTTCGAGAAAAAAAGCGAGAGAAAATTTGAGAGAGCAGAGAGAAGTAGAGGAAAAAACATCAAGAAAAAAGTGCTGAACCGCGCGAATTTTATGACATAAGAAATAAAATTTCAGAGAATTTGATCTAGATCATAGAAATATTGGAGACCACTAGAAATTTGAAAAATGATGCAATTTTGAGTGAAAAACAGGATTTTCTTGAAAATAAGAATACAGAGAAACACATTGAAAAAAACTATTAAAAAATCGAAATTTATAATATTTCAGTTCGAATAGATTTTCGGCTGAAATGTGAAAGCTGAAGAAAATTTAAATGCGCTCCAGTGAAAACTGGGATTCTAATTTTCCCATCAATTCAAAAAATCAAATTCGAATTTTTTTCAAATCATCAAAAATCTTGACAAATTTCCAAATATTTTAGCGAAAAACACCTGAAATCACGATTTTTCCACTTTTTGATTGAAAATTAATCGAATCTCAAAATCTTTCTTCAGATTTCTAATGTTACACCCTTTTCTCTATTCACTGAACAAAATTCGTTCACTGACAACCGAGAGAACACTCGCTGAAACCCCCAATTTTCATTTTTTGCAAAACTAGAAAAACCAAAAAATAAACAGAAAATAAAAAAACATGCATGCGGCACACTGCAAAAATCGATGCCATGTTTTGCCAAACTGCAAAAAGTGGGCGGGACTTCGTAAATCGACACGTTTTCATTTTCATTTTTCTCTCATTTTCAGCAGCTAGCTAGATAGAATCCACATACATTTTCAGGCGGAAAATGTCAAAAGAAATTGACGAAATGGCAGAGCGTCTCAAAAACTTGACAAGCGATTTAACATCGACATTGAAAGAGGCGAGAATTGCAACAGTTTCGCCTGCAGCTCCAAGTGCTCCACAACCATATAGGCAAAAAATTGAAAAATTAAGCTCAGAGGTTGGTTTTTCTTCCATTTTTATTTTGAAAAGGGAATCTATAAATACTATAATTAATTTCAGGTAGTCGATTCCAATCCATATTCAAGACTTATGGCCTTACAAAGAATGGGAATTGTCAAAGACTACGAAAAAATTCGGGATAAAACTGTAGCTGTTGTTGGAGTTGGTGGAGTTGGAAGTGTTGTAGCGGAAATGTTGACAAGATGCGGGATTGGAAAATTGATACTTTTTGATTATGACAAGGTCGAGATTGCTAATATGAATCGATTATTTTATCAGCCACATCAATCCGGGTTGAGCAAAGTTGAGGCTGCTAGGGATACTTTAATGTGAGCAATTGAGCATTTTAAATTAATAGACTATCCATTAAAAATCTCCAATTTTTTTCAGCCATGTAAATCCAGACGTCGAGATCGAAACGCACAATTTCAACATCACAACAATGGAAAATTTTGGGAAATTTGTTGAAAGGATTACGTAAGTTTTTATTTTATTACTATACGAAATACAATTTTTCGTTTTGCACTTTCTTACTGTACGATACGAATTCCAAATATTTTTTAAAAAATCTTCCAGAAATGGCTCAAAAACCAATGGAAAAGTGGACCTTGTTCTAAGTTGTGTTGATAATTTTGAGGCAAGAATGGCTGTAAATACAGCGTGTAATGAGGAAAATCAAATTTGGATCGAATCTGGAGTGTCGGAAGATGCGGTTTCTGGACATATTCAATATATTGAACCGGGAAAAACGGCGTGTTTTGCGGTGAGCTTTGGAAAATTTTGGGGTTTAGAATGAGAAATATATTTTTTCGAAAATAGTTGAGGAATGAAAAATTGACTAATAATATCTTCAACAGTGTCAAAAATTCAAAATTGTGGAAAATTATCATAATTTTTAAAATATGTATTTTTCTTCAAGTGTATATCAAAACTCAAAAACCACGAAAAATATCACAATTTTTTAAAACGTATTTTGTTCAGAAAAATTATTTTCATTTTTCATTCATTATGTGAGAATAAAATTTTACAGTGTGTTCCTCCATTGGTTGTTGCTTCAAACATCGACGAAAAAACATTGAAAAGAGAAGGAGTTTGTGCGGCATCTTTGCCAACAACAATGGCTGTTGTCGCTGGATTTTTGGTCATGAACACGTTGAAGTAAGCGATTTTTTCGTTTTAAAATTCGAATTTTTCATGAAAAATTACTCTAGAAATGGTTTGGTGGCCTAGAAAACTTTTAAGACCGCCAAATTTCCCAGAGACTCTTGATTTTGGTACTGGAAAATTGTACGTTTCAAAATAGTTTAAATAGATTTTTAAATTGGAAATCTCTAGTTTATTAATTGTCATTGCAAAAATTTATCAGCGTGGATTTTTCGAAAAAAAAATCGTTTTTTTTTGTGTGAGAAAAAACTCGAGCAGAATTTCAAGGCCCAAAAATCCACGTGTATTTTTCGCTTTGAAAAATTGCCATAATTAAAATTTCAGGGTGAAAAATGTCTGGGTCACTCTTTCAAAACTATCACAGAATCCCACACTCTCTAGCAACTGTCTAGATTCAAAAAATTCCCATTTTTCCAGATATCTCTTGCAATTCGGCGAAGTTTCTCCATACGTTGGCTACAATGCTCTCAAAGATTTCTTCCCGCGCGATTCTATCAAACCAAATCCTTCTTGCGATGATCGACACTGTATTCTGCGACAAAAAGAATATCAGGAAAAGCTGAAAAATCAACCTGAAATTGAAGTGGAAGAAAAAATTGAGGATGATTTTGTAGTTCACGAGGAGAATAATTGGGGAATCGAATTGGTTGATGAATCTATTGAAGTGAAAAAGGAGGCTACAAATTCTGGAAAAACTGCTGAAGGGCTGAAATTTGCTTATGAGGCTGCTGAAAAATCGGAGGAACCTTCTCAAGAGACATCTGAAAAATCTTCTGCAAATTTGGCCGATTTGATGGCACAATTGAAACGATTACAAAGTTGACTATAGAGTTAGCCTAACTATTGTTTTTTTTCGCATAGTATTTTTATTTCACTGTGATTTTTGTCCTCTTTCCTTTCCTATATAGTATTTATTTAAATTATTCATTTATGATGAACATCTTTGCACCCAAAATTCTAATTATTTAATTAATTAATTATTTTTCAATTAACCCGTCAAGTTTCAACCGTTATAAAAAAGTAGAGTTATCACAAATCGTATCTCGATGGTCCGCCTTCTAATTTGATCTCTTGGGTCTCGAAGCGCATACACAAATATTCACCCAAAACTGTGCAAATTGTGACGGAGATTATTTGAAGGATCCACCTGGAAAAAATGTGTTTTCATTTTTGGAATTCAAATTTTGAATAGGATTTCATTGGCTTGAAAATTTGGGATTTTTGAAAACTAGAAAAATATGGGAAAATTCTGGATTGATCCAAAAAAATTCAAGAATTAATTTTGTTTTAAAAAATCTCACTGTTTCAGAGAATTTTTGAATATTTTTGGGGATTTATTTTTACAATACACGGAGAGTTTGGCATTGAAAATTCTAAAATGTTTGCACAAAAAATCCACTGTTTTTTAAAATTGTATTTAGAAAAAATCAAAATTAATTTTTGAAGTTTCTGTGAAAAAATTTATTTTCGAAAATTTCACTGTTTCAAAAATTTATTAATATTTTTCAAAGCTTTTTGAATATGATTATATTGGTTTGTTACCATCAAAAAATCTAGGTGGAAAATTTTTTCTCCAGATTTTCCTGTCAAATTTCCAGACAAACATATAAAAATTATTAAATTTTTAAGCAAAAAAATCTCACTGTTTCAAAAAGTTTTTAATTTTCTGTAGAACATTTTAACAGACATTATTTAATTCCAACAAATATCCACGTGGCCATCTTTTTAAAATTTTGTCGCAAAAATTCAAATTTTTGATTCAGAAAATAACTCACCAAGTAAACTGCGTCGGAAAACTCTGATTATACAAAATCACCAAAATCAAGTGAAAAACATGGGCGGTGCATGCGAAATCAAGACATTGTTTTGCTCTTTGCACAATTTTCGCCAATCCAAAAGAAACGCCAATTGTGGATATTAATTGAATCACTGCCATTAGTCGTTGGGCCTGGAAAATTGCAAAATTTGAGCTGAAATCTCAGATTTTTGACCAAAAAACCTCACCTGAAGTGCAAAAATAGTGGATAAAAACGGTTGATATCCGACAAATCCAAAACTGATCAACAAAATTGTTTGCACAAAATAGAAAATCGATTGTAGGCATATCATTTGACTAATTAAAAGTGTCGGGTCCCAAACGAATTGACGAAAACTCGACATTTTGGCAGGAAATTCTGAAGAATTTGAAAATTAGTGAAAGTTCTCGGCAAAAATCCACGTTTTTATCGTTGTCGAGAGAAAAAGAAGAGAAAAATGAAGAGGTGTTTGCGGACAACACATTTTAAATGACGACAATTTTGGCGGGATGGTGCGAGTTTGGTGGGAATTTTTGAATAAAGAATTTTTTTTATTTTGAAATTTTTCAATAATAAAGTTTTGCTTCATTCAAAGTAAACATTTTAAGTTTTTCTTCTCAAATGTGTCTGGAATTCCGTCTGAAATTCAAAATTATTTGAGGAAAAAAGTTTTTTTTTAAAGAATCACCCCGGAAACAATTTTGAAACCGAAATTTGGTGTTTCTTGGTTTCCCGACAAAAAAGAACAATTTAAAATAGATGACTGGCTCTCTGTTTCTCTAACTCTCTATTGCGAAATTTCGTCCATTTTCCGTTTTTCCCTAACCACAAAAAAAACACCGAATAACTTTTTTTTGACCGAGACCTCAATCGATTGCCGCCTTTGATTAACTAGCTAAATATTTGTTCTATCTATCTATATATGTGAAAAAAACGGGTGAGTGGATATAGATCTGTATTCTGTTGCGACAAAAATGTTTTGAAAAAAATTTGCGAAAAAAAATAAAATTAAAAAAATTATTTTCTAGGCACACAACAATTTTGCGGCCGCGGGTCTCGACGCTCGCCCGCGAAAAATTTAATTTGATTTTTTTTCGCGAAATATTTTGGGCGTTTGCTCCGCATTTTCACTGTGAAATCCGTTTCCTCTGTTACCTATTCCTCATGTCAATTTGTATATTTCCAAAAATCGGATTTCTCTAGAGAAAAATACAGTTTTCAGTTCGAATCAGTTTTCCACGGTCCTAAATTGTTTTATTGTTGAAAAATATTTTTTTTTGAATTTTAGAAATGTCATTTTTGCAAAACTTTGAATATTTCTATTCAAATTCTATATTTAAGAAATCAATTTTCGCGTGACATTTTCTTTATCTCGATTTATCTTGTAATACCGTCCATTTTTAGATTTCCAAATCAAAAAATGTCAAATTGGGACTATATAGATGAAGTGGATATACTGCCAAAATTGCCGCCGAATTTCGACGAATTGCGCGAATCGAAAAAGTGGCAAGAGCGAAAAGAGGCGCTGGAAGTGCTGTTGAAACTTTTGACCGACAACGAAAGATTGTCGACAAAAGTTTCATATGCGGAATTGATTGGCAATTTGCAGACTGTGAGTATTTCTCCTTTGATATTTATGAAACAATTAGAGATTTTCGAAATTCATCTTGTTTCATTTCAGATTCTTGCAAAAGATGCGAATATAAATTGTCAAGCGTTGGCTGCGAAATGTATCGGAAAATTCGCAAGTGGATTGCGATCAAAGTTCGCCGGATTCGCCACACCTCTTTTGCCTGTCATTTTCGAGAAAATGAAAGAGAAAAAACCAACTCTTCGCGAGCCACTTGTTGAATGTTCAAATGAAGTTGGAAGAACTATGCCAAGTCTTGAAGCAAGTTTGGAAGATATCGTTGCAGCATTGGCTAAACCAAATCCTCAAATAAAACAACAAACTGTGCTTTTTGTGGGAAGACAACTCGATTTATTAGCTCCAGCAAAACAACCAAAAGCTCTTATCAAAGCGATTGTTCCAATTATGGGAAAATTGACTGGTGATGCTGATTCGGATGTTCGAGAAGCTGCGACTACTGCATTGGGAGCGGTTTCGAGATTGATTGGCGAGAAAAATGTGAAAAGCTTGTTGGGCGATGTTGGAGCAGATGATGCGAAAATGAAAAAAGTTGCAGAAGCCGCTGAAAAATCAGCACAGATATTCGCAGAAGAACAAGCTAAGAATGCTCCACCAGCACCACCTGCAGCAACCACTTCCACATCTTCTCCAGCTCCGAAATCTGCTGGAAAGTCTCCTGCAGCCGCCGCCGCAGCATCTCAAGAACCTGTTGAAGCAGATCCTTGGGATTTCCTTGACGCTTTTGATGTTTGCGAAAAACTTCCAGATGGATTTGACACAAATATTGAAAGCAAAAAATGGCAAGAGCGAAAAGAAGCGTTGGAAGGATTACTTGCTTTGATGACAGCCAATCCAAAACTCGAGCCGAAAGCGAATTATGGAGGATTGGTTGAGAAATTGCAGAAGATTTTGGCGAAGGACGCGAATATCAATGTGGCTGCATTGGCTGCTAATTGTTTAACTGGTCTTGCCAATGGATTACGCGTCAAATTCTCGCAGTTTGCCATTTCTGTTGCGCCAACGATTTTCGATAAATTCAAAGAGAAGAAGCCGACTTTGCGAGATCCTTTGGTTCTTTGTATTGATGCAGTTCTTGCAACTACGAATTTGGAGAATCTTGCTGAAATTATCGTTGAAGCATTGGCCAAACCAAATCCTAGCATCAAAACGCAAACTGATTTGTTTTTACAAAGAAGTTTTATGAAGTTAAACTCGCAAACGATGCCCAAAAAATCGCTGAAAACCTTCATCCCACTTCTCATCAAACATTCCGGAGATTCCGATTCGGAAGTTCGTGATGCTTGTTATGCAGCAATGGGTGCAATGATGAGAGCGATTGGCGAAAAACCGGCACTTTCACTTCTTGCTGATATTGCTACGGATAATATCAAAATGGGAAAGATCAAGGAGTATCATCAGAAGGCGCTGGAAGAAGCTGGACCGGCTGAAATTGCTGCAATGGTTCAAAGTATTCATAAATCGGATGTGAGTTTGCTTGTTTTCGTGATTTTTTTCTATAGCTTTTGTGATTGTGATTGTGTTATTTAGGCGCCAGTTGCCACGTCGACACCAAAACCGAAATCTGCACCAGCGAGAAAAGTTGTTGAAGAGCCGGAAGAAGAAAATCTAGAGGAAGAACCGGAAGATGAGGTTTGCTTTGAATGTTGTAAAATTGTTGTTGAAATGGAAAAATTAGAATTTTTCACAAAAAAACATTTATGATTTTTTGAAATTGTAAATTTTTCACAACAAATAAAAAAAACCATATTTTTGCAGCCACTCAAACTGCCTGCCGGTGGACCGAGAAAAGAGGAGAAAAAGAAGGTGTCACCACGTGAAAATGCTGAAAATGAGCCACCAGCTCCGCCACCAAAGCAAGAACTCCTTCTCGCCGAAAACAACGAAAAAGCGCAACGAATTTCGGATGAGCGCAAGCTGAAATTGGTCAAATGGAACTTCCAAACACCAACCGATGAACACATTGCACAACTTCAGCAATTATTGAGTCAACAGGCGAAAGTTTCGTTGATGTCGCAATTGTTCCACAAGGATTTCAAGCAACATTTGTCGGCGTTGGATTCGTTGTTGAAAGTGGGTGCATTTTTTTTGAGAGGAGGGAGTTTTGGGGCTGAAAATTTTGATTTTCTGGGATTTTTGGGTAAAAACTGGAGAGATGTATTTTCGGAATTTCCCCCTAACCCACGCCCGACGAGGCGTGTCCAAAAAGGATACTGTACAAAAATTTTCAAATAAAAATTCCCGCCCAAACCAAAATTTGGATTCGGGCGGGTAGCTAATAAAAATTTTCAAAATTTTTTTCATTTCACTGCACATGTTTTCATGAAAAAGTGGGGTGTTCATTGATTTTCAGCGGATTTTGATGAAAATATTCGAAAAAATTCAAAATTTCACGCTGCACAATTTTTATTCTGAAAAAATTTTCACGCTGCACAAAAATTTTGGGACACTCTCTCGCCAAGTGTGCCCTAACCCCAAAAATATGAAATTTTTCCAGCTGGCCGATATTGCACCAAATGTCATCCTTTCAAACAGCGATCTTTTGCTCAAATGGTGCACTCTTCGTTTTTTCGAAACCAATCCAGCCGCCCTCATCAAAGTTCTCGAATTCTCTCGAGTTATCGTAACTCTAATTCAAGACACTGATACTCAAATGACACAAGAAGAAGTCGCCTCATTCGTGCCGTATTTGTTGCTGAAAACTGGAGAACCGAAGGAGAATATGCGATTGGCTGTCAGAAATATTATCGATATTTTATCGAATATTGTTGGACCATTGAAGTTGACACCAATGTTGATTGGTCAGTTTTTTCTTTGAAAAATTTGGGATTTTTATTGAATTCTGCCCATTTTTTCCCACAGAATTCAAAATTTTGCCACGTGGATTTCCCTGATTTTTTGTTTGAAAATTCAAAAATTTTTTGCAGACGGTCTCAAATCGAAAAACGCTCGCCAACGCACCGAATGTCTTTTGGTCATCGAATCCTACATCAATTCGGCCGGAATAATTCCGCTCAAATCACTGAACATCGAAAAAACGGTGGCGGTATTCGTTGGCGATAAAGATATGAATGTGAGAAATGCGGCGATAAATGTGCTCGTGGCATGTTATCGATTCGAAGGCGAACAAATGTGGAAATTGGCTGGAAGAATGGCGGACAAAGATCGAAGTTTGGTAGAGGAACGAATCAAAAGATCGGGAGCCAAACCGGGAAGTGGTGTTCCATCGGGCGAAACTTCGAGACCTGGAGGTGGCCCGAAAATCGTTGTGCCCCAACAAGGAACTGTTGTCAGACCAAGATCGAGAACTCGAGATCGTGGTGCTGAAAATGACTATAATTCGACTTTCACTCGAAATGATGATGAAGAAGTTCAACAACAACAACATGTTCCACGAAGCACTTCTCGATATGCATTGAGAGAAGATGATATTAGTGGAGCATTTTCGAAATTGGCAAACAATTCGATTCTTCAACCGATTGCTAGTGCACCGACATCAAGATGGGGAAATTCGCAGCAAAATCATCAACCGATGAAGTATGTTTCAATCTGGGGAAAGGGAGTGGGAAAAAATCTTGAAATTTTGATCTAAACAGTGTCAATCTTCAATTTTTCCAGGCGAACCAATTCATCTTCTTCAATTTCATCGATCGATACATCGGATCAAATTCAACGAAGTATCAACAACATATCATCGAGTTTGTCCGATGTTGCACAAGATGCTCTCTATCAAGTCACATATGTTTTGAATCAACCAGAACAACGGCATTTGGTCGATCGACAAGCCGATTTGGTATTTCGAGCCTGCGCCGCACAATTCGATATTATGCATGAGGAATTCCGAGCCGATCGAGATATTTCCGGAAAAATGGAAGCTTGCACACAAATGCTATTCATTGTGAGTTTTGAGGGAAAATTGATGGAAATTGGGAAGTCGATATCCTCCCCAGAAAAATCATAATTCAGTGTTTTCTTACAGCTTCTCGGCGGTGTCGATCAAGATTCATCACTCGAACCACTTGTCGCAACAATCGAAACAATTCGATCAATAATGATAAGTGTATTGAGATGTATTATTGGAATTGGAAGCACTGAAATCGGATATGCGATGGCAAGAAATTTGAATCGCCTCATTATGCGACTCATTTATCGTGTTGAATTATCGAATTTGTTATGTGGATGGGTTTCGGCAATGACGGAATCGTTCAGAAAATATAACGATGTCACAACTTTGGTCTCAAAGCTCGCCTCAAAATGGTGTGACGAGCTCGAGAAGCGTCGAACTCAACTTCGCGCCTCGGACGTCGTCGAAAACTTCAATCAATTCTACATTTGCACACTTGTCGAACAAAAATTGAGCATCGACAATGAATACGTTCTAATGATGGATAACACATTGGAACGTGTCATTATACAACAAGGTGAATATGTGATGGATGCGGCGAGACGATTGCCAACACCACACATGCATTTGACGAGTTTGATCAATAAAGTGTTGCAACAGATGAGAGAACAAGGAATTCAGCCGATTTTGCCAGGAACTGTTAGTTTTTTGGGGAAAAAGGGAGGAGGTTGGGTTTTTGATGAATTTTGGTCCCTATTTTCTAAATTTTGAAACTGGAAAAAAAACCCGGATTCATCAAAATATTCCCTCCAAATTGTTATTTTTCCAGCTCGAAGACACATCCGCGCTCAACGAAGATGAAACAATAATAATTCGAAATGAGGCAACAGTACTCGTTGATAACATTATCCGAGACACCAGCAATGCTCAAAAATATGTGGAGCAATTGAAGAAAATCATCGAGTCGGACCAAAAGCTGAAAATCGAATATTTGGAATACACGAAAAAGCATGTGTTGGGTGAAATGGTTCGAGAATTGGTCGAATCGTATCGACCCAACTATGGATCCAGATTATCGGTTGGTTGAATTGGGACGGGATTTTTCATTGAAATTTCTAAAATATCTGCTGAATTCCTACGTGGGAAAAATATTTGAAAATACAACATTTTCTGAAATTCTCCCAAAAAATGCAGTTTTTGCAGACCGCTGGAATGGCACCACTCAATGTGTTGAAAACCATCTCATTGATGGGAGAATGTGAAGAAGCACCACAGCAGAGACAGCCGCCGCCACAACAGATGAATTTGTGAGTTTTTCGTGGAATTTCTAGAAATTCCTTTTTTATCATTTGAAAAGGTCAAATATTTGAGAAGTCATAAAATTTTTATGATGAAATAAATTTTTTTTCTCAAAAAGAACTGAAATTTCCTCGAATCATGATTTAAAAAACCTTAAACCGAATAATTTTTGCAGCGAAACTCCATCTCGTCGCGAACCCGCTGCAGCCGCTCAAACCATTCGCCGACCAAAAAGAACAACAATGTCGCGTGAACAACTCGCCTCAATCAAACAGCAACTCGATCGAGTCAAGCAACAGTAAATAAGAGAAGCTGTTTGCCCCGCCCCCAATTTTTTTCTCATTTTTGGTATGCCCGAAAGCCCCCATCAAAAAATCGGCATAATTTATATTTACGTGTTAAAGACCGGTTGTGAGAGCACAAAAATGAGCATTTTTGGCGGCCCGTTTTTTTTTTTGATTTTTTGTATTTTTCACCCCCTTTCCCCATTTTTTTCTCAGCTAGGCATTTCATCGTTTTTTTTTTTGGCCTTTTTTACTTGATGATTTCCCTTATTATTTTATCTTTTGCCTTATTTTCATTTTATTCATGTATTATAGTAAAAATTTATTTATTTTTCGGTTACTGTAAATTATTTGGAACAAAAATTCGAATTTTTCGAAAAAATATTCTACGTGACCCAGTTTTTTCCCACGTGAAAATTTGATTTTTCTGGCCCATTTCTAGTTTTCTCTCTAATATTTTTTGTACTCGGTGAGTTTTCAGTTGGCGCAAAAGTTCAAAAATTCCCAACGTCATAGCCTAATTTTCACTGAAAATCAATAATGTTGCAATTTTTCGTGCAAATCTCTTCATACTCACCAAAAACTTTCATTTTTTGGTTTTTCGGTTCACATTTTTAATTTCCAAAAAAAAAACGAGGAAATCCCCGCGAATAAAAATCGCGGCGGGAGGAAAACTGGAAAATGATAAAATCTTGTAAGCTTGGATTTTTTGGCTGTCTAATTTGAAACGAAAAAATCTGTCTTCCGCTTTTCAAAGAAAAATTCATATTCACTTCATTTTTATGAGAAAATCCGAGGAAATATGGTATGTTTTTCAGTTTTTTATGATTTTCAGACAGAAATTTGATGTATTTTTGTCAAAATTTCGGGGTTTTTCGATGTGGGAGAATTCTAAGCCTAGAAATTTTGGGCTAAGCCTAAAAGCCGTAGCGAAGTAAATGAAATTCTAGACCTATAAATTAGCATAACTCATTGTAAATATTTTAGCCTGAAATTAAACCTTATGGGGCTATTCAAGTTATTTTCTCAGCGCTGAGAAAACAGGAGAAAACCTATTCAGGTAGGCTGAGAAAATACGAAAAAAGTGAAGAAAATGCATTTTCTCCGCATTTCTCCTGTTTTCTCAGCGTGTTGAGAAAATACTTGAATAGTCCCATTAGTCTACGTCTTGTGCTGAGAAAATGAATCCTACAATTTTGGAAATTTTTGGGTCTTGGCTTTTTTGTAATAAACCTAACTCATGCCTAGAATCCAAAGTTTTCCAGAAAAATTCTGGGTAATCCAGTTTTCCGTGAAAATGTTCATTTTCACTTGAAAACAACAAAAAATCCAGTTTTTCTTGAAAATTGCAATCTTCCCACAAAAACAACTAATTTTTCATTAAAAATTTCGAAAAAATCAATATTTTTCCTCCTTTCCCATTTTTTACTACTTTAGCAGACAGAAATAGAAACCAAACAAAAAAATCCAGCAAAAAAAGGTCAAAAGTACAACCCTCGGAAACCAACCCTCGAATGTTTAACCCTCGTCATTTTGTACAACCCTCGTGTGTTTAACCCTCGACGTTTTCTGATTTACCCTCGTCATTTAAAAAAAAAAATTTTCAATTTCAGTTGTCATTTTTTGAGGCGAGCAATCCTTGGATCTAGTTGTTAGGAAAAACTTTAAATTTTCACACGATGTCAGAAATACTTGTTTTTTTCATATGAAACATCGAATTTTGTTGAAAAAACATTTTTTTTGGGCGTTCACTAAGCCTAAGCTTTATAGAGAGAAATGAAGTTTTTTTTCCGAAAAAAATCATTTCGGAAATGAAAAAATTAATTTTTGAAATGACGAGGGTAAATTTGGAAATTCCGAGGGTTGAACACACGAGGGTTGTACAAAATGCCGAGGGTTAAACATCCGAGGGTTGGTTGCCGAGGGTTGTACTTACACACCCGCTCAAGCAACACAAAAATCAGCAAAACGCTGTGAATACGGTGCACCCTGTAGCTCAAAACCTAGATAAGGTTCATGAAAAACTAAATATAGGATGAAAATCAGCGCATCGAGTTCTACCTGACTTGCTACTTTTCTTATTATTTGAGGTCCTGCGAAGAAAGTTAGCAATCGCGACAAGACCCAACGCATGAAATATATCATGTTCCTTTAATACTGTAGTGCGAAATATAACAGCGAACAGAGAGAATTAGGCAAAAGTGTTTGCACAGTTTTTTTCAATCGCAGATTTTTCGTTTTACAGTAGAAAACACTCATTGCGTGGCTTGAACGGGTGTGCTTATGACCCAAAAAAAAGAGGAATTGGAGTTGGAGCGTATTTGCATAGTCTGCGTCTCTCTTCAAAACCAATACTCTCTCGCCACATTTTCCACGCATTTCATTTCTTTTTTTTTTGGTTGGTGCTTCTTTTCCCTCATTTTTAGCGGGAAATTAAGGTTTTTCGAGGGTTAGGGGAAATTTAGGAATATTATAAAATGAAAAATCGATTTTTTCAGGTCTAATTAGGCTTAGGCTCAATTTTAAGCTAATTTAGATGAAACTAAGGTTTTTTTTCATTTTTTTTACTGAGAATCGCCCAAAATTGAGTTTTTAATTTGAAAAAGTGGAGTTTTTCCAGGAATCGAATGAATCGACGTGGATTTGTGTGAAAAATCGATTTTGGCTGCTGGCTCGACCCAATTCACCATCGAAAATTATGACGTTTTGCTTGAGAATTGGTGAGTTTTATTGATTTTTTATAGGGAGAGGGAGGGGGATTTGGAGCATTTTGAGCTCGAATAATTTGGTTCAAAACGTTACTTATTCTAAAATATAAATCACCATGAAATTTCAAACATTTTGAGTTCAAATTTGAATTTTTACAAGAAAATTTAATTTTCTAACCATTTTCAATATTTTCTTGATTCTCTAAAAATTCAAATTCCTCAGTTTTTGATTTTTTTTTTCTGGATTTTCTTTTTTTCTGACCTAAAAAGATACAATCTCTAATTTATCCTTCAAAAATCTTCTTCCTCTTCAAAAAAATCGATTTTTTCTCTCAGAAAATCTGAAAACCTTTTAAATTGCCAATTAGTACAGATCTATAATCTATCCTAATTATCTTTATATTTTCTTAAGGCAAAATAAAACCTGTTAAAAATTGAATTAAAATCGAGATCGTCTGGAAGATATTGAGGGAAAAAGTGTAGCTGAGAAGAGGATTTTGTAGTCAGAAAAAAGGTGTTTTGATGAGGTTTTGTGATAAAAATTGAGAAAACTAGGAGATTTTATAGAGGAGAACATTTTTATGCTAAAAATATTGATTTTGAATACAATTTTCTCATGGAAACGCAATTTTTTTGTCAGAAAATCGTTAAAAATTCATATTTTTAGCTCATTTTTCGTCTGAAAATTCACAAAAAATTTCGGAACTCTTCAGAATTTGAAATTTTTTCCAGGTTTCTCCCTAATTCTGCTATGTATATTTGTGCATTTTGTGTGTAGTTTGGCTCCGAAAAATTCCAATTCAAATTTCAACAACAACCAAAATAATAATATCAACAATAATAATGGACAATTTTCGGAGTTTTCAACATCTTCGAAAAACGAGGAAAATAATGTGATTGTTGCCAATAAAACTGATGTGCTGGGGTGAGTTTTTTCGAGATTTTTTGGGTGAAAACATCGGGATTTTTATGAAAAATTAGCAAAGAATAGTGAAAATGATGATTTCGAATTAAAAATTGAGGAAGTTTTCAAACCCCAATTTTAAAGCTAAAAATTTATCGAAAAAATCCTATTTGTTAGCCTTAAATTATCAGAAATGAACTAATTTCAGCTGAAAATCTATAAAAATTCCAAATTTCCCAAATTCTCCATCAAACCCTCATTTTGCAGCGAACAAATCGACGCAAATTCGACAAGTCTCGAACAACACGGTGCCGTAATTGTTGGAAATGTATCCGAGGAGAAAAAACGATCAATGGCCATTTTTTTCATTCTATTCGTCATTGTTCTTGCGACTCTTGTTGTTCATATGCTCATCATTTCGAAAATTCATTATATTCCCGAAAGTTTGGCGATTGTTGCGTTGGGTAAGCTGAAAATTTGGGATTTTTTTGAAGTGGGGAAACAAGCCTAGGTTTAGAGCTGGAATTTCATGAAAATCTCGAATTTTTGAATGTAAATAAGCCCAGGCTTAGAGTTGTTTTCGAAATTTCTTCAAGCCCTGAAAAATTCTACTTTTTTGTGAATTGTTTGAATATAAATAGCCTTGACTTTGGTTTTCAGAGCTGAAAATTACTGAAATTGCAAGACTTGGCTTAAGCCTAACCCTGATTTAAAAAAAAAACAGTAAAAATTTTTTTTAGTTAGAAATCTGGGCTTTGAATATAAGTAAGCTATTATAATTTTTTTTTCAAAAAAAAATTACTGTTTCAAAAAAAGCACTAATTTTGAAAAAAAAATGATTATTTGATCCATCTTTCGCAATCATATTGAATTCCTAAACCTTTCCAATTTCCCTTCGAATTTCTCTAATATTTCTGTTTTAGGTGCTCTAATTGGCTCAATTCTCTCATATTCCCAACGTGATTGGAGTGAAATCGAAGCTCTTTCACCCGATGTTTTCTTCTTGGTTCTACTTCCTCCAATCATTTTCGAAAATGCCTATAACCTCAACAAAGGCTATTTCTTCTCGAATTTCGTTCCAATCTTGACTTTCGCTATTTTGGGAACTGCAATTTCAGCAATTGTTATTGGAATTGGTCTATATGTTTTGGGAGTGTTGGGAATTGTTTTTGAGCTCTCTTTTTTTGAATGTTTTGCTTTTGCGTCGATGATTTCGGCGGTGGATCCAGTTGCGACTTTGGCTATTTTTCAAGCTGTTAAAGGTGGGCATTTTTGGGTAGGATTTGGGGGTCGAAAACCATGAAGCTTTCCGTAGATTTTGTCTAATCTGAGCAATGATCCAAAAATTCATTTTTTTAAATTTTCGAAAAATACTATTTTTTGATCAACTCTTTTTTCGTTCAAAAATTTGTAAATCTGGAAGAGCTTCCAGTTTTACTAATCCATCATTGTCGAGTCAAATTTCATGCTCTTAGTCAAAATTTCGAAAGAATATTGCTCATGTTAATTTTTTCACGCAAAAAAAGAAACGAAACAATATTACTAATTCTCATACTTTTTGATTTTGTAATATTGAATTTTTGAAACGTATTTTTTCACGAGTTTTTTGTAGGTGGAATTCACCTTGTTCTGATATTCTTGAATAATTGTTTTTTAAAAATCATTGCTCATACTAGAAAGTAAATATCCATTTATGAGGCCTCAATCTCTATTTTTCAGTCGAATCACTTCTCTACATGCTCGTATTTGGTGAATCAATGTTAAATGATGCAGTTTCAATTGTTCTCGCCGCAACTGCTGTCAAACATTCAAAATCCCCATTCGATTCAATGCCAGCTTCCGAAATCTTCTCATCCGCTTTCATTACTTTCACTGAAATGTTTTTTCTTTCTGCAATTCTTGGAATATCTGTCGGTTTATTGAGTGCTCTTTTATTCAAACATGTTGATTTGCGAAAAACACCTTCACTCGAATTCGCCCTTTTATTAATTTGCTCATATATTCCTTATGGTTTTGCTGAATCTTTAAATTTATCGGGAATTATGGCTATTTTATTTTGCGGAATTACGATGTCACAATATACGAGACATAATGTTAGCCCCATTGCTCAGATTACATTCAGACACACGTTTAGAACGATTTCTTTTGTGGCCGGTGAGTTTTTAGGGAGTATAATTGACCAAAAAACGTTGTATTTTTGCAGAAACCTCAACATTTGCCTACATTGGAATGGCCTTCTTCACAATCAAATTGAATTTTCAACCTTGGCTCATTTTTTGGAGTATTGTGAGTTTTTTTGGGACACGGTTTCTTAACTGAAAATTTAAAACAACGCCTGATTTCTGCGGGAAATTGGCTGAAAAATTAACAAAATTTAGAATAGGACATTTTTCTTCAAATTTTGATGCGGAATATTTTCTGTTAAATATAGAATTTTTCAATTTTGAAAACTTCGAAGAAATATTCCTTTTCCATGTGCTAGAAATCCTGATTTCCAGAAAATCTTGAAATCGAGTCTGAAAACTAGGTTGAAAAGGCATTTTCGGTTAAAAAATCATCTCGAAAATTGGATTTTGTAGCCAAAAAATTCACAGACCTAAAATTAGCCAATGAAATTTTTAAGCTAAAAATTTACCTTAAATTCACCTTTATAACCCCTCTAAATTCACAATTTGCAGGTTCTTTGCCTTCTTGGCCGCGCAATGAATGTGTTTCCCCTTTCATATTGTGTAAATCAATGTCGAAAAGACGTGCAAATCTCGATGAAAAATCAAATAATAATGTGGTTTTCGGGAATGCGTGGAGCTGTTTGTTTCGCCTTGGTTTTATATATGGATGTGAATAAGGAAAAGAAATCAGTTCTGCTCACAACAACACTTTTCTTGATTTTATTCACCACCATTTTTATGGGCGGATCTGCACTGCCTTTTATTAGTTTTATCAATAAATGCTATCCGAATGAAAGAATAAAAAGAAGGCGAAGAGCACAGCAAAGGAAAATGGATGGAGAGAAAAGTGGAAGTGGAGAGGGACAACTTATGTTGAGCAAAACACAGGAAATGGTAGGCCAGCGGGAAGAGCCGAGAGGGGGGAGATATGTGAAAATCCGAAACTTTTTGAGAGTTTTCATGCAAAGTTCTGAAGTACCACGTTGATTTTGGCTTCTATTCACATCTGAATTTTTAGATTGTCGTGAAAATTTGGGTCTGAATTTTGATTCAAGAAATTGAGAAAATTTCATTTTTTCCCCTCAAATGAAAATTTTCAAATTTAAAAATGAAATTTTCAAAAATTATTTTTTCTAGTCCTTCTTCGGCAGTGATGATTGGGGACCGAAAAAGTCGGCGCTGGACGCAACAACCACAGCCGGTCGATTAATGCGATCACTTTTCGTTCGAAAATTCACAGCCGTCGAAAGAATGGAAAATCGAGATGGATTGGCTGCATTAACAAAAAGAGTATTAGCAAGTGATCAAATGACAGACAGTGATGAATGTGTTGAATTAGGAAGAGGCGGAAAAGAAGCGAGAAGTCGAAGTAATTCGAGAAATATGGCTGGAAATAGTGGAATTGGTAGTGATGTTATTGTTGTTGGAAGTGGACAAGAACATTTATTGTTGGTTAGTTCGAGCGATTTGTCGGAGTAGGATGTTTTGATGGTTGGGGGGTGCGGGAGAATTTTGGTGGATATTTGACTTCGAATTTTTTTTCTCAAAATCTCCCCCTCCCCTTCATCTTTTTTTTTTGAAAATCTGATTTTTTGTACATTTTTTTCCATCACCATGTGATCTTCTTTCTTTCTTTCTCTTATTTTTTTCTCTTTAACACATTTCGAGCCACGTCTAGTCGCAGTTATTTTTTCTTGATTCTCTAATAAAAAATAACCCATCCCCAATTTTTCTCTTGAAAATTCCCTGATTTATACGGTGTCCCTTTAACCCTATTCCCTTTTTTCGCCCCACGATTTTCCTCCTGTGATTTTCTCTTATTTTTTGAAAATGAAAATAAATTTATTTTGAAAAGCTCACTTTTTTTTGATTATTTTTTAATTGATTGGAGAATTGATTGAAGTTGCGATAAATTGAGATTTTCGGTAAGATGAGCAATGCATTTGTTGTATTTGATTGGATGCGTTTCGGTGGATTTGCAAACACTTTGAATCGCTTTTAGGTTTCGACGCAATTTTACCACCTCTTTTTCGAGTTCTTCAATTCGTTTCAGCACGGTTTGGAAAGAATCCAGAGCGATTTTCTGGAAAAAATGAAGTCTTTTGGTTCAAAAATTCACCCAATTTCTTTGGAACTTCGAAAAACTCACACATAACTTGGAAATCTTGGTGAATTTATCATAACTCTCCCGATTATCCTCCTCACTTTCACCACAATTCTCATAATCATCCTCATACAATTCGACGACTGTTTTCACCGCTTTTTGAGTGTTTGTTGAAATATTTGCGCTGAAAAATTATTATTTTAAATTCAATTTCAATTTCGAAAAGAAATAACAAGACAAACTTCATTTTATCGAGATCTTTTCGCAAATTTTTCATATGTTCCGCTAGATTCCGGCGTTTTTCGTCCAATTGAGTTTCGTCGTTGGTTGACATGGCCAATGCGTATTCCACTGCAAAAATATTGACATTAGAAGTGAGTTATGACGTGGCATTTTGAAAAATCGTATTTTCAGCGGTGTCGTGGCAAATTTGAACACTTATGAGCAAAAACAGAACAATCTGTGGGAATTTTCAAAAGTGGCAGCATTTTGCCACGTCACAATATTTGTGCTAAACATAGTTATGACGTGGAAACCCTTTGGAAAACGATTTTCCAATTTCCACGTCATAGTTCAATTTAAAATTTGAAAAACTTACTCCAATCAATTTTCTTCTTCATATATTTGGCGGCCTCGGTTGCAATTGCTATAGAATTTTGCATTTTTCGATATTCGGTTCGAAGCGGTGATCTTGGATCCGGCACGGCTTTCGGCAAATCCTTCACATTTTCCCGAACCAGTTGATCGCGAAGTTTGGCGATTTTCGCATCCAAATCCACGCCTTCGTATTCCCACTTAATCTTTTTTTTTGAGTTTTCAATTTCGATTTTAAAAACTCACGGAAATTCCATTCGAACTGCTTGCTTCTTCTCGTGGACTATCAAAATCGAAATCATCGTCCAATTTTCTTGAAAAATCAATTGTAATTTTTTTCTAGTTTGTCTAAATTTTTACCTCTTCACTGGTGTTTTTGGTGCTTGAAACATCGGAAATTCTTTATTTATTATTTATAATACAAAAGAACAAGTAAAAGCTTTGAATCGACACGTATTTCAGGGTTTTTGCGGGAAAATGAATGAAAAGCGGAAAAAAAAGAAAAACATGTGCAGGGTACTGTAGGGAAAATAAACTTGTGCAAACACTTTGCAACGCGCGAATATTTTTGAATTTGGGTGAAAAGCAAAGAAAACTATTACTGAAGGCGTAATCCGGAGAGAATCGTGTGCACCAATGACGTGAGATGTTGCGCCAAGTCGAGAGCGGTGGTGTTTTGCGCCTGGAAGCATGATATTGGTTTTTCAACAAAAAAACTGGTACGTCGTGGCGAAACACATAAATAAATGTTGTGTGCGCCTTTAGAAAACTACGGTATATTTTTTATTATTTTTTTTTAATTTAAAATTTCTCACATTTTCAGAAACTTGTCGTAATTCCGCCACGATTTGCGAAGATGGCGTGGCGTTTTGAGGATCAGAAGATGGTGCAGCTGCCAATGGATAATGTGTCGATGTAGAATACGCAAAATCTCCCAAATTATTGCTGGTATTCTCTAAGACTCCCGGATCCCGCTGAATATTTGCTGGAGCTGATGAAGAACCTAGATTTCCATTACTAAAATGGATATAAGTTGTGGTTTCGATTGGTTCAGCAGGTGGCATAACACTAGAAGTGCTATATTCGAAGTTTGTATTATTGTTTTGCGATTGCTGCTGCTGATCATGTTGAACTACAGCTAAAACCTCGGAGTCACTTGAATTGAGATTCCCGAAGCTGAAATGTTGGATTGTTGTAGTTGGAATGGATGTAGTTGGTGGATAATGTGAAGAAGTTTCGTATTTAAAAGTCGATGATTGTTCTTGAGATTGCTGATCACTGTAAGTCTGTTGAATATCGATTTTCTCCTCAAAAATCTCTGGTGGATAATGTGATGTTGTTCGATAAACAAAAGGCGTCGTCGATTCCAAAGGTTGATCTCGAAGAAGATTATTATTGCTGGTAACATCTGCAGATGTTAACATAGCCAAAGTATAAGCAGCAACCATTTGACCAGCATGAACTGCTCCATTCATTGTGCCCAATGAAACAGATGCAATATCAGCTGTCGAAATATGCACATTTTGATAGATTGTGTGGAAATCGTTGAGATATCGAAGAGATTCGAAGGGAATGTTTACGCGGAGAGTTGGAATTGAGCCTTTGGCAAGCACGTCGTTCGTGAAGCTGATGTCACTGAAAACGAGAGATTAGAGTTTTGATCATGACGTGGAAAAACTCACGAAATATCTAGTGGCGAAAAATCAGCGAATCTAAAAGAATATTGCAATCCTTGCGTATACAACCGCTTCCTTGTCTCAAACGGAACTTCATACGAAAAATGTGCAATTCCCCAAAGTGTCGACGATGTTCCAGTCGAGTTATCGCAAGTCGTTCCATATGTCGTGTCGAATGTTGTCATCCAAACAAGTGGTCCGTTTTGAGAGGTGTAGATGACTTTTCCCGATTTTCCATTCAGGCGCCATGTTGGACGTTGGAAAGTCATTGTGAAATAGTAGGCGTGGCCAGTTGTACCGTAGTTGTCTAGAAAAATTAGGGGGTTACAATTTAGTTGGATAGTTTTTCGAAGTAGATTTTAATGCCAGATTTCTCTCTGGACACGTAGATCTTCCGGAGAAAACTCAAGAAAAAATTTTTCCGCGTGGATTTTCAATAAAATTTGAGATTCTCTTGGGAAGTTTGGATTTTTTTCACGTGGAATCTAGCTCTGAAATTTATGAAGAGTTGCTGAGAATGTGCCACGTCGAATTTCGGTCCAAAATTTATTATTGTAAAATTCACCACGTGGATGTTTTTTACACCGAAATTTGACAGGATTTCAGAACAAAATTCTATGTACGTAGATCCCCACAAAAACTCACTAATAAGTTGTTCAAACGGCGCTTCAGGAGTCGGCAAAATATTTATATTAGAAAGTGTCGCAATCGGTACCGCCAAAATAACTTGTCTCGCTGAATAACTAACTCCAGTCGATGTTGTCAACATTGCCGGACTTATTGCATCATTCACCATTTTCACCTTCTGCCCATATTCAATCAATAATCCATCCGCTAATCGACGAACAACTTCATTCATTCCACCTTTCGCCAAAAATGATTCACCATGCCCATATCTTCGCAATATTTCGTTGATTGTTGCGTTTTGGCTACTGCAAGTTAGCGCAAGTTGAATTGACGAAGTTTGCTCGGCTGGAGCATCGAAAAATGTTTGAAGAAGACGGTTTACTGTGTCAGAATCATTTGTCGATAGATTTTGTGCGAATTGTGTTACTGATTGAGTTGTTAGATTTCCAACAACTGCCTCATTCAATATCATATCTGTGAATTGTGTAGCTTTCCATGCACCTTGTGATGTTGCTAATAGAGAATCTGAATTTCTCTTAACTCTATCCTGATATAAAGTATTATTCCCGCACACTAATTGCTGACTAATCTCGATTTTTAATTCTCCAATTAATCTGAGCAATTCATCATCAGTTGGTGAGATTAATTGTGCACCAATATCCACAAATTCTACACCATTTCTTGTCTGCATTGTTGAATATCGAACTCTTCCACCAACTTGACCGCGAGCTTCGAGAATCAAAACTGATAGTTCGGGACGAGTTTGTTGGATGAGACGAGCGGCTGAGAGACCGGTTAGACCTGCGCCGACTACTATCACATCATAGGTTGTCTGAAAATTTTGCTATGGCTTTGGTCTCAAAACTGATTTTAAAAATAGAAAAAAATTCCAGGAAAATCTATGTTTCAAAATGTTTCTAAAGATTTTTTGGGATTTAAATCATTTGTTCTATTCATTTGTTGATTTGCATTTAAAAATTTAAAAACTTGTTTCTCTGAAGATTTTCAGCTCTTAACAAATCTGAAAAAAAATTTCAAATTTTGAGATTTTTTTCTGATTTCCCATTGATCTTTCGAACTTCTCAAATATTTGCTAATCGAAAAACTGTTCGAAATTGTATTTCCCGCGCCCACATACCTGTTGTTGTCTATCAATTGGCACCGCATTTTTCTTGGCCAAAACCGAATTTCTCAAAAATACACAAGAAAACAGCAGCCAAAATACCGTGTTCATCTATTTGGTCGTGGGGGAAGAAAAATCAAAATACAACAACAACAACAACAAATATGTGCCTAGATGTTTACTGTAAAAAATAAATAAACAACCAAAAATGCGGGGTTTTTATAAGGGAAAAAGTAAGAAGGAGAACAAGAAAAATGAGGAATTTAGGTTAACTATCAGAGATTATTTAGCATAAGTAAATACGGTTTTATGAACCAAAAATAGGGTTTTGAAAAAAAAAGTGGCACGTGGCTTTTTTCTTCTGGTATTTTTTTTAGGTTAGCCACTTTTGAGCTTCTATTTAGAAAATTGGAATAATATTTTTCCACACAGGGAATTATTTATCCAGTTTTCTCCTAAGGTTTTAAGCCTATCCCTAAAGATCTCACGACCTACCGTATAGATATAAGCGTTTTGAAGTTATCAAGGTCCCTAAAATCCTAAGGTTCTCAAATTCTTAAGTTACCTAGATGTTCACATTTTAGCTACCTGAAAGTCCTAGGCTACCTTATTTCAAGCACACTACCTATATTTTTGAATTATTCACCTTACCTTAAACCTTACTCCCTAAAATAATTTGTTGAACCTTCATAATCTAACTCACAGAAAAACCAGGTTAGAAACCAAATAAAATCATGACGAAACAATTGTTCCGGGATGAGCATATAGTACTCGAAAACCGCAAGAAAACGCAAGAAAAAAAGTGCGCGGAGCACGGAAAAAGAAAAGAAAGAAGAGCAATGTAACATGATAGGATAATATGAATTTTGTATAATTGAAATGTTTTTTTTCTCTTTTCAACAATTGGATTGGTTGGACACGACAAAAGGGAAACGGGGGAAGATTGGAGATTGAGAAGCGCACGAGAAAATTGCACGGATTTTTGTAGAACTTCTTTAGAAAATTAGCAAGAACTGAATTTCACTTTGACTAATTAGAAATTCAGGAACTTGTTATAAATTCAGAAACAATTTGAAAAATTTGAAAAAAAAGTATCTTTTCTTAAATTTTACGCCTGGAAAATGTTTGATATCAAATTGAAAATACAGTAATTCCACATGACAAAGTGAGAGGCAAAATTTTAGTTTTTCTGTGCTAAAAATCCACGTGGCAAACCCTAAAAATCTATGAAAAATTGATGTGAAATCCCAAAAACTTTCAAATAAAAATCGAAAAAAAAAATGAATATCAATTTGCCCCAATTTTCTCTTTTTCTGTGATAAAAACTTAGAAAGTAATCTGTTTGAACTAGTTTATTTCTAATTCCGATTTCTAAAATGATACCACACTTATAAGTTATAATTTTCTGGTTTTCCCAGTCATTTTCGAACAAAAAAAAAACCAAAAATACCACAAAATGACTAATATTTTTGCGATAGAAAAAATGGCGGGGAAATTGAGAGATAAAGTAAATAAAGACGATTGTTTTTTGAGGTGAAAAATTGGAGGAAAAATAATAGGAGTTGGGTTACCTAATAGAAAATTGGGCGATTTTTTGAACCCGGCTTTTGTAGGTTTCAAAAAAATGCCAAATTTTTTACTGTTTCTATATTTTTAATAACCATCTACGTAAGGTTGAAAAATTGAGATTGAAAATTTAAAAAAGTATTTTTGATGTCAAAATCCATCACGTAGCAAACTGAATCTATTTACAAATTGCTTTCTAAATGAATTTCTATTTTTTTCAGCTCAGAACACTTGAGACTCTTTAAAATATCCGTGTTTTTGATGTTTGGCGGTGATCGAAAATCAGAGGCTCTTGAAAAATGAACTTATGTTTTAGCGTGTGAATTAGGATCTCGTAGCGATATTTTTTGGCGCCAAATTCGAATTTTGAAATGAAACTACTTTTTTGAATAGTCTACTTAACTCAGAGATTCGCTGGCCAGCTCGCCACCAGGTGGGGAGGCTGGCTGACCTGGGAACCACATGGAAACCATGTCGCCCGGTTTTTTTTCGCTGGCAAGGTGGCCAGGCTCTGGCTAGGTCACGGCCACATGGCTACCATGTGGTGGCCACTTCGCCGCGTCAAAATGAATTTTCATGAAAATGTCTGAAAAACTTGTGAATTGAGGCATTTTCGAAAAATTTGGCTCATTTTCTGTTTTTTCGCAGCACTTGAAACCTTAGGAAGTGAAAAAAAACAGTAGAAAATGCAGTGTTTTGAGTACAAACCACTATCTTGCCAGCATTCCAGGATTTCAAACACACAGGCCACGTCGCCGGAAAACTCAAGGCGACCTGGCGGCCATGCGGTTTCCAGGTGGCCGCAGCGATCTGGTGGCGAGCTGGCCAGCGAATCTCTGAGAATATTCAATAATTGAAAATTTTGAAATTGCGTGAAAATTTGAATTATTTTTGAAACATAAAAAATCCTGGTTCTAGAATTTTGAGAACTCTAGAAGAATGACCTCTGAGATTTTTGGCGCCAATTTTTGACCCGTGACAATGAATTTGTTTGTTAAAAAGTCTCTTTTGATGATTAATTAAATGATTTTAATTAATCGGGTCAATAAAGTAATTAGGTAATTAGTTAATCAATTATTTTGAATTTTGGCGCCAGATTTTTACCCAGAAATCCCGAATTTTCGCGCAAAAAATTAGAAAAGTGCAAAAAAAACTTGAAAAATTAACCTACAATAGAAAAACGTGTGTGCTTCTTGTAGACAAATAAAATATGACACAAAACCCACTGTTCTTCGCGCCGCGAAACAAATCAAACAAAATTAGGCGCCAAAAATTGGCCGGCAACACAAACTTTTTTTTCGTTTTCACGCCAAAAATTATGAAAACTGGTTTCTAATATGAAAATTATAAAATTGTACTTAAAATTTTGTCAACCGGAAAAATTTCAAAGTGAAAATTTGAAAATTTGGAAGATTAGTGACCTTAAGAACGTGCATTAAAACATAGCAAAAAATGTTTTTGGCTAATTCGATTTTAGATTTTATCTCTCTGGAAAATCAGAATTTTTTTTGTTCGTTCGAAAAAAATTTAACCTCGATGTAATTTATTAGGAAAAGTGAAATTTTTAGGGAAAATTTTTTGATGAATCGGTTTTGTTTCAGGTTTTGTAATTAGTTAGGTTTTTGGTGATTAATTTTTGATAATTGAAAAATTAGAAATGAAAAATTGGGAAATTTTTGATTTATGAGAATTTTTTGGGAAAAATGACTTTTTACCTGAGAAAATCAAATTTCAGATAAAATTTTTAAACGACATACGAAATACAAATTAAATAATCTGAAACAGTGAAAAATTAATACATTTTTTGAAACGTAAAAAATCCGGGATTATTTTTGGGTTATAAAATGTTTAGAAGACGGCAGAATTTTTAGGCTGGGGCTGAAAAAAATTAGTCCCTAAAATCCACGTGGCAAAAAATGAAATTAGGATTTCAAGAAATTAATTTGAAAAACATTCAACATTTCTAGTCGAAATAAAATATGCCCCGTAGGCTATATTTTTGACTACAAAACCTTTTTGTGCCACGTGTCAAAGTTCAACACCTCTAGTTTCTGCCTAGCCCAACTCAAACACTCCTATTGTTTTTTCTCGCAGTGAAAACTTTTAAAAATTGTGCAATTCTAGAGCAAATATTTACACGAATACAACAAAATAAAATGTTCCAAATAAGAAAATTAATAACTGCGAAAAAGTAAGTTACCAAAAAAAAATAGAGAAAAAGTGAAAACTTTCTTTTTTTTTGAGAAAAAAAAGATAAGATCGAAGATTTTTTTCGAACAACAGTTTTAAAGAATGTGAACTTTTTGTTGGGTTCACAGCGGGCGGACGGGAAAAAAGAGAATTTTAATTATATTTTTTTGACCACGCCTTTATTTATGACTTCTTTGAAGTTTTAGGGTCATAAATTAGGCAGGCTACTAATTAATTATCAAATTATTAATTAGGGCCCAACAAATTTTAAATAACAATTACAGCTGAATTTCAGACATTGATCAAAAGTTCAGATTTGAAAATTCTAACTCTAGTTTTTGGCTCATTTGATTTCTAGGGCTCAAAAATCTGATTTCAACCAAAAACAAAATTAATTATTCAAAAAACCGTGCATAATCTCATCATTTCCTCCCTTGCTGACATTTTCTATTTTTCAAAAACAAAAATGAGCTCCCTAGAAAATATCACAGTTTGTTCATTTTCACCACCACCGTATTTCAACATTGTTATGGAAATCGTTGGAATCATCTCGATTCCGATGAATATTTTGATTGCGTTTTTGGTTTGGAAATATTCATCGACGACGAAGACTTTTCGAGCATGTTTGACGTATTTGCAGGTGAATTTGGTTGGATTTGGCACCATTTTAGAAAAGTTTTTCTTTATTTTTATATAATTATATCGAACATGAGACATCATTGTTAAAAAACTATCCACCCAAGATGAATTTATTTTTTTTGAAACGTAAAATCCCCTGTGTTCCTTTTTCCAGATAGTCTCATTCATCGTCGAAACCGACATGGCTATAAATCAAGCCTGGTATAATTTTCCCATCCTAGCTGGATATAGTCTTTCAAATTTTGGTGCATATCTCAATATTCCAACTCATGCTCTCATGATTTTCTTTATATTTTTTCTCTGTTCTGAAATTCCCGCTTGTCTTCAATGTTTTTATTATCGATTTGAGGAAACTAGAAAATTGAAAAGGGATAATAAATTATTCAAAGTCGGGTTGATTTATGTGATAATTTCACATTTATATCCATTTTTTGCAATTTATTTATTCAATTTAATGAAAGCTTCATTCGAACGACAATATGAGATAATGTTGAAGAGTTATCCGAAGTGTGTTTCATTGTTTGCTGAAGTTTCTTTTGAATTATACGATTGGGAAAGTGCAGCAATGAAATATTGTGTCATATATTTTATAACAATTATGTCAATTTCGATTGTGTAAGTTCCAATTAATTAACCCATAAACATAATAAAACTTTTTCAGTTTCGGAGCATATTTCGCTTTAGGAGCCCTATTTATTCTTCTTGAATTTCGAAGTTTGATGTCTAAAAGTGCATATAACTCAAATATATCTGCTCTGATAAACTTGCTCATAATTTCACTTTGCCCTGTGTTTTTTGTAGTTCTTCCTCTATTTTTCTGTCTTATTGTAGTCATATTTGAAATTGTTGAATATCAAGTTTATTCTAATATATCGATGATATTTGTGAATGCACATTCAATGGTTTATTCGATTGTTTCAATTTTGACAAATTCGAGATATCGAAAAATATTGAAATCATGGTTTATCGGAAAGAAAAAGAATAAAATAACGCATATTGAAACTTTTCAAACGGTTTTTGAAATCTAATAAATATGAGATTGGTTTTTTGAATCATATGTTTTTTGTTTTCAAAACATCTAATTAGCCTAGACCAACAAGATTTCCTTTTTTCAAAACTTCAAAACTCAAAAAATGAGCCCTGAAGGTAATCTAACAATTTGCTCATTTTCACCACCATTCTATTTAAAAATTGTTCTGGAAATTGTTGGATTTGTCTCGATTCCATTGATGATTTTGGTAGCTTATTTGGTATGGAAACATTCATCGACGACGAAGACTTTTCGAGCATGTTTGACGTATTTACAGGTACAATTTGGGAATAACGAGAGGCGCTACAAATTTTGCAAACAAATTTTAAATTTAGATTCAGATTTGATTGTATAATGTTTCAAAAAAAAAATGAACACTCAAATCTAGAATTTTTGAAACGTAACATTCCCTTCATCTTTTTTTCAGATAGTCTCATTCACCGTTGAAACGGACATGGCTGTGAATCAACCTTGGTACAATTTTCCATTTCTAGCTGGTTATAGTCAATCTAAACTTGCCGCCTATCTAAATATTCCAACTCATGCATTAATGATGTTTTTCGTATTTTTTCTATGTTCTGAAATTCCCGCTTGTCTTCAATGTTTTTATTATCGATTTGAGGAGACTAGAAAATTAAGAGGGAAGAAAGAATTGTGGAAAATCGGTTTGATTTATGTGATAATTTCACATTTTTATCCATTCGTTGCGATTTATTTATTCAATCTAACAAAAGCTTCATTCGAAAGACAATATGAGATTATGTTGAAAAGTTATCCGAAATGTGTTTCGCTGTTTACTGAAACATCTTTCGAAATGTATGATAAAGAATGTGATGGATTGATATATTGTATCATATTTTTCACAATTATTCTGACATTTTCAATTTTGTGAGTTGGAAACAAAATTTAATAACAACACCTCGATTTTTCAGATTTGGTGGAATTTTCGCTTTGGGAACTCTATATATTTTACTCGATTTTCGAACTCTAATGTCTAAAAGTGCTTTCAATGCCAATATTCTAGCTCTAATTAATCTGGTAATTATATCACTTTGCCCTGTATTTTTCGTCGTTTTTCCCACAGTATTTTGTCTTTTTGTAATAGTATTTGAAATTGTTGAATATCAAGGTTAGCTTGGTTTAATTTATTCAAAAAAATCACATTTATTTACAGTCTATGCCAATTTATCAATGGTTTTTGTAACTGGACATTCATTGGTTTATTCGATTGTTGTAATATTGACAAATGAAAGATATCGAACAATTTTGAAAAAATGGATTTTACGTAAAAATAATCAAGTAGTGAATAATAGAATGATACGATTTGTTGAAACAATTAAAACTTTTCCGTGAAATTGTCTTTTTTTGAAATTATGAAGATTAATTTATTTCTTGGGAAAATTCAGATTCAGAGCAAAACTTTTTTGAAATTTTGATTTTGCCCGAAAAAAAACAGTTAAAAAAAAACCTTCTGCGCTCCACAATCCCATTGATTCGTTACTTCAAATACCACATTCTTCCTCGTGAATTTCTCGTGGTACACTTCATTTTCCACAACAAAACGTTTTTAAACCAGCAAAACTTGAAAATTGAAAAATAATCCCCACTTTGCGCGTCACATAAAATGCGCTGTGTGTGAACACCGCCACGTCACCTTGCACACTTTTGTGTTTTTGGACCTTTTTTTGTTTGCGCACCGTGGATTTTCGAGCATTTTCAGGCTTTGGGGCAATGTGCTGATTAGAATTAGTTGAAAATCGATCAAGAAGCAATGTTGGCACACGATTTCGTCAAAAAAGACGATCGCGTTTTCACGCCCACCGAAAATTCGAGGTGAGAATAGATTTTCTGGAAAAAATCAGGGGAAACCCCGATTTTTGGATCAAAAATAAAGCAATGTTTTGCAGATCCGCCTCATATTTCTGCGTGTTAGTGCTAACAAAAATCCTACGATGCGTCGGAATATTTTTCACCGATATTTTGTCGAAAAGTGTACATGTTGTAGAACTATTATGGTTATGTAAATTAGTGTAAGTTCTGGAGTTGAAAACAAAATCAAAAGATGGATTTTCAGTTCCTCTCTCATATTATTCCCCGTTCAAAAACCATTGTCTTCCGGAAAACAGCTCAGGAAACAATTTATCGGAAGAATCGCAAAATTATCGCTGATGAATAGTTTTATTGAGATTCTCTGGTTTTATGGTATCACATTTTGCGGACCATTGAGGTAAATTCATTCATAAAGAGCCTTTTCGATCAAAATCCTGTTATTTTTTCAGATCTGTTCTGGTTTTCGAGCTTAGTCCATCAGTTTTACTAGTCGCTGTTATTTCATTTTTCAAAGGAGGTTCGAATTCAACGCCAGCAAAGACACGTGGATTCTTTTTGTTGATTGTTGGATTTGCCGCGTTGATTTTGATGGATCGCGATGGAAGTATTGAGGATGCGCATAGTAAGTGGTTCTGAGGGAAACCTGTGAATCTTTATCATAATTTTGAATTCGAAATACCAAAATCAAAAGCAAAATGTGATGTTTTGTGTTTTAAAACACTAATTAGCTCAAAAATTCGTCATTTTCATGGTTTGTAATTATTGGAACCGAAAATCTCAAAGTTTTTAGATTTTTAGGAAACTCAAACAATTTTTTTCATTAAAAAAAAGAACAAACATAATTAATTTTCAGACCAAAAATTCAAGCAAAATTTATAATTTGAAGTTCAAAAAAATACTAAAAAATGCTTGAAAATTGAAACCGCTCCCCCTTTTTTCCCACCTCAATTATCCTCTTATTTTCCAGACAAAACCCATGCCCATCACAGCGGTCTCAATCATCTCTTCTACCATCTAATCGGAATGTTTGGCGTCGCAGATCATCAAGGTGGAATCTTCATTCTCTTGCTAGCCCTGGCTCTTCGAATCGCCTACGAAACCTCCTTCCGACATCTAGCTGTTGAAATTGGCGGACCAAAAAGACTTTATTCGTTGGTGACTGCAGGAACTGCTATGATTCTAACACCACCCGCAGTTTTATCATGGGCTCTTTCAACTCCATCTTCAAATTCTTCAATGGGTTTCATCGAATTCTATCTGATTCTTCTCGTTGTCACAGTTTTCGTCTTTGTTCTCGATTTCTATGCTGAAAGTATTTGCTTCCAACATGTTGCGGATCCAGTTATGGCAGCTGCAAGATGGTCGCCAGTCACAATGTTCACATGTGCATTAGGTCTAGCATATTTATGGTATGGAAACTGGACTCAAGATCTTGGTAATCATTCCCTAACAGGCGGTGTTGTTCTCACAACATGTTGCTTTGTATTGGCTTCGATATCTCTGACATCAGCTAGTCAACCAAAACACCGTGGTGGACATTTTGTTGGAATTTCGAACACTGGTTTGCCACTTTTCACATATGGGGAAGCGTTTTTGCAAAAGACTTCGAAATCTTTGGTTTTGTTTTTCAAGGTGAGCAAGATTTTGTGATATTTGGGTGGTTTGGGATAAACATAAAAAAGGTGCTGAAATTCCACGTGGCAAATTTTTAGCCCAAACTATGCTAGATAATTCTCATAATTTTTAAAAATTTAGGTTGGGTTTCAAAAAACTTATGAAATATTAAAATTTTTGCTGTGAAAATCCACGTGGAATAAATCGGGGGGGGGGGGGGCTTTTTTCTACTTTTCGCTTCAAAATTTCCCATATTTTTAAAATTTTTGATATTGACAAATATTGCAAAATTTCAATTTTTGCTCAAATATTCCACGTGGCATATTTTTGAATTCTCGCTGAGTTCTTAAAAATTGAATTTTAGCTTCAAAAATCCACGTGGCATTTGATTAAAAATTTTCTGAGGTGTGAAAAATTTGTTATTGATTAATCCACGTAACGAATGTTTTTTCGAAATATTGAAATCATTTTTCAATAACCTGAAACTTCACGAAATTCTGATGAAATAGTTTTGTTTATGAAAAATTTGAAGCTAAAAAACCACGTGGCATTTTTTAATTGTATAATTTTAAGGGCAATTTCTGAATGGGATTCCCTGAATGGGGCTAATTTTTAAAAACAGGGCTAAAAAAGTAAAACTGAATGGGGTCCAAAAAATGTGTCTGAATGGGACCCGACTGAATGGGGCTAATTCTCGAAAGTAAAAAGATAAACTGAATGGGACCCGACTGAAAGGGGCTAATTTTTAAAAATAAATAGTTTTCTGAATGGGACCCGACTGAATGGGGCTAAAAATCAAATAAATTTTAGAAAAACTGAATGGGACCCCGTTTAGTCAGTCGTTTTCCGGATTTCCGGACTCTTCAAAATTTTGCATTGCGTTTGATATTCAGTTTTCAAGTTCGATTACTACTTTTCTGAAATACTAGTTTGTTTTTTCATGTATTTATCACAATATTTCTTTCTTGAAGTATTCCCAAAATGTTTGATTTTGAAGAATAAAATTCCGGAAGAATTTTGAAAGAAAGTAGGTAACCTACATTGGGTTTTTGGTTCTCATTAGCCAAATTAGAATTTCAGAATTTTAAAACTTGCAGCTTCATGGAGCTTAAACTAAAAAAATAAGTCCGAATTTCCAATTAAGATCTTAATTTCGTCATTTTCTCTGTATCTCACTCAATTGAGCCCTTACAAGATGTGTCTCTCAACACCATTTTGGAAAAAAGTTGTATTTTGGCAAGGTGGCTTCCCAAAAACACCACATTTTGACACATAGGTGCGAAGAATTTGAATTTTACTAGGAAAAACGGCAAACTAGAAGTATTGTAAGCAGGTTCGGAAGGAAACATTACATTACTTTTACAGTAGAAACTGGAAAAAAAAATATATTTCCAGATTTATTTATATCCTAAAATTTATGAAAAATTAGCTATTTCAAATCGTGTTCTCCGGTTTTAAGATAAAATTTAAGGGTTCTTCAGAATTAAAAAAAATTAGGCTTTCAATCTATATGCGCTATTGATAAACAAACGAAAGTAGTAATCGAACTTGAAAACTGAATATCAAACGCAATGCAAAATTTTGAAGAGTCCGGAAATCCGGAAAACGACTGACTAAACGGGGTCCCATTCAGTTTTTCTAAAATTTATTTGATTTTTAGCCCCATTCAGCCGGGTCCCATTCAGAAAACTATTTATTTTTAAAAATTAGCCCCTTTCAGTCGGGTCCCATTCAGTTTATCTTTTTACTTTCGAGAATTAGCCCCATTCAGTCGGGTCCCATTCAGACACATTTTTTGGACCCCATTCAGTTTTACTTTTTTAGCCCTGTTTTTAAAAATTAGCCCCATTCAGGGAATCCCATTCAGAAATTGCCAATTTTAAGATCTTTTTTTTTCCTTTCTGTTTCCAAAACCTCCTATCTTTCAGGAAACCCTTCACGAAATCCTTATCAACAACGATTCCCGTCGTATTTTTTATTTCCTCTGCGTCAACATCGGTTTTTGCGGTGTCGAATTCTTATACGGTTTCTGGACAAACAGTCTCGGCTTGATTTCCGATGGTTTCCATATGTTATTCGATTGCAGTGCATTAGTTATGGGATTAGTTGCAGCAGTTATGTCAAGATGGCCACCTTCACGACATTTTACATATGGTTTTGGAAGAGTTGAAGTTCTTTCCGGTTTTATCAATGCACTTTTCCTTTGTGTTATTGCTCTTTTTATTTTAATTGAAGCGCTGGAAAGATTATTCGATCCACCAAATATCAATACAGATCGACTTTTATTTGTTGCGATTTCTGGATTGCTGGTGAATTTGTTTGGAATGTATTCATTGGGTGAACACGGACATTCACATGGTGGATCAAGTCACGGACATAGTCATGGGGGAGGAGGAGCGAGTCACGGACATTCACATGGAAATGCTAATATGGAAGGTGAGTAGGGGAGAGGGAGCCTTTACCACCAAAAATGTTGAAAATCGAATATTTTGGGTGTGAATCTAGTGATTTTTTGTCAATTTTTGCCAAAAATCGATATTTTCAGAACTGAAATATGGAAAAATCATCAATTTTCAGTAGAAAACCCTTGATTTTCTAGTCGAAAGTTATGAAAAGCTATAATTTTTCAACCTTGAAAAAATAGGTTTCAAATTTTTCAAAAAACGGAATTTGTTTTTTAAAAATTGTTCTCTTCATTCTTGACTATTTTTGTTGAAATTTTATTTATTTCCAAAATATCGCTCCCGTTTTATATGTCTAACCTGAGCAATCCATTATTTTCCAGGTGTATTCCTTCATGTTTTGGCTGACACACTTGGATCAGTTTTCGTCATTATCTCAACACTTTTAATTCAATGGTTTGGTTGGGTTTGGGTTGATCCATTATGTTCGCTGATCTTATCATTATTGATTATTGGATCGGTTTATCCATTATTGACATCGAGTATTTCGACATTATTACAAGATATTCCCGAAGAAGATGAATTTGAATATCATGTTCAAGAGGTTTTGGATGTAAGTTTTTTGGTCCCGGGGTTGTAAATAAGAAAAAAAATGTGGATTTGTGATTTTGAATTAAAAACACGTCAAAATTTATAAAATTTTAGTAGAAAAAATTCATGAGTTCGGAAAAAAAAAGATTTTCAAACAGAGCATAAGTTCTACTGAATTTCGAAAAAAAACCTAAAATTTTTCATCCCGGTCCCCAGAACCCCTCCAGTGCCTCCAAAATATCAATTTTTCCAGATCGAAGGTGTCGAATCATATTCCAATGCCCACATGTGGCAACTGAAATCCGATATAAATGTGGCAAGTGTTCATGTTCAAGTCGCAAATGATTCCAACGCTCAAATGATTCGACATCGAGTCGCAAATCTGTTGAAATCCACCGGAGCCACACATTCGACTGTTCAAGTTGAAAAACAATATTTCAAACAACGAATTCAACAAATTTGTCCCGGCTATAAATTGGGACATGCTGTGAGTTTTTTTTTTAATTGACGGGGGTCTGAAAATTGTTCTCTAAATACTCTCATGATTCAAAATTACTGTACATCGATATGCCTACAGTAATCCGAAAAGTGTGAATTAATTTAGAATTTAGAATGTTTAGAAAAATGTCTATCAAAATTTAATTTACAATACCCTAAATAATCTTCTAAAAGTCTACAGTATCCCGACCTGACATACAGTATTCTTATGATGTAAAGTACCTCTCGAAAATTCTGAAAAGCACTCTGAAAATCCTACCGAAACCTAAAAATACAGTAATCCTCTGACCTACAGTAAATTTTAGACCTACAGTGACCAACAGTAGACAATCACCTTTTAAATTTTAGAATTTCGCGAAACAATTATGAGAAACATCATCGAAAGTTTTTCCTATAAAAATCAAAATTCTCCGACCTACAGTATCCCTCAAAAACTGTTTCAAATAAAATAATAATAAAAACCCCCCAAAAATCTACAGTAACCATACAAAAAGCGCCCTGAAAATCTAAATGTTTCAGGTTCAACGAGGTACCGTAATCCGAAACCACAATCACAATCACGGACATTCTCATGGATCTTCCAATAATAATCACAATGATCACGGACATTCACATGAACACGGTCATTCACACTAATTAGTTAATTAGTCAATTAATTAATTAATCATTTCCTGCTTTCTTGTTATTATTTATTTATTTCTTTATAGGCTTCCGAAATTCTGTGATTCTCTGTTTCAAAATCTGAAATCTGTCGTGTATTTATTTTTTTTAATTTATTGATTTTTTGTTGTATTCATTTCAAGAAAAAACGAAAAAAAATGGGTTGAGCAAAAAATGTGTAAAATAATACTTTTGTCAAGGGTTTTACTCATCTTCATCATAGTTCAATATAATCTGCACCATCTGAAATCGATAAATCTGTCGAGATTTCTTGATCCGCTTTTTTGAGATTTCTGAAATATTGAGAGAATTTCAGATGATTTTCTGCTCAAAAAATGTCTGAAATATGGAAATTCTAAACTAAATTTTCAAAAATTACTGAAAATTCAAAATTTCAAATTCCAAGCTCCCAAAACCTCCAGAAATCCCCAAAAAACTCACAAAACATCAGTTGTATAATAACAAGTGTCTCCATTATCATGATACGCAATTTTGATCGAAAATTTCCAGCTCATTTTTCCCGCTCCTCCTCCACAATTTTTGGCATAAACTCGCAAATTTTTCAACGAACCCAATCGAAGTGCCTCGATTTCCATTTGAAGATTCTGCAATTGATTTTTTTCTCAAGAGTATTTTCAAAGGTGCATACCGTATCTTCGGGGAATTCGGTTAATCCCGGATATGCTCGATATCCAGTGTCTCCGTCAGCTCCACTTATTGAAATATATGGACGAAATGAGCCTTTGGATTTGATTGTTGTGATTTGAATACAGTAGATTATACCTGGAAATATTTAGGGGACTTTAGACAGAAGAAATTGATTGAAAATTACCAGAAAAATTAATTTTAAGATAATAATTTAGGCAAAAGTTTAAAAAAAATTGGAAAATCTTGAGTCTGAGAACTGGCACAAGCCTTAATTTTAGGATAAGCCTAAGCCTTAAAAAGCCTAGGGCTAGAACACAACGTTTTTGATAAGCCTGAATTCAGCTGAAAATTATTCCTGAACAAAATACGTTCCAAAAAATTCTAACATTGAAATCTTTTCAATTCTCTCACTAAATCAGAATCCTCTATTTCAAAATTTTGGCGCCAAATTCAAAAACTCTTGGCGTCTAATTAGTCACCAAAAAGTGCACTTTTTCTTTGTGTTTACATTTATTTTCTTTCTTTTTCTTTTCTATTCATTCATTCTATCTCTTTCACCAATGCCAGGTGTTGCGCAAAAACTATTCAGTCTTGTCTTTTTTTCATTCGAAAATGTTTGGGCTTTACTTATATTTTATTTTCAAATTTTTAGGCCAATTTTGGAAATTCCCTATTTCTGTATTGATTTCTGAAATTTTTAGGCCGAGTAGTTTTTCCGATTTAACCAATGTTTTCCCTATAAAAATTCCGTGAAAAATAGGTTTCAAAATTTTTAGAAACAAACTGATATTTGTGAATTTTTTATTGTTTACAAACACGTTTTCTTCCAGAGATATCCGAAATTTTATTTTAAGAAATTACTCTTTATTTTCAAATTTTCAAACTCAAAATATATAACTAATAAGTATCACGGATATCAAGTTACTCGAAGTGCACTTCGAACACCAGATGTTGAATCCAAAAAACCAAACTTTTTTGTTATAAACATTAGCACATCTGTTAGATTAGATCCTTATGCAACTTTTTTTGCTTATTATTTTTTTTTGAGAATTTAGAATTAGAATTATTTTTATAATTCTAAAAATTTCAGTTTTTGTTTCAAAAATTGTCAGATTTTTTATGGGGTGATTCATACGAAAAAATTGACGAAACTTTTTTTGTAAATTTTTTCGTATGAATCACCCCATAACGATTTTTTTATCCAACTTTTTTCAAAAAAAAAAAATTTTCTTCTTTCCCGATCAGTTTGTAATATTTTTTTGAAAATATTTTCTCTTTTTCTCGTGTATTCTCCACTTTTTTTTTTTTGAAAATTCCAAAGTATATCAATGAAACTGAAGCTTGTGTGTGAAAATCTGAGAATTTCTCAGAATTTAAAATGTATATCAAAATGAATATGTGCAAACCGTATGAAGTATATAAGTTGAATTTTGAGAAAAAAATAGACCAAAAAATGTTGGTTCAAAAAATTTCCTTATTGATTTTCAGTGAACAATTTTGAGGCTTCAAAAATAAATTTCATTTAAAAGTTATATCAATTTTTGGAAACATTTTTAGAATTTTTTAGAATTAAAAAATGTTGAGAGAAATTCTTAACTTTAGTATTATTCCGAAAAATTTCAAATTTGATAAAAATAAATTGAAATCGTTTTGTTTGGCATTGGAAAATCTGATTTTTATCGGTTCCGAATAAAATCAAATTCAAATCTGATAGTGTGAACAATCCAAGCTCTCCGTCCTGGAGATTTTTATTTTCGTTTTTTTTTTCAAATTTTAATTTTTGTTTAAAACATTCATTCAATTTTTCTTACAGATGTCACAATCTCATTCTTGGGGTTAATTAAAATCACAAAGAAAACAACATCGTCGAGTTTGTGAACATCTTTAGTGAGTTGGCAAGATACATAGATGCCCAAAATTAATGTTCAATCTGGAAAGAAACAATGCCTGTTTATTATATTAGAAACAGGAAATGACTGAAAGTTCATGATAACGAATACCCCAATAGAAGAATTGGCAAACGCTTAGGATGAACGGTGAAAGTTGCAAGTTCATATTGGAAAATGCATCGCAAGTCGAATTCCCGTAATTGTGAACCTCACAGATAGAGGTATCGAACAATTTTAACAGGTCGTGATGCCAACAAATCCAACGATGGGGTGAGATAGAAGTAAGCAAGTTCGAAATATCAAATGAATCTCCCAAAAAACCGACACGGAAAAGGCGTAAGTGATGTTTGAGCGTGATTTTCTCAAAGCTTTGAAATCATGGAAGAATGAAAATTGACAATGGAGATTTGATGAAAGTCAAAACATTGAAGAAATGTTTTGAAGGGAAGTTTATGATAACGAATACACCTCGAAGATCTTGTCAACAGCTGTGGTGGACCAATCTCAAGAGATTGCTCCACCCAGGAAGCTCCGCCCAAAGGAGCAGCGCAGGAGCGCGTGGATTATATGGTCAGATTATCGAGCGCCCATTGTAAGCTAGCAGCAAGGACCACCGTCCGGAATCAAATTAGTTTTGGGTTTAGTAGTAAAGGGTTGAGGGATCACAAAGTAGTGAAGAGATAGTAACTGCTGTGACCAACAACGATGCGAAGGGATATGTTGATTAAAAAGTTGATAATGTTTCCCTCAGCTAAGTTCACCTTAGTCGCACCTTCGCCATCACCTTCGCCTGCACCTTAGTCGGAGACCCAGCACAGCTTATTTGCAGAAAGACCTGATCCAGATGAAGCAACGACAGAGTAGGAAAGCAAATCAAAACTGAACAGATCATTCAAACAGAGGAAGTTTTCTCCCATGGAAGTTCAATCGAGATTTATATAAGGATACAAAAAGCTTGAAAACGCTTTGATCAAAGTTGTGTTGTCAAAACAAGTCATTCTGGATGCCGCGGAACTTCGAATCAATTTTTCAATTGAGACCATTACCCCTCAACACAGCAACACAGAAAAAAACATTGGAAACTCGATCAAATGGGAGTTAAACAGAAATCTGGATTCTGTTTGTATTAAAAATGTCTACGTTTCACGCAAACACACACTAACTTCATTTTTAATAAAATCCAATATCTTCGATATTTGAAGGACGCTCCCAATTCCAGAACAACCAAACCACAAGGGACCGCCCAAACCGACATTGAACCAGTGCATGAAACCAGTTAACCAATCAATTGGCAGAAAGTAGAAATCCTTGGACAAAAAGAATGCTCATCTTGGGATTGCAATTGGAGGTTTTGTCGAAGAAGTCGACAAAATGCGAAATGTTGCAGCAGCGGATATGGGAACGATGAAAAAAGGCATTCAAGATGCATCAAAAATTCTTGGAGATGGAGAACAGGCGGTGGCGTCAGCAAATGAAATTCTGGAGTTTTGGAAACTTCAGATGGAGGAAACTACGAACGAAGTCACAAACAATCCAGGAAACCAAACACCACTTCCAAACTGATACAGAAAATGCGAAGAAACCTGATCAAAATTATCCAAATACACACTGGCAAATGGCGAACTGCTTATTCGGAAACTAGTGTGCATAATTTGTGATCATTGACTGTCACACGGCTTTCAAATATGACAACTTTCCACCAAAAGACAAACGTTGCACTTTACAACATTATTATTTTTGTCAATTTGACCAATGCGAAGGATTTATCGAAACACAAATGCCGTAACCCAACTGCAATTCGATTGGCCACACAACATTGTGTCTCAAATAAAATTGCACTAAAAGGTGACTAATGAGGCAGATACTGAAAGGGATAAGATGTTACACCTTGTTGGCTAGCGGCAAGGACCACCGAGCGCCAAGTTTGAGGGTCATAGGATCACCAAGTAGTGAAGAGCCCCTAGTAACCACACCTACATGAAGTTGAAATGGGATCAAGTGTCGATCGACGACGAATGGCGTCCACGTTGCGCTGCTTGCTCGGGTGAACATAACATCATTGACTGCTCCCATGGAAGTTCAACTGAGATTCAAATAATCTCACATACAATTTTGCAGATATCCCACTGATTGCAAAAAGTTAGGAAAAAAATTATATCTTCGGAAAAAAAGAAGGATCAAATCTTCGAAAAGCTGTGAAAAATCAATTTGAATAGGACGAACAATTTCTCAAAAACCTGATATCAATAAAAAACTTTTAAAAAATCAATTGCGAAGGAAAAAATTTTAAACTTCGCTGGATCGATACTAATTTTAAGTTCTAACATTTTTTGTGATTTTATTGATTTTTTGTTGATAAATTCTGGAAAATTAATAAATACCCTAATAAAGTTTTTGAGAATTTCGAATTTTTTAGGATAAGCTATAAGACGAAAGTCTAATCAAATTTAAAAAAATTCAAGATTTCATGAAAATGTTGAAACGTAAAATTTGCAGGAAAAAAACAAGATCTGTTTTTTTTTCAAAAATATCTAAGAGAGTTCAATAGAACCCCTTTTTAAAAAATTACAGTAAATGATGAAAAAGGTTAGGAAAACCTATCTGGGAATTCTGATACTGTATCACTAAAATTTATTTTTTTAATTTTCATGAAAAAAAATTCTATACCTCCTAAAACACATTTTTGAAAACAACTTCGAAATTTAAAAAATGGAAAACGTTTTGAAACTTTTTTAAAATTTTTATAAAATTGTTGGTTTCAGAACAATTTGACCCTCCACCCGCTTCCCGAAATAAACTAACTATATTTTGGTGCAATATCCGGATAAACACACATCATTTCAACAACTTCAAATTCTCTCACTTCCGAAAAAAGCGAAAATCGAACTTCGGTTCCAGTTTCCATTTCAACCAATCTCATTTTATTGATAAATGTCGTTTTTCCCGCTTCCAATTCTTCCAATCGAATTCGAATTCTCTCAATTAATCCAATATTTTTCTCCAATTCTAATTCATATCCAATTTGTGCATTTTCGGGTCCATCTTCATTTATTGGAATCATTTCATAAATATCACCATTTTTTGGTAGAATTTCGATTTTTGGCATCGAAAAATTGTCGGGTTCTGCGATTGACATAAAAAGCACAAAATGCATATGAGTTGGTTCAGATTCTTTGTCTTCTTTTGTCAGTTTTTTGGTTGTTGGAAGACCTTCGATGCCTAGAAAAATTGAGGAACATTTGAAAAATATCAAATGAATTTTGGAAAATAATTTAAAATTTGCGAAATTTTTGAAACGTAAAAATTCTGGATATTTTACCTATTCTGACTATAATTTTTCTATTCTATTTTGAGCTGAATCTTTATAAAAATTTGACTGAATGTTGTAGTTGAAAAACTTATTGAATATTGGTGAAAATTTGCATTTTATAAAATTGTTGAAGCATTTACAATGAAAGTATCAAACTTTGAAAAACAATTCAATTTTCTCAAAATTTTGAAACGTACAAATTTCATGTTTCTTTTTCCAAATTGAAAAAGCACCCAAATAGGTTCCCAAACTCACTAGTACAGGTCAATGTCTTGATATAAGTCTCTTTCACTTCATCCTCCTTTTTCTTTTCTTCCTCCATAACTTCTTCTTCTTCCATATCATTTCTCTCTTCTTGTTCCAAATCCTCTAAAATCCTTGCCCAAGAAGTTCGAAAATGTTGTCGATATGGCGAATGATTTGTCTCGCGCACCACAACTTCTTTAATAAATAAATCATTTCCAACCGAAATTTGCGACACTTCATTTTGATCATAAATTTGTTGGAGAATATTGAGACCAAGGAGAACATCTTTTCCGAATTGAGTTAGACGAGGGAAAAAGGAAGACTTGAATGATATTTGCTTGCCATATCATTTCAACACGGAATGAGTAACCCTGCAAAAACGGGTTTTTTGGTTACATTTTGGGGGATCACGGTGGTTTAAAATTTTAAATTCGAGGTTTTACTATATTCTAAAAAATTTGTTTTCAAAACTTTTACACGAGTTACTCTAGCCAAATTCATGTTACAGTATAACCGATAAAAAATCTAGAAAATTTACAGTACTCAAATTTTTTTGAAACTACAGTACTCTTAGAAGTTCAAAAAATTCAAAAATGCTCGCGCCACAAATCACAGTAGCTTAAAAAACTCACAATTTTTCCATTGGTCAATTTGACTGGAACCGCGGGGAATTTCCCCGATTTCCTTCCATCGATTCCCAAAAATTGCATATCAATAATCGGTCGTTTTTCCGAACACAAACTCGTGTCACCAATCGTGATTTTTCCCTCGAAAATAGCAGCGCGAAGTGGCAAAATTGATTTGCGAAAGAATGGAAATTCGCGGAATGGCTGATATTTTTTATTTTGATTGTCGCCTTCGATGAGAAGCCATTTACCGATTCTGAAAAAATGGGAATTTTGGGGATGCTTATCAGATACTCAGAAGGAATGCTTCCCAAAGTGACCCCACCGATTTGGATGAGACTGGGTGGAAACTTCTTAGTATTGGCGGGTATGAAAAACCCTAGGGGGATTTTTCCAACAAAAATTTATTTCCTGACTTAGGCTAAGTTCGAGATTTTTTGACTCAAAAAGCATGTTTCAACTTCAAAAATTCATAATTGAGTTCATTTTCAAGTAAATGACTCGACTAAAAAACCAAAATGTAGCTAAAACACTGTAGTTTTCGAAAAAAATAGACCTGAACACGAAAAAATTTTTGAAAATTAAAAAATGGGGTCACAAGGAGAATCAATTTTTTGCCTCATCACGTACTTGATGAAAGGAGGCAAGTACGTGAGTTCTAGTTGCGATTTTCGAACTCTACGCGCAAAATTAGGTCTAGGGACCCATTTTCAGAAAAATTGACCGTTCTATATTAACATATCGTATTTTTATGTCTCATTTCAAGATGAAAATCCGGCAAAAAAGTGAATTTTTTGAGTGTAACTGTTCATGGCCGAGTGGTTAGCATGCATGGTTACCAAGAAATCGGTCGTAGGTTCAATCCCCATGCTGACATTTTTTTTCAAAGCTACATCAAAGTCTAACTTATATTTATCTGAAATTGATTTGTTTCGGCTCAATTATTAGCAAAAAGTGAAACCTTTGAAGAAGAAAAAATCCTCAAAGCGCAAATGCTTGACGGAACGTTAGGTGAGGTTTGACTTCATGTCAGACTGACCCTCAAGGCATGGCTCCTCGAAAGACACACTCTCAAGGCGTGGCTCCTTGAGGATATACGTTTTCAACGCGTTGCACCTTGACAAAGTGATCCTCAAGGCGTGACTCCTTGAAATATACGCTCTTAAAGCGTTGCTTCTGGACAAGTTGAGCCAAGACGTGAATCCTTGGAAGACACGCTCTCAAGGCGTGGCTTCTTGACAAGCTGACCCTCAAGGCGTGGCTCCTTGACAAACCGACATTTTGCGAAAAATCGCTTGAGGAGCGGTTCCTTGACAGTAAAAATGTCAAAGTTCTTGACAAAACAAACATTACTTTCCTTGACAGAGGACTTTCAAGGAGCCACGCCTTGAAAGCATGTCTTTCAAAGTGCCACGCCTCGAGGGTCGGTTTGTCAAAGAGCCACGCCTTGAGAGTGTGTCTTTCGAGGAGACATGCCTTGAGGGTCAGTCTGACATGAAGTCAAACCTCACCTAACGTTCCGTCAAGCATTTGCGCTTTGAGGATTTTTTTCTTTTTCAAAGGTTTCACTTTTTGCTAATAATTGAGCCGAAACAAATCAATTTCAGATAAATATAAGTTAGACTTTGATGTAGCTTTGAAAAAAAAATATGTCAGCATGGGGATTGAACCTACGACCGATTTCTTGGTAACCATGCATGCTAACCACTCGGCCATGAACAGTTACACTCATACATAAAATGGGTCCCCAGAATCGGGGTGAGGGGCTTAACTTTTTTTCAAAAATCTGAAGGGAAGGGTGCCTAACTTGGCCAATTTTCTTCTGAAAATTCCCAGATTTGTCCAAAATTCGCTCAAAATGTGAGGAAGGTGTTTAACTTTGGAACATTTTCAAGGAGGGACCCTAACTTTGAAAACTGACTCGGGGGACCTATTTAATGTATGGGTTACACTCAAAAAAATTCACTTTTTTGCCGGATTTTCATCTTGAAATGAGACATAAAAATACGATATGTTAATATAGAACGGTCAATTTTTCTGAAAATGGGTCCCTAGACCTAATTTTGCGCGTAGAGTTCGAAAATCGCAACTAGAACTCACGTACTTGCCTCCTTTCATCAAGTACGTGATGAGGCAAAAAATTGATTCTCCTTGTGACCCCATTTTTTAATTTTCAAAAATTTTTTCGTGTTCAGGTCTGTTTTTTTTCGAAAACTACAGTGTTTTAGCTACATTTTGGTTTTTAGTCGAGTCATTTACTTGAAAATGAACTCAATTATGAATTTTTGAAGTTGAAACATGCTTTTTTGAGTCAAAAAATCTCGAACTTAGCCCTAAGTCAGGAAATAAATTTTTGTTGGAAAAATCCCCTAGGGTTTTTCATACCCGCCAATACTAAGAAGTTTCCACCCAGTCTCATCCAAATCGGTGGGGTCACTTTGGGAAGCATTCCTTCTCAGCCAACAATTATGTACGCAGCTAAAACTTCTTGAGCTTGTGAACTATCTATCCAAGAGTAGCCTCACAAATCAGTAAGAAAAATTTAAAATTTAGCTTTGCTTCATAAAATACATTAGATACTTAGTCAAGTACGCAGTCAAATTCAAATCATTCATTTCGAAGCTCTTGCTCTACCCAACCAGAATACTCGGCCAAATTTCCCCCTCGAAAACTCACGGTGCAACACATCTCTCATCGGTATCCAAATCCTTAATCTCAACAAATTCAATATAATAATTCGGTCGATCTCCATCTCCATCAATTTCAATTCGAATTTTCAACAATTGTCCAATTTTTTCTACCAAAATCCAATTGAATCAATGGATTGTGTTGATATTCTCGAAAAACTTTATCGTTTTGAACCAAATGTGTTGTTGTTCCCAAATCGCCGACTCCAATTAATCGAATATTTGAGGTAGTTCCACCAAGTTCGTCTTTTCGCGTGTGAAACATAAACTCGAATCGGCCTACTGCAAAAATTCAAATTTAGGAGAATAAAAATTAGAAAAGTTTTGAGTCTGGAACAAAGTGGATTTAAAATTCTGGAACCTAAATGTTCGTTTTAAAAATCTAGTTGTTTTCAAATTTCCAAACTCACACGTAACCGCATTCGTCTTAATCGGTGAACTCATCAAATAAGCAAACGTGGCCAAAAACGCGCTTCTTTCAATTTTTCCATCAACTTGTCCACCATCCAACCATTTGTTCAGATAAAACAAATATTGTCGTCCATCAACTTTATTTTCAGTTATGATAACTTCTTCAATATGTGTTCCAGCATTATATCCAAATCGATCGTGTCCAATTGTGATTTTATTCAAAGTTCCGAGATTCGGACAATCCACGTGGAAACGGGCGGATGGAACTCGCGAATCTTCGTTTTGCGGAGTTGTCAGCCAATCAACCTGTTAATGAAAATGGGGTTTTTTTTTGAAGGAGAAGAATTTAACTTTCCAGAATTGGTGTTTTGAAAATTCATAAATTTTCTGAAAAATATTTTTACTGTTTCAAAATATTAATAATTGCACAGATGATAATCCCAAGATTCTAATGGTACAAGACTTCAAATTTCAGTAACCCCTGCCTCTAGCACACCCCGCCCAATTCTCCAACTCACATTCTTATTCAACAATATCCGATTGCTCTTTGCATCATCACCATTAATAATAATATACAAATTGGCTTCAGTTTCCGCTCCAAATCGATGTCCAAATCTCACTTCAATTGTATACGTAACATGTCCAGGTGGCAAAGAATGCAAACTACTTCCCTCTTCATCATTTTCCTCGTCCAAAATCTTTGTCTCTTCAGGCTCATCTTCCGGAATATTTTGCGATAAATTGACTCGATTATTTTTTCGAACTCGAAATCCTCGATACGCCGCTTGAATTTTAGTCGCCGCCAATTCTTCTCTTTCTAGATCTTTGAATTTCTCATCTGGAATGAGATCTTCATCATCTTCTGGATCCGATGGTAAAATTTCTTCACGGTCACTTTTGGCTGTTGATTTTCTTGAAGATTTTGGAGTGGAATCCGGGGTTTGGATGGCTGGGCTAGACAAAGTTCGTTGAGAAGATGGAGTTGGACCACGAGATGGGGTCTGAAAAAAGTTATTGTATGATTTAGATATTTAATTTTTCATCGGGCTTATGAAAACTAATTCGAGTTCCCAAGTCCCGGGCTCCCAGAAACCCCCCATTTTTTCGAAATCGTATAGTTATATTTTAAGAGATTATCTATTGTATTCGGATTAGTATAAAAGTGCAATTTTTTCGTCTGGAATTTTTTCGAGATGAAAATAGTACTATTTCAGAAAAAAAGAAGAACAGACGAGTTTTCCAAATGTGGAAGAGTTTTCACAAACTAGGTCACGGTAAAAATGTGTTTGGAAAATGTACTTATCTACTATCCTAGCTTGAAGGTTGAGAAAAATTGCAAAATTCAAAAAATCACCAAAAATTGTGTGGCCTAGAAATGCACCTCTGGTAAAACTAGGCCACCCCTCTCTCCCAAAAATTCTAATTTCTAATTATTCTCGAGCTCCAAATCTTCGCCTACCTCCAAATTCGCAGTCGATGTTCTACTTCTACCAGACATCGGAGCCGTCGATGGTGTTGGTAGCACTCTAGTTCCTCCATCAGCCGTAGCACTTCTCGATTTCTCTTCATCGACATCAGGAGTCTCCACAGCCGGTGATTCCAAATCTTCCCTCTCTCTTCTATCATCTCTCGTCGGAATCCTGCTCGGCAATTCCGATTCCGGTGTCTTCACAATATCCTCTTCTTCATCATCATCTTCAACTTCAATAGCAGATTCAGGTGTTCTCACAACATCAGGTTCATCGGATTCAACTTCAGATCCAGAGCTACTATGAATTCCACCATGATATGAATCTTCAGCATCTTCTTCAATATCTTGTTCTTCTCGAATCATCTGAGCCTTTCTTTCAGTCATACTTTCAGCTCTCGAAGATTCCGATGCTTCTGAAGTGTGCCAGCTACTATTTATCGAATTTCCCGTTCCCGAATCGACTTCTTCCACTTTTCTTGCCAATTTTCCTCCTCGATTTTTGGTTGCATTTCGAACAACTCCAGATGTGGCTTCCTTGATTTTCTGATTTCCTCCTGAATTATTATTCTTATTATTTTTTGCGTCATTATTATTCTGAATATATTTATGTGTCCAATAATTCGATCCTCCTCCAGCTGGCAAATCGGCGGGTTTTTTGCTTGGTAAATTGGCGACACGTGGAAGTGGGCGTGGTTTTTGAGGAGCTCGTGTGCGTTTTTCGATTCCGTTTAGGGAACCGGTTGAAATTGAGGCGGAAGCGGAAGCGGAAGATGTGTCAGCAGACGAATCTGAAAAACAAGATTGTTTGAGGGGAAAAATTTAGAATGGGAAAAAAATGAAAGGTGAGAAATGAATTGAATGATTTTCCACGTCATCAAGTTCACGTTCAAAATTTTTTGGAAAAATAACATTTTTTTTCAAACGCTGAAAATTTGGTTGCCTACAGTAACCCTTTGAGACCTAAAAAATTTCATAGATTTTTTCACCAAGAGTTACAGTAACCCAACTGTAATCCCTTCAAGACCCAACAAAAGTTAAATATTGTTGATTAGGAAGAATATTCTAAATGTTTTGAAAAATTCTTAATTATTACAGTAATCCATTATTTTAGCTACAGTAATCTGATCGAGAGCAGGTCTACAGTAATCTAAAGCTACAAAGCGCGCTTTGTATACAAAATGAAATAAAAAAGATACTGTACACTCTGAACCTTAAAAATCCATCAAAAATTTACAGTAACCTTGAAAGTATAATTAATCTATAGTATCCACAATTTTTAAAAACTACAGTGCTCCAAAAAAGAAAACTGCAAAATCAAGACACTACAGTAACCCTTAAAAACTACTGTAAAATTGATATTCTTTTATTGTCTATGAATAACAAAATAATATTTATGCTCGAAAACTTACAAAAATTTTGAAACATATTTTTTTCGGGGGAATTTGTTTGGTACAAAATTTGGATCTATGATCATACGAGTGCTTCTACCGTAACCTTTTCTAAAACTCACCCAATTTCGAATAGGCCATTCTTGGTGCATATCTACTCGGTTTAATTTCGGGCAACTTGACAGACGCGTTCAGAAAGGGTCGTTCATTTCGAGGACAAGCTATCACCTGGAAAAATTGGGGTTGTGGGTGTGACTAAGAGGGAATGGGGATTTTAGATGCTCAATTTTTGGCCCAGAGAACTAGGATCTAAGCCATATCTCTAGACAGCTAGGTTTGTAGGCTTGACTACTTGACATGAAAGCTCTCAAGGCACCGGGCCTAGACAATCAGCTTTTCTAGGCTGGACAACTCGAAACTCGTGATCTTCCTAATCTCGATGTTTCTGTTTCTGCGCTATGAATTCTATTTCCTACCGTCGATGAATTATTGGTCAAAATCTCATCCACAGTCATAATCCTCCTCCCATCATCCGTAAATAATCGATAAATCGCCAATCCCAATTTCGCACTAATCTCCTCCAATAACTGATCCATTGTTGGCGGTTTGATCGGGCTGATCATAGTTCGATAATATTGTCCCTTGCCATTCAATACAAATCGAACCTGGAAAATCGATATTTTTAAGTGGAGAGGGGTTGGAGGAATCGATATATTTTTAGACGAAAAATCTGAAATCTTCATATTTTTCCGCTGAAACCTTTTCCATTTTGGGTTGTCTCATTCGATCAATATCTCTCAACGATGGCATTGATCGACGACATTCGCGTCGAAAATTCGACAAATCCATTCTGAATCTGAATCTGAAATTAGGTCGGTTACCTCTTTGGCTGGAATTGTTATGCCTAGCATACGACTCATACGCATTTTTTGTGGGATTGTTGGTGAACCGGGTGCCTGAATTGGTGACAGGGTCAGAATATGCTAACTTTTTTTTGTTATGGGGGAGGGGGTGGATGTGCCGCGACGCAATCTTTGTGAACTTTTTTTTCAATTCTCGAAATGGTGGTTTGAAAAATTTTAGGCCCCAAAAATTTGAATTTTGAATAATTTTTCTAAACTTCACGGCCTAGTCTTTCAGAAACATGAAAGCTAGTCCCTGCTGAAATTCAGCTGGCCTAGAAACCCAAAAAAAGCTATTCCAATCTGACAAAGCTGGCACAAAACTAAAATGTGGACTAGAAACCCTAAACTCGAATTCTAGGCCATCTTATTTTTCAAGCTAGAATTTCAAAGCGTTCCAAATGTTCCAGAACTCAATAAAATAATACTAATATAGTAGTATAATCATCAATAAAATGGAAAAATAAGTGAGAAAACCGAGAAAAGAGGAGATGAATACAAATGGGTACTAATCCAGCTATTCATACAAATTTCATCTTTTTAGATATCACTGCGAAATATTTCTCGAATTTTTTTTCTGGAAAAAAAACTGACTGCATCGCGGGACATCTCGAGCAAGGAAGTTCGGAACTATTTTTTTCTGATTCCTATCAACCATGCTCTTTCGATTAGCCAGGTCAACTCACCCAATTCGCCGCTGATCTCGTCGATCTTTGCGCTGATCTCAACGCGGCTTGCACCTTCTCCACCACACCAAAATCCAATCCACGTGGCGGTTTCGAGGAGGAGGCCACGTATTTTCCGAGATGTTCGAGTTGATCCAGCGAATCGATTTGATTTCGACCCATTGGTGTCGTGATGTTTCGAACCTGAAAACGAACAAAATTATTGATTGATTATGGGATGATGGGAGAAGAAATCCAAGTGGAAAAAATGTTCAAAAACAATTTTGATCAAAAATTTATTTTTGATCTACCTAATTTTTTAAAAAAATTTTGCATTATTTCGAACTATTGCAAATAATAGAAATTCCTTCCGGAAAGAAACAAATTTTTCAGCTACAGTAAGATTTTTTCAGCTAGAGTATACTGTAAGCTTTGCAGTTTTTGGTCTTCTAAAATTTTTTCGAACTGCAAGAGTTACTGTAACTAGAAAAAATTACAGATTTCATGGAAAAAAATCAGAAAAAATTATACGTTTTTTTTTTAAATTTCAAATTGAAAAAAAAATTTCCCCTTCATACTAGAAAAAAGTAGTTTCAAATTCAAAATCAATATAAAATATTTTCTCTCTCAAAGCAGAATGAGAATTATTGAATTATGCTCCGATTTGCTAATTTTTTGGGCAGCAGCTGAAACGTATCAGACTAGAACTAGAGTTAGCCGAACTCACCCCAAAAGGCATGTAGATTTGATGATTCAGTTCTTCGACAAGACTTTCGAATGTTTTGTAGCGATGTTTGGAGACTGGAATTCGGACACCCTGCAAAAATTTGAAAATTGAAACAAAAATTGGTGGCCTAGAAACCTTAATTCTAGGTCATGACCGAATTTTCTAAATTTTGAAAAACTTCCCACTTGGCCTAGAAATCCAACCTTCCCCCATTTCTAGTCCCCCACACTTACCGTAAAATAAACGTCACCCTCTTTATAAAAAAATACAGTTTTCGCAGAATAAGGTCGTGTAAACGTGCGTTGCGGATTGTCGTACGTTTTCATCAAACCATTTTTCGGATGAGCCGGCAAATTTCCCAATTGCATTGCCCAACTCTGCAAAAATTTCAGATTTTTCAGCTAAAATAAATTTCTGGGAGTTACCTTAAAATCCGACATTTCTATATTTTCGCTTTATTTTCAGATAAAAATAAAAATCTTAGTTTTCAGATATATCTTTTTTTATGAAAATTGGAATTAGTGAGAAAAAATTAGGATTCTTTTGAGGCTTCGTGACGCGTGCGCGCGAAAAAAAATGAATCACAAAAATATAAATTAAAGGGTTGGTGCTTTCCTGGTGAAAAAATCGTCTGCAAAAATGCGTCACAGTGTTGTTTTCAAAGTTGTGTGCAAACACACACACGAAAATTCAAAAACAAGTTGTGCGCTAGAGCGCATTTACATGCTTTATTTCGTAGGTTTTAACTCGCTTGTGGTTTTGAGGAAAAACATGGGCTGAATTGATACTAGAATTTTTTCTAAAACTGAAACTTTCCAGGAGCACCTTATTCCTATCTAAACCAAGCAAAATTCCCTGGCGGAGCACCAACCCTTTAACGCAGCTTTCACAAAACGCATGGTGGCGCAATGACAGTGTTTTTGCCTACGAATCAAAAGGTCAGTGGTTCGCGCCCACGTTGGAACTATCGATTTTTGACTCACCGTTGAAGGCTGCTGATCATCATTTTCCATGTATTTGTAATCAAAATCTGAAAAAAGGTGGGAAAAAGTATAGCAATTTTCGAAGATGTGATGTTTTTATTTCTGGAAAATTTTCCCACGCCTTCGGAAGTTTTCTAACATAATAAATTGAAAAAAAAAACAAATGACGAAAAAACTTTTTCGAATTTTCCGCGTAGCCTAGAAATTCTGCACGCCCCCAAAAATAACACAGCTGTACCTAATTTGATTTATGAAAAAAAAAGTTATGGGGAAATCTGATCTTAATAAATCTCCAAAAAGTATTGGGAAAGGGAAGTTAGGCGAAATTCCAACAGGAAAAATTTGGAAAATTGGCAAAATTACCGCAAAAAATGAGAGATTGTTAGTTATCATGCATTTGTGTTCGCTGATTTTCTCCTTTCCATCCAATTTCGCGTTTTTTCTTCTTCTGCGAGTCCCAGCGCCAAAAAAATTGCGGCGCGTTACCAAGGAGATGTTCACTTTTCATATATTCACAAAATAACATAAAAATTATTATTTTCTTTTTTGTGTGTATATGAAATGAGAATGAGAATAATGATAATGTGAAAAATCGGGGGTTTGTTTTTTTTTGTTGGAAGAAGGAACGAAAGGGAAGTGGAAGAAAATTTATTTGAATAAAATATGTTTGCGCGTCAAATATGGTGTTTGAATTCACGGGATTGTGAATTGGGTACAGTATCCAATTGTGACTTAGTTTTTCCAAGACTAGTCATTTCCAAAAAATTTTTAAATTTTCTTTCTGGATTTCTAATCTACAGATTCAATGGCTAAATCGGACCAAGAACCACAGTTTTTATGTGTTGTTCATAACTTCCCACTTTTCCTATATTTTTTCTGATAATGTTTTCCCAAAATCCCACAACAAGCTCGTTTTTTTTGCTCCGCCTAGAAACAGTCCACTATAAATAGGCTGATGCTAGGCTTTTTTTATTCCACGAAAATGCAATTTTCAAAGTTCTACATTCTATTTCTCTTCCCAGTTTTCATCAATGCTGCTGGTTCTAACTTCCTCCGTATGAAGTTCTCATCCAATAAAAAATGTACGATCAACGTCGAAGCTTACACAGAAAAGCATGAGTTTTTGTTGTCAGCGATTGTTCCAGTTTACCCAGGAACTTCAACATATCAAGCCTTTCCTTATATCGGAAATCTTTCATATAAATTTACAATAAGCGACATGATAACTGGAAAATCTATTGGTACAACATTGCCACGCCGACTCAAACTTGCGAATGAAAATATTCATCTTACCTTTAAAGATTCCCATTTCAGTAGTATCCAATCATCTTTGGGTACAACAGTGAAAATCGAAACAAATGTAGACTGTCCAGAGTGAGTTTTTTAATCGAGTGATTCTTTTTGGCCTTTCGTCAATCGATTTGTTTCTTCTTGAATCAAAATTATAAATACTCTGAATTTCAGAAACTTCACTGGTCTACGCTGTCAACGCTATATTGGCAACAAAACTCTTACCAACAATTGATCTGGCTCATTTTTCTTATTTTCCTCCCAACATGATTTTTTGTGCCCTTTTTTCTAAAGAAATTGAATAAAATGTGTTAAAAGAAAAGTTTTATTTTATAAATAGGATTTTCATTTATACCTTTAGGCCCGTTTTTTTTTCATATTATTCCATCATGACGAATTGATCAGTGGTATTTTGTGATCTACTGTCTGAATCTCTCGTTTTACACACTATTTTGGGTTCAAACTATGAACATTTGGTAGGTTAAATGTTCAATTCGTCAGGATGAACCATATGAAAAACTTCCCAATTTTCCAAATTTTTTCTGATAATGTTTTCCCAAATTCGCGCAACAAGCCAAATCGGCAAACCCCGCCCACAAATTGTGCACCATAAATAGTGTTGTGATGAGGAAGATTTGCTGAATGGAAGTCGTCGCGCTTGAGACAATTAGTTGTGTGGATTACTGTAAGCGCCGCAAGTCCGCAAACACCGACGCTTACCGTATACCAGCAAACACGGGCGCTTCAGCTACGTGTGTTTTGGGTGTGGAGTTTTCGGGTAGCTCAGCCTCGGGCGGACTACGAATGTAAGGCCGTTTTGGCCACTTAGGTTTTAGACCTATTTGGGTCACTTTTCTGTTTTCTATTTTATGTTTATTATTCTTTTTCTTCTAATAAATAATGTTATTTATTGCGCTCGCTCATCGGTTATCAAAAGGGCCTTCAAACCCTTAGAATATTTGAAACGGATAAAATAGTTATTCCTGTGAGTAAAATCGCAGGAATACAACAAATAGTTTAATATCGACCTTTTTTCAGTTCACAAGTCTTGTTGCTGGCTCTTTTTATTTTTTGTAATTAGACAAAAATATATTATAGTTTTCCAGGAAAATGCAATTCTCAAAATTGTTCCTTCTCTTTCTTTTGCCTGTTTTCATCAATGGTTCTACATACCTCCGTATGAAGTTCTCAACTAATAAAAGATGTTTTATCGACGTCGAGACTTTCACAGAAGAACAGGAGTTTTTGTTGTCAGCGCATCTTCCACTTTTCCCTGGAACTCCGACATATCAAGCGATCTACTATTGCGAAAACTTTTCCTATAAATTTAGGATAACGGATATGATAACTGGAGAATATATTGGTCAAACATGGCCACACCGACTCAAACTCGAGAATGAAATTATTAATCTCAGTTTTAAAGATTTCAATTTGGTAGGTGCTAATACCACAGTGAAAATCGAAACAAATGTTGACTGTCCAGAGTAAGTTATTTATGGGATGATTTTTTTTTCAAAAAAAAATTGTTTATTTTTCATATATTGGAATCTCTTGAAAATTGTCGAAATTGCGATCACAATTTATTTTTTAAAAATATTATAAATTTCAGAAACTTTTCTGGTCCACGCTGTGAGAACTACTCAGCTGACAAACTCACTACCAACAATTGATATGGCTAATTTTTTTAATTTTTCTCCCAACATGATTATTTTTTCTTTTTTTCTTAAGCAATTGAATGAAATTTGATTTTTAAAAAAATTTTTAAATTTTTTAAAGCTACAAATCTTTATTACTAAATCAAAAAATTGATGTTCATCTTCAATCTTCCTTCTTCGATTTAGTAAATTTCGATCTCGAATAATTGACATCGAAAAATGAACAACTATCAAGTTGAAGAACAACAAAATTGGCATGCACACTGAAATTAAATTTTGTTGGAAAAAAGAACGGCAGAAATACAATTTTAACTCACAAATTTTCCAAACCAAACTTGCAATTGGTACAAAAATATTGTCTCTAAAAAGCGATAAATATCTCAAATAACTTTTAGCTGGAATTGTAAAATACGAATCAATCAATGGTTTCAATTTGTCCACATATTTTTCATATTTTTCTTTTTTTTTACATGGATTTCCGATTTGAATTCTTTCGAATACTTTCTCATTTTTCTTGTACCAAAAAGCTGAAAATCCAACTATTTTTATGTATAAAATCGTTGATATCAATTTCCAAATTTTGGTGCCAAAAATCTGGAACTTCGATTGAGAAAAAGAATTCATTCAATTTTTGCTCGAAAAAAACGTTCTTTAGTTTTTCCGATTTTCCGTACTAGTACTCCTAGTCTAATAGAACTGAATTTGCTCGCCAATGGCTAGTTGCCATAAAATTGGGTTACTGTATTTAAAAATCGAAAAAAAGGAATGCGCGTCAAATCAAATGCCGTGTGTGCATTTGCATACCGTATACCAAAATTCAAAAAAATCTTTTCATTTTTTGTTTTTTTTCGTTCATGCTGGTCTTGCACAGAATCACCTCCACTTTGCAAGAAAATAATTTTGTTTTCAAAAAGAAAAGTTCATCGCCGGTCACTTTTGTTCTTCCCAAATTTTGTAAATAAACTGTGAGAACAAATATTTAAACAGTTTAGTTTAGTTCATTTTTTCCGCTTTACCCTCTTCTGACCATCCAATTTTCCTTTCTTTTTAGAAAGTTTATGTATTTAGGAAAAAATTAACACATTTTGCTGCATATTTGTAAAATGAATCATATTTGAAAAGGCTGAACTTTATTGTTTCCATAATATTGAGAATCGTGTTATGCAGAATTTTATTTTTACAAACAAGAATTTAGAAAAAAAAAATTAAGAACCCCTCAACTTTTGACCAAACTCTAGATGAAACAAAAAACCATGTATTTCTTTGGTTTTCCCACGAGAATTCTATTTTCTCCGTGTTTTCGCTTTCTCCGCGCTTTTTTTTGATTGAAATACGATTAATGTTATTTAGTACACATACTTTCCGATTGATTCACGTGGAAATTTCATCCATTGTTCTTCCGTTTTCTTTTCCTTTTCTTTCCACTCGACACTAGATTTCACTTACTAAATAACTCAAATAAAATCGAATTTCCTCTTGTGTCTCTGCTAACCAAATTTAATAAGATCATTTCCATATGGTTAAATAAAAAGAACACAAAAATCGATATAATTATACTTATGTGTTCTTTCCCTCTCGTCAGCCTCCACTTTTAACGAAATTTTCATAAATTATTCGTTTTTCGTCTTCCGTTTTGGCGTGTCCAAAAGTTTGAATGCACTTTTTCTGAAGAAATATGGAAAGTTCAACTTTTTATTGCGCTTGCACTTTTTGGAAGAGCTTGGAGAGATTCTCTAGAATTTGACGCTGCTGGAATTCGTATTTTTCAGTTTTCGTGCTAAATTTGGAGTTCTAGGCTGTCTAGTTTATAGGACATTTTCTCCCTGTGTTTTTTCATTCTTCGATTTTTTCTCCGAAATTATCATAAACCCTTTCACGACCCCAAAAAAGTAATAATAATCATACTATATAGGCCAGGCCAAATTCGAATTCCATCATCGAAAAATAATCCCCCCACCCTCTATCCTTTTTTGTCCCCCCACTGTTGTGACCGACCATCGTCCGTCAGCTGTTCTTCTCACGCTCCTCAATTTACATCCCGCAAAAACTTTGTCACAAAAAATATATAATATTTATGCAAATATTAGTCATCACACAGAAAACAAAACCTCTTTTAGTCTCTAATTAAGTCGAATGTCCACCCAACGAGGAGGAAGAAAATATCCAGAAAAACGACTGAAGCCTTGTCGAAAAATAGTGTTGAAATTGAGGAGTGTGTGTCGGACACACTTTCCATCTCTCACCGTCTCTTCTACCGTCTATACTATTTCGTTGTGCGTTCACATCTGTCTTTCTTTTTTCTGTGTCCGTCGTTTTTCGATTGCTGCAGCACTCACCATTTTGGTGTCAAACGACCCGCTTCCCCCATTTTACCTGTTTTCTTTGATTTTCGATTTATCGATTTATTGAAATGGGTTTTTTTTTGTTCAGTTGAAAATCGAAGGTGGTTAGTTTCCACAATGATTAGTCATAGATTTTTATCTCCGTTATCTGTTTTTGTTGTGTAATTACTTGGAAATGATGTAACGACTTTAGTTTTTGTTGAAATTTTTCTCCAATGATTTCTTCGGCTGTGAATTCAAAATTCTGACGTTGCGAGATCAAATTGGAAAAAAATGATGATCCTTCAGAAATCGGCCTGTTTTTTCCTTCAGAAAACCCAATTTTAAAGGCACATTCCACTTCCGATCTTCCAACTTTCATTCTCTCTTCTCAAAACAAAAACACATTTTCAATAAAAAATATTGTTTTTGATCTGCCCTCGATTTTTCAAGAAACCAAAAACATCCGCTCCTCATTTTTCTCATTTCTCAGGCAGTAGAAAACTCCGGAGTTTCGCCGAAATGGAACGAGAATGTCGCTAAAAAGGCTCCAAACCCGGTTCCGGATCTTTTCTCGGTACGCTTTGGCGATTCTCCAGAGTTTTTTTGTTTTTGTCGCCTGCTTTTTCGAATACATTCTAGTCTTTCACTCTCAAAAATCAATATTTATTTTCAACAAACAGGAAAAATTAGTTATTTTCTGATTGTTTCAATCTCCAAACTAGTAGAATATAAGCATGAGAAGATTCCTTTGGCATTCTAATGAATGATTTGGTGTTGACTTCGGCAATCTTTTGACGAGAACTTCTGTTTCTTATCATTTTGAGCCAACGAGGAGAGATACAGCACTGTGTGAAGCCATAAGCGCATTTCATGCTGAAAATTGAGAAAGGATAATATATTTATAAGGATGATTCTCCAAGAGTATTATTAATCGTAATTTCTCACTTTGAAATTGTGAACGACCTTTTTGAGATAGGGTGTGATAATGATCATAAACTTGAAACTTGGAAACTTTCAAAGCTCAAAAACTCGAAAAACAAACGTTCATCGATTTTCTTTCTCGTGGCTCACCTCATAAATAAGTAGAATACATCTTGTGATTCACGATTTTGGAAATATTGCAAGGCGATCTTCCAGAAATGAAAATTGAGCGAGCCTCTGCTTTCGAATTCTCCTAGCACGAGGAATTCCAATTGAATCTATAAATAAAACTAGTATTCACTTCTGTTGAAGAAACTTCACTTACCAGGAGCAAAAATCGCTAATTGTATTCCAAGTCCAGGTTGACTTTTATCCATGACGACTTCGTAGGACGCACATTGCTTCTAGACGGTTTCAATTGTCTGAAAATTATCAAATTAGGCAAAGACACTCTGAAAACTGAGCAATTTTGAAGGAATAGCAAAAATTAGAAAAACGAAAAAAAAAATGAAATGAAACAAATGACTAGTCATTGTCATCATTCGATGGAGCGCGTTCGATCGACAGCGATTTCCTCCGGAGAATCGCCAAAACCAATCTAGAAAGACATGCCAAACTAGAAAAAGCAGGCACTCTCTCGATTTTCTGTACCCACTTTGGCCTATCTCCGGAGTTTTTGCGTTTTCTGGTTCCCCTCCGGAGTTTTCTACTGCCTGAGTTTCCTTCCCCCAACCAAATTTTATTATTTTCATTTTTTCTCATTTTCCCAGCCTCAAAAAATCAAGTCCTCTTCTTTCTTCTCACCTAACAATAAACAACCTTGCCACCTGTCCAACCAATATAATTATCTTTATGAACATTTTTTTCTACTCATCACGATTTTTTTGACAATGAAACTTGGAAAAAATTTGTCGATTTTTCGAATTTTGGAGCTGTATTACTAGGTCAAATATTTTTTTTGGGATAATTTTTCATCGAATCTTATCATGTTCCTAAACTGATTCTAATCCCTCGTAAATTTGACTTTTCAAAAAAACCCCACATTTTTTTGCAGATCCAATTCTCGCTGATGTATTTATTAGGACAAATTATCAATTATTATTAGAAAAAGATGAAGTCAACAAAAATTGGCATTCTCATTATTATATTGAATTCATTTGTGATATGTGTAAATAGTTTGAACAATTTTATTGACAATTTTGAGACTTTGAATTATCGATCGACGCATGTGGCGAATCAGGTGACAAGAAGAAAACGATCGATTAGTGAGAATTATAATGAGCCAATTGGATTGCGATTTAATGCCTATAATCGGTAAGGTTTTGGGATTTTGAAAGGGAAATTTTGAAAAATTCATGGATTTTTATATTTGAAAAAAATATCTTTAAAAACTTGATTTTTTGACAATTTTCCTTAACATGAGTCATCATGTTCGCCATTTTTGGGTAAACAAAGATGAACAAAAAACAACACATCACTTTCCTCAAATATTTGAGCAGAAAACAAAAAGAAGATGAAAGGAGCGCGAATCGGATGAGTGATTTCATAAAATTTTATTTTATGAGCATTTTTTTCTCACAAACGATGTGAATAATAATAATGTTGAGATGGGGAAAACAACAGATTTCTGTTATGGGGAAAATGAGGGTTTTTCCAAGTTCTCAGAAATTTGAATCGGGGTCTAGAAGGCCAAAAAATAGTTCTAAACATTAGATAACCGACAAACTTCCAGAACCTTCCATGTGCAACTCTATCCAATCGATGATTCAACCGGTCTATTTCACATCGATCATTTAGCTGATGTCAACGGCGAATTCGCCGACATCAAACCCAGCCATTTTTTATACGAAGGACATTTAAAAGACGATCCACAATCATATGTTCACGGTAGTTTATTTGATGGTGTTTTTGAAGGACATATCCAAACTGGAAATGGTCGACGATTCACAATCGATAAAGCTGCAAAATATTTCGAAGCACAAGATCGACCAACAAATTATCATTCAATTATTTATCGAGATGACGAAATAAATCATCGAAAATGGCGGGTTAAACGAGATGCGGAGACATTGAAAAGTAATATTCAAGAAGGTTGTGGATTAAATGATCGAATGAAAAGAGAGATGAGCGAAGTTCAGGAATCTGGAGAATATCAACAATATTCATTGAGAAGTGATGGAGATTCAAGTGATTTTTATACAAATTATATGACAATGAAAGGAAGATCGAAAAGATCAACAAGAGATGAACGAGGATTATATTCAGTTCGAACATGTTCTTTGTATATGCAAGCTGATCATAAATTATATGAACATATTCGAATGAAAGAGGGAAATAATGATCCGATTCGAACGAGAGAAGAAATTGTTAGCTTGTTTTATAATCATATTAAGGCAGTTAATGAAATTTATGAGAGTACGAATTTTAATGGAATCAAAGGATTGCATTTTGTCATTCAGAGAACTTCGGTGAGTTTTTTTTTTGAAGGGAGACGGGATTTTTCATTCTTGAAAATTTTGAAAAAAAATACAGAATAGTATTTTATTAGAGACAACGTAAGATTTAGAGAGTTCAGAGAACATTAGTTTTTCCAACAAACTAATTTTCTGTCTAAACTCTCTCAATTTTACCAAAAATATTTTTTCATTCCTAATTTGAAAAAAATAAAATACAAAGAATTTTCAAGGAAAAAATACAAAATATTTCGAAGATATTTTTAAAGCTGAATTTGAAACCCATACATCGGTTTCTCCCGGTCAAGGTCTCAAAATTAGCTACCCCCGGAATGTGAAAATACAAAAATTAGCCAGACCCCCTCAAAAAAAAGAGAAGAAACTTGGTTTTTGGGGGTAAATTGCTATTTTTCAAAAAGTTAGCCGGTCCCCACCCCTTTTTTCCAAAGTTAGCCAGACCCCCTCCGGACGAAAATCCGGGGATACTGATGTATGTTGAAACCCGAAAAGGTGACAAATCACAGTTTTCTCTAAATAAATTTTTTAAATCCTTGAATTCAAAACTGAAAGTTTCCAAGAAGTTTAACCGTAAATTAATGTTCCCTTTCCAGATTTACACGACTGAAACTTGCGAACGCGGAAAAGCACGACCCGGCTCAGACAATCCATTTTGTGAAGACAATGTTGATGTTTCGAATTTTCTGAATCTCAATTCACAACGAAATCATTCAGCATTTTGCCTGGCTTATGCACTGACTTTTAGAGATTTTGTTGGTGGAACTTTGGGTTTGGCTTGGGTGGCAAGTCCACAATTTAGTGAGTTTTTTGAGGCGGAGGGATTTCGGGAAATAATTATTTTAAAAAAAGATCTGTGCTAAAAAATTCTCCAGATTTTTCTGCTGAGATTCTTGAAAAACAATAATTTTTTCGTTAAAAAATTGAAAAATTAATTTTAAAAATTGTAAAACATTTTGATTTCCTGAAAAATCTTCTTGTCTGAATTTTTCACGTGGAAAAATCCTTTTTAATGAAATTATAAAAATAAATGAAATCCTTTTCATTTAACAAAACACAAGCTTATGATTATAAATATTTCTGTACCTTCTATAAACCTGATTTTTCCAGACACTGCTGGTGGAATCTGCCAAGTCCATCAAAGATACAACGAGGGAAGTCGTGGTTGGGTTCATCGATCTCTAAACACTGGAATCGTAACCCTCGTAAATTATGGAAATCGTGTACCTGCCAGAGTCTCTCAATTAACTCTCGCTCACGAAATTGGCCATAATTTCGGATCACCTCACGATTTTCCAGCTGAATGTCAACCCGGACTCCCTGATGGTAATTTCATTATGTTTGCCTCTGCAACATCTGGAGATAAACCGAATAATGGGAAATTCTCGCCGTGTTCGATCAAAAATATTTCGGCAGTTTTGCAAGTTGTATTACAATCGATGCCAGTTGATCCAACTCGAAATGCAAATCCAGTTGGATTGGGAAAACGAAATTGCTTCCAAGAACGAACTTCGGCATTCTGTGGAAATCAAATATTTGAACCTGGAGAGGAATGTGATTGTGGATTTTCGCAAGCGGATTGTGATCAGATGGGTGATAAATGTTGTGTTCCACATGAAGGAAGAGGATTTGGCGGACCTGGACCATGCAAGAGAAAACCTGGTGCACAATGTTCCCCATCACAGGGATATTGTTGTAATTCGGAGAGTTGTTCTCTACACAGAAGAGAAGAGGAAAAAATCTGCCGACAGGAATCGGAATGTTCACATCATCAAACTTGCGATGGCCGAGGTGCTCAATGTCCACCATCTCCACCAAAATATGATGGATTACCATGTCAAGATAGCACAAAAGTATGTTCGAATGGCACGTGTAGTGGATCGGTTTGCGAATTGTTTGGATTGAAGGATTGTTTCTTGACGGAAGGAAAGCCCGATGAATTGTGCTTTTTGGCGTGTATCAAGGATGGAAGTGAGTTTTTGAGGGAGGATTTCTGAAAAAAAAAACATCTGAAAAAATTGGATTTTTTTCCTCTCCAAGTTATGAAGACTTCTGGATGGAAAAATTTTATTCAAAATTTAGATTTTTAGCTGGGTTTAAACCTAAGGGATTTCCAAATATTAGAAAATTCAGTGCTTCGTTAGAAAATTTGAGATTTCTAGTCAAAGATTCAGATTTTGCTGAAATTTCTTATGAAATGTTAGATTTTCTCTACCCAAATTTCAATTTTTTACTTATTTTCAGCTTCTTACAAAAATTTTAAGGTTTCAGAATTTAACCAACTTTTGAGCTAGATTTTGGGCGTTTTGATCTGAAATCGATACTTTCTCGATCTCGTCCCCGAAAAATCCCCAAAACCCTCCAAAAAAATGTTCGCAGCGAGCAGGGATCGAACCTACGCGGGCAATGCCCAATAGGTTTCAAGTCTATCTCCTTAACCACTCGGACATCGCTGCACATTTTTCCGTGCCCAATTTTTCGTTTCTCTCTCATTTCTCTCAAAAGCATTTTGCAATTTTTTCCAGAATGCACTTCAAGTATTCATTTGAGTGAATTCGCCACAAATCGATCAACATTTTTGCAATCGGGAAGAAAAGGAAAATCTGGACTCATTCTACATCCCGGTTCACCTTGCAATAATTACAAAGGATATTGTGATATATTCAGAAAATGTCGAAGTGTTGATGCAAATGGACCATTAGCAAGACTCAAAAATTTACTTTTTGATAAGAAAACGATTGAAACTCTGACACAATGGGTTCAGGACAATTGGTGGATTGTTGTGTTGGGAGGAATTGGATTTTTGGTGATGATGGCATTGTTTGTCAAATGTTGTGCTGTTCATACACCGAGTACGAATCCCAATAAACCGCCGGCTTTGAATATTTATCAGACGTTGACTAGACCTGGAACACTTTTGGTAAGGATTTTGGGAATTTTGAGGGTTTGGGACAATCGACAATTCGAGGTTCAATTAGAGATTTTGATTTCTGAGCCATAAATTGTCCAGTTATTCTGTAGAAGTTTCTAAAAGTTTTCCATAGCATATTGTTTAAAATTATTATCTGAAAATATCGAAAAAGTGGTTTTTTTTTTTGGAAAATAATATGGATTTCTTTAAATTCGGAATAAAATTATTGAAACATTTTTTTGAAATTTTCACTGTTTCAACTTTTTTATGTCTATGAAATTGTTCTCCATAATTCTTCTGATAAAAATCTCATGATGACACAATTTTTAAAAAATAATTCTAAATTTTTTACTCTTTCAAGAATTGATAAGATTTTTTTCGGAATTCTAACATTTCCGATTGTTTCATTATATTTTTTGCTGATGATTTTCTTCAATTTGAATTTTGAATCTATAAACTCGAAATTCTTGAATTAAATTTGACTTTTCGTAATTTACAATTTTTAATAAAAATTTGGTTCGAATTTATTTTCCAGCTGGTTTTTTCTGAAAATTTAATTTTTTCACAAGGAATCTCGAAAATCCAGAATTTCTGAGATTTTTTGTTTTTTTTTGTTCCGCAAAATCCATTTCCTAATTCTCCGATGTTTCCAGCGCCAACATCGTCAACGACATCGCGCCGCAGCCGGAAGTTCCGGTGTCGCAGTTCCATCGTCTCGACAAAATCAAACACCGAATCGTGTGCCTGTCTCAACCCGCCCATCCGCTCCACCAATCACACCAGGACCACCACCAATTTTGGCCGGACCACCATTGGTACCAGGAGGACCGCCGATTCCACTCATTCCGACTGGTAAGCGATTATTGTGAGGGAAGAGGGGTTGTCAGACCTGGGAATTTTTACGTTTCAAAATTTCTAGATGTTTGGAATTTAGATTTTCCGATGATTGCATAATCAAGATATATGAAAAAAAAATCGGATAACAACACTACTATTTCAATTATGATCGAAATTCCATTGAAACACAAAATTTTCTAAATTTGCCACGTCATAACTCATTCGGAGTTAGCCTAACTTGAGTTTTACAAGAGTGATTTTACCATTGTCAACCTGTGAAAATCAATAATTTCAGCATCTGCTTCCGGTCAACCTGCTGTAATTGTCATGGAACCACCGCCTCCATATTCTGCAGCTGACATTGGCTCACAAATGGGCGGCCCAAAACGTGGCCACCGAAAAAATAAGCGACAAACTGCGGCTGACGCAAAACCACAAAATGGAAGTGGAGCCCGCAAAAAATCGGGAAAATAGGCGCATTTTCTTCATATTCTGCTAAAATCAACTTTTTCAAATACGGTTATTCATATTTTTCGAGTATTTTCCAAAGCATCTTAACTATTTTGTCAAATTAAATTGAACAAATCAAACTTGCCCCGCCCCCTTTTTCTTTATTATCTATTTATTCCCCCATTTTTAGTCACATTTTGGTAATTTTTCGGTGTCTTCTTCTAACTCTTTCACCCCATTTTTACATACAAATATACCTCTTTTTTTTAGGGTTGTGTTCTATTTTTCCTCCCTTTTCTCTTCTTTCGCTCTATTGCCTTTTCGCCCCGGATATTTTTCATTCACTTTGCCTAATTTTGTTACCTTTTTTGAATTTTTTATTACGAACGAATTGATGAAGTTTACGAGTTTATGGGTCTTGAAGCGATCTGGATGATTTTTTTTTGATTTCAGGTGAAATTTTAGTTGAATTAAGTACTTTTTATTTATTATGGCTGGGAACATCAGATCGGTAGATCGTTGGTCTCGAAATGATCTACAGTATCACAGAAGCCACGTGAAATTTGGTGTTTTTATATAGCTACAGTAATCCGATAGCTTCAAATTGAAAACCTACGTGGATTTGCCTCGAAAATATCCACAGTATCCCAGAAACCATGTAAAATTTGGAAAAAAAACGTTCAAGTACTGTAGACGCATTTTTTGAGTCCAAGAGTACTGTACATCGTCTCGAGACCGCAAATAAATACTTACAGTACTCTAAAAACTTAGTGTCCTAATGCGAAATCCACTGAGACTACGGTAGATCGTTCCAAAAATAGATTTGATGACAAAAATCATCAAAACAAGAAAACCCCCCTAAATTTAGCGCACTACCAAAGTACTCCTTGCATCATCAACTGGATTTCCATTCTTATTTTTATTCTTGTCCCAAAATACAATCATATGATAAGTTATAATGAAATGGCTACCTATTCCATATTTCTACACCATAGAACAGAACTAATTCAAAAAAAAGAAAGACAAGTGGATAGGTTGATTGATAAAGATACTTATGTTAGATTTAGCAGAAAAATGGGCGGTGCCTACTTTTTTTGTCATCTCTTCTTATCATTGTTACATACATACATCAACGCACTTTTAGGTATTTAAGAATCATCCGTTTTTGGGAGAGTTTTTTGGTTGTATTGTATATTTTGTGTTTTGTAGCTGTTTGATTTTTTGATTTTTTTTTAGAAATTTTTCTGGAAAATTCAGTTTTTTTTTCCGAAAAAATACATAATTTTCTGTCTTGACTCTCTCAACTTCACTGTCCCTGATCAAAATAATTTTCTGTATATTTTGTTCTTCGACGGTAATACACGGGGAGTAGGATTCAAACCTAGTTCTTTTCTTATTTTTTAAAAAAAATTTTGAGAGTTCAGAAAATCGCCTCAAATTTGAATCTCTACAATAATATTTTAGATGACAATCAAAGAAAAACGCACATTCAACGAAGTTGACGAAATCGTCATTTCCAAAGAGAAACTCTATGCTTTCGTTCTGGAATGTTTGGCAAAAACCGGATGTTCACAAGACCACGCTCAACAATTGGCTGACACACTTTTGTGCTCTGATTATCGAGGACATTATTCGCATGGAATCAATCGACTACAATATTATGTGCATAATTTACAAATCAAATCAACAGCGCCTAGCGGTGGGTTAACCAGCAAGGTTCAGAAACAAGGAAATGTTTTGTTTTATTTTTTGAAATGAAAATAAATAAATACACACGCGATTCTTGTGCTACCGTACTTATCGACGCGCTGCGAGACCTGTGTGCCGCGAGTTCGAATTTAGTTTATCTAATTTTTATTTTTTCAGGAACTCCACAAATCCTCAAAGAAAAGGGTTCGACGGCTTGGGTTGATGGAAATAATTTACTGGGACCAGTTGTGGGCAACTTTTGCATGCAACTGGCTATTGAAAAAGCGAAGAATTTTGGAATTGGATGGGTTTGTGTGAAGAATTCGAATCATTATGGAATTTCGGGTTGGTATGCAGATATTGCAAGGCAGCACGGATTAGTGGTAAGGGTTTTTGAGTTTGGTAATGGAAGCTTGAGGAGGGTGGGGTCACGGATAAAATATGCATTTTCATTTTATAATTGTTTTTCCTACCTGAATCACTTTATAGTCATAATTCTTCTAGGGAATGGCATTCACAAACACATCTCCTTGCGTTTTCCCAACTGGTTCATCAGAAAAAAGCCTTGGATCAAATCCGATTTGTATGGCAGCACCAGGACTTGATAATGACTCATTTTTCCTGGACATGGCTTCGACAACAGTTGCCTATGGCAAAATCGAGGTTGCTGATCGAAAAGGAGAAACCTATATTCCACCGAATTGGGGAGCTGATAAAAATGGAAAAGAGACGAACACTCCGCAAGAAGTTTTGAATGATGGAGGACTTCAACCATTAGGTGGATCTGAAATCACTGGAGGATATAAAGGAACTGGATTATGTATGATGGTTGAAGTGCTTTGTGGAATTATGAGTGGAAGTGCTTTTGGGAAAAATATTAGACAATGGATGGCGACTGATACAACCGCTGATTTGGGACAATGTTTTGTGGCGATTGATCCCGAATGTTTTGCACCTGGTTTTCAAGGAAGACTTCAAGAATTTGTTGATGAAACGAGAGATCTTAAACCCATCAATAAAAATCGGCCGGTACAAGTTCCTGGTGATCCGGAAAGAGCGCATATGAATATGTGTGATGAGTTGGGTGGATTGGTTTATAAGAAGAAACAATTGGGACATTTGAAGACATTGGCCGATCAGATTGGTGTTATTATGCAATTGGTCGAAGAGGATGTTTATGCATAACTCACTTTTTGTATTTAGATTTTTATTTGATAAACTTTGTATTTTTCATTTCTTTGTTGTTCTTCTCATGTTGCAGAAAAGTCTTTGACTGTGCGAATAATTTTTAAGAAGTTTTAAAATTGTCCACTCTCAATTTTTACGTACTAACGAATTTTCAGAAAACAATTTAATTAGACCAGACCCCAAAAGTTAATTTTCTGTGTAAAAATTCGTCGTTGTGTTTGCACATCCCTCCAAGACCGTTCCATTTTCATTATGCGCCTTTGATTACTGTATTTATTTCATTTTATTTTTTCCAACTGAAAAATCTGTTTTTTTCTGCCGATCGACTAGTTTTCCATGCTCAAAATCCAATTCTTCCTCCTCTTCACATCACTCGACTACGGTAAACAAATGTGCAGACACTTCTCCTCTGCAAACACCACACCCGACGCGCATTTTCTCGGTCGATTTGCTTGCACTTTTTTCTAGTTGCCTCAACTGCCCTTTTCGAGAAGGAAACCCACTTTTTCTAAAATATCTCGTAGAAAAAAAATGAAAGGAAGATTGAAATCTTAAAGTTTTCTAGGAGAGTCTCGCGGCGCATCTTCTCACCTTGGTTTAGCAAACTAAACAAGTAAGTAAGTATATTATTATTATGTCAATCGATTTCACCTCAAATAACCGAAAACCATCGATTGAGCAGCAACAACAACCAAATTCATCAGAACATCGGTGAGATTTGCTGGGTTTTTTGCGAGATGAGTGAGGAAAATCAATAATTTTTTTGCATTACAGGGTATATATACAGAAAACAATGAATAATCAATTATTACAACAAGGTTTAGCCGATGGAACAGTTCGAATGGTACCAAGATCGAATATTGTTTCAATTCCTGGTGTTTCGAATGGCCAACATCATCCACAGCAACAACGGGTTCAACAACAACATCAACAACAACATGTTCAACCGATTCAAAATCGCGGACAAATTCAGTATATTGCAGCTGGGGGAGCGGGAATGAATGGAACAATTGCGGGTAGAAATAATATTGTGAATGGGAATGGAGTGGGAATTCCGATGCAAAGAGTTGTTGCGCAGCAACAAGGTGGAGGACAAGTATTTCGTAAGTATTTTCAAATTGCATTTTTGGGGAATGGGAATTTTTTTAATGCGTCTATAAAACATTTTCCTGGAGAATTTTGAGATTTTGAAGTGAAAAATATAAGTAAATTAGGTGGCTGAGTTATGACGTAGCAAATTTTGATATTTCTTATTCAATAGCATATCAACTCGATTCTATGAATTTAAAATTTGCATTGCCCGAAGAGACGGTGAATAGACTTCTCCCAATCTTAGAGCTTTTTTTTATTTCCCAATTTTGCCACGTCATAACTCATATTCATAGTTGATCTACCAATTAAAAAAAACTATAAATTATAAATTTTAACTTGCCAAATAAATTCTCAAAAATTCCCATTTTCTAGGAACGATAGTTCAAACTCAACCTGTTCGACCTCAGCCAAATTATGTGCAATCTGGAATTCCGCCAAATAATCTACAACAACATCCACAGCAGCAACAAATTCGACAGATACGATATGTTCAACCGGTTTCGAATATTCAGCAGGTAATTTTTGACTTTATATCTCATAAAGAAAAAGTTCTGAAATATTGTATTCAAAACAATTCTACCCTAAAAATGATCTAAGAATTTCGGTGACTTTAACTTGAATTTTTGAGCACCCATTATGAAAAGCGGAGAAAAAAATAAATCTCATAAAAATACCAATTTCCTTTTTGTCGGGCAGCCAAAATGGGCTTGATTTTATTCTGCGAGAAAGAAAACCGCACTAATTTATTCCAGCCACCAGAATTATATTTTATCTTGAAAAAATAAAAAGGTAGGGTTTTTTAATTTTAAAAATTGAGATTTTTATTACTTTTTTCTGGGGACCATTGAGAAATTTAGAGATAAATTTTTTGATCTACTAGAAAAGTTGAAAATCAAATTGGAGTAATGAATGGGTTCCAGAATAAAATCTTCGATTTGAAAAAAAATCACGGACCTTTATTTTTTGCCGAACCCTTCTATCCTAAAACCCACCCTAAAATACTCCTTTGATGAAAATTTGATCGAAATAATCCCATTGTCTAATGCTTGAATAAATTATCGCGGTTCTCTTTTTTCTCGAATTCATCAAGTGTTTTTTCTTTTTCCATTTTCGGCCAGATGTTCTTTAGGGCACATGCAGGTGTTCGACTGAGGAAATTCCCTCATTTCTGTTTTCTTTCACTTTACTTTTGGGTCCCCTCGTGATTAGCACAACGAAAACACAAAACATTGCGTAGGAGTTGTGCGTAGGAGTTGTTATTTATCAATGGAGCGCACCTAACACCTGTTTGGAATGTTCTAGAAGCTTAAAAAATCGATAAAATTGAGGAAAACCCGCTCCATTGAGAAAAGCTCGCTCCGCCCACTTCACACAGAAAACATGGCGCATGGCCGCACCTGCGAATTGTCGGGACTTGTGGGAACATATATAGCTGGAAAATTTTGGTTTTTTAGATTAAAAAATTTTTTTTTTGAGATTTAAAATAAATTGTATATGTTTTCTTGAATTCTTAGCTGATTTCATAGAATTTTAGAAAATGTATGATTTATTTTCAAAACGTCTCAGATAATAATTAGGGATATTTTGTTCTGAATTTAAAAATATTTAGAAATTATTGATTTTTAACCTCCTAATCTTCAAAAACAATAACTTATTTTTGAAACAGTGAAAAATATTTTTAAGCTACAGGAAAAGTTCGAAAAATTTATATAAAAGTTTTGTAACAGTGAAATTTAGTTAAAAACTTGTAAAATTTATACAAATGTATAGTTTATTGGAATTTTGCTGAACCGAAATTTTTTCACAAAAAAACTCCGAATTTTTCCAGCAACAGCACCATTCTCAACATCCAGCAGTAATGCAACAATATCAGCCACAGCCGCAACAACCTCAACATCAAAACAGACCAATATATACAAATCTGGCAGTTCCTCTCCGCGAACCATCTCCTGAATACATTCCAATCAGACAAGACATCAAAACCGAACCCGAAGAAGCAGAATCGACATCGGCGAACTCGGAACCACTTCCACCTGAAGATGCTGATATTGATATTCAAATTCGGAATGTTGTTTGTAATTATACACTGCCTCTTCATATTGATTTGCGGAAGTTGGCGATGATGACGAAGAATGTGACGTATGAAAGGGAGAAGGGGGTGAGTTTGGAAGCGGGATTTTTGGAGGGAAAATCTGAGATTATTGATTTTCAAAATTCTGAAAAATGTTCCAGCCTAGTTTTAGAGACTTCCAAAATTCAGCTGAAAATTACTGTTTGAAATTCCCTTCATAATCCCAAATTCTTTGCAGGTAATGATGAAACAAAAACGCAACCCAAACTGTTTCATCAAAATCTACAGTTCCGGAAAAGTTTACATCGTCGGTTGCCGCAGTGAAGATGATTGTCGAAAAGCGGCGAGATCAATTGCGAGACATGTTCAACGGGTTATGGGAAAAGCCGCGCAACGAGTTTGTATTCGAAATTATCGTGTGAATAATGTTTTGGCGACTTGTCGAATGCCTTTTGGTATTAAAATTGAATCGGTAAGATTTCAAGAGGTTTTAGTTATGCCGTGGCAAAGGCTATACACCTTTTAAGTTAGAAAAAAATTTCAGAATTTTTCGAATCTCAAAACTTTGCCACATCATAACTCATATTAAAAATTGAACTGAAGCTACTCAAATCCAATTTTTCAGATCGCTTCAAAATATCCGGCCGAAGTGTCATATGAACAAGAATTGTCGGTTGGTCTTGTCTGGAAATCCGTCACTCCAAAAGCAACTCTTCGTATTCACACAACCGGCTCAATTACGGTAACTGGTGCCAGAAGTGAGGCTGATGTTTTGGAAGTGATCTCCAAAATTTATCCGATTGTTTTGGAGTTTCGTTGTCAGAAACGCTCGAAAAATAATGTGGATGCGAATAAGAAGAAAAGACGAGCGCCGGCGAATCCGGGAAGAGCGTGAGTGATTTAATTTTGAAATTTACTTGGAAATATTTTGAAACAGTAGAATTTTGAAAATTATTATGGAATCCAATAAGAAAGGATTTACTAAATTTTAAAATCGAAAATTTATTCAAGACATTTTTGAAACAGTGAAATTTTGAAAAATTTTGGTAAAAATTGATATTCACTGTTTCAAAATTGTCTCGAAAAAATTCTTGAATTCGACAGCAATCAACGGGAATATCAAATCTCAAAAATCAAAATTTCAATTAGAAATTACTTGAAACAGTGAGATTTTTGATTGAAAAATTTTAAAGATTGAAATTTTTTTAAAGCTTTGTTTCAAAAAATCCCGGATGAATTTTAAACAAGAATATTAATTCTTAAAAATCACAATTTTAATTAGAAATTACTTGAAACAGTGAAAGTTTTAAGAAAAAATAATATGAACATTTATCGAAAAATTGAAATTTGATCAAAAGTAAGGAATAAATTCAATTTTAGGCGAAACATTTGAATTTTTTCAACCATTTTAATTTTTGCAGTCCGCCCGTCAAACGCGAACGCATCGATTACGGTTCATCTGGTGTCATCAACAATAAAGTCTATTTTTCCGACGAAGACGAAGATCTTTACGACGAATTGGATTTGGAGGAATAAATTTTCTAAAAACTCAAAAAATTCCCCCCTCTCGCTTCGTCATTTTTCTTTTTTTTTCAATTTTTAGCCCAAAAAAATGTTATGCTCAAGAAATACACTTCATGCTTTATCTTCTTCTTAATTTTCTCCCAAAAAACTAACGTGTTTTCCAAATTTTTCTCTTATTATTTTTTTCTAGAAGCTTCTGAATATATTCTCTCTCTTTCAAACCTTTCAAAAAGTTCTCCTTTTTTATTTTTTTTTGCGCATTGAATACTTGTCTTTTTCTTTTTTTTTTCGTTTTTGAAACTGATATATGATGAAAAAAAAACTTTTTTTGTTTTTGAAAAAAATTAAGTCAAATATCAAATTTTATCCTTCCTTGCACTTGCTCGCATTTCTTTTTCATTTTCAAATTGTCGATTATCAGTTCGATTCAAAAAATCCATCCGATTCAAATAGCCGCCTTTTCCTCGATTATGACTTGATAAATCTTCGGAGATTTTTGCGGTTTCAGTGAAATCCTTCCAATCTTTTTCGGATTTCGAGAGAACTGACATTTTTGAGCGTTTTGAGAGACTTTGAATTGCATCAAGCATACCGACTCGTCTGCAAAAATCAATAATTAGGGAAACTTCGAAGAATAGGGGTTTTTTAATCTTTCAGGAAAAATCTGGGCAATAATTAAATTGTAAGATCAAAATCTTTTAATGAACATTTCGCGAAAATTTTATAGTTTATACATTTAAAGTGTCTCATTTAAAAAAAATAGCTTTTTTGAACCCAGAATTTCTAATCTTTGGCTTGAATCTGAAAAAGCCTTTGAAAAATGTGGTTTTTTGGTTGTCTATGTGAATTTATGACTTTTAATTAATTTTAAATTTGAATTTCTTGGTGCACTACCAAAGCAAATTTAGGGACTTCTATTTTTTTCAAAATAACTCACTTTTTCCCAGTTTTCTCCTTCTCATTTTCAACCTTTTCTACTTCATCTTCTTCGTCTCCATCTTTATTCCCATCGCCTTTTGATCCATATTTTTCCGCATCAAACTTCAAAGAAGTCGATGGTTTCACATCTTCCAATTTTTTCCTTCGATTAATTTCAGCCAAAATCGGATCCTCGCCAGTCAATTCGGCAAAAAGTGCGTCAATGTCACTGGAAGCTGCACCGCTTTTCGATTTTTCTTCTTCTGGCTCAACATATTCTTCAACTTCTTCTTCGGGATTTATTTCAGGGATTTCTTCATCGTCCACTTCATTTTCTTCGAGATTTTCCTCGGTTTCTGGGTTGTAATCTTCGTCGTCAGAACTTCTAGGAAAATAAATAATTAATTGATCATTTAATTAGGAATTCAAAAATTACCTGTATTCATCAGACATCTTATTTTCACTTCTTTTTTTGGTTGGAAAAGAAGCACGCGCGAAACGAAAAAAAAGACTCAGCAGTTGCAGATGTAGCTAAATCATATTTTGAGGGTTTTCGTAGCTGAACCGTAGAAAGAACTTGCATCTCCAGCTAAATCGAAGCAAAAATTTAGCTCAGTGTTTCTGACCGATTTCTCAGCTAAAACACACATACGTTTTAGCTACGGTTTTTTGGCGCGCAAACATGTTTTCTTCGTTTTGTTTTGTTTTTCGACGATTTTCGTGACTTAAAGCCTAGAAAAGTGCTGGTAACATATTATATCGCACAGAATGTAATTTACTACCCGAAAAATTTCGCGCATTTTTTGAGACCTGACACGATCTTAGGGGCGGGACTAAAATCGACGAAATTCAACGCAAAAACGAGAGATTTAGAGAAAAATGATTTTTGATCTACCCAAAAATTAATGAAACATTTGAGGTCTAGCGATTTGAGGTAGTAAATTACACCCTGTGTATCGTCTACGCGTCTGTGTTTTATCGATGGAGAACGAGTAAGTTCATCTAAAAGTTACGTTTTACGTTGAATCTTTGCAGAAAAACAGTCAGTTTGTTGCGTTTCTCGAAAAAGTGGAAAGTGATGGTGAAATCTTCAATAAATGAGGTAATTCCAACAAATTTTTCAATATTCCACAGTGTTTCTCAATTTACAGATGGCAATAACAAGAAAAAAGCCGGATGTCATGGATCTCGACTAATTTGGCTTCTAATAGGTTTTTGGGAAGTTAAACCGCCAAATGGAGTCGCAAAATGCACAAACACCATATCGTCATGTTTTGCAAGCCTACCCTATTGGGAAATTTTAGTTGCTACTTTTCTATCCAATATTCGGCCGGTCCAGGATCCAGAAGCTATCAAACAACTGCGAGAAAATTAAGTGTTTCTGGTGAATAACTGACTATAATTTCATATTCTTATGTTATTGTATGTTTCAATACGAATAAATGTTTTATATTTGCAAGTTTTCGAACTACGCCAAATACAGAAAGAAACCCGCATAAGCAGTATTTCGCAATAAACAGGAAAACAGTTTTCGTAGCTAAAACATGCATGTGTGTTTCGTAGCTAAAACAGACTTCGGTGTGTGTTTGTAGCTAAACCGCACACTGTTCGTAAATAAAACGCAAGTGTCAAGGGCTGCGATCGGTTGAGCTATGAATTAGCTACATCTGCAACTGCTGAGCGAAAATAAAAAACAGCTGGCCTAGAAAACCAAACACCGGTCGTGTGCGATGGAGCGCATTTGCAACACTGACAAAAGAGAGGAGGGAAATTGAAAAAAGGAGATTGATGAGTAGTTCAACAAAACTGGATTAAACGAGAAAGAACAACAACAATCAGGGTTTTAATAAATCTGAATTTTTACAAATATAGTATTTTTGTTTTTTTTTGGTGGAAAACTGAAGGAAAAAAGTTTTTTCGATCTTTGTCGCGAAATTTTAACGTGTTGTTATGGTGATATCAGCTCTCTTTTAGCTTTTTAGTGTTTCCTCATTTGTTTTTTATTACTCTATTTTTTTCTTTGTGAAAAACTAGAATAATAATATTGAAATTTCGCATGAGAAAAAAATCAAATATTTGTGTTAACAGCTGGAGGCAAAATCCGAAATCCACACAAAAAATTTGGATTTTGAATTTAATTAAAAAATTGTATTTGACCTAGGCCTAGTTTTTTATGTGAGAAAAGTGTTGCATTTAAATTAATTTGGAATTTTTTGTGGAAAACTTTTCAATTAATTTTTTGCCAAGTTTGTTGAGCTCGTCAGAATTTTTTTTCTTTGTGTCTTTTGAGAGAAAAAGTTGTTATTTTGGATTTTCGAATAAAAAATGCCATATATTTAGTTTTTGTCCTAAAATTCTGAAACTTTTGAAACAAATTGCCACGTGGATTTTTTATTTAATTTTTTTTGGAATTTTTTCTAGACCGTTTTTCTTTTGTGAAAAAAGCAAGGAAACTACATTTTTTACATTTTCAGAATCGTTTTTTAAATGGTAAATTTAATGGTTTCTCGATTTATTTCTGAAAAAAATGTCATGTGGATTTCCTAAAGTTTTCAATTTTATTTTTTTTTTGTTTAAAAAATATGTAGACTTTTTCTGGCGCTAAAGCAAAGCACAAAACATATGCAAAAACATTTGGCTGAGACAGAGGGAAATTTCGGGCATATTTCACACGAAAATCTTTTTTTCCCAGATTTTTTTTTCTAAATTAAAAACATGTTTTTTTTCGAATTTCTCACGCTCATTCAAATGGCAGAAAGTTTACCTTTTCGAAAAAAAATTGGAGACACAAAATCTTTTCTTTCTTTCTTTTAGTTTTGTTTTTCTAAAAAATCGCAACCCTTTTATGTTTTGGTTTTCACAAAAAAGTAAGATAAACAAAAATAACTATTTTTTCGAGTTCTAGAAACCTTTTTTCCAAGCAATAATTATTTTTGATTTTTTTTTCATTTCGAAATTTAGTGAAGAAAAATAGATGAAAACGAAAAAATTATATAAATAACGTGAGACGTGTAATCGTGGCAGGGGCGGAGCCAGCAGGAAAAAAACTCAGACTGTGCATTCTCATGTGAGAAAATAAAAGTTCAACGTATATATTTTTATTTTCATATATTTCTAATTCAATTTGTCTCCAAAAATCGCATCGTTTCATTCTATTCATATTCATATTCTTATTCTTATTCATATTCATATATAAAAAGTTATGGTTTTCCGATAAACGTTGAACGAAATTCGCAAAAATAAATAAACATTTTGTATTTCCGCGTTCAATTTCAGCTAACGAGAATGATAAGATATGTGAGACGAAAATGTTTTGTGGTGAACAAAAGTAAGATGCTGATTTATTTGTGCGCAGTTTTGGTGACTTTTTCGATTGGATATTATCATCGACTCAATTTGGAGCAATTGGTGAGATTCTTTTTTCTCGAAAATTTAGGTCTAGGGCGTGGGAAACTGAGAGCGCTGTGAGACCTGAAGTTTTAGAGCTATTAGCGCTACATTTCAAATTTGAAAATTTTCTAATAAAAATATGGAAATTCCGATTTTTCGCTTCTCATTTTCTCAAAATTGCATTTCGAGGATAGAAGAACAGCTAATCTTGCTGTTCTAAACAAGGAAAATCTAATAGTGTACGTAACATTGTCTGAAACTCCCTATGAATCTCTGAAAACGCGCTGAGAAAACAAAAAAAAATAAAAATTTCAAATACTGTAGTCTATTCAAAGGCACACATTGGAAATTGTTAACCGCGGTGAGACCAAACCTCACAAACAACTCATGTTTCTTCTTTTTGTAATTTTTTTCATTTCAATAATTTTTGGCACTAACAGAATTGTGAGCTTTTCAACAAAACCACGTGGAAAAATTGCTGTTTCAAAAATTATTATTTTCAGAACAGTTCGCCCGGGATATCTGGCCGGGAAAAATTCCTTCAAACGTCTCAAGAAAATGAGGAAAAGAATCTGGAAATTTACAATGTAAGTTGTTTATTTTCTAATAATCTTCTCCCCCAAAACCTGAAATTTCCAGACGTTCGAAATTCATTCTGCAATTTCTGGTGGCTCAAAACCCGCTCAACCTCAGCCAAAAAGCTGGAAACCACCATTTTTCAAAACGAAACCCAAGCTGAAAGTGTTTGTCTTGCCATTTTCACACGTGGATCCGGGTTGGCTTGAAACTTTTGAGAATTATACATTGAGAACAAATCAAATATTGACAAATATGCATGATTTTATGATGAAAAAAGAGAATGAAAAGATGCGATTTATGTGGGCTGAAATGGTGTTTTTTGAAAGATGGTGGAGTTTGCAGAAGGAAAATGTTAAGGAAGATGTTAGAGGGTGAATTTTTGAATAGAAATATTTGATGAGAAAATCTGGGAGGAAGAAATTGTTTTTGAAAATGAAAATCAGTTTGCCACGTGGAATTTTTGGTAGGGTCACGTGAATGTTTGAAATTTATTTTTAATTTATTTAAAAACTCCAAAATCAGCAAATTCAGATTTTGGATCCCTTCAAAAAAATTTAACATTATCTTCAAATCTAAAAATCATCAATTTTTCCAGATTGGTCAAATCCGGTCGTTTGGAACTCGCTTCTGGCTCTTGGGTTATGACAGATGAAGCCAATGCATATTTCCCAGTTTCTGTCGATAATATCATTGAAGGAATCAATTTTGTCCATGATAATTTCCATCAAAAACCAACCACAATTTGGTCAAATGATCCCTTCGGATATTCAAATTCAGTTCCATATTTATTCCAAAAATCCGGAATTAAACGAAATGTGATAAATCGAATACATCATTCAATTAAAAAACAGCTTCAAAGTCAAAAGGCGATTCCATTCAAATGGCAGCAATATTTTTCGAGGGAAAATGGGATTTTGACACATGTTCTGCCTTATACTCATTATGATATTTTGAATAGTTGTGGGCCAAATGCGGATAAATGTTGTCAATTTGATTTCAAGAGAATCACACATTGGAATTGTCCAGGACCGGCACCGCAAAACATTACTCTACAAAATGTCGCAGAGAAATCGAAAATGTTGGTGGATCAACTGAAAATTCAATCTGATTTGTATCGTTCGCCGGTTATTTTAATGATGCATGGAGATGATTTTCGATATGATATGATTCAGGAATGGCATCAACAACATGATAATTTTATGCCGATTTTTGAACATATTAATTCTGGAAATGAGGTGGAGATCAAATTTGGGACATTTACGGATTATTTTGATGCGTTGGAGGAGGATATTCACAAAAATCCGGAAAATCAACCGCCAGTTTTGGAGGGTGATTTCTTTCCGTATATGTGAGTTTTGAGAGAAAGAATAAAAATCTACAGTATTCCTGGCCTGAAAATACATAAATATCATTATTGATAAAATACCGTAATCATATGACAGTAGATTTTTTTCCAATAAAAATGTTCTTCCAAATTCTAGAAAGTGATAATTTGATTTCCTATCTGGCTCCAATTTCTACAGTATGATTTTTAAACTCAAAACTACAGTAGCTCTACAGAGTTTTCTTTGAAAATGATTTTTTAAAAACTAGATCACGTTCATAATTTTACTTTAACCCGAAATTTAAAAATTCATAAAAAAAAATATTTTCAGGTGTGCTCTTGGCGATTATTGGACTGGGTATTATACAACTCGACCATTCTATAAACGGCAAGGCCGCATTTTACACGTTTGTTTTTCCCCAAAAATTTTCCCCTAAACATTTCTCGTTTCCAGAGTCTGTTAAGAACTGCCGATTTGCTTATTGCAATTTCCACCCAAGATCTGAACAAAGAAGAGATTTTTGAAAAAATGAAGAAAGCTCGTCGAACTTTGTCACTTTTTCAACATCATGATGCGATAACTGGAACTTCGAAAGTTCATGTGATGACAGATTATTCAAAATTATTGCATGAAAATATCAAAGAAGTTCGAACAATTATTAGTCAAGTTACGGAAAATTCAGAAGTTCTGCGAGAAGAGAAAAATAGTGGAGATATTGAAAGTGATAAAATTATCGAAACTGCGAAGGTTATTAGAGTTTTTAATCCTTTACCTTATTCTAAACAAGATGTAATCGCTGTGAGAGTTAAGAATTCGAATTTTGGTGTGAAAGATCTGGCAGAATATCAAATCGAACCACGATTTTTGGAAAATGGATCTCAAGATGGTGAAAGCTTCCTCTTGGTTTTCACAGCAAAATTAGAAGGATTAAGTTGGCATGAGTTCGAGATTATTGAAGAAACTAGTAGTACTAAAATGGCCCAAGTTTCTGATTTGAAGATTATTAGTTCTAATGATGTGAGCCTTGAAAATGAAGAGATTCAAACCATCCACAATAAATCATCTGGAGAAATATTGGAAATTTTAAACAAGAAATCTGGGAAGACTACAAGTTTGAAGCAATCTTGGATGACTTATCCGCGAGCTTTTGGTGGAGCATATCTTATGAGAATTCATCAAAAGCCACAAACTCTCAAAGTATTGAAAATTATTGTTGTGAAAGGGCCGATTCGACAAAGCATATATCAGATTTATGAAGAGCCTTCGATTTTGCAGCGCGTTTCAGTGAACGCAAAAAGTTCGGAGATTGATTTATCTGTGAGAGTTGATATAAGGAAAACACAGAATACTGAATTGATGACAAGATTTGAAGTGGATTGGAAGAAAGTGCGGAAATATACGGATAGTGTTGGATTGCAATTGATTAGACGGGAAAATTATGATGGGTTGAATGTTGAGGCGAATTATTATCCAATGCCAACATCGGCGGTGATGGAGGATGGCAGAGAGAGGTGAGGGCTTTTTTTGGGAAAATTTTGAATAAAATAAACAAATTTTTCCCAGATTCACTATCGCCTCCAATTTGGAACATGGCGCGAGATTTGTTGAATCTGGAATTCTGGAAATCAACATTGATCGAATGTTGAATCAAGATGATGGAAAAGGACTTGGCTCAGATTCTAATTCAATTCCTACTGATTTAAAACCAGTTGAGATGGATTTCAAAATCCTGATCGAACCCAAAAACGAACCGAAGCATCCTTATTATTCTACACATTCTAGTCAAGCTCAGAAAATGGTTCAAAATGTGATTTATCCTAACTTGATAGTATCATCAGATAAAAAAGAAACCTCAAAACTGGATGGGTTTTCAATTGAACTTCCTTGTGATTTGCAACTTTTGACGATTCGGCAGCTTTCTGGGAATCGTCAATTTTTAACGATTTTTAAATTTTCGACGGTGTCTTGTGAAGAAGATCTTAAGGTAACTACAAAACAACGTCACCTAATTAAAATAGATGATTTTTACAGGCCTCACTTCAAAAATTATTCAACAAAATGGGTGTTAAACGGGTACAACGAACTGATTTGAGTGGTGTGACAAATATTGGAGATGTTCAGGATGTTCAAGCTTTTAATGTGATTTCGATAGATGCTTTCGATTTTTTGAATCTTGTTTTGTATTTTTAATCGGGTTGTTTTTTTAGAATAGTCATTTAATAAAGATGTTTTCGTGTCAGAAAAAAATTTTTGAAAAAAAAACAAAAAGAAAACAACGATACTCCGGCTGCCAGCAGTTTAGCGATGTTATTTTTTTCGTTTTTTTTATTTTCAGTTTTCTGTTTTTGAAAGTTTTGAATTAAGCAAGGATGGTAGCATCAACAAGTGCATCGAAAACATTTGATTGGCCTGTATTCAACCAGGAGAACTTCTCGAGAATGAGTATCAAATCGAAACAGGTAAAATATTTGATGAAACATGTTTTTGCGTTGTTTTTGAAACGCTGGGCCTTTCTGGTTTTCAAAAACTGCTACAACCAATTGTGAAAATGAATTATAATGTGGCCAAGTTCGAAATGTGATTTTAAAAGGGTGTAACTAGCTCAGTTCTCATTAAAATCTAAGACCACTGCGAAAAGTTTGATTTCGGAAGATTTTGATGAAATTCGAAAGGTTAGAAATCTCTACGCAGATAGCCTTGCACATTTCACAATTTCCATGATTTCTCACGTAATAGCTCATCTTCAGCGTTGAGATGAGCTTTTTTAGTAGATCAAATCTATATTTTTCATGAAAAACCTAATCAATACAATTTTCAGCATGTCGATGAACAAAACGTGACAATCGAGAGAAATGTTGGTGGTGAAAATGATGGACGGGTGTACAAAATCAAAGCTGATAAAACACCATTTATAATTCGATGTTTGTCACAAAGAATGGATAGTTTGATGTCGAAAAGTAAGGAGAAAGAAGAAGAAGAAAAGGAAAAAGAGGGACAATCGACTAGTGGAACTTGTACACAGAAAAGATCAATTGTGGAATCGACATCGAATGATGAAACTGTAACTAAGAAGAGCAAATGAAGTTGAAGATCCGGGAAGTTATAAGTGAAACGTGAATATTTATTTGTATATATTATTTTTGATATCATGATTTTGTACAATGAATGGAATTTGAAATTTATTGTTAGATATTTTTGTGGAAGGTTTAGATTTTGGTTTGATTACCATATTTATTTGAATTTTTGTTGAATTTCAGGAGACCAGGAGAAATTAGAATTTTATTGTAAAATCGGAGTTCGTTCTCAAAAATTCCAAGAAAAATTTTCAAATCTGTACGCGAAAAATTAAATAGGTTCTATGATTTTATTTTATTTAAATTTGAACTGTCAAAGTTTCCGTACATTTAACGAACATTTACTAATTTACCAATTTAGTGAGTATAATCTACTTGAAAAGTGAAAATTCGAATTTCGAAATCACAGTAACTAATTGTATTATTTTGAACAATTGGGAAAATAAAAAACATTCAGAAATTTTAATTTTTTCTCATAATTTTTAAAGTTCGAAAAATCAAGAAAATTTTCGAAACATTTTAGTTTGGCTCTATGAAATCTGAATTTTGATCGGCTCGAAATTTTTATCAAAAATAATTGAAGAGCTCCTGAACTTTTGAGAATAGAATTCCAATTTGTTGTCAAAAAAATGGAATTATTTTTGAAGTCTATTTGGTTTTGAAAAATCCAGATAAATTTTGTAAATTTAAATTTTTCTTCAACTAAGTTTCCATGTGGAAATATTTTGAAAATAAACATTGAATTGAAAAATCAGTTTCACTCCAGAACTTGAAGTCATCAGATTTGATAAAGGATTTTACAAAATTTCTTCAATTTTGAGGTTCGCTCCTGTTCCTACTGATTTTTTGGAGCCTCGAAAAGATCCAAATTTTCTTGGAAATCCTTAAATTCTTGTGAAAATTCCAATTTTTCCATGGAATGATCAAAATTCAATTTAAATTCAATAACATTTCCTCTTTCCGATAAACCGCAAAACATATGTTTCTCTTTCATGCAAAAAAGTGTTCTGATAATGTTCCTTTTCCTCAATCTTTTTCTCCACCTTCTTCTTTTTCTCTCAATAAAAAACACTTGTCCATCCATTCGTCCGTTCATTTGTCCTATCCCAAAAACGAAGAAGAAAAAGTAGTCCATATTTGGAAAAAGGGGGAACTACTCACAAAGCGAGAGAAAAAGAAAGCAATCGATTCCATCTGCCCGTCTGCCGCACCCCCTCTAACACACAAACAAAAACCAGAGTTAGAGACGTAGAGAGTGCGTCAGCAGCCTTCTCTTTTCTCTCTTTTCCTTTTCTATTTCAATGCCTGAATGGCTGTGGCCTGGCCTTCTTCTTTCTTTATGTCTTCTCTTTCCCCAACCAATATATTCCTCTTCTTCTTCTTCTTCTTCTCCCTTCACAAATACAACACATCTATATATATTATAAAATATATTTGTGTATATGAAAAAATGTATTGAAAAAAGACGCACTCTGCGTCCCTAATCGTGGTCGTTTCTTTTTTTTTGAAAAAAAAAATAAAAAAAGAAATTGTTGTTGTGACCAAGCAAATTGAACGGGTGTAGCAAATAATGTGTCATCTTTCTCTTTTTTGTTTTGTTTTTGATTATCTTTTTTTGGAGGGTGGTCAGCGGTTTTTTGTGGAAGGCGTGTAATTATCTGATTATTACATAATAATTGCGTTTTATAAACATAATTTTATGTCTCAGATTGTTTATGGATTCCTGAAATTTTAACCTGCGAAACACTTACCTTTTGAGAAACTGAAGCCCACATTAGGAACTTTCGATTTATGAAAAATTTCACGATCTGGATTTTTGGATTTGATAAGTTTTCAGAGGATTTTCAACTTTACATCCTTAGTTAAGATTCTGAAATTATCAGCGGAATTTCGGCGCCAAACTCATATTAATTTCTCAGAAAAAAGTCCTAGACCTTTAGTTTTATGAATATTTTCTAAACTTTATATTTCTTATGAAACTTGGATTTAGCCTAACTATTTCTAGTTTATCTTATCTTTTTTTCCAGCAAAGTTTCGACCAATGAAATCTTGCGAATCATAATTTCTGATGAAAAATCTGGGATTTTTCAGTTTGATATGAACCCATGTTTAAAAAAAATTGAATTTTTCACCTGAAAATCTAGGTTTACTGCTTCAGGAAAAAACCTTGTTTTTTTCTCCCAAGAACGCTAAAAGATTCAATATTTTTGCAGCCAAGATTTAGGGCTGAAATTTGGAACTTCTAGTTAAAATCTTTTAGAATTTCTGAGGAAAATTGGATCTTTTTCCATAACTCTTGCATCTATTTTTTGGGAATAATCTACAATTCCAAATTTTTCTCCAAATAACATTTTCACGATTCTTAGCTCTTCACAAGCCTGAATTTCACCCGAATACCCGAATGGGTTAGGCTAACTCCGATTAATTTTTCAAAATCCTAAGTCCCTCAGGTTTAATGAAAAACTTACGTAAATTACAAAACCCCTTTTCCCCCTCAAAAAATCTTTGAAATTTTAATTTTTCACGTGACCCTTATCATTTTTTTCTTTTTCCATCTTTACAATTTCTAAAAAATCGCCCATTTCTTGCAGAATACGCGCCGGGATCAAGTTGAAACGACGAGGACCGGCCGATTTGCATTGTATGATTGTCAGTTTTCGGCGTGTCGATCTGCCACAGAAGAAAGAAGAAGAACTTTTGAAATAGGAAGATGTCGACGACTGAAGATGAAAAGGTGACAACATCTGAAGTGGCACCAGCACAGGAGGTTGAACATCAAGAAGAGCCCAAGGAGGAGCAGGTCTGAAAATATTTTATTTTTTTTTAAATTTAGTCTATATTGGGATTTTTTGTAGGCCACAACTTCTGAGGAGAAAAAGGACGATTCAAGCGAGGAGAATTCGCAGGTATAGTTTTGCTCATAGACTAACATGAGCAATTGCTTAAAATGTGGCTTCTCCTTTTTCGTCTCTGACACTCTCTCACTATCTCGCCGTATGTTTGTATGTGTCCACTCAATTTCATTCGTCGTCCGAAAATAGAATAACAAAGATCAACAATCATCGCTGATTATTATGAATGATGACGCGAAAATTGTTTTGTGTGTAAAGGGGGGGGTTCCCCCGACAACACAAATGATTATTATATGATAGAGAGAAAGACTAGAAGATCATTGTGCTTTGGAAGAGGAGAGATGAACGTGGGAAAATGGGAGGAGATTCGGGACGGATGAAAATAGCAAAAAAAGGGGGAGGCAGAAATGTGTTGTGATATATATTTGATTTATGATCTAATCTTGACCAGCTTGTCTAGTCTCTAGTTTAATGCGGGGAGAAACTAGCAAATGCGCTCTATTGAGAAATGTGGGATTTTTTTTTGGAAATTGGCGATTTCTGAAAAATCTAGAAAATTCTAACCTCCTCAAAGCATTCGAATTTTCCTAAACTTCCGGAATTTATCAGATCTTGCCAAGTCATAGAACAATTTTTGAGTTTTCTGAACTTTTTTCGGCTGCTTGTAAGTCCTAGTAATTCCTCAGAAAACTCGAGTTTTTGCGATTTTCTAGCTCTAGAAACCTCCGATTTTTGCTGAAAATTCCCAGCCTCTAAGAATTCCTGCAAGATCATGTTCTTCTAGAAGTTTGTGCCACGTCATAACTCGTTCTCTTCCGCAGTTCTAGAATTTCTCAAAATCCCCGTTTTCCCATCCTAAAAGGTTCTCAGTCCATCCTAGCTTGAACCTTTACCCTAAGTTCTACGTTTAATTCCAGAGTGTTCCAAGTTAGCCGAACTCATCTCAAAATTTTGATCTCATCAAAACAGCAACATTCCCAATGTGTTGTTTTCCTCCGGAAAAGTTCAAAGATTTTGTTTATCTCTCCATCCCTCGACCCTCTTCTCTCTCTTCGCTCGTTCTCCACAATTTTTCACCGCGAAAAAAAACAACAAAACAGAAGAAGCGATTTATGATCGTCCGTCCCTCCATCGAAAAACAAATGCATTCTTTTGATCTTTTTCCGCAGAGTCCCTCATTTTCCAAAAAGTTGCACTTTTCTCATTTTTCTCCGATTATGTCTCATCATAATTACAAATTGTGTGTAACTCTCAAAGTTTTTCGCGAAGAGGTGTTTTTTTTTCAAAAAAATACTCATAGCACACACTCACAAACGCTCATTCACTGTGAGTTTTTTTGTGTGTGGGGAGAGAAAAATTGGAGAAGAAGAAAGAAGATAGACGAGTCTTTTCGCTGTCGTTTTTATATAATACGAGCGCATACACACAAACACGATCTCCTCATTTCGTACACTGTCTCCTCGTCTGCATCTCACACTCTCTCTGCTAGGGTTTTTGAATGAATGTGAATGAATTGGTGATTCGAAGGCCTGCGACGGCGGCGGCCGCTGCTGTCGCTTTTTACGCTCGCTCGCTCGCATCTGTCCCCTCTATTTCTCAAATACGCTCTGTCGTCTCTCATTTCCCCGCACTCTCTCTCTCCACCTTGGTCTTCGTCGGCCTATCTGTCTTATTGTCAATACATATATTTGAGAGACACAGAAAAATGGAAGGACGAACGAAAGAGGAACGAGCTTGGTTATTTTTTAGAGGGGTTGTGTTGTTGCTGTGTTATGGGAGGGAAGAGAAATAGTGTGCGAAATTGAGAGACGTGCTTTTTTTGTCACATAATGAATGAATATAACATGAAAGCAAGCAATGCAAAGAAAATTGAAGAGGGCGGAGTTTTTTGTGTGTGTTTTTTGCGGGAATTTGAAAGTTGCAATTGCTTGGGAATTTGAATAAGACGATTTGGAAAACAATTCTGGTCAGAGAATTTTTGGACAAGCTAAATTATATTGTGGGAAAAAGATAAAACCTCAGAAGAGAATTCTAGTAGACCTAAGGCTTCTTGGATTTGGACGAAATGTTTGGTTTTCTAGGCCAGAGAGTTCACAATACTTTGTTTCTATCTCTACAAATAGCAGAAACTCTTCCCGAACTCAATGGATCCTTAACGGTTCCCTCAAGAGTTACGCTAAGTTCATCCTCCCACCGGACATCCCAGAGCTACTAGACTCCATTCAGCCGGTGTATTATCGTGGGAATGTGTTGTTTCGAAAAGGGATTCCCCGATCTCGCTCTCTCCGCACTTTCTCTCCGCACTCCTCTTCCCAAAACACACTTTTTTTTGCCATCCGTCCATCGTCCATAATCTTTGATCTATGTTGTTTTGTTGTTGTTTTCTTTTTTTTGTCGTCCGCCATTTTCTTCTTCAACATCGTTCTCCTTCTCACCCCTCCGTCTCGTCACTCTCTCTCTTCATGGGTTTTCTTTTCGGCGACTCGAAAATTTATGAAAAATGTGTGATGACGTCATTTTTTGTTTTTGTTCTGCTACCCGAGGATAGACGAGAGAGTGTGTAAAATGAAGAGAGTGGGAAACAAAAAGAACAAATAAATAAGAAGAACGTGGGTCTGGGAAAATTCTATATTTTTTCGATCTTTGCAGGAATCAACCGCCTCAAAATCATCGGATAAATATGACGAATTGGTGGCGAGTGTGGCGGCTGGCGGAGGAACACCAAAAGATGGAGTGCAGCCACCAAATGCAGCCCCTTCTGGCCCTCCAACACATCCACTACAAAACCCTTCACAGCATCCACCACATCCACATCATCAAGGACCACAACCCCCAATGCCACATCATCAATATCCGCCACACATGGGATATCCACCACAATATCAACAATATCCCCCATATCAGCCTGGCCGACACCATCCGGGATATCCACCAGGCTATCCACCAGCTGGTTACCCGCCTGGACCACCGGCAGGCTATCCTGGTTATCCACCAGGGCCTCCGGGGATGATGAGAGGACCACCTGGACCTGTCCCACCTCAAACGATGGTTGGACCCACTGGGGAATTGGTGAGAATGCCGCCAGGACCAACACCTACAGAATGGGCTGCACAACAACAAAGGATAAAGGTAAGAAATTACGCGAAAACTAGAGGTGTTCATAATTTGATAGATCTACTCGGAATAAGCTAATTGATTGGATCAACTTACAGAATATCTTAAAAATTCCAAAACTAGACTGTAGTTAGAAAGAGCTTAAAAAATACCATGAAAATCTGAAGAGACACTCAGAGAAGTTTTAGAAAAACTATATTGAAAATTTGAGAAATTTTGAAAATAATATGGCAAATGATTGTTTGGCTTGGAAAATTTAGATTTGTGAAGCAAAATTCAAACATGTGAATTCCAAATGAAACTCTCAAAAGTAGCTCAGAACGAAGACTCCAAGAAAAATTGAGTAAAATCCTAGAACTCTCAAAAATAGCTTTCAGCCCAAATCAACAACAGAAACTTCTAGAAAAATTCCACTGTAACAAATTCAAATGCAAGAAAAAATCAGAAGTTCAAAAATATACCGATTCCCTACCCTTTTCCCCATCCCCCCAAACTAACCTCTCACATCTAATTTTCTCCAGGAACCTGCACCAAACGGCAAACCCGCCACACCATCCTCATCAAATCAACCAGCTCCATCGCCAGCCGCCTCATCGATAGCCGAAGAATCGCTAGATGAGAAGCCGAAAAATGCTGCCGCACCTCCTCCGCCTCCACAACAACCGCAAGGAATTATGTCGCCGATGCCAACGACACCGCAACATCCGGCACCTGCAAGTGGTAAGCATTTTTTTTATTTTTTGGGAAAAGAATATCGAGAAGATTTTCAAATATAAAATAACGTAGACGATTGTTATCACCATGACAACCTTATTTTTGCAGTTAATTCAACACCGCACACGGATGGGCCAAAAGTGCCGGTGGGAAAAGTGTTGACAAAACAAGAGGTTTTGGATAAATTGGTGGGACCTATCAATAAAATGAACCCGGCGCATGTTATGCCAGAAAGGCGAAACTTTTTCGAGCGACTCGTCGAGTTTTGCGAGAGAAATGGGGATCCGATTCAAGTTGTTCCACAAGTCTCGAAACAATGTATCGATTTACACAGGCTGTATATTGGTGTAAGGAATCGAGGAGGATTTCAGCAGGTAACTACTACTACTACAACTAAAGAAAAATAATATGAAAAATATTTTCGAAAAAAAAATGGAAAAAACAAGAGTTTTCCCACAACAATCAATTTTCAGGTAACTAAGGAGAAAATGTGGAAGGTTTTGTGTACGGAAGCGAATCCGGATCTATCCGAATCATCCGCTGCCGGCTATCAACTTCGAAAACACTATCAAAAACATCTATTGCTACTAGAATGTGTGGAGACTGGAAGAAACCCGGAGGATGAGGTTGCGTTTGCTGATAAACTGAAGCGGCAACGCAAGCGTGATACTGGAGGAGCGCCTGCCGCAACACCTGCGACACCGCAAGTACCCAATAATGCGCAAGTGCCACCGCCACAACAGTTTCCAGGTATGTATTTGGGGGGAGGGGGTTTGGGAGAGGGTTCGTAAAGGATAGCTTTGGGATTACCTAGAAGATTTGGGCCTGAATATTACCCCTGAATTGATTTTCCTCTTCTCTTTTCAAAAAAAAAAAAGAAAAAAAAGAAGTTCTAGTAGTTTTGCTGCTAATTGCGCTTATTCATTGGGCGGAGCATGACAATATTTATTTATGTTACACCTGCCTTTTTCTTCTTTTTGAACAAAAAAAGTTTCGAAACTTGGAAAATTAATTAGCAAACTTTACACACACACACCAAACCAAAATTTATGAACTTTTTTTGCGCGCGAAAAAAGTTGGGATTTGATATATTGCAATGTGGATTTTTCTCCCGAAAGATCTGACTATTGCGAAAAATTGAAGTTTCACAATTAGATTTTTGGGATAAAACGTGGCGAAAATTTGGAATTTGAAATTGAATTTCCAAATCAGCTCTAGTTAACCCGGGCGCAAAAATAAGAGAAACACTAAAAATAAAACTATTCATCGACATTATCGATTTTCTCGCGCCAAAAAGCCCTCAAATCATTGTGTCTTTTTGCGCCCGTTCGGCTCTATCTCGTTTGGTTGAATTTGAACTTTATGAATAGGAAACATGAAGTAAAAGGGAACCCGCGGCCGCTGGCGCAACACAAGAAAACAAAAGAAATGTCATGGGATACTACTACTAGTTTTCGCCCTTGCCTTGTTGTGTCCCTCGAAAAAATAGATAGAAGAAAGACAATGGAAAAATCCGTATGTGACAAAAATGTGGAATGTGCTTTTTTGATAATAAAATGTCGGAAAACATGGAGAAAGATCAATAAAGTGAATCGAATCGAACGAAGAAAAAATGTAATAGACTAACCTGATAGACACAGTCGGGTAACTAGGTATATTATATCCACATATGTATAGAAAAGCAGGTGTGAGGCACAGCAACCCCGGCTGAAAGATTTGTGAGCTCGCATGCGGCTCCTCTCGCATCCATCTCCTGCTTTATATCGACTAATCTGAAAAATGAGCGGATTATGTATTATTGTCGAGTGAGATCTGAGGTTTTTTGCCATAGCAACCATATCAAAAGCTGTCCGTTTTCTCGTATTCACATCTCATATCGCCCCTTCTCTTTTTCCATCCATTCTTATGGCAAAATAATAATACTGGTTGCTTTCCGTCCGTTTTTTTTGTTGTCAGTGCAGTTTTTTGCCTGTTATCTCAGTCCTTCGCCTTCTTCTCGTCATACACACAACCCTTTTCTTTTTTCTTTTTTTTTTCCATTCGTCGTTGGCTGTCTTCTATATGATTCCTTCTTTTTCTTCTTCTTCTTCTTCATTGCTGTTCTGTTGTGTTGTGTTGCCCCAATCATTTTAACACTGCCTTGGCTCTCTTTCTCGTTGTCCTTTTCTTTCTTTCTGTCTTTCTTTCGTTTTCCACATTCGTCGTCGTTCTCACTTTTTTGTTCTTTTTGATATAATAATAATAATAATATCATATTTGTCTCTTTCACTGACACTGGAAGAAGAAGGTATCTTCTTTCGTTGTTTTTGGCGAATTGCCAGCCGAGACTTACTTTTTTTGTTTGTGTACTTTGGTGTTGATTTTGATTATGAGACTGGAATTTTGTTGATTATCTGAATCTGAAAAAAGTTTTCTGATTTCTCGATCTAGTAGCACTGAAGTTTAAAACCAGAATCTGAAGTATGACCAAAGTTCGGAATAGGATTCCGAATCAGAAGATCCACTAAACTTTCTTATCTGATTCTGAAGTTCGTCCAAGCACACTTCAGGATATCAGCCCTATCATGATTTTTCCTTGACAATTTATACGCCTTAAGATCTTTTAGACTTTATTCAGCTCAACCTTACCTATTCTACTAACCCTCTATTTCTTACCCCTTGTTCTACCCTATTTCGGCGCAAACACCAAAATTAGTAAACCCTTGACTCACTCACCTTTAATTGATATTCACACGATCTCATCTTGTAATCCTCTTGTTCTTCTTCTTCTTCTCTTCTTACTATATTCCCATTTTCCCCCTATAATTAACCTCGTTAGTATCAAAACTTTTTCGCTCCTCCCCTTTACCTATTTCTGAATGAAATTAATCAGGAGCAAAAGTCCAGCCCCGCCTCCCAGTTTCTCTTTCTTTTTCTCTCTCTCTCTGTCTTCATTTTCAGATCAGATTAGTTCCTTCCTGGATTAGCATTCCATTTTTTTGCATTTTTTATTTTTGAAAATATTCCAAACAAGAATCGAAAAGTTTGCACTTTTGCAATCAACGGCTTCTCCCTCCTTTTTGTTGTCTCCGCCCATTTTTCTGATGAATTGCGAGCGCGAGAAACAAAAAAGAGAAAAAAGAAAAGTTTGGTGTCCAGATGTATGTGCCGCGTTGATTGATTTACAATTAGACACACTATTCGAAACCGTTTGGTACGGTAGTCGTTGTGCTCTTCTTTTTTTTTTCTCCGCCCATTTTCCCCCAACATCTCCTCATTTTAACGGTTTTTGTCTTCTCTTTTTCTTTCTCCTCTTTTTTTCTTTCATATATATTTTTTCGTAAAAAAATGAAGCTGTGCGTCTGGTTGCTATGGAACATCTTCTCTCATTTCTTCTTTTTCTTTTTTTTTGACGAGCTCTTCCTTTTTTTGCAAATACACAATATTCTTATTTAGCAGAAGTAGTTTGAGTAATTTGTCTCTATCTCACCAAGAAAACTGGCTAAATCATCGCCGAAATCGAAGAGGAATAGCGGCGCTGCCGCAACACCTTCTTCTTCCTCATCATCCGCTACCAATTTTGATGAGCCTTTGGGAAATAATGAATCCACTGCGTCTACGTCAACCGCAACGCAGCCGTATTCTCGAATGGCTGCGGCCACAGCCACTTGGTATCCGCAAAACCCCCAACACGGGAATGGCTACCTTGCGGCACCCGTAATGCCACCAGCCGCAAGATCTCCCGCGGGTTATGGATACCCTCCAGGATATCCAGGAGGCTATCCTTCGCCAGGAAGCGGAAAAGCCTATCCTCCGCCTGTACCGCCTCAATATCAAGCCATTCCACCACCTGGCTATTATCCCAATCCCCAACAATTAGCCGCGCGTGATCATTATTTTCGATCACGTGGAATGTATCCGCCACCCATGTATTATGGTAAGTTTCCCAATATATTAACTAATGAGAAGAATAAAGTATATAGAGAAGAAAAACCGGGAGGGGGGATAAGCAGATTTTGGTTGCCTTGGTGATGTATGCGCGAATTGATTAGAAAGATTTTTTAGGTGCTAGAAGAAGGGAATTAGAAAAATAGGTTACCATACTAGAAATCCACAGAACCCCTAATATTTCGTTTTTTCCAGGAAATGGAACCGCACCCCAACCGGGACAATTTCATCCGGGAATGGATCCCAATTACTATTATCAACAGCATGGTATGATGCCACCGCATTATCCACCACAACACATGCAAAACTTCTCCCCGGGGCAATATCCTGGCCGAATTCCACCCGGTGCTCAACCTCCGCCCGGGCAACCGACAGCGATGAGAGCGCCGATGCCACAAAATATGGCGCAACATGAGATGGATGAACATCAGAGACAGGCGTGGATGGCTCAACAACATCAAATGCAGCAGCAGCAACAACAACAAGCGGCTGCTATGGCTGCGGCGAGTAGTGGAAGTAGCACACAACCAGCTACACCGTCAGCATCGAATTCCGAAGCGGTTGCGCAAGCTGCGAGTACGAGTCAAGCGGGAAGTCGCGCGCCGAGTGCTGGACCATCTGCAACACCAGATAGTACGTCGAGAATGAGTGGAGGAGCGGATACTGCGGAGAATAGCAATACCGCGGAAGAGGCATCGACATCTTCTGCACCACCAGCACCTGCTCAACCAGCTCAACCACAGCAGCAACCACCTCCGCAACAAGTTCCACCACAACCTGGTCAGCCACCTTATTATCCACCAGGACCTTATCCACCACCGCAAATGAGACAACCTGGATTCGCCCCAGCGCCTTATGCTTATCCTGGAGGACCTCATCCACCACCTCCACATCCTGGATATCACCCAGCTGCACATCCGTCTCACCCGCAACACGCGCAATTCATGGCTTGGCAGCAGCAACAACAACATCAGAGATATGTTCAGCAACAACAGCAACAACAAGCTCAACAGCAGCAGCAAAGATATCCGCCAAACTATCCGCGACCTCAACAACCCCCACAAGCTCCTTCGCCATCAACAATTGCCAAGAGGTATCCCCAACAACCACCGCAACAAGTTCCAGTGCCTCAACAAGCAAGAGGATTGCCAATTCCATCAACATCTCAAGCAATTCCTCAACAATCGCAACAAGCCAGCGCTACGCAACCACAATATCCACCAGGATGTGTTGAATCAACTACGGCCACTCAACAAATCAAGCGACGCAAGATTTTCGCAAGAGAATTGTACAATGCTACCCCGCGCAGACTTATAATGGCAATGCGATCGGGACTCGATGCGGAAGCGGTTTGGGCAATCAACTCTCTCACAATTCTATTATACGATGATTCGAATCCACAGCCATCTTTGCAACAAATGCCCGGATTGTTGAATGTTATTGTTGAGCATTTGTATGCGACACTTGCCATTTTGTATCCAAAACATTTTGAGGTATGTTATTCGGGGTTTTTTTTTGTAAAAATTGAAAAAAGTGTAACATTTTGATTGGATTTTTTTTTTTGGGAAAATGTTTTGGTTTACAAAAAGTGTACAGAAATAATTAAAGTTTACAGTTTTTACACACAAAAGTATTTGGGAATTAATTGAGATTTAGAAAAAAAATCGTTTTTGAAAATGGCAGATTCTAGTTTTGTCTGAAAATTGTAGAATTTTCAGCCTGAAATTCATCTCTAAAAGTCAGTAATTTTTTCCACAAAATTTAGATCATGATGAATTCAAGAAGGCCCGGAATTTTCGAGCCTAAAACTTAAGCTTTGAAAATTCAGTCTGAAAATTAAGACCATGAACAAACAAAATTTCAGTCGATTTCCAAAATGAATATATCAAATCCTAGTTTTTCTCTGAAAATCCAGGCTTAAAAAATATTTTCAAAAATTTGTTCCCGAATTTCTATGTCCTCAAGTTTTCCTCCCCAAACCCCTTTTATTTTCAGCTCGATGAACCTGGAAAACCACAAATCTTTGACGATTCCAAAACTCTTGTTCAACAATTGATTGACAATAAAACTGGAGACTTGAAATTGTTTGTTGATCGAATGCCAGTAATTACCAGAAAATCATCAGCCGACAAAAATCAATGTTACACAATGAAATCAAGAAATGGAATTGCTGTCCAATTTCGCGATGAAAAAATGCCGCGATTTTTGACGAAACGAGTGAATCGAGAAAATGCCGAAACAGAAAACCGCGAAGATTCATCATTGACAACAAAATATGTGGAAGAACGAGCGAGAATTGGATTGGGAGGTGGATTGGCTGAAAGAATTTATGCGAAATTGAAGGATAAATTGGTGATTGAAGAGATTGAAAGGAAACCGGTGTTTTCGAAATATGAAGTTATCAATAATAATAATACACAGGAAGATAATGAAGAGAAAGAAGAAGAAGAAGAGGAAGATTTGACATTGGCAATGTTGAAAGGAGCTGAACCAGAAGAATTATCTGAATGTAAACATGAAAAAGAATTAGGTTGGCCGAAACCATCTGCATTATGTCCGAAAAGTGAAAAGATTGAACAACTCACCCAAAGAGCTCTTGCTTTATCCAATATTTTGCGCGGTTTCTCATTTGTGCCCGGAAGTGAACATTTAATGGCGAAAGATCAAGCATTATTGTATATATTGGGAAGGTTCCTCAAACTCTATGTTCATGAAAAACGAATTGTTGCGCAAAAACGCAATATTGTTTTGAATCCGGATGAGCTGAAAAAGGTGCCTGAAAATGAGTCGCTTGATGAGCAGCGAGAAAAAGCGCTGGCTGTTTTGGATGTTGATGATGCGAATGAGACGATGTTGATTGAGACGGCGAATTTGTTGAGAGATGATTCGTTTGTCATGTTGTCGCATATGAGTGTATCGGTGAGTTTTTGAAGATTTTGGGAGTTGGGAGGGCAATGGGAAGTCAAAAATCAAAAACTGTGTTATTTTTGTGAAAAAAAACCTTCACGCCGAATCATTAAAAAAATCTTCAAGATGAAATTTATTATGGATTTTTGAAACAGTCGATTTTTTTCTTTAAAACACCATTTACCAACAATTTTAAATCTGTTTAAATTTAATACGAAATTCTTGAAACAGTATTTTTCTTGTTTCTTGTTGAAACCCCCTATTTTTAGTTAGATCTCGCGAGTCATCGAAAGTTTTGAATTTATATTTTTGAAGCAGGGAATTTCCGGTTCAGTAAATTTTTTTTTTTGAAAAAATCTATCAAATTTTTATCTTCAATGAAGAAGTACCATCAAAATTGTCGACTCCCCTAAATTTAGAGATCAATATTTTTAGATTTGGAACTGTTATATAAAATTTTTGAAACATGTTTTTTCGGGCTTGAAAATTATGTCAGAAAATTTCTAATTTTTTTAAAACGACATCTACCTCCTTCCCCTTTCTCCTTTTTAATTCATTTTTTTCCAGCTTGCCCTATTCGATCTACCAAGTTCAATATCGTACCCAATCTACGATGGCCTTCTCCATTGGGCAGTTTCATCAGTTCCCGAAGCCACTGATTATACATTACCAATTGTTGTTTCGCCGCGCGATTATTCGCTCGAAATTATGTGCAAAATGGTGGTTGTCGATCGAAATGTTGATATGTTTTTGTCGACTGGAAAATGGTCGAGAATGGAGAAGTTTGTGAATATGTTGGCCAAATTGCTGACAATGAATGAGGAAACGCATTATAGGTGAGGAATTTTGGCATTTCATTTATTTTTTGAAACAGTAAATTTTTTGGAGAAGAGAAAGTAGAGTTTCTATCAAAATTTCTTGTGTTACACATTGTTGTGGAATTTTTGACACGGATAAAAAAGAGAACATTTTGTTTTTCAAAAATTTTGAAACAGTGAAAACAAATCTGATAAATTCGATTTTTCCTGTGATTTTTAAACAATAATTATATTTAGAAGACTTGATGAAACGTTTTATTTTCAAAAATTATTAGTTTATTCAGTTTTTGAAACAGTGAACATTTTTGAAAATTCAAAAATTGCACAGAAATGTTTATCCAAAGTTTCAATTCGAAAACAATCGTGAGAACATTTTGTTTTTTATGAAAAATATTAACTCATCATTTTGAAACAGTGAACATTTTGGAAAATCAATTTTTCTCGTTTTATCGCAGTTGATTAGAATTTAAATGCACATTTTCATGAAACAGTCTTTTTATAAGTAAATTTGATGAAACAGTGAATTTTTCACAAACAAATGTTCTACTTTCAATTCAAATTTTTTTTGCAGAGAATTTGCAATCGTCATTTTGAATGCTCTTTGTGTTTTGAATGAAGCAGTTTGTTATCTGTGCGCAATTGAAACCAACGCAATCAATCATTTGATATTATTCATTGATTCGGCTGATCAAAATATGCATCAAGTAATGCAACAACACGGAATGACTGCGCTAAGAGATAATCCAGAATTGATGGGAACATCTGTTGGAATGTTGAGAAGAGCTGCAAGTATGCTCAAATTGTTGATTAAGGTGAGAAAATCAAGATTTTTGAGAGAAAACTATGAATTTTCACCCGATTTTCAGTTCCCAAATTAAAATGAGCAATTTTCAGGTGCCTATGGCTTATCGAACTTTCCTCAAACATCAACAACGATTATTGCAATTTACAATGAGCCAATTGGTGAGTTTTTCTTTTTTTTTTTTTGAATTTTTTTTTCAAAACCACTAAATATTCAGTCTGAAATTTTGAGCTCAACGTATTTTTAAAAAATTTCCCGAAATTTTGAAAATTAATTTTTTTTTTATTTACTTTCTCCTTATCAAAAATAGTTTGTCTATTATTTAAAATGAGCGAATTTTGAAACGTATTTTTCACCTTATTTGAACAATTGACTGGAAACTTGAAAATGAATTTAATTTTGACTTAAGATTTTTAAAAAATTTAAAAATTCTGAAGATGTTGAGCTTAAAACGATGAAGTTTAATTTTTTCCTGAAAATTTCATTTAAAAAAATTAATTTTCAAAACTTTTAGATGGATTCACGAGTTGCTGCAATGGTCGCTGATACACTTTACGAAGTTCAAGATTTGGTTCGAGAATTTGGCGAAGATATTCCTGAAAAATCCACATTCTCCCTTTCCTCAAAAGCATCTGGAAGCGGTGAAAACCAGGCAAAAAAAGAAGAAAAAAATGAGAATGGCGAAGAATTGAATGAGAATGGAAAAATGGAAAATGAAGAGGAAAAGAAGGAAAATCATCATGAACAACAAAATGGAAAGAATGAAACAAATGAAGAAGATGAGATTGAGGATGAAGAGGAAAGTCAGCAACCGAGTTCGTTTAAATTGAAACAGCAGAAAAATAATGCGTATAAGAGAAGTGCGATTATTGATGAGGTTAGTTTTTTTTGAGATTTTTTGGGGGAAAATTTGAAGTTTTCATGAAATATTTACTGTTTCGAAAATTTGAATAAATTCGATTTTTTCTCAATTTTTTATTGTTCAAAATTAACTTTTCAAAGTATAAATTGAATTTTCTGTAAGAATAATTCTAGAAAAATTACTGTTTCAAAAATTAGAGAAATTACGAATTGCTCCCAAATTTTGATTCCACAATAATTTTAAAAATTTACTGTTTCAAAAATGTTCATTTAAATTTCGATTTTTCCTTTTCTTATTGTGGCTGCGATTTTGAATTTAATTCAAAACCTTTATCGATTTCAGTAATTTCCAAACATTTGGTTGAACTTTGGGTTCAAACTAGATTTTTTTCTGATAAATCCTATTATATGTTTTTTCAGCAATCTCGATCTCCGCCAACAAAACGATCATGTCTAACCAACGGATTCGACAAAAAATCATCGCAACAAACATCGAAAACCAACGGAACATTGAGTGAAACAACATCAACTCAACAACCACAAAAATCGCATGACGGAGGTGCAATGACAACTGCCGTTGCCTAATTGTTTTATCATTTATTCTATTTTTTTTTGGAATTTATTGATTTTATTTACTGTTCTATTATTATTGTCTTGAAATATTATCTTGTTATATGGATCCCCCTCTTTTTTTTTTTACTTTTGCGGGTATTTTTCTTCTTCCTCCTCCTTTTTTTTGTCCCCCCGAAATATACACAAATTTGTATCTGAAAATGCGTGTAACGTAGTTTCCCCACACGAAATCCCACACACTTACCAGTGATTTTTTTTACCGTTATTGATTTTTTTCTGAGAAGAATTCATAATCCTTAAATTATTCCCCATCCACATTCTTCTTGTATCATTTCGATTTTTGTGCGTTTTTTTCTTTTTTTTTTTTGATATTTATTTATATATACATATACATATTTTTAACATTAAATGTTTTTGAGACTTATCTTATCTGAATTGTTGTTGTTGATTTTGTTGAGGAGGCCAACGCTGCTGCTGTTGGGGTTGCTGCTGTTGATTTGGCGCCATTTGATATCCCTGCGGACCTGGGCGCATCATTTGTTGTTGAGGCGGAAATCCACGTGGCGCCTGCTGATATTGTGCATATTGTTGTTGGGGTTGCATTTGACCGGGTCCCATCATCGGACCACCCATATAGTCTTGACCGTAACCCATTCGACGCATCATTTTGTTTGGTGGCTCGTCTGGTCCGCCTTGATGATCCATTTGATACTGGAAAAAATCGGATTTTTTGAAACAGTGGATTTTTATGCCGTAAAGGCGGAGCTTCGTAATTTAAAAATAGGTATGATTGATTTCTAAACATACACAGCGTGAAAGCGGAGTTTCGTAATTTCTAGAATTGAAAAATCCCAGAAAATGCTCCTCAAAATTAACTGCGTAAAAGCGGAGCTACTTATTTAAAAAAAGACTAGGTCTGACTGATTTCCCAGCATCTACAACGTAAATGCGGAGTCTCGTAAGTTCCTCAGAAAACTGCGTAAAAGCGGAACTTCGTTTGAAACCACATATTCTAACTCAATTCTTTCCAAATTTCACGGCGTAAACGCGTATCATCGTACTATCCTCTATCTCACCTGCATATGCATATCATCTTGTTGTGGATGTCCTTGCTGCTGTTGTTGTTGTTGTTGTTGCTGCTGTTGTTGTTGTTGCTGCATTTGATGTTGCTGCATTGCTGCTTGAGCTGCATCCAGTTTCGCCTTTGTTCCTAACAATTCGGATTCTTGAAGATTCTCCTTCTTCGCGTATGGTATTGGATATTTGTTGAACACATCTTCGGTTGGTTTCGGATCCATCTGGAACTGGGAAAACATGACATTTTTTATTCACAAGGCGTTTTCAGCACAAAAATTCAGCTGAAACTCAAAATTTTCGGCCAAAAACTTGAAATTTTGTGCTGAAATTCAAGAAAATATAGATTTTCCCTAAACCCTCCCCAAATCTCTTTATTCTTACCTTAAAATACGGATCCTCCATGGCCTCTTTACAACTAACTCGTTTCGTCGGATCAATCGTCAATAATCGAACTAATAATTTGTATGGATTCGTAGCCGGCGATATTTTCCATTTGTCAAAATATCGATGCAACATATTCGGATATGTTGTAATTGGTGTTCCTTCGGCTCTCGCATCATTCAATAATTTCTGATGATCCGGCATCTTTTTCATATCTGGCCACTCGGTGTCTGATGGATAACCAAGAAGATGGAAGATTCTGGAATGAAAAGAAGGAATTCGGGAGGGAAATTTAGAACTTTTTAGTGTTTCAATAAAACATTCAAATTTTTGTGAAAGCTAAGAGTTCTAGAGATTTAAAATAATTCCCCTTTTCCCAACAAATCCCCTTACCTTTTAACTTGATCATAATGATAAGGACTTTGCGCCTTAATATCTTCTTCCTTGCAAAAAAACAGAGGCTCAGCTGTAAGCAATTCAGCAAAAATACAACCAATCGCCCAAACATCAATCGCTTTTGTATAATGTTTTGCTCCCAATAACAATTCGGGTGCTCGATACCAAAATGTAACAACAACCGGATCCAATTCAGCCATTGGTTTCAAAGGATTCGAAAAAACTCGTGAAAATCCCAAATCGGCAATTTTGACTCTTCCACGCATATCTGGTGGCCCATCACCCATTAATAAAATATTCGCCGGCTTCAAATCTCGATGCAAAACAAAATTCGAATGCAAATATCGAATACCCGACAATATTTGATATAATATATTTTTTACCATATTTCTAGGCACCATTATTGGAACCTTTTTATTTTTCGCTGTTCGATGATGTTTAATAACATGCCAAAGATCGTGTTCTGCATAATCCAGCAACAACCAAACCTTTTTCTCGTTAGTTAGAAAAACTCTTTGCAAACAAATCAGATTTGGATGTCGTAACTCGCGAAAAAGTGCGATTTCTCGACATGCAGACATTGAGAAACCAACACCTTCGATCATTTTCAGCGCATATTCTTTATTTGGATATTGATTGGAGGCATGTTTTGGCACCGCTTTGTATACTAATCCATAAGTTCCACGACCGATTTTCGAATTTTCAAAATAGAATAAATCTTCGACACGTTCTCGATATCTTCCCAATTCTTCTTTGAATGATTGATCAATCATAGGAGGATTGGAAAATGAGTACATCTCCATTTTTGGGTTAGTATGATGAGGTTAAAGTGAGTGGCGTTGTTGGAATCGGAAAAGAAAATAAATTGGAAATGTGCGAGAAAGTGCGCTCTAGCAAACTAGTCCCTTGGTTTTCTAGGCCACACATTTATTTTTTATTTTTATTTTTTTCTCACACTTTTTCACGCCCCGTTTCCAGCCTGAAAATGTCATTCCCGGGTCAAGAATCAACTGAAAAGCCGCGAAACGAACTGAACAATGAGCAAATCCAACAATTGCTCAACAAATTATCAAGCGACGAGCAAAAAGAGCTCGCCGATATGATGAAAACGTGTACCACCGAAGTGACGACAACACGTGGATTACCAATCACGGCGGGAATTTTGGGAACATTGTATGTTGCAAGACAACGACTTCCATCACAATATCATTTTGGGCCAAAAGGTTGGCCGTTTTATGCGATTATGGGAATTGCGTAGGTTTTTTGTTGAATTTTGATGGAAAATCTGAGATTTTCGGTTTAGAAGTCTAACATCGGTGAATTTGTTGTTTATGGGAATGTGTCGAGATCGAGTTACACCAAGAATTCAACAATTGTGGAATAAATATCAACTTGGCAACTCATCGACCACTTATGAAGAAATTCGACGACAAAATCGAGCGGGAGCTGCAGCTGGAGCTGGTGTGCAAGGAGAACAACCTCCACAGGTACATTTCCTTAGTTTTCAGAAAATAATAATAAAAAATTTGAATTTTTTCCAAAAAATTCAAGATTTCGGGCTAAATTTTCTAAAAACAAATAAAAATTTTAAAGCTGGAACTACAGTACCCGAAAAACTCCCCTCAGGACTCTTAGAACCAAATTTAACGCGTATTTTTCCCGCCAAAACTATAGAAGCCCAAAATTCCCTTCAAAACCCGAGTGCCCTAAATATTTGGCCCCAAAAATCCACGTATTCTTCCAGAGACAACAAGGCTACAACTACGAAATGCCTTCTTCGCCACAAAGTGCTTCTCCAGCTCAAAAATCCGATATTTATCAACAAGATTTGGCATTCACAACATACGATCCTTATGCTAATCTGAGCAATGCGAATTCTGGATCGAAAAATGATTTCGATATGGTTTCAGGTATTCAAGTCCTGAATTTTGTTAGCTTGATAAAAATAGCCAAATTTTTCCAGGATCCTCGCGGCGATCTTCTCCACCTCCACCTTCATATTTCGACAACGATGCTCCGTCTTACATGTCTGGAACTCCATCTTCATCAGGACGTAGGGAATTTTCTTAAATTAGGCTAACTTTTAATCAGGCAGAGAGAGAAAAACGTGTTTAGAAATGAAGAGTAAAAAAAATAAATTACAAAAAAAATTCTAACAGACAACAAAATATATTCAAACAAAATGTGGTTGGGGAAAGAAAATCAACAGGGATCCCAAAAGGGATTTTTAATTAATTAATAAAGTTAATTAATTATAACGATAATTTGGCTTTCTTTTGAGCCGGATGTCCTTCTGTGGAAATCAGCGAATTCATGCGCTCAATACTTTCGGCAATGTGATTGGATTTGGTTTTTTTGTGCGCCGCGATTAGCGGTTGAACCCATTCGATGTCGATTAGAGTGACTTGGCTGAAAATTGGGAATTTCAGAAAATATGTGGAGTTTCAAAGAAGTTTTGGGCTGAAAATTTGGAATTTTTAGAAATTTGTTCTTGAATATTGCGAATTTCGGGTAATTTTCTTGAGAGTTTTGAACATTCAATCAAAAATGACCATTTTTATGCCAAAAATTCAGAAAAAACTTACAGTGCATAGAGTTCGGTGGTTTTCATCAATTCGGAGAAGACAATGTAGGCCGGTTTTGACTGGAAAAATAATTGAGTTAGGATGGGATTACTGTAGATTTTGGTACCAAAATTCGAGAAAATTCAATTTTTCATCAAAAAGACTGAAGAAATAATCATCCAAAAGAAACCCTCTCAAAATATACACATTTTTTGAAACAGCAAATTTTTTTGAATAAAAAAAATAAAACGAACCCTTGAAAGACATGAAGATGGATGAATTTTGACAGTAATTGCAGGATTTATAAGTAATCGATATCTGTCATCTTGTCGATTATATTCACAAGTATTTAAGAACAAACCAAGAGCAATTGCTTTTCTGAAAATAGGGAAAAATATTGATGGAGGAAAATCGCTCAAGTTTTGATCTCTGAAAAAATTTTTGGCTGGAAATTCCAATAACGTTATGACGTCGAAAAATAGCTTGAAAACTTATTTTCAAAATTTTTGTAATAATTCATTTTTCCACGTCATAACATTTTTCAGCTTAAAGGGTTGGTGCTCCGCCAGGGAATTTTGCTTGGTTTAGATAGGAATAAGGTGCTCCTGGAAGGTTCCAGTTTTAGAAAAAATTCTAGTATCAATTCAGCCCATGTTTTTCCTCAAAAACACAAGCGAGTTAAAACCTACGAAATAAAGCATGTAAATGCGCTCTAGCGCACAACTTGTTTTTGAATTTTCGTGTGTGTGTTTGCACACAACTTTGAAAACAACACTGTGACGCCTTTTTGCAGACGATTTTTTCACCAGGAAAGCACCAACCCTTTAAATTATAAATTTTTCTGATTTTTTTGGGAATTTCAGTTGAATCAAATATTTTTCCAAAATCCAGAGCTTATGACGTGGCAAAAATATTCAGATATTTTCCAATTTCAGACAAAGTTATTGATTTCTAGCTTTTCATATTTTCAGCCAATATTTCTAGATTTCCAAAACTCACCGAACTTTGGAAAATTCACTAGCACAAGTCGAAAACGGAATCTTATTCTGGACTGCAATCTCTTTCAATTGTTCCTCAATTTGTGAGGCCGTTTTCAAATGTTGTTCATTTATAAAATTATCGTTGCAAAACTTCTTAATCGCTTGATTATACTCGTTTTTCAGCGTTTTTTCGCAATGTTTTCCAAATCTCGCGTCTTGTTGTGTTTTTTTGTTCAATTGTTCGAAAAAATGATTTGTTGTTAGGACAATTTTCAACAAAGTGATATGATCTCCTTCCATTGTTTCGAATTTTCGTCGAATTCGCTCGATTTCTGCATTTGTTCGGATGTCGGAAGACGAAGATGAGGATAACATTGATTCGGTTTGCATTGCGGCCACAATTTTAATCGCTTCCATAATACAACCCTCTTTTTGTGCTTGGATTAGGATTCTGCAAGAAAAATGGGCGGTTTTTCAACTTATCCAAACTTGTGTGGGCTCAATAAACTTCAGGAAAATTTGAATTGTCAAAAAAGGGTAAAAAACAACGTGGCAAGGTTTTATTTTCATGCCAAAATTTAATTTTAAATTTTTTTGAGAAAAACTAATTTCAGCTTCAGAACATTCAGTAAAATATTGAATTTTTGAGCCACAATTTGAAATTTTTATGTTAGATCCAAAATCCACGTGGCAGGGTTCTGATTTTCAGAAATTACAACCCTTCCCCTTCCCCTCTTCAAAAATTCCCAACCTCGAATGATCTGGCGACAATGGATACATACAAAATTTGTCTCCCATTTCAGTCAGCACAAATTTCGTCCTCTCGGAATTTGTTGGTCGAATTGCTCCAAGTGATGTCAATTCCAACAAAGCCGCTTCGATATTCTTTTTTTCCGGCGAATCGATCAATTTCAAACTGTGCGGATTTTTCATGCCAAGTTTCATCAATTCCAAAAATGTTGCTGATAGATTACATCGCAGAATTTCTGGCATATTTTCGGCGTCGAAGTTTTTGAAATCCGATTTTTGATATAATCGATAGCATTTTCCAGGGGCATCTCTTCCAGCTCGACCTGTTCGCTGTTTTGCTTGAGCTTTGCTGATATTGTGGATTTTTAGAATATCAATACGATCAACCGCGTCAAATCGTCTGGAAATTGGAAAAATTTTCAAACTTCCACGTAGCAAAAATATTTTGAAATGTTACAAGAAATTTTTTAAAAAATCCACGTGGCAAGTTTTTAAATTCAAATTTACATTCAAAATGATCAGAATTTCAAGCCTCACACATTTTCCCCAGTTTCCCGCTCCCGCTTCCCAAAAACCCCCTCTCCTCACTTAGTTTTGACTTTTCCCGAATCAATAACCACTCGAATACCAGGAATCGTCACCGATGTTTCGGCAATATTTGTCGAAATAATAATTTTGCGAGTTCCTTTTGGAGTTGGCCTAAATGCAAGTTTTTGTTGATCGGGTCGAAGTGCGGCATAAAGTGGGATTGGCATTAGAACATCAGCGCCAGCCGGAAGACTTGAATTCAGATTTTGAATGTGTTCACAGGCACTTTGAATTTCATCACTACCAGTTAGGAAGACCAGAATATCGTGGCTGAAAAATAGAGGGTTTGGTTGGGTGAAGGAGAAAGAAATTGTTGTTTCAAAAAAAGGGGATATATGTTTACATTGATAAATGAATGATTGATTGAAGGAAAACTGTCGAAAAAAAATTACTGTTTCAAAAATTTAACATAAATTTGGCGAAAAGAGGGAACAATGATTTTTGAATTTACACAATTTTCAAGATAAATAAATAAACATTTCATTATTTTTCCTTCCTATAATTTTTACTGTTTCAAAAACTTTTAATATCACCAATGCGATCAAATTTTTTGTTTCAGATATGATTTTAGTGGATAGGAAAATTCAAATGGGTTAAATTCAAGAATCTTGTCAAAACTTCGAAATTTTCAGCTCAGAAGTTAGATTTTTTGAAAAAAAAAGGGTTGGAGAACATTTACTTTCTAAATTAGAATAAAAACATATTTTTAACTTTTTTTCAAAATTTTCGTTGCAAAACACAATTTTCAGGTTACCACATAATTGTTTGGTCACTTTTTGATTTTTGGTTGAAAATACTACATTTTTCTAATGCAAAATTATTGAGTTTTCAAATTTTCTCCCCTCAAAACTACTCACCCTTTCGGCTCCGTCAAATGCACATTTTTCACCGTAACAATCATATTTTGCACATAATCCGAAACCGAAAAACCCTTGGCAGAAACCGGCGAAACATAATAAACATCAATTGGAAAAGTTCGACCAGAAACCACGATAACATTTGCATTATCGAAATATTTCTGGAATTTTTCGGCTTGAAGTGTGGCTGACATGATAATCAATCTGAGCGGGTTTTTCGAGGCGGCTCGTTGTTCTTGACATATTCTCAGAATACACATCAAAACATCGGAATGGAGACTTCGTTCGTGAGCTTCGTCGATTATTACTGTTGAATATTGATCCAAAAGTGGTGAGATCAAGGCTTTTCTAGAAAGTTTGAAAGGGATTTTGAGAGATTTTTAAAAATTGAAATTTCAGGTGCTAATCTGAGAGCTCAAAGACCCCCTTACCGTAATACAATTCCATCAGTCATATATTCAATTTCGGTTTTTTGACCAGTCATATTCTCGAATCGAACATGATACCCGACCGATTCTCCAATTTCGCATCCCATTTCAGTTGCGACGCGAGTCGCCAGCGAAACAGCTGCGACTCGACGCGGTTGAGTCACGGCGATTCGACCATTTGCAGCGAGACCCGCACGAACGCATATCTGGAAATGATGGAATTTTTGACGTGGGTCACGTTTCGACAAAACAATGGAATTGTTTATTTCCGAAAAAAATGGTGAGAAACCTGATAGGTTTGTAAAAAATGTGATTTTCAATTCACTTAAATCTGGATTTAGAGTTTTTCTCAGGGTTCCATTTAGAAAAGCTTCAGGTCATGTTTTCAGAATTAAAAGAGCTTTCAATTTATTGGATTTCCAGAGTGAAAATTTTGAATTTCAAATGTTAATTTCAAAAATGTATTCATTTTTCGAGAAATCATTTCCATGGGTTTTGAAATTTTCCAATTTTTATGATTGACCAAAAATAACTTGAAAAATTCTAGACTCCTCCCCCCTCTCCCCTTTCAAAAAATTCACCTGCGGAACCTGTGTCGATTTTCCCGATCCAGTTTCTCCAATCACAATCGTCGTCTGTTTCGTCACCAATTCATGCATTAATTGTGTCTCCACTAAATCAATCGGTAATTGTTGTCGAATAAATCGTTCTTTTTCAGCAGCCACACCTCCAGATTTGACTCCATTCAAAATCACCGGACTTTTCACCGGTTTCTCAAATAAATGTCCATTTGTGCTCACTTTGCTCTCAGCTCCTCCCGGTGCTCTTTGCTCATTTTTGAACTTGTTCTTATTTTTCTTCTTCTTATTTTTCTGGGAGATCGTGGAAGTTGGTGTAATTGGTGGAGTTGGATGCGAGATTCCATTTGGGATGATTTTTGGAGTTGGAGTTGTTGGAGTTAGCGGAAGTGGAGGAATTGATTTTGGTGAAATGTGACTGAAAATAAGGTGGGATTTTGAAGATTTTTTTAAATGTGAGATTTCAAATCGATTTTTTCGGTGAAAAATATGCTCCCAGTTCGAAAATTCATTAAAAATCTATTCTGCGGCTGAAATCCGATCCGAATTGTGAACATTTTTGAGCTAACCGCAAAAATTCCAAAAAATGCTCCAATTTCTCTCCCAAAAAAACGTGACCAACACATTTCCACGTGGAAAAAAAAGATAAAATCAGCGAGAATCACTATAAAAACCCGGATCCTGGCTAATCTAGTCACTTTTACTACAAAAAACAATCAACCAATTCGCGAAATATATCGGAGAGTGGAGACATTTCGAAAAAACAGCTCTATGTTCGAAACAAAGAAAAAGACAATGATCAGATCCAGAATACCGTGAGTTTTCTTCTCTAATTCTCTCCGAATTCTTCAATCTCCAATTCTTTTAGTGCTGATGAGACAATAAGTAGTAGCTCGTGTGATACTAGTTACGAAGAAATGCCACGTGCAACCGCTGGCTCGATTTTCGATGGTTTTAGAAGGAAAGAGAAAAGTAAGAATACGAGAAATAGAAAAGGAAATCTGGCGACAGAAGGAAGTGCAAGATCAAGAAGAACGAAAAGAGAAAAACGGAATGCGGAAGCGAAAGAAAAAGAGAAAGACAAGACAATCGCCGCAGCTCCTGCAGCTCAAATGCATCCAGCTGTACAAAAATGGGTGGAGAGAGCATTGCAAATGGGTGTGCCAGCACTTCGTGATGAATATCGCGCACTTGCTAAATATACGATGGAAGGAATGACGATGGAGGCATTTGTTGCCAATCAGCCGCAGAATCGTAATCGTTATCAGGATGTTCCGTGTCAGGATGCGAAACGTGTTGCGTTGAAATCGCCGCCCGCCGCCTGCGAATATGTTCATGCGAATTATGTGGGAACACCGATGTCGGATAAACGTTTTATTTGTGCGCAGGTTGGTTAGAGAAGGGGTTCTGAACCTGATAGATGACGTGGATTCCGGAAAATTATAGATCAGGAAATTCAAAGCCAAAGCCACGTGGCAAACGCAAACACTGAAATTCGAATTCTCAATTTTCTAGGGTCCTCTCGACAACACAATCGACGAATTCTGGTGGCTGGTTTGGCAAGAAAAGGCTGAACAAATCATAATGCTTTGCAATTGCATCGAGACGGGAAAATTCAAATGTGCCCAATATTGGCCATTGGAAGCAAAAGAAAAACGAGAAGTTGGTGGAGGACAAATGATTGTCGAAAAAGTGGATTGCAAGCCAATGGAACGCGAACCAACAATTATGATAACCAATTTGAAAATGACTGTTGGCTCAGAAACTCGTACAGTTCGACACATGCAATGGTTAGATTGGCCAGATCGTGGAGTTCCACCTTGTAGATTAACAAGTATGGAATTGTTATCATCGGTTCGCGGATCAAAAGTTCCAATTGTTGTGCATTGCTCAGCTGGGATTGGTAGAACCGGAACAATTGTAGCCATCGAATATATTCTCGAAAAAATTAGTGCTGGAAGTGATTGTATGGCAATGGGTGAATTGATGAAGGAATTGAGAAATCAGCGAGCTTATTCGATTCAAAATGATTTGCAATATTTGTATATTCATCGTGTAATGCTTTGCTATTTTTTGGAGAAATATAAGGATAAATATGCGGCACTTTTGACTGAGGATAATCAGAACAAATATAAGAAATTTGTCGAGGAATATAATACGGCTGTTGGACAATAGGAATTGGAATTGAAATTGAATCGAAACAGTTAGAAATGAAGCTTTTTTACTGTGGTATTGAGGTTTTTCTCTCAGAATTGCCGATTTTGAATTTTACGATGTAAAATTTGTCTGAAATTGCTCATTTCAAACATTTTGAGCCTAAATTAATTGAAAAATGTTAAACTCGATTTCCGATGCTTTTGAGTCATTGCTCATATTATATTCTTTTTTCACTGAAAACTTCGACTTTTTTTAGAATCATTGTTCCAAGTCTGAGATTGCTCATTGTAAAAATTTCAGATTTTGTTCAAACATTGCTCATTTTATTTTTATTAATTTTTTTTCTCTGAAAATTACAATGAACGATTTTCAGACTTCATTTTAGATAACTATGTATTATGAATAAACTATTATTATTATTATTTTTTGTGCCAAATTTTTCAAAGCCAAACATTGCTCATATTAAAAAACCACCTACCCATTCAAAATTCCTGCTTTTTCCAACAATTTCTTCTTTTTCATCAATCTCTTCTGCCTTTTGCTCATTTTTTTCTCCAAATTCGGAAGTCCAGCTCCATTCACCATTACTGCTGAAACTCTCGTTTTCCATTTTTTTTCAAATAAAAATCAAATTTACCTCCATTTTTCCTCTTCTTTTTCTTCTTGCTCATATTATCAGGGAACATGTGATTTATTTTCATTGCTGAAATTCGTTTTTAGATAGAAGTTAGGGTAACTTTAAGAAAAATATTTTCAGAGTATTTTGAGCACTCTTTTATAAAAAATAAAAGTAAAAATTATGGGGCTATTCATGTTATTTTTCAACGCTGAGAAAACGGGAGAAAAGCGGAGAAAACCTATTCAGGTAGGCTGAGAAAATACGAAAAAAGCGGAGAAAATGTATTTCCTCCGCATTTCTCCTGTTTTCTCAACATGCTGAGAAAATACATGAATAGCCCCATTAGAGAAAAAAATGAAAGATTTTACACGTTTTTGAGAGGAAAAAAAAAGGTTTTTACAAAAAATACTTGACGGCTGAAATTGAGAATAGTTTTTCGATGAAAATGAGATCTTCGACGGCGCCAACGTGAGCTGCAAAAAAAGAATTTAATTAAAAATTGCTAATTAATTAATTACCGGCTCTTCGAATAATGCGATTTGTTGAAGCTGAGACGACTTGATGAATTGTTGTATAGCGAACGAAATTCTCCACTCTTTCACCATTTTTAATCGAATTTATCACATTTTCGATGATTTTTCTGGAATTTTTCAGATTTTCGAAAAATTCTTGGATCTTTTTCATAGAATGTTTCGATTTGGAAATTCGAAGATTTTTTGAAACCTATTTTTTCGGGGAATTTCTAAAGGCGATTTCAGAGTTCAAAAATCTGATTTTTTCAAATTCAAGCTTTCGGAGTTCAATCGAAATGGAATTTTTGACTCGTAATTTAAAAAAAAATCTAAACGTATTTAATTGAGGAATATTTTCTTCTTCAAATTTTGAATAAAAATTAATTTCAATAAATTTCACAAATCCCAAATCCCTCCAAAAATCCTTACTTATAATGAACTCCAAAATTCGACGAATCTTTCAAAGATTCTTTGATTGGCAATAAAAGCGATGAATTACATGGAACTATTTTATCGTCTGCAAAAATTATCTTTTTATCAAACTTCCAGAAATTCCAAGTGCTTACGTGGATTTCCAACCAACAAAACATTGACAAACTTCGAAAATGCTCCATTTTTCGATAGTTCATAGATGAAAGTTTCTTCGATTTTCGATTTATCACGGAATGACATTTGATAGACTGATGTTGATTTTTTGAATCTGAAAATAACAGATTGATGAATAATTTTTCAGAAAAATCACTTACAATTGCACAAAATTCACACCCCAATGAACATGTTTTCCCATATAAGCCAATCCTAAATGTGGACTATTTAGAGTCATTAAAGTGTGCAATTTTGGAATTAGTTTTTTGCGAGTTTCTTCTTCCATTTCGGCTTCTTTTCCAATCATATTTCGAACGATTAGACCGCCTGCAAGAATTTTCGTAAAATTTTCAAATTTTATCATTTGGTAAAAACTTTTGATCAGAAAACTCTGAATTTTTTCATACAAAAATAATTTTCGGACAATTTGTTCTTAAATCGAAATTTCTCGGTGTTAACATATTTGAGAATGGTCATGTCTAGACATTATTCTCCCCTCTCAAACTTTCAGATTCAATTCATTCCAACTTTGTCATCAATAATGTTGTTGTTTCCAGTTTTATTATTATATTCATTTCTTCAAAATGGCATATTTGCACTCAAAGATTGGAATTTCGTCACAAAAGAAGTATTGGATAAATATATGAATTTAACGAAAGAAGATGATCCATCAACCATATTAGTACCAGTTTTTACAACATCAGGAAAGGATCAAAACGATGTGTTCATTTCCAAGGAAAATCGATGGCAACATGCAAGAACAATGAAAGTTCTGTTGGAACCAAGATATATTTATGGAATTAAAACGGAAAATCCGAAATTTGTGGAATTTCGAGTAGCTAGTTATAATGCGGAATATATTATGCAGTATACAATAGTTAACCCAAATAATGATAAGAAATGGTTGATTCTTGCAGAAAAACGAATTGAAGATCGAGAATTTTTGAAAAGGTATAAAAATGTGGATGTTTTGAAACCGAGATTAGAAATTGATATAAACATGAGAACAGTGTTGGAAAAACGATTTGTTAAATTTTTAAAAAATGAGGCAAATGTGACAGAAGATTACAAAATAAATGGAATTGGTGGAACAATAATACCAACACCCGATGAACTAACTGAAAATAACAGATTAGTTCGGAGTCGGACATATCTGAATTCAACACAATTCTACAATTTTGTGATGAATGGAACCAAATATGGATTTAGTGTGAAGCTAAAGAAAATTAATGGAGAATCAGCTGTTTATCACTATCGTTTGGTAAAAGTTGGAATTGATTGGATGTTTAACGAGGAATTTAATGATAGCGAATATTTGACTGACGCAGATTTGGGAGATTTGAATTTAAAATTTTTGCGATGGGGTGATAATCATAGAAATTGAAATTGTTTTCAATAAAGTTATTTTTGGGCAATTTTAGGATCTGATTTTTAAATATATATTTTATTTTTCTTCATTTTTGTGATGAAAAATCCAGATTTTTTTTATTAATTTTAGGTTACTTTTAAACTTCCCGAAAGTTTTGAGGAATTTGGCCAAAAATCCTGTAGTTTTGAGCTTCTCCGCAATAATTTACGCATTTAAAATTTTCAAGATAAAATGATTATTAAATAGTTTTTTCAATCTTCCCTCGATCCAAAAACACTTACCCAAACTATGCGCGATAAAACTAATTCGATCATAATCCACAGCACATTCCTCAAATCTCGCCTCAATCTCCGCCAACAAATTATTCGACATCACATCGAAATCATTCCAAGTAGTGCGCAAATTCGATTTACTCAACAAATAGTCGAACTTCCAAGCCTCTGCATTTTCATCGTGCAAATGTTCCGAATTATAGTTCGACTCAACAATTTGTCGCAAACAATTCTTATAAGACATCAAATCATCCGGCGAACCTTCTAAACCATGCACAAATACAACCAAATGAAGCGAAACCGGTTTGCTCAGAATATCATTCATACTTTTATTCTCATCCAAACTTTCGATATAAACCGATGCCATTGGTGTGAAAGTCGGTGCTGTTTGTCCCAAAATCGATTTTTCGCTATACAAATAACCATCATAATTCAAATCTGCTAACTTTTTCTTAACATTTTCACGCTCTCTAATAAATTCATAAATATCCATAATATCTTGTGGATGTTCTTCTTGATAATCGTCCACTTTTTCAGTTATTGTGTGAATTTGATCAGCTGATGGTGAACTTGTTAACAATGCAGCAATTGTTTCTTCTTGTGATACCATTGATGTTGTTGGCTGCATTTCTCCAGCAGCTGAACATCTCTCTTCTCCTTCTGCTTCCGTGTTTTCCCCATTCGCCATCAATGGAATCTTAATCTCTTTCAGATTATCTAGTGTCAAGGTTAAACTTCTTGGAGACTCTCTGATTAGTTTTGTGGGCGATTTATGATCCAAACTTCTTCTGCGGGGTTTCATAAATCTCAGTTTTTTCGATGCTTTTTCTCGAAACGATTTGGATTTCTTAGAAGATGTTGAGAATTTTGAAGTTGAAGGTTCAGAGGTGCTAGCAACAGGCGCTTGGGTATCTTCAGATTTTCGGAGATCCTTGATAGGAGGTGGTGATTTGGTGAAACATTCTTCGAATATTATCGGGCTGGAAAAACATCAGATTCACAGTATCTATCAAAAACCCCTCTCAAACCTTACCATAAATCACCCGGCGAGTCGAAATCCGAGCAAAACAAGCTTGTACTCGGCATCTTTTTCAAATACTTGGATTTTGTGACAACTTGAAACAGTTCACTTCGATCGATAATTCCATTGAATTTCATCTCTTCTTTCAATCTTTCTTGGCAGAAAAATGCTTCGCGGAAAATGTTGCGACGTTGTTTGTCATAAATTGTGATTAGTTGGATGGTGAGTGCTGGAAATGGGGAAAATTGAGCTAAACATTTTTCATGGAAAAGAACAGTTTTCATTGATTCTCAGAAAAATTTAAAAATAATCAAAACTTCATACTGAAGAAGTTGAAAAACAAGGTTTTTGAGTAGATTTTTCTCTATTTTCATTAAAACCATCCAAATTTGAATTTTCCCCTTCTCCAAATCTCACCTTCATTATTCTCAAAAATGTCCACCAATTGTGAATACACATAATCCAACTCCGAACTAAATCTCATAACATCCAATTCAATTCTTTTATAAGGCGACGAATCCTGTTCCATTTCTTCGCTCGCCACTTTTTTCAATTTTTGAATATCCGAACTTCCAGCCGGAAAAGCTATTCGCACTTCTGTCAAATCAATATATTTTGCGATGAATCGTTCGATTGATCTTTTCGAATAAAACAATGCGTGAATTGCGGCGGAATGAGTGTTTTTAGCGCGTTGAGAACGAATTTGATGCTGGAAAAAATGGGATTGTCAGAAGGAAGTGGAGAATTCGGAAGAGGCTTACATTTTCCGGCGATGTTTTCTTGGTTTTCGCATCGATTTTGACGAGCGATGAGAATACGCGTAGTGTAACTGCTGCAATGTGACTATTCTCGAAATAAAGTGAACGGGCGGCGGCAGAAAGACGAGTTGGATCAAGGGGGATCTGGAAAATTTTGGTTTCAAAAGAATAATTAACGATTTCTTGAATTTTGTTAGGAAACCCTTCCCAGAGCTTCAAAATTTTAAACGTTCTCCTCACACCTCGGCCATAATCGTGGTTTCCACAATAAAAAATTGTACGCTAACTTTTTACAGTACAAAAATTGTGAATTTTTCAGTTTGTGTCCTCTAAAAATTGAGATTTTTCAATTTTTGACCTCTAAAAACTGAAATTCTGATTTTTCCAAAAATTGTACTCTGGCCAGCCACGGCTTGGCCGAGGTGTGGTTCTCCTCCCAAAAAATTGCACTAACCCTAAGAGATCGGTGGGAGATTTTCTGAAAATGCTCGAAAAGTGGTGGCCGATATCGATCCATATACCAGATTTCGACGTCGACAAACAAATATTTGACGGTACAAACATTGTCAAGTGAATTTAGCCGAACTATCAAATTGAATGGCTCTTCTGAAAGAAACTTTTTTTGCCACGTCATAACTCATATTCAGAATCTAACAGAATATTTCGTGAGAGGCTCAAAAACTATATTTCATCAAAAAAAATTCGAGTTCAATAAATTTAATTTAATTTATCATCATTTCTAAATTTTTTAGTCATACCGTGATAAATAAAAATGAGCATTTTTCAATTTTATCAGTTTTTTTCTTCATACAAGTTCAAATTCTCACCTAATTCACTTCTCTCATCAACAAACGTGATTTCAAAGGTTTTTGAAACGCCGACATTTTTCACAACACACGATGGCAATAATTCGACATCGTTTTGAAGTGTACTTCTTTCGGGTTTTTGAATTGCTTTTTTCTGTTCGTCGAAATCAATTGTCGTTGTGAAATCAGAAGAGTATTTCGGTGAAATTCGCACCTGCAAAGAAAAATCCAATTCTTTTCTTCTAGATCTATAGATAGTTTTGCACTGAATTAAATAAAAATTAGTTTTCTCTCAATTTTTCTGTTGAATTCGTTTTCAAAACAACAATTGTCGCTCGTGGGAAATGGGAGGAGTCTATATATTTATCACTAGTTCATGTTTTCTAAGTTTTCAAAGTTTACTTGATAATATCCGCGTTCGTCCAAATTGATATTGAAAAACTCGCATAATTTGAAATTTACATTGAATACCGGCATTACATCGACACGCATTTTTAAGTAGATTGTGATATGATTAAACAATACAATTAGTTAAGGTTTGACCTCAATTTCTTCACATCCGCGGATGTTACCTGAACATGCGGATTGACTAATTGCAGAATTGTGACAAGATAAGTAGATGAGGGGAAATATTATTTGAACTGGAAATTTTTAACAGTGAAGTCTCAAAACGAAGTCGTCAGTAACAATAACTTTATTGACATGACAAAGAAATAACAACGTTTACTTTCCGGCGATGGTCTTCTCGCTCTGTGAAATTTTACGCAAAAGTTCTGCGCGTTTAACAACTTGTCTGTCTTCTCTGCGTTTGCGGCTTTCCTTGTTCTTGTCACGTCTGGCTTGAGCTTGGTCACTGAAAATATGAATAATTTGAATGAGGTATTGATTTTTGAAGGTAGATGAAGAAGAAAAAGGAATCTACGTTTCCATGGAAATTGGAAAACCAGATCAACAATTTTTCTCTAACTAAAAAAACGACGAAATACTTACGCGAGTTGCTTAGCTCTCTTGTTCTCAGTCTTCTTCTTGAAGATGTATTCGATCAAGTTCTTCTTGTTCTTGAAGTTGTTACCCTTGGAACGAAGGTACAAATCGTGGTACAAGTGCTTGTCCAATTTCTTGGCATCACGATATCTTCTCAAAAGATTTCTGAGAACACGCATTCTGCGGATCCAGAGGGTCTTTTCGGACATACGGGCGTTGGCAGTACCGCGACGTTTACCGTAACCGGTGTGACGTCCCTGAAAATTACAAACATAATAATTGAAATGATTTTTGAATGCAATGTTTAACTTATTTCAAAAATATATACATCAAACTGTCTATTCAAAGACAAAAAACTCGAAAAATCTTACCTTTCTGCGGGCTTCTTCGTATTGACGAGCACGGAATCGTGAGTGGACTGTGACTGGTTTGCGGATGATCAAACCATCGTTGACCAAACGACGGATGCTTTGACGAGAGTTGGCTCCCGAGATTTCGCTGACCTCGTTGGGGTCAAGCCAAACACGGTGCTTTCCGCATTTCAATACGGCCGAAGCCAAACGTTTTTGCAGGCGCAAGTTGCTGAAAAAATAGAAATTAATAAACGAAATCACTTTAATTTAGTTGCCTGAATGATGGCAAAATAAAGTCAAACTAACCTCATGATGTCCTGCTTAACCCACAAATAAGAGTCTCCTGAAATACAAAAACCTTGGTATAAGCACAATTTCGAACGAAAATCAAGAAAAATAACATTGCGAAAATTTGCATCGAGTTTCCAAGCAATAATAAGACATTAAACTAATTTTAAAAACTGAAAAAACTTGAAAAAAATCGACATAACGGCTGAAAAAACGAGAAAAATCTTTAGGACCAGAGAAAAGAAAAGAAAAAATGAGAGAAGAGTGTTGAGTCTGAGTGCGAAATTCAAGGCACACAACTACGGTAGCACTAGGTGGACTGTGTTTATATAGGTTCCTCGGCCATTTTCAGTGAAAAACTTCGGCCACGAATATTTTTTTTTACTTTTTTTTGTTTCGAAGCAAAAAAACGAAAAAAGAATGAATCTATGAAACATTTGCGATTGCAACATTATGAAATATTTTTCGGAACATTTTGAGTAAAAAATGAAGTTGTTTCAAAATGTTCTTTTTATATGGAAAATTCTTGTTGACTACAAAATATTATGCAACGTTATGAAATCTCGAAAAGCACTTTGAAAATATGGAGGTACTGTATCCGAGCGGTAAGTAGTAGTGTAACTCGGACTGCAATGTATACGGTAACTCGAAACTCCGGACTGCTAAAGTTACTGTAGCTAAACAGAAAAAGTTCTGTATTATAGCGCTAGCCAAATTACAAAGAGTACTGTAACTCAAAAAATTTCAAATTAAATGCCTTTCCCACCGATTTTAATGGCGGTTGGGTCTCGCAGCGAACACATTGTTTTTGCTTTGTTTTTTATCTTTTCCATCTCATCAATCATTTGGGTCATTTGGTCACCTGAGCCAACTTCTGCTGCTCATTTTATTTTGTTTTTTCTTGGAGAAGAATGTTGTTCCCAACTTTTTCCTTTATCCTTCTATTTTTATCGATTGATTTTTCACTCCAACAAACAAAAACACAAGTTTTGGACATTTCAATCACCCCAAAATCCCCAAAAAATATCGAAATCAAACTTCTTGACACCAAATTCAAACCAATTCATCATTTGGTACCTCGAAAATCACCAAACTCCCAAACTTTTTACGGAAGAATTCGGCGCGAATTTGAGGGAAACTCGGTGAATATTTTGGAATTGCAAGGAGGATTCCGACAAAATTTGGCGATATTTTCAAGTTTTTCCAATATTTCGGATCATTTGACAATTTCGGGAGATGAATATAAATTGAAGATTGCGTCGAAAATTGTTGATTTGACGGAATTGTTGATGAGAGAATTGAAAGGAAATGGATGTTCGTGTGTTCATGGAAATTGTGCTTGTTGTGTTGATGTGGAAATTCCAGAATTTCGTCATAATGGTGAGTTATGACGTGGCAGGCTTTCTAAAAATCTCCATGATTATTTCAGCCTGCGTCAACGCCACCTACAATCCATCAACAGTTGGTCTCGATCTCTCAATCGGCATTGATGGACACTATTTCACCCAGGAAATCTCAAGTAACATCTAAACGTTATCAATTTATACATGTTTTTTTCTTGCAGTCCGTAATCCTCCCCCGGTTTGCATCTCGGTTCCAATTCCTGGCGCTGAACACATTGCTGGAATTTGTGTCGCATTCACAGATTTGGATTTGAATAAAGAGAAGAAGATTTTGTCGGGATGTATTGATTTGGAGATCGAGTTGGTGCATTTGAGAGTTGTTCAAGTTAAAGTCGGATGTTTCAAAATGCCAGTTTAATTTGACAGCTTTTGTTATTAAGTAAATTTTTATCAAAGAATTTTTTTAGTTCTCAAATCATTCAAAAGGTAATCGTAGATTTATAAAACATCTTTTTTTTATCTAAATAAATGAATTTCAACGGATAAGCGAACAAATATGCATAAGTACACGTTTTTGGGTGATCTTTAAAAGTGTTTTGAATTTGGGCAATTTGGCGACTGCACTCAATGTTTGGAGGTCAGTTTTTTGCAGCATGTCGACCTGAAAATAATTATTTGTAGATCAATAATATATCAAACTAAACCATCCAATTTTCCATTTCATAATCCTCAATATTTTTCAACAACGAAACCGTTATTTTCAAATTGCGCGATTTCAACAATTCTTCACATCTAAATTTTAGCCCAGGACAATCGAAAATATAAAAAATTTTAAGAAATGACGACGCGTTGAATGCCGTCACAGCTATCGAATAATTATGCATTGCCGCTAGAAATAGCGCGATTTTTCCGTATGAAAGATTGAATTCATCGAGATTTATGACTGGATCTTGCAGGATTCCCGCTTGAAGTTTATTGAAAAAATATTTGGAGCCACTGCACAGTAACTGCAAAAAATACGGCTTCATAATAGAATGTACAAAAAACTCACTCCCTTATTGAAATAAAAATCAACGTCACCAGCTCGCAAAACGATATCAGAATAATTATCGATTTTTCTTGAAAAATCGAAAAACTTTATTTTCTTTAACTTAAACTGTATATGAATTGTTGTTCCTCGAACATAATCAGATCTTAAAAGATCGGTAAGATTGCATGACATGTAGGGATAAATACGTGGTTTTGTTTGGGAATTTAGCAAATTATGATAGTTATTGCTATCATAATCAAAAGTTCTGATTCGACTATCAAAAGTGACACGTGGCTTGGTCGAATTTCCAGTATTTTGCAACCGCAGAATGCTTCCACTTGCGTTAACTTCACAAACATATCGTTCTCTATTGTCCAAAGGTGCAAGAAAGAATAAAAACATTTCGATAGTGTTATTTGGAGTTGGCGAAATTGCAATCTTCCATTTCAAATCATCAATTAGTAGTTCTTCGCTCAATTGAGTACTTCCATCAAGTTCGAATTTACATCGCAAAAAACGGTTTTCTTTTACAATCGGGTTCAAAAAATTATCATCCAGTTTTCGACGTTTAGTTTCCATATCGAATGAATAATGAAATGAAATGAAATAGAATTCAGAAAAGGCCACGTGATTTATTTAATAAATATTTACAATTTCTTTGTTTTTTGTCCCCTTGGGGACTGGGCCGAGCTCAGCAGCAGTGCAACGCTGAGACGACCCTTGGAAAGTCGGAGCAAGCCCCGAGTCTTTCCTAGGTTCCAAAAAATCATATAACCTTAATTACATTCATTCGAATGTATACCGTAGGTTAATACGATAAGAACAGATACTACACTTTGATCTTAGCTAATAAGCCGAAGAAGCGATAACTTTTTTCCGGCAAATAGCCAACTATTTACATTTGCGGTCGACCGGACAATTGAGAGGTATGGCCAGACGACAGAGTAATGTGTTAGGTGGGCGGAGCTGCTGACCTTGACTGCACTGCCTACTAATTTTTGTATTGCGAAAAATGTTTGAAAATCGTGGTTTTCAGAAATTTTTTCGAATTTTCTGGATTAAATAAATCTGTCACTAATTAAAATATTTTTAATTAATAAAAAACAAAAGCTGTCAATAAAATGTCTGCAGTTTTTCTCAATTTTTCAAGGAAAATTACAACAATTTTGTAATTTCATTTGATTTTTCTCAATTTTTTGACTAATGTGTTTCTCTAGTTCCAAGTGATAAATAAAAGTTTAATTAACCTTCTAATTAGTCAATAAATTAAAAAAAAAACAAAATCTGTCACCAAGAAATGAAATTTATTGAAAAACCATCTGTCACTAATTTTTATATTTATAAATTTAAATTCACGTGGACTTTGAACACGTGATCCAATTCCAAAAAAAGCTCCGTGGCTCTCAGAAATCTCAACTATTCCTTGAAAAATGTCTAGAATAAAATACCCGAAACCTTTCAAAAACGAAGTTATTATAAATTGTACCCGATTCATTGCGCCACTTCGACCTTTCTTGCGAGAAAAACCCAAAAATTTTGAGCAAATGTACAATGTGTTGAATCGATTTTCAAGTTTTGATTTGTTGGATGAGTGGATCTTATTGATTACAAAACAATTTACTGGAAATTCTCAAGATATTTCATTTAGCAATGATCAATTAATGACCACTTTTCGAGCTAATGTAAGTTTTTTGGAGCACTTTATTTTCCAAACTCTGGAATTTTTGCAGCCACGAACTCGTTTGATGTTCTTCGCAATATTTTTCACAATTCTAACAATGTTGGGTGTATTTTTCATGCTTGCATTTTCAAAAACAATCACAAATCGCATCTCAAATGCTATAAAATTCAAAAAATATTATCTGGCTTATACAATTATTCCAGTTTATTGTTGTTTGAATATTTTATCATTGACTGTTTCTTTTGGATTAGATTCAACAAAAGCTTTGCAATCAATTGAAAATTCACAAAATTTTAAGAAGGTGGCAATGATTAGTAAGTGGGATTAGAACTTGGAGACGATTTAAGTAGTTATTTTTCCAGGAAACTCTTATTTTTCTAAACGAAGATCTGAAGAAATTGATTGTTCAACACGATTTCCACCATTCAACACTGAGCAATTTGACAAAATCGAATTTCACACTTTCAACATTACATCTCTCCACATAAATGAAGCAATTCAAACGGCTGGCAAAAAAGTTCCCAATATCAATTTGCTGTATGCAATGAGAAATCTTGAGGTGAAAACGAGTCAAAAATTGTCAGCAAATATTTATAAACTATTTGAAAATCGATATTCGCACACTTTTGAATTGCTGAAAATACCTGGAACAATTGTTGTGCATATTGCAAGAGGTGCCATTTTTCTTGTCACATTTTTCTCAGTTTCAACAACTTGTGTGATTTCATTGATGGGAGTTTTGGGCATCAGAAATCGATGTGAGTTGTGTGCAAAAATGTTGCTCAAAAAATTGAAATCATATTTATTTTTGCAGATAAAATCACAGAAATAATCGAACTATTCTCACCATTTCTTCTATTATTAATTATCATCGAATTCCTATTTATTTGGTATATTTTTACAACAATTGTTGGAAGTAACACTGTATATTTGCATTTATCACATCCAGATCTTCACACAAAAATAACATTTGGCGCTCAAAATGTGCGATATTTTTTCGAAACACTTAGCGCAACTACTCACTCTGCTAAAAATAGGCACTTTTTGGACAAACCATTTCGTTGGAGTTCGATAAATATGAATATTTTGGAAGCTTCTGGAGGTGAAACATTGATAAAAGAAGTCATGGAAAAAGTAAAAGGAGATGGGGATCATTTGGTATTTTATAATTATTTCGAGAAATGTTTAAAGACAACTTGCGATTTGAATATGCATTATATATCCGAAAAATATGAAGATTATGTTGGATCATTGAAACCTTTAGTCAAATGGTATTTCAAAACAACATCAAAAACTTATTTGAGATATTTATCGTTTTTTAGAAGAAATACTTTTGTACCAATTGTAAGTTTGGTTTGGAAAATTTGTGAGTTTTGTCAAAAGTATTCTACATAGAATAATAAAATTTAATTTCAGTATGCATGCCAGTTTTGATATTCTTCAACATGTTATTTGTTCATTTTTCAATTCAAATTATTCGAAAACGGGATGAACTTGAAACAGAAAAAGAAAATTAATAGGAAAATAGAAACTTAGAAATGAAAAAGAGAATGAAACATTATGATTTGATTGAATAACTATCGATTTTTTGAAAAATGAATGAAGATTTTTGGCATTTTTTAATATAATCTCTACAGTAATCTTAGAACACTGTGGTTCATTTCACAGAGATTTTCAACAAAAAACTAACCAAAAAATTTCACGTTATCTAGTTTATGATTTTCCGAAAGCAAAAGTTTCACAATAAAATATTTATTTTTCAAATTTTCTTGATACTTTTAACACACCTCAAAGTATCGTCATCAGCATCAGATGGCAGAAATTCGGGTTCCACGAGTCCTTTTCTACAAAATTTTCTAGATTAATCTCAAATCCTAGGAAATTTCAGAAAACTTACAATAAATCATCCATCGGTTTTCTAGTTTTAGTAGTATCTTTAGTGACTGTAATTGTTGTATGCTTTTCAATTGGCTCTCTTCTCTCAAATTTCGAATCAGGAATTGCGGTTTTTTCGGCTTTCTCTTTGCCCATTGTGCTTGTTCCATCTCTTCTCAAATCATCCTGAAATTGATTTTTAATTTTTAAATATTTCTTTGTTTTTTGTCCCCTTGGGGACTGGGCCGAGCTCAGCAGCAGTGCAACGCTGAGACGACCCTTGGAAAGTCGGAGCAAGCCCCGAGTCTTTCCTAGGTTCCAAAAATCATATAACCTTAATTACATTCATTCGAATGTATACCGTAGGTTAATACGATAAGAACAGATACTACACTTTGATCTTAGCTAATAAGCCGAAGAAGCGATAACTTTTTTCCGGCAAATAGCCAACTATTTACATTTGCGGTCGACCGGACAATTGAGAGGTATGGCCAGACGACAGAGTAATGTGTTAGGTGGGCGGAGCTGCTGACCTTGACTGCACTGCCTACTAATTTTTGAATTGCGAAAAATGTTTGAAATTCGTGGTTTTCAGCGATTTTTTCGAATTTTCTGGATTTAAAATATCTGTCATTAATAAAAATATTTTTAATTAATAAAAAATAAAAGCTGTCAATAAAATGTCTGCAGTTTTTCTCAATTTTTCATGGAAAATTGCCAGACGTACGTCGTACGTTTCAACATTTTAGTTATCCAATTAGCTTATTTAGTCGAAATTCACAAATACAACCTAATTAATTAACTAATTAACATTAAAAAACCAAATCTGTCAATAAAAATTTTAAAATTTCTAAAAGGAACCCAAATCCACTCACCTTATTATTGCCCAAATTATAATTATCAGGTGTAATTTTGGACGGTGGAGATAATGGTACAGCCGTATTTGGTGCAGGCGATGGAACATGCGGTTCACTACCACGTTTTTCACCATTCAACGTTTTTGGCGGCGAATTGCTCTTCTCTTTTTCTTTTTCCTTTCCTGTGCCGCTGACATTCGGAGTATTTGGTGTATTTTGTGTTGGAGTTGTTGTTGCTTGTTCGGTTCGACTTTCTCTTGACATCGTTTGTCGATGCGTGACGTGTTGTTTGTTGGATTTTCGATGGCTGGCGCAATTGAAAATGACATGATAAATTGTGCAAAACATTGGCAGAAATAATGTGATCATCTATTTTTTCTCGTTTCTAATGAATCTTATTTTACTTTTTCGACATGTAGCGATTTTTCAAAATTTCTAAAATGCCACATTTTTCCTCGAAGCCCTGTCCTTTGCAAAAGTTCACGTTTTTTATCGAAAAATTATTTTTTTCCTTAAAAAAATCATTTTCAAATTTCCTCCTTGCAAAACCTTGTCCGCGACGCGGCGTGTATTTGCATTGGAGCGCACTTTCCTTTCACACTTTTATTTTATTTCTTTTTTTTGCAGTTTCTCGCTGAAAATGCTGCGAAATTTGCCGAATTTGGGAAGGTGAGAATTTTTAAAAAATGCTGAAAACAATGGGCTATTTTTCAGAAACCTAACCTCGTTGCGGTTTAACAGCGCAATGCAGCAATTTTTCGACGATGAGGCGAATTTCGGAAAATCCGAGCTTCGCCCAAAAAATCGACCAGGAAGATCGTGGACCGAAGAAGAGTTGCGACTAAAAAGCAACTCAGATCTTCATAAATTATGGTATGTATGTTTGAAAGAGCGAAATATGTTGTTGACGATGAAAAAAGCGCACATTGCTGCGGCGAGAAATTTGCCAAATCCAGAAAGATTGGATCGAGTTGAGGAAACTATGGGAAATATTGAGAATGTGGTTCATGAACGAAATGATGCGGTTTATAAATTGGAGACTGGAGAGAGCGCAAAACCACGGGAACGAAACATCACATCATTTGCTGGGTTCACTTATAAGTATGTACATATTTTCTGGGGGGAAAGGGTCTTTTGGGAGGGCTCGAAAACAATCGAGAAAGTTATTTAACAGAGTTTAATATTTCTGAGTTTTCATGAAAAAAATCCGCATCCACCTAAATTCATAAACTTTGTTTCAGAAAACAAGTTCGCGAACATTTGGCTCCAGCTTCAATCACCGGCAAAAAAGAATATGAAATTCCATATTTGGAGGATGACGCATATATGATGCAAAAATTATGGAACGAAAAAGAATTCATGAAACGCCGTGACAAATTGGACGATGAAATGAGAAGAGAAAAACAGACTGAAACTATGAAAAGATATCAGAGAGGAGCGCCACGGGTTTTCAATAAATAATTTGAATTTTGTATTTTTCCACAGATTTTTGATTTAGTTAGGACCTTGTTTTCTTTTTCTTTTGATTGAAAAATTGTTTTGTTTCTTTTTTTTAAAGTATTATATGATTTTCAAAGGTTTTTGAACCTTTTTGATTACCTTTGATCCTCCCGCATTCAAAAAAAACATCCGATTTTGTTTAGATAACTGAGAAAAATATGAAATGAGTCAACAACAATTTGGGAAAAATTTTGAGAAAGGAGTTGAGGCGACAAGTTTGGTGCCAGGTGGAGGAGTTGTGAAAACTAGGAGTGATAGAAAGGTGAGAGATGAAAAACAAAATTACCGAAAAATTCAAGAATTTTTTTTTTGAATTTTCATCTTTTCAGTGAAAAGTTTTCACATGAATTTGATGACGTGGAATACACTATTTTTAACCTGAAAAGTAAAAAATTTCGAATTTCTGATAAAACATAATTATTTCAGACTAGAAAAATTGAAAATAGAATTTAAAATCAAATTTCCACGTTACAAAGTTCACGCAAAAAATTCAGATGACGTGGAATATCTAATTTATATTCAACATTTGAAAAATAATCATTTCTAACAATTTTCGAAACAGGAAAAGTGAGAAAAACTGAAATTTTCTGAGGAAATTCTTCAAATCCAATATTTTTTCAGCATGGTGGAACTGAATCAGCTCGATCATTGGCTCAAGTGTACAGAAACAAATTGATAGAAAGTAAAGATCAACTTCAGGTTGCGGCAGCCAGGGAATTATTCAGGTAACTACATTTTTTGTTAACATCTGTAATTTTTGTGAGCTGAAAATCTGCTATTTTTACCTGAAAATTGTCAAAAGTTCCCAAAATTTCACAATTTCCAATCTTACAATAATTGCACTTTTTTCCTTTCCTCCCTGATAAAATAAACTAAATAAATAATCAATTTTGATAAGAAAATGCCAAAAATATTGTGTTTATTTTGAGGGGTCAAATTGGAAAATTGGGGGAAAAATTTGGTTGTTTTTTCAGGTATGTAAATGGTGATCTCAAAGATGAACCTCCCGAATTTATCGAATCATTTTTGTCGACATTGGATGGAAGAACTGAAGCTGGAGCACAGGTAGAGGAGATTTTTGAATTTTTAAAAGAAAACTATGGTTTTCAAATTTAATTAAAACATCTGAAAACAAATGGAATAGTTTTTGAGAATACCACAAAAGTTATATGAAAATTTTGAAACAGTGAAATAATTTTTTGCAGAAAATTTTTTAAAATCTAAAAAATTAGCCTGTATTTTCCAAAGTTTTTTGCCTTTAAAATAGTTTCTGTGAAACACTGAAAGTGGTCAGATCAAATTTTTAAAAAATATCCTGAAATTTATATGAATATTTGAAACAGTTAATTTTGTTTCAGTTCAAAACTGGATTTTTTAAACATTTTCCTATATTGTAATCAAATTTCTGAGAGTATGTCAAAATTTTATGACATTTTTGAAACAGTAAATTTTTCTGACTCAAAATGAAAATTGCAGAGCGCCGTGTACAATGCCACAAAAAGTGCATCAATCGAACAGAAAAAGGCTGGAATTTTCATGATTGTCTGTTTAGCCGATCATCAAGGTCTAATTCGATATGCGAATTATTTGTTGAAAATGTTGAATAGCGGTGGAATGGATGAGGAAACAGTCAAAATGGGATGTCGTGCATTGGCTTATTTGATAATGACATCAAAAACGTATGCGGCTGAATTGGTTGATCGATGTATGGATCATTGTACCGAATGGCTGCAGTTTCCAGGTAATTTTGAATTTTTTTGAAAGCTAAGCTTTTTTGAAATGTTTTTTTGTGATAAGAGAACTCTTTCTGAGAATGAATTCATCATTTAAAAAATTTGCTTCAAAAATATCTGAATTTTTTGAAACGTATTTTTTTCATGAAAAAAATCCTGAGAAATGTACGTTTCAACAATATATTTTGACATTATAAATTTTTTGTTGTTGTTTGGTCTTTACAAGAAAATGCACTATTTCAAAATTCTTCAGATGACCGTGTCAGTTTATTGGATGAAAATCGCCGCTTGGCCGCCGTTCATTTGTCACGAGAATTGGCCATTTTCACACCGACCGCCTTCTTTTTGCGAGCAAATTTGTTCTTCAAATATATTTTCAACGCGTTGCGCGACAAAAGTCCCACAATTCGAATTGCCGCAATTGAAGCACTTCATTCGGTTTTGACGATTATATCACAAAGAGAAGCGAAACAGAAAACTGAATGGTGAGGGATTTTTGGGGGGACTTGGGATAATTCTGAATAAAAATGAATTTATTAACGGCAGAATCTTGTTTAAAAACATTACCGTTTTAAAGTTCTCATATAATTTTCTGACATTTTTCCAAACTATTGGGGTTAGCTAAATCTGAATTAAAATTATCGTATTGATCACATCAGAATCTTGTTTTAAAAAATCACTGTTTCAAAGTTTTCATATAATTTTTTGACATTTTTCCAAACCATTCACAACTTTTACGTTTCTCCAATTTCTTGACGAGTTCTGCAGAAAATCAGTCGAATTTTGAATTTTGCAAATTTTTTTCACTGTTTCAAAAAATTTATGAAAATAGAAAAATGGTGATTACAATGATTCTAGCCGGGGAGTTATGATATTCAAGCAATATCTCATTTTTGCAGGTACAAGGAATGTTTCGACGAAGCTTTCAATATCGAAAAAGGCGAAACTCCTCGCGACGAACAAGATCGATATCATTCCGTTGCAGTTCTTCTCAATGAACTTCTCCGAATCTCCGATCAAGCATACGAACATGTTCGAATCGAATCCTCGAAATTCGAAAAACCCCAAAAACCCCATGATGATCCAATTACTTGGATTGTTTTGCATCGATATTCGGATACTGTTGAAAGTGTAACATCTCGACAACTTGTTAAAGAGAATTTCAAAGATATACTTGGATGTATTCGAAAAATCATTGAAGTTGTCGCAAGAAAATCGAAAGGCGGTGGAGGTGCGACAACTCAAAAGAATTTGTATTTGACGACGGTTTTGATGCAATTATTACCAAGGGTTTGCGCATTCACAGAATGTGATGCTAGTTTTCGACAATTGGCATTTGAAACCGCTTTCAATTCATTGAATAAATTACCAATTGCTGCACCAGCTGTTGGAATGATGATGTTATCAAATCCTGAACTTCATAAATCATATATCCCACAAGTTATTGGATATGTTACGAATGCTCTCAAAAAATCATTGGATCAAGCGGATTTCTATTTCACATTTCTTTTTCTTTTCGTTGATGCGTATAATCAAGAAATCACTGAGCAAATTAAAAGTCTTTTGCCAATTTTGCTCGATTTACCGCTTTCTCGAGGACTCACAAATGTTTTGAAAATGATTATGATGCGAATTCCAAAACTTCGACTAAATGTTCAAGATGGTGTTATGGCGAGTGTTTATTTGAATTTGACTGGAGTCCCAGTTCCACCGAAAAGTGAACCTGCTGGAAGACCACCGCCACCAAGAAATATATTGCAAAAAGCGATGAATGATCAGAAAGAGTTGGATAAAGTTGTGTTGTCGATTGATACGTTGGGAGAGTTTTATTTTTCGAGAGGAGCATTGCAGAGAATTATGCAATATGTGGCTGATGTGAGTTTTTAGGGCTTTGGTGATGAAAATCATTGCTCAGGTCAGGTCAAAAATTGAAATTTTCAAATAATTTCGAGACTTTCAAGTTTTAGCCCAAAATCCCAGAAAAATGTCAAATTTTAGCTCAAAAATTTGTTAATGAAAGATTTCAGCAATTTTTCCAGACAAGTAATTGAATTTTGATTTTTCATTTGGAAAATAACAATTTGCCATTTTTTTTATCTGAAATTGATTAAGAAATTGTTGAACATTTTTCTAATGAAAATTTGAATCTGGAAATAATTATTGTTTTAAAATTTGTGAATCAAAGATTTTCAGACTAAAATTTGAAACTGAAAACTTTATTTCTTTTTTTAAAGCACGAATATTGTAACCGAAATCTAACAATGATTCAGAATATTTGAAATGTTGGGAAACGTATTTTTAACTGGATTTTAAAAAAGATTTTTTTCTCCTCAAAAAATCCCAATTTTTATAATTTTTGCAGTATTATTTGGTGGCTGAAAATGTTGAAATTCGAATGGCAGCTGTAAAATGTTGTTGTGATATGATAGTTCCATTTATGCGAGTCTACAAAAAAGTGACAACTGACAAAAGACATCATTTATTGGCAACAATACACGGTGTTTTGAGAGCACTTGTTTCATTGATTGTTGTTGATCCACATGTTGATGTTCGTATGCAAGTGATTCGATGTTTCTCCGGTGTCTCTCATCAATTTTTGGTTCATTTGGCACAACCGGAAATGCTTGAAGTTCAATTTATGGCTCTTCACGATGAAAAACTCGAAATGCAACAAGCTTGTGTTACTTTATTGGGAAGATTAGCCGAATTGAATCCGGCTTTGGTTTTTCCACGAATGCGAAGAATGTTATTGGAAACATTGAGTCAATTAACACATAGTGGACAACCGAGACTCGAACAACATTCGGCTAAAATGATTGCACAAATTGCTAATCAGAGCCCAAAGTTTTTGAGACCATATATTGGAAGTATGCTAGCTGCATTGATTCCGAAATTGAGAAGTGAACTTAAGGTATGTTTGAGGGGCATTAAAAAATTTCGCTGTTTCAAAAAATTTATATAATGTTTGGGATTTTTTTTTTGGAAAATTTGGTAATATTAAATACAGATAATTAAATTTTCTAGAATTTTTTGAAGTTCCGGAAGGTTTTCAGATTTTCCAGAATTTACGGTTTTTATTTTCACAAAATTTCACTGTTTCAAAAAATTCATATATTTTTTGATTATTTTTCAAAATTTGATATTGCGACGGCTGAGGTGTTTCGTATAAATGGGAAATAGAACAAAATTAGTTTTTCTGAATTTTACCATAAAATCTGATTGTGAGGGAACTTGAGATTTCTGCATTTAATTGTAAGATTTTTTAATTTTCATAAAACTTCACTATTTCAAAAAGTTGATATATTTTTTGGATTTTTTTTAGAAGTTTGATCCTTCGTTTTCGTTATTTTTCAATTTGTAAGAATTCTAGATTTTCTCAAAATTTCACTGTTTCAAAAAAATAATAATTTTTTTCTGGAATTTAAAAAAATAGTTCGGCTTTTTTTATATTGGTAAAAAAAAATATTGGACAATTTTCCCAAAATTTTCGAAAGATCTTTAGATTTTTTTCTGAATTTAATTGTAAGATTTGTAATTCTCACAAAATTTCACTGTTTTAAGAAATTCATAATTTTTCGGGATTTTGTTTAAAATTTGATTAGTCCCTTCTTGATTTATCAAAAATCACCGCAAAAATTTCATTTGAAAAATGGACACTTTTTCTCCGGATTCATTGGACTGTTTTTCGGGCAATTGAAGGCTTTTGAAAATTCTGGCGAATTTGACATCATTCCATTTACACGAAATTTGAAAGCACTGTGAATATCACCGTGATATTTTTTGATATCCTTCTCGGTCAATTCTCCACCACACCAAACCTGAAATTGTTTTCTGATTAGTTCTGCGCCTATTTTTTTCGGAACTTACGTAAGCCATTCTGTGAAAGTAGTTTTGTTGGATACTGTATTTCTCGAATCCTGGAAGTTTTTGAGCATTTTTCAACGATTTTTTGAATAATCTATGAGCTAATTGGAATCCGATCATATCAGCCGTGTCTTCGGTTTTCGTGCGAGATCCACTTGACTGAAAAATAATTTGACTTATTCTACAAAATGGAAAAATTCAACTCACAAAACTTCCATCCGGAAATTGAAATTTGTCGTATTTTTGAACTATACAATCTACACGCTCGTTGAAAATTTGACGAATTTTAGGAGACATTTTGATCTGTTCGGATAGGATATTTTTGAAGAAGGCTGTAGAATCGAATGAATGTCCGATTTCATGTCCGAAAATAAAACCAAGGGCGGCATAAGTATTCCATTCTGGCAGGTTTTTGTCGATGTATGGGAAATTGAGGAGATTTGTGGAGAGAGCTGGAAAAATATTTTGAGAGGGTTTTTTTTGAAGTGGAGTTGCGAGGGGGATTGCTATGAATATAATTATTTCACAGTTTCAAAACTGAAGATTATAATGTTCTCAATCAAAATTCAACTTACGGTGGTCACTTTTTTGTTATATTTCTGATTAGCTCAAAACCCTCACTGTCATTTTAAAGATTTTCCGAGAATTCTCTAAAACTCTAAGTTTTTGGAATGTTAATATTTCTATTCTACTTCGCTCCACTTCTTCAAACTCACTAATTCTATGTGCTCTCGGTACATAATGTGCTGTGAGTTTTATTGTCTCTCCAAGATAGGTTATTTGTTCACGTCTCGCAATTCTCAAAAATGTTTCCTCACTATTCATCTTCAATATATTTCGAATCAATGTCAAATAACTCTGCTCCTCGATTTTCTCATTTTTCTCAATTCTCGCATACATTCGATCAATATTTGTCTGATTTTTATGCTCGTCTGGAATTCCAAGCGATGCCTTCATTTGTCTCAACTCTTCAATCAATAGAGTTTTCAAATGTTCGTCAAGAAAATCGTTTTCCTTGAAAATATTTGTGAATTCTTCCTGGAGCTCTTCGAAAAGCATATTGGCTCTTTCTAATGTTTTTGATCCGATGAATTTTCTAGCGAAAATTGTAGCAAGGGTTCCAGGGAACAGTTCGGTGATTTTCTGGAATTGTTCGATGCTTTTGATTGGGATATTGGCTCACCTGGTAACAATCTTCTGGTTCAACCAAATATGCATCCAATGTGCTTTTCCATTTATCGAAAAGTAATTGTTTCGCATTTTCAATTCCATCTTCTTGTATTTCCTTTTCCAAATCTCTTAAATGATAATAATCTCCAAAAGATAACCCATTAAATGCTTCATTCTGATATTCTTCAGGAACTAATCCCTCAATATATTCAGTCAAATTCATAAAAGTGATATTTTTCACTTTTAGAAGTTCAAAAGGCGAAAGTTTGAAACCTCCAACATTTGTTTTATTTTCCTCTTTTCCTTTTTCCAATTTAAACATCAAAAGCATTTTGCCATACCATTTGATCATTTTTATCTCATTTTTTATGAAACTCGCATTATTCGGACTAACTTTTACTACTTCAAGAATTAGTTTTGTTAAATCATTGCTTTTCCAAATCGACATATCTATATTATTTTTGTCTTTTGAAGAAGCTGCACATTTTTTCCAAACTGTCATTGCAATTCTTTCCGGATATGTTTGTGGTTTATAATTTATCATTAGATCTTCCATCATTTTCACATCCTCGTCCATAAGTTGAAGAATCTCAGTTTTTTGATCATTTGGAAAATTACCACATGAATTTTCATAGAAATCATCGCATGGATTCACAGATTTATTCATAAGTGATCGCTGGAAAATTTATTTTTTGAGATGTTTGAGGAATTGGCAGATCTTACCATTCGATTTCCTAGTTTTACACATTCTTCAGTTCGGCAAATATTCTTGTTCTTTTCAGGGTTTTGTTTTTCATCAATCCATCCCATATAATTCGAATATAACAAAGCTATGATTGCTAGAAAAATGAGAAAATAAATTATTGATTTTTTCAAACTGCATTTTCTGTCATTCTTGACTGTTATATTCTCCATTTGATATTTTGAACAATGAGTAGGTTTTTTTTTAGTTTGAAACACCTTTACTAGAAAAAAATCCACGTGAACTAAATTTCGAAATAATTTATTTATTTAAAAAGTGGACACTTTTTTTCCGGATTCATTGGACTATTTTTCGGACATTTGAAGGCTTTTGAAAATTCTGGAGAATTCGAAAACATTCCATTGATGCGGAATTTCATAGCACTATGAATATCCTTGTTGTAATATTCGATAACCCTCTCATTCATGAAACCTGCGCACCAATTCTGCAAAAAATATTTTCACTTTTGATCTTTTTTTTTCGAACTCACATAAGCCATTCGGTGAAAATAGTTTTGTTGGATAGTGTATTTCTCGAATCCTGGCAATTTTTCAGAGAGTTGCATTACTTTTTTGGATAAGCGATAGGCTAATTGAAAACCGATCATGTCAGCGGTGTCTTCGATTTTTGTGCGAGATCCACTTGACTGAAAAATGTCTCTGGTGTTCAGAAAGCTAGTTTTATCTCCAATAATTTTAGTTTTTCAAAGATGGACCAATTTTTAACGCTTTTCCCCGCCTGACTTACAAAACTCCCATCCGGAAATTGAAATTTGTCATATTTATCAATTATACAATCCATGCGTTTATTAAAAATATCTCGAATTGTTGCTGGCATTTGAAATTCTCCAAAATCGACATCTTTGAAAAAATGTTGAGAATCGAAAGCATGTCCGATTTCGTGTCCCAAAATATAACCAAAAGAAGCATAGGTATTCCATTCTGGCAAATTATCATCGATGTATGGATATTTGAGAACATTTGTGGAGAGAGCTGCAAAATAAATGGAATAAATATAAATTCTTCAAAACTTACTGATTCGATGAGATTCTGGCAAATAATTCGTCTCGAATTTGATAGCGTTTCCAATATAGGTGATTTTTTCACGTCGTGCTACTCTCAAAAATGTTTCCTCACTATTCATCTTCAATATATTTCGAATCAATGTCAAATAACTCTGATCCTCGATTGTCTCATTTTTCTCGATTCTCGCATACATTCGATCAATATTTTTCTGATTTTTATGCTCGTCTGGAATTCCGATCGATGTTTTTATTTGCTTCAATTCCTCGATTAGTCTATTTTTCATATCATCATTCAACCACTCATTTTCTTTAAAAACGTTGATAAATTCGTTTCGAAGTTTCTCAAAAAGTTTCTCGGCATTTCGCAAAGCGTATGGTTCGAGAAGATTTTTTGTGAAAATTGTGGCTAAAGTTCCAGGAAATAGGTCCAAAACAATCTGAAATTGATAAATATTTTCATAGAGGAGAGAGAAGTCCTGCTCACATTGTAACAAAATTTTGGTTCAACCAAAAACTTTGTTAGTTTTTCCTTCCATTTTTCGTGAAGAATATTTTTCGTTTTTTCAACACCATCCCGCTTTATTTCCTCTTCCAATTCCATCAAATCTTGTACATCAACATAATTTATTCCATTAAAAGCTTCGTCTCGATTCTCTTCATGAATTAATCCCTCAAGATATTCTGTCAAATTCATAAAAGTCACATTTTTAATATCTTGAATTTGAATTTCACTCGTTGATTGGCTTTTCCTTCCAGCCTTTTCCATTCGAGATATCAAAATCATTGTTTTGTTCCATTTTTCCATTTCAATTTGATTTTTGATGATTCCTGAATTATGCGGATTGATTTTAACTACTTCAAGAATGAGTTTCGTTAAATCATTGCTTTTCCATATCGAATCATCTGTCGTATTGTTATCTTCCGAAGAATTGAGACATTTCAACCAAACAGTTAATGCAACTCTCTCCGACAATGTTTTAGGTTGATATTTTGTCAAAAATATATTCAAATTCTTCAAATCCTCGTTCGCATGTTGGAAAACTTCCTCCATTGTTTTCTTTGGATAATTACCACACGCATTTTCGTAAAAATCTTCGCATGGATTCACAGATTCATTCATAAGAGTTTTCTGGAATTAGAGAACTATGAGTTGGGTTTTTTTAATGAGACCTTATAGGTTTTGCTCTCACCATTCGATGTCCTAGTTTTTCACATTCTTCAGTATGGCAAACACCATTGTCTTCAAATGTTTCATTCTCGTATTTGAGCCTTTTAGTCTTCCCTTGTCTTGGAATAAGTAACAAAATAAAGACTATAAGTATAACTAGCATTAAAAGAGCAAAAAGAATTGATAGGTAAATTCGCAATTTTGTTGGAGAGTTCCTTTTGGCTCCTTCTTCAAGACTCGCAGTCATTTTTATGAATATAGAAAAGATAAAATAAGGGAGAACTGAAGTGAAAGTGACAAAAAATATAATCTAGGTCACGAAGAAAAATTGTATGTTTTTTCAGTATGCTGATGTTACAACTCATGTTCTAAATGCAATCAGTGAATTATCAGTGATTGGCGGAGCTGAACTCGTCAAAAACATCAATCCCCTATTCTCCAAACTCACACAAATGATCAATGATTCTGGAAATCTACACAGACGTGAAGCAGCTCTTCGAGCAATCGGTGGAATTTGTCGATCAACTGCCTATGTTGTTGATCCATATAAAGATTTTCCAACATTATTGGATGATTTGCTGAAATTATTGAAAACTGTAATGTCGTCATCAATTCGACGAGAATGTATCAAGACATTGGGAATCTTGGGAGCAATTGATCCCTATACACATAAGGTGTTCACTGGTTCAGTGCAATCTGCGTATGCGATAAGTACGGCATTGGCGTTGCCGATTTCGTTGAGTGATGCGTCGGATCCAAGACAGGGTTTGTTGAGCGGGGAAGGGGAGATTTTTGACTAAAAACTGTTTTATTCTGGATTCTCGGTTGAATTTCAGTAGTGATTCACGTTGAAAACAAATGATTTTTCAAAAATTGTCACATTTTAAGCTGAAATTTTTAATTTAAAATCTAAAAATTTTCCTAACCCTCAAAATCCAAAAAAAACTATGTATTTTTCAGACATTATCCAATGGGTAAACTACGAAAAATGCACATTGGACGAATTCTATCCGGCTATAACAATTGCCAATTTGATGATGATGATGCAAAACGAAGATAGTCAAAGTTATCCGGAAATTGCGCAGGCAATTGTCACCATTTTCAGATCTTTGGGAGATGCCGCACCACAATATGTTGAACAGGTTAGATATGTGTTTTTTGAGTATTGAAGAATGGTAGAGCCAATATAAAACTAGAGAATAATTTATGTACAAATTTTGAAACAGTACATTTTTGGGAAAATTTTTAGAATTTTTTTGCAAGTTCGTTTGAAGATAAAAATCAAGATTTCAAATTGAAATATATTAAAAATTAATTAAATATTCAAATTAGGCCTTTGGATATTTACGGGCCTTGATTGGACCAGCTACAAAAATTGAAAATGATAAATTTGGAGCAAAATTTCGAAGGAATAGACAACAGTTTATGTAGCCAAATTAAGACTAGAAAATAGTTTTTGTCAAAATTTTGAAACAGTGAATTTTTCGGAAATGTTTCAATAAAAATCAAATTTTCATCGCAGCAAAAAATCCAAAATTCAAAAATAATCTTCCCAATTTCCAGGTTGTTCCTCGACTCATCGAAGTTTGTCGAACAATCAACAGCCGCACAAATCAAGCATTTCTTCGTGATTTCTTCCTCCGCCAACTATCGAAATTCGTCGAAATCATCAAACAACACGCCCTCCCATACATGCCGGATATTTTTTCGATAATTGCGGATGCGTGGAAAGAAGATGTGGCGGTGAAAATGTGTGTTGTGTCGGTTTTAGAAGAAATGGGAACTGCGTTGGGAGCTGTAAGTTTTTTTTGAAGGGAAAAAATGATGGACAAACCGGTTTCAAGAAAATCCCAAAACATTACTGTTTCAAAAATTTTATAGAAAATTAATTTTCGGAATTTTTTGTTGAAAAAATACTACTGCTTTACCTGCAAAAATAAAAATTTTAATTTCTAAGAAGAGGTCAAAATCTACTGTTTCAAAATTATTGTATATTTGCCAGACTTTTATCTCATATGTTCGCTTAATGGCAAATCCCACTAAATGAATTAGCAAGTTGGAATTTCCACGTCATAGATTGCTGTATTATTAAAAACATCACAGTGAAAATATTTAAATATAAATTTTTTTGGAAGAAAACCTACAGCACACATTGAAAATTTGATAACTCGTGAAAAAAGTATGATTTTTTGAAACAGTGTTTTTTTTTTCAAAAATGATGACACGGTTTTTTTCACACTGAAGAGTTATTGGTGCCAAAAACACTGAGCATTTTTTAAAGTATGCAATATTTTTAACAACAAAAAGTCTACTGTTTCAAAAATTCCATTTTAGTTTTTTTTTAAAATTTTTTCGATATTCGGTTGACCAAAAATTTCCATTTCTGAATTTTTAAATAACATTTTTAATGGAGAAAAACTCAAATATTTCTGATTCTAACAAAGAATGATGAAATTTTATAAGTTTTCCATTCACTTGTTTTTTTGTGCAAAATTGAAAAAATCTACTGTTTCGAAATTTTTATAAAGTTTTTTTTCACAGTTGATTTTATTTCTGAACTAATTTTATATACTTTGACAATGAAAATATTAATGGTTTGAAACAGTGGAGAAAATATGATTTTCTCAAAAACGCCTCTATAGAAAGTATTAAAAATGGGATTTAAAAAATTAATAACTCTAAAAAAATCTACTGTTTCAAAAGTTTCATAATATTTTGGTCCCATTAATTTGAAACAATCAGAAAGCTCTCTGACCAACACTTGAATAAATCCAATATTTTTTCAGGATTTCTCTGCATATACCGGTGAACTAATTCCATATCTTCTCAATGTTTTACACACTGACAAAACCAAAGAGCGATATTTAACAATAAAAGTATTGGAAGTAATGCGTCCACTTTGTTCTTGTCTCGTTCAACATCTTCATTTGGTTCTTCCTCCAGTTTTAATCATTTTGGATGATGTTTCAATTGCTCTCAAAGTTCGAATCACTGCATTAGAAACTATTTTGCATATGGCTAAAAACGTGGATATCTCAGCTTATGCTCCAAGAATGATGCAATCTTGGCATCATTGTATTGGAACTTTTGAGCTAAGGGAAAAGCTGCTGCTTTTATTGATTGAAATTATTAAAAAACTTGGAAAACATTTTGATGTATTTGCGAGAAGTGTTGAGATCAAACTACGAGAACATGGATTGGATCGAAGTGATAATTTTGATCATTATAAGAAGTTATCACAAAGAGCACAAATGTCAAGAGATATCATAACTACATCGCTTTTTGGAGCTCAAAATCAGAATGGAGGTCAAAATGGAAATGGAGTTGGTTTTGGAGGCGGTGCAATATTCTTGGGAAATGTTGGATTGCATGAAAGATTGATGAATGGATCATTGGAATCAGCTGGAAGTGGAACTGAAGTCAAGGAGGATTATTATACCGATGAACATCCAGTTGGTGATTCAAGAGTTCCGACGGCGGCTAGAAGTACTATGGATATTCCGGATGTTGTTATTACGAAACAAAGAGTTAATCATGAGGTGAGAAGGTTTTTTGGGAGAAATTGTGAGCTTAAAAAAAGAGTATTTAGGAATTTCAAACCAAAAGTTAGCTAACTTTTGGTAAATTTCAGAAAGTTTGAAAAATATCGAAAATTCCCTGAAGTTCAGGTATTTTTTTTAATCCTACCAAAATTCTAGAATTTTTAATAGATGATCTGAAAATGTTGCTTTTTTTCACCGATTCTTTGACTTGAAGACTGGATTTTGCTCCAAAAACTTATAAATTTAAGAAAAAATTGGCTGAATTTTGAGATTCCGAGTTTTGAAGAATTTTTACACTAAATTTTCAATCAATTTCCCGGAAATCGGAAAAATTCAAATTTTTTTTTAAATTTAAATTTTTCTCACGTGACCTTTTTCTTATTTCCAACCTGGAAATGTTTTTTTTCGATTCATTTTCGAAAAATTGGAAAATGTGAGAAACTTGAAGTGAGTTTAAAATTTCTCGTGCCGAAATCTGAGGCTCTATAATTTCAACTGAAAAAATCGAATGAAAAATCAGATTTTGGGTTTGATCTCTGAATCATTGAATTTTTTCTAGAGGCTATTTTAGAGTCTAATTTTCTTAGGAATTTCTACTAACTTGGGACATTCTTAAACTTTTAAAATGTTTGCAGATGTTCAATGCTGCTTGGAGAAATGAGAATCTAACATCAAAAGACGAATGGATGCAATGGTTATACAAACTTCGAATAGCTTTTCTAAAATGTGGAAGTTCTCCATCTCTTCGTGCTGCTTCAAGTCTCGCCGATCAATATCCACATTTAGCTCGCGATCTTTTCCCCGCTGTTTTTATGTCAATTTGGACTGAAGTTGGATCAAAAGGCCAAGATGATTTAGCACTTGCAATGAGAAGAGCATTAGATACCGGATATTCAGATGTTATTCAAACAGTTTTGAATTTGGCTGAATTTATGGATCATTCAGAAAAAGGACCACTTCCAATTGATTATAATATTTTGGGAAAATGCGCGGAAAAAACTAAGGCTTACGCAAAAGCATGTAGATATAAAGAGAATGAGATAATTAATCGATGGGATTTGGTGAAAGAGGAATTTGCGGCCGAGAAAAAGAAACGAGTAGAAAAAGGATTGGAAAGACCGGCGAATTTGCCGAAAATTGAGGATGTTAATGTGTTGAGACCTGATGATTGTCAAGCACTTATCACATTTGCCAATAAATTGAATGTTCAAGAAGAAGCGGCTGGTGTTGTGAGATATGCCGAAAGTCATAATATGAATATTAATGTGAGCATTTTTTTGAAGGGATTCTGTTTTAAATTCACTAAAATCTTTCACTTGAAATTTTTAAAAAATTGGAAATTTTCTATGATTTTCAAGGGAAATTTTGAGAGATTTGAAATATTTTTTACACCAAAAAAAAGTTATCTGTTAGTTTGAAACAGTGAAAAATTGTTTATTCTCAAAAACAAACAGTAATATTCAAGGAATGTTCGAGGATATTTTATTATTTTTTTGAAACAGTGAATTTTCTGTTTTTTCTAAAATATATTTTTTTTGAACTCAAAATATTATTTAAAAAAATTTACTGTTTCATAATTTTCTTATTGATTTTTAGTTTTTTTTTCTGATAATTTACTGATTATTCTGATAATTAGAAGTAAGTTTGAAATTCTGGAAACATGTTCTCGATCTTCACGGAATTTTAAAGTGTTCATCGAAAATCGAAAAATAGGTTACTGTGTTTTTTAGTTTGAAAAATCTCTTAAATTGAAAATTTTCTCTGCCAGAATTTTCACTGTTTCAAAATTTTAATATCATATAAGACAATAGAATAATATTCGATAAATCTTTGGGAAAACAAAAATTCACATTTTGAAAATCAAAAAGACCTTATTTCACCTTCAACAAAGCCTCCCTATAATTTCCAACCATTTTATTTGTTTTTTGCAGATGCCTGGTCGTTGGTACGAAAAATTGAATGAATGGGAAAAAGCTCTTCATGCTTATGAAGTTGACACATCAAATGAAGACACAACAATGCATGAAATGAGATGTTTGGAAGCATTGGCAAAATGGGAACAATTGAATGAAAAAGCGAAATTGGCTAAGTTAGTTGGGGGATTTTTGGGTTGGAATTGGATTTTAGAAGTTCCCTGGACCCCTCTGATATACCCCCAAAGATGCCCTAAAATCAAAACTTTTTTGCAGAGAAAACGCGGCTGGTCGACAAATGGAGCACAAAGTTGCAGTGATTGCTGCTCGCGGAGCTTGGGCTGTCGATGATTGGCCAAGTATGGCTGGATATGTTTCGCATATCTCGGAAAATACACAAGATGGGGCCATGTTGAGAGCTATTGTGGCGGTTCATAAGTGAGTTTTTTTATTTGTATTGAAACCGCTCGACGAACTGAAAAGTAGGGGAATATTTTGAGAATATGGGAATTTTGAAACAGTGAAATAATTTTGACGAGACAAAAATTTTCAATATTTTATTATATTAATATATTAAAAATTTATTGGAAAGCTATGTGATAATTTTGAAACAGTTGAAATTTAGAATTTTCACCAAAATTTTTAAGTACTGAATTATTTTAAAATTTGACGATAGGAAAGTCTTATCAAATTTGAAAATTCAGTGAAAATTTAAGTGATAATTTTGAAACAGTAGATTTTTTTGTCGAAAGAAAATTCAACTCGAATCAATACCTTCGAAAATATTTTTTTTATTATGAACATTTTGAAACAGTAGAAAAATTTTAATTTGAAAATTATTGAATTTTAACCCAAATTTTCAATTGTTTAATTATTGGCCCATCAAATTTAAAAATTCAGTGAAAATTTATGAGATAATTTTGAAACAGTATATTTTTTTGTCGAAAAAAAATAACTCCAGAAAAATTCACCTTCAAAAAATACCTTTAAAAATATTTTTTTTTATTATGAAAATTTTGAAACAGTGAGAAAATTTTAGTTTGAACATTATTGAATTTTTTTTCAGAAATTTTTACCGAAGTTTTGAATTCTTGAAATATTGGAAATTTAGGAGAGGGAGGAAAACAAGTATATCAATTTCAAAAATTCAGTTAAAATTGAGATGATAATTTTAAAACAGTAGATTTTTTTTAATTTGAAAATCAAAATTTTCAATGAAATTGTTTTTGGTTAAAAAAATAATTTTTCACTGTTTCAAAATTTTTAAATTAATTTTATCCAAGTAATTTTTCCGATTTTACCATTGGCATAAACTCTAAAAATAAAAGAAAATTTCAGCAATGAATTCCCGAAAGCGATGGGATTAATTGAAAAGGTTCGAGATATGTTTGACAGCGAATTGACGGCAATGGCAAGTGAAAGTTATGAAAGAGCTTATACGCCAATGGTTTTTGTGCAACAAATGGCTGAATTAGAGGAGGCTATTGAATTTAAGGTAAGTTGCATTGGAATATACGGGGAAAGGGGATTCAAATGAGTCTAAATTTGATAAGAATATCATTGAGGGTTACTTTAAGGGGTTAAGGTGATTTTAATGTCGTTAGAAATTTAAACTCTTTAGGAACAATCTTAAGGGTTTTAAAGTGTTTGGGAACATCCTTAAAAAATGTTACTTCTTGAAAAAAACATAAATATTATTTAGTTTCGCCTTAAAAACTTCCACCTTACAACATATCTTTAAATTTTAATTCCAGCTCCGCCCTGAACGTCGCCCAAGAATTGCGCTTCTTTGGAGTCGACGCCTCCAAGGATGTCGACAAAATGTGGAACAATGGCAAAGATTGCTCATGTTAAGATCACTTGTTCTAACTCCACAAGAAATGCATCCACTTCGTGTCAAATTCGCGTCGCTTTGTCGAAAACAAGGAAAAACTGCGATGTCGCGAGAAGTTCTTCGAGAATTGTTGAATCTTGCACCTGGAACAAGTCTTCTTGAAGCCAAAGTTCCTCAAGAAAAACCTCAATTAGTTTTGGCACTTTGTAAACAATTATGGCAAGATGAACATCGAGAAGAAGCATTAAGAACTTTGGAACATTTGGCGAAACAATTCCAAAAAATTCATCGAAATATTGAAGAACAAGAGAAATTGTATTTGCATAGTCAAGAAGCGGCGAGAATTTGTGCGAAAGTATTCTTGAAACTTGGCGAATGGAATGAGATTCATTATAAAAATCGGCCACCGCATGAAATATCGGGAATATTGATTCAAAATACAATGCATCGAAATAATGATGCGCAAAAAACGATTAATTATTATCGAACTGCAACACAATATGATCCAAAATGGCATAAAGCTTGGCATAAATTGGCATCCTCATATTTTTATGCGACAATGAAAGATGCGCCAAGACAATCGCAAATTCGAAGATTGGGTCCACCAATGGGTCCACCACCTCCACCAAATCTCCCGTTGGGTGGATTTGGTGCCATGAATTATCCATTCAATCCGATTCCACAACCTGATTTCCCGCATCCTGCCCCACTTGGAAGTCTTGCCGGAATTCCAACTATGCCATCACAGACTTCACCAATTATGCAACATGTTAGTGGATTCAGTGGCCCATTGACAAATACGAATATTGAAAATGCGATGAGCGCGATTTTCTGCTTTTCCAAAGCGCTTTTCTTTGCTCCTGGTTCGAGATTAGAAGATACACTTCGATTGCTTCAACTTTGGTTCGATTATGGACATCAGGAAGAGGTTTATGGGAAATTGGTGGAAAATGTGACGGATTTGCCGATTACAACGTGGTTGGAAGTTGTGCCGCAATTAATGGCCAGATTGGATTCCAGTGATAAGGAGAAACCAACACAATTGATTATTAAAGGTGGGTTTTGGCTAAAAAAAATTTCACAGTTTCAAACTTTTATATATTTTAATAATTGGGGATTTGATATTCACAATATCCGTTTTCGATGAAAATCAATGAATTTTGAAAAAAAAAACATTTTTGGATCAGACTCCCGTAAATTTATAAAATTGGAAAATTTTTTAGAAACAATTGTTTTGATTCCAAATATTTTTTTCACTGTTTCAAGATTTTTATTACGTTGTTGTTGATTTTGAATTAATTGATTCATCCAGTGAGTAATCCGAAATCTTAAAAAATCTCGTTTTTTTATCCAAAAAACTATCAAAAATCCCGCCAAATCTCGGGAAAATAAATTTTTGATGTTGAAATTTTTCACTGTTTCAAGAATGGTTTATATGAATTTCAAGAATTTTTGATTTTGATCCAGCTGCTTTAAAACTTCCCAGAGTAACCCGATCTTGAAATAGAAAATTCGCGTTTTTATTCAAAAAACACTATCAAAAATCCCGCCAAATCTCGGGAAAATAAATTTCTGATGTTAAAATTTTTCACTGTTTCAAATATTTTTTAAATGAATTTCGATTGATAATTATCCAATGAATATGGAGGGAACGTTAATTTTTTTTTGAAAAATTAGCCAGAAATTATTCCGAAGTTTTCTACAGTTCCCCAGATTTTCAAAAGATTTATTTGGTACTACAGGTTATTTTCCGATGATTTTCTCTACTGTAAATTCTGTGTAATTCCAAAAATTTTATACAATCAAAAATTACTGTTTCAAAAAATGTATTTTCATAGAAGCGTTTGTCTTGAATTTGCTTTGTTAGTTGCAATCAAAATATTTTTCCAAAAAAATTTATCCTGAAAATGTTTACCTCAAAATCTCAAAGCCAAACTCCTAGCTCTATTCCAGTTCTCGTCGAAATCTCCAAATACAAACCACAATCGCTTATCTACGCAGTCTGCGTCGCCGCTCGAAGCACCGACGCAAATCGCCAGAAAAACGCGCTCTCAATTCTCGAAAAAATGAGCGATTATCATGCGGAACTGGTGAAAGAGGCGAAAATGGTGACGGAAGAATTGGTGAGATGCGCTATTTTGTGGCATGAGAAATGGCATGATGCATTGGATGAAGCGAGCAGAGTCTATTTTCATGTGAGTTTTTTTGGGGGAAGTTTTGAAGTTTGCTAACGAAAAATATTTTTTAGCGATCTTTGCAAGATAATAATGTTAAATCAATGTATGAAGCTCTCAAAGATCTCCCAAAAAATGTTGTGCAAGGAACACCGAAAACAATGAAAGAGCACAGTTTCAATCAAACTTATCAATCAGATCTTCTCGAAGCTCAAAGATATTGTCATGCTTATGAATGTGAACACAATATCAAAGATCTCAATCAAGCCTGGGAAATTTATTGTCAAATATTCAAAAGACTTCGCGATCAACTCGTTAATCTCACCCTTTTGGATCTCAATTACGTGAGTCCGGAACTTGTTCGAGCTCGAGATTTGCAATTAGCTGTGCCTGGAACATATGATCCGAGTAGTGAACCGGTTGGAATCGCGTCTTTTTCGACGAAAATGACAGTGATTACGAGTAAACAAAGACCGCGGAAGATGGTGATTCGAGGATCGAATGGACTCGAATATCAGTTTTTGTTGAAAGGACATGAAGATCCGAGACAAGATGAAAGAGTTATGCAATTATTTGGATTGGTCAATACATTATTGGCCAATAATTCGGAGACTTGTAGAAGAAATTTGACGATTCAGGTGAGCAGTTTGGGGTGGGATTTGAAATCAGGATTTTCTATATTGGTCCGGGCTCACTGATTTGAAGTATTCGGAAAACTAACCCCAGATTTTTCAAGCCTAGAAGTTTAAGTGTAGAAGTCTAGAAGGCTGAGCCCTGAGCATAAGCCTAGAATAGAAGCCTAAGCCTAAAGCCTAGAAGTCTTAGCCGAGAAGCCTAAATCTAAAAGCCTATATCCACAATCCTAAGCCATAACCTTAAGCCTAAGTCTAGAAGCCTATTAGACTGAGCATCATGAATTGGACCCACTAGAATTTGGTTACTAGAGTTTTTTTTTTGGTTTTCTGTACCCTATGAAAAATTCACTGTTTCAAAATTTGATAGTAAAATATCTAGTGCCAAAAGCCACGATGCCATTAACTTAATCCAAATAAAAATTAAATTTTCAATTTTTTGCTTTGGAAAAATGTACTGTTTCAATTTATTTTAATGAATTTGACATTCTTTTTCTCTCTAATTCTGATCTTTTGGTTGGTAGAGCCATAGTTACAACTAAAAATTATGTCGAAAATATCAACCCGATCCAATTTTTGCAGAGATATGCAATCATCGCGCTCAGCAAAGATTCTGGTCTAATTGGTTGGGTTCCAAACTGTGATACACTTCATTCGTTGGTCAAAGAATATCGGGAGAAAAAGGCGAAACTCTCACTTTCTCTCGAACACAAAGCACTTCAAAAAATGTCGGCTGATACCGAACATTTGACTGTTATGCAAAAGCTGCAATGTTTCGAAAGTGCATTGGCGGCGACGAAAGGAGATGATTTGAGACAAATATTATGGTTGAAGAGTCCAAGTTCGGAGGTGAGATTTCGAACCAAAATTCGGGATTTTTGATGGAAAACAACTCAGGACAATGATTTTTTTTGTTCAATTATCAACCTGAAATTGATTTTTCAGAGATTCAAATATTTTGGTGTTTTCTAAAAAAATAAGCCAACCCTTTTTCATCTAAAATGAGCAATGCCTATTCTTCTAGGTTTGGTTCGATCGTCGCACAAACTATACCCGTTCTGTTGCCTGCATGTCAATGGTTGGATATATTTTGGGACTCGGTGATCGACATCCATCGAATTTGATGTTGGATCGATTAACAGGAAAAATTGTGCACATTGATTTTGGCGATTGTTTTGAAGTGGCAATGTTGAGAGAGAAATTCCCCGAAAGAGTGCCTTTTAGATTGACGAGAATGTTGATTAATGTGAGTGACGGGTTTGGGAAAATTGAAAAATTCACTCATGTTATATTTGAAAAATCCTTATTTTCCTAATTATAAATTTAATATGATCAATGATTTTGAAAGCTAAAAAATCTGGAAATTTTGTGAATGCCTTGTTTACTGTGTTTAGGAATCTTATTTAGAAGCTACACATTTTCAAAAATTTACAAAAATGCTCATTATTTGCATTAGAGCGCATTTTATTTCCCCCCTCCCCATAAAAATGCACAATCATCTTTTTTTTCTACAGGCAATGGAAATCACTGGATTGGAAGGTGTTTATCGATATACAGCTGAAAGAGTGTTGAAAGTATTGAGAACGAATCAAGAATCATTGTTGGCTGTATTGGAAGCGTTTGTTTATGATCCAGTTATTAATTGGAGACTTGTTGAAGGTAGGTGGAATTTTTGAGTTCCTGAAACTGAAATTCATGAGATCAGTTATTTTTGACATTTGGAATTTGAAATTCTGAAAATTTTTAACTATAGGCTTCAAGTCAGATCCAGCTGAATTTTTTGAAGTTTAACAGATTTTCAGAATCACTAAATATTCTGAAAACACACGAAAAACAATGGAAAATATACGTTTCAAATTTTGAATTAATATTTGAAAATAATTCAGTTTTCCAATTCTTTTTCTAATTCATACATACATTTTTCAATTATCCCAATGTTTGTTGCAGGTATGAAACGTGATCCAAAAGTTCGAAAAGATCCATCTCGAATGAATACAAATCAAGCGCCATCAAGTAGTACAACTGAAGGAACAATGGATACAATCAAACGAAAATTAGCCGGAACCGAATTTGTGAATGTTCCACTTTCTGAAAATCCCGAACCACTTCCTGTAACTCAACAACTCGAAAGACTTATTGAACAAGCCACGTGTAATATGAATCTATGTCAAAGTTATATTGGATGGTGTCCATTTTGGTAGACAGCCATGAACTTAGCCTAACTATTCACTTAACATTCCAATTCCTTTCTTTTTTGTGCCAATTTCTCTTTATGCAATAAGATTTTTTGTAGGTTTATAGATAGTTTTTTGTTCCCCTTTTTCTTGTATATAATTTATATTTTGAATGATTTTTTAGAAGTTTTGTTGATTTTTTTTGGACTCTACTCGTTTTTTGCGAGATTTTATATCTTTGGGGGATTCAAGGGATTTTTGAAAAATTTCAGAGAAATTCTGAATTTTCAAAACAAAAAAGTATATTTTTGAGAATTTTAAGCTGAAAATTGGATTTTCAAAAATATATTTCTGAAAAAAAGTTTATTCTGAAATTCTGATGATTCAAATTTTTCTCTGAAAATTCTGAAATCCTGAATTTTCCTACAAACCCTAAAATTCCTTCTAATTTTTTCCAGCATGATTCGTCGTAGTCGAATCCAACAGAGACCGAATATTTCGAAAGCGGCAAAATCTGCGGCTCCTCCAGCCCAAAATCCAGTTCCAGCCGCACCATCAGAAGCCACGCCAGAAGAACCAACTCCAGAAATCGCCCAGCTTGAAGTTGAAGTCCCTGAAGATCCAACTCCACCTCAAACTCAAGTTTTTCTGGCTCCGAAGGATCCAGTTTCATCTCCAATTCTTACCTCACCAAAAGAAGTTCATCATGTGCATTTTGTGACGCCAGTAAATGCAGAATCGGATGAGATTACGATTATTGATGAAGATGAGGAGGAAAATCATCGAAATCAACAACAAAGATCGCGTAGTCGAAATGTTTCGTTGTGTGAAGATGAGGCGATTTTGCAGGCGAAAATGTGAGTGGATTTGAAGGGGAAAATGGGTCTGGGTTTCAAAATTAGTGGAAAGCCCTGAAAAATATGGTTTACCAAAAAAACCGTGCCAGGATTGCAGGGGCGGAGCTTAAATATAGAATCTATAATTTTTTTCTAAAATTTCCTTAATTATTTTTTTGTGTCTTGCAAAAGTTTGTGTGAAAAATGGGCGGAGCTTTGAATTTCAGGTTTCCACCCCGAATTCTATAAATCCCAATTTTGTCATTAATTTTAATCCCCCGGCAAAAATAGGTTTCAAAATTAGTGTTTTTGCCGAATAAAAAATTAGGAATCGATAAAGCGTTTTTCAATATGAACTGTTTTGCAGACATCCAATTGAGAAAAAACGATTCACCGGAAAAGAGGAACTCGACACGAAATCGTGGAAAATCTCGGATTTGGCAAGATGGAATCCGAGACATGAGAAGGCGGTTTTTAAGTGGGTTTTTTTGAGAATTTTAAAGCTAAAAATCGTGAATTTAGATGAAATTTAGTGGTTTTCAGCCTGAAAATCAATAAATTTCAGCCAAAAACCTTACCATTTTCCAGAAGAGAACGTCGATCATCAACAAGTTCCACAATAATCACAAAATCCGAACTAAATCCCGATTCTCAACCTTCTACACCAGCCATAAATGCACCGCAAGTTAAAATTGGAGCCGATGGAAAATTGGTGATTGATGAAACGAGCTTGGTTGTTTCAACAATGAATAATGATTCGGTTTGGGAAACTGTGGAAGAGGGAAGAAATGCGAGCAAAATCAATTCGATGTCGTTTAGAAATCGCATTTTTCGAAAATCGACGCCTTGGGTGGAAAAAGAGACCGAATTGTTTTATGGTGAGGAGATTTTTGGAAAAAATTTGAATTTTAAACTTGGAAAGTTCGATTTTATGAAGTGAAAATGTTTTAATTATCTTATGAAAAAGTTCCAAAATTAATCTTTTTCCGAATAATTTTTTTCTGAAATTTTCATAATTTTCGTAGGGATTCCAGAAGTTAATTTTATCAGCTGAAACCATCTGAAATTTTATGAAAAAATATTTACGAGAATTCCGGAGATTTTTATTAGATTCTTTTCAAATTTAAGTCAAAATGTCATGATTTTTTGAGTTCAAATTTTTTCCCTAAAGGAAAGATTTAGAGCATTGCTCATATTATATTAATTTTTTTTTTGAAAATTCAAGTTTTTCAAAAAATTGAAATCATTGCTCATTTTAGCCACTTTCAGACGAATTTCGATCGAAAATTGAAAATATCAATTAAAAATGTAAATTTGTTTCAACAATTCGAGAATTCCTACATTTCTTGATCTGAAATCTTGTGCATCTTGACAATTTTAAATTCCTGTTTTTTCAGCCGTTCTTCGTTGCACTGGCACAGATTTCGGTCTGATGCATCATTATTTGCCCCAAAGAACTCGTCAGGAACTCAAAGCAAAATATAATCGAGAAGAAAAAAATAATTGGCACAGAATTGTCGAAAATGGCAAACAAACATCAACTTTGGATGATAGTTTGCCAGAAAAAGTGCAACAAGTTTTGAAAGAAATTCAAGAAGAAGAACAGGAAAAAAAGGATAAAAAAGAGTTTGAAAAAGAAGAAGAACGGCGAATTCGACAAGAAGCCAAAGAATTGAAACAGCAAGAAAAAACATTGGAAATTCAGAAAAGATTAGAAGTTCGACAATTGTTGATGGATGCAAAGGCGAAAGTTCGAGAAGCTAGAGAAGCTGAAAAAGAAAAGAAAATGGAGAAAATGAAAGGAATTGAAGATGCGAGAAAAGCGAGAGATGAAGCTAAGCAAAAGCTGAAAGAAGCCAAACAAATTGTGGCGAAAAAATGAGGATTTGGAAAAAGAAGCGGCGAGAATTATTAGAAGATTGATTGAAAATGATAAAGCATTGGAAAAAAAACGAGAGGTTGCGGAGAAAAAAGTAAATGTTGAAGTTGCTGCTCCTGAAGAAGATGTTCCAAGCTCATCTTCCTCATCTTCATCCTCATCCTCTTCGGAAGATGAAGATGATGGAGAAGCATTGGCTGAAAAGACGGCGAGAAGAGAGCGGCAAAGAATGGAAGAAACTCCGAGAGAGAAGTTGGATAGAAGAGAAAGTTTGAATAAGAAACCGCAATATGTTACGATTAGTGAGTTTTTTGAAGGGATGGAAAATTGGACTGAATTTTTAATCATAACATGAGCAATGCTCCAAGTGTTCTCAATTTTTGAGCAATCTGATTTTTTAAAAGAATTTTCTAAATCTAATATGAGCAATGCTCCAAATTTTTCAAAAAATCAGAATTTTCATTTAATATAATCAATTCTTTCAATGTTTGATTTTTCAAATAAAATTTGTTTCCAGGCAAAAAATTGATCAAAAACTTGCCGAAAGTTCCGTCCGAACCATTGATGAAAACTGTTGAATTTGCGAAGAAACATGGGAGTATTTTTGGAAGCGGTGATATGGCAGCTGATTCGGATGGTACTATTTTACCGAATTTTTATAATGAAACAATTTTTTTTCAGATTGGGCATCAACTTCTACATCTTCAAATCCGAATCCCATGCCCAATCCGACCCCAAATTCACAAGAATCTGAAGCGTCGGTCAAATCTCCACCACCAAAACGGAGAATGATCAAAAAACCAGTCATCTCCAAGGCAAATTGCCAAAAATCATAATTTTTCGATTTTTTTTTGAATGATTTACGTCGGGTTTTTTCTCTCAGAAAGTATATAGTATTGAAATGATGAATAGTGTTTTTTTTTGTTATTCTCATAAATAATTTTTGTTTTTTTTAATTTGATGAAAGCAAAACATACATCTTTTTCGTAAAATTTTAGACAATAATTTTCAAAACTTGAACTACAGTAATCCACATACTGTCATCTGAATATAGAAAACATTTTCTGAAATTTAATTGAAGGCTTGTTCAAAAACAATTTCCCGCTTCTATTCAAAACTTGCCGATAATACAGTACACTGCTTTTTGTAAATATACAATAAGCCAAGTTGTACTGCCGATCTGGATAACAAAAAAAACGGATACCGTAGTTCTTGAAACAAATCTACAGGTAACAACATTTCTAGAACATTTTCTAGATAATACGATTACTGTAGATTAGAAGAACTACAGCAACCAAAAAAACTGCAAAATGTACAAGTCTCGGCTTTTAAGCGAGACTTGTAGAAACAAAAATTGAAGTAAATAATAAAAACAATTAGAGATTAAAAATTAGAAAAATCCAGCGTGATTGATTGACACGTGGCAATTCGTAAATGTGAAGAATTTGAAATCTGAAATATATGTAAATTACTGTAGTTTGGAGATCTAAATTGGCGAATAAAATTTTTTCAATTCGAAAAAAATCAAAGTTTTTGAATAAAAATTCAAAAATTGGGCATAGCTTCCGCATCTCCACTGAAATTCCAATTTTAAACTAATAAAATCCAAGGTTTTCAAGATTTTCACGAAGAAAATCAAGAAAACTTTGAATTTTATTAGTTTAAAATTGGATATTTCAGAAGTTCTCATTTATTGTTATATAAATACTTACCGTATTCATCGAGTCGATTGTTTGATGGAGCAAATTTGTTGACTGCCAATCTGAAACAAAAAATTGAATTTTCTAGAAAAAAAGAAGTTTTTGAATAAAAATTCAAAAATTGGGCATAGCTTCCGCATCTCCGCTGAAATTCCAATTTTAAACTGATGAAATCCAAAGTTTTCAAGATTTTCGAAAAAAAAAATCAAGAAAAATTGAAGTTTTATCAGTTTCGATTTGAATTTCCAGAAAATCTCATTCCTAAAAATCCACAAAAATCTCACCATAATTTCGATTCTTCAATCCAACAATAATCAACAATTGTGAATGAAATAGATGAGTGTAAACAAAATATCGATGAAATTGATTGGGGTGAAGTGATTCTGAAAAATTATTCGATATTGGAAATTCATTTTCTGAATTTTGGTTATTTTTGGTAATTCACAACATGTCAAAAAGCAATCGGTGAGAGTGAAAGAGACGAAATATATTGGAATCCCGCGTGATCTTCAGTTTGCGGGTTTAGGATTGTGAAATCTAGAGATAGGCTTCAGCTTGATTTTTGGGAATTCATTCTTAAACTTTATTTGTGCCAAGCGAATAAAAGTCATCCTCAATTTTTTTCGAAGCAAAATATGTTTACCAACAGCAATTCCAAAAATGATGGATTTTCGGACCCACAATTTTCAATGTACCTTTGATCTATTTTTCTCTAAGTCTTCTTCACTCTCACTGATTGCCAATTTTTATTGGACTGACATGTTGTGAATTAACCTCTCTAAAAAATCCCGTCAGTAAATAGACTTACAATTGAATTGATAGAAAATTTCAAGTTTTTTGATCAAAAAATGACTCTTGGCAAAATTAGGAACGCTTCCTAATTTTGCAATGGATGGAGTCATCGATAAATTTTTCGAAAAAAAAACTTATTTAATCTATTTTTTTGAATTAAATGTAAGGAAATATTTGTATTGGAACATGGTCCTTGGGACATGATAAAATTTGTTCAGTGTGAAAAAAAGTGGACGGGGCTTATTTTTCAGTTTAAAGCTAAAAACACTGAAAAATCAAAAAAATTTTTCAAAATTTACCAAAAACTTTCTGGTTTTTTCTGGATGATTTTTTAATGCTGAAAAACACTGTAAATTTTCAAATAGCTGGGGATTTTCAGCTTATTTCCGGCTCGAAATATCAAAAAATCGAACACATAATTGCAGATTTTCGATGAAAAATAGCTGAAAATCGTCAGCTATCTGACAAGGAAAGGTTTTCAATTCTAGCTCAATTTTTATGGATAAAAATAATAAATCGTCATTTCGTAGTTACTTCGAATTGACGATTTTTAATTCTGGCTCAATTTTTATGGATAAAAATAATAAATCGTCATTTCGTAGTTACTTCGAATTGACCATTTTCAATTCTAGCTCAATTTTTATGGATAAAAATAATAAATCGTCATTTCGTAGTTACTTCGAATTGACCATTTTCAATTCTAGCTCAATTTTTATGGATAAAAATAATAAATCGTCATTTCGTAGTTACTTCGAATTGACGATTTTCAATTCTAGCTCAATTTTTATGGATAAAAATAATAAATCGTCATTTCGTAGTTACTTCGAATTGACGATTTTTAATTCTAGCTCAATTTTTATGGATAAAAATAATAAATCGTCATTTCGTAGTTACTTCGAATTGACGATTTTCAATTCTAGCTCAATTTTTATGGATAAAAATAATAAATCGTCATTTCGTAGTTACTTCGAATTGACCATTTTCAATTCTAGCTCAATTTTTATGGATAAAAATAATAAATCGTCATTTCGTAGTTACTTCGAATTGACGATTTTCAATTCTAGCTCAATTTTTATGGATAAAAATAATAAATCGTCATTTCGTAGTTACTTCGAATTGACGATTTTTAATTCTAGCTCAATTTTTATGGATAAAAATAATAAATCGTCATTTCGTAGTTACTTCGAATTGACGATTTTTAATTCTAGCTCAATTTTTATGGATAAAAATAATAAATCGTCATTTCGTAGTTACTTCGAATTGACGATTTTTAATTCTAGCTCAATTTTTATGGATAAAAATAATAAATCGTCATTTCGTAGTTACTTCGAATTGACGATTTTCAATTCTAGCTCAATTTTTATGGATAAAAATAATAAATCGTCATTTCGTAGTTACTTCGAATTGACGATTTTTAATTCTAGCTCAATTTTTATGGATAAAAATAATAAATCGTCATTTCGTAGTTACTTCGAATTGACGATTTTTAATTCTAGCTCAATTTTTATGGATAAAAATAATAAATCGTCATTTCGTAGTTACTTCGAATTGACGATTTTTAATTCTAGCTCAATTTTTATGGATAAAAATAATAAATCGTCATTTCGTAGTTACTTCGAATTGACGATTTTTAATTCTAGCTCAATTTTTATGGATAAAAATAATAAATCGTCATTTCGTAGTTACTTCGAATTGACGATTTTCAATTCTAGCTCAATTTTTATGGATAAAAATAATAAATCGTCATTTCGTAGTTACTTCGAATTGACGATTTTTAATTCTAGCTCAATTTTTATGGATAAAAATAATAAATCGTCATTTCGTAGTTACTTCGAATTGACGATTTTTAATTCTAGCTCAATTTTTATGGATAAAAATAATAAATCGTCATTTCGTAGTTACTTCGAATTGACGATTTTTAATTCTAGCTCAATTTTTATGGATAAAAATAATAAATCGTCATTTCGTAGTTACTTCGAATTGACGATTTTTAATTCTAGCTCAATTTTTATGGATAAAAATAATAAATCGTCATTTCGTAGTTACTTCGAATTGACGATTTTTAATTCTAGCTCAATTTTTATGGATAAAAATAATAAATCGTCATTTCGTAGTTACTTCGAATTGACGATTTTTAATTCTAGCTCAATTTTTATGGATAAAAATAATAAATCGTCATTTCGTAGTTACTTCGAATTGACGATTTTTAATTCTAGCTCAATTTTTATGGATAAAAATAATAAATCGTCATTTCGTAGTTACTTCGAATTGACGATTTTTAATTCTAGCTCAATTTTTATGGATAAAAATAATAAATCGTCATTTCGTAGTTACTTCGAATTGACGATTTTTAATTCTAGCTCAATTTTTATGGATAAAAATAATAAATCGTCATTTCGTAGTTACTTCGAATTGACGATTTTTAATTCTAGCTCAATTTTTATGGATAAAAATAATAAATCGTCATTTCGTAGTTACTTCGAATTGACGATTTTTAATTCTAGCTCAATTTTTATGGATAAAAATAATAAATCGTCATTTCGTAGTTACTTCGAATTGACGATTTTTAATTCTAGCTCAATTTTTATGGATAAAAATAATAAATCGTCATTTCGTAGTTACTTCGAATTGACGATTTTCAATTCTAGCTCAATTTTTATGGATAAAAATAATAAATCGTCATTTCGTAGTTACTTCGAATTGACGATTTTTAATTCTAGCTCAATTTTTATGGATAAAAATAATAAATCGTCATTTCGTAGTTACTTCGAATTGACGATTTTTAATTCTAGCTCAATTTTTATGGATAAAAATAATAAATCGTCATTTCGTAGTTACTTCGAATTGACGATTTTTAATTCTAGCTCAATTTTTATGGATAAAAATAATAAATCGTCATTTCGTAGTTACTTCGAATTGACGATTTTTAATTCTAGCTCAATTTTTATGGATAAAAATAATAAATCGTCATTTCGTAGTTACTTCGAATTGACGATTTTTAATTCTAGCTCAATTTTTATGGATAAAAATAATAAATCGTCATTTCGTAGTTACTTCGAATTGACGATTTTTAATTCTAGCTCAATTTTTATGGATAAAAATAATAAATCGTCATTTCGTAGTTACTTCGAATTGACGATTTTTAATTCTAGCTCAATTTTTATGGATAAAAATAATAAATCGTCATTTCGTAGTTACTTCGAATTGACGATTTTTAATTCTAGCTCAATTTTTATGGATAAAAATAATAAATCGTCATTTCGTAGTTACTTCGAATTGACGATTTTTAATTCTAGCTCAATTTTTATGGATAAAAATAATAAATCGTCATTTCGTAGTTACTTCGAATTGACGATTTTTAATTCTAGCTCAATTTTTATGGATAAAAATAATAAATCGTCATTTCGTAGTTACTTCGAATTGACGATTTTTAATTCTAGCTCAATTTTTATGGATAAAAATAATAAATCGTCATTTCGTAGTTACTTCGAATTGACGATTTTTAATTCTAGCTCAATTTTTATGGATAAAAATAATAAATCGTCATTTCGTAGTTACTTCGAATTGACGATTTTTAATTCTAGCTCAATTTTTATGGATAAAAATAATAAATCGTCATTTCGTAGTTACTTCGAATTGACGATTTTCAAATCTAGCCTAATTTTATGGATAAAAATAATAAATCGTCATTTCGTAGTTACTTCGAATTGACGATTTTTAATTCTAGCTCAATTTTTATGGATAAAAATAATAAATCGTCATTTCTTTTTTATGGATAAAAATGAGTACATTCAATTCAAAAAATATTAAATAACTTTTTTTTTCAAAAATTTATCCATGGCAAAATTAGGAAGCCTTCCTGATTTTGCCACGAGTCATTTTTTGATCATAAAACTTGAAATTTTTCATGAATTTGATTTCCTAAGAAAATTGAAAATAATCACAGAAAAAAAAACGGAACTGAAATAAATAAGCAGACTGTTACGCCTAACATCCCCTAGTTTTTATCTATAAAATTTAGCTCGATTTAATAATCGCGAATTCGGAGTAACTACGAAATCACGAACCAATTTTTGCATATATTTTTTTCAAATAATTATTTCCCGAAATCCCTCCTGCCTCAAAAAAACTCACTAAATTGTGGATTTCCATAATTTACGAGGGTTACGATTCCAGTGTTTAGAGATCGATGAAACCAACCACGACTTCCCTCATTGTATCTTTGATGGACTTGGCAGATTCCACCAGCAGTGTCTGGAAAAATCAGGTTTATAGAAGGTACGGGAATTGTTTTTAATCATAAGCTTGTTTTTTTGTGAAAAAAAAGGATTTTCTATATTTCTAAAGCTTGGAGAAATTCCCATTTATTATGGAAAAAATCTAGCACATATCTTTTTTCAAATAATTATTTCCCGAAATCCCTCGGCCCCAAAAAAACTCACTAAATTGTGGACTTGCCACCCAAGCCAAACCCAAAGTTCCACCAACAAAATCTCTAAAAGTCAGTGCATAAGCCAGGCAAAATGCTGAATGATTTCGTTGCGAATTGAGATTCAGAAAACTCGAAACATCAACATTGTCTTCACAAAATGGATTGTCTGAGCCTGGTCGTGCTTTTCCGCGTTCGCAAGTTTCAGTTGTGTAAATCTGGAAAAGAGAGTGGATTGAAGGTCAAATTGGAGAGAAAACTGGAAATTTCAGGAACGAAAATTAAAGCTTGCTAGAAAAATACAAATTTCAAAATTTTCTCGATTTCAGATTTTCAATTTTGAAAAAACTTGAAACCTGTGATTTCTCACTATAAAATTAAATAAGGCGCAAAAATATAAAAGTTTTGATTTTTTTTTTTGAAAATTTTTAACTTTCTGTCTAGACTCTCCTGATTTTAGGTTATCTCTAATCAACTCAATATTCTGTATATTTTTTTTTGGAAATTTTCAAGCGTAAAAAATCCAGGGTCCAAATCCCCTTTCCCTTCAAAAAAATCTCACCGAAGTTCATTCCATTAAAATTCGTACTCTCATCAGCTTGCATATACAAAGAGCATGTTCGAACTGAATATAATCCTCGTTCATCTCTTGTTGATCTTTTCGATCTTCCTTTCATTGTCATGTAATTTGTATAAAAATCACTATCACTTTTCATTGAATATTGCTGATATTTTCCAGATTCCTGAACTTCGCTCATCTCTTCGAAAATTGCATCAAAATCAATTCCTCTTTTTGTTTCCATTTGAATTCATTCGAAATATCCAAATTCTTCCAGCAAACTGCTCCAAAATCCCATGGAATTTCTCGATTCTTTGTTTTTGCCCATATACGATTGGGGTTTTGTCAAAGATTCGGGATCTCTTCGAATTCCCCGGAATTTCTGGAAAAATATTAAAATTTTCAATCGAGAATACGCATTTCTGACAGGAAAATCAGAAATTTTCGTGTTTTCTCACATACTTTGCTTTCATCCGCAATTGCTGTTCCCAACTTCGAGCACTGATTTGGTTGAAGCTGGTTCCAAACGCCTGAAAACTGCGTAATTTGAGAACAAACTATATATTACGATGAAAAACTCACTTCAATTTGACGATTTTTGAAGCTCAGGCAGATCTAGCTTTTCATTCCTGATCACTCTTTGTTTGCTCCTCGAAATTTCCAACCAAAAGTCGAAATAGCAAAATTAAGTGCGTTGGCGTGAATAATCTCCATACAGAAAAATTACAGATTGTTGATAAAATTGACGCTTTTTCCTCTTCAATTCATTGTTCTTGAAAAACAGAACAAATGCACCGGATTTGCCTCATTCAAATACTGTTTCATCAAAAATTGCATCATCGATTATCTTCAAAGTTTGTCCACAATTTCGAGCTGATGAGTGTTTGAAGTGCCAAATTTCAGACAATTTTTCCGGCAAACTGATTGATCGAGGAGCAATTTTCTGGAAAAAAAGAATTAGCAAAGGTCCAGATCGAATTTCTTCGAAGAAAACACATTCCCTTGTTCCCAAAAGTCTAAAACCAAGTCCCGTCATCTCATTCCACCCAAATCGGTGGCTGAAGAACAGTTCTATTAGAACCCCAGGTCTTGCTCATCACTGTTTTCCAATCAAATCCAGGCGGTATTCCGCGGTCCACAATTTCGCAGAAACTGTGTCCCTACCGAGGTTCCTGGTAGTGGCAATGACTAGTGGGCTCAATATTTATCGAGCGCTGTACTAACTCCGAGCGAAAGACTTTAGAACTGCTCGGAATGGATTTCGGGGAGGGTTTTTGGTAAATTCGGAAGGAAACAAAAGCTAAATTCCCAAACAAAAACTCATCTTTTATCATATTTCCGTGATTGATTGTCCAGCAACAGCCATTTCGGGCGACGCAAAAAAAGAAATGCCGAAAAAATCGATTTTTTGGTTGGCGCGTAGAAAAATTAAAAATTCGCGGGCAGGTTTTGAATTTTTTGTGTGTTGTGTGTCAAGACGCAGTTTCTGATTGCAATGTTCCTTTGAATTGTACCGTACTCAACAAACATTTTTTTTTGTTTTTTTTTCGTTTTTGAAACGAAATTTCGCTTTTTCGTAGGAGGAAAATGGAATTGTGCTGGGAAAAACGTATTTTCGAGAAACCTGGACAGACCAGCTGGTTGCACAATGTACGATTTTCAAAAACTATGCCAGTTTTATATCTTTTGTAAACTGCAAAAAAGTCAAAATATATTTCATTTTTCGCAAAATTTTAGATAAAACGGTTTATAAAATATAAAACTATTCTTCACAAGCATATAAAATATTAAAAATGATCGAGCAAACTTGCAAAAACGCGAAGTTTTGTGCTCTCCTTCAAATTATTATTAAATTCCTCAGATTTCAACATCGGCTTCATTGCACGCGGATTGATATTCATCAAATAATATTTCATTGCCTCTTCCAAATCATATTTCTCAATATATTGCAAAGTTTCAATTGACATGCTAAATTTTCGACTGAAAATAAATGCGCGTTCACAATGTTTCTTGAGGTGCAATACATCGAATTTATAAGCGAGTGGAAGAATTCGTTCCATAATATCAACGCTGATTGGATTGCATAAAAGATTGGCGAGGAGTAGGGATAAATCAGCATTTTGAATATCTTCAAGATCAATCATAAAATCAGAATTGTCTTGAGTGTAGAATAAATCGAAGAAAAACTTTGAATAACTCGATAGCAACTGAAAACAATCATTTATTTTCAGATAAGTTTTTTCTTGAAACAACTTACCCCTTTATTTACAAAAAAGTGTTTTCCATTGGCACATAGCGTAACATCTGTATAATTTCTGATATATTTCGAAAAATCGTAAAATTTGTAATCAAAAGTCGCACAAATTATGATTGAATCGTTCTGATGTAATGCGATTCGCAAAACATCTTCAAAAACAAATCGAATATGTGGAATATGCACAGGCAATGCTGAATTATATGTTGTATACGGACTTTGAAAATTGACTCTTGGGGGTGGAATATTGATAGTTTGTTGAATGAGACAAACATGTCCTTCAGCTACACAAACACATTGATCAGCATTTTCTAATTGATTCATATCACAAACCAGGAAAACATCCAGACAATCTACACCGTCTATCAAATTTCGAGCAACGAAAAATTTCCTGAAAAATCTTATTTTTGCTTTCGAAAAATATAAATATCTAAAACTTACCACACCAAATTATCAATAACCATCGGTTCACTATTGAAATTTCCTTGCGGAAGAAGTTTTTTTGAAAAATCCGCAATTGTACATTGCAATCGTACTTCGTTTCTGATTTTCGGTTGAGTTTCGATAACTTGGTTGTCTCTTTTCATGCGAACCGGTTGCTCTTGTGTTTCAGCAGCAGCAGCAGCAGCTTTTCGCTTTCTCGTCATCATTTTCGTGCTGTCTTGTTTGAAAAACGTACGTTTGAAAGCCGAATTATTTTTTGCGCGCGAAGTACGGTATATGAACTGTGCACACACCGCACTGTCACAATGCACAACTTTTTCACTGAAAAATAATTTTTGTGTTTTATCGCATGTTTGATTACAAAGAAAGTTGAAACGCGGAACATAATCGGCTAGTTCACCAAAAGACGAATTTTTTGATATATCAAAATGACATGCAGGACAGATTTTTCCTGTCGATTTCTAAGGAAATTTCATTCAAAATTGTTTTTTAAAATATAATTTACGTTCTTAATTCACAAACACCACAGATTTAATCCCGTTTCTTCCGGTATTCGTGGAAAATTACTGCGAAACGGAGAAAAAACAGTTTGAATTGTATTTTTTCCCGTCGTTGTCAATAGAGCGCACAAGCCTGCGTACCAGAAATGTTCACAATTTTTTTCTTTGTTACACACAACAGTTTTATAATTTTTTCTCACGCGGAGTGAAAAACTTGCATATATCTCACACAGTCACCCTTCAACTACACAGGCAGATGCAGAACGGCCGGATACTTGCCAAAAATTGAAAACCGGTCCGAAACTTGTACGTTTCCGACCAGTGTTGAAAACGGCCAAAAACCACTCGAAAATCGGCCGGTTTCTGCTCAAATTCAACAAAAACGGCCGAAAACCAGTGAAAAAACACGGCCGGTTACTGGTCAATTTTGATAAACCGGTCAGAAACTGGTCGGTTTTTGAGTTGTTACTGGCCGTTTTTCAACACTGGTCGGAAACGTACAAGTTTCGGACCGGTTTTCAATTTTTGGCAAGTATCCGGCCGTTCTGCATCTGCCTGTGTATCCCCAACACCAACACCGTTTTGGCGCCAAAAAATTCGTAAAATTCTCGTGACCTTGTTTTTCTTTGTCAGGGTTCCAAATGTGTTTTCTTTTTCTACCTTCCCAGATGTTTTATTTTATTTTATTTTTCTGTTTTTTTCTTCTTTGCCCGGGTGTCACCCAGCCCAAAAACTAATAGTAAACATACCAAAATGTATACACATTTCCTCCTATTTTTATATTTATTTATGGTTTTTTAGTCTGCAGAGAGTGAGTGTTGAAATCTATTCCAGATGTCTGTCTGTTTTTTTTTCGAACACACAAATGTTGCCTGGCGCCACGCCAAACTGTTTATTTGTTTAGGCGCTTGCAAAAAAAAGAGAAAAGCTGGGAAACAAAAAAGTGTAGAGAGAAAGAGAAAGAGAACTGGGAAGAGTAGTAACTGATCCAGACTGGTGTGGATTTTATTTTTGATGGTTTTTTGTTGAGCTATTCTATTCTGTTTTTAAGTATTGCTCATGTTAGAGAGTTCTCGAAAATTGTAATTTTTGTATCTCTCAGTTGAATCTTTGTTTACTCATGTTAAGAAAACACATCTCCATGTTTTTTTCTTTTTCAAAAAATCTCACTGTTTCAAATTTTTGCCAAAAGTTGTGATGGTTCCTTCAAATTATTAATACCGGTGCCGTTCTCTTGAAAAGTAATTTTTGATATTCTGCTCATTTTAATACTTATTGAACGTGTTGTTGATTTTCTTCAAAATAAAAAAGTTTTTGAGGCATTGCTCATGTTTGAGCATTTCATCGATAGTTTTCTGAAAATCTCTTTTTTTTTTCTTCAAAAAAATCTCACTGTTTCAAAGTTTTGCCAAAAATTTTGATGCTTTCTTCAAATTATTAGTACTGGCTTTCTCTTTCTAAAAAAAAGTATTTTATAAATTTTTTGAAATTTATGGAATGTTTTCGTTTATTTTCTTCAAGATAAATACGTTTTAGAGGCATTGTTCAGAAGAAAAAAATCCAAATTTTTTATTTTAAAAAATCTCACTATTTCAAAGCTTTTTCCGTCCACTACGCTTGGGAATTAAAACTGCAAAACTGCCCATTTCAAGCTTCAAAATGAGTGACCTAGAAAATAAGGAAATTTGAATTCTTCATATAATATAAAAACATTTTCTGATTTTTGACGTGCCCTAATTTTTTCGAAATATTTTTTGTTCCGAATTTTTTCGAAAAAAATTATTTTTCACAAATATGTTTTCCGAAAATTGCTGGCTCTGGCTAATTTGTTTTTTCAATGTAAGGAGAAAATACAGTAAGTTTTCTCACAGTAATTTGCAAAATAGAAAAAAAAACAAAAGTAATTTTGGCGGGAAAATCTGTCTAGACTTATGTTAAGATTAGGATTACTGTAGGAACTGTAGAACAGGAGTACTGTCTAGTTTTTTTCTCTAACTTGAGCAATAACCTTCTAGAGTATTTTTAGCCGCTTCAAAAAGCTAAAGGCGCCAAAACACTCTGATTTTTCTGTGTCTGTTGTCATCTCAAATTTCAAATTTTCTTGAACCCCCAAAATGGAGAAGCTTGTTTTGTTCCAGCCCAAAAAAATCTCTCAAGTCTGAAAATGTATAGATATTTGAAGAGTAATTCGAGATTTGTTTATTTGTTTTTGTTTTTCTGGCTCAATTTTGGTTGCATTTTTTCTGTGGTTCTGGTCCGATCCAAAAATTGAGAAATATTTCGAAACACATGTTTCAATCAGCTGTTTCCCACAGTTACCGTAACTCTTTTTTCTTTCGTTTTTTGCCAGCTGTGTCTAGACTCCGCCCCCTCTAGACAGTTTTGGTTGTCGGAAGTTTTTTTTTTGGTTGTTTTAGGAAAAAAATAAGAAATTTTCCTGATAAGAAATTTGAACTTGTTTTTCTCCCCTTCGTTTTTCATACTTTTTACTGATAAAAAGAAATATTGTTATTTAAAACGTGGATTTTTCTCTGCCAACAAAAACTATATAAACAAATAACTTAACTGTTGCAGAAATTGTTCAAATGTTGAAAAATGTGGCCATCCGAAACACCAAAATTCAACAATAATAATTCATCAACGGAAAGCTCGCACGAAAGTCTGCCATCGATTGATTATTCGAAAAATTTGAACATGTTTTCGGTTAATGGTGGGTTACTGTAGGGGAAATTTTATCTGGAATTCAAATTTTTTTTTAATTTCCTATTTTTTTTGAGACCAAACTGTGGATTTTAGCGACGAAATTTGAAATCCCTGTGTAATTCTCTCGGACAAAACTCTAAAAATTGTAGTGAATATTGCAGAAATTTTGAATACTGAAACTTTTAGCAACTTACATACAGTAATCTTCATTTTTCTAGGGGACTATAGTTCAGGGGTACTGTAGATACTGTGAATGTAAAGGGGTACTTTGGTTTATAGAATCTTTTGGGAGGGAATACAAGATTGTTCATATTTTCTGATCTGCCTTTGTTTTTTTGGGTACTGTAGTTGTGGACGACTGTAGATGCTGTGGAAAGATTTCCCTCTGAACTGTTCAATTTCATTTTGAAAATGGGTACTGTAGTTTTTAGAAGTACTGTAGTTTTCGAAATTATGCACAATAAACTTTTTGACCCGAAATACAGTAATCTTGTTTTTTTTCAACTTTTGATCTACTCTACAGTAGTACTGTAGCTCTACCGTATTCTCAGAGCACTGTAGATTTTTCTGAAAACGTTTTGAGACCTACAGTAGTCTAAAATTACTGTTTTTTGTTTGAAAATTACTGTAGTTCTTGAAAATCAACCTAGTTCCACCTAAAACTTTCCAAAAAAAAACGAAAAAAAATCTAGATCGGCTCATAATTTTCTGAAACAGCTGAAACTTTTCATCTGTTTTTTTCCAATTTTCAAAAAGATGCCAAATATTTTTCAGTTTCAGAACAACCAATTGACGACGACGATTTTTTCAACATAAACACATCGGAAAAACGAAGTGCCTCATTCGGCGGATCAACACAATATTCACAAATATTTGGATATCATAGTCAACTCCAGAATCAGATTCAGAATCAACAATTTGAATTTGGCGGGGCGTATGGTTTTGGAAGCGGAAGTGGCAGGTTAGTTCAGCTTTTGGGAATTTTTTATCCGGAAATTTTCACTGTAGAACTCTAGAAAATCTGAGATTTTTCTCATTTTCTGGACCCTTTTTGAAATTTGAGACTGATTTTTTTATTGGAAAAATGATACCTTTTTCTCTGAAAATCTAGCCTCATTAGCCAAATCTGAAACATTTTTTTTATTAAAGGGGGTACGGGCTAATCAAAATTTTATGGAAAAAAATATACCATCTGAAAGAGGAGGTTCCGTTTAGTATGTTCCCAAATTTTCATAATTATTTTTCACGTTTGAATACTATTTTTTCACGCGCAAACACGAAAAAGTTGCGCTCGACCTCAGAGAAATAGCATGCAGACACGAGAGACACAGCGTATTTAGGCTCCGCCCCTTCTATGCGCTGTGTCTCTCTTTCTTGTGTGCTATTTCTCTGAGGTCGAGCGCAACTTTTTCGTGTTTGCGCGTGAAAAAATGGTATTTAAACGTGAAAAATAATTATGAAAATTTGGGAACATACTAAACGGAACCTCCTCTTCCAGATGGTATATTTTTTTCCATAAAATTTTGATTAGCCCGTACCCCCTTTAATTAGTTGAATTTTTTCATGGGGCGAAGAAAATTGAGCCCAGAGCTCCAAGATCAGAGCTCTACAACTATTTAAACCCACCGCGCGCATTCATTTTTACCAGGATCAAACAATTTTCCAAATTTGTTTTTTTTTGTCCCAAATTTATTTTCATTCTTCCTCCCATCCCATATGTTTTTTATTTATTCAAAGCTATTTTTTGATGCTTTTCCCCTCTTCAAATATTTGATTTTTCCACTATTTTTGCGTCTACTAGCAATTTTTTCGGCCTATTTTTTGACTCGATCTATTTTTTGTGCTTTTTTTAGAAATTGAAATTTTAGCTGGAAATTTTTTCGGGGGGTACTGTGGATTTTGAATTTTTAAATTTGAAATTATGTAGCTTCGGAATTCAAAATGGAGCCTTGTGAGTAGTATTGTAGGAAAATTAGATCAAGGGTACTGTGGATTTGGAATTATTCAATTCAACCTTGGATTACTGTAGATTACTGTAGATGCATCGTGATAACTCGAATTGGCTTACTGTAGATTTGAAATTCTCAAAAAATATGGGTTACTGTAGATTTCAGAGAACTGCTTCAGAGGTACTGTAGCTTTTGCAGCTTGAAATTTGAACTGGAACATTTTTGGGTACTGTAATTTCTAGTAGCTCAAGAATTTTTTTAAAATTTTCAGGTAGATTACTGTAGTTTGATCTACGTTTAGAAGCTTATCTTTTTGGATACTGTAGCTTTTGCAGATTTGATTTTTCCGGAATCGTTTTTTACAGTAACCTGAAATTTAGTTCAAAAAGTTTCAAATTTTTCGATTTTCCCGCCAAAACAGAAAGACATTACAGTAATCCAACTAGAAAATTAGAACTCTCACACAAATTTCAGAATTTGAGTACTTTTTGAGGTCAAAAATTGGGATTTTCCATTTTTTTTCTCCACTTACAAACAAAACAGTTTTCTTTTTCCTCGCAACCCACTCTCGTTTTTTTCACAGAGACCGTGTAAATAGAAAAAACCCGAAAAATGTTTCATTTTTTGGGGTAGGTTGCGTAGTAAAACTCGCTCATTTTTCTGTTCTGCCTTCCGTTCGCACTTTTTTTGACCTTTCCTTCTTCTCTCTTCTTCTTCTTCTTCTTTTTTTTCGATTTCGAATGAGTGTTTTTTGAGGCACACACTCTCTCTTTTCTCTCTCTCTCTCTCTTTCATGATCAGCTGATTTTTCAGCTGTAGACGAGATATGAAGAGACGCAGAGATACTAGGAGACGATTGGCGCGTCGCCAGAATTTGAAAGATTGGGGGAGCTACAACTCTAGAAAGTATTGAGATAGTATCTGCTAGAAAGGCGTCAAGAGTTTCACTGGCGCATTCTTAGAAAACATCCACAGAAAATGCGTCAGCATATAACTTCTTGACCCATGTTTTCTAGAAAATATTTTGATCTACAAATATTTCTACCAGACATTATTCAGCTCGAAAAGCGTCTACAGAAAATGTGTCAACTGGTACAGTTACTGGCACATTTCGAGAACGCGCTTCAATAACAATCTTGGACTGACTTATCTTTGGTACCTAGCTTCTAAATATACGCCAACTGATACAGTTACTGACGTGTTTTTAAAAGGTTCATTTTTCACCTTTAACAGTAGAAGTTGACTGACATTTTTTCTGCAGCTACCAAAATCACGCCAGTAACGAACGTGGCTACCAGAAATGCGTCAAGGTTCCCACTGACGTATTTTCATTAGTCATGCTCTTTACACCTGCGTTCGAAATTTTCAACAATATATTTTTTCTCGATTTTTGCCAACCAATGAAAATTTCCATTTTTTTCGAAAAAAAAATACTTTCACTTTATTTTTTTTCGAAAAAAAACCTGTCGAGGCGCCGCGCGCCAGAAAATTTATTCGTGAAAAAAAAGCGAAAGTTTTCTCATCTCTTTCTCTGAAATGGTCAGATGTTTTTGCTGTTTCACCTTGGAACCTTTTCTTCTTCTTCTTCTTCGCTTTTTTCAGTCTCTGAAAACAGCTGAAAGTGACACAAACGATAATATTCTGTTCTGTTTGTCGAAAAAATCTATAGTCTACTAGAATTTTTTTCGGTATGATAGAAATTTTTGAAAAATGAGAAAAATGCAACAAAAACACAGAGAGACATTTCATTTGCCAGCCCGATATTCGTACTTTAAGGACATGTTTTCTGCTCCGGGCACAGAAGAAAAAAGAGCACGTCATTTTTACGTGCCGTTTTTTGCTGACACGTTTTTTGTAGAAGTCTGCTCACATTGACGCTTTTAGAGTAGCTGAGAAATTCACGCCAATATGTTGTTTACTGACGCATTTTTGAGAGTTGTAGAATTTTCAAAAATTTTCTGACCCGATTTTTTGGAAATGCTCACAAAAAGTCAGCTTTTAGAGAAGCTACAAAACTTACGTCAACATGAGTTCCGCTGACACGTTTTCTGTAGGCCCTGAAACTTTTTGTACCTACTAGAATTGCGTCAGTAATTAATATTTCGAAATATTTCTCTGCAATGAATCCTGAATCCTGAAAATAACACGTCAACTACAAAAATTGGTTTTTGTAGTCACAAAATGATATTCAGGAACTACGTGTGGAACTATTTTTATAGCTACAAAATTACGTTTTTTCTTTCCTGAGGGGCTGTGAACGGAAAATTTGAAATATTTTTTCGGAAGCTCTGAAATATAGCAACACGTGATTTTTTGTATAGCTACAAAGGTTTTTCTCAAGGATTTGTGAACATGTTTCAAAGGACCTACAAAAATTGCGTCAACCTATAGTCTTATTGGCGTGTTTTCCGAAAAAATGGCAACATTTTATCAATTGTTGCGTTGTTCTTCCCTCATGACCCCATCCATGTGTGTTTTTTTCTTCTTTCATTCATTCTGCCGCCATCCATCTATCCATCCAGCCATCCAATATATAAGTGTTCGTCTTTTTCTCTCCAATCGTGTGTGTTTTTTTTTCATTGCCTCAAGCGATGAGAGATTCAACGACGCAGACATTTTCTCCACTCTCTCTCTCCATTCTCTGCTTACTCACGGCCTTTTAGTTCTTCATTTTTTCTCTGCACTCTCTCACTATCTCGTCCCTCCCCATCGTTTTTTTTGCCACCACCCGGCCGCCGCTCCTCGCCTCCTTTTTTTATGTGTTCTTCGTTCGTTCGACTTTTTTTTGTGTGTCCCGACCCGACCACATTAAAGTTTTGGAATGTTGCCAATGCGTGTTTTTTTTGGAGCTCCCCTTTTTTCCCCACTAGGGATTTGATATGACATCAATTCTGTTAATTAATTATATTAATTGGATCGGGAGTGAATCTTTGATCTTTCGACAAAATTGTAGTTGACGTATTTTTTGTAGTTCAAAAATTTATAGCTATATTTTTTGTTGGCGTAATTTTTGTAGTCATAAGATGTGAGCTGACTTGGATTTTTTCTTAATCTGAAATTTTGCTTCTGACTTGAGCTTCAGGGTTTTTGTAGCTAAATCATTTGTTCACGTGGTTTTTGTAGATTGGCGTATTTTTGTAGCTATGAATTTAATTGTTGCTAACTTGTAGGTCTGTTAGGAAGTTTAGAGAGTCCTAAAACTCTTTCAGGAAAAGCTTAAATTTTTTTCTGAAAAAATAGTTGACGTATTTTTCTTGTTGAAACTACATTTTTCTCGCACTTGCATAGTTCTTCTTCTTCTGCATTTTTCGATTTTTAATTAATTAACCCATCATTTTGTATTTTACCTACGTCAACTAATTTTCTTTCATTTTCTGTTGACGCGTTTCCAAGAGCTACCACAATCGAAAAGTATATTATACATAATTATAGACTTTTTCCCTTTTTCTTCTTCTTCTTCTTATTTCTCATATAATTTTCAGAGATTTTTACTCATTTCGAAGCTTTTCCTTTTCCTTTTGCTCGTTTTTTAATTTGAATATCCAAAAGTTTTCTCATTAATTTTGTTGAGAATTTTAATTTGGAAAGCGCACGCAAAATTGATTTTTGCCTGCAACTCTCATTTTTTCGAGCCAAGATTTTCAAGAGGTATTAGCTTGTGTGCCCCGCAGAAAAGTTCTCACACTTTTTAATTTTTCAGAAAGCAGATTTTTGGGAGGAACACGGTAATTGGTGGTGTACTGTAGATGAATTTTGTCAATAAAAAAATCTAATGAAAGTTAGGAAAATTTCGGAAAATGTTTAGTTTTCAAAAAAAAAGAGAATTTAGAATAATTTTGAATTTTCGAAAAAAAAAAGTTAGTAGTGTTCGCCGGAGCGCAATTGCTTCTATTTAGGTTTTCTAGGTCGCCAGTAGTTAGGATTTGAGTTTCTAGGCCGCGAAAGCATATTTTTGGGTTTCTAGGCCGCCAAAACCATGCTCTTGGATTCCTAGGCCATCAAAAGCATTTTCTTGGATTCCTAGGTCATCGAAAGCATACTTTAGGATTTCTAGGCTATCAGAGCCATTCAACCGGTTTCCTAGGCCATCGAAAGCATACTTTTGGATTTCTAGGCCATTATAGCCATTCAGTCGATTTCCTAGGCCACCAAAAGCCTGCTCTTGGATTCCTAGACCACCAGAAGCATTATCTTAGTTTTCTAGGCCACGCAAAGCATACGTTCGGGTTTCTAGGCCACCAAAAGCATGCTCTTGGATTCCTATGTCATCATAAGCATTTTCTTGGATTTCTAGGCCACCAGAAGCATAAGTTTGGGTTTCCTAGGCCATCAAATGCATTTTCTTGGATTCCTAGGCCACCAGACTCATTCAGCCGCCACCAGAATTGTTTTATTGGTTTTCTAGATTGCCAAAAGCATAAATTTGGTTTTCTAGGCCACCAAAAGCATGCTCATGGATTCCTAGGCCACCAGAGCCATTCAGCCGGTTTCCTAGGCCACCAGAACTGTGTTATTGGTTTTCTAGACCACCAAAAGCATAGGGTTGGGTTTCTAGGCCATCAAATGTTTTTTCTTGAATGCCTAGGTCATCAAAAGCATTTTCTTGAGTTTCTAGGCCATCAGAGCCATTCAGCCGGTTTCCTAGGCCATCGAAATCATGTTATTGGATTTCTAGGGCACCAATAGCACGTTCTTGGATTCCTAGGCCACGAGAATTATTCAACCGGTTTCCTAGGCCACCAAAAGCATGTTCTTGAGTTCCTAGGCCATTCAAAGCATACTTTTGGATTCCTAGGCCATCAGAGCCATTCAGCCGGTTTCCTGGGCCACCAAAAGCATGTTCTTGGATTCCTAAGCTACCAGAAGCATAAGTCTGGGTTTCTAGGCCACCAACTCCGATATCTGAAGTTCCCCATGTTTTTGCTTCCTGCTTCTCTTCTGCCAAACTTTTTTCCAAAATAAATATATAAAAGATACTAATCACGTGCTCCTCTAACTCTTTTGCAACAAAGTTTTGGAACACTCTTCTCCTTCTCCTCTCGTATTCCATTTTTTCCCGCCGTTCCATTCGATTGCATGGAACGCGGCTGATGGCAGTGTCAGCCATCATCTCATCATCTCCTCATCATTTTTTCCACTCTTCTCCATTTTTTTTTTCATCCTTTCCTCCCTTCACACACACACGTCGTTTTGTGTTGCTTCTACTTCTTCTTCCTTTTTTCCCGCCTTTTTTGTTGCTCTTCTTCATCATTTTTCCATATTCCAAAGGGGCGTGGCCTCTTTCTTTTTTCCCGGAAACTGAGCAGCAGAAATTAGGAAAAGCTATAAGAAGTGGGCGGGGCTTTTAATATGATTTTTTTTGCTGTTTCAATTTTCGGCTATAAATTTTTTGTCGCACACCAGAACTTCTGGATTTTTTCACGAGCTCCCTGGTTGTCTGCGTCTCTAACACTCTAGCTGTCTCGTTCTCTGGTCGTCTAGCCCTCTATTCGCCTGGCTCTTTAACCACAAATCTCTAGTTGTCTAGCTCTTTGATCTTTTGATCTCATATACTCTGCGTCTCTAACTAACCCTGCCTTCCTGCTTCGCTACACTCTCTAGCAGTTACCATCTCTGCGTCTTCTCAACCTTTATGATCTCTCGACTGGTATCACTTTATTACGTGAGTCATGATCTTTGAAACTCTAGTTTCAATTATTTTTCCTCTCTGGATCTCACATGTGATTTGATTTATTTTTTCTCTGCGTCTCTCCAAATCACCTTATCTCTCTCTCTTACAAAATGTTCTTTGCCAAACCAGAATGTTTTGACCTTGCCAGTGGCCAGTGGAAAAAGTTAGATATCTGGGGCACAGAAAATTGGGCGTGGTCTCTATTTTCTCTATTTTTTGTCTCGAAAAGCGAAAAAAGTAACAAAACCGCAAAAATCTTTCTCGCCCAATTCATCTTCTCCTCTTTTTCGGGTAAAACGCAGAACAGGCCCCCACCCCAATTCAGGTCCCCACATCCCAGGAGAAGCCCCCACTTTGGACCCACCCAGTGAAAAAATAATATTTTGGGGTCTTCATTTTGGGTGGGGGTCTATTATTCAGTGGGGGGCTCAACTAACTGTGGGGGCCTCATCTAAGATAATTTTAATGAGTGAGGGGGCCTCATCTACGGTCTCAGGTTAAATCTTAGATCAGCACCCCACCCATATCATTTTATGCCCCCAATTCGGAACTCTGTTTCAGGCCCCCAAAATCGTCTTAGTTCAGGCCCCCATTTTGAAAAATAGTCTTAGTTGAGACCCCCACCTAAAAAATTTGTCTTAGATGAGGTCCCCACAATGAAAAAAAATTAATTAAAAATCGGAATGATTAGTTTTTTGCCAATTTTTCTGAACAAAAATTTGCTACGTGCAGCTTTCTTTTTCGCGGGTAGGTCAAAAAAAAAATTTTGTTTCGTTATTTTTTCCATAAATGTTTGTTTTTTGAAAATACCGCGCGGGGGCCTGTAACATAGTTCCGAATCGGGGGCATAAAATGATATGGGTGGGGGCCTGTTCTGCGTTTCACCCTCTTTTTCTTCTTAACTTTTTGATTTATTATCATCTCCCCATCATTTTTTTTTCTCTCTCACTTGACGCTTTTTTTCCCAATCACTTTTTTTCTGTTGAGATTTTCACGCAATTTTGCACAATTACAGTAGTCCACCTTTTTGATTTCGTGACAAATTGCAATTTTTAGTTGAATGATTATTATTCGAAATGTTAAATGATTAGGTACACTTTTTTTGTGCATTATTCGTTTTTTTTCGTCAGCTGAGCTCACGCGATTTTTTGATTTTTTTTATTGGGGGATACTGTAGGGGTGATTCAGCTTCTGAGTTAGGATAAGTTCAAGCTTCTAAAATGGGGGATTATTCGATAAACTCAAAAATTAAATTTGGAATATTTTTCTATTTCTGTATTATTTTTTTTTGAATTTTGAAGTTAGTGTAACCAGACTTTTTGAGAATATAGAATTTCAGATGAAGAATTTCCAGTCTTCTATTTTCCAACTGTAATCTAGTTTTGAAAGATCTTAGAAAAAATTCCAATTTTCAACCTCAAAAATTCTTTTAGACTAGGACTTACGCTAACTCGGGATTGGAAACTTTTGAAGTTGGGCTAAATTTCTGAAATCCTGAGAAAATCTTCTATTTTCAATACCAAAGGGGCTCTGGCCTTTAAAAACTTGAATTTACGCTAACTTTGAGTAAGAAACTTATAATTTAGGCGGAGTTTGGAATTCTGAAAATTAATAAAATATTCTCTTTGAATATCAGAATGTTCCTGGCTCTCTAAAGCTACGAACTCTGAATATGAAGCTTTTGGAGGTTAGGCTAAGTAGAAACCTCTTTTGATAATTTTAAAAATTTAATTTAATTAACTTCCCTAAACTCCAAGTTATCATAACTCGAAACCTGAGTACCGCTAAAAACCCTTTGTTTCACTAGGACCTTTTCGGTAACAAATCCACTTAGTTACATGTTTTTGTTTACCCCCCCCCCCGCCCATTTTTTTCAATAAAACATTAGAAAGGCGCGACCTTGTACACCCAAACCCACAGACAAAGGCTATTATGTGACTTGGAGATTTGGGCGCAACATTTTGGCGCACAATCTCCTATGTGCTTTTTTTGTTGTTGTTGTTTTTGTTGTTGTCGTTCATTCGCATCTCTTTTTTTTTCCGAACACCCCTAGTCGTTTTTTTTGCGTTCGTTCCCTCTTCTTCTTCTTCTTCTAGTTTATATTTTTCTTCGTGTTTTCTTTTTTTTTGTGTGTGTGCCCCCCTCCGGCACCCTTCCACCCCTAGCGGAGCACATGAATGTATATATACAAGAAGAAGAAGATGAGAAGAAGAGCAGTCGTTTTTTTCCCCCGCTTCTTCTTCTTCTTCTTCTTTTCAGCCACCCCCCGAACGAACAACAACATCTAGCATTTTCTGAATAGTTTTTTGCCTTCTGAGTATAAGTTGCTTGATCTACACTTGTTTTTTTTACTTATGAATATTAATAGTTTTTGTCTCTGTGTGTGATGCAAAAAAAATAAGAACGACAGAAAAAAGTGAAGAACTGCTTTATCAGATGCAGATGTCACAAAAAGTCGCGAATGATAAGATAGTAATGATTCGGCGCGGCGCTTCGAAGAAAGGCTGGCAGATTTTGTGTGTAAGTGAGTGGCGAGAGACATCGGAAGATCTACGGAATTGCTGATTTTTTTTTAATCGAGATGGATTTTCTAGCCATCAGGATTTTTGAACACAAATAGCAGCCTGACCAGATTCTCAAAATCAAAAAAAATTCGGAAGACACCGGGAGTCGAACTAGGACCCTTAGATTGGTAGGCTAAGGGCTTACCACTCGACCAAGCTTGTGTAAAGTCTATCAAAAATTCTTCGAGAAACGGGGCTCGATCCAGGATACTCAATTGCTCAAATTATCAAGCTAAGCTTCTACCACTAGACCACGCTCACAGCATTTTCTCGTCTGAAAATAGTTCTTGCTGGGAGTCGAACCATGGTGTTCAAATTACTAGTCTAAAGTTTTACCTCTGCGCCGCAGGAACCCGGAATTGAACCCGAGCCCTTACACACACACTTCGCCCTCCTATACTTGAAAGTATATTTTTGTATATTTTATACATAAAGTCTATTTTTTTTACACGTTGGGTATACTTTTTCAAAAAGTATAAAATAAGTGTAAAATTTTATCATCAATAAATTCAGTTTTTTGATTCCAGACTGTTTGATGATATCAAAAGGAGACATTTTATTAATTTTCGCCCAAGGTTTTCACACTAAAAAGTGGAGATTCGGTAGTTTTCGCAAAAGTATACTTTAAGTGTATTTTTCAGTATATTTTCAAAAAAGGTAAATTGGCCTAGAAAATTTTTTTGATCACAGACCACTGGAAATCGCATGAATCGCGAAAATAACAAAAATCTCGAAAAAGCGATAAGCCACGCCCATTTTACACGTTAAACATAGCACCTCGCACAACCCGCGAGGTGTCCGTCACTCAATTTATATAAGTAGTGGCGCCACGAGTAGGAGGGTAAATCATATTCTATGATTGAAACGCCATTTTTGTGCACCAAACTTGGTTTTTCGCAAATTTTGAACAACTTACAGTCATGTGAAAGCTGTTTGAGCAATTTACTAAATTTACAAAAACTTCTAAAGATGTTTCTCGATTTTCCCAAAAATGTACTTTTTTATCCAAAAAAGTATACTTTTATTTATGCCATAGCATATTTCAAATGTACTTAAAGTATATCGGTGCGAAAATCGCTGATTTTATTTTAAATACACTTAAAGTATATCCTGGCGAAGTGTGTGTGATAACTTACTCTCCTATAATCTTACCCACCTGGAATCGAAATCACCTCTTCTACTCACCACCCCAAGACTTTACCACTTGACCACGCTTTTCTAGTGACGTTCCACTTTTCTCCATTTTTTTACTCATCGCTAATCTCTTTTTGACGTGTTCCCTCTTATCGGATAATCTGATTTTTCTCCTTTTTTTCCTGACATTTTTCATTATCCGCCATTTTCTTCCTAAAACTCTTTGCATTTTTTTCCTCTAATTCCTATCCTAATTCTAATTCTAATTAATGAAATCAAGAAAAAATGTTTCAAATCTCTTTCTAATCCTTTTTTGATTCTCGCACCGATTTGTTGTCTACCGTAATCCGTTTTTGCTTTTTTTTATCAGTTGATTAAAAATGGGCGGAGTCTTTGGGGTTTTTTGTTGAAACGCTATTCATTTTTTGACCGGTTTTGAACTTTTACTGATTTTTTTCTTATTTTTTTGGAAGTACGGTAAATCAAATGACGCAGAAGATTTTTGATGTTCTGACTTGACTAGACTTGAATGATTTTATATTTTGGAAAACTTCTGGCGCTAAAATGTTGCAGATTTTAGTTCGAGATAACCTGTGATGATTGGCAGAAAAAATCAAGAAGAGATGAAAAAAAAGAAAAAAGAAAAGAGAAATGATTAGAATCGATTGATTTTTGCCACTTTGTCGTTTTTATTCTCTTTTTTTTTTCTTCAGAACTTTTTTCTTCTTCCTATATAATATTTCTAGAAATTCCTGAGTCATTTTTTGGTTTTTCTGATTTTTTTGCTGAGTTCCAAATTGTCCTCATTATTTTTCTTTCTTTCTCGCTCTCCTAAATTAGTAATTATAAAAATTTTGCTTTTGAAGAAAAAGAGAGGAAAAGAGTTTTTTTTTCATATTTTTTGTGCACTTTTCTTTTCGCTTCTCCACTTTTTTCTTCATTCTTATCATAATTTTTTTTATCGTAACACTTTTTTTCATCATCTCTTTTTTTTTTGGGGAAAAGAAAGTATAGCTGATGGTTTTTGGCGGTCGAGAAACTTTTGGTAGATCAAGGAAAATTTTGATATACAGTAAACATTGTTGGCGCCAAAACTTTTGATCTTCAAATTTGAGTTTTGGTGCCGTTTTGATCTACAGTAGCTTATGATTAACGAAATTTGGATTCGTGAAAAAATTCAGCAGTCGTGAAATTTTTCAGAATTTTCTGATCCTGAATTAGAAAAATTTACAGTAGGAAAATTAGGTAGATCAAAAAATTTTCCGCCAATTTTTTCCATAAATTTTTTTATCTAGGCTAATGATTCTTGGTGTCTTGGGTGGATCAAGAAAAGTGTTTGATCTACAGTATTGAATCGTGGCGCTAAGCTTGATCTACAGTAACAATTTTCCCCTGTAATTTTTTATCTACAAATTTGAGCCACGAGAATCTTTGATCTACAGTAGCCCATAATTAAGATTAGTAAAGGGCATAGTTTTTTGATCTACGCCTCTCAAATCGCTTTTTGGCCGAAATTTCAGATGATTTTTTTGAGCTTAGATCTACAGTAGCTCAAATTTTGGCGCCGAAAATTCTGAAAATTGCAACTTTCTCCCCTACCCTCCCATCTCTCTTGATTTTCTTATCAACTTTTTATCGTAACACTTTTTTTTGCTTGTGACCACTTTTGACCATTTTTCTCTTTTTTCAAGAAAAAGTACCTACCAAGAGTGAAAAAATCGCGAAGGCGTCAAAAAGCAATCCTGATTGTCAAATATATTGATACTTCTATGCATCATCATAGTCATCATTTATCGGAATTCGGCACAACTTCAAATGGTCCCGCAGCAACATCTTCATCCACTTCATCCTCTTCAATCGGTCATTTGGGAGCTGATCCATATGTTGGTGCAAATGTGATGGGTGGCGGACCGGATCAGATTCCAATGTTGGGTGGACCACCTTCAGATCATGAATTGGGGCCGATGGCAAGAGATCGATGTAATACTTGGCCGATGAGAAGGCCGCAATTGGATGGGGGAGGAACACAGCAGACAAGTCCTTTGATACATGATCAGATTCCGGAAGAGGAAGAGTAAGTATGGATAAAAATTGAAAGCGCCGCGGGTTTTTGAGTTGTAGAGCTCTTACAGATTTCTATTTGGAAATACTTTTTCAAAGTTTTCTGAAGTTTGGCTCCTAGGCTTCTTAAGAGGTCAAACATTCCTGTCCAGGGAATTTTTTTGTTGGAAAAATCTTATCAGACCTTGATAAATTTGTAGAGCTCAAAATTCTGATCAGAATGATTTATTTCCAAGAAAATGTTTCTTTTTCCAAAAAAAAGATAATTTCCAAAGAAAATGCGGTGCCCAGTTTTTCCTGAGATTTTCCTGAAAGCTCGAATTTTGAATTTCAAGGTCGAGGGTTCGAGTCCACCTCGGAACTTTCTTGAATATTTATATTTTTCGAGCCACCAAAACTCGAAAAGTGATGTGATTTTCAGGATTTTCGATTTACTATAAGCTTCTTTAAATTTTGCTTACAAAAATTTCACAAATTTTTTGGAGTTTAAAAAATGTGTTTTGGTAGTTTTTAGGCAAAAAATTTGTTTTTTGAAATACAATTTTAAGTTCAAAATTGTATGTTTGGATATTCGATACTGTAGGGTACAATTCTGAATTTTGGAAAAAACAGGGAGGTATGAAGAATAGGGGATCTACTCGAAAAGGAGAAACCCCTCCCTGAATTTTCGCTGAAAAATTCTAGAATTCTCTCAGGATATTTATTTTTCAAATTTTTTCCAAGTAAACTTATGTCACAAATTTAGGATCCAAATTCACAGATTTTTTGAATCAAGTTTTTTACCGGAAGAACCTTTGAAAATATCAAATTTTACTAATACAAAATTTTGAAACGTAATTTTTAACTCAGAAAAAAAATTTCAAAATACTTCCCCCACTCCCCCTCCCCTCAAAAATAATTTGTTTCCAGTCTATTTGGAAGTAATGAACACTGTGGTCGCCTCGGTGGCTCCTCGAACGGTTCCAATGCCTTGCTCCATTCACCAGGGTAAGTGTTTTGAAGTACCAGTCAATTTCTATATACTTTTTTCCTTCTCCTTCATTTGCTTGATAAAAAGTTTATCAATTTTTTTACCATTTTTTCCTCCAAATTTTTTTCTTCATGATATATTACGACGATTCAAGGTAAATCTCTAACTAAAAGATTTTTCGTGTGTTCCTGAAAAAGCTGAACAAGGAGGGGATTAGATTAGGCATAATATTTCCGGTGTTCATATCATTTTTTTGCCAAAAAAAATTATTTTTTTTTTCTCTTGCAGAATGTCTTCTCCACTGAATTCGGCACTTTCGCCGTGCGACGATTCTCCGGAATCGGCTGCCAAAAAAGCGACGACTCGACGAAATGCGTGGGGAAATATGAGCTATGCGGATTTGATCACACAGGCAATTATTCAGAGTCCAGATAAGAGGTTGACACTGGCACAAGGTTGGTTTTTGGGGGCATCGGATTGTGAGATTTTCTGGAAACCCGGGAATATTTTCTTTTAATTAGGGAAGTTTTTGGTTTGGAAATTATTCACTGTTTCAAAAATTTTAAAGAATTCTTGTAGTTTTGGGAAATTTCGATCGATTCATGAATATTCCAAAAAAATTGAGCTTTTTAAAATTGAGAATTAAAAAAAAATAAGATTTTTTATTTTGAGAATTTTTCACTGTTTCAAAAGTTTTAGATGATTTTTAAAAAGTTTCTACATTTCTGCACAAAAAAGGTGATCTCGTTTGCTATTCGACAAAAATTTGCTGTTTCAAAATTTCGGTAAAACTTTGAGAATTTTGAAAATTCCGATGACAAAGCGATTATGTTTTTGTTTATTTAGATTGTGTTAAATTCACTGTTTCAAAAAAAAAATTTCGGAAGAAAAGATTTGAAATTTTAATTTATATGTAGTTATTTTCTTCTTTCAAGTTTCAAAAATTATTTTTCATAATCAACATTTTTTGTTGTTGAAAATTCACTGTTTCAAATTTTTTTTCATAATTTCGACAGTTTTTAATTTTGATTTTGTGAATTTGTTCGAAATTTTTCACTGTTTCAAAATTTTGTTGTATTTTTTTTAATCTAGAAAAAATTGCTATGTCCATAGTGGTGTCTTCCGAAATTCAGCTAGTTCATTTCTAATTAAAATTCCACTGTTTCAAATTTTCTTATGAAAAAAATACGTTTCAAAAATAATTCAATATATTTTCTCAACATTTTTGAATAGTTTTTTATTTGTATTTTTTTTATAAATTGCTGTAGGTTTTCTAAGCAAAAAAATCCCGACCAGATGTTGCCATTTTGGACTTATCCATCATTATATTCCTATCCTAGTGTCGGCTCATCTTTTTTTTCTTTTTCCCCCAAAAATTTAGCTGCTTGTCGATTCGATGAGCAACCAATTAACCGATATAAATTAAGTAACCCACTGAGGGATTATATCCAAAAAAAAGACCAAAAAAATTGAAGAGGAAGGAGCTCATTAGGCGGAAAAAAATGAACAAAAATATGTGGAGAATTCCTGGAATTTTTCCGGAGCTGGGCAGGGTGAATCAGACAGACAACAATTGGAATAATAGAATTGGGTTACTGTGGTTTTTGAGAGGATTACTGTAGATTGAGAATTGCTGTAGGAAATTGATGTTCTAGAATTACTGTAGGTTTTAGATCTTCATGAGATTACTGTAGTTTATCTGATTCTTAGAAAGCGTTACTGTGCATTTCGGAATTTTACGGGTACTGTAGAAAATGGAGCTTCTAGAGTACTGTAGGTTTTTTTCAAAAAAATTTGAAGGATTACTGTAGATTCATGTTGAAGGAATCTGAACTTCAGCCTAGTTTCAGAATTGAAATTCTGAAAGCTGGATACAGATTTTTCCATATGGGTTACTGTATTTTCAATGGTACCGTAATCCTACAGTACTTGACTACTGTACATCTGGGAGTACTGTATTTTCAAACCAAAATTATTCACATTTTCCCGGGATACTGTAGATCAAAAAGTGTTTGTTACAGTATACGAATGGATGGTTCAAAATGTGCCATATTTTCGAGACAAGGGTGATTCGAACAGTTCTGCTGGATGGAAGGTTAGTTTTGAATTGGGTTACGGTATCTCCCTTTAAAAAGTTTCCACTCAAGACCCCTTCTTGAACAATTTTTTTTTCGAAATTCCAAAACTAATAATAATAATAATGAAAAGTTGTGTGCTCACACAGACAAAAAAAAAGAGCACACATAAGGGAGCAGAAGGTATCCGCGCCTAGTACCTGTTCGCATCGCGAATTTTTTTAGCTGGCTGCCGCGAGCCGCGCTCTTCCGCGCACCCCGTGGCACACGAAAACAGACCACATAGAGGGAGTTTTTTGGCTTTGAGCCAGCTCTTTTTTCCTTCCCAGCCAGCTTCCTTCTTTTTTCTTCGCTTGAGCCTGTCTCTCTGCTCTCTCCTCTTTTTGCATGTTATTTTTTGTGCTCTATAGGCTTTTTCCTTTTTATCCCAGACGTTTTTCTCACACTCTGTGTATTTTTTTTTGAGAGATGGAAAAAAATGAAATTTAATTCATGTAAACATTTTTTTGTCAAGATGGAAATTGTTTATTTTTTTGAATTAGTTTTTTTTGAGAAGCTGGTTTTTGACACGTGGCATTTTTCAGCTACATTTTCGATTTTGAATTTCTTTGCCACGTTGCAAAATCATTTTTGACACTAATTTTAATAGTTCGGAAGTTTTAGTAAATTCAAAATTCTGAAATCCAAATTACGCCACGTGGCAAAACTTTCAGAATTTTGATAATTTTCAGTGTTCAAGATCAGTTTGATATGGAATGTTTTGACTGAAAAATTCCACGTGGCAGAATTTTACGAATTTGAATTTTCGAGCTTCTAAATTGCCACGTGGCTCATATTCTTTTTTCCGACCAATTTTTCACCTGAAATCCACGTGTCCCAAAAGTAGTATTTCAAATATTTCGAAATTTTCCCCATTGGGAACCCCCAGACTTCCTGTAAAAGTCTAAAATACTCCAATATTCACGGTGTTTTCTTTTTCCAATTTCACTACGAGAAAGGAAAGTGCAAAATTGTGACTTTTTGGCCACATTTTGTCAGTTCGTTTCGCTCTCCGCTCATTTTTCCCCCGTCTTCTTCTTCTTCTTCTATTTTTTTGTCAAAACAACAGTGCACTTCTGTCTGCCGTCTCTTATTTTCTCACACTCTCTCGTTCTCTCTCTCTAACACACCTTTCTGAAAGTATCTTTCTTTCAGCACTTTTTTTAAGAAGAAGATGTCATGTGTTTTTTTTTGTTACAAAAAAATTGGATTTTCCCAAATTCACACTTTTTTTGGTGCTGCCGGATAAAAAGTTACACCAAATTATCTGTATTCTGTCAAATCTCCGCCCACATTTTTAGCACCAAAGTGGGCGGAGCTTGGCACAAAAGCTATCTCTATTTAGATATATACAATTTTTTTTGTTGAGAGAGAATGAAAATAAAATGAGAATTTTTTCTCATCATCATCATATTTTTGGCGCCGTTTTTTCTTTTTGCCTCTAATGAGATTCTTCTATTGTTTGGCGCCTGCCTGGATGAAAATCTTCATTTTAGCTTCATCGCTTTTTTTTGTCTGAAAATTTTTCGTCGAAAACAATTTTTGGCAAGCGATAGATTGGGACTTTATGGAATTTTCTAGATTTTTTCGAAAATTTTCAAAGTCTCAGAGCTCAACTGAAAAATTTTATAGGAAATTCCAGAATCTCAGAATTCTCGAATTTTCAAATCTAGATTCATATTTTCTGAAATCTAGAATTCTAGGACCCGTTTTCGAAATTCTTTCGATCCTGGAAAGTTCTTTGAGCTCAAGAAAAATCTAAAAAATTCTCCTGGCTCTGCCAAGTTTCAGAAATAAATTCTGAAAAATCCAAAATTTCGAAATATTTCCCAATCTTCTCAAAAATTCAGAAGACACTAATTTTTACACTGCTTCTAAAAATCATTTCGAAACTCGTGATCTACAAGTCCATACATAATCCCTCCCTAAAATTTTTCCATTAAACTAATCCAGTTTCTGACTGCTTTCCAAGAATTTCTGGGATTTTGTATAGTTCAGATTTTGAAGAACTCGTGAGATAGACTAATGTGAAACGGACAAAGATCAGGGAATTTTTTGAGATTTTAAAAAATGTTTGGAATTCTCACAACTTTTCAGGCGAGAACTTCTATTCTTCAAAAAAATATTCCAGGAGATTTAGAAAATTTAGAATTTTCTAGAAATTCAGTAACAACCTCAGAAACCCGAAGAACTTTTGAAAATCAAATTTTTCACCAGAAAGATCACAAAAATCCCTAATCTACCGTAATTTTTCTCTCGAGTTCCCTCTTCCTAAAAAACCATAATCTCTAATTGTCTGCGTCTCTCTCTCTCTCTCCCTTCCTCATTTTTTCTACACACCTCAAATCATCGATCGAATAATATCTATATGTGTGTGTAAGAGTAAGAAGCAGCGATCAGAGCGAAAAAAAAGCAGCAGCCGTTGTCTCGTCTCCTCACCAACCCTCCTCATTTCACCATACTCTCTCACCATCCAGCTGATGTGTGTCTGCGTCTCATGTTTTTCGCACACTATCTCGCCCACTTTTTTGGCCCGAAAAAAGGAACGGAGAAGAGGAAGAACGCCTGCCTTTTTGTGTCTCTGTGTTTTTTTTTGGGCTGTCTCTGTGTGGTCTTTTTCTTTCTCCTCTTTTGTGTCTCTTTTCTCCCTCCACTCACAGGCATTGAATTCAAATACGAAAAAAAACCTTTACGTTTTTTTTCTCTTTCGTTTTTTTTTGTCGCTGTCTCTGATGGTTGTCTCTGATTCGTGAAACGTGACGAAAGGTATCACTTTTCGAACGACAGAACATGTGTTCGCTTTTTGGGAAGAAGTTTTTGGGAACCTTTTTTTGATTGACACGTTCTTTGGGTTTTCTAGTTTTATGGCAGAAATTTATAGCCACCTTTGAGCCTAAGTTGACCAGAAAAGGAGCATTTTTTATTATTTCAAGTCTAGCAAAATTTAACCAAAAAGTTTTGAAATTTTATTGTTCAATTATTTTTTCTGTTGAGAAGTTTGCATTTTTGGAGAAATCATTTACGCCCAAAAATTTTCGGAATTTTTTTCAGATGGAAAATTTGACTGAAAACTTAAAAGCTCAAGATTTTTCCTGAATTCAATTTTTTTCAATAATTCTGGCTCCCAAATTTTTGGAATTTTTTTTCGAACAAACTAGAATTTTACGTGATTTTGCTCTAGAAATTCTAGAATATTTTTTTTTCTAATTGAGTTGAGATAAAATCTTTTTTTCTATGACAAATTTTTTTCCCTCATAATTGCTGGTTTGATAATTCTAGGTCTATTCACTTTGCTCAATTTATCTCAATTCACAAATTTATTGATTTTAACTCCTCTTCTCCTCGAGAACTACACCAATTATCGATTGATTTGTTGTTGTGTTGTTTCTTTATCTGTCGTCCCCCTCGTTTTTCCTTCGGGAAAGATTGATATCTCTCCAGTTTTTTCTGCCACTTTTTGTCATCTTCTTGAGAAAAAAAAAGATATTTTTTGTGCACTTTTCCGTCCACCGGAGGACAAAAATCCGTGCACTTTTGTTTACATTACCTTCTTTTCTAATGATCTACCGATCGACTGAAAATTTCTTTTTTTTTTTTTTTGAGAATTATTTAGTGGAGAACTTGTTTTTTTATAAGCTGTAACATTTTTTTTGTAATTTTTTCTCTGTTGTCTCTCGATTTATCGCAGTCTTTCTCTACTCTCTAAATAAAAAACTAATCAAATTTTTTTTTCGTAAAGTCCATGATGGACACATCGAATCATAGTAGTCTGAACGACGATGATTTCTCACCGGAGCCACGTGGAAGATGTTACACGTGGCCGATGCAACAATTTGTGGTTTACGATCAACCACTTGGTGGAATGCAGACACCAACTCCAATGCAAATGCAAATGCATCAAGCACAGCAACAACAACATCATATGACTGTTGGACAAATGTTGACGAGTAGTGTTGCTGGATCAAGCGGTGGATCGAGTGGTTCGGGAGGACCGGCACAGAAAAAGAAACGATGTCGGAAAAAGCCCGCCGATCAATTGGCACAGAAGAAACCGAATCCGTGGGGTGAGGAGAGTTATAGTGATATAATTGCGAAGGCTTTGGAAAGTGCACCGGATGGAAGATTGAAGCTGAATGAGATTTATCAATGGTTTTCGGATAATATTCAATATTTTCGAGAGAGGAGTAGTCAAGAAGAAGCGGCTGGATGGAAGGTAGCAACATTTGAGAACGCTTAGAAATTGACTAGAAGTTTTGATTTTTCTTGAAAAAGTCCAGAAGTTCCGAACAAGAGTTGTCATAATTAATTAGCACTATCTCCCCATTTTTCCTTCTGCCCTCTTGCCTTTTTCTCACTAGTATATACTATGAGATAGCGAAAAGACGGTTTGTCCTTGACACACTCGGTGTTCACTTTTCTCCCCTTTTTTCCGAAAAAAAGGACAGACTAAAAAATTTGGGATTTTCAAAAAAAATTAATGGGGAGGGTCTTGAGTGGAAACTAAAAAATGTCAGGAGGGGCGGGAAAATCTGATTTTTGGCTCCAAAATTGATTTACACATCGAAATCCACGTGGCACATTATTTTTTCGAAAAACTTCAATGAAAATTCACGTGGGAACATCGTTGTGTCCAGAAAAATCAAAATTAAAATCCACGTGGAAAAGTGTCATGAATTTGCACCAAAATCCGAGAAAACCTCTAGCCAAAATTCCAGAAAAATGAATATACCTATCAAAATTCCAATTTTGCAGAACTCAATCCGCCACAATCTCTCACTGCACTCCCGTTTCATGCGAATCCAAAACGAGGGTGCCGGCAAATCATCGTGGTGGGTCATAAATCCAGAAGCCAAACCGGGTCGAAATCCACGACGAGCACGCGATCGATCAAACACCATCGACGCCGTCTCGAAAGTGCATTTGGATCGAAGTCGACGAGGTGCCCGAAAACGTGTGAAGGAACGATTGAACGGCTTACAAGCACCACACGATTTATTCGATGATGATTCGATGAACGGCACTTTTGAACCATTGGCCTCGTTCCGTGACCGAACTCATTCGAATCTCTCAGTTCCTGGATCATCTGCAAGAGTCTCACCAAATGCTGATCATACCTATGAAGATCTCGATTTCCCATCATGGATTGAGGCATCGAATATTCCACCAATACCTTCGGATATTGTTGATCGAACAACACAAATGCGAATCGATGCAAATAATCATATCAATGGAAATCAGCAACAACAACAGACAATGATTAAACAAGAGCAAAAGCCGATAATTAAAACCGAGCCAATTAGTTCTTCTCTAAGTTATCATGAATTGAATAGTGTTCGTGGACCGTGCGCCCAAAATCCGTTGCTGAGGAATCCGATTGTGCCGAGCACCAATTTCAAACCGTGAGTTTTTTTATTTTGGTTAGAAAAAGATTCAAAAATTTTAATTGACCTTAGCGTCACGGGCTTTAGGAGCAGAAAAGCTCTCATTTTAACCCAGCACCATAGATTAATTTTTATCACAATTTTTTTGTGAGGGGGCGAAGTACTTTTCTCGTATTTTGTAGGTGGTGTGATTGTTCTGACTTGAATGCACTCAGCCATACTTTGAAATATAGGCATAATGATAATGCTAATTAGTAGTTAGCTAATGTATTTTTATCAAGATTTTGACTGAAAATTAGAGATTGAGGAAGTGGAAACAAATAAGGGGGAGGGGGTTTTAAGCTTCAAAAAATCTAAATAGAAAATTGATATTTTACTAATATTTTTTGCCTGGAAATTGAAATCATATGAATTTCCTGAATTTTTCAAAAAAAAAATCGCCACACAACTTTTAGACTCTGAAAAAAACTGCAAAAGAACCTTCAAAAATTCCAAAACGTCCCAAAATTCACACTAAAACCTTTCCGTTATTCCAGAATGCCTTTGCCACCAAACAACTATGCGACATCCTTCTCAAATACTTGGGCAATACCATCAACAATGGCCGGTCCACCGCCGCCACTTCCAAATGTTCAACAATCGTGCGGTGCCACCTATCATCAACAACAACAACACCATCACAGCCATCATCATAATCACAATCAATCGAGTTCGGCGTCGAGTTCAGCACTTCCGATCGATTTGGAAAATCTGACACTTCCTGATCAACCATTGATGGGAATGGATATGGATGTCGAATCATTGTTACGACATGAATTATCGCAGACCAGAGATCATCAGTTGAATTTTGATTTGTGAATTTGAATTTTTTTGAATTAGAATGTATTATACTTTTTTTTCTATTTTTCCCCATTTTTTTCGCTGTAAAAACCCTTAGCTTTTCTTTTCTTCTTCCCAAAACCGATTCTAAATAACCCCCAAATTGCTACCTCTTACAATTTCGAACCCAATTTGTGATTCCCCCCAATTTCTAGTTCATTTATATCTCTTCTAGTAGCTTTTCAAAACCACACAAAATAGAAACAACAACCGACCTCTTTATTTGATTTTTGTGACACACGGTGAAAAATATTTGTATTCTTCTTTTTCTTCTGATTTTTTTAAAATTGATTGATTAATTAATTAATTGACTAATTACGTTCTTTGAAACTTTTTTTCAAAAAGTCATCTTCATCTCTGTTAGGTTGCATTATATCGTTGTAAGAGTGAGATTGACGCATCCCAAAACCCATATTTTTTTCCTTTTTTATATAATTAATTTTTTGAAAAATCTCTCATATCAGTTTTCCGTTTTTTGGCGCGATTCGATTGTTGTTGACACCTCGAAATTTCATTTTTTTTTTTCATTTTCTCCCATTTTTTGAAATTCTCTGATTTGGATTGTATTTTTAATATAAATATTTGAAAATCTTTTTTATTTTGGGAGAAGAAGTTGGTCGATTTTTTGCAAAAGTTTGTCGAGATTTGAGATGTGGCGTGGGTTGGAACTGAAAAATATGAGGATTCGGGGGAATTTTGAAAACTCATTAAAGTTCTCATTATTTAATACCGACAGAAACTTGAGTATTTGGAGCATTTGAAAAAAATAAAGGAATGAAAATTGAAATTTTGAAGTTTGTAAATACTTTAACTGTAACAAAGATAGTTAATCGAAAATTTTGAAGTGGAATAAATTTTCAAAAATTTCTGAAACAGTGAAATTTTTGTAACAATTTTTGGATAGTTCTTCTTGAAACTAATTTTGTGGAAAAAAAATGCAAAAATTTTTAAGAGTAAAAACTTTTAGAAATTTCAGATTTTTCATCAAAAAAATCACCGCATTTGAAAAAATTGAAAATGAAAATTACAAATTCTAAGGAAAATTAAAGTTTCATAGATTTTTCAAAAATTTTAAATTTATCCTCAAAATTATAGTTTTCTAGCGAAAACACCCATTTCGAAATTTTCAGAAAAACTTTTTTTCTCAAAAACTTCAAATTTTTCAGAAAGTTTATTTTAAAAATATTTTGAGAAATTTCATGAATTTCAGAAAACAATCTTTTTCTGTACTTAAGTTAATTTGAAAATTAATTTCATTCTTATTTTTTCAACTCCCTGCTCCCCTCCCCCTCCCTCAAAAAAACCTACATTTCATTAGTATACTCAAATAACTGTTTCACTTTACAACTTCTTTCCACTTTTTCATTTCTCAAATATTCCACCATTTTCAGAGTTTTCTTACTCGATTTCAAATCTCCCAAATATTGCGCATCCTGATTCCAACAAATCAAATCCTCGTTCATTTCTCCAAATATCATTCTTCGATTTTTCTGTCGATATTTGCTAAAATCAATGTTTTTGATCCTTGATATCAATTCCTGATGTTCTTTTGTTGACATCAGAATCGTTGTGTTTGATTCTGGATTTTTTGGATGATTTTTCGAGATTTGATTGGTGGAACTTGAAGGTTTCTCAGAACTTGAGCTTGAAGTTGGTAGAAAATATTCGACAGGCATTTTTAGAGCATTAATTTTCAGGCGACTCTTTTCGAACTTGAATTCATATCTTTCCAATGCTCCAACTTTTTGAGGTTTTGAAGAAGATGAAGCTGTTGATTTGAAATCTTCGACAATTATTCGACCATCTTCACGACGCTGGAAAATTGAGAGAATTCAAGAGGATAATTTTATAAAGTGAATCTGAAGATTTTTAGATTTAAAAAAGTCAGAAAAAAAAAGAAATTTCAAAATATTAAAATAATTTTGTAATCGAAAACGTTTTCCGACCAAAAAAATTTCCCCAAAAATTACTGTTTCAAAAAAATTTTATACAAAAAAAAATCTAGAAGGGAGAATTTTTTTTGATAGACTAACCATTGATGATTCGGAATTTCCTGACCCTCAAAAAACCCACCAATTTCTCAAAATCCCTATGCAAAATCGCCAAATATGCTCCCTGATATCGTTTAACATTAAAAATCGATTCTCGATCCATGCAAATAATAAAAGTCACATTCGAAAAATCAACAATTTCCATCAGTTTTTTCGAAGTCATTGCTAAAACTTGTTTCGAATTCGAGATTTGTGCGAAATTCAGCGCAAGATATTTTTCAACTTCTAACCGGTTAGCTTCATTTCGTGTTAGAATAATACCCTTCACAGATTTGTCTGAAATTAAATGTTTTTTTTTCAAAGAAAATCTAATTTTTTCCAAAAAAAAACCTACCCATTCTCAAAAACGTGTCCAATATTTCCTTCAAAAATTTAAATTTTCCATGAAACTCATTCTTCGGACTATCCAAAAGTGCAGCTCTTTCAATTTCGGGCGCTTTCCAAAATCCACCATCAAATCTAAAATTTTCCACAATTTTTCGATGATTTTCGGATAAATCGTCTTGTGTGGTCCAATATTTGATCTCAATTCCAGGGGGAATATTAGAAGATCGAAATGCGTGATCGGTTTCAGTTTGTTCAATCCAATCAGATAATTGGAGATTTGTAATCATTTGTTGACGTTTCGTGATAACTGCAGTTCGGCGAGATGTATTCAGGACACTTGTGGTTAGAACAATACATCGGAATGGAATCTGAAAGAAGGACAATTTGATGTTTGATTTTAATAATTAACTTTTTTCTAGCTTTAATAAATTTAATAAAAAATTACAGCCATATTTTAACTCAAATGAATTTTCATAACGTTACGTTTCAATTTTTTTTTGATTGAAAAGGCCTGGATTTTTTCCAACAATACGTGTATATTTTTTTTTTTCTAAAGTATTTACAGATTTTTGAATCATTATTCTTTCTCTACATTGAAAAAAAATTATTAGTTTCAATTTCCACGTCATGGTTCATACAAAACCCATAATTATCAGAAACTCCTTTGAGTTCCAAAAATATATCATATCGTTAAACTTTTAAGAACAAATAATTTATTATGTTAGTTTAACAATTTTGCCTTCTCTATATATTTATCTTTCCAATTACTCATTCTTTCTTCTTTTATCAAATAATAAGCTCCACGTAATATTTTCACACTATATGCATGATCAGTTGAGAATGCTCCCTGTGCTCTGAATTCCAAACGATCATTGAGAACTGTCAAATGCCATGAGGTGACAGTTAATTCCGGAAAAACGCTTGGATAAGAATCATTGAAACATTTAAATTTTTGTTTATCGATCATGAAACCTGGATATGTGACACTCTCGAATTCATGAATATTTCGATTATTAATCGCATCAACATATTGAATGATCACATTTTGAAGATCATATACAATTGCATCGTTATATGTTTTGTAATTGGCATCAAACGTGACATTGTCACAATCCGACCAGTATTTAATATTTTCTGACCGAAGAACAATTTTTCCATATTCGCGTTTAGTATGGAATGTGCTATTCCCGTGACTTGTCACAACCCTAAATGACATATCTCCTGTGAATATATCGAATTTCTCCACAAACAAAGAATTCATGCTTGTCTTGTTTCGAGATTTCAGATTCCCAAGTACAGCTTTGAAAAAGGTGTCACGCAACATGTGAAAACTTTGATTCACCATATCAAATGCTTCGAAGGTATCCGAAGTAACAGTTCGAAATAATTCCAAATCATTATCCCGAACAGCTTCCAAATATTTCGTCATCAGATCTTTGGCTATTTTTTGCGCAATTTTTTCCTCGGGAATAAGAAAACTTGATTGACCTTGCGAATTTATCCTGTTTGTTATTTTTTTAATTTTATGGTCCCTTCGGTCCGCTTCAATCGTATCACCATTAAGTTGAGCTTCGAACAAAAAGACACCATTGTTTGGATACTTCATCCTTACGTTGTGAACATCAAATTGCAGAGTACTCATATTTGTTTGGTCTCGATATTCCTTATGAATTTTTACGAATTGACGCTTCGAGAATACTTTGCTATCTTTTCGATATAGATTGAAATTAGGATCTAGAACTGTGTCATCGATTGAAATATTAATCAATTGTTTCAATACTAGTTTAGCACTGTTATATACATCTCGATCAATTAATGGAATTATGTCTACTTTACTTTGAATATATTTCGCACAAGATTCATACCATATATGTTGAGTCAATATTCTAAATTCTCCGATTTCATTGCGTTTCGCTCCAATAAAAATCTTGAATTCATACCCAATATGAACTTCCCATTTTAAAAGATCATTATTTAATGTAACATTCGGTTTCACGGTATAATCTCTGATTGGTGCAGGATTTGTATACTCATTTCGAAAATCCAACATTTCATCTAGAGTGACTGTTTTGGTTTGGCACTTCGAAGTAAGTTTAAACTTATCGTCAAACATTTTCGAAAGATTTCCATTATTTTGTCTCAACGCTTCGACGTAATCTTTCGTTATTTTAACAGCATTTTCGAATGCTTCAGAAGTGAAATCATCTCCAAATGTTGAATTTATGAAGAAGAATAAAAGGATGATTCGAAACATAAGCTCTTTCATTTCTAATTCGATTGAAATTGTGAAAAATGAAGAGAACATAATGTCTCGAAGTGATAAAATCGACAATAATTGTCCCCATGTGATAAAATGTTTATTTTGCGAAAAGTTATACCGTAAACTTTTTGCGAAGAAATTTTGAAAATATTAGATTTTGCCCAAAAATATCGTCTTGCAAAAAGAAACAATTAAATCAAAATACTAGCCAACAATCACATATTGAAAATTCTTTCAAAAATTAACTGCTGTTTTCTGGAATTTCCTGGTTAGATGAAATGCTTTATTATATTAATATAACAAGTTTGCAAAGGTTGTATATGTATTTTTCCAGTTTTCTTTTCTTTTTTCTTTTGTCAAATAATATGCGCCGCGTAATCTTTTTACATCATACACATGTTTTGTTTGGCCCTCTCCAGTTGTTTTGAATTCAATATGATTGTCTTTTATAATCAATTCGGTAACAGTTAATTCCGGAAAAACGCTTGGATAAGAATCATTAAAACATTTAAATTTTTGTTTATCGATCATGAAACCTGGATATGTGACACTCTCGAATTCATGAATATTTCGATTATTGATCGCATCAACATATTGAATTATAACATTTTGAAGATCATTTATAATACCAGCCTGATATATTTCGCGTTTTAAATCAAAAATAACCTTTTCTCGATCCCAGTCATTCATTCTTTCTGAGCTAAGGAGAAATTTTCCATATTCGCGCTTTGTGTGGAAATCGCTATTTCCGTGAGCTGTTAGAACCGTAAAATATATATCTCCGGTGAAAATATCGAAATGATATACGTACAGAGAATCCATACTTATGTCCTTTGCAGAATTTAGATTCCCAAGTACAACTTTGAAAAAGGTGTCACGCAACATGTGAAAACTTTGAATCGCCATATCGAACGCTTCAAAGGTATCCGAAGTAACAGTTTGGAATAATGTCAAATTATTATCTCTAACAGCTTCCAAATATTTTGTCATCAAATCATTCGCTATTTTTTGTCCTATTTCTTTCTCGGGAATAAAGCAACTTGATAGACTTCCCGAGTTCCAACTATTTGTTATTTTTATAATTTTACGCGTTTTTGAGTTGACTTCAATTGTATCACCATGAAGTTGAATTTCAAAAAGAATATTGTCAGTAATGTCATTCTTCCTTACGTTATGGACATGAAATTTGGGTTCATTCTTAAGGATTTGCTCTCGATACGTATCATGAAGTTTTATGAATTGATGTTTTGAGAAAATTTTGTTATCCTTTCGATATAGATGAAAATCTTCATCAAGAATTTTTTCAAAATTTGAAATATTCCTAAATTTGTCGAATATTTGCATAGCAGTCTCATATGCCTCCTGATCAATCAATGGAGTTAGGTCCATTTCTCTTGTTCCATTCAAAAATTTCTCACAACTTGCATAAGTAATTTGTTGAGACCGAATTCTGAACGTTTCTTCATCATCATCGCGTTTCGCTGTGATAAACATCGTAAAATCCGTGCTGATAAGTTCCCATTTTAAAGTACAATGTTTTAATTCCGTTTTTTGCAAAATATATGGTTTGATTGGTGCAGGGTTTGTATAACCATTGCGAAACTTTAACATCTGATCGCGAGTAAATGATTCGGAATTGCAATTTTGCGTCAAATTAAACTTGTCATCAAACACTTTTGAGAGATACAAGTTTTGTCTTAACGCTTCGATGTAATCAATGGTTGTGTTCACAGCATAATCGAATGCTTCCGAAGTTTTGGAATCATCGCCAAATGTTGAATGAATGAAGAAAAATAGGAGAATAATTCGAAACATACGGTCGTACATTTTTTCAAATATTTGATTGAAAGTGGGAGAAACGAAGATGAAATATTGTCTCGAAGTAATAAAATAAAATACAAAACGAGTGTGAAATAAAAAAGGAATTGAAAAAACAAAAATATATAATTACTTTTTAAATTAAAAAGGTGGAATTTTAAAGCCAGAAACAGTGCCCTTCACGGGCATTTCTCGTCAAGTCTGGGTTTTTCCAAAAAATGTATCAAGAAAATACTGCTATTGCCAACTGTGTTCATCATAAAAAATACCCTCTTCCCTGTAAAAAAACTCACATCTCTAACCAACAACTCATTCATTAGCGGTTTATATTTATTACAACACTCGTTCGCCTTCAATTCTAAAATCAAAATTCGAATATCTTCCGAAACCTCTTTTTCAGCATCCACAAATTTCTTGACAGCTTGTGGATTCGCAGAAATAATAACTCGATTCAGCTCCACTTTTTTCTTCGATGAAGAAGGAATTATTGAACTTTCAATTCCCAGATGCTTCAAAGATTCGACCCATTCTGCAGAAGAAGTTGAGGAATAAGTTAGAAGAAGTGCGCGAGATCGGGGAAACCATTTCAAAAAATTGGCCACAGTTATTGACATAATTCTCGGAGTTGAAGAAGGAGCTGTTGATGGGAGAGCTATACATACATTTGAAGATAGAGCACATCGGACCAGATTGAGTTCAAAAGGTCGAACAATTTCATCAATCGGGTAATATATGAAGTTTCCAATTGTTTCGTCAAAACCATTTTCCAGCAATGCTTGTTTTCTAAAAAAACGATGATTATTAAACAAATTATTTTCCCTCTAAACAATATTTTTTCACAAATTCCTCATTCAAAAAACCCACGTCAAAGTATCATTGCTCTTACTGCCAACCGGAATATTACACGGATTCTCCCAACCTTCTGCCGTTGATGTGTTCCCTCCACTTTTCTGCACATATTCATCCCATTTTGTCGCCTTCTTGGGTGGCCCTTCGAAAAGCACTTCGCAAGAATCATCATCTACTTTTCGCGGATTCCTTTTCGCGAAAAAATTCAGCAGATTATTTTGTTTCGATGAAGATGGCTTCATTTTTCATTTAGGATAGGTGAAAAACGATTTTTTTCAAACCAAAAAAAAAACAAAAGTAAAAAATTTGAAATAATCTTTTCGCGGGCGGCGAGAGACAACACACATCGAGGAGACGCAGCATTGCAGTAGAGCGCACTTTCCCCATTTTCCCTTTCCCAAGTCCTCGAGGCGAAAAAGGCTTCAAGCTGGAAATGATAAGATAGATGAGCGCATAGCAACGAGAAGGGAAAGCAAAGCGGATGATGATGCTCCGCCCCCAAAATTTTTTGCCAAAAACTAAATTATATATTACATTCGTATATACACATAACTTTAAAACTTCTATTTTTTCATTAGAACTGAATATCTAGTTATGACATCTGAAAATGAAGTTATACAATATCTAAAAGATAATCCAACACTTCTAGAAGATTATATTGTTTCAACCAATGTTTCGCATGAAACTTTTGAGAGATGGAGTGTGAGAAGAGCAATAAAATTCAAAAAATCAAGAAAAGATCAAATATCTGGAGGTGCTTGGACAGATTTGGATCACGCAATGAAACGACGTGTAATTCTAGAAACTTCAGATAATCGCGTGAGTTTTTTTGTGCAGAAATTTCTGAAATATGTCTTTAATTATTTGTTTCAGACAAGAATTCTATTCGAAATCACACAATGTTGCGGACAACTAATTGGCACAGATTCCATGGAATTAATTGTTCAAAATGACGAGGGAGCATTTATTTGCAGAAAAGATGAAAATGGAGAATTGAAGCTGAAAAAAGTGAAAAGTTCGAAGAAACCCAATTATGTTCAAGCTATTGTCAATGCTGGAAATCAGACTATCGGTGAGAAAAAAATTGGGGACGCACTTTTATTTTTTATTTTGGGAAAAATAGAAAATACACGTAGAAGTCTGATGTTGGCTGACAAAAATTAGCTGAGTTTTGGATGAAATTAATTAGTTTTTGATGATATTAAAAAATAGGGATTTTTATTTAAATTTGGAATCTAGAGAAACGTTTGCCTGGGATTACTGTAGATTTTCAATTTCCAGGACTAAAATTAGACACTACGGTTACTGTAGATTTAAGATTCCTGGTAAATGAACATTTGGGATCAAGCTCCAATTTAATTAAAAATATGACATCAAAACAATTTCAAAAATTATTTTTCGAATTTTTTTAGATTCAGAATTCCAATAAAAAATTTTAAAACATTATTATCCTAAAATAAATTATGCTCTGAAAAACCCAGAGCGCAATTTTCCTATTATTCTGAATTTCCGAATCCAAAAATCCCCCTTTCCCAATTTTTCAGGCGAGATCCACTTCCACATCAACCTCACACCCTCCGAAAAATCCATTGTCAACGCAATCTGCACATGGTCCGCGTCGTGTAACTACTTTTCCGAGGTACGGTAGGGGATAATCAGGGGAAGACGGATAAGCTGTCTAAATAGGGGGATGATGATGCACATCTATGGATGTGTATAGATACTCAGATTTCAAAATAGAAGATCTTCTAGCTTTACACCCATGCGAGTGAGGAAAACAACGAGGATAGTGTTCATGAAAATATTGCGAAACAAAGAAAATTATCGAATTTTCTGCTAGATGTTGCAAAATCGATTTTCCACGATATTGTTTCAATGGATGCAGTTATTGTTAAAGTTATGGTAATAAAATAATCCAGAACCATGATAATAATCCTGAATTTTCCCAGAACTTTGCTCAAAAATTGGTGGATGCTGATCGCGCCTCTCTATTCCTCGTTGACGCTAAAAATCATCAAATCTACGCGAGAATCTTTGATGTTGGAACTGGCGATGATGAACATGTGAAGATAAACAAGGAGGGGCAAAAGGAGATTAGATTTGATATGAGTAAGGGAATTGCGGGGTATGTTGCATCAACTGGCGATGGATTAAATATTGAGAATGCGTATGATGATCCGAGATTTAATGCCGAAGTCGATTCGAAGACTGGCTACACCACTAAAACCATCTTATGTATGCCGATTAAAATCAGAAATGTGTGAGTTGTAGGACCCAGACATGTTCCTTTAAATCCGTCTAATATTCCAGTGTCATCGGCGTTGTTCAAATGGTCAATAAACATAACGGTGTTTTCAATCGACAAGACGAAGATGCTTTCGAAGTGTTCGCGGTTTATTGCGGTCTCGCTTTACATCACGCAAAACTATACGACAAAATTCGACGAAGCGAGCAGAAATATCGTGTAGCTCTAGAAGTTCTAGCCTATCATAGTGTTTGTAATTCTGATGAGGTTAACAAATTGAAGAAAATCGAAATAACTGATAGAATAGTTGAGTTGGAAACAATTGATTTTAATGGGATGCGATTATCTGAGCTGGAGAAACCCTTGTATGCTGTTTATATGTTCAAAACTTTATTTGGTGGATTTTTGCAATATGAGACCGATGATTTGATTCGATTTGTGTTAACAGTTCGCAAAAATTATCGTCGTGTCGCTTATCATAATTGGGCTCACGGCTGGTCAGTGGCACATGCGATGTTTGCCACTTTACTCTCTCATAAAGAAGTTTTCTCGAATCTCGAAGCCCTCGCTCTCTACGTCTCCTGTCTTTGCCACGATTTGGATCATCGAGGAAAAAATAACGCATATATGAAGACGATGAGCACACCATTGGCGGCGATTTATTCAACATCTGTTATGGAGCGACATCATTTCAACCAAACTGTCACTATTTTACAGCAAGATGGACATAATATTTTGAAGTCTTTGACATCGGCAGAATATAAACAAACTTTGAGCTTGATTAAACACTGTATTTTGGCCACTGATTTGGCGTTGTTCTTCAGCAATAAGGCAAAACTGAATGTCATCTTGGAAGGTGGAAACTTCGAATTAACCAACCCGGAACATCGATTACTCACTCAAGCAGTTCTAATGACTGGTTGCGATTTGGTTGCATCTGCAAAACCATGGAATATTCAAACCGAGACAGTTAAGGTCATCTTTGAAGAATTCTACGATCAAGGAGATGCTGAGAGACTCAGCGGCGCTGAACCAATCGCAATGATGGATCGGACAAAGGCTCATCAATTGCCAGCAATGCAGGTTGGATTTATGCGTGGAATCTGTATGCCCTGTTACGAATTGATCGCCAAAATTTTCCCGAAGGTTGATAAAATGCGATCAAGATGTGAATATAATGCAACAAAATGGGAAGAATTAGCAGAAGAGCAGAAACAAAAAGAGGCTGATAATTCGTAGATTATTTTTTGAGAAATTATTAACTTTATATAATTATTAAACTGTAAATTATTAGTTTTGTATGTACAAAAACCCCGATTTCGATACAACTTATTTACAATCCTAACGCAGGCATATCCAATGCTCCATTTCCTCCAACAAATCGTTTAGTTTTCGAGTTCATTTTAAATCCAATTTCATCCCCGGGATTCCAAGCATTCGGAATTTTGAACATTGTATCCCACTCATCCCGTGCTCTTCCTTGCGTTGAAAATCCAGAATTTATAGCTGGTTTGGTTGGATCAAGTGAAGGTAGGATAAATCGAGTTCCAAGCCCGGGAATTTCTTTTTCATTGGCACCAGTCCAACGAAGACGAGTGTGTCGACCTTTTGGCTCCCAGAGAAGCGGGGGAACTACACGTTCCTCGATATTTTGGGTGACTTTGGCGTCGATCATTTCGGGTTTGTGAGTTTGGGCACCGAAGAGACGAGGCAGTGCTTTGATTGTTTTGACGCGTTGCACACCTTTTTGCTCGTTGGTTAGGAGTTGTCTGGAAAATTGTTTTTGCTAGAATAATTTGGATATTTTTCTCAAATATGTAACATTTTCAGAATTCTCCCATCTAGTTATCAAATCTCAAAAATTCTACTTCTACTTCCAATTATTTTCATCTGCCCAAAATATTGTCGAATTTCCGAATTGAAATTTAAAAATCATGAAAAGTTTAGTTTGTTTTTTTTTCAGATTTTGAATTCAATTTTTTTTCTAACAAGGGAACCTTTTCAGGCCACCGTCGAGTTTTCAGCTCAAAATTTTTTTATAGATAGTTTTAGCCATCCTAATGAACATACAAAAAATTCAGCTGCCAAAGAGCACCCTGCACCAAGTTCTGATACACCAAAATGGCGATTTTTGACCAAAATCACATGTTCCGAGGGTCATAACTCAGTCCTGAGTTAAATTCATGAGAAACTGAATGCGGGAAATTTTTCAGGAGGGTCAATTTACTTAAGTCACTGAATGTTATTACTGAATTGCACCATTTTTCGAAAAAAAAATTTTTGGCGCAAGAAAATAGTCCAGGTCATGGATTGTAAAACTGAAAATTTTTGGAAATTTTTCTAATAATTGGTGATTTTAGTAAATCGACCCTCCTGAAAAACCTCCTGCAATCAGATTGTGATAAAATTGTCCCTAAAGAATGTTATAACCCTTCAAAAATGCCGTTTTTGGCGATTTCCGACACTTTGGCGCATCAGAACTTGGTGCAGGGTGCTCTTTGGCAGCTAAATTTATTGTATGTTCATTAGGATGGCTAAAACTATCTATAAAAAAAGTTTGAGCTCAAAACTCGACGGTGGCCTGAAAAGGTTCCCTTGTAAGAACTTGAGTTAATTTTTTCTTGATGAAAAACCCAAAACCTCTACGTTTCAAAAATTAAACATAATTTTTAGAACGCTGACTTCCCTCGGTGTCATTAATGATTAATAGAATTTTCAAAAAAAATTCCGAACCTTCCACTCAAAATCTTATCCAATTTCTCATCCATAAACAACGCCGCCAAACTCGGATTATTCTTCAAATTCTGCATTGTTCTCGATTCTTTTGCCATTTGCCATTCAACACTCGGATTCCTTCGAATCTCGTCAACTTTTGTCGGATCAGCTCCAATCAAGAGTGGTAACATTTTTCTGGGGCGAGTCGGGATTTTTCGAGGAGCAAAATAGCCGGGTTGCGGTTTGGGATTCACATCAAATGGCTTGGGTTGCAAATATTTTTCCACGTCATCAACTCGATATTTGATTCGATCCAAAGCGGCGCTGAGTTCCGAATTCGATTTGAGTTTCTCAACAAAACTCGAGGATAATCTTAGCGGTGCTCGACGAAAAGATGAGCCAACTACTGAATTTTGCTCTTCCTCTAGTTTCTCCTCATCTTCTTCTTCATCATCAATTCCACTGAAACCGTGTAAACCAAGAACAATTTGTGATTTTTGATCGAGTTGTGATCTTTCTCTCATTCTATCGAACACTTCGGAATCTTCATCGGTTAGAGAAGCTAGAGGTCTTCGCGAGGATTGAAGAGGAGCATCTCGCATTCGACGGTTGAGCAGGTTTTGAACTTCAGCGTTCTAGAAAATGGAGAATTTTTGGGTTTTAGAAATATTCATTAGGAGATAATTTTCAAATTCCGAAAACTAGCCCTGGAAATTTACGTTTCACAAATTTCTAAAATCAATTAGTGTGTTTCAACTATTGCTATAATACTAGATTTTTCTTTTGAAATTTTCCAAACATAATTTGCACTCACCTCCAACAATCCTCTCAATCTCGGACTACTTTTCAATTTTCTAGCCAATTCTCTTCGATTATCCACCGGTTCACTTTCCTCATTCTCGTCTTCTTCCTCCAAATAATTAGTCCTAGTTCTAGCCAATTGTCTGGGTTGCTGTTGCATTCTCTGCAGATTTTGCTGCAATCTTGGATCCAATTGTTGTTCCATCGCCATTTCTCGAATCATTTGGGGTGAAGCTTGCGCTTTTCTCATCTGTTGCGGCATTTTGAATGGATTTTTTCCAGCAATCATATTAGCAACAAGACCTGGCAATATTTGCTGTTGGAATTTGTCCAAAACAGCTTTTGCGATTTGCTCAGAAGGGTCAGTGTTTTCCATATCTCTTTGTGTTCGAATCGCATCTTCGATTCCACGAATTGAAGATCCAATTGGAATTCCATTTCCATTCAACATATCAATAAAAGCATTTCCAGTTTTTGGCTGCAGTTTTGCCATTTCAGCTTGTTGCAATACAGCATCGGCTGCCAATTCATCAACACTCAATTTCTTATATTTATCAAATTGATCAGGATGAACTTTTTGCAATACTTCTAGTTGTGTTTTGAATGCTCCTTTCGCCATTTCCATCTGACCTTTTTTGATAAGAGCATCCAAAAATTGTGCTCCAATCATTTCAAAAGTTTCGGGACTTGGGAAATATAAATTTGGCTTTTTCTCTTCGGCATGTATCAGAGAAGCGAGGCCTGGGGAAAAACAAGATATAATACGTTTCTAATTTTACTTGAAGATTTTAGTGTTTTTAGAAATTTTGATATACTAATTTTAGCAAAAAATAAATTTTTAATTCCAAAACTTTTTTTCAGAAAAAAAAATAATAACAACATTTTTCACTGTTTCAAAAAATAAAAATTTATCACTAAAAAAATTACCTGCGATCAAAAAAAGCGGCGCCGCGATCCGCCAGCGCATTTTCATCTTTTTCGAAAAACGAAAATGAAACAACAAAAGAACGACGAGAAATAAATCGAGAATGATAAATAAACTGGATTTAGCTAGCTTCTTCTCATTTAGCATTGATATCTTTTGGAAACTGGTCAGGTGACCTATGACAAAAAGATTTATTTCATTATTATTAGCATGGAAATTCCCTTCCCAAAAAATACAACCCAAAATCTTCTTCGAACTCGAATTGAACTTTTAAATGTGTTCCGAGATTCGCTGAATATTGCACGTAATTTCTGTTGATATTAATTGGAGTTTTAGCAATCTCATCTGCGCTATAGTCAAGAAGATCTCGAATAAATGCTGTGAATCTGTGGACATCTGTTATCTCAATAGGTTCCAGATTAATCCAACGTGGAACAATTTCAGAAAGGAATTCATCTCGATTATAAGTTCCATTCTGACAATTAGTATACTTAAATCGGGAATAATGGATTGGTGATTCCTTAGCTATCAAAGTTATCAAATGTTTTTTTGCAAAATCAAAAAGATATTGTTCAGCCAAATCTTCTCGACATTGATAAGTTCTAGCGTTAGCAATAAAATGGCGTCCATAACTATCCAAAGTTGAATGCAATTTAATCCTATATTTGAATTTAGGATCTGTGGATTCCACAAAAAATACCATGCTTTTTGTGTATTTAAAAACTTTCAGAACATTTGCGTTTATCAAAGATTTCTTTTGAAAAACCGCACAACCATCAGATTCAAATGATTCGTGGAAAATATTTGCACCGTTTGTGTAGAGTTCAATCATTTTCTGAGCGGGTTCAAGGGTATCGGTGACTTCGAACTTTCGACCGGCTAGTTCATGGAATGGCGGTAGACTTTGTTTCGCAAAACACGGAAAAATCAGAGAGAAAATGAAGATGAACCACATTTTGTAAAAAAAATGTGAATATTGCGAAACATGAGTCTTAGATGGAATTGATTTCAGTCAAATAAAAATCGTGTGATTTTTTTTCAGAATTAGAGAATCATCGATCAGAAAGTGGGATTTTTGTGTTTTCGACAATCATTTTTTGAAAAAAACACTTTTAAACCATTTCTAAAAAATTACTGAATTTTTTTTCGAAATTTCAAAAAAAAAATCCCCCAACTTCCCCCGAATCCTCAACATCTTTCCAAACCAGAAAACACTTATCACCCCTTATTTTTTACCAGAAAAAATCGGAAATTATCAATTTCACACTATCCAGACTAATTAATAACAAACTTTTTTCAGAATGTTGCCAAATCCAGTTTTCTCCTGATCAACACCTCAAAGTTCAAAACTACAGACTCCAAACAAATCATTAAAAACCAAGAAAAAAAACAAATTCCACTTACAATTAGGAAGAAAACCAAAAAAAAAGCAGACCACCCATCAAGTTTTTAAGTACATTAGTCGATGATTAGGTTAATCCTATTATCTAGTCTGGCGGCTGGCTGGAAAATCGAAAAAAAATGAGCCAAAAAAACGTGGATGGTATAAAAGTGAGTGATTGGCTGATCAAAATGTTAATTAATTTAGCTATTTCTTTGTTTAGTCATCATGTTTCCCATGTGTTTTTTCATTGTTAACAATAAAAATAAAAATTTTCCTCGGTCAAAAAGAAAAGGTCATCCTAATTATTTTCCTCATGATCTCCGGTTGTTTTTCAGAATGTTTTCAATAGTTATCATTATTTTTCTTCTATTTACTTGTGATGTTTCTACGAAGAATGCTGATTTGGAGATCAAGAAACTTCTAGGGGAAGATATCCCGCAGGTACTGTTTGTCATTTGAAAAAAAGGTCCCTAATTTATTTTTTTAGATAAATACCACGCAAGAAGCAGTTGATGAATTAACAAATCATTGGGTTGAACAGGCACTTTCGGCACTTATTTCAGCTGCAGCAAATAATAAATTAGCTACAGTATCTCATATTGATAGAAGAATGCATGAAAAATGTATCAAAGATATCAAAACAATTGAGGAACATGCAAAATGTGTTAGTGAATTATTAGAAGTTTCGAGAGCAAATATTCGAAAACATGAGGGAAATCAGAAAATAATAAAGAAATTGATGGAAATTGAAGATGGAAGTTGGATTGGAGCATTTCGAATTCGAAAAAAGAGACAAACAAATATTATATCGAAATCAAATTATGTTTTGAAATCATCGAAAGATGTTTCGCCTTTTACTATGGTTGCAAAACAAATCACGAAAACTGTAAGAGCAATGAAAAATAAAAAAGAAGATCGGAATTGGAGACAAATTATGGTTGATGTTAAAAAGACTGGAGAAGTTATTGAAAATCGGAAGAAAGTTAAAGAAATGTTGGGGAAAAGTGTGAGAAGTCGGGGAAGACCGGAAAGATATGACGAGAGAAAACCATTAGCCGTAAGTTGAGATATTTCAGAAGCTTCCTTATTAATTGTGAATTTCCAGCATGATGATATCGAGGACTATGATAGTCCTGTGACAACATCGAAACCTGTTATTGACACCGATAAATTATTCCAAAGACTTCAAGATCATCCAGAAGATATATTAAATGATAATGCTGCTGATGTTTTCAACATGACTGATGAAAATGCAGAAGCAGTTCTTCGAATCAAATTAATAAGAGAAGCTGTGAAATTAGGACTACAAGTTGGAGGTCAAAACACATCTGATTTTGATAAGAAAAGTTTGCGATTCGCGTCCCCTCGATTTTTTGCAATTACTCCAGAAGAACATAAAAAGGATAATGATACAGTAAACCAAGTTATTAGAAGCACCCCAAAAACTTGAGAATTTTCAGATCAACGTTTTGTCGCCATCGCTATTTTCATTGCACGACGAAGGAACAGATGAAGAGAGGAAAACGGCTTTGTCAAATTTGCTTCCAGATCTACAAAAAGGCGGAGGTGAAAAAGATGCGTGGATGGATATGCTGACAGAAATAAGTGGAGTAGCAGATACTGTAGATGATGCAGCAACAAAAGTGGCTCGAGAATCAGAAGGTGTCCTAATGAACACAAAAGGAGAGGAGATAAATGTATCCAAAGAAAACATTACCAATATTTATGGAGAAGAAGGTTATCGAAAAATGAAAGTAATTGAAAAATTGAATGGAATGTATACAAAACAACAGATGGAACAATTCAATACAACTGGATTTGCTATAATGACCGATGAACAAAAAGAAATTATGTATGGAAAAGGAGCACCTTATGAAAATTTGGAAACTATTCAAGCATCCAAGAATTTGACTATGACAAAAGCAAAAAAAGCACTACACACGGTATGTTGGATAGTTAGGAGGTAGAGCAAAATTGAAAATTTCAGACAATCAAAGGATTGGCGGAAGGTGATGTGAAATTGGGAAAATACGACAAGCGTATGAAAGATATAGTTTTATCACCGGTAAGATACGAACATTTAATAAGAGAATCTGAATAATAAAATTCCAGCTAATTCTCACTTCAATCGTAGCTAATCCAGCTGCCGCTTCTCAAGCTCTTATCCTATCTCCAGTACTGTTTACATCACTTATCTTGTCACCAGCAATTTATGGTTCAGTTATTTTATCACCTTGGTTGTTTGTCCCTGTTATTCTTGCTCCTCGTGTTCTCTCGCCAATCATTGTATCACCTGCTATCTTTTCTCCAATTATTCTCTCACCACTGGCACTTGATGCATTGGTTTTGGTGCCAGGAGTAGCAAATCCCTTTGTCCTATCACCTTTCGTATTGTGCCCCTTCATATTGTCACCACAAGTTATGACACCCCTTATCCTTTCACCCTTCGCTCTCTCACCATTTATCCTCACGCCAACCGCACTATCACCACTTGTCTTATCTCCGTTCGTACTCTCACCGTCAGTTTTATCACCATCATTCGTGACTGCTGTAATTCTTTCACCATATGCCTTATCACCAAGTGTTCTCTCACCACCAACAATGATTAGTGTCTTCGCCTCACCAAGTATTTTGTCATAATTTCCGAACAAAACCTCAACTCTAACTTAAATTTGTGCAATAAAGTTTTCAACTTGATCTTTTGATCATGATGTTTATTTTTGTTTCAAAAAACTAATAAAACCCAATTGGACATGAAAATGGTCATAAAAATCAGAAAGATTTGATAAATAGATGTTTGATACAATAAAAAAAATAATAAGATCAAAAAATGTGTAAATGAAGCCCACCTAGTCAGAACCGGTTTCTACAAAAAAGTGTGAGCGAGATGTTCGAAAGTCTGGAAAATATTTGACCGCTTTAATAATTTGATGAACAAATTAATCAAACCGTCTTGGTTATTGAGCGACTGTCCATTTACAGTACTTCTGTCCTTAATCAATTAATGTCTATTTAATTCCAATTTCTTTTATCTTTCCCGATATCCTTTTGAAACAATACGCCTTTGTGAGACCAAAAAGTGTGATTTACCCGACTGTCATTAATCGCACAAAAAAAGCTATAAAATCTGGAAAACTTCTTATCGGCCACGCTCTATGATAACGAAATTGAATCATTATTATTATATCTCATTATTGCCACCTTGAAATGATATCTAGAATATTGTATTGTTTTGTCTACTTATTTTTGCTAGATGAAGTTATCGGAATTAACTTAGGAGCTGAGGTTAGTATTAGAGATGTAATAAATAAAGTTGTGAATATTTAAGAATCAAACAACAGATGTTCGGAATTCTGAAGTTCAGATAAAGAAGTTGCTAGGAGATGATATTCGACAGGTATGAGAACTTCTAAGTCTTTCAAACTCATTCCGTTCTTTCTTCAGATAAATACAACCCAAGAATCAGTTGATGAATTAACAAATCATTGGGTTGAACAAGCACTTTCGGCACTTATTTCAGCTGCAGCGAATAATAAATTAGCTACAGTATCTCATATTGATAGAAGAATGCATGAAAAATGTATCAAAGATATTAAAACAATTGAGGAACACGCAAAATGTGTTAGTGAATTATTAGAAGTTTCGAGAGCAAATATTCGAAAACATGAGGGAAATCGGAAAATGATTAAGAAATTGATGGAAATTGAAGATGGGAGTTGGATTGGAGCATTTAGAATTCGAAAAAAGAGACAAACAAATATTATATCAAAATCAAATTATGTTTTGAAATCTTCGAAAGATGTTTCGCCTTTTACTATGGTTGCGAAACAAATCACAAAAACTGTAAGAGCAATGAAAAATAAAAAAGAAGATCGGAATTGGAGACAAATTATGGTTGATGTTAAAAAGACTGGAGAAGTTATTGAAAATCGGAAGAAAGTTAAAGAAATGTTGGGAAAAAGTGTGAAAAGTAGAAGTCGACCAGAGAGATATGATGAAAGAAAACCATTAGCAGTAAGTTAAGGTGTTATGAGTCTTTGAAAAATTCTGAATTTTCAGCATGACGATATCGATGATTATGATCTTCCAGTTACCACTGCAAAATCTGCTATCAACACCGATGAACTATTCCAAAGACTTCAAGATCATCCAGAAGAAATCCTAAACGATAATTCTGCGGATGTTTTCAATTTAACTGATAAGAATGCAGAAGCAGTTCTTCGAATCAAATTGATCAGAGAAACTGTAAAGTTAGGTTTACAAGTCAGCGGTCAGAACACAACTGATTTCGACAAGAAAAGTTTGCGATTCGCGTCACCGAGATTTTTCGCAATAACTCCAGAAGAACATAAAAGAGAAAATGATACGGTAAAAAAATGAGCACCTTTTTTCAAAGAGAACTGTTGTAATTATTTTCAGATAAATGTTCTTTCACCATCTTTGTTCTCTTTGCACGGCGAAGGAACGAATGAAGAAAAACAATTGGCTTTGTCAAACTTATTGCCAGACATCTCACATAGTGAAGGAGATAAAGATGCGTGGATGGATATGTTAACAGAAATAAGTGGAGTAGCAGATACAGTAGATGATGCAGCAACAAAAGTAGCTAGAGAATCAGAAGGTGTCCTAATGAACACAAAAGGAGAAGAGATAAATGTATCCAAAGAAAACATTACCAATATTTATGGAGAAGAAGGTTATCGAAAAATGAAAGTAATTGAAAAATTGAATGGAATGTATACAAAACAACAGATGGAACAATTCAATACAACTGGATTTGCTATAATGACTGATGAACAAAAAGAAATTATGTATGGAAAAGGAGCACCTTATGAAAATTTGGAAACTATTCAAGCATCCAAGAATTTGACTATGACAAAAGCAAAGAAAGCACTACACACGGTATGTTGAATAGTTTAGGAGATAGAGCAAAATTGAAAATTTCAGACTATCAAAGGATTGGCGGAAGGTGATGTGAAATTGGGAAAATACGACAAGCGTATGAAAGACATAGTTTTGTCACCGGTAAGATACGAATATCTATACGAATAGGTAAAAATGAATAATAAAATTTCAGCTAATCCTCACTTCAATCGTAGCCAATCCAGTTGCCGCTTCTCAAGCTCTTATCCTATCTCCAGTACTGTTTACATCACTTATCTTGTCGCCAGCAATTTATGGTTCGGTTATTTTATCACCTTGGTTATTTGTCCCCGTTATTCTTGCTCCCCGTCTTATGTCGCCAATCATTGTATCACCAGCTATATTTTCCCCAATCATTCTATCACCATTAGCCCTCGATGCTCTAGTTTTGGTGCCAGGAGTGGCAAATCCTTTCGTTCTATCACCATTCGTTATGTGTCCATTTATCTTATCTCCACAAGTTATGACACCCCTTATCCTTTCACCCTTTGCTCTTTCACCATTCATCCTCACACCAACCGCATTATCCCCTCTTGTCCTATCACCGTTTGTCTTGTCACCCGCTGTTTTGTCGCCTTCATTTGTCACAGCTGTAATTCTTTCACCATATGCCTTATCACCAAGTGTTCTCTCACCACCAACAATGATTAGTGTATTTGCCTCACCAAGTATTTTGTCATAATAATGTTTATAGAAATGCTATTAAATTAAAATGTGCAATAAATTATCTAATTTTCACGTGACCCATTTAATATTAAACAAATAAAAAAACAGCAGATCCGTCATTTATAATTCATAACAATGAGTAAATCTGGTGAGTCTGATTGCTCAAAAGGGTGAAAAAAGTGTCGCTGTTCCAGAATCTTCAAAGACTAGTACAAATAAGATACCAATGACTACATCAATGAACACGGGACCTTCCGCTTCTCATAACGCAATTCAAAGCGAATACGGACCAGACGAAAATCATCCAACACCCCACCCAGATTCAATAAGCACGGCACATTCCGCTGATAGCAAAGGAACTCATAGCGGCAGCGAACAAATGGAGAATTATCCAACACCTCATCCAGTCTCAAGGAACGCGAGAACATCTGCAGCTGATCCTGAAGTAATTCATGGCGAATACGAACTAGCGGAAAATATTGCAACACCTCAACACACCGCCTCGGTACCTGCTGAAGAACTTCCGCCAAGATATCAGGATTTTCAACATCCTTATGTCAAAGTTTGGGTTAGAGTAAGTTCTCATTGTCAGCTCGTTTTCAAATGCAACGATACATTTTTAGCTAATCGCAATCAGCTCGTTGAGTTTTCTCATATTCAACGGCTATGTCACAATCACCGAGCAATATACCGGATTTTTCAAAATATTTGTTGAATCCAATGATCGACTTGTGATGAATGCAACACCTTTTCAAACATTCGAGTTGGTTCTTCGAATCTATTTGGAAATGGTGAATCCGACGATAATTATACTCTTCTTTCTTTTGACAAATATTGGATTTTCGGCGATTCCTAAATTGGCCATGAAAATACACGATCCAACACCGGTTTTTGCATCGATGACTGGATATGTGCTGGTGAGCAGTAAAAAATGAGGAAAACAATAGAAAAATGAAAAAAAGAAAAAAATTAACATACGAAAGTATGTGGAAATAATGTTTTATCGCAAAAATTTCCCTTGCAACTTTTTCGCTTTTGAAAATTCATATAGCGCGGAGCTAATTAGCTCTCAAATTTCGTCTCACCGAAACGAATCGAACGATATCTTCGCCGTTTTCTGAAACCGCGTCTGAAATGCAGAAAATGCACTGAAAATTTTCAAAAAAAAATTATCTATTCTGCAAACACCGTGCCGCACATATGCACACATTGCACACCGTATACCAAAAAATAAAATAAAATATTTTTCCTCGAAAATTCCAGTTATTTCCAGATTTACAACGCTATCACATATCTCGGCTGTTCCTTATCAATGGTCACCAATTTGTCATCAACTCCCCGCACCGATGTCTGGACACAATACATCAAATTCACATTTATCGGGCTATTTTGGATGTACGCTTTTATAAACATGCAAGTTTATTCAAAATTGACGATTTTTGATCAAGTTCGAGCAAAAGAAAAATATGAAACTAGAGAATTGGCGAGAGCACAAGCGCATGCTTAAAATAAAACTTTTGTAAGGTGAAAAATTCCAGTCTTATTCTTTGTTTGCCCATGTTTTCTACTTGGAAAACAAGCGGTAATGTAACTTTGTTTTTGATCTACAAACGCACGCGCATGACCTCAAGAAAACCAGTTCGCTCGATGTTTCTTATTTTTTTCCTTTCTTTTTGTGTCATTTTTCGCTATTTTGATATGGTTATCACACATTTTTAGTTTTTTCTTTTTCTAAAATTTGAAAATATTTTCAGACATGGTCTCCTCGCAACATTTTTGTATATTATTTTTATTCCTAACACTTCCGGCTGTAATATATTCTATAAATCGACCGAAAATTGTGAAAATTACGACGACACAGGCAACAACAACCACTACCGGAGAGCCGAGAAAATTACCGGAAGGTAAGAGATTTTTGGGAAATTTTGGGGGAAAAGTGTAGTCTTTGTATTTAGTGAGAGTAAAATCACATCATTTTAAATAGTTTGTGGTCAAGGTTGAAAGTAAGTGTAACTTTTCTTGATAGAGAAAATTTAAAGTAGCTTGGTTTTTTGGGGGTCGGGAAAAATATTGAGAACAAAAAAAAACAGAAAATATCTTCACAAAATGAATATTTCTACAAATTTCTAACTCAAAACTCTTTAGATGTGATTTTAAAACTAGAAAATCAGGATTTTCACATTAAAAAAATTATTTATAAATTTTTGGCCCAAAATCTAAATTTGGTCGTACTTTTTAATTTTCTTTTCAAAATAACAATGAACTGAAAATAAAATATTCCGAAAGAAATCACTTAAAAATCCGCTATTTTCCAGTTCTTCTCAACGCAACCTGGGAATGTGGCACCGACGAATTCACCAAATCAATAAGCGAAGGTGAAATCCTTGGAAAATGTCCAAAACTTCGAGACCAATTCAATAGTTGTTGCTATGCACACGATCAATGTTATGTCGATCAATCGGGCCAAAAATTTTGCGACGACAATTTTTGCGATTGTTTAGAGAGACGAAGTCGAAGTTCGAAATTGTGTCATGACGAATCGAGTCCGATATTTTGTAGTCTTGTTAAATCATTTGGCGATGGAGCATATGAAGCATCAGCTCCGAATGCAACAACAACAGATGAAGGACTTATTGAAACTGATGATTATGATTATGAATCGAATGTTAGAAATGGAACTAAACTTTTTGACTAATTGATTGTGGAAAAATGTGATTTTTTAGGTATTTATTATAAATTTTTCTGAAAACGTGGCTTCTTTCAAAAAAAAAATCGAGTGCAAAATTTTTTTAATTTTAAAAAATCAATGCATAATTTTATTTTTGTGGTAAAAAATTGCCACGTGAATTTTACTTTAAAAATTCTGAAAAAAAACTTATCATCCTATTTTTTTAAACGTGACCCAACTTTTTTCACTCACAAAAAAAATAGGACACAAAAAAACCGAAAAATACGAGATTAGGTTATTTCTGTATAATAATGGCCGCAAAAATGGTAGTCAAAAGTGAAGTCGAGCCAAATGATATTATAAAAAGAGCAAAAAATGATTATAGTTGGAAAATCTTAGAACTTTTGGGCAGTGGTGGATACGGCAAAGTGTTCAAAGTGATTCAAGTCAAAGAGGACGGAACACTGATTGCTCATGCTAAAGAATATGCGATGAAAACGGAAATGAAGTCGACAAATAAGAATACATCAAGATTGAAGATTGAGAAAAATGTGATGGAAGCGTATGCAAAAAGTGAGACATTACTCAAAGAACATTTTCCGGAAATGGTTGATTTGGGACAGACGAGTTGTTTCAAGTGGATTGTTATGACATTAGTTGGACCATCATTAGAGGCTTTGAAAAGGAACGGATTCACAATTTCTACTGCACTTCAATGTGGCTTGCAAACGTTGAAAGCGATCCGCGATTTTCATCAGATGGGATTTCTACATCGCGATTTGAAACCGGCGAATTTCTGCGTTGGTATTCATGCGAACATTGAATTGATCTATATGCTCGATTTCGGGTTGACACGAATGTATCGCAAAAAAGATGGAACGATTCGACCACCTCGACAGCGAACCAAGATGATTGGAACACCGCGATTTTGTTCGCGAGCGTCGCATCGCAAAATGGAGCTGTCGCGGAAGGACGATTTTGAGAGCTGGTATTTTATGGTGAGCCAATCTAGTCGACCTTATTCATAAGCCTAACTAGCAGTTTCCTTTCAGCTCTTGGATTTCGTGGATCATGAGAAGGGAATTCCGTGGCGTGGCAAATCGCGCGAACAGGCTTATCAACTCAAACAGCAGGTTTTCGATCAACCGACGTGGAGTAGGTTTTTTTTTGGAAAAACTAACGCAAACGCGCTCTGATGCAAATTTGTTGTTTTTATCGGAAATTCAATTTTTTAAATATTATTTTCAGTCAGCACAATCTCTCCACTTATTCCTTCATCATTCGGAACATGTGCTGAATATATGAATGAATTGGAATACGAATCAGATGTTGAATGGAGTGTATTTCGAGATGTCATAACTGAATACGCTCGAAAAGCCAAAATCACCTTAAAAGAGCGACTTGATTGGATCCCAGCAACTGGTTCTTCTCGAGTTCCAATTGTTCCAGGTCCAGCTATCAAAACTCTTGCTGTTCAAGATAAAGAGAGTCTAAATAATAATAATTCAAAGTTGGGACAAATTGATAATAATTCGATAAGTAGTGGCGATGATGAAACATTGGATGTTGGAAATGGAAATGGAAAAGGGAAAAGATCGGGATCGAAATCGAAACAAAGATCGAAAAGGGGAACTGTGACAGTTACAACTACAACAACTGTTGAGATGAAGTGAAATGACGTTATTTTGGAATTAAATGAATTTTTCTTTTGATATTCGCGTGTTGATTCAGTTGTGAAAAAAACAGCCTTTTCCAACAGAAAATCCAGATTCTTCTGTTCAAAAGTTCACAAAAATGAACTTTCCCTGATCTATTTTTCGTCTAGGAAACATAATCAAATGTGAGATTCATTCAAAAAATCGAGACATCCAAAAAATTTAAAAATTCATTGTTTTATTTCTTCGTTCGGAGATCGATGGTAACCTAAAAAGATTTCCAGAAGGTCACTTGACACATTTTTTGTAGAAATCTCCAAGACTCTTCACACTTCTAGCCATTGTAACTTTCGTTGGCTCTGTGAAAACAACGTCACCGCCAAGTATGTTTTTTTTAACACCAAGTTATCAACAAAAAAATTCAGTTTTTCGAAATGCAAGCTGGGAATGTGAAATTCATCATTTAATAGGAAGATTAGCCGAAAGCGAAGTGATTTTGCATTGTCCCGTTTTACGAGATCCAATAAATAGTTGCTGCATGGCACATAAAAAATGTTATAGAGATAGAAAAGGTAAAACGTATTGCGACGATGTTTTGTGTGATTGTTTAGAAACTCGGACTCGCTCAGAATCATATTGTCACGATGTATCCGCGTCAGCTTATTGTCTAGCCGCTCGACATTTTGGAGACTCTGCCTATGAACTTGCACAATAATTGATTTTGTTTATTTTTGGAAATAAATCATAATTTTTTCACTTCGTCTGATGTGTTCAAGACTGATCTATTGCTTTCAGATTCAAATCAATAGTTCTTAGATTACTGTACTTCTGGGGCAAATCAAATTCTGAACCACTGTTATTTTTGTAATCAGATTGATATTTGAAAATCCAACAGCTCGGGACTGGGGTCGCTGAATATGCGACCGTTGTCGCATATATGCGACACGTTGTCGCATATATGCGCCACGGAAAAACCTCGTCGCATAAGTGCGACCGGACAGCGACCGCAGTCCCGAGAGCATCCCAAATTTTTCAGTTCAAAAATTCATAAAAATATTCGCATTTTCCAAAATGTTATTCATTTTCCCTGATCGATTTTTGTTGTCTAGCAAGCGAAATAAAATGTGAGATTTTCTTAAAAATCGAAACATCTATCAATTTTTAGTCAATTCTACGTATTTTATTTTGTAGAACAATCATGGTAAACCAGATTTTCAGTTTTTCACTCTCTCTAAAAATTTACAAGAATTTCAGAAATCTCAAACTCTTTTCACTCTTCTAGCCTTCGTCGTCTTTAGCGCTCAGGAAACAACATTACCGCCAAGTAAGTTTTTTTTTGAATAACTTTTCCAAAAAATGTTTAAAGTTGTTCGAAATGCAAGCTGGGAATGTGGAGCTGATGATATATCGAAATCATTTTCCGAATTTGAAATACATTCAAGTTGTCCAGAATTACGAGATGAGATAAATAGTTGTTGCTTGAATCACGACAAATGTTACGATGATAAAAAGGGTCAAGAATATTGCGATGATATTTTTTGTAATTGTATGGATGTTCGAACTCGACCATCCAAGGAATGTCATAAGACAGCTTCGCCGACGTTTTGCCACGCAGTTCGATTATTTGGACATAGTGCTTATGAACAAGGAAAATAATTGATTTTTTGGTTTTTTGGGAATAAATCATATTTTTTCAACAAATTATGTGTGCGATAGAGCAGGCTTGGTTAACCAAATCCGCAGTTGTCTATGTTCTTGAAACACACATGCGCTCTACGCTCTAATGATAATTGAGAAAATTTGGTAAAAATTTAAACTTATGCATTTTTCATCGATTTGCTTCTTCTTGTTTTGCAAATATAATCGAATCATGGTTCCAAATATTCTCCAGAATTTGTATAATAAAAAAAATCTATTGAAAAATTTCCATTTCTGCTCAGCCTTTTTCTCAGATGGTAAGCCTAAATTTTCAGATTTTCAGAGATATTGTTTTTGCAGAAATCTCAAATTCTCTTCACACTCGTCATTTTTGTTAGTACTGGAGCTCTGGGAACAACATTACCCTCAAGTAAGTTTCGGATCCATTTCAAGACTCATATTTAAAAAACACAAATTTAAAGTAATTCGAAATGCCAAATGGGAATGTGGAGCTGATGATATCTCAAAATTTCTAGCTGAACTTCAAGTTAAAGGAAGTTGTCCAGAATTACGAGATGATATAAATAGTTGCTGCTTGAATCACGACAAATGTTACGATGATAAAAAGGGTCAAGAATATTGTGATGATATATTCTGTAATTGTATGGAAGTTCGAACTCGACCATCCAAGGAATGTAATACTGTAACTTCGCCAGCGTTTTGTAGCGCAGTTCACTTTTTTGGGCAAACTGCTTATGAAAAAGGAAAATAATTGATTTTTTAGTTTTTTTGGGAATAAATCATATTTTCATTTGAGTCGTTTAATTTTATTGAAAACCAAGCTCGCAATTTATGCAGACCATAATAACCAGAAAATAAATCATGTGTGCGATAGAGCAGACTTGATTAACCAAGTCCGCAGTTGTCTATGTTCTTGAAAAACACACATGCGCTCTAATGAGAATTGAGAAAATTTCGTAAAGATTCAAACTTATGAATTTTCCATCGATTTGCTTCTTCTTGTTTTGCAAATATAATCGAATCATGGTTCCAAATATTCTCCAGAATTTGTATATTTAAAACAATCTATTGGAAAAATTTCCATTTCTGCTTAGCGTTTTTCTCACATGGTAAGCCTAAATTTTCAGATTTTCAGAGATATTGTTTTTGCAGAAATCTCAAATTCTTTTCACACTCGTCATTTTTGTTACCACTGGAGCTCTGGGAACAACATTACCGCCAAGTAAGTTTGGGATGCTTTTCAAGACTCATATTTTTGAAAAAAAAATTTTGAAGTTATTCGAAATGCAAACTGGGAATGTGGAGCTGATGATGTCTCAAAATATCTAGCTGAACTTCAAGTTAAAGGAAGTTGTCCAGAATTACGAGATGAGATAAATAGTTGCTGTTTGAATCACGACAAATGCTATGCGGATAGAAAAGGCCAAAAATACTGTGATGATATTTTCTGCAACTGTATGGAAGTTCGAACTCGATCATCCAAGGAATGTCATGATAAAACTTCGCCAGCGTTTTGCAAAGTAGTTCAAATTTTCGGACACACTTCCTATGAACAAGGAAAATAATTTTGTAACTGTTTGGTTTTTGGTTTGGTATAAATATTTATTTTCAAAATTTTAATGTGAACTTATGATTGCCACATCAGCAAAATTTTATAATTGAATTAAATATTATTCCATTTAAAAATCGCGTCAAAAATCAATGTCTCATATTATTCAGATTTTTGGCGAGATATGGTAATAAAATTTTCACCAAAAAATTTCACAAGGATTTTTTTCGGAATTCTTCTATGTTTCGTGATTTCGATAAATTCGGAGACAACAACACCGTCAAGTTAGTTAGAAAAATCACAATGAAATCGTATAATCGAGACTTCAAGTTATTCCAAATGCAAAATGGGAATGTGGAACGAATCGTATTACAAAATACTTTGCTAGTTCACAAATTATGCGATATTGTCCAGAACTTCGAGATCCAATCAATAGTTGCTGTTTAAATCACGACAAATGTTATGCGGATAGAAAAGGTCAAAAATATTGCGATGATATTTTTTGCAACTGCATGGAAGTTCGAAGCAGAACATCCACACACTGTCACGAAAAATCTTCAAAAACTTTTTGCTCCGCGGTTCGAATATATGGTCACCGGGCTTATGGTGGAGGAAAATAAATCGTTGTTTTAGTTTGAATAAATTATCTATTCATTTTAATCAATTATTTTAAATAATTATTTCAAAACCAAAAAATACCTTAAGCCAATTTACTCGCATCTTCATATGGAACCCTCACTTCTCTTCCTTTCGTCAATCCAGATGATATTTTCAAATTCAGACAGAAATTCTTCTCATCAATACTTTCCAGAATCGCTTGAGAGCCTCGATATGCACCATTTACAATGAGCATTTGACGACCGATTGATGGGATTACGGTTTCCACGTGGTTTTGGTCGAGTTTGACGACGGTGCCTGGAAAAGGAAATGGGGTTGTGACGTGGAAAATTGGAGGGGGGTTTTCATACGTTGCATGATAGAAGAGGTTGTCACTCACACCAGTTTTCAGAAGGGGTTTTCACTTGAGAAAAAAATTAAAGAAATTTTCTCAGCTTTGTTATTTACAAGTCAAGTTTCATGAATTTTGATCCGAAAATCGATAATTTCAAAATTTCAAAATTTTCCATTTTTTAAATTTTTGTTTTATTTATTATTGATAAAACTTTTGAAAAAAACATATTGAAAAAAATATTTTATATATATCAAAATTTTGAAACGTAATTTTTTGTTTTTGACAAATTAGAATGATTGAGTCAAATTTAGACTCAAAATTGCTGAAAAATGGAATTTGAGCTGAAAACTAGAAGAAATGTAACTATGAAATGGCAATTCGAAACTGAATGGTTTTCAGGGGAAAACTTCAAAAAACGTTTTTCTTTTTTACTAATTTTCTAAAAAGGTAGATGAATATCGGAATTTTTAGTTTCTGGAGATCACATTTATAGCTTTTTCCCGAAAATATGTAATTTTGAGCTTAAAGTTCATGAAAAATTTCGATTTTCAAGTTTTTATAGCTAAAAATGAAAAAGAGGAGGGCGGGGTATCCCTATGGCCGAAAATTTTCAATAATATGGGGTATGCACTAGCGGATTTCAAACGGGACTATACGACGTATGGGGGTTTTCCTAGGAACAATTTTTGCGCAAAAAATGCATGAAAATCTGAAATTCACATTGATTTCGCAATTTTTCTTGAAAATCTGAAAATTTACGTCGAGTAAATATTTTTCAAAATTCAAAAAGAAATTTTTAATCCCAGAAATTTTGAATTATTAGTTCTGAATTTCGAAGCTTGCATCATCTGAAGTTTAGCTTGGACCCGCCCACTCACCATCATCCAATTTAATCTGCGCCGTATAATCATCCACCAATTTCTTCACAACACCCTTCGCCTTATAATAATCACTTCCCAATGATTTGGTAACAATCTTCACAATAATTCCCTCATGCAACCAATAATCCTTCCGATTTTTCTTTTCTTTATGTCTCTCTTCCTGTTCACGAATCTCATCTAATGCTGATTTTTTACTTGATCCCGGGCCAGGACTTCTACTTCTCTTCCGTTTCTTTTCAATCACAGGTTTCTCTTCTTTTTTCACTTTTCCTTGATCAAAAACTGAAAACGTTGAAGAAGTCGATGGTCTATTCAATTCTTCCAAAGTTGGTTTTTTATTCAATTGCAAATCAATACTAATTTTCTCATCAGTTCTCAAAAGTTCAGTTGGCTCATGAACTTTTCCATCATCATTCTCAAGCCCCTTTATAACCATATTTTCCATAATTTGCATATGTCTCTCTTCATCATCCTTTTCCTGTTTTGCTTTTCGTTGTTCTTCTTCTTTTCGAATCACTGCTTCTTGATCAATATATTGAATATACCATCCTTTTTCTCCTTGATCGATTTTACATTTTCCAGAGGATCCTAAATATTGTACAAAACCAGTTAGCGAATGCCAAGTCGTCGAATTCATATGAACATGTCCCTTATCTTTGATATAAACATTATAAACCTCATTTGCCCGAACTCGTTTCGTTCCATAAGAAGTTCTCAACAATAACATGAAATTCTGCTCGAATTCTTTGCTAAATTGTCGAAGATATGAATTTGAATTTTCCGCAAAAAGTAAAAGTTGACGTTGATGAGTTTCGGATGTTAAATGACATTTGAATCCATTTGCATCACGACATTGTTTTTGACACATTTGACAAAACCTGAAAATTCTTGGTGTTAATTATAAATTCATTAGGAAGGAGTTGGAGTAAGTTCTTACCATTTGAGCTTTTGAAGACCTTTCGATTTAACACGATTTGCAACATCTTTCGGCGTCCCTTTCTCGTGTTTTCCCATTTTTTGCGATTTCGAAAACAAAAAATAAAAAAATAAATCAGCGGCTAAACAGTGCGCAAGCGGAGTGTCGTTGCAAACATTCTGATTTTTTTACGAACAGAAGTAAAAAATTCAAAAAAAAATGTTCGTAGAAAATAGAAAAATTTATATTTTTCAAATTTTGACGTATTTAACTCTCTAAAAAAACTACAACGAGAAATTAAGATTTTTATCACAAATGGTTCCGGGAATAAAATAAAAATACAAGTAATGAAAAATTTAAATTTATAAATTAAAGATAAGGCATAAATTCTCTGGCATTCCATTCGGATGGATCATACTCCGCCGCATAAACAGAAGTTATCGAAATCAACGGCTTCTTGTAGTCGATGTGGAAATGTTTGACAGGATTTCTGCGATTCTTCATCATGTATTGGATATGGGCTCCGCTAGAAATAACTTTATTTGGAGAAAAAATTAGGAGAAAAAGGGGCTCTGAATAGGAAGAAGTTTAGCTCATATTTTGAAAACTAGTCTAAAAATATTTGGAAAATTTACTGTTTCAAAAAAAAAAGATTTTCTTCATGTTTTCTCAAATGATGAAGACAATTTTAAAAATCGAGAAAATCCCACGTGGGATATTTTTTTCCGAATAATCGTATGTCACGTGGATTTTTATCGCCAATCATATTTAATTTTCCGTGCCAAAAATGTCCCAGAAAATTTACTGTTTCAAAAAATAATAATATTTTTTGTGTTTTCTCAAATTTGATGCATTCCAGATCGAGCCTTTTCCAAAAAAATTGAAAAAATATGAAAAACCAAAAACCTACACTCTTCTTTGTGCAAAATATGCCCATGGTGCCACAAAAACAGTTTCAAATCCCTCCGTCGCGACACGCGTTTTCTCAAATCGAAATTTGATCGAATAAACATTTGGATGAAGTTGATTGTTAACAAGACTCAGAAGGAATTGAATGAAATCGGTTCGTGTGCAATCGACATAACTGATTGTGATTCTTGTCGCTTGCATTTGAAGGATTTCATCGAGTTTGAGAACTGGCAAAACCAAGTTGTTCACAATTTTAGAGATTTGATCGAGGTTTGTGAATCCGCTTTTAATCACATCTATTTTTCTTTTGATGTCGATTATGCGAAGCTCTTCAAGATTTTCGAAGCGGAGAATGTTGGATTTGTTGAATTCGAAGTTAGACTGGAAATTTCAAAATTTCAAGAATCTTTAAATATTCAGAATCTTTAAATAAATTCCCTAATTAATCAGTAAGAAGGTCATAGCACCACTCAAAAACACAAAAAAATCTTACAACATGAATCACCAAAGTCGTCAGACTCTCATGAAAGTTTTCGGCAAAACTATCGAAATGATTGAATAAAATTGTTGGATTTCCAGATTTGATGACTTCCGAAGTTCCTCGTCCAGCTTCTCTCAATTTGAACAAAAATTGATTTGGACCAGTTTCAGAAATCTTGACGCTTTGAATAGAGCTCTTTCGCTGTTGAACTTCATCGAAAGAAATTGTGGAAATTGTAGAAAATTTGCATTTTGTCGCAAAATCCATTCGGTCAATCACCATTTGACGAATCTCGAATGGAATCAGATCGTAATATCCGGGTTCTTTTTTGATGGTTGCTTCAACATCGACTTCCAAAGTAGGAGGCACTTCCATTTTGATCTACAAAATTATTTGGAAAATGAAAAATTGTAGGAAAGTGAAGATAAAAATGAAAATGTTTCTAGAGGAAAATGTTCATCACGAGTTCACATAAAATAAAATGGGGCGGGGGGATAAGATTACGAAATAAATTTTTTTTTAAAAATAATGGGAAATGGATGATGACTCAAATGAATGTTTGATTTTTGCCCCAATTTATTTTCAGAACTTCCTCTAGAGGATTCTAGAGATCTTCAAGAAATAGTGTTCTTCTCCCAGGATCTCTCTAGAAGCCTAGATTCATTCAAAACAAAAAAGTCTGGGAAAACGTTTTTGAAATAAAAATTGATACACAACTTTATCAATCAATTTACAAGACACACACACAAAATAAATGAAAATAGCAATGTTTTTTTCTCAAAACATTTTTTTTCTGATTTATCCACAGAAAAAAATTGATACGAAATGATGACTCAACCATTTTAGAAATATTTGATTTATAGATTCCTTGAAAAAAAGTCGTCGAGATTTGGTTAATCTACAGTAATTCTGGACAAGTAGGAATTATTGATTGTGAGAGCTGGAACTACAGTAATCAGGTGATACCGTATTAGTTTTAGGAAACCCTTTTAACTATCAATTTTCATTGTTAAATTTCCTTGATAATTCAACTTTACAGTAACCAACATACAGTTCCTCTTCTGTTTTGATTCTCCACGTGTCAAAAAAAATTGATCTTCCGATTTCTTCGCCCTAATTTTTTCCCATTCCCAAATTAAAAACAAAAGAATCAAATTATCATAAATCAACAGATCTCCATAAAAAGACCCGCCACATCTTCAAAATTCAAAAAACAAAAAATGAATTTCAAATTCCTAGTCTTCTTTTCCATCTTCATTTTCCACGTGGCCAATGCGCAAGTGTCGAAATGTGATCTTTGTATCAAATCATTGGACAAAGGAAAATTCTCAATGAGAGCGTATTTGAGAAAAGTTGGACAGGATGAAGCTGAAGAAAGATATGAGGCTGGAAGAAAAATTTGGGAGGCATCTGAAAATGCAGATGAAAGGGAGACGTGTAAAGCTGCGCAAATGTGTCAATAGATTTGGTTTTGGGAGGGATGAATAAAAATTTTTAATAAATATTTTTTAACTGTGTCAGGCTTGCTTAAAAGTGGGCGGAGCCTCAATTTGCAATTTCTGAAAAACTTTGTGAATCACAATGATTTTTAAAACTTTATTCAGAACACACACAAAATATCATATAGTAGTCAAAAAAAGAAAAAGAAGAAGGAGAAGAGTTAATACATTGATTCCGAATTCATTCCAGTGAATTCGGTATGCGCGGCATCGCCATCCGCAGCGCAACGACGACTGCAAAAAAAAGAAACCCGAGTATTTTTTGACACGAAAAATAGATAAAGCGATGGAAAAAGAAAAAGAGAAGCGGGGGATAGAGAAGCAACTAAAAAATGAAGAAAAAAACACAAAAACAGGGTGAACATCAATTGGAATCGGTGGTTTGATAGTTTGGATAATAAACTAACGATGGAATCAAAGGCTCGGATGATTTGATGCATGGAAGAGCGCGGCGAAGTTGTTTTCGATTGAAATGGAACCATAACCATGGATTCATGCAACTGTTCAGGTTTCCGAAAAACATTATGTAGGTGGCGAAGGTTGGGTCTGCAAAATATTGCAAAATGATTTAGGAAACTTGAATTTGACCAGAATAATTGAGAACCCATTTTTTTTTGGTCAAACTTCAGAATTTTGATTTTTTTTGAAATTTAGGATAGGATAGGATTTTTATTTTGAAACAGAAAATAATTTTTTAAAATTGAAAATCAAATTCTGATTTCAGAAAATTATTGTGGAATCGCTTTCAAAAAAATTATGGAATCGCTTTCAGAAAATCTCAATTTTATTGATAAATTTTTTGAAACAGTGAATTTTTTCCCATTTAGCACGCTTCGATTATTTTACCTGATCTTGTAATTTTTTCATAATTTTCGTGAAACAATGGTTTTTTTATTTCTAAAAATGTTCAATTTATTAAATTTTTGTTTATTTCTGAAATATTTACCAGATCTAAACAGTAAAATGTTCTCAAACTCACTCAAATGTCCAGGCCAAAGTGCATCAAACACCGAGATGATACAAAAAGGCGCCCAGAGCAAGAAATTGGAGGCGACAATTGACAGCGTCAATTTGACAGTTTGAACTCGTCTTCGATCCAATTCGACACATTGCATTGTTGCTCCTTTGTGATGTGCTTGCATTCCGCCGTTGTTTACAGCCAATTTGAAATCGCCGACTTTGGTTTCCTTGCTGGAAAAAATATTTGAGCTTCAGAATTTTTTGAACAAAGTTTTTTATGTTTTTCAACTCACATCTGATTATTTCTTAGTGAGCTGGTGAATGATGTGCTTTTCCAGACTGCTTGACAAACACAAAAATACAAATATCCGGCGATTGCTGAGGGAAGAAGCCAGACAACACTGTTGAAGACGATCACGTAAAGAGCGTACTGAAAAAATTTGAGGATACTGTAGTTTTAGGGTTCACAGAATTCTGGAAACACCAGATTTTCTCTGATTTATTCAATGTCCTTACAGTACCTCCTGGAACCTTATAAAATTCATTTATCCTCAGGTTTTCAAAATGTCCCTTTAAACCTTGTCTACAGTACCCCCGTGGATCCTCAAAATTAATATAATAATTTGTCATCTCGAAAAATTTAGAGCTTCTTCTTCTTCCAAAAAAATAAAAATTGAAAACAATTTTTTTTGCAAAAAATGTGACATCATATTTTTTCAAGACTATTTTTGGCTGAAATTTTGAAAACATGCAATTCAATTTTTTATTTGATTCATCAATGTTATAAATTGCCACGTCATAGCGTAGTCTTTCAGAAGTTTTCTCCGAAACTAGGGCTCCCGAAAATTCGCAATTAGTGATGTCATGTTTTTTCTCCGCTCAAAAATTCTAACAACACCAATTCTTCAAAGTGCTAAAAATCGCCACGTCATAGCTCCCTTTCAAGAATTTCTACTCAATTTTTATAATCCCCTCTGCTTCCAGAAAAAAATCTTCCTCAAATAAAATTTTGCAGACACAAAAAAAAGGAAGTGCAAAACATTGTTGTTCGGATAAAGGGCGAGCGATTATTGTCATTATAAATAATAGAAATATAAAAATAAGTTATTTCGGAGGAGTGGACTAGATACTGTATTGATTTCTGATCGAGAGCAGAGAGCACTTAGAACTTGTTAGATTAAGCTAGAGCTCACAGGGGGTACTGTAAGATGAGCTTGTGCTCAGAGTGCTTTTTAGCAACTAGAAGTATCCCAAAAATTCTCACTTGATGTGAGTACTAAAATTCTAGATTCAGAGGATTCCCAACCTTGTGCTGGTTTCAGATCAAAATTTATCTGAACGTTCAAGCTCACCTGAAACTCATTAGTATAGTTCTCATGACAATCTCCGTGTGTTTTTTCGAAAACCCAAAATTGTGGAGTACTGCACAAAATCGACATTGTCCAGGCAAACGCGGAATACAAGGCTGGTCGATTGTAGGCGGATGATTTCATTGAGGCTAATGGTCGACAAATTGCTTGATATCTATCTGCACTGATTGCGACGAGAAGGAAAGAAGAGGCATACATTGGAATGACCTGGGAAAATATTTATGTTCTAGACAATTGTTGAATGGGGTTGGAGAAAAGGTGCTGAATTCTTTCGAAGCATGTTTGTAAACGATTTTTAAAAAATTTCCAAAAAATTCACTGTTTTAAAAATATATTAAAGAGTTAGGGAATTTTCAAAATTTGATATGAAAAAAAAAACTTAATGAGATTACTGTAACTAATTTTTTTTAATTCTTCAATGAAGAAAAATCTAAAAATTCTCTAGATTAGAATCCAGATAACGTTGACCTCAAAAATTCACTGTTTCAAAAATATAGCATAAACTCTGGAAGTGATTTCAAAATTTGATGTTGGTATGATTGTTGCTACTACCTCTGCAATGATTTTTTTTTTTTGAAAAATTCTGAAAAAAATTTATGAAATTACTGTAACGGAATTTGTGAATTATAGATAAGAATAAAAACTGTATCAAAACCGCAATATCTATACTCCATCCCCATCCCCAACAAACCTGCAAAAACTTGGTAAACTTGCACAACCAATTAGGACCATAAAAATTGGGAACCGTCAAAGTAATAGCCATCGTCGGCACCATTGTGATCAATGCAAAAAGGATATCCGCAGCGCACATGTGCAACATCAACATTTGAACTGGGGTCACACGTTTCCGACGCAGAACTTTGTTGTTTCGCAAAATCACATAAATCAGGAGAATATTTCCGAAAAGTGTGAGGAAGATTATCATGAGATTATGGAGAACCATGGTTCGAAGCGAGGGTTGATCCATTTGTAGCTGGAAAATGGATTGGAAGTGGGGAAAATTCAAGAAATAAAATGAAAATAAAATAGGGGAGCTGATATTATATACACTAATATTTTTGGTAACCCACACAATTATTTTTTGAACTTCGCACTTTCTCTAAACTCCACCCATTGGGACAAGAAAATTATTTTTAGAAAAAAAAACTCTAAGAACTTTGTTGTAGGTAGTTTGGGCGGAATTATCCACGTGGCATTTTTTATTTTAAAAATTTGGAACCAAAAATCCACGTGGATTTCTTAATGTTCATAAATTTTAACAAAATAAATATTTAGCTGAAATTATTTTTTCAAAAAAGCCACGTAGAAATTTTTTGAGCTGCAGAAATTCTTCAAAAAAAATTCTGCGAAGTTGGTTTCTAACTTTCAAAATAAAATTCGCGAATCAAAAATCCAAAAATCTATTTTCTCAAATTTCCCCGAAATGTTTGATCAATCAACAACACAAAAAACCCGCACGGCTTGTCAAATTCAGTTATTTACTTATATGTATTCATTTATCTGAAAAAGCAATCAAGAAGAAGAAGAAAACGAAACGAAAAATAACTAGAAAAATAAGTATCTGCGAATATATTTTTCTTCGAAGAACCCCCCAAATGTTTTTCCCATAGTTGCGATAAATTATTCCTGAATTTCGGAGAGGAGGAGAAAAGTGATTTTCGGTTTTAATATGGAAAATTCTTTGGCTTACCTGCGCATCGGTATCGTTGATTGATGACGTGTCCAACATCTGAAAAAATTGGGAAACTTTTATTGTTAGCAAAAAAATTAATTGTTTTCAGATGACTTGCTAAATGTACAGTAGCTATGAAACTTTTTTTTCAATTATTGAAGACAAAATGAAAATGAGCAAGAAAAGTTGTTAGATGAATGAGTTAGACCTTTAGTTTTTTCCGTTTTCTTGAAAGATGATGCAGAATGGACTTGAATACTAATTAAAAAATACTAGGAAAAACTTTGTTATTTTATTCAGCAAAGAGAAAAATTGGTCATGTGGAATCGAAGTTCAAAAAATTTTTTGAAAAGTTTCTTAAAATTCTCTTATCGTTTCCAGTATCAATTTACTTCAAAACCTGATTTTCAGACCTTGAAATTCAACAAAATTTCTATCAAAGTTTCAAATTGATTAGCTAAAAACTAATTAGGATTCAATGTATGTTCGAAGTAGAAAATGTTTTAAATTTCAGAGCAGAGCACAAAAAATATCAAATAGATTTTGTTTGTTTTTTGTTCAAGAGAGGCTAATTAGTAGACACACAAAAAACAAGCCCTCAAAAAACGAACAGGCAGGAGGCAATGCAGGAAAAAATGGATGGTAATTTTTCTTTCTCGATGAAGAAAAAATAACAAAAACATTGAAATTTGAGCGCAGACCCGCTTAAAAAGAATTAGGAGAAGTTTTCTTGAATTATAGATGGACAACTGGAAAATTGAGATGAGAAATGAAAAAACATGAAGAAAAAGATCTCGGAGAACACTTCTTTTTGGAAATCAAATAATATAATTTTAGGTTTTATTTTGCTTTGATTCTTGTTTTTCTTAGCGCCTTTTTTGCACAAGATATTTTGCAGGATAAAATTTTTTTTGAAATTTTCACAAAAAAAAATAAAATAAAATACCGTATTCCTTCAAAGACGCACACAATTTAGAACTCAGGTCTTGGGACGCACAAAACCGCGGATAATTTTTTTCAAAACAATTTTTCTAGTTTTCTAAGAATTCTCAAGGAAAAATAAGTGAGTTCAAATTGTTTATGCATGAGAGTTTTCTCACACAGACATGTCATATCGAAAGTAGTAATTTGAGAGAAGTCACGGATTAAAAAACTAGAAGCCAATTTGTTTTCGATATGAACAATTTCGTTTCGTTTCTTGAAATTTAAGCGAAAAATATATTTGGTGTTCAAATATGCAGAAAAGGGCAAAACACGGGAGGAAAACGAACAATTGGGGGCGAAAAAAGAAAGTGCGTAAGAATGAAATGACGAAGGATTCTTTTTTTATTCTTTTTCTTTCTGAAATTGAAATCTAGCTCATTACAAAAAACGAGATGAAATGAGACGAACAAATAGAGACAAAACAACCGAAATCTGATTATTTTTCAGTGTCATTGGTATATATTTTTATATTTTTCTGTTGTTAGTCCGCCCAAAATCCTTCATTATAATGGAAATGGAGCGAGGAGCGACATCGAGAATAAATTCGAAAAATGCGGCGACTTCCGTGTAGCGCGCGTACTCAGAATTTTTTTTGTACCGAAACAGAATTTTTTGAGCACATTGTTCGAGTACTGTCTATATTTTGTGCATGCCATGACGTTATCACCTGCACAAAATATAGACAGTACTCGAACAATGTGCTCAAAAATTCTGTCTCGGTACAAAAAAATTTCTGAGTAGCGCAGTGGTAGCGTGATTGATCTTCACGTGAAAGGTCAAGGATCGGTTTTGCACGCGGCCGCAATTTTTTTCTAATGTATTCCTAACTCACCTTCCGTATCCCGTCAGGCATCTGCACAAAGAACTCAACAGGCGGTAGATCAAATCGATTTCTAGCCAAGCGTCGAGAATCGAAGAACATCTGCAAAAAGAGGAAAAAATATAGGTTTCAACCAACCAAACTGGCAGAAATGAGAGGGCTATAATTATCAAAACTCCAAATATCACGCCCATGATTTCTTGCGATCACCGATTTTTGAATACACTCATGATAACATTTCCTGTTATTGTCGAAAGAGTGCGAGACAGTAACCCGTATTTTAATTTCCCCAAGGCAGTGCACTTTTTTTCGAGGTTATTTTGGTAAATATCATGGGCTTAGATAGATATTTTTGTATTTTTTGGGGGATACAAATTTAGAAAAATAGAGAGGAAAAGCCCTTTGGAAACCAAAAAGCATTTGTCAAACAAACAATCAACAATTTAAATTAAGTCGAAAAATAAGTGGGGGAGGGGTATGGAATTTGGCAACCCTGGCACACTTTTTTTTGCGAAAACTTATGGAATCAACAGGAAATAATAAGTAATAAGTTAGGTCCGGAAGTTTCTAAGGAGAAAAAAATCGAATAAATGTTATTCGAGAAAACTTATTCATCATAAACTATGAACAAAAGAAGCTGGATTAACATTCTAGATAATCCTAGAAACACGAAATGAATATTGTTCATCCCACATATTTTTAGTTCTTTGCAAACTTGAGAGTTATTTGATCTGATCTGGTCGCTATGAACATTTTTTTATTTCAAAAGCATTTCCAAAAAAAGAAAACTAAAATCTATTTTCAAATTCGAAAAGTGCGAAAAATATTTACTTTCAAAATGTTCCCAACTCATTTCATATATCTATTTTATTTTAGATATTATATATTTGGGTAGGGGCGAATAAAAAACAAAAACAAAAAGGCGAACACAGAAAAATTTCATTAATTTTTGAGATCCAAGCGTTTTTTGTTGAGTGCACAATACCCATCAAATGATTTTTTTATATCTTAAAAAATGGGGGAGAAATGAGCGAAGTGAATACCAATTTTTGCAGAAAATTTGAAAATACTATGAGCTGTGAACAACTGAATAACATATCAAAAATCCAGAATCGTGAGAAAATCCAGATTTTGCTAATCTAGAAAATTTCAGCATGTAGCGCAGCTGGGTGCACTTTTGCCTAACGCGCACAAGGTCAAGGGTTCGATCCTGCTCCACGGCTCTTTGAAAAAATAAATTTTTTGTCAAAAAAATCAGAAAAAAAGAGCGCGGACGGAATTATGAGTTTTTTTGATTCAAAGAAAAATATGGCGATTATGGAGATTTATTATTTTCTCAGGAGGTTGCTTTGATTTGTAAGAGATGAAAACAAAGCGGATTTTTGATTTTTCAGACTGGGAAAAATGAAAATTTTCGAAAATAAATGCTAATGACAAAACGAAAACAATTCGAAAAAGTGTGTACTTTGTAATAATTCAATTTCCCGTCTTTTCCTATTTTCAGCCCAAAAAAACTCGAAAAAAGACTGGAAAAAAGTGTTTTCTCACCTCTGCCGAATCTAATTATCACTTGTTTTCCCAGAAAATAAAACACAAAATTTATTTATGCGCAATTTCTCCTAGCTATGAGGATGAGGATGATGAGATTTAATTTTTGGAATGAAATGTTTTGCAGTTGACAAGAGTCGCTGTTGATTCAAATTATTCAACGCGCGCTTCAATTTCGGTGACATTGTGACTTTGTGAGTTATTTGAAATGTGATTTGCAGTGTGACAATTTCAATAAGTGATCCATCTCGTAATTGACAAGACATTTGTGGAGCAATTGGTTTTGAGTCAACGCAAAATGCGCGATTTCCAACGTTTCTTATGAAAAATGTTCCATTATCGAATTCGATATAAGCTTGTTTTCGCGATATTTTTGCAGCTGGACCTTCAATCGATAAATCGACATCGACTTTGTTATCATGCGTGGCTCTTCCAAGTAAGATTACATCTCGGATCATTGAATATCGTATTAATTTGCCTTTGAGAACAGCAATCACATTGTTTCCTAATCTTTCATCTTCGGATGTGGACATTTGATGATTTATTGTGGATAATTGAGAAAGAACGTGGCTTCGTGTATTCACAGCTCTGAAAATTGCATTTTTAGAAAAAGTATTAAAATGAGTTTGAAAATCGTTTCCCAATTTATCAAATTTAATCAATTTTGATTGCTCATATTAATAAAAATTATTCTCCAATGTTTTGCTTTTCTTTACCCTCCAACTCACTTTAATGGTCGCAAATAATCGAAAACAAATTCTGTACTGACTGCTAGCGAAGTTTCAATTCTCTCCCAATCTGTAGATCTCGAAGGTTCTGGCCTGCAAATTTCTCCATTCAATTTTTCCCCGAAAAAATCTCGAAAACATACGCTGTGAGTCGTTTATAATGGTCCGATAGAGTTTGAGGTGTTCGAGCCTCATAAAACTTATCACGATTACTGTACAAAATCCGCGAGAAAGTTTCAATGGTCAATTGGTAGTTGCGACTCGGTGATCCGGTAATGTTTCTGACAGTTGACAGCAAGAAGTTTTCTTCGGATTGTGTGAATGGTGTGCGAGTCTGAAAAAAAACGAAGTAATAAATATTCTCGGGAAACAAAAACACTTACCTGAATAGCAAACATTTGTTCAGGTGTCATTGCACTCATTCGTTTTCTAGACGCCTCGGAAATCTTCTCATCGTAGTATAATTTACACCATCGATCTTCAATCTCATTAACATCATAATCTTGTGAGAAATGTACACCTTGATAAATTGCGCGGAAGTTATTGATGTGTTGCATTGCTGTTATCAAAGCATAATCATCAGAAGCTGTCCAGGATTTTACAAGTTCATCACAAGAGTCTTGCTTTTCAAGTGAAACTTGTTTCGACTTCTCATCTGATGGATCTTCTGTGGATGCTTGCTTCAAAAACGATTTTCTTGATTTCTTTTTATCGGATTCTGCTGGTTTTTCTGATTCTTCCAAATTTCTTTTCTTTGATTTATCCATTGACTGATCTTCACTCTCATCTTGTTTAGAGGTTCCAGGTTGCGCTTCGGTTTCAATCTCTTTTGGAATTATCGCCTCATCGCTTGTTTCTGTGGGACTAATGCGTTCAACATCAATGGTTTCTTCCATTTATTTCTCTGAAAAAATCTATATTTTATTCAAAACCTCTGAGAACAAGAAATAATCGATTCTTCAATTTTTCCACAAAAAATTCCCATTTTCTTAACAGCCGTTCGATAATTTATCACGACGAAACAAAAAAACCGAAAAAAAAAGAAAAAAATTCGAAATTTTTTATGCCTTCAAACGCACATGTGCGCCCCATTGCGAATTTTTGGCAGAGATCCAGTGTGTTGAAGACTACCGTACCCCGGGCAGCCTGCATTCCATCAACCGCCCATCAACGAGAGCCGCCTTTCACAGCGCCACCTTTACTTTTGCTTTTGGAAACTTTTTTTTCCAGGCAGACCCGTCCACCATGTTGTCGAAGCGTCTTCTTTCAGCCCTTGGAAACACCGTCAAGGTAATTTTCAGCGTTTTAGACCCCTAGACCTCGAGAAAACTCGAAATTTAGGCTTTAAAAGATGTTTTTTGAATTTTTCCATTTTTTGGAATTTCTTCAAACAATGTGGTCTATTTTTGATTTTTTGTAAGAAGTTAGCTTAACTTCTGGTCCTGTTTTATCCTCCTGACTCTATGAAATGATTATATGATTTGTTTTATTGGATTTCGCCCAAATTTTCACTGTTATATCCCCAATAAATTTTGCAGTTATTTTTTCATAGAAAATATTTTATAGGTTCAAAATGCCGGAGTCGCCACCTCCGCCCGCGGAATGGCCGCTTCAGGATCCGAAGTCTCCAAAATCTTGGAAGAAAGAATTCTCGGAACTGAAACCAGCATCAACCTCGAAGAAACCGGAAAGGTAATTTTTTCAAACTAATTCGTTTTCAAACATTGGATTTGTAGGTCCTCTCCATCGGAGACGGTATCGCTCGTGTTTACGGATTGAAGAACATCCAAGCCGAAGAAATGGTTGAATTCGACTCTGGAATCAAGGTAAACAAATAATTTCGAAAAATCATGTTTATTTCAATGTTTTGTAGGGAATGGCCATGAACTTGGATGTTGACAATGTCGGAGTTGTCGTTTTCGGTAACGATAAAGTCATCAGAGAAGGAGATATCGTCAAGCGTACCGGAGCTATCGTCGACGTTCCAGTCGGAGATGGACTTCTCGGACGTGTCGTTGATGCTCTCGGAAACCCAATTGACGGAAAAGGACCAATCGCCTCCGCCAAGAGATCCCGTGTCGAAGTCAAAGCCCCAGGAATTATCCCACGTTTGTCTGTCCGCGAACCTATGCTTACTGGAGTTAAGGCCGTCGACTCACTTGTACCAATTGGACGTGGTCAACGTGAATTGATCATTGGAGATCGTCAAACCGGGTTAGTAAAATGCCAAAAAAGTTTCAGAATAATTATTAAATTTTTTCAGAAAGACCGCTATCGCCATTGATACCATCATCAACCAAAAACGTTTCAACGATGCTGGAGATGACAAGAAGAAATTGTTCTGTATCTACGTCGCCGTCGGACAAAAGAGATCTACCGTCGCCCAAATCGTCAAGCGTCTTGCTGATGCCGGAGCCATGGACTACACCATCGTTGTCTCAGCTACCGCTTCTGACGCCGCCCCACTTCAATTCTTGGCTCCATACTCTGGATGCGCTATGGGAGAATTCTTCCGTGACAACGGAAAACACGCTCTCATCATCTTCGACGATCTCTCCAAACAAGCCGTCGCTTACCGTCAAATGTCACTTCTTCTCCGTCGTCCACCAGGTCGTGAAGCTTACCCAGGAGATGTCTTCTACCTTCACTCCCGTCTTCTCGAACGTGCCGCCAAGATGAACAACACCCTCGGAGGAGGATCGCTCACCGCTCTCCCAGTCATTGAGACCCAAGCCGGAGATGTGTCCGCTTACATTCCAACCAACGTCATTTCCATCACTGACGGACAAATTTTCCTTGAGACCGAATTGTTCTACAAGGGAGTCCGACCAGCCATCAACGTCGGTTTGTCTGTATCCCGTGTAGGATCAGCTGCCCAAACCAAGGCCATGAAACAAGTCGCCGGATCGATGAAACTCGAATTGGCCCAATATCGTGAGGTATGTGATAAATATGATTTCTAAGATTCCTATGGTAAAACGTTGATTTTCTAGGTCGCTGCTTTCGCTCAATTCGGATCAGATCTTGATGCTGCCACTCAACAACTTTTGAACAGAGGAGTCCGTCTTACCGAACTCTTGAAACAAGGACAATACGTTCCAATGGGAATTGAAGAACAAGTAAGGATTTATTAATTCTTGGAATTTGACTAGTTATATTTTTGTAGGTTGGAGTCATCTACGCTGGAGTCAAGGGACATCTCGACAAAATTGACCCATCATCAATCACCAAATTCGAAAGAGAATTCTTGGCCCATCTCCGCTCATCACAAACCGCCCTCCTCAAGACCATCCGTGACGAAGGACAAATCTCCCCACAAACCGATGCCCAGCTCAAGGAAGTCGTCACCAACTTCTTGGCTACCTTCAAGCCATAGATTCAAATTTTACTTTAATTTTGTGTAGAATTGTTGTTTTTATGTGTTTTATTTTTTTATTGACTGAGCACCACCTTTTTAGTTTCGAAATAAAGAATAATTAAATTTGAATTTTTTATAATGTTATGTAAGGTGTTTGATTTTTTCTGATGTACGAGCGAGAATAAACATCATCCCGTCTGAATTGTTCTTTTGATCATCATATTTCTTTTATTTAGGTAGCCCGAAGCCAATGTAATTATCCTTTTTTCCCTCTAAACATAAACATTTCAATTCTTCTTTGATTTGTGTAGAATCGAATCCAATGCAAAAAAGGAACGCGCGGCGCAGAAAACTAAACCTTTGGCCTCCAATGCATAAATTGTCGTCAAATTAAATGCAAACTGTGTATACACCAATTCACAACACTGCACTCTTCTCTTTTTCTTACTCACCTCCCGCTTATCAATTTTTATGTGTTTGTATTATAGTTTTTTTTATTAAAGGTTTCAGATGTCAGCACAAGAACAACAAGAGCAAGAATTGGAAGCGCTCGAAGCAATTTATTCAGAAGGCGAACTTGAAATTCTAAATCGAGAATATCCGGAAATCAGTCTGCAAATCACACTGAAATCAAATCAGGTATGTTTTTTAGCTGTAATTTATTTATTTATTAAAATGAAATTAAGAAATCGTTTTACAGTTTGGTGAACCTGAAGATGACGATTTTACAGTTGAATTGGGTATAAAATTCACTGAAAATTATCCGGATGAGATTCCTGAAATAACAATTGATGGAATTGATGAGGAATTCGAGGAGATTCGCATTTTTGAAGCGATTGAAAAAATGAAAGCGGTTGCTGAAGAGAATTTGGGTATGGTTATGGTATTTGCGATAGTTTCAGCAATGCAAGAAGAAATTGGCGAATTATTAAATGTGAAAAAGGCTGAGAAAGATAAAGTGCTGGAAATTGAAAAAGAGGCAAAAGAGGCGGAAAGTCGCAAAAAGTTTGAGGGAACTGTTGTGACGCCGGATAGTTTCCGCGCTTGGAAGGAGAAATTCGATGCGGAGCGAAAGGCGGCAAATGAGAGTGCGGAAAAGGAGCGATTGGCTGCGTTGGCTGGAAGATTGACGGGAAGACAATTGTTCTTGAAGGATGCCACGTTGAATTTGTCGGATATGACATTGATTGGAGCACAGGATGAGGTGGAAATTGATGAGTCACTTTTTGATAATGAGGTGAGGTTTTGGTTCTAATTTTCATCAGAATTTTCGATTTTCGCTAAATTTATCAAAGTTTGTTAGAATTTTATGAAAATTCTCAGAATTTCTCTTGAAGTTTGAGAAATTTAGCTGTAATTCATATTCTGGATGTTTTTTCAGGGGAAAATTAGTTTTGATTGAGGATAATCCAGATTACAGCTAGAAGCTCAGATTTTGACTGAAATTCAGATTCTAAGTTCAAAAATCAACGATTCTAGACGTCAAAGTCGAAGTTTCGGCCGAAATTCGAGTTTCAACAAAAAATTGATTGAAATTCAGAATCCAGACTTTTAAATTAGAATTTCAATATGAAAAAACCAATTTCACAGCTGGATTTCCAACCAAAAAATTTCAGATAACTTTTTTGAATGTGTTCTAAGCTCTCCTCAAAGTGTATCTTTTTACTTCTTCAAAAAAAAATTCCACATCTGTCTGCCCATTTAAAAAAAATCGATTTTCTCAGTGACTACATTTATCCAAAGTTTTCGCTCACTTCCTCTATCTAATTTATTATTAATTTCTCAATTTTTCTCAGGAATTCGAAGGATTGGACATCGAATCGGACGAAGAAGAAGAAGAAGATTAGACACATTTTCCATGTTTTTTCCAGTCATATTTATATTCATTTTCATGTTTATTGCCATTGTTATTGTTATTAATATTAACTTTATTGATTTTTTATTTTTTCAAATTTTCTACGGGTTTTTGAGCCCTGAAATATCTCTACTCCTCTCTATTATCGATTTTTCCAGCCTTAATTAAAATCTTATTTTACAGAAGACACAATACACAAGAAGGAAGAGAATTCTAGAAAAATCATCGAGAAAACAAAAAAATCTGAAAGAGATGTCGTATAACGGGTATACGGTAGCACCTCTTCCAGCTGTGCTGCAAATCAAATCGAAATTCGACTCGGAATGGCGACGATTCTCGATACCGCTTAATAATGGACAAGTCTCATATGAGAGTTTTAGAAGGTTTGACAATTTTTTTGGATGCGGTTTTGAATATAAAAATAAGAAAAGTTTTCAGCCTTGTCGAAAAATTGCACCATCTACAAAGTGTTCAATTCACATTGTGCTATAATGCGATATCTGGTGATTTGTTGCCGATAACTAATGATGATGTAAGTGGCCTAGAAAACCTCCTTTTCGCGAGAATTTTGCTCTAAGATCGCTGCGAGACCCAGCATGCGCCTTTAGCTAGAACTCACTTATTAATTGAGCTAAAAATAATTTTGTAAAATCTCTGAAAATATGAGCAGCTAGGAAAATAGTAATATCAAGAAATGACCAGAAATATAATTTTTTTTTTAAATAGAAAATTGACACTTTCAGTTCACGTGTTCCTAATATTTCATTAAAATGAAATTAATTTCCAGAATCTTCGAAAAGCGTTCGAATCAGCTCGGCCAATTCTGCGACTTTTGATCCAAAGACGCGGCGAATCATGGGAAGAAAAATATGGCTACGGAACAGACAGCGACAAAAAATGGAAAGGAATCTCCTCGCTAATAACCACACAAAAACCACCAAAACGTAGCTATTCAATCTCGAATCCCGAAGATTTTCGACAAGTTTCCGCAATTATTGATGTAGATATTGTGCCGGAAGCACATCGAAGAGTTCGATTATGTAAACATGGACAAGAAAGACCACTGGGTTTCTATATACGAGATGGAACATCGGTTCGAGTCACTGAAAAGGGTGTTGTGAAAGTGTCGGGAATATTTATATCACGATTGGTTGATGGTGGATTAGCTGAATCGACTGGATTGTTAGGAGTGAATGATGAAGTTTTGGAGGTGAATGGAATTGAGGTTTTGGGAAAGACGTTGGATCAGGTGACTGATATGATGGTCGCAAATGCGCATAATTTGATTATCACTGGTGAGTGCAAGTTTTGAGGGAGGGGGATATCATAATTTATTTTTAAAATTTAAAATCGCTTCGGGAAAATTTCGAGCTTCAAATTTTAAGATTTGCTGAAACTCACAACTCGTGAAATTTCCACCAAAATGTTATTTTAAAAAAAACTTGTCAAGAATTTTTTGTTCAAAAATTTGTTTTCTGCAATTTTCGAGATATTTTCTAGACAAACTGCTTCTAAAAATTTATCGGACTAGAACTTGAATTTTGACAATAAAATTGAATTTCGGACAAATTTCGAGCTTCAAATTTTAAGATTCGATAAAATTCACAACTCGTCTTTTCCTCTAAATCCCATTTCATTTTCAGTAAAACCAGCAAATCAACGAAATACACTTTCTCGCGGACCATCACAAATCGGAAATTACAACAATAATATGTCAAGTTCAAACAATGATTCATCAATACATCGACCAATGAATTCGACATCAAATGGAAGTTATGACGGCAGTTATCATCCAAGACAAAATGATGAATCTGAACATTCCGAATAATCTCCCATTCATCGACGACAAAAATCTAGAGACCAAACTGTATCTTTCTTCCTCTTTCTATCTTCTTACATATCTTGCTCATGTTAACCCCCTGTTTTTTTCTGCTTTTTCACGTTTCCTTGTACCAAAAACAACTGTGCCTTCTTTTTTTCCTGAAGAAAATTACGATTTAAAGTATTACTTTTTGAAACCAATCTTTTTGCTCACCCCGACATATATATTTTTATTTATTTCTATTTTTCGCTACCTTTTTCGTTTTGGCTGTGATCACTTTTGACACATTTTTTGGCAAACCAACACACTTATTAAAATGTGTATAAATACAACAATAAATTATTTGAAGCTTAGAATTAGTCATGTTTTGAAAATAATTGTTCTTTCAAAATCCCGAAAATTGTACGTTTCAAAAAATTCATATCAATTTTTAGAATTCAAGAAAAATGATGATTCTAATATTCTGTACTCGGGAAAAAAGTAGCAAGTCTGGCGACAAAAAATAGACCTTTAGCCAGCTTGCGACCATTTTTAGCAAGCTTGCTACATTTTTTCCCATTATAAAAATTGTAGCAAGCTTGCTAAAATGGTCGCAAGCTGGCTAAAAGTCTATTTTTTGTCGCCAGACTTGCTACTTTTTCTCCGAGTACATTTAGTTTATCTATCTAATAGTATAAAGATCAGACTTGTTGACCGAATAGTCTAGTCTAAATTGACCTTGATTTCATTTCATATATTTAAAACAAAACACATTTTTTTCAAGAAAAGAAAAAAATGAGACTTTTCATATGCTTCCTACTAATTTTGAAAATCTCCGTTTCCAAAACTTCAAATATTCGAGTTACAACAACTATAAAATGCGCGAATTCAACAAATTTCGATTTTCAATTAATTATGTGGGAGATTGATGAATATCCAAGAGAAGATGATCAAATTTCAAAAGCCAGTGGACAAGCGACTGGAAATATCAGTGTGATTTCAGAGGGAATTTTGAAAAATGATAATTTTTCGGATCAGGTTTGCTTTTGGGAATAAACTACAGTAGTATTTCTGGGGCTGTTTGAAGAAAATTAACTACTGTGTTTAGAAATCGTAATTTTTAGAAAAATTATTGGATTTGGTCATAGATTGTTCATAATTGCACAAGTTCCGGAGAAAAAATCTGCACCCAAGTGGACTTGGGAAAAGTGAATCCAGTTGTTAGAGATGTCAATTTTGAATATGATATTGATTTGGACGGAAATCAAGATGTTTGTAATGATAATCATCGATTCTCTTCGAATTTTTGAAATTTTTTTGAAATAAATCTTTTTTTTTGTCAAAAAAAAGTCTTCTAAAAAATCTAGAACATTTGGAATCGATGTTTCTCTGACTTGATTCTTTGATTTTTTTTAAATCGGATCAAAATGATATATTATAAATCGTTATACATAAAATAAAACATTTTTTTAATGAAAAATGAGGTTTTTATTTATATTCCTCAGTATTTTACAATTTGTATTTTCAAACACAAATATTCGTGCTCAAACTACTCTAAAATGCTTTGATTCAAATAATAACCCAAAAAGTTTTGAATTTCGATTGAGGTTGTGGGAAATTGATTACTATCCAAAAGATGATGATGTGGTTGTGAGAACTTTTGGACAAGCGAATGGAAATATTACGGTGGTTTCGAAAGGAACTCCGAAAATTGATCATGATGATGATAAGGTAAGCCTGAGAAAATACATTTTTGAATTTAATTTTTTTCTAGAAAAGATTCTGGATTTGGTCATGGATCCATCATAATTGCACTCCATCCGGAATAACTACTTGCACACATGTGGATTTGGGAGAAGTTAATTCAAAAATCACAGGAGTTAATTATGTTTACACTGTCAATCTTCATGATAGAAATAGTGATATTTGTGATGATAATTATAGGTATCAATAAGTTTCCAAAGAGAAGAATAAATGTTCACCAAAAATTCTTTATCTGAAGTTTTGATTTTTTGAATCGGATTAAAAGAATATACTTTGAAAAAAAACCATTTTTCAAACATTTTGCTTTTGAAAAATGAGGTTTTTATTTATATTCCTCAGCATTTCACAATTCGTATTCGCTAGTAACACAAATATTCGAGCTCAAACTACTCTGAATTGTTTCGATTCACAAAATAATCCAAAGAATTTTGAATTCCAATTAGAACTATGGGAGATTGATGATCCAGAATATGATGATCCTGCTGGGAGCGCATTCGGACATGCTTATGTAAATATTACGGTAGTTTCAAAAGGAACTCCGCTAATTGATTATTTAGATGATGAGGGGAGCCGGAAAAAATATTTTTTTCAAATTTAAATTTTCCAGAAAAAATTCTGGATTTGGTCAAGGATACAACATAATTGCACAAAATCTGGAAACACAATTTGCTCACAAGTGGATTTAGGAAAAGTGAATCCTAAAATAACTGGAGTTAATTATGTTTATACTGTTAATCTTCATAATGAAGTTAAGGATACTTGTAATGATGATTATCGATGGCAATAAGTTGTTATATTTCGTTTGGAAATGAAGTTTCCAAGTTGAATAGATTAATTTTTTGAACTTTTTTTTGAAAGAGATTTGCAGATTACCTATATTTAGTTCGCTTTTTTTCAACGCGAACAACAAAAATGAAATATTTATTTATTTTCCTCGCCATTTTGAATTCTGTATTTTCAAACACAAATATTCGCTCTCAAACAACTCTGAAATGTTTGGATTCTGAAAATAATTCAAGAAGTTTTTGGTTCGATGTAGCACTATTGGAAATGGATGACTATCCAATATTTGATGATGTTGTTTCAAGAACATATGGAGAGACGAATGGAAATATTACGGTAGTTTTGAAAGGAACTCCGAAAATTGATGATATTTATGATAAGGTAAGCCTGAGAAAATACTTTTCTGAATTTTATTTTTTTTTCTAGAAAAGCTTTTGGATTTGGTCATGGATAAATCATAATTGCACAAGGTCAGGAAGCACACTTCACACATGCGTGGATTTAGGAAAAGTGAATCCGAAAATAGTTGGAGTGAACTATGTTCATACTGTAAATCTTCATGATGAAACTAGGAATACTTGTACTGATAATTATCGAAATCAAAATCAATAATTTATGTTATTTGAAAAATTCATAAAATTTTTTTTTACAATTTCTAACCTTGGGCGTGGTATTCATTGATTTTTTTGAACGGTTTTCAAAAAAGATTAAAAGTATAATTCGAATGGTTTCAAACAGATCGAAACAACAAAAAATGAAATTATGTTTCATTTTTCTGACCATTTTTTCGAATCTCGTATTTTCTACTAACACAAATATTCGAGCTCAAACTACCCTCAAATGTTTTGATTCAAATAATAACCCAAGAAGTTTTGAATTTGAAGTAAATCTGTGGGAAATTGATCAAAAATCAGAGCAAGATAAAATATTTGCTGAGACATCGGGAGAATCTTATGGAAATATAACAGTGGTTTCAAAGGGAACTCCAAAAATTGATCATCCAACTGATGAGGTATGATTTTTCAATTTATAGTTTAGTAAAGAGCGTTTAAAAACAGCTTCTTTCGAATTGCCTCTTTTCTCAAAAATTTTTAAATTCTAGAAAAGATTTTGGATTTGGTCATGGATACAACATAATTGTACAACATCTGGAAATAGAATTTGCGCACATGTGGATTTGGGAGAAGTGAATTCAAAAATAACTGGAGTTAATTATGTCTATACTGTCAATCTTCATAATCAAAATTTAGATAGATGTAATACCAATCATAGAAAACTTGAATAAAAAATTTTATACGGGATCTATTGGAAATTTGATGATAATTGCAGAAATTTATGATTTTATTTGAATATGATAAAAAATCTTAAAATTCAGGTAGCTTCTTTTTGAAACAGTAAAAATTTTTGAGATAAATTTCTGTTGAAATCTAAAGATTTTCATAATAATTATTATATTAATTTCTTGAAAATGATATTTATTTCGAATAATTTTTGAAACGTAAAAAATTGGAGATCAATTTCTGTAAGTATAATTTTTTTTTAAAAAAAGGAACCGTAATTTTTTTGTGTGCTCATCTGTGCTCATTTAGATTCTCTGCCAACAAAAATCACCTGATTATATGGTAGATTTTTGGTTTATTTCAAATGATCCAGTGCATATTATACCATCACAGGAATACTGTTAAGAAATGGGGAATGTTTTTGAATAATTTTTGAAACGTAAAAAAAATTGGTTTAAAAATATTGAGATTAATTACTGTACCTTTAAGTATAATTTTTTTCGAAAAAGTACCGTAATTCTTCGCTTCAAGATATCAGTTACTAAAACCTAGTGTTCCTTCAAATTCCTGTCATCAAATCGTCAAAAATTTATCTGCTCGCGAAACAACAACTTTAAACTTTTCTTCTTCTCGCTGCTCATTTTATTCCTTTTCTTTCTTTCTTTTATTTTTATTTTCTTTCTTCTCATCAAAATTTGTCTCGACTTTTTTCTTTTTTCAATGTATGTGGGGTGGTCCTTTTTTCTTCAGCTTCAGCTTCTTCTCTAAATAAATCGTAAAAAAAAAGGCGCGGGCCAACCAAAAAAAAAGAAATCGATGTGTTGGTGTTAGGGCGACTTCTTTATTTTATTCTATTTTTTGGTGGTGTCTGTGTGTGTATAAAAAAAGAGCGAGGAAAAACGAGATAGCCACACTTTTCCTTTTTTTTCAGGGCTTTTGTTTTGTTTTTCGAGAGAAGTGAATATTCTGAGTGGGTTATTTTGAATATGTATGTACTTTTTTAATTTCAAATTTCATTTTTTGGAATCTCAGAAGGGCGTGAGATTTTTTTCTGAACATTTGGATAGTTCAGAATCTTGATATACTTTTATTGGAACTCTGGAAGTCCACGTGGCATTTGTTTCAGAGTTTTTAAATTTTTTTTTCAAAACCTGAATTTTCAGATATCTAGAAATTCAAGCTTTTTTTTTTTTTGAACTTCAAAAAGCTTGAATTTTATTTCCACGTGGCAAAATCTTCAGAACTTTGTCATATAATTTTTGTTCTTCTTGAAACCCACGTGGTGCATTTTATTCACAACTTTTTTTTGAAATTTCAACAAAACGCGTGTTTTTTGGGACCTTTGAACATTAGTATTCCTTAAAAAAATTATACGGTTCCAGAAACCCACGTGGCATTTTTATTTTGGAATTTCAGAATTTAATGCGAGAAATTTTTTTGGCATAGTTTCAACAAAAATTGAAATGTTTTTCTGAAATCCACGTGGCAATTTTTGCTATAAATATAAAATTCATTTATTTTCAAAACTCAATTCAGTTTTGCAAAATCCACGTGAATTTTTTTTTGAATTTCAAATTTTTTTGCCCAAAAAAATATTTCACAACCCTCTATGACTCATTTTCATTTCCGGTTAAATAACCTAATCAGCAAATTTTTTTTGAAACAAAAAAAATAACAAATCAATGTTTTGGTGTCCGTGCCAGCATCTTCTTTTTTTCCAAGTAAACAACAGCATTTGTGCTTGTGTCCAGAGGTGTCAAAAAATTATTGAACACTTTTTTTCAACTCAACTAAAAAAAATATACTTGCCACAAAAAATAGAGCGAGAAACAAAGAGATGAAAAAGAAAACGAAACCGCGCAGAGTAAATCCATAAAGCGAGAGAGTATGAGGGATTGAGAGTGTGCAGATGGGTAGACAAAGAGAGTGTTCTTTTCTTGTGGTGCGATTCTCTGTGTGTTCTTTTTATTTTTTGCGTTTTCCATACATTTTATATTTATATACATATACATTTTTGTTGAGAAATGAACTTGAAACATTTTTTTCTTGGAAAAAAGCCACGTGGCACTTTTTCCAGAGTTTTGAAAAGGTTTTCAGAATTCGATGTATTTTTGTTTGAAAGTTTCAAAAAATTTCTGAAGCAGTTATCCACGTGGCATATTTTTCAGAATTTTTTTTTGGAGATTCTAAAGTCCACCAGGAATCTTAGATTTTAAATTGTTTTCCGTATAAAATTTTAGGCCTCAAAATCCACGTGGAATTTCTTTCCAGAAATTTGGAAGTTTGAACTGGAATTGAATTTCAAATTGAATTTTGAATTATCTAGATCTGAAATTTTAGACGTTAAGAATCCACGTGGATTTTTTTCTGGATCAAAATTTTTAAATCTGAAATTCCACGTGGATTATCTTTTTTTCAGAAGTTTGAAATTTTTTAAAGTAGATGTTTTGCCCAGAAATTTTCAATTTCAAAAACTTATCTATGATTCAATTTTTGCTTCATATTCTTTCCTTCTTTGCCACGTCATAACTCTTTCTCATTTCTCATATTTTTCCAGATTTTTTCTAATAATGAACAACGGTAAATTGGATCTAGTGGTAGAAGATGAAGAATATATTGCTGAGTCCGGTGATCAAACACCCGAAAAAAATGGAAACGGAAATGGAAATGGAAAATGTGTTTTTGATTTCGAAAAAGCTGAAAAAGCACTGCCCTCAACAACAATTCAAAATGAGCCACGTGTACCGGATATGCAGTTAGGAAGTTAGTTTTGAGAGCCTTGAAGTTTTGAAATGTTTTTTTTGAAAATTTATAAGCTCAAACTTTCACCCAAAAATCCCCATATTTTTTTGTGTTTCAGAATGTCGATATGTTCGATTACACGACAATGTGAATTACGTGGCTGCAAGTCTAATATTACGTGGAGAAGGTGCGGCGACAGAAGTTTTGCTAATTCAAGAGGCCAAAAAAAGTTGTCGCGGGAAATGGTATATGCCAGCTGGAAGAGTTGAAGCTGGTGAAACTGTTGAGGTGAGAAGAAGGGTGGAATATTTTTTGAAGAGGAATATTTGAAACAGTGAACTTTTTGTTGAGAAAATTCGTGAGAATTTAGTTTCAAAAAATATTGAAACAGTGAAATTCTGCTTTGTGAAAACGCAATTAAACAGTCAATTTTCCTGTAGATGTAGGGCGTGCACTATTTAATGTTTGTGATAACTAAATTTAGGGAATTTCGAAACAGTGAAATTTTTCAGAAAAATTAAAACATTTTGAAACCGGGATTGTTTTATGTTAAATGAAAAATTAATTACAGTAGTATAAAAATTCTGCAATGATTTTTTTTCAACTAAATTTTCTAAAAGAAACACAAGCTGCGACACTATGTCAAATTTGGTAAAACTTTGAAACAGTGAAAAATTTCCGAAAAAAATTATATTAAAATTAGAACGAAATTTACTCGATAAAATTTTGTAATCGTGACTATTTAATATTAATGCAGAACTATCAAAATTATAAAAGACTTCAATTTCACATAACTTTGAAACAGTGAATATTTTATTTAAAAAAATGATGTAATTTTATTTTTTTTTATCAGATACATTTTTTGTTTAATCAACATTGAATTTTGAATTTTCATTGAGAAAAAAAAGGGTTGAACATTTTTTGGACTACATTTCGAAAATTTATAGTTTTTGAAACAGTAGATTTTTGAAAGAAAAAAAAATCAACAAAATTCTTCATGAAACTGTGAAGTTTTTTTTTTGGTGAAACAGTCAATTTCAGAACTTTCACTGTTTCAATTTAATAAGAATTTTTTAGGACGTAGAAAATTTTACACCTTTTCATTCATTAATTTATTTTTCAAAAATTGTTCTCAAAATTCACAAAAAAAATCCCAGTTTAATCTAATTTTATTCCAGGAGGCAGTAATTCGTGAAGTTTTGGAAGAAACCGGTTTCAATTGCGAAGTTGTCGAACTTCTTTCTCTCCAAGTTCAAGGTTCTGGTTGGTACCGTTTCGCATTTTATTGTAACATAACTGGCGGAAATTTGAAAACAGTAGCTGATCAAGAATCTCTAGCCGCCCAATGGTTTCCAATCGCAGATGTCAAATCAAATAAAATCTCGCTTCGTGGAAAGGATTTTGTGAAACTAATCGATGAAGCAATCACATATCGAAGTCAATATGAGAAATCGAAAATCGAGCGAATTTTGCCGATTTGTGAAAATGTGGCGGGACTTTTCTTAGAATTTATGATCGTAAAACATAGTCGAGACGGGTTAAGGACGGAAGTTTTGGTGCATAAATCGATTAAAGATGAGACATATTTAAAGGAGCATGAACAACCATTTCCCACAGTTGAATTTGGATTCGAATATTTTTTTGCGATGGTTGTTTCGAAATGTTATAGGGTTGGTTTTTACGGGATTTTTTGGGGCTAAAAATTCCCGGAAAATATACGTTTCCAAATTTTATAGTATCAATTCTATCAATTTCGGTTTTTATTAGAGTTTTAAAGTTTCCCAAATCTCTTGCAGCATCTTCTCGAAGAAGGCGCCAACGTGGTTTTCACGCCCTCTCACGTGGTTCGTGTCAAATGTTCGCCAAAACCAATGGAAAGTTTAGCACACGGTATTTCGGTTCGTGTATTTTGTCAACACAAACAATCGGCGACAAAAGCGATTATTCGAAGTCCGAGATATCATTGGATTTCGGTGGAGAATCAGGAGACTCGTCAACTTTTTCATATGGATCAGAAACAATTTCGATCTTCGCTTCATATGCTTTGACTTTTTTGTGTTTTGTTTTTTAATAAAGAAATCACAAATATTCGAAACTTTTGATTTTTTAGAGCACAAAATGTGAGTTATGACGTGGCAAAATTGAAACACAAGAAATTTCGAAAATTGACATCCTTTTCAGATATTCCAGATGCCACGTGGATTTCCAAAAATTCTCAAATTTTTCAGACAAAACAAAAAATTTCTGGATTTTTAAATCTTCGAAAAAACCTGTGCCACTTGGCATTATTTGTAATTTCCAGATAATTAAATTTGGCGCGAATTCTCAGCTTGAAAATCCTATTTTTCAAAAAAACTTCCCTTGAAATTCCCAAAAAAACCCACAAACTTCGAATAATAAATATTGTATTCGACATGAAGAATAAGGCACAAAATAATGCAAAAATACTTGTCTAAAATAATCAATAATAACCCGTGTGTGTTGTCTTCTTATTTTTTCACCGGTTTCTGATTTGTTTTTGTTGGTGGAGCAATTGGTGGTAGATTAAGTGAATGCAATGTTGTTGAAGGCGTTGGATTTGGAGCCGAAGTCGGCTTTTTTGTATAAAATAGAATGTAGGCATAGGATCCCAAAACGTTTTCCGGTTGGCTTAACTCAACCTTTTCATCATTGAACATATACCAAGATGAACCGCGTTTTCCATAGCAAATGTAATGACCAAAACCAGTGCTGGAAGGAGAAGAAAATGATAATAATAATGATAAAATAGAGTGTAGTTTTGTTAGTTTTAGGTTAGTCAGATTTAGAAGATGAATATTATGAATAATATGTTGATCGATTAATTGAGCAAGTTTGTTTTCTCTGAAATTTTTGTTCAGAGAATATATTTGTGAGGTTTCACCACGTGGCAATTTTTTTTACAATAGTTTTAGTGCTTGAAGACTTGCCACGTGGATTTTTCAAAAGAAAATTAGAATTTCTATTAAAAAAAAGGAAGAACACTTTTTGAGTACAAAAAGAATTTTCCAAAAAATTCCTGAAACAAATACGTTTCAAAATATTGGTTTAGTGAAATTTGAATATTTTTGAATAGTGAAAACCAACTTTCACATATATGTCTTACTTTTCACCGCAATGCTGAACAGTCGAAGTTAATTCATAAAAAGTGGGTGGTTCTTCAGGAATATCATCGGACATAAAATGATCCAAATTCAGTCCATCCATTAGAAAATTGACATGTTTACAACTTTTCGAACCGTCGTCTCTGAACCGTTTCAGATGCAAACACAATACTTGTGGCAGCTTTTTGATAAACATTTGTTTGCTGGATGTTTGTTTCGATTTGCATTTTGAGCATTCGGGTTTTTCGGTTTTGTCGAGAATTTCTTTGGCAAAAAATGAGTTTAGTGCGTCGGGAAGTTTTGCTTTGTGTTTGAGGTCCAGAGATAGATCTGTAAAAAAAATCATTTTCAGATCTTTTTGAATAGCTTGAAGTTATCCACGTGGATTTCTGGCGGCGGAAATTCAAAATCGAATTTCGTTCGGAAAAAGATAGGTTTTTAGGCCCAAAACTTCGAATTCCATTTTTTATTTTGAAAAAAGGGTGCAACACAATCACCCCTCCCAAATCAATATTCTTACCCATCATAACATCATCTTTATTGCTCTCATGTTGACAATTCATACAAATAACTTTCGATTGCAGAGTTCCACCAAACAATTCATTGATAAATGTGGAACCTTCTGGAATATCAGGCAAATCTTGGCATTTCTTCATTTCCGTATGCATTTGATCGAGAAGATATCGCAAAAACTCATGAGAATCGTGTTGTTCTAAACCTTGAAATCTGGGACAGTGTGTCACGAAAACTTTGCGAAATAAATTCAGCTGGTGCGGCACATTTTTTGGTGTTCGCTCGCGGAGTTTTCGAAAGAAATTGCGGGTTTCGTTGGAGACAAATGAGACTTGTGTTTTCGTCGGATCAATCAAATAATCTTCCAAATCTGGCATATCACACATGTAGGACACAAATTGTTCAATACTTCTGAAACCGCAAAAATGTTTTGTTTATTTTCTATACAAATGTTTACCCTAAAGCTTGCAGAGCTGATGCCATAAAACAAGTATTTCCCACATTGTTCAATCCTCTCGGTTTTCCATCTCTTATTATTTCAGCAATTTGTGGTGTCATTGGCACAACTTTTCCGCTTTTCAGCCCATAATGTTTCACGTTTTTCTCTTTCTTTTTATCCTTTTTTCCTCCTTTTGGTGGTGGACTTTTGAGTTTAGAAGAAGCCACTTGATCCGTCACTGTTTTTACCTCCTCTTCACCGATTGGTTCTTCAATATCAAATAATAGCCGGATTGATTTGATAAGGGGGAACAAGGCTGGTTCGAAATCCACTGTTACAGTCGCATCACATTCATAACTATTGAAAAATATAATTCATATTGGAAGGTTTAAAAATAGACATACCAATATAATGCAAAAGATACACAGTCCATCACAACAGCATGTTTAGATTCGTTGAAGTGATCAATTGCGTGTCCGGAATCATATCGTCCACAATTTATAATTCCACAATTGAGACAAATGAGAGATGATTTCGATAAATCGCATTCTACACAAAATGTTGGAACATTGTGCGCTCTAAAAACAATAATATTTGGTTAATCTACCTAAAATTCAGATTTTTGACCCACTTTTTGTCCGGATTGTTCGAATTCCCACCAAAAAATGGATCACTCGCCTCAATTTCTGCTTTCTTTTTGAACATTTCTTTTGGAACTCGCGTCACGCATTGCTCTTCTGTTATATGCGTACAGGCCATCTTACCTATAAACTACGAAACTCGATTAAAACTCAACTTTTTTGCGAAACTCGAAAAAAACCACTCTAAAAGTGCAAAAAGAACTTTTGAAAAAATTCAAAAAAATTAAAATAGAGAGCACACGAAAAGAGGAGGGAAGAGACGAGGGAGTGGGGTGGAAATACGATGATGTTTGTGTCTCGCAGCGAAAGGGGGTTGTGTGCCTTTAACCCGTTCAGACTGCCTTGGCCCAAAATTATTTCGTTTTTTTCTTCTTTTTTTCACGGGTTTCTGGGATTTTTGGGGCGAATTTTGATTTAGGCTTCACTGAAAATTATCTAAAATTGTCTGGAATACTATAGGCTTGATTATTGAGATTTTGGGCTTACCAAAACTATGAAAATATTGAATTTAGGTTTGAAAATTGTTGTCAATTTTTATTTTTTCAATATAACTTCCTAATTTTTAATTTTTTCTCTGTTGTAGAAGTCAGTTTAACGTTGTAAAAAGAAAAAACAGTTTAACGTTGTAAAAAGTTACTTTTCAGAATTGTTTCATTAAAAAAACATTATTACTTACATTTTCATTCTTGTTTCCTTTAAATCCGGCTAATATTCATGTTTTTCAGGTAACCCAAGAGCGATGAGATTGAACTTCGCTTACCCAGCCACTGGGCTCCAAAAAGTCCTTCGAGGTTGAAGAGGAGAAGAAACTCCGCATCTTCTACGAGAAACGTATGACACAAGAAGTCGCCATCGACTCCCTCGGAGACGAATGGAAGGTGAGTAGAATTTTTGAAATGAGATTTTTGAATTCATTTTTCACGTCACGCTTCTTCGGGGTCAAAATTATACAAAAATCAAATTTTTTTCTAAAGTCCAGAATTCGTTATTTTTGAATTTCTGAATTGGAATCTAATTCAATCTAGAACATCAATATCTATGATTCCAGGGATACGTCGTCAGAATCGGAGGAGGAAACGACAAACAAGGATTCCCAATGAAACAAGGAATTCTCACCAACGGACGTGTCCGACTCCTTCTCGGAAAAGGACAATCCTGCTACCGCCCACGTAAGAGCGGAGAGCGCAAGAGAAAGTCCGTCCGCGGATGCATCGTTGACGCCAACATGTCAGCTTTGAGCTTGGTCATCACCAAGAAAGGTTTGTTTGTTTTTTAAAAAATTACTAGTGCTAGAATTTTATATTTGCAGGAGATGCCGAAATCGAAGGATTGACCGACAACGTTTTGCCACGTAGACTCGGACCAAAACGTGCCTCCAAGATCCGCAAGCTCTTCAACCTCACCAAACACGACGATGTCACCAAATACGTCATCACCCACGAAAAGACCTTCGCTGACGGTAAGATTTTACTTCTTCGTGTTTACAAAATCTTGTTTCTCTCCAGGAGTCACCAAGACCATCGCACCAAAGATCCAACGTCTTATCACTCCAAGCCGTATCTCCAGAAAGAAGTACCTTCTCCGCCAAAAGCGTAACCAACACATCAAGATCAGAGAAGAGGCCGCTGCCTACCACAAACTTCTCGCCAAGTACTCCAAGGTTAGTTTTTCTTCTTAGTCTTCGAAGTTTGAATTCAAACATAATTTTTTCAGGAAGAACACGATGCCAAGATCGCCCGCAGACGATCATCGGCTTCCCACACTTCCGAATCGGAGCCAAAGAAGACCGGAAAGAAGTAAATATTTTCTGTTGTTTTTGTTCCAATGAAATATTTGTTATTAAAAACTCGAATCGGTTAGTTTAAAATATTTTATTCATAAAACAGATGAGTATCAAAATAAACTTAATTTTATCATGCGGTGATTCTCGCTTTCTTTGGTGCACTCTCCTCGTTCTCCGCCTCACTATTCTTTCTCTTTCTTGAACTTTCATCCTCTTCTTCTTTAGCTCCTCTGATAATCTCGAATTCTTCTCCCTTCATTGTTTCACTTTTACGAATGATAAGTTTTAATTCCAAATCTTGTTGGAAATCATCACATGCCAAAATGGCTCCATCCTCAATTGATAACTCCGCGAGTTTCTTCAACTCCAAATCATTAGTCTCTCCCTCTTCACTACTTATAATAACTCGATTTGTGCGAACTTCCATCACATCCGGTGCCAACATATTCAACGTACTCTTCAAAATCTTCTCATTCAATCCTTTCACAGTCATTTCAGCCGGATTCAAAACAACAACACATTCTCGTTTCTCCGAACAAACATAGCATTTCGGATTAGGTTTTTGTGGAACTTCATCAGATAAAATCTGGAAAAATTTAGAAATTTGTTGGAATTTTCAAAGCGAAGATTTGTAACATACCTTTCCTCTTTGATTTGGTCTTCCAGCGATGAAAACATTCGAAATTTTATCATATTGTTTGTGAACCAATTTGATCGCTTCAGTTACCATCATTCCAGCAACAATTGCATTTGTTGTTGCGATTGCCGGAATAATATTTCCAGCCATGGCTGCAAATTTGTTGTATTGGTTTTGAATTAAAATCACATTTGATAATAATTTTGAAATTTTTTGAAGAATTAAAGAAAAATTTGAAACGTAAAAAAATCTTGTAGATATTTTGAAGCTGGTTAATAAATAAAGATGATTTTTTTCAGGAATATATAAATAAGCCTAAATTTAAACTTTAAAAATTCTAAGAATTCAGGAAACATGAAAACTACAAAAATAAACCATTTTCAGAATAGGAAACCCATATTTTTCCCAAATATTAAAAAAAAACCCCTACCTTTGATCTCAAAAAGCGACTTTGTCTGAATGCTAAAAATGGTGGCTCGAATATTGGCGCAAGCGGCAACAAATGCCATCGCATCTTCATCATCCTTGTCCCAAACCAATATTTCGCCATCGGCCAACGCATTTTTGCGATCTCTCAATTTTTCGACACATTCCGCGAAAATTGTCGAGCAATTTGCCAACGACCAAACATTGTTGACATCTTCCAGAATTTCTTTGCCACTTCTTTCGTCTTCGGTTACACGGGCTTCTGAAAAATGGAGGGAAATTGGGAGGAAAATGATAGTTATGACGTGTCAAAATCTAAACTTTTCAAGAAAGATTATTTGTCATCTCATATTTTTTGAATCGGGTTTTCATTCTGTCAAATTTGAAAAATAAAACTGAAACTTCATCTTCGGATAGTTATGACGTGGCAAAGTCGTAAATCACAGCAAATTTGCCACGTCATAGCTAGCACAAATTCGTCCAATTCTTACCCTTAAAAGTCATCGATTCCGGACGTTTTCTTTGTTTCCACAAATGTTCCATCGAACACAAATATTCGATATCAGAATGGAAAAGTTTGTCGAATAATTGAATCGGATCATAATTGACACTTTCAGCCCATTGTCTGGTATTCGGCGCTTTTTCGGTCTCAACTTCGGATTTATCCGCAATTTCTTCCAATGGTTCTTCTTCGTTCTCTTTTCCATCTTTGTCTGTGATATCTGGTGAAACATCGTCGTCGATGTCGATTTCGCCGAAGAGTTGGCTGGAGAAAACTCGATGTTTCTTAAATTTCAATATTTCCAACTCACTTGAACAAATGTTTCGACCAAACAGTACAATGAATATGTTCACTTGGCGTATTTCGAATGGTACAACCCGGATATGTTTTCTGTGCACTCGGTTTATCAACACATTCATAACACTCAGTTTTCTCTCGAATAATCACTGAAACTTGTCCCAAATATCCAGCTGATCCACTTTCAATCAAAGGAACTCTCGCAGACAAACACATTCGATTCACATGATTTCGAGCACTTCGATTATCCAATGCATTGATTACCATATCGAATGATGAGAAATAGGATAAATTGAATTGTTCCACGAAAATACTGTCGTGTGTGTAGGAAATGTCGACTTCTGGGCAGAATGCTTTGACCGCTTCGGTGGCAACCTGACGAGAAAAAAGGGATTTGATATGGCAAACTTGATCAATAGATCGTATTTCTTGAGGGAATTCTGGTCTTGTGCTTCATTTTTGTTGTTCAATTCCAGAATTAGCAAGTTCTGAGAGAGAAGTTTAGGATTTCCGGGAAAAAATCAGAATTTCTCAAGGTTTCATCAAACTTTAGGGCAATTTCAGGACTCTATTTTGGATAGTTTTCATTCTATTTTTGCCACGTCATTATCAGTTTTTCATAAATCTTTTCAAATTTGAGGCTTTCTGAGATGAATTCACATAATTTCCTACAAAAATACTACCCCTCTCTCCAATTTTTAAGCCAACATCATCTCTAAAAATTTCCATGACAACCAATTCTTCCCAAAAACAAAAAAAACTCATAAAAATCCAAACCAACCTTGGCTTTCGGTTGTCCAACATGTTCTCTTCGGAACAAAAATTGTCGATTCAAATTGCTCACATCAATCGTGTCCAAATCAACGACATGGATTTTGCGGAATCCGGTCAACGCCAAGTTTTTCAACAATTCACAACCGATTCCACCAGCTCCCACAACTAACAATTTCGCCTTTCCGATTTCGGCATGTTTCGATGCCCAAGTCATTTTTTCTTGCTTGCTGAAAATCGAAATGCGCTAGGAAAGAAACAAAAAAAAATGAGAAATGAAATTTTCGAAAATTGCGAGTTGCATTGGAGCGCGCTTCCCCCATTTCCCACCAAAAGAAAAAACAAATTTTTGCGGTTATTCCGAATTTTGCATAAAAGGGAGACATTTAAATGAAAGTTAAAATTTTAGTAAGAAAAAAAGAAAATAAAATTATTATTCACAATGGTTATGGGGTTCTTCAATAAAAAAAAACATATTTACAGAGACCCCATCTATTTAACAGATCTCTCTAATACTTTGATCGTCGTCGATTCGATCTTCTTCTCGGCTTTGGCGCGTCTTCGACAAAATGCATCTTTGGCAAATCATTTTCATCGGATCCAATTGTGGTTTCCTGCATTGCCGCCGCCAGTTCCGCGTTCTGTCTCGTTTTTTCGAAGATCTTCTCGACTTTTTCCATATTTTCCATGCATTTCGCATCTAAATCGCCATCAGCTTTCATGAATTCTTCAGCTAATCTGAAAATACACATTTAAACATTACTTTTTAATAATGTTTCCAAGAATTTGACAAACCTCAAAATCTCATCCAAAATCATTGATTTATCTTTCTTCTCCACCTTCTTCTTTTTCTCAAATCCTTCAATCGGCGATCCCAAATTCACAACTCTTTTCACTTTCTTCATTGATGATAAGATTGATTGGGGCACAAAATCTGGATTTGGGCTGTGCTTCTTTGGTGGAGTTTTTTCGAAATCTTCAGTAGGATCGTGGGATTCGCGTTGTTCAGGAATCACATTTTCCATAAATCGAATAGTTGTTCGTTTTTTTGTCGCTGACATTTGTGCTGCTCCAAAAACATTGAATTTCGATGGAGTTGCTGCGGAAACCGAAACATCTGAATCATCGCCTTTCTTACTTGCCAAACTTTGATTTTTGAGGAATTGAGATACTTGTTGGCGTTGAGATTCGTTTGCCTCGAAGATATTGATACCCAATGGAAAAAGACTTGGTCTTGGCTCATTTACAGTTGCTCGTGTTGATCTCATTGCTAATGATGTTCTTCCAACAATTGATTGTCTTCCGATGGCAACTGAATAGCGTGGTGCAATTGATGGTCGTTGGGAAATCGAGGGGCGAGTATTGAAAACTGAGGCGCGATTTACAGGAATTCGAATATTCCCAGTTTTTATCATCTCCAAAGCGGCCGGATCTGCCACAAAATCTTGATCTCTTGAAGATGATGGTTTTGATGCTGGAGCTGCCATACGAGTTGAAGCTTTTGTTGTTGCTGCTGCTGCTGCAGTCGTACTTCTCGTTGGTCTCCCATTATATTTGGCTCTCGCCGCTTTCAGCTTCTCGATTCGTTCCTCTCTGGTCAAAATTGACTTGCGCCTGTTTCCATTACCAATTGAGCTTCTTTTAATATTTGGAGCCATCTGAAATTTTGAGAAAGAAAATCAATAAAAAAGTTGCGAAAACACGATAAAAATTTGAAAAAATCACACTAGTTCAATCTGGCGCGTCTGTTACAATAGAGCGCACTTTCGTGTTTTCGATAGGGTGTGATGAAATGGTGTGAAAAATGGTTTTTAGGACAACAAATTGGAAAATTTTCGCGAAAATGAATGAAAAAACAAAATTATGTTTTTGAATGAGCCGCGTAAAACATCGCGTCAAGACCTAGATTTTATTATTTGTTGTGCGCCTTGAAGAGACTACGATACACATTTTCTGTTTTTTTTTCGAAAGAAACGGATCGATTTCTAATTTCAAGTATTTATAGCCGAATAATCGATGATGCGCAGCTCGAAAAGGTGAGTGCTTATTATTTTAATTAAAATATTCAAATCGCCACAGACTAGAAAACCCAAATGTCCTCAAAAGGGCTGAAGAAAAACGAATCATTTCTATTCTTTTATCGTTTCACCGTTTTTCAAGACACTCAAAAAGCGAGAAAATATAAAATTTATTCGAAATCACATCACAACAAAATAATCCATTCTTGCCATAAAAATATTAATAATGAATGATAAAATATAAGGTAAATAGAAAATTGATAAATTCCTAAAAGATTAATTACAACGGTATTTCTACCGAAGAAGTAGCAGCGGGTGTCAGTTTCTTGTCAACTTCCATCCGACAAACGGGGCATTTTTTATTGTAAAATAGCCATTTATCAATGCAATCCGGATGGAAAATATGATCGCATTGCAGTTTTCGAACTTCCTGAAAAATGAAACGTGTTTTAGTTTGCAATTAGAGAATTTATATATTTTACTAACCTTTCCACCTTCAAAATCGCATAGACAAACAGTACATCTATCTGTTTCATCGGGTTTTTCCTCTTCATCCTTCTCGAAAACAACTTTCTTGGTATGTTTTTCGATATCTTGTGTACTCGCTCCAACAGGAACATCATCAGCAGTTGTAAACATATGATGTCTATCAATAGTTCCACGATCTCGTAAAACATCAGCACTTATGAAATTGAACATATAAGTCAGATCTCGGAGGTGCTGAAAAGTTCAAGTTCTCAACTAGATAAATATATGTATTATGATAAACATACCGGTTGTAGCACATAAACTCCGGCATTTTGCAGCGGAACTGACGAATAACTCAGTGGAGCATATTGATATTGTTGATTCACATGATTTGTCATAATTGCTTCTTGTAGCAGGCGAACATGATTATTCAAGGGATATAAAACGTGTGTTGGTTGAGCTGGTCTGATATACGAGTTTACTGCGGCAGCTGCGGCGGTTGCTGCTGCAGCTGCAGCACTTGCAGCAAGTGCAATATCATTTGCAGTATACATTGGTTGACGAGTTTGGATAACTTGTTGTTGAGGTGTACTATTGCAATAATGACAATTGCGCGATTCGTGTTGTCTAACGGGACCCGTAATTTGTTGATTTCCCCCGCATCGTCTATCAGTCGATGTTGATGTAGATGTTGTCGAACTCGATGCCCCGGCCTCCGATGCTTCTGCACTTTCTCTTCGTCGGATTTTAGCCGCTGAAGAGGAAGATGGAAGTGATGAAGAAGATGAAGAGGCGGTGTTTTGCTCTTCTTCCGCTGGGTTTGAGAGATTTGCTTCGCGTTGTCGTTTTCGTTGCTGCACACGAACTACGGTGTCTTTGAGTTGGTTGAATGCCGCATTGTTGGAAAGACGGGCGCGGTGTTGTTGGTACTAAAGGAAAACATTTTTTTGATTTTTAAATAAGTATGAAACGTGGTCGTACTCATACAAGTTTTTGACAAAAAAGCGTTATTAGTGAGTTTTTTTGGCTTTGTATTTTCAATGAAAAATCTGAATAGTACCAGAGAATCCAATTTTTTATTGTTGTGCTTTCAAATCTTTTTTTCTCATTCAATTTTCTGAAAATCAAATGATCCGTGAAATTTGCACAAACTTCAAAGTTCTATTTCTGAAAGTGACATTTTCCGGAGTTTCTCCAACTCGGCTAAGGAAACATTGTTCATACCTGTGCTCTTCTTGCTGCTAAATGAGCTGCATCTTGTTGAAACTGTTGTCTTTGTAGCAAATGATGATGATGATGATGTGAATGTGTTTGATTATAACAAAGTGGTGCATCTAGATAAATCTGTCGTGCATTATTATTGACCGGTGTTGCTGGATTATTATTAGCTATTGAATTTGTTGATATTGTCAAAGGCACATTTGGTGGAGTCGTGTATAAAGTTCGAGAATCGACAGTTGGAAGCGATGAAGTTTGCGCTGCCGCCGCAAGATTCTCGAGCTGTGTTTGTAATAAAGTTGCTGGTGGAACTATTGATGTGGCAGCATGGTGTTGAAGAAGTTCTTCGAATAACCGCGACTCCATGCTGAAACAAATCGATTTTTGCTTTTTGCTCCGAAAAGAATTTGAATAAAAGGAGAGGGCTTCAAACAAGATAAGATCTTCTATGTAAAATCGATGCTCAAGGGAATTTATAAAGGGGGAACGAAAATATCTAGCGAAGAAGGAAAAACATCTGCGCATAGATCGATCGATAAAAATCAAGTTTTTATGTGTCGTCGTGGAGGAGGAGGATGATGATGTTGATGAAAAAAAGGGAGTAGTTTATTATCATCTTGAATTTTTTTTTTGGTTTAGGGTTCATAATAATTGAATAATTTATCATTGCGAGGGTGATTAATTGAAGAAAAAAGTAATTGGGTGATTTATACTTCGAGAAAAAATATGTGGGAAAATTTGAGAGGAGATTTATTAGAAGTAATTACAGAACACTTTTGAATCTGGGACTGTGGGGGCTAAAATGCAGAATAGGAATACAAAAATCCTAATTTTGGTAATTTTTCTGAACAACAATTTGGTTTTTTCAATTTTTTTTGAAGTCGTGGGCGGATTTCACGGAGTCTCACAACGGTTGTGCAGAAAACCTAGCAAGAAATAAAATTGTCCTTTGAAAATTAAAAAAAAATTATCAATCAAAAGTGTGCCTTTGGGTCCCGCCACGATTTCACGACAATTTTAATATAAACATTGTGTTTAAAAAAAATACAAAAGCTCAAAAAGTGAAATTTATAAGAAAAAACCATGCGCCTCTAAAAGAAAAATCAACCATAAATTTTTTATCCATCAATCAAATGGTGTAAAAATCTAAAAAAAAATCGATAATTTCGAAATCGATTTGAATAGATATTTCACACGATAAACATTGAAAAATCGATAGAACAAACAGAGAATATAAACAAAAAATACTACCTAATATAACTACATCGAAAAAAAATAAAATAAAATAAAAATCGACAGAAAAACCGGCGAAGGATACGTACGTACGAATAAAAATCCTTTCTTTCTTCGTTTTTTCCTTCTCTTTTTTTTCTGCATTTTTGTTGGCTGTTGCTTGCTTGCTAGAGGGGGGTTGATTCTCTCTCTCTCTTCTCTCCCTCTCTTTTCATCTCTACACCCTCTCCACATCACTCACTCTCTCGCCATCTCTTCCCGTCTGCACTCTCTTCACTTCACCAACTCTTCTCTATTTGCACTTTTCCCTCTCCCTCACTCGCCATCGATTCATATCCATTTTGTTTCCGTCTGACATGTCTGCGTCTCTGTTGTGTTGTTGTCGAATCGCGGACCCTTTTGCATTTCCCTTTTGCTTCTGGGGACCTTCAGCACTTACAAACAGAAGAGAGAAAGAATAGGGAGAAGCACGACAAAAAAGTGAAATCTACTAGTTAATTGATTTTTTTGCGGTCGTCGTCACGGTTGGAAGTTGAAGAAGAGACTAAAAAAAACAGATAGGTAGGTTGGTGATTATTTTTTGCCTTGGGTTGTCTTTGTCTTCTTGCCTAACGTCGAGGTCGTTTTTTGCTTGCCCGTTTGCTGACCCTTGAAAAAAAAACTGTAAAGTAACTTCAAAGGGGTCAGCGATGTTTGTTGAATTCAGATATAGATAGCGTTTTGTTCAACCTCTAGGGGGTTTCCCCGAAAATTCCTATTCCTGCTCGAAGTTCCTTTACACTCGTGATAAAATTCCGATTTCTAGCCAATTTTAAGTTTGAAGAATCACCTGTTCTTCTCATTAAAGATTTGGCTGGGGAAAATTCTCGTGATTTTTCTTGGGATTTTTTTTTGAATCTTGTTAGAAGTTCAGAATACTTGGAATCTTTCTATATGAATTTTGATTTTGTTTTGAAGTTTCATTACTGAATTCCTATCTTTTCTAATTTTCCTCACAAATCCCAACGTTTTCCAGCCAAATGACAACGATGGCATTCAAATGGCCGTGGCAATACGATTTTCCACCATTTTTCACGTAAGTTCACCTATCTCCTCTCATCTTCCATTTATTTTCCTAACCAAATTCAAAATATTCTAGAATCCAAAAAACGTTGAACACAAAAGATAAGCAATTAGAAGCATGGGCTCGTTTGGTCATCGATTATGCACAACACAATAAAATCTATACATTGGATATTGCTGAGGCGACCACAAGTGAACTATTTTCGAATCATCGACTGAATCGAAGGCTTTCAACTGAGGGTGTTAATACGGTTTTGCAGTATTTGGAACAGAAAAGTTAGTTGGGGGTGGAGCTTAAAAATATATACACTTAAAATATTTTTCTGACGAAGTTCAGTATGTTCAGATGAAAAATTTGGGTTTCAAAAATACATTTCAAAAATTTTCACGTCTCTTTTGTCTGAAATTGTCTAAACTGTGAAAATCCACCAAAAATCTCAATTTCTTCCAGAACTCATCGAATACACCGACAGTGGTCGAACACGTTTTCACATTTTCTGGCGAAGACCCGATGTTTGGGCATCGACAATTTATCAATGGGCTGTCGAAAACGCATTTTTGAACACACCAATGACTTTGTATGAGATAACACACGGTGATGATACTGCCAATGAATGTGAGCTTGATTTTTTTGTGGATTTGAAATTGAAAAATTTTTCTTCATCATTTGGATAGATCCAGAACATCAGGGCCGATTATAAAAATCGAACCTAAAAATCTAGAACTTTTGGAAAAAAACAACACTCCGTCTTTTGAACTTTCTGAAAAAGCCTAAAAGGAGCTTCAGAAGGCTTTAGAGAACTTCTAAAAGGTCTAGGGATCTTGAGTGATCAAAAAACTCCTCTTATCATCTGATAAACCCAAAAATCACATATTTTTTCAGCTTTCCACAATTTGGAACGTGAAATATTGATGAAAGCATTAACATGTCTACAAGAACAAAAACGAGCTCAATTGATGAATATTGGAAGCGAAAACGAGGGTGTCAAATTCCTCTGAAAATGCGTCTGAAAATTTCTCTCCTCTCTATTTATTATTTTCTCCCCCCAAATTCCCCCCTTTAGAAATATGTATGTAATTCGTCAAATGAATTTATTTCACTTCTCCATTTATTTTTATATTCAGTTTGTTTTTCGATTTTGTGAATTCGAGGAGAAATATTTGAAAATTGAGGAGATTTCGAAACTTCAATTTTTCAGAATGCCTGTTCAACAAGCGATTAGTGTGGATGAGAAAGGTGAGAGAATTTTGAAATTCCTGAAAAAAATCCTGAGAATAATACGTTTCAAAATTTTGTTTTAGTGAAATTTGAATTTTTTGGAATAGTTGATTCATTGACTATCGAAAAAAATTATTAAATTATTTCAGAAACTACAAAATAGCTGGAAAAATATCAGATTTATAGAGGGGGTTTCAAAGAGAACTTTTTTGGCCCCTAGGGTCTTCTCAAAAGTTTCCTCGAGTTCCCGAAAGTTCCTAAAAGCTCTTTCGAGTTCCTGAAAGCGTCCTGAATGTCTCCTATGGCCTTCTAAACTATGACAAGAAAACTCTGAACTCTTCCGAGTCCTCTGGGATTATTTTCCGAAATTTCCTCTCATTTTCCAGACACCGCCTCTTTTCTAAAATACGATGATCGAATTCAAGAAGGCGATACAGTAATCGTCTACGTAACCTACGGTCAAACTCTCTCAATAATCGTAAAACGCGGACAAACTTGTATGATGAAATATGGAGCATTGAGACACGAATTCATAATTGGAAAACGATATGGATGTCGATTATCAGCAACAGCTGGATATGTTTATATTCTTCGACCATCTTCTGAATTATGGACACGATCGCTTCCAAGAAGAACACAGATTTTGTACACCGCTGATTGCGCGGTCATTTTACAATTATTGGATTGCAAACCGGGTTCGGTGATTTGTGAAAGTGGAACTGGAAGTGGCTCATTGTCACATGCAATTGCTATGTCAATTGCACCAAATGGACATTTATATACACATGATATTGATGAGACTAGAACTAAGAAAGTTGAACAGGAATTTAGGGTAAGTTTGGGAGAAAATTCGGGGGTTTTTTCATTTAGAGCCTCTGAGGATCCTTTCGTCTTAAAAATAGTAATTTTGCGGGGAAAAATGAGTTGAACTTTCCCAAGAAAATTCAAGTAGTATTTTTGCGCTAAAAATCCACGTGGCATTCACAAATCTTCAAAAATTTTTGAAATTCAATAATTTTTAGGTCAGAAATTCCAAAATTTCGAATTTTCATTCAATTAAAAAAATCCCCAGAAAAATGTACGTTTCAAAAATTTGATTTCTTCTGAGAATTTAGCATTTCTCAATGTGTAAATTTTTATATGAAACTGAAATTTTTCTCCCAATTTTTTTGTCTAACTAAAAAAGTTGAACAGGAATTTAGGGTAAGTTTGGGAGAAAATTCGGGGGGTTTTTTCATTTAGAGCCTCTGAGGATCCTTTTGTCATAAAAATAGTAATTTTTTCGGGGAAAAATGAGTTGAGGGAACTTTCCCAAGAAAATTTTATTTTTTGCGCTGAGTGTGCGACAAAATCCCAAAAATATTTGGAATTCAATAATTTTTAGGTCACAAATTCCAAAATTTCGAATTTTCATTCAATTAAAAAATTGCCAGAAAAATGTACGTTTCAAAAATTTGATTTCTTCTAAGAATTTAGCATTTCTCAATTGATGAAGAATTTGTAATGAAACTGAGTTTTCTCCCAATTTTTTTTGATCAGAAAAATCGTTTTGAAACAGCCACGTCATGACTCCTTTTGGATTTTGAAAACTTCACCAACTTTTTCCAGGAACACGGTCTCTCCGAAATCACCACCCCCGTCGTTCAAAACGTGTGCACCGACGGTTTTTTCGTCACCAACTCTTGCGATGGTGTATTCCTCGATGTTCCTGCCCCATGGGAAGCCATCAAACATGCGGCAAACGCGATTTCTCGATCAAGAGGCGGTCGACTTGTCTCATTCAGTCCGTGCATTGAACAAGTTCAACGAGCGTGTTTGGCGATGAGAAAATGTGGATTTATACAGATTGAGACGATTGAAGTTGTGCCAACTACGTATAAGGTGAGATTTAATTTTTAAAAATTTCAAATTGAAATTTAAAAATCCCAATTTCCAAAAAAAAAATTAGGAATAATTTCAGATTGTTAGCCAACATCGTCAAACTCTCGCCGATTTCGAAGAAGCTGGCGATGCCTACCCAAAAACCGAAGATTCTCGCCGAAAACGCAAACTCGATGCTGAAAATGGGGAATCTCTCAGCTGCCAGGCTCCAATCAGAAAAGGAACTTCCATCGTTTTCCCATATCAACAACCAACTCATACCGGATATTTGACACACGCCACTTTAATGCCAGAAACACCCGATTTATAGAGAATTGATTTTTGTTTTTGTTGTTGTTGAAATTTTGTTAATTATTTTATTTTTATTTTCATTCATCAATTTCTCTAAATAATTTGAATTTCAAAATTTTTTTTTGCGCTGAAAATCCACGTGGAATTCACAAAATCCCAAAAATATTTGAAATTTAATAATTTTTAGGTCACAAATTCCAAAATTTCGAATTTTCATTCAATTAAAAAATCCCCAGAAAATGTACGTTTTAAAAATTTGATTTCTTCTGAAAATTTAGCATTTCTCAATCGATGTGCAATTTGGCATGAAACTGAAATTTTCCTCCCAATTTTTTTGGCAAATACCGAATGGATTCGCAAAATGCCTCCGAAGGCATTTTCGAATGCCTCCGCAAAATGCCTTCGCGGTACCAAATCGAAAAGCCTCCGCGAATTCAAAATGACTCCGCGGTTCATATTCCAAAAATGTCGAAATGCCTCCGGGGTTTCAAAATGACTTCGCGCCACCGAATCAAAATGCCTCCGCAAATTCTAAATGACTTCGCGGTGAATATTTTGAAACTGTCAAAATGGGTCCGCGAAACAAGGCCTTTCAACAAGTTTTGAGCTACAAATTTCAATTGTTATTTTCCAGATGTTTTTAAAGTCTTTAAAAAGCAGAAATTTTTTTCAATATTTTGATTGTTCAAGTTCCAACTTTAGGCCTAGGCTTAGTTAACGTATTTAAATGTGGTTTTGAATGTTTCCTGCACCTTTCTGGGCGTTTAACTAAGCCTAAGCCTAATATTCGAACTTGTATAACCAAACTAAGTTTCTAGGCTTAGGCTTAGTGAACGCCTTGAAAATGATAATTCTCATTGAAAATCAACTTTTTGGCCAAAAATGTGTTGAAAAGTACACCTTGTTCGCGAAGTCATTTTGACATTCTTGAAAGTTTTACCGCGGAGTCATTTAGAATTCGCGGAGGCATTTTGATTTGATAGCGCGGAGTCATTTTGAAGCCCCGGAGGCATTTCGACATTTTTGAAAGATCGAACGCGGAGTCATTTGGAATTCGCGGAGGCTTTTTGATTTGGTAGCGCGAAGGCATTTTGCGGAGGCATTCGAAAATGCCTCCGGAGGCATTTCGCGAACCCATTCGGTATTTGCCATTTTTTTCATACCGGATATTTGACACACGCCACTTTTATGAACACCCGCTTCATAGATACTTTTGATTCTTGTTCTTGTTGTTGTTGAAATTTTGTTAATTATTTTATTTTTTATTTTATTTATTCATCAATGAATGAATAAATGAAGCTGTTATTTTTGATGCAAAATAGGAGATTTTGGGCATGGAAAAAGACAAGACAATTGTTTGAGATTCTCAGGAACTGGTTAAACCTTTGGCCGCTTGATTTTGGGCTACACGATAATTCACCAAATGCGACATGTTGACCTCGGTTGTTGTGATTTGATCCTTGACGAATTCGAGCTCCGATGTTAATTCATCAATTACCTGCAAACTGATTTTTTATGAACGTTTTCTGGAAGAACTAGACTTCTTTTGTGGAAATTGAAAAATGAGTTATGACGTGGCAAAGATTTAGAATCTCAATCCTTAAATTCAAAACTTCGAATACAATTTTGCACTTGTTAACATTGAGAAATAGGGAATTCTAGGAAAATAAATGATTGAAACGTAAATTTTTCGGCAATTTTTTTCTTCAAAAATAGCTTTGCTCAACTATAAAAATAAACCATCTTTGAAGCTAGTTATAGCCGCAAACTTTGCCACGTCAACAGTTTTTCTCATATCTAGGACCTGTTTCAACAATAAAAATCCGCACCTTTTGCACAGAAGCGCGATTCTTTTCCAATAATTGTTTTGCATTATCCAATTCGAATTCAACCATAACATTGGCTCCCAACCAAATCGAAACTTTGTCTGGTTTCGGAACAACCGCTTTCGAATAAACATCATCGGAGAGCAAAAATGTTGTCTCGAAACTCTCGTTTTTCTCCTTTTTCGCGATTAGGACATCCAAAATTGATAAACTATTTTTGAATTCTGGGATTTTTTCCATCATTCGCGATTTTTGTGCAGTCATACTCGACTCGACATATTTATATTTTCCGTATTGTTCTCGAACAACAACTTCGGCTTCTTCAATTGACAAACTTTTGTTTTTCAACCAACTTCCAACGTCTTCCTGGAAAAAAACACATTTGTGAAAGATTTCCCTCTCATTTTTTAAAAAAGCTCAAACTCACAATCAAATCGCTTTTTGGGATTCCACGAGTTGATGCGCCGTCTTCAGCCATTTCAATTTATTAAATACCTGAAAAATATAGGTTAGAGTAACTGAGTTTCCATGGAAAATGTGTGCAAGAACTAAAAAATCGAGAAGAAATTGAATGAGGGCGTGTTTTTTGTTTGCGCAAGTGTTGAGCACACAAGGCGTGTTTTTGGTAGGCAGGGGATTCAAAATGAGAAATGGAGTGCAGTTTTACTGATTTTAGACGAGGGATCCCGCGAAAATGTAAAAAATAGGGCTGAAAAACGAAAAATGACAATTTTTTTCAAAAAAAAAAAAAAAAAGAAAAGTTGTCCAAGAGAAATACACAAACACAAAATCTCGACGAGACCAATGTTGATAAATCTATGCGCCTTTAATCATTTTCAAAATTTTTTTTCTGAAAATTTTTTTTCCGATTTATAAATCTAGTATTCTGGCTCGAATCTGAAGTTTGTGAGTTCTTTAATTTTGGGAGGTTCTTGTAGTAAATTGAAAAAATCAAACTTTTGAAAATCCAATAAAACATGCAAATACTTTTGGGTTTTCAAATTTGTTTCAAGACAGCAGCTAAATTTTTGGCATTTTTATGTTGATTTGTTTTTTTTTTCGAATTGTTTTTTTTTACATTATTAAGTTTTTCATTCTTATTTATTGAATAATTATTGGGACACAACTTCGTGCATCAATTGTGAGCAATAACTGTAATTGTCCTTTCAGCAATTGTGGTTTTGGGAAGTTGCAGATGTTTAATTCTGAAAACCATAATTTTTTATTATTTTTTGGATGAAGTTAACCTCAATCTATCAGTGAAAAAAGATCGAACAACATCCAAATATCTTCCGTTACAACAAATCATGACAATTGTTGAAACCATCGAATGACAACTTATCAGAAACATTGTATCAGTTGCGATTTCTGAAATTTGATAAACTAAGTAAGTTTCAAAATAGCAGCTGAAATGTTTTATGAATCAAACCTTGCCACGAGGATAATTGTTTGAGAACAACAATGAAAATAATAGTAAGTGGTATTAGAATAAAACTGAAAGGTATGACTACTTGAAGTGTCAGTGCGATCAATGCGGTTTTGTGAAGTTTGAAAGTTGCTGCAGACATGTGTTTACGCATTTTCTGAAGGATTCCGATTGTATAAATGACTAAGAATATGAAGTATCTGAAGATTTTGGAAGTCAATATTTTGGAAATCAAATTCAGTTAAGATACCCTGCAAAAGAAAACACCCATATCATTGTTGAAAGACCCGCCATCACGAGCCACGGGTTTGTTCGATAATCATAAATAACGAATCCAGGATGAGATAAAATATGAATACATTTTGGAAAATATAAAGCGACTGTCCGATATTTATCTTCTTTTGATGTGTCAGCAAATGCTAAGGAAGTTGCAACGACAAATGGGAAACTGTGACAGAGAATACACAAGAAATAAGTGAAACAACGTGGAATTCTTTTTTTCTATAAGGAACATTGAACATTGTCGAACGTGATAAATTGTAACTTACGGGATTTAGATCTGCAGCTGCATCAGCTCGATACTGAAAACAACTAAGCAATGCAGGAAGCTCAAAGCAGAATGTGAAAAAATAAAAGACGACGCTTGTATGAGTTGTTATAAATGAATTTGCGATGAAAGAAGTATTGTATCCACCAACTAATGGAAAATAATAATATCCAGCTCCAATCCATGACATATAATTCTCAACAATGAATGTGACTATTTGAAGATAAAGTTGGCAATATTTATATTTTGAATTTTTGGGAGATTTAGCAACGACCAAATAACACCCGAAACAATTGATGGGAAATGATATTAGAGCTATAATATGAAGAACGAGTGGGAAATAGATTGGAGGTTCACTTAGGCATTCCAGATCCATTTGTTTTCAGAAGAATTTTGAGAATGAGAAGTTTTTCTACGAGCGGCAGGTGAATATTGTTATGACAAAAACGCCGGCCAAAATATTTTCAGTAATCGGTTTTAAAGGGGTTGTGCTTCTTTGTGAAAAAGCAAGTCCGAAATTTTACTTGACTTTTTTCCAATTAAATCAACGAGTCTGAACTTGATTGGCGATACCTGAAGTAGTTTATGAATATTAGGAAATTAATTCCGAGAAAAATACACACAAATATGTGTGAGTTAGAGCAAGCTTGTTGTATCTATGTGTTATTTTTTAGCTTTTTGTTTCTTCAGAGGAAAACGCGGGGAAATCTCGTTTAAGAATTTTATTGAAAAGTGGAACTTTCAAGGACAACCTTATTTATATCGGTTTAGCACAATTTCACATGAAGAAGGACAAACCCTTTAAAGACACATCAGTCACTGGAAAAAACAGATTTCCCGCATTTATTTTCAAATGAGAAAAACAGCATGTGCTCTCTATTGCTTCGTTGTGTGCAAACTCTTTCGAAAATCCCGTCGGCTGAGCGATTTCAAAAACAATTATTTTGTTTTTTTCACTTTTGCCAGACTCAAAATTTTTTCTTGATTTTTATGAATTCCGATTACTTGAAAGGTGTTGAGAAAGAATAACAAACTCATTTTCTGTTCATTTCTAGTGGATTGTGTGTCTTTAACAGAAAAGTTATGAAACTAGTAGAATATTAATTTTATGGTTGTTTCTACTGAAATAGGTTGTTTCTGGAACGGATAGGCAGATTTTTGAAAGCAATAATTATTTTTCCCGATATGTTATTTTGGTCCTTCAATCAGCTGCTTCTGAGAATTGTTCGAATTTTTGAACTTCGTTTTTCCCGATTTTCATTTATTCTATCAAACTTTCATACATAACTTTAATGTTGAGCGATAGCTGTAATTGTCCTTTCCACAACAGCGCTTTTGGGAAGTTGCAATTGTTTAATTTTCAAAGTATCAGTGAAAAAAGATCGAACAACTTCCAAATATCTTCCGTTGCAACAAATCATGACAATTGTTGAAACCATCGAATGACAACTTATCAAAATCATTGTATCACTTGCAATTTCTGAAACATTTAAGCAATTAAAGTTCAAAATAACAGCTGATGTGTTTTATGAATCAAACCTTGCCAGGAGGATAATTGTTCGAGAACAACGATGAAAATAATGATAAGTGGTGCTAGAATAAAACTGAAAGGTATAACCACTTGAAGTGTTACCGCTATCAATGCGGTTTTATGAAGTTTGAACGTTGATGCAGACATGTGTTGACGCATTTTCTGTAGGATTCCGATGGTATAGATGACTAAGAATAGGAAGTATCTGAAGAAGTTGGAATAGTTATGAAAGCAAAATTCAGTGTTTAAGATACCCTGCAAAAAATACAACCCATATCATTGTTGAAAGACCCGCCATCACGAGCCACGGGTTTGTTCGATAATCATAAACTATGAATCCATGATGAGATAAAATATGAATACACTTTGGATAATATTGGGCAACTATTCGATAATATTCTTCTTTCGATGTGTCAGCAAAGGCTAAGGAAGTTGCAACGACAAATGGGAAACTGTGAGCAAATACACATATGAAATAAGTGAAGCCACGTGGAATCCGTTTTTTCTAAAAGGAAAATCGAATTGATAAACAGAGTATAACAATAATTAACTCACAGGATCAAGATCTGCAGCTGAATCTGCTCTGTATTGAAAACAACTAAACAACGCGGGAAGTTCGAAACAAAACGTAAAAAAGTAAAAGACGACACTTGTATGAGTTGAAATAATCCAATTTGTGAGAGAAGAATTATTATATCCTCCAACTAAAGGAAAATAGTAATATCCGGCTGCAATCCATGACATGTAATTTTCAACAATAAAGGTGACAATCTGAACATAGAGCTGACAATATTTATATTTCGATTTTTTGGGAGATTTGGCAATGATTAAATAGCATCCTAAACAATTTATTGGAAATGAAATAAATGCTAGAACATGTAGAATGAGTGTGAAATAGAGTGGAGGATCGCTCGGACATTCCAGGTCCATTCTCTCTTACAAAAATTTTTGCAGACGGAAAATGAGGAATGAGAATATTTCTAAGAGCAGCAGGTGAAAATATTATTTTATCGAAGCAGTTGAAATCGTGCGTACGTTGTGGTATTTACGAAGTTTCTCAAAATGAAACATCAGGAAGCAACTAGATCATTTTGTATACCAAAATGAGTTATTTTTAACGTTCCGCCAGGTTTTCGAAAACAATAATTATTTTGTCTAATGTGATGTTTTGATCGCAACTACCCAAGCATGATTTTGGTTTGAATTTCAGAAGTCATTTTGGACCGGACTAGTAGAGTGAATTTATGGTAACCTAGAACAACAGCTGAACAAACTAGAGATTATTAGTCTCAATATTTATAGCAATAAAAACAATTATGTTTTCTGATCATAAAAATGAGCACGAGAGATTATTTTGTTATAAATAAGTGAATTTACTTATACTAGAGAACAGTAGGCTTCGAAAAACGTTTTCTGAATGATATTCAAATAATATGAACCCCTGTTAGAAAGTACTTTTATTGTATCACGTTTTTTTATTCTGGGAACTTTTTTTTATAGTATAAAAATAAAGTACAATTTCTAGATTTAGAAATTATAAATTCTAGAGAAGACCTTCATACTAGACTATACAATAAAACAGACGATTACACATTCGAGATAGTACGATACCCTAAAGCTGAAAGTTATATGCCCGAAAGAATCGCAATAAATACAATATACACAGAACTTCTCAGAATATTTGACACATGCACTTACTATTATGATGCTTTACCTAGAATTAAAGCTCTAATTGCTCAATTTGTAAAAAATGGATTTAAACAACCATTTATTGAACAACAAACAGTGAAATATTTCCATAAAATCAACAGTAATAAAAAATACCGATTTGATCTTAAAAATAATCTCTGCTAAAATTATACCACATTCGTTTTTCTTATTTCCTTATTCTATCAATTATTTCCTTCTATAAAATATATTATTTTGAATATAGGTCTCCCTCCTCTCACTATTCCTCTCTTCATTTTCCTCACTCTCTCATCTACTCTTCCTCTCTAACATATCGTCTCCCTCCACTCTACATGTTTTCACAAATAGTTTTATTTATACACTTTCTAACACTTCTTATTATTTTTTCTTATTTTCGCGCGTAGGATAGGTTTAGAACTAATACTTAAGGTCCAGCAAAGAGGCATCACTGATGAGACCTACCTCTTCGCCGTCTGATGTTCAGGTCGAAACGGCTTTACCGCGATTCTAATTTCATTTATTTTTCTTCTTTTTCTTATTTGTATATATTGATAGAAAAATCATATATCCTCCATAAATCAACAAAGCGAGGAAAACTAAAATTCCAACTGATAGAAAATATACATTTTCTTTATAATCATAGAGAGCAAAGCCTTGGATTTTTAGAACATGTAAACATTTTGGATATTCTCGTGCGATTATTTCATATTGTTTTTCATATGGTAATTCGGAGAAAAATAGAAGAGTTGAGACGGCAAATGGGAATAAATGACAACTATGAACCATAAATTGTGTTAAATATTTCGATAGTTTCATTTCTCTCTTAAGTTCTGCTACATAATCATGTCTTGTTTGAAAACATACAACTAATGCTGGCATTTCGAAAGCAAAGAAGAAGAAATAGAAAACGACACTGAAATGGCCAGATACAAATTGAGCCACAAAACTATTTGTGATATATCCTCCGATCATTGGAAAGAAATAATAACCCGGAGCAATCCAGGACATATAAATTTCCACAATAAATGTGACAATTTGCAAGTACAGTAAACAATATTTGTAGTTTGTGTGTTTTGCTGAATGAAAAATGACGAGATAACATCCCAAACTGTTAATTGGAATTGAGATAAGCCCAAGAGTATGTAAAACAAATTTGAAATAATACGGAGCTTCTGTCGGGCATTCGAGTGACATTTTGAATGAATGAATGATTAAAAAAAGGGGGAAGTCTAAGAGTCGAGGCGGAGTATATAATTATATTTATGTTTATGTCAAAATGAATTTGTTACGAGAGCAACATGTGAATTCTAGTTTTGCGTTTTTTCTGGATTTCCGATATTTTGACAACCTTTTCGATTTTTTCCACCTGACTTTATGCTACAGAGAAGTATTCAAACCAGATTCTGAAGAAATGCTCCAGTTTTTTCAATAATAGTTGATTGGTGGGAAATTTTATTTTTAGTTCTGAAAAATAAGTATTTTCCACTAACAGTTACCGGGTTTTTCTTTCACCTGAGAATGTTCCTTCATTATTGAGAACGGTACTCATTTTTCTACGGAAAATTATGAAATAGTTTATTTGAAGTGAAACGGTTTATTATAATCACAAAAACAAAAAATTATTCCAAAACTGTGAAAAAGTCATATTGGATTCACAGATGTCCTTGTTCTCTCAATAATAGTTGTTTGGTCTGCAGTCTTGTTTTTCCTTCTGCAAAAGTTTTACATAATTTTCCTCCAGGTTTTTTTTGTCACCTGAAAATTTTAAGAACAATTGAAATTGTTACTGCTTTATATCGACTATTACAAGCAATCATAACAATTGTTGAAATCATTGATTGAGCTGTTATGAGAAGCATTGTATCGGTAGCAAGTTCTAGAAAAAGTCAAAAGATTTAACCTGACAATGAAATTTTCCCTAATGATTACCTTGATACTTTGTTAACTCTTTCAATATCACTATGAAAATTATAGTTAATGGAACACATACAAAACTTAATGGAATGACAACTTGAAGGATCAGTGAAATCAAAGCGGTTTTATGTAACTTGAATGTGGCTGGAGACATAAATCTTCGCATTTTTGTTAGAATAATGATTGTGTGAGCGACTAGAAATATCATATATGCGAAAAATATTGTGAGAAATCCAATAACAGCGATTCCAGCAATAGCTAGCCATAAATTATCAACATAATCATAAACAGCAAATTCATCCATGTATAATAAATGTAGACATTTTGGAAATTTTTGAGATACAATTATATATTGTTGTTGATAAGTATTTGTTGATTTGAAAACAGAAAATGCTACAATAAATGGAAAAGTATGCGAGAGAAAATTCATAAAATAACTGAAAGATCGTGGAATTCGATTTTTCTGAAAAAAGATAAAATTGGAACGTTTCAAAGGATCTTTTATTTACTGGTGAAAGTTCAGCAGCTGAATCATTCCGAAATTGAAAACAAGAAAGAATTGATGGAAGTTCGAAACAAAATACGAAGAAGTAAAATATAACACTTGTATGAGTTGAGATAAATTTTGAGGTAAAGGAAGACGTGTTGTATCCAGCAATCATTGGAAAATAATAATATGCGGGGGCTACCCACGACATGTAATTTTCCACAATCATCGATACTATCTGAACGTCATAATGTTATGAGCAAGTCTGAAGTAAGATCAAAAAATTTTTAAAAATTCAGCTGTTAAGAAAATCCCACTGCATATAAACTACTCAAGAGTTTGATTTGACGGCAATTGAAATCAAAATTATATGGACATAGTTGGATGTTTAGGAAGCTTTAGAAACATTACTACGATATGATTTGACAATCAATTTTAAAATTTCTCCCACTAAATACAATAAAACAAAAAATTTGGTCAAACCTGCATATATAATTGACATAATTTGTACTTCGAATTATTCGGAGCATGAAAAATCACCAAATAAATTCCCAAAGAATTGATTGTAAATGAAAAAGCGGCAATAAGGTGTAAACATAAAATATAATAAGTCGGAGCTTGATGCGGGCATTCTAGGTCCATGATTTTTCAACGAATGAAAATATCTAGCGCAGGTGATAATTTTACTATTTACATACATACAATTATAACGTTTGTCTTGTTTTCTTTGTCGTTGAAAATAATTATTATCAAGAGATGTACATATCAAGAAAAGTTACTTCCGCAATTTCAGAAGATTTTAAGCATGATTTACATAAGTCAAAGTTTGCTCTATTACAGTAGTTTGATCTGTGGTCTTATTTCTTATCCTGAAAATTTTTTGAAAACTACAAAGGATTGAAAATTTTTCCCTACATCAGAATCCTCGAGATAATCGAGAAAATAACTGATTTATATGGATTATTACAAGCAATCATAACTATTGTTGAGATCATCGAATGAGAAGTTATTAAGAGCATTGTATCGGTAGCAAGTTCTGGAAATTGAAATATTATCGAAGCTCTTATTAAATATTTCATAAGAACCTTGATACTTTGTTAGTTCCTCCAGAATAACTATGAAGATTACGGTTAAAGGAACACATACAAAACTCAAAGGAATCATAACTTGAAGAATTAATGAGAATAGAGTTGTTTTGTGTAATTTGAAAGTGGCGGGTGACATGAATCTGCGCATTCTTGATAAAATCAAAATGGTATGTGCAACTAGAAAAATGACATAAATCCCGAAAAATGAGATGAATCCAATAACAGCGATTCCAGCAATGGCTAGCCATAAATTATCATCATAATCATAAACAGCAAATTCATCCATGTATAATAAATGTAGACATTTTGGAAATTTTTGAGATACAATTATATATTGTTGTTGATAAGTATTAGTTGATTTGAAAACAGAAAATGCTACAATAAATGGAAAAGTATGCGAGAGAAAATTCATAAAATAACTGAAAGATCGTGGAATTCGATTTTTCTGAAAAATCATAAAATTGGAAAGTTTCGAAGGATCTTTGATTTACTGGTGAAAGTTCAGCTGCTGAATCATTTCGAAATTGAAAACAAGAAAGAATTGATGGAAGTTCGAAACAAAATACGAAGAAGTAAAATATAACACTTGTATGAGTTGATATGAATTGTGAAGTAAACGAAGATGTGTTGTATCCAGCAATCATTGGAAAATAATAATATGCGGGGGCTACCCACGACATGTAATTTTCCACAATCATCGATACTATCTGGATATAAATTCAGATAAAGATTATGTTTTTTAAACATGCGAACCTGCAAGTATAATTGACAAAACTTATATTTGGAATTATTTGGAGAATGATAAATCACTAAATAAATTCCCAACGAATTGATTGTAAATGAAACCGCTGCAATGAGATGTAAACATAAAATATAATAAGTCGGAGCTTGATGCGGACAATCCAGGTCCATGATTTTTTCGAGAATGAAAATATCTGATGCAGGTGATAATTATGATACGGTTATTATTCTGTTTTCTCTGAAAAATAAGAAAAAGATACTGAGAACGATGTAAAAAAACACATTTATTATTTATTTCAAAAACAAGGCAACAGCCGCGATGTTCCATGTTTCGGTTCCACGACACGGCATATTCACAACTCCTATCAGATCCGTTCGATCATTCGACGTGTAAAGAGGAACTTGAACTTGCTCGCCTTTCACAGTTGAAGATGACTCAGAAGTCCAAGCTAGATATAATAATGGAGCTTGTGTATAAGCAGGGCTAGATACAGTTGTCTCCCTAAGGAATCCATCAAAAGTTGCGCCTTGAATGAGTAACCCTTTAACTTCCACAGTTTGCTTGTTCGGAAGTGCTGAAGACTCCCAAGCTGAACAAAGTTGTAGTTGATCCATTGGAACATTTAATTGGCGAGATGTTGTTTGTCGAAGAGCATTCAGGAAAATATTGGGGTAGAAGAGATCGGAAAAATCGATTGGTTGCGATAGAATACTTGTAGATTTTGCAGTTTCCAAAAGTTGGAGAGTTCCTTTGGTCTTCCTGATCACCGCGTTGAGGAAATCAGCGGGATCCGAAGGTCCGGCCCAAATCGAATCCCATTCATCAGGTGTCTGAAATTTTTTTAATGTATGTTTGTGCAGCCAAAGCAATAAAGCAAACCTGCTGAAAAACCAGAGATTGAATAATTTTCTGAGTGCTTGCAGGTGCTAGCGCCGGATTTTTTGAGCCCAACGAAACATATTTGAGTGTGTTGTGTATGTTTTGCAAGATTTGCAGAGAGTTGATGCATTCCAGGGATAACACTTCGATTATTGGATCTTCTGAGCGAAGCGCCTCGGGGATCTGGGAAAAAAAATAAATTTGGGAAAAAATTATCTGAAACGTGACACGGAAGAAAAACAATAAAACGTGAGAAATGTAGATTTGTTTTTATTTCAGAATTTCAAAGAATTCGGAAACAGCCAGGAATGAAAACAATGGAAAGCGAAAAGGATTTGTGAGTTTTTTTGCGGGTTACTGTGCAGAAAAAGGTTCAAACTTTGAAGCTATGGTGAATTTTTTTGAATTCACAACATTTTTCACGGGGTACTGTACAAAAGTGTTTGCGGGCCTTTGAATTTTTGTGAAGTCTCTCGTTGAAAAGCGCAAAGTTATCCTAACTCTCTAGATTTCACTTGGGTACTGTAAGGTGTTTACAGATCCACCCCAAAAACTCACCGCTTTTTTGTGTAAATCGCCCGCCGATGTGCATAACTTCCTCCAAAGTGCAATTATCTGCTCCACAGATTCTCGAGAATCTTTCATAGCATTTTTCGAATCACCCAAAACCAATGTTCGAATTGAACTGATCGTCCTATCAGATTCCACGATTTGCCAAGAATATTTGATATTTTCGGGTAAACCGAAAAGAAATGGTTCATCTACAGATGGTATATTTTTGCTAATATGAGCAATATATTCATCGATATTCGAACCAGCTGGTATATCTATAGATTTGACTAATTTCTGGCCCGGTCGCCCATTGATTTTCTCATCGTTGAATAGTGTGATCATATAGGAATCTAGAACTTTTGCATCGAAATCATTTTCAATTCTTCCACCGTAAATCACAAATTTCAAAATTCCTCTAACAAATTCCCAATCGGATTTTGTTGCTGTTAATTGCTCCACAAATGCTCTCGCAACTCTTACATCACTTGCTCCAAACTCATAAAACTTTGTCCAACCTTGCGGAATAAATGTTCGTCGTTCTTGTAAAAGAGCGTGCAACCATGCGAGAACAAATATCGATTGACAAGTTATAACATTTCTTTGAGATTTATCGATCTGCGAATATGTTCGTAGAAGATTATTTCGAACTCCCGGTGGTGGTTCAAATGTGATCTTCAAAGATTGTTGAAGCATCATTGATGGGAAACGATGATCCGCTTCAGTTGTTAGCCATAATCGGAAATTCGGATTAGGAGTTGTTAATGATAAATGTTTTAATATAAATGGCACTGCAGCTAACATCAGATGTAGATTATTCAAGCATAACCATTCTCCCTTCTCTGCACAGTCTTTTATCGCATCATAAGCAATAGTTTCCTGTCCTTGACCCATGGAAATCGAGTGATATTGAACTCTCATGATATTCGCTAACTCTGATAATTCTTGTGATGGATCAGCACCATCTGCCAGAATAAATAGAATTGGTTCTGAAGCATCACTCTCATCGAAAATCTCTTTCAAAGCAAAAGCTGGTGGATTAATTGATGAGATATCTGAAAACTCCCCAAATTTACAATGAGTTACACAAATAAAATCACTTACTCAAAGTCTTTAATACAAAATCCATGAGACAATTGTATAAACGATCCGGTCTTATCGCTTGAACAACTAGGACTTTTTGAAAGGGCGTGATTTTGTTGTCGATTGAACTTGGGAAAGAGTTTTCGCATTGGAGAGTATTTGAGAACTCTTTCCAACTTGCCTCATCTTCAAGGCGCAGATTGTTGAAAAGACTTGGAAGATGTGTTCGCATTTTGGAGACTGCCGATGATCGATCTTGTGGGATCCAGGAGAGTTTGGATGAGTTGGAATCGCCGGATTCGTCTACCAGGACACCGGTGAACAGTTCCCATTCCTAGAAAAAATTGAGTTCTGGTTTTTCTGTGGCAAAGATATGTAATCTTTGGAGCTGAGAGTTTAGATTAGGCATTTCAAAAGTATGTGGCTTTTAAAAACTTTTCGTCTAAAGTTCTAAGAGATTAAAAACCCAAACATCTTCAAATAACACGTCATAACTCGTTTACCTTTGGTTGGAACAATTTCGGCATTGTAGCATTAATAAATTCCACCGCAAACATCAATCGATCTTGTCTGAAAATTCCTCTCGAAATATGATAAAACACTGTGAGTTGAATTTGTCTAGCCAATGTTTCCACACGAGTCGACTTTTTGTCTTGACAAGTTTTAATGGTTTTCTCGAATAATCTCATAATTGTATTTACACTATAGTTATACATATTATTGTAGTACTGTAGATTTGAAAATGAGAAGAATAAACTGGAAGCAAAGTGACTCAAAGGAACGTAGATCTCTTTTTGCTGGAAAAAATCATATTTGTTAGGTTTCAAAATTATTTAGAAATGTTCTCACCGCAGTCAATTCTTTGTGAAGTTGTTCACTTTCACTGATACTTTTACTTATGACTTCGGCACTTTCTTTTGATTTGTTCAGAGAATCTAACAAGGCAGTATTCTCTAGTAGATTTCCTTGAGATGAAGCGAGTTGCTGTAATAGAAGTTGCTCAAGCTTTTCCAACTCGAGTTTCTTTAATTCAGCATCGCGAAGAAGACTACTAGATCGCTCCTCAAGTTCAGGTTTTTCAAGATGAATCGCAACATCTAGCAATTGAGCTGAGAGAGCGCTGATAGTTGTTGTGAAATTGACAATGTTCAGAAGGTTTGTAGCATTTGGGCGGATTTTCACTTTATCATCGCGAGTGCAGATAAAAATTCGGAAATCTGGATTGTAATCGATTTGTTTTCCACCAAAGCTGATAACTTGTCTAGGACCCTGAGATGATAGATCCTTGCGAAGAATTGGAATCAAAGCAGAATCGAAATCAACAACATCATCAACAATTATTGTTTTACCGAATCGGATAGCCAACTCAATTTGAGTCATCAAATCGGATTGGGCAGCTTTGAAAGTTTCAGATTTTTCCAAATATTTTGAAAGGAATAGTGGAACTTGTCCAGATGGATCAATCAGAAGTGGAACATGATTTGTATTAAACATAATCATGGAATTCTCGAGGGATAAAGTATCCGCAGGCAATCCTTTAGTTTTCCAATTTAGTTGTTCGGTTTCGAGTGAAGCAAATGAAAGAGGTTTGAAATGACTCATATTAAACATTTTGCACATAGCCTTCAATAAATTGTTTCTCTCTTTCTCACTACATCCTCCAAGATATGTTATAAATGCTGAAGTTATTAATGAACATATTTCCATTTTGGATTGTTCTTCTCCAAGTGTTTCAATCTGCGCTTTCCATCGCTGAAATTCTCCGGATAAACTTTCGACAAGAGTTCCAGCAATTCGAATTGTATCTTGTTCCCTTTCCAGATCAACTTTGATTTGTGTCGCTTCCTTCATCAACGCTTCGAACTTCTTTTTCAAATCTCCAACAACTTCATCAACACTTTGCAAGCCTTTCGACAAATTCTCCATCTGTTTTTCCGCTTTTTTCAAATTCCTAGAATTTGCTTTTTTTTTTTGAAAAATTGTGAAAACTCACTTGATAAGCTTGTTCTTCTCATTTTCCAACGGCGAGATTTTCTCCAATATTTTCGAGTATTCGAGATTTGCTTTAACCCAAGCAGCGAGTGGAGCTGCGGCAACAGAAGCACGCTTTGCAGTCTGAAAAATTGGCGAGGTTGGAAAAAATGAGAAAAACACAGAAAAATTACAGCTTCTTCGAAAGAGTTGGGTTTTTGCTTGACCAATGCTGTAACTTTTTTATGAATATCATTTGTGATTCGATTTGCGTCGAAGTTCATTATATCTTCTTTCACACCACTTTTTGACAAGAATCTGAAAAAGAAAACGTCTGATTTGATGTGATTCAGAAGGTCCATCAATCTTTAAAAATTGTAAAAACAAGGATTTTTAGGAAGTTAGTAAAAGGAGAATCCCTTTCCTCAAGTTCCATATCTTACTTTCTCATAGCTTCCCAAGAAGTATCCAATATCCCCATGAATAGTAGAACTGCTTGAAGAATATCTCTCACAGCTTCCGGCGGTGCTCGCAAACTTCGAATCTCACTCAATGATTCAGATTTGATAGATCCGACAGCTTTTCTCGCCGCATCAATCAATGGTTGAACCTCTTTCAATTGCTCATCAATATTCGCTTTTTTCTCTTCAATTCGAATATTTTCCTTTTCAGTAGCCTCTTTCAATTGTTCCATCGATAATTTCTGATCTTCAGCTCCACTCATACTTTCAGTAATAGCTTTCAATGCTTCATCAGCTTCTGCTTGTTTTTCAGCCAATAATTTACTCTTTTTCCCCGCTTTCTTCTGCATTTTTGCCACTTCTTCACTAGCCTCATTCAATTTCGAAACTCCACCTTGTAATCGATTTAGCCTAACTGTCAATGTCGATTTTTTATATTCACACATTTTTGCGTAATTCTCCACAAATTGTCGATATTTGATTGGCTGGAGTGATAGATTATCTGGAAGTGTTACCAAAACATCTACAAATCCACTCAATACAACATCTGTTGCTTCGATTTTCTCCTTTTCAAGATAGAGTTTTGGGATCTCATTGAGAGCTGATCTATCAAATCGATCAGAATAAATAATATTGCAATGTTTGAGAATTGATGGATTTTCAGTTATATTTATCTTGAAATCATCAGCCTCAACATCCATTATAAGAACAACATGAACCAGGTTTCGAATTCCTGGAAATTTTTTTCTAGAATCTAAGTGAGAAGCTGAAACTCACGATGTGCTAGAAATTGTTGAAGTGCTCCGGTGAATGATGCTTGACTTGCAGCTTCTGAAACTTGCGCAACCAACCCATCCAATTCTTGTTGCGTAAATAATCCGGGAACATTTCCACTTGCCAACAATGAATTTACGGCTTGTAGGAATATATTTTTCCGAAGTTGTTGATCTTCAAAAATCAGGACTACGTGTTCGGTATTTGTCACGGCATGTGTAATGGCCTAGAAAAATTATTTAAAATTCAAATATTACTGACAAAGGTTTCCTTACATTCTTCAACTCGTTATCAAATTGTTTCGATGAGAAATTGGCGGTTACTGTAGGCGAAAATACAGTAATATTATGCATATGTGAAATGAGTCGAACTGCATCGCGTCTACCGTAACCAGTTCGACCGGGCAAGAATAAATGACCAGAGGGAGTTGTGAGAACTCGATCGACTTGAGCGCAGAGATGAGTTAGTTGAGTTGTAAGCAAAGATGAGAAATTGGCGATTTCGAATTCGAAACGATTGATTGATTTGAGAAGAAGAGTTGAGAAATCGGAAATATTGATAGGAGTTAGGGGAAGTCCGATGCTACTTTCACCGGGGATTATTGTACCGGTTGTTACGTGAACTTTGTCGCTTGATGAGGAATGGGGAATTATGTTGCGAAGAATCTCCTCGAATTTTGATTTTTCGCTTTCGGAAGGTAGACGATCTTCGAAGATTCTTCTAGCTTCGAAACAGAGGATTGTTTCGAGTTTTGATGCATCAATCTCATGCCGTAACAATGCGATAACCCAGTTAGTTAGATCTCTTGGAGAGAAGCTATACACAATATTTTCGGATTGTTTAAAAGTTCCTTGAACTCGATTGAAAACATCAACCATTCGACTTGCAATAACTTCAGCATTCGAATCTTCTAGAATTGGCGACAAATATGTTCGATAAATTGATGTTAGTTGTGAATCATCGGTTTTGTTGAGACTTATACATCGAAGATGGGAAAGTAGACGAGGTGGAATATTGTTGGCACTTTCACCGATTGGATTCATCGATCCGACAAATTGTATATTCTCAATGGAAACCCATTCCAAATTATGATCGAAGAATCCTTGATAAGTTAGAAGTTGGTGAAGCAATGCTAACAATTCATTAGTCCCATATTTATCAGGAGCTGGCAGATTTATACTTTTCAAAAATAATATTAGATTCGGACGATCTTTTGGTTTCCAAACTCTTCCCGATGGATTACTTGCTTGCACACAATTCTGCTGAATTAATTGAAGTAAATGAGATGAACTTGATTGTGCTGAACAATAGAGAGTAGCCAATTGACTATTCGGATCATTTTGATAACAATGTTTCAATAATTGTTGTTTTCCACAACCAGTTGAACCAGTTATCACGAAACTTTCACGATTATCAGATTGTAGCCAAGAGGAAACAATATCCGAATATTTTTGAGCATCTGCGGTGAGCACAAATGGTCGAAGATCTTCTCGCTCGACTTCTTCTTTGGTGACTGATTGAGAAACATCATCGGTGTAAGTGACTAAACCATCAATTCGATCATCGTAGCAGATATTGGAAGGGTCAGCGAGAGGCATTCCTGGAAATTGGAACTGTAGCTGAATCGGTAGGGGAGATCCAGAAATTCTATAATTCCCGTTTATATCCGAAAATTGATCTACAGAAAATTTAGAATAATTTTAGGAAAGGGATACTGTGGAAACATCTGAAAAGCTTAAGGGTTCTATGTTACCGACTTCTTCTGGTTAAGAATCAAAGGCTTACAATAAGGATCAGATTTTTAAGGCTTTTACGTTAAAGTTATGCTCCAAGAGTACCAAGTTTTTTCTGTTCCCCATTCTCACCTTGAAAAACCACACTTTTCGCAAAATCTGCCCTTTTCTCCGGAACAATATACGGTGCAAAACCATTGAACAAGAACACCAAAAACTGTGTTTTCGATTTGCTGACCCTCAAATGCGTTAGACCATTCCTCAACAACGCGAAATAAGTGATACCCGGAAGTTGATTCGATCTCGCGTACTTCAAACATTTCCAAAAATATTCATCAATCCAACTCGACATCTCTGCGTGTAAATTGTCTGAATCACTAGCCAACCAACTTTTGATAACATCTTTTGGGGAGACATCTTCCTCGCTTATGTAAATCATACCCATTCTGGAAACTGTTGCGGGTGAGGCGAATTTGAGAGAGTCAGTTTCGAAAACAAAGTTGACATTTGACCCAAATTGAATACGTTCACCGGAGGGCATTGTTAACTGAAAATAAATGATTCATCAATGGAAGTTATGCGCCTCCAATAACTCACTAATCTATTGTCATCTAACACTGAATTAAGAGCTTCTACCCATTCTGGATCAATATCTCCATCACAAACAATCCAATGATGAACAGATGTATCTTTGATAACTTCTCTTGCTGCCATTGTTATAATACCATCTGACCATTCTCGTGTATCCATATCCATGTTTCCTAACAATTTATTACGATTCACAGCTTTTGGATTGAAAGTGGTAACCCGTAATGAAGTTTTAGTCAGAATCAATGCTCGTTGTAGAACTTTCCAAATTGTCGATTTACCCGAACCAGCTTCTCCAACAACCACAACTCCAATTCGTTGTCTCATTTGCTCATAAAGTTGGAATACTTTCTCAAATTGTTTATCACTCAATTTTATATTCATCTCTTTTGCAGCCTCATTCAATGGTTCTATCAAGTTTTCGAATTTTGCCATTTCCTTGTTAGGTTTTGAAAATATATCATCAACTAGGGAATTGAATCGCTGAGAATCGCTGAAGGTTAATTTTGACAAAGTGTTGAGTAAAAGTGCCTGGACCACCAAATCTGTCTCATTTTTTGATGGTTGACTTTTCCTTAGCGAACCACAACCTCCTAAAACCACCTTGAGTGCCCGAAGTCCCCAATCATAATGTTGTTGCTTGGATAACATTTGTCGACTCAATTGAAATACTGTGACAATTTTTCTCGCCAACGATGTTGCATCAACAAATCCTTCCGAATATAAAATGGTGGAAGCGATCAATTCATTATCTGGTTTTCCCATAACCACAGCTCGGAATAATTGTTTCAAATTGTCTGGCATTTTCTGTCGTCCACCATAACCTTTTCCAGCTGGGTTGAGAGTAACAAAAATAGCACTGTTCGGGTTGACTTGAACTGTTTTGTTGGCAAAAGTGCAGGAGCCGGTTTTGGCTTTGATTGCACCTTGGATAGTTTGGATTTGCATTGAGACTGCGGACAATACGGTCTGCAAAAAAATTTATTGATTTTCTGAAATTTTTATATGATGAAACTTACTGAATCTAGCCGATTGAATTCATCAAAACATCCCCAGGCACCACACTCAACAATCCCCGTAAAAATCCTTCCCATCGATGTAACATCAATACCTTCATCACAATTGAAAACCAAAACTTGTCTACCCATTAATGCAGCCAATGCTTTCACAGATTCAGTTTTTCCAGTTCCAGCTGGTCCGTAGGGATTTCCTCCCAAACCCATGTACATAGCTTGTGTCAAAGTGAGATAACATTTATCGGTTAGAGGTGTGTGAACAAGTTTCGAGTAGTTTCCTTGATATTCATAAGTGTATTCGAATTCACTGGAAACTTGTCGAAGAACAACTGAACCTCCTGAGACTTGATAAAATCGAAGTTGTCTTTGCCACGTCCAACAATTTATTGAGTTCGCTTTGTTTTCTATTAATTGATCAACAACATCAATATGATGAATCAAATCCAGAATTAAAGATTTCAATTTGAGATCTGATACCTTGTCATCAACCTTCATATTGGTATAGGTTTTGAGTTTTTCTTGAAGTTGAGATTTGAAAGATCCTAAATCCTTCGAAGAGTTCAGCACTGATTCAACTGACGCGCTGAATTTCACCTCTTCCGCAAGACATAATATTTGAGATGGATATTTTGCAAGAGAAGCTTGTTGATCATTAACAGCCTGTGCTCCAAGATCTCTCAAAGTTTTTCTCATCTCATCAGATACTTGTTGAAGCCATGTCTCAACTTGTGGCACAATTCTCACAGGTTTCGAAAGAGCAACAACTTCACCTTCAGCTGATACAATTGAGGAAATTGTTTCAGAATTTGAGGAGAATATAACTTTATCGATTCCCTGAAATAGTTTTTTCATATGAGATTGAATGACTTGTGGGTTTGTAGATTGGCCAAGAATTTCGAGCAAATCATCGTCTCCAATAAAATAGAATCGAGGGAACGCATTCCGTTTTTGCTCCAAAAATTGGTTCAGCGCTTTCTGACAACGATTCAATTGATCCACAATTTGTTCGAGACTTTTCTTTAAAGATTGTCGACTGCAAAGTGAGACCAATCTCGCATCTTTCGACACATCATTCAAAATCGCACGATATTCTGAATCGACTCGCGAGAATCTCGAAGCCTCTGATGGTAGAGCACCTCTCCCAAATATCGGCTCAAGATATATCCATTTTCTCTGAATCTCATTCATTTGTCCCAAATAGATATCGAGATCTGCGAGACGAGTTTCCCAAACTCCAGTTTTGTCGGTGAATTGAGAATAGTATGGAGAGGATTTGAGCGATTGCAGAAGGGCTTGACTGTCTTTCAGCTGGAATTTTTGGGTTGGATTGATTTAGGGAAATAAGATGACGTGGCAAATAGATTTGAATTTATTGAGTTTTGAAAAATCACTCAATTCAGAAAACCTTGAATTTCGGATTCGCTTGAAATTTCAATTCAAAATTATATAAACTTTTTTTTTGGAATTTTTTGGGAACCTTCAACTTTCCCTAAGTATTTTCAAAGCCTAGAATTGCCACGTCATATCTAATTTTCTCCAGAACCTCGGACTTTGTAAAAAAAAATAAATCAACTTGATTTTTACTGAAAAATTTAAACCCAAAGTCTCTTGAAATCCACGTTTGCCACGTCATAGCTCATTCTCTCTCTCTCTTCAACTCACCGAATTTATGGATTCCTTCCACTCTTTAATAATCTTCAAATTCTGTCCATTTGAATGTTTATAATCAGCCAGCGTGAATTCAGTTTGCGCGGCCCAAAGTGTCAGTTCCTGAATCGCATCTCGAATCGCAACTTCTCCTTGCGCGCGAGAATTGAGTTGTTTCAACTGATCCACATTGTCAACAATGTTTTTCGAAACACCGAGAAGATCCACGAATTTCAATTTTTCGATGGTTGTTCCTCTGGGAAGCCCGAGGAATCGGAACATTTCATGCCAATGATCCGCGCTCAAAACATCACCGCGGCAAAATTTGAGAGCACTGCTAAGTTCCTGAAAATCTTAAGTTCAATCACCTCCCAAACATCTAGCTTACCTTAAAATGTTCGACATCTTTCATAAGCCTTACACTCATATGAGTCTGATTTGAACTCTTCAATTTCTCCGCCCATTTTTGTAAAAACTCATCAAACAAATAAGTTTTGCTCCTAAAAACAATCCATTCCTCCTGGGCCAAACTATCCAAATCGCTATTAAATTGCTCATAAATCAGCCAATTGTCCTCGAATAATTTGATATCTTCATCGATTTCGTCGATTATTTCGAGTTTTGGGGGATCGAGGCCAAATTGTCCACTTTCTTTGATGATTTTCTCGCGAGAATCGGCGAGTTCTTGCCATTGTTGACGTTTTTCTTTGATGAATTGGATTGCTTTTATCATCTCGTCTCTGAGAAATTGAATTTGGAAAGTAGGGAAATTTTTAAAAAATATCAAAGGGTTCTAAAATACGGAGGGCCCAAAACTTGAAAAGGTAAACATTTTCTTTGGAATTTTTGGTCTACAACTCAAAAATATATCAAAGTTCCCTGAATTTTCCCCTTCTCACCGATCTCCCTGCAAAGCATCAGTCCTTGGTTTGAATTGATCCCATCTGGCTTTCAATTTCTCCGCTTCATCCTTCATTCCTTTTATATTTGTCTCAACATTTGTTTTCAAAACATCAACTTGATCTTTGATCATCAATTGATGACTGTCTAACATGATTTCGAATCTCTCCCAATTTTGCTCGAGATTATCGATTTGTTCGACGTTTTGTCCGGCGACTGATCTGAGCAATGTGTATTGATCTTCCATCACTTTCCATTCTTGTTTTAGCTGAAATGGAAAATTAGGTACAGTAATTCGAAATTTTGTAGATCAGAAAATTGATTTCGCAACTACAGTAATCAGGAACCAATTTTTGGTTTCCTGTAGATCAAAATCAAATCCGATTTTCCCCAGTCGAACCTGTTTATTAGTCTCTGCAAAAATGGCATGTTTCGCATTGGCTTCAGCAATCTCATCAATCGATTGAGGACGAGATGATAAAACATCAATAGCTTGCGATAAAAATGTATTGATTGATTGAGAGGTGGTAGATATTGAGTGCCTAAAAAATCCCTATAAGATTAAAAAAAATTAAATTATGTTTTGTACCTTAAAGTCCAAGTTAAGGTGTCGAATAATCTTTGAATCGCATCCTCGATGGATGATTTGACACCAGCTGTGCTCACCAAAATGCACTCGAATTTAAGTTCACTGAAAAATTTAATTAATCAATTAACAAAAATTTTTTAATGAATCTTACTGGGGAAGTCTTTCAGCCTCTCTCGCTTTCGTCTTCAAAATCTTGAATTGATTTTCCCAATCTGCCGCATTTTTCAAATTCTCCTCAATCAATTCTTCTAAATCGATTTGCGCTATAACTAGCCAATCAGAAAATGTTTGACCGCAAGATTCGACTTTTGAAATGAGTTGTTCGGCTTTCTCAAATATTGTGGGTAGAAGTTGCATGGATCGATCGATCATTTGAGAGTAGAATTTTGTGGACACATCATCTTGAACACCTTTGAAAGAATCGGGGAGACGCAGGAATTTTGAGAGTTCTTTGTAGTAATTTGAGCGGATTTCTTCGATTGGTGGGCGGAGTTGGATTTTTTGATCGCTGGAAAAGTTAGGTTCAATTTTTAGTTTTTTTTTTTGAAAATTCAAATATATTTCTTTCTCAAAATTTTGAGATTAGGTTTTTTAGGCTTTGGCTTAGGCTTTCAGGCTTGGGTTTTCTTAGGCTTAGTACTTTAAGCTTTGGCTCTTAAGCAAAACATTTTTCTCCAAATATTTCAAAATTATCTTGAAAATTCTCTGAAGGGATTCCGATCAAAAAAATTCGAGCCTAGATTTTTTAGTTTTCCGAAAATTACAAAGAAACCTGGACGATCTTAATATCTGAGGCTTCTCCAAACTCACACAAAAACTAAATTCACAGCAATGGTAGGAATCTGTGTTTGAATACTCTCAATTCCCCATTCATATTGTATCAACATAGCCTTATACAATTGATAATCCCAATGAATCATCCAAGTGCGCATATTTTTTCTCGTCGCTCCATGAATCAATTCCTCATCTTTCATTTTCGATTTAATTTTAATCACAATATCTCGCCACTCATTATTTTGTTTTAATAAATTGAGATCCATTAATTTTTCAACCATCTCAATCAATTCCATATGAACATTTCTTAATCGTCGATTTCGATTCGATAATTTCTGTTCAGCCGTTTGAAGTTGTTGAATAAATTCTTCTAATTGTTTCGGCTCATTCCATGTAACTTTCGAAGCGCTATTTGATGCATCTTTCCTTGGAATCACCAATTTTTCAAAAGCTATAGCTTCATCTAACATCAAACTTTGTTGTGATGGAATCATTTGTTGATCAATGGTATTATAAAAATGAGCAATCTGTTTTAAAATCACACCATATCTATAATATTTTTCTCCGTTATTACAACATGTCATGATTTTTGAAGGAATATTGAATCCTAAACTGCTTAATTGTCGAACTTCCTTTAAAAGTCTCAAAAGTCTATCCGAATAATTCACATTTAATTCGCGATTTGAAGATTCTAAGATCATAATTTTTCCAGTTGTCTCAAGAGCAATTGAATCATTCTTATCCTCAATTAAATTAATAGTTTCCCTCGACCAATCATCAAAACATTCTTTCTCCGCGTAATTCAATCGATCGATAAATTCTCCGAGTTTCGAGGCAAAGTTAGCATAATTCGATAGATCATTTAACATTAATTTACTGAGCGATCGAATATTTTCCATTTGTGTTGTTTGTTGTCGAATCCACACGATTTTTGCGGCAATTTCGGTGAGAAATTGGAAATTTTTGACGTCGACTTGATTGATTTTCTGCTCGAATTCCGTGTTTTTTGTGGATAACATTGAGATGAGACGAGATAGAAATGCTTCTCTTTCATGAAGTAGTTTTTCTTTGATGTTTGCACGGCATAGAAAAGTTTTCAGGCGCTCCAGAGAAATTACAATCTGCAAATAATTAAAAATTATGAAAAACTCTCGAAAAAGGCCCAAAAAAATCCAGGTGGATTTTTATTCAAAATTCAGATTTTTTTTAGAAAATTTTAGCGCTGAAACTTTCGATTTTAGACAAAAAATCCACGAGAAATTAAAATTTTGTTTTCAAAAAATTTTACTGTTTCAAGAAAATGATAAACAATATTTTATGTATTATTCAGTGCTGTTTGACCAATTTTTGTTGTAAAAATTTGCAGCTCAGAAAAAATTAAAGCTCATTCTTGAAACAGTGAGATTTTTCAGAGAAACTTAATCATTTTTTTCGAGCTAGAATTCTTGGAAGTTGGAACTTTATGGCCTGACCTAAAATTAAAATTCAAAATCTTCACTGCTAATAAAACAGATATCAATATCCAATTGAATTTCAAAATTCAGAAAAATATTCTAAATTAATTTTTGAAACAGTGACATTTTTGGGTAAAATCCATTGTTTTCAACGAGAAATAAAAATTTTGTTTTCAAAAAAAATTGAATGTTTCAAGAAAATGAGAAAAAATATTTCAATTAGAATTAAGAACTATAACTAAGGGATAATTAAGAGTCACAAAATGTTTTGTATGCATATACATAGAATGAGAAAAATCCACTGTTTTCAATGAGAAATCAACAACTGTTTCAAGAAAATTATAAACAAGATTTCAATTTCTAAATCAGTGCTACATCTGTCTTGCATTAAACTCAATTAATTTTTGAAACAGTGAAATTTTTTCCAGTAAAAAATGTAAAAATTCTCACATTTTGAGCATCTCCTGAAGACGGAGCCAATCTTTGTTTCAAAATCGGAAGTGTTCTATCAATAGTTGATTCAATCGATCTTTCAGCTACTAATAATCTCGATTTCCAATTTGGTTCTGTGAATGGATTATAAGCCAATGGTGCCATTCCACGCATTGCTGTTTCAATGGTTTTTTCGATTTCCTCACGAATTCCTTTTTCTTGGAGAAGTTCTTCGAGTTGGATTCCGAGAGATGAGAGAGACATTATCTGGAAGGAACAATATTTTAGGATAAAGTAGCGATTGAAATTCAAAATTTTCAATCAAAAATTTCCCTCACCTCATCCAATCGATCTCTAAAAGCCAACAAAAACTTGATATCCAACTCATTTCCCTCCCATTGATGTTCGACGTGTCTTTTCCATGTTTGCGATGTTAAAAGTTTCACTGAGAACATCATTTGATCACACAAATCGATGCCAATTCGCAATTTTTCCGCACTTCTTTCATCTCTCCAAATTGTTTTCTCATCGATTTTTGATGTGATTTGATCGCAGAGATATGATGCTGAAAATTGAGCATTTTTTGGGGGAATCTCGAAAAATCGATAATTTTCCAGAAAAATAGAAATGTATGTTTTGGGAATTGTTTCCCGCAAAGAGATTTAGAGAAAAATATTTTTGATCTACCACAAAAAAGTTTTGAATTTTTGAGGTCTTCAATTTTGAATTGGGTATTATTAATACTTGTAAAATACTAATATTTTATGATTAAATTTTGAAACAGTAATTTTTTGGCTAGCAACAAAATGATATTTTTGGAATAAAAAATTTGACAAAAAATGAAAGCTAGAAGTTCCTGAATTTCTGCTCTCTCTAGATCTTTTGTTGCCAGATTTTTTATGTTTATAATAAAGTTCGACTCACCCATAGATTCTAGCAAAACCTTCATTTTAGCTTGTGGATAAGGTTTTGAACAATTCCACAATTCATCACAAGTCTCTTCATAAGATTCAACAAGTTCCGAAAGTTCTTCAATATTTCTCTCTTGTAAAGTATCCATTAAAAGTTGAAGTTGTTTAAAAGCAGCTGAATATTCATCCGATTTACTTTTCCAACTTCGAATTTCGTCTTTCAAAGAATCACCGCCCGAATTTCCAACAACATCTACACTTGCCAACAAACTTTCTTCTAATTCATTTACGGCACTTATTAGTTGTTTGTTATTTCCTTCGGATAATTCTTTACCGAAAACCTGGAAAAAATAGAATAATGATTTGTTTTCTGAAATTTTTGAAAAATCTGTAATTTTCAGTTAAAAAAAGCCGTGTGGCAATTTTTTTTAGCTCAAAACCGAACCTGAATAATTTAGGTTTCAATTTTTTCAAATAATTTTTCAATTATTTTGAAAACTGGTATTTTCTTGTCCAGTGCCATATTATTTTCTCTCTCTCCTATCGTGAACTTGGTGCTCCTAACATAAATACATTTTCTTTGAAATTAAAAATTATGTTGAAGAGATTTTTGTTGAAAAAATTTCACTGTTTCAAAATTTGATTATAAAAGTTTTGTTTGACCAAGAAATATTGGAGATGCACTATCAAAAAAAATTTCGTATTAAATTTTTTTGTTAGAGAAATTTCACTGTTTCAAAATTTTACTATAAAAAATTGGTTGGACTGAAAATTGTTCGATGTAGGGTTCTTCACGGTTTCAAAAAATTTTCGAATGTAAATTTTTCAACAAAATTTTACTGTTTCAAAGTTGGAATATGAAAATTTGGTTTCATCAAAAATTGTTCCTTCATAATTCTTTCTTTTCCAAAAAAATTAACTGTTTCAAAAGATTTCTATAAAATTTCAGATTCACCAAAAAATGTTTATTGGCATTTTTACACTGTTTCAAAACTCTATTAATAATTTGTTGATTTCTTTACAAAACAATAATGTTTCCTCTAACTCACATTTTGCACAGATTTCAGAAAAACTTGATTCAAAGCTCCATTTGCTGAAATCACATTAACCACACTTTTATAATTCTCATTATTGAGTGGAATTGATTGAGTTTTGTAGAAAACCACTCGAAGAACATTATTTGTTGGCAACGAGGATTTCATTTTATTTGTCATGTCGACTTTCTGAAAAAAAAAACATTTTTGAGGTTTTTTCATTCAAATTTCCCACGAAAATTTATTTTTTTTACAAATTTAAATTTTCAATCAATCAGCAAAATTGTCCTGAGAAATTCGAGCTCTATTTTTTTTGCGCCGAAAAATTCTTTATTTTTACAAACCTGCTCGGATCTCGTGAAAACTAGCAAATTCGTATTCGAATCCACAAAACTTTCCAAAGGTTGTGTATTTTTCAGCTTTTCCTCTGTGATATTTGAGCCTAATAAATAGCTGGCCAACCTCAAAATATAATTTTTCCGCTGATCCCCCTTACTTTCCCCGTTTTGCGCCATTTTTCTGAAAAACTTTATACAATAATCATTTATTGAAATTTGATATAAAGAAATGTTTATATTTATTACAAATAAAAAATTATAAAAATAAATAATAAAACAAAACTCTCGAGTTTAGAAAATGGGAAGTCTGTTTTGGTTTATGTTTGCCTGGTTGCCATGGTGTCTGAAATAAATAAATTTTTGAATCTGGGAACGCTGGTGACGTAATTATTAGGGTTTCAGGATTAAAATGTTGAAAAAATTAAAAAATTAAAATAATAAAAAAACATTTTTCGAAAAAAATTACTGTATTTTTAAGGTGCACAATAATATTCCTTTCTCCGCTGTAAGACCATTGTTCGATGGAGCGCACTTTCCTCATCATAGTTTTTTATTTTTGTTTTTCCACTTTTCTGTTTCGCCCGCCGCAAACTGCCCAAAATCAGTGATTCAAACTGGAACTATATATCAAAAACACTCACTCTTCACTCTCCTCTCTTCTCTTCCAACAATAAACATTTCAACCCACCAAACGCGCTCCATTGTACTAGTCTAGCGAGTGACACACACTATTTTTCCCCGTTCCTCCTTTTTAGTTTACGAAATATATAATATTAGTTGCAGACAGGAAAGAAAGGAAAACAATTATTATTGGAAGAATTGATGAACTTGCGGTAAAATGGCTCAGTTTTGTGCGGAGAATCGAGATCTCTCATGCTATTTGGTGATTAAACATTCGTGGAAGGGAAAGTGAGTTGAACTTGGAAAATTTTTGAATCTGAAACCACAATTCGATGTTTTTTGCAGATATAAACGTGTATTTTCAATTGGAACCTTGGCCATTACTACTTACAACCCTCAATCATTGGAAATCACAAATCAATGGCTCTACGAGGATTTTTTGGGTGTGAAACCATCGCCGAAAAATGCGCAAAATGATTCGAGACAAGACGAATTCGTGATTCATGTGAGATCCAAAGGAAAACGAGATACAATGCGATTTTCGTCGGATTATACAACTGATATACTGACGCATTGTTTGACTTTCAGCACAAAATTTGCCGAGCGGAATCAAGATCCATTTGTGAGTCAAAATTCTTGGCAATAATAAAAATTAAAATTCATTAAAAAAAAATGTATTTTCAGTCAGTCAACGCTTTCAAACAAAGTTGGTCAGATCGTCGAATTCCAATAGTTCTTCGAGCAAATGCTTCGGCTTTAGAGCAAATTGATAATCGTGGAGTTGTTGTGCAATCTTATCCATACAAAAATATTCGAAGTATTGGGAAGATTGGCGATTGTCCGGGTGGATTTGTGGTTGATGTGGGAGAGCATCGAAGAAGGGTGGGTTTTTGTGGGAAAAAATTCGAAGACCTATTTTTTGGTATTAAAAATTGAAAATCTGAGAAATTCAATCCAAATTTTATGAAAAATAGTCAAAAATCATATTATTCTTCGTGAAAATTAACCTAAAATTGATAAATATTTTAGTCAAAGCAAAATGATTTGCAGTTCAATTTCCATAATGTTCATTCAGTGAAAATTTTGGTTTCAGAATTTTTTTGAGACAATTTTATCTAGAAGAAGTTTCATCGGATCACACCTCGGCCAAACCGTGGCTGACCAGAGTACAATTTTTTGAAAAATCTGAAATTCACTTTTTAGATGTCAAAAATTGAAAAATCACAATTTTTAGAGGACAAAAGCTGAAAAATTCACAATTTTTGTACTGTAAAAAGTTAGCGTACAAATTTTTACTGTGGAAACCACGATTTTGGCCGAGGTGTGCATCGGATTTTTGACTGAAAATTTCGAAGCTTTCAATTAACTAACAAAAAAATCGGTTCAAAATTCAGAAGGGCGAAAAAAATTCAATTGAAATCAGATTTAAAATATTTTTTTCAGCACATGTTTGCGTCTTCAAATTGTGATGATTTGGTGAAAGAAATCCGAAGATTGGCTGCAGATAACATTGGAATCCTAGTCCCAATTGCTAAAGAAAGCATATCCCTTGATGATTTTATGCGAACTCGTTTAGGATTATGCAGTCGAGATGAAGAACTCACCTCCTATGCCGAATTCAAAATCTCAAAAATCACTCGTCGCAACGAAACTCCGATTCGACGTCTATTATGTTTGAGTGAAACTTGTATAATTGAACGAGATCTCGCAACTTATGCTGTTATTTGTGCGACACCTTTGAAACATATAGTTTGTTTGGTGAGAAATGAGAAGGATCCACAACAATTTATTGTTGAATATGAGAATGGCGAGGGAAGAGCTTATGTGGCGGCGGAAAGAGATTTGATTTTGGCGTCACTTTTGGATGGAATTCGGGCTTCGGGGAATAATGAGGTGTTTGTTTGTGGACATCGATTTGAACGACATTTGAGGATTGTACCATTTTCGATGGGTTTGGATGAGGATAGTGAATCACAGTGTATGAGACATATTATTGCATCGCCACGTGAGTTTTTTTAAGGGGTTTGAACTCAAAAAAAACATCGAAAATTCATATTTGTTTCATTTTTAATTTGAAATGGAATAAGGGGTTTTTCGATCAAGTTGATTGAGTGCTCAATAGAAATTTGTTTTTTTTTTGTTTCAAGTAGATTTTATAAGCTGAATCATTATTTTCACTATAAAAATAATGTCGAATTTTTGAAACAGTGGAATATTTTTGAATTTTCAAAAAAATCGAAATTGGTAATTTTAACGAATTTTGGGTTGAAATTTAGTTTTTCATTCGAATGATTTTTGATTTTTCAAAGAAAAATAATGTTCAATTTTTGAAACAGTGAAAATTGTTTTTTCGTTTCAATTAGAATCCTTCTATAAATCATTTTTATCTTCAATAAAAAATGAATATAGAATTTTTGAAACAGTAGAAGTTTTGATTTCTTCGATCAACTTTATTTGCAATGAATAATAATGTTCAATTTTTGAAACAGTGAGATATTTTCAAAAATTTTTGAACACATGGAAAATTGTTTTTTTTTTCAAGTTGAATCGTCCATGAATCATTTTTGTCTTCAATTAAAAATTAATATGGAATTTTTGAAACAGTGAACTTTTTTTGAATTTTTGAGCACATCGAAAATTTATAATTTTTTTCAATTTGAAATAGAATGAAGTCTCTCTCTGGAACTATTTAATATAATTTATTTTCAATTAAAAATTAATGTCGAATTCTTGAAACAGTAATAATTTTGGATAATTGTTAGCTAGAGATTCTCAAATCATTTCCGATTTTTCAAAGAAAATTGATGTTCAATTTTTGAAACAGTTAATTTTTTTCACAATCAATTTTTCCCGAAAATAAAAAAAAATATATACAATGAAAAAATGTCATTTCAAATTTATTTAAAAAATGGCAATGGGTGAATTTTGGTAGAATTTAAAGTGAGTTTCAAAACATGAAAAATAATTCAGAAAGTTCGATTTTTTTAACAACAAATGTCTTTTTATCTCCGAATGCTTGACAAATTTTAAACAATAAAATTTTGAAACAGTGAAATATATTTTGAATAAATTTCTCCTCCCATTTCAATTATTTTCAGCTGGTCTCCGCCGATCTGATTTGATTCGTCGATTCAATGCGAACATTCCATATTCTGGTCTCCGATTCTCCAAATCACACGAAGGATTTTTCACCGAAAACAAAGGAAAAGTGATTGTCGGAGCAATTGAAGCTGTTTTATCAGAAAATTATGGAAGTGAAGATCCGACTTATAAACACAAAACTGAAGCACAATTGCAATGTTTGAGACGACTTTTTGCGTCGAAAAGCGGGTTTCAGGCGTTTACTGAAGTTAATGGGTTAGTCGCGAGACTTGAGTTATGACGTGACTGAATTTTCTGAAAATTTTGGATTTTGGCCGCCTTAGCTAAATTTGAACATAAAATTGAACCAATAGAAAATTGAAAAAATTCAGAAATTGGGTCCCAAAATCCATGTGGCAAAAATGTTACGTTTAAAAATTTTTGTGCTCCAAAAATCCACGTGGCAAAAAATTTAATGTAAAATTTATTTTAAATTTGAAATTTCAAGTTTTGTAGCATTTTTGTCGCCAAAAAATCTGAAAAATCCGAAATTCAAAATTAGCTCCTGAAAAATCCACGTGGCAAATTTTTAAAATTAAAAAGTTTTTCAAATTTTGAAATTCCACGTGGCTGAATATGCCTAAAAGTTTCGAATTTTCCGAAAATTAGCACCTCGAAAATTGATTCACGTGGCCCAAAATTCTTGAATTTTTCAAAATTTTTTAAAATTTAAAACGTGACCTAATATAAGACGTGGAAAATTTCTCATTTTTTACATTCTTTTTTTCGAAAAAACCTCATTTTCATTTTTTTTACCCATTTCAGAGTTCGAGAAAAGCTTGGAAGTTTGGTGGTTCGAGTTCTCAGCTGGAAATGTGAAGCCGTAGATCATGCAACAGTTGAAGCACTCTGCGCTCTTATGTATCCAATGCATGATCAATATGAGCTCAGAATTGAGCAACTCAATAAACAAAGTCTTATGAGTTCGCCGAAATTCATCGAAAATCTTTTGGATTTGATTGTAACTCATGTTGATAGATCAACCGGTTGGCTTGTTATTGCATCAATGCTCAATTTTTTGACATTTTCTGTTTGCTCACCATATTCGGAAACGACTTCTGGCGATACTTTTGATCATATTTTGAGACTTGTTTCAGCGAGAGGAAGAAGCTTTTTCAGGTAAAGAGATATTTGTTAATTTTATTTTTTTTTAATTCAAATTTCAAAACCATTTTTCTTCAGACTTTTCCAATGTCCAAGTATGACAATTGTAAAAGGAGCTGGAATGGTAATGCGAGCGATTATTGAAGAAGCTGATGTGGAAACATCGAAATCGATGCAAATGTTGGCACTATCTGAAGGAGCATTCTTGACACATTTGTTCATGTCGCTTTTGCAAAATGGAAAAGATTTGAGAGTTATGACAAATCGACAATTGAGTGGACATTTGATTAGTTTGTGGATTGCTGATAATCAACCGGCTAATGATTTGTTGACTAGATGTTTGGTGGGTTTTGGGGGCGAGGGGATTTGGGTGTTCTAAAAACATTTTTAAAAATAATCTAATAAATTTGAAGCTACGACATAGGAACACATTTTTCCGGTGCTTCGTCAAAAAAAAATATTTTTAAAAAAATCCACTTTTTTTCACTGTTTCAACATTTTATTTTCACAAAATTGATTACTTAATTTTGGGTTTTTGACGAAAATCACAGAAATCTTTCACTGTTTCAAAATTTTTATTCAAAACTCGAGTGGTTTTGTAAATTAGTTTTGTATGATTTTTAAATTGTTTACAATTTTCATGTGCCAAAAATTTTGCTGTTTCAAAATTTCAATATCAAAAATAAAATTCAAATGAATTTTGATGTTGCATTGATATTCTGTTTCAACTTAAAAATACATCACAATTGTTCACTGTTTCAGGATTTTCCTATGATAATTTCGATTTTTTTTGAAAATGATGCTCTGAAGTCTCGGTTATGCAACTTTTCAAATAATAATTTTGACTGTTTCATTAATTTTTGAAAATGAATTACTACAAAATGAATTACTGTAGGTGTTGAAAACTGATGAGTTTACTCTGCTATCAACAAATTTAAAAATTAGAAAAAAAATCAATTTTTTAGCTCACATAAAATTTATTTCATTTAAAATATATCAAAATTGTTCACTGTTTCAGAATTTTCTTATGATAATTTAAAATTTTCGAAAATTAATCTCAAGTCGGATAATCTAAATATTCTCCTTGTTTCATGAATTTTAGGAAAAAAATTACTAGGAATTTGAAAACTGATGGATTCAACAAGCCTATCAAAAATTACAATTAAAAAAAACATTTTGGAATTTTTCACTGTTTCTCCAAAATTGTGAAAATTTAAAAAATCAAAAATGCCAACTTTCGAGAATGAAAAGCTTCACTGTTCCAAATTTTTGATATTTAAAAAAAATCGAATTAATTTCAATGGTACATTGGCTTTTTCTAATTGAAAAAAACATCAGAATTTAAAATTATTTTCTAAAGTCTGACGTGAGTTATTCAACTTGAATCAATAAAATTTTATTTTTGAAAAATTCCACTGTTTCATAATTTTAGAAAATATATTATCAGGAGTTTGAAAATTGATGGATTGACTGTTTTGGCCAAATTTAAAAATCGCACTTTCAGCCTCGCGGACTTTTGAATTTCCTCGAATCGGATGAAGCAGTTCCAGTGGCCGAAAAAGATTTGCTAATCCCGCGCAACAATTTGTCAGCAGCCACCAACGAATCACGTCAACAAAATGCGGTCAAAGAAAAATTGGAGCAATTTCGCGTAACTGCCGAAGCTGGTCTCGAAAGATTTGTGCAACACTGGGATTTGGAGGAAAAATTGAACTTTTTGCCGAAACGAGTTATCGATGAAAAACAACAACAAAGACAACAACCAGTTGTATTGAGAAAAAGAAGAAAACGAGTTCGACCAAATGTGAACTGGAAATTGTTTGCATATCAATTCTCGAAGGATCACTCGCAAGCGGATTTGATTTGGAATGAAAAGACGAGAGAGGAATTCCGACATGCTGTGGATAATGAAACGAGAGCATTGGCGAGTGAAAAAGAACAAGCACCAACTGGATTACCGATTGCATGGAATCATACTGAGTTTCAGGTGAGAATTTTCGAAAAAAAATGCCATTTTGAAATTGTTGGCACCAAATTTCCATTGATTTTGCCACGTGGTTTTTTGCTAAAAATTTGATTTTTTTAAATCTTTCTAAAAAAATTGAGAGAATTCTGAAATTCTGATATTTTGAACCGGAATGTTAAGTTTCGAATACAATATTTCTCACTTTTAAATACCAAAAGTTCTAACACAAAATATTGATTTTGCCACGTGGATTTTGGTCAAAAATGTAGCCTGAAATTGTTCTCTACAAGCTTGAATTGAAAATCACCATAATTTCCCCGAAACAAATCCCAACTTTGCCTAACTTTTCCTATTCGCAGGTCCGATATTCTTCGCTCCAAGATGAGATCAAAATTGGAGACTATTATTTGAGACTTTTACTTTTGGAAGGCGATGAAAATGCGACACCAATTCATAATCCGTTAGTTTTTATTTTTCCTCTAAAAATCCTCATTTTTTCCATATTTCAGAACTGATTTCTTCAACAATGTCTATCATCGTTTCCTTTTGTCAACAAAATCTGACATGAGATGTTTATGTCTTCGAGCAATGGCAATCACTTATGCAAGACATCATATGACAATTGGATCATTTGCTGATTCCAAGTATTTTGTGGCAATGTTGATTAAATGTGCCAATCCATTGGAAAGGGATCATTTGGTGGGTGGTTTTTTGGGGGGAAACCTTGAAAAAATTAAAGAAGCAGGCTCAAAATTCAAAATTTGGTTTTTCTTCTGGTATTTTAAATAACCTTGAGATTTTATTTTTGAAAAAACCAAAATCCAAAACAAGAAAAATATCTTTCAGATTCTTCTACTCTCCAAACTTGCTTTGAACAAGGAAAATGTTCGTGAACTCATCGTTGCTAATATTTTGCCGTATCTCGTTGATCTTTGTGTTTTGGCGCATTTACATGTTCAACGGGCCAAGGTTCAGAATCAGGTTCGTACTTTTTATTTTCAGAGAATTGTTTACAAAATCATTGAGCAAAAATGGTTGTTTTTCTTAAGAGTTTTTTGAAACAGTAGGATTTTTTCGAAATTTTTCCGATCTCGAAAATCTTACAAAATTCATAAGAATTTGTTGAAACAGTGAATTTTTTGGATTCCGTTTCTCACATCCGCTATGATAATTTAATATTTGCAACTCTATCAGAAAGCGAATCGGGAACAACACATTTTTGGCATCATGAAAAAATTGTGAAACAGTGAAATTTTTTACACAGCGTATTCGAAATGAAAATCAGAAACCTTTGAAATATTTTTTCGGAATTTTTAGTTCTTCTTAGTATAGACCGAGTATTATGTCAAAATCAATCTTTCGAAATTTTAAAATATGGTGAAACAGTAAATTTAAAAAAAAAATATTTTTCAAATAAAACAGAACTAATTTCAATTTTTGGTAGTTTGTTCTGAAAAATCAATAAAAATATTTTTCCAAAAATTATATTTAAAATTTTTATCTACTAAAAAAACAATGTGTATCAACTTTTCTCCCTGAATCCCCTAATAAATCATATTCTCCAGACAAATGTTATCGAAGCAAGCGCTGAACAAATTTCCGAAGGTGGATCTGAAGAATGGTTTTATACAGACAAAGAATCGCAGAGAGTTGGACCCTTGTCTTTTGAGAAAATGAAGGTTTTATACGAGGAGAAGACAATTTTCGAGAAAACTCCGATTTGGGCGGCTGGAATGGATAAATGGATGAGTTTGTCGGGAGTTCCACAATTTCGATGGACAATTTGTCAGAATTCACAAGAAAAACCGGATGAAATTATGGTGAATGGAAATGGAAATGTGAAGTCGCCATTTCAAGCGACGGTTTTGAATTTCACGGAACTTGCCGTTTTGTGTTTGGACACGATTCTGCAAATGTGCGAATTTTTTCCATCCAGGTGAGATATACGTTTCAAATATTATTTAATTTGGAAGAAGGGAGCTATTTTTGTTTCCATGACAAAAAATATGAATTTTATGGAAAGATTTTCTGGAGAAAAATCTGGAATTTCGGAGCCAAAGAATCAAGAATTTTAAGGCTGAAAATCTGCAATTTCGGGTCTGAAAATAGGATTTTTTATTCAGATATCTTTTGGATTCGGAAATTTTTAATTATGCTATTTCAAATTTATAAATCTGGAATTTCAGCGCTAAACCTTCAAATTATCTCAATTTTCATTTAATTTTGCAGAGATTTAATTTTGTAGGATTTTTTAATCCAGATATCTGGAATTTTGGGCTGAAACTATGCTATTTCAGATTTAAAAATATGGAATTTCAGCGCTATTATCTTAATTTTCTCTTACCAAATCCAAAAATTTTCCAAAAAAAAAAGAAAAAATCCAATAATTTTCATTTAATTTTGCAGAGATGAGCATGAATGTGTTGTCCGTCCAATGCCAGCTGTCAAAAAACAATTAACCGAACCAGTTCTATTATATCAACTTGTTCAACTTCTTCTAACTTATGATCCTCAAATTGTTCAACGTGTCGCCTCACTTCTCAATCTCATAATGCAAGATAATCCATTCCTACCCCGTTTATATTTGTCTGGTGTCTTCTATTTCATTCTAATGTACAATGGTTCGAATGTTCTCCCAATTGCTCGATTCCTTCATTATACACACATGAAACAGGCCTATCGATCCACTTTGCCACATTTGGATAGTACGAGACAAAGTGTGCTGGCTACGCTTTTGCCTGAAGCTGCCACGTTTTATTTGGAGGAGTATGGTCCCGAAAAGTATGCTGAAGTGTTTTTGGGTGAGTTTTGTTTGAAGAGCTAAAAAGACAAATAACGCGGATAATTGTTGTGAAATTTTCTATGCTATTTTTGAAACAGTGAGATTTTTTGTGGAATTTTTTTTTAGCAAATATGAATCATGTAATTTTCTTAGATTGCTCTGAAGTTATCACAAAAAATTTTAAATAGAAGGCAGAATTTAATTTTTCAAGTGATTTTACACATTATTATGGGATTAGCACTTGCCCATTGTCAACAGAAAAATATAAAAATTTTGAAACAGTATATTTTTTTGAACAAATGTTTTTGTTTCAAATCAGTTTAATTTTTCGAAAAAAAAAATCATCAAAGTTTTGAAAGAGCAAAAAAGGAAAGATTTTCAGAAGTAATGGGGCTATTCAACGATTTTCTCAGCCGTTTTTTTTTATTTTCTCAGCCTTCCTGAATAAGTTTTCTCAACCATTTCAGTGTTGAGAAAAGACGTTGAATACTCAGGAAAAAATTAGCGATGGTACCGAACCTTATCGGCCCTGGTACCGAACTCATTTTGTCACAGTACCCGCCCCGTCGCTGCACCAGGGCAAAAAGCGTACGGCACCCGAGCAAAATATGTTCGGTACCGGTGCATTCGGGTTTTAATGGATCCGCACCAGTGCAAAATAAGAGCATTTTGCATTGGGTATATGCAGGATAAAAGCGGCTCGCCTCTTGAAAATGAGCTTTAGAAAATACAATTAACATTACACAGTTTGACAATAACGTTTATTGACTGTCAAATACAGGAAAAATTAACAAATGAAGGCGTTTTCGTTCAGCTTTGAAGTGATGTGTTGTTGATTGCAGATTCCACGTCACGTTTGAGGAAATCTGTAAAATATAAGTAATAAATGGAAGTCTGAAGTTACTTTCAAATTTTCTGTGTTGCTTTCATCTCAGTTTTAATATTTTTAGTGGAAATTTCGAAAACAATCAAAAATCATAGGAAATTCGTTGTAGAAATAGGGAAATGAAGCCCCACAACTCAGAAAAGTTACTTATTTTAATAAATTATATTTCCCAGGAATATATCATACTTTCTAAGCAGATTTGATATAAAAATACTCACCGTCTAGTTTTCACTGAAGACCGCGGTCAATTGACGTTTTGAGCCATTTCCATTGAATTGAGAAGTTCTTCAGGAAGTTGTCCTCGTTTCTTTCGACTTCTTCGTTGTTACACATGATATTTCCATTGTTTCGATCTGAAATCAATCATTGAACCTACGGTTTTTCTGAGTTTGCGAAAGACAATACATAAAAATCAAACCTGATGAGAGCGAAATGTGTGTTCATTGAAATATGTCGTATTTTCGCCTCTTATAGCCAAAAGTTGTTGGAGCAAAGTTCGTCAACTGTAATTTCCTTGTCGCATAGCAATTTTAGACTATCTGAAACACAAAGAATTACATCGAAACCTAGAAAAACACACGAAAAAAGCGTTGAAAAGAAACAAAACAAAAAAAAAACAAAAAAACATGTTTTTTCTGCTTCTGCGTACTATACACACAAGTTTACGCGCAATTGCACACTTTCTTGTCGGACCCGAGATGGCTTTTTTGTTTGAGACTACGAAAAGTACGGTTTTCATGAAAACTAGCGCGATATTCGGAATGAGAATCAAGAATCGAGCATAATCATATGTAAAACTTTTTCGAAAACACATTTCAACAAAGTTATTGAATATCGGGGTGAAAATCATCGCTTTAGAGAAGAGGTTTATCGAAAATTGTCATGATTTTTGTTCTAGAAACGTATGATAAAATTTTGATATTGAATTTTCGATGAAAGCATTAAGAACAGACGTATTTACCTATTGAAATTGGCGATAGATGAATTTGATGTTGAATTTTCACATTTTCATAGGAAAAATAACGAAAAACAGCACAATTTTACTTTTCAATGGAAAATATCACATTCTCTTTCATTCTTCATTCTTCAAATGTCGAGCTTTTCTCTTTCTTACGTCGCAAAAACTCCAAAAGTAGAAATGAAACAACTCAGAGATTCGCTGGCCAGCTCGCCACCAGGTGGGGAGGCTGGCTGACCTGGGAACCACATGGAAACCATGTCGCCCGGTTTTTTTTCGCTGGCTAGGTCAAGCCCACATGGCTACCATGTGGTGGCCACTTCGCCACGTCAAAATGAATTTTCATGAAAATGTCTGAAAAACTTGTGAATTGAGACATTTTCGAAAAATTTGGCTAATTTTCTGTTTTTTCGCAGCACTTGAAACCTTAGGAAGTGAAAAAAACAGTAGAAAATGCAGTGTTTTGAGTGCAAACCACCGCCTTGCCAGCTTTCCAGGATTTCAAACACACGTCGCCGGAAAACTCGAGGCGACCTGGCGGCCACGCGGTTTCCAGGTGGCCGCAGCGATCTGGTGGCCAGCGAATCTCTGAGTATTTGAAAATTAATTTTTCAAAAATTATGTCAAACATTAAAAGGATTCTCAACGTTTTTCGCTTCAGTCGATTACGACACCGCACTCAAAAAATCGCTAAGTATTTTTTTGCACAAGAGCGGAACTTTAGTTCGGTACCAGTGCATAACCCTATTTGTAAAATAATCACTGTTGAAAATTTCGCAAGGGTACCGAACTTGTTCGGCACCAGTCCAAAGTGCAAAAGGGTTCGGTACCAAGGCAAAAAGTTATCGGTACCGTCGCAAAACGTCGAAAAGTCGCGGCACCGTCGCTAATTTTTTCCTGAGTAGGTTTCCAAAAAAAAAAATATTTCCAAAAAACGTATGTGTTATTGTTATAAAAGTATCTACAAATTGTGAATAAATTTTGTGAAATAGTGAAATTTTTAGTGGAATTTTATTAGATTTATAATTTTCCAGAATTAATATTGAAAATTTTAAGCTGTAGAAAATTTTCAAAAAAATCATCATCCGTTATATTTCCAAAAAAATACCCCGAGAATTCTACGTATCAAAAAAATCCCAAAAAATTTCACATCAAATTTAGAGTTGATCCTTTGAACATATACTTGAACAAAAAAATCTAGAAAAAAATACGTTTCATAAAATTCATATTTTTCATAGAAAAACACATAATATTTATTAGTGGAGTTAATGAAAAACGGCATATAAAAAAATTGAAACAGTAAATTTTTTGGGTGTATTTTTTCAAAACCTGCTTCTACTACAGTTTCTTCAGATTTTCCAAATAAAAAAATTATTTCCAGGTGAATTCGATAATCCGGAAATCATCTGGAATACTGCAATGCGTCGTCATCTAATCGAAAGAATCGCTGTCCACGTGGCTGATTTCTCACATCGTCTAACTTCAAATGTCAAAGCATTATATCAATTCTGCCCAATTCCATTAATCGATTATCCTGAATTAACTGACGAATTATTCTGTCATGTATATTATTTGCGACATTTATGCAATCGTCAACGATTCCCTGATTGGCCAATTCGAGATCCGATTCCATTTTTACGATCTTGTTTAGCTGCTTGGTATGATGAATTGGAAAAGAAGCCAGCAACAATGTCGATTGAACAAGCAAGAGAAACATTAATGATAAATCCGGCTGATGAAAATGCCCATCAACAATCAACAATACGAAAACAATATTATAAATTGGCTGCGAAATATCACCCCGATAAAAATCCAGAAGGAAGAGAGATGTTTGAACGAATAAACGCTGCTTATGAATTGTTGAGTAGTAAAAGTGCACAGAATTCAGGAATTCCCGATTCGCACCGAATTGTTTTGTGTTTACAAGCGCAAAGTATTATATATAGTCGATATTCGCAAGAATTATCAGAATATAAATATGCTGGATATTCACAACTTATTAAAACTATTGATTTGGAGGCCAAAGATGAAGCGCTTTTTATTAAGGTTGGTTTTTTTTTTTCGTTTGGAGAATTTTGGGAAGTAAAATTTTACTGTTTCAAAAATTACATATTAGAAAATTGATTTTTCAATAATTATTAGTATTCCGAAAAGATTTGGTCTGAAAAAATTGCAATTTATTTAAATCAAAACAGGAAAATTTCACTGTTTCAAAATTTTATGAAAAAAGAAAGAAAAATTTCGCATAAAAAATCTATTCTTATTTTCCCGATGAGTTAGTTGTTAATAATAAGGCGATGATGCAGATTAGTTTCTCCGCCGAGCTAATTGAGGAGAAAGAGGAGAAACGTGTTGCAGGTGGAGGCGAAACAATGTATTTTTCGAATTTCGCCCCACTTCTCTTCATTTCTCCTCGGAGGAGAAACTCATCTGCAACATCGCCTAACTAAAGAAAAATTAATTTGGATTTTTCAATTTCAGTGGATTTTTAAATGAAGAAATCCTTTTGTGTAAAATCTGACTCTGAATTGTTTTTTTTTCGAATTCTACGTTAAATACAATTTTTTGCGATTAAAAATTTCACTGTTTCAAAATTTTATGAAAAAATAAAGAGGTTCAGAAATATTAATAACTTACCAATTGTTGCCGAAAAATATTCTCATTCCCCCAAAATTTGAATGAATATAAATTACATGAAAATTTTCAGCCAAAAATTTACTGTTTCAAAAATTTGGTATAAAAAAATCTATTATAATATTCCGAAAACTGAAAAAAATATTATTTTAAAAATATACTGTTTCAAAAAATTTATAGGAAATTTTTGAAATAAATCAAATTAATGCTGTCCTTAACAATTACTGGAAAAATCTTCCAAAAATATCACTGTTTCAAAATTTTATGAAAAAATAAAACGATTTGGAAATATCAATTTGAGTATTGATAATTCAAAATTTCTTTATTTTTCCAAAATTTGAAAGAATTGAAACTACGTGAACAAGATTTTGAACCAAAAATTTATATGATAAATTTTATATTATATTCAGTCAAAATTCTCTCAATTTAAATTCAATTAAATTTCAGGGAGGTGGTGATCTTCTGTCAGCTGCAATCGAACTCGCCAACTACACTCTTGTCAGTTCACCATTAAACGCTGAACAATTACGAAGAGAAAATGGATTAGAAGCACTTGTGACAGCTTTCGAAAGATGCGTCCCAATGATAACAATGAGCTCAAATCCAGAAGATATGCCAGTTCAAGTTTGTATTCATATCTGTAATTGTTTTGCCACGTCAGCAACATTCGAAGGATGTCGACAACGACTTGTTGAATTCACAACAATATTCGGAAGTATTTGTCGATTATTGCAATTCTCTAGTTTGCCTCGACTTTCCACAGCTGCTGCACAATGTATTCGAGCGTTTTCAGTGGATACTTTGCTCCAATTTCAATTATTCCAATCGGGTGTTTTATGGCAACTTGTTCCGCATTTATTCCATTTCGATTATACTTTGGATGAAGGAGGTGTTGAGCATAGCGAGAATTCTAATAAACAATCATTGGCGAATTCATTGGCTAGATCTTCTTGTGAAGCATTGGCTTCGTTGGCTGGATTCCGGGATGATACACCAGATAATGATGGGGTTCAGAATAGTCTACGAGCCCTTCTCACACCTTATATTTGCCGACTTATGCGAACTGATCTCACGAATGATGTTGTGTTGAAAACATTGAATAGTAATCTGGAGAATCCGTATATGATTTGGGATAATGGAACGAGAGCCGAGGTTTTGGAATTTGTTGAAAGACATCGAACGTCGAATGAGAATAATGTGAGTTTTTATGGGTTGGATTTTGAGATTATTTTGGTTGCTTGAAATTAAAAATAACTATTGGCACTTCGATTTTCAAAAAAATCTCACAAAATTATTTTGAAAAATAAAATTTTTGCACCAAACTTTTCCTTTTTTTTTTTGTCGAAAATTTCGGTCTCATCAATGAAAATTAAGGCTCGAATTTTCGAAAAATTTGAAAAATTTCCACTATTTTCTCACTGTTTCAAAATTTTTATGAAATTTCTAGGATTGCTATTGATTTATTTGTAGTGGAAATAATTGAAACCTGAATTTTTACGCCGATTTTTAAGAAAACTGTTCGTGCTGTTAATACCCGAGAATATTTTTTTCACTGTTTCAAAAAAATTTTATTTTCTGGGATTTTTTTAAAACAATATTGACTCAAGTTTTCTTTCAAACCAAAAATGTCACTGTTTCAAAATTTTTATGAAATTTTTGGGATTTTTGGTTACATTGTTAAATTGTGCTCATACGAAATATGAAGTTTTGTCTGTTTGTCTGAAGTTCTATATAGAGTCATACATTTTTGCTCCAAACTTTCATATTTTTTCTTAATTTCGCTTCCATCAATGAAAATTGAGGTTTGAATATTCGAAAAATTTCATAAATTTCTACTATTTTCTCACTGTTTCAAAATTTTAATGAAATTTATCCGCTTTCCATTCATTTTTTTTTTTATTTTCTGGTATTTTTTTTGCAATATTGACTCTCTAATTTTTAGACCAAAAATTTCACTGTTTCGAAATTTTTATAAGATTTTTGGTTACATAATAAATTGAAATGTTTTTAAAAATTTGTCTGAAGTTCTATTGATTCATAACCTTTTCGCGCCAAACTTTCAGGAAAATTTTTTCACTGTTTCAAAAATTTCATATCATTTTTTAGATTATTTTCAATATTAGTTAACTTTTCTTTTAAACATGGTACAAAAATTGAAGCTCATTGTCAGAAAAACACGGAAGTAACAATTTCAATTACTAATTTCTCACTGTTTCAAAAATTTTATTAAGATTTTTCGAAATGGTGAAATTCGATTTTCCTTCCAAATATTCAAAATCATATTCCTTTTTTGCAGAGCGAACTATTTGGTGCCGAATTCGAATTGTCTGTTCACGCCAAAGAATTGATTGTTGGCGACATTTTTATTCGAATCTACAATGAGCAACCGAATTTCGCGTTAGATGAACCCAAAAAAGTTGCGGTGGATTTCTTGGATTATATCGCGAAATATGCCGCCGAATTAACAGGTCAACCAAAAAAGAAGAATCCAGATGATTTGATTGAAATCGATTGGGGAAATGGAAATGGAACAAATGCGAATGGAAATCAATTGGAAACTGATCAAAAGGTTCTGGCTACGATGTTGGCGTTGGCGAATTTGATCTCGGCTAATCCAGGTGAGGGGGATTTTGGGAATTTTAAAAATTTGAATTAAAAAATTATTGATTGTCAGCGAAAAATCTGAAAATAAAAAAATTATGAACCTTTTTCCACTTGAACAAACTCATAAAATTTTTAAACATTCAAATTCAGGATCCTCGTTTGCTGATAGGAAAGGTAACTTTATTGTCGTAAAATGTAACCTCTAGTTGTTTTTCGGTTATGTGTTGTTGTTACTGCTTTTTTACCTAATTTTTCTCTGTTGGAATCACGTTAGAGAAAAAATTCACCAATTTTTTGTGGTCTTCTAAAAATCCTTTTGTTTTTCCCACCCTTCCATCCAACTTTCATTTTTTCCAGGAATCGAAATTTTGCTCATCGGACATTTCCCGCTGTTTTTGGCCTATTTGAGATGTCGAAAATGGCCTGATTTGCAAGTGGCTGCATTGAAAGTGAGTTTTTTGCATTATCTACTATATGGTACTACTGAAATTATATACAGAATTTAAATGAGATTTTGATGAAACGTATTTATTGTGGGAGATTTTTTTCCACTGTTTCAAAGATTTTTGTCAGTTTTTATGCTTATCAACAATTTGCTAACAATGTTTTTAGAAATGCGAAAAAAAATTAGATTTGTTTGAATGAAAAATGTTACTCTTTTTGTTTTAAAAATTTAAGTTTTAAAAAAATTCAGAAATGTTTTTATATGTTTCGTGATATTCATTTCTCTATGAACAAAAAAAAATTACCTTGAACCGAATTATTTTATTTTTGAAATTTATCTAAATATTCAATGTATCGTACATTTTTCATGTTCAAAATTTCACTGTTTCAAATGAAATTTAAACTAAAATTGAAACTTCGATGAAATATTGTATCTGCTTTATCAGCGAAAACTTCTAGATTTCGAAATTATTCTAATTATGTTTTTTTTCAACTGTTTAAAATAAAATGGAAATTGAAACAGAAACCCTTAAAAAATGTTCTTGTTTCTTTAGTTGCAAAACAATAATTTTCCAGGTTTTCTCGCTGGCCTCTGCTAACAAAGAATGTGTGACAGATTTGGCTGTTTGCCAAGTGACCACAACACTTTTCACAATTCTCCAAAATCAACCCAAAAATGTGGCACTTGTTCTCAATGTTCTCATTGCTCTCTCATCAAATGGTCAAATTGTCAAAGAAATGTTGGAACATGGTGGACTTATGTATATATTATCAATACTTTGTCAATCTTTGGCTGATCAAGGACAACGACTTCAAGCCGCTGAATTATTGGCAAAATTACAAGCGGATAAATTGACTGGACCCAGATGGACACGATTTATTATCAAATTCTTGCCCGAAATATTTGCGGATGCTTTGAGAGATTCGCCAGCCACTGCACTTCAAATGTTTGATTCTTCGAATGAAAATCCGGAATTGATTTGGAATGACGCGACGAGAGTTAAAGTGAAAGGAATTATTGATGAAGAAGCCAGGAAATTGTGTGAACAACATTTGAAAGATCCAACATTTAAATGGAATACGACGAATTTGGCGGATAAAGAATGTGCATATGGAGATAGTATTAGTGGAGAATTGGTTGTTGGTGGTGTATTTGTGAGATTGTTTGTTGAGAATCCTGGTTGGAGTGTTAGACATCCAAAACATTTTGCGACTGAGTTGATTGAGAAGTAAGGATATTTGGGAGGGGGAGAGGGTGTAAAGAGCAAGATTCCAAAAAAGTTCTGAAAAATTGGGAATTCCTGGATCGTTTTTGTAATTTTGAAAATTTTCTTGTTTCTATCAATTTTTGAATTTGTTAAAATTCTTGGAGATAGAGATATTCAAGATTTTTCAGAAATATTGGGGATTTTTTCTGTCTGGATGAAAAGAATTAACAGAAAAATTGAACTTTTTAAATTTTACTGAAAAATCTTGAAAATTGAATTTTTGGAATTCAAAATTTTTTCACTGTTTCAGAAAAATTTTAATTTAAAAATTGTTATTTCAAACGTAATGTAAGAGTGATCGGATCTATAAAATCAGTTTGAACAAAACAAATTGTTTAATTTTGATTTTATCAATTTCAAAAATTATTATTTGCGAAAAATGTGGAATTATTATTGAAATTAAAAAAATTGTTTCAAATCTTTTCAAAAACCTTGGAAAATGAGAAATTCAGGTTTCGAAAAGAATTTATTGGAAATTCGATGGTCCCCAAGAATTTAATCAATTTTTCGAATATCTTGTCTTACTAATATTTTTCTAGAATTCTATAGAATTAAATAAATTTCAGCGACCCTAAAACATCCCAAAACCCTGCAAACTTTCAATCTCAATATGTTTTATTCCAGAGTTCTCGAATTGATGTCAAAACCAAATCCTCAAATCGATCTTGTCACAAAAGCTTTCGTCGAACTTGTTCGTCATCATCCAAATACAGCCGATCAATTACCAAGTCAAGGATATTTGCCACAATTTTGTGCTGCAATGTGTCTTCAAAATACGGCCGCCTCGAGAAGTGCTATTTTGATTCTACAAGAACTTAGCGAAAATCAATTTTGTTGTGATGCTTTATCTCAATTGAGTTGTATTGAAGGAATTATGAAATCGATGAAAAATCAACCGAGTTAGTTTTTTTTGAATTAGAAACGATTCTTGTATTAAATTTCAAAAGAGCACATGGAAATTTAATGTAATTTCGAAACAGTGAACTTCTGAGAGAAAAAATTCTGTAAATTTTCTGGAATTTTATTTTTTTTTATTCACTGTTTCCAATAGTACATGAATTTTTTGTAGAATTTTTGGAATTCGATGGTCGTCAACTTGTGGACCAAAATTAAAAATTTGATTTCTCTATTTTAAAAAATCACTGTTTCAAAATTTATGGATGATTTTCGAAAATCTAATTCGTATCCTTTTGACCAAATAATCCATGTAGCAACACTGAATTGTACTAAATATCTCAAAGAAATTTTTTCACTGTTTCAAAATTTCCTCTTGTATCCAAATCCATTCATATTGAACAATTCTAGATTTCTGGATTTGAAAATTAATTTCACAATTTTTTCTCACAACTCACAAGGACAAGAACATACCAGGCTAAATTTTTCATCAAAAAACGCCCAAACCTTTTTTAATTGTTTTTCATGTAAAATCGCACTAAAACATTTTCGACACAAAAATTCACTATTTCAAAAATTATTTGAGTTTTTGTATAATTGTTGAAAATCTGTTAAATTTTCCGGTAACGGTTTTTTCTATTTTTCATGAAAATCGAATTTTCCATTAAAAAAAATGACTGTTTCAAAATTTCCTCTTTTTTTTTAGATGATTTTTAAAGTTAGATGATCATCAACACCAAAATTTGAAAAAACTTACTTCCCTTCTTTAAAAATTGACTGTTTCAAAATTTATTTGAATTAATGAATAATTTTTTAAATTCGATGTATACCCCAGTCCTTGCATACGAAACAATACTAAATTCTATATTTGAAAATTATTTTCAATTGGTTTTAGAACAAACTGGCAGTTCTCTTTCTCACTGAAATTTAAAAAACATTTCCTATTAAAAATTGACTGTTTCAAAATTCATTTGAATTTTTCGGGCATTTCTTGAAAATTTGATAAGGCAAGCTTTTGACTCTCTGAATTAAATTTTTCGCTCTGTCATGTGGATTTTGGCTTCGAATAATTCTGAATTTTTTTTTACTGTTTCAAAGTTTACACAAATGAATTTGGCATCAAATAATTTTTTACTTTTTGAAATTTTCATAGATAAAATTGGCACAAATTTTTATTTGATAAATTTTCAGGTCTTATGCGAGAATCTGCGCATGCTCTAAAATGTCTCATGAAACGAAACACCGGTGAACTTGCTGCTCAAATGCTCAATTGTGGAATGGTTCAATATTTATTGGAAGTTTTGGATAGTTCAATGAATGGAGTCACAAATGCACAAGCGGCAAGAGCTGAAATTGTTGACGCGTTGAAAAGTGCAATTTTGGACTTGAAAGTTGGCCAGAAAATTGGAGAGATTTTGGACAAATCACCGATTTGGGCACAATTCAAAGATCAAAGACATGATTTGTTTTTGCCGGCTGCAAGGACACAAGCTATTACAGGTATGGGTTGAAAGGGAATTGTGAAATATATCTGAAAATTCTGAAAAATTTGTTTTGGGGATTTTTTGGCGCGAAAAATTTTCAGAAATTCAGAGTTTGTCACGTGAATTTTTGCAAAAAAATTACAAAAAAGTGAAAATAATTTTTTTAAATTTTTCACTGTTTCAAAATTTTTATATTTTTTTGGAAACGGCAAAACTATTTTGATTTATTTTCTCTTTCGGTTAGAAATAATTAAGCTTCGCAATAATCGAAATTTAATCCAAAAATCAATAATTCCAGCTTTTCTAGATTATTGTCACTAATTAATTAATTAATTGTTTTCTTTCAGGTGGACCAACTGGTGTTGCTGGTTATTTAACCGAAGGAATGTTCAATCCGCCACCAATGCATTCTCAACCTCCACCACTTTAATTTTTCGAGTTTTCCCCATAATTTTCTCATATTTATTGATTTATTGTGATTTTTGTACATTTTTTCACCGTCTTTGCCTTTTGCCCAAGAATTATCCCGACCCAAAAATTGTTTTTTCTTCAAATGTGATATTTCGGTGCTCTTTTCTCTTCTTTTTTTTTGCAAAAATTTATTGCTTCATTTGGGAATTTTGTAGATTTTGAATAAATTATTGAATTTTTCGGAATTTTTTTGGTTGGCCAATGTTTTTAGCATTTTTATAATATTTTTAAGCATGGAAAAATCTGAATTTTACAGAGGATTTTTCAGGTAAAATGGTCAAGAAAAGTGCTGGAATCAAGAAGAAGGAGAAAGTTCAGGAATCTGAGGATTTGGAGCTTCCGATGGCTGGAAATCGAGAAAATGATGTGGAAGAGGATTATGAGGTTGGAATTTTGGGGGCCCTGGGAAAATTGGGAAAAAATTACCTTGGCAAGGGAAAAAAGAAAAATCAAATTTTTTCTTTGAAAAAGTGTCAAAAATTCACTGTTTCAAATATTCTTTATGTGGAAAAATTATTTGCAAGGTTATTACTTTGTTAAAGATATGAAACTACTTCAAAAATTCACTGTTTCAAGTTTTTGATATAGAAAAATGTTTCATTGATCAAAACGATGTCTCTATTTTTCTAACGAGGGAAGTGTGTGACCAGTCCCCGGAGATTTTCAATGAGACCTATGTTTTTTAGGTCAGTTTTTCACGCTGATGAAGCTCATGTTTTCAGTTTTTGCTGAACGACTCTCTGAAGAGCCCAAAAATGAGCCAAAAGTTGAGAATTTCCTGAAAATCGCGTTTTTGGGAGCCCATAACTCATGTTAGAAATTATTTTTATGGAAAACTGAATGCATCACGTTGTTCAGGAGGGTTGATTTACCAAAGTCACAAGTTTTGACAAAATTTTCCAAAAATTTTCAAATGTGCAAACAAATTTTTTTCTGAAAAAGTATGGACTTACTAATCAAAAATTTGTGACTTTGGTAAATCGACCCTCCTGAACAACGTGATGCATTCAGTTTTCCATAAAAATAATTTCTAACATGAGTTATGGGCTCCTAAAAACCCGATTTTCAGAAAATTCTCAACTTTTGGCTCATTTTTGAGCTCTTCAGAGATTCGTTCAGCAAAAACTGAAAACAGGAGCTTTATCAGCGTGAAAAACTGACCTAAAAAACATAGGTCTCATTGAAAATCTCCGGGGACTGGTCACACACTTCCCTCGTAAGATACTGTGTTCCAGCGAAAAAATAAGCCCCAAAAAATATGTCAAAATTTCACTGTTTCAAATGGTTGATATATAAAAATTTATCAATGAACGTAATGATGCTTCTAGTGCATACCACGCCCAGCTTCGTGCAAATTTACTTTGAAAATTAGCGGTGTGAATTTTGAAAATTTTTGGCGAGGTGAAAACAACTAAAAATATCACTTTTTAACGGAAAAACAAGCAAAAATTTTCTGTTTTTCATGAAAATCTCAAATTGGCGAGGTGAATTTCCGTAAATTTTTATTGTCGCCGTGCATATGCCTCACCCTGGGCGTGGTATGTTCTAGTGTTTCACAAAATAACTGTTTTCCAGTGAAAAATTACCCCTAAATGTGTCACAAATTCACTGTTTCAAGTTTTTAATGTGTAGAAAATTATTTGAAAGGTTAGTGCTTTATATCGCTGTGAGATTTCACATGTTATGTTATGAAAAATCAGCTGAATTCAAGCCCAATATAAATTATCAAGTTTTAAATTTTTTGAAATTGTTTGAAAACAACTTTGTTTGTTCTACAAAAGTTAAAAACCACAGTTTCCAGACACCGAAATTTTTTGAAAATTTCACTGTTTCAAAGTTTTGATATATCGAAATGTTTCAATGAGTGATATTCTATCTCTCTGATTTTGAAGATTTCGAAATAACTGTTTTCCAGTGAAAAAATTACCAACAAAATGTGTCAAAAATTCGCTGTTTCAAATATTCGATATGTGGAAATAATTCTTTTAAAATTTGATTGATGACACTAGATATAATAATTTGTATTGAATTCGAGGCCAAAACCGTGCTGAACCTTTCAGAAAAAAATCTGAATATTTATAGCATTTTTTGGTGCTGAAAATTAGAAAAAAAACATTTGAAAACATTTCAAATATTCACTGTTTCAAGTTTTTGATGTTTGAAAATAAGTGTAGGAAATTTCTAGTTTCCAAGTTTTTCGCATTTGAAAATATGTCAAAAATTCACTGTTTCAAATTATTTTTTTTTAAATATTTTCTTGTTAAAATTTTGTTAATAATATTGAAAAATACGAAAAAATGAAGCAAGTTTCCACAAAATTGTTTACTAAATATGTACTTTTGAATAATAATGCACTGTTAACACTAAAAAATTCCCGTACAAAATCCAATCTTCCTCGAATTTTTTGCGTTAACTTCTACGTTTCCCCTTAATTTTTCATTTTCTCTTCAAAAATTAAATAAATTTTCCAAAAAACCAAGTTTTATCCGAAAATAATTCAAGTATTCAGTTCAAGCTTTAGTTCCATTATTGTTCAAAATTGCATCATATTTATAGCTCTTTTGTCCTTGAAAAACATCCACATTTCCCAAATTGATTTTCAATTTTCGCTCCTCGCCTTTCGATGTGCAATTATGAGTGATTGATGAGTAGACTTGATACATCTAGAATTTTGAACATGGGTTATGACGTGGCAAAGTTGAATATGTACATTATTTGTGAGATTGCGAGGTTTTATCTAATTTTGAAGCTTCTGAGCGAGGCGATGAAAAATATGCGTTTGAAGCTAATTTTTCGATTTTGCCACGTCATAACTCATATTCAGAAAGGTGTTCGGAAAATCTAGCTGAATCCTGATTAGCAGGTCGAAAGCTACTAGAAAACATGGATCAGAAGCCTAGGGCTTTGAATGTAGTCTAATAAAGCCTACAACCAGATCTGATGCTAAATGTAGGCCCCCAACTCGGGCCGAAAAGCCCCCGCTCCATCCCAAACCCTTTTCTATACTCACCAAACTAACACCATCATCCGATTGTTCTCCTTTGGAATAAATAGTGACGTCACCATTCGCCTCACCCAATCTTCTTCCACCAATTTGATCGTCTTTTGTAAAAGTGTCGTGATCGAAATGTGCAACTGAATAATGATAATAGTCAATTTTTGAGCATTTTAGAGTGACTTGGAAATTGAATTTGGTGGCCAAGATTGGGCTAGCAGCCAAGAAGAAAAGGATGAAAATTGCGAGATTTTTCATTGTGATTTACGAAAAAATGAGGGAAACTGGGGGGTTTTATAGGGGGAAATTGAAATTGGGTCACGTGAAAATTAACAAAAAAATATATATATTTGTGCGCTGGAATATAGGAAATTTTTATCGATTTTTCAAAATAAAAATTGTTTTTATTGAATCTGAAAATTCGAAATTTTCGCATTTCTGACATTTTTAACCCAAAAATTTTTCAAAAAAAAATCAGATTTTTGTAAAATAAATTTTAAAATTCAAACTGAGGATTCAGAATTTTCTAAAAAAAAACTTTTTGAGAAATAATTTTTAAAAATTAAAAATTCTAAAAAAAAAATAAGTTGGAGGAAAGAGAACAGATTTGGGCTGAAAAATCAGAAATTTTTAACCCGAAAAAAAATCAGATTTTTCAACAAAGAATTTTTGCACGGATTTCTAGAATTCAACTTTTTGAGAAAAAATATCCAAATTCGCCCAACAAATCCCCGATTTTTCCAGGTTGCTGATATGACTGACATCGCTGCTCCAGTCATCGAATTCGTCATGCCCGATCTCTCCAAAAACCTCGAAATCACCCCCGAAACTCCAGAAACCCCCGAATCCCCCAACAAACCAGCAACAAGATCATCGAAAAAACGAGAAACTTTGACGGCTGAATTATTGAATAATGAGATCACAAAAATGCGATCGATTATCACAACAGCCAAAAATCGATTGATTTCGAAATCGATTCGAAGGAAAAAGGATTTGGAATCAAAAGGGAAGAAGGCGGAAGATGAGAAGAAAAAAGAGCAATTGAAAAGACAAGCCGAGAGATTGGGAGAGGAAATTGAACAAATGAAAGTGAGTGGACTGTTTTGATATGACATAACTCATGTTAGAAGTTGAGAAGGGTAGAAATAGACCGCAGAATTGTGATCAACGGGTTGGAAAATAATAGAAACTTTGAATTCCATTGAAATATATACTAAAAATTTTCGATCAATCGTTAATTTTCAAAAAATGAAAAAATTAATCGAAATTTTGAAACAGTAAATTTTTGAATTAGCGGTTTAAAATTCCAAGATCAAATCGATGCTGCAAAATCCAAAATTTGCCAATTCGTAACTTTTGTTAAATGTGGAGAAGGGTAGAAATGAACTGTAGAATCGTAATCAGCGGGTCGAAAAATAATAGAGAATTTGAATTCCTTTGAAATATAGGAATACAAAAAATTTGAATTTTCAAAAACGATCGGATCGTTAATTTTCAAAAAATGAGAAAATTAATCGAAATTTTGAAACAGTAAATTTTTGAGTTATGATTTCAAAACTTCGCTGGAAGATCCAACCACGTCATAACTCATGTTAGAAGTTGAGAAAAATGAAAATGGGGCGCAGAATCGTGATCAGCGGATTGGAAAACACTAGAAACGTTGAAAAATCTTCATAAAAATTTGAATTTCCAAACTCGAAAATTTACTGTTTCAAAATTTCTTGTAATTTTATGAATGGAATTTGAGATTCGTTTGCTGATCGTTAAATGGTTTATGAACATTTTGAGAAAAAGAAACAAATTCTCTTGAAAACACTACATGATTTTGGGGGAGAAGTAAAATTCACTGTTTCAAAATTTCTAGTTATTGTTCTCTGGGGATTTTAAATACAATACAATAGCAAATACTGCAAAAATCCACATATAAACAAATATTAAGACGTGCCACGTCATAACCAAAAAAACTACTGAAAATTTTCAGACAATCGATCGAGACACCATTGCCAAATTCGCACTTCTCAACACAAAATCTCTGGAAGAACTCAAAATCACTGGCGAAACTCCAGTCAATACAAGATTATTATATAAATTGGCGACGCATGAAGTTGTGGTGAAAACTGTCGAATCGTATCGACAAAAATATTTGGATTTCAACAAATCAGCCGCATTCTTCTTGCAAAGACTTGGATTGCAATATTCGCATTTGAAGAAAGAAAAAGAAAAGGAAGAGGAAAAGAAAGAAAAGGAGGAGGAAAAGATGGAAGAGGAGGAGGATGAGGAAGAGAAAGAGGATGAGGCTGGAAGTGAGGAATTTGATGAGGATGACGTGGAAATGGTGGATAGTGATGATGAAGCTGAAAAAGAGGCGGCTGAGAAACGAAGAGAATTAGTGAGCATTTTTGAAAATTGGAAAATTTGAAGTGAACTCTGAAGATGAGTTATGAAGTGGCAAATTTGGAAAATCGTGAATTTTCAAGACTTAAAATTACAGTTTTCAAATTTTTGCCACGTCATAACTGATGATCAAAGTTAGGATAAGATGATTTCATCAAAAACCTTGTTGTAAAAATGAGTTATGACGTGGCGAAATCCGAAAATCGTGAATTTACAATTTGATACTCCTGTGCTTGTAAAATCATTATTTTTCAATTTTGCCACGTCATGACCCATATTATGAGTTGAGCTAACTACTCTGCACATGAGTTATGACGTGGCCAAATATGGAATCTTGAAAATGTCCTGATTTTACAAGTATTCACGCTTTTGAGCGATGCCTTGTAAAATCATGATTTTTAAGCTTTGCCACGTCATAACTCATGTTTAAAGAAGATTTTATCGATGACGTAGAAAAGTTATGAAATTTAGATTTTCCACTTTGCCACGTCATAACTCTTGTTCAGAAACCCTAAATTCCAAAACCTTTCATTTTTCAGCTTCTCGGCTTAATTGGAGTCAAAGAAGATAAAAATCGACCAAATCTCAAGCCAAGAAAGCGAAAAATCGAAGAAGAACCAGAACCCGTCAACCCGAAAACCGCGAAAAAATCAGCTGTGAAAGAGGAGATGCAAAAAGTGTTGGAGGAGCAATTGAAAAGTGTGAAGAGCAAAAAACCGGCGGGCAAGAAACCGGAGCCTAGGAAAATCGCGAAAAAAGTTGAGGAGCCCGAAGAAATTATAGAAGATGAGGAACCTGTGACAACTATGATTAAGAAGATTGATTTATCAGCGGGTGGAAAAATTGCGAAGAAATCAAAGGTTTTGGCGAAGGAAGAGGAACCTAAAGATGAAAAAGAGGAATCTGAAGATGATGATGATGATGAAACTCCATTTTTCCTTCCCAAAAATGGAGTTTCAAAGATTGCTGATAAACCAAAAGAGAAAGAAGAAAAGGAAAAAGTGGAGAAAAATCGTGGAGCTAGTAAAAAGAAGAATCCAACAGCGACTGGAGAAATGCATCCATCTTGGGCTGCAAGTCAACAGAAAAAGCGGGAAATGCAAAGTGCAAAACCGTGTGGAAAGAAAATCACATTTGATGATTGAAATTGTTATCTTTTTGTTGTTGTTATAATACTTATTGTTGAAATGAAGTTTTTGTTAAAGTTTCTACAATGTCAGAAAAATTTGAGTTTTCAGCATTTTTGGGCATCAAGTTTTCTCCTAATTTTTAAAAGTTTTATCAGGTTTAGAGCAAATCTCATACGTTTATTGATGTACATTTTACCAAAAGATGCTCGAAACTCACTAAAATCATCAAATTCCCTGCTGTTCTCCACAATTTTGAGAAAAATTGCGAAAAAACAAAAGTAAATTTTCAAATCCTGAACGCCGCGCGTTTGTATCGCTTCAAGACCCGCTTGCGAATTCGCGTGCGCCTTTGAACATTTTAGGAAGACGTAGTACTGTGGCAGACAATGTTGATTTCTACAATTCTTCGGGTTTTGGGCATTTTCCTGGGATTTTCGCCGCGTATTCGCAAACATTCTCATTTCTCGCATGTTCTAAACTTTGAAATAACTCGAATTCCCCAAAATGTCGTGAAGTTTCCTCGAAAATTACGAGTTTCTTGATGGTTTAATACAGTAGTTTGGAAATTTGCAGAATCGTCTTCGAGAATTGTCAAATTTGGGTGTTGAGAATCAATCGATTGCCACGTGGTGAATGAAAAATGGGAAGACATAAGAAAGGTAAACTTGAGAGTTGAAAGCTTTTTTGAAAATTTGCAGGAGAAATTTGTGTTTTTCTTTCATAGATTTCTTCAATTTTAGGTGGTTAGGTGCGAATTTATCGATTTTCTCATATTTTTTGTGCAACTCCTAGCTGATTTGGAGCGAAAGGTTGCTTTTTCGCTTGAAGACCTCGAGGTTTTCACGGTTTTGTTAGGATTTCAAATTTAATTTGCTTTGACACCATGGATTATCCTTGAAACTTGTAAGTTTCGCTGAAAGTTTCGTAGTTTTCCCGGTTTCACGGACTTTGTTTCCTCGAGGATTTCGAAATCAATATTTTCACGGCGTTTTCGCTGCAAGACCCATGAAACCCTACTGGATTTCTAGCGGGATTGCGCGGGAAACATTAATTTTCCCTGGGGGGGGGGGTTGGAAAGCACCATAAACACGTGGAAAACACCGTGAACTTGACAAATTCCTCTGGATATGAGAGAATATTCGATTAACTTCTTGCAAATTACAGTTGCGCCTTGAAATTCCTGAAAATTTCGGAGGATACCCAAATCCGCAATAAACCACCCTATTAATCACCTCATCAATTTCATTTTCAATCTATTCGAAATCAATATATCCTCCTCTCAACCTCTTCATTCCTGATTCGAATCCCCGAATCCCCCTCCTAGATTCCAGATTCCAAACTCTCAAATTCCAGTCCCCTCAAAGTCCCTCACTTTTTTGTGTTTCCTAATAATCGTGGTCTCTTTCTCTCTCTCTCTCTCTCTTTAGCTGGCTGTTTGTCTTTCTTTCTTCCATTCTTTCCTATAGCACACTCCGCCCTTTCTCTGCGTCTCTCTCGCAATTCCTCACCCATCGCCCCCCTCTCTCGTCGTCTCGCTTCTTTCGATTTTGGCTAGAAAAAAAACTAGCGAAGAATAAGGAGAAGAGGAAGAAAGAAGAAGAACTTGATTTTGATATTATTACTATCTTCACCTTATTTATATTGGAAACCTGAGAAAGTTCAAAGGTAGAGGTAGGCTTAGGCTTATTGTAAGGCTTGAAGATGTAACCTATAGGTTATGTTAGGAAGAATCCCAGGTTCTCTTAGGTTTAGGGGATTTCGTAGGCTTAGATATTTTTGGGCTTCAAAATTCATTGGTTTTTCTATAACCTAAGCTACCTTGAATCTCAAGGTCCCTCAGAGTTAACCCAAGTTCCCTCATTGTTTCGAGCCTCTGATCGTGAGTCTCAGGTTTTCTCACCCCACAATCTTCAACCCCCATCCCTCTTTTGAGAAAGGAGCTCTCCCAAGCCCCTTAGATTCCTAAACCCTTAACCTAACTTCACCTAAGTTACTTAGGCTAAGTAACCCTAATATTTTCTTCTTCCTAATTTACAACATTATTTAATTCTTTAAAAATAGTGTTTTTCCTTGGAACGTATTGATTTTTTGAATTGTTTGTTTTTTTTTCAAAAACTCATCGTTGAATTTTTTTTGATAGGGTAATTTTCAACCTATTTTTCACTGTTTGTTTTGTTTTTCCTCAAAGTTCTCCGAAATCCACTTTTTCTTTGAAAATTTGAAAAACTCCTAGTTTTAGTTGTTGTAAAATCTGAAATTTTAGCTGAAAATCTATCAAGAATGTTATAATTTCTGATATCTATCCAAAAAACCGTATTTTATCATCATTTCTCATTTCTCATTGCGAAATTTTACCAAATTTCAATAGGAAACCTGTAAAATTCTGTGAATTGTGTATTTGTAAAAACTTTGTGCACAGGTTGCAATTTTGGCCACGCCTCTTTTGAAAACATGGTGGCTATTTGAAATTTTCAAGTTTCCTAGAGTTGAACTTTGAAAAACCTGTCAATTTTAAGCTTTTCGAAATCATGAAATGAGATATTTCTAGTTCACGTCAGAAAATCCACGTTTTTTGGCGTGACCTAGAAAAAAAACTCATTTTTTGTTGAAAATTGTTCAATCCAAATTCATTTCGAGATTTCGAAAAATGGTGAGATGGCTGGCTTTTCAAATTTCACGCGGTGAGTTGCAAAATCTCCGCGCGGCGGGGGGAACTTGAAATTTTCGAATTAAAGCAACACCCTCGTATAATAGGCACTTTCTTGAAAAAAGCCCAAATGTTCTCAAATCTTAGATTTAGCTTAGTTTTACTGTTTTCTAGTTCGGAGAAAAAATTCAAAACGTTTGAATAAGTAGTCGCCGAAATATGGAAGCCCATTGAAAAACTGAAAAAACTCAAATTCAAACAACGCGGGCTAGCGTCAACGCGGAGTCTCGTTGTTTTCTTTTTTATTTTTTAGCAAAATTTTTCCGTTTTTTTTCGGAAAATGACAATTTGCATGGAAAAAACTGTTTTCTGGGTATGAAAAAAATAAAGTGAAGGAGTATAAACACGAAGATTCAATATTTCAGACGAAAACTAAATTTTTCAATGGAAATTGTGTTTTTTCAGTTTTTGACCGGAATATGCAATATAAAACTGAAATATCATTGTCAAAAATGAAAGTAGAGATAGTTAAGGATGTTCAGAAATCATTGTTATAATTTATTTCATTGTTTTCAGTGAAAAAATGCACTTTTTGTTGAAAAAAAGTTGAAAAGGGTACTGTAGCACACAATTGTCGTCACAGTGTTTGCACAAATGTCATCAAATTGCGGATCTGCACAATCTGCAGGCGATTTTCAAAAAAATAATTTTTTTCAAAATCGGTCAAACTTGATCGTTTTTGAGTATTTCTTTTTCATATTTCTTGTGAACATAGCTGGATAGGTTAATTTTATATATTTTGGTGTTTGAAAGCATTTCGCAATGGCCTTATTATACGAGGGTGTTGCTTTAATTAGCATTGAGAATCCACAAAAATCCACGTTGTTTCAAAGCGAGTTGCAAAAACTTCGTGCGACACTTGCATAATTAAGTCCCGCCCCTTTTGTATCTAACAAATATTCCGGGAATTTGAAAATTGCCCAAATCAGTGTTCATTTTTTAACTTGTTGAGCCTTACTCATATTGCCCTTTTTCCTTCATTCATTCGTTCAATGAGTAACCAACTAATTTGCCTTCTTCTTTTTTATTTTTTCTTGTTCCATCTGCCTTTTGAATAGGAAGAAGAAGAAGCAAAAAATTTCAATGTAAATTATTTGATGAATGAATCAAATGAAAAAGAACAGAAAAAAAAGTGATTATTATCGATTGATTTTTGGTTTTGTATTTGGAGAGGAGTGAGTGATAAGATTTGTAGGCGGGGACAAGGTTTTGAAGAGAAGTTTTGAGCTCTGGACTCCAGAGCTCAAAACTTCTGAGTCTGGAATTTTAGTGTACGCGAAAAAATCGAGATTAATCTGAATTTTTGGAAAATTAGGTCAATTTTTGCCTGAAATTGAATTGGAACAAAATATCAACTTTCAAAAACTTAATTTCTGAAAATTTTGAAAGACCTTATGAAGTAGCAAGGTTTCAGCTCAGACTTGGTCAGTTTTTGCCTTTTGTAGATTATTTTTGAACTTCTGATTATCGATAGAAAGACCTATGACGTGGCAAAGTTTCAGCTCAGAATTTCAATGGGAATCCACAGTTTTCTAGTTTTTCAGAAAAATCCCAAAAAAATCATTATTTCCTGTACTATTCTAACTCTGAATCCACCCAAAAAGTTGTAAATTGTTTATAAACCCCAACAATAAAATATTCCTCAAATTTCTCTCAAATTTTGTTTTACAAGAAGAACCCCGAGCCACATTTGATTTACAATCCTTTGTCTAACTGTCAGTAAAATGTGGTGCGGTTTTGAAATATGATGCACGATTTTCGCGCATTTTCTGAACAAATGGCGGTTCAGGAATTCGGGTTGGTTGAAATTCGAAATGAAGAAAATCAATTCTAAAAAATGCTTCCGGTGGAAATTTAAGGGCTCTTTTCAAATTTTGTCTAAACTCTTTGACTCTAATACAAAAAAAGTTATCAAAAAGCCACGTCATAGCTCACTTTTTGGAGCCAAAAATTTCGCTCACCGTAAGCTAGATTTATCCTAAATTGAAATTTTTGGCGAGCCCCAAATTAATTCCGAAATGCCACGTCATTGTACACGTTTCATTATTGATTTTTCTTCTGATTTTCTGAGAAAAGGTCATATTCTTCAAATTTTCACCTAAAATTCAACCCTGATTGAGAATGTCGTGGTGAAAATGAAAATTATTCAGAAATTTCATGACATAGTTAGCGTAACTCCACTTCCAAGGCTTTGAAATCAAATCCTAAGCCGATTACACCGTGTAATAATCCTAAAAGTCTTCCAAAACTCATACGATTTTCACTAATTAGTGAATACTTGCTAATTAATTAAATTATGCACAATTTCAATTTCCAATTCAAAATCCTATTCTTCATCCTATTTTCTCTATTATTAAATAATCCATCCAAGAACTACCTTCCTTCGTTGTCTTCTCAATATTTCAATCCCAACACCTTCTTTTCTTTTCATCTCCGCCCCATTTTTTCACCCCTGCAATTCTCTGCGTCTCTTCGTCTTCTCCACTCTCTCGTCCCTCGGACTTTTTTGTCTAGTGCTCTCGTCACTTTTTTTTGTTATATGTTTTTTTGTGTGAGACAGAAGGAGAGAGAGAGCAGTTGGCTATAAGGACGTTTTTTTTTCATTTTTTGCTGTGTTTTTGTAGTTATATAGTAATTGGGATTTAATAAGTTTTTTTTGATATGAAAGGGGCGGGGCTTAGGGTTTGGCTTAGCTCGGAGAAACTGCGGTGAGCTGAGAGTAGGGCAGAAGCTGGATGAGATTCTGAAGTTCTCAGAAATTTTAGCCCTTGGATTTCGGAATTACACTTTATATCTTTCGAGCCTTCTATGTCTACTTGAAGTTATATAGGATTTCGAGTTAGGATAACTCTTCGCAAACTATCTAGGTAATAGATTAAATAGGCGTGGCTTTAATTAGGATTTTAGGTTTATTGATTTTTGTTTTGAAAATCTTTCTAGGGTTTTCTTTTTCTTGACCCGCAACTTAGCCTAACCCTTTTGATGTCACACAATTAGAGAGACCTTGAGTTCCCAGAAATATTAGCCTTGAGCAATTTTCGAACGTTTTCAGAGTTGGTTTTTTGAGCTTCGCAAAAGTTTAGAGTTAGGACAACTTTTTGAAGACCAGAAGAAGCCTAAGAATATGGATTTATTGATTTTTGATTTGAGAGTCTAGGAATTTTTTGGCTGAAAATTTAGCCTTTGGAAATTCTATTTTTCCTGAAAAATTCCATTAGGGTAAATGACTCATTTTCAAATTAGAAAGTTTGCGAGCCAAATTTCAGCAGGTTCCCATCGAAAAATAGTTTTGCAAATTTTGAACTCCAGAAAATTAGACTCGAGTCCAAGAGTCCATATTTAAAATCTTTCGAACTAACCTACTGAAAACTTCAGCCTGAACTTTAGCCAGGGTTTCCAGCAATCCTAATTTAGCCTAACTTTCAAACCCTGAACTACTTATTTTGCCCCAAAATTCCCTATATCCTTTTCAGCAAGCCAAAGTCCAAAAAATCAATATTTCTCATTGTTATCATTTCTCATATGTTCTCTTGCGTAATCGTGGACTTTTTATCTGAAATATATAAATTTTCGAGGAAATTTAGCTGGTTAATTAAAGTCGTTAATTTCGGCTGAAGTCTTTAAGTTTAGTTAAAGCTTAATGTTCTTAACTTTAACTTAAACCTTAGGTCGTTACTATTAGCTCAAACTTAAGGTCTTTAGTTTAGGGTTGAACTTAAGGTCTTTAACTTTAGCCTGAAATATAACATATTTAACTTTGGCCTATACTTAAAGCTATTACTTTTGGCTTAAGATAAAGGTCGTTATTTTTGGCATAAACCTAAGGTCTTTAACTTGAAGTCCTTAACTTTGGTCTGAACTTTAAGTCGTTAGTTTTGGCCTAAATCTAAGGTCCTTTCTTTTTCCAAAAAAAAACCTGAAACTTTCACAATTTCCCATAAATATTTCACCATCTCTCATTAATCAAAAAATAATTTTATATTATATGTAATATATTATTCTTCCACTTTCTCTCCCAATTTCCTAATTAGGATAATTAAATTCTCCCAGATTTTTGCCCGTCAGCAAATTCTCGACTTGAAAACTCCCCGGAGCCTACAGTACCCCTGGCAATATTCCCAGCCTCTCCCAAAAATCCACCACCATGTTTAGTTTTACACACACACAGACACACAAAATGTGAACAGGATTGTCTGCGCCTCCACGTCTCACATACTCTCTCGCTTCGCGGAATCGATAAGAGGAGAGTGGAAAACGACGAGAATGCGAATAGATAGAGTGTGGTAGACATAGAGACGCAGAGAATTGGGTGAGAGAGTGTGGAAGAGATTGGAGAGCGGAGAGAAATCGACGAAATTTTTGTGTATGTGTTGAGTGAAGGAAGAGAGTATTTTTATAATATATGTGGTGTTTTCATTTTGTGATATATAAGGTTTTAAAGTGTTTTTAAGGATTTGCAAGTTAGCTTGCCACGTGGATTCCTTAGGGCCTTAGGGACCCTAAAGGCTTTAGAAGCTTTAGGGATTCTAAAAGAGAGCTAGGAAAGCCTGAACTTCGAGCTCAAAGCTGAAAAGGAGCTCAGAGTTTGGAGCTCATTCTCGAAATTCTTGGATATAACTTTTCTAATTTGAAGTTAGGGAAACTTAGTTCTGAGACTAATATGAGTCATTGCCTTTTCCTCGTTTTTGAAAAGTTTATTAGATTCTCTTTAGGGAGCTAAGAGTTTTAGGTTAAGGTCTTAACTTTCTTAGGGGATTTTTAAAATTCTCTAGGAATTCCCTAGGAAATCAATAATTGAGTTTATCATTTTTTTCAGAAAATAACTAGAATCTGAAAATTTTTAGAATCTTAGCCTTAAGGTTTGTAGGTTAGGCTTTAGAAAATTCTTGTAAAATTTTGAAAATCAATATTTTTCCTCAATTTTTGTAGCCAATGAAAATGAAAATTTAGATTTATGAGAAATTTTATGAGTTTTTTTTTCGTTATTTTTCCAAAGTCTCAAATTTATTTAGTCATGGATGGAGTTATTGATTTTTCTGAGAATCTGGAAAGAAAATTCAAGAACAGAAAATTTTCAAATTATAGCTTTGGTTTCAGAATTCTCAGGAAAATTAGGGTTAATTTTGCGCGAGGAAAAATGTAGGCCTAAGGTTTTTATGACAGAAGATTTTGAAAATTTTTGGCTCTAGAAATTAAAGTTCAGGTTTTATTCTGAAAAATTTCACATTTTCTGAAAAATCCCATGGATCTGGAATTTCCCTAAATGTAGGTTTCCTAACGCAAAAACCCTGGAAGTTAGGATAAATCTTAGGCTTTTTCCAGATGAATTCCTCTGAAAAATATTATTAATTTCTCTGAAACTTAATTAAAATTTAGGTTTCCAAATTTTTTTTTCTGAAAATCTAGTTCTTATTTTGCAAAATAATTCCTGTAAAATCTAGGTTCTAAATCTTTTAACTTCAGATTTTGCTCTCTGCTTTTTCTAAATCCAGTTATAATTTTTTTTTGGCTTCTGAAATTCTGAATTCACATATTCTCTTCTGTAATTTAATTTTTTGCAGTGATGGAGAATCCAGGCGATGCTCCTCCTCCTTCTCCTCCTCCACCACCGTCCGATCCACCAACAAGTCCACCCGAAGAAGAGCGACGAAGTCCCGATTTGCGTCGCTCAAAACGCAAAAAATTCAATCTCGACGTAGTCGCCATCGTCAGCGGAACGAGCAGCAAAAAAGTGAAGAATGAACCATTGAGTGTTGAAACAACCCCCACGCAAGGCAATTCGAATAATGTTTCGCCGAAATTGGAGCCCAAGGATGAGCCAGAAGATGGTGCTCGAGCTCCAACTCCACAAGTTCCAGTTCAAATGACAGCTCAACAATTATTGTTAGCCAATGAGAATTTGTCTGCAAATTGTGGCGATGGTGGACATGTTGAGGGGAAAAGAAAGAGAAGAAGTACTGCTCCGTATCGAGATTATGGTTATAATTTTGTGGATGATTTGGAAGATGAGGATATGGTAAGTGTAAATTTTGGCGCGAAAAAAAACCGTTTGGAAAAATCATTTCAGCGGAAGTGGAAATTTTTAATTAATTTTCCTGGAATACTGTGGTTTTAGCAATTTTTAATTATACCTAAATTTAGATTTTTGCACTAATTAGCAATATGCGTCTCTAGCTCCCCAGCTTTCGATCTCTCTGAACCCTTCCCCCCTCAGCTCAATTTCAAAGTACATATTTTTTCAGCGCGGCTTCATCGGCGACAATTTCTGCACCAAATGTCCGGCTCGCTACGACACAAAACACGGCAAAAACAATCATATGAAGTTGCACGGCGGCGAAAAACGCCGATTCTCATGCGAACTCTGCGATTTCTCAGCGCACACCGCGAAAGCCGGCATGCAACACGCGAAAATGCACAAAGCTTTTGGGGTGTTGAGTGGGCAGCCGAGTCCGGTGCTGAAAATCGAGCCGAAAATCGAGCCGGAAGAGGATGAGAAACCGCCGGTGCTTCTGCCAGAAGATGAGCATTTGAATATTGATGTGGCGACGAGTAGTGAATTCGCGCCGACTTTGGTTGCTCAGAAACCCGCTGCCACATCGACGCCGATCAAAGTTTCCGCTCCGCCTTCCGCGAAGAAATCTTCTTCACTTCCCAACGACAAACAGTGTCCACATTGTCCATTTCTTGGAAAAACTGCTGCTCGTCTCAAGCGTCATTATCGTGGACACGAATTGCAACGTGGATATGTGTGTGGTGCGCGTGGATGTGGATTCAAATGTGAGACGGTTGGCTTCTTGAAACGACACTACACATTGCACAAAGATCCGCTGCCGTGGCCACCAAAATATGTTGGATTGACGACGGATGGAAATGAGGAGACGAAAAATGAGGAGAGAGAAAGATTGAGACCATTGGTAAGCGGGGGTTTGGAATGGGGTGACTGAGACCGGGTCGAGCCTGAAGCCCATTTTTTCTCATTCGGACCGGCCCAGTCGTTGGAACATGTCTGGGCTGAGAATAAATTAGTTCGACGATTAAGATCTTAAAATTTTTGCTTAGACTTTAGACTTAGGATTCTAGGCTTGAACTTCTAGACTTATGCTATAGGCTTAGACTTTAGGCCTTGACTTTAGGCTTCCGGCTTATAATTCAAGCTTAACCTTTTAGACTCAGGCTTAGGCTCTGACTTCTAGGCTTAGACTTTAGGCTTAGATTTTAGGTTTAGATTTTTTGCTTAGTAGGCTTCAGGTTCAGAATTAGGCTTAGACTTTGGGCTTACAAGGCTTTAGATTCAGAATTTAAGCTTAGACTTCTAGGCTCAAACTTCTGGACTTATGCTATAGGCTTAGACTTCTAGGCTTAGGCTTAGATGTTTAGGCTCAGATTTTTTACATTTTTAATAATCTTAAGTTCCATGTGGAAAATTTTGTTTCGGCTAATTTTTGTTTAACTTTCAGGCTTTTTTAGGCTTAAGCCTAAGATTTGAACTTTTTTTTATTAAGAATTGATAGTTTCTAGAAAATTCCAGTTTTTCAATTTTTTTCTACAAAATTGACTTTTAAAAAAAATTATATTTTCCAAAATTCCACGTCATCGGCCACGTATTATTTTTATTTTTTCCAAAAAAAAGTCCCATTTTGCAGGCCCAACTCAAATCACGTTTCCTGAACGAAGAAAACGAGAAAAAATGCAACATAGGCGACTGCGAATTCACACCAATCACCCAACAAAGTCTCATAACCCACAAAATACTGATGCATCGCGCCGCCCATTCTTTCCCCAAATCCGCGCAAAGAATATGCTCGAAATGTGGATATCGTGCGAAGAATGCGCTTCTTCTAAAGGCGCATAAACTATCGAAACACGCAAAGATTGCAAGAAGAGGAGTGAAGGGAAGAAAACGGACTTTTTATGTGAAGGAGATGGTTGGAGAGGTATTCTTCACTAAATATGTTGGAAATTCGGTGAAACCTGATGAAAATTTGATGGATGAATCGTTTGATAGTGTTGGAGATTCTCAACAACAACAACAGAATTCACAAGTTCCCCCCGTTCGTTGCGAGACCTATCATTGCAATTTGTGCCCTTACAAAGCTGTGAGCGCTTCTCGAGTTGAAAGACATTATGCCAAACATTTCGTCGAACTCGATTTCAAATGTGAAATTTGTAAATATTCATGTAGAAGTCAAGAAATGATGACACAACATGAAAGATTGCATTATGAAGGAGATTTTGATCTGCCAGAGCCTCCAATTGCCCCGAAGAAATCGACACTTTACAATAGTTCGATTCAAAAATGGTGTGCAAAACGGGAACTTGATGAGAGAACAATTAATGATAGTTTTACGAAGATTGCTGTTGATGGACAGAAGATTTTTAAATGTTTGGAATGTCCGTACACTTCGAAATATCGTGGAGATATCAAAACGCATAAATCACGTCACTCCACGGAGCAAGAACTTCGATGCACGCAATGCTCGTATTCTGCTGCGAGACCCGTTTCGTTGAGAGATCATATGAGACAACATGTGTTGGCGAATTCGAATTTGGCGGCGAAATGCGAGGGGAAAAAGATTGTGGTGAATGGTGGAAAAATGATTGGACAACGATGGGGAAGAGGAACTGAAAGGGTTTATTTGTGCTCGCAGTGCTCGTATTTTACAAGTACTATTGGATGCATTTGGAGACATTCGAGGTGAGCGAGGGGAGAAATAAGTCTGGAAATTTTCAAAAAAAAATTAGCTGAAAGTAAAGTTTTTTCAGCTCAAACTTCAGCGTATTCTCAACAAAATTCTCTCATGAAAAAAATACGTTTCAAAATTTTTATTAAATTTTTGCTTTTTTTTAACCGTCATTAATTCTAACTTATGAATTGTGAAAAAAAATTAATTAAATTTTGAAGTTTTCGATGAAAAATCCTGAATTTCACCCCCTCAATTCTTCCAGATACCATCGATCAGTTCCAAAAGTCCATGTTTGCTCCTCGTGCACTTATAGCTCAATTGACAAAACCAAAATGGATGAGCATATTATTATTCATTCGGCTCATGGAAAATTGGATTGTTATGTTAGGGTAAGTCCACCGGACCCTGATTCCCCTCCAATTTTTAATTCTCAAAATTTTCAGCGAGTGAACAATGAGGGCCGTCCGATTCGTATGATCACCGATTATGATCATGATCCGAACTTCAAAATCTCGCCGGAGATCTCAAGAGTTCCATCACCGGCTTCGGCTTCAGCTTCGGCTTCGAACTTAACATCCTCAAGAAGTGAAAGATTTTTGAGAAATCGAAAATCGAATAGTCGATTCTCTACACCCTCTTCATCTTCCGCTAATTTGTCACAACTCGAGCCGGAAAGTTTGAGAAATTCACCGCGTCTCGATGCTGAAAATGTGCCGATTTCCCCGAATGATTTGGAATTGTCGCATTTTGCGATTCGAAATTATTTGCGGAATGAGAAAAAGGCTGAAAATGCGCAGCAGTGTCCTGATTGCCCATATCGAGAAAGTGATTTGACACTGTTCAGATTGCATCGAGATATGCATTTTTGTGAGGGAAAACCCAGACAATTTGCGTGTTGTGAATGTAATTTTAGGTGAGCCAGGGAGAGGTTTTGGGGGGTTATATTTAATATCAACAGATCGTTTCAAATTGTTGGTTTCGAATCATGTGTGATTTTTGAAACGTATTTTTTGTGCGAATATTTTTTACTGTTTCAAAAATTTTATTTGAAAAACGTTTTCAATATTTAAAATTACTTAAGAGGCTCTCTTTTAGATTAAAAAAAATCAGAAATTGCTTTTAAAGAACAAAATATACTGTTTCAAAATTTTCATCCAAAATTTTGACAAAAAAAATGTATTTTTTATGCGAATATTTTTAACTGTTTCAAAAATTTTATTTGAACGAAGTTTTGAAAATTAATTTGGTATATGAAACTATTCGCATAATTGGGTTATTATCTTTTAAATTCAAAGAAAAATCAGAAATTGCTTACAAAAAATACTGTTTCAAAATTTTCAAACTCATTTTTCGTGGATTAAAACACACAGGACAACTCTACTGTTGCAAAATTCTTATTTGAAAAATTAATACAATTTTTGAAACGTATTTATAAGGTGAAATTCAAAAATTTTTTTTAAATATCAGAAATTGCTGAAATTCATGAAAAAAAACATTTTTCCCCAAAATCATATGAAAAATCAATAAATTCTAGTGTTTTCACTGCAAATGCTCTCCAAGCTCATCTTCGTCTTCATTCCGATGGAATGGAATCAGCAGACAACAATTCATCATTCCTCCGTCGCAAACAAAATTCTCGAAAAGCCGAAGTCATCCCACCAGGCGCCAAATTCTATCAATGCACAAGTTGCTCTTTCAAAACTGTCGACGATTTTCTTTTTATGGAACATCGTGGAGAACATCGGAGACAATTGGGACAAAGATTGGCAACTGTTATGAAAAGAAATGCACCGAAAGATGATTATCAAAAACCGCGACTCAAGTTTTTGGCGACAAATCGAGCATTGAAATGTTGCACAAAATGTATGTTTAGATGTAGTGGATTGCATCAATTTGTTGCACATTCGGATAGACATGGATGGAATCGATTGTATAAATGCAAGTGAGTAGAAGCGGCAGCTGTGTATTTTACTACCCAAAAAAATCCCCAGGAAAAAAATTTTGCTGTTTCAAAATTGCAATAAACTTTTTCTCAAATTGAATTTTCTGATTAACGACTTTTTTCTATTTGAGAAAAATTTCTTGCAATTTTGAAACAGTGAAATTTTTTCCTGCAAATTTTACGTTTCAAAAATTTTATGAGTTTTCACATAATATTTTTCAAATGATATATTTTGTTCTCGTTTTTGAAACAGTAAACTTTTTGAAATTTTTTTGCTGAAAAAAATTGAATTCAATATTGCTACGATTCCTGGAGTCCGAAAAATTTCCGCATTTGTTAAGAATGAAAAACAAACAGAAAAACTATCAAAAATTGAAAACCCTTCATTTTTAAGGCTAATTTTTGAAACGTATTTTTTTTCTGGAACGTATTTTTTTTCTCTCTTTAAATAATTTTTTGCCATGATAAATCCGAGAAAAATCTATTTTTGTGCCAGTTTTTTCACAGGAAATTAGATTTTTTTTTTTGGGGAAAATTCAATTTTTGGCCTTGAAAACTAGATAAATATTGGATTTTTCGCTGGAAGTTTGGCTTTCTGGATTTAAAAAAATTTAGATCTCAAAAATAATTAAATTCATCGCCTGAACTTTTTAAATGAAAATTTGATATTTGTAAATTCTTTTTCTGTTTCCTGCTCAAAAGTTCACATTTTTATATCTCATCAAAAATTTGGTTTTTTGGTTGGCAAATATTACGAATTTAATTAAAATGTTTCGTGATCTGAATATTTTGAAATTTCAAAATTTTGACAAGGGAAATGATCATTTTTCTCATTAATTTCTCTTTTATGGAAAGAGAAAAATGCAATTTCCGAGTTTTTTTGGGCAAAAAAATGTTCTCAAATAATTTGCTGTTTCTAAATTTTGGTGAATAGTTTTCTTGAATAATTTTAATCATTGTGTTCATGAAATCCACCAAATCTAACAAAATTAGAGTTTTAAAAAATACCCTTAACCTTAATTAATTAATACCCTTAATTATTTTCCTCCTCCAACTCTTCCTTTTTTTCCAGAATGTGCGATTATTCTGATTCGACAAAAAACACAGTCGATTATCACGAAACTCATCATCATGTCACAAAAGAGCATACATTGACTGACACAGCAAATGCTCTTACTTATTCATTGAATCAAGGTTTTGTGCAAAAGCCAATTTTGAGACAATTGCCAACACCTTCAATTGATGAAGCATTGAGAATTACGGCTTCTTCTTTGAAATGTCCATTGTAAGTTTTTTGAAGGGGAATTTAGAGTGGAAAAAATGCACTATTTCAAGTTTGAAAAAATCAACTGTTTCAAAATATTTCTATATTATTTTGCTATTTTTTGCAAATTCGATATGTAAGAAATGTTCTTGTACATTGAGAAAATTTTAATTTTTTTTGCATTGTTTAAAGTTTTTAAAGAAAATGCTTGAAATAGTGAATTTTTATAAATCACAGAAATAAAAAACATTTCTCAAAAAATTCACTGTTTCAAAATAGTTATATGTTTTTTTACAAATTCGAAATTTCAATAATTCTTCGTATGTCGATTGAATAATGTTATTCGTTAGGAACAAAATTTCACTGTTTCAAAACATTTTCATTTTTTTTAGAAATATTTTTGCCGAATTCAATAGGAAATCTCATCAAAATCTAGTTTCAAAATTTTCAAATCAGTTTCAAGTCATTTGTGAATAATTTTAGTCTCAAAAAATTTCACTGTTTCACAATGTTTTTATTTATTTTCAGTCATTTTTCAAAAATTGATCGTTTGAGCATGTTGAGCATCTTTTTAAAAATACAGTTTCAAAAATCTTGCATACTGTTTGAACTAATTCACAATTTTAATGAATTCCTTCAAAAAAATACTGTTTCAAAAATATTATATTTACTTTTGGAAATGCCAATAATTCCAAATGTTGTTCAATAAAAATAAGTCACATACTTTTTTTCTCAAAAAATTCACTGTTTCAAATTTTTCAGTTTTTTTTTTCTAAATTGATAGGTTCAGTCATATTTTATTTTAAAATTTACTGTTTCAAAAAATATTATATTTACTTTTAATTATATTCTGATTCAATGCTATCTCTCATTGCGATTTAAATTTAAACATTTTCACTGTTTCAAAAACCTCAAATATTTTTCCACTAAATCCTTTATTTTGCAGATGCGATTACATCGCTCATTTGGCACCGGAACTCTCATTCCACATCACTCAAAAAACACGGCGACAATGAAAATGCTCGCCAAATTTCATCAATGTTACAAATGGGAATCTCACCAGCACCACTTTCAGCATAGATCTTCTTCTACTTTTCTTTAATTGCTTCTTTTTATCTGTCCTTCCTATCAAATTCCGATTTTCCCGGGTTCATTTCCTTTTTCCAAATATATGTAGTTCATTTCCCGTTTTTATTGCTTCCTTCCTTTCCTTTCCCCGTTTTTTTCCATGTGATATAGTTTTTTTTGTCTAACTTTTTATAATAATAATATTCTTAAATTTCCCATTTTTCCCTTCCTGTCCCAATATTTATGAATAAAATGAATAAATAAAACAAAATTTATCCCGAAAATTTCAAAAAATTCAGAAAAAAACTGAAACACGTGCACACACAAATTGAAAAAAATGGCAAATTTTTGGTAATATTTTTGAAGTTGTTTTGTAAATATCACAGTCTTCTCTCAAAAAAAAAACAGAAAAATGAGCAAAAATTGACTAGAAATGGGGGGAAAAGAAGATGAGACTAGATATATTGGGGTTGTTCTTGACCAGTTAATAATCGGAACATTGAAGTTGGCATTGTTTTCATGTGAATTTCGCCGACGGCTGTTGCAAGCATATTTACGATTCTGAAAATTCAAATTTTTATTTGAAAAAAAATTTAAGTTTAACAATTTTTTAATTTATGAAAAATATGCATGCAACGCTCCAAAATTTTCTTCAAAACCTTTTAAAAGTTCTCGAAACAGTGAGTTTTTTAACATTATATTTGTAAATTTGTGGGAAAAATTACGATTCTGCAAAACAGTAAATTCAAAAAATAAATTCAGAAAAAATTCACTGTTTCAAGAATTTTTTGAAGATTTTGAATTGTTCAGAAAATTAATATTTCATATTTTTAAAATGAATTTTCTTGAACCGGATTTTTTTCTCAAATTTCAAATGTCAGGAATTTTATTTATGAAAAAAAATATGTCAAAAATTTACTGTTTCACGAATTTTTGAAAATTTTAGAAAAATTAATAAAAAAAATAATTTGAGAATACCAAATAATTTGGTTGAAAAATTTACTGTTTCAAAACATGATTAAATTTTTGCCAAATTCTTAAAGTTTTCATTTTTCCATCAAGTTTGGCAAAAAATCGACTGTTTCAAATATTGTCCAAAACAACCAACCTATCATGAGCAACAGCAACCACAGATGTTCCATTAATTTCAATAATTCGATGTCCGACTCGAATTCCACCGCGTTCCGCAATTCCGCCACGTAACAGCGAACAAATCACGCCATTTTGAACGGAGAATCCGAGTTGATATTTTGTGTCGGGTCGACGAATTCGAACTTCGACAACTGGAGGAGTTGATACAACTGTCATACGAACTGCGGTTGCGGTTCTGCGAAAAAAATATTGAAATGAGATGGGATGAGATAAGGGTTGGGGTGGGTGGGGGAAATTTGGAGTTTTCAAAGAAGGCTTCAAAAAATTGACTGAAGATTCGAAGTTCAAACCTTTTAAAAATTCACTGTTTCAAAAATGTATTATTAATTTTTTCAAAATTCTTCACACAATATTTTTCTTGCTAAGGTGAAGTGAAAAATTAAAAAGTTCCTGACTTCAAAAATTCACTGTTTCGAAAAATAATCAAAATTTACTAGTTTTTCTGAATTTTGATTTCATTTTGATATATGTTCAAATATTTTGTGAAAAAATTAAAATTTTACTGTTTCGAGAATTAAAAAAAAATTAAATTTATTTTAGCTGCAATGACTATTGACTATTTTAGACCTCACAATCAGCTAGAATTTCCAGAAAAAATATTTTTCAAAATTTACTGTTTCAAGAATTAAAAAAAATTAAACTCGTTTTGCTGCAATGACTATTTCAGACCTCGGCTAACAAAAAATCTCAAAATTTCCAGAAAAAAATATTTTTAAAAATTCACTGTTTCAAAATTTGACCAAATTTTTGGGAAAAAATCTAAAACTGTTTGATTACCAAAAACTCAAAAAACATATATATTTTTCACCTTAACAAAATAATCCTCAAAATTTCACTGTTTCAAAAATTGTTCAAATTTTTTCAGAACAAAAAATAGCTAATCAGAGACACTAATAAGAAAATTGACGAAAATTTTAAAAAATCATATTATAAAATTTTACTGTTTCAAGAATTCTTCAAAAAAATGTTCGAATTTTTTAGTCTCAGTGGACGATAGCAATTTCAACCGAAAAAAATCTAAAAATTAAAAATAAATCTTAAAACTTGTTCACCTCAAAATTGCACTGTTTCAAAATTTGGCTAAATTTTTAGGGAAAAAATCTAAAACTGTTAGGTTATCAAACACTCTAAAAATAATATCTTTTCACCGTAACAAAATAATCCTCAAAACTTCACTGTTTCAAAATTATACCAAATTTTTTGGGGGGAAATCGAAAACTGATCCATTCGTTGAGAAACATCTTATTTCACTGTTTCAAAAATATATTGATTTTAAACCCCTGACCCAAAAAAAACCAACTAACTTTGCATTTTTAATCTGTGTCTGTGCTGCACTCAATGGCAAACCAACCAACGAAATTCCATTAATATTAATAATTTGATCACCAATATTCAATTTATTCGAATGCGCAGCCGGTCCAATCGGATTCATATGTGCTAAAACAACAGTGGGAAGCATTGAACCCCAACCAGATTCGACAACAACAATTCCAAGTGGTTCTCCTGATTTTTTCGATACAACAACCTCTTTTTGTGTTTCTTTTTTGGCAAACATTTCCAATTCATCGCCCAATAATTCTTGTGAATTTAAAACTTCTTGATAATCAATTTGTCGAAGATAGGATGGATCATCAATTCCATTTGCACGAAGAAATTCGACATATGCTACTTGAAAAGCTTGACCAATTGATTGAGCAATGAATGAAGCTTCGTCGGATTCGAATACGTGACAAATCACTTTTGGAGCTTTGCGGACGCCGTTTGATGAAGGATGACCATTTTCACTGGAAATTTGAGATTTTTTAGAGAAATTATGTTAGTAAAAAATTCACTGTTTCAAAAATTTCTCATACGTTTGTGTGTATATTATAATTCTAATAGCTTGGTGGGATTTTCTACTAAAACAAAAATTAACTGTTTCAAAAAATTATTGCTGAATAATAGCCGTAAATTGCGAAAATTTCCAGAAATTTTCAGGTGGAAAATAAATTTGGTAAACATTTTTGAGAAATTTGAAATTTTACCCAAGAATTACTAGATTTCATGTCAGAAAATTTGATTTTTCATTTTCTCAAAAATTTATTGTTTCAAAAATTATCAAATTTTTTGGTGTATTTTATAATTCTAATTGATCGAAGGTAAAACTAAAACAAAAATCCACTGTTTCAAAATTTTTTTGAATTTCAAAAAAATTATTGATAACTGTTCTGATGTACTTAATAAGAATTCAGGAAAAATAAGGTTCAACCCAAATAATGACTCTAAAATTCGAAATTTCAAAATTTGCAATTGAAAAATAACATTGATCAAAATTTTTGAGAAATTTGAAATTTTATTCAAGATTCCCCAGATTTTCTGTCAGAAAATTTGATTTTTCATTTTCTCAAAAATTTACTGTTTCAAAAATTTCTCAAACTTTTGTGTGCATATTATAATTCTAATATGTAGCTTGATGGTATTTTCTACTACATAAAACAAAAACTCACTGTTTCAAAATTTTTTAGAATTTCAAAAAAATTATTGAAAACTGCTACAACGCAAATGAAAACAAATTCAAAAAAAATGACTTCAAAGAAAATTTCCAGGTCGAAAATTAATTTGGTCAACATTTTGAAGAAATTTGGAATTTTATCCAAGAACTCCTAGATTTTCTGTCAGAAAATTTGATTTTTCATTTTTTCAAAAATTCACTGTTTCAAAAATATCTCAAATTTTTGGATTTAATTTGGCATTCTAATGTTGAGACCAACTAAAAAAAATGTTCTCAAAACTTCTTTTTAAAATAATTTTTAATTTTGAGACTGATAAAATATCACTGTTTCAGATTTTTCATTGAATCATTTGAAAGCTTTAGTAGCAATTGCGAACATTTACCAAAAAATAAATTCTCAAAAATTCACTGTTCCAAAAGTTTATCATAATTTTGGATTTAATTTGGGATTTTAATGATAATTTTTTTGCATATCCAAAAAATTCATTTTTTCAAAAATTTCTTTCGAAATAACTATATATTTTTAAAGTGATAAAAAATTCACTGTTTCGAAAATTTCCCAAAAATTTTGGGATTACTTTATAATTTCAATAAGTCGATTTAATTGTTACCCAGAAAATTAACTATTTCAAAACTGATTTTCTCCCATTTTTTCCTTCCCAAATCCTAACCTATCACTACAAGATTCATCAGAATGACTCGTCGACATTCTCCTCGCCATCAACACAACCAAATCTCCAATATCCGCAATATAACTAATAGTTCTCAACGCATGATCCATCAAAATATCCTGTCTAACATCAGTATCCGATATTCGTTGCAAATCCGTATTCAAAACCATAATTTTCTCGGTCGAGATGAATAAATCGATTTCTGTAGATGGTTGAACATCTCCATCAGGTGCTTTGACTCGAGCAACAGCTTCTTGTGCTTGTGCCATTCGAGCCGATTTCGAGCCACGACTTTCGCACAGCATTTGAGTTGAGCCAAGATATCGAGCACGGAACAAGACTCCCTCGATTAGAACTGCAGGTTCGTGAACCATTGCTGGAATTGCAAGAAAATATTGATTTTTTGAAATTGAATTTTGAAAAAAAATGAAAATGATAAATAGAGGGGGGTTTAGAGAAATGATAGAAGCCACCGTTCACAAAATGCTCAATTTTTTTGAAGATTTTTTTTTTGCTTTTGGGGTTTTTTGAAATAAAAAATTAAATTTTGGCGTGAAAAATTCAAATTCAAATTTTTCAAATCAAAATCCCCCAAAAGCAATTTTTATTACAAAATTTCTAAATAAATATCATGCGAGGGAATACAAAAATAGGGTGCAAAATAAAAAATAGAGAAAAAGTGTGAACCAAAAAAAAACTGAAAAATACAAAACTAATCTAAACTTACTTAATTATTATTTTACCAAATTTTAAAGGAAACTTTAACTTTTTGGGTGAATTGGTGTGTGGTGGAAAAAAATTAAATTTGTGGTGAAAATGTGGTGGCTACTATAAACTTTTCAAAAAAAAAATTCTGAAGGAACCTACTTTCTTTGCTATTTTTCTTTTTCTCAACTGATGCTCTCCGATCTTTTGTTGATCCTTGTCCAATTGAATTCGATGAAGATCCAGGTCCAATTCCAGAAGAACCATTCAAAAGTCGATCGGTTTCTTGTTCCTCTTCTTCTCCGCCTTGAGCAGCTTCTTGTGCAGCTGTTGCAGCGTCTTGCCAATTTAACTCCTGAAAAAATTTTGGGAAATTCCAAAAAAAAAATACTGAAACTCCAAAACCTTTCTAAATTGTTTCAAATCAAATTTTCTCCAAAAAAAGTTCGTTTCGAATTTTCTAACAAACTTGAATTTTATGGCAAAAAGGTTGGAAAACTTTAAATTGAAAAAATAAGCTTGACCTAAGCCTAAGCCTGAACCTTAACTCAAGCCTGAGATAAGCCTAAGCCTAACTTCTAAGCCTAAGCCTAAACCCTGAGCCTAAACCCTAAAGCCTTACCTCTTCAGCCGATGTCCTTTGTTCCCTTTGCATTTTCTTCAAATACGAATCTCTCAACACCCAAACCGGATCATTTTCCTCATTTTCAGCCACATTTCCATTCGCATTTCCAGTCTCATTATTCTCCTTTTCCTCTTGCCAATTACTTTTCCCTCTCAAATTATTATTCAAGACGGGATGTGAAGGTGGAGGTGGCGGTGGAACCAATCCCTGATTCTGTACTTGATTCTGAGACTGCGATTCCTGAGGCAAAACTTCTGGTTGTTGTGTGATTTGTTGTTGTTGGGCAAAAGCGGCAGCCAATTGATCGGGTGAGAAATGATGAGCCGATTCAGCTGAGGAGGAGGAGCCATTTTCGAATTGTGGTGAGAAGGGATTTGTGCCATTTGGAATGAATGGTTGTTGGGGAAGGAATTGTTGAGCCATCTGGAATAAAAAATGGGGTTTGAGCAAAGAAATTGAACATTTGACTACACATTTTTTTCGAAAGATAATTTTTTTTGGAAACCCGGGAACTCTACGTTTCAAAAAATACCGAAATATTTTTTTGCTTTTATTTTATTTGGTTTTTGAAACATCATCATTTTAATATTTTTTCACTGTTTCAAAAATTTCAGAAATATTTTTTGTTATTATTTTTTCCAGTAAGGCTTTAGCATAGTCTAGATAATAGTTCAAAAAAGCTTTCTCTAAAAATATTTGCATTTTTTGAAACGAGAAAAATCACTGTTTCAAAATTTCCACAAATAAAATTCTCCCTATGTATATTCATTCAATGAGATCCAGCCAACAACTTACCGCAACTCCAATCGGAAACGGATTCGACGGCGAAAAACTGGTAAAATTGTTGAATTGCGGCTGGATTTGAGTTGGAACTTGAGGTGGAGCACTAATTAGAGGATCATCAGCCAAATTGAACGAATTCCTCAATTGATTCAGTGTTTCTTTAACTTGCGGTTTCGGAGCTTCAGAAGTTGTTGAAGTGGAAGAGGAATACGGTAAGGCACTCTGAAAAACAATATTTTTTGGGGGGGGAATGAGGAAAATTGGAACCACAACAATTCAAAACAACATCTAGAACTATGACGTGGCAAATCTTCAGATGCCACGTCATAACCCAAAACAATTTCAGAAGACGACGAAGAAAACATGCGGATAGACTTCACAAAAATTCAACTGCACTCTATAACAAACCTGTTCAGAAGGGGTGGCAGAAAAATGTGCAACAAAAGCGGCATCCGAAGTGGATGCCACACCAATCAATTCAGCCAATTCGTTGTCGTTTATCTGCTTTTTTCGTGGTTGGGTTAGAAAATTGCGAGAGAGTGAGAGAAAGAGAGAGAATCAGAGAAAAATTAGATTAGGCTCTTGGTCAGATTTGAATCCCAAGAGCAACAAAAAATGGCTGAAGGGATCCCGCAGAAAAAAGATCATTTTTTGAAAAGGCAGTTGAACAGCGATAGGAAAAAAGTGTGCGGCAGTTGCAATCAAGCCACGCCCACATTTTCAACTGTCCAACTGCCCTCAAATCCCCCTTTTCCTCACTCACCTTCTTAATATTTTTATTCTGTGACCGTCTCGTAATCTCCTTCTCAATTTCACTCATCTGCTTCCGAATCAAACTATCAGTTCGATCTCCCGAATTTTTGCGCTTCTCTGATGAAATTGTTGAAGAGCTCGATGATGTTTGCTCCGGTTCATCGGGTGTTGGAATTGTTGTTGAGGAAGAAGTGGAGGCGGCGGCGGCTGCCAGAAGAAGATCTGATAATGAAAATGTACGTTTCAAAAATATTTGATTGAAAAAAATGAGATTCGCAACTACAATTCAAAAAAAAATCATACTGTAGATTTCAAGATATTTATTTCACAAGATACAGTAGTCAAAAACCGTATTAACTTCTTTACATTGTAAAAAGGCTTGTTTACAGTGTCCTTGAGATTACGGTAGTCTGGAGAAAACAATGTATTTTTTAAAGTATTATACCTACAGTAATCCTGATACACTTCAGAGTACTGTAGCTCAACAATTTGGGAAATTAAACAGTGCAACGTGGTTCTACCAGGGCTGAATTTATGCCACGTCTGAGGGCTAAAAAATATTGAAGGTGAAATTTTCCAGCCACGAAAATTATAACGCTTTTTCCAAGAGTTGAAGCTGTGCCACGTGGAATTTTTCAAGACCAAAAAAAATTGGCCAACGTAGAATTTCCCATGGTTAAAAATATGCTCCAAACTTTAATTTTCCCCCTAAAAATCCCTTTATCCTAGTCAAGTACGAACAACAAAATCCGCGAAAAAAAATGTTAATTATCGGGTGTCCGGACGGATGTCATCAACAACAGCAGAACAAAAACAAACAAGATTCCTTGTGTGCTCCAGCAAATATTTTTCATGAATATTTTAGGAGCAAAAAAAGAGCACATTTTATTATTATTATTTTTGGGCTCAAATGAAAAATGCTCTCGTTTTTTTTTTGGAAAAAAATAGAGATCAGATTACGGAATCAACAAGTTATTTTTCAGTTTGGAGCCGAAATTTCTAGTGTAAAAATGGCCAAAATTTCCATGGTGACTAGAATTTTAAATTTAACCAACCTGGTTGCTGATCTTGTGTAGAAGATTCTGCTGGAACTTCTGCTGATGTTGAAGCTGTTTTTTCATTTTCAATGACAATCTGAAAAAAATAGGGAAATTATTGATTTTTTATTGAATTTGCCACGTGGATGGTTTTTTCAGATTAAAAAGTGTTTGAAATTTTTTCAATTTTTAAAAATTCCACTGTTTCAAAATGTTTTATTAAATTTCCCGAGAAAAAAATCTAACATTAGCATACCCTCTCTGCAAATCAAAATATTGCCAAGAATTTCAGAAGACAATTTCTAACATGAGCAATACCCCCAAAATTTCGCTGCGTACTAGGCTGAGTATCTTATTCAAATTTTCAAAAATCCTCTGCCACGTGGATTTTGAAACCTAAATTTCATTGAAAAAATCCCTCAAAATTCTACTGTTTCAACATTTTTTGAAGAAAAAAAGAAAAATCCTGGAAAACAATTTCATTCTAGCTAGGTTTCAATTTTAAATTAACAATATAATATGAGCAATTCTCCAAAATTTCGCTGCGTACTAGGCTGAGTATCAAATGCACAAATGTGGGAAAAATTTGAATTTCGAAGAAATCCTGCCACGTGGATTTTGAAACCTAAACTTTATCGGGAAGAAATACAAATTTAAAATTTTCGAAAATTTCTATGTTTCAACTATTCCTTTTCCTATTTTTCCCCAATGTTTTGCTCAAAAAATCAATAACCCTATCCATTTTCTGGTAATAAATCCCCGTTCCAATTCTTATTTAGAATCTTGTTATAAGTGGTTTCATAAGAGAATATCTCAAGTATTTATCCCGTCCCAATATGCCCACCTCTTCCTCTTTTCTCATCTCATTTTTCGCCGTTTGAGCCAAATGATTTGGAGACGGCGCCGCCGAATTCGCAGAACACTGTGAACTGGGTCTCGGCTGGAATTGTTGAGGAGGAGCACTTTGGAAGGTTGTTGGAAATTGCATGGGAAATGGAATGGGAAATTGTGCGCCGCTGGCAGCCATCATTTGTTGAAAATAGTGTTGCATCATCTCTTGATATTGTGCTGGTGTCATCATTGGCATCGCCATTTTTGGAACACCAGAATCTTTTTGCGCATTTTCGTTGGCTCCATTTTGTTGGTGCCAGCCTTCTGGTGGTCCAGCCATATATGGATTCATGAAGGGATTGGCGAAGAAATGCGCGCCCGGTGGAATCATTTCTGAAAACAAATTTTATCAAAAATGTATATAATTTTTTTTAGATCTCTTCTCTTTCTCGAAAAAAATTCGCCCTCAACTCAAAAATTCATTCTGGGAGGGCATTATTTTTGCATTTTATGTTAGATGGGAGATTAATGGGATTTTCTTTTTTTTTTGTTGGAAAAAGTGCAAGAAAAATTGGGTGATGTCAGAAATTTTACATACAAATTTTTGGCGCGAAACTTTGATCTACCACGTGGATTTTAGAGCTCAAAATGTTGCGTCACAATATCTGCCACGTGGAAGATTGTGAAAATCCACCTAACAATTTTTCAACAAAAAATTTCAACCCCTGGGGTTTTTTTCGATTTCAACATTCTTGCGAAATCCAAAAATCCCCAGAAAATTTTTTCTTTTCATTTTCAATCATCATAATAGGAATCATAAGCCATTCAAAAACCGGGGGGACATCAAAAATTCCGTTTTCCCGATTTTCCATCTATTTTCCAAGAAAAATCTGGCTCCCCCCCCCCCCGCTCTTCTCTTCTTCTTCTTCTTCGTATCTAATTATATGCACAACAACTAGTACATTTCTACTTTCGCTTTCTTTTTTGAGGCTCTAAATGCGGAGAGTAACTATTCACCGACCGACAAAAAAAGAAGAGGAAGAGGGGGAGAAGAAGGAAATTAAAGAGTTTGGATGGCTAAAATTGATTGCTCGAGGCGAAATGAATTAATGATTAATGAGTAAACGACTTTTTTCTGTGTTGAAACATGAAAAAAGGAGAAATGGCCGTGGAAGAGGTTTGGCTTTCTAGGCCACGCAAAAAAATTTTTTCAATTTTTTTTGTTGTTCACCCACACAGTGCCCCCAACGCGTAGGCAGAGAAAAGTTGTGCGCATTTTTGGTGCATGTGCGGTAGAGCGCACAAGCCTGTTTGTCGGTTTTTTGAAAATTTAACACTAGGTTTTTTCTTGAAACGATTATAATCCAATTATACTTGCATGAAAACTCCCAAACTGAGCTATATGTTCTGGAGAATAATGAGAGAAACGTTTTGATATAAAACATGTGAAGGTTGGATTCAAAATAAGTTAGTTAATATCTTTTGAAGAAAAACAATTCAAATTTTATGAAGGAAAAATGTGATTCGGCACTTGTTTTATGATAAATATGTAAATTAGAATACTTTCAAGGTGTTTTAAGAATTATTTGATAAGAATAAACTTCTGAAATCTAGTTTTTTGATCAATTTTGGGCAAATTTCGATGGAAAATAAAATAACAAAAACAGCATAATTTTGAATTTTTATTGATTCCACATACATGAGGAGTCCTATTTCAATGTTTTTGAAGCATAAAACTGAATTTTATCAGCTTTCCTGGGTCAAAAATGATGTTTTTCAACAAGCTATTTTTTGAAGAGCTCTTGTTCATTTCATTCTCAACCATTTTTCATGAAACAACTCGGAATAGCTTCAATTTTTCTTCCTCTGTCTTCTCCATATTCGATTTAGTTACAAAAATTCCATTTCCAGCATTTTTCAGCAAGAAAACAAAAGCGCAAAAAAAAGATGAGAGAGTGCGCTTTGCTGAAGAGACGGATGAGAGATAGAGAAAAAACGAGAGAGTGTGTGGAGTGTGGAGTGCTGGCGCAATACGCGTTCGGGACACTGTGACCCAGGTTTTCGGCCCGAAACTCACGAAATGGCACTTGTTCGGCTGTAAATTGTTGCGGAGCTGGATTATTTGATTGTGGTTGTTGCTCCGGTGACGGATCCGTGGACATAACTGCAAATGAAAATCAATAAAATCACGATAATAATCAATGGGAGAGAAAATTGAAGATAAATGAACTATTACACACATACACACATTCACTTTGGATAAAAAACTCAATTATAAAAAGAGATCGATATATGCCAGCAGCTGGTCAGTTTTATGATGTATTGCAAAATTAATTAGTGGAAAATTGAAAAAAGCTAGAAGGCTCAAATCGATAAACAACAAAAAAATGTATGTATTATAATAATTTGGAGGATTAACCGAACGAAACATTTTTTCCGCTCCTCCACAGACATCAAGGGATAGAAAAAAAATGTGAAACACGAAAAAAAACGACACATGTTTGGTGGTGTTGGTGGTGGATTAGGAATGAAGAATTGCCGAACACACCCCAACCCAAAAAGAAAGTATCCAACAAATGTTACTTTTTTCGAGAAGAAGGAGGGAGGGGGAAATGAGGGTTAGAAAGAAATTGACAGTTTAAAGACATTTTTTGGAATGGGGATGGGAGATAAGAAGTTATTTGGGGGTTTGAAGAAGAATTGAGTTAGACACGTGGACCTACAGCCTTTAAAGGGACATGATGGTTTCAAGTGATGGGTCTCACAGAGAGTAAGAATTAAAAGGATTTTAGCGCGAAACTTTCGAGATGACACGTTTCAAAAATTTCGCGCCAAAAATCCTTTCGGGTCCCACAGCGATTTTGTGCCCTAATTAATTCCCCCTCCTCCCAAAATTTTGCTTGTTTTTCTCACTGATTAGTATGTGTGAAAATGTCCTTGTGTGTATAAAAATCCACGACAGCAAATCGAAAATTGCACTTATTATGAAATTTTTTCTAGTCTTTCTGATTTCATCACTGGATTTCTGTTCCGCTTCAGATGGTTCCGAAGCTGTTAAAAATCTATTGGATGGACTCAAGGAGACCTATAAAGATCAGGGTATCGATGGGGTTTTGCAATATTTGAGCAGTGATTTTAAGATGAAAGGAGAGAAGAATCGAAAAATCACCAAAGAATATGCGGAAAAACAACTAAAACACAATTCCTTCAAATCTGAATCTCCTCAAAAATTGCCATTTTCTATTCCAAGTCTAATTAAATACGTGTCAAGTGCACGACTTGAAAAAGACATGACTCTTGTGATTGGCACAAAGAATGGATATACATTGTATGCCAAGCCTAATCCATTGGTTCGTGGTGGATACACGTTTTATTCGGCGAAGCTCAGCACTTGACTCTGTAGACTGACTGTACAAATTGAAGAAGTGTGAATACAGCGAATGAACGCTGTACCTACACTTTTTTCCCGAAAATCGTAGGTTCATTTTATCTTCAGCGTAGCTACGAAAAAAATCAAATTCGTAGCTACGCAGATGATAAATCGTTATTACGCACACCTTATGGGGTGAGTCAATCGAATTAATCGACATAAAAAAGTGAGTCTTTTAGGGCGATTAATTTCACGTTTTTGTCAATTAATCGCATTTTTTTAGAAATGAATGCGATTAATTGACAAAAACGTGAAATTAATCGCCCTAAAAGACTCACTTTTTTATGTCGATTAATTCGATTGACTCACCCCATTAAATTCTGACGAGAGCTGCCAAGCGTCACACAATCAGAGATGAAAACGTAGATACAGCGTATCTACGCTGTAGCTACACAATTCGCGGACAGAAATTAAGTGAAGTGACCGCTCTATAAATATTATTTTTGAACTCAGGAATTTTTTTGTACCCGATCAGCACGTTTTTTGAATTTGTACGCGTTCAGTTCCTATCGAGTACGCGTTCAAACTGACGCGAGTCCACGTTCAGTCTTTTGGGCTGCATGGCTCGAAAATGGCATGTTTGAGTAGATGTTCTGAACCCGTACACACATAAAATAATTTCGTACCAGTTCAGTCGGTTATAGCACGCGACACACTTTTGTGCTGTGCTGGTTCAGTACTTTTTGAAGAGCACGGTGGTCTCGACACGAATTAAAGGTTCAGCCAAACTCCAGGAGAATTTCTCATTTTTTGTTTTCGAAAATTTTGGGCCGTTTTTGTTTTTCATTGATTTTTTCCAAGAATTCAGCGACGTTTCAATATGATTTTTTCAAAATTAATTCAAGAAAAGTTATGCTTATTGCTTCATGTTAAATTCTTCTTATTTTGATATATATCAGCCTTGATACTCACAAAATTCGTTTTTTAGAGATGTTATTCTTACGTTTCTTTGGGATCTTTCAAATTTTAAGTTCAATTTTACGAAATTTCAGAGCAAGGATGATTCTCTCAACTACAACGACTACAAAGCCACTTTCGAAGCACGGTTGGAAATGAGGAAAATTAGGAAAGGTAAGCCCATTTTCAAAATTTATTGCTAAAAAAGTTTTTTTGTTTTCTGTGCAAATGTTGGAAAATTTTTTTTCCAAGTAAATAATCCCAAATTTGCAAATGATCGTTCTTCAAAAAAGTTGTACATTTTAATAACTTATCTACAGTCCAGGTTTCTGATTGTGCAAACTAGATTTGAGAGAAAAACGTTTGGGACTTTTTAACTAAAATCTTGAGAAACAATTTGGAACAAAGTTGATAAGAATATTTTGAATCCCGAATTCATAAATTTCCCACCACTGTTTCATATTTTAACTGCAGATTTGAACATAACTTTCTTTTTTTTTCAAAATTTGAACCTACCAAAATATTATCTGAACTTTCTGGGACATTTTATAGAAAGCATCTTATGTTTTCTGATGATAATTATGTAATTATGATTGATAAATCCAATTTCGAATTTGAATTTTTAAACGAAGTTTTCTTTCAGTGCGCCGACTACAACACTATCTTCATGGGTCAACTAATCAGCAACAATGTCACTCAGTCAACAAATGCCGACCCATCAAGAATCGACACAGCCGATCCACGAAGTCGACCCATCAGGAATCTACAGATTTTAAAATAATTTACTTTTTTGTCATATTAGTTGTTCAATAAATTATTTTGTTTCTACAAAGTGTACGTGTTCAGTACAAATTTTGCTCGCTAACACAGGGTGTAAAAGACTACCATTGAAAAATTACGTACTTTGCGAGCTACCGTAATCGAGACGGAAGCGGGAAACAAAAAATTCAAATGTTGCAAGCGCCGCACATGATTTTGCAAGTGCGGCACACATTTGTGTTTCATCATTTTTTTTTGTGTTTTCCCCCTTTTCAAAGATTTTCAGCATTTCCAGTGAAATTAATCATTTTAATTCAGAAAAAAACAATTGGAGGAGTTGCGGTACCCTTGTGAAAGTCAACGAGAAATGGTTGGTGCTGGAATTGAAGCGTGCTGGTCAATTAATCAACGATTGAACAAGGTCCTGTTTTTATATGTATTTTTCTGCAAAAAAATGCCGTAGTCGTTATTTGATTTTTCAGAGAATTGTTGGAAGTCAATGCGCAACATTTTGCAACAACCGGATGTATTATTTGTATACGTATGAGATGGATTCTGGACGATTGGAATGAGCATCTCATCAGGTCCTGTTTTTATCTGTATTTTTCCGTAACAACAAAACCGTACTGTCCGTCCACGAAAATGATGACCTTCGTGTGTTTGCACATTTTGAAAACTACCGTATACAAACGTGCGGCAATTTAAAATATAGTTTTTTTTCTTTTCTTTTTTTTCGAATTTTTTTCGAAAAATTTGTTTGTGTGTAGTTTTTGACTCCGAACGCCAATTTCGTTAGGGTGTCTTGTGCTCATCTGAAAGCCCATCCAAAACTGGTCATATCGATGTGAATACATAGTCATGAAAATGAGAAACCGACGAGGCACAGGTGCTGAAAGAGAAAATGCACACAACACGACAAACACACATTTTCAATTTGAGACTTGGCGTTTTTTAGGTCGATCGTTTTCAGCTCATTGTCAACCAATTTCAGTAATCTATATATCAATCGAAGCAGAATTTTACGGAGAACAATATCATCTTAATGGATTTCAACATTTCGACTGCTTTCAACCATATTTTGGGCTGAAATTAGAGTTTTTTTGATTTTTGAGGGTTTTGGAAGATTTTTTCCAGATTTTTTGAAGATTTCTGTCAATTCAGTGCTAAATGTTGCTCAAAAATGTATCTTCACGAAATTCGACCATCCAATTTGATTTTACAACCTGGAGAACACGATTTTGGCTGAAATTTGAGTTTTCGGAGGGTTTTTGGGTGATTTCTTGGAAATTTTCTATAAATTCAATGCTGGAAGTTGCTCAAAAATCTATCTTCACAAAGTTCGATCATCCAATTTGATTTTACAACCTGGAGAACACGATTTTGGCTGAAATTTGAGTTTTCGGAGGGTTTTTGGGTGATTTCTTGGAAATTTTCTATAAATTCAATGCTGGAAGTTGCTCAAAAATCTATCTTCACAAAGTTCGACCATCCAATTTGATATTACAACCTGGAGAACACGATTTCGTGCTGAAATTCAAGTTTTCGGGTTTTTCGAGGGTTTTGGGAGATTTTTTTCCAGATTTTTCAAAGATTTCTATCAATTCAGTGCTGGAAGTTGCTCAAACATCTATCTTCACAAAATTCGACCATCCATTTCGATTTTTCCACTCTAGAGAACACGATTTCGTGCTGAAATTCAAGTTTTCGGGTTTTTCGAGGGTTTTGGGAGATTTTTTTCCAGATTTTTCAAAGATTTCTATCAATTCAGTAAATTTTGTCTTCTGCGTGTTGGGTTTTTTCGTAATTTGCCATTAATTCAATGCTGGAAATTTTTTTACAATCTATCTTTTCGAAATTCGACCATCCAATTTGATTTTTTCACTCTGGAGAGAACGTTTTTGGGCTGAAATTCGATTTTTCAATGTTTTCTTGAACATACGGCAAAATGTGAATTGATAGCCGCAAAATTTAGTAAAAAATCTGAAAGCTGGAAAAATAGAAACACATCGGAAAATTCCAAATAACAATTTTAACTGTTGATTGTGGGAAAATTGAGTGAAAAATCTGAAATTTCCATCCTAAAATTCCAGAGTTATTCGATTTTTTTTGCAAGTTCGAGTTCATCTAGATTGTCAACTATGGAAAACACGATTTTGGGCTGAAATTCGGTTTTTCTGGCTTTTGGGAGATTTTTTCGAAATTTTTTTATTAATGCTGGAAGTTGCTCAACAATCTAATTGTGTCTTCTGCGTCTGCAAACACTTTGTGTTTTGTGGACCGTATCTCATGGAAACAATTGCTCATCGTTATTTTTTATTCAAATTTTTAATTTGTTTTTTTTTTAAATATATTCCAAAATATATACTAAAAATTTTTCCTCAAACTAAAAATGGTTCTGCAATTCAAATCTCTCGTGGATGATGGAACAACATTTTTATTGGCTGAAAAACATGAAGCTCAAGTATTGAAAAATGTGGGTGATCTTTGCTTAAATTAGTCGATAGATATTTTTTTTAGATTTTGATGAATACGGCTATTGTTGCCTCGTTATATTCGGAGAATGAACGGATTATTTATATTCGAATTCCGACAACAACGGAATTGTCAGAAATTCATGTAAGGAAAAGCTCAACTGTTTTACCGAATTTTTTTGAAATCTACATTTCTTTTAGATGAACGAGGCAGCCCAAATTTTACTGAATTATGATCATCCATTGGATCAATTCATGCATTATGAGACATTGGAAAATATTCGATTGAGAAACAATCATAAATTCAATGTTGGTGTTTTCTTTTTAAACTTTTCATTCAACGAATTTTTTCCAGAAATTCTCATTGAAAAATCTGCATCAACTTCCACGGAAAAACTCTGATTATTTCGAAGCGCTTCAAGAAACGAAAACTGTTTGCGTTTTGAACTCAAAATTTACCTATAAAAATGGCCAAAGTAAGGTTAAATTTTCGTACTGTAAAGAACCACGAACATTTTTCAGGAGAATTTGATATGGATCTTGTCGACGAATCGGAATCTCAATACGAATCAGAAAATCAAGAACCAAGGTAATCCCTGATAAAAAAACTCACCAAAACTATTTTTCTACAGTGCCAAAAAACCCAAAGAAGGAACATCGGATGAAACGAATACGGTTGAAAATGAGGATTTCCAAAATTCGTCTTGCCATCAGGAGACTTCGGAAAATCATGAGACTCCAACATCTTGTGAAACAACCGATAACCAACAAGGAAAAGAATGTCCTGTCGAACAATCAGCTACTGAGGCACCAATTGAAGAACCAGAATCTGGAAGTGATGATATTGAAATTGACGTTGTTGGTATCGATTATAATGAGTTCAATGATGTTGGAGATAATGATCCAATTTTGAATGTTCTGGAAAATAGTTAGTTTGAATTTGAATCAGAAAGTTTTTAAATCTGAAAATTTTCAGAAAAATTGGGATTCGACAAAAACTCACTGAGCCGGGTAGGTCCGCGTATTCCACTTGAAACATCAATTTTTCGTGATTTCAGAAAGAAAGAAAGTTGATTGACTTGGGAAAAGCCGTGCAAAATCTTCAAATTCGAGGACGAGATCATACGCTTCGAGGAAGGAGTGTTAGAGATAATGGAGTATGGATTTTGCAGGAATGTCTTAAAAAAGCCAAACAATTAAAACAAGATTTGGGTGATGCCGCATCCGGAACAGTTTTCGATAATCCAACTACTTTTGTGGAAGAAATGACAGGGGTGTGTAGTTCCACATTGAAAAAAGTTGGAAAGAAAGATTTTGTTGAAAAGAAAAAAGAAACGGTCAAAACCGCCAGTCGGAAAGCAAGATGGAAAAGAAGAGCCGGAAGAATTCCAGAGTTTATCAAAGAAGCGATTCGAGATCATCTGGACGAATGCTGGGAAAAAAACACACACGTGACCGTCAACACGTTGTTGGATTGGGCAAAAGATATTTTACATTTGCAATTGGGTAGAACTTTTTTTGCAGATGCTTTGCATGGAATGGGTTTAACTTATAAAAAAAAATCTGCAACTCCGCTGATTGAGGAAAGAATCGATTTAGTCATCGCCAGACGAAAGTATCTGCATCGAAAATATGAACTTCTAAATCCAATTAGTGGAAAACAAGCATTTTTCGGATACTTAGATGAAACGTGGTTTTTCGAGGGTATGACCACATTGAAAGGTTGGCAAACTGGAAACACAAACCTTTATAAAATGGCGCGTGAAATTCGTGTTGAAGAAAGACGAAGTGGACCTAGGAAAGGAAAGGATAAAGGTCGACGTGCAATTGTTCTGGCTGTGTTAACTTCAGAAGGAATCCTCGAGGATTCGGCAAATATTCTCATCTCTGGACTGAAAGAAAACGACCAATTTATGGATTATCATCGCGAGATGAATTTTGACTCATATTCAGAGTATATGGATGTAATTATTCCTAAATTGGCTGAAGAAGCAAGAAAGCGTGGTATGGTTGCGGTGTTAGTTATCGACAACGCACCATATCACTGTGAAGTGATTGAAAAGGTGAGTTGTTTTCGTATTTATGATAAATAAGTATATGTTTTGCAGATTCCGACAAAATCGAGTTCGAAAAAAGTGTTAATGGATTTTTTTGCGAGATAATAACGTCACATTCGATCCAAAAATGCTCAAGCCTCAAATTGTGAGCATTTTCGAAGATTTTGTGAGAAAAAATGGCGGGAGGCAAAACATGAAGAAATATGTGATTGATGAAGAAGCAAGAAGTCAAGGAGTTGAGATTCTTCGCCTGCCACCATATCACTGCATCTATAATCCGATCGAGCTCGTTTGGGCTGCTTTGAAATTCTATCTCAAAACAAACTGTGAAAATATGAAATTGTCCGAGGTAATTATTTCATTTCTTCACTTGTTGTTCCTGATTCACCGGTTTTTTGAATATTACAGGCTCGAAAATGTGCATTAGAATGGCTGAAAAATTATACCGCGGCAGAAGCTGCAGCATGTATTCGGCACGTGGAAGATCTAGAAGAAGAAACACGGAAAAAGCTCACCGAAAAAGATAATGAAGAAATGGAAAAAGAACGTGAACGAGCAGAAGCAGAAGATAGTTATAACGACAGAAATTTGATGGAAGCTGAATCCGATTATGAAGGTTACGAATATGATTTAGATTCTGACGACGAAGAGGACTATGAATTGGAACATGTTGTAGATGATTCGGATAATAGTGTAGGATATGATGACGATGATATCGAGGAATTGCTTCGCGCATACAATGATTGTGAAAGTGATGATTCCACTTAAAACAACCACAATTGGCTTTGTTTTCACATATTTTCGCTGCATTTTGTCCACTCGTTTTCCATCTTATCCATTTGTTCCTGAAAAAACCGGGTCACTTTTTTTGTCTCAAACACTAAAAACCTCACCTTCCCAAAAAATCCAATTTTGACGCCCAATAATTTTTATGGACGAGTTTGTCGGTTTCTAGGCCAAGCTTGTTATTTTTCCTTTTTTCTCTACACACTACACAAACAACCCACTATTTTTTGTTCAGTTATCATCAAGACTTTTATTTTTCATGATCTTTTAAACAGCGAAGAACCTAGTGTTTTTTAAGGAATTAACTCGAACTTGCAAAAAAAAATCGAATAACTCTGGAATTTTGGGATGGGAATTTCAGATTGTTCACTCAATTTTCCCGCAATCAACAGTTAAAATTGTTATTTGGAATTTTCCGATGTGTTTCTATTTTCCAGCTGCAAATTTAGCCGAATGTTCAAGAAAACATAGAAAAATCGAATTTCAGCCCAAAAACGTGTTCTCTAGAGTGGAAAAATCGAAATGGATGGTCGAATTTTGTGAAGATAGATGTTTGAGCAACTTCCAGCACTGAATTGATAGAAATCTTTGAAAAATCTGGAAAAAATCTCCCAAAACCCTCGAAAAACCCGAAAACTTGAATTTCAGCACGAAATCGTGTTCTCCAGGTTGTAATATCAAATTGGATGGTCGAACTTTGTGAAGATAGATTTTTGAGCAACTTCCAGCATTGAATTTATAGAAAATTTCCAAGAAATCACCCAAAAACCCTCCGAAAACTCAAATTTCAGCCAAAATCGTGTTCTCCAGGTTGTAAAATCAAATTGGATGATCGAACTTTGTGAAGATAGATTTTTGAGCAACTTCCAGCATTGAATTTATAGAAAATTTCCAAGAAATCACCCAAAAACCCTCCGAAAACTCAAATTTCAGCCAAAATCGTGTTCTCCAGGTTGTAAAATCAAATTGGATGGTCGAATTTCGTGAAGATACATTTTTGAGCAACATTTAGCACTGAATTGACAGAAATCTTCAAAAAATCTGGAAAAAATCTTCCAAAACCCTCAAAAATCAAAAAAACTCTAATTTCAGCCCAAAATATGGTTGAAAGCAGTCGAAATGTTGAAATCCATTAAGATGATATTGTTCTCCGTAAAATTCTGCTTCGATTGATATATAGATTACTGAAATTGGTTGACAATGAGCTGAAAACGATCGACCTAAAAAACGCCAAGTCTCAAATTGAAAATGTGTGTTTGTCGTGTTGTGTGCATTTTCTCTTTCAGCACCTGTGCCTCGTCGGTTTCTCATTTTCATGACTATGTATTCACATCGATATGACCAGTTTTGGATGGGCTTTCAGATGAGCACAAGACACCCTAACGAAATTGGCGTTCGGAGTCAAAAACTACACACAAACAAATTTTTCGAAAAAAATTCGAAAAAAAAGAAAAGAAAAAACTATATTTTAAATTGCCGCACGTTTGTATACGGTAGTTTTCAAAATGTGCAAACACACGAAGGTCATCATTTTCGTGGACGGACAGTAGTTTTTGTTTGATTTTTCAGAAAAACGATGGAATCAAGAGTTCAGCAAAAAAGGATGCATATGGATTCGATGAAGTTGGAGTGTGGAACGTGGAAATGGCAAATGATTAAGAGGCAAACGAAAAACATGAGAAATTGGGAGTAAAATGAACAAGGAGATTAATCGAAAACGGAGTATAACAGGATGAAAAAGCAGATGCGACAACAAAATAAGGTTGTGATGATGGATTCTCGGCTTGAACTTTGCATCGAAACTTGTCGTGAACCGATTGTTCAAGAGAACCCATTTGAAAACTCGATAAATTCCGATAATCTGTCAATAAACTTTTTTTTTATAACCTCACAATTCATAATTATATTTTTTTAATGATGATTTGCAGCACAAAAATCATAATTCGGCATAAAAGTTCGATTTTTTTATTAGAATAATTGAATTTGATGGAAAAACACTATTTTTAGGCTTTTAAGGTACCAAAATTAGCTTCAAACAATTTATCTACCACTAACTGCACATGCAATCCATGATTATTCCATGAAAACAACGAAATAGCATCGAAAAATGCATAGACGAGTTGAAAAAGCTGTTCGAAAAAATAAAAAAAGGGGCGGAGCGAAAAAAAATAAATGTGTGCGGAACCTTGCGATTGTGTGGCACATAAACCCCGCCTCCTTAATTGTGCGAGGCCTTGCACAAAGTACGTAATTTTTTTTCGTTCTTCCTTTGTACTTTTTTACACCCTGTGGCTAAATGCCTTTTTCAATAGAAAAAAGTGCACGGGTTCAGGACATTCAAGTGAGCGACGCAAGCAAGCGCGTACCGGTTCAGTTCCCCAAAAAGCGCTCTGTACTAGTTCAGTTCTTTTTATGTTCCGGTTCATCTCCAGTTGAGTGCTGGAATTGATCGTGCTCGTGATCTCGCACGGAGAAGGGATTGAACTGGTACAAAAAGTGTGCTGAACGCGTACAAAAAAATTTCTGAGAATCCGTAGCTACGCCGTTGCTGTTCTGTAGCTACTTTGTAGATAAACGGATGTTACTTATGTGCAATTCTCTCTTCCCCGTTTTCGTACAAAGTATCAACGAAATTTGTACAGTCAGTCTACAGAGTCAAGTGCTGAGAGAAAAATGAGAAAAAATAGATAAACTATGAATAAAAATTTGAAATTTGGAGAAATTTGGGAATTTTGCGGTGGAGCGCAATTTGAGACTTCTGGTGGAAAATTCGAATTTTTTAGAAATTTAAATTTCGTTCAATGGAGCGCGCTTGATCTTGTAAGCGATAAATTAAAAAATATTCGATTTTAGCGATAGAGAGAATTTGAATTCTGGACCGAAATTCAAATAAACTGTAATTTCCCGCCAAAATTTCAGGATTAAAAAAATTAGAACTGGAATTTCTTGATGACAGAAATGCCGAATTTCAGCGGAAAATTCGAATAAAAACCGTGAAGCCCTCATTCATCGCAATTTGAATCCGCCAATAAATCAGGCAATTTATAGCACCTCATAAATTTTCAATAAAAAACACGACAAAAAATGAGAAGAATAAAAAGAAGAAGTGCTTTTTCTCTCCTGAAATTGAAATTGGATGATGGAGAAAAAAGAAGAAGAAGAAGAGAGAAGGAAAAAGGACGGGCAAAAATTCTAGAAGAAGCACAAATGGCCGAACATGTAGTATAGATAGATATATATGGAAAAATAGCAAAAAAAGAGGAGAAAAAGCTGAGGATGGATGGATGTGTTAAGCTAAACGCAAAAGAAATAGGCAAAATGAAGAGAGTGGTAGAGAAAGAGAGAGAATCGATGATGCATATACATATAAAATGGGTAGGGAAGGGGTGAGAGACGCAGAGTATGTGGAAGGAAAACAAGAGGAAAATGAGAGGAAAGGGTGCTGAAATTCACACGAGATGAGATATTTTATGGAAAAATAGCGGGGGATAAATAGTTTGATTGACATGCAAATTTTGAGACAACGATATGTGCGTGACTCATGTTATGTTATGTCTTAAAGGAGAGGGGAATATTGAACTTTGATACTAAATAGAAGAATAAGTGAGAGAGAATTGAATTTTTCGGCAAAAATTTGAATTTTCATCGATTTCCTGTTGTGCGCTTCACCGCAAAACCCCCAGATTTCTTGAAAATTCAAATTTCTATCTTTTTTTATAAAAATCGGAAATTCCTTGTTTTTCACCCACAGATTCAAGCGCACCCCAGCGGATTCTCCATTTTCTGAAAATTTCGAATTTTCCGCTGAAATTCTCAAATGCGCTCCATTGCGAATCGTCGAATTTAGTTACAAAATTCAAATTTTTGTCAATTTTTAAAGCCGTTCTATTTAAGCCTAGCATTCAAAAAAAAAATCCCAAAGTTCTGAAATTCACATACCTCAAATATCCAGCCATTTTTCGAACCCAAAATTACCAAAAATGAAAAAAATCGAAATGTTTTCTAAAACGTGAAATTAAAATTTCACGTCAATATTTTTTTTTCTCAAAATTTTTCAAAACGCAATTTTTCATTTCATCAAAAAAAATATTACTTTTTCGCGTCAAAAAATACATGAGAAAATATATTTGGGTAAGAAAAGCAAATAAACCAAAAAACTTTACTTACATTATACAATATTTGTCGGGAGTTTTTTTTGTTGCGGCGCGGTTTTGTGGGCGGAGCAAAAAGACTTTCAAAAATGCTCATAATCCCTTGGGAAATAGAAAAATTAAATATCCACTTAATTGCCACCATTATTAAGTGCGAACTTTGAGTTTTTTCCGGGAACTTTGTGAAAAATGACTCTCCGGGGGGTGATTTAAAGGTGCAACAAGTTTCTGTTCTCTTTTAGAAGTTTTTCCATCTTCAAAAAAAAAACAAGACATTTTTGAAATAAATAAAGTGTCGAAAACTATACAATCGCCCATTTCCGCTTCTGCCCATGCACCAAAAACAACAATTTTTTGCAAAAAAAAATAAAAAAAAAACATAATTTGAAAAACCTCGTTTTTTGTTTGCATTGGAGCGCGCTTGCAACACGTCGATAATTTATTTATTTTTCTTGTTTTTTGCGGGTTTTTGAAATTTTCATATGAAACGGACTAATTTCTCATGTTTTTAGGAACCAGAAATGAATAACGATCGAATTGCGATGCAAATGTTGGCGATGGCAGAGGTTCTGAGAACCCAGAGTCCACCAAAGTTGAAAATGGCGATGAAATGTGCACGCGGAGCATTGAAACTCAATTTATCGAAGGAAACCGAAGCGCATTGTCATTTACAAATGGGAAAAATGCTATTCTTTTATACGGATCATTTCGAAGCTGCGAGAGATCATTTGAAGTTAGCATACGATATGTTATTGATAATGGGAGATTTTTATTTGCTTCGTCGACTTGAAGCACTTTGCTTGATTTGTGAATTGTATATTCATTCTCGTCGTTGGTGTGTAACTGATATCGAAAATCTTATTCGAAAAGAAATGCCAATTGCGAAAACCTATCCACATTTCTATTTCAAACTCTTGTTTTATTTCATCGAAGCGACTTATTTGGTTGATGATATGGGAGCTGCTTTAGATGCGTGTACTGTTGGATTACAAATGGTTGATGCAAATAATAAACAAATGGAATTATATTTGAGGATCACTAAAGCTTTGATAACTTTCCAATTAGCTCGAGAAGAACCAGATCCTGCTGATTTATTGAGAATTGGTGCAATGATTAAAGAAATGGAACACGATCCATCAATGTCTTTTCATTTGAAAAATGTTAAGGGATTCTTTATGTGCACAAAATTAGCATTTATGATTTCCCAAGGACAATCACGCACTTCTCGAACTCTCCTCCGACAAATTCAACAAGAAGTTTCGTCGCAAAAAGATCAAATCGCAATGCCTGGAATGAGATGGATGGATGAAAAAGCAATGACTGTGTTTGCATGTGTTATGAATGTTGTTGGAGCAAATGTTCAAGGTGGATATGAGCGAGCTTTGAAATATCATAATATTGCGATCAAACATGCGGATGATGTTTTGAACAAAAGTACAAATACACCGCAAGAATTCGGTGTTGTTAGATGTGTTTCGCAAATGAAGATGGTCTCGTTGGAAATGATGTCGTTGATGAATGTGATGGCGTGTAGACCGAATTTGGCGCTCAATAATGTGAGTAAATATGACGTGGCAAAATTCATTTCTTTTTTAAATAGAACAATCTGAATTATTCCAGCTTCAAGAAATGCTCTACTTCTCCTCAAAACTTGGTTGCTCATATGTCTACGAAGAATATGCGCCTCAAATTCACTATGTTCTTGTAAGTCTCAATTCTCTCCCCTGGGGGATTTTTGCTAAACAATCAGCAAAAAAAACCTCTCATTTTTTTCTAGGCTATGCAAAGTCTCTACCTAAACCGCACCGATATTGCGCTAACCCATCTCACCGAAGCCCTCAAAACTTTCCCGCAAAAAATCCGCAACACCGATCCGATCGCCCTCCTTCGCATCAATTTAGGAATGACATATTTGAATCAAATGAACATGGGAGCATATTATGATATTTCGGAAGAATTGTCGCCGGCGAAAATTGCGAAATGTTCACCAATGGTGCAAAATTGTCATAAAGCGATGGTTTCGTTTTTCGATTTTTTGAATAATCGAACTGGGCCGAGTAAACAATTAGCACAGGATGGATTGCAGGCGGCAAAAGCTGAGGACTTTTTCCGACTTCATAGTTTGTTTATGATGATGTTGACGAATTTGATGCCCGTTGATGAATCGATTGTTAAACCGACTGTTGATTTCAGTAAAAGATCAAGTGATCATGCATTTGCACTTTGGGGACATACGGTGTATAAAAGTGAGTTGGCAATTCAAATTTTTATTAAATTTGCCTTAGTTTAGTAGAAAAGTTTTAATTATTTGGCGAAAATCTGAAATAATCCCAAAAATTATTGATTTTTCAAACATTTTGACTTCGGGAACATTAAAAAATGGAAATAATTCGGACTTTTCGTCCTAAATTTGAAAATTTCCAAAAACAATCTGAAAACATCTAATTCTTTCAAAAGAAATGAGCGATTTATGAAAAATCTTCAAAATTCACATAAAAACTTCGAAAACTCACCCTAAATTCTCTCATTTTTCCAGGAATCCTCGATAACGCTGGAGGTGATTCCAGCGAATGCGCTCAAGAAATCCAGCGAAGCATGGAATCCTTGAACACTGACAATTTGATAAATCTTCTCAGACAATCGCCAGCATTCAATTTGCTTCAATGGTTCAATGGATCACCATTTGATTATTTGCCAAAAGAAGACACACTTTTAATTTGAGAAAAAATAATACTTAATTAAAAATCTATCTGTGAATGATCTCATATCTCATAAATATATTTTTTTCTATAATGAATTATCAAAAATCCACTCTTTTTGAAGAAACTTCGATATCAGAAAAAATTTAGACTTCAAAAAATGACAAAAAGAAACAAATTCACAAGAATACTTATTCACAGGTTATTTTTGGTGCAATATTATCTTCTTTGAGTTGAAGTTGATGGTTTATCAGAAGTCGCTGAGGAAGATGAGGAGATTCTTTTCGCCAGAATTCGGGCTGATGTTCGGCGAGTTGAAGAATACTGCAAAAATAGTTTTTTTTAGTTTAATTTGTCACAAAAAGTTATGTTCTCACCTCATATTCTTTTTCGATTTTTTTCGATGACTTTCTTCGAGCCACACTGCTTGATTCAGTTTTTCCTTTTGGCTGCGTTTTTCTCTCCGAAACTTGTCTTGAAATTCTCGAACTTTGACGACTTCCTCGTGGAGTTGACACCGATTTCGGGTTGAATGATGATGTTCTTTGCACAACTTTTGGCTGAACAGCTGATGGCCTCTGAAAATCTCAAATTCTTGTTGGAAATTTTCAAAAATATGTTGTTTACCTGCTCCAAAAACTCAAACGGATCTTGGCTGACATCACTCGCACTCTCGGTATCGTCTATCAATTTCTGAAGATCCGGGTTGTTTTTGATTTGTTGGACAATCATTTTCAACATCCCTTTGAATGACGCATTTGATGTCTGGAATAAAATAATGTTTGAACGTGAACTACTGGCATTTCCTGCTTTAAAAAAAACATACGAATTTCTCCATCTCATCTGAAAGCGAAACAACTCCAGTTTTGATCGCCTCCGCCAATTCCATAGTTTGCGTACTTTCATCAACCATTAGAGGTTTTCTTGGTGCTGGCGATGCAAAGCCTCTTGACGAAGACGAATGTTGTGAGAAGTTCGAATATGGTGACAGATCACTGCCGCCATAAAACGAAGGCGTCGATGGGAAACTTGAACCCTGTGGCGATTCGGGAAACATGTTGACAACAGTGGCAGCTCGATATCTATCTACTTCAATTCCAACTGGTTGCGAATACGGATTATGAATGGGAAGATGTTGTTGTTGTTGTGACATTACATCATGCAAGTTTCTTGTCGGCTGCGAGCCATATCTTGCACTTCCAAACCCATCATTAGGCATCGATATTCTGTTTTGTGCAAACTTCAGTGGACTTTCCGAAATATATGTCAATTTGAGCATGGTTTTCGAGAATGTCTCCTTTTGATAATCAGTTTCGAAGACAATTCGAAAACCTTGGCCGGCTTCGTTGAATCTCACAGTCAGATTCTTTCCATCCAATTTCAACAGCGGATATCGCGCAACATTTCGCGAATATGTCACCCGATCAATCTCATTTCCATCGAAATAAACAAAAAGAGTTCGACGCGAAGAATCATTGGCCAAAGAAATATCACCGTCCTGAAGTTAATTTATGTCTTTTTGAAGGCAATTTTAGATAAGAAACTCACAATTCTTCGATCAGTCCTGTTCAATTCTCGATATTTGATGATTTTCCAGGAATCATATGCAAATTGCGACATTTTTCGGCGGCTTATAGGCGAGAACACACAATTTTTTAGGGGAAAAAAAACGAAAAGACAAAATCAAGGCGCACAGTTTTTCTGGAGCAGGTCTCGCAACGAAGTGACAGTGTTAGCGGAATTTTGAAAATTTTTTGTGCACACATGTGGCTAAATAACTGTATTGTGAACTGAAATATCGAAGAGCTTTTGTATAATCGGAAAAGCAAAATCAACAGGTAAACGTAAAATTAAATCAATTTTAGACAGAAAAACTCGAAAAAAATTAAATTTTAAAATAAAAATCAACTTTTTCCGCTGAAATTCTTGAAATTCACCTAATACACCATTCTGGATTTTTTACAATATGAAAAAACGCAAAAAACAGCTGAAAACCCATGGAAAACCATGTTTTTTCCAGAAAAAAATTCAAAAAATAAAAAATAAATAAAAAGCGACGACGGAAAATGCGCCAGTCTTTTAACCGTGTTGACACATAAATAAATATTTTAAATAAAATTGACACATAAATAAATATTTTTTGATCTGATTTGGTGGTGGGCGGCGGCGGGAAGTTTTGAATTTGCTAGACTATAGTCTAGTTTGGGGTATAAAAGGCGAGCGTTCGGCGTTGGTTGGCATATTCTCCTCTTCTCTCTCTGCCTGCTGTCAACCTTCTGCCTGCCTGCCATCGTCTCCCGCCTCCTGCCGCCGCCACCGTCTCCCGCCTCCTGCCGCCGCCACCGTCTCCCGCCTCCTGCCGCCGCCACCGTCTCCCGCCTCCTGCCGCCGCCACCGTCTCCCGCCTCCTGCCGCCGCCACCGTCTCCCGCCTCCTGCCGCCGCCGACGTCTCCCGCCTCCTGCCGCCGCCACCGTCTCCCGCCTCCTGCCGCCGCCGACGTCCGCCGCCAAACGTCTTCAATATGCACGTCATGCTGTTTTGGACAAAGGATCGTTGTTCAGATGAGTTTTTATTCATTTTTCTAGATTTTCGTGCTTTTCTGTTTTTTTTTCAGGAACTACGAGAGCCGTATCCAGCTGCTTCAGTTCTGCATTTGCCGTGCAATCGTCTGCTCGCCGTCGCTTCAACACCTCGCCGTCGCTTCAACACCTCGCCGTCGCTTCAACACCTCGCCGTCGCTTCAACAACTCGCCGTCGCTTCAACAACTCGCCGTCGCTTCAACAACTCGCCGTCGCTTCAACTCGCCGTCTCATCAACTCGCCGTCTCATCAACTCGCCGTCTCATCAACTCGCCGTCTCATCAACTCGCCGTCTCATCAAGCTGCCGTCTCATCAAGCTGCCGTCTCTTCAGTTGCTGGTGGTGATTTCGAGCTCATAATAAAGAGTTTCCAGTCTTTTGACTGAGAACCTTTTTCGAGCTCGAGTCACCGCCGAGTGGCAAAATTCAGAAACAAGCCTGGCTCGCCAGAAATTTTGAAAAAATTTCCAGCATGCTGGAAATTTCCATTTTTCTGGTTTAAATCGGGCTGTTTCTGGATTTTGCCGCTAGCGCATCCTGCGCTCAACAAAAAAAATAATAAATGGTTTTTATTAATGTGTTTTTGATATCCCCAATCGACTGACTTTCCCAAAATTCCGATACTAACCATTTTTTTTCCAGAATTGCCAATGTCGCCATTGCTCAGTCAGTCTTCTTCACTCCGACGCTGCTCAACACCACCACCACCACCACCAATTTGCACCACTCGGATGCCACAAATCGACGACGAGGAGGAGGACGACGACAGTTGCAGAACAGTTAGTTTATTTATTTTTTGGGGTTAGATTAAGAATTTTTAAATTTTTAACGAAAATTAGTTTTTAGAATTACTTATTTTATTAGAGTATTTTTAATTAGATATTTAGTGATAATTTTTTAGTTAGGTTTTAAAAATTAGGTGTATTTTTAATTAGGAAATTAGTAATATTAAGGTAGTTAAGTTCTAAGAATTAGGTTTTTTTTTAAGTTCATAAGAGGGTTCAATTTGAGTTTCGAAAGTTATAGGTTGAGAGGCAGTACCTCTCAACTTATAAATGGATCGAGAGGCAGTACCTACTCGATCTATAAAAAACTTTCGAAACTCGCATAAATTGAGCTTTTTTTTGAATTTAAATTGAAACCTAATTTTTAGAATTACTTATTTTTCTATTAGAGATTTATTAATTAGATATTTAGTTATATTTAGGTAGTTAGGTTCTAGAAATTAGGTTTTTTTTTAAGTTCATAAGAGGGTTCAATTTGAGTTTCGGAAGTTATGAGTTGAGAGGCAGTACCTCTCAACTTATAAATGGATCGAGAGGCAGTACCTACTCGATCTATAAAAAACTTTCGAAACTCGCATAAATTGAGCTTTTTTTTGAATTTAAATTGAAACCTAATTTTTAGAATTACTTATTTTCTATTAGAGATTTATTAATTAGATATTTAGTTATATTTAGGTAGTTAGGTTCTAGAAATTAGGTTTTTTTTTAAGTTCATAAAAGAGTTCAATTTGAGTTTCGAAGGTTATAAGTTGAGAGGCAGTACCTCTCAACTTATAAATGGATCGAGAGGCAGTACCTACTCGATCTATAAAAAACTTTCGAAACTCGCATAAATTGAGCTTTTTTTTGAATTTAAATTGAAACCTAATTTTTAGAATTACTTATTTTCTATTAGAGATTTATTAATTAGATATTTAGTTATATTTAGGTAGTTAGGTTCTAGAAATTAGGTTTTTTTTTAAGTTCATAAGAGGGTTCAATTTGAGTTTCGGAAGTTATGAGTTGAGAGGCAGTACCTCTCAACTTATAAATGGATCGAGAGGCAGTACCTACTCGATCTATAAAAAACTTTCGAAACTCGCATAAATTGAGCTTTTTTTTGAATTTAAATTGAAACCTAATTTTTAGAATTACTTATTTTCTATTAGAGATTTATTAATTAGATATTTAGTTATATTTAGGTAGTTAGGTTCTAGAAATTAGGTTTTTTTTTAAGTTCATAAAAGAGTTCAATTCGAGTTTCGAAAGTTATAAGTTGAGAGGCAGTACCTCTCAACTTATAAATGGATCGAGAGGCAGTACCTACTCGATCTATAAAAAACTTTCGAAACTCGCATAAATTGAGCTTTTTTTTTTGAATTTAAATTGAAACCTAATTTTTAGAATTACTTATTTTCTATTAGAGATTTATTAATTAGATATTTAGTTATATTTAGGTAGTTAGGTTCTAGAAATTGGGTTTTTTTTAAGTTCATAAGAGGGTTCAATTTGAGTTTCGGAAGTTATGAGTTGAGAGGCAGTACCTCTCAACTTATAAATGGATCGAGAGGCAGTACCTACTCGATCTATAAAAAACTTTCGAAACTCGCATAAATTGAGCTTTTTTTTGAATTTAAATTGAAACCTAATTTTTAGAATTACTTATTTTCTATTAGAGATTTATTAATTAGATATTTAGTTATATTTAGGTAGTTAGGTTCTAGAAATTAGGTTTTTTTTAAGTTCATAAGAGGGTTCAATTTGAGTTTCGGAAGTTATGAGTTGAGAGGCAGTACCTCTCAACTTATAAATGGATCGAGAGGCAGTACCTACTCGATCTATAAAAAACTTTCGAAACTCGCATAAATTGAGCTTTTTTTTGAATTTAAATTGAAACCTAATTTTTAGAATTACTTATTTTCTATTAGAGATTTATTAATTAGATATTTAGTTATATTTAGGTAGTTAGGTTCTAGAAATTAGGTTTTTTTTTAAGTTCATAAGAGGGTTCAATTTGAGTTTCGGAAGTTATGAGTTGAGAGGCAGTACCTCTCAACTTATAAATGGATCGAGAGGCAGTACCTACTCGATCTATAAAAAACTTTCGAAACTCGCATAAATTGAGCTTTTTTTTGAATTTAAATTGAAACCTAATTTTTAGAATTACTTATTTTTCTATTAGAGATTTATTAATTAGATATTTAGTTATATTTAGGTAGTTAGGTTCTAGAAATTAGGTTTTTTTTTTTAATTCATAAGTTCTAGAAATTAGGTTTTTTTTTAAATTAGGTTTTTTTTTTTGGTTCTAGAAATTAGGTTTTTTTTTAATTCAAAGTAATTTTATTTAGAGTAATTTTAATTAGAAAAATAGTGATATTTTAGTAGTTAGGTTCTAATAATTAGGTTTTTTTTAAATTCATTAAAGGGTTTATTTGAGTTTTGAAAGTTATGAGTTGAGAGGCAGTACCTCTCAACTTATAAATGGATCGAGAGGCAGTACCTACTCGATCTATAAAAAACTTTCGAAACTCGCATAAATTGAGCCGCCGCCGCCAACGTCTTCCGCCTCCTGCCGTCGCCGACGTCCGCCGCCAAACGTCTTCAATATGCACGTCATGATGTATTGCACAAAGGATCGTTGTTCAGATGAGTTTTCTGTTCATTTTTCTAGATTTTCGTGCTTTTCCGTTTTTTTTTCCAGGAACTACGAGAGCCGTATCCAGCTGCTTCAGTTCTGCATTTGCCGTGCATTCGTCTGCTCGTCAAATCGCCGTATCATCAAGCCGCTGTCTATTCAAGTCGCCGTCGCTTCAACTCGCCGTTGCTTCAACTCGCCGTCTCATCAAGCTGCCATCTCATCAAGCTGCCATCTCATCAAGCTGCCGTCTCTTCAGTTGCTGGTGGTGATTTCGAGCTCATAATGAAGAGTTCCCAGTCTTTTGACTGAGAACCTTTTTCGAGCTCGAGTCACCGCCGAGTGGCAAAATTCAGAAACAAGCCTGGCTCGCCAGAAATTTTGAAGAAATTTCCAGCATGCTGGAAATTTCCATTTTTCTGGTTTAAATCGGGCTGTTTCTGGATTTTGCCGCTAGCGCATCCTGCGCTCAACAAAAAAAATAATAAATGGTTTTTATTAATGTGTTTTTGATATCCCCAATCGACTGCCTTTCCCAAAATTCCGATACTAACCATTTTTTTCCAGAATTGCCAATGTCGCCATTGCTCAGTCAGTCTTCTTCACTCCGACGCTGCTCAACACCACCACCACCACCACCAATTTGCACCACTCGGATGCCACAAATCGACGACGAGGAGGAGGACGACGACAGTTGCAGAACAGTTAGTTTATTTATTTTTTGGGGTTAGATTAAGAATTTTTAAATTTTTAACGAAAATTAGTTTTTAGAATTACTTATTTTATCAGAGTATTTTTAATTAGATATTTAGTGATAACTTTGTAGTTAAGTTTTAAAAATTAAGTGTATTTTTAATTAGGAAATTAGTAATATTAAGGTAGTTAGGTTCTAAAAATTGGGTTTTTTTTTAAATTCATAAAAGGGTTCAATTTGAGTTTCGGAAGTTATGAGTTGAGAGGCAGTACCTCTCAACTTATAAATGGATCGAGAGGCAGTACCTACTCGATCTATAAAAAACTTTCGAAACTCGCATAAATTGAGCTTTTTTTTGAATTTAAATTGAAAACTTAGTTTTTAGAATTACTTATTTTTTTATTAGAGATTTATTAATTAGATATTTAGTAATATTAAGGTAGTTAGGTTCTAGAAATTAGGTTTTTTTTAAGTTCATAAAAGGGTTCAGTTTGAGTTTCGGAAGTTATGAGTTGAGAGGCAGTACCTCTCAACTTATAAATGGATCGAGAGGCAGTACCTACTCGATCTATAAAAAACTTTCGAAACTCGCATAAATTGAGCTTTTTTTGAATTTAAATTGAAACTTAGTTTTTAGAATTCATTATTTTTTAATTAGAGTAATTTTAATTAGATATTTAGTTATATTAAGGTAGTTAGGTTCTAGAAATTAGGTTTTTTTCAAATTCATAAAAGGGTTCAATTTGAGTTTCGAAGGTTATAAGTTGAGAGGCAGTACCTCTCAACTTATAAATGGATCGAGAGGCAGTACCTACTCGATCTATAAAAAACTTTCGAAACTCGCATAAATTGAGCTTTTTTTTGAATTTAAATTGAAACTTAGTTTTTAGAATTCATTATTTTTAATTAGAGATTTATTAATTAGATATTTAGTTATATTAAGGTAGTTAGGTTCTAAAAATTGGGTGTATTTTTAAATTCATAAAAGAGTTCAATTTGAGTTTCGAAGGTTATAAGTTGAGAGGCAGTACCTCTCAACTTATAAATGAATCGAGAGGCAGTACCTACTCGATCTATAAAAAACTTTCGAAACTCGCATAAATTGAGCTTTTTTTGAATTTAAATTGAAACTTAGTTTTTAGAATTACTTATTTTTTAATTAGAGTAATTTTAATCAGATATTTAGTACGATTAAGGTAGTTAGGTTCTAAAAATTGGGTTTTTTTTTAATTCATAAAAGGGTTCAATTTGAGTTTCGAAGGTTATAGGTTGAGAGGCAGTACCTCTCAACTTATAAATGGATCGAGAGGCAGTACCTACTCGATCTATAAAAAACTTTCGAAACTCGCATAAATTGAGCTTTTTTTTGAATTTAAATTGAAACTTAGTTTTTAGAATTAATTATTTTTTTATTAAAGATTTATTAATTAGGAAATTAGTAATATTTAAGTAGTTAGCTTCTAAAAATTGGGTTTTTTTTTAAATTTATTAAAGGGTTCAATTTGAGTTTCGAAGGTTATAGGTTGAGAGGCAGTACCTCTCAACTTATAAATGGATCGAGAGGCAGTACCTACTCGATCTATAAAAAACTTTCGAAACTCGCATAAATTGATCTTTTTTTTGAATTTAAATTGAAACTTAGTTTTTAGAATTCAGTAGGCAGCTCAAAGTTTGGTTCCCTTGAACTCCTTTCCAGCAACAAAGATTGAAGTGGATCATAACCACTTTACACAAACGATAAATACACGAAAAGGTTGATATGCAATCATTTATTGACTACAAATCATATTATGACAAGAAGGGGGACGGTTTAGGACCGTCCCGAGACACAAAACCTAATAAAACCCTAGAAAAACAAGGAAAAGCTCAACTCGGTTTGAAACCTTGAAAAACAAAGTAAAACCAGAAATGCGCAACACAAACACGTCAGTGCTTTGACGTTGGCGCGTTTTGTGTGCACCGCGGCTATTTGAATACGGAGTTTTACCAGGGATATTACTTCCCCCTCCTTCAAAAAAGCCGTCCCGGCTTTACTACAAAACCGTAGAGTTGGCAGAGCTTAGGGCATGAGTTAACAAAAAATAAACAAATTACACCTCATTTATTTATCCAATTGTTGTCGATCATCAACACCGTTTGATATCGATTTTGAACTCATCCCATCATACCAATCTTTCCATCAACCATTCAATCCACATCAACTTTCTGTTCAACAAATTCATAAATCATCAATCCATGCCATCGGAATCCTATTTCTCATCGATTTCGATCCCTATCTACTTTCGATCTCCGAACATCCAGACTCCACGACGCGCATCCAATTGAATCTTCACCATGATTTCTTTCATCCTCAACATTCATTTTCTTCAAATTTTCCAGCGTCTCCAGCGCCATTTTTCCAATAATTGTGTGCTTGGTTCCGATGCTTTGGCCATACACCACACCAATATCTTGCACCATTCAGCCAAATTTCATCCTTCGGAAGTATAACCAAACTTCAGCGCATCGAAACACGTTCACCTGGGTGTCCACCTTGGCGCCAAATAACCATTAAATGACGTTCGATCGCTTCCATTATCTATGGAGTTGCTATTTTCGGACTTCGGTGCAGGATTTCCTACCCTTTTTCTTCGCACCTATCCCTCGACCCTTCGAGTAGCTTCCTCCTCTTCCAAATTCTGACTCTTTTTCCTGAAATTCCACAACCTTGAGTTTTCTTGAATCTTTCCTTCGAAAATCATACCATTTGCTTCCAACAATCTTCAGACAACATATCCTCCATGCGAACAGGTTTTCGAGCTTCTTTCGGCTTTCTAATCCTCGCGATTCCACCAATCACCCTTCTGCTCCACTTCCAGACTACATTTCTTCAGATTCTCCATCTTCCACAAACTCCTGATATCGAATTCTCGATTTTTTCGATTTTCATCTCGCAAACCCCATCCATTGTCATTCCAATTCATAATATTTCAATCGGATGTCTCAATATTGCCAGTTTTGTTGATATGGAGTTGTCGGACTGCAAAAATACGAATAAATTGACGATTTTAGGTCAACGACGACATAAACTATCTGATTCAGACAGTTACGTTTGCCGGATTCCGACAAATGTCGCGTCGAACCCCCCAGCACGAACAAAATAAACGAATAAGCAGCATATCGATCAATAAATCAAATAAATCTTCATTCGCTCAAAGATTTCTTTGAGTTGCGACGAAAATCCAACAATCCATATTTCCTCTCGATTCGCCAAGTCCATCTGGTTCCTCGATCGGTTTTAGTTCGGCCCCCAAGTAGGCAGCTCAAAGTTTGGTTCCCTTGAACTCCTTTCCAGCAACAAAGATTGAAGTGGATCATAACCACTTTACACAAACGATAAATACACGAAAAGGTTGATATGCAATCATTTATTGACTACAAATCATATTATGACAAGAAGGGGGACGGTTTAGGACCGTCCCGAGACACAAAACCTAATAAAACCCTAGAAAAACAAGGAAAAGCTCAACTCGGTTTGAAACCTTGAAAAACAAAGTAAAACCAGAAATGCGCAACACAAACACGTCAGTGCTTTGACGTTGGCGCGTTTTGTGTGCACCGCGGCTATTTGAATACGGAGTTTTACCAGGGATATTACTATTCATTATTTTTTAATTAGAGTAATTTTAATTAGATATTTAGTTATATTAAGGTAGTTAGGTTCTAAAAATTGGGTTTTTTTCTAAATTTATAAAAGGGTTCAATTTGAGTTTCGGAAGTTATGAGTTGAGAGGCAGTACCTCTCAACTTATAAATGGATCGAGAGGCAGTACCTACTCGATCTATTAAAAACTTTCGAAACTCGCATAAATTGAGCTTTTTTTTAAATTTAATTTGAAATTTAGTTTTTAGAATTCATTATTTTTTAATTAGAGTAATTTTAATTAGATATTTAGTTATATTAAGGTAGTTAGGTTCTAAAAATTGGGTTTTTTTTTAAATTCATAAAAGGGTTCAATTTGAGTTTCGAAGGTTATAGGTTGAGAGGCAGTACCTCTCAACTTATAAATGGATCGAGAGGCAGTACCTACTCGATCTATAAAAAACTTTCGAAACTCGCATAAATTGAGCTTTTTTGAATTTAAATTGAAACTTAGTTTTTAGAATTCATTATTTTTTAATTAGAGTAATTTTAATTAGATATTTAGTTATATTAAGGTAGTTAGGTTCTAAAAATTGGGTGTATTTTTAAATTTATTAAAGGGTTCAATTTGAGTTTCGGAAGTTATGAGTTGAGAGGCAGTACCTCTCAACTTATAAATGGATCGAGAGGCAGTACCTACTCGATCTATAAAAAACTTTCGAAACTCGCATAAATTGAGCTTTTTTTTAAATTTAATTTGAAATTTAGTTTTTAGAATTAATTATTTTTTTATTAAAGATTTATTAATTAGGAAATTAGTAATATTTAAGTAGTTAGCTTCTAAAAATTGGGTTTTTTTTTTAATTTATTAAAGGGTTCAATTTGAGTTTCGGAAGTTATAAGTTGAGAGGCAGTACCTCTCAACTTATAAATGGATCGAGAGGCAGTACCTACTCGATCTATAAAAAACTTTCGAAACTCGCATAAATTGAGCTTTTTTTTTGAATTTAAATTGAAACCTAATTTTTAGAATTACTTATGTTTCTATTAGAGATTTATTAATTAGATATTTAGTAATATTAAGGTAGTTAGTTTCTAAAAATTGGGTTTTTTTTTAAATTTATAAAAGGGTTCAATTTGAGTTTCGGAAGTTATGAGTTGAGAGGCAGTACCTCTCAACTTATAAATGGATCGAGAGGCAGTACCTACTCGATCTATAAAAAACTTTCGAAACTCGCATAAATTGAGCTTTTTTTTGAATTTAAATTGAAACTTAGTTTTTAGAATTCATTATTTTTTAATTAGAGATTTATTAATTAGATATTTAGTAATATTAAGGTAGTTAGGTTCTAAAAATTGGGTTTTTTTTAAATTCATAAAAGGGTTCAATTTGAGTTTCGGAAGTTATGAGTTGAGAGGCAGTACCTCTCAACTTATAAATGGATCGAGAGGCAGTACCTACTCGATCTATAAAAAACTTTCGAAACTCGCATAAATTGAGCTTTTTTTTGAATTTAAATTGAAACTTAGTTTTTAGAATTCATTATTTTTTAATTAGAGTAATTTTAATTAGATATTTAGTTATATTAAGGTAGTTAGGTTCTAGAAATTAGGTTTTTTTTAAATTCATAAAAGGGTTCAATTTGAGTTTCGAAGGTTATAAGTTGAGAGGCAGTACCTCTCAACTTATAAATGGATCGAGAGGCAGTACCTACTCGATCTATAAAAAACTTTCGAAACTCGCATAAATTGAGCTTTTTTTTGAATTTAAATTGAAACTTAGTTTTTAGAATTACTTATTTTTTTATTAGAGATTTATTAATTAGATATTTAGTAATATTAAGGTAGTTAGGTTCTAGAAATTAGGTTTTTTTTAAGTTCATAAAAGGGTTCAGTTTGAGTTTCGGAAGTTATGAGTTGAGAGGCAGTACCTCTCAACTTATAAATGGATCGAGAGGCAGTACCTACTCGATCTATAAAAAACTTTCGAAACTCGCATAAATTGAGCTTTTTTTTTGAATTTAAATTGAAACTTAGTTTTTAGAATTCATTATTTTTTAATTAGAGTAATTTTAATTAGATATTTAGTTATATTAAGGTAGTTAGGTTCTAGAAATTAGGTTTTTTTTAAGTTCATAAAAGGGTTCAGTTTGAGTTTCGGAAGTTATGAGTTGAGAGGCAGTACCTCTCAACTTATAAATGGATCGAGAGGCAGTACCTACTCGATCTATAAAAAACTTTCGAAACTCGCATAAATTGAGCTTTTTTTTGAATTTAAATTGAAACTTAGTTTTTAGAATTCATTATTTTTAATTAGAGTAATTTTAATTAGATATTTAGTTATATTAAGGTAGTTAGGTTCTAGAAATTAGGTTTTTTTCAAATTCATAAAAGGGTTCAATTTGAGTTTCGAAGGTTATAAGTTGAGAGGCAGTACCTCTCAACTTATAAATGGATCGAGAGGCAGTACCTACTCGATCTATAAAAAACTTTCGAAACTCGCATAAATTGAGCTTTTTTTTGAATTTAAATTGAAACTTAGTTTTTAGAATTCATTATTTTTAATTAGAGATTTATTAATTAGATATTTAGTTATATTAAGGTAGTTAGGTTCTAAAAATTGGGTGTATTTTTAAATTCATAAAAGAGTTCAATTTGAGTTTCGAAGGTTATAAGTTGAGAGGCAGTACCTCTCAACTTATAAATGAATCGAGAGGCAGTACCTACTCGATCTATAAAAAACTTTCGAAACTCGCATAAATTGAGCTTTTTTTTGAATTTAAATTGAAACTTAGTTTTTAGAATTACTTATTTTTTAATTAGAGTAATTTTAATCAGATATTTAGTACGATTAAGGTAGTTAGGTTCTAAAAATTGGGTTTTTTTTTAATTCATAAAAGGGTTCAATTTGAGTTTCGAAGGTTATAGGTTGAGAGGCAGTACCTCTCAACTTATAAATGGATCGAGAGGCAGTACCTACTCGATCTATAAAAAACTTTCGAAACTCGCATAAATTGAGCTTTTTTTTGAATTTAAATTGAAACTTAGTTTTTAGAATTAATTATTTTTTTATTAAAGATTTATTAATTAGGAAATTAGTAATATTTAAGTAGTTAGCTTCTAAAAATTGGGTTTTTTTTTAAATTTATTAAAGGGTTCAATTTGAGTTTCGGAAGTTATAAGTTGAGAGGCAGTACCTCTCAACTTATAAATGGATCGAGAGGCAGTACCTACTCGATCTATAAAAAACTTTCGAAACTCGCATAAATTGAGCTTTTTTTTGAATTTAAATTGAAACTTAGTTTTTAGAATTAATTATTTTTTTATTAAAGATTTATTAATTAGGAAATTAGTAATATTTAAGTAGTTAGCTTCTAAAAATTGGGTTTTTTTTTAAATTTATTAAAGGGTTCAATTTGAGTTTCGGAAGTTATGAGTTGAGAGGCAGTACCTCTCAACTTATAAATGGATCGAGAGGCAGTACCTACTCGATCTATAAAAAACTTTCGAAACTCGCATAAATTGAGCTTTTTTTTAAATTTAATTTGAAATTTAGTTTTTAGAATTAATTATTTTTTTATTAAAGATTTATTAATTAGGAAATTAGTAATATTTAAGTAGTTAGCTTCTAAAAATTGGGTTTTTTTTAAAATTTATTAAAGGGTTCAATTTGAGTTTCGGAAGTTATGAGTTGAGAGGCAGTACCTCTCAACTTATAAATGGATCGAGAGGCAGTACCTACTCGATCTATAAAAAACTTTCGAAACTCGCATAAATTGAGCTTTTTTGAATTTAAATTGAAACTTAGTTTTTAGAATTCATTATTTTTTAATTAGAG